GTTGAGAAAGCCTGACCGTCAACACCAGCACGAGTTGTTCTTTCTCGGCCATTTCAGCCGCAATTTTAGACTCAACAGCTTCCTCGAGTTGTCTGATGTCTTCAGAGAGACTGTTGATGCGTTCGATTTCGGGAGCCACGTGCTCTGGTTGCTACAGCTTCGACGTTGCGATCTTGCAAAAGGTTGATTTGAGCTTTCAGTGCAGGAATTTGATGTTGTGAGATTCCCTCGAGGACGAGTCTTGTCGTCGGAGTTTTTCTGGTCGAGCACTGCTCGGATCTCTTCGATTTCTTTTAGCAATAAGCTCAGCGGATTCGCCAAGAACGCGATCATCTTCCAGCTCTGTAGCCAATTCATTGAGCAGCTCGTCGTATTGCTTCTGAGTTTGTTCAGTATCAACGTCGGCAAATCGAACTTCGGCGTAGGCACTTTCCAGCGGGTTGAGCGCTTCTGAAAGTCGTTGCAAGTTGGCAACGTTTGCGTTGAGAATCTGAATGTCGTGGCTTGCATCGCGAATTTCCTTCATGTCATCGCTCGCTTCAGACGCCGATCTCTTTGGTTTCTCCAGAACGCGCTCAAGTGGCGTCCGAAGTTTACCGAGGGTCGCATCGGTTTCATCACGAGCGGCGACGAATTCTCTCCAAGCACTGGCTCTTTCTTCGAGACCGTTAACAAGCTGTTGTGCGGCCCCAATAGTGGTTTCCAAAAAATCCAAGATATCAATCTTTCGATCCGCAGCTACTCCGGCGTCGTTGATGACTTTACGCGCGAGTTCCACCTCAGAATTCAACTCTCTGGCCGTTGGTTCATACTGTCCAGGAACCGCGTCGGAGTCGCGCAGAAACTCATCGGCTTCTGTGACGAGTCTTCTCAAACGGTTGAAAATCGGTACGATGGTCTGCTGGAAGGCCTCCTCATTCGCCTGCTTCTGCTGCAGCTTTTCTGCTTCGATACGTCGCTTCTGAGAATGAGAAACGTCAATATAAGAAATTTCTCACGGGTTTTCCGTTGTAAAATTCGGACACAAAATTCAAAAATAAAACGATTTCAAAATCCAATTCTGCGCATTTCATAAAAAAATGCCACTTTTAAGTAAGGTTTCGTTGAAATAAACTTCATTTTTTTTTGTTTTTCACTGAAAATTTTTCTGAGAGAAAAGTTGTACAGAACATTGGAATTCACATGATACGCTTTTTCGGATCGAATCCACAAAATGAACGATTTGAACAAAATAAACTCGTACCTCAAGGACTTGCGAAGCGTTTTGAAGACGTGCCAGCAAATCTGCGTATTCCCGACGTTCATTCTCGTCGAGTTCTTCAACCGACAGCGTCTTGATGTGCTCCTCGAGGGCAGCGATGGCGTTTTCGTCAGCTTGGGCTTGTTCTGCGGTTAGAGGCTTGTCAGTCGCATCAGCCGTGATGGTCAGGAGCTTTTCCTCAGCTTCTCTGCGAGCCGCGTTGAATGCAGCAAGAGCGGCCAATTTATCTCCCACAGCAGATCCAAGCTGCTGGAGAAGGTCTTTGATCCGGGACAAGTCCCACTCGCTCTTCTGTTTGAGTTCCTCGGCCGCTGGAGCATCGTTCATCGACGAAATCAGGTTCTGGAGATTCTGTTTCTTGATCTCCATATCTTCCAACAGCGTTTGTTGTTCGTCCAGCGTGGTTGGAAGCTGACTCGGCATCGATTGTAGAGACTGGGAGATGAGTTCGACCTTCGGGGCTAACTCAAGAACCTTCTCCGTTTCGGCTTGCAGACGCTTCTTCTCTTGGATGTCGTTCTGCAACTCAGCGACCTGTTCAACTAGAGATCCGTCGAGATCGTCGTGCGTAACGAAGGCATTCGTCTGAGCGACGTTGATCTTGTGTTCTTCTGCCTCGTCTCTCAACTTCTTGGCTTCATCGGTGATCAATTCCAAGGCGGCACTTGCTTTGTGCGGGGTCGACTTGCGATTCAACAAGGGCGTTCTTCAGCAGGGCAATCTTCGAATTGATCGATTCCTGGCCTTGTCGCAGGTTTTTCTTCGACTGGAATGCTCTTCTCGAGCGACGTAGCCAAGTCTTTCGTCTTATTCTGCAGGTTTTTTTGATGTCACGAGCCAACTGTGGGTGTTTCTCCAGGTCTTCGACTGGCAGACGAGCAGCAACCATTTCGAGAATCGAATTCAACGTTCCAAGGTCTTCTCTAGCCACTTCCAGCTTTTTGCGGATTCTCGTATTTGGGAACAACTGAGTCCAAGATGGAGCTCAGTTCATCCAGCGACCTGTTGAGTTGGTCAAGGCGCTGCTGCTCTGCGACGGCGTCATCGAGTTTGCTGTTGACAGCTCCTTCCAAGGTAGCTACTCGCGTTCGAAGTTCGTTGGCGGTTGGTTCAAGGTCTTGTGGCACAACGGAAACCTCTTCCAGGAGGCTTGTCAAATGCGGCAGCATCGCTTCCTTGAAATCGGTGATTGCGACAGTCGTCTGTGGGATGGTCTCCAGCGCAGTTTCAGTTCTTTCCAGCGCTTCAGAAAGCCGCTTCATCGTTTCACTGGCCTTCGCGTGCTTTTGTAAGTCGTCTAGCATCGAGGCGAGGACGTTTCGCTTGTCATCGGCGGAACTGTTGACCCGTTGACGGAAATCTTCGACTTTGAGTTTGTCTTCCGAGCTGAGCTGTGGGTTGCTCGCCAATTCTTCGATTCTTGAAACGAGCAGATTGGCGTCGGCGAGTTTTTTTGTTCGACGTCTTCAACGGTCAATGCAGTTGGCTCCTTCTTGCCTTTTCTTGCCCTTCTTCGACTTGGCAACCGCTGGCTCTGAAACGAGGAAACTGTCGACATCCTTCTCAAGAGCCAGAACGTCTCCGTGCAGAGCTTTTTTCGTGTCCTCGTGCAGCTGTTTGGCCTCTTGAAGGCTCTGGATCTTGGCTTGGACTGCGGATGCTTGGTCAGGCGTCAGCAAATCGAGTTTATGGCTCAGGTCGATCAGCTCTTGAGGGTCAACTTCTTCGAGAGGTGTACCTTCCAGTTGAGAAAGCCTGACCGTCAACACCAGCACGAGTTGTTCTTTCTCGGCCATTTCAGCCGCAATTTTTAGATTCCTCAACAGCTTCCTCGAGTTGTCTGATGTCTTCAGAGAGCTCGTTGATGCGTTCGATTTCGGGAGCCACGTGCTTTCTGGTTGCTACAGCTTCGACGTTGCGATCTTGCAAAAAGGTTGATTTGAGCTTTCAGTGCAGGAATTTGATGTTGTGAGATTCCCTCGAGGACGGTCTTGTCGTCGGGAGTTTTCTGGTCGAGCACTGCTCGGATCTCTTCGATTTCTTTAGCAATAAGCTCAGCGGATTCGCCAAGAACGCGATCATCTTCCAGCTCTGTAGCCAATTCATTGAGCAGCTCGTCGTATTGCTTCTGAGTTTGTTCAGTATCAACGTCGGCAAATCGAACTTCGGCGTAGGCACTTTCCAGCGGGTTGAGCGCTTCTGAAAGTCGTTGCAAGTTGGCAACGTTTGCGTTGAGAATCTGAATGTCGTGGCTTGCATCGCGAATTTCCTTCATGTCATCGCTCGCTTCAGACGCCGATCTCTTTGGTTTCTCCAGAACGCGCTCAAGTGGCGTCCGAAGTTTACCGAGGGTCGCATCGGTTTCATCACGAACAACGACAAATTCTCGCCAAGCTTGGGCTCTTTCTTCGAGGCCGTTTGCGAGTTGTTGTGCGGCCTGAATAGTCGTCTCCAACGATTCAATAGCCTCAACTTGTGGTCCTGCAGCTACTCCGGCGTCGTTGATGACTTTACGCGCGAGTTCCACCTCAGAATTCAACTCTCTGGCCGTTGGTTCATACTGTCCAGGAACCGCGTCGGAGTCGCGCAGAAGCTCATCGGCTTCTGTGACGAGTCTTGTCAAACGGTTGAAAATCGGTACGATGGTCTGCTGGAAGGCCTCCTCATCCGCCTGCTTCTGCTGCAGCTGTTCTGCTTCGATACGTCGCTTCTGCAAATGAGAAACGTCAATATAAGAAATTTCTCACGGATTTTTCCGTTGGTAGAAGGTGAAAAAAAGTTTTTTTGGACGTATTGTGGTCAAAGCGAATTCCAATGTTTGCTTTTTGGTCAAGTTTTTTTGCGCGAGAAAATTTGGACGGAAAAATTCAAAAAAATAAAACAATTTCAAAAATTCAATTCTGCGCATTTCATACAAAAAAATGCCACTTTTTAAATAAGGTTTCTTTGAAAAAAACTCCATTTTTGTTTTTCGACTCGAATATTTTTGTGAGAGAAAGGTTGCACAGAACATTGGAATTCACATGATACGCTTTTTTTCGGATCGAATCCACGAAATGAACGATTTGAACAAAAATAAATTCGTACCTCAAGGACTTGCGAAGCGTTTTGAAGACGTGCCAGCAAATCTGCGTATTCCCGACGTTCATTCTCGTCGAGTTCTTCAACCGACAGCGTCTTGATGTGCTCCTCGAGGGCAGCGATGGCGTTTTTCGTCAGCTTGGGCTTGTTCTGCGGTTAGAGGCTTGTCAGTCGCATCAGCCGTGATGGTCAGGAGCTTTTTCCTCAGCTTCTCTGCGAGCCGCGTTGAATGCAGCAAGAGCGGCCAATTTATCTCCCACAGCAGATCCAAGCTGCTGGAGAAGGTCTTTGATCCGGGACAAGTCCCACTCGCTCTTCTGTTTGAGTTCCTCGGCCGCTGGAGCATCGTTCATCGACGAAATCAGGTTCTGGAGATTCTGTTTCTTGATCTCCATATCTTCCAACAGCGTTTGTTGTTCGTCCAGCGTGGTTGGAAGCTGACTCGGCATCGATTGTAGAGACTGGGAGATGAGTTCGACCTTCGGGGCTAACTCAAGAACCTTCTCCGTTTCGGCTTGCAGACGCTTCTTCTCTTGGATGTCGTTCTGCAACTCAGCGACCTGTTCAACTAGAGATCCGTCGAGATCGTCGTGCGTAACGAAGGCATTCGTCTGAGCGACGTTGATCTTGTGTTCTTCTGCCTCGTCTCTCAACTTCTTGGCTTCATCGGTGATCAATTCCAAGGCGGCACTTGTTTGTGCGGGGTCGACTTGCGATTCAACAAGGGCGTTCTTCAGCAGGGCAATCTTCGAATTGATCGATTCCTGGCCTTGTCGCAGGTTTTCTTCGACTGGAATGCTCTTCTCGAGCGACGTAGCCAAGTCTTTCGTCTTATTCTGCAGGTTTTTTTGATGTCACGAGCCAACTGTGGGTGTTTCTCCAGGTCTTCGACTGGCAGACGAGCAGCAACCATTTCGAGAATCGAATTCAACGTTCCAAGGTCTTCTCTAGCCACTTCCAGCTTTTTGCGGATTCTCGTATTTGGGAACAACTGAGTCCAAGATGGAGCTCAGTTCATCCAGCGACCTGTTGAGTTGGTCAAGGCGCTGCTGCTCTGCGACGGCGTCATCGAGTTTGCTGTTGACAGCTCCTTCCAAGGTAGCTACTCGCGTTCGAAGTTCGTTGGCGGTTGGTTCAAGGTCTTGTGGCACAACGGAAACCTCTTCCAGGAGGCTTGTCAAATGCGGCAGCATCGCTTCCTTGAAATCGGTGATTGCGACAGTCGTCTGTGGGATGGTCTCCAGCGCAGTTTCAGTTCTTTCCAGCGCTTCAGAAAGCCGCTTCATCGTTTCACTGGCCTTCGCGTGCTTTTGTAAGTCGTCTAGCATCGAGGCGAGGACGTTTCGCTTGTCATCGGCGGAACTGTTGACCCGTTGACGGAAATCTTCGACTTTGAGTTTGTCTTCCGAGCTGAGCTGTGGGTTGCTCGCCAATTCTTCGATTCTTGAAACGAGCAGATTGGCGTCGGCGAGTTTTTGTTCGACGTCTTCAACGGTCAATGCAGTTGGCTCCTTCTTGCCTTTCTTGCCCTTCTTCGACTTGGCAACCGCTGGCTCTGAAACGAGGAAACTGTCGACATCCTTCTCAAGAGCCAGAACGTCTCCGTGCAGAGCTTTTTTCGTGTCCTCGTGCAGCTGTTTGGCCTCTTGAAGGCTCTGGATCTTGGCTTGGACTGCGGATGCTTGGTCAGGCGTCAGCAAATCGAGTTTATGGCTCAGGTCGATCAGCTCTTGAGGGTCAACTTCTTCGAGAGGTGTACCTTCCAGTTGAGAAAGCCTGACCGTCAACACCAGCACGAGTTGTTCTTTCTCGGCCATTTCAGCCGCAATTTTTAGATTCCTCAACAGCTTCCTCGAGTTGTCTGATGTCTTCAGAGAGCTCGTTGATGCGTTCGATTTCGGGAGCCACGTGCTTTCTGGTTGCTACAGCTTCGACGTTGCGATCTTGCAAAAGGTTGATTTGAGCTTTCAGTGCAGGAATTTGATGTTGTGAGATTCCCTCGAGGACGGTCTTGTCGTCGGGAGTTTTTCTGGTCGAGCACTGCTCGGATCTCTTCGATTTCTTTAGCAATAAGCTCAGCGGATTCGCCAAGAACGCGATCATCTTCCAGCTCTGTAGCCAATTCATTGAGCAGCTCGTCGTATTGCTTCTGAGTTTGTTCAGTATCAACGTCGGCAAATCGAACTTCGGCGTAGGCACTTTCCAGCGGGTTGAGCGCTTCTGAAAGTCGTTGCAAGTTGGCAACGTTTGCGTTGAGAATCTGAATGTCGTGGCTTGCATCGCGAATTTCCTTCATGTCATCGCTCGCTTCAGACGCCGATCTCTTTGGTTTCTCCAGAACGCGCTCAAGTGGCGTCCGAAGTTTACCGAGGGTCGCATCGGTTTCATCACGAACAACGACAAATTCTCGCCAAGCTTGGGCTCTTTCTTCGAGGCCGTTTGCGAGTTGTTGTGCGGCCTGAATAGTCGTCTCCAACGATTCAATAGCCTCAACTTGTGGTCCTGCAGCTACTCCGGCGTCGTTGATGACTTTACGCGCGAGTTCCACCTCAGAATTCAACTCTCTGGCCGTTGGTTCATACTGTCCAGGAACCGCGTCGGAGTCGCGCAGAAGCTCATCGGCTTCTGTGACGAGTCTTGTCAAACGGTTGAAAATCGGTACGATGGTCTGCTGGAAGGCCTCCTCATCCGCCTGCTTCTGCTGCAGCTGTTCTGCTTCGATACGTCGCTTCTGCAAATGAGAAACGTCAATATAAGAAATTTCTCACGGATTTTTCCGTTGGTAGAAGGTGAAAAAGTTTTTTTGGACGTATTGTGGTCAAAGCGAATTCCAATGTTTGCTTTTGGTCAAGTTTTTTTGCGCGAGAAAATTTGGACGGAAAATTCAAAAAAATAAAACAATTTCAAAAATTCAATTCTGCGCATTTCATACAAAAAAATGCCACTTTTTAAATAAGGTTTCTTTGAAAAAAAACTCCATGTTTTTCGACTCGAATATTTTTGTGAGAGAAAGGTTGCACAGAACATTGGAATTCACATGATACGCTTTTTCGGATCGAATCCACGAAATGAACGATTTGAACAAAATAAATTCGTACCTCAAGGACTTGCGAAGCGTTTTGAAGACGTGCCAGCAAATCTGCGTATTCCCGACGTTCATTCTCGTCGAGTTCTTCAACCGACAGCGTCTTGATGTGCTCCTCGAGGGCAGCGATGGCGTTTTCGTCAGCTTGGGCTTGTTCTGCGGTTAGAGGCTTGTCAGTCGCATCAGCCGTGATGGTCAGGAGCTTTTCCTCAGCTTCTCTGCGAGCCGCGTTGAATGCAGCAAGAGCGGCCAATTTATCTCCCACAGCAGATCCAAGCTGCTGGAGAAGGTCTTTGATCCGGGACAAGTCCCACTCGCTCTTCTGTTTGAGTTCCTCGGCCGCTGGAGCATCGTTCATCGACGAAATCAGGTTCTGGAGATTCTGTTTCTTGATCTCCATATCTTCCAACAGCGTTTGTTGTTCGTCCAGCGTGGTTGGAAGCTGACTCGGCATCGATTGTAGAGACTGGGAGATGAGTTCGACCTTCGGGGGCTAACTCAAGAACCTTCTCCGTTTCGGCTTGCAGACGCTTCTTCTCTTGGATGTCGTTCTGCAACTCAGCGACCTGTTCAACTAGAGATCCGTCGAGATCGTCGTGCGTAACGAAGGCATTCGTCTGAGCGACGTTGATCTTGTGTTCTTCTGCCTCGTCTCTCAACTTCTTGGCTTCATCGGTGATCAATTCCAAGGCGGCACTTGTTTGTGCGGGGTCGACTTGCGATTCAACAAGGGCGTTCTTCAGCAGGGCAATCTTCGAATTGATCGATTCCTGGCCTTGTCGCAGGTTTTTCTTCGACTGGAATGCTCTTCTCGAGCGACGTAGCCAAGTCTTTCGTCTTATTCTGCAGGTTTTTTTGATGTCACGAGCCAACTGTGGGTGTTTCTCCAGGTCTTCGACTGGCAGACGAGCAGCAACCATTTCGAGAATCGAATTCAACGTTCCAAAGGTCTTCTCTAGCCACTTCCAGCTTTTTGCGGATTCTCGTATTTGGGAACAACTGAGTCCAAGATGGAGCTCAGTTCATCCAGCGACCTGTTGAGTTGGTCAAGGCGCTGCTGCTCTGCGACGGCGTCATCGAGTTTGCTGTTGACAGCTCCTTCCAAGGTAGCTACTCGCGTTCGAAGTTCGTTGGCGGTTGGTTCAAGGTCTTGTGGCACAACGGAAACCTCTTCCAGGAGGCTTGTCAAATGCGGCAGCATCGCTTCCTTGAAATCGGTGATTGCGACAGTCGTCTGTGGGATGGTCTCCAGCGCAGTTTCAGTTCTTTCCAGCGCTTCAGAAAGCCGCTTCATCGTTTCACTGGCCTTCGCGTGCTTTTGTAAGTCGTCTAGCATCGAGGCGAGGACGTTTCGCTTGTCATCGGCGGAACTGTTGACCCGTTGACGGAAATCTTCGACTTTGAGTTTGTCTTCCGAGCTGAGCTGTGGGTTGCTCGCCAATTCTTCGATTCTTGAAACGAGCAGATTGGCGTCGGCGAGTTTTTGTTCGACGTCTTCAACGGTCAATGCAGTTGGCTCCTTCTTGCCTTTCTTGCCCTTCTTCGACTTGGCAACCGCTGGCTCTGAAACGAGGAAACTGTCGACATCCTTCTCAAGAGCCAGAACGTCTCCGTGCAGAGCTTTTTTCGTGTCCTCGTGCAGCTGTTTGGCCTCTTGAAGGCTCTGGATCTTGGCTTGGACTGCGGATGCTTGGTCAGGCGTCAGCAAATCGAGTTTATGGCTCAGGTCGATCAGCTCTTGAGGGTCAACTTCTTCGAGAGGTGTACCTTCCAGTTGAGAAAGCCTGACCGTCAACACCAGCACGAGTTGTTCTTTCTCGGCCATTTCAGCCGCAATTTTTAGATTCCTCAACAGCTTCCTCGAGTTGTCTGATGTCTTCAGAGAGCTCGTTGATGCGTTCGATTTCAGGAGCCACGTGCTTTCTGGTTGCTACAGCTTCGACGTTGCGATCTTGCAAAAGGTTGATTTGAGCTTTCAGTGCAGGAATTTGATGTTGTGAGATTCCCTCGAGGACGGTCTTGTCGTCAGGGAGTTTTTCTGGTCGAGCACTGCTCGGATCTCTTCGATTTCTTTAGCAATAAGCTCAGCGGATTCGCCAAGAACGCGATCATCTTCCAGCTCTGTAGCCAATTCATTGAGCAGCTCGTCGTATTGCTTCTGAGTTTGTTCAGTATCAACGTCGGCAAATCGAACTTCGGCGTAGGCACTTTCCAGCGGGTTGAGCGCTTCTGAAAGTCGTTGCAAGTTGGCAACGTTTGCGTTGAGAATCTGAATGTCGTGGCTTGCATCGCGAATTTCCTTCATGTCATCGCTCGCTTCAGACGCCGATCTCTTTGGTTTCTCCAGAACGCGCTCAAGTGGCGTCCGAAGTTTACCGAGGGTCGCATCGGTTTCATCACGAACAACGACAAATTCTCGCCAAGCTTGGGCTCTTTCTTCGAGGCCGTTTGCGAGTTGTTGTGCGGCCTGAATAGTCGTCTCCAACGATTCAATAGCCTCAACTTGTGGTCCTGCAGCTACTCCGGCGTCGTTGATGACTTTACGCGCGAGTTCCACCTCAGAATTCAACTCTCTGGCCGTTGGTTCATACTGTCCAGGAACCGCGTCGGAGTCGCGCAGAAGCTCATCGGCTTCTGTGACGAGTCTTGTCAAACGGTTGAAAAATCGGTACGATGGTCTGCTGGAAGGCCTCCTCATCCGCCTGCTTCTGCTGCAGCTGTTCTGCTTCGATACGTCGCTTCTGCAAATGAGAAACGTCAATATAAGAAATTTCTCACGGATTTTTCCGTTGGTAGAAGGTGAAAAAAAGTTTTTTTGGACGTATTGTGGTCAAAGCGAATTCCAATGTTTGCTTTTTGGTCAAGTTTTTTTGCGCGAGAAAATTTGGACGGAAAATTCAAAAAAATAAAACAATTTCAAAAATTCAATTCTGCGCATTTCATACAAAAAAATGCCACTTTTTAAATAAGGTTTCTTTGAAAAAAAACTCCATGTTTTCGACTCGAATATTTTTGTGAGAGAAAGGTTGCACAGAACATTGGAATTCACATGATACGCTTTTTCGGATCGAATCCACGAAATGAACGATTTGAACAAAATAAATTCGTACCTCAAGGACTTGCGAAGCGTTTTGAAGACGTGCCAGCAAATCTGCGTATTCCCGACGTTCATTCTCGTCGAGTTCTTCAACCGACAGCGTCTTGATGTGCTCCTCGAGGGCAGCGATGGCGTTTTCGTCAGCTTGGGCTTGTTCTGCGGTTAGAGGCTTGTCAGTCGCATCAGCCGTGATGGTCAGGAGCTTTTCCTCAGCTTCTCTGCGAGCCGCGTTGAATGCAGCAAGAGCGGCCAATTTATCTCCCACAGCAGATCCAAGCTGCTGGAGAAGGTCTTTGATCCGGGACAAGTCCCACTCGCTCTTCTGTTTGAGTTCCTCGGCCGCTGGAGCATCGTTCATCGACGAAATCAGGTTCTGGAGATTCTGTTTCTTGATCTCCATATCTTCCAACAGCGTTTGTTGTTCGTCCAGCGTGGTTGGAAGCTGACTCGGCATCGATTGTAGAGACTGGGAGATGAGTTCGACCTTCGGGGCTAACTCAAGAACCTTCTCCGTTTCGGCTTGCAGACGCTTCTTCTCTTGGATGTCGTTCTGCAACTCAGCGACCTGTTCAACTAGAGATCCGTCGAGATCGTCGTGCGTAACGAAGGCATTCGTCTGAGCGACGTTGATCTTGTGTTCTTCTGCCTCGTCTCTCAACTTCTTGGCTTCATCGGTGATCAATTCCAAGGCGGCACTTGTTTGTGCGGGGTCGACTTGCGATTCAACAAGGGCGTTCTTCAGCAGGGCAATCTTCGAATTGATCGATTCCTGGCCTTGTCGCAGGTTTTTCTTCGACTGGAATGCTCTTCTCGAGCGACGTAGCCAAGTCTTTCGTCTTATTCTGCAGGTTTTTTTGATGTCACGAGCCAACTGTGGGTGTTTCTCCAGGTCTTCGACTGGCAGACGAGCAGCAACCATTTCGAGAATCGAATTCAACGTTCCAAGGTCTTCTCTAGCCACTTCCAGCTTTTTGCGGATTCTCGTATTTGGGAACAACTGAGTCCAAGATGGAGCTCAGTTCATCCAGCGACCTGTTGAGTTGGTCAAGGCGCTGCTGCTCTGCGACGGCGTCATCGAGTTTGCTGTTGACAGCTCCTTCCAAGGTAGCTACTCGCGTTCGAAGTTCGTTGGCGGTTGGTTCAAGGTCTTGTGGCACAACGGAAACCTCTTCCAGGAGGCTTGTCAAATGCGGCAGCATCGCTTCCTTGAAATCGGTGATTGCGACAGTCGTCTGTGGGATGGTCTCCAGCGCAGTTTCAGTTCTTTCCAGCGCTTCAGAAAGCCGCTTCATCGTTTCACTGGCCTTCGCGTGCTTTTGTAAGTCGTCTAGCATCGAGGCGAGGACGTTTCGCTTGTCATCGGCGGAACTGTTGACCCGTTGACGGAAATCTTCGACTTTGAGTTTGTCTTCCGAGCTGAGCTGTGGGTTGCTCGCCAATTCTTCGATTCTTGAAACGAGCAGATTGGCGTCGGCGAGTTTTTGTTCGACGTCTTCAACGGTCAATGCAGTTGGCTCCTTCTTGCCTTTCTTGCCCTTCTTCGACTTGGCAACCGCTGGCTCTGAAACGAGGAAACTGTCGACATCCTTCTCAAGAGCCAGAACGTCTCCGTGCAGAGCTTTTTCGTGTCCTCGTGCAGCTGTTTGGCCTCTTGAAGGCTCTGGATCTTGGCTTGGACTGCGGATGCTTGGTCAGGCGTCAGCAAATCGAGTTTATGGCTCAGGTCGATCAGCTCTTGAGGGTCAACTTCTTCGAGAGGTGTACCTTCCAGTTGAGAAAGCCTGACCGTCAACACCAGCACGAGTTGTTCTTTCTCGGCCATTTCAGCCGCAATTTTAGATTCCTCAACAGCTTCCTCGAGTTGTCTGATGTCTTCAGAGAGCTCGTTGATGCGTTCGATTTCGGGAGCCACGTGCTTTCTGGTTGCTACAGCTTCGACGTTGCGATCTTGCAAAAGGTTGATTTGAGCTTTCAGTGCAGGAATTTGATGTTGTGAGATTCCCTCGAGGACGGTCTTGTCGTCGGGAGTTTTCTGGTCGAGCACTGCTCGGATCTCTTCGATTTCTTTAGCAATAAGCTCAGCGGATTCGCCAAGAACGCGATCATCTTCCAGCTCTGTAGCCAATTCATTGAGCAGCTCGTCGTATTGCTTCTGAGTTTGTTCAGTATCAACGTCGGCAAATCGAACTTCGGCGTAGGCACTTTCCAGCGGGTTGAGCGCTTCTGAAAGTCGTTGCAAGTTGGCAACGTTTGCGTTGAGAATCTGAATGTCGTGGCTTGCATCGCGAATTTCCTTCATGTCATCGCTCGCTTCAGACGCCGATCTCTTTGGTTTCTCCAGAACGCGCTCAAGTGGCGTCCGAAGTTTACCGAGGGTCGCATCGGTTTCATCACGAACAACGACAAATTCTCGCCAAGCTTGGGCTCTTTCTTCGAGGCCGTTTGCGAGTTGTTGTGCGGCCTGAATAGTCGTCTCCAACGATTCAATAGCCTCAACTTGTGGTCCTGCAGCTACTCCGGCGTCGTTGATGACTTTACGCGCGAGTTCCACCTCAGAATTCAACTCTCTGGCCGTTGGTTCATACTGTCCAGGAACCGCGTCGGAGTCGCGCAGAAGCTCATCGGCTTCTGTGACGAGTCTTGTCAAACGGTTGAAAATCGGTACGATGGTCTGCTGGAAGGCCTCCTCATCCGCCTGCTTCTGCTGCAGCTGTTCTGCTTCGATACGTCGCTTCTGCAAATGAGAAACGTCAATATAAGAAATTTCTCACGGATTTTCCGTTGGTAGAAGGTGAAAAAAAGTTTTTTTGGACGTATTGTGGTCAAAGCGAATTCCAATGTTTGCTTTTTGGTCAAGTTTTTTTGCGCGAGAAAATTTGGACGGAAAAATTCAAAAAAATAAAACAATTTCAAAATTCAATTCTGCGCATTTCATACAAAAAAATGCCACTTTTAAATAAGGTTTCTTTGAAAAAAACTCCATTTTTTTTTTGTTTTCGACTCGAATATTTTGTGAGAGAAAGGTTGCACAGAACATTGGAATTCACATGATACGCTTTTTCGGATCGAATCCACGAAATGAACGATTTGAACAAAATAAATTCGTACCTCAAGGACTTGCGAAGCGTTTTGAAGACGTGCCAGCAAATCTGCGTATTCCCGACGTTCATTCTCGTCGAGTTCTTCAACCGACAGCGTCTTGATGTGCTCCTCGAGGGCAGCGATGGCGTTTTCGTCAGCTTGGGCTTGTTCTGCGGTTAGAGGCTTGTCAGTCGCATCAGCCGTGATGGTCAGGAGCTTTTCCTCAGCTTCTCTGCGAGCCGCGTTGAATGCAGCAAGAGCGGCCAATTTATCTCCCACAGCAGATCCAAGCTGCTGGAGAAGGTCTTTGATCCGGGACAAGTCCCACTCGCTCTTCTGTTTGAGTTCCTCGGCCGCTGGAGCATCGTTCATCGACGAAATCAGGTTCTGGAGATTCTGTTTCTTGATCTCCATATCTTCCAACAGCGTTTGTTGTTCGTCCAGCGTGGTTGGAAGCTGACTCGGCATCGATTGTAGAGACTGGGAGATGAGTTCGACCTTCGGGGCTAACTCAAGAACCTTCTCCGTTTCGGCTTGCAGACGCTTCTTCTCTTGGATGTCGTTCTGCAACTCAGCGACCTGTTCAACTAGAGATCCGTCGAGATCGTCGTGCGTAACGAAGGCATTCGTCTGAGCGACGTTGATCTTGTGTTCTTCTGCCTCGTCTCTCAACTTCTTGGCTTCATCGGTGATCAATTCCAAGGCGGCACTTGTTTGTGCGGGGTCGACTTGCGATTCAACAAGGGCGTTCTTCAGCAGGGCAATCTTCGAATTGATCGATTCCTGGCCTTGTCGCAGGTTTTTCTTCGACTGGAATGCTCTTCTCGAGCGACGTAGCCAAGTCTTTCGTCTTATTCTGCAGGTTTTTTTGATGTCACGAGCCAACTGTGGGTGTTTCTCCAGGTCTTCGACTGGCAGACGAGCAGCAACCATTTCGAGAATCGAATTCAACGTTCCAAGGTCTTCTCTAGCCACTTCCAGCTTTTTGCGGATTCTCGTATTTAGGGAACAACTGAGTCAAGATGGAGCTCAGTTCATCCAGCGACCTGTTGAGTTGGTCAAGGCGCTGCTGCTCTGCGACAGCGTCATCGAGTTTGCTGTTGACAGCTCCTTCCAAGGTAGCTACTCGCGTTCGAAGTTCGTTGGCGGTTGGTTCAAGGTCTTGTGGCACAACGGAAACCTCTTCCAGGAGGCTTGTCAAATGCGGCAGCATCGCTTCCTTGAAATCGGTGATTGCGACAGTCGTCTGTGGGATGGTCTCCAGCGCAGTTTCAGTTCTTTCCAGCGCTTCAGAAAGCCGCTTCATCGTTTCACTGGCCTTCGCGTGCTTTTGTAAGTCGTCTAGCATCGAGGCGAGGACGTTTCGCTTGTCATCGGCGGAACTGTTGACCCGTTGACGGAAATCTTCGACTTTGAGTTTGTCTTCCGAGCTGAGCTGTGGGTTGCTCGCCAATTCTTCGATTCTTGAAACGAGCAGATTGGCGTCGGCGAGTTTTTGTTCGACGTCTTCAACGGTCAATGCAGTTGGCTCCTTCTTGCCTTTCTTGCCCTTCTTCGACTTGGCAACCGCTGGCTCTGAAACGAGGAAACTGTCGACATCCTTCTCAAGAGCCAGAACGTCTCCGTGCAGAGCTTTTTTCGTGTCCTCGTGCAGCTGTTTGGCCTCTTGAAGGCTCTGGATCTTGGCTTGGACTGCGGATGCTTGGTCAGGCGTCAGCAAATCGAGTTTATGGCTCAGGTCGATCAGCTCTTGAGGGTCAACTTCTTCGAGAGGTGTACCTTCCAGTTGAGAAAGCCTGACCGTCAACACCAGCACGAGTTGTTCTTTCTCGGCCATTTCAGCCGCAATTTTAGATTCCTCAACAGCTTCCTCGAGTTGTCTGATGTCTTCAGAGAGCTCGTTGATGCGTTCGATTTCGGGAGCCACGTGCTTTCTGGTTGCTACAGCTTCGACGTTGCGATCTTGCAAAAGGTTGATTTGAGCTTTCAGTGCAGGAATTTGATGTTGTGAGATTCCCTCGAGGACGGTCTTGTCGTCGGGAGTTTTCTGGTCGAGCACTGCTCGGATCTCTTCGATTTCTTTAGCAATAAGCTCAGCGGATTCGCCAAGAACGCGATCATCTTCCAGCTCTGTAGCCAATTCATTGAGCAGCTCGTCGTATTGCTTCTGAGTTTGTTCAGTATCAACGTCGGCAAATCGAACTTCGGCGTAGGCACTTTCCAGCGGGTTGAGCGCTTCTGAAAGTCGTTGCAAGTTGGCAACGTTTGCGTTGAGAATCTGAATGTCGTGGCTTGCATCGCGAATTTCCTTCATGTCATCGCTCGCTTCAGACGCCGATCTCTTTGGTTTCTCCAGAACGCGCTCAAGTGGCGTCCGAAGTTTACCGAGGGTCGCATCGGTTTCATCACGAACAACGACAAATTCTCGCCAAGCTTGGGCTCTTTCTTCGAGGCCGTTTGCGAGTTGTTGTGCGGCCTGAATAGTCGTCTCCAACGATTCAATAGCCTCAACTTGTGGTCCTGCAGCTACTCCGGCGTCGTTGATGACTTTACGCGCGAGTTCCACCTCAGAATTCAACTCTCTGGCCGTTGGTTCATACTGTCCAGGAACCGCGTCGGAGTCGCGCAGAAGCTCATCGGCTTCTGTGACGAGTCTTGTCAAACGGTTGAAAATCGGTACGATGGTCTGCTGGAAGGCCTCCTCATCCGCCTGCTTCTGCTGCAGCTGTTCTGCTTCGATACGTCGCTTCTGCAAATGAGAAACGTCAATATAAGAAATTTCTCACGGATTTTCCGTTGGTAGAAGGTGAAAAAATTTTTTGGACGTATTGTGGTCAAAGCGAATTCCAATGTTTGCTTTTGGTCAAGTTTTTTGCGCGAGAAAATTTGGACGGAAAATTCAAAAATAAAACAATTTCAAAATTCAATTCTGCGCATTTCATACAAAAAAATGCCACTTTTTAAATAAGGTTTCTTTGAAAAAAACTCCATTTTTGTTTTTCGACTCGAATATTTTTGTGAGAGAAAGGTTGCACAGAACATTGGAATTCACATGATACGCTTTTTTTCGGATCGAATCCACGAAATGAACGATTTGAACAAAATAAATTCGTACCTCAAGGACTTGCGAAGCGTTTTTGAAGACGTGCCAGCAAATCTGCGTATTCCCGACGTTCATTCTCGTCGAGTTCTTCAACCGACAGCGTCTTGATGTGCTCCTCGAGGGCAGCGATGGCGTTTTTCGTCAGCTTGGGCTTGTTCTGCGGTTAGAGGCTTGTCAGTCGCATCAGCCGTGATGGTCAGGAGCTTTTTCCTCAGCTTCTCTGCGAGCCGCGTTGAATGCAGCAAGAGCGGCCAATTTATCTCCCACAGCAGATCCAAGCTGCTGGAGAAGGTCTTTGATCCGGGACAAGTCCCACTCGCTCTTCTGTTTGAGTTCCTCGGCCGCTGGAGCATCGTTCATCGACGAAATCAGGTTCTGGAGATTCTGTTTCTTGATCTCCATATCTTCCAACAGCGTTTGTTGTTCGTCCAGCGTGGTTGGAAGCTGACTCGGCATCGATTGTAGAGACTGGGAGATGAGTTCGACCTTCGGGGCTAACTCAAGAACCTTCTCCGTTTCGGCTTGCAGACGCTTCTTCTCTTGGATGTCGTTCTGCAACTCAGCGACCTGTTCAACTAGAGATCCGTCGAGATCGTCGTGCGTAACGAAGGCATTCGTCTGAGCGACGTTGATCTTGTGTTCTTCTGCCTCGTCTCTCAACTTCTTGGCTTCATCGGTGATCAATTCCAAGGCGGCACTTGTTTGTGCGGGGTCGACTTGCGATTCAACAAGGGCGTTCTTCAGCAGGGCAATCTTCGAATTGATCGATTCCTGGCCTTGTCGCAGGTTTTCTTCGACTGGAATGCTCTTCTCGAGCGACGTAGCCAAGTCTTTCGTCTTATTCTGCAGGTTTTTGATGTCACGAGCCAACTGTGGGTGTTTCTCCAGGTCTTCGACTGGCAGACGAGCAGCAACCATTTCGAGAATCGAATTCAACGTTCCAAGGTCTTCTCTAGCCACTTCCAGCTTTTTGCGGATTCTCGTATTTGGGAACAACTGAGTCCAAGATGGAGCTCAGTTCATCCAGCGACCTGTTGAGTTGGTCAAGGCGCTGCTGCTCTGCGACGGCGTCATCGAGTTTGCTGTTGACAGCTCCTTCCAAGGTAGCTACTCGCGTTCGAAGTTCGTTGGCGGTTGGTTCAAGGTCTTGTGGCACAACGGAAACCTCTTCCAGGAGGCTTGTCAAATGCGGCAGCATCGCTTCCTTTGAAATCGGTGATTGCGACAGTCGTCTGTGGGATGGTCTCCAGCGCAGTTTCAGTTCTTTCCAGCGCTTCAGAAAGCCGCTTCATCGTTTCACTGGCCTTCGCGTGCTTTTGTAAGTCGTCTAGCATCGAGGCGAGGACGTTTCGCTTGTCATCGGCGGAACTGTTGACCCGTTGACGGAAATCTTCGACTTTGAGTTTGTCTTCCGAGCTGAGCTGTGGGTTGCTCGCCAATTCTTCGATTCTTGAAACGAGCAGATTGGCGTCGGCGAGTTTTTTTGTTCGACGTCTTCAACGGTCAATGCAGTTGGCTCCTTCTTGCCTTTCTTGCCCTTCTTCGACTTGGCAACCGCTGGCTCTGAAACGAGGAAACTGTCGACATCCTTCTCAAGAGCCAGAACGTCTCCGTGCAGAGCTTTTTTCGTGTCCTCGTGCAGCTGTTTGGCCTCTTGAAGGCTCTGGATCTTGGCTTGACTGCGGATGCTTGGTCAGGCGTCAGCAAATCGAGTTTATGGCTCAGGTCGATCAGCTCTTGAGGGTCAACTTCTTCGAGAGGTGTACCTTCCAGTTGAGAAAGCCTGACCGTCAACACCAGCACGAGTTGTTCTTTCTCGGCCATTTCAGCCGCAATTTTAGATTCCTCAACAGCTTCCTCGAGTTGTCTGATGTCTTCAGAGAGCTCGTTGATGCGTTCGATTTCGGGAGCCACGTGCTTTCTGGTTGCTACAGCTTCGACGTTGCGATCTTGCAAAAAGGTTGATTTGAGCTTTCAGTGCAGGAATTTGATGTTGTGAGATTCCCTCGAGGACGGTCTTGTCGTCGGGAGTTTTTCTGGTCGAGCACTGCTCGGATCTCTTCGATTTCTTTAGCAATAAGCTCAGCGGATTCGCCAAGAACGCGATCATCTTCCAGCTCTGTAGCCAATTCATTGAGCAGCTCGTCGTATTGCTTCTGAGTTTGTTCAGTATCAACGTCGGCAAATCGAACTTCGGCGTAGGCACTTTCCAGCGGGTTGAGCGCTTCTGAAAGTCGTTGCAAGTTGGCAACGTTTGCGTTGAGAATCTGAATGTCGTGGCTTGCATCGCGAATTTCCTTCATGTCATCGCTCGCTTCAGACGCCGATCTCTTTGGTTTCTCCAGAACGCGCTCAAGTGGCGTCCGAAGTTTACCGAGGGTCGCATCGGTTTCATCACGAACAACGACAAATTCTCGCCAAGCTTGGGCTCTTTCTTCGAGGCCGTTTGCGAGTTGTTGTGCGGCCTGAATAGTCGTCTCCAACGATTCAATAGCCTCAACTTGTGGTCCTGCAGCTACTCCGGCGTCGTTGATGACTTTACGCGCGAGTTCCACCTCAGAATTCAACTCTCTGGCCGTTGGTTCATACTGTCCAGGAACCGCGTCGGAGTCGCGCAGAAGCTCATCGGCTTCTGTGACGAGTCTTGTCAAACGGTTGAAAAATCGGTACGATGGTCTGCTGGAAGGCCTCCTCATCCGCCTGCTTCTGCTGCAGCTGTTCTGCTTCGATACGTCGCTTCTGCAAAATGAGAAACGTCAATATAAGAAATTTCTCACGGATTTTCCGTTGGTAGAAGGTGAAAAAAAGTTTTTTTGGACGTATTGTGGTCAAAGCGAATTCCAATGTTTGCTTTTGGTCAAGTTTTTTGCGCGAGAAAATTTGGACGGAAAATTCAAAAATAAAACAATTTCAAAATTCAATTCTGCGCATTTCATACAAAAATGCCACTTTTAAATAAGGTTTCTTTGAAAAAAACTCCATTTTTTTTTTGTTTTCGACTCGAATATTTTGTGAGAGAAAGGTTGCACAGAACATTGGAATTCACATGATACGCTTTTTCGGATCGAATCCACGAAATGAACGATTTGAACAAAATAAATTCGTACCTCAAGGACTTGCGAAGCGTTTTGAAGACGTGCCAGCAAATCTGCGTATTCCCGACGTTCATTCTCGTCGAGTTCTTCAACCGACAGCGTCTTGATGTGCTCCTCGAGGGCAGCGATGGCGTTTTTCGTCAGCTTGGGCTTGTTCTGCGGTTAGAGGCTTTGTCAGTCGCATCAGCCGTGATGGTCAGGAGCTTTTTCCTCAGCTTCTCTGCGAGCCGCGTTGAATGCAGCAAGAGCGGCCAATTTATCTCCCACAGCAGATCCAAGCTGCTGGAGAAGGTCTTTGATCCGGGACAAGTCCCACTCGCTCTTCTGTTTGAGTTCCTCGGCCGCTGGAGCATCGTTCATCGACGAAATCAGGTTCTGGAGATTCTGTTTCTTGATCTCCATATCTTCCAACAGCGTTTGTTGTTCGTCCAGCGTGGTTGGAAGCTGACTCGGCATCGATTGTAGAGACTGGGAGATGAGTTCGACCTTCGGGGCTAACTCAAGAACCTTCTCCGTTTCGGCTTGCAGACGCTTCTTCTCTTGATGTCGTTCTGCAACTCAGCGACCTGTTCAACTAGAGATCCGTCGAGATCGTCGTGCGTAACGAAGGCATTCGTCTGAGCGACGTTGATCTTGTGTTCTTCTGCCTCGTCTCTCAACTTCTTGGCTTCATCGGTGATCAATTCCAAGGCGGCACTTGTTTGTGCGGGGTCGACTTGCGATTCAACAAGGGCGTTCTTCAGCAGGGCAATCTTCGAATTGATCGATTCCTGGCCTTGTCGCAGGTTTTTCTTCGACTGGAATGTTTCTTCTCGAGCGACGTAGCCAAGTCTTTCGTCTTATTCTGCAGGTTTTTGATGTCACGAGCCAACTGTGGGTGTTTCTCCAGGTCTTCGACTGGCAGACGAGCAGCAACCATTTCGAGAATCGAATTCAACGTTCCAAGGTCTTCTAGCCACTTCCAGCTTTTTGCGGATTCTCGTATTTGGGAACAACTGAGTCCAAGATGGAGCTCAGTTCATCCAGCGACCTGTTGAGTTGGTCAAGGCGCTGCTGCTCTGCGACGGCGTCATCGAGTTTGCTGTTGACAGCTCCTTCCAAGGTAGCTACTCGCGTTCGAAGTTCGTTGGCGGTTGGTTCAAGGTCTTGTGGCACAACGGAAACCTCTTCCAGGAGGTTTGTCAAAATGCGGCAGCATCGCTTCCTTTGAAATCGGTGATTGCGACAGTCGTCTGTGGATGGTCTCCAGCGCAGTTTCAGTTCTTTCCAGCGCTTCAGAAAGCCGCTTCATCGTTTCACTGGCCTTCGCGTGCTTTTTGTAAGTCGTCTCAGCATCGAGGCGAGGACGTTTCGCTTGTCATCGGCGGAACTGTTGACCCGTTGACGGAAATCTTCGACTTTGAGTTTGTCTTCCGAGCTGAGCTGTGGGTTGCTCGCCAATTCTTCGATTCTTGAAACGAGCAGATTGGCGTCGGCGAGTTTTTTTGTTCGACGTCTTCAACGGTCAATGCAGTTGGCTCCTTCTTGCCTTTCTTGCCCTTCTTCGACTTGGCAACCGCTGGCTCTGAAACGAGGAAACTGTCGACATCCTTCTCAAGAGCCAGAACGTCTCCGTGCAGAGCTTTTTTTCGTGTCCTCGTGCAGCTGTTTGGCCTCTTTGAAGGCTCTGGATCTTGGCTTGACTGCGGATGCTTGGTCAGGCGTCAGCAAATCGAGTTTATGGCTCAGGTCGATCAGCTCTTGAGGGTCAACTTCTTCGAGAGGTGTACCTTCCAGTTGAGAAAGCCTGACCGTCAACACCAGCACGAGTTGTTCTTTCTCGGCCATTTCAGCCGCAATTTTTAGATTCCTCAACAGCTTCCTCGAGTTGTCTGATGTCTTCAGAGAGCTCGTTGATGCGTTCGATTTCGGGAGCCACGTGCTTTCTGGTTGCTACAGCTTCGACGTTGCGATCTTGCAAAAAGGTTGATTTGAGCTTTCAGTGCAGGAATTTGATGTTGTGAGATTCCCTCGAGGACGGTCTTGTCGTCGGGAGTTTTTCTGGTCGAGCACTGCTCGGATCTCTTCGATTTCTTTAGCAATAAGCTCAGCGGATTCGCCAAGAACGCGATCATCTTCCAGCTCTGTAGCCAATTCATTGAGCAGCTCGTCGTATTGCTTCTGAGTTTGTTCAGTATCAACGTCGGCAAATCGAACTTCGGCGTAGGCACTTTCCAGCGGGTTGAGCGCTTCTGAAAGTCGTTGCAAGTTGGCAACGTTTGCGTTGAGAATCTGAATGTCGTGGCTTGCATCGCGAATTTCCTTCATGTCATCGCTCGCTTCAGACGCCGATCTCTTTGGTTTCTCCAGAACGCGCTCAAGTGGCGTCCGAAGTTTACCGAGGGTCGCATCGGTTTCATCACGAACAACGACAAATTCTCGCCAAGCTTGGGCTCTTTCTTCGAGGCCGTTTGCGAGTTGTTGTGCGGCCTGAATAGTCGTCTCCAACGATTCAATAGCCTCAACTTGTGGTCCTGCAGCTACTCCGGCGTCGTTGATGACTTTACGCGCGAGTTCCACCTCAGAATTCAACTCTCTGGCCGTTGGTTCATACTGTCCAGGAACCGCGTCGGAGTCGCGCAGAAGCTCATCGGCTTCTGTGACGAGTCTTGTCAAACGGTTGAAAATCGGTACGATGGTCTGCTGGAAGGCCTCCTCATCCGCCTGCTTCTGCTGCAGCTGTTCTGCTTCGATACGTCGCTTCTGCAAATGAGAAACGTCAATATAAGAAATTTCTCACGGATTTTCCGTTGGTAGAAGGTGAAAAAAGTTTTTGGACGTATTGTGGTCAAAGCGAATTCCAATGTTTGCTTTTGGTCAAGTTTTTTGCGCGAGAAAATTTGGACGGAAAATTCAAAAATAAAACAATTTCAAAATTCAATTCTGCGCATTTCATACAAAAATGCCACTTTTAAATAAGGTTTCTTTGAAAAAAACTCCATTTTTTTTTTGTTTTCGACTCGAATATTTTGTGAGAGAAAGGTTGCACAGAACATTGGAATTCACATGATACGCTTTTTCGGATCGAATCCACGAAATGAACGATTTGAACAAAATAAATTCGTACCTCAAGGACTTGCGAAGCGTTTTGAAGACGTGCCAGCAAATCTGCGTATTCCCGACGTTCATTCTCGTCGAGTTCTTCAACCGACAGCGTCTTGATGTGCTCCTCGAGGGCAGCGATGGCGTTTTTCGTCAGCTTGGGCTTGTTCTGCGGTTAGAGGCTTGTCAGTCGCATCAGCCGTGATGGTCAGGAGCTTTTTCCTCAGCTTCTCTGCGAGCCGCGTTGAATGCAGCAAGAGCGGCCAATTTATCTCCCACAGCAGATCCAAGCTGCTGGAGAAGGTCTTTGATCCGGGACAAGTCCCACTCGCTCTTCTGTTTGAGTTCCTCGGCCGCTGGAGCATCGTTCATCGACGAAATCAGGTTCTGGAGATTCTGTTTCTTGATCTCCATATCTTCCAACAGCGTTTGTTGTTCGTCCAGCGTGGTTGGAAGCTGACTCGGCATCGATTGTAGAGACTGGGAGATGAGTTCGACCTTCGGGGCTAACTCAAGAACCTTCTCCGTTTCGGCTTGCAGACGCTTCTTCTCTTGGATGTCGTTCTGCAACTCAGCGACCTGTTCAACTAGAGATCCGTCGAGATCGTCGTGCGTAACGAAGGCATTCGTCTGAGCGACGTTGATCTTGTGTTCTTCTGCCTCGTCTCTCAACTTCTTGGCTTCATCGGTGATCAATTCCAAGGCGGCACTTGTTTGTGCGGGGTCGACTTGCGATTCAACAAGGGCGTTCTTCAGCAGGGCAATCTTCGAATTGATCGATTCCTGGCCTTGTCGCAGGTTTTCTTCGACTGGAATGCTCTTCTCGAGCGACGTAGCCAAGTCTTTCGTCTTATTCTGCAGGTTTTTGATGTCACGAGCCAACTGTGGGTGTTTCTCCAGGTCTTCGACTGGCAGACGAGCAGCAACCATTTCGAGAATCGAATTCAACGTTCCAAGGTCTTCTCTAGCCACTTCCAGCTTTTGCGGATTCTCGTATTTGGGAACAACTGAGTCCAAGATGGAGCTCAGTTCATCCAGCGACCTGTTGAGTTGGTCAAGGCGCTGCTGCTCTGCGACGGCGTCATCGAGTTTGCTGTTGACAGCTCCTTCCAAGGTAGCTACTCGCGTTCGAAGTTCGTTGGCGGTTGGTTCAAGGTCTTGTGGCACAACGGAAACCTCTTCCAGGAGGCTTGTCAAATGCGGCAGCATCGCTTCCTTGAAATCGGTGATTGCGACAGTCGTCTGTGGGATGGTCTCCAGCGCAGTTTCAGTTCTTTCCAGCGCTTCAGAAAGCCGCTTCATCGTTTCACTGGCCTTCGCGTGCTTTTGTAAGTCGTCTAGCATCGAGGCGAGGACGTTTCGCTTGTCATCGGCGGAACTGTTGACCCGTTGACGGAAATCTTCGACTTTGAGTTTGTCTTCCGAGCTGAGCTGTGGGTTGCTCGCCAATTCTTCGATTCTTGAAACGAGCAGATTGGCGTCGGCGAGTTTTTTTGTTCGACGTCTTCAACGGTCAATGCAGTTGGCTCCTTCTTGCCTTTCTTGCCCTTCTTCGACTTGGCAACCGCTGGCTCTGAAACGAGGAAACTGTCGACATCCTTCTCAAGAGCTAGAACGTCTCCGTGCAGAGCTTTTTTCGTGTCCTCGTGCAGCTGTTTGGCCTCTTGAAGGCTCTGGATCTTGGCTTGACTGCGGATGCTTGGTCAGGCGTCAGCAAATCGAGTTTATGGCTCAGGTCGATCAGCTCTTGAGGGTCAACTTCTTCGAGAGGTGTACCTTCCAGTTGAGAAAGCCTGACCGTCAACACCAGCACGAGTTGTTCTTTCTCGGCCATTTCAGCCGCAATTTTAGATTCCTCAACAGCTTCCTCGAGTTGTCTGATGTCTTCAGAGAGCTCGTTGATGCGTTCGATTTCGGGAGCCACGTGCTTTCTGGTTGCTACAGCTTCGACGTTGCGATCTTGCAAAAGGTTGATTTGAGCTTTCAGTGCAGGAATTTGATGTTGTGAGATTCCCTCGAGGACGGTCTTGTCGTCGGGAGTTTTCTGGTCGAGCACTGCTCGGATCTCTTCGATTTCTTTTAGCAATAAGCTCAGCGGATTCGCCAAGAACGCGATCATCTTCCAGCTCTGTAGCCAATTCATTGAGCAGCTCGTCGTATTGCTTCTGAGTTTGTTCAGTATCAACGTCGGCAAATCGAACTTCGGCGTAGGCACTTTCCAGCGGGTTGAGCGCTTCTGAAAGTCGTTGCAAGTTGGCAACGTTTGCGTTGAGAATCTGAATGTCGTGGCTTGCATCGCGAATTTCCTTCATGTCATCGCTCGCTTCAGACGCCGATCTCTTTGGTTTCTCCAGAACGCGCTCAAGTGGCGTCCGAAGTTTACCGAGGGTCGCATCGGTTTCATCACGAACAACGACAAATTCTCGCCAAGCTTGGGCTCTTTCTTCGAGGCCGTTTGCGAGTTGTTGTGCGGCCTGAATAGTCGTCTCCAACGATTCAATAGCCTCAACTTGTGGTCCTGCAGCTACTCCGGCGTCGTTGATGACTTTACGCGCGAGTTCCACCTCAGAATTCAACTCTCTGGCCGTTGGTTCATACTGTCCAGGAACCGCGTCGGAGTCGCGCAGAAGCTCATCGGCTTCTGTGACGAGTCTTGTCAAACGGTTGAAAAATCGGTACGATGGTCTGCTGGAAGGCCTCCTCATCCGCCTGCTTCTGCTGCAGCTGTTCTGCTTCGATACGTCGCTTCTGCAAAATGAGAAACGTCAATATAAGAAATTTCTCACGGATTTTCCGTTGGTAGAAGGTGAAAAAAAGTTTTTTTGGACGTATTGTGGTCAAAGCGAATTCCAATGTTTGCTTTTTGGTCAAGTTTTTTTGCGCGAGAAAATTTGGACGGAAAAATTCAAAAAAATAAAAACAATTTCAAAATTCAATTCTGCGCATTTCATACAAAAAAATGCCACTTTTTAAATAAGGTTTCTTTGAAAAAAACTCCATTTTTTTGTTTTTCGACTCGAATATTTTTGTGAGAGAAAAGGTTGCACAGAACATTGGAATTCACATGATACGCTTTTTCGGATCGAATCCACGAAATGAACGATTTGAACAAAATAAATTCGTACCTCAAGGACTTGCGAAGCGTTTTGAAGACGTGCCAGCAAATCTGCGTATTCCCGACGTTCATTCTCGTCGAGTTCTTCAACCGACAGCGTCTTGATGTGCTCCTCGAGGGCAGCGATGGCGTTTTCGTCAGCTTGGGCTTGTTCTGCGGTTAGAGGCTTGTCAGTCGCATCAGCCGTGATGGTCAGGAGCTTTTCCTCAGCTTCTCTGCGAGCCGCGTTGAATGCAGCAAGAGCGGCCAATTTATCTCCCACAGCAGATCCAAGCTGCTGGAGAAGGTCTTTGATCCGGGACAAGTCCCACTCGCTCTTCTGTTTGAGTTCCTCGGCCGCTGGAGCATCGTTCATCGACGAAATCAGGTTCTGGAGATTCTGTTTCTTGATCTCCATATCTTCCAACAGCGTTTGTTGTTCGTCCAGCGTGGTTGGAAGCTGACTCGGCATCGATTGTAGAGACTGGGAGATGAGTTCGACCTTCGGGGCTAACTCAAGAACCTTCTCCGTTTCGGCTTGCAGACGCTTCTTCTCTTGGATGTCGTTCTGCAACTCAGCGACCTGTTCAACTAGAGATCCGTCGAGATCGTCGTGCGTAACGAAGGCATTCGTCTGAGCGACGTTGATCTTGTGTTCTTCTGCCTCGTCTCTCAACTTCTTGGCTTCATCGGTGATCAATTCCAAGGCGGCACTTGTTTGTGCGGGGTCGACTTGCGATTCAACAAGGGCGTTCTTCAGCAGGGCAATCTTCGAATTGATCGATTCCTGGCCTTGTCGCAGGTTTTCTTCGACTGGAATGCTCTTCTCGAGCGACGTAGCCAAGTCTTTCGTCTTATTCTGCAGGTTTTTTTGATGTCACGAGCCAACTGTGGGTGTTTCTCCAGGTCTTCGACTGGCAGACGAGCAGCAACCATTTCGAGAATCGAATTCAACGTTCCAAGGTCTTCTCTAGCCACTTCCAGCTTTTTGCGGATTCTCGTATTTGGGAACAACTGAGTCCAAGATGGAGCTCAGTTCATCCAGCGACCTGTTGAGTTGGTCAAGGCGCTGCTGCTCTGCGACGGCGTCATCGAGTTTGCTGTTGACAGCTCCTTCCAAGGTAGCTACTCGCGTTCGAAGTTCGTTGGCGGTTGGTTCAAGGTCTTGTGGCACAACGGAAACCTCTTCCAGGAGGCTTTGTCAAATGCGGCAGCATCGCTTCCCTTGAAATCGGTGATTGCGACAGTCGTCTGTGGGATGGTCTCCAGCGCAGTTTCAGTTCTTTCCAGCGCTTCAGAAAGCCGCTTCATCGTTTCACTGGCCTTCGCGTGCTTTTGTAAGTCGTCTAGCATCGAGGCGAGGACGTTTCGCTTGTCATCGGCGGAACTGTTGACCCGTTGACGGAAATCTTCGACTTTGAGTTTGTCTTCCGAGCTGAGCTGTGGGTTGCTCGCCAATTCTTCGATTCTTGAAACGAGCAGATTGGCGTCGGCGAGTTTTTGTTCGACGTCTTCAACGGTCAATGCAGTTGGCTCCTTCTTGCCTTTCTTGCCCTTCTTCGACTTGGCAACCGCTGGCTCTGAAACGAGGAAACTGTCGACATCCTTCTCAAGAGCCAGAACGTCTCCGTGCAGAGCTTTTTCGTGTCCTCGTGCAGCTGTTTGGCCTCTTGAAGGCTCTGGATCTTGGCTTGGACTGCGGATGCTTGGTCAGGCGTCAGCAAATCGAGTTTATGGCTCAGGTCGATCAGCTCTTGAGGGTCAACTTCTTCGAGAGGTGTAACTTCCAGTTGATCCAATCGATCTTGAGTGTTTTTCGCGACCCGTAAAGCTACAACCTGTTGTCGGAGAGGCTCCGCGGAAGTAGAAGGTAGCTTGCTGAGCTTCATTTCGATGCTCTGAAGCTCGTTTGTGTCGAGGTCGCTGATGGGAGCCTCTTGAAGTTGTTTGATGACGTTTTGTAGTTGCAAAGTGCGCTCTTGCTGTTCTTCGAGTTGTTTTTCGAAAGCTTCCTGAATCAAATTTTCAATTATGTTCTACAAGTTTTTATTACCTGATCGTCTATCTGGCTGTTGATGTCAGAAAGAGCATAAAGATAAGTATTCTTCAAACTTTCTAACGTTTCGATGACTTCGGTTGAGCTTGAGCTTTGGGGTAGTTTTCCTTGCAAGGTATTGATCAAGGGTTCGACTTTTTCCAGTTCAGCTCTTGCTTCCAGTAATCGCTTTTTGTTATCACTGCTCAGTGCAACCATCTCCAGTGCTTTTGTGATTGAGTTCTGTATTTCAAGCAGATGTGGCGATAAGTCTTCGGAGTCTCGATCGTCAGGCTGCAATATAATGTCAAGTTAATCTCAACTTTTTTTTCAACTCACCGTATTCAGGTTGGGAGCTCGTCCATAATTCAACTCGTCGATTTGAACATTAAGTTTGGACTGCGCATTCTGGAACTGTCGCTCCACAGCAGCAAACGACTTTTCGGCTTGCAGTTTCTGTTGTTGAAGTGCAGGACTGTCGCCAGGTCTGGAGATGATGTCACGGATTTCGCGCATCGCCGCTTCTTGTTTGGTGAGCTTCTCGCTCGCTGCTTGTAGAGAGTCAACGCTGCTTTCTGTCACCAGGTTTTCAGCCTCGTTAACAGCTTTTTGAAGTTGCTCGATAAGCGCTTCCAGTTTGAGAGCCGGTTCTATTTTCTTGTCGCTTCGCACTTGGAAGTTGTCTATTTGCGATGGATCAGTGTCAATCTCAATTTTCTCCTCCACTTCCTAAAACCAAATTCATCTCTCAAGAAAAAAATTTAACAAATACCTCAGGACGAGAAGGCAGAACGACTTTCTCCCACTGATCTTCCGCTTCGAGTTTCTCCAATCGGCCTTGGACATCGGATGTCGCGTTCAGGAGTCGTTCTTGGACGCGCGACAATTGCTCAGTGGCTTGCAATTTCTCGTTCTCGCTCTCATTGGGGATACTGTCAAGTGCATCGAACATTTCTTGTATTTCATCCTTTTTGCTGGTCAAAAGGTCCAAAGCCTTCTGCAGCGCAGCTTCTTCGTTTTCGTTTGTTTCATTGATTTTCTCCGATTCATCAATGGCATCATCCACTGTTTGTGCAAGTCGATGAATTAGAGCAAGCTTCTGTAATAATTGATACTAGAAATTTTGATAGACGAGATAACATACCTGTTCATTGGCCACATCTTCTTCAATATTTTTGACAGCGGTTTGTTCATCGAGTTGGTCTTGAAGGTCTATCTTGGCATTGTTGAACTTCTCTTGTGCAGAACTGATGATTTCCATAGCGTCCGCTTTTTCTTGGGTGTTTTGCTCAGGGATGGCATCATACAGACTGTAAATGCTGTCGAGGAGATGTTCACGACTGTGGAGAAATTCGAGATTTTCAACAAGTTGCGTCTCGCTGTTTGCTTCGTTCGGAACTTTCTCGACCGCAGCTGTGAGTTCCGTGGAAAGCTTCAAAATCTGAGAGATTTTCTCTCCGTCTGAGGTCTCTCCTTTCGTTTCTTCTTCCTGTAAAGTGGAATTATTGGGTTATATTGTCGAGAAATTAAAGAATCAAATCAAATCTTCAGTTTCTTCAAGTTCCTATTAAATATGTTGAAACATCTCATTTATTTCTTTCTCAATTTTATTGTCCTTTTTTTGATCCGTTTCTTTTTCCCACACTAGCTCTTAATTTGAAGTATCTTGATAAATCAAAAACAAAGTTTCACGAATCAATATAAAAAAATAAAGCTGGAATACGGCTTTTCGTGAGAAATAATATTCCAACTCCATCAACAAAACACGCATTGTGTTTTTTTCGACAATGGGCTTTTCAACAAAAAAAAAAGCTCACCTCTTGTGTTTCTGGGATTTGGACGTGCTCCCATTCACTATGGAAAGCATCCTCCATCTGCTGTTCGAGATCAGCTTGTGTGTTCTCGAATTCCTCTTTCAGTCCACTGAATATGTCGACGGCTTCCACTTTTTCGTTCTCATTTTGTATAGGGATAGCTTCAACAACGTCAGAGAGATGGTTGAGAGTAGGATGTTGTTCTTTCAGGAGATCGATGGCGGCGCGGAGAGATTCCTGATCTTGCGGGGTTTCCGATGCGATGCTCGCCGACGCTTCCAACGCTTGTTTCAGTTCCCCAGCAAGACGGTGGACTTCGGCGATGTCTTTCTTCTCTTCCGCGGAAACAGGGGATAGAATGCTGAGTGCATCTTCCTTGGCCGTTGATGATGTGTCCAGTTCGCGTAGATTCGTCTGAAACTTTTTCTTGGATTGTCTGTTTGATAACAAGAAAAACCTTAACAACATCGATTTTCTCCTGAATGCGTTGTTGAGAAGTGGCGGCAGCGATTGAGAGAAGACGTTGTTCGACGACGCTGATTATAGTGGTGACAGTGTTGGACACCATCACCAGCACTTTCTTCCGTCGATGTCGTCTGTCCAATGGCGAGTTTTCACGGCTGCTCTCCACCAGCTCGCATTCGACGTAGGTTCTTGGTTTGTTGCAAATGACCTTGAGGAGATCCATTTGCATCTGAATGCCGTCCAACTCTGCTGCAACGTCGATCGCATCAATGTCCGAGTTTTGCAAATTCTCTTCGGTAGTCGACAGTTTATTGAGAATTTCTTCTTGTTTATCCCGCAGTTCCCTCTCTTCCTTCACTTCGGAAGAAAGTTTTTCGATGAAGGTCTGAAAAGAAAAAGTTAATAGAAAAGAGTGAATCAACCGACCTTGTATTGCGAAGTTAATAGCATGAATTTGTGTTTTGTCGACTCAAGAGTCGTGTTGTCTTCGTCCTCTTGACGTGACAGGTCCAGTAGAATTTTTTGGCACTTTTGGTGATAGCGCTAAATGTTGAAACATATCAAAAAACCGACTTCGAACTCTTCGAACCTCTAATTTTCGAACATCTGACAGCACCCGCTGGAGAGGTTTCGGACCGTTAAGATAAGATTGTTCGATGGTGTTAATTTTTTGTGAAATTATGTTATATTTGCTTTCGAATGGATTTGCGTCTGGATCCGACGTAGTCGTAACGTCGACGGAAGAAGACAGCGAAAGGACCGATTCGGGTCTCTCCAACTCAGATGATGCGAGGGAACTGACTGATATCTGAAAATCTTCGAGTTTGGCTTCAAGATTTATGAGCAGCCGTACCTGAGATTGGAAGGGGCTAGTGAGGAGGTGGGTGGAGGCGTGCAAAGGAATGCCAGTCGTCGACTGGTAAGGAGAAAGGATTTGCATGATAGCGTGGTAGCGTTGGCAGAGGCGCAGCACTTCCTCTTTGTTCGCTACGTTCAGTCTCTCCAGCTTCTCCACTAAGCGTTGTTTCTTCTGGGCGATCGCCCACAGTGTCGTTAGCTGTCGTGACTTTTCCGGCTCATCTACGGACGATCTGGTCTTCTCAATGTCCTCGTTCATCAGCTTGAGCCATTGGGAGAATTGCGCGAGTTTTGCTTCTAGCTTCTCGGAATGAGACAAGAACTTGGCTATTTTCGAGTCCAACGAGTCGCGTTTCCGATGTACGTCGGCGAACTCGGCGTGAAGTTGACTACGTATGTGAACGCCAACGACTCGTTCAAGCTGTGCGACGTCGTCTTTCCATTGGGTCCAAGGTCCGTCACAGGATGTCGTCGCCCGCAGCTCTTCGCCGCGTGACAATTGCACCAGCATTGTGACTTCGTCTTCGTGATCCATGAATCGTTTATTGAGCCAGTCAAGATGACGCAAAACAAGCTTTTCGAGAATTTGTTCCCGTTGAGAGTTGCGTTTCTCGTGAAGCGCTTGAAGAGGTTCCAAGATTTGCCGCTGTGCCTCAGTCAGCGGTAAATCGACGATTTCACCGACAAGTTTGGTCTCTTCTTTCTTTTGTTCCTTCATGCGGAGGATTGTAACGAGCAGTTCCTGCGGATTTTCTGTATTTGGTAGTGGGGTCTTGAGCATGTCTGTGAGTTCCTTTTCTAAACTATCGAACGGTGGCTCAGCGCTCTGAAAATATTTCGGTTGTTCAAGGGATTGCAAAGTTTTGAAACAAATTCAAAATAAGCGAACAATACTCACACTTCCGAGTTGTCTTTGACGGAAATCTCGGAGAGCGGCGACAGCGTTCAGATCCGTAATGGACATATCCGCAAGCTCGCCAAGTCTTTGCAATACTTGCCTTTTATACTCAAGAGCAGCACACGCCTCGTCGGTCTGTAAGTCGGGATCGTATGAAAGCAAACATAAGAGAGACGTACGGCGCGTCTGAAGTCCGAGTTGGGATCGTTGGAGGTGGCTGTGTCTGTGATGTCGATTTTGGAGTCGGTGATGAATTCTGTTGCTGCCGAGAGGAACTTGCGTCTGTGCGCTATCAACTCTCTCAGTTTGTCTTTCTCGTATATCAACAGGTTCAACCTGAAACTTTTCCTTTAGGACCGAACGAGAATTTTTTAGGGCTCAGAACCGTAGGGCTCAGAAATCAAGTGCGAGTATTCCAAGCATACTAACACATATTTTATATGTGGAAAAACGTATCAAAACCTATCCGTTCGAAATATAAGACTATGAAAGAATTATGCAATTATACATATACATGCGTAAGATCTTTTTCAATAGTTGCATTCCTAATCAAAGATATAAATAAACATCAAAAACTCGGAAAAACCGGAACAAGAACAAAATTACCATTAAAAACAGTAGACAACGAATCAAAATATCCAACTTTAATCTACTAAATCTTTTTTTTTCTCATACGACTTTCTCCTAATCAATTTTTTCTAACTTACAGAAAAAAAATCCATGCAACTTTCAAACATTTTAAGCTTGGGTTATACTCATTCCCTATTACACGATTGCAAACTCCAACTAATTTGAGAAAGAACAACGATTATTTTTCAAAAACCAACTTCTCATTGAGCCTGTCAAACTCGAGTTGGAAAAAGCTGCCGTGAATGGCGGCCAGTTCAGCTCGCAGCCGCAGCGCATCTTGGCTCCATTCCTCGTCACATCGCTCGACAACGTTTTCGAGCTCGGACTGTACTTGGCCTATCTGAAAAAGGAAGCCGATAATCATAATATTGATTAGAGAATCATTTCAAGTGAATTTATGGAAAAAAGTTTATTCATCTACATCTTAACACATTAGCGACACTAATCCTGCTCAAGGTTGCTTCAACCTCCATTGATTCACTAACTTCGAGATGAACTTTTATATTTTTTATTTTCAGTACAAACAAAGTTAAAATCAATAAAAAACTATCCAAAAAGATCTCAGAAGTGCTCTATCGGTTGCTAAGAAGTGCACTAGCCCTTTATTCTTTTTGGCTAGGTATCTGAAGTTCTAGAAGCTGAGAAAATCATCTAATTCAAAAAATCTTCTGAATTCGAGTTTTGCGACTACTTTACACATCAGATAAATGTTTGAATCGAACTTTTTTAAACAAGAGCTTGGGAATAATTGGGTTTGTCTACAAATTTTTTCAGTTTTGCGCGCTGAAAAAGAGCAAAATGGTCGATGAGTTTATCGTCCTTTACTAGGTAAAATAACTGAATCTTTTTTATTTATTGTGAACTTCTATTCTTCGATTTCCATAAACAAAAAGTTCCGACAAAAATTCTTGCATTTGTGGGATTTCGCTCACGTTTTCCGTTGATAAAATAATTTTGTTACATCAGTTATCATTGAAAATAATTGAGAAAATATCAAAAACAAGAAATCTTCTGAATATTATTTCTACTCGATCTGATCAATCGACTACCCTCACTTCAAATGCGACTTCGATTTCGCAAGTTTGCTCGTTCAAGAAAGAGTCTCTTTTGCTTTTTTACATCTTCTAAGTCTTGACACAGCTCATGTGCACATGATACACCGCTTGTTTGCCTCCTCTCGGTTTTTTTTTTACGCCGCAAAGCTTTCGGAAAGTTCTGTTCGTTTGTTTTCTTGTCAGTGTTCTATCAAGGGCAAATTGATAAAGACGAGAGATTGCCGGCGGCCTGACAGAGGAAGATTGAGTGCCTCTCCACTCACCATTACCGATTTGATTTGCCGTCATTTCAAAATCGAGTGACGAAAAGTCGATATACATGTTCCGAAAAAATTAAAACTCTTCTCTGTGGAACAGTTAAGTTTTTAAACGTTTCAATAAGATTCTTAGGTTTTGCGTTCGGTTGAATTCACAATTAAGTTCTTCTTTTTTTTCTTCGTAAAACTTAGATAAAATCAGGTCAGGTAGCGGAGTCATTACAGTTTGAGACGGGGTAAGATTAACGTAAATTTCACCGTTTCTGCTTCTATTTTCTTTGACCTATGAACCTTAAAATATGATTTTGAGGCTTTGAAAAGTGAGATAGCTCCAGCGAAGTTTAAAAAAACGGTTAATAGACTTTCTGTGAATGAAAATTTGGTCCAAGATCATCTTACTTGAAAAATTTTTTGGAACATTTTCTGCTGTTCGATAGAAAATTATCGGGGCACGAGCCCATGAAGATAGGTAATTGAAGTTATTTTCGACCTAGCCCGTCACAGGCATAAATTTTAACGGGTAGAGGCTGAAAATCGGAGTGCATGACATGTCATTCATTCTACATTTAGGGTCGATGTCGGCCTTCAGGTGCCTTTTCGCCACGCATTTTTTGCAACGCGCTGAGAGGTCCTATCGATTGATCGGCGCCGATTTTCGACCCGCACGCGCTTTGAAACGAGCAGCCGGGTGTTGAGTTCATCATGTAGTTAGCTTTGTGTAAGTGGCTCAGCAATTTTTTTAAACCTTGGAGAGAACACAAAGAAGACTTTTTTTCAAGTTTTTCGGAGCTCTAACAGCATGAGAAAAAAACATCCTATCACTTTCATATTATAAATTACCAATTTATTTTTTTAAAAAAAGTTTGTCCTTTTTTTCCTTACTTATTATGCCCAACCAATAAGAAAACACTCAACTTTTTCAAATCAACTCGATTTGAGAACATTTTTTGGCGAATTCTCTCTCCCTTACACAAAAACAAAAATCGCTACTCTTTGGGGTGTTGCAAAACTGAGAGGTCATAAAACGACCATAAGAGCGCTGATATGCTCAAAAGATTGCGATAGTTTCAAAAAACCTGTTTATTGTATCAACAACAGGTTTTCGCTAATAAAAAGAAAGTAAAAATGGGAAAAATCCCTGACCTTCCGTTCACAATTAGAATCTAGTGAATAAAGTGAAAAGGTACTTATTTTGGAATAGAAGATGGAACCCTCGAAAGAAGAATAACAGACCTGCGCGACGGTGATCGCCGACCACGACTGATTCTGGCTTCGCAGATACTTGACTGCGTCGTAAAAGTTCTGAAGCCGCTTGAAGAGTTCCATTTTGGCCTCAAGCGCCTTCTCAGTAGTTTCGATTCGCTCGCTTAACTGCGGCAGCAAATTTACCAACTCCGCGCCAACCTCCTGTAATCAAATCAGCTTGATATCTTCCACTGAGAGTTTATATTAAAATCTCGATACTCTGTTTTTTGAATTGTTGCTCAAAATCAGTAGATCCCTTCAAGTTCACAGGAAATGCGTTCCAAGACACGCTTCTTTTCGGAAAAAAAAAAGTTGAGCACTTTGAATGTAGAGATTTGAATGCATGAGAACTAAACCGAAAAAAACTTTTTTTGCGAGAGAGAGAATGAAAAATGCGCTGTAAACAAATATTTCTTGTCATGGACTCTGAAAGGGCAAAACGTGACAGATTGATAACAATGATGAACTGCGGCGATATCAACGGGAACGGGCGGAAAGGACAAAACGGCAGTGTTCAGCCGGTTGCCCGTGGGAGAAGGGCGGGACCAGAGGCGGCCGGCAGAAGGAATGGGCGGCGTGTTTGCGGCCTCAGTGTGTAACCGAAATGCCACAACTCGGCTGTTCTCAACAGTAACGCCTGTTTGGCCCTGTCTTGTTGTTCTTGGGAACTATTTTACGACTGCCGGTACGGTCGACCGGACTAGGCAGCGCAAACGATATTTATTTTTCAGATTGTTTCAATATCCTTATTTAGCATTTTTTTAATCTGATGGATCATATTTCAAAGATTTTTTTATATGATGGAACAAAATAGTCCTTAAAAAAAACTTTGGTTTTTGTTTCATTTTTAAGATTTTTTTTGATTTTCTGCTTTAAAAGAAAGTGTTATCTATACTAACCAGCTTCCAAAAACTATCAGAAATATTTCCGCTGTCTCACCTTTATGACTCGTTGTGCGTGAGGTACGTCATCCTCGACGCTGAATTTGAGGTTTTCGAGCCGAGTGACGATGATGAGCTCGAAGGTGTGCAAGAGCTCGCGGATGGCGACGCGCAGCGGATGGCCAAGGTTCGTGTTTCGGATCTCATAGGAGCGTTGCCGGAGGTCGCCGACTTCGGCCAGCAGCCTGACGTCGATCGTCTCATGCTGGAGAATGTGCTGCCGGATCTGCTTGACGCGGAGCATCATCTCGTGCCATCCCTCAAACTCGGAGAGCTTGACGTTCCATCGGGCCTGGAGTCGAGACAGTTCCTCGCTCTTCCAGCCTTCTATTATCCGGTCCAATTCTTCCATGTCGCGTATCGACTCGCGGATATCATCTTCGTTTTCTTCGCGCCGTTGCAAAACCATTTCCTTGCGTTGAATCACTTCTCGAACGAAATCTTCATTGAGCTGACCGCCAAAGTCCTGTGAAAACGTATGCTGGTTGTTTTCAAGCTAGTACACGTCCTACCTCTTGAGTTTCTTCCAAATCGAAAACATAACTCGAGACGTCTACGAAACTGACATATTTACCAGCTTGCAGATCTTGCACTAAGGTGGCCATTTTCGAGCGGAGAGCTCCAACTTCTTGATTTTCCTGAGATTGTTCCTCATTAGAAGGATATAAATAAGTTATTCGGACATGCAAAGAGATTAAAAATATCGCATTTTCCCAAAAAAAATTTTCAGTCGGTGTTACTGCGTCCCCGTTTAAATTCAAACCATTAACAAACCGAAAACTTTAAGCCGCATGCTGGTAAATCTTACGTGCTAACTTCTACTAAGAACTAAGTTCCTTTACAGCAACTTTTTTCAATCATCTTTCTTCAGTTATTCCGTCCACTAACCATATTTTCTCAAAAAATCTGTTACGAAGTCAGTTTGAGTAAATTTTCAGGTTGTGATACTTTTTTTTTCCTACTGTTCTGAATTAATAGCAAATTGAGACTATTTCAAGGTGGTTAAAGGGAAAAAAAAGAAGTAGATAATCTTATTAAAATTTATCATTAAAAAAAAATTCAATAAATTTAATTCAAAATTTATAATAGCTTGGAGCCTACCCCAACTTCCACAAAACAACCCCAAAAGAAACTCACGATTTTCTGCTGGGAAATCTCAACCCATTTCTCATGATGGAGTTCGAGGGCCACAAACTGTTTTTGGATGTGCTTGAAAATCTTGACTCTTTCTTTCAACTCGGAAATTTCGACTTGGTCAGCCCCTCTCTGGATCCGATCGCGCAATTTCATCTGAAGGACATGAAATATTTTCGAGCATCAGAACAGCCGAACCTCCAGCTTGAGGACTTCATCTGCCGCTTCTCGGCTACCCGTGACGGTTATTTGGGCTGACGTCGTCGGCTGGAGCTCGACCACAAGTCGACCTCCCAGCTTCCTCTTCAAAACATCCTTCTGATCAAAATTTTCCCTACCTGAGCTGTTCCCAAACTTTCAAACGTCATATTTTCAAGCAGAGTTCACTTTTCCAAAATATTAAGCATGAAAACTGTGAAAATATAATGAGGCTTTTTAGAATCGTTTCGTTTTCAGCTTTTCCATATAAATTTCCCTGTAATTAGAATGAAAAATTTTTCGAGAATAAATCTGCAATTTTTGACAGAAGCCGGAATCATTTTTTTCAAGAAACCTATCATGGTGGAGGGGCTTATTACTGTTTTTTTCGCGATTCACTCTTACTAGGAACGACCTTTTTGTAATGATTATTTGCCGACTTTAAAGCTCCAAAACTCGAAAACGAGAATTTTTTCTTGTTTTGCACAGGTGTTCAGGAGGTCCTAAAACACTTTAGCGAAGTTTTTATCGAAAATTCAACCGAAAGGGGGTGTCTTTTCCTAGTTGGAAGAAGTTTCTTCTTTTTTTTTCTTCATTATAAATCTTGAGTGTTTTTGCAGATGTCCAACAATTATTTTTATAAGCGTGCTTCTTAATTTCAAGTCAATTATAGCTATCGAAAGGAGCTGAAAAATGTTTCTTCCAATCTTGTGTGTATCTCATTTTCCCTCCTTTAACTACAGTTCTTTTCTAGAAAAAGTAATGGTGTGAACCTTGTCTAGACGTCGGATTTGACCACGAAGGACTTCGAGTCTCTGGTTGTTGGCGAGTCGCGCGGCGGCGCTCAGCTTCGGCGAAAGTTGATCCGACGAAGCCTCGACAGCCGTCAGAGCAGCGTGTTCGTCTGCAATTTTTCGCTCTTCATTATCAATAATAACGTTCATCATCTTTTTTTTTCGAAAGGTGTATTTCAACCAGCACCTTTTTGTTTAATTCACAGACTTTTCAATAATCTCAACCTTGAAAATTTTTAAAAAGGAGATTACTATCAAAAGTACGATCAATTCTTGTAAGAGCTATTAAAAGTTCGGAAAAGCGCAGAACTAATTGAGTTTTCATTTTTGTTGGGACAAGGAGCGAACCATTGGTAATGACAGTTCCATGGAGGAAGTGCTGCTCGATGGTCTCTTCCAGTTGGGAGATTTGCAGCTCCCAATCGCTCCACTCGGCTTTCAGCAGGTGCAGCTCCTGTCTCAGCTCGGTCAGACTCGTCAGAGTTTTTTTCAGAGTTTTTCTTGGCTCGTCTTCAGTAAAAGCGTTCCTATCAATTTTTCGAGTCTGTAAAAATATTTTTTTCAGAATTAAATTCAAAAATACGAGACAACATTATAATTTATAATGGAAAAACTTTTTATTCGGATTTTTTTCGAAAAAAAAAGTGGAATTTAATAAATTTTTTTGCATCTTTTAAAGACTCCGTTCATTGGTAACTATCAACAGGAAAATATGATTGAATGAAAAATTCACAATTTTTTTTCAAAAAATCAATCATTACGGTAATTAACAAAAAAAAATCTTTCTGAAGACTTCAATTCATCTTCTTTTTTTCAGATGAAACTTAACTAATATGAGAAAATCCACGGCAAAAATGCATTTCTCTACTTCCAAACCTATTTTTCTGATAATCTATTCCACTTGAAAAAAAAAACCATGGGGAGTCGCGAGGGCGTCTCGCAGGTTGTTAATGTACTGGGCACAGTGAGCTCGCGGATTCTCGGCCAGCAGCTGCGCATACTCCTTCGTCCACCGGAGGAGCAGAGTCAAGCTATCGGCCGTCCTGCAGAATACCTTGGTGAAGGCAGATCGGTGGACACCTTACCTCCAGAGGACGATTTTCTCCTCGATGTCTTGCAGATAAGCGAGAAGCAAGTAGTAGGAGAGCAGCACCTTGAGGGAGCCAAGACGAGGCTCGTGCTCCTCTTCGAGGTCCGCCATCCGTGTGCGCAACGGCTCGCTGAACTCCGGGGCGACGCGTCGGCCGCCGAGACCTCCTCTCACGCTAGCCTCCTCCAGCTCTTCCTTTTTCATGGGCAAATCGCGGATGTACTTCTGAAACGAGAATTTTTTTCAGTTGGTAGAAAAAATTTAGCAAACTGATGAAAAAAGGCTTGAAAAAAGAAAAAAAAACTGACAGTCAACTCAGCAATCATCTTCTGGAGTGAAATGACGACGTCGCGGGTACTGACGGATTCGAATTGCAACGGAATGGCCAGCAACTTCTCGCCCTGCGCGATCCACGACGAAATCCCTTCGAACGGCTCAGGCAGCTCTCTTTCTTCACGCTTCTGGTGCTTTTGCAGCTCCTCGCGGATCTGATCCCACCTGGAAAAGATCAAGTTCGCAAGACGATATTTTCTAGTCGTACTTCTTCTCCATCTCGACGAGTTCCTCCAGCGTGTAATCCATTTTGGTCGCCATGATCGTGTTGAAAAGGGTTCGATGCTCGATGAACTCTCTCCGAATTCTCGAGCAAGCCTGTTAAACAATCGTATCATAACGAGTTTTTTCTATCCGGAAAAAAACTGTGATGAATAAAAAAAAGATTTTTTCTAACAAGAAGAGGGTATATGAAGTGTGGAAACTGATTAACCTGAAAACTAAGTTCGCGGAAGTTCTGCACGTGAGTTGATTCGAGCCATTCCAGGAAGTGAACGTGTTGCTCGCGGCCCTGCATCGGACTCCGCTCTCCGAACATGCGAATGAACTGGGAAACGTAGGTGATGACAGATCTCCTGTCCGGCTTTTCCGTCATAACTTCTTCCACCTCAAATCGTCCCAGTTAAAGCACCGAAATTCAGATTCTATTTCAAGAGCTATCTTTGTCTCAAGTTCAGTGCGTTCATTAAAGTTTAAAAAAACACGGAAGTCACTGGGTGGATGAGAAGTGTTCTTGGACTTTTTTTAAAATCTTTTTTCCTTCAACCGAATCAACAAATTTTTTTCATACTTTGATAACTGTCATCCGTAACGCCTGGAAGTTTTTTTCGAATGTTAATGATCGATACGACTTTCTTGAAAGTTTAGAATACCTAAGGAACAGCCTCCTATCTCCCTTTGAAGCTATTAAAAAAAGTAAATAAGATAAAACGTGACTCTTCTATTTACTTTTTTTATTGCTTAAGAATAGATAAAATGACTGCAAAAGAAGACACACTGAAACGTTTTTTTGAAATAAGTTCATAGAAGGTGCGCGAAACCTGATCTGCACTGCAGAATGATACGCTTTCATTAATTACCTTTTAGAAGTTGGTGTATTACGTTTGAAACTACCATTGATGAATTTTTGACTTCTTGTCAAAATTTCTTCTTCCCAGGAAGTGATGGCAATAAGGACACACCTCAAGAAGCCGCCTGATGTGCAGATGCTTTTCGGCAGTCGAGAAAGCAAGTTCGAGGTTGTCCTTGGGGTTCGACTCGAACACTTTTTCCATGTCGATGAGGTCGGGCCTCCAGCGGGCGACCAGAGCACAGAACAGAACTCCGTCGCGCCATTGCTTGTCCATGTTGTCGATCTTCTGTCCGTGAACCAGTCTGAAAAACCATTTCTCTCTAGCCTTCGACATCGGATCTCACCCTGAAATCTCGGAGTTGATCCAGTGCAAGAAGACTTGCTCGACACTCGACTTAACCGTGTGGAGGGGCGGCTTAGGCGTAGACCTTTTCGTGGGGGTAAGGAAAGACGCGATGCGGCTGCGAAGAGGCGAGGAGGAGCTCTTTCCCAACGAGCCGACGGATCCTGAGCCGCTACTCACTTGCGACGGCGTCTTTGGGTCCTCTGAGGTCGACGGGGTCTGGAGAGTCGCACTTGTCGTCCATCCCCATTCTCGTAGAAGCAGAAGATTCGTCTCGATCTAAAAACACAAGATAATAATTACACAAAAAAAAGTTTAGTGGATGATTTTATCGTTGTAAAAAATAAGTTTTCGAGAAAAAAAAAAAGAAACATCTCTTTCACTGATCTGTTTAACTAGAACATACTTAAGAATTCCAGAGTGGTCCCTATAGGGGTTAGAGAGGAAAAAAAACTTCTATAGGGGCCGAAAAAGTGGTCCCTAGAGAGTTAAAATCAAGGTAGTCCCTATAGAGGTTAGCGTCAGACCCCTTAGCCCCTAAAGCTCAGGTGGACCCTATAGGGGTCTTTCAATTTCATTCAAAAAACGCTTATTTATTCAGTTTTTTTTTCCGACGGAATGCTTCTTCGCATAGAAATCATAACAATTATTGACTAGCATGCTCCCTATAAGCGCTACTAACTAAGAATCCTATAGGGGCTAATTTTGCAAGCATTAGGGACCCCTTTAGGGTTTAGTAAACTTTTTAATACAAACTCCTATTAATTATTTTTTTCTGAACGAATTTGTAAAAACGTGCCACGCATTATAATTGATTCTCTTTTTCTGACAAATTGACCAAGTTCTGGACCCTTGAAGTTTCAAAAAAACCCCCCGTGCTTTCAAAACTTTCGATTGTTTCAATGAAAGAAGCAAGAGGAAACTACGAGATTTGTCGGTGACCGTTTTCGATAGTGTGAAGGCCGTCTGTGATTTATGAGGTTGGCGTGGACGAAAATGATATTGTGAAGTATTTTCAGATGCAAAAACTTATCAACTAAACTCATAAATCAACGCGCCGGTTCATGGAACAACCAGAGGAGTGCAAGAAAAACATTCGAGTGATAAGAACTAATATATAGGAAAAAAAACCTAGACTAACAAAAATCGTATAAAAATGGTATAAGTATCACAAATCTATCTAAAATAGGGGTTTCCGTAAATTAAAAAATCTCTATTTTCTTTAACTGGTTAACGGTACGTCTAGTCTTCAATCCAACGGTTTAAATAAATATTCGAATTTTTCAGAAAACTCAATTTTTCTCAGATTGAAACCCCAAAGCGCTTCTTGTAATGTGCGTTTGAAAGCAGGTCGCGTTGCGTTTTGAAGTCTAGGAAGAAATTTGAAAAAAAAATCTGTTTAACGTGACCTGCACACACGTTAGGAACACGCATACATTTAACCTAATTTCGTTTCAAGCCAAAAAAAAAAATGAACTATTAGCTTTTGGAGAAGCAAAACTATCCAACTTGTAAGTTCAGATCTTCGAACATTCGTTCATATCAGCTTACAAAATAATAGTGCAGTGGATGACCAACCTGGAAGTGAAGGATAATCTGCCAGACAAGGCCGAGAATAATCCGAGGATTGCCGTCGGCGATGTCCGCCGCGTTGTTGTTGATGAGCTCGAGGCCTCGTCGACGAAGAACCGTCAACGCCGTCGTCAAGTTGGCGATGTGGTGCACACGTTTCGAGACGCGTCCTTTGTGTACTGCCTGCAAGACTTTCAGTGGCTCTCGCAAATGAAATCCTCCAAAAACTCTTCCTATCGTAACAAAGAAGATCATTTTACTTTGCAATTGGGAATTTTCCGAAAACTGTTCAAACTCTCCTTGATGTACCAGATGAAGATCCCGGGAGTCAAAACTCGTACAATTTTTTAGTTTTTGAGAAAGGACACCTCAAAGTCAACGAAAAGCCTAAAAAAACTTCAAAATGCTATTTTCGGCATTCACTTTATTTGAAAATCGATGCATAATTGGTTTTGACTCATTTTGATAACAAAATCAAAACTGAGTTTTAACCTTTTTAGTGTTTATTTTTTAAACTTGGTGGAATTATATAAAGATTTAGTGATATGAAGTACGTTCAACTTGGTCAGATTATGAGACCAGTTGGTTATCATGCGATTTATATCTTTGATAACGGTTTCGATGTTGCAAAAATGACTTTTTATGCAGCAGTCTACACAAAACTTTAGTTAAAAGGGTAGCTTCATGGCTTTCGTTGAATCCGTAGTTTTCCAAAAATTGAATTTCTCCTCTATAGCTGATTTACAGTTGCCACGGAAAAAGGGTCATGAAACGATAACGAAAGAGAGAGTGCCTGGTTGGTGGAGAGCACAGACAGACCACGCCTCTCGGCTATATTCCAATGATGGTTCCAAATTTATGAAAATGGAGAGAATAGTTAGGATTTTTGGGCTATCAAAATGAGAAGAGATATAGAAATTATACTCATTTTCGAAAACACATCCGTTGAAGATAAAGTTTTTGCAAATGAATCTGTTGCCGTGATAAAAGTGATTTCGCGAAATTCAAAACAGCCGTCAGAGAAAGAAAAAGAAAACTAAACTTTGGAGAGTAAGAGATAATTTTGCATTTCGCGGAAATTTCTTTGAACACGCATATTAGTTTTTGACAAGTCTAGGGTATAATGTGAACGATAAAATAAGTAAAAAAAAATACTTTTTATGGCTACTAGGAATGGAAAAAAGTGTTCAAATAATTTATAATTAACCTGAATAGATTTTATTGGAGGAATTGAAGTTATTACAATTTCAAGGTAAAACTTCAAATTTTGATTTAGTCTTCTGATAATGGGTTCTTCGTTGCAAATGCATTCAACATTAATAATCCTTTTTCCGAATCTAGAGTTAGTTTGGTGCACGCAAATGAGGCTGATGAAAGGAACGGCTTTTTTTCGGAGATTATATCTCATGACAAAGGACCTACCAGCGCCTCGCCGGTCAGCACTTCTATCAGGTGGCATAGCAGAACTCCGTCGCGGAAATCCTCAAAGAGTTCCACTACTCGGCCAGATGAACTATGCTGAAAATCGTCTTATTAATGCAAGCAAATTTATTTTTAATCAAAAACAAGATAGATAATTAAGGATAGAATGAAGATTATAAACTTTTGGGGGCGCATATTTCAAAAAAATTAAACTCCTGCCTCAGACAGAGCTGATTTAATATCAAAACCTTCAATTTTTCCGTTTAATTACCGATAATGACAAAATTTTAAGAACTTCTAGTATTAATTTTATTAAAAAGTAAACTTCGACAGTTCAAGCTTTATAAAAATACTTTCTAAACAGATGGAATAAAGTTGAGAAGATTTTAGGAGAAACTCAAAAATGTAAGGCCCTGTAGAAGTTTTTTGCAAGTAAAGTTTCTACGTTCGCGAGAGCAAAAATTTAAAATGTTGCAGCATAATCTTCAAGTTTGAAAATTCAACATAGTGAAAGGACTCCAAGGATTTAAGGAGGTGATGCGAAAACCTAATAAATTTACAAAAAGAAATTCGAAAAAAAAAGTAAAAAGAGAAAGTGAATATGCCGATGTTTCCAGCCAAACATACAACAAAATGAATTTGTCAGAAGCCATCGATTGAAAAGCTGTTCAAAGAGACAAGGAAACTTGGTATTGACAATTGTTAAACTCCGACCTCTTCAAGATGGTAGTTGATCCATCGTGTGAAAGTGTTCTTCTGGACCTTCTCGTCTTCATCTGAATTAAAGTATAAGCTCAAAAAGTCAGTCTAAATTCCAAAGGCAGCAGCTCTTCACTCACGTCGGCCAAACTTGAAACAAACGCAACAAGGACGAGCCGGCGGGGAGCTCGACATGACCGGCCGGAGTGGCGACCACGGCAATGAAGAATATGGGGGTCTGCGTGTCTGCGCTCCTCGATATGGGACGGCAGAGCGCAGAGAAACCCGAGTACTTTATATTATGCATACGGACCGGTCCGCCGGAAACTCCCGCCGACTGTCTCCACGTGTGGCTTTTGCCACAAGTCATAAACATGGCAACCCTACCAAAAGTTGTCTCTTCAAAGTCTTCCGCTTCAAAAGATAGAAAAAAGACTCGTGTCTGTAATTTAGACCCACAATCCGTAACAGAAAATCTCACATGTTCTACAGAGCCCAATGTCAAATATTCTAATCAAATAAGATTAGTCACATTAGTGAGATTAAAATATTATTCGAAAACAAAACAGTGGAAGAGTACTTCGAAAGTTTTTAAAATTTCCTTCGAATCAGTCGTTTTTTTATGCTAAAAGATTTACCGTGATGAGAAAATCGAAGACCAAAAAGTGGCATTTTCTGATGGTCGTTTTTTTTTCGGGTCGCTTGTTTATTCTTCGAAATTTCGCATGAATCTGAAAAAAAGTTTACTTTTCAACAAAGGTATTATGGAGGCATATTATGTTCGCGAAATCGGGAAATATCAACTCTCCTAGTTTCAAAAAAATGTTTAAATTTTTTTGAATTAGCACAATAATCTTCAAATATTTAAAAAAATTGAGAATTATGGCAAACAAAAAAATTTTAGGAGAGAAATTTGGGGGAATGATGTTTTATTAAAAAAAGTTATACATAGTCTGTTAAAAATCTTTCTATGAAGCTTTCAAAACAAATTTTTTTAATGAGAAAAATTGAATCAAAGTAATATTACTTTGTTTCATTTTTTTATTTTTTTACAACAATAGATTCCGCGAAAACTCTTCCATTCATGATCTTATAAAAAAACATCTGAGAGAAAGAATTTTATCAATTACACAACACATAAAAAAACTATTTCTCGAATGTGAGAGAAACAAATATTACAAAATAATTTTAAAAAAGGGAAATTTTTTACGAGAAGTTTTTTTACAAGCAGCAGAACGACGGAACGGCGCAACCAGTACGCTTCGTTCCGCGCAAGTTTAAGACACTCAACAAAATTCTTTCTTTGAGTTCAATCCAGGTCAGTCAAAAAGTAGAACACGCAGTGAGATAGCTATAGATATGTGTTGCAAAAAAAAATAAAATAAAATCCGGGGTCTTAGTCCTAGTACTAGTTAGAGCTCAAAGAAGCATTCGGAGGTAGTTCGAGCTGAAAAAAAAAATAGAAATAATCATTTTTTGAAAAAAAAATTTAATTCTTTCCGGAAGGAACATTTGTTTATGTAGCGAAAAGTGAAGACGTATTTTGTATAAAAATTAGTTCGAACCAATTTGCTCCTATAGAAAAAAAGTTAGTTTTTATGGTGTTTGTGTACAGTAAGTCTGAAAATGGGCGGAGCTTAAGGATACCTGGTTCTAAATATTCAGGAAGTTGTATATTATCTATGATAGTAAGAAGATCTCGCAGGAAAAAATATGAAATGTTTGTACCAATGGTGTTTGAAAATCACGGAGAAGCTAGAAGAAGTTCCATTCCCCGTTGATGACTAAACAACAAACGACAAACATAAAAAAAAAGTTACGGTTGCGAAACATTAGAAAACTATTAAGGGTATACTCCTTAAAGCACGCTCTTTTCGAAAGTCCTAACCTTCATATATTTTTCTGGAGACGATTATTTGAATATTTGAAGATGTGCTCCATCGAATGGTAAACTGCTTTCAATGAGAAGTTCGGAGATTCCGAAAATGGCTTGTGCTTCCTGCGTATCTTATCAGCAATCGCTTTTCAAATAAAGTTATCAAAATTGATTCCATAGAACGAGAATCTTGTTAAAAGATTTAACCGAACTGGGAAATACTAATCCGCAAACAGTTTGCCTCTGAAAATCAATAGTAATTTTTAGCGGCTAGAAATTATCAGTTCTTATTAATTACAGAAAATTTTAAAAAAAAAATCTCGTTTTGGAGAAGCGATACCACTTCTTTTTTTCAGTTCATGTATTGAAGTCCGAAAGAATTTTTCAATTTCAACAGATTTCTCGGGAAAATTGTTTCTTTTTGCAGTAGGATGAGCTAAGGAAAAAAGAAACGAAACTTCAAAAAGGAATATGATCAATTGTAAGCTGTCAAGATGGTTGGCTTTAACAATAACAAAAAAAACGTGTTCAGAGAGAGAATGAATGAAACAGCAAACCGAAATGATTGCCGCAAAGACGAAAAAGCAAACAAAAGTGGCCGTCGGCAGCAAGAAAGCGTGCTCGAGAATGGATTACACGTTCAGAAAACATTGAATCAGTTTGTGAATTCCCAGAAAAAAACTCCCTTGAAGAATTCAAGAGGCGTTAAAGCAAAAATTTAAAAGCACGGTTCATGATTATGAATATTAAAAAAATTTTTTTCGACGAACTTGATTTTTTGTTTAAACTTCTGTGATAGGAGACGGAAAAACAGTTCGAAATGTGAATTTCGAAAACTTGAAAGCTTTTGAACGATTCGATGCATAAGGAACACGAGGAAAAAAATGAGATGAAAAAAAAAACAGACGCTTCCCTCGGAATATGACTCATATTATGGATTGGTTCAGGAAAAAAAAATTTTTTTACCTGAACTGTTATGAAAAATTTGATAAAATAAATTTGCACAGTTTTTTTGTATTTTTTTCTGAAATGATAACTTGGAAAAGTTTTTTTGCTCGCCGGGGATTTTTTTCTTAATGATGTCTTTTGAAAAATACATAAATAAAACATGGAGCCCAGCAGTTTCCAAAATAAACGGAAAATTTAACAAAATTGGAGTTCGCGACAAGAAAAAAAAACGGATTAAAACTCAGAAAAAATGGGAAAAATCTTTCGTTGGAGAATTTTGTGACAGAGATAACGGTTATCGCCGTTTAAAAATATAAAACGAGTGCGCAAAGCGGTTTCATCATACCGAAAGCTACCGGAATCATTTTTTAGATTAGAAAAACATAAAAGTCGATTCGAGAGTTTGGAATAAATCGAAAAAAATGACGAAGGAAATTGTGGCTCGATAGGTTCGATAACAAAAGCGTTTTTTTCTTTTTTTCTTTTTGCCAAAATTGCAAATGACTCATTGCAGAACGGTTTCAAAATTTTTTTCGTTGGAGTTTTTTTGTTTTTTTCGTAATTCATAGTAATTTTTCGTTTTTTTACCCATGAACGCGCGTTGAAGCGGCACGTTTAAAGGCGTGGGCGGAGCCAATAATACAATCGCTGTGGGATCAATTTTTCTCGATTTTTCTGAAACTGGCAGTGAAAAGAGTAATTTCGAGCTGGAATTCGCACCCCGTTTATTGAGCGAAAAAGCAAAGAGAAGAAGGGAATTCTTAACTTTTTTTTTTTTTTTGGTTTTGAAGCGAAAGGAAGAAAAAGAAACAAAGAGGGTGGTTGGAGGAATGAAAAAGGGGGGTGGCATTCGAAATGTTTTTGGCGCGCAACTTCTGCAACTAAAAACAACTTTTGGACTTGCATTTTTCGGCCCTGGAAACGGATAATATGCGAAATCATTCCGCGGTGTCAACTTCTTTTTATTCTACATGGAAGCGAAGTGAATTTCATTAATTATGCGGTTCTCAAACAAGTAAGCAAACTAAAAGGCGGTCACGACCTCTATTTTTTGGATCTTTCTCATTGAAAGGCTCAAAATAAATCTTGAGCCACAATCAGAACGGAAATGGTCAATTCGAACACGATCTTTTAGTAGAAGCCGATGTAGAAACTCTGAAAGTTGGCGTGAATCAATAGGTGATTGGACCAGACGCGTCGGCCGGCACGAAAGCTCCTTGCGCAGTCGTACGCCTTTTTGTTTCCACCGACCCGCTGCGCATCTGGTGTTCGTCTGTGCATTTTCTCTCGTACTCAGAAGATCTCGAAACCAACAAAAAAACTTCCAAAAACTCGGTAAATCAAATCACTTCAACGTTTACTAAGTTTTATTCATAAAAGTTTCCCCGAAAACCCAAATTTCACGAAAAACCACAGAAAGCCGTAAAGAGGAATCACAGTATATTCAATGACAAGTAAACAAGATTAACTCCACAATTATGAAAAAAGTTGATAGTCGACAAGAAAAGGAAAAAGTGAGAATTTTTACCTAGAGAATAATCTGATTTTTATAACTGCAAGTGAGTTCTTTATATGGCAAAACGACACAATTCAAAATGACCGTTTCCGGGGCCACCGTGACGTCAGAACCGAGGATAGTGAGCGACGGTGTCAAGCGGCCGTCGTCCATGAACAGCGGCTTGTTCTCCATCTGAAATCTTCTTTCAATTGAAGCATAATTTTTCCATCAAAATTTCAATCTGGACCTATTTTTCCTTCAACAAGATAAAACAAAGATGAAAACTCATTTCATGCTTTTTTTTAGTAGAAGTGATTCCTGTAAAACTTTTATGAATGTTGTTTGAAGATTCCGCGTAAAATCTTCACTCGAAGTGGTCGCTCTCATTCCGAGGCTTTCACCTAAAGCACGGTCTCCGGGCTCCAGCACAAGATCCGCTACATTCTGAGTTCGTCAGGACGCAACTGGATGGAATGATTCTCCCTTTTTGCTCAGGTCCAAAAGGAGAAATTCGAATTTTCGAGTTACCTAAGTTGCGAATACACTAAGAATAACTGCCGAGATAGACGAGAGGTCGATGGCGGACGAACTCGCAAACATTTCCCTTTCTCTAGGCGCAACCTCGCATTTTGAAAATTTTAAAACTTTTTTCGAGTTTGTGAGAAAAGCGAGATAAATGCGAGCTCGCGTCTGGAAAAAAGCGAAATTTTTGCGAGTTCGTCAATATACCGCAACCGACCTCGCAGTTCTCTCGCGTTAGACTTGACATTTATCTTCCGTGAAGTTAAAAACATAATTAAGGAGAAATGAAAGGGAAACAAAAGCAAAAAAAAAGAAAAGAAAGATAATTGGAAAAATTTGGACGAGACTAAAAAGGGGGGCGGGGGTAATTTTTTTGTATTCTATGTTTCGTTGTGATCCATTTCTGATCTTATTTGAAGGTCAAAAGTTTTTCGTCTTTATGAAGACATATTTCTGTGAAGAGACGAGAGAATTCAGTTTTACATCAATTTTTAAATTTATTGATACATTCATTTTTTTTTTTCCATGAAGCTTCCGCCTAACAAAAAATAACTTTCTCTTCTATTTTCCGAAATGAAGGAAAGAAGAAGACACACCTTGGCGAAAGGAAGGTTGGGATTTGGCTCGAGAGGAATTCCTTCGATGCGGGACCATTTGCCGACGACCGACCTCCACCCGACCACCGAATGCAAAACGCAGGCATTCTCCTCGATCACGGCGTCCGCCAGAATTATCGACTCCTCAAAAAACAAAATAATAACCCTCTGACTCGAAAATAAGTCAATCACTTGACACAAGAATCATAGAGCTTATTGACAAATCGAGCACTTACCTTTATTCTGACCCCTCTCCCAATCACGGCGTTGGGTCCGATGCTAACGTTCGGCCCAATTTTCGCACTGGGTTCGACCTAAAGGCAACAATCACTAATGAGAACATGAAAGAAACTGAACTTCAAATTTCATCATGAAAATTAAGATTAATTCAAAGTGCCGATCGGCGAGTGCCAAACAAAATGGTACAGAGCCTAATTTTCTGGTTTTTCCTAATATGGTAAAGTGAAGATTTTTTAGCATGTTCAAAGGGTCGTCTTTTATATAGATCCTTTTGGTACCCTCAAGAACCCATAGAAGTCTCAAAGTATCGGCTTTCCCTATTTTGTATCAATATTGTCACTCAAAACTTCTAAAACTTAAAGTAGTGATTTTTATTTTGCTTAGAGGGTCCTCTTTCCATATGGAACCCTCAAGAACCCACACTCGGATACCATTAAAATGCTACCGGAATTGCAAATTTAGCCAGAGTTTTAATTTCGGTTTGGTGAAATTCAAAATCCTATCTCCGATAGATCTTTTTTCCAATATTCGAAACTTGCAAACTGAAGAATTTCAATAATATTTACCTATTTTTTTCTAGTACTTTGATTTATCAATTTTATTGCTTACAAGCTGAGGAATACTCAGTAAAAAATCGATGCCGAATACACCTTTTACCAAAAAAGCAACAAGAGAAATGGAACATGCCTGCGCACTGGGATCGATGAAGACGTCGCCGACAATCTGAGCTCGATCCTTACACAGTCTGGCGGCGTAGCGCTTTTTGAAGAGGCGAAGATAGTGGCGGTTGGCGTAAAGGACAGCTCTGAAAACAGCTTTGCCGGACTTCCACTGGTGAAACCAACGCGGCGGTCTTGGTCTGGCTCCACCAGCGGTTAGTGTGCCACGCGTAGACTTTTCCACTGGCCGCCAGCTCTGGAAGGACGTCCGTCTCCAGCCACATCGTCTCGCTGTCGTCAAACTCCAAGTCCTGCAAACATAAATATCTATCGATCCAGGGCAAGAGATGTGATTTCAAAATATCTGTACTGGAAATATTCGATTTTAACTTTTCCGATAAACTACTGTACCTGAACCACAGTTCAAAACGTCTTTTATATTTATCACATCTTCATTTCGTGTAAAATCTTCACTCGAAGTGAACGCTCTTACTTCGCGGCTTCCACCTAGAGCAAGGTCTCCGGGCTCCAGCACAACATCCACTACATTCTGAGCTCGTCAAGGCGCAACTGGATGGAATACGCGCATAATAACAAGGCGAAGATCCGGACGACCGTGATTTCAAGTTGATCAACTACACGTTCGGACTTCTAGTTCGCCAAAAGCGGTTTTTCAATATAACTTCAAAAGTTTTTGTTCATCGCCTAGTCGGTTGAATACTGACTAAAACAACAAATAATCAATTTTATATGATTTAGCTCAAGGAGTACACGAATATAATATATTTAACAGGGACAACGCAGTTTTACCCTCGTCCTAAAAACTTTTTCAAAAAATCTCGGGCGCAAAAAAGTGATGACATATTTTTTTCATTGGGTCTTTGGGTTGTTAATTGTGTTTTTGGTGTAGAGTAGTATCATAAAAAGATCTTTAAAAAAAAAGGCTTCCGTATGAGGGCCTTTTATTCGTAGAAAATGGTTCAGAATTTTTTTTCGAGTTTTTTGACACTTTTCAACACCAGAAACACAGTGAAAATACAGATATAAAAACTTTCCGAGCAAATAGCCAACGCCCGAAAGAAAATTTAAAAAAAAACTCCACATCCTTTTTCCATATTTTTTGGGTGAATTATCAATTGTATCATTCGAGAAACATCTTTCTACTTTAAAACTCGCTTCAAAATATTCTATTCAAAGTGGTTGATAACCTTGAGAACGTGGGTTTTCATGAGATAAGCGCCACACGAAATGCTGGTGGACACGAACGTCGTCGGCTTGTTAACGTAGTGCACAACTTTGTGATCCTCGCCAATAACTACCTGAAAAATTGATCCATGTTTTGCATTTTGGAGATGTATTTAAAAATTATCAGTGAGTTCATCGGAAAAAAAACGAAAATTGTTCCGAAACGCAAAAAAATTGCTCTAAAACGAAAGTTAGCACTGTTTTGGAGCAACTTTGGTGCGCCGATGATCTTCAATTAACTGTCCATTTATCGAAAAACGGAAAACTCGTTCTTGTCAATGCACCGGTTAATAATACATGACTATCATACATCTCATTTTTTTTCTGAAACAGTGTTTGGTTGCCCTAATCAAAAAACCGTCCAGCAGAAATTATTTTCTCAGGAAAACTTTGATAACGAAGAAAACAAAAAAAAAAGTGAAGACTTACTGAACCGAAATTGATAGATTGTTGACGAGTCGCCTCAGTTGTGAGCATGAGGCAAGATAGGTCAGGGAAACGCGGCAGCTGATCCACCTCAAAGTCACAATTCCAATCAAAATGATGCAAGTTTCTTTAAAGTACTTATCAAATTTACGCAACAAACTTGTATAGAAAAAAGGTTAGGCGCTATTAGTTTTCTCTCCAAATTTTAGGTCAACCGAAAATCATTCCTTACACTCTGATCACGTTACTCTTGGCAAAACGGATAAAGATCGTGAAAGTCTCAACCTCTAAAACCCTCTGATTTTCGGAAAACCCCACAATCTCAAAAATTGTTGATGTAAATGGTTTTCTTAATATTTCTAAAGTGCTTTCTTGAAAAATAAGTAGTTGTACAGGTGAGAGTCTCCCCAAGGTACATTGTGAGCAATTTTCAGAAAAAGTTCCCATTTCGAGTAGAATTCGATTCTACTTTAGGAACCAATAGGAAGGAAAGTCAAATTTTTCTCTATAAACTAAACATCAAACCATTTCCTCGACGGGAAGGTCGCCACAAACATCCGCGTTAATCACAAAAATCGCTTCGGGAAGGCCAGCGATAATTGTTCCGCGAAATGCGAGAAGACCTCCAGCCGTACCTTGAAACCGGACATTTTTGATGAAGACGAGATGAAAAATACCGAGAGGCTTGGTTTCTTTCAGGTACTTTATACTGATTCGATAAGTCTTTTGACAGCGATCGATGAAATCGGTGAACAGGTCGGGTGAGTAGAAACCGAGCAGAAGTATTTCAGAGAGCCCAGAAAGCTGTAAAATCTTCGTTAAGGAAAAAAACCCTACAAACGGATGGAACTTCTTTTCTCGCGATGGAACTAACCTGAGATAATTGGTCAATGTGGTGCTCGATAAGCGGCACTCCGGCAATAGGAAAAAGAGGTTTTGGTAGTTGCAACGAAAGAGGACGGAAACGTGTACCTGAACAATCACGTTGAGGAATAATAACACCAGAAAATGAAAAAGAAAATTGATATAACCTTTTCCGTTGATCTAAAACCTCAAGGGGCTCTGCTGGGCCGCATAAGCCATGATCAAAACTGGGAGTACGAGGAAAAATGCGTAAAGAGACAGTAAAGCACCAGCTGCTAATATCATGGCGGAAGCAAAGAAGGACTTTATCGGAATGAGGGAAGAGCCTCACCTTTCTGAGGACCTCCCACTAAAATGACGGCCTTGAAGGACATCGTGGAAGGAAGACACGCAGAGGCGAAATGGGGTCACCTCCTCAAAACTGGAAACAGCACCTCTCCCGAAGAACCACACGATCCAACAACTCTAAACAACAGGTTTTAGGAAGCGAAACGACTTTCTGCCGAATGATAATCAGGCGACGAACGAGAAAGAAATGAAAAAAGGCAGATGAAATTGTCTTTATACGTTCAAATAACGCTTAGGTATCTCGAAAAAAAGTAACTGTGATTTTAATATCTACTGTGCCAAGAATTGAAAAGAAGGGAGCCAAAGTCGCAGAAAATTACTAAGCGTTCCAAGAAGTTCTCGAAAAGCTTCAAAGTGTGTAAAAAAATTGATATTTATCCAATTGGAAAAAATTGAAAGATATCAAGATAAAATCGATTTATTTTCGGATCAAACAGTAATCTTCAATTTTTTTTTATTCCACGAATGCACCATTTGGAATTGCAGTTTGCACACATGCATCCACATGGACGGCAAAGTGCATGATCCAAAAGTTGTACAGTGCGTTCCGCGGGAGACGACCACGTTTAAAAAAATAGCTGAAAAAGCTACCCTAAAGCTTTTTTGCACTTTTGCTCTATAAACCGAAAAAAAAATACAGCAAAAAACAAAGGTCTTGAAGCTTCAAGGTTCCACCCAGAGATGGGCGGAATTCCGCGGAACTAAACTTTCAAATCACGGAATGCGGAATAAAATGTTTCTGTTTTTTTCTTCTTCTTTTTTTCTTTCACAAAACGCGGAAGAAGGCACTTATTTAAATTTTTTTTTCCGAATGATACTTTTCGAGAGTGAACACTGACAATTGTTGAGCATTTTAATTTAAAAAGAAGAACACGGAACGTGGAAAACAGAAATATTTTTTGGGACCGCGGATTCCAAAAAAGGCCTTGGAAGCGTCAGAGGCCCGAGCCGAAACGCAGCGGATTATGGCAGCGCGTATGGAAGGCTCCGCCTTTTTAGCAAATTTCCAATTATATTCTTTCTCTTAACTTTTTTTCCCACAAAATGGGCGGAGCCAAACAAATATATCGTGAAAATGTGCCTTGCGTCTCGCTTTGAATGTGGGATGGATGGGATGGGAGTTCCTGGATGGGATGCGAGTTTTGCTGGACATTTCGAGACCTATTTGAATAATATCACAGTTAAAGTAGGAGATCTATGTCACATCATTGGAGGTGATTTCAATCTTCCAGATATAAAGTGGGATTTTCTTAGAGCCGATAATGGCATGTCGAGAAGTTTTTTACAATGTGTATCACAGTTTGGCTTTTCGCAATTAGTAAAAGAACCTACGCGGGGTTCTAGCATTTTAGACCTAGTTCTAACTAATAACGGATCTATAGTCTCAGATGTAAAAATATCACAACCCTTATCAGATCACTGTTCTATCACGTGCCAGCTCAACTTAAAAACTTCAAACTTAAAGGTTTTCCCGCCAAAAGTAATTTCAGATTACAAAAATGCTGATTTCGCGTCTTTAAATAATGCATTAGCTTGGATAGACTGGAATTATCGGTTCAGCACATGTCGTACAGTAGATGAAATGTATGAAAAGTTCATTTCTATACTTGAGCCACTCTGCAATCATTTCATACCAAAAAAATTATAGAACCGTTCAAATTCCCGCAATACCTGATAAGAATGAGAAGAAAAGTCGAAAGATGCTATATTGATTTTAAAAAATCCTCGTCTCCACAAAAAGAGCAAAAATATAGGCAGATCCTTAAATTGTATAAGACCAGCGTCCAAAACTACAAAGTTTCAGAAGAAGAACGAGTACTAAATGGATCTAAAAAAACAGTAAAAGCATTTTTGGTCTTATGTTAAGAGGAAAACCACTGTTTCTATGCAGCCAAAAATCTCTATGTTTCGAAGGTCGCTCCATTCAAAAAAAGTGAGGAGATCGCGAACATTTTTTTAATTCATATTTCAGTTCGGTCTACCGTATTGATGACAATAAAAAAATTTCAGCGTCCCTTCGGTTACTAGTACAGTTTTGGAGGACGTTTGCGTAGATGAACATGTGGTTTATAAATGTATGAAAAATCTAAAAAGTTTAAGCTCTTCAGGCCCAGACGGACTTTCGAGTAAATTATGTAAAAAATTAGCAGTTCCTTTAGCGCGCCCGCTCTCAATGATTTTCAGAAAGTCATTAGATAGCTCCTCGTTACCTCTTCTTTGGAAAAAAATCTATTGTTTCTCCAGTATTCAAAAAAAGGAAACCCTTCCGCCGCTGAAAAATTATAGGCCCGTCTCTTTAACCTGTGTGCCATGCCGAATTTTTCGAATCAATTGTAGTGAGAGCTTTAAGAAATCATCTTTGGCGTAGCAAAAATTTTTTTCTAAAAACTCAGTTCGGATTTTTTTGAACAATCGGAGTGCAATAACTCAGTTACTGGAGAAACAAAGATATTTTTTTGAAGAAGTTTACAATAAAAAAACAATGTTGACTGTATTTACTTGGATATATCAAAGGCTTTTTGACACAGTCAGTCACCGTAGACTTTTTAACCATACTTGAAGCCTACGGATGTAAAGGAAAACTTGGTAACTGGATTAGAGCTTATTTGACTAACAGGACTCAAAAAAAGTAAAAAGTAAATGATAAATTTTCGGGAGATATTGAAGTCATTTCTGGGGTTCCACAGGGAAGCTGTTTAGGTCCTTTAATGTTTCTTGTTTACATTAACGATTTGGATAAAGCACTTAAATATAGTAAACTGTTGATTTACGCGGATGATTGCAAAGTAATGATTAGCAGTTCTGTTCCAGGATATCAAAACAAGCTACAAGAGGATCTCCATTCCATTGAAAATTTTCTTGCAGATAGACAACTCATACTTTCAGCAAATAAAAGTCTCCATGTTAGTTATGGGAAACGAGTTCGAAGTGTTGCGAGTTACGAGCTTAATGGTACAACAGTGAATAACGAGGATTGTGTGGAAGATCTCGGAGTTATTTTTTCATCTAACCTCAAAATGCATAATAATATTGAAGTTATCGTCAAAAAAACTATGCGTATTATAAACAACCTATTCCGCTGTTTTAGCTTCTCGAAACAAAACTTCTTGACATGCTATAAGGCCAAGGTACTTCCCATTCTAGAGTATGGTTCGGAACTAATGTGTCCATTGACAAAGTCAGATATTGATCGATTAGAATCGGTCCAGAGGCGTTTCACGAAGCGCCTTTCCCCAAGAATGGAATATAATGAACGGTTAAAACTTTTTAGGTCTTCAACCTCTTTGGTTTAGGCGTTTAGTTAAGGATCTGGTATTATCACATCAGTTTTTGCATAATAAGTGCTGGTCAGACTCTCCCATCCAGGTACATAACATCTTTGACCGTCTCAGTCAGCTCAGAGGAAATGGTTTTAAATTAATAAAAAAACAGAAACCTTCACTGGTTTTCTTCAATTTCTTATCACATCGCATTACTAATGTTTGGAATGACATTGAACATGAATTATTGGCAGAGGAAGACAAGAAAAAAATTTAAGGACATGTTTTTTTAGTGTATGCAGAAGATGTTGGCGTCGAGCATATTCTTTCAAGTGTTCACAGATTTGTGCCATGATCAACTTGGTTTTTAAATATCTACTTATTATGGTTCTATGTTTCTTTTCTTACACAAAAAAAACTTTTTCTTCACAGGTGGGGTTAGTTAATCCACCTAGTGGTCTTTTTCCCTCCCTGCAACATCACCATACCATCCCGATGTTGCGAAAAAAAATAAAAAAATAAACAAATTGAATAAGAAAAATTAATAAAACGGCAAAAAAAAGGAGAGGCAATGAAAACTTTTTTTGTCCATAGAGCAACTTTGCTGCAAAAATGCACTTTTGGCGGGAATTCAAACTTTCTTTTTATTTTTTTATTTTTTTGAACTAATTAGTAGACGTCAATGTTTCCCCAAAGTATCAAGTATTGCACGATTTTAAGTTCACCGCTCCACATATTTATATATCTACTTGTTATTTTTTTCGAAAGATTGACTTTTTAAATGTTTCTGAGAATCTTGTTTTAATTAAAACATGAGAATTTTTCATCAGGAAATTACAGTCCACAACAGTTCCCATCGAAGAATAAGTTTTCAAAAAAACCCAACTTCCCGTTATTTATAATTATATATCCACCCAAAGTTTTCAAGCTTCGTTTTCCCAATAACGTGTAAGTTTAGTGATTTATTTCTTCCCTATGAATTTTTCCTCTGTTTTGTGTCTTCATGGTGGTTCAGGAGCAAAAACACTTTTATTTTAAATCTAGCTTTTTTTGTTGTTGTAAACTCTTCTCTTTGTAAGCGAAAAATAAATTTTAAAAAATTCACATCATGAGATCTTCAAACAGTGAAAAAAAAACACAAATGAATATAATATAAAATTCGATTTGAGGGTGAAGTAGACGGATCCAGCTTGATAGATTCCTATTCGCTGCTATAATTTTTTTCACCACCAGTTTGTCAAAATAATTATAAACTTTCTGTTTGCACACAATTTTTCAAACCGTGACAGGGTTATTCGCCTTGTAAACGGATATTTTAGACTAGACTTCAACTGAAACCAGCGGTGAAGAAACTTGATCAGCGGGCGAAAAAAAAGCAATTTGAAATAAGGAGATAAGTGTATTCACGAAGTGTTTGGAGAGAAGTTTAGAGGCACAGGGTTTTTCTGGATCTTTTTCTCATAAAAAACAATCCAAAAAATTACTTCTAGTAGAAATTTCTTTTAGACGTTGCCTTGCACCTCCAACCATCACCTTAAGCAATTTATGACTACAATGTATGAAACAACATAACACAACAAATTTAATAACATTATTCACTGGGTTCATACTATGTACAATTGAGATTCATCGATAACTATCTAAAAGCTGGGAATTGAGTTACAATGTTCATCAGACCCTTCTATCATTTTTTATCTGTCGAAAGTTTGCTAAATCAGAGAAGAAAAAAAACTCCTTTTTGGAGCTTTTCAGAGTTTGAAAAAAAAAAATCAAAAGCCGAGGGAAAGTTGTAAAAATTTTGTGGACTAGAAAAATCGAGTAAGTCGAATTTTTTGTCTTCCAAAATCAGAACGAAAGTGATGATACTAATAGCAGAATCCAAGGAAATAGGATGATCTTTAGATAAGTTATACATGCGTTCTATATACAGATCAATTATAATTGGAGCATTCTCTATCAACTGGGATGAAGGGTGGGAGTTAGATATGTTGTAAATTAAAAGAAATAAAATCAGAAGACGAAGACTTTTTTAAATCATTTGTTGCTAAAATTTAGGGAATTTTCGATTGAAAATGCATATGCCGATGTGTTTTTGCAGACTGTTTTTCTGGAAGGGTGAATAAATTGAAGGGAAGGATACAGTTCAAAAAAAAAGAAGATTAATCACTTCTTCAGCTATAAAAAGAGTTGTCCTGATTTTAGAAATGAAAAATCGTTTAGGTAGAAAATAACGAGGGTTTTTTTTGAATTATTTTGGGATGAAATCATCCGGGAAGCCGGACGGGAATCTGATAGTTCTGAGGCGGCGTGGGGAGCATTTCTCGGAGTCGGTATTTCTGCCGGAGAATATCTCGAACGTCGCGACCCTGTAACCATGTTTCATAGCCAACATTATCAAGTCTTCCGGCCGATTAGATAAATATTTTCTGGCTTAGCCTAAACCAACAAATAAGAGTTATTGAGTAAAAAAATAATATTGAAATTGTTGATGAGAACTATTTGTCATAGTACAAGCGACTGACCTCCTGAGGGATGCTCTCCAGAAAAGGGAGGAGCTTGAGGAGCTCCTTGTCGTCCCTTTCGTGGAACCAGCTCTCAATCGGAATGCCGTTGTCCAGCTGGTAGGCGAAGGACTGGGGCGCATTGTCGATGATCACCGTTCGAGAAAGATCTCTCCCCAAGATGGTCAGGTCCTTCACATAGTTTCCGTAGACACACACGCAGTGTTCGCGGAATAGTCTATGTCGAACGAGTTGCTTTCGAGGGTCCAGCAGGTTCTAAAAGCTCATCATGTCAAAAAAAAACCGACATTAATCCAATTATTTTTCTTGGTGTTGTTGTCAAAAGTTCAAATGAAAATTTTTCCTTTTCATTAGATCTTAAGAACGTTTATGAGGTGGCAGTTTGAAATCGGGACGTGTGGGACAGACTTACTGGAACAAACTCTAGTGGCCACTCAAGAAGTTTCTCAAAGACTACTTGGAGAGGGCACTAAAGTGGCCACTAAACTACCTGTATAGAAACCACTATTTTACGTCTTAGTGGCTACTGTAGTAGTTTTATTGGTCTCGCAGTACCACTCAGCCTTCTAAAGTGGCCACTAAAAATTTTCCTAGTAGACGAGAAAACATCAGAACTTGATTAGTGAAGGCTAAAAAAAACAGTATGTTTGTGGAATAAGTAGAAAAATCCTACAGTACTTTGACCTCATATTGTCCTTACTTTTCCATCAAATCTTTTAGATCCATTTTGGTATTTGAGTCATACTATTTTTTGAAATGGTGTTAAAATTAGGCACAGCTCATTACTCAGAAATGACCTATTACAAAAATTATGAAAAGCAGTTTTTTAATAGGCAAGCTACTTTTTATGTTGATCCATCATATGAGAATCTGGGAATTGAGAGGGAATCATGGAAAACAAGTAGAATTGTTCCATTGAACTACTTAAAATCATTTAAAAATATATTATACTACTTAGCTTAGCCTTTGACCCCTTTCACCAGTCTTGAAGTATTTTTTTTGTCTAGTGGGTTCGGAATAAACACGGGAAACAAAAAAAATCTTTCGCTGTTTAATTGTATCTAAAAGAGCGCTTACCAATAATTTATCTGCGTAAATTCTCTTGCTGGCGGTAAAGAGGATGATTTCATAGCTCTTGGATAGCCGGGCCAGAAAGGTATGAAGGTGGGGGCGGAGTCGAACGTAAACCTTGAAATAATTTGATTTCGAAAAAAACTTCTTTTATTCAAGGTACCTGATAGGTGTTGTTCTGGAACTCGACGGGAAAGACTATGGAGGCGTCGGGAAGCGGAGTCAAGCTGCAGTGAACCAGCGTTTCGTCCTGAAAAGTAGGCGTTACTGTGTGTTTCTAAGCCTGATCGAAAACCAAATCAAGGACTAGGGAGAACTCCGGAGTCGACCTCGTCCTTATAGGGAGTGCGGGACAGCGAAATCTCATATCGTCCGTCAGCGGCGGAACGTTGCACAACATCATCATTCTGAAGCGATTCCAGGGTGAATTTCGTCCACAAAAAGTCTATAGAAGAACTCTCAAAAACCAGTAGACGATGTATCGGAAAGTTAAGAAAAGTTTAAGGGTGCTAATCTTTGAGAAAAAAAATTGCAGAGGTAGTAGATTTGCGGGCTCAAAATCTAATACGAATAAAAGCGCATTTGCCAGTTTTTTTGAAAATACAAACGGATTTTTGATAAAACTTCAAGCTGGATAAGTTATTAGAAAAAAATCTGATAAATGGTATTAATTTTTTTCTACTTAAAATGGGAAAAAAAGAAATAAAAAAAGAAACAGTTTTTGCTTCGGAGATGAAAAAAAGTTTCTTAAAATTGCAGCAGAAAAAAATAATTTTTGAATAATTTTTCCCGCTCAAAGTGGAAGAAAACGTACGAAAATTTTTAAAGAAAATGGAATAAATGGATGAAAAAAACCGCCTAACTTCATTTAAATGAAAAAGAAACTTGAAAAAAGATGAGGAAATATCGAATCTAAAGCGAAACGGTAACAGGGCAAAAAAAAACCTTCTAGGGAGTTTAATATACTCACGTCCCGATTAAAAATGAAAACCAAGAACTGATATAAAAAGGCTGAAACAACAAACTCCAAAAGAAAAAAATCATAAAATTAATTACGAGGAAAACAAGGCGGTAAAATAAATCGAAGAGAATTTCGGTCTGTTTTTTTTTTACGATACTATAGAAAAAAAGAACGAGAGAAGATTGTTTAAAACGTCTAAAAAACGTTTGAAAAGATTCAAACAAGTATTATTGCAGAAAAAAATTGGGAACAAATAAAGGAATGAATTTTACGCAAAACGGGAAAAGGGAAAGAAAACGTACGAGTCGTAGTCGATGGCGCAGGGGCCGGTGTGTTCGTCGAGCTGGGACTCGTCGACGTTCTCGTCGACTTGCCAGATGAGGCCGCCCGTGTCGGTCATCTTGCGCTTCATGTTCGCCAGGCGGCGTCGCTGGAGACAATCGCCGAGGACAGCCAATGTTTCGGCGACTCCGATGGCGCGAGCGCTGTCTCCTCCCACCAGTGATCAATAAGTTCTCGCTTGCACCCCCTCCTCTTTTTGCGATGTTGTGTTTTGGCTGCGTGCCCAATCGTCTTTCCTGTTGTCGCGATCTGCGTCTCTCGCAAGTCCCATCCCTGCTTCTGGCGGGTCCAGGTGTGCCGTTCTCTGGAGCAGTTCTTCTTGTACAAGTCTTGGAGCACATTTAAATTGTTTTCAAAAAAAGATTAATTTTTTTATAAAATGTAGCCTTTTTTTATTTCTTTTATGATAAGTGATAATTTGAATTTATCGCTAATTTTTGTCATTCCCTCATTATTTTTGCAAATTCTTCTAATAGGTGAATTATAAAAATTTCTAAGAAAAAAATGAATTCCCTGAATTGTGATTTTTTTAACTTATGCAGTGTTTGAAGTAATTTTTGGTGATGCAAGAACTAACGCAAGATTCGTTTAAAATGATTTCGCGAAATGGGCAAAATTATGATTTCTCAAAATGAGTGTTTTATGAACGTAAAATTCTTTTTTCTCGAAAAAGAAAAAAAGAGTTTTTCTTCAAAAATTATTACACTTTTTTTAGATTCATGAACGTCATTTTTTGATACAGAATTTTTGTATGAGAAATCGACATTGTCTTTGAGGATTTCAAATCAGAATTTTCGAAAACGCCATAGCTTCATATGAACTGAAATAAGGCAAAAAAACTGACCAAGAAAAATTCAAAAATTTTTCAGAGCACGCACTGATGATTGGCAAAAATAATTATTAGTTAACTTGAGTATATTTCAATTTATATCGAAGAATGAGAAAATTTTATTCTGGTAGAATCTATTGATTAAATAATAGATATATCTTGCTTTTGAAAAAAATTAACGTGACGTAAAACGAACTATAATGTGTTTTGCGCGAGACGGACATGTTTTGAAAGCACAGCCGAAAAAAAGCTACCATGAAAAAAGTTTCTCCTACCTTTGCTCTACAAATTCAAAAAAAAAACAGCAAAAAAACAGGCCTTCATAACTTGTTCTACACTGCTTAAAGTAATCTAGCACGGAACTAAAAACAAGCTATAACCCACGACAAAAATACATACCTAAGCGAAGCCAATAGATATTCTGCAGTCAGTATTGCCGTTGGTTGGAAACTCATACATACGTTTACAGCTTCCACCTACGAGTTTGTGAAATGGTACTCGGAGGCCGATTCGGTGGTCGCATGTTATGTTTCCAATTCGTCAAGTTGACGTCATGAGAGTGAGGAATGGTTCCGTGTGAACGTCGGATGGTTGTGAACGGCTTCCAAGTTGCGAAGATCCAGAATCCATTCGCAGAGCGTCATTTTTTTTTTTGCAATCTTTCGAAGCTAGGTCTGAAGATTCCTTCAACGTTAAATCACGAAGACACGAGAATAACTATAAAACAGGGAAACAAAAAAATGTTCGGAAAATAAATGAAGAAATACTGAGCTTTGCGTAAATTTAAAGAGGCATATGAAAACATACAGTTGGAGCATGACGAATGAACCGGAAAATTTTATCAATAAACTATTCTCAAACAGTACTTCAAACGCTCCACAAACTTATTCATGCATGATCGTCTGGCACTGGCCGCTTGAGAGAGATTTATCGCATAAAACTCGCTTATATCTATTTTTCATTTTAAAATGGTTACTTAAGTTGAAACTGAACTTCCACGAAAGTGCTTGAAACAGGTCTAGAATGTGAGAAAAGAGACTGATAAATGTTATGAAAATAGAATAAACGTATTTGAAAGAGGTTTTTCAATAGGCAAAAATAAGAGCGCGTGTGTGTGGGTCCTGCACGAACACTAAGAATAACTGACGAGATAAACGCGAGCTCGGTGGCGGTACATTGACTAACTCGCAAAAATGTCGCTTTTTTCTAGGCGCGATCCCGCATGTATCTCGGCGCGACCTCGCATTTTTCTCGGCGCCATCTCGCATTTATCTTGCATTTCGGAAATTTTCAAATTGCGAGAGAAATGCGAGCTCGCGCCTAGAAAAATGCGAGCTCGCGCCCAGACTAATGCGAAACCGGCGCGAGAAAAAAAGCGAGATGTTTGCGAGCTCGTCAATGTACCGCCAGTGTCTCGCGTTTATCTGGCGGTACATTGACGAGCTCGCAAACATCTCGCTTTTTTTCTCGCGCCGGTCTCGCATTTTTCTGGGCGCCAGCTCGCATTTTTCTAGGCGCGAGCTCGCATTTCTCTCGCAATTTGAAAATTTCCGAAGTGCGAGATATATGCGAGATCGCGCCAAGAAAAATGCGAGGTCGCGCCGAGAGAAATGCGAGATCGCGCCTTGAAAAAAGCGAGATGTTTGCGAGCTCGTCAATGTACCGCCACCGACCTCGCTTTTATCTCGTCAGTTATTCTTAGTGTTCTTAGTGTAAATTGCAATTTTTGACGGAACTCTCGTAGGGTTCGCTGTTTGCACAGGGACATTTAAGTTGACGACAAAAAATATTTAAATGGAAAAACTTCTTTTTCAAATTTCACATATAAATCATTTTTTTTTCATTTCTTTTCAAATTATATATTGCTGTCTAACTTTTTATTTCCAAAATATTTATATAAATGAAAAAGTTTTATTGTACCGAAATCCATAAAATTTCTATAACTAAAATAATTTTTTAAAAAAAATCAGTCCCTTTTTTTCTCGAATGATTATATTTCAGGGATATGAAATCTAGATCACAAACCAAGAATGGAGGCGCAACTTCGGTTTCAAACAAAAATGAGAAACGAAATACGACGACCTCAAGAATAAGAAAAGAACCTGGAACGATGAGGAAAGAACTGTAACAGAACTAGGTTTTATTTTTAATTGTTTTAAAAAATTCAGTAAACACAGCTGTGATGAGGAGGAATCATTTTCGAATTCGGATGCTCCCAGCTCGCTGGCCCACTCATCAGCAGCAGAAGAGTCGGGTAAGCTGCTTTTGTATGTTCTTATAAGCTGGGATTAAGTTTTATTCATTCTTGGAATATCTTAACCGCCACTTGCTCATAGAAACCAGGCATATTCGTATTGAAAGAATTCTCTAAATTTTCGAATCCCATTCCTTAGTTCAAAACTATTTTATCGTAGAAAAAGGTCCCAAAAGCTAAATATTGATTCGAAAAAACTTACTTTTCCGGCCTCTATACACGATTAATTTTCACTATTTATTTTTTTCTTCCAATAAAACTCCTTTTTTCTTTCCTGAAACCTTTCAAAAATTTGTTTCCTTTCTTGCATTTAGATTTTTTAAGTTACCTTCTTTCAGTTCGCACGGAACCACTGAAAGGCCGAGAAAACGAATTCAACTCTCTTGTTAGTTGGGTTGACGATAGTATAAGACTGAATCGATCCCTTGGCGTCTATGTGAGTGGATCACCAGGAACTGGTCAGTTGAGACGGATAAATATCATGTTTTCAACGGTATTTTTAAGGAAAGACGGCTACCATTAAGCGAGTCTTGCAATATTTTGAAAGCCGTATCGAAAGCTGTATCGTGAACTGTGCTTCGAGTAGCACAAAGGCAGCCCTCTTCAGAACAATCTTTGATGCCTTGGAATTGAAAGAAAAACCATCGCTGCCAAACTTGCAACGAGCCGTTGAAGAATCGGGCAAATCTTTTGTTTTGGTCCTCGATGAAATTGACCACCTGGCCACACGGTCCAACTCTTTTCTCTACTCTGCGTTTCAATGGCCCTATACGATTTCAACGAGATTCATTGTGATAGGTGAGACCTTTCCCGAAGGTTCGACTTAATTTATGATTGCAGGAATCGCAAACTCGATAGATCTAACTGAAAGAATTCTGTCGAAACTGGTGCTCACCGAATCTCCCAGGCGTATCATTTTCGAGCCTTATACCAAAGAGCAGATTGTGCAAATTTTGACTGCGAAAAGAGAAGGTCTCGGGGTAAATGAGTATTCTCCTGTTCTCTAAGTCATTACATCGCTCAGATAAGTTTGAACGACAAGGCCATCGAGTTGAATGCAAGGAAAGTGGCTGCGATGAGTGGAGACCTCCGTACTGCTCTTCACGTTTTCAATCAGACTAAGTAAGATAATCGCCTAGCTATCCAAAACTCCAGAATAATCTCTATAGGACCCCTCTACGGACCACTTTACCAACCCCTATAAATATCCCTAACCCTTAAAAATTGGTCCCTATATGGGTTTCAGTTAGTGGCCCTATTTGGGGCTTTAACTGTGGCCCCTAGAAGAGCATTCTAGTCGATAATTTTTAAGAACTCTATGCGAAGAATCATTTTCACGCGAAAAACTAAATAAATGAGTGTTTTTTGAATAAAAATTGAAAGACCCCTTTAGGGACCACTTAAGCTTTAGGGGCTAAGAGGTCCCTGAACCCCTATCAGTCCCTGAAACCCTATAGGTAACACTTTCTCGGCCCCTATAGGGGCGGTTAATCCCCCTAACCCCTATAGGGATCACTCTAAATTTCCTAAGAAAGTTATGATTTTGAATCCAGGAACTCAAAAGGAAACACGGCTGAACCGTCGAATGGCTGCCGAGAAGTGCTGAGTGTTCTCAACAACGTCTACTCTTCTCCGCTGGCCCGTGCTAGACTTCCTCTACAACCTCGACTTCTACTCGCCGTCTGTTTGACACTGTCGGTCAATAAAAACGTATTTAATGTGATTTTTGACTCTCTGTGTAGGATTAATTCAGAGTTTTCTTGGGAAAGCGGCACTTATGACGGCATACGGAAAAGCCTGTGAAGAGGTACAAGTACCACCGTTGGACGAAGAAGACCTTCTGGCAGCTTTCCGAACTCTCGAGAGCCAGTCTTTCATACGCCAACTTTCCGATGGCAGTCTCGTATTGCAGGTTTGGTAAAAGTATCAATCAACCACACAGAAGTCGGGTAATACAGAAAATATCCTCCTTATAAAAAAAAATGATCTTACAAGAAAGGCCATTTTCACTTTGCGGTTTCAGATTTTCTACAAAAGACTCCAAAAATTCAGATGAAAGTGTTTCCTCATCGTCGTCGTTACCTGCGCAGAATTTTAGTTTCCAAAATATGAATTTTAAAAGTTGCGAAATATGGGTTTTAGACTTAAGTCTCTGAACTTTAAAAATAAATATTTCAAAAAGGTGAATTTTGCGCAGGTTTATATTATTACCTTCACATAGACTATCAGAAAATGTTCAAAAAAATATTGAAAAATTCCAAACCTCAAAGTAAAATGAACTTCCTTGTAGCTTCCTCGATAAATTTTTTTCGTGGTTCTCGTTTTGTCCTCGTTATTCAAAAATTAATGAGGGCTGCTCCAAAAAATATATAAAAACTTTTTTTGGATATTATGCCGTGTTCAATTTGATTCCGCGAAATGCAAAATACCCGTTAGAGAAAGGAAAAAATCACTAAATTTTGGAGAGTCAGAGATCATTTTGCATTTTGCGGAATCAAATTGAAAACGGCATTAGATTTTTCGCCCTCGTTAAAATGTTGCAAAGCAAATGAAAAAAAAAACGTCTCTCTAACTGCTCAAAAATAGTTAACACTGTTTTTTTTTCGTATTTTCTACACTGAATGAGTTATCGTATTCTTTTTGGCTGATGTTCATTCAATAAATTAAGGTGGACGCAGCAACGGCCCGATCGGCAATCAGTGACAAATCAATGCTTGACCAAATCGCCGCTTTGAAATTTTGATTTTTTGTTTCCCAATACCTGCCTGTGAAATATGAATGAATGAACTTTTCAAATTAAGATAGTTTTTTGGCATTGATCAGGTCGTTTTATCCGTTCCTATTACTTCTTAATGTCATCACTACATAGTCTGTTTAGATTTTGAATGTCAAGCAGCAAACCCCGCCCCCAAAAACGCTCGCTGATTGGTTTGATCTACGCATAAGGGGCGGAGTTTAAACGATGACTTGACATTCGAAATCTGAATAGGCTAATGCATTTTTGACACACAGGATGCGCCCGTTGACCGATGAAGAAACCGAAAAGGTTTTCACAAAACTCGCTTCGTTCATCGGAGACAATGTCTCCATGCTGATCGACAGAAGCGACGCCGACTACTGCTTCAGAAATCACAAGGTTCCCAATTACTCTATTGTTCTCCGGGATGTTCGAATCTTGAGGAGCGCGTGTACTATGCCTCTGAAAACTTGATGCGACAAGCGGCATGCATCGCGAGAGAACCTCTTCTTTCCTTCGGCACATGTATCGGCAAATTCACCAAAACCAAGAAATTCCATCTTCACATCACCGCTCTTGATTATTTGGCCCCCTATGCAAAGGTTCAGTTTTAAATTTTTCAAATATATTAAAAATCAAGATAAAAAATATCCTTGGTTTTGGTTTTTTTTTTTCGATCCAAAGGCATTTAAATGGGACGAGTTAAATTTCTAACGCCGAGTTTAAAGTAAATTCCGTAAAATGCAACATTACCTTGGACTCTCCAAATCTAGTTATCTTTTTTCTGACGGCTATTTTGCATTAGCGGGATCACTTTGAACACGTCATAAACGGGGTTGGAAAAATGAGATCAGAAAATTGAAAAAGTGTCATTGTGATTTTTCCGTTATACTCTAGTTTTTGTAAATTAGTTTCCTTTGAAAATAAAAAAAATAAAAAAGCAAAACGATTTCGAAGTTTCCGACTTTTTGTGAATAAATTCAAAAAAATTTGTTATAGTTTTACACATGAAACTTTTCAGTACCGAGTTTGGCTGAAGCCGAACGCAGAGCAGCAGTTTTTGTATGGAAATAACGTTCTGAAGTCTGGAGTCGCGAGAATGACTGAAGGCACTCCTACGCACTCCGGAATCGTGGTTCTGTCAATGAGTGACGTCCCTATAGGGTTTACTTTTACAAACATTTTCAAAATCGAGATTTTGAGGACAATCACAAAGAATGTGTTTGCGAAATCTTCGGAGACATCCTGTTTTCCTTCCTAACGTTTACTCGTTTTACAGGTTTGGTGTCGCCGCAAAAGGAACTATGGACAGCAAAAGAGCGGATCCCACAGCGATAATTGTGCTTCACCAATGCGACCTAGGTGAATATCTCCGAAACGAGAGTACTTTATAATTCCTTCTTTTCACATTGTTATTGTTGTTTTGTTATTTTCCTTGTTATCCTTGTTCATAAATTTCATTGTTGAAAATTCGTATTACACTCTCGAAAAAAGCTGATTTTTTAGTCTAAAAAAAACTTATACAGGTTCTTAGCGACAGGACGAGTTATTTGAGGAACCAGCTTCTGCAGTTCCATCTGAGCATCTTGTCGCGACTTTTCGAAGAACTTCGAAAGTGAGATCATGGAGGGAAAATGGTCAGCGATGGCTTGCGCCCTCGAGTAGGACATCCCAGGGCACACCTGTTTCGAAGAGATTCGAAAAAGATGGAAGAAAAAGCTCTAACCATGAGTTGGCGTACCCAAGCGTCCTTCACTGTTTCTGCCTTCTCCTTTTTGCTCGCCTCTTGCAAGTTCTCGAACGACACGCCAGAAAGCTAAACCAATCAAATAATTTCGTCTATCCATCGCATCCAGAAATAGACCGGCTCTGTATGGTTGTAAAAGGTCACCTGGCTTGTTTCCGCCTTCTTCTGAAGGTAAAGAGAAACAGAGCCCAGAAATTCGGCCGTTTCTCGGGTGTCCGCGCATCTCTGAATGAGAAATCCGCCGTTTGTGAGCGTGGAGGCTAGGGCTTGTTCGGAAGGAGATTCTCCGCGGCTGCTCCCTTCGATCAAGTAGATGCGGTTCTTCATCGGCGCACGGCCCAAACGATCTTTTTGTTCATCGTATCGACCCTCAAGCAGTACTTGAAAACTCAAATCTTTGATTTTTTTGAAATGTCACTGACAAACCGAGGCCTCGAAAAGGCTATGTAGCGAATACCTAGAGTACCGTGCAGTAAGATATACAATTTCATTTTTTTTCGTCATAACTTTTTCAGGAATTTTCCAATTATCGTCAAACTTTTCACAGCTGTTTCCTATGGGTAGTACACAGGCAAAGTCAAAAAGGTTGGCTTCATAGAAATGTTCCTTTTATGGTGACAACGGCTCCTTTTTGCTGACTTTTTGCGCCATTTCACCGACTATTACGCACCATTTGTGCTGCCTCTCCCTTTTTCTACCATTTTTTAAGCTTCTACAAAACGCATCTGAAACCTTGCGAATGCTGCTGTGAAGGTCTTGCCAGGTCTTGCGCTCGACGACCCAGTCCATGACGAGTTCGGAGCCGTCGACCTTCTTGGTCACCCACAAATAGTCGCCGACGGAGAGAGCGCGCATGTCCACCTGAGGTCGTTTATCATTTACGTAACATGGTTTTACTGATTCGCGAAGTGTTCCAATTATCTGGATTTTTTATTTTTTGTTGCCGACGGTTATAAGTTCTTGGTATAACTTTTCAGAAATCTTCGCTGAGAGGTTTGGAAAAAAGAAAAAAAAAAACTAAAAATAAGCAAGGTATCGAGGCTGAGAGCGAGTTTCAAAAGTTTTCGCTAGACCAAATCCTTTTTCATTTTTGAGCTTTGTTTGCAGACATTTTTGCGTGTCTCGACCTTGTCTTGAAGAATTTTTGAAAATTTGTCTCGGTTTTATTGATATCGATAGTACCACAGAGATAACACCTGGTAGCTAAAAAAAAACAACCACTTATCCCAATAGACCCATTGAAAAAACTTCTGCGGTTCGAAAATCCCGAACTGTTTGATTCAAACAACGCCAGCAGCTATATTAGGTATTGGCAAAAACTCTCAGATAGGAAACTCGACATACTTTGTATTTTTATTAAATTGCCAGCTTCTTTTAGTTAGATCCATTATCATTCTGAGCTCTCTTATCACTTCGAAAACCGATAAAAATATGTTATAGTTTTCTCACTCGAATGTGCGCATTGTTCGTCACGAGATGCTCCACAACGGACTTCTTGCGGTTGCTGTTGCGGTGTTCGCGACTGTCCGCAATCAAAACAACCTGTGTTCCTTGGATGTGACGACTTCCGTATGAAATGCTCACCTGTGGCTGTTCATATGGATGACAAGTGATATGACAAAATCCTTCCTGAGAAGAATCTTGGGATTGTGGCAGGACGCTTGAACTGGTCGGTTCCAACGCCTTCGGGCGAAAGGTCGACTCCGAAACAGGATTCTTCAGAGATGGAGCGACTTTTTTCGCGGGCAGTTCTTTTTCGTCCTGCAATCGGATTATACTCCGAAACGGAATTCGAACGAACTTCTTCGACAAATTCGTCATCGTCCGGGAGGCTTCTGGTCGCTCCAGGAAGCACTGATTCGTGTTTCCTTTTCTTCTTTCTCGGTTTCAGAAGATCTTCCAATAGTTTATCCAAAAACTGTGCGTTGTGAGAAAGCAACTGGAGACAACTCACCAAAATTCAGTTTTTTGACCTCAGCTAGAGTGAATTCTCGACCATTTTGCTCGCAGGCCAGTAACCAGGCTTCTTCGCATTTTACAGCAATATTTTCACCTATTCCTGGAAATGATTTTCGAGTTGCTAATAAAGTTTAGTTTGACAAACTAAACTTTATTAGCAACTCGAAAAAAATTGACAAGTGTGTTTCTTTATGAAAATCCTGTGTGAAAAGCCTTCACACAAAATTTCAGAAAGCGTTTGGGTAAGTTGGAACAAAAAGTAACAAAAACGCTGTCGCTGAACCTCGATGTTTCAGAGGTAAAACCTTCAATCGCTTTCAAATCGACGATGCTTTGGACATCGAAAGGCGAGTTCTTAAGATTATGGAGCGCTTTGTAGAGCACATAATTCTGCTTGCGGTCTTCGATCGTATCTTTGAATGCTGATAAAAATCTGAAAAAGAAGGGGTTTTTAAACTAATTGTTTTTCAACCTCTCATAAAAATATTTCTTCTTGTGCTGTACTTTTATCGTGACACGCGACGACATCCCTGAACAAGAGTTTAATTGAATTCAGTAGAGCATCAATTATTTGTCAACTAGTTCCAGAACTCTTTTTTTCATGAAATAGAGTGATAAAATATAAACACTTTATTTAATGGTACTCTGAATACCTAGGACAAAAAGCTGTTTAGAAACAGAAGAAAAAAAAAACAATTGAAAAACAGAATCATGGCATAAGGATAAATGAGACATGAATGGACAAATTGGGCAAAAATTCTGAAAAAGAGAAAAAAATATTAAAAATTTAATAGCATAGCAAAAACACGCCTAAAGTGAGATCACAATTGAAAATCTAACCGAAAACATATAATAAAATCGAGAAATTGGTACGCTTCCTAAATTTTTTTTCTAATAGTTCATAACAATAAGAATAGAGCTGGAAATCGTTCGTTAGCTTTTAAAAAGCATCTCGATTCCAAAAAAAAATAATCATTTGAATAAACAAGCACATACGCGTAAGGAACAAACCCGAAAGTGTCAACTGGGAAAGAGAGCAAAAATTTTTTTCACTTGTATCCTTTCCAGAGGTCGGCTACGCCAGTTTTCAGTTTCCTTTCCATCAAGGTTTCTGTGTATTTTTTCACCTGAAAAATTAAATCATTATATCGATAAATTAAGAAGTCTACGGGAAATTAGTTATCACGGTTTCTGAAGGTCATAAAATCCAAAATACAGATTAAACCTTCGGAATTTCACTTAAACTTGCAATTTTCCTTCTTCATTACGCCTTCTGTGAATGTCATAATCAGCTCATGTTAAAATAAGAATCTCGACCAAATCCTCAATATATTCAGCGAAACTACATGAAATCAATTTTGAAAAACTACAGCTTCTCTAATGCCGTGTTCAAAGTAATTTCCGCGAAATGCAAAATGATCTCTGACTCTCCAAAATTTAGTGATCTTTTCCTTTCTCTGACAGCTATTTTGAATTTTGCGGAAATTACTTTGAACACGGCATAAACGAATTTCACAGAGAAAAAAAGATAAATTTTTTTAGCCTAATGCATTTTTTTTCGAACATTCGTCGACCTTTAGTGAAGTTTTAAGCACAGTTCCAGAAATCTCTTGTCGGAAGCTTTTTTCCTGACAACCCTTCACATTAGAAGAAAAAGAAAACCCAAGAGAGTTTTCAAATTTATACATTCTTATACTCTTCATTTTTTTTTTTCTCGATGTTGTTCTTGTGAGGAAAATCAAAAAACTTGATTTTATTTGATCTGTAAGATTTCTTTCTTTTGTTTTGAGTTTGAAATTTCATTTTTATGAAAAGAAAAAATTCCTGTAAACAGATTTCTTAACGAACAAAACAAAAAGCAAACCATTTTATAAGAAGTATCATTCAGCTTATAATCGAAATCGGAGCGAGAGCTCTCCCGCTTGTACATCTCTTTGACGAGCTGAAAACTGGCGGTTTTCAATGGATCTATGGTGAATCCACTCACAAGTTTAACAAGCCAGACGATTTTCGGCGGCGTCGCGTCAGGAATTTTTTCGAGATTTTTCTTCACGATTGGTTTGATCACCTTCTCGAGGTTCAGCTTGAACGCCTTCAAAAGGAAAGCTTAGTATAATTAGTCTTTGAAAGTTTGGAAAAAAAGGGCGAAAGAACTCTAAAATATATGGCTCAGAAAATAGAAATGTATGTTCATAGGCAAAGTCGGAAGGGTCAAAAAAGGCTCTATAGATATGTTTTTAGGGTGACAAAAAGCTCTTTTTTTTTTGCTGCCTTTTTGCGCCATTTCATCGGCTCTTATGCACCATTTTTGGTGTCTCTCCCTTTTTTCACTATTTCTTGAGCCTTTAAAATCCCAGAAAAAATAGAATGCTCGATAAAGGGACTATTTTTGGTGGACTAACCCATATTTTCGACCCCTGATGACTAGGTTACGAGATTGCCGATACATTTATATAAGCAGAGGTTAAAAAAAGCTTAATGAAAAAGTTTGATAGCATTGCGGCAACCTCTAAAATGATGACTTTATGATAAAACACGAACAATAAACACTTTTCCCCATGAAAAAAAACCTTGGAAGCGGCTTCGACGGCTCTCTTGCGGCCCTCCTCGTCCTCGGCCATCTGCTGGACACGCTGCCTGGCCGCTTCTCGGTCAGCTTCTTCCTTGGCGCGCTGGACGAGCTCCGCCTCCGTCTGCGTGTAGAGTACCTGTTTGGCCCTCGAACTCAGGGGCACGTCGCTCTTCGAGTCTGACTGAAACAGCGAGGTTGAAAAAACATTTTGAAGTCTTTTTACGACATCATTTTCTTCGCCGTAGTCCTCCTTGGCGGTCGTATCGCAAACTGGGGGCGGAGTCCGATCATTCGGATCAAGTTCGCCCTGATCTCCACGTGGTGGATCCCATTGTGTTTCTTTTGTGACCTGTAATATTCAAATACATTTTACGATTACTCCGCTCGATTTTGGTTGAAACAAAAATAAAAAGGTAATCAATACATGTATGCATGTAGTTAGAAACGGTTGCTCTGGCGTAAAATTTCAAAACTGCGGCTCACTTCATTAAATGATTTTTTTTAAAACAAATTTCTTTAATAAAAACCCATACAAATGAAGAAAATTAAAATTTCTGTCCGCAAAAAAATGCGTAATTCAATAGTTTTTACTTCGATTAAAATGATAGCGCGATAAAAAAATTTTTTTAATAAATGGAACAGACGCATCCTGAGGATGGAGAGCTTCACAAAAAAATAGAAATGGAAGATAATAATTATATTTTTATTCTGAAGAATCTAAAAAGCAAAAAAATTTTATTGAAAGAGCGTAAAACTACACGGAGAAACGTCTCTTATAACTGCGCGACAGTTGCGCTAAGCCACGCCCACTAGCCACCCTCTCCAGCCTTTTTTAAACGCCGTGTTGGACTGAATTTTTCATGCTCGGGCAAAGTCGGAATGGTGGATGATGACCGCTAAAAGGGAGAGGCTCAAAAAAAGCAGCAAAAATAGCCTCTTTATCGAGCCTTTCATTTTTTCTAGAACTTAAAAGGCTCAAGGAATTGTGGAAAGCAAAAATGGTGCATAATAGCCAATGAAATAATGCAAAAAGGCAGCAAAAAAGGAACCAATGTCACCCTAAAAGTAAAACTTCTATAGAGCTTTTTTCTACCCTTTCCGACTTTGTCTATCTATGCGCACTGAGAAAATCAAAAGCAGTTAAAAATTGCATTTTTTAAATTGAAAACATCTCTCGACCCGTTTTGTCCTTGACTTTATCAGAAACTATCCGAGAAAAAAAAAGGGAATTCGTACCTTGTTGTAATAATAAGTCTCGCCCGTCGCACAAAGCGCCTTGGCCCAAACGTATTTGGATGGAGGCGGCGGAGGTTCAATCTACAGAAAATCTGACTTTAAAAAAGCAAAGGATTAAAAAACCTTGATTGTTATGGAAGACTGTTTCCGCGCTTCTTCCAATTTCTTCTCTTCTTTGATTTTCGAGACACATTCTTCCTTCAGAACGATTTTTTTGTGAAGCATGTGCAGCTCTTTGTTCAGAACTTCCAGGCGCTCTCTGAGAGTTTCTTTATGATTTTTATTGATATCTCAACCAACTTCAAGTCTTCGAGAGGCATGCTGTCGTAGAGCGTGCCCAGGTCTTCGAGCTTTGGCAAAGAAAACTTGGTGAGCGGCGGCGATTCCTTGGGGGTGGAGGGGTTTCGCTCCCGGCCGCCGACCGCTCTCGAGAGCATCTGATGGTGCTCCATCGGATGGTAGCCGTTCATCTGCGGATAGTAGCCGTAGGACATGTGCATGTTTGGCGCACACCAGTCGTTGTACATCTCTGAACAAAAGTCGTTTGGTCCAAGCAACCCATGGGCAACTCATTTTGTCCAGGAGGAGGAGTTGGTTTACAAAAATTGAACAAAAGACCGAGTAAAAATTATTTCTAAGCTCAGGTTGGTAGTGTAGCAAACGAAAAGGACAAATGAAAATTGAAAATTTAGGATTTAATCCAAGTTCAACTTACCATAAGGATGCATGGGAGTCGGGTAATGCGGAACAGGGATCATTCCATTAGTCTGATGGCCTAGGTGGGGATGAATCGCAGGCGTGGGGAGCTCCCGCGGAGCCGGAGGCTTCTGGTAGACGGCTTGGGGTGGCGGGGGCGCCTTGTCTCCGAAAGAACACGAAGAAGACGGCGGAGTCGGCCTCTTAAATCTCGCTATTTGTCGGAATGTCTCAAACAATTGGGAGGACTTCCAGAGCTTCAGGACTTTTGGCGCGCACGCTTTTGCGATGTCGATCTGTCGGGAACTCCTCGGTGCGCTTTCTTTTGGGAGAGCAACTTCGCGTGCGCGATCTGCTCCGCTGCCTATAGTCCGACCTATCTGAAAAGTGGAAGATTAAGTTCAAAAACACGCTGAAAAAAACTGACAGTATGGTCGTTTGTAGGAGTACTGCTGCCTAGGGAAGAAGTTGTATGAATAATTGCCGTTGTAGCGTCGGTTCTTCCAGTAGCCGTCGTTTTCCTGCACCGGTGGTGAGAAATCTTTCTCCTTCTCTTTTTCTGGTTCCCGGATCTGAGTTTCAGAATCAAAAGAGCAAGGGAAATGCGGACTCACTTTTTTCGGGATACGGAAGTTGACAGAGCGATTGAACCAATGATTGTTCAAGCGGACAGTCATGATTTGAAACCGTTCATAGTTGGTTTGGATTTCTGCCTAAAACTTTTTGAGGGTTCAGTAGGTTCTCAGGATTGTATCACCGCAATCGTTTTCGCGTGTTCTTCGTAAGGACGGGATTGATCAGAAACGGCAGAAATGAGAGATTCTCCCACACATTGCACCTCCACCAGCGGAGGCACATCGGGACACTTGGCCAGGGCGCTCACAAGCGATAGCAACTCTTGATCCGCGCGCTACAAACGTAAAAATTGAAAGATATATTACAGAAAAAAAAAAATGGAAAATTTCTAGAATCATTGTTACTTTTATTCTACAGATTTCAAATCATTCATGAATTTTCGTAAAGGCTGGAAAAATCGATGAAAGACATTTTTCTTTTTTGATGCCGTGTTCCCAGTGAATCCGCGAAATTTCAAACAGCCGTCAGAGAGTGAAAAAGATAACTAGTTTTTGGAGAGTCAGTGAAAATTTTGCATTCTATTATGAAAAGCATGAAGCTGTCTCTTCTTTTTCCACTATTTCTTAAGCTTTTAAAACCCCGGAAAAAAAAATGGAAGGTTTGATAAAGGGGCTCTTTTTTCTGCCTTTCTGAGGCCTTTTTGCGGCCTTTTTTGAGCCTCTTCCTTTTAACGGCCATTATCCACCATTCCGACTTTGCCCCAGCCGTTTTTTTTTTTCAATTTGCAAAGTCATATATTACTCTATTTTTTCTTGAGATCCGTTTCTTCAACCCATAACAATTCTTTTCGAGTCAACGTACAGCCGATGGAAGAAAGGCGTCGTTGTGGAGGACTTGCATGATCTTCTGCTTGAGCTTCAACGACGGGACCGAGAAATCGTCGTGGGTGAGCCAAGAAACGAGGAGACGAGTCATGCCGCTGCTCGCGTACATCAGCTGCGTTTGTAGCGGCTACAATCCAAGGTCACCAAAATACTCCCTCAAAACAAAGCTACCGAGTCTGACGAGAAAATTTTTTCGATGAAAGCCATCTTCTGATCGTAATCCACCATGTAACTCTGCAATTTCATTCTGGATGATAGTTCTATGGAGACAAGGAAAAATGGAGTCGGGGAGGTCAAAATTAAGTGATGATTTTTTTTCAATGATTTCTATCAAAGAAAACATGAAAACGAACCGCCAACTGCATAATTTTGTGCGAGTGTTTTTTATTATTGAAAATCAGGCTGTCGAATCGGCTCTGTATCTCTTCCTTCAGTTCATCGGGTTGCATAGAAGAAATCTGGAAAAATCTATGCAATAAAAATAAGTTTGCAAACAAAGTTTTATTTCAACTATTCCCCAATCAAAAGTTTGAAAAATACACTTTTTTTCCTACATTGTCTTCGATCCAACAAAGGGAGGTCATTTTGGCTTTGCGGTTGGGATTCCTTTGGAAATTGGCCAAAACGCTCTTTGATGTACTAGAAGATGATTCTAGAAGTCTCAACCCGCACAACTTCCTCGTTTATGATAAAAGACGCTTTAAAGTCAAAGAAAACCCTTAAAATCCATAAAAAAAATGTTATTTTGAGGTTTTAAGCAGATATTTCTCGAAAAGCTAGGAAGTTTTACACGTTAAGACTTTCAGGATCTTCATGTGGTATGTCAAGAAGAGTTTTGGCCAATTTTCAGGCTACCCCCAACCGCAAAGTAAAATGTCCTCCCCTATAAGAAAGTGATTTATGAGTCTTTTTACATGAGGTTTCACATTAGCTAAACTGTCATGAAGGATAGTATCTTATAAAAAAAAGGTTCAAAAGAAATACCTTGTTGAAGAAGCTATCTCCGCTCTCGAGCTCTTCTTCGTCGGTTTCCACCTCTTCTTCTTCTTCTTCTTCCGAATCAGAATCACCCTCCGGTCTCGTGCCGATCCAGCCATTGCACGAAGGCGCTCCACAATGACACTTTTGAGCGTCTCTTCTGAATTTAAGCAGTTGAACAAGTTCCATTCGCTTATCCGAACCCGTAGTTCACGAAACGGTAGTCGAACGTGATCTCTTCGCCGACCGCGATGTCTCTTGTCGAGAAAAACCCGATTCTACTCACATCTCCTGGCGTTTTCGGAACGGACCACTGAATTTGTTACATGATTGAATCTCATCTAAATTGACATATTCTGAGGCTTGATTTGCACTGAATTATATTGAATAAGTTAATTGTACAAGGTGAACAGGTTGGATTAAGATCTCCTGGGTTAAAAACCACTTTTTTCACAAAAATTGTTTAACGACTATTCTAACCTCCAGATACCTGGCAAAACTGCGAAAAAATTTTCCAGGAAGTTCTTCTTTCAGTGGAAAAAAACACTGAATCTTTTTGAACATGAAACGTTCCTCATGAGTACAAAAAGGTTAGAAATTTGAAAATTCGGATCACCATTGACTTGGGGTGCAAAAATGTGACCGTTTTCTGTTCAAATTCGAGCTAACTCGACTTTTTTAATAACATTATCACTATAACATCGACAAATTTCCCATGAAAAATGATGAGAAAATAACAGCTGTTCCAAAAAAACCGGAAAAAAATGAATTTGAGGAAATTCTGGCTGGATATATGAAAATTTGGAAGGGAAATTAAACTTTTTTTGGTAAAAATTAAGATTTTAGTTAGTTTTTTTTTTTTGATGAGAATTCTATTTATCGAATAAAACTTCCCATGTATTGATTAAAAGAAGATTTTCAAGAAACTTTCGAAAATCGATTTTTATTTTAAATAACAAGTGGATTATAGTCCGTTCACCGGGACTTAACAGTTTTCGAGGGTCTGCGTCTCTCGTTTCCCCACCGGCGAGGTCAGATAAGCATGAAAATAGAGCTTTAAAATAAGAGGGTCGTCGAGAAGTCCCGCTCTATCAATTCGCGAAAATTTGACTATATTTCCATTGCATCGAATTCAATGACTGAATCAAAAGAGCACCTTTTCACAGACGGCGTTCGGCTCGCAGCTGTGGTTGATGAACCGAGATATGTTGCCTTTTTTCGTCGCATCGATCGTGTAAATACCAGCGTCGCAAAGGTAGTGATGCTGGTGACTTTTGTCGCTGGCGTACTTTTCTTTCCGTTTCTCATAGTCATCCTTGTCCAGCACCTCGCCGATGTACTCGATGATGAAGACCCCTCTGAAAAAATGGCATAATTAAGAATCATTTTTTGAAAAAGCTTACTTTTTAATGTCCTTCGTCGCTCTCAAGCCGAACCCTTTAGGCGTCCCCGTGTGAAAAGCTTCGACAGGTGCATAATTTTTCTGAAACGGGATTCTAAGGCAAATCGATACAGCAGCGACACCTTTTTGAATCTACGATTTTTACATCCGGGAACGCATCCACTCGGACATTCCGTCGACATAGAGGCGTTTACACAACTCTGGTCGGAACAATCGGCTCCAGAGTCTCGGCAAAAGCAGCTGGAAACGGCAAAAAGTAACAACATGGTAAAAACATTCAAACTCACAGTAGGGACTCAGTTTTCTTCTTTGTTGCGTTCTTCGTGAGGTAGATGCATTCGCTGATTTTTTCGAAAGGTGGCATTTGAACGTCAAAAGTTTTTTTGTCCAATGGTTTTTCTTCGTGATCCGAGCCGTCTCCTGGCTTGGACAAGCTTCCAGTTTTTGTTTGAAGGTTGACGTGGTTTCTTTTGTCTTTATCATCCTTTTCGGAATCGCGATCTTTCTTTTTAATATACTTTCTTTTTTCTCTGCTGAGATTATCCATTTTTGTTGAGTCGTCTTGTGCATTGTCGTCTGACAGCTTACTTTCCTCTTCCCTCTTTGGAGGTTCCTTCGTCTTAAAAATAATGAATTAGTTAGGAAAATAATGAAAGATTCAGTAAGGAACGCTTTCTGGAGTATCAAAACTAGCGATCTGGAGTGTTTAAAAAAGTTGCTGTTCAGATTCAAATGTACGCATTTTTTCTGTGGGATTTTTAGAGGCTCCGTCTCTTTTGAACGCCTCAGCAAGCGTTTTAAAATCAAACAACCCATTAAAAACCTACATTGTTGAGGCGAAGCGCTTCAGAAAGTTCGGCGACGGGATCTGATGCAACTGCACAGATGGGCGTAGCCAACTTTAGCAAATTTTTCTGGTTCTCCGAAAAGGAGGACAGCTTTGGGAGGACGACACTCGGCGGAGGGACATTCAACGCCGGACTTCCGAGCTTCGAGATGCGAGACTTGGTGGGACTTGTCGAAGAGATCGTCGGCGAAAACATGGGCGGTCGGAGTTCAATTGTTGGCGGTGCCATCGGAGCTGGAGTATTGGCTGGAACGTAGCCTTTCTGTTGAGAAAAGACGCTCGCGGCAGGATGGAAGCAAGATATTCGTATGGGACTGGGTTCTGGTTTCTTGGAAGCTGCTAGTTCGACTTGGAGTCTCGCTAGCTCTTGTTTCAGTCGGTCTCTCTTCTGGACTCTGAAAAAAAAAAATTTTTGGAAGATATTTTACTTATATCTCTTCTTTTTGGCAGGAATCTGCATTTGCTTTCCACAAAAAAAGAGTAAATATTAATTTAAAAAAATCAAATTTTTCTGAAAACCTTTATTTCATGGAGCAAATCAACTTACTCTGCCGCGTCGTCAGCAACCTCCGATTGCTTTTTGGCCCCCTCGGCAGGTTCTTCGTCCGACACCTCCATGTCGACTTCCTGAAATGTTTTCTGTCGAATTATGTGAATCTCATCGAATAGTTAAGTAAGTTTAGAAAGTTCCGAACGCACCATTTGGTCATCTTCATTATCTTCTTTTTTCAAGTTGCTTTCTGCGACTTCGGGCAATCTTTGTACTTCATCAATATTGCTCAAATTTTCGAGATCCTGAAAAATATCAAGTTTTTTTTTTTGTTTTGTCAACTCTTGAGAACTTTTCAAAAGGAAAAAAGTGAACCTTTTCATTTTTACATGCGCTGGTCATATCTTCCTCTGGCGAAGGGGCTTTTTGCTCAAGTTTGATATCTGTAGAGGGATTTGAGTCGTCACAAAGAGGTTCTTCGGCGACATCATCGGCTACAGGAGAAGGCGTAGATTCTTTTATAATATCAGTTCCGCTAGACGAAGGGATGTTCATATCACAGTCCTGAACTATTCTAATGAAGCTGTAGAAATGAGGAAACTCGCATCCGGCGTCGGAATTCGAACAGGTTCTGTTGGTGGCTCTTCTTTGACCGCGTCGCCGATAGATTCACTACTGATCGTCAAAACTTCTTCAGATTTTTCTTCTTTTTCGACCGGTATTTCTTCAGAATCATCTTTTTTTTCGGTCATATTTTCCTCTAATTCTTTTATATTTTTCTCGGGTTCCGCCAATACTTCGACTTCTTTAGAAGTGTCTAAAAACGAAGAAATCAAAAATTAAAACTATTGTTCTCACCAGAAAAGCTGACATTAGGCGACTCGTCGAGAGTCGTGTCTTGTGAGCTTGACGCTTTCTTACGGCCGCGTCTTCGCACAGCCGGCAGGGACAATAAAACAGGACTACCTTTAATCGGGGAATCTTCTCCCTTTTTGCTACGGGTCTGCACCATTGGACTGAAAATCTCCAGTTACAATTGCACTTTCGGAGGAACTTTAAAAAATAAGGCGATACCAAACGATAAACTCGAGAAAAAAATTGAAAGAAGCGTGGGTGGAACGCACGAAATATGCTAGCGGGAAACAACCGCGAGCGTCGGCCTTCGTAAAATATCGACAGTTTCATTATTTTTTATCTCGAACCTGTGAAAAAAAAAAACAATGAGCGTGAAGAATAAAGACACACATATCAGAGTCTGTTTTAACAAAAAAAAAATGGAAAAAAAAGAAACCAATCCGTAGAATCATCGATGAATAAAGAATGAAAAAATCTTAAAATAATTAATAAAGTATAGAGTATTTTCAGAGACCATATTTAAACCTGAAAGACGGAAAAAAGAGAACAAATATATACACAAAAAAGCTACTTTTTTTGAGATTTTTTTGCGGGTGGGCGTGGGCGACGCAACGAGCTGAACCGTGTTGGTGTGCGACGGCGCGTTTTCTGCTTTCCCAGAATCATTCGAAACCTTGGCTGTCAACAGCGCTTTTTCTGTCTTCAACGTCGTCAAAGAACAAGAAACAACCTTAAAATATGATGGTTTTTTTAACGCAAGCCTAGTTTGGATCGAAAAATTTCGTATTCTTTTTTTACAACTATAGCCGATTATTCACCACTTCAGAGCGGAAAAATCGAGTGCCAAAATAAACTATTAATAAAAAAATTTTTGCTCCGCAAAATAACAAAAAAACCAAGTATTTCGTTATAATATATATATTCACGTTGAACTGACTTGAATGTTTAAAAAAACCGTTATTTGAAAAAAATAAAAGAAATAAATCGGAAAAAAATCAGCTAAAGTCACCAGCCGTTCAAGATATAACGCGATCCGTAAAAAATAAGCGAATTCTGAGCTTTTTATTAAACTGAAATGAGCGTTGGAACAGATCGATCGAATGAATTTGATTTATAGAGATTTCGAATCACATTTTGGCTCGGATACGAAAAAAAATCTGTTTCATTCGGGGATGAAACGACTATTTTTTTATAACAGAAATACCGCTAATTAAAGTCCAGTTCAAAAATTTCAATTTTTTTAAATATTGAAGTTCTCGTTATCAGAAGAGCGCGTTTGGCAAGATCTGAAAGCTTGATAGCAGACTTGTGCGTCAGGCTGGGCGGCCCGAGAATCGGATTTCATTATTTTGCGAAAAAAAAAGCCTGGGCGGGTTTGGGACAGACCAGGCTTTGAAAAAAACAAAATATATCGAAAAAAATATTTTCATCTTAACCCTGAATTTTTTTGAGACCAAAAAAGTTTTTGATACTGAAATCATAGTTTCTGTTCAATTTTTGGTTAGAAAAAGTACCAAAATGTGATTTCGGCCGTAAAAAAATGGATATTTGGACTTGAATAAAATTTGCGCTTTTTGGGTTGGGATCAGAGAATGATCGAAGGTTGATAGGCTAACGGGCCCTCGCACAAGCCTGCTTCATAATTTTGATCACGAAAAATGCCTTTTCAAGCGAAATTTGGAAAAAAGTTTGGAATTATAGTTTACTGAATCCGGTTGTTCGATAATGCTCAAAAAGTCCTTGCTCCTTGCTATTTTTCAAAAAAAATATATATATATTTCGAGAATAAATCAAACCTCTAATCGGTCGCCATCTTCTTTTAAAATGATGTTCGTCCCGAGCACTTCTTGCCAAGTTCCCGAATAAAGAGAATTGTTCACCTTAAAACGAGACTACGAATTAATCTACTTTCTCGCGCACCTGAAAAACGGGGTTCTGCGTTTCTGCAAATCTTAGCGAGACCTGATTGTCTTTGACAGCATTCCGGACCAACTGCGCATCCAAAATACCATTCACCTGAACTCTTCCTCTTTGAAATTTATTTTTTTCACGTATCAGTACCATGACGACCATCGTCTGCTCTTCCCATTCGTCATCGCTCGATGAGTTTCTGTTTTCCATATCTAAACTATGTATGAGTGATTGCTCAGTAAATTACTTCATATTGGAAACCGCATTTCGGATCAACAAGTAAATGGGAGCCAATTAAATAAAAATGTATTTATTTTCCCAGAGCTGAAATATTTACAAAAGACACCAGAGACCCATTAGATTTTTTCATCACAAATATTTTACGAGTACACTATAATTGTTTTAAAAGGTCCAAAATGATGGGATAAGAAGGGACATAGGTAGTTTCACGCAACGAAGTCACAGAAGAAGCGTAAGAGTTGAGGAGGCCGCTGAGAAGATCCAAAATCTCGACTTCTCCGTGCTCCTCGAACCACGTGATGTACTCTTGTACAGTCCATCCGACGCTTTGGGGAGGGGAGAGCAGGTTTGCGGGGCTGTCCGCAATCAACAAATGGATCAGGATCGACTTTCGGACTCCAGCTCTATTTTGCAAGTAGTCGTAGGGTTCGGCAGAGAAGAGATCGAGCAATGAGTTCCTATCGCCATAACGTGAAGACCATTCAAGTTCGTTGATGGCTTCCAAAAGTCTGAAAATGATGGATATATATGCTCCTAAAAGGAAGGTATTTTACTTTACGGTTCGGAATTTCCTGAAAATTTACCAGTTTATTTCTTGCTGAGATCTTGAAACCGGAAAGTCTCAACATGCACAACTTCCTTTCGATGAAAGTGCCAAAATGGCGTATTTTAATGGATTTTTGGGTTTTCTCTGACTTTGAGGTGACCTTTTTCAAAAACTAAAAAGATTTGAAAACTGAAATTTTCAGGATTTTTTTCTGGTACAGCAAGGAGTGTTATGGGCAATTTCCAGGAAACTTAAACAAAAATGACCTTTCTGGCAAGATCATCCTTCAGAGTGAATGTCCTAACACGGTTTGATAGGGTTTTAAAAAGTCGTAAACTTTGAAAATTATTTTTTTCATTTTCTTCTCGAAAACCTCGACAAATCAGCTTGGATCGAGAGACGGTGAGGAGTCGCGAATGTTCTGACGAGAGAAGCATTCAGCAAGAAGCAATCGATGACGTAGTCCGTGACGTTGGAAATTATTTCTACATGGCGTCCAGCTTTCGAGAAATGTGCTAGATGCATATCTACACGCGAAATGTAGTCGACGAGTTCCTGTGTTAAAACTGCGACTGGTGGAATCAGTATCGAAACAAACTTGCATATATGGCGAAGTTTTGGTTCCAAAGGTTTCCGAGTGCATTCGAACGAGGATCGCAGCAACGGATTTTTTAATCTCTCCCAGCACCGCTTCCAGAACTTCTGATTGGAAACTTTTCAAAGATTTGGAAGACTCAGGCCATCTCTTCATCAGTCCATCTGCTATCAGGATCAAACGATAGTTCACGAGCTGACCTCCGCTCAAACGATCGCCTAAAGTGAACGTTCTTCTTGAAAATTTCTTACAATAGATCTCGTTTACGCTTCAAAAGCTTCAAATAGCGCTTTTTTGTCATGATTTGCGTATTTTACGGATTTCGAAGGGGGTAAAAACGTTCCCTAGTGGGATGGAGACAAAAATAAAATCGAAAATAGCTCTTTTTGTCTACTTCTTCCTATAAATGAGAAATTTTGAAACTTTTTGTGAAGTTTTCTACGTTTGTGTGACTATTCTCAGTTTTTCTACAAGACATAAATGTGACAAAATTGAGCTTTATGCTAGTTCATTTATCTTTCGAGAACTCGTCTTCTTAATTATTGACGTCGGTCGACTTCTCTCCTATAGCAGAAAACTGTTCACGCATTTAAAATAGAACTAATGAACATATATGTTTCCGTTTAGAATGTTTTCATTAAAAAAAATAGATGATTGCTAAACCGACAAGAATAACTTTCCCTTCTCAACATCAAAAAAACGCTACTAGAACTCAAACATAATATATTTTTGAATAAAAATGATCGAACCGATAAGTAAGTCGTTGGGTTGAAGGTGAAGGTTGCACTCCAACTTTTTGGCCACCATTTCGAGGCACTTTTCCACGTTTCCTCGCATTTTGCTGGCAAGTTCCACGTCCCAGTCGGCTTTTGTCAGTTCCTCGTCGATAGCCGCATTCAACTGTAAGAAAAGACATCTAGACGCGTTGACGCTGTGCAAACCAAGTCGACGAAGGCGTTCGCGTGAGAGAGCTCGAAATCGTTGTCGTCGATAATTTGGTGGAGACGAGCCAAAGAATGGGCGAGAAGGGAGTTTTTCAAAGGCCTCAACGAGTCGATCAACGCGTGGAAACTGTTCTCGTTTTTCGATTGGAATATCCTCCCCACTTGCTGCACAAAGCTGTAAAATACACAATTCTTCATTCTTACCAGCTTTGAATGGAAATTCCTGGATTACAACTTTTTTTTTAATTGTAAAAAAAGTTTATTATAATGATTCTAGGAGTGTTTAAAAGATAAAAAAATCAAAAAAATTAGTTTTATATATCTCTTCAATTCAATTCAATTTGTTTATTTTTTTCGCAACATCGGGATGGTATGGTGATGTTGCAGGGAGGGAAAAAGACCACTAGGTGGATTAACTAACCCCACCTGTGAAGAAAAAAAGTTTTTTGTATAAGAAAAGAAACATTTGAACGAAAAAAAGTTATTCTTCTTTCAAAAACATATAAAATAGCAGTTCTTCCCGTAAAGCTGTTTTTGGAATTTTTCTAAATAATGATACGATCTATAGAAATAACTTTTCAATATTTATCTTCCGAATGCACATAACTTTACTGTTATCAACTTTTCTGCGATGAAAAAAATATTCTTTTTCAAAAACTTTGATTCAACTGCAGTTCTGCTAATCTCTTGCGTACAACCCTGACTCTCACAGCGGATATTAAGAAAAAAAAAACAGCAGTTCTATGATGATAACTTTCTTATTGATTCGAAAAAGTGTTTTAGGTTTTAGGTTGGGGAAAAAAATTATAAAAATTTCAATCCCATTTTTTTCAAAAGACACGCATCCAAAAGTTTATATTATTCTTTGGGAACGTTTACCCGTTCTGCAAATATTCATTTAATTCAAAATATTAAAAAAAGGAGAAAACGAACCGATAGGTGAATGGGGGAATCAAGAGGGACACGAGAGCGGATCAATCGAGCGACTCGTTCGGAGAACTTTCTTTGGTAGGACTCATCTAAAATTGACATCTTAACTAGCTTTTCATAAGATTTTTTCTACTGAACACTTCAGGAAACTTTACGGTATTTGAAATATTATCAGGAATGGTTTTTCTGATTTTCGCGCCGTCGCGCAACAGGTTGTTTGCTTGTCTACGGTCCACAGGGTCACAAGTTCGATCCCCGCCTCGACCCAACCAATGGGTTCAAGAAATGTTGGTATAGACGATTCACGGCTAGCTTGGGACGCAAAAAGGCGTGGCCTGTCTGCACTCTCCACCAACCAATGCACTGTCTCGTCTATTTTCGTGGCAGGACCCTTTTCTCGATGGATCAAGCCAGCCGTGAACCAGCTTTAGTTAGAAACCAGAACTTCAAAATTCCCAGCTGTCACACAAAAGGACGGATATGTCACTCGAGCCAATCCACTGATATCAGGAGAAGTCCTCGGCTAATCGACTTGGGGCGCCGACGCCGCTCAAGCGGTACATAGGCGTAGAAAGAAGAATCGATTTCTTACTCAATAAGGCGGTCTGCTCCAAGTGAGTGTGAATGCAGTTGACACAAATTGGCAGAGCGTTTTGGCCGGACTCGGCAGAGGCGGAGAGGTCGATGAGTTTCTTGTCGATTTCCACAACGATTGAAGAAAGCAGGACATCGAGTTCACCTGAGAGCCCTAATTGAAACACGCAAAAACCGAGGTCTCACTTTCCAGAACGCCGAGATTCTTGAGAGCCTGCTGGGCTGACGTCACCAGCGAAGTGTTGAGTGACGAAAGCGCTCTTCGGAGGTCTTCAGAAGCGTTTCTTCGGACCTATCCCCACAGTTTCTTTTTTTTTACAGGGGTTCTCAAAACCTCATTCTCCGTTATTTTCAACTTTGTCTCGACCGCGTTTTTCAGCCAAGCGATTCGTATCAAATCTTTGTTTTCCTCTATGATTTCCTTGAGCTGAAAAAAACGAACGGCTTCATGAATTTCTTGTTTCAAACCTCAAAAATGAACTCAGACTTTTTAACCAACTCGTTTCTCTTTCCGAGTAGGTCGAGTAGCTCATCACATCTATATCAAAAATCAAAAACCAATAAAAAATGAATAAAAGAACCTTTGAGCGTCCGCAACGATATTTTTCCTATGAATTGCTCTCTCGAGTTGTTTTGTATTTTCGCGCGCCTGAGCCACGTGCTCGCCGCAAGTCTCTGCTAGCCTGAATAATTTATTGAGCATAAATTTCAATATTTTAATTGATTTTATATCTTTGTGTAGATGCACAGAAAGCTACAGTGGAAATCTAAAAACCGCAAAACGAACTGATAAAAAGGAGCCAAAGGACAAACTTGGAACATTCGCTGGAAACAACGTGCATACTGGAGCGCAACACGTGGAGCTTGTCTTCTAGAGATTGAAGGATCGGGACTTGCTCGAGCAAACGAGAAAGGTTCACTTCAATCTTCAACCAAATGAAATGCGACTCGATCAAAAAGTACCCCTTTCCGTAGTTGCTTATCCAGCATTTCATTCAGCCCAACAATTTTTTTATTGAGGCCATCAGCAGAAGAAACATTGCACTCCGCAGCTCTGAAGTTCAAATCGTTTCAAAGCCGATGGAGTACTAAACCTTTTCAAGTAGTCCACTTGGTTGGTCTTACCCCACAGATATTCATTCAGATCTTGAGACAAGGAGTCGGTCATCTGCAAGCGTGTAGAAGATTTGTAACATTGAGAAGAACAAGATATCGGAGGAATGGAGAAACCAGAACTCGAAAATGAAACAAACAGAAACAATTAAAATAAATAAAACTTTATTGAAGGCAGCTAGAATTGATCAACAAACAAACATAACAAAAAAACAAGAACTAAGTTTGAACTATTTCTAAAACAAGAAAAAAGAAAACTATTTTTCGAATCCGAAAAAGCTAAGAATATCAGAAAATCAGAGGAATTGTTAGAAAACTTCAGAAGTGAACTTTCACGGCCCATAAGTTCGGCACGGTGAGTTGACTTGAAACAAAGATCTTGTCATATCGACTTCTAACTGACACTGCATATAAACCTAATGTAGCGTAAGGGATTAAAGTTTGGAAAAGGGAAGTTCAAAAGGGTAATTCGATGAAACTTTGTTTCAAGGTACTTTAGAGCTTTCTTGTTTTCCATGTATGGAGCTTCAAAGTTTACAAAATACGCAAATTATGACAGGAGAGTATCATTTTGAGCTTTCAAAGCGTCTCAACTCGAAAACAATATCTATTGCGAGAAATGTTTTTCTTGTCCTGCAATCAGAAGGTCCTGAAGTACACTTCAGCAAAGTTTTATCAAAAGTTCAACCAAAAAACGTTCCCTGGTGAGCAACTTTGGAGGAAACCCTTGAATTTGATTCTTGTTTTGAACGCGGCTTAGAGGAAACACGAATAAAACAACAAACGAAACTAGTTTTCAGCAATTTTCTCTGACGACTTTTTGAGGTTGTGGTTCTCGATGGAGAGGGCGGCCTGGACGTCGGAAACGATTCCGCGAGCAATCGTCGTCTTGGATCGACCTTCGCGCAGAGTGAACGGCATCCCCACTCGCAGTGGCATTTCCTTCATGAGCAGAACTGTGGCCGAGGCGTGCTCGCCGGGCATCAGCATCTCTTGGCTCAGGTCGAACCGGCCTACCTGGGTGAAGGCTGATCTCGGTCCAAAAATGGCTTTGTACCTGATCCCATGTGCTGCAGTACATCTTGTCCGTGAACCCTGTTCTGATGCCCGTTTTTCGGCCGTTTTCAGATTCACTCAGCAAATAAATTTCAGCCTTCACCACATTTGAAATCTTCACCGCGCCAACGTGTCCCATCCACATACCTAAACCGAGAGACTTTACAGATTTTTTACGCAAAGCACGTCCAAAAGTTTCACGTCCAGAAGTAGCTTGTTTAAAGTTGTTTTCTAAAACTTATTATTTTTTTAAGTTCTAGAAAGCTTAAAAACCGATGAAGATTTTTTTTTTTCTTCTGACAAATTCATTCCTGTTAGTTCAGGTATAATGATTTACAATATGAATAGACCTTCAAATGGAATTCAGGTGGTATGAAACAAAAACAAGCGAATTTTCAAAAAGCGACTTTTCCGACTTTTTCAAGTCGGTAGGGAGCTCTCTGACTTTTTGATCAACTTCGTTTTGAATCTTCTCATATAAGATAGCTAATTGATTCATGATTAGTATACAGAAAAAAGGAGACAATGTTGATAGATCTTTTATAAACTGAAATAGGTCAGAAAAAAAATTGCTGATTTTTCTTCCCATACCACCGGAAATTGGTTTTTTTTCAACACCACAGAAACCTCAGTCGTAACATGACTTCAATCAGATCTTTTCATGACAAAATTGATTTATGGATTTTTGTATGTTTGAAGATGTATATAGGATAAGAAATCAGCTGAAGCTCTCACGAAATTTTGTACTACCGTTATCAGAATTTATCTCAGAACCGTCATGAATAACATAAAACCGTTTGAATTCTACGAAAGCTTGTCGCATTATGCCATGAATCAATCGTAAATTGACTACAGAAAAAAATTGAAGAGAGAAAGTTGAACGAACCTCTTTTCACGTGATCGGCTTTGATGCCCCTGCAGAGGACGCCACAATGGTCACCAGCTCGGACCTGAACTGTGTGACTTCATTTCATAAAAATGAATATAAAAATGTCTCACGAAACGCTCGGCAAAGACTATTTCGAAGAAAGAACCAACTTCTTTGACACTTTTTCCAAAAACTTGGATATCTGAAGCCGTCGACTGGAGAGTTTGTCCATCCCCCTTGATCTCCACTTTGTCTCCCTTTTTCAGAATTCCTCGTTCGACAGTGCCGACAACAACAGTCCCTGAAAAACATTCTACGCTCCGGATTGGAAAAATGAATAACCTCTTCCCGTAATTGCTGTTTTCGAAGCTACTGGCATCACTAGAGCTTCACTCTGTAAAAAAATTGAATCGCTTAAAATGCTCATTCTCGCATTTCGACGAAGAGTTAAATCTCATATTTAACTCATTCAAAAACTAAAATTTACTTCGTTTCTGTTGGGAGCGGGAAGTTCGTCGAGCGCGTGAACCAACTTCTCTATGCACTCCATTTGGTTGGCCTCCAGTGCCGCCAAAGCTGAGCCCCGAATAACTGGAGCATTATCGCCTTAAAATAAGACTTTATTTCGAAAACTATTTCAGCCAACTTAAGATCTTCATAATGGTCCCTATAGGGGCTACCTTAGGGTTGCTTTAGAGACCAATCAAGCTTTAGGTGCTAAGGGATCAGCCCCCCAATCCCTATAGAGACCATCTTCATTCTACCTTTTAATGACCACTTTTTAATGACCACTTTCACTTTTTCGGCCCCTATCGCGCCTGTTTTTCCAACCCTATAGTGACCACTCTAGAAGTCCTAATAAGGAATTTTTTTTTAAAAAAGATGTTAGACTCAATTTTATCCGAGTTTATTCAGACTTCACTTTACGATTTCTTCTAATTTTCCGAATTCGAACTTTCAAGGTAATTCATACGCACTCACCGTCAAATCCATGCAAACTGAGAAGTTCTCGAGCCTCTATCTCGACGAGGTCCAAAACATCATCTTCTACAAGATCAGCTTTGTTGATGAAAACAATGATGTTCTTAACGCCAACTTGTTTCGCTAGAATCAAGTGCTCCTAAAAAAAAAGAAAATAATCAGCGTATAACAAAAAAAAATACCTTAGTCTGCTCCATAACTCCGTCAGTAGCGGCAATGACCAGAACTGCAGCATCCATTTGAGAAGTCCCACAAATCATGTTCTGAATGAAAAAAAAAACTGAAGGATAAGAAAAAGGTGACAAACCTTTATGAAATCAGAATGACCAGGACAGTCTGTATGAGAATATCGTCTATTATCACTTTCATAGCCGATATGCGCAATATTGATCGTAATCCCTCTTTTTTTCTCCTCCTTTCCTTTGTCGATTTCGTCAAACTTTACGTGCTTTGCAAAACCTTTACATCAAAATTCAGTACATCTGGTTAATATTTTTCCTAAACCTTTTTTTGCAAGTACTCGAGTTATGGCTGATGTCAAAGTCGTTTTTCCATGATCTATGTGTCCTATCGTGCCAACGTTGAAATTGAGTTTGTTGGAAGTGCTGGCGGCGGCTGTCGCAAAATTATTCGAGAAGAACCCGTACTTCCCATGAATGAACCATGCAATAACTTTGCGCGTCGCTGTGTGTGACCTTCGTATTGATGGAATAACATTCATTCTGCAATAAACTGTGATATAATTTTCATACGCACGCGCTATCAACGCGATAAAAAGACGAGCTAGAAGTTAGATAATAGGAAAACAAAGTATGTAAATTTTCCCTTATATGGACCAAATCGAAACACTATGGCTAATTTTAACCAACATATATGAAGCTTTCTAACAAAATTCTAATTTTAATGCTTCTGCCAGCAAGCAGTGGCCGACTTTTACAACAAATTGCAGTGGAGCGAAGTAAGCTCAAGGCCGCGTTTCTCAAATACGAAATTGCGCAAACTCTTCCTCCAACACGGACACCTTTTTACGGCGTTTTTTTTTCCATATTTTCAGAAGTGGAAAACTTCTCATTTAAAGAATTCTAATCCCGTGTTCAAAGTAATTTCCGCGAAATGCGAAATTGTCTCTGACCCTCCAAAATTTAGTTATCTTTCTCTTTCTCTGACGGCTATTTTGAATTTCGCGGAATCACTTTGAACACGGCATAACCAAAACTTTTTTGCTTTGAAAAATTTTCACGAGCGATGAAAATCTGTCCAATTCCTATGAATGACCACCGAACGCGCTATTGAACTTTTTTTCAAATAATTGCGAGTTTTACATTGCTCACCTTTCTTGAATTCCTACCTAACTATATGTGAATTGAATGAAGGACTGTGTTACACTGCGAATCGGGCCAAAAATCCGTTTTCATCTCTATAAAAGGATATTAATGAAAATGTTAAATAATCTTTGTTTAGAAAAAAACAACAGCTTTTTTTCACAATTTTTAAGTTATAATAATTTTTTTGTTTTTTTATATTTTTTTGAAAAAAAGCAACGGAATGAACTCTGAATTTAAAAAAATTTTTCCAAAAAAACATTTCTCATTTATTTTTAATGTCGTTTTTTTATTGTAAAATTAAAGTGATTACACACAATTATGGAAAACCTTCAACAATTATACTTTAACTGCACTGTTATTTTATTAAAATCGTGGTTTTCCACTGTTTAAATAAAATTCTAAGAAACTTTTTTTCAGATGATTAAACTTTTTTTGAAGTTTTTTCAACTAATAGCAGTTTGTAAAGCCATCGAATTGACTTTCGAATTGCCTGATAACGCCAACCAATGCTTCTATGAAGAGATTCAATCGGGGATAGACTCTGTTTTAGAATTCCAGGTTTGTTTTCAATTTTTATTCCAGTAAAGTTAATTTATTAGATTATTTTTCCTATTGTTTTTTGTATAGGTCGAAAGTATGGATTAGCAATAGCATAAGCCTTTGATTTATTATGAAAAATATAATTTCAGTTCTCAGCTTTTTTTGATCGAAGAAATTATTTTTCAGGTTGTTACTGGCGGTCATTATGATGTGGATATGGCTCTCGAAGATCCCACTGGGAAAGTTTTGTACAAGGACATTAAGAAGCAATATGACAGCTTCTCTTTCAAAACAGAAGTACGTGTATTTTTTTAATTTTGCTTCAAGTTTTACTTCTTTTTTTTTCTAGACACCTGGAACCTATAAGGCATGTTTCTCAAACGAGTTTTCTACGTTCTCGCATAAGATCGTTTATATGGATTGGCAGGTGAGTCAAAAACCTAAATTTTCTGATTTTATTTGGATTATTTCACAGATTGGCGATCCCAATAAACTGAACAAAGCAGTGACATCAGGGTCTCACGCTGTGAGTCAACTTGAAAACTACGCTGTTTCTATTGGAGACAAACTGCGAACGGTAAATTTGATTTACAAAGCTTGCCATTTTTTGGCACATTCTGAGATATTCCATGGGTATCTGAGAATCTTGCTGCGAAAATCTAGCCTTGCAGTAATAGACATAAACTATGAAATATTTTTTTCTAAATTCTCTTTTTTTGTATTAATCATTCTGTCTGAGTACAATATATTTAAGTTCAGCACAGGCTTTCAACCTCGAATAAAAGAAAATAGTTTAAAAATTATTTTAATAAATGGAATTTTTTAATAGGTCGATTTTCCGAAAATTTTCGGCTCGAACTGGAGGTTTGTGAGCACCTTCTAATGAAAGTTCACCTTGATAAATACTCTTATGTGCTATAATAGCCCATTCCGCGCCAGTTTTTCACGATTTCCATCTTTTTCTGAGCTACAGAACCATTCTTTTCGATACGGGCGATATTATCTCTCCCTGTGCTTTTAATATAACTGAAACTTAAGTCCAAATAAAAGCCGCAGACAGAGAAACATGCCTCGCGCTCTGAACGGAATTATTCTCTAGCTCGAAGGGAAACAAAAATCCTGAAAAGCTAGCGCGGGATAGCCTATAACAGAATTATCAGAGGCGTAATTTGATCTCGAAAAAATTTTAAACGGAGAGTTCAAGGTTGATGATTATCAAACGCACCACCGACTCCGCGAGGCTACGGGGCGCAAGAGAGCTGAACAACTAAACGAAAGGGTCATGTTATGGAGTCTCGGGCAAACCGCCGTCATCTTGCTCATTGCAGTTGCTCAGGTTTCAATTTTAAACAAAGAAAGAAGTTAATCATAGCGTAGCAAGTCTTGTGAAACATATATCAGTTGGATTACATCCAATTGATACTACGTTTCAAAGTCACCTGCTGTGGTATGACCTCCGCTCGACTATGAGTTGAGAATCGAGACTCTGCGTGTTGGTAGACCTATGTGAGAGTAGTCGGAATCGGAAATAAAATTCACTAAATCCTACATGACGTCATGGGAGGAGTAAAGTGGGCGTAGAAGATCGTAGAACGATAAAATAAACTATTACTTGGAGGACCACGAGAATATTGACGAATCTAGACGCGTTCTTGGAAAAAGTTCGTTGACCGTTGCGCCCAACAACAAGAATCTCTTTAGATATACCATTATTCAGCAGAACATTTTTGATTTCTCAGATGTCAAAAGAAATGAAAAACTTGTCAAAAGCTTTCCAGAATGTATATGGACTCCGAGCGTGACCATAGTCGCTCTGGAAAAATTTTGAAGTTTTTTTGAAAAAAAATTTCCTCAGTTTTTTGAAGGATTCAGCAGATTTCGATTCCGAATTCACACGCAAAAAGTCTCGATTCTCAATCAGTTGTCGAGAGGAGATCATACTGTAGTTAGGATTAAAAGTTAGGAGAAACCTATACTTTTCCTACAAATGAACAAGTTTCTAATCTGTCGAACTTTGAATTATCTAAATGACTAAAATTAATTTTTAAATTTTTCTAGTTTGGTACTGCCTGGGAAGATTTTGAGAAACTTCTAGTGACCATGATACTTTTTGCAGGTTCTTCTGCTGAAGTCGTTTTTCTCCGATAAACGTTCCCGATATTGAAAAAAAGTACACATATATTGAATTTTCATAAATTTCTGTTTACTTTTCTGCTACTTTTTCTTCTGTTGTTTTTTTTTTCGTGTTGTTTGGTAAACTGGTATGGGTTTTGAATGATAATTTATTTGAATGTACCGTATTTAGAGAGAGTTTCAAAATAAATACATTTTTCTTTTTTTCTCTGAACTAATACAAAAATAAAAATATTTCACCTACTGATTCTTTATTCAACCACTTTTCCATCAAGTTTCATGAAATATTCCTCGAGACGTCGGGAAAGAGCATCGTTTGCGTTAAGCAACAGTTGAATTCCGTTGATCAAGCTCTTCCTTTTCTCCCGATTTCGTTGTGCCTGTTATTTCATTTTTTCGTATAAAAAATCTTGCGATTTCAAAACCTGTTGAGGATCTGTGTCGTCGGTAACAATAACCAACCCGTCGATGTTTTCTAAATGCCTCAAAGCATCTTCACTAAAAATTTTTACGCGTTTTTCCACCCGTTTTGCCATTTCTCTCTGCTTTGACTCTGAAACCAAAAATGGTTTAACAGCCTTGTTGGACTATGAACCTTCTAAATAATTTTTTTCCAACTCTCCGATATCTTTTTCAATGTCATCCAAAGTTTTTCTCAACAGTCCGAGATGTTTGTTTTCATAAGCGACCAAAGAACTGAATCCAGGATCGTCCTAGAAATACCTTCATTTTGGAAATCTTGAAAAACAGCTCACCTTCACAACTTTCCGTCCCCCCATCACTATTATTTTTTCGTTCTCTTTGAAGCCGCAATCGGAAAGTGGATGCGCATCATCCTGGTTCAATATTTTACCTAAATGAAAAATAAACATTCTTCTGATGCATTTAGTGAAAACCTTTGTGAAGAATTTTCATTTTGCTTTTGTCAAAACCACCGTGATTTTCGATGAAATCCCGCAGTTGGCCCATCGTTACTATCGAACCTTCTTCTTCATTCAAAATGTCAATGGGTAAGATAGTTTTACCCGCGGAAATATTAATCTTCATTCTAAAATCGAAAACTTTGAAGGTTATCAATATTTATTGACATGACATATATGATATAGGCAAACCAAGACAATTTTAATAAAATAGTTTTTTTTTTCATCTAAGATGGTTTTCTTTTTCTTCTTAATTTTAAAGTTTTTAGTTAATAGCTCCTTCTGAAAATTAAATTGAAAAAATTACGCCACACCAAAAGGGAGAAAAATTCAATAGCGTTTTTCAAGTGATTTAAAAATTAAAGAGTGAATGATTTTTAAAGTATTCACAATTACCGTCTAACAAATGACTCGTCAATTTCCAATGTTGAAAAATAAATCGAATGCACCGAACAGAAAAAAAAAAACTCAAGAAACAAAGGCACGCAAGAAATTTCGCACGTGAGGAAAATGCGCATCGTTGTCAAATTTTGCTTTTTCAAGTTTGCATGAACTTTATTGCATGCCGTTTAAAACTATGCGAATTCATCCTTTTATGCCGTGTTAAAAGTAAATCCGTGAAATTTCAAATAGCCTTCGAAGAAAGAGAATGATATCTAAATTTTGGAGAGTGTGCATATCGCGGAAACTATAATATATATAAGAAAAACGGAATATACTTTGAACACGGAATTAATTAATTAATTTTTTCGATTATAATGAGTATGAGAGTTAGCGCCGTTCTGTGTATGCACCAAAGACGTCATATATTACGAAAATTAGGGCGTGGCGCCGACAAAAGCGCTGTTTTTTAGGATTCCGGTCACGATTTGAACTCAAATCGAATGACAGTGGATGAACAGAATTTCTTTAAGTAGTTCTTCGAAGTTCGCAGGTGCTAAGTTATGTGAAATAAAAGATGACGAACAATGAATTTAAAACTTGTTTTCTATTATTAAGTTCACTCTTTTATCCCCAAAAAAATTAAAAAGAAAAAGGCATGAAAAATAGAAAAAGTGACCACATTCTCGTGTGTCATGTACGCAACAATTCAAACTCGCCTACATGACCTTAATGCACTTCAAGTCGGGAATTGACTATACACTCAAAAAATCTGTGTGAGGATTTGCGTCACATATTTAACTTGCTAGTAGTCAGACATGCACGTGAAAGCTTCGATGTTGACAGGCGGCAGCTCGTCGGTCATCCATTCTCCATAAGGCGGATCGCGGCAGATGAACTGCGTTCCTGTGTATGCCATGGGCGTCGAGTCACCAGGTGTGTAGTAGTAAGCTTGTGTTCCTCCCGAGCAGGTGAAGGTGAGCCTCAAAAGAGGAGATATTGAGTGTGGAATCGTCTGGTTGGAAATGGAAGCTCTTACACGCATTGGCTATTAGAATCGTCGCGGGTTATGGCGACGTCAGACTCGGAGCTTGTGGCGCAGACTGATCTGGCTTCGCCGTTGCAGTTGCCGACGTAGGGCGAAGGACAAGAGACACACACTGAAAAACAACCACAGAGTCGTGAAATTTTATGCCGTGTTCAAAGTGATTTCCACAAAGTTGAAGATTATCTCTGACTCTCCAAAAATTAATTATCTTTTTCAGATTCTAACTGCTATAGTCTGTGTGCCACGACTTGAAATTTTACCGAACGACATTCCGCTGTTCCGCTGCATGTGTTTGCGAAGCGTCTTCCGAATCTAAGTCACGCTTTCAATGGATTGTTATTGCTATGGGAGCACAGGAAAGTAAAGTACCTTGAAAAAAGAAAAAAAAAATTTAAAGCGCGACCAAGGTTCGCAAAGGCTCGCAGCGGCACTGCGGAATGTCGTTCCGTGAAATTTCAAGTCGTGGCACACAGACTATATTTCGTGACAAAAAAAACTTGATCGACTTACCGCCACATGTCATGCCTTCGACGATTACGTTCGTGTCGGTGGCATAAAGACCGACGCTGTCCTTGCAGGTAAACATCGGGCTCATGTAGACTACCGCTTTGGCGCTATCTCCTTGTGCAAAATAGTAAGCGCTGGACCCCGCGGGGCAAGTAAGTTCCAATCTACAGAAAATATCTCAAACAAGCGAGAGCTGCTTTTATTACGAGCAGCCACCAGCCACGTCGTCTCGATTGTGCACAATAGTGACCATTGCCCGTGAATTGCACACAGAAACAGCCAATCCATTACAGTTTTCCCTGAAATACCAAATGTTGAGAAAAAATGGTTAAATCTTAATTTTTGGCGTAACCAGTTCTAATTCCCTGACTTTAAAAGGTAATATTCAATTGTCAATTTTTATCCACTTCAACGGCGAATGAGGCGGGACGCGTAGCGTGCGCGTACGCGGTTCTCCGACTAATAAAAAAGCCTGCTCTTTTTGGACCTATTTTACTATTTTTCAATGCAAAAATGAAAAAACGAAAAAATCAATGAATAATTTAAAAAAAATGAAGAAAAAAATGAAGAGAATTGTTTTAATAAAATGTGCCTCGCGTTTGAGCTCGAGTTTCCCGCCAAAAAGTCGCGTCGCGTACGCAACGCTTCACTCTTGCCAACCTACCCATCTCGTCTTTCAAGTCCGGAAAGATTGACCAGAAAATTGGAAATTTCAATCCTCACTTGTATAAACTGGCGCTTGGACAAAAGACGCACTGGTCGGCACATGTGAGGCCGTCGTAAGTCATGCCGGCAGAGTCCATCCACACGCCTTCCGATTCCGAACATTTTAAAACTGGATGCACTCCTTCAGGCTGCATCGAACCTGAGAACAACGATTTGCCGGAAAAAAGTGGCTCGAACTTGTTCCGGAGCTGTAGAGAATGGCTCGTGTTTTAGACGGACACTTATACGTTGCACTGTAATTCATTTATATCAATCCCAATTTTACAAAGGGAGATTTTGATGGAACTGTAGTCTGTTCAGATTTTAAATGTCAAGTTCTCGCTCAAGCTCCGCCTCCTAATGGCGTGATAAAGCAATCAGAGAACGAGCCACCCACAGAACGTTTTCGGATGACGTCATTCTGCTTGACATTCAAAATCTGAACGGACTATACGCTTTTCCTATACGCGGATAGAGTTAAAACTTTGGGGGCGTGGCCTGTCTGCGCTCTCCACGAGTCAGGTAATTTCTCGTGCATTATCGTGTCAAGACCATTTTTTTCGGTGGCTCAAGCCAGATTCACATCGGCTATACGCGCTTAGACCATTCTCACTCTACAGGTTGCATGGCACAGTGGTTTGAGGACTAAATATATGATTTTTTTTTTGAGGAGGTTCGATCCTTTCGAGTGCAAACCTTTTTTTGCATTCTTTTTTCAATGCATACCTACAGACTTGATCACTGGCGACAACGGAGAAAAAAGCGTGAGCGGCCGTGGGACAAGTACAGCTGCACGCAGCCAACCGACCGTTGCAGTTTGGCTTGTAAAGAGCCTTACACACGAGACATTCTGAAACGTCTGATCGTTTTCTTGACTCTCAGACCGAGCAAGAAAAGAGCCTTCAAGAACCCACGTGGCGGATACACGGGGGTTGTTCGATCGTAAGACGAAGTGACCGACAGAGGATCATCTCTCAGTGGGTCTACCGTAGGGGCGCAACCGTAACTTTCTTTTGGGAATAGCAGAGTGATTGACATACGAAAAGCCCAATAGCAGAACATGGCCCCGAACGTTGACCTCGGATAGTTCAATTTTCAACCCAGTTCAAAAATATAGTATAGACCGGGGGAAGGATATTAATGAAAAAAAGAAAAACTCCGCTTGGAGAAGCTTAAGATAGAACCAGGTTCAACCGAGAAAACTCTATGCAAAAATGCGATAGCAGTGGCTGTGAAAAGAAAGGAAAAGTCAATGGAAGAACGAGCGGGATTTCGGATGTCGCTGACTTTTGTTCTCTTCGCTACGTGAATGATATAACTTGTTAACGCTTGTCCCGCCCTTTTTTTTCGGTAGAAAGTTTGGCTTTTTTGTCACTTTTTTCCTAGTGAACGAACGGTTTTCTTTCCGGTTATCGTAGAAAAAATGACGAGCAGCAATGAATTAGATTGTCAGTTATAATATTTTTCACTAATAAGGGAAAGTGGTCTTTGATAAATCGAAAAGTAAGATATGAGCCTTCTGAAATGGCACGAACAGAGGAAAATGTTGAGAAGTCTTCTCTCTAAAAATAAAAAATCGTGCAGTTCATATTTTCATGATCTTCATCTAGCACATCAAAACGTTTCCTGACCATTTTTTCCCTTTTGTTTAAAGTTTTCAGTTCTTCCTTTGAGACTTTTTTTTTAAGACGAGTAGCCCAACTTCTACACTAATGTAAACAATGATATATGATATATAATTATATAGCTTGTTAACGCTGGACCCCCTTCTTTTTCGGTAAAAAGCTTGGATTTTTGTCACTTTTTCCATCGTCCATCGTCCATGTAAGTTTCCAAAAGTGTGTAATAAGTCAAACTTTAAATTTAAAAGTTCTACCTTTCAAAAAAAAAGCTGTATAAAGAAAGTTTTGTCTTTGAATGTTATGAGAATTACAATTTTTTTGAATTATATTTCTGGCCAGTTCGAAAAATTTTTTTTGAGAAAACAATTTTTTCTTCAAAGTGTCCGTCCACTAATTAAAACAATTGACACTTTGATTTATCATGTTTTTACTTTCAATTCCACTTGTTCTTTTTCCTTTCTTCTACGCTTTTTCAAACCTCCCTGCAAGCTGTTGAACTAAGATCTTCACTCTTTCATAACGTGTTCTTATTTGTCGTAGATGGAAATTGTAGATAAAGCCTTTTACTTGAAAGTGTCTGGCCAAAATTGTCTTGTATTCAGCTAGTCAAAATTAGTTAACTCTTATGGAAAACTTCGTTAATTTGATACTTTTTTCGGGACAGAGTGTCTCTTCCACAAAAAGGGAAAAATTCCATTCAAGTTGTTGGCGTGCCTCGAAGAAAGTTTTTTCTGCGGACAGATGCCATTGACGGGGTCCGCATGATGGAGGAACGGGGCAACTCGTTAGACGCCATTTTAAACTTCTCGAGGTTTCATGTCGGTGTAACTGAAGCAAAAAGACGAAAAGAGGCGGGCGACGGACACGAAACGCGCGGTCGAGTGTCGGTGGCTCAGAACAGGTGCGGCGCGTCTCCGTTTTTGCGAGCTACTGCCTTTTCTCGACAAACTTCCGTCTGGCACCGGAGGAGCCAATGTGGCTTCTTGGACTGACCGCGACGCTTCTGGCTGTCGTCGCTCAGCCGTCTCAGCCCATCACAGCCTCTGTCGAGAAAGAGGTTTCAGAATCCTTACTCAATCATTTGCGTTCTTTGTTCTCTGAAAAAAAGCTGGTTGAAGTTGGTGTAAATTTCAATTTCCATACGCGAAAATGTTGCAGAAAGGCGGCCAAGAAGAAAAAAAAACGACGGAAATTGTACTTTTTTTATGAATACTTTTTTCTTTAAACGTACCAAATACCGTATTCTTGACAACTTTTCATTGAAATCTTCTCAGCTCTGAAGTTAGAGAGTATACTAAAATTGCCACTGGTTTTTTTTTCTTTTTTAATTTCACCATCCGACCTTCCGGAAATGTAGATCTTGATCACCCTGTAAAAATTATGATCATCCCGCTAACTTTTTCTTATTTCAAAACATCCATTATCATTTATCTCCTGTGTTAATTTTTTTCAATATTCAACTTTTAAAAAATACGACAGGTAGAAAGTATAGCCAAAACGCTACATAGGTAAAACCGGAAGGGTGGAAAAAGGCTCCATAGAAATTTTCTTTTTTTGCTGCCTTTTTGCGCCATTTCATTGGCTATAATGCACCATTTTAGCTGTCTCTCCTTTTCCACCATTTCTTGAGCTTTTAAAACATCAGAAAAAAAATGGAAGGCTCGATGAAGGGACTCTTTTTAGTGCCTTTTTGCTGCCTTTTCTGAGCCTCTCCTTTAGCGGCCACTATCCACCATTCCGACATCGCCAGAGTGGAAAGGAAAGTGTCGGTGCCTCAATTTTTCACAAAATAAGACCCAGTCAACGGTTTTATCCGGTTTAAAAAAAACGCATAATCTTGTTCCTATGTTGAGACATGATTCACGGCTGGCTCGAGCCATCGAAAAAAGGGTCCTGGCACGATAATGAAAGTGATAGTGCCTGGTTCGGGGAGAGCGCAGACAGGTCACGCCTTTTTGCGTCCCAAGCATGCCGTGAATCGGCTATACTTTATACACCGGTTGAGAAAATCGAGTTGGCCCTCTTTTTCATTCACCAGACGCTCTCGTTTCCACGTGCTCTTTTTAGTTTCATGATTTTCTTTAAAAGTGAAGGAATTAATCAGAAGTTATAACCTATCAAGCGACCGATGTTAGCCTTTGAAGACGATTGTTGCCTAGGACCTAGGTGTTCTTCTTTTTTCTTGCTACAATATTTTTTTCCCGAGTTTTTTTTTTCAATTCACCAAAAGGACACGGAGCTAACAAGATGAGAAAGGAATACAAGCGGAATTTTTGAGATTGTTTGTCCTCGAGCTCTCCGACCACAAAGACAACCACCGGCCTTTTTTTCCGGTTTTCCGGCGCACGTCTCATCGTTCCCAGTTGCCTTTGATGGAGTTTCCATCGGTTACCTTCGAATTTTTATTTCGGAGTAGGTCATATGTAAACCGATAATTGTATCCGTATACATGGCAAGAGGAAAAACTTCTGGAAGGCTTCCAGAAGATCGAATAAATCCGTTACTGACCCGAAGTCTCTGAAACTTATTTTTTCGTTTCAGACCTACGATGTAGTGGTGGTTGGAGCAGGGCTGACTGGCCTAACGGCGGCCCGAAAAATCCGATCTTCTCGACCCGAAGCCTCTATTTTAATTTTGGAGGCGCGTCCGCAGGTCAGCTTTCTTGAGAGAAGTCAAAAAACCTTCATGGGAACATTATGAAATTCCTTTTCAAGTTGAACACACACTTTTTATCTTTTTTTGAAGTAGAACTTTGAAAAAAATTAAATTTTATGTTCATGATATTTTTGAGTTTTTTTCGAAACTTTGTGGGGATATTTGCTCTAATGTTTGAGCGCAATTTCAGCTACTGTCCGAATTTAAATTTGAAACTTTTTCCACGGTTTTTTCTCACCTAATCTTCCTTCTCAAACCTTTTTCGCGAATAACTATTTCTAAATTTAGTGAAGATAAAAGTCAGTTCAAAGAATTCGATAGTGGAATTTTACAACGTAGCAATGGTAATTGGCCGGCTCCAAATCTTACCTTTTTGATGAATTTTTCCAAGTCTTTTTACCTCACCTTATTCATTTTAAAAGTCCTCTTTGCCCCTACGGATAGACTCACTTGGACCGAGTTTTTCAAAAAGAGCTAAAAATTTACTCGAAATATCGAAAAGACCCTTTTCCACAACCTTCCATCTTACCAAAGCTATAGTATGTGTACCACGACTTGGAATTTCACCAAACGACATTCCGCTGTGCCGCTGCGAGCCTTTGCGAACCTTGGCCGCCTTTTTTTTCTTTTATAAAGGTACTTTATTTTTCTGTGCTCCCATAGCAATAACAATTAATTGATAGCGTGACCTAGAATCGAAAGACGCTTCGCGAACGCACGCGGCGGAACAGCGGAATGTCGTTCGGTGAAATTTCAAGTCGTGACACACCGACTATATTTTATTTTGCACGGTTCTGTATCTAGATGGGTGGAAGAATACGGTACAGCAGCATGAAGACGGCGACCGGAGACGTTTGGGTCGACACTGGTACCAGGAAGATCGTTTCTCGGTTGACCTGACTTTAGGTTCGCAGTTCGTTTCGCCCACGCACGCGCAGCTCGTCGCTCTCATCCACGAGGTCGGACTTGACCTGCAGCCGCAGCTGTCTTGCGGGCGACCGGCCGTTTTCAACCAGAGAAGAAGGCTCAAGTTTGTTCAATGAGCTGCCTGTCAGAGCTCCGGGGTGTTTCAGGAGAGAGGATCTCAGTTGGGACAACGGCCAACAAGACCTTGCCGCTTTTTTGAATTCTCCCAACGCTTCCGAGCTCGCCGAAGTCTCCATCCAAGAGATTTCATCCAAAACGAATACAAAGAAATCAGAATCGATAAATCGTCTTCTTCAGGTACTTTTTCAACGGAAGAGTCTTCACTTTACTTAATCTTTTCACGTTCATAATATGACTATGACATTCGGACCTTTTTTCCAGTTTGAATCTCCAAATTGTAGTTGGTACTTTTCATTGTCGTGGTCCCACAAAAATTGGAAAGCATTTGCGAAAATGTAAGGCTATATATATATATATATCGGAAATCAAAGGGCCGATTTCATTAATTTCCGATTCAAAAAAGTTGTTTCAAGTAGAGACCGCAAAGCCCCGCCCCTTTTGTCATTTTGTTTGTTGTTTTCGTAAAAGCGCAATACTGAACCGATTCCAACGATAATTGATGGAAAGATAGAGTGAATCTTCTTCTTTCGATTCATGTAAGATTCACTTCTTCTATTTGCGTTTCAGCGGAGTGTCGTACAAAAAAGTGAAACGATTTTTTTTGCCTGTTTTTAACTATGCTTTCGGTCGTGCGCACTTTATTTATTTTTATTAAATGTTTCATCATCAGAAGTTAAAACTTTTAAAAGAAAAGAAATAAAAATTTCCTTATAGCGAAAAATGTGGGAGGCCGCATGAAGGTATTTTTTTTCGACAGGTGAGCGAAGAAGTTTTTAAAATTTGGTAGCGGTTCCTATTAATAAGTTTTCTGAATTTTTCCAGTTGCAAGGATTTAAAGATCATTAAATTACTAATCAACGTAATAAGACTTTCTACGACGCCCCTGGAGAACAAGTGGCAGCGCTGCAAGTCGCGTTGACGGCCATCAGTGAGAAGTCTTCTGTTCGTTCGCTTCTGCGTCATCTGGGGCATGGCGACTCTCTAATCGTCAGGCAAGGTCTCTCAGAACTTCTCAGGTGAAGAGTTGATCATTATGATTGGAAAATGCAAGACAGACTTTCAGAAGATTGGCTGATGGACTGAATTTGGTTTTCAACGAAGCTGTTGTTTCCGTCAATGAAGGTAAGAAATCACCAATCACTTGAAGCAGTTCAACCTTGTAAAATATCAAGTTACAAAAAATCCAATGAACTTTTTTTAATCTGTAAGAGCGGCAAAATATTCAATCCACTGGGAAAAATTTTAGTGGCCACTATAGAGGCTTGCCTAGGAATACTTGGAGAGGACACTAAAGTTGCCACTAAACTCACCTCTATAGTGGCCACTATTTCCCGTTTTAGTTGCCACTGTAGAGGTTGTCTATTTAGTGGCCACTTCAGTAGCTTTTCGTCCAGTATTCCTTTCAGTAACGATAATTTTGAAACAAACAGATTGGACCAGTTATTGACCCCTAAAGTGGCCACTAAAGTTCTTAGTGGTCTAGTAGTAGCACTTAGACCTCTGTAGTGGCCACTAAAACGTCAAAACCCTATAGTGATCACAAAAAGTTTTCTCAGCATCCCAACTTGAAAGGGGAGTGAGGCGGATAAGTGGGCGGGACGCGTAGCGTGGGCGTACGCGGTTCTTGGCACGAGTTCAATTCAAACCCTCGCCTTTCAATTCGGTAAAAATTGACTATGTATGGATGTAGAGCTGTCTGCGTAATACTGCAGCCAAACCTTGGCTATCATGTGATAATCTACAGCGGCGTCTCCGGTGGTGGTCGAGACCTCGAAGCGGGAGATATCGGCACACCAAGTCATAATCGCAGTGCCACCGGCCGTTCTACCATCGATTCGACTTGTTCCTCACCCTGAGCTATCGTTTCAGCAGCTCATTCGTGAATAACTGTTGCCTGAAAATATTTGCATAGTTTTTTAGAGAACTACTATCCAACTGGTCACGCCTTCTACTTCACCATGACTTTTGCTCGAGCATTTTGGAGAGACGTCGGCAAGTCAGGAGAAGTAGGTTTCTCAAATGACTTTGGGGGTTTTTTTTAGTTTTCCTCTCCCTATATTTCCAACAAACATAGTTTATTAAAAACCTTTGCGCAGTGCATTTTCACGGCAAAAGCTCCAATCGTTTGGATGACGACTTTCGATGTTAGTGCAGCATCTTCATGTAGTAAGTGGAACTCGGCTCGATCTTTTTGGACAAACCTTCGCATACAGACGACTCCTCCTCGGCAACCCTCTGGGGAATCGTCCATTTGGCCTACGAACTGACTTCGCAGCAGCGACTTCAGCATTATGTTGAGGCAGTCGTTCAGGCGCTCGACATCCCAAATGCCGTGCCTCTTGACATATCGTTAGAGAAATTTTAAACTGACTATTTTATGGGAAAATTTAGAGAAGTCAACTTCTCCAGGGACGTTTTCGCAAGAGGCTCTGTGGCGACATTACGTCCTGGCGTCAACAAGTCTATGTTGCAGCACTTCAAAGGCTATCACACAGTGTTGCAGGTTACCAACAGGGCCACAAAAGATTGAGATGTTCATTTCTGCACTCAGAACGTGCACATCGCGTCGGCGGAGCTGAGCAACGTCTCGATGGGCATGATGAACGGAGCCGTCGTGGCGGCGGAGGCCGTCGCCGCTGCCGTCAGTGAGAACCTGAGGCCGACGCGGCCGGAGATGCTTCGGGACGCCCCCATAGAAACTGCCACAAACTTCCCCTACGCCACATCATCGCACTATCCACCAGCTTTTCTGAAAGTTAGTTGAGAACTTAAAGGCACGGCTTTTTTTAAAACTTAACCGAATTATAGGTTGATTTTGAGCCGTAGAAATGTTTAACTGAGGTCCCTCTTTTTCGTTTTTCGTTTTTAGTTTTTTTTTTAGGTTACTAGGACCACGGGCAAAGTCCAAAAGGTCTCAAAAGAGACTTTCGGAAAAGAAGGCCTTAAAACCACTTTTTTCTTGACTTTTTTCCGATTAGGTCCTTACAAGGGCCATACAAGGGCGGAAAAAAAAGTGGAAAAGAGGAAATTCCAAGATACCTTTGACACCTTTTAGAAACTCAAAAAGGAGCTTTAGGCTCTTCTTTTTGAAATCGTTTAAACTTTGCCGGTGAAATTGTTTCTAAAATTTCTGGGAAGTCAACTTTTGCCGACTTGAAAGGCGATGTTTCCCGTCAATCGATTGTAAATATCTTCGAATATAATTTATTTTGTTGGAAGAAGGCCTGGAATGGCGGTCACACGGCTGAGCAGCCCACCAGCGAGAAGCGTCTTCCCACGACGCAGGCCAAAATCGCAACCCGGGACTTCATTTATGAAACTTCTTCTCATTATCCTCCGACAGAGCAACCGCCGCTCACCACCATGAAACACTTTAGCTATGGAAATCTCGGTGAGTTTTTATTCAATAGATCTTTAAAAAAAATTGATTTCCAGTTGATTCGAAAATGGAGAATCTTTATTACGAAGGGCCGCAGTTCGATGACGTGAAGAATAAGGTCTCTGGTTCATTTTATAATTCTTAATGCAGAGAATAGTTTCAAGTTTGTTTTTATTATCCGTTCAATAACAATAATTTTAAAAAACTTTTCTTTGTTCACATCGAATAACTCTATAAGGAAGGTAATTTTACCTTGTGGTTGGGAATTTTTTAAAAAATGGCCAGAACACTTCTTGGTATACCAAAGGAAGATCCTGAAAGTCTAGGCCTGTACAACCTCCTCATTTTCGAGAAATAAAGGCTCAAAGCCTCAAAATAGCCTATTTTTTTGGATTTTGAGGGTTCCCTTTGATTTTGAGGCCTCTTTTCTCAAAAACTAAGTTGTGCAGGTTGAGACTCTCAGAATCCCTTTCCGGTACACCAAAGAACTTTCTGGCCAATTTTCAGAGAATTCCCAACCGGAAAGTGAAATGACCTACCTTTTAGTAATAATCTTTAGCGACCGATTTGCAGGAACCTGAAACTACGACCTCGTCCAGCTTTGTTTATAAAACATCGAGCGTGATGCCAAGCATAGAACCAATTGAAACGACGACTTATAAGCACTTCAGCAACGGGAATCTACCCAAAAGCTTCGGCGAGCCGAAGAAAACCGAAACTGTGAGAAAAACTTTCTTTGACTCGACATCTACGCACTATCCCCCCAACGAACAAATTCGGGACGAAGAGTTGGAGGAAGGAACCGTCAGTTCTCAAGTTGTTGACTATCTGGACAACATCGTGCAGCAGGTTGGTCCTATGAAACATATCTCAGAAGAAGCTTCCTAGTATCATTTTTTTCAAAAGAACTTTTGTAGTTCAACAAATCCTCATGACCAACCTCGCCGCTACCTAAATAAATTTCTAATTTTCAATCTATGAAATTTTTAACTTCCACGTCTTTTTCTAGGTTATCACGAAGACGTTTCAACACTGATAGTTTTATTCTTGAATATTTTTGATCTCGATGCTCTCGGCTTTTTTAGGCAAGAAACGACAGCTCTCTGCAGCTGGCAACGAGACTGACAAGGTTACTACAGACACTCCTGAAAGGATTGTTGAAAGAATAATCGAATGAAGCAACTTTTCGGTAAAATTCTGGGAAATTTTAGTATAAAAATTACAAAAAACTTTCAGCTCAACAACCTGCGAACTTTTTTTCGACGAACTTTCCCAATTTTTCTGTTTTTTTGGCTGTGTATATTTGCTGATATTAATATTTTTGTAATAAACCAAAAAGTTTTTAATTATCGTTCTTAGAATCTCGAAAAGGCAAGGTACACAACATGGTCTTCCGGATAATCTTTGAAATCGAAATGACTTCGAAAATAAATATCTTTTCCCATATCTTTGTAAAAAAAAATCTTCGGTATTGGTCTTATATGAGACTGTCAGTATCTTGATAACACATTGAAAATCAATTCAAGGCCTGGTCTGACCCGGCGCAGGCTTTTCGTTAATTGAAGGCCCATGCCGTGTTCAATTTGAATCCGCGAAATGCAAAATACCCGTTAGAGAAAGGAAAAGATCACTAGATTTTGGAGAGTCAGAGATCATTTTGCATTTCGCGGAATCAAATTGAACACGGCACCAAAGCCGGGCCAGACAGCCAAGACTGTCGCACAAGTCTGATCTTGTTATGCCGTGTTCAATTTGATTCCGCGAAATGCAAAACGATCTCTGACTCTCCAAAATTTAGTGACCTTTTCCTTTCTCTAACGGGTAATTTGCATTTCGCGGAGTCAAATTGGACACGACATTAGATCGTTTATGGCGTTTTCATCGGAGAAACGGAACATGCTTCGAAACGAAAAGTTGTGTTCATCGGCTCTCCAAAGTTGCTCCAAAACAGTACTAATTTTTGGTTTGGAGCAATTTTTTGCGTTTCGAAGCAATTTTCGTTTTGTCCGATGAACACGCCATTAAAGAAATTAAAGTTTGCATACCAGACTAAGTGCGCTCCAATGGACTTCCCACTTCAGCTCCCGGCTCACGATTTAATCCGCTCTATTTTTTTTTTCATTTAAAACATTTGTTTTTTTTAAGTTCAATTTATTTGTGGGATTTGATGTTTTCATTTTGGAAATAGATGAAAAAGTACATAACTTCACTTTTATGTGTTTTAGGGTAGAAATTATTTTTCCTTTTTTTTATCTTTGGTGATCACCAGCTCTGAAATAACATATTTACCAACAAAACTCGAATGTTTGAACACGGGCAAGTAGGCTGAGCAAGCTCTAAAGAGCTAATTTTTTTTTGATTTGTTTCTGTAAAAATGGCTTCAAAAAAGACCAAAATCAGTACGATTTTTTTGAAGTTAAATTTGTGCATGCTTCGAACGACTTGATTTTCAATTTTTCATTTATCCTCGAATAGCTGCCCTGCCAGTGCATCGTGACATTAGACATCGAAACTGAAGAAATACGATGCTTGCATTTAATTCAGATGAATTCATCATTTGGTTCACCAAGACCGTCCGTGGGAATCTTGAAAGAACAGCGAATCGGTAAACCAAACAAAGTTTTGTTCAAATCTCCAGTTTTAGTCGAGTCCACTCAATCAGCGACTTTGCTGGAGAAGATTTCTTTCGAAGACGATTTCTACGACAAGCCAACGTCAAGTACTCCTGGTTCACTAAGCCCGGCGCAAAACTCGGAACCTCTGGTATGTAACCTCGTCAGTTTTCTTTTCACTTTTCACAGCTTTTCGACGAATCTCTGCAAGAAGACCTCGAAGTTTTGAGAACGTTCATTTTTAATGAAACCGGAAAGTCTGTGATTCCTGAAGCCCACTCTTCACTGCCTTATTACCGGAAAGGTTGAGAAGCGTTTTGGAAAACTTTTTCGATGCTTGTTTCAGTGTACCGTCAGATGCTCTCAGCGCGAGATTTAGTTCAAGAGGCGTGGAAAATACAATATCGTCGGTTCCATTGGAGTTGGAAATCAGTTGTTTTCATTTCTATCCATATATGAGTTTAGTGAGGAAGGTATATGAACTGAACATAATGGACTTGCGGAATCTTGAAAGTCTCAGAACGAAAGTTGTTCATCAACTGAAAGAACTTCGCAGCAAGAAAATTTTCCAACTGTGAGTGCCTTTCTGATTTTCTTTTTTTTTTTTGATGTATTTTTTTCAAAAGTTAATCATTTTTCTCATCCCCTTATTTGGTACTTGTGACCCTCAGAAAATTTTAGATTGAACATAACTCATTCGACACAGCGACCCGTGAATGTTCTGATCGAGATGCACGCAGAAGATATCTACTCCGGGCTTTCAGACGGTGACGAGAGCGGGGAGTTCCAGAAGTTCTCGGAAATCAGTCTGTTATGTGTCAGTTCCACGAAATTGCGGCATAAGAGAAATTGAATTACACGGGTAACGTCGAAATGGTGGATAATGGTTGCTAAAACAGATAGGTTCAAAAAAGGTCACCACAAAAGTTTCCCTTTGTCAAGCCTTCCTATTTTTTGGGATTTTAAAGGCTCAAGGAGGGTGAAAAAAGGAGAGGCGGCAAAAAATGGTGCATAAAAGCCGATGAAATGGCGCAAAAAGGAAGCAAAAAAGGAAAAAAATAAGCATTTCTATGAAGCCTTTTTCCACCCTTTCCGATGTAGTTAGTTCAAAAATAATATCGCGATTACTGTTTTTCCCGGAAATTTTGTTGAAGGTTATTCCATTTATTTTCTATAAAGTTCAAAATTCATAAAAAGAGCCATAATGAATAGGTGAATAAGAAGCTAACAATTTCCAACAGTTAGGCTATGTTTTGGTTTCTATAAACCCAAACTTGGGTTGTTCGTGACTGATTTATAGTTTTCCGTCTATTTTTCAGAGCAAAGCGTTACCATCATTAGACGTCCTGATACAGAAAACAAAAGAACTCACTGCAAGACGGATAACGCTCCAGAAAAATCAGAGAGGTGAGTGGAACAAGATCTTCATTTTGAACCGAAATCTAGCTTCGAGGAGAAGTAGAGCTGATTCTTCACGCGCCGATGATTTGACTAACAAATTGAAATCGCTTTCATTGCATGATTTGAGACACCTATGTAAACAAATCAAAGAAAGAGAGTTGTGAATGACGGGAACTTTCCCGATTTCCATTTCCATGTAATAATTAATTTTAGTCATCTGTCCCATGTGTCCACTATAATAATAATAATTGTTATTATATTTCATAAATTTATTCAATTGTTCCAAACTTCATATCACAGTGAAGTAAAAAATCACAAAAAAATGATATTGACCTGGCGCTTGGAGAAAAGCAGGGCATCCGGTATAAATAAACCGTTATCTGGAATGACTGGATCAACAAACAAGCTTATTGCACAAAACAACGTGCGACGGGGAATTATGGTGCAAAAATTATAGTAGCGAACATAGAAATATTCTATACGTAATTCACAAATTTGCATAAGTCTAAAACTTTGAAAAACGGTAGAAATCTATTCTGAATGAAAAGTACGACCAGAAGATCTTTTTCTTCCGACAAAAAGGTATTTTCATGTTCGGTACTAGTTAACAATCATAGTATACTATTTACAGCGTGAAAATGTTAATTATTGAAACCTAGTATTCAGGGTAAGATGTTGGGATTCAATTTGAGATAGAAGAAATTTGAATCAGTTTAAATTTTCTTTCATCCAAAATTTTATCACGCAACCGAGATTGCAAGATCAATCAGGCATAATTTGAAAAAAGCGGGAAAATTGATGAAATGTGAATTTGGTGAACTATGCACACAAATTCTAATAAATTTTATATTAAGTTTTATATCTTTGACGGTTTTTTTAAGTTCTGAGAACTTTGAAAAATTTTTGGTTGAAGAAAACTGCGAATAAAAGAAAAGATGAAACATTTGAGAGCTGAGGGTGGATCAAACAGACTCTGTAGAAGAAAGAAGAGGCGCGACGCCGCGGTCGATGTCCGTGCGGGTGCTGCTTCGACTGTGCTGAGCACTCGCTTCTTGAAATTCGCTGCCAGGACGACTCAGCTCGAGAACTTCGTCGCTGTCGGTCAGCTGTTCATTGGCCAGGGCGCGTTTCGTCAGCGCTGCCAAGTCGTCTCGATTCTCCATTCTCTCGACGGCCGTGAACTTCCGGATGAAGAGGGAACGCATGATGCGGCCAGCAGGCGTTGTAGGGTCCAGAGCACTTTTTTTGGGACCCCACTCGTCGCTGCCAAAGAACGACTGCAATTGAGATTTTCTTTTGACTCGAAATAATTGTTTATATGGCAAAAGTGCCGTCGTGACTTAGGAATTCTAGATTGGTCCCTATAGCGGTTAGGAGGAAAAACAGCCCCTATAGGAGTAAAATTAAGGTGGTCTCTCTAGGGGTAAAATCAAGGTGTCCCATAGGAGTTTAGGGTCTGACCACTTGGTCCCTAAAGCTCAAGTGGTTACTGTAAGGGTTTTTCAACTTCATTTAAAAAAAAACGCTTATTTATTCAGTTTTTCCCATGGAGATGTTTCTTCGTTCAGAATTCATGACAATTATTGAATAGTTTGTCCCCTATAGAGGCCGCTAACTAAAACCCCTTTAAGGACCGCCTTCGCAAGCTTTAGTGGCCCCTACAGAGGTTGACAAAGTGGTTTCTCTAAAGGTTGCCTCTACAAGGACCACTCTGTAGCTCCTAAATGACCGCTAAAAATAGAGAAAAATGAATTGGACTTCACAGATCATTCAAATTTTCTTTCTTTTTTCTTATTTAATCTCAAATTAAGTGTCAATTTTCATGAAGAAAACGAGAGTTTTCATAAATCTGAAGAAATATTTGATTCAGTCTAGGCTTTTTTTCAGCAGTTCTGATGGTTTTTTTTTTCAAAAAACCAAAAACGCTACCATTTCTTGAGTTTTGCTGAGGATCAAGTTGTTCTTGGCACTTCCAGCCGAGACGGATTTGCGCTGACTACGCTTTCGACGGCGATGTCGCTCGTTGGGATAGCACCGGTTGATGAATGAAATAAATGGAAGTGCGGATCCTCCAAGGAAAATTGTCGTGAAAAGTATGAGGAAAAGTGTCGTCGTTAAAAGTACCGATTTCTTTTCTCGCTCAATATCGGTGTATAGGACAAGAGCGAAACACACTGCTCCGCGCATACCTTCAAATTCTTTTTTTGTTTTCTGGGGAAGAAATCAACTCACCACTGAACCACATGATTATTTGATTTTTCATCGAAATTTGGACATCTTTACGGCATTTGTTGACGAGATAGGATAAGCAGAAGACGTTGAATGCTCTTCCGACGAGGCAAAGAACCTCAAAAAAAGATTTGAACTAGAAATGAAGTCGGAAACGCACAACGCTCCAGAAAATGAGGGCAGGCTGGATGTTGAGTTTGATAGTGAAGAAGGCCATTCCAATGTAGGCGAAAGTCGAGGTCTCTGGAAATGAAAATAGGTTTCGCAGTGCCAATACTTCTAACAAACCAGCGACAAAGGAAATGGTCCTGAAAGTGTGTCGAAAGGTTATTTGCGTGACAGGGCTCACGTTGTGCTGCGTGTACTGCGCCATCGTGATCCCGCAGAACAAAATCGCCATTATTCCTTCAAACAAGTTCTTTAAGAACCTCTGAAAAACTTACCAGAAAGAGAGAGCGCCTCAGCGAATCCGTAGGGGATGTAAGCGAAAACGAGCATCAGGGCAAACTCCAATGACGGCGTCTTCCTCAGGTCGACGTGTTTGAACAACTATAAAAGTTGCATTTTGAATCAAAGGGTTTTGACACAAAAAGCTGAATAGAACCCTTCTGCAAGAAAAGAAAGTTAAAAAGGTGTCATATGAACTACTTTTCTTATTTTCCCAGATTTTTGACGATCTAAAATTCATAAAATGACATAGGTTGCTCTGCGTTCACGCCTGTTAAAACTGAATTTTCCATTTTAACGCTCCTTTAACAAAAGTCTCCTGGTCCGTTATCGCCTTTTTGCAAGGGCCTTTATGAAATTGCACACGCAGACAAGAAGAAAATTCAACCTTTTCTTAATTCTAAAGCAATTGGAAACGAACAAACCAGTGCACTCATTAGTCCTATCGAAACACCGAGAAGAGCGGACAAGAAAAACATCCTCGTGAAGGTCCCGATAGCACTAGCGATCACCTTCAATAATGAAATATTGCTGGTAGGAAAAATTCCGGGAAAATAAAAGTCTGACACGGGAGGCTATTTTACTTTACGGTTTGGATTTTTCTACAAATTCGCTCAACGGTTTATGGGGCAATTTGTCAAAGTTGTAACAGCTTCTAGTTTTCGAGATATTTTACTTTGAATTTCGAAACTTTTATTTCGTGACTTTGAAAAATTATAACTCGAAAACTAGAAGTTTTCAGAGGTAGGGGTCTACTTCTAGACCTTCATTGAGTGTTTGAGCAAAATTTGTAGAGAATTCCAAACCGCCAAGTAAAATGACCTCCCTTGTGAGACACAAAAATGGTTTCGGACAAACCCCAGCAGCGGGCATTTGATTGAGCGGTGGATGTGCGTGGCGAAGAGTCGTGGCGGCCAAGACGATGGAAACTGCGTCATTCAACATGGATTCCCCGAAGACGAGCATGTACAGCAGACTTTCGACCTTACGACGTTCCGTTTCAAGAGTGAAAATGATTGGAAAAACAAACTTTGACGGCCTGGAAAATGGCAAGAGTCGCCACTGGATCCACAGCGGATATCATTGACGCAAAAGCAAGACATTCGAAAAGAGAAAACTCGAAAACAATGTCCAACTGCAATCAAAACATGAAACTGTTCGGAAAATATGAATCCTTACGATTCCGAGCACATAAAGTCCAACGCCAATGACAAACGCAGAAACGGCGGTGCCAAGGATGGCAAAAGTTAGAATAGGAACAATGTTGGAAAAGAAATATCCTTTGTTGAGATTGTAAGCGTTCTCGAATATGATCGGAGGTAGCAGGACCAGGAAAAATACGTCTGCAAGAAACGAAAATCTTGCTTACAGAAATTTTCAAAGATTTCAAAAAGCGGACAAACAAAGTTTGCAGGAAAAGTTTTATGTTAAAACTGAAAATGGACTTTAAAAACTGTTGTTCTAGAAACTCCAGAGTGGTCCCTATATGGGCAACCTTTTGGGGTCCTTGGAGGGTCTCCTCTGAGGACCACTTTACGAACCCCTATAAGGACCTTAAACGCTTAATAAAGTGATTCCTATAGGGGACATGCTAGTCGATAATTTTTATGAGCTCTGGGAGCATTTCCATGCGGAAAACTAAAAAAATAACCTTCTTTGAATAAAATTTAAAAGACCCCTCTAGTGACCACCCAATCTTCAGGGACTAAGTAGTCAGATTATAAATTTACCTGGGCTGAGCGCTTCAATTTCACTCCAATCACGTTTCGAATACGACAGAACTAAACCAACGACGGCGCCTAATAACATGCGATGAAATCTAGCTTCTCAGACTGAAATCACCAAGAATGACGATAGCCAGACTTTCAGGGACGTAATGGATCTTGGAAACGATGAGCATGTGCACGACGAGTGTCGCCAACACGATCACGAACAGGATGAAGAAGATGGCCTGAAGCTCTGGTTGATGTTCAACGTCGCCAAACGCACCAACGACCGCTTTTTCTCCTCCGCCGGATTGCCGACAATCGCCGCCCCGTGCTTCTCGAGACTCGTCGCATTGACGTCGATCGTCTCCCTGCAGAAGTCCGATTAAAGTAGGATTCAACTCCGGGTTCATTGCGTCATGAAGTCAAAATAAGCTGTGGCATTTTCAGTCAACTTCTCTGCTGTAATCAAAAATTGTATAAATTCCGAAAAAAAAACTTAGGGGCAACCTTAGGTGCCCTTGGAGGGGCTTTAGTTAGTGGTCCTTATAGGGGACATGTTAGTCGATAATTTTTATGTACTCTATGAAAAGAAGCATTTCCATGCCAAAAATTGAATAAATAAGTTTTTTTAAATTAAAATCAAAGACCCCTATACCAGCGGTCAGACACTGAACTCCTAGAGACCACCTTGCTTTTACCCCTATAGGGACCACTTTTTCGACCCCTATAGGAACTCCTAAAAACAGGTTTTGTTGGCTAACAAAGGAAATTTTTGCAATTAACAACGTATTCATCAAAAGATTACAACCCATTGAGCCAAGTTGCAGGGAAAAATTCAAAAAATTTTGCTTCCAGAAAAAAAGCTCTGAAAACCCGGACATGCTAGAAAACTTCCAGAGTGAGAAAAATAAGTGTTTTTCGATTTTTTGAAACTTTCAAAAGCCAAGAAGTTTCCCTGCGCTCATTCAAGAATTCAGTGAATAAAAATAAATGATAATATCCAAAAAACCTACCCGAGAACGTCGGTTTTGTTGAGCAGCTCAGGTTCAGCCGCCGCCGCATTGTAACACAGGAAACTCAGAAAGAAGATGAGGAAGAAGGTCGGAAAAGACGAAAACCGGTACGGACCGTTCATCTCAGGCTGTTAGCGAGCTTATTCCGAACGAGACGACTTCGTATCGAGCATACTAAGCGTCGAGTCCTCAAAAATCGAAAATTTAAAACAGATGCTCAAAATAATAAACAGCGAAGAGAGCAGGACGAAAACAAATTATATTCTCAGGAACAATCTTTTACTTTCAGAACAAGGGAGTTTCAAAATCATAAGTTTCCACCCTTTTGTTTTTTTTTTAGTAAAGCTATAAAGCGTCAGTTCTCATTCCCTTATTACAAAGAAAAAGAAAATGTTTTTTTTTTGCTACTTTTTGGGCGTTTTTTGGCATCTTCGTCTAGAGTTCATAAAAATTATCGACTAGCATGTCGATAATTATATGAACCACTTTGTAAGCTTCGTGGCCCCTATAAGGGTTGCTAAAGTGGTCCCTAGAGTGGGTCCTCTAAGGTTGCCCCTATAGGGACACTGGAGTTCTTAAGAAAAGCGAAAAGTGGGTTTTTTGTTTTAGGATCAGGTTGGTTCATATCAGCTAAGCTTGATCAAATCCTCAAACTAATTCTTCAATTCGCTTATAAGTGAAAAACAAGTGAAGAAAGGTCATCCTGGAAGGAACGCCAAGAGAGTAGAGACAACTATACGAAAGCAGACGAAGCACATAAACGGTTTCCACGCGGCAAGCCCCGCCCCCCGAGCACACAGCCGTCGCTCCCGGCATATCAAAAACCCCATTTCGTCGCACTTTGTATGGCTTTTAACATGTGGTTTCCCAAATTCGCCTTGGGAAAAGAAGCACAATTTCGCCGGTCCCCAGTCGGCGCGGTTTTATAGTCTGTGTGCCACGACTTGAAATTTCACGGAACGACATTCCGCTGTTCCGCTGCGTGCGTTCGCGAAGCGTCTTTCGAATCTACGTCACGCTTTCAATTGATTGTTATTGCTGTGGGAGCAAATGAAAATAGAGTACCTTAATAAAAGAAAAAAAAATTAAAAGGGCGACCAAGTTTCGCAAAGGCGCGCAGCGGAACAGCGGAATGTCGTTCGGTGAAATTCCAAGTCGTGGTACACAAGCTATAACACCTGTTGGTATGTTTCTGTAGAGATTCCTTATAAAGTCGCAATTTTTTTCATAACCTCTCCGCTTCAAAACTACACGTATAAAAAAATTATCGAAATTCAAGTTTTTTTGAATGAGAAGTTATAAAAGTGAAGATAAATAAGTCTGGCTTTATACGGCTTTCAAAAAAATGTTGGTACGACACGGTCAAAATAAATTTATGTTTTCAACGCAAACAAATCAGGATAAAGAAACATCAAGATCCATTTATTCCACAATAATTTATGGAAGAAACAAGTGAGGGTGAAAAAAAGAAATATTTATAATGTAGGAGTCAATGTTACAAGACATACCCTTTCACACTGATCATAGGAGAATAACTGCAATAAAAAGACGTTAAACAAAAATCTACAAGACGAGCAAAATAGGTTTACAATCACTGATTACTGAGAGCCAGAATGATGAAACCCACCGCTTTCTATTACGAAGAAGCGCAAAACAGAGAACAGGAGTTCCAGAAAGAAAAAACAAACATAAGAATAAGAAAATTGATTTAAAACAGCGATTGAAAAGAAAAAAAAATACGAAGGGCGGGAAGTTCGCAGAAAATTTGTAAAACGCAACGGATCCGAAGAGTGGAACAAAGAAGAACAAAGAGATATCGAGCATCAAATGAATGAGCGGCTGAGTTTTTCAAAGAACCATCTAAAATTATAAATACCATTTCTTGCCAGCTAAAAAGCGGATCGTTAATTAAGAAGAGGCACCAAACAGCTAAAAAAAAAGTTTTTAAAAGAATGGAAAAAAAACGACGCAGAAGCGAGGGAAAAAAAACACAGGATATTCACATTGTTCACGCATCCAACTGCCGAAGAATACACGAAAGATAAATTTACAAAATCGAGATCCATCCGAAAATGATACTCGCGATGAGAAAAGCACCGGAGCGAGCATCACTTTTCGGTGGCAGCGTCGGGCTTAGCGATGTTGGGATCTGAGGATTCTGAAGGGAAACCCGCGCCGCTTTCCGTCTCAAGCGGCGGAAGTCCACGGCCAGACGGCAGCTTCGTCTCCGAACTGCGCAGCTCATCGAAGAACGTATGCTGGCACGCCTGCAACCCATCGTATTTCAACTCAGGTTCGTGTCTTAAATCTAGAAAACGGCAAAAGGTTGCCGGCAGCTGAACGAAAGCTTTTCTAGCAACAGCCTATTTGAAATCGAGAAAAGAATATCAATAAGTTCCTTTATTTCAACCGAAAAACGAAAAGTTTTTTGAAAGAAAAGTTTTTTCATTCGAACTATCGAAAGCTTACGCTTTTCCAATTTTTGATGACTTTACAAAAAAGATCCTTTTAGCGTAAGATCGCACCATTTCTTCAAAAACTCTTAGATGCATTGCTTGCAAAGAAGCTCCCTGCGGAAAAGTAAAGATTATTTCTGGAAGATCAGTTCTCTAAATTCACGTCCAACACAATGAGGTCTACAGCTAACAACATGCAACTTTCAAAGATACTATCAAAACGGAATACGCGGTAACCTGCGCGTTCAAATTAACGTTTTTGAGAATTTATTCATGATTATTAAAAACTACCCCAAAAACATTCTATTAATAGCAAATCTGACATATTTCAAGAAAAAGCGCTGTAGAAAGAGAGAAATAGAGAGAAAAAATTATGGAGAAGCTGAAGGTGTTTCAAAACCCGTAGTTATTTAAACTAGGTGCACATCACGCTAAAATTTTTCTTTTTTTTTTCATTTTGTCCTATCAGAGATGTTTCTTTACCAATGATGAATACCAAATTAAAATGTTCCTTTTTAAGACATGAAAATACGCGCAACTTGTTCAAAGATAATAAAAAAATGAAAAGTAGAAGCCTGACCACTTGCGGAGTTGGCCTCGACGTGGGCGTGTACTCGATGATCTGCGATATCAAATCGATCGCTTCTGGAGGCGTGTGGGCACGGAACACCTGAAACCACGAGATTTAAATACAGTCGATATAAAGGAGAAAAGAGAATAAAGAAAACCACGTACTTTCGTCCAAGGGTGAGCTTTTATTTGAGGGAATTTGAATTCCTTTGTAGTTCGGGTTCATACTCTGGATTTGTTCTTTGGTAGGCGTTCCCAAAACCTGAAAAAAATGAAAAATTCATATAGTGGTTTTTAAAATTTTTCAGATGAAAATATTCAACATGAGCCATAAGGAACAAAATGAGACGATTTGAAAGAAACTTTTTTTCAAATAACGACTAGTTTATTTTTTTCCTCCTGTTGCTTCAAAGGAATACATACAAGTAAAGAGAAACGATGTTTTTTTTTTTGCGAAAAAAAAACGTATTTCCAGCATGTTTGGAAAAATTCTCTATTCACGGCTGGAACATAGAGGAGCAAACTCAGAGAAAAAAAAGTTGAACTAGAAAAATGTTTCAAGCCGCTTCCTTTTTTTTTGAATTTTTTCCTCTCCCCTATCTTGCTGTGAGATTAAAAATGATCGAAATAACACGAAAAGTTGTGAAAAACGAAAAACAGGCTATTCCATAGATGGGCAAGTAAAGAACTCATTCAGCCCGGGAGGAGAGGTTGGCTTAAAGAAATTGTGGAAAACCAGGAATATGATGAAATTTCAACCTCAAGGAGGTAGTTTTGGCCTCAAAATACAAGTTTTAGCCTGAGGTAGGTAGTAATAACTTTGATTTGAGAAAACTTGGGAAGAGCGGACGGCGGCCTTCAAAAATGGCCTCGTATGAGATATTCAACTAAATTAACGTGTCTTTAAAACAAAAATGTCCTCTTATAAATTTTTTGCAAGCTTTTATTTCTCCAATACTAGAACTTTCATGTGGAATGATGAGAAACCGAAAATGACCTTTATAATCTCGACTAGCTGGTCGACACCAGAGTCTCCGGGAAAGATGGGCTGGCCAAGGAGCAGCTCCGCCATGACAGTTCCGGCTGACCAAACGTCGATCGAGTTCGTGTAGTTGGTGGCGCCGAAGATGAGCTCCGGGGCGCGGTAATAGCGGGAGCAGATGTAGGACACGTTAGGTTCGTTCTGCATTTGTTTTCGATATGGTGGGATTATTAATTGTATTGAAATTTCTTCTAACATGAAAACATTTTTTCCTTTGGTCTAGATTTTTTTTTTGATACCTTAAATAACCTCAAAACTTTCAAACCACGATTTTGTGTATAAAACATTATCTTCATCTCACCGAGCATCAACTTAACGACCGCCGGCAATAACTCAGCGGAATTTTTCACATCGTCAGAAAATTAAATCGATGAAACATAAAACTTCTTCACTACGCACTATTTTTCAAACCAAGAACTTTTTAACTGTTTTCTCACGTAAAATAGTTGCAAAAAAATAAAAAAATAAATAGAAAACGCAGTAAAAAAAAACCGGGATGATATAGAGCGTCTCAATAGTACTAAAAGAACATTGATTGAACTGAGCTAAAGTTCAAGCAAACAGGCTTTTCCGGTCAATTTTCTAATGAATATTTCTCTTATGAGATGAGCCAACTTCCAAAATAGATAATAGTGCCTCCATCGATTTTTTATGAGTTCAACATCTTAATCACCAAATTTCTTGATTTCTTATCTTTTGCTCTAATACTTGTCCAGTTCCAGGTCGGAGTCTAATTATTATATTTGACTACTTCGACTTCAACTATTCTAAAAAAAAAAAGCCCACCTTCACCAAATACTTGGCAGAGCCAAAGTCGCATAGTTTGAGAACGCCACTCTCGGGATCAATCAGCAAGTTTTGGGGTTTGATGTCGCGGTGGCAAATTCCGATCCCGTGAATGTAGGCCAACGATCGAAACAACTGAAACAAGTTTCACTTCATTTAACGATCAGAAAAACAAAATCGACACTCTTTGCTTGTTGACGAGAAAATATCAACTAACCTGATACATGTACAATTTGACGTAAATAAGAGGAATGGCCTGTCTCTGTTTCGAATAATGCCTTGCGACTCTTAAAAAAAAATGAGGATATCAAATCTGAAACTGAATTGTCAGCTACCTGTAAACCGTTTCAGGTACGTATTCCAGGATCAAATTCAAGTAGAGCTCGTCTTTTTTCTCACCGGTCGAATAAAAAAAATATCTGGAGACAGAAATGAGTAAACGCTAGTTATATCCTACTTGAGCTTGACAATGTTGGGATGGTTGAGTTTGCGCATAATCTGGAGCTCACGATTCTTGAATCTCTTGTCTTGCAACACTTTCTTTATCGCGACCATCTCGTTGTTCGTCGACAGTTTAGCGAGGAAAACCACGCCGAAAGATCCATTCCCAATCACTTTCTGATCAAAGTAGGAAACTTCGACCTATAAAATGAACTTGATCCTCGAGACAAAAGGCTCAATCTTGTTAAGATCGATTTTACAGAGAAAAAGAACTTAGAAAATAATGAAACCTGTTGGTCGACGCCATCAGCTGCAACTGAAGCCACAACGGTAGTGACCTGCTTGCCGCCTTTCAACGAGCACGTAAGCAACTGCTTGTTCATCCCCTCTCTTCAATGCAACTGTATCAAGTCTAGTGGCTGAGATAAGCACCTTGAATGTGCAGCACTATTTTGCAATCAGTTCGGTGAACCGGATCGTGACGAAGATTGCTCCGTGCGCCGGGTGCCGTTGATTTGCGGCAACCCTAAACATAGATGAGGATTGGACGATTAGTTCTGCAAAAATCACGATAAATCTTGAAAAACGAGCATAAAAATTACAAATGAGCAAAGCTAAAAAACTGCAAGGGAAACATAAAAGTTGACAGACTTTCGAAAAACGATTATAAGTTTTTTCAACGAAACTTTTCAAATTTATCGAATTCCAAAATTCATAGCTCAACCGCTTTAGCTGCAAATAAAATTCAAATGAAAATAAGGCAAGACATCTTAACGTTTCTTTTGATCTATTTTCCCTCTCTGAACTCAGTTCGATGATTTGAAAATCAAATAATGAAACGTAAATAAAAATTGAACATATTTAAACCTTGCGCAGTTCGGAGGGATTCAAAGAAAATATCGATACCTAATACATTCTTCAATTTTTTAGATCAGCATAGAAACCACGCGAACATACAAGAGAAACTTCTATTTACCGTAATTGGACGAGAAAAAAATTGAGCGAATTTCAATTTCACTCTTTAATTTAATTTAATTTTTTTCACGATATTCCAACTTGAACACAAAAAAATTAGATAGAAGGGTTTTTCAAGATTAATATCTATAACTATTCAAGATCAGAAAATCGCTTACAATAAATCAATGGAAATGTCTAAAAAGATTACAGCAGAAAACTTACGCATGAAAATGCGCGGAGTGTGAATCTGAGAGCTTCTTGAAATATTTTCAGCTTACAGCAATCGCCTATAGTTCTAAAAACCAACTTTTCGGCTTTTGACTAATAACCCTTTCAAATTTACGCTAAGCAAACGTGTACACAAATAATCTCACAAGAGTTACGATGCAATTAAAAAACCCTTTCTAGTTTTTTATTGCCATAAATACTCAAAAAAATTGATAATGAGAAAAAAGACAGTCATTTATCGAATGTAGTTACCTCCAACTGACTTACAATTTCAAGATGAAAAAATCAATACTGAAAAAAAAAAATGAATGACGCTGTCCGGAGGGGCGGTTGGTGGTCAAAGTTCAATGTCAGTGTTGACATTATTGTAAAAGAAGAGACAGCACCGCACAAAAAGATTCTGAGTACGGCCGCCCGTGGGAGGCTCGATATGCCTCGACGCAGAGAGTCCTTGCATGATGGACGAGGCAGAAGGCTCGCATCAGAGAGCGCCGCTCAGTGGGAGAGAAGAAGAGCGTAGACGAGAGATGCCCCACAGCACGTCTTTACCCTGTAATCAGACGGCGCACGTCTCCGACCATTCAAATCGATTCTTTTCGCGGGTTCTATAAGTTTAGCAGTACCCTCAGATTTCCTTACCAGTATCTAAATGCATACATCATACCTTCAAGGTGTAGGAGACATCCTTTCTCGCAAATTTTGAGAGGTTCTGGAGCCTCGGCCTTATGATCAGAGCGAGATCAGTTCGTAAAAAGATGGTAAAAAAAGAAAAAAAAACAGATTTTTCAGCTGTACAAAATGACTGGAATAAAGAAAAAAACGGGTACAGAGCTGATTTGCTTGAAGTAATGTCGCAAATTAGACATTTGGAACGGAAGAGTTACCTGAAGAGATGTGCTCTAGTAATCACTTTATCGATTAGGACGAAGTTATGGAAAACAAATAAAAGGGATAAAACTTGCTTGATAACAGGGATAAAACTTCGCGAAAAAAGAATTCTGGGCAAAGTCTTCACTCAAAGTGGTCGCGGCTCCAGTTGATCAACTACATTTTAAGCTCGTCAAGGCGCAACTGAATGAAATACGCGCAGAAGAACGAGTCGAAGGACCGTAAGACCATGCATTAAACTTGATCGGCTTAATATTTGGACTTCTAATACTTCAAAGGCGGTTATGGCTGAAAGAGTTCTTTCTCACCGCCTAATCGATTAAATCTATGAAATGAAAAAAATGAATAAAAACAATAAACTACGAAAAACATTTTTTTTCGCTCGTCTTAAAATCTGATTAGAACAAAAGATCATAAAGACCGCTTTTGAAAGGAAAATTCCATTTTTTTTTTACAAAAAGAACAAACAAATGGGGAAGATACCATAGTATATCCACAAGTATAGCTCTCAATCTCCAGCATATGGCGATAAACTTTCACGATTCGCTCATGACTATATTAGCTTTGAAAATGGAAAAAAAAGAAGAATTTTAAAAGTCATTTCGCGTTCAAAATTTTCTCTAATTTTCCGAAAATCAGTTTCCTTCATTTCATAATTTCAAATTTCGCGGAATCACTTTGAAAACGTAATTACACAAGAAGAAGTCAAGGAAAACGTAATTACACGAGAAGTAGTCAGGAAACTTGAATTGGCGGGATCAAGCACGCGAAAAGCGCCAACCCAAGTCATGGTTTTCATCTACAATGTTGACATACTTCTCATGACAAAAATATCTACTTTCCGTAAACCTTTTGGACAGTCGATTTTAATCCTATTTAAAATTACTTGCTGTAAGATACGTTGAGGGGCAATTGCGGGTGAATTTGTACAAATTTAAACGAAAAAGATAGTCCTCATGCGTAATTGATGTTTGCGTCTTTATAAACTACAATGGTTTTTTTTTCAAATGAACAGACTATAATAAAATTTTGCTGCGGTATTTAATGAAACAAGCAGAGTCATGAAAGGTGTCATAGCAACACGAGATTTGCTACGGTTACGATTGACGCTGTGACTGCGCTTAGCGCTTCATCTATTCACAACTAAACTTTACAACGATCATTAAAAAAATAATAAAGATCAGAGAATCCAAAAAAGGCATGAAAAAAGTAGTTTGGTGGAAAATTTTATTGCAAAAATAAACCGCGCCTAGATTTCTGCAATTGTGGCGCGGTAATTGCGTTCTTATTTCTTTCCACTGTACTGTTTTCTTTATAACGACAATCGTTGTGAATCGGTAAAAAAAATCTATGAAGTGTTAATCCAAATTTCAAAAAAAAAACCTTCAATTGAAGAAAAAAATACCTTTAAGTAGGTACCGCAAGCCATTTCTTCGAACCGATTCAAAAAATATGTTTTTCACACTGTTCGATAGAGGAGACTGTCAGTTTTCATAATCCGTTTAGTTTTTGAAAAAAGGTTCACTAAGAAAAAAGTTATGGCCAAAAAACGAGCGCGCGCGGCGTTCAACTGGAGGTAAAATCTCACGGTTTACCCGCTGCCGCACGCTTTCTTTTTAAATGTTTTTGCGCATTTCTGGACCGTTTTTTTAAATCGGTTTTTTTGTTCTGAGAAGTTGTCAGAACTGAGCTTAACGTTTTTGGTATGAATCTTTTGTATAACTATCATAAGAATTTTTGATAAAATATCAAAAAACTACTTAGAAAAAAGGTCAGAAAGAATTTTCTGCTTATTTTTCTTTTTTCTAATCAGAAAAATTATTATCATTTAATTTGGAAAAAAGAAAAAATGAAAAATAGTTTTATTTCAAAATAAAACAGGAAAAAGTGCAATTTGACTCCGAAAAACGGCTCCTGCGACATTTAAAAGTGCGCATCAGTGTGTTTGACGCAAACACTGCTACGGACACTTGCACGAAATCTTCCGAAATTTCAAAAAAAATTGCCATTTTTTCGAGGTTTTCAAAGCCGTTATTTTTTTCGCGTCGATCGATTTTTTTCATAATTTTTTCATTGATAGAGTTTTGAACGCTTAATAACCTGATCAAAAGTATAGACGCGATCCTATTCTCTCATGCGACAACGAGGCAGGCGAAAAAAGGAGGTTTTGGTAAAATTCAAATATAATTTAATTCGCTGTCCCAATAATTATTTTCATTCTGAATTTTTATTTTTGAACACATTGTGAGGTTTTAAATCAAATAAAAAGTATACCATGTCGCTGAAATTTTTTCGCATTTCAGCTTCAAAGTTTGGTGTCACTTTACAAGCGTTAATATTTTTTTCGCGTCGGTAGATTTTTTTCATTTTCACTCAAAAAATAAAGAAAGTGTTAATGTATAACATACTTAAAATTTAGAAGCGTTCCTCACTTGGTTTTCTGAAACGCGACGATTTTGTGAAACTTGTCAGTTTTTTTCGTGTTAAATCTTACTTTTTCGCTTATTTTTGAAAAATACATAGTTTTAAAAATATTCAGTCTTGTAGAGCGTTGTCGATTACATAGATAAACAGAAACAGTTTATTTTTAAAGTTGAACTTTAGCTAGTATAAACGCCTCAAAACCGTTTCTGCAACAAAAAAATCGTCATTTTGGTGGCGTGAAGGGGAGGGGCTTTGCGCTCCCTACCTTTAAGGTCTTAAAAAGGCCAAAAAACCGGCCCATTTTTTGAAATTTGTAGCGTGTCGTCGATTATGATGTCAGGTACGCAATCAGAGAAATTAAAAGAAATTTCTGACCCTCCAAAACGCAGTTATCTTTTTCATTCTCTGACTGCTATTTCCAATGTTTCGCAAAAAAATTTTGAACATGGCTTTTAATTGTTGGGCCCATGGGATCAAGCGCGTTAAAAGCGCCAATCCAAGGCCCTGTCTTTTATTTTTGACATGCGCGATAGCCTGCCGTTTTTTTTTCTGACACTGAGATGTTTAGTGATATTATCTCGCTCTATCCGAAAATACTGCGTAGTTTTAAATTTCTACCTAATACTTATAACCGAATATAATAAATGTTCTGAAGAATTATTAAGATACAGATGGTCTCGAGAGTGTCCAAAAAAACCATTTCTTACATAAGGTAAGCTTTAAAACAAGAAAATTTTACAAATTCATCTTTTTTCAGTCAAAGCGTGGCAACTAAGATTGACGACCAATTGTTCTCGCAGTTCGGTTTCAAAGTTGAACAACTGATGGAGCTGGCAGGGCTTGCAGCTGCCCAGGCCGTCGCCGCCCACTATCCGAAAGGTATCTCATTTCGTTCATCACCTCTCCGAATCATTTTCCTGTTTCCGTCTCTATCTTTCTATAAAGGAAAATGAGAAAAAGGATTAATTGATTAAAAAAAGGATTAGTCTTGGGAGGATTAATTTCATCTAAGCTTTAAAAAGATACTTTTGGATCTTTCAAAACCAAGTTGGCATCCGTTCACAACATCGTAAAAAATGGTTGATATTAAATTAAAGTGAAGAAAGGCTACAGAAAGGCCCAAAAAACCGCTTAAATTACAATAAGCGTAAAATAGCTTATCCTTTACGTATTTAAAGAAGTCTTTTGGCTTCTTTTCAAGAACATTTTCGTGTTTCCACTTTGAAACCTCATTGATCAATGGTAAGGATGATAGCTACTTCCAAATTGATTGGCTTCTTGGGAACTCCGGAGTGGTCCCAATAAGGGCAATCTTAGGGGCCACTTATTGGAACCCCTATAGGGGCTACTAAAGCCTGCAAAAGTGGTTCCTCCAGGGGTTTTAGTTAGTGGTCCTTATAGGGGACATACTAGGAAGATTTATGAACTCTAGGCGAGGAAGCAGTTCCATGCGAAAAGCTAAAAAATAACCTTTTTTGAAAAAAATTGAACGATCCCTATCGGGACCACTTGAGCTTAAGGAGTCAGACCTTAAACCCCTATGGCGACCACCTTGATTTTACCCCTATGAAAGCACTTTTTTGGTCCCGATAGGGGCTGCTTTTCCGCCTAACCCCTATAGACACAACTTTAAAATTCCTAAGTTATGCTAATCGGTGGTCTACCGCGTACTATGGCCATGGTACCTGGATACTATCCCTATCTTACCTGAAATTCGCGATTGCTACCGAGATACTAATCGGTGGTTGTTTACTTAGCACTAGTGTTTTTGTTAACTAAGCCAAAAATAGCTGACGCTGAAAAAAAGGTAACTAACGGGAAAGCATACGCCGGACTAGCAATCGCAAATGTAAGGTCAGGCAGGAGAGCAACCGTATCCAGGTACCATGGTGATAATACCTGGTAGCCATTAAACGACCCTCATTAGCTTGCGTCTTTGAAGTAGCTCTTTGTATCCTCCTCCCGATTGACCTTGGCTTCATAGATCAACTACGTATTTTTGAAAGATCTTTTCCAGCTACCGGGTAGCTAATTCAAAGGCGCATATATAGATACACTCTCATGCTGATGAGGATAGCCCAGCGGTGCTAACACGGGGTCTCAGCGGGACCACGCAGGGTCACAAGTTCGATCCCCGCCTCGACCCAATCAAGGGGTTTAAGAAATATTGGTAGTGTGAAACCACGGCTTCATAACCCCTAGCCGTCACACACAAGGTCGGATATGTCACTGGAGCCAGTCCACTGATTATCAGGATGGAACCTCGGCTAATCGACTTGGGGTGCCGACGCCGCTCAAGCGGTAAAAAGGCGTAGGAAGGAAAAGAAGAAGAAGCACATCTGGTAGAACTTTTGCCAATTTTTCCCCAGCTGATACACAGCTTTGGCACAGTTAGGTCACAGAGTTTGGAAATAAACACAGCTGGGTCATATTCCTGTTGTTTTCCCGTTTTAGCCCAACTAAGACTCAAATAGCCTCAAAAACACGGGTTTAATACGGGCACACCCGTTGAGGCACATGGTCTGCATAAGAGCAGTGAACATAGATCTCAGGCGATAGTGCAAAGATTTTCATTCACAAAACCAGAGATGTGCTCTGAGCCAGCCGGGCTGGCCATAGTGTTGCAACGCGGTCGCGAAGCGGTCGGAAATTTGCAAACGTTTTTGTCTCGAAATTTTCACAGAGTGTGTAAATAGGGGAGTATGTGATCGAAAATGTGTTATTTGGGAAAATTATTTGATGTGAATTATGAAAGGAGATTTTAAAAAAAGTTCGCGATTGCGACGATTGTGGGCCGATTCGGCCTCGGCCCAACGCATAGCTATAGTCCGTGTGGCACAACTTGAAATTTCACGGAACGACATTCCGCTGTTCCGCTGCGTGTGTTCGCGAAGCGTCTTTTAAATATAGGTCACGCTTTCAATTGTTTGTTATTGCTGTGGGAGCACATGAAAGTAGAGTACCTTAACAAAAGAAAAAAAAAATCAAAAGCGTTCGGTTCGAAAAGGTTCACAAAGGCGCGCAGCGGAACAGCGGAATGTCGTTCCGTGAAATTTCGAGTCGTGGCACACATACTATATAACCGCAGTTTCTGATGAGGCTCTTTATTTGGTCATAATATTTAGGCTACATTCTCAGGCTATTCTGTCAGTTAGTCACATGCTCCTTTGGTCATAAAGCAGGCTTCATTTGAAGTTAATTTTATTCAATTTCTAGGAAACGTCGCCGTTTTGTGTGGCCCAGGGAACAACGGGGGCGACGGCTTCGTGTGTGCGCGCCATCTTCAACAATTTGTTTGTATCTCCAACTAGTTGCCTTTTGGCAAGAACTTTCTAAGGGCTTCTCTACACATGTCGTTTATCCCAAAACTTCACGAAATAAGCTGATGGAATGTCTCGTTGAACAATGTCAAAAGCTAGGTAATTTTTGATTCGGTTTTCGATTTACTCTCACCTTGCAAATCAGGAAGCTACGTTCTTATGATCTTCTGTGTTTAGACATTCCTGTGACAAATAATCTCCCGGATCTGAAAAACTTTACTCTGATAGTGGACGCTCTGTTTGGCTTCTCCTTCAAGCCTCCCGTTCGTGAGCCATTTGATGCTATCATCGGAAGCATTCTCCAGTCAGGACTTCCAGTTTTTTCTATCGATATACCTTCAGGTTTTTTTTTTGAATACCTCATGTCGTCTTTTATTTTTTCTAGACTTTTAAAGACTGAAGAAAGGGTGAAAAAAGGAGGGGCGGCAAAAATAATGCATAAGGGTCATTAAAATGGCGCAAAAAGGCAACAAAAATGGAACTTTTGTCTTCTTAAAAAGTAAATTCCTATGGAGCCTTTTCCGACCCTTTCCGACTTTGCCTATGTTCGAAATTCCTTTTGCTTTTTTTTTTTGAAGTTTCCCTGAGCATGTCAGGTCCAAATGCGTCTCCATTTTTTTTTTCATGCGCCTATCAGAGCTCAAAAATGACTGTTTTATACAGGCTGGGATGTGAAGGACGGACCACCAGCCGATGGAGTCTGCATCCGACCTGATGCGGTTATTTCACTGACTCTGCCCAAGGAATGCATGCGAGACTGGAACGGCACTCACTTCGTCGGCGGCCGATTTGTTCCAGCGAGTCTTGCTCGCGACTTCCAGCTCTCCTTGCCCTCGTACCCATCTTTCGATCAGATTGTACAGCTTGCTGATTGACTACCTATGTGCTCTCTTTGATTTCGGCCAGATTCTTCTGTTTTCCGGATTGAACATTTTGTTCGTGCTCCTCAATAAAACATATTCTCATCTAGGTTTTGTGAGTGCAGGTTGACTGATTGAGCCTTTTTTTGATTTATCAAACCGTCAGTCAGAAATTCAAATAAGACAAATAGTAATTATTTCCTGCCGACTTCCATTGTAAGTTTACGAAAAGTTTGAAAAGTTCTAGTGTCAGTTTCTTAAAAATTTTTAAGAGCTAATAGTTGATTCACGGCTAGCTTTGGACGCTAAGGGGGCGTGGCGTGTCTGCGCTCTCCACCAACCAGGCACTATCTCTTTTATCATCGTGTCAAGACCCTTCTTGCGATGGCTCAAGCCAGTCGTTAACCAGCTATAGTTTTTTTTCTAAAACCTGACTGGATCAAAAATTCGTCACAAGGATTTTCGCGAAAAACTGCGGTGTGCTCCGAAAAAAGTTTAGAAAAAAATTAATCAAGTTAGGTTTTTTTTCGAATCGAACACGAAAAGCAGCCCCTATAGGGGCCAAAAAAGTGATCCCCGTAGGGGTATAGTCTGTTCAGATTTTAAATGTCAAGTCTTCGCTCAAGCTCCGCCCCCTAATGGCGCGATAAACCAATCAGAGAGCGAGCCATCCACAGAGTGTTTTCGAATGACGTCATTCTACTTGACATTCAAAATCTGAACAGACTATAAAACCAAGCTGGTCCCTATAAGGGTTCAGGGTCAGACCCCTCAGTCCCTAAAGCTTAAGTGGTCCCTGTAGAGGTCTTTTAATTTCATTCAAAAATCGTTTGTCTAATTAGTTTTACATGTCTCCAATGAAGACCACTAAAATCCCTATAGGGACCAAAATTGCAAGTTTTGGTGGCCCCTTTAGGGGTTGGTAAAGTGGTCTCTAAGGGTGCCCCTGTAAGGACCAATGTAGAGATCCTAAGGTCAGGACCTTTTTCCTAATAGTTGATTCACGGCTAGCTTTGGACGCTAAGGGGGCGTGGCGTGTCTGCGCTCTCCACCAACCAGGCACTATCTCTTTTATCATCGTGTCAAGACCCTTCTTGCGATGGCTCAAGCCAGTCGTTAACCAGCTATAGCACTTTTAAAAGCTTTCCGGAATTTTGAAACAAGTTATTCTTCCCCGGTTCAAAAATTTCCGTAGTCAAAGTCTCTTTCCAGACCCATTGAGTTGATTAGAAATGAGTTTGTAAAAAAATATTTTTTTGTACGGATTTGAAAAAAACCGTTTCAAAAAAATCTCAAAAAGTTTTCGATTCATATGAAACATTTTTCCATAAAAATAAAAAAACGGCGTGAAAAAAACAATCAAGATCTTTTTTTATTTGATCAAATAGGCGTATGGAGAAGCTCGCCTCTTGGTGGTTTGTGGCGCTAATTTTTGAATTTATGAAATGTATCTTATTAATGCAGCTTGGGAGCACTTCACATGTGGAAATTCAGGGTCATAGAAGTCCTCGACAGCGTTGCAAGCTTTTGGGCTCCCGTTTTGATTACGGTCTTACTTTCGTTCTTCTTCGTTGCGATCTTCGAGAAGATCATCTTCCCAAATTTCTACGAATTTTTCAGTTAGTATTGCTATTCGTATTTTTAGTCTGTTCCCCCCTTGGGCCAAGGCTACAAAATCTTTCGCGTCAATGTCTTCTATCTAAAAGATAGAAAAAGAAGTCAAAACATGCAGTTTTATCAACGGTTCATCGTCATCTGGAGATGAAAAATTGACGCGAAATATATAGTATGTTCAGATTTCAAATGTCAAGTCCTCCCTCAAGCTCCGCCCCCTATGGCGCGATAAACCAATCAGAGAGCGGGCCATCCACAGAGCGTTTTCGAATGACGTCATTCTACTTGATATTCAAAATCTGAACGGACTAAATTGTAGCCTTGAGTAAGCTATAGTCTGTGTGCCACGACTTGAAGTTTCACCCGACGACATTCCGCTGTTCCGCTGCGTCGCAAAGCGTCTTTGCGAGCCTCGGTCCCGCTTTGAATTGGTTCTCATTTCTGATAGATGGACGTTCTCACTATGAACACGTGTTGGTCGAGTTCTTCAATAAAATGAAAAAATAAAGGCGCGCAGCGGAACAGCGGAATGTCGTTCGGTAAAATTCCAAGTCGTGGTACACAGACTATACTTGACATTCAAAACCTGGACAAACCATACCAAATCAATTTTTGCATGAAGTCATGATGGTATTTTGATTATTGCATAACTTGGTTCAGAAAGATGGTTCGGCCTGAAAGACGCGGCGAAAGAAATGAAGTCTGTTTTGGAGGATTCTTACGAGGATCTTTGGCAAGAGTCTGAATTCTGCGTTGCTTTTCTCGCCGTCAGTTTTTTTTTATCGTGCTTTACTTTTATTTCGAGTTGAAAATCTTCTTATCAAAAAAAAGAGTTTAGGCAGAAGGGAGCGTGTTTTTTGTACGGTCTTAATGAAAATTAATAGCTTTTGAAGCTTAATAAGCTTAAACGGCTTCAAATTGATCAATGTTCATGTTCTCAAAACCCTTATAAATAACGTCATACTCCATCCGTCACGGCTTGAAAAAAATTATCCAGCAAGAAAATTCTTCTAGTCTTCGTTTGAACTTTTGAACTTTAAATAAATTAAATTGGCGGAAACATACTTTAGGACCTCCTAGTTTCAAAACGGAAAAAATTTCTCGCAATAGGTCTTGCTTCCGAATTATCACCTTGTTGTGGAAACATGAGGTAGACTTCAGCTTAGTTCGATCAAATGTGTGACTGGGGGCTCAACGAAGAACTTGTAAGGAAATTGTTGGTCATATGAATCGTGGAAGTTGAATTTTTTTTCTTGCCTTTTTGAAGGCCAAATGTGAGCTCAGGTGATAGCTAAGTCTCGCAACAGATCTCTTTTTCGAGTTTAGACGCTTCAAAAGTTTTGAAAAAAATTCCCCAGTAAGTAAAAAAAATGATCGATGAGACTCATTATGCAAGAAGTTAGAAAACTGAACAGAAGAAGCTTCAGTTGCACGACGAGATGCAGCGTCTTCTGGCGGTGGCCACGAGCGACGTCAACGGAAAGCCTTGCAAGGGCCGCAACAAGAACAGCTTCCGTCGAATTTGACTGTAGCGAAAAGAAGATTTGCTCGCTGATAATCCCGACAGTTTGTTGTTTGTCAGCTCCGCAAATGAACAAAAAGAGGACAGAAACAGAAACATGCCTGGGCGCGGCTACGGTGTCAGGTTGCTCCTTTCAGCTCCTTTCGCGGGTTAATTGCACATTCCGGACTGGTTCATCTTGTGACATCAGGAAATTCTAACTAGATTCATAAAGCATTCTAAATTCTTGCGAGTTCAGAATCTTCAGATAGAAAAAAAAACATGTTTATATTGCAAAATTTCTTGGCAGTCCGATTTCTTCATATCATTAGCTATGTTAGTCACTCGAAGAAATGAAAATTTTAAAACTCTATTTCAAAAAGGAAGTTACGAAAAATTCGCGAATGTCCCTCAGTTATGACTTAGCAGTTGTCTAAAGAAAATATTGGATTCAAAAAGTTTTGAGAGCTTTTCAAAGTGATCAATTGTCAGCGAACGAAGAGTTGAAAGCTCATAGTCCAATAAAGGGGAATTTTTATTCAAATCCAAAGGAAAATTCTCCTAAATAAATTAAAAAGTTCTTGATGAAAATGACCAAAATAATATTTGCAGGATGTACGCTTTTTAAGTTGCGATTTTGTAAATATAGTTGATTCACGGCTGGCTTGAGCCATTGAAAAAAAGGGTCCTGACACGATAATAAAAAGAGAAAGTGCATGATTCTTAGAGAGCGCAGACACGCCCCTCACCGTCTCAAGTTTGCCTTGAATCGGCTATAACGCTTAATAAAAAAATTTTTAAAAAAATGGTTGATTACTTAAAAAAAGTTTTTTTAAGATTCCTTATTTCGAGTTTATGATCAACCGACTCGAAAGGAATGAATTTGATCCTGAAAAGGCTATTTTTATAGGTACTGCCAGATTTTTTTTTCGAACACTCTCGTGAGCTATTTTTGTTTTGGGCGTCACCAGCAGACTTGATCTACACGTGTGATGGACCCCGAAGTCCCGTCAAATGAGCTGAAACGTCGAAAGTCCGAAGGAGCTCGCCTCTGTTGACATTCTGTTTGTGGTCAACTTGCGCGGCAGCTTCTCCTCCTGCGAATTCCCACCCCTGAAATAGCGGTACCGCCCAGCAAGTCCTCGTCGTCCACACATCTTCTCTGGAACCAGCAGCTCCATGGTCCTTTTACTGTTCCTCTTCTTCGACCTCACTCTCGGTACGTCCTTGTGTTCCAATTTGAAAAGTTCCAAAAGTCTGATATTTCATATCCTTGTGTTATCCTTTGCTTGTTAAAAGTGTCCTATCACAACAATTTTGACCATTTTACTTCTCAAGCCTTTTCATGAACATTTACGGTAAAATGTAAATGATTTACCGTCAATGAATAAGTTGATTCACAACCGAAATCTTTCTTTTTTCACTCCATACAGCTTATCGAACCCAGGAAAAATTTATATTTCAATTTTTTTTGACAATTTTTCCTTTGTAAATTATTCATTACTTTTTTTAGTCTGACGTCGTCGAAAAGGCCTTAGTGAAGTCGATGGCAATCTAAGATGGTGTAGACCTTTAATATACCTTTTTTTGAAAATATACCTTGGCGAATTCATTTTCTATGCTGATTCAGAAAACATGTTCAATGATTTACTTTTCTAGAGCGTTATCCGTTTCATGAAGTGACTTGATATGTATTATTTTTTGATTGAAGCTGTTTAGATTTGAAGCTTTATGCAAGATTATCTGGTTCTAACCCTATTCTATACTATTCGCTTCATTTTTTTATGATAGAAAGATAGTTTTGAGTGGTCATATAGAGAAAGGGTCTCCTAAAAATATTCTGGTACCTTTGAAGTGATTTTTTTTGCTTTTAGAAAGCCGTTTTTCTGCTGGAAAGATCAACAAAATCCGAAAAGATCACAACAAGCTTTTCGAGTCAGAACGTGTGATCAGAGGGAGAAAGATCTCGTTGAGGCTCTTCTGAGCCTCTCGGAACCTCCAAAATCTCAAGGGCGTTCTTCGCGACTCTTCGTTCTTTCTCTGTTATCATATCAATCGTTCAGCGATTTCCGAAAAGGGGCAAGAATCCACAAATTTCGTCTATAAAAAGATGATGAGAAAAGATAGAATTTTCGAAAACTTTTGGATGATCAACACCAGGAAGTTCAGTTTATTTCGCTTTAGATTTATTCATACTCTTTTTTTTGAGCATTTTAACGCATTTGGGTTTTTTTTGCCAGTCATTCCTTGAAAAAAATTAAGAAAAACTTGAAACAGTGTAGATATGACTAGGGAATCATTTTCTTGAAGCTTAACAGTTAGCAAAATTTGTTTGATGTTTTTGATCGAAAGCCTTAACTTGCTCAAATGCCTATTTTATGCAAAATTAAGTTTCCAAACTCCATTTCCTTATAAATTTAAGCAACGTAAATGTGTAAGCTTCTGAATAAACGTTTATATTCTCATTCTGAATAATGTAATAGCCTTTCTCCCAAAAAGTTAGGTAAAGATAGACGCGGTTTGATGGGAAATTATTAATAGGGATGTGTTTGAAGTGAACATTCAAGATTTGGTTCAAACTTCTGTGGTGGGTAGGTAATAGAATAAGAAAAGAATTATTGGCTAAGCGCCATAGGGTACTGAGAATAAGCTCATTTTCTTCGGATTTTCGTTTTTTAAACAACTTATGTAGTTTAGTATATCATAAGAAACACGAGAATGAAAATTTTTGCTTCAAAAACTCAAAGAGAATTAGTTTTTGAGCTCGTCCTGTACATTTTCGACACTACAGAAAACTCCCTTGTGAGATGTTTTCCAGAGAGCCCAGCTAAAGAAGAAACTCGAGTTTCAGTCGCTATGTTATGGCAGGCCACAGACAATGATCCTGCTGTGCAAAGCAATTTACTGCAGAAAAACGCTCATTTTAAAACAATGAGACTTTTTTTCATTGGCTGTTCAAAGACTGTTCAATTCATTGGCTGCTCAAAAGATCATCTCAACCAAATTTCAAGAAGTTCTCAAGCCCGAATAATAATAGTTTATTGACAGATCAGCGTGAACCCTAACGAGTTCACTTGGATCTAGAATTTGAGAAAATACATTATACAGTTATACATCATTAAATTTTTTCCGCACTGAAGAATGTTTTCGAAAAACTATTAACGATATATCAAAGCTATCTATTTTTGAAAATAAGAAATGATCCTTGCATTTTGATAAGAAAAAATGAAGATCCTTTGAGTTTCACAAATTTTTTCTACTTTTCGGCGTACCGACGAATGTTCTAAACCACATAGATAGCTATTTATGAGAACAGACGGTTTTCTAGTTTCTTGTAGTTTGTAAGCTGAGCAAACTTGAGGAATTTGCTCTCCAAAATGGCGGCCGGGGCAGGTAACGACTCCATCGAAGATTATTTTGATAATTTCAAAAATTTCCGATTTCCGAGTTGAATGACTCAGTCCTTGAGAAAATTCACTCAAAAACGATTTTTTTTTTCTTAATTGTATGTATTTTTTTGTTCCAGGAAACGTCTACTCCGGGCAATACGCGCCGCCAGCGACGCCGACAGCTCAGGCATACGGTGAGAACTGTTCGGAGGCCGCTGGAGCATGTTTGCTCATGTCACCCACCCCGTCAGCCAGCGTTATTTGAGCACGAAACAGCGTTTTTGTTCGCGACACATTGTTTCTGAGCTTGCAATTTTCTTTTTTTTGGTGCTCTCAAATGGGTAATTTGTGTCAAGTTGAATTTTCACTCGAGTGTAGAAGCATAGAAATATGGAAAAAAGCTCATGAAGAACGAGAGAAAATTTTCTTTATCGAATATTTTGGATTAATTTCCATCGGCTCTAATGTAAATTACTGAGAAAATTTTTAGTGTCCTCTATAGAATTTTAAGTTTTAGCGACCGCTATAGTAGTCGAATTAGTGGCCACTATAGAGGTCTAAGTGCTACTACTAGACCACTAAAAACTTTAAAGGTCACTTTAGGGGTCAATGGATCAAAATAACTGGTCCAATCTGTTTTTTTTTAAATGCAAGGAATACTGGATGAAAAACTACTGAAGTGGGCACTAAAATTTTTCCCAGTACGTGTGATTTATCAAAAAAAAAAACAGTCTGTTTCCATAGTTGGAACTCAAGAATCATGCTACTAATCGTTTTTTCAGATCAACTGCCCCTGTCCTTCCAATCGTCGGCTTCATCTCAGCTGCCAACTTCTTTCTCGTTCTCTCCGACGCGAGATGCTCAAACCCAACAGTACACGTTCAGCTCGTACAACTCCCAGCCCGGAGTCCAGTATGGATCTCAAGAGTTCTATCCCAACCAGGCGGCGGCCAACGCGGCTGCTTCTGTCTACGCCTCGAACGCGGCTCAGTTCGCACAGCAGTTCACAGCTCAGCAGAGCGCCACGTCTCCGGTGAACGCTCAGCTTGACCAAGCGAATCTGGCCAAATATACACAGTATCTGGACATTCTACAGAAAGCTTATGGCATACAGCTGCCAGGAGAACTGAACAACATGGCGCAGCAGCAGCCTCAGCCAGCCTACCAGCAGACTGCCTATCCATCCGCCACTGCTACTTCCTACCAGTCCGGAGCTAGTAGCCCTTACGGATCGGGCGGCGCTGTCTATGGCTCTCAGCAGCCTTCCTACCCTTCTCAGCCATCTAGTCCAACCTACGAGAATGAGGGAGTTCCACGACAACCCGCTTATCCGCAGCCAAGTGCTCAAACATACGGAAACCCTGCGACGGCCGCATCTGGTAACTACTATGGACAGCAGGTAGCTAATGTGGAAAGCCGCCCCTACTCGGGACAGCCGGCTTTCCCGTCAGCTCCGCAGCAGACTATCTCATCGTACGAAAACACGCAACCGACACAGCTCCCTCAGTCTCAAGTTCAACCTCAACCTCAGCCACAACCTCAAGTGCAATCTCATTCTGTGCAAAGCTACCAACAACAACAGCAACAACAACAACTGCAGCAACAGCTGCAGCAGCAGCAGCAGCAGCAGTACTCTCTACCCCAATCCTATTCTTCTCAAGCCTATGCCAACGTCCAGCCACAATCACCGCAGCCAACGTTACCACCTCCGCCGCCGCCGCCGCCGCAGACACCACCGACGCAGGCTCCGCCAGTTCAGCTTCCAGTGCAGCCGATTCAGACCGCCGCACCCAGGTCAAACTACCAAACGGCGGCTCTTGGACAGTCATACGCGATCAGTCCTGCCAACACCCAGCCGAAGCCTCAGGTAACCACAGTTGAAACTTGACTAAAGCGTCTCACGAACTCATAGGTCTACACCTACACCGGACCAGGACAGCCGCAACAGCAACCCTATCAGCCTCCGCAGCAGAGTGTGACGCCGACGCACTCGACTTACGAAGTCGCCTACGAAAAAAGCCGACCAGTTGATAACAGTATCGTGGAGACCGATTCTGGAAGCGTTGTTTCTGGAATACCTTTGGTGGGTCTTTTTTTGGCACACGACATATTTCTTCCTAAGTTTCTCATCAATCGCAGATAAATTTACCAAATAGAGAACATTTTCTATGTTTTTATGAATCGGAGTTGGACTGAATCGTTCACAAGAAGAAATTTTCACACAGATTTTATTAGGGTCACACGTATAGAAGACAGATTTTTTTGAGACATTATGGAAATATCTCAAGAAAAGAAAATTTTTTTAACTCAAAAAAAAATTATGGGAACTTTTTCAAATTGACAAAGTTTCCAAAAAATCTGGAAAAACTCGTTTTTCTTATTAGAAAAAAACCTAAGAAGAACTGTTGAGTGAAAAAAAGAGAAATATTTAAAATCAGATGAAGTTTAGAGAAGTCAGAACTTTTTCCAAAAAACCAGTTTTTCACCATAAAATTTTGAAAATTCGCCACGTCCAAAAATTTTTTTCTCGGAATCAGTATAGCTGACTCACGGCCAGCTTGAACCATCAAAAAAAGGGTCCTGGCACAATAATAAAAGAGATAGTGCCTGGTTGGTAGAGAGCGTAGACACGCCCCTCAGCGTCTTAAGTTAGCCGTGAATCGACTATAAACTCGCCATGGATTTCACACTAGAAACTTTTTTTTTTGCAGGAACTGGCACCCTACGAACGACCGCGGCCAACACACGTTGTGCCACCGCGACCCCCAACGACGCAGTTGCCGAGGACGACGACTCCGAGACCGACGCTGCCGCCCAGAACGACGACTCCTTCGCGGCCGCCAACTCGTCCACCAACAGTCGCCCCTTCGCGACCCGTCTCTTCAGGAACGACACGACCATCCGAAACCAACACTGCTGCCACCACCATTCAAGCTCTCACTCAGCAGGTTTCCTTTCCGTGTCGGGGTTGAGATGAGGGAGGTTCACTTTGAGATTCGGAAACTGCCAGCCGTGCTCTACATAGACTCAAGGAGCGAAAATGCGAAGAAGACCGAGACGCTGCTACGGGACACTTACGGACTCCCTCTAGTCTCGTTCTACGTCGACAAGGTCTGCTGGAGGTTAAAAAGGAGCTCAAGTTCTGCAGATTGACCGACCGACCGTCGTCCAGAAGCATCTCCAACAGCTCACCGCTCACAAAGGACTACCGTATCTCTTCATTTGCGGCACTTTCATCGGAAGTCAGTATCGAAAGCGCATTTAGTGTTTTTTCTTCTACTTTTTATATTCTTTCCTTGTTCAGTTCGGCTAAAAAATTATTTTTCACAAGTTTTCCATATATACCTTTTCCACTCAGGGATGAAAATGATTTCTTTTTAAATTATTTGTAAACGCTAAAAAAAGAGGGTCTTTGAGAGAAAAAAGCTAATTTTCCACGTTTTTCAGGTGAGCAACATATCGAGAACTATCACAGCAATGGTCAGATCCCACAGCTCGTAGAGTACGTGTGCGGCGACGAGAAAAAGAAGAAGAAGACCAAAAAGACGTCTTCGTCTTGATGGACGTCCAAGTCCCCCAAGCTTTTGCCCCAAAACCAGCCCCGCAGCAGTATTCGTTGCTCCTGACGCCGACGTTGCCTCTTTTTTGATTGTTTGCATTCAAACGTTGTTAATATATTTATCCGGACACAAATTGTACAAAAGTACAGAGCAATATAAATATTTATTTAATAGATTTTTCTTGTTCGAAAAAAAAATCTTAAGGAAACAAATGCATGTTTGGAAGACTCGAAAAGAAGAAAATTTCTGTAACCTTAGGAACTCCAGAGTGGTCCCTTAGGGGCCCTCGGAGGGTACCCTATAGAGGCCACTAAAGCTTGTAAAAGTGGTCCCTATAGGGGTTTTAGTTAGTGGCCCCTATAGGGGACATGCTAGTCGATAATTGTTTTGAGCTTTAAGCGAAGAAGCATTTTCATAGGAAAAACGGAATAAATATAGTCCGTTCAGATTTTGAATGTCAAGTATAATGACGTCATTCAAAAACGCTCAGTGGATGGCTCGCTCTCTGATTGGTTTATCGTGACATTAGGGGCGGAGCTTGAGCGAGGACTTGACATTTGAAATCTGAACAAACTGTATGCGTTTTTGAATGAAATTGAGAGACCCCTGTAGGGTCCACTTGAGCTTTAGGGGGGAGCAGACCCTTAACCCCTATAGGGACCACCTCAATTTTACCCCTATAGTGGTTTCCCCCCTAACCCCTATGGGGACGACTCTGGAATTCCTAAGACTCCCTACAGTAAAATTCATATATTTTGAGTTCTCGTTGGTATAAAAAAATGAGGATAAAAATGAGAGAAGTAAAAAGGGACCAAAAAAAGGCCTTTGAAGGTATTACCTAGCGCCTTTCCATAACATGAATTGATGTTTTTGAACGTCAGACAGATAAAAAGAACCGTTAGCCGAAAGGAATTTGAAAAAAATATATTTTTGGGTGTTTTTTCATTGATAAAAGCAACACAAATTTCTTTGTAAGACAAGAAGACATTTTTTTTCTGACAGGGAAGGTCATTTTACTTTATGGTTGGGAGCTTCCTGAAAATTGGCCAGAATCCTAATTGACGTCTTAAAAGAAGAATCTGAAAGTCTAAACCTTTAAAACTTCCCTGTTTTCAAGAAATAAGGGTCTCAAAATAGCTCATTTTAATGGATTTTGAGCGTATTCTTCGAGATTCCAGAGTCTCTCGAAAAGTAGGAAGTTGTGACGGTTGAGGCTTTCAGAATCTTCTTCTGCCACGTCAAGGAGTGTTCTAGTCAATTTTCAGGAAGTAAAAAGACCTCCCTGTTAGAGAGAAGTACTGATATATATAATATGATGAAGAAAAAACAACCGAGATTAAATCGAAAGTAAAGGAAGGCTAATGGAGGAGCAAGGATCTGGCGCTGCAAGGTGGTCGCGCCAGACGTCCGCAGCTGGAGTTGACGCCTGGCGCGGCATAATCCCACGGCGGCAGGTGTCGTCGGCCACCCACAGCGACCGCCGGCCCGTGCTAATTGGCCGGCAACAAAAGCGACGTCCTTGGAATCACAAGTGACTTCTCAGTGCGACGTCGGAGAAGTGATGCAGGACACCGAGAAGCAAGCCGGCTGCTGACAACGACCGCAAGGCCGACGGGGCTCCTTCAGTCCGGCTAGCTGCAAGATATCTTTGAAAAGTTTCTCACCTCGTCGAGGTGTAACTTATACTTCACTCATAACTTGAGAATTTTATAAATTTCCGAGAAAGGAAAACTCAAAACTCAATTTCTTTTCATTTTTCTCACAGGAAAGATAATTTCCCTTTGTGCTTGAGGAATTCCTAAAAATTGGCCAGAACGCTTCTAGTGTATCGGATGAAGGAAATATAATTCTCAACCTGCACAACTACTTAGTTTTGAAGAAAGGACGCCTCAAAACCTCAAAATCAAAGAAAATCTTCAAAATCCACTAAAATGGGCTATTTCTGGTCTTTGAGGAATTTTTTTCTCGAAAAAGGGTAGGTTGTGCAGTATGGGGCTTTCAAAACCTTTTTTTGGTGCATCAAAAAATTATCTGACCAATTTTCAGGGAATTCCCAACCGCAAAGTAATATGACCTGCAGGAAATCAGTATTTTCAGACGTTTCGAAGGCTCACTAAAGTTCCGAGTATCATTACTCTTATTTTGAGTAGTGTGATGGTATAAAATTTATACACCACCTTTATAAAATTGATATAAATACACAATTCACTGCTCTTACGAACTTTGAAGTTTTAAGACTCGGCCGAGTCTGGAATAGGGAGTTTCTGGAAATTTTAACAGTCTCGAGCGCTTAATGGTCTCGTAAAAAGGTAAATTCCGGTATTTTAATAGGATATGTTGCTTTTTTTAGTAGCCTTACAGAAAATTTTGACAAAAATTGAAAATTTTCAATACTTTGTAAGCGACATCACGAGCTTAAAAATAAAAGTGCACTCGCAGTGAAGCAGCAACCGGCGTGCACATTAGTTTCTACTTGCGATAATATCCTTTTTCGCAAAAAAAAAATAGATCTGTACTGGGAAAGCTTTTAGTGGCCACTATGGAGGCTCCCCAAGGATTACTTGAAGTGGACACTAAAGTGGCCACTAAACCCACCTCTGTACTATTTTCCGCTTAAGTGGCCACTATAGAAGGTTCTCTATTTAGTGGTCACTTCAGCAGTTTTTTATCCAGTAGCCTTGATAATTTTAAAACAAACAGATTGGACCAGTTATGTTGATTCATTGACCCCTGAAGTGGCCACTAAAATTTTTAGTGGTCTAATAGTAGCACTGAGACCTCTACAGTGGCCAATATTATTTAACCCCTTAAGTGGTCACTAATTTAACTACTATAGTAGCCACTAGAACGTCAAAACCCTTTAGAGGCCACTAAAAATTTTCCCAGTAGGTATAAGAAAATAGACTGTGCGTGTGTGCACTTCAATGAGCTACGTCTCTTTTGAACTTTTTAATAACAATAATTTACTCATCCACAAGGTGAAAAGAATAAATAAGGTTCAGAACCGTTTTTAGGTCACCCTAAGTTTAAAAATCTGAGAAACCCACTCCTTTGGGGTTTCAAGACTGTTCAGTAAGATTGAAGTGATTTTCCACTCATTAGCCCATCCTGTTGAACTGTTCGGCATCAAGCCTCATGTTGCTTTCGGAGATTTCGACGACACGAGCGGCCCTTCAAAGAACCGCCGTCAACGAGCAGCTAACGACGTCAGGTGTTACTGTGGCCCAATGGGTTTCGGCATCCATTTATTTCCAGCCTCGTTTCCCTCTCTTTCAACAATTCTATGCGCATCAATTCCAAACTGGCGTAAATTGGAGTTTTTTCTGATTCAACACTTTGAAAAGAAGACCGAGACTGACCTGTGCTCTGGCCGCGGCCAACTCAGCTTGAAGGACCCGATTGGCGTTGGTGAGCTGCTTGATCCTGAGTTCGGGGATGAGCAATGTTACCAAGAAGGAAGATACCAATTGGAGGCGAGCAACAGGGTGTTGGCCTTGCTCATGCGCCGCGAGCTGGAGTCGTTCTGGTAGGGCAGACACTCGCGCAGGGCTTCGAACTCCTCGTTGAGCTCGTGCATCCGTCGTCGTTCACGGCTGTTGATCGAATTTCGCAGCAAGTTCTGCTCCTGAAACTCCTATTTCGTCTTTGAGTGTCAAAAAAATGATTTGGAAGCGTAATTTAGGTTTTTATTTTGAAACGTCAAGGTCGATTGATCGAAAATAATAAAAAGCGTATTTGAGAGCCATAGTTGTGTTCATCAATAAGTCTAGCATTTTTCTTTTTTTTTTTCTTCGTAGCAATGAAGTCGGTCCAAAAATCATGAAATTCCATGAAAATGCTTCTTCGTTAGAGTTCACAACAGTTATCGACTAGCATGTCCCCTATAGGGGCCACTTTTGCAAGCTCAAATGGCTATAGGGGTCGGTAAAGTGGTCCCGAAGGTTGGCCCCATAGGGACCATTCTAGAGTTTTTAAGAAAGTCGGGATGGTGGATAATGGCCGCTAAGAGGGAGAGGCTAAAAAAAAGGGCGCAGAAAGGTCGCAAAAAGAGTCCCTTTATCGAGCCTTTCTATTTTTCTAGAATTTTAGAGGCTCAAGAAATGGTGAAAAAAAAGAAGACGCATCAAAAATGGTGCATAAGAGGCGATAAAATGGCGCAAAAAGCAGCAAAAAAGAAAATTTCTATGGAGCCTTTTTCCAACCTTTGTAGTTGATTTTTCCTTTAAATAAAATTTTTTTTGCAATTTTTTTATCTGAACATATTTATCAAGTACATTTAGTTAAAAAGTCTCGGAAAAAGTACATATTTTTCATCGCTTCGAGACCAACAAAACCTCTAGCCTTCACGGTTAAAGTAACAAGCTAGTAAAAAAAGCTTGAAGAATTAAGATTTTCATTCTAGAACTATGAATAAACAAAAGAATATACATTTTTAAAAATGACACTTGTAACTTATGATAAACTTCCTTTTTTTTTTAAACGGAGTTCTTTTGGAATGAATTCTTGGGAGAGGGGATTGAACTCACTTGTTCGTTGAGGCCTTGCATTTTCTTGCGCGTCCCTCCGTCCTGTCGCTTTTTCCGAACGTAGGGCTCAAGCTCGTCCTCTGCCAGTAGTGATTTTGCGCGTTCGGTTTGCGCCATTCTGCTTTTCCTTTTTTTCCGCGAAAATACAAGCCGTGCTGGAAAAAATTCTATTCAGTATACTCAAAATACGCACAACTGAAACAAGTCCTCAGGCTTGAACTTTTTTTAAATTTCTACGAATTTTGGAAAATAAACGAGGAAGGAAAGAAAGGAAGACAAGAGAGTTCGAAGACGTCATGTGGAGGGAAGAGCCATCCCGAAGACGTTCGACAGTAACCTTCGAGTGACCGAGAATGGGCCGCTACGTTTTTGCCACGCCCCTTCGTTCCGACCAAGACGTTTTCTGTAAGAAAAGGAGTAAATTCAACTATGTCGATCTCGGAAAACTATAACAGTTTCTTTTCGTGGGTTATTTTTTTGAAAATGCACTACCAATTCGTTTTTTAAGTGATAAAAAGCAAAAACAAGCAACGCCGATGAGCTAAACTTATAAAATCACTACTTTTTACCAACCCCTTTAGTATCCCCTAAAACTTGCAAAGGGGTCCCTATAGGAGTTTTTAGTTAGTGACCCCTATAAGGGACATGTTAGTCGATAATTTTTATGAAATCTAGGCGAAGACGCATGTCCATGCGAAAAAATGAATAAAAAAGCGTTTTTCGAATGAAGTTGAAAGACCCCTATAGATAGGGACCGCAAGGCCACACCCCCTCGCTGACCAAAAAACGTCGTATATTTCGTTGCATTTTTGACATTTCATTGTTGTTTATGCAGTTTCCCTGAACCGTTTTGGGAAAAAATTGAGGGAAACATACAATCGGCTATGCTCTACAATTCTACATAGAAGAAATAGCTGTAAATAAAAAAAGGATCGGTTAAAATGACGTTTTTTTCGCGACGCCTTTGTGCGAAAAAGTGGAAAAAAACGTTGAATACTTACAATCCCGCTTGTAGGCAAGTTATTTTTTTTTCTTATTTTTGTTAAGCATGTAAAAAAATACACCATATAAGTAAAAACAAAAAGATTCCTGCTTGTGCTTTCAAGTATCGAAGCGTCGGAAAATCGCAACTTTCGAAATTCGGGAACTTTGGCATTTTTCCGCGAAACATCGTAAAAAAATTTTTTTGAACTGTTCTCTATAAATTTTTAGAACATTTTTAAAAAAATAAAAAAACAAAAACTTTCATTCCAACCTTAATTTTAAAAAAATAAGTTTTGATTTTTTTGATTTTTTTGAAACACTTGGGAAAGTGTTTTTAGCAGTCGTAGGCAAATTATTTTTTTCTTATTTTTGATTTGAATTACTTTTTTTCTTCAACATAGTCAAAAAAATGAAAAAAATCCTGCTTGTGCTTTCAAAAATTTGATTCATTCGAACAATAAAAACAGCGTCCTGCATTTGCGCGTTGGCGAAATTGTGCATTCACCGACCCACGAAAATTCCGAATTCGCGATGTTTTCAAAGCAAAATAGCGTAAAACTTTTTTGAAATGAGTCAAAACGTTCAGTAATGTAATTCGGAAAACAAAATAGAACTTCACACGCTTTTCCAGAACAATTATTTTAGTCGCGCCAAACTCCCACTATCAGGATTCCACTGGAAAACACGTTCAAAGTCGGGAAATTGACCTGAATAGTACATAAAAGTGGATTTTAATGAGTTGAGCGCATTTAAAAGTACTGTATTGCTACAAGAATGATTATAAAAAGTCATTAATAATTAATTTATTTGTGTTTCTATGGATTCACAAACTTTTATTGGTTCTGAATTCAGTATTGAATCTTGTTTCAGGGAGAATTTGCGTTTATCCATGCTTCCTAATGAAATTTTAACAGTTTTGAACATCAAAAGCATTGAAAACTCCGTAAATATTAGTTCTGCTTTTTTTTGCCGCTGAAAATCGTTCAAATTATTTTTTTTCAGTGTTTATTTTTGCTGGTCCTTATCTTTGGACATTGTTCTATCATTTCCAATAATGAAAAACCATCATTACTGTGTTTTAGTGCGAAAAAAATTAACAAGAAACTTTTTCTGTAATTTTTTTACTAGTCTTTGAGAGCGCGCCGCACTCTTGCAACGCCCACTTTTTTCGCGACCTCGACCAAATTTTCTACAGAGAATTGGAATCGCGAAACGCGCGCTTTAATGGCTGTAACTTCGTTCAGAGTCGATATTTTTCCAAGATCTCTTTTTTTTAAAGTTGTCAGGACTATGAACTACACGGTCATATGAAAATCACTGAAATCTAATGGTTTCTAGAAAACTGTCTGCGGTCCCTACCTATAGAGACCACTTAAGTTTTTGTGACTAAGGATTCATACCCTAAACCTTTATAGGGACCCCCTTGATTTTACCCCTGTAGGGACCACTTTTTCGGCCCCTATAGGGGCTGTTCTTTCTCCAAACCCCTATAGGGACCACTCTGGAATTTTCAAATCTCAAAAAGACTTTCGAAAAAATCATAAAATCAAATTTTTAAAATATTTCTCAACTCTATTTTTGCAATTTTCGTCTTTCAGGCCAAAAGTCGTTCGTAATTTTAATATTTTATCAGTGGTGAAAAAAAAAACAGACCCACTTTATCAGCACGGTCAATTGTGGCCGCACAAACGTGCTCGAATGAAAACAATAGCCCCCAAACCAGCCATTACACCAAATGCGCCAGACTAATCACCGGTTAAGAGCCCCCCGGATGGTCTTTTCACGTTGCGCCATTCATCCGTATGTCACAATTACTTGAGAGTTGGTCAACGAGATGACACATTGGCTAATCCCTTGTGTTATACCAAGTGGGAGCCGTCATGCTTCGGAATATCACCCTACCTTTTTTTTAAACGCCTAGTGATCTTAATATAGCTGATTCACGGCTGACTTGAGCCATCGAAAAAAGGGTCCTGACACAATAATGCACGAGACAGTTCATGGCTTGTGGAGAGCGTAGACAGGCCACGCCCCCTTAGCGTCACGCCGTGAATAAGCTATAACACTGAAAAAAAAATAAATGAATAAAATTCTTAAATCTACCGCTCTGACCTGATCTCTCTCCCTTTCAACTTTCAATACGTCTGGCAAAAATAATTAATGAGTTCATTGCCATAATAAGTTACTAGATAAGATACATTTACATAGAAAAAAGTAAAATCCCGACAAACAAACAACCGTTGAACTGGGAGATACAAAATGCAATAAGATCTATCGACTCGATAGCAATGATATACACAGACAAACGGAATCTCGTTTCAGTTAAAATGTCTCTTCTTCTTCGAGTGGAAGGGCGTTCCGTTGTGGAACAAGCAGCAGCTCGTCGTCGTCGTCGTTCTGGACCGGAGTCGTCGCCGGAGATTCGCCACCATCTTCGTTGTTCTTCAAGTACTTCAACGTTGTGAGAAAATCTTGAGGCTGGATCGACTACGGTACTAGTCAAAGGTGCAGCCTGCATCTAAGCTCAGTTCAGGACCGGTTTGAACCATGGTTAAAAATCGGGAAACTTTGAGGGGTCTCAACAGGATAGGGACACGGTATTTTCTACAGATTATTTAGAAAATATACATTTTGGAAGAAACAAAAAGCAACCAAAACGCATTTCTTATCAGCACTCATAAAGTTTTCCTACTCCTTTTTTCAGAATTCCAAAAAGCTAATAAATCTCTCTAACCTTGTACAATATTTCCAAGACAGCTTCGAGGTTCAGAGGAGCGAGAGCATTCTTGGATGCGGTGCACAGGTCTTCGATGGCGCGCAACTTCTCGAAGTAAAAATCGCGCTCCTTCTCTAGGCTCGCGGCGATTTCTTCCAGCTGAAGTTCCCTCTTTTCGTAGAGTCCTTACACTGGAGAAAGACCTGTTTTTTCTCCAGCTCATATTCCTTTTCTTTTTGCGATTCCGTCTTCACATTCTCGTTGACCTGTGGCTGCGGCTGGACAACGTTGTTTGCGTTGTCTACAAAACGAAGTTCATGGATCATCAAAAAAATTCACAAAGTATGTTACTGAAAATTATCTTGGAAAAAAAAGGTTGACGTTATAGCCTGTGTACCACGACTTGGAATTTCACCAAACGACATTCCGCTGTGCCGCTGCGCGCCTTTGCGAACCTTGGTCGCGCTTTTAACTTTTTTTTTTTTATTAAGGTACTCTACTTTCATGTGCTTTCAGCAATAACGATCAATTGAAAGCGTGACCTAGATTCGAAAGACGCTTCGCGAACGCACCTAGCGGAACAGGGGAATCTCGTTCCGTGAAATTTCAAGTCGTGGCACACAGACTATATCGCACTGCACAGGGAAATGAGACATTTGCATTTAATATTATTAATAAAACTTTTTAAGCTAATAATTGATTCAAGTAGAAAATATATTCTTATTCTCTCCCAAATATACTCCAGAAGAGCCGCCTGATCTCGAACACCTTTTTTACAATCATCTAGAAGTTGCCCACAAGAGTCCTGTGACTTCATTTCGACCTTTTCAACTTTTTTTTGAAAAAGACACGGGAAGCAAAAGTTTAGTTTTTGAGTGTTTGAGCAAATTTATAAAAAATTCCATGTCACAAAGTAAAATGACCTCCCTTGTTAGATCAATCTATACTAAATGTTCATCGTTCAATATTAACCGCACAACAGCAAAATTTCAAAATGTTGAATCACTGAAAAAAAACTGTTATACTCCCGATTATATGACGAGAATGATCCAGGAATCTCAAATACTCTAAGTTTTCGAAAAAAAAAAAGAAGCGACGAATAAAAAGAACGAACTGCGACGGGCGGGACCGAGAGCAGGAGCAGGAGGCTTCGGCTTGGGGGCGGCGGCAGCAGGAGAAGAGCGTGGCGCAGCTCGAACCGCTGCTCCAGATCTGCTGGACAATGCTGGCAACGGCTGGAACCTTTTTTGTTGGATTCTATTGAAGAACTACAAGAAAATAAAATTCAAAAAAGATCAAATTTCTTCCGTTCGTTTTTCTTTTTTTTTATGAGACAAAATTGAAATTCAGCCGAAACTTTCCGAAAGGGGGAAAAACTGACCTCAGCATTCCGCGCAGTTATGGGGTCGTAATTGTCCTCGTTGGGCAAGTTTGCGTTGAAGAACTGGAAACAATTGAATTAAAAATATACCGATTGACTGAGGCTTCAATGGCATGCTATGAAGCGCGGGAAAAAAAAACTTTCAAATCAATTATTATATGCGAAAGCTTTGAAACCAAACGAGAAACTTTTTGCGTTCAAATAATGTAATCTCTGAGAAGATTAAGCAGACTTTAAAAGAAATAGGACTCTTACCTTGTAAAACCACTGGAAAAATTCGAAATTGTCCTGGAACTTTCCTTTTTTCAGCTTTTCTACATCGACGGGCTGGAATAATACAAATATTGGTGAAAGGACGAAACATCGAGTAGAAAAAAGAAGTTCAAGCGTTCAAAAAATGACTTTGAAAATCGTCATATAATGAAGAAATTGGTGCTTTAAAACCGTTAGCCCACTTACGAAGCACAAATAGCTTATCAAACTTTAAAAAATTGAGAAAATAGGCGTCATAAAAAAGTGACCGAACCAACTTTTCAAGCAACTCATAAGGAAACCCTAAGGTTGACTTCTGACGAGCAATTTTGAGCCATTTACTTTTTTTTGGGTAAACCGTTAAATGCGCTTAAAAACGACTCTCCGAAACATACTTTTCAATTTATAACACAATTTCAATCAAATTTCTTCCTTTAATAACCTTGAATAAACTAGTAAACACCTTAGAAAAATAAAATAAAATTCACTTTATCGATTCCGATTTCCTTCCATGAAGTAGTCAAGGTCTTCCAATTGTTCAAAATGTCCGTTTCACTCTTCGGATTGAACTTTATCTGCCAAATATTTCATAAATAACTTAAATAACAAGAAAAAAAAAACCTTTTTCAAATTAATTTTATCAGGAAACAAATAGTGTGTCAACTGGCAATAGGCCGATCCTGTCGATAATTCTTCTATTTTTCGTGAAATGGCTCTGTAAAAACTAGGTTAAGCTTTAATTACCAACGTTGAATTCACTTAAAATAATGAATATTGTTACTTTAACTTCAAGCTGGAAAATCCGATTTACAGTTTGCGAAAAATTGCAATATAATTCAAGCTAGGGATATCGAGAAAAAAAAATCAAAAAAGAAAAAGAAAAAACGACGAAATTTTAAAACGCGCCTGTTCAAAATAACTATGCGGCATCATTTTGCAAAGGCACACGTGCAGCTAAATTGATAACTAATTACTTAAGCCGTGATTAATAAAACTGAGACAGTTCTTTGTCTCACAGATTTTTTTTCTTCTCTTGGTACCCGACTTTTTGAGTCAAGATTTGTGACAAGATGAACACAAAAAGTTGATATTAGAGCATCGCAAACCTTCAGTTTATCGTTGACCCAGGCAATTGAGTCTTTGCGGCTGATATTGTCAGATGTCACTGCCGAAACGAAAACGTTTACAACCATACCAGCCACCTAAAGGAAACGGGTTCAGTCATATATACAAAAAAAAAGAAAAAACGTCTCAGATAATTGAGGGATAAAGATCAATGAATACAGAAGAGATTTTCATTTTTGCAGAAAAGCTTCATGAAAACCATGAAAAGCAGAGGATTTTCAACAATCATCATTAGCACGGCCTTCCAAAACGGGAAAAGCGGGGGATGTGCGCCCAAATTGCAAAAATAGGCATGGTCTAGTTCGTGACCGGTCGTGAGCTCATCACCGGCCCAAAGTAAATAATTTGACCGCTCAAATTTGAAGGTTTCACAATTTTCAAGTCTGAAATTTTTGATCTCGCGAGATTCTATATCTGCTAAAGTTATTAAAAAACGGTTTGATTTGCGTATTAAATAAAGCTTTCCATGGGATTTCGGTGGAATATAAATGACCTTCAGAAGATAACAAACGTTTTGCAAAATTTGGAGAAATGTAGGTAAATTTGAATTTTGCGAAAAACTATTAACGCGCTCTAACGAAAAAGAATAATGTTTGCAGTTATATCGAGAAGAAGGCGGTTTTATTTTTTAAGACTCTTATTCTTAAATAAATGCATTGAGCAACCAAGTTAAAATGGCTATCTAGTTCATCTCACTCAACATAACTGATTATATATCATATTTTTAATTGCTTCTAGCAGCAATAGAACGTTTTAAAATATTTAAAATTTCAATGGAAATTTGATTTCTTTAGCATTTTCCATTCTGATATTGAAGATAAATAAGCAAATATTTACTATTTCTCCTCTTTTAGCTTCAAAAAAAGTTTTTTGTCCATTTGAAAATTTTAAAAATTCGGCAGTATGTAATTTTCGTCGGCGGTAGATGCACAAGAAACATCATAATTGACGAGTGTTTTGTGGGCGGGACGTAGCTCTGGCAACGCTGTGGACTGCTGGCGCCGTAGCCAAAACTTCTCGTGTCGATTTTAATGACGTAATGAATAAAATGCGCGGCAATAAAAAATCGGGACGTCACAAATTTATTTAACACAATTACACATCGACGACGAACAAATGCAACAAAGAAAAAAGGAGTCGACATGTGGAACATACGAATGAAACATTATAGGAGAAGAGGCAGTGTATGTTGATAACGGGGAAAAAAAAGTTACATTTTGGTGCCTTTTGACACGGTGAATAAAAAAGAACAAACAAAAAAAAAGTTAAACAAAGGTAGGGAGATATAGATAAAACAAATGAGCTTACATCTTTTCGAGATCCATTGAAACGAATTCATAAAAAGTTCAGTTGGACAAATTTTTTAAGAAATCATCGTCAGGAGATGGAGCTCAAAAAAGACGAAGCGAAAAAAGATCGGGAGAGATGAGATGATGTCGGAAGAATGTTTACATGATGGAGCAACGCTCGGCCGGATCAGAAGGATCCGTCGACTCGACAGTTTCCACAGTAATGGAAGAGACGACGTCGCCTTCGGCGTCCTCCAGACGCGCCGACGGGTTCTCGCCGATCGGCCACTGTAAAACGATCTCTAGGGGCTGTTTTTTCTAGTTGTCTTTTTTTTTCGAATCCACCTCGACGTTATCAATCAGATTTTTTCAGGAAATGACTCGATTTCCCAAAAAATAGAACTTTGAAGAATTTTTTAAGAAAAAAGTATTCAAAATATGTGTTTGTGAACTATTTATAGAGTCACACTATTCACAATAGTACACTAGTCAGTTAGAAAACTTGATGAAGTGAAGCTGAATATAGGAAAAAAATTCTGTGAAGGCCACCAATAAGAAAAAAAAACTTCGAAATTTGACGAGGAAGTAAACTTTTTCTCATTGGTCTTCAAGAGGATATTCGAAAAAACTATCGAAGAATTCTAATGAATAAAAAAACTTAATTTTCAAGAAAAAGTCTCTGTAGTTGTAAATACTATCACGAATTCTTTCACCGATCATAATCTGAAAACCCCACATTTTTCTGTTTCAACTCACGTTTTGCTTCTTCATGACATACGTGTGTGGCGGCTCGTGTTTTCCGTCAGATTCGGCCGAGTAGACGGTGGCCGACGCCAGTGGGCTCAGCTTCATTCGATGGTTGAATTGGAAGCTTGCCTGAACGGAACTCTCGTTTCTCATCATCGATCAACGATCAACTCGAAAATTGAAAAAAAGAGGCATATCCGAAAATATCAAATTTTCAAATTTCTAGCAAAGGTGAAACATCAAAATGGAGGGATAAAGCATTCTAACAAAAAATATTTGCGAAAAGCTTTTGATACGATCTTATTCTAACCTATTTGTACCGCTTGAGCGGTATGAGGAGGGGGGCAAGTCGAGGTCCAACATTTATGATTCATCGTCTGATTCTTGTTTTTTTCCACTACCAACATTTTTTTCAAACATTCCTACAGTCTCTTGCGCTACGGCGAACAGACTATTGTTGATACAATATTACTCGGACATTGGTAACGCGAAATGGACGTTTCTCGGTATTTCTAGTGACAACTTTAGTAGCGTCAGCACTCTTAAGTGACCCCTAGAAACGATGATTGGCCTAATCTGTCAACGAATAAAATCACATTGATCATTCAGATTTTGATAGTATCATTAAAGGCTCCTAAAAATCATCACAAAAGCATGGAAAAAGCGGTGTTAAGTCAAAATAACAACAACAGAATGAGTTTCTATTATTGTTCTATATTCAGAGTTGACTTTACTAAATACTTATCCGAGCCCAAAGAGAAACTAGGAAAAAAGGAGACATTAACAACTTCGAAGAACTGTCGAAAGGACTCACTTCCTTGTTTCCAGCCTTGACGACGAGCTTGTAGCCGCCAATGTGGACCTCCTCGTCGATGCTGTTGGCGATTCGGACCCACGATCCGTTCTCATCGACCTCATCGATTCCCACAGGTCCAGTTGTCTCTTTGTTCAACTGAAGGAGAAAAAAAAAAATGAAGTTTAGGGATATATGTCAAAAGAGCTGTGAAAATCGAGCTAAGAAAATTGAGCTGATGAAAAAATTGCCAGCGATAAAATTGCCAGCGAAAAGCGAGCTGCGAAAATTTTGCCCACCGTTGGCAAAATAGTTGACTACATATTGCGCTCCACCGATAACGCGCCGATGACAGATTTTGAATTTTCGGAAAATTCTTTTCATTATTTTTGTTATTTCTTATTTGTTTTCATTCATTTTCTTCTTCATTTTGTTGTGATCTCGTGTAGAAAAATTCTATTTAATTTCCGCTTCGAATGAAATCGGGCGAAGTCAGTCTATAATAGTCTGAAAAACATTTTAATAATGAAAAAAAATGTTTCAGGACGCTTAAAAGCAATCAGGGTGGATTGATTGATTGAATTCTTGCGATGAGGATAAGTTCGAGTATTGGTTCCGCAACTTCACGAGAGATTAAGACAATTTTCATCGGGAAACCCTGTCATGCTCACATTTTGTTCTTTTTTAGGTTTTTTTTTAATAAACTGATATTTTGTTATGTTCATCATTTTCAATATGCAACGCGCAATTAAAATTTTTACTTGATCATCAAACGCAAAATCTGGAAAAAATTATGTATCTTAGCTATCATTTTTTCTCACTTCTGAATTTTTTTGTCTTGTCCTTTTTTCTGACGTTTCAAAACTTACTCTCAATGATTCAACAATGTAATTTAAAACCATTAAATATGAAAAAAAAAAAATGAAAAAAACTTGATTTCAAGATAATAAAGCGTCGAATAGAACGACTTTTCAAAAAACTTTTGTTGCTGCTGTCGGTGGAGCGCACAGTCGCGCGATTAACCTGCCAACGGGGGGCAAAATTTTCGCAGCTCGTTTCTCTCAGCTGTTTTTTCCCCGGCAATTTCTTCGGCAGCCCATTTTTCGCTGGCAGTTTTATCTCAAACAGTGAGGAGGCTCGATTTTCGCAGCTCTTTTGACATATACCCAAGTTTAGCTATGATTAAAGGCTAAAAACGGCGAGGATATCTAACACGACTACAATTCAAGACAAATACTTTTCAACCCCGTCTTGGGATGATGAAGGCATTGAGAGCCGGTAATAGTTCTCGGGAAACTCCTAATAATTTAGAAGCTTCTAGCTTTTTTTCTTCTCTTTACGCCACATTAAAATCGAGAAAAAAGTTGAACTAGGAATTCGTGAAAAGTCTGAAAACCTTGGATCGAGTGCTCAGATAATCGACTCCTTGGTCTTCGCCGTTGACCTCAACGCGACGTCTTTTCACGCCACGGTTGGCGCTTCCTAAACATAAAAAATTTAGAAAAACTTCTAGAGTAGCTTTTTCTTTTCATACATCTTTGCGAACAAAGGAAAAAGTTATTTACCACTTCCGGTCGAGAAGGAGACATGATGAGTCGACATGGAGTTGTTCGACTGCTCCGTCAAATTGAGACGTTCCTCTTCGCCCTGAATCGCATTGATTTTTGCTCAAAAACTTGCCTCTGAATAAATACCTCCAGAAGTGCCTGGTAGGTACGAAGTTCAGCGTCAAGCTGAATTTTGACGTCGAGAAGATCACGGAACTCGTTCATCATGCGTTCGATCTCTTTGTTCAGCTCCAAAATGCGCGCGTCCTAGAAACAAGACATTCAGAGAATACATCGCTTTCTACGGAAACCTTGTCCTCCAGTTTGTCCTGGAACATACGAGAGAGAGACTCGAGCTCTGCGCGCAATTTTTCGACCTGGAAAAGAAAACTTGAAGTTGACATGATGAAAAGAAAGTACCAAAGAAGCGTTGCCGGAGCTCGAAGTTTCGAGTTCGCGGACACGCGCTCGCAGACGCATCGCCTCGTCCATGGCCGCCTCCTGGCGTTCTCGAGCATCGTTCAGCTACAAGAAGTCCGTAAAAATCCGTTTTTTTTTTCTTCTCTTTCCAACATCCTTCAGAAAACCGTGTGGTTTCTCTGCGCCTTCTCTAATTAAAAAGGAGTTTTTTCAAATTTAGGAAATCCGCTCTACTGTAAAACTATTGATCAGCTCAAACTCAAAATTTAGTTTTGGAGATAAGATTACTCGAAATTCCACACCTTTCACAAAAGTACAACTACTTCGTAAGCTTTTTTCCAGCTAGGAGCATGGTGTAGTGGCTAACGGGTAAGCCTGAGATTTATATGACAAAGGTTGGACTCTTTGAACGCATTCAATTTCAGTCTATCAAAGAGAGTTCCGGCGAGCCAAGGGTGAATCTCCAAAAAAACTCCACTGAAAGGAATCCCCATGAAATCTGATAACATTTTCAACTTCAAAGGCATAGGGGCAGTGGAAAATGGGTTTAGAGACAAATATAATAGTTTGTAGAGCTCTTTCTTGCCTGTTCAACGGTGAAATTGGAAACGGAAAGAACTTTCTAGTTTTGGAGAAAGGAAATTTTGAGATCCCGCCATACTATTTTACAGTAAAGTTGCTCTGTGGACAGCAGACATCGCAATTTTTCTTTTTCAAAATTAAAAATCGTAAATTTAAATGAAAAAAACTCTGGTGGAAAGATAATAGAAAAGGCAAACCTTGTTCTTGTAAGCCTCTTCGAAAGAAGCCTTGTTCTGTGAGAGGTTGGCCTGGAAGTGGGCGCGCATTTCGGCGAGTTGGTCTTGCAATTTGGACTGGTACTCGTCGTTGACCTGCTTCGCGTAGGTGGTCATGTCCACTTGACGCTTGTGACGAACTTCTTCCAGTTCCTTAAACTTCGCAATGAACAAAAAATAACAAAAATGTGCGAGACTACCCCACGATGAGCCTCGAGCGCAAAGGCCAGATCTTCTTCCAGAGACTTGACCTAAAACAAACGATTGCAACTTATGTGTCATTGTTTGTGCCCAGATTGGGCTGTCCAGAGCATCAGTGCAATGATTTTCAGAACTTCTTCAGGGCATTGAATCTTTCAACGTTTTTTTTTTCCCTTTTCACCAATTTCTAAAAGAAGAGAACTTTCAGGTAAATCGATCCCGATGCTCTAATATGCGTGTCTTATAAATAATGGACCACCTTTTTATAAGGTGTAAAAACCAAAATGTGGTTTATATTCTACTCAGACTATCAAAAAAAACTCTCGCAATGTACAACCAATATTATGGACTATGTGGCCGCGAGATTATCACTACGCCGCAAGCAATATCGCCCGCCTCTCACTGCGACATCGCAAACTTCTTGCACTATACAGCTTTTTGAAAAATTTTGACATTTTTGAATTTCTTCATTGTAGAAGTCGAAAACAAAGCAGAACAATCGTTTTTTTTTATTTGGAATGGCAGCGTGAATTTGACAAAAACGAAAAAAAAAATCTTTTTTGGCTATATCGGCATGGTCAGTTCTGTCGGTTGTAAGCAAAAATTAACTTCACGCCCTTGGATTCATTTTTTTTTCTTGCCTCAAATATCTAAAACACCACTTTCCTAGGTTTACATAGAAAAAGCCAGATCTGAAAGTCGGACTTGCCCTTTACCTTCTTTTAATAATTTTTCGAAAGATCTAATTTAGACCTGTTGTTCATAACATAGTTCACATACAAAATGACGATAGAATGAAAAAAAGTTGGTTCTGAATGGAACCTTGTTATTGGCAGCAGCACGGAGAAGACTCTCGTCTTCGATCGCCTTCTTGAGCCCTTCGACCTGGTCGCGGAGGAAACCGTTCTGCTTGCGAAGATCCTGCAAGACGAGGCGTTTGAGAAGTCCTGTCAAGACGGAATTACGTCGTTGTCGAGGGCGAGCTTGTCGTTCCGCGACTGCAGAGTCTTCTGCTTGGCGAGGCTCTGGTCGGACATGGACTGAGCGTGCATCGCCTGCTCCTCGGCTCCGCGAAGCTCGCGCTCTAGCTTCTCCACTTGCGGCTTCAGGCGTTTGACTTCGGCTCTCGCCGCGTCGTACTCGATCTTGTTCTTCGAAACCTCATCATTGGCGATGTCGAGAGCACGGCGCAAGCGTGCCTGGAACAAGTGAATTTTATTCGAAGCCGAAAAACAAACAAGGAAGGTTATTTTATTCTGCGGTCAGGAATTTGCTAAAAAAAATTGGTCAAAACACTTCTCAATGTAGCAGATGAAAGTCTGTACTCGCACAACTTCCTAGATTTTAAGAAAGGACACCTTAAAGTCAAAGAAACACTAAAAAATCCGTGAAATTAAGAGAAGTTGAGGCCTTATTTTACGAAAACTAGAGAATTTTGCAGGTTGAGACGTTGAGATTATTCTTCTGGTACATCTAAGAATGTTCTGGTCAATTTTCAGGGAATTTTCAACCGCAAAATGAAATGACCTGCCATGTAAGAGAACGAAAAGTGGGAGTATCAGGAATCATTTGTTTTTTTTTTCCATTCGTTGAGCTTCCAGGTTTTTTTTTTTTTGAAAAATCTCCCTTTCAAAATCCATTATTTTTAAAAATTCCGTTGTCTAATCATTATAGAAAAAGTCTACGGGTTTTTCCATTATTTTTTTGTGGAGTTTTTCTCGATTGGAGAAAGTCACTTCCCCTATCTTACATACATATCCATTTTGACAACTGGTCAGTCTTAAATGATTTTGTCCAAAACACTTTTAGACTTCAATATTTCTACAAATTTAATAGATATCCCTTTTCGACGTATGTTATAAAATGCTTCTTGGAGGTCATCTCGTGAAAAACAGACCTTCTCGGCTTCGAATCTATCAGCAAGATTGTTCTTTTCCTTCTTTTCGACAACTTCGATGTCGCGGATTTGCACTTGTAGACGGTTGTTTTCGGCTTCCAGCTGTCGCACACGCTTAAATCACATCAGTGTTCATATGTTAGCGTCAGGTCTTCTTTACGTCGATGTAAGTCGCCAAGCGACTGTTCAAATGAGTTAGTTGATCTTTTTCTTGTATACGAGACGTCTCCAAAGTCGATGAGCTGGAATTTTTCGAAATTTAGAGAAAAAAAAAAGGGACGAGCGACAGAGCTGTTTCTGTCACGAAAGCAACATTGATTGATTGATTGATTGAAAAGCGACATCAGTCTTGAAATCAATCAAAATCATTGTCTTCGCAACAAAAATACGACACAAAATTTTGAAAAATAGCTTTACAATTTTACATAGTAAAAACCCTAGCGCGTGCGCGCTCAGTGCCTGGGACAAAACAGACATGCATGTACAGACTTTTTTGAAGGTCAACCCTCCTCCTCCTACGCAATTATCTACACCCGTGGCTAACCAAATCGATATTTAACATCAAATTTTTTGGTTAAAAAGCAATTTTCCACAAAGCGAACTATTCATGCTTCACAAAATTTTATCTTCACCCATTCTTCTAGAGTTACCATTTTATTTACCGTACAGAAACTTACAACGAGTCCTCATTTGCGGAAGAAACGTTGGATTTGTCGATAACGATGCGCGAAGATCTGACTTTACGTCCGGACATGTCTGTCTGAACATAAGAAGGCTTTTTCTTGGAACGAAGAGAAAAAAGGGAGAAAACGTAAATACGGGAAAACGAAACGAGAAAATGAGTCAGCGATTTTCAAACGAAACATTTCGTTTTCTTCAAATGCAGCCTTTTTGATATCAAAAAGTGTCAGTCACAAAAAATGAGAGACACACACACATTTTCTTAGGAACGTTTTTTTCTTTTTGAAATAATTCATCTGTGAGAGGGACAAAATACTTCACGGAAAAGGACAGTTAAAAGGAAGAGGAATCGATCGGCAGATTCGAAACTCGGCCGCTCGCGGGCAGCCGCACGGGCATTCTTTTCCAATGTTCACGCTCTATGGCACTCTCCTACCTCTCTCGCACTTTTGAAATCTTTACGGCCCGGCAAGAAAACGTACATTTCTAACAAAGAAACGAAGAAAAAAAACGAAAATGTGGGAAAAAGAAACGAATGGACTTTTATCCTCAGTATTTCTGAATGTTATGATTTCACGCTAGAGATCTGAATATGAAGGAACAAACAAGATGAGTGCATCTGAGATTAGCATAGCTTGAGTATTCATTGCGAGCGAAATTCACAAACAAACCTCCTACACTCAAGCATACGCCCAGCGGCTGCGAGAGAATCGCGACAATACACAAGAGTGCTCTGTGAATGCAAGGTCAACTGGAACAGGATATTTTAATGCGCACCAACAAAATTTTCGGAGAATTAATCGATTCGAATTTGCGTCTTTTAAGTGTGACACAAACTTTTTTTGCGGAGGTACCTCAAAACAAACAAAAAAGTCGAACTACAGCTCCAGTTGCACCGAAAAGAACATACAAATCGATTCTACAGCCGTAATTTTCTATCTTAAAACGAAGTATATTATGAGAGACGTTTCACCGGTCAATCGGAGTATTGACAAAAAATCTTATAAAAAAAGTGCGTTCTCGAATTCAATGGGGTGTGCTACCTATCAATCAATAAATAGAATGCAGAGTCTAACTTTTTGGTATTTCAACAATATTTGTTTGCACTCGGACAGTATCCTTGTTCTGTATTGATGTCTCGATAGATTGAGGAAGCTTTAGAAGCATGCTACCGGTATAGCTGTCTCAGTGCGTGAAATTAATTCCGTCGCGACCGGAACTTCATATACTACTTCATATTTTTTCTCTTTTGCGTACAAAAATCTTTTTTTATCTCGAAAAATCTCGAGACGAGATTCGCGTCTCGGGAGTCCCCGGTGTGAACGAAGGGCTCCGCCTACTTAGCGAAGTGCCAATAAAATCTCTAGTTCAAAATTTGCGTAGTCGATCAATCATGTTGTGGGAGTTTTCCAGTCTTTCTCCTACTTTGAACTTTTTTTTTCACCGACCACTTTTAACGCAGCATACAACTTACAGTTAGATACTGAAAAAAAAAATAAGCAAAACCGTGACTTTTTCTCGTTATCGTAAAAAAAAGGCTGAGTTATCCCGTATCTCGCAAAAACCTGGTCTAACCCGGCCCGAGCTTTTCTTTTCCATTTTTTGCCAAAAAAAAACAAGAGAACTTTCATAAACTCCGTTTTTCGCTCCAAAATACTGAAAAATAGCGTTTTTTTTTCTGAAAAAAAACTCAAGAAGAACTGTTATTCGAACAATAGAGAACGGGATGAAACCCGAGGAACTTTTTTGAACAGGGAATGACTGAATTGGAACTTTATTTTTCGAAAAGCTAGTTTTTCACCATAAAATTTTTGAAATTTCATCTAGCTTCAAAGCGCTGGACAGCTTTCAACAGTGTCGAACAGGAATAGAAGAACAAGAAAAAACTCCAGGAAGACCAGGAAGAAGAAATCGAGATACGAAAGAAACTAAATGAATAGAAAAAAATAAAAAAAAATTCAAGGACTTCAAAAATCAGATGAGAAGTGTGCATTAGCGAAAACTTATTCATATTATCTTTTTCATTGATGTCGCATTTAATAAAATCTTTTCTAAAAAGCCACAAGTTCTCGTAAAACTTGATTCAAAAAAATAAACTAGAAACAAGAGAAAATGAGCAATTAAAATTCAGGTGGAACTTTTTGAAAAAGTTTAAATATAGACATGTTTACAATCAATTTTTACCTAAAAACAGAGATCATCATCATTTTTTCAATACGAATACAGTTAAAGGGCCATGAACTTCAACAAAACCATTTTTCAAAAAGGGAGAGTAAAAATTTCTACAAGTAAGTTGTAAGGAATCGAATTTAAAGTATTTTTAACGCTTTAACCAAATAAGGGTAACTATCCGTATGGTTGAAGCTCAAATAGAATCGAAAATATATGAAGTATACTTCTGAAGCTTCCTCAGCCCTCGCAAATCAAAATAGCACTGGGCCCCCTTTTTTTGGGAAAAAATCTGAGCGCCCAAAAATCTGTGAACACGCCGATTGACAAGAGAAAAAAATCAAAGAAAAACACTAAAACAAAATCAAAAAAAAAAAGATGGTAATGTAGCACTGGTAAGATAGAATAAGGATGCCGGGACGGCCCAAGAAGCTCAATTTTTCTTATAATGATGGTAAAACAAACTTATAATGATGGTAAAACAAATGAATATAATGATCAAAAAAATTTCTTAGAAGACCGTTGACAGTAGTTACGCAAAATGCAAAAAAAAAATAGTCAGAGAATGAAGAAGATAATAGATATTGGAGTGTCAGAGAAAAATTTGATTTTTATTTATTTAACTTTGAACGCGTTTACGGCTAAAAATTGTAAAAACAAATAACGGATCGAAAAGGCAGAATCATTTTGAACGCGCCAAAAAAAAGAAAAAAGGCGTTGCGTGCAGCAGAGCAGATTTGAAATTTGGCGCCAAATTTTCGATCTAATGTCATGTCCCGAGTGATTTCGCGAAGTTGAAGCAGAATAGCTGTCAGAAAGTGAAAAAGATAGAAACAATGTGGTTATAACTGACGCGTTGTTTGTTTAAAATGATTTCGTGAAAGGAAAAAGTTAGAATTCCGGGACCCCCGTTTAGGGTTACCAATGTCTGAGTTTTTTCTTCTCTTTGAGAGTTTTTAATGTCCTTTTCGATTATCTCCCATCGAATAAGCATTCATAAATATGAAACAATTAAGACGTGGAAAGCAGAAATTAAAAACAAACTTTTTATGGCGGAATGTTTAATTTGTTTAAAAAAAGCCATCAAAAAAACTGGAAAAATAATTTTGTTCAGATATAATAAAAAAACTTCAAACTGCAAAAAAAAAAACGTGAGCCACGTGGCAAGGTTTCATTTTCCTGATATCGAGAAAATTAACAAAAAAAAAACCACGTGGCAACGTGTCATTTCTAGTTGTATGACCTGGGTTCGAATATCATTCTTGCTTCCCTGCCGAGGCCGTCTTGCTACTGCATCTAACGTCAAGATGAGTTTTCAATCTTCATAAAAATTCTAATTTCCAAAATAAGTTCCTGAGTTGTATGCGCTAGTAGATTAGGCCCGTGGGACTCCCGGAGTGCCGATGCTTTTTGCTTGCAAATTGGATACGCAAAGTCACGCCGAAGCCCATTCCGGTGGCCGAAGCACAAACTGTTGGCAGCGCGATGCTGACAAAGCGATGATGGGACCCCCGCGGAAAATGCCGTCACGGCCTTCGGCGTCTAGGATACTTAGTTCTGACAAGGCCGAGCGGAGCTCTAGCGCACCGCCTAGTTAGATCTTCTGAGAGGATATAGCTTTCCTAACTTATTTACAACTTTACACAGTTAATCAGTCAAAAAGTTTTGATTCTGATAATGTAATTGACTTGCTTTTTCAATTTTGAAATTATTGCAGGAAGCTTCCTACGGTCTTGTGCTGGTCAGTCCATGGTGGTTCGACGACAACTTCAAATAGTACAGTTTGATATCGAAAAAATCCTTTTTTTAATTTCTTTTCCTTCAGAAAGGATCTCTGGAGTACACGATTGAGAAGTGGAAAATAAAAAGCACCGACTACTACTGGAACGATTGATGTGAGGTTTCGTAGTTTTTAGTTTTGAAAAATTTTATGATGAGAAAAAAGAAGGCTTGACCTTATTAACACGTTAAAACCAGAAAAAACCTTGATCCGATATAGTCTGTGTGCCACGACTTGAAATTTCACGCAAGGACATTCCACTGTTCCGCTGCGTGCGTTCGCGAAGCGTCTTCCGAATCTAGGGCACGATTTCAATCGCACAACGGCACAGCGGAATGTCGTTCCGTGAAATTGCAAGTCGTTATACACAGACGATATCATAGGCAAAGGCGGAAAGGCTGGAAGACGGCTCCATAGAAATGTTCCTTTTAGGTTGACAAAGGCTCCTTTTTGCTGCCTTTTTGCACTAATTCATCGGCTCTTATGCACCTTTTTTTCTGCCTCTCCATTTTTCCACCATTTCTTGAGTCTTTAAAATCCCAGAAAAAATGGAAAAGAAACTCTTTTTGCTGCCTTTCTGCGACCTTTTTTGAGCCTCTTCTTTTTAGCGATCTTTGCCCACCAGGTTCGGCGGTTTTATTTAGTGTGTACAAATTTTCATGGCGATCGCGATGAATAATCTATTATCTGGGAAAGTTTTTAGTGGCCACTATAGAGGTTCTCTATTTATTGGCCACTTCAGGAGTTTTTCTAAAAATTTTAGTGGTCTAGTAGTAGCACTTAGACCTCTATAGTCGCCACTTATTTTTTAACCCCTTAAGTGGTCACTAATCTGGCTACTACAGTGGCCACTAATTTTTAACCACTTGAGAGGCTACTAAGTTGACTTCTATAGTGGCCAATAAAACGTCAAAACCCTATAGTGGCCGCTAAACATTTTCCCAGATGATTCAAGGCCGCAGACACTCTGGCTGCGGAGAAAATAATTTGACTTTACGAGCAGCTCCTTTGATTCAACTTGTTTATTTATATCCTCTATATTATCTTTCCGCATTTGGAAGTCTTTTATCTTTAAAAATTCAGATGACCGCAATGGCAAGAAATCCGCCTTCGTTTATCAAAGTCACGTCTTCAAAGATCCATGGCGGACGGAGTTCGACCAACTGCGAGGCCGGCGAAACAATGCCAGGTACCAGCCCGATGCTCTTAAAAGCAGCTGAGGGTTTTTCGTTTTGTGTTGAATTGCAAAGGAGAAAAGAATTAACAGTAAATTCACAATGACTGAAATTACTCCTCACTAGTACAAAGAATGCAATTATCATTCATTCAAAACTGATTGACACCTGTTCAAAGCAGGCTAGCCAGGCTTGTGCGAGGTCCAGATTGTCAACCTATCGGCCTCCGTCCGTTTCCATAGCTTTTGATAGACTTTAAAACAAGTGAAAAAGTAGTCTCCGAAACAAGTGATAAGTAATCTTTCGGTGAAAATTTTGTGTTAGGATAAAAGTTTTCTCGATGAAGTTTGAAAATTTTTTTCAAAGCTTATCTTGGTCCCCCGCGCAGGCTTCATGGCTTTGGGCTTCAACTTCTCGGACCTCGGTAGCGCAAATAGAAATCGTCTTGGACGTTACTCAGAAATTCTAGTAAACATTTTTAAAATCTTGAGAGAGCGTTGAAGAAGTTATTAGAAGCTCAGAAACGTCCGGGCGCGTATGGTTTGCGGCACCAAGGATGGACCAATTTTCGCGAAAAAGCCTGCTTGGGCCAGGAAAGGCTTGAGCCGGGGCTTCGAAAAATTCGGACTTTATTTTGGAAAAAAATTGTATCCGAACTCAAATTTAACACCGAAAAATGCTTTTTTTTAAATTCGTAGTTTCTGTTGAACTTTAAGTGTAAAAAATAACTAGAAACATGCTTTGGTCGTAAAAAAAAGCTGATATTCAACTTGAGCTTTTGGGCCTGTTTTTGCTTGAGACTTCGCTCACCCTGGCCCAGGCTCAGATAATGACTAAGCCGTTAGACTGACGAGCCGGCCCTCGCACAACCCTGTCTCGGACCTCGGTAACAAAAACCGAGTGCGCTTCGGACGTTTCTGAGCAATTCTAGAGACGCTCCAACACCTCCGGATATTTTTTTTTCACATCACGTTTTTCGAACTGACCAAATTTCCAACATTTCAAGAACTATACTCTCAAAATTGCATATTAATTGAAAATAAAATTTTAGAGTATGTGATAGTGCGTGTGGGTGTGTTAACAACCTAAACGCCAAGATTTACGAATCGTTTTGACTTGAAACGCCGAAATTACCGTGTTCAAAGTAATTTCGGCGATTTCGAAATTAACGCCTTATTCGTTCAAAATGATTTCGGGAAATAGGCAGAATCGGTATTCCGCGCGGAAAAAGTAAGTCTTACAACGATATATCGTTAATTGCCTTTTTACTGTAACTTCTGCGCGGGAACTCAAAATTTTGGAGCTATTTGCGCATTTCCTACGGAAATTTCATATTCGCGCCTAAAACTCACCGTAAAAATGCGTATCCAACGATATATCGTTGTAGGACTCACTTTTTGTCCCCTTCCCGGAATACCAATTCTGCCTATTTCCCGAAATCATTTCAAACGAATAACGCGTCTATTTTGAGCCACCGGTATTTGTACAGATTGCCTCACGGTAAATCGACCCCAGATTTCTCAACGGGGCGCGCTTTCTTCCATCCCGTTTGTTCCTTTTTCGTTTCTTCATTGCAAATATGCTTCTGTTCCAGTTTTTTCTACTCTTTCTATTGCACGGCGCTTTGAAAAGGGTGGACGTGAAGAGGAAAATTGGCATGCGATAAAATGTGCCCTGATGTAAAAGTTTGCAATATATTTTTATTCATTTTCCCGTTGTCGTATCGTACTTTAATAGAGCTAAGATTCAATTTTTGAGATTTTTGGATATTTTATTCGTTCAGTGAAATTATTACAAAATTCGAATTCTAAGCATAACAATTTTTTCAAGCGGTTTCGTTCTCATCAGTTTTGAGGTCATGATAAACGTATATTCCTCCTTTGCAAATACAGACTTTCCCAGGTCTGGCAAAGTCACATTCAAAATGCACCTCGCTAGTACCGGTCCGCCGCTTTACCACTGCTCCTCGCTGCCGTTGCTTCGGCAGTCGCCAGATTGAACAGTACCACAGTACCACACCGCGCGCGCATTCTCTTGTATGCGGCTGCGCTTCGAAAGGTCATATCTTGACTCTGAAATTTTTTTTTTTTGAAAAATTTGATGATTTTTCCACGTTCCTTATTTCACATGACACTGACTATTGGATGTTTTGAAACACAGCGCATACTTGCAGAAAAAAAAACCTAAACTGAGGCATATTTTTCAAGAATTAAAGATTCAAAAATCTCAAAAATTGAATCTCAGCTCTATGAAAGTACGATACGACAAGGTGAAAATGAATAACAATAGAAATAGTAGAAAAAACTAGAAGAAACATACTTGCAATGAACAAACGAAAAAGAAAAAAATGGGATGGAAGAAAGCGCGCCCCGTTGAGAAATCTGGGGTCGATTTACCGTGAGGCAATCTGTACAAATACCGGTGGCTGTCTATTTTGAATCGCCGAAATTACTTTGAACACGGCATAAAAAATGAAAACGTCTTGCTTTCTCACTCCCAAACGTCTCAGCTTCAAATTTCATGCTTCAACGAATAACACAAAATTCAATCATTTTTTTCTTTTACTTTCCGAAGTTGAGATCTTTTTCACTGACCGCTATTTTGAATTTCGTGGAATCACTTCGTAGAGGGGAAAAAGAGACAATTTTTCCCGGTTTTACAAATGAGAGTCTTCACAATGCAATTTTCATTTTTTTTTTTTTCAATGTATCAGTTTGTTAAATTTTCGCCATTTTTCGGAATAAAGCAAAGATCAAAGTTATAATTCAATCAGCTAAAAACGGTCAACAAAGTAAGTTTATTGATCTTCAAATAGGAGTTTGTCCAGTCTCGATGACTGTTAATGAGTTTTTTTTTTTTCAAATTCTAATTCTTTTCGTGTCGATATGGAACATCCGTCGGACAACGATAACTTGCAATACCGTAATCGCCACAGAAAGCAAACAAAACAGGATACTGTAGTTTTGGATGTAGTCTGCATTTTTTGCTTGAAGTGCGGTGTCACCAACGGATACCTGACTTTTTCCATTTTAGTGATTTTCGAGAATAAAAATAACAAACCTTGTTATAAAACTTGATGGAGTAATAAATAGAATAAATTTTGTGGACGACGTTGCTCATCGTTTTCTGAATAACTGGTTGATTTTCTGAACATCTGCAGCCTGAACCTGCATTCCTGCGCTCATGTCTTTTGCTTCGAAATACTGTTTCAACGATTCTTCCACCTTAATTTTTTTTTTGCGATAAGTTTATAATAGTTTTTCAACTTTCTCGGGGTGATGAAAATGAATAAAGAAGTGGACTCTGACAGGTCTCGGCGCATACAGACAAAACTCATAGTCGCCTGAACAACCTTTTTAAAAAATTTTCTTTCGGACAAAAAATTTGGGGTTTGACTTACAACAACGGGATGAAAAGATTTTTTTTTTGAAAGAAAGCATTTCAAAAAAACCGGCATCCAAATATTGCTTCCTATGCACCGCATAACTAAGATAATGCACAAAAAAAAGGAAAAAATTAATGGCTAGTAATAATCAAGTCTGACCGGTTTCTGTGACGTTGTGCTGCATCTCTGCGTGTCCGTCTCCGGTTGCCCAGTCGGAAAATTCCGTGCTCGGCGACGTGGCACGGAACTGCATGGGGAACCTCGAGTTGGCCGCGGGCTACAGGATATCAAAGTTGGTAAATATTGTATGGCTTATAAACCCTGTAAAAAAATAAGCGCAACTATACCCGCATACTGAGCAGAAGTTGCATTCCTTTTTCAAGAGGCTCAAAAAAACATGTCAGCGTACTTTCAACGTCGATTGTGATCAGCCGTCCAAGCTGTAATCATTTGATTTGGCTATACTTTTTTTGACCCCAGTGCAAAATACTTTTGTAAAGTTTCTTTTCATTTCAAACTTGAGTTTTTCGGATTATGAAACGATGAATAATTTCTGAGAGATCAGTATTAAAGGGAAAACTATTTTGAAGAAAATTTGATAAATCTTGAGCTTGACGAACAGAACGTGGACTGTCAAATTGAATCCGTCCACTTGAGAAAAAAAAATTTCCGATGAAAAATGAAAATTTTGAGGACAATTGAGAACACGAAGGAACCTGATATTCGTCGCCGATTCTGGATTTCGTTGTCAGAGAAGAGACTCCATAAAAGCTTAGCAGGACAAAAAGTGCGATTCGGAACGCCATAGACTGAGTGGCTTGAAGTTAGAATCGATGCCATGATGTCCTTTATTGATACGCAATTTTGCGATAAGGAATTATTTCCTCTTCCGTGCATGCAGTGAAGAGATCTACGATCAGGATATTGAAAAAGAAATCCATTGAGAATCTAAAGTTATTCAAAGGAAAGTGTTTTTCGGCAGACATTCATCTGAACCCTGCAATGCTCATGCGTACCATTTTGGGGTCTCTATAAAGCGTTTAGACTATAAGAATATCTGCGAACAGATCATTAGGAACTACTTCACTCGACTCGATTCGATTAATCTTAAAGAGAAGCTTGATTTTATTTTCGTTTGCACGTTTGCCCATTTATTCAGAATCTTTTTTTTCGGTTTTTTTTTGCTCGGAATCGCTGTTTGTACGTTAGAGACCGAATTTATGCATTTTTTTTTTTGCATATTCAGTCACTGTAGATTAGTAGAATCGGTAATTTGCTGCAAATATTCCAAAAAACCTTATTTCTATTCCGTGCGTCAAGTCCGCTGTTTGCGTACTTCACCCAACAATCGACGATCAATTTACGAGTTCAAAGAAGTTTCGAATATATATGGAATCGAGATTTCTTTGACTTTCCACATTTTTGTCACCCTTTTACTCTATGACGTTCATTTCTTTCTCGCTGATTTTTCTTTGAAAGCGGTATTTCCTATAATTTCATGAATTCGTTTATTCTACCCTCCATCAATAAAGTCTTCCGAGCACTGGATGAATTGATTTCTTCCTTTTTAACATGATTAAGCAGTTCAATTTTATCAGGTATGGGAGAACGCGTTTTTACTTTTTTTGCATACGGCTCCATGACAGTAAACTTGGACGCCTCCCTCTCTTACATTGATTTTTTTTTTGAACTTTGAATATGTTTGTTCAGAATTTTTCTTTTTTTGGATGAAATTTCGAAATTTCTTCAAAGACTTAAAATTTCGTTTATGGAGTTTTTCAGCAGTTGCCGATCGGAGATAATAGTGAGTAGAATCAAATCAAAAATGAACGACCGTATCACTAGAAACACGAGAATCTTTCGTCTTAAAGAACCGGATAAAAATAAATTTTTAGAGAATTTCCTGGATACCCTGTAGCGGCTAGCAGATGATTATTTTTTTTCAAGTATCTTATCTAGAACTATCTACCACAGAAGTTTGGACCAGATATGTCATGTTAACCTTAGACACTTCCCTCGTCAGTCGTTTTCTGAACAGACTATAATTTTTTTAAATACTTTTTTTCAATTTTTGAAAATTTCGAAGCAGTAATCTGTTCTTTCTACTCTGGACGTCCTCATAGCATTTGCATCTTGGAGCACTCTCGCGTCGGGGCGACCGCTAATCGCTCGCGGCCCAGCGCCTGACGACAAATTCGCCGCCGCAGACGCGACCGGACTCTGTTTTTGCGGCAGCTCAGTGAACGGAGGGACGCGGGAGGCGCAGACGACGAGAGCATGGAGGATGTGTGCAGCAGTGAGCCACGGATCGATATCTGCCTGGTCCTTTCCTACGGCCGTGTTAGCTGCCGGCAGCACACCTCTTGGCGGTTCCATGCCATTCGCAACTGTCCCCAAGTATCAACATCTGTACTGTCAGGCATGTTGCCGGGTTGGAGAGCCTCGGCGTCTGACTGCTCTTTCCCCCCTAGTCGCTCTACATATTCACTTCATGCAAATAATTCCCAATTATGTTCCCTTTATTCTCTTGCTCTCTCCTCGCACCGATTCCTTCTTCCGACTCTACGGACTGTTTTAACTAAATTTGTACTTTTTGTAGGCTGGAGCTCAATAAACTTTTTGCGAAATAATCGAAAAAAAAACTAATCGATTGCGAAGTTCGATCAATTTTGTCAAAAGGGCTCTTAAAATCATTGAAAAGAATTATTTAACTTATTTTTCTCGAGCTCTTCTCTTCTCAAATTTCAGTTCATGGACAACAGCTTTCTCGGAAAAAAATATGTTTTTTTATTTACAACTTTACAATTTTTTTACTACTCATTTGCTCGATTCCTTTCTGTTGTACTAAAATCCTCTACGCGAGATCTTGTTTCTGAGATTAGAAAATTTCAAAATGCCTGTTTCTCAATAAATCTTCAGTCGTAAACTTGATATTAGTTTTGTGTGTTTCCGAAACGAACATTCAGCGCTTTATGATTTTAGTAAATAAATGAGTTTCTGAGGAAATCAATAAAAAATGACGATAAAATAATTGGAATGGTTTCTCTCCTTAGACTCTGAAAAAATTGGATAAACACGGAAAAAAAAAATGCGTCATAAACATATTTTTATGAATATTGTTCTGAAAAAAATGTGATTTTGTTTTTCGTTTTCGTCTTAGTGCTTTCTCGTTTCTCGTAAATAATTTTTGATGCAGTTAGGGACGTTCTTCTGGTTCCAGTAGCTTCGAGTTTGCGCCGTGCAGTGAAGAAGGCGAATTGGGTGAGCCGTCATGGGCTGCACAATGTCTCAGGAGGAGCGCGCGGCGCTCGAGCGTTCCAGGTACTTGTCGTGACGACGACATCAAGCAGTACAAAACGCCTTGCAGGATGATCGAGAAGAACTTGAAAGAAGACGGCGTGCAGGCGGCCAAGGACATCAAACTGCTGTTGCTCGGAGCCGGAGAGTCCGGAAAGTCTACCATTGTCAAGCAGATGAAGTTCGTTTCCAGTTTTCTTATTCAGAGGCTTCTTTATTTTTCATAAAAGTTTGGGTCGATTAATATCCACATGAATAATATTTTTTTCTCAGTTGTAAAAAAATGATGTAAAAAAAATAGGTTTTCAGGCTTCTGCAAGTTTCATAAGTAGAAAATCTCCAGTCCATTATTTTTTATTTTTTCTTATATAGGCCTTAGAGTCATTTTTCGAAATTTGGAAAGAAGTTTTTCCAGAAAATCGCTAACATTGAAATTAGTTTTATGGACGATATTTTCAGAATATAAGGAAACTGATAGAGTTTGCATTAATGTACTGAAAAAAAGTTTATTGACATTTCTTAAATTGATAGAGTTGTTTTTTTATTATTTCGGTTTCGTTTCCCGAGATAAGATGCATTACACAATAATGTTTTTTCTATCCCTTGAAAGTTTTTTGTGTAAGTTCTGGCTTTCAAAATTCTGAAAAATTTTTATAATGCGTTGCACTGCGTTTTTTGATATTACGTTACGAGTTCCTTTTTCGCGCAGGTGTAAAAATTATTAATTTTGGTCAATTTTTCAATCTCTGTTTTTTTGTTTATGTTTGTTTGCGGGAAAAGGTTTGGGGAGCGTATATATATATATATATATTCATTTACAGCGAGAAATTTTTTTATAAGGAAAAAAATCAAATCGATTTTTTTAACGCTTGATATTGAATAAAGATCGATTCATTGACTTTTTTGCTGAAAAAATATATCTCTTTCTGACTTTGAATACAAAATTTGAATTCAAGAAAGGAAGTATCGAAAAAGGACAATGTCACGCATTATTGTTTGATTGAATACAAGATTTTTTCAAAAGGAATATTGTTTTGAATAAAACAGCATGTTTCAATTTTCGAATATTTTTTCAATAGACTTTTTCCTTGTTCATCATCTTCCTGTTACAAGCATTGTAACGGCTTGTTTTTTCAAATTTGCATATGTCGGCACAAGTTTTTGAAAAAAGTCTGTATGCGCAATATAAGATTTGTTGATTTCATTGATTTTTTTTTCACACTGAAATTCCATACCGCGTTCAAAGTAATTACACAGAATGCAGTGTAATACAAGGTTTCCTAAAAATTATAAAATATCCTCTAATGGCTACTAGGTTATTCCATCTTTCGATTAGATCAATATTCTTGCGAAAAATTGGGAAAAATTCCTAAGATTTTTTCCTAACTTAAAAAGTATATTCAAGTTTACTGTGAACGTAGAGCGGATTTTTGAAATTGATTAAAGCTAGATTGAATGTATCACTAACCAGATAGGTAAGAGCAATCAAGGTCCGAATCCAAGATCCTCAAAAAAAGTTATTTATATCCTAACAGAAATCGGACCAGATGTTTTGAGTAGTCAGCGTTGAAATAGAGCAATGTGAACTAGGTCTTTCAAATAATAGGCTCTTTTGGTATTCTCGGTAACTTTTTGAAGAAATGTACGAAGAAGAGTTCGCAGCATTTTGGGGTGGGCCTTAAAAAGGCTCGTTGCAGCGAAATTAGATTTCCAGTTTCTACCACCAACTCACACAGCCTATTAACGTCAAGCACTAGAGATTATTTCATTCATTGGAAATCTCATTCTTTTCGCATCAGTGATGCATTTACTCTCATTATTGGTTCCGGATTTTCAAAGTTAAAAGTTGACATCAGAGCTCCAGAACCCAACTTAGTATTTTCTTTGCAGAATTATCCACGAGTCCGGCTTTACGGCGGAGGACTACAAGCAGTACAAGCCGGTGGTGTACAGCAACACCGTGCAATCGCTGGTCGCGATCCTGCGGGCGATGGCCAACCTCGGCGTCGCGTTCGGCTCTCCCGACCGAGAGGTCCGTCAACCTCAACCTTATCATATTTCTTCCCGAAGACACATTCCCTTGTTTTGTTTTGTTTTGTTCGTTTGCCTGCCTGCCTGCCTGCCGAATGTGGAATAATGGGGGGTAGGCGGGTGTGAGGGAAGCGCGGCACATGGAGCCGCGTGAAGGCTCTAGAAGAGTAGGAGGCGCCCGCACTCTCCGGAGAGAGAGAAGGCGGCAAAATCGATGGGAAGCGGGGGCCTTTGCCGACAAACCAACGTCGAGCGTCGATGTCTGAAGACGTTGCGACACGCGAATCTCCGCGACGCTCGCACGTCCTCTGCGACGTCTGCTGACAGTGGAGCTCGAACACGCTATGATTCAGAAAAAGCTTGAAGCATAGTGAAGCCCTTTGAAGACTAATTTGAAGAGTAATTATCGTTCTTCGATTTTTACCAATAAATGTAGCCGTAATGCCTCAAAAATGAGACCTCTTTTTCGGCCGCTGTAGGTGCTATTTTCCACCATAACCCCTATAGGGACTACTTTTGCAAAAAATATAGGGACTACTTTTGCAAAATTTAGTGGTCCCTATAGCGGTTGGTAGAGTGGTCCCTAGAGGGGTCCTCCAAAGGACTCTAAAGTAGGGACCGATCTGGAGTTCCTAAGTAATTAGGGCCTAGCCGATTTCTTCATTCTATTATACTATTCTATTTTCATTTTTCGAAGTGTTTTTTAAAACCGAAAGATGAAGAAAAGCTTCTCGCCTTGAATGAAGTAATGCTAAGAAAAGCAGCTGATACTTATGGTCTTGACAAGGGAGGTAATACTTTGCGATTTGGAATTTTCTACAAATTTGCTCTCTGAAAGTCTAAATGAAGATCCATCATAGTCGCTACCTGCGCGAATTTCTAGTTTTTGAGTTATGATTTTTCAAAGCTGCAAAATACAGTTTTAAGGCTAACTTTTCAAACTTCGAAGTTAATTATCTCAAAAACTAGAAGCTGGCGCGGGCTGCACCTTGGATGGATCTTCATATAAACCTTTAAAAATTTTCCGAGCAAAATTGTAGAAAATTTCAAGTCGCAACGTAAAATGATTTGTGGTGTCTAATTATGTGTTGAACTTGAACTTTAAAAACTAAAATTTCAAAAAGTGCGCGTTTGCGCAGGTAGCGACTTTGAGGGGTGTTCATCTAGAACATTCAAAGAGTTTTTGAGCGAATTTATAGGAAAACCCCAAGCGTAAAGTGAAATGACTTTTCTTCCTGAAATCTCTCGAAAAAAAGATTCGGGATTAAGGTGGACGCAAAGCTGGTAATGGACGTGGTGGCCCGGATGGAGGACACCGAGCCCTTCTCCGAAGAACTTCTCGCCGCCATGAAGCGTCTCTGGGCCGACAGCGGCGTCCAGGATTGCTTCGCCAGGAGCAACGAGTATCAACTCAACGACTCTGCCAAATAGTTCGTTTTTATCGATTTTGGAGAATCTCAACTGTTTTCTGAAGTTTATCACTACATTAATGAAAAAGGGGAGCAGCCTCTGTAGTCTTTGCAAAGAAATTCAAAAGAAACCATCATTCTTTAATTATTGAGCTGATATAATTTCCAATCCTTTTTTTTCTTCCCTCTTTCTAACTTCACATTCAAATGAAAAAAAGTTCAAAGATATTTCAAAACTGGGGTTTGCAGCTTCTTGGATGATCTGGAACGATTAGGCGAAGCTTCCTACCAGCCAACGGAACAAGATATCCTCAGGACTCGTGTCAAGACCACCGGTATTGTCGAAGTCCACTTCACCTTCAAAAACTTGAATTTCAAGTTGGTTTCCCGGGAATTCTCATGAAATATCTCCCTTGTTTTCAGATTATTTGATGTGGGAGGTCAGCGATCAGAGCGGAAAAAGGTTATTTTTTGGTTTTTTCTCTGCAAATTTTCATACAAATTCTAGAACTGTGAGTAACGCTCTTTTAGGTGTTTTTTGTCAATAGTATATGTTTTCAATGGCTTTTCCCAGTCCATTTTATCAATAATCTTATGCAAAGTTCTGAACAATTCTCGGAATTTCTCGCAAAATCAACTTCTCAGTGAATGAGTCGAAATCAATAATCTAAATCAATTTGTCCAATATTATCTTGGATTCAAAAAATTTTTTTTTCTTTCTGGCTCAATTTCTATAGTTGAACCCTTTCATTTTCTAATATTGAAAAATTTCACAATAAGAAGGCCCTTTTAACTTAATAAGACCTCAGCCGTGAAAAAAAAGAAGTGAAAAACGATTCTTCAGGAAGTTTTTCACTAGAGTTAGCGTCTACTTTTTTTGCCCCCTTTTGTGCAAAAACATTTCAGAAATTTTGGTTTTCGAACTTCAAAAGCTTGAAATAGCACTTTTTTGTCATAGTTTGTATATTTTGCAAACTTTTGAAGCTTCATAAAAAGATCTATTGCGAGAAATTTTTCTTGTTCTGAAATCAGGAGGCCCTCAAATACAATTTAGAAAATTTTCATCAAAAGTTAAACCGGGGCCTGAAAAACGTTCCCTAGTAAGAATTGTTTTCCGAAGTTCAGATTTCCGAAGATTTTTCGAGTTTATAGGACCGTTTTCTATTCAAAATGCTTTTTTCTTTCAGTGGATTCACTGTTTCGAAGACGTGACAGCCATTATTTTCTGCGTGGCCATGTCTGAGTATGATCAAGTGCTCCACGAGGATGAGACGACAGTCAGTTATTCATCGAATACTTATTCTTCCCTTCTGTGCCATTCCATAACTTGCATGGATTTCAGAACCGAATGCACGAATCTCTGAAGCTTTTCGATTCAATTTGCAACAACAAATGGTTCACCGACACGTCGATCATCTTGTTCCTCAATAAGAAAGATTTGTTCGAGGAGAAGATCAAGAAAAGTCCACTCACCATCTGCTTCCCTGAATATTCAGGTTCGCCTTCAGAGATTTTTCCTCTATGCGATCTTAATTATACATGAATAACTGAAATGCAATTTTTTTTAGGTCGTCAAGATTACCACGAAGCATCGGCGTATATTCAAGCGCAGTTTGAAGCCAAAAACAAGTCGGCCAACAAAGTTTGTCGATCTTTTTCATCTCGATTTTCAAGTTTTCTCAGTTGAAACTTCTTCTGAATTCTAAATTGATCGAATTTTCTCTGATATATTCACGAGTTATTTTGAATTTTCTCTTTTTTCAATGTTTTCATCAATTAACAGTCCTCACATCTCCAGAAAGTTTTAGAAAGATCGAATTTCTTACAAAAAAGTTATGACCGAAAAACCCAGCTTTTTCGTATTTTTCTGACGGTACTCTATGAGTGCCCGACGGAGAAAAGCGCGTACAGATTGCAAAAAAATATGTTCGAAAATTATTTTTCTTTCGACTTTTTCAAATGATTATTCTCCCAGCTTTAAACTGTTTGTTAAATTTTTTTATCAAATCTTTAAAGAAAAGTTTAATGCGACCGCGAAAGTCTGCAAGATTAGTGTTCTGCTTCACGAAGAGCTCTTCCAGGAGATCTACTGCCACATGACGTGCGCCACCGACACCACCAACATTCAGTTCGTATTCGACGCCGTCACTGACGTCATCATCGCCAACAACTTGCGTGGCTGCGGCCTCTACTAATTCCATCGCCTCTTTTTTTTGTATTTCAGTTTCTCCGATGCTCTCATATTTATCTATAGCTGTGTGCGGAACCTTCGCCCGTTGGTTCCTTTTATGGTTCTGTGGTAAAACAGATGCAAGCAAAGCAGCTGTTAGAATTTCGCTCTTCTCGGGCTCTTCTCGGTAGTCGTCCTTGCACTTTGTATAATATGAATGATTCTCAACCTTAGGTTCATTTCAATAGTTTTGTTTTATTTTTAAATGTCCCCGAGGCCGGATTTTGCTCAGTTTGGGGACGATTTTTTCTCGCGGCTTTCGAATTGTTGATCGTTTTGTAGACGATTTTTGCGATCCCCCCACCCATATACAGGCCTGGTTTTTATTATTTAGCGCTGAATCTGGCTGCTGAAATATAGGATACACTGAATTCACTCATTCGACCTAACCAATATGCGATGAAATTATTTTTGGGAATTACAATTCGCCACGAATTAGTCGCGTCGTAACCCAATATTTTATATTTTATTTTTTGAATTGCTGATTCAATCTTAATTTATTGAATTTTCATACCGTGTAGCTCCGTTTTAATTTTCAGTTGACACACTTTGATACACTAATTTTCTTTTTTTCTGCACAATTCAATGGTCTCTTCGTTATAACTCTTTATTTCATCATTTTTATTATTGTATATCTTCATTCTCACGTTTTGACTTTTTGCTTCGTCTCTTTTTCTTTATTTCTGCTTTGATTTCACAATAATTTTCCACTTCTTTTGCGTTGTTTAAAACTTTAATCTGAATCCTAGTCTTGGACCGATGCGTTGTTGGTTATCTTCATTCACGACAGTTCTTCGAATACTGAAAGTTTGCTTTTACGAATATTTGGCTTGCCTCTCGGACATGGGCAGTCAGTTTGTAGATCAAACGTTCAAAAATTTGAAAATTGCAGTGAATGAAGTATTCTGATTACTACTATGCATGCTATTTTATTTCTTTTTTTAATTGAACTTTGCCTGTGGCTCTATCGTCCAAATTTTGATTTATAAATCATTGTTTATCATTTGTAGAAGAAAACCCGTCATAATAGTTAAGGAGAAAGGAAGTCATTGAGTGGCGCGTTCAAGTGACAAGTGCCGTCGATGTTGACGAAAGGCGGGCAGCACTGTGGCTGGTCGCAGGAGGCGATCGTCGGCGTCGACCTGAAATCCGTCCCGGTTGGAGTGGAGTACAGCCGACTGGACAACTTGGTGCATATCTTGCCGTCACAGAGACGGTTGTTGGACAGCAACGCGCAGTGTCGGTCCACCGGACACGCGTTCAGGTTGCACGTGTTGAACTCTTGTCTCCGGCCGCTGCAAACCGTTGCTCCGAGATTCAAGTCAGCACTCTTCGAAACTAATTCTAACAACATTTTTCTTCGATCAAAACCTCAAAAATTATCTCTGGCTTGAAATCTGAAAAACGCAGCTGGGCCGAGGGTGATGGCCGAAGTCGCATCGTAAATTACATCCAATAAATTTTCTGCATGGCACATTTTCGATCACTCACTGCCCCATACACACACTCTGTGGAAATTCCGAGACAAAAAGTTCGAAAAGTGGAAAATTTTCGACCGCTTCGCGACCGCGTTGCAACACTATGGCCAACCCAGAGCACATCTCTTAAAAAACGCGAAAAAAAAACGCTTATCGACTTCTATTTCAAGTTGAAACATGTTTTGCACGTTTCTTCTGACATTTTTGCAAAGCTAACAAAAAATAAATATAGTTGGTTGGACTCTAGATGATTTCAAGCATGTCTTACCAGAGTTTAACGAGGGAAGGTTGGGAATTTAAGGAAACTTCGCAGAGCACTAAATTAGTGAAAAAAACAGCGCCTTGTGTTTTTAAGTAGAGTTATAACGAATCAAAGTCTAAGCTCCACCATTGCCGTGATGCAAAAAATGACCCCCCTTGTCAGAGAATTCAATGAGCGTTTTGTTGAATTGGCTATGAAATTGGAGAGAAATATGGGAAGCAAAAATTTTTTCGCGTTTCAGAACATGTTGATGAACTTACTCGCATTTGCTGGTGCGACAGGTGCGGATGCGGCTGCGGATGCCACAACCGCCGCAGCTGCGAGAACAGTCCGACCAGGGACCCCACTCGGCCCAGACGTTCCGGCCGGAGATGGTCACTGGCGTCTCTGAAACGACTCAATTCGGTGACCGTCCGAAAGATGTGCTAAACGAGTTGTCGTAGCGACGGGCGGTGCCGGCGTCGTTCTTGGAGGCTGTCTGGCTGCAAAGAGATTTTCGGATCTTTTAATGGGAACTTTCATGAGAACACAAACGAACACTGCTAAAGTGGAAAGTGCGGAAAACGGGTGCAAAATGACCGCCAAAAGGGTTTCCGTTTTGCGGCCTTTATTGAGCCTTTCATCATTGGTATGCTAAAAAGACTCAAAAAAGGCTGAAATAAGGCCGCAAAAAGGGCGAAGAAATTCTCGGCCATTGATTATTTCCGATTTTGTTACTGTAGCACATTTTGGTTCATACACAGTCACTGGTAAAAATTATTGTCACTTTAGAAAAATTTAGTTTCTCAAAAAGGTCCAAAAAAGGTGAATGAAGGCCGATGAAAGGACGGAAAAGGGCAGTAAAAAGGAAAGACTTTTTGCCTTCAAATGGTTGAATTGAATTGAGAAGAAAACAGGAAAAATTTACAATTGGAATCCACAATATTCGGTACTCTCTTGTCATTTCTAACTCATAAGATCTTATATTTTTCTCCTAACTTAAAAAAAATTTTGAATTTAACACCACTGCAATAATTTCTTTTAGCCTTTGAAAATGTTAGAATGATTCTCAGTGTTCGAAACATATTGAGTCTCTGAAAAGACTCACTACTTCGGACACGCATCTTGAAGCCGACGTCGTTGGAAAGCTGCGATCGGAAGATGGCAACCGCAGTTGATGTTTCAGAGACAAAGCTGCCTTTTGGAGGTTCGTAGCAACAAAACCTGCATACACAATGTCTTAATGAATATCAATTTTGTATACCGGAAACCAGTGTTCTTCAAGTCGCTCGAAATTTTCAGCTCTACGAAGTCTACACACGTCGAAGTACAGAGAAATGAAAAGTCGTCAATGAATTCAAACTCGAGTCGATTTTCGGCGTTATGAGCCTTAAATAAACATAGTAAGTATGAAAAAATAAGTTAAAAGTTTATAGTCAAGAGAGATAGTAAACAAGTTGGAAATTGTATAGGTACATCTCGAACAATCGACCTGATTCTTCCCGACTCAAAAACTTGCGCACAGAGTAATTTGAACAGTCTGAGCACAGACCCTCTAGGGACTACTTTAGCAACCCCTATAGGAACCACTAAAGCTTTAGGGGCTAAGGGGTCAGGCTCTAAACCCCTTGAGAGACTTCTTTTCTGTCTTCTATAGGGGCTGTTTCCCTATCCCTATAGGGATCACTCTCCTATACCTAAGTAAGGGAAGGGGTCAGACCCTAAACCCCTATAAAGACCTTTACCCTGAAGGGACCACTTTTAAGGCTCCTTTTGGGGCTGGTTTTCCCCCGAACCCCTATAGAGACCACTCTGAAATTCCTTAGTATCAGAGATTTTTTGAGTCACCTTAAAAAGCCACGAGCACTTCTGGTCGGGCTCGTAGCCAGGATCTGGATAGTTCGGAGAGCTAATTTCCACCCAATCCTCAGCTACCATCATCGAACCTCCGCACTCGGCGTCTGAATGGAACAATAATCTCAGGGGGTCGAAACGATGTAACTTTTTGGGGGGAGAAAAGTGTCACAGTGAGATCCGCTGAGTCCGTCGGGACAGATGCAAGTACTGCAGTCGCTCGGATGAGGGTAGCCGCCGAACTGGCATTCGTGGACTTTGGGACAGTTGTCTGAAACCAACGACTCTAGAGTTCCCACACTAGTAGAACGCGAATGGGACGTGTCGGGGCATTTCTAGTGACCACTTTAGTAGCGTTAGCACACTTGAGTGATCCTTAGAACTTCTCAGAAACGTCCGGAGTAGGTCTGTTTCGCGTTACCAACGTCCGAGTATTTATACTTTTTTCATTAGCGCAAATTTCCTCAAAACTTGACAATGGAACTTAAAGGAAGAACCTTTGCAATAAGCTTCATTGATGGTCGCAATGTCGTAGAAAGAGAGCGTTTCTCTTTGTCCAATAGTGCTCTGGTACAAGGGGTCTCTACAACATTTCAGTCTTCGCAGTCGCGATGTCGCCTCACCTCGTGACAAGTGTTTTGCTCATCTGGTCCGAGCTGAAGGCCGTGCTCCCGTAGTGCATCACCTGCAGGTATCACATTTATATTGATACCAATCTCAAAAACGACATAGACTTCTATGGAATAAATTTATTATTTTTTGAAACGGAAATTCGAGGGATTTGTGGGCGAATTTACTCCAGGAAACAGGCGAATAAAGGCACAACTTCTATAGGGGCCGAAAAAGTGGTTCCTATAGGGGTTTAGGGCTTACTAAGGAAAGTTTAGGGGGCCCTTATTGGGGGAAAATTGTGGTTCCTTCTAGGGGCACCTAAAATTTTTCCCTACGGCGGCCCCTATTTCACCCCTATAGGGGTCTTCTAAACTTTTCTTAGTAGCCCCTAAACCTTAAGTGGCCCCTATAGGGATCTTTCAACTTCATTAGAAAATCGCTTGTTCATTCAATATTTTTGCATGGGAATGCTTCTTTTTATAGAGTACATAAAAATTGTCTATTAGCATGTCTCCTATAGGGGTTGGCAAAGTGGCCCCTAAGGTTGCCCCTATAGTGACCCCTCTGGAGTTTCTAAGTAGCTTCCCGCTTTTGAGGGACATGAGCTCAAAAATTCTCAATAATCCGGCATCTGAGAGCTTTTTTTCACGTTCGTGACAACTAGAAAAATGTGAAATTTCGGAATTTTTCAGGTCATTATCTAATGCATCAAAGAACACTTTCTCTTTCACAAAAATACTGGTGAACGGTAGCCCACTTCGCCACGTCTTCCATGTTTTACATAAACCTATGAAACCCTATTGCTCTTAACAGAAAGTATCTTTTAAATTATACAAATTACTTCTCTCAAGAAAACACCTTTTGTTGCGAAAGTCATCTGCGAAACTCTTTCAACTTATTCTTTTCTTCATCAACGCTACAGTATGCTCACGGATCCCAAGTCGTACGGTATTCCAAGTGTGTCGATTTCATCTCTGTCGCGTTGAAGGAAATCGCTGATGTAGGAGGGAAGAATGAAGTCCCGTTCGATCTGCAATCTACAACTGCCATCTCGACGATGACTTGAAATAGGCGATTCTTATGGAAGTCCTGGCAAAATATCACAGTAACTTCCGAATGGACTGTTTTTCTTTTCTAAAAAATGACTGGATCAAAGAATTGTTTCATGGACTGTCGCGAAAAGAGGTGTGCTCCGAAAAAAAAGTGGTGTGTAAACGGGTAAAACCAAGGTGGTCCCTATAGGTGTTTAGGATCTGACCCCTCAACTCTTAAAGCTTGAGTGGTTCCTGTAGGGGTCTTTCGATTTCATTCAAAAATCGCTTTTTTTTTTCAAAATACAGTTTTGTCTCCTGTGGGGGCCACTAACTAAAATCCCTATAGGGACCAATTTCGCAAGCCCTATAGGGAGTTGGTAAAGTGGTATCTAGAGGGGACCCTCCAAAGGCCCCTAAGGTTGCCCCTATAGGTAGGGACCGCAAAGCCACGCCCCTTTTCGCGATAGAAAAAGTGGCTTTTTTTTGGTTTTCAACTTTCATTTTGTTGTAGTTGCAAAATATGTGGAACTGGATAATAAATTTTGACACACATGTACAGAAAAGCTTCCTCTTTCGTTTAAAAAACATTTCACGCTTTTTTGATGCGTTCTCGCGGAATGTCGTACAAAAACGTGAATGCAACTAAAAAAATTTGTCATTTTTTGCTTTTTCATGTGTTTTCAGGTCGAACGCACTCTTTCTTTTTTTATATAATGATTTTGATTCAAGTAACGGTAATTTTAAAACAATAAAATAAAAAATTCGTCTTTGCCAAAAATTTTAGGGAGTGCCGAAAGTCATAATTCAAAATATCGTTAATGTGCGAATATAATCGAGTTTTTGTTTTTTCAAAATTTAGATCATGGGCTTACTTAAATATTTCTCCACAAAATATGTGCTTGAAAAAGTTGTTTAATACACAAAAATGCTCTTGAAACTAGAGAATAAAATTAGCGGCGTTTATCACACAGAAAAGCGGTCGAACGCAGGTTTTTTTCAAACAATTATATACATTTATTAGTAAAAAAATCTTTCAATTAAAAGAATAAAATAAAAAAATTCGTCTTTGCCAAAAAAATTTACGGGGCCGTTTTTAATGCAGCGATCGTTAAACGAGGCAAAAAGCACTAAAAAAACAGTTTTTTCGAAGTGAATTTTCACGGAAAGTTTGAGTAAAGATTTGCGAACATATTCTGATAAAAATATCTTAATTACTTCAAGATTTTCTTTTTGAAATAGGCAATCTGTGCTATTCAAACGGCTCAAGGGTATGGCGGATGGAAGCTCCCCGCGTTGGACCTAACAGCTTGGCGCAGCGCGTGCGCTGCGATTATTCATTTTGAGGTCGCGAGTTCGATGCCCCCAAGAGTCAGTTTTTTGTTTTCTGGAAAATACCGACTTTTTCGGCAAACTAGCAAATTTGCATTATTTTAGCCCTCTATTATGATTCCTTACATCATAATAAACCAGTATCGAAACTTGTTCTAGAAGAAAAATCGAGAAAAATGTCAAAAATGGATAATACCAAAATTTCAGTACTAAAAAAATGGTGCGCGGCGCGCCACATTTTTTGTCATAACTTTTTTCATCCTCGATCTTTTTTGAAAAACTAAATGGTTCTGAGTTTTGAATCGAATCAGCTATCAAACCATACAAAGCTCAATGCTGAAAAAATTTTTTTGAAAATTCGTCTGCGGTCCCTACCTATAGGGACCACTCTGGAGATCCTAAGGTCAGGACCCTTTTTTCGACGACTCAAGCCAGCTGTGAATAATCAGCTACACACAAAATGCGATAGCCCACTGTAATGAAAGAAGTTGCGTCGGGGCGACTTTGCTCATGCCAAAGACCGAGGGCATGGCCGATCTCGTGTTCGATGACGCCGATCTACAACTGAAACATTTGAGAGCAACTACCAGCAACTGACCTTCAAGCAGTTTTCGCCTATTGAAACGCCTTGCCTGCCGCCGTTGCGTCCGATCATTGAGTAGCATCTACGAAACTTCACATTTTTGTCTTGACGAGATAATTTGAGAGAAGTTTACTAGTTATAGCCTGTGTACCACGACTTGGAATTTCACCAAACGACATTCCGCTGTTCCGCTGCGCGCCTTTGCGAACCTTGGTCGCGCTTTAAATTTTTTTTTCTTTTATTAAGGTACTTTACTTTCATGTGCTCCCACAGCATTAACAATCAATCGAAAGCGTGACCTAGATTCGAAAGACGAACGCACGCAGCGGAACAGCGGAATATCGTTCCGTGAAATTTGGCCCACAGACTATAGTTAGCTGGCTAAACGTTCTATGAAGCCTTGTTTTTGAATATTTTTAAACTCAAAGTAATTTTCCCAGTGGAAAACGATCTTTGCAATAGAAACATGGATTAACTGCGCACGTCAGATTAAAAAGCCTTGTCCGATTTATTTTTAGGTTTTCTCAATTTAGTTGGATTAATTTTCCGTTCTTTGAGTCCGAATGAGCTAATTCCCATTTTACAAGTTTCTTTTTCAAAAAGAAAGATCGCTAGAAATTTCCGCAGTTCGATCCATTCCCAGTAGTAGCGTAGCTTCGATACGTATGAATGCCCGGAAAAAGATGGAAAAAAGACAGAGAGAGAAGCGATATCTTCGCACCCTTGTCCTTGGAAAAACTCGATGTAGTCCTCGCCGACGAGTGCGTCGGGCGCGTTTTCGAACGTCAGACATGTGGAATCCTCCCAGAAACGGATCGCGGCGATGATCTGACTGACGCCGTAGAAGTCTGAAGGCTTCTCTTTAAGCCTACCTAAAAGTCAGACTCACTCAGGCTCTCGTGAAACCGGTATTTGATCGGCGAGGAGCTGCTCCATTTCGCCGCCTGATCCGAAACGAACGATCTGAAAGAGTGCGATTTCTGTTCATTCCATCAAAAACCATGCGGAATATATATTCAGTAGCTTGAATGTCGTGTACAAAAAGATTCCGCGAAATTCAAAAAAACCGTCTAGCCTATAGTCTGTTCAGATTTCAAATTTCAAGTCCTCGCCCAAGCTCCGCCCCCTAATAGTGCGATAAACCAATCGGAGAGCGAGCCATCCACGGAGCGTTTCGGAATGACGTCATTGTACATTCAAAACATAAACCATAGGAGGCGTGGCTTGTCTGCGCTCTCCACCAACCAGCCACTTTCTCTTCTTTTATCGTGTCAGGACCCATTATCCGATGGCCATGAATACCTTATTTTAAAGCGTTTGAATTTCTATTTTCCACAGCATTCCTAATGGGGTGAGGGAACGTGAGCGAGGCGTCAAAGTTTCAGAAATTACAAAAAAAGTGCGCTCTCCGGAAAAAGTGACGTCATTCTACGTCAAAAATTACATGAGTATTAAACGTTAATAATTTGTTTGTTCGATCGCCTTTGGCTGATAACTTGAAATTTTGTTTTTTCGCGCCAAATTTTTTTGACGTCTCCCCACCCCGTTTGGGAGCGCCGTATTCCCGACACAAACATTTTCGGGACTGCCAAGTAATATCACATAATCTCATCCTCTTAATATTATATGAATATTTTCAACGTGAGTTCTTTCAAATCATATATTCATTTTTCGGGCCATAACATACTACACACACCTCTGAGCTTTTTTCTCACACTTTTTTTTTCCAAAAATGAAAATATTTCACCGTTTCGCTTGTTTGTATTTTTTTCTAGACTTATAATAAGATCAATATCTTTTCTTAACTTTAACTACTCCGTTAGGAGTAACTCAAAATGATTTATGAACCTTCGATGACGTTTGCTCCCTCTGATATTGGAAACTTTCTTGAGAATGTCGATAGCTTGGTGCTTCGAAAGGAAGATGTCGCCTGGAATAACGCTATTGTCGAACACGAGCAGTAATTTGGACCTTCGAAAAGGTAGGGAGAGACGTCTTTGCCGACATTAGCCTGCTCGATACTGATAGCGACGTCCTTCTTCGAGTCTTCGACAGCCTCAACTCAATCTATGCGTCACTAATCACCGCAAACTGACGTCGCTCCCGAACTTCCTCCCAGAAAAGATTCTCGAATGCGCAAGTTTTCTCAGTTTCAGAAGCAACTCCTCGACGCTCTCAAGCTGGCTCTCCTCTACGTTGAAGTGCTCCTGAAATTAAAACAAGTGAAGCCTGAATATTTGATCGAAGGCAGAGTTAGTTTTTTTTTTACAGCTCCGAACAATAAAAGAGATGAGTAGGCGTGGCAGATGCAACAGCGGCACGGTTTAAAGCAATAGGGGCGCGGAGATGAGAGTCGAGTTTTGTGGATTTAGTGCTTGGAAAAAAAGCAATTCTTTTCTTGGTTCTCGCAAGTTTTTGGCATATTCTGAATGTGTATTAAATTATAAAAAATCTCTTTAAATGAAAAAAGACACAAAATAGCTTTGCCAAGCGAAATATTTCCAAAAATGCCGTTTCCGAGAAGAATTCGTCGAATAAAATTGAAAGAAACTGAGATGCATCTTTAAAAAGAGCTTCATTCTGTAATTTATTATGGTTTTTATTGTCTTCAGTTTTTTTTTTCTTTTTTTTCTCTACAATACTGCTAAAAAGACAGCACGAAACAGAAGTCTTGAAGCGAAGATGCTCTGTTTTGATCTAATTCGGTATACGGTCTCTTTGGCGAAAAGAAAAACGTGACAAGCTGGCGCGGGATGGGCTATATATTCATTCAATTTGTTTTCAGGTCTTCTGTAATTCGACGAATTCAGAAGAGAGAGAAATATGGAAGGCGCAGGGGTAGATGCCGTGATCTACCTTCGCCGCGCAATTTGAACCGCCCGTTCACTGTCCCAAGCCAGAATAAAATATGCTATACCTAAGCTTCCCGCATTTCAAGCACTCTACATAAAACTTGAAAAAAAAACAATTTTCTCACAAAAGTACTAAGTGGGATTGGTCATAACAGCCTACAGTGAACTGCTGCTTGACGTCGTCGGCGGCCAGAAGGCAGAGCGGCAAGAGAAGGAGAAGCATGGAAAGGCGGCTGTGGCGGCTTCTGCCGACCTCGGCAGCCGCTTCCCTTTTCACTTTCCTTTTGTCCTTGTTGTCTTTTCTCCCCGTCGACACATCCGAAGGCTTTTCAACTTCGGAGGTGTCCTCTCTTTCCTCGTGGATCCTTGCCTTCATACTTGACAAGAAAGTAAGAATGAATAGCTTCTCATTAACAAAAAATTCAGAATTATATTCATGTAATAAAGTGAATTGGAGAATAAAGTGTGGACAATCCGTAATAAAAATCTGGAAATTATGCGATCAGCTGATTAAAGATGTACATATTATGGTTGAACTATAAGTTGCTGGCAAGAGATCTAGAAATTCCGAAACTATGTAAATATATTTCTATGGATCGAGACGATATATAATACAGATAAAATTCACAGAATATAAGTTTGTACAGAAGCAGTCAGTCAATTGTGCTTAAAATAGCCTATTTAGAAATTTTCAATACAAATACATTTGAAACATAAAGATCTATTTTTCGTGATCGAGATGATATATCCTAATTTGAAAAAAAATATATTATGTCGGGGGGTTGCAAAATACAGGAACCAGCCTAATGTCAAAAATAATAACGTATAATACATGAATGCCGGTTTCTTTTTCTCTCCAACGGTCTCTAGAGAATTTATTTAGATTGTTAAAATATAGCAAAGTAGATAAAAATGAAGATGACGCGACTTTTCATGAGATATCAACAGAAAATAGTCAAAAAAAAAAGGGAGAATAAATGTTATGTGCGGTTAAAAGTTGGAAGTTTGTCGAAAGAGTAGCCAGGACGACCGCACAATGTACAGACAACGTAGTAGACGTGATAGAAGCCAGGAATGAAGCAGACGAATCCGGCGAAATAAAACACCCAATGTTGCATTCCTGCCGTGTCGCGTTCTTCAAAATATTCATCTTGAACCAAAATCTTTCATGAAAACTTTGAAAATGTTTAAAAAGTACAATCGATGCGAGCTCAATAACTGATGCTTTTTTGCCATTTTGAGAAAGTTTATCATCGCAGAAAAAACTCTGAATATCAAAACGATCGATGATAATGAGATTTTTTTTTCTTCACTCGCATATCTAAAATCTTTATTTATTATCTTCTCACCAGGGAATGGTCTCTGGTCACAGTGAGACCAAGTTCACTAAACTTAGTTTTTCACGCAGATTCCAAATCTGCTCTCAAAAACTGCCACGGAGGTCTGCGAAAAAATTTATGGCTCTTGAAAAGTCGAAAATTAATGTGTTGCGCTCAGTTTTGAAAGATATCCTGTCTTTTTGGTAACAGAAAACTGATCATTTTTTTTCTGAGAGTAGATATGATTTTCCAAAGCTCGCATATGATATGATGAGACCAGATTTGGAATCAGCGTGAAAAAATACATATAACTCCCACTGCGACCCTGGCCAGATAGACAGCTGATTTTATGAAATTCAAGAAAAATTTCTTGAGAAAAAAAAACCTTCTTGTGTTTGAAAAGCGACGATGCAGCCAAGGACGAGAAGAACTAAAAATTTGAAAATTTTGACAGCAAATGGATTTTGAAAATACCTATGCCGGCTACGGTCAAGAGAACGGAGCCGAGTATGACCCGAATGTTGGCGCGAAGATGCGGATCGTGGCACAGACCTCTGGAATCCCAAAAATGTCATTAGAAATACTCATTATTGAACAAAATTACCGAATGAAGAAGACATACCTAATTTTACGATTGAATAAGATAGACCAAATCAACGAATTATGATGACTTAGGTCCAACAGAAAAGGAGATTTTTTGTTAGGCACTTTTAAAATAAAACCTCGAGCCGCATATTTTCAAATTTCCCTCGTTAAAATAAATAGTACGTGAAGAAAAATAATAAAGCCAGGAAAGAAAACTCACAGAAGAAACTATTTTTTTCTAAAGGAAAATAACAGCAAAAGCAATCTTGCTTCAAAATTTCTAATAGCATCCCAAAACCTTTAAAAATATGAGGCTCTATGAATAAAGTAGAAAAGGATTTTCCGCCATTTTCCTGAAACTCGAAAAGACTAAAATTCGCCTTTTTTTTCGACTGGAATTGTTTCTTCTCTATTACTATCTTCTCATAAAGCCTTATTTTATCAGAAAGGGCAAAATCAATTATATCCTAGCGAATGATTTACTTTTTTAACGTGTTTTTTCAGATACTTTTTTCAATCATTTGGACGTGTACGATTTTTTTTTTTTTTTTTGAGGAATAAACTTAGAGTGAAGTGAACTGGTGGAGTTCATTTTGATCTATGAACAAGCTATTATCATGAGGAGAAGAAAATTTATTATTTTCAGAGAGGATAATGTAAAAGGAGTATTTTTTTTAGTCACAGTTACACATGGTGGTTGGCCGAAGCTTTTTAAACTTTCTCGAAAAAATTTTTCAATGTGAAGAATTGGAATCGGTACTATTACAAAAACTCCTTTTAAAAAAAAACCTTTCTCAGAAGCTAGTGTCGTGTTTAAAGTAATTTCTGCGAAATGCAAAATGATCTCTGACTCTCCAAAATTTAGTTATATTTTTCTTTCTCTGGCGGCCATTTTCGGTTTCGCGGAATCACTTTGAACACGGGATAATAGAAATTCCAAAAATGGAGGAATGTCACACGACACAGACTTTTTTCAAGGTTTGATGGTTTCTTCAGCCGCGAGTAAATTATAGACATAGGAAAAGTCGGAAAGAGTGGAAAAATGCTCCATAGAAATGTTCCTTTTAGGTTGATAGAGGTTTGTTTTTTTCTACCTTTTTGCGCCATTTCATCGGGTTTTATGCATCATTATTGCTGCCTCTTTTCCACCATTTCTCAAGCCTTCGAAGTCGCAGAAAAAACGAAGGCTCGGAAAAGGGACTTTTTGCTGCCTTTTTTGAGCTTCTCCCTTTCAGCGGCCATTATACACCATTCCGACTTTGCGCAGAAAGAAGAAGAAGAAGCTGATCTTTTAGAAATGCAATACGATTATACCTCATAAAATTAAGTTTCGAAGAATTATTGTCCACGCTCTCCGCTGATTCATAACACTCAGTTGGCATGACCCAAGAAGAAAATACAAACTTGGCTTTGTTGTCTTGAGGACGACTGACGACGTAGGGCGAGCTGCCGCCCGGATACACGCCTCCGTTTCCAAACGGCGCCTCGACTTCGCAGATCGTCGTTTCTGTTTTGTGAGACCGGGCCTTCTCCAAATCTTCCTCGTCTCCTGATTCGTTTCTATCCACGATGAGCTGAAACATTCGTTAGAACCTTATTAGGAAGGTCAATTTAATTTGGAAATTCCTGAAAATTGGTCAGAACACTTCTCAAAGTACCAAATAAAACCCCTGAGAGTCTCAACCTGCACAACCACCTGGCTTTTGAGAAAGGAAATCCTAAAGTCAAAGAAACCCCTGAAAAAATGCCAATTTGGATTTTTTTTTTAAATTTTAATTATCAACAAAGTTATAAATAACAAAAGAGTTCTGATAGAAAAAATCTTCCTTTCAAAATTGTCTGACTTCGAAAAAGTTATCAGAAATTCGAAAACTCACATGTTGTCCTTGTGATACATTGCGCTGATGGCCCGGAATGCCCGGCATCCTGAAAAAAAATTAATTAAAACAAATATACAAATGAATATTTTTAAAAAATACGTAAATTTGGAAAATTAAATTACAGCGAAAGCAGATACCGGCAATAGTATATTTTTATTACATACAACAATACTAAATCTAGCATACTGATGCCTTTCAATTTGAGAATCATTAGAAGATAGATGCAAATTATCATACAACAATACTAAATCTAAAAAAATTAAATAGAAAAAAAAGTTCTGAAAAAAGGATTTTTAAAATTTTGATTTTAACGACTTTCATTAATAATCATTCTTTTTGAATTCTCTAAAGAATTTTTTTTTATACAGTGTTCGGCATTTTCTTCTTTTTCATAAACGCAAATTTCAAGAAGTTTCCGTCTTGAACTAAAGTAGAAAAAGGCTCTTCTAAATAATAATATTCTTTCAAAGAGAGTTGAAGTTCTCTCGAGAAAAGTAACTACGTAAATAATTCTAAAAACCAATAGCAGCTTCAGAAAGAGAAAGACAAACATTTAAACTTCTTCTTGCTATCTTTTTGAAATACTTGCCTAGAAAAAAATTAAAATAAATCGTAAAATACATCACAAACTACTGAGAACCTTAATTTGATGCAAGAAGAAAAGGTGCCAGGTAAAAATTGATTTTCAAGAAGGATAAAAACTTATAAACGATATGAAATTGTTTATATATCAAGTTGAAAAATTGTGAGTTGTGAAGGAAACACTTACGAAGCTTTCCTCTGTGTGGTTCGCTGTTTTGTACGCAACGCACGTCCTGCATCTGAAGCAACGCGCAACTTTTTTAAATTCAGCATTCGAAATTCCACTCAAATTATAACGGATAATATAGTAACAAATAATAACAACAAGCAAAGAATAGCTTCAAAATATACAATGGCCTTTGAAATAATAATATTTGATAATTTTCGAGCCGAGTTAAGAATCTTTTTTATAATGTCACGCAAGAACCGCGGTATGACGGCGAAAGTCTAGCGATATGGCATGGTTCTCACTAACGATATCGCCTGTCGATGGATTTTATCACAATCTAGTCATGAAAAAGCCTGAAAAAGGTTTATTTTGCGAAAAACCTCTTCCATAGGACTACATGAACTTCGGTTCTCCAACGGAATTTGGAACTTCGAAAAGATATATAGTATGTTTAAAATTTGAATTTATAGCAACAAACTCCGCCCTCAACAACGCTCTGTAGATGGCTTGCTTTCTAATTGGTTTGATCTACTCATAGGGGGCGGAGTTTGAGCGATGATTTGATATTTAAAATCTGAGCAGACTATAACAATTATTTTGAAGGCAACAAGGTCGTCAAATATGAATTTCATGACTACATGGAGTACCACTGTACGCCACGCAGGTATTGTATCGGTTTATTCTTCGGTTGCCAAAAAATTCCATTCTTTCAGCCTGTGTTGGCGTGTCGCCGAGTGGTTGTGGTCCTTGGACCGGAACGAACTGATCAGAGAGGCGTCGCCGTCGCTTGCCAAGAACAACGGTTACTGTTTGACGCGTTTTTTCGCCCTGGCAACAGGGAGAGAATCACACGGACCCAAATTAGTTGTCTTGTCTTGCATTACAACAGTCGGTTGGCCGCCGCACTCGCGATGGCGTCGTTTTTGCGTCGTTTGCTACCGTCCAAGAAGAAGCGTCCCACCCGGAAAGACTCCATCACCGGTCGAAATCGAACTTTTGTGAGTCTCTACATATCCCACAGCGAAAAAATGCGAGGATCATCGCCGTTTTTCTTTTTAAAAACCGCTGGTTCAAAGATAGTCTTTGTTCGTCTATCTGTTCGATGAAAGTGTAATGTTGATGTTAATTGAAGTCTGAACGGCGGATAGAACTGTGGCCAACGGGGAAGGTCATTATCAGATCATCTTTCCCTGAAATTGAGCCAAACTGCTCCATTAAATGTGGTTTCACAGAACTGAGTTTTTTACTCGAATTGAATACCGTAGTTTAAAAAGTTGTATAGTCTGTGTGCCACGACGTGAAATTTCACGGAATGACATTACGCTGTTGCGCTGCGTGCGTTCGCGAAGCGTATTTCGAACCTAGGTTACGCTTTCAATTGATTGTTATTGCTGTGGGAGCACATGAAAGTAGAGTACCTTAATAGAAGGAAAAAATTAAATGCGCGACCAAGGTTCGCAAAGGTGCGCAGCGGCACAGCGGAATGTTGTTTGGTGAAATTCCAAGTCGTGGTACACAAGCTATAAAGGCTCCTATAATATCTGAACTTCTACTTTTTTTTTCTGGCATCCTGTGGTTAAGATTCGCAAAAACCTACACGTTTACGACTCTGTTTTGTTTTTATGAAAAGTTGAAAGCTGCAGGAAGTTCCCTATCTCTCACGACTTGACGGTAACCAGTTGCAAGATGGGCAGTCCCTTATTGTCCGAGGAATCATCACTGGTCTGTTTTTCTATTCTCCGTCATTTTCCTTTAAAGAAGTTTATAAACGCTACAATTCAAGTTTATATTAAATCTACAAGGTAGATTGGCAAAGGTGAAGCGTTGCGTGTGCGACGCGGCTTTTGGCGGGAAGCTCAAGTTCAAATTTAATGGTGGAAAAAGTAGAAAAAATTTTCGTTTTCATTTTTTTATACTTCTATTCTTTCGAGAGAATGTTTTCAAAACCATAAAAAAACAGAAGATACCAGAAAAATGCCAAAAAATGAGAAAAAACTTTCCCCGCCAAAAGCCGCGTCGTGTATGCGCCCCGTCGCACAGACGCTTCATCCTTGCCAATCTGACCATCTCGTCTTTCATGTCGTGGTGGATTGGCTATAATCTCAAAGAGGTATGATTTAGGCGAAGAAGGCTTCATCGTCAACCTGACAAACGGGCCTCGGGTCGAGCTTCAGGATAGCGAGGACGAGAGTGAGTCGACGACGGCCGCCGAAGACCTTGACGACCGTCTTCTGGCTCTTCGTTTCGACTTGCCCAAGGCACGCATCTACTTCAACGCCTGTATCAACGGCCAGTGGGGCAAGTTCGTTTTGTGTGTGCTCTTCCCAAACCTCTTAGAATTCATCTTCTAGGGAGGCGAACATAAAACGGAAGTATCGCATTGGCGATGAGTTTGACTTGCGGATACGCTGTTTCGAAAAATATTTCGAGGTGATTTTAGCTTATTTTTAATCGTTCTTTGAGTTGTTTGGGAAACTTAGGAATTTTTGAGTGATCCCTAAAGGGGCTTGGGGGGAAAAACAGGCCTTATAGGGCCCGAAAAAAGTGGTCCCTATAGGGATTTAGCGTCTGACCACTTAAGCTTGCGTGCTTAAGTGGTCCCTACAGGGTCGTTCATTTCATTCAAAAAAGGTTATTTTTTAGTTTTTCGCATGGAAGTGCTTCTTCGAATAGAGTTCATCAAAAAACTAGCATTTTCCCTATAGGGACCACTTTTGCGAGCTTTAGGAGTGCCTATAGAAGTTGGTAAAGTGGTCCCTAGAAGGGACCCTCTTATGGTCCCTAAGGTTGCCCCTATAGGGATCACTCTGGAGTTCCTAAGAAAAATCATCCTTATTTTTTTTTTGAAACCAAGTTCGACTTCTGTGCCTTTTTTCCAGATCTTCGTGGAGCATAAGCTGGTGGCCAACTTCAAACATTACGTGCCCATGAACTTCATCTCCCATGTGTATGTGAATGGACTCATCCGACTCTACACGGTTTCCTGGGAAGGAAAAGTTTTTGTGCGTGAGAATCTTTTTCAAGTGCCTCAACAGTTTTGCTTTCAGAACTTGCCGTATTCGGCCGAAATTCCAGGGAACTTCTTTGTAGGACGCAAGCTGTTTATTTCTGGAATGGTTGAGAAAAAAGCGAAAAGTTTTTCTTTCGCCTTTTTCGCCGGCGAAAAAGTTGCTTTTCTCTTCGAATCCAATTTCATCAAAAAGGCTCGTTTTCTTGTGGTAATATGTCAAGTCAGCTCTGGTAGCATAAGCAAAGTCGGAAGGGCCCTCCGAGGGTCCATAAAGGCTGCTGGAAGCCCCCAGAGAAGTGTTCCTTTTAGGGGACCAAGGTTCCTTTTTTGCTGCCTTTTTGCGCCTTCTCATCGGCTCTTATGCATCATTTTTGCTGCCTTTTCCCTTTTCCACTATTTCTAAAGCCTTCGAAATCCCAGAAGAAATGGAAGGCTTGATAAAGGGACTCTTTCTGCAGCCTTTTTTGAGCCTCTCCCTTTTAACGGCCATCATCCATCACAATTTTCCCGAGTTATTGCTTTTCCATTATTTCAATGGGAAACACCATTCAATTTTACTAAAACACAAAATTGACTGAAAATCGATATAAATGACCAACGGAGACGGAAGTTTTGGTGTGCCCTGGTGTGTGTTGTAAAGTTTTCTTTTACTCGCTGGAAAAAACCGAACTTTGATTTTCTTCCATTTTCACAGAATCCTTTGCAGAAGACGTTCCGAAAAAGCCAGACTTCTGACTCGTGGATCAGCGAGAATTCTTCAGAAGACGGTGTTTTTCCATTTAAAAGCGACCGGACATTTGATGTGCTCGTCTTTGCAGAAGAAGATCGATACCTGGTCAGTGAGGCCTCACCTATCTCAAATCTTCCCTTAGGTCTTTGTCAACGACGTCTTCTACATCTCCTTCACTCATAAACTGCCTCCAGCTTCTGTAGATCGGATGGAGATCAATGGCGACGTCAACATTTTTGGAGTACATCTCAAATAAACCGAAAATCGGAAGACCTTTAAAAAAAAATAACATAAAAACTTGATATTTTTTATATGAAGGTTCCATTTTAGTTTTATTTATTTAATTTTGTAAAAATTAAACGCTGTGTACAAAGTTTTGCGTGTAGGAAGAAGTGTCCATATTTCACAAAAATCGGCATATTTTCCTTCTCTTGCCAGCCAAAATCCACCATACGAATGTTTTTCCTTCGACAGATTCAGGGTTTGAAAAAAGGGAGAAATAAGATTGAAATCGGTGTGCGATCTCGCACTTTGACCCTTTTCTTCGTCGCGGATCCGTCATTTTCCTTTCAGCCTCTACTTCACGAAAACAACTAAACATTTCTTCGTAAAGCCACGCAAAGCAAAACGAGATGAATTCGTTTGGCTGTTAACAGACGCTGATGAAACTTGTTGTGCCTGCAGGTAGAGAACGCGAAGTTCTAGGGGAAGTTTATCGGTGAGCAAGAACTAACAAGAAAAAACAACGGGGTTCATATAAAGACTGAGGAGAGAGATCCCGAAGACTGTGGAATGTTCTAGAAAAAAGGTGGAGCTTAGAGAGTGTGTTAGGAAAGTATGAGATAACATTCCATTGGCCTTCCCGAAGGTTATAGAACATTCTGGAACGGTTTGGAACGCTCTAGAAAGATGGAATTTTCTAGAAGGGAAGTTATACAATTGATCCCTACGGCGTTATACAACCGTAAAAGTCTAGAAAAGGATAGAATTTTCTAGAACAAGCTAAATATAAGCGTGATTCTCCAACAAAACTATTGGAGGCCTATACAAAGGCAAAAACTACCGATACTTCATCCACAGTTCCGCATTCAAGTCTATTGGGACAGGAAAAAAAAAACACGCAGACAAAAATATTGGTCTGAAAAATGCCTCTTATTTTTAAATATTTGTCGATCCTCCGCTTGCTTTTGATTTTCCCAGATTTCCGCAAATCGTTCTTCCAAAATTTTTCTGATCCGCTCTGTTAATCTTTCTGATAATACGAAACCTTATTTTCCTTCGTTAACAAAAAAAAACTAGAGAACATGGATGGGTAAGAAAAGTCAAAGGCAAAGTCGGAGAGGGTGAAAAAAGTTGACAAAGGTTCCCTTTTTGCTGCCTTTTTGCGCCAATTAACCTGCTCTTGTGCACCATTTTTGCTGCCTCTCCCTGTTTCTACCATTTTTTGAGCCTTCGACACCCCAGAAAAAATGGAAGGCTTAATAAAGGGACTCTTTTTGCTGCCTTTTTTGAGCCTCAACCTTTTTGCGGTCATTATCCACCATTCCGACTTTTCCCAAGGTAATTATGCGATGTCTTCCTCTTTTAGACCCCCTCTTGCTGCACTCATTTGTTTGTTCTGTCACATTATCGTGCCTAAGGGCTGTTATGATTTATTTTCAATAACAATGGTAAGACATAAGTAGACGCAGACAGATCAGACCGTTCTGACTTTCATGTTTGAGCAGGTTCTAGAACCTCAAAACCTTTGGTTCTTCACGCCTTCTTGGCCATTTCAAACTTGAGTAACTTTCGATTGGTTTTTGATGTGCTAAAGGTACGCGGAAATGTTTATCTTGGAGGCCATCTCGATGTTCTTTTACTGTCCTGCCGACTGTTGATGATGTGCTTGGCTCTCTGAAAACGCAGCGGGGGCGGAGACGTGTTATTTTTAGGTCGGAGCTGTTAAGTGATCCGTGGTGAGAAGCAGAGAGTTGGATGAGGGAGAAGGAAGAAGAAGAACCTGTTGAAGGCTGAGGTTGTGACTGCGTGACGACGCTCGATGCGGCAAAGTGAGCGGAGGACGGCGAGAGACGGCCGACGTCCAAGCGAATCTGTATGGACCTCCCTCCGCGCGGCCGCTGGCGTTGGGCGCAGTAATGCCTTCTCTACAGTCCCCGACCACCTCTCCGTCAATCGACGAAAAACAAGCGATTATCGATCTCAGGTTAGTTCGGGCCTTGAGCTCAGCTTGACAGATTTTGCTTCAGGACCGTGATTCCTGAGATCGAAAGCCTACAGGACGGTTACGTTCTGCGGTGGCTGCGAAGCCGTCAGGGCCGATTCAACGACACGGTCGAGGCTCTGCGCAAACACGTCGTCTTCCGCAATGCCTGGCAGCTCGACAAGCTCGCCCAATGGGACGCTCCTGAGGTCTTTTCGATTTGCTTCTCGCATCTCTTGAGTCTGTAGTTCTCATCGATCGGATCATTCGTTGTAATGAGAATCTAGAAGTTGCCTTTCGCTCTGGGAAAGATTTGAGAAAAAAAAACAACAAGCAATGTGCTTCTTCTTCCGATTTCAGTACTAGAACTCAGTTTTTGTAAGCAAATTTTTTGAGGGATCAATAAGATTATGAGGAACGGATCGATTTCGCTTCAGAAAATTAATAAAAAAACTATATTTTTGTATCTTTATTTATTTTTGACCTTGAATCGATTCCATTTTTTCCCCAAACTTTGGAGAACAGATTCTCGAATAGCCTTGACATAATCACATTTGATAATCGCTCAAACTATCACTAAAATTTTTCACAACTTTGAATAGTTTTTATTTTTTTATTCCTGTTCGTTTTTTTCAACAGAAGACCGAAATAAGAGAACTATAAGAGTTTTGAACGAATTATATCAGTTTATTGATTGCTCGCACATTGTTATAACTTGATCATTTTTGAGATTTCGCAGTTCAATTTTATATACAAAAAGGGCTCGGGCAATGTCGGAATTATGGATAATGGCCGTTAAAAGAGAGGCTCAAAAAGACCGCAGAAAGGCAACAAAAAGAATCCCTTTATCGAAGCCTTTCAAAATAGAGCCACCCTAAAACGAACATGATTTTTTTTTATGAAGCCTTTTTCACCCTTGAGAAAATTCTGGCCGAGCATAGCCCAACGTGTTTTTCTCGTTCGATTCTTGCCTGTCGATGTGCCGATCAAGGCCGCGAGTACCACGCGATATTTTCAACGGTGCCGAAAACGCGTCTGACACCATTAGATAGCCCAAATTTTGCAGCGAATTTTGCTCTTGAAGTTCTAGGTATTTGTAGCAAGACAAATACAGTTCACGATTCGAAAAATTCCAGTGCCTCGAAAAGTACTGCGGCTACGGCTTGCTGTCGGACAACGAGGGTCGACCGATTCTGATGTCCCTGTTGGGAAATGTCGATGTCGAAGGCAAGTGATAAAATATGGCTGTCAGAGCCTCTGAATGATCGTTTTACACACGTATTTGTAATGTTTTGAAGCTGGCTAATGCACATTTAAATCGTGAAAGCCACAGGTCTATTTTTTTGGAAAGCTCTCATAGTACCTCATCTGACTTCCCAGAAAAAAAATGGTGATATGTTTTCTTCTTCTTTTCAAGAAACTGGGAACTTTTGCGGGTTTATATAGCTGATTCACGGCTGGCTTGAGCCATCGAAAAAAGGGTCCTGACACGATAATGCACGAGATAGCGCCTGGCTCGTGGAGAGCGCAGACAGTACACGCCCCCTTAGCGTCCCAAGCTGGCCGTGAATCAGCTTTACTCCAACAGTTCCTCACAGGGTCTTTTAAATAACGTTCGATGACATTGAGCGAAACTAAGTGTCTCCTGGATTTATTTCACACTGTCCGTTTTTTTATAAATTGAATCAATCCCTATAGGGGATAGGAAGGAAACAACCCCTGAAGTGGCCGGAAAAATGGTTCCTATAGGAGTAAAGCTAAGGTGGTCGGTGGTCTCTATAGGGGTTTTGGGTATGATCCTTAAGCTCAAGTGTAAGCTGAGGTTGATCCCTCTGATCTCCTTCTTTGTTCCCCCTTCCGATGAAGACAGTTCCAACGAAGAATTTATCTCAAACTTGGGTAATTAAACCATATAAATAAAATAGAACGAAACAAAATATAAATTACGACAATAGATATAAAATCGTGAAAAAGGAGAAGTGAAAAGTGGCAACGGGGAAGAGACCGAAAACTGCGGGCGACTGAACGCTGGGTACGGGGTTGCACAGTTCTGAGTCAGCGCGTCTAGAGTGGTACGGGTTGCGGCTGGCCAGAGGAGGGAGCCCCAAAAGAATTGAAACAGGCCAGAGACGTCGAGGGAAGGCCCTTTTCCTCTTTGGAGAGTGAAACCAGTCTCGTTAATAACGGACGGTCTTTTGGCTCCTTGAGGGGACCTTTATCCTCTTGTTCGACGTCTTTGGTCTGTTTATATGATTGGTTGTGATTTGATTCACAACAAAGTGGACTCTATAGGGGTCTTACGATTTCATTCAAAATCGCTTATTCATTCGATTTTTCCCATGAAAATGCTTCTTCACTTAGTGTTCACAACTACCGACTGGAATGTCCCCTATAGGAGCCACTAACTAAAACCCCTATAGTGGATAATTTTGAAAGCTTTAGGGGACCCAATAGGGTTGGTGTTATCCCTATAGGGACCACTCTGAAGTTCCTAAATCAATATGAATCGCTTTCATTCAAAATTTAAAAAGAAAACTTTTTTAACGCGGCGTTTGCAGGTCTTCTGAAGTCCGTGGCGTCCCTCGACTACATCAAGTTTTCATTGGCCGCCATCGAAAAAGGCCTCAAATTATGCGAGCAAAAGGCCCAGGAGGTTTTTCTTCTAACTTCAATTTTTTTTCATTTTGTTCTTTTTTTTCGGAGCTTATCATATGAATGAACTTCTTTGAACTTTCAAAAATTACTTTGTTGGAGCTGGATTGATTCCTCTTAGCAAAAATCAAAAATCAATCAATAAAAAAACGTAAGTCGAAAATTCAAGCTATTGATTTTAATCAAACAATCAATAAAACTATTTATTTCTCCGGCACAAAAATAGCTGATTCACGGCCGGCTTGAGCCATTGAAAAAAGGGTCCTAACACGATAAGAAAAGAGACAGTGTCTGGTGGGTGGAGAGCGCAGACAGGCCACGCCTCTTTGCGTCTTAAACTAGCCGTGAATCGGCTATAATAAAGTGCACGGGATAAATGTAGGAAAAGACGTATTTTTGCAGTCTGGAAAGCCGTTCGAGCAGATGATGGTGGTTTTCGACCTGGAGCACATTTCCTCGGCGCATTTCTCGTGCCGACAGTTCGCCTCGTCGTTCACCACACTGCTGACTCTCTTCCAGGAGCATTACCCCCTGGTGCTTCGGAAGATCCTCATCATTCGGTAAGTCTACTCCGAGGCCCGCCCGCAAATCTTTCTGCAGGGCTCCCGAGATGGCTCGCATCGCCTACGCTTCGATAACCGCCATTCTCTCCGATCCCATTACCCGACTCATCGACATGCCCTCCGAAGTTCTTTTCCAAGCTTTTAACGTCATAATCAAATTTATCAGGCTGACTGGAAGTGGGCCTTGGCGCAGCACGTCAACCTCGACGCATGGCCAATGTACTGGGGCGGTAACCTGGTCGAGAACGGGGATCCCAAGTGCCCAAACAAGATACGGTAAATCTCCGGTAGAGAGCAAAGCAGCTAACCGTAATTCAGCTATGGCATGGGTCCAGTGCCAGACAACTATTACGTCGATGCGAAGATGGCCATGCCGGACTACGACCAGCTGACGACCGTCTACGCAGGAGACAAACATCTTATTTCCATCAAGATCAAGAAGAACAGCCGAATCACGTGGGTGTTTCTAACTGACAGCCAGCCGGGAAATATAACTCTTTTTACGGCAGATCAGAAAGTACTCTAGCGATTTCCAAAGAATTACAGATAGCCAAAAAAAAAATGGCTTTCCTTGTATTCAACCGTTCCCTCAAGCGACCTAGAAGAACTTTTTTAAACAGTTTCAGAAGAAATTTCTGCTTCGGGGAAAATTTTTAGTGATCACTATAGAGGGTCCCCAAGGGCTACTTGGAAAGGACACTAAAGTGGCCACTATGTTTTTTGCTTGTTAGTAGCAACTTTAGTAGTTTTAACCATCTAGTATTACTACTTAAACCTCTATAGTGAACACTAATTTTTAATCCCTAAAGTTGCCACTAATTTGACAAAACCCTATAGAGGTCACTGAAAGTTTTCCCAGATTTAGTCAATCTTTCCCTCCTTGAAAGGCAAGGGAGGCAGAGAAGGGGGAGGGACGCGTAGCGTGCGCGTACGCGGTTCTTCGCACGAGTTCAATTCAAGCGCCAGCTACTATTTGTAAAGCTCGGTCATTGGTTTTTTTTGTAACTATTCTACTATTTTAATGCGATATTGAAAAAATCAATAAATAATTGAAAAAGAAATGAAAAAAGAGCTCTACTGGCGATTGAAATGGACTCGTGCCGAAACCGCGTACGCACACGCTTCGCGTCCCGCCTTTCAAGTTTAAATCGAATTGTGTCCAAAGACAGAACTATTCCGAAAGTTTTCTGCAAACAAATTGTACAGCCAGATGTTCAGATGGCAGTACATGACAGACGAGGACGACATCGGTTTCGAGATCCACTACGACCCCTCGATGGACTGCGACAAGCTCTCCGACATGGAGACCGTCTTCCCATACATCCGGCTGGAATGCACACATGTTCCAGTCGCCGGTCACTTCGACGCCATTCGGCCCGGCTCGTGTATGTTAAACGAACCTCCCCGTTGCTACTCAGCTCGATTCAGACATCATCGAGTTCGACAACTACTACTCCTGGTTCTCTGCAAAACAGCTCCGCTACAATATCGAAATCGAAGAGCTGTGAGCATAATACTATTCAAAATCTGTAAATAACTGTAAATTATTGAATTTTTGTGTTCCATATATAAAAATTGATCAAATGTTTCAAACACTGTCGGAATTACTGAAAACGGGTGCAAAATGGCCGCTAAAAGGGTTCTTTTTTTGCGGCCTTTATGGAGCCTTTCTTTCTTGATGGGCTAAAAAAAGACTCAAAAAAAAGGGTGAAAAAGGGGTGCTGAAATTCTCGGCCATTGATAATTTTTAATTTTATTACTGTAGCACATTTTGGTTCATACACAGTCACTGGTAAAGATTATTCTCAATTAAAAAAAAATTGAGTTTCTCAAAAGGGTTCAAAAAGGGTGGATAAAGGCCGATGAAAGGCCGGAAAAAGGCAGTTAAGAGGAAACCTTTGCCATCCGTTTAGGAACAATTAATGGAAACCTTTTGATTCATAACGAACGCTCATAGAATCCTTGCGACTTTGCCTAAGAAAGTTTTAATAGAAATCTTTATAAATCGAAAAATCGAAAAAATAAATTCAGCTTGGAGTGAACGAAAACAAATTAAACATGCGATTTTTTTTTCTATCCGTCAGAGATAAATTCATAACAAACTCGTTAGAACGCGTAGGGTGGAAAAAGAAAACAAGGAAGACCCATTACGAACACAAAAAAAAACAAAGGACAAGTCTATGAGTAACAGGGTACATGTAAAAAAATGGTTAAAGTGATCAGGTCTAGAAAATAATATCGATAGATTGAGAAAGTAACCCGAAGAGAAAAAAACAGTGGAACTAAAAACGGGAGATGAAAGGAACAAATGGTCAATAGAGGCACTGAGAAAAAAGAGATGTATACGATATATCGCAGAAAATAGTGAAACCCGCTGAGTTTGAAAAAGTTGCCAAAAACAGACAGTAGAGGAATGGATTGGTGACGTCAGCTCTCTCGATGCTTTTTTGGCGATTTTTTGTTGGGCTCTTTCTTATCCTGAAGAATAGAAAATAGCCTTTTTTCTAGCTTTTTTTCAAAATTTGGGCCAGGTGTTGAATAGTATTACTTTTGAGTTATCCTTGCAAAAAGAAAAAAAGGTGAAATAAAATAATTTGGATAAAAAATTGTCAAAAACCAGTAGAGCAAAACCTGGAGTTTCCTAATCAGGAAAAAAATGGCTTATAATCTTTCACGCTCTAATTTTCACGCCCTTTCCATGCCTTATTATCTTTCACGCCCTGGGTGTACCTTCCGAGTTTCGGTAAAACAAAGAAACGCTCAAAAGAACCCACAGGCTGTCTATCTAGCCTCATAAAGATTTGGAAAAGTTTCTACCCAAAGTTGCAGTTAAAAAACTCGAAAAAATCGGAGCCCCGCTTAAAATGTGAAATAAGAAAATAATTCAAAAGTTTTGAAAAAAAATTAATAATGAAATTCAGTTACTATAATGTTCGAAATTCTCAAAAATTACTTATTTTCAGTGTCATGAGAGCACCTTGCAAAAAAAAAAACTAGGGCTCGCAAGATGGGTTTTAGGAGATCCAGGGCGTGAAAGATTAGGGCTTAAAAAATTGATTAAAACTTCGCTTGGTTCGTTAAAAAATTTTCTTGTATGGTAAAAAACCTTTTGTTGATGATGGTGATGATGATGGTGAGAGTGGTGCTTGGGCTTTTCCTTGCCATCTTTGTGATTTCGTTGATGAGGAGATCTATCCTTGTGGTGTTTGTGTTTATTCTGAAATCCGATCGATGAAAAGACGACCAAATCCTGCCGGATACCAAGGAGCAGAGCGAGCGATATCGGTCAGCGAGCTCGGCGGGTTCTCGTGGGACGAACTTGCACAGGAAGATCCACAGATAGTTGTACCATTTTCGAAGGTTAGTGTTGGGTTTCCTGTGAAGAAGGGGATTGAAAGCGGAAACTTTGCAGACACTAGCCTCTTCATCAACTGTTCTAAACTATCTTTGAAAGAATCTCCTAGCCGCAGGATGTATTTAGCTTCGTCGGCCTCGTTGTGCGCTTTCAACGCCTCGTTCAACTTCTTCATGTATTTATGGACAGGCTGGCAAAGTTTCACGCATTCTGCAAAAAGCGATCAGGATCTCTTTCAGTCAGAAAGTTACCAGAAAAGGGACTCTGTGTGCGGTCCTCCAATGCGGCCGCGTACAAGGACTTGTCGATGATGAGCAGTTGAAGTTGATCGGAGAACGATTTGTCGCCGCGAGCAGCGTCTTTTTTGACTTTAGTCTCTTCTCGTTTCTTCTGGAAAAAATGATAATTAAGCTTGACCTCGCCTATAAAGAAAAGCGCTTCTGAAAATTTCCCAAATTTGAGTTTAAAATTATGAGACAAGGGCAGAAAAAAAAATATATTTGAACCTTTCAATTTCTCCTGCGAAATGGTGACATTTTCACATACAGAACTATTGAAAAAGAGAAAAATGTGTAATTTCGTGGCACGGCTCCATAGTTGAGAAAAGGAAGACGGGCCAAGAAATTCCTAATTTTTGACTTCTGCGGTCTTAAATCTTGAAAAATTGTTTGAAAAATGAACATGTCAAAAATAAAAAAGAGGCATCTCTATACTTACTAGCAAACAATCGGAAAAACTACACTTTTATTCTATTTTAAAAGAATAATGAAAATTCACAAAACGTCCGTATTTTATTAATTTGCAATGGAGCAAAAAAAAAGCGGTCGCATCTTTCAAACGCCAGCACTATAGCTATATAGCTTTTTCACGGCAGACTTGAGCCATCAAAAATTGGGTTTTGACACGATAAAAAAGAGACAGTGTCTGGTTGGTGGAGAGCGCAGACAGGCCACGCCCCCAAGCTAGCCGTGAATTGGCTATAGCCTTTCTGCAAATAGAAAAGAGATAACCTTCTCGAGAGGACGAGCATTTTTGTCCTTCTCCTTGTCGTTCTCCATCTTCCGCTTGCGCTCAACTCGTTCAGGACCTGTCGTTCTTCGTTTCTCGTTGTTGGTTGTCGGATTTTTCATCAACTTGAGCAGGTAATCGACGCGTTGCTGTAGGTGCTTGGGCTGCGGCTTTTTCGACTAAAACCCGAAAATCGAGCAGCAGCCACCAGAGAAAAGAGGCGTTTTGAACAACTGACACGTGTGGAGGATGCACAGAGGGAAGAAAAAAAAAACCAAAGAATAACCTTGTCTTTGATAAAGATCTTGTCAGCGAGCCCAAGCTGCGGATCGAGCTTTATCGCTTCCCAACTGCACAGTCCATACTTGTAAATGCCCCAGAGGACTGCGCCATCGTCTACCCACGTCCAGTCGACATCCCAACCCTAAATTTATTTGAGAACTTATTTTTTTGAAAATAAAATCTGCGTTTTCTAAATTTTCTGGAAGTTCATTGATGTTTCATATATACAGTACCTTCAAAAAAGATACGAAAAACGGGGTTCAGGTCACATTTTTGTAAGAAATTCAATCTTTCTGAAACTTTCTGGAGTTGTGATGACTGTTATTTTTAACACTCTGAAGAAGTTTCAGTTCACAGAAAAAAAATTCAGCTTCAGAAACTTTCAGGAAAAGAAAGTTGTGACCAAAGCCGCGTTTTTTCGCATCTTTTCTGACAGTACTGTACGTAAAATTTCATTTCTAGACACGAAGACATGATGGTTTGAAGTTTCTTAATGCTACCGCATGATCACGTTTGTAAAAAAATTAAAAAAATAAATAAAAAAATGAAATTTCCACAGGGAAATTTCCACGTGATACAACTAATAGTATTTATTGAAAAATTGCTCAAGCTCATTTAAAAATCCTCACCAACTTATAATAAAAATGACCTTTTTTCAAAAAGCAACAAAAAGGCATAGAAATTTGAGAAAAAAAAACTTTTAATCTTTCATTGTTTTTTATAAACGGAGTTAAGGGATCGTATTCTGCGGTAGATTTCTGAAAGACGTACATCATTCAGGAAGCTTTTGAGAAAGAACTAAAACTTTGATCGACCAAGTTAAATGAGCAGTTATATTGTTTAACACCGATTCAAGAATTTCAAGCTCGTCAAAACTGTTTTCATAAAAAATGAGAAGCGGTTATCTCACAGTCGAGTCATTTTTGTATAAAAAAAGGTAAAATTGGTTGAAGTATCAGATAAGAACGAACCTTCTGGGGCCGCGCACTTCTCGGCGGTTGCCAGGAGGAGGCTTTCGAAGGCTCAGACAAAGCTGCGTGGAGGGGCTCCAACTCCTCGTGGCTCTTCATGATTTGCTTCACGTTGACTTCCACCCCAGCGAACTTGAAGTTGGGACCTTTGTCTTTCTTCTCGTTCTCCTAGAACACTGCCTTTGATCAATCTTTTCAGACAAAAACACCTTTTTATCTTCATCTTTTTCCTTCTTCTTGTACTCTTCCGCAGCCTTCGCACAGCCTTCCAACAGCGCTTCGACCAGTCGGTGCAATTCGCCGGTGCTGTGCTCTTCGAGCTCCGCGTCTTGGGCCAACGCTTCCAATCTTTTTTTTTCAAGGTTACAAGGCAGGGTGGCCAACAAGAACCTTTCCAGAGGCTGCGCGAACTTTCGAATCGATCGAACAAATCTCTTGATTTCTTGAGTTGAGAAGTCTCCGAAAGGCTGAACCGAAAACTATTAAAAATAAAAGAAAATTGTGCGACCTTTTTCTTTTTCTTTTTGCCGCCATCCTCGTCTTCGCTGGAGGACGAACCGTTCTCTTGCGCTCCGAGCGGAACCAAAGCCTTCGTTCTCACCCGCGGAGCAAGATTTATTTCGGCGAGGGCCTTAAAACTATGTTTAATACACAAAAAGATCGAAGAAAACGCGAGAAATGAAAGGAATCTCTCAAACATTAAAAAAAATTTTTTCGCAAGTTTCAATGCTATTCACATTCATCTATCGTTGTGCACTTCTAACTGTGTAAAATCGCAAAAAAAAAAAATTGAAAGGTTTTGAACTAAATTGAGAACGTAGAAAAATCTTTCAACTACTTCTTAGTGCAGGAAAAAGGCGTTTAAAAATGAATTCCTACGTTAGTATTGAACTTTCACTTATTGAGCTTATGAGGGTTCTTAAAACTGTCTACTCTAACAAAAGTAGCGGTGCACTCTGCGTTGGACTCTGGGTGCACTCCGGCTAGCTTCAAATGTCTATTAAGGTACTAATTGCGCACACGATTTCTAAACGGTTAAATTGGAAGAAAGGAAAGGGTTGTAGTGGGGAAGGAGGAACCTTCATTTTCTCCTCGTCCTCGATGCGTCGACGGTCCTCCTCGGGAATGATGGCGTCCCACTCGGCATTGTCGGCTTCACGCGTCGCCGCAGCAATGTCCTTCTCTTCGTCGAATGCAAAGGTCGCGTATTTGAAGGAGTTCAAGAGCTCGTTATCGTTTCCCTGAAAAGCAGATAATGCGATCAGAATCTTCAGCACGACGAACTTGGGCGTCTTCGGCCTCTCTCGTTTCGGCGCCCATGAGGATTCGGTCAATGTCGACCTCGGGTTCTTGTTCCTCCCCTTCTTTTTCCTTAAACAGCTCGGCGGCACCAAACTTGAGGATGGCGTTCAGCTCGTGCTTGTCGAAAGGAACGCTTCCAGTCGCCGACGATTTTGACAAAACCTCAAAAAAATTGGATGAAACGCTTTGAAACGGGGAAATCAACTGTTTTGCCGGTCGTGTCCATCCGTTGGATAACAAGATGGTCCAGGACCAGTTTCTGCTTGGCTCTCTCTACGATTTCCTCCTCGACGGACCCTTTCGTGACGAGTCGGTAGATGTTCACCTGAGATCAACTTCTTTTTGATCGTGAAGCTTGCGAAACATGGAGGTTAATATGAACTTTAGATTGAATTCAAAGATTCAGTTTTTTGTTAACTTTTTCACTCTTCTTGAACGTCTTGATTTCCACTGAAATAAACTGGAAATTTTAAAAATTGTAACTTTTTTCAGTAGTTTGGGCTCTGAAACTTTCGGGAAATGCTCTCAAAAAACTTCATGTGGCAGGGAATGAATAAGAACCTGATAATCATCCAACTTCCTAATTTTTGAAAGTGAATGCCAATTTCAGATGTTCTTTCTATAGCCCGTTTTTCGCGACTTGACAGTTTTCGAATGTCTGCGACTCTCTGTTCCCTCACCGGCGATGTCAGAAAAACGCGAAAATAGAACGTAAACAAGAGAGGGTCGTGGATAGGCGAGGAGGGCGCAGAGAAAACAAAAAAGAAGTAAAGAAGTAAAGAAAAAGCAGAGTTTAAAGTAGCCTTTCCTTGGAAAAACCGACTGAACCCGTTCATTTTCTATTGGCATTTTATTCTTGTAAGATTCTAATATCAGTTTTCGTCTTTTTGGAAACCTGTCTCGTCTGTCCGATGCGATGAGCTCTCGACATGGCTTGAAGGTCATTTTGAGGATTCCAGTCGGAGTCGAAAATTATGACCTAGGGCAACGAAGATTTTATAAGGATTTCCTAATAGCCGTACAGTATCCGCAGTGGCTAGATTGATTCCGAGGCCACCGGCGCGGGTCGAGAGCAGAAAAGCAAAGTCCGTGGAGCCCTCGGCGTTGAAATGGTCCAGAGCTTGCTTGCGCATATCCGCGCGCATTGAACCGTCCAATCTCTGGAAAAATGTTATCTCACTATCCTCCGTCCTGAAACCAACTTGAGATGGAAACCGCCGGAGTTGAAGATACTCCTGGAGGACGTCGAGCATCATGACCATCTGCGAAAAAATCAGAACCCGATGGCCGGTGTCGTAGAGGCGACAGAGAAGTTTGTCGAGGAGGATCAACTTTCCCGACGATTTCAATAGTTGCTGAGAAAGCAGATTACCCAGGAGAACAAAGGGCTGTCTCACCTGAAGTCGAGCCTGAGCGTCGGACTCGATGTTGTCGTACTGGCGGATGAGGGAGGTGTGGTTGCAGCATTTCTTCAGCTCCATCACCAGATTCACGAAACCGTTTATTGAGCCTAAATTTTACAGAATATTCCTGAAGTCTCAATTCCCTGTTAAAAACCCAATTAGGGAGCGTTTTTCTTGCAATAGATCTCGTTTTCGAGTTGTGAAGCTTCAAAATCTCCGAAATACACAAATTATGAGAAAAAAGCGCTATTTCAAAACTTTGAAGTGTCCTAACTGGAAAACGAGATCTACTGCGAGAAATTTTTTTGTTCTGAAGTCAGGAGGTCCTAAGGTACACTTACAGGGAGGTAAAAAAAAAAATTCCCTCTCAAGGAAAAGTTAGGAAGCTTCCTTTTGGAAGGTTTCCAGCAAGTGGTCGAACTTATACCTTCCGAACACCTCTATTCACTTTCCAGTAGCGTGATGGAGGGCTTCTGACAGGCATTTTCAACTTTTTACCTTCCAACTACCTTCTGAACACCTTACTAAGGCCTTCTTTAGCTTCCATTCACCTTCCAACCACCTGCTGGTTACCTTCCGAACACCTTTTTTGGAATCGCCTGAGCTTTTAAATTTGATCTTCGAAAAAAATTTTCAAGACTACTCTGAACCTAAAAAAACGTAAAGATTATCCATCGAATAAATGGTAAACCCATACTTATGTTCCTTTACATTATAAAGTACAAATTATACGATCCTGGATCTTGTGATAGAAACGTCAGCCGCTTTCAAATAAAGATAAACTTTCGCCAAACTCGCCTTTGACTCCTTTCGAAAGTTCGCGATAATTTTTGGTCAAAATCCATTTGTAGTACTGTTTCTGCATGGCGGTCATGTCCACACGGAGGATTTGCTCCAGCTGAAACTCAGTTTAGAGCAAAAAGAAACGGATCGACGGACCTTCGGAGGGAGGCTTTTCTCCACGTCCTTCTTCACACGCCGAAGTAAGAATGGCTCGAGCTTGCGATGAAGCGCCGAGATGCCTTTGTGATCTTTGTCGTTGTGATCCTGTTCGAACTGTTCCCAGCTCTCGAACCTATCCAGAACCGGTTTAAGGTGTGAATCGGACGCCTACTTGTCGGGCATGATGAAGTGGAGGAGCGCCCAGAGTTCTTTGAGCGAGTTCTGAAGAGGCGTTCCGGTGATGAGCAGCCGGTGGTTGCAGCGGAAGTCCTTGAGGCACTTGTACAACAAGGATTCGTCGTTTTTCAGTCGATGTGCCTCGTCAACCAGTAGCGCCGCCCAGTCCACCGACCCCAAGAACGACTATAACACTTTATTTTTGTATTTCTGGACTAAAAAATATTGTTCGAACAATTCTAACCCTCTATTGACGAACCATCATTTATCCATCACCTGACGGGTGAATACAAAAAAAAACGAACGATTATTTCTGCGTTACCTTGTCTTTTAGAAGGATTTCGTATGTCGTCAAAATCGCGTTGATCTTCATTTTCTTGGTGCCGCCCAGATACCATTCGTACTGACGAATCTAAAGAGGAGGTCTTTCGCTTTTATGAATGCTAACTGACCTGCTCCCTGCTGACGACGTCGCCCATGTAGGTGACGAGGTTGATGGCAGGAGCCCACTGGGCGAACTCCTTCTGCCAGGCTGCCATCGTCGAGAGCGGGACGACGACGAGGAAAGGTCCCGCCAGGTCATGACGATGGAAAAGAGCAGCCAGGAAGGAGATCGACTGTATCGTCTTGCCAAGACCCATTTCATCGGCCAAGATCCTTCAACACGCTGTCAATGCGGGAAAGAGGGCGATAAACGAACGAAGAATTGTGTTTGGACCAGGCGTGGAGCATCCAATTGAGGCCTTCGAGCTGGTAGTCACGCAGCTCCTGCCGTCGCTCGTTGGGCTTCAGGAACGACGGCATCTCCTCCATTTTCACAAACCGCGGCCGTTTCCGCAATACCTGTAGTATGAATCGTAGTACAAAAGTTGCGGTGCACCCCGCGTCAAACTCTCGGTGCACCCCGCAGTGTAACCAGGGGTGTACCCCGTTTAGCTTTAAATGCCTATTAAGGTACTTATTCCGTACACGATTTCAAAGTGGTTAGTTCCCCAATATAACCATTTCTACAGTTTCATCCTAGGGTGTTACGGTAGCTCAAAAAAAAATTTTTAATTTCCGACCGATCGCCCCAGGGATGCATGCCATTCAGGTCCAACGCGGCGTGCAACGAAAAAATCAACGAAAAGTTCACTTTTTTCGGGGTACGCTATTTTTTTTTTAACATCCCAGGCAGAATAACGAAGAAATTGTCGATTCATAGTGAGCATGATAAAAATTAATTTCTTCAGTCTTTTCCACTAAAATATGTTTCGTATCAATTTTGCGCTATTCCTGAGATTCTGATATTTTTCGTCGATTAAGAAGTTAAGTAGAGCTTGAGAAAAGGGCGCATCGTAGCGCAACCGGTTTTGTGCTTGTCTATGGTTTACAGGGTCACCAGTTCGATCCCCAAGCAAGAAATGTGGATTTCAAAAACAAAGCGTAGGAAGAAGAAGTACAGCTTGAAAAAGGAACCTGGGCAGTTTTGCAAGGAGTTCGGCAATTCTCCAGCCTCGTGTGGTACTCGTCGATTTTCTCCTTTGGCAAAAGCTTTTCGTCCTCCCAAGTGCACTCCGAGTACGGCAAACCATTCCATTTCACGAAATATTCTGTCGTTTCGCTCCCATCTGCCGCTTTTTCGCGAGAGCACTGCAAGCAGCCAGGAATGAACATTTTAATGGGGAATGGATCACTTGGTGAGCGACGATCCGTTCGACGATTTTGTACTCTTCGCACAACTCTTCGGCCATCACTTGCTCGCAGTCGAAAAACTCAATGTATTCCTTGTCGGCAGTTCGACGCCTCAAATAAATTCTCAATCAACTAGTATTCCCCTGACAAACCAGCTGTCGATGTCCTGTTGTCTTTTGATGAAGTTGTGAACTCTTTTGATTCCCTTGGCGCCCATGGAGAGCAGGGAACCTTCGGACTCCCACGTGTTGTGCATATGACTCCACCCTATCCATCTGCATATTATTTTGAATTTCTTTCAGCTTTTTCAATTTTCTCGGAATACTTGATGAGGAACTGCGGCTCTTTCTTCTCGCCATCGGCTTCGTTAGGGTCGCCCTTTTCTGCGACGTTATAGCAAGTCGTTTGAGAGCCAGTGGCCCCAGATACACCCGTTCGCCACTTGATTATCTGTAATACTTGCCATAAAAAAACTTTCTATTCTCTCAATCAGAAAAGGTTTAACTTTCACAAAAAAAAAAATTAAAAATGAAGATTTTTGGCTATTATTTCAGAATTTGTAGGGAAACATTGGGGTAGACTGACCCTTTCGACGCACTCCGAAGGATTGCTCCCAGAAACGCTAGCATCTGGGACCACAGACTTCTCATCTTCCCACTCAAGGACATCGTCTTCATCGACCTCAAAATTGCATCTATTAAGAGAGCGCTGCGGTGTTGAGCCTCGAGAAATAAGAAAATTGTGTGCAAAATGAGAAATTTCAGAACATTTTTTTTTCGATTCGTCTCAATTAGATAGATATTCATCGACCTTGAAAACATAGATGATAGACCAGATTAAGACAAAAATTGTAAGCGGGCAAAATTGTCTATCAAATCAAACAAGATTTTCAAAACTTACATCTTCATCAGTGCTTTTCTCCGTATAATCTACAGACACTTTCGTGGCAACTCGTCGGATGACTTTATTTTTCGCCTTGGTTTTTCGGGTGAGTTTCCTTGTCTTTCTTTTTTTGCTTCCAGAATCGCTCCATCCGTCTTCGGATCCGCTTCGTTGGTCCTGAATAAGAGAATAAAAATATCAACATGGATTTGAAAAAGGTCACTTCTGATTCGGAGTCGTTGCTTTTGTTGGGCTTGGCCCGTTGCGATCGTCGCAGCAAATTTTCATCTTCGAGCAACTAAAAAAAACGTTTGAAATATTTCTGCGAAAAGAAGTAAGTGCTGCGTGAATGGCTCCTGCGAAAAATTAAGCTCGAAGAGAATCAGGATTGTAACAGAAACAATTTTGGAATTGACCATCTTTCTGATCCAAAAATTGACCATCAAGCACCAGGGCTATATTATCAAACAAATAAAAAAACATCATAAACCAATATTTTTATGGACCTAATTTCAAAAAAAAAAATCTGTTTCTTTGTTGGAAAAAATTGTGATGAAAAAAGTCTTATTTCAACATCCCGATGTTCTTGAATAAATACAGAGATTTAATTTTCTCAATTTTCTAAGCTATCGATTGACTAAGGAACTTAATAATTCTCGTGAACCATTCAATGAGAGAGACTAGGTATTTATAAAAAGACCGCTACGTGATTTCAGAACCAAACACCTTTTTCGCTCAAACCTTTTTCGTTTTTTTGTCCATGCCTCTTTTGCGTGCTTTCGCCTGTTCATATTCGTCGGAGCTTTCTTCATCGTTTTTTTCCGCGGAAGAAGCTGAGCTTTGCGCACTTTTTGCACCGTCTGTGAAAAAAATTATCATGGTAAAGCAGGAAAATTATTTCTAAAAAAGCCTAGAAAATAAAACTCTCGGCACAAGCATGAAATTTCAAAGTTAGGTCTCTTTAGAATAGCTTGTTGGGTTCGATAAACAAAAATAAGGGCTCGAATCGATCATTTGTTATCAGTGTTATTTTGATTTTCGTCTCTTTATACGTTATTAAGTACATAACTCAATTAGACCGAGAAAAGAAGTCATATTATTAAAAATAACGAGAAAAATAAATAAATTGGCTTTTAACCTCAGGGAGGAAGTCTTGCCTTTGATTTACGAAAACTTGGGAGAAGTTTTAAAAAAAGAGGCTTGAAAAACCGTTTACTCATGTATGCTTTTTAAGCCAAGAGTGAAAAATTTAATATAAGTTTTCTTGCCGTGATAAGGAGGAAGTTAGGTTGAAGAAAAAAAAACTCTCGTAAAATAAATTGTCTGGCAAAAACGGCTGACTATCAAAAGCTTTTCCATGTTTCCATTTCATAATAATTGTTTTTACTCCGATCAACTTATTTTATTTGACTTTTTGAATCAAAAACGGATGTAGAACAAACCTTGATCACTCTGTTCATACTCGCTGTCTTTTTCAGCTGCTCCAGAGTCGCTGGAACTTGATCGAGCGCCGCCTTCCCGATTTTCGCCGCTACTCGATAGCCCATTTTGGCATTTTTCCAGAAAGTTATCAGGCTCTCCATTCACATCCTTCTCGGAATCTTCTGACGAGGATCCCGAGTCCCGCCACATTTGTAACTATCAAAAATAAATTTCATCTTTATTTGAAGTTTGTTGATCAAAAACAAAAAAGTGCAGAAACGAATAAACTTTTTAGAGGAAGCGTCGGTTTAGAAACATGTAAAAAAATTATAAATAAAACGAGTTTTTAGAAGTAATCGAGTCGAATTGAATCAATTTACATGATCTCAATGGAAAAGCGGAAGTTTGCCTACGAATTTCAAGCGCGCAAAAAGCGGCGCCGCTGTACACGTGTGCATAAAACGATTGAAAACTAAGCAATATATTAAAAACTATATAGAATATATTCAAGGCTACATGATAGAGACTAAAGTAAAACATCAATCCTTCAGTGAAGGTGAAAAGAAAAAAAAATTACGAGACAAGAAACCCGGCGGCTTGCACACGGAGACCTCAATGTAGCCGCAACGCAACCGCACGCATCCTACAGAGCTGGGGGACGACCAACTAACTTAAAATCTTTCTCTGCTTCCATCATGTTCGGAATGGAGGACTTATAGCGGGAAAAAGGACTAAAATTGTGAAACTGCAAAAAAAAAAAGTGGAAAAAAATAATTTATTAAACACCAAAACAATGTGGATTTAACAAAAAAGATCACTGAACAGTGCAAAGGCACTTAACAACTTCCAATCGTGAATGATGAGAGCTTAACAAACCGTTTTCTATAAAGATACAATGGACCAGAAAAAAAGGAACTGACTCCCGAAACCAGTGTGAACAATCAATAAATTATGTATGAATATATAAACTAAATAATTATGAGGACATAGAAAATAATTTACAATTCCGTCTTCTTAACTTTCTTTCCGTCGCGGTTAAATCCTTTAAGGCCATCAGTCGAGTGTTTGGCGATAAAGTTGATGAAGTCCTTGACCTCGCGGCCGCCGTTGTACGGGACCGGGTTTGACTTGGAGTTCTTAGGCAACCAGAAGAGAGTGGGGAATCTTAATTGAATTATTGAATTCAAAAATGAACATTATTTCATGCTTACCCTCTAACTTCGAAAAGAGGTGGAACATCATTGGCCGTGGCGTCCATCTTGGCGATAATCACGTCTTCATTTTTCAGCTGCAAAACAATTTTCTATGTCGGAAGAACGTAAGTTGGAGTCAACCTTAGAAGCAAGCTCATCGTACTTAGGAGCCAGAGACTTGCAATGTCCGCACCAAGGAGCGTAGAACTCGATCAGAACGTCTTTTCCAGAGTCCAAGATAAGGTCCTTGAAGTTTTTGCCAACGGCAACCTGCAATTTTATCACGTTTAGAAAAATAAAAAGCTTAATCTTCGTTGAAGGAATTAGCATTGGGAGTGTCGTTTCGAGTACACAGGTAAGTAACGCACCTTAACATCTTCTGTCTGCTCAGGTACCGGCTCAGACTTCATGTAGGCCTCAGCCTTTCCAGATAAAACCAACTCGACGAACGATTTCAAATTGTCGATGCTAAACTTGATGATAAACTACCTTCAAGGATTAAGAAAAAAAAATACCTGAACTCATCATCCAGAGGGAACTTTCCTTCGTTGGTCAGAATGGCGACAATAGGCTTATCCGAATCTTTTCGCTCTCCAAGTCCGTTTTGTTCGATTTCTTGAGAGAACTCTTCCTTGTTTGAAACGGCAAACTGGACTTTCCTTTTGTAATCTTGGGCGACTTTCAACACACGGTTACGCCAGTAGTTAGATCCTGAAAAAAAAAATTGAAACTGTTGATTATGAAAATTAACAGAAAATATGTAATGATATGACGTTTACATGTAAATTAATAACCTTTAGGATCCTTCACGTAGTCAACGTTGTAATAAACCACAACAAGAGGCTTCTGTTCAAACTGGAACAGGTTTCCTTGAGTTCTGATTCCGGCGAGTCCAACACTAAAAAAAATAATTGAGGTTATCAAGATAAAGAAAATTAAAAAAAAAAAAATTAATACTCACGTCTCGTGAACTAAGAAGTTCTTGATCTTGTCAGTGTCATAGTTTCCGTCATACTTGAACTCGTTTGTGTCAAATTTGTTGTGAAGTTTCTTTGGAGTGTAAACAACAATGTCGCTGAAAATGGAATCTATGGATTTGTTATGAATGAATGAAAATACTCGGAGTATCCAGCCTTCTTCAAAACATCGGGATTGGATGAGTGTCCAAATGAGAATCGATCACGCTCAGTATCGGCAACTTTCAGGAAGGAATCCTTCAGCTTGCTTTCAGATTCGAAGAAGCCTGCAATAATATGAACCGTAATGACAGTGATAGTTTGAGTGCAGATATTTATGCTTGCTCACTTAAGTTAAAGAATTTTCGAATTATATTGCGGATTCCATTAAAAACGCATTGTCTCGATGTTCAACGTAAATCTGCGAAATCAAAACTTAAAAAACTTCAAAAATTTGAAAAAACGAAATCGAGGAAACCAGCACCTTAAAGGGCCGCAACGAGCCTATTTTGAGCTTGAGTCCTTCAACAATGAGACGCGTATGTGTCAAAATTTGGACTTATTCATCTACTTTTCCATATTTTTTGTTTTAGGTCAGTTTTCAATTGGTTTTGGCTCTTCTGAATGACTTTTTTTCAACTTTTATTTCGCAAAATTACTTGAACACGGCATGAATTTCACGGGTCGTTGGTCTTTTTGATCAATGAACATCTTTTTAAAGCATGAAAAAAATTATATTTATTCTGAAAATAACTCGAGCGGAAATGGAAAAAAAAACGAAGCATACATTTTTCAGCTCTGAAGGTGATATAAATGTTGGAATTTGAGCGAAATAATATTTGTATATAAAAAGTTGGCTTTTTTTGACAATACAATATATAAACAGTGTTAACAACAATTTAGGCTCCAACTCCATTTCATAGACGACCGAAAGAAAAAGCTCTGCGGCCAATGACACTTTTTTTAAATATCAGATTTTTCAAAATTAAAAAAATTAAAAAAATGGCTCATTTTGCGTCGGAATGAACTCATTTCTATAAAATTTGAAGAAGTCTCTCGAGAAGCTACCAGTAAAATTTTAACTGTTTTTTTTTTTAAAAATCTTGAACAAGTGTATTTGAAAGTCATTGAAAAAACTAGATGTACCGGTTATCATGAAATTTAAAAAACCTTCTTATAGTTCTTTTTTCTCACCTTGAAAGGCGAGATGGGTAAATTGGCAAGAGTAAAGCGTTGCGTACAACGAGATGAAAAAAGTGTAAAAAAAATTGATTTGTTTTTAAAAAATTGATTTGTTTTTAAATTTTTAATTGTTAAATTGAATTTTTACAAAGCTATAAAAAATTCAAAATTATTGAAAAATATCAAAACACCTCAAAAACATCAAAAAAAGAAGAAAAACTCTATAAACGTGACTCGCGTTTAAATTCACATTTCCCGTCAGATAGCCGCGTCGCGTACGCAACGCTCCACCCTTGCCAATCTATCCAAATCGCCTTTCAAGTTAGGAAGGATTAATTATAATTGGCCAAGATTCGAAACCGTCTACCTTGCATACTTTCTTTCCTTTCATATGAACGCGGTGATAGATCAAAGAAAACAGCTCTTGAACACGATCTCCGCTGAGGGGAAGTACAGCGTAGGGCAGTGTTTCAAGGCCTCGCTTATAAGTTATTAATGATTAATGAAACTTTCTACTTTGTTGTTATTAAGCTGTTTTTTACATGGTCGACGTTTAATTAATAAAAAAAAAACTGAAATTATTAAAATAAGTAATTGATTGTAACTAAAATCGAATAAATTTCGATCTAAAACGACTAAAAATGTGACAAAAAAAAAAATAATAATTGCATTCCAAATCGAATAAAACTATGACAAAAACACTGATTCAACTTGAAAGCCCAGAACTTGACTTCTTTGTCTGCAATTCGAAAACCTATTGGTGCTACTAAAAATTTGCAATACGTGAAGCTTTTAAAACGGTTCCTTCAAGTGGGCTTAAGCTTTATTTTCAAATAATATTTTTCGAAGAAATTGGAATAAACTGTAAACATAAATTATTGAATCGTTTTCCCCTGCTCAAGAATAAACAAAACAGAAATAGCATTGAATTAGTAATAAAGAATTTTTTTAAACTTGATTTGATAATCTTTAATGATTAACGTATTTAATGAAACACGTATTTAAAACATTTTCCCTACATTTACTTCGTAAATTTTTAGTACTTATTTGTAAGAAATAAAACATTTTTGAATTGATTTGAAAGAGCAATAAAAAAATCTAAAAAAACTTTAAGACTCCGTTTTTTCATTAGTGCCACTCATTGATTTTGATCAAATTTTTTTTAATTCGACAAGATCTTGTTTTAATTTTTTTTTTTTTAATTAACGTATTCTTCTTTGAAGAACGAACCAAGAACAACGTTGTCATCTCCACCAGTGAACTTCTCGAAATCAGCGACAGTCTTGATTTCGCGAGAAGAAGGTCCCGACTGTCCGCGCATGTACTTGACGATGCCGTCAGCCTCCCGAGGTCCGTCATAGTCCTGAGCAGCGGCGCCATTGCGGAAGATTTTCAGCGTCGGGAAGCCCTTGACGCCAAACTTGTCGCAGACGCTCTTCTCTGTCGTACAGTCAACCTAGGAATCATCATGTTATTTTTCGAAAAAAATTTTCCAAAGCGGAAATCGTAAATGCCTTTAACTATAAAAAGCGGACTTTTAAAAAAACCTACTCGTTTTATATTAATTTTGCTTTTTTTTTTTTTGAAGCATTCTTTTTCGTGTCTTCTCAGTTTGTTGCATTTTGCTCTTCTATGCATCATATGACCCTTTCCAGCTTTATATCGGTTCAATGTTATCTCATCTAAACATATCTAGCGGCCGCAAAGCGAGTCTTCCAAGTTTTTTTCCCTAGCTGAATTTTTTTATTAACATTTTATTGCTTCGCTCTTTTTTTAACATTTTAATTTCAAAAAAACTATCGAAAAAGCGGACAATCACGATTAAAAAAATGCAGCACGCCACAAAATATTCTTTAGAATTGAAAATTCGGGCTTTCCTCTTTTTTTATCGTTTTTTTCTTCACTATTTCTCGCAAATAAAAGTTATTTATGATATATCTAAACTAAATGCATATGAAGAAAAATTTAATTGAAAAAGGCTAACTTCTCAACGAAAAAGATTTAAAAAAATGTGACCACTGCAAGATTTGAACAGGCGATCTCAACAAAGATAAACAGACGCTTTCGTCTTGCGTCACTTTTTAGCATCTGGGCGTGCCATACTCTTTCGGTATTGTTACAGCCTTACTTGTCAAAAACCATGAAAAATTATTTTTTTGATTTTTTTCCAAACGTACTGATGTGTTAACAGTGATCAACTTGAATTCTGAACATTTCTAAAAGTAAAATTTTGGCAGAGAGACATTATGCGGGTTCGATTTCTAGCCCATTGGAGAGCTGTTCACGGCATTCCAGAGCAAAAAGTAGAATGGTTTCCAATGAATTACAATGTCATTGTTCAATTTGGAGATAAAATCAAGAAAAAAGTTAACCTGCAAGATTTTTCCGATTTCTTACTCGTAAATTTTTTTTCGCTTACTTTTGTGTATGAAACATTGAACACATATCAAAATACGTGGGTAAATGAATAAAAAAAGAAGCTCATTACTGCCTTCAAACAAATTTCACAGAAAGTGCTGCAACAAATAGAAAGATATTATAAAAAAAAATCCAAGTAAGACCTAACGAGTTCTCAAATGAATCTCAATTGAAGACACATTCAATCCCGGTCAAATGGTTTTTTTCTAGAAAAGATGCAAATTACGCGCAGACTTTTTTTTTCAAACTGCGTGATTTACACTTGTTGTCACATTAAACGTGCTATTTTTGAGAATAACTATTATGCGTGCTAAAAATTTCCAAATTCAACTATACGCAGCTCATTTTTTTCAAAAAAAGCTCTGATTAACAATACAACGAAAAATAAACTAATAAGTTATTGGGAATTCAGTACCATTGACATCATTCCCTCCTCTGAACTACATGTACGCGACGCAGCCGCACGCGAGTTTTTACATCACGTATTTTAAGATATTTTCCACTACTTCGTTAAGAAGACGGATTGTATTTTCAGTATTTTTTAAAAATAGAAGTATCACCTTGACGAGAGCAATTGGAGGATCATTTCTCAACAACTTGGTTGCAGCACGGTCGTACTCAGGAGCCATACGCTTGCAATGTCCACACCTTCAAAATCGACAATTAGCTTTCGCAGAGAGCAGACAATAACCATGGGGCGTAGAATTTCACGAGCGCGACCTCATGCTGCTTGATCAGATCTTCGAAGTTGCTATCCGTATACTCTAAGACGTCGCCGGAAGCGTAAACACCAACGAGGGAGGCCACCACAAGGATAAAAACCTTCATCTCGATTTAATTTTACCTGAAACAGATTTATCTCTAAAAAAAATTACGTGAAACGACGCAAGCTTAAGGGCTTAATTGAATTGACAGATTTGAGAGCGACGTTAACAATAGCGTACAAAGCAACGTGTATTAAGCAACAGCGATAAATGTGCATCGTGGTGAGCGAGGATTGGTTGGCCGTCATCGCTCCTCCTCCTTTTGGTCTCGCAGCGAGCCAGAGGTTACGATGTGGGAAAGACAGCTGTATTTTTCGATCAATAACCACTTATTTCCGTTTAAAAAATTTCACCATTTTCCTTTCCAATCATTAAAAGCTTTTCAACATAACGTCATTTTTGACGTGTCCATAAACAAAGTGTAATTCACAGTTCAGCTCAAATAGTCCTATGAATCATAGTTTTAAAGCAGTAAAACATAAAAACTGCCTCTATTGAAAATAAGTTTTTTGTTTAAGTTGAAACTTATTTTGTCATTTCAATTCCTGAATAAAAAAAAATTTTCTGTGAATAATTATCACTGTGAACCGTTTGTTTTCAACTTTTTATTTATCACAACCATGAATGATTTTTTTTTTCCAATTCTCATTGGATTTCTTCATTTCATCAATTCTATTTTATCTGTTTGTTTCAACGATATTAACATAATCAAAAATAATCCCGTTAGACATTTTCCTAACTGGAAAAAAACAAAAACTAAAAAATTGGTAAACTAATTTGTTGCGTTTTTGTATAATACAGCTTTTTTTCGCTGTTCTATGATAATATTGGTGTTTTATATCTGACACCATGAGTTTAGGTGCATCAAATAAAACAAAGATATTCGTTTTTCATAAAAATGAAGCTTATTTATTTCTTTTTGGCCAGTTCTCCCTACAAAATATTTGCCGACATTTATCTTATTTTTTGCTTTAAAGATTTTCAATTCAAAAGCTTTTATTCAGGTTTTGTCGAAATGGCTGAAAATGAAGAAGATCAGCTTGATAACATAACTTTAAATGCGAAGACACCGACACAAACGTACACCGTCAAAGTGCGAGAAACTACAACAATATCAGAGGTGAGAAAAAAAAGCTATCAATTTGTTATATCAGCAATTTCAGCTGAAAGACAAACTTATCGAAATAATTCCGAATGCCACCAAAGAACAACTTTGTGTGATTTACACTGGAAAGATCTTGAAGGATCCTGAAACTGTCACTCAACATAGTAAGTTCATTTTTTTTTTGTTGATATTTCTATTTGTCTAGAAATCGGAAACGGGCATACTGTACATATTGTGGTGCGTAGCGGCCAAAGGGCTCAACCACCTCCAGCGAATCCTTCTGCAGCGGCGCCAGCCGAACCACAGATTCCACGGGGCGGACTACCTCAGGTACTATTTTTTTTTACTAAACGAAGACGTCAAAAATCCTTCAGTGATTTTCAAAAAACACATTTGTTCGCACAATGACTTTTTAAGAAAAATATTTTACCGTTATCTTGTTTTTATTTTGATCCATATATCTACCGTGATATCAAAAATCTACGCAAAAAGGCACAACATGAAAAAATATGATAAAACTTTGGTTTTAGGTTTCATATCTCACTAACCCCATTTTTTGGCATTAGTAAAAATTCATTTAAGAAAAAAGGAAGGACGTATCTAGAGAGGGTTTTTTTTTGTTGCTTTAAACGAGCTTTTAAATTGATGTCGAAAATTTTGATTAGAAAATACGTTGATAGAAGAAAAAATGGAGTGTGAGTCAATATTGGGCAGGAACTTTTCTCTCTTTGGATAAATTTTGAAATTTTTTTACAGGTTTTCTTTCTTCTTTTTTTCGACTTTCTATCTTTTTTTTTCAGATGGGCGATCTCATGAATAACCGCGATATAATGCGGCAAATGTTAGACACTCCTTTGTTTCAAAGCATGATGAACAACCAAGACTTGATGCGTAATATTTTGAGCTCAAGCCCCGAAGTTCAAAGGTTGATTGAGGTGACTAGGTAGTTTTTTGGGTTTGATTGAAATCAAGGGTTTCAGAACAATCCAGAAGTCGGCCATCTGTTAAACGATCCAAATATCATGCGGCAGACGATGGAGATGATCAGAAATCCGAACATGTTCCAAGAAATGATGCGAAACCACGACATCGCCATTCGAAACTTGCAGGTTCCATTTTTTTTACAGTTTCCTTTTAGATATCAAATTCAGTTTTATTACAAAAGGTGAAGAATGTTAATTTCTTGAAATTATTTGACTTTTCAAAAAAAAAAATCGAAATTTGAAAAAATATTTTAATCTTGATTCCAAGTTTTTAGTAGAGTTTTATTTACGCGGTCTTACTGAATTTATTATTGAAATTACAAGTTTAGTTCTCAAAAATTGTCAGATCAATGTTTTGAAAAGTTTTTTCTTTCGTAAAATGATCACGAAAGAAGTGGAAACATGAAATTCTCAGTATTTTTGTTTGAAAAATTGAGATGAGATATTTGAAGGGAATTCCTGGAGGAGAGGCGGCTCTGGAGCGACTTTATCAAGACGTTCAAGAACCTTTGCTGAACAGCGCCACCAGCACGTTGGGTGGCAATCCTTTCGCCAGTCTGCGGAATCAAAACGCTGAAGCTGGTATTTTTTTTTTGAATTTAATCACCTATTCACTAGCTTCAAATAGACATCATTAGTAATCAGGAGATTTTATTAAGTCTTCTCAAGTTTTTTCATCATGAATGAGCAATAAAAACAGGTTGAGATTTCAGAAGTATAAAAAAATAGAAGTAGAAGAGTAGAACTTCACGTAGCCCACATGGTGTAATGATTTTAAGCTCAACTTTTTTCAAATGACACCCGAACTTTTTGAGAGTCGCGCAGTCAACGTGCCGGTGTGGAAAACACGGAAGCTCTTCCCAACCCTTGGAGCTCATCTACTCCCAGTGCTCCCAGAAATACAGCAGAAAACTCATCGGCGGCTGCGGCCGGACTCGGCAACATATCAGGTTATTTTGCACTTTCGTTTATGTTTGGCGAGACCGACTCCCAAGAAAAAGAGAATTAATGAAAGGATGGGTTCGATATTACAAACTTAATACTGGTAGGCAGCTGTCATTCCACTTTTGAAAAAACAATAAATATACGCATATTAGAATCCTCTCCAGTAAATTCGGTCCTTGCAGGAACGTAATTTAAATTTTCGATCCCGAGAAAGAATTTATCCTCCCTGTGTTTCCTAACTCTTCAATTTTCAAGTAATTTTAATCAAAATATATCGCTCATAAAAAAATATATATTTCCTCGAAACATTTTTTTAACCTATAGAAACAGAGAACCTAGAAGGGCTCTTGATTTTCGATGTGTTATTTTTAAAGTTTTTTGAGAGTTTTTTTATAAATGATTTTTCACTTTGGCGGTGAAATTCCACTTCTGAGAAGTTAGAGGTTTTTTCGCTACATTCCGGGAAATCCAGAAATTTTCTAGATATACGATTTGATCAACGGGAACTTTTTCATAGCAGGCCAAACCCTTTTGTATTTTCAAACTACAAATTACCAGCTTTCAATATTGTTCAAAAACAATCAGAAAAAAAAATGAACTTTCAACTTTTTGAGATTTTACGAAAAATAAGAACGTACCTGTGTTCATGAATTAAAGAAAATGGAAAAAATACGATTTTTTTTTGTAAAAACGATTGTACGCCACAAAACTTCGTGCGGTTCAGGAATGTTGAATGCTCCTGGGATGAACTCTCTGATGCAGCAGATGATGTCTGATCCTAACATTCGTTCGCAGATCCTCTCCCCGGAAATGATGAACACCGTGCGGCAAGGAATCGAGTCCAACCCGGAGTTGATGGAAACGGTTGCCTTATCCAAAAAGTTCTTTTCCTAACTGAATCGATTCAAGATTTTGGCTGCCAACCCCGCTGTTCAAGCGAATCCAGCACTGCGTGACTCTTTGAGAACTAGAATGCCAGAAATGTTCAACATGGTTTGTTGTGTCGATGAGCGGTTCTCCAGAAATAACCGTTCTTCTTTTTCGATGCGCAGTCCCGAGTATATGCAAGCGATGGCCAATCCGCGTGTGGTTGAAGCTTTGCAGCAAATTCAGACATCGTATGACGTCCTTCGGCGGGAAGCTCCTGTTCTTTTGGGGTGAATTTGGTAGTTCTGAGGCTTCAACTCCAGCTTTTAAGATCCTTCAACAACCTGGGTGGTTTGGGCGGTCTAGCGCCTAACAGACCGACGGATGGCGCATCTAACAGGTTTTTATCTTAACAGATTGAAATCCCTAAAAACTTTACCAAGAAAAAAGAATTTCATTAAATATCGCTTACCAAAAGCCCTCAAAATCTAACATTCTTTCAATTTTTTTCCAATCTATGACGTGGTCCTTGGTTCCAAACATTTCCAACATTTACCTATCAATTTTTAAATGACCTCCTGCTCAACTGACGGAAAAAAAAAGTGTCGGTCGAAATGATAGAAATCCAAAAAGTTCAAAAATTGACTTTGCATCATACCATCTCGATATAACCTATGAGAAAATGAGAGAAACTATAGGAAAGTTATCTCAGCTTAGAATAAATAAGGAATATTCTCTCAAAACCCAGCTCAAGGCTTCAGTTCCTAGTGGAATACGGCAGGTTGTTTTTAAAAAAAACAAACTGTTTATTGCATCTTCAATGTAAGAATACATGTGCAATCGACTTTCATTGATTTCAACTGTGTTTAAACGGCGGCAGGAGCTGTGGCTTAGGCAGAGAAGTTGTGAATTTGGCTCGTAGAACATCAGGTACAAGAGAGGTCGTAGGAAGAAGTACGGTGCCGGCTTTCCAAAGGCCGATGGCAGAGATTGAGCCTTTTCGCTGCATGCAGCTCCCAATTTTATCTACCCCGGAGGGATGAAAGGCTTGGTCGACCTCGGGGGGACTCGAACCTACGACCTTGCGGACGTTAGAAATGAGTTATGCCAGCTGAGCTATGCCGGCAGGTTGTTATTGTGTAGAATCACCATTGTACAATGAAGTTTGAGATAAAATTGCAAATTTTTTTAAGAAAAATAATCACGTTTACGGCTTCAAAAATTTTTCAAGCTGAATCACATCTCAAGAATTTTTGACATCGTAAAAATAAGAAATGCAGAGCTTTCTTATCCAAAAAAATGATCTTTTTTTTTTCGAAATTAGACTTCCAGAACAAGATTGCTTCAGTTTTCTTTTTGTTTTTCAAGCGCTTTTTTATTGGCTCATTGAATACAATCTCATCATTTATTTACATGGGCGGTCCTGGTTTTCAACTTCATATTTTTTTCCGATTAACTTTTTTTAACCCTGTTTTTTTAAAGAATGTTTTTTTGGTTCGGTCAAGCAATACGAAAACCGAAAAGAAGTTTGTCTGGTTACGTCTACTCACAATATTTTACGTATGAAAGTTGAACCGCTGAGAACCTTATCAAAAAGATGGTTCTGATTTTTTTTTTTGGTTTAGGATAATTTATAACTTTTGACATTTTTCATATTCTTTGAATGGTACAAACTCACAACATTTTCAGAAGCGGAATAGACCCAATGCCTCAACTCGAACAGCTTCTCGGACAAATGGGCTTCCCGAGCAATAACGAGAGGGCGGCAACGGTAGGGGATTCTTTCCACTTCCCAAAATCTTACAGTAGAGTGCACGGGATAGGCAGGCAGCCTTGAAAATATTATGGTTCAATGAAGGACTTTGAAAACTATCATCAGAAAGATGTAATGGGAAAGTTCACAACCCGCTCAATTAATTGCGTTTTTTTAGCCTTTCAAACCACACAGTTTGGGAATTTTCACTAGTTTTTCAAGTTTATGCGTCTAGAATGAAAAATCCTGTAAGCCGAGTGGACCGATAGAATTTCTGAGAATATGGTAGTTCTATGGATGATATACGATGAAAATGTTACGTTTTATGCATAAAAAGTACTTTTTCTTCTTAGAAAGAGCTCTTCTATGTAATCTCTATCAGTATTTTAGAGTTTCCAATCTGTTATTTTCAAAGTTTTCTGTAGGCCGGTATCTCTTTTTATCTCCAACGATTTTTTCAATCGTTTGTTTTTGCAAATCTGATCTGGATGTCATTTGTCTAACAAGCAAGAAAGAGTTTCAATTGAACGTTAAAAACATTTTTTCCTGTCATCAAATTTTTCCAACGATGTCAGCACTCAAAATTTAAGTCTAAAAATAAATACAGCTTGTTCTTTTAGAATAATTCTGTTTTTCGGAGTAAGACGACCTTCTCTCAATCGTTAGCTTCCAATTTTTATAATCAAAATGCTTCTTCAAACTTTATCTTCAATTTAAATTTTCAAAATCAAATCTGATCCCCCAGAATATCTTTTTCTTGTTCCAACGGGCTTGAGAGCCGACGGAAGGATTGTAATGTCCATGTTGGGACGCGGGGTTAAAGATTTGTGTTGTCTGAGATGGAAAATGCAATTATCATCTCGAATTTCATGCTAGCCGACGTCCTCGTAAAATTCAATATGCGCGTTTATCGTGTTTCTTTTTTCAATCGCAAAGAAAAACTCGAGAAAATATGGCTGTGAGCAACATTTAGCTCAGTATTTAAATAAATCAGTTAGGTTCAGCACTTTGATAGACTGAACTCCTTCTTCGGAGCGTTTATTTTGAACTACGCTCCCTATGAAGTTTTTTTACTAATAAGATTAAAAAACATCCAATGGATCTGTAAAGAAAGACCAACGCCAGCATTAAATGTTTGCACACTGATCCGCTGCCCTGGAAGGACAATAAAGAGTGTTTATTCAATATGTTGAATGGTAGAAATCAGACAAGTATCAAGACTAAAATCCGAAAGAGAAGAAATGCGTTTGTCATCTACTCTTCATGATAAATGTCAACATGAGAATCATATTACCAACGTTCAGTTCCATAATACTGGAGAATAGATTTTTTTTTTTTGCATTCAATTTTCAAGTTCCAATTTACTTTGGCGGTTATTTTTACCAGCCCTTGAATGAGAAGAAGAGCCATTCCTATCCTTGGTATGATAGGAGCGAGGGATGAAAGGGCCATCAACTGGTCGGCAATGGCTTTTGTTTCAGCGACGCGCTGTCCGCTGAAACATAGTTCATTAAAACGATTGCAATCAATTCTCTTCACGCCGTTTCCTCTTCGAACATCTCTTTCCTTTTCTACTTGCTCACCATTTGGACTCCCTGAATCGTCGAAAAACAAATGAGCTCTCACGTTTTATTTCATATTTCGGATGGTGAGATACCCGCCCCCGAAAAAATCGTAGTTTCGTTAACTGGATAGCTTTCTTTTTGTTTAATAGTTTACTTTTTTCATAAATTCAAAAGAACCCCGGCAATGCTTTCCAGCATCGTTTTGGTGAATTCAACAATTGTAATCTGTCCTCTAGGCCGATTAAGCTGGGACGAGCCGCGATGTCATTGCATGGCGTAATTCATATTGCCACAAAGCATGCGATGAGCTTGAGCACAGAATAAATGCGGGAGCAGAGAAATCATTTGACGTGCAGTTGGAGAAAAGGCTTAAAAGACATGAAAACGATGTGCAGCTGCCTTTTCCGCCCGTTTATCGGGCCGCTTCCCAGATATTCTCTTCCCAGAATGGTTTCAACACTTATGGAGAATTTCAAAATTCAAATTTCTTGGAAACAGTTCCAAAGAAAGAAGATCGAAAGAAGCGATACAGAATTTTCGAAATCTCAAAAAAATCTTAATGAAAAAAACGAATTTTTCAATGACTCTTCGAATAGCGGATCAATATGTTAAGCAATCAGCATACATGGTTACAATCATTTTCACTATCGATTTTTTTAAAATGTAGTTTTCAATTAGACTGTTGCATTTTTATTGCTCTTCGTATAACCATTCTTATCGTAAAAAGCCACTAGTCGTTTTGGGAAAATTTAATGACTAGTCTTGGAGCATTGAGATTGAGGAATAAGAGGTTTTCGAGTGATTGAAAGCTGCTTGTTTGAGTCACGATTAGATCATATTCCGGCTGTGAACGAATGCAATTGGTGTTGGGAAGCAAAATGATGGTTCTCGGGGGAGATGTTAATTCCTTTCAATCAACTCGGCTGCACAGAATCAAGGACGCCCGCGATCCATCATCTTGTTTTAGCCCAATGAGCATATTCGATTAGGAAAATGAGTGAGTGTTTGTGTGTCTACATGAGGACAATTGGACATTCCAGGCTGCGCCGTATGACGCAACCTTTGAGAGCTGCTAAGCCCTGGTGACAGCCTACAGTAATTCACTTCTTTTTATTAGGCCACTTACAGAACTAAGTTATTTGAAACTTCAAACTTCATTCTGTCTACAGAGAGTTTTCTCTGCTGAATCATGGAATAGTTGAAGAGCTGTTTGTTAGTTCAGTGAACTTTCGAAAGCCATGTAGATCATCTGGCCTTTCTTGAAATAGTAGTGGAGAGTTGAACCTTCCTAGCCATCAGCTGCTTCCCCATAGAAGGTCCCTCAAACTTTTGAAAAGATGACTACACAAATACCAAAATTATGTGTGAGCGCAGAAACGACGCAGAGTGCTAAACGTGTTATGCAATGAGCCTCGTGAATTATTCTTCCACTGAGAGGAAGTAATTATTTGGACAAAATGAGTGGCCAACATCAATTTTATAAGCCTTGAGCTTCTTCTCTTTCGTCTTGTTACCCTTCTTGGTTAGAAATAATTGCTAATGTCAGGACTTTCTAGGCGAATCCGGAACAAATGTACGCAACGCAGCTCGAGCAGTTGTCCAGTATGGGATTCAACAATCGTGCCGCCAATATTGCAGGTTTCCCTTTATGATTCGAGCCGCGCCGTCGCCCTTCAAAGCACTTTTGCCGTTTCACAAGTAATTAATGATTTTCAGCGCTCACTGCGGCATTCGGAGATCTGAACGCGGCCGTCGAGCGGCTTCTTAATTCGCCGCAGTAAATAAGTACACGGAACAGAGAAACTGTGAATGTATTGCCCGATATTAAATTACATACTTTCAATGATTTAATTGAATTCTCTTTTCCAATTATATGGCCGTTCTTTGCCATTCCCTCACCTTCCAGCAGTATCATCTGCGCTTTATAATTATAATTATTATTGTTCTTTACAAAGTTCTGTGATCAGCTGACTTAATAATTATACTTTTTCATGGTAGTAAATATATTCGATTTCATGTGGTCTCAGAAAAAAAAAAACCTCAACTAATATTTAGAGTCTCGAATCAAAAAGCTCGTAGTGATGTTTAAGTTAGAATTTGAACCCTTTGAATTTGAAAGTTTGGCTTTTTCAAAAATAGATAGATAAAAAAATCCTGAACAACTTTCAAAAAAACTCGCTCTCGACGCTTCAAAAGAAGGGTACTTAGGAAACCGGCATACATTTTTCTCTTCTAAGAAATTTAGTTCTGAAAAGATTTTTGAAACGTTTTGATTGGTTTCCAGAAGCGAAAATGGCTCCAAAAGCTTTACATGGTTTGACGAATCGTGGGAACTGGGCTTACCAAGTCCCTCGGAAACGCTTGGTTTATTGCCTTTCCCAACGTGTGATGAGCGACCCCGCGACTTATTTTGAGACGCCGACCGCCGGACGATGCCATCGTCTTATTGCGGAAATTAAAATGAGAATGAATGAGACGACGCCTTTGCTTTTATATTGCAAAAGATCACACGGAGTTGATATGTCGAGCACGCAGCAGAAGCGATAGCGGTAGCTGTGGGGGGAATTAATGAAAATCGCTGAGCACCTCTCCCGATGTTACAGCCTGATCTGATGAAGACGCGCGAAAGCACGTCAGACGTCGACAAACCGAATGCCAGGGCCTTCTGGCGGTTGCGCCTTTGCCCCCAATATTTACGATCGTCAACTGCGCGGCGATCATCCGATCCATCTCGCGCCGTCGACGTGAAGGTGTCCGCCGACCTACCGGCTCATCAGCCGCGTTACATCCGGCGTGCTTCGAAGTACGCCTGCTGGGAAGCCTTATGAAGAGAGACCCCTTTGATATTGTTGACTTCATGCTTCAGAAGTGGCTGGACAGCTTCATGGTGTGGAATAAGAATTTTTTTTTTTGAAATCTTTCATCGTCGGATAGTTTTTCAAACAGTATTAGGTTAAGAAATGATAATTCAACAGGTATTTTTGGAAAAAAATTGAAATATTGTTGAAAATACGGAAAGAGTGTTTCATTTTCAAAAAATGGTTTTTTTTAGTGAATCAAAGATTTTTATTCATGAAGGCGTGAAAATTGCTCTACAGCACATTCGACCATAACCACCTCACTTTGACGGATTTTTTGCCGCAGATGGCCCATGTGCTTTTGCGCTGATAACTCAAAACACATGGGCAGCTTCAAGTTGCGAAGTTCCTCGCAACTCTTGGGATGGTGGATTATTGGCGCTAAAAGAAAAAGGCAACAAAAAGAGTCCTTTTTCCATTTTAAAGACTCAAGAAATGGCGGAAAAGGGAGAGGCAGCAAAAAAATGGTGCACAGAGGCTGATAAAATGGCGCAAAAAGGCAGCCTATTCTCGGATCCGGGGGGCAATCGTGGCAATTCAAGAAACCGTTTTCACAGTTTCGAATCTTCTCTCTTGAAATGACGACATACGGTCATTTCCGGCGAATAAACAACTGCCAACTGAATAATCCATGGCGGTTTGTGATATAATTATTGTTTTGCGTGTTGGGGCCGGACCTGGCGGCCGTTAGGACAGTTGTGCCCTATGAATAATGAACATGATACAACGGGCGATTTACGTTCAGGCAATGTTTCAAATCCATAAGCTTCGGCAGCGTACATTACAGCTGGGAATGAGTAATTACCTGGCCGCTGCTTGCATCTTCTATCAGCTCGATCTTTTGAGTTATGAAGAGATAAAAAGTATTCATAGTAGAAACATGTCCCACAGTTCCACAGTTCGAACCAGGGAACGTTTTCTACCCCCCCGGTTGAACTTTTGCTGAAACTTTGCTGAAGTGTGCTTTAGATCCCCCTGATTGCAAATCAAAAAAAAAATGTCTCGCAATAGATCTTGTTTCCGAGTTATGGAGCTTCAAAGTGTGCAAAATACGCAAATTAGGCCAAAAAAGCGCTGTTTTGGGTTTTTGAAGTGTTCTAACTCGCAAACGAGATCTATTGCGAGAAATTTTCTTTCTGTTCTGGAATCAGGGTGTCCTAAAGTACACTTCAGCAAAGTTTCGTCAAAAAACGTTCCCTAGTAAGTGTTTCATCAATTTCCGATTTTTTTTTTCCGATTTTTGATTCTGATACGATATTTTAAAACTTGGAAAAAAGAGGAAAGTTTCGAAAGCTGTATCAGAGCCGAAGGAAAGCAGAATAATTTATAACCTCTGGCTCACAAGCAATAAAGTCGGCATCGTCAAGTGTGTAATGACCCATTATTTTTTTTTTTTTCGGCCAATATTTCCTACTGTTGCAAACTTGCGGACTGACGGTCGTTAAAAACAGAGAAAAACGAGGATTTGCGAGCGAAACACGAAACGTTTTTCATTAAAGTTGGATTGGTTTTACCAGTCATCTTTGGAAAGAGAAGACAAAATTGAAGTTCTCTAAAGGTAGGTCATTTTACTTTTCAGTTATGAATCCTCTGAAAATTTGTCAGAACACTCCTTAGAGTACCCAAAAAGGATTCTGAAAACCTCAATTTGCACAACTTCCTAGTTTTTGAGAAGAAAACTTCAAAACCAGTCAAAAAGGCCATTTTTTGGCTTTGTTTCTTGAAAACTAGGAAGTTGTGCTACTTGAGGTTTTCAGATTTTTGGGCACTCTAAGGACAGATTTTCAAGAAGTTCCCAACCAAAGAGTAAATGTCCCCCTTTGTCCGAAAAATAGTTTTCCAAGCCTTGAACAAAAAAGATTCACTCTCCAAAAAGGAAAAGGGCCTTACCTCGACGTAAATTTAGACTTGCTACAGCTACCGGCTTCATTACTATTTTTTCAAATCCGTTCAGAAAATCAAAAAAATAGTCGAAACATAACTGTTCCGCAAGATTTTTGACCCTGCCATCAAGAGATGCCAAACTACAAGCAATTTTTCAAAGATTTATCGAACAAAGGAGTCCGGTGGAGCACAAGTCACACCTTGACTAATTACTTGAGCTTCTCGCCGGAGGAGGAGACGCCGAGAGTTGCGAAGGACAGCTGGCTGACCCCCATCGGCCAGTGTTGCCAAACAGACGAAATTAACGGATCTGCCGACATGTGTCTTGTCCTTCAGTCATAACGAGTGTTCCTCGTTGGTATGCGTCGCCGTGCGGGCCTCGACTACGGTAGTTATGAGCGCGTATTATTGGAAGAGCCGCTCCGGGAGAGGCGGCGCTTGTATCTGTGCCCCCCTTGAAGTGCATTTATTCTTCTTCTTCTTCTTCTTCTTCTTCTTCTTCTTCTTTTCCCACCCTGTGGCCAGCGTATTCGGCTGCTTTCAGACGTGTCCGTTTTGATTTCACTGCTTTTTTCCCCATTCTCTTTCTCGTTATTCATTAGAGTCGACTAAAAAATTAGTTCATTCCAAATTGTCTCAGAGGGAGGTCATTTTACTTTTCGGTATTTCTGGAAATCGGCCACACACAGAATATTCTTCCGGTACATCAAGAATCGTTCTGGCCAATTTTCAGGAAAACCCTGCCCTCAAAGTAAACCTCACTTGTTAGATCTTCCTTGTTAAGTCGTTTCAAGTTTAAAAAAAATAAATCGTTCTTTTTTGTGATCCGAGTCTTCAGAAAATATTCAAGCTGATAATACTTTGATAGGAATATTTTCTTAAACAAATGAGAATCGAAAAGTTCGCACCTTTGAAGACTTCAGAAATCGTTTGAGTAGAGACCTGACTTTGAATAACTTTTTAGACTCGGAAAACTTTGGGTGCCACTTAAGAGGCTCCCCGAGGACCACTCAAGTGGTCACTAAACCCAGGATATTGAAACATTTTGAAAAGCCGTCAAACTGGACTTTTTTTCTGATCCCTACCTTTCTCGCCTGCTGATAACTGTGACTCTGCGGACGAATCTGACGGCCTCCACCGGATTCCGCTCATTTCCATATGAACAAACGCATCGGCGTGTTGCGTTTGGGTTGTTTTTACGATTTTTCGCGTTTTATGATACCCCATCTTCCTCCTGCTGCCCCAGCTATCTTTACAATTTGTTCAGCCGCCTCTTCGGCAGCCGGCGACACAAAGGTAGGACAAGCGACGCCTGCATCGTCAATATTCTTTTAATTACCCTTCCAACTGTTTCGGAATATCATTCCGAAGTTTGTGAGAAAACATTTTTGTCTACTGTTTCGGTAGTGGGGTTCAGGAAAAAAAGAAAATTCAAAAGTTTTGAAGCTGGAAATAAAACGATCTGATGAAAAAAGAAGAGTTTCAAAATTTGACTTTTTCAAGTGCACTTGCGCAGCTCGTTATAAACCGAAGAGCTGGAGCAGCGAAGGACTGGAGCACGACACGGCTTCCGGAGCATCGCGACGAGCTCCAGCTCTCACAATAACCCGTGTTATGTGCTCGGCGAGAAATATAGAGGCGGCGGCCCGAAAGAAGATGTGCGACGACGATGGATGGCTCATCAGTCCGCATGCTTATATGCACATGCGAGAATTAATAACAAATGAACAAAACGGCGTCGTCGTCGTCTACCGTAAGCCGCTGGAGCACTACCTGAGCGTCTTATGCGTCGAGCCGTCGGCCACGATTTATTGGGCTCGATGATTGGCGGCTTTCCATCTTCGGCTCGAAAAAGAGGAAAAAAAAACTCATTATGGCCGCTGTGCGAAACGAAGAGTTTGAGGGGGAGCAGTGATGAGGTAAAGTTACCATATGCTGTAATTTGGGATTGACGGCTCCCTCTGGGGATTTCATCTCTCTATTCTTCTACATGCAGCCGCGCCCATTCCAATATATTAAAGCGGCATGGATAAACACATTTGGCGCCTCAATCAAATCCAAGTGATTCTCTTTTCTTTCCGAGCCTCGGGGGCTCTTCTCCCTCCAGCGTGTATCCATCCTTCTCTTTATCTATACTTGTCTCCCAGTTCGTCCCACTGTTTCCCTCCACTTTCCGCTGCTCTCCGAGCAACTTCTCGGATCAAAACACTGAGTTGTGACCGGTAGTCATAACTATCTACAGCTGTTCCTCATGTCAAAAGAGCAATCTGGTCTCAGCTGAATATTCAATAATTAAAAATAAATCTCGATGACTTGAATGTTCGAAATCAGGAGGCGTTTTCGCAGTTGGCAACAGTAATGCAACAAGTCGCGCGTCTCCCACGGCGGCGCATCGAAACGAATTATTAGGCACAGTAACCGCGACACGCCCGTTCTGTGTATATATTCGTGTGATGGGACGATTTCAAGCGAGTCGCCTATTAAAAATTCGTCTCTTTTGCTGGTCGAAAAAGAATCGTTTGAGACGTCCGCCGATTTCAACAAATCTCTTTGTGACCCTCGTCCCCCCTCCCACCGCCTCCTTGTTTTATACGTTTTTGCTCTGGCCTCCTGATCGTGTCTCTCTTCTGTATTCGGAAATCACGTTTCATTTTTGTAATTTTTTTTTCAACTCCATCTTGGGCTCTTGAAAACCTTTTACACCAAATGAAGTGCGGTAATCGCCGAATCACCATTTTCCTTTTTTGTTATAAGGAAAATTACAGTTTATTTGGAACATACGGAAGCTGCAAATATCACAAAATGATCTAACTCGTTTATAGATTACTTTTCTTTTTGATTCTCTTTTTGATTCGACCTAAAATATTTTTGAATTGAGTGGAACTTTATCGAAGCGGAGGCAAATATAAATTTCTTGGTTCTCTTCCTCCACGCCACAGATCTGTCTGTGAGCGAAATAAACATGAAAAGTCTCAGAATGAGTTCCAGCCAAATTTAAGAATTTCTAGACTTTATCCAAGAACATCGTCTTAGTAAGCGTGAAAAAGGTAAAGAGGAGAAGTTGCTTTGAAAACAACCTGTTTTGTTGGTGAAAGAGCGTCCCCTTGTGCCTAATGGGAAGGATTGGCAACAGATGCGGCGAGTTGCAACACGCACGTTTTGACTCAAAACGTCGGCCCTTTCTGATTCGCCGACACGCCATCTCTTTGTCATTTTTTGGCTCTGAAATCTTTTCGTCCCCCTTGCCAAAGGAAGCTCCCTCCCTCTTTTTTCGAAACTTCTTTGGCCGTTTGGAACAAAGATAGTCACTGACCAGGTAGTCGTATTGAACTTGCGGCGAGCCAAGAGCGGCGGCGGAAACGAGAGGAAAAAAAGTAAAAAGGTGCGTGTTTGGACAAATACTCTGATCACTCATATTGTCTTGGTTAGCTGCTAGGGGCAGAGAAAAGCACAGTTTTTTCTTTTCCTCCTCGCGGCTGTGGTAAAGACAAGCTCAAATATTGAACAAAAAAACTGTCCGCTTTCCACTTTTCCTTCGCTTACTTGATTCTTCCGCAATTCGACACTACCAAACGCCTTTTTTCATCTTTTCAGCTTCCATTGCTCTTTGCAGAATTCCCAATTTCTTCCATCTTACGCGTCTCTTTTTCTTTCTCTTTGTCCTTCATTCGAAAAGTACTTTTTTTCTATCGGTACCTTTGTTCAGTTTCTTATTTTCTTAATCAAAGGATATAGAAAATCGGGGTTCAATGTTGTTGTTCCCGCTTCTTTGTACTTGAAATGCGAAAAGACAACGCCAGAGCCTCCTTTGTTTCGAGTGCGTTGTTTTGTTTGGATCAGAGTTGCTAACGAAACCGAAGATTTCGGCAACTTTTGATGAACGCATCTGTCATTTTTCCATCGCCAGTAGTTCCGGGAAAAAAAAAACAATCGAAGTTTGGAGTTGATCGAATCATGTGCAGACTCGCGACCTTTTTTGGAACAACTGCGCCGCTAATTGATATATCGAATCAGTGATAATCGACGGCGTTGCGTTATGCGTCGACCCACCGTATGAATGTTCATCATCGAGTTGCCGCCGGCGGCTGCTGCCAACGGGGGGCGGAGTCACGTCATAAAAGTGGGCGGCGCCTGGGGCAGCAGTTACCTTCGAGTTGTCTTTCATCATCATCATCATCATCATCATCAACGTGCACATCGATTTGCAACAATTGACTTTTTTTGAATCTTTTAAAAATTTGAGGGTTTGAAACTATTAACTTTTTATCAGACGTCTGGTAGTTTATCATTTGATCTGCGACATCATGAATCTTTTTTTCAATTCATTACTCAAACTGTACTCTTTCGAGCGAGCTTTTGAACTAAACATATAGCCCTACTTTAAAAAGAGGCCGAAAGATTTTTTTGTTGATTCATGACTATTTTTTAGATATTCAAATAACTAACGATTTACATTTTTATAAATTCATGATAAATTCCATGCCTTTTTTTCTATCTCTGTAAGGAGCTTCATCTATATCCTTTTCTTTTCAACTGAGTTTTTTTTTTGACGTCCAATCCATCATTGAAAAAATTGACGTAATCGAAAAGGAGCAAATTCGGAAAAGCAGAAAGCTGAACAATTTTCAATTTTTTGGCGTTTTTTCATTTTTAAAAATCGTGGAAGGGCTATTCTAGACGAAAATGAGGATCAATATGAACATTGAAAAAATAAAAAGGCTTTTTGAGTTTTCGTGACGCATGTCGGAGGAGATTTTCTTGTGGAAAAAAATCCATCAAATTTCTTTCTACCACGACGAAAGCGATATATCTCTTTATTTTTTCATTTGTTAACAATTTTTATCTCGGATCCACAGTCGAAAGACGAAATCAGAAGATAAGAGAGAAGTTTGCGATTTTGAAGCGAAAAGGTCCAAGCGTTCTAGTTTCAAAAATTCGCCTAGGGCTTCATTCCTAACCTCATGCACTCGAATCCCTGTGCTTTACCAACCAACACGACATCGATCGGTTCGTGGGGGTGTAAGTATGATGGGTCGCCGAGATAGTAAGCGGCGCCTGCGGCCAACTTGCAACTTTGCGGGTCTGTCCGCCGCTCTAGCTGTTTCCTTCCGAACTGTTTGCTCGCCGAGCATCTCTCGTGTTACCCGCGTTTTTTTTCCGCTATATTTTCAAATCTCGCGCGCGGTCGTCGTGGTGGCTAACATGTTTTTTTTTTTTTCAGGGAGCAAATGAAGGATGGAGTCGAACGCGCTCGCGTCTAGAAGGAAACAGTCGAAGCCGCAACGAGTTCACGACGAAATGGGTACGTTTCTTTCTTATTATAAGTACACCTGAAGTTTCTGTTTTTACTCCTGCTCAAGATGCTTCTGATAATTAAATTTCAATGTCAGAATTGATTCCTCGTTTTTTTCAATAGACTATGGACCATAGTTTCCCAGTAAAAAGCGTCAAAATTCGAATATTAGGCGCAAAGCAGCCTTAGGCTCTCAGAAATCGCTCTCTTTCAATACTCATTTTTGGTGAACTACAAACTTCAACTTAGCTCCTCATTTAGCGACATTTTCGACGAAACGTTGAAGTTCCCCCACTAACTCGTGTCTCTTCACCATTTTCCCTTTGAATTCATAATCCGCCAGCCCACCCAACACTCATTACTCCTTTGGCGCGAAACATGAAGACAAAGGACCGACCTTGAAATATTTTGTGCCGCCAAAAGAAATGCCAAAAGACGACCTCATCATATTCGACTTTTTGATAAGAAGGCCTGTTGCGATTTCTTTTGCGAACAATTTTCATTTTTTGCTCCTTGGAATGAAAAGAAACTCGATTTTGAGGTTCATTGAAGCTCTTTAGAAATTTCTTTCAACTCGAAAGGTAGAGCGGATAAACGGCCGAGAGTTCACACGCTACCGTAGCGCTTGAAGCCATATAAGGTCCTTCGTTCGTCATAGCCGAGAGGAGAGCGAGAGAGAGAGAAGGAAACGAGGAAAGATGCAGAGGACGGCTGTCGGTTATTATTCCGAGGGTCCGCCCCGTCGGCCTATCCAATCATAAGCGTCCAGAATCGCCCTAGGCGTCTGCATATCTCTGCGAGCAGCTTCGTTTTGCGCTCTGGCAAACGATTAAAAGTCTTTTTTTGGGAGCATAATCTGATAAACGTTACTGAATTTATACCAAGCTGTGATTTGAGAATAGATTTTGAATCTTTGAGCTTTTTTGTTCCCAGAAAATTTTATTTTTAGAGAAAAAAACGTTATTTTTTTCCTTTTTTTACAATGCAAAATGTTTTTTTCGAAAAAAAGTTTACTAGGGAATTTTTTTTTGTAAACAAAAATTTGGCATCCCAGAGTGGTCCCTATAGGAGTTCGAAGGGAAAACAGCCCCTACAGGTGCTGAAAAAGTGGTCCCTCTAGGGGTTAGCCCCTGAAGCTCAAGTGGACCTTCTAGGGGTCTTTCAATTTCATTCAAAAAACGCTTTTTTATTCAGTTTCTCCCATGTAAATTCTTCTTCGCTTAGAGTTCATAACAATTATCGAATAGCATGTGCACTTTAGGGGTCACTAACTAAAACTCCTATAGGGTCGACTTTTGAAAGCTTTAGTGGCCCCTAAAGGGATTATTAACGTGGTCCTAACAGCTGATTGATTCCGCTTTTCTTTTCTCATTCCTCTCGTATTTTGCAATGTAGCCAAAGTGTTCTGAGAAGGACACCTTTGAGGAATGTCAACAGTTTTCGAAGGAGCAACTCTGCGCCGACTTCGAAATTTCCAACGCTAGTTTCATTTTTTGTTACAACGGCCGTCGATATGAAGAGATGGGTATCTGCCTCGTCCTCTTTCCTCCGGCGACGAGAGGTCGCGAAACAACACCCAGTGCACCAGTCATAAATTCATTTTGATCGCTATCGCCCTTAAAAACGTACGAAATGCCGATTGTTTGGCCTCGAAAAAAACAGCGACCGTTGGGTCGTTGGCAAATGTAGCATTTTTTTGAAGCTTCAAAATAAGTTAGAGTTTTTTTTTCGCATTTGATCCTGAAAACGCTGTACCACGTGTAGTTAGATGCGCGCAGCTGGAAATGATCTTCACAGAGAAAAATTCTATTTTCCAACTAATTTAATGAATTCATTCAATTTTTCCATTAAACCATGAAAGAAAAGTGGCAAAATGAGGATTTTTCGCCTTTTTCACACATTAATTTTGGAGTTTATTGCAAATCGCTGAACATTTCTTGATGTACCAGAGGAATAATCTTAATTTCTTCTTTTGAGCAATTTTCTAGTTTCTAAAAAAGACATAACGAAGGCGAAGAAAGCTAGGAAAATCGGTTGGAACAAGCAATTTTGAGATCTCATTTCTTCAAAGTTGAGATTTTTAGAAAACTCGAAATAGCCGTCAGAGAGGGAAAAAGATAACTAGGTTTTCAAGAGAGAGATGATTTTGAACGGAAAGAAAGATTCGAAACAGTTTTGTTTTTCAGCTGCGCTCTCTTGTTTACACGTGTTGGCCATCTTTTACCACTTTTTTAATGGTAATTATCGCTTTTCAAATGATGTAAAGAAGTTCAAAATTTTTTCTCTAGCCTCCAGTTTGAACCAGAAAATCACTTGACCTTAAAGACCTTAGCGTAGAGCATAGGTATCCCCGTAAAATGCGAAAAATCAACGCGGGACATTCGAAAAATGAAACATGAGATTGTTCGATTAGCAAGGCCGCCATCACAGATTTTTGCGGAAGATTCGGCCTTCCCAGAAGTTTATTTTCGCCACCCCCGACGACGCATTTTGATTCGTGTTAGTCGTTGTTTGAATCATAATCGATAAGAAGAGAGCGTTTCAGCCCTGTAAATCGACGTCCGGGCCGTTTACTCCAAACGCCACTCATGAATTATTGTGTGTATGAACGGGGCGCTTCTTTTTTTTTCTTTTTCTTTGGACGAACCTTCTCTTTGCCGCCTCTAATTTGTGCTAATTTCCAGCCAAGAGTCGCAACTTGGCGCCTGCGGGTTCCATCATAAAACTGCGGCCCTCATTTTTCACGACGTCAAGAAAAAAAGGAGAAGAGAAGAGCGAAAGCCGATCACAAAAGTAGTGCATTTTAAGGCGCAATTAAATCGAATCGCGACAATTTTGGGTTTATTTTATGATTGCGTGACATTCGGCGCCGCAAAAAGTTTCCAAAAGGGAACCGTTGACCGGTGAATAATGGACCAACTCAAAGGCCTCTTTTTGTCTGATTCATCACAAGGTGACTTGGAATTTAATGACTTATTCAAATCGTCTGTATCTCAGATTTCTTGGCGGACGTTGCGGAAGATGCGTTTTGAAAACCTGTTTTAATAATAGTTTTATGATTTAAAAAAATTTATGGCGTGTTCACCGGGAAAAAAAAAACGAAAATTGGTTCGAAATGCAAAAAAATTGCTCCAAAATAAAAATTAGTACTGTTAACAGTGGAGCAACTTTGGCGCGCCGTTGAACACGATTTTTCGTTTTGAAGCATTTTCCATTTCTCCGATGAACACGCCATTAATTTTCGCGAATTCGCTGTTTATTATTCTCATGAAGTATAAAAGATAATCTAAAGAACTTTTAAAACTAAAAAAATGATGTTTTCCTTGTTCGATGAAGCATTCTGGAACATTCCTCTGCGAGAATCCGCGAAACAATTTGCTCCAAAACGCAATTCCCCTCCGCGACCCATGTATATGCCAACAAATCAAGTCAACTTTGTCGAGTTATCGCGCCACAACCCAAATTGCTGATTCGGACGACGTATTGTGTGTTAAAATGATAAAAATTGACGAGTATGGGAAGCGACGTCGCGAAATAGATTCGCTCCAAAAAAGGTCTTTCGGCGATTATGATCTCAGCGATTGGACTGAATTCGAAACTTTTTAAACGTAGTCTCATTGAAGGAAAATGAACAGAGTGAAATTCCGGTCTGTTTAAGAGTTATTATCTTTGATCCAAAAATAGTTGAAAAATAAGGCACGCCCCACCCAATAACTCCGCCCATAGGTTCGGAACGCATTTTCAAATTATTTTAAAGTTAAACGTTTAAATTTTACGAATTTATTCTACAAGTCTCAATGATTATTTTTTTGTATGGAGGAATGTTCCAGCTTCATCGAAAATTTTTTTATTAAAAAAATTTTTTTATTATTTGAACCTCTTTTTTTCTTCTTCTTTTTGAAGGCAAAGTTTTCCTAATGAAAAAAATCGAAAAATTTTTTTGCCCTTCAAAAATAAAAAAAATTGGCTCATACGGTTCCATTATATCTTTGAAGGCGAACAATTTCGAAAAAAAAAACATTTTCTCTTCTTGCTCAACTCTCGCTCAAAGCGGTGCATTTTGAAAAGACAGTTTAACTTTTTTTTTAAAAACTTAAAGTTCAAGATAAAATATTGAAGAGCACAAGGATTAAAGATAACTTTTCATAATCTTAATCACGGTGTTTTTTTCAGGCGAAGTCCCGCCCATTTTATTCCGTAAAGTGTAGTGTGTCGTATGCATGCACCGCGGCGCTCTCGCACATGCTACGTTCAAAATAATTTTCGGGATAATGTCAGGCTACGCTTCAATCGAAAACTGATCTTCTGAAATCAATTTCGGGCTTTCCCTTCCATATAGCCTTAAATTGAGCATAAGCAAGTGTTTTTTGGAACCCTGAGAAATCATTTGAATGCATTTTTGGTTGGTCTTCAGAATCGGATTACGGTAATATGCACTTTGGAGGCGGTCTGCGACGGATGGCGTTTCCATGAGCGTGAGCGTTTCTTCCTCGCAAAAAAAAGTTCGCATAACGTTGTCTTTTTCTCTACGCTCTCCGTCGCGGTGCCTTCGCATTATATTTTGTTGCGATGCAAAGGACGCAAAAACGACGCAAAACGAGCGGAGAAAGGCAAATTATTAGTTGCGTTAAGACAGGTTTCCAAACCCATAAAGCCGTGCAAAATGCGAATGGCGAGGCCACGGACACGCCGAATGGGGCATGTTCGAAAGGCGGCGTGTGAGGGACGGTGAACCAAAAAAAATGTTAACGAGCCCATGTCGATTGTTGCGATTTAATGGTCAGAGGCTGGCCGTAGCGAGGGAAAAAAAAGACGTGGAGGAAAATAAGTTTTCCTTTTTTCAGATGGTAGCGAGGACGACACGATGAGCCTGGTTATGCCGATGGATCTGTCGACGACGTCGCGCAAGGAGAAGACGATCCTCGAAGACAAGTCCAACCTTCTGCAGACGTTCGCCTCCTTCGCCACCCCTCAGCAGGTATCTCCAACTGATTCTTCTGAGCTCGAAACACCGAGCAAATTCCCGAAATTGTGCTCTTAGTGGAGCCTTTTCCATCAAGTTCAGTCCCTCATTTTCAGTTTCTTTTCGAATTGAGGAAATGATTTAAATCGACCTTTTTTGAATATAATATTTTAAAACCGGTTTTCATGTTATTCGGCTGTTTGCTGTAGCGTTGTGGAGTTTGTTTTAGAAAATTAGATTTTTTTTTCAAGTTTGGATTTTAGGAAAGGCTTTGAGGAGGTTTTAGCAAATTTGCAGTGAATTGCGAGTCACATCGGAAGTAGAGTGGTCTTTATAGAGGCAATCATACCTCTCTAGGGACAACTTTACGAACCAGGGTGCCACTAAAGCTTGCAAAGTGCTTCCTAAAGGGCTTCAGTTAGTGGCCCCTAAAGGGGACATGCTAATAGATAATTTTTATGCACATTATGCGAAGAAGAATTTCCATGCGAAAAAAATAAACAAATAAGCGTTTTCGGACAAAATTGAAAGAGCCCTAAAGGGATCACATGAGCTATGTGTAGCTGAGGGGTCAGACCCTAAACCCCTATAGGGACCACTTTTCAGCACCTATAGGGGCTGTTTTTCCCCCCTAAGCCCTATAGGGATCCTTCTGAAATTTCTCAGAAAATTAACTTCCTTGACAGAATAGAATACATTTTTGAAGTTTTCTTCAGCAAGGTACTGTCAGAATTTGAAAACTAAGTAAGGGAGATATACTCGCAAAAGCGATCTTCAAGTTTTAAAGAAATCTGAGGTTCATTCTTGTAGCTTCTGAATCTGTGTGCTCAACTAGCGGCTGGACGAGAAGAGAAGCTCGAAGGCGTGACTCCCCGTCGAGATCCTCCCAGCGACTTCGTCTGTCCGGGAAACCGCTGCTCCCAGGTTCGTGTTTTTCTCAGCGCGGATACGGTAGCCAGAGTTATAATTTTCGACTCAATACATGTATTCTGGCGCTCTCTCTCCCTCTCAAAAGCAGATTTTGTGGAGCGAGCGCTGCCAAATATTTTCAAAATGGACCGACGTCAATCGAAGAGGGCGGCTGAGACCCTCAATTACCTTCGATCATATAATTAAATGATCAATCCAAAGAGATTCTAGAAAAAAGAACCATCCGGGGATCGAGAAGGAAATCTGGGTTTTCAGAGTTTCGCCTCGCGAGGTGCGCTCACGTGGCACGTGCTGAACCGTCACCAGGAGGACGGCGACAGTCTGAGATGCGAACAGTGCGGCGTCTCCTTTTCCCAGGCCAACGAGGTTTATAGTTACCCACTTTTTGGTAAACAAGGGACCAGACAAAGGTAAATCGATGCAAGTAGGTACCAGGTAGCGACCTACTTACTAGCTGCTTTCATGATACCGAAAAGCATACACTCGTCAGAAATCATACACGGTAGCATCGCGATACCTCTCCGGTAGTATACAGGTACCATAGAGATAGTACCAGGTCGCATACAAACGACCACCGATTAGCATACGACGATTGAATTTGAAGTTGCTATAGCCTGTATACCTGGATTTTAACGGAACGACATTCCGCTGTGCCGCTCCACGCCTTTGCGAACCTTGGTCGCGCTTTTAATTTTCTTTTTCTTTTGAAAGGCTCCCAAAGCAATAAAAATAAATTGAAATCCTGGATTCGAAAGACGCTTCACGAACGCACGCAGCGGAACAGCGGAATGTCGTTCCGTGAAATTTCAAATCGTGGCACACAGACTATACCTGGTATATCTCTGTATCGACCTCTCGATTGACCAGTGGACTTTTCAAAAATTTTTTTCCTTTCTAAACAATATCTTCAATGAAAGTTGATCTGATTATCAAGTTTTTTCTGATTATGACTTGGTTTTCAGTTATTTACAGTCACTTCCTGTTCGAATAAAAAATTTGAAAATTCGAGATTCGAGACCACGCATGCGATGCCGGCTCGAACAGATGCTCCTCAGCCAACGCCGCTTCAGCCTCGCTTCCCCCTCCTCACGTCTTCTGCTCGGCGTCTGCTCCGGCTTCTCCCGCTCCCGACTTTACCGTGAAGACCAGAGCAACGACGCCGGCCCAGGATACCCAGTCCACGTCTTCTGCCGATTTCATGGGCGAAATTTTGAGAAACGACGTTAAAGTAATTTTCCCTTTCTGGATGAAGATCAGGTTTAACTCAGACAGAAGACGAGCAACACATTGACGGGACACCCTCGTTCCCTTTCCCTCACATGCCACACTTCATGGGAGCCTCTCCTAATATGCCAACTTGTAAGGAACTCTCAGTTGGTCCAAAAATCCACGCTTTGCAGTTATGATACGGCCGCCTTTCGACCCGAGAATGGAGATGTTTGCCGGCAAGCACGACCCTGAGGACGACTGGGAGGCCTTGATGGAGATCTCGACGAGCGATGAAGCCGAGAAGATCCGGGCGCTCGTCGGCGACAAGGCCTTGCCGACGACGGACCCCAACCAGTGCATTCTGTGTCGGAGGGTGCTCTCCTGCAAGTCCGCTCTCCAGATGCACTACCGTACCCACACCGGCGAACGGCCTTTTAAGTGCAAAATCTGCCAGCGCGCGTTCACCACCAAGGGAAATCTAAAGACGCACATGGGCGTCCACAGGGCCAAACATTCTTTTCGAGGTCAGAAATTAACCAAAACTCACAATTCTGCAAGCTTTTCTGAAAGTAAAGTTAAAAAAGTTAACCCCTGAAGTCAAGAGAATCGTTAAAAATTCACTTTTTCAAATGTGCGATTTCCGTTTTACATATTTTATATCCGAATGCTTCCAGTTCTCGAAATAATTTCACTAATTAAAAAAAAAGATTTCAATCTGATTATCAACAAGATTGAAATAACCATTTTCTTCTTCTAAAAATATAAAAATAGTGATGAGATATAATGAAGAAATGCTACGTTCTTATAATACTCGATTCATACCAAAACACTTCCGAAGACTCAAAATTATGGGCGGTTGCAATCAGAATTGAAAAGACTCTTTGTAGGGTTGCCAATGGGTTTGCCGCCTCCGATGACGGCTATAAATCGCGTTCCTCCGCACGTTCAGCCACCGATCCAGGCGTCGCAGCAATGTCCGATTTGTCAAAAACGGTAAACGACGTCCTGAAAACATTAGAAGCCAGGAGTTTTGCAGAGTGGCAAACGCGATGGAGATGCAAGCACACATCGGAGAACACAGGAACGCCCTCACCCAGCGAATGGCTCCTCCGACACCTGAAGTTCCCGTCGTCGGGTTCGTCGACGACATCTCAAGCTCCCTAGATCAAAAAATGTTCCAGAAGTTCTTTTTCCGGCGGATTTCCCTTCGTCCCCTTCTTTCCTTCACCCATCGCCTCTCTGCCAACAACGCCCACGATGAATCCCTCGCCCTTCAACCTAGCTCACATTTTGGCAAAACAGATCGAGTCGAACCGAAAAAGCGAGCCTGTGGATTCATTACAACCTGAGACGACGTACGTTCAATTCTAATGAATGCAAAAAAGAATTAATTTTAGGTATATCAACGACCATCCTGAACCTTCGAAGGCAACTGAAACCTCGACAGAACCCGACCAGGTACCAAACACCTCTGCCGCGTCGCTGTCGCCACCATCCGAAAGTAGCGACTCCTCATTCCGACATGAACAGTAATTATAACGTCGAATTCGGAAAATTGAATTTCTTTTGAAGATCCCACGATGGTTTTCCAAAAGTGAAAGAGGAGGTAGAATCGGAAGAAATGCGATCACCCAATGAAAGCGTCGACGAGACTTCTGAGGCGACTAAAGCTCCTGCTGCGACGGCCACCGTGACGATCTTAGAAGCAGAGAAGCAGTCTGAAAATCCTCTGCTAGCGATGCAGAAGATGTGGGCCGAAACCGAGCCTCCGCCACCACGGCAGGTTCGTTTTGTTGCGAGAAGACATGAAATAAGGGTTTGAGATCAGAACTTTTTCCCTTTATTCAGAACATGAGAAACTCAGTTCAGCCGTATTCTAGAGGACCAGCCATTTGATTTTTAATAGGGTTATGACGCCTAATCTTGTTTTATTCGGTTGTGGTGGAAAATGGGAGAGGCAGCAAAAATGGTGCATAAGAGGTGATGAAATGGCGCAAAAAGGCAGCAAAAAAGGAGTTTTTGCCACCCTAAAAGGAAAATTTCTATGGACCCTTTTTCCACCCTTTCCGACTTTGCCTATGGTTGAAAAGAGCAAAATAAAATTTGATAGTTTGGGTCCAGTTTTAGTTATAGTTCAGTTTCAGTTGTGTACACAATTATTGGTGAGAAACTTGGATTAAAAATTACCAATTGGGTCTCGAATCATTTAATAATAAACTGAAAGGCGACGTTGCAGATGCCAGTTCTTTCAAAACACCAATGCGCGGTCTGCTTCAAGCACTTCAGTTCGAGCTCAGCCCTGCAGATCCACATGCGGACGCACACTGGTAAGCTATCATAAGATTCTCGAATACCTAGCCCTTGCAGGAGACAAGCCCTTCAAGTGCGAAATGTGCGGGAGAGCGTTCACGACGCGCGGCAACCTCAAAGTCCACATGGGAACACATGTCTGGCAGCAAAGTCCCAGTCGTCGAGGTTTCTTTTTTGGCGAAGGCCCCATTTTTCTGTCCTTTCCGATCAAAAAAAGGAAAGTTGCGTTTCAGGTAGACGGATATTCGAGATAGGAAGCTCAGGTGAAGGCATGAAGCCGGCGCCGCCACTGGGTCTCGCATCTCTGCCGCTTTTCCCGCCCACATCACTTCCTAACATGGAGATGATGATGATGTTGTGGCGAACGGTTTGCTCCGTTTGTCAGAAGGTCAGTGAGCCTCTCCAACTTCACGTGTCTCACCTGACGCTTTCAGGTCTGTTCATCGCCCTCAGAGCTCGAGCAACACCTCAAGGAGCACCTGAGCGCTTCGATTCCCCTCCAGTCGACGTCGCCCTCTTCTCAGTCATGATTCAGTTTAATAATTATTGTCATTCCTCCTGCACACGGAAAGAGCCGCACTTTTTTTTCATTATTCCACGCTGAAATTGTCTTTCTGAAAGGTCCCAGTTTTGCATCCCATCCTATATCACTTCTCTTCTTATCTTGTTTTTTTTTTCAATTTTCATAGTACATTTTCTCATTACAATAATTTATGAACTAATTCCATATTGTTTACCGGAAACACTAGTCGCTTTAACCCGAATTCGTGCGCATGGAACCCCGGTTTCGCTTTTGTTGGTCTCATCAATTTTCTGGAAATGGGCGGAAGGCCGAAAAAAATTCCAGTTTGTAAAGCATTCATTTTAATAAATTTACTTTACTTTGTGAGAAACAATGTTCAGTACGTGTCAAAAAATGGGAAAACTTGAAAAGAACCCATAAAAATCGGAAAAATCTGTTCCTGACAATTTTTTATTTCTTTCGCCTCGATGTCAAACGAGGAGTGATTGGAGAGGATAGAAAAAACGAGAAAAACACTTTTTACATATAATTAAAGTCGCCACTAAAACCACCTCTATAGAAGCAACTATTATGCGCCTTAGTGGCCTAGTAGTACCAGGGTAGACTTCTAAAGAGGCCCTGAAGTCACAAATTCGACTATTATAGTGGCCACTAAATCTTTAAAACCCTAAAGTGGCCACTAGAAATTTTCCCAGAAACTATTCTACGGGCTGTAAAGTTGTTCGAAAATGGTTTGGATGCGTTTTTGCGAAAGCTATTTTTGAAATAAAAAAAAACAGTATAGGTACATACAAATGACACGAAAAAGCTTGAAAGAGCGAAAAGTCTTTTTTCTTATTTTCGATTCGAATAATATGGGATACAAGTAATAATTTGCGCAAGCATGGAATGAAGATGATCAGAAAAAGCAATGAAAAAGGCCACAGGCGCGAACGATCGAGACGATCTGCTTGGCAGCGAGAACGGAGAAGAAGTCGCGCCAGTCGTAGCTCCCGAGCAGTGAGAGCTTCTGCGAACGACACACTTCACAGAAGTCACACTGGAGGTAGCAGGTGACGTGCGACTTGAACGCCGCCACGCGAATTTTCTCGCAATCGCGTTCCTTCTGCAATATCGGGCTCAAGACGTTGGTGTGAAACAAAAATAATTTAAAAAAATGACCATTTCTAGGGTTTTAACCTTTCATGTCTTTGGAAGACGCTCAAAAATGACAAATGACAAAAGTTCAAAGACGCACTTTTGGCAAGAAATAGTGCCTGACAAGGGAGGTCATCTTATTCAGCGGTTGGGACTTTCCTGAAAGTTGGCTGAAACACTCCTTGATGCACCAGAAGATTCTAAAAGAAAAGACGCGGCAAAACCAAAGAAAACTCTCAAAATTTAATAAAATAGGCTTTTTGTGGCTTCAGGACCTCATTTCTTAAAATAGGAAGTTTCGCAGGTTGAGACTCTTGGTTCATTAAAGTTTTCTGGCCAATTTTCCGAGAATTTCCAACCGCAAACGAAAGTGACCTCCTCCCCTGTGGGTCCTTTATTCGTTTTTAAGATCCGAGAAACACAATTCGCAATCACGAACAATCGCGGACTCCAATTTATTTGAAAGAATTTATGATTCACCTCTAGTTTCAGACTCAAAAAGACGTAGCCTGTCTGCGCTCTCCACTAACCAGGCACTGTCTCTTTTCTTATCGTGCCAGGACCCATATTTCAATGGCTCAAGCCAGCCGTGAATCAGCTATACCATCGAGTCTAACGATGATACCACTTCTGCGAAATTTGAGTGAAATGCGATAAACTTGACGTTTACCCTCAAGAGCTGTCGGCATGGCTCAAAAAGAGCTGAAGAGTATACTGGAGGCCAACGATGAGCTTTTTTTGAGAACCTATGAACTATTTTGAGAAATATCTTCGTGAATATATTATGATATACTACCGATTTGTTTGTGTTGTTTTGTTTTAAAAAAATGAGTGCACACCTCTGTAATTTTGTGAATATCCGCCATCAAACAGTTTCTGCAGCAGTCGACGAACGTTCTTCCTACATCCGAGAACTTTTTCCGCACATCTAAGATAATTTTCCCCATTGACAATTGAGAAACGCTTCACCTTCATTGGTGAAAATGAGACAGTTTTTGTAGCCGTAGTGCATCAGATAGCCATCTTCCCCGCATCCCAGCCTCTCCTCCAGGTCGAGATAATCTTTGCACAGAGACTCGGCAGGCGCCCAGGTCGTCAAACTCTTAAATTTCTTCATTATTTTTCCTATACAATCGATATAACTAACTTGAAAGATACTAAAAACAATGCAAAGATGTGCGAACTTCAAGAACTTCAAGAACTTCATCAACTTGCGCCAGATCAATGAGCTTCCTTAAAATGAAACTCCTACTATTTTCGAGTCAGTGCTATTTACGATTTTTCGCTACTTAACATCGAAAAAAAATGAAACTATTTCTGTGAAATTTCAACTGTTATTGTATTTGGTAAAGATTTATACGTTGAAAAAAGGGTCAATTGGCTTGTACAACTCAATTTTCAATAAAGTGCGCTCGCAGTGAGCAACCGGTAGCACACTTTAAACTACACTCGCCAATCAACGAAGCATTTTGAGAGTACCCGAGTGCACACGAATCGTATGGAAATACCAATCTGTGCCCATACAAACGATTCGAGATTACCAGAATGTTCCCAGGAGTATATATCTCTCAAAATGGCTCAGGAGTATCCAATAACTTGGAAATCATGAGGTACTTTAGGGTTTATCTTATGCCTATCGAATTTTGCTCAATTTCATCAAAGGTATTCCTAGTATCATCATTCAAAATCAGACCCTTCGATATGCCTCAGGTTGTCTCGTAATACACTTTCCCGATTCGCTCATGCACTTGTTTGATCACTGAAAAGCACTTGGATTCAAAAGTGCACTTTATTAATCCCTTGTGTGAACTCACCAATCGACCCGTGGTTTTGAAATGAGCTTATCTAACTCGATGCAAAAGGAGTTATCAAAAACGTCAAATATAGAGAAGTGTGAATGAAAGATATTCCGCTTTTTGTGGAGAATTCGTCATCAATAATTTTGAGAAATACAAGTTAATCAATACTCATATAAAGAGGAATGGGCGAGGACCAGGTAATAAAAGTCTAATTCCGTTAGAGCATACTCGTTGTACCCTCGTGAGGCCTTAGACCCTTCAATTCGGTACTAACGCAATTTCCCTACACGATACCTGCGTTTTTTCTCTTCAAAAACGATTGTAAACATCGCGAAATCAATAGGAACGCGGCTATATAGAATCATGAGGCGCCCGGGCGATATTTGTTTCGCAACAAACAGAACAAGTCGACTTTCTTGTGTGATAGCGCATGGAAAATGATAAGAATTTCGTGAAATTTTGGCTACTTACTTCAATCATCTCTTGCCACGAAAGCAGTCTGTGAAGATAAAATCAAGATTTATATTTCAGTTTACGGTTCAAAAACTAGACTCACGATTTTCAATTTTGATTTGGTTAGTTTGAAGTCACGCGCCTCAAAGACAACATTATTATCGTTTTCCATATCAGCAAAAATATTGAGAGCACAGGGTCAAGCTATGAAAAATTAGTCAGCGAAAAATTTCCTCCAAAAAATGTACTTCGACCTTTGACCTTCGCGAAATTTCAAGATCGTCTGTGTTGGTCAATTATCACTCACCTATCAAATGCCGTGTTCAAAATAATTTCCGCAAAATGCAAAATTCTCTGACTCTTTTCAATTTTATTATCTTTCCCATCTTCTGACAGCTTTTTGAAATTCGCGAAATCACTTTGAACACGGTATTTATTATGATTTTCGAGAACCAAAGAATATTTTTTCGAATAATGATTCTAAATTCTCCTTTAACGTAACGCTTAAGGTGTTCCGTCCTCTTATAACTTCGGTTCTCGGTAATCACTTTGAACAGCTATAACTTCCCAAGTACTTCTATAACCGGAATGAGATATTTTGGCTGGTCAAATTTTGACTATGTTTCTTTGCTTCTTCCTGATAGATTCAATAAAAATTCTCGTATTTGATAGTATTAAATCTGCGAGCAAACTTTTTAAACGTTCTATTGATATATTTTGGGATATTTCAAAGCACTGCAAACGTAATACCTCAAGACCTTTTGTAGGCGATATATAGCTCCATATTCACCGTAAATTATTATACGACGAGGGAAAACAAATAAAAAAGAATAAAGGAGTAAAAAGTGAAGATGCGATAAAAAGTATATTTTCGAATTATATGTTGATTTGTGAGCTTACTCAAGAGCTAATAGCAAGATATAAAAAAAAATGCATACATCCCTTCAGGGATTATTTTTCGCTGCAGACAGAAAAATTTTTAATAAAAAAACATTGGAGTAAAAAAATATTGAAAAGCCTCGTTTGATACGAGGAAACTGTCGTCAATTATAGCGTCACGTACGCAAACAGTGAACTTAACGCTTGAAAGTCTCAAATTGATCAAAAAGTAGGAAAAATTTTTCTTAATTTTTTTAAAAAAATAAAAAAATAATTTTTGGATTTTAAGTTCCGAAAATAACTTTTTTTGAAACTCTTGTCAGAAATTCTCGAATGCTAATAAAGCTCTCATATTTTTTTAAGCACATTCCCTGTTTTGATCCTACAGCTTTTTAGCTTTTTTTATTCCTTTGTTATATATATATATATATAATTCTTTTTCAATGAACTTTGTACTTTTTATGCAAGAGGGAACCTCGAATGATCGGATAGAATCTCAAAAAAGAAACTTTGCTGTGTTCTCTGGATTTCATCATTCCGCAGTGTAGCAAGTATTATCGCTGTGTAACACCAAAGAACGTCTCTCGCCCCACTTTCAACTGTTTTGTCTTTACTTTTTTCAATTTCATCATTCAATTTTCGCCACGTATACTTCGTCGGGCCCTCAAAAAGCATTTAATTTCATTCTGGTATACTGTTCAGTCGAGTTTTCAGAAATGGCGGAAGTCGAAAAGGTTTCCTTGGAAGCTAGTGTCGGCAGCAAAGGGGGCTACTACACCTACTTCACTGAGAATTCATACGTCAGGCAGGTCAGTGAACAGGAATAACAATTTTTTTTCGAAATTTTCGATTATTTTTTTTAAACTTTTGAACTCATTGGAAGGTTTGTGAACATGGTGAGGAGCGCATAATGGTCACTTTTCTTTGTGCTGCGAAAAAAAAAACACGAGGAAAAATCGATTAAATCGAACAGTAGATCTCTGGTAACGGCTGTAAGAATAGGTTGTCTGAAGAGACGATACCTACCTTCTTTTTCTATTAAGGAATGTGGATTTTTTTTTAGGCTTCTGACACGTATGAAAAAACAAAAAAGTTCCATCCGCTCCTGGATTCTACGCTGAGTAACGTCGAAGGTCGAATGGGATCCGTACGCGACTACGCTACGGAAAAGGCTTCCTACGGGTACGAAAACTACTGCGTTCAGCCGAAGAACGCTCTCCACTCCTATTACAATTCAGGTTAGTGTTCTTTCTGGCAATATTTTGAAGTTTTGTGAGCAAGGATTTTGAGTGAATTTGTACTCAGGAGCCGAGAGGACGAGAAGCGCTCTGGAGACAAGCAAAAACGCGGTTGTCATGGGCGGCACGTTGGGAATCGGTGCAGCCGTGGTCCTCACACAGGTATTATTTTTGGACTTATTTTTGATCTCGCAGCCATCATGCAGATTCACATGTACGTATATTCAGTTCTCGCTTTCCCTGAGTGCCGGTGGAGCCGCGTTGGTTCTCGGTGGCGTTGGTGCAGCTCAAAATGCGGGAACGAAGACACTGGCCTCCATCAAGAGTGCAGAAAAGGCTTTCGAGAATCGTATCTATACAGTCATCGAGAATGCTCAACGACTCGCAATGGTTAGAGAAGGAGAAGAAGAGCGAAAAAGAACTGGAGAACAGGTGCCTGTGGACAAGATGACGGAGAGCAGCAATGCGCTCCTGGACATCCTGGACACGTTGGTCGAACGGACTTTGGCCGTGGAGATCAAGTCGCAATCGGAGGCTTCGGTCCGCGAAAGGGTCGCCGGCTTGGCTGCCGCTATCGTTCATGCTCTCACCCTGAAGGTTTGCAAGGAAAATTAGACAAGTTTTTGCCCTTTTTGATGATTTTGGATACCTCCCTAACAAAAATATGTTCTCTTTTAATTTTATGATGAATATCGAGGAATTTATAATTAGTTTTTAGGCTCACACTTCCGTTATCGATCCTGTTACTGGTCAAATCAATGTGCTTACAGAAAAATTGAGCAAAAGTCTTGTGCTGGTTAGTTTCTTTTTGTTTATGAACTTCTATCAACTCGTTTCCCAGGTTGACGTGGTACGTTCAAAACAGGAATGGGTGGTTGAGAAAGTCGAAGAATTGTCGGTGTCCGTCTCAGACTTGAAGGTTCAATCTGCTACATAGCTGGTTTATCGATTTTTCTTTTCCAGGCTCAATTGGAGAAAGAAGCATTGCACTACAGACAGAAGCCTGAGGAAGTCTTGATGAACTCGATCCGAGCCACTTCTTCGCAGCTCCAACAACGCCTGGAAGGACTCCGCGAGAAAGGCCAGCTTGTAGGTTTTTCCCAACGTCGACACTCTTTAAAAATGGAGGGTCAGTAAAAAACCGGGTTAGTGGGCCTGCAGGTAGAGAACGCGAATTTCTAGGGGATGTTTATTGGTGAGCAAGAACTAAAAATAACCAACAACAGGGTTTATATAGGCTGATGGGAGAGATTCCGAAGACTGTGGAATGTTCCAGAAGGAAGGGGGATTTGAGAGAGTACATAAGGAAAAAGGTATGACGGAAGCTTCCATTGTCTTTGCCGAAGGTTATAGAACATTCTGGAACGATATGGGATTTTCTAGAAGGGAGTTATACAATTGATCTCTATGACGTAATAAAACCGTAAACGTTTAAAAAAGAATAGAATATTCTAGAACAAGCTAAATATAAGCGTGATACTCCCACGGGGGTTTGAGGTCAATGCAGTATCTCGTAGAGCTTTTCATTGCGAATCGAGCGGCCTACTCAAAAAAGCGCAGATATGAGTACTTTAAATGAAAAAAGTGATTTTATTTTCCCGTTTTTTAATTTTGAAATATGCTTCGGATCGGTTTACAGAAAACTGATTACAGTGCACGCGAAGCGAAGTTGCGGACATTTCATTAGATTCGAATTTTGTGATAAATAACCGGATATTTGCTTCAAATTAAGGATTTCTTTTCTGAAAGGCGAACAAGTAACACACACCGATAATTAAGTGAACACAAAATATCTATTTTCCCAACTGAAATCTTTGTAAAATCATTACTTTTTCACTAGATTTCAATCAAATTTTTTTATAAATAGAAAGTTTTTCATGACGAAAAAAATCTTTGGTGGCAACAAAAAAATTGAAAATTTGAAAGAAACGAAGAATAAAACGAGAATCTGAAAAATGGCGAAGTTAGTTGTCCATAGAGCAACTTTACTGCAAAACGCCCCTATTAGGGGGGATTCAAACCTTCAAAATTTTGATCTAAAAACGTTTAAGGTGTTCGGGGACGGCTCTCGTGTCGATGGGGTCGTTGAATACCTGAAGAATCTGGACAAAAATCTCGGAGAAGCTGAAAATGTTTACAAAGTTCGAGATGAGGTACGTTTTTCCTAGTAAATAATGGGATCCTAGAAACTTGTTTCAAAGATATTTTTTCACGGTCGTTTTCAAAGTGAGGCTATGCATCAATATTTGAGCTATTTTTTTGAAAAAAATATTTTTTACCAACTCGTAAAATTCTGCTGCTTTCAGGTAATTTCGGAAGCTCGTCAGCGAATCGGCGAAATCACGGCCTGGACCACGAACATGTTGGTTCGTCCAAAGACGCATTAAAAAATTTACTTCTCCACGATAATTTTCTTGTCAAATGTTTATTTTTTCCTACGGAATAGCCGACGAGAGAGCAAAAAAATATTGTGACAATGAAGCTACACTACTTGCACGTGAAATTGCCATGGGTTTAAGTTTTTAAAGAGGCGCGTGTTACTTTCTATTTATCTCTGCCCCCTCCTTCACTTCTGTAACTCTTTTTGTTTTCTATTATTCTACACTCAAATTTTCGTCGACTTTTCCGCCTTCTGTGCACAATAATTTTTTTGACAGCTTTCTCCTTTCGTCTTCCACAAAAATATGAAAGCAATCTTTTCACCGTATTTTCTGATATATTATTTATTCGGCGAGTCAAATGTGAGTTTACAATGACTTGTTTATTATATTGAAAAAATAAAGTCCAGCATGTTCTGTGTAAAGTAGATGCAAGTAAACGAGGTAGAATATCCTCATTTACAAATATTTCACTCTTCTTTTTCAAAACTGAATTATAACTCGGGATAAAACAGGTTCGAGCTATTCTGGATGTGACTTGCAGATGATCAGCGGCGACGTTTGGCAGTTTGAAGCGGAAGATCTTCAGTTTCAACGTCTTCTTTTCGAGGTACACAGCGCTGTTCCGCTCCGTTTGAGTCGTCGAGCATAGACTCCCACGTTAATTGAATATTCATGTAAATAAGCATTACTCTTCAAGGTCTCTTCCTTTAAATTAACGATGTGTTTTCCTCTTCGTTTCACGTGTTTCTGGTGCCTTGACATTTTTGAAAAGTCGATTCAAATCTGATTTTAAACAACTATCTGTATAAAAAACTAATCTGTATTTTCAAAATAACATTTTTAGTATCAATTCGGCATTGTAAATGTTTGAGCTGTTTACTTTAACGTGTAAATTTTTTTTTCACTGGAGAAAAAAACAAGTTTTGAAGGCGGAAGAAAAAGAAAATGTTCCATGGCGCCCAACCACACTGTTCTAAACAACTCGACAGGCGCGAAGTAAACAAGGAAGGCTCCGAAAAAGGAACCCTTGGACGCTTATTGTTATTGATCCGAGTGTTTACGCGGCCGCCTGTTCCCCACCATCTCTGCCCCATCGCACTATCAATCTTCCTTCATATTCTTGGCGCTGTTCTTCAACTTCGCTCCGCCCAGTTTCACTGAACTTTCAACTTTCCAACCCTTTCACTTCCAACACTTTTTTCAATTGTTTTCGGTCAAAGTTTTATGATTTGTTCTTCTGCAATATAGTCTGTTTGAATTCTTAATTTAAAGAGAACAGGGAGGTTAACCGAGAAATTCGCAAATTCTTGAAAAAAAGGGCCCGAGTCGTTTCTCATTTCGATAATTACTTCAAGTTGACTCCGCTCGTTTTGTTCCTTTCGAGAAGTTTCCATATTTCATGTCCCATTTGAGTCGGGTTCTAATCAAATTTAATGCGTCTCCGCGAAACCGCGCAAGAAATCCTTTCCCGGAGAACTTCTTCGTTCAAAACTCCCTATATAGGACTAGACAAGGATGATATTTTCTAGTTTTTGAAAGATTTGAGCTTAGTGGGCCATGTTGTCTAGTTTTTGACGACTATTTTTTTTGCATTTTTTATGTTTTTCATAGAAAATCCCTCAAAGTTTTTATTAAAAATGTTATTTTTAATTTTCTTATTTCTTATTTTGGCTCAAATTTTTATGCCGTTTTCAAAGTGATTGCGCGAAAACCAAAATAGTCGTCAGAGAAAGAAATAGATTATCAAATTTTGGAGGGTCAGTGATAGTTTTGCATTTCGCGGAAATTACTTTGAACACGGCCTTTTTTTAATTTAAAAAGAGTAACACCTTATTTTTTTATCGGAGATATCTATTTTTTTCAAACTGTCAAAAACTGTTGAACAGCTCTCAATATTCATGTATAGTTAATTTAACAACCTTCACCTTGCCTTGCTTTTAATCAAAAAAATTTTTAATTGAACAATTTTTTTGAGCAATTTTTTTGTTAGAGTAAAACTGTTTTTTTGTTCGAGTAAGTACCAACTGGGCTTCAAAAAGTTTTCCTTGTTTTTTTGAAAATCATGTTTTTATGTAATGCCGAGAACTTTTTACAATATTTAAACTATCATTACATCTAGTGGTGCTCAATTTTTTTGACGTTCTTTCAAAAAAATAAATAAATAAAAGGTCTGGGAATAATGATTATGACTGCAAAAAAGCTAGTTTTTCCATATTCACTATTCCTTTTTTATGCCGCGTTTAAAGTGAAATCAAAAACATCCGTCAGAGAAAGTAAGAGATAACTAAATTTCAGAGAGTCAGAGATTTTGCATTTCGCGGAAATCACCTTGAACACGAAATTAAAATCATCCATCACTTTGCCTAAAATAGAGAATTCGTTGATCACCTTCGTTTCAAATTGTTCAGCAGGTCGTGATCAAAAAAATCCCATGAAGGGGGCTCATCAAACTGGATAAGGATGTAGGGTGATATCAAAGAAAGGACACGCGGATATATAGAAGTGGCGAATGTTGACAAAGTCACTCCAATATTTGATTACGCAAACCGCGCTCGATTCGTGCGTCGCTCGGCGCCTTGTTCTTTTTTGTGTTAACTCGACCCTCGGCGTGTCTGGGCGTCTCCTCGGTAAAACTGCAGAAAGCGATTCAATCGGCCTCTTCAGTTTCGCCGCCAAACTCGCGGCACGCCGTACGTACCAACATTTGCATATTTCCCTCCTCGTCCCATTTATTCCTATCCCATTTGATCAATCGATAAAACAGATTGCCACACTTTGTTCTTCTTTACTTCTCACTATCCAAAAACAATGGTTGAAATTTTTTTCCAGCAAGGCTCTTTTTCTATTTTCGTACTTGCTCCACAGAGATTTAAAAAAAACCTACAATTTATATTGATTTACAATTTCTCTATATATCTTGGTTTCACGAGAAGGATCCCGATTCCCTGTAGCTTATTGAATGGTTCAAAAATATACTACTTGCAGAAAGAAGATTTTTTTTTTAATTGGAAAAGTCATATGACTTTTGCGGTTTGGAATTTTTGTACAAGCGTGCTCAAATACTCTTTGAACGTCTAGATGAAGATTTCTTATAGTCGCTACCTGCGCAAACTTCTATTATTCGAATTATTAATTTTTTTAAAATTTGAAATAGACCCCACAAGGAGGTCACTATACTTTGTGGCTTGGAATTTTTCTACAAATTTTTTTCTCAAACAATCTCTGAAGGTTTATATTGATATCCATCGTATTTGCAACCCGCGCCAGCTTCTAGTTTTTTTAAAATAATTGAATTTGAAGGTCAAAAGTTATCATTTTTTTTTTTGCGATTTTGAAAAAATCATGTCTCAAGAAGTTTTTGCAGGGAGCGACTATGAGGGACCTTTATCTAGGCCTTCAGGTAGTATTTGAGCAAATTTGTAAAAAACCTCAAAGTCAAATCACCTCCCTTTTTGGAAATTTGCCCAAGTAGCGACTATCAAAGATTTTTTACTAACCATAAAAGTACAGCCTATTTTGAGAGAACCAAGAAAAACCCTTCTCAAAACAAAGTCCGTTGTCAAAACTTTGATGTTGATAACATTTTCCGAAAATGTTCCATTCTAAATTTTCCTCTTGTGTAAATTCATCATTTTTTGTATCAGTTTTTCGAAATCAAACTACATTCGACACTGTTTTCTCTTGAACCGCCACTCACTCGAAAGCCGGAGCAAACTTTGAACAAAGCACAGATGCTGCGATGAACGTGCGCTGCGAGGAGTGCGGCACCTCGGCCGACGTCGGCAGACAGAAGGACGGCCACGTCGATTTCTGGTGGTGTCGCGACTGCGTCTTCTCCGTCTGCAAGTCGGTTTTCCAGCTGTCCTTCTTATACTTATAACCTTTCCGGGACTTCTTGACTGTTCCCATCGGAGTCACTCTAAGTATCAAATTGAAAGTTAGAGGAAGAAAAAGATTTATAAAATCTCAATTAAAAGTAAATGTCTTCAATAGTTCAACAAAGCCCATGTACATCAATATAAAAAAACGAATAGGATTTTAAAAAAATGTCAACTCGAGTCCATTGCCTTCGAAGACATAATGAAACAAGACACCCAGTAGACCACGTTGAAAGTGAGGAAACCCAGGGGAACAAGGAACCGTGCGTAGAAGTCAATCTTGGCCGGCAAGTAATCCGGCTTGGTGAAGTATTTGCGGATGCGGTCCGCTACAGTCTCTCGCGTCTCGTACTGTAAAAAAAGGATGAAAAATGGAAAGATTATTGAAAATGCCGAAAATGACGGACAGACCCTGTGACAGGTGCACGGCGGCTGATAGATTTCCACGTCGACCATTTCTAACTTTTCGCGACGCTTTTGTGCCCTGTAATCTGGCGGTGTTTCGTAAAAGTTAGTGAAGTAGATAATCATTAATAAAATGATTGATGTTGCAGAGTTGGACGGTGTTTTGAAGATTCAGTACCGTCAGAAAAGATATGAAAGATGTATTATCCAATCTTTTTGAAAACTTTGCGGGCTGAAGTTCCATCAGAGGGGTACAAAGAACAATCATCACGACTCCAGAAAGTTTCAGGAAGATTAAACTTCATACAAGATAGCTTTGATCAAAATACTTGTTTTTTCGTAAATTTCTAACGGTACTGGGAACGTTTTTGTGGCCACTACAGAGGCATTAAAGCTGTCACAAAATCCACCTCTATAGTGGCCACTATTTTCCGTTTTAGTGGCCACTTCAGTAGTTTTTCATCCAATACTCCTTCCAGGAACTGTGATTTGTAAAACAAACAGATTGGAGCAGTTATATTGATTCATTGACCGCTAAAGTGGCCACTGAAATTTTTAGTGGTCTAGTAGTAGCACTTAGGCCACTAGTTTTTAACCCCTTAAGTGGCCACTAATTTGACTACTATAGTGGCCACTAAAAATTTTCCCAGTACTTTATCTATTCAAAAGGGGGAGTTCTCATTTGAAGCAACCAGAACAATTTTTTTTGATTTATAAAAACCTTTCTGGAAGCATTTCATCTTCCTTTTCATCAAGGAAAAACGAACCTTCTCGCAGCTTTTTCTCTCGCGCGATCGTTCTGACGCGAACTATCCTGGTAGCTGACGAAGGCGTACTCTAGTAAAGCGCCGAACACAAACGTCTGGCATGCTGAAAGTTGGTCTCTTTTCCACTAAAAGATCAATCGGAACGAACCTCCGAGCCATACATCGACCACCTTGACATAACTCACTGGTGGCAGTTTCGCGTTGATCGCTGATTGCTCAAAAGATGAGATATGAGAGAGTTCTACCGGGAAAATACCATGGTGGTCATGGTGAGCAGTGTGGTGACTCCAAGGGCGACCCGGCCCGCCGTCGAGTGCATGTCGATCCAGAACGAGACCCACGACACGATCACGATCATCGTGGTCGGCGCGTACAGTTGGACGAGGTAGTAGCTGAACTGTCTCTTCAGAACCAACCGCATGCGAAGACAGCCATATGAGCCTGTAAAAGACCGTTTAGTGAATTCTCATGCCCTCCCCAATGTCAGAACATTTTGTCGTGGAAATCACTCGGAGAAAATTATTATTTTTTTCGGAAGCATGAATAAAATTTTTTCAACCAACTAGGCATTTACACAAGCGCTCTACTGATAAGCCTAAAAATTCAGTTTTTCTTTTCTTTTATTGCATTCCTTGTTTCTGAAATAACTAATTTCTTTAGTGCTCTAATGAAATGGACCTCAAGGTGTTAATCGGTACGTAAGAAACAGAAAAAAAAAAATTAACCTTGAACTAACCCCAAAATTACGAAAGAGCATTAGTACAATCAAGTTTGAAAGTTATCAAAAAATCAGAATTTGATGGCTGTAGTTCACACTTGAACGTACTAAAATTTGCACTTATTGAAGCTGAATTTCAAAGATTCATTGAGCTTCGATTTGCATTTTCATGACTCCTTCGACTATTTTCATCCAACCTGTGTTGGTGTGACTTGTGCAGTCGTCGTTGGTCGAGACGTTCTGAAGCTGGAAGTTGGGCAAGTCGCTGCCGACGCCCTGTTTCAACTGGACCGGCGTGTTGACGTCCCACTCGTACATGATGTCCTTCATCGTATGGGCGTAGCTGACGAGATCAAAGTTGCAGAATTGATAGTCGAGGGGATAGAGCTGAAGCTGCATGGGACATGAGCTCGTGATGCTGATGCGGCTACTGTAGAGAACACGGCCGTCCGAGTAAATTCGCAAGAACATGTTCTCCGTGTCGATCAGATGTCGGTGTGCGGCCTTTTCTGTCTGAAACACTCGACGTTTCTTTCTGGACAGCATTGAAAGAAACCGGAAAAAACGTATCGGGAATCCAGAGGTTGTTCTTGACGTGCGGCACCGTGAGGAAACTTGGAGCTTCATGGTAGCCCAGGTGTCCGTAGGCCAAACGGGAGTCCACCCATTGCTCGCGAAAAGTTATCTGCATGCTGTACTCCATGTTGACGACGTCGATCTTCGACAGCATCCGAATCATGATGTTCACGCGGACTTTTACGGCTCCTCCATCTGGAAAAGCCAAATTATGAATCATCTTTCTCATTTCTCACAAGGAAGGTCTTTTTACTATGCGGTTGGGAATTTTCTGAAAAATGTCAGAATATCCTTTGAAGTACTAACCAGGGAATGTTCTCAGCTCACAATGAAACTTCTGAATGAGACTAGACTTTCTAGATGTAGTTTTTAACGCTGATTCCGAATCTGTGCTCAAAAGTTGCCCTCGAGGCCTGTGAAAAAAGTTTGGTGCTCTCAAAGTCAAACAATTCGATGTCTTCGATTGAGCTCCTTTTTGGAGGGCACATACTCCTTGTCCCCCTGTCACAAAAAATCATTTTATTTTTTTCAAAAAGGTTCTGGAGCCCAGATATGATTTTTTAGACATCGAATTTTTCGACTTTGATAGCCCCAAACTTTTTTCACAGGCCTTGAAGGCAAATTTTGAGCACAGATTCGGAATCAGCGTTAAAAACTAAATCTAGGGAACCTAGTCTCATTCAGAAGTCTCACTATGAGCTGAGAAAATTCCCTGATGAGTTAAGGTCCTGAAAGCCTCAATATGCATAACTGCCTAGTTTTCAGGAAATAAGGTGCCCTCTCTCAAAAACTTGGAGGTTGTGCAGGTTGAATTTTTCGGAATCCTTTTATGGTCCATTAAGGAGTGTTCTGGCCAAATTTCAGGAAATTCCCAACCGCAAAGTAAAATGACCTTCCCTGTCAGTTTCTCAGTTCGAAAGATTTTTGGAATACAATGAAAAAAACTTTATAAAAAAGAAGGTTGAGTAATTTCAAATTTCAATGACTTCTAATTTTTTTGCTCACTTTTTGTGTTTTTGAAGCTTCAAGGATTCACATCGTCTTCGACTTTTCTATCCTTTTGACCCGCCCAGTTCTCGAGAAAAAGAAGAAGTACTTACCGGTGGCATTAGCCGGTCCAGGAGGCCGGACCCGCATGTCATAGTTGCGGAGCAAGTTGTTGAGAATCTGCTGCTCATCCTGGACGCCGACGTAGCGTTTGGCGGCGCTGAGACTCGACGCGTCTGCCGCCAGCCACGACGTCACGAGCACGGCCGTCCAAAGTTTCATCGCTCCATCTCAACGACGTCTAGCCAATCCAGACTCTCCTGCGAGCCAAATGACAACGGCCGGGCTAGAATATTCAACATCTTCTAGTGGCGTTTTTCGCTTTTCCAATAGAAAAAAGTTTAAAAGATCTGTAGTCAATCGCGATAAAAAGAAGAGAAGTTGCTTGAGAATAATTTTAAAAAGTAGATCATTGTTTTTCAACACAACGGAAGATGGGAAGCGAAAAAAACTAGAATTTTTAAAAATTAAAACCCCTGTAAATTATAGTCTATAATATGAATAAGACTCACTCGAATAGAAAAATTTTTTTGACAATCTTATTTTTGTACATTGGCAGCACCACTACTCATTTGCAAAAAAGAAAAAAATCTAGTTTTATCTGTCATTTGAAAAAGGAGTCAGCTGTCTTGAAATTTAAAAAAAATCGAACGTTTACTTTTGAAAATCTGTTTGAAAGGTCGCTTGAAGTTTCTGGGAATTCGAGAAAAAAGCGGAAAATTTTCCAAACACTTTTGAACTGCTTGCGAATAAGCTATAAACACTTTTTCAACAAAAAGACCCTGGATGCTGACAATATGTGGGTCTACCCAGATTCAGACTCCTAGCACAAATTTATCTCTAGCTCAATTTCTTCACCGCCAAGCCGATTGTCACTAAAATTAGAAAAAAATGAATAGTGATTGATCTTCAAAGTAATTGGGCGTACTCCCTAAAAGAGTCGAAAGTATTATGTGTAAAAAGACAAGTTTTGGGAAGAAAAGTGGCAGACTAAAAATGAAAAAAAGGGAGAGAAAGAGAGAGACCATGTAGCGGAAAATTCTTTGAATGCGTGCTAAAAACAGCGTGCTAGCGTTGGTTTCAATTTTCGGCTGTTCTGTAATGGATAAGTTGGGAAACCAAGAAATATATATGCAAATGCGAGCGCGGAGCCGGAGCAGGCCGAGCCGAGGCGTTGTTCGGAGGCTCGTGTTGACACTGGCTCTTCACTTTTTTTTTTGCCATCGCCACCATGTTCCCAGCACGCAAACAAACATATCCGTGACAAGTCTGTCTCTTGGATTGGACCATCTAAACTGACTAATCAGCTTACAACCTCGGGTAAAGAGCAGTTCAAAGGGAGAGGCTCAAAAAAGGTCCCAGAATGGCAGCAAAAAAGTCTCTTTATCAAGCCTTTCAATTTTTCTGAAATTGTAGAGGCTTAAGGAATGCTGGAAGTAGGAGAAGCAGCAAAAATGGTGCATAAGAGCCGATGAAATGGCGCAAAAAGGAGCCCTTCTCATCCTAAAAGGGAACTTTCTATGGAGCCTCCCCCTTTCCGATTTAACAAATGACGTAGCAAGTTGAAAAAGAAGAGATATATTCCAGCAAAAGCTAAGAAAACGAAAAAGAAAAAGTTGACTACTCCCCCAACTAGGGCAAACCAAACGAGCAAACTTTTCTTTTGGCACGTTTGAAACGTTTGGTTCCCACGACAGGCTTTGAATTGTTTAGTATTCATAATTTTCTTTCCTCTCTCATCGCCAAGTTCTCAACAACTTTAAAACCAAAGAAAAACTCCATAAATAACTATTATCTAAAGCGATGCTTTCAGTTTTTGATTACACTATGAGAGACTTGAAACAAAACTTTTTAGAAAAATTGTTCTCCCAGCAACAAATTGAGAAGATAATAAATCGAATTAGGAAGTTGTCGACGCTCACAAAAAAAAAAATAAAACGGAAAAGGAACAAGAGAACGACGGCAAAAAGGGAGAAATGCGAGGCTGCGTGAATCGCGCCGTCTTTTGTCCGTCTAATAACGACTGCGGGAGGCCGTCGCTGCATTGTTAATGCAATTTATGAAAACTAACATGCAAAACCGTTGAGCATAATAACTAGCGCTCAAAGCGATTTAGCGAACAAAGGCAGAATGGAAAAAAAGATAGCTTAAGAGTGCTTAGCAGCTTTTCGACTTTTCTACCTCCGAGAATTCATTGAGCTACTGGAAAATTTTTTAGAGACCACTTTAGGGTGTCAACGTTTTAGTGGCCACTATAGTAGTCAAGTTCGCGACTGAAATTGTTTGGCAGCTTTAAAAGTCCACCCTGTTACTGCTAGGCCACTAAAACGCAAAATAGTGACTTCTATAGAGGTGGTTTCAGTGGACACTTTGGTGTCCCCTTCAAGTAGTCCTTGAGGTACCTCTTAAGTGGTCACTTTTTCTCAGAAGGCCAAAAAATACGTGTCACAGAACTTAGGAGCTCCAGAGTGGTCCCTATAGGGGCCCTTAGAGGCTCCCCTTTCAGGATCCCTTTACCTACCCCTTTAGGGGCCACAAAATCTTGCAAAAGTGGTCCCTATGGGCTAGGAGCTCTAGTCGAAGAAGCATTTCCATGCGAAAAACTAAAAAAAAACTTTTTTGAATGAAGTTGAACGACCCCTATAGACACCACTTAAGCTTTGGGGCTGAGGGGTCAGACCCTAAAACCCTATAGGGGCCACTTTTCGGCCCCAATTGGTACTTTTCTCCCCTAATCCCTTGAAGGGACCATTCCGGAATTCCTAAGTACACAATGGCAAGCTCAAAAAACTAAAGTAAAACGGAGTACAGAGACTTTTTGGAGAAATGAAAAACGACTTTTTTATTTGATTCCGTTTTTTTTCGCTCATATTCAGTCTTTGTTGGCTTCTGCTCACGCATTGTGCTTTTTGTGTGTTGAGATCTTTCATTCACACGAATGCCAACGAAAATAATTATCCGAGCGGAAGCAGGGCAAAAGAGCGGCGTCGAAACGCGCAGCCATGCATGTCCAAGGCTCCTTCATTCCGTCAGTTATTTCCTCTCAAGGACCTCTTCTATATTTTCGCATTCGACCTGGTGGATGCGGAAAAATCAGGCATCTGTATTCCCAGCACAGGGACGATGGCAATAAGCCAAAAATTCTCTCATTTCGAGTTTTAAACTAGCCAGACTAGGATGAAGCTGACAAGAAAGGTCTGGTTTGCGGTTGGGAATTTCTTGAAATTGTCCCAAATGCTTCTCGATATCCCAGAAAAATCCTGAGAGCCTTAACCTAGGGACCGCAGAGCCACGCTTACTTTGCTGTTCAAAAAATGTCGTCATTTTCGTTGCATTTTGGTTCTTTTTTATATTCTAAAACAGTTTTCTTGCACTGATTTGGGAAAAAATTGGGTGAAACATACAATCGACTACGCTTAAGAATCCTACATGAAAGAAAATACTGAGAAATGAGAAATTAACCTGTACAATTTTCTAACTTCCAAGTAAAAAAGAACCCTCAAAATCCGTTAAAAGAAGCCTTTTTTGGGCTTCGAGCCCTAATTCCCCAAAACTAGGAAGTTGTGCAGGTTGAGAATTCCTGATACGTCATGGAGTTTTCTGACCAATTTTCAAAAAATTCCTAACCACAAACTGAAACAACCTTCCTTGTAGGGTTCGAGTTTGACTTCCTAAAAAGAAACAAGATTCACCAAAAAACAAATTTTCATTTTTCCAGGTCATGCCACCTTTTGAAGGGCCACAGCGAGCACCGAACCAACGAGTGGAAGTCCCAAGAAGTTCTAAGGTAATCAAAAATAGTTTTGCGTTCTCTCAAATTGGGTTGGTATCAGAAGCTGTGTCCAGGCGTTAGAAGGCAGGTGTTCTCACCGCAGCAATTCGCTTCACGACCAGAAAAAAGCCGTCAAGGAGTTCGTCGCAAAGGTTGAATTTTCGAATATGTTTCAACCAGTGAAATCTTTAAGATCGAAGTGATACTCCTGAATCAGTTGTCTGCCAACCTGGAGCGACAGAACGAACCTGATCGACGACTTATATCTAGAATAAATAGAGTTTGAAGTTCCGAAAGATTCAATATGTAACGGAAGGTTTAAGTCACTAAACTCCTTGGAGATGCAGGACTCCAGGCCATCGATCTATCACATCCCGTCGCCTTCAAGGCCCGCTTATAAGACTTGGAACCTGAACCACGCCGATCCTGGGAGGTTCAGAGGCAACGAAGACCTGTAACGATTCTTTTCAGAATGGCTCAGTTGGTGGAAATGACTGCCGAAATTTTGCAGCTCCCGCGCCAACGCGAACTAGTTAGCATAATTATTTCATTTGAAAGATTTTATAATCATTTCCAGGAGGAGGAGCGAGAGTTTCTGAAAAATCCACGGGAATGGGACTCGAAGCAGGCGGCCTCTCTCATCTCGGCCAGCATCGGACTGCCAACTTCGGATTTCGCGTACTTCTTTTCTAGTTATTCTAAAAGACCTTTTCGCTTTTGAACAAAGTGTGAAAATTTTTGAAATTCCTGACAAATCGGCAACAAAAAGTCGTTCAGGTCACGATGTTCCACCCCAGCTCATAGTGAGCAGAGAAGACGTGGCAACAGCGTCGACTCCCACGTTCCCCTCGAACCATCGGTCTTCGTGAGTCGAAGGAAGGCCTCTCAACATGAGAATGTTTTTGAGGTACGCGACCGTCCGTCAGTGACGTCTTTCCGAGAGCGTTCTACTTCCACTGATGAAAACGAAGTAATGTGAGTTTCTTTTCCTATCATTAACACTAATAAGGGAACTGTTTTCTTCAAGGCATGCTGATTCCGAATCAAAAATCAAATTTCTGCACTTTTGCCTCATAGTCGAGTTATGACGGCTCAAATTTTGCACGTGAGGAGAGTGGAACGCGGAAAAAAGGAATATGGCTTGCGCCCGCGCATTTAATTTCAGTTTGCAGGGTAGTGTAGTGGCTAGAGACCTAGCAGTGCGGAGACGGTGGTCCGGGTTCGAATTCTCTCGAAGAAATTTATTTTTTTACCAATTTTTTTCCTTAAAAAGAAAACTTTTTTTGGAATAAGCATGCCTTAAAGTTCATCTTAGCGAAGTTTTATCAAAATTTCAAAGGGGGAATAGTTGCCTTGTAAGAATAATCGCCGAGATGGAAGCGAAGCCACTGGAGGTAAGTTGGTGACCTCGCAAAAATGCTGCTTTGTAGCCCCGGTCTGGCATTTTTCGATTTCGCATTTTGGAAACTTTGTAATTCTTTTTTTTTTTCAAATGCCTGGCAGTTACCTTATAAAAAGAAATGAAAAATATTGAACCAAAAATGAACTTTATCAGCAGATCGCCCGCGTTCTCGCAGTTTTCCTTGCATTCCACGCCTTCCACAGCCGTCTCCTCATTGCCCGCCTATCCGGAGAGCAGCCAAGCCGTGAGAACTAGTCGGTCGAGCCGTGAAACGGTGTTGTTCAGTCAGCAACATCGCAAACTGTCACGCCGGTGCCGTCGATGGCGGCGGGACGTGAAGCGAGCGACCACGACGATCGCTCCTTCGGCAAGAACTTCCTCACGCGGCCCATCTGCGTGCACGCCTTCAACACCAGGTCTCGTCCTGAGCAGCTCGCCGTCACCGACAGTTGTGGAGGTTCTTTTTTCGATGATTTTTTTTTATATATCTGCTCTAAAAATCTTGAAAAGTCTGAATACATAAAACTTTTAGGGCATTTAGAGGTTCCGAGAGATTAAGAGTCCATTTATATTTTGAAATATTTTGAAGGTTTCCTTTGACCTTGAGGTATCACCTTTCAAAAGTTTAGAGGTTGAGATTTTTAGGATCTTCTTTTGATACATGAAGGAACCTTTTGGCCAATTTTCAGTAAAATCTCAAACTCAAAGTAAAATGACTTTTCTTGTGAGAATCTTATTTTCAAACCTTTGTGAAGTTTGAAACGGACGTAAATATAATATAGGGGGCGGAATAGTTATTTTTTGTCACAGTTTTCCTTTTCAGGAGTTTACATAACTGAAATGGACGGTACGGTCAACGAACACATTCTGATAAAGAATTCGTCCGCCAGCTCGATTTGTGTCGACGAAAAGAACGATTTGATGTTGAAAACTTTCCTTTTGACGAAATATAATATTTTTTCTAGGTATGTCAGTATAATGCAGTCGAAAGGTAGATCTGTCCACGTTTTCGACATTTCTGAAAACTTCAGGAAAATCGATGTAAGGTTTTTGAACTTTTTTAAAAAGTATGAGCTTTTTTGCGCAGGTTATCGCTTGTCCAAAGGATCCTAAAATAGAAATGAGTCGAACGAGATGGATTACTGTAGACCCGCGAGGTCACCTCTTCATGTGCTCCGGCGACAACGTCAAAAGCGCCTTGTGGACATATGTTAGGAGTAAAAAGGTATTCAAAAGTCAAAGTGCCCTTCTAGTAGTTTCATACAAGGCTTGGAAGACGCTCAAAGAGTCCAGGAAAACGCGCTATCAATACTTGAGCGTTGCAGAAGATCAGGCGGAATACAAGTAAGACTTGCTTCCCTAATAGAGTGAAAAGAACTTTCTCCAGAGCTGTCGTGCTCCTGACCTGCGACGCGGCGACCAACCGGCTCCTGCTGTTCGTCGTCGACCACACGATGAGCCTGATCAACGAGTACGACTTGAGCAAGACCTACCGACTCTCGGAGCACATCTCCTCTCCGGCTTCGGCTATCGTCGATAAGGTGGGCTTCCATTTTTTGTTCTTCTCTCACACTGGCTTTCAGAACGGAAATCTTTTGATATTGGACTACGCGAACGGAAAAGTGTGGATTTTGCTGTCGGGCGTGAAGGGAATCCGAAGACTGAAGCAAGTTCCGATGACGCCGCCTCTCAAATCACAAGAGGCTCTTGGGATTTGTGCCAAGGTATTGTCCGCTCTTTTTTTCCTGATTGCGGTCTGATCAAAGGGAAAGATAGATAATAAATGGTTCAAAGCTTTCCGTTCTGATTCCGAACAATTATAGCCAATTCAAGGATAGCTTTGGTACGTTGAGGGGGCGTGGCATGTCTGCGCTCTCTACCATCCAGGCACTTCCTCTTTTGTTATCGTGTCAGAACCTTTTTTTTTTTTTGATGGCTCAAGCCAGTCGTGAACAGCTATACCTATTCTAAACGGAAAAAGGATACGTTTTGAATTTTTTTTTTCTCTAAAAGAGACCGACCTTTTTTTTGAAAGTCAATAAAGACTAAGATTTTCGAAATTCAAAGTCCGTCCGTCGTGAATTGACAGTTTTCGCATGTCTGCGTCTCTATGTTCCCTCACCGGCAAGGTCAGAGAAACATGGATAGAGCACGTAAACAGGAGAGAGACATCAAAAGATAAGGAGGGCGCAGAGAAGTCCCGTCCTTTTAACTCGTGAAAAAACGGATTATAATTTGAGCAGCTACTTTTTTTTTTCATATTGTCAGTTTTGTCCTACAACTTTTGTCCCAAAAGACCTGGGTATCACAATTTCAAAATGTCTTTCAGTTAAACTTTTTAACGGACCACGAGGTTTCAAGAGTTCAAAAAGACGAAAATATTGAATCTCTCCAAACGACTCTTGCAGGGCGACTTTATACTTCTGGCCTTGTTCAACCGAAGAGAAGTCCGACAGACCCGCTACTTGGAGAACGGGGTTTTCCACGCGGCCGCGTCGTCTTCTCCAGCTCTGACACAGAAACGCAGCTCAAGCTTGCCCAGGCCTTCCGAGAGTCGCCTCTGATTCTTCCCATCTTTTCATTCGCTTGCAACTACTTAACTACTACCTGTACCTAATTATTTCGATCGTTATTTTCAAGTGTACTTAAAACCGCCTTTCTTTTTCTAAATTTCTTTCGGATTACTTCCAAAGAGCTTTCGAGATGGGTTCACATAATTTTTTTTCTAGGTAAAATTGATGACTTTTATGGAAATGGTTTTAATAATAATTTATACAGTCTTTCGCACCGGATGTATTGATTAACAAAGAAAAAAGCGTCAATGAAGCAAGTGCGGAGAAGCTGAAAGATTCGCGGGCCTGTACTGCAAGTCGATCGGACTTTTGTTGTCATACAGCGTGGGCGCCTGCAAAAAAAAAAAGTTCTCGGTGCAGTTAAAAAAAGACACACTTGTAGCAGGATGATGACTGTTCCCACAAAGCAAGCGATCGAGAAAATGAGGAGGAACAAGCGGTCGAGCACCATCGCCACGTACTTCCAGTCCTCATCGATCTGTGTTGTCATTATCGATTCAAGAAAAGAGGGAAAATTGATTTTTACTTAAAAAATTGACAGAAGTAAACGTGAAAAAAAGTTCCGATTTGAAAGCTTCCATAATTTTCGACTTTTTGTCACAGAAATTCTCATTAAAATGAAATTTTTGATCATAACTTATTCCGTATATACAAGCTATTGTGGTTTTTGTTTCAAAATGTCCAAATAGAGTTTCTCAAAAAGAAGTGAATTAAGATTTTTTTCTGAATTTTTCCCTTTTTCAAATTTGATTTGACGAATTTTTTTCTCAACGCCATTTTTTTGTTATGCAAAAAGCTATTTTTGTCTCTTTTTTTCATTTAAATAGATTTTTTTATCACTTAATAAACATTAAAAAAATATTCAAAAAAATTGCGCGAATCTAGAAAAATTATTTAATGCTCTTTTTTTCCAACCACTAAATCCACACAATTCTATTCTCATCCCCGCGCCCCTATTGCAATAAACCGTGCCGCCCTTGCAGTAGCCATGCCTACTGACCCCGGCTGCCTCCCGTTTGGAAACACTGTGTAATACTTTAGAAAAAATCACTATAGACGATTCACGGCTAGCTTGGGACGCAAAAAGGCGTGGCCTGTCTGCACTCTCCACTAACCAGGGCACTGTCTCGTCTCTTTTCGTGACAGGACCCTTTTCTCGATGGCTCAAGCCAGCCGTGAATCAGCTATAGCGGTCTTTCGAATTGCCTTTTTCAGAAGAATTGAAGTATCTTTTTTGATCTCATCTTCCAGCAGTTTCGAAAGACTATTGAAAATAATTGAACTCATTGGAGCCTTTGCCGAACTCACCTCGTCATCGCGGTCTTTCTTTTTCAGAAGTTCTGCGATGAAGCAGACATTCTCGAAAGCCTTGACAACGTGCGGAGAGTTGTAGAGCTTCTGGATGGAGTCGTCGGCGGCGGCGGACCTCCCGACGTCCTTGCTGACGCGATGCGAATGCACGTTCAGCGCTATCTTTCCATCTACAAAGCCATCCTTACGGCTTCACTCAAACGACGGACCTTTGGGGTTGTTGGGCCCCTTCGACTCTTCCTTTTCTTCCGCTGGCCGTCGCATGAACAGAACCTGTAAAGTTTCAACTTTCGATTGATCAGAAGCTGTAAGAAACCTTTGGCAGCCATTTCAAGAACACTTTCTTGACCCATGGCGACATCAGATGAGTTGATGGAGTCCGGAAATGTAAGTTTAACGCTTAATTGTTCCACTAAATGAAATTGGCACGAAAAGAACTCACAAATGACGGTGACCACCACAGATAGTGTGACCATGATCATTGTGAAGAGAAGATACTTTCCAATAAGGGGCAGAGTGATAGAAGTTGCTGGGATGATTTCCGTCTACAAAAATGGGTTGAAAAAACACATATCCAGCAAACCAATAGAAGGAAGAAGATTGTCAGGGCCACCAAAATCATGATGCACAACGAGACCTGCTCGATAGATATTGATATTCAACTCTGGATTCGACTTACCTTTTCTCCAGAGTCGGAAGGTAAGTAAAATACAGTGATGGTGAGGAACGAAATCCCAACGCAAGGGAAAACGAGGTTAACAGTGTAGAAAAGCGGCTTTCTTCGAAGAAGAAGGTAATACTGAAACTCAAGAAAAGAACGTCGAAGAGCTTCGAAAAATGTGAGAGCGAAAAAAGAGCTGCAGAAAATATTGTCATGATGCGCTCCATTGATAAACCCAGCCTGAAGCCAGGCTTGTGCGCCAGGCCGAGCCTGCCCGATCCGGGCTTTACTGGGAGAATTTTTAGTAGCCACTATAGAGGTCCTCTATTTAGTGGCCACTTCAGTAGTTTTTCATCCAGTATTCCTTTCATTCAGGGGTCGCTTCCAGTAACTCTAATGATTTTAAAACAAACAGATAGGACCAGTTATGTTAATCCATTGCCCCTAAAGGGGCCACTAAAATTTTTTGTGGTCTAGTAGTAGCACTTAGACCTCTATATAGCCCCCTTAAGTGGCCACTAATTTGACTGCTATAGTGGCCACAAAAACGTCAAAACCCTATAGTGGTCACTAAAGGTTTTCCCCGTTAGGCCTTATTCTTACGCAGAAGCCAACTCTCGACACACTACTTGAAATTTTTTTCATCTGAAGAAGAAAAAAAACTGATAAAAATAAGTTGATTTCGTAGCGGGAATATTTTTTAAATGCTCAAAAAAACTTCCCACTCACCGTGACATCAATATAGGCGTTTTGCGGGCAACAGCTGGGATAGTTTTTGGCCCTTCTTTTAGCGACGCGGGACATTATGTCCCACTCTACCGACGGATAGTAGTCCGACAAGTCTGAAATTTTTCGTAAGGATTCTTTTATTGAAGGAAAGGTTCACCGATCCCATCATCAGCCACTGTGACGTTGTCCGTTATTCCATTCGGGTCAATCTCTTCTTCATAATGAACGTCGTGCTCGCCCAATTCTACATTCAAAAGATCTTCCGAGTAAGTCCACGATCCAAACTAAAATGAAAATTCTTATCTCAAAGAAAGCTTGAAAAAAACTACTTTTAAATGGCACTGTTGCTCGTCAAATGGGAACCACCTAACATCCATTTGACACAAGCTTTTGAAAATGGCGGGCGGCTCCCAGGTGACCTGAAAGTCTTGCTCAGCCAAGAATCTCTCAACAACTAACTTCTCCGGAGAAATGGAGAGTGGCTTTCGTGGAAATAGTGATGTTGTAGTTGCTGTCGGCGCTGCAGACGTTCTTGAAGTGGTTTTCCAGCCACAAGACTCACTTGTTGTAGAGGACGATGTCAGGGACCCAGATCATCTCGTAGGGCACGTAGAGCACGCTGACGCCGCCGTAACTCCGCGGATCCCAGGACAGCTTCTTGTCGGTCCACACCTGCTTCAGCCACACCGAGCAGGTCATGATTTGGTCGATCTCGTGCTAAATAAAACTTCACCGTTTCAGTTTGATAGACTTTCATTCACCACATCTATGATCTGGCTGAGTCTAAGGTTGAGTTTTATGGTTAGAGGTTGTTGCGATCCAGTCGATGGCCTGTAAATCACTCTAGTTCAAGCTTAATTTATTTTTTATTCAAAGATTAATTTTTTCCATCTATCAGTTCACCCTTTTATTGCAGAAACAGCTATAGTCTTTGTGCCACGACTTGAAATTTCACGGAACGACATTCCGCTGTTCCGCTGCGTGCGTTCGCGAAGCGTCTTTCGAATCTAGGTCACGCTTTCAATTTATTTTTATTGCTTTGGGAGCCTTGTAAAAAGAAAAAAAAATTAAAAGCGCGACCAAGGTTCGCAAAGGCGCGCAGCGGCACGGCGGAATGTCGTTTGGTTAAATTCCAAGTCGCGGTACACAGGCTATACAAAAGAGATATTTTTGACTTTATTTGGGACCGTTGAAGCTTCGTAATTTTCGCATGAAACATTAATTTCCATAAAAGCTGAAAAAAACGCGTTTTTGGTCAAAGAACCTTCTATGGCGGTTGTAGTTGACCATGAGGTCGTCGTAGAGTCTCTTGGCATCTTCATTGGCGTGTAGAGCGAGAAAGAGGGAAAAAGACAGCCCAAGGATGCGCATGGGATCAGCTGCAACTCGCCTCCCGAGGTTTAGTCGACCTCCGAGTGTAAAAAATCGATTTCGCCTCCTCCAACCACTTTCCCATCAAATAATTTCTTTTTTTTTGTTAAACTTATATCGAAAACTTTATTACCCGTTATATATTTCATGACGTCCTGTGATTTTAATTATCTCACAAAAATGAAAAACTCAATAAAAAGCCACAAAACCTTACAAAGGCTATAAAGTTCAACATCGCAGACCTCGTTCAAAACTTTGTTCTCTCGTTTTACTCGCCGTATTTCCACGCAGTTGATTTCAGGAAAAAGAGGTTATGAAAATTTTTTCAAACTTTAAACATGGTTTCTCGAAGCTCATAGCTGCTTTTACTCCTTTTTTGATAGGATCTCTATCACTGGAGTTTCACGATCTGCGATGTCGATTTCAAGTAGTTTTCTGGTCAGTTTGTAGTCGGTTTTTCCCGAATTGAAAGGCGAGGAAGGCAGAGAAGGGGGCGGGACGCGTAGCGTGTGCGTGCGCGGTTCTTGGCACGGGTTCAATTCAACCGTCAGCGACTATTTGGAACCTCGTTTATCGCTCTTTTCATTTTTTTTTTCATCATATATTGACCTTATACATTTTTTTGCAACAAAAATTAATAGAAAAAGGTGAGAAAAAGAGCGACGACCAGGATTTTTTAATAGTCGGTGGCGCTTGAATTGAACCCGTGCCAAAAAAACCGCGTACGCACACGCTACGCGTCTTGCCTTCCAATTCGAGATAAATTAACTATATAAAGATTTCTCAAACTCATAAATTAACACATGGAAGGCAATCATCAGGAAAGGCACCAGGAAAAAGTTACATGGGCGTTAAAGTTCAAAAGCGGTTGGACCAAAAAAAAAACTACTTTTGAAAGCTTCAAGGCAAACTCAAAATAAGCAATAAATATGAAAATTATAATCCTTTTACAAAGATCAAGTGAGAATGTGAGGGCCTGCCGACAAATTGACAGGTCGGTACTGCATTTCGATTGGGGTCTTGTCGTCATACAGCGTCGGTGCCTGAACATGATTTTTTTTTTTAAAAATTCGTTCCAGATTTTTTTTACTCGTAGCAGGATGATGACTGTTCCCACAAAGCAAGCGATCGAGAAAATGAGGAGGAACAAGCGGTCGAGCACCATCGCCACGTACTTCCAGTCCTCATCGATCTGAAGTTAGACTTCTCGATGACAATAGAACCGAGCATTTTTTTGAATATCTTTCAATCAAGCCATTTTGTAGGCTTTACCTGTACTCTTTGTTACAAGGAACGTTTTTAGTGGCCATTTTTGGGTTTTAACGTTTTAGTGGCTACTTTAGAAGCCTAACTGGACCATAGTAGCCACTAAGACGCAAAATTTTGGCTTCTAAAGAGGTTTTTTTAGTGGCCACTTTAGTGTCCTCTCCAAGTAGCCCTTGAGGAACCTCTCAAGTGGCCACTAGAGTTTTTCCCAGTGATTATGAACATATTGGTATGGAAAGAAAATCAGACCTATTTTTTCAACTTTCTTCAATTATCTTCCAAATAAAAATGAAACGACTGATTTGGCAGGCAAAAATATAACTGATTCACCTCTGAGCCATCGAAAAATGGGTCCTGACACGATAAAAAGGAGGCAGTGCCTTGTTGGTGGAGAGCGCAGACAGGCCACGCTTCCTCCGAGTCCCAAGCTAGCCGTGGATAGGTTATATATAGTTTGTTCATATTTTGAATATCAAGTACAACGACATCATTCGAAAACGCTCTATGGATGGCTCGCTCTCTGATTGGCTTATCGGGCCGTTAGAGGCGAAGCTTTAGAAGCGACTTGACATTCAAAATCTGAACAGACTATAAACATCTCCCACCTTGTCGTCGCGGTCTTTCTTCTTGAGAAGTTCGGCGATGAAGCAGATGTTCTCGAAGGCTTTGACGACCTGCGGAGAGTAGTAGAGCTTCTGGATGGAGTCGTCGATTGTGGCTCCCGCGATGCTTCTGCCAACGTCTTTGCTGACCCGATGCGAATGCACGTTCAGAGCAATTTTTCCATCTTTGGTGCGGATTTTCGCATTTTGATGAAACGAGTCTTTTTGGTCTTCCAGTGGTCGTCGCATGAATAAAATCTGTAAATTCATAAAATTGCACGGTTCTTACATTACTGTTCTCACTTTGGGAAGCCACTGGAGAAAAACTTTCTTTACCCAGTTCGGCATCAAGTGTGTCGTGGGTGTCCGGAAATGCAGATTCAAGGCTTGAATTCGACTGATATTGCGTTGAATGGCTTCAAACTCACAAATGACGGTGACCACCACAGAAAGAGTGACCATAACCATGGTGAACAAGAGATATTTTCCGATGAGAGGCAATGTGATCGATGTCGCCGGGATTATTTCCGTCTGAACTGACTTTAAAGAGGATTGATGCCGGAAAAACTAACCAATAGCAAGAAGAAGATGGTGAGTGCGACGAGAATAGAGATACAAAGCGTGACCTGTGAATATCAGTTTCAATGAATGCACATCACTTGTTCTAATAAAAAAAGAAAAATTTTTTTGAAAAAGTGAGAAAAATTTTTTTACCCCAACTTGTTTTGTCGTGAAATTAACTAGAAAATAGAAATGTGCTTGAAGCAACTTTTTTTCCAAGTCTGTAGTTCTTAAACATTTTTTTATTTCATCACTTTTTGTTCAAAAATGTTTTTTCGATTCAATTGAGTATGCAAGTTAGCGTCGTTCTGTGTATGCACCAAAGACGTCATATATTACGACAGTTGTGAAAAAAAAGCTGAAAAAATTTCAAAGAAAGGCATATTTGAAAGACGTTCGTTTTGAAATTACCTTATTTCCCTGATTACAAGAGTAAATGGCTATTTTTTGAAGAAAACTCTGAATATTCAGGAAACTAGTTGGGAGAAAAATAAATTCGCAGACAAAATTTTTGTGTCGGCAAACATTTCCAATCATTATCAAGTCAACAGAATTTACAAAAAAATATAAAAAAGGTTTCAATTAATGTTGTGAATAAAAAGTAAAAAACAAACCTTCTCGCCCGAGTCTGATGGTAGGTAGAAAACTAAGATGGTGAGAAAAGAAATGCCGACGCAAGGAAAAACGAGATTTACGGTGTAGAAGAGAGGCTTCCGCCGCAGTATTAGGTAGTACTAAAGCGAACAAAAAATTTAATAAGAAGGAAAATTCACACTCACCGTGACATCAATATAGGCATTTTGCGGGCAGCAGCTCGGATAGTTTTTGGCCCTTCGTTTAGCAACACGGGACATTATGTCCCACTCTACCGACGGATAGTAGTCCGACAAGTCTGAACAAAAACTTCTTTATTTTTGGTTATTGAAACAGCATTTTTAAGCAACCAAAATATGGTGCTTTCTGCGCGAGCAGTAGGCAAAAAGCTAACGGGAAAACAGATTTTTTGAGCTTTTGCTCTACAAACCGGCGAAGGACTGGAAAAAGTTCTCAAAGCGAATAATAAAACTTCTGTGGAAAAGACTGAAATCAAAAATTCAGCAGTAGAGTACCTATGCCGTCGTTAGCAATCGTGACATTGTCGTGGATGCCGTTATCGTCGACTTCGTCTTCGTAGACCAAGTTGCGCTCGTCGAGCTCCACATTCAGAAGGTTTTCCGAATAAGTCCATGAGCCAAACTGAAAAACCGAATCAGAATGAAAACTTCATTTTTTCTTGCCTTCAAATGACATTGTTGCTCATCGAATGGGAACCTGAAACCAGCCAATACACCGATGATTTCAAAAAAACCTCACCATCGGACATCGATTTGACACATGCTTTTGAAAATGGCGGGCGGCTCCCAGGTGACCTGAAAGTCTTGCTCAGCTAGGAATCTCTCAACAACTAACTTCTCCGGAGAAATGGAGAGTGGCTTTCGTGGAGATGGTGATGTTGTAGTTGCTGTCGGCGCTGCAGACGTTCTTGAAGTGGTTTTCCAGCCACAAGACTCACTTGTTATAGAGGACGATGTCAGGGACCCAGATCATCTCGTAGGGCACGTAGAGCACGCTGACGCCGCCGTAACTTCGCGGATCCCAGGACAGCTTCTTGTCGGTCCACACCTGCTTCAGCCACACCGAACAGGTCATGATTTGGTCGATCTCGTGCTGAAAAACCCTTCACCGTTTCAGCTTGATAGACTTTCATTCACCACATCTATGATCTGACTAAGACGTAGCTTCAGTTTGATTGTGAGCGGTTGGTGAGGACTGCTGGCGGGTCTGCAAAGAGATGTTGTCGGAAGAAAGACGCTAGGGAATTGTTCTTCCTCGAACGCATTCTTGGAAATATGTTTTTCATTAACATGCTTTTTTTTGAGTTGTACAGAAAGTTTGAGAAAGATTATAACCTTCTATGGCGATTGTAGTTGACCATGAGGTCATCGTAAAGCCGTTTCGCGTCTTCATTCGCCCAGACTGACAGCACGAGAGCTGAGAAGAATGACGAGCAACGCATAGAAATACCGCAAGTTGTCGTTAAGACGGATTAGCGACACCGGTTATGAGTGTAAACTAATCGATGAAACGTTCGGTGACAAATGTTCTGGCGTTTCACGGAAACATGAGCAATACGCTGCAATATTGTTTTGTGAAAACATCAAAATGAAAAATCGAGTTATAACTTATAAGTGTGGCTTGAGTTTGCAGAAATATTCGGACTAAGATTTTTTGGTTTCTCAAGATCTTTTAGTGTCCGGTCGGAGATGAGCATCCACCTCAGAGACTCAAATTTCAAATTTCAAAAAAACTAGATGAACGAGAGAAGTCTTACAAATTGAACCTCAGACTTTTTAAAAAATATGCAGTCTTTGAAATTGAAAATTAAAAAAACTCTACTGATCCCTACGCTTCGTAGCGAAAATTATCTAAATTCATATACGGAAATGAGTTGAAGGTATTTTCAAGCTACAAAAATGGGAATTCAGATGCCAAGTTACAATCGAAAAGTGTAAGGAATTTGCTCTGATTGACAATTTTCGCTTTCTAACTATTTCAGAAACTCTAGAATGGTCCCTATAGGGTCCCTTCGAGAGTCCTCTCTAGGGACCAATTTACCAACCCCTATAGGGGTCATTAAATCTTGCAAGAGTGGTTCCTATAGGAGTTTTAGTTAGTGGCCCCTATAGGGCACAATCTAGTCGATAATTTTTCTAAACTCTATGCGAAGAAGCATTTACATGCGAAAAACTAAATAAATAAGCGTTTTTTGAATAAAATTGAGAAACCTCTATAGGCACCACTTGAGCTTTATGGGCTAAGGCGTCAGAACCTAAAACCTATAGGATACCCAATAACTTTACCCCAATAGGGACCATTTTTTTCAGCCCCTATGGGAGCTGTTTCCTCCTAATCCCTGAAGGGAACACTCTAAACTTTCTATGACAAAAGTAGTTATTCGAACTATGAGAAAAAAGAGGTATCTGGAACGAAAATAACGTTTGAGCTGAACGAGTTTCGAAGCAAGATGTTGTTAGAAACTTGTTAATGAACTTTAGTTATCTTCTATAACCATATTTTCAATAATTCTGAAGCTCTAGACTGTATAGATTATAATTCAGAGACCTTCTGTTCATTAAAGAAGTAGGACATAAATATAATCGGTACAAAAACGTCTCCTTTCGATGAAAAATCCGCAAGAATACTAAAAAACACGATAACTCTATTCAGAATACTTTTTTTTTCAATAATTCGAACTGTTTCAGCTTGTACGGACCCGAATTTTCCCCAAAATAACGATTTTTGAGCTAGTATGTAGAATCTCGGTGTGACCTTTGAAATAAAAAAGGCGCTCTATGGATAAAGTCCAATCACTCGTCATGAGATAAAGCTCTAAACGATAGCCTAAACGGTGAGAGTGCGAGAAAAGGGAAGCGAAAAACGGCGAAGAGAGGGTGGCGTGCGTTCCTTGGCTCACGAAGCTCCACGCATCGATTTCTCTTCGCAGAACATGCTTGCAGCGCTTCTCGTGCTGCCGCTCACCCTCGGGCTCCCGCTCGACATCTTCTCCAACGACGACAAGCAGGTAAGGCGTGTCCAGAAGCCATCTCACGTCGAGCTGCTTTCAGGGGCTGCAAACGCTCGAAGTCAGCAAGCCGCTGGGTGATGTCAGCGGGCTCGCCGTTGACAGAAAAGGCCGAGTCGTCGCTTTCCATCGCGCCGGCCGCCATTGGGATGAATTGTGAGTTCTGTGAGGCAACGTTTTTGAGTTATCTGTGCAATATTACAAGCAGAGCTGTGCGTTGGGCCAGGCCACAAAATCTCATTTCACATAGTCGGTTTTCCAAATAGTGTCCCGACTTGAAATTTCATGAAACGACACTCCGCTGCGTGGCCTTGTGGTCGTGGAAACCTTTGCGAATCTCAGTCGCGCTTTCTATCTTTTCTTTTATTCGAAAATCGCGTAATTTTTATAAATGAAAAATTTTATCACTCACTGGCCAAGCTCTGTGAAAATTTCAAAACAAAATTTTCGGTAATTTTCGACCGCTTCGCGACCTCGTTGCAACAATGTGGACTTCCCGGCCAACCCAGCGCACAACTCCGACTACGATTTTTCAAAAAATCGACCCAAAATCCATGGAATGACTCTCAGAAGCGGAGTATTTTTACTCAAAACTGGAACTTCTGAAGTTTGCCTATAGTCTCGTAGTCTGTGTGCCACGACTTGAAATTTCATCGAACGACATTCCGCTGTTCCGCTGCGTGCGTTCGCGAAGCGTCTTTTGAATCTAGGTCACGTTTTCAATTGATTGTTATTGCTGTGAGAGTACATGAAAGTAGAGTACCTTAACAAAAGAAAATTAAAATTAAAAGCGCGAACAAGATTCGCAAAGGCGCGCAGTGGCGCAGCAGAATGTCGTTCCGTGAAATTCCAAGTCGTGGCACACAGACTATTTGAGAGATGTTTCGTATCACTAAATGAAGTCTCAAAAGAATAGTTGGAAAATCGATTTTTTGAGAACTCAGGTGTAGATTCTCATCAAAAAGAAGTCAGATAAATGATAGAAATTTTTTTTTTCAATAGCTCTCCTGAAAATCGAGTGTGTAATTGAGCCTTTGTGGGTTGGTAGGCCTTAATAAGTTCAGCTAAAATTTTAGGGCAATTGAGTAAAAGCTCTTCAAAACTTCAAAGCTTGTTTTCCCGCGCTCGATCAGAAATCGTCGGCGTAGTTCAGTGATAGTGCTCTTGCGAACTGTCACCGACCCACAAAGTCTCAATTATCAGCCTGAAGTTCAGAGGAGACCATACCCTAGTTCAAAAAAATTGCAGAACTTTTGACGAGGAAACGAACAAGTTCAACAAGTCGTTAGGGGTCCTACGCGCCCCCACAATTGCCGTTATCGAGCCTAATGGAAAGGTATTCGTTTATATATATTCAGTAGGAAACGAGAAAAATAGTTAGAAGATCACAGAGATAATGGTCATAACTGCAGGTTGTGAAAGAGCTTGGGGAAAATGTTTTCTACTTGCCTCACGGGATGACGATCGACCGCGAAGGCCACTTCTGGGTTACTGATGTCGGCAGCCATCAGGTTCTCGGGAGAGAACTCCTCGTCCAACTTCAAGCTTCAGGTTCACAAGCTGGACGGCGAAAGCGGCAAGGTGCTTCTGTCGCTCGGCGAGAAACTCGTGCCAGGCGGAGACGAGAAACATTTCTGCAAGCCGACCGACGTCGCCGTCGCCTCGAACGGCGTCTTCTTCGTCGCTGACGGATATTGCAACCGCCGCGTGCTCAAGTTCAGCCCCAGCGGAGAGCTTCTCGATGTCATCCAGGCTGCCATCGGTCAGATCTTTCGAAAAACCTGAAAAATTACTTAGAATGTAACCATAAGATGTTCAAAGTAATTTGAGAGATTGCAAAATCCCCCTATAGGGTCCACTTGAGCTTTAGGGGCTAAGGGGTCAATGCCGTGTTCAAAGTAACTTCTGCGAAACGTAAAATGGTCTATCTAAAATTTAGTTATTTTTTCATTCTCTGATGGCTTTTTTCGAACACGACATATACCCCTGAAGGGACCACCTTAATTTTACCCCTCTGGGGACCACTTTTCGACCCCATATGGTGGTCCCCGAACACCTTTAGGGACCCCTCTGGAACTCCTAAAAAGTTGAAAAAATAAATAAGCCTCGAGCCAACCAATTTCGAAAATTCCAGAAGAAGGCGAGCCTGATTCTTTCGACGTGCCGCACTCGCTCACTCTCGTCGAGGATATGAACATGCTCTGTGTTGCCGACAGGTACCATTGGCAATACAAAAATTGCATGAAAAGGCTATAAAAAATGGAATGGCAAATTTTGATAGGTTTTTTTACAACGTGAACCCGAACTGTTTCGAGAATCACTAAGACCGGGTCGGACTTTGAATATGACCGGGAGACCGATAGGACAAGCCTGGACCTTGGTAACGCGAACCGTAGGATCCCTGAACATTTCTGAGCGTTCCTAGAAAATATTTAAGAGTCGTCACTAAAGGGATCACTAGATATTCTCAGAAAAGGTCGGGGTTCGTCGGTTTGCGTAGATTTTCTTCTATTATTTTTCACTTTTTTTCAAATTTTTACTACTGAAAGGCGTTCTTCTTCCAAAAATACTGAATTTTTGATCGAATCAAACCAACCTAATGTAAGTCGAATTTGCTATTTTCTGGTTATTCACAGGGATAACGAACGTGTTCAATGCTTTTCGGCAGGACTGGCCGAAGGAACACGCCGAGTACCGCCAGGTATCCCGATCACTTCCGCCAAGGACATTGGTCGCGTTTTCGCCATCCGAGAGAAAAGTCAGTATTTTTAGACAAAATTATCCGGTTCTGAATTAATTACAAATAATACGACCAGAGTGAAGAAAGAAAAAAGTATGACTCGTTTTAACAAGCAATTTTCCGTTTTTTGAATTGCATTTTGCGCGTTTGGGTGTAGGATTGCGTCATTCTGCTGCTTGGCGTGTTTTAACCTCAAAACTTCCGAAAATTTTAATTCAAATTATCTTTTTTTGTGTTTTTCTTGAAACATGTTTAAGTAATTATTGTTTTCTGCTTTATCTAGCTGTTGGAAACTACTTTTAGAAAAGTTTAGAAGAAGTAACCTTTGAAATCAAAAATTTTTAAAAAAATTTTTTTGGATGGTTTATTCCAATTTCTGGATTTAGTTTATGTAGAAGTTGTGAAATAAGTTAACAATTATGTTTAACACAGTCTACTTAATGTTCAACAACAGAAAACCGGTTTGAAAACGGTTCAGAAATGCGCAAATTGAATTAAAAATAAAGCGTGCGGCAGCGGGTAAACCGTAAGAGCCTCCAGTTGTACGTCGCTGCTTTTTTGGCCATAATTGTTTCTTTTGCCTAATTGTCTTACTTGATAAGGCTTTTCCTTGCGATTGTTGGGAAAAAATAATTCGATAATTCGTCGTTTCGAAAATACCCATTCAACGATTTCCGATGGTTTCTTTGACTCTGAGAGTCGCTTTGTCAAGAAAAAAGAAGAAATTGAAGGTTGAACTTCTTCTGCGAAAGTTAAAGTAAATTGATGTGGTGAACTTTCAGAAAATGGTCGTACAAAAAGTATACATGACGACCTTCTTTTTTAGAAGTCTTGAAGATGAAACGGGAACTGGTTTACAGATCACTATTTGTTCGGCGTGACGGCTGACGGCGAGGTCGACGCTGAGTCGAAGGTGTTCGTGATGGACATGGAGTCGGGGGAGACGACCACCATCGCCAAGAGCGTCCCCAACGCCCACGCCGTCGCAGTCTCCGACGACGGAACAGTCTACGTGTCGCAACTACAGCCCAGCCGTATCGTTCGCTACAGCCTGGCGTAAAATCATGAAACGTGTTTTTTGTGAAGAGTTAAATAAGACTTTATTTGGTTTGTGTCGATCATTTCTAAACCCGGTGGGTGGTATGTACAAAACAAAATATTATAAGGTGAGCCGTGTGTAGTCAACTATGTTTTAGTTCGAAGATCGCTTAACAATAATAATGGAGAAAACAATTGAACGATTTGAGAAGGCGCCTATGCTGAGTTGAGAGGCTGCTTTTCAGCGTAGAAGCGCGAGTAGGGCGGTGGACGCGAGAAGTCGATGGCGAAGGCGATCGAGGTCGACTGCAGCTGCTGACCGATCGACTCGGCGACCTGAAATATTGCCGTGTTAAAACATTCTTTTCGGAAATCGCTCTGAGAATAAATGAAGTCTATGGTCCCGTCTGACTGATGACATTTCTCCCCCTAGAAGGGCCGCTAAGTTTTCTTCCCAGTACGGCGCTTCTCTTTTCAAACTCGCTTCAAATATCACAGAGCGGTGACAAGGTTTGATAAGCTCAAATACTTAGGAATTTCAAAGTAGCCCCTATAGGGGTTAGGGGAAAAAACCCCCTATAGGTGCCGAAAGTGGTCCCTATAGGGGTCGTTTAATTTTATTCAAAAAAGGTTTTTTTTTAGTTTTACAAGAAAATGTTTCGCATAGAGCTCAATCGACTACGATGTCCTCCATAGGGTCCACTAACTAAAACCCATATAGGGACCACTTCCAAGCTCTCGATGACCCTATAAGGGATGGTAAAATAGTCTCTAGAGGGACCCTAAAATTGCCCCTATAGGGACCACTCAGGAGTTCCTAAGCAACTTGGAATTAGTGCAGTAACTATCTGCACAATTCGTCTTAAGTGTGACAAAAGTTTTGTAAAAAATGGTCAAACTAACGTGTTTGTCGCCGAAGAACGAGTAGCACTTGCAAATGACGGCCATGCACCAGACGTGCACAAAGATGCCGATGAAGTGAGCGACGACCTGAGCGAGGTTGTCTCGCGAGCCGTCGTTGCTCATCAAGGCGAGTGCGTCCATCGAAACCTGCCATACAAAAACATATTTGAGATACACACTCGTAAGATATACCTGGAAAATTGCCAAGAAAAGGGCAACCGAGGCGAAAGCGATGAACGGAAGAAGGAAGGAGCGACGGCCGGTTCGCACTCCGTGCAACATCAGGACAACCTGTAACTTGTAATTTTTGTCAATTATTTTGAAATTGTAGAGGGGTCCTATAAGGGCCGAAAAAGTGGTCCTTATAGTGGTAAAATTAAGGTAGTCCTCATAAAGGTTTAGGTTCTGACCCTTTAGCCCCTAAACTTCAAGTGAACCCTACAGGGGTCTTTCAATTTCATCCGAACAAATGCTTGTTTCTTCAGTTTTTCCTACGGAAATGCTTCTTCGCTTAGAGTTCATAACAATTATCGGCTAGCATTTTTTTGTCCCCTATAGGGGCTGTTTTTTTCTCTAACCCATATAGGGACCACTCTGGAGTTCCTAAGGTGTATCCCGATTTATTTTTGAATGCGAAAACTTTGAATAAAAAAAGTTCCAAATTCTGTTCTAAAGTTGATTTTATTTACACTAGAAAAGTCTGTGTTCCATCGGAACATTTTTGAGTCTCAACAGCGTAGTATGTTTTCTTAATCTTTTCGAATCAAGGGGAAGAAAATAAAGCGACTGGAAGGCTCAACTGACCAGCGAGAGCTGCAGAGAAAGGGCGGTGAGAAGGCCGGAGATGTAGCGCGGAGTGAGGTAGACGTTGACTTCATCGCGGTATTCTAGCTCCTCGACTTTCTGTGAAAATGAGAAGATCATCCCTGATAATTCGAGTTTAACTTACAGGATGGGGCTGAGAATACAAGCTGACGACGGAAATCGCGAAGAGAGCGATGATGAAAACTTGCGAGTAGCCGATGAACTTGGCCGCCTAAAAAATCATTTTCTTACCACCTCTCATTTCAATAAAAAGTTGGTTTTTTAAGTACCCGTTTTGATAGTAAAGATAAATGAGCAATCAAAACTGTTCCACTTTTCTAGCATCTAAAATTCATTTTTTGTTCAATTAAAAAATTTCGGAAAATGTCAAGTTTCGTCTGGAGTGTATGCACAAGAAACATCATATCTGACGCCGGAAGTAAATTTTTTAATTCAATGCTTTCTAACAAAGCAGAAAATGACAATATTAAAAGAACTATGAAAAAAAAAACCTTATACTCGAAAAAGACTCTTACCTTGGTAACATGAACAGACTGGCAAGCTACTCGGTATTTGGGGGCGTTGCAGTCCCATATGGCATCCACTTGAAATGTTCCGTCGCTACTGAACGCGTTCACCGGCTTGGCCATTTCTAAAATCGGAAAAAAAAATCTCGAAAGAGAAACTTGGTGGATGGCTTCGACTCGAAAACATAAGGGGCCGAGAGCGAAAAAAAAACCGAGACAAACAATGGCCGCTAGCGGGGATTATGCTCCTACGGGAACTGTAGAGCACCTTCGAGAAAAATAGGAATTAAAAAAAAACTTTCACTAATAATGCAAAAAATCCAGTTATTGAAGAGTTGCAAAAGCTGCAATCAGATATTAACTCAATAAGATACTGGCTTTTAGAAAGGCAACTATCTATTTCTAGCTCTAAAAGCGTCTATGTGCGGTATGGTAAAAGAAGGGGAATCTGGAACGACTATAGAATAGGAGGGGAACCCATCCCCAAACAAGAGGTGATTAGAGATTTAGGAGTTAATTTCAGTTCCGATCTGAAAATGCATCATCATATCGACATAATAGTCAAAAAAAGCATTCGTATAATCAATAATCTTTTCCGTTAAAAACTTTATGAACTGTTATAAAGCCAAAATTCTACCAATTTTAGAGTATGGATCGGAGCTATTCTCTCCACCAACCCAATCTGACATAAACAGGCTAGAATCGGTTCAAAGAAAATTCACCAAACGGCTTCTCCCAAAAGAAACCTATGCTGTAAGACTAAAATCCCTTTCTCTAGACACTCTATGGACAAGGCGTCTGCGAAAAGATATCATAATTACACATCAGTTCATATATGGCTATTATTGGTGTCCATCTCCATTCAAATTACAAACGATATCAAATAGACGAAAACCAACTGAGAGGCAACGGCCTTAAACTCGAACCACCACCAATCCATCATGTTCACTATAACTTTATTACGCAACGCGTGTATAAATACTGGAACGGCTTAAAACAGAGTTATGGTTTTTTTGAGGATGACCAAAGAAGATTTAAAAGTTGTTTGAAAAAAATTGGTTTTTTTGATAAAGGAAGCTGCAAATTTCACAAAATGATTCAACTCGTTTATAGATTACTTTTTCTTTTTGATTCTCTTCGATTTCGACCTAAAAATATTTTTTTAGATTAAAGTGGAACTTTATCGAAGTGGAGGCAAATATAACTTTCATGGTTCTCTTCCTCCACGCCACAGATCTGTCTGTGAGCGAAATAAACATTCATTCATTCAAAAACATAGGAAGGTTATCAAAAAAAAAACTCTGTAACCGTAAAATCAGAAACTCGATTCTATATCAAATTTTTCATAACAGAGTCTCCAAAAAACTTAACTCTAGTAAGACAACTCATTTAAATACGAACAGATATTTTATAAAACTTTTTTTTTAAAAAGTATAAAACCGATGATTTTATAACGGCGTGTCAGATAAATAAAAAAACTTGATACAGAACAAAATTCGTACATTTTACTCTTTAAGAATGTATTGAAAATTGATCCTCAAAAATTCAATTGAAAAAATAATTTTTTGAAACGCAATTTATACTTCTCGCGTCGCTCTAAATGCATCCTGTGCATTGCGTACAAAACAGCAGATGACCGCGACCAAACCGAGGTGTGCCGTGGCGCCATGGCGACAAAAAACAGACTATCTATGATGGAACTTAAAAAAATAAAGGACGATTCAAGTCTATAATATAGTTTAAGGTTAAAGAAAATTAAGTTCCATTAAACTTTTGTTTTAACTGAATTCTTATTTGGGATTTTTCAGGAAACAATTCCAAAAGACGATAAATCAAGGTGTGAGAAAAAAAAAAGAATATGTATGTAATCTTTCCATTTTATTTGATAATTGGTTTCAAAAACTAGGCACCTTCACGAGCCTACTTTATTTGAGTGAAATGAATTTTATTAACTTTCAAATTTTTATTTCCCACTTGTGCTCAGTGAAAGTAATAGAAAATCAGAAAAGCGATCCCACAATTTCACAGAACTTGACACAGAGATTCAACGAGCAGGAACGGAAGTAAACTTGATGTGAGTGAGCGCGGAAATTAAAATGATAAAGAGTGAAGAGTTGAGGAGAGGGTGAGCGTGCTCGGGGAGCGAGGCGGCTGCGACGCGGCCGTCCGCTCTCTATCGAACGTGCATTCTCTCTCTTTGGCCGCAGGGAAGAACCGCCGCTCCAAGCAACTGATTGACAAAGAAACCCTACCTTGCAGGCAACCGAGTATGACGTGTCGCGAGAGGAGAAATAATCGCACGCCCATCCATTCAACAAAAAAAAACGCCCACGACTTACGCTTCAGTTGTTTCAAGTTTCGTAACTGTTTGATTATTTCAAACCAGGAGACTCGAAAAAGGACCGGAAGAGTCGGCAAAAAAGGGATTGAAATTTTCAAGAGTCCTGAAGAAAAGCGGCGGCCGCTCTCAAATGGAACTTTTTTCTCCACTCCCTTTCTGCCGCCTTTTGAAGTGAACTGTGATTCCATTCTTTGGAAGCAAGTTCAAAACGATGCAAAATCTAAATTTTCTTCAATAATTTTCACAATTTTTTCTTATCATGATGATATTGCACAGTTTTTAGTGTAATGAAAAATTTTCTTCTTTCTTTACAAAGGACAACAGAAAGAAAGACTTTATGGTATTGAATATAATGGAAAGTTTGGTGACAGGGGAAAAATCTTTGAAAATAAACAGAAAAACATTGAAGGAAAAATTGATTTCTTGAGCATTTGCAATCGAAGTACCCGCACGGAACAAAAATCAGTTTCTCTGATAATTTTATGACTATGAACGTTGTTGTTCTTCGTTCATAGGCTAGATCTGAAAAGACATCATCAGATCATCGCGAGAGAAAAACTAACTTTTTTGCGTAAAACTTTATGTATCCGTTTCCTCCATCGGGAGTCCTCTTCCCTGGAAAATCAAATATTATAGGAAAAACGCCAACTTTGTTTCAAACTATAAATGACCTTTTTCCATTGAGAAATGAGAATGTATACCAATTTTTATACGCCACGTCTTGAACTAATTTCGTATTTACGCGGGAAAATGGGTGCTCTACAGAGAAGACAAGCCAAATTAGTTCTAGATAAGTTTTCCTCCAGTTGAATCCCGCGGTATACTTTCTTGGTCACATTTTTTTTCTCAGTGAGCCACTACCCGAAAAATAAACTGGTTATGTATATTGACAGTCCCTATCGAATGGTACTGAAATCAGAATCTTTCAATAGTTTTGAAAAAAAATCTCTTGCGGTCTCTGAATAAAAAGACTTCTAATGTAAAGAAGAATAAATAACATGGTATAGTCTGTGTGTCACGACTAGGAATTTCTCCAAACGACATTCCGCTGTTCCGCTGCGTGCGGTCCCGAAGCGGCTTTGCCTTTGCGAATATCGGTCGCGCTTCCAATTTGGTATCATTCCTAGTAGATAGACAGTTCCTTTAGAAACACGTCAAAGTCGAGTACTGAAATGGAAGAAAAAATTGAAAGCGCGACCGAGTTTCTCAAAGGGAAAAACGCTTCAAGACCGCACGCAGCGGAACAGCGGAATATCGTTCGGTGAAACTTCAACTCGTGGAACACAGACTATAAAGCGTTCAAAAATTGCCAAATATATGAAAAATTCAAATTTATTAAAACTTGAAACCTCGTTTGTGTAGGTCTATGATCGTCTTTTGACTTTTCGGCAAGGTCCACCTGAAAAAAGAGATAACAGGTAAGATGTATGTAACGAACCGGGATCTCGCGGATGCCGAAGCAGTCGTCGACTCCGAAATACTCGACGGAGACGCTGTTCTCAGAAGCCAAGGCGGTAGGGTTACTTTGGGCCGACTCATCGTTGAGAATGCAGTTGAGCGAATTTATCTTGAAAAGATAAAATATTTCGGCTAAATGGGAACTAAGAAACCTGTGGATAGTACATCACAGAGAGACACTTGAAGCGCAACCGCTCTTGGGCCGAAATACACAGAACGATGCAGTCGGTGGCGGATGAAGTCGTGTGCACGTCGCGGAGAGCGCCCAGCAGGACATGCTGCTTCCGACGCGTCGGCGTTCCTCCAGAGCATTGGCTCGCCGCCAGATCTGTCTACCTTGTTTTCCTCTTTCCATCATCACTCACCAGGGACACAAATCTTCTCGTAAAGATTGCCGTTAGTGGGGAGTGTTTCCAGCGAGACGTTGATATGAGTCGCCGACTTTGAGAAGAGAAGGCATTGGTTCTGTTGAGGGTCAAAAAGGGCCGAGAAGCAGGGAATCTTCTTTCCTGTTCGTGTCTGAAAATTTTTTCTCAGCTTGAGACTTGGTAAAGCACATGCCTAACCTAGGAGTTTCCTAGTGGTCCCTATAGAGGTTTAGAGGCTGACCCCTAAAACTTAAGTGGTCCCTATAGAGATCGTGCAATTTTATTCAAAAAAGTGAGAATGCTTGTTCGCAAAAGTTCATAGAAGTTTACGACTAGAATGTCCCCTAAAGGGACCCCTTATGAAAGTTTTAGTGGACCCTAAAGGGGTAGGTGAGAAGGACCCTAAAGCCCCCAAGGTTGCCCCTATGGGGACCATTCTGGAGTTGCTAAGAACTATGATCCTATAGGGTTTGTAAAAAGGTCCCTTGAGGGGCCCTCCAAGGGCTAAGAAAGCCCCTAAATGTACCACTCTGGAGTTCTTAGAAACTGTAAAAGGGAGAAAGAAAAACGATTGAGGCTAGTTCTTCGGGATCTTGATATTTTCGAAACTATTCTCTTATCGGAAACTGAAAGCATCAATCAGAGCCGATGGTCAAGTCGGAAATGACGGGACAAGATTTTCGACCGACCACGTCTGTGAGACAAGCGAAGACACAGTCGTCTTCCGAGACGTCCAATCTTTCAGAAAGCGTCGAAATGATCGTTTCGGAGCTCGGCGCGAGTTCGCTTCGGACAAAGAGCACTTGAGCTCCCTTCTCACAGCGTTCTTCAATTTTGTATATACTGGAGAAATCTTCCTGGCCTACCCAATGGAATGAAAATCGGAGGAAGATTGGAAGAATCTTTTTCGACCAGACGTAAACTTTCCGAGCTACTTGAGCGATCTCTATTAAACAACTTTTGCTGAATTGAGGTTGATGGAGCAATTTTCAAGACTTTCCAACAAAAAAGCCTCTTAAGCATTGAGAAAGACTTCTGAAGCTTTACTTTTCCTCAATAAACGAAAAAAGAGTCCGTTTCTCGCGATTTGAAATACTTCTCTGCGCCCTCCTCGTCTCTTGGTGACCCTCTTGTTTAGAACTTCTATTTTCATGTTTCTCTGGCCTCGCCAAGAAGGGAACAGAGAGACGCAGACACGCTAAAACTGTCAAGTCGCGGCGGACGGACTATATAGACTTTTAAACTTTTTCTTTTAATTCTCAATCAAGTTTCAAAAAAACGAAAAACCTCTCAAATTTTTCCTTTCCCGGATTTTTCTGTGGAGCTTGCACGATTCTCTCGGTGAAGGCTAAAGAAATCCCGCTATGAAAAGGGGAAAAGAAGAGAAGTAACCTTCGACGCATCTTTGGACGTTTTTGCGGGGTTTGTGCAACGAATGCCCCTCGCTGGACTGCACGTCGACCTCCTGGAGAGCTACGCTGAACTTTCAAGTTTTAAATTCAACAGATAGTTGAAGTTTATCAAACCTGTAGAGAGCGCAAAGAGCCATAGGTCCGGAGAAGGTGACAAATTTGCAATTTGTTGAGCTGAAGAAAATACAGTTTTTGGCCATACTTCTCCAGAAAAAGGAGGAGCAAAATAACTTCACACTGGACTTCTTTAGCAACCCACATTGGGACCACTAAAGCTTGCAATAGTGGTCCCTTAGGGGTTTCAGTTAGTGGCCCCCATAGGGACATGCTAGTCGATGATTGTTATCATCTCTAAGCGAAGAAACATTTACATTGGGAAAAAAAACAAAAAAACAGAATAAATAAGCGTTTCTGAATGAAAGTGGAAGACCCCTATAGGGTCCACTTGAGCTTTAGAGGCTAAATGGTCGGATCTTGAACCCTTATAGGGACCAACTTAATTTTTTTTTTCCTTTTTCAACTATCTAAACAGGTATTTTTTCCGTTTTCTTAAGTTTGAAAGTCAGACTCACTTAGCGCAAAGTCGGAGACAAGACAACTTGTTGATAGACTCGCGAGAGAGCGACGGAGGTACAGAAGTCGCAGCCAAATTCTTCCGAGAGGAGAAACACGCCATTTCGATGCTTTCCGACAGCTAGAAATGCTGATTGGCACAACTTGGCACAATATATAAATCAACTGACAGAGGGCGGGAACTCGAAATCATCCGAGGTTCCAGAGGCGTCTGGCTTGATCGGCTTTCCACGCGAGCTTCTCCTTTTATAACTAGTCCGAGAAAATGTATTTTCTTCGGAGTCCAGGGTACCTGAAAGCCATCTTTATCATGGGGAAGAGGATCCGCCAAGGTGAAACTTTTGTGTCTAATGGCAGCTCTTCTGGTGTCAGCGCTGCGAGGTGGATAATTCAAAGGCTCCGATTTCGCAGCAAAAGCTTTGTTCCTGCGGAAAAAGCCTGGACGGACAAGGTCGCCATGGATGACCGCCCCTGGGAACGCCATCAGGTCGTGTCCGTGCAGAAGTTTGTTCTTCAGCTCTACCGTCATCTGTAATTGGAACATTCCCCCTCTTATAACCTGTGTACCACGACTTGGAATTTCACCGAACGACATTCCGCTGCCAACCTTGGCCGCGCTTTTATTTATTTATTTATTTTATCAAGGTACTTTACTCTCATGTGCTCACACAGCAATAACAATCAATTGAAAGCGTGACCTAGATTCGAAAGACGCTTTGCGAACGCACGCAGCGGAACAGCGGAATGTCGTTCCGTGAAATTTCAAGTCGTGGCACACAGACTATACACTGAATTTTTTTTCACCTTCCTTCCCAGCAAGATAGTTTCTCGCCGTTCAATCAAGCTTCCGTTGAGCATTTCAGACTGAGTACTACTTTTGGGCGATACGTCTTCTTCAAAAGCTTCAGGTTGTATGTCTTCGCTCTAAAAACAACGCTGAACACAAAAAAATCGCAATAGTTCCAACCTTTCTCACAGGGAAAGGTACAAAACTCCTGGCGCCGAAAGCCTTGGGCTCCTCGGCGTTGATCATCTCCGCTTCTATCGCAAACGGGTCCTGAAATAAGGTCTGTGAAGAAAAAAGTTGGTTTGATGTCGACCGTGGCCGGAACTGGAGAAAAATTATCGTTGGACCCGGTGTCGCTGTCCACTCGATTGTCAACGTAGTGTTTGGTCCCGGAAACCGAATAATGACCTAAAATTATGGTTTATTCAAAATCTGATAGCCTCAACTGACAAAACAAAAAAAAAGATTTAGAAATTGACAAAGAGAGCAGCTCATTTTGATTTTCTGAACATGAGAAAAAAATATATGAAACAAAAACTACGGACCATTGAACTGGACGACTTGATTGTCGTCCCGGAGAGAAGGCGTCCGTGTCGACGTCTTTGTCTCTTTGAAGAAGTGCGGGTCCATCGGCCGATATGTCGATCCTTGGAAGAAGGTCCGCGACAAACTGAAAAAATGATAGTGACATTCAGACCAGCAAACAGTACCCAAATTCCAGAGGAGCGACTGGAGCAGTTGTTGCCAACTGAGCCTTTGTTACTCCAGTGAATCTAAGGAGAGTATTGTCATATTAGAAAGAAGGAAGAAGCAGACCTGCTTGTGAGCTTCTCTTCGTCTTTCTCAATTTCGTTATCGCCGAAAAATGAATGAATCTCGTCGTCTTTGGAGGAAGTCGCCGTCACAGAAGACATGATACTCGATTCTGTCGTCGTGTCCACTTCAGGGAACCCTCCAGGGGACTCGAAAATGTCGTCCTCCACCTCGAATGGCTTCTCGGCATTGGGGCTCTCTTGCGCAACCGGCGGAGTAGTTGAGGTCGATAAAATCGGGCCTTCCTGAGGTTTTTTCTGCTTTTATAAATAATTCAACTTTCTGATAATGGAATATTTTACGAAGTTGGTTTCTACAAATACATACTCTGCTTTTTCGAAATGTCTCATTTGATTTATTATTCCGAGAAAAAATAAAAGAAACCGTGAACTGAATCTCGAAGACGGTCGGCGCATCGACCTGATAGAAAAGAGAGGAGTTCCAACGTTGGTATTCGCTGTCAAAGTTGTCCTCGGTATTGGGGGTCCCGGTTGGTATATTTGGTTCCTGGTTCTTTTCGGTAGAAGATGTGGGAGGAGGTCTAAAACTCTTGATCATCGCTGGAACTTTGAAGGCGTAAAGGTCATCGTGAAATTTGACATTTTTTAAATAAAGATTCAAAGAGTTTGTAGACATCCAAAATAATTTTAAAACTTAACTCATTCTTAGAAACTCCAGAGAGGTTCCTATAGAGGGCCCACTGTACCAACCCCTCTAACGGCCACTAAAGCTTGCAAAAGTGGTCCCTAAAGGGGCATGCTCGATAATTGCTATGAACTCTGAGCGAATAAGCAAATCCATGGGAAAAACGGAATGATAAGCTTTTATTAATGAAATTGAAAGACCCCTATAGGGTCCACTTGAGCTTTATGGGCAGACCATGAACCGCTATAGGGATCACTTCTTTGGCCCCTATAAGGGTTGTTTCCCCCCGTAACCCCTAAAGGGACCACTCTCGAATTCCTAAGAAAAAACCGGACTCGCCTCGCTCCTCATGTAAATAATGGACAAAATTCGTTCTCTAAAAAACATTCGATAGAAAATGTTACTGAGAATCCAATCCTCTTTTTCTGTGACTTTCAAAATAACCGCCAGAAGACTTTTCGGAGAGTCAAAGAAAACTTCAAAATCACTTCAAACACGGCAATAATGGGCGAAATACAGCAAGTTTTAAAATTTCTGACTTCTTTCATACTTTTTATAGTTTATCGAACCTATCGTGTTTGATCAGTTGACCATATCAAGAATAAAAAGCTTACGAAATGTTCTGGAACATCTTCATACGCTGAAGAAAAGGGTTCGTCTTGATAATATCGACAATGTCCGTGGCGAGGGCCGGAAAAGAGCAAAGGAAGGCGGAAATCAGGATGAAGCGCGCTGCCATCCTGGCGACGGTCGACATGACTCCGAGGGCAACAGTCGGCCAATTACGGTGGATCGAGGCCAACGGGGCCTCCGCTCTTCTCAATTTCTCGAACCAGCACAAAGCAACACTTTCTCCGAGGTTTCCCTCCGCTCGAAACAAACGACAGGACAATTGGATTTGCGGCGGCGAAGGAAGCGATCTGTAGGAAACATATCCATTCGAAAAACCCCAGCTTGGACTCTTTTATAAAAGAAATTTACGTGTTTGACAACGAAAACTTGGAAATGAAGGCTTGAGGACGGTTTATGTAAATAGTTTGTTCGAATTCTGAATTTATATCAGCTAACTCCACCCCTGCTGAGACGGTACCTTCGCGTCGATTTTTGATCTTTCTTTGATCTAGAAGATAGAAAAGAGGTACAAAGGGTCATCATCCCATGTGATAAAAAAATGACGCGAAAGACATTGTAGCCTTGGGGGCGGAGTTAGCTTCTTGACATTTAAAATCTGAAAAGACTATATTGTGTTCTAAAATCTGTATAAGGGTGATAAGGGATCAGAATAACAAATAAATATCGAGTTTTAAAGTAGAAAAATGAACATAAACTTCAATTTTTAGCTGCTCGGGCCTCGGTAACGCTCCGGACATTTCTAGGGATCACTTAAGAGTGCTGACGCGACTAAAGTGGTCACTAGAAACGCCCCGACACGTCCGTTTCGCGTTACCAATTGGAAAAAAGCTCTAAAATTTCCAAACTCATAAAAACGAAAATGAAAAGATAAATCTGTGAATAGACGTGACCAAGTGAAAGACTTTTTAGAGTGTACGATTGGGGTTAATACCAGTCGACGCATCTGGAGCTGGCCTCCCACGGCGTCATTCCGGCTGATCGGCTGCGACAGCGGAACGCCGGTCGCTGTGAGGACAAGAGGGGTCTCCCGATAGAGGAGGAGGAGTAACCAGGAAAGCATGCAAGAAACTTTTAAGGCTGTAAAAGTAGCAGAAAATGAAAGTCAGGGGTCAGATGGACTGTTCGATACGAACGCTGAGAACAAGATCTTGAGGCGAGTCCCGTCTTTTCTTAAGAATTCCAGAGTGGTCCTCTGTAGGGTTTAGAGCCGAAAAGGTGGTCCCTATAGGGGCTTAGGGTCTGATACGTTAGCCCCTAAAGCTCAAGTGGACCCTAAATTTTTCGGATAATAACTTTTTTCTCTTGTTCAACATTACGGCCCTGGAGTTCACTTCAAACCATTTTTTTTGTATTCTTTGTTTTTGAATCAGTTACTTTTTTTGTAATAATTTGCTATGCAAGGTTCCGGAAACATTTACGTCGACAAAAAAGAAAAATCGATGAAAAATCGAAAAAAAAACAAGCAGTTGCAAATAAATTAAATTTATTATAGTAAAAATGGAACGCCTTCTCGGCGAATTCCACAAAAATGCAGTGAAGGCTGTAAATTTTGAGCAAAAAAAAGTTAAGGCATAATCACAAGACGAACAGGAAAATTTAAAGTAACATCCAATTTTAAGATAAATATACCGGTTCGATGATCTCCAAATTCTGGACAAGGCCCTCAGTTCCGGAAACTGAAGCAGTTTAGAAGCAAGTAAAGCTTTCTAGCTTCTTCAAAAGACGAGTTCCACACATATGGTATGAAATGGAGCGTATTTACACGATCCAACAACAAAAAGAAACAACAGAAAACAAATTTCTTCGTAGAGATGAGCTGGAAGAGATCATTTGAGAGAACTAGGTGGATTGTATCTGAAAAGCGAGAAATTGAACTGCAAGGCGTTCGCTTTTTCAATACCTTTCGCCTTTCTTGCCACGCAATGAAGGGATTCTGGACTTGCTGTCGCCGGCGCCAGCATCCGACGAGGCGCGACTTGAGGGACGCGACGTCGCGATCTGCATGTCGAGAAGAGAAGTCCGTGACGTTGATCTCGAGCCGCGACCAACGGGAGAATCTTCAAATATACAGAAAATGAAGATGTTTTGAAGGAATGAAAACCAAGCATGCTCAAATCACTGGGAGCACGTGGGATACGAGAAGGAGTTGAGGAGCCAAACATGGGGATACTCCGCTCGGTCTTCTCCCGAATCTTCATGATTGGGCCAGGAGTGCCCTGGGAATCGATATTTCTCATACACACTTGATACGACTCCTACCACTGGAGGCACTTCAAACTGCTTGGCATGACGGTTTTTCGTGAAGGCGCGCATAGAATCGACGGCGTGCGCAGGAGCCACATCCTTGTAGAGAAGATTGATGTTGAGACGGCCTGGACGATTTTCTTGCCATCCAAAACAATTGAAACCCAGACCTTTGGCTCTGCACGGATCGTGCTTGTGCAGAAACTCGTCCAACGACTCCCAGCCGCCTCCAACTCGGACCATCACCGTCGACCGGAGAATCCGCACCATCCGTTTGATGTGAGTATCGCCAAACTACAACACCTCGAATCACTACTTTTCAGACTCACTCCAAAAAATCCTATTCCAGACATTAATGACCTACCCGATAATGATTATCAGAGATCTTCTCGATCTGATACGGCTGGCAGCAGCTGCACGTCTTGCGTTGTCTTTCAATCTCGTGATTTATTTTTTCCGTCTCGGTTTGCGGCTTCTCAGTTCTCTGAAACCATCAATGTGCTTTCGACTTCAAAGGTATACATTTATTTCTCGGACTTCCCGGCTTGAAAAAAATAAAACTGACATTAGACCGATCGAACCGAAGTGCGTTTATAAACTCTTTCGAGTTGATTAGACCATCTCCTTTGTCGAAAAGATCCGCTACTTTTGCCATTTCCAGACGAGATGTTGGGAATTCTGTGAATGAAACGAGTTTAGAATCTTAAACGTACTGAAGAATCAAAAAAGAAGGAAAAACCAAACACTCCTTTATACAATCACAACGTCAACTTACTAGAAAGACAGACCGTCGAATTTTTTATTTCATCTGAATTATTTGGAAAAGTTGCGCATAGAATCCATTTTTGATTTTTCATGTGTAAGGAATCAGAATTTTTCTCTAAAAAAATTTAGGAAATTGATTAGTTCATACTAATTGAATTCGATTTTCTTCATACAAGGGGATACAATTTTTGAAAAATTCAATGTCTTTCCCCAAGTCTTTTGTTACTTTCCTGAAAAATTCAAAAAAGATCACTAAAATGACAAGTTCTTTTTATTTAAAATAACTGACTCGAAGCAATTATTCCGTCGATGAACACTTGACGAGGAACATTTCCCGTGTGAGAACGATCGATTCTCCGGAATAAATCGGACACTCTTGCCTGCAAAAACGGTTAATTAACGATTTCCAATGACACAAATGTTCACACATTCTCCTGAAAAATCATGAGGTCATAACTCGGGAGGAAAAGTAAGGTCCCTTCCAAACGAAAAAATTCCTTTGGTACACCTTTTCGGGATTTGGAAAAAAAGATGACTGGTACAAGTAATCAAGTAGTACAAAAAATACTTTCAAAAAACGTGAAATTTTTCTCGAAACGCCTAAAATAAGCAGCAGATTTAGAATGTGAAAGAATGCTGTTTATAATTTTCTTCGTAATTGTTTCGTGTTAATTATCCTTTTTCTGTTCCTGTGAAAAAATAATCCTCAATTAGACTCAGTCAGATCCCCCGACTGTCCCCCCATCTCCTTGAAATGCTCATGAAAGGAAGAACCTTGGCATGATCGTTCCACTCAACGTAACGCTCTTTCCAGTCCTCCCAACGCCAAGCTTCGAGTCGCTTCATTTCCTCGAGCAGAGCCCGTTGGCTTTCCAAGGCGCTCTGCAGACCCATCGCATCCAGCCACACTTGCTTCCATTCGGACGAGAGCTGCTCTGCGGCCGGATTCCTTCAAATCGAACCAATTGGAAACTTTCAAACTGTAGAAACCGACTTGACTCCTTTACGGATGCTCTTGACCACCGCATCAACTTCTGATTGCTTCTCGCGCAAGTCGAAGTCGAGCTGCTCCAAGTCCTTCTGTATGGCTTCCATAGCCTCGAGGTCTTGTGCGGCGGGCAACGAGATCATGGTCGTCAGCTGCTCCCGCTTGGCCGCCGTGAATCGCAAAAGTTCGGCGATCGTCGAGTCGCGCTCCTTCTCCTTCTGCTCTTCCTCTATCAAAGCAAACTCGCGTTCATCTGCCCGCTCCGAAACTTCTTTCCAACGAGCGTCGATCACGCGCAACCAGTTTTTGACCGTTTGTTCCGCTCGAGGTTGGCACTTGGCCAGGATTTCAGCTCCTTTTTGCAGACAATCGTCGCGCTTCGGAGCGGATTCCTCGAGGTCACGCTTGACCTCTTCTACCGAGGACAGCGCCGCACGCAGATTCGTCGTCGGCTCCTGAAGCGTCCACATTGATTAGAAAGAACACAAAGAAAATACGGATGAACTCATATTGAGAGAAAAATTAATTTTAGCTTGAATTTTGTCTATGTATGATGGAGGCACGCAAGGTCAAACCAGGAAAGATAATAGAGAAAAAAGAATTCAGATTTTTTTTCGGAAGCCACGTTTATTTTCCACAGGCTTGTAGACAAACCTTCAATCTTTGTTCTGTAGCAGTAAGCCAGTCAAGTAGAGCATGAGTTTTAGCATCAAAGTCGGTGGCTTGACGTTCCGCGTCCTGGAATCCGAAAGAAAAATGCGAGCCCAAACTCAAAATCAACCTTGAGACTTGCAGCTCTGGATCTGGCTGCCTCTTCGACTTGGGCCCACTTGCTCGTAAGTCTTTTGCTAGCCTCGAGTATTTCGTCACTTTCATCGACGCCGTTGTTCAGAAGCTGTTCGGCCTTCTTGAGAACTGTCTGCACGCCTTGAGACTTTGCCTTGCGATCAGCAGCGCGCCGAGTGTCTTCATCCACGAGAGCATGAACAGCATCAACGTCTCCATGAATCTTCTTGGTATCGAAGGCAGTATCCCGCGATATTTCTTCGTCGACCCACTTCTCCAGCTCTTTTAGCGTCTCATCAAACGCTCCACTTTCGATGACAGCTTGATCCGCTTCTCGGAGCTTTCGCAGAGTTTTCTTCGACAAATCAGACCATTTCTTCGATAGTTCATCGTTGCGCATCGAAATTTTCTTGCTTTCCGCACGAAGGGCATGCTCTGCCAGAAGGGCACCACGTCGTCGAGTTGTTTCGAAATATTTTTGGCGATCGTTGACTTCCTTCTGGACGTCCTTTATCTCCTGAAGACGCTGACGGAGTCGCTCCACGGAGCTAGTGACAGTCGCATCTGCTTCCAAGCGCAAATCCATGTCGTTAACAAAGGCTTCGAGTTCTTGAACGCCCGACATCCACAAGTTGGACTCTTCGCGTGCGGCACTCAGCTGTTTTCCACGTTCGTTGGTTCGATTTGAGATTTTCTCGGCGCGGTGTTTCAAGGAGACTAGTCTGTTCTTGATCGGAATTGCGTCCTTCTTCTCGCAGTAGTACTGCATACGGACGCCAGCTGCTTGTTGAGCCGCCATTTTCTGTTTTCTTTCAGTGACTTCCTCCGCCCAGATCTCGTGTTCAGCTATTTGAGCCAAAAGTGACTCCTGCAGACGGCTGACAGGGGCGAGATCCGCGATTTTGCGTTCAGAGGCTATAATCCACGACTCCATCTCGTTCATCGCCGATTCGAGTGCCACAGCTTCTTCGACGGCCAACTCGAGCTTCTTCTCGCGATCAGCACAGAGTTCCTTGACCTTTGTCCACTTGGCCGAGACTGCCGCGTGATTCCGGTTCGTCCATTGATCTTCTACGTTTTCAGTGCAGTATCTGTCGAGCTGTCGGATGTAGGCATCCAGTTCGGGAGAGCTTTGTTCCACTTCAGAACGGAGCACACGGAACTCGTCCAGTTGAGCTTCAGCGGTCTCCGGCAATCCTCCAGTTGGTTTAGTACTTAGTAGCTGAGCTTCCATGTCTTCCAACCACGTTCGCCAAAGATCCAACTGCTTTCCAGCGTTTTCGGCCCCCGATTTCGCCTGAATGTGAGTTTGAATGTGATCGGGAAGCTTTCGGCAGTACTAACCTTGGCCATTTCTTTTCCTAGTTGCTCGATAGTTGATTTGATTTTGATCCATTTATCATTCATCAAAGAGATCTTCTTAGATGTTTCGGATTGCCCATTATCTTCTTTCAGGAGCCTTTGAGAAGCCTTGTTGAGGGTTTGAACTCTGAAACTTTCAAGTAGTAAGTTTTTCACAGAGTTTTTTATGTATAGCCGTTGTAATTGGTGCTTTTTAGATCAAATGTTTTGAAAAACCATCAAAAGAAAGAAAGATAGTAAACTAAGGATTGGGAAAAGGTCAAAAGAGGGAAACCGTTGTTCGTGGGAGTAGACGTCGTTGTTGACGACGGCCAACTTGCACAGAGCCACCTCGATGTCGCGCAGGTTGACGGCCCCTTCTTTCGGTCGGATCTCCTCTAAGGTGCCTGCTGTCTTGTCCATCCAGGTGAGTAGCTGGTCTGCTGCTTCAGCGAGTCGTCCCATTTGCAGAAGAGCACCTTCCAGCTGGAAAAAAACTCTTACACGTCTAAATTCCGATTTTTCGTCATGTTCACTAATTAACAAAAATATAATTTTTCGTTTCGAGATGGTCGGCGAGAAAATACCTTGTGCTCACGCTGAGCCAAGCCTGCGTACAATCGAGTCCACCGTCCGTTGAGTTCAGCGATTGGCTGGCGAACGGCAGAAGCGAGATGAGGCGGCGCCTCGGCGGCCAGTTGATGAGCCGTCGTTGCGATCTTCTCCTTCAGTACTCCGTGCTCGTCGACTTCTTCTTTGAACTGCCGCAACCCGTCTAGCAACCTCGAGATTTCCTCGATTTCCTAAAAGTTCAGATAGAAAAGAGAATCTTCTTGTTTCTACTTTGACTGAGTCGATATTGGGAAGCAATTCTAAACGGATCTCCGCTTTTTCCAGCCACTGAAGCAAAGCCTGCAGATCCCCGTGGAACGACATTGCCTCTTCCATTGCACTTATCAAATTCCTGCAAAATGAGAAGATTCGATACACAAGTGAGAAGGAGATCAGTGAAACATGATTTATGTTGGTGTCCGACTCCAGATTACCTGTTTTTGTCGGCGAAAAGCTGAGTAATGCCACTGAAGCCAGTTTGAACTGAACCGATTCTGGCGTCGACTACGGCCTTCTCTTCCGGCGGAATGAAAGTAGAAAGCTCAGAGCCAGCGTTGGAAAGAGCATCTATGCGCGGTTTGGTCTTTGCCATGTCATAGGCGACGCTTTCGATCGCTTGCTGTTGTTGAGTGAGTTGTTCTGGCTGACCCATCGCGGGCTCTACCATTTCGAGACGAACGCGAAGGTCATCGACCTATGAAAGTGAAGTTCACGACGGAGACATAACCAAACCAACCGCTTTCTGACAGTGGCCGAGTTCAGCCCAGAAGTGCTTCGCTTTGCCGAGGACATCTTCTAGCAAGGCTCCGCGTTCCACTGCTTGTTGCTTGATGTCGCCCCAGAGCAGTTCGAGGTCGCCCAGCTTTCTTGTGACATCTTCACCCGTGGGATCTCCTGTTTTTTTTCGGTTTCTTGATGGAAAATAATAATCAGAATAGTTTTTTAAATTTTGTTGGTAAACGCGAAAGATAGTTGCTGCATTTTTCACATTTTCACGTGGACTACTAAAGATGGAAAGCTCATTTAAAGCGCTCAGGAAGTTGATGAAAATTTTTGATGAAGTGTGGCGAACAAAAACGTAAGTGTGATCGAACCTTGTGGAATGTTGGAGAGTAATTCGGACGCGGACTGTTTCAGAGCACCGTAGGCACTTTCTTTGTCTCGGAGGTTCTCGACAATCGCCCGATTTTCGGCAAGTCTGCCCTCCAGAACGACTGGATCTGCTGAGATTCCCTCGTTTTCGCGAAGACGATCCGCAGCGCCGTGCAAATTCTGGACGAAGGTTTCGAGGCGTTCGCCGAAGCCGACGGTCGCGTTCATGGTGTTCTCGACGGCCTTTCCCCTTGCGCGGATGACGTCACGGACCGAATCGTAGCGAGTGAACACTTCTCCGGCAACTTCGCCGAGCATGACAGCTTCTTGCTCTCCGCAGATCGCCTGCAGCGAGTTGACATCGGCGCGGAATCGTTCGACGATAGGTCGGTATGCGGCAATCATCAACGTCAGCTCCTGAAAGAAGAGACTTTTGTAACGATTGTGGTTAGAAACAGACCGTGTTGTGGTCATGCATTGCTCGGAGCTCAATTCCCGGAGTGGCGGTAGTCACGATCGGGGCATTTTGCAGCTCATTTTCCATCTGAATCAAATCATGAGAAACTTATCAAGCCTAATTTTAAATTTCTGTAAAAAGGTAGAAGTAAATCGATAAAAAAAATAAAAAAAATTGGGCTCACCTGATCCAGCCATCCGTTGAGCTCTTCAAACTCGTTTGCCAACTGCGAGGCTAGAACAAGAGCTCTTTCAAGTAGCTCAGTACGTTCTTGGCACAAAGCGGACACCTTGTAATCAAATAATGTCTAGGGGAAAAGAGACGAGTCTCACTTCTTCCACCAACTCCTTGCCTTGTTCGGCAGTCTCAACAAGGACAGCATAGTCCTCGGAGCCGTCGGCTCCAAGCTGCCGTGCCACTTTTCGCGCTTCGGCAGCAACATTGCGTAGATGCACTTTGTTGGTGTTGACGTCGTCGTTCATCAACCGTTGGTTTTTGAGTTGGGTCTTCAGGTATTCCGGGTCGACAGACGGAGGCGCGGCCGTGCTGAGGCATTCGCGCGTGTCGGCGAACCATTCGACGAGGAAGTCGCAGTCGTCGCGAACGGCTCGTGACTGCTTCTTGTTCATATCCAGCCGTTCTGCGCGGCGGCTCACCTGAATGGCGTTTTCGATTTATTATCAATAAAAACTCGATAATCCCAAAAAAGGGCTACTTTTTACTTCTGTTACTCAAACTGAAACCTTGTCAGCGATGGAGTTGATCATCTTGTTCATTTCGATCGTGTTTTGCAACAGCTCGTCGGCTTTCTCAGGTGAACACAATGCCTGGAGCTGGGTGGAAACGGCCGTCAGCTCGTCAACCTCAGGCCTCCAGTTTGAAATGTCTTCTTCCAGATTATAGACAAACTGAAAAAAATGAGTGAAATTCGCACTATCCTTTAAGTTTCACGAATTGAAGAGAATATCAAAAATGTCTCTGGTCTCGTTGTCCCACCTGGGTCTGGGTTTCGACGTCCTCCTCGTCAATCTGTTGGAGATCGACGTCAACAGCATCAATCCACTGCATGACACATTCGAATCCCTCATGAAACCTGGAAAGCCAAGCGTGTATACAGTCTGTACGACGCTTTGCTGGATTTCACTTTCAGATTTCGGATTCCAAATCGAAAAAACGTTCATGGGAGAAATCAAAATTTGCTCATTACGATGTTTTCTTTTTCTTATAAACCCCTTCTTATCAATAAGATTCTAACTTTCTTTTTCAGTTTTCTGGACAAAATCTGAAACACAATTCAAAATTTCAAATATTAATAAAAGCGAGAGAAATCAAAAGAGAACATCTACTGTGAAAAAAGTCATCAAACTTTTCTGTACAGAGTCAACATTTTCCAAGCTTGATTGAGAGCAAAAGAAACGGAATATGTAGGCCCGAAAAAAAAGTTTAAAAAATCCGAAAAGGCTTCGGAGTCCACGTGGATTGAGATGAACAACTCAAATCCTTCAAACCATCAATTTTTCAAAAGAAGCAGGAAAGTCATTTGATATCAGAAGCTAACTTCCAGTGCTTTTTTCCTCTTTAACCAACCTTTCAGAAAGGGGAATCGCCTTTGCCAACAGAGCAATCTTCTCGTCGGCCACAGAAACCAGATCTGAGTATCTGAAAGTGGAAAAAAGGTTCGATCCAGTGCTTCGGATGACGTTACCGCATCTTGATGTTCTCGACGCATCTCTGGACCTGAACAGACTCCGTGGAGTCTCCCTGAACGGTCAGCTGCCTTCCGACTTCTATTATACTCGTCATTGTCTCTTCACGATTTGCGATCAAAACTACGAGGTCCTGAAGAGCTTTTGTGATGGGATCAGGGGGAAACGAAACCGCGAGGATGTTGCTTTGTTCGATGAGGTCATCTGGTGCAATGGGCAGATCGTCAAGGTCCAAAAGTCGGTGTTCTGTTTCATCCAGCCAGGCAATCATTCCTTCCGTATCCTGAGATACATTTGTGAGAAAACTATGACAAAAGGTCTTAAAAAAGGAAAGAAGTCCCATGCTTTCAGAAAGACATACTTATAAGAATGAAGATTGAAGATTTTTCATTCAAAACTCTCCTATAATGACTGTCATAAAGTAATGCCCGTATTTCAGGTATTCGAGAGACTCGAAGGACACGAAGAAAAAAGTAAAACCATGACAAAGTCGGATATTTGAAGGATGAGATCGTTGATGATGGGCTTCATCTCGGAAACACGTCGATCGAGGAACTGCAGTCGCTGTTCGATTCGTTGAGCTTGGCCGTTGACGGCGTTGGCGTCTTCGACGCTCACGAGAGCGCTCAGAAGAGGAACAACCTATAGGAAAAGGGGCGTTAAGGGCGCGAATCTACAGAACAACCTCTTTAAGAAGCATCAGGTCGCCAGCCCGATCGCCGAGTTCGTTCTCCAGCTTCTCGTGCTCCATTAAGAGTTCCTGAGATTTTTCGACGGATGTCGGCACTTTGCCGAGGGTCAGCAATCTTTTGTCCGCCTGGATCAAGTCAAACGTTCTTCTGGTGACCAAAAGTACGAATATTTCCTACATTGGCCAACCAAGATTCCAAGGGAATAGTGATTTCCGTCAGTCTCTCGGCCATGTCGACGGCGTCGAGAAGTCCGCGCTGACGTTCTTGGGCTCCCGACAAAAGCTCGTTGTAACTGCAAACACAGGTAAGTAGCTCTTTTCCTTTTGGGCTACTTTTTTCTCTGTTTCTAAAAACTTTCTGACTAGGGAATGGTTTTCATTCGTAGTGGTACTTCTGGATTAGACTATATTCACTACATGTAGTTCTTCACGCTTATTCCAAATCTGGTCTCAAAACTGCCCTCGAGGCCTGTGAAAAAGTTAGAAGGTCTGGAGACTTTTTTTGAGAACAATTAAGACTTTTGCGCGTTTGAGAAGTTGAGTTTTCAGGCTATCACAAATTATACAATCCTATTTCGAACCAGAAAAAAAAACTATTTCCGAAATTTTTATAAAGTTTTAAACAAATTCTTTGACTGCGTTTCTTCTTCTGCTTTGATAACTTGATTGAAACTCAAAAAAAAAATATTTTGCAGGACCAAAACTTCGTACAAAAATATACCAAAAAGGCGTAGTGATTTTCCTTTCAAATTTCAAGCACCAAGTAGTTCTCCAAAATCCTTTTCCACTAACCGCTGTTTCACTTGATCGTCCTTCGTCTTCAGACTCTTGTTCTCGTCTTCGTTTGATGACGCGTTTGTCATGTTCTCGATCATTTGTGAGAAGGCGTTCACACTGAAAGATGAAAAACATGAAAAACTGTTGAAGAAAAAGACCGAACCTGGCTTGTTTATCTTCAACATGTTTCAGGAGGACGTCATAGGCATGTAGTTGAGCCTTGGCGACTTTTGCGTCGGCCGACGGCGGTTTCTGGTTCTCCATCAGCTCTTCGGTTTCTTCCAACCAGTTGAGAAGAGCTCTATGAGCGTCTTCGTATCTCAAATCGGAAACTTTCTTGCGGCGAAATTAACATTTTCTAGCAATGACATAGATGTAAATTGACCAAAAAAACTACTAGAAGATAGGAAGGAAGAAAACGACCGGGACATACCTGCCCATTTGCTGAACGGCGGCGTCGACTCCGAGTTGTTTGTCGGCGAGAGTTGCTGAGAACGTCAGCCAGGTCTCATTCACCTTCTTCAGGGCGTTGTCCAGCTCCGTTGTGTCGCTCTCTGGACCGGCCGTCTTGATTAGAAGCTTACAGTCTGACACGAAGTCGTCCACCTAAACATTTTATCTTAACAAAAATGATCTTGCTATCGAGAAATTGCTCTAACAATTATTTTTAAATTAATAAGAATGAAAAGTCTCAAACGAGAGCGAGCCTATCTACCTGCTGTCCAAGGGGTTTCGACAACTCCTTGAGTTTTCGGACCGCCTGTGCATGTGTTCTCGCATCTTCCCCACTCTCCTGACTCATGGCTTCCGATTCTTGCATTTCGGCAACTGACTTCAAGATGTCGTCGGCGTTTCTGTTCAAATAAAATTGCAACAGTGGATGAAGAAACTTTCGAACTTGATTATTTTGTCGATTTCCATCTGCGTTTGCTCAATCTGCTTCTTTCTTTGAGCAACCCGCTTTTTACCCCTCGCAGAAACCTGAAAAAACGTCTGTTCACCATTTAAAAAAAAATAAAGAAAGTCTATCTTGCAGTAGAGAATATTCTATTATTGAACAGTGCTTTCTTGGACTGTACACGAATATCCATTTATTTCTTCAGAGAAACATAGTAATTTTTACGAAGAAGGTGATCCCTTCCTTTGTACGGCTTCAGCTACTTCGGCGCCCCCGAGTCGATTAGCCGAGGTCCTATCTTGATATCAGTGATCAGTGGACTGGCTGGAGTTAAATATCCGTCCTTGTGAGAGGATTTGGAAATCGTGGCTTCCCAGTACCAAAATTTCTTATGCCCCTTAGTTGTGCCGAAGCGGGGATCGAACTTGTGACCCTGTACACTGTAGACAGGCGCACAACCTGTTGCGCTACGGCGCGCGAAGAAAAAATTAATACACACCTTTTTCAAGCCTTCGATGGTGGACTTGTTGGCTTCCCAGGCCGGTACCCCGACGACTTGCTGCTCCAAGGCGACGTCCCAATCAGCGAGAATCTGAAGAGATCGATGCAGAACCGACGCGCCGAATGAACAACCTTCTCTGCATGTTCCTCGCCGTCCTCGAGCTTCTCCAGCAAATCGTCGCACTCGTCTTTCTGTCGTGCCAATTCCTGTCCGCTGCGGCCAATAGAGTCCAAGTCGTTGACTTCCTGAAGTTCTACCGTCGGTATTCCGCTCCTTTTATCTTTCTACCGTATGCAGGGCATTCATGGCTTCCACGGCACGTTGTGTTTCAGCGACCGCTCGATCCGCCAACATTTTTTTCTCTTCGTGTTTCGCATTTCGGCTTCGGAGTTCGTCTAACACCTTGGCCAACTTCTGCTGTAGGTCATCGATGACCGTTTCGACCTTTTCTCTATCTTCTTCCGTTCCACTCTGTTAATCACATAACGATAGGTGATATATTTACAAGTTCCGACCTCTTTAACTTCGTCTCCAGTCGCTCTCAGCTCGCGAGACTTCAAAGCCCAGAAGTCTTCGATCTCGCCGATTTCTGGAAAAAAATCACTTCATTCTCAAAACAACGACCAATTACATACTGGACTGGACGCGGTCTTTCGTCTCCAGCTCGCCTTCCCTGTGGAGCTGTTCGTCTTGAGAGGAAACAAAGTGTTCTGCCGCTTCTACCAATCGATCGAATTTCGCGTTCAGATCATTCTTGAAATTCGACTTTTTTTGAGGAGTTTACAAGGAACGTTACCTTTCGTTTGACCTGTCCAGCTGTAATCCGAGCCCGTTTCGCCATTGTTTTGCAATCGTCCACGAGCTTTTCGGCCTTTCTACGCAACCGGTTGGAGTCCGGACCGGGGGCGGAAGACTCGATACGGCCTACGAGGCCTGAAGCATTCAAATAAATTGAAACTTGACAACTACAGCATTTTGAAAAACTTCGGTGGAACTTCTTGATTTCCCTCAAAGCGGAGTGTTTTCATATCCAAAAAGAAATCTACTATACATATTTAGCTTGAAATTAATGTTCCGTTGAATTTGTAGCTTGCCAAATTTGGTTTTCTAGTTGTAATCGGCCGCTTTTAGTTATAACACGCTTACAGCCCAAACACGCTTTTTTTCGTAGTACTTCAAAGGAATCTTGCAGCTGTTGAAACATTTCTTTTTCTTCTTATTATATTCCAAACCTTAGAAAAAGCTTAGATTTTTTTAAACAGAAATGGTGACGTCTGTCAAAACCTAGGACAGAATCGGCGTCGGCGATGCGACGCTCCATGGTGAGCTCCACAAGCTTCAGGGCGTCACCCAAGGAATTCGGGTCCTTGTTCTCGAGGATCGCGTCCAATTCCTTCTCATCTTCTTGCATACGAGACTCCAGGCCTTCCTCTTTGTCGTTGAACTGTCGCACCAGTTCAGCCACTTTCTCGACCAAGGCTTTCCGGTCGCGGGCGCTCATTATCAACGGAGTCCATTTGCTGGACAAGTCATCAAGTTTGGCCTTGAGTTCAGCGTCGGGCCTCTTTTTCAGCTGATCTGTCAGTTTGGCTCTGAAACATCATACTTCGAAGATGCAACCGTAAAGTATTTTTCATGAATTCGAACTTTGTTTAGCTTTTTAATCAAAAAGCAGCATTGAAGAAAGAAGGGGGGGGGGGTGAGGGATTTTCCAAGAAAAAAAAAATTTATCGATGAATATTCAGTGGCCTTGGATTTTGATCTAACTGCCGCGGGTAAACTTTTTGCTTTCCGGCTAAAACTTTCGTAATTTTTTTCGGACTTCAGTAAGAATATGATTACCCGTTTTTTTGCCTATTATTTTTACATAGATATAATTTTTTTCGGATTATTTTTTTGAAAAAAATATGATTGGCCAATAACGATAGTTTTTCAAAAACGAACGACGTTCGCCAGAACCGTTCTTTTCATGTTTCTACCAAAAACGTACTTTGCAAGCGATAAGGAGCCTTCTCGCTCCACAAGACGTCCGTAAACATCGTTGGCAGTCTTGGACTGTTCCGCAAGACGAGCAGAATCCGCTGTGACCGGCGGCGCCTGAATAATAATCCTTGACATACATTCCTTGGCAAGAGAAGAAAAGAAATCAAAAAAGTTACCTGGCTCAGTTCGTTGGCAGCCGAAAGCGCGACAGAAGCAATTTCATCAATTTGTGCCGCAAGTTCAGCGTCTTCATTTCGTGTCGAGAGAGCTGCTTGTTTCAAGTTCTCAATTTTACGATTGATCTGGAATATCGAGAAATGCTTGGTTTCAAATTACGTAAACGGACTTGATCTGCTTTTTTGGCTGTGGCTTCGAGCTGTTCTTCGATCTCCGACTTGTTTGTAGGGTCAATCTCGAGGTTTTCGGCGTCGGCCAACAACTTCTTCATTTTAGATATCGAACTGTTCACACCGCCGAAACTCGTTTTCAAATCTTCCAGTGACTGAATACGAAAATTAGTGGAGGTTCTGACTCCGATCGTAACTTCCAACTGATTCTCGATTTCCGTAGATGGGAACGATGCTGCTTTCTCGACGTTTGATTCGAGCTCACCCAATTGGTTCCTTAAAGTGAATGTTTCTTTAGCCCGAAGGATTATCTTTGTAGCTTTTAAGTTGTTCCAGAACTCCTATTCCCACGGGGAGTTTACCGCTTCTACTCTCGACTTTTTTGAATTCAAAAATCTTAATTTTTCCTCGGTTCTATTGAAACGTGTTGATGGAAAGCGAAAAATTATTAATATCTATTCTAATCATTTTTTTTTCTAATTGAAATCTTCCCTTCAAAAAGTTGATGAACTAATTTTTCCCCATCTCAAAACTGCATTTTGGGAATAGATTATAAATCTAAAAAAATGACATAGATAAACTCTGAAATTTCGAAATTTTCTAGCCGTGTTTTCTCCTGATTCTCCTTATGGTATAAAACCCGAAAATGGCTTGAATCTAAAACTTTTTTAAAGGTCACAAATATGCGTCCAAGAGCTTGTGAATCGTTAGACAAAACCGAAAAAAAAGCCCAAATGAAAAAAAAAGTTTCGGAAGCCTCACTTGAGTTCCTTCTGTAAAGTTCGAAGTTCGGATCCAATTTTTTTGGCCTCTTCTAGATCGTTGAACTTGCGGTCGATGTCGCCCTCGAGAGAGTTCCACTTGCTTTTCAGATCTTCGACCTTCAGAGGAAGGCTTGATGCATTGGGGAAAGAGTCGGACAGCTGATTCGCCATTCGATCAACGGCTTCCAAAGAGGGCTTTTCACTTTCTATTTCCGCTTTGAGCAGCTGAACAGATCTTCAAAACAGTTTTTCAACCGGGGAGAACCTGCAACTGTCCAGACTGAGCTCGAGCTACAGTATGATCCGTGCTGGGTGCTCCGATCGCTTCCATCATCTTCTTCCTGGCCGTGAGCCATTTCTCGACCTGTTGGAGCTCTCCCAGCGTCTTCTCTGCGTCTCGGACTTTATCGCGGGTCGCTGAATCAAAAAACTTATTGAAAGCTGTATTCAAACGTGGCTTACCGTCGAATTCATCCGAGCACTTTTCCCATTCTGCGGTTAGAAGCTTCTCTCGGTCAAGCATATCTTTCTTCTCTTCGTCGACTTCGGCTTCACGGACCAGCTCGCGTGCGGACAGTCGCACCTAAGCGAGAATGAAAATTCGTCAGAGGGGAGGGAATAACTTCTTCCAGCCGACGTTGTTCACTGCGAGCCGCTCTGTCCATACGGTCGAGGTCTGCGGACAAACTGCTCACATCTTCTTTGGTTGCCGGCAACTTCATTGAAGTCTACAGATATCATGAAGATGAATAAAATTAGGCAGCAAACCAATGCGTTATGTCGGTCCCGCATCCACTTCAAAACGTCTGCTTCAGCTTCATCGTAGGAGATCGCCTTGGAGTCGTTCTTATTTATTTTATCAATCCGGCGTTTTATTTCGTCATTTTGAGCGTTCAACCTCAAAAAAATTGAATTAATTTATTTAAATAAACCAATTAATGGCGCGCGAATCTGTCTGCCAGCCTTCTTTCTCATCGGTTCAACCTACCGGGCAGAAAAATCAGCGACGGTTTGACTGACGGAATTGCCTCGGGAGGTTCCAGGCTCGTTGGCGTCGATCAGAGCATGCGCCAGTTGTTCCAAATTGTCGAGATATGCATGTCCTGCAACCGTTTTTCATTCTACTAATCCGTCTTCAGTTTTTCAAAATTTCAGTCTTGCCTACATGTGTAGAATAATCTTAGGGACCGCAAAAATTACATCTTGTCGAAACGTTTTGGAGAAATCCTCTCCATGGGGCCAAGAAAAATCATCCAAAAAGCAAAAATCAATGTATCAGGTGTTTATTAACAGTGACGAGAGCAGAGAGTTATCTTTTGTCAGTATCTTCCCAGCTGTAGTTATTCGAAAAAGTATTTTATAATTTGTTCAAAAGTGAGTCCAATTTTACTAATTTTTTTGGTTTGAAATCTTCGAATGATATCCTCTTTATGAGACTGAACCCTAAACTTTGCAAAATAATCCGTTCCAGATGAATTTGATCAGAAATTCAATGTCATATTCATTTTTAAAGAAAGTCCAATAGTCTATTCATCTGCCTATGAATCCGTTTAACCTAGAAAAAAAAGTTGAAAATCTGATAATTTTTTACCTTGTTTTTGTTGATCTGACAGTTCCAGTACTTCTTTCCGTTGATCTGACAACTTCGGATGCTGAATAGAAACTGGTTCAAGGCTATTCAATTCATTCGAATAACGTAAAAGCCACTCGTCGGCCCTGAAAATGAGTATATAAAATAAATATTGAGATGAATATAAAACTTGTTTTTCGCATCCGCAAAGTTGATCTCGGCGTCTCCAATCTTGTCAAAAACGTTTTTCTTGGATGAAAGTTCGTCATCAACGTTTTCGATACGAGCTTTCAACTCTTCGATCTGAAATAAAACTCTCTCCTATGGGATGTGACATTTTAGTTTCACCTTATCAGTTATAGCATCGCCTTCGGTCACGTTAACGATGGAGAGCAACAACTTGGCAGCTTCTTCAAGGTCGGAGAATTTTCCGAGGATGACGTCGCGGTCCTTCTCGGCGGATTGCAAAGATTCTGCATCTCGACTGTTCGCCGATCGAATCTTTGCAGACACGTTGTCTAGAGCTGTCGACAGCTTTTCGCTGTCCGCAGACACTTTTTGAAGGCCTTTCATGGCGTCACCGATGTTGTCCCGGAGACCCTACAGTACATTTTTTTTTATCAAACCCTTCATCTCAAAGACCATCAAGTCGTTGGCAGCGTGTTGGAGATTCTTCTTCGCTAAAGAGACGTCCTTGCTTAGCCGTGGGTCTCCATCGACAGTCTTCTTTTCGAGATCATCTGTGACCCTCTGACGCGACTCCAACTCGCTTCTCAACACTTGTTCTTCTCGTTTCTGAATTTTTCAGCTGAAAAAATAAGTTAGGAGCAGTTTACCAATTCGAGCAGTGCGGCCTCATTCAGTGGAAGCTCTCTTGGTGTAGATGTTCGTTGGACAAAACGGTCACTCCACTCCAAAATGTTCGCAATCGCATCTTTGATCCCTTCGGCCTCTGCGATTTTAGCAGTGACGTCGTTGAAGTTCTGCTGCAGTCGAGCAAGAGCCGCGCGGTGCTTTTCGCGGAGTTCTGTCGCCAGATCCTGATGTCGCTTTTGGATCTGTTCGGCTGCGGGAGTTCCTTCGATAGCCAGGAGCAACTTGTTGGATGAAGCATCTGTATCGTTGAGATACGTTTCTCCACTCGAAGACTGCAAAACATCTTGAGTATTTAGCGTTTTGCGGGCATACTAACTTCTCGCGTTAGGTCTTCTATCCAGCCGAGCTTCTCCTCTTCTGAACTGTTCGATCTCTCAACGTCTGAGAGCTGGTTCTCGAGAGATCTAATCCATTCATCAGCTTTTCTACAAAAAAACGACTAAAACGACCAATAAATGACTTCTTACTTGGCCAGTCCAGAATGCTCATCATTATAGGCTTGAACACGATTCTGGAAGAGAAGGAGGTCTTGGAATTGTTTCAGCAACAGGGCAAAGTCTTTTTCGACGCGCTGCTTCGTTTCGGTGACGTCCTCGATTTGGATTCCACGCGGAGAAGATGAGTTCGACGACATTTCTTCGTACATAGTGTTTATTTCCTTGAATAGAGTCGGAAGTGAAAGATACGTCTAGAACAAGTCGTCTACCTGTTCGATGCGGGTGACGGACGCCCCAATCTTTTTCAAACGGCCTTCTTCTTTTTGAACTTCATCAAGCAGCGCCTTGGCCTCGTTCCGAGCCTGGATGAAGTTTTATTATTTTTTTTTTCTGTGTCGTTGAGAAACCTCGTTGAGTCGAGTCGGGTCTGCAGACTTAGCGCGGAGCTCTCCGCCGAGTCTTGTACGATCCATCATCCAAGACTGCATCGCCGACGTCGTGGACGAGAACTCGATGAGCAACGCGGCCAAGATGTTAAGTCTGAACCATTCAAATGAAAAGTACCCACTTTAAACGAGTTAAACGAGAATGGAACTTCCTTAGCCTTCAGTGACGCTAAGAATTGGTTTTTTCTTTAACGAATAAAATCATAAAAAAAACTTTTGAATGGATACAATCGAACTATTAAAATTTCGAAATGTTTCATTCCAGGTATTCTCTCAAGTTGCAAGAATTTCTGTCCTTTAAGCAAAAAGGTTTCTATGACTAGAAGATGCATTCTCTCTAATGATAAGAATGAAAGAAGCCTAATTTTATAAAAATAGAGAGTTTCCGAGCTACTCAAAAAGCCCGGAAGAAGAAACGAAATATTTTTGAGTCTTTATAAATACAAAGTTTGAACCCTACAGTACTGTAAAAAAACTTTCTTTAAATGAAACTCGATCATTTTTTTAAGTGGAAAAAAACTATGAAACAAAAAAAAATGGAGCAGTGAACCAGTATAGAAAAAAATAGAATATGATAATCATGGAAACATGTTTGGAGGCGACCCTCCTGCGCCAGAATTTTATCTGCCAGGGCATCAATTTCCATATTGACGCTCGCGTCTGCGTCAAATATTTTTCGAGGTCGTCGAATTTGGATAAACTAAAAAGGGTAGCTCATTTATTCTTCATAACAGGACAATTTTTTTACTATTTATAAAAAATGATAAAGTTGAGGAAAATGAACAGTAAAGGAGTTCCTTCCGAAGAATACGAACCTGCCATGAACGCCTTCTACTGTTCTAACGACGTGATCGTACTCGTCAGCGAGCTTTTTTTGCTTTTCGCGTAGCTGCACAAACTGTTCTGGTGGCATCGTGTCGGCCCCTTCTCTGCAAAGAGTTTCCACCGCATCGAGCCGTTCTTTGACTCGACCGCGCCATTCTTCTAGTGAATCTTTGATCTTCTGCAAAGCCGTTTTGCTAAAAATGTAATCGCTATGACACTTCCAGGATACTGGAAAGAGAAACTACAACTGTTACTAGCAGCAAGAAAAGCTAATCAAAGACCTAAAGCCATCGCAATAAAAATTTTTGCCTTGCAAAATTTTATTTTTTCGAACCTTTTTTTTATTGAGCTTTCAAGTTTGATGCATTATTCTTACTCATTTTGAAAATTGATTTTCTAAGTTATTTTCAAATTTATTACTGGAAAAGTTGAGAATTGATTTCCTGATGAATTGTGGTCCTTTTTTCAAATAGTCTGATACAGTTTCTTTCTAACGGTTATCAAGTCTTGAATAAGCAATTTATCAGTGTTGTTTCACCTAACTTTGATTTTTCAGAGTGATTAACGATAAATTGTCTTTCAGCTATCGAACATTGTTTCGTTACTGATTTAGAAACAAACTTTTTCTTTTTTTTTCTATTTTATTTCTCTCAAAATAATCAGTTGAGCAGCTTTTTCGATTCAAGAAACGTCTCATATCAGTAATAGATGCTTCAAGTAGCTGTTGGTCTTTAAACTCTTGAGAATATCACAAAAATTGCACCTCAACTCCTTTAGAAGCGGCATCCGCAGAGTCAGAAGAAAGACGGAAAGAAAGATGACTCGTGAAAACTTCTTCTCTAAATCGCCCAAGATCCTTCATCAACTCAGACATTTCTGTCTCGCGGAAAGAAGCTTCTTTTGTGACGTTTTCCTGAAAGTGAGCCCCATAGAGCGTTGACTTCTTTCGCCATTTTTTCGTTTTGTTTTTTTTTTTTTGCTTTCTGACACCCAACTGATTTCAACCACATGTCTTGTAACAATAAATTTTCTTCATGAAGATATTTTTCAGAGTGTTTTCATTCAAACTTTTGAAAGCCGTGTTTTTCCCAATTTTCCACAACACCTGGGACTGACAACACAGGAACGTTTTTAACTTCGACTTTCACGACATTCTCCGACATTCTTCGACCTCAAGAGGAAACGAAACTTTTACTCCACTTTCATTCTCTTCCACATTCTGGCATGCAAACTACGACAAGAACATCCAACACCATATATAAGAAAATTTACTTCAAAAATGGAAAAAATTAACTTTCATCGGCAGTGTCAGTAGAAGAGCAAAAAAACTCATTTCATGGGTTTCGAATAGTTTTTTTTAAATGGAATTTACGACGAAAACTACATATATTTTTGAAAGAGAATTATATTACAGTTTGAGCACGATTCGTCAAAAAAATTTCGCAGGCACTGAAAGTTTTGAAAATAGAAATTGAATATTAGTAAAACTTCGTATAAGTAGATTCAATTCAATAATTATTTCTTTTTTTTCTCGGAAAATCACATGTAGAAAAAAATATACAAGACGCCATTTTGCGACTGGAAACATTTTTGGGAAAGGCATGCAAAAAGGTAGATAGTGTATTGAACTGAGCTGGATGCGGCACGGGGTATGGGCACAAATTGACAAGATCGGAAAAAAAAGCGGAAGGATTGCTTCAGAATTCAACCGACGACAAAGATGGAATTGCGCGCGACGGCAGTTGAATTCGGCAGCAAAACCATGGCTTAGACATGATAAAATGGGGGAAAAAAAGAGGAAAAAACGGCACGAACTACACAAACGAGAGACAAAACTTTTACTGACGACGAGCCCAAGATGGAGCGTCCTGTGTAGGTTCATCTGTGCTTGAAGACAGCGTCGTGTAGGGCGCCAGAGGGTCGGTCTTCGACTTTCTCAGCTCCGAAGGTTGGCCGTGCCAGTTGATGGTTTTGGTGAACTCGCGGGTCTTAACGCCGGTCTCTCCTGGATGCTGCGAGGTAGTCGACGTCGAAGAGACGTAGGTGACCGGAGAAGGTGAGCGATGAGAGTGGGAGACTGTTTGCGAGGCATTATGAACTTCTTCGAGTGGAATATTCAGTCCTTCCATCAGCCTCTTGGCTGCATCGCCTGAGACAAGCTTCATGTGGACGGCGCGAGGGATGGAGTATCGACGACCAGTTTCAGGGTGAACGATTTCACCCGACAAGACGTCGAGGAGGCCAGTCTCTGCAGCTTCTCGCACGGAAACTCTACGTCCATCCTTTGGATTCTCAATGATGCGTTCGTCGGTGTCAAACTGACTGGCTTCAAGGTTGGAGAGGAATTCGTGTTGAAGGTCAGCCATTGAGGAAGGATCATCGACAAAGCTTCTGGCGCGATCTCCGATACTTGTCGTAGACTGCCGCATTCGCACTGAGAGTCCAGGCTCGATGTTGTGTGGCGTCAGCCTCGTGACTGTGGTCTCTTCGCGGAATTTCGGACCGGATGTGCTGCTTCGACTTTTACCATCTTCGTACTCTTGGATCTTGAACTTGTAGCCTTCTGCGTCTTTTCGTTTGACGGATTCTGTTACCGCCTGAACGGCCTCAGAAGGCGAGGCAATTACAGTTAAGCGGCCACTTTTGATAGCATCACTCAGTCGCAGTCGATTGTTTCCGTCGACGTATCTTCCGTCTTGGTCGATTTTCTTTCGGCTCAAAGCATCGCGTAGCGTCAGAAGTTGACCGCTGTCCTGATCGTGCAACAAGGAATCACCATCGATGACGCCTCGATCAACAGCATCTCGGAACGTCAAGTAGAGACCAGTTTTTTTGTCTCGGATACGTCCAGAGTTTTCGTCGAATTCCGAAGACGTCAAAACACTCGACAAATTCTTTTCATCTGCTCCTTCGATGCCTTCCAGGCTTCCAGTGTCGATGAAGCCTTGGTCGATTGCTTGGGCGATAGTCAACTGTCTGCCTGTGTCGGGGTCGGTGAAGATATTGGACTTCGCATCGATGAGTCCCAAACCGACGGCTTCTGCGAAGGTCAGCTTGTCCACTCTTCTCATCTTTTCGCCGATTTCTTGGGGAATTCGACCATCGAGAACAGCTTTTGAGATGGGAACAATGCTGTGGCGGGAGAGCTGGACAGTTCGGTTTTTGGGATCAACGATTTTCTCGCGAACGGCTTCAATCAAGTTCACTTGGCGATTGCTACGGTAGTCCGTGAGTTTGGGAGCAGTGATGGTCTCGTAGGTAGATCTGTCAATGAGGCCTCTCTCGACAGCATCTTTCAAATCAACGTCTTCGCCAGTGATTGGGTTGTGGTACTTTCCGGTGGAGGTGTTGATCAGACCGTCATTGAAAGCCGACGTGACAGGAACATGATGGCCTTTGGTTGGATCGAAAACTCCGTCGGAGGTGATTGCTTGATAAACAGTTCGCAAAACGTCCAGCCAAGTCAGACGCTGCCGAGTACGAGGGTCATGAACCTCGCCAGTGCGGGGATCCACAATGCCGAGGTCGATGGCACGCTTGATACTGATGTTTTCGTTGGTTCCTGGATGGCAAATTCCTTTGGGTAGAATTTCAGACAAGGTAACGTCGATGAGGCCCATGTTGGCCGCTTGCGTGAGGGAAATAGATTCTCCAGACTTCGGATGGTGGTAGGTCAAGTTGCGGATGTCGACAATACCGGCGCGAATGGCGTCTTCTAGACTGATCTTCTCGTCGTGAGCATCTTTCACGCCTCTGTTGATGGCGTTTTGAATAGCCGATCGGAAAACTTGGTAAGTTCGTGTCATTTGCTTTCCTTTCTTGTCGACCTTCGCAAGTCCCATGCGCTTAGCATCTTCTAGTGACATCACGCGGTTGTTGCGTTTGTCCCGGATTCTGTCGATTCCAACAAACTCAGCATGAGGTTCCAACTCCACCGACTGAACTTGGGAGGAGCTTTTCACACTGGTTTTCGTCTCAGTAACAAAGGGGTCGCCGTGCATCTGAATGGTGAACTTCATTCCAGTCGTCGGATCCACATATTCTCCTTTCTCTACGCCGCCTTCGCCTTTGACAACCTTGATACGAACTTGTTTTCCACCACCAACATCGACTAGTTCATGACGATCTTGGCCATTCGAAGCGGCTCCTTGGTGAGGTGCAAAAGGAGTCAGTTGCAGCTTCTGTTCAACGAGTCGAGAGTGTGTTGATGGTCGCTGATTGGAGTGCGCTGAAGCGAGAACACCGGTGGTGAGAGCTTGCGGGAAGCTTGTCGATTCTTTGGTCGAATGGTTGTGAATCAACCCGCGCTCAGGATCAACGATACGCCGGCTCACGGCTTCTTGATATGAGTATTCTTTTCCAGATGACGGATCGCGGACGACGACAGAGCTGTTGTCGACGAGATTTTTTCTCAGCGCTTCATGAAGTGGCACACTTCCACCGCTCGGTTGTGTGTAGTGGCCGGTTCCAATGTCAAGACGTCCAGAAAACATGCTGGAGTCCAAGGAGTCTCCAAAGTTCTTTCCTTTCACCAAACCAGCATTGACTGCTAATGACAGATCCAATTTTTCACCAGTCTGAGTGTTTTCGACAGTGCCGGCGTTGTCGTCCACGATTCCAAGCTGAATGGCTTCCAGCAATGAGACTTCTCGGTTGTTGCGTTTGTCGAGGATGGTTGTTTCATAAGGATTGAATAAACCTTTGATGATGGATTCTTTGAGAGTCATCGGTTTGTCAGTATCCGGATTGCTGAATTTCCCGCTCTGCGCGTCGTACCAACCCAAGGCGAGTGCTTTACCAAGAGTATTTTCGCTGAGAGGAAGACCGCTTGAGAGCGCTTCCTTCTTGGCAACTTGACTGCGAGTTTGGATTTTGACAGTGGTGTGAACGGCGTCACCGGCGTTTTCAGGAACTCCTCCGTTCGGGTAGACTCGTTGCTGTTGAGCCGCCTCAGTGAAGGAAAGTCGTTTGTTGTCGCTTTTGTCGAGGTAGAAGCCTCTCTTGGCATCGATTATTCCCCACTTTTCAGCTTCGGCAAAACTCATTTCGCGGCCGGTGAGTGCATCACGAACCGACAAATCTTCAGGTGCAAGTTTTCCTGAGGACAAGGCTTGGTCCAAAGATAAATGATCACCGGAAAGATGGTCAATGAGAATTCCTCTATGAGCGTCGAACTCCCAAGATTGCTCTGATTCTTCAACCACAGGCTGGCCGACCGGACGGAAACTGATGACGGGTCCGGATCCAGAAGGTATTTGGATTATCTTCTTCGTCGTATTGTTGTAGGGAACCAGAGGTTCAGCTTCAATGATTATGTGCTTGTCTTCAATAGCCTTTTCAATGTTTGTAGAGCGGCCGTTGATCGTTATTGATCCATCCTTGCTGAGGGTGTTGTTTTTCAATGCTTCTTTCACACCAATCTGACGACCAGTCTTTGGATCTCGCACAAAAATCGTTGAGCCATCGATTATGCCGATTTCGATACCCTCGGCAAAGCTGATTTCTCGGTCGACATTTGGAGCGCTGATACGGCCAGTAGTGAGGTCAATGAGCCCTTTTCGCTCCGCTTCATAGATGTGGTAACCATTCGCCGGAACTTCGATAGCTCCTTTCCCGCCGGTAATTGCTCTGTAGACGGAAACACCGCCTGGACCTCCAAGAGCCGTTGTTTCTGTAGTTCTGACGCGCTTGACAGTCGTTACCGATTCTTCGAGATTCTTGTCGGGGTAGTATTTTGGAGCAAGTTGTTGACCAGTTTCCGTGACTGTTTCCGTCGTTTTTTCTTCAATGGTAGGTCCAGCTCCTTTCGTTCTTTCAGGAACGATCCATTCGCTTGAAGGATCGATAAGACCACGGCTCAAGGCGTCGTCCAGGGTAATGTCGATTTCTCCTTGTCGGAAGCGCTGAGTTCTTGAGTCAATGATTCCTTGTTTCATTGCTTCAGCAATGGTCACTCGGACGTGGTCAGAAGGAATGTCAAGCGCAGTTTGGCCAGGACGACTGATTCTCTTTTTCTTATCGGCTTTCTTCACGGTAGCAATCAGCGAAGGATGAACGTCAAACAGAGCTGCCGTCTGAATGGCTCCACGAAGATTCACAAGACCGTGATTGTAAGCTTCACGAGCTGACATTTCTTGCTTTGTAGACCGGTTGAAGAAGACGCCCTTGGTTGGATCGACGATTCCTTTGGAAACGGCTCGAATGAGGTTGAGGTCGAAGTTGCCTCGATCTCCTTTGATTCCTACTGGCTTCGTGAGAAGCTCAAGAAGAACGGCATCAACAATTTGGCTTGCTTTCGAATCGCTGAACAAGTAACTTTCTTGAGTAGCCAGATCGACAACTCTTTCAGCGTTGGGGATTATCGCACCGGCTTCCACTGCTTCGTTGAAACTCATGTTCTGATCCGTCTTCGTGTTTTGGATGCCTTTCACATCGAAAATGCTGTGTCGAACGCGGCGTGTAAGGAGTCCTTCTCGTACGGCGTCCACGATTCTGTACTCCTTCTGTTGTTTTTCGAGAATGATTTTCCCATCAGCGCCTAGAACACCTCGTTCAAGGGCTTCGGCGATGGAAATCACGTCCTTCTCGTCAGGATCCACGATATGGCGAACTTCCGCGTCGAGAAGCCCAGAGGCGATAGCGCCAAGCAGTGTGTGACGTTGCTTGGTGCCTCTATCGACAAAGTGACCGGTGGAGTCGATCAAATCACGCGCCGACATTTCAGTCAGTGTGAGCGGCTTGCAAATGAGCTCCTCGCGATGAGCTTCGTTCAACGAAAGACTTCTTCGTGATTGCAAATCGGTGAAGTTTCCATTTCGCGTATTGATGGCATTGCGAACCACAGCTTCGCCTAGCGTCAGACGAACGTTCTCGTTGGTGTTGATGATTTCGGCGACGTGCAAGTTCAGCAAGTTGTTCTGCTTGGAAACGGCATCCCGCAACGTGAAGGTGTCCTTCGTATGACGGTCAGCAAACTCTCCATTGTTGGCGTTGATGAATTCGTTCTCGATGGCGTCGGTCAATGTGATGGCAATAGACGGAGTCTGCTGCGACGAAACGATTTGCACGTAGCCATTGTAGATGGCATCTCGAATGGGCATCGTCTCTTTTGTATATTTGCCGGTGAAGTAGCCAGTTTCAGTGTTGAGAACGCCCTGTTCGATGGCTTGAGCAAGACCCATTGGCGGAAGTTTGAGGATACCCATTTTGATGAGCTTGTGCATGGTATCGAAATTGAAAATTTTCTTACTCGTGCATTCATACATCGAGAGGATTTCACGAGTATTGATGTCCCGAATTTGACGAATTTCCGGATCGTATAGTCCGATTTGAATAGCATCCAGAAGCGTGAGCGATTCTCCAGATTCAGGGTGGTGAATCCCCCACTTGGAGTTGAGGACTTCTTGGAAACCGCCATCGATGTAGCCAAGTTCCGCGGCTTTTTCCAATGAAATCTTCGAACCGGAAAGCAAATCGAAGAACTGTCCACCACCGGCATGCAAATCCAGGAGTCCTTGACGGATAGCCTCGACGAAGGTGAGGATTTCGCCGGTTTGTTTGTGCAAAATGCCCTCCATTTCGTAGAACTGAGTCTTGGTGACCGTTTCTTCTTGGTACATCTGCATCTCGTCTTCGTGCTCGCTGATCTTCGCGATGTCGTGCACAGGATGCGCTTCCTCCCAGTCATCAGGATCTTCAGTCACGTTGACCTCGTGGGTTACTGTGGGACGATTGATGTTGAACTCCGGGGTCTGAAAAAAAATCGATGAAAAAGGTCATGATTAGAATCAACTGTTATTTCAGAACTACTGAAAGGAAAGCAGAAGTCAACACTTATAATCCAGAACTTTCTTATGCCGAGGCTTCCTGATGTAAAATCGACTCTTAAAGAAAAATCAATGACATATAAACACTAAAGAGAATAACTCATAAAAAAAATGACATCTCTTCAAGTTCCAAACTTTTTTTCACAGGTTAAAAAAAAATACTCTTCGTAGTGAGAAATTTTAAGTGAAGGTAATCACACAAGCTCACACTTATCACACGCCACGGCAAACCGTAAAAACTTCAGCCGAGTTAAGGCCTACCTTAGGTCGTCTCCGCCTTTCCTCCTCCTCACGACGCCGACGATCTTCATCTTCGCGGAGCTTTCTCTGACGCTCTCTTTCGCGATCTTCTTCTTCTCGCCGTCTCCTTTCCTCTTCTTCGCGACGCCGTCGTTCAGCGTCTTCAGCGGCTTTTCTCGCTCTCTCGGCCTCTTCGGCGAGTCGTCGTTTGCGCTCTGCATCTTCTGCAGCCCGACGAGCTGCCTCAGCAGCTTCCCGTTCTCTTCGCAAACGATCAGCGTCTTCCAAGGCTTTTAGCCGGGCCGCTTCAAAAGCCCTTCTCTTAGCCTCTTCTTCAGCTCTCCGGCGGTCTTCTTCTTCCTGGAATCGCAGGGTGGTATGGGAAGGTACGCAGAAGAGAATATGGATTGACGACCAAATTTTTCGAGGCGAAACTGTTCAAAACTCACTCAACTTTTAAGAGTAATGAAAAAAAAAGAACTCAAAGTTTCACAACCACATCACTCGACACTCGGTATAAACAATTAAAAGTGGTTTGCCAAATAAGGTGTCAGTTAAATAAAATTAAGCAGCAGATTGTTTGGGCAACAAAAAAGCACATACAAAGATGAAAGACATATTACTCAATCGAGGTGTCGACTTAGGCATGAAAAGCAGACTTGAAAACAGAAAAAAAAAAGAAGTGAAACGTTTTTTTGTGAAGGGAGGTAGGCAGTATTGACAAAGGACAGAAAAAAAAAACAGAAATGTTGAACTTCATTTCAGTTAACTTGGTGTAAAATTTTTTTTTTAATTAAAAAATGAATGAAATTAATGTAAAATGGGGAAACGGAAAAGAAGCAGGACATCGGACACACATAAACTAGCCTGATGAAGCTTGTGCTGAAGCCAAAGGTTTTATCTTCAGTGAAAAGCTGGAGCAAGGTAACTCCAGCTATACGAATCCTTCTTTGAGAGATGAACCGATTAATTAACTCCGTTTGATTATGAAAGGCCTGTAAAGTAAGTAAGCGGGAAAATCTGCTCTTGGCAGAGTTACTTTGGTTTATCTGTTTAGAAGGTTTTCGGCTCTGAATAACGCGTTGATCATAATCCAAATTTTAAAATTGTGTTATAAGAATGTGGTTGAAATCAGCTTTTCTCTTTTGTGACTTTCAAGGCAACTGAATCAGTTGACGAGTTACAGTTCGAAAAAAATAAGTCAATTTCAAGGTTTAGATACAATTGTTAAAATTTTCAAAAGTACTGTTTTCAAATGTTTCATGTAGTCAAACAGACACCTATAAAAAAAAAAATGAAAAAAAGTACTTTTTGCTTTTTTTATTCGTGGACTCAAAGAGGCTTTGAAACCACGATGCTGAAGCGCGAAACTCAAAAAAAGTGCTGGCAACGTATTAATTGGAGGCAGTGTAAGTGTAAATATTGATATGTTATGGAAGACTATTAAACTGAAAAATTTTCACTGATGAAACTTAATATGGAGTGTGAGACGAAGTGGTCGAACTATCTAACTATTACTACGAGTACACATCTAAAATCGATGAAGCAAGTGAAATTGAAAGCTTTCCACACATCTTCTCACGATTTCTTCCAATGGTCATCAGAAAAACTAAAACTCTGGTGATTTCAAGTTTTTTGAATTTCAGTCTATTCATTCTCAATTAATCAGAAAGTCGGAACACGAGTGTGTAAATGTCTTTTTCCATTTGGTTCATACAAAAACAGTTCGCGTGAGGAAAGCTTTACAATTCAACGAGATCCGTCGATGTACCGCCAAACTACACCCAGCGGGAGTTCCTTTATTCGCACCCAGATCCCGACGTACCTGCTTTTGCCGCTTCCAGTTTTGGATGAGCACTTGCATCGTGTTGCGACGTTCGAGAATCAACGAGCTCAGTTGCGCGAAGCGACGGTTCAGGGCCTAAACCAATTGATTTTGATCATTTTAAGGGCTAATCGGCTACTTCAAGCTCTTCGGTGACAATCTGAGCGCCGTTCTTCGGCTGAGGTTTCGAGCGACGGAACTGGAGACGGACGTCAGGACCGTGAATGCCAACGATCGCGTCAGAGTACTGACTCATCTTGGAGTCAAAGATCTGAAGCACATCACACTCTTGATGATTATGAAGGGAAAGAGCAACCTTGGCTTCGCGGATGAACTTTCCACCTTCCTTGTTGACATTCTCGATGGCTTGAGTGTGCTCTTGGAGCTGTGCGTATTCGGAAACGAGCAGATCCAGCTGCTGTTGATACTCTTCAGGCCTGAGCTCTTCGGGCTTCCGAAGCCGGTTGATCGTCGCTTCGACGCTGTCCAGCCACTGCATCTCCGTCTCGTACTCGCTTCTGAGACACACCAGATATTCCGTAGAATTGACGCAAAAACCAACCTGTAGACCATTTGGATTTGGAGAGCTCGTTCTGCGGCCAGAAGACGCTCCGCAACTTGGGCGTTCACGTTCTCCCATCTCACGTTCAACTTCTGCACTTCTTCTTCAATCGCATCAACATCAGGATGACTGAAAAATATAGGAATTATGCAATTTTCTCGAACTGTGAGAAGATCCGATCGTTTGATTTCCCATTTTTACCCATCATGCATGAAAATTCACAGAATTATATCGACTTAAAAATGGAAAGAGACTCATTAAGCCGTATCGAACAGCTTTCATAAAAAAAAAACTTTTTTGGCTTGGAAAAAAAGTTTTCAAAAGTCGATCCAGTTATAACCAACCGGCGAATTTGAATGAGATGGAATAAAGATCGAAATTTCATGAAAAAAAAAAAACAGTCGTTTTGGGTCACAGAAAATGGCTTCAAGGACGATCGATCGTCAGTTACTTCAGAAAGGTATTAGAAGCTTTTAGCAGCTGAACCTAGGCGCAAAAATTTCCCGTACAAGGTGAGGGAAAAACCAACAACTAAAGAGCAAAATGGTATCATGTAGAAAGGAAAAAGAATATTATTGAGTAATGCAAAAAGGATGTGTGATGGAAATGAAGTGGTAAAAAAGTGTGATTTTAGGTTAAATCGAACAAAAATTTTTAGTTTACTTAACTCAAACCCCGTCTTGAAGATGGTCCTGTTTTGATAAGTTCGAGTTTTAATGAATATGGTCAAGTCTGAACAGTACAAAAAACGAAATAAACTTTTTCCAGGTCAGGATTAAGAAAAGCGTCCGCAATATTCAGACGCCGTACCGGTCGCCCCAAAAAAGCGCTCGAAATATTCAAAAAATCCGATGAGTTAAATTGATTTTACTATCCGGAACGTACCTTTATTCGGTGGGAATATTTGATAATAGTGAAACTTCAATCATCTTTCTTACTTTTGGTAATAATTTGGTTATTCTGATGCCAAGACCAAAATAGAAGAGAATTTTCAGGTGAGAAAAAAAAAACTCACTGATTTTCGTTGAGTCTGGTTCTAGCGACATGTTGTCGAAGGAGGGCGACGTTTTTGTTCAGCTGATCGATCACAGTTTGTTGTTGCTGGAAATTGGAAAAGTCCATAAATTTAGAAAAAAAAGAAATAAAGTTACCTTCAGAACCATGTTGATCTCCAGAAGCTGGGAATGATGACCACGCAATTTGTCCAAAGCAGCCGGTAAGTCATCGAACGAATTGAGCGTTATTTCGTGAGCCTTAACGATGTCGGCGACTTCGATCATGCCGTTCAATACCGATTCGAGAACCTAAATAACCTATCATAACAAAATTTATTGCGATTTTCTCATTTCTAAGACGGTGGACAAGCCCTAAAATAGTTATACCCCTTCAATAAAACACCAGAAAAAAAAAGCAAATCGAAAGCGCAATGAGAAACAGTGAGTCTATTTTAAACGTAGTTAATCTGAGACTGTTGTAAAAAGCTAGTAATTGTGAAAGGCTCTTTATATACAGACTCCCGCATCACTTTTTCAGATTCCAAGGTTTTGATCAAGGATTTCGGCTTTGAAAACTCCGGAAACTGAAATGTTATCAAGTCAAAGCCCGAAAATTTCTCTAATTTACTGTTGTCTTATCTGCGCAAACTAATAATGTTTTTAAGAAATAACGTCAAAAATACCTTGATGCGCTCGACATACATCCTCGAAAGGTCCCAGAGGTCGTCCCAGAGGACGTTGAGGCGATCGTTGTTAACTCTTTGGGTGGGAGTTGGATTGGGCAGCTGCCGGAAGAGTTCTTTGACGTTGGCGACGTCGCCGTCGAGCGACTGAAGGGCGTCTTCGAACGCCTTGTGGTCGACGATGACGCGTTCGAGCTCGTCTGTCGTACGAGAGACCGGCTTGCCGACGTTGTCGTTCAGCTTGCGCCAAGCTTCTTCCAGCTTTCGGAGGAGTTCATTGACTTTCTGGTCGTACTGACTGGCCCAGTCGGGCTCCGGAGGACGTTGACTGGCGTTGAGGAGATTCCAGAAATGTTCGTTGGTTTTGCGGAGTTCCTCGCGAAGACGAAGTGCGAGTGGATCGTTTGGATCCAGCTCGCTGAGGAGCTTGTTGGCGTCGTCGTTCAGAGCCCGCATGATCGCGTCGCGTTGTTCGGGGTCTATCGCGTTGAAAGTGTCCAGGTCCCAGCCTCTGGAAATCCCGTTCAGTATTGTTCAGAAATGAGTTTAATGAACTTGATCATTTTTCGAATTTCAAACTTTGAAAGACTTTGTGATACGCTAACCGATTTTATTTGAAAATGTAATATTACTTGTCAAAAATAATCATATTCCTCCTGGGAAAAGTTGAAAAAGTTCTAACACATCCAATTTAACCTTCGAGTTTGGCAAACTACTGAGAAAATTGTAGATCTCAAGTTTGGAAGATCACGGCCTTCAAATGCTACAAGCTCTTTTCAACTTTTTAATTTAGATTTTCGAAAAAAAAAAGTGAAAACAGTTTTTGAATGACGAAAACCCAATAAAATGGCCAACTTTGATAAGTTCGAAAAAAATATATGCGGAAAGTAGCACAAAGTAATCAACTAACTGTATGGTTCTCATGGTGTTGAGGACCATGTTGAAGCGAACCATCCGATGTTTTTTGTCCCAAAGCTTTTTCAGCTTTTCGAATTGCTGGAGGAGACGATTGAGGAAAGCGGTCAGTTTTCCATCCGGTGGTGGGATTCGGAAGACCACAGAGGGCACGACTCCTTCGATTCCAGAAAGATCACGGACTGTCCACTTGATCAGGTCCGAGTTGTCGAGAAGAACGACGTCGTCGCCTTAATTTTCGCAGTGAACACAAGTTCCTCTCTAAGTGAAATCTTACCGGCTTTGATAGTGATGGACTTGTCGTTGAAGTCACAGAGTGCAGTCACTGTTATGGGATGAGAAATTCGTTCGCCGCGCTGCCAAAGAGGCGAGATCGTGGCGCAACGATCAGTGAGAGCCATCAAAACGCCGTGGTACTTATTGAGAATCTCCTGCAACTCATCTAAGTTCTTCTTGAAACTTCCCAAAATGAACGTTTTCGCTTTTAACACTCGACCATCACTTGAAATTTAAATCAAATTGTCTGTCTCGATGATTTTTTGGATGACTTTTTTTTGAGAGCTCTACATCTAATGGAAAAAAGTTAAAATAAGCCGGCACCTTGATCTCGTCGAGTTCGCGCAAGAACCTTTCTCCTTCTTCCAGCGAAAAGTCAGTTCGGTTGTAGTTGTTCTCGAGGCGAAGCGACTGTTCTTCCATCCAAGCTTCTGCGTCGGCCGCTTCTTCCAGGAACGACTTCAAATTCAGAGCGTCGCGAAGATGCTCTTCAAGGCACTTGGACAGAGCCAGAAGCCAATCCCATTGGTTTTGCATCGTTCGGAGGTAGACCTAACACATAGTTGAGGGAAAATATTCCGATGGGCTGAAACCTCGATGACGTGCACGGCCGGATGCCCTTGGTTGAGGAGAGCGGCGCCTTGGTTGTGAACGTCGTTGTACTGCTTTTCGCGGAGTTCCATCTCGTGCAGGAGCTGCAAACAACGAATGCGCATTTGTAAATTAATATTGTAGCAGTGCGTTTATGACCTTTAAGGTCTGGTTACTAAATAATTTTGAAGAACATTAGGAGATTCAAAAAACTTTTTTTCCTTCACTTCCTTGGAACAGAAAAAGACGATCATGAACGAAAAAAAGGTAACATACCTGTTTGTAGTAGTTGGTGAGCATGGGCAAGTCGAGCTGCTTGATGTCAGACCAATTTCGGGTAACTTCGATCTCCTCGCGTTCCGACACCCAGACGAGCTCAAGCTGCGCCGCGCGGACGAAGGCGATCAACGAATCCTGAAGGAAGCTTGGAAGGAAATCTTGAAGAGCAGACGTACCAAGTCGAGCATTCGCCCAGCGGAGAGGTCCCGCAGTTGTTGATACTCCGATTCGAGAATCCGGAGCAGTTCGCAATACTCGATAGAGTCTTCCTCGGAGACTTGCATCTGAGAAGAAAAATTTGGGCTTCAAGATTCTGTTTGGAATACCTGTCGAGCGATGCATTCGTTGACATTTTGGCGGAAGTCTTGAATGTCGCGATTGTCGAGCTTGTGCTTTTCAAACATTTGTTCCAAGGTTTCGAGATCTTCCAGGAACTCCATCGACGTCAATTTTTCCTGAATTTTCTCACATTTTTCAGTATAAAATTCCAGGCTCACTCGCTCAGTTTTCGTTCTTCAAACTTTTGCGCCTCCGTACTAATATTATGAAACAGGATTCTTATTCTATCGAAATTATTGCAAACGCATCTTATAAAAAAAAATTCAATCAATTTCAACCTAATTTTTCTACTCTAAAGAGCTAGTGAAGAAGCCCATAATAAGCTTACTTTTGATGACCTCTTGTTTGAAAATCTGCACGAAATTCCGTGGTTGCCCTAACTTCTATACTTTTATTGTTTGTTCAATCAGTCTTTCACTTTAAAATTAAGCTCATTCATTCGAGCTTACTGGCTGCACTTTTTTTTTCCATTTTGGGCTAATTTAAAAAAAAAACATTAACAAGGCTAATATCTTTCTTCTCATCATCTATCAGATAGCTGGAAAATCAAATTTCCTTTCATGTGGTTTTCCTTCTCATTCATTTAATTTTCCACTTTTTAATTATCTTCAAACTCTCGCGCCTAGTAACTGCTAAAGAAGCAAGAAATATTTTTGAGTGAGGCAAGATAATGTTATCAGTAGTAGTGAAAAGCTATCTTGCCTTCCAACAGCTTAAGAAGAGAAGCTTAAAAATGCCTTTATCTATTGAATAATGAGAAAAAGTGCTCACCATTCTGACGCGGACCCATTCGATGCATTCTTCCACACGACTGAACGACGATTGGCGGATGCTGTCAAGTCGCGACTGATTTTCCTGGAAAAAAGGACTCTCAAATACTCTGAAAGTTTCTAACCTTTCTCAGGGTGTCGGTCCTGACACCAAGACGGACAAGAATCTGGTTGGTCAGACGGTCGAGGTAGGTCGTTCTTCGCTGGTGCAATCCGTAGACCCTGCGAAAAAAGCCGTGAACCAGCAAAATAATGAAAAATTACTGAGAGTAGAAATCGTTCGCTTCGGGATGATTGTTGTTCTTGAGTTCGTCGACGTCCTCGAAAAATCCGCTGATTGGGCCTTCCAGTAGATTCAAATCTTCCACGATCTCGCTGACTGTTTTCTCGATAGCTCCAGGTGGTGACGAGTCGATTCTTGATTCGACGTCTTCGATTCCTAAAAAATAAAAAATCAAGCAATAGACGTGAAGTTGACTAACTTTTCAGAATCAGGTCGAGCTTCTCGTTGGTGATGCCGATTCCTCGGGTCAGGCGACTGATCAAGTCGTTCAAGTTTCCCTTAAGTATATTGTTTCAAAAAAAGTTACAGCTAAAAATAGATCTGGACTCAGAAAATAAAAAAAAAGAACTCTCCAGAAACAGGTACATGATAAAAAAAGCTATTTTTAAATTATGGCAGAGCATTTTTTTCAAATCTCTAGAAAAAAAGATAAATTTACAAAACAAAACGAATTCCGGTTTTTGAATCAAACTGTAGGGTTGCCAAAAAAACTTCATTTTTTTCAAAAAAATTTGATAAAAAGCTATTTTTAAATTATGGCAGAGCATTTTTTTCAAATCTCTAGAAAAAAAGATAAATTCGCAAAAACAAAACGAATTCCGGTTTTTGAATCAAACAGTAGGGTTGCCAAAAACTTCATTTTTCAAAAATTTGATCAGCGGATTTTTAACTACCCACATCAATCTGGAAATCTAAAAATACGTTCAACTCGTGGGTTTTTCCGGAAATAAATAGTCTATTAATCACTCAAAAGTTTTATAGTACTTGGAAACAATGCAAAGCTAATTTAAGGTGAAATAATTAATATTTTTTCGAACTGAGTCTATGTACTTTGATTCATATATTGATGGAATCATTTTCAGCTTCCATAGCTTAATTTCCGGCTCACTTTTTGTTCATTTTTTTTATTCCATGCGCTTATTACACAAAAAATTCGTTAAAAACACATTAGTCACATAATTAGTGAGAAAATTGTGAAAAACATACATAAAAAGACAACAATTTTTTCCCTCAGCCTGCGCGAGATGTTAATTCCACGTAACATGAACAAGCACGCACCTCAGTGCGACGGTGGCTCTCCAGGACGTCAAAACGTCGGTCAATGGAGTTGAGCAAATCGTGCCAGGCACGTTGCAACTCGGAAGTCGTCAGATCCTTCGGAACTGAGTAGAACTGTGTCGCGCCGAGTTGCCGCTCAATGTGATCGAAGACTGCGGCGAGCCGATGTCGTTGCTCGTCCCTTGGCGGCAGGTCGTCTTCTCGGAAGCGTTGCAGTTCGTAGATGAGCTCCGTGGCTGAGCCTGCCAACAGACGATCATCTACGAGTCGCGTCGCACGTTCCACCCATTCTCGCCATTCGCGCGCTTCTTCCACATACTGCTCTTGGAGCTGTTGCAACTAAAGAACAGACAGACACTTGAACGAACTGGACATTGTTGAGTACATTATTGATACAGTTAGTTATCACCACGAGAAAGTTAAAGCAGTTCCACTGAAGATAATGATAAGACTTGCAATGAAACTCACAGTTGACATTCCGGGTCGGTGTGGAAGAGCGTTGTAGAGCGACGAGACATAAGTTATCAAACTCTTCTCGTCTGGATGATCTGTGTCGACGTCCTCGGCGTCGAGAAGCCGAGAAACTCCGAATTCGCGTTCCGCTGCCGCGAACGCATTGTCCAATCGTTCGCGGTTCGACACCAACGGGTCACTGATCTGCAAAAAGTCGACCGTCAAATGTTCAATTATATTCCTTTGAATATCGACTTACACTCTATAAACCAGCCAGAAAAACCAAAAAAATTTATAATTTCACATCCTACTTAATATTGAAAAATAACTTATGAAGCAATTTTTCTTTTGTTGGTTTCAAAAATTCCGCCACTCCTTTTTCCGCCTGGTTCCACTACGGAAACTTTTTCAAAGTTTTAATTCAAATTCCGACTGGCTAACCACAGTCTGTCCGCTTTTTCATCTTACTCATGTATGCTTACAAGGGCTCTTGAAAAGGCGCGACGACCGCCGGCTCTCCCAACAAGTGATCCTGCTTTCCGAGCTCTCTACACATGCAACACACACATGGGACTTTTTTTTTCAGAGTCCAGAGCGAATTTAGAGCGATCAGAAATTTGAAAAAAAAATCAACTCAGTTATTTTTTTAAAACTGAGTTGATTTTTTTGAGAGAAAAAAAGAGAACAATTTTTTTCTTCTTTTTTTCTTCCTTATCGCTCACTCAAAAAGATCTAAAATCAAACAAAAACCATAAGATATTTGAAAAACTAGTTTATTTCGCATAAATCTATCAAAAAAGGATAAATTTTTTTCATTTTCCCAAGCGGAAACCTCAGAGTGTCCTCTCTACCCGCCATCTATTCTCGTTTTGCAAAGGTTTGGCGACGTGCCTAGTTCTACGTGCAAGGTCGTCGCGCCCCTCATGCAAAACACGAATTTGCATTATGATGATTGCGGCAAAACGGTACGTATAACAGCACACATTAGTGAACAAAAGGGGCGTCTCTTTTTCGGCTTTCATTGCCATTTCGGAAGATAATTCTATATTGATAATCAATAACGATTCAAAATGAGATTGATATAGTATTTTAAAAAAATGACAAGCAACTATTTTCTTTATAAAATAGAGTTTATTTAAAAAGAGTAAGTTTTAAAGCCGTAATGAGCGTTTTTTTGTTCAAACGTACTATGCTATCCAAGCCGAAAAAGGCGTTCAAAGGAAAAAATTTCTAGAAAAAAAACCGCTAAAAAGATTTTTTTTTTTAATTAAAAATTTCGCCTAGGTCCCATTCACTCAAAATTTTCGGGAAACGCATAAACAACCTAATGAGCAAAGCTTGAAAAACGGACCTTGTTCCAGTCGATGAGATTCGGACGATAGCGGTGGAGGATCGCGTTGAAAGCAAGTCCGTCGCGCCAGGAGCTCGAGAAGTTGGTGACATTGACGCGAGGATAGCCTTCAGTCACCTGAGATCCAAAAGGTTCCGGAACTTTCTGAGCGGAATAATACCTTCCGCGCCCACTGCAGCAACGCGTCGCGCGCTGATGTCGCGTCGCTGCCTTGTAGCACTTCGGAAACCTCAAAATAACCTTTGGTTAAGGGGTGAAGACATTCTGAACATAGATATTCAAGAAAATCATTATCGCCACTGCAAACGGAAACTGTGCAACCATATAAAGGAATGGAGTGGTATTTTTTGCTGATCAAAAAGATGTAAAGGGAAACATTCTGATATTTCTTTTTTTTTCTTGGTACGCTACCCATCTTTTAAAAATGAAGAATATAAGCACCGGGTTCATCTGCGAAACCTAGTAACAGTAAGACAAACCAGACAAATTTTTTCCATTTTCTATTGGGAAAAAAAAAGAAAAAAAATTTAAAATGATGAATAAATTTTTTTTTCTCACACAATCAGAACAAACATTTTTTCTTTCCAGGACAAAAACCGAGTTCAACTGAAATGACTAAGTATTGCGCCTTCAGGATAATATATTTTCGTGACATGAGTCATGTGGAGCTCACCACACTCAAAAATTTGCACAAGCTATCAACTGTAGCCTTTCCACAAAAAAAAAGAATGATGAAAACAATCTCAGAATGCAAACAATTGATGCTTGTCGATAGTACTTATTTTGTGCCTTTTCTTCGTTCGTTTCGGGCCATGTTTGCTCAGGAGTTTATAGTCAATGAAGAATTCTTGGAAACATCAAGAGGCGCAAAGGAAAGACAAAGAAATTGTCCGATCACTTTATCGATCTCCCAGATGGCTTTTGATAGTCCTTTTCGATCTCGTGGTTTTTAGGAAGTTCTAACTGAACGTCGAAAATGGTTCAGTCAGGTTCCTGGTCTGTCGATTCTTTCCTGTTCCAACTGCGCTCCTCACTTTGCACAAACGATTGAGAAGACGCAAAGAAAATGTAACAGGGCGTGGCTTTACTCTTCTCTTTGAATCCCATTCTATTTCGAACTATGACCTTCTCGAGAAAAAATTTACTTCAAACAAAACAATTTCCGGAAAACTTTTTTTATTTATTATTCTATCAAAGAAAGAGAAGAAATATTCATTTTTGCCAGTGTTTAACTGAATTCGGAAATGGGATCGTAAGAAAATGAAAAATCGGTTCTGAAACAGCCTAGTTTTAGTAATTCTTTTTTCCAGAAGTTTTCTTCGTGATTTCAACAGCTTGAGGGCTAGGATAGTTTTTATAATGTGACTCACAACCGGCAAACAACACAATTGCGACCAGCCAGCGCTGCGGCCAAAAAAAGAAATCGAACGCACTTGGATCACTTTTCGTCCGCTCTAGCGCCTTCTTTTGCCTGACGCGATGGATGACCCATTCATAGAAAAGTAAAGCCCGGCAATCATGCAAAAATCATTGAATAGGTTTTTCTAAAGGTTATTGGTGTGGATTTATCACGTTAACTCATTATCTTATTTATCTTTCTGAACAAAAAAAGTTGAAATATCACTTCTTCCAAAGTATCTTCGCAAAAAACCAACTGAAATTTATTTCCTTTCAACTCGAATTCCTATCATTGGGAAAAAAGGAGAAAGAATCCAAGCCCTAGCAAAAAAAGCCTTTTCCATGTACGCCTTCGGACTCACTAGCGCTCCCCACCCATTTCCACCAACCGGCCGACAATACACACGCTCGCCTACGCGCCAGAGAAGTCGACCACACCCTTGCACGTCTTCTCTTCCTTTTCCTACGATCCCAATAACACAAACACAAGGGCATTCTTATTTTCTGCAGAAATTTCATGATTTCTGTACATTTCCTCATAAGAGAATGTAACGAGAAAAAAAAAATATAAGAAGCTCTAAATTATTTTCTATTGATTTTCATTTATGGGAAAGGTTCTGATTTGCTTTATTTAAACTTTAAAGATAGGTTCGTCTAATTAACTCGAGTAGTTAATTTAATAGTTAGATGAAATCAGCGCAATATAATAAAGAAGACGCAATTGGATAGAATGGCGCAGGGTCATATCGCCGGCAACCCTGGCTGATGCGACCACAGGATCAGATAAAATATTATAGGTTACTGAAGATCCAGAAGAAATGTTGGAACATGTCAGAATAGATGGAAAAATCAAGGAGAAAAAGAACTTGAACAAAACAACAAAAAAGAGAAGGAAGAGTCTAAACTTTCCCACGAGAATTTGAAAAAAATGAAAAATAAAAACGTACCTCATCACGTCTGGATGAGCGAGAGCGATCCCTTTCACGCTCGCTTCGTGTCTTCTTGACTCTTTGGACCTTGCGTTCAAAGTGTTCGCGGGTTTCGTAGGACGAACTTTCAGAGAATCCGCCACCACCGGCGTGGTAGGCATTCGCGAGATGCTTGTTGTCGGCAGCGAGAAGCTGTCCGTTCTCGGCTCCGATCCTCGACTGCTGTTGATGGTAGACATTGGCACTTCCTAGTGAGCCGCCGCCATTCCGGTGCTGGTGATGCTCCTCGTAGTACTTGGAATCACCTCCGGATTGGGAAGCTCGCGAGCTTTCATGCTTTCGCTCGGCTTTTTTCGAGTAGGAGCGCAGGACCTTATACATCGTGAGTGTAGTAGCGAATCCAAACAGAAGTAATGAAGCAGTCGCTAGACACGCTGTCGCATGCCAAACGTACGAACCGCAGAAGTCGCACGCGTGGGAATGTCTTGAACCTGGAGGCGGGACCAAATCGTCAACGCTCTCCGCCGCAACCGTAACTGCCCCCTTTGTGACGCTCTCGCACGATTTCCACCAAAGGCTGTGTTCCCTAACCACTCCACATAAGTAACGATTCCATATAACGTAGATTTCATGAGCCCATTCGATAATGAAGCTCAAAAAGGTCGAAGAACTTTCTTCTTGGTCATTACCGAAAAAGGAAATGAGCCATGCGTGGAAACTTTCTTCCGGTGAAGAAGGAGGTTCTTTTTTGTCGATCGGCATTTCCAAACGAAAGAAACAATATCAGAAATTCTGGATCATAGCAGTTATGTCGAATGATTTGTGTGGAAAGGGTCCGCCAAATGCGTTTGTCGAATGGAATATTCGAAGCGACCATAAAAAATTGAATCATTTCGCCATTCAGCCATAAGCAGTATCGATTGTTTTGTGTCTTATCGTCTTTCCCACGGCATCGTAACGTTATCAAAAATAATTCTTTGAAAAAATATCACGAATTCATGAGAGGTGGTTGCATTTAGATGAAGTTCTTTGATCGAGCGGCCTTGTTCATGTTTTTGTTTACATGACTAGTGAATAAATAACATTTTTTGAAAAAAAGCATATTCTTGTTCATGTCTACCAGTATCAGTCGATTTCAGTGCTTTTTTGCTGTCAATTTCCGCTGACCCAAAGAGGCGTTTTTTCTTCTCTCTCTCTCTTGAGATACGCCCCGATTTGGTTTCGTATCACGATGAGATTCGAACGCCACACCCACCGCTGAATTTCGACTTGCCACTCTCTATCTGACGGCGCAATTCAGTAATAGCGTCTACTGATGTGGGTGGTGGTTGTGGCGCTTTGTCATTTGTCATTTTCCGCAAAAAAGAAGGTGTTTCCGATGGTTAACGTTGAATATCATTGTCTCGTTTTCTCTCTCTCTATCTCGCTCTCTTTCCTTACACATAGGCCAGTAATCAGCAAAGGGTTGTGGAAAACGGGTTCTACAGCCAAAACGGCACTGTCTCTAGATATCTCCGAAATAACAGATATTATCGTTGCAATGAATTTCTATCAAATCGATGGCATTGTTTGACAAGCAACAATTCTCGATCAGTAAAATTGGTAATCATTAAAGAACCTTTAAACCAGAAATAAAATATCTCAGAAATACAAAGATTGCTATAAAAAACCATGAATACTCAAGAGGAAATAAGGATGATCCAACAAAAAAAAGAGATCACATTCGGATAGCCTCAAAATCCAACAAGAAAATGTTTCCCTTTTGGTCGACGCAGTGGGCGACTCGACTATCGATGGCCTATCGGTTAATGCAAACAAAAACAAAACGCACTCCACTCCTGTCATCAAAACAAAACAGGAAATGTGCAAATAGCTCACAAATCGCTGGTATACAGAGGTTGCAGTGGCAGTTTTAAGCTTTTCCCTTATTTCTCGAACTTTTTGAGAAGCTCACGAAGAGCTATTTTGTAGCGTAGATGGTCAGATCGGTTGAAATTCAGCTAAGATGAATATTTTGTTTTTTTTTTCGGTTACTACATTTTTGCTGAAAATTGCGGACATTTTTCATAATGAGAAGAATATTTGGTGATGCGTATCAAATTCATTTGCACAATTAATCGATGAAAACTCAAAATCGCATCGCCCAGTTTTGAGCTTACGCATAATAGAACGAGAAGCATAAAAAGCGATTAAAATAGTCCGCCAGTACAGTTTTTTTCTTCTTATCAACCTATCATTAACTTGAAACGAAAAAAAAGAAGATCTGGCAAGACCGATTTCTCATATTTATCTGAGCCAATCTTCAACCAATCCATCACCTACGTTCTAATCCTCTCGTTTGTGAGGATACCAAAAACAGTCGTAATAAATCAGAACTTGAATAGAAAAGTTTTGTGTGGAGGAAAGCAAGAGTTAGAAAGACCTGGATGTTAGTGGAACCACTCGACGACGTCGCAGAAGCCCGCAGCTCTTGCTGAGCCTCGAGCAACATGCGTTGTCTAATCACGGACACCTGGAAGTTCAGGATGATCGTCCAGATGAGGCCAAGCGTCAGTTTTCCGTTTCCTTCTACGATATCTTCCGGTCGGATGTTGACCAGCTTTATCTGCAACGTCTCCTTGAATTAGGAGTTTCAAATAATTTTGAAATGAATTGTTCTATATGTATATAGAAAGTCGTGTGTACGAAAATTCACGCTCCGTGATTGAATGGTAAGTTCTTGATTATCCATAAAACCATATATGGGATTCCGGATATGAAAACACTGAAAAGGCGCTGAAACCGAAAATGATCATACAATTTATTCTCGGATAGACTGATGACCAAAAGAAACAAATTTCTCACATAAACTTTCAAATTAGAACGAATAAACCCACATTTTTCCTTTTCAAGAAATCCAAACAGTATTGCAAGTTCTGTATCTTGTGAAATCGTGTGTATCCGTTCTCCTTTTGCTGCAAGTCTTTTTTCTTCAAAACTTTCAACCCGGTCAACTTACTATTTTTTCTCCCGTGAGCGCTTCGAGTAAAGCAATGAGGCTATATCCATCTCTGAGGTCCAAAAACAAATCTTCGACCTTTCTACCCGTCTGAAAAGTTATTCCAGGTTATAATCTCAGGGAAACAACTGCGAAAAGTGTTTGAAAATTTCTTTCAAAGATGATTGTGAAATAAATTTTTTCGAATACCCAACAGCTATCGTAATAGATGAATTTTTTATTTCTCCGTTTCTTATTCGGCAGTCCACGCAGCATAACGCATGGCGTAACTGGCCTATTTCCGCATATTTACAGAGAGTGTTAGCTAAGAAAATGGACCTGCAGCACCTTTTGTTCCGCCGCCACACAGGGCAAAAGGACTGAAAAGGTGCGATTCCGGTTCGAAGAAAGAGAGTAGAAGAAAGTCAGAACATGCTCAATCCTTTATAGAACTTTTCTTTTAGGAATACTGAGCGAAAGATTAAACTAATCAGATTTCGTGTTCATTCAAAAAATTCCAATAAACCATCCAATGCCCCAATTTTATTTCAGTCTTTCAAAAAGGTAATGATTCCTTTTGAAGTAACTGCTGCAAATATAAACGACCCTCAGAGGATGAAAAACAAAACGAAAATTTCGAAAATCTTTTCGAACTCGCCTAAACTACTTTGAGAGCGGCATAAAGTTTGTATTTCAGTACTTATTCCGAATTCGAAAAATGATCAGCTTTTTTCCGTTAAAGAATAGAAAATGAGAACGAACCAACATTTTTTTCAGTTTGTTCAAATTAAATCCAATTTTTTTCAATTTTTTTCAAAAAAATTTCTTATTCCGAAAACTTGAAAATCTCAGCGTAAAACATTCTTCATCAAACCAAAAAAATTATTTTTACATCAAGAAAACTATTTCAAATTAGTTCGTATGAAACTTTTTTTCAATGTAAATTATCTTAAAAATTTCATTATGCAAAGGGATTTTTTTGAAGCGAATGTTCTCTCAAAATGCATCGGCGTTTTCCGAGATTCAGATTGAAAAAAAGAGATAAGATTTTTTTAGACGAATGAAATACTGCAACAACGGAGAAGAAAAAAAAACCAAAAAATGACAGCGAAACAAAGAAAACTTTTAACATACCTTAGTCAAATGTTTGTTCACCCATTTCGTAAACGTCTTTTTTTGAATGTTGTCCCGCTCATCTGAAATTCATGAATTCAAATTTAGAAGTTTGATCAAAAAATGAATCTATTTTTGCATTCCCTTCTTATTTGTTCCTCTTTCCATAGAACTAATGCCGTGTTCAAAGTAATTTCCGCGAAATGCGAAATTGTCTCTGACCCTCCAAAATTTAGTTATCTTTCTCTTTCTCTGACGGCTATTTTGAATTTCGCGGAATCACTTTGAACACGGCATAAAGAAGTAATTTATATTTTTTTCAAACAGTAGAAAAAAATAAATTTTTGACGAATAACTTTCTACATTAATTCACTTCACTCATAGCAATTTTCTGATGCTTTCGCGATTTTGATGATTCCAATTGAATGTTACATCGACAGCTCGAAGAAACTAATTGCATAAAAATTATTATTTCCTTGATCTCATCAATGTTGCAATGCTTGAAAAAAATATCTTTTTTTCAGCATTGGCACTTGAAGGTTTTCCTTCTCATTGCTAATATGTTGACATTTCAGCAAAACCTCAATATTCACACAAGCATAAAAAACGAAAGATCGTGCTCGACGCCATTATACGATGAACAAATAGTAAAATATGCGTTTTTCATAGCTAGTGAGAAGAAAAAAAAATATCTTGCTTGTAAACGCGATATTTTGTCAAAGAGTCGAAAATTGCGATAACAAAAAAATAATACGATCTCGAAAACTAAAGAATGACGAAAAGCTTGACGTTTCATTTCCTCCGAACCTGCGCTTGGCGACGTCAAGAATGAAACAGAAGCATATAGAATAATGAGAGAAACCAGACGCTATGAAATGATGTCCCAAATCTAATCGGTAGCCTAAGCTCATATTTCGCGAAGCTATCAAATAAAGCCTGCTGAAAGAGCTTTTTGATTTTTAATGTTCCCGCTCTCGGGAAGAGAAGAATATATCACAACTTTGGAGTGAGAAAAAAAAATCAAATTTTGCGACCGCAAGTCCTGATACAATTAAAAAGAGAAAAAAAAACTCACACGAAAAAATAGTTCGAAAAGAATGGAATAGCAAGACAAAAAATGACTAGAAAATAGCAACAAGATAAAAAAAAAGGCAGGAAACGCTATGTTAAGCTGATGATTCACTTCGCGGAAAAATTTTTTGAGTGAAATGGGTTTGAAAAAAATAGAAAAGACCACCATTTTTTTGAAATTGTCATCATAGAACTTGAAAGAAATGGAAGTGAATAAATGCAACAAAAAAAACTTACCGTTATGCTTTTCGCGATTGGTCTCGTAGTGGTTCAGGACTTCCTTTTCAAATGGATCCGAAGAATCAGAAAGAGGAGTGAACCTTTCAATCATCCTGCTCGCATTAAGCTTCAAAAAAGCACATGTGTTGAATATATGGAAAACCGCGCGAGGATTTCAAAAAAAAAAGAAAGCGTGACCCAAATTTTAGAAATACGTGGAGTAATTTGCAGAGGAGGTGCGCGCGTGTTGCTGGTGGGAACGTGTGATGGGCGGCGGAATGGTGCAACTGCGGAGAGGCGGAGATCTCTCGGCTCGGTCCGAAACACCACGTCACCCGCAGAGGACCACGACCATCAGAGCGATACCGACACGACGGTCAAAAGACCGATAGCCTGCTCCACCCCGCGGTCACCAATTCCTATTTTGCTGCCAGCCTCTCTCCCATACCACTGCAGATTTCACTTCTAGAAGGTGTCTATCAAGAAGTCAATGTTATTTCAAAAAATCCTTTGAAAGCGGAATAAACCTAGAATAGTTTTCCTGATTATGCAAAACAGATGACCAGTAATGTTGAAACTAGTTTTTAAAAAATCAGATTTTTGCAAACTCTTGCCATCTTTTGAAAAACTTTGGCAAACTCAAAACATGAATATATTATTTTATTTTTCAAAGGGTGACGGTTCCCAAAAAGATGATGCGCATAATTCAAGTGTTGACCTGATGTCCATTTTAAGATTCCATTCCATCGATTTTAAGATTCCATTCCATCGAAAAAAATAGTAAATGTAATATAACACAGAATGCGTATTTTGAACCTTATTTATTTATTTTTTTGCTAATAATGTCAACTGAATAATTACCAAGACGTTGCGCAAAAAGAAATCTATCAAAAGAAATTCCTGTCTCCAGAATAGACGTGCAATGCAAACCGGACAGATTTTAACAGGGTTTAACAGGCACTTTCTCTAGTCCTTTTCGGTTAAGGAGCTCGAGTTATTTTTTAGTTTTAGGGTCAGGCAATCAAAACCTTATTTTGTTTTTGGTGTAATGTACATACAAAAAAATTGCAAAGCTTTGATATAGGTTTATCGCTTTCTGTGAAATCTTTGCTTCATGAAGCTTCACTTGGGGGTTTACGTCCTAAAATGGCATGATCCAAAAAGTTTTTATGTTTATTAGTATAAAAAAAAGAACGGAATTTACCTACAGATTTTACTCTTTGAGAAGCCCGAGTAATATTTTTTTGAGAAAAGTAGTTCACTAAAACGTTTTTTTTTATCATTTTCCTGATTTCTCTATCGCTAAAAAAAGATGTTCAATGGCGCGTTTGAAGTAATTTAAAAAAAAAATAAAAATGTTGTGTTAATCATTTTCAGTTGCAAAATTTTACTGAATTTTTCACCATACACTTTACTTTTTTTTTAGCTCAGGTGAAAAATCGAATTTACAAGTGAGTTCTCGAAACCATTTATCTATCAACAATTGCTAAACATTCAACTTTACGAGATTAAATGAAAAATGATCAATTCAAAAATTTTCTTTTCATCTTTTCTTTCGGAAAATCCAACAAAAGACTTTCCAGCATTTACACAAGTTGTTCACTTGTTTCACAGCTTTTTTTTCGCGGAAACATGGAGGTGAAGCGCCTGAAAGAGCCAGAAAGAGAAATAAAGCGGACCGGTAGACCTGTGTGCTTTCCGCATTATTTTAGCCTTGCGTGTGCTTCAATCGCGAGTCTGCGGAAGCGCCAGAAACTAACTACGTGAGTAGGTGGTGCAGGGCAAATCGTAACAGAAAAAAGAGGAAAAAGAAGCAAGTAACTGAGAAAATTCTTGAATAGAAAGTAGATTTTCAGATTTCGCATAACAAGTTCAGAAGTGTATTATTTAGGACTTTGAAAATATCTTGAGCGACAATAATGAAAAATTTTCAGAGAAATGAAGTTTTAAAAAAATACAGGGAACTTTGCAGGGAATTCCCCAATTTCCGCAAAAAAGTACGATCTGTACTGTCACACACATGAACGTTGCACTACGGCGTTTTAAGCTAGGTTCATCACAAAACAGCCGTAATTGAAAACCTTAGAACACCCCTATACATCCACAATCTGCACGAAAGTGCTTGAAAAAAAAATGAAAAAAAAAATTATAACTTTTTTTGGACTGACCGCCAATGCTATGCAGTGAGTACTGCGAAAGTCTCTGTTGCGGAGAGATGCGGTCGAGGCTACGATCCACAGAATGGAGGAAAGAGTTTCCGTCGGCTAAAACTCGTCGACCGGGTGTCAGCATCGTTGGCGACGCGACGTCGTCGTCGCCGGAAGTGTAGAAGTTGTCGCTTGTCCGCTGCGAATGCTCGACTTCAACGCTGGTGCGATACTGTCCCGAGGAGACTCGCTTGGCGACGTAGTGGAACGAGTAGGTCGAGGTGGTTGTGGCGGTCGGCGTCCGCGGCGTCACCGGCCTATGTACTTCCTTTGGATGTTTCAATTTGTTCACGGTTTATGGGGTACAAAGGAGCACGGTTCAGAAAAGACAAGGAGTAGGACTTTTTTTCTTATGAATACTCTGATAAATTGTGTAATGTTGTATCCCCGTATATCAAAATGAAATGAGATAGGAGCACGTATTCTGGGGTGACTCATTGCGGTCGCAAAGCGGATTTTAGCGCGAAACGCAATCCTAAACATGCGCATGTTTTGAGAGGTCGAGATGTCAGTGTTTAAAGGTCAGGGAAAAGTTTTGGTGATTAAAATAGAATATTAGTTCTACAAGAAATTTGTTCTCTCCTTTTGAGTTCAAGATGTTACCTTGTTAGAATGTTAATATTTTAGAATCTTGTTTCGGCAATCCCTGGATGAATAACAGCTAGAAAAATGATTTTAGTCATAAAGACACTCCAATTAGCCTTTTGCGCGTGGCTTTTTATGCGTTGCGTGCACTGCGTACAACACATTTTATTTTCCGCAGTTGCGATGGGCGTGGCGTCGATTTGGTGTTGCATGCACCGCACGTCTTTTTAAAACTTATTTTGTTTTTTTATTTGTGATAGGTCTTTAATCAATTTTTCTAATGTTATTGAGATTTTTGTCGGATAAATAACGATATAATTGTTTTTTTCCACTTTTTTTCTTCGCTCAGTTTGTATTTTCGCTTCCTGCCAAGAGCCGTGTTGCGACAGAATTAGTCACCGTTCATCGCTTATCAGATTGTGAAAAATTGGTTACAAATAAAAGAAAAATATCATAAATGAAGCTTGTAAATTTTTTCAGCGCCTTTATTTAAAATTAGAGCCTAATGCCGTGTTCAAAGTGACTGCGCTAAAAAATCCAAAATACCCGTCATAGAAAGGAAAAGATAACTAAATTTTGGATAGTCAGAGACCATTTTGCCTTTCGCGGAAATTACTTTGAACACGGCATAAGAAATGTTACACGCTTTTTATTTCGATAATATGAAAAAAAAATTTTTGAACGTTAAACGGTTGGATGAAAGAGGTGAAAGGGCTTGGGAGAATTGCGCTAACGATCTTTTGGGTGATTGGAAATTGCGTGAGAAAACGAGGGTTTTGATCAGGTATACCTGTTGAATGGGTCTGCAGACGACATTATGTGGGAAGTGACGAGTTGGGAGTCTTCAATGAAGTTCCACGTACTCGAGCGGATCTCCTCGTAATCGTCCATGTCGCAGTAAAACGGAATGAATGAGGAGGAAAAAGCTGGGTTCTGGCCGAGTTGCAAGTGAGCGAGCGCCGTAGCACATAGATAGCCAGCTCCGGAGTGTTGGGTATGCAGACCTTATCAGGTTTCAAACCGCTCGAACAACACAAAAAATGCTTTGATAGAGTACAAATGAGGCGCTGACGTGCTTTTGAAGCGGAAGAAGTGTTCTTTTTTTAATTATGGGCGGGGTTGCATAGCGTTAAAATGAAATGATTATCGAAGTAATCAAAAAAAGAATTGAGGGATGAGAATTGAACAAAACTAGAAGATATCTTGCAAGAATGAAGGAAGTCTCGACTTTACTTTCCTAACGAGCAACTGACCAGCACAAAACGCCACCTGTGTGCTTTCGAGCTTATAAATCGTAGTTTTTCGATACTGGTTGCTACATTGAGCAGCAAGTTTTCTCCATTTAAATTTTAAATAAGAAAGAAAAAACATCATTTTCGGCTCGCACGAAAAGATAATTGGCAACGAGATTAAGCGATGAGGTCTGAAGAAACTGAAAAGATAAAAGTTTTTGTGAAAGACTTTGCGGTCCGCTGAAAAAGCAGCTCTCAAAGTTTGCGCAATGTGTTCGACAAGCGTATTTTTCTCGACAAGTGCCTCTTGACGCTTCTTTTTTTAGGTTTGCGTTTTGAATAATTATCCAATTGACTTATATCGATTCGTAGAAGTGCTCAAAATGGTTGAGCAATGATTTTGAAAGAACTTTCGAAAAAAAATTTCCATGGGTTGACGCGCAGCCGTTTCACGGTTTCAATTCGACGGCGACAGAAATCAACTTCCAGTAGAAAAGAAAATTACTGTGCATGCACGTGGCACGTGCGAGAGCGCCGCGGTGCATGCACACGACACACTACACTTTACGGAAAAAGTATAGGCGGGGCGCCGCCTAAAAATGGCGTGAGAGTTTTCCTTTTATCATATCGAAAAAAAAGTTCTGAACTTTTAGCAATTGAAATCAGCCACGATGTGTTCAATAGAGTGAACAGGGAATGACAAAAAAGGAACCAATAATAGGAGGTGTGATTGGGATGATTAGAACCAAAAATGGATTTTTGGACATAGGTATAGTCAATGTTTCCCGACTTGAAAGGCAAGGGAGGCGGGGCAGGGAGCGGGACGCGTAGCGTGTGCGTTCGCGGTTCTTGGCACGTGTTCAATTTAACCGCTATCTACTCTTTGAAAAGCCCGTTTTTCGCTTTTTTTTCATTCTTTTTTCAATTATTTATTGATTATGTTCATGTGTGCGTCAAAAAAATAGCAGAAAACATTGAAAAAAAGAGCGGTTGCCGAGCTTTTTTTAAATAGTCGGCGACAATTGAATTGAACACGTGCCAAGAACCGCGTACGCACACGCTACGTGTCCCGCCCCTTGCCCGCCTCCTTCGCCTTTCAAGTCGGGAAACATTGACTATAGATAATTTAATTGTAATAGAGTAAGTCCAAATTGAATCATTTCTTGATGTGAGAAATTTTGGTTGAATTGAGTCGATAGTAATTTTTATGAGGCTTTAAATTACTCTATTCTTTTTTATTACGCTTTCTCGGGCTTTGGTGAAGCGAAACGGAATTGCTCCGGAGGTTTCGGATCAGTTCTAGGGATCACTTAAGAGTGCTGACGTTACTAAATTGATCACCAGAAATGCCCCGACACGTCCGATTCGCGTTCGTTTCGCGTTACCAATGTCCGAGTCATCAGAGTTTTCTCGTTATTATTCATTTTTGATACAGAGTTGAAGCCATAAATATACAAGTTTATGAAATATTTTCTTTCCAAATCCGTACAGGTTCAAGCTCCAATCCATGTAAAGCCTCCTTTGAGCTTCACTCAAAGAAAACTCTTTCCAATTGGAGCTAATAACATCCTAACTTTTTCTTCGAATAAACTTCCCTTAGAAACTGACCTTGTAGCCACGCGACCTCTCGTTCTTTCTGTTCCAACCGTCGAAGTGCGACCGGTTGCGTGCACATCCATGTTTCCAGCTGTTCGCGTTTCCTAGAAAAATTTCTAATCAGTTAAGAATTAGAAGTAAACGATTGAGAACTTTTTTTCGTCGTCGTCGAATATTTGCGTTTCGGAGTGGTATCGGTACTCGATACGGCGTTCAGAGGAACCGACTCTGAACTGCAAGGTCGAAATTGAAGTTCCTTGATGGCGGTCGCCTACTTGTAGTCGTAGGAGATGAGGGGCGGCTGGCTGCTGCTGTGGCTGCCCCTCGGCCGAACCACCGATCTGCCGGAGACGTCGTTGAGTCGCGCCCCCATCGAGCCCGTACTAAACCACTCAGTAAAAGTTATTTTTTTAAACGACTTACTTCTTTTTATATATATTTTATATTTATTTTTATACAAGAAAGTCAATTTTTCATGTATAGCCTGTGTACGACGACTTGGAATGTGACCAATTTGACCCTTTTTTTCTTTTATTAAGGTACTCTACTTTCATGTGCTCCCACAGCAATAACAATCAACTGAAAGCGTGACCTAGATTCGAAAGACGCTTCGCGAACGCACGCAGCGGAACAGCGGAATGTCGTTCAAAGAAATTTCAAGTCATGACACACAGACTATAACGAAATTGAGCCTACATATGGAAAAGAAACATGGCGAAGTTTCGCTCATCATGCCAGAAACTAGAGCCTTGAGACTGCTTTTTCAAAAACTGCAAGTTCAAGCTCACAAAGTCTTCATGTTGTAATCAGCTATTCCTTACACATTAAATACCTTCAAATTAAAATTTATGACCAAAGAAGGTTGACGAAACTCTTGATGAAAACTACTAGTCTGTGTTCCATGACTTGAAATTTCACGGAACGACATTCCGCTGTTCCGCTGCGTGCGTTCGTGAAGCGTCTTTCGAATCTATGTCACGCTTTGAATTGATTGTTATTGCTGTGGGAGCACATGAGAGTATATAACCTTGAACAAAAAAAAAAAATTAAAAGTGCGACCAAGGTTCGCAAAGGCGCGCAGCGGCACAGCGGAATGTCGTTCCGTGAAATTCCAAGTCGTGGTACACAGGCTATACATAAAGAAGAAAGCAAACTTTTTTTTAGAATTTTATAATAAGATAGAAAAATCAAATCAGAAAAATCGGTAAGGATAAAGTTGAATGAAAAGCCGCTCGTATGAAGCTCGAGGTCAAGTTCCCATGATGCACTTGAGCGATCTCGGAACGCTTCTTCCATTTCCCACTTCCGCAAGTGTCAGCAATGACTTGCTGGCTTCAACCAACTAACACGATGTGCGACGTCTCCTTCTTTCCGCGTGGCACAGAAAGAGAATTCGGAAACTGTGACGGCGTTTTCGCTTCCTCTTGTACTGTTCGTATCGAGGACGCAGCCAGACGAGAAGTTTCTGGTGGATCGGGCAGCTTTGATCACCTGAACGTCTCCTGATTTCTATTTCCAGTCTGGCTTCAAGTGATTCTTTGAGATACAAAAGGAGACTACCATCTAGAGGTTAACTGACATCGTTGTTTTCGATTTTGTCGGAATGGCGTCGTTTGGAGTCTCGGAAGTTGTGAGTCATGACATCCTGTGAGACGCTGCGACTCGGTAGGTAGACTTCGTGTTCTTCGAGTCTGAAATTATGTGTTTAATAATAAATCAATAGTTTATTCGGTGTTCTAGTTATAGGTATAATCGACTAGGCGGTGAACAAGAACTTTTGAAGCCATATCGAACAACCGCCTTTGGCGAACTAGAATACGAATCGTGTAGTTGATCAAGTTGGAAGCACGGTTCTTTGATTCGTTCTTCTGCACTTAGTTCATCAAATTGCGCCTTCTCAGAATGTAGTCGATGGAGCCCGGAGACCGTGCTCTAGATGGAAGCCTCGAAACGACCACTTCGAGTGAAGATTTTACACGGTCAGTTCGAAAAAAACCTTCTGCGTAGTTTGGCACTCGAAGGGGCACAGCATTTGGCGCCCATATTTGTCCGTCAGTCGCCTTATGCCATACAAGATCGTGCTCGTTTTTGGACTGAACTCAAAAACGGCAGCGCTTGCGTTCTTTCGCGGTCGTCGTCGTTGACTTCAAAGAAGTTAGTTTCCACAATCAGTACAAACCCAGACGAAAAAGACGATAAGAATTCGAATATTTTAAACTCGTAACTACTTAGGAATTTCAGAGTGGTCCTTATAGGGGTTTAGGGTGTGAACACTTAGCCCCTAAAGCTTGAATGATCCCTATAAGGGTCTTTCAATTTTATTCAAAAAAAAAAACGCTTATTTGTTTAGTCCTTCTCATAGAGTTCATAAAATTATCGAATAGCATGCCCCTATGGGGGCCACAAATTAAATCCCCTATAGGGGCAACATATGCAAGCTTTAGTGGCCCTTATAGGGTTTGGTAAAGTGGACAATATAGGGAACCTTAGAAGGGCCCCTAAAGTTGCCCCTATAGGGTCCACTCTGGAGTTCCTAAGTAGGTCAAAAATTATAGTAGAGAACTAAAACCTTATCGAAAAATCAAGAGAAAAAGCAGATCATTTTTTAATTGCGAAATAGAGCAATAACATATATTTCAAGACCCAAATAGTTTTCAAAAGTAGCAATGGAACGATTATTTAATTTTTTGATCGGCACGTATTTTTTCTGCAAGGATGGGAAAACAAAAAGAGAACTTGGAGATTGAGGATAAGATAGCCGGGAGAAAAATAAATGAGCGATTCCTGTCCGGATGTTTCGCTGCAAATCATCCTTTCATCAAGACGCTCCACCCGACTTGTACAAACAATCTGTTCCTACGTTCCACTATTGTATCACTTTCGTTGTCTACTAATACGCATTTGCTCAACTGCTAGGACGATTAGTCCAATAAAAAACCAAGATTCCTTTAACGATTAGAACATCGACTTTTTGTCAACACTAAGAAGAGGATTTTGGACAGTTGAATTAATAAATGAGTATGAATAAAAAGAATATTGCACAAAAGGTGCTCACAATCTATGAAGGAAACGAAAAAACAAGACATTCGAAGCGCTAAAAAAATTTAAAAAAAAAGAAAATCATAAAAATGTTTTTGATAGGCTTTTCATGTAGCAGGTTTTTTTTCCGTATCTGTTCTGTTTCAGTGCTCACCTTGCTTCTGATAGGACCAAAACAGAAATTCCCTTAAAAAATGCTATATGAATCGTTCAACTTTTCTGAAACTAAAATACAAAGTAAGTCTGGTTAAAATTAAAACTAAAACATGGAACCTTGAAAATAAGTAGTAGCGAAGAATACAAGCGTAGAATATACAAGAAACATCCCATATGATAAAAAATACCATGCAGAAGTCATATTTCACGAGCTTTCAGAGAAAAAGTTGTGCAACCTAGAGGTCAAGCCGCGAAGTGAGAGCCGGATCAATGAGTTATGTCCAGCGGACGGCTGGCAGCTGGCAGTTTCTCTACCAGATTTTTTTTCGCAGCTGCCTTCACAGACACCTTGCCAGATGAGATGTGAACTCAACTCTTAGAGCTTCGAGTCGCACTCATAAAGTCGGTAATAGCTCGGTTGGTATTTGTTCCTCATCATACTTGAACTTTGCCAACGATTTTTTTCGAGAAAATTTTTCGATTTCTCGAAACTCTTAGGTTTGCATAATACATTCAGAACGACCGAAAACATAAAAATATCTACAAATGAAAAATCGGACCATGGGTTTACTATTTCTGTTGAAGCTCTAAGAAATGTTATAGTAACCCCTATAAGGGTTGAAGGGATAAACAGCCCCTATAGATAGGTACCGCAAGCCATTTCTTCGAACCGATTCAAAAAATATGTTTTTCACACTGTTCGATAGAGGAGACTGTCAGTTTTCATAATCCGTTTAGTTTTTGAAAAAAGGTTCACTAAGAAAAAAGTTATGGCCAAAAAACGAGCGCGCGCGGCGTTCAACTGGAGGTAAAATCTCACGGTTTACCCGCTGCCGCACGCTTTCTTTTTAAATGTTTTTGCGCATTTCTGGACCGTTTTTTTAAATCGGTTTTTTTGTTCTGAGAAGTTGTCAGAACTGAGCTTAACGTTTTGGTATGAATCTTTTGTATAACTATCATAAGAATTTTTTTGATAAAATATCAAAAAAACTACTTAGAAAAAAAGGTCAGAAAGAATTTTTCTGCTTATTTTTTTCTTTTTTTCTAATCAGAAAAAAATTATTATCATTTAATTTGGAAAAAAAGAAAAAAATGAAAAAAATAGTTTTTATTTCAAAATAAAAACAGGAAAAAAAGTGCAATTTGACTCCGAAAAAAACGGCTCCTGCGACATTTAAAAAGTGCGCATCAGTGTGTTTGACGCAAACACTGCTACGGACACTTGCACGAAATCTTCCGAAATTTCAAAAATTGCCATTTTTTTCGAGGTTTTTCAAAGCCGTTATTTTTTTCGCGTCGATCGATTTTTTTCATAATTTTTTTCATTGATAGAGTTTTTGAACGCTTAATAACCTGATCAAAAAGTATAGACGCGATCCTATTCTCTCATGCGACAACGAGGCAGGCGAAAAAAAGGAGGTTTTGGTAAAATTCAAATATAATTTAATTCGCTGTCCCAATAATTATTTTTCATTCTGAATTTTTTTATTTTTTTGAACACATTGTGAGGTTTTAAATCAAATAAAAAAAGTATACCATGTCGCTGAAATTTTTTTCGCATTTCAGCTTCAAAGTTTGGTGTCACTTTACAAGCTTTTAATATTTTTTTCGCGTCGGTAGATTTTTTTCATTTTCACTCAAAAAAATAAAGAAAGTGTTAATGTATAACATACTTAAAATTTAGAAGCGTTCCTCACTTGGTTTTTCTGAAACGCGACGATTTTTGTGAAACTTGTCAGTTTTTTTCGTGTTAAATCTTACTTTTTTTCGCTTATTTTTTTGAAAAAAATACATAGTTTTTAAAAAAATATTCAGTCTTGTAGAGCGTTGTCGATTACATAGATTAACAGAAACAGTTTATTTTTTTAAAGTTGAACTTTAGCTAGTATAAACGCCTCAAAACCGTTTCTGCAACAAAAAAATCGTCATTTTGGTGGCGTGAAGGGGAGGGGCTTTGCGCTCCCTAGCCTATAGAGGCCGAAAAAGCGGTCCCTATAGGGCTTCAGGGTCTGACCCAAGCCCCTAAAGCTTAGGTGATACCTATAAAGGTCTTTCAGCTTTATCCGAAAAACTTTATGGTCCGATTTTTCCTTTTTTTTTCATTTCCCATGGTCCGATTTTTCATTTAAAGACACTTTAGCATGTCCCCTATAGGGGTCACTAACTGAAACCACTATAGGGGTTGATAAAGTTCAACTTCCAAGGGCCCCTAAGGTTGCCCCTATAGGGATTACTCTGGAGCTCCTAAGGTGGATGTTACTTTTTTCTCCAAAGAAATCCTCAAACCTAAACTCAAATGGCGCAGAACAAGTCTGCGCCTAATCAGAAGTAGCACCAAGAATTACAAGAGCTTCATTTTTAGGAAACTCAGAAAATTACAAACCGTGGAAAAGAGGAGATGGTCTCGATTCTCTGACGAACGCCATGAAGAATTTCTGGACCACGAGTTCGGGCCACTTCCACATTCGCAGGCGCCTCCCGACTCGAAGGCTGAACAGACTCCCTTGAATTTCTCATTTTGATACAGGCAAACATACGATTTGCAAGCTGGCCTGTGCAGGTGACGAGCCCCAGAAGTGGACATCGACTGTCTTGAAGGCGAAAGACCGTGGCATTTCAGCTCATGGATAGATCCATTTACCGGGGTTGATTCTAACTAGCAGGAACAATGTGGGGCGGGCTTCTGTAAAATGAAGACTGGAAAGTCTCTGGGTTTTATTATAACGCAAAGCTTCAAAAAAAGAAGAACGTAACTTGAAAAAAGAAAAAGAAAATGCAAGTCGCAGAAACTTTCATAGTTAAACCAAGGACCAAAATAGGAAATTAGGAGGCGCCGATTTTTGAAATATTTGTGGAAGAGCTTTTTTTTGAAAAGTTACCGATTTTGACTATAGCTGATTCACGACTCGCTTAAACCATCGAAAAAGGGTCCCGACACGATAATGCACGAGACAGCTCCTGGCTCTTGGAGAGCGCAGACAGGCCACGCCTCCTTAGCGACCTAAGCTAGCCGTGAAAATCAGCTAAACCGCCTGAGAAGGAAAGCTTCGGAGAAACGAACCAGCAATTTTTATGAGTAAGATTACTTTCTAATTTACTAGAAGTTTAAGTTTTCTATTCTCCAAATTTTTTTTCTTGACCATGAAATTTAATCCTTTTTCCTTTTCTAACTAGCCGATCTCAACCAAAAATAAAATACTCGAAACTTATAACGAACACTTTTTAGCGACCTACCGGGAAGTCCGATTTCAACTTTACGTTTTGGAATTGTTCAAAAATCAACTGAGTACGTCTTGATGGTAAAGCCTCAAAATCTTCATTTTTCGAAAAAACATTTCAGAGTCAAAGAAATCCATCAGAATCTATTAAATGAGCCATTGGAAAAACTTTTTGTCTTGAAAACTGGGTAGTTGGGTAGGTTCTTCCGGGATCCTTATTTGCTTTCATTAACAAGGATTTTTGGCCAAATGAATAAAAAAACCCTAATTAATACTTTGTAAAACGACCTTTCTTACTTCTCCCCCTTGTGCAAAAAAAAATTATTTTTATTGTTCTCAAAAAAAATATTTTTGACAACATGAACTCTATATTTGGTGGACGTATGAGCGTTTTGACCGGTCGGCCAAATTCAGCAGAGCGTGAGTTCTTTTGTGGCGAGGCTACGTTGTCTCTCGCGTACTTTCCAACAACTTTTGGGCTTTTTTTTGGATCCTGAGTAACTTTTCGCTTAGAACCACATAACTAGGAATTTCAACACTCTTTGATGTACCAGAAGAAGAATCGGAAAGTCTCAACCTGCAAAAATTCCTAGTTTTCGAGAAATAATGGCTCAAAGCCTTAAAATGACCTATTTTAACGGATTTTCAGTATTTTCATTGACTTTAAGGTGTCCTCTCTCAAAAACGTGGGTTGTTTTAATTTTTTCAGGAACTTTATCTGGTGCATTAAAAAGTTTTTTGACCAATTTTCAAGATATTCCCAACCGCAAAGAAAAATGACCTCCCTTGTGAGATAAAAAAATTAAGATTAAAAATTTCTCTAAAAAGAAAACTGTATGAAGAACGTCATGGGCTACGCAAAAGAATAAACACAAAAAAAGACAAAAAAGGGAAGATGTTTTGAGAAAAGAAAAAAGCAAGGTAAACAAAGCCGGCCCTACCCAGTGACGGTCTCAAAATTGGGCCGCGAGGCATGGCGTCGCCGAAAATCGCCCACCAACTGGTTATTAATATTGGCGAACCTCGTTTCGAAAACTCGCGCATAAGTACGCAAGGCCCTGACCGCGCCGCGTAGAACAGCTGACGCCAGTTCGCAGCTTTTAAACTAAGTTCATACGGGCTCCATGCGGCTCACGTAGTTTTCCATTCATGGCACTTTTTGTCTTTATAGTTTTGAAAAACAAACTCTCTGCTTTTTTCTTCAAATAAGTCGTCTACATTTGAACCGTCCAGGATAATTTCTCGTTTTTTTCCGTCTATTCAAAAGAGAATAGTTTAATGACACCGTCCGGGTAATTTTATCGAATAGGACGATTTGAAACCACTTCTTCAAAAGGTAATATTCAAAATAATATGTGTTTCTTCATAATCGGTTGAACTTTTCGAGATGTTTTAGCAGAACAGGGAAAGGTATGACCACATTCAGAAAAGTATGATAATTATACCTCATACCTCCTTTATTTGAAAAGGGTTGATCTATCTGATTCCCTTGTTTCTCACTGTTTTAAGCTGTTTATTGCATCTTCAATGTAAGAATACATGTGCAATCGACTTTCATTGAGTTAACTGTGCTTACAAGGCGGCAGGAGCTGTGGCTTAGGCAAAGAAGCTTCGAATTTCGCTCGTAGAACATCAGGTAAAAGAAAGGCCGTAGGAAGAAGTACAACGCCGGCTTTCCAAAGGCCGATGGCAAAGATTGAGCTTTTTCGCTGCATGCAGCTCCCAATTTGACCTACCCCGGAGGGATGAAAGGCTTGGTCGACCTCGGGGGGACTCGAACCTACGACCTCGGGACGTTAGAAATGAGTCTTTACCAGCTGAGCTATGCCGCCCAGTTTCTCACTGATGATGTCATTATCAACTTCAAAACAGCCTGTAAACCCGACAACATCACTGATGGAAAAAAAGCTAAAAGTAATACTTTTTCAAATATTGGGGGTAATGGCTACGAAGGATTCGTATAATGGTTCGATCAGAACTTTGTTTGATTTATTTTTATTATTTTTTAATAAGGCATTCAATTACATTTCAAACTTTCACTGGCCTTGCTTCAGAGAATTTTTTTGAAAAACTGTTTGAGAAAAAGTTTAGGAGAACCTGAACCTAAATAACCAAGCCGCGCTGTAACAGGATTAGAAACTTAGGAAACAAAAAGGAAAACAAAAAGGATTTTAAAGAAAGGTTAAAAAAGAATTTTCCAGTGCAGCTGCGAACACGCGCGCTGCACGATCCCTCAAGGGGTGAACCAAGGGACGAGGAAGCGCCCACGGCGCGGCGGTCAAAATTAATAGTTTTTGATGATCTTTTGTTTAAATATTTTGTTTCTTCGTAGAAAAAGAGCGGGAAACGAACGGAAAGGTTTTTAGGGAAGAGTTCCCTCAGTCGCAACTTTTGTTTTGTTGCTTGACTGGCAAACTCGTTCAATGTAGAGTTTTGGTTGAGCTGAGCTCCCTTGGTTTCCCGCTCTCCCTTTTTATTCCATGTTTGGACAGGATCTCATTTTTCGTTCATTTTGAACACTAGGATTTTACTTATCTGTTTTTGGATTGAGATTTGGATTTAGTTTTCATTGGGATTTACCCACGTTGGCCGAGGACAGTTTCTTTCTTAGATGGAAGGAGTCCCCAGGGTTTAATTCTAATCGTTAGCTAATTAGCACTCAGGATATCAGGACTAGGAATCTTTTGAAAGGTAGTCACAATCTAGGCCAGGTTAAGCTAGGGATCTCTTCGAAAACTAGGAACACGTGTTTTTTTCCCATTTTTCTGGTGTATGGGTTTTTTTTTGTACACGTGTGATTTGTACCTCCCCTCCTTGCTGTATTTCCGGTTTTTTTCGTGTAATAACCAGATTATAAAGATTTTGTATATGAAGCGTTTGTTTGATGATGATGAACCAAAGTTATCTGGGATCAACGCCATCTACCCCGGGGTTGTCTCGCTTGGAATCTGTCCTTTTAGGGGAGACTCCGGGGCCTGTGGGCGAGAGCGCTTCAAGATTTCAAGATTTTCAAACACTTTTATTAGAAATTCTTTTCATATGACATGTTCAAAAGAATCATTGAGTTTTCATAAGGTTTAAAAATAGACGGCGCGATAGGAGTCGTCCATATTTTTGTGCCGGACGGCGCGCTTCTCACACTTTCCGCCGCCGACGCAGTGGTATCCCTGGGGGCAGCAAGTGTCCGCACAGCACACCGCCTGTAATCTCAAGCATTCCTTCGGAAATAATCAGAAGTCAACGTTGTTCAGCGGGCAGCACATGCTCTGGAGTCGACCCAGACGCTCCACAGTGCAGCAAGTGGTCTTCGCCGGACACGTCTTCTGGTAGCCACACGCTATCGGCTTGAGTTCCTCCGGAAGGAGCTCGTAAGATTCATCTCTTTCGACCTGTAATTATTATATCATCTCTTTAAGAAAAACTTTTCAAACGACCTCTTCGCTGTTGGATTCATGGTCATAGCTCATGAACTCGATCGCCGGCTTCTTCTTGATCGGAGTCGACGGAAACTTCTTGTGCGCTCGGCGCCTTTCTCCAATCTGCAGAACTATTCATAGCCTTACCCAAGTGTTAAAACGAAGAAAAAGATTTTTCCACAGAAGCCATATATTTTAAAAGTCAGTGTTTGACTATCCCGGCAAAAGCCGCGACGCATACGCAACGCGTCACCCATGCTAATCTACCTATCTCACCTTCCCAGTCTGGGAGGCTTGACTACCTTATCCTATTGCAGAAAAAAGTACGAACAATGAAATTCGAGAAAGAAAAACCGGAATTCCGAAGAAAAATGACGCTCAATGAATTTAGCTTCAACCAGCAGTTTTAAAATAATGTTACTGAAAGCTCTTTTTGTTGTTTTTTATTGAAAAATGATCAATTCTGTAGAATTTCCGTCAAATATAGGCGCCGAACGAAACTTTCAATATAAAAACTATTTTGATTTTTAACTTTTTTTTTTGAAAAATACAAGATTTTTCTTAAAACATGAGATCGAAAAGCTGATCCTGGTTTTATTGTCAAGAAAAAATAAACTGACAGAAGATTCCAGACAGAACTGCCCATTGCAGCGGAAGCCTTTCGGACAGCAGTGAAGATGGTCGGCGCAGCAGACGGCCTCCGGCGCCGGACAGCATCCGTAGGTGCCCTGCTCCAGCATGCAACACGTCGTTTCTCAAAAATTATTTTCAAAGTTCAAAAAAAGGTTCTTTGTTTTCTTTGAATTTTTTCATCGTCCGACTCTCTCGGGCAAAGTCGGAATGGTGGATAATGGCTGCTAATAGGGAAAGGCTCAAAAAGGGCCGCAGAAAGGTGGCAAAAAGAGTCCTTTCATCGAGTCTTTTATTTTTTTTTCCAAAATTTTAAAGGCTCAAGAAATGGTGGAAAACGGGAGAAGCAGCAAAAATGGTGCATATAGTCTGTTCAGATTTTTAATGTCAAGTGCAATGACGTCATTGAAAAACACTCTGTGGATGGCTCGCTCTCTGATTGGTTTATCGCACCATTAGGGGCGGAGCTTGAGCGACGACTTGACATTCAAAATCTGAACAGACTATAAGAGCATATGAAATGACACATAAAGTCTTGGGATTGGGATTTAAAAAAATATTTTTGATTATCAGTGAAATAAAAAAACAGAAAGATGAGAAAACTTACTCTCTGGGCATTTGCTCTCGTGGTCCGGGCACAAAACTTCATTGTGTTCATTTTTGGTTTGTCTTCTGGTTGCTGGCCGTTTCTTTGAAATTGGAAAAACGTTTCCCTGAAATCTGGGATATAAAATATGTTCATTACTGATTGAATTATTTACATTGCGCAAACGATACTTTTCAATAAAGTCAATCTCCACCTATCCAGAAGAGCCCTAAATTCTTATTTTTGAAGCCGTTTGGACTTTTCCCGTGAGCACAGCGACATTCTAAACTCAAGTCTGAGTTGCGGCTTTGCCTAATATTTAGACTCTAGTCAATTCAAGATTTCGAATTCACACGTTTCATAGAATACTCGATAGGCTTTCAAAAATATCTCCCAACAGAAAACGAACGGATGATTGCAAACAACGGGCTTCTTCGATGTCGCAGGTCGTTCCTCGCGGACAGCAATGAAGGTGGTCCGAGCAGCAAACTGCGTTTTCAATAGGGCAACATCCCCAGGTGTCGTCCTGAACAACGCTGCAGTAATGGCCAGCATCAAGGATAGCTGGCTAGTCAGACAGAAAAAGGACGTTGGCGGTACATTGACAACCTCACAAAGACGAATTTTTTTTGACCACTTTTTTTTTCTCTCGAACTTAAAAGTATAGCCTGTGTACCACGATTTGGAATTTCACCGAACGACATTCCGCTGTTCCGCTGCGCGCCTTTGCGAACCTTGGTCGCGCTTTTAGTTTTTTTTTTCTTTTATTAAAGTACTCTACTTTCCTGTGCTCCCACAACAATGACAATCAATTGAAAGCGTGAATTAGATTTAAAAACGCTTCGCGAACGCACGCAGCAGAACAGCGGAATGTCGTTCGGTGAAATTTCGAGTCTTGGCAAACAGACTATAGTGCTCTGGCTTTTTTCAAGAATTTCACAACCGCAAAGTAAAATGACCTTCCTAATTCACTACTAAAGTTCTCCCAGCAACAAAAGAAATGAAATCTCACAAAACTATACAAACTGATCTGAAGATATGATTTTTCCTTAATTTTACGATGACGAAAACTGAAGATTTGATCGAATAAAGTGTAAAACAGACGCATTAAACTTGACTATTGATGAAACAAACTCTGATTCTGCAGCACGTTTCCCCATCTTCACAAGTTGTGTCCGTGTCGCACTCGTGATTGCATGTCTGCGAGAAATTCTGAATGAAAAGAGAAAAAATTGAGCTTACCACGACGACAAAAAGAGCGAACACGACGAGGTAACCCCGCATGGCGACACAACTGGCCCTATCGCTTGATAGCATTCTCGATAAGATAACGAAGCTCACAAAAACAAGATAACTTTCGGAGAGTGTTTTCTTTCAAATCCGAGTTCAACTGCAACATAGGCAAAGTCGGAAAGGGTTGAAAAAGGCTCCACAGAAATGTTCCTTTTAGGGAGTGAAGGCTCCCTTTTTTCTGTCTTTTTGCGTCATTTCATCAGCCTTTATGTGCCAAGTTTGCTACCTCTCAGATTTGGAAAAGTTGTGAATTGTTCTTAAGATTATTAAAATTATAAAACTCACGCTACCCCTTCAATATTTATGCTTCATCTTAAAATTTCAACTCTCATTTAACTAGTCTATAAACGTGTCGTTTTTGCTCATTTCTATCAATCGCATTTTGGATACGAGTCAAACTCAATGTAACTCTGGTGAACTCATTTTTTCAAACTTTTCCAAGATAAAGCTTTCAGAAAAAATGTGTATTTCGAAGCTGAGGAACAAGAGAAATGACAGTGGAAGGATTATGGTTTCGAGCGATCAATTTCAAATTGCTAAACAAACTAGTTTGGTTGGTGGAAAACGAGGTTTCATTCAGCACTCATAATTCCAGAAAGAAAAGAAAACTGAAAGCGATAAGGACACTGGGCGAAACAATGGTTCCAAGAAGGCCAAAACGGTTTTTTTTAAATTTTTGATTACAAGGGGAGGGCAAGTGCCGGTCAGGGTTCAATTGAAGAACTTTCCAGGATGAGGAAATAACTCAGGAAGAAGACCCGTCGGTTTCTGTCGACCGTATGAATCAAGTATGTAAAGCGTATGGAGCGGCGCCGAACCCGCGCATGGTCCGACTCATGAGCAAACATCCAGTTCCATCTCCTGGAAATAAATTAGAGAAATACGGTGAATCGAAGCTTAGAAACATCTATCTCGATTTCAGGCGACATCACCTTCCACATATTGACCCCGACGGGTTCGGAGCCTGAAAAACGTCCTGCTGCTCTGGATGACACCGAGAAACCGAAGTACCGCTATGGGTATATCTATTCACCACGATTTGACACAGCCTGATCGTTCTGCGATCTCTTTTCCCTCAACCGACATAGAAATAGCACGAAAACATGAGAGCGTCAATGAGAGAGAAAAGATCGCACAATTCTTCCGGCTATTTCAAGCCGAGAAGAGTCAAACGAACTTTTTCAGACATAGAACAAGAACAGGAGGAGATTTTCGGCTGAGGGACGAGACCAAACTTGAGCCGATAACTGAAGAAAACTATATATCGAACATCCAGGACATGGAATACATGGCGCGTGATATGTTGCGCACTCTGGGAAAGAACGGAATACCTCAACCTGTCCAGTTGAAAAATGTTGATTTACAGTTATACTGCCTTTAGAAAGTTCTTGTTCCAGCTCAAATGTGAACCGAGTTCGGACTTGACCCTTCTTGCCAACAACGACAGATTTTCAAGAGCCAACTTGCTTCCCAACACCTTCATTTCCAACGCCGTGTCCATAGCCAGACCAACGGAGGTCGATCATCTACACACTGCCAAAGACCTTTAGTACGGTCCTGGTGAATGTTTTATGGTCAATCGGTTACAGTGCCAAGCAGGTTTCTGTGGTTCTGCCGCCTATCGACCTCGAGGAGTTCCATGAAATGAAGTGCATGTTGTCTGCTTCTCGAAAAAGCGCTCGTCAAAACCAATTGTAATTTTTATTTTACTACTGGCTGCTATTTTGTCAATCGAAAAAACTTTCTTGCTTCCAGGACGCCAAAAAAGGAGGAAAAACCAAACTCAAAAAGCAAAGGAGTCCTAACTTGCGAAGAGATTTCTTGCCACGAAATTTGATTTTGAGGACCTTCTACAACTATCAATTTTTATTATTTTGAATTTTAAGCACTCCAGTAAATTTTTCTCCAACATTTTACGCTACTTTAGATGTCCAAATGTTCACGGGACTAGCAAAGATTTTAGGCTCGCTTCCGAGCTTTTAGCCCGAAGACCATCCTGATAGCGATAACATCACGGACACTTTTGCATCCTGTAGGGGGGCACTTTGCCCACATAAAATTAGAGAATTAAATTTTTTGACTGAAAGTTCGAACTAGTCATTCGGCGACACAAATAGTGGAAATGCCACAAAATTAGACTCTGTATGCACTTTGCTGACGCGCCCATTGAATTCAAAAGGGCACTTTATTGATCCTTTCTGTTCTCTTTTTCTTGCCCTGTACACTCAGTTCTCGAAAATATCTTGTTAAAAATGAGTTTTCCTCTCGAATTTTCGCAATAGAACGAAAGGAGATCTCGAACACCCCTGGTTTTATGGTCCGTCTCACGACTTGAAAGGCGAGATGGAGTGAAAGATCTCTTCCTTTGAAGGCATGGAACTCTTTTAGCTTCTTTTCAAGCGAGCAGAAGGCTAGATAAATGAATTCATTCATTCATGAAATATATCGAAATGGACCAAGAAAAGGGAAGGTGCAACGCGTCCTCTGACGGCCTGGTCCCAGGCGCTCTGCCGGCTCCCTCGTGCTGACGGTTACGTGGCTTTTACAGAGGCGCGACGGTGTTTCTGTAACCCTGACGGTTAGGATTGTAAAAATAGATGCGTGGGGGAAAGTAAAGACTGTGTGCTAGAGGAGGCTGTAGACAGAGCCTTCGTCTCGAGGCTTTTAAAGACTGATCAGGGGTCTGGCGAGGGGAATGGAATGCTCTCAGCGTGGGCGCTGTTTTCGAGGCGCTTCTAGAAAGCGGAAGATTTCAACATCAAGTATTGATTCCTTACATTTGGTAGATTGACTAGGGTTATTTTACGCGTAAACGACGCGGCTTAACGGCGCGAAACTCGACCACCGAAAAATTTAAAACAAGTAAGTTTTTACATTTATTAATCCAACCAAGCTTTTTCCTAATCATTTGAATATTTAATTCTTTATGAAAAATGTCAAAAAAATATAGATAACATGAAAAAGGCGGCTCGCGTTTGATTTCGAGATTCGCCAGAAGGACGCGACGCGTACGCAACGCATCACCTTTACGGTTGTAAGAAAAAAGGTGACCCAGCCGTGTTTATTTCGAAAATGTGTAACCAAACTTTGCTAAAGCGGTGCCTCAGCTGGGGTTTAGATTGTCAAAAGTTTTACCAGCTGTGCTTATACGGGTTCAAAACGGGTGCACCCGCTGAGACCCTGTACCCCTCGTCGAAGTCTCGCTGTCTCCCTCTTAATATTTTCAGATTAAAAACAATTTTTCGACCTAATTTTCGGTTTTTATGCTGTAAATCAGATTAAAGAAATAAATGTTATCGATGAAAAATGTTTACCAGAGGGATATATATAGCGCAAGACGCTTGCGAGGCGATATTGCGTATCTCTCGCTTCTATATAGTCAATAATATTGCTTTTCCCGATCGCGCTTCTCAAGTAGGAAAGAACTTTAATACAATCAATGATATTTTTTTCATTTTTTTATAAGATCCTTCATGAAAAGGATATTATACCGTATACATTGAGCTGGCTGCCAAGAAAGATTCAACTTTGCTTAAACCTGAAAAAAAATTCAATGTTTTGAAAAGCTGCGTTTCTGGCTTTCCGACCCCGCTGATTCAGTTGGGAATGCGTTGCTTTTGCAGAAGATATATAATCTCTTGAACCATCAATTATTGTTGACGCATCCTGCGAGGCTCTTTTGCGATGCTCTATTTTGAAAGAAATCTTATATCAGCTTTAAACTTTACTCTCCATGTAGCAGTTGTTATAGATTAGAATTTTCAATCAATGTTTTTCAATGATTTTTTGATATTTTTCGAAGATCAATCCGTTATGCCTTGCATTTATTTCATCATTCTCTGTATCAGTTCTTCTCTTAGAAAAGCGAACGATCATCAAAGTATCAAGTGTAAAATCGATTTCTGACTCTCAAAGCTGGAAACCTCACTGGTGGAAGAATTGCCATGAGCGAGGGGGCGGCTGAAATTGCACTGAAAGACTTTTGAAAGAGAGACGCAGAGAAGTACAGATGTTGTCGGAGGCCGGCGTGCAAACCTCGCCTTTTCTTGTTCATGGAGCATCGAGTTTCCATTAAATTCCCTTTTTTCATTTCCAAATGGTAGTTTTTTTTTCAGTCTGCAACCTTCAACTAAAGTTTTGACTTTCTAATTCAACAATCTGGAAAGTAAGTTTTCTTTCAATTTTATTTCTCTTTACTTTGCATCGTTAACTTTTGCCTTTTTCTGCCAGGTTAGTTCTATCTTTAATGAACTCACTGATAAATAATTTCAAACTGAGTATTTTCTTTTTAAAAATACCCTTTTTATAATAGAAGCCGAGGTCGTTTTGAATGAAAAAAACCTAGAAGTTCTCAGAATTTTTCTATTATTTTGAACAAAAAAATACGGTCGTTTACAAAATGCAACCGGTGTGACCGCGTATGAAAAACAACCACTTTTTGTGCCTCATTGCAAATCATTAAATAACGAGCGTTTTTTTTATTTCCAACTTTTTTCAGTTATTTTGGCGATGAAAATGAAATGGATTGTGAATATTCCAATATTTCCATCGTGAGACTTCCAATATAACTTTCAGCTCCATCTGAGCCATACTGGAGGTCCTTGAGTACCTCATGTGAGACGTGTAAAACAGCATTTAAACACGTCAACAAAATTTTAAAATTTAATTTTGCTTTCTGCGCGTTGCTTTTTATGTATCGAGTGCACTGTGTACAACACATTTTACTTTCCGCCTTGGCGGTGAGATTATCGAAATCTATTAACTTGCCGTTGTGTAATATCGTGGTGTGGCTCTTTAAAAGCAGCCGTTTTTTAATAGAATTTCGCGGCCGTTCTTTTTTTTAAACTTTTGTACTTTATAGCATGCCGAAATCGCGTTCAAAGTAGTTTTCGGTTTCATAGCTTTCGAAAGCGATGTACGGGATGGTTTGCAAAAATGGACGTGGCCTGATAGCTCATATATATATTTAGCTAAATTTTTTGTCAAGTTTCTTTTTGGCTGGGAAAATATCTGAATTTTCGCTACCTTTTTGTACATGGAAAAGCGATTAATGCGTCCCACGTATTGAGCGCTCAGGCGTGGCTGTACGCACTCGTTTTGTTAGTCAACTTTCTCTTCGTTTGAATATAGCATAGGCAGCAGCGTGGAATTTCTCTTTCAAGCCATGGTTCTCTCCGCATTTATTTCTCTTGCTACCTCATATTTCCGGTTTAAAAGCTCCTCAAGAAAATAATTGGTTTCTGTTTTTACGTCATTTTCAAGCTTAAAAATTCACGGAAAAAGACTTTTAAATGGGTAAGCTGTGAGGATGGCTCAGAAAAATATATTTTTCATTTTTTTGTTTATATCTGCTACAGAAAAATCTTTTTTTCGAAAGCATTTTTTTCCTTTTCATGTTATGAGTCATCATCATTGCTTTTTTTAAAAATAATTTTTCCAAGCACTTTTTGTGCTATTTTTTTAAAGAAAAAAATTTGAAAAAAAGGCGAAATTTATCAGCTCATAGAAACATATAAAGCGAAAAAAAGAGAAGACACACCCGGGCGTTCCCGCCTGAAGCGCAGCACGCACGCCTTTAGTGCTTGAGACGCTTGCTGGCTATTGTTACGAAATGATATTCTTTTAAAAAAGAATATGTAGTTTGAATTTGTCGTGATTGCAATTTTTTGTTATCGAGCGATTTATCTTCAAAACTACTTCGATTATTCCTCTTTCTCGATTAAGATTCTTCTCATAATAAATAAATATTTTTTTATTTTTCCTTTGCAAGTTAAAAAAATAAAGACAAAAAAATAAAATTTAAAAAAATGCCTTGACTGCACTTCTTCTTTTGATCACCTTTATTTCCTATGTGGCGGCCGCCTAGTTTTTATTTTTTTGTCGATTTTTTTCTGACTCATATCGGATTTTTTTCCCATCAGTGTTTTTCGCCGTAAGGATTTTTTCCAAATATTTCTTTCTCAATGATTTCACAACTTGTTTAAAGTCTTCTTGGCAATAACATGAAAAAAGGAAAAAAATAATATGAAAAAAAGTTTTTTTCTTGTTTTTTTGATGCTATTTTTGACGTATTTAGAGGCAGCAAGCGTTTGTTTAAAAAGTATAGTAAGCGTCGCATTGGAAGTGAGAAATACTTTTTGATTTATTAAAATTAATGGATAAAAAAATTGAAAACACAGGACGGAACTGACTCAATTCGTTCATTCAAAAAAATTAAACTTTCACTGAGACGAAAGCATGGCTTTCTTAGCTGGTCTACAAAAAATGAAGCCTTATAGAAAATCACTATTCGCGGGTGATTTTGCTCCTTTTTCTTTTAAATGATTTTTGGAATACAGTTTTTAGTTTTCATAATACTTCCTATCACCTACAGTATCAATTTTGCTTGCTCAAAAGGCGATGAATATTTTTATTTAGGAGACTTTGACCCGATGCGAAAAGTTCTCGATTTGTAAACACGAAAAAAGGCCGTGTATGCTCAAGTTTTTAAAGTATGAAAAATAAGTTATGGGTTGCCTTCCAGCTAGAAGATTTCTTGTTTTTTTTTTCAACTGTGAAAAGAATGCCCATTGTAATGACTTTTGATAGCTCTCGGAAGATCAATTGAGAAGACTCCAACCGCATCATCCTACGATTTCTCAAATTTTTTTCTTCGCCGGCAGTATCGATTGAATTTGTAATGGCGTTGTTGAGTCAGCTACGCGTCTGTTTTTGCGTTTTACGCCGCTGTTTCTCCCTCGATCTTGTTTTGAGAAACTTTCTGTTTGCTCCCACTTTAGCAATTTTCCGAATATCAGAGTCTGCATTTGATTTTCACCTTTTTTTTTCTCATATCTGCAATTTTCATCGAGTAATTTTTATAATCTTGTTGGTCCATATTAGGTCGTCTTAGGCTTACTTTATTAGTTAAGAGTTTATTACTTGTTGACACTCTAAGATAGAAATGAGTGACCTTGAATCAATTTATCGGCGATGGGAGATGGTTTTAATTGAAAAAGTATAACATACACACAGGGGCTAATCAGTAGTGCGTGGAAAACAGATCAGAAAGTTTCGCGTGATCGACTGTAGAAAGTTTGCAGTGAAAAAAGTTTTTTTTTGAGGAGAAAAAAAGAAGGAAAATATATCAATTTTTCTTGGGATCATTTATCGTAATATCAGTTTCCATGTTGTTCGAACTCCTTTTCTCTTTCATTTCATCTCATCATAATCTACATGTATAAAAAAAATTTCCGGGTTTCTATGTATATTATGGTTCGTAGAAAAAAGATTCCTACAACGATATATCTCAATATTAGGTTTTTTTTTTCACTGTAACTTCTTCGCGCGAGTCTGAAATTTTCCTAGAAAATTCCCACATAATTCAAAAATTTTGAGTTCGCGCGTAAAAGTTACAGTAAAAATTCATATGTTGCGATATATCGCTGTAGGACCCTGTTTTTCTGAAGGCTCCCGCAAAACCAAAACTCAGGTAGCGACTGAATTTCACGACTTCGATACAGTTGTGGTCAAAAAGTTGTGCCTATATATGTTTTATAAGATGTATTTTTTTTTGTTTTGTTTTTGACTGTAACTGTACAATAAATGGAAATTTAAAAAGCAAAAATGACCATTCTAATATAAAACGAAACCCTCATTGCGATAATTTTGTGTTCGGATTTCGCTCATTTCTCGAGAAAAAAAGGTTAATATGTTGCTTAAGAGCATATGGGTAAGGACGGAGATCCCAGTGGCATGAAACCAGGAGACCTTGAAGCCGCACGGCCGTCGAGTCGACTCGATTCTGGCGACCCGAGGATGCAAGTGGCACGCGTCCTTCTTCCGGATGGCACACACAAAGAATTCGCCCTCAACGTGAGTCGGCATCAGACAAATGTTTTTTTGGAAACATCGTTTCGTAGCTGTCGGATTTTTTGCACGAAAAAGGACAGTAAATTGTTAGGGGTGAAAAATCAAAACAACAACAGATCAATCAATTATTCAGGAGATTTTCAGCTATTGTACACTTTTGAGTATGTTTTAATAGTCAAAAATAATTGAAAAAAGTGAGAATACTCTAACAGAAATGGAGACGTCACCCTCTGTGAACCCCGAAAAAAGTGAAATTTTTGTTGATGTTTTCGGTGCACCCCTGGGGCAACCGGTCAGATATAAAAAGTTTTTTTCGAGCTACCGTAAAAGCCTACGATGAAACTGTAAAAAGTATCATATTGAAAAACAAACCTCTTCGAAATCCTGTACGGGATAAGTACCTCAATAGGCGTTTAAAGCTAAACCGGGTACACTGCGGGGTGCACCACACCTTTTATTAGAGCAAAATTCGTGGATAATGTCTCTATCGTCGGTTTCACTCAGCCGTGAAGAGCACAAAAAAATTTGTCTTTCCGGGATCTTTTTAAAGGTATTTTTCCACGCCCTTTGAATCGTTCTGCTGCTTTTCTAAAATCTGATCAATAATTTGTAAGATTTCCCGTAGAAACGTGAAGAAGTTTTTTACAGCGTACGTCCGATGGAGAGGCGCTTTTCCGCCTCGTAACGGCGGATCTTTCGATCGAAGAGCGCGAGTACTTCTCACTCTGTTTCTATGAGAAAACCGAAGGAGGTCGTCATTGGCTTTATAACGACAAGAAGATCGCAAAGCAGCTCAAAGGTTGGCTCTGAAAGAGACGACTGACAACTTCGACCGTTCAGGTCTGCCATGGGAATTTTCGTTCGAGGTCAAGTTCTATCCGACCACTCCTACGACTTTGAATGACGACCATGCGAGATATTACGTCTTCTTACAACTTCGGCGGGACATTTTATCTGGAAGGTATATCATTTTTTCAAAATTAAAAAACCGTTATGTTTTTCATATGTTTAAAAGTGCAGTTTCTATGTTCTCTTACGTTGGCCAGTAGCACCCGCGGATGCTACCGCCGCTCACCTGAAACGCAATTTTTAGCCGCGCATAGATCCCATTTGAGTTTATCTACGCAAACGCCCAATTCACCAGCCGAGCTCCCGTTTAGGTCCAGGGGATCGCCCGAAACTTTGAAAAATCACCGGGTGATCGGCAGAAGCCACTGTAAAGCGCCCGGTTTGCAAATATATGACTTATTACCCCTACGGGTGCCACTGGCCAGCATTAGAGTTTGCCGTATTCGAAAAAATTAACTTTTAGAATTGCGAAAGATTTCTAACTAGTCTTTTCACGCCGAAAGAAACTTATCAAACTAACAAAAAATACAGAACGAGAGATTATATGTAGTTTCGTCATGGAGCAATGTAAGGAACTTTATCGATTTTCAGAATTACCTAAGGAGAAAAGGATGATACTTCTATCCCATCAAATAGTGATTGATGTGTTTTCGTAGAGAACGTGAGAATAAAAAATAATTTATCGGCTTCCAAAAAATTTTTCGATGTCGTTTTACTGAAAAGGCGCCGATAGATTGTAGAATTACAATGAAAGTTTCTCATAAGTTCAACTGAAAGCTAGGTTATACCTAAGAAAAAGAAGGGACTATCTTTTTCCAAGTATTATCACAGCATAAGAAGTTTTGAATTTTCGGAAAATTAACTTTTTTTCTCTCCCTAAACGTTTCAACGAGATCTTTCGAAGAAACAGTTATCTTTGCGTCAGTTTTCTCAAAAATATCCATTCAATTTGTATAAATGACAGGCTTGCTGCAAGTGTCGCGACACACGCGATCCTCGGCTCTTACGTGGCACAGGCCGAGTTCGGCGACAGTCCTCAAACCATCAACGAACAATACGAAAACTTCCTGCGAACCGCTCGGATCGTACCTGATCCCAATCCCGAAGTCTTGACTAAAGTTGTGGAGTTCCACAAGGAGCTTCGGTTTGTTCCGGACAATTGCCGAAATGTGCGGTATTTTCCAGGGGAAGAACGGCATCCGAGGTCGAAAATCTCTATCTGGACACGTGCAAACAGCTTTCCCTCTATGGCATTCACTTGTTCCCAGCTAAAGTACGTTTATTTTGGGGTTAAAAAAATTTTTTAAAAGCTAATTTGACACAAAATATGGGGAAGGTCGATATTCTCGAAATTCTGAAGGCTCTTGGGGTTCCAGATTAATCGATAGGAAAGTGGACCCTTTGAAAACGTTAAAACACTTCATTTTACCTGTTTCTGAGTACTTTGAGCCGGAATGTGAATTTTCAAAGTTTTAAAGGGTTATTTTACTTACGAAAGGGAAAACTCGATATTATCGAAAGCATGTCTTCAACAATTTCTTCTTTCAAAAAGTGAATTCCGGTTTCTAGGACAAAAACGACGATGACGTCAGGGTGGGTGTTGGATCTGCGGGCATCTACTGCTTGAAGAGCAACTCCCGTGAAAGTCGCTTCGGATGGCAAAATATTGTCAAAATCAGTTATCGCAGAAGCTACTTCTTGGTGAAGCTGAAGCCCGGAGAGGTAACTTTCTCGGTTTTTTTCCTCAATCGTTTTTTTTTTTGCAGGTCGATAAGAACGAAGCTGTTGTTTCGTACAGACTCTCGGACTATCTTCATGCCAAGAGAGTCTGGAAATGTGCTGTTGAGCATCATACCTTCTTCAGGTCGATCATTTTTGAAGTTAAAGAAGAAGAATAGGCTTTTTCAAACTTTCAAATATAAAAATTTTTCTATTTTTCTAAAAAAAAATGGACACATCAAGTTGATTTACAACTTGAAGGGCAAATTATCGGTTGGCAATGATAAATTTACTTTTTAGCCGATCAAGTCAATTTTTCATTTTAAAAAAGGCCATTTTCGAAACTCAGGAGGGTAATTTTCGCTTCAATTTCAAGAAGGATGAATATTTGAAACAGAGCTGCCCATGTATGAAAAAAAATTTCAATAGTTCATTTAATTCATAGATGGGCAAGTACGAAATTCATTCAGCCCGGGAGGAGGAGTTGGCTCACAAAAAAATATTTGAAGATTAGGGAATAAAATCAAGTTTCAACCTTCGGGAAGTAGTGTTAACTTTAATTTTTAAAAAAATTTTGAAAAAGGGGTCGTTTACCTTTAAAAAAATGATCTCCCCATGTATGACTTAAGCTTATACCTCTCCGAATTTCCAGGCTCATCCAACCGGAAGACAAACCTAAGCAGTCTTTTTTCAACTTTGGCTCTACAAGATTCCGTTACCATGGCCGAACGCAGTTCCAAACAAAAATGGCCAGCCAGATGTTCGATAAGCCATCGACGGTCGAGAGAATTCAGAGCTCTCGTGCTTCCCATTCGTTGGAAAACGGTTGGTCGAATGATCTCCAAAAAAGACTTATTTTGATATCAGTCTCGCTTTTCACAAAGAGGACTCCTTTAAGTAGCAGAAGCGTTGTCAGAATCCGATAAAAGTCACTGGTTAAAAATAATCTTATTTTATTAAGGTAGTATAGGTCTTCAAATGAAGAGCTGCGGAAAGTGAAAAAAAAAACAGAGTTCTATCAATACTTGCGTCGGTCTGTAACAGAAAAAAGTTGGAATGTGAAGATTTATCGGAGCTTTGAGAAAAAAATAGTGGACAGGTTTTAACTGGGTGCATGAGGAAACAAGGAGAAATTCAGTAAAAGTCGTTCTTGCCCAAATTTCAATTTTTTAGTTGCAAGACAGCCCTTGACTCCGCTCCACTACACTGACAGCGAGTTGGAGCAGAACAAGGTGAGAAACGTTTGGAAAAAGTCGAAAATGAAGTTTTGCTTGAACAGATGGCTTCGCCTGCAATGTCCTACAATATCGACTCACGGTCGCCTTCGAAAAAGCAACACGACGAGAAGGTGGGTCCACCGTTTCTCTCTCCGTCGTACGTGGTGGCCGCCGATGAGCTTTCATTCACGCCTGAATCGCCCTGCTCTGCCGGTGCAGCTTATTATCTTTCTGAGCGCTCCTCGCTTCGTTCGCCTTCTTCTGCCTACTATTCTCCAACAACCCCTCTCTCGTCTGGACCTGTATCACCTTACGACTACTCACCACATCTTGCTTCCGAAAACAGTGTACAAATGCGAACCAAGACTAAAACTGGAGCCCACCGGAATCTTTTCGGTCGGCAATCTGCGACTTCGACGGAAACGGTGCGCCTTGTCTCCTTCCATGAACCCGTCGATGATACCATTCCAATGTCAGTCACTTATCCAGCCAACGAACTCCCTAACATTCCCATCAATAACATTGTGCACGTTTACCATGACGGTCGTTACCAACGCTTGAATACTCGACAACAAAGACCACCATATTTACCTCCTGCTACCTCACGAAACGGCGTTGCGGTCATCAATAACTTGCAGTTACTTGATGAGATGGAAGAACAACCGCTTCGTTATTTTGTTGACGTGAAACACTCCGGTAGAACGGAAATGAAAAGTAACAGACGTCAACTTCACGCTGGGAAAGAAGATATTCGCGAAAACCTGAATCCTCGCGATTACGTTTTTTCTGACAATCAAGGTAGCGTTCTTCAGAGAACTGAGTGTTCGAAGGAAATTCAGCCTTCTCATATCATGCAGTACTCGTCTGTTTATCACACTGGTCATTCCTACCCTTCTTCTAGTACTGAAGATAACTCAGTTCGACTATTAACACGCGTCGATCCCAATTTAGTAGTGAATAACGACAATCGTGGTCGAGCTCGCGTCTCAACATCCAATGTTAATGCTTCGATAACTTCCACTCAACACACGATGTCAACTACCGTTCGTCGCCAATCACCAGATGCCGCAAGGACTATAACTTTGGAAGCTAAAATTTCCGAAGTGTCTGAAAACGTAGAACTGAAAAAACAGAAAGAAAAAACAGCCGTTTTACAACAAAAACATTCACAGTTGAAAGAAGATTTAGAAAAGAGTAGCCTTGAGAGCAAGAAGAAGGCTGTCATCCATGTGAAGAAGGAGCCACCAACTGAAGTCGAAAAGCATGAAGTTCGTTTGATTGCCCGTGTTGCTCCAGATCAACAGCAGGAGCCGGAACCATCTACCAGCAAGCAGGAAAAGCCCGCCAAGCTTTCCAACTTCTTCAAGAGAGGTCAAAAATCTCGCGAAGTGGAATACTACCCGGCAACTTCCGAGTCTTACTCAGGCCCGATCGTCTCCGTGGAGCGCGGCGAAGAGCTTCAGAACATTCCTTTGGACACTTCCACGCCAACCTATGCTTCTTATTCCCCGAAAAAGACGCCTTCTGAAGCGCCTGTTGTCGTTGAACAGAGACGTTACAGACTCATCGCAAGGTTGCGTCATGAAGGCGATGAAGACGAAGTCGATAAGAACAGCATCCAGCCGGAAGCCTATGGCTTTGCTTCCACAGCATTTGAAGGCGATGTCGACGAGATGGTACCTGAGAAAGAGTTGGAGTCGAATCCTCTGCGTCAACATGCTTCTGTCTATCATCACGGCCAGTCCTGGGTGAAAGATCAAGTCTCTACGGAAGTCCCGAAACCAGATGAAGTCGAAAGAAAGAAGAAGGCCGTCATCCATGTGAAGAAGGAGCCTCCAACTCAAGTCGAAAAGCATGAAGTTCGTCTGATTGCTCGAATTGCTCCAGATCAACAGCAGGAGCCGGAACCATCTACCAGCAAGCAGGAAAAGCCCGCCAAGCTTTCCAACTTCTTCAAGAGAGGTCAAAAATCTCGCGAAGTGGAATACTACCCGGCAACTTCCGAGTTTTACTCAGGCCCGATCGTCTCCGTGGAGCGCGGCGAAGAGCTTCAGAACATTCCTTTGGACACTTCCACGCCAACCTATGCTTCTTATTCCCCGAAAAAGACGCCTTCTGAAGCGCCTGTTGTCGTTGAACAGAGACGTTACAGACTCATCGCAAGGTTGCGTCATGAAGGCGATGAAGACGAAGTCGATAAGAACAGCATCCAGCCGGAAGCCTATGGCTTTGCTTCCACAGCATTTGAAGGCGATGTCGACGAGATGGTACCTGAGAAAGAGTTGGAGTCGAATCCTCTGCGTCAACATGCTTCTGTCTATCATCACGGCCAGTCCTGGGTGAAAGATCAAGTCTCTACGGAAGTCCCGAAACCAGATGAAGTCGAAAGAAAGAAGAAGGCCGTCATCCATGTGAAGAAGGAGCCTCCAACTCAAGTCGAAAAGCATGAAGTTCGTCTGATTGCTCGAATTGCTCCAGATCAACAGCAGGAGCCGGAACCATCTACCAACAAGCAGGAAAAGCCCGCCAAGCTTTCCAACTTCTTCAAGAGAGGTCAAAAATCTCGCGAAGTGGAATACTACCCGGCAACTTCCGAGTTTTACTCAGGCCCGATCGTCTCCGTGGAGCGCGGCGAAGAGCTTCAGAACATTCCTTTGGACACTTCCACGCCAACCTATGCTTCTTATTCCCCGAAAAAGACGCCTTCTGAAGCGCCTGTTGTCGTTGAACAGAGACGTTACAGACTCATCGCAAGGTTGCGTCATGAAGGCGATGAAGACGAAGTCGATAAGAACAGCATCCGGCCGGAAGCCTATGGCTTTGCTTCCACAGCATTTGAAGGCGATGTCGACGAGATGGTACCTGAGAAAGAGTTAGAGTCGAATCCTCTGCGTCAACATGCTTCTGTCTATCATCACGGCCAGTCCTGGGTGAAAGATCAAGTCTCTACGGAAGTCCCGAAACCAGATGAAGTCGAAAGAAAGAAGAAGGCCGTCATCCATGTGAAGAAGGAGCCTCCAACTGAAGTCGAATGTCATGAAGTTCGTTTGATTGCCCGTGTTGCTCCAGATCAACAGCAGGAGCCGGAACCATCTACCAGCAAGCAGGAAAAGCCCGCCAAGCTTTCCAACTTCTTCAAGAGAGGTCAAAAATCTCGCGAAGTGGAATACTACCCGGCAACTTCCGAGTCTTACTCAGGCCCGATCGTCTCCGTGGAGCGCGGCGAAGAGCTTCAGAACATTCCTTTGGACACTTCCACGCCAAGCTATGCTTCTTATTCCCCGAAAAAGACGCCTTCTGAAGCGCCTGTTGTCGTTGAACAGAGACGTTACAGACTCATCGCAAGGTTGCGTCATGAAGGCGATGAAGACGAAGTCGATAAGAACAGCATCCAGCCGGAAGCCTATGGCTTTGCTTCCACAGCATTTGAAGGCGATGTCGACGATATGGTACCTGAGAAAGAGTTAGAGTCGAATCCTCTGCGTCAACATGCTTCTGTCTATCATCACGGCCAGTCCTGGGTGAAAGATCAAGTCTCTACGGAAGTCCCGAAACCAGATGAAGTCGAAAAAAAGAAGAAGGCCGTCATCCATGTGAAGAAGGAGCCTCCAACTGAAGTCGAAAAGCATGAAGTTCGTTTGATTGCCCGTGTTGCTCCAGATCAACAGCAGGAGCCGGAACCATCTACCAGCAAGCAGGAAAAGCCCGCCAAGCTTTCCAATTTCTTCAAGAGAGGTCAAAAATCTCGAGAAGTTGAGTACTGCCCGGCAACTTCCGAGTCTTACTCAGGCCCGATCGTCTCCGTGGAGCGCGGCGAAGAGCTTCAGAACATTCCTTTGGACACTTCCACGCCAAGCTATGCTTCTTATTCCCCGAAAAAGACGCCTTCTGAAGCGCCTGTTGTCGTTGAACAGAGACGTTACAGACTCATCGCAAGGTTGCGTCATGAAGGCGATGAAGACGAAGTCGATAAGAACAGCATCCGGCCGGAAGCCTATGGCTTTGCTTCCACAGCATTTGAAGGCGATGTCGACGAGATGGTACCTGAGAAAGAGTTGGAGTCGAATCCTCTGCGTCAACATGCTTCTGTCTATCATCACGGCCAGTCCTGGGTGAAAGATCAAGTCTCTACGGAAGTCCCGAAACCAGATGAAGTCGAAAGAAAGAAGAAGGCTGTCATCCATGTGAAGAAGGAGCCACCAACTGAAGTCGAAAAGCATGAAGTTCGTTTGATTGCCCGTGTTGCTCCAGATCAACAGCAGGAGCCGGAACCATCTACCAGCAAGCAGGAAAAGCCCGCCAAGCTTTCCAATTTCTTCAAGAGAGGTCAAAAATCTCGAGAAGTTGAGTACTGCCCGGCAACTTCCGAGTCTTACTCAGGCCCGATCGTCTCCGTGGAGCGCGGCGAAGAGCTTCAGAACATTCCTTTGGACACTTCCACGCCAACCTATGCTTCTTATTCCCCGAAAAAGACGCCTTCTGAAGCGCCTGTTGTCGTTGAACAGAGACGTTACAGACTCATCGCAAGGTTGCGTCATGAAGGCGATGAAGACGAAGTCGATAAGAACAGCATCCGGCCGGAAGCCTATGGCTTTGCTTCCACAGCATTTGAAGGCGATGTCGACGAGATGGTACCTGAGAAAGAGTTGGAGTCGAATCCTCTGCGTCAACATGCTTCTGTCTATCATCACGGCCAGTCCTGGGTGAAAGATCAAGTCTCTACGGAAGTCCCGAAACCAGATGAAGTCGAAAGAAAGAAGAAGGCTGTCATCCATGTGAAGAAGGAGCCACCAACTGAAGTCGAAAAGCATGAAGTTCGTTTGATTGCCCGTGTTGCTCCAGATCAACAGCAGGAGCCGGAACCATCTACCAGCAAGCAGGAAAAGCCCGCCAAGCTTTCCAACTTCTTCAAGAGAGGTCCAAAATCTCGAGAAGTTGAGTACTACCCGGCAACTTCGGAAACCTACACAGGCCCGATCGTCTCCGTTGAGCGCGGCGAAGAGCTTCAGAACATTCCTTTGGACACTTCCACGCCAACCTATGCTTCTTATTCCCCGAAAAAGACGCCTTCTGAAGCGCCTGTTGTCGTTGAACAGAGACGTTACAGACTCATCGCAAGGTTGCGTCATGAAGGCGATGAAGACGAAGTCGATAAGAACAGCATCCAGCCGGAAGCCTATGGCTTTGCTTCCACAGCATTTGAAGGCGATGTCGACGAGATGGTACCTGAGAAAGAGTTGGAGTCGAATCCTCTGCGTCAACATGCTTCTGTCTATCATCACGGCCAGTCCTGGGTGAAAGATCAAGTCTCTACGGAAGTCCCGAAACCAGATGAAGTCGAAAGAAAGAAGAAGGCCGTCATCCATGTGAAGAAGGAGCCTCCAACTGAAGTCGAAAAGCATGAAGTTCGTTTGATTGCCCGGATTGCTCCAGATCAACAGCAAGAGCCGGAACCATCTACCAGCAAGCAGGAAAAGCCCGCCAAGCTTTCCAATTTCTTCAAGAGAGGTCAAAAATCTCGAGAAGTTGAGTACTACCCGGCAACTTCGGAAACCTACACAGGCCCGATCGTTTCCGTGGAGCGCGGCGAAGAGCTTCAGAACATTCCTTTGGACACTTCCACGCCATCCTATGCTTCTTATTCCCCGAAAAAGACGCCTTCTGAAGCGCCTGTTGTCGTTGAACAGAGACGTTACAGACTCATCGCAAGGTTGCGTCATGAAGGCGATGAAGACGAAGTCGATAAGAACAGCATCCAGCCGGAAGCCTATGGCTTTGCTTCCACAGCATTTGAAGGCGATGTCGACGAGATGGTACCTGAGAAAGAGTTGGAGTTGAATCCTCTGCGTCAACATGCCTCTGTCTATCATCACGGCCAGTCATGGGTGAAAGATCAAGTCTCTACGGAAGTCCCGAAACCAGATGAAGTCGAAAGAAAGAAGAAGGCCGTCATCCATGTGAAGAAGGAGCCTCCAACTGAAGTCGAAAAGCATGAAGTTCGTTTGATTGCCCGGATTGCTCCAGATCAACAGCAAGAGCCGGAACCATCTACCAGCAAGCAGGAAAAGCCCGCCAAGCTTTCCAATTTCTTCAAGAGAGGTCAAAAATCTCGCGAAGTGGAATACTACCCGGCAACTTCCGAGTCTTACTCAGGCCCGATCGTTTCCGTGGAGCGCGGCGAAGAGCTTCAGAACATTCCTTTGGACACTTCCACGCCAACCTATGCTTCTTATTCCCCGAAAAAGACGCCTTCTGAAGCGCCTGTTGTCGTTGAACAGAGACGTTACAGACTCATCGCAAGGTTGCGTCATGAAGGCGATGAAGACGAAGTCGATAAGAACAGCATCCAGCCCGAAGCCTATGGCTTTGCTTCCACAGCATTTGAAGGCGATGTCGACGAGATGGTACCTGAGAAAGAGTTGGAGTCGAATCCTCTGCGTCAACATGCTTCTGTCTATCATCACGGCCAGTCCTGGGTGAAAGATCAAGTCTCTACGGAAGTCCCGAAACCAGATGAAGTCGAAAGAAAGAAGAAGGCCGTCATCCATGTGAAGAAGGAGCCTCCAACTGAAGTCGAAAAGCATGAAGTTCGTTTGATTGCCCGTGTTGCTCCAGATCAACAGCAGGAGCCGGAACCATCTACCAGCAAGCAGGAAAAGCCCGCCAAGCTTTCCAACTTCTTCAAGAGAGGTCCAAAATCTCGAGAAGTTGAGTACTACCCGGCAACTTCGGAAACCTACACAGGCCCGATCGTCTCCGTGGAGCGCGGCGAAGAGCTTCAGAACATTCCTTTGGACACTTCCACGCCAAGCTATGCTTCTTATTCCCCGAAAAAGACGCCTTCTGAAGCGCCTGTTGTCGTTGAACAGAGACGTTACAGACTCATCGCAAGGTTGCGTCATGAAGGCGATGAAGACGAAGTCGATAAGAACAGCATCCAGCCGGAAGCCTATGGCTTTGCTTCCACAGCATTTGAAGGCGATGTCGACGAGATGGTACCTGAGAAAGAGTTGGAGTCGAATCCTCTGCGTCAACATGCTTCTGTCTATCATCACGGCCAGTCCTGGGTGAAAGATCAAGTCTCTACGGAAGTCCCGAAACCAGATGAAGTCGAAAGAAAGAAGAAGGCCGTCATCCATGTGAAGAAGGAGCCTCCAACTGAAGTCGAAAAGCATGAAGTTCGTCTGATTGCTCGAATTGCTCCAGATCAACAGCAGGAGCCGGAACCATCTACCAGCAAGCAGGAAAAGCCCGCCAAGCTTTCCAACTTCTTCAAGAGAGGTCAAAAATCTCGCGAAGTGGAATACTACCCGGCAACTTCCGAGTCTAACTCAGGCCCGATCGTCTCCGTGGAGCGCGGCGAAGAGCTTCAGAACATTCCTTTGGACACTTCCACGCCAAGCTATGCTTCTTATTCCCCGAAAAAGACGCCTTCTAAAGCGCCTGTTGTCGTTGAACAGAGACGTTCCAGACTCATCGCAAGGTTGCGTCATGAAGGCGATGAAGACGAAGTCGATAGGAACAGCATCCAGCCGGAAGCCTATGGCTTTGCTTCCACAGCATTTGAAGGCGATGTCGACGAGATGGTACCTGAGAAAGAGTTGGAGTCGAATCCTCTGCGTCAACATGCTTCTGTCTATCATCACGGCCAGTCCTGGGTGAAAGATCAAGTCTCTACGGAAGTCCCGAAACCAGATGAAGTCGAAAGAAAGAAGAAGGCCGTCATCCATGTGAAGAAGGAGCCTCCAACTGAAGTCGAAAAGCATGAAGTTCATCTGATTGCTCGAATTGCTCCAGATCAACAGCAGAAGCCGGAACCATCTACCAGCAAGCAGGAAAAGCCCGCCAAGCTTTCCAACTTCTTCAAGAGAGGTCCAAAATCTCGAGAAGTTGAGTACTACCCGGCAACTTCGGAAACCTACACAGGCCCGATCGTTTCCGTGGAGCGCAACGAAGAGCTTCAGAACATTCCTTTAGACACTTCCACGCCATCCTATGCTTCTTATTCCCCGAAAAAGACGCCATCTGAAGCGCCTGTTGTCGTTGAACAGAGACGTTACAGACTCATCGCAAGGTTGCGTCATGAAGGCGATGAAGACGAAGTCGATAAGAACAGCATCCAGCCCGAAGCCTATGGCTTTGCTTCCACAGCATTTGAAGGCGATGTCGACGAGATGGTACCTGAGAAAGAGTTGGAGTCGAATCCTCTGCGTCAACATGCTTCTGTCTATCATCACGGCCAGTCCTGGGTGAAAGATCAAGTCTCTACGGAAGTCCCGAAACCAGATGAAGTCGAAAGAAAGAAGAAGGCCGTCATCCATGTGAAGAAGGAGCCTCCAACTGAAGTCGAAAAGCATGAAGTTCGTCTGATTGCCCGAATTGCTCCAGATCAACAGCAGGAGCCGGAACCATCTACCAGCAAGCAAGAAAAATCCGCCAAGCTTTCCAACTTCTTCAGGAGAGGTCAAAAATCTCGCGAAGTGGAATACTACCCGGCAACTTCCGAGTCTTACTCAGGCCCGATCGTTTCCGTGGAGCGCGGCGAAGAGCTTCAGAACATTCCTTTAGACACTTCCACGCCATCCTATGCTTCTTATTCCCCGAAAAAGACGCCTTCTGAATCGCCTGTTGTCGTTGAACAGAGACGTTACAGACTCATCGCAAGGTTGCGTCATGAAGGCGATGAAGACGAAGTCGATAAGAACAGCATCCAGCCCGAAGCCTATGGCTTTGCTTCCACAGCATTTGAAGGCGATGTCGACGAGATGGTACCTGAGAAAGAGTTGGAGTTGAATCCTCTGCGTCAACATGCCTCTGTCTATCATCACGGCCAGTCATGGGTGAAAGATCAAGTCTCTACGGAAGTCTCGAAACCAGATGAAGTCGAAAGAAAGAAGAAGGCCGTCATCCATGTGAAGAAGGAGCCTCCAACTGAAGTCGAAAAGCATGAAGTTCGTCTGATTGCTCGAATTGCTCCAGATCAACAGCAGGAGCCGGAACCATCTACCAGCAAGCAGGAAAAGCCCGCCAAGCTTTCCAACTTCTTCAAGAGAGGTCAAAAATCTCGCGAAGTGGAATACTGCCCGGCAACTTCCGAGTCTTACTCAGGCCCGATCGTCTCCGTGGAGCGCGGCGAAGAGCTTCAGAACATTCCTTTGGACACTTCCACGCCAAGCTATGCTTCTTATTCCCCGAAAAAGACGCCTTCTGAAGCGCCTGTTGTCGTTGAACAGAGACGTTACAGACTCATCGCAAGGTTGCGTCATGAAGGCGATGAAGACGAAGTCGATAAGAACAGCATCCAGCCGGAAGCCTATGGTTTTGCTTCCACAGCATTTGAAGGCGATGTCGACGAGATGGTACCTGAGAAAGAGTTGGAGTCGAATCCTCTGCGTCAACATGCTTCTGTCTATCATCACGGCCAGTCCTGGGTGAAAGATCAAGTCTCTACGGAAGTCCCGAAACCAGATGAAGTCGAAAGAAAGAAGAAGGCCGTCATCCATGTGAAGAAGGAGCCTCCAACTGAAGTCGAAAAGCATGAAGTTCGTCTGATTGCTCGAATTGCTCCAGATCAACAGCAGAAGCCGGAACCATCTACCAGCAAGCAGGAAAAGCCCGCCAAGCTTTCGAACTTCTTCAAGAGAGGTCAAAAATCTCGCGAAGTGGAATACTACCCGGCAACTTCCGAGTCTAACTCAGGCCCGATCGTCTCCGTGGAGCGCGGCGATGAGCTTCAGAACATTCCTTTGGACACTTCCACGCCAAGCTATGCTTCTTATTCCCCGAAAAAGACGCCTTCTAAAGCGCCTGTTGTCGTTGAACAGAGACGTTACAGACTCATCGCAAGGTTGCGTCATGAAGGCGATGAAGACGAAGTCGATAGGAACAGCATCCAGCCGGAAGCCTATGGCTTTGCTTCCACAGCCTTTGAAGGCGATGTCGACGAGATGGTACCTGAGAAAGAGTTGGAGTCGAATCCTCTGCGTCAACATGCTTCTGTCTATCATCACGGCCAGTCCTGGGTGAAAGATCAAGTCTCTACGGAAGTCCCGAAACCAGATGAAGTCGAAAGAAAGAAGAAGGCCGTCATCCATGTGAAGAAGGAGCCTCCAACTGAAGTCGAAAAGCATGAAGTTCGTCTAATTGCTCGAATTGCTCCAGATCAACAGCAGAAGCCGGAACCATCTACCAGCAAGCAGGAAAAGCCCGCCAAGCTTTCCAACTTCTTCAAGAGAGGTCCAAAATCTCGAGAAGTTGAGTACTACCCGGCAACTTCGGAAACCTACACAGGCCCGATCGTTTCCGTGGAGCGCAACGAAGAGCTTCAGAACATTCCTTTGGACACTTCCACGCCAACCTATGCTTCTTATTCCCCGAAAAAGACGCCATCTGAAGCGCCTGTTGTCGTTGAACAGAGACGTTACAGACTCATCGCAAGGTTGCGTCATGAAGGCGATGAAGACGAAGTCGATAAGAACAGCATCCAGCCCGAAGCCTATGGCTTTGCTTCTACAGCATTTGAAGGCGATGTCGACGAGATGGTACCTGAGAAAGAGTTGGAGTTGAATCCTCTGCGTCAACATGCCTCTGTCTATCATCACGGCCAGTCATGGGTGAAAGATCAAGTCTCTACGGAAGTCTCGAAACCAGATGAAGTCGAAAGAAAGAAGAAGGCCGTCATCCATGTGAAGAAGGAGCCTCCAACTGAAGTCGAAAAGCATGAAGTTCGTCTGATTGCCCGAATTGCTCCAGATCAACAGCAGGAGCCGGAACCATCTACCAGCAAGCAAGAAAAATCCGCCAAGCTTTCCAACTTCTTCAAGAGAGTTCAAAAATCTCGCGAAGTGGAATACTACCCGGCAACTTCCGAGTCTTACTCAGGCCCGATCGTTTCCGTGGAGCGCGGCGAAGAGCTTCAGAACATTCCTTTAGACACTTCCACGCCATCCTATGCTTCTTATTCCCCGAAAAAGACGCCTTCTGAATCGCCTGTTGTCGTTGAACAGAGACGTTACAGACTCATCGCAAGGTTGCGTCATGAAGGCGATGAAGACGAAGTCGATAAGAACAGCATCCAGCCCGAAGCCTATGGCTTTGCTTCCACAGCATTTGAAGGCGATGTCGACGAGATGGTACCTGAGAAAGAGTTGGAGTTGAATCCTCTGCGTCAACATGCCTCTGTCTATCATCACGGCCAGTCATGGGTGAAAGATCAAGTCTCTACGGAAGTCTCGAAACCAGATGAAGTCGAAAGAAAGAAGAAGGCCGTCATCCATGTGAAGAAGGAGCCTCCAACTGAAGTCGAAAAGCATGAAGTTCGTCTGATTGCCCGAATTGCTCCAGATCAACAGCAGGAGCCGGAACCATCTACCAGCAAGCAGGAAAAGCCCGCCAAGCTTTCCAGTTTCTTCAAGAGAGGTCAAAAATATCGAGAAGTTGAGTACTACCCGGCAACTTCCGAGTCTTACTCAGGCCCGATCGTCTCCGTGGAGCGCGGCGAAGAGCTTCAGAACATTCCTTTGGACACTTCCACGCCAACCTATGCTTCTTATTCCCCGAAAAAGACGCCTTCTGAAGCGCCTGTTGTCGTTGAACAGAGACGTTACAGACTCATCGCAAGGTTGCGTCATGAAGGCGATGAAGACGAAGTCGATAAGAACAGCATCCAGCCCGAAGCCTATGGCTTTGCTTCCACAGCATTTGAAGGCGATGTCGACGAGATGGTACCTGAGAAAGAGTTGGAGTCGAATCCTTTGCGTCAACATGCTTCTGTCTATCATCACGGCCAGTCATGGGTGAAAGATCAAGTCTCTACGGAAGTCCCGAAACCAGATGAAGTCGAAAGAAAGAAGAAGGCCGTCATCCATGTGAAGAAGGAGCCTCCAACTGAAGTCGAAAAGCATGAAGTTCGTCTGATTGCCCGAATTGCTCCAGATCAACAGCAGGAGCCGGAACCATCTACCAGCAAGCAAGAAAAATCCGCCAAGCTTTCCAACTTCTTCAAGAGAGGTCAAAAATCTCGCGAAGTGGAATACTACCCGGCAACTTCCGAGTCTAACTCAGGCCCGATCGTCTCCGTGGAGCGCGGCGAAGAGCTTCAGAACATTCCTTTGGACACTTCCACGCCAACCTATGCTTCTTATTCCCCGAAAAAGACGCCTTCTGAAGCGCCTGTTGTCGTTGAACAGAGACGTTACAGACTCATCGCAAGGTTGCGTCATGAAGGCGATGAAGACGAAGTCGATAAGAACAGCATCCAGCCCGAAGCCTATGGCTTTGCTTCCACAGCATTTGAAGGCGATGTCGACGAGATGGTACCTGAGAAAGAGTTGGAGTCGAATCCTCTGCTTCAACATGCTTCTGTCTATCATCACGGCCAGTCCTGGGTGAAAGATCAAGTCTCTACGGAAGTCCCGAAACCAGATGAAGTCGAAAGAAAGAAGAAGGCCGTCATCCATGTGAAGAAAGAGCCACTAACTGAAGTCGAAAAGCGCGAGTTGAGGCTGATAGCAAAAGTTTTGCCGCAGCAAAGAGATCACTTCTCCTTGCCTTCGAGTGAAGGACGTGGCGAGAGTGGTAGTGATAACATCAAGACGCTCAAGTTGTTGCAAGATCTTGAAAAAATCGCTTTTCCGAGCAGTGAGAAAGCAAAAGCTCCGCGTGCCACTGTTGTGACCTATTTGCCGTCTTCTCTGCGATTCGAACCTAAAGCAGCTCGTGTTGAAGGATGTACTGCTGATGGAAACAACTTTGTTGAAATTAATCTTGAAAGGCGTGTGGAAGTTCAACTGGAGCCTCTGTATTGTTTACGCGGGGCGGGGATCGGCGCAGTGTCGGAAGATGAGAGTGGCCTGATCTTCACTTCAACTCCTCCTTCGATGTCTCCCCCTGAACGATCTTTCCTCGCTCGTCTTGGCCTGAAAGTCAGTAGAAGTTTTTTTTTTTCTCTCATTTTCATAGTTTTTCGCGTTCTGAATCGGGCTTTGCATGTTGCAGATGTTTTTGTTGCTTCATTTTGTTTTTTCTTCTATTTCGTATCGACCACTCTGTTGGATATGAGTTCATCGTGTAAAATTATCAGGTTTACTGGTAATCGTTTTGTTCGCTTGAGCGCAACTAACATTCTGTTATCGTTTCGTGTTTTCATCGTATCCAGCTTTGATGTCGTATCGCGAAGACTATAAATTTCTGCTGTGCACCGGTAGAGTGTGGGATGCGTTGCTTCGGCTTCTTTCCATTTTTTTTGGGTTCCAGTGAAAAAAATTCCTGTCTTCTGTTCATTAACTTGCAGGTAAATATGAGTAGTATAGCTTATCATCAGCAAGTGCAAGTAGGTTAATTTTTTTCACGAAGTATGTATTGTGTTCAAAAAATGAATACTAGTAGGGTTAGCAACAAAACTTTCCATATGAATAGTTCTAGGAAAATATATGTTGAGATTTTAAAACATGAACAGAATATTTTTATGTTCGCTACAGTATTTCGTCATTGAAAGATGCTTGATGCGCAAGTTTTTGTTTGCGTTCCGCAGCTGTCAAGTGGATTTCGTGTGAGTTGCCTGTCGTGTGACAAGAAGTTTCCTATTGGTTAACCCTCCGCTTCACGGCATCGGAATATCCGTTTCTCTCTACAAGTTCACATTTCAGCGTGACAAAAAAGGCAAGCAATCTCGCAAGGGGAAGAACGAAACGAACTCGAGCGAATCCAGCGATAGTGATGATGAGAAACGCCGTTTCGCTGTTATCACTTCTGAGGTAATTTTTCATTTTCAGAAAATAGAAGCTTTTGAAGACACAGTTTCAACTTTACACGTAAGATTTTCTAGTTTTCAATGACAAGAATGATTTTTTGAACTCTATTTCTTTTAGCGCTTTTTCATGCACGGGTTGAACACCTCGAGTTTCTTTTTTGGTTTTATACCATCTTTTTTTAGAAGAGTGACTGAAAAGGTGACTGAAAATGAAGAAAAAACTCAGTAGGAAGGTTATTTTACTTTGCAGTTGGGAATTTTTTTGACAAATAGAAAAAATATCCTTTTCTGATCCTTTTTAGGAAACGGGTCTGATCAGTTTTTCAGTTTTATAGGGTATAACTTGAACTTGGAAAGCGTTAGATCTAAATTTCCCATGTTTACAGAGTAAAAAAGATAAAGAAGCTGTCAATTTTCTATTTGAAAATGTTTCATTTTCTGTTGTCCTAAACGTTGATAGAAAAGTTAGATTTGTCAAATTAGCTGTAGCATGTTTCTATTCAAACAGTTGAGATGGGACTATGTGAAAATTTAATGATGGTAATGTTTTTTTTTTTGAATACGATCAATTATGAATTCCTTTAAGTTTTCGTCTTAAAAGAGTCTAATTAGGTTTGCGAACTCATAAGAGAATAAAAACTGTTTTCATGAGGCCATGAATCTTATTTTGGATAAAATAATTACTGTCCAGATACTCAGGAACAACTAATTACTTCTTAAAAGTAAGATGTTCCCATGCGTATGTAGTCTTCTTTTTAATGGTTTCACGAGATTTTTCTTGGTATTTTTTATTTCTTTTGTTTCAAATTTGAATTCACAACAAACTTGTGCCGCGATCTCCAATGGCATTTTAATCTCCGAAACGCCACAGATACCCAAGAAAGGAAAGGTTGACGATGTCAAGCCGGTTGTTTTCTCGCCCACCGAGGAGCAGCTGAGAATGGTCCGCCAGGAAACTCGCGAGACTGAGTATCGTCTCAAAGGGGAAGGATTGTCTGCTGGTTTCAACCCCGCCGACCCGGTATTCGTCGATTTTTACATACGCTTTTCCTAATCTATCTTGATTCTTTTTTCTCTTTGAAAGTTTTGCTATCCTATCCTTTCCATGACGGAAATAAGAAAAATCAACGAAACAGTTTAACCCAAAACAGACAGCCTAGAGCTTTGGTGGCGGACTTTGCAGACCGAAATAAAAGATAAAGGAAGAAATTTTAGCATTATGAATTTTACATGATTTAATATTGAGATCATCAGTTCAAATTTCTGAGAATTAAACTAACTTTTCTTCAGACTGATAATTAAAACTTCAAAACTTGAATTTGCTTCTGGAATACAATTTGGAAAATAACTTTTTTGGTTTTCGGAGGGTTTCAATCTTTGGAAACATGCAGCCACGAGACAATCCCATTTTCATATTATGGGTTTATAATTATTATTTTTTTTTTTGTTGAATTCTTATGTTTTCTTCACGATTAGTTTGTATCCCCGAAGTAAGAAGATTTTTGTTGATTTTATGTAAATGGTTTTTAGGAAGTGTAGTGTTTAGATTCCAACAATCGCGCTGTCCCCCTTATTTCGTTGAATAGATGTTAGTCGAAAATCGAGGAAGACAATCGGCTCATTTTGCTGGAGCCAAAGATTTTATCGAGGAGTAGGTGTCGGATCGATTACGCTAACAGCGGACTTCACGCCAGAAAAAAATGTCTAAATCAGTTTTAAATGGCCTAAGCTTTTTTAAAAAGGCTTTCAAATAATTTTTGAAGTTTTTGATAAGATTACTTAAGAAGCTATGACCTGAAAAGATAAATAACCGAAGATTTTAGTTATTGATTTCTTATTCGTGACTTCAAAAAAGTTAACATGAGTCAAAAACTCGCGGAAGTAGTGACGCTGAGAGATTTGTTCTAAACTTTTAAAGACTGTTTGGACAAGTTTGTGAACATTTCAAAGTTTATTACCAAAAGGAAACTCTTTGTGAGATATAATGTTTTCTTTTGATCTTATTTCTGACTTTTTAGCGTAAAATCCGCTGTATAATAATCAACGAAAACGATTTGACTCTTGTAAGAAAGCGCCGATCTTTTTTGCTCGATTTCCAACTAACGTCATCAGTTCTGTTAAAAGTGCTGGTTCCTATCCTCCTAGAATTTTTCACATTTTTCCGTTCCACTTTATCCTTCTCATTCTCTTCTACAGTCGCTGTCGACAACGATGGCAGAAGCCGAACGTCTGAATGCGAGCAGCCCAAGATTGGAGCACGCTGAGCGTACTTTCACTGTACGCGCCACAGCTCCTATCCCGGTCTCCTTCGAGGTATCCCAGACGCCTCTCTCGTTGCTCTTTTTCCGTCTTATGTTTTTTTCTTCGTTCGTTTATTTTGTTTCATGATGGTGAAACCGTGGTTGAGTTGTATCTGTCCGTCCCTTTACTGTGATTTTTTTTTCTGTAGTTTTCACACTCTTTTGCTTGTTCTTTCTTTCTTTGAGTGAAGTCGTCGTGAGTCCTCTATCTTCACTTCTAAACTGTGCTGAAGCCGATTCTCTATCACGCTCTTCTCTATGTTACCTATTTTGCCCGCCATTAACAAATTCCTCGTTTTTTTCTGCACTCTCAAGATAACTGTCAGAAGAATCCTTAAGGAGAACACGCTCTTCAAGTGTTTCTGCGGGAAAAGTGAACCAATATGAATAATTTAAGACTATGACGAAGATTCTTTTTTGAGATGTTCATGAATTCTCAACTTTTTTTAACCTTTCGGAAACAACTTTTTGCTTACAGCTTCAAAATTGGTAGTTATATGATAACTTTGTGCACTGGCCTAAGGATGTAGAACAAGTTATAGTCAAAATTTTTTTTCTCAAATTTTCAAAAATCGCAGAAGTTGGATTCCATTGAATGATAAGTATTAGAACTCTGAAAGTTTTATTCAGTTTTTAAAGAATATTCTTTGCTGAATTATGAAATAATTGAATTGTTTGTCGATACGCGAAACTGTTGGAAACGAAAAAAAAAAAAGGAAGCTATGATCTGAATGGTATTTTCTGATAAAGGCGTTAGGGAACTACGGTTCTGATGAGCTGGTCACGCTTTTTTTCAGTTTCAAATGAATCCGAGAATATCAAATATTATACATGATATTCATGACATCGGTCCCTAAAAGCTTCAAACCTGGAAATGAACGCAATATAGCTTTTTGAGGAAGAACGATCGCTTACTTACAAAGTTCCTCCTTGAAGGATGCTGTCTATTCGCAGAGCACTCAGTTTTCTTCAATTTCCGGAACTTTCTTTTTCTTTGTTCAGACGTCGTCAGTTGACAGAGCGTTGTAGCACATTAAGTGAATTTTTAAGTGCTCAAAGCTTGAAGCTTTAACTCTAATATATGACTGCTTGGGCACTAACGAGATATGTGATGTATGCTCCAGATGAGTACGACTCCGCTCGGTGTTGTTTGTGGCCAAGATGATTCTATAAGACGAGCGTCTCTGTGCTTCTTTTTGATTTTCAAACGCTGTTCTATGCGATGAATACTCAAAAAAGCTTCAGCTTTCCGTGTTTTGCGTGAACGCCGGTAAACTGTCGGTTTCAGGAGAGCGGACAGCCGCACACGACGGTTTCCAGCTGGCAAGAGAACAGCGAACTGCCAGAGCAGGTTGTCACCGACTACGACGAGCACGGAAACAAAATCACGTCAGTATCCGAAAAGATGTAGTCTGTCCTTACGATCGTTTTCAGCCGTACGATCCGAACCTCACAAGTCAAGCATACGGTCCAGAAACAAACTTTCCAAAACTACATCGTGGACGATGACCAAAATCCCGTGGTAGGTAATTTGAAACAGTTAACGTTTACTACCCAATTACCCAATTTTTGCGTTTTTGTTTGTGGGACTTGATGATGAATAATAGATCGAAAATTTTAGTTCTGGAAAAAATTTCATTTCTTTCCCATCTCCTTTTCACGTTGTAACAGTAGAAAACTTCAGTACTTCGATTCCAAATCAAAATTATTTGCGCAGATAACGTATGAATCTATTTTATTTCAAAAGTATCGGAATGTTTGATAACTCCCGAAGTTAGAAAAAATTTTTTTTTCGACTCGAGAAATGCCCTCGTCGGTGTTACAGTCATTATTTCTGCAAAGATGATTTTTTTTATTAAGGGTGTCGTCCAAGTTGAACGAAGTCGCGAGCAGCTGACGCCAGTCGGCCAAGAGGCCAAGAACGGCTACGGCGTCGCGGAATCGCACACTCGGACCATGACCTACGACGCGAACGGCGGCGACGACGCCTGGGGAGGCCAAGTCGGCGATTTCTTTCTGAGCTCTTCAAACGAAACTTTTGCAGGGCTTAGGCGAGTTTGTGTCGTCGAAGACCGTCACACAGGGCAATAGAACTATCGAGACCATCACCTACAAGGTTGAGAAGGACGGTATCATTGAGACGCGCGTCGAGCACCGCGTGACCATCCATTCCGATGCTGCTATTGATCACGATTCGGTAATCCTTCAACTCTATTCAAAAAGGACAAAAAAATGTTGCTTCTGGGAGAAGGGAAATCATAGCGAGGAACGTAAGAACAGTTGTAAATAACTCTTTTTTTTTCTCTTCCTTTTCCGAGTTTGCTGTCAGAAAATGAAGAACGGTCATTTTTTGAACTTTAGAAGACGTTCAGGCTAATTTATAGAATTTATAAACTTCGCGCCGAATCGATACTAAACTTTTTCAGGAGCTGAGCCAAGCTATTCTGGAGGCAACGCAGATGAATCCGGATATGACGGTCGAAAAGATCGAAGTACGCCAGGAAACGACTAATTGATAACTGTGCCTCCAGAAATGTTCGATTTCAATTTGTAAACCTGCCCATTCAACCTGTTCCATTTATGCCTTTCGAATAATCGACTTTGAGGTGTTTTTTTCCAGCTCTCAATAACGAAAAATATGCGTGAGCGAATCAATTTCTCGAAAACGAACGAAATCTGCATTTTGTAAAGGGCGCAGTGTATGTGAGTATCGTCGTTTGAATTTTTCGTGTTTTTTAGTTTTTGAGATTTCTTACCTGTTTTTTTTAATCAAACGGTTTTACCACTGGCATTGTAGCTGCTTGTTTTTATCTGCTTTTTTCCGAACACTGCTTTATGGATTTTGATTTTCTTTTTTTTAACGTTTTAACAGAATTAACCATTTACTTTTTCCATTTTATCATGCCGGTTCAGGTTCTTCTGGTTGCAATAGTTCATTTAAATTATTCCTTCAAAGATCCGCCCGGTTTGCTGTACCACAAGCGCACTTATTTATCTGTAATCTGAAAATTTCCCCCCATAGGCCAGACTTTTCGTTTGCTGCCTGAACTTCTCGAAAGCTATTCATTTTACAACAATCTCTTTCGCGTTTTATTTGTTCTGATGCTAATAAACAATTATGCTTCACATTTTTTCGATCATTATACCTTTTTCCAGGCTTTTTTCATCGCCCTCATGTTCGGTACCGAAATCAAAATTTGTAAAACCGCCATTTTTACGAAAAGCTGGACGAGAGAATAAGTGAAGAATAGAGTTTTGTCGAGAAGCGATGTGATTATTATTTCAAAAAGAGGTGGACCTACAAAAAACTTTTTAGTACCAAAAAACATTTTTTCAGCTCAAAATAACTTTTTCTGAAATTTTCGACATTTTTTTGCATTTTGCCAGGTCTGAAAATATTATCGTTTCTTCATTATTTATCATCCTGTGACCTTCTTTTTACTTTAATTTTGGTTTCAAATCAAAGTTCAAGAGGAGAATTGAAACCCTAAGACTGAGGCAGCCCATGGTGAGTCTATAACTATGACCAGTCCAAATAAAACATTTTTGACCAATTTCAAAAAATCCTTGTATTGAAATTTCTGTAATTTTCTTTCAGATGTTGTTGATTTTAGCTAAGACATGTACAAATTTTAACAAATTTTCCGAAAACTGCAAAAATGATGGTGCGTCAATAATTATGACGCGAATCAAATTAAAGAGTTATTTTGCTTTAAACAAAAAACTCATGTGAAAATTGAAAAATTTATTGATATATTTGAGACTGGGATACGAGTTTATTGATTCCGAACGTAGCCGAAAAGTCGTGGTAGTTGGTATTCTCTGATAATACCGAGAAAAGTAAAACTCGTCTATTTTCAATGATTTGGTCGCTTTTTTTTGTAAATTCTGAAGAAAACCACAAGAATTTTCAGATGTTGGAGGCGTCAAGCAATGTTCTGAATGTTCTAGAATCTCTGCCAGTTCTGATCGAGACTTCGACTTTCTTTGTCTGGTTTTTTTCTGTATGTTAGTCTGTTATATCTTAAAATAGTGGTAAAAAATAGCTCGGAGAAAAAGACGATAACAGGTCGAAAAATGCTCAAATCCATGTGGATTCACGCGAGTTGGAAACAAAAGCTAAAAATTCATTTTTGAATTGAATTTTTTTTTTTTGACTGTTTTTGGGATTTCGGAGTTTCCCTCATTTTTTTGGAAGAAGAAATCCGAAGAGTTGCAGTTTGCATTCTTTGTCCGTTTCCTGCACATCTTCTCAACGACGGAACCTCCGCGGGTGACCTACACCCAGAAGTGCCACAGCGAGATACGACGTATTCTCGAAGAGTTGCCGATCCTCCAACAGCCGTCAGTTTCATCCATTCTCTTGAAACTGATAAAAAAAAAAATCAAAACTGAAGATTGAATAGAGCGTGACTAACAATTAGGGATGAAAAACATTGAACAAAGCTAGTATCGGTTTTGAAACGTGAAACTTGGATCGTAAAGCGGAAAAACTGGCAAGGCGACACGGCTGACTTTTATCCCAATTTACTCCGTCTAAAATTTCAATTTTGACCGTTTTTAACGGTCTAATCAACGTCTTCAAGGAGTTTGAATATTTATCACCCTGTATGTTCATGCAGATACCGTCCTCCGTTGCTCTGGGGTCGATCTGGACACATTCAAACTGCAGCTTATGGAATTCTGGGCCACGTCACGCTAAGGTTTGTTCTGTTAGGCAATTGAAAAGGTTTTTCATTTTTATCAACAAAATTAAACGGTTATCCCAGTTTGATACGTTCTCCATTGGAATCGAAAAGTTGCTCTCAAAACTTTTGCACTCTCCTTTTTTTCCCAACGTTTTATCTTTCTCTTCGATGAAACAAAAATTTCACAGAAGGAGCGCTGATCAAAGGGTTTCGCTTGGTCTTTCGGACGGCTCTACGGTGACCTTCGATATCTACGAGCCTCTGAAAGTCCACCAGGTGAGTAAAGTTGAAATCAAAAATAATCAGATGGGAAAGGAAAGATTGATGATACTTTAGAGCGGACACGACGTCACGCTGGCTTTGACTCCCGGAATCGCCAATTCCAGCGAGAGCAACTACATTCGCACATGCGTTCATTATGCACAGGAGAACGGGTCCGTTTGTATTTTTGAACTTTCCAAGTACGTTCTAAAGAGTTTCGTAAACCATAGATGCGAAATTTTCTAAGGTATAGTCCGTTTATCGCGACTTGAAAGGGTGGGACTTCTCTGCGCCCTCCTCGTCTCTCGACGACCCTCTCTTTTCGATGCGCTATTTTCACGTTTCTCTAACCTCGCCGGTGAGGGAACAGAGAGACGCAGACACGCGCAACTGTCAAGTCGCGTCAGACGGACTATAAATGAATATCGCATGCGATACCTATTCTGTCTAAGGTTCCGATGTGTCGTTCTCAACCACATAGGGGCGATCGCTGATGTGCAAGTGACGGGTAATCGTATCTTCACCTACGGTCAGCTTTAAAACGTCTTAAAGAGACATACTTGGCCCAATTGCAGGAGGCATCGAAGAGCTGACAATAATGATGGCTTACATGATGGACAGGTGTCCAAAGGCAAAGTTCATAAATATTGGCTTTTCCATGGGAGGAAACATAACCACACGCTACCTCGTATACATGCCTGAAAACCACAGGCAGTTCTGAATCGAGGAAAAATTCAAAAAATGACTTTCAGAGACAGAGTTTTGCTGGGCCTTTCGGTGTGCCAAGGATACTCGGCGACCAACTCGACTCCCATGTACCACGACTGGGAGAACGGCCGACGGGCCTACAACTACATGATCACAGAAAACATGAAACGGCTGCTCCGACGCAACTACGAAGAGGTCGTCAAGCCGTACGTGCTGAATGGTCTCGTCGACGAGCAGGTAGTTCCTTTCCAAGGAATAAAGTGTTTCAAGAAAACAGATACCACAAAACCAAGAAAAAAAAGAAAGATCAATCGCCACAGAGCTGAAAACTCGAGTGGAAGTAGATCAGGGCATTCAAAAAGTTACACTGTGGGAACCGTCCAGTGTCGCAAAAATTCTCAATTATCAAAAATTTTAATTATGCTTACGTAGAAAATCTTTTGAAACCGTTTTTAGTATCTATGTCATTATAGTTGGTTTCCTATCTCGAAAAAAGTGCATAAAATTTTAAATTCGAAACAAAAAAAAGTTCTTTTGTGGTTTAGAAACTTTGGTCTTGCACTTCTATCATTGCCCTCGACGAGTACTACTCCCGAAAAATCACAGGTCACTCAAACCTGCCCGACTTCTATGCCAGTGTTGACTGTCTGCCGATTCTCGACCAAGTTCAGGTCTTTCATCATCTCTTTGCTCGTTCAATCTTAACCCTAGGTTCCAATGGTGTTCCTCAACGCTGAGGACGATCCGATTGTCCCAAAAAAACTTTGGGAACCCGTTAAGGTAAGAAAAATCCTAAAGACTCGGACATTGCTAACGCGAAACGGACGTGCTCCGGAAGCTTCCGGGGGATTCTAGGAATCACTTAGGAGTGCTGAGGCTACTAAAGTGGTCACTAGAAATGCCCCGACACGTTCGATTTGCGTTACCAAGGTCAGAAGATGTTTTCAGCAGAAAAGGATATTGATCCGAAAAAAAATTAAATGCTAATCGCCAAGTCTAATACAGAGAAAAGGTTTAAAAACTGCTCTTCTCGGAATTTTCGTATCAGAAAGTTTGTTCTTATATCCAGAGCGGCCGTTTTCGAATCTCGAAATCCGACAAAAAAAGAAAGAAATATTTCCTAACAAAAAAAAATCGTATTTCAAACTGAGAATCGATTGCAGTCTATGGCGGCGGATCGAGTAAATTTGGCGTTTATCAGTTGCAAACATGGCGGACATCTCGGATTTCTAGAAGGAAGTTCCCTGGCACCCAACTCCATCACTTGGATTGACCGCTTCATTATTCAGCTAGCTAACCAGTCGGTTCTCGTCTGCACATGAATCCATTTGGCTCTCAGGCTAGACTTTTCGGACCTCTGTCAATCTTGATGATTGTGACCAAGGGAAATTTCAGGACTTTCATTTTTCTCAAAATATGTTAGAATAGCGCAACCATTCTTTGCACAGCACACTTGTGATTTACGTCATCAAGTTACATTTTTTAAATGACGGGTACAGAAACTTTCTTTTTTATTTATTGGTAATAAACATTGCTTTCAAAATAAAGTTTAAATAGTTATGTGAATGTATTTAATTGAAACGACCGATGTGTTAAAAGCTATTTCGCCGCCATGGGCGGCTGTAGAATAACAGAAAAAGAAAGTTGTTGTTGATGGAAAAGTTAAACGCGGTAACACATGACAAAGTGGACGTCAGCAGTGATGCAATTGGGATAGGCTTCGGGTGAAAGGACGCGGAAGCCGACATAGCGAAGCGTCCGTGGGAAGCCTTCCGTCATGGAAAGGCCCTGCTTCTCGAAAACAGCAAGTACTCGTGAAACCTCTGAAAAGATATTCATTGATTAAGAAAGGTTTCTTCCCCTTTAAAAGTGAAATTCATAATTTTTCAGAAACCACAATTTGAACTCGACAGATCTTTAAAAAATTTAAACGGTCAAAGTAACGGTTTCTGTTCTTTTCGCATAGGATTGGGACACGAAACTTGAAAAAAAAAAATAAGCATTCATGGTAATGCAAACTAAAGGGGTATGACGAGAATTAAAAAAACTCAATCAGAGTGACCTTATGACGTGTTCAAAATGGTTCGGCAAAACTCAAAAAAGTGAAAAAGATTTTCAATTTTTAATCTTCTCTCAGAACAGCTCATTGCGAAATTTGAAGGCGCAAAAATCGGGAATCGCTCGAAAAAAAAAACTCGAGTTCTCGATGAAAAATATCATAATTCAGGTTTTGACTTTTCTTGATACTCCTAACGAATTAAAATGCTGATTTCTAATTTTCACTTGACAGGGGAAGATTATCATTATCAAAAGATGAAAAAAAAAAGTTTAAAAAAACTCAGTCGAATTTTAAAAAAAACTTTCCGAAAAATTTGATCAGAAATCTACCGAAAAAACACTTAAAACTTTGATGCCCTGTTGCGAAACGTTATGAAACTATTCCATCACCAAGCGCGCATCTTTATCGTTATCAATGGTTGGAATCAGCGCTCTAAAGTTGCTCACGCGACATGGATTGGTTCATTGAAAATTGAAACGAAAATTGTTCGGAAGAAGAAATACCAAGAAACAATATCAAGAATTTTGGAAATCCCATCTCTTACATCATACAGATACATTTGAATTTTAAACGGGAAACGGAAAAAAAAAACATAAAAACGTACGCAATTTATCTTCGGCAAACTCGAGCAAGTCGACGAACTTTTCTTTCGAAAGACCGTTGTGTTTTTGATCCGCAGGCATGACAACAACCAACGTTTCTTTGTCCGGCATTCCACAGCCCCATGATGGCGAAACTGCTTTTACACGTCGGATCGTCTATAATCATATTTTTTCTCGCGTGTTTTGACATAATTGAACCACAAGTCAAAGCATATTCCTAATTAAAAGTTGACTAACTTCTTCTTTATACGGAGTTACATGTGGAGGGGCGTCAAAAACACCATCCGCCTTCGCCGGGCCCGCTCGACGAGTTGGAGGAGAAACTGTAAAGGAGATATTCAGCAACTTAACACTGAATGTAGAACTTACAGATTAAAATTACTGTCGTTTTTATTATTACTAATCAACGTCGACATTGTTGGAGTTGGCTGGTTGAAGCGAGAAGCACTGGTAAGGAAACTGAGCTCTCTGCGGCCCTCTCTCATTTTTATAAGCGGCAAACTCTGCGTCTCTTCTCGACGTCCACTATTTCACACTCTCGTCGTCTGCGTTCGTTTTCACAGGCACTCGTCGTCACACCCTCGGCCATCGATTCAAACGTCAGCTGAGTGCCGCAGTCTAGGGAATGGTTTACAGTAATACCTCAGCTTTTTGAGGGCACTTTGCCAATTACTAGCCGCAGTAATAACTGCAGTCCGGCAGATTGCTTGCTTTCACCTTAACATGCTACACTCTCAATAATATAGTCAGAAGCAATTCATAAGACTATAAAACACTTTTTCGTCTAGTGTTTTTCAATTGTAATTATATAATATAATCAGTTCATGGGAGCTTATTGAAGTTTGAAGGATAATGCCGTGTTCAGAGGGATTCCGCGAAATTCAAAATAGTCGTAAAAAAGTGAAAAGGATAAGTAAATTTTGGAAAGTTCGAAATCATTTGGTATTTCAGAGATAATTTGGATTTGGTATCAATAAGCGTCCATGAACGACCCATGTATTTCACGGAAACTACTTGAACTATTTATTCCATTAATAGAAGAATCGAATTAGTTTTTTTTTTTTTGAATTAATCAGCTTTATGGGAAAAATATAAAAAAATTCTCGAATTTAAACTTAAATTAAAAAACAAATAAATTTTGCGTTTTCATCTTTGCAAAGCACTGCGATCATGTCAATGTAGGATGAATCTTCATCTAAACCTTCAGAATCGTATGATCTCTTGGCGAAATTCTATTTTCAGTGATGTTTTAAGTCATACATATATATGTTTTTTCGATTGACGACATCTAACTTTACTTTTCTTTCGATCGGCTGTATACGACCCAAAATTCTTGCAGGAACATTGCGGGCAAATATATATTTTGATACAACTCTCCAATTACAAACCCCATGGCTCCGTGCGAATTTTCGGCGCCCTATGTCGAACCTGCGAGCACCGATGTGGAAGTCAGTTTATTTTTTCACATACATTATTTGCGTGCGAAAACATAAATTTAAAATCTCAAAGAAATACTTTTGGATTTCTTTAGGTCCGTATCAAAGAGTTATTGGACTATTATGCTGTGGAAGATGCCCTGCTCTTAGCAGAAGTTTATCATTTGAAAGGTAAAATTCAATTTTCTATAAGGCTGTTTCAATGGAAGATCGGTTTAGTAAGATCGGAAGAATCTTTGCTAGTGTATACAGATTGCTTGATGCGCGCCAATCGTGCAGAAGAGGTAACGTCGAATTTCTCGGTTTTTAGCTTGTTTTTTTTTCAGGTTTTTGGTTTACTCTATCCAAAATCTTTGGAGAATCCTCGGATAAGATATGTATTTGCGAAATGTTGTTTTCAATTGAACAAGTGAGCTTTACTCTAAAGTTTCCAACAAATAGAAGCGTTTTTAAGGTTGGAAGAGTGTCAGACAGCCTTGGTAGATGCTCAAACTGGCAGCATGTTCGAGTCTCTCGTCAATTCACCGGCAGCACCGTATGCTCACGTGCTTCTGGCGACTTTGTTATGGTCTTTCTGTCGATTCGAAGTCTTTTTTTTCACGTGAAACCAATTTAGTGACACTGGACGCGTTGAAGAAGCGAAGGAAGAATGTAAAAAATGTGTAAAGATCAACGTGCTTTTCTGGTCTGGCGTCAACAATTACATCACCTACGGTGGCAGAAAGTTAGAAAGACTTATCAGAAAACAAAAAGAAAACGTCATGACTGGATGGTGAATTTTTTTTTCTTTCACATTTCACACCCATTCGGAGATGGCTCCTAAGCCCTCTCAGCATTTTTTTTTTCAGTGCAAGTGAATTTTCGGATGAAGAAGAAGACACAGCGGAGGAAGACGGACCATATGACGACGAGGACGATTCCTTTTCCAATCCGGAACCCCTAAAAAGTAGCGTCGACACGAAAGTTCGACGGTCCCTGAGAAGCCATACCTCTAAGGTATTTTTTTCTTCAAACTAAAAAAATATACTTGGTGTCCTCACGTCTGATTGACTTTCACAGATATCAGTAACAAAAGAAATACAATGTATTGCAAAAGATATTAAATTTTTTTTTTCAATTAGGGATTATGTACCTTGAAGTTCAAGAAAAATCGAATTAATTTGATTCATCAGAAGTATGCGAAAATTTGGTTCCCGAAGATTCAGAATAATGTTTATAGCATTCGTTTAAAAGCTGAGGATTTGAATCGGCATTCGAAATACTATCTCGAACGGAGTGTTATTGACAATCCTGTGTTCAAAAGTTCTTATGGCATAACTTTCGTTATTTTAAAGCCTTTTTCCTTGAAACGGCTTCTTTCCCTCAAACTAAAATTTTCATATTTACCCACCTTTTTTTATTAAACTCAGCCAGGGTAATAGTAGTTTCCGGATTTTGAAAAAATCTTGTTTTCCGTTTTTTGTTTCTGCCTAAATAATAATTCCCATATTCAGGAATTTGAGAAAAATTTAGTCAGTTGCCATTGATTTCGTTTTTTTCATCTAGTTGGATTATTTAATAATTTTGATAGTTTAGTTTTGTGAAAAACTTTTTTGCGCCTGAGCCTTACGGCGTATTCCAGACATTTTTCTAAGACGAAGTTATTTTTCCAGGACTTGAAAAGTTCAGTAGTACGATATGGTTGCTGCGCGTGAATTGATATTTTCTATAATTCACTTCAATGAAAGATTTTTCAGTCAAATGCAACCCCAGCAGCGGCTCCTGCGCGGAAAGCTGTTCGTCCTGTGGACAAACGGACGCCTGCGTCTTCTGTTGTGCCGAGTCAGCCCGTGGCGCCTCGCAAACCACGCAGCAGCGAGGTATCTTTCCCTTGTTTCAAATATTATTTTTTCAATCGCAAAAATGATCTTTTACGATAATTTAGCAGTAAGGCCTAACTTTTTTAACGAAACATTTATATTTTTATTGTTTTTGACGCGATCATTCGAAGTGATTCAACCATAAATCGGCTGGATCCCACCACAGCCTTTTGCGAGCGAAAAAAACTGAAAATGTACTGAAATAGGCCTTAGCTTTTGTAGACTTCGAAAAAAAAAGTAGAAAAAGTATTTCCTTTGATTTTCTTTATTCGAGCAGCGTCTACTGCTCTCTAACCGTATCATACTAAGCAGCATTTTTAGGAAACTCTTTTTTTTTTCTAATCAATTTCGCCAAGGTTGGTGATTCAGGCGGAGCCAAGGTCGATGGCAACACGCGCCGCCTCTCAAAGACTCATGTTCAACAGCGACACGGAGAACTTTAACGGCGCCGCTGTACGAAGCCGTGCGGGCGCTGCCGGGACACGAAATGCTTCCCGAGTAGATCGAGTGAGTTGTTATAAATCTCAATTTACAGCAAATCTATTTCATTTTCCGTCAACTAACTAAGAAACTCTAGTGTGGTCTACATAGGGGCAACCTTAGGGCACACTGAAGCTGGCAAAAGTGGCCCATATATGTATCAAACCCTAAAGCTCTATAAGGACCACCTTGACTTTACCCCTGTTGGGACCACTTTTTCGGTCCCTATTGGGCAGTTTCTCTCCCTAATTCCAATAGGAACCACTCAAAAATTCCTAAGAAAGTCTTCTTTGAACTAAGACCGAAATTGCTTTGTAGAGTCAAAATGTCCGATCAACTACAAAAACCGATTCTTCGCGACTTACTTCTTCTCGGTAACTTTGGTTCTCAAAGCTTAACCAGCAAGTTGTTCATTTTGAAGAAAGGTGACAAAGCCGCTTAGTTCAAGAAACTCCAATCTCGCTCGAAGTCTTTCTGGATCCGCTAACTCGGTATAAACGCTTCTTTTTTTCTAAAGTAATATCGAAATTAAGGTGTCATCTATCTCGTCAAACGCTAAAATAACGGATGAAAAAGATAGGGGAAAAGAAAAAGCTCTCGAAATCGGACAAGTTGCCGCCGAGGATGAAAAGAAGCGTCTAACAGAAGAGGAAGAAGCTCAGAAAAAGATCGTCGTACCCATTTATAGCAAAGTCTACAGTTAGTTCTTGCTAGTTTTTTCTCTCTTTTACTTACATCAATAAAAATCACTTGATTCTAGTATTATCGACAATTTTTCTTGCAGTAGTGGGAAAAGACTACAAGAGACTCTTCTATTTAAATTTCGGATTAATGAAAAAAAAAACCCCCCATTAAACCCTTTTCAGCAAAAAAAATCCACTTTTGACAGGATAGTTTCAGGAAATATCTTCAAAATAATATCCTCACTGGCGATGATTGAAGCGGCAGCGGCCCGATATAACTGGAAAGCTGTTGCTCGTATTTTTCGTGAGTTTCATTCCGAACTTACAAGAATTGGCTCATTTTGAAATGTTCTCTAAGAGAAAGGCGATTCTTGAGAAGGTGTTCGGAAGGTAACCATTTGTTATTTGGAAGGGGAATGGAAGCTAGAAGCTATTGAGAAGGCCTTGGTAAAGTGTTCAGAAGGTAGCTGGTAGGAAAAGAGTTGAAAAAAAAAGCCGTGTACGAGTTGAGAATTGAGATTTTCTGCGTTTTATAGGCCTAGGTAAGAATACTCGGGAACAGAAATGAAGTTCTACGAAACCACACAGGCAATTAAATTTTGGCTTTTGCATTATAAATTGGAAATTATATCTCAACTTTTCGTAGTCTTCCAACACTTTGAATTAAACCGTGTATTATATACGTTTGAAGGTTTTGAAGTCCTTCTGGAAAATTTTGTCATATATTCCCGATGTTGATGATTTATTCGATTTGAAGTTTTGAAATTTCTAAAAAGGATCCGAAGAATAAAAAAGGAAGGTATAATAATAATTTATTCATCCACAAGATGAAAATAATAAATAAGACTTGGGACCGGTTTAAGGTCACCCTCACGAGTGATATTACCGGATAGGGTATACAATAGATAATCACAGTTGATAAAAGTACACGTATAAGCATTTTGAGAGTTTTTGAGAAAATTTATAGTAGCCATCTAGGGATGCTGACGAGGAATTCATTGTCGGCGATGTTGTCCAGATGAGATTTGAAAATTTTAGTAGGGACAGAGACGTTGAATCTATAAACGGTATGAGCATTCTAGTACTTTTAGTATCTATTGCTTTTAATTGGAAAGAGGGGAATTTTCAGAAAAGCTCGACCGAAGTGTCCTGAAAGAACTTCCATTGGCTCGGCTAATGCACGCAAGAGCCTGCTTCGAACAATGCGAATACAGCGAAGCTAAAGAACTTCTGTTGGCTCTGCACAAAGAACAGCCGTACCGTGTCGAGGTGAGAGCACCTTTCCTCTGAACCAAGTGATGCCTTAAGGGCATGGAATTGTTGTCGACCGCTCTATGGCACCTCCAGGACTCCCAGACTCTGTCGACTCTCGCGCAGGCACTCACCACCGAGTCTCGAGATCGGCCGCAGTCTTGGTGCGCCGCCGGAAACTGTTTTTCCCTTCAAAGACAGGTTTGTGGAATTTAGTTGAAATATGTATATAAAAAAGCTTGGGGCGTGCCGTAGCGCAACAGGTTGTGTGCCTGTCTACGATCCACAGGGTCACAAGTTCGATCCCCGCCCCAACCCAACCAAGGGGTTTAAGAAATGTTGGTAATGGGAAACCACGGGTTCAAAATCCCCAGCAATCACACACAAGGACGGATATGTCACTGGAGCCAGTCCACTGATAAAGAAATATCAGGATAGGACCTCGGCTAATCGACTTGGGGCGCCGACGCCGCTCAAGCGGTACAAAGGCGTAGGAAGAAGAAGAAGAAGATGTATATAAAAAAGCTTATTTAGTTTGAGAGAAATTTAGCTCTGTTCCAGAAAACCTTCCACTTTTTTCATTGAGCTTGCCATTTCGCAACTTCCAAAAGGAGTGTAGAACAAAAGCGCCATTTAAATTTAACGTTAGTCCGCAATGCGCTGTCGCGTGTATGCAGGCGTCGCTTTTTTTTTCTCCCAATAGTTCAATATTGACAGATTTCACGAAGATTATTCGAGTAGTTTATAAATATTTTTTTTACACAATTGATAAAAAAAGAGAAAAAAAAAGAAAAAAGTTTGAAATCATGGCGCAAAACGTCTTGGCACAAATGGATTTGGCGTCTGCATACACGCGTTTGCGAAATGGCACCCTTATCCTTCACTCTTTAAAAAACAGAGAAAAAAAAACTGAAAGTTGCCACAAAGAACCTTGGTCCCCTGAAGAACTCAGTTGCAGCACACGCAAGCGATAGAGTGCATGGAAAGGGCGTTGCAACTCGACAGCAGATTCGCCTATGCTCACACCCTTCTCGGGCACGAGCTCATCGTCCAGGAGGAGCTCGACCGTGCCGCCTCTGCTTTTCGGTTCGATATCACTTTTTAGAGAGAGTAAAAAAATGCGTTGCTGCAGGTCCGCCTTGACTCTCGCTCCACGTGACTATCGAGCTCTTCATGGCTTGGGACTGGTTCATCTCAAGAAGGAACAGAACGCCCTGGCGCAGGTTTGTCAAGGCCTACTCAATCAGTTACCTCAAGCTTTGGGAATAAAATGGTTAAATTTCATTTACAGTAGCGGAAATGGGTGAATTCTTTTTTTCGGTTTTTCGTCTGTAACTTTGTCAGAAAACAATCATTTTGACTTTGAATTTCAACCAATTAGTTATTTTTTGCTTCTTTGAAATTTCAGGTCAAAAAAATATTTTTCAACAAAGTTATGAACGAAAAACCGAAAAACAGGAGGGTTTTGAAACATATAAAAATGTGAAACTCGACAAAAACTAGATATGTTAACCACTATTTTTCGCAAAGTTTTGAAATAGCATTTTTGCTTCAAATGTGGAAAGTATGCTTTCGTTTGCGTTTCGAATATTGAATAGAAACCTTTTTAACCTTTTAGATCGATATTTGTGTGTTTGACTGTGGGTTTTCAGTGCAACATGGCGAAGGCCGTACGGATCAACCCAACCAATCGGGCAATGCTTTGCACTCTGTCCCAGGTTGAAATGATGCTGAAAAAGCCGCAACGCGCCATGGAACTTGTAGATCGGGTATATCTTCAATTATTTTTTCTCGAACCTTCAAACTTTTTTTATTGTGACAAGGCAATTTTACATTTTTTTTTTCCACTTTTTTTTCAAGATGAAGAAGAAAAATAAGAAATAAAAACATAAAAACCAAAAAGAAGATAGACTTTTATGAAAAAGACTTCTAGCCGAACTTATTTTCTTGACGGGATCTGGTTTGCAGGCTCTGTCCCTGAAGCCGACGGACGTCGCTTCGAGATTCAACCGGGCCAGGCTCCTTTTCGAGGGAAAACACAACGAAGAGTGTTTAGCGGAGCTCGAGAAACTCAAGGCTTCTTCCCCAGATGAAGCCTTCGTCTTCCATCTCCTTGGTATCAATTTTCATTCATTCGTTGTCTTCTCAGTTTTTCCCGAGAGGGACAGTTTTTATAAATTCTCTGTAAGGTCTTTCGATATTTATTTAGAACCGTCCGCCAGTTATATAGGTCTCATAACACGTTTCTAATAGAAAAACTTTCTATGTGACTTTTTGGTCTAGGGACTACTGTAAATTACATTTTAAGACAAAAAAAAATTTGAGAAAGTTCAAACTGAAGCAACGGAGTCATTTTACACAATTGATCGCCTTGTGCAGTACCAGGAGGAACTTTGATGTTAAGTAACTCCTCTGTTTCAATTAAGAGTCTGATCGTGGGGGATATAGTTCAACTTTTTTTATATTTCCCAAAAGCCGAAATGGATAGCACTGAGAAAAATTATTCAACTTTTTTAATTCATAAGAATCGTTGCAGCAAAAGTTCATCGGAGACTGGGAAACCCACATCAGGCGCTTCTCAACTTCAGCTGGGCGGCAGAGCTCGATCCAAGAGGAGATCAAGGCGTTTCCGGAACAGTTGCGACGCAGATGCGTGAAGAGTATGAGGACGACGAGTACAGTTCCTCATGAGACCTGTTCCCAATAGCCCTCCCGACGGGTATATTCAAGCTGAACTTTTTTTTTTATTTGTTTTTAGGACACTTTTTTCTTAGGAACTATTTTTGAAAACCTAGGATACATAATCTCTTTCTGAATTTAGTCATTTTGTAATGAATTTAGCGTTTCTTCACTCTTTTTGCGAACAAATGAAATAATCTGTGATACAAATCTATTCATTTTTCATTACCCTCATGTACTCGATTTTTTCTCATTATCATTCAAGACTTGTACGGGGAGCGGTCGGTGCTTGCGCCGTTTAACGAATTTCAAATTTCTTCCAACAATTTTTATTCACCTATTCAGAAATTTCATGATTGACTGCAAAACCAAAAATCCATGAGATTGCAATGAAAATATTGTTTGTGAGAACTGTCCTTTTATTTTACTTATGCAACCGATCGCTCTGAACAGTCCTTTCTCTTTCAATAAGAAATTATAATCTGTTGAAACTTGTTTTGTAACCAAAATCATTTGTAAATTGCTCTTCTCCCCGATCTTTCGAGTTCAAACTCCAATCTTTCAGACGAGGTTATCTGGGAAAAAAAATCACAATGCTCACTGTTCAATGACGTATAGCGTACGACTAATCCTCATTGATTGATTATCAACTTTTATTAGCATTTGGAAAATGAAAATTTTCATAAATCATATCTTATGTACATTTTTACAAGCAAATTTTGAATTTTTTGAAAATTTTTACATCAAAAACTGGAAATGACTATTTCTTAACGTAAAGGCACAATGTGAGAAAACACCGGAAATTCAAATTTTGAAAGAATATCATCGTCTATCAGATTTTTACGAGGGGTGCAAAGGCGAAATTGAAGCAGAACTTGAAGGCTTCGAAGATTCGGTGCCACACGCCTTTTCGACCCATTTGAGCGGAAGTCAAGCGAAGATGATTGTTCTTCCCCTTTTGGATCTGAATGTTCCCCATTGAAATTGCGTCTCATTTGACTTTCTCCGTAAAATTTAGTCGAAGGTAACTAACATTTTTACAGAACACACATTCCAGTTGGACAAGCTTCAGCCTTGGCGGGTAACGGAAGACGGGATACTGATCAAAGTAAGCGACGAATCGAACAACATCGTCTGAACTCGAAATATTAGTGACATATCAAAAAAAAAAAAGTCACAACGACTTTCTTAACCCGAAAAAAGTTCGGTTTTTTTTCCACAATCTCAATATTACAATAGTTCGATATACTGTTCTGAGAAAAAAAAAATCCAAATCCCGTATACCAATGCAGGTGGAGAGAGTTGAGTTTACCGTTTTTGGAATAAAATTAGATTATAACTACAATTAAGTTTCATGTATCAGATATAATATCTGATTCCAATAACCTATTCCTCTTTTTTTTAAGTTTTCGTTTGGATCGATTAATTTTATAAAGATTAGTGAGATCAAGTGAAGCTCGTACTTTCGTCGACAAGTCGCAGCATGTCGAGAAAAACGTGACTGGCGATGAGCTCGAGTTGCCCTTTGCTGCTGCTCACGATCCGCTCCCCATGGGGTCCTGAGACTTGAAGCTCCAACGTGTACACGTTGTGTTCGCTCAGAGAACACTCGTTGCCTCTGGAAACTCAGCTGATCTTCGCGATCACAATGCGTCCAACAACTGACTTGATGTCGGACTTGTGAGTGTTCTCGCTGTCTTTCGATCCTTTGTTGCTGTCGTAGAAGCATCGAACTGACTGGTCGATGCTGTCAGGAAGGTAGCCGAGAAGCGCTTCGAAGGAGTTGTCGATGTGAACGACACGAACTGACTGAACTGTTCCAACCCAGTTGATGGCAGTGCCTGAAGTTCTCTCTTTAACAATTTTCAATATCGTCTTCGAAAAGCTGTGTTTTTGACACGGTCTATATTTTCCGACGATCAACTGCATCCTACATGGAGATGCTGTTGATCTTCGGAGCGCCTAAGATTCGGCTACTACTGTCACAAGAAAGACAATGATCAACGACAGTTTCGCGAACTGACAAAAAAATCTCCAATTATTCCATGATTCATCAGGAAATCTTCTCTAATGCCGTGTTCAAAGTAATTTCCGCGAAATGCAAAATGATCTCTGACTCTCCAAAATTTAGTGATCTTTTCCTTTCTCTAACGGGTATTTTGCATTTCGCGGAAATTACTTTGAACACGGCATAAAAACTGAATAAATGTGTGTAAAAAAGGAACCTTTCAACTCGCTGCACTTGATTTGATTCGCGATATCGTTGGCTCCGTTCAGCTTGCATTTTTTATCGAATTGTGTCCTTATAAAGATAACAATAGCATGTTTTAATTTGACCCTTGAAACCAAGTCAAGTTGGTGACGTCAGTCGTCGGACTAAACGATTTTTGGCCTTCGTAGAGAAATGAAACGGCCATCAGCAGGGTGACAAGGTAGACGGTCACCAATATCCATTTTCTCTTGGTCGGTGAAACATCAGCTAACACTGAAACTCGGGAATCGAATTCAGAACACGGTACCGGTCGACGAACAATTCATTTTGTAGATTTTGGAAAAGTGCGTGTAGAGCTTAGCGAAGACGAACGGCGAGCAGAGAAGCAATAAAGTGAACATGGTCTTCAAGACGTTCACCTGAACTTCCTGTTTCCCTATCAAAATGAGGCTGCTGATACCATATCGACTGTGCTTTTGAACTGCACGAAAAGAATTGCAAGTACAGCCGAGGCTGCCGTTGCGGAGGGGAAAAACAGGAAAAATGTGCCGCACACCGTCAAGACCACGTCAATGTACTAGGAACTGATATTCAAAGCGCTGTTTACCGCCGCTGGACTCACTCCGAAAGAGTTCCATCCGAAGGTTATGATCGTCATAGTGATGTCGGACCAGATGATGCAAATCTGAAAAACGAATGTAAATTGAAGATTGTTGGTTGGGCGACCAAGTGAGGAACTACAGCATGGGCGGCTATTCTGAACGAAGAGCACTTGAGGGCGATCAACAGGTAGAGGATGGGGATCGCCAGAAGGCACATCGATGGGAAACCGATGGCCAACGTGAAGTAGCCTGTCGAGAGAAGACATCAAAACTTGAAGGGAAGGGAGAATTAAACTCAGCCGAAGTTGGATCCATGGTTTGAAGAACAGTGAGTATATGATGTTCGGTAGGCGGATGTGAAGTCGCGACAGCATCAGCGGTAAACTAATTTTGGACTTTTGAATATGAACTTGAGGATTTCAGAGTGGTCCCTATAGGGGTTAGGGGGGAAAAACAGCTTCTATAGGGACCGAAAAAGTGGTCCCCATAAGGGTAAAATCAAGGTGATCGTTATAGAAGTTCAGGGTCTGACCCCTCAGCCCCTAAAGCTTGAGTGGTCCCTATAGGGTCGTTCAATTTCATTCAAAAAGGTTTTTTTTTCATTTTTTCGCATGGAAATGCATAGAGTTCATAAAAATGATCGACTAGCATGTCTCCTATAGGGACCAGTTTTGCAAGCTTCAGTAGACCCTATAGGGGTTAGTAAAAAGGTCCCTAGAGGGGACTCTCCAAGGACCTCTATAAGGACCGCTTTGAAGTTCCTAAGATCAGTTCTAAGTACGAACCAAGAGAACAAATTCGCAAAGACGGCGATGAGCGCATAGAAGTCTGAAGAGTCGGAAAGGTTGACGAAGGTAGTGACGGTGAAGAGAACAGAAACAGCGCACAGGAGGCCAGTTTGTGGCAGAAAACGACCACTCGCTCCAACTGAAGCAACTTTCTTGTAGCCCAAAACACCTTCGACCCTTACCGGCGAGCACGAAAACGGAGACTGCGAAGAAAAAGTTGACGTACGGCTCCCAATTGTTCTCCGTCCGGAAACGGGTTTCCTAAAAAGGTCATGTGAAATACATGATGGAGAAGCGGCGAACTAACTAACAGTTACATTTGATTAAAAGAATTTTAACTTTTACGCCTACGCCAGAGCTGTGCGCTTGGCCGGCCACAGTATTGCACTGCGGTCCAAAATTTGCCACTTTTTAAACCTTTTTGTCTCGAAATCCTCACAGAGTGTGTAGATGGGGGATTGAAAATGTGTAATTTAGGAAAAATGTGATGATAATTATGAAATGAGATGAAAAAGTTCGCGATAGTAGGTTCAGCGCACAGCTTTATTCTAACCCATGGTTTCTTGTGTTGCTCATATTACTGTAACTAACTGAAGAAACATTCGTTCTTTCATCGCGAAAGATGTCGAGAACGCGCCGCCATTTGAACTTTTGTCGCTTGAGGCTGAAAATCAATCATGATGAGCCATGAAAGGTCGATCCAACCTCTGGTTGTGGAACATTTTCAAGGTGAAGATGACCATGAAAATGAAAGATCCGTATGCAACAATGATAGGTACCATTTGGATCAGACTCGGAATGCTTCACAAAAAAAAAAAAGATTATGAATATCTCAAGGTCCTCTCTTACGTAATGAACTGAACTAGACAAATTAGAACGAGCGTCTGAACTTGATGGAACGGAAATATGGCATAAGCGACCGTCAACCACTGCTCGTTGATCTTCTCCAGAATGGTGTCCACCAGGGAGTCGATTCTTCTCAACTGTAAACTTTTTCTCTTTCTGAACAGAAGGCAGCAACAAATGCTAATTTTAAGAGTCGAACTAAACAGTCTTTTTTTGAAAAATCCAAATCGGAACAACTCCTGACCACTTTGGCGGTGCGGCGTTTCTTCTTGGGGGCTTCCAGGCTCTCCGAATCGCTTTCTTTCTCTTTGTCGATGTTCTCTCTGAAGTGCTCCACAAAGGCGTCCTCGTCTTCGGGCTCCTAGATTTTGTTGGACTTCACTCTCGACTCGACGACCTACGTCGGCGGTGTCGAGTTTGCCGAGGACGTTGTCGGCGAGTTCTGACTGTTCGAAGATCTTCTTCAGCATTTCTCAAAAAATCAGTTCAAAAGAAGATTTTTGGTTCTCGATAACCTTCTTCTGTCATGAACTCATTCTCATCGACAGCATCAAATAGGTAACGGATGCCTTTCGCATTTGCCAACTGAGGATTTCTGTCGGCCAATCTCCGATAGAGATGTCTGGCTCTTTGGTCGAAATCTGAATAAAACAAGCCTTTTTTCCCTTCTCTGGTCGGGAAATAAACTCACAACCTTCCTCATCGCCATCTGGATCTCGGAAGTTATAGGCCGATTTTTGCTTACCGCCTTCGTCAGAAGAAAAAGATGCTTGTTTTCGAAGCATCAATAAAACCAAGAATAAGAGGAGGAATCCAAAGCTATCTTGAGATATTTATAGCAGTTCTACTATTATTTTGGCTCAGAAAAATTTTAAGAAACCAGATTTATTTCCTAATGGTGAAACAATTTGGAAATATGAAACAAAATGAAAAAAAATGGTGAGAAACATGGAAGATACGCGTCGGAATTGGAAATCCTATGAAAAAGTTTAAAAGAGATATGCAGGATTGAAACTGTGAGGAGGAGGGAAAAATATGAATCAGTTTTTGCGAGACGCTAACCGCATGGACTTTTCATTTTCAAATTGTCGATGGTCTGTTCGGGACAAAAAGTCCATCCGATTCAAGTACCCGTTCTTGCCGCGATTGTACGTCTCGAGGTCTTCCTAAAATCACTGACGTCATTTAAAAAAAAACAGTATAGCTTGTTCACAAAAGAGACCTACAAGGAAAATAGGTTAAATTCATAGTTACATAGAATATCTTCTTTTTCCAAATCTAGTTGAAGCCAACTCTAATATCTGCCTTTTTCATAACTCAGAAAGCTCGAATAAATACAAAAAAAAATCAGTAATATTCAAGATGATATTTTAAAAAAAGAACGAAAAAAAAAACCTTCAAATTGTTATCGGACTTGAAGGAGCTCCAGTCGTGCGTAGATTTGTCTAGAACCGACATTTTCGGTTTTTTTGCAATTAAAGTGAGAGCTTCTCCCAGTCCTGTTCGTCTGAAAGAAGAAAAAGATCTGGTTTGATTTTTAAAAAAATGGAATAAAACTTTTTAAAAGTCGATTTCGGAGCTGGTTTGCTTTGTTCTGTTTCTATTTTTACATACTCATCCACGGAAACTTCTCGTTCCACCCTGCAAAAAAAACAAGAAAAATTGAATTGGAGAAATCGTGAAAACGTTATTTCGTCGCCGGCAAAGTCGAAAGTTTCGCGTACGACCTTTTTTACAATAGTCGAATCTTCAGGAAGAGACACGGATGAGGACGATTCGATAGATGATTGTGCCCTCAAAACATGGAGCTAAGTAGCAGGAAGAATGAAATTGCATGAAAAAATTGAAAAGAAGAAACTCAACATGACGTTAACTACAAATTAAACTATAAATGAGACTCGAAAAATAAAAAGATCTCTTTTATATTAAAAAAAAACCTGTCAGTATCCCTCGCAACATTGTCGCGCTCTTTTGCTTTCTGCAGTAGAGTATCATCGCCAATCAGTTCGGCTAATAAATCGTCGACTTCTGCAGTGTTCGTAGGCGTATGTTCCTCTATAGACCTAATCATCCAATGAGTTTAGAGTGAAAGAAATCTCTCTTACTTCACTTTAGTATTCCTTCGTTTACTGTTCAGAACTCGGCCGTCAGCTGATGAAACCTCATCCATCTGAATAATTATTAGTTTAAAAAGATTCAAAAAAAAGAACCTCATCGCCGGACGGCTCCTCTACGTCCTCGCCGTCGTCCTTTGGCACATAATCTTCGTCTTCCGAGGAACAGTAGTCGTCCTCGGCTTCTTTTGCGCTCATTTTTGATTTTCCAATCACAAAATTTACGTCTTGCCGATAGGAATTCGACTCACGCTCCTTTGTTTCTAAATCGATCGATAAGATGAATAAACAACAAACAAGTATGTTTTTTTTCAAAAGAGTGCGCGAAATAAGGACCATGCGATGCACAAAGAATGCGCCATTCAACATTGCCGTGGCGCAGCGATGGAGGGAAAATTTGTTCCTCAGCTGAGAGGCGGGGTTTGGCGGGCGAGAGGAGGCGATAGAGAAGGAAAGAATCAGCTGGTCGCAGTCGCCCTGCAAGCGCACACACATACACGTACATTGGTTCCAGTAACCCCTAACCTTCAATTTCAACGAGTCAGAAGCTTAAAAACATGCCGTTCATGGGAAGAGACTGGCGTGCCCCTGGCGAAACCTGGATCAGAACTCCTCACACCAACGGCTGGGAAAGAACCAAACTCCGACCAATCCAGGTATATTTAAATGGTTTTTTCCTTTCCTCTATTGTTTCTCTCAATTAATTTTCTGCAAATTTATTCTATTTTTCTTGTTGAAAAAAAAAATCTATATCTTTAATCCGCGGTTATATAGAACATCTCTTTTCAGTAAGGGTTGAATGTCGAGAACATTCAGCATCAAATTAAAGTTCAACCAAGGTTAACCTACATAGTTTTCCACTGCATGTTGTTTTTTGACGTTTAAAAAAACTTGGTATAGCGTCAAGCAGATCGATTCACTCTTTTCTTTTCAAGGCGCGCTGTTTTTTTTTTGTCGATGCGAGTCGGCGGCGGCGTCAATTCCCACAACAACAAACAAGAAAAAAATGAGGCCTGATAGCTAGCAAAAGCCTTTTCTAAACTATTTTAGGCCTTATTATCACTGCAATCGATGGAAACGATAACAAAAAACATGAAAATCGAAGTTTTTAAAGTATTTCGGTTAGCGTACCCCGAAAGAATTCTTTTCTAGAATATGGCGAAATCGATTCAAACATACGTTTTCAAAATGAGACTCTGTTCTCTCATTTTGAACCATTTTCAAAACTGTATCTTTGATTCTTTGTATTATTTATTTGAAAACCCTCTTAGAGTTTTTTGTCAAACTTGATGAATAATTTTATATTTATTTCTTTAGCGGTCAGAAACTCTCCTCCCCAGAGAAATGCATTCTAGCAAAACTCGAGTCACAATGGTAACCAACAGGTTCAGAGAGAAAGAGAGTTGTGCGGTAAAATGGAGGCTGAACAGACAAACCCCAGGCCTCGGTCCAAGGCTGTCTCTCTTTATTAGGCATTACACGGGCATCCGTTTTCAAGCAAATGAGGTGCGAAACGTCATGGCAACCTGCCACGCTTTTCCGCCTCTAAACCTGCTTTGATGGCAATCACACGCCTCGCTCTCCTTTTCCTTTTAAGGAGAACAAAAGTCGACCTTGTGCACTTGTGATATGCGAGTGGTTGAAAAAACGACATTTTTGATGAAGAAATGGAGAAAATGGATGAAAAAAATAAAATTGTTTACACCCAATGTGCAAAAGTCCACGCGCAGGATCGTAATAATCAAATTATATATTCGGAAAACTTTTTCAAAAAGCACAAAAAGCTGCTCGTATGTTCAAATTATCATAAAAAAAGGCTTCGAAGCGATCCGATCAGTAATAAAAAAACTAATATAGCTGGAATTCAAAAAGTTTGCGCTTAGAGACTTCATTTAAAAATTTTTGTTTTTTTAAAAAAAGAAAAATCGTTAAGGATGTACACATATGGTCGCGGAAAATGGTTAATTAAATAATTAATGATAATCTCGTATTAAAATAATAAATTGAACATGAACTTTGATAAAATATTGTTTCTTGTCCAGTTTTTCATGGCGTTTTTCTTGCTAATGAGAGTCTAAAAAAAGAGAAAGTGAAGCTTTTTTGCACTATGTGTGCTTTGTGGACGGAACTTGGACTCTTTTTTCTTAACGCGGAACTTCTTAAAACAGCTGTCGTAAGCACTTTTTGTTCCCAAATGGTTCCGTGCTCTCCCGAAAGCCTTTATTATCACAGCTTGACAAAGGTGTACACTTCAATATTATGAGGGATTGCAGATCAGTTCGGACCCGATCCCGATTCCTGGAGCAGTGGAGTGCGACTTCTCGCTTTCCCACACCGTTTCGTCGACCTCTTTGCAGTCGCTCGAGTCCTCCCGCAGCAGCTTCTCCGACGACTCTGGTATTTACTTGTTGAGATTTCTCGCCAAAACATCACGCTTATGATGATGTGATTGGGCTCGCAAATGAAAAAACCCCGTGACTATTGTTTGGAGATCTATTTGATTTGTTTTCTTTTTGTACTTGTGAGATTTAGCTGTTTTTGAAAAAACAGAGAAAAGCGCCGAGCAAAGTGCGAAATTGAGGGAACACGAAACCAAACCACGAGGGTCTCAGGACCAGCGAAGGGTCACGATGCGAAGCTGTTGTCTGTTGGTGACAACCGGCCAGCTGTATTTACTTTCCGATGTTTACGAGTCCTTATCAACTGACCGGCCATCTAGTAATCTCAATCATTTGATAAAATACGTTATTCTAGTGGAAGAAATTGTACACATGCCGTGTTCAAAGTGAATCCGAGAAATTTAAAATAGCCGTCAGAGAGTGAAAAATATAATTAGTTTTTAAAGAGTCAGACACAATTTTGTGTTTCGCGGAAATTATTTTGAACAAGCGACAGGCCTATTTAGACTGAATCACAGTCAAATTTGAAAAGTTTAACTATCCGAGAAAAAAACTCTGAAAAACAAAATTATATTAGAAATGTAATTAAAGTGGGACTACGGAAATAAAAAAACTTCGACGGATTTCCGAAAAAAATTAGTTATACCACGTCAAAAAAATATTTTTTTGAAATGATATTTTTTTAATTTTTTTGTATAGTCGATGTGCCACAAGTTGAAATTTCATGGAACGACACTCCGCTGTTTCGATTTTGTGCGGTAGCGCGCATCTTGCGAATTCGCCACCTTCGGCCACGCTAACTTTTTTTTGGTTTTCATTCTAATTTCGATCGTTTTTTTATTGTTTTTATTTCATTAAAATGTAATATTATCTTTGAAAAGGATTGCGTTGTAAAAATGTAAAAAGAAAGAACACAGTAAATTTCACGATGTTTCTCGAAAAAAGCGATTAAAAAAAAGTTTGAAAAACTTCATGTATTCGTCAATCGCTTTAATATTGTTTTTCTCGTTTCTCAAAAAAGGTTTCAAAGGTTTACCAAAAAGATTTGCGGGTGAAACAGGCCGTAAACGCCACAATATTCTACAATAGTTTCTGTGTTTTTTTTAAAGCCATGTTTTAATGTTTTCATCGTTTTTTTTTCTGTTTGCAGTCGTTAATTGTTTTTTTCAGAAAGTGAGCGCCTTATAAAATGAAGACGTGTACTTCCATGAGCACATGCACCATAGTTTGAAGAAAGGTTTTCGTTCTTTTTTTTTAAATGGAGCTTTAGATAAATCGTATTGCTGAACTATGCGTCAGAAATGGGGCGTGAACAGTGAGCACATGGAACAGTGGAAACGATGTGCTGAACGAAATGTCCAGAAAAACTAATAATTTTTTTGAACTTATGTATCTGTTTTTTTAAATAAAATTCGTCGATGTAGAAACATTCAATTTTTTTAAAATCATTCACTGTGTATTTTATTTCTGATTGGGATATTTTTTTACATTATTTGAAATGAAAAAAAGAAATGTCGAAAAAGGCTCAATGAAGGTAAAATAACGGAAAATATTGAACAAAACCAAAGACCATCTCATGAAAAAAAACTTTCAAATATTATAAACGCATTTTTCGCTTAAAAATTCGAAAAATTACTCTACTTTATTTTTTTATCAATGAAAACAGTCTATCCACTAGAAAAAGATAATTATGAGTTTGGCACGAAGAAAACTATTAAAAACATAATTAAAATAATGAACATTTCGAATAAAACAAAAAAATGGAAAGCGCGACCGAAATTCGCAAAGGCAAGGCGCTTTCACGGCCACGGCCACCCAACGGAGTGTCGTTCCATGAAATTTCAAGTCGTGGCACATCGACTATAACGTTGCGAAGTTATTCGCAAGATCAAACTTTGAGGAATCGTTTTTTTCTAAAACTAGAAGTTTTCGCAGGTAAAAACTGTACGGAACCTTTGCCTTAACCTTCACAGAGATGCGTAGGGGCAAAATTTCCCGAATTATTTCAAACGAAAATGAAATGAACCACTTCAGCTTTTTTTTTGTGAAACTGCCTGATTTTTTGGAAAACTGTCTAAAGGATAATTATTTGCAGTGTCAGATGCGGACGAGACATGGGTGCCGCACTGTTTCGTCAAGAGCAACTCTAAAGAGGTTGGTTTGGGTCGAAGTCGAAGTGACGTCGAACGAAGGGTCACTCTGAGACAGCTGACTGGCTCAGCTGACAGCCCTATGAGCTACAGAGTGCGGTCACAAGTTCATGAAATTTTTCCGATGAGAATCGCCAAGCAGCTGATACGAAGCCTATTATTATTTGGTTCGGAAAAACGATAGAAGTGAAAAAGCCTCCTTTTTTTGATTGATTTTTTTATAGCTGAAATATTTTTTTACTCTGAAAAAAATCTATAATAATTTTTTTGTCAAGAATCATGTGATCCTGTAGATTATAGGCCGCGTTTTTTTCTATGGAGAATATATTATCTGAAAACTTCAAGATAAGACTGAGAATGAAGATTACAAATGGAAAAATTGCACTGTGCTTTGTCAAAAGATTTTCCGTAAACAGGAGTTTTAGAAAGGTCCCTATAGGGTTTAGGGGAAAAAACAGCCTCTAGAATGACCGCAAAGTGGTCCCTATAGGGATAAAATCAAGGTGGCCCCTCTAGGAGTTTAGGGTTTGATCACTTAGCCCCTAAAGCTTAAGTGATTCCTATAGCCCTATAGGCTATAGGGGTCGTTCAATTTTATTCAAAAATGTTTTTTTTTAGTTTTCCGCATGAAAATGTTTCTTCGCATAAAGTTCATAAAAAGTATCGATTGTCATGTCCCCTACAGGGACCACTTTGGCCAGCTTCAGTGGCCCCTAGAGGGGACCCTCCAAGGGCCCCTAAGGTCGCGTCTATAGGGACCACTCTGGAGTTCCTAAGTAAGGAAAAAAATATCCTCATTTCAATTTATTATAATGGGTTGTAGTTAAACAAGAGTTAGAAAATGAAAAGAAAAAAGATAGTTTCCATTTTTCATTAATTATTACAGTTTGTCGGCTGCACAAGCATGAGCGAGGCCTTCCATCGACTCGACTTGGCTCGTGCCGTTTCCGACGTCCGTCGGTTCAACTTCGTTTGCAAGGTTCGTCACAGTTTCCCAGTTTTTTGGGGCAAAAACTGTTGAGTGGCTTCTTTTGGGATTGTTGAATTCCAATCGGAAGTGGATGAATTGAACTATGTTTTTTTTTTTGGAATTGAACCTAGATAACCAGAGTTTAGCCCTTCCTATAAACAAAACAAGTTTGTCATTATTTCAAGAGATGTAGAATCAAGTACGGCTACAGTACGTGAGAATCAGCATTTTATTTCCCAAATATATTGATTGGATACGGTTCAAAACGATTTCGAATTCAGAACGTAGAACCGCCGGCTTCTTCATTGTGACTCTGAGGTCTTTTAATAACAAAGAGCTTCAAAAAAAGAAAAGTTATTTTGAATCTCGCAAAAATAAAAACTACGCTCTTGACTCTGCAAAAAAAAACCGTGCATGTCATTGTTTTGCGTGGCTGTTGAAGATAGTCCACAAAATTAGAGACCCAGAGTCGCGATTCGAGAGCCGCGAGTCCTATGTTTTTCTCATCAGGTTCTCCCCATATGTTTTGGTTGTTTTTTGGCGAGACTTTTTTTTTGGCTAGCGGAAAATTTTGCTAGGCGAAAAACAACACTTATAAAACAAACTCGAGAAAGAAAAATACTTGTTGCAGGTCGTGCAGATTCTTGTCGAAGAGAAGCTACCGAACCTTTCGGCGACCGCGCGCAAGTCTCTTCTGGGTATTCTGACGGCGATAGTGCTGCGCGCCTCGATCGAAGATGTGCACTTGTCAACGGCACGAGAACTTGTCCAGCAGGTCTGCCGAGCCAAACGGCCTTAAAAATAAGAGTCTTAAGCACCTTTTTGAGTTCCTTGAAAAGTGTCAAAAAAAAATCAGAATTTCCTTTTTCCGTCTTCTTTTTTTGTCTTTCTTAAAAGTTAAAAGGTCCCTTTCAGAAAAAGCTCAAAAAAGGCCTTTTTTCAAAAGTTCTTTTCGAGACCTTTTGGACTTTCCCTTGCACCTCCTCGGAGATCTTACATAACCTAGAAGCTTCTTCGATTCTGACATGTGATATCATGGTTTTACAATCAAAGTCACGTTAAAAATGGAGTTCTTTGCGTAGAAAATGAGTTCAGAAAATGTCATCAGAACCTGTCTCGAACTATCAAGTTTTCCAATTTAGTTCGGTTCTGCACTGGAGGGACACGTCTGCGGCTCTCCCCAGCTCGTTTCCAGACATCAACACGTGGCCGGAGGCTTGCTCGACGTCATTTCCGAACACCAGCCTCGTACCGCAGCCGACGCCGACGAGAACAGCACCACTTTCTTCGATTTGCCTCGCGAGGTCAGATCACGAGCTGCACCGATGCGAATTGGCTTTTTTCAGGTAGTTGCAATGATACTGCGACGTCTGCCCGACCATAAGTCGCTTCTGGAGACGGCTCTCGCTCACGAAGCTCTCCAAGCGCTGATCGACAACGAAGGGCGGATCTGGGAGTCGATGTGCACTTTCCACTTCCAGCCCTACCAGATACAGCAGCGAAAGACCGGCGAAAAGCCTTGGCGCCAGGTTTTCTTCGAGCTGAAAAAGTACCACGGCGTTCGAGAAGTAAGCAGAAGAGCTCAAAGAGCCAAAAAAGATTCATTTTCAGGTCTATGCCGACCTGATCCACATCTGCTGCCACTGCAAGGCGCTCTTTTGGAAGAGCCTGGGTCATCCTTGTGTCCGCGCTGACACGGCTCCCTCGGTCCGCGTCACACCCAGACAGTTTGTCGACATGCTCATCTACCTCTAGGCCTTTGAAAATCACCTCTCAACACTTGCCGGCCTCGCTTTCTTTTTTCTCAAAAATTTATGTTCGAAGAGGGTCAAAAATAGTTAAAGTCTTATGAAAACAGCACAAGTAGCACTGGATTTCGTTCCGAGAAAGGCATCCCAAGTTTTTGCAAGTCGGTTTCGATAATGATACCTAAAAATCGTTCCAACTTTGTCGACATGATCATCTACCCGTAGGCCTTGGAAGGCACAGAACACAGCGTAACTAACTTGAAAATCCTGTAAAAGAAAATTGAAAAAAAAAATCAGCATCAAAATAATTACATTCATTCGGAATATGTAGTGCTGGTTCGTAGAAAAAAATTTTTCCTTTTTGAATTTCCATAAGTCTTTAATTTTTTTGACCCAGAATCCCCTCTTTCATACGTTATTCTAAAAAAAAAAAGGAGAAATTATTTCCTATTTTTTCTAACTGTTCAAACTGATCGACGTTTACTTGACCGTTTGCGAGATGGGATCTATCAAAATTTGCAACTATCTGTGATGATTCACCACTCGAAAGTCACTTGTTGTCTGATACCAAATATCTATCCTACAAGAACGTGTAAATTACATCTTTTTCAACGAATCTGTTACTCAGTACCGTTTTGAAAAAAAAAACCCCTGTATAAAATTTGTACATGTGCCCATTTACGGGTTTCAATCGCCACCCGATGAATGATTATTCTACTTCCAGTTTCTGAATGTTCAGTTACTAATACATTTTCACCAAAAGTTCTATTCGCATGTTTCAAGCTTTGATATTTGTTTTTTTTTTAACTGAGAGAATAAATATATGCATTTTGAAATAATGTTTAAAAACGAAGAAAAATGGTATTTACTTGCATTTTTTTGCACAAAGTTACGAATTTCCAAGTTTACAAGTTTATACAATCCAGAAGATTCTCTGCTGAGTCGTGACATAATAGAAAAGTAGTTTTTCGGTTCGATCGTCGATCACGAGTAGGACATCTCCTTTTGGGTAACTGAATTGACGCCGGGGCTACCGTAGCGGCGGAAGATAAAATGTGTTGTACGCAGTGCACGCGATGCATGTAAAACGACGCGCAAAAAGCGTAATCGACTTTGTTCTTCAGCTCCATCGTCATTTGGAATTAAAAACGATACAGTTTTATACGAAAGTAGACAAATAACAACAAAAAAGTTTTTCTCAAAAGGATGCACAAAAGACGGACCATGTGGTCGGTCGTATTTTTTCGCAGTTTTCTGCACGAAATCACGAAATTCCAACTCGTAGAACTTGTTTTAAAAATATGCTCATGTCAGAGGAATTCACAATAAACATGATGAACATCAGGTAGGTTGTCCCATGTTCTCAATGATATAATTATGTAAGAATCTGAAATTTGTAAGTATTTGGAGAGAAGAAAGGGTTATTGAATGATGTACAGGTTCCAGGAATTTCAATCCTTGGTGGATAGGTCACAAGACTCGCGCAGCTCTGATTTGGACATGAGACGCGAGCTGGAGCACCTGAGAATCGAACTGTTGCTAATTGAGGAGAAGGGGAAGTCCTACCTGCGCAGACTGAGACTTGAGAATAGTGGGGTGCACTTGAGCATGTCTTTCAGTTGGATCGATTCGTAGTTCTCGATTGATTCTTGGAACTTCTCGATCCACAGGTCCTAAAAGTCCTTAGGCAATGTCCAAAGTTCTTTTTAGGGTGTTCTAATGTGAGTTTTTTTTTAACAAGAATGAATGGTCTTCAGTAATTTACTCGGGTAAAGTCGGAATGGTGGATAATGAAAGGCAGCAAAAAGGGAGAGGCTCAAAAAAGGCCGCAAAAAGGCGATTCTGGGATTTTAAAGGATCAAGAAATGGTGGAAAAAGGGAGAGGCAGCAAAAAGGGCGCATAAAAGCCGATGAAATGGTGCAAAAAGCAGCGAAAAAGGAACCTTTGTGACCCTAAAAGAAACAAACATCTCTATGGAGCCTTCTTCCACCCTTGTCTATGTTCATATAAGTTTTTTTCCGATTACTCGGAAACCTCGAGAAAATGACAAATCAGTCGAGATCTGCAGTACTTCCAAAACCAGACTTTGAAATCTTCCTATACCTTGTCAGTTTTGTCGGCCGCCTGGAGCGTGTGGACCCCGACAACCTGGTAGTAACGAGTGAGGTGAATGATGACAAATGCGAACTTGAGAGCCACTGTAAATCTGCCTTCAACACCTCCTTACTTGTAAGTCACAGGGCCGTTGGCAAACTAATTTGGGAATATTGAAAACACAAACCACGCGATGTTGAGCATTCTGCAAAAGCTTATTAATTTTGCACTCGGTATGTCTTCACAGATCCAAGAAAACAAAGTTAAGTTGAAAAACCAGTAATGAAACAAGCTCACCATGAACGGTGTTTTATAAAAAAAAAACCCATTAAAACGAACTGGAGGTGGTGACGTCAGAAGAGTCAGCATCGCAGAAAACACACGAATCCAAGGGAACCGGTTGACGTTGAACCACGTAGAACTCGCTTTTGCTCGCCCCGGTCTTCTGAAACTCAAAAACATCAATTCTGAGAGGGAATCCAATGGCACTATGAAAAAAACTATTTATGACTTGAAACTCAAACTTTGCGTTATTTATAAGCGTAAAAAACTTTTTCGATATTATTCAAACTTTCTCGGTTTTTAAACTGTTTCCTAGCGTTAGGATGACGATTCATTCTGGAATGGAAAGCAAAAAATTGCTAGATTTTTAAATCCGCCCAAAAAAAAAAACTATTTATGACTAGAAGACAAAATTAGCATCTTGGGCGGGGCCGGCCATTTTTGCTAAAGCCGGGCAGGCCCTCGGACAAGCCTGATTTCAGGCTTATTTGCCAACTTTCTCTCTTTAAAATCACTCTTGTTCAGGTTATTTTGTTCTGACTAACTAAATACTATTATTAAAGCCAAAGAAATCTGAGAATCCAGTTATAAATCAAGGAAGGAAATAAACTTGCACCGCGCTTGACGCATTTCTTCGTCTTGGACAAGACGAACATGTCGTTGAACAAGAAGGCGTATACGTCGACAGTCCTACCACTCTCTAAGCTTTTTTTCAATTTTCGAAGAGTTTCAGAAGTCGTACCGACGAGTTCGAGGGGACCCTCGTGAATGAGCTTCCGTCTCGGATGAGCCAACAAATTCTCACAGAACTGCCGCGACAGTGCCACGCGCAGAAACTGGAAAGCACGAACCGTTGGAAGGGAAAAAGAGTTCTCACGTCGGGGATGAAGCTCTTGGGTTCGAGTTCGCTGATGCTCGGCCAGACGACCTGCGTCTGCAGCTGCTGCAGGCGTTCGAAGTTGTGTAGCCACTGGACGCTGTCATCGATCGATCCTGAAAAAATCTTTCCGTAAGGAAAAGTTCTTTCTCACACTTAAAGTACTAAATTATTCCTTTAATTTGTGTGTGATATTTCTAAAGTTTGATGAAAATCTGTAAAAGATCCTGATGGCGTTTTTGTTATAGTCCGTTCAGATTTTGAATTTCAAGTAGAATGACGTCGTTCGGAAACGCTCTGTGGATGGCTCGCCCTCTGATTGGTTTATCGCGCCATTGGGGGCGGAGCTTGAGCGAGGACTTGACATTCAAAATCTGAACAGACTATAGTGAAAGAAAATGCGAAACCAAAACGGCGTTTTTTTTTTACGACGCCCCGCCCATATTTTTCCGTAAAGTTTAGTGTGTAGTGTTCACACACTGCGGCGCTCTTGCACATACCGTGTTCAAAGTTATTTTCGCGAAATTCAAAACCATCCTTGCATTTCCGAAACTCAGTTATATTTTTCCCTCTCTGGCGGCTATTTAGAATTTTGCGGGATCACTTTGATCCAAAAAAAACGCCATTTTCAACAATTTTCATTGAGATCCTGTATGTATGAAAAGTCTCAACTCACGCAAAGATTCGGTCATCGTTTCGATAACTTTTTCCACTTTCTTCTTGTTTTCCTCTTCCGGCGTGTGTTTCATTATCTCTCTCAATAGTATTGGAAGACGAGTTATTCTAAAAATTGATTGGATGAAAAAAATTGAAAGAGAGCTCGACCGTTGTAAAGGAGAAATAAGAAGATCTTCCAGTTGAAGTCGAGAACATCTTTCATCCGTCAGACAAACCTGCAAAAATGTGATTTTTTTTTCAAGTTTCACAGGTTTCGTTTTTCGCGACTTGAAAGGTGCCCTCTTCGTCCCTCGGCGACCCCTCTTTCATGCTTTTCTGATCTCTCCGGTGAGGGAACAGAGAGACGCAGACACGCGAGAACTGTCAAGCCGCGGCGGATACACTATAACTAAAAAAACCCTTTCAAACTCGACGAATCGTTCGTCTTTCTGCCGGATGGAGCCGAGGTACTCCATAGTTGCTTTATAGTTGATGCAATACGCCTGGTAGGCTGATATCGTCGAGGGACCTTTGGAAAACTGAAAGCGAACAATTTGAGAGAAATATTCGGGAGAAACTGTACTCTCTGGAAGAGCTCGACGACCAGCGGCGTGCATTCGAAGTCAACGACATGTGGGAGTAGGGAGAGGAAATTCTGGCAGAAATGACGCGAGATGCGGCAGAGCTGGTCCAGGTTGCCGAAAAGAAGGTCCGGCTCGACCGTCAGCAGACATCCTTCGACCTGACATCGCTTCAACGGCTCTTTGTATACGTTGCTGTAGGATGGGTCAGATTTGGGATTTTGGCTTTACTTTACCGGAGAACTAAAAGTTGCCGGATGAGGAAGATGAGCTCGGAGTGGAAGAGTTCCCAGACGGCCTGCAAGTATTTCTGCCGGGAGGTAGGTATCTCGGGGCCTCCTTCTGTCGTGAACATTTCCTCGTAGGCGATCACCTGCGATCGAAATCAGATCTTCTTTCTTCGACAACCAACCAGAAGTTTTTCGAGTTCCTCGTCTTCGATCTCTTGTTCGCTGTGCGTGCACAGAGCCGCCTGCACATGCTTGATTATTTCACGACGTTTGGCCCGGTTCGACCAGTCGTACTTAACCAAAAGCTTATTTCCGTCGCGACTAGAGAGTTACCAGTCGCTTCAAAATCCACGGCGAGCGGGTTTTGTGAGGTTCTGACGTCTCAGCATAAAACGCTTGCGAGGCGATCGTCGCTCTTTGAAGATCTGAGGATAAAATTTGCATGTGAATTCGCGCTTATTATAACAGCTAGTTTGCAAGTCTATGATCTAGGTATTATAATCATTTCACCTGAATTAAAGGCCTAGGGGCAGTAAAAAAAACGGTGTTTCAGAGAAAATCAGTACTTTGTAAACTTTTTCATTGCGAATCGAACGGTGAACTTGGAAACGTACAGAACTTCCTAGTTTTGAAGTAAAAAATTATTCAAAGTCGGAGGGAGGAAAGTTTGAGTTCCCGCCAAAAAGGGCGTTTCGCAGTAAAGTCGCTCTATGGACAACACGTATCGCCAATTTTCGAATTTTCGCTTTTTTTTCGTTTCTTTTTTTTTTTGTAACGAAAAAAAGAAGAAAGAGCAGATTCTTCTCCGCAAAAGGATTGAATCTAGCTATTTTTTAAGTCAATTTTATTCTACTCTGAAAGCCTTTGTTAAAAATCACAAAATCGCTTTTCAAAATAAATTAGGCTTGGGGTTTGTTTGAAAATGACATGCAGAGGGAGGCACAAGGGTAAAAAAACTGTTGAAAAAGCCAACCAATCGTTGAAATCTTGTTTCCACGGTCTGAAAACCTCTTGTGAATGGAAAAAATTGTTAATTTCTCCCGAGATCACGCTCAGACTTATTGCACAGTATTTTTAAAACTCGATGAAGAGCCTTTCCCGATCAAATTGATTCTGATACGAAAAAAAAAAATGAGAGACCGGCGAGAAGGCCGCCGCCAGAGCTGATGGCCCGGTTGTAGAGATGCGAAGGCGAGATCTGGACGTGCGGCACTATGATGACGTTGTCCGAGGAGCAGCATCCGTCGTGCGACCTGACACTTGATTTCAGTCCTCTTCCTTTGCAACTTACGATTCCGTGTGCTCCGTTGGCTGCAAAAACTTGCCTTTTTTTAAACCATATTTTTGATTTTCAAGTATAAAAGACTTTTGAGAGTTGCTTGGAAATCCCAGAGTGGTCCCTATAGGGGTTAGGAGAGAAAACAAACTACAAAGGGGCCAAAAAGAAGTCCCTATAGGGGTAAAATTAGGGATCCCTATAGGGGTTTAAAGTCTGGCCTCTTAGCCCTAAACCTTAAGTGGACCCTCTTTCAATTTCCTTCAAAAAATGCTTATTTATTCAGTTTTATTCCCATGGAAATGCTTCTTCGCTTAGGGTTCTTAACAATTATTGACCAGCATGTCCCCTATAGGGACCCCTTTTGTAACTTTAGCGGCCTCTAGATGGGTTGGTAAAGTGGTTCCTAGAAGACTTCAAGGGCCTCTAAGGTTGCCCCTATAGGGACCACTCTGCAGTTCCTAATGGGATTTGAAACTTTATTTTTAATTTTTCAGATTTTCTGTAAAGCTTTTCTTAAATACTATTTTTGCTATAAATCGATTTTTTCAAGAAAAAGAAATCTAGTCTTCGCCAAAAAAGATCTTCAAACCAAATTTTTAAGAACGGCTTTTTGACTTTTTAGGTGCCAAAAGATATAAAGAAGACTGACCTGTTCGGGAACGATGGCGTGGCGCCGCGTGAGCTGCTCTTTGTTGGGATGAATCGTTTGCGGCTCGCCGTCTTCTGGCTCAAATTCTTCTATCAAAATGTTTAAACCCATAGAAATCAACTACATTATTCTCATTCTGGAAAGTTTTAAAAGTCCTCCCTATAAGTATTAATCCACCCATAGACATTGCAAAAACGTGGCGCAAAAAGCAGCAAAAAGGAACCTTTGTGGCGCAAAAGGCAGCAAAAAGGAACCTTTGTCACCCTAAAAGGAACATTTCTATGGAGCCTTTCCGACTTTGCCTATTTATTTTACTTAATCATAGTGAAAATACTCATATTTTTTCATTTACAAGTAATTAACCTCGGTTTGCCGGACGCTCGGAGTGAATAATCGCAAGTCGACCATCGCTCCAAAATTGCTGACAAGAAACTTCGAGTTTGCGAGAAATATATCCTACAGAAATGAAAAGCGGAAACGAAATAGGCTGTGTTCTAGTATAAAGCTGTTGAAAAATGCGCAATAAAAGATGACAGTTGGTTCCATACGGAAAAAAAAAGTACAGATCTTCGTCAATCCCACAGGAAGAGTTGATGAACACAAAAGTTGAAAACTGAGGCTGTTAAGGAGATCGCAAGCCCCGCACCTTTACGCGATAGAAAATGCTTTTTTTCGGTCATTTTTGTTTGTTGTTTTGATACAAACGCAATAATGAACCGTTTACACAGAAGTTCGATTGAAATACAAAAAATACAACAAATCATTTTTCAGTTCATCTTTTTCTCAAGAACGCATTTAGAAGGAGTGGCATACGAAAAAAATAAAACGACCTCTTTTAATTGGTTTTGATACTTATTTCGAAATAAACTTTAAAAAAATCAAAAATGAAAAAAATTCAACTGATTTTTCTTTTTTTAGTTATTCCAACTTTTTTTTCAGCGCAAAAAGCAATGAGAAGGAGAAACGATTCGAGTAGGAGAAAGCGGAGAAGCCGCGCGTCGCTTTTATTCCCGTGCTTCTCGAGTTTTGCAACAATTAGAGCATCGTTTCGGATTCCACCGTCGTAAACGTCGTGTGCTGAAATTCCGTGGAATGCAGCGAAAAAAAAAGAAAGATATTTATACGATTTGGTTGCGCAAAAAGTTTCTAGCTCTATCTCCGAAGCAAAACAGGATATACATCCGAGCGAAAAATAAATTTCATGAGTCTACGTTCAGCCGCGATAATTTTATTAAAATAATGAAAGAAAGAAAAGATGACAAGAAAATTAAAGGTTTCTCTTAATAAATGGAGGAGCTACGACAGGGATGATAAAGTTAAACAGTGATCTGAGGGTCGGAATGGTGGATAATGGTCGCTAAAAGTGAGAAGCTCAATAAAGACCGCAGAAAGGCAGCAAAAAGAATCCCTTTATCGAGCCTTACATTTTTTTTAGAACTTCAGAAGCTCAGAAAATGGTGAAAAAAGAGAGAGACCGCAAAAATGGTGCATAAGGGCCGAGAAAATGGCGTCAAAAGGCAGCAAAAAAGGAGCCTTCAAGCAGAACACAGTTAAGATGATATTTTTGTATTTTAGTCATTTCTTGATGTGAAAAATCCAGTTGAAACTGTACGAACATCTCTTTTGAGAAGGCTTTTTCTCTTTTTCTTTCTCAAAGTTTTTTTTTCTGTTGTCCAGAAAGTCCATCCAAATTTTTTTGAAGTCTAACAATCGAAAAACTTCTCAAAACTTTGTTCACGGAAAAATTAAATCCAAACTGTTTCACCATCTAACTATGGAACTTTTCAGGGTTTTGCAAGTAAAAAGAACCCCGCCAATGCGAGAATATAAACTATGAGTAATATCGCAAAATTATTAATTTAACTTTAATTCACGCTTTCGAAGAACAGCAAAAAAACAATGCTTAATGAGCGGAAGTTGTTTTTACGTTGTGATAGAACCTTGAAAACGAGGCTGATTCATCTCCAGCGAAGTGAGTCAGAGCGGTTTTGCTGATTGTCACTATAGTAACTCTGAATGGAAGAGATCTTCTCAGATTAAATAGAAACCTTGTAAAACGTTCCCTTTGTATTAAAAATAAGACAATTATTGCTTTTCTGAAAAGTTTTAAACTACGAAGAGATCCTTTGAGGTGCCAGGAAACAGAATAAGCCAAAGAAATTTCTCTGCCAAGGGTTAAATGCAAAAAAGTTTCTCGGGAAGTGAGGCAAATTGCTTGGAGCAATTGAACGTCAGAGTGAATTTTGATAATTGTAGGAAAATATTTGAAGAAAGGGGGCCGTCCGTCAGTCTGAAAGAAGGAAACAGAAAAAGTGGCGCTACTCCAAAAGTTGTAGCAGCTAGGTTAACTACAAAACGCAGTATCAAGTACAAATAAAAAATATTTTCTGTGAAACATCTAGAACAGCCATGTATTTCTTTATATGCGCTATATATTACTTTCTGAGCCAGGCGGAAGATAAAAAACAGAAACTAAAAGTAGGCTGCCTGGAGAAATATCTGAGAAAAGACAAATAGAGTCTGATTTTGTTAATAATTCACGAGCCGCGGCTCTAATGGCCACCCTGATCCTTCGTCTCCTGGTTTTTTCTACTCTCGTCTTTCCGTTGACAGAAGTCGACAGATTTAGGAAGACATATCTTTCTAAAACCTACTCCGGGTTCCTCTAAAAAAGGCTTCAGCCTTCTTCATTCTCCACAGAAAAAAAAGTTGGAGATTCGCTAACTGAATGTTGAATACTTACTTTTTCAGAAGTTGAATGAAAAAAAAGTTTGGACATGCTCTACCGAGAGCCATACGTGTGCAAATGAAAAGTAAATTTTACCGAGAAAATTGGATGACTAAAATTTTGTGGAATATGGAAGAAAATCGACTTTGAACTTCAAGATGTAGCGTTTAAAAATCAAAACTCTAATTCAGGATAGTACCGACTTTAGTTAAGAAAAGAAGTTATGGCGGTTTTTTTTCAACATGGTTTCCCACGTATGCCTAAATTGATTCATTGAGATTTTTTTTCCTATCCTCCCGTCTAAATTTTTAACAAAAAAAAAGTTGAAGAACGAAATTACAACGATCTTAAAGACCTTTTTTTTTGCAAAACTGTCATCATCCTTTCCGTACCAAATCAAGTGTTATCTTTCTTAACAACCGCCCTGTTCGTCTTTCAAAACATTTTTGCGGGAAATTTGATTTAAGGATGAGATTTTCAAGCAACAACGGGGTATGTGGAGAGTAAAAACGCCAGAAATTTCTTGATGCACGCAATGCAGAAGCAAAAAAAAGTCCCATTAAAACACGATGATTAACGTTTTTTGGCAACGATAGAAAGGTCAGAGTTGCTTACAAAGAGAAGGAAAAGCAGCAAAATTTTATTTCTTGATTTTCAAGACGAAAAAAGGCAGCGCCGTGAGAAACGGCCACCAAAGTTTTACTTGAGAAAAAAAGTCACCATGGGAACCCAAAGGTGATCTGTATCCGTTTTACGTATTCGACTTTATCTTGGGCCCTAATGGAAAATTTCGAAGCTGTCCCTTGACAATCTGTCCATACCGTGTTTTGAAGTAACAAGGAAAAATTATTTGAAAAAAATGGAGAAAATTAATAGTAAAAAAATATTGGTTATGTTCGAATCAACTTTTATTCTTCCGTTCCACCCATTTTAAAAAAAATTTCTCATTTTTGAAAAAAAGGGTTTCCAAAGGGTTTTAAAAAAATACGAGATTAGACTTAATATTTTTTTCTCTAACGCAGGTTTTCAAAAAAATCTTCAAAAAGTGAAATTTCGAAAAATATTTCTCTTTGACAATGACCCTTTAAAAAAAGGTACATTGTTTCATTTTTTTAAGAGAAGCTCCAATGTTATATTACTCACCCCCAAAAAAAACTTTGAGTCCAAATGAAAATCTTCCATAATTGCGCATGCTTTCAGTTCAGTGGATACGAACTTTCGAGATTTTTAGCTTTCAAATCACACCTTTGAAAAGACCTCTTTGGCAGTCCTCCTACTCTAACTGACAAGGTGAAGCCAATAAAATAGCCTGAGCACACAAAAAGTGAAGATATCACTATAGTGAATATCTAGTTGGTGACTGTCTCATGACCATCTCAGGCGATTCCTGGGAAGGTATTGAGAAGGTATCTAGCAGGAGGCTGGAAGATGTAGGGAAGCTAGAAGGTCTAGGTAAAGCCTTGGAAAGGTGTTAGGAAGGTATTTGGAATGTATTAGGGACGTAAAATTGGAAAACACTTGCCAGAAGCTTTCTGGAAGGCTTCAGGAAGGTTTTTTTTTTAAATAAGGTGTTGGGAAGCTCTGTGGAAGGCGTTTGACCACTTGTTGGGGAGCTTCCAAGCGCCTTCCGAGGAACCGAAAGCAAAAGCTTCTTGAAGTAAAACATCTCCCTTTGAAACTTAATTCTTATTCAGTCTTCAAAGAAGATTATCTGCTGAATCAGGGAAACTGTTAGCGGGTAATCAATAGCCCTAATTTTCCCTTCTGGGAACCTTAGTAGCAGCCGTAAAAGTAAAAGATAATGAGCCAAAACGAAAATTCGAGAATTGTGAACTCCCTTCTGGCGGCGCCTAACAAGATTTTTCTAAATGGATTATCTCAAGTAATCGAACTAGGCCAGAGAACCAAAAAAAACTGCCAGAGTTAATTTTGCGGAAACTGGAGCCGTTTGTGTGAAAAGCCTCGGCTCTGCAAATTATCTATCTTTTTAGATATAGACGAGAGAATAGGGCTGCATAAATCTTTTATTCTTGTTCGTTATGATGTTTTTACCTCGAGACATCTCCACCCACCAAGCATCAATTTTTTTTACTCTTGTCAAGAATTTTACTTCGAGGCAGCCGTGAATCGACTATAGCACCTTTGGAAATGATTGAATTTGAAGAAAAAGTACTACTTTTCAAAAATATTTATTGAGTTTGCATACCAGCGAGAGGCAAGTTTCGAGAAAAAAAAAGTCGCCAAGAGGCTTCTGTACAAAACATTTCAGATGAGTCCAGTCCAATAATTTTTGAAATTTTGTTGCAATGATACTTTTGAGTATAAAAACAGAGAAATAGTCTCGAGCAAAAATGATCTTCAAACGAGAGTTGAAACATGAACTGCAACAGGAATTTTCAAAACAAAGTGCCTCAAATCGTGGTAATCGCAGGACAAATAAAACTTTCAGGATGAAGAAACTAAGGTTTTAGGAAAGTTCCAGATCTATTTTTAAAAAAACACCCTTCTCATTCGCCAAAACCAAAGCCTACCGGACGGATGAGCTGGTTGCCGCGAATGTGGTGGAAGAGCGGCAACGCAGGCGCCTCGTTCGCCATGCCCTTCGAGTCGACTTATGCTCCCGCCCTTCTTCTGATCACGGCTTCTGTCTGCAACTTAGGAGTGGTGTTAAAGCGAAAGCAGAAAGTACGAATATTCATCAGTCGATGACACTAATTTTCAGAGCCATTACCAGTTCAAGTTTGTCAAATTCAAGACTTTCTTCAGTGGTGTTTCAAAAGTGCTTGAAAATGTTATCAGAGAAACAAAATTAAAATAAAAAGTTACAAAAAAAAAGGAAAATTCTCTAGTTTTATGGGAAAACTAGTCGATATCCAAGAAAAAAACCTTCGGTTTTTATTATTCTTTTGAAAAATTAGCGAAACGTTATTCACTATCTTTCGCTGAAATAAAAAAATAAAATTCAGATAGTCAAAAAGACTCCGAAAATTTTTTTTAGAGGAAGATATCACTTCTATTTCGCCGAAATAACATTGAACGCGGAACTAAACAAAACTGTTATCTATAGCTGATTCACGGCTGGCTTGAGCCATCGAAAAATGGTCCTGGCACGATAATGCACGAGACAGCGCCTGGCTCGTGGAGAGCGCAAACAGGACACGCCCACTTAGCGTCCCAAGCTGGCCGTGAATCAGCTATATAATTAAATGAAAAAAAAAAACAATATGGAATTAAATCGTGAGCTGGGAGCTGAAATCAATGGGCTTCGATGCGCGATGTTACAGTAGATGCACTGGAGCGCATGTCTCGCACCAAAAAGTTCAATCAGAGTAACTTTGATGCCGTGTTCAAAGTGATTCCGCGAAATTCAAAATAGCCGTCAGAGAAAGAGAAAGATAACTGAATTTTGGAGGGTCAGAGACCATTTCGCGGAAATTACTTTGAACACGGCATGAGATGTTAACGCTGTGTTTAAATTTATTACGCGAAATTCGATTTTTTTTTTAATCGGTTCATTTCACCATGAAAGTTAAAACTGATTCTGTTATCCCTCACATCTGTCTCATCAATTAACAAGCGGAAAAGGAAGAAAAACCTTTTGGCTTTACGAGAATAGTAATGAGAGGTGGACCTTCCCAGATGCAATCTTTTAATGATTCTGACGGCTCGATGGCAGCAACGTCTGCAAAGAAGTCAACAAATTCTCAATGAATTTGCCCTTAGCTGGCCAGAAACCAAAGCCTTTCTTGCGGCGCTTCGTGCGTTATGAGCGTTAAATTTCGAGAATGAGAAGGGTCGTAAATCTTTGGCAGATAATTACACTATCCTGTGAAATTTCGGCTAAAACTATCTTAATTTATACTTTTTGAGGGTCATAATGATACTAGAAAGATATTGACTAGTGAATGATGCGCTGCAAAGTTTGAAAAAAAAGAAAGTATTCAAAATAGAAATTCAAAAATGTCCTTGCAGGTTCAAAAATAGGCGTAAATGGCAATTAGGGCTTTTCATAAAGTGTAAGTGCAAACTGATTGAAAAAAATGTGTGAGAATTCGTCTTTTCTAAACTGAGTAGCTTTATCACCCATGACTGCACTTGTCATCAACTCGCACGTCATCAGTAAGAACTCTGACAAGCAAGGTAATTTTAGAATAAAGTTCGGAATTTCATGAAGACGTAAAAATGTTTGTTTATCTGGGATAGGCGAACTAAAAGTGCATTTTATAACGGAATCGGAAAGCTTGAACGATTGCACTTTCGTTTTCAGTGGATTACCCGAAAGTTATCAAGAATTGGCTTTCTTTTTTGTTAATGGTAGTAGTAGCAAGCCCAAGTTTTCGATTACTCTGTATATTTTCCAAATACAGAGAAGCCCTACAATTCCTAGGAACAAAAATTAGATGTGATGTCCGTTTTTTCTCAGTTTTGGTTTTTTCCTTTTCAAGGCTTTCCCTCTTATTATAATAATTGTAGTTTAGATTGAGAAAAGAGGCCAATTATAGCGTGTAGCAAGCGCCAGGAGTACGAATCTAGAAAATTTCATTTTAAATTCTTGCAGAATTTAAATGAAATAAGGAAAATGGGGTTTTTTCTGACCATTTTCCAGAGTTTCGCAGATTTTCAAAAAACTCCGAGCCCAATGCAAAAAGGTCTTGTTCCGCGCGAGATAGTCACGTTTTAAAAGAACAAAAAAAAAAATGTTACCGTAAATACAAAATTTTGCTCTACAAAACTGCTAAAAAGACAGCAGACAACAAAGGTCTTGAAGCGAAAATGCTCAATTCTTATCAATAGGGTATTTTCGGCGCAAAGAAAAACGTGACAAGCTGGCGCGGAATAGGCTATAAACAAGGTTGAATCAGAAAACATTAGATATAAACTGGAGTTTCCTTGCGAAAAGAACTGTTAGTCCGTTCACGGCTGGCTTGGGACAGCGAACGGGCGGTTCAACTTGCGCGGCGAAGGTAGATCATGGCAGCCATACATGCGCCTTTAATAAGAGCCTCATTTGGTGAATTATTTCTGTTTTTATTGAATTTATTATTTGCTTACATTCATTTCGCTGCTTTCAAGATTTTCTTAAAATCGACGAATTATAGGGGAAAAATAAATAACTCATAAAATGGGGCTTTCATAGAAGGCACATGGATATTGGCCATGATCTACCTTCGCCGCGAAAAATAAACCGCCCGTTCTCTGTCCCAAGCTAGCCGTGAAAGGGCTATAAAACCGGCAGGGAAGAAGTTTCATTAGGCAAGGGAGGAGTCATGATAAGTGATCGAAGAAAGAACGATCAAGCTGATCCTCTGGAAGGGAAGGCAAGAAGGTGGCGGTGCCGACATGCCGATGAATAATTCCGCGTGTTGTGTGTAATTGGATGAGCCCCGCGTGGCGGCTGAATGGACGAGCGAAAAAGTTGGCTTGGACGGCAGATGAGGCTCATGAGGAGCGACGGGCCTAATTGGCCGCTGCTTGTGACACTTCTCGGATCGCTCGAATTCCCTTGAACGTCCATCAATGCGTCAACATCTGACATTCAGCCAAATTAATACGACTCTTGTCCAAGGAATTACGTTGGCAAGGTGTATTTCATTTCCGAAAAGCCTTCTTAAAAGCGTTTCTGGAAGCTTCACCGAAGTAGACAAGTGGGCGACATGAATCCACTCCAAGAATATAGTCTGTTCAAATTTTAAATGTCAAGCAGTTAACTCCGCCCCTGCTGGCACAGTACCTTTTCGTGTCGAAATTATGTCGCGCGGGATACTTTTTGATCTTTTTTGCTCTAAATGTCAAAAAATGCAGCCTTATTAAAGGGCCATCGTCATCTGTAGATAAAACCGAAGAGACCATCAAGACCTGATAGAATAACTCATTTTTGTGCGTGAGGTTTCTTGATAGGAATGCGAATTTTGAACTAGTCTGAATATTTTACGTCAGTCAGCTTTGCACAAATCACAGTTTTCGAAGAGATCATCAAGACCTGATAGAATTTTTCTGTTTTGGAAGATCTATCAAGAAACTTCTGAATGGGAGCTTTAATTTATGAGATGTGCGAAAAAATAGAGACTATTTCACAATTTATTCGCCTACACGCACGCAAGAAACCAATACAAAATCCCATTGATTCTTGAAGAAAAACAAGAGATGGATACGGGGAGTGACTAGGAGCTCACAATCTTATTGTGTCACCAGATCCAGACGAAAAAGCCCATGTTTGGTGTCGGCAATCATGGACGTTACAACATTGTTACATAACAATCCTCGGCGGTGCAAAAACTGACAATCGGTGTAGAGATAAACGAACGAAAAAAACGAAATGATAAATATAATCTATGGGGGAGAAGGGAGGTATATAGACTATCCGCGGTCAAAGAGCGAGTACATTTTTTAAACATTTCTATGAACTAATTTCAACCTTTGATTTTCCTATATATTACCAATTTGAGTCGTGGGATGTGTTCCTCGGACTTTTTTTTTTGTTTTTTGTTTAGTATGCACAATTTACAAGAATTGAGACTATTTGATGTGGAGAGTATGATTAGTATGGCAATTTTTGTTAAACCCAGAGAATAAACCCATGAATGAAGAGGAAATCCCATCGGGAAAGTTTGATAATTGTTCAGAGCATCTAAACGTTGGCAATCTGCTCGGCAGAGGACCACTTGAGCTTGATTTGGGAGAGAGACCTCCGCCTGACGAACTTGGATTGTCCGTTGAAGTTGGACTTGGACCGAGAGCCGTGGTAGCGAACGTCGTTCGTGCTGGCGTACTGTGGAGCGTAGCGGCTGCGTGGAGGCTGTGCGGCCAGACTTGCCATCACATGCTGACGAGACCTCGAGTCTCCCAGGTCCTTGCGTCCGTTGTTCGTCAGGCACATCATAGATCTGTAATCAATTGTCAATTGCAAATTTTGAAGCCCTCTTTTTCTTCAAGGAATCCCCCGCGGGCGCAAGTGTTTAGATGCCTTTCTTTCTTCAGTTTTCCTCTACTTTCAACTTGTTCGCAACGACGACCAATTGGTTAGTGGGAACCAAAAACCAACAGGAAATAAAATTTCCTTCTGTGTACTTGAAAAGGGCAAGAGAGTCGAATAAGGTGAAGATGAGTCACGATAAACTAAATTCAATAAACAAAAGGTCAAGTCCTCTCAAAACAAGTTTTTGTTGATTCCGTAGACGAAATTATATAAACTTGAAAGTTCCGATTTCAATAAAAAAAAAAGACGAAATTGCAAATCCGTTTTGAAGCTAATTAGTCAACCCAAGGGCAGCTTTTTTTTTAATATCCTATCACAGTACGAGCGACCAAAACTGCACTCCCTAGTATAGCTGATTCACGGCTTGAGCCATTGAAAAAAGGGTCCGCACACGATAAGAAAAGAGATAGTGCCCGATAGGTGGAGAGCGCAGAAAGTTCACGCCCCTTTAGCGTCCTAAGCTAGCCGGAAATCAGCTATACCACCATCCTTGTAGCACTATCAAAATAATTGGCTCCCAGAGGAAAAAGCCGGCCCGAGTAGAGCTAACCCGGCGACGTTTCGATGCTTGAGTAGGACTTTGTTGGAGCTGGACTTGACGGCCGAACGAGAAATTGTGGGCATGTCGCCAGCGTCCGGAGTGATGTCGCAGCGCGAATTGCAGTCGCTCAGGTCCATGCACATCTGAAAGAACTAGTAGGGAAAAGGAGAGGAAGAGTGATACGTATTCAGGAACGGTCTGAAACTCCTTGTCGTTGGGGTGGATGAACTCGCAGCGAAGGCCGTATGGACAGAAGCCGTTGGCGCCGCGCGAGAAGTTCTTGCACAACTTCGTCTTGTACTTGTTGTTGGCCATACGAACAGGCTGCAAAACTTCTTTTCTCAGAGCCCTCAGAAGGAAGCTGACTGCATCCACCGTCCGCAGCTCCTCCGGACCATGAGCGAATTTGCAGCGAGAGCCCATGTCGCACTTGCGTCCGGAAGCGTGCGTCACACACAGCCGCGTTTTGTAGTTGTACGGTTGCGGGTTCAGAGATCTTCTGTTTCCTTGACCACGCTGGAACAAAACCAGCTTCCATCAAGGTCATGAAGATTTCCAACCTGAAGATCCTTCTCTGCGCTCAAAGTGTCGTCATTATGACTGTCGATGGTGATCTTCGAGATGTCGTCGATCAAGTTCTCGTCGTGCTCCATATTCCTGTAAGTAGGAAGATCTCTTCATATTTTGAATTAAAAGTGCACCTGTGGTAGCGGAACTGGACTACATTGGGAGCCTGAGGTCCCATCAAGTGGTACTCGTTCACCGTAGGCAGTGGGGTCGACGAGCTGATGGGAGCTCGACCAGAGACGTGGTTCAGCACTTCTGAAAGAATTTGAAGCTGAGAAAGAATTTTCGCGCGAAAAATGGAGCTGTGGTTTGAAATAACTAGGAAATTGATAACGCGAAACGGACGTGCTACGGAGCAATTCTAAGGATCTCTTAAAAGTGCTGAATTTACTAAAGCGGTCAAAATATAAATGCTCAGAGACGTCCGGTTTTCGTTATAGTCTGTTCAGATTTTAAATGTCAAGCAGCTAACTCCGCCCCTGCTGAGACGGTACCCTTTCGCGTCGATGTTTTAACGCGCGGGACTAATTTTGATCTTTTTTGATCTAAAAGATAGAAAAAGAAGTCAAAAATGCAGCCTTATTAAAGGGCCATCGTCATCTGTAGATAAAACATTGACGCGAAAGATATTGTAGCATTGGGGTGAAGTTAGCTGCTTGACATTCAAAATCTGAACAGACTATACCGAAGTCCGAGAATATTCACGAGAGCCTCAATCAGGAAAACTTTGAATTTATGCACATTTCTTTTATTTTATCTATTTTGTACTCCTTTTTTTTGCCAATATTGTCTTGCAAATGGATTGAGGGCACTTCGAAGAGATGTATAGTCTGTTCAGATTTTGAATGTCAAGCAGCTAACTCCACCCCCAAGGCTACAATATCTTTCGCATCAACATTTTATCCACAGATGACGATGGCCCTTTAATAACGCTGACTTATTTTTCTATCTTTTAGATCAAAAAAGATCAAAAATCATTCCGCGCGATAAAACATCGACGCGAAAAGGTACCGTCTCCGCAGGGGCGGAGTTAGCTGGTTGACATTCAAAATCTGAACAGACTATACCGTCATTGCCGGGATGCGACGGTTGGTGCTGCTGGGACATGGCAGCGTCCTGGACCGGCGGCGCTGCTGCGGAGTAGTACACAGCGTTGTGAGCCATCTGCGGGTAGTAGATGACGTGTTGCGGAGCTTGGCCCATAGTAGTCGCTTGTGGCATGTAGATGTATGGTTGTCCTGCAAAAATCGTTTTTCATTAATTGTAAAAAAGCGTTTCGTCCGTAGTTCCCCGAATGCATGATTTTTAAAAAACCGGTTGATCGGATCTGTTTTTTCTTATTTATGCGTTCAAAGAACTTTGCTCAAAATGAGAGTAGGCTGAGTTTTGTGGAATTTAGAAACTTTTTCCAATTGGAAAGAGGCAGAGTCGTTTTTTAGTTATTTCAGACTTATTCAAATTCTGGGCATCTGAAAAAATAACCAGAAAAGCAAATTGCACTCACCGTATTCATCACCAAAACGCTATATACTTTGAGTTAGAAGAGTACTTTTTTACACATGCAAAAAATGGATGTGGTTTTTATATTTTTGTACCGTGTTCAAATCAATTTCGCGAAATGCAAAATAGCCGTTAGAGAGTGGAAAAGATCACTGAATTTCGGACTCAGAAAAAGTCAAATTTTTAACTTCGCTCCGTCCAAATAACTAGATACAACTTTTAACAATGAAACATCGGAAAGTACCATGCATGATGACTGGTTGTTGAGGTGGAGCAGCTCCACCGATCACGTATTGCTCAGGATAGTACTGCTGGGCAGGGAAAGCGTTCGGCGCTGCGACGTACTGCAGGTTGTTGGGAGCCGTCGGCAGACCTCCCGAGTAGTAGTACTGAACCAATAGCTAGTGAAAGACTTGCGACCGAGTCGTACCTGTGGGTCAAATACCGATTGTTGGGCGGGAGGTGGCAGTCCAGTCGGCGTAGTTTGCATCTTCGCCTGAAAATGCTACGTTCAGAGATCCCACGAAAACGAAAAAAAAAATTTTCAAATATATTTATAATCAAAAATTTTACACGGGATAAAGATATAAAATCTTGTTCACCATCTTCAAATCTACGAATAAAACAACAAAATAGATGATTTCATTTGAAAACATCGACCTAATCACGAAAAAATTGTTTTATTACCTGCACACCTTTAATAATCAAAGGTTTTACACGGGATAAGAGTGTTGTGACTAAAATATACTTCACAGTTTTAAGATTCTCAAGATTTTGATGTGCAGCCGTGTCAGCGGTGGCATCAGACCACGCTCAATAAAAACTTCGAAAACTTGCTTTAAATGGAACAATAAAAAGTTTATGGCTAATTTACAAACGTAAGCAAACGAAGTTTAATGTGAGAAAAATTTCATTCAACAAAACTTAAAATAGAGAATAGCATGGCGATGAGAAGGAAGAAAAAATAAGGCTGTACGCAGTCGTTTTGGCGGCGCCCGGGACCGATCCGCTGAAACGTAGGTCAAACAAAAAGGATCAAAATACGGAATCACATAGACTTACCATATTCTATCCTAGTCTCATCTTGTTTTTTTTTTTCAAATTTCGTTCGTATATATTGATGTTGTTCAAGTTATCCCAGAACTTTCCTTCCTTTTAATATTTCTTTACCGAGAATTTCATGATGATAAAAATATTGTTCCCTGGCAACCCGAGGCATTGTCGCTATAGAACTGAATTAGATATAAACTCTGCCTTAAATCAGCAAAATCAAAAAGAAATTGTGGCCAAGGTCCGAATTCTGGTGTTTATCCAGTCGCTAGGGCTGAAACAAAGTCGAGAAGGAGTAGGAATCCTGGTGACCGCTCAGAAAATATTTAGTCCAAGTTGGTGTTTTACTATATATTCGCTACCTAACGGATTGGTTTCCCCATGTTGATTCTTGCAGTTGTGCCGTTTTTCTGATAGTCCTTTTCGTATACTTCGATCAACTCATGTTAGACGGAAAATTTTGAAAGTTTAACTATTCAAAACCTCAAATTATTTCTCTGTTTTGAGAAAGTAAAATATTGCATCAAAATGAATGACGAAAAACAAGTAAAAATGGGTCTGAAAGAATTTTTTTATTGTTGCAGCCAATAAAGTTAGAAAAATGGAAGATGTGATGACTTCAAATTGAAAATTGCAGCAGTAAAAACATCATAAAAAGGAATAGAGAATAATAAAACTTGAACTTTGATAGATCTTCGAAAGATCTACTGGATGTAGCTCAAAAATTGAGATTATCGAAGCATTTAAAAGAACTTGCAAAAGAAATGATGTGTACAAATAACAGTAAAACAGGCGTTGGCAAATTTGATCAAAATGTGAAAATGTGTTCATTAATCGGAAAACTCAGAGAGAAAACGATTAGACGTGTAATAAACCGTTGATTCGAGGGCAGGTTAACCTCTGAAATATAGAAATATAACCTTTTGACGACGAGAAAAAAAAAAAAAAAAAGTATTTTTTTGTTACATTTCTCTTTTTTTGTAAGATATGTCAAGGCGGAGATGATTGAACTTGAACCAAATTTTTCAGAAACCGTACTTATTGGGCTCGGGTTGAAAAAGACCGCGAGTGGAAGGAGTATGGTGGAATCCGAGGTTGTGGGAGGCAGTCGGCGGCAAATCTCCCGATGCGGCAGCCTTCAACCAACTTTCTTTTTACCCCAATACCCGATTCAAACTCACCGATGAGCTCGCAGATAGATCACGGGTTCGAACAGGAGTCACAAGGGGAGCGCGTTCCTCGTTATCTCCAAGTCTAGGAAAATAATTAAAATTAATGCTATGTCTGAACGGATTTATGTGTGTTTTGAGAAGTTTGGATTTAACAAATGCGCAACTTTGAAAACTAATTGCTTGAAGAAGAAAATTTCACACGGATAAGTTTGAAGGTTTTTTAGACAGAGATCTTTAAGGCGAATTCTGACAAACTTTTCGAATTGCACACTAAAATTACCTTCCTTGGAGAGAAAAACGAGGTGAAGGAGGAAAAAAAACTGTGCTTATGGTATAGTTTCTATTAGAGAAAATCCCTATGATGAAGCATTTTTGAAAGAGAATTTTTCAAAGTTTACTTTTAACACAATATCAGTCTTGAAATCAATACCTCGAAAAAATGAAAATTTTACATCTCCAAAAAATTCTTACTTTACACCAATTCATATTACCTTCATTGGGAGGCCGCATGCGTGGATTAGGTTAATGTGAAAAATAAAATCTTTAAAAATGCTCTTTTTTTCCTCAATTGTGCAGATGCTCGTAAATCCATAAGTCATTAGAAAAAAAAAGATTTTTTGATGCCAAATAAGAAGTTGTAAATTGTGAATCATGTTTCTTCGTGTTGAGACTTATTTCAATTACATCGCGAAAACAAGAAAAAAAAAACCTTTTACGAGTGTGATAGTGCTTTCCATTGGGTGCCTGAGGGTCGAGTGAACCCGAAAACCTCCTTCCGGATTCACTATGGCTGATGTCATTGGAAATTCTCAAACATTATTGGTTCTGAAAAGTGTAGTTGAGACTCACTCGGAAGGCTGAACGGAAGTATTCCAAAGCTTTTTCGCAATCTCGAAAGTCATCAAAGAATTGGCACTGTTCGCAATGAAGATAAGCAAGATCATTCCATCGCAGCTGTTTGAAAATTGTTTTATAAAATTTTAAGTCAAAAAAAAACCCCAAGTAATCAATAAAAAATTCGAGAAGTTGGCGATTTGTAGCAGAGCCGGAGGGAAAGTACTCAACGGAAGCAGCGGAAGTCAACAGAATTTCTTGAGTCTGTATAAAGTTGTATGAACCAATGCATAACAGTTTTAGTTAATTAACACCAACAGAAAATTAAGAAAACCGCTTTTTTGGAATAATAACTAGAACAGAACACGTCTTACCGGTAATAAGGAGTCCGTGTAAAATCGGCGATAGGGGGTGACAAAAAAGAGCAGAGTGTGCCTCATTGCCGAGAAAACAGCGATTATGCCAACCACAATCAGCCAAAAAAACAAGAAAAGAAACAACTTCTCGTTGACCGCGTTCAGTACCAGCAAACATTGGAAATAGGTTGGCTGTACATTTGCCATGTCCTGAATCAAACATGAAAGATCATATGACAATTTGATTCAACCTACCAACTTTTCAAGTGTACACATAACAATTCTGGGAAAATATCCCGTATATGGGCAATCGAACTCGCGTAGAAGTGTGTTAAACAACTGAAAAAAAGGCCCGAAAATTCACAGTCTACAAGGGAAAAAACAGGAGACTTATCGAAAAAATTTGAAAAACCATTGAAACTATACATGATATTGGTAAACGGTTTAGAGAAAATGATGGATGAATTTTTTTAACGAATATTCTCGTTTTTGCCATTCCTGTATGAGTATCTCAAAAAAGTTTCTTCATAGTGAATAACTTTCTACATTTTCTGAAGAATTTTTTTTTTCACCGCCCGAAGGCTGTTTTTTTCAGCTTTTTTTAATTCTTTGATAACATATTTTTAATGTGGATGTTCTTCTGACGAAGGAAGTGTCAGGTGAACATCGAAGATCTGGTTTGAACTTCTTTGCTAAACAGCCCTAGACACCAATTGGTATTTAAAAAAACAAAATTAATTATTTTTTTAAGCGCCATGGGGGTACAGTGAAAAAAACGGCAGAAAAAAACAGGAAAGGAATCTCAGCAGTTTCTCAAATAATTCAAAACATGGCTTACTCCTCAAAAGTTTTACCATCAAACTTTTTTCGTTTTTTAAATTTCAATAAAAAATTTTAGAAAAAAAAATTACTTGAAAAAGGATCACCAAACCTCGAATCCCCAGAAAATATTGCCTTTTCCGATGAAATATCCAAGCGCGCAGAACTGGAGAAAGATATTGGACACACACATCCACTTCATGAGAATGTAAGCGAGAAAAGTAGAAGACGAGCCAAACCAAGAACTGAAACTTCATATACATATGCGCAATTTTTTATTACTCACCGTTGCTTAAGCTTGAGCCAGTCGTCGATATACTTGACGACGACATTCAGAGCTTGTTCACGATCTGCTCCAGAGAGTTCGGAAAGTCTTTCAGATTCTTTCAGGACCGTAGCCATGTCAAGGCCTTGATATAAAACTTCGACAAGTCCAATAAATCGAAAATACCGTTGCAAAATCCAAGTCCAAAAAACTTCCAGAACAGTCGTGGCATAAGGAAAATAACAGCTTGCACAAAGAGAATGTAGGGTATCCACTGCATTTTATGTTTGAAAGAAATCTGTCATGAACTCACTGGATAATAAGCAACTTTATTGTCTGAACTGTAAGTATTGCTTGAGCGAACGCTTGTAATTTTCTCCATAAGGCTTCTTTTCGCAAAATCAGGGATTTCGATGGGGTTGTCATTAGGATCAGCTGAATTTTTATGCCTGAAATTTTTGTAAAAAGTCAGAAAATTATGTTTGGTTACGTCATAGAGTGCCATGATTTCTCCAAAACTCTATACTTGTCTTGAATATAACAATAATCTTTGTAGTAATTGCTCCAGCTTCCTAAAATAATATTGATGAGGACAAGATATTCCGCTGACTTCAAAACAAACCTCGAGTTTCAGCAGGCATCATACATTGTATTGGAGAACCGAAATTCTGCTCGGAGCTAATTAGAAGAGCGAAAAAAACAAATAGCTGCACAGTATAAGAAAGTACGAGCTTGTCCGTTAAACTTGAAAATTGATCGCCGTCGTTGATAACTCTTTGAATTACGCCACCAGCGAGTTTGATCATCTAATCTAAAAACTGAAGCAATAAAATAACAATCAAATCTTCATCAAAAAGTACCGATATTAAAAAAAATGTATCAATTGGTCAATAGCTGGTGAACTAATCTTGATTGGAAGAATTATATCCGTTGTAATTCCACAAAGCGTGTAGAATGAATGCCTCACTTGAGTGTGAGAGACTATGAAATGATAGTCTTTGCGTCTTTTTTTTAACCTAAGATAATAATACGGAGATGAGCTAGCTAGTCTCTCGTTCAAAGCGCTTTTTGTGAAATCGAAATATTTAATATTTAAATGACAGGTCAAGAATAAAACAAAAAAAAGGTTTTGGAGATTTCAGAAATCATTCCTGTTTCGTCGGAATCACTTCGAACGCGCCATAGGCTAACGCTGCTTAAGCAAACGGTAATGTTCTTGCCAGATTTTAACTGATAAAGACAACGATTAAAGCGGCAAAGCGAAAAAAGGAACAGACGGGGTGGAAAGTTTCAATAAAAATTAATTAAAATCAAGCATTAGGATTGAAATGGGTGTGAAAAAGAAAATAAATCTACATAAATGTCTACAAAATTAGTCTACATAAATGAACTTCGAGCAAGAGCCGAAAATGTTTATTTCGCGAGAAATAGTGCATGCGATCGCGCATACGTTCGGTTAGAGAGAATGGAAAAAACGGAGACGGAGTGTCTGGCGTATGCGCGCGGAATGCGCCAATCGCCTCTGAAGGGCTTCGTCTCTTCTTTCTTTATGTAAAATGTTTTTGGAATCTGCTTATAATTTGGGGTAATGATTTTCGGAATTTTCATAGATTCGTATTTCACTGTTTTCCGGACGCTAGTTGTTTCATTTTATCTTATTAATAATTTCTTATTTTCCAAATAGGTAATGATATAGTCTGTTCAAATAAGAAATCGCCTATCAAGCTCCGCCCCTAATGTCGCGATAAACCAATTAGAGAGCGAATCATCCACATAGCCTTTTCGAATGACGTCATTATGCTTGACATTCAAAATCTGAACTTTCCATTGACGGCTGATTTGGGATAAAAAAGCACGTGGTAATTTCTGGCTCGACCATCAAACGTTTTTTGTTTCGAAAAGTGGATTATTCGAAAAATTCTTCGAGTTTCTCAAGCCTATGGAAACAAGGTCATGTAAATAAATGGATTATTGAGTAATTTTATTCACTTATTTATTTATACAGAGCACCCAAAAGAAGAATGAAAAGAGGGATTTGTTGCATAATGTACGTTAAGCGATTTTCCATCGCTTGTCGAATGGTAATCGGCAACACTGTTCCAGCAATGTATCCGATAAGAGCCCAACTAAAAGTTAATGAATGTTTAAAATCAAGTTGGACCAATAAAAAAAACTTCGCATCTCTCTGGTCCTGGACAAGGCATGAAGTTTTGAAGTTGAGCGTAATGATAGCTGTAGAAGGTACGCTGAAAACAGCCCGCTATCAGTTGCTGATAGAACATCTTGGTCGGGACTTCGCTCAAATATCTTCTGATTGGGGTGTTCCACACCATTCTGAAAGAGATAGTTTCGCGAAGAAGAGGTAGCTAGAAAACCTTTTAAAGCTTTTTTCGATAGAGTCCAACTCAGAAGGCTTTATAATTCCGGTGCCTTTATTTTTTCCTTTCTTGTTATTTTTATGTTTATTCCCTTCAGATAGGACTTCTCCCTCGTCAGTCTGAAAATTTGAAAGCGGACGGTTATGAGAGTGAAAGTTCGTTATAGCGGAAAGTGGCTGACCATGAGAATTTCTTTAAGATGAGTAATTGAGTTGAAGCTCGTGGGTACAGTGTAGCTGAAAATGAACATGGGCTAGTGAAACGAATATCTGTGGATTTTTGCAATTCCTTGTCCATTTTTTTTTTCAGAAATATTCGTTAAAGTGAGCACACGTTAGTTTCATGAAGCTTATTATCTTTATGAAAGTTCATGAATTCATAAATTACCTCGGTAGATCTACTGCTGGCCAATGGATCCACACGGCGTCTACCATAGAAGATCTGACCACCATTTTTCCCGTTTCACTGACCCCCGTAAAACGAATACTTTTAATTGACTCCTTTAGTGAGAAAGAGTGCGCCTTTTTGTCTGAAAGGTAATTTTTTTTTTCGATCTCTATAGCTGATTCACGGCTGACTTGAGCCATCGAAAAAAGGGTCCTGACACGAAAATGCACGAGATAGTGCCTGGCTCGTAGAGAGCGCAGACAGGCCACGCCCCTTAACGTCCCAAGCTAGCCGTGAACCAGCTGTAATTTCCACTCACTAGCTTTCATTTGAACATTTTCTTTGGTATAATGAAAGTAGGCAGCTTGAGGGAAGCTTTTCGAAAGGCTATTGAATTCGGCGAAGTAACTATCTCCGTGTCGCGGAATAATAACGTCATCGAGGTCAACAAACGCGATGAAATCTGATGATTCCTGAAAAGTTCCGTCAGTTGAAACCTTCAGAAGAATAACCTTGTGTTTCAAAAGACAGTCGGTTTGAGCAGCAGCTTGACTGCGAAACTCAACATTGAGGTTTGGATTGAAATCTTCGGAGAGAATCGTGAGCAGCTTGATCCGAGGCCAAGAACGGATTGTCACGTATCCCTGGAGAGAACCTCTTTTTCTTCATTTGATTAAAAGTCTAAAACCTCTTTCTCGTACTCCCGCAGCGTTTCGAGCAATGGAGACACGACACTCCTGACGTAGAGATGCGCATGTGCCCCGTAGTGTCTGTACAAGTGCAAAGCCAGAACCAGGTTGTGCCAATGCTCGCTCGCGAACAAAGGCGAAATGCACATGACGACTGGCTTCGACTCGTACGACACAGCTTCGAATGGAATCTGAAAGTTCACGCTGATGTTGTATCCATTTTAAGAACTTGCGTCAAAGTATACAGGTTTGGTTCAGTTTTTCTTGAATAAATATTCTGATGAGTTTTCCCTTTCATTTCTCATCGATTCTCCTTCCTCTTGTCCATCTAGTTTCTCTACAGCAGGTCCGCAGAATTTATTAAAAAAGATCTAATTGAGCACATAGTCTGTGTGCCACGACTTGAAATTTCACGGAACGACATTCCGCTGTTCCGCTGCGTGCGTTCGCGAAGCGTCTTTCGAATCTAGGTCACGTTTTCAATTGATTGTTATTGCTGTTGGAGCACATGAAAGTAGAGTACCTTAATAAAAGAAAAAAAAAAATTAAAAGGGCGACCAAGGTTCGCAAAGGCGCGCAGCGGCACAGCGGAATGTCGTTCGGTGAAATTCCAAGTCTTGGTACACAAACTATACAAATGGTTCCATGCTATTGATAATGATAGAAGATTCATCTTTAACTAGATTTGATGGTCAAACCATGGCATTTCTGTTCCCTAGAGATAAGCGCAGTCCAGAAAGATTGGGCAGAAGAGTGGTCGTGGCGAAGATGGCGATCCACTTGCAAGCCTCGTGCGGCGTGATTCTGGAAAGATCTTACTGCGAAGGAGCGAAAAAGAAGAGTTCCTGACTTTTGCAATCTTAAAGTTGTATCGAGACGGGAAGATGCATTGAAGGCCGTCAGCTGTAGAGATCCCAATTTCGAGATGATCTCAAAGTCTGCCGACAAGACTATCGCTATGGAAGAGTCTCCGAGACTGGATTATCATCAAAATCAAAGACTTTTCCATAAAAAAAACCTTTTAGATGTTTTGTAGTAGTAAGAAGACGTAAGGAACACATCGTAAGGCTCAGAAGTATGCACCTCTTCCACGTATTCATATTGGTAGTTTCTGTGAAAATTTCAATTTTTGCGATAAGGATCCACTCAAGTGCTTTGGGAGAATTTTTAGTGGCTACTTTAGGGTTACGACGCTCTAGTGGCCACTATAGTAGTAGAATCAGTGGCCACTTGAGTGACTAAAATTTAGTGGCCTCTTTAGGAGTCTAAGTGGTACTATTGAAAATCACTGTAGTGGCCACCAGGACTCAAAGTAGTGGCTTCTAAAGAACTAGTTTTAGTATCCATTTTAGTGCCCTCTCCAAGAAGTCCTTGAGTCACCACTTCAGTGGCCTTTTTTTCAGTAGTCGATATTAGTTAGGGTAAAAAAAATGAACTGTTTCGAATCGAATGTGAAACAGCTGCAATTCGAAAAGTATATTTCTATTAATGATTTTACTATTTCAATGATAAATAAAGGGCTCCATCTAATGAATAAAAGACGCACGAGAACTTTCGAATGACAGAAGTAACGAAAAATACGAGGAATGAAATGAAGAAGATGGAGAGTACAGCGGGTAGAAGTCGAGGAAGCATTGCAGCCATGGCCAGGAGGAGGAGGACATCTATCTCGATGAAATCTATCGCGGAGATCCTTGTCGTCCAGTCCAAGTTCAAACTCCAGTTCAACTATCAAAGCCGATTTTTTTTTAAATTTCCGGGCGGAATAAACGTAATATCAAACTTTGCCAAAAAAAACTATTCAAGGCTCAATTTTGACATTTTTTTTCTCACAAAACTTCTTTCATCCTTGATATTTTTGCTTAGAAATATTCCCTTCACAAAAAAATTGTTTCAGTCCGAAGAATGTCAAGCCTCAAATTCCGCTCCCAACAATGCTCTGTGGGTGGCTCGTTCACTGATTGGTTTGACCTACGCATAAGGGGCGGAGTTTGAGCGATGAGTTGGCAGCCAAAAAGAATATGTTGGTGCCGGTAGCCAATTTTTGCCTTTTTGTAAATGCACTGCTCAAAAATAGAAAAACTTACGCATAAGCGACTGTTAAAGATTTTATTTATTTATATATCTTCAGAGTTTTTGACCCTTGAATTTATTCGAGAAAATTGAAGCACCCGATGAAACTTTGAAAAACCAAACAAAAAGAAAAGTTAAGGAAAACATCCTTTGGTTACACGAAAAGAAGAGTTCGTCGCAAAATGAAACCAAAGAGGAGACGTCTGCTGAGCCGAAAAATAGTGTGCGTCGGAGTGGACGCATTCGATGTCGTCTCGCTCAGGATACTGAAAAGGGGGCGTGGCTTCAAGGGATGGTTGGACAAACCGAGCAAAGGTCTGGTCCGGGACAAGAAATCTCGTCGATGCGGCCTGCGTAGTGGAATCGGTAGTACTTCTCTTGGTAGCACTTGGACACGAGCTCCATGTAGAAAAAGTCCGTGGGCAGATTCTCCATTATTTCTTTAAGGTCTTCTCTCGACATCATCCTGCAACTCTCACCGTTTAAGTGATCATTTCAATAACTTCGGCAGACCAGGAGTTTTGAAAATGTTTTTGTAGAAAATACATGGCGTTTTTGGTAATGGAAGAAAATGCGAAACGAAAAATGAGGTGGGCGAAGTCAAAACCTCCGCCGTTCCCGTTATGGGAACGGCAGAGATTTCGCCTCTAAGGGCGTAAATAAAAGGACATAAAGGCGCAGTGTTGCAATAGGTCACTGAGACAAAATCACTCACTCAATTTTTTTTTCTGCAGGTGAGCGCTGCAGTGCATGCACACGACACATGAAACTTTACGGAAAAAAGGCGTCGTCAAAAAAACACCGTGTAATGAGTAATCCGAATTTAACAGGTAGGGTTTTTTAAACTGGAAAAAAACCTACTTTTGCAAGTCTGATTCTATATTGACGATTGCCGTCTCCGAAATCAAATCTTTGCCCGTGTCACGACTCGATTTTGGAATCCTTTTGCTAGGAGCAGGATTCACTTCCTGTAATGGATTCTAAAGTTCAAAAAAAGCTTTCCACTTCTCGACGCTCACCCTTTTCAAACTTTTCAAATGAGTGATCGTGTTAGTCGTGGTCAGTCTGAAACTGATAGATATACCAATAAAAATATCGATATCTGAACTTGTCGACACCAATTGGCTTAACAGTAGGCCAATGTATCCACGTTGAATTGATCATCGACGGTTTCGTGACAAGTTTTCCAGTTTCTGTCTAAAGTTCGCTGTGATGGAAAATAGCGAAATAAAAACATACGACGTTGAGAAACTTCAGAGATCCGAACATATTTTGCAATGAAAATCCAGTTGCGGTCTGCGCTAATATCAAAATTTTATGATTGCCAAGCGGCTGTTAAATTACTCTTACTTACTCGAGATCACTTCTGCGTTTGATTTCGTATATTCCAAAAAAGCCACATAGGGCTGCATGTGATAGTAATAGGTAAACTCTCGCAAATACGTAGGTCCCATTTGTGGGATGAGAACGTCATCGAGGTCCAGGAACCCGACAAATGTTGCTGTTTCCTAGAAAACTTTTATTATGGATGAGAAAGCTGAATCATTTTTGTGCCGTGTTCAAAGGGGCCAACTAAAGGCCATTAAGATTGCCCCTATAGGGACCACTCTGGAGTTCCTAGGCAGAGTATAAACTTTTTCAAGCTTCCACAAAAATAGATTTTTGTGACCTTGTATTGGAGTAGGCAGTCGCACTGGGAAGCGGCTTGATTGCGGAACTCAATCTCCTTATTTGGCTCGAACTCCTCGGGAGGAACAGCGTCCAACTTGACTCGAAGCCACGGTTGCAGTTTCAAATAACCCTTAGCAGGAATTTATCGCAAAAAAGACGCTTTACCTCCTCTTCGTACTTTTCAGCTAGATAGAACAGCGAATTCACAGCACTCCCAATGTACAAGTGCATGAACGCACCGAAACTAAAAAAAAACATTTGCGGTTGATAAGGAGATGAACCAAACTTTTTGTAGGTGTGCACAGCGAAAAGAAACGTTTGCCACTGTTCGCTGACGAACAACGGCGAAATGCAGAAAACGACGTCCCGCTGAACGGAGGACGGTATCGAGTATGGTATCTGAGAACTGATAGTCAGAACAGTATCGAATGATGTCAACTTTTTTTCAAATATAGAGGACACCAGTTCAGACCTACAGGGACCGTCCGATTAGCACTGCGCCGCCCCCGCTGGACACAATAGACCAATTTTGATCTCATTTTCTATCTAATAAAATTGACACGGCTATTTTCGACATTATTAAGGTAAAAAAAATACAGAAAACACGGTTTTTTTAACTTTTTGAAGACGGGTTTCTCAAATTATTTCTTTTTTTAAACTTGCTGTCGTTTACAATAACCTCGTTATTAAAACTGAATTCCTATCTTTGAATGTGTTTTCTCTAAGTGAGATTTCCTTCGAAACTGTCTATTTTTTTCGTACAAAAAACTCGTTATTAACAAAGATATCGCACTGCGCTTTTTGGCGACGCTCCGCCCACATTTTTCCGTAAAGTGTAGTGTGTCGTGTGCATGTACCGCGGCGCTCTCGCAAATGCCGCGTTCAAAAGAATTCTCACGAAATTAATAACTGGATTTCTGAAATTCAGTTATTTTTTTCACTCTCTGGTGGCTATTTTGACTTCCGCAGAATTACTTTCAACACGGCATGTGTTTTAAAAAAATCTCAAACTTGGGTTTCTCAAAAAAAAAAAAAAAACGAACGATCACCTCAACGAGCTGGTCGTCCATCACGACGGCGAGTTTTTGCATATTCGGCAGCAGTGGCGCCGTGGCGAAGACGTTTATCAAAAAGCAGATGTTATGTGGAGTGATTCGCTCGACGTTCAGCGAAGCTACGGCGTTTGCTGTCGCGTTGAATCCGACGACTTTGATATCGACTTTGTCCCACAGAAAATACTTACTACCCGCCAACAACAGACCGACTGAGTTGTTACCCAAGCTAAAAAGGATGATCATCCAGACTGGACCCGAAATACCTGTAGGATGTGGGGAAGTAGTAGGAAGAAATGACAAAAACATGTTGCTTTCTTTCTTCTTCATTAACTTCCCAAGTTGAAGCCGTTTGTAGCCTGGAAAACCAACTTCTTGTTTCCCAATAGAGGAAGGGTGACTAGATTTTTTGTAAGCGGTAAGTAATTTCGCTTATTTTTTTTTTGTAACCTTCTCTATTTGAATACTTTGAACTTCTCTTCTAACTGATCGCTGCAAAGCTTCGAAAAATGTTTAATTTATAACTACTGAAAAAGAAATGCAATATTGAGAACTATTGGATTACTTGAGCATCTTGAAACTTATGATACAGGCTGGCGTCAAAAAAAAAAACAAAAAAAATAAAAAAAGAACCTTCTTAATGGGTTCTCGCAGAAAAAGAAGGCGATGATGAGAGCCAACGGAAGTAAAAAAATTATCTGCCAGCATCTGACTAATTTGTGAAAGAATGGACATCTGAAAATACGCAAAAAAGTTTGAAGTTACTCTGAAAATACCAACTTGAAGACAATTAGCGAATACACCATGAGAAATTTACCAAAGGGGCTTTACTATACCAACATAACTTCGTTCAGCCGCTTTCTCTTTCGATTCTTCATCTCAGATGCGAGATGCGATTAGAAAAATCCCGAAAAACGAATAACAAGTCCGGTAAAAACTTCGGCGAAGACTTCTCAGCATTACTAGTTAGAGAACGCAGCAAATTAAATTTAGAATTGAAATTGCTGTCGCTGAGTTGTAAATCCGGCTAGCCGTGAGAGTTTGGAATTATTCTTGAGAACATTTAAATATTTAGGAGTATTTTAACTTCGAAAAGCAAGTCAGAAATCATTTCTGCAGTAGAGCGCCTCAACTCCTTCAACAAAAAATGAGCTCAAATCTTTAAGTGGTTATCTTAAAAAAATTATTGAGAATTAGGTATCCAATGCGATGCAATTTTTGTTTTCAGCTATATTAAGCTAATAAAATCCTTTGTTGTTTCGTGCGTCTTTCCTCATCATGATGCTTAGGTTAACAAAAGTTTTACGCATAAAACTCACAGTACCCATTTTCTATTTAATATGGTTCTTTGAAAATTTGCACAGCTGTGCTTGAAATCGGATTATAAAGTGGGCTTAGATACCAATAGGTATCATAAAAAATAACAAACCCGGCGCGTCCCCCACCAGTGCCTGAGTACCTGGGAAAGAGCGTAAACCTACACGGTGAACCACCTCCTATAACTGCGCGATTGTTGCGCTAAGCCACACCCACTAGTCGACCACGGCCGCCAGCCGCAAAACGTCGCGCTATACTGATGTAATGTGAAAAACTCTAGGGTTTCTTAAGATTTTTCTCAAGAACAATTTCGAGAGGACTCCAAAGAGGCCACTAAAACCACCTAAAAGCCGCTATTTCGCGTCTAAGCGCCCACTATAGTTGTTTTTTTGTGGTCCTGTAGTACAAATTAGAATTTTATATAAAGGGTCCACCAAATTTTAGTCACTTGAGTGGCCGCTAATTCGACTACATAGTAACCAAAAAAAAATGTGATAGCCCTAAAATGACCACTATAAACTTTCCCAGTGAACCTACGAGAGAAAAACTGCTCTGGCGATAACGTTTGTTGATTTACGAAAATCAATTTGCTTGCACGAGGCCTCAAGGCGCCGCTGAAAGTTATGATCACGAAGAAAGTCGACCGGTCGATTCTAAAAGCAAACGGCGTCACGCGTTTCAGCCTTAACATGTTATCTTTAGAAAGCAAAGCTCTGTTCCATTCGTTCGCTTTTTTGTGTGCGTGTATTCGATTTCTTACTCATGAAGCGCTCTAACAGTACTAATCTTTGATAAATTCTCACAGACTTAAGATTATAGAATCTGATGAAGCTTGAGAAGAAGTTTTTAATTTTGAGATAGTGTGTATGTGTGTTTTTTTTTTTTTTGAAGTTAAGGCTCTTAGTTTTTTCGTCAGTTCAGTTGGATTCATTTTTCCGAAGTTTCAGGATAATTTTCTCTTTTCTCAGTTATGAGTTTATTATTTTTCATTCAGTTTTCCGAAATTAGCGTGAACGTTGTAATTCGAATTTTCATTTCATTTTTATTTCTGTTCTTTCATTCCAAATTTCCTTTCAATCTTTTGCCAATTTTATCAAGCTGAAAACTTAAAAAAATATCCCAATATTAAAATTGTGAAATTTTTTATAGGGTAAATGGCGTCTATGGAAATGCATTCGTTCACAAGAGAGATGCAGCCACTGGTGGAAAATGAGAATTCCAACCAAATGTCTGAGGTTTGTTTTTTATACCAAATTTTTCAGTAAATTTGTAAAATGTTTACGAAAAATCATTTTTTTGTTATTTTTTTATTATGGAAAATTAAAAAGAAACTGTGTCGTTAATATTTAAAAAAAGTGAAAAGTTCGTTATTTACCATTGAGAAAAAAAGAGATAAACAAATATTAAAATATATAAGTTAGAAGTATTATGAAACTGTGAACTCTGATTTGGATGCAGTTAACTTCGATAGCTCTATCATGCATCCAAAGAAAATTTCGAAAAACGTTTTTTTTATGAGCGTGAAACGCCAGATGAAAGAGAAAATCTCTTCAAAAATTGAAGGATTGTTATTTCCAGGAACGGGTCAAAACCGCTCACGGAGCGGTCAAGGTTTCAATTTACGGCGACAAGAACGATCGTAGCAAACTTCCTATCGTCACTTTCCACGACTTGGGCCTGGACTGTGAGTGAAGTGTGTAAGGAATTTTTTCATCGAACTTTTTTCAGCGGAGAGCAACTTTCAAAATTTTTTCCAATTTGTCTCAATCGCCGAATTCGCCCAAAAGTTCTGCATCTACAACATAAATGCTCCCGGCCAGGAGATGGACGCTGCCGCTCTTCCCGACAAGTTTTTCTAAATCTTTTTCAATCATTTCATCAAAGTGTTCAGTTTTGTGTACCCTACAATGGATGGGCTGGCGAAGGTTGTGGAATCCGTAGTTGATCAGTTCAAGTGAGGTTTTTGAAGATAGCAGTTTCGATTATTATTATTGAGACTAAAACTAAGCTTAAAATTTATAATTAAAACGTATGGCTTTTTGAAGGTTGGACCACTTCATCGCTTTCGGTGTTGGTGTGGGAGCAAATGTCCTTCTTCGATATGCGGTCAGCTCTCGAAAAATTCTCGTAAACAAAAATTTTCAGATTGCCAATCAGAACAGGATAGACGCCTTGGTTCTTGTGAACTGTTGCGCGACGCAGGCTGGCTGGGTCGAATGGGGTTATGAGAAGGTTCGTTCTTCTTTCTGACAGTTGAAGATTCTCTGTAGTGGAACATTCGGAACCTGCGGGGCACTGGCATGACCGCCTTCACTATCGAATATTTGCTCTGGCATCATTTCGGCCGTCGCGTCGACCAGTGCAACTCGGACATTGTGCGGCAGTATCGCGTCTTTTTCCAACACCTTCCGAACCCGCAGAACCTGGCAGCGTTCATGGAAAGCTATTTACAGTGAGATTCTCCTTGTTAGGCTGGTGACTTCTTTCTGTTCAGGCGCACTCCTGTAGTTCTGTCTCGGGACGGTACTTCTGGACCGCAGCTCAACGTTCCCGTTCTTCAGATGGTTGGAGCCGGGAGCGCTTTTGTTGACGACAGTGTTGATGTGAACACTAAGTTGGACCCTGCTCAATCGGATTGGATCAAGGTATGATTTTTCTCGATAGCATGCTTATTCGGCCTTTTCTGCTCTCGAAAAATAAGTAAGCAATGTATAAATTCCTAATTTTTTGACGGGTTTCTCAGAGGACCTCGTAAAATTCATTCTAGAGAGTAGCTTTTGGGACCTTTGAAAAAAGGTTCTGATGATTTTCAACGCGACATAGCGCTTTCCTGTCGTGAAAATGAATGGAAATTGATTTGAGGTAGGTTTCATTGACTTGAATTTGTTATTTTTGCACTCTTTTATCGATGAAAAATTTGAGAGAAGATTTTTTATATGAATATATATATCATGAAGATATTTTAGAAAAACTTCTAGTTCCTATTTTCTCATAAATAAATGTCATATTTTTGCAATAAACTTTCGTAGAAACTTGCAGGGAAATTTTACATGCACGAAAAACTATCTTTTTAAAAAGATCATTCCCAGATCTCCGATTCGTGTGGTCTCGTCTTGGATGACCGGCCAGAGGTGGTAACTGAAAGTTTGATGCTTTTCCTTCAAGGTCTCGGCTACTGTGAGTGGATTTTCAGTTTTTCTTTTATACATTAAAGACGTTTCAGTCCCTACCCTCAATGTGTCCAAGCTGATTAAAAAGATGCAGGACGCTCAGAACGGCTCTTTTTCGGTCGACACGGCAGCCGTGAACGAGTGCTAGACCCATCTTCATCATTTTTATCACTTACCGATCCATTCCTTGTAGTTGTTTATCCTGTCAAACTTGCATTTAAGTGTTTTGCTATTCCTTTTTAAATACATTCAGACTAATTAGAAATTTTCAAGCGCTCATCAAGTTTGAAATTTCTGTCATTTGAAAGAGATTAACGCGCCATTGAACTTATATTATTCATCAAAAGTTTTAATAGAAAAATGCTTTAACTTTCCCATTCTACCGGAGTCATATTGCAAACCGAATAAATGAATGCCATACAGAGTTCTGAGCTTGACTATTGTACTTATATGAGAAGTGGCTAGTTTAACCGCGGATGTGCGATTGCGCGCCTTGCCTTTTTCGGAATCGGATCCAGACCAGGTTTCTGAGTTTGATTTCTATTTTTTAAGGATGGATGAGCTTGATACGTCAGGCTCTTCTTGGTTCGACTGCTTCATTAACCTCAAAACGTTCAGCGCCAATCTCAAGAATAAAAAAAGTGATTATTTCACCAATTTGAAAAAAAGAATACGCTGCAGTACGTGAATAGAATCAAACCCTAACTTTGAAAAATTATCGTTAAAAATAATTTTTAGTGTTTCTTCAAGATATTTGCGTGAACATCCCGGTAATCTCTTTTTGAAACTTCAAATACTGCCTTCATTAAAAGTGGAAGAGAAAAGGAAATTTTCAGATATTCCCAAGTTATGTGTGCAGTTCACAGAGAGAGCGATCGTCGCGGAGCGCGACAGAGATGCGCAAATCTCGAAAAATATGCCTCCAGGTGTACATTTGGAGATTTTCAATCATGCTAAAAAATTGAAAAACTAATGGAGAGGATTCAGAAGACGTGGCTTACTGCGAAAGGAAAGCAGCAAGTCTTTGGCTGTGTGGCCTCGCCTGTTTTGCTACTATCGATTGGGACTTCGAGTACATAATCGAAAAGTGATTATTTTATTCTTATTCGCACCACTTATGGACTTTGTCGCATCAAGAGTAACGCGGGTGAATCGGGAGCAATATCGTTCCCTCGAAAAAAATTTTCTTTGAAAAAAAATTTGATTCACAAGTTTTTTTGATGTCAAATATGAGGTGAAATAATTGAATTTTTAAATTAAAAAAATTCATATAAATATAGTCTATTTTTTTAGCCTCGAAACCTTTTTTCCCATGCTTCTTCAAACAGTCCAGCCAGTTTTTGAAGAAAAAAAGAATGATTTTCAGCGTTTCCCGCTTCGAACTCCTCATTATCCGAGCTTTGATCGACCAAACCTACAAAATGTATGCGATGAATGAACGGAAACTGGACCCGGTATTTGGCAACTGGCTTTTCTATCGTTGGTGCCTTTCTCTGGACCGCCGCTTCAAAGTGCCGCAGCCGCCGCCCAAGGCAACTATTGCCCATCAGTCAGTTTTTTTCCAAATTCTCATTGATATGATGTCTTCTAAAACGATATTTTTTTAAAAACTACTCTGTAATCCATTTTTTGTCCGTCATCTTATCGGAAGAGCATAGGCGTTTAAGAGTTTTAGTATTACTCAGTATTAGAGCGCAATTAATTTATGACAAAAATATTATAGGTTAATTAGTTTAAAAAAATATTTTTTTGGATGAATTTCTATACCGACTCTCAGGAGGAATATTTATGAAACGCAATAGATTATAAAGGTTTTTTTTTTTCATTGTCTAACTCTAAAAGTCTCATTTACCAACTTCATTATAAAAAAATTGAGGAATAGGAAAGTAGGAATAGTGGATAATGGTCGCTAGAAGGCTCAAAAAAGGCTGCAGAAAGGCAGCAAAAAGAGTCCCCTTGTAGAGCCCTCCATTTTTTTTTATAATTTAAAAGGCTTAAGAAATATTGAAAAAAGGGAAAGGCAGCAAAAAGGGTGCATAAGAGCCGATTAAATGACGCAAAAAGGGAGCCTTTTTTTACCCTAAAAGGAACATTTCTATGGAGCCTTTTCCGACTTTGCCTATGTATTTTATTTTCGTTTTTTTTACAAAATATTTTATTTCAAAGTTTCGAAACGTGGTTCTGAGATCAAAAAATGTGAGTTTACTGCAATTGTCGCTGGAATCTTGCAGGTCGCATATAAACCCACAGAGTGATCCGGCGTTCCAGCGGTCGGAGAAAGTGCAGCGGATGCTGAGCGAGTTCCGCGAGCATCTCCAGAAGGCGCGCTTCTTCCTCGGCGAGCTGATGGAACAGAAGCGAGAAGTGGCGGTTCCGGGACCGCGATGCTTCACCGAACCGCTTCTGAAGGCGTTCGCGTCGTTGGACAGCGCCGTCCAAGGAGACCGCGACGTCCTCGCCGTGCCGCCTTGTCCCGATTTCAACATTGATTCCAAGATTCTCAAGGGCACCGAAGTGGCCAACAAGGTGCCCTATTGCAATACTCTCTCGAAGTTTTCCGTTTTCAGTGCTGTGCCGAACTCGTCACCTTCTTTTTCACAAATGGCGACTTTTCAGAAGTCAAAAGGCATCTGGTTCAGGTATATTCTCAATCCAGACTAAAAGTTTCATTGCTTTCAAAGCTGTCGCTTTTCCAAGAAAATATCGAGGAAATGAAAAAACCGACGCTAGCGTTTCAAAAAGTTTTTATTTTGAATAAAAATGAATGTTTCTAGGTTTGATATTGAAACCACAGAAATAGCCTTTTTTTCTTAAAGGAATTTCTATTTCACTTTATTTAAATTCCATGGAATCTCATTTATTTCTCTATTCCGATTTACCTGAACTAAACTAACGATCATCAAAATTTTAACGTGTCTAATTTTTCTCGACAAGCAAGTCTGGGATATATTTTTTCTAGAAAGGAATTAGTCAAGCTGCAAACTCCGCCCCCGAAAACGCTCTCTGTTTATCTACGCAGAAGGGGCGGAGTTTGATTTATGGCATGACATTTAAAATCTGAACAGACTATATGGATTCATTTTTGCGTGTGGCTCGCATTGGGACCATGTTCCTCAATGGTGTACCCGTATTAAACCCGTGTTTTCTAGGCTATTTGAGTCACAGTTGGGCTAAAACGGGAGAACATAGGGCTAGGTGACTTAACTGTGCTAAAGCGGTGCCTCAGCTGGGGTAAAAGTTGCCAAAAGTTCTACCAGCTGTACTTCTACGGGTTTTTTTTTTATTTAAGTACGGCGGCACCCGCTCTACCAGCTGTGCTTCTACGGGTTTGATACGGGGGTACCCGCTGAGACCCCATGTTAGCCTGGCTGAGTCACCCTCATCAGTATGAGAGGAGTTGAAAGACGAAGACTCTGTTTTCCTCTTCGACACCCTAATTCATATTGCTTCTATCGGAGAACTCCCATCCCATTTGCAGATGGTACCCTCGACGAGCTCCTCGTTCTTGGTGGCAGTCGACGACGCGGCGATGCACGGCTACGCGACTGCGGTCTGTGCCACTTCGTGCTATGCCTTCAACTCAAAGTACAGCCGGATCGAGAGAATATCCTACTCTAATGACGTAAATTGACTGTTCATTGCAACAATTATTGATTTCTTTTGAAGCTCCCATCGAAAGACAACGATTATTCCCGAAAAAGTGAGTTGTTTCGGAACAGAGCCGACGTGGAAGTTCCTCCATCCTTAGCGGTGCGTTCTCCTTCCTCGGTACTTGACGAATAGTCCTCAGAATAACTACCAAGCGGAGAACTTAGCAAGGACGATAATTGATGGAAAGATGGAGTGTGTACGCGACAGGCTCAGACCGGACGTCATGCTACACTTTCTCAAGGTTTGTTCGATTTCGCCCAACTTTTTTTTTTGAAAAAAAATCGTTTTCCGTCCTGAAATATACTTATTTATCACACCTCTTTGTCCTAAAAAGTACTTTCCAGCTAGCTACGTCTCTAATTGGCTGGCTTAGACTTATATCGGAACTTTAAGGCTGAAATATAGCCGATTCACAGCTAGCTTAAGACGCTAGGAGGGCGTGGCCTGTCTGCGCTCTCCACGAACCAGGCACTATCTCTTGCATAATTATGTCAGGACCCTTTTTCGATGGCTCAAGCCAGACGTTAATCAGCTATAATCAATCATTGGAAATCTTAAAAGATCTCTTGTAGGCCTTGATGCTTTCTTTCCGAATTCAAGGAACTATTGATCAGAAATAAAATTTATTATTTTCTGTGAAGTAGAGTCTGAGAAAAGATGTGAATTTGAAGGCTGTGAGACGACAAACGCCGTTGGTCCGATCCCACAAACAGAAGGTTGCCCTCAACGGATACCTGCAGTTTCTATGCGCGACGACGTTGGACCTCAAGGAATCGCTGACCCGTTTCGGGTTCGATACGAAGATCTTCCGCGGCTTGGCTGTCGCCTCTCCCAAAACGAAGCAGACGCCTCTGCCAACGACGGAGATGATCAAAGGTTTCCAAGAACAGTTACTTCGGAACGTAGCATGAAATAACCAATTTTTTGAACTATATATAGCTAGTTGAGGCAGAACTTGCTCCGTAGCCACAAATCGATCAACCAAAAACTTTATGAACATTTGAATTTTTCCTATTTATCTTTCTGTCATGTCGATAAGTATTCGACTAGGTTCACTAGATGTAGTTTTTCACGCTGAAATCTGGTCTCAACAACTGCCCTTATCACACGCCGAGCTTTGAAAAATCATATCTTTTCTTCAAAATATTTTTGAAAAGTTGTACTTGACTATGGGAACAAGGATACCCTCCAGAAATAAGCTCGATCGGAGACGCTGAAATTTTCGACTCTTGAGAGCTCCTAACTTTTTTCATGGACCTGAAAGACAGTTTTTGATATCAGATTTGAAAAAAGCGTGAAAAACTACATCTAGTGACCTAGTCTCATTCACAACTCCCACTGTGAGCTCAGAATATTTTCTAGCAAGCTCCTTCCACCTCTATAGAAGATTTTATTATCTTAATTCTCGGAAATTCTGTTGGAGCTGAAAATTCAAGAAGTTTTCAAGAAATCTGTTTTTTTTCTTTGAAAGTTTGATTTTTATTCTCGACTGCTCTTTGTAGAGTACAACTTTATAACTATTCGAGAGTAAGTCTGGATGGAAGGTAATGATAAAAAAAAAAGTAAAAGTTTCAATTTTTCAAATTTTCAACTCGAAAGAGTTGGTTTTTAAGAAGCAAGTTTCATCAAACAACTGTATTAAAGAGTTTGGCGAATATTGTTTTTTTGAATGAAAATTTTTAGTACCGTTTCTAATAATGGTTATATTTCCATTAAAATGAATACTTTAGCCGTTTTTTTCCTATTCAGCTTTATATTTGAAAAGAATGAATGCATAAAAAGATGTCATTCATACTTTTCGGTCTTCAGATTCACAAAATTTCAAATTTTGAAGCAGTTTGAAACGCATATTAAATGATCTAATCTAGGAAATGAGTTTAAATAATGTCTTATTCGAACAAAACGTGCGGAGGATCCTAAAAACAGTGTTAGAATCTATATGGCTTATTCAGCCTTCTATGTATGATAGAGGCTATGACGGCGCGAGAACCGCAGCGAGTCGGACACACGCAGGCGAGAGGGTATAAAGGCGACGAGAGAGCGCGGTTGAGAGGAAGGTTGGCCGGAAGACGGCACAGGGGGATGACTCACAGGCCGAAATGGTCTCGACGTCCTCGGGAAGGTCTGAGAAAAGGTCCAAGTGGGTTCCAGGAGAACCTCGCCCTCGTCGGCGAGCGGTTGTACCAGAAAAGGTCCTCGGAAACGAGTTGGAACACAGCCGCGACCAGCGACGCTTAGTGCGATTGCCACACCAACACAATTCAGACTAGTCTCTGGCCAACCTTTTTCTCATTTACAAATTTGGTAGATATAGTAACTTTATAGGGGTCATGATCATATGCCTACATCTTTAGACTCTTCGTCCAGAACTAGAGATAAAACTCAAAAAAAAAAGTTTGTTCTTGACCTAGTAAAGCTCAAAAGTTTGAAAAAATCGTCATTTTTTCAAGTTTTTGCAATTTTTTTCATGCTGGACATGTTCTTCACGTTGAAAACTGTTTGAGCCGATTTACTTCACCAGAAAAAAGTTATCTTTCTACAGTATTTTCTCTACCATAACCCTGATAGTGGGCGGAGCTTCTCAGAAACCGGCGCTTTGAGTTAAGAATGCTCTCTAGTATCTGCGACGTCAATACCAGGCTCCAGGAACAATTTTGAAATTTTTGTACCAAGAGATTTTCGAAAATCTCATAGGACGTTAGTTAAGCTCGATTGGGACTTATTCTGAAAATTCCTTCGTTATTTTTCCAGAGGAAGATTTAATGAGGAAGCATAAACATATGAGGTTGCAGACCAGGAGTGTATCAAGCTTATCGTATTCTTTCGTAAATCCTGCAATTATTCAAAATTATAACTTTTTGAATGGTAACCATAAAAAGGAGGATATTTATTAGTTTTAATTTTGGATTAATGATTAAGAAATATTGGTTTCCGATTACAGCTCTCATGGCCTGCGACGATCCATGGTGGAATATTCTGACGAAATTCTCTTTGAGCAGCTTGAAAGAGGCTCTGCGAGACTTGGGTCCTTACTGGCATCCTCAAACTGTATAAAGTTAATCTTGGCATATCCAACAAGTATTTCCAGATGTTGTATTCGGAATTTCTCAAAGCCATCGTCAGTAGAGAAGAGATTACTGCAAATATAAACTTACAACGGCTGCTCCTCGGGAAGTTGGAGCAGCTTGCTCAGATTCATGTTTCAGAACTCTCTCTTCATATCACCAACCACCTTTTTCAGAACTACAAGGAATTTGCTGAGCGTTTGTCAGAGTACAGCCCCGAAATTTTAGGAATAAACTCAAAAAGGCTGGTTGAACTCGTCTACGAGGTAGATATTTGACCTGGCTTCGCAAATTATTGATAAATCTCTAGGGAATGCAAGTTCAAGCAAGGATCGGAAACGATCAATCTTTCGTTTCCTACGATCGGTTACAAGACATACGGGCTCCACTCTTCGCCGCCATTTTCAACCAGGATTTCCATCCACCGGAGAAAGGCTCTACCGAAATGATCAACCAGGTACTTTGCAACTTGCCCAAGAGGTGCATAATTTTCTGATTAAGTGTTTGGCGATAATGCTGAACCTCGGCGAGTTCAAATTGGTCTTCGAAAAAGCCGGACAGTAAGTACATATATGTATATTTTCAAAGGTATTGTTTTTAGAATTAACTTACCTTTCCTACCAATGGTACCTATTGCGCGCTTACTCGGGGCATACGGCGTCAACCTCGCCGACAACGTGACCGTTCGCAAGTGCGTCAGTGCGTTCTCGCAACACGTTACTCCATTCTTCACTCGCGAAGCAAAGTAACCTCAAAATTAGAATCTTTGATAGAGCCGTGTCCAGACATTCAACAGCTGCGTGGTCCGATGTGGTGGTCTCTCAGATGGTGCATCTCTTCGACCTCATCCGACACACCGAACTCGTTTCCTTCCTGCTTGCCTTCCTCGTTCAGCTTCACAACCGAGCGATGAGCAAACGGAGCAGTTTGCGGATCTTCGCTGAAAAGTCCTCCTTATTCGGCAGTGATACGGCACCGTACGTAATCGATCAGTTCATTAATCTCTCAACTTGAATCTAGTTTGGACAACGCAAAAATAGTCGAGATAAAACAATGCTTACGCGTTTTATGCAAGAAGGCGCTCGAGACGTCGAAGACGAATCCGTCATATCTCAGGACTGTCGGCGACTTCCACTATGGTGAGTTCAATTGCAATGGATAGAGGACACGTTTAACAACTACTTAGGAGCTCCAGAGTGGTCCCTATAGTGGTGCCTGAAGGGTCCCCTCTAGAGAACACTTTACCAGCCCTATTGGGGCCACTAAAACTTGCAAAAAGAGTCCATATATAGGGTTTTTGTTAGTGGCCCCTATAGGGGACATGCTAGCTGATTATTGTTATGAACTCTATGAGAAGAAGCCTTTCCATACGGAAAACTCAATAAATAAGCGTTTTATGAATGTAAGTTATCAATTGATCAGTTTGCCTTTTCATTTTCAAACCTGAAAAAAAAATTGAAAGAACCCTATAGGGACCACTTACGCTTTAGAGGAGAAGGGTTAAGACTCTAAGCCCCTATAGGGACCATCTTGATTTTACTCCTATAGGGACCACTTTTTTAGCCCCTATATGGGCTGTTTATACCCCTAACCTCAATAGGGATCACTCTAAAATTTCTAATTACATGTACAAAAAAAATGTGCTCTCATGTGTTATTTCAGTGGAAGGAAATTATCAAATGGCCATGCTCCGGTATCTAGAGTACTTTTCCGCCAGCTCTTGCAACCAAAGACAAAAACTCGTTGAGCCCGACTTCTTCCACGAATCGGTTTCTCATTAGAAGTTTCTGGAACTAACAAGAAGTTCAGATGCTCCAAAGAATGCGTCTCTGTCTGTCACAAGCAGGACAGTTAACTCTGGCAGCCTGTATCTGCCAGCCGCTGAAACTTTTGAAGCCCGAGGAGCTACGGCGCTCCGCCAAGGTTTTTCTCGATGAGCAGCGTTTTTTTAGAAATTTATTTTGAGCTGCTGCGGGCAAATGAGACCCGAGACGATGGCGCCAATTGCTCGCTCTTCGTTTTCGATTCGGCCGCCGTCGAGGTGCTGTCCGACCACTACTTCAACACGAAACAGAGCCGTTCTCTCGACGTTTTGGTAGGAGAAGTATCAGCTAGGAGCAATAACTATATGATTCACTTTGACATATAAAATCTATGTTAAAATCACAAAACTCCTATGTCAGTGATCCTAAGGAAAGGGGATTTACAGAGTTTCAACGGGAATTTTGAAAGCGATTCTTGGGAAATTTTGTTAATGTGTTTGAACCTGAAGGCCCTTTTCGAGCCATCTTTTCACGATTTTTTCCTCCGAGCTCAAAAAAAAAAGAACCTTTTTTTTCGATATGCGGGCCCTGCGCCTTTGATATAACGGAATTTTTTAGGCCTAATTAGAGGCGCATGTACCCAGGCTGTGTGTTTCGAAAAGAACAGTTCTGGAGCTCGGATAGAAAAATCGTGACAAGCTGGCGCCTAATGGTCTATAACTCAGGGAGGTTGTTGAGATTCATCAAAGAAATAAAATCCCCCCCTCCAGGTGCCCCTAAGGTTGCCCTTTAGGGGGCCACTCTGGAGTTATAAAGATTGAACTTTCTACCCTTAGAAAGTCGAGCTTCCCGAGAAGAAATGACAAAAATTGGAATTTTCAGTACGCGGGAGGATCGTCACTGCCGACAAATCGGAACGCGCGACAGGACCTGTGGACGGCGGATGTGGCGCAGCGCACGTCCCGGTTACTGAGAGCTCTCTCCGCCGCCGCCTTCAACGTCCATCTTTAGTTCTTTCTCGAAGATGATCATTCCTCGTTTCCTTAACAAAATTTCCATTTTGATTCACGATAGTCGCATTATTTTCTTCTTGACCACTGCTAGTGTGTTCCGCGCAACATTTTTTACCTTAAAATTGCAAAAAGAAACAGCATAAAACAAGTTTTCGAAGTGAAGTTTGGTCCAGTTTGGTTTATCATATTTTTCTTCACCGCTGATGCATTTTCTAATTACTTATTTCCAACCCAGTTTCCTCTCTCATTCCGGGTCTTTACGTGTTTTTTGTTTTGTTCTTGCACTATAATTTATGAAATGTTTTCATTACTCCTCAAACGTCCGAGCCTCGGAGACCCGAAATACACAAGGAGAGAATTGTCTGGAAGTCGCGCCACCCGCGAAACATTGTGCGATGAGCTTGCAACGGCCGGCAGCAGCCAGTAGAGGCCTTCTGTATCGTCAGCTTCTTTCTCCGAGAAGACGTAGGCGGCGAGGTTTCCGACGTGAATCATTTGCACTTCGGAAACTTCCGATGTCTGAAAATCCGCGATTATCGAATAGAAAAAACATTCAATTTAGTCCAAGAACACGCATGTTTAAAACATTCTTAGGTGGTGCTATAGGTGCAACCTTAAGGGCCCTTGGAGAATCCCCTTTAGGGACCACTTTACCACCTAAATAAGCGTTTTTGGAATAAAATTGAAAGTCCCCTATAGGAACCGCTCAAGCTTCTGGGGGCTAAGGAATCAGACCCTAAACCCCTATAGGGACCCCTTGATTTTACTCCTGAAGAGACCAGTTTTCGGCCCTTTCAGGGACTTTTTTTTCCCTTGACCCCTACAGGACCACTCTAAAATTCCTAAGTTGCTAAACCGGTTGGTCAATATTGCAACGTCAGTTTCGAAACCAGGAAATTTATTATTATTTTTTCTTCTGTTCTATGCGGAAAATGTTCTCATGTAGCTTATTTTTCTTGTTAAAATTATTTCCTAAGCTTCTTAACTGAGAGCCAGGCTGATTGACGGAGGGTGTTTGTTGGTCGGCCATCGTTTTGTATTCGTACAATCCGGGCGGTCCTTAACTGTAGATTGTTAAATTAGCGCCTTTTTGAAGTAACTAGATGGTCTTTTTTGTTCTTGGAGCGCAAAATTTGGAAAAAAAAATTTCCGTGAGTTTACCTTCTCTCGAATTACGATGTTCACCGAGATTGTAGGAGGAAAGTCGGATCAAGCTGGAGACGTTGAGCTGCTCCCCGGGTCGGGCTCTTCTCGTCGGAATGGGCTTGACTCTCGCGATGTGCTCCTCCGACAGAAGGTGCCATCCGTTGGCTGGCAGGTATGCCTGCTCCCCTCAGTACTTCCAGAACTTCAGTAAGGCCAACCAGCTTCGGATAGGAGCTCTGTTGCGGCACATACCAACGTCCTGTCAGGTCTTTAGGCCCCAGACGCCTCGATGAAAGGGAAATAACGCCGTGTACCGTTTGAAAGGTGGTTCCCTCCATTTCGTGAACAGCCTAGATTTCTTGTTTTCAATTATTGAAAAGGTCTTCAGAAATATTTCTATTCCACATATATACGGTACCTTTTATGTTGACCGGTTTCGAAGTCAGTTTTTAAAAGATCTGACCAGTAAATTTATAAAAATTTATTTTTATCTTATTTTGTGCAGTTTCGTCAAAAAGTGATCTCAATTCATGATGAACACTTTCAATGTTTTAATTTCAGGTAAAGTTTGATTGATATGAAAACTGTGGAAAAAACTCAAAATCTCCTTTTTTGGACCGCCAATATTTGGTTTTTTTCCAAACTTAGATCGAGAAATCTACGCATTTCGGACACTCAAACGGTTTAGACCAAAAAAACTTTTCAATGTCCAAAAAATGACCACTTTGAAAAATAGACTGAACCGACTTACTTACCAAATGGGCGGGACAAACCAATTGGGCTCTGCGTAACCGCTGCGTTTTGGATCAAGTCTTTGAAACAAGAAAAACTGTTTCGAAGCGTGTCAAATTAGCTTAGAACGCGGCATTTATCAATTCTGACTAGTGAGACAGAAAAGAAAAGTCGGAGACCTCGATGTCCGCATAGGTGGTCTGCTGCAAGCGGAACGTGTTGAAGGAAACCGTTTGTATCACAAAAGATGAAATCAATAGGGTGGGGTACATCATCTTGCCAATGGCACGAAATGCATCGATTTGTCGCGAATCATCTTTTTTCGTGCTCCAATGAAACGTCAGCTGCTCCTGCCGGTGCCATGAGCTATCATGTATGTTCCCCTCGCATTCTTTTTTTTTTTTTTGCGTTGTATCGCATCTACCGAAATACATGATTCTTCAGTTGGGACTGGCATTTTATGTGCCGAGCAAAGGAAGCAGCAACTCTGTTGGTAGAACAAAGAGCGTGAATGAGACAAAAAAAAAAGGGGGGAATGAGGCCGTTATCGGGCCACGTCCTTTCGAGGACTCTCTTATCGGCAAAACATTCCAAGGTACGCCATTTTGCGGAAAATGAAGCGGGTCGTCGTCGTCGGGGCCGGCGCCGCGGGGCTCGCCGCCGCTCATCATTCTCTTGCCGAAAGCTTCCAGGTTTGCCAAAAAAGGCACGTCCTTGAGAAATTTCTGAACTCTTCTCTAGTTTTCCTTATCATTTTATTTATTTGTTTAAACTTCTCGATTATTTCAAATGCAAGGTCATTGTCCTTTTCACCGTAAAATCGCTGATATAGTCTTTTAGAGAGTACTGGATAGAAATCTGAGAAACCACACCTTTAAAATTGAATCAAGTTGCAGATTGTGATTTTTAGAAATTGATACTGGCCTATCAACTTGACGACATATTTTCATAGTGGAGAGTGAATTTTCTTTGATATTTGAAATTAAAAATAGCTTGAAATAGAAAAAATGTTTTCTACATAGACAAAGTCAGAAAGCGTGGAAAAAGGCTTCATAGAAATTTTCCATTTTTGCTGCCTTTTTCTTGAGCCTCTAAAACGCCTAAAAAATGGAAGGCTTGATAGAGGGACTCTTTTTGCTGCCATTCTGCGACCTTTCTGTTTTTTTGAGCCTCTCCCTTTATGCGCCCAATATTCACCTTTCCGACTTTGCCCAAGTAGTTACAAAAAAACAGGAAGAATGGAAGAATACAAAGAAAAATAATGAATTTCTTATTTAAACGTTCTGAAACAGGAAAAAAACTTACTCTTTTGCTATTTTCAAAAAATAGAAAGATAAATTTTCGACTTCGCACGCCTGGCTTTTTGAAAAATTCTCATCTGAACCTTTGAGAAAGAAAAAAAAAAGTTATCTGGAAAAATCAATTTTCGAATTTTTTTCTAAACTTTTATAACCTTTTTTGAAGGTGGATGTTTACGAGCAGACGAAATGCGTCGGTGGCACTTGGGTCTATTCCGAGGAGCGCGGATGTCACTCCAGCATGTACAAAGTCATGAAGTTTGGGACTTCATTCTTTCTCATTTCATTCTGAATCCATTGCCTACAGGACCAACTTGCCCAAAGAGGTGATGCAATATCGGGACTTCCCCTTCAAGAAAGATCTCTCGTCCTTCATGTCGCATGAGGTAACACCTCCTTCTTGAGACTTGATATAATCTTTGTCCTTTTGGAGGATGTCCTCGAATACCTAGAGGACTTTTCCAAACACCTTCCCATTCACTTCGAAAGCACTGTCGAGAAAATTGAGCGCAGCGCTTGTGATCAATATTGGACGGTTTGACCTGTTCTTACACATTTATTCTCTCTCGACGAGTGCTGGAAAATGAACAAGTTCAGGTGACGGTTTGCAAGAAAGACGAAGAACCGCAACAATTGAACTATGACGTAGTTTTTGTGTGCAACGGACACTACTTCGAACCCCGAAATCCATTCGCGGACTCCAACTTCAAAGGTGGGAAATGAACGACGACTTCTTCAAGTTCACACTTTAGGCACTTTGATCCACAGTCACGACTACAGGAAGGCCAGCGAGTTTGCCGGAAAAGACGTGGCTGTCGTGGGAGCTGGACCATCCGGCATCGACATCGCCTTGCAGCTTTCTTCTGTTTGTCACAATGTAGGGGTTCAAGGCTCCGCCCATGTCGCTACCTTCTGCAGGTTACCATGATCAGCCGGAAAGCGACATATCCACGCTTACCTCCCAATGTGAAGCAGCTGGCGAGTCACGTGAAGGAAGTGACGTCAGATGGCGTCGTGACGGATGAAGACGAGACCGTCCTCGTCGACGCCATCATCGTCTGCACCGGCTACGCAATGAAGGTCTCGTCGCTTCCGAGAATCCCTTCTATCGTTGATTCCAGTTCCCCTTTCTGAGTGACGACCTTGTGCAGCTCAAAGCAGACAATCAGATGGTGTCTCCCCTCTACGAGCACGTCGTTCACGTCGATTATCCAGACAGTCTTTTTTTCATAGGTTTTCTTTTTTGTGAACTTTTTCTGGCTTCCTTGCATAATTTCAATGATTTTAGCATCTAAACTCATTTAAAACTTTAGTTTCAAGTTTCCAGTATGGAATATTAAAAATTGGAGGTACATATTTCCGAAAATTTCAATAATATGATAGCTCTTTCCTTCCAGTATGGTCACTTTTGTGAAAAAATTTTTTTAAATTTTGAAATAGGCGTCAAAAGGAAAACAAAGCTCTTTTTACTGAGAAAAGTGACCAAAAAAGCCACAAAACAACAAAAAAAAAGAGTTTTCTTCTGAAACTCAGTTGACTGTTTCATCGCAAAGAACATCATCATGTTCATTTTTCTATGAAAAAAATTTTTTTTCATCACAAAAGAAAGTATATTCTACTCGGGTAAAGCCGGAATGGTGGATGCCGCTAAAAGGGAGAAGCTCAAAAAAGGTCGCAGAAAGGCAGCAAAAAGTGTCCCTTTATCATGCCTTTAATTTTTTCTGGGATTTTAGAGGGTCAAGAAATGGTGAAAAAGGAAGAGGCAGCAAAAATGGTTCATAAGGGCCGATGAAAGGGCGCAAAAAGGCAGCGAAAGAGGAAAATGTCTATGGAGCCTTTTTCCGACTTTGCCCGTGACTTTCCGGTCTCCAGCGTCCATTTTTAAGCTTTCTGGAAGAAATGTACAAAAAAAGTAATTTTATTGGAAGAAAAACTTTTCTGTGATAAAAGGGTTTTAATCAGTGTGTTCAGGGCTAAACTTGGTGGCAATAACGTTTCCCCTTTTCGAATACCAAGTGAAAATGGCGTTGGGATTTGTGACTGGACGGGCGCCGATTCCCGAAAAGGAGAAGCTGCAAAGCTGGGAGAACGAGCAACTCGAGTGAGTCGTCCCCTCCGGAACCGTCCACGAAGGCTTTGCAGACATCAGGCTACCCGCGGCCTCGACCAGCGCTTCTACCATTTGCTGCAGGCCGAGCAGTGGGACTACATGGCCCGTTTGTCGCGGATCGGCCGTTTCGAGGACTGGGACTACCTTCAGACGATGAAGAAGATCTTCGACTACCTCTTCAGCGAACGACGAGAAAACGTCGTCGGCTACAAAAACATCGACTTCGTCCTCAACGAAAACCTCACCGATTTCCGAGTCAAACGTGTTTAGTTCAGTAGGAACGATTATGAAAAGTATCAAAAGCACTAAAAGATCCCAATTCACGGGGTTTTTTTTTTTAAGACGCCCCGCCCATATTTTTTCCGTAAAGTGTAGTATGTTGTGTGCATGCACTGTGGCGCTCTCACATACGCCTTCAAAGTAATTTTTCGCGAAATTCCAAATCATCATTTTTTAAATTAGAAGCCGATTCGTCTCATGAGCATGCACCTTTGATATTGCTGTTTACTCTTGTTTCCCATGACGTCACAAGGGAAAGTCAGAGGTTTTGCCTCCATCCCCTTCATTTTTGGTTTTGCATTATCTCTACATGTTTTTTGAAACCAGGTTTCTTTGATCGTCCAAAGTTCTTATGCTAAAAGTTTCTTTGTCTCCCTCAAACTTTGTTTGAAAAAGGAAAGATGTCAAAAAACGTGTTTCCTCTCTCTCTGCTTACAAAAAGGGTGTTCATCATTGAAATAATGATCGTTAGTTTGAAGTTCTCGTGCTTTATCATCACGTTGATGTCGGCTGATAACGACAAAAATCATAAAAATCTCTTCTTCTCTTGGTTTTACAACATATTAGTTCAAGTCTAACGGCAGGTTAAGTCAATTGAACGGAAAGCGCATGTAGAAAGACGGGGATCTTCACTGGAAACAGTAACAATTGATCTATAAAGTTTAGATATTAAATAATTAGGCACAATGAGGCAAAAGATTTAAATTCTGTTTCGATTTTGAACAATAAAGTGCGAAAGGAAATTAAAATCAACAAAAAAAACCTAGAAGTGATCGTTTCTTTTTTCAAATTGTTTGATATGCTGCGGATACTTTGTAGAACAGGTTTAAAAAATTAGGATTAATCACAGAACACAATGAAATAAACGACTAGAAATGATTAAAGTGACAGAAGGGGAGGAAACATGGAATTGAGCAGTGCTTTAAGCTTCGAAATGTAGGATGATACTTAACTCGTCCCGACTAAATGAAATAATGGCCGCAGTGGCGATTAGCTCTACGCCTACATGCATATCAGCTGTCTTCTGTACTAGGGAAAAAATAAGTGATATGCCTGCTCCTTTAATATAACCGAAATTTTAGGCAAAATAAATGACGCAGGCAGAGAAACATCCCGCGCGCTTTGAACGGAATAATTGCGTCTTTTATTTGGCCAAAAGTTCCTGTTATATTAAAGGCGCAGGCAGAGATAAATATCGCGCGCATCGAAGAGAAGAGTTATGTAGCTCGGAGAGAAACAAAAATCGTGACAAGCTGGCGCGGAAACGCGTATACTTCTGACGTCGGTACGAGTCAAGTGTGAATTCAAAAAAAAAAGATATCGACAACGGCAATTGAGAGAATCTTGAGCTTTCATGAGACACGCAACGCATATTTGGCGGGGTTAGGAGACAATTAGAAAATATGAAAATAAAGGAATATAATTAAAATTTGGAACTGTCAAAGAATTGTCACGCCAGCCATCCACGACATGACGAAGTCGGCGACGAATATCACCAAGTTTATGAAGCAAAGTATCTGGAAAAAATTTCCTTTTCATAGGCCATTTTTTCCTGACTTGAGTATGAATGAAGTGAGTTCAGTTTTTAGATTGACATTATTTAAAAAGAAAGCAGAAACAAACACAAGCGATGATCCACTCTGCACGGTGGCAGACTAGATTGATACGGGCCCCGTTTGGAGGATAGCAGGCGGCGAAGTAGGCCTCGACGAATCCGGCCAGCAGCCAACAGAAACATCCGGCCGCCGTCAGAAGCGCGTCCTGTAAGAGTTATTCTCTGATCATTTACTTCTGAAGTTATAATGTGAGAAACTTTCCAAACAAGGGAGGTCATTTTGCTTTGCGATTGGGAATTTCCTGAAAATTTGTCAAAACCCTTCCAGATGAAGATCCTGAAAGGGTTAATCTGCACAAAAGCCTAGTTTTTGAGAGGACACCTTCAAGTCGAAGAAAAAAGGCCATATTGAGGTTTTGAGCGCTTATTTCTCAAAAACTAGAGAGTCGTGAAGATCGAGACTTTCACATTCTTCTCTTGGTACATCAACGAGTGTTCTGGAAAATTTTTCGGAAATTCTCGGCCGCAAAGTAAAATGACCTCCATTTTAAAGACAGGAGAAATACAAAATATATACTTTTCTGTGCTGGCGCGAAAACCATATGGAATATTTTGGATAAAAATTGTATACTTTTCAAAAATCCTTCACCGAAAAATTTTACGGGTCTTTCAATTTTCTAGGTCCCCTTGAGGAAGAGATGATCAGACAGGACCATCTTCTCAATTCGTGACCGATGGCTTTTATGGAAATACAAGAAAAACCAAACCACTTTTCGCCATATGTGAACATCATTGGCGAGGTAGGAGGTGAGCAGCAAAATTCCGGAAAATATAGAAAAAGTGACGGCGATGCCGAGGACGAGTCCTTGCCACTCAGTGCTCGTCTGGATGACAAACTGGTGGAATGAGTTGCCCTTCATAGGCCCCAGAACCAAGCCAATCACCGCCGCCCCCAAAATCTGAACACAGTCGGTGGTAGAAGCCAGAAGCAGAGCCTCACCAGTTGGGCCGCTTTCAGTGCCATCCGAGCAAACGTTGGATATCGTTTCGTGTTCATTTTCTGCTTCCGATGCATCGTCGAGGGCGGATAGGTCGTGTAAGAAGGCGCATAGAAGGGCCGTAACCGGCGGAGCGTCGTTACTTGCTGAAAATAGTCTCATTTCGAGTTTTCTTTCAGTGAAAAACCAGAAAAAAAAATAATGAGGCTAGAGGTGAGAATCTAGCCCTTGCACTACATTTCAACGGTTCACTTGAAGTTTTATGAAACTTCTGAAGTTTGCTAGTCTAGAAATTCTCTCTTGAATACTTCTTCTGTTCGGTGTATAGTATATGAACAAGAAAAAAAATGTAACACTTTACTGTTTCACGCCAAATCGTGCACATGCCAGTCAAGCCATTTCAGACCTACAGGGACCCACTACGCCGTCTCCTCTGGCCACATTAGATCATTTTTGATCATAATTTCTCTTAATAAAATTAAAACGGCTGTTTTTCAACACTAACATATGAAAAAAATTACAGAAATTACGATTTTTTTACTTACTAAAGACGGATTTCCAAAATTAGGCCATTTTTCTATGCTTGCTAACGTTTGAAAACATTTAATTCTTAAAACTAAATTTGCATCTTTAAGTTTTTCAAATTGTGTTTTTTTCTTAAAATTCATCTTCTTTTTTTCGTACAAAAAAACTCGTTTTTAACGAAGATATCGCCCAAAAACCGCAATCGGTGTATGCAGAATTCAAACCTACAGTGTGCCAAACCGGCCGGGCTGAACTGATGTGCAATACACATAAAATTTGAAAGAAATTTGAATATTTTTCAAAGGTCCTTTTAGTAGTCTTTAAGAAATTCGGACGTGATCTAATATGACGACTCCAAGTGGTTTCCCAGTCAGAAAAAAAATAACATTTTTCCTGCTTCTCAATTTTTCTTCAGATCTTAGAAATGACGTGAGTGCAAGTTTCAATTACAACAAGCCACCGGAATAAACCTCATTATAGTAGTTCCTATTGTATGGTGCAAACGTGGCGCCGCCGCCATAGTCCATCCCAGTGCCTCCACCGAAATCTGTCTCCTGGTACCGCGAAGATGTCGGTTCCCTTCTTTTCCGATAAATCGGCAGCGGCTTTTTCGCAGGACCAGAGTAGGCTTTGTACTGTCGACGGTCGAAGGCTTCTGCCGAGATACCACGACTTCGTCGTCCCTCGCCGTGTGCTGTCGACGTCGGGACTGTAGATCGAGGTCTCGAAGGAGCCGTTCTGAAAAGCCTTGATGAGACCACATGGCGTCATTCTTTGTACCTTGAACGCCGAGGCGAAGACGGTTGGGGCTGTGGATAGGGCCGATAAGCTCCCGAAGCTCCCGGATAAGGTCCGTAGGCGCCAGGATAGGCACTGGCGGTCGGTGGCGCGTATGCGTAGGGTGAATAGTTGTATCCATAGTACGGATATGACTGCTGCTGCTGCTGTTGCTCTCCGTAAGATTGTGCATCTGACGCGATCCATGGCTAACGGAACTCAAGCTCTTTCCTTACCTATGTAGACGTTGTGACCGTAGGGCTCGTGGAGGTAGCCGGGGTTGTACACGCCACCCATATAGTAGGCGGCGTTGATCGGATGTCCGTATCCGTGAGCCTCCTGCAACATTTCAGCTTGGTATGAGCATGAAAGTAATTTTTGAAGTTACTATCGGAACACAGAAAAAATACGGAAAATACAAAGACATAGGCAAAGTCGGAAATGGTCGAAAAGGGCTCTATAGAAATGTTTTTCTTACTGGAAAAAATTTTAGTGATCACTATAGGGTTTTGACGTATCAGTGGCCACTATAGTAGTCGAGTTAGCGGCCACTTAAGGGGTTAAAAATAAGTGGCCACTATAGAGGTCTAAGTGCTACTACTAGACCAGTGGCCACGTTAGGGGTCAATGGATCAACATAACTGGTCCAATCTGTTTTTTTTAATTATCAGAGTTACTGGATAAAAAACTACTGAAGTGGCCACTATAGAGGTAGGTTCAGTGGCCACTTTAGTGTCCTCTCCGAGTAGTCTTTGGCGAGCCTCTATAGTGGCAACTAAAAAGTTTCCCAGTAGGGCAAAGGCTCCTTTTTTGCGCCATTTCATCGGCTCTCATGCACCATTTTTGTTGTCTCTCCCTTTTTCCACCATTCCTTGAGCCTTTAAAATCCCAGAAAAAATGGGTGGCTCAAAAAAGGGACTATTTTTGCTGTCTTTTTGCGCCTTTTTTTGAACCTATAAGCGGCTATCCTCCACCATTTCGACTTTGCCCGAGAAAGCAGTACTTAGTTAGTGCAGGAGGGGAGATACTACTTACATAAATTTTGAGAACTAAAATGAAATTTCAACTTCAGGGAGGTAGTAGTGACATTAATTTGAAAAAACTCGGGAGGTCTCGGAAAATGGAGTCCGTACGTATGAAGACATCAGGTAACCGAAATTGAAAATTCAACATGAACACGAGAAAAAAAAGCACGTAGAAAATACAGCTGTTTCAAGTTTTAACAAAACGGTTTTAATGCGACGAAAACTGCACATCGTCTTTAAAAATTTATTCCTTTACTTTTTCGATTTTAAACAGTTTTTACTTGGTTTTTAGTGTTTATGAAACTTCCCAGTTTCCATTGGAAATGGGGTTTTTAAAAGGGGTTTTGGGGCCTGGAAACAACTTCATAAAATTATTTCTCACGAGATTTATATGCAAATCATCAAAAAAATGTTCATAAATATTAGCAGAAACACGTTCAAAACCGTACAAAATATAAAACTTGAACAAATGCCGGTGTAATTTTTGTTGCATTCTGTTTTTTGTAGCCGAAACGAGAGTGAAAATTGCAGATTTGAAAAAAAATTAATTGAAGAAAAATATTTAATTATTTTCACTGTAGATTCTGCTTCATAAAATAAAAATTAAAAATTAAAAATGCCGTTTTTTGGGAACTCTCCCGTTGCTTTAATTCTTTTTAAAATCTCGGCTAGGATAGACTCGTTGGGGTGGACCTATTCAGATCATACCCGGCTTTACTAATGTATTTTTTTTTACTACTTTCTTTTTACATGGGCGGCATTGGTCAAACGTATTTTCCTTATTATTAATATTCTTCATGAACTGGCTATTCTTTTTCAGTAAGTCTTTTGTACTCGAAAATTAAGTTCATAATCTTCAAAAAGAAACAAAATTGATACGAGAGTTTGGCGCGGTCACTCTACACGACTTGATATATCGGAAACGGAAAAGGTAGAAACAAGGTTTAGGAAGGCTTTTGGGACGATAAGCGGACAGGAAAACGCGGCTGAAGAGCCTGACGACATTGAGCACTTGGCACGAACGAGTGGCGAAATGCGCGGAGAAGCCGCTCGGCCTCAGTTTCTCGACAGTTAATCCATCTGTGAACTGAGGCCGTATTCAATAAAATGGGAAATGATTTTTCTAAATGGCTTGAATTAGTCTTTTTTCTTTTAACTTTGTTCTTGCCTGTGTGAATCTTAAGAAAAAGTCGGAAACAATGAATTAATAGTGAGTTTGGAGCCTTTTCTATTCCCAGGAAAATCGTTTTCCACTTTATTGCATACGGTCTCAGTTCTGAATTTTCCTTTTTAGCTTGAAAAATTCTTCGAAAAAAGTATCTCTTGACCAATCTTTGTAATGAAAAACTTAATTATTTTGAATCTTTCAAAATGGAATCCCAGAAAGTTAAAAAAAATAATTCAACCTCAAGTATAACCTTTCTAAAAGCAATATCGATTGTGATGAAAAATTTCACATTCTTATGGATTTCAAAAGGTTTTGGTACCGAAAATCTTCATTTTCAGTACATAAAAAAAAGCTTTCTTTGTAATTCGACCTGATAAAGTATTGGAGAAAAAAAATTAGTCGAGCAATCTTGAAAAATATCCAAAAAATAATAAATTACAGGTGCTTCAATAAAATAGAAAGGTCCTAGAAAATCATGAAGAAGAAGAGGATGAGGATATCATTTAATGAACCATTGGAGAGGCCTTGACTGATGAAAACAAAAGAAAAAAGGGGGCGAGAAGGTTGGAACGTAAGTTTAGGTGATATGCTGGAACGGGCTGAGCGTGGCGGAATATGCAAACGCTTTGTTCAAACACTCGGCGTGTTCGTACAACCTGAGACTGCGGTCGCTCGAGTACGTCTCGAGGTATTTCGGCTTACGCGACCAAATCATTCATTCTGCAGCATGTCAGATCTGTTGTTTTTCTTGTCCATGACTGGCAGCTAGACCAAGATGCACAGTCATGAATTTGAAAAAGCGGGTTTTTTGGAAAGATTGAAAAATGCAAAGCTCAAAATCTAGAAAGATTGAACTTTTCGATCGTGATTCGAAAAAAAAAGTTGAGATTCGAAAATTTTTTCACGTGTAACAAGGAAGGTCATTTTACTTTGCGGTTGGGAATTCTCCGAAAATTGACCAGAACACTCCTTCAGCTAGCAGATGAAGTTTCTGAAAGTCTCAATCTGCACAACTTGGGAAACCAAAGGGAAACCCAAAAAATCCATTGAAATGAGCTATTTTGGGGCTATTTCTCGAAAACTAGGAAGTTTTGCAGGTTGAGACTTTAAGAATCTTCTTCCGGCACCTCAAGGAGTACTCTGGCCAGTTTCAGGAAATTCCCAACCACAAAGAGAAATGACCTCCCTTGTTAGAACTTGAATAGAATCTTCGAAATGCAAAGAGCTTCCGAAGGGAAAGTCTCCTTATCAAGTTTTAAGTTGGCTGAGTAGACTTTTCTTATGGTCCTTGTTCAAATTTGTAAAAACAGTTTCAGACTGAGATTTAAGGTGTCTTACAAACTATGCATTTTGGAACATCATTAGAAAAATTTTTATTTTCACAATTTCTGTTTTTTTTTCTCACAATCTCCACCCATGTTGAGCAGAATGGTACTGTTCTTATAATTAAATATTGAAAAGCTTTTTGAAATAATTTTTTTAAGCCCGGCCCGGCCTTAGAGAGGCCTCAAGCAAAAACGGCCGGGCTGGTGCAAATTTTCCTCAAGTCAAATATCAATCATTTTTTTTTGTCAAAAATCCCGTTTTTGGTTCTTTTTCACTGAAAATTGGACACCAACTATGACTTTTTTTGAAGATGAAAAACAAACTTTTTGATGAAAGGAATTCAAATCCTTTTCGAAGCCGGGTCCGCCCAAGTCTGCCTAACTGCAAAAAAATAAAGCCTAAAGCCCGGGCCAGCCCAAGCCCGACGGACAAACCCCATCGAATTTAAACTTTTGAGGATTTCTGATGAGACTCTTACACAGAAGGGCTGAAAAAAGCTCAGTAATTTGCTTCTTGAAAAAAAAAATTCGCCTAGAACGCTTCCAAGGGAAAATCCAAAAATGGCTCTAAGTTGAAAAATTTCAGAATTTTCTAATACTATTTCTCAGCAGAAAAACAATATAGAAAGATTAAAGAACGAAAATAATAAAGATGGGAAGCGAGTTGAACCAAAAAATACAGATAAGAGCGCCCTGAAGAAGACGAAAAAGTAAACAACCGAGGTCGGAGGTAACCACAGAAGTCTCGGCCAGAAAATGGGAGGGAGGGCTACAGGTGTACAAACCGAAAGGACAAAATGTTTGTGGAAGAGATGGAGCCGCGCCAAAAGTGGACTCGGCATGCCTTCCGAGCTTGGCCCTCCAGCCACTCGAGAGGCGCCTGTTAATCCCGCCAACAAATGACAATAATCGCCTTTTCTGCGCTTTTAACCCTCGCAATGGCCTTTTGTTTTGAACCATACTGCAGTTTCAAGAGCTATGCCGAAATGGTTAGAAAATATGAACTCGTTCAAATGTCCAAGAAGTGTCCCAAATCGAAAGTTCCATTTTCAACGTTTGAATGGTTTTCAAAAGCCTCCAACGTTTCTCCCAAATTTTTCCAAATATAGGTCAATTCGATGGTTTTAAGTTTGCTCCATGACCTTCAATATATAAGTAATTCACGGCTAGCTTAAGACGCTAAGGGGGCGTGGCCTGTCTGCACTCTCCACTAACCAGACACTGTCTCTTTTCTTATCGTGTCAGGACACGGTGTTCCGCGCAATGAAAAAAAAAATGCGAAATTTTGGGTCCCAGCGGCATATTATCCGTGGCGCATTATTGCGCCCTTCTCATGGTTCCTGATGCAAAAATTGAATTTCTTCACTTTTTTCCTTGGTTTTTTACTTTTTTCTATTTCTTGCATTTATGTGATCCGCCTCTCTATGGGTACATCTTGTGGAGCTTTTTAATTGCGCATTTTTTTCTAAACCGGTTTCAGATCTTTAACTATTTTTCTCAAAAGAGCTGAAGATTTTTTTCTAAAAAGTCCTAATTTTTTTCAAAAATTTTTGAAATCTGTTTAGCGACATGAAAAAGAGTCACTCTATTTCGGAAACTATAGTTTTTTTAATTTAATCAGTTAATAATAAAAAGTTATTATCTAGTTCCTTTGACGTAGTTTAAAAACCGGTTTCGTGTAAATTAGAGCCAAATTGAATTTGCTGATGCAGTTTAATGATTTTTGATATATGCATCATCTAAATTATATTTTTTTCTAGTTTTTTTGATGGTTTTTTTCGGATTTAAACAAAAAAATTTCGCCATACGAGGTTTTTTTCTAAAATTTCTGCTTTCTATCCATTATATGTTTTTTTCTGAAACTAGGTTTTTCGAGGTATATAAAATGTTTTTTCATTTGCTCCTCGAATTTTTCCTCATTTCAATATTTTTTTCGTATTTATAAATGCTTATTCAATGGGAGCTGCTTCACCTACATATTATTTTTTTGTTTTTTTACTTTGTAATCAGTAATTTAGAGTTTTTCCCCTTTTGAAATCGTTCCTAAATGTTTTTTTAACGTAAGTGAATGTTTATTTCACATCATATTCTTCAAACTGACAAATTTCGAACATTTCAGGAGCTATTATCCTGAAATCGCAAATTCTAAAATTGAAAAAAAAATTTTTTGAGTATGCGATATTGCGTCTCGGTGTGCTTACACCCTAAGCATCATAATTTACGAAAAGTCATGACCTTGCGTAATGAAAAAAACACCGTGAGGACCCTTTTTCCGATGGCTCAAGTCAGCCGTGAATCAGCTATAAGAAGCTCTCTAACATAATAACGGTGAAATAGCTTGATTAGGAGCAAATTTTACGATTGCTAACCAGTTTATCTATCCAAGTCCTTCGCGAGCCCTTAACTGAAAAAAATCTGTTTTTTGACACAGCGTTTTTTACGCCACCCCACGCATTTTTTTTTTCCGTAAAGTGTAGTGTGTCGTGTGCATGCACTGCGGCGCCATCCCACATGCCGTTTTCAAAGTAATTTTCGCGAAATTAAAAATTTTCTTTGATTTTCGAAATACAGTTATATTTTTCACTCTCTAGCGGCCATTTTGAACTCGTGAAATTACTTTGGACACGGCAACAAAAAAATTGCGTTTTTCGAAAGAGATTTCGATTCATCTCATGACTCACTGAAAAAAAATAATAAAAGTTCTTGCGAAAATTCGATTTGACATCACTGTTTTCATTCTGAATACTTTAAACTTTTTTCTAGGCCAGGTACTTTTCTTTGGTTCGATATTCAATTAGGTGTTATTTTGACTGATTGAGACGTTATTAATAATTTCGAAACGTGTAAAGATATAAATAGAACAACATATGAAAGAATTGACCACAAAAAAAACTAAAAAGGATTGGAAGCGTAGAAGTGGAAGAAGAAGAAGTTAAAGTTATCCAACATATGACTCACTTTGAAACGTTAAAAAGTAAAACAACCCTTTTTTATTCCAGACTTTTCCTAAAGGAACCGACTTCCTATTTGGCACTACAGCATGAAGAATCGAACTTTGAATGACAAGTACAGCGGGAAAAAAAACTTTTAGTTAGCCAGCATTCATACGACTCGAGCAGGTAGGTTTTTGACTTTGGAGTTAAAAGAAACGGAATACCTGAGGATAGGAAGGGTCATACTGGTGTTGTTGGTGATAGGCGGCGGAGACGTCGCGGAACGCCGTGGCCGGAATGATCTTCACCGTTCCGGCGGTGCCCAGTCCGAATTCCATCTTTCATTCGCCCATTCTTTCAGTTTCCACTCTGCAAAAAAAAAATGAAGTTGGAATCAGAAGATTCCTTTTTCGGCAATAAGAAGAAGATGATAAAAGGGATCGATCGGACAATTTTGAGCAATCGGAAGTTTTCAGAAATTAACCTAAAATTGGAATTTCACAATCCGTTCTGAAATTCAGGGAAAATTTTTAGTTGCCCCTGTAGGGTTTTGACGATTTGATGGCCACTATAGTAGTCGAAATAGTGACCACTTAAGGGGTTAAAAGTTATTGGCCACTATAAAGGTCTAAGTGCTACTACTAGATCACTAAACATTTTAGTGGCTACTTTAGGGGTCAATGGATCATAACTGGTCCAATCTGTTTGTTTTAAACTTATCAGAGTTACTGGAAGGAATACTGGATGAAAAACTAACTACTGAAGTGGCCACAAAAAAGAGAAATTCTATAGTGGCCACTAAAACGAAAAATAGTGGCCACTATAGAGGTGAGTTTAGTGGCCACTTCAGTGTCCTCTCCAAGTAGTCCTTGGCGAGCCTCTGCAGTGGCCACTAAACATTTTCCCAGTTGAGTCGAACGATGAAGTTTTGGAAGGCAGGAAATTTTTGACGCTCGTCAACTCCTTCCCAAGTGAAGAAAAGCAAAGAAAAACAGAAAATGTAGGGCCGAGACTGGGGTCTACTACCCCCTCAATTTCGGTAAAACTCGGCCTTGTCCTCGCCGAACATCTTCTACCGCTGAACCCATTAAACGTGTTGTAGTATTAATGAGATTTGCGAGCCCTTTTCCCTGGATGATTTACGAGGACACGAGATAACTATCAAAAAGCAAGTAAAAATCCGAGATCGTCAGCCTATCATTTTTTTGGGGAAAAAATTCTTTTCTCAGATCATCTTGTGCTTTGAAAGCTTATCAAAAAATTATTATTGGGCAAATTTGGAATGGTGGATAACGGGCGCTAAAAGGGTGAGGCTCAAAATAGGCCGCAGAAAGGCCGCAAAAGGGCAGCAACAAGAGTCTCTTTCCTTTTTTCTAGAACTTCAAAGGTTCAATAAATGGTGGGAAAAGGGAGAGGCAGCAAAAATGGTGCAAAGGAGCCGATGAAATGGCGCAAAAAGGCAGCAAAAAAGGTCACCCTAAAAAGGACATTTCTATAGAGCATTTCCTGAACGCCACGGATCAAAATAAGAATTATTTGACAATAACTGTTGGATTTTTTTCTGAAAACACGTTTTCAAAATTTTCGCCCTCTACGACCAAAAAAGGTTAGTTCTTTGATTTTAACATGAGAAAAATTCAACATACTCACTAAACATAATCCACTCCGAAATGCGAACATTTGTAGATGAGCGTGACAATTCGAAAAAAAAAAATAGTTAGAAGATTTGAGAATCAGCGAGGTGAGACGGAAACAGGAAACAAGTTTGGCTTCGAAGAAGTGAGGTGATGGGAGAGGGAGAAGGAGGCTGGGAAACGAAAGATTTCGAAGCTGAAAGTCTTCGGAAAAAATGCAGCGCAATCCTCAGTTTCTTGAACTGTAGAGTTCAGCGAGATTTAGCCGAAAAAGCAGACCAAGAAATGCTTAATGGGAAAATCGGTTTTCGATATGAACGGCCGTGGAATCGAGGTTAACAGCGTGCCGCTAGCCCCTGGTTCGCACCCTTTCAAACCCACAAGTGTTGCGAGCCTTTTGATTGCAATTTATGGTCGGTCGCCTTTTATCTCGAATTATTTCTGATTATTGTCAAATAGGAAAGTTTCTTAGCTTCAAACTGGATAATGGGAGTTTCGATACTTACTAAGGAACGGATTTCTCGCAATAGATCTCGTCTTCGAGTTAAGAAGCAGCAAAACTTTGAAATATCGCTTCTTTGTCATGATTTGCGTATTTTCTTTGAAGCTTCATAACACAAAAACAAGACTTATTGCGAGAAACTGTTTTCATATTTTGCAATCAGAAGGTTTTGAAGTACACTTCAGCAAATTTACATCAAAAAGTTCAACGGGGGTTCAAAACATTCTCTAGTTAAGAATAGGAATTAGATAGGGAAAGTTAATGATAAATCGTTCAAGCGTACTGCTAATCAGTATAGAAGAGTATCGTCTAAAGCTTGTAACTGCAAATTCACACATCAAGCTCGAGAGCTGATTTTAGAGCTCCCAGACTACATCGTTTCAAAAGCATATTCAAAAAACCAATATTTCGATATTTTATCAAAAATAATTATGAAAGTTGTATTCAAGTCAAAACATTAAGCTCAGTTCTGAAAACCTCTCAAAAAAGAAAACCGATTTTAAAAAAACGGTCCAGAATGCGCAAAGATGTTTTAAAATGAAAGCGTGAGGCAGCGGGTGACCCGTAAGATTTTTGCCAAAGTACTAAATTTTTGGTTGCGCCATTAAAATCGTCGTAACTTGGCTCAAATTCAATATTTTTCATAAACTAAAGTTATTTGACTATTTGACAAAGTATTCCATCGAAAAGTATAAGTTTCGAGGAGAAGTTCACAGATTCTCGAACTCGCTTGTGATCCCTTTTCTTACCTTTGGGTTATATCAAAACCTTTTTTTGTTTCAAAGCGCACAAAATATTCAAACATCTCCGTTCCCCTGTTACGGATTTCCTACTTGCTGAATAAAAAAATTCAATTTTTTTAAGCTAGCCAGTAATTTTTTTGAAACCATTAAAAAAAGGCTTTGAAAAAAAATAACAAAAAAATAATTTAAAATTCGTCAAAAAGTAAAATCCTACGCGGAAATGGCGGCGAGATTGTCTGAAAAAAAGGACCCAAGGGTTCGAAGCACTCGACTTTCGGCTCGCGATTTTTTTGCTCCGTTCTTGTTTCGAGTGGCTACGTGGAAAGTAGGAGTGGAGCCACAAAAATGCGCATTGTCCTTTTTTATTGCTCAGATTTTCTTCAGAAAAAAATTTATCTTTTTGCCAAATTATAATTTTTCTCCGCTGCAATAGTCTATCAAAATTTGGATAGCTTGAAAGTTTGAAGATAGATTATTTTTTTTTCTCAATAAAGGTTATAAAAAAGGCATTTTTCCTCGACTTTAAAGGCAAAAAAAATTGGTAGATTAACCTGATGACAAGGGTGACGCGTGCACAAAAAACTCATCGAAAAATCAGCCGATAAAAAAAAAATTACGACTACTTCCAAACTGTCTTTCAGAGTCCTGCACATGATGGAATAATCAAATTAAAGTATTTTTTATTAATCCACAGTTTCAATTTTCGGTTTTTCGTTATGACCGGTGGCCGCCGCGGCTCTCTCGTCCCGTAACTCGTCTTATCAGCCGCACTTTCTTCCGCGCGTTTTTCTATGTTTGCTTTGAATAATTTTCAGAAAACAGCTTTTTTCGCCTACTAAGATGACTGTGAGGGAACATGTATTTTCACTTTGCTGCTGACAAACGAAAAGAGATCTAGACTTGAAACGATTTTCAGAAGAAAATTCTAGAAAGCTGTTCCTTCCAAGTCACAGATCATGAAAAAAGTAATAACACAAGACCATGAAAGTATCTTTTTATAGACTTTTAAAATCGAAAAATTTTTGTAATGGAAAGAGTACGCGTCCCGGTTGAGTTGTCTGTTCAACTTTGGGGTAATCGCAGCTCAAAAATCAGTATTCTCAAATTTACCTATGTTATTGGAACGTGTCGTGGCCTATGAGAAAATGGAATTACAGCTTATTTTGCTGCACTTTCTTCGCAAATATTGGGAATCCAAGAGAAAATGTCTAGCAAATCAAACTTTCCAGTAGTAATTTCGCATGATGAGTGTCACAAGAAAACAATGAAACCAACTATTTTCAAAATAAAAAGTTCAACGAAAAAGAGAAACCGCGAGTTTTGTCTTCAAGAAAAAAAAACAACAATAATCCCTAGTTCGAGGCTGGTTTTTTTCTCAAGTCGACATAGCTTCCTTGAAAATCGAAATTATAAATAAAAAAAGTCTTTCCTACATGGAAGGTCAGCGTAAGGTATTCGATATTCTCAACATGATCCGTAAAAAAATGACAAAAAAGGATAGCGGCAAAGAGAATCGAACCGTGATCATACTCTTCACAGGCAGCCGCGCTAGCCAATGCACTACGCTCCTAGCAGTCTTGCAATGGCTTTTTGCGCGGACAGATTCTTTTTGAACCCTTGTTTAGGGCAAAAATTTTAAAAATTCATATCTTCCAAAAGATAATTTCGCGCATATAGTGACTATGGGGGATCGATTCCCAGTCAATCAACGATTTTCGACATTATGGGAAGTAAGGCATCGCGATGGACATCTAACAAGTTTTACCGAAGCTGCCAATGGCATTAGCCCTTTTCAACGGTGATTTCTCAGCTTCCTCCTTAACTTTATCTCCAGCAACACGTCAATCCCAGTCCGTATCCATTGGATCAAGACTCTCAATTTGTAATGCTTGCATAATAGTCAAAAGCGTGAGCAAATGGAATGCTGCGCGAGGGTGGCAGGCTGTCAAGGAGTCTCTGCGGCCGGTCAGTCGCCTATCCCTCAAGGTCCGATTAATTCCGACGATACGTCGGGGCTAACTTTCCACATATCACCAGCACGAATAAGCAAGAGGACTTAATAGGTTCGAAAATCTTAAGTGTACTGTATGCCAGATCTTACAGGTCGGGTCAAAACAAAAATAATACTTCAAAAACAGCAGTTTCAATCTGAAAACAATATCTTAAAGCCAAATGAAACTGTCTCGTTAGGCTATTCCAGAAAACTCTAAAACGCCTGACTAGAATCAAAATGATGGTCGAAAAATCTTCGAAACTAACAAAAATAGAGGGACAGTTAGATCAACGAAGAAGTAAATCAAGAAGTCTAAAATTCTCCAAAAAAAAAGAACTGGTCAATTTATTTTGAATGAAAGTTTGAAAGCTCATTAGAGGATGAAAAAGGCGGCTGGCGTCTGATAGAGCGCACACATGCAGAAAATTTTGCAAGAGCCGCTGAAAACGGCCGTCGGACCCGCCTTGAAACACAAACAGAAAGTTGGCTTCTTTCCAGCCGCACCTTTCCGTTGCCTTTTCCAAGCCTCGCCGCAGGGCTAATCACTCGTCCGTCATCCTGCCGTCGTCGACCCTTTTTTTCGCCGCGGCCTTGGTTCACACGGATTATCGGACCCTCCTGCCTGTTTGCACCGCCAGTTGGTCAGCAAAGAAACAATTTTCCGCGAGAAGTTAACTTTCGAACGGATCGTACAGGAAATGAGGACCTCTCTCCTCAACTAATGAACGAAAACAACAACACGGACAAAGTTAAAAGGGTGGATAATGGCCGCTAGAAGGGAAAGGCTCGAAAAAGGCAGCAAAGAGAATCCCTATATCGAGCCTTCCATTTTTCTAGGATTTTAAAGGCCCGAGAAATGGTGTAAAAAGGAAGAAGCGGCAAAAATGGTACACAAGGGCCAAGGAAATGTCGCAAAAGGGAAGCAAAAAAAGTACCTTTGTCATTTTAAAAAGAACATTTTTATGGAGCCATTTTCCACTCTTCCCGACTTTGCATATGAAGATTAAATATCTTTTTCCAGAAGAAATCCTCACTCTGCAAGGTTTTTCCAACAAAAGATGACTCTAGCGCATTTAAATTTTGCTTTTGAAAGTCTTTCGTTTCGAAATGAAGAGAAAAAACTTTAAAATTTCTTCTCTTTCAAAGTTTAAAAAGTTTCTCTATCTCGATAATATTGTTTTTGAAAAAAAAAATATTATGCGACGTCATTTTTGTACTGAAATTTTGGGTTTCCCTCTTTTATCTCTCGAGACGATGCAGTAGTTCGGCGTGATGTCGACAGACATCAGGTCAGCAAAACCAGGCGCATTACACTTGCTCCTGCGCCTCGGCGAGCGGCTCTCAGCCTTTTGGCTTCTGGACCCCATGGCCGACTCCGCCGCTTCCATATACAATCGCTATTATGAAGAGAACAACGGTTAGTCTTTTCTTTTTACGCGTCGAATTTTAAAATTTAATATTCGCAGCTTTTGAAGCCCCCAAAAACATGAGGCACGCGGCAAATCTGACAAAAAATTGCTGCATTACTGAATGAAACGTCTCAAATTAAATTCGAACGTGTCATATGAAAACAGTTCTGTATTTTACTTCAATTAGAATTACACTCTTTTTACAAAAGATTTTTCTTGTTTTCTTATCCGGTTTAGCAGATAATCTCTTTTTTTCAAATATCCTGACCAAGTTCTATTATTATTGAACTCGATCCGCGAATAAGAGTTCACGTACACAATTCCCTAGAAATGAAACAAAAAAAACTTCTTTTTTAGCAGAAAGTCATTTTCCTTGTGAAGAAGCAATTTTTCTCTCAATATATTCAGCAAAATAAAGATTTAAGTTAAACTGCAATTTGGAAAAAGAGAACTGACCGTATACATGAAGTTTTTCTTTGCAGATTCAGACGGTCACTTCCTGAGAACTGTTCGAGTTCGACGCTGCAGGCACACGGACTGGGACCTTTGTGAGAGCATCCGACTCATCGAACTGCAAGAGGTTTTTATTTCATTCGAGTCATGTATATAAATAGGCGAAACTCAATCTGACAATTGGAAAAAAAATTCACATCAACGATTTCGATAAAAATAACAAAAAAGTGAGAAAAAGGCTCACGGAACTTTACTACCAGCATACGGACCATTTGAATCGGTGATTGAAGCAAAAAAAAAAGATGAATTTAGGCTAGAGATCGAGCTTCGCAAATGGAGAAAACAATGCGATGGTGGTCAAACTGTACTGCTGAATGGAGGGCGCGTTGGAGGTTTTTTTTTCTTTCTATATTCTCTTTCAAACAGTAAAATTAATGCTCCTCGACATTCAGTTCACTCCCTAACTCGTACTTTACTTATGGAAGGAATTTTTAAGAGTGAGGAATAAAAACATTTTAACACGCAGTCAAAATTCGAAAAAATGTCCAAACGCGGACGCGCTCCGGACGGAGCTTTTCCAGTGACACCTTTAGCGATTTCAGTACTTCTAGGTGATTAATATAAATGCTCTTAAAAACCTTAAACGTCCTGAGTGCGCCCGGTTAACCTCGAAAACCGCGATTCCAAGAAGTTCTGAAACGTTTCGCTGTACAGTGGCTTCGAGTTCGTTGGAGCGTACTTGTGCGACAGAATTTTTTTGAGAATTAAAATTTTTTATAGCAATTTTTTCGTCTATATAGATTGAGACGTTCTCATCGAACACAATTGGTATAAAAAGTATGCGGATTTGCAGAAAAACACAACTGGAACATTCGGAAATAGAAATTTAGTTTCAAAATGTAACTTTTGGCCCGATCTAGTAAGTCAAAAAAGTCGCCCAAATTTGAAAAATCCGTCATTTTTTGGGATTTTTTCCTCTTGTGGCTGTCAAAATCGAATCATGTTCATAGTGACATACAAGCTGCGTTTCATTACAGTCCTTTTATTTTGATTCTTGTGGATTTGATAGTTGGATCTGAAATAAGAAATGAACCTTTCAGTGCGGTGCGCGATGAAAGAAACCGAGCGCGGAACGAGGCTGAAACTATGAAGCAGAACTACGAAGTCGTGCTGGAAGAGAAGCGGCGTCTCGATGAGCAACTTCTGCTGAGAAACAGCCATCCTCGGATCCCAACCATAGTTCTTGACGAAAATGGAAATCCGGAAAGGGTAGGGGCTTAAGATCAAAATCACTGTTTAGTCAGGTTTTGATGATAGATTGAAGCTCTAAAAGCTTCTGGACAGAGATGTATGGGAACAAACTTTGAAAAAAGGAAACTTCGACTTTTTTTCTCTCAATTTTCGGTTTATCTGTCTCATGATCGAATTGAATTCCGTCAGATTCAGGAAAAAATAAACCTGCTTCAAGACAAAGACTTATTACAGGAAGACAGTTCAGTCAAAAACGTTAGAGGAGTCCTGAAGCTGCACGTGGGAGTACAGGCAGATTGTGTGAGTTCGTCCAAAGCGACAGCTAATCGGCTAATTTTCAGCCTAATTGCGATCAACCGTCTTCTCTGGCGCTGGTCGCTCCTGAAGACAGTAGCTCTGGGTACGGACCGATCTACCCTTTCTGATCGCATGGGGTATTCAGAACATCGAATTTCGAAGAAGAATGCTGCAGCCTGCAGAACGAAGTACACAATGCACGAGTGATCAACAGCCAGCTCAAAGCCGAAAATGAATTTTTACTCGAAAAGGTTTTTTATACGCTTTTTGGAGCCAATTATATAAATGAATAAAAACCCTTCTTCTTAAAAAAAATAGTTTAGGTTGAACAAATGGAGAATGCTCTGATTGGAGCTCAGGAGCAAGAAAAAGTTCTTCAACAGGTTTCCGAACTATTTTTTGATTTAAAAACCATTAAAATTGCAGGTATTGCAAAAGCTTGCTGAGACCGAAGAGAAACTCCGAGCTTCCCGTTCTCACACAGATTCCGATCAAGATCCGTCTTTCGATGGAATGTAAAAAAATTGGAAAAAAAAAGTAATAAATTCATTTTTCTTGGATGTTCGAGTTTCAAAAAAAATTTTCAGAATGCTTATTTAGACAGGAGTTCCGAAAGAAAAGAAAATTACAGCCTGTTGAGAAATTATGCAGGGAAAAGTGAGGTCGTCGGGATGTGGGAAAGAATGTTCACGTCTATTTGCATTTGACCACCGAAGGCGTAGTCATCGTCTGGAAAGGAGTGTGGAGAGAAATCTTCCGCTGTCGCCGGACTCGGTCGCAGATGGCGTCGTGCCACTCTTCGAGGTGCGACGTCTCTAGCTGGGAAAGACTCGGTCACAAAACAACTCGTTAGGAGAACGAACCGTCGTGTGAGGCAGCCGACAGGTGAACTCCTGAAGGTTGGGCGTCGTGGCGTGGTACTCGACGTGGCCGAGAAGCATCTTCTCGACTTCTTCCACCGAGATGTCGGCCATCGACTCGCAGAACTCCACGGTCAGCTTCTGGAGCTGCGCACGGTTGGAGTGGGGCAGCGCCAGCTGGAAGGCGTTCTGCATGGCCAGCTGGGGCTTTGATCTGGAGTCGATCAGCAGCATCACGACTGGATTAGCACGGTCTAGAAAAGGTTGATCTAAACTGGCCATCAGTGCTCTTCTACTTACTTTCAAGAAAACCGTGGAAAATCGGGTAGAGGACTTGATGATGGAGATTCAGAAGACTGTTGGCCGCGTCGGGCTTCTGTCTGTAGTAGAGAGTGGTTTGCTCGCAACTGAGGTCCACTCTGATGACGTCATCATCTGACGTCGCCACCTCCACATGCCGCAGCGTATTTTTGTAAGTGCGAGCCAGAGAAGTGAGTTTCTAAACTTTGCTCTTCTGTTATTGGCTGAACGAAGGAGGAAGTCTGACCCGGTGAAGACGGACTGACGTGTTCGTTGATACAGGGCTTTCGGCGTCTCTAATGCGGATCTTCATGGATCGCAGAGGAAATTCTAAAAGAATGGATTATAGTTCGGAAAATTTGTGACACAAAAACAATGAAAAAACACAGGTTTTCCGTTTATATTTTTTTATCAAAAAAATGTTCCAAAAATTCGCTTATAGTTTTTTTCATTTGATGAGAATGACGCCAAAGCTCGAACTCACAGATAAACGACCTGGGCGTTTTGAATTTATGGGGCATTAAAGTTAATAAGCGTGAAAACAATGGAGTTTCCATTACCAATCAACTTCATTCCTTTTGTAAAAACTTTCAAAAAACCAAACTTTTCTTACTTTACTTTTAAATGAGTAAGGAATAATATTGGTTGATTTTTTTTTCTATTTGATTTACTGGATAAACTGACGAGCTCTCTCAATAGCTTCGACGTATGTAGACGTGTTGGCGGCGTCCCTGGCGATGTCGATCGACAGACTTTTCACGCCGCGGCAGAGGTCGAAGGCTTCGCGCCAAGATTCGGGACTGCCACTCGACGTCGTCCGGTTAGAAGACGTGCGTGTGAACTCGAACACTGCGCCTGACAAGAGCGTTACGTTCGATTGAGTTTTGGGCGAGTATATTTACCCCCAGTCCCCTCTGAAAACTAGGAAGTTGAATCACAAGACATTGACACTACTATGATGGTCTAATTTCGTCCTAATCGGAATTTTTTCGATGGCACCTCTGGGTGCTGGTTACCTTGCACAGTGTTGACAACGCTCAGACGATGCATGTCGGAGCAAACGGTGGCTCGGATGACGTCATCGAGAGTCGGACTCGCTTTTGAGAGACTTATGAGGTCCGGCATTTCCAGCGATTGGCACACGTGGCGAATGATTTCGGCTGGCATCGCACTGAGGTAGTCCGACGACATCTTTTGATTTTCTGAGCAATTAGAAAGTTTAGTTATTCATTTTATGCTTTCCGATAAGTTAACCGATAGATAAAAAAGGCAATCCGAAATACGGTCACAGAGAGCGGTCTTCATGAAAATTGAAAAACGGAGAGAAAAAGCTCTATTTCACAGCGTTTTTCACTATTAGGCTGACCGGTTAGTTTCTTCAATTACAAAAACATTATAAAAATAGATAGACTCAGGAATTATTTTTCCTTTGCCTCTATTACTTGAGAAATTTTTGAGTAGAGATTCTTTTCAAACCCCTTCTTTCTTTGATTGAAATCGAAAAACCCAACGTTAATTTCTAACAGGCTGTATGAATGCCTTGTTCAAAGAAATTTCCGCGAAATGCAAAATGGTCTCTGACTCTCCAAATTTTAGTTATACTTTTCTTTCTCTAACGGCTATTTTGCATTTCGCGGAATAACTTTGAACACGGCCTAAGCGCGGAAAAAACTATGAAAAATAATTTTACCGATGTAAGAAAGGCCTCAAAAAAGAGTGTAACTTGGTGTGTTGTAAAAAATTAATGAATAACATAAGGAAAAACGAAAAAATTCCCAAGGAGGATATAAAGTGAACGGAGACAAACTGAGTACAAAGATATGGCTAACAGACGGCAACCTCAGCCAGTGTGGGGGGCGTGGCCGTCAACAAAATGCCGCAGATTTCCACGACAAATGCCGCTATATCTGCGTACGCAGGTCCTCACGCATGGCTTGGACACGACCTTCAGCAAAACACCTTTGATTGACCTCTGAACAACACCTGAGACATCGTTCCGACATTTGACGAGGTGCGAATCGCCCTTCATTTATATTCCTACTCGTTCTGGGAAACCTCTAAAGATAAGGCTAGGAGAAAAATCATAATGAATACATATAGAGTCGACTCATTCTTTGATTTAAGGACGTTCATTCTATAAGACTTGGAAATTGGGCAAAGCGTTTTCCTGCTCTTTTATCTAGGAACTTGTTACAAAGTTACTTTTTTTAGAATTTTTGTTTGAAAGAAACAACCTAAAACAAAATTAAAGTCCTTTTTTTGTAATTTGAGTCAGAGAATAAACCTTAAATATTTATTTTTAAAAATATTGAGATTTAAATCTCGATAACCTAGTCTTTTTAGAGTGTTTTTAGTGTATAAATTTTGAGCGTTGTGACGCGGTGCATCGCGAAGTAAATTTTTTTGAAGTGCCTGCCTACTTTTTACACTTAATAAGACAATAACCAGAATTTCCCCATTTTATTACTACGCTGACAGTTTTTAGAAAATCTCCACACAAAGTATATTGCTGTAAAAAAATCGAGTGATTTTTGGAATCTTATGTTTTAAAAAAATCAAAAAAAGTTTTTTTGATTTCATTTACGTTAATTTTTTTGCAAGACGAGATGGATAGATTTTTGAAAATATTGGCGAGAGTGACTTGTAGCGTACGTAACGCGGATTTCGGCTAGAATTTTTGAAGTCAAACGCGATTTTGGAAAAAAATATAGAAAAAAAGAAGTTCATATATCTCTATTTTTTTACTATTCACTCCACAAAAAGTCCCAAACCATAAAAAAATTAAAAAAATAAATTATAAAAAAATTAAGTTAGCCTTTGACCTCGAATTTACCGCCAAAAGATGCGTCGCGTGCATAACAAATTACTCTTGCTGATTATTACACATCGCCTTTCAAGTCGTGAAGAGTTAAAACTAAGAGAGCCCGTTTTTACGGAAATCGTTTCAGTCGTTATTGGAAAGACCAGAAAAAAGAGAAAATGATAGTTTATTTTCAATTGTTTCCACGTGCTGCTCGTGTTGTGTCGCGTGCCGAGCACAGTTTGTCTCGGAAAAACAGCGCGGGGACGCAGCCAAAGAGGCTAATTACGTGCCGGCGCACCCATACATAATCTGATACATTGTGACATTTTTCAAAAATCAAAACCATGCCTCTTTCTTTTTTATAATGAACCAAATCACTTGTCTCTACAGCAATAATAAAGTGAGAGAGTAGTTTGGTGTGAGGGTCTCAACTTTAGTTTTTCTTTACGTATAAATTTCATCCAGGAATTTTTTTAATAAAACAGAAAGTAAAAAGGAAAACACTTAAACCAACGGTGGAAAAATTCACGCATGTCAAATTAGCCGAACAGCCAAAAAACCGAGATTCATTGAGAAAAAAAGTGAAAAATCTGAAGCGCGTGATAACCTTGTACTGTGATAAAGAAATTTTTATCGTAGTTCTTTGTTTCAGTTTTCAATGATAAGAATAGAATTTAACAGTTGGAATTTATTTCTCACAAATAGAGAAATAGACGTTACTTGCGTTACTGTACCGCGGTAGTTGAGGCGCGGTACTTTCTGCCTCATTTTTCTCTACTGCGAGGTTCCCTTTTGGAACGCCGTGACCGATTTCTACAGCCTTTTACTGAAAATTTCTTTTAGCATGTGAGCTGCAAATTATTTTCAGAATTTTCGAAACTCTCTTATCATTCCCACTATAATTCATGCTTATCGGAAAAAAAAACTCTTTACGTTTACTATTAACAACGATTACCTTATCCAAATCCCGGAGTAGGAACTATCCAGAAAAAAAGAGCTTCTTTTCCGCTTGCAGCGCACCCGTCTGAATCAAGATTTTCTTCTTCGTTTTCTAAAACATAGTTTTTATTCAGGAACGGAAATTCGAAAAAAAAAATTTGAAGTGCAAAAGACAGCATAAAAACTTACTTACAAGGAAGGTAGTTTCACTTTGCCGTTGAGAATGTTCGGAACGTTGGGAAATAATCTCCTTGATTTGAAAGTCTGAACCTGTAAGACTTCCTAGTTTTCGAGAAAAAAAAAATACTCAAAGCTCCTAAAAAGGCGAAACGGACGCAAATCGGACGTTTCTGGGCATTTCTAGTGACCCCTTTAGTAAATTCAGTCCACTTAAGTGATCCCTAGGGTTGCTCAGAAACGTCTGAAACACGTCCGATTTTAGTTACCGGGCCGGGTTTCAAAAAAATTTAAATTTCATTTTAAAAAAATTTTTCACCGAAATGTTACTTTTTACTTCTGAAATCGTAGTTTTTTTGTTAAACTTTAAGTGAAAAAAATTGAGCAAAAAAACGTAATTTTTTTGTCGGAAAAAAACTTGATGTCCGACTAGAAAAAAATTACGCGTTTTGGGCCGGGCGGGCCATTTTTTTCTTAAGGCCGGGCTTACGAAATGGTCGGCGGGCCGGGAGAGTGACGGGCCGGCCCTCGCACAAGCCTGCCAATGTCCGAGAATGTCCGAGTAAATTGACAAGAGATTTATCATTGGGGCGCGCTATCTCCCATTCAGTTATTTTTTTCGGTGAGATTTTTATTTTTTTATTTTTTTATCAAGCCGTCATGACGGCTTGATGACGCGTCAGAGTCTTCTAGAGAATGAAAAATATATCTAAATGTTCGAAAATCAGAAAAAAAAAACTCCAAAATTAATTTGAACACGAAGTTAAAAGCAAATTAAAAAAAAAAAACTTCTTCACCTCCTACAGGCACACTAGACCTCCAAATTCCTACAGGTCTCAATCCAGCTCTTCCCAGGATGTCTTGGTCTGGGAGTAAGAGTTAACGTCCTCTTTTTCCCAACTCAGCCTAAAACCAAATGACGCATAACAAATCTGCACCTAATAAAAAACCAACTCAGCCTAAAACCAAATGACGCATAACAAATCTGCACCTAATAAAAAATACATTCCTTGCTTTATAGATTTGTGAAAAAAATTTTGACCTGCTAAATGCAATCAAAATCGATCTCAATTTTCCTAAAATACCAGTTTTCCTCGAAAACATCACCCTTCAAACAAAGGTTCTTGGAAAGAGCATGCGCGAAATCGCGCCAAGTGGCCGCGGCAGACTGTTTATTGCGCAACTCCGAGATTGCTTTTTCACTTCGAAGAACTGAGACTTTGAAACACGTTTCTCTACGAAATTTCTCATAGTTTTTTTTTTCAACCGAAATCGAGAGACGAAATATTTACCGTATTCAATTAATTTTTTCCAAGAAACTAAACTCGATAATTTTATTAAGTTTGATAATGGAAAAAGATTCTTCTTAATGAGATTTGAAACGAAAATTACGCATTTATTTAAATTAGGTGAATTTTTTATTCTAGCTTTTGGAAATATTTTCCTTAACTGATTTAAAAAACTTTTGAATTCTTCGGATTTCGGCACTAATTATTTCAACGACTGGTTGGTTGTTGCTTGGCGGAGTCTTCTCTCGAAAATGAGTCTAAATACCGAGAGCTTTCTTCACTCGTAGGACCCGCCTCTCGACTGTTTGTCCTCAAAGCTTTAGCCGTAGCCTCATTCGCCGCTCACTCAACAACGCGAAATGGCATCCTGGGGTTTGTAATCTATTTTTTTTTCAGATATCGATTCATTCCACTTTTTTTAAAATTTAATTTTCAAGCCAATAAGCGAAAAAGAGTACAATGATCGTTTAGGATCGTTAAAAAAAATGCTTTTCCCACTGTTTCAAAAATTATTCCAATGTTTGTGGTTCGAATTTTTTTCGATATTAATGAAAAAAGTTTTCACTTTGCAGACGTTGAAACAGTTATCTTATCTTAATCGAAACCATAGATGCCTCAGAACTTCTTGTACGCCACTACGTTTTTAAATTATCTAAAGTCTGTTTAGATTTTTAATGTCAAGTGCAATGACGTCTTTCAAAAACACTCTGTGGATGGCTAGCTCTCTGATTGGTTTATTGCACCATTATGGGCGGAGCTTGAGCGACGACTTGACATTCAAAATCTGAACAGACTATATAAGACTATAACTATCGTATCAAATGTTTTTTTAAAAAAAGGCCTATCATTTTTTTACAGATTGATTTTTCTATCTACTAAAGCTTCAGGTATTTGAATTTTTTTATTAAGTTTTCTGTTTTTTTTAATTTTATTAGACACAGCTTCAAAACTCCTTTTAGTTATTAGGACATAAAATATTCTTTTTTCGGATCGACTTTCGAGGAATAAAGTTATTTTTACAATATAATGAATTTTTTTACATATAGTCGATTCACGGCTAACCTGGGGGCGTGACGTGTCTGCGCTCTCCACTAACCAGACACTATCTCTTCTATTATCGTGTCAGGACCCTTTTTTTGATGGTTAAGCCAGTCGTAAATCAGCTATCGCCTTTCATTTTTCAAAACTTTCCCTTGACCGTTCAGATGAAGTCTAATTGAATTCTAGCTCATTTAGGAAAATTTGATAATTTTTCTGAAAATTCGGAAGTCCAATGAGAACGAAAGAAAGGTCGTACGAATGCCACCAAGATGCAAAATAAGATCAAATCAAAAATTGAAAAGACCCACAAAGCGTTTTGAATAAATAACGATATCTCAAAATAACGCAGTGAACTTTGCAGAACACGAGCTGCGCGAGATGTTCTCGCAACACGACAAGGACATGTCGGGCTTCATCAGCAAAGACGACGTCATCTGCATGCTTCTCGGCGCAGAAAAGGTTCACAATTCGTATCAGACTTCATTGGCTCCTCGCCTTGAAACTGAAGTTTCATGTAGTGATGCTTGCAGTCATGATTTTTTTTTAAAATATTTTTCGATTCATCGCTCGACTCTGGAACTTATAGCAACTTCCTGATAAACATTAGGCAGCCCTTATCCGTAAGGTCCTTAACCCAGGCGATTTACTTTATTTAAATGGCTGCGGATAGACTTTATATATTCAGTACGTAACATCGCTACATTCAAATGTCACTTTCAGGACGACAAAAAAGACCCCGTGTTCCGGACGAACCTCAAATTCCTGATCAACGTCATCAAGGAGGCCGACAAAGACGGTGACGCCAAGATAACTTTCGACGAGTTCAAAGACTACATCAACAAAGCATCCCAATAACTTCCTATCATGTCAGATGTGACTGAAGATTCCTATTACTATTACAAAGACAGTATCATACCAAGACGAATAAAATGTTTACTTGAAACGATTATTGCACAATTTGAGAGTTTGGCGAAATCTAGTAGCCTGGAGGAGTGCGCGGAGGAGGGCAATGGTCGCAGGAGCCCTGTCAACAAAAACTCGCGAAAAAGCCTCGGATGACGCACCTTCTGTCCGCCTTCGCCGTCGGGTCCGGGGGCTCCTGACGGCCCTGGCTTTCCGTAGGAGCCAGCATTTCCTTGATCTCCTGGCAGTCCTTGAGCTCCGGGAGCGCCAGGCTTTCCTTTGTCTCCGGGAGGTCCAGGTGGGCCCGTCGGGCCCATCTCTCCAACTCTGCCAGGAGCTCCGGCTGGAGCACTTGTCAGCATCTGAAGCCACGGAGAGCTATTATACAAAAATCTCGTCGAAAAATTTAAAAAATTTGAACAAATTGGTTACATTTATTTCTATTTTTGTTTGTTTGAGTGAGTGAGATTTCTCAACCTTTTGGAAGCTCCTTTTTTTTTGATAATTCCAGGTATAGCTGGTTCACGGCTGGCTTAAAACGCTAAGGGGGCGTGGCCTGTTTGCGCTCTCCACGAACCAGACGCTGTCTCGTTTCTTATCGCGTCAGGACTCTTTTTTTCGATGGTTCAAGACAGCCGTGAATCAGCTATAGGCACGCCTTTGCATCTACCCTACACCTCATAAAATTTTGCGGCGTCCTCCAAATGAAACTGACCACTTTGCCGTTGTCTCCCCGAGCGCCCCGTCGGCCAGGATACCCGGGAGGGCCAGTCTGCCCTATCTTTCCCGGAGCTCCTTTGGCTCCCGGCTGACCTGGTGAGCCTGGTTCGCCGCTCTCACCGGGATAACCTGCACAAAAAAAGTAGTACCACAAAAATCTGCAAGACCAACCTCGTGGTCCTTTCTCGCCTGGAGGACCAACTGGCCCTGGAGCTCCTGGCGGACATTCACGAGCGCAAGACGCCTCTGCATTCACCTGCGGCGCTTCTTGATATCCAGCTTCAGCATCTGAAGGATTTAGGTGAGAACAATGATTAGTTTTTTTTCTGAAGGATTTAGGTGAGAACAATGACTAGTTTTTTTTTCCAAATCCACAGACCCTGTCCTGGAGTTCCATCGGCTCCGACCTGTCCATCTTGGCCATCAGCCCCGTCAGATCCGTCTGCAATCAGTTTGTTGAGACAAAACCCAACGAACAAAGAAAACTGTCTCCTGGAGGCCCCGGAGGACCACGTCTACAGGCCGCAGAACCCTCTCCGGCTGTACCGGCTCCCGTCTGGTATTCTCTTCTCGAGCGTCTGTCAAAAATTCAACATCGAAAGAGGTATATCATCGACAAACGTCTTGGCCGGAATGTACTGTCCGAAGTGCCAAGTGCCGCCAGAGACGACGCTCCTTCTGGGACGGCCGTCGAAATCTTCTCGCGAAACCGACATCGCCTGTCGCCAAAGATCTTCACTCCGCTTCTGGAACGATTTGTCTCATGTTCCTTTTCATACTTGAATAACAAAATCAAGATGACTTTCTCAATGAAGGGAAAAAATACGGCTTCTCTTTTCTTCTCAAGTTAACTTCTTTCAATAGTTTTGCGATCCTAAGGTGAAGAGAACTCAATAACAGACACTGCAGAAGTGAGCTTCGTGGAGAAGGTCCGTGTGAACTCGTTGGACATTCAGATAGGCGACAGGCATCAGGAGGACGCAGCCGAGGACCGTCGCCGTCGAGAAGACGATCGAAGTGAAGACGCTCCTTAAAACGAGGGTCGTGTCGTCTGGAGAGGAAAACCTTCTGAAGCGCTGGACCTCGACGTCTTCGTCGTCAATCAAGGGCTTCATGAGGCTTGAGGAAAGACGAGAATGCGGAAAGCGAAATCGAGGAGCGCATTTTAAACGAAAACTCGACTCCGCCCCCCGAATTCCTACAATCTTACTGGTTGGGGGCCGTGCGATCGCTGACCAAGATCGCGATGCAGATATCCGATTAACCAATACAAAGAGAACAATTTATTAAACTTTAGAAAAATATTCATAGAAACTTCGAGTTTTAAAACAAAAAACGCAAATGGTTAATTTATTTGGACATTAGAAATGAATACGAAATTTCATCATATCATCGCCAAAACTATACGAATATAATTTACAGAGTTGGAAGGCTTCAAAGTACAAATTCGAGAAAATAATCGGAGTGAATATCTGGGAAAAAAAAGCTGCGATTTGAAAAACGAGATCAATCGAAACGGAGAAATGGCTTCCATTGGAAGCAAGTTACAGACTAACACATCCATTCGTTTCAGCGAAATAAGAATAAAGTGGTTAGGCGTTAGAATGAAGAATTGAATAGAAAATCCGAACTATCCTCAGAGTTATGAGAAATCCTAACATGAGAAGTTCCAAAAGTTGAACAACGTGAAGATTCTAGTTGCTGCATAAAGCGTGGCCGACGAAGACACTGGACAAATAAAGGACATGTCCGAATAAATTTACATGTGAAGGGGAAACACGTGAATTGAAACAATATGCGGTTCAAAAAACATAAAACAAAACAAAAAAAAAACAATATGAAAAAAGTCAGTGGGTCTGCAGGGAAAAAAAGAGTTCGCTATTTTTGATGGTCGCTTTCCGGGGCTCCCACTTCGACGACGACGCCGGGCACACTCGACTCCTCCAGCTCCAACATCACTTGATCTGCACCCGCGTTGATCTGCTGTCCTTGGAGGTCGACCACAGGAGCCAGAACTACTTCCTCTTCGACCACGTGCTCCTCTATCACTTGTCCTTCGTCCAGATGGATGACGTCTCCGTTTTCGGCAACTTGTATTTCCATTGGATCCACTTCTACCAAACCCGGTACTATTTCGACGCCAAATGTCTGCAAACAAAAAAGTGAGAATTTAACTTTTTTTTCATGGGATTTTGACTGGGATCAAGGGGCTCTAGACAACATTTTAAAACTGTCAAGTAGGTATGATATTGTACATTTGAGCTTCCCTTGGGGATTTTGACGGGAAGACTTGTCAGGGTTTGGTGGGTTATGATGACTCGGACATTGATAACGTGAAAAGGACGTGTTCCAGAAGTTTCTGGGCAATTCTAGGGATCACTTAAGAACGTCTTCTTCAACAACTTCCTTTTTTATTCTTTCGTTTCTTGTATACTTCAAAAGAAGTATGCAAACGTGAACTTACGTGATGGATGTTCTGGAAAATTCTAGCTTCGTTCTTCTCAACCAGCAGCCGCCACAGTGCATCAAACGTGTCAGGGTCAGACATGGTGCCGAAAGTCGCCTTTGCGATCCTCCAAAGCGCATCTGACTTTTGAGAGCCCCTGACGGTGCCAGGCATGAGTGGCTGCAAACGGAACAATTTTCTCAGCACAAAAATATTTAAAAAAATTTTTTGCCTTTTCTCACTTTAGCCACTTTTCCACTAGATTCCGTCGTTAAGTTAGACTTCAACCTTTCCCGATTTTTCAATTTTTCTAAGCTAGTTGTAAGCGACCATGGTATTAGTCAGATTAATTTTCGGCTTCAGTTCCATTGAATTATTCACAGATATTTAACGGCCTCACCCACCTTTGTTAGAGCGGAACTTGCCAAGTAGGACCTTTGAGAAGCACTGCCGCTACCGCCCAAAGCCGTGGACATCGTTGTTGAAGAGCCTGGGTTGGGCGGATGCATCGGACGGAAAAGCATTTCGTTGGGTCCGCCTTGGATCTCCTCCGTGTGCGCGACTTGCATCGAGGATTCGTCGACGATCGCGTGGACTTCTTTCCTCATCGAGTTCACCATGAGAGCGTCAACTGGTTGGTTCTGCCACATGTCTTCGTACTGGGCCTCGAGTATCTCTGTCTTCACGTCAGATGGAAGCATCCGACCATTGTCCGGAATTATTCCGAGGTCTCTTCGCAGCTCTCGTCGAACATTGTATAACTGAAAAATGAAATAGTTGATGAGCATGTGATGGAGTTTATGGATGAAGAAAGTCAAATATTGCCCTAAAGATGATTTTTGAGAGATGTCCGCCCGCTGAACTTGAATTTTCACTGGACCACACTGTAGCGCAACAGGTTGTGTGCCTGTCTACGGTCCACAGGGTCACAAGTTCGATCCCCGGCTCGACTCAACCAATGGGTTTAAGAAATGTTGTTAGTGGGGAACCACGACTTCATAACCCCCAGTCCCACAAGGACGGATAGGTCGCTAGTGCCAGTTCTCTGATTTACCCTGATATCAGGATAGGAACTCGGTTAATCGATTTGGGGCGCCGAAGCCGCTCAAGCGGTATAAAGGCGTAAGAAGAAGAAGTTTGAAATTTTACAAGAAAAATATGGACTCGTGAAGAAAACTTTCGACGTCTTCAGAACACTTTGAGATGAATTTTGTATCATACGCCAACATGAAAATACTCTTTTTGCTAATTTTGGAAAACAAACCGAGCGGACAGTAATGGGAGAGTCGGCCTTCTCCGAAAGGATACGAGCGACCTCGCCCGGAGGCAGCGACAGAAGGAGTCGGCGAGCCTCGTCGCGGAGCGAAGGCGGCAGTCGCATGAACGCCGTCTCCATGTGGATGCTGTTCCCGTGCGTCACAGGCACCGGCATTTCCCCAGGCTCTGTGAACCAATATGCGATCATTGCGTGACCGATCTGTGCCCCGTTCTTGAGCACGTACACCACCTGCAAAAAACGTTTAGCGAGACTTTATATAGAATGTTTTACTCGTTTGCGAAGCCGCGGGCAGCGAGGTAGAGTCGCCGAATAGATGTGCAGTTGGAATTCGTGGTTTTCGTTTCGCATTGAGCGAATCACTCTGAGTTGCCCTTCTCTATTCAAACCGAGAGGCAGTTTGTGAGACTTGGGTCGCCGAGCAAAAGCTCCTGCAAACAAAAAGTTCGAGTTCAAACCTCCAGGTTATTTCGTATGTTCTCAATGAATTATCACTAAGTGATTTTTTAAAGGATGACAAGTGTAACTTTTCCCCCTAATACGCCGGAGATTTAACAAAGTCGCAAAGAAAAAAATAATTAATTTTTGTATATTTTTGGTGCCAGTATATCTCGCCTCGTACAAAACACAGTCTATATTATTTTTTCAAAAAACGTTGATGAAATCCTATCCACGAAAAAAAAAACTACTTTTAGTCATTTCTTTCAGTTGAAAAACATGCGAATGAATAAAAAATGACCATTGTTCAGAGTGGTGCTTTCGGACCAAGGCGCCAGGCCGTCGCAGGTCAAGTTTCGCGGATCAACTTCCATTCCATCGACGAAAAAAATGAAGGCGCCTTTCCCCAACGTCGCAGGTGGTAATACAGGTACTCGGTTGTTCAGGCAGGCCATAGAATCCCTGAGAATCAAAAATATCGCTTTCTTCAGATAAATCAATCTGGCAGCTACTTTGATAATTTTCAACTTTAGATATGAGTAACTTTTTCAGTGGTTTTGACATTTTTCAAAAAGGTTGTAAGTTTCCGATTTTTAAAAATTTTTGATAAGAAAAGTTGAGTTCACATTAAAAAAAGAGGGAATGATGTTTCGAAACTTTGAAAAGTTAAAAATTTAAAGTTTTTTTATATTTTTCATTCTTGAAACAAAACTATGATGGAGAGTTTGGTTTGGACGACCATACACCGGTCAAAAATCATAAACAAAAATATATTTCAACTGTATTAAATTTAACGCTTCGGAATTAGAGATTTTTCTTTTTAGCTCTGACAGATTATTCGGAAAGATGTATTACAAGAGGTTGGGCTTGTTGACGAGATAATGGAGTTGTCGATTTCGATCGTTGAGGAAGTCGATGTCGGCCAAAGCCAAGTAGCAAGTGCCATCATCGGCCTCCAATGCAGGCAACACGAACTGAAGACATTGAATTGAAAGAACGAAGAAAGTTCCGGAACAAACCGGAGACTCCTTCTCTCCCTCGCTGATGTCGGAGACGTCGTTATCGATGTCGTGCAAGGGGAGGACCTGACAGAAAAAATCTTGATAGCAAAAAAAAAAACGGGAAACAGAGAGAAAAGAGCTAAAACGAACCGCGGCTCTTCGAGGTCTCCTCGTGAATCTTTTGATATAAGGACCGTGGAACCTTGGCAAATTGCCCTCGCTATTGTAATCATATATGATAAGTGCATGACTGACAACCAGGCGAGACTCAGTTTCCATGAGGTAATAAATCTAAAAAGAATCTTTTTTAAAACGAAAAAATACACAGAAACGAACCTTTTTCCTCATTCTCGGATCTCTTGGGTTTATGCTGTACAAGTACACCAAATGAAAACCACAAGTTTTGTAGTCGACGTCTTTGAGTTGGAACTGAGAGCCGGCTTCGTCACACGACACTCCGATCTTGCGGACTTTCGTTCGGTAGCATGTCGGGTTGTCCGCTGCAAAGAAATCGATATTTTGTGATATTTAAATTATACAGCCCGACTAAGCATGAAACAGAATATTGATACCCAAAAAAAAGTTTTAGATAGAGACCGTGAGCCTTTTTTTTTTCGAAAAGATATAAAAATATGTTTCTATACTATCATTCTAGTCCTCTACCAAAATCACAGTTTGAAAGAAATGACACATTTTCGTGCAATAAAAAGAACTGACGAGTTCCGTTGTGAGACCAAGGAGAGAAGTCGTCTCTGTTGATGTCGTGCGGGAAGATAGCCGTGCCGGCAACGAAAAAGGCGTAAGCCCGTGCGTTTCTCACGATCGGCGGATGAGTTGGCTTCGAGTAATTCACCAGGTTTCTCTCTTCTCTGAGCCACAAATTAGGAAAAAACGCGGGACGAAAAACCTACACAATGTTCGTGTTGCAAATGTACTCGAGAACACAGTCCAGGCTGCTCACAAGACGTTTGTGCCGGACGGTCAAGTAGACGTGTCCCGTGTCGAGCATCCGAGGAGTTTCGTAGTACTGCAACAGAAATATCTTCTCACTAGAGAACGTTTTTAGATTTAGTTTCCAAGTTATGAAGCTTTTAAAGATTTTTGTAAAAAATTGCGTAGTTTGGAAACTTTGAAGCATCACAACTCGAAAAAGAGATTTATTGCGAAACAGCCAAAAAAAAAAAAGAAGTCATTTATGAAGTTAACAAAAACTTGAATGATTTTCTCATTGAAATTGCCAGAAATTTTTGATTTTGCTTCTGATTTCGATTCTGATTTTGCAGGCTTTGAACAGTCACCACTAAAATCAACGTACCGGATCGGGATTTTCCTGAGAAGAGAGAGGATCTTCCTCGAATTCGTTGTCCCAACCTCCATTGAGGGTATCTTCGGGCAGTTCCTCATACTTAAAACTTCGGTTAAAATGGAAAATACGCGTAGAAAAAACTTCGTTTTCGTTATCGTTGATGACGTTGACCTGATCAACCTCGTTGCTCACGTCAATGACGTCATCTTCGTCGATGACCTCGATGTCTTCGACGTCAATGAAGTCTTCCTCCTCAGTGTTGGTTGTTCCTACGTAAGATTTGCGTCGTTCAGCCCAGCTCTTCTTCAAAAAAAATCAAGATTAACGACATAGGAGACATTTCAGCCCACGTTGTTGATCCTACGAACGACGGTAGGAAGAGGTCCGTCACGAATATACTCATAGATGTAGCACACGACGCCCATCACCACAGCGTTGTTCCTTTGCACGTACAGCACCTCAAATCCGCATTTTTGAGTTGAAAACTATAATTAGGATTCAATTTTTCAAAGTATTCTTATGAAGGTTTTATCATAAAGACACCTTTTCTTTTTTTCCTTCTAGGGACCACTAGCATGCCTCCCTAGAAAGGCCACTAACTGCAACCCCTATAGAATCCACTAACCTGACCCAATATGGGCCGCTGACTGAAAAACGTATAGGAACAGCTTTTTCACTTGTTAGGGATTTTTGAAGTGGTCCCAAGAGGGGACTCTCTCAGGACAAATGCACTCCGTTCCTCACTGACCCGCTTTCTGAGCCTCGGACATCTGGCCAAAACAGTCAACGTCTCGACCAACGCCAAACCCGTGTTCTGCCAGTCTTCTTTTGTCAAGTTGAAAATGCCATCTTGGTCTTGAACTAGAGCTCGACGTACCGATCGCACTCTAGGTGATTGCTCTCCTTGACCTCAAATTTCATTTATTTTTTCATTCATCTTCTCGGTTGCACTTGTTGAGCTTGATAACTAAAACCTGACAGAGGAGTGGCAAAAAGACAAAATTCCACTTTTTTGTAACTAAATTATTTTAGAACAAGGTCTTACATCTTTTGGAGAACTTTATTATTTTTTTTAATTGATTATCATGGTTGAGAAAAACACATATTCCTTCAAGGAAGGTGGATGGTACGACGAAATTTCAAATCCGCAAATATTGAGGACCATAAGCCTGTGTACGCAGACTTTAACACCGCATATCCTAGAAACCATATCTTGGATAAAAAAAATCATTCGGCAAATAGACTTTATCGAATTATATTCCGAGATCGAAATAAGAGAAAAAAGAAGAAGAAAAAAAAACTCATGAAATTTTCATGATTTTGGTTTCCAAGATTACACCGGACTTCAGATTTTTTCGTACCATCAAAAAAGAGGAACTGTTTTTCTCACTTGAACCGGTCCACGGGGAAAGGCCATCTCCAGCGTGATGAAGTTGATTTGCGATGAAAGAAGCCGGCGCGAAATAAACGAAAACTCCGCTCGATTCAATCAAAGGAGGTAAGAATGGAACTTTTCGGTTCAACGACTCAGACTGATCTCTGTAATTAAGACTTGGGGAAAAGTGAGGCGCAAGAGAACTTACAACAAGCTTGGATCATTGATGAGATACCGCAAAAGGAGCTTTTTGTTGTTTATCCAACCTATTTTCGATGGCCTCACGCGTAGGAACTTTTCGCCTTTGGGTCCACTGATCAATTCTTCTTCAAACTGAAATTACCATGTTCAATGTTGATATGGAGAAGATTGTCCTTGCAAGAGTCAAATTTTTCGATAATCACCTGATAGATTTTTCTAAAAATTATTATGGTTTTTCCCGCTTATTTCTAGTATTTTAAGTTCATAGAATCATTAGAAAAGTACTCAAAAATTTTTATAGGTTTAGATAAAGGTTTATCATGATTGCTACCTGCGCCAATTTATATGTAATACTTCGCATCTTTAAAAATTAGTAAAAACTTCAGAAAGTGTTCCGTTCATTTCAAAGGAAATTTTGAACTTGATCTAAAAAAAAAACGTATCCGGCTTTAAATGATTGAAAGTCTGAGGAAAGTATTAAGAAGATCTTTCACAAACCGGGTTGTCTGCGTCTCCGACAGGCGCCGGTCTCTCGTCCGGTTCGTCGTTGTTGGACAAGGCGCGGAGCAAGTCGTTGCCGTGGGGCAGATTTACAATACTGGGTACCTCGCCTGGCATCGTGTAATCGTAGAGAATCAGCACGTTGCCAAAGACTTGTCCGTCACGAGCCAAGTAGTAAATCTGTTGAAAGAAAAAACCAATAACCCTTTCTTTCAGAAAATTCAATTTTTATTTACTTTATTGCCTCGGCTTTTTTTTTACTTTTTTTCGAACTTATTTTCGTACTTTTAGTCTTTTTTCAAATAAAACTCTTTCCTGACCTAATAATAAACATAAAAAAATATACTGTGTAAGGCTAGCTAAACCTATCTTAAGCTCTTGCTGACAGCGAAAAACAAAATTCATTTGAAAATTGTAACCTACTCGGGCGAAACGGAAAAGCTACTCGAAAAAAGACCTTTTAAGGGGTTCTCAGCACATCTTTTTTTCATTTCCTTTTTCCCTTCATTTTTGCATTTTTTTTTTCGCATCTTTTAACAAAAAGAATGCTGGAAATCAACCAAAACGATTAGTGAAGGTTTATCCGCTGAGGCTATGAAAAAGGAGCTCAAAAGCTTTTTTACATAAAACTTTTTGCTGCCTCTCAGGATCCCTTGAGGATTACTTATGCTATTTTTCGATTAAAAATAAAGTTTACGCAAAAATTTGTAAGAATATATCTGATTGAGCCAGCGCTTTTGAAAAAAAAAGGGGAAAAAAAGTTTCGAAAAACCTTTTTGCGGAGGCGATGGAGACGAGGAAGCCATGCGCTATACTCGGTGAGGTGAAGCTCTGCGAGCCTCGGATCTCCTTTCATTATAACCAATCGGTTGTTGACTCGTGAGACGGCGTGTCTCCGGACGTTTGGCTTTATCACGGGCTCACCTTCCAGAGGCTCTGAAGTTCTCATTACACAGACTTATCTCAAATCAAAACTTTAGAAAAAAATTTTATATCATATCAAAAAGACTGCGGCTTTTCCTAGGGTGTCCTTTCAGAAAAGTTACTTTTTCTCAAACTTCGAAAAGAAATTTCGAAGAGGAAACGCCGTTTCACATGAACCGTCTTACGGAAAAAACGAACCTGAGGTGGACCAAGGCTTGAGATCGTCGGTGGATATGTCCTTGACGGTGTGCATTTTGGTGCCATCGACGTAGAAGGCGAAACAAGCCTTGTGGGAGACGAGAGGAGGCAGTCGAGGAGGTCTTTCCAGCATCCAGCCACTTTCCCGTCTTCAAAGTCGCGATTTTCGCTTCCAAAAGGTACCTAACTTACATTTGGTCTATTTCGCTGACGTTCGTTAGCATATCTATGATCCGCTCTTTTCGTAACAAGTAAGATAAACAGCCCGGAATCACCGTCGCATAACAATCTCCAAGATCTGTCATCCCGATATCATCTTCGAACTGCAAACGTTGCATATGCAAAAATCAAAACTATTTAAAACGCAAAATTTCAGAGATTTACGATTACACCTACATGAGATCTTTTTATATTTCGATCAAACTGCTTTTTGAAAGAGTTCAAACTCTGCAAGGCTTCGAAAAACTATTTTTTCAAAGTCGAAAAACAGTAATATACAAGGGAAAATGGTTTTCTTTAACAAGGGAATCTATTGAAGTGAAAACTGCAGCTCTGAACCGAACTTGTGGCAAATAGTTCTAGTCCAAAAGAATCATCTGCTAAGCGTCATAGGATTCCGATAAAAATAAGGTGGAAATTGGAGAGGAAAAGCTCGAAAAGGGTTTTTTCACGAATTTTTACTTTCGATAGAAACTGATCTGAATAATTCTATGAGATGCATAACGAAACCAAAAAAAGTGCCTAACATATTTTTTTGTCTTCGGGTACGATTACCAGCTCCCCTTCACAGAAATTTTTAATTTTTTTAAATTTAAAATGAAAAATTTATCCTTTTTCCAAAGTAACTATGAACTTAATTTTTGATTAGCTCCGAAAAATTGCGACATCCTTAACATTTCTCAAACTCTCGGACGCAAAAATCACATGTAGATAGGAATAAAACAAAAACCACTTTTTGCCATTTTCCGAGAAGTTCTGTGCTTTCTCGACTTCAAAATAAGAGCCAAAGCACCGCTAAGAGAAGAAATCGATATACCAATTTGACAGAGTAGGTGTTGTAGCGTTCTGCAATGCTCTTGCTGACTGCTCGATCTCCATTCCGATTGATCCGAGGCGATGGTCGGAAAATTCGCGAAGCGTTTCCTGGCTTGGTCTTCTTGTCTCCGTCTTGGATGTGCATTTTTTTCGGCCTCCCTCGACCTCTCTTCAGTCTAATAACTCGAGAAGTTGAAAAAAAAAGAATTTAATAACTCACACGGCGGAAACTTCCAACTCTGGAGGATTTTCATTCTCTTCCAAATCCCCATCGCTTGTCAAGTCTCCGTCTTCCAATTCCTCTTCAAATTCCTCGACCGGTCCAAGTTCAGGTACCGCCTCGAAAGAATTAGCGGCGGTTTCTTCATTTTTCTGTACAAACTCAGATGTGCTCGCTTGAGCTGGCTGAAACAATAATAATTGTTTTTCTTCTGTAAAGCCACGAACTTCTTCCTTGATGACATCTTCAGGAAGTGGCTTTTTCTTCGCACTCTGACCATCCTTGGCTGTAGAAGGTCTACCTCTCTTCAATCCCTGTCTGTTCACAACTGCAGGCTCAACGGCCGTCACAGTCGCAGCCTCTTCTTCCGGCTCTTCTTGCTTCACTCCAGGCATGTTTATCTGAAAAAAGGTTAGCCCCGCTTCTTCTCTCTCAAAACCGAACCTCATAATCGCCACTCGAAAGCAAAACGCTTTTCCGTGCGTTACGCTTGGGCCGAGTACTTTCAACTTGAAGACCTTCTGTGTCGTTGATGCTTCCTTGTTTTTCTCCATTCGTAGTCGGTTCTCCTCCTTTTTCTTCCACATTTTTATCGGGACTTTTCATTGGACTACTACTAGGCCTCGGCATTCTGAACCCTTTGCCTGCTTTCAATCAAATGCCTGAGGGAAGAAAGTAGTCTATAATCGATTTGAAACGATGAACAAACATGTTTTGGAATTCAGATATAATACTTTATTTCACAGTGAAACTTATATTGTGTAGAAATATCGAAGTGAGTGAACAACTTGCGCAATTTATCAATTTAAGAATTACTCACCGAAATATATTGAAAAATTTTGTTTCGATGCATCATTTTTTGATTTAAAAAAAAAGTTCTACCTTTTCGGAAAAGAAAAATCACAAACATGCACTTACATTATTTAAGAAAATGTGGAAATATACAATTCAATCTTGTTTCGCTGGGCCGGCTTTAAAAAAAAATTTTTAACACAACTCAGATCACAATGAAAATTATCAATTTAAAAGAAAGCAATCGTAAACCGCACACCAAGCCCGAAGGAAGCAAAAGGGCAGTCAGCTTAATAAAACTGACAGAAGGCATTTGATAACTCGTCAATACAATTAGGAAGAACAACACTGCTTTTTAGGAGGGTCTGTTGGAGGAGTGGGAATGATAGTGCCGCCTCCACCTCCGTATCCTTGGCGATCAGAGTTCACATGCTTGTTAGAAACACTTTTGTAGATTTCTGTCAAAATGTTGGTGAAGGCAGCTTCTACGTTGGTACTGTCCAGGGCAGACGTTTCTGTAAGCGAATAATAAAATTCAAACTTAAAAAAAATAACCGATGAAAGAGAGCTGGTTCCTTTCAGCATAAATTTTGGCTTCGTCTGTGGGTACAGCTCGCAAGTGGCGAAGATCGCTTTTGTTTCCAACCAACATCAAGACGATATTTTGATCAGCATGATCGCGCAGTTCTTTCAGCCAGCGTTCAACGTTCTCGTAGGTCACATGTTTCGCTACAAAAATGGTAAATGGTCTGGATTTTCTTTCAGTTCATACCAATATCGTACACTAGAAGAGCCCCGACTGCCCCTCTATAGTACGCCGAAGTGATAGCTCTGTACCGTTCTTGACCAGCAGTATCCCAAATTTGAGCTTTTACGGTTTTCCCCTCAACCTGCAACAAATGATCATTTGCAATGTTTGCAATAAAGTTAAACCTGAATACTTCTAGTAGCAAACTCGACGCCAATAGTGGATTTAGATTCGAGGTTGAACTCATTTCTAGTGAAACGCGAAAGCAGATTCGATTTCCCGACTCCGGAGTCGCCAATGAGAACGACTGAAAAATTTCACGCAGTTAAACATTGGAAAATGAGAATATGTTCTTTTTGAAGGGGAAAACTTCTAAAAAGGCTGATAAATCTGACTCAACTCTCATTGAAGTTTTAGCCCTATTTGTAACTCTGAGCAAATTTATATGATATAAGATTACTAAACCTTTGAACAAGTAGTCGTACTCATCATCACGAGAGCCCATTTTTCAAAGCTGAAAACAAAAAGAGGTTTACAAACGCCGGAGGAAAAAAAAATTATCTGTGGTACGCGCAAAAATTATGCCGTGTTCAAAGTAATTTTCGCGGAATTCAAAAGTATCTCTGACTCTCCAAAGTTTCTTATCCACTCGCTGTCGGTCATTTCGAAATAAGCGGAATCACTTTGAACTTAGCATTATAATAAAGCCAGACTTTTTTGAACTTCATATTTTAACTTCTTCTGGCTGAAAGCAAAGAAAAACCGATGATACGTGGAACGAATTGTATTAAAAAGTATTTTGCGGATCCAGAATTCACCGAATAGTGAAAAATAAGATTTATAAAGAGGAAACAGAAACTGCAACTCTAAAAGAAAGGAGCGGGAAGTATTATCTCACGATGAGAAGCGAAAAACTGAAAGAAAATACGAGAAAAAAGAAAAAATGAACCATCCCTTTTTCACATTCGTTTAGACTTTTCACCACTGGGCTAGTTTAACTTAGAAATTTAAAAAAGTGAAATAATAAAAAGAAAGCTGGGTTTTGTAATCCTTCAAAATCTTTAGATACCTTTTGACGCTTGTAAAAAAAATTACAGTGATGAAAAATCCGCAAAACGATTATGGTTTCATCGAGTTCTGGCCCTTTTTTGATCGCCTGTTTTTCCTTTGATGTATGCTTATTGCCGTGTGGTGGTTAGACCATTACGATTATTAACAAGCGTGGGAAAAAATAACGAAATCCAAAAATAAAATCACGTTGTGTTTTCACAGCCACGTCAATGTGTGATGCGAACGCCCCGCCGAACGCTCCGCATGTGTGGGTCCTAACGCGATATTAGATACAGTATGCCCCAAAGAAGAGCGAGGCCTAATATTTCTATTTATTTATTGTATTTTTTTATATTAAAATATTAAAGCCATGTTCAAAGTAACTCCGCTAAATTCAAAATAGCCGTCAGAGAGTGGAAAAAATAACTTAATATTGGAGAGTTAGAGGTTATTTTTGAATTTCGTGGTAAATACTTTGAAAAGGCATAAAATCTGTTTTTTTAATTTCTGAAATTGTTTAATTAAAACATTTTTTTGATAGAATTCTATGTCGTGTTCAAAGTAGTTTCCGCGAAGTTTAAAAAAAATCCTGACATTATTGAAAGTCGCAGAGTCACTTCGAACAGGCCATAATTTTGAAGAATTATCACGTTCTTGCTTTTCATAATTTAATTTCCGTACTAAATTTGGGCGAAACAGAAATGATCATCAGGGAGTGAAAAAGATAACAAAATTTAAGTAGAGTTAGAGATAATTTCGATTTTCGTGACGTTCCCTTAAAAATGCCATCAATTTATAAAAAATAAAAAATTTGAATACCTATCGCAAATTATATTCTCACGAACAACTTTTTTTAATTATCTTTTTTTCTTGAATCTGTTCATGAATTCATAAACCTTGATCGATGGGACTGCAGGTTTAATTTTCGTTCTTTTTTTTTAAATCAAAAACAAAAGTTTTAATTCTTTTTTTTTGCAAGTATTTTTTTATGAACTCATTAACCTTGTTCGATGGAACAGCACTGTTCGTTTCGTCTTTTTCCAAACGGTAATTTTTTTTTTCAGGGTATCCATTCTGCCGACATGGCTCAGTAAGTTGCTTTCTATTTTTGAATTTTTTTTCATAATGTATCTAGCGCTAGATTGTCAGATAAGTACTAGAAACCAAAAAGCTTTTTTTTGCTTTAAATTCGAAATTTCAATTTAAAAAAAAACTTTTCCCTCGAAATCGGAAGCCCGACGGTGTGCTGCAAAATTTTTCTTTTTACCACATGTCTCGTCGATTGAAAAAAAAAAGCATAACTGATGCCAATATTTTGCGGTGCACCTTTGAACCTCCGACTTCTGATTTACTGGGCTCTTTTAAGGAGATGAACAAGTTTTTATTTGTCGATTGATAAGCCGCGTTCAAAGCTAATTTGACGCGCGCAGCGAGTAGGTTTTTCTGGTTCAAAAGCACGAGCTGCTTTTCGCCACGTTTCGGCTCGTGCTTTTGAACCAGAAAAACTTTTTCGTTTTTCTGTTGATCTCCTAAGTACCCTGAAGCACCTGAAGTGATCTTTAAATGACTCACAAACATCCTAGGAACTTCTGGTTTGCGGTACCAGCGTCTGTGACGAAACTTAACTGTTTTTCAAATGAGATGCTCATTTTTTTCTGTTAAAAATTTGCTACTTCGATTTTTGCATGGTTTAAAAACTAGTAATTCAGAAAGCAAGTGCCGCAGGTCCCTGAGACTATTTTGAAAAGAAGAAAGCAGAGGGCTGAAATCCGCTCCAAGGCTCTTCAAAACAAGTCCAAACTTGCTGCTGTGAGTTCCATTTTCTAGCCTTGTTTCCCCATGACTTTAGACTATTCTGTGAATAATGAAGTAATTACTTACCTTAGTGTCTTCGGCTTTAGGAAGTCGGAGGCCCGTCGTAACTCTAGTGAAACCCAAGGGCTGTCGTAATAATTTTCCAAATTTATCGTTCAAAGTTATTCCGGTTTTTGATCTGATCTCTTCCTCTCCAATAATTTCTATATATTTTTCGCTCTCAGGCATCTGTGGTTTCTTTCCGCGAGTGCTTTAAAAAGAAAAAAAAACAAAATCTATTTCCAGAAAAAGGATGTTTAATTCTTTCGCCTAGCTTCTTCTGGTTGGTCTCACATTTTGAAGATGTAAACATTTTTTTTGGCCGCGAAGAAATTACGGTAAAAATGCATATTTAACGTTATATCGTTGTAGGACTCATTTTTTTCTGCGTATTCTCGGAATAGCAATTCTGCCTATTTCCTGAAATCATTTTAAACGAATAACGCGTCAATTTTGAAATCGCCGAAATTACTTTGAACACGGCATGACTTTGATTCATGACATTTCGGAAGGAGGGGTCTCAGAATATGGTCTGCCCATGTATGAGCATTTGTTCATTTTTTTTTATTCGTAGATAGCTATACTTTTTGATTTTATTTTAGAAGGTTTTCTTCATTAAAGCCTTAAAGTTGCTAGATTTTTCTTCTGAAAGGAGTTTTTGAATTGATCGTTTCAGAAATCGAAGGAAAAGAAAGCGAACATCTTCAAGAGAGCTGAGAAGTACGTCCAGGAATATAGAAACGCACAGAAAGAAGTATTGCGTCTCAAGCGTGATGCTGAAAAGAATGGCGATTTCTTTGTCCCTGAGCAGCCTAAGCTTGCTTTCGTTGTGCGTATTCGCGGTATCAATCAACTTCACCCTCGCCCTCGCAAGGTTCATAAAGTTTTCATCATGACATCTGTCAGTTTTTTCTAGGCTCTGCAAATTCTCCGCCTTCGTCAAATCAACAATGGCGTTTTCGTCAAATTGAACAAAGCTACGTTGCCTTTGTTGAGAATCGTCGAACCGTACGTTGCGTGGGGATATCCTAACCTGAAGTCCGTGCACGATCTTGTTTACAAGAGAGGTTATGCCAAGGTTGATGGCCGACGAGTGCCCATCACGGATAACAACATCATCGAACAGTCCCTTGGTAATTTTTTTTTTAAATGAAATTTCGCTTTTCATTGCCTTTCAATCGGAAAGAAACATTTCTTCCGAATCGAAAAAACATCTCTTCCAAAATTGTCTTTATCCGAAACTCGTTATTTCGCGACGAGAAAAGGAAAAAAAAATTTTCGGGACACCTTCGAAAACTGTAGCACAGTATTTTGATGAGCTCGCGATATCGTTGAAAACAGCAACTTCGAAAAAGTATAAGACCAAGCTTTTTAACGAGTTTCAACTGTTACATCAAAAAGTTTTCTGGTAAATTTTTGAAAAATTAGTATCAGATGCAATGTAAATCTTCAAGTCTAAGGACGTGCTCAAAGTTATTTAGGCGATTTTAAAATAGGCGGAGTTGGAATGCCGGAAGAGCATAGAAAAATAAGTCCTACAAATATATATCGCAATATATGAATTTTTCTGTAACTTTTACACGCAAACTTTAAATTTTGGGAATTTTTTTTACGAAAATTTTGATCTCGGCAAAAAAATCAACTTGCATATGTTGCGTTATGTTCAGTACTCATCTGAAGAATCCCGGAATACCAGTTCTGCCTACTTCCCGAAATCATTTCAAACGAATAACGTGTCAATTTAAAAATCGCCAAAATTACTTCGAACACGGCATCAGAAACGTTAAGTCTAGTTTGAAAAAAAAAAGACAGTTTTTGACTCCATTTAATAAGTTTCAAATAAGGAATCGTTACCATCTATCTGAAACGTTTGCAAAAAGGAGAGTAAAATCCTTTTTTTTTCAGGTAAACAAAACATCATCTGTATCGAAGATCTTGTTCATGAAATCCTCTCCGTTGGCCCACACTTCAAAGAGGCTACCAACTTCCTCTGGCCCTTCAAACTTAACAACCCCACTGGCGGATGGACCAAGAAGACAAACCACTTCGTTGAAGGAGGAGATTTCGGTAATCGGGAAGACCAGATCAACGCCCTTCTCAGACGCATGGTCTAATTATCTGTTATGTTGTTTCATACCATCCTCATGGATAAATTTTTGTTGTTTGTTTTAAAGAGTTTCATATTTTAATGAAGTTATGTAACGCGATCTCCGACCGTGAAAGAGTGTAGATATTAGGCATTCATAGACTGCTATGCCCTCGCGTTTGCCCGTTCTAACGATGCTACCAAGAATGTCGAGTATACCATATTATTCACCTTCTTGCTTATTCCTAGAAACGATGTTGAAGTCGCGTGAAATACCTTATGAGGTTTGGTCAAAGTTCATCAAACTTTCTTACTAGGGAACTACTCGTACTCGGGGACGAGTAGCGGGTTGAAAGTGGCTTGTAGAATCAGGTAATAGTACTTGAAACAAGAGAGAGTATCTGCTAAAATTTAGAGGTTTCTGAGAAAAAAGCTTTTCGAAAAAATAGAGAAAAAGCTTTGTACGCGCCTGGGCCTTCTTCTTTCGGGAGGTGGCACAGTGGCTTGAGAATTGGTCTCGTGTATTTTTTTTAAAAGTAGTCCCCACTCCTGTAGAGTGCAATTATTTTGCATTCTTCTCATGTTAGTTTTTCTGGTTAGACAGCTCGAGCCGAAACGCAGCGGATGCCCACGGCCTTTCCGCCGCGCAAAAGGGTGATCCACTAGACAGGAATCGAACATTCAACAAAAATTCAATCATGAAACTGAGCCATGCCACTCTGGTGAGAGGGAGGTCCTGGCTTGTACAGGGCTTTTCCTGTATTTCCTAAATGAACTTTTTCTCAGAAGCCTATGGTGTTTTTAGAATATAATCCCTCTTTTTTCTTCAAGTACTTTTACCAAGATCGAAAAGCAGCTAAAGTTTCGACTCGCAACTCGTCTTCGAGTTTGAGTAGTTTTCTAGTTAGATATAAATAGACTGAACAATGCTCCCTCTGGAAGATTTTACCATGCGGCCACTTCTATCCAATAGTCGACGTTGATGGTCTTTGTTTCCGCAATGTCATGGCGAGCCTCGAGTATTTGTCCTTCAAATATGGCAAGGTACTTTTTTTTTTCGCTTTTAGTACCCTATCATGAAGAATCATGTTGTGTTCAAAGGGATTCTGCGAAATTCAAACTAGCGATGAGAGAGAAAGATTGAGTTCCCAGGAAATTACTTTTAACAATGAATTATGTCGAAATGGAAAGATCACAAAGAGGTCGAACGTCTTTAGAAACATATGTCAACTTTAAAAATAGTCATTTTGCTGAAAAGTGTAGGAAAATAGAAGAGTCACCCGCCGTGTCCCCGTCACTAGTGCCTGAGTATAACTAGTGGGAGCTACGATCAGCTTCCGAAAGGAGCGAGGTATATCCTTTTAGCAAAATAACTTCCTAGCTCGAAGTTATAATTTGAACGTGTCATAATATTCTTGGGCAAAGCCGGAAAGGTGAATAATGGCCACTTGAAGGGAGAGGCTCAAAAAAGGCCACAGAAAGGCATCAAAAAGAGTCCCTTTATCGAGCCTTCCACTTTTTCTGCGATTTTAAAAGCTCAAGAAACGGTGGAAAATAGGGGAGTCAGCAAAAATGGTGCATAGTAGCCGATAAAACGGCGCAAAGAAGCACCAAAAAAGGACCCTTTTTCCACCCTTTCCGACTTTATTCTAGCCCACTGACTGTGGGATGTCGTCTGTGGAGAGAGCGCAGTCCGTAGCGATCAGCTCTCTTCTTGACGAATTGGAATGGTTTGTCTTCTTCTCAATTACATATGTATAGGGAGAATTTTAAGGATGGTCGCATTCGCGCGAGGAAACAACATAGAGTGGATCGCCAACGACAAAGGAATTCTGGAGAATTTCGGATATCTCAACTTATACATATTTAGAAATTACATTGTGAAAAAGATGAGAAGAAAGGTAGTTTCAAATTTTGAAAGAGCTTTCTCCACCATTTTTTGCTTCGCAGTTGAAACGTCGCACACGTGCATATGGACTAGTTGGTTCGACAGCAACGGACGAAGTGACCTATCGGACCGAAGTTCTTCTCGAATCTCTGTCCGCTCTCCTGGGGGCCAACACTTACTTTTTTCCTTACAATGAACCGCTCTGGGCAAGTTTTCTAGCTATTGCTAATTTTTTTTGTTTACCTCTGAGCTACAGAACCCTTTTCTAACATAACCATCTTTAGGCTAAATAAAAGAAGCATGAACAGAGGCATAATTGAAGGGAAGGATTCTGTAGCTAGGAGGAATGGGCTATAGCGAAAATATGAAAAAAACGTTCTCAGATCGATTGCAAGGCGTTTGCCGTCCTCGCTCAGTTCATCTACACTCCCGTCAACCACGACACGAGGATCAAACAGTTCTTGCGGGATCGAGTTCCGAACCTGGTTTGCTTGCAAAATACTGGCTCCTAGTTCATATAGGCCGTTCCGCGCCAGCTTATCACGAAGAGTTGAGATAAAAAATTTTTAGGCTACTGAAAAGTGATTTTTTTTAAATTCGCAGTCTATTGGCTCAAAAAAACGTCCGGAAGCTAAGAGATCAAAAACTTGGTCCTTATTTAGGTATGAGGCCAGTATAGGCCATTCCGCGCCAGCTTGTCACGTTTTTCTTTCCGCCAAAAGGCCAGATCAAATTTGACCAACTTCGCTTCAAGACCATTGTTTCTTGCTTTTTTAAAAGCAGAATTGCTAAGAAAGCTGCTTTTAGTGTAGTTTTTTCCTGCTTCTCTTCAAAAACGTGACCGTCTCGCTCGTAAATCTTCCAAACTGCACAAAAACCTAATTTCTCGAAGCGAAAATGGTCAAATTTGATCTAATTTGGTATACGGTCTTTTTGGCGGAAAGAGAATTGTGAGAAGCTGGCGCGGAATAGGCTATATCAGTTATGGTTTTTTTGAAGTGAAGGTTATATAATAGTCAAATATTTTTTTCCTGGCCATGTACCTTAGACTCCTTATCAGGAGTTTTAATTGACTCGAAAAAAAATTTTTTTTTTGAAATCATTCAATTCTCAAGATTCGAAAACTGCAGAAAGGAATTTTCGAACATTTTATATCTTCGCCTTTCCAAAAATCACGCTATCTAAGCTTTATAAATTTTTTTATTAACTCGCGTTCAATCAGTTTTATGATCAGAAAAAAAATATTTTTTTAATCAATATATCAAAGCATAATCTATTTTTTTGAGTTTTTTTCAAACTTAATATTGTGTATTTCTGTAATTCAACCAATGAGCCGTTTTTTTCTTCGAAAACAATTTCCGTTATTTATTCAAGAAATTTGAGACGAACTTCGTTCGGCGCATGAAAAAAACGACTTCTGGGCCGATTGGGACGAGTCGCGTTGACGATGTTGAGAAAAAAATGCTTTGAGATCGAAATTTTTTTGTGAAGGTGCTTCTTTCTTCGATTTTTTTACGATACCCTTCTATATCTTCTGACCAAAAGGGAATAAATAAAGTCATTTACATAATCTTTCAAATAAGAAAAAAAAACAATTATTTTAATTTCAAAGATGATCAATCTGGAGCAGCCGTGAAAAAGAATACTGTGGAGGGTTTTGCGGAGAACCGAGAAGGCGGTCGACGCCGAGGCGGTCGTGGACGAGTCTTAGTCAAGTATTGGACGACGCGAAAGACTGGCGGCGCCTCGAGATCCAGCGCGTATTCCTCGACGTGTGTCGACGTCGTCGCGTTCTCATCCGACGACGACAGGTCTTCTGAAGAAGCGACTGGTGCCAGCGGAGGCAGCTCTTGTAGAAGCCGTTCTCTGAAACATTGTTTGAGCCTTTGATTTCACTAGACAAGACGAAATTCCGGCACTTGGGAGCACTATTCTAAGGCGTCGCTCACATCAATGACCTCTTTTTCCGAAAATACTAAAGAAAATATTTGATGAGGGTCTTAACAGGATTGTACCAGCACTGTGTGCAAAGACCAATTTTGGATATTTCTGTGACAAACTATGCGCTCTTCGAAGTATATGAAAGGATTACACATTGGTAACGCGGAATGGGCTTGTCGGAGCATTCTTAGTGCCCCCTTTAGTAGCGCCAGCGCTCTTCAGTATCTCTTAGAGTTTCTCAAAAACGTCCAGAGCAAGTCCGTATCGCTTTACCAATGTCCGAGAAATCATCGGTAAGGTTTCTTTCATTTCGATCGACTTTGATAAAGCAGACAAACTTTTGTCTGCCGAGGAAGTCCAACTGTTCCTGGAAAAGCAACTTGGCGGTTCCGATGTTCTGGGCCGTCTTCAGCTCGCTCCGTTCATGCTCGGCTATTTTTCGCAAGTTGGCATGGACCTGTAACTCTAGGATTTGACTTGCTTTGGAATGAGCACGACCTTCTGGCTGGCATCCTCCAGCTGGACGATGTTGAGCAAAGTGGCTCGGTAATGCCGGAGTTTCTCGTCGATGAGCGTCTGAACGCAAACGGCTTGACGCGACACGTCGTTCAGCTGCTCCTGGGCGTGCACGAAATCTTGTCTTCTCAGCACACAAGGAGCAAATATCAGCGCCAAATTGCTCGAGCCCATCTTGTTGACCGGTTCCTGAAAGGCGAATTAATGGAGGAGAAAAAGATACTGCACTTGAAACCCAAAACTTGATAACTTTCTGTCAGATAATCTCTACAAACGATCAGAAGAAAGCTGACCTGCTGGGCAACTCTGGCGAGGTGATACATGAGCCTGTCGAGAAGCGCACGGTTCGCCTTGGGCAGAAGCTCGATCATGACAGAAAGACAGCGAATTCTCTCCGGAAGGTCTTCCACGTCTGCTTTCCCTCTTCTTCGATTGCTTGTTTTGTCGACTAACCAGAAACGTGAAGGAAGTTCTCGTAGAGATCAAAGGATATGAGGGGATCCGACAGCTCGCGGAAAAAAGACTTGACGAGCGTCGTCAGCACGTGCACCGGCACCTCGTCCAGCTGCACTGCCTCGAGATCTTAAGAAATTTGAGGTTTCAAAGAAAAGATACCCAAAAACAGTTTGCTATCGGTTCAGATTTTTCAATCCATCTCGAAATACTTTGTCAGCTAAGAAAACGATTCGTGTGCTTGCTCATGTATAGTCTGTGTGCCACGACTTGAAATTTGACCGAACGAAATTCCGCTGTTCCGCTGCGTGCGTTCGCGAAGCGTTTTTTTGAATTTAGGTCACGCTTTGAATTGATTGTTATTGATGTGGGAGCACATGAAAGTAGAGAAAAAAAATTAAAAGCGCGACCGAGGTTTGCAAAGGCGCGCAGCGGCACAGCGGAATGTCGCCTGGTGAAATTTCAAGTCGTGGTACACAGGCTATTTATGAGCTTTTATTTAGCTGAAAAGACTTGAAAATTTAAACGCACCAGAGGAAGATTCAATGTCGCGTCGAATGTTTCGCACCTGAGACAGAGACCCGGATTTCCTGATAAACCACGCTGAGAAGAAGAAAAGCTTCCAGCTAACCTGTAAAGACCCTCGGTGAACAAGGCGCGTGTCTCGATCGCCAAGAAGAGACGGTCGATGAGTGGAGGCGTCGCGTGCTCCTCGTCCACCAACGAAGCCAGACATGCTCCGAAGAAACGCCCCATAGGCTGAGAATGAATTTTCTAGAAAACCCCGACGAAAAAAAGCTTTTTTCATAACGGAGTTATTTCTGTTTGTAACTTGTTCCGTGTAAAGTCTTTAATGAAAGCAACCTGGTCCGATAGCGGCTGACCAACGAGCGGACACCCGTGAAGCACCTTCGTGTGACACTTCTTGTGACACGAGATGCGGCAGGCGACGCAGATGAACAGCTTCTCGTGGTGCCAGATCAGTTGATTGCACACTTCGCAGTAGGTCGGCACATGAACCACGTCGGTCCGGAAGCGATGACCTGCGTGAATCTGAAAGCGCCGCCGTCGATGCTCATAGTTAGCAAGAGGGTGAGTTCCTCTCGACGAGGAAGTTAGAAGAAGAGAATCACATCTGATTAGATCCTCAAATCAACTAAACCAACTAATAACGTGAAAAGAGAAAAGGTTGAAACTAAACCATTCAAAAACTCCGGAGAAACGAAATTGGTAAGCGAGGGATGTTGCGTGCAGAAACGTTATTACCCAAAGACTATGACGAAAAACGAAAACTATACTAATCACTACCACATAATGATGCTATTCTCACCGATACGTCTGACTTGCGCCGCTTTTTGCGAACACTCTAAACTCGAACCATTTATAGTCTGTGTGCCACGACTCGAAATTTCACGGAACGACATTCCGCTGTGCCGCTGCGTGCTTTGCGAACCTTGGTCGTGCTTTCAATTTTTTTTTTCTTTTATCAAGATACTATACTTTCATGAGCTCCCACAGCAATAAAAATCAATTGAAAGCGTGACCTAGATTCGAACGACGCTTCGCGAACGCACGCAGCGGAACAGCGGAATTTCGTTCCATGAAGTTTCAAGTCGTGACGCACAGACTATATCCTCTGTTGCTAAAATGTCAGAGCAGGACTGAAGAGGGACATTTTGAGCTTAGATTACACCTGGAGAGTTCAACTAGCTTCACCTTGATCATGCTCGACTTCTGCTTGCTGCTCTTCTTTTTCGTTTGATAAACCGTGAACTCATTGAGAAATCCACTGCAAAGTATCCTGATAGTTTTCGAGGGACTGGAGCAAACCGGAAAGCGTTGACGCCGAGCGTTGTCGGGAAGGAGACCTTTTCCTCGTGACAAACTTTCGTCAGAAGTCCCTCGAACATGGTGATCACGTCGCGGTATTTCAGTACCGAGTTTCCTTGCTCAACATGTTTTTTTATTCACAAGGTCCATATAAAAAAGGGGGCTTGACAGTTGATCGCTTCGAAAAAATCGACTTTTTTTTCGTTTCCAAAGTCTCATCAAAAGCAGAAATATTTAGCTCAATGGGGGATTTTTTCAACGCGTTTTATATAGAGTGAAATCGAGTGAACATCCGCTTACCGATAAAACTGCTTCGTACCCTAAGAGTTCCATGTGGAAAGCCCTCAGAGATTTCTTGAAGACCGCGTCGACGATTGTGTCTCTTGAAACTCAGTTCGTTTGACCACAGTCCGGAAAAAAACCTTTTAGCTGTCTTTTCAGAGAGATTGGTCGTTTTATTGAAGATGAAGACGCTGAACTGTCGAAGGTCTTCAGATGATTCGACCACCATATTTCCTGGGTCAGTCTGAAAGAGAAAACGGAGATTGAAGGAAAAACATCGTTCTAGACCTGCTGTTTAGTGTTGTTCAAATTGAAAGTGCCAAAGATGGGCGATGCGGACAATTGCCGTTGTTTCTGAGTTCTGCAAAAAGGTCCGTCAGAAGAGAAGATGATTTTGATCCATTAGTCCTCAAGAAAATTTAGGCGCAGACTCATTCATTTTGATTTATTCTCAATCTCGTTATTGGAATACTTTTCTAAAGTGGAGGCTGAAATTCCACGGAAGTGAACTCACACAATGTCCCAGGGTCGCTTCGGCGAATGGAGGCGTGTCGGAGACCGAACTGGAGACACCGGATTGCAAGGAATCGAACTGGCGAACGCAGCACATTCTTTGTGTAGACACATTTTGCACCCTGGAGGAAAATAATGTACTTGAAAGGGTAAGTCGAGTTTGCAAGAAATGATCTAATAATTTATAAGTCAGTACTCAGTTAGAAGTTGGGAAGCTTCTGCTTTCGGTTCCTTGGAAGGCGTTTGGAACCTTTTCAGAAGTGGTCGAACGTCTTCCACATACCTTGTCTACTCACCTTTCAGAAACCTGCTGGAAGGCTTCAGGCTTCAAAGACCTTCCAACTACCTTCTGAACACCTTCTCAAGGGTTTCTCAAGATCATCTAGCTCCCATTAACTCTGCAGCTTCCTGCTGGTTACCTTCCCAGGTAAGAATCCAAAAAGATTTTTAACTCCCTATAAATGTTTTTTTTTGTTGGTTCTCATTGTTGCCAGCCTTTGTTAATATTTCTTTCGTCAAATTCTATCTTCAGGTCAAAGGGAGCTTTTTAGAATGTGGTACGAAAAAACGTATTTAGTGAATGACAGTTGATGATCTCACTTTGACACTTGTGAGCCTGAGAGATGAATCCGGTGAGATGACGATTGCAAAGGGCGCACACTTCTTGCCGATGCAGTCTGGACATCTTGAACTGGTGCTCCATGGAAGGCACTTCTGGCGTCAGTTCGTTGGTGAAACTCGGCCCCGGCTCTTCCAAATCGTCCTCACGACGGCCAAAAAGCGCCTTCAGGTTTTTCTTGAATCCCAGCCGTGTTCCCGCTTTCTTTTTGGCACTAGAGTTCAACTAAAATGGGAGTTTGAGCGCATTTCTGAGGACTTTACCGAAGTGCTGGGAAAATCGTCGACGTGCCGGACGATGGAGAAATTGTTGGATTCTGTGCTGTTCGCCCTGCGCATCATTTTCAGTTTGGTGGTCGACGCTGCTGGGGCGAGCGACTGCCGACGATGATGGCTCGCCATTTCGGCCGAATCTCTGCAAGTGCTTTTTCACTTCTTCACACATTTTCTCAAACTCTATGAGCTTCAGTTTGGTGTCTTCTAAGATGAATGTGGCGTCCAGCTCGATGGCGTCGTCTCTAAAAAAAAAACGATTACACTATGTCGGAAAAAAGGTGAGACTCTTGAAAAGCGCCATCGTCGCCGAGAACGCTCCCATCGGAAACGTCCTCGTCGAGTCCGTCTTGGGTAGTCTCGTCGCTTAAATGATCGTTCTAGCGAGCAAAACTTCGACGCAAGCCAACCTATCGGTTTCCTCGTCAGACTCAGCAAACGCAGCCAATGACATCGGATCATTTAGGTTGAAGGCCGTCAGTTGGACGGCCTGCACTTTTTTCAAGTGGAACTTCTTGGTTCCGGCGGGGTTCTTGGGCATTTCGACAAACTTCTTCCTGGCTGCCGCTCCTCGGTATGCTGACTGTAGGGCAATGATGGTGTTCCTCAGGCGTTGGTATTGCTGTTGTTCGTGGTACCTCAATTGTCAACCAATCAACATGGTTCGAATGGCTCACTAACCTTTTCCAGTTGGACTGAATGACCAGTGCTGCGTAGGACTGCCGTCGGAGTTGGCTGCGGACCAGAGCTCCTCGGACCAACGCCTTAATTCTTTTGTTCAGAAGACTTGCCACATAATCAAAGAACCTGTATTTTGGTTACACCTTGTTTGAGTCTTAAATATCTTTTCCTGGCGATAGTTGTTCGGAACCAACGTTGCAGCGTGTCTTAAAAAGTTCTCTTGTCAAATTTTAGACCAGGTAGGCGAGCTACCGATGTTATGCATAATGGTTTTGTGAAGATGATCATCCAGTATTAGTTTGTCAGCATCACGCATGAAAATCTGGAAAGAAAATGTTCTGGTCTGATATGGGAAAATTTATCAAGGAGGAGTTCAACTTTGAAGAATTCGACATGAACTTCAAACCCAGGGTCCCAGTAACCTTGCTGACTCCGTACTGAATGTTTTCACTGTCGATGGAAGGATGACTCTGGATGAGCTCTTTGATATCTTCAACCGTGCTTTCTCGACCATTTTTCAGCAATATCCGGTATTGTTGGATAAAACTCTGAAAAAACTCATACAAGAGTGCGACAAGGTTCACCTACAGGATACTCGATGCGGACAGAGTAGCCAGCCCTGCGGATTCTAACTGTTTCCAGCATGCCTGTGTAGCGGAGTTGACGCAAGATGATGTTGTCATCGAAGTGGTTAGGGATCTGAGGGAAAACGTGAAAAGAGAGGAGGAGCGAATTGCCTTGTCGTTGTTGCTCTTGATGCACCGTATGAAGTAAGGCGTCGCGTTGGAAAGCGTCGTCATTAGTCGGTTCAGCGAGTATTCAAACTGTTTGGAGACAGACGACGGCTTTTTTGAAATTCGCCGTCCTCCGAGAGCCTCTTTGAGTATCTAGAACGAGACGTCAAGAGATTGCAAAAAAAAAAAAAAGAGTTTCTACCTGTAGACTCTTCAAAGTGCTCAGTTTTTCGTCAGACTTGTTAGCCGGCGTTCGTCGCGCTTGCGTTCTGATCGTCGCAAACATGCTCGTGTCGCAGAACTCAGGGAGTTCAACGTGCAGTTCTCCGCGAAGAAAAGCCGACAGGGCCGAATCGGAGCCTCGACGCGGCGCCAGAAGCGGCGGTCCGCCAACCTGCAGGTGACCGGCAGACTCTCAACTTTCCGATTTATTCCAAAGCGAGACTCGTTGTCAAACCGCTCTTCTGAAGTCTCCGCGCAGATTGCTTGAAGGCGTTCATAGCCCGGAACACGCTGCGGACGACGTTCCACCTTGAGAAAGATGTATCTCATTAATCGATATGATATGTTTTGGACATGGAATTTATCTATTGGTCTCATCTGAAAAGCTGAAAGTTCATGAGTAAAAGTGAACCCTTTAGAAGATGCATAAGATTCGACTACTACTGTCACAAGGAAGACGATATTGTCTACTCGCCGTTCTTGATCAACGACAGTTTCGCTAACCGACAAAAAACTCTTATTACATGATTCAGCAGAGAATCTTCTCTGGAGACTGAATGAACCGGTTCACGATAGGAAATTTTTGATTGGCTTGACCGGGCTCGCAAAGTTTCAATGTTCATGAGTACGGCCTCAGCTCAACCGAGAAAAAAACTTGACGAACCGATGGACGGCGACGGCGTCCAGGCCGAGCATGGTTTTCATAAGGGCGTTGCGACTCGACTTGAGCGCGTTCAGGACATCTTGCCGCATCAAGTCCTTGTTTTTCTCCCGAAAGCCCTGTCGTCTACTGTTTTTGGTCGACGCGGATCTCACTTACAGTGATTTGATACTTGACCTTCCCAGCATAATGAGCCACGATGAAGGCGGGCTCTTTTTTCTGTGGCGTTTCGTAATAATCGTTATTCTGGAAAAAAGTTTGTCTTCAGGAAGAAGAAGGGAAAAAAGCCTTCAGAAACTGATTGAGTTTGGCAAGCATCGAGTCGTCCGTGCCGTTGTTGATGTTGCTCTCCTCGTCGACCAAGCGAAGGATGCCGTACGGCTTACTCTGAAAGAATGGAAAGGTGGGTGTAAAAGGGGAGAAAGTTGCCTGGAACAGTTCGACACACTCCGTGTTGTCCGTGTACTCGATGTTGGTCCAAGAGATGCCTTCTTTCAAATATTCTTCCTGTTTTCATGTCATTTCAAACAGGGATCATAGAAAATGCAACCTGCTCGAACTGGAAAATGTGTTGGTTGAAGTACGACTGCAACTTTTCATTTGCGTAGTTTATGCAAAGCTGCTCGAAACTGTTCCACTGCGCCCCGATGTCTTCGAAACCGAATATGTCCAAAATACCTGAAAAGGGAGGTTTGTTTTGGTTTTATAGTCTGTGTGCCGTTTCACGGAACGACATTCCGCTGTTCCGCTGCGTGCGTTCGCGAAGCGTCTTTCGAATCTAGGTCACGCTTTCAATTGATTGCTATTGCTTTAGAAGCCTTGAAAAAAGAAAAAAAAAACTAAAAGCGCGACCGAGGTTCGCAAAGGCGCGCAGCGGCACAGCGGAATGTCGTTTGGTGAAATTCCAAGTCGTGGTACACAGGCTATATAAACAGTTTCAGAAATTGACCGAGTAAGAAAAATCGATTCAAAACAAGTTTTGTTACAAGAATCTGCTAGTGGATAAAACAAGAAGAATTGCACACTAAGAAATTACCGATGTAGTATCCCTTGTTGACTGGAGATTCGCGTTTGATCAGAGCCTGATTGATACGGAGGACGATCCAATGGAACAAGGAATTGTAAAGACATTTGGCCATCGCATCGCGGGTGTTCGTCGCCTGAGACTTGCACTGACTCGTCTCTCGAAAAAAGACTCACTTCTGAGACGCTGTACCTCGTCACCACGGTCTCCGCCTTCATCACGTGTCGCTTCATGGTTAGCGCCTGGAAGCAAAACCAAATTCGAAACTTGAGGAAAAATATGGCGATTAGAGAGGAACAGTTGTACTCTAACAAAAATGAGGGTACCCCGAAAAAGTGAACTTTTTGGTGCACCCCGCATTGGACCTGGAGAGGGTGCACCCCTGGAGCAATCGGTTGGAAATAAAGTTTTTTTGAGCTACCATAACAGTCTAGGATGAAACTGTGGGAAATGGTGATATTGGGGAAGAGACCACTTCGAAATCGTGGACGGAATAAGTACCTAAATAGGCATTTGGAACTAGACGGGGTGCACCCCTGGTTACAGTGCGGGGTGCACCGCAACTTTTGTGAGAGCGGGCCCCTTTTGGATCTCATCCAATAACCTGAGCAATTTGAAAGGAAATACCTGCATGAGCAAGTCCGGTTTGATCTGAAGAAGTCGCGCCACCAAATCGACCACTTCTTCGTTTTCGATGTAGCCGTTCTCGTCGATGTGATAGCCGTGACGCTAAGAAATCAATCCGCTTGGCTTCGATCGAAATCCAACCTTGATGTAAGTTATGTTGCCGAGCAGTAGGACCGCCGAGATGATGCCGAAAATGGTTTGCTGAGTCTTGAGACAGAAGCCAACGGATGACATGGCGAGCCGCAGCCGCTCAAACTCGTTCTTCTCGTTGACGCCTTCCGAAGCGGACTTTTCGTTCTGCGATCGGAACTGCGGCGTGCCATTATCTTGCTGGAACGCAAAAGGATATAGCCGACATCTGAGTAACGACAACAACTTGATTGAGGTAGTGGTAGTCCTGAGGCTTTAGGAGGAAATAATCGGTTCGTTCTTGTTCGCTCGCCCCCTCCAGCAGGTAATAGAAAACGTGGTAATTCCTTAGTAGATCAAACTATTTGTAACTGATCAGAGTCAGTTTTTACCTTTCTCCTTTGGCTTGAAAAATTATGCGTGACTTCTCCAATAAATATATCTCAACGTTTGCTCTGAAAAAAAAAGACTCACATTTCCACATTTTGAGTGGACCACAGTAGAGAATTCTTTAAAGTTGAGAAAGCGACAAAATTCTCGCTGGTTTCTCAAAAAAATTTTCCTACTCAGGAGTTTCAGAGTCGTTCCTACAAGGGTTAGGGAGGAAAACAACCAATATAGGAACAGAAAAGTGGTCCCCATATGGGTAAAATTAAGGTGGTCCCTATAGGAGTTTAGGGTCTGACCTCATAGCCCATAAATCCCAAGTGGACCCTATAGGGGTCTCTCAATTTGATTCATAAAACGCTTATTTATTCAATTTTTCCCATGGAAATGCTTCTTCGTTTAGCGTTCATAACTATAAACGACTAAATGTATATCCCCTATAGGGACCACTTTTGCAAGCTAGGGGTTGGTTAAGTGGTCTTTAAAGAGGACTCTCCAAGGGCCGACAAAGTCACCCCTGTAGGGATCACTCTGGAGTTCCTAAGTAGTCTGCATAGTTTGTTTTTCTGGAAACTGAAATTTCTCATGGGTTGACTATGCGTTTCTGACGCTAGTTCAAACACTTTGAATTTTCGTGTTTTCCTTACGTTTGCTGTTGTAAGTTTTGAAATACTCTCCAAAAAGATGTCTCTACAAAAACACACAAGTGAGTTTGAAAATCATTCAAAAAAAGAAGAACCAACCCAGAAACCATCCCATTCTCTCTATAGTTGATCTTGATGAACTTGCCGAACCGACTGCTGTTATTATTTTGTACGGTGACAGCATTTCCGAATGCCTGAAAACTCCTCATTTCGAATAGTAACGAGGGGAGCTGAAGTCCTGAGAAAAGGCTGAAAGGATTGAAAGTAACTCTCGGCCAGCAGCACACGCGGATGCTATCGCCGAGCATCCGAAACGTAATTTTCAGCCGCGCATAGACCCCGTTTAAGTCCAGCGGATCTACACAAATGACGAATTCACGCGCCGAGCTCCCGTTTGAGTCCAGAAGATCACCCGAAATGTTAAAAAAAAAAAACACCGGGTGGTCGGCAGTAGCACCCGTAGAGCAAAACGGGTGCTAGTAGCCGGCATTCGAGAAGTTACGTTTGAGGTACTTCGCCCAACCTCAAGAACAGGACCGGCACTCAAAAGGGTGTGTTCGGTGCTGCAGCCGGCGGACCCTTTCTGCGAGAGGCTGATGAGATGCGACATGAGGTGGTTGGTCGACTCGGTCTTTCCGGAGCCGCTCTCCCCACTGATCACCACACACTGGTTCTCCTTGATCCGCAACATGCTGCAAATGAACTTTTTAGGTCTAAGAAAATTCAGGCTGAGAAAAATCTCCAGTTCAAGTAAAGCAAGTTTACAAAGCAGAGCGAAAATCCGCGACTTCAGGAGTAAGTACTTTTTTGCTGATAAACCTTAACAAGGTTTTATTTTGCATGCTGTGATAAACTCCATTGGCCCCTTAAGAGGTTACTCAAGATATACTTGGAGAGGACACTAAAGTGGCCACTAAACCATTTTCATAGAAGCCACTATAGTAGTTTTACTAGTTTAGTAATACGACTTAGACTTCTGAGGAGGCCCCTAAATTTTAGCTTCTTAAGTGGTAACTAATTCGACTACTAAAGTGGCCACTGGAACTTCAAAACCTTAAAGTGGCCACTGAAAACATTCAAAGTGTAGCAACGAATTTTCTTCAAAAAAAAAAAAAGACAGCGAGTGGTTGGATGAGATAAAATATATTCATTAAAAATTACCTCGAACTTAAATATGATGAGCTTACCTCAAGGTACTGTTACTGGATCATCTAACTGTTTTATGTGGGCTCTACGAAAATCGCCTCAAAACTCACTTGTGGTATGTGACGTCCGCGATGGCGAATATGTGTGGAGGCAAGGCGCCGAGGCGGCGGCTCTGGCAGTAGAGACGCGCATACTTGGGGTTGTAGATCGGGAAGAAGCTGCAACGAGGGATAAACGAAGACTGGGCTGGATGGCAACCTGAACGGATTCACTGCCACGAGAATCGGACCAATGTAGGTGTAAATGTGGCCGTTGTTGAACCGATCTCGAAGGTTGTCGAGCAGGGTTTGCTCCGTCAACTCGGGCAGCATGCATAGGTCGGCGTACTCGCGGTCCTGCAGTCGCCGCTTTGAGTCGCACTAGCAACGGTAAAACCTGTGGCTGAGCCAAGAACTTTGTGAGGAAGGCGTCGATTGAACTCGCGACTTCGGCCGACCCGAATCGCGTACCTCCAGTCGCTGCTCGGTAGCCCTTTTGCCTGTAAATCGCGTATTGAGAATATTTTTGTTCTCGGAAAAATCCTAAGATCTGTTGGCCGTGACTTCGACCTACTTAGTAAATTCAGAGAAAATTCCCTATAGGGGCAACCTTGGGGGGCCCTTGGAGGATCCCCTCTAGGGATCACTTTACCAACTCCTATAGGGGCTACTAAAAATTGCGGTTGTGGTCCCTATAGGGGTTTCAGTTAGTCGCTTTTTTTCTTCAATCCACTTTTGAACTGCGGGCGAGGGGGCGACCTTAGGGGCCCTTGGAGGGCTCCCTCTAGGGATCACTTCACCTACACATATAAGAGTCACTAAAATAAAAAAAGTGGTCCCTATAGGGGTTTTAGTTAGTGGCCCCTATAGGACACATGCTACTCGATAATTTTCATGCAAAAAACTGAATAAATAAGCGTTTTTGAATACAATTGAAAGACCCCTATAGGGACCACTTGCAGCTAAGGTGTCTGACCCTAAACCCATATAGGGACCACTTTGATTTTACCCCTAAAGAGACCGCTTTTTCGGCCCCTACAGGAGCTTTTTTTACCCCCAAGAAAAAATAAAACTACCGAAAAACGAATCGGTTCTTGGGCGTGGCGGTGTCTGCGGCCGGCATTCTACTCCAGATGGCCTGCACGGCGACGGGATATTCGCCGGCGTCCAGTCGCCGTTCCTGATTCCTCTTCTTATCGGACACACTAGGCACAACGCACCTTGTAGGTCTGCCCGTCTGGTGTCCCCATCATTTCGAAGAGGTCGAAGTCTTGCACTGCTTGGTCTTCCAGCTCTGCAACTATCCAGTAGTTTTCTGAGAATAAATAGAACTAGCTGTAAAAAGGTGAAAAGGTAAAAAACGTTCCCGAGTGAGCGACTCAAGTGCAAACGTTTGCAGGAACCAAAACTATTCAAAAAATGGATGTCTGACGTCAAAATGAATATTAAGAAAGAATCCCCATGTGTGAAGGTCAACCTCGACAGTTCTGACAAACCTTTGCGAAGACCGATGACCTTTTCCAGTAGCTCCTCGGTGGTGCATCGCTTGTGGACATCCACGACGAGTTTGTCGTTCTCACAGTCGGGGTTGAAGCTGTGCAAGTAGACCTGGAGCACATTTTCGGGTTTCGCGCAGAAAAGACCCACGACGACGGTGTGAGCATGAGCTTCTTCGGTGGCCGTGATGGTGTGCGCGCGGCGAGGGAAGCAGCCCGTCGCCCCCGACGACACCGAGTCGAACGACATCTCAACCACTTCCTTACTTACTGGAGAAATATATTTGATTTTCCAAAATCTGAAAAGTTTCAATCCGCGGAAACTGGACTGGAAAGAATTGGTATTTCTAAAAATCCGGCTGAGATCGAGGAAATTTTGAATAATATGGTTACTGTAGAGAGCTCTAGGAACCTGGTGAATCATAAAAAGCAGAATGCAATGAATTTTATTCAAGGATATGATAAAAAAACTTTATTAAAAAGGGGAAACCTGGAATCACATATATTCTCTCCTTCCTTCAAAAATTTTTTTCAGGCTTCATTTAAAAAAACGGTTTTTTTATACCCCCCCCATGAACTTTTTAATAGAAAAAAAATACGCAAATTATGACAAAAAAAGAGCTATTTCAAACTTTCAAAGTGTCCTAACTCGAAAAACGAGATTTATTGCGAGAACTTCTTTTTTTCAAACAAGGCAGGCTCTCCTCTTTGATAAATATAGAGTTGACTCAAAATCAAAAGTCCATTGGAGAAATCCAAGGAAATGTTTTAATTCTAATGTTCTACGTTCTAATAAATAGCTCTTTTTTCCAAAACAAAAATTCAATATAAGGTTTCCTTACGAAACTGAAAAAAAAGCAATGCAAGAGAGTACAAAAAAGGGAGAGTCTCACTCACTTTCAAAACAATTGGTGATCCGTAGCGATTGACATTTTTGGGCTTTTCGGAGCAGTGGGATCTGCTCGCGGCCACGAAAACGAAGCGTTGATCCGTCCACTGATTTTCCTGCAACATGGCTCATTACACCGCCCTAGCCTCAAAAATTGGTCTTGATCGAAGAAGAAAAAAACCGGATGACGAGAAGTATCGTAATCGAATGAAAATGCGAAGGAGCGACGCTTCTCTAAACCCGGCTCAACATAATAAGTATGACAAAAACAAGTCGCAATCTGAGGGAACAGGAGGAGGCGTGCGACAAAAGGCGTAATAGAAAATGAAAGAGATCGATAGGCGATTGACGAACAGCCGGGCAAAAATGCGCGTAATGCAGGATCTGCGGCACGTCTGTGCCTCGACAACAAGCATGAGTCCTTTCTTTCCGCCGAGCTGCAACCTTGGCCCAAGTGCCTCAGTTCGGGCACGACTCCGGGCCACAGACATTTCGGAGACACTTGGACGGCTCCTTTTTTCGTTTTCTTTTAAATCACTGCTCAGAAATCGTTACAAAAAAAATGTCTAACGAGGATAAGAAAGAAATTTTCAGCAATGCCACTAGACCCAGTTTTGGAAAAGTTTCGTATTTACAAAAACTTTCATCGAAAAGCAAAGCCGCATTATGATTCACTTTGTAAGTAATTTGCTTCACAAAACACTTCTCTTACACTGACTATCTATTGGCCGACTTGTAAGACGTCCGTTCTGAGAAAGCAAAAAGTCGTTCAAGATGAGAAATACATAGTACATCAAAAAGCTCTTTTTATCAATTTTTAAACAATTGTCAACTATAAAACGTCTTCGCTCGAACAAAAAGTTACTCAGGCAAAGTCAAAATAGTGGATAATGGCCGCTAAAAAGGAGAGGCTCAAAAAAGGCCGCAGAAAAAATGGTGCATGAGAACCGATGAAATGGCGCAAAAATTTTTCGCCTTCGCCACCCTGAAAATAACATTTCTATGGAGCCTTTTCGACCCTTTCCAACTTTGTCTATGTAGAAATCATAGTATTAGAGAAATATCGAACTATATAAGTGAGATTAGCTGCAGGAATCTGGAAGTTTATAACAGAAAATCGCATCTGCTAAAATCCGCTAAAAATGAAACTTTTTTTCCGCTGAATCTAATTTCGAAACGCAAAGAAAATTCTTTCCCCACAAAAACTCAATGAATCATGTTAGTATTTTTATATAGATACATAAGGGAACATTAGATAAAAATCAAAACTCACAAAAGTTGAGTCATCTCAAAAGGTCAAAACATTCAACATCATAGGCTCGAAGGAAAAAAAAGCACAGTCACACGTGAGGAAATCGGATGGACGATGGAAGAAGCTTGGATTATTTGCTCGCGCTTTTGCCGTCAAGCCAACACGATCTTTCGCACCTAAACTTTATCTTTCGCCCTCCGCTTCTGGCACTTCAGGTCCGCCGCCGACCGTCAATTTGTTCCTTATCTCACCGCCACGTGAGAAGTTGTTGATCACCGTTTCTTTGCATTATCCTTAGATCGGCCAAGTGACGGTTCTCACCCCTCACAAAACTTGAAGTTTGAAATCGTCCAACTGTTTACGATCATATGAAGAAAGCCAACTAACCATCCTACATTCCTTCGAATAAAACACCGGCTTCAAAGCCGTTACTTTTTAGCTTCTCAAGTCAAAACAATAAGGGAAAAACGTTTCTATTTGGCTGGTCACGCGCCTTGTTTTAAACATTTTTAAAGCGAAAATAGATTTTCCTTTAATTAAATTTCTAGCAAAAAAACAAAAATATAACAGGGATTGAAGAACAATGGCCAGAAATTTTCAAAGGTGCGGAACAGAAAATTGATGGACTAGGCGCAGAAGAACAAGACGAAGGACCGTAAGACCGTGCTTTCAACATCAAATATGCGTTTAGACTTCAAATTCGCCAAAGGTTGTTGTCCAATATAACTTCAAAAAATGTGCGCTGTTTTTTGTGAAAAATGTGCGATGATCATAGATGTAATTAACTGTTACACCGGAAGAGTCACCGGCTCTTCCGTGTAAGCTTTAGACGTGTTGAAGGCAGACTGTCATGAAGTCTTTATTCGTGAGCCTCACACGCGTGTGGCCAAGACGCGTGCAAGGGAACCAAGTGAGATACAGGCGTGTCTGCCGGAGCAATTACACGCCGAGAGCATCGTTCACACATGAATACAATAGAACGGAGAGAGATAGTATTCCTACTGTAACATAACTGTGCACAGTTAATTAAATCTATGAGCAAAAAAAACAAAATAAATGATTTGACTAATAAATAATGATCGTAAAACTATCTAAAAGTATACGCAAAAATAAAAATGTGTAAGAAAATAATTTAATAGACTATAATCGATTAAAAAAAAATTTAAAAAACAGAAAAGAAATTTTTTTGTCGAAGCCCCGCCCACAATTTCCGTATTATATGACGTCTTCGGTGCACACACAGAACGGCGCTTTTTCGCATGCTCACCGAGATGGATTGATTTTGTATTTTTTTTTATTACAAAAATCGCTATTTTTACAGCAATTGTTAGCAGTTGCTTTAGAAAGAGAAGTGTTCAGAGTAATTTCCGTGAAACGCAAAATTATCTCTGACTCTTCACAATTAGTTATTTTTTTCTTAACGGCGATTTTGAATTTCCCGGAATCACTTTGAACACGGCATTAGTCAATCCTCCCTTAATTGAAAGGCGCGAAAGTGTGGCAAGGGTAACGCGTTGTGCACGCGAAGCGGCTTTTTTTCGGGAAACTCATGGCAATCTCTAAGTATTTCCGTACGCAACGCTTTTTATTATCCTTTCGCTGTAACTTTTCGTTGAACCCTGCGTTAAAAATGGATGGCGTGCACTTCTAGGGCAACCGGTCGGAAATAAAAGGTTTTTTTTGAGCTACCGTAACAGTCTAGGATGAAACTGTGTGAAATGGGATATTGAGGAACGAACCACTTCGAAACCGTGTATGCAACATATTAATTAAATTATTAATAAGTACCTTGATAGACATTCAGAGCTAAACTGGGTGGTGCACCACAACTTTTGGTAGAATTTTTTTTTTTTTGCTTTTCTGCGGTTTTTTTAAGCTTATCCTTTTTAGCGGTCATTATTCACCATTCCTACTTTGCCCCGAACGACTCTGTTTACTGTTGTCTTTTTTTGCATTTCTGTGAAGCAAAAGTACAAAAAACTGCTTTTACAGTAGCTTTTTTCTGCTTTTCGTTCAAAACGTTCACGTCTTTCGCGAGACGCATTACATATCAATATTAAAAAAGACTTTTTCTTTATTACGTTACTCACATTTTTCTGTTGTGAAAGCACTACATCGGCAATCAATCAAAAATCTTTGTTCATTGAACATCGAAATTCGAGCTCAGACCTTGGTAACGCGAACGGGACGCGAAACGGACGTGTCGGGGCATTTCTAGTGACCACTTTAGTAGCCTCAGAACTCTTAAGGGATTCCTAGAATCGCCCAGAAACGTCCGGAGCACGTCCGTTTCGCGTTACCAATGTCCGAGAGTATATCGGCGAATTTATGCGTTTGCTATGGTGCGCACTTTCTTCAAAACTCACAAAAAAGGCTGAAAAAAGTTTTGTCGACATCGAAATTGCTTTTTAGACTTTCTTCGAAACTTGTTTTATTCGAAATTCTCCGCGTGTTCCAATAACGAAACTTTTCGATATTTCATCATTTTTTGCCTGTGGGATTTTTCATTTTATTCATTTGATTTCGAATTTTGTATGCCATATCTTTTTTTTAAATGTTTTTATTGAATTTTCAATGAATTTGTTTCAGATTTTCAATGAACAAAAGACTGTGATTCAAAAATGGAGATTGTGCCCATGCACTACGGTGCTCAAGTTGGTATCTATGGCGATGAGGGAGACGAGGTTAGCTTCTTTGATATCTCTTAAATTTTCTTGCTTCTCGAAAGAAAATACTTCAAAAACTCATGTAATCTTCTAATTTTCGAGTCATCTTTTTTTTATTCTCTGTCAATTTATATTTTTATAATTGAATAGCCAATAAGCAAATCGTGTGAGATTTTCAATTTTTCCAACTGTTTGAAGCGTATTTATTTTTTCAGTTAAATCTATAATCTTCAAGGCTTTCTAACTTTTTGTACTGTTCAAAAAGTAAGCTGAAAATTACATTAACTGCCAAGAGACTTTACTGCTAGCCGATATTCTTGCCGCTTATCGACACCTGTTGGCTTCTCGTGTCCCCTGCTACTCTAAACTATTCGAAACGCCCTCTCTCCACCTTTGCATCTTAGAAACGCCGGAATAACTTTTTCGCATACATATCTTTTCTCACAGATTTTTTTCTTCCGGTTTCATCGATTTTTAGCGCCTTTGATTGATAATTTTGAAATTTTTCTTCAAAGAACTACGATGTTCAAAGATTTTTTTGCAATAGAAAATTTAACTTTTTTTCTCATCTGAAATGATGTATTTTTTTGTTCTTGTTGCTTTTGAAAGTTGTCGAATTGGAAAAATATTATTCGTCATTTTTAAAATTTTTTTATCTATAAGTTTTTATAAAAAAATCATTTTTCAAAGGTGAAATCTTGTCTTTTTCCTCCTAATTTCAACTCTTATCAAGCGTACATGGGAAATAATTTTTTACTTCTCGCAAATAATTTTTTTCTCATTTTTTTCAAATTTTAATGTTTTCACGCTATTAATGAATCAGCACCCTTTTCCTTTCATCTAACCGGAGATTCTTCTAACAAGATTATATCACTCATCCAAAAAAAAACGTACTCATAAAAAAGTGATCACATCATACATCGGCTGGATCCCACCCCAGCTTTTTGCGCGCGAAAAAAAATTGATAATGTACTGAAATAGGCCGCAAAAAACTAGGCGTTGAACAAACATTTTTGAATGAACAACCGCCTTTGACGGTTTAGAAGTCCAAACGTGTAGTTGACCAAATTGAAAGCACGGTCTCACGATCCTTCGTCTCGTTCTTCTGCGCATTATCCATTCAGTTGCGCCTTGAAAAGCTCAGAATGTAGTTGATCTTGTAGCTGGAACCCGGAGATCGTTCTATAGGTGGGAGCCTCGAAACCAATTCTAGTGAAGATTTTACCCGGAATGAATAGATACTTTTTTTTAGACTGGCCATTGTTTTTTTGTCTGAAAGAGATAATAATAAAAAGAGATCCGCCAAAGTCGTTTTACACCAGTTCCTACAATATCTTCCGATGTTTTTTTCACTGTTCAACTTTTACTTTCATTCTTCAAAAAGCGATTTCTTCTGATTCTAAACTTCGCGATGAAAATTAATATCGTTAATAAGAAGTTAATCAACTTAGGAAGCATATATGTATTCTGTCAGAGGACGCCCTTTCCGTCGCCTTGTGCCTTTGCGAATGGTTCGTTTTCTAAGAATGCATTTTTTGCATAGGTTTAGGTGAGGAGCTGGTCTTAGGAAGTATATTTTTAACAGTTTCTCTAGTTTCTCCATTTCTTCAAATTCAATTTAACGGAGGTATAGCAAATAAATTGACAGTAAAAAGAACCATATCAGGGAAAAAAAATTTTTTTTTTTTTTAAATTTTTTTTTTTAATTCAAATTTTTTTCTAACCTTATATAAATGTTTATAGGCGAACGGATTGACGACTACGGAATGGACTGGGTCCGAAAGCGACGAGTGCTTCGAACGGTAAATTTCCTCCAATTAATGGCGAAATTCACACTAGAACTGCTTCGAACTCACTTATTGTTTATGTTTCTTTCAAAGATAGTTCTGGAAAAAGATCTGTGCGAGAATGGATGAATCCTGGGGGGACTTAATTTTGATTTAAAAAAAAAAGGCCTAGGAAAACGGTAACATTTCTAATCAACTTGGCGAGCCAGCCGAAATGAACTTTAAATGTTGTCACGATTTTAGTTTCTGAGCTACCCAACCCTTCCCTTCGATGCGCGCGGGATTTTTCCCTGCTTGCGCCTTTAATATAACGAAAATTTTAGGCCAAATAAAAGGCGCAGGCAGAGAAAAATCCCGCGCACTTTGAAAGAAATGCTCGGAGGGTAAAAAAAATCCCAAAACAAAAAATCTTTGAGAATCAGTTAAGTAATTGTGTAAAAATCCTAAACGAATATGATTTAATTTAGCGGCGAATGTTTCAGAATCTGATTTTTTTTAAAGTTTTTTTTTTGTTCACTTTTTGATTATATAAATCATTTTGTTTTGACCGTAGCTTCTTTCATTTTATTTCTCGATCAGAGCTTTGTTTAAAACAGTGGAGATATTGTTAATAGGTGTCGGAAAAAAAAATTCGAAGTTTTTATGAATTCCACAGTGAAATATCTTAGCTGAAGTTCTCAAAAAAACATACAACCAGTTTGTGGATTTGAACGCTTTGATATTTTCTGTTTATAGTGTGGTAATTTTTTGTGATGAGGAACATGAAAGGGAAGTACTTTCTTTTCTTTTGAGCGGAACGAGAAAAAAAAAAAAAACGAAAATTGTCCTTATATTTTTCTCACATATCTCTCTCCAGCCTCAGTTTTCGATAAGCCTGATTGACCTGCGAGTGCGGAATAAAACAAAATCTTTCGGCCGGGTCAGGGGAGCCGCTCGTCTGCCGTAAAATAGCAGCAACAGACGCCCCCTGCGATCTCATTTCTTTTTTTTCTCCATCATGTCCTCCAATCTGGTCGTTTTTCACAAGTGATATCCCTTCAAAGTTTTTCGATTTTTTTTTCTCCATGAAGGCCGCTGATCTTTTTTCAATGCGAATGTCTCCTCATTCGAAGAAATTGTTGTTAATTCTCAGAAAATAGTGTTTGCATGACAGATTTTCGTCTTCTAAATGAGATGGCTGGCGATTTTTGTTGTTTATTGGGGGTCATGTAGGCACGCCCATTTTCTCCTGGCCCTTCCTCGCAGGATATTTTCGCTTTTCCATTGTTGCCGTGCCCTTCCTCTCTCCCTAGAGACGCTTGATGTCAGACAGAAAAGCCTGCTGGTTGCATTACTAATTCGTTTAGTCTTTTATGAAACGAACCTTTCCTTCGAGTCGGTCGCTGCAATACTTCTATTTTTGTTTTGAGGAGAAGTCACGTGATTCAGACCAGACTAAATGCAATTTCTTGTCACTGTTCATGTTTTTTCTTTCGCCATCATGAATTACAAACTAGGTTCTTCAACGAGAGTTTTTATCAAGGTTTCGTTTTGACTATAGTAGGCCTTTTTCTTCTTCGGTGGGCTCATTTCGAGCGATTTCTAGTCGTCATCTATCGTTCCTAGCCTTTTCAATGGGTTTTTTGTAGCGCTGCCCGCGCCACTTCTCTTTCACATTTCTTCCTCGTGTCGCTTTCATTTTCACGCATCTTGAGACGCATTTTTATAGAGAGGTTGCTGGCGTTGCGCCTTTTTTTGTTCTTGTGAAAAATTGTAAAAAAATTTTTTTGAATAATTTTTAGTAGCTCGGATATTTTGATTTTTTTAGTTTTTATAAAACTATGTAGTATAAAAAAATGCAGTAGTAGAGTATTTTTTTGAAGCTAGGATAGTTGAGAATAAAACAATGGGGCTTGTAATTGGGTATTTGATATCTTTGGTGGCCCCCTGTCATACGATCTGCGACCGTTGTTGCTCCACATTCGATTGGTTTTTTCCTCAATCGTCCCATTCATTGGAATAATATCTTGTAGTTATTTTTGAGGCCTTTATTTCCAAAGACTTATTGAATCAAGTTGAAAACCTTAGATACAGAAAGTATTACAGCAAAAAAAAACATTTTTTGTGGAGACTTTCTCTATTAGTAGAATGACTCGATTCACACAGTTTATACGTTTTCGGTTCAGTTGGGGGTTACGTTGGCACGATTCTTTCGCTAGGAAATTTAATATTGTGATGTATTTTTTTTCATGTTTACAATGAAATTGTTGTACTGAGCGACTGTACCTGTACCTTGGTGATTTTTCGATTTTTTCGTCCCAAAAATTTTTAGCGGCTAGCGATAAACGACTTGAATGATGAATTATTTTTTACAGTTTAGTACGACGTGTACTATAGATTTTTGTTGGATATGGATGGCGGAATTTTCAAGCAAAAAAAATGTGACTCGGGCGTCGTAATATCTTTATTCCTGTGTAGATCACAGTCCCAGCATTGGTTCTTTTTCACGGTACTCCTCTTATCACGATTTGACAGACGATTTCAGTTTTCCCGTTGTACTTGTACACCCAAATTGAGCTATTGGAAAAGATTAGGCCAATCGTTTTTTCCCTCATAACCAGTTGTCGGCAGTTAATCATCTAGGTGTTTGGTTTGGTGGCAGAGGTGTACAAGCCGTCAGAGACGAGTTGGCATGAGAACGTCCGACTGGTTCTCCTCTTAAGTCGCTTTGCATATAACTTTTTCTTGGTTCTTTTCATCAGCAACGATTTTCCTCAGAAATTCCTCGGTTCTTACTAGTTATATTTTCGAAAAAGTGGAAGCTTTCCCAAGTTTTTTAAAAGTGAATCTTTTTTGAGATCAGAAAAAAGTAACTGAATTTTGAGCGAGATTCGTATTCAAGTTTCATGCATTTATCAAAATTGGAATGATTTTGCAGAACATTTTTTCGGAAAGAGTTTTTCATCAAGTTCTGGGAGGATTTTCTCATAAATTTCAAACTGAAATTTCTCAATGTTTTGTGAAGGTCATTGCAATATTTTCAATAAAAGAATCTATTGCGCGTGCTCTTGAAACTCAACTTACAAGGACGGCCATTTTACTCTGCGGTTGGGAATTTTCTTATTATTGGCCAGAGTAATCCTTGATCTACCAGATGTAGTTCCTGAAAGTCACCCTGCACAACTCTCTTGTTTTTGAGAAAGTAGATCTTAAAGTCAAGGAAAACCTCAAAAATACGTTAAAATAGGCTATTTTCGGGCTTTGAGCCCCTAAACTTCAAAAACGGCAAGTATGTTCAGGTTTAGACTTCTAGGACCTTATTCTCTTACATCAAGGAATGTTCTGGCCAACTTTTAGGAAATTCCCAGCCGTAAAGCAAAATTACCTTACTTGTTAGTGGACCATAATCTGTGTGAGATTCATTTTTGAGAAGACTCGATATTTCGCGTAGTGTGAAGCAGAGGGTAACTCTGGTTGTACCTGGAAAATCAGTTAATGGGACTCTTTTCTCGCATTTTTTTGTACTCCTGATGATTTTTGCAGTTGCGAGGAGGAGTGTGGAGGCGAAGCGTGGCGAATCGCGTGCTTTTCACGCGTCGGACGGCTCGCCATAGGCCTGCTCGTCATGCTCCTCGTCTACCTCATCGTCGCGGGTTCGTTCTCTTCTCTACCACTCATTTTCATTCACGCTGGAGCAAGTCCTATTTAGGGAATAAGCTTAGGTGCATCCTTTTTTCGACCTTTAAAATTTTTGTTATATCTCTCTCTTCACGAAGTGTCTACGCCCTCTTTTCTCATTAGCGCGATTTACGCGACTAGGCCACGCCCACTTTTGCGCGTGAAACTCGCAGTGGAACATTGGGACAATATGCAACACTTTTCTGCATATTTTTGCCTTCTGAGATTTGGGAAAATCCGATGAATGGCACAGCAAATTTTTTCATTCGATATGAAACGTCTACTGCTTGCTTTACGATTCTCAGTTATCTCATCTTTAAAACGGTGCATTTTAAGCGTTTTCGAATGCCCGCGGGGCTAAACTACCGGAGACCAACGAGCCTCGACAAGGAATTAATCTGACACGGTGAGTTTTGAACTCGTCCACATGCGCCTGAACTACCTGAATTTGATTCAATCTGTAGTTCAGGGCGAAACAAGTTCTCGACGGGCTTTGCAACGCGTACGACGAGGGGATTTTGTCTGGAGATTCCTGCAATCGACTTTGCTATCAACGTGACTGGACCATCACGGACTACTACGAAGGAAATAAAGTAGTTTTTATTCTTTTTAGTTGCCTCTATGGTATTATTGCAGTGGCAATTTTTTCCTCTTTTATTTTTCTGCTTTCACATTTCACGGGTTTTCTCATTGACTTCTTGTTCCTTTGTGTTATCATTATAGGCGCACTCTATAATTTGAATAAGTCAGGAGTTGATCCATACGTCGGCTGGATCCCACCTTGGGTGCGGCCTACCCCCTCAAACTGCGGCCTACCCCCCAAAAAGTGCGGCCTACCTCAGTACACTTTCAAATTTTTTTTTCGCGCGCAAAAGGCTGGGGTGGGATCCAGCCGACGTATGAGTTGATCAAAAAGTAGAGGCCTTGTTCGAAGTCTTGCTCTCAGAAAGTTCCTTGTAGGAGAGGTCTTTTTACTTTGAGCTTGATAATTTACTAAAAATTGGCCAGAACACTTTTTGATGTATCAAATGGCGATCTTGAAAGTCTCAACTTGCTCAATTTTTTGAGAAATGAAGGTCTAATGTCTGAAAAATAGCCCTTTTAAATGGGTTTTCTTTGACTTTTAGACGTCTTTTCTCAAAAAAAAAAAAGGTGGCTGTGCAGGTTGAGACTTTCAGAAACTTCTTCTGGTACATCAAGGAGTATTCTGGCCAATTTTCAGATTAAGGTAAAATGACCTGATGAAATGAAAAAATCAAAAATCAGAAAAGCTAAATTTCAATTCGTACTATCGCTATTTTGGATTCCATCAGGTGGTCGTTATGATCAAAGACGGCGGTCAAACGAGTGTTTTCAAAAGCTCGAAACCTTTCTTCCACATGTTTGAAGATCCTGGAACCCAGATTTCCGACGAAAAGTTTTCAAACAAGGTTAGGTTTCATTTCGTGTTGAAAAAAAATGAGGATTAATCAAGGTGGTGGACGTGGTGAACGAAGAACTGCGACTGGGTTGGCCGCGGCACTACAGTCGACATCTGATGGAGACCCTCTGGCCCACTCTCCTGAGGTACCCTCGCCAAAAAAAAAAAATTTATCGAACGGAAAAAAATAGACAAACTCCGGTTCAGTTCACCTGCTTTTTTTTTAATTTTTTTTCTCGGGCGGTTAGTACTTCAGTCTTGAAGTTAAGCAGTTTCGATCTTTGAGATAAAGTTTGTATATAAAAATGAAAAAATTTACCGATGAAGATCTAATCTTCTGCGGCTCTATGTCGAACCCGCCTTATTCTTCAATGGCATGTTCTTTGGAGAAACGGAACATGTTTCAAAACACAAAATCATGTTCATCGGCGCACCAAAGGTGCTCCAAAACAGTACTAATTTTTGTTTTGTAGCAATTTAGTGGTATGAAAAAAGACCAGCGAAAATTCAAACGGCGACTTTTCCGATCGCTTTTTTTTTCATATCGTTAGAGAACTTTCGGACGGCCACCTTCCCGCCGAATCTTTTTCCGGCGGAAAGGTGGCCGTCGAAAAGTTCCCTAGCGATACGAAAAAATCGGAAAAGTCGCCTTTTGAAATTTCCCTGGCTTTTTTTTCATACCATTGCAATTTTTTGCGTTCTGGAACAATTTTCATTTTGTTCGATGAACAGCCATAAAAATTCCTGTTTGTTTCTGACCAATGTTGGCTCATTTCGTCTCGTTGCAGAACGCGAGGCGAAGGAATGTCCGCAGCAGACCGGAAATCTCTATGGGCCCTTCTCTCCCAGCCAGAATTCATACTGTTTCGAGTTTTGCCTTTGACCCGCGTCACACCCAAAGTTTTCCCTGGTCTTCCTATAGTTCTAATTGGCTGTCTTTGAGATTGTCGGAACGTGCGGCCATATGTACCAGACGGAGTCGCTCGTCGCTTTCCGGATGAAAGGCTATTACATGAATCTCAAGGTACTCCCCCTTATCAGGCCCTGAAAAAAGTTTTTTTTTCAGGGAAAAATACTGGTTCATGTAATGGGAACGTTGAAACTGCTCTACGAGTTTTTAAATGAGCCTCTCCAGTGGTGCGATGTTCGATTTGACAACCTTGGGCTCTCGGCTGATTATCCAAAGAGGTGACACTTGATTTTTATCATCTCATGATCGTTAGGGAAGTTATTTGAAGTGGTATAGTCCGTTCAGATTTTGAATGTCAAGTAATTGCTCAAACTCCGCCCCTTATGCGTAGATCGAACCAATTAGAGAGCGAGCGATCCACACAGCGTTGTTGGGGCGGAGTTTGCTGCTTGAAATTCAAATTCTAAACAGACTGTAGCGATAATATTTTAATATGGCTCTCAAAATTTTCCCCAAAGAAACGAAAACGTGCAGATTCGTGCTGATGGACGGAGACATGGTGTACACGGAGTCGCGGCTGAACTCGCTCCTGAAAGGACGGCCCTGCGAATCGGACAAAGACTGCAGACTCGGCGACTGCACGGCCCGTTGCACTGCCGACTTGGTCTGCTCGGGACGCTCCAATCAAAATCTCGAGGTTCCCTTATTTTAAATGGCTCTTAAAAAGGCTCAGTCAATTTACTATTTTGTGAACGAAACAAATCTGAATGGGAAATAGGAAATAACTGTTTTTTTTTTTTGTTTTTGCTTATACAGAAGGATTTGAAAATTGTTCTGAAAAGTTTTGTAACAATAAATTTCTCAGAAAAAACTTTTTTAAAATCTCCTTTCACTTTTGTTTAAAAGAACGTGTTTTCCATTCAAAAAAGCCGCTGAAAAGTTATGGACTACTACCTTTTTTTTTTACCAATTCTCCGGACTCTGGAATTTTTCAGGTGTTTTGTGAAAAACTGGTGAACAAACTGTTCGGCAACACGTGGACCAAGAACAACAAGTATCTGACGGCGTGTCACGACACAGGCACCAACATCACGCAAAGACTCAACGAGTTGCGGCTCACCTGGTCCTGGAACCTGCCTGACGTCTGATCCCTCAAGTGTCCCCTTCTTCTTCTTCATACCGGTTTTACATTCTTTTCACGTTCAAGTGCCTTGTTTTTAAATCCCTTTTCCGAAATGTCATATCAAGCTCTTCTCCTATTTATTTACCCTTTGATATTTTTTTTTTTTTTGAAAATATACTAGTCAACTTTTTATCTTTGTTACATCCTTTCCTGAGAAAAAACCTCTCCACAACTCGAAGAGTTTTGAATTGTTTTGCATAATTTTCAAAATTTTCATTTTTTCCTTTCTTCATGGTGTTGATTGATTGATTCCTTACGAACGGGTTTTCCAAAGAAATTGATGATATATGTTTCAAATCATCCCAACGCAATTGTCATATTCTTTGCAGAGAAAAATAAAAATTTCATTTTTTTTACCCGGAAGTTATACTGATTTGATGATATTGGCTTATTTCCACAATCTTACTGAGTTGTTAAGTGAAAAAAATTGTTTGACTAGGATTCGACCAGAGGCTGTGGGTGAAAAAGCGAAGGTTTTCGAGTTTTCTCTGAACCGTTACATGACAAAAAAAACTTCAATTTCTCTTAAAAAAGCTTCCCGCCTGAAATCAAGTTGACAGATAAGCTTTCTTCAAAATTGCTAGCTGAAGATGAGAAAAATTCGAAAAAATAGCTTCAAAAATTCAACCATCGACCAGATGTCTTTCAAAAACATTCAACAGGTCTTGATGGCTCCAAAAATCTTCCTAGCTTTACTAACTGCGAGAATTTCTAGTGGCCATTATAGAGGTCCCTCCTTGGACTACTTGGAGAGGACACTAAAGGGGCCACTAAAACTACCTATGCCATTTTCGTGGCCCCTATAATAGTTTTCCAGGCTCTAGTAGTACCAATAACCCCTCTAAAGAGGCCACTAATTTCAGCCACTTTAGTGGCAACTAATTCGACTACTATAGTGGCCATTAAAACGTCTAAACCCTCTAGTGATCACTAAATATTTTCCAAGAAAAAGACAGTTTTTTAGACTTTGAAATAATCCAAGACTTTTCTTTCCATCTTTCTCGCTTACAGCCTCTGCAGCTCATGATACGTACAAATGAATAAGTGATATGATTATTCTGGACTCAATAGCCAGCGGGGGCACTTTCTTCTCCTTTCCTGAAGTCGCTGTTCGCGTAGACCTGGTCGTCCGACGCCCTTCGAACCGCCGTCACCACCGTCAGGTTGTTGACGGCGACCATCGTGTGGCCGCGCTGCTCCATCTCGTGGATGTACGCCTGCAGAGGCGATTTCGGCGCTTCTCTAGGTCTTCTCACCTTGGGAAAGTCAGGCTCGTACCAGGTGTAGTTGGGCTGCAGCTGGTTGTGCATCCGTGGAGCATCTACCGCCTGCTTCACGTCGGCCTTGAGCCAAAGGGCGTGCAGCGCCACTCCAGCCACTCCCGAAATGATGGTCGATCCGCCGGCGCCGCCCACGGCCAACACTTCCTGAGTCACTTTTCGTTTTGATCTTTGTCAGTATTAGTGAGAATTGTTGGGAAAAGGGTTCTCATAAAAACTCACTTTTTTGCCCTGTGAATCAAAAATGACGAGGGGACTTTGGCTGCTCATTGGTCTCTTGCCAGGTCGGATGAAGTTGGCCGGCGAAGGCGGAAAGCCGAAAAAGTTTGGATGTCCTGGAGTACTGAAGTCGTCCATCTCGTTGTTCCAAAGGACACCAGTAGACTCCGAGGCGACCATTGCGCCTAGGCTGTAAACTATTGGAAATCTTTCCGGATCCGTCAACCCACTATAGGTTGATGGTCGAAGTGACGGAGACAGCGTTCCCGTCAGCGTCGACAACGGAAATGTGGGTCGTCCCGTGGTCTTGAGGCGGTGCTTCGAAAGAGCCTCCGTAGTAGGCGTCGTCGTGCGTCCTGTCTGTTATTTTTGAACTAAAAGGCAAGGAGTCGTTGAAGGTTTTTTTCACTGACCGCACCCATTCGGCCCACGCGTCGCTCGTGATGTTGTGGGCGATCCGAGTAGCGTTCCCTACGAATTCCGGGTCGCCGAGCCAGCTTCTCGCGGCGTAGCTTAAACGATGATAATCGATTTTCTCGACAAGGGACTGATTTCTTAGGCATCTCACTTTCGTTTTGACCACGGAAATTTATGTAGAGGATGAAATAAAAAAAAAAAACAATATTGAAGAAACTGCTAGTTTAGTTCCAAGTCACTCCAAAGAAGAATCATTCATTTTTGGTCTTGGAAGCCGTCCAAAATTCCAAAGCGGATTTTGAACCCTAACTAGGCATTCAGAAACTTTTCCACCTGTCAGGAAAATTGCTAAGTAGTCTTTGGTTATCAGAAAATGAAGGGATATACCTGAACTTTGACGCCTCTATGAAATGGTGGTAAAGCGTGGAAATGTCCTTGAACGATTTGAGATCGTACTCGTAGCCGTCCATGACATTCAGAATGGCCTGAGTGACGGGAGATCCGGAAGGCGGCGGCGGACCGCAGATAGTCCTTCCATCCCGTAGCCGTGTATACACAACCTCGGAAGAGTCGTGTACAACCGATCGGTACTCTTGCATGTCGCGCAATGTTATTATTCCACCTGGCGTAAACATTTTGGTTCGAGAATACGTATAACTTTCCCTAACCGTGATTTTTGAACTCTGCGATCATCTGGGACGTCAAAGAGCCGTTGTAGAATTCTGCGATGGGATCGGCGGAGTCTGCCAGCTTCCGCAATGTCTCCAGTAACTTCTTTCTCGTGGTGATCTGCTCTCCTGGCGCGTACACTTTTTTAGTGATTGGGTTGATGAAATCCATCATGGTAGGTTCGCTAGCGATAGCGGCGGCCTTCTGAAAGAGGGCCTTGGCCAGGGCGTGCGACGTGGGGAATCCTTCGGAAAGTAGCTCCATCGTCGGTTCAACCAAACTCTTCCACGTCACTTTCCCGCTTCCGAACCGTAGGAACTCTGTCCGGAGTCCATGAAGCTCTCCTGGTACAGCGATTGCTTTCCAGCCTCAAAATCGGTTCTTACCGAGGAAAATTCTTCAAGCAAACCGATTTGGCTTTCGTTCCACTTCCCCTTGAACATCTCTTCGGTCGACGCGAGAGGCGCGACTTCGCGGGCGTCGATCACAGTGCATTGTTTGGTAGTGCTTAACAAAATGAGATAATTAACAAGGCGTCAAACCAATTAGTTTTAATGTCAATACCGTGCTGGCTTAACAGAAACAACGGCCTTTCTTCATGGAGTTCTATGAGAAAATTCACAAACATTCTTTGTTTTACTATGAAAAGTTCCGGGAAGCAACCCTCAAAGTTTCTTAGTTTTGTAAAAAGACGGCTCGAATAAAAAAAACCATTTTTCAACCATCGTAAGACAGCTTTTCATCACGATAAAACAACTAAAGAGATACTCGAAAACTCACGCATTGTAGATAGTCATGAAGTGGCCGCCGCCAAGACCGGCCGAGTGCGAATCCATCACTCCTATGCAGAACAAGGCGGCGATCGCAGCGTCGACTGCGTTTCCTCCATGAAGCAGTGCATTTCTGTCGTCTACTGTTTTCAAAAGCTTCAGCTTCTAGAAACCTGCCGATCTCAGAACAATATTCGTTGTCAGCTGCGACTGCTGCTTTCGAATACTTTCCAAGCGGGCTGAGCGATGGTTTTGGCCATTTCGGTAGCCGGGCATACTTCTGAGAACTTTCGATTTAGGCGATCATGTTTGAGGAAAATAACCTCTCTGAGCATGTGGAAGTAAAGAGAAGCGAATGCGACAGTGGAAATAAGAAGCAGGAAGACGAGAACCGTGAGTAGAGTGGCGGCGACCAAAGACTTTGGTTTCGTCGGCTCTTCGGTTGGAATCAGCGGCTCGTCCTCATCGAAAGGGCCGTACTCTGGCGGCAAATTGTCGTCTTCGCTGAACTTTTACTTCGATCGACGAAAAGCACACGGAAAAAATGCTGCCCAAATTAGGATACCTCATTATTCTTTCGAGAGCCATAGCCGAGGACATAAAGTTTCAAGACATCCGCAACCTTCAAAGAGACGAGGTGGAAAACTGATAAGGTCGTATTACGAGGCGCACCGCTTCAACTGATAATGGATCGTTCGAAAAGAGAATTTTTTCACATTTCCATTTCGAGAGCTCGCTCAGAAGACGCTTCGGAAAAAGGAAAAGAGAAAATCCTCACTGTATTTTTTGAATTCCAGTATAGAAAAATATATAAGCTTTCATTTACAAAAAAATAGTTATAAAACTAAATTTAATTTTTGACTCCGGAAAAAAAGTCATGTCACACCTGTTTTGACACCAAAAAAATTAATATAAACAAGCAACGACACTCCGCGCGACAGGCTAAAAAAACAATTTGTGCAACTGCGGAACTTTTTCCACCAGCGATTATTTAAAAATTTTTATTATTACTTTTTATGTATACCACTTTCGGTGTATTTTTGACGAAATGGAAATATTCATTAGAGAGTGAAAATGATGAAAAAGTTTTGGGAAGTCAGAGAATTCGCAGAAATTTTTTTTTGAACGCGTCGTTAGTATTCAAAGTTTTGAATGATAGTATGTGTTCCCTTTTTAACGTTCTTTCATTATTATTTCCACCTTTAAAGTTCGAAATATAGACTTTTAAGTTTCTATGATTATTCGAGTTTAATTATCCAAAACAATTTTATTCAAACTTCGATCTCTCTTTTTCATTCTTTGTATTAGATATAAAAATTGAAATTATTATGTTTTTTGGCCAATGTAGCGATTGCTGTTCTTTTAATCAAAGTTTTTTTTACAGATCGATAGTAAGCTATAAAAAAATATTTGCAGAATGAAAGGACGTAGTGCCAGGAAAAAAAGAAGAGCGGCTTCAACAAAAAAATCGTGGAAATGTCGATGCAGATGTAAGTTTTTTTCCAGCTTAATTTAAGAATGTATTTTTCTTGTATATTCGGAAATGGCAAGTTTTGGTGCAAAAATTTTTTTGAAAAAGTTCAAAGTTTTTTCAATAGTTTATTGAGATTTTTCTTCATTAATTCATTGGGAACATCTTTCATAAACAAAATCGTTCGATTTTTTGAATTCTAATCGGAATTTCAACTTTCCAAGTTGTTTCAGAATGGAGATGCGCTGGACATGCAAGAGAGGAGGATGAGCAAGATGAAAAAAGAAGCTGAAAGAGAAATAAAAGAACGAGAGTTGGCCAGGTTCATTCCGATTTCTTCCCGCCTTAATAATTCTTTTAAAGACAGCCTCATTGTCTGGTCATTCATCGCGGCACGGTCGGCAAGTACGTCAAGTCGTTGGAGTTGGATCTTCGCACAGTAATGGAGCCCAACACGGCCAAGTCGTTGAAGGTTTTGCAGGGAGATTTGATCGAAAAGGACGTTTTTTGCAGACTCTGAAAAGGAATAACGTGAAGGATTTCATTGTGAACGGGGCCGTTCTTGGCGTCACTAACATGATGGTTTTGACGAGCTCCGAGGCCTCTCTCCAGCTCCGCATGATGCGTTTCTCGCAAGGCCCCACCCTCACTTTCAAAGGTACCGAGATCTTTTGACGAAGGATTTCTTGAGAATTTTGCTGTGATAATTTGTGAGAATATAACCTGCAAGGCCACATAGGGGTTTAGGGGTTTTTTGGCCCCTATAGGGGTTTAGAGTCTGATCCCTTAGCCCATAAAGGTCAAGTAGTCCCTATAGGGGTCTTTCAATTTCATTTAAAAGTCTCTTGTTTTTCCTATGGAAGGGCTTCTTCGCTTAGAATTCATAACAATTATAACTAGCATATAGGGGCCACTAGCAAAAAAGCCCAAAGGGACCAGTTTTGCAAGCTTAAGAGGCCCCTTTAGGGGTCGGTGAAGTGGTCCCTGGAGGCGACCCTATAGGGACTACTCTGGAGTTCCTAAGTCAACCAAAGATCCTTCAGAATAGTTACGGTCATTTTTGAAATGCAAAAATATAAAAGAAAATATTTTTCTTCATTTCCAGTAAACCAGTATTCCCTGAATCGCGACGTCGTGAGTTTCCAAAAAAGGCCGATCGCCACGGACAATCTGATGAAAAAGTCGCCGCTGGTCATTATGAACGGGTTCAACGACGGCTCGAAGAAGCACTTGAAGCTCGTGCAGACCTTCATTCAGAACATGTTCCCCTCTATTAATGTGGATACGGTACGCTCTTTTTTATTTCGTTTCAAAATAGTCTCCTAAATAGCTAAATTCGAAACTCAGATGGGATAACTCTTACGAAAAACACGTAGAGGTTTTTTTTTGGCTCGGAAATCGAAATCCGTTTAAAAGAGGTATACGAAAATCTCACAGACAAAGTCCAAACAACCTTAAAAAGGCCTTAAAAAGAATAGCCTAAAGCTCCTTTTTGAGTTCCTGAAAAAGTGTCAAAAGTTTCTCAGAATCTCCTTTTTCCCATCTTTTTCCGTCTTATTTTTTTATACCTCCTTGGTTCTTTTCAAAAAAAGTTCTAAAAAAGGCGCCTTTGAGGCCTTTTGAAGACTTTTTTCTCCGAAAGTCCTGTACGGTGTACCTTGAAGCGTACAAAAAAATCATGATTTCGTAGCAAAATTTTTTTTTCATGAAAGTCCTTTAACACGCGTTCTCTGAGAAAGTCGATGAATCTAAAGCAAAATAAAAAAAAAGTTTTTTTGATTTGCCTCAAAATGTGGTCACGGCTCACACACGTGCTTCTGATTATTTAGCACCAGGTTCCAGGTGGCTCCGCCCCTTTTTAAAAGATACTATAGACAGTAAGCTGAAAAAAAATTAATTTTTTTCCTGTTGAGAATTTTTCATTCAAAAAAATGTTCGGAAATGTAAGAAAAACACTATTTTTGAGTATTTTTTTCAGTTGCAACTTTTTTTCTAACTCGACTTCTACGGGGAGAAAAAAATTGAAATTTCCTCAAAAACAGCGATTTTTTCAGTTTTTGAGCCATAACAAGAGTAAGAACCCCCCTATGGTACGACTTTTATTTCTGATTATGAAACTAGGGGTCTTCTTCTTCAAGAAAAAGTAGTTCTACAACAAATCCCTGGGGTGGGATAGTTGACCTCCATTCGACCGAAGGTGATCAACTCGAATCGGCTCAAAATTCGAAAAATCATTTTTCTCCTAATTTGAGGGCTTCTTCCTTCTTTTTGTTTTGAAACAAATGACAACACTCACGTTCATGTTCTCCACCATTTTGGTGCTCAAAGAAAATTTTATTCCGAATTTCTCGTGACTTTTCGAATTTTAGGACTTTCGTCGATTTTCGATTTTTTCCGTTTTCAGGTAGTTTTTTCTGTAGGAACCCCCGAATGTGGTCATTATCTTTTGGTATATGGAAGAGTAGGTCTTTCTGGATAAGGAAAAATTAGTCCGGTAAAAATCTCTGGGGTGGCCCAGTTGACCTCCGACCGCCTGAAGGTGACGACCCCAAAAATGGAATTTTCACAAAGGCTCGGAAAACAACTTTTTTTGTTTCCGTTCTAACAAAAAGCTTTTTCAGTGAGACCTACATCTCTTTTCGACACGAGTCGGAGTCTTTTCGGCAAGAAATATGTATTTTTATTCAAATTTGAGGCTTGGCACGCTTATCTTCGTTTTCACCGTTCTTACCTGCTCTAAGTTGCTGAAGTAACCTGGAAACCCGTTCAAAAAGATTTTAGGGAAGCACAGCAAATGTTTGAATTTTTTTGAACACCTAAGCAAGGGAGATCGGAGTGAAGAAATGGCGAAAAAAGCTTTTTTATCAACTTTTTCGAAAAATAAAAACACCTTATGACATTCAATAATGTCGATGATTCTCAAAAATTATTTTTTCGCCAAAACACAGTAACTGACAGTTATATACTTTTTCAATCGACTCTATCCATACACTTTTTTCCTGAAATTGAGGTTTCTGAAGCTTTTAGAAGTTCTTGTGATACAATTCTGGCTTTTTGTGTTGCAACGTTTATACAGACACTGTTTCATGTTTTTCATTCATTTACAGAACAACTCAAGTGAAAAAAGGTTTTGAAAAAATGCATTTTTTGACCTAAAAAGCGTTTCAATGCATCTTCCGGATTAAAGTCAGGTTTATTAAGTCTCTCCTTTTTTCTTTCTATTAAGTTTCATCAATAGTTGTTTTTTAAAGAATAATTGACATTATTGAATGTCATAAGGTGTTTTTATTTTTCGAAAAAGTTGATAAAAAAGCTTTTTTCGCCATTTCTTCACTCCGATCTCCCTTGCTTAGGTGTTCAAAAAAATTCAAACATTTGCTGTGCTTCCCTAAAATCTTTTTGAACGGGTTTCCAGGTTACTTCAGCAACTTAGAGCAGGTAAGAACGGTGAAAACGAAGATAAGCGTGCCAAGCCTCAAATTTGAATAAAAATACATATTTCTTGCCGAAAAGACTCCGACTCGTGTCGAAAAGAGATGTAGGTCTCACTGAAAAAAAGCTTTTTTGTTAGAACGGAAACAAAAAAAGTTGTTTTCCGAGCCTTTGTGAAAATTCCATTTTTGGGGTCGTCACCTTCAGGCGGTCGGAGGTCAACTGGGCCACCCCAGAGATTTTTACCGGACTAATTTTTCCTTATCCAGAAAGACCTACTCTTCCATATACCAAAAGATAATGACCACATTCGGGGGTTCCTACAGAAAAAACTACCTGAAAACGGAAAAAATCGAAAATCGACGAAAGTCCTAAAATTCGAAAAGTCACGAGAAATTCGGAATAAAATTTTCTTTGAGCACCAAAATGGTGGAGAACATGAACGTGAGTGTTGTCATTTGTTTCAAAACAAAAAGAAGGAAGAAGCCCTCAAATTAGGAGAAAAATGATTTTTCGAATTTTGAGCCGATTCGAGTTGATCACCTTCGGTCGAATGGAGGTCAACTATCCCACCCCAGGGATTTGTTGTAGAACTACTTTTTCTTGAAGAAGAAGACCCCTAGTTTCATAATCAGAAATAAAAGTCGTACCATAGGGGGGTTCTTACTCTTGTTATGGCTCAAAAACTGAAAAAATCGCTGTTTTTGAGGAAATTTCAATTTTTTTCTCCCCGTAGAAGTCGAGTTAGAAAAAAAGTTGCAACTGAAAAAATACTCAAAATAGTGTTTTCTTACATTTCCGAACATTTTTGAATGAAAATTCTCAACAGGAAAAAATTTAATTTTTTTCAGCTTACTGTCTATAGTATCTTTTTAAAAAGGGGCGGAGCCACCTGGAACCTGGTGCTAAATAATCAGAAGCGCGTGTGTGAGCCGTGACCACATTTTGAGGCAAATCAAAAAAACTTTTTTTATTTTTGCTTTTTTATTACTGAAAAAGTCATCGATTTTTCTCAGAGAACGTGTGTTAAGACCTTTTTGGACTTTGCCCGTGTTACGCGAATTCATTGTCTTTTTTTAGGAGATATGCGTTTATTCTGGCCTTTCAAATATCATACTTCCGCAAAAAAATCCAACGGCTACACTTGAAAAAAATTTAATTTTTTTCACGATTTCTTTTGCTTGTGAAAAGTATATTTCCATTTGTCTGTCTCTAAAAAAAGCTTTTTTTCTTTTTTTGTTGAGAACTTTTTATTATTAACTCATTCCTGAATTTTTTTCAAAAGAGTCTTTATTCCAGTTAGATTCTTGGAATTCCTTCCTTCAATGAACTTCTTTTGAGGTCAGCCTCAGCACTTTGAAACGATGTCTCATTGTGAGTTACGATGCCGAGAAAGACGAAGTTGATATGCGGCATTAGTGAGTTTTCTTTTTTCAATGTTTTGCAAAACTCTAGGGTTTTGAATTTTTGGAAATGTTCGACTTTTAAAGATATCTTTCACTTTTTTCCGATCGAATGAGTTAAACGTTTTTGAATAAAGAAAAATTTAATGAAAGTTTTTATAAAAAGGAAATAAACTATAAAAGTAAAAATTTTGAGCGCTGTCCGCGTAGTGGCGTCAGGATTGACCAAGCCGACGAAAAAGTTGGTCCAGGCGGGCAAATCGGCGACAAAAGAGCTGCCCGACCTGAGCAAGTTCAAAGACATCAGCGACTACTTCCTCAAGTCAGTTCTGGCTCTTTTCTTCCCAGTTCCATCTCTGTTGCAGTCCGGGTCAACTCAGCGACAGCGAGTTCGAGGGAGAGCAGCAGGAGGTCGAACTCTCGCAGGACATCAACCAGAGCCGCGGCTGCACCGCCGGCGACAAGAGCAACATCAGGTAGAAGTCGAGCTCACATTGCAGAAGTATGATCATTAGAAATGGGTTTTGTGTTGAATATGTCGTTTCGAAGAGCCTTTAATTCCAACGGGTACCTAGAAGCGTACGAAAAAATCATGATTTCGTAGCAATTTTAAGTTCGAAATGAGAGAAGGAGAGTTGTACAAGCACCGTAAAAGTTTTTTGTTCATGAAATTTCAAATTTTAAAAAAGAAAGGCTCAAAATCATCATGGTGTATCCCTGCGGCAATATTCTCTGACCAATACAAAAAATTAAGAAAATAAACAAAAATCATAAAAAAGTCGATTCACTTCAAATTTTTTTTCCGCGACGGTTTCATTTTTTCAACAATGAAATTGAAGGTTACACGAAATCGGCCCGCGACTCACCCTCGAGTTGGTGAAAATACAAGAAGGAATCGACGATGGGGAAGTTTTGTACCATAAATTCCAAGAAAAAACGCCGGAGCAGCTTCTCAAGCTTCGAGCTCATATAGACAAAAAGAGGTGCGTTATATTATCAGAGATGGGCGGAATCACGCGTTTTGTGCCTTTTTGAAGTTCTGCAAAAAATATTTTTCCGCATTCCTCGTTTCCGATATGACTTCTTGAAAAAAAGCTTCAATTAAAGTTTTCACTTGCTAACTGTTGAAAAAAATATCATTTGAAATAGCAAACTACATAATTTTCACCTTTAAATTTTTCTACTGAGGAAATCGTGAGTGCTTCCGCATTTCGTGGCCAATTCTTCGCCAAATCCTTCTTTATCCCAATCAAAATCCGAACCTTCTACAACGAATCATACATTTTTTTTTGCCGAATCAATGTTTCAAGAGCTAAATTGAAGTCTTTAAAAATAATGTGGGAGTACAAATGAGGAAAGACCCCCAAAAAAAACAAAAAAGGTACCTGAAAAGTAGTTGAAACTGCCACTATTAGTAAACTCGGTCGAATAAAAAATTTTGAAACATTGATTCGGTAAACAATAGGCATGATTCGTTGAAGAAGGTTCGGATAAAAAATGTGGTTCGACCTTTGGAAAAAAAACGATTTGGCGAAAAATCCGCATTCCGCAATTTAAAAAATTTCATTCCGTCCTTCTCTGGCCTCTCGTTTCATCGCTTTCTTTCCAGGCAAATCAAGAAGAGGAAAGAGCAGGAGAACGAACATCGCGTTATCCATCGCCTCAAAATTGTACAGGAGAACAGAGAAAGAGAGGTATTTCTTGAATTTTCACCGTTCTTTCCAACTTTTTTTCATTGCATCGAAGAAATCGAGAAAATGATGTAAATAATTTTTTTGTAAAAAAATTGAAACAGCTAGTCATGTTGCGACTGAAAAGTTTAAAATTTCTATTGAAGTTTCATCTGAAGTTGAATTTCGGAAAAAAATTTTTAAATCTCAGATGTGGAAAGCCTGGTGTTTGAGAATGTACTACTATGAATGAACTTCCTAAAACGTTTTTAAGAAAATTTTTTATTCGAATTCAAGACTTGACTTTGATATTTTCGAACCTCAACTTCTGCTAATAGTATATAATGAGGCGAATGATTGACAGGAAGCCGAACTCAAGGCGATTCGGGAGAAGGCCGCGCGGACCCAAGCTGCAGCTACGGGCCAAGCTGAAGAGGTGGAGAACGAGCGCGAGAAGGACCGCGAGATTGCGCTGAACCGCGAGAGGTCCGTTTGTCTGTCGGAGGACTTTGTGAAAGAAAAAGTCGCACTGATTCTTGTTGATGAATTGGATTTTTTAAATTAGTTTCCATCTTCTTCTTCCTACGCCTTTGTATTGCTTGAGCGGCGTCGGCACCCCAAGTCGGTTAGCCGGGGTCCTATCCTGATATGAGTGATAATACGTGGACCTGCTCCAGTGACATATCCTTGTGGGACGGCTGGATTTTTTTAAGTTGTGGTTTCCCCCTACCAAAGTTTCTTAAACCCTTGTCGCGACGGGGATCGAACTTGTGATCCTGTGGACCGTTGACAGGCACGCAACCTATTGCGCTACAATGCACCTTTTTCCATATGTTTTATCATTCAATATTATTATTGGATACAGAAAAAAAAACAATTGTCTATAAATAATTTTTTCAATTCAAATCCATAACGAATCTATTTTTCAGGGACCACAAAAGGAAGCTTAAAGAAGAACAAAGCACGGATAGTGGAGCGCCCAAAAGAAAGAAAAAATAGTTCGTGATCGGAAATTGTTTTCTTGCACTTTGTTGTTGATTTTGTTGTTGTTTACTTCATAATTTTTAATTTCCTTCGAAAAAATTATTTTTTGATTTTGATTCTTCAATCGGACAGTCATGAAAATTTCGTGAAACATTTTTCAGGTGTATATAGTCTTTTCAGATTTTGAATGTCGCTTAAGCTCCGCCCCTAATGGTATGATAAACCAATTAAAGCGAGCCATCCACAGAGTGTTTTTGAATGATTTCATTGCACTTGACATTTAAATTCTGAACAGACTATAGACGTGGGCATCTGAAAAATGATAGAAAAACAATTTTTTTTTATCTTTGCGATTTTTAGTGACCATGGCGTTTCTGTAATTAACGCCGTGTTCAAAGTAATTTCCCGGAATTCAAAACGGTCTGTGACTCTCCAAAACTTAGTTATCTTTTTTCTATCTCTGACGGTCATTTTGAATTTCGCGGAATCTTTTTAAACAGGGCAAAAAAATTCGACATTACTTCGAAAAAGATTGATGAATATCAAAATGAACTGAAAAATAACTTTTCCTCGTGTCGTATGGTGGGAACAAGTTCAACCCCCCTTTACTATTTTTTTGAGTACTCAAGATCAATAATTTTAAGTAACCAATGCAAAAAAGAAAGTCAGGTTTTTTGAACTTTTTGTATGGTAATCGGCAACAATTATTTATTTCAATGATAATTAGATGGTACAAGAAAAAAAATGTCAGAAAAAAAAACAAATGCAATATGATCATTGGAAGAAATCACTTATTCAATTATATATTCTCATAGCACCGAAATGACGTCATCGGGTGCAAACGCGGCCAAGTATTATTGACTTGAGGCTATCTCAGGCTGGTGAGACTGACTGTCAGCGCTTTCATGATGTGATCAAATTTCGATTTTATACATATTTTTGAGAAGAGGAGAGAAAGCGCAGACCGGTCAGACGCTCACAAGTCCGCGCGATATACGGTAAACGAAAAAAGGTGTTAGAAAATAGAGAGAAGGGGGAGAGAAATTGGGGTTTTTGGAAGATGCTATGTTAGGAGCTGCTCAGGGTTAGGCCTAATCTACAGTTATTTACAGCTATCCGGAAGCTTGGAAAGCGAGTTGCCAAATCGAAGTTTCTGAAGGTTTCCAAAAAGGAACAATCGAGATTTAAGTTACTGGATTTGATGATTTGAATAAGTTATACGTGAAGTTGGACCGTCAGAAGTTACCTTGGTGTAAGTGACAAATAATTTCGTGAAAACGTATCCTCGCTTATCTCAGAATCCATAACTCCGGTTACTCCGTGTCATTTTTTGAATTTGAAGAAGTGGTTTTTTTTAGAGAAGTTTCGTGAACAATTCGATGTCGTCAGTTTTGAAATGCTGAAACATTAAACGCTAGAAGCTAAGGTGAACAACAGAAAAAAAAGACTAGAGGGGAACCCATGGAAGAAGAGGATTGCGTAATCCCCAATCAATCAGCGTAGTTATCAAATATCTTGTTGAGAAGTAAAGTGAAAATTGAGAAAACTGAAAACAAAAAATCCGAAAAGTACACTTCGTTAGCACGGCAGCACGAATGTGGTGAAGACAGATGCCGCGTTCAAAGATAATTTGACGTCCGTGGCAAAATGGTTTTTCTGGTTTAAAGCTCGAAACGCGGCAGTTTTCCACGCCGATATTGGATGACCTTCTATGACAAAAAAAAAATCGAATTCATAAGGAAATCTGTCATCATGTGGGAATCTGCTGAATTCGATCTTGAACGAGAAAAACTTTTGCTGAAAGTGTCAAATAAACTCTGAAAGCGGCACGGAAAAGAATGAAAGTGAACGGAAAGTCACATCAATGGGCAATTTTCAGAAGGAAAATCAATGAAAGCTTGGTCGGGTACAGTGTTTGAAGTGAATTCAGGAGTTGGCGGCCATTAATCTCGCCTGAAACGATCAATTTTAGTGGTTCAAGCCTGAAACTAGTCACCTTGGCGCATTCTGGACAAAGAATCTCATGACCATCCGTTATGAAACCCTTGCCGACAAGAGAAGTCGTACATTGCGCACAAATGAAGCAGTCGTTGTGCCAGTGTCGGTCTTCGAACGAGATGAACTTGGCGCCGCCGATACCTGATAAGAAGATGTTGAGGGAGGCTTTCGAGAATAATGCTTTTTGAAAATTGGTATAGCCTGTTTACCACGACTTGGAATTTCACCGAACGACATTCCGCGTGCCGCTGCGCGCCTTTGCGAACCTTGGTCGCGTTTTTAATTTTTTTTTTCTTGTATCAAGGTACTCTACTTTCATGTGCTCCCACAGCAACAACAATCAATTGAAAACGTGACCTAGATTCGAAAGACGCTTCAGGAACGCACGCAGCGGAACAGCGGAATGTCGTTCGGCGAAATTTCAAGTCGTGAGACTAAAACAGAACTCCCAAATTTGAGCATTGGTAAGGAGAGTTAATAAAAAGGTATAGCCGATTCACAGCTAGCTTAGAACGCTAGAGGGCGTGGACTGTCTGCGCTCTCCACGAACCATACACGGAATAAATGTAGGGAAAATGTAGAAAAACACGTTTTCGGAGCTTGTGCTGATGGAGGTAAGAAAATCCCAGTCGTGTTAACCTCCCCCCCCAGAAAAAAACAGACCGGTGATGGGTTTGGTGCAGGCGTTGCAACGTTTGGCGAAGAGCTCTCCGTAGCAATTGGCGCAGTAGGGCTTCTCCTCCTTGCTCGTGAACCTCTGTCCGGCGAGCGACGTGTTGCAGTGCGTGCAGCAGAAGCACTCGCGGTGCCACGGCTCGTTCTTGTAGGTCACGCCTCCAGCAGTGATCACCTTCAAGGGGTCGACTTTAGAGAAGAAAAGAAAAAAAAAGTGAAATTCGCTTCTCCAGGGTGCAAGAACTTCTCGGGCAAAGTTGGAAGGATGGATAATGGCCGCTAAAAGGGAGAGGCTCAAAAAAGGCTTCAGAAAAGAAGCAAAAAGGCAGCAAAGAGGGTCCTTTTATCGAGCCCTCCATTTTTTCTGGGATTTCAAAGGCTCAAGAAATAATGGAAAAAGAAAAGGGTGCATAAGGGCCAATAAAATGGCGCAAAAGGGCAGCAAAAAAGGAATATTTCTATGGAGCCTCTTCCACCCTTTCCGACTTTGCCCATGTATTCAGAAATTTAATGGAATTTTAAAATATAAAATAGAATCTGAAAAAGTATTCAGCCTTGTCACCAGGAGTATTGGGATGAACAGTCCGACCAAGATTTTATATGACTTTTTGAGACATATAAGCTGTAATTTCTGGTTAGAGTTACCGAACAGAAGACTTTTCCTTCCGAAACTTGATTATCGAAACGAAAACAATGCCAAATGTGGGAAATCCTCCTACGCACTTCATAACTCTCACTGTCAAAACAAGAAGAAAAAAGAACTCGCCTTTTTGCATTTGCTACACCTTGTCGCGAACTTTTCTTCGTAGCAGGGCCCACAGTAAACGTCTTCGTTTTTGGGGATGAACGACTTGGTGCCGATGGGCACTTTGCACATCGCACAGCAGAAACATTTGTCGTGCCATTGCTTGCCCTTGTACTCCATCTTTTTCATGCCTGAACCCCGTTGGTTGCGATCAAAAGTGCCTTCGACGCTCACCTGCTCGGAATATTTCATTGCAACCGTCGCACCGTGTCGCGAAAGCTTGATCGTAACAGTTCGAACAGAAAACTGAAACATCAACATGATTCTGAGAGATTTATCGTATTTTTCTGGAAAACATGCTTAGGAATACCTATAGGGGTTGGGGCGGAAAACAACCCCTCTAAGGGCCGAAGAAGTGGCCCCCAAAGGGATAAAATTGAGATGGTGCCTACAGAAATTAGGGTGTGACCCCTTAGCCTCTAAAGCTCAAATGGACCCTATAGGGTTTTTTTCAATTTTATTCAAAAAAATTTATTTATTCAGTTTTTTTCACAGGGAAATGCTTCTTCGTTTATAGTTCATAAAAATTATAGACTAGACTGTCCCCTATAGGGGCAACTAACTAAAATTCCTATAAAGCCCAATTTTGCAAGCTTTAGTGGCCCCTGTAGGGGTTAGCAACCGATGTGACACTTTTTTTTGAGTCAAGATCTATAAACCAAAGAAAAGTGTCATGACAATCGAGATGAAGGATGAATTCTCAAGATTCTCCAAATAACTCGATAATCCCAAAGCGATGAAAAAGAAAAGCTCACTTCGGTCGTTTTTGCTGCCAAAGGGCATGTCGACCAGCGAAACTTTGCACATATTGCACAGGAAGCAGTGCTCGTGCCAGTGTTTGTCTTTGTAGGAGAGGTCCTGCAATCGGTTTTTCAAAAATCTCCCAAATCATTCATCCTTCTTCCTACCGTATTACACTGCATTGAGGAGAAAATCGTCAAAAGACAAGAATTCTAGAGAAAAGGGCGAACTAACCGACTGAGAAGCATCTATTTGCTTTTAAGCTTGAAAACTTTGTAGGTCGAAAGGCTGATTTATACTTCTTGTTTCTTTGAAGTTAGTCCTACTTTACAAACCTTCCAATTATTTTTCCCGATACTTGATACTCATTCAGAATATGAAAATTAAAAGAAAGTTATTTTTGAAAAAGTGATAAATTTGTTCGAAAAATTAGAGGACCTTGGAGTCGATACCGATAGGCTTGGCGCACTCGTCGCACTGGTTGGCGAAGACGTCTTCGTAGCATTTGATGCAGTACGGCTGGTCGTCTCGCATTATATACCTACAATAAGAGTTGGCTATTTGTCACGATGTGGCACACTTTAAACCTAACTCATCTTTCCGCGAAGATAAAATGAAACATAAAACGAAATATTTCGTTATTTTCATCTATTAGCCGGGACACCAAACTCTTCAATACAAATTTTTTGACGTTATAGCTCTCCTCAAGGTAAACGAGTAAATTTTCCCCTTTTTCAAACATCAGATGACTTCGGAGAACCTCTTAGCAAAGTTTAAAAATTTTTTTGTCGAAGCATTTTTCAAAGGCTCTCATATACCATGGAGCTGATCGTAGGAACGCTCAACATTACAAAATTACTATCCGAAGTAAAAAAAAAGATGATCTTCAAGTTATTCTTTGTCAACGCGACCCCGCGAACCGACGATCAACTCTTCATTTATTTATTTTTTTTCTGAAGACTGATCAAAAAATTCTAATCTTGTAAACATATAATACAGTCGTACTTGATCATCTATAGTCAAAGTCTATATGAAAACTTCTTCGAGCTCAGTTATAACGAATTTCGACAGATGCTATTCGTGATGATTTTCGACCGTAAAAGACACTTATCGCATGTTGATTACGCTCTAGTTGTAACTGATTCAACCTGGCCTCTGAGGTTATTTTGGATTAATTTTTGTGTTCTTGTGTTTTTGGGATTCTTCTGTTTGAAACTACTCTATTATCTAGGCGAGAGTCACAATACCCAAAAAAAAGGTACCTCTGTCCGGTGAGGGTCTGGTCGCATTGCCAACAGCAGAAATGGTCGCTGTGCCAGTCTTTATTCATCGCCTTCGTATACTCGCCAGCGAAGATCAACTGCAAGTCCAAATTACACTTTTTCTTATTTTTTCAGGCTCTTGTTGTTAAATAATCATACCGAATGAAATGAAAATCAGATAATATGGTCGAAAAAGCTTTAAAAAATATTTTATTAAATTTCCTCAAGCAGAAAATTACAATTTATTGTGAAATTTATTGTGACGACATTCACCACGTTTGCTAATGACAAGATAATTAGCTTTTGCAGATCAATTATAATCGTAGAAAATAGTTTGAAGCTTCTTAAGAACATTTGAAAGTCATCAAGATTACATTATTGTCCAGATAAATTGAGTCTGTTTTTTTGATGACAAACTTTCCTTGAGAGAAAAAAGGAAGAAGTCAATACACGGTAAATAAAACCTCAAGTTATCAATTTTTTTATTATTTCTGTTTTCGAAAAAAACTAGTTTTTGCTATTTCATAGATCGGTTTTTTTCAAGATCTATCTAACTCAAGCATGACGAAAAAAGAAAAGAAAGAAACCACAAAAAGGAAAATTGGCTTCTTCCAGGTAAACAACTTCTACAAAAGTAACACAAAAAAACCGGAAAAAGTTTTTCAGCCGGACAATAATAGGGTAGTTTATTTTTTTCGTTTGAAAAAGACAAGAAGCCGGAAGGAGATTTTGGGCGCGAAACGAGATTTGTGTTTTGGTTGGCCGCCTCGCTTTGATGAAATTTCTTTTACTACTTTTGGTGCTGGGGTAGTGTTAGCAAAAAAAAAAATGAACCCAAATAACCGCTAAATTTATTTTTCACATTGAAAACGACTCTCTCTTTTTGATGAGGAGCTTTCAAAGGACGTCTCAATAAAAAATAGTTCAACCAAACTACACACAAAATAATCAAATTCAATCAATATCTACGTTCGTTAAAAAATAACCGCGCAGCAAAATAACAGGAAAATCTTCTATTTTTGAAAATGTGTTGCGAGAGACGAGGAAAAAATCGGAAAAGAAGGCAAAACGGAGCCAAAAGGCCGATTTGCGAGGGAATCGAAGCCAAGGAGCATGTGTTGAATGCTCGTGGCCGGCCTCCCCGGGGGTTCGCCGCGGGGCGTCGAAAGTGGCAGCCTGTGATGTCACTTTGCAGAAATCCCGTCTTACAAAGTATTCCTTCTGTGAATTCCATGAAAAGTTATTGTCCTCGAATCTCGACTGATACAGCCTTTCTTAAAAACGCCTCAGGAATGCAAGAATGGACATCTTGGAACTTTTTTTTTCAAAAGAAGATTCGCTCAAGCATAAGCAAAACTTGACGACTTCTAGTTGACAGAGTCCCTCTCCTAACGCTTACTTCCAGTGCTCAAATACTTTTGAACTTTGATTTTCCTGTTTCACATGATGAATCAGACAGTTTTAAAGTTATAAATGTAACAATATACGTAAAAAACAGACACCAAAAGCCAACTGATCGAAACATTTTTCAATCATTTATGGTCAAAATCTAGCTTTTCATAACCGATCCCGTGATTTGCAACTTCCGTGTGGATGCCATATAACTTTTATAAGTTTGAAGTTGATCAATGAACTGGTCCAGATCCATGAAAATAAATTTTTGAAGCAAAAAAAGAAATATCCAAGTTTATTTTCAGCTCACAAAATGTTTATTTTCGCGCTTTTCATTCAACTTATGTATACATCGGGAAGATTTGACGTAAAATAAACGCTTGCAAAATTTTCAAAAATGCTCTTTGGCTTATTTTGTCTGGGATCGCAATAGCGAACGAGCGTGGGCACTAGAAAGTCTATTGTAAAGTGTGTTTTCTGTGGGTTCGCCCGGACTTTTCAGTTGTTAGGAATACTTTGTTCATTAACAAGCCTTGTTTGATTTGAAATCGATGGAACTGATTTTTTCGGGAATTTAAAAAATTTTTAATCAATAACATAAAAAGGATAATAAAAATAAATTGAATTTTTTTGATTTTGTCAGGTTTCTAAAATTTCTTCTACACTTCGAACTGTGGAGTTTTTAAAAAGGAGGTACATCTTATTCCCCTATTGAAAAAAGATAACTTCAAGGAGCAAACAAATAGAAAAAGGTTTCTTCGAAATATTTGAATAGATTCCAAAATGGGAGCGAGAAACAAAGAAAATTGTGCAGCGATTTGTTGCAAGTCACGCAACTCCGAGTGTCATCCGTCATCAAGCTTGCTTTTTTTTCATCATCAGCCTTCGCCTAATTCAGACCAGACTAACACGCACTACTCCAATGCGGAACGTCAGCATTGCTTTGGGAGTTTCAAAACATTGGGGTATTTGGAAAACTTTCAGCAACATTTTTTGACCGCTCAAGTGAAGATCTATATCTGTAGATCATAAAAAGGGTCATAAAAATCTTCGAAAAAGCTTAAAACAGAAATAATAGTTTTGAAGACATTGTTTTTGACAAAAAAGGTTCACAAAGCTTTCCAAGCGCTTCGAAATGTTTAGAGTATATAGGATTAGAGAATTCCCGGCCAATTTGGTTGGTCCTGAAGATGTTTTTTTCATAAACTGGAATCATTGAACGGATTAAAAAACTTTTCTTAATGAATATTCGGGTCGAAAAAAGTTCTTTCAGTGTTTTATAGACACCTCGACCTATTCTAGAGCTTCTTTTTTTTTTGAAATCTTAAACCTTTTCCTAGGCCGAAACTAGTAGGAACAAGCTTATGAAACCGAAATAGAAAAGTGAAAATGACCTGTTCAAAGTTTTAAAGTTGAAGATAGAACTTAATTGAATGCGAAAAACTGGAGAAGAAGGATGAGCTCGAAAAAAGAGCCTAAGAAGTGGTCCTGGAGGCGAGGCCTAGGTGAGGTTTCACGTGCGTCCCGCTGTAACACACCCACCAGCCAAACAGCAGACATAGCCAATTATTCAACGCATCTTGCGCTTTCTCCGTTTGTTATGCAACTTTTGAGACAAATCAACTGCATTCAGTGATTGAATGTAAAAATTTTACGGGTTCGACAGTTCACTCCAGAGAAAAATGTTGTGAAAACGAATCCGAACTTTTTTGAATCGGAGTGGCGGTAGAATTCACGATCCAGGATTCTTTTGTGGAAAGCGGAATCTTCGTAAACCTACACACAATTAATGTGCGCGCTACCGTACATTGTTCCCGCTTTATTGGCCTACTCGGACATTAGTAACGCGAAACGGACGTGCTCCGGACGTTTCTGGGCGATTCAAGGGATCACTTAAGAGCGTTAAGGCTACTAAAGTGGTCACTAGAAATGACCCGACACGTCCGTTTCGCGTCCCGTTCGCGTTACCAAGGTCCGAGTACATTGTTTTTACCCCACATGGCATTCCTCATGGAGTGAGGGAAGGTGAGTGAGGCGTCAAAGTTTTTGAATTTACAAAAAAGTAAGTGCGCGCTCCGGATAAATTTACGTCATTCTACGTCACAAATTCCACTGAGTATTTAACGTTAATAACTTGTTTGTTGGATCGCCTTTGGCTACGTACTTGAGATTTTAATTTTCGCGCCAAAATTTTTTTGACGTCTTCACACCCTTTTTAGGATAGCCGTGCCCAAGAGTTGGTTAGTAAAACGATTATTCTAGACTTTTTGTATAGTAGTTAAGTATTATATATTTTTAATATAAGGTAAATATTATATAATAAACGAGTGCTATCGTTCGTTTCCCACACAGTAAATTTTAGTTAATACTCAATTTGAGAGAAGCCGAAGATCTCAAAATGAAATACGCACGTGCCTCTTCACGACCGTTACGAGGGGAAACTCAAAAAAAAAAAAAAAATCGCATCAAGGTTTTCCCAATTTTCGAACACAGAGAACATCATCAAGTAGGAATTTTCAACACGGCTTTTTGGTAAAGTAACGGGAAGCGAACCTCATCGCAAGCGGAGCACCGAGGTTTGTGAAGTTCGGCGTAATGCCGTTCGCAGTAGATCTGGTTGTCCTTGACGCAGTAGGTCAGGTCCACCAGCAGCTGCAGAAAAAGAGGAGATCCGGTTGAGCTCGTGCCGATGAAGCACCAACCTGTTCGCAAGTGAAGCAGGTGAAGCAGGCCGGATGCCAGCCGGTCGAGTCGCCGAGTTTCGGGGCAATCACTGCCATTTCGTTGACTTCCAGTATTCCCGAGCACTTGTGGCACTCCTGCGATCCATCTCATTAGAGCTGTCCGAATTTCGAAGGGTCTAGCTATGTTTTTCAGGATTAAGGTTGTGAAAGTTGATTTAAAATCTAGAGCTCTATAAAATATTATGTATAGTCGATTCACGCCTAGCTTGGGACTGGCATGCCTGCGCTCTCCATCATCCAGGCACTGTCTCTCTTCCTGTCAGGACCCATATTTGGATGGCACAAGCCAGCCGTGAATCATTTATAATTCTTTTTTTTTATTCTCTACCATATTAGTTGTTTTTTTTTCAGAATAGAACAGACGTTTTTGTATTTTGTCTCCAATCCAATCTATCTCTTTGTTTTGCAGATATTCATTCTTCAAAAATAACTACTTGCGGGTCGCAGTATGACCTAAAACAACACTGGAAACCGCTATTTGAATCAAGGATTTCATGGCTCTCGCTTAAAAAGTCCCCGAAAAGACTTCGAAAGTACTAAATATGGGTGAAGAAAACTTTGGAAAATCATGTACGGTCAAAAAACTTGAACCTTTCCTTTCGCGACAACTGAGAGACTAACCATGCTTTTGGTAAGATTGGCGGAAACGTAGCCGATGTCGAGAGCGATCTCGTTGCGGGCGTTGACGAACTCTTCATAGACCTTGCGCTCGGTGTTGCTGGAGAGATGACGACAGTAGGCGACGGAGAGGTCCTGCCGCGGGAGCTGCACCAGCAACTGCTTCTCGCGGAGCTTCTCCCCTGGCGAGTTCGTTCGAGGAATCACGTTGTTGGGCAGCTGCGCCATGTATTCTTCTACCTGAATATCTCTTCTCTTCAATCTTTTCACCATTTAATGAGTAAAAATCTTCTCATTTTTCCTATTCTCTTCATAAATGAACCATTCCTACATGCCGTTAACTTCTACTTTTGAGTCTTTATGAAACACTTCAACGCCTTTTCTCAGTAGTAGGACAACATTTGAATAGTCCTTTCGACAGTTTTCGCGTGTCTGCGTCTCTCTGTTCCCTCACCGGCGAGGTCAGAGAAACATGGAAATAGCACGAAGACATAAGAGAGACGTCGAGAGATAAGGAGGGCGCAGAGAAGTCCAGCCCAAAAACGGACTATAGTTTTGAAAGTGCGGAACTTCTCTGCGCCCTCCTCGTCTCTCGACGACCCTCTCTTGTTGACGCGCTATTTTCGCGTTTCTGTGACCTCGACGGTGAGGGAACAGAGAGACGCAGACACTCGAAAACTGTCAAGTCGCGGCGGACGGACTATTTTTGCGTTTTCAAAACGGATCAGGGCATTATAGGTTCGGAACATAGATCTCTGAAGTGAGGCCGATATTCTTTAGTGTCCACTTGACGGATCTTGTCGAAAAAATTTCTGACACGCCATATAAAACATTAAAAGTACGGTTGAATAAGACAGAACTCACGTTAATAAGCCACGGGTCGTATATTTTTGAGATACTGCGCATGAAATGATGCATGAAAGGGTCTCGCAACATACTTTCCGTCAGAAGGCCCATTTTAATATTCGCTTCTGGTTTTTCTATTCGTCGTCGTTGCCTACATAATTTCATGGCTTGAATAAGTTTTCGAACAGATTGATGACAATACCTAATATAGAGAAGGGGGAGGTTTTTCTCGGAGTTCGCCAAAGAATAATTATAGTTGACTAGAACTGATGAATTAAGTCAAGGGCTATGGAAAATTTGTGAGTAAGTGTGTTAAAAAAACCTAAAATGAAGAAAAAGAAAGATAAAGGGATTATCGTTGATTATTTTCAGAAACATTCGAACAAAAAAAAAATAAAGAAAAGTCTTTTTTAAAAACGAGAAGACGCAGCGACGACGAAAAACTGTTTGGCTAGTCGAGAAAATGCCTTGGCAAGTTATGAGGAACGTGTGTTTGATCGAGCGATTATGCTCGGCGAACGGTACAGTAGCCAGAAGCTTCTCAGGCGCTGCCGATGGCGCATTCCAAAGTAAAACTAAAATACTGAGGAGAAGCCGAAGGGTTTGATTTTGAGTTTGCTGCGAGCAACTTTTCGAATGCTGTACTTTTAAAGATTTTCTTCTTGCTGTAATGAAGCTCTTGAACTGTGAAATACAGATTGAAGTTGGGCGTTTGTATATCGGGTTTCACTTCACTCAAATACTTTCTATTCTGTATCTGTATTTTTGTGTTTGAGTGAGATAAATAAATAAGTTCATTTAAACTCGGATTTCACGACTACTTTCTATGAATCTTGGCGGGAAGCTCCTGTCAAGATTTCTAGACCCTACAATCAGGCTTGTTTTGAAATATGAGTCTTCAAAGCCCGGCCCGCTTAGGCGGAGCCAGGTCAGGCTTCGGAAAAAAACTTTTTTTAACGCAAATTTATTTTTTTACTTGTTAAATCGTAGTTTCTATTAAACTCTATGTGAAAAAATAAGTTTCAAAAAAAAACACTTTTTTCCCGTAGAAAATGGGGCAATAAGTTGACGGGCCGGCCCTCGCACAGCCCTGCCCGCAATTAGAGGAAATTCAACATAAGACCTTCTATTGTGTATTTCGTGTATTTTTTGTTGGAGTGGAATGAATGTATCAAAAGTTTCGAGATCTTGTATTTGTTTCATTTCAACAGTCATCTAGGAGAAAGCGAAAAGGAACCAACTTTTTTGCGGGTCAGGCCGGGCGGAACCCAGGAGTATCCATGGCCCACAGATCCCGGCACCTCCTGTTCTCGGTTCGTGTTAGTCATCGGCATGTCCGCTGAACATATTAAAAATGGAAGGAGCTTTTTTCTCGATAAAAGCTCGGTTTTCTCAACTATTTTGCTTATTTAAATATCTCTTCTTCTTTTCAAAATGTGTATAACTATTATTCAAAACAAGAAATGTGAAACTAACGAGGTGGCTGAATGCCGAGCCGCTGGTAAACCGAAAAAGCCTGGTTGGGAGGAAGTTCGTGGTCCGAACGGTCGTTCTTGCAGTGCACGCAGACCTTCCTGCAACGCATCTGTTGGCATAAAAGTACCAATTTTCTCGATAAAGCAATTTACAGCTGGCTTGACTCATCGGAAAAAAAGGTCTTGCCACGAAAAAAAACATTTTCCGGTTGATAGAGAGCGTAGACGGCGCCCAGTTTTCGCGTCCCAAGCCAGCCGTGAAAAGGGTTTACTTTTAAATTTTTGAAAGTTTGATTAACTTTCAATTTTAAGATTCTTGGTAACTGTACTATTTGAAAGAGAAAAAAGGAAACATGCTCATTTTCTGATCATTCTTGGGCAAAGTCGGAATGGTGGATAATGGCCGCTAAAAGAAGGAAGCTCAAAAAAGGCTGCAGAGAGACAGCAAAGAGGGTCCCTTTATCGAACCTTTCATTTTTTCTAGGAGTTTAGAGGCTCAAGGAATGGTGGAGAAAAAGGGAGAGGCAGCAAAAATGGTTCAAAAGGGTCGAGAAAATGGCGCAAAAAGGCAGCCAAAAAGGAGTATTTTTATGGGGCCTTTTTTCACCCTTTCTGACTGTGCCTATCTTAGATGAGGTTGCTTTAAAAAAATCAAATCGATGACGCTCATTACAGCTTTGATTAGGAAAAGGAATCTTATCAGGAAAATGGAATTTTTCCCCCCAAAACAAAAAATGAAAAGATCAAAAATAGCGTGATGATAAGGAACGTTTTGAAGATGGGAGAAATATTTTTAGCCTTTCTGCCTCCTTTTCGTTATACCAAAACATTGAGTTAGATTATATCTGAAGGGAGACACGCCTATGAGGAAATTTATCCAAAATATACAATAAAGACTTTCAAAAGTTGGAAAAAAAAATTGTTCGAGACCGGAGCAAAAGTTGACGTGTACAAAAATGCTTTCAAAACAACGGACGAGGAAAAAAAAAGCAAAAGCTGCAGCAAGAAAAAAAAAACTGAGTCTACGACCAAATCGTAATTGGCATTTCGGAAATGTAAACAAATGGGTCCGAGTTGAATTTTTAGCATGTGCTTGGAAGCCAAGAGTTTTGCAAGGAGTCCGGCGGGATTCTAAAGGCAGCCGCCAGAAACAACTCGGCCGGCTATTTACGAGCCATTCGGGACCTTTCTGCCCGCCCTCTGAATCCCATCCTAAATAACTGCCCTCCGTATATTTTATACATTCTTTTGTAGCTGATTACAGTTTTCCCATTTGGTGCTCGAAAAAACTATGCTTCTTTGGGGGTCGTTCTCAACCGAGAGATAATTCTGCCCTCCGACCTTCAAGATTTTTCTCGAGTGCAAGAATGAGAAATTTCATATGTTTCGAACACATGGTTATACTTAAAACTCTCAAAATGTCAAAATTAGTTTTTTCTCTTTGATGTATAACAGAAAAAAATGAGCTCTGCAGAATTTTTTAAAATTATTCCTGGTGAGCTTTAGAAAACAAAATTTTCTATACCGGTAAATTTCACACGATAGAATTCTACTGGGGAGTTAGGAAAGTTCAGTAACAAAGAAAATTGAAAAAATGAAACTGAAAAATAAGAACATTCTCGCGTCGGATAAGGTAAGGCTTTAGGAACTGTTCAAGAATGTTTGCTGAGATGTTGGACGGGGCTGTTGAACACTTATAGACAAATTTCACTTCTGCCGTTTCAAGTGTTATCCAAGTTCATACAAGTCTTCTACTCTCTCAAACTTTCCAATTGTAACGGAGCTTATATGAAATGGGTTCTGAAGCGATGACAAAGGAAAGAGGAAAAACGTAGAGGACGAATCCAAAAAATTTTTTTAGTGTCAATTCCGTAAAAGTCTCGCTCTCATTTTGAGGCTTCCACCTGGAGCATGGTCTCTGGCAGAACATCCGCTACATTTTGAGATCCTCAAGGCGCAACTGAATGGACTAGGCGCGGAAGAACGAGACGAAGGACGGTAAGACCATGCTTTCAACTTGATCAACTACACGTTTGGACTTCTAGTTCGTCGAAGGCGGTTGTTCCTTAGAACTTCAAAAGCTCTTGTTTGTTAACCGGTGATTTAAGCATTCGCGCTTTAACTATGCGCGCGTGTTAAGAGTCATTCAATTTTGCCGCCCCTGTCGCGTAAATATCTTTCAACAAATATGTCAAAACATCCGTCCAAACTTAATTTTTTCTCGCTTTCTGTTGGTTTAGTAAAAAAAGAAATGAGCCTATCGATAAAATTTAGTTTGATTAAAAAAAGATAACCATAAGTTCATGAATAGATCTTACTTTCAAGTACAGAAGCCTCAAAAAATGATACATTTTCAAAAATCTATAGACACAGCGTGTCTGAATTAGCGTATATAATTAACCGAAAAGGTATCAAAAAGTCCATCGAACTTCTCAGGAGACTTCAAATTAGAAAAAAAAAATAGAAAAACTCAAGGGTTTCATAAAAAAAGAAGATAGAGAAAGCGCCAAACAGGTCGTTTAGACTCAAAACCTTCTCGAGAAAAAACTTCCAAAAGATACGCTCCTCTATTGGTTTCTCGAGAAAATCTAAGAAAATGAGAAGCAATGAAAAAAAAAAGCATCACATTTTGGGCAAACGGGAAGCAGATATTTCTGGAAAAAAAAGAAGTCCCCATTTTTTGCAACTCATACGCAACCGTGGAGACCCATGTGCACATAGAGAAATCCAAGTTTAACGAGCCGCGAAGCGAAATTCGAGGCCCTTGCCGAATTTGTGGAGCTTTTTGGGAAACGGGCCGCTTCTCCGGCGCTAATTGCGCACAATGGTAACCAAAGGTCTGTGCCGGAGTCGGACCGAAATTCGGTTTCCTTTTCGACACTTTGCAAGTGGTGGTCCGCAGCAAAGCGTTCATCTTTTTTTGATTCATTGTAATTGCAGGTTGAGTACGAAGAAACGTTTGGACAGGTGCCAAGCTTCAATTTGATCTTCTTTTCAAAATTCGTTTGGCAGAACATCCATAATTGTTACCTAGTTCTTTGTGCAAATAAATTAAAATAATTATGAGCCGAGTAATCCAGCTAGAATATCCAGTGCGGAAAAAAATCTCGACCGCGAATCGGACGTGTCGGGGCATTTTTAGTGACCACTTTAGTAGCCTCAGCACTCTTAAGTGATCCCTAAAATCGCCCAGAAACGTCCGGAGCACGTCCGTTTCGCGTTACCAATGTCCGAGATAGCATCTTCTTGAAAGTATTTTTTTAAACGTCTGAAGATTATTAGATGACTTAATTAATCAATCTACTTCCTTTTTCAAAGACAAAAAAGTCGAAAAAAAAAAGAATTTTTTCTCTGGGAATAAAGAAACAAAAAGAACGACGAGAAGCAGAAGAAGTGCAAGAGTTAAAGGGAGAGAAAAAACCCAGAAAGTTTGCTCCTGATTGGACAAACTCGTGTTTAGGGGGTCCAGATACGGCGACGCCCAAACTTTCTGTGAGCTCAAAGTTGGACTGGAGCTGTTCCTTGATTATATTCTGGGATTCTCAGAGAAAAACTGGCCAAAATTTTTCTTGTTTTCCAAAATTTTATTTTCTAATCGTGAGATTTAAGGTGAAGTACATGATCGACTCAAATGTCTATATGAATCGATTTTTGATTCGAAAAAAAAAACACATTAAAGTTGTATACAAATTTTGGATTTTTTCGATGAATCACAAAAAAAAATTGCTTGAAATTTTTGAGAATCTGAGTTCAATGTAGTGAAAAGCACTAGTCTAGTATGAAAACGGTAGTGGAAAAATCGAAGAAATCCGAAGAAAGGCTCGCGGGCCAAGTTATCCATTCCCCATCGAAACGTCGTAGTACAATTTGATGTAGTGGAATCTTCATGCGAATCAACAAGCCGCCTAATATGGAAATTTAGCGCGGGTTGTGCCGAGAAATTCGTGTCACTCGGGCCTTCGGCCAACAGATTCAGTCATCGAGTGTCGAAGAGCAATCCCCACAGGGACTACTTGGCCTTTCGCTAGAATTCCGATCCAACCGAACACAAGTTTTCTCAGATACTTTTGAGACTGCTAATTTTTTTTCCCGTGTGCAGAGAGAGAGGAAATCTGTTTTCCAAACACTTCCAGGTACTAGAGGGGTCAGTCCGACAAAAGCCTTGTGAATTATTTAAAATTTTCGCGTCCTCTCCAAAATTGGATCCACACGTCGCACCACTACTGAAACTTTCATTGCTTCTCTCTTTTTTTCAGGTCTGATAGATCTTTCAATTAAGAATTCTAGCTAAATTCCGATTTTCGGTGAGGTCACAATAAACAGTTCATTGCCAAACTTTGATCAAAAATTGCCCTATTTAATAGCTAATGTTCAAGAAGAGAAAAAAAATAACTAGAGCGGTTGGAGGAAAAAAAGAGAAAGTAAAAATCTTGCGACGAATAACATAAATCCTGAGAAAATTTCGTCCGCGACCACTTGTCAGCCTTTTTTCTGTGGAATCTTGAGAACATCGAGAAAAAAATTCTCGCTTCTAGAGGGAAAATTTCCTTTTTGATAAATAATTAAAAAGAGCAGCCTCAAAGATGGCACGACCCGTGAGACAAGTTTATACAGCGCGGCTCAATTTTCAAAAGCGCCTTGTTTCCCGAAATTCCCATGGAAAAGTCGAAACTTCTTCCAAAATTCTGGGAAAATGGGTATTCGTAAGAAATTCACCTAAAAATTCAGTTTTATGCGCCAAAGGCTTTTTGCTCGATTATTAAAGTTTTGAAAAAGCTGATCGAAAAAATTATTGCTGAAAATGCGTTGACAAGAGTGAGAGAAGATCGTCATCCGACATGTCATCGGTCAAAAACCATGAATCATGACACCCTGACATTGTCTCATCAATTCTCTCGAAAAGCTCGCAGCGAATAACGCCTTTTGGGCTAAGGATAAGAGAATATTTTCATGATTGAAAAAGGAAAGTTCCCTAAGAATTTGGAATACAAAAGTAAACTTTTCCCGCAAACAATGAAATTAAATGAATAATAGTGGTTTCAAAAATTTCTGTTTGAAAAAATTCCGGTTAAAATCTCTGTGTGGAGACTCCAAATATCTAACTTCGATCGAAACTTTAAGCCTCAATGTCTGTCGTTTACTGCCTAATTTTACTTTTTATCCAAGGGGCAAAGACGCTGGTGTAATCAAATACTTTCAAAATGTTCAAAGGAATTCGAAGTAAGATGCCAGGAGTGGTCACTAACCTATTGGGTTACTACCATTGGGAGAAAAACTGGCTCCAGTCAATGCTAAAAATGAAGAAACGAACGAGAGGAGGCTATGGAAATTCGAGACGAGAGAAGAAACGAATGGCATGAGTGCTGATTCTGACTTACACGGCTATGTCGGCGTGCACGTTGTGAGGCGATGAGGCATCGGAAGAGGTGACTCGTTTGGAGGAGGCACGTCGACGGGGTGGAGAGCCGACGGCGGAGAATGTCGTCGAAGTCGACTGGGGCTTCTCCGGCGGTGGAGAGTGTGCCTGCGGGAGGGGTTCGGAGACGAGCGCTTTGCCGCCGTTCTGCTGCTGCTTCTTCTCCTTCTTGTGATGGTGGCGGGCGACGACGCCGCGCACCATGGCGCGCATCTCCCTCAGGATGAACGACAGGCGAACGGCTACGTTATGCCGGTGGCTGTGTGTGTGTATGAGCTGGGTGCGTGTGCGAGTAGCCGCGAGGCCGATGGGCGGAGCCGTCGCTGCCTCGAGGGCAAACGGCTCTGTCCGCATGCATGCTCGTCTCCACGTCGTCGTCGTTTATAAATTTTCGGCCTCTTTTTCAAAATATCCTTGAATGCCGATTTAAGGTTCCTAACTATCTCTCTTTTGAGACGATACTGTGAGTGTTGCCTGTTTTTTCGAGTTCGTAGAACAAAATGATTTTGTAGTCCTCAAGTTGAGATCGTTTACCAGGATAGGAAGCAATAGTAATATACGACCAGAATTAGGTTCAGTATTCTTAGAAGACCAAAGAGAAGCTTACTGTATAATGACTTTTCAAAGAGCAAGCTCGAGCAATCAGATATTTTTGACGAGCCGTTCATCTTTTTTCTGCATGCTGGATCTTTTCTCGTGGAACTCCGGGGCGAGTTCGACGTAGCTATATGAAAACTTTCTATTAAAATACTTTAAGTGATAGAAAAATCTCGCAGAAGTTTCATCAGTCACTCTTGTTTTCTTACTATGATTACTATGATTACGTTGAAAAACGAAGAAAGAAAAATTAACTGTCAAATTCTGACCAACAGTCTCCCAAGAAAACTCCAAAATAACTCATCCAAAAGGGTTTACAAAAAGTTAGAAAAAATCTTTGAAACATTTAAATATTAGAATGATACTAAAAGTCAAAGGAAGTCGCTCTGATCATACTATTAGATTCTTGTAACTTCAGAAATTTCCTTAAGATTGTTATGAAATTATGTGAACATCTTGTGAAAATAGTAGAAATCAAGTATCGATCGATTTGCGATCAGCTGCGTCTTTTGCTTCCTTCAGCATGTGAGTTTTCGAAATGCGATTGTTACAGCGAGAGCTGAGGCCGAGGCCCCTGGGAGCTTGGTGATGATCGGCCGCATGTCTAGAGACTCCAAATATGAATCACTTTTAGCCCATTTCTCAAACATACTTGCGAAAAGAATGTTGCTTTCGAAACTCTCAAAACATTTGAACGTCTGGGAAAATTTCACAGAGATTGTTTTAAAAAAAGAGAACCGATTTCTATTCTTCTTGAAACTTATAATAAAACACGTCAAAAACAAATTACACTGTTAAATTTAAGAAATGGAGTTCGAGAAGAAGAAGAAAAAACGCAACACACTTTTTAGTCGATGAATGCACTGCATTTACATAACTTCCCAGCGGAGATTATGGAATCTTCAAAATTCAAAACAAGAAACGAATGAAAATGTGCACATGATTATTTCGGCTTGTGCTATGGAATGGTCATCATCTAAATCTTGTTCTGCGAATCGGCTATTAAGGGAGTCTGGACGGCTCTTACAACAACTGATCGGGTAATGGGTGTCATTTGGAAACATGAAAGAGAAGATGTGAGAGAACCGTTGTCAAAGCTCAGAAGAAGGACGAGAAGTCCGCAACATAGAAGAGACGAGATTGAGATAGGCGATTGACGGCGGCTAACACAAATAAGAGGAGAAGGCGTGGGGAACTAAAGGATGACGAAGGAAACATGGCCTCGAGGTCTCAGGAGACGAGCATTTGTGCCGTCCAGCACGTTTCAAGTACCGAGGTACTTCCGACTCCCAAATTGATCATCAGCTTAACTATATTTTGATATTCTCTAGTTCCCGCTTGACCATGTCCCGTTTTTCGTTTTTTTTTTAAATACAACAGCCACAAAAAGAAGATTGGAAACTCAAATGTTTCAACTGACTTTTCAAAAAACTAAATCAACTAACGGTTGCAGTCCAGAAGGGATTGTCGACTAATAAACCTCTGAAAAGGAAAATTCAAGTCTAACGTGCCATGAGAGCGGAAGTCACGGATTTGAGGGAACATTTAAAGCGCCAGGCTCCGCAATTCGATTCTTTCCAGACGCCGCTCAAAAACAAAAGATTGGAAAAACTACGAGGCTGCCGTGGATAGGAAACGGTCGCGAAAAAGAAGTTTGAAAAATTATATTTTTGACTGATACCTAGAAAAAAAAACTTGAAAAATGCTGGCCAAAAAGATGTAAACCAGTTCAAAAACCAACAACAATCAAATTTTCACGAAGTAATAGGGAAAGAAAAAAGAAAGCTCCAAGTTAAAGAAGAGCCAGAAAAAAGGAAAACAGAAGCTTGGTGGAGCGTGAAAAATTGTTGATATTGGAGAAAATTTCAATGAGCGCCGGGCCGAAAACGCGGCGAGAAGCATCAAATTCGGAAGTCGGCTTGTCTTTCTGGCTTCGTTGATATCTAGGCAGAGGGACACGCGAGCCGACAATTGCGTGACTCTCGTGCAGCGATTCGACCGATGAGCCGTCCGGTGGACGACGTCTTCTGAGAGTTCCCCTGGCCACTGATGACGACCTCTCCATACATTTCGCTTCCGGCTTCTTGTGTGACAACCCCTGGCAGAGATGACCGCACGTCTTCTCCATCACTTCTCAACACGTCTTCATCTTGTCTCCAACGTCTTCTTCTCTCTTTCAGCACATCTTCATGTTGTGAATGAGTGACTTAACAGCGACAAAAGCATCATTTGAAACGAGAAAATATAACTATGTGATCAATGAGACATGAGGATCAAGAAGGATTTCAAAAAATAGAAAATTTATCAGAAGAGCAACCTTTCCGATCGTACAGTACTCTGATCACTAAAATAGGTCATATCATGTTTTAACTATAGCTATTCCGTTCAGTATGATTAATACGGTATGACCAGTTTATTCAGTCCTAAGAGAAGATTTTTTGCTAGATCATGGGATAAATGAAGAGTTGATCGTCGGTTTGCATAATCGTTTGAATAAGAATGGCTAGAACATCTTTTCCTTCTTTCAAAAGACTTTGAGCGTTCCGACGATCAACTACTTCTTCATGTAGGAACAGTACGACGTCCAACGGGCATGAGATTGAATATCAGGCGAGAAAGGAAAAGAACGACCCCTAGGGAGGTAGAAATGAGAAATATGGTATGGGTAGAGTAAAAAAAAGAAATACAGCCATCTTTTTTGCTACAATAGAGGGAGATCCTTCAAATTCAAGTTACTCTAAAGTTCATTCAGAGTTTAGATACGAAGCAGAACCTCAAAAATAACTTTCAATGCAAGGAAGAGAGGTTATCGGAAACTTCAAAAGACTCAAAACTCAAAATTTCAGAAGAGAAAAAACGAATTTTTGCGTGGAAATTTCACGCTACAGCTTCTCAAAGCAGACTAGAGACCGAACGAATAAATAATAACTATTTATTCGATTTTATTTACTTACACTTCCCTTTTTCGCCTTTTATACAGATCGGAAGAACGCAAAAACAGGACTTTCTGGAAAAAATAAACATACCTCCAAGGATGTTGCCTCCATCCACGGCAGTTGGCGTGCGGGTCGTGACAAGGCGCGCCTTCGAGGACGTCGTCCAGCTCCATGTCGATCATCTTCAGCTCCCGCGATGCAGACGTCATCTGAATAGTTCGTATATTTCCAGGTAAAACATTTCTCGCCTCACAAACTGGTCAAGGTAATCAAAGAATGCTCTATTAAGGTTCTATTAAAATATTACTTCTTCTTCGATTGCATATGATTCACAGACTAAGTGTAATCCGCCTGTAAAAATGTGAAAAAAGGCACGAAGAAATATAAAGTTACCTAGAAGAAGTTGCAATCACAGGGTTTGCTACTGACCAAATCAAAGAAAAAAAAATTTCTAGAGCCAGTTTCAAAGCTGGTTGAGTGCTCACGGGTGTGAATTCAGAGGCCCAACTTTGAAAACATTTTGGGGCCAAAAACAGACACGTCGAAGTTTACGCCTGAGTTCATTTCCCTCTTTCTTACGGCTACTTTTCATGTTTTAACCTCTTCCTCGTGTAAATTCACATGATCTTTATTCGCTTTTCCAAACGAATAAAAATATGGGAGACTCTAGGAAATTTGGAACATTTTGGAATTAAAAAAAAATTAGAAAATGATCTTAAACGTTCGGAGCACCTTCTTGATCCGTTTAAAATGAGTTTTTTGATTTTCAATCTGCTTTCAATCTCTTAATTAATGATAGAATCTGATCCTTGAATATTTTCAAAGGTTTAGAAAAGACTTTTCGCAAAATTAGAAGGAAATTAAACTAAAATTTGATTTTTGGCTTCAAAATCCATCAAGTTGACAACGAATAAAATTTAAAAAAAAACCGCCTTTCGAAACTAAAAGAGAAAAAATGCGTTTAATTTCTCCTATTTCAAGACTGCAACTGTTTTTTAGTATATTCGACCTTTCAGGTCTAGGATAAGACATATATTCAAACAGGTTTATCGAAAAAGTTGGACAGCATTTAAAAAAATTGAAAAAATCGCTGGACAACTTTGAAACGATTTCCAAAGTCGTCTAGCGAGCTCGGGGGTGGGGAAGTGATAAAAGTGGTGGCAGCCCACGTATGTTTCATTCTCACAAACTGTTTTTTTCGATGACATGAACATCACTTTTTCGTCACGAATCGGAGCCGTTTGTCGGAAAAAGCCTTTCACAGCCATTTTGGCTCTACTTTCGAGAGCGGTTTAGGAATATAAAGATTCGACACTGTTGGATGTGGCCTCTTCTATTTGGTAGTTTATAGATATTAAAAAACTTCGATGGAAGTGTAGAAAAAACTTGGTCAGAGCCGGAAAGCCTAGGGGAAATTTCGTAACACAAAAACAATATTGTTTTTGAATAGACGGAAGTTACCAGTGGGTTGGCCACCTGCGGTAAAATTCGATTTTGGTTAGCTTCTCAAGCTTTTTTTTCCGAATAAGACTGAGAGCGTGTGCAGTACACAATGAAGCGTCTATTTTTTTCAACTTTAAAAAAAAGAGCTTCTCAAGTTTTTGTAGAACTTATCAATAAATACACAGAAAATTTTTCAAGAGCTAACTAACTTGACAAACAATTTCTAGCAAAAGCTCGTCCTTTTGAGGGAGCCCGAGTAGATTGTAAACAGAATGAAATTCGAAAGCCTCCGTTTGGTCGCTTTTGCCAATTCCCATTATTCTTTTTCGCCACAGGGGAAAACAACATGTAATTTGGGCAGGAACGCGAAAAATCCTGATTGAACCTTAATTTCTGGCATTTTTTCCATATGGTTCAAATCAAGACTAATACTGAACACTATTAACTTCAGAAAGATCTATTAAATATCTCAAAACTAAGTGGGAACCGACTTTTATCAACAAACCTCAAACTTTGCACTATATTATCCACTGACCTTATAAATAAAATTACGCTGGAAGACTGTTTGGCGCAAAAATCATGTTCTTCATGATTTAGGGTCATCCCAAACTTCAGATCCCTTTATCCGTAAAAAAGAGATCACATTCTCCTTTCAGAAGAAGCATAACGATAAAAATTTCGAAAAGAAGCTTGAAAAAATACTCGGACAAAGTCGGAATGGTAAATAATGGCCGCTAAGAGAGAGAGAGGCTCAAAAAAGGCCGCAGAATGGCACCAAAAAGGGAGTCTTTGTCCTAAAAGGAACATTTCTATGGAGCTTTTTCCACCCTTTCCGACTTTGTCTATGTAATAACTTAACATAATATCAAAAAATGCAGAATTTCATTTAGAACGAACAAAATCGAGAATATCTAATTTTTATGGAAAAATAACTTCCCAAATACTCTCAAAAAAGGGCCTTAGAAACAAATGAAAACTGGAAAAGTTGATCTCAATGAAGAGTTTCAATTCCAGACAGATAATATGGGTATCTCTCAAAAGCTCCAAGTTCTTTCATTTGATTAAATACCATATCTATAACCAGCTCATTGAACTTCAAATTGACGTATAACTGCGTTTTTGAGGGAAAAAAAAATTAGAGCAGAGAGAGGAAGTCGAAAAGAAAATTGAAAGATAGCCCCGGAATATTTGGAAGCGCTCGAGATGAATAGAAACCAATTTTGTGTTCCCACGCGTTTCGTTTGTTCGTCGAAATCCACAAAGAAGAAAATATATAGTCGTCTCATGAGCTCTCCATTTCGGACTTTCCTTCGTTCAGAACGGCTTTCAAAAATGAAGGCAAAAATAAAAAAAAAGTTTAAAGATTTTTTTCTTAGTTCAAAAAGACGATAAGCTGCATCGTTTCGACTTATAGTTTGGGGCGCACTTTTTTTGTTGTTTCCATTATTTTTCGGTAATTGCAAAAAAAGGTGAAAAATAAATTAAATTTTTTTGGAATTTTTCTATACATACTGAATGTACTTCACGTGAAAAGTAATACGTCATTTTCTAGACACCAATGTTTTTTGTGAAACCTGGTTTGCATATAGCCGATTAACGGCTAACTTAGAACGCTAAGGAGGCGTGGCCTGTCTGCGCTCTACGCCAACCAGGTACTATCTCTTCTTTTATCGTGTCAGGACCCATTTTTCGATGGCTCAAGCCAGCCGTGAATCAGCTGTACGTGGGCAAGGAAAACAAATTAATGATTTTGGGTTTTACGAAAAAATCCAAACAAAAAAATTAAGTCAAATTTTAACCTGAGGAAGGTATTACTGACTTTAACGTGGGGGTGAGGTAATGGCGGCCTTTGAAAAAGTCTGAAATTCGCCAAATTTTTGACTCATGAGGGAGGTCATGGCTAGAAAACTCCTTGATGTACCAGAAGGATATTCTAGAATGTTCAACCTGAACAACTTCCTCGTTTCTGGGAAAAGACGCCTCAAAGTCAAGGGAAACTCATAAAATAGTCTATTTTGAGACTTGGGGCCCTTTCTCGAAAACTAGAAATTTGTGCAGGTTTAGACTTTCAGGAATTACATCTGGTACATCAAGAAGTGTTCTGGCCGATTTTCAGGAAATTCACAACTGCAAAGTAAAATTACCTCCCTGTTAGCTTCGAGTAAGGATATTTAGTATTGCCGATTCCGAAAAACGATCTATATATATATATATATATAGTCTTTGTGCCACGACTTGAAATTTCACGGAACGATATTCCGCTGTTCCGCTGCGTGCGTTCGCGAAGCGTCTTTCGAATCTAGGTCACGCTTTCAATTCATTGTTATTGCTGTGGGAGCATATGAAAGTAGAGAACCTCAATAAATAAAAAATTAAAAGCGCGACCAAGGTTCGCAAAGACGCGCAGCGGCAAAACGGAATGTCGTTCCGTAAAAATTAAAGTTTTCAACAAAAAAACTTCGCAGGTTGCGACTGTGAAGACTAGACAAAACAGTAAAAGCTAAATAAAACTTGTGAGATGAAAAAAAAATTTAAAAATTGACTGATTTTTCTAAACCGCTCGGCACGTGTCTACGCGCTTTGACTGATCTTGTGAAACTGAAGAAAAACAAATTCCAACAGAACAGGTTACGTAGAAGAAGCAAATTATCGATTTTTTTCAAATCTATGGGCTCAGCGGGGGCGAGCACCGCGGCTCTCCTACCTAAATGGGAACAGTTCGCCGAGTACTGTTGGAATGGACTACCATGGAGGCGGAAACGAGGGAGATCAAAGGATGGAGAGTCGTCTTTTGCCTTCGAAGAGAACAAGTGAGAAGATAAAGTTGGGGGAAACGAGCTGCAACAACACACGCAGATGCCGTCGAAATGATTGCATTCACAGAACGCGGCTCGTCCCTTCCGAGGCGTGTAAGTGCACTCCAGAGAGGTGCCTATTGTTTCTTCCTCCACTAATATCCCCGAGCCGCCTGTTTGTTTTTTAAATTTTCATGTGGAAGAAAAAAAAACACTTCACCGCGTAAAGAACTCTACTAGACGACCTCTTGCGTTCTTTTCAGAACGGAAAATTTTGATTTTTTATTCTTCGTCATATAGTCTGTGTGCCACGATTTGAAATTTCACGGAACGACATTCCGCTGTTCCGCTGGGTGTGTTCGCAAAACGTCTTACGATTCTAGGTCACACTTTCAATTGATTTTTATTGCTGTGGGAGCTCAGGAAAGTAGAGTACCTTAATGTAAGAAAAAAAATTAAAAGCGCGACCAAGGTTCGCAAAGGCGCGCAGCGGCACAGCGGAATGTCGTTCCGTGAAGTTCCAAGTCGTGGTACACAGGCTATACAAAACTTTAATGTTTCTTGATATAAACGTGTTTTGAAAAGACTATGAACATCAAAAGCATTGAAAAACACAAAAAAAGGTACCTTATTGAACTTTTTCCGAGGCTCAGACTTCTTTCCGTCGTTCATGATTATGGGGCCGGAATGAGCAGGAAGACGAAAATTTGGGTTTTCTCATAAGGAAAAAAATGCGGATGCTCAAAATGGAATCTAATTATAAGCTGGAGCTATGTCAAGACAAAGGCTCTGGAGTCGATATGTTTTTCTCGCATTGAGTCATCGATCTATTTCATTACAGAAACATTTTTTTTAAAATTCGAATACCAAGTTTTTATTTACAACTTTCCAAGAGTTTTTTTGACCCCTCCATCTCATTACTCTTTTGAATATGTTTTTTTAAAAAAATTCTTAAAAAAAAGTCAAATGGAAAAAGATTCTCCTAGTTTCAACTACTCCTCGACCGGAAAATCCAGCGCATTGATTACAGGAACCCCCGACCGCAGCTTTAATTTTCAAGGGTCCGTTTCGAAGAAGTTCATGAAACTAACTTTGTGGAAAGGCCGGATGCGCTGCTGAACGCTGCGGTTGACGGCGACGGTCGCCTCGCAGACCTGAGGGGCCGCCGAGGTCTTGTCCAGCCGATTGTACTCGACAAGGGCGCCTTCCTGCGGCTCCTCGTTCTCGTTCCCGTACGACGAGTACTTCAAAAGCCCGGTTGATGAGCCGATTCTGTTCTTGGAGTACCTGCGGATCATCCGTCACGTCTTCTATGATCGTCCTGTGATTGTTTGTTCTCCGGGGAGACGCCGAAGAGGAATCGTAAAGGTTGACCGCGGCCAACATTTTCTGCAAAATTTCATCATTAGGCACCTTTTTTGGTCTTCAACACAACGTCAGGCATTAAAAACACTGAAGTAATGTCTTCTATATTATTTCGATAGGTAAAAAAAAGAAACAAGAGATGTTTCAAACGAACTTCAATTTCAGATTTTATATACAAAAAGTCAATAAACAAGTTCATCCCATACACAAACAGATTCATTTTTCCAAGAGAACTGAAAAACTTCTGGAAGATTATCCAATAATGACGTGTTGTTCGAAAAGTTTCATTGCAGGGAAGTTCATACCAAGGATGGCTCTCAACTCACAGTGGCACTTCTGAATGAGACTAGGCTCACTAGATGTAGTTTTTCACGCTGATTCCGAATCTGTGATCAAAATATGCTTTAAAGACCTGTGAGAAAAGTTATGGACTCTTAAAAGCAAAAAATTCGATATCGCTGATTTTGAAAAATTGGAAAAGAATTAGGAAAGGAGAGCTCCTTTTTGAAGGGTATATAAATCCTGTCCCACTGTAAACAGTTCCCTAACTTTTTTTTCACATGTCTCTAAAGCATATTTTGAGCACGGATTCAGAATCAGCGTAAAAAACTACAGTGAGTCTAATCTCATTCAGAAGTCCCACTGTGAGCTGAGAACAATCCCTGGTTAGAATTACTCATGGGCGAACCCGGGCAAAGTACCGTCAAAGCGGCTGTTACCTGGCAAAACACCAAATTGAGTCCCTGAGCGTGCGTAATCCGTCTCGACTGTTTTTCAACGCTAGCGCCTATAGTATAATCCCCAGGATCCAACCCTGGCCAAAATTTCTTCTAAAGTTTGCTCTTTTGAGACGCTAACTGGGTATCCACTTTATAGCCGCACTTGAATCACCAAATAATGAATTTTGAATGTGAAAATGAATAAAATTCATAACTTTCGTGGATTGAACATCTACAGCTTTCAGCTAACTATGAACACGATTGGAACGGAAGACCAAAAAAAAGCAATCACAAAAGGAACAGAAAAGTTATTGATTACTTCCTGAACTGGGAATCGAACAACACAACGAGGACAGACAGAGAGATTCTCGATGGGGCGTTTGGAACGGAACGCCTCCCTTTACCTTACTTATTCCATTCTTCTCCATCTAGAATCAGTTCGAGAATTATTGGAAAGCTATAGTCGTTATTAAAACTTCGGCACTAACTAATTTCCTCTCAACTTTTTTAATTATTCGCTTTCTATTTATAGTTCTGACCATTTTTTTTGTTGCTGCACAGGTAAAAAAAATCTAATTAGTTCGTCATTCCTATCTTTTTAGGGCCCAAATGACTCAGAACTGGCGCGCGAACACAAAAAAAACCATTTCTTCTCATTTTTAAAACGCCCTCGTTGAGTTTTGAGCGAATAAAAAGGTGAAAATGTCGTTGCGAATCAAGATTTCTATGAATCATTTCTGCCGAGCAATCAACTTTGAAAGGTAGTCTTTTTGAGAAAAAAGGCTGATACAACCCCATAATAATGTTAATATATTTAGAGATCAATGGGAAACTCAACGAGTTCACTTCGATCTACAATTTATATGTATAAAAATAGAAATAAAGTGAAGCATGCCCATAAAGAGAAAAAATATTCAGCTCTTCGAAATTGAGAGCAAAGAAAGGAAGAAAATAGAAAAATGAAGATGAGGAGTGACAGAAGAGGAAATGGAGAGGAAGTGGAACGTTCGTCCCTCGAAGGCGCCAACTTTGGGAAGGAGTGTGACTGGACAGAGGCCGAAGTGGTGGCAAAATGAAGATGTCAGGTGGAAGACGTCCATCAGAAGGAGAGATCGCACGACGCCCCACAACTGACAGCCTTCCCGCCGTTTCGACCAACTTTTTTCAAATGAGCAGTCTCTGTCCCGACCGGGCGGCGACGGGGAGTCTCTCATTTCCTCGCCTCGTCTCATTTTAACTTATTTTTTCTAGTAAATAAAATCAAGATGGCTTTTTATTTTTGAGTTATGGAAAAACACGATTTAGACTACTAAATCAAATAGCGGATGAATACTGTCTACATACTGAGAGCGATTTATAATGGTCGGTTGGCAGACAAATCGATGAGCAAAGTTCCATCGGATTTGGGTTCCTCTCTCAAAAAAACTCTCGCCGACGTGTTTTGGAGGTTCCCAGGTACAAAATAGAAAGTTATATGGCTATAGGAGATTTTAAACTGCTGAAAATAAAAAGAACAACATAAATCTGGGAGAGAACTGAAAACAAGGAATGGAAACAGAAGGAAAGAAGACCCGCTGCAGGTTGCTAAGAACGCTGTTTGGTTAGCTCGGACCGCAGAAAGGATGAACAAAAAAACTGTCTTAAGGGACGAAATTTCCGAAACCAGGTACAAGACCTCTTTTTTCGTTCGTTCCGGATAATTCCCTAAGAATTAAAAATAGTTTTCCTTTTTTTTCAAGGTTTCGAAACTAAAGCAAAGACGCTTAATAGAAAAAAAAACGCGGTCAATAAATCACGAGACGCACTAATTTTCAAACTCCAAGGCCACGTACAAAATGAGGCATCGTGAAGTGAAGAAAGACCACCTTCAATCCACAAACGACGCCTCAAGGTTTTCCAGTCACTTGTTCTACTTTTTTCAAAAAAAAAATTCCCAATTAACATTGAAACAGGAAGAACATATGGAGTTCGAAATTTCCGTTTTTTTATTGTTCATCTCTCCAAAACGACTCGCTTCAATAGTTGAGTGGATGAAAAGTAGGCGGAGCGGGTGGAAGAGCAAATTTCGAGTTGAACGGGGGAGCGCCGTGGTATTTGCGAGACAAGAAAAATGAATGACGCTCTCGAACTTCATAAGATTAACCCGTTCACGAAGTCATCAGTTATTGGGGACTAGCGCACACCGGAAGATTTCGTCGTTCAAAACTGGTCACTTCATTTCTCGGTCAAGTAAGATACGCTATTCAAGTTGATTTAAAATATACAGTACACTTAAATTTCTTTTCTTGGTTTTTGATTAATCTTCTGAAGTTGGAAGTGACTAAATACACTGCAGAATTCAAAAAAAAAAAAAAGTAGTTTTCTTCATGACTTTTTCTCATAAAACTTTTTCGGTTCATCTTTTTCTACTGTTTCTTTCTAGCATTCAACATGAATTCGTTGAAGGAGCAGAACCACATGAAAAAGTGAACAAAGAGAAAAACGTGAATATTAGTGAATCTATAGAGGCGTCCAACCGACTTTAAAACTTCGGATCAGAAAGAAACGACAGAAAAAAGGTCGTTTTAACAACAAAAAAGGGTTCGACCCGAAAGCTTGAGAGTGGAAGCGAAAAAGACGAGAACAGGTTGCGCTTTCTTATCACACGGGCCGTCTTCTTCGACGTCCTTGTACTCCCAATATCCAAAACCGTTCTTTTATGTCCCAGGCCGCGGAAAAAAAAAATCCAGGATCATTGGCAGTTTACTTTCAAAATTGAGCTATCCAATGAAGCTCAATATTCAAGGCGAAATAAAGTATAAGCCTAATTTTTCATTGCCTCTACGGCTATATTGAATCATTGTATACTCGTTATAGCTGGAATACTTAAAATAAAAAAAAACTCAGAAAAAAACTCTCCAATAACAGGCTCAGAACTCACCACTACTGAATTTTTTTCTTATTAATTTGATGAAAAAAATCTCATTCTCAAAGCAAGTTTGTTATTTTTCGGCTTTTTACTTCATAGTCAAGAAAAAGAAGAAGAAGCAAAATGTTCGAAGAAAGTATGAAGATAACACATATACATATGGAAGAAGAAGAAGCTCGCTTTTGAAAGGTATCTAAAACGGCGTTTCGTCGGGGATTCTTTTTTGCTTCTCGAGAATCGCCTCAGGCAGGGAAGCGAAGGAAACGAATCTTTTGTACAAACTGGGCAGCCGCTGCTTCATCGCAAACAGTCGCATAAGCACCCATGAGAAGATGACTTGCGATATTCGGCTTAAAATCGACTTTTGGAAAAAAAAAGGCAGACAGATCACCTCTCCGAGCCTTTTTCCAAGATAGTTTAAAAAATTTTCGGAATTGTTAGCATTGTTCTCTGCGCAGAAACTAAAATTGAACTTTTCTGTCATTTAGGATATTCAAAAAGTTTGTGAGTCTTGAAAAAGGATTCACCGTGCACATGCCTTGGGCCCTCAAGAAAGGGTTTTTGAACAGAACTTAAGAGCTCCAGAGTGGTCCCTATAGGGGACACGTCGGGAGGGTATCATCTAGGGACCACTTCACCAACCCCTATAGGGTCCACTCGAGCTTTAAGGGCTAAGGGGTCAGACCCTAAACTTTTATAGGCACGATCTTAATTTTAACCCTATATGTACCACTTTTTCGGCCCTTTAAAGGGTTTTTCCCCCTCCCTGACCCCTATAAGGACTCTGGAAATCCTAAGAAAAAGCGCCATTGAAATTTTAAAAATTACAGACCAACTTTCATCGAAAAGAAATTAGAAAAGAATTATTTCCGAGAAAAACATATAGACGGACCTTAGTTTCTGTGACGCGCTGAAAAGATTCAATTGTTGCGCATTTGGCCATGAGGAGGTCAAATTTGAACATTTGTCGCACTCATCAATCGCGTCCTGATCCGAACCGGTTTCCAACAACTTTTCTCACCTACCACTCTTATTCCATCATTTTACAAGTTTTTTCTATTGACTGCCAAAAATTAGGAAATATTTCCCTACCTCCCTATGAAAATTCAGTCTTGCTCAAAAGTCCGAAAAAAGATCTTACAAGCTTTTTTCCTGTTTTTCTACCACGTGATGACGTTAAAAATAAACTGACTCGCGCTAGAAATAAAAGCTGTTTCAAAAAAAGCGATGAAAAGATTCCGATAGAGATAGGACAAGAAAAAAGACTGAGAAACAGACGTCGTCTTCGGGAAGCTGTACGAGCGGCTCTTCTGGGTGCGGAGGCTCGGGGCTCTGCTTGGAGACGTCGCAGCCGTAGATGTCGACGACCTCGGCGTTCTTGTCGTAGCACGAGCACAACAGCTTCGAGAGTCTCCCGTGCGCCGACGGCATTACGCCTTCCGCCGCTATCCTGCAAAAAAGTTCTTCTAATAAAAACAGATAATCTGGGAAAAATTTTAGTGGCCACTATAGAGGCTCGCCAAGGACTAATTGACTAATTGGAGAGGACACTAAAGTGGCCACTTCAGCAGTTTTTCATCCAGTATTGCTTCCAGTAACTCTGATAATTTTAAAACAAACAGATTGGACCAGTTATGTTGATCCATTGATCCCTCAAGTGGCCACTAAAATTTAAGTGGTCTAGTAGTAGCACTTAGACCCCTCTAATGGCCACTAATTTGACTACTATAGTAGCTACTAGAACGTCAAAAGCCTATAGTGGCCACTAAAAATTTTCCCAGATCGTTGAGATCCTTCATCTTCTTTCTACTCAAGCTATTGTCTGGTTAACTTCTTCAGGAAAACTACTTAATAAAAAAAATTTCAAATGTCCCTCTAAATCTATGCATTACTTTTTATCCATTAAAATTTTATATTCAGCGAAACTTTTGAAAAAAAAAACGCAATCCTGGGTTCAAAAGTTCAACTTATCTAGTTTCTTTTTGCGACAAAGACGGTAAAAAATTTGAACAGTAAACAAAAAGGCAAGTTTTCAATTGACTGAAAGGTTTCAAAAAAAAACCTACACTCTGAAAAAACTCAATAAAAATCTAGATCGTATCCATATTCTTTCAAATAATCAATGACCTACATAGCTACTCATTTTTTTATAAAAGCCTTCTTTTGAATAAAAAAAAAGGGGGGTGTTAGCCCGTTTATCCAAACAGTCTTTTTCCTCTAGCCGATTCCACAGATCAGCTGTTAGATTTAATTGATTTTTTTGAAGTGTAATTTTTTTGTGGTGATGTCTCACGGAATGGCGAAAAAAATTCGGAAAGAATGATAGAAAAAAATGAAATGTATCATATATAAAATGATATATATAAATATACGCTGTATATTTTTTTAAAAAAGCAAACTTTTTTTATTAGATACCTTGAAAAAAATCAAATATTTTTCAAAAAAAGTTTTTTTATAGAGAAAAAGAAAATGAAAGGTTTTTTTAATATAAAATTTCTCAGAAATCCAAATAGGAAAGCAGATAAATAGTGGAAAGATCTTTCAGAGAACCAGAAAGCGGGTCGAAAGGCGTTATCATCGCCGGCGATTCTCAACTCTTCCTTTTGTTTTGAGAGAAATCTTTCCTGACTGAGAGGAATGAAATTCATGAAAAAAAAAACAATAAGCAGTGCAAGTAGGGAAGACGCGCGAAGATTAGTGCAGAAGCCGATTTGCTTTTCTTTTCCGCCCGTTTGTCTACTTTACCCGACAACTTAGATGGACATGAAGAACAGTGGATCAAACCTGTCAAGTGCCAATCATTGGAGGGGATTCCCATAGATACTAATGAATAATCTGAGAAAATTCATCTCAAAAGTTTCATCCTTCTTGGGAATTAGAGCGGTCCCCATAGGAGTTAGGGGGAAAAACAACTTATAATGAAGCCGAAAAAGTGGTTCCTATAGGGGTAAAATCAAGGTGGGCCCTATAGGGGTCTTTCAATTTCATTCAAAAAACGCTTATTAATTCAGTTTTTCGCTGGAAATTCTTCTTCGCTCAGAGTTCATGACAATTATTGACTAGAATGTGCCCTATAGAGGTCGCTAACTAAAAACCCAATAGGGACCACTTTTGCAAGCTTTAGAGGGCCCTCCTAGGGCCCCTACAGGGACCACTCTAGTTAAGTTAGTATTCATTTCTGTGAGAGAAAAGTTACGATAAACTATTTTCATACAGAAAAAAAAAGAATTGGAACTGTAAAATTTAAGGTGAATGAATAAAAAAGAAAAAGGTTCTCTTTGTTAGTTTGTTGGAGTTTCCTATGTACGTAATTGGCCTTTAACCATTCTCAAACTCTCGCTAAACTAATGATTCACACTAAAATGGAAGAAAAAAAAAAATGAAAAAAAGGAGAATTGTTAGTTTCCTAAATAGTCGAATCACGTGTCTGAATTTCTACGGTTCTCTTCTTGTTTTTCCCAATTTTCTGTGCTGATTTTTGTTCAAATGTACTATTGATATTGTTCCATCTATGTCTCGGCTGATAAAGTAATTATAACGAAACCACGTTTTCATGATAGTGAAGCAAATTATTTCGGAAAAGTGCAATCGAAAAAAAAACCCACTGGTAGAGTTGAGCTGCGAAAGCCTGTCGAAACGCATTTGAAAGCTCTTTCGGAGACAGGAAATCCGACATGTTGGAAGCGTCGGGACTCCCGGGGGCCAAGTTCTGCAGAATAATACCAGTAAACCGAGAAATCACATTTGAAAGAAGATTAAAGAGGCGAGTCGAAATCATGATTTTATTCTCAATTTTCGGAGACGTTTGAAAATTATGTGACCCCTTATTCATTCTATACGTCGACCTCTCAAACTGGACTATAAAATTTGATACAAAAAAAATGGTTACTGTTGGAAAAGTGAAATCGAATGACGGAGAGGAAGTCAAAAGCACGAAACAAAAAAAAATGTGAACTCAAAGGATTTGGCATTCGACGCTAACCGAAAGATGAACGCCAATTTAATCTGTTTACTCGGTTCTGCGTAACGTGTACAAAGGTCAATCGTCTCTTACACCCATTGTTGCACTTTTTTTTGCCATGAAAAAGCCGACTTGTCTCCGGCCCGGCCTGAACGAGGCCTCAAGCAGAAACAGCCAGACCGGCCCAAAATATCAAACTTTCTTCAAGTCAAATATCAATCCAACTCACTAGTCAGCCTAAACCCAAATAGCGCAGAACAAAATTCGGTGTAAACTTCGGTGGAAGGATAATTCTGAGTGTAGAATTCGATAAAATGTTGTTATTTTTTTTTTTTTCGAAGCTTGGCCCTGGTCATGCCCGGGCAGGCTTTTGCGCAAAAAAAGGGCACTAAACCGACCTGATTCAGGCTGCCGAAGCCAACGTACAAGTCTGAGCGGCTCGGACATTGGTAACGCTTCTAGTGACCACTTAATAGCGTCGTCCGTGATCCCTAGAATTTCTTTGAAACGTCCAGAGTAGAGATGCAAGAGACGCGATCTCATCTCCAAATGAAAAACATTTAAAAGAAATTTATCTCGTCTCGAGAGATTTTGAGATGGAAAAAACTTTTGTACGCAAAAAAGATGAAACAAGACGTAATATATGACGTTTTGGTCGTGTGCACGGAAAGCAATTAATTCCACGCACATTTTAAATTTATCTGTATAAAAAAAAGTTTTTCCCGCAGCTTATACTTTTCGGTCGTTCCAAGGGTTTTTTGAAAAAAAAAATTTTTCATTTTCTTCAGCTGGCTGCCCCCACACCAAATATAGCCTACGGTATTTGTACAGCTTGCCTCGCGTAAATTGACATTAGATTTATCACTGGAGCGCGCTTTTTCACATTCATTTGATTCATGTTTTTTTGATGGTACGACAAAATCTCAAGTCCGCAAATCTCGAGGACCGTAATCTTGTGTACGCAGATCTAAAGTCCCATAATCTTGGAAACCAAAATCTTGGAGACCAAAATCTTGGAAACCACAATCTTGGAAAGTAAAAAAATCAACGCTTTTTGCGAATAGATTTTTATCAGAAATTGTATTCGGTGATCCAAACGAGAGAATATAAGTAGATAAAGTGCAATAAAGAAGACTAAAAAAAGGAAGATTTTTTTGCTTTCCAAGATTGTGGTTTCCAAGATTTTTGGTCTCCAAGATTTTGGTTTCAAGATTATGGGACTTTAGATCTGCGTACACAAGATTACGGTCCTCGAGATTTGCGGACTTGAGATTTTGTCGTACCATCGTTTTTTTAATTCATCATATTCTTGTTTTTTTATACCTTCTCAGACCTTGGTAACGCGAACGGGACGCGAATCGGACGTGTCGGGGCATTTCTAGTGACCACTTTAGTAGCCTCAGAACTCTTAATGGATCCCTAGAATCGCCCAGAAACGTCCGGAGCACGTCCGTTTCGCGTTACCAATGTCCGAGTTGTTCAAAGTGGTTCCGCGAAACTCAAAATAGCGTTCAAACTGTGAAAAATAACTCAATTTTGCAAAGTCAAAGATAAATTCGAATTTCACGGAAATTACTTCGACCACAGGATTATATTATTTTGTATTAATATATTTCTTTTTGATTTCTGCGTGCTATATTAACTGATTCAATTTTTTTCAAACTTGATATACGTTGATTTTAACGCACTCTTTCAACTTTTTCTGATTGCCCTCTGATTTCTGATGGGTATCTGATCTAAATGAATTGAGATTTCAACCAGCAACAACCTCTATTCCGCGTGTTCGATCGTAAAATCGATTCCGAACACGATTAATCGTGTTTTGAACACTGATCGGTTCTCTGACCCCAGTCGCCAGCTTTCCGCCAATCTTTCGCCAGCGCGCGCCCCGTCTTTCGCGAGCTGGCGCGCCATATCGCGGCGAGCTGGCGAAAAACGCGCCAGAAATTCGCCAGGGTTATCTATAGCGCGCAGATTCCCCCTTTTTTCAATCATTTCCCTTCCTCCAATATTGTTATTTTTATATACTAAAAATATATTTTATCAACTTTTATTATTTTCAAAAATACAACATTTAATGGAAATAAAATCAACATATAAAATCAAACATGAAGAGAACTTGAAAAAAATGAGATATAAGAAGGAAACGCTTGCAAAGTTTACAACTTAATTTAAAAACAATATCTTTCGATTCGAAAAAAAGATCATAATAACAGAACATCAAAAAAACTTTACCAAAAAAATTACATCTTAGAAAAAAATGTAAGCCAAAAAAATCCGAAGAAATAAAAGGAAACTTGAATTTGACTGCTCGTAAACGCAAAAAAATTTTTAAAATTTAAAAATTTTTTTAATTTTTCGATAATATGCAAAAGAGTTATTTGTTGCTTCAAAATACCAAAAAAAGAAGAGAAATTTTAAAGCTCCAACGCATCTAAGAAGTGATATCGACGAGCAGTCAATTTATATCGGAGACAAAGTTAAAAATCCTTTCAAAATTTTTTTTAATTGATACATTAAGCTGTTAAACAAATTCTCTGAAGTTATTTTCGCACATTCTTCGAGCAAAAGGTTGAAATTCAGAGGATAAAAGAGCAATACTAGAGTCTCTGTTGTAAAAAAAAGTTTGAGGAAGTTTTATAATCTAAGGCCGTAAAGTGGTAAAGGCTCTATTAATAATAAATGGCTTAAGTTTTAAAATTAGTTTATAGAGAATTATATAGAAGACTCTTATACAAAGTATTTGGAAAAGAAAAAATTTTTTACTCGTGAAGAAAACTTTGAGCCATTTATCAATTTACTTCAAATGGCCACAAAATAAAGAAAAATAATGCGAAGAGATTCTGATTGTTCACAATTATGATCAAGGCATTACATTTTTGTTGTGCAGTGATACAACACGGTTCTTCAAATTTATCAGCCCCTTTTCAAAGCAAACTACGAAACTTATTTTTCAAGTCCGAAAAAAACTGCTTCGAAAACTCTACTCGTCAGCCGAATTTCGCGAGCATGACAAATCCGAGTAATATTTTTTTGAGGCTAAAAATATAAGCTGTATTTTTTTAAAGCTGAATTTTTACGGACACAAAAATACAATAATTTGGGTGCATCAAGATATTTTTGAGGCTCATAAAGTTGATGAACGTGTAAAGTTTACAAATATAAAAAAACTTGAAAATTTCGCGGACATTTTGCGTCGAACCCGTTCTCCGTATTTTGGTCAAAGCATCGTTATCCATTTGCAATGAACATCATGACGCCGTCGGGTGAGATCGAAAATATATCGATGAAGTGCTTTACATGAAATCCAAAACTTACCAAAGTCAGAGGAAAAAAAACATCCTTCAGCCGTAACGGGGACTTCCTGACGATGCTTTTTTTCTGAAGGAAGCTTTTTTGAGGAAAAAAGTCGAAAACACTTACTAATTCAACTGGAGTCGTTCTTTCAGCCTCACGGAAAGAGAAGTTCAGCATGAAAACATTAAGCTTTTAGAGCGGTTGATCATCCACGAAACTAAATCGAGAAAATAATTCGAATTTTCTTATTTACCAACCTTTCAAGCTGTTGTTTTTTAAACCTGAAACCCTCCGTCGCATCACATTTACTGAGCTCTACACAAATAAAAAAAGGTTTATATTCTAATAATTTTTCTGACTTTTTTTAAACTTCTTTTTCAACTAAAGTCTGTTCTTTTGTTTCGTTTGAAGGAGGATACGTGCCTTTGCTGCAAAACTCCAGATGTAAAAAAACTATCTTATAAATTTAATTGTCCTGCAAAAAAATCGCGTTTCTTTCTTTTGAACGACCTACGCAACCTACAGTTTTTCTACTTCTATAGACAGCTTTTTTTGAATTTTTCACAAAAAGAAAAAAATGAAATCAAGAAAAAAATTGCTTGTTACATCAAAACTGCATTGCGGCATCGCTTCTGCGCTAGTTTGGACAAAACAGGAAACGAACACTGAAAAATCGTGAAATCAGCAAAAAATCAAATAGAAAAACAAAAAGACAAAAAACGCGAGTCCCAAAATTTTAGATCGAAATATAAAATACAGTAATAAAAGCAAATTCGCGCTATTGGTTATGTCGCCAGAGAATCGCCAGGAAACCGCCACAAATTTGATGGGCGCGAGCTGGCGAAATGACTTTTTCTGGCGGATAGCTGGCGCCTGGGGTCAGAGTTGCGTTTAGAAAACTTTGAGGAACGGTTTTTCCATGTTTCGCGTGCAATGCGTACAAAACGCTAGACCTCACGCAGCATGGGGTTGCCGCCAAAATTTTATTCGATTTAACGCTTTTGAAAGGTATATTTAGTTCAAATTTCGAATTTCAAGCAGCAAACTTCGCCCCCAACAGCGCTCTGTGAATGGCTCGCTCTCTAATTAGTTTGATCTACGCATTAGGGAAGGAGTTTGAGCGATGACATGACATTTAAATCTGAACAGATAATATTTCTGCGGAATGTCCGAGCAACATCCCTCACTTCAAGAACAAAAGAAAAAATATTCTTTGCTATATTTTTCGATATTTTTCTTAAGTTTTCACGAAAGTTGGGCCGATCAATTTGAGCCTTTCCTCTCTATTTTGTTCGCGAAAATTTCAAAAAACATAGTTTCAAGAACCAAAACTTTATAAATTTGCAGATATGGCCGATTTTGTCAAAAACGAAGATGAGAAGAGATTCTGGAGAACCGTTCGGAAAAAGCACTGTGAGCGCTTCCCTATTTTTATCCTCCGTCTATATTTATGTCTTCAGAAAAAAAGTTTATAATGAAGACTTCGACTGAAAAATCGAAAGCGAAATATCTCATTACCGATAAAAATTACACAATCTTACGATATTAAATGTTTTGCAGTGAGTAAGTGGAAATCGGTCCTGGTAAACGACCTCGACAACTGTCCTTTCTACAGAGAGATACCTTCCTCCGTGAGTTACCTATTTATTTCGTCGTATGGTTTTTCTTTTTCAGTTCGTGGCGATCGAAAATGTGTCACCCCAAGAACAAGAAAGGCTCATCTTCAATGAGATGTACCTTTTTCTTTTGGTAGGCCATTAAAATGAAAAGTTTATTTGTTTGTCCTGAACTCCGCAAACTCGAAAATTACTTCATTTAGTTTATTTTTTTCCCTATCCGAAACTTTTCATAAAAACTTATTACATCAGAAAGCCACTTTGACATTTAATTTTTATGTCAAATCGAGTTCAGAAAACTTCTCCAATACTCTTTTTCAAATGAAAGTAATCAGATCCTCATCTAGGCTTTTAATATGCGCATAGAAGAAAAAAGTTACAAAGAAACTCAGAAACGTGAAAACAGTTCTTACTGACCTTTTTGTCAAGTGTGAAAGAGAAAAAAATTTATCTCCTTCAGGGATACCAAAGCGAAAATATTCGTTTAGCCAGTTTCAACTCGACTTCTTTCCCAACTTCTATCGTTCTCAACCATTCTCTCGATCCTTTCATAAGGTATTTCTCGCAAACCTTTTTAATTATTTAATTTAATCAAGGAGCGAATTGGAGCGTTTCAAACACGTACTCATTTCGTTGGCGGTCATTCGTCTCGCCTGCTACAGTTTGTTTTTGTTTCTTTTCCTAGAAACGATATTTTCCAGGAATTCAGAACGACGGCGTCTGTTTCTCGGTGATCAGTAGAGCGGTAGCTACGGAAATCGACACCAAGATTCATGAGTTCATGAACGAAATACTGAGAAAACTCGATGAAAACAAGGTTTTTTTTGGCTCCGAATAATCTTCTAATTACCATCAACTCGCACAAAAACCTTTTTCACTGTTGTTTTTTGTCTTTGCGCTTATTTTCCCTTGGATGTCATGGTACTTAAAGGTCTCTATAGGGGCAACCTTAAGACCACTTTACAACCCCTATAGGGTCCACTAAAGCTTGCAAAAGTGGTCCCTATGAGGTTTTCAGTTAGTGACTCTTATATGGACATTCTAGTCGATGACGCCCCCTATAGAGATCACTTAAGCTTCAGGGGCTAGGGGGTCAGACCCTAAGCCTATATAGAGACCTCTTTTTTGTCCCCTATAGGTGTTTTTTGCCCCTAACCCTTATAGAGGCCACTTGAGCTTTAGGGGCTAAGGGGTCAGACTCGAAACCCCTATAGGGACCGCTTTTTGGGTCTCTATAGGGACTTTTTTCCCCCTAACTCCTATAGAGACCACTCTGAGATTCACAAGTAGCATGGCTTTTTTTTACAGGAATCGGCGATGGTTTTGAACCTTTTGTTTCGCGAAGTGCACGAGATCAGTGAAACACTGATGTTCTTCAGTGACATCGCGAAAAAAATTTACAATGTTTGAAAAATTCAAAATAAAAATAAATCAAGGCCAAGATTTCAGGAACAATTGGTGGGAGGCCAGGTTTTGAGCATGTTGCATTTGAAGAGAAATCAGATTTATGCCGGCCGATCGCAGAAACACCTGGAAGAACTCTTTGAGGTTTTTCGCAGTTCTCTTCATTTTATCAATGGAATTTCTCAGGTTGGGTGGCGGATTTTCGTCGAGTATATGGGGCGACTAGTCACGTCTTTCGAAGCTGACGACTGCAATTACGAGGTTTTTCCGAATAAAAATCGATGAAAATTTCGTGCTCAAAGTGATTCCGCGAAATACAAAGTAGCCGTCAGAGATAGAAAAAGATAACTAAATTCGGGAGGGTCAGAGACCATTTTGCATTTTGCTGAAATTACTTTGAACACGGCATAACTCTACTATGGGATAATTAAATATATGTCAATTGGAATCCCCTGAAAAGCACATTTAAACTTCTTTTTACGTAATCTTGTAGTAAATTTTTTTTTTTCGTAGTTTTTAGAAAGAGTTGTGGCTTTCCGAAATGATTTTTTAGAGGAAAAATGAGATCTTTATAAAAAACAACGTTTTTTTCTAAATTTTGGAAGGTAAGTGGAAAGGTCCCAAAGAGTGTCTCCTCACGAATCTCCTTTTTCCATAAAATTTTATCTTCTTTGCAGTTTGCTATGTGGTCAAACAGAAGTATCGATTCGTCAGAATTTTCGAGGCTCAATATGCAGTAAGGCTCTCAAAAATGAATAGTTGAGAGATTTGAGCTGTTTTCAGCTCCGAGTACCGCACGAGGTCCTCTCGATTCGTCATCATCGACGACCTCTGTCCGAGTTTCCTTCACAAACATCTGAAGGTGTTCCTCCGGTGTGCCGAGTTCGGCGACCTTTTCGCCTTGGCCGAGAGCCAGAAACGTAGAAAACAAAGGCGTACCCCGGGAGACGTCGACAAGGTTTTGGAGCTCGAAAAGCCGAGCCACGAGGCGCTTTTGGCCACTTTCCGGGAGGTCGAATGGAACAAACTCAACGTCGACGCCACTTTCCGATTGGTTTACTTTTATTTACGAACTTGATCTTGCACGAGAAAAATGCTATACGGACAGTCAAAATCTGCGAGCTCCTGACATACTATTGTCTAGAATCTCTTCTTCCTCGCCAATCAGATAACAGAGAGAAACTTTTTGAAAGCTTTTATCTCAAAAACATACATCGGCTAACCAACATTTTTGTGACGTCATCACGTTACCCCTCCTTGAAGAAGTACGTACTCCCCCGCAAGAGTCTTTGATGTGAACTGACTTTAAGAGTTGAGATAAAAAATTTTTAGGCTACTGAAAAGTGATTTTTTTTTAATTAGCAGTTTATTGGCTCAAAAAAACGTCCGGAAGCTGAGAGATCAAAAACTGGGTCCTTATTTAGGTATGAGGCCAGTATAGGCCATTCCGCGCCAGCTTGTCACGTTTTTCTTTCCGCCAAAAGGCTAGGTCAAATTTTACCAACTTCGCTTCAAGACCTTTGTTTCTTTCCGTTATAAACGCAGAAATTTGATCTAACTTGGTATACATGCGAAAGTAATAAATTCCATGTTATGCTCAAGAATCAGAAGTTTGTGCATATAAGGACTATTTGGATATAATTCTGACATATGATTTGGGAAAATTTCGTAGAAGACTCTAAAAAATGACTCGGCTTGTCGGCATTTGTGGAAAAATTCATTTAAAGATGGTTCTGGTTTTCAGCTGGCACAGCTTGAGCGGAAAGGGTCCGCCTGTCTTTTACAACAACTTCGACAAGCGAACAATGTCGACGCTGACCTGAGGTAAAGGTTCTTCTTTTTCAATCTAGTGACGTCATTTAAATGAAAAAGTAATTTTTATTATTTTTTTCCGATTTCAGATTCATCAAATTTGCGCAACAAAAAGTTTTGTTCTGTTTTCGGACCGAAATTTTGAAAGACCAGCTAAAATTCTTTGAACTCGTTACTCTTCCAGAGAAGCGCATCAATTGGTTCTGTTCGGAAAATGCATCGAAGATTTGCTCCAAATCAGCGTGAGTGATGAATTGCTGGACCTGTTGGTGGATGTAAGTGAGAAAATCTTGCAGCAATAACCCTGAAACTCAGGAAGTCTCCAAACATACTCTCCAGAAGCTCACGAATAAGCTTCTGGGCGAGGGAGCGGCCCAGGCCTTGCCTTTCTGGAAAAATTTTTCGTTGGTTACTCTCATCATTATTTTCCCATCCTTCAACACACAGATTCGTTTTGGATCGTGAAGATGTCTTCAAAATCGTTTGCGATTCCAATGTCCAGTTGAAGGGTTACCGCGAAACAATGGACTACGGACGCGAAGAGGTTTAAATACATTCTTTTTTGTTTTTTTGTTATTTCAAAGTTCCTCAATTGGCATATGCCCTCAATTTATTTATTTCTACCTTTTTAATGGCTATAGTAGACGCGAAATAGGAATTTCGCGTTGTGAAGAGTAACGAAACTCGAAAAAAATGTTTTCTTGCTTTCGGAAATTGGGAAGCCTCCTGAATAGGTATAGCTGATTCACGGAGCCATTAAAAAAGGTCCTGATACGATAAGAAAAGAGATTGTGTCTGGTTGGTGGAGAGCACAGAAAGGCCACGCCCCTCAGCTTCCCAAGCTAGCTGTGAATCGGCTTCTTATTTTATTGACTATTGATAAATTAAAAAATCAATCAATTAATCAAAGAAGTTTTTCATCTGTAGGATCTGTGCTTCTTCACGGCGTTGTCACTATCATTCCGATGCCCGCCAGAACTGGAGACCTTGTTGGCGCCCAGAGCCATCGAAAACGCCATCTACGTGTTCCGGCTTCTGTTTCAGTTCTCTGTCGCCTCGCATAAAATAGCCCTGGGGTAGGACTACTTCTCGTGTCCTTCCATCAAAAAGTCGTCAGGAAAGAGTCGCTCCGCGGCAGAATGCCGTCGCAAGGCGGCGACTCCGACGGAACGGCCCTCCGAAGAAAGTTGCTCTTCTCCCTCGACGCTGCCTTGACAAGACTCAAACGGCATTTTTCCGTCTACACACAGTATGCTCTCCAGATGTTCAACAGTAGCTTGGCTTCTGTAGGGAGAAAATGTATTCCATAGACTACTGATTAATCTTCAGGCTTCTTCAATCGACGAGTATATCGCCGCCCAAAATTCCCTCTCCTACAACGTCCTGCGGGTACGCAAGACAATATGAGTTTTTCGAAATCTTGCGAATTCAGATGGTTGGAATGAATGAATGGAGTCGATTAATCTACATGAAAGATCTCTTGAGTATAGTCCGCCGTTACGACGAGGGAAACGAAGTGAGTTAGAACTTGGTTTTAGCCTTAATAGCTTTTTTCAGAGTCTCGTGTTACTGGCTGCAGATTTCGAAGATCTCCTTTCTACAGCGATGGTGGACGTTCCAGAATAACATTTTTAATCTGAAACCCGTGATTCAATCATCTTGAACTACGTGTACCGGTGATCTTATGTGCTTTATGAGCGAACTTTGATCTTTTTCTGTAAAATATTACTTTAAAAATAATTATATAATTCAACCATTTTTACAAAAAAACAAAACAAAAAAAACAGTTCGCAAAATACAAAACTCGCAATTTTCAGAGATCGTCGAGGGATGCAAATTTAATAGTCAGACTTGATATACACATGAAAGATAAAACTCAAAAGGGGAAGTATACATTAATAAAAATGAATTGATTTTTGTCTTGTCAAGTTTCCACATTCCGCACCTGAAGTGGTTCTCCTTGTTGGGCCTCATACCGTTGCGAGGTATTCCTGAGGAAACGAAGCGTCACGAGATCGACGGCTGACGACTTTCCCCCTTAAATCTTTCAACTTGAAAAGGATTCAGTTCTTTTTTCCATTTATAGTCTATTTTATGGTATTATCCTAACGTCTCAAAGCCAATGTTAATTTGACATAAAACTCCTCGATTCAGCGATTTTTATAAAAAAATTTTTTTAGTAAAACGTTAATCGCTAAAAATGAAAGCGGAAATGCAAAAAGTGGTTCTTGATTGACCTTTTGAAAAAAATATGTTAGTCTTTTTGTATTTTTCAATCCAGAAACAATCAAAAATTCAACCGATACAAAGGTGAATAGACTATAGAAACGAACGATTCAGTAGAGAAACCAATGTTCCGCCCATGATGACGTGACAATAAGCTGCACATCCAAGAAAAACGAGGAATTGCACGACAAGAACGTAGAAATGGAGCCCGCTCGCGCTGATTGAGCTCTGATTCGAGAAGAGAAGTTCAATCAACAGCGAATAAATATATACCACAATCGAAACAGCCAGATGAGTTACAACGGCGATGACCGCTGGTATGTAGACGGACATGGTCCGCCCGAACTTGTGACAAAAGTCCCAGACCTACAGAGGATTAGGCGTCTTTCTTCGAGTTGAAGCTCACCATAATTGTCCAGGTGATGTGGAACAGGGTCAGCAGCAGAGCAGATAACGCGTAGAAAAATGGCAAGTATTTGCCCGCGCGATTGACGTCCGTTGTAGATTTCTAAAGGATCGTAGTGAAGGAGAGTGAAACTTCTTCGAAATGTTGTTCTAGAACTGGAGCATACGTCGGCTGGATCCCACCCCGGGGTGCCGCCTTAAACTGCGGCCTAATTCAGTACATTTTCAAATTTTTTTTCCCGTGCAAAAGGCTGGGTTGGAATCCAGCCGACGTAGGAACTGGCGAAACTCAGTTGCCAGCCCTCAGTCTACCTCGATGGCTTGCGGCAGTCCTATAGTTCCAGGTCCGGAAAAGGCGGCGAAGACGTTCATAGTCAGGAACAACCCAGACATGACCCCCATTCCCAAGCCACAGACCTAAGCTCAATACTTGAGAACTTAAATCTGTCACAACTGACCAGAGCCAGCATATGCCGCGCATTGTGCAAGTCCGTCACTCCTGGAGCCACGGAAACCTCGCCAGGACGGGTTATTTTGTTCAACCCGCTGAAAATATTTTTTTAAGGTTGAATCTACAATTGAATACATTTTGGCCTATCGAAAATCTTTACGTGGGCTTTTCCCAGAAGAAGGAAAAAGTCCGAAAAAGAAATGTGCGAAATATTCCTTTCAAAAATCGAGTTCGAGAATCTCGACGCTCAAACTTAGCTTCTCGGAATTTCAAGTTCCTGCGCCCGTCTAACAACCTTTGAGCTTCCTTGAGAAGCAGGAAATAGGAGACACGAGCGAGTTCCTGCAGGAAAATGCCGATGACGATGGAGACAACGTAGCCGTCGAACAACGTCCCTAATCCCAGCCAGATCAAAGAAGAAAGCAATAGAGCCACCAGCCAGAAAAATGCTCTGAATTGTCTCAGTTGGCCGTTTCGCAGACAGTTTCAAAGATTTTTAAAACATAAAATTGGAAAAAAATAAGTCTTCAGGGGCGGCATAGCTCAGCTGGCATAACTCATTTCTAACGTCCGCAAGGTCGTAGGTTCGAGTCCCCCCGAGGTCTACCAAGCCTTTCATCCCTCCGGGATAGATAAAATTGGGAGCTGCATGCAGCGAAAAGGCTCAATCTCTGCCATCGGCCTTTGGAAAGCCGGCACCGTACTTCTTTCTACGACCTCTCTTGTACCTGATGTCCTACGAGCGAAATACAAAACTTCTCTGCTTAAGCCACAGCTCCTGCCGCCGTTTAAACACAGTTAAATCAATGAAAGTCGATTGCACATGTATTCTTACATTGAAGATGCAATAAACAGTTTAAAGTCTTCATGATCTTTCCAAAGAATAAAGACTTGTTTTCCGATATTTCTGAAAAAAAGGTGAAATGAAACGCACCCGAGTACAAAAAGGATGATTCTGACGGGGTCGTGGACAATAAACCTGTGGAACAAGGCAAACGCTGGAGCGAAACTTATAATGTAGCAGGAAGTCGTCAATAGGTAACCCATCTGGGCTAAAATCATAGATAAAACACATCAGAATCGCCAAATACTTCTTTTTGGATTGAAAAAACCGAAAACGTGAATGGAACAAGTCGTATAGAAACGTTTACTGAAGGTGACAACGGTTAAAACACAAACTCGGCATTTTCTCTTGACACCCATGGAAATAAAAGTAGAAAAGGAAAAACGGGGTCAATCACAGATGCATAGAAATGAATGTACAAAAAAGCAACCCAAAGTTTGCGTAAAGCAACGTGCACAGAAGGAATTTTTGGAAGGCAGAAAATGAAACTTCATCGGCGTATCAGTTCACAAATGTAAATCGGGGACAAAAAAAAAGAGAAAGATAAGTTATGAAAAATCAGAAAAACTCATATTTTATTTTGGGGGAAAATTTAATGTTTCTAATTCTTGAAAAGCGTAGAAGCAGCGTTACCCGGCTATAAGGAACAAGTACAGGAAGGAAAATGTTAAGCGGTATGAAAGGATTGTTTTCTTTTCAGTTGACTTTGGCGTAGGCAGGTGGCGAGAACTTCCTCCTCAAGGCTTTGATGATATAGAGCGGAAGGCAAGATATCATGGTGATAGCCGTCGTTTTCGACAAGAACATCCAGGAAAGGACGAACGAGCGGTCGAAGTACTGGTCGAAGATCACCAGCGATATCATGTACAGGCCAAGCGACAGCGCCTGTATTCAGAAAGCCATTATTTTGCATATTCTCCTCATTTTATTGTGAAAGGGTTATGATAATCCATTATGAGAAATTTATATTACTTAGAAACTTCAGAGTGGTCCCTATAGGGGCAACCTTAGAGCCCCTTGGAGGGACTTCTTAGCCCTCTTCTAAGCTAAAAAAAATTGTTTCGATATTGATTCCAATTTAAAATGAAGTATGAACCTGTGCGAGAAGCATGGCCCAGTGCCAAGTGTGGACAGTCATGGCCACCATTATGAGCTCAGTGACAATGAGAGCCGAGAAGGAGATGGAAACGACATGGATGAAGTCCGCGTCGAACACCAGCAAGGCTCCGTACATTATGACAGCTCCTGTAATGCAGTTTTTTTCAAGAAAACGGAGAAAAACGGCGAAAAAAGATAGGTCATTTCAAACTGATTACTCTTGCCTTCGGTTCAAGCTCTAAATATTAGTAAATATACAGTAAAAGTAGTAAATATGAACCTCAAGAAGTTGAGAGATTGAACCAAAGCTCAAAGTCCTAAATATAACCTCAAAAATTTATTTTTTTTTTTCCTAGTAGTCAAGTGCTTCGAGGCATGACAAAACGAATATATCTAACCTTGGTAGAGAGATATGAGGACCCAGATGCAGAAAGTCTTGTAGGAGAGGGATCTGCCTTTGCCGAGTTCCTTGTAGAGTTCGGGGTAGGTGAGAGCGTTGCTGGCGGTCACGTCGCGATCGACCACCAGAGAGAAAACCGGCAGCATGGTGTAGCAGGTCGAGTAGCTGCAAAACAACAATTTTCGTCTGCGACAAGGCTTTCCAAAAGGGGGTCTAGCTACACTTTTTCTGACAAGAGTTCATAGTCTCTTCTGCCAATGAAGTCAGCCCAGCCGGGCTAAAACGGGGTCTCAGCGGGTGCACCAGTATAAGCACAATTTTTGACACTTTTTACCCCAGAAAAAGCCGTTTTCGTCCGCGACAAGGCTCTCTTCAGGAGATGCGGTCTAGCGCCACCTTTTCTGACAGGAGTTCACAGTCCCTCCTGCTGATGAGGGTGGCCGAGCCGGGCTAACGCGGAGTCTCAGCGGGAGCACCCGTGTTATTCCCGTATATGCACAACTTTTAACACTTTTTACCCCAGCTGAGGCACCGCCTAAGCACAGTTGGGTCACAGATTTTTGAAATAAACAGCTGGTTCCCTTATTCTTTCTTACACCCGTTGTTCCTCATTTTAGCCCAACTGGGACTCAAACAGCCAAAAAAAAAACCCGGATACGGCATCCTGGCCAGCATGTAAGGTGTCTTCAAAATGAAACTTTCAACCTTTTGAATTGTTTTGATGTCGAAAGTTCAAAGAAAACTTTTTTAACAGTTCAGCGCCAGAAATTTCAAGCCAAGTTTTATTTTCAAAACTGGTTGACAATCAACATTTGAGCATTTCTTAACAGATCAACTGTTGAAAAAAGGTTGAACATATCCAGCCATTTTGAGAAATTCAATATCCCAATATACTTTTTGCGACTTTCTTGGAGAAAATTTTGAAGTGCTCATGGCAACAATCGTATGAGAAAGAAAAACAAGAGCACTTTTCAACTAAAAAAGTATTTTTGAAACTTATGACAGCGATTAAAACTTACGCAACCATCAGTACGCCTTGGTACAACGAAACGGAGGCAAAGTAGAAGACGCAGGAGAAAATGGCTTGCATCGTCGAAATTATCAAACCACTGGAAGATGAATAATAAAAACTGATACAAAAATCGAGAGACGAACCGATGCATTACGAACTGTGAGAGGGCACAGGAGCGTTTGTAGCAGAAGCGTCCATGGACAAGGAGGAGCCGACAGACGTGAGAAAACTGCGTGATGGAGAAGTCCGCAGCCAAAGACGCTTGTTTTCCTGTTTTTGTAGAAATGTTTATGGAATTAAAATTTATCGAGCTTCAAGCTACTCTGTCTGTTTTTCGTTCGTATGAAAGCCGTATACTTAAAAAAATTAAAAAAATTTCGGAAATCCTTAAAAATAAAAACTTAAAAATTTCGGAGCTCCTTAAAAATTAAAACTTGAAAATTTCGGAGCTCCTTAAAAATTAAACTTAAAATTTCGGAGCTCCGCCGTACAAAACAGGATTTATATATGAATTTCCAGTCATTCCACCCTAACTAACTAGGTCTCCTAATAAGGTAACACTCGAAATTGGAAATAGTTTCGAAGAGGAAAGAGTGAAAATGGAAGAACCTTCGTTGGCGTCGATCCCGATTCCGGCATGGGCCGCCTGGATCATACTCACGTCATTTCCTCCGTCGCCGATTGCAGCAACGCGTAGCGGAGCTCGGTACTTAAAAAAATGATGAAATAAAACTTTCTACTGTATTTAATTATTATTTTGATAAAAAATAAAAGCAGTTGAAAATGAATAAAAAGAAACCTTATACAGTACCGTCAGAAAAGATACGAAAAAAAAAACGGGGGTTTTCGGTCATAAATTTCTTGTAAGTAATTTAATCTTTCTGAAAACTTCTGAGGTTGTGATGGCTGATATTTTTAACACTCTGATGAAGCTTCAGCACTCTGAAAAAAAAACGGCGCTTCATAAACTTTCCGGAATATGGAACTCCTTACAAGAAAATTGTGACCAAAGTCGCGGTTTTCGTATAAAGTTTTAACATTAATGCCCGAAAAGGAAATATTCAATGACCAGCAGCTTTATAAAAAGGAAAAGTTCTAATTTTGTGAAAATCAAACCGAAACAAGAAGAGTTTAGGAAACAGAGGTTCGAAACGAAACCTTTTTGAGCAGCTGGACAATCTGCGCTTTCTGTTCCGGAGAGCAGCGACAGCAGACAACGGCCGTGCAAGCACAGACGAGCTCGGCCACTTCGGCCTCATAGTACTGAAGACAGACGTTGAGGGCTGAGCCCGGCATCACCAGGGCGACGTCGCTTTTTCTGTAAATTTCCATTTTGCGTGTCCCGAAATGGTTGGAACCTTCGCAGGTTGTTCAGTTCATTGTGGGCGTCAGTGCGGTTATGGACATTGCCGAAGACGTGGACGTTGTCGCTGCGAGAGAAGAGGCCACTAGACTTGGCGATGCAGATCGCCGTCTCGAGCTTGTCGCCGGTCAACATCCAGATCTTGATTCCGGCGTTGCGCAGCAGTTCCAGGGAAGTTGTTACTTGGTCCTGAGAAAGATGACAATTTAGTGACGCCTAAGAGCCCACAGGAAGACTTTTACATAGGTCTGAAAATACAGAGCCATCGGTATGAACTTTCTTCAAAAACAAAACTTTGTTCCGGTTAAAAAGGTTGAGGAAAATAAAATAAAAAAGTCCGATACCTGGAGGCGGTCCTCGACTCCCGTCAGACATAGCAACTGGAGGTCCTTCTCGAGCATCCGGTTCACCACACACGCCATGTTCTGGCTACGGTCGCTGATCGACATTTTCGCCGAGTGGTAGGCCCTGTCGAACGCCTCGAGCTCGGTGTGCGACAGCGGCTTCTTCGCCACTACCAAAGTTCGCAGGCCTGCAAAATGTGATCATCAAAAATGTTCAAATGATTCTTTCTACTTGATTTTAGCGTGAACCTTAACGAGTTCACATGGATATAGAACTTAGGAGAATACATAAAACATTGTTCGAGTTTTAGAGGAATAGATAAGAAGATCTCGTGTAATGGTACATTGACTAGTAAATTGAAAGATTGAAATAACATATCAGAAAGTTGAGCCGAAAAATGTAAATCATCAAAATCACAATGAAAAAAGTTCAAGATCGACGAGTACTAGGAAATCTGTTAAATTGCAGCTTTCGAAAGCAAAAGTTCAATGGAGAATATTTATTTTCCAATTTTAGCGTCCATCCTTCCCGAGGCTTCCACCTGAGGACGGTCTCCTGGCTCCAGCACAAGATCCACTAAATTTTAAGCTCGTCAAGTTGCGACTGGATGGACTATGCACAGAAGGACGAAGCGAAGGACCGTAAGACCGTACTTTCACTTTGATAAACTACACTTTTGGACTTCTAGCTCCGCAAAGCCGTTTTGAAATAACTTCAAAAGTTCTTGCGGGCTTCCTAGTCGATCACATCGAAATAAATGTCTTCTTTACAGATCTGCTCTGTTTCAATTTTCAAGCTCAGACTCAGACTCAAAAAAGGGATCCTAATCGGATTCAGAAGACTATAAATGTCTGATAAGTATTATCAATCTGAGAAATTGAGACTGTTAAAGATAAAGACGACTGGAACCTTCGCGGGCCATGTTGCTGCACTCCTCGTCGAGCCAGTCGTTGTACTGCACCATGCCAGCCATCACCGTGTCGGCGCCTTTCATCAGAAGACTCACTTCGTCCGTCGTCCCGTCCTCAACCGCTTCGTTTGTTCGGAAACCCAAAAGTCAAACGAACCCTCACGATGATTCCCATACGTTTCGACTCGCTTGTGAACGGGAACATGTGCAGGATCTGAGTTCATTCTAACAATTTTTCATAGGAAATCTCCAAAACTTGAAATTGTTTCGTCACCGCTTCCTGACCGGGAATAGTGATGCTCAGTTGAATCGAATGCAAATCGCGGCTAACAAGTCGAACTCCAACGGTTTCAGTCCATTTCACGAGCGCGACCTTGAAAATATATTGATGAAAAAAAGATTATGCATCTGATTCATTGAAAAAAAAAAGAAAAAGGAGATCCAGCAAAAACAAAATTAAAATAAAAAGCTCAATCCGTGTATCTTCTTCATTCCGTTTATTCAAATTCTTCATCATTCGGAAAAAAAGGAACTTTAAAGGAAAAAAATTGGTATAAATATACAATAAACTTAATTATGACGTTTCCGTTTGCCTTTTTTTGTTTGAAAAACCCAAATATGCATTTTTTTGATCAGAGCTGTAACTGATCGAGGAACCAAGATAGTGAGTTTAAAAAAAGTTGATGATTCTCAGAAATAAAAAAATTCGCTCGTTTTTTATTTTTTTACTTTTGTTTGAATATGAAAATATTCGGAAAAATGAAGGCTTTCTTGCTCAGGGAAGATTGAGAAAAGTGAGATCGACGATCTATAAATCAGCATTATTCGTGAAGAAGAGGATTATTCGAAGTTTGATCAGGAGCTAACCTCGTCAGGACTCGCAGCTTGGTACGAGACACAGCCGTTCTCCATGATCGGAGTGACGTTGTGGCACAAGGCGATCGCTTCGACTGCCGTCTGCAACTTGGCGGAGAACGAATGTCTGAATGTTTTCCTTCGAAAAGCTCGAGGCGGTCTCCAAAACCTGGCAAGTCGACCCGCATATGCGCTCGCCACGTGTTGCGCCACTTCCTCGAAGGCGTCGCAACTGAATGAGACTGTCCCGAGGTGGATCTGAATTTACCTTCACTTAAGAACTTCTTTTTTCTTCTCTCCTCTCATCAAACTATGAAAAAATTAGTCGCATTGAGGCGGGTGGGAATGATTTTATATTTTTGAAAAAGGGTGCAAAGACATTTGGCCAGATTCAGGGAGTAAAAATCACAAATTTCCCTGTCTATTATGTCCGCAACTGCTTGGCTAACGAATTCTGAGTTCAGAATTTTTTCGGAGGTTCATTTTACTCGGCGCTTTACTACAGCTTTTCAAAGTTTTCATGGTAGAAATGGAAAAATAAATGCAATGTTTTCGAAAAAAAATGTACTGACTAGCATAAAATAATAGATCTCGTTTTCGAGTTGTGGAGCTGAAGTGTGCAAAATAAGCAAATTAGGCCAAAAAAGCGCTAATTCGGGTTTTTGAATAAAAAAAAGTTCCTTAGTTATCTCTTCCCTTGCCAGAATAGAGTTCGGGCAAACCTTTTTGAAGTGCATCTCATTTTTCGTCAACGTTCCTGTCTTGTCGGACAGCAGGAACGAAATTCTGCCGAGCTCTTCTGGAATCGTTGAGGAACGCACTACGGTCTCCGGAATGTGCTTGTCTCGGCCGATTTGCCACGAGAAGAAGAGCTAGAACAAACATATTGGTAGGGATGATTTTCTTAGAAAGAAACCTTGGCCATATCCAGGTTGACACGCAGAGAAATGGGGATGATGTAGGAGAAGAGCAAGATGAATCGCATCAAGTACCGGTACCAAAGACTGTCGAGCCCCTTCATCACAACCATTACCGAGGCGAGGACGACGACGAAGATGAAGAGGAGCTTGGTGAGGTTGTTGACCTGGATGGACACGAGTTGGATACCGGCCGGGGTCCCGAACCTCCAGATCCAAGAGTCCGACTTTGCTCTCCGGGAGCGTCGTGTTCATGACGGAACGGGTCTCGCGGCCCGTGTAAACGACGATTCCAACTGCAGTTCCACTGGCCACAACCGTGTTTGCCCACAGAACGTTCTCCACGTTCAAAGATCCATCTTGTACCTGGTCCTCGTTCATGATCTGAAACGTCGGTGACCGATTTTAAATTCTCAAAGACAAAGGGGCAGTAGAAAACGTAGTTCGAGGTAAAAAAAAAAAGGAATCTTGTAGAGCTTTTCATTGCGAATCGAACGATCTAGTTGAAAAAAAGCTCACTCGGACATTGGTAACGCGAAACAGACGTGATCCGAACGTTTCTGGGCAATTCTAGGATCACTTGAGAGTACTGAAATCGTTCTTAGAATTGTCCTATTTTCGGGAGCTTCTGTACATTTTCAAATATACCGTTCGACAGGCAAAGAGCTTTACAAAATGGCAAATTTATCACGATGTTCGTTTTTACTGCCTATATAGGTTTAAATGTAATTCTCTTTTTATATAAAATTTATTTTTTTATCGATTGATAGAATCCTAGGACCTACCTTCATTGTGCCAACGAAAGCGTGAATATCTTTCTGCGGCTTTTCAGCGTACACTTCACAGTTTATTTCCATTATTTCCTGCAAATTAGTTCAGTTTTTTTCCACTCAATGAGCTCTCACAGCTTCGTTGGACAAATGTTGAGTGAAGGGAATGGGAATTCGTAGTTTCCAGTCGGTTTCGCCGTCGAGCTGGTCGGTTCGGATGAAACAGGCTCCCGACTTGTCAGTCGTTCGCAGCAGAACGACGTCTGCAGGTACTCGTCGATCTTTGTGTATCACTATCACGTCGCCGACTTCGATGTCACTGAATGACGTCGAAAATATTGCAGGGAAAATATTGCCCCGAGCAAACCAGCTCTTGACGTGGACTCGAGTGCCGTCCCTCGTCAACTTCTCGTATTTCTCGCCGTTCAGCTCTTTATCACGGATGAATCTGACAAAATCATCGAAGGCTTCTCTTATCAAAGTGATCGTCAGAACGAAGCCCTGTGAAAATTGAGTTTCTTTTGGTTGACATGATGATCTCACCAAAGGGCCCCAATAAGTGATCGGAGCGCCGATCTGAATGGCTGGAATGAACTGTGAACAAGCCATAAGTAAGAAATAAAGGTTCAGAAAGAACTTGAACTGTTGGAAAAGCACCTGGAATTTTCAATCATGAAGAGTGGGAAAACAAGGAGACGAACCAAGGGTACGAAACTGAAGATGTTGTACTTCTGGTTGCACACTTTGTTTGGAGGAAAGGAGCCGGCGTTGTCCTGGCCGATGGGTCCATAGCCGACGCGGACGGTCCGCGAGTGGAGCACTCGACGGCGCGAAAAGAGCGACCGACAGCATCTGAGGAAGCTCTGTCGTTTGGACAATCACAAAGTTCGTTTGATTCTTTTTTCAATTCCGCCAGGTGTAATCCATTAGTTACTTTATCATTAAAACTCTTTTTTGAACTAAGAGTCTTCGAATCTCTTTCTCTTTCCAATGCCCCGGCATTAACTTTGAAAGTTTCAGCAACAAATTTTTATACTTTCAATTTTTTTTTTAAGTTCTCAAGGAGTTTCCCGAAAAATACACTCAAAAAAATCAAACTTCATTCTTATGAGAAAAATGAAAACTCAGTTCTGAGCATTACAGACTTGCCGGAAACTGCTAAAAAAAATGAAAAAATCATTGTTCGGAAAACCTTCTGAATCTTGTCGGCCTTACACTAGCACAAGCATGCTTCTCGAAATGGTGGAGCTGTCTAGAAGCGAGACATGAAAACTAACGCGTTTGTTAGCACAGGTAGAAAAAATTTAGTAGTAATAAAGTAACGACGATTTTGATTTGAAGAGAGTCAAAATTCAGAAGGCAAAACCTTCGATGAAAAAGAAAAAAGCCTTACGTCCATCAGTTACGTGATATGGGACAAAACTCACAAGGTGGTGGAATCAGAAAAACTCCGGAATGAGAAGACTTTAGGCTTGTTGGAAACGTCGGCACCGAATCTCACGCCAAAGGAGGCGTCTTTGTCGGCCGAAAAGACCACCGACGACGTCTCCGAGGCGGCCTCGAATCCTTCATTCGTCATGCAGACATCCGAGTCTTCGAGGCTCTCCCTTACTGAACCCAAGGTGCTCTTTGGGAAATACTTCAAAACGCAGGAAACCGCGACAATTCAATGAATAAGCAGATTGACATCGGCAAATTTAGTTTCTGGAGCGACATAATCAAAGTATTTCACTTTACTTCTAAAAAAAACTAAATAAATTTCACATATATATTTCTAGCAAAAAGGCAGTAGTAATTTGTACATGATCCTTTTTTAAAATATTCAGGCAGGTATTAAAAAGAAAATGTTATTTCTACAAAAGTAGTCGAAAACGGAAATGGAGGTTGAAAGTGCAGTGAACTTCAGGACAGGAAAACGAGCTCCGAGCGCGACGAAAATCAATTCCAATCGCCGGTTTGATTCACACACACAACACACACAAACCGCAAAACACACATACGATAAATAGATTCTGCACAATAGATTATTGGGAGATGAAGAGGAGGGAAATATTCATGACTAAAGAATAAAATGTTGAGATAACAGACTTCCTTAGCTTTTCTGTTCCTACGTCAGGAGATGGAAAAAGCAAAGCTGTGCTGAGAAACTTGTAATTAGGTCTAATTATAGTCTAGTGCAATTTGAACAGGTATCGCTGCTTAGTGAATATAAAGATTTATGATCTTATGTCGGATTCTTCAATCGGCACTCGACCCAATAAATGGATAAACAACGACGTCTTCATTGCGTCTCGGGGTGAGTAAGAATAGAGTAAATACGGTTATTCACAACTCAGAGGAAATTTGTACCGCATCGATGAGAAAAAAACAGTATTTTCCCCATTCCGCGCCAGCTTGTCACATTTTCTTTCCGTCAGAAATACCGTAATCAGATCAAAATGAGCAGCTTCGCTTAAAGACCTATGTTTTTTGCTGTCATTTTTGCCATTGTGTGGAGCAAAAGGCAGCTTTCTCTTTTCTTTTCTTTTCTTTTCAAACGTGACCGACTCACGCGGAACGCACTAAATTGCCTGTCCATTCTGATTTTGCAAGTGAAACAAATTAAAAATTGAGCGTAATACGAACTGAGCGACATTTCCAAAAAAAACGTATTGAAAACTTCATAGATGCAAAGTGGCGGCGCGCCGAAACCTTGACAACTGAAGCTCCGCCTACTAGAGAATCAGCTTACTTTTTTGGGTTTTCCTGGAGCATATCTGGACAAACCTGCTTTCGAACGCGGATTTTTCACAACTGAAAAACCAAATAGCAGTTCTTTCAAAGAACTACTAGAGTCTTTTCTCGAATCTTCTGTGAATGAGGGTTCCTTTCCCATTTGGGGAAAACTCCGCCCAATTCAACGGAAATATAATTCCTCGCGCGGGAAAGAGAATAGAACACGCTGATCCAGCAGAGGAAGCACTAACTTTTTTTTTAAAGTCTCTTCCTCATTACTATGCTAAGACCATAAGCCGGATACATCATAGTTAGATGTTTTAACCCTTTTCGAAGTCTAGATACACATGTAAAAAACTAGGCGTAGAGCAATTTTAAGATAAATGAACAATACGTTGATTTTATTTTTTTTGGTTTTGATAAACTTTTCCTTGCAAAAAAAAAAACGTATCTTACTTTTGCTGTGTCGACCTTTGGAAAATCATACTGGGCTCCAAAAATTTTTTCGAAAAAAAAGGTTTTTCTTGGCCAGGAGAGCAAGGACAAGAACCCTCCAAAAATTAGCTCAATCGGGGACACTGACATTTTCACCTTTTAAGAGCCATCAACTTTTTTCACAGACCTGTAGTGCAGTTTTTAAGACCATATTTGGAATCAACGTGAAAAACTACATCTAGTGAATCTAATCTCACTGCGAATGGAGAACATTCCCTAGTCAACTTGAAAAAATTCAAGGAGTCCGAACTAATTAGTCTGATCCCAGAAATAATTCATTCGAAGTTCGAACGATAGCAGTTTGAGAAATGAAATAGTTACCTAGTCATGCTGAAGCTCGAGGAAGATCTGGAAGAGACGGAGGGCAGAAGATACACGTCGTCAGAGCCCTCGACGCCAATCTTTGAAAAAATCAGTTAGAAGAATAGTTTATTGATTTTGGATAAACCTATTAGAGAAAATAACTTCTAACAGAAAGACCTTATAGTTTTAATTAGTTTTCTTCAGCATCATTTTGTTTTCTAATCGAACATGAAAATGAACCTCAGAATCTGGCATTGGTAGCAATCGGGAACGTTCGTCGGCCTCTTCTTGGCTACTAGCCAGCCGACTGTAACGCATACAATTTCAAACACCTTATTCTGAAAACTTTGAATTTTCGATGAACAAAAATAATTCGAACAGTATAACAGAGAAATTGAACTCCAACAATACCGAAAAGCTTTAACAAAAAAAATTTCATTTAAAAAAAAAGTTAGATAACAGATCACAGGGTGGGGAAAAAAAGATATGCTTTTCAATGGCAAGGGATTTGAAATTTTTTCATTTGTTAATTACCAGTAACAGTTGACAAAATGAGAAAGTACTTAATTTTTTTATTTACATGGATGATCATCCTACAGAAATATATCTTCAGAAGATAGGGACTTTCAAAATACATGGGGTACCTATATGACCAAGAGAATCAGAACCCCGAAAATAGCACCTAACAGGGCGGCAGTTACCCCAACAAGGGCTGTCACGCTGCCCGCCAACTCGCGGCTGCTCTCCTCGATTGACCTGCAACTTATCGATCTTCTTTGATGGCTATCTGTTTAAAAAACGAATTTTCCAGCTTTTAGTCGTCTATACTCTGTTCCGACAGATGTCGGGTTAAAGCAGATTTTACAGCACAAAAATAACCTAGAGGCTTAAAAGAATAATGTTATTGGGCTCAACAGTTACTTTGAAGGCGATACTTAAAATAATTTCTTCTATATATTCGTCGTTTTCTTGGTTGTTTAAAATCAATACGACTTTTTCTATATAGAAAATGAGAAAAAAGTCACACCATGAGAGTTTTCGAGCAATCAGTATTTAGAGATATACTCAGTTTGTGAGGATTTTAAACGTCTTGTTGCCGTTTTCAAATTTCGAAAACATAACGCTTGCATTCTACTACTAAATTCCAAATTAATCCCTATAGGGGTTAGATCAAAGTTGTCCTAATAGGGGTTTAGGGTCTGACCCCTTAGCCCCTAAAGCTCAAGTGGTCTCTCTATAGGGGTCTTTCTTCATTTAAAACCCCTTTTTTATTTAATTTTTCGCACAGAGTACACATTATCGATAAGCATGTCCCCTATAGCGGCAACTAACTAAAACCCCATATGGGGTTCACTTTCACAAGCTTTAGTGGCCCCTTTAGGAACTATTCTGGAGTCTAAGTATATTCATTCCTGATTTCTTCTCATTTTCTAGCTTCAACTAAAGTTTTCGAACGTTTACCGTTACACGTCAAACCCCTAATTCTGATTCACACCTTTTAAAGTTTTGACAGAGTAATTTCCTATTATAAAATATTTTTTACATTTTCCTCAATCTGAGCAGCGATGTAAAATTATTCAAAATGGAAAAAAATGAACTTAGTGGCGCTGATGGTGGCGTTTGTGATGCAAAAGCCGTGCGAAATGGCGAGAAGGAAGATGAGAAGGACGAAGACCCCGTCGTAGGGCAGCATCGCGTGAGTGTGAACGCGCGGCTGGACGTTGCACGCCGCGATCAGCGGAATCAGAAGAAACCGCAGCAAAGACACGGACACCAGCACTTTCCGTGGCTGCAACCCATTCATTTCCGGTAAAAAATAGATAATTGATTGTTGAGTAAACACAGAAGATAAGGAAAACACATTAATAGATCTTTTTATGAACGGAAAAAAATACAAGGAAAAAAAGTCGGAAACTTCGGCGTCAGAAAGTTTCCTAGCGAAAAAATTGGAAAACTTCGCTTGTTTTTTTTTTTCCTACCACCGAAAAATTAAGTCACGGTGATCATTTTGTACACTTGAAGCTGAACCAAAAGCTTGCAGATATTTCCAGCCCAAAAGAACGTTTAAAAAAAAATTAAAATTTCAAAAATTTAAGTATTATATAATGGCCTAGTATTCACAGTCATATTTCAAAAAAATCAGAAGCTGGTAGGATTTTTTTCAAAAACTTTGAGCAAAAAAATGACAAAAAAATCAACAAATATCATAGTTCACTAAAAATTTCTCCACGATTCTGCATTTTTTTCGTATTTTTTTCCCGCCAAAAAAAATTATTAAAAAAACATGTATCAACGATAATAATGAACATTCTCTTTTTTTGTATGTTTTTTTGGTTTACGAAGCTTCCTGTGTACTTTACTTGCAATTTCTTGATAAAATTTTCGATTTACTACCTTCTCTTCTAAACTTTTTTTACAGTTATAAAAATGCAACAATTTCGTATTTCGAAATTAGAATAACGTACCAGAGGAATCGTGCTGGAACAGGATCGACCGACCAGATCTCCAATGTTGTACAACAGGAACGAAATGACAGAAGAGAAGTATTCTGCGAAATTCCAATGAATAGAAAATTAATCCAGAATCCGACCACCAACCATTCCACAAATGATTCTTAGAAGTGCTTCTGACCAAGCTCGAAAGAGCTGGGTAAGCAGTGATGGTGACTATCAGGATGAGGGATATGGCGAAAAGATCAACTCCAGCCTGAAACAGCAAAAAACTCGATCTTCTCAATTATTTACACCGAACCTGACGGAACACGTGCATCGTCTGTTGTCTCACGTCCACAGTAGCAGGTTCAGGTTCCGGAATTATTTCTTCATTTTCATCGAGAATCAACCTCAAATTGGAGATTATAAGCCTTCCAAATCATTTTATTTTGCGATTAATAAAGAAAATTTTCAAAAAGAACCTTGCGTAGTCCACAGTTTCTTGTGTTGGCGTCAGCCTCACCAAATAAAGGTAGACGAAAATGCTTCCAATTGTCCACACAATGCAAAAGACGAAATAAAATTGGCCGTTCATGACGACGTTCGACGTCGCCGCTTGGCAAAAGATGCTGAGCAGCGCCGCCAAGACGCCGGCCGATGACTGTCCAATCATCACGGCTTGCGTCTGAAACAATTTACCCAGTAGTAGGATGATCATGTGCGCAGATACATGCATATCTCCTTGTTCAGGATACTAAAACTTAAGAGATCCTAGATATCTTGCATTTCGGAAATTTTTTCTAGATAAAAACTGTCCGGATATATCAATTTGCAACGCTTTCTGGAAAAACATCCCATCACTAAGAATAACTGACGAGATAAACGCGAGGTCGGTGGCGGTACATTGACGAACTCGCAAACATGTCGCTTTTTTCTAGGCGCGATCTCGCATCTTTCTGGGCGCGAGCTCGCATTTTTCTTGCATTTCGGAAATTTTCAAAATGCGAGAGAAATGCGAGCTCGCGCCCAGAAAAATGCGAGACCGGCGCGAGAAAAAATGCGAGATGTTTGCGAGCTCGTCAATGTACCGCCAGTGTCTCGCGTTTATCTCGGCAGTTATTCTTAGTGATGGAACCAATGAAAAATTCACCGAGGAATGCTCAATAGGTAATGTCTGACTATTTTAGACAAAAAAGGATTATTCAATTGCCGAAAGAACACTGCACTGCCAACTAAATAAATCAATCCAATACCTTCCACGAATAATTGATATTCCTTGAAGTTATTAAAAGCGCCTAACAAAGGATTTGATGCCTCAGTATGTTTTTGTAAGCAATTTACCAGAAGGAACTTCGAAAAAAACTTTTATAACTCCAAAAAAAACTTGGAAAAAAGGTTCATCAGCAAAAAACTCACATATTTGGCAGGAAAAAGTGCGGAAAGCCCCAAAACGCCACCTGCCATCAACCCCAGAGAGCCAAAGCAAGCCACAGAAATTAACGACAGGGAAAGATAGAAAAACATTTCTTGATCTAAACTCTCCGAACATTTACAAAAAAAAAATTATATTCAAACCGCTGTCGGTATCAACGAAAGTTAAGCCGATCGTGGGAATCAAAACAATTAGAACCATAACATGGCCAGCCATAACTCGAGATGTATTTGAAAATCTGAAACACAACAAAACAATTATAAGGAAATTATGAACGTCAACGTACGCTTTGGTTGAAAAAACATTCAAAATCGATCCGAGAACACAAGCAACTCCTCCAAAAACCATCAAATAGGCTTCGAACTTGCTCTGCATCGGGGTTATATCTGTTATCACTGTAGCGTTGCCAACTTCCGTTACATTACGTAATTTGTAGTAGAAGTACTGGAAAAAAAAAACTCAAAAACAACTTTTCCAGAAAACAAACCTCATGAGCGTTCATAAACGCGTTGTTAGGAAACATTGAACTGATGGAAACTATTGTGAAAGCGATGAAAACTTTTACCGACATACTGAAAAAAAAAATGTATTTTGATTTCGAAATGAGCTGCACCGTTACGCATAAACACTGAAACCAACTTTTCCCCATTTCGGAACAAATTCGTGATTTTCAATGTGAAAAGTCGAGAAACAAGGCGGTATAGGAGAAATGTGACGAAGAGAGAGAAACAAAAACATGACATTACGTAATGTTTGTGTAAAATGAGTTCGAAAAGAGTATTATCCAGAAAAAAAAAAATCAAAATTTGAGCAGTTCAATTCTCAGAAAGTAAGTGTATTTCTTTAAAATTCATTCTGAACAGTTCAGTCTTTAAGAAAGACCTTGCCAATTAATTATCTAATTTTTTTTTACTACGTGATAGGTTTTTTCCAGTTTTTTTGAGCGATGAATCCGCCGTTTTATGAAATAAATGAATTTAAACCAGTCGAAAAATTTACGACAAAAGAAAGTTCCAAACGTGGATCTAAGAAGCTCGGAGATGAGAAGAAAATGCAAGGTTGCGGTTGCAGAAGCATCTATTTTTTTAGTTTACTGTAGAGAAATAGGCCGCATTTTGGTCAAAGGTGTATGAACAAGGGTACTACAGTACTCCGTAAACGTGGCGATTGGCCACGAAACTTCAAAAGTAAAATCTGTAGTTTCTTATTTTTATTCTTTTTTTAAAACGTGTAAATGTCGATTAGAAAGTTTGCTAATGATATGTAGAGTTTTTTTCTGGATGGGGCCTCGCGAATCTCGAAATTTTCATACTGTCCCTGAATAAATGAATTTGAATCCTTCAATCACGCTTTTTACTCGAATCTCTCTGCAACCAAGTATCAATGTGAGAAAAATACGGATGAAATTCTCTTTTCAATCTTAAATTTTTTTATTTATTTTGTTTTGTAAAGAAATTTTTATTATTTTCAGATGAGTTGGTTATTACCAGTGGCGCTGGCCGTTCTGGCTAGTTCTTGTTTCGCCGATCGGGTTCTAGTACTGACTGAGAACTTGGGCATCCGCGACACGCATTCTATCTATTTGGGCTCAATCAAAGGTTTCTCATCTGATTTTGTGGGTTTTCAAGCCAAATTAAGATCGAGGACATCAAGTTTTGGTTCGAACTGCTGATGACGCTAGTTTGGCGTTGTTCAAACATGGAGAGCTAATTTACGAGCACTTGATAATTTTGGCTCCCGGAGTCCAAGGTTCGTTTTCATTCGGTGTATAAATGTCAACCGTACCCCAAAAAGTTGAAGAAATCAAGATTTCTATGGTCAAAATATGTGTACAAATTTTTTTAAATGAATTATACTTCTACACGAAGTCTAATAAAAAAAAAACATTGAGGGATCTATTTTTAACCAAGCCACCACAATAGGATTTTTTGTAGCTTTCGGAGGCTCTCTTTCGCCGAAAGAAATCTCCAAGTTCGTCGACGCCGGCGGAAACGTTTTGGTAGCGGGATCTTCAAAAATCGGAGAGGCGATTCGAGATTTGGCTGTCGAAAATGGCTTCGAGTTCGACGAATCCAACACGGCCGTCATCGATCATTTCAACTTCGATTCATCTTTGGTTTTCTTTTTTTCTTCTGATGCACCTGTAAATTTATATAGTTTGTCGGTGTTTTCTTATCCGGAGAAATGTTTATTGGATTTTTTATCAGCTCTAATTCCAGGACACGGGTGATCACACCACGATTGTTGTTGGCAAAGACCAGCTCATCAACGCCCAGCTCATCGTCGGAGACACGACCAAGATTCGACCAGTTCTTTTCAAGGTTTTTTTGATCTGGAACGCGTTGTCAAAAAAATTCAATGGGAAAATATTCTAAGAATTCTGTGATTATGTTAAAATACCTAGTTTTGTGAATAATATTCAATATTGAAGGGAGTGGCACTGATCAAGGACCCTTCGAATCATCTCGCGTTGGACATTGTAACGGCCGCGAGTACTTCCTATTCCCATGTTCCAGGACAAATTGCAGAGGTTTTTTCTCTCCTAATTTACACCCTTTGTTCAACTTTCTCTCACCATTAATTAGGATAAATTTGGTTCTAGAGAAACTCAAATAATTGAATGGCAAAAGTTCTTATTAATTTCGAATCATAGAGAATTTCGACACAGAAGCTTTTTCTAGTCGCCAGGATACCAGGACAACTTGACTTTTTCGTTTCTCAGAATGTAGCGGTCGCTGGAAAGAAGACGTTGCTTGTCGCGGGTCTCCAAGCGCGAAACAACGCTCGTATCGTCTTCACCGGCTCTGTCGACATGTTCAGCGACGCTTATTTCAATGCGTTTGCCACTTCTGCGAATCCCGCCAGAACTGCTGAGAGGTTTTTTAGTTTTCATTTTTCTGACTTCTGAAATGAAAGAAAAAAATCGATCTACGCAAATTTGCCTTTTTTTAAATCAACATCATTAGAAGGTTGATTTAAGCTCTTTGAGACTTTGAATTGAGTTTTGTTAGAAAAATTGATAATTGGAAGTTTTCGAAACTCGATAAGATAATCTCTTGAAAAAAACTGCGAGAAATTCTGCGAAGTTTTTTTCAAAAATTTCTTTCCTGAATATTTTATTTCTGAATGGTTACAGAGGAGTGGCTACTGGAAACGCAGCTCTGGTGAGCGCCATCACTCAGTGGGTACTTAAGGAGAACGGCGTGCTGCGCGTGAAGAACGTCGAACATCACCGCGTGGGCGAATCCCAGCCTCCGCCACGCGAATACACCATCATGGAGGACGTGGTCAGAACATAGGCCGCCTTCCTTCTGCAAAAGTTTCTTCTTAGGAGTACGCCATCGAAATCGAAGAGCTGAAGAACGGAAAGTGGGTTCCGTTCCTCGGAAAGGACGTCCAACTCGAGTTTGTGCGCATCGATCCATTTGTGAGAACAACTCTCCAAAACAAGGTTTTTTTTTCTCAGTGTTCTTCGTTAACAAAATTTTTTTTCAGAACGGAAGACTTTCTTCCCAGTTCAAAATCCCTGATGTCTACGGTGTATATAAGTTTTCTGTTGATTATCGTCGCGTCGGCTACACTCATTTGCTCGACGTTCGACAGGTATTTTCTTTTTTTTTAATCCATAGTAGTTGTTTGCTTGAAGAAATCGGAGCTTTAGACTGATCATGAGCAAAAAAACGTTTTACCCCAATTCCAACAAAAAAATTTTCGCTGTTACTGTTTTAGTTGAGTGATAACATAACGCCTCATCTCTGTTCGTGATCATTCTAGTGAGTATCTCTAGACGTTTTATCGACTGGACTCGACTAAATATAGCGAAGGCTATAAATAAAATTCTGATGGAATCAGGGGCTTTGAAGAAAATTTCAATAACTGGAATTCTCGAACTCTTTGGCAGCCAGAAAGTAACAAAGTGTAAATACAGATGTCTGTTCGACCTTTGTGGCACACGCAGTACGAAAGATTCATCCGATCCGCCTATCCTTACTACGCGTCGAGCTTCTCAATGATGGCTGGAGTCGTGCTTTTCTCTATCGCCTTCCTCTACCACAAAGACTCGGCCAAGGTCTCCGTCGAGGCCGCCAAGAAAAAGCACTGAGTTTTTAAATACTTCGAGCATGTGATATTTATTTATTTTTTACTTCTCAATTTTTGTTGGTTTTGTTATTCCTTTTCTTTGCTAATGAAATCTTCATCAAAAAAATTTGAAAAAAAGGTTTTATGTAAAAAAACAAAAAGAAAAAAATCCAAGGGGAGATCAAGGGACAAGAGATAAAAAAATTTTTTTGGAGTATACTTAATAATTTATTAAAAGTTCTTTGGAAGTATCAACTCGAAGAAATCTCATCGCAAGTTCCGAAGCCAGCGGCTGGCTCCCAACCGCCGGCGTGGCACTGAAGTGTGGCTGTGCCGGTGACGAGAAAGCCTTCCTCGCAATAAAGAAGGGCCGTCGTGCCGTCCTCGAAGTCGAGTGATCTTCCTGACTGGATGTACGTTATCTGCAAATCGTCGTTGATCAGAAATCCTCAACTTTTTCAATCACTCTTCCATTGCGGGGTGGCGTTAGAGGGACACATATTCCTGAAAAGGGCTCTTTGCCGCCGAGGCATTTTCCCAGAGGTGGTCGAAAAAATCCTTTCTTGCAAGTAGAAAAGGTCGGGCCCGAGGCTTCGTAGCCAAGAGAGCATCGAAGCGCCGCCGTCGTACCCAACTCGAAAGCACCGTGCTCGGATTTTCTCGAGAAGGTTATCTGCAGCAAATCAAAGTTTGGTTTTTCGATTTTTGAAAGTTTACTTCTCCAAAAGCAGGTGCGATGAGGCTTCGGCACGTGTCAGCTCTTGGAACGTCGTACTCTATTCCCAATGCCGTGCTTCCAGCCTCTTGCTTTGCTTTCTCTAGCTTGGCTTCGATCGATTGATTTTTCGGATCAGATACTCGCAGCAAGGGAGAACCGCCGCAGGTTCCGAGAGCTTAACTTTTTTTTTCTGCTGGTTTCAATCAAGCATTCCGCACCTGGACTCCAGATTCCATTTGCACAGGTAGCTGTGGTTTGGCCTTGAGGGAACATTCCCAGACTGCAAACAAGTGTCGCCACGGAACCGGATGGATAGGTAACGCCGATGTTCGAGTATGATATCTGAATCATGTGAGCGTGATTACTCTCGCGACTAGGACAAACTGTTCCGAAGAGAGGAGTGGCGACGGCTCCGCAAGGCAACGCCGATCCAGGCACCAAAGGATCAACGCCGCCGGGGAGCGTGGAACCGACAATGCTGCAGGTTCCGAGAGTCGTCGGCAGCCATTGGCCGTTTATGCAGCTCGTTGACATCTCACCTGCGAAAGTTACATTTTTGTTTCTTTTATAGCTGATTCACGGCCAGCTTGGGACGCTAAGGGGGGCGTGTCCTGTCTGCGCTCTCCACGAGCCAGGCGCTATCTCGTGCCTTATCGTGTCAGGACTACTTTTTCGATGGCTCAAACCAGCCGTGAGTCAGCTATTTAGTCAATGTTTCCCGACTTGAAAGGCGAAGGAGGCGGGGCAGGACGCGGAACGCGTAGCGTGTGCGTACGCGGTTCTTGTCACGAGTTCAATTCAAGCGCACCGACAATTCAAAAACTCGGTTACCGCTCTTTCTTTATATATTCTACTATTTTTTATGCGCACATGAAAAACAATCACTAAATAATTTAAAAAGAAATAAAAAAGTGATAAAAGAGCTCTCCAAATAGTTGCTGGCGGTTGAATTGAACTCGTGCCAACAACCGCGTACGCATACGCTACGCGTCCCGCCCCCTGCCCCGCCTCCCTCGCCTTTCAAGTCGGGAAACATTGACTAATTGTTTTTTGAGGTTAGAGGTTTTTAGAGGTTAGTTTGATCAGGAAGAAACTCACCAAGTGGAGTAGTCCCCAGATTACAAGTGGCCGTCGCGACTGTCCCAGCTGGGTAGGGACCTAACGGCTGACCCTAAAGCTTTCGTAGAGAGAGAGAGAACACCGATAACTATACATTTGAGTATGCGACTGCTCCGTTGAGCACGGCCGGAAGACCAGAAAGACACGCCGACCCGGGAACACCTCAAGAAATCTATCTTTTCTACCTCGTCAATGTCTGAAACCCTGCGTGCCAGAACGCACACATCGCCCAAGCGCCCCCGGAGTCCAGACTTGATTCAAACAAGTGACAGAAGACGTGCCGGACACCAAAAAGCCAGTGGAGCAACTCAAAACAGCGACAGCTCCCTAAGTGTTAGGCAATGTTAGTCTTTTCGTGGCCACTAACGTTAGGAAACGTAGGTCCGGCGGCTTCTGAACTGTAAGAGATCGACCCATCGGTCACGGGAAGTAAGCTTCCGCAGCTAGGAGTCGGACCTAAGGTTAGTAGAGCGTTAGTGAGCTACAGCGGTGAACTCCCTTTCAACCGGCCTACTTCATTCTTGACTAATGGTTCGATTCATTTTTTTTTGTTCTTCATTGTTTGTAAAATTATTTTCTGAGCATTTAAAAAAAATAAATAATTTTAAGAGATGGGGAGGTCGATCAACTTGGTCAAAAAAAAATTGCTCGAGTTTACTGGAAAATTTCATGATTGACCTCGTAAAAGCTCATTTTTTAGCTCTATAGTCTGTTCAGATTTCAAATGTCAAGTCCTCGCTCAAGCTCCGCCCCCTAATGGCGCGATAAACCAATCAGAAAGCGAGCCATCCACAGAGCGTTTTCGAATGACGTCATTCTACTTGACATTCAAAATCTGAACGGACTATAGATGTTTGATGCTCAAGACGCAGCTTTAGTCAGGATTTTAGCGGAAGTAAAACTCAAAAATTTTTGTCTTTGGTTAATCGAAAGTCGTTGAGAATTGTTAAAGGTTGGATTCTTGAATATTGAGAAGGAGCTCGGCTGAAAGAACTGAGAAAAAAGACGTTGCTCTGAGGCAAGAAGAGAGCACCTTGCTGCTGAAAACAGGTGCCGAGAGTGAGCGGAGACCAGCCACTCGAGGTGCACGTCGCCGTCGGCGGGCCCTGGAGCCTGTAGCCTGGGAAGCAGCTGACGCTGGCCACCGTCCCCAAGGCGACGGAGGTCGTCAAAGCGGGAGCATACGTCATCTGTCCGTTGACCACCGAAGACGCTATTGCACCTAGTGGCGAACAACCTGAACTTCTTGACATTCTCGAAGCATTGCCGTCCCTCTGTACTTGAGCGTCAAATAAAACAGCACCATGCATTTCATGCTACGTTGGGGCTCGCCATGCAATTTCATTCAATCATCCCTGTCAGGCACGTGAAATGGTTAGACGCGTTACGACTCCGAAGCGCCCGGACGCCTAAACCATTCGCGCTCGAAGACATGCGAAACTATAGTCAATGTTTCCCGTCTTGAAAGGAGAGAGAGGCAGGGCAAGGGGCGGGACGCGTAGCGTGTGCGTACGCGTTTCTTGGCGCCAGTTAAATTCCATCGCCGCCGACTGTTTAAAAAGCTCGGCAACCTCTCTTTTTCTGTATTTTCTACTACTTTTTTGATTTACATATGAACATAATAAACAAAAAATTAAAAAAGGAATGAAAAGAGCGATAAATAAGCTCTCTGAAGGCTCGCTGGCGGTTGAATTGAACTCGTGTCAAGAGCCGCGTACGCACACGCTACGCGTCCCGCCCCTTGCCCCGCCCCTCTCGCCTTTCAAGTCGGGAAACATTGACTATATCCGGACAAGCTTCTTAATGCCGAGTGAGACTTTGACATAGTTTAGTACGTTTCGAGCCATTTCACGCGCGGCCACATAGTTTCAAGCAGGTGCGAAAGAAGTGTTTAGAAAAGTTTTTTATTTCAGAAGCTGAACCGCTTTCAACTAGGCTATGAAATTTCTTAAGACTTGCTTCAAAAATCAAAATAAAAAAATAATAATAATACTTTATAACTTCAAAACTATTTATTAAATGAATAAAAGATAAAATTGAATAATGACAGTAAAGCTTGTAAACGGAAAATACACAAGTCAACAATTTACATGGAAGACCTTTGAATAGTAGGGATTCAATGTTTCGTCCAGCTAACCGTAACAAAAAGGGACTTGTTCAGCGCGTGCAAATGCATTGTCAAGCTGTGAGGGATGATTCGAAAGTGAGAAAAAGAGCTGGAAAGACGTTTCCGAATAGTCTGTTCAGATTTCAAATGTCAAGTCCTCGCTCAAGCTCCGCCCCCTAATGGCGCGATAAACCAATCAGAAAGCGAGCCATCCACAGAGTGTTTTCGAATGACGTCATTCTGCTTGACATTCGAAATCTGAACGGACCTTTTTTGTAACTTATCCATTTTTCAAATCTCATAGCTCGTTTGGTAAAGTTTAATCAAAATTGTCTGGTTTCGGAAAAATGTCATGTCCAGCTCCCAAGGTGTAAAAGGGGTATCAGAGCGGGACCGGGACCGGTTTCAGGCATCAAAAAACTTTAAAGTTTTATAAAAACCCTAACATGTATTCATCGCTGGCTGGAAACAGAAACCCTTCCTTTCATGAATTTTTTTGTTTTCCAAAGTTTCCTATCTTCACACTTCGAAAATAAAGTCCTAATTCGATTTCAATCGGCAAAAAGAAAATCGTAAACAAGCTTTATTTAGTTTCATATAGTCTGTTCAGATTTTGAGTGTCAAGGAGAATGACGTCATTTGAAAACGCTCTGTGGATGGCTCGCTCACTGATTGGTTTATCGCGCCATTAGAGGGCGGAGCTTCAGCAAGGACTTGACATTTGAAATCTGAACAGACTATAGACAAACAACGTCCTCTACTCGCTTGGAAAGGGGTGTGAATCGTACTAAAACGGTGTAATTTTTTATTCGAGCTTATTTTATGAAAACACAATCTGAAATTTTACGCCTCAAGTTCAAAGGTGGATGATCAACCTCGTGCCAAAAGATAATCTTACTTTCGAATTTATGTTTTTGTTTGCAGCGATCGGTGAGCACAATATGTCACGTCATAGAGAGCTTTTGTTGAAAAAAAAAACACGATTTTTTTTTTATCGCAAGGAGTAGACTAGACATAGAAGACAAGGGAAAGGGGTGAAGAATCATCGCTTGGATCGTGCGTGAGAGGAATATTGGCAATCAGAGATTGGATGGCAACGAACCGGAGCCGAGGCCCACGCCGCCGATCGGTTGACAGAGTCCGAAAGCTGGAACCCATTGGCTTCCTTGGCATGTCGTCGTCGTCGTTCCCGCAACGACCTGTCCTGCGGGGCACATCAGAGTCGCCGAGGTTCCTGGAATTCGGTATAAGAGATATACGTCAGGTGAGTACACACCGGCTGGCCAGGGAGCCAAATAGGAAGTCGTGCTGTAGGTTACGGAAGCGCCGAGAGGCGTGACTGGCGGGACGAAGCACTGTTGCCCGGTAGAGCCTGGGTTGTTAAGGCCTGTGCAAGTTCCCAATGCAGGTATCCATTGACCGTTCTGGCACGTGGATGTCGTGGAACCTAAGCAAGCATATAGTGGTTGGTGGACTTTCTGCCTCACCAGAAACTGTGGATCCTGCACAGAAGATGGTAGCTTTCGTGCCGCTGATGTGTGTGAGTGCTTGACCGTCACTAAAAAATGATTTGTTTGTCTTTTTTCAAAGACTTTTTTCCTGACAGCTATCATCAGAAATCTTAGTATGGAAGAGTTATCGCCTAATTGCCCCATTTTTGGCATGTTCAAAAGTTTGATTGAAATACAGAGACCGGGAAATCTAAAATTCGGAAGTAAGAGAACTTGGTTGAAAAGTTTCTGGGGATTATGTCCTCAATGACTTCTTTTGATCACCTGTAAGATATCGTAGCTCCCAGGGCAGGGACTGGTGAAGAGCATTGAAGTCCGGAGCCAAGGCCGGGCTGACCCGAGCAAGAGCCCGTGATGGGTGGAGTCCAAAGTCCGTTTTGACACGTGGCGACTCCTTGAAAACAAAGATGGAAGCTGACGAGAATGCGGCTAACCAAGAGGAGTTCCAGTGGAGCAGGTCACAGTCGCCGTGGCTCCGTTGTTGTACATAGTGGTGCCTGCTGGAGAGTAAGCGACGGTGGCTCCGAGAGGAGGTAACAGAGCCGCGCACTGTCCGGCCCCCGCGCCTGCAGTTCTTCTTTTTTGAGTTTTCACTGTTTTTTTTTTGAATACTATTGTCGCCGAACCTACGGTAAAAAATGAACGACCGATAGACACGGCTTCCTTCAAAAATAAGTCAGAAGAAGGAATAGTGAAACGTACCAGGAAAACCAGGAATCGTGCCCAGGGAGCCGCCGCAGGTGCCGAACGAAGGTGGCTGCCAGGCGCCGTTGAGACAAGAGGCCGAGGCGACTCCGGAGAGCGGCTGGCTATTGGTGCAGATCGCCGTGGCCACCGTCGCCGCAGGGTATGGGCCGAACGGCTGTCCGTTGCTGTAGCTCACTTCTCCTCCAAGGGGCGCTAGCATTCCAATGAGACACGAGGCCGTCTGCCGCCGAGTTCTATCAGGAGAATCCGTCGTTGGCAGGCCGCCGATGTCGTTGTTTCCTTCGCACGAGCCACCGATTTGTGGCGTCCAGATACCGCCCATGCACGCCGGCGTACCTGTCATTCCAGTTTGTCAAACTTTGAGCTTAAGGTATCTCACAGAAAGCAAACTTGAAAAATCGATCTCAACATCATCAGTAAGTTTCAGCCGATAAGACACTATGAGCTTCTTTTCGAGCTATGTTCCTCTTTTATTTTCTTTAAGTATAGTTTCCTATTTCGATTTGATCAGTCTGGACTCAACTTTGTTTCCTTTTTTGGATTTGATAAGTCTAAACACTAACTTCCTTTCATTAAATCAAGTCAAACCTAAAATCGCGCCGTTCTGAGTGCAGGTAACGGTAGCAATGACGCCGGCCGCGAAGCTTCCAGTGTTGCCGTTGGAATAGGAAACTTGAGCCCCTGACGGCGCAGGAAGCGCACTACATTGATCTGCGAATTTGCGGCAAATGATTCGGATTTGTGATACAAACTATGTACCTGAGCCGACAGATCCATTCAACGTTCCAGAACTTTGAGCACACGGCCCGACTAGTGGAGGCTGCCAAACTCCGTTTTGACACGTTGATGTAGAGGATCCTGCGCACGAAGATAATTTTTGAGATGATTTTTTTGATGCAACCTTGTACGACCAAGCCGTTCCTGCAAGAGAGAGTGGCCGAGCTTCCCGAGGGGAAAGGACCTAGCGATGGTCCAGTCGAATAAAGGATTTCTCCTTCGATGGGAGGTAACATTGCAAAACATTGGGCGCCTAAAACGTCGCTTTGGATTACTGTATCTAGAACGAAATGGTAGCCTCAATCACGCAAAAGGAGTGAACTGTAGTCTGAACTCACCATTGTTCAAGTTGGTGGAGCTGCCAAGACCGCTGTCCTGCGAGCACGTTCCAAGGCTCATCGGAATCCATTGCCCGTTTTGACAGGTCGAAGTAGAAGATCCTGAGGATTTACTTTTCGTGAAAATACTGTCTTTATGTTCTTAGTCTCCTTCAGATACATTTAATACATAAAACACTGACCTTGAACGGTTCCTTGAGCACACTGAAGGTTCGCAACTGTTCCTGAGTTGTATGGACCAAAGACAGAGGCAACTTGTGGCGTGTAAGTAACATTTCCTCCAGGCGGCGCCATCAAGGCGAGACATTGGACGCTAGAGCCAAAAGCTGGAAAACCTGAAGTGTTCTCTTTACCGCAATAGCTTGATTCACCTCCAGTGGTCATAGTCGAACTTCCGAGAGAAGTGCAGGTACCGAGAGTTGGAGACCAGACCCCATTCTGGCAGGTTGAAGTCGAGCTGCCGGAGACCATGGAACCGTCGCCGCAAGTGAACGTGACTATCGTTCCAGAGGGCTTTTGTGGCTGAATAACACAGAATGATGAGGGCTCCGTAGACAGAAAAACTTCTGAAGGAGAGCTCTGAGTGTATGTGAGTTGACCCTCGGGGACAACTGGATTCGGACACTGCATTCCGTTTGATGTTTCTCCCAGAGGACCACCAATTATGGTGTTGTCGACTGGCCCGGTGGCTGAATTGAACTCTATTTCCGGTTTCGGATAGGATATCACCTTGTGAGCATGTTCCGAGGGTAGGCGGAGACCATACGCCGTTCGAACAGGTGCTGCTCAAAGAGCCGCCACTCACTACGGATCCAGAGTTGCAGTTGAGAGTCGCGACAGTGCCAGAAGTGTGACTTCCGAACTCTGAAAGGAAGCAAGCTTTTTTTTTGATCAACGTCCTAATTTATACGAGCAGAAGCAGGAGAGTAGGTGACGGCGCCGTTGATTGGCGACGTCAAGTCGGGACACGTGGCTCCGGAGTTTCCCGTGTTCAGACCTCCAACAGACAGGGAAACCGTCGTGCACTGACCTGAGGATCCGGATGAAACTTTTCATCGAAAACCCCTTTTTTTCTTGCAATAGATTTTTTTTCCGTTATTGAGCTTCAAAATGTGCAAAATACGCAAATTAGGCCAAAAAAGCGCTATTTCGGGTTTTTGAAGTGTCCTAACTAACGAGATCTATTGCGAGAAAATTTCTTTTTGTTCCGGAATCAGGGGGTCCTGAAGTACACTTCAGCAAAGTTTCAGCGAAAGTTCAACGTGTCCTAGTGAGAAAAGAAGTTGTTTTGTGTGGGAACTCGGTAAGACTGTAATGAAAAGGGAAGCCGACCTATGGCCGGAGACCAGACTCCGTTGAGACAAAGAGCCGACGGCGATCCTTGGGGGAGGAATCCTGGCTCGCAAAGGATGAAGGCCGTCGTGCCAGAAGCGTACGGACTGGTCGGGTTGGCCTGCGCATAGGTCACCGAGCCGTGGGTCACTTCCAGCTGCGTGCATCCAGGTCCCGAAGAAATCTAAACTCACTATTCTGTTTTCGAATCAAATCTCACGAAGACAATAGTTAGCATCGTTAGCGTTAGTCCGTTATTCGCGACTTGAAAGGGTGCGACTTCTCTGCACCTCTTTGTCTCTCGACGTCCCTCTCACATTTACGTGCTATTTTTATGTTTCTTTGACCTCGCGTGAGGGAACAGAGAGACGCAGACTCGCGAAAACTGTCAAACCGCGGCGGACGGACTATATTGTTAGTTATGTAAGTGAGCGAAACAAATTGCTACCCAAAGCAAAAATCTAAAAATCTGTTAAATTTCATACCTGCCTACGCTGTCTCGACTTCTAAAATGAAAAAATCGTTTAAATGAGAGATAAAAGCGTTTGAATCATTTTTTCCGCTGAATTATACAATTTCGAAAAAAGTTAATATTTTCGAAGCCAACGACAAAAATCCGACATTCGTTTCATGAAAATCTGATTGGAAAATCAATCCAGAATCTTTGCAAAAAAAACTGGAATGAATTACCGGTAGACACTCTCCGAGAGAGTTGCTCCAGCCGCTGGACAGACAGCTGGCCGATGTGTTACCCGAGGGAGAAAAGCCTCGCGCACACTTCAGACGCACTATCGACCCTTTTTTGTAAGGAGACGCTATTCTCTCGTCAAAAATCAGCTGTAATTGAACAAATCTCACGAATTCCTTCTTTTCCATCAAAACTTCGCCGTGTTGAGGGTCGCCCAGAATGGCGCAGCTGTACCCAAGAAGAGGGAAACATTTCGGGAAGGACGGAGTCCATGAGCCGTAGTCGCAAGAAGAAGCCGCCTGCGAGGTCGCCAAGAAGCCCAAGTTGCAGGAGACGATCGCTCTGCTCGATTCCGCCACCGTCCCTGAAGCCGACATGACATCAGTTGCGCGAAACGGCTTACCGTTGACCGGAATTTGTGAGTAAACGACGACTCCGTTGGGTACTGTACTTGGCGCCAAACAGCCTGATTCATCCCGTGGCGAGTCCACGCTTCCAGAAGAAAGGAAAGAAGGAGACGCAGCTGCTGGAAACGCGCTTTCCTCACTTGAAACAGATTTATAAAAACCTTTTCTTGGCATGCACGAGCCCAGGCCTACGCTAGGGTGCCAGCCGGACTGAGTGCACAGAAGACTGCTTTGTCCAGTGCCGACGAAATCTTCGTCGCATTGCAGGGAAGCCGTAGTTCCGATGGAGAAGATGCTGGTCGCGTAATCCGTCGAATAAGTTATCTGCAACGTTCATCTTCCGAAATTTCAACCACAAAGACCTACTTTTCCGTTGGTTTTACTTTTCAGAGCGTAGCAAACAGACTCTGACGACGAATTGAAAAGTAGAAGAGAAGGGGCGCTTGTCCAGGCAAAGCAGATCGGAGCGAATTCTTTCTCGTAGCCACTCATCGTCTCGCCGTTCAACGTGTAAGCGTACTCTGAAAGCTTTTGAATGGGTCATTCTGAACTGTCGACAAACGTGGTCCTTGGAGCGAGTGTTTGACGAGACGGAAGACGGGGACGTCGGCGCCGCAGTCGCCACGGCTTTTTGCACAGTAGAAATCGTCTTCCACGTTTTCGTAGTCGGCGCGGTTGGCCACCAACGAATTATCCATGTGCAACAAAGCGCCTTTCAAATTGTTCATTTCATTTTTGCAGACCGAAGCGTTGGATAAAACCAAAATTTTGCTTCGATTGGAGTAAGTTTTAAAGGTAAATATGAAAAAAATTCCTCCCTACTTTCTGTCATTATGAAACCGTTGATAGGCTAATTTCAGCTCTTGAAAGGCCTCACCATTAGTCTGCTGGAATGCAGTAAGTCTTATGGAGCACCGAGGGAGGACGCAGTCTTGCGGATGCCTCGCCAACATCGCCACGCCGTCCACCTTGTCCGGCGCCATCCTAGAAGCCACAGAAACTTGAGCCAATTCGAAAACGAGTAGGAAGTGATAGTACTCTAATTAAACAAATTGGACCTTAGCAAGGGTCAAGTTTTTTCTTTTTCTCAACAAGATTCCTTTTTGACATATTTCAGGAGAAAACTACTGCGTCCAACAACCTCAGAAATGATCAAAAGTCTTGAGAAAACCATTTTTTTTTATAAAGATCACTCTAACAAAAATGAGGGTGTAGCCCGCAAAAGTGAACTTTTCGGTGCACCCCGCGTTGGACCTGGATGGCGTGCACCCCTGGAGAAAATGTTTTTTTGAGCTACCGTAACAGCCTAGGATGAAACTGTAGAAAATGATGACATTGGGAAGAAAAACCACCTCGAAATCGTTTACAGAAAAAGTACCTTAATAGGCATTTGAAGCTAAACGGGGTGCACCGCAAGTTCGACGCGGGGTACACCGTAACTTTTGTTAGAGTAGCCATGCCAAAGATATTACGGACATTTCGTCAGCTGCTACCTCTTTAGTAGAACTCTCTATTTTCCTCTCCAACTCACCTTTCGTATCCCCGAACCGACAAGTCCTCGTCTGATATCCTGTACTGGGACGTGTCATTCGAGAAACTTCGGACCCAAACGGCGACGGCAGCTGAATAAAGTATTCTATTCCCATTTCCTACTCATAACCAATTAATTATAGAATAAACTCACAAAGCTTGAGAGGTTTAAGCTCGGCCGGACAACCGTTGCTCTCTTGTGCAGACGCAGCTTTTACGAAGAAAAGAAGAAGTAAAGCGATATACATCATTGCATCAATTATTATCAAAATAAAACGCCTGAAACGTTGAGGAGTGAAGAAGAGAAGATTAATTGTGTATTATAAGAAGATTATGAAAGGGTCGGAATGGTGGATAATAGCCGTTCAAAGAAAGAGGCTCAGAAAAGGCCGCAGAAAGGCAGCAAAAAGAGTCCCTTTATCAAGCCTTTCATCTTTCTGGGATTTTAAAGGCTCGAGAAACGGTGGAAAAAGGGAGAGGCAGCAAAAATGGTGCAAAAGGGACGAAAAAATGGCGCAAAAAGGCAGCAAAAAAGGAGCCTTTGTACCCTAAAAGGAAGCGAGCCACTATGAAGCTCTAATACTTGCTGTTGGTACATATGGGAGACTTCCAAACGGAATCTGTCTTTTTTGGCATCAAAACTAGAAGATTTTTTAAAAATCCCGAATGCTCATAATGTTTCCAAAGAATTATTACACATTTGTGGTCACTATTTGGAGCAAGGGGCAACATTTTTGAGGTTAGAAGCCGGAGTACGAGGAGAGTGCAGGAAAATGACCGGAAGCCAGGCCGCCGCTTTTCGGCTTCGGCTTCTGAATGGAATCTTGCACAAGTGATTCAGAACAGTACGCAAATTGGAAACTATTCTGAAAAGGCGACGAGAAAGCAGGGAGCTCGTAAAATCGAAAGTGTCCTGGCAAATACAGAAATGGGGCCGTGCGGCCTTTTTTCCCTGAGAAGGCGGGTTTTTCGCTTCAGAAGAGGAAGATTCGGAAATATGCATATCAATGAGGAAAGAGTAAGATAGATAAAACAACCGTTACAAAAATAATGAACCCTCGTATTTTTGATTGAGGCTGAACAACCAAAAAAGAGTTTTAGCGAGAGAAAAGAGAGCCTAGAGCAGTCAGTCTTTTTCATTTTCGTATATAAAAAATATAGCCAAGATCCTTTTAAAATGAGGAAATTCTACTTCGGAGTAGCGTCAAAAGTCCATTCCAAAAAGTATGGGAAGTTTTATATTTCTGCCTTGTATCAATAGGATTAGTTTTTCGCGGTGACCTTTTTGGGCAGATCCTCTTCAAATGCAAAATGCATTCATCTGTCGAAAATTCATTATGAGAGATCTGGTCAATCGTATTTATTTGCCAAAAATGGGGGAGGGGGCAAGTTTTTGAGTGGACCCCTCCCGAGCTCGGGCAAAGTCGGACTGGTGGATAATGGCCGCTGAAAGGGAGAGGCTCAAAAAAGGCCGCAGAAAGGCAGCAAAGAGAGTCCCTTTACCGAGCCTTCCATTTTTTCTAGATTTTTGAAGGCTCAAGAAACGGTTAAAAAGGGAGACTCTTTTCGACCCTTTTTTCCTATGAAGTAAATCAGGCTAAAAACTAGGGGCCATATGTTCTTTCCGACAGCTCTGAAATCGCAATCAGAGACAAAAGAAATAAAATAAACCTTTGAACTCGAAATTTCGAGCCCTTCATATCTCCAAAAAGGATCCGTAAGTGAGAAGGGAAATCGGTTGGCAAGGGCGGAAGGCGAGATCACCGAGCCGACAACCGGATTTGCCCGAGTTTTGTCGCGACTCACATGTACACAGTCAGGTTCCCGATTCGATAATCCCGTTGTTAACGCATGTTTTCAGGTACTGTAAGTCTTATTAAAGTTTTGACATCCGAACCGCGTGCGGTTCAAACATTGGTTTGTCACATACTTTCTATGGGCCAACCCTGAATTATATGTTTTTTAGAATTGTGGAGCACAAGCCCTGATCGATTAATAACTATGTTAACTTCTTTTTGTGCTAATTTCAAAAGTTCAAAGCTGTCGACTATAAAAATAATATCCTTGATATTTAATGACAGACATGTTGAACTTGTTTTCTGACCAATTGACCAAAAATTGAATAGACTCAAGCTAGTTCGGAAAAATTTTACAAACTTATACTTTTCAAATTGAAGTTATAGAAAACAATAATTTGAGTCTTGTGATGTTTAGAGAATAATCTGGAGTTCTGGAAAACTACTCCTTTCTCTCAAGTTTCCATTCACGACTACGGCTCAAAACAGTTCCGCAAAAAAACTAACAGATCTGGAAATATTTTTTTAGATGAGAATTTTATTGAACATCTGAAAAAAATCTTTCGACGTTTCAGATGTTCAATAAAATAGCTTTTTTTCAAGTTTTTGAATATGAAGTATGTTAAAATTGACTTTAAAAAAATCTGCGTTTCTGATGAATATAGGAAATGAGGTAGGGCCAACCATTCAGGGCTTTTTTTGCTGCTGCTGCACTTTTCAAAATATGTACTCCGTCGAAGTCGGAATGGTAGATAATGGCTACTAAGAGGGAGGCAAAAAAAGGCCTCAAAAAGAGTCACTTTATCGAGCCTTTCTTTTTTTCTGGGATTTTGAAGGCTCAAGACTAGCTGGTAAAAGGAAGAGGCAGCAAAAAAGGTGCAAAAGGGTCGAGAAAATGGCGCAAAAAGGCAACATAAAAGGAGCCTTTGTCAGACTAAAAGGAACATTTCTATGGAGCCTTTTCCACCCTTCCGGTTTTGCTTATGAAAATGAAAAATGATGAAGACATGAAATAATGAAATATTCATAGATTTAAACGATTTGAAAGGAGAAAATTTATTAAATGACCAAAACATCTAAACTTTGGGATAGGAAAAAAAAAAATGATTCGACCTCCGAAGAGCGTTATTTATATGAAGAGGAAGTGATCATCTGTTTTTTCGATGGGCTGGCGATTACCTGACATGAGCAACCGGACGAAGAGATCATCTGCCTTCGTCTTTGGTCCTTTAGCCAAGTCCCGCCTTTTTGAAAATATTTTGAATCAGAACCGTAGGAAAGTTTCATGGTTCTCCTGTTCTGTAAAAACATAGTAACGGACCAGATTTGCAAACATCAACCTATGAGCCGACGGTACGGCGTCATGCAAGATTTCGCTCTTTCTGGCAACTGAGTTGATATCAAAAACTTCAGAAAACGAGCAGAATGAAATAAATATTTTTTCAAAAAAGAACAGAAACAAAAAATTAAGTTTTCTCGCCAAAGTTGAAAGAAACGAAGTATTCAGTAGGTTCGCGGAGGCGGCGACTGCGGACAGAAGAGCTCGTCGGAGGCGTCGAAGCAGTCGGAAACGCCGTCGCAGAGACCCCCCGGAGGCACGCACTTCTTGTTGTCGTGGCATTGAAACTGGCCGGGCAGACAGATTCGCGGGGCTGAAAGCTGCAGCATTCGCAAATCGGAGACAGACGCGACTCACGGCAGTTCTCTTCGTCGGCGTGGTTGGCGCAGTGGGCGAGTCCGTCGCACAAGTAGAGCTTCGAGATGCATCTGCGACAGGGTTCCGTTCAGATTTTGGTAGTATCAAAGATTTTTGAGCCAAAGCCACTATTTGAAAGGAGTTAAAAGTCAAAATTTTGATTTATTAAAAACATGTAATCTGCTCCAAAAATTAGACAATCTCCTCCAAATTAAAGGTTAGAAAGAATCAATTTGAAACTTTAAAAAAAAAGAGGTTTTAGTCTGTTTATCCTGACTTTAAAGACGATATAGTGCGTTCACCGCGACTTGACAGTTTTCGCATGTCTGCGTCTCTCTGTTCCCTCACCGGCGAGGTCAAAGAAACATGGAAATAGCACGTAAACATAAGAGAGACGTCGAAAGACGAGGAGGGCGCAGAGAAGTTCCGCCCTTTTAAGTCGCGAAAAAGAGACTAAATGTGCAGATTGGAAATTATTCAACAGAAAAAGCTCGATGCCTAAGATTGGACGGAATTTGGAAATTAAGTTAATTTTATAACACCAATCGATCTATATTCAGCTGTATGAACAGAATAGAAAAGCGTACTTGGGATCCGAACCGCCACACTCGATCTGCTTGTCGCTACAGTTTGATGCACAGGTCTTGTGATCCGCCTGCAGTTCGAATCCCTCGCCACAGGCGCATTTGGCAGTGCCGTTGGTTCCGAGGAGGCACAGCTGCCTGCAGCTACGTCGGTCACACTCCGAGGGTTCTGTAGAGGGTTCAAGAGGATTGAGGATTCTTGATAAAACCTTCGGGCTGCAGACTTCTATGGAACACCTTCAACGAGTACGGTAAGAGGGCTGTCTGCGCCAGCACCGTGATGTTCTCGCCAGTGTGCTTATTGGCACGAAGAAGACCACTAGAAATACAATATTTTCTCAAGTTTCGTATCAGTTTTTTTAAAAAGTACAAAAAAAATCTTCCAACATCTTTCATTTACTTCTCCAACTCGTACCGGTAGGTCCAGTCGGTCCAGTACAAGTTGTCATCGGCAACTGCGAGCCCGAAAATATGCGGCACTGAGCCAGCATCCGAAATTATCGTCCGTCGCCCAGACCCGTCCAAGTTCGCCATTCTGCAGAAAAATGCCATATCAAGAAAAATGTGTCCGAAATCCCACTCGACGACATCTAAAAAGGCGTCGGCCCAGTATAGTTTGTTGGCGAAAATGTCGAGTGTGATGGCGTTTGGCCAGGTTATCCTCTCCGTGACGATTTTCTTGAAACTACTTCCTGCAAATTAGATAACGTAAAACTCGTTGGTTGCTCTTCAAGACCATCCATCGCAGCGGCGGCGATGAAAGCAGAAGAAGACCAATCAGTCACGAACATCATTCTGAATCACACATTTCAAAAAAAAAAAACAAAAACTGCAACCCATAAAGGGGCCAAAAAAGTGGTCCCCCTAGAGGTGAAATCGAAGTGGTCCCTATAGGGGTTTAGGATCTGACTTCGGAGCCCCTAAAGCTTAAGTGGACCCTATAGGGGTCTGCAGAAAAATGTGAATGTTTCAATTCGTGACGGAGTACCCTCAAAAGCTGCGCAATATCACAAGAACGAGGCGTGGTAAACTAGATGCATTTTCAGAACTCCAAATTCGAATTTTGCCAATCGCAGAAGCTGTAAAACCTACCCGATAGCGGGATGAAGGGCGATCGCTCGCGGCAACTTCATGACGTCCTTGTAGACGGATCGCCGGAATCGGCCGTCAAGACCTTGGACCAGGATGTCGTTTCTAGGAGGTCGATTGAGGCTCGAAGCAACTTGAGCCCTACCTCCGTAGGCTGTAGAGATTCCGAGCGACCCAATCGACAGCGATGCCTTCGAGTCCGTCGACATCGTACCGCTGTACGGCCTGTGGGAACGTTCCGTCGATATTCATCCTTTCGATCACGTTGGCTCCGATATCCGCATAATAAAGTCGTCTTTCCTGAAGCTCATTTCATTTTTAAATGAACTACGGAAGATTGATAAAAGTATTTTTTATGGAAGTCTCAGGACTTTTCAAAGATCTCACCTTGACGTCGATGTCGATCATTGCTGTTTTCTGAAGTCCCGCGCGCTGAAGCTGGAAAGATTTCCCGTCGGTTGAAATGTTCCACACACTTTGTCCATGAGCGAAGAACAGCCAAAGTGGATCTAATTTTGAAAAAAAACAGTTTCTCTTTGTTTTTGTAGTTACCTTTGTCGATTCGATTACAGGTCTTGTTATCGGCGGCGAGATGATAGTATCGTCCATCACAGGAACACTCGAAGAAGCCCGGCAAGTTGACGCAAGTCTGAGAGCACGAAGAAGAAAGGGACTCGCACTCGTCCACATCTAGATTTAAATTGTAACGACATTCATGAAAATTTTCAAGATATTGGAGTTTCGAATTCAGATAAGAAAAAAAGGATGGTCTGACTAGTGAGCTCATAATACGACCTCTGAATGCGACAAGAGTTTTTAAAAAAATTATTCAACTGTTTTTGAAATGAAAAAGTGCCATAAAAGTACGTTAACCGTTTTTTTCACGCACACTTGGAGTCCGTAGCGGAGATCGGTAGTAAACATTTATAGTTTTTCTTGACCAAAATGATAAAAAAAAAAGCTTCCTGGTCATAGTCCTAAAAAAAACCAGACTTCAAAGTAATTTTCGCGAAGTGCAATATGCTCTCTGACTCTCCAAATTTTAGTTATGTTTTTCTTTCTCTGACGGCTATTTCCCATTTCGCGGAGTCACATCAAACATGGCATTAGGATGAGATTCAGGTTTTTTTTCCCGAACTTTTTGACCTTCGGTCTTGAAAAAACTATCAACTCTGAAGCTCTACGAATCCATAACCAAGCATTTCATACCGCTGAATTTTCGATAACACATAGTAAGAAAAACGACAAGGAAACCTATGCAAGTCCTGCTGACGGTGTCGTAGTAGTAGCCTTCGAGTCGGCATTTGCAATTTCCTTTCTCGTCACACTCTTCTAGGGGCGGTGGACGAGACTTGGTGACGTTGGTGAGCAGGTTGCAGTCGAGAGAGGAGTCGCGCGACGCGAGCAACGACAGCAACGACAGCTCGATCTGAACGTCCTGGGAGATGCTGCGAGAAGGGCCGACGCACCTTGACGGCGTCTTTGCACGTCTCCGTCTCCCGCTCCAGAAGGCAGTCGGCGTAAGCTTGTATCACTGTGCATTCGTAGGAGGGCAACGACGTGAACCGACTTACTGCAACTCATAGATTGACTTTTTTGACCTTCACTTGGAACACCTGTATCGGGAGTTTCATCTCTTAAGGTGTTCGTCTTGTTCACAAAGCATTCTTTCAGAGTTATATCCCTGAAAGATTATCTAAGAACTATAGGAAAGTCTGAAAAACCGCTCAAGTTGGAGAAGGCATTCTTTTTCCTCGCGGACAATGCTCAGGTATTTGTCCTCGCAGAGCATTTCGTACATTTTTTCGATATTTGGGGCGCGAGTTTTCCTGAAATTCAATGAAGAAATATTATCGAAATATTTTTTATCGGTTTTATCAGAAGGCTTCTTTCTAAACCTCTCCCTTTTAGGGGGTTTTTTGCGATTCACCATTCCGACTTTGCCCGAGTTTGGAACGACAGCCTGTCGATGGCCACTATCGACTAGGAAACAAATATGCGTCAAGAGGATGAAATTAAGACTGACTGTTCCTCAAATCTACTGAGGACCCCATCATGCGGAAAAACCATGTCGCGGATTCCACACCGAACGAGAAACCTGCACTGTGGCCGAACTCCGGCCGTACAGACGAGGTATTGGTTGTAACGTTGACAGAGGTCGTCGACGTCGCTCAGCGGAGGATGGAGGACGTTGGCGGCGAGGTCGGCGTAGGCAACGAGGGGCGCGATGCAGTGCAGCGCTGTCGCCTCTTCGAACAAGTCGCATGGCCCCAGCGACGTCGCTTCTAAAAGTTACGACCTTTTTTTGAGCCGAATCAGGTTCTCATCACAGATTAAAAAGCAATGTTCGTTTAGAGGGGGCTATTCTAGAATCGTGTGGGGGGCGATTCTGGAATGTGGAGGGCTGGTCCGGACAAGGCTTGCAATTCTTATTCCAAAGTTAAGTGGGCGGTTCTTGAAAGTGCCTAGGCATTCTAGAATCGTCCCCCACTTAGCACGGGGGGGGGGTGTGGGGTGATTCTAGAAAGAGATATAGCTCGCACATTTGATTCAGCCCCACCACAAAGTCTTTCAATTCAACCCCCTCTCCCCCTAGTCGAAATATGATCAGACGGGGGATTCTGGAATTTTCCCAAGGATTTTTTTCGACCAATAATAAATGTACTGAACGGGGAAGTTAATCTGAAGTTAATATTTCTTCCAAAATGACCGATAAGACTTACCGACGACGAGAAGAGCAGCAAAAACGAAAAGGAGCATCAGGGGGGAGAAGAGCCAAGTGTGAGGACCAAGTGCTGCCGGCGTGAAAGTGGTCGAACAGTGGTAGTAGCCAAGCAAACAAGTCCCGCCAAGTGCGGCATTAACCATGTTTGGTTAAACGATGTTCGGTTGGTCCAGGTCAGGTCACCGCATCGCGTCTTCGGGTGCCAACCGAAGCTTGACCTGTCGGGGGATTTCATTCATCTCATTGCTTTGCCGGGATCGCTCTTTCAGGTGTGACAGAAAAAGTGAGAACTTTTATTAGGAAAAGAATGATGAAGGAAAAACCGTGAATCGGATCACTTTTCTTCGGAATTTGTGGGAGACAATGCTATGTTTGCAAATGAGACATTTCAACTCTATTTCGATTAATATTCATAATTTCTTCTGGTTTCTTCGGAGACTGTCTTTTTTCTAGCGGAAAGCTAAGTCTGTGCGAAATTAAAAACAAAAATCTCAATTACATGTCAAAAAAAAAACACACAAATTTTTGTTACAAAATTTTGAATCGAACGTAAAAATCTGAATAACAAGTCTCGAGCTCCGTAAAAGTTTTCTCAATGTTCATTTTTGAAACAAGAGTCGAAGATCGTCAGTAGGGATGTTATACAAGAATGGCTTATGTACAAAAATCAGACTCGAAGAAAAGCCCCGTATGCTTGTAGGGAACCGGTATGGAGCATTAAAAAAAAACGTAAAATTAAGTTGCGTATCTTTTGGTCCAAGCACTCGCCAGCTCGTCGAACTCACTGCGACTGCGACGATAGAGTTCGAGGCGCGATGGCTCGAGCACAGGCTCGGCGGCTGCAAAACATCAAATTACTTCGAAAAACTCGGCTAAAGCTTACGGTAGTCATGTCCTTCCATTAATAGTTCGTTCAGGTACTCCAAAATATCACGCACTGTCATCACTGGCTTCCATTTCGCAACAAAGTCAGAGGCGTTGACCTAGATTCAGAGAAAGGATATTTTAAAAAATGCCGATTCTTCGTTCTTCCCGATTTAAAACTCGCTGGTCGCATGAGGAATGGACTGAAGCCTTGCGATTGAATCAAGGATTAGAAAATTTGACATATTTTTCAAATACATTTCAAAATCGCGCGCTCAAGTCGTTCTAAAACAATCTAAGATAGATGATGTTCCTTAAAATTCAGCCCTCACGCTGCTCATTTTTTGATATCGCTGAAAAATCACATTGTCTGCGAAAAATTGGTACACATTTCGCAGGAATGGCTTCCGTTCGGCTTTAATTTTTGTATAATGCGCTTCATATGACGCCGGAGCAAGCGTCGAGCCATTTTTCGTGCGATCAAAGTTCGAGAACGTTTGGTATGAAAACCTAATGGAACCTTTTATTCTATGTTTTCCTCTCTTGATAAAAAAAATTCCAGAACTAGAAAAAAAGTGAAATAAAGCAGCGAAAATATTCACGAAAGTATCCTCTTCGGATCGAACGCTCTGGAACTTACTTAAAACTGAAAAACAGCGGGGATAATTATTTTCATCTTTTTTTCATCTGGCCGAACTTGAGAGAGTTCCCAAAATTAAACAAGAAAAATTATCTTCCTAAAAAGTAGTCGCAACCCTTGAAACTTGGAAAAAATGAATATAAACTCACTCTGCCGTAAAAGTCAACGTTACAATGGTATATCCGGGTACGGAAATAAATCTGAAACGATAATCTATTGATCACAATATACAAAGATGAATACCCCATTTTGAGCGCAAGGGACGAGTGGAAACTCTGAGGTGAAGATGATTTCGACGAAAAAAACGCCACCTTCATAGGGAGTGTGGCGAGGTCCTTCCACCGTTACCATCCAGTGATGGTTGAAATCCATCTGACAAAAATAAAAAAATTCCTTCCGATCGGGCTCCACAATCATGTTCTTAAGATGCTAGCCGAATTTAATATTATCTAGGATTTTTTTTCCAGCTTTCTGTTCAAATTAGAAGGATGGCCGATCCACGACTGGTAAGACCCTTTTTTCGATGGCTCAAGCCAGCCGTGAATCAGCTGTAGAAGGCTTGTTGACAAGTGAGGTCTTTGGCTAACTGGTCATAATCCTTTTGAACCTAACACCTTCATTCGAATAAAAAACAGAAGCGAATTTTTTTCGTAGTATTATACAAAATAAAGTTTATAAAGATTTTCTTTAGAAAGCCTAGAGATATTTTACGGGTAGAGGATCTGGAATAATAGTAAGCTCGCCTATTTGAAACTCATTCATGACCTATTATTTAAGAAACGTAAATTAGGTAGTGAAGAAAAAAAAAGAAGTTCAGAACGAAACGGTGAACAAAATCATTTCGCAGATCAATTTTGCGAAAAATTAAAATTCGTATGAGAAACTTCCGAAATTTTGCCCAGTTTTTTAACAATTGAAAAATGAGATATTCTACCTTTGAATTAAGAATAGATTTTTTTCTTACACAGGGAACCGCGAAAATGTTCGGGATAGGATTCCGCGAGAGCTGGTCGAGGTCGACTTGAAGACGTTGTGAGGAGAGTTGCTGGGGCGCAGGGGTTGCCAGATTGGCGGGCCGGTCTTCGACCTCGTCTTCGTGAACACGGAACAACGGCATCGCCGAGTAGTCTTCCCGTCGCACCGAGAGTCGCATGTGAACCGCCTAGATTGCGCATCTCGAGAATGAATCGAAGTGCTCTCCTTTTTTACTGCTCCATAATGAGATTAAGGTTTCTCTACTTTACTCGCTACGTCGATCAAGAAAAACATGTACAGCGATTGAACGGACATTAAAAAAAATGATATAAGTGTTACTTATTCTGGTTTCAAACTTCCTATCGATACCGAAAAAAAAAACATACAGCACCGTCAGAAAAGATACGAAAAAACGCGACTCTGGTCACAAATTTCTTGCAAGGATTCTTCCCGAACGGTTTTGTAGCTCCGATTTTTTCTGTGAGCCGAAACTCCATCAGAATGTTAAAAATAACAGTCATCACAAATCCAGAAATTTTCGGAAAGATTGAATTCCTGACCAAAACCCCGTTGTATCTTTTCTGACGGTACTGTAAGACCATTGTATCAAACAAAAACTGCAACTAATAAAAAACGGAAAGAAGCCTTTTTTGGAAAACACTAACGTTGAGGAAAGACAGGGACGGCTCGAAGTTGGTCTGCCGCGGATGGGGATCGTCGGTCATGCGCCAGAGGGAGCGCGAGATATCCCGTGCGTTGGAGCCTCGCACGACGCGCAAAACGACCTCACGTTCCGGTGCATTTTCCTGCAACATTCCTCGTTTTTCTTGGTTCGATTCATTCCTAACCCCCGAGCTCGTCGAACTCTGAGACGAAGAAGACGTCGACTGTCGTGAGACCGTCGACGGGATCACTCGGCCGCTTACGATGGCTCCCGTTTCAGCCAACCGGCCTAAATGCAATCGTTTCTTCTCGGAAAAAAAAATGACTTGTCTTCTTTTTTCTTATCGAAACTGCCAAAAAGAATAGAGACGGCGAAAATAAATTGAAGTGCTAAAAGAAAAAAAAAGAAACGAAGGTTTAGAGCTTTGGAGTAGACTAGAATTAAAGTTAGAGTGAAGTCCGGTAGTCACGTTTAAAAAGAACAGAAAAGAGAAAGCTACCCTATATACAACTTTTGCTCTACCAAACTGCTAAAAGACAGCAAAGAACCAAGGTCTTGAAGCGAAGATGCTCACTTTTGTTAGGGTATTCTCTTTGGTAAGAAAAACGTGACAAGCTGGCGCGGAACAGGCTATAGAAAGTGACCAGACGCCTTCAGATTATATAAAAAATTCGCTAAAGTTTTGCAAATGAAAGCCTATCCTAAGAATCCAAGGAAATATTATAATTTAATTTTCAAATTCATAGGAAAATGTTCATTAAAACGGGAATTTCCTAGAATCATTCGATAAACAGATCCCAAAGCTTCTTTCTCACCTTGCCCAGGTTGTACTTCTCGCATAGGCCGTCCATCCCGAAAGACCAAGCCGGACAGTTCGGCGTCGGTTCCATTGGTAGCCAGTCGCAGAAACTCGTCGCTGTCGCTCTCCTCACTTTCATCGCCCACCGCGATTTCGATTTGTCGGGACCGAATCACCATCTTGGAAATTCATTTTCTCAAATCGCGTATTGTGCAAGTTTTCAAAAAGCTCTCAGCCGTATTTCGGAAAAACTTAAATTTCTTTCAGGAAACTTTTTTGGAAGGTTTTCAATCGATATCCTGAACGGATCCTAGTTTTGAAAAATTTTCCTCATGAAGAAAACGAAAAACTTTTCTAGGTAGAACCCAACGACTCATATTTTTATTTTTTTATATATCTCAGGTCAAAAAAATAGTTTGATTACAAAACTTTTTAAACCTTTCCCGCATATTTAAAACAGTGAAAAAAAGGCCGTAACCCGGTTAATATTGCGCCGTTATTTTGGGGTTTTGAAAAATATTTCTTTACTTAACTACTGTGATACGATCGGCAGCAATGAAAAGGCGTGGAAAGATTTTTAAATACTCTCTCGAATTTCATGTGTGAGCCTTTTCCAGGATAAATGTTTTTCAGATTCGGGCAAAGTCGGAATGGTGGATAAAAGTCGCTAAAAAAAGAGTATGAAAAAAAGCGCCGAAAGGCAGCAAAAGAGTCCCTTCATCAAGCGTTCCACTTTTTCTGGGCTTTTAAAGACTCAAGAAATGGTGGAAAAAGAAAGAGGCAGCAAAAATGGTGCATAAGCGCCGAGAAAGGCGCAAAATGGAGCTGTTGTCACCCTAAAAGGAACATTTCTATGGAGCCCATTCCAACGTTGTTTATATTTATTGCCCGCAGCTTCTAACATAAATCTTATTTATCGATAATTCTCTATAAGCACATTGTCATTTAAAAAAATTTTTTTCACAAAAAGTAAAAAAAGTAAAGATGAAATTTCAAAAAAACACTGGTCAATCGGGATGGTGATACAAGCAGCTTTCAGGTAGATAAATCAAAGGTGTAAGCTAATCGCTGGTCGTTTATAAGCTACCAGGTACTACCTCTATCGGTACTACCGGGTAGGTTTCTGGATTCTATCGCTATCCTACCAGGAATTCGCTGTTTTATTTCAAGATTTTGACACAGTGAAAAAAAAAAAAAGACTAATGAAAAATAAACCACCAGCGAGTCACGCGGTAGTAATTGCAATTTTCAGATAGAATAGCGATGTTGTCCAGGTAAAGATAGTACCCAGTAACTAATAAAAGACCACCGATTAGCATATGCCCTTGAAGTTGCTGCCCGGTAGCTACTTGTCGCCTCCTTCCGATTCACCTTCGAAAAACGTCATTGTCCAACAATCAGCTCAATAAAAATGTTTACGGCGTGTTCATCGGAGTAACGGAACATGTTTCAAAACGCAAAAGCGTGTTCATCGGCGCGCCAAAGTTGCTCCGAAACAGTATAGTCTATTCAGATTTTTAATGTCAACCAGCTAACTCCGCCCCCGCTGAGAAGGTACCTTTTCGCGTCGATGTTTTATCGCGCGGGACTAATTTTGATCTTTTTTAATCTAAAAGATAGAAAAAGAAAAAGTAAAAAAAAAAAGTGATAAAGTCAAAAATGCAGCCTTATTAAAGGGACATCGTCATATGTAGATGAAAAATTGACGCGAAAGATATTGTAGCCTTGGGGGTGGAGTTAGCTGCTTGACATTAAAAATCTGAACAGACTATACCAATTTTTGTTTTGAAGCAATTTTTTTAAGTTTTGGCGTTTCGAAGCAAGTTTGGCAACATGCAAATCAATTTTTGTTAATCTTTACAAAACATATTTTTGACTCCTAATACAAAAGGTGCGAGAAAAAATTCGACTCTCTTAAAACTTCAAAACATTCGGAATGAATTTTTGCTTAACAAAAAAACGCAATGAAACTCGGTGCGAATCACTATACGCCAAAAAGAATTACGAAACATCAAATATTTTTCTTGAATTAATAACATTATGTGTAACAAAATTTTGTACTTGAAATAAAATAGTCTTCATTAATAAAAAGGCATTCGGGAGGAAACGACTAAGATTTAACGACATAAAAATTCTTGAATCACAACATCGAAAATAAAAAAATAGCCAGACAAAGTTCAATTGGAAAAGCAGGAAAATTATAAGTTTAGACTCAATATTCAAATCGGTGGAGGGATGGGGTCGCGTAAGAGAACACTCAGAGAATACAAGAAACACGTGCCGAGCAATAAGTTATTTATAAACAATATATACCTTGAGAAACAATAAATAAAAAAAAAATCGCTTTTGAAAATCGCAATGTGGGAAATAAAACTTTTTTCAACGCATGACCGAAGAAAGATTGCTAATAGTTATCATATCATTAGAGTGAATTTATGAGAATGAAGATAGAAAAAAGAGGTTAGGAAGCACGAGAATTCAATTTTTGCACGAAGGACAAAATCACAGACAGACTTCGAAAAATGGAATTTCTTTAATTTCTCACTTACAGCATGAACCCTTTTGCTGTTGCTGAGGCTGATTCATATCGACGGTGCCAGTAGTTTCTCCTTGTGGAGGTCCGATGGGCAACTTTTTCGCGATAGCCATGAATATGTCATTAACATTCATCGAAGTCTGAAAAAAAAACTTTTTTTTCTGAAAAAAAATTGATATTAAAAAATGTTAACTAACTTTGGCAGAAGTTTCCATGAACAACAGCGCATTCTCCTCTGCGTAAGCTTGTGCTTCTTCGTATTCGACAACTCGCTGAAAGTTGAATCGTTTAATTTGATGAATGTATACATAATATCTTCACGTAAAACTTTTACTCACCTTATTAGCCATGTCAGCTTTGTTTCCAGCCAAAGCCATAACAATGTTCGGGGATGCTTGTCGTTGCAATTCCTTGACCCAGTTCTTAGCCTTTTGAAAAGATTCCTCAAAACATAAAAACTGAACTCTACACAATGACTGTTAGAAGTTTACCTGGTTAGTTATATCATAAACAACTATAGCAGCTTGAGCACCGCGGTAATACATTGGAGCCAAGGAATGATATCTCTCCTGACCCGCTGTATCCCATATTTCAAACTTGACCGTCGCATCATCCAAGCAAACCTAAGATGATAAAACTTTGTCTACGAATAGGAAAAAATTGAACTAACGATGAGAATCAAGTCCTTTAAAAACCGTCGCATTAATTATTTTGTGGAAAAATTGGTTTAAAAAAAATTTCAAAAAATTAGTTTTCATGAATTCATCAAGTTTTAAGATTTTATCAAAAAACAGAACTATCGATGAACCCGAACTAGTTAAGATGAGGTGGAAGTCAAGGGGATAAGTTGATAAATTTTACCGTCTGCGTTAAAAATGCAGCGCCGATGGTTGATTCTTGATACTCGTGAAATTGTCCTTTAACGAAACGAAGAACGAGAGAAGATTTTCCTAAAATAGCTTAATGTAGACAAGCGGACTGTTTACGTCGAGCTTTGTTATATTTGTAATATGATCTGAACTGCTACATAAACATAAGTGTTAGGTTGTTTATTGCAAACGTTTTAAAATGAACTAAGTAAGAATAACGTAGGGATAAAAGTGACCTCGCGAATAAGAGTAAAATTTGAAATCCTCATGAAAACGTTTTTCAAAAATTATCTAATATAAAAATAGCTTTCGAGGAACTGTTATGTGAACAATACAAAAAAAAAGTGAAACACACCGACAGCACTTTCGCCGAGTAGAACTAACTTGAACTGACATGTCTTGTTTGGACCACCAGGTCGGGCACCAGTGTTCCTAGCCGCCATTTCAAAAAATCGAAAGCTACTGAATTTGAAAAGATGAATTTAAAAAAGTATTACTCAATAAAAAAGGACGAAATATCATTGAACGACAACCTAAAATCATCTTACATTGTTGAACTATGAAAAATACTAAAACAAAACTTGAAAATTGATGAACAGGTTAAAATTATAGTACTCTCAATCTGCACATCTCTTCACGAAAAATAAAAACTCATTCTCAAAAAGGCCTTACTTAACAGAGTTAGACGGATTTGATGATTTTTTTTTTGACGTTGAGCCTCATTTCTTTTAAATCAGGAAGTTATGCATGCCAAACCTTTACGATTTTTATTTGATACAACAAGAATTATTCTGATCGATCACCAAACTTAAATTATAATTAAGATCTAAAAGTTATTGCCTGCTGGAATTGAGCATACGTAATCAAGTATGGTTGAAAGAAGAATATAATAATGCACGAAGAAAAACAGAACGATAAAGTGCAAAAAAAGAGATTTCTGGACGTTTTGTTTCAAGCTAGCGGTAAATGGTGTAAATATAATTGGTTGATCTGCCGGTGCTCGCAAAAAGATCTTCATAACAAAGTTTATAAACGTGTTCTTCTTATTTCTTCAAATTAAAAATGACGACAAAATATTGCTTAAATTGCTGTGGAAAAAATAATAAGAGCAGTTCAGTTGTGACTTTTTTGAAGATCTGGGAAAACAAAAAGACTTTAAAGTCCAAATATTTGGAAATCAAAACGGATGACACATCGATTTTCCAAATTGGCTGCGTATTGCCGGCATGACCCTTCGTTCACTGAGTATCGCAATCTTCACCTTGAACCACCAGAGAGACGCAGAGAAAACAATCGCGATAAAACTCTTTTTCAACTTGGCAATTTTTCAAATTTTATTTTCAACGATGAAATAACTTTTTTAAAATTTCTTTCAAAGCTATTTCCAGAGTAGTGTTCTGTAACTGGTATCAGTTTCATAACTGCCAATCCTTTTTTTAAATTACCATTAGGTTAGTTGTTTATTTCAACTTCTTAACACGCCTCTTAAAATGGTTACAACTCCGTTCAAATTTGTTTCTCTCCATTTTTTGTTTTTTCTTGATACAAATTATCAATTTCGGTTGAGAAAGCTTTTTTCGTTTTTTGTGCGATCGACTAAAAAAAGGAAAAATTAGAAGTTATTAGCGAAAAAATTTATAATTTTTTTTAGTTATCCAGATAACGTTGCAGGCCAGGAATGATATATCCTGATTTCAATATCTGAAGAATAATGGGTTGAGTGAGACGATCCAGATGTATGCCGCCAATCAGCATGAGCGGCGAAAAAATTGAAGAAGTCAACTCATCCTGGTTAGTCCTGAAATATCATGTCTTTTTTCTAATTAGTTATGATAAGATTCATGTTATAGTGCGCAAAAGGAACATATTTGTTTGAAAGTGAGCGTACTCGCGATTGATAGACTCAAATCAATAATGTATGCACGCCATAGAATATTGTTTCGCAACTATTTGTAAAAACTTCCGAAGATCAGTTTTTTATTTTTTATTTTTTTTATTTCCCCACTTTCATAAGAATTCAGGAAAGTAAGAAAGTTTGTGGTAAATTTATGTGTCGTCTTTAGTTTATAAGCGAATTTTTAGTTGTAATAAATATAGTTCGAAAAATTCAGTAAAGTTTATAGTCCTTGAAGCATAGGCATAAGTTACTACTGCGAATTCTGTAAAATAAATCAAAGGGGCCATTAAAGTGGTCTCTAATTCTGAATTCCGCGAAGGAGTCATCAACGCTTTTTTTACTACTTCACTTGATATGTATTATTATTATTTTTTTGTTTTTTTAAATCATGTTTTTTTCTGAAATATTCTTTTTGATAGTTCTGAAAAAAATCACATAGTTTTGGACTTGAAAACTTTTTATTTGGTGGTATGAAAAAAACACCAGCGAAAATTCAAACGGCGACTTTTCCGATTTTTTCATATCGCTAGGGAACTTTCCGACGGCCACTTTTCCGACGAAACTTTTTCCGACTTTTTTTTCTCGATAAAATCTTTGTTTTAAATCTTCCTATATAAAGTAGGTAGTTGGTTCATGATTAAAAACACAAAGAAATAGGAAAAATAAATGTTAATAGATGTTTTATAAACCGAAATTCATAAGGGGAAAAAAAGTCGGAAAGGAATCCGTCGGAAAGGTGGCCGTCGGAAAGTTCCCTAGCGATATGAAAAAATCGGAAAAGTCGCCGTTTGAATTTTCGCTGGTGTTTTTTTCATACCACCTTTTATTTTCAATTTTCTCTAGAGCTTAAGTTAGGGTATTCGGTGAACGAAAATATTCAAACAATTACGGCTGTACCTGAAAATTTGAAAGTTTTGTAAGATTACATACGATTTTCAAAGCTGAGAGGTTCATTTCGCTGCATAATAGTTTTGTTTCATTGTAATGTTTTCCTGCTTTCGAGAGTTCTTCTTGTTTCTCTTTTTTTTTTTCCAATCTCTAAAAAGTTTCCCATTGAAGGGCTTCTGATGAAAATTGGCTCATGATGGCGAAGCGTGTGGCTATACTAGCCGTAGGGTCTTTCAATCCACCGACTATCATGCACTTGAGGATGTTAGAAGTGAGATTTGTATGTTAATTCCTTTGCATAAAGTTTTCAGGTGGCTCGCTCATATCTTGAAGCTAGAAATGTGTCAGTATTAGAAGGTATTCTGAGTCCCGTGGCTGACCAGTTCAACAAGCCATCCTTGATACCTTCCGTTCATCGGCTGGCCATGGCTGAGGCAGCTGTTCGGTCTTCGGATTGGATACGAGCAGATGGTTGGGAATGTCGAAGAACCTGCTGGACCAGGACCCTCGATGTTCTGCGCCATCACTCACACGAAATTAAGGTTTGAGTTTGAATTTAGGTAATGGTAGTTTCTAGGAAGCAATTTGCATTAGCTTCTGAATTATTTCCTATGCGTCATAAAGTGAAAAAAAACTCACTTTTGGAGAATCAGATTTATGGTTGCATTGCCAAGTAGTTAACACACTAATTTTTTGAGATATTTTTTTTTGTAAATCAAAAATTTTTATTTAGCTTTAAATACATCAAGGAATACTTATGGGTTAGCATCTACTTTTATTTCGGTTACTTGTAATAAAGTAGTTACAACTAATTAGAAGCGTTTCGCAATAAGTATTGCAAAATATACCATGTCCGATATCTGATTTGTCGTTTACATGACCAAGTTGGTCGACATACGCCAGCGTACAGCCACGCGACTCATTTAAAATAAGTTGCTGAAAGGCATAAGCGGGCATGTTGCGCCCGAAACTGTCACTAATTTCTTTTATCTATGAAAATGGGTGTGCCTGACGGAAATTACGATAATCTCAGTGCAGCTAACGTATTGAAAGATTGAGTAATACCTCTATAGAAACACCTGGTTCAGAAAAAGCATGGCGAAGACGTGAAGATGATGTTAGTTGTGGGTGGCGATGTCGTAGAGTCCTTCCCATGTGTCTTGCCGGACGGATCCACTCTTTGGAAGCCAGATGACGTGGTCAGCATTGTTTCCGACTTCGGTCTCATTGTGATCGCTAGAGACGGATCTTTTCCGGAAGAAGCAGTCAAATCAATGGAAAAGTTGAAGCCGCTAACAGAAAAGATTGTGATACTCAAGGTTTTCGTTTTTATTTTTCTTTCGAATCTTGAAAACTTCATTCTAGGATGAAGTTTGTCCTTGCTCCGTGAGCTCTACCCGTATTCGAACTGCCATAGCACAGGGAGAATCGATAAATTACGCAACACCCAGCGAAGTTATCGAATACATTAAAGCCCACAATCTCTATGCGAAAGGGTCTATTTAAATTATTGATGTTTTTTTAGAATAAAATTTTTATCTTCTTGTTCATCCAGATGCCCATTGTCTCAACGTTTCTTCGATTAAAAGTACTTTGAAAGAGTGAAAGAAAAATTCTGTTGCGTGTATGTTTTTTTTTCAATCATCTTTGAAAGATATCTAATCAATCTGGTTCCTTTGCAACTCATCTTTGAAAATTTGTCCAATCTGAGAGTTTTTTTAACTAGAGTTATCGGAATTACCCCTTTTAAGGCAAGGTGAAACATTTACACAGTGTTTGGAAATTTAAGAGTGAACAGGCCAAAACTCAGTTGTATGTAGTTTGACAGTTTAACTGTTGTACATTTTTTTCAATAGATTTTTTTCTTTAATATGAAAAAAATGAAAATTAATGGTTTTTTTCAAGATTTTTCTCACCAATCTCATTTCAAATTTTCCACGGCGTTTTCTCTTCTCGAGATGTGTCCAACTTTTTTCTTCATGACTCGCTAAGAACTCACGGGCATCCTGATTTTTCGAGAACTTGAACAAACTTTATACTGCGCGTTACGTAAACCAATCACGTTTTTCTATAAACTGTTTCCATCTCACATAATTTCTGCTAGTCCGATTCTTTTTCTTATGTTTCGAAGCTCTCTTTTCACCAAATTTTCTCTAAAAAAAAAATCTACAGTGAAAACTTATTGAAAGCGCTTTAAAAAGGGAGATTATTACTATTTGTAAAAATGCAAAAGGAAAAATCGGATCATGACATTTTTCCTCAAGTAGATGTATTTTGAAAATTTAGAACTCCTTCGAAAGCGTACATGTCTTCCGGGCTGGTGGGTAGTAAACGGGAAAAAAAAAACAATAACAAATAATATGACGATTCTCAGAAATTCAGACTGAATTTCGCTCGAGAAAAGCTTATCGTTAATAAAAATCCCTCTGAATTTACGTCTGTCAAACAATAAAAATTAAGAGAATTCTCCTCATTAGGGGATTAGACATGAGAAAGAGGGTAGGGTTACAGGTTTTCTGCAACTTCTGGTGTGTGTATTTCAAAAAAATTCATGAAAATGTGAAAATTATAAATTTATGAGCCAGCAAAAATCATTTCTGCCGAAAGGGTTCGAACCATGGTCACAATTCTGACAGTGCTTAAGACCATTACCACTACACCACCCCGCCAGTTTCTAGCCGAAGCGCGGCCATATACTGGAGAAGTTTTGACGAGCTTTTCCTTGTTTGAGTGTGGGACTTTCAATTTTTGATTCTGAGTACTCTTACCTGGGCCTATCCACCCACAAAGTCTCACTTTTCAACGTGTTGTCGAGCGGAGACCATGCCCTAGTGAGAAGGCTGTTCAAATCGGGGTGGGCAAGTGAGTTCGTGCGCAGCTCGAAGCCACTTGAAACGATACTCAACTCGCAAACTCGGTGTTTTTTCCGACCTTTATTCTTCCAAGTCGATTCTTAGATTTTTTTAGCCTTCACGGTATAAAAAAAGGTTGTTTTTTTCAGAAATTTCTATAAATAGTTTTTCGCTCATCACCCAATCATAAGTTGTTTGATTTAGTATTTGTTTTTTTTTTGCTTCTAGAAGCCAGAGGAATGAAGTATTTTAAGTAGGTAATGTTTATTTACGGTTCTATGCCCGCATTTCTCTCGATCTTTCAATATAGAAAGGCATGTATAAACTTTTGTTAGACTATGGGCTATTTCGAATGGCTAGGGAACATCCAGAAGAATGCCGAAATTGAAGCTTCCCGGGACCTTTGTGCCTGGCCACATGCCAAGCGGACTCCGTCTTTCTCAGTCTTGTGTGTTCATTCTCGTTTTCTTTAGCCGTGTTTTCACATCTCACTTGTTTCGCGCCCTTCTCTTTTTCTCATCTCGACTGTTGATTTTTTTTTTCATTTCTTCATTCTAAAAAATTGATTCTTTTTTAACCGCAGTTTGTATCAGTGGAGTAAGCGGTTTTTTTTCGCTTATATTTTCTTCTCAATGTTTGCTTTTGGCGAGGAGAACAATACTCATCATTTTTCATCCCGCACGCTACTGATTCGTTGAAGTTTTTTTCTTCTTTTTCAAAGCCGTAATTTTAGGTTAAGAGTCATCAAAAGTATCAATTGATATTATCAAGAAGAAGGGTTCTGTATGTCTTAATCAAGGCTTCTGTATGTAGTGATTATTTTCTTTTTTCGCCCTAGTTCGTTCCTCCGTAAGCTACCTCCGCTCTTTTTTTGTTTTTTTCATCCAACAAAATTTCTATGAAAGGAGTTTTTTTGCGATATTTCCCATTTCTAAGTTTTTTTCTTTCAAAATTTATGAAGACAAATTACTCCAAAATTATTGAAAAAAATTTGAATTTCAACATTTTTGGCTTTCTACCCTTTCTTTTTTTGTGAATATGTTTTTTAAAAACAATAATTGGATGTTTTAATATGCGCTCTTTGCAAGGAAATGCTGCGGAAAGATTTTTCAACTTAATTTTAAAAAAATCAATTTTGTCAACATGATTGTAAATGCAGTTTTTCTCGTACAAAACTGTTTCAATTTCTTTTTTTGACTGGTTTTAATCCTTGATCATTTCTTTTAGCAGCAATAAAAACATTTTGAATTATTTAAAATTTGTTTCGATGAAAACTTGATTTTTTTTTTTAGTATTTTGCGTTTTAATATTTTAGATAAATGAGCAAATATTTACTGTTTCTCTTTTTTAGCTTCAAAAACATTTTTTTTGACCATTAAAAAATTATAAAAGTTTTGGCAGTATGTTAACTTTCGTCGGCGGTAGTTGCACAAGAAACATCCTATTTGACGACTTTTTTGTGGGCGGGGCGTAACTCTGGAAACGCCGTTTCGCGCTTTCGCACGTTTCAGTGATGGGAACTTCTGGCATTTAGAAAAGAGATTAGGAATTTTAATACCAAAAGAAGTTTCAATAACTTGAAAAATGCGAATGTCAACGCAAGAAAAAGGGACAATCGAATAGAAGGTCAAAGGACTTCGCCGGCGCGCAGATCAAACTTACGAGATTCCAGAGATCGCAATTGCGAAAAACTGCCTCGGACATTGGTAGCGCGAAACGGACATGCTTCGGAAGTTTCTAGGCATTTCTAGTGACCACTTAAGTAGCGTCAACACTCTTAAGTGATCCCTAGAGTCGCTCAGAGTTTTAAAACCAAATTTGAATACAGTTAGAAGGATGTTCAAAAACCAAAACCCCCGAAACATCCCCCTCCTACATGACTCTTTTTCCATTGACCTTCCTCCTCGCGTCAATTTTGAACTGCGCTCGCCTTTGAAACGTTTTTCTGTGACTCGGTTTTTTTCCACTCATTTTTTTCCCAAGGTTTATATTTTTTTCAAAAATATTATTTCTTATTTAGTCTAACATGAGATAATCTTTTACATGAACCTCAATCAAAAAAACGGTGATTCTAATTCTTTTTGAATATGATTTGAAATGTCTTCTGTTCGTCATTTTCAACATCTTCTGGCATTCCTAACACAGAATTTTCTAATTTGTTTTTCAACGGACTCGGAAGTTTTTAAACTTATTCTCTTGAATTCATCGATAAAGTTTCAGGTAGACGTTTTTGCAGCAACCGTTTCATTGTTCAAAAAGCAAAGAACATGGGTGAGTGGTTCATTTATTTCTTTTTCAGTAAATTTTTTTATTATTCTGTAGGCTTTTTATATCTAATGTTTTTGACTAATGACCCATCTAGCTTGGTGATTTCAAACCTCTCATATCTTTTTCTTCTATTTCTTGTTTCTTCTTAAGGTGTTAATTAAGTTTAGATAATTGGAGTGAGTGCGATTCCATTTTTTTGCCCAGATTTATTGTCAGTAGTGAATCATTCAGATTTTTTTAAAATAATAGAAAAAAAGGGACTTACCAAGCCGTTCACTTTGAGACACGAACATGCCTTTTTTTTAGATAGAAAAAAAATTTTCAAACGGTCGAAACCAGCGCAATATTTATTCGATGAAATGTCTATCTTGCTTTTTTTAAAGTTAATTTCTCTTAGAAATCGCGTTGTGCAAAGAGACAGGCCACGCCCCTTTAACGTCTCAAGCTAACCGTGAATCACAAGTAACGGTCTTTGGAATTTCAGAAAAAAATAATAAAATTTTTAAATGTTTCATTGTCAAATTAAAAAAATTATTTATGTGTTTCGTCGCAGCAGAAAAAGTTATCGAGTCGTTAAGCTTAATAAAAGGGCTTATGATGAAATTACCGCGAAAATCAAGCCGCTGAAAATCTTTTCGGGATGAAATCAGCGTAGAATAAAGTATTGCAAAATATCAGAAGTTGGCAAAATATGGCTTTAATGAGCGCTCCAAGGACAATATGTAAACTCGGTCATTGGTAACGAGAAACTGACGTACTCCGGACGTTTTTGTGGGACTCTAGGGATCATTTAGAAGTGCTGACGCTAAAGTGGTCACTAGAAATGCCGAGAAACGTCCGGAGCACGTCCGTTTCGCGTTACCAATCTCCGAGAACTATTTTGAGGTTCATTTCTTTTAAAAATGATATTGGTAGTGTTCAAATTTTTGATAAAAGCATGTCAGCGCAATTTGAAACCATTTTTTTGGCCAATTTTTCGACGCTCATTTCTTGCACCGTCTTTCCATGGCTTCTTTCACGCGGTCATTTTATCATATATCCATTTTAAATATTTTTCTCTCAATATTCACTAGAAAAGTTCAAGTAGAACGGCTTTCTAATTTATTGATATCAAGACCTCGTTGCTACGACTACAAATGGACTCGAAACTACCAAAGACATCCGGTTGCCTCAAGCGTCTTCTGCGGTCGAAAACGGTCGTCCTAGGAGCCAAATCGAGAATCAAGTCACCCCCGGCGATCTCATAACTGATAGGTTTTTATTAAAAATGAAGAGAAGAAATGTGTCGAAAACATGATTTCGAGTCATAAGTTAGTCATGCCTTTAATCGTTTATATGAGGTCAAAACCTTCTTTCTGAAAGCCGTTAGTATAACTGGAGTGAATTCGAAGCGGAAAACTTTGACTTGAAAAAAAGAAAGTAAACTGCATTAGGATGGTTTGATAAGGGAATAATAGGGAATTTGGATGATGCTTACAAAACTAATTATAATCAGATTATTTTTGAAATAAGTCCCATACATACTTCATCGTTTGATAAATTAGAACCATCCGTTTTTATATTGCAATTACGACGTCTGTACGGTTCAGAAGTGTACATCAAAGACCTCGGCGAAACTTTTTTTCGTCAGGAAAGTTTTGGCTTCGACTTGTACGTCCTTGGAAATGGAGAAGGAAACTTCGCAGGTATCTTTTCTGTTTTTCAATTATACATTGATGCGAAGCAAAGTGATATTTGAATGGATTAGAAGAACTTATAAATATCAAAGCTGTCCTCTGGGCTGCCCATAGCGTTGCAACGTGGTCGAAAAATTTGCCACTTTTCGAACCTTTTTTTCTCAAAAAAAAAAGTAAATGTGCTGTTTAGAAAAATTATGAGTTTCTGGAAACCAGATGACGACAGAAATCGAAAAAAAAAATAAGGAAAAAAAGGACTTGCAGAAGTGACAGCGAGCGTTCTTCGCGCAGTCGTGGCGCCACCGCGACTTGTCCTCAGTCTCCGTCGCTTCCAGAAATCCACGCTGCTGTCGCGCCTACGGCCTACGAAGATGTGCCGGCGTCTTCCTACCGTCAGTCGTGTCAGTTTTCGCTTTTTTTTCTTTTTTTTATAGCTAGTTTGATAGCTAACTTTAGTGAAGAATTAAATCAGAAATACTTTTTTAGTGCCCCATTTCAATCTAAAAACGAAGCAAATTGTTTGAACACGCAAAAAGAAAACTTTCTTCAAAGCCGTTTCCAAGAAAGTTTACTATCTGTAAGTGTCTTCCCAGTAAAAATGTATTTTTAAATTATTTTTCTCAGAGACCCATTTGATAAGTTCTGAAATCATCATCAATATTTATTGGTTGTTTTAGTCAGATGGAATCGACTAGGCGGTGAAAAAATTGCTCTTTTGAGCGGCACTAACACCGCCTTTGGCGAAAAAGAAGTCAAAACGTGTAGTTGATTGAATTGAAAGCATGGTCGTACGGTCCTTCTCCTCTCTCTTCCACAAGTAGATCCCTCAGTTTCGCTTGTACGGGCACGGCGGTGATGGTGGGGCTCGGGCACGGACCCCGTGTACACTCTAGGGTAGCCTCGGCCAATTGTGATTAAAAAAATGATTTAAAAAAATCAAGAACAAATAAATACGCATTTAAGAAAAAAAAAGAAATTTTGAGGCTTTAAACCAATGTACGGTTTTCCAATTAATGACTGCAAACTTCTTGAGCTTTATTTTAAAAAGTTTAAAAAAAAACGATTATTCGTTGATATTTTTTTGCACTCGCCAAGTGGGAGCGCAAGAGGCGGTTGCACTCGAAACGCGTAAATCCCCGGCTCTCCACGTTTTGGCCGATCTTTCCCAACTTGACAAATAACCAATCTTCTCACGTTTCTGAAACCATCCGTCTCCTTGCGCGTGTTCGAGGCGTCGCTTTCCCTAGCTTTAGGCCAAAACTCGCGATTTTCGTATCTCGAGCAGAGCTTTTTTCCATTGAGCAACAACGTCACTTCTCACTTTGCGTGCGCCTGTTATTTTTTCAAACCTCATTTATCTCTCATTTGCTTTGTTCTTTCTCTACGTACAACTATCTCTTAAGATTCTAGGCGAAACGTCAGCCCCCTTGGTTGCATACAGACCGGCACTCGACCAGCCTACATCTTCTGCTGGGTTCGTTTCCGTTTTCTTGTTTATAAACGTCTGTCTTTCAATCTCCAAAAATTCTACTACCTACTACATTCTTTTTTCACTGTTTTTCACTTCAGTTTAAAAAACTAGAAAGTATCTCAAATCATTCAAAAAAAAAAAAAAAATCTGGAGATTTTATTTGAAAATGAGCATTTTTTTCTATAACGAGGGAGGTCATTTTTCTTTTGCGGTTGGGAGTTTTCTGAAAGCCAGAACCCTTCTTGATGTACCTGATGAAGATCCAGAATGTCTCAACCTGCACAACTTCCTACTTTTTGAGAAATAAGGGCCTAAAGTCTCAAAATAGCCGATTTTTATGGGTTTTGAGAGGTTTCTTTGACTTTGAGGTGTCTTTTCCCAAAAACCAGGATTTTTAGCTGGTTGAGACTTTCAGAATCTTTATCTGATACGTCAAGAAGTGTTTTGGCCAATTTTCAGGAAATTCCCAACCGCAAAGTGAAGTGACCTCCCTTGTCCGATGTTTAGTCATTTTTTTAAATTTCATGTTTTTCACGTAGTTAACCTAGAAAATTTAGAAGCGTAGAAGTGCAGCCGCTAACAATCGACCAATCGAGAGCGTCAGTCTGTTCGGCGGTTTCTTTGGTCCGCGCAAAGATTGTCGACGAGCCTTCGACGTCTTCAGGCGGCGTGAGTCGGGTGCAGATCAAAGGGCAAAAGTCTGTCGTCTTCCGACCGCCCACCCTCATCGCCTCTGTCGAGTACGACGACAAGGATTCCGACGAGGGTTTCCTTTCAGTTGTTTTCCTCTCAACGCACTCTTTACGAGTTTTAAGAAAACATCAACTACGATCCCAATACGGAAAGTGAAGAAGAGACTGAAGTGACGGCGAAGGAAGTCTTGGAAGTTTCTCCGCAGACGAATCGCATGATGCTTGAAGGGTACAAACGCGTCGAAGCCAAGGTTTTCTCTTTGTTTGTTTATTTCTCAATACACTTCAATTTTTTTTTCTTTCGTTAATCATGAGAAGCATAGATGGGATAAAAAAAAACAGTAAAAAAGGACTTGGCTCTCGCCAGTCATGCTCATCCCATGTATGATGAGAAGGAAAGTGCAAAAGATGAGGAGCTGAATTTGATGAAACTTGACTGGAAAGCACTCCAGAATCTCCTGATTACAGATCAGTGGAGACTGAATGTACTACATAATGTTTTTTTTTTGGAAATACGCCGTTTAAGTTCTCTATAAGGGCGGGGCTGACGGGCGTCGGATTAAATCCCAGACAAGAGCGGAAATGAAGACCGACCAATCGGGTTATGGAAATGAAATGATATACCGTCTTTGTGCAAGTTGAAATTTATGTTTATTATCAGTTAAATTTAGGAGTGTTGTTGAAAATTGTGAAGATTAAAATAGGATTGGCTCTGTTAACGTTGTAAGTTCCTATAAATTTCAAAAAAGACCATAATAAACCGAATAAAGCAGGACTTTGAGGAAGTTTTTTGTAGGAGCCGAATTTCACTGCGAGGCCAGAAAAGCCGGTTTTACGGAAGCCGGGTCAGCCGTCACGCTTTCGATCTCGTCATTTACACGATTCCTCGAACCGCAACTCTTCAACGTCTTTGAAAGATTCGAGGTACAAATACTTTTTATTATGAAAAATCCGAAAATTTTGCAGGGACGACGAAAATCTGCCCGACCGCCAAGCTGATGACAGCGACAGCGACGGCCCTATACGATATCGCGATGACCCCCCGATGGTAGCCGCGGCCGCTGCTGCGAGACGTGCTGCCAACGTCGCGACGTCTTCTGAAGAGGACGGGGACAAAGAGGAAGAGGAAGATGTCCCACGAAGCGGACTCGCTTCGAAAGTCCAACGAAAAGACACGTTGGCCTTGCGGTTGAACGCGCCGCCCTGCGTCGACGACATCAATGGCCAGACATCCGATGAACGCAAAAAGCTTATGCACACCGCCTCGATGAAATTAGCTAGGTAAGAACGTACAAAAAGAGCTTTTAGCGCAACAGAGTGTGCCTAATAACGATTCTCCTGAGGCGATCTGAAAATTTAAAACTAATGTCGTTTTCCAGGAAACTGAGCGAACGCCCCTCTGCCGAAGAGCTTGAAGAACGGAATATACTTCGAAGAGCCGGCATGAGTCAAGCGACGATGGAAGAAAAAAGGAAGCTGTTGCTGCGCAAGGTCAGATCGACTTTAGAAACTCGAGGTTTTTCGGTTTCAGCTGAGTTTTCGTCCGACCATCGCTCAACTCAAAGAACAGCAAATCATCCAATTCAATGACTACGTCGAAGTAACTCAAGCCGAGATTTACGATCGGAAAGCCGACAAGCCGTGGACACGCCTCACTGCCACGGACAAGGTCAGCCATACTGTACAAAAAAGAGAAGCCTCTTTCTTTATCAGTAGCCCACCATTATTAGAAAGCCCTCTAACTATCCGGTTGAAATTCTTTTAAAAATCTATGAATTCTCGAATTTTCGTGACTTTACATAGTTGTAGCCCTAGATCCTGAGCTGATCGATGAGTTTGAAAAGAAAAAAAAAAACAAAAAAAAATCGTCCAAGGAAACCAATTTCTTCATGAAGACCTTTGAAGAGTTTTTGAGAAAAAACTGGAAAACTTCATATTTTCAAGTTATATGACCTTTAATCATCCTGAAATTCCGAAAACGTGAAAAAATCCTCTTCATTGTAGGCCTTCAGTGATCCTGCTAGGTTTGGATTGAGTTTCAAAGCTTTATTAAATATTGAAACGGCTTGAAATGTCATTAAATTTGCGAATGGTAGTGTAGAAGTTTCCAGGCTTCACTTATGTTTTTCAATTTCTGCCTTTCCTTGCTAAATTAAAGACTCAAAGAGAGAAAATTCGATATAACAGAATAATCGTTTTCAGGCGATGATTCGAAAAGAACTAAACGACTTCAAGGCTTCCGAAATGGCAGTTCACGAAGAAAGCCGGGTATTCACAAGGTTCTGTGTTTTTTTTTTCCTTCAACCAGATCACGGCTTAATTCAGGTTCCACCGACCGTGATTCGACTGATCTGTTGTCAAAAAGTTTCGAATGTCTAATGATTATGTCACTTATTGTATGAAACCGGTGATCCGTTATTCCTATGCGATAGGCCAAACTACCCACTGATCATTGTTGTTTTTCTAAAATCTTGTTCTATCAAAAAACATCGGCATAATTTCTTCTCTGATTTTTCCGCGGTGTCATGAATGTCGATTTTCCCTCCTTCTCTAAAGCATACCAACACTCGCATATTACTGCTTGTTCTGTAGACTAAATATTTTTCTGATAGTTTATATTTTCGAATCTGTAAATTATTTCACCGAACTGTGTTCCGTGTCAAATGCTGGTCTAACTGTTTCCGATAAAATTTTGTGCTTTTCCTTTCTCCCATGTTTTCTGGTAGATCATGATGATAAGAACACTCTTATTATTATTATTATTATTATTATTATTTGAAATATCACAATTCAAAAAAATAATACTGAAGGTGCGTATCTCGAAAAGAGAATTCAAAAGGAGTTGTTCATCCGACTGAGGAAGTTGAACCATCAGATTCATTCCGATCCTCAAATTAGGTGTTTTCGAAGAAAATGAAATCGAAAACCTTGAAACGTCTTTCTGGTCGAAGTTGAACTGCATTTTATGTTCGCCTTCTTTTCTCCCTAAAAGGAATAGTTTTTTTTTGCTCCGGACGTTTCTGGTCGATTCTAGGAATTCCTTAAAGGCATAGGGGCAGTAAAAAATGGGGTTTCAGGTGAAAGCAGTATCTTATATAGTTTTTCTTTGCGAATCGAATGGTGTACTCAAAACAATTACAGGTGTGACAACTTTAGAAGAAAAACGCGATTTTACTTTCCCGCCTTTAATTTTGAAAAAAGCTTTGGATCGGTATGCAGACAACTGTTTACAGTAGCCGTGCGACGTTGCGGACGTCTCGTTAGACTCGCATTTTGTGAGAAATAACCGGATTTCTGCTTGAAATTAGGGGTTTCTTCTCTGAAAAATCGATTAAGAAAACAGAAAACACACATTGATAATAAACAAAACACAAAATATCGCAATCTCAATCGAAACCTGTGTAAAATCATCATTTTTCACCAGAAAAGCATTTTTGCGATCAAAGTTTGCAATTTATACATGAATAGAAAGCTTTTTGTGACGAAAAAGAACTTAGGTGACAACAAAAAAAATTGAAAATTGAAAGAAACGAAGAAAAAAGCGAAAATCCGGAAGATGGCGAAACCTGTTGTGCATAGAGCAACTTTACTGCAAAGCGCCCTTTTTGCGGGAACTCAAATTTCTCTCTCTCCGACTTTGAATTATTTTTTCTTCAAAACTAGGAACTTCTGTACGTTTCCAAGTTCACCGTTCGATTCACAATGAAAAACTCTACAAAATACTGCTTTGAACTGAAACACCGTTTTTTACTGCCCCTATGCCTTTAAGAGTGCTGAGGCTACTAAAGGGGTCACTAGAAGTGCCCCGACACGTCCGATTCGCGCCAAGTTCAACATTAACAAGGTCCGAGAACACAATTTTTACCTCCCGCTGCCAATAATCCGTTCTTCGGACGCAGCGAGCTTCACCATTAGAGTGACGCCAGTTCCTTGAAAAATATTTTTTAACTTTCAAAACTCAGCGTACTTTTTGAACGCGACGACGCAGATGATCGCCAGAAGGAGAAGAAGTACGCCTCCGACGATAGCCATGCCAATCAGAAGCAGGCGCGGATACCTGACCTGTTCCGTCCAATCTGTTTTTGGGGAGCGAATATGTACCTTACGACTTGCTTCAAACTGAGCAGGCCGCTCAACTCTTCGACTTCATGAAAAATGTATTGACAAGAAATTGCAGAGGTTCCCGGTGGAAGTTGGCTGCAGGGGGAACAGAACGTTTTGTTTAGGCCATTCTAAAAGAATTTTTGAAAAATAAGGATTTCGCAGAGGACAGCCAACCTGAAAGGTGCCCTCAGGACACATCTTGCACAAGACGTTGTACGGCACATCGTGGCGCGGCTCAACCATTTCGTTGACGTAGACGTTCTCGTCGGCACAGTCAAAGCGGTTGCAGCCTTCGACTGAGATGGTCCCGATCGAATAAGTCGTAAGCCCTTGAGGACATCGAACACACGGCCCCGACGACTTCTGCACCAAAATCCATCCATCTCGTCCCTTGTCTTACCGTCTTGTAGAACCCGAAGCTGCACGGCTCACATCGAAGGACGCCGCCTTCGCGTGACAGAAATTCTCCCTTATTGCAATGGACTTTGCATTCCCGTGAACTCTTCGAGCCCTGTGAATTCGACTATTGTTTAACGTTTCATTTTTTTTTTCACTGAATTCGAAATCGATTCTAATATTTTTTTAAAGTCAAACTCAACTACCAAAACTCAAAACTTGACACAGCTTTCTTTTTACGAAGCCCCGTCCACAATTCTCGTAACATATGACGTTTTTGGTGCATACACAGAACGGCGATTTGCATACTCATTTAAATCGAAAAAACTTTTTTGTAGAAAAAATCGGAACTTTTTACTGCGCAGAACGCCGCGATTTGCAGACGAGGCTTTTTTTTCGAAAAGTGTTTTTGATCTAGTATTTTGGAATTAGATTGAATTTTTCCACCTGTGGTTATGTTTACGTTCTTTCTTTACTAAACTAATACGTCTTTCTATTTTTTTTTAAATTTAAAGAACATTAAAATTTAATCATCTTCTACCTGACAATGAGCGTAAAAATAGAACATCACGCTAGAAACAGCTGTTCGACCGGATCAGTTTTGGAATTTACTCTATAAATAAAAATCTAGTTCAGAAGCCTTTTCCTCACGTTAAGGTCAGAGCATGAAAATTATAAAATGTATTTATGTCAAGAGTAAAGGTCTCGTTTACAGAAAAAAAAAAAACGAACGACTGCCGCAGTGCTACTGTCAAAGGGACAGTGGATGCACGATCGAGATCCTGGCAGGGGACTGAAAGAGCCGATTGGACAAGGCTCGCAAAGTTTCCCCGAAGCGAAGAAACCAGCAGAACAATTGACTGAAAAAGAAGTGGCTTTGTGTACAAGAAAGAATTCAAAATTTGAGTTATTACTTGTTCTCACCGTAGCAATGGGAGACGTGGAATGCGCCGACACGTCTGCCGGTGGTGTTGCCTGGAGGACAAGGGTGGCAGGAAGTCTGATCGGAGCTGTCGGCTTCGCGGAACTCGTCGACAGCGCACTGTCGACAAGAGTTCTCGGCCTTGTCGGCGTACATTCCTTCGGGGCAGTTCGCTAAGCTTTCAGAATAATTAAACGCGTTTTTTGATTTCGAGTATTCCATTTTCAGGAAGGTCGATTAAGTTCGCGGTTAGCCTTTTTCTGAAAATTGGCCAAGATACTCCTTAAAGAATCTGAATGTCTCAATCTACACAAATTCTTAGTTTTCGAGAAATAACGGCTCAAAGAAGCTCCTTTTTAATGGATTTTGAGCTGTCCTTTCTCGAAAACTAGAAATTTGTTCAGTTCAGACTTTCAGGATCTTCTTCTGGTACGTGTTCTGGCCAATTTTCAGGAAAATCCCAACCGCAAAGTAAAATGACCTTCCTTGTCAGGTGACGAGGACTCCGCCATCACAAAATACTCACCACAAACTATCTTATTTAGTTTTTCCGATTTTATTGGAAATGATGGTGAGCACTCGATTGTGGAGGTTTGCTGCACTTCTCCATAAAACTTGTTTCCGAGAGAATTTTTCACGGCATCATTAACCAGATCGTGACTCTCTCTGTAAGGTTGAAGAATGGAAAATAGCTTGACTAGAAGAATGCCGCACTTGGTACTCAATATGTAGTGTAACGTGATGGTTGGATGATCATTCCCTTGACGCTTCGACCGGAGAGCTGATTCACAGGTCGGGAATACCCGCATGGAGCATTTCAAGCGGTCGCAGTCCAAAGACTTCCATAGAGTTTCCCAAAGCTTGGCGGTCATCTGAAGTCGTCGCGTCATGGTTGTCAGGAAATTTGAATAACCAAACCGATACACAGGACTCCTCTTCTGAAGTCACTGTTCCGTTGACTGTTTGGAGCGCAAACTCCGTCCGACCGCACGCCGGTAGCCAATAATGGGAAGAGTTCGCCCAATCTCCTACGCCATAGTTTCCCTAGGAACTTACTTTCATCAAGTTTGCGCCACCTTTTACTACCATCTTGTCACAAACGTAAAACAGAGGCTGGTCATCACGAGGGTAAAGAGGATCATCACACTGCACGACGGCGGTGATGGGAGACAATTCTCCAGCCGAGAGTCCCACCAAAGGCGCTCCAACAAAAGAAACTCTTCCGTTCTGAAGAAACCCGTGCAAACGTCGTTTTGTAAAAAAAAGACTTACTCGGACGAGTGTCTGTGGCGCGGCTGGGCACTCTCCAGAAGCGACGACGACGTCAAACGCGCACTCGTTCCGATTTCCTGCGGCGTCCTCCGCTTCATAAACGACGTGGTGAATCCCTCTGCAAACCTTTTCTTTTTCATGAACAATTATCAAACAAACATTGGTAGATACTGGTTTGGTGAGTAGTTACTCACAACCCTGACGATGCCAAGGTTATCCGAGAAGCTTATCGCTTCGTCTGCCCACGGCGCAACGGAGAATCCGTCGCTGGCCAAAACAGAAAAGCCTCGAGGACATCGCTGCACCGTTGGAGAAACACGGTCTTTTGCTGTTGGAATAATCAATGAATCGCCTCGAAGAACGAAATCTCACAGAAGGTCATGGAGCTTGATTTCGATCTGTAGTTCCCTGGTTCTCGCTTGGAAAGTGGTCCATGGCAAACTCCAGCCGGGTCTTCCGATACGCCGAGGTTTCCGGGACCGACGCGAGTGAAATCCTTTTCCCACTTCACAAACATCGAAGTAGTCAGGTCGTTTGAACTCATTGTCTAGAAAGGTTCTCTTCAAAGAATGCCTACCAAAAATTTGTGAGTTATAACCTCACTGCAATTGAGGGCGAGCTGTGCAATCACTGCTTCATTGAGCCGGACAAAGTACATCTGAATGCATATTTTAATAAAAAATAAAAACGCAGTCGTTTCTAGCCTGAACCAAACTGAGAGCTCCCACAAACAAGTTGCTCTTGGTCGGGCTAGACAGGGGCGGAGCAAGGATCAAATATCCGTTTTGTAGCTAAATAGAATTTTTAGTAATTATCAAGCGGTGAGTGAAGACTTCGAAACGCTCGGCAAACAATTGGGAGCTGTTGACTCCGTCCAGAAAAGCCGCCCATCTCGGGGTGTTTTCATTGAACGCCGGACTCACCAGGCAGAACTGAAAGAATCGTTCTTGTGACAATACCGTGCAATGATGGATAGTCAAGATGATCCAACATGGTGCCATTGTTGAGGAGAGAGAAGGACGTTGCCTCGGGCGTCGCAGCTGTTTTTATCGTCGCAGATGGCGAATCCGTGGCTGTCGAAAACGATCTGGCGACTGGAACTCGTGTCGCGGAGTGCCAGATAGGCTGGCAGCGGTTGAGAGTCACTCCTTCTTCCGGGAGCGTTGTACCGCACAAACGCGCAAATCGTGAACTCGCTGGAAATGGCTTTCGGCTATGTACAACAACGGATTGCAGACGTTGCGATTGAGCTGGAGAACGTTTTGGAAACGATCGGTGGATAATAGTCCAGGCCATTGAAGAGCAAGTTGTAGTCGTAGGTGAGTTCTGTGTTTATGTTAATATAGCTCATTGGCTTGTTACGATTTTCATTTCCCTCCGAGCTACAGAACGCTAGTCCCTTCGAAACATGCGGTCAGCTCCTAGGCATGCGCCTTTAATATGACGAGAATTTTAGGTCAAAATGAAAGGCGCATGCAGAGAGGCAAGTCGGGCGCTTCGAAGCGAAGCATCATGAAAGGGTTCAGCTTTTCCGCACCAGTTTGCCACGATTTTGATTTTCCTCCGAGCTACAGAACCCCCAGGGACCTTCGCTTCGAAGCATTCGGTCTGCTCCTGGACATGCGTCTTTAATAAAACGAATTTTCAGGTCGAAATGAAAGGCACGGCGCTTCGAAGCGAAGCGTCATTAGAGGGTTCCGTATCTCGGAGGGTAATAAAAATCGTGAGAAGCTGGCGCAGGATGGGCTATAGCAATTTTAATATTGAAGCCACTGGTCATGCCTTAATTTTTTTCTCTTCAGCAAAGTTTCATATGACTTTTTCTAACTTTTCCTATTAAAAAAATCTCAGAGAAGAAAACACTTGAACTCTCCAAAGACGAAAAAAAATATAAAAAATACCAGATTCACAGCGACGGCCGTAGAAGTTGCTACCCGTACAGTTACACCAAGCGCCGTCCGAATTTTCTTGACATATTCCGTTCAAACAGTACTTTTCGAGAGTCCCATTTGCATATTGAGTTTCGCACGGTTTCTGAGAATTACCTTTATTTCGTGGTACCATGGTCAATTGCAAATCTTACGCTGATCTCACAGAACTCGCCAGAAAAGTTTTCTGGGCAGTTGCAGAAGGGTTCATTCTCATAGAGCTGACAAGTTCCACCGTGTTGGCAGAAAATCCCTTGGCAGCTGAGCGACTCACAGTTGGTTCCGTCGAACGCTAGTAGCCTTTTTCTACATTTCAAATTGTCGATTATTCTACCTGAGGGACAAATGCAACTGTAGGACGCGTCGTTCAGGCTGACGCAAGTTCCCTCGTGGAAACAAGGCAAAAGGTCGCAAATTGAGATTGTAGTTTGACATCTGGCTCCTCTAGAAATCGGAACTTGATAGTTACAGGCCGAAACTTGGGTATAGCTGATTCACCGCCAGCTTGGGATGCTAAGGGGGCGTGTCCTGTCTGAGCTCACCACGAGCCAGGCGCTATCTCGTGCATTATCGTGTCAGGACCCTTTTTTCGATGGCTCAAGCCAGCCGTGAAACAGCTATATTTCCTCTCTCAAAAATTAAAAATTGGAAAGAATATGTTTTTCGAAAAAAGCTGCTTTTTGTGAAACAGGAACTTGCTAGAGAAAGGTTAACAAACGTTCTTCCGCTTGGACAGTCACACCGAATTTCGCTGGGAAAGGCTTCAATACATGCTCCTCCATTACAATTTTGCTCGAATTCGCACGATAGTTCCCGTGGAATGTCGCAGTAGGTCCCTGTGATTGAGAAGTTATCTCCGTTACGCTGGGAACGGTCTACCGTGCCACTCAGGAGGACAGGAACAAGTGAAAGTCCCATCGATAGAAGACCAGGTACAGGTTCCATGCTGACAAGGGTTGTTCAAGACGCAGCCGTCGAGACGCACCTGAGAGTTCCTTTTCGTCTCCGCACAGCCAATCACAACTCACAGTACACAAACCGTCGCCGTCTTTCAAAAACCCTTCTTGACAGTTACAGTACTCGTTTCTACAACCGGATACACAGACACCTTCACCGCAGTTCATTTCCTTTTGGCATCTGTTTTGTTGATTACGAAGTATTTCATGCAGCTCACCGATATAAGGTTGAAGTCTCACAGTTGGGTCCAGTCCAAGATTCGGTGCAACTGCAAAGTCCATTCAAACAAGATCCTCCGTTCTGGCATTTGTACTCGCCATTGGGCAACAAACAGGCGGATGATGCTCTGCAGTTTTGTCCGAAATAGCCTCAAGAAAGGAAGTAACTGACGCAATAGGAAACAAGAGCGATACCTTCGAAGCATCGACAAGGGTATGAGCCTTTGAATGGGACGTCTCTAACACACTCGCCATTGCCACAATCCTGATATTTGCAAGGATCTTCCGGTGCAGCCGTCAAAAGACTGCATCCGAAACGAGAGTCGACGCAGGCGTCGATTTGGTACGCAGTCGAAGAATCGACGGCTGGATCAAGGAGGAAAATCGTCTTCGACGCGGCTACCGTAGGTCCGTAGTTGCAGAAACGTCCTTGCCTACCTGAGCTTCGTGCTTGTTTACGGTATCACTCGTATAGTCTGTGTGCCGCGACTTGAAATTTCGCGGAACGACATTCCGTTGTTCCTCTGCGTGCGTTCGCGAAGCGTCTTTCGAATCTAGGTCACTTTTTCAAGGGATTGTTATTGCTGTGGGAGCACAGGAAAGTAGAGTACCTTAAAAAAAGAAAAAAAAATTAAAAGCGCGACCAAGGTTCGCAAAGGCGCGCAGCGGCACAGCGGAATGTCGTTTGGTGAAATTCCAAGTCATGGTACTCAAACTATAGATATCGTCAGTGCTGCATTTTTCGTCTCAACTATCAAGAAAAAAAGTCAAAGAAATATTTTTGCATTAGTCCTTTTGACATGTAATGTTTCAAATGACTTGATCTTGGAAATTTACCGAATGGACAAGAAATCCGCTCGTCTCTTTCCCCCGTGGAGCAATTGAAAAACTGTACGTGAGGAGGGGAGTACAGGCAATGGTCGGGAACGCATTCACTTTGACACGTTCCAAAATTTCTGAAACCTGAAATCGGAAGCCAATTATTTTTGGAGAGAAGTCTTACCAGCGTTGCAGACACACCTAAACGTGTCTCCGCGAGAGACGCGGCGTCCGTTTGCACATGAATCCATCTGGCATTCGTTCTTCGCTTTGAATGTGGTCGGAGGAGCACCTGAAGAGTTTGAAAATGATCTTTCCATTCGTGTAGCTAGGTGGAATAGATTTATAAGGGATTTTTAATTTGGAGTTAACTTGATAAAACGAACATGATGCCTGGAAGTAACATAAATCTGCTTCTTTCGGTAGCACCCAACCTCGGCCGTGTTCACATCTTGCGTACATTGGAGAGGATAATCTGAAAAAACAACAAAAAATAATACGACAAGCCCATTTGAATGAATGAATGTTTATTTCGCTCACAGACAGATCTGTGGCGTGGAGGAAGAGAACCATGAAAGTTATATTTCAAAAAAAAAACTCACTTTTCATTTTTATAAGTGACTGGATGTCTCCGTTTAGAGTTCACGGGCGCCGCCTCTAGTCTGAGCATCCCAGAAGTGAGCTGAAAAAAGTGATCACTTTGAATGAATTATAAAAGTTTCTGCGCACCGATTTGCACTTTTGAATGCGAACAGCAATGCTGCAGATGAGCGCGTACGCGTCAGCTCGGATCAAAACGGCCAAGAACTTTTTCAAGTTGGACAGAGTTATGACCAAACTGCCGGAGACGCTTGTCGACGAAGCCGTCTGGAACTGGGAGAGCGGCGGCACAATTCCGTCATCGGATGTGTGAACAACTGAAGTTGCGATCAGACATGGCTGTCAATTAAGACGAACGTATGGACACAGAAGAAGTGAGGCGCTTGACGGCGACGACGATTTCCACCTCTGCTGCGTCAACGAAGACGGCGTAGGAGGTTAACAGAAAAGAGCCTCCAAGCGGGAACGGCTGTTCGTAGCACGACCCTTTCCGACACCACTAGAATCCATACACAGTTAGTTCGCGGAATCTTTTTCAGAAGAGAAAAACGTGACTTTTTGGTTAGACCATATAAGACATAAAAATTTCAATCAACTAAGGAAAGAAGTACATATCTAGCGTTCATATAAATCAGTGTACAATATACTTCGGTAATCAACAAAAATGGCTTTTATACACTGTGAGGAAACTTTTTTCTTCTCTACCGAACTTATTCCACGGAAAACAAAAAAAAAAGTAATATAGTATGTGTGATTGGGAATTTCACCAAACGACATTCCGCTGTGCCGCTGCGCGCCTTTTCGAGCCTTGGTCGCGTTTTTTTTAAAGGTACTCTACTTCCATGTGCTCCCAAAGCAAGAAAAATCAATTGAAAAAGTGACCCAGATTCCAAAGAGGCTTCGCGAACGCACGCAGCGGAACAGCGGAATGTCGTTCGGTGAAATTTCAAGTCGTGGCACACAGACTATAACGGGAAATCATCGTTACATTTGAAGTGTGAGACCATTCGTAGGGCGCAGCAAGAAGTTCAAGCTCTCAAATAATTCAATCATAGAGATGCGTCTGAAAACGTCCCACCTTCAACAATGAAGCTTTCGGATAACACCAAATCGGCCTCTACACATTTTGGCGGGGGAGCTGACCACCTTGGTCCTAAAAATGATTCAAAACTAGTCGACCAATTTTTCAACACAAAAGACCATCTGATGTCATGATGCATTTCGCTGTGTCAGCACCATCAATTCGACCAGTATTGCACACAAATTTAACAACACTTCCCAGCAAAAAACCATCATTTTCGTTATAACTACCTTCAGTTACGATTTTGACACCACCGTCAGGAGTCGATAAATCGCTACAACTTTGATCTGAAATCTAAAATTGGGCAAGAAGAAGCCAACAGACTGACAAACGCAACGAGGCACGTAGGACCACTGCAGAGACGCGTTGCACAGAATGTAGTCGTAGCCGACCAGAAGCTGAGACGGATCCGCGCAGTAAACTCGCGCTACGGCGAAAACCAGCGGCCAGTCGGGCGCGTTGTCCACATTTTCTAGCACTAAGCCTGGCAGTGCTGTCGGACATTTGGCTAAAAAATTTTTTGTTACGAACGAAACTTTTTTTTTTAGTTCCACTAAATTTCGAGAAAACTTTAAAACTCGCTCAAGTTCCATCTTGACTTTCTTCTTGTTGATAAAAAAAAATCTAAAACCTTTTTGAAAAGAAAACGCATCGTTTTGACCTTGACATTTAAAAAATCTTTAACTTTCCAAAATTCAGCATTTTTCAAAATCATATTATCATTTATAGCTGATTCATGACTGGCTTGAGCCATCGAAAAATGGGTACTGACACGATAATAAAAGAGACAGTGCCTGGTTGATGGAGGCAGACAGGCCACGCCTTTTTGTGTCCCAAGCTAGCCGTGAATCGACTATGTTCTCAAGGCATAATTTCTAACAAACCTCTCCAATTGAAGTCTCTTCTCCACTGCCCTTGAATGCAAGTCTGTTGGTACCTGGCCGCACATTCAACCTTCTCTTCCTCCTTCTCACACGGAAAGAACTCGAAAAAGGCTACAGAAGCCATATTTCTATAATACTTCCTTTAAGTTTTCAACCAGGTACACGAAAAGGAATCCAAAGAAATTTTTTTGCTTCTTCTATTTAAAAACAATTCAAGCACAAATCTCAAGAAAATTAAACCTATTTCAACTCTGGAAAGCGAAAATGGCTAAAGAATAGCAGCTATTTCAGCTTCGCCTACCTATTTCGGTTTAGGTGTTCTCCAAAACAACTTTTTTCAACTATCACTGTTGTTTGTCTTTTTTGGGTACTTCTCTGAGCTGGGAGCAGGATTTTGAACGAGTTATTCAAAGTTACATCAAAATTAAGCTCACGCATAAAAAGGCTGTAGTTTTCCGGAGAACGAAGACGCTTCGTATCCATCTTCCAAAAAACGAGAATCGCAGACCGGGTCTGAAAAACGGATTCAGCGAGAATTTCCATCAAGAGCACTTGCCTATGCAAGACACGTTAGTCACTAGATAACCCTCAAAAACAGGAAAATCGGCAAAGCCTGTCCAAAGAAATTTCCCGGGAGAACATGCGCAACTGTAGCCGCCCTCCAGGTTGTAGCACCACGATGGGTCGTCGCATAAAGATATACCCAAAAAACACTCGTCGATGTCTGAAATCCAGCGTGACAAGGGCCGAGGATCGACCAACCGATGCAGTTTCCCTCCACCAAGTGATAGCCGACATCACAGCGACAAGTCTGGCTCATCATCTCTCTCTGTCCATGGAGACCACAGCTGATTTCGGCTTCGCTTTCTGAGCCTTTTGGGTTGAGAACAAACTCGCAACCTCACCTGCGCAAAGACAGGCGAAGTCATCTATGAACTCATCGGTGTCCCAAGTTCCGTTTCTGCAGAGATGGACTCGATCGTCAGAACAGCCGCATCTGAGGCATTGGAGAAAGGCGCGCTCTCCGTCGCCGAACAGATTCCGTAATCTTCCGTTCTGGTCCACTACGTTTGCATCTGTCGTTTGTTTCGCCACACAAGAACTCGCTACAATACATTTGAATAAGTTTGAGCATCTGAATCAAAAAACGAAAAACATCTTTCGCAATCAATAGCTGATTCACGGCTGGCTTGAGTGATCGAAAAAATGGTCCTGACACGATAATGCACGAGATAGCGCCTGGCTCGTGGAGAGCGCAGAAAGTACACGCCCCCTTAGCGTCCCAAGCTGGCCGTGAATCAGCTATACATTTTACAGATGTGACTTTTGGAAAAAAAAATATTCTCGAGACTCACGAGAGTTCATGGCGTCATTGTAACAAATCCAGTCCAAAGCGACTTCACAAACGCAGAACACCTGGAAGGGAAACTCGGAGTAAGCGTTGTAGTAACGACGTGTTGCGTAGGAAGTTTCCGTGGTACTTGGACGAGCCAGATGGTTTTGTTCGAAAGGAGTCGTTGCGGAGCAGTTCCAAGCTGCAAAGACAAGTTTCCAGGGCGTCATGCAGAAGTCTATCTGTCGCGACTTGACAGTTTTCGCGTGTCTGCGTCTCTCTGTTCCCTCACCGGCGAGGTCAGAGAATCATGGAAATAGCGCGTAAATGTGAGAGAGAGAGAGACGTCGAGAGGTAAGGAGGGAGTAGAGAAGTCCTGCTCTTTCAAGTCGCGAAAAGCGAACTATACCTTGGCATTCGACGAATTGCCCGAATTCTCTCGAGGGTAGGGGCTCGTTTCCATTGAACCATCGGCCGTCGAGACAGCTGATAGTATAATCGTTCGAAGGGACGAAAAATCCTTGGCGACATTCGAAAAATACTGCAGAGCCATTCGAATAGCCACCAACAATTCGCAAGAAACTTCCATTCGAAATGAAAGGCAAAAGACATAAACGTTGTTTCTCTTCAGCCTCTTTTCTTTCTTAAAAGTCCATAAAATGAAAGAAATTTCAGGTAGTACTACCTGTTAAGGACGTTTTTGATATGTTCTTATAAGTCACCAAAACATTTTGATTCCTGTCGTTCCCATCATGTCGCAGGAAATCATCTGTAGGAACAGTAGGTTTTCCTCAGTTTTGAAATTTTGGTGAATACCTTTTGAATAAAAAGCGCTCAGAAAGAAGTCCGAAGAGGTTATGAGGAGCACGAGAGACGATGCTCCCTGAACTTGACGTGAGAACTGTGGTCGAACGGAGCTTTTGCTCTCTTCCGCGACCAACTGAAACTGTACCGTTTTCTCTTGATTTTCAAGTTGAATTTACCTCAACCGTATCCAATCTTTCTTGCAGTTTGACTTCATCAAAATACCAAGTCCCAATAAGGTCCTCTTTTTCCTTCGTCAGTGTTTCGATCGAAAGCTTTTTCGAGTCGGTGAGGACTTTTCTTGCACCTCCGAGCCAAACAAAAGAAAAATTCTGATCAGCGACAAAAAGCTGCTGAATTTCTGAAAGTTTCGTGATTGTAGAAAATCATATAGTCGAAATATCATGAAAAAATCTAAAATTTCTTTTCGACGAACTTTAGTTGAAGATGAGGGAAACTTGATTATTATTGTTTAAAAAAAAAGAATATTGAAACATTTTTACACCTAATATATCAACGGATCGCAGGCGATAAAGCTAAACAAAGGTTTGTTCTCATATAGACTTTGCCGTAAATTTGAAAAAAAAAACCTTTTTTGATAGCAGTCACTCTTGCTTTGAATAAAGTCCGGGAGTCATGGTAACTTTTCTCAAAGTGTAATGTGAAGCTATTAGCTGGAACTACGACAATTTGAACCCAAGCCCTGGGATCTATCGAAAACGTTTCGTTCAGATACCGCAGATGGCCTTGGCTCTCTCCAGAAGTGCGAAACTGTTCCACCTGATGAATCCGAGATTCAACAGAACAAAATGAGACATTGGGAGCTCACCATGATAGACAGGAAAGAATCGCTGTCAGCATCGGAAACCTCGAAGACACAGCCGAGGGGCGTTCTGTCGGAGTCATAGTCGATGAAGCCGTCGATGAGAAGGCAAGCCTCGGGATCTGTTAGACAAACGGAGATACAACCCACGTCCGTCCGACATACCAAACTCAGCGTAATGAATCCGAAAATCTTCTCGCCGACGATCCGCTCCTTGAACAGAAATGAAGAAACTCGGCGAGTTCGTCAAAAACGCCGTATTGTTGAGAGAGTTGACACGAATGAGGTCATCCTGGCTGGAGCCCTCGAGCACAATTTGAGCCTTCGAGTGCAGGTTGACCCATTCCACCTTAATCTGCAGCATTAGAATGGCCTAAGAAGAGTCTCGACTTGTATGGAAAAGATTCGTCTGTTCGCAGAGCTGACGGCCCAGTGGAAAATGCAGGGTTCGGTCGCGTAAGGGGAGACGGCTGGCCGGAGAACACCATCAGATGACGTCATCAACGGCGTGTCGCAAGAAGAAGAGCGTTCCTTCTAGGAGAAGCCGGGTTAGAGAGCAATTTCGGCCTTCTTCTTATCGTACAATCCATTCAGTTTAAAGGATGAATTCTAATGAAAATTTTCCCCAGTTTTTCAAAAAAAAAAATAGTCACTTCATTTCAGCTCGATTTTTTCAGTCAATCTTCATTTTTAGTACAAATCTTTGCATTAGAGTTCAATTAGATCTTATTGGAAGTAAAAAATAAATTCCTAGGAAAAGTCTAAATTACACTAAGTTCACAAAACAAATTTTTTTTGCTTTGTAGTCCATTTTTCGCGACTTGAAAGACTTCTCTGCGCTCTCCTCATCTCTCGACGTCTCTCTCATGTTTACATGCTGTTTCCATGTTTCTCTGGTCTCTCCGGTGAGGGAACAGAGAGACGCAGACACGCGAAAACTGTCAAGTCGTGGAGAACGGACTATAGTTCTGAGAATTTTACAAAAAATTTTTTACACGTAGACTGGTTGAACACCGGTTCAAAAAAGAACCAAAATTATAGAAAAAAGGGGGCTCACCGGTATTGTCGGTTCATCAGAGCCATCGGAGCAATCAACGACGCCGTCGTCCACAAAACTCGGCGGCAGACACTTACTAGTGTCGTAACATCGGAAAAACCCTGAATTTTGACAGAAACAACGGGATATGAGGGGAAGAAATGTGTACCATGACGGCAGGAAAAAGTGTGGCACAGTACGGGCAGAACAGAGGAACAAGGCAGTGCCCTCCAACGAGCAACGTCCGACGTTTCCAAGTCTAGAGCCACGCAATACGACGTCATATTCAACTCGGAGAGTGACTAAGAGAACTACTCGTATTTTTCTTTGGTAAAACTAAACCCAAGCTGGTTCTCCTGGCGCCCAGAGGGGATTATAAATCGAAGCAGACACACTGGCATCTCGAGAGCCCAGGCGTTCTGCTCCCAACTTGCCGGTTGAGAGAATCCGCAGACCAGTCCAGTAAGTCGTGCGCAGAAGAGTATTGTTGGTGGCTAGAATGGCCTCTCCGACCGTCTTGACTTTGAGCCAATTCGTTTCGTCATACGACGAGCTATGATTCGCTCTGAAATCGCCGTTTCTTTCAGGTTCACTTGAAACACGGTAGACGCTCTGCGGCCGGGGATCGTATATTTTTTAATTGAACTTTTGATGAAACTCCGCTGAAGTGTACTTTAGGACCTCCTGATTGCAGAACAAAGAGAAAATTCCTTTTAATAGATTTTATTTTTGAAGTATGAAGCTTCAAAGTCCGCAAATTATGACAAAATGAGCTATTTTAAGCTTTTGAAGTGTTCTAACTCGAAAACGAGATCTATTCTCTACTCAAATCATTCCGAACACACGCGCGTACTTATAGCTGATTTACGGTTGTCTTGAGCCATCGAAAAATGGGTCCTGACACGATAAGAAAAGATAGTGCCTTGTTGAGACAGGCCACGCCCTTTTAGCGTTCCAAGCTAGCCGTGAAGCGGCTATTACTCTGCCAAACTGCAAAGACCACATCAAGACTTTCAAATTGGTGAGAGACGGAATAAAGCCCAAACACTAACGCTCGGCAAATGTTCGCAGCGGTGGTGAAGTTCCGTTTAAGAAAGGAGAGAGGAAGGAAACAAGTCGAAGAAACGTTGAACCAGTCTGAACAACTTGGTCCGTGTTTTGAAAAGATTTTAGAGAAAAAAACCTCGGTTTCCGGGAAAACAATCGACAGGAGCAACGCTGCCTTCACTATACACTGGCACATCAGCAGCCAGCAGAAAATGTGATAGGTCGAGGAAAAACGCCAAGTAGTTCAGCCACATCCAATCAAACCCGAATTGAAGTGTAACTACTTACTGAAATCAAGATAATGACCGTTGAAAGGACAGAGAGACTCAAAAAAGGCCGCAAAAAGGCAGCAGAAAAGCAGCAAAAAGGGAACCTTTTTCACTCTAAAAGGAACATTTCTATGGAGCCTTTTTCCACTTTTTCCGACTTTGTCTATGGCGTCTCGAAGACCTAACATTGATTCAGATCTGAGGCTTCAATATTGCTTCCAGAAAATAAAAAATATATTATCACAGGTGGAAAAAAAATTCGTATTTCTTGTCCTGATGACTTTCGAAAATTTCCAAAAAAGAGTTGAATCTTACCTAAAACAGCACTAATCAAGGTGAAAGGAGATAAGCAGAGATAAATAGGGAGCAGAAGACACCTTTGCTCGCCCCAAAACGCGCCCCTCGAGCAGACAAACACTCGAGCTCCGAACAAAGCTTGTCGGACATTCCCTTGTTTCTATCCTTGTTAATTTCTATCACTATTATCAGTTTCATGAAGAACCAAATTTTGATTAAGTATTTTCATTTCGGTGCATACTAGGTCAATAAAAATGATAAAGGCATATTTCCAAGATACTGAGCAAATTATAGATGGAATAAGGCTGACAGGTAAAGGCAACATTTGAATCACAGTTTTGAACTACACGTATTTTAATGCTTTCCAAAGTGTAAATGCGAAAAAAAAACATTGATATAAGTGACTCCCCAGTATAGGGTTGTGATAAAAAGCGAGTAGAAATATCGAAAATAAACTCAAAAAACAACCTAAAACAAAAAACTGTTATACAAATGAGAATGAATTCCAACGATTTACACGAAGTAATTTACATAATATTTCTGCCTACTCTTCTAGAAGCGGAGGCTCATCGATAGTTCCTCGGAAAGTATTGTGGCGCGAAACGACGTTTGGTAGGTTGAGGTCTGAAACGGCGCGAGTGTTGTGGCGACTGAGCAGCGCTTTCTGTTCCTCTTTCTGAGCCTCTTCGAGCTTCTTTGTAGGCTCGTCCACCACTTCGAATCTTCCATGGGACGCCTAAAAAGTCAAATTATATTGTTGCAAAAAATATACAGTATGTATAGCCTGTGTACCACGACTTGGAATTTCACGAAACGACACTCCGCTGTGCCGCTGCGCGCCTTTGCGAACTTTGGTCGCACTTTTATTATTATTTTTTCTTTTTTAAGGTACCCTACATTCATGTGCACCCACAGGAATAACAATCAATTGAAAGCGTGACCTAGATTCGAAAGACGCTTCGCGAACGCACGCAGCGGCACAGCGGAATGTCGTTCGGTTAAATTTCAAGTCGTGCCACACAGACTATAGAAGAACATTTTCAAACTCATTTTTTTCAGATAAAATTATTGTCAGTTACAAAATTTTCGAATATATTTTCACGAAAAAATCCTTTCTATTAGTCTTGATAAATCAAAAAAATTTCACGAAAGCTTTTTATAAAAAAAGCCGCTTGGAAAATGAAAAAAACTCTTCATAGAAATTACCATTGTGAATTACTTGCAAATACCTTCAGATATTCAAGGGTGAAAATATCTATATTTTGTAGTACATAGTCAATTCATTTCCATTCTGCAAATTGTTAAAAAGCATACCGCTTTACTGCGATGGTAGAAAATAGATCCGCACATTATCACGAAGAAAAACGCCAGGGCGACTATTATTCCAGCAATCGTGTAAAGGCGCTGGCGAGATCGTCTCGGCTTGAAAAAAAAACAGTTAACGTGATAATAAAAAAGGAAGAAGCTATATTAACAGCCCACTAACAGACATGTTCTCATATAAAAACTATAAATTCGGAAACATTTTTAATCCTAAATACGAACCATTTTGATGATTTTTCCGTCGGATCCAAGGGCAAGCTCCTTCTCTTTGGCTTCAGAACGACTCAAAGTCTGACATTCCTTCGCATTTGCCCATGTTCGGAAATACGGACAATGCTGAAAAATGCAAATTATCGTTGAAGTTTCTTATATACAACCAACTGCTCAGCCTTTCCGAAGCCCTTGAATGGTTTTTTTAAAATTCGGTAATGAAAACTTTTAAGAAAGAAAAAAACGGCTTATAAAATATACAGCGGAACTTTTTGCGAATGAAAACGCTCAAAAAAGGAAAAACATGGAGAAACGGTCACTGAATTTGCAAAAAAAAAACTCATTTTTTAAAAAGCTCGCGTAAATTTCAATCTATGCTAACACGCGGAAAGACTCATCCACCGCTAGAAAAAATTTGAGCAAAAAGATTTTTTTAATGAATTGAGAAAAAAATGGAATGATGTCTACAAATACTCGATAACTCACAACTTCAGGACAGGCATACTTATCGATTGAAAGGACCACCGACGTTAGATTATACTCCTTTCCAGTCAGTAGTCGATTCCACAGAAACTTGGTTGCGTAGTTATGTCCTGGGGGACCTATTTGAAAAAGATAAAACTAATCTACATACCTCTGCGATTCAGAAGAGGGCTGTTCGGCATGAAAAGCCCTTTGGGGAAGCGAGAAGTTATCGTCAGCATGGGAAGGGCAATGAGACCGAATGTCGGGCTCTAAATGGTTTATTTATAACTTCTTTCAACCCAAAACATATAATTTTTTTTGGGTAAGAAAAAAACCTCTAAGCTGGTACTAGCAAGGTGTCTCTCGAGCTTTTTAAACGATTCTTTCCAAAGACGACCCGCCTCGTCGATGTCCTCCTTTCGGCAATCACATCTTTGCCTTGAAAAAGGACCATCCCGGAACGGAAAATAAGTGCAAACCATAAAATGTTCTCATGGTAGCGTTGAGGGGACGAAACGTGTAGCGGACCGAGGAGCACGACGATCGCCTTGGGGATGCTCATGTGAAGGATGTCAATGGTTTCCTCCAAGGAGGAGTGATCGTCGGGTCCGCTGCACCCACTGCACACCTTCAACGTGAAGCCTCACACTGATCAAAATCACTAAAAAGGTACCTCCTGTGTTCCAATCGTCACGATCACCATCACCCAAACTTGAGAATAGTCCACGTCTCTTACTTTCTTCAATCGTCTAACGAGCTCGTACGCCTGTTTAATCGAAATTATCATGCGCAGGAACAAAGTCCAAACGGCCTCAAAAAGAAAAATCTAAAGTTACTTTTTGAGTTCCCAAGAGGGTTTCTAAAGTTTCTCATTTTTCCTTCTTAAAAAATAATGAACAAGTTCTAGAAAAAAGGAGCCTGTGAGACCTTTTAGAGCCTTTTTTCCTAAAGTTTTTTTTGAGGCCTTTTGGACTTTGCTTGTGTAAAAAGATGTCAAAACTTCCTCGGAATCTCTTTACCCTTTTTTTTCTTATTCTCCCTAAAAGGCGCCTGTGAGACCTTTAGGATCCCCTTTTTTCCAAAGCCTCTTTTTAGGTCCTTCTGGACTTCACCCATGTGATACCCAGGAAAATTCTTTCATCGAAAGTATCAACTTTCCTATTTTTGGTAGAAATTTGTTTCTTTTTTTTTGGTTCTGACTTCCAAAAATTTTCTCAAGACTATATATCTCGAAACTGACAGTTTCTGCAGGTAGCCGCTACGTTAGATCTTCATCCTGATTTTAAAAGATAATTTGAAGGAATCCAAAGAAATCTTCGCAAAGAAAAAGACATCCCTTTTAAGGAAGAGCAAATACCTGGGCAGGAAGGTCGGAAACTTTGGCGTTTGTTTGAGCGACGTTTAACTGATGATCGGGGAGCTGTTCTCGTGTCCCCATCCCATGCGAAACACCCAAAAGCCGGGGACTGAACTCACGCAAAATGTCTGAACGCCAATATACTATATTAGGGGGTAAGCAAAACGTACTCGGGATAGTTACCAGACCGTCTATGGTAGCATCTCCGCCGATAGGAAACGCAGCTCCTCGAAATTCAATCGTCGCTTGAGGCCAAAGTCCGATTCCCGTCTTTGATAATCATTTAGAAAAACTTAAACAGAACAAAACTACCGCCAAAGCGTCACCCATTGCTGCGATAATCGAGATATCCTCTGGGCTCAAGTCGCCTATTGAGGTTCCCGTTTTCAAGTTTTTCTTTATCAGTGGACAAGCGAAAGATTTTCTACAAAAAGAAAAACAATCAACAAAATTAGAAACCTGGTGACCTATCTATGAAGGTGGCCGGAGCCATCTGAATCTTTTTCAAGATTTCGGCTCTGGCGCTAGAATCGGCAGGAGTTGTATTTCGGAAATCACCATCTCTGCAACTTCCTTCCATCTCAATAAGATCCAAACGTCCTACGCGTCCTCGCTATCATCTTTGTCATCCGTTAAAGGTTCCTCTGAATCAGCGTCATCATCGTTAACATGTCGATTGGCAAAATCCGTCAGGTTATGCGAATCATCTTCGTAATCGAGAGACACTGGTTTGTCTTCATCATGGTAAACTCCTGAAAAAAAAAGGATGGTGAAAAAAGTCTGGCTTTTCCCAAATAGAGCTTGACCCATATGTGACTATAGAAAAAAAGGGCTTTCTTTCAAAAATAGCATTTTATATACTGTTATAAAACATCAAAAATTATTTTCTTCTTATTTTTAAGTGATGGTGAAAAGATGAGAAAGGAACCCCGATTCAGTGTTTCAATCGTGAACGAAGACGTCACCAGAGCTAAGCCGTAGAGAAGGAGGCGCATGCTGAAACTGATGAAAAGCTTTGTTTATGTACCATATAATGGATAAAGCGCGGTAGAGTTTGCAAGGAAAACAAAAAAAAACCTTTTTCAGCGCAATCTTACTGCACTTTTTTGCTTCGAAGCAGCTTTATTTCTGACTTTCATGAAAAACTTTAAAATGAATCAAAGTGAAGAAACAAAAAATTTGAATGCAACATTTCCAAGGAACGATATAGCGCAAAACGTTCGCGAGGTCGCACCGGCAGACTAGCAATAACGCTCACGTCTACCCCGCGATATAGCCGCTGCGACCAAGCCTGTTCCCGAATTTTGGATGCCGTTTCCGATGAACTGAAGGCTTGTGCGCGCTAACCAAAACATCAGCAGCCAAATGCACTTCCGCTGAGTATCCAACGCTGCGTACGCTAGCATTCAGCCCGTTTTTATTTTTATTTTTTAATGTATTTTTCTATCTTTATTGAAGTGTATTGCTTATCCTGCTTTTTCAATTTCCATTAGTTCTGTCCTTTTTTTGTAATTTTTCAATAAAGCTATTTCCAGCTTTAATAAAATTCATAGACTTTTAGGGGCGTTTTCAAAGTACTTCCGGCAATTCCATAATTAACGTTTTTTTCGTTTCAATTAATTTCGCTGAATACCTCAAAATGTCCTTTTTGGGTTTCGTTAGAAAATTCGGTTCCTACAACGAGATGTGTTTGAACCATTTTTTTCAGCGTTTTTCAAAATTGACGCTTTTTGAAATTATTTCGGGAAATAAAAAAATTAGATTGTTAGGAGCCTTTCAAACAAAAAAAACCGTCCTCCAACGATATGAATTGCGATATTTTTACGCACAAAATGGAATTTTCGGTTGAAAATGCCATATAATTTCAAAATCTGGAGTTTGCGCGTAAAGGTCATCGTGCAAAGTTGCAAATAGCGATATATGGTAGGAAGTAGGAACGGTAAAATGTCTTCTTATGTGAAAAAGCTTTGTTTTTGCCGAGTTAAAAATGAATTTTGCATTTCGCGGAAATTACATTGATTTTCTACCCATCAAACTTTATTGTTATTTAACGCTTTATAAATGCTCAAGCAACCTTGAATCTTTTTCTGTATTTTTTGTGGAAATTTCGTCCAAGTTACCACTGTTTTAATCTGTACTAGTCCTCTTCAAACGTCTTCTCTAGACTAATTTTCATATCTTCGTTTAATTACCCCGGCAATATCAGTATTTGATAAGATTTTGCAACCTAATTTCGATCTTTAACTCTTTTTCTTCTGTTTTCTTTTCAATTTTTTTGTCTTCTTAATCATTTATGTTCGAACTATGCCAACTAAACAAGGTTTTCGGATTAAAAAAAAAACAAATTTTTTAATGATGGATTAAAGTCTCTAGAAACCTACTAAATCAAATATAAACAATTTCAAATTTTAACGTAAAAAATGCAATACTTTTAATTCTAGCGGCTCCCAAGATATGTCGACGAAGTTTTCACGGCCGTGTATTTTTGCGATCGAATTTTTCATCCTACCATCGAGTCAGAAATTATTTTGCCTTTCATTGAAATAACTTTGAACACGGAATTATCTCCACGTTTTTTCAGGGTTAAAACATGGCTGATCAAGACGAAGCTCATCTTGCCGAGCTTAAAAAGAAGAGAACCTTCCGCAAGTTCACCTACCGAGGTGTTGATCTTGATCAACTTCTTGACATGTCGCGGTATGTTTTTTTTTTTTTTTATTTCTCCTATAGCTGTATTAATTTTTTTGTTTTTCCCGTTTGAAGCTAGTTTTGACGCGGGTGGCAAAAAAAATTTATTGGTCTAAAGACTATCCGATGAAGCGTGCTTAGGCGCGAAGATCCCGCCTTTAGAGATCTAAATGTTTTTTCTTGCAATTTTTTTTCTCCCAAACGGACGAAGCCAACGAACAAGCAAACTAATGCCGTTTTCAAGGTGATTTCGCCTATTCCAAATTGGCGCAATTGTTTTTTTTTTAACCCGATTTTCCTAACCTTTTTCTAAAATCTCGATAAAGAGTCAGAAAACAACTTCGTTAAATTATAGATCTGGAAATATGAAGGGATGAAGGAAAATTCTTTTAAAACGAATTCTGCGTTCAAAGTAATTCCGGCGAATTAAAAATGGACGCTTTATTCGTTTAAAATGATTTCGGGAAGTAGGCAGAATAGGTATTACGGGAGCGCGAAGAAAAAATTAGTCTCGCAACGATATATCACTAGATATGCATTTTACGGTGATGTTTACGCGCGATTTTGAAATTTCGTAGTAAATGCCCAAATTATTCCGAAAAATTGAGTTCAAGCGTGAAAGCGGTATATAGTTTTAGGGCTCAATTGTTCTGCGTCTACACGGAATACACGTTTTGCTTATTTCCCGAAATGATTTCAAACGAATAACGCTTCAATTTTCAATTCGCCGAAATTATTCCGAACACGGCATAAGTTATTATTACTATTAGTGAAGTTCTATCTTAAAAATTAGGAGGCAACGCTTTATAAAATGATAATAATTGAATAGGTCACCACGATGATCGCAGTTCCATGGAGAAGTTCATAAAGCGTTGCAAACGCGAGAATAAACTTGACGTCAATCCGTGCTTAGAAAGAAAAACATATTCGTCTGGAACTAACGCGCTGCGTACTTTTCGGCAATTAAAACGTAAAAGATTAGTTTATTTTTTTCAGGGATCAGTTTTCGAAGCTTCTGGTCGCGCGCAAGCGCAGACGTCTTTCTCGTGGATTGAAGAGGAAGCACCTCGCGCTCATCAACCGAGTCCAAAAGGCGAAAAAAGCCGCCGGCGTCCTGGAAAAGCCAGCTGTGGTGAAAACTCACTTGCGCGACATGATCATCCTTCCCGAAATGATCGGATCAGTCATCGGCATTTACAATGGAAAAGTTTTCAACCAGGTGATTTTATTCCTTCCCATTTGTTCGTAATTAACGATTTTGCAGACCGAAATCAAGCCAGAAATGGTCGGTAATTATCTCGGAGAGTTCGCTATCACCTACAAGCCTGTGAAGCACGGAAGACCAGGTATTGGTGCCACGCACTCTTCCCGCTTCATTCCTCTTAAGTAAAGTTGTTGTTTTGTTGATGAATAAACTGTTTACAAATATTTTTGAATTTTCATGCGCAAACATCATTTATCGAACAAAGAATCTACGAAATTATTTAATTTTGTTCTATCGAGTTCCTCGTTGCTTGGCTGCGGCCATCATCTCGTCTTGCAAAGTTTCCATTATTTCGAGGCGCTTATGGGTGACACCTTCGGGGTCGAACCTTAAATCACTAGGTTAAAATTGCTTCAAAGGTCTCATCTTACACTAAAGTTGGCTTTTTCCAATAGTTGTTGCGGATTCTTTCCCAATCCCACGGCGCCACGGTAGAGCCTGGAACCAAAATATGAAGTCAAATACAAAGTGAGAACTGGATCTTTATAGTTTTTCGGGCCAATTTGCTTAGTAGGTTTCTAATGCCGCGTTCAGAGCTAATGTGACGCGCTCAGCAAAACACTTCTGGTTCCAAGTCTCGAGACGAAAAGCAATTTTGGCACATGTCCAATAGGACATTCCTTTCAAATTTTTTACCTGTTAAAAAGGCATCAACCAACCACGCTGTTGAAATCTGCGGCGTTTCCCTATGATTCGGCTCGTTCTATGAACAAAAAAAAAATATGATCTTTCTTGTGCATGCACCCTTGAAGAAATTTAGGTGGTTTACCAGCGAAAACACCAGCGCAAATTCGAACGGCGACTTTTCCGATTTTTTCATATCGCTAGGGAACTTTCCGACGAATCTTTTTCCGACTTTTTTTCTCGATAAAATTTTCGTTTTAAATCTTCCTATGTAAAGTAGGTAGTTCATGATTAAAACACAAAAAATAGGAAAAAAAAATGTTTATATCTGTTTTAAAAACCGAAAAAGATAAGGGAAAAAAGTCGGAAAGTTCCCTAGCGATATAGTCTGTTCAGATTTTGAATGTCAAGCAGCTAACTCCACCCCCAAGGCTACAATATCTTTCGCGTCAATGTTTTATCTACATATGCCAATGGCCCTTTAATAAGGCTGCTTTTTTTGACCTCTTTTTTTCTATCTTTTAGATCGAAAAAGATCAAAAGTTAGTCCCGCGCGATGAAACATCGACGCGAAAAGGTACAGTCTCAGCAGGGGCGGAGTTAGCTGGTTGACATTCAAAATCTGAACAGACTATATCAAAAAATCGGAAAAGTCGCCGTTTGAATTTTTGGTGATGTTCATTTCATACCATCGAAACTTAACATACTCCCCAAATTTTTTTCTTAAATTTTTATATGAACAGAAATGATTTTTTTAGAAGCAAAAAAAATTGAAACAGTGATTGCTCAGTCATCTTCGATATCAAAAAAAGGAATACTCAAAAACAAACTTTTCACAAAAAAAAAAGATATGCGATTTATTTTTTAATCTCTGAAAGATAGCTAGCGGTCTCGAAATAAAGACCTCTTGTTCTCGAGATCTGTTCATTTTTATGGTGGTATGAAATAAAATATAATTCAGCGAAATTTCGAACGGTGACTTTACCGATTTGTTCATATCGCTAGCGCTAGAGAACTTTCCGACTTTTCTCGATAAACTCTTTGTTTCGAATCTTCCTATATGAAATAGGTAATTGATGCATGATTGAAACACAAAGAATAAAGAGAAAAAAAGTTAATAGATTTTTCTAGGAACCGAGAGTTATAAAAGAGAAATTTCGGAAATGAATTAGTCGGAAACGTCGCCGTCGGTGAGTTTGCTAGCGATATGAAAAAATCGAAAAAAAACACCCTACAAAAACTCGCTGGTTTTTTTTTTCACACCATCCATATATTTTCAAATTTGCAAGAAGAAGGGAGCAAATTTCAAGTACCTTATCGAGTTTTAGAAACGGATAATTCAAACATATAAGCGTAAAAGTAGACCCAAGAATTTCCTGAAATATCATGAGATTTTCTTTAAAACGCCTTGATCACAGCCGAAAGAGTTCCACTTTTTTTGAAAATCGGTTCAGAGACAAAAGACGAAAAAAATTATAGCTGTTTTAAGGGTGTTTTAATGATAATCTCGGCAAATTCTATGAAAGTAATTGAAAAGACGACTCACTTCGATCCAACCAGATTTCAGTCTTCTCAAACGAGTAGTAGACTACGTAGCAGAAAAGAACAGCCCAAACTCCGGTGAGAACGAAGAGAGGGTAAATTTCGTACGCGTGGCCCAATTTGCGGAAAAGGAACCTGCAAACGACAATAAAAATATCTAATAAACAATGAAGCTAAAATTTCAAGTCATCTAATCTCAAAAATAGGAAAAAAAGATAAATAAACGTCCATAAACAATGAAAAGCTATGTTCATAAGATTTTCAAAATAAGGCTCAATCTCGCACTTTGCACAATTCAAAAAATTGTCCTGAAAATAGCTCATTTACCAAGCTTTGAAACAGACACTCAGGTCGAAATCCTCTTCGGTTGGTTCAGGCTGGTTTTTATGAAACTTTTCTTTTAAGGGTTCATTTAAATTTGAAATGTTATACGCTACAGATTCAACGCCATGGTCCTTCTAAAATATTTGCAAATCTCTTCTAGACAACATCTCTTAATTTGAATTACTCGTCACCATCTGCAGACGGCAACTCTGATAAATCTCTTAACTAACTTTCAATATTCATTCGAATGTACTTTAAAATCGTGATTATTCAACCAAAACTAACCGAGCAGGAGTGTCTCCCAGCTTTTGTGGGTTGCTGTAGCGCTTGTCGCGGGAAACATCTCGTTCATATTTGAAAAAACCCTTCTCGTTGATAGAAAGTGTTTGATCGGCCTGATGAAATCGTAAATACTGATAACTGGAGGAACAAACTTTTAGAACATGTCCCGAAGCTGCCCGAATAGCCACGAGCTGGCGGGTTGAAACCAGGCGAGGTGTCAGGAGCGACAAGGACATCCTAAAAACAAACACCTCAAAAAGCGAAAATTTCCAAAAATCGAGAGTGTGATCAAATTAATCGAAACTTGTAACTTAAGCTGTCACTTCAAAAGGTGAATCATTCAACTTTACGTTTTTTTTCTGATAATTTCGTCTGAGAAACATTTTCAAAAGTTTCGAACCGCAAAAACAGCTTTCCTTGTTAAAATGAAACAATAGAAAAAGTAAAAATTATGAAACGTCATTTGAAATTTGACATAAAACTCGTAATACGTAAAATATGACCAATTTTTGAACTTCCGTTAAACCAAAACGAAGCTTTCGAAGGCGCAAACTTGAAAAACAATATAGAAATGTTAAAAAAATCTTATGAAAAGATTAAAAAAATATTCTGATAGACGGGTTCATCAAAAAAAGCATGAACCTTTTTTTATCAGTACCGAAAAAAAAATTTTTTTAAAGCATGCTGCACCTCCGAAAATCGCAGAAAAAGAGACAAAAAAACTGATTATATCGATAAAATTTCAAGCTAGAAAACAGCCGATGTTATTATTTTCCACTGATGATTATCAAAAACACTTTTAAAATAATCATAGAAAAGAAATTATTCTTGAAACTTTCAAATAATAACACTGCTGATATTTTATCGCATCTATATTTTTTTCTAATTTTTCTACTTATTCCATATATCAACGAATAAAATAAGTTAAATAATACAAAGTTTTTCTTTTTTTAATGGACGGCGCCTCCTCACAGCTTTGACTTGGACACTCCTGCACACTGCTGTAAACACGCCTCAACGCACTACCACTTATTTTGCAAAATGTTTCATGCCGTGTTCCAAGTGATTTCACGAAATCCAAAAAAACAGTCAGAGAAAGACAAAGATAGCTAAATCTTGGAGGGGGATAATTTTTCATTTCGCGGATATCTTTAAACAAGGCATCAAGAAACTTTTCTTTTCACGGCGTGCCTTGTTCAAGTTACGTTTTTTATTCCCGGTAAAATGATTTTGCAAACTACAATGCCGTAAAATAAAGGGTATTTAAGGCGTATGGTGCAGTAAAAAACGGGATTTTAGCTGAAAGCAGTATCTTGTAGAGCTTTTCATTGCAAGTCGAACGGTATATTTGAAAATGTACAGAATTTCCTATTTTCGGAGAAAAAGTTATTCGAAACCAAAGAGAAAAATATTTGAGTTTCCGCCAAAAATTTGCAGTAAAGTTGCTCTATGGACAAAGTTATCGCCATTTTTCGAATTTTCGTTTTTTTCTTCAATTTCATCAATATTAAATTTTTTTCTGATCTCGCCAAAGTTCTTTTCGTCACAAAAATTATTCATGTAATGCCGTGTTCAAAGTAATTTCCGCGAAATGCAAAATACCCGTTAGAGAAAGGAAAAGATCACTAAATTTTGGAGAGTCAGAGATCATTTTGCATTTCGCGGAAATTACTTTTAACACGGCATGAAGTTTGCAAACTTCGATCGCATAATGCTTCTCTGGTGAAAAATGACGATTTTATACAGTTTTCGCTTGGGTAGTCGGTATTTTGTGTTTCATTTATTATCGGCGCGTGTTTTTTGTTTGCCTAAGCGGTTTTCAGAAAAGAAACTCTTGGTCTTATAGTTTGTGGAAATTCCAAAAAAGTCTTCTGCTCCCCTTCTCTCGCCTTTCAAGTCGGGAGAAGCGAAAAGCGAGTTTTTTTTCCGCATCCCGAAATTAAAAATTTTTTTTAGGTCCATGACTATCTTGAAAGTATCTTTTAAGATATAGTCTGTTCAGATTTTGAATGTCAAGCAGCTAGCTCCACCCCCAAGGCTACATTATACTATACGAGGGTTTTTAAAAAAAATATATCAAAATTAGTCCCCCGCGATAAAACATCGACGCGAAAGGTACCGTCTCAGCAGGGGCGGAGTTAGCTGCTTGACATTAAAAATTTTCGGTGTTCAAAGGTAGATTCGCCCCCAGGAAAGAATTTGAAATGTTTCTGACACTGACTAAAAATAATTTTTCAGTAAAAAAACCTCAAAAAAATAAAATTTCTGGAAAAAAACTTTTAGCGCCCACTATAGAGGCTCTCCAAGGACTACTTGAAGAGTGGCCACTGAAATAGGCGATCAAACCACCTTTATAGAGGCCACTATTTTGTTCATTAGTGGCGACTGCAGTAGTTTTAGTCATCTAATAGTACCACTTAGAACTCTATAGTGGCCACTGATTTTTAACTCCTGAAGGAACTGCTATATTGGGTGGTATGAAAAAAACACCAGCGAAAATTCAAACGGAGACTTTTCCGATTTTTTCATATCGCTAGGGAACTTTCCGACGGCCACCTTTCCGACGAATTTTTTTCCGACTTTTTTCTCGATAAACTTTTCGTTAAATCTCCCTATATAAAGTAGGTAGTTGGTTTATGATTAAAACACAAAGAAATAGTGAAAAAAAATGTTAATAGATGTTTTATAAACCGAAAAACATAAGGGAAAAAAGTCGGAAAGGGATCCGTCGGAAAGTTCCCTAGCGATATGAAAAAATCGGAAAAGTCGCCGTTTGAATTTTCGCTGGTGGTTTTTTCATACCACCCTATATTGACTACTATAGTGGCCACTAAAACGTCAAACCCCTAAAGAGGCCTCTAAAAATTTTCCCAGTTCAGATTTCGAGTTTTCTTGTTGCAATTAATACTCATACTGATACTGAGGAGTGGTATTAATTACAAAAAAAAAAAACTAGACAGTTGAATCTCACGACTATGAGGCATGGTTGTCAAATGAAACCGTTTAAGCAAACGTTAATTTTTTTTTTTCAAAAGTCGATTAGGTTTCGAAAATTCTCAACAGTTGAATATCAACTGTTCGATGATTATAACCGCTCAGCTGTTAAAAATTTCTGGGTTGAAATTTAAAACGGTCAACGGATAAAGAAAAAAATTTTTATCTAAAAAAATTTGAACCGGTTTTTTTCATGAAATCAGAGGCTTCTGTGTGACTGGATACACGAATAGTTTCCAACATCAGGTTCCGATGAACTATAAACCCCTTTTTCCCGAGCCAATCTCTTTCGTTTCTGTTCTGATAATGATTAACAAGAAAATGAGCGAAATCGTTCATTAATATCATTTATTTGATGGAAAATTTCTAAAAAAATTCAAAAAAATTTGTGATAATATAAATAAAAAAATTATGAAAAAAACGAAAAAAACAGTGAATTTATACTTATGAGGAGCCGAAAAAAAATGCATTTTCTGGAGAATTCGAAAGATTTTTCCGCCACAATATCCATTCCAAAAGTTTTTATTTCAAAAAAAAAAAAAAAACAATCATTCAAGTATAGTTTGAACTCAGTTTCACACCTAGCTAGGTGTGATTGCTGGAAAATTGAGAATAACTTCTACTTAATTAAAGAATCTTTCTATCAACACTGAATTGCGACGATCCCGTCATTTTTTTTTCATCGGTCGAGTTCGCTGAGCCGCGGCGCCGCTGTACAGCGCCGGCGACTCGCCAATCATTACAACGATCGATCTCCATCGACATCATCGTCCAATCACACTCGGAGCCGTCAGTCACGTGCAACTTCAGTTTCCTCCATCCCTTCCGTTTCGAGTTCGACCCGCTTCTACAGGGTCAACATTTAATTACAGGAACGCCCTTTTCTTCATCCCCAACCGGCGTGGTGTATATAGTCGATTCTTCACGACTTGTAAGGCGACAGACAGAGTGAAGCGTTGCGCGTGCGACGCGGCTTTTGGCGGGAAACTTGAGCCACAATCGTTTTAAGTTAGGCGCAGACTTGTTTTGCGCCATTTGCGTTTAGGCTGGGTTTTTCTTCTTTTTCGACACTTTTTCCATAAATTATAACTTTTTATTAGTTTTAAAAGATTTAGTTGAACGATTAAAAGAATGAAAATAACAAAAGCATTTTTTTCTGAATTTATTCATGATTGCGTTCGACCTCGAACTATTTCTGAAAGCCGCGTCGCACACGCAACGCGTAACCCTTGCCAATCTACCCATCTCGTCTTTTAAGTCGAGTAAAATTTATACTTGCTCGCAACATTTTCTTGTTACTTTCGCTGTGTTCAGCTCTGAGAGGGGATAGACATGACGACTAGATCTTGCCTAGATTTTTTTGCGAGGCAGCTATGATGAGAGCTGTTTCAGTTTGAAAAACTTTTTTTAAAAAAATTTTTATTAAGACACCTTTTTTCCCGGTGAAAAGTAAAAAGATAAAAATAAGAAAAAGTAAAATACTGCATTTCCGATTTCTGCAGCCATGGGCACTTACAAAACTGAGCCGCGAGGGTTGGGCTAAGAAGTTTCGGTGATATTTTTTGAACTGAGGTGTCACCCTAAGTATTGCAAGCTAACTGCCGAAGTCAGTGATATCAAGTTGAAACCTACGTAAAAAGAAGCTGATGGAAGCTAACTGCGAAAACAGAAAAAAAAAATGACGTTTTTTGGTCAGAAAAGTGGGCGTGGCTTTGCGGTCCCTACGCAGAGCTCTCAGATCGTTTGGGAAAACTTGTAGGATCTCAAACTTTCTTATTGATGAACTCAATAATGTATAGCCGAGATATGATATCGTTTGCTACAGTAATAAAATCGTTATGGATCCGAAAGTTTCCATTAATTTGTTCCTAAACGAAAAGGCAAAGGTTTCCTTTTTACTGCCTTTTTCCTTCCTTTCATCGGCCTTCACCCACTCTTTTTAGACTAATTTGAGAAACAAAAGTTTTTTTCAAATTGAAAATAATCTTTATCAGGGACTGTGTATGAACCGAAATGTGGTACACAGTAATAAAATCGGAATAATTCAATGACCGAGATTTTCAGGACCCCATCACTCTTTTTTTCAGCTTTTTTTGCAGTCTCTACCTAATTTCAACTTTTTTGAGGCTTTTTAGCCCACCAAGAAAGAAAGGCTCAAAAAAGGCCGCAAGACGGAACCCTTTTAGCGGCCATTTTGCACCCGTTTTCTGCACTTCCGACTTTGGCAGTGTAACCCTAGCTTTGATTCTAGGACTGATCTTGAACATTCAATGACCATCCCCCATAGCCACTGCGACATGAAACGCATTTGCGGTCATCCACCGGAAGGCGGCCGAAGAATGGAAGGCCCAACGGCCGAGTCATTTCGCGAGCTCTCGCAAATCGATGGGCGCCGGAGCAGACGCGCCAGTCTTCGCTGCACCTCGCCGTTCTCTCTTTTCATTGTTTAGGAGGCCTGACTTTTCTTTCGTTTTCTATACTGAAACTGTGTTACCTTGGACAGTGTATCTACGGAAGCCTCTGACTGGATTTTTCTTTTTTGAATAGCTTCAGCTGCCTGGAACTTCGTTCTGACGATTTCTCAAAAATGACTTTGAATGCATCCTTCGCCAAAAATTCGCACAGTCTAACTTCTCTAAAAGCTCGTATCCATCGGCCACGCCCTCTATTTTTTCCTGATTTTCCGTCGGAATAACCCGGCTGATGAGAATTAACAAGACGCGGAAAAGCCAGACTGTTTCAAGCCGTGGCGAATGATACGTTCCAGTACAGCACTCGCCTTTAATTTTTTTTTTTTCAAGCACTTGTTTTATATATATTTCCCACTTTTATTCAATTTTTTTCTGTTTTCGAAAAGTTTCGTAACTATCACAAAGTCTTGCTATCTGGGCGAATTCTTAGTTGTTCTTCAAAAACGAACTTTATTCGCTAATTTTTTAGGGCTCTTTCTATAATTTTTCATCTAAAACTTGTTTTGCATTACCCTTTCAAAAGATCAAATGGTTGAAAACTTCGATTTCAATACACTAAAATCAGAAATATGTGACAATTTCTAACAAATTATTAATGACTTGCAAACATATGGATAGCAGAACAAGGCTTCTCTCACGAATTTGGCTCTTTCTTCACTTTCTAGCCATTTTTGCGACCAAAATTTCTTTTCAGACTTCATCTCTCTTTTTGAGGAAGAAAGCTCTAAATTGGGTGGGCCGAAATTTCAAAATTTCTCTTACGCTCACCTCTAAATCGGATTTTAAATTGTCAAAAGAAGAAAATTTTAACGAAATTCCGAAGGCACGATTTGAGAAGACCTTTTTTGAGAAAAAAAAAAAATGCTTCTTTGTTTTTAAATATTTATTGTGTCGATTTCAGTAATTAGCAATTTATTTCCACTTCAAAACAGAAGCTAATATTCCTAGATGTCCATCCATATCGACACTCCCGTTTTTCGTTACTTTTTTCTGCTCGACGTTTTCTGAAAGACGTTTAATCTCGGCTCCGTTTGAGGATTAGTACGGGAGACCCTGAGGTAACTTCGCATTCTTCCCTTTTTGTTTCGCGTCGTTTCGTTCCAGTTAATAATCCTGCTCAATCCCGCTTTTCGCAACTTCTTACTTTTGAGTGCGTAGATTTTTTCTTTGCTGGTTTAAAAACTTAAGCATTTCACGTACACTGGTCAATCCAGAGAAAGATACAGGCAGCCGGGTACAGTCAGTTTTTCGCGACTTAGAAGGCGAGGGAGTCGGAGAAGGAGACAGGACGCTTTTTGTTTTTTGCAAATTCTAATATTGAAAAAAAAATTGGAGTATGCGATAGTGCGTCTCGGTGTGCTTACAGCCTAAGCACCATAAAATACGAAACTTTTTGACTTGTTTTAACTCAGGCACTTATTGGTATTTTTATAATACTTATTAGTATGCATGCTCACTTTTAAACCGGTTTAGAGCACATTCGTGCAACTTTTTGAAGAACCATATTTAAATTGAAAAATGGATATAGTTGAGTTTTATTCGTCGAATTTTATGTTAAACTAAGCATCATGATGAGAGGAAACGCATGAAAATGAATAAAAGTCGAAATCATGAGCCTAAATAGACATACATACGAAAATGAGCGGGGACACCTATCGTGTCCCCGGCGCGTCTTCGTCTAAAGCGCAGCGCACGTTTTTTTTAAATAAAAAAAAACGCCGTGATTCTGACTGTTCATTACACCTGTAATATTAAAATTTTGCGCAAGTTTTAATGATTCTTGATGCGGAATTTCTTTTTCACTATATTCAATTTAACCAAACTCTACGAGTCCGCTAATTTTTTGAAAACACTAAACTGATAGCTGATTAGTTCGGTGGGCCCTTTTTGTTGCCGAGGAGGAGCCGGGAGCAGCGTTTTTCGGAGCGGACAGTTGTCACTAGCTGGCCAGAGTTTTCTGTTGCACTCAGGCCAGCTATCGATTAACGCGTAATTGATCTAACTCTCTCTCTTTCCATTCTAACTTTATCAAGTCTGCTTTATAGTCCCGGGGTTCCAGGATGAGCCATTTTTTGTTCTCTTTATTTCACTCTTCATGTCCTTCGAGCTTTCTTCAGCCCTAATTTTTTTTTCTGAGCACTAGTTTCTGAAAAAAGAGTAATCCATCTACTAAAAACACTTAGGTTTTCTTGCGTTGTTAGAGCATCTATAAAAAAATAATGGACGCTGAAAAGCCCAATAAGAATCTTTGAGAATTGGACTAACCCTTTTATTAATATAAGTTTTTCTCAGTTCCACTACGCTTCGAATATACGTCTGTTGTATTAATTTGAACTTAAAGTTGAAGTGCAGAAGTTTTCGAGAGAGAAGAACTTATGTGATGACCTGGTCGGAGCGCCACCGGCGACTCAGAACAATATAAAGCGGTAGGATATTTCGTTTTTTTTCTGAAATGCTTCAAAAAGAAAAAGTCGAGATATAAAAGTTGTTCGGATTCAGGCGATTGATGGGGCCGAATGCACGCGCTACTGTGGCTACTTCTCGCTTGGGCTGCCGTGGATAGTTGCATGGCAAATCGCGACGCGAACCGTCTTTTCGAGGATCTCCTCGCCGGTAACACTTTCTATTTTTTCGAATTTGAATTTTTTTCAAGACTACAACAAGCTGGTTCGGCCGGTCAGTAGCAACGGCGAGACCCTCGTCGTCACTTTCAAGCTCAAACTCAGCCAACTTCTTGATGTCGTAAGTATCATATTTTTCTACCCGTTCTATTCGGACACAAGTCACAAAAAAAAACCATCCTGAAATTACTGAAATAAAATTAATTTTTGAATTTATCCATTAATATCTCTACGAAAATATGAGAATTTCAGAAAATCGATTTTTCATGTGAAAAATTTAATTTCGTCAATTTAACACATGTTTTTCTTATTGAGTCTTATTTTAAGTTTTCAAATTTTATAAAATAGGTATACTTAATGGAGGGCTTTTGTAGTTAGAAATCTTGAGGAAAGGCCAAGATTTGGAAAAAAAAGGGGGAGTTTTTGAATAAATCTGCGAAAGCTAATTTTATTCTGTTCAAGTTTTTGTTTCTTCAATGCTATTTTATATGTTACAAACCTATCAATCAACAATGGAGATGTAAAATCTTTCAATTTCAAAATCAACGGAGAGTGTATCATAATAATTATTTTCCTGCTCGACCAGTTCTTTCAAGAAAAAATTGAAAGGAATTTCACAAGTCGGCTTGTCTTTTAAGTGTTTAATGTCGGTTGGAGCGCACTTGTCCAAGCGTTGCGGTCTTCGCACCTGTCCAAGTTGACATGCCAAAGTACAGAGGAGTGTAACAGTAGCGTACATATTGTCAGGGAATGCGTGAGGCGAGCTGTCGCGTCACTCATTCGGCTAATAAGCCACCCTGATTTCGCACGAAATTCTTAAAATTTTTCTCCACGGTGTGATTTTTGAGAACATTCTGCGCAAATATCAGACTTACAGAGATTTACCGAAAAAATTTTTTTGGATCATTCGGTTGTGAAAACAGTTTCAGGAATATTATGTTGGGAAATAGTGTAGAATTTCGCAGAAATTTCAATTTTAAAGTTTTTTTGAAAAATTTTTTTCAACTTCAAATTATGTATCGTTAGATTGAAGTATTGAATGAAAAAGAAACGATAAGCTCATTAGTTATGTAAAATGTTTTGTTGAGTTTAGTGAGAAGATCTTTTTAGTCAGAGTAGCTATTGTGAATGTCTCAAAACATTTTTGCGACAACTTTTTTCAATTTTTAATGGTCTGCTTTCTCTAGGTACGTTACGCTTTTTTACAGTATTTAGTTAGCAGTTGAGTTGAAATCTCTATGCTCCGATGCTTGAAACGTCATTTTAGTATATATATATATATAAGACACTGGTAAAACTATCGAAAATTAATAATACACTGCGACCAATAATTATAGACCCACCCTAATTTCTCCGATTTTAAGAAAGATTGAAAAACTTTGAGCCACCAAACTTTTTTTGTGACCTTGTTGATAAGGAACATAATCATATCATAATTATCAATCACCCAGTTGAAAAAGTTTTTTTCAAGATACGAGAAAAATCTGATTTTTTTGACCGACCCAGAATTATAGACCCACTATAAGTAATCAACAAAATTCATTTCACAAAGTCAACAAAGTATAACAAAAAAATTAATTAATAATGTGTGATGCCTCCTTGTTTCTGAGCGACTTCGAAAAATCCTGTTCGGCATGCTGCCAACGAGTGATTGCAGCAGTGACTTGTCCAAACCATCCCACTCGGCACGAATCGCTCTTTTCAGATCGTTGACCGTTGTATACTGATTGGCATTCGCGTAGACCCTTCGTACAAGGACTGACCATAAATTCTCTACAGGATTGAGGTCAGGACTGCACGCGGGCCAGTCCAGAAGAACCACGTTATTGGCCGCAAACCAAGCCAATGTGGAGTTGCTCGCGTGAACAGATGCATTGTCTTGTTGGTAAATCATATTAGCACGTCGTCGGCGACGGAGATAGGGCAGGAGATGCTGGGCAAGCAGTTGCTGGTAGTCTTGCGAATTCTTTCTGGTCCCAATAAAAGAAACAGCTACCGCCCGGTTGCCGCAGAAAGCCGCCCAGACCATGAGGCTGCCGCCGCCGAAGTTTCTCTTGGAGAAGTACATCGGATCTTTCCTCAAATCTCTCCAGTAGTGAGCGTACCCATCTGGCCCATCAAGGTTGTATTTCTTCTCGTCGCTGAAGATGATCTGAACAGAAAAATTGGGAATCATAAGGTGACAGAAAAAATTGATACCTCATTCCATTCCGTGGCCATGTTGGAGCGTGCAAACTGGAGCCGTTCATTCTTATGGCGTTGCTGTAGACGAGGTGCCGCCTTCATTGGAGTATTCACAAGTCGACCGGACCGATGAATTGTTCGTAAGATGGTGTTCTTCGAGACGTTTTCAGGAATTTCGGATCTGATTTGGTTGGCGGACTTCGTAGAGTTTGATGCTTTTCGACAGACGTCTCGTTCAGCTTGAACCGATAGCAGCCTGTACCGTCCAGAATGTGTTGCTGTGCCGTATTCTTGCGGATTCCTTGCACAACGGTCAATAGTTCGTCTTGAGCGACCCGTCTGACGAGCGATTTCCCGATGGGACAAGCCGTTGTTGAGTAGAGCATCGATTACCGCTTTTTCGGTATTATCAAGTTGAGTAGATTTAGGCATTATGGCTTATAGTGATACACGAGGACTTTTTCTCTTATTTACCACTGAAAAAAACAGGAAAAACGTGTTACCTGAAACGAAAACTCGGAAAACTCTGGGGTAGGTCTATAATTCTGGGTCGGTCAAAAATCAGATTTTCTCGTATCTTGAAAAACTTTTCAACTGGGTGATTGATAATTATGATATGATTATGTTCCTTATCAACAAGGTTTATCACAAAAAAAGTTTGGTGGCTCAAAGTTCTTCAATCTTTCTTAAAATCGGAGAAATTAGGGTGGGTCTATAATTATGGGTCGCAGTGTAGAAAACCTTCCGACGTATCGGGCCTCTTTCACTCTTTTTTTTTGTTTCAGTCAGATGTAATTTACTAGGGGGTGAACTAGAACTTTTGAAGCTATAACGAACAATCGCCTTTGGCGATCTCGAAGTTCAAACCTGTAGTTGATCAATTTGAAAGCATGGTCTTACGGTCCTTCGCCTCGTTCTTCTGTGCCTTGAAGAGCTCAGAATGTAGCGAAACTCGTGCTGGAGCCCGAAGACCGTGCTCTAGGTGGAAGCCTAGAAATGAGAGCGACCACTTCGAGTAAAGTCTTAACACGGAATTTGAACTTGTTTGAAACGTTATATGATCTGCAAATATTGCAAAACTCGTGGCGAAAACAGTAAATCAAAAGATGAAAATATTTGGCTTTGTGAAGGAAAATCACAACTCACTAATAGAGGAATCTTTCAGCACGAGAAGAACCAAATCATGACGACAAACGTCTGGCTGCAACACGTATGATACACTTTCATTTTCTTATCACTCTTACAATGTTCTTCAGAGTTGGATGGACTACAAACTGCAGTGGGACCCGATGGAGTACGGTGGCGTGGACGTCCTCTACGTGCCGTCGGACACCATCTGGTTACCCGACGTCGTCTTGTACAACAAGTTCGTTTCGGGAACAGTTTTTCTGAAAAAGCGCGAAAATTTCAGCGCCGACGGCAATTATCAGGTGACCATCATGACCAAGGCGAAGCTTTCCTACAACGGCACCGTCGAATGGGCGCCTCCAGCCATCTATAAGAGGTTCGAAAACCATCAATTGCTCTTTATACCTCGTTTTTTCAGCATGTGTCAAATAGACGTCGAGTTCTTCCCGTTTGATAGGCAACAGTGCGAAATGAAGTTTGGTGAGTGGGCAGGATTGGGTTTTTTTTGAAGCCAAGAAGGAAAATCGAGTAGAGGAAAACAGAAGAACAGTTTTTCTGTGACTTGTCTCCGTGTTCCAATTATATCTAATCATTTCGAAACGATCTAAAGTTTTTCCTCTGTCCGTCATTCCATTATTCAGAAATTCGTTCCGTATAACATAAATAGTTATGAAAAGTATAGTCTGTATGCCACAACTTGATATTTCACCGAACGACATTCCGCTGTTCCGCTGCGTGCGTTCGCGAAGCGTCTTTCGAATCTAGGTCTTGCGTGTAGCGGCACAGCGGAATGTCGTTTGGTGGAATTCCAAGTCGTGGTACACAGGCTATACCGCTTTGTTTTTTGTGTCAAATTTTGAAAATAGCTGCAAAAAGTTGCCGAGAGAATCGTGTTACCGCCAGGCGCAATGGCAAGAAAATTGGATTTAAAAATCGATTCAAGTGTTTTCTTTTTTTTTTTGCTTTCGATTCCTTTGTTCAAAAGAGTTGGATTTTTTTGCGAGAAAAGAAAAATTATATACAGGTCGAAAAACGAGAAAAGCCATTAACGTACTGGGAACATTTTTAGTGGCCACTATAGAGGCTCGCCAAGAAATACTTGGAGAGGACACTAAAGTTGCCACTGGACACTAAAGTTGCCACATAGTGGCCACCTATAGTGGCCACTATGTGGCAACTCCCTTTTTGTATTTCCCTTTTTAGTGGCCACTATAGAGGTTCTCTATTTAGTGGCCACTTCAGTAGTTTTTCATCGAGTATTCCTTCCAGTAACTCTGATAATATGAAAACAAACAGATTGAACCGATTATGTTGATCCATTGACCCCTAAAGTGGCCACTACAATTTTTTGTGGTGTAGTAGTAGCACTGAGACCTCTATAGTGGCCACTAATTTTTAACCCCCTTAGTGGCCACTAAATTGACTACTATAGTGGACACTAAAACGTCAAAACCTTATAGTGGCCACTAAAAGTTTTCCCAGAAAACCAGTAAACAAAACATGATTTCAGGTTCCTGGACGTATGGCGGGTTAGAGGTCGACTTGAAGCACCGCGACGAACATTTAGAGCGAGAGGTCGAGGAGGAAGTTGAAGGCGTTGACGGACCAACGAAAGAGACCGTTTGGGTGGTCGAAGAAGGTTCCAGAAGCCCCTTTTTTGCTGGAAATCGATGTTTGTAGGAATCGATCTGAGCGACTACTACCCGAGCGTCGAATGGGACATCCTCAAGGTTCCCGGCAAGAGGCACTCGAAGAGGTTCGTTTCTTGACTTCTCGCTCCGAAAACTTTTTTCCAAAAAAAGACAAGAGTTTTTGAACAACTGTTCTGAAAAACTTCTGAAAAAGTATATTCTCAAATAGTTCTTTATGGTTGTTTCAATGGCATTCTATAAGCTATGTATACGGTGAATCAGGCTTGTGAGTCAGGCCGGGCGGTTTGTTCCGGGATTTGGGCCTCATTTTTGAGAAAAAGGCGGCGCGGGGTTGAACCAAATTTCATCAAAAATACTTTCACCGGAAAATCATTCCTACTTCTTAAATCATATTTTCTATTGGACGTTAAGTGAAAAATAATGAAAAACGGGGCTTACTGGTTAGATCGTAAAATAGCCTAATATTCGACTTGAAGAAAATTTGAGCTTTTTGGGCCGGGCCTGCCATTTTTGCTTTAGGCCCCGCTAAGGCCGGGCTTAAAAAATGAGGATCCAATGTCAAAATGAGAATGGAATGGGAAAAATTGAATAAATTTTTTTGCGAAACTGAGGCCTTTCAAAGGTTGTATTCGAAGAGAGCATTTTCCGGGACGAGCCACCTTTTTTCCCCTTTTAAAGATTTTTTAATGCGTCATATTTATTCTTTTTATTTTTATTTTTATTGCTTTTGTCTTATGTTTTTCCACCAAACCGCAATAAGTCATTATCCTGTCTATATCGCCATTCTTTTTTTTTTGAACAAATATATTTTTTTCTTTGCCACACGCCTTGAGACGACAAAAAATGCGGTGGTCGCTACACCGTTTGATTCTGTTCTCAGATGAACTCCCAGAGGAATTCACACGTCCGCGTCTTCCGAACATTTTTGCTCTTTCAATCAGTTTCCTCCTAAAAGAGCTCGTCAAACGAAGCAATTCTCGCCCAGTAGAATGGGCTGGAGACTTTTATTGTCTATTGATATGATCGCAACGCCCAAATTTTAGTCCTTTTTTTCTGATTTCCTTGATGTAGGTCAGGATTTTGAAGATCTAATTTTGAAAAAAGGAGGCGCAGTAATAGTGTCTACCGCATCATGCTTTTTTCTTTTTGCTAGATCCAGTTTAGTGTTAGTAAATTGACAAATAAAGGCCCATAGAAAAAAAAAATTAGAAGTAAGATTTTTTTACATCTTTATGAATTGACACGGGGCATCACTCAGAGAATTTGAACAGGCATTCTTAAAAGATGTTCAAAGAAATGAAGGGCAGAAAGCTGCAAGTTGCGCGGCGTCCGTGAGTGACAGGCCGGCAGAGTCGAGAAAAATGGCTTGGCTCGAGGAATGCCCATTCACATATCGAGGTTTAAGCGACATGTCGCGAACGCTCCGGGAATTTCCAGTTTTTTATAAGGGAGAATATGGAAAAAAAAATTTTTTTGAAAGGTTTTTTTATATCAAAAAAACTCTGTGATTGCTGTTGATCATTTTGATATTGTCAAGTCGGAAACAGACGTAGGCGAGTGAAAAATCAGTCATTCCGGGAAAAAGGGCTGACTCACAAAAGTTTTAAAAAGTAATAATAAGCTTTAACTTCAGGAAAGGAGTAATGAAAAAATAAAATCAGCCTTCTACTTTAAGAGTCAGTGCTGACGTTGAATTAGAAAGACTCGGGAGAAGGGTTTGACGACTTTCAAAATTAGTCTGACCAATGAGTTGCATCGGAGAGAGAACATGGGTTTTATTTCGAGGTTTTCCCGACTTCGTGTTTATATAACTTTGAACTGTCTTGAGCTCCACTTTGTACGAAAAAAACACTGCCGAAGCCGCCGAAACTGAAATTCACCTTTTTTCAAAACCCACTGGGCGTTTCTTTTCCTCAATATTCCAGAAATAAATCATGAAAGCGACTATTTTCAAGGTTGTACCTCTGAAAAAAAAGCACCATTTGATTGTTTGCAATTTTTCCAACACAGCCCTTCGAAGTTTAGTTGAGAACTAGTAAAAATTGTCCACAGTTAGGCTTTAGAAAGGTTAAAGGCTTTAGAAAGGAGCGAATGAAGTGTCAAAATTGCAGGTATCCGTGCTGCGAGAGCCCTTTCATCGACATCACCTATGAGATCCACTTGAGGCGGAAGACGTTATTCTACACTGTCAACTTGATATTTCCTTCCGTCGGAATAAGGTTTCTGGCGCTCATCAACTGAGTTCATTCCATTTTTCAGCTTCCTCACCGCTCTTGTTTTTTACCTCCCATCTGATGGAGGGGAGAAGATCTCGCTATGTATTTCGATTCTCATTTCTCTAACTGTCTTCTTTTTACTTTTAGGTTGGTTCTTCTTTTTTATTAAAAAAAAAACTTGATCAGTTATTTATAACGATTAGCTAAGTTACTATGAAAAAACAGCAGTAATTCAAGTTTCTAATCTCAACAATGAAGTCAAGGAGTTTTCCGTGAAACAGTTCCGTTTCAAGATCAACTATTTTCTGTCCGCAACACGATTAAATTTTTCGATTTTGATTCTCAAAATACACGTTACTAGTGTTTCTTTTTAGTTTCTAAGCTGTCTTTAGAGTAAAAAAATAATCATATCTAGAAAAAAATCGTAAAGTCAATCCTTCCCGACTTGGAAGGCGAAATGAGTAGATTCAACTAAAATACGGAAAACCATCTCCTTTCAAAGATTGAAGATAAATTTTTGCCCTTAGAGCGCACTTTTTTTCTAGCTCCTTCCTTTTTTTGATTTTTTTAAAACTGAACTTTTTTAAGCAGTTGTCTTCCTTCTCACATATAATTGGAAAAAAACGCGAGTTCAAAATTAAAAATTTGCTATAATCTCCAGGAAAACTATCTATAATCAGAAAGGAACTGAAATTTCAATAAGTTGAATAAAATCATAAAAAAAGAAAAAAAATATTAATGCTGCTGCTATTTCGAACGAGTTTCATAAGCCTTATTAGGTAATAAATAATAGTTTTTATATAAATGGAATTTTTCGTTACAAAAAAATAGGACGAAGAAGAAGATGTTCTTCATATACGGACTCAATGTTTCAGTCGAAATTATTCCCTCCACGTCTTTGGTGATACCTCTGATCGGCAAATATCTTCTCTTCACCATGGTTCTCGTCACATTGTCCGTTGTCGTCACTGTCGTAACTCTGGTGAGTTCAAGATCTTCCCGGAAGATTTTTTTTGAGCTGATGGGAGCGAAAATTGAGAGAAAAGTTTCAGAACGTGCACTACCGATCGCCGACGACGCACACGATGCCACGATGGATGCGGAGACTTTTCATTGACATTCTGCCGCGATTCCTTCTCATGACGAGACCACTTCCGCCTGGGCATCACAACAAGGTTTCTTTTGAGGGTTTCATTAAAGGGCTTCAAAGTTATCTTTTTGAATCATTTTACTCGGGCGGAACGGAATAAGCTCCTCGAACTCTTTTAAAAAAAAGATTATTTAAGGGTCCCCAGAGGATCTTTTTTACCTAATTGTTGCCTCTTTTCACATCCTTCAATCAAAAGGTGCTGGAAAGCAAGTGAAGAGATTCCAGGACATTCAAAACAGATCTTCAGAACCTATGAATAAGAAGCTCAAATGCTTTTTTTCCCCTCATTTTAGAACCTTTTAGCGGTACCTTTTCAGGATCCTCAAAGGTCATATAGTTTTTTGCCATAATTATATTGAGAAGACCATTTTTTTCAATAGTCATTCTCATATGAAACGTTGAAAAATTGAAAAAAAAAACGTAATTGACTTCTTTTTTTCGCTCAATGTTCATGATCCAACTTCATCTTCAGAACAACCGGAAACGAGATTCACGAACGTCAAACTTCAGTTTAATGGGTAACCATCAATTCGCTTCAGCTATACTCGATCAGGTTCTTTCCTCTGTGATAAGTCCACATAGAAGCTCTTTCCAGCAAACTGACCTGCTCTCGCCTCATTTCCGACCTTCTTTTGGCGGCAACAGCAGACCCGAAGACTCTTCTTTTTCTTCATTCCAAAGGTCTGGTTTAGCATCGATTCGAAATTATCATGTTTTTATAGGAATGGTTCGCCGGTCAGATCAGCGGTTGAAAGTGTCGCCTACATTGCTGATCATCTCAAAAATGAGGAGGACGATAAGCAAGTCAGTTTGAAAAACTTTTTCTGAACTGAAACTTGAGTCTCAACTCAAAACTATGATGAAAAAGAATATTGGGTAGAATTAAATTAAAAAAAGTTTTCTTTTTTCAGAGTAGTTCAAACGAGATTTTTGAGTGATTCTAATAGTTCAAATAGAAATTTTTTTGAATTGAATGACTTCTTCAAACTTCAAAAATATCCCGTTTTGAGCTTTAAAAAGTTCCACTAATAAATCCCGAATTATTCGTCCATTGTAAAGTATCCTTTTTAAGTTTCAGAAGACGTTCATTTTGGGCTTTTTCCGATATTTTGACCTTTGTCGGCTGCATTAGCCTATAAATATGAACTCTCTTGAAAACTCGCCTGCTTGATTTTTTTTTTTCGAACTCTAATTAGTTTCTCAAAATTATATGAGAACCTCTCAAAGCACCTTTTTTCTGATAAAATAGCTCTTTGAAACAAATCACGAGATTAGTGTATAAAGTTGGAGTATTCGATAAAAATGTTTCCAAGGTTTTTTAATGCCGAATCTTTTTTTCCAAATAAGGTTTTAGAACCCTATGATAGAAAAATGAATTGAAGGTGATCGAGGACTGGAAGTACATATCGGTTGTGATGGATCGCATCTTCCTCATCACCTTCACGTTTGCCTGTGCTTTCGGCACAGCGGTGATCATCGCCAGAGCGCCATCCATCTACGACAACACCCCAGCTCTAGCCTAACTATTACTATTCTTTCTCCCGTTCGCCTTTCCATGTTTGTAGTTACAGGAAAATAACTCAAACACACACACATTGACAGGGTCTACGCCGCGGGTATTCAAATTTCCTCTGCTTTCCACTCTTTCACCTTATGTCCTCTACCAAAGAAAAGGACGTCATTCACAGTTTTATTACCACATGTATTCGAAGAGCTTCAAGTTATCTTTTACTTGGTGAAAACAAACTACTTTATCTTTTTTAATAGCTCACACCTCAATATTTTCACACTTTGGTGATATTAAGTCTCTTACATTAAAACAGCCCTCAATTTTCAAATTTTATCTTTAAACGCCAACAGCGCAAACCCACCTTCCTGTTTTTTTTCTTCTCGAAAGACTTTCATGTATTTTGTTGCTCATATCTTTTCGATTTCCGATTAAATTTAACGGTGTTTTTGTGTTTGGAACGCCTCGAAGTCAAACAGCATGTCGATAAAAATAACTCTTTGAAGTAATACATAAACTAGAGACAAATTTCGAACTATCATAATTTTTTTCGGGTTAAACTCGATTTGATTTGGTATTATAGATCTTATTTTTCACATGCAGAATTTCAGTTGACTTTTTTTAAAAAAATTGATGGAATTATAGATGAGGGCTTTTTTATTTTTATTCACGAAATAAAATGGTATTTGGAGCCAAAACTAGAAACTTTTCTCTCTTCCGCTTTACAGGGAGACTATCTGGATAATATTTCAGAAATCAACTTTTTCTAAAAATTTTCATTCGTCAACGCAACAAACAGTAAAATATGTAGAAGAAAATTCCTACTGAGATAGTCAATGGGAAGAAGTTCAGCACGAGATTACATCCCCTCTCGTTGGATTTTGAGTAGTTGCGTGATGAAGGTGACCGCGCTAAAAAAAAGTTGATTCGTTGGTGACAAAAGTCAAAAAATCAATAGATCTGGTCCAATAAAAACAGTGGAAAAAAGCAAACCTGGAACCAGCAATGAGTCCTGCGGGAATAAACTTGCCGGAACGTATAAAACGTCGTCCCATGGCAACAGTAAGGATTCCGGAGACAGCTGGAAAATGAGAAATTGAAAGGAAATGGAGGTCGAATCACCAGCCACGAGAATCGTCTTCTGGGGGATATTATAGTAAGTTGCCAGACCGACGATGGCGCCGCTTCCCGCTCCTGCCGCTAACGATGGAATCGAAGCTTAAAGGGGACGAGGTCAAAAGTTTTCCCAGTCTCCAAACAAAAAAAAAACATTACAAATTTTCATTTCTCTTTTTTTTGGCTTAAAAATGAGAAAATCTTAGGTGGTTCTATCTTCCCTTATTACTAGCCGTAGCTAATTAAAACGAAAACGTTCAATCTTCAAAAGATTTCCTTTATAATTTTCAATAGGAGCCTAAAACTGTTGTGACTTTTAAGAAGGCTCGATGTCAACATAATACACAGTTTGTATTTAGGATACTCCATTGCTAACTCATTTTTCAACATTATCTTTATAGTATCAAAAGATCAAAAAATGTTTCAAAATCATGACTTCAAATATTTGAAGTCATGAAGTTTTTCAAGTGGTTCTATGATTATGTGGATGGATTTATTTGAGACTATTCATGAAGAATAAAAAAACTACTCCAAACCTGCTTTCAAGTAACCGATGACACCGCCAGCGGTGAGCAGGCCAGCATAGATGAAATTCACAGAATTGACGTCCATGTTTTATTTTTGTAAGAGGCCTTAATCTTTCAAAATTTAAAAAAGAAAAACTTTTGGTTAAAACGATTGTCCAAAAGAAAAAGTAACAGAAAAAAAGAAAAAATAAATCCTTGGTGGAAACCAAGGAGAAACGGCAGTGGTCATGGCTACAAAATTTTCCGAGATCCGTTTCATTCTGAAAACTTCCCTTCCCGAGATGCCTCTACCACAGAGCGGAAACGAGGTAAGCTTTTTGCTTTTATGATGCAAAACTTCTTCAGGAAAACGGACCGAGAAGCTTCACACCTTCTAAGAATACTATATTCGTGAGGCCTGCCGAGGCTAATGGAATAAAAGAGGTAATCAAAACTATCTACGTCGGTGGAAAATTGAGGGTTTTTTAAGCTTACTTTTTTTTGAGCCTCGTTAGCATGAAGAAATATATCAAAATCTCTAAGGTAAATAAAAACTTCCAAAAAATGCTCACTCATCAAAAACTGTAGTTGGACTCTTCACAGTGCCACCGCACGTTTTTTCCGGAAAAAATTATTTTACAGAACTTGAGCGAGAGAAGCTTCCAAGAACTCGGAGGACTGACCCCAATAGATTCACCTCCTCTGATCCGTCATAACAAAAGCGAGAAAAGTTTAGCGCCAATTTCTAACATTCAAGGTTACATATTGCAAACGTCTTTCAAAATTTAGTATTTCAGAAAAAAATGGAAAAATAAAATCTCCGCAAAGCGCGCCGAACTTGCCGATATCACGAAATTATCCTACTAAAGAAGAAAAAGGTGAGAAATAAAGATTGAGCTTTTGATGAATGTTTTTAAGAAAAAGAGTCGGCTGAGAAAAACCAGGCGATTGTGAGCTGTCCCTTCAAAATCCTTGGATGCCACAAAGAAGGCAGCGAAAAAGCAGTCAAAACGCATATTCGAGACGACAGGTGAGAGATACTTTTGATAATAAACAGAGGAACTGAACAGAAAAACCGAAGGTACATCAAAATTTTTATTTGTTTCAAATGTAGTAAGTCATGAGATGATAGCACAGCTGGAATGCTCAAAGGTTAAGGCAAAATATACAAAAATTGAAATAAGAGACCATGAAATCGGTTAGACAGCCATGTCCATTGCGATGCGATCATGACATTTGTAGTTTTCAAGAACTATCATATCTGAAGTGAAATCATCGATGGATTCAACGGGACGAGAGAATCTTATCGATGGGAACGGATAAGGCGTGCGCTCCAGCTGAAAGAATTGAAAATAGTAAAATGATAGGGACCTTTTTGGACTGAAAAGAAGTTAAATTTTACACTTGTACACATGAAAAGAGGCGTTCGGAGAATCATTTTTGAAACGGCTAGGCAAAAAAAATTTTTATCTATGACGAAATCATGCGGTTTTCACTGCCTTAGCAAATTTTCTGCAAAAACGTTTCATGCTATCTGCAAATCAGTGCTTTGCATTCTACACAGACTTTCCTCGCACCTTGAATTATTTTCAGTATGTACAAAAATATCTGTAAACAATAATGTAGATTCAGAGCAACGTTTGGTCAAAATTCAAATTGCTAATTTGCAGATAGCTGTCGAAGTCCACGGGCAAAATTCGAAAGGTCTCAAAAAGAACTTTTGGAAGAAGCCCCAATATCTCAAAGAGACCTTCTTTTTTTTTTTTTGAAAAAAAACCTTTCAAGGAGGAAAGAAGTTGAAAAAAAAAAGAAATTCCGAGAAACTTCTAACAACTTCTTGGAACTCAGAAAAGAGTTTTAGATTTATTTTCAAGACCTTTTTGTCGCCGTTTGGACTCATCCTGTATCAAAGCAACCTGCGCGATTATCCCACAGTGGTCTTTTTAATTTTTTTAATTTCAAGCATTTTGCAACATTCCGGAAATTGGATAATTTGAAGCTGTCCGGAACATAAGGCCCCCAAGAAAAAAAAAGTTAAAGGTTTAGCTCGTTTTGAAAGCTTGCATTTACAAAAAAGACTTTCACACGCAAAAATCATCAAATAACTGAATTTTATCCGAACTAATCAACATCTTAAAAAAAGTTCTCGCTTTTATTCATTCAAAAAACAAAAACCGTCAAATTAAGAGAAAGATAAACCTGTATTTTGAGAGCATCTACGTGATTCGTGTAGACGTGAGCATCTCCCATAGTGTGAACAAAGTCGCCCGCCTGAAAAACGGACATCAACAAGAAAAATCGAAAAAAGACCACCTTTAAATTACAAACGAAAGCGATCATATGGGTGAGGAGACTGTAACTGGCTATATTGAAAGGAACTCCAAGGCCCTGAACTTTTAATTTACCCGATAATATTCTTTTTACAAACGATATCTCCACTCCTTTGATATAATTGACAAGAGAGTTCGCCATCGCTCACGTAGAACTGACACAACGTATGGCATGGTGGTAGGACCATCTCACTCAAATCTAAATCAATTGATAAGCGGTTAAGTTCCCACTGAATGAACCTGAAGGATTCCAAGCACTGAGGATGATTCTCCTACTGTCGGGCTCTTCTCTGATCAATCGTATCACTTCGGAAAGTTGGTCGATCCCTTCACCAGTATAGTCAGTATTGCAATCGCGATATTTAGCCCCGAAATGCCTCCACTTAAAGAAAAAACACACAAATAGATTTTATATAGGTATGTTACTTGAAAACCATAAACTGGCCCGAGATCGCCTTCTTCACGCGTTGTGAAGCCGTTCTTATCAAGAAACTGTCGTGAACCATTGGCATCCCAAATCTGAAAATCTTTGACGGATGGGAAACTGACGATGGAAAACTCAGACCTTGACGTTTTTCTCGCTCAGCTTTCTGCTATCTGTGGCACCCGAAACAAACCAGAGTAGCTCTTCAACAACTCCTTTCCAGTATACACGTTTGGTGGTCAGTAAAGGCATTGTGAAATTTCTCAAGTTGTATCGTGCTTGCGTTCCGAACACAGAGATTGTTCCGACGCCTGTTCTGTCAGAGCGAGTGATGCCCTTCTTCAAAACATGACGGACTTGGTTCAAATAATTGCACTCGTCCTGATTTTCTAGTCTCCTGTCTTCTTTCTGTTCACTTCCATTCGAATATTGAACGTTTTCCCGTTCATTCACTCCTTGCAACATGCTGAAAATTGAGTGCAACGTATTGAGAGTAAATATCTGTAGGACACCGATTCGGACGTTTTTGCGACAAATAGTGGATAATACAAGGTTTTACAATGTAGCAATCGGAAATTTTAGAAAATCGGTAATGCCTGAATGTATTTTTTTTTAAATAGAAAAGAGCAACGAATAGCGACTATGAGTGACTTTTTTTTTAACTGACCAATTAAAAAAAAAAGAAAAAATAAAGGTACGAGACCTAATTCCAAAAGATTGGAGTGAATAAGTACTGCAAAAAGGTCTATCTTGAATGCGCCAAAAATATTGAAATCCGCGCGCGTTTCTATTACTCGCTGGCGCGCAACTGCATGTTTTCAAATTTGTGTTCTCAAGTGAGAAAGAACAAAACAAGGGTTTTCAGGTGGAGCAAAGGTTGACTAGTAAAAACTATAAATAACTGGCATTAAAAAATACTACGGCTTAAAAAAATAGGAAAAATAAAAGAATGAAGATATACTTTGCCGGAATAACGCAGGTAGCTGCGATATTTTCTGTAAGAAAAAAGCTTCGCGATTTCTGGAATTTAGTTATATTTATTCCTTTTATTTTGTTCACCAAAAAAGTTTTGAAAAATTTCGGAAGTATGTTAAATTCCGTCTGGGGTTCATGCACAAGAAACATCATATCTGACGGGTGGACGTAGCTCTGGAAACGCCGTGTCTGCACAGATTTGTGTATTTCACTAAATTAGGAGAGCATGTGAAAAAAAAAACAGCAGAGAAGGTTAAACCTATTCCTGAAGTTTGCCGCCGTTTTTTTCCCTCCGTGCTACAGAACGCTTTTTTTTTTTAAAAAAAAGGGCGGACAGTAACACGGGAACTTTTCACATAGACAGGCCGGGCGCATAGAAGAAAATGGTTTCCGAAAAAAAAAAATCACGAAAAGACGGCTCTGAACGTACTGTGAGAAAATCAACAAAAAGATGTTCAGAGCAGCGGTGAAATTGATCTAAACATCGTTAAGAAGTCCAAAATTCATACGGACAGGCAGAATCAACAGAAAAAGGGGCTTCGTGTTATTTAACAGTTGTTTTCCTTTGATAGATCAATGAATTTTGTAATCTCAAAGCTAATGAGAGATGTGCTGCATTAAAAACAAACGCCTATAGTACAGAGAAGTGCACGAATCATGTTCAATTTATTTTTATCGGTGTTTTTGCAGGAATCTACACCTGGTTTTACTCTGCCAAGCAGTGTCACTACTGCGTTCTTCTATGAACCGTTCCGTAACTATCTATGACGATCTTCTTCTTGAGGCTCCGCCCGAGACGGAAAGGGCGCAAGCGGTTATCGACAAATACAAGTCTGCATAATCATTGGAATCCTACAAAAAAAAAACTTCAAGCTCTCAATTCATTTTCAAGATTTCGGATATCCAGGCGGCAATATTTCGCGCGAAAAACCAAGAAAAACGAGGCCCTTTTGCACAGGTTGCTTAGAAGCATTACAGATACACGAATGAATTTTAGCCAGCCGTTTGAATCTCATCGTGGAGGTTACAGAATGATTGTTATCGTGGCTCCTTTCGGCGATGGATTAGGTAAAGCCAAAATTCTGAACTTTCCGATAATCTCGGTGTTGTAGCCTTGCGCGAAAGCTTGTCTGTGTTCGTGAGCCTAATTAAAGGAGAAAACGACCCGATTTTGGACTGGCCCTTCCTTTGTCCAGTAACTTTCAGCGTAATGTCAGAGAACTCTAAAAAAAGAGGTACCAAAAAAAACTGATGTTTAAAATGCTTAATTGCAATTTTTCAAGTTTCTCGAACATTTTTCCCCTATGATACAACTGAGAATGAAGCGTTTTTGGGGCAACCTAAAGGACAGAGAAACGCAGCATTTGGATTCCAAGTGAGTTTTTGGACATCCTATTTTGATAAGAAATTTTTACAGGATTTTTTCCCTCTCCGTGAAATCAAGGAGTACTCTAGTTCGGGAGAATTTTTTATCTCCGTGTACATCGAGCTCAGCTCCAAACATCTATTTCGAGGAAAAAACGTTAGTAGATTTTCGATCACGAAAGTTTGAAAGCCAAACGTTACTGATTTTCCAGGTCAGCTCTTCTCGATGTCAAGGACCAACTATTGACAAAACGTCTCCAGCGAGTGTACATGAGAGTTTCTCTTCTTCTACCATTGACGAAGAAAACTCAGTTAATTTGTGAAACTACTTACTGATAAATGCTTGCGTTGATCGAATACATGAGAACCACAATCAAAAAAATAACTCTCACCAGTTGTTTAAAACAGTAGAAACTTATAGAGACAATTAAATATTTTGGTTTTCAACAAATCAGTTTTGCTTTAAAAAACTTGAAAACTTGCTTTTTTCTAAAAATAAATAGTGAAATTGTCGAAAAAACAAAGGAAAACAAAATAAAGCCAGAGAAAGTTTTTTGAGCATAAAGGGTAATTGAGAAATTAAATTTTTTTCTCAAAAAAATCTGTTTTTTTCGTCATAAAATATCTGAAAATTTGCTTTTTGGAAAAAAATGTTAAGTCGAACTGTCAATTAAACAATGAAACCACAAAAAAAGGTCTAAGAAAAAGCTGAAGTAGAAATTTTAGGCAATTTGCGAAAATTAGAAATATTTTGAAGAAGAAACTTCGCGAAATCAGAACTAAAAAGAAGAAACCATGTCTATTGAAAAAAATGTTTTTTTATCCGTTATTTACAACGATGGAGGAAATATGGAGAAAAAGTTTCAAAAAGCAACTAAACAGAACAACAAAAAGAAAAGTTAATTAAAAAAATTAAAAAAATACTCTCGGACCTTGGTAACGGGTCGGGGAATTTTTAGTGAACCCTTTAGCAGCTACAGCGTTCTTAAGTGGCCCCTAGAGCTCGAGCTCTCTCAAGTGATTTCACGCCAGTTTTTCTCTTCGCGTCAACTTTTTTTTTTAATCGCCGTATTTGGTGGTTTCTTGTTCCTGCTAGGACATTTGTTGCGAGTTGTATTAAAATAATTATGAATTTCCACAGTCCTGAACATTTTTTTTTTAATATTATGGATGAATGAAAATATATAAAAAAAAGAAGTTTTTTTTTCCTGTGTGAGTGTTGTTGTTTATTCTGAAATATTCAAGTCGTTTGATCGTTATGGTAAGCTTACGATCGTTCTCGTAATTTTGTTTTGTTGAGCCATCATGATAAGTTTTGATTTTTATCTGAAGAAGATTTTTTCTTGTGTAAATACCCAAATTTCTAAAAAAATTTTTCTAGTAATGATATTGACAGAAAATTCAAATAAAAATTTCATATTCTAATTTCGCAGCTAAAATTTTACAGAGGTAAATATTTTTCAAAATTTCCTTGATTTCGGTCGCTCGGAGAGTGATCTTTTTTCTCGCAATAAACGGCACTACGCCGGGGTTATCGCGAAAAATCGTGTTTATATGTGAGACGGCAGTGTTAGAGAACGATACGTCGCGATACCTCCTAACCCACGCTGTTTTCCACTTAGTTGTCTTTAAATAGTGAATTGAGCGCAAGTTGATCGATTATTTCTGGATATTTGCGAAAGCTGATTGGTTGAAATGCTTCTCAGTAAGTCATTTGTGTTGAATGTTTAAGTTGTTGTTATTTTTTAAACATATTACTGCGGAGTTTTCTTTACAGATTGCTCCAATGAACAAGTGCGGGTACCAAATGTTATTGCATTGGTTGGATTGCCAGCTCGAGGAAAAACCTACATTTCTCATAAACTATGTAGATATCTAAATTGGATTGGAATAAAAAAACGAGAGGTGAGAAAGGCGTATTTTTCATTCAATTTCAAAATTTTTTTCGCTTTTTAATGATTTTAATTCGTGTGTACCATTGAAAGGAATTGAATTGTTTTCTTCAATCACCAAAAATTTTTGCGTGAACTTTAAATTTTGGTACTCAGCAGCCACACAAAAATCAGTCATTCGTTCAATTTTTTCTTACAGCTTTCAATGTTGGAGAATATCGTCGAAAAGCTTGCAATCTTGAGCAAGAAGGAGAATTCGAATTTTTCAGTCCCAAAAACGTGCGAGGGCAGAAAATTAGAGAGTAATTCTATTCAGTGATTTTCGAAACCTTATCATTATTTTCTCAGTGAGTGCGCACGCTTGGCAATCGAAGATATGGGAAGATATTTGGATAGTAAAGAAGGAGAGGTGGCGGTAAGTGAGTAATCAGCCCTGCACTTCATTTGGAATATTCTCAACAGATTCTGGATGCTACCAACACCACGAGAGAACGTCGACGGCTTCTTGTTGATTACTGCAGGAAAATGACACACCAACCTCCTTTCCGAGTCTTTTTCGTTGAGAGCATCTGTGACGATCCTGTTATTATCAATTCGAATATCACTGTGAGTTTTCGAGGATTTTTGAAGGATTTATGAGTTGCAGACGAGTTTTATCTTTTTTTTTTAGGAAGTGAAAATAAACTCACCGGACTACAAAGGACACATGAGTGAAGAGCAGGCCAAAGAAGACTTTCTAAAACGCATTGAGAACTACCGAATGCAGTACGAGCCCTTAGACGAGGATCTCGATGAAGAACTCTCATACATAAAGGTTTCGAAAACATTTTATTGGTTTTTTTTTTCAAAATCCCTTGCTTTTTTCACGCTAGTGTAACCAGTGCCATATAGCGGGGCCTGGAACTTTTGCGATTATAAAATTTCCAAGGTTGAATATTTCCTCTAGATTGAATTAGTCCATGTTAGTTTTCAACTATTTAAACGGTACTGAATGACCAGAATTATCGGCGATTCTTCATTAGGAAGAAAAACCATATAATATATTACAGAGCGAATGAGAAATTAAAATAAAATTTTCCAGGTTATCAACGCTGGAAAGTCTTTTTACGTGCACAATGTGAACGGACACGTCCAAAGCCGCGTCGTGTACTTTTTGATGAATATCCATCTGTTGCCGAGGAGCATCTATCTCTCGAGAGTATTCTAAAGTGTTCGAATCAAATTATGGCGTCAAGTTTTATTAGCACGGAGAAAGTGAATACAACCGAATCGGAAGACTTGGAGGGGACAGTCCGTTGAGTGAGAACGGCCTTAAATATGCCCAAAAGCTTCGTGAATATTTCGAGGTTTGTCTGAAAGATGTGCTTTTTTGGAAACTTAGTTAAGAATGAAGACCTGTCGGATTTGCGGATATGGTCTTCGCAGAAGATCCGCGCCGCTCAAACGGCTTCTCATCTGAAGGATCTGGCTGGACACACCGAGTTTTGGAAGTGTCTCGATGAAATAGACGCCGTTAGAGTTTTGTCATCGTCTATAAATAATCGCTACGAGTTGCAGGGTATTTGCGAAGGTCTGACGTACGAAGATTTCGAAGCGCGGTACCCGAAGCAGTTCGCCGAGAGAGACAAAGACAAGTACCACTATCGATATCCCAGTGGAGAGGTAACCTTCAGAATCTTACTGCAATTTTATTTGTGTGTAGAGTTACGAAGACTTGGTGGCGAGGTTGGAACCAGTCATAATGGAATTGGAGCGACAGTCGAACGTCCTTGTCGTTTCCCATCAAGTACAACTATTTTTTCTTTATTCTCACGTTTTCTGGCTTTTTAGGCTGTACTGCGATGTATTTTGGCGTACTTCACGAACAAAAATCGTGACGACCTGCCTTATCTCAAAGTTCCCTTGCACACTGTCATAAAGTTGACACCGAAGGCCTACTCGTGTGAAGTGGAAATGTTCAAGTTCGACATCGAAGCCGTCAATACTTACCGCGAAAAGCCTGGTTCCAAGGTATTTCCGAATTCAAAAATATTATTTTTCATTTTTTTAGTCAATGTCGAATTATGAAATACTGAAAAAGTTGATTTTTAACCATTCAGACACTGATTATTCTTACTCAGGCAAAGTCGGAATGGTGAATAATGATAAAAAAAGAGAGGCTCAAAAAAGGCCGCAGAAAGGCAGCAAAAATAGCCCCTTTATCGAGCCTTTTTTTGGCATTTTCAAGGCTCAAGAAATGTTGGAAAAAGGGGTCCATAAAGGCTGATAAAATGGCGCCAAAAGGCAGCAAAAAGGAACCTTTGTCACCCTAAACGCAATATTTCTATAGACCCCTTTCGACCTTTCCGACTTTGCCTATGTATGATGAAGTTTATCATTGAAAAATTAAGAAATTTAAAATTTTTGGAAAGTTTTTCTTCCTCGCCCCAGTCTATGACTAACACAAAAATAATTTATTGATTGATTTTGATATCTTTGATTGACTTTTTTTGAGGACGCTGATGGCGTCGCTCTTTGCCACTCTCCCTAATAGGTTTGTTGCAACCGGTGTGCAGAATATAGTTGGGCGATTGCTATAGAAAAGTTTGGATTTGAAATACGGCATCTTAGAAAAATACCAATAATTTTTGAAAAATCATCGTTTTGCAGTAAAATGCATTTCGTTGGAAAACGTTTAACTCTCAAGTCAACACATTTTAGATTATTTTGTCTAGGAGCAATAATTGCTTCAGAAAATATTTATTATGTACTGAAACCTTGGATACTACTCTTTCTGTTTCTAGGATTTAGGATTAAAACAAAATCTTGAACGTTATCTGACTTTAGTTTTTTTTTCGTTATATTTCGCTGCAGATCGATAATTTTTCTTAAAAGAAATATTTTTTCCAAACAAATCTCTATAATTATCACTTTTTTTTGTTTATTGTGGTTTCCCAGTGTTTAATTTTCCCTCATTACATACATGCCTTCGCCTCATGAAGAAACTTTGTTGCATGATAATTTTATTTTAGAGAATAGCAATGATATATATTTTTCTTTGTTTGATTGCATGTTTCGTTTAGATTTTGGAAATATTCAGTTTTTTCGTTTTTCAGGATGACGAGGCGCTGTCGGTCGTTGTGGAGTGGACACCCGAAGCCGAACAGAAAAAATAAAGCGGCGATTTTTACTTTTAAAATACAATTTTCGCATTTAGTTTTTACATTAAATTTCTAGGATATAGTAGTTTGTAAAATTGCTAAGGTTCTGTCAAATGTGTCACTGCTTCTAAGATTATGTCAGATTTTATCTTAAGTTAATGAGTTTTGTTCTATGTGAAGTTTATTGCAATGTTTATGTAAATAATTATTGAATGAATGCGTTCGTTTTTTTTTTCAGAACGTCAAAGCGTTTGAGATTATCGTAACATTGTCTTTAGACTAAAATTGTTATTTTTTAGGAGCATGTCTTACTGGGAGAAGTGAAAAAAAGCTTCTTTTCTGAGTTTTTCGAAATCTTCACAGCGCCGATGCATTCAGGTAGCCTAAATCCTTTGAAATTTATGAATGAAAAATTTTGAAAGAATTATAAAATTATTTAGGGAAGTCTGGTTTTTTTCCATGAACACGATAAAAAAAAATAAGTTGAAAGTCTTTTTGAAATGAATTTCTACGCGGGCAAAGTCGGAATGGTGGATAATGGCCGCTAAAAGGGAGAAGCTCGTAAAGGTCGCAAAAACGCAGCAAAAGAGCCTTCTATTTTTCTGGGGTTTTAAAGGCTTAAAAAAGGGTGGAAGAAGGCAGCAAAAAGGATGCATAAGGGCCGATAAAATGACGCAAAAAGGCAGCAAAAAAGGAACCTTTGTCACCCTAAAAGGAAAATTTCTATGGAGCCTTTTTCACCCTTCCGACTTTGCTCACTTTCACCTGGACTGAAGAAAATTTTTAGCCGAGAGCGGGCTGGAAACGGTAGGAACTGCCTGCGAGATACCATTCCTCGCTGGCGAACGGGTCATCTGCACGGACAACGACATCAGCTACTTCGGGAGCTCGGTCCGCGTTCCAGGACGCCTCGTGGTCACTCTCTTCCGTCTCCGTTTCATTTCCAACGACGCTCAGACGGTTTTACAGAATACTTAGAGACTCTAACCATGTCTCGTAGGTTTTCGATGTTCCTTTGGGCGCCATCGCTAAAGTCGAGAAATTTGGGTATGCCACTGCCACGAGGAAAGACTCCAACTACGGTCTGAACATTATTTGCAAAGCGAGTTCCTCTCACTTTCGGTACAAACAATCAGAACTTTTTTTTGAAGGATCACAGAGCTTTCAAGTTCGCCGCTCAGCAGACGAATCACCGGAGAAGACCTCTCGTTGAGGCTCTTTTTCGGTATTCTTTTCCGCTCAGTAGCGATCTGGTGCGTGTACCTGCGGTCCTTGAAGTTGAAGTTCTAATTTCAGAAATTATTCGCTTTTCTTCATGCCGAGGAACTGAGAAAAGAAAGAACGCAAAAGTCGGTCGACGGATGGAAGGTGCGGTTTTATTGATAAAGTTGCATTGACTTTGTGGAAATTCAGAAATTGGTTGGATCTTCATATTGAGTGTTTCAAAAATAACAGTTTTAGCGCGCTCCGTGCGAGAAGGTCACGTTTTAAAAGAATAGAAAAGAAAAAGTTGCCTTTTACTCAAAAGAACTTCTAAAAAACAGTAAAAAAGAAAGGTCTCGAAGCGTGAAGATGCTCATTTTTGATCTAATTTGGTATACGGTCTTTTTGGCCGATAAAAAAACGTGACAAGCTGGCGCGGAATGGGTTATAATTCATCACTCAGATTTTTGAGTTCGAGTTGAGTTTACTGGTTAGTTTTCTTTTGTAAAACGCGATATAAACGCTTACCCAAAAATCAGATGAAAAGCAGTCGGATGTGGCTTTTGAGTTTTCTCATGCACTTTTCCCTGTTTTGCACTTTTCCCTGTTTTCAACGGGATTTATCAGCAATTTTTCTGAAAATATGGCGTTTGTAATGTTCTTCAGTTGATAAACACAGATTTACGACGCGAAGCGGGAGTTTGAGAGGATGGGCGTGAGCGAATCGAAAGGCTGGACGGCGGTCGACATTAATAAAGACTACAAGTTTGCGGACACGTACCCTCGCTACGTAAGTTCACTTCTATGTAGGAAAATTTGGACTCTAGTTTTTGTTTTTGTTTTTTGATTCCTAATTTAGGACTCATAAACTGCGCCCATTCATTTTTTGATATTTTCATTACTTCAGAACGAACTTTCAATGGAAGTTACCACATCTTGCCGATTATAGTGATTTTCTCGTTTTGTAACTTTTTATGCATTTTTCCTTACTGATTCACTCGTTTATAAGGCGAAAATTGCGCTAAAATCAGGATAGTTTCTGTGAGTTTACACGTATTAAGTTAAGTGAGCGGTACTTTTTTGAATTATTGGAGAAAGAGTCTTTATGTGTGCAATTTTCAGCGGAGTTCAATGTTGAATCAACAGATATTTCGAGGATTTACGGAAATAATGGAGAAAAGATTGATAGATTCATATAAAAAGGAATCATTCGCATACTTACACTAAGAATAACTGCCGAGATAAACGCGAGACACTGGCGGTACATTGACGAGCTCGCAAACATCTCGCTTTTTTTCTCGCGCCGGTCTCGCATTTTTCTGGGCGCGAGCTCGCATTTTTCTAGGCGCGAGCTCGCATTTCTCTCGCAATTTGAAAATTTCCGAAGTGCGAGATAAATGCGAGATGGCGCCAAGAAATATGCGAGGTCGCGCCGAGAGAAATGCGAGATCGCGCCTTGAAAAAAGCGAGATGTTTGCGAGCTCGTCAATATACCGCCACCGACCTCGCGTTTATCTCTTCAGTTATTCTTAGTGTATAATGCATTTACTGTCTCATCTTCCTCGGTAATTAGTAACTTATTTTCTTTAAAGTTGGTAGTCCCGAACACGAGCGCAGACAGCGGCTTCTTGGAACGAGTTGGCGAGTTCCGCAGTCGGCAGCGGATTCCGGTTATTTTTATACCGAAAAAAGAGCTGACTAGAGTTTTGACAGGTTTTGAGTTGGTTGCAAAAAAGTTCTTTGGCGTCGATTACTCGGAGCTCGCAGCCCATGAGTGGCCTCACAAAACGACGGAGCGCCCAAGACGAAGAGTATTTTTTTCGTTTGCGAAACCTCTCAATTGAAAATATTGAGGCATTTGACCAATATCCTCTACGCCAACGCCCATTCTCACAAACTGAACATTTACGATGCTCGCCCTATTGTCAACGCACAGGTTATTTTAATGATTTTTAAGCAAAAAAGCATCTGTAAGGCTTATCTACTTCCGAGACTCACAATTCAATTTAAATAGCAATAAGGTCATATTAATAAGCGTTTATGTCTCAAAAGCATAATTGAAGCTGCGAAAAGGAATCTCTTCATGTCTTTTTTTATTTGACGCGTTTTTTAATTGACGCGACTAGTGTAAGAATCGCCTATCACCCAAAAAAGTATTTATCGGCTCTAAAACCATTTTTCTCCGACGCTACTTGAATCAAACTTCTAGACTATACTTTTATTTCTAATAGTAATCCGTTGCTCGGTTTCGAATAGAGTTAGTGAGGCTTTTCTGAAAGGTAGCTTTTAGAAACGCGCCAGGTATAATTAAAACTGCTCCCGTGGTTTAGCTTTCAGTTCTGAATAAAAATTGATTTTTGAATTAGACTCCTTACCTCTAATTTTAAATGCGGAACACATTAATGTTTTTGGTATCCGTTGATCAGTGTTCTTTTCTTTCTTTTTCATACCTTTTTCTTTGTTCCTATTCATTTTTTACCTCTTCTCTGTGAATCATTGCGCCAAGATTGAATAACTGAAATTCAAACTACTTTTGTGAATTAATGTAAGAGAGTCGACGATTCTGACGATAGGGGCTCCTTTAACGAGAGAGTTTATTTTACCTTGCGCTTGGGAATTTTTTGGAAATTGGCCGAATTACTCTTTGATGTGCCAGAAAAATAATCTGAAAGTCTTAACCTGTCCAACTTTTTCGTTTTTAAGAAAAGACGTCTCAAAGCCCCGAATCGGCCTATTTTAACCGATTTCGAGGTTTTTCTTCGACTTTGAGATGTTCTTTCTCAAAAACTTGGAATTTGTGCAAGTTGAGACTTTCAAGATCTTTTTTTGGTACCTCAAGGAGTATCCTGGCCAGATTTGAAGAAAACCCCAACCGCAAAGTTAAATGACTTTTCTCGTAAGCATTCAATTTTTAAGACCCGAAACAGCTGAGCGTTAATTTATTAAATATTCACCCTCATCCAGTTTGGCTTTGCTCAGATTTAATATTAGGTGAATCGAGCAAAAGGAGGCGGATACGAGGAGAACTACGAGGGCTGTCAGCTGCAGTTCATGAACATTCACAACATCCACGTTGTCCGCGAGTCGTTAGTTTCTCTTGTCGGCATTTCTCATTGAAGGTTTGAGCTTGAAAAAGCTGCTATCAGCCTTGATTCCTCGCGTCGACGAGAAGAATTTCTACAAGCTTCTCGATGAATCAAAGTGGCTTCAACACGTCCATGTGAGTTGTTGCGGTAGTTGCTCAACTGACAAATCCGTTCAAGAGCATTTTGTCGGCGTCGATGGAGATCGTAGGACAGGTCGACCGTAAAATGTCGGTCCTCGTTCATTGCACCGACGGCTGGGACCGCACTGCACAGGTTTTGCACAGGCTTACAGAATTTCTCATCAGGGATAATTTGCAAAAGATTAAATATGGTTTTTTCAACAAGATTATGTCTGTGGCAGTTGGATTCACAAGATGTCCTATCTCGCCTACATTTCCTATCCGCAGTTGACTTACAGCTGACCTCTCTATCGATGCTACAACTCGACGGCTACTACCGAACTCTCGAAGGCTTCATTGTGTTGATCGAGAAGGAGTGGTGCAGCTTCGGACACAAGTTCGGCCAGCGGATCGGCCACGGCGACGACAAACACAGTGACGGAGAAAGAGCGCCCATTTTCGTGCAGTTCATCGACTGCGTCTGGCAGATTCTCCACCAGGTCTTCTGCTTTCCCCCCGCTTCTCAACCCCCAGTTACAGTACGAGTACTACTTCGAGTTCACTTCGGCGCTGCTTATTTGCATCCTCGATGAGCTCTTTTCATGTCGCTTTGGCACATTTTTGTACAATTCGGAAAAGCAAAGACATTTGGAGCACGTAAGCTTAACTGATTTTCTACTTGAGAAATTTTATGTTAGAATTGCCCACAAACGACCGTTTCCTTGTGGACTTTCGTGCTGGAGTCGCGGAATCTGTTTCTGAATCCCTGCTACCGCAAAGGTACGTTTTACGGGGAAATTGAACGATCACAACTCAGATTCAGGCTCGATAGAATCGGTACTTTTCGTGAACCCTTCAATCCGATGCCTACGTGTTTGGACTGAGTACTACGCCCGTTCCAATCCAGACGTTATAACGCCGCAATCAGACGTTTGTCTTAATTTGTCTTGTATTGCCCTATTTTTTCGATTCTTGTCAATATTAAAACAAGATACAGTACTGCTAGCCATAAATAAATGTCTGTTTTATCATAGTTCCGCTCTAAAAGATCGGAATATATTGAAACTTTGAAATGGTAGGCATTAAAATTGGCGAAACCGCTGTTCATTTCCTAATGAGGGTGATGATCTCATCGTTTTCTCTGATTTCTGTGTACGACGAGATTAGTTTTAAACACCGGAAAATAGACTGATTGCTAAAGGAAACATGAAAAATTCCAAAGTTTGAATATTCAGTTCTTAATAATAATCATTCCAAAGTTTTAGTCTGCAGTCCTCGTCAAAAAAGGCTCTCATTTTGAAGAATATGCTTCTGATTAATCCGAGAGTTTCTATGCACCGCTTTCAGGTGGCCAAAAGGACAGGGCTCGAGCGAGCCGTCGGGAAGGCGTCGTTGATGGAAGCTCTGACCAACCTTCAGAGCCAGACAGAGGATGTCAGTTGTTGAGACAACTTCGCTGTTTTGTGATATATCGAACACCGCGTTGTGCAATTGTGTCTTCAGTGTGTTTACGTTTTTTTCATCTAAATTTCATGTACCGTCAAAAAAACTTATGAGAGAAATTTCCCTCAACAGCTCTATTTGGTATTCTCGCTTGACGTTCCCTTTTTCCCTTTTACGTAAAAAAATTCTATTGTTATTCGAAAAATGGAAACTTATTTTTGTACAATTTCATAAGTTTAAAGGAAATCCTTCTTGTAAGCGTTCTTTAAAGTTTAACTGTATAAAAATGTTATATTCGTTACAAATTCGACAAATCCTTAAAGTGCGCTCTAGCAAGCCACTTTACAGACGCCTAACTTGGTCGAAAAAATGCCATCTGACAGTTAGAACCATGGTTCGTTAGAACGCGCTTTTCAGACCTGCGAAAGGAAATAGAAAATGTAATCGTTGCAGAAAAAAAACAGACGAATTGGGAGGGTACCATAATATGTCCACAAAGATACCTTTCAAATTAAGTCGTGAAGACCCCCCATCATACCTTTTTAGCTCTATCTGAGCTATACCGGAGGTAGTTGAGATAATATCTCAAGTCCATCTCACTTTGCTCAAAGTCCTCAGAGGTATCTCAAGGTACCATCGTCAGACTTCAGACCCTGCGATATACCTCAGAGATACCCTTTCTCGATTTGCCTATGAAAATGGTCGGGTCCAAAAATGGTCACGTATCTCAAAACACGTCAGACCAGCTTATTAATACCGAAATGAGCTCAGTCTTCATTACAAACAGTGGAAAGAGCTCGAAATCCAACAAAAGGTTTTTTAGCACCGGTTCTGAAAGAGTTTCTGAGTATGGAGACGGTTGTTCTCAACGTCGGAAAGGACGAGCTTGCCCATAACCTGAAAATATTTATTTTTTCTTGTCGTTTCGGCTGCGCTTACTTGGTTGACCACGCTTCGGAGAAGCATTCCTTTGAGATCCATGCACAGGATATACTCGTAAATAGCACCGCTAGGATTAGTCGGATCCGCCGTGTACACTCCGGCGCCCAAGTGCAGGTAGGCCCTGTGGAATGAATGGCTAGGCTCTTTCAATTGAAAGAAAGTCTCACTGGACAGCATCTGGGTCCGGTTTGTGCGACGCGACGGTACAAGACCGCGCCGAGATTATATGCCGTCCATCTGCTGTCTCCCGCATCATACGACCAACAATGAATTCGCGACTTCCAACCATGAACTTTTTGTTGGAAGCGTACTGAATAATATTCCTAGTGAGGAAGATTGAACTATGATCTCACGTTCGCAATGTCGAGATGCTCAGAAATCTGAGCATGGACACGACTGAAGCGAATGTTGTCGTTCCACTCGTTCATACTCGTGATCCCTTCCCAGGTCATTCGCAATCCTTCAGCACAAGACAGTGGGATGGCTGTCTACAAGTCTTTCCTATTCACGAAAAGCCTTGTTAGACCAACCCGTGCAACAAAAAACCGTTTGCCGTCGATGTCTTTGTAGAAGACGCGGACGTGTTCGTTCTCGCTGTCCAAATTCCAAGTGCTGCGATCTGCGAACCCTAAAGACATAGTAACTTTAAAGAATGGACTTGAAGTAATGATATTTCGAAGAGGTTCCAGAAATGGCTCTACAATCTTGTAAATAGCAACAAGGAGTTACCTGGGGAGTTGAGAACTTCCAGAGTGATGGCCAAAGACTCGCAAGCTGCTTTGAAGGCGTCGCCGTACTGAAATGATTTTTTCATCGACGCACAGGAATATATATCGAATTCACCTCGGAAACTTGCTCTTCGGGCAAAAACTCTTCCACGCCGTCGACTGTTTGCTTCATCTTGACTTTTTGGCTCTAGTTGGGCTTTACTGAAACCGTTTTTATAAACTATAGAGTGAGGGGTTAAGGCGTCGATTTTAGGGACATTAAAATTAGGTAAATTAGGAAAAATTTTTTTACTGAGAATGATTATTTATCACAAGTTTTTATAGCGTCACGCTGATATGAAAGAAATTTGAATAACTCCTCAGATTTCTCGACTTTTAACATTTTTTCTGATTATAGTTAATATATAGCCTGTGTACCACGACTTGGAATTTCACGGAACGACGTTTCGCTGTGCCGCTGCGCGTCTTTGCGAACCTTGGTCGCGCTTTTAATTTTTAATTATTGAGGTTCTCTACTTTCATGTGCTCCCACATCAAGAACAATAAAATGAAAGCGTGACCTAGATTCGAAAAACGCTTCGCGAACGCACGCAGCGGAACAACGGAATGTCGTTTGGTCAAATTTCAAGTCGTAGCACACAGACTAAATGTTTAGATGTTTTCGAAGATTTTTTTTTGAATTAGTTAATCTCACTCTGTGACTGGTACGCGTTTTTTAAATTTATAACACAACCAAGATGTTTCAATACAAAAAATCAAGCTGAAAAAGAAGATGAAAATAGAGCGAATTTTGTGGAGTCAAAAATTTTTTCATTAGAAAGGTTCTGTGGTCGGCAGTCTCTTACACTGACCATCAGAGAACTTTTTTCTTGAGAGTTGTTCGAGAAAAAATGATAGAGAAAGGCGACAATGCGAGTTCTGATTAAAACTAGATGTAAAGGTTTTTGCGACTGTGAAGGCTCATATCAGTGACCCGATTGCGTTTTCTGATTGGCTTCGCTCAACGTGCTATCAAATGAATGGTTGCATGGTTAGACATTTTTAACTCGAAAAAGGGCTGATTTTTTTGAATCGATTGAGAGAGAGAAACATTTGGCGAGAATAGGAGAAATTGGCGCTGGAATCTGGTCTACGAAAGTCTGTCACACTTGTCTATTATTTGAAAAAAAAAATGGAGAAATCAATTTTTTCTCTTTTTAGCGTGTGAAGTTTGCATCACTGTATAAGCTCACTAGGGAACCTTTTGATCACAGAACAAGTAACAAATTTCTCGCAATAGATCTTTTTTCGAGTTTCGGAGCTTCAAAATCCGCAAAATAAGCAAATTATGACAAAAAAGCGCTGTTTCAAGCTTTTGAAACGTACTAACTCGATCACCAGATCTATTGCGAGAATTTTTTTTCTCTTTTCCTGCAATCAGGAGGTCCTAAAGTACCTTTCAGCAAAGTTTCATCAAAATTTCGACCGGGGGAATGTTCTTTAGTTAGCTTATTTTTTTATTGAAAAGTCAAGCTTTTTAGTTTTTCTTTTGGTAAAAAAATTTCAAAATCTATAAAATACATTATTCAAAAGTTGGGATCGATGAGAACGACATTTTTATTGTTAACATGGTCACTATTTTTCTGTCTCTTTTTTTTGTAGAATTGAAAATCTCAAAGATATTCAGATCAAAAGAAAGATGTTAATCAGTTGTGAATGATTTTTCTAACTTTAAGCGAAAAAGCTTGCTGTTTCGCCAAAAGGTCGAAATTTTTGGTGGGGCTAAAGGGAGCGGCTTTTCAAGTTATAGTGAATTTTAGAGCTGAAATCTGAATAGACATTCAAAATCTGTTCAAAAAATGTGTTGTCAAGGTAACTTCAACTTCCAAAACACCTGTTGGCATTAAACTTTCTGGAGCCATGTTTTTTTCCAATTTTTTGTTGATTCAAAGGCAAATAGGAAAACAATAGTGAATGATCTTGTGTTTGTCTTGACATCGATACGAAGAAAGACCATCCAGTTCTGAGGCAACTTCGGACATTTTGCTCGGGCTTCGTGGCTTTGAAACAGAAGAATCTCTTCAATCGGGGTTATTTTACAAGCACTCAACTTTTCCATTGTGCTTCCGGGTTTTTTTTTGTCCGTTTTTTCGGTCTAGGCCTAATTAGGAGGTAGGTGCTGCTGGAGAACACGTGTCCGTCAACCGAGACGGAGATTTGGCGCACTTGATGAGCCGCGTCGATTAATCGGATGACGAGTTGATTGGCCACCCAATTCTCCGCTCATATGCGTTCCCACTTCACCAATAATTCGCGTGTTTGTTGGTTCAAGGCCTCAGGCGAGTCTAATTCCATTTGGCACGAGCTCCAGAGCTCGTCGAGCCCTTCCCGTCTATCAGCTCGATGGCCTCCTTTTGAGTCATCTGGGGTCAGTCTTCGTTCCTTATCAGTCTGTCGGCACGGACGAGTTTGCTCACGTTCTGACAAGCTCTGTCAAGGCTGCACTTTTGGCAAGAAAGATTGTTCCAACTTGTCTTTCGTGCTTTTTCTTAGGAATCTCATTAATTAATATTGCTTCTCCAGCTTTCTGTGAGCCACATTTGTGACCTCTATTGCGAATACTCCTCGACTTGCTGGGAAAACAAGTCAACGGGACTAACTAGGGAACTACTCGGACTCGGGTACGGGTTTCGAATTGAAACTTTAGTAGTTCATAGATCCAAGTCAGAACACTTGAAAAAAAGAGAGAACTGAGAAAAAATTAGTAGAAAATGTGAAAATTAGGCCTGAAAATTTTCAGAACACTGCTTTTTGCCTTATTTTATATTTTAATACAATCGCCTTGGATGAACCGGCTATGATACACTCTAAAAAAAACTTTTTTCCAGCCAAAAAAGGAGGAAAGCAAAAGTTTGATAATTTTCAAGCCTAAACTGTTCATTTTCAAAAAGCTTTTTCTCAGAAGCCTATGGGATTCAGCAGATAATCTCTCTTGTTTCCAAGTACTCTTACCCGGGTCTATAAGCCACCAAAGTTTCCACTCAAAACGCGTACCCGAGTCCGAGTAGTTCCCTAGTAAGAAGGAAGTCCACTGGTATTGAAGGTGGCGAGGAAGCGAAAAATAGAAACTAAAAACCAAAATGGATGGTTCCGAAAAATCTTTTTCGGAAACAAAAGCCTTTGAATAGAATGAATAAAAAATAACACGTTTAACCATGCTATAACTGAAAAAAGAGTATAAAAAAATGTCACGTGTTGAGACGAAACATCCTGAAAAAAGAAGACTCAAAAAGAAACACGAAAGCGAAAAAATCCAATATTTTTTCATTGACTTTGCCCGTGGAGCATATATTATGTACCAATTAAAGCGTACTGAGGCATACCCTATATGGAATGAATTCTGCCTGAGAGCCATCTGTAGAAATGTGAGCACAACTCTCAACTTTCCGGGTGTTCAGTCTTTTCCCGCGTTCTCCATGCGCCGCTGAGTTTTTTTTTCCCCTCGCAAGTATGGATTTTGAGCTCGAACTCGCGATGAGGAGCTCATCGAACGAACCCCAGCAAGACACACGAGTCCTTCTCAGGAAAAGGAGACGAGAAAAGACGCCTCTCGGACTGACACGCGTCGACGCGTGCCTCGTTAACCGTCCAAATCTCCATAAAACCTTCAATTCCTGACGCACCAAGATATAATCTCTTGTCCTCTCTACCTTGGCTCGAGAACGGGAGCTTTTTAACCACTTTTAGTGTATTGAGAAAAAAAAAGGGTTTCTACAAAATAACATTGCAAACTTTTCACGAGAGATTTTCCGAAATATTCCGTTCATAGGTAGGGACCGCAGACAGATTTTCAAAAAAACTTTTTCAGCATTGAGCTTTGTATGGTTTGATAGCTGTTTCGATTCAAAACTCAGAATCGTTTAGTTTTTCGAAAAAGATTGAAAATGAAAAAAGTTATGACGAAAAATGTGGCGCGCCGCGCATCATTTTTTAGTACTGAAATTTTGGTATTATCCGTTTTAGACATTTTTCTTGATTTTTCTTCTAGAACAAGTTTTGATACTTGTCTATTGTGATGTAAGAAATCATAATAGAGTGCTAAAATGGTGAGTCTTCTACCATAGGGCATCATAATCTTCAAATGGAAATTTTCATCAAATTTGAAGATTTGAACGGAAGGAAATTGTACTCGATTTCATTTCTCTTCTTCAGGAGTCGTGAGTCAGAGACGAGTAATTGAGTTTGAAGAGCACGAAAAATCGCGAGTTTTCGTATCGTCGACGACGACTTTGTCCAAAACACAATTTCCTGAGCAGATTTAAAGTCAAGACTTTTACAATTATCGTCAGTCTCTGAGCCTCACTTTTCTCTTTTCTTTTTGCGAAGAAACCGACCCCGCAAGCGCCTTGTAAGATGCCACAAGCACACGCAAGTTCCATGTTTGGCGAGCAAGTGCTCAGCCGCGCAGGTACACAAGTCGGCGGGTATGACGCCAGCCGGTAAGCACCGTGCGAAGGTAAACTCACAGGAAATTCGGTTGCTCAACACTGGATATAAGTTTGCACCACTACTGGCTTCTGTGTGTTTATATACAAAATATATAACCCTTGTAACTTTTATCCTTATTTTTTTCAAACGATGGCACCTAGGTGCTGATGGCGCAACACACCGGAAGCCGGACGACGTCTGAAAGAACGCCGAAAAAAAAACATCTGCGCCTCTTGTCGGCACAGCTTCCGTGTGTCGTCTCCTTCTTGCACAACCGACAGTCTGACCATCTCTTTTCCATGTTACCGATGGTTTTCTCTTTCACAGTCAATACCGACTAGAATGGTAGGAAATTAAGGCCGCGACGGGGTTTTCGCAGAATGTTAAGAATAGAAGCATGAACTGTACTAGGTAACTGACTTCTTTTTTTTTGCTTTTCTTTTCATTACTTTCCCGGATTATTATGTCTAGGAAAAATGCCGAACTTCTTGAATACATTTTCAACAAGATAATTAATCGGTAAATGAAGAAATCAGTGTGAAAAAAATAACTACATTTATTTTTTTGGCGGGACAAGTATTTCAAATATGTAGGGGCTTGAAAAAAATCGGCATTCCAAATAAGCCAAGTAATTCCATAAATTCCACAAGTAAGATTTTTCAAGTATTAAGTTCATACTTTAAGTTTTTTTGAAGTGTCTGGTCGGATTTTCTGGGGTTTTACTTTCAATTTTAAATTTTCGAGTTAAATTTTTGTACTAATAATTTTACCGTGCCCATATTTGAACACAAGTCTAAAAAAGTAGATGTCGTGGTTTGGTAGCGTCTTGAAGTTCAAACACTGACGAAAATTTTATTGGAAGATTTTCCAACTCCGTGCATTAATTAGCTGGTTTCTCATCTTTTCTTTGCCCCAGGCTGTTTTCCGAAGAGATTTATTTTTCTCCTCTGCCTTACATTTTTTTGGAACTTGTATAATTTTCACCAATTTTTTTTCCTTTCCAAATATATTGATCAGCCAAGGTTACTCTTTCTTTAGAAGCCCGTCAAAGTTCTCGACTTGTTGACGTCAGCCTTGACGACATCTGTCTTCGTCATTCCGCCGCTTCTCCTGTCTCCGACTGCGGGCGAGCTGCGGAACATCTGCGGTCTCCCACTGTGGAGACCTTCACGTCTTGCAGCTTCGAAAAACCCCTTCATTCTGTAAAAGTTATGGCATTCCTAGAGTCATATCTTCGGTAAAGAAAGGTCCAACTCACACGGGAAGTGCGAAAGGTCGAGGTATTGGAACTCGATGAAACTTTGTATATAGGTACTTTCGAACACCCTGAGTCCAAAAAAGTTCAAAAAAGGTGCGCCTTTTTGGTTCTAGTCAAGTTATGGCGCCTCAAAGTTTGCACGCAAAAAACGCATTAGATGGAAGGAGGGAATGTGTTGCGGCGGCTAACACCAGCTGCAGCAGGCAGCTTGGTGTAGTGGCTAGCGGCTTTGCGCTGTGGAACCAATGATCCAGGTTCGAATCCTTTTTGTTGCAACTTATTTTTGCCATTTTTTCTTGGAAAAAATGATGAAGTTTTAAAAATGGGATGAATAAGAAACGCTCAAAATGTTGAAATTCACTTTTTTATGTCTTTTCGAGCAAGATTCTCCACAAAAAAATGTTTTGGTTCTGTAGTTTCACGTACAAACCCTCTCGAAAAAAAGAATAAGGCGTTCCTAGGGACCGCAAAGCCACGCCCCTTTTCGCGATAGAAAAAGTGGCTTTTTTTTGGTTTTCAACTTTCATTTTGATGTAGTTGTAAAATATGTGGAACTGGCAAATAAAATTTGACACACTTGTACAGAAAAAGCTTCCTCTTTCGTTTAAAAAAATATTTCACGCTTTTTTTGATGCGTTCGCGCGGAATGTCGTACAAAAAAACGTGAATGGAACTAAAAAAATTTTGTCGTTTTTTTGCTTTTTTTCATGTGTTTTCAGGTCGAACGCACTCTTTCTTTTTTTAAATAATGATTTTTGATTCAAGTAACGGTAATTTTAAAACAATAAAATAAAAAAATTCGTCTTTGCCAAAAAAATTTTTAGGGAGTGCCGAAAGTCGTAATTCAAAAATATCGTTAATATGCGAATATAATCGAGTTTTTTTCTTTTTTTCAAAATTTAGATCACGGGCTTACTTAAATATTTCTCCACAGAATATGTGCTTGAAAAAAAGTTGTTTAATACGCAAAAAAATGCTCTTGAAACTAGAGGATAAAATTAGCGGCGTTTATCACACAGAAAGCGGTCGAACGCAGGTTTTTTTAAACGATTATATACATTTATTAGTAAAAAAATCTTTCAATTAAAAAGAATAAAATAAAAAAATTCGTCTTTGCCAAAAAAATTTACGGGGCCGTTTTTAATGCAGCGATCGTTAAACGAGGCAAAAAAAGCACTAAAAAAACAGTTTTTTTCGAAGTGAATTTCCACGAACCGTTTGAGTAAAGATTTGCAAACATATTCTGATAAAAAAATAGCTAAATTACTTCAAGTTTTTTTCTTTTTGAAATAGACAATCTGTGCTATTCAAACGGCTCAAGGGTATGGCGGATGGAAGCTCCCCGCGTTGGACCTAACAGCTTGGCGCAACGCGTGCGCTCCGATTTTTACATTTTGAGGTAGCGAGTTCGATGCCCGCAAGCGGCAGTTTTTTTGTTTTTCTGGAAAATACCGACTTTTTTTCGACAAACTAGCTGATTAGCATCATTTTAGCACTCTAGTATGATTTGTTACATCATAATAGACCAGTATCAAAATTTGTTCTAGAAGAAAAATCGAAAAAAATGTCAAAAATGGATAATACCAAAATTTCAGTACTAAAAAAATGGTGCGCGGCGCGCCACCTTTTCCGTCATAACTTTTTTCATCCTCAATCTTTTTTGAAAAACTAAACGGTTCTGAGTTTTGAATCGAAACAGCTATCGAACCATACAAAGCTCAATGCTGAAAAAAATTTTTTGAAAATTCGTCTGCGGTCCCTAGGCGTTCCTCCCAAAATATAACATGCCGAGGAACACCTCTGAGAGCAGGATTTATGGGTCGCGATAAGCATCTCCAGACCATAATAGGTTTACGAGCCACGCATGCGCTCTCAGTTTTACAGCTCCTCTCGGTTTCGTGCCATGGTTTTCTGAAAACAACGACGATCACCTGCTGCAATAATTGACTTGATCGACGGACAAGAAAGTGGGCGGAAACCTGTTGTCTTCTGTCCCTCTGGCCGCCCCTCTGATAATTGATTGCGACAATATCGATTAGAGTCTGTACGCGACGTCTTCTTCTTCTTCTTCTTCTTCTTCTGCCGTAGTTCGGATTTGCTGTCCAGATGGACGGCCTGTGTTGACACGGCTCGTCCATCGCTCATGCGCCTGTCTCAACTCCCAGGTGTCGGATCAAAGGCTCATTTTGCACCGATTCTGTTAGCGAAGCTATAAAGGGCTTTATCCCAATATATTGTTATTTTCCCCAGCTGGATAACCTTGCATACAAGGATTGACTATATGTCTCGATTCAAACCAAATCATTGAGTGGTTCTTCAAGTGTTGCTCCGAAAACTTGCTTGAACTCGACAAAATTTTCATTCTGTGTTTTGAGACATCTATTGTGGGAAATATTTCCGACGTTCTACAAAACATATTTTATCTAAAATGACCTTTTGAGTTATTAATTTTTGTGCCGAAGCCACTTGACTCTTTTTTTCGTTTCAGAATATTCGGGATGCGTTTTTTGAGATACCGTCAAGAGTTTTTCCATTCAAAAAATGTTTTGGGACTTCATGCGATGAACTTTTCTGAAAAAGGCATTTCGTGTGATAAATCTTTTGGCAAAAACGATTCCGTTCCTATTTCCTTTTCAATAGGTTCATTGTGCGTTGGAACATATTCAAGTTAATCTAAAAGTTCGAGAAGGCCTTGAAAAACACAATTCAACGATATGTTTTCATCCAGTAAATGCACAAAAATCGGCTCTCACTGTCGCGCCACCATTGCAATAAACCGCGTCCCCATTGCATAGAGCCTCGCCCAATGACCACACCTGCCGCCTGTTTGGGAACACTGTGAAATTGAGATACTCCTTCTACTCGATAATTTTATCTTCTGTATCTTTTTGGGGAACAGAAAATTTTTGATAAAATACAAAAACACGGTTCTTAACGTGTCATTTAGATCCATATCAAATTCTTCTTTAGTAAAAGTTTTTTTCAATGGACCAGGTTCATTCAGATCATTTCTTTGATTAGGCTGAAGAAAAATTCAAAAAATGAGAAACCAACGTCTTCCCAGTTTTATGAACTTCCATTGGACATCTGCTTAACAAGATGCTAATCATGGGGTCCGGAAATCCGCAGCGTTCTGTCCTTTTTTGTGCGTCACAAAACAGATCTAGGGGGAGGTTGATTGAGACGGGGCACACAGCCAATTTTCCAAAATAACGCTCATCCTCCTAGTCTGCTATTACCGTAATTTCGTGTCGTCGCGTCTCAAATTCGCCATTCTGCTGTTTTTTTCTGCTCTATGGATTTCTCCTAATTGAATCTTCATTGGGAAAATTTCGAAAAGTTTATAGGAAAAAAAAAATATTCTTTCATTTATTTTGCTTTTTTCGAAGCTGAAACTGCATCATTGCGGGTATAGCCTGTGTACCACGACTTGGAATTTCATCAAACGACATTTCGCTGTGCCGCTGCGCGCCTTTGCGAAAATTGGTCGCGCTTATAATATTTTTTTCTTTTATCAAGGTAATCTACTTTCCTGTGCTCCCACAGCAATAATAATCAATTGAAAGCGTGACCTAGATTCGAAAAACGCTTCGCGAACGCACGCAGCGGAACAGCGGAATGTCGTTCGGTGAAATTTCAAGTCGTGGCACACAGACTATAAAAAATGACGAAAAAATCAAAAAATTACGCCTCGAAATGATCTATTTGGAACAAAGAACTAATTAACTTTGAAGTTTGAACGTTTGATGAGATACATTTTTCTTTGATCATGTATAATTACTTATAAGCAGGATATTATAGGAACCGCCTGTGACGCAACTCTCGGCAACCCTTTGCATCTCGAACCGTTGCTCAATTATCTTGCAAGTGTCTTTTTTTTCTGAAAAAGGTTCTCCATCGAACCAATTAATTATCCTGTCGGCGGGTCCCTCGACCGTCGGTTGTGTTCTCAATTAGGAAACCCAGCCTTTCCTGCGACTGTTTTTTGTTTTTTTCTGTGAACCTTCACGATTGCGAAACTTTCGGATGCAGTGAAGTTTCGAAATTCGAAGTTACATAGTTTTTTTGAAATTTAATCGATTGATATATAGTAGCGTTCAAATTGCTTCCCTTCGTTTGGGCGCCGACGCGGATTCGTCAGCAATCGACTCATTTGCCAGCCGCCATTTCTGGCTCTCAATTTTTGCGACATTTCTCTTTCTTTCGCCCTACCGTATTGTCTACATGATTTTGAATACAACTCGGACATTGGTAACGCGAAAGTTTCTGGGCGATTCTAGGGATCATTCAAGAGTTCTGACGCTGCTAAATTGGTCACTAGAAATGCCCAGAAACGTCCGTTTCGCTCTAGCAATTTCCGAGGGAGTGGAGGTTCAGTGGTTCAGAAGGTAGATATCTACTTTTTTGGCTCTTATTCTGCTCAGAACTGTTAATAGCTTTCCTCCAAGATGAACAGTATTTCGAACATTGAACTTTTGAAATTTCTGAGGCACAATGCGATTGCTTTTTTCCTCATTTTCAAACGAATTACTTTCCTGATGAACCCTTGAAAATACGGCCTGAAATGACAAGTACCGGAATGGGTGTGTGGCAAGCCTCGCCAGATGTTTGACATGGAAACGAAATCCTGTGGAATGTCAGGGATTAGTGAGCGAAATAATAAAGGGATTAGGCATAAACTTGCGTTTCGCGATTGTCGCTCTCGAGATGACACCTTTTTGTTGATTTCTAAGATGTTGGGACAGAAAAAGGATGCCTGCCCAGAGTTTTCACGGGTTTCTTTAGGACTGGTTTTTCAAAAGAATAAACTTCAGACTTAGTATTATTCTTGTTTTTCTGCTCGTCACTTGGCTCAAACTAAACCTTTTGTTAAAAATTAAAGTTATTAGAATATCTGGAAAAACCATCTGATAAAATAAAAATGGCAATGATACGGTGAGATAGCACTATCCAGAAGTAGCTTGCGGTAATCACCCTCCCCCCTTCCTCCTATCAAACCAATATTCACCATCAATGCAATATTTATTCAAGGAAGACAAACCAAATTTATAAGTTTCAATAATAATTTGAAGAGGGGATGATAATCTTCGCTCATCCGAGACCTAACCACCTCTCTTGAACAGAAGAACTCCCTGCCCTTCTCTCCTTAAAATAGTGTTTTTTCTGACTTCCCAGCCGTGGAAAACCAAGCTGGCACTAACCAAGGAACAGTCGTCGGAGACGTCCGCGGAGATGGGCGGTCCTAGAAAGGCCGGCCCCGCCCTCAACTATGACGAGCCGGTCTCACTTCGCAGGATGGTGTTGCTTTGTTTGCTTCTGTATATTTGCTCATCTTCTTTGAAATTCATAGTTGTCTCAATTTTTCGGATTATCAATGTATTTTGATTCATTGGGTCAAGTTTTTCTTCGAATCTTTTTGCAGTTTCCGATTCAGGAACAGAACCATTTTTTAAAGTCATTTTTCTTCGTTTCTTGTTGGAGGACGCGAACGGAGGCTTTGGCCTTTGGAGAGAAGATAAAAATCTGGAAGACATGTCGTCCGTTCGCGTTCTACATTATTCTCTTGGAGTTGTCCCGCGGGACTGGCGGCTGGCTTTCACTCACTTCCGATCACATGGCTCGAATCGTTTTAAATTTCAAGTTTGGTTTTATCAGCTGTCCAGTTCTGATCGGAAAATTTTTCTTAGATAGTCTAGGATTTGGTTCAGTCAAAAATAGAGTTGACAGAGGGGAAAAAATCCGTTCGCGCTCTACCTAATTGTTCCTTTTTTGACAGCTCAGAATCCGAAATTCGGTCATTTTCTACGTTTTTTTTTTCGAATACTGAAGATCTGAACACTTTGAACACTTTATTCATTCAGAGGAAACTGAAAAATATCATTTACTCATATGGGATTTTCATATATTATATATACTTTCCTTGATTTTTCATATGCATAACTGCTGCTCTGATTATTAAAGTTTGGAGAGCAACTTCGAAAAAAAAATTGAAGAATTTTAAATCCAATGATTCAGTGTAACTCACTACCTACCATTTTTTTTTCTTTTTCTCAAACCCATTTTCCGTGATTTTTCTCACTTCTTTTCGTAGTTTTCACACTTCCAGACCTTCAACGTCTGCTTTCCTATTCTCTTGGGATATACTCTTTTATCTCTCGTTTTCAGCTTTAGCTTCATCATAAGCACTGAAAAGTTCATCTTGCCATGTCTTAAAGATTTCTTCTGTTGATTTTTCTTCTGCCTGTGTCGCAAATATAGTCTCCGTTTACTTTCAATGACGTGGGGGGCCACAGTCAGGACTGTCTTTTTATAGTTGTCTTCCTGGCTTGCCAATATAGTTTTCGAACGAACTTATTATTGCCTTTTCTGTTCCTGATCGACAATTTTTAGAAAGAATATTTTTCAAAAAAATGTTATTTTCAGACCCAGAAATGCGGCGGAAAGAGTTAACATGGATATTCCTTCTTCTGATCGGACTTTCGGCGGCTTGTCAGCACGGCTGTCAGTGTTCCAACTTCGTGGCAGTATGTCGAGGTGCGAAAATTGACGATTCCGAAACAAAAGTTCCGATCTTTTTTTTTCAGGAGCTTCGCTGCGATCGATGCCGATTCTGCTGGACCCTCGGACCACCGTACTCGACCTCTCCGACAACAGGATAACACGGATATCTGGCGACGAGCTCGGGCTATACCCAAGTGAGTCTCTTTCTCCAAATTGGATCAGGTTCCAAATCTATAGTTCGCGCTTTTTGTGTATCTTTTTTTTTCTATGTCATCAAAATGAAGAAGAATTTTCTACAAGAAGTCATCGCGAGGATTGGGTTTCAATAAAGTTTTTGAAAAAGATTGAAAGCTCGGGTCAAAAGATTACTGGAACAGGCATGGCTTTGAACCGCAATAACTCGATTCAATCATTTATGAAATTAAAATAAAGAGATGTTCTTGAAATCAGACTATTTTCATCAAGTTCTCAGACCACGTCGCACCCTCCCTTATCAGCCTCAAATCGAGGGCGACACAAGTGGTTTTGGTCAGATGGGCAATATTGGCGTCAAGTGGTCGGAAAGATAGATGAGCAGGGGAACGGCTCCCTTTCAAAGGTTCCCAGCGTGGGGCTAACAGATTTGAGAAATCCTTCATTTGTCAGGCCTAGATAGTATCTCAAGTCGTGGGCTGCGAGAAATTCAAATTGTTTTTGAGAACGATGATCAAGTGCACCTGTCAGTGCCTGATGGGAAGAAATATTATTTGGAGACATGTCATGAATCTTCCATTCAGTCATGATCCCGACTATGGCTCATCCAGCCCCAACACAAAGGTGTGATCCCAAAATTAGAACGTCGGCGCACTGTTGGCACCTCGTTTGGTGCAATTAATTGCTCGGGCTCTTTTGATCTCGGCAGCCGAAAAAGTTCTGCAGAAAGCTGTCCCACCTGTAATTAAGCATTCCGCCGTTGTGAATTTTCCATCGGCCCATTTGTGCATTTTCAATTTTGCGCACTTCTGCTAGGCTCGGCCAGCTGGCGAAAATGAGCGAATCGGGGTTCTCTACAACTTCAAGTAGCTCGTTCGAGAGTGTTCTCTGGTAACTGGTTTTCAAAAAACACTAGATGGTTGATTATAGATATACTGATCCTAAATTATCGAGTTGTGGAACTTTTTCTCTTGATAAGACACCTTTCAAAGCCAAACCGGCCCAAACCCGACCTAATAAGAAAAATCCATCAGCCCTTACTACACCCTGTTCAATAAGGATAGGACCCCCTCGATTTAGGACTTTCTGGCAGAATACGAAAGATATCGAAAATCTGTGAGTGCGATTCGATTCAGAGTACAATAACCCGCAGAGTTAAACTTTCATTATCCTAGCACATCACAGATTTTTGATATCTTTCCGTATTTTGCCGGAGTGTATACCAAGAAAAAATTCAATCAAGCCTGTCGTTCCTCAGTTTTGATTTTGAAAAAGCCCTTTTTTTGGCGGGGGGATTGAGAACAATGTTGAGCGCACCGCCGTCCGAGCTTTCCCAGGCTCGGCGCTCAAGTTGGTCGCTAATTGCCTGAAGGGCTCGGAAATGAGGAAAGGCCTATCAAACACTTGAGTCGGCTCCACCGTTCTAATGGACTCGTCGCAATTTCGACAATTAGGAATGTTTCGGAAAGCCGATTTCATTGTTTCTCCTATGAGACTTCTCAGTTTGAACGAGGTGGTGTCAACTGTTAACTAGGAGGCCTTCTGTGCGAGAAAGAGGAATCATAAAACCGCAAAAGGACGTCGGTTCAACAGGCGGTCTTGGCCAGTTTCCTTGGATTATGGCCTGTTGATCTACTAAACCGTTCTCCAGCCGATAATGAGCGTGCGAAAATGGGATTTCGGGGCCGTTGTTGGTGCCAGCGGAGGTCACCTTGACATCTGAGAGAAACTCTTCCTGTTCCCATTATCTTCTTCGTTTGTCTCAGAGGAGTTTTTAATAGGATTCCTGTCAATTATTATGTATCATTACTTTCCAGATACCAGAAGACGTGGATGAAACCCAAGGAAAAATGCTAGGGAACATTTTGAGAAGTAGATATTTTTTCTTACATGAATTTTTTGCGTCAGTTAACATTCAGATGGTAACAGGTTTAATCTAAACCTAGGAAGAAGAAAAAATAAGACGGTCCGGGTTAATCTGCCAAAACGTAACGTCGTCGGCCAAAAGAACAGGCCGAAGAACCTTGAGTGGCACTTATTTAGGCGAATCTCCGGGATTTGCGTCCTTTTCTCCTATGATTTACTGCGCACAATGGAAAGACGGAACGGGCTGTTTGTCGCCATTATTTGTTCGTACCTTCTTCAGGCTGGAATAATGATTAAGTTGACGGTGGAAAAGAAAAATGATTTGCGTTTTTCCCAACGGGCTTCCAAATCTTGCACGGCTCAATCAATTCATCAAAATTCTTAATTTCCATGTAACATATCCAATTAAAGCCACGAACAGAGAGGCGGTTGGCCTGTTTGATTGAGAAGAGGACGGGCGGTTGCACAACTGCAGGTGCCGTCGCCGTCAGCCTGTCACGGCTTCTGTCGCGTGGGTCAAACTGCGAATGTATAATTAACACTCGCGTCACGCAGCGTTCTTCCATGCATTGTTCCTTTCTTGGCAGCCAAATGTCTTCCGAGAGCCAACAGCGCTATTTTTCAAAACTTATCAAATCGTCGGCCGGCAAACAAGCCGAATATATTCACTTGGGAGACCTCGAGACGAACCATTTTGGGCGACGAACGTACGAACATTCATCATCTTTTCGCGATCGCTGAACCTTTGCTGAACTCTTACTCGTTGGAAAAAAGTTTCTGGGATTTTATAGCCAATCCTGCTTGACTAGAAAGGCGAGATGGGTAGATTGGCAAGGGTGAAGCGTTGCGTATGCGACGCGGCTTTTTTGGCGGAAAAAACGAGGAAAAACGCAAGAATTTCATGCTTTTTGTACTTTTATTCCTTCAACGGAATCTATTCAAGATCAAAAAGTTTTGAAAGTTACCGAAAAACTGTCAAAAAGGGAGAAGCCGCGTCGCGTACGCAACGCTTCACTCTCAGTCGGGATAAAATTGACTATATGTCACAGTTTGATTGAAAACCGGATAAATGTAGAACCTTTCCAATGATTCAATTTTGTAGCTTATAGAAATGTAATCCCAGTAAAATAAGAACATTTTTCAGATCTCGAGAGGTTGATCCTGCGCAACAATTCTCTGACACACTTGCGAGAAGACGTGTTCGCGGCGGCGACGTCGCTTCGCGTACTTGACCTCTCGTCGAACAGCTTGCTCTCGCTGCCCAACAGCCTCTTCCAGAAGCTCCGCAACCTTGAAGTTTGTCCATATGTCGATTAAACCAAACAGGCCCGAGCTGTTGCCTCTCTTTTTGATTTCTTCCAAGTCTGCCTTTTTTCAACAACCCAACAGATGAAATTTCTTATCGCTTATCAAAATAGCGGAAAATCTCACGATCCGCTCAAAATACGACGAGGATCCAAACTGGTTGAAAAATTTTCTCTGAATGCTGAACATTAAATATGTGTATGTTAAAATTTATATCGGAAGTTAGATTCTAAAATTCAAACGAAGTTCAAACGGATTTTTACAGTAATCAAATCGGATTCAGGAGCTCGTGATAGCTTCGAACGACGTGCAGCTGGGCTCCGAGTCCTTCGCCGGTCTGAGCTCCCTGATGCGGCTTTCTCTGGCCGACAACCGACTCTCGTTCCTGCCGCCGGCCGTGTTCCGGCCGCTCAAGTCTCTAAAGGACCTCGACGTCTCCGCCAACAAGCTCCTCGACATGCCGGCGTCGTTGTTGACCGCCGTCCCAGGCCTGACCAGACTCGATCTTCGAAGAAACCTGCTTTCTAAGGTACGACATTTTCATAAGTTTGTCCCTCCTAAGAAAATACAGTGAACCGAATTATAAACTCGAGACAGTGGGTGCTCTCTTAGAAAAAAATTTGAGAAAAAAAGTTTTTTAAATAAGAATCCTGAAAATATCTCTCAAAAAACAAAAAAAAATTTTATTTCCATAAAATCTCACTCAGTTTGATCATATGACGTCAGTAGTGAAGACAAAATTTTTTAGCCATTTCCGATTGCCGTAGCCGGGTTACGGTAGGCAACTAGTCGCCAATTTTTCTTACATTTCCATCTACCAGAAACATGTCCGAATATTCAGTTTGAAATCAATTTTGAAATCAATTCCAAAGAGTTCCTACCAAACCTTAACCCAAACAAATGAAACACTATCTTGTCGGTAAAGGACAAAAACGGCAGCTGGAGCCGTTCCGAATGAATTATCGAGCCGATTTTTATTGTCTGCGGTGTATAAATTAGATGTGTTGCAGCTGGAGACAGGCATGTTCGCCGCCCAGAAAGAGCTCAAGTGGCTCGACCTCTCCGAAAACCTCGTCGGCGACATCGAAGAAGGAGCCTTCTATGGACTCGAGCAGCTCCAAACGCTCAATCTCACCTCCAACCAGGTACCTAGTTTTGGAGTTCTCTCAAACTCTTTGTCCTTTGCAGCTTGTACGGCTTCCTGGGAACAGTTGGCCTCTTCCTCATCTACGAGTCCTGGACATTTCTTCCAACCTTTTCGTTTCGTTGGAAACGGCGTCCTTCGATTCTCTTCCCAATTTGAAATACCTCAACATTTCAAGCTCGAGAAACTTGAAATCTGTGCAGGTTAGCTTTTTAGTTGGATGTTTCTTTAAGTTTGTTTTATTTCTGCGCCGTTTTTTCCAGCTTATTCAAACCAGTGCGTACCAGGTCATTTGTCATGTTTTTGCGACTTCATTCTCTCCAAAAATGATAATTATTATGCGCTTTCAAGTATATTGTCGGAATAACATGTTATATAGTCTTTGTACCACGACTTGAAATTTCACCGAACGACATTCCGCTGTTCCACAGCGTACGTTCGCGAAGCGTCTTTCGAATCAGAAGTTTGTATCACGCTTTCAATCGATTTTTATTGCTGTGGGAGCAAAAAAAAAAGTAGGGTGCCTTAATAAAAGAAAAAAAAAATTAAAAGCGCGACCAAGGTTCGCAAAGGCGCGCAGCGGCACAGCGGAATGTCGTTCCGTGAAATTTCAAGTCGTGACACACAGACTATAGCTCAACTTATTTTTTTTTCCTAACCACATGAGTCCTCAAAAATCTTCATTTTTTTCTTTCAGATGGCGGCTTTTGTCTCTTTGGCGTCTCTTGAATGGCTCTCGCTGAGGTCATCGGCCCTGACGCGACTTCATGCCTCCAGCTTCACTCCTCATCCTCCCCTCGTGTTCTTCGATCTGTCGAACAACCAGCTCAAGACTCTGCCCATTGGAATGCTCCCCTACGAGAAGATTGCGACGCAGAAGCTGGGCGACAACCCGTGGACCTGCGATTGCGCGTTCCGATCGCTGCGACTCCGACCAGCGGACAGCGTCGTATGTCTCTCGCCAGAGAACTTGGACGGCGTCGCCTTAGAAGACCTCGGAGAGTGCGTACTGTTCGGCGGTTTACTCATACCGATAGTTCTGACCCTGGCAGTACTGCTGCTTGCGGTGGTCGTGCTCCTACTGGCCTGCAAGCGACCTGCGACGAGCAAGTCGAGAGCCTTCTACAACGACGCTTCTCTGATCAACGTCCTTTCTCACAAGGAGTACACGTTTGACCGGTCATCGACACCTTACACGCAGTCGGAGGACTCCTCTGACTCCGCCTACGAGAGTCCGACTTCGGTACTCGTGCCACGTAGACCTCCGCCCTCCGCTCCGCCCAAGATGACGTCAGCCAGGATGGACGGGAGTCTGCCGGCCATGATCCCTTCATCACATTCCAACAATTACCACGACGCCTATTTGATTCCCACCAGCCAGTGTGTCGTTCCAATGACTCGACTTTAAAAATCTTCTCTTTTTTTGTTGTATTTTTTCTCCAAAACTTGAAACAGTCTGATCTCTCCGCGTTCTTCTGTTCAAATGCTATTTTTTCTTCTCGCCAAGGAGACAAAAGAAAGCGCAGACAAGTCAGACTTTTTCGAGTCGTGGCGAATACGCTGTAGTAGATAATACTTGCCCTTAATCTGGTGTTCAAAGTCTTTTTGTTCAAACATTCCTGCTCAAAAACGGGTCTCAGCCGCTGTGTCATTTTCGCAAGCCATTCTTTCTTTGAAAAGTCTGTCTTCGATCATCATACGAGTTCTTTTTTCATGTTAATAAAATTGAATACAAACTTCGAAAAAGCAAAGCAACAGAAAGAAGGGCAAAATTGATACGACAAGTCTTTGGCAAATCTTCAAGCTTGTTCCACCGCCCCGTCATTGGTCTTTAGTTTGGTCCATTCGTCCGGGTAGAAATCCTCTTCTCGAAGTTCGTATTTAACCAGAAGACGTTCCATTTATCACAAAAGAGACTGAAGAAATTATTACCAAATCGTCTGTCTCTCGAATGTCACGATAGAAGACGTTTGAAGAGTTTTTCGAAAGAAATGCCATCCACCAGCCAAAAGTCGAGGACGGAGCTAAACGGGAAATTTAAAAAAATGCGAATCGGTTCACCTGTGAGAAGAAAAGCATCACAATGGACCTGAGCCAAAATGAGATCCTCCAAGAAATCAGAAGCCGCCGTTGTCGTCACGGTGACTTTTTCGGGCGACAAGGACATCCCGGGAATGACTTCTTTTCTCACCCAAGAAGGATCGTTGTTGAAAATGATAACGTGCACATTTCTTCTCTGGACTGTAAAATTCAAAAGTACGAGGAGAAAAGTTATTTCGATGAAAAACCCGATGAGAAGTTTGCAAGTTAAAGGCATAGGGGCAGTAAAAAATGGGGTTTCAGGTGAAAGCAGTATCTTATATAGTTTTTCTTTGCGAATCGAATGGTGTACTCAAAACAATTACAGGTGTGACAACTTTAGAAGAAAAACGCGATTTTACTTTCCCGCCTTTAATTTTGAAAAAAGCTTTGGATCGGTATGCAGACAACTGTTTACAGTAGCCGTGCACGCGACGTTGCGGACGTCTCGTTAGACTCACGTTTTGTGATAAATAACCGGATTTCTGCTTAAAATTAGGGGTTTCTTCTCTGAAAAATCGATTAAGAAAACAGAAAACACACATTGATAATAAACAAAACACAAAATATCGCAATCTCAATCGAAACCTGTGTAAAATCATCATTTTTCACCAGAAAAGCATTTTTGCGATCAAAGTTTGCAATTTATACATTAATAGAAAGCTTTTGTGACGAAAAGAACTTAGGTGACAACAGAAAAAAATTGAAAATTGAAAGAAACGAAGAAAAAAGCGAAAATCCGGAAGATGGCGAAACCTGTTGTCCATAGAGCAACTTTACTGCAAAGCGCCCTTTTTGCGGGAACTCAAACTTTTCTCTCTCCGACTTTGAATTTTTTTTTCTTCAAAACTAGGAACTTCTGTACGTTTCCAAGTTCACCGTTCGATTCACAATGAAAAACTCTACAAAATACTGCTTTGAACTGAAACACCGTTTTATACTGCCCCTATGCCTTTAAGCGACCTCACAAGTGATTAAGCATAGGGGCCATAAAAAAAACGGTGTTTCAGTTCAAAGCAGTACTTTGTAGAGTCTCACGGTAAACTTAGAAACGTACCGAACCTCCTAGTTTTGAAGGAAACATAATTCAAATTCGGAGAGAGGAAAGTTTGAGTTTCCGCCAAAAGGGCGCTTTGCAGTAAAGTTGCTCTATGGACAGCATTCTTCGCGATTTTTCGTGCCGTGTTCAAAGTAATTTCCGCGAATTGCAAAATACCCGTTAGAGAAAGGAAAAGATCACTATATTTTGGAGAGTCAGAGATCATTTTGCATTTCGCGGAAATTACTTTGAACACGGCATCGGATCTTCGCTTTTTTCTTCGTTTCTTTCAAATTTCAATTTTTTTCTGCTGTCACCAAAGTTTTTTCTCCGTGAAGCTTTTCTACTTTTTCAAAATTTGCAAGTTTTGATTTAAAACTCTACTCTGGTGAAAAATGACAATTTTAACAGCTTTTTCTGAAAAAAAAAAATTTAAGTGGCGATTTCCTTTTTTTAGTTTTTTAAAATTTCTCTCTATCCGAACTTTTTATAAAGGTGAATAATTGTTTAGAAAGGTTTTTTTTACGAACAGTAATTGGTGAGGAAAGCGATGGCTCTGAGAAGAAAGTCCGGGTCGGACCCCTGGTGCATGGCGTCTGTCAGAAAGTCGCCTCTCCGGACGTGGCAGCAAATTCTGAGTGTACAAAAGTTAATCGTTTTCCGAAGATGAATACTTGAATGTGTTCTGTAGGCTATCCGAGAAATAGCTCCTGGCCCTTCTTTTTTGCTCCTCGCTGGGCGCCAGCATCCTACGGAGCTCGACCTCTATGTTGCGGAAATATTTAAAACTCTGAACTGTTGCCAAACTTTGACTGAGCTTCGGATCGTTTGGAAACCTGAAAATACTCTCCGTCGATGATGAGAAATTCACTGTCGTCGCAATCCATCAAGTTCACATCTTTTTTTTTTTTTTTTTTTTTTTTTTTTTTTTTTTTTTTTTTTTTTTTTTTTTTTTTTTTTTTTTTTTTTTTTTTTTTTTTTTTTTTTTTTTTTTTTTTTTTTTTTTTTTTTTTTTTTTTTTTTTTTTTTTTTTTTTTTTTTTTTTTTTTTTTTTTTTTTTTTTTTTTTTTTTTTTTTTTTTTTTTTTTTTTTTTTTTTTTTTTTTTTTTTTTTTTTTTTTTTTTTTTTTTTTTTTTTTTTTTTTTTTTTTTTTTTTTTTTTTTTTTTTTTTTTTTTTTTTTTTTTTTTTTTTTTTTTTTTTTTTTTTTTTTTTTTTTTTTTTTTTTTTTTTTTTTTTTTTTTTTTTTTTTTTTTTTTTTTTTTTTTTTTTTTTTTTTTTTTTTTTTTTTTTTTTTTTTTTTTTTTTTTTTTTTTTTTTTTTTTTTTTTTTTTTTTTTTTTTTTTTTTTTTTTTTTTTTTTTTTTTTTTTTTTTTTTTTTTTTTTTTTTTTTTTTTTTTTTTTCTGTTGAACCAAAACAAGGAAACTTTGTCGTTCTGAATATTTAAATGATACAAAATACGAGTACCTTTCAAAAAACCGCTATGCTTAGTAGTGAAACGCGGTCGGCAAGCGAGGGGAAGAACTGGCGCAGAAACGGAGCTTCGTCGCGGATCGGAGGGTCGGCCGAGTTGAGAGGAATGGTCACAGAGTGCTAAAAATGATAAAAATTTGCTAGTTTGCCGAAAAAAAGTCGGTATTTTTCCAGAAAAACAAAAAAACTGGCGCTTGCGGGCATCGAACTCGCGACCTCAAAAAGAAAATTCGCAGCGCACGCGCTGCGCCAAGCTGTTAGGTGAGGGGAGCTTCCATCCGCCATATCCTTGAGCCGTTTGAATTGCACAGATTGCCTATTTCAAAAAGAAAAACTTGAAGTGATTAAGCTGTTTTTATCAGAATATGATCGCAAATCTTTACTCAAACTTTCCGTGGAAATTCACTTTGAAAAAAACAGTTTTTTTAGTGCTTTTTTTGCCTCGTTTAACGATCGCTGCATTAAAAACGGCCCCGTAAATTTTTTTGGCAAAGACGAATTTTTTTATTTTTATTATTTTAATTGAAAGATTTCTTACTAATAAATGTATATAATCGTTTAAAAAAACCTGCGTTCGACCGCTTTCGGTGTGATAAACGCCGCTAATTTTATCCTCTAGTTTCAAGAACATTTTTTTGCGTATTAAACAACTTTTTTTCAAGCACAGATGCTGTAGAGAAATATTTAAGTAAGCCCATGATCTAAACTTAAAAAAACAAAAAAACTCGATTATATTCGCTTATTAACGATATTTTTGAATTATGACTTTCGGCACTCCCTAAAAATTTTTTTGGCAAAGACGAATTTTTTTATTTTTATTGTTTTAAAATTACCGTTACTTAAATCAAAATCATTATTTAAAAAAAGAAAGAGTGCGTTCGACCTGAAAAACACATGAAAAAAAGCAAAAAAATTGACAAAATTTTTTTAGTTCCATTCACGTTTTTTTGTACGACATTCCGCGCGAACGCATCAAAAAAAGCGTGAAATATTTTTTTAAACGAAAGAGGAAGCTTTTTCTCTACATGTGTGTCAAAATTTATTATCCAGTTCCACACATTTTGCAACTACAGCAAAATTAAAGTTGAAAACCAAAAAAAAGCCACTTTTTCTATCGCGAAAAGGGGCGTGGCTTTGCGGCCCTATCTTTATGAAGCCTTCCAGAAGCCGAAATAAATATTCAAATATTCAAATATTCAAGCCTTTATGGACCGTCGGAGGGTCCTTCCGCTTTGCCTATGTAGTTCCAAAAAAACCAAAGCAAAAATTTTTCTAAATTGAACACAAAATTCTTTCCAGACTTTCGTATAGCTCACCGATTCCAGCGGCGAAGCGTAACGACGTCATCGGAAATGTGATAAAACCTTTCGAGCTTTTCCCAGCATGATTCTTGAATCAAAATCAATTATTCTCATGAAAAAAACCATTACCTTTTCCGTTCTTTCGACTCCTGTGCAAAACTTTTTAGGCGGGAACTGTTCATAGTTGTACCTGAAAAAAAAGAGAAAGACCTTGAGCTGAGCAAAAATCTTACCATCGAGATCTGCTCCGAAGATGTACTAAAACAACTAAACTTATAATTGCTGTAAAAGGGATGATAAACTGCGAGGAATAAGGAATTCATACCAAAAAGGTAAAATGCTAGTCTACGATTAATCATCGCATAACTACGCCAAATCCTTTCGGGTTTTGTCTTAAGACCGATGAACCATGGCTTGCTGATTGCACTAGAATAAATTTTCTATAATCGAGTTTCTATTTTTAATCTCACCTAAGAGCAAAGTCGATCCCTCACTTGGAGTCTCAAAAAACTTCGACGAAACCGAAGAGTAGGTCGACGGGCAGCAAAACGTACTAGGAACGCAAGGCAAGTGATAAGGCTTGTTTGCGAACCAAAAGGCTGATTCACGAAGACCTTTCTTCCCTTCTGGAGTTCCTGCCTATTACCCACATTCATTTTTTTTTTCATCAATAGAAGGTTCTTCTTCCTTGCCAGGATATCCACGTTCCATGCTTTTTCGGTTGTTTTGGAAAAAAAAGACTTTTCCATTTTGTTCAATATTTAATTCCATATGTGTAATCTTCTGCTCCCTGTCCACAGTCCCTTCATACATAGTTCGAATTTTCACCGAAAGATTTTTTTAAATAGCATTTACTCTGATTTTTTAGATTTTTTAGTGTTAATCTTTTTCAATTTGAGTATAGAGTGTGTGCCACGACTTGAAATTTCACCCAACGACATTCCGCTGTTCCGCTGCGTGCGTTCGCGAAGCGTCTTTCTTTCGAATCAAGGTCACGCTTTCAATTGATTGTTATTGCTGTGGGAGCACAGGAAAGTAGACTAAGAGAAAAAAAAAAAATAAAAAGCGCGGCCAAGGTTCGCAAGCGGCACAGCGGAATGTCGTTTGCGGAAACTCCAAGTCGTGGTACACAGGCAGTGCACGCCTTCCCGACTTTAATTGCAAAATTAGAAAAAAAAAACTGATAAGATGATATTTCATACAAAAATTGAAAATTTAACGTATCATTTTCAGGTAAACATATATCTACTGCGTGAATTTTCACGCGGAATACAAGAACGAAAAGTCGACAAACGGTTTGCTTGGCAAGAGAAAAAGACCCTTTGTGTCCCAGGCCAGCCGTGAACACACTATGAATGTTTTCCAAATAAAATATTTTCTGTCTGTTTTCATCAAACTTTTTTTGGTGTGCAAGATTTCTATCTTGAAAATAATAATAATAATAATAGTTTATTCACTGCCATAAAAAAAACATTAGGTAGTATAGAAAAAATTATAAGTGATCAACATATGACGGGCAGAAGAATAACAATACGCGGGAAGGAGTCAACCCCAACGAGTTGACAGGTACCCGGAAGTAAGAAGAAATTTTTTACAGTAGGCGAGAAGGGATATTTTCATAAAAAGCTTGATTCGGAAGATTATTCAATTTGTTCCGAAGGGTTTCTGGGGTGACGTTAAAATCTAAATATGAAGTTAATTTGTTCCAAAGAGGAATAGTCCTAGAAAAGTAGTCTTTAGAAAACTGACCAGCTGTCCGTAGTCGAAGTGGATTTCTCTGTAACAGGGATTGAGTGAAATACTTATTGCGATCGAGACAATGATCAGAGCCACAGACAATTTTATGTAGGGTGATTATATCACAAATTTTACGGCGAATGAACAAAGGTTTGATATTAAACTGATTGAGGCGATCGGAATAAGAAGAGAAATATTCAGGTAACCTGCTGATTCATACCGGGTTCATAAGCCAGCTCCTTCAAAACGAATTCTTGTGTAGCCTTCCGAAAATTTTCCTACACTGAACCCTTCTCACAATAAAATAAAAGAAGAAAACTTGTCAAAGTCATTTTCTAATGCCGTGTTCAAAGTAATTTCCGCGAAATGCAAAATGATCTCTGACTCTCCACAATTTAGTGATCTTTTCCTTTCTCTAACGGGTATTTTGCATTTCGCGGAATCAAATTGAACACGGCATAATAAAATTTGTGGAAAAGATTGAAGTGTACTTTCCTCAAAGACTTATGAGAACTATAGATTGCAGTTGACGCTTCCGGTCTCTGAGCCGGGAGAAAATCCTCCAACGCTACGATGGGTGGTGTCGAAGAGGATAAGGGCATGGGAAAGAAGCGACGCAATTAACGCCGCTTTCCGTGGCTCCTTGTTGTCAGTCCCAACAATCGCAATCAAATCACGCAGCCTGACAAAAAACAGATCATTCTGACGTAGTTGTAGAATCTGCTCTTCCTCTTTTTATATTCTTTTTTTTCTTTTTTTTTTCGATATGTTTGAGCTTGTCATTCTTGATTCCATATAAAACTTGGGCTTTTCAAAAACTTTCTTTCCGTCAATGATGATGATAAAAACTAATGTACTCGGAAAATCTTTAGTGGCCACTATAGAGGCTCGCCACTACTTGGAGAGGACACTAAAGTCGCCATTAAACCCACCTCTATAGTGACCATTATTTTCCGTTTTATTGGCCACTATAGAGGTTTTCTATTTAGGGGCCACTTCAGTAGTTTTTATCCAGTATCCCTTTCATCCAGTATTCCTTCCAGTAACTCTGATAATTTTAAAACAAACAGATTGGACCAGTTATTGATCCATTGACCTCTAAAGTGGCCACTAAAATTTTTAGTGGTCTAATGTTAGCACTTAGACCTCTATCATGGCCTCTCTTTTTTAACCCCTTAAGTGGCTGATAAAGCACAGCTTTAGTATTTTTTTTGCCTCAGTAGTATTCCGGCTTGTTTCATGGGAAACCAGAACGGCATATGTATTTCTTCGACGGAAAAATCAAAGACAGAACTAATAATAACCCATTTCTCTTCGAGAAGAAACTTCAGTTAGCATTTTGGAGACCCTCCACATATCAAGGAGCAAAAGTCGCCGTCGAATAATTGCCACAACTTTAGCGAAGCCCCACGGGATGCCGATTTCAGAAATCCAAGACGGCGGCTGCCTCAAAAAAACGACGCTCGTCCTGAAAACAGCGCGACGTCCTGGCTGCGCTGTGAATTCCATTCCGCGCTCTTTCTGGAGCCTTTCTTCCTTCTCACCTCCATTCAGTTTTTCGAAAACCTAGGAAAGTTAAGTTTTTTAAATGGTTCTTGAAGAAGAAGAACGCCTTGTAACAAAAGAATAAAATTTTCACAAAACAAAAGGAAAATTGGGAATTCAGGGATAACAATAGAATGGAACTTCCTTTTTTTTTACTTTTTTTTTCTTTGTCTCACTAGAAGACCTATCTTGTTCTTTTTGAAAATTGCCTTCCTTTCCTGGTATTCTATAACTTTCTTTTTGAAAGCTGTTGTTTTGAGAACTGTTATTTTTCCTTTTGATTTTTCTTGTTACATATTGCAATTAATCTATGTATATTGTGCGGCAGACTGGGCCGGCCCGGCTTCAAGTAAATAATTTTTTTCATTCTAGCTGAAAAATTTTCAATGAATAAAAAATTCTTTTCACCTGTTTCATACTTTATGTTGAATTTTGAATGAAGAAAGCACAAAAACCGTGACTTTTGTGGTGTAAAATTTTTCAATTTCGACTAGAGAAGAATTCCGTTTCTGCTTGAGACCTTGCTGAGGCTGGGACGGGTAGGGTTCAGAAAATGGCTGAAAAGCCGATTGGCTGACGATCCGGTCTTCGCAAAAAGAGGACCAAACTGATCGGACCTTGGTAACGCGAGCCGGAAGCGAATCGGACTTGTCGGGGCATTTCTAGTGACCGCTTTAGTAGCTTCAGCACTATTAAGTGGTCAACGGACGCTACTGAAGTGGTAATAAAAAGTTGTAGTAACGCTACTAAAGTGTTCCCTAGGAAGACCTCCGGTCCGCGTTACCAAGGTCCTACTGAGACTTGAGCAAGGGCCAGCCCGGCCATTTTCTAAGCCCGGCTTGGCCCGGCCTTACACAGGCCTCAAACAAAAATGGTCAGTCCAGTCCGAAAAGCTCAAAGTTTCTTCAAATCGAATATCAAGTGCAATCTGCTGCCTTGAATAGGCGTCGTTGGTAGTGTCTCTTTTTCAATCTTTACCATTTCTCAAAAGAATATTTTAGAAAATTTTTCTAAACTGTTCTATATAGTTTTTCTCACAACAATTAGTTTCGCTCCGTCGATCTCGCCCAATTTTTTTGACCTTTTAGATTTTCGTAAGTTTACATTTTTAGGTAACAATTTTGGTGGTTCTCAAGATGAGCGACCTTTTCGAGGCGATTTCGATGAATCTGGGAGAGCACGTTCGAAGTTGACGCTGTTGACATGACTTTCTTCGTGCTGGCCGCTTTGCTACACGTTTGCTTCAATTTCTTGACAATGAGTTGAATTCTGAACATTTTTATAAAAACCGTGTGGTTAAAAAAAAGAAACATTTTATTTTAAAGAAGCGGACTTTTTTTACATCAACGATATAGCTGATTCACGGCTAGCTTGGGACGCTAAGGGGGCGTGTCCTGTCTGCGCTCTCCACGAGCCAGGCGCTATCTCGTGCAATCGTGTCAGGACCATTTTTCGATGGCTCAAGCCAGCCGTGAATCAGCTATAAAGAAAAGAGGAAGCAAAAAATTTAAGACGGCTAACCAAGAAGTAAATATAACATTGGGAAAGTGAAACGAGGTTATGATAATTTGGAAAAGTATATTTAAGCGAAAAATTTTGAAGAACACAAGGTGCGAAATTTTAAATGATTTTTCAGGGAGTTTAAGTCAAAAGACTTTCGTAAAGATCATCGCTTTGATTTGGGCAAGCTCTTTGAAACATACCAAGAGAGAGAGAGAGATGTACAACAATTTTGAAAGACGGCCTCCTTGAAGTATTAAACAGATATCTCAAAGTTGTGAGAAGAGAGGAAGTGGGAGGAGTAAAAGAATGGAAAGAGGCGCATCCTCACGGACAGCCGACAAGTGTTGCTGGGACCCGCAGACGCCGGAAACGCGCTAATCCATGGCGGTCGACGACGACGACGAAGAGGAGCACGCGCCGCTGCAGCCGACTCCGGCGACCTGCGACGTCGACACGTGGTCCCCGTCCTTCTCGATGGACATCGACGCCCAGCAACGCGCCGCCGACGACGAGTTCCTGCGCAGTTTCCTCGAGTCCGATGCCGAAGTCGAGTACACCTCGCTGTGGCAGGTCTTGTCAAGCTCCCCCTTACGGATTCTGCACCAGTGATTATTGATGTCTTGGCACGCACAAGGCTTCTTTTTTAATGATAATGTAACTAAACATAGCCATTTTAAGTTTATTCTCACGATAGAAATATAGTGACTGCAATAAAAAACGAATTTTTCTTTCGAAAAAGAACGTGAGATGGAGACACGCGCGCGAGTTGCATTATTAACTCCACCCATGCAACCCTGCCTCAACAGCTTTCAAGCCAAAAAAAGTTCTCAAAAATGCTCTTTTTTTTTATTTTTTCACATTTTTCGGGTGAACTTTCGGAAAATTTTGTTTTTCATTGAATCTCGTTGCCTCACTCTATAGGTTTCCTTCATTTCTCTTATTTTGCTTTTTCTGGTCTCGCTTCAACGTACGCGAAGTTTATGAAGACTCTAAGATAAAGAGCATATGACATTTTTTTTTTCGAGAAAAAAGTCGTCTCTTACCTTTCAGACACAGTTTGGAATTTATTATAATTAAAAAAAAACTTCGAAAAAGTTCTAGAGGCTTGAGAGCCAGAGTTATGTGCTCTAGGTTTACCTAATCACCCTGAGACTTGTCGATATAAGAATTCAATGGTCAAACTCAAAAACTATGAATCAAGAAAAAAAGGATCGCAGCTTTTTCCAGACAGAACAGTTTTCAGTGCATCCAGCACAACCGCAAAGCAATCGCCGTCAATGGTTTCATCATTTTATTTTTGATTGGTTGGTTTTTATACATATTTTTTCTAGCTTCAAATATTGTTTTCAGCATATACGACTTTGGGCGGGTTCGTTTTTTTGCACTTTGAGTACAACTACGCGCAATACATTCAGTACAACGAGACTCGAGAAAAAACTATTTGCATCGAGCGACTTCTCAATGGGTACCTTTTTTGTGTCCGGCTAACTTCCGTCGGTTTCCTTTTTCAAAGACCTAAGATTTTAATATCTTCCACCGCTTTAGCGACAACCGGCTGCGGCTGACGCGAGCTTCTGATGTGGCGGCGGTGATCGCCGAGCGATGTCTTAAGCAGAAGATCAAGGATGATCGCATGCAGTGGAGCTTCAAGTCGGCTGCTCTGTACTCTCTCGGCATCCTCACCACTCTCGGTTTGCCCTTTGAAGACCTTTTTTGAATCGCCTTCATTCCTGTTTACATGCTAGTTGAAATGAGCATCGACGGATTGTTATTTGAGCTCGCTCGTTTCCAAATCTTCCTTCAAAAAATTTAAACTGTCTTCCACCCTCTTTGAAGTAATTCCATGAAAAAATTGAAAAAAATTTCTAAAAAAATCATTGTGACCTTAAGGTTAAAAAATATATTGATGGTAATGAAGCAAATATTTGAAAAAAACTCTTTTTAAAAAAAGTTCACTGAGCCAAGAGAGCATATAAAAAAACAATGTGTTAGTATATACTCTAGTTGTCTTCTCTTTTTTTTTCAAAAAACAACTCTCCCAATTTAAGTTCAGTGCTTATTTAGGCTTGCCAGTTTCGGAGTTCCCTGTCCAATATTCGCACTTTCAGTTTCTAACTTGAAAAACTGTAAATTTTGAAAAAGTTTATGAGCTTGGGACAAGTTTCGTGGAGACTTTTTTCCAAGTTTCTCTTGTTCAGTCGAGCAGTTTTCTTACTGTTTTTGATATGAGAGTTCTTTTTGCAATAAAACGTTCAGCTGGAAGATCTTAGACACAATTTCGCGTTGAAGTTGTGAAGATTTGTGCGAAAGGCCCCCTGGGAGACGCGGCGGGTGCCCTTTTTTGACACTGATGCAGCGACAAGCGCGGGTTTAGGTACAACCACTTGACGCAGCTTTGTCTTCTGTTGCAACAATTGTTGGCTCCGAAAAGTGACTGCCAAATAAACAAACATTTGGTCTTGAAAGCTGTCTGACTGATGATGAGAGCCCGAGTTTTTTAAGGCTATTATTTAAAAATCAGACAAAAAAAAAAGCTTTTATGAACATTTTGACTTTATAATTTTTAGGGTACGGCAAGATAGAGCCGCAGACAATCAACGGACGTATTTTCACGGTGATATATGGATTCCTTGGCATTCCTCTCACTGTAATTCTGCTCACAAACTTCGGTCGGTATCTCGAGAAACTGGCGCATTCGCTCCGAAGAATCTTGTGTTGTCGGGTATCTGGACTTACCTAAATGAGAAGAACGTGAGATTTCAGAAGAAAAAAGCTTCCGAAGACGCAGAAACCGTGTCCGGCTCGACGCTTTTCTTCATTGTCGTTGTTTATTTGGTAGGGGAGTTATGCGAAAGAATCTCTATCTTTTCGACCGGAATGAGAAGTTTCGAAAACAAAGCAATTTGAGCTTCGTTTAGTGACCGACTTTTTTCAAAAGTTTCGCTACAGACTAACAAGGGAGGTCCTTTTAATTTGCGGCTTGTAATTCTCCACAAACTTGCTCAAACACTGTCTGAAGGTCTAGATGAAGATCCCTCATGGTCTCTTCCTGCGCAAACTTCTAGTTTTCGAAAGATGATTTTTCAAAAGTTGCGAAAATTATAGAAAAATCCAAACCGCGAAGAAATAAAGACTCACCGTTTAAGAAGAAAATCTATTAGGCTTACAAAAGATAAAAAAAGATCTTCGTATTGGTCAGAAAACGAGTCAAAAATCAATGGAGTTCAGGTCGTAGGCGCCTTGATGATACCGATGTTCAGCGGCAATTTTGACTTCTTCAACGGCATCTACTACGCATTCATTTGCCTGACAGCGATCGAGTACGGAGACATAATTCCTCAAAGGTTAGAAAGAAGGAGAGTTTCGACCTTTGGACTTCCTTTTTTAGCAACTGGCTGCTGCCGATCAGCGTATTCTACATGTGCACGGGCCTCGCCATATCCACTATTGCCTTAGGTTTCTTTTCTCTTCTGGATCTTTCACAGGTGACTTTCAGACATTGGTTCTCTGTATGTAAGGAAGCTGCACTTCATCGGGAAGAAGATCAAAAACATCGCGAACATTCGTATTTGGTTCGGCGCCAAAGAGTTTGTTCGAAGAAACTGGCGTATCCATTGTTTTGTTTAGTCTGGAAGTTCGAGAGCTGATCACGGCCGTCGGACAGAACATTGGCATCGACCAGAACGTGATGGCGGACATCGACATCGACACTCTTGTCAAAGTATGTTTTTAAACTCTTGTCAAAGTATGTTTTTAAACTCTTGTCATTCCAAGGGGCGCCCGCACTTCACAGAAGCTGTTCAATTCTTAATCAGAGGCTCATGGTTTTTTTTTTTAAAGCATAAAATTTTCTTTTTCATCTTGGAAGTCTCAGTTTGCCTTATGTTTTCCGGATTAGAACTTTTTTGAAGAACTTATTTTTCGGCTTTGATAAGTTGATTTGAAAAAAAGTTTCAATTTATGCTATTTCGAAAGAACAGATTCATAAAAAAAGTTCTTTTTATTCTTAGGAAACAAATCCTTTCAATGAGAACAATTCTCGAAAAGCTTCCAAAAAATGAAATAGCTTTGAAATCGGTTAAAACCGCTGCGAGTTAGTTTTTCAACAGTTAAATTTTTGCTCAATTAGAGAGTCCACCCTAAAACTTGTTTCACTGAAAAAGATACTGTAAAACATGGAAAAACGTACGAAAAGATTTGAAGAAATGGTGTTTACAAGAAAAAAGATGGGACTTTTCAAGGAATTTACCTCCATATTTACACTTTTCTGGTCTAGGCGGCTGGAGAGGACACTAAAACTTTGAAAATCGGGCTGTTCGAAATATTGGTTTTTTTTTTTGCTTCAGTTAAAGATTTTTAAAAGCTGTCGAAGTATGCGAACGACCGCACTTGGCGAACTTAATTCCTTCTTTTGTTAGCTTTTCACGCAGCAAAAATATTCAAGCACTTTCGATAATTCAGACAGCGATTCAAGTTAAACTGGGCCGTCTGTCTCGAGTGCCTCAGACGCACATGATCGTCGAGGGAATCTGGCCGCCAGAGCTCGTTCCCCTTTTCCTCAAGGTTTTTCTTATCAATAAAAGGATGGACTACTGACTTTTTTCAGGATGGACAGTTCCCTTTGTTCGTAGACTCGGAAGAAGATCTGACCAACCTGAAGCCCAAGAAACAGAGCGTTCGTTTCGAAGTATGATAACTTGTGAGTAGGAGCACGGAAAAGAGTTTTGAGGAGGACCTGCTGTCAGAGATTGACGACACGACTACGTTATCCGAAGCCACACGGACGCATTCTTCAAGGCTGTCTCCGGTTCCTCCACAAAGACCGGCCCGTCTAGTCCCTATCTCAGGTCAGGAAACTCAAAAGTTAACCTTTCTCTATAGCTCAAGTGCGGGAATGATTGCCATTTAGACGCTCAAGGGTTCTTAGAGTCAAAATTTCTTACTAGGAAATGGTCTCCATTCGCATTTGGACTTTGGAATGAAACTAGACTCACCAGATTTAGTTTTTCACGCTGATTTCTGGTCTCAAAAACTGTCCTCGAGGCCTGTGAAAAAGTTAGTGACCCTCAAAAGTCGAAAATTTCAGTGTCTCCGAGTCAAAGTGTTTTGTGAAATGACTATTCATTTTTCGGATCTATCAACAACTGATAGAAAAAGCGACCTTTCGCCAAGAGAAATTTTAAAATGATGTTGAATATTGAGCTATTTTGATTTATCGAATTATACGAAGGTTGGTTTTGCGGACTTTACTGAATATATAGAGGCAAAAATTGAAAAAAAAATTCGAAGTACGTAAATTGAACGTTTTTAGCAAGCGTAAAAGTCTCAGCGGATAATCTTGAATTTTTTCGAGTTTTTGACTTTTCTGTTCACTGTCAGGTCTTGTGGTGTTAGTTCGGATGAATTCAGAATCGTTACATGCGTAATAAGAATGCTCACTTCTCATTTTTGAGCTTTGTGGTAAGATCTTATGTAATAAAAATCAAAATATTGTGTCGGAAAAAGCGTTTTGAAAAACTTCTAAGTTAACACTGTAGGATTTTTTTGACACAGAAAGAGTCTCATATCGTTTCAGAAGTGAATCGGCTACAACCGAAAAATTTCTCCAAAACGTCATCTACCTTACCCTCCAATCTGTAAAACCTCTATTCTCTTTGATTTTTCAACGGTCTCATTCTTTCAAAAATGTTTTATTAAAAATTATGTCAATAAATTGCTTGAAGCCTTAAAGAAAAAAAGTACCCGAAGCAAACTGTGAGAAAAAAGAACGGCTAGGTCATGGACATGCACGTGAAAGCTTCGATTATCACAGGAGGCGGAGCTACATCTGTCATGAAAACGCCATAAAAGTCGCCGCACATGAACTGTGTTCCTGAGTACATCATCGCCACCGGGTTGCCCACCTCGTAATAAAAAGGGAAGGTACCTGCGGGGCAGGCGAAACTCATCCTGAAAAACTAAGAGTGCGTATCAACCGGTACTGGTCTGTTAAAATATATAGTCAATTTTTTCCCGACTTGAAAGACGAAGGAGGCGGGGCAAGGGGCGGGACGCGTAGCGTGTGCGTACGCGGTTCTTGGCAAGAGTTCAATTCAACAAAATTCACCGAGCTTTTTGAATAGTCGGTGGCGCTTGAACTGAACTCGTGCCAAGAACCGCGTGCCTATCACTTCTCTGTCTTCTTCGCCTTTCAAGTCATATTTGTATCTCCCATAAATGATCAGTAGACCTAGCGAAAAAACGTACAGGCATTGCATTCCTGGCTCATCCCGATTGATGGCGACGAGAGCCTGAGAACTTGTCGCGCAGGTCATCCTCGACTCGCCGTTGCAATTATCGCGGTAGGGCGACGGGCAATGGACGCACACTGTAGTGAAATTCAATTTGGAGATTCACAGAATGCAAAAAACTGTTTGATTTTTAACTTTAAAAAAAAAGTTCCGGTAATTTTCGAAACTTTGATTCACAGCTGGCTTGTACCATCAAAAAAGGTTTTGACATGATGATAAAAGAGATAGTGCCTGGTTGGTGGAGAGCGCAGACAGACCACGCCTACTTAGTGTCACAAGCTAGCCGTGAAGCAGCTATATTGTAAACGGGGTTCAGAAAACTTTTTTTTTAGCCCATCGGAAGTTTTGTCTTTCTACTTTCGGTATTTTCATTTCGTTTCATGAAAGGCCGAATGCGTCTTTCATTTTAAAATTTTTTCAGAAATCAGGCGAAAAGAAAAAAAAAAGTATGTTCGATTTCCTGACAGACGTAAACTTACCGCCACACGTGATTGCGTCGACGACTTCGCTCATGTCGTTGGAGAACATCTTCGTGCTGTCCGTGCAGGTGAAAGTCGGCATCGGGTTACTCGTCAGGAACGCTTTGTTGCCTGTTGCCTGAGTGAAGTAATAAGCGCGAGAGCCTGCGGCGCACGTCAGTTGCACTCTGAAGCGAAGACTTTCCGACAGTTGATTTGGACGTTCTTACGAGCAGCCGCCGACTCCGTCGTCGCGAGTCTGCGCCAACGTGACCATCGCCTTCGAGTCGCATACGGCAACAGCCAGACCATTGCACATTTCCCTGCAAGTTTAGTTTTTTTTTTTGATTCTCAAAATGATTTTGGAACGAATCAAACTGGTAAAGTCCAATTCAGCCAAACTTCTATAAGCATTTATAATTAGTTAAATGAGCCTAAGTTATGTTATACAGAATGGAGAAAAAGCATATCTGGATAAAAGCCAAATTGTCAGTTTGACATTTTTACAGCATTCCTAATGGGTGAGGGAAGGTGAACGAGGTGTCAAATTTTCTGAATTTACAAAAAAAAGCAAGTGCGCGCTTCGGATAAATGACGTCATTTTACGTCACAATTACCCTATTTAACGTTAATAACTCGTTTGTTCGATCGCCTTTGGCTGCGTACTTGAGATTTAAATTTTCGCGCCAAATTTTTTTTTGACGTCTTCTCACCCCTTTTGGGAACGCTGTTAAAAAAAAATCACTCAGGTCTACGTTTCATCTGTAAACTGGCTTGCTTCAGAACATCGAAAGTCATGTGATCTCGTTCTATTAACAAAAAAAAATCGTGAGTTCTTTTGGGAAAAAAAAACTACATTAGTTTTCAGGAAACCCTACGATGAGACTCTGGAAAAAAGATTTGAGCAAAAAAGCACCGAAAAACTGGTGCGAAAAAGAAAAAATTCAGACCAAGAGCTATATAATTTTGAAGAACAGTGCTTTAGGTCAACTGTTCAAAACGTACTTGTACAAGTTTTCGCTGGAGCAGAACACGCATTCATCGGCACACGTGAGGGCGTCGTAAGTGTTGCCGAGGGAATCCTTCCATGTGCCGTCGGATTCCGCGCACATCAAAGCTGGATTCGATCCTTCCGGCTGTATGACACCTGAACACGAGTCGTGAAAGAACAAGAGTGACTCAAACCTGTTCCAGAAGAGTAGAGAACGGCCCGCGTCGGGGATGGACATGTGTAGGATGTACTGGAAATTTTTTTCGCAATTTATAAGAATACTTTTTGACTCAGACCTGCAGACCATGGAGGCGGCAGTGACGGCGAATAAAGCTTCGCTCGCGGTGGGACAGGTACAGCTGCAGGTGGATAGCTCCCCATTGCAGTCCGGCATGTAGATCTCAGAACACGCCGAGCACTCTGAAACCTCGATTATTCCTCAGAACAGGAGAATCTCCAAGAGCTTCCCTATTGGGATGTCCGTCGTCGACGATGAGTCTTCCTCCGTTGTTGAGGAGATGTCGAACGGGGTTGTACTTTCTTCGGTCGGATCATCCGTTGTGTCCGTCGTCTCTGTGGAACAACCAGTTGATTGAGATAACTACAACAAAAAGGCCTACCTTCTCCCATCGGATCTCTCGTTGGAGCACAGCCGAAGCCTTCGTGTATCATTATTATCAGAATCAGTATTGAAATACAGGGTGCCCAGCGCAAAAGCATCGCTTCAAACGATAGAAATCTATGGAAAATGTCTCAGCGAAACGGAAAGTGGATCGAAAAGCATCATTGAAACAGAGAAAGAGAAACGACAAAAGATAAAGAACGTTTTCGATCTTTTTTATCTTTCCTAAGCGGTGATCGGAAGGCCGAATCAAAGGGCAGGTGACAACGTTCGAGATATTTGGATGGATTTGGGCGCTTTCTTTTGCCCTCCCTTCCCTTCGGAATGAACTCGTTCCAGACATCCTTAGCAGGGAACGTTTGATTCTTTTCCGTTATTTCAGGCTCTCAGAAATCTTCTCTTCGTTTATGAAAATGAAACTTTATAAAAAAAAAGCTCTTTATTCGGCGCATACTATAAGGAAGTTCTGGAATTTAGGAAAATAAATTTTTTTATTACTTTTTATCAGTTTTCATGACAATGTGCGTGTTTTTTCGCCCTTTTTTGCTCTCATGCAATCTGAAAAAAGTTCGGCGTGTTCCTCCCCTTTGATATCCCAAAAATTCTCCAATTTTTCCATGTTATCATATTTATCTAATCCTTTAATAGTTTTTCTTCTGCTCTGTGCCCAAACATTATTTTTTTCTCGAGACTTGAAAAAAATTTCCTATTCAAATTAACGTTAAGCTTTTTGATTGGAAGAATTTTTGTATAATAATAACACAAGAAGAATTTAGGATGACTGGGATTTGAAAGATTTGAAAATCTAAGTTCAGCCGTATTTCGTTTATAATAATCCTTAATGTAGGACTTAAAGGCCAGACTACTTATCTAAAATTGTGGCATTGTCCCAAAAATGGGTCACATCCAGAAAAAAAAAACCTGAACCCCAAAAACTCATTTCAAGATTTCTCAAACGAATCTTACAACCTCATCATTGCGATCTCCAGATTGCCTTCATGAAAAGTTAAAAAGAACTCAGTATTTATATAGTTGAACTCATTATCGAGATTGTCGAGGAAGAAGGATCATCCGTTGTTGATGAAGAGTCGTCAAAGGACGTTGTACTATCAAATGATATGGTCGAAGAAGGATCATCCGTAGATGAGGAGGAAGAATCGTCGAAGGATGTTGTACTATCGAACGAAATTGTCGATGAAGAATCATCTGGCGAGGTAGAGGAGATGTCGAAAGGCGTCGTACTTTCTAAAGTCGAAAAAAGGTTTCTTGTTCCATGCGTCAACTTTTGCGTTTTTTCGTCCTTTCCACGAACATTACGTTGAAAAATTATACGTGAAAGCTGAGGCTTTTTTTTTGGCAAAGGTCACAACGGTTAGAAACTTAAAACAGAGTCATTTTAGCCCCTCCCAAGGCGCTCCCATGATTTTCCGCTCTTTATTCTGCCTTTCCAAATGATTTTTAGCTGCCAAATTTCTAGGAAATTCTTTAATTCTCGAGCAGTTTCATCCAGGACCTACTCTATAATATTGAAGAAAGATCGGCATTTGAGAGTCAGCCTAAAACCTGTTCGGAATTATACTATAAACTTGAGAGATCAGCGGCTCATAAGACAGTTCTATGAACATGAAAAACGGTGGTTGATATGGTGGAGCATCCACGAAATTCGTTCGAAAAATTTCTTTAAAATTTCAAATATCTGGGACTCAAAAAATTTTCAGAATTTTGGGAGCTAAGATCATTTAGGAAGCGCAGCATCATTTGAAGGAGCGGAAAACAGGCTTTTTTGTCGGCCGTTTTTAACCGAGTTTGATGAATATTTTTTGAAGGAAATTGTGTAAAGTTTATGCAGAGTAGAAGGTGAATCCGATCTCCATGACGTCATATTAACTTCCTAATTAACAGTCATTTAGCAAGATAATATGACGTTATTAAAGGCATAGGGGTAGTAAAAAATGGGGTTTCAGGTGAAAGCAGTATCTTGTATAGTTTTTCTTTGCGAATCCAACGGTGTACTCAAAAAAATTACAGATGTGACAACTCTAGAAGAAAAACGCGATTTCACTTTCCCGCCTTTTATTTTGAAAAAAGCTTTGGATCGGTGCTCAGACAACTGATTACAGTAGCTGTGCACGCGATGTTGCGGACGTCTCATTAGACTCGCATTTTGTGAGAAATAACCGGCTATCTGCTCCAAATTAAGGGTTTCGTCTCTGAAAAATCGATTAAGAAAACAGAAAAAACACAATGATATAAAGAAAACACAAAACAACGCTATCCCAATCGAAACCTGCGTAAAATCATCATTTTTCACCAGAAAAAGAATTTTTGCAATCAAAGTTTGCAAATTATACATGAATAGAAAGCTTTTGTGACGGAAAGAACTTTGGTGACAACAGAAAAAATTTAAAATTGAAAGAAACGGAGAAAAAAAGCGAAAATCCGAAAAACGGGGAAGCCTGTTGTCCATAGAGCAACTTTACTGCAAAGCGCCCTTTTCGCGGGAACTCAAGCTTTCCTTTCTCCGATTTTGAATTATTTTTTCTTCAAAACTAGGAAGTTCGGTACTTTCCCAAGTTTACCGTTCGATTCGCAATGAAAAGCTCTACAAAGTACTGCTTTGAACTGAAACACCGTTTTTAACTGCCCCTATGCCTTTAACTTTGTGAAGATTGGCCGGATTCAACTTTCGCGAGAGCGTGTTTTTTTAACGCGGAATGTTTTTTTCAAAAAGCAAATTAAGTTATTTGTGTAAACTCAAATTCAGAAAAAAAGCAAAACATCGCCACGTTCTTGGCCTAGTTGCCAAAGATCACGTGAATTTATTGCCGTGTTTGAAAAAATTTCGGCGAAATGCCAAAATGTCTCGCCAAAATTTATTTATCTTTTTCTTTCTCTGATGGCTACTTTGAAAATCGCGGAATCACTTTGAACACGGCATATAGCTTGTTTCTATCTCGTGATTATAGCTGCTTCACGGCTAGCTTGGGACGATAAGGAGGCGTGGCCTGTCTGCGCTATCCATGCGCCAGGCACTATCTCGTGCATTATCAGGTCAGGACCCCTTTTTCGATAGCTCAAGCCAGCCGTAAATCAGCTATAAATGACATGCCTAAGCCATGCCATGGGTTGCCTGTTCAATCCGCCACCTCTGTTTTGAACCAACGTTTCCTGCACTTGTCTTTAACACACGTTCTCCGAGATTTTCGAATAACCGTTGGTACAAAAATTTCATCTTTGTTCCTGAAAGCTCTCCTTGCTTTCATAGATAGTGAACAACCTCTTGAATATTTATTTAGAAATAACAACCTCTTGAATATTTATTTAGAAATATTTATTTTTTGGTTTTTACGGTGTTTTTTCTACAGTAAGCCTGAAAGTGGCCGGAGCCTAATAAAACCTGGTTCTAAATATTCAAGAGGTGTTCACTATCTATGAAAGCAAGGAGAGCTTTCAGGAACAAAGATGAAATTTTTTTTACCAAAATTTTTCACATTTGTTCGATTTTCTGGGAGAATGCGTGTTAAAGTAATTAAAATTTACAGCCGATTCGCCAGAGCTTCAAAACGTCAGATTTATTTTTGAACTTTGCCCCGCTCTTCAGTTAACGTGTTTTTTGCATGTTTCTATAGAGTCGCGGACGAGAGAAAGCTGACGAAAGGTCAAAAATGTTCATGTCTTGACGAAGGAAGTGTATGAAAAAGTCCTCGTTCGTATTTTAATTGATTCGTTTTTTATATTTCATTCGCCACCACTTCTTGTTGTGTATTAATTTTTATTTATTTATTGTTGATTCTTGAGAATTAATGCAAAAGACGTGTTTGTACATAGAATAGTGCTGTAATTTATATAAATCGATATTTAAAACATCATAAAATAGTTACCGGACCAGTGCAAGAAAAAAAAATTACCTTCTGTGTCTCCCATCGGATCTCTCGTTGGAGCACAGCCGTCGCCTCCGTTTATTAATAACATCGGTATTGAAATACAGAGTGCCCAGCGCAAACGCATCACTTCAAACAGGAAAATGCTGAAGCATGCGAAGATTCACAAGGGCATCGAAGAAGAAGTTAATACGAGAAACGGAAAAAAAGTGAAACTTTATTTGACCTATGTTTCAAGTGTAGATGTGATAAGAAGGCTAAAAACAAAGACGACGACGTCCGTGAAACGTCCTCTCGATGTATAGCTTGGATCTGGGCGATTCCTTTTGCCCTGCCCTTCCATCGAAATGAACTCGTTCCAGACCACCTCAGGCTTGATGTTCGATGCGAGATTCTCACCCGTTGCTTCATAACCTCATAAATCCATTTTATTTATTCACTCGTCTATTTTCAAAATCTTCTATCTATAAGATATGTTTCATAAAAAATCTCTGCATATGTTGGACTTTTTTTGAAGCGTTTTTTTAAAAAAATAAATTTGCCTTCTTTTTTTCAATGTTTTTTTGAAAAAAATGTTTTTCCTTCTTTTTGTTATCGGAAGGGGGTAAAATTCAGACACCTTCAGCTCGTTGTATACGGCGTCACCAAATCGACGCCACACCCGCCGCAACGGCGGAAAATAAAATGTGTTGTACGCAGTGAACGTGATGCATGAAAAGCGACGCGCGAAAAGCGAGGTTGAACGTTTATTAATAATATTATAAATAAAATTAATTTTTCTGGCTGTTATTTATCCAATTCTAAATTGGATTATTCCGGTCTTAAGGCTCTTCTTATAAAGTGCTCGAAATTTCATGCGTTTATTTATAGAGAACAAGGTAAGGCTACCACCCTTCAGTTTTATGACTTTCTCAGGTTTTGTTCCCTGAATCCTGATCTCAAGAAAGTTGGACATCGGCAAAAAATGTGAATTTATTTATTAGTTGTTCGCAAAACAAATATCAAAATTCTATAAAATTTAAATTTACACGAACTTATTCATTTTTTAAGATGCTCATCTTCATCTCTTGAAAAATTTAAAGCCAATATTTATTCACGTCGAAGTAATTACTGAGATCGTCGAGGATGAAGGATCCTCCGTTGTTGAAGAACTGTCCGTCGTACTTCCAAAAGATACCGTCGAAGAAGGATCATCCGTCGATGACGACGACATATCAAATGAAGTTGTACTTCCAAAAGATACCGTCGAAGAAGGATCGTCTGTCGATGACGACGACATATCGAAGGAAGTTGTACTTCCAAAAGATACCGTCGAAGAAGGATCATCCGTAGAGGATGAGGAAATATCAAACGACGTCGTACTTCCAAACGATATCGTCGAAGAAGGATCATCCGTAGAGGATGACGAGATGTCAAAGGATGTTGTACTTTCAAATGATAGGGTCGAAGAAGGATCATCCGTAGATGATGAAGAATCGTCAAAGGACGTTGTACTATCAAACGATAAGGTCGAGGAAGAATCGTCCGACGACGTCGAGGAGAAGTCGAATGGCGTGGTGCTTTCCACAGTAGAATCATCGGTTGTTTGCGTCGTCCCCTCTTCTAGGTAGATACAGTACTGGGCGAATTTCTATGTGAAAGAAAATTTATCGCTGTGTAAAAATCTCAAAGTTACATAAGAAGCATTCAAGAGACTTATAAAAAATGAAGTACAGTTTTCATGTTCAACGACTAAGCTTCAGTTCACTTCGACCATTGTTCACCGGCTCGGCTAAAAAACAGAGCTTCTGAAAACCTTTTTCAAGCTTTTCTTTTGAAAATGTTTTACCAGAAAACTTAACACGCTGTCTCCGTTTTTCTCAAAAACAACGGGTACAATAAAAAAAAAATTTTTTTGATTTTGATGAAACTTCATCCAGTGTGATAGCCAATCATCAGAAATGCGGACCCAACTTTTTGAGTCATTTCCTCTTACTGTAGCCGGGTTACGGTAGCCAGGTAGGCACCTGCGTATCTCAGTATTGAAGAGTTTTTAGTAGACAAATGATATATCAATCGATAGGTAATCCTATTTTGAAAACTTTTACAGTACATACCATCTTGGGTTACTGTGGGAAAATTTTGAGTTACGGCACTTTTTGCGTCTGTCGAGTTAGTTTTTCGACCACCACGAGCTTGAGCCGGGAGATCCATTCTTCCTAGCTTTTCAAAAGATACCTTATGAGAAGCTGTACAAGCTGGTATAAGTTCGAAGAAATCCTAGGTGGACCATCATTTCGAAAAATCTCTCCGAAGGCGCGCAATCGTGGTCTTGCGGCGGCCAAATGGGGGAAGTCCATGACGCCTGACGGCTCATTCTTCACAGATCCATTCTAAACTTTGTTTCCATTTCACTTATAGATATCTATTAATGGTTTTTTTATTACCACTTGAGATGATTTCAGGTTGACCATCATCTCGAAATCTCATTTTGAACTCAAATTTGGCCTAAAATGGCCGACTCGGCTTTTTTTCACGGGATCCCTGACCCCGTATGTGACCGTTATCAACTTTTTTCTTCCTTAAAAATGAACAAAAGTGTCTGAAAAATAGTTTTATAACGATCGGAAAATATTTTGAGAGGACCATCATCTCGAAATCTCATTTTGAACCCAAATTTGGCCTAAAATGACCGACTCGGCTTTTTTCACGGGATCCCTGACCCCGTATGTGACCGTTCTCAACTTTTTTTCTTCCTTAAAAATGAACAAAAGTGTCTGAACAATAGTTGTATAACGATCGGAACTTATTTTGAGAGGACCATCATCTCGAAATCTCATTTTGAACCCAAATTTGGCCTAAAATGGCCGACTCGGCTTTTTCACGGGAAGAAAAAAAGAAAAAAACCCGACACTCTGACCACCGGTGAGGTTGAAACTTAACTTTCAAGCTGATGTTTTTATAAATGTTTTTTTATTATAACCTAAATAGTAGTTCTGAATCTTCAGACTTTTTTTCATACCTAAAAAAACAAGACATTCGTCTTGTGACTATTTTTTTGTGAAAAAGAAACCAAAAAAATATTTCGATTTTTCAAGCGAAATTTTTATTTAAAAAGTGGGTTTCCCAGGTAAACAGTCATTTTGGAATTGATCCAAAATAGAATTTATTTTCAGTTCTCAGGTTTATATTATCTTTAAAAAGTGAAAAGGGCCAAGATCTGTATTGATGGAACCAATAATCTTATTAGAAGGGTAAACCAAAAGTTTTCAAGCCAAATTTGGGTTCAAAATGAGATTTCGAGATGATGGTCCTCTCAAAATAATTTCCGATCGTAGTACAACTATTGTTCAGACACTTTTGTTCATTTTTAAGGAAGAAAAAAGTTGAGAACGGTCACATACGGAGTCAGGGATCCCGTGAAAAAAGCCGAGTCGGCCATTTTAGGCCAAATTTGGGTTCAAAATGAAATTTCGAGATGATGGTCAACCCGAAAACATCTAAAATTGAAATAAAAATCAATAATAGACATGTATGAGTAAAATGGAAACAACATTTAGAATGGATCTGTAAAAAATGAGCCGTCAGGCATCAGGGACTTCACCCATTTGGCTGCCGCAAGACCACGATTGCGCGCCTTCGGGGCGATTTTTCGAAATGATGGTCCACCTAGGATTTTTTCAAACTAGTAATAGCTTGTACAGCTTCTCATAAGGTATCTTTTGAGAAGTTAGGAAGAATGGATCTCCCGGCTCAAGCTTGTGGTGGCCGAAGAACTGACTCGGAAGACACAAAAAAAGTACCGTAACTCAAAAATTTTTCCTACCGTAACCCAAGATGATATGTACTGTAAAAGTTCTTAAAATTGGATTACCTATCGATTGATATATCGCTTGTCTACTAAAAAAATTCTTCAATACTGAGATACGCAGGTGCCTACCTGCCTACCGTAACCCGGCTACAGTAAGAGGAAATGGCTCAAAAAGTTGGGTCCGCATTTCTGATGATGGGTTATCCCACTGGATGAAGTTTCGTCGGAATCAAAAAATATTTTTTTTATTGTACCCGTTGCTTTTACAAATTTTTGAGAATAACGGAGACAGCGTGTTAAACATCTCCTTGCATAACTTTGATAACGTAAATGAGTTATCAAAAGTTTAAATGAAAATCTGTTTTCGGATATGCGAATCTTGTAGACTGCAAATGTTGAATGTGGAATTCGATCACTTTTAATTTGAGAAAAGTGAAAAATTAAAAAAAACGGAAAACTTACAAAACAAAACAGTAAAATACGAAAAGAGGTTGTTCGCGTATGACCTCTCGGGCAAAGTCGGAATGGTGGATAATGGCCGCTAAAAGGGAGAGGACCAAAAAAGGCCGCAAAAAGGCCGCAAAAAGGCAGCAAAAAGAGTCCCTTTATCGAGCCATTTTCTGGGGCTTCGAAGGCTCGATAAATGATGGAAAAAAGGAGAGGCAGCAAAAATGGCGCAAAAAGGCCGAAATGGGAGCCTTCGTCACCCTAAAAGGAACATTTCTATGGACCCTTTTTTTACCCTTTCCGACTTTGCCTATGCTTGAAGTTCCCTCAAGAAGCCGCCTCGCGTACGCGACGTAACAGGCAAAAGGACTTTGATTTTTTTTTTTTGTATGATTCAAATTTATGTATCAGCCAGAAGGAAAAGCTCTTTATTTTTTCAAACATTATGCCAAATAGTATAGCTAGTCTTGGTAGCAGTGGCCGAAATGAACGGGAGAGACTTGAAACTAAATATCATGTTCCGATAGAATCTGTGTGCCACGACTTGAAATTTCACCGAACGACGCTCCGCTGTTCCGCTGCGTGAGTTCGCGAAGCGTCTTTCGAATATAGGTCACGCTTTCAATTGATTGTTATTGCTGTGGGAGCACAGGACAGTATAGTACCTTAATAAAAGAAAAAGAAAAAAGTTAAAAGCGTGACCAACTTTTGCAAAGGCGCGCAGCGACACAGCGGAATGTCGTTTGGTGAAATTCCAAGTCGTGGTACACAGACTATACTTCTTTACTCTTTTAAATTCTTTTTTTACCCGCGCTTAAGATTTTTCAACAGTGTTGTACTTTTTATAAGTTGATATTTACAGTATCAGGAAAAATAAATACCGTCTCCCATCGGATCTCTCGTTGGAGCACAGCCGTCGCCTTCGTTTATTAATAACATCAGTATTGAAATATAGAGTGACCGGCGCAAATACATCCTTAGGTTGGAACAATTAAACTTTGAAGCATGCGAGAGGTCACAATAAAACGAAATGTATCTGAGACGGAAGTGAAGAGTGATATCACAAAGAGAGAGAACAAAAGAAACGAAGCGAAAATTTCGATCTTTTTTATCTATGTTAAGCGGTGATCAAAAGGCCAAAACAAAGGCAGACGACGTCGTTCGCGAAACGTCCTCTCGATGAATAGCTTGGATTTGGACGATTCCCTTTGCCCTGCCTTTCCATCGAAATGAACTCGTTCCAGACCACCTCAGCCTTGATGTTGGATGCAAGATTCTCGTCTGTTGCTTCAGACGTTCAGGATTTTTTTCAACTTGACAAAGTTTATAGGTATGAAAAGTTTTTTTATGTTCTGTCTACTCGAAGGTCCCTCATACCTGCGCAAACTTCTAGAGATCTCATTTTGATTTTTCAAACTTGAAAAATAATGGGTTTGGGCCTAACTTTCCGACCTTAAAAGTTATTTTTCTCAAAAACTAGAAGCTTTCGTGAGTTGCTGTTTTAATTAAACCTTCAGAGATTATTTGAGCAAATTTGTAGAGAATTCCCGTGTCAGATCCCTCAAAGTTCTATACAGGGGTGGGCATAAATATTGCACGGACTTTTCGATCATTCCAACTTTCTTTTTTGCCAATGGAACTTCAATCTTTTTGTTTTCCACTTTGGGAACCGTAGCTGGTTTTTCCACCAAGATTTCAGGTCAAGCTGCAAGCCCCGAGCTGAGCAATACTAGTGTGAGTCCAATCTGCCCGATTTCAACACGGTCAAGGAATGGACCGGCTACTCACCAGATTCGAACCCCTGGACAATTCTGCATATTTATATTTGGAGTGGAAGGCCTGGACAAAACTCTATCTTCACCGGGACCTGCTGATGGTCTCCATCATCAAGAATGGATGACAAGGTCGATCTGTGTCCAAGGGTCGAATATTTTTTCGAGAGAGTCAAGGCGCTCAGTAAGGCCGATGAAAGTCGGAGCGAAAGTTGAATTATATGTGCTAACTTGGATACTTTGCATATAAAAAAATTCAAACAATCTTGTCTGAATCCGTTCCACTTTAAAATAACGGAATTTTAAAGGCCGTGCAATATTTATGCCCACCCCTGTAGACTACAGGCTGTAGTTCGTGATCTTGGCTCATTTTTTGATGATGAGTTTTCATCCAGGCAGTCGTATTGCTACTCTTGCCAACCTACATTCCAATCAAATACTGAATATCCTCCAGTTTTTCTACCCTCAGCTACTTTAGTTCTCAAACTCGAATCTTCACTCCATCTCTTAAGCCCAACATTTTTTACTCCCTCAAAAGTTAGCTTTTCCTCGTATTCCGACCATCTTACCAGGGAATGGTCTCCGGTCGCAGTGGGACTTCTGAATGAGATTAAGTTTTTTAGATGTTTTTTTTTACGCTGATTCCAAATCTGGTTTCAAAAATTGCCGAGATATGTTAAAAAATTTATGCACTCATTTAAAGGTATATAGATCTCGTCCTTCGTCAATGAGCTCAATCGAAAAAATTTAAACTTTCGACTTTTAAGGGCTCATAACTTTTTTCACAGATCACTTGAGATATTTTTGAGGCCAAATTTAGAATCAGTGTGAAAGACTACATCTAACAAACCTGGTCTCATTCAGAAGTCCCACTGCGACCGGACACTATTCCCTGTTTAATTAATAAACCTTTACGGTAAACGGCTTTACCTTTTTTCCCACAGTTCTTTTTTTCACTCCCCAGAAGACTTTGTTTCGTGGTGCATTTCCACTTTCTCGATAAAAGTTCAAAGTACGAAGTTATTGTCTCAAAAAAACACCATTTATCGAATGATTTATGCCGAACTCAACGTGTCAAACACTTTTTACACGACACCAAATCGGATTAGGCGCAATCAGGAACATTATCGGGAACGTTACAAGCACATCTGGCGAACGTTTGATTATCAATTACTTGTGCGTCTCGGCGCGCAAAGAATGAGTCCACGATTGGTTGAGCTCATCCTGAATCCGCAACCTTACAAGAAATTACGTTGATTTGACGAATAATCGCCTTCGAAAAAATAACCAGTTCGAAGAAATGAAGTAAGGTAATACAGGAATTCATACGTTTCAAAGCTTTCAGAAAATGATTTCTATTAGGAGTATTATCCTTTGTTGGGAGAATTATCGAGACGAGAATAAACAAAAAGTTAATTTAAAAAAAAACGGTAAAAATTACGAAAACAAGGAAATGATCGCTGTAAGTGTAACTAATATTTCCGAGGCCAGTTAGTTATTTTTTTGATCCATTGCTAGTCTTGGCCCTAGATTTCACAGAGAAAAGATTGATTGAAGTTACTACCTGTGGTCTTCCTACCTGCTGAGCCTGGCTCCGAGTTTTATTCTCGACGGCGACGTATTTGCGGCGGATATGACCCTTTTCGTCGACGTCGTCGTAGCCTTCGATGTAGGTGTCTGAGTCGTTGGAAAGGTTAAAGCTGGTCATGAAAGATGTAGGACTAGGCTCCGCAAGCCAATATTTCAAAGTTCTTGTAAACTTTATTTCAAATAGAATGTTTTCCATGAGTTAATCGTAAAAGCTCACCACTATTCCAAGGTGGACGACCGTCCAGCGTCGATTTTTTTTGAGTCGAGACTTTGGACGATTTCTGGTTGTTTGACGGAGCCTGAAAGAAACAGTTCAAGCTGGGGATGAAGAGTTGAATAAATATAAATCACTAGGGAATGGTGTGATAGGGACTGGGTCACTTTGGTAGGTTAACCTGGGTAAGAATATTCGGATACAAAAAAAATTATCTGTTTTTGAGTGTTTCTTTGAACTTTCATCAAGAAAAAACTCACAAAGCGATCGGCCTGAGACATAATGCGAGAAAGTGAGATTGCTGGAGCTAAAAGTTTGTTATGGAGATTCGCTTGGAAACGCTTGGAAATTCCTGGTTACGGGGCAACCCAAGAAGGAGAAAAGCGTCGGCTTGGTCCAAGAAGAACCTCCACTCGGAATTAATTCAGACACGAGCTGAAGTATCCTAACCGAAGCCTTATATGGGTCTTTCAATTTCATTCAAAAACGATTCAGTTTATTCCATGAAAATTCATTCAGTTTATTCCATGAAAATGCTTTTTCGCTTAGAGTTCATAACAATTATCGATTAGGATGTCCCCTATAGGGAGCACTAACTAAAACCCCTATAGAGGCCACTTTTGCAAGCTTTAGATAGGGACCGCAGACGAATTTTCAAAAAATTTTTTTCAGCATTGAGCTTTGTATGGTTCGATAGCTGTTTCGATTCAAAACTCAGAACCGTTTAGTTTTTTTCAAAAAAAGATTGAGGATGAAAAAAAGTTATGACGGAAAAGGTGGCGCGCCGCGCACCATTTTTTTAGTACTGAAATTTTTGGTATTATCCATTTTTTTGACATTTTTTTCGATTTTTTTCTTCTAGAACAAATTTTTGATACTGGTCTATTATGATGTAACAAATCATACTAGAGTGCTAAAATGATGCTAATCAGCTAGTTTGTCGAAAAAGTCGGTATTTTCCAGAAAACAAAAAACTGCCGCTTGCGGGCATCGAACTCGCTACCTCAAAATGTAAAATCGGAGCGCACGCGCTGCGCCAAGCTGTTAGGTGAGGGGAGCTTCCATCCGCCATATCCTTGAGCCGTTTGAATTGCACAGATTGCCTATTTCAAAAAGAAAAACTTGAAGTAATTAAGCTGTTTTTATCAGAATATGATCGCAAATCTTTACTCAAACTTTCCGTGGAAATTCACTTTGAAAAAAACAGTTTTTTTAGTGCTTTTTTTGCCTCGTTTAACGATCGCTGCATTAAAACGGCCCCGTAAATTTTTTTGGCAAAGACGAATTTTTTTATTTTTATTATTTTTAATTGAAAGATTTCTTACTAATAAATGTATATAATCGTTTTAAAAAAACCTGCGTTCGACCGCTTTCTGTGTGATAAACGCCGCTAATTTTATCCTCTAGTTTCAAGAGCATTTTTTTGCGTATTAAACAACTTTTTTTCAAGCACATATTCTGTGGAGAAATATTTAAGTAAGCCCGTGATCTAAATTTTTGAAAAAAAGAAAAAAACTCGATTATATTCGCATATTAACGATATTTTTGAATTACGACTTTCGGCACTCCCTAAAAATTTTTTTGGCAAAGACGAATTTTTTTATTTTATTGTTTTAAAATTACCGTTACTTGAATCAAAAATCATTATTTAAAAAAAGAAAGAGTGCGTTCGACCTGAAAAACACATGAAAAAAAGCAAAAAAACGACAAAATTTTTTTAGTTCCATTCACGTTTTTTTGTACGACATTCCGCGCGAACGCATCAAAAAAAGCGTGAAATATTTTTTTAAACGAAAGAGGAAGCTTTTTCTGTACAAGTGTGTCAAATTTTATTTGCCAGTTCCACATATTTTACAACTACATCAAAATGAAAGTTGAAAACCAAAAAAAAGCCACTTTTTCTATCGCGAAAAGGGGCGTGGCTTTGCGGTCCCTAGCTTTAGAGGCCCCTGTAGAGTTTATTGAAGTGTTCCCCAAGGGTCCCTAAGGTTACCCCTATAGGGACCACTTTGGAGTTCCTAAGAAATTCGGAAAACGACGAAGTCATGCCAATAGACGGGCAGAAATTCGCATTATGTCTTTCAACATCATCAGCGTCAACTCTTTGAGACCTCAATTTTCCGAAATTTGTGACTTTGAAGAATTTTCAGTCCCAAACTTCTGGCCATTTGGTGGTGCTGCACAAATTGGACTGCTAATATCTCAGCCAAATCGTCAATAGGCTTGATATCGGACTGACGCTTGGGAAAACACGCGACGAGCAGAGACAAAATATGGCGTCGGGAAAGGGATACAATGGTGAATTGACGATACCCGTGTGAACACCACCGTAAGCGTTTTCTGTGGTCGAACCACGGCTTCCAAAGAGGCTTTTCATCAAGAGACAATCCTTCTTCAAACACTCGCCAATCAAATGCCGCGAGTCATGGGATATCTCCGAGCAGCGTTTTTCACAAGACTCCGAAATTGTGCTCACCAAGTTTCTGGGCAGTCTTTTCAAGCATTCGAGAAATAGTTCTGCAAAATGTTCTTCTAAAGTTTCAACGACTTACTCCAAATTCTATTCTTTTGAAACAGATAAACCGGCAAAGTCACTCGTTAGGGTTACCTTAGACCGATACTTTACCTTATTTATTATATTCGCCTTGTAGATGAGTCAATTATTATTATTAAAAAAACCTTTTTATCCTCCCCAAAGCTTCCTTTATAAGAAAAAAATAATTCGTCTCAACTCTTTTGTTTCTAATTAGGAATTTCCCAAAACGACCAAAAAAATATTCTAACAAATTCTATAGAAGGGCTTTTTCTCAGAAAAAAAAGTACATCACGGCGACACCACACCCACCCCAACGGCGGAAAATAAAATGTGTTGTACGCAGTGCACGCGATGCATGAAAAGCGACGCGCAAAAAGCGAGATCGAACGTTCATAATAAATAAAATCAATTTTCTGGCTGGTATTTATCCAAGGATCGCCAAAAAAATGTATACATTCTTTTTGAATTTCGCGTCTTTTCGAACTTTTCAAACGATCAACCAAAATTTTATGCCCTTTTTGACTCTTCGATTGAACTTTGAAAAAAATTCATAAACATAATATTTAGATTTTGAGCTTCAGGAAGTTCACGGCACGAAACTAACTGTTCCTGAAAATTAGGGATATTCGCCTCAAACTTTTCATGTGAAAAATCTTCATGAAGAATAAAAATTTTATTTGTAAAAAAGCTTTCTGACTTGTTCTTCTGAAGAAAAATAATCACTGAATAAAAAAACTATAATTACAATTTTATTATGTCATGGAAAAAAATATTGGTACAGCGAAAAAGATTCACAAGAGACTGAAAATGAATCAAAAAATGTGCAGCAAATTATGGAAGCATTAGAAATCTATAGAGCTAAATCGATAAAAATTGAAAAAAAAAGAAAAAGTTGACGAGGTTACGGCACCAGAAAAAAGAAAGATATTTTGCAGATGGTGATCAGAGACCAATATGAAACGTTGAAGAAAAATTGAAAAGTTGAATAAAATATACACTGAGCTCTAGGTAGACAAATAAAACTGTTAATCACTGGAAGAAATCTCTTCTTATCGAGTATAAAAAGACCCGTGTTGGAATACTCATGGAGAAGCTCGCAAAACAAGCAAATAGTTTGTACGACTCGAACGCGAGGAAGCTCGAAAAAGAAGTGAAGTGTGGAGGATGAGGCTGAGGGAGCGACAAGTCCAGACTGTCGCAAAAATCATGACGAAGAAGTCGAAGTCTCCACGGCAGGTTCTCCCGGAGACGATTCTCGAGGCGAAGAAGCCGACGACGCGGCTCCATCTTCTCTACCAGAAGCAGATCCCGGAGACGATTCTGCTCTACTTGGCTCCGCTGTCTTCAGAAGTCCTGCAACACAGCTCTTCTTCTTTTTCTCGGATTCATTTTGCAGATAATTGCTGGGAGTGTTTTTTTTTTCACGAACGAAGGACAACTGTCCGCCGGTGGATTTATCGACCGGACAGCCGCCTGTCATGTTGTTCGAACCGAAATTCAACCGTGTTCGAACATAGGCCCCAGCAAAACAGTGTTTCGTGACAAGAGCGGCGCAGAGAAATAGCGGCAATCCGAGCTCGTAAATCATTTTGCGGGTCAAGCGCATCGTTATCAGTAGTTAACAACACTCGTGTTCCCCCGAATTCCTCCACTTTCAGACGTTTCTTTCAGGCTTATGAAACAGTGCTTCCACGTTCAATTAATCCTCTTTCAGTACATAGACTTATTGTCGTGTTCAAAATTCTGTCAGAGAGTGAAAAAAGATAACTAGTTTTTTGGAGTTTCAGAGATAACTTTGGAATTTTTGAAATCGACAGCTCAAATTGGTTGATTAAAAAATGAATAAAGTTACATGACTATCCTTTGGGCATCATTTAAAAGGTCATGAGAACGACTCGCCAAAAATCTTTTTTTCGCTACACCTATGATGAGATTTACTCTTTATCGTACCGCGGTTGAATCCACGGAGAGCGGCCCAAAAAATCGTTGTAATCGCATTCGACGTTACGCCGATGACAGGTATTAAGATAAGGGCGGCTAGCAGACCAAGGACAGATAAAGAAAAATAACTAGCGAACACTGTCAGTAGGATTACGTGGTCGCTTTTCTGGTGTAGCTACCTTATCGATAACGATTAGTGGGCAAGAAAATGGCTATGCAATTCTTTATAAATTCATTGACTTTTTATTAATGAAAAGAAGAAGACAAACCGTGAAGTCCAGGTACTGGTGTGGAGCCTGCGAAGCCGAAAAGAGCGAACGGATTGAAGATCATAGGCTGCGACGTAGTCGGCGGGGCTACGGAAGCCGATGCGGCGACACGCATCGCAGCGAACATCTGCGGATGCATCCGGACCATGGCCATCATTTGCTGCTGCATGGCGGCCTGCTGAGCCATGTAAGCATTCGTCTGGTCGTTGCCATTCTGATTCCCAGAAAGAGGCGCGTCCTGCAAACATTTCCTTACTTCCACATCATCAGCCACAGCGTTTCAATATCTCAGTTTCATTGTCATATTTCGATTAGAAATAAATAATGTTAACAGACCGCGATTGAATGTTCCTAACACGATCAACAAACGAACAAACACCGAAAAGACTTGTTTATATAGAGTGTCATCGAGATTTCGTCGTCGTTTTTTATGGCTTGAAAAGTATTCAAATTTTTCTGACTAGGCACGGAAATGTTTTTGCCTTGATTTTCCGCTTCGACTGACCTTTTTATCTTCCTTGGATTCAACTTTTTCGGCGACATCCGCGATGGACCAAATTTTGGATTTTTTGGGGGTCGTTGCATCTTCCGAGGAGTCTCCAGAAGGCGTTGGCGAGCTCATTTCTAGTTTGGGTCTCAGGATTGAAGAGTCGAGGTCATCTTTGCGGTCGGATCCGATGGAGTTGGAGCTGGAAGGGCGATCGATGACGTCATTGTCAACGAGGTCGTCGTCGTCCTCTTCGCCGTCTTCTCCACGACGATTCTGAGGGGACCACGTCATCTTATTCTCCTTCTTCAACCGACGACGGGCGTTCGCGAACCACGTGGAAACCTGCAAATCCAAGTATTTCTAAGTTTCTTCCTCGTTCTCATTTTTCTTGGATTAAGTTTCTTGAAGCTTTCTTCCCGATAAAAATAATTCAAATGTAGAAGAACCAATAGACGGTGAGCGCGAAAACTCGCAGTTTGATTCGCAAATGGTTGGAATCAAACAAAAGATGTTTGAATTTTCGCTAGGTAAATGCGACAGGAATCGAGAAAATAACATTGACACATGCACGAAGAACATTCCATTTCACTCCTTTTGTGTGACTCTAACTTGGCGCCAACAGCACTGCGTCGGGCGGGAAAAAAGAAACATCAATTAAGCCAAACGCAAAGATGTCTCCCGTTTGATTTTATCGTCTAGGAAATCAAATCTTCACACGTTTCGCCGTTACAAAACCTCGCGGAAGACTTTTTCTGCTGTAGAATAATAGAAATAAGTCGAAGAAAAGTTTAATTTGGTTTCCGGATTCCTGTCCACAAAATTGAAACTAAAAAGTCTTCAGAGCATAAAAAACGTAACCCGTCATTGGAGAGCTCCAAAAAACAGCCAAAAATGTATGAATAAACTTTTGAGAACACAAAAAAAAACAGTCACTAATTGCACTAATTGGCAAAGCAAAGCGTATGACCCTACTTGACCAAGCAAACATTTCTCGGGCCAAGTTCCAAGTCTGCACCGTAATTGAATCGGACGGTTCACAGCGGGGTCCAAACATGATACCCACGTGTTGTTTAATAAGGGTTAACGAGCAGCAATTAGCGAGATCGCGTCAAAAACGCCTGCAGCACGTCGGCCCGTTTTGCGGCGGACCACAACCAAAAAGGCGGCCTCACCTGAGTCAAAGTCATCCGTGTCATCACAGCTAGAAGGATTTTATCGTTTTTCGTCGGATACGGGTTCTTTCGGTGCTCATTCAGCCACGCCTGATAAAAATCTTTGTTTCTCAAGGAACTATTCCGAAGAGTTACCTTAAGGGGCGCAGTAGTTTCGCGGGTGGCGTTCTTGCGACGGACGCTGTCGAGACCGTAGGGATGAAAGCCGGCAGGACCTTCCATCAGAAGATTCGGAAATCGGCCTCCCCCCATCGACATCATCTCCGGCTGAAACATTTTAATGAGTTTCCAAAATTTCTCCGAATTTGGTTAATATTTCGAACAAAAACTTTGCATACAGACTTGAGTGAATTTAATTTAGGAAAATATTTGTTTTACCGACTTTGTTTCTATTTGTAAGTTTCGCAGCGTTCAGTAAAGAAAAAGTAAATTTTTTCGCTTATTGAGTTGCTAACTGTAAAATTTCAATATGTTCATTCCGTTTCTCCAACTGAACGCGTTAATCAAAGATATTCGACACTTTCATAACTACTCCGAAAGGTTTTTTTATTTATCAAAGTTTATTTTTTTGAGCACTCGAATCCAACTGAAACATATATTCTTCAATCCGCAAAAACACACAAAAAAAGAGATCTTTTTTTATTCTTACTTTTTCGTAAGAACTCGCTAGTATTCCTATATTTCTTATCTATTTGATTTTTCCGGACAAGAACTAATGAAAAACCAGCCAATTTTTATTTTTTGTCTTGGTTTCGTACGATTCGCGGCGAAGAAAATAGCCCATGTCCCAGGATTTGATATGACAACATGATATGACACCATGTCGTGTTCGTATTGTCTTTGCAGAATACACAAATGCGTCGCAAAGAGAAATAGGGTGAAGTCGAGACCCGCACGTTGTAATGACCTTGTAAGTGGACAACATATGAAAAAAGATGGCCATCAGCTATCAAAACAGACAAAAACGGTAGGGTTGTCGAAAAAAATTTCTTTTCAGCGGGGAAATGAATTTGAAAGAAAGAACAGGTAAAACGTTATGGAAAGTTTCAATTTTGAAAAAAAAAAAACTACTGTAAATGCTCATCCAAAAAAATTTTTAAAGCTTTTTTTTTCTGAAAAAAACAGGAGTCTCTCATAAAAAAATTGATGAATTACAAAGAAATGATAATGAAACAACACTAACTTGAGCCATTCCGGGAGGGAACATGACAGCGTAGTTCAGAGCTCCGGCCTGCGCTTGGGCCATAGTAGCTTGAGCCATGGCGGCAGCCTGAGCAGCGACTTGATTGACGACCGGAAAAGGGAACTGTGCAAAAAGGTTGGAGCCTGACGCCGCCGAAAACCGAATGGGATCTGCACAGGCGCCATCATCTTCATCCAGTGACGACGTTATCACCTAAAACAACGAAAATAACTTTTGAACGGACGGCTCCCTACAAGTGGAGGTGCTCAAAACAACGAAGAGGAAACTCACTTGATTGAAAGGCGTGCTAGGAGTGAATGCCATCATCTAGGCTGGGATTCTCCTGCTTTCCAGCACCGAGCTTCTTAAAAACAAAATTCAAGTTTTAAAGCAGACAGGAAACATAGAGAAAACGTTAAATCACGAAAGAAGACGAGAGCTTGAAGAAAAGTGAATTGAAGAAAAGTGTTCATTAATTTAATTTTGGACCTTGTTTCACAGTATGTCAAACAAGTTGTCGAGCAAAATGCAGATAGGTAGGCGATGATGGTTGCGGTCGGAGGTAGCTCCCGAGCTCCGCCTACCGCGTCATTGGTAGGTTCGACGAAAGGTGGGCGGAGTCGGAGGCAGCCGCACACGCGGGAAGATCGAGAAGAGAGCAGCAGCTTTGCTGGAGCCACGGCGAGGCCTACTGTAACGAGAATCAAGGCGAGCGAAAGGAAGCTTGTACAGCAACACGTTGAGGAAAGCAGCAGCAGATTGATGGCCCAGATACCGACGGGGTGAAGCTCTGTGAAACATACTTCCGCAGAAACGCTTGACGTGGTGTTGCGATGGAGCGGAAAAGCGACGCTGGACATGGGCGGTCGGCAACAAAACAACAAAAAAAGAAACAGTGGCACGTCGAAATGGTCTGGCACGTCGCCGGCCCTCGACGTAGTAATGAATCGTCAACAGAGACAAAAAAGATGGACTGAAGCTAGTGGTCGACGGTGTAAGGCGCATTGTTAACAATCGCCCAGAACACATCGGTACGAATATGGCACACAACTTTTGTGTCTTGCTGAAAGTCACTCATTTCATTTTGCGCTGAACAAAGCGACATTCTCGACCACGCCAAATGCAATTGTTTCAACCAATCACTTTGGACAAACGAAAAAGTAACACAAAAAAAGACACAATTAGAAACAGTTTTCTATTGAAAAGCCATACGTCTCCATTACTGCTGAAATTCTCACGCAACTAGAATAGGGAATAAAATAAACGATTTTCGATTTTCAACAGAAGAAAAATCTATCGCAGTCTGAGATTAGTCAGTTATAGCTATCAACAAAAAGCTTCAAAAAAGAGACTACTCTTTGCAAGTGAAAAAAAAAATACATATGGGTCATTCAAAATAAATTGCTAGAACATTCGAAAAAAAAAACCATGCGCAAAGTTTAACAAGGTCTTTCGCATCAAAGAGCTTTCTTCAGAATCCAAAAAAAAATCCCGTCTTCAACAAGAAAAACGCAGAAAGCTGTTTTGAATTCATTGTACATTTTGAATCAGAAGCAAAAATACATGTACGCTCAAAGCTTAGAGACCTACAAAACTGAACTGACCCTAGAATTCGTGGAACCAAAGAAGCATAAGATTCGAAGAAGTACAAGAAAACTTTGAAATAATGGTGTAAATAGCTTGTCTGAGCAAAATGAGAGGTAATAGATTTTGTGTGCGCGTGTCTGAGTGCCGATTGTTCGGAGGGTGGGCCAACGGAGCGACGAGATGGGCGTGGCCTAGGTGGTTCCGACACGAGCGACTCTGCCTGTGGGCAGCCATCACACCTTGTTAGAGCCGTCGCGTACAAAACATCACAAACGTGCCGTAAACTTTTGACTTCCTAATTTCCAGACTGACAACAAGAATTAATTATTCTTTGAATAAATTGTTTACATTTCGCGAAACGTATTCCTATTACAGGGCTTCTACAGCCGCAAACTGTTGAACATCAAATTTTACCGATATTAAAAACGAATTTTCCCGAAAAAAATTGTGGACAAAAAAATTAATAAAGTGTATTCAAAATTGATCGGAATTTCTAAAAAAATGTAATTGAAGAACTTTTTTTAGATAAACATTTGCAATATGATAGCCGATAAGCGGGAAGAGAACGCGCGAGTAGTTTGGAAAAAGGCGAAGAATGTTCAAACACTTGACAATCTGTGTTAACAACACAACGATATGTGTGTGGGAATATCCACTTGAAAAGACGGTGAGCTTCGAACATGCGATTTCGGCGGATTTTGAGTGAAAAAGACTCTCACGGGCAGCCTAGAGCGTCAATTTGTCTGTAGAACAGCTTCTTTCAAGAAAATTTTACTATATCATCAAAAATCTCATTCTAGACTCAAAATCGATCAGTGAAACTTGTCATACAAAACGAAATCTTATATCTTCCTGATATAGCACGACTGAAAAAAAATTTTCTTTCGTCTTAAGACTATCTTATAGAGAATCCAATCAAAAAAAATGTTTAAGGAAGAATTTTAACTTTCAAGTTTATGGCACAAAAAAATATTTAAAAAAAGTTTTTTTAATCCGTCGTTTGTTCGGATATAAATATAAAATTTTACGATGCAACTTACAAAAAAGAAGAATTATGGTTGCATATTTTGAGCCCTTGACTATCTAGTCTAGTGCTTGAAAAAATGTCAAAAATCTAAAAAAAAAAAAGAAAGCCGGTATAATACTTTTTTAGGCTTATTAATAACGGTATTTCAAACCATTGAAGAAAAATAGAAACAATAAACAGAAAAATCAAATCAGACACAGCCTTCGAACATTATTTTCAATCAGCGGTGTGCGGTCTGCTGTTCGTACGCAATGCACACGATGCATTAGAGGACCCGCGCAAAAGTTAAATTTTTTTTTAGGATTTACGGTGCTTTTAAAGACACTTTCACAAATATGGAAAGTTAGCGCTTTGAGTATCTAATTTTTTTTTATCAGGAGTTTTATATGGAAATTTTTTTTTCTTTCATCTAATTTTTAATTTTTAATGATTTCCTCCTTTTTTCTTGGTTTTTTTTCTGATTTTTTTTTCTGACCAGTGAGTTGACAATAATTTAATGGAACGAGTATTCCAAAGATATATTACCTCCTCAGCGGGTGTATAGGGGATCGCTGGGGACGGGAAATAAATTAAACGATGATGTCGTCGCAGATTTGCTCGCAAAGACGTGCAGACGGCGCTTATGCAAATGATGAACCCTGTTGTGAACATGTAATTGTAGCGATTTTGAAACCATTCCTTCCTTATTAGAGAGACGGGGCAGATCAACAGCGCGGTGTTGATACTCTATTTAGTCTATATATCCTCGCCCATTGGGTCAAACACCTGTCTCTAAGGCTTTGCGGAAAAAGGTGCCGCGTCCAATTAGAGGATCACCTTCAGCGAGACCTGTCGGCCAGCACTGCCTAGATTCCAGGGCACACTTGAACTTGCTCACGCAACCGGATAATACACCGTCTGGCTATTAATTAAGAGTTCCTTGGCGCCTACGCTTTGTTCAGTGTACTGCTTTGGGAAACGATCTTTACTTCGGTTTTTTTAAAGTTAGACGATAAACCTTCAGAAAAAATATGATTCAATTTTTCATAGAAAAAAAATAAAATAAAATTTTTTTAAAAGCTTGTTGCCAATTCTTTTTCAAAAAAATAACTTTGTCATTAAACTTTAAAAAAACTTGGCGAAAACCGATAAATTTGCAATAATTAATTTTTATGTGATTGATAACATGAAGAAATAATGGTTCAATCCAACTTGGAATAATTAAAATCACTATATTCACTTCATCACAGCTATTTTTTTTCTACCTCTGACCACAGATTTTGTTTGGCCACTCTCATAACACCTCTACCCTTTATTGGTCAATATTTTCTTTTTTTCCATATTTTTTTCTTTGATTTTTTTGTCATCTTTTTTTCAAAAATTTTTAAAAAAATATCGCGTCTAGGTATAATTTCTATTGAGTTCTAAATGTTTTTTTCGAATTAAGTTAGGATGGAGAAGTTCGACTGTAGGTCGCGCTTCAATCCGTCTAACCCGAAACGAATGTTTTTTAATTTATAAAATTTCTTCTTTAACTAACTTTAATCAATCGTTTTCTCAATTTATTCTCAAAGTATCTTCTCTGTGTAAACGGTGAACACTCGTGTTAATCGGCTTTCAGAACACAAGTTCATTTTAATTAACAGCCGCAGCGAAACGCATTTATCGCCGACACATACACCAGCCGAGCACGTTAAGTAAACTTGAACGCGTCGTAAACACCATATGAGACCACATCTTTTTGGAACGGAACGCAGTCGTTTGACAAAGTCCTTCAACAACTTTGACCATCCATTGCAATCATTTTGGAGCCATCAAAATGACCGCAGCGTCGTTAAGGTTGAATCGATGGGGGGCATTTTATCTCCACCGATATCGTGTTTCGGAACGAGTTGGCGTGCCAACGACAGCCGCTCGCCCCAGTGACAAAATGTGCTAGCAATTGCGACAACACTAACACGACCGCTTAACACGAGCAGGTACGCGTGTCGGATTGGTGCGCCTGTTGCTGTTTCCATTGAGCCATTCACAAGTCGACGAAACGACGTGTCTCAATGATAAATGCTCGGCTGTGGCTGGACCGATGGCCATGTTACGCCTGAAAAATTGCCTCTCCTCTTAGGAACTGAACTCTCTTAACTTCATCTCATGAAAGCTGATAGCTCACAGAAGAGGCTGCGAAAATTGCTGTTTTTAAGTTGTTTTCGGTAGTTTCAAAATTTCAATTTTCATTAAATAAAGGGTGGAAGGAATTATTTCTATTTCTCTTACCGGCGAGGTCGTAGAAAAAAAAGACGGGAAGGAAAACTTTTAAAAAAGTTTTTGTATCACAACTTACTATCTTCAACTTTTCAAAAAATATTTCATTTTGACCTCGAAGAAAAACAAACAAACGATAATTAGACAGTTTTAGAACTAAGTCGAAAGTTATTGCCTGTGTACCACGACTTGGATTTTCACCAAACGACATTCCGCTGTGCCGCTGCGCGCCTTTGCGAACCTTGGGTGCGCTTTCAATTTTTTTTTCTTTCATTAAGATACTCTACTTTCATGTGCTCCCACAGTAATAACAATAATTGAAAGCGTGACCTAGATTCGAAAGACGCTTCGCGAACGCACGCAGCGGAACAGCGGAATGTCGTTCGGTGAAATTTCAAGTTGTGGCTCACAGAATATACCGTCAACATTTTCTGCATGACCCACAAAAATTATTGACAAAACTAACTTTTTACCGCTCTGGAAAAGAACAAAATGAACCGACGAGCGGTCATGTCCAGCCAGCAAGAAACAAGACGCAATAATCAAAAGCGATCATCTCGACTGATTGGCTTGGACTGTTGCTGTCTTCATTCTAATTGTAACAATAAGAGTTACGATCAACGAGTTGCACAACAGGCCGAGGTCGTCGCCAGTGATTTGCATCGGGCCGGCGAGTACACCGATGTCGTTGCGTGACCGGCCGGACTTGAACGACTTAATCCGTCATATCAATCCCCCAATCCTCGCTTGATCCGAGAAGCAACAATACACTCCTCAAGAAAAATATTGTCCAGTCCGTGCGATCCCACTCAATAGACATAAACATTAGCTCAGAGTGCAATAAATGATTGCAGCATCGGGATGGGATCGCGCAAAAAAAAGAATCTCCTCACCGAGGTCAGTCATAACGAAAAACCACTTCATTATGTTGGCTCCATTCAAAGATACCGGGGTAATGCCAAGATGAGTGAGCAACGACTGCCACCTGCCAGGACCAGTTGTGTCACTGTAACAGCGCTGATCCCATTAACCTCATTATTACTTTCGGTTAACTTTTTGAAAGATTTTTCATAACGAAAAAAAGGTTTGAAGTGTATCCGCTTTGCAATAAATTGATATTTTTATAAAGTTCCAAAAAGAAGGATATCTGTTCGAAGTTAGCAAAACTAGAAATTTTCCTTTCTTAAATTTTTTTCTGATAAACGCATTATCATTTCTGAACCGCTTTTATTAGTTATAATTATATGTTGTTAAGATTTCGCGGGAAGCGACGCGGCTGGTCGGCATATCTTGGGGAACTCTGGAAGTGTCAAACACATGTTGTTCGCGCCTTCTTCTCCTGGACGTGTTGCACGTGGGCAAATCCTGTTGTACACGACCTTGGAATCAGAGGCGAGACCAGGAAATGTGGTCAGAACCGAAGGTTGATTTTACTTCGTCTTTTTGACTCCAAGGAAATTGTTACAAAAAGAAAATTTTTTGGAGTTTTGAAAAAAGTTGTGAGTGGATAAAGAAAGGAGAAAGAAGAAACGCCGCAAAACAGACATTCTGTAGACAGAAAAACGGAGAAGTCGCTGACCCTTTGGCCAGAACAATCATCATCATTGCCAAGGATCGTTTTCGGGATAAATGAGAGGTCCGAATATCAGCTGTCGCCAGGCATCACTGAGCTGACCCCGGTTGACACCTTGCGCGACAACTACCTCCCTACCGCTAAATGCTTCCGGTCCTCATTCATCAGGTTCTTTTTCGGTATACTTTATCTTATATGGAAAATTCGAAGAAATAAGGTATCAAGTCATTCGTAGTGGTCCCAAGAAGGTTCCCAATAATGAAGAATTAGCTTTAAAATGTAATAGAAAAGTGAAATAAAAAAAGAAGTTGAATATGAAGCGTATCGGCTTTTTGCGCAGAAAATTAGAAGTATTGAAAAAAAAAACCGTAGCCAGGACATTAAACCAAGGCTCTTAAGCGAATTTTTTCGTACCATTGATTTCCTGACGAGCTCGTAATAGGAAAGCGCACTCTTCATATTTTGAAAAGAACCTTGTTCATTTTCTAATTCTCATAAATTTGAAATTGAATAATTTACGACTTCTACTGGAAAATTTTGCTAACAAGGAAATAATAAACTAAACAAGAGGAGAAGAAGAATTTCTAAGAAGGAAAAAGTGAGATTTTATATAATGGCTTTTCTTTGATAATGTAACAGTTGTCCCAGCTAAAATAGCTGCAGAAAAACTACGGTAAGAAAGAAAGGTATGAAAAACAACGTCTAAACCGCTGTCAGGCCAGCAGAGCACTTTCATGATGAGTGTTGGAATTCGATACTACCACAGAGAACAGGGACGTGTATATGTTTTGTAGAGCGTGACCATTCTCCGATTGCCTTTTTTGCTAAATAATGAACGGAAGTTCGAGGGAGTACTCTCTTTCTCTTTAATAGGGTTTACATGTGTTTCAAGGCTTTCTCGACGCAAAGTTTTTGTCATTCGATTTTCTCCTTCTCACAAGTCGAGAAAATGGCCTCCATGGACGCCAAAATGAAGTGTCCTCTAGGAGATATCAGATTGCGAATGGATAGTGTCTTCAAACACGACGACAACAGCTCCCGCTCCGTCATCGATATCTTCATCCGGTCCACAACCATTTCGCACGTCTTCTTTGCCTCTCACATCATTCTACCAACTTCCGATTGGTGAAACCTTAGATCGGTTCGCTGGGAGGCGAAAGAGAAGTCTTCGGATGTTTGACATGGGCATCTCCTTTCCAAGGTTTCCCGGATAGTTTGCAATGGAGTTTAGTGATCGCACTCGTAATCATAGGTATTTTTAGCCAATCATCAAAAGCTATTCAAAATCTATCAAAAACGCTCTTTTAAGCTATTTTTTGTGTTTCATTATCTGAAAATATCTTTTCTCAGAAGCACCGCTAATTTTATTTTTTACGCTATAGGGAATATCGTCAGTTTTAAAATGTTTTCATCAAAAATTTCCACATTTACCAAAAGAATTCATTAAAAAAAAAATAAAAGACGGATAAAGTTCATGGATTTTATTAATAGAAGACGACTATATAGTCCACTGTTAGTTCTTTAAAGAAATATTTCATAACAAAAACGGTTCAAAGAGTTTTTACAAACGAACTTTTTAAAAGGTGCTAAAAGTTCGCTTTTTTTACCTAACAAGATCTATGAAAATGGGAGTCTTAATAGTCAATTCATGGTATGTTGAACTTAAAAGAGCCAGCTTTTCGGGAAGCTTTGAAAAAAAAATAATGCGCGGTGCGACTTTACCTGATATTTCAAAAAGAAAAATGGAAGATGGAGAAAATTGGTTTTCATTTTTGCCCGAGATTTCGACAAATGAACTGAGGTAGCCAAGGCTTGGATAAGGATCAGATAGATTCATATTCCCAGAGGAAAGGAAGCAGGATGAGGTGACGACCTCGAGGATGATTGTTTGGGGTGGTAAAGGGCGTGGTTCCACTTTCCAAGTGCTCACAAGCCTTTAATTCATAATTCAGTGTGTTCCATCATAAATACAATGAGGATCGATGGAATTGGAAGCGAAGAAATGAGATTGTTCCGACAAGTACTTCTCCAGTCGCCAATACGCCACCGGTAATTGTTTTCTTCACACGCGTTTGAGCTCTTGTTTAATGGAAGACTTGCCGAATTGAGTGTGTGGGAACACGACACCCCCCGGTCCACCAATATCTTCAAGAAATAACCTCTTTTGAGCCGAGCCACAAAATCTTCTTCAAGTGCTTGTGGCTCGAGGCCCTGGGGCGTGTACATTAGCCGTGCTTCTCGGTATTTCCAATCAATTTGCGGCTATTATGAGCTGCTCTCGCATAGCCGCACTTGAGCATTTGAGTGTTGATACCACATCCGAAAATGGGTCATGCCCAGAGGGTGTCCGACACTTTCCAACAATGTTGTTGCTCTTTTTTGAGAGCTTGATGGATTTCCAGTATATTTAGTCATGTTTACTTGAAGAAATCAATTTTCGCAAACGGAAAAGTGATCGTGAAAATATCTTGAACAAGGTAAGAAGCTCGTTTTTTGTTGCAAAAAGTGTTTTGACGAGTGATTACTATTTGAACCGGAAATTAAAAAAACAACTTTTTTTCTGTTTGAATCTCTACAAAACGGAAACTTTGTATTTTTCATAAAGTCATATTAAAAAGGGAGGAGCATAAAAAAATGTTGAAAGGTCTTTCATTTTTTTGAAGTTCCGTTTTGTCCTTTTCAATTTTTTCTGTTTAAAGAAGATTTTTTTATTTTTTTATAAAAAACATAAGTGAAGTTTCATTTATCTATAGATACAGAGAAAAAAATCTTTCCAATAGTATAGCCTGTGTGCCACGACTTGAAGTTTCACCGAACGACATTCCGCTGTTCCGCTGCGTGCGTTCGTGAAGCGTCTTTCGTATTTAGGTCACGTTTTCAATTGATTGTTGTTGCTGTGGGAGCACAGGAAAATAGAGTACCTCAATAAAAGAAAAAAAAATTAAAAGCGCGACCAAGGTTCGCAAAGGCGCGCAGCGGCACAGCGGAATGTCGTTTGGTGAAATTCCAAGTCGTACACAGGCTATATATTGAGCTGTTTTTCTTATTGAACCATCTCTCAAAAAATCAAGAAACATGAAGTTTCATGTACTCCTAGAATAGTCGGTGAATTATTTTTTTAACCTATTTCTAAAAAGTTGCTCAACGTCCAGGTGTCCATAGCCATCAACTTGTGGCCAATGTCCAATCCTGATAAAACTGTCGGTTTTTCGCAGTTCAAGGGTCATTTTTCTCCGGACGAGAAGCTGTTTGATTTACAATATGCGGAAACGTCGCACATGTGTAGTTATACGATAGGGGCTGGCCGAGATCCGTGGCTGATTTTGACCCAACAACTCGAGCGAAGAAACAAGCGCCACCTCTCGCGTCAGTTTTCTTGCGGCTCTCGGCGGCCACGAAATGATTGATTAAAACGATGGATGAGGAAAACGATGAACACTCGAACATACACCGCGGGGGCCAAGAGGCCGAGTCTGAGCGGCGCTTAGTAAAGGGACTGTCACTAAAAAAACTGGATCAGAAAAAACGGAATATAAAATTCTTAGAAGTTTCCAGGAGCCATTTTACCAAAAAAAGGAAGGCTTTATTTTTTTGAGTTTAAATTATACATTTACAAGTTTGGCAAAGTGAATATGTTTTGGATATATAAAAATATCTCTGGAATCACTGGAAATTTTCGAAATCCACCGTAATCAACTAATTTATTCATTAATCCAATCAAACTGAAAAAGGCCGGAATTTTTACAAAAAAACATATTCCAATATCTGGACTTTTCTAGTAATCAAATTTTGAGGTTTCTGAGAAAAGTCAGTTTTTTTTTTCTATTATGATGTTTTCGATGGCACTGAAGCGTTCCCAGTTCTAAAAAATGTCATTCTTTCAAATTGAAAACTTCGGAAGCTGAACAAAAAATTGAAATCAACATAAGGCTACTTGAGTCTCTCCTATTATCGATTATTTAGATCAAGCCCCCGTTTTTATGCTCGGGAAATTTTGAAGTTTTGCACAAGAAGCATCGGGAACTTGGCGTTCAGTGAGGTGTCTACATTTTGGCTCGAAGAGCACTCAAGAGTAATCGAGACTCATTCATTACTGGGGGAAGGTCTGCTCGGAAGAAACAAAGTCATTTGGCACTGGCACGACGAGCCCCACGTGTTTATAATGTGTTATATATGACCCGAGGTCCGTCGTACATATGTGCGCGATTGGCTTGATGTTGATCTGCGAGGTGAACTCTCGTGCCACCTGAGATTTACCTTTTTCTGAAACTCTTCCTTCAACGAAACCTTCTTAAAGCTCATGGAAAATCAAAAATTGAAGTTTTTTCTTTTCGTTTTTCTAATCAAAAATTGTGAGTGTTCAAGAATTATTCAGGTATAGTCTGTGTGCCATGACTTTAAATTTCCCCGAACGACATTTCGCTGTTACGCTGCTTGCGTTCGCGAAGCGTCTTTTGAATTTAGGTAACGCTTTCAATTGATTGTTATTGCTGTGAGAGCACATGAAAATAGAGCACCTTAAGGAAAGAAAAAAAAATTAAAAGCGCGGCCAAGGTTCGCAAAGGCGCGCAGCGGCATAGCGGAATGTCGTTTGGTGAAATTCCAAGTCGGAGTACACAGGCTAGAAAACGGAGATTTTTTTTCAATCTCGAGTTCATTCAATTCATTAATGAACTGGATCAAATTCCTGGTTCTGTTGCTTGTATAAGACACGAGATGCTCGTTACGAGGGACCATATGGTTCTAATGTGCTGGAAAGAGTATATTGACTGTCGAACCGTTTGCGGCAATTGGTTCCAAGTGTTTTTGGAGCGCCCGATGGGACCAGGTCCTCAAAGCCATTATACTGTGCTGTTACGTGCAGACAGATTATAAAGAACGGAAAAAAAAAACTGGCGGTAATGTAAAGGCAGGTAGCGGTCATATGAAAACACATACGAAACGCATCGCATAGAAATAAATGCCTCGCCGGCGATTCGAAACGTGGCCAATTATAATCGTTCAGTAGATTACCGTAGCCAACGTTCGGATTCATGCCGACTAGTGTCCTTAATGTTTCGACTGACTTTTACTGAATGCAAAGGAATGATCCGCGTAGTTCTCAAGTAGGAAAAAAAACGCCTGCAATTTGACGTCGGTGTGGCCTTTGAGTACAGTATTCGTTCTTTTTCGTCGAATATTCCAGAATGAATTATGTCTCTGGCTAGCGCTCGGCCGCTTTTGTCGTGCTACTTTTCTTTTTTGGCGTTCCAAAAGAATTATTCATACTTGCAGGGAATCTTTGGAATCTTCTCCGGAAAAGTCTAATAAAAGTCTTGAAAAATTAATTTAAACACGGAAAACTTCACCTTGAAAAATAAAAACGGAAAGTGTTGTCGAATATGAAATTCAACGGACTTAATTAAGTTGAGAAACTGTTGAAACATTTTTTTAAAATCAAAAAGATTGAACTGAACTAAAGGAATCTTTTCAAACTCTTTCGAGAGAAACTTGAGCAAGTAGAGTCGTCTCATTGCACTTATTCGCCAACTTATTTGGCCGTATTATTTAAATTATGCAAATCTTCGCACGAAAACCCTCGAAAAATCTTACTTTGCGCAAGGATTTCTCCATTGAATGAGTCTCCAAGATGTTTGAATGGAATTGGTGGGATTAAATGACGTCTCGAGATCTTGGACAGCGTTTGGAAAGTTCTCGTTGAGGTTGAGATTCCAGGGAGAAATTGAGAGTAGGTAGAAAAGAAACCGGGATTTATTCCAGGAGCTTTTTCGGTACCGCGACAAATGCCAACCACTATTAGTCGTGTTTCACTCAATTATGTCGTCACACTCACGGCAGGAAGATTTTGAAGCGGCGTTTCTGTTGAAGATCGCGGGAGCCGATAGCCGCCCGCGAAACAGTCCACACGAGCATAATGATGTCGGTGTGACTTTCCGACGAATGTGTCGAAACGAATCGCCTCCCTGTTTTGACGTTCATGGGAGGCGACCGACTGTCGTCGTCGTCCTCGGTTTCTGTTTTGTTCCGAAGGCTTTCTATTTCGAGGGTACTACTCTCCAACTGTTTTGCGCCAACAAAATACGCACCTAATTGCTCGGTTAGACTTGCGTTATAGTCAGTGATCCGCCAATTAATGTCATATTCTCGATGAAAGTCTGCCGGCAGAAAGACCGGAGATGAACCGCCGCCAGATTAAGACGACTAGGAAATCGGTCTCGCCTGCGCATGTGTGCTCTGCGCGTTTCGCCATCTTCGATTAGCAACTACTCCTATGGGGGGATTTTTATGAATTTTATCGGAAAGCTGGGATTTTCTTTTGTAAGACTTTGGCTCATCTAGTCAAATAAAAGGTGAAAGTTATGATTTTTTTAAACGAAGTTATTTTCCAAAATAGTGAGTAACTTCAGATCGCCTACGTACCAGAGTATGCCTAAAAATTTAGCTCAAAGAGTAAAACTTGTAAATTTGAGCAGATAGCGAAAAAAATATCTAGAAAAAGCAACTTTTTAAACGCGCCATGGTTAAGGTTTGCAAAATTTAAAAAAATGCACAATTTTTTTCGAGAAGATTTTTAGAAGTGACCTTTTTCAAAATTTATTTCTACTTGATCTGAATTTTTTTGAATTCCAAGAAGGGGTATTTTTTTATACATGAAGGAAACTTTTTGATATGATAAGTTTTAACAAAAAAACATCACTAGAAAGATTCGAGAATACAAAAAGATGAGAGGAAATTAAATCTTGCCGGTGTTTCCGGTTGGCTGACTCCAGCTGGACTGCGTGCGTATTTCTCGGCCAAGACTGTGTTTGTTGGGCCAATATAATACTGGGCGCCATCGGTCACTTTGTCTGATGATCGGCCGACCTGTGTGGTCCCGACAATCTAGGGAGTGCCGGCTTATACTGTCAGGCTCTCCAAACCGTGGCTTGTAAAAGCCGAACTTGACACCGACCACGCAGTCGGTGGTTACGACCCCGGGCTCGATTTCTTCGAATAAACATCCTCCAACTGTTGCTTTTGACAACGACTATCTATTTGGATGGATTTTCCGTTGAGAACGAAGGAATTAGATGGATTCTGGGATCAAGGGCGTCCCGTGGTTAATGTACAAGGCGGCTGCACGCCCAATTTTCCTGTTCACTCACGCACTCGCCGAGGCAGTGTAAAACAAGTTGTCACGCGGTTACTGTAACCGCCCGCTGCGATTCTCCAAGTTTTGACGTTTTCCAAGGGAAAAAAGACGGTATATTGCGATCAAATTCGGCTTCTATCAAGCTGTGAAAAGTTGTTTCAAGAAACGACTTTTTCATATCTTTATTTTTCCTTGGTATATTAAATTCAAACTTAGATGAAAACGGGAGTTTACATGGTTTTCTTGTTGATGATTTTGAATGAAGAAGTTTAAGCAAGTTCAGTTTTAAGAGAATGTGCTGAAAACGGTAGAGTGGAGCTAACTCCGAGGACGTAACCAATTTTTCACGGTACCTTTTCAAAATGTTCAACGCCACGCGCTCACCTAGGATCAGTTCCATAATCGCCATGAGATCTGCGGTGGAGATGGTACGCAACCATCGCAGCTACATCTGTTTGCAATCTCCGTGGTTTCTGGGCGTTATGTTGGTGGCCGAGGCGTTAATGGCCTATCGATATATCGTATAAATTCAATTGCCAACACCTGGCTGTGTAGTAAGATCGAAAAAAGGACACAAAAAAAACAGGGCGCCATTATCTTACTTTTTTCAAAAGTTGTCGACTTTTTGAGCTCACAAAAGTCAACCTATTTTCCGTAAAGAAAATAAAACTCAGGTCACGGCATTCCTAATGGGGTGAGGGAAGGTGAGCGAGGCGTCAAAGTTTCTGAATTTACAAAAAAAAATAAGTGCGCGCTTCGGATGAAAGTATTGTGACGTCACAGCTACCTATCGTTGCAAGTTAAACTGAGTATCCAACGGCATGAAGAATACATTTGGCTGCGTACATTTGGCATTTGGCTGATTACTAATTTTGCGCCAAAATTTTTTTGACGTCTCCCCGCCCCGTTTGGAAACACCGCGAGGTCTGAATTTGAAAAATAGAATTTGCAAAGTTCAGTAGTTTGAAAGTGCTCTTCATCAAACAGCCGTCTGACTGGCTCCATCGAAAATTTGATGTGACAATTTTTCTGGCCGCTTTTTCAGCGATGCACATGCTTCGAGTGGAAAGAAAGGACTGATCCTATCAGCGACGAATCGGATCGAGGCGCAAAGAAAGAAGAAACGGTTGTGGTTTCCCATGTTGAAGAGTTGTGATGATGTGCTTGTTGGCTGTTTGCACATGGGACGCATCGGAGTTGAGCACACATTCGATTGGGATCCGATTTGATCGACGAGGCTCTTCTTGCGGCGGCGCCTCAGCCGCCTCTAAACACCGCCTGACTGAGCTTCTCCTTCGCACACAAGTGTCTAATTGGCCGGCTGCAATGCTCGATCGCTCTGATTACACAGATTAACACTGTGGCTCCCGAGTCGCGGCTCTCCAAGTCGGCTACCGTACACCCACCCATCTTCGCCGACTAGCGCGTCTTAGCACTTCTAATTCGAGTGATACGGCGCCGGATTTGATAGCTGATTTGCTAGCCGCTTTTGTTTGTGCTTTTGAGACCTCGTGCAGGGAAAGGGACAGACAAAATCGAACGTGTGCATTTGATGTGATTTACGGCGGTTCTTCTTGTGCCAAGATTGAGGACACTGATAACTGGTCTCACAAGGTGTTTTAAACTGAAGAGATTCGTGGGAACTTTCAAGGGAAACCCATAAACTGAACTTTTCGAAATGAGGAGTGTTCGGAAAACACGACAGGATAAGAAAAAAGAACCAACAAAGAAGAGCTTCGATCAATTTTTTTTTTTTCGTTCAAAAGGTTTTTTCTTGAGTGAATCAACCAATCAACGAAGCTCAAAAAATTGTTATAGTAAATTTTGATTTTTCAGACTTTTATCAAGCTTGAAAATTTTCCTCGCAAAAATCAGTGTAACATGAGAGGATTAAAAAAAAATGGAAGGGCTCAAAAACTCCTAATTCACAAATAACCAAAGGAAAGGAGCAACTTAAGGACATTAAGACTTCATGATAACTCAAAGTTTCATCAGCAAAAAAAAAGGATTGAGATTTTTCTCTTGAAACTAGAAGGCTGTGCAGGTTAATATTTTTCGGGATTCATGAATTGGATGTGCTTTCTAAAACAACCCCCAGTCTGACACGCTCAAAAAAAACGACAAGCCTCTTTTAAAATAAGAAGGAAAGGAGGGAAAAGTGGTGGCCGATGGACAATATGGATGAGTTGGCGGCTGGTGCAGATATAATGAGTTTATGTAGGTGTTGGGCGGCAGGGGTCTCACCGTAGGATAATGGCCGAATCCGAGTAATGAGAGGTGTCAACATTTCTATACGGCCCTTTCCGTCGGTCCACCGCTACAGATGGACGAACGACGTTCCTAGCCTGGGCCGTTTGGCACAATGATGGATGACACCCAGAAAGCCCTCAGATTTAGCCAATGTGGTACTGTTCATCTGCTTGTTCGATTCCCATATGTCTTCTCTCATTCCTCGATACTTCTTTTGCGATCAAAAAATCTTACAAACAAATTTTGGAATCTACAGTTAAAGCCTTGTACATTTTTGAAACAGAAAGAGACCGAAAAGAAAGTTTAATATTTTTGCTGACTTCTGAATCAAAAAGAAAAAGTCCTAGAAGATTGAAAATATTCTTTAAAGGTAAGAATGATTTTTGAGTATTCTTTTTAAGGCTGATTACAAGTCTTCAAGCTTCAGTAATTATTTTCTCTTCAAAAATAATGCGTAAAAACTCTCATTTTCAAAAAATGAAGCCATTTTCATTTTTTTTTTCGGCAGAATAATCTTTTTATACAATTCTTTCAAAAAAATGAATTTTTATAAAAATGGTTTTTCAGTCCCGATTTTTCAATTTATTCAAAAGGTTTAGTTTTACCTAGAATTCACGGAAGATCCTTTGAAATATCCGAAAAATTTTTTTCAATGCAAGATGTAATAAAAACAAACTTAAGAGCCGAATTTTGAAAAAAAACAATGAAAAAATTCCTTTTTGAATGTATAAAAAGTTTTTTTTTTTGCGGTTGCTATTTTCCTGAAAATAGGCCAGAACACTCCTTGATGTACCAGAAGAAGATTCTAAAAATTTCAATCTGCACAAGTTTCTAGTTTTCGAGAAAAGACACAGCGAAATCAAATAAAATCCTTAAAATCCATTAAAAAGGCTATTTTAAGGCTTCAAGTCATTATTTCTCGAAAACTAGGAAGTTATGAACTTTCAGGATCTTCATCCGGTACCACAAAAAGTGTTCTGGTAAGTTTTCAGGAAAATCGCAAAGTAGAATGACCTCCCCTATAAGAGTAAGAAAAGCTTTTCGAAATAAATCACTCCACTAAATTTTGAAGCATCAAAAATACTATTTTTTTTATTTTTGTTTCTACTCTTGCAGTTGCTTCTTTCAGTTGGACCGTGTAAGGAATGTGTTTCTTTGCGCGAAAGAATGCTCGTTGCAAAGCTGTCAAAAAGCGCGTCGTAGCCGGACAAGCGACTGACGTGCTGCTGCCAACTCGGCGCCGCTCGGCGACAGTTCAGCTGCCGGTAGACACACAAACAATCACGCAAACAAGAGCGGATCGACGGCTTGCATGTTATTATTCCACAGTCGAGGTTGTCGAAACCGAATGACGGCTCTGTGAGCACACCAGAAGCAAACGTTCGGTATGCTGTTCTGGGGGATCTGAAATCGGAGCTGACTCCTGGTTAAAGTTTGAAATTTATATGGTTAGATAGATGAAACTTGGTGTATAAATTCATCTCAAAGAGCATTTCAAAGCGATTACAACCGTCTACCTCAGGGGAAACTGATTCCAAGTAAACTTTACTTTGGGGATATTCGGTATACATAGCTTCTCTCAAAATGTGAAAGATTAGTGATTTTCAGGAAAATGAACCGTAGAGAAGAAATAGCAGTTATGAAAATCAATATAAACATGAGAAAGTTTTCTATTTTTCTTTTTTCAACTTCGTTCTGATGACGAAGATGTCAATGGAAATAGAGATCGAGTCCTTTAAATTATCTTTTAATCGAGCAAAGCGAAAAAATTTTTTTTGGCGGTATGTAACTTTACAGCGAAATCGATTGCGAGCAAGATTCCAAAAAATCATTCCTCTTTCTAGTTTTAAATCCAGAATGAATTTTTCGGAATCAGAAATCTATACTTTTAAGTCACAGTAAATCTTCGTCGCTTCTGAAAAGCTCTTTCAAGGGGTTTACGCATGTCAAACTTCTTTTCCCACTGATATATCTATAGAAGATGTCACTTAAGTAGTATCTTTAACCATGACCCGACTTTTTCGGTGAGCCCTTCTATCACTCCAAGGAACGTAGGTGTCGAAGTGATACTCAACCCGTTCTTATTAGCGTTGAATGAACCTTGGCGAGATCCAGACAACTAATGAAGCCCAGGTGAGACTTGTTGCAACATGCCTGGTCGCGTCGAAACCGCTACGGGAGTGCCGACGATACGTAGCGGCAGCAAGTGACCCGTGAGGCGGCAAGTCTGAGCGTTTTTCCGCAGATCACGCACCGGAAACTGATTGATTGATCTTCGGACGACTGTGGCGGCGTTCTGTGTGTATGTGTGTGTGTATGTTTTGCGCACGTGTAGCTCTGCCACACCCTGGGGATCATCCACCTAATTAACAACTCATCCAGCGAACAACCATTTGCATATTTTCAATTAAAACGCGTGTCATTTCATCATCGGCCGTCAAAGTCGTTGGAAGCAGTTGGCTGGTGGTTATCTGCCTTCAAAATCGTCGGTTACACTGTGTTAACCACGCAATTTATGGGCTTTTGATAATGTAAACGACGCCGACAGAGGAGCGCCTGCTGGTCCCAGCCCTCCTCAAAAGTGTCACTTTTGACGCGGAAAAATAAATCGCGATTTCAGGGGGTATTGTTTCGAATGAAGAGTTTTTTGGCACGAGATCCTTGTTTTAGGTACATTTGTTTTTTTTTTCCCGAAAATATTCAATAAAATCTGTGTATAACTCATTTTTCTTGGCCTGAAACGGAAGAGTGCGGTTCATGACATCCATTTTGGGGCCAATTAAAATCGCATTATTAAATGTTTTCTTCATTTGTATAATGAAATTTTTGAAGCAATTTTAAAAAAATATTTGATTTATTTAAAACATAGACAGAATCGGAAAGGGTGAAAGAGGCTCCCTAGAAAAGTTCCTCTTAGGGTGACAAAGGCTCCCTGTTTGCTGCCTTTTTGCGACCTTTCTGCAGCCTTTTTTGAGCCTATCCCTTTTAGCGGTCATTGTCCACCATCCCGACTTTGCCCGAGAATAGTTAATTTCTTTAACGGGAAACCTGAGCAAAATATGAAATTTGAAAATTTTTGAACTGGCGCCAAAATCTGCCAAAACCGCAGTCAGCCGTTTCAAGCCGAAAAAAAATTATACCACAAAATTTTACATCCAAAAAAAAACGAAAGCTCTTTTACCAGATTTGGGTAAGAAGTTTGAAGTTCCGTGGAACTATCTATTGAAAAATTCCTCAGCCTGCTCAAATCTCGAACAAAATAGCTATTTTCCTGCTCTTGGGCTATACTGTAACTGCCAACACAGCATTCATAGACGAGTGTTTCCAGCAATGAATGGGGACATTATCGATGACGTCATCCAACTGATGAACCCATGGATTGAGCTCAAATGTTTGCACATGGTGTTAGGACGACTGAGAAAAGGACGAAGATACTGAGATCCGGCGATGATTCCATGTTCGACGCCATGTTGACAGACGCGATTATGTGCGATTTTCTCCGATTTCACACCGTCAAGTTGTTTGTATTTGTGTTCATGCGAGGAAATCGTTCCGGCGTGCTCGGCATTATATGCTTGATTCATGATAATCACGTCTGTTTGCCAACCGGCGACACGTGCCAACGCCTCCGCTACCGTAGTTGTGTGACTTTGCTGAGCGCCACCCTGGGAGAACTTCAGGGCTTGTCGTGGCAGGCTTTAGAAACTACAGAAACCTACAAAGGTTGCGAAAAAACAATGTGATTGGCACGAACGGGCGGTTTAAGTTGCGCGGCGATGGTAGATCATGGCGACCATACATGCGCCTTTAATAAGAGCCTTATTTGTTGAATTATTTCTGTTTATATTGAACTAAATTTTGGAAAGCTGAGACAAGTTTTCATTTAAAACAAAAAAAATGCTTTCTTCTTTTCTATACTGCTAGTTTTTAATTAGAAAAAAAGGTTTTATAATAAATATGATTATGGTTTTTTTTTATAATAAAGGAAACATCCTTGGATTAGAACTGATCACTCATGATACAAAAAGTTCTTTTTTCTCAGTGTTCTGGCATTTTCCTGCAATCTTTCGGTAGTATAAAGTGGCTCGTTGCACTGATATAAAATCAAAGATAGTGTGTTTGCGCGCGAAGCGGCTATACGATGTGTCAACACATGAGCCGACTACCGTACACCCATCATCTGAGAATCATATCAGAAGTTGCTGTGGTGTCAAATCTCACAAGTGTTTGTCGAGGGCTGCGCCGAAGTATGTCTTTGTGTGTGCAACTGTTTAAAGCGCCGCCGCTGATACTCGAACTTGCCGCCGACTTTAACAAGCCGAAGTGACTCCGTTTCAAATTAATGTCGAGAAGCGGCTCTAGAAGCGACTTTAGAGGGATAGTCCTGTACGAACACCTTTTTTCAGACAGTATGTTCTAAACTCAAGTTGGAAAGTTCTAGAAGCTGGTTTTAGCGCCTTTTTTCGTCCTAAAATATTGATGAAGAAATTTTTCCTTGGCTTTATTATACTTCTACCTCTATTGTTGAAAGGAGATGGGAGAAGCTAAATTAAAAAATAATGGGTTGGACTTGAAGCTTAGGAATACTTCAGCTGGTTGAATTATATGAACTCAGGAATACTGAGCGTGTTTGACGCAAATAAATTCAGCTTTAAGCTTTAAATACACGTTTCGAAAAGCTACTCGTAGTCGAAAAGTCACAGTATTTTCTGATTCATCCTTTCTTTTTACAGGCTCGAAAACAATGGAAATCGTGTGAAGGCGGTCGCAAAAAAAAAGCTGCGAAGTTGATTTGTTGGCAGACATACGCTGTTCAGCGACGAGGTCGACGTCGTGATAAACGACGCGAACGGCCGTCGAGGACAAAATGCGGATTGATGTATCTCGGAACGAGAGTAAGTTGTCGTGTCATGGATTTTAGCACCTGGCAGCTCGCCAATGATGCATCGGACTTGGCGCAGATGTTATCTAGCGCATGTTGACAGATGTGATACTAAACTTGGGCGCGAAATTCGGTTCGTCCTTGAGTCACTCTTCACTTCTTTCTTTTCCGATTGACAACGAGGGAACGGTTGCATTTATATATTGTAAAAAGAAAGCAAAAAAAAAAAATTGGATTTCTAAAAGTTTCGAAGGCGCTTCTGACTCCTACAAGTTCGATATCTCGAGCTTGTTTTAGGTTAGCCAGATCCTTTAATTGTTTTCTATTTCGAAGCTGAAAGAAAAATGCGGAAATATCTTTGCAATGTGCTTGAAAGCGTGCCGCGTGCCGTGGGAACCGCCGTCGCAAATAAAACCCGGTTTACCGTAACTGGGCATGAATTTGTAATCGGAGCAGAATACAAAGAAAGGCTGCGTTGTGCAACGGCGCCTCGGATGAAAGGCCAAAATGTCACCAAACTAACGTCGACCATGTGTTTGACCAAGGATTAGCCGTCCTGGCCTCGCCGCTTCTTCTGTCAGCTCCAATATGTTAGAGAAATCGAAATTGCCATTGAAAAGAAGGTACAGTAAGCAGGAATTTTTTTTTTCGAAAGGAGCAAGTGTCGTAGCGGATTACATGCCACAAACAGGGGTCTTAAAATGTGACTGAACGGGGTTAAGCCTCCGTTCCCAGGCTCTCGGAACGTTTCTGGTGGCTCAACTCGTACAAGTGTTTGAAGGTCCGTGACAAATGGCCCCGCTAAGCTTTTCTTTTGAAATTTTTTGGAAGTTTCGTAGAACGAGGGTTCTAAGAGTTCAGAAGCATTATTGGTTCAGTAGCTTTTGGCTCGAAAAAACTGTACGCCTTCAGTCAAAAAAGAAGTTGATCTGCATTTTCCGGAGCTTTTCGTTCTGAAAAAGAAAATAAAATTGAGAATTTGTTCATAATCAGAGCCGCAGCTAGATAAAAACCTTATGATCTACGAATCTTGTATTCTTTCTTTGGAAATAAGAGCTACCTGGGAAAATTTTTAGTGGCCGCTATAGTAGTCAAAATAGTGGCCACTTAAGGGGTTAAAAATTAGTAGCCACTATAGACGTCTGAGAGCTACTGCTAGACCACTAAAAATTTTAGTGGCCACTTTTGGGGTCAATGGATCAACATAATCGGTTCAATCTGTTTGTTTTAATATTATCAGAGTTACTGGAAGGAATACTGGATGAAAAACTACCGAAGGGGCCACTAAAATAGAAAAAAAGTGGCCACTATAGAGGTGGGTTTAGTGGCCACTTTAGTGTCCTATCCGAGTAGTCCTTTGGGAGCCTCTATAGTGGCCACTAAAACTTTTCACAGTGTCACAATAAAAATGGCGTTTTTTCTTGTTAAGAATGTAGACAGAACTGCGATGAGAGTTTTGCACGGACCATTTCCAAAGCTACTAAATTGAAGATCAACCAGAAAACAATCCATCATTGTGATTTCGATCAGATCCGCAGCTCGGGACGCGCGAAAATAAACCTGAACTGCGAAATCGGACGACTACAGGTTGCGATTGCGCACGGCAATGAATCAGAGATTAGGATCGGACCAAGTAGCCAACGATACCATCTCAATCAACAAATGCTGTCAAATCAGTCTTCATTTGTTGAATCTTCAATTTTTCAGCGCAAAAGATTGCTAAGGAGGAGGGAATTTTTTCAGTTTTTGGGGATTTCGAAAAACTGAAAAAAGGAATAAGATGAAAGGTGTTATACAGAGGTCTGGAGAAGGTAAGGTGAGTAGACGTAATGCGATTTAGATACCCTGGAAGTCGTGCTCATCGGAGAGTGCCTCGGGAGATTTATCGCCCTCGCAGCCCTTTTTTCCGATCTCCGAGTACGGTAATCTCCCATGCTTTCGCAGCAGCCCATAAATTGCGGCGAGACCCCTGTGTTTTGTGTCGAAACGTGTGCTAGAGGTCGACGACTTGCTTATTTCGTTCAAACGACAAGATACTCTTTTTCTAACCCACTTTCAGCTGTCAGGGACTTGTTCCTCGAATAAAAAAATTGCTATTTCGATATTCGAACATAGGAAGATTGATGATAAACCTGTATAATTTTTCATTTCAAATACAACTTTAGAAAGACACAGGGAAAGATTGAAAGAAAGACTGAAACACGTCATTTTTCTGAGACTTTTCTGGCTCCCGGATGAATAAATTTTCCTTCAATGCTATCAGAAGGCTGAGGGCCGAAGCCCTCTGATTGATAATATTGGGCTTTTTTAACATTTGCAGAGAGTAAATTTCCTTTTCCTTTTTTGAAAAATTGCTCGGGCAAAACTGAAAATCTCCACATAAGCTTTTCTCAAAAAAAGACCTTGAAAGGGTCCTCAGCAGATCTTTTTTATATCATTTTATTTCTTTTTTGCATCTTTTTCACGTCCTTTGACACAAAGGATGCTGGAAAGCAACTAAAAATGTTCGAGTGGATTCAAAAGGATCCTCTGAGGCTATGAAAAGGAAGCTCAAAACCTTTTTTTTACATCGTTTTAGGTCTTTTAGAGGATCCTTCTTACCTTCCTTTCAGGGTCCTTTGAGGATTCTTAAAGGGTTAATTTTTTCCAAGGATTTTTATCAAGTTTTTATTAGTTTCAAAAAAACGCAAACCAAACTTAACTTCAGATCATTTATATACCGAAAATACGGGATTTTTTTATTGAAGGTTTTTTTTATCAAGTCGAAAGGTCTGAAACCGTTTCTGCTCTTCTTTGTAATCATACAAAAATTGGGATGTAAAAATTCAAGGTTTCCCCTCGGGAAATTTCTCACCTGAAAATCAAGCTTTCAATTTTTTGTTTTTACTTTGATATCCATTTCCATAAACTTGATGTGTAGAATTCTCTTCTTCAATCCGAGGTCGTTATTTCCAATTCTAGGCCAAAAAGTACAGATAGAGTCCAGTGATGGTTTTCTGGATCTGACTTCCCACATAACCTGGTTCATAGGCTTATTAAATGATAGTTCGATAAAGTTAGAAGTGAACATTACGCAAGCCGGAGAATGATTTGTGACGGAGACTTACAGCCGTTGCATCACCGACCTTATGAAGGCTTGCGCAAGTGCGCCTGCTCGCTCCGAATCGCTGACTCGTTGTTTGTGTGGAAAAGAGATCCTCGTAGGGGACAGCTGACTCCTTGAGAAGATCCTTGTTGTGCAACCTCCGTATACTATCCACGGTGGTAAACCATATACCGATTAATTCACTGACATCTTGGATATCGAGGGGGGTTTCAAGCTTTTTCATCATTCAAATCAATTGAGAAACAATTTGAATTGATCGACGAAGTCTTGGTATTGAAAGAATTCATTGGTTTTTCGGGGAGTTTGTTAAATTATAACAAAAAAGTCAGAAAAATATTTATCGTCAATTCTTAATGCACTGGCTACTTGTTTTCTATCATCCTGAATTTTCTTCTATCTTACTTCTGTTATGATGCAAAGTATAGATGGAGAGTGACAGGTTTTTCATCTTTTTTATGTTAAATGAGAGGAAAGAAAAAACTGAAGGAACATAGTTAATTAAATTTGAAATCAAAACTGGCTTGCACCGAAGCGATCATTTTCTGAAGGCAGTTATGCTATTTTGAGGCTTTTTTTTTAAATTTAATCACTACCAAGTGACATTTTAAATAGTTTGACCAGCACATGCAGAATAAAATAAATTTTTTAAAAATTTTTCAATTTTTTAAAGTACCTTGCGTCATTTATTTTGAAGGGAGTACTTCAAGTTTCACCAACCCGAGATAAGGTAAACTATGAGAAATGATCGAAACCGATTTCAAGAGATAAAGTTTGATGATTTCAAGAGATAAAGTTTGATTGATTCCTGGTTACTGGAAGAGGATCACCGAAGACGGCTCGCGCAAGAGCCAATCAACATCGAATGAAGATGAAAGAGACCATATGGGTGATACTGGATGACGCAACGCCTTCCGAGAGTGAAGCGACTCGGAAGTAAATGATCTTTTGTCTTTAAACAGACCGCCATACTTGCGCAACAACTCGAGGACAACCGCGCAAACACTTTCCGACTTTCCGAGGGTCCCAATTATGACATTCTAATATATTTTCAACCGTTAAAATTACGTTAAATTTTCTTTCCGCTTGTATACAATAATTTGACGGTCTCAGACTGACACAAGCAACTTTTTTACAGTGTTAAAAACACTTCTCAGTTTTTGGATCGGGTTTCAGAACCCCACAAAATATGGAGGTGCTTACCACATGCTTATGAAATATGTCCATTCCAGTTGTCTTTTATTCCTCACTCAATATCAGGAAATTCGTCCTGAATTAACTACAGAAAGAAGAGATTTTTAGAGAATTGCAATGAAGCTTCATTTGATCATGAAGTTAAACATTTTTTTAATTTTGAAAAGGTTTTTTGGCAACATCAAGGTGTTAACGATTGAAAAGTGAATATTTCTCTTAATCTGAGCAGTTTCGTCTGATTTTTTTAAGTTTCTTTTGTCATTAGATTCTCAGAAATCATCTTTTTTCATTATAAGATCAAAAAAGCTTTACAATCTTGTTAAAAACATGTTTTGCACATAAACTACTTGATTTCAAGCCAAACAAGACTTTGACCTACAATTTACTCAAAAAAACAAAATCCCATTTCTTGAAATCATCTGTAATCAAGAACTATACATACGCATTCAGTAGAAGTACATAACTTTGAGCTGAAAAGACTTTCAAGGTTTCAATGAATAGCCACTCTAGAAAAAGTCCTAACCGATCGACTTTTCCAGCAAGCCATCCAATTGATCAAGTTTTGATCACCCAAAAGAAAGGCGCGAGATTTAAAAGAGATGAAAGTTGTTGGATGCAACGCATTTTTTCGTTCACACTCATCGGTGTTTTCCCGACTTCGCCACCCAACATGGACTTTGATCTTGAACTAACGGTGATTTTTTTCTTTCATAATGTGTAGTTTATGGTTCTGGAATTCCTCGAAAGCCACAGTCATATACCTGATTTCTTAACGCTCAAATAAGAAGTTTACAGCCAATCAAGAACGCTCAATTTGACGAGGACGCGGATATTCTGGATATAAAAAGGTGTGAAGTTTCCTAAATAACTTTATTTTTCCATTTAAGTTTGCAAGTGCTTCAATGTTTTTTTTCAAATTATCTGATGAGGTTATATGAAAAAATTGGCCGTTTGTAGCGATTTAGTGATAACGGTCCACAAACTACCCGACATATCTTATGTCGTATTCAATTTGATTCCGCGAAATGCAAAATTATCTCCTACTTTAGTGATCCTTTTCTTTCTCTAACGGGTACTTTGCGTTTCGCGGAATCAAATTGAACACGGCATTATCTTTTTTTGGAGATTATGAAAGTATCTGTACAAGGAAAACCACACCCGAATAAGGCAGGGGTATCGCAATCGTACCATTCTATTGAAGGGACCGAAGCCTAGATATGGTATCATGATATCTAGCTGCGGACTAACCTGAACCAATCTGCCTATCCCGGCTCTGTAGAAAAGGAAAGCTTGTTGCATATGAAAGAAAAGGAAGCTGCTCACAGGCCTCTAGCGCTAGCCTAAGGCAATCATGATGATAGCAAAAGCTCTAGGAAGCAGCCTTACTTTTCTTTCTATCAAGTGAAAAAAGGTTTTTTTTTTCTTACCGACCTTTTATACGAAGTACTAACCCAAAATTTTTCAGCTTCGACTCGGAAAACAACGTGGCAACCAACCTCGATGTGTCAGAACCACATATCCACGAACCTGAGTTCAATAATGAAGACGTCGAAGAGATAAAACAGATGGAGACAGGCGAAATTTTGTGTATGGCTAAACTTATAATTATTTGAAAAGTAATTTATTTCTAGATTTCGGAGAAGCAGACCAATTATCCAAATATTCTCTCCAGAATGTCTATGAAAATGGCGAGAAAGGTTTTGGAAATTTTATTTTTCTCCTCTCACAGAAATTTTAGAAAACGGCGTGAGCCTCAGGAGTAATATACAAGAGACGCCGAAAAGATCGAACGTTATCAATGAAATAGATCGATCTGACTATAATGGTAAATTGGAAGTTTTTGTTTTTTGGAAATCGAACTGAGGCTTCAGACAATGTCGTCGAGACCGACAAGTTAGAAGAGATACGAGAAACTCCCAAGTCTTCTGTCAACTTGTGTGAAACTGGATCATCGTACGCAATCAGGTTTCTCAAGCAGAAGAGTTTCTAAAAGATTTTTTTTTCCTTTAGGCTTTTGACGTGGTTCTACGTGTTTATGCTGCTGACATGGTTCCTCGCCTACGAAACAGCCAAAGCTTTCTTTAACAAAGTCGCTTCACTTAAAAATTCGCAGGTTAAAGATAAATTATAGGCGAATATCTCTTATAAATTCCTTGTTCTCCTTGATCCCATATTATGAATCTGGATTGTAATTTACCATTTATTCCATTAATAAACGAATTTGCTTTTTGATGTCGTCAGTGGCGAAAATTGGAAGTACTGAAATATTAGTTGCTTTTATAGAATTTTGTCACCCAATTCGAAACGGTGGAATTTATTCCAAAGGCAATTAAAACAAGAACGTTAAATGTTCCAAAGAAAACAGACAGAAATATATAAATATGTATATCTCGCAATAAAAAGCAATTGCTTTAATCCTCGCACCAAGCGTTTTTCCTTGCGGATCTGCTCCTCTTCTTCCGGGGTGAAGTCGTTCTTGATGTTGAAAGTGCGACGGATTTCCTCGGGCGATTTTCCCTGAAAGTTTTTCTCGTCGTTGTCAATTTCAAAAAGTGGGGGACGTTTTAGTCCGTTTCATGGAAGTTTCAATATTCTTCAAGCTTCAGAATATGAAAATATTCAGAGTACGACACATATAAATCAGTTCATAAACCATCATTCCCCTCATTCGATCTAATTTTCGATAAACAATTTTTTTTTTCTGCACTAAGCTTCCAAAGAAAAACCTTGATCATGTTGGCGACGGTTTTGCAAGTGACGTCGAGCAGCCCCTTGATATCCAAGTAATTGGCAGCCTCAAAAATTCTTGTTTTATTCAGAGCTCAAAAAAAAAGATAACCAGGATGAGCTCGAACAAGGTTCCTTGGTCCACTTTCAGGAATTCGACATCCCAACTGTTGATGTCGTCAGTACGCTTTTCGCGGTTGTCCGAATCTTCGGTAGGCAGGGGATCTTCCCGGTGATGCTGACACCACTGAATGACCTGAAAAGCTCTCGGTGACGCTCAAATATCATGCGGTTTTCAAAGTTGATTCCACGAAATACAATTTTATATAAACTGATGATGATGATCTCTGACTTTCCAAAATTTAGATATTTTCTTCGCTCTCTGACGGCTATTTTGAGCTTCGCGGGATCACTTTGTAACAGTATCAACTATACGTACTAACTTTTTGGATTTTTGCACCTAAAAAGTACATTAGATAAGATTATATGAAGCCAACAAATATAGAAAAAAAACTTCAATCTACCTACTACCGCTTCGAAAATAATTTGGAACTTCTACGTAGCATTGAAGATCTAAGCGTTTAATTCTAATCGAGAAGCTTTCAGTACGAACAAAATCAAAAAATCTTGGTGAGAAAAAAGACAACCGATTCATATCTATTTGTAAAGTTTTTTTGTTTTTGAACTTCCAAGATTATTCCGACTTTTTTTCTCAAAAAAAGCTCTAGTCTAACCACGATTTCGAAATATTTAAGATTTAAAAAAGTTAATCGATGTGAAAAACCTTTTTGAGAATAGGAGAAGACACATTAGACACAGGGATCGCTTCGGTAGTATCTTCTTCGCTATCATCCAGGCCGAGATCTTGCAAAAGCGTGTTGATGGTGTTGGATAGACGAATCACATCTCTTGGAACCTTCAAAAAATTACATCTTTTTTATGATTTTAAAACAGAATAGAAGAAAAATACTTAAAAATTTAAAACGCTAATAAAAAAATTATTTAGAATGGAACTTTGTATCTATCATGATGGAAGATGGCTCCGCATTAAATTGAAGATTTGAAAATTTTTCTTTTCAGTCGTTCCCCTTCAAAATAAAAAAAAAACTCACGTCGAAAACTTCGTTATCCGACGATGTCAGTTTAATCTTTCTCTCGTTTCCAGTTTCCGCCGTCATGATGACTTCTACAGGACACCTGGAACTTGGTATAAGAACTATAATTCAAATAGTTTCGCAATAGTATATCGAAGCTGAACGAAATTTAAGCTTGATCTTTTTTGAGTATTGAAACGTAGACTTTAAGAAAAGAAAAAAGGCAGCAATATATTGTTGATAAAATTATTTTTGCATGTTTTCACCCCAGGTGGGTTGAAAATCCTCCCGAAAGTAACATAAAATTCATAAACATTGAGAAATCTTCTTCAAAAATGAAATCATCGAATAATTTAAAATAACTGCGGAACTGTTGTAAAGAAGTTTGCAAACCAACTAAAACAGCGCAAGCGCGAGAGAAATGGAAAAAATTCCGGAGAAAATGGTTCAGAAATATAAAAGCGCGAGAGAAATGACAAAGATTTCGGAGAAAATGGTTGAGAAATGTGAAAAACGTGATGGTGATCACATGATGTTTGTGTGACTCGAGAGCAAAGCACATTTAACACTAATAAACATTTTGCAGTCATAAAAACATCAAAATGCAGCTTTTTCATAAAGTATGAAAATATTTTTTTCAAACTTTCCGTAAAGCGATATCGATACGAAAGTTTCTTTATTAGGAAATGGGATAGAGAAAACTTTGATACACTACTTATATTCCCATTCTCTCAAATGAAACGAAGATTTTTGAAGAGACTTCATAATAAGAGACAAAAAAATTTTTCAATTTACGTCCGGGCTGAAAAAAATTTTTAATTTCGAAATTTTTTTGGAAGTAATGCATTAAAGTTTTTCAACGTTTTTCCCTTAAATTTAAAATAAATTCAAACAGTTTATTCTTTGCTTCTGCGGTTTTATTCGCCTTCAAGGTTTCCAAAAAATAATAATAATAGCAAAGAGTTACTTTTTCCAAGCATTTTCAAGCTGGTAACCGTTTTCAAAGGATTCCACAAAGAATAAAAGTTTTGCGAATACGTCCTAGTGATAAGAGTTCACGGTGACGCACTATTCCTTTGACCAACTAGGGAAAAAGGAGAAACGCGAAATGCCGTCTGCCGCCTAAAATACCAGTGCCCAGGCTTGCATAGCGGTTGAAATGTGCAACAGAGCGCGAGTTCCTTTTATAAAAATTGTCCCAATGTAACCCCCACGGCATTCCTATTGGACGAAATTTTCAGTAAGAGAGGAACCGTCGTGTTCGAAATAAGTAATGATAACGAAATCGATATACTCGATCATCAGGAAGTGCCTTTTCAGCACTGTTCAAAGGCGTCCGGCGCGAGGCAACCTTCTGGTTTACACTGCGCCGTCTTTTCTAGAAACTGAAAATTTTTCAATTTTCCTCTTTCGCACTACTTTCTAAGGGATTATGCACTCGAGATTAACAACAAACAAATAAAAAGTAAAAACCTAAAAACCTAAAAACCCGCACCTCCGCAGAATCACGCAGAATAAAAAACTGTTTGGTCGAAAATTTTGAGGATTGAAATATTTTAATGGAATTTATGGTGTGTTCATCGGACAAAACGAAAATTGCTTCGAAACGCAAAAAAATTGCTTCAAAACAAAAACTAGTACTGTTTTGGAGCAACTTTGGCGCGCCAATGAACACGATTTTTTGTTTTGAAGCATGTTCCGTTTCTCCGATGAACACGCCATTAAAATTTTCTTCAAAAAAGCCTGCGCAAGCATCTTCGCAAAGATGAGACCCCACAAATTTCGTGATATATGACGTCTTTGGTGCAAACACAGCACGGCGCTAACTCGCATACTCTGTTGAGCCGGTCCGGTTTGGCACACTGTAGGTTAAAAATGTGCATACACTATTCACGGTTTTTCGGGCGATATCTTCGTTAATAATGAGTTTTTTTGAAAGGAAAAAAATGGACAAATTTGAAGAAAAAAACAGAATTAGAACATTTAATGATAAAAATTGAATTTAAAAATTAAATTTTTCGCATTTTTTTCGCAATTAAATTTTTCGCATTGATTCGGCTTGAAACTCTTAAAAAAATGGCCTAATTTGGGAAAAGCGTCTTTAGTAAGAGAAAAAGTCTTTTTATTTCTGTAATTTTTCATCTATTAATGTCGGAAATAGCCTTTTTAATTTTATTACATAGAAAGAATGGTCAAAAATGGTCTAGTATGGCCAGCGGAGACGGCGCAGTACAAACCAGACAGGTCCTAGTAAGTCTGAACTGTGGTGCTCATTTAAATGGGAAATTTGAAAAAATGATGAAGTCGAGTTTTTCTTTTTGAGCATTACAGGCATGGAGAAAATTGATTAAAGCACAGTTCTACTTTCTAGTTGATGCGACGCGACTTTTTTTTTAGCGGGAAATCGAGGACAAACGCAAGGATGACAAAATGAAAATAATTAAGTAAGTTTTTTTAATGTTTGTGTACTTTTTATTCGTTTAACTGAATCTGTTCAAAACTAGAAAAATTAAAAAAATTAACGAAAAAAACCTCAAAAAAAGAAAGTGGCTAAACTACTGCTGACATGGAAGGTCATTTAGCGTAGGGTTTGGAATCTTCCATAAATTTTTCTCAATAAATTTTTTTGATAGACAGATTTATTTAGTCAAAACGCAAACCGCTGCTCGGGACGTCAATTTATAGGGCCGTCTCGAAAACCAGAAATACGTGAATCAAAATATTTATGTCATGTATTTATTCATTTTACGTAGAAAAATTTGCCTTTTTGGCCGAAATAATTGCGTTTTTATGAAATCTGATGTCATGAAAAGTTCACACGACGAATTTTATGAAATAACGTAAAACGTGATCTGTAAAAGAAATAATATTTATGCAAAGTGTCAAGCTGAGATGAGTCATAGTGATGACGTCACGGAGCAGAGGGTCGCTTTATGATTGGAATTTTTATATACAACGTTTTGGTTTTTCGGTACGAAACATTGAAATAGTATCACAGTATGGACTTCCCAGATCCAAAAGTCGGAAGGTAAAATGATAACTTTTCATGCAAAGAAATAAGAAAAAGTTTATTTTATTCATTTCCTAGAAGATTCGTGACTTCAGAGATCAAGCTAAAACCAGACGGATGATTACTTTGTAGGGCGTCGTGAACAGATCCATCGGTAACGGAGAAAGGTTGCGCATATTGATAGAACTGAAATTTCGAATCATAATCCTATCTTCGATAGAAGGCTGTGATCAACCTCTGTTCAGTCATATAAAATAAACGATAATTATCAATAAGGGATGTGGTTGAAAATAAGAAAATAGTTGAAAATTGGACTAAAGTTGGGTGTAAGTATATGGTTCCTGAACGGATTTATTCGAATAATATAAACAAGAACTTACTTTCGAGTTTTCCGTATATTCCTGAGGCTGTTTTGCCGCATGATCTACAGGTTGAACTGGATCATGCACAGCTGCGGGTTGGTTCAAATGACAAGCTTCTGAATGTGTAATCCCTGAGAAAGCAGATTTTGACTTTTTCCGATGTGGTTAACCTACCGTATTGCTGCCAAGATTGATAAGCGACCCCGGACATTTCTGGATACGGTGTACAGTGCGTCAGAGAAAGTGGAGGGTACGGTACTAGGAAGATTTTTGAAGTTATATATAGTCTGTGTGCCACGACTTGGAATTTCACGGAACGACATTCCGCTGTTCCGCTTCGTGCGTACGCGAAGCGTCTTTCGGATCTAGGTCACGCTTTCAATTGATTTTTATTGCTGTGGGAGCACATGAAAGTAGAGTACCTTAATAAAAGAAAAAAAGTTCAAAAGCGCGACCAAGGTTCGCAAAGGCGCGCAGCGGCACAGCGGAGTGTCGTTCCGTGAAATTTCAAGTCGTGGCACACAGACTATAACTCGAAACTAATTTTTAAGTAGCCGAGCCATATTATCACAATTATGGGTCCGTATGGTGAGAAAAAAAAAAACCATGAGGTTCGGAAAAGTTTCTCAAAACATTGTTGTTCATAAAAAAAAGCAGCTTTACTTACTATGAGGTGAATAGTTGAGGTAACTATCAGCGCCCCAGGCTTCAGATGGATGAGCAGGGATTTCTCCTGGGAGAGCTGTAGGAACTCCAAACGGTGGTAGTTCAAACGGTCCCTGAGGTTGAATATCGAAACCGGTGACCACAGAGACGTGTTAAAACTAACAGGTAGAACTCTCCATTGGTCCAAATAAATTTTTGGGGCAGGGATAATGGCTGTGGGTGCTAACGCTAACGGATTCACCTGCAAAATTTGAATTTTCGGTTGACCTCGTGCGAAAATGTTGATGATTACCCCGTTTTCTTCCTTTCTCTTTTTGAGCCTCGGGGCACAAGCCGATTGAAGGTCGGTCGAATATTGCTCCGAACTTTAAAGCGATTGTTTTCTGAAGGATATGGGAAAGAATGCACCTAGAGCCCTCGTTTTCTTTGACGCTATGTGCGATGGGCAAAGGCAAGGCAGCGGTGGACTGAAGGTTCCGAGGCGACTGCAGGAAAGAGTCGTCGAAAGAGAGAAGCTTCGCTTTGAGGGAGCTCCTCTTCTCCAACAGTGTCGTTCCTTCCACTTCACTGAAACTTGCTCACTCATTCAAAGATTTTGGAAAATCGCGGCGAAACAGGTTGAGTGCCCATCTACGGTCCGAAGGGTCACAAGTTCGAGTCTTCTGATCATCAATGATATCAGAATAGGACCTTGTCTCATTGACTTGAGGCGCCGAGCGGTACAAGGGCGTAAGAAGAAAGAGAAGAAGAAATTTTTTGGAAAACAAGATTGAAAACCAAAACTAAAAAAAACTACCTCAATAATCTGTGCGTTAGGCCGATGGACTCTGGCTTGCCGTTTTTGTAGAACATTCGGCAGGAGCTCTGCACAAAATAAACGCGCGAGGTTTTTTTGCTCACAAGCCGATAGACCAGAAGCCCCGATGATCCATTTTTGATGACTAAAGACATGGTTTTCCAGGGTAATTAGCGTCGCCAAACCTTCTTTGTGTGCTTCAGCCATGCAGACAGCGTCCTCGACGTGTACTAGCTGATATAAAGGCGCCGGCAGATCGGCTTCTGTCAGTTCCAACATCTCGTAGACTCTTGAAAAGTCTTTTTCTTTCTGTTTGATTGGTTGTCAAACTTTTGATCCATTGAGACGAGTGCACCGTCCAGATGATGCTTTGTTTTCAGTATGAGGTCTTCCGAAGAGACTTCCGAGGTTGAAGGAGGAACAAAAGGCCTGCAGGGAAGTTTTTATTTCAAGCAAAAAAAGTTCGAATCTTTTTAGTGGTATTTATGAAACCGAAGCCGTGAAGTTTTCTCCGACAACTCGGGATTCTCATTTTCTATAAGCTAACTTTGGTAGGTGGAGGTTCTGAAAGTCTCAACCCGCACAACGTTATATTTTTTGAAAAATAGAGGCTTGAAGCTCTCAAACGGCCTACTTTAAGGCTTTTTGACGACCCTTTTCAACTTCTTTTTCTCGAAAACCAGAAACTTTTGCAGATTGAGACTTTCAAAATCTTCATCTACTACCCCAATGAGTACTCTGGCCAGTTTTCAGGATATTCGGAGTAAAATTGTCTTCCTAATTAGACGGCATGAACCGATAAAACCCACCCTCATTTCTACATGTACAAATTTTGTACATAAAAAAGTTAGAAAATTTCCCTAAAAGTCCTACCGTAACCCAGTGATGGGCGGAGCCTCAGAGTAACTAGTCTAAAAGTTTACCGATTACGTCTAGTAACTGTGCTGATAATTTTAACTCTCAAAACGAAGTTTGAAATTCTTGTATAGTGTGTGTGCCACGACTCACAATGTTCCCAAACGAGCGGCAGCTGTGGTCAGTAGGCGTGGCTGACTGCAACAGCGGCACGGTTTATTGCAATAGGGGCGCGGGGATGAGAGTCAAGTTTTGTGGATTTAGTGGTTGGAAAAAGACCATTAAATAATGTTTTTCCTAGGTTCTCGCAAGTTTTTAAAGATTTTTAATGTGTATTAGATTATAACGAACAAATTTAAATGAAAAAAGAGACGAAAAAGTTTTTGCAAAACAAAATATCTCCCAAAATACCGTTTTTTTAGGAAAAACCCGTCAAATCGAACTTCCAAAGGGAAAAAGTGAGAAAAAGCTCACAGCACTTCTCTTAAGAAATACCATTTGAACGTTTTAAAACAAAAACAGATACATAATAGCTTGTGCGAATAAAGTTGTCACCCAAAAATGACATTTTCAAGAATAAATTCGTCGCATACTGCCTCGAAAAATTTTTGAGAAAAAAATATCACAGCGTTTCTCTTAAGAAAGCCCATTTGAAAATTCTAAAACAAAAAAACAAACGAAATATCTTATGCGAAATAAGTTGCCATCAAAAATGTCATTTTAATGCGAATTTCTGTGACGAGAACAATCGAAAATCACTTCAAATCTCTGGAAAACGCGATAAACACGTTTTAAGAACACATACGATGTGAAAAAATACGAAAGAATGGTAAAATATGCAAGAAAAAGAGAAAAAACCGTATTAAAAGTGAATGAAATTTTGTGGGGGCGACACGCGCCGCACCGCGTTGCGTTAGAAAAAACTCGCGTTTTCGCCCTATTGCGACGACCTTTTTTTTTCGCTTGCCGCCGTCTCTTTTGGAACACTGTGGACTTGAAGTTTCACCGAACGACGTTCCGCTGCTTGCGGTCGCGAAGCATCTTTGCCTTTGCGGATCTAGGTCACCCTTCCAGACTATTTTTATTGTTGATAAATGGATCGTTCCACTGCGAGTACTTGAATGAAAGAAAAAACTGAAAGCGCGACCGAGATTCGCAAAGGCGCCCGGCGGAACAGCGGAATGTCGTTCGGTGAAATTCCAAGTCATGGTACACAGACTATACAAACGCTTCACCGCAGTTCATCGACTTTCTCAGAACTTCTACGCTATACTTGATCCGCGACTATACCCATCTGCGATAATCAAAGCGCTCACGTGCAGACGGCGATGAGTCCGAGGACGGCTCCGGGATTTGAGCGGCCCATGACGTAGGAGGACGGCAGTCCGTGCAGCGACATCAGTTTCCCGCGGATGTCGATCCTCTGAAACGGACGCAGTGACTTTCCTGGAAGGCCTACCAACCAGAAAGCCACAAGTGTTGTCCAATAGACATCGAAACCTCGCGTTGGCGTTTCTCTCCAGGTATTTCAAGTTTTCTGAAGTCAATCAAACTATAAACTCGTAACGCTTATAACACCCAAAACGTTTCATTTTTCATGCACCTATTGACTCTGATTGAAAACCTCTTGAACATTTTCTATCAGAAAGTAAAATTCAACCTGGGTTGTACAGATCGGAGTGACTGTTGCTCCCAGAAGGCATGTGGAAATTGACGTCTATTTGCTGTCGGATGTCGTCGCGATCTTCCGAGTGGATCAAGTCATACAGAGGCTGGTGGAGAATGTCGCTCTAATCAGTTATTTTTTGTAAATCGTTACCTATTTTACAGTCTTACCTGATGAAACCCCAAAAAATCTTCGACGTTTTCCGAGGCGTAGTAAATTTCGCCGTTATCATTGATCACCAAAATGAATCCGCCTAGGGCCTGTGAAGAAATTGAACGGTTCAAAGCTACCAAAACTACCTTGAGACTAATAAGCTCGAAGTCGGATTCCTCGGCGTCGAGAAGTGCACTGGATGTCCGGACGTCGAACACGGTCGGGACCTTGGAGGAGTAAGGCGCCGGCGGCTGCGGATTGTAGGCGAAGGCATGAGTCGCCATCGGGTACGGCGACAGGAAAGACGAGCTGTGCATACACGCTGAAACTTCTTACTATAATTGATAACCTTAGGAACTCCAGAGCGGTTCCAACGGGAGCAACCTTAGGAACCACTTTACTAAACCCTATAACCTATAAGGGCCACTAAAGCTTGCAAAAGTGAATAAATTTTGTATAATCTATGAGAAGAAGCATTTCCATGCGAAAAATTAAAAAAATAATCGTTTTTTTGAATGAATTTGAGAGACCCCTATATGGACCACTAAAGCTTTAGGGACTAAGGGGTCAGACCCTAAACCCCCTAGGGATCACCTTGACTTTACCCCTACAGGAACCACTTTTTCGGCCCTTAACATGGGCTGTTTTACCCCTAATCACTATAGGGACCGCTTTGGGAATCCTATGACAAGAGATTTTAGTCAGTTGAACAAAATAACTTTTCACGCTATTTAAAAACTGTCGTTTCTAGAGCAACTATGGGTATTTCAGAACAAAATTGATACTTTTTCATTCGATTGAGTGTTCGTTCAGTTTATTCGGAGCCGCTTTCAAAGGGAACCGGTGATGAAAAAGAGAAATTTCCGATCATTTCAAGTCATGACGAACAGATTAGACCAAGTTTCATTCCTACTCATCATGAGCTTTACCTTATCAAGTTGAAAAAGATGTTTCTGATCATACTTTGAACACTCTGTTAATTATAAATTTATAATAAACTTAAGAAGTGAATAGTTCGCGTCAAGACTTCTGCGAAATATCATAACTTTGATTCAATTTTGTTTGAATCCCGAGTGGTAACCTGTACACCTAGTTAAAGGAAACCTTTTTTGCGGGAGTCGGAATTCCCACAATCTTCGTCGTCTGTCTACTGACCGTTTCGGTCGACATGCAATACGTGACATTAATGGGCACGTTCTCCTTGTCAAATAGGGACAACTGCGGCGTATCGCTTACACCTCCATGAGGAGGACTCTTTTCACACCTTCTGCCGTCTTTTCTACGCTTGTCATGTTTTCTGACAGCCAAAGTTGAAGGAATTATTCATTCATCCGGAGAAGGTGAGATTATTTGGGTTGAGGATTCTCGTGACGTCTAACGACTGAATAAAAGATGGAAGCAAGGGGGTCTACGGTAGTTTTGCAGGCAACAATTAATGGGCTGTCCGCGTAGAGAGCCTCCTCCACAGCTTCGAAATCTTGAGAGAAGAATAGTCGAGATGGGAACGACAACACTTGGGCCAACAATTATCAGAAGCATTCTCCTTTTTTTTCGACTAACACTACCACAGCTACGGTATCTCTATAATTTCCTTATGAACCCGAGAATCGCGCATTCGTCAGAAAATTGCCACCTTCGCTGCGATATGAAGAACCCGTCAACTAAGGTTCCCTTGGCCGTGATCTAACGAGCGCGTCAACAATGGCCTGACAGACAGGTATCCTGCAAACATACCGAGTTGCGCCACAAGGGAATGCTCAGCCCGAAAGAGACACCGCCTGTGTTTTCTTCTTTTTTTTTAAACATGTTTACTTTTTACAGATAGTTCCTCTTAATGGCCTTACTGGGAAACATTTTAGTGGTTACTATAGGGTTTTGACGTTTTAGTGGCCACTATAGAGGTCTAAGTGCTACAACTAGACCACTAAAAATGTTAGTGGCCACTTTAGGGGTCAATGGATCAACATGACTGGTCCAATATGTTTGTCTTAAAATTATTAGAGTTACTGGAAGGAAAACTGGATGAAAAACTACTGAAGTGGCCACTAAATAGAGAATCTCTACAGTGTCCACTTTAGTGTCCTCCCCAAGTAGTCCTCGGCGAGCCTCTATAGTAACCACTAAAAATTTTCCCAACAATTTTTGAGGCATTCAGAAGTCGCAAGTATTTGTTTCTTTGACAGTTTAAGGATTTTTTTTAATCGAGAACTTCATAACACTTTCAAAAAAGAGTTTTCCAGTATGTTTCAAAAAGCAGGAAGTTTTGAAAACTAGGAAAAAAACCTTGAAAATGAGCCTTGCACTGAAGGAAGCTGACGGCAAGACGAAGAACAGAAAGTTTGTCAAGTCTCGAGATGGTCGTGGGGTCGTAAGGAAGGAGCAGGGCCACCATCTCGAGCTCGCCGTTCAATCTGAAAAGAAGACATTTTCGAAGAGAGCCTCCGAAACCTCTCGCGGTGTCGTTTCGAAGGATTCGTCGACGTGGCGGGCTTCGGCGGCTCGCGGACTCTGCAACTACGTCTTCAGGCTATCTCAGAGCAAGATCCTTCGATCATTTCCCTTGTGCGACTCCCGCAGGTGTCCCAAAAGCCATTCGGTCAGCTCATTCACCTCCGGCGATAATGGCTACCTCGTAAGCTGCTCTTTTTTGAACCTCTTATGATGTAACGACCATCCATTGAAGGGCTAATTATACTTTTTTTTTCTTCTTCACGAAAAAAAGCATTTCTTCGTATACAAGATGAAGTTTTTTTAAGTTGGAAAATTCCCCTGGCTTTTGATCTGCTAACTGGGAAAACTTTTTTAACCCCCCAAAAAAATGTGCTAATTTAAGCTTTTTTTGAAGCGCCCTAACTCGAAAAAGCAGATTTATTACGAGAAATTTTTTTCTTGTGTTCCAATCAGGAGGTCCTGAAGTACACTTCAGTAAAGTTTCATCAAAAGTTCAACCTCAAGGTTGAAAATGTTTCTTAGTAAGGGGAATATATTTTTCACTATACCGTTAATGAAAGTTATATGAATGTATATATAACTTACAAAAGTAACTTCAAACCAGATTCATTTCCTACAAGAATACTTTTCTATTTCATACATACGACCTTAGATTCACAAGCTCTGGTCTTAATCATTTCGCGGCTGATTTCAACGGGCCGAATGAAGACGTCGGAGGCGTCCATCAATTACGAGCCTCATATCCGATGTACATTTGCGGGTTTTACGAGAATCATACAGTATTCTGGCCGAACCGGCGCCCGTCAAATGTCTTGCAACATGTGTTTCCCCTCTGCGCTCATTTTGAATCATCTTCCAAGCCGACAAAAGGATCTTCATCATTCCATATGAAGCTTAATGGACATCCTTTTTCGAATTCAAAGCAGGATAGAGAATTTTTCACAAGAAAAAGAAAATTCCTTGAGTATCCGGAGGCTTCATCAGATATATCTGTGATCTTGAAACCTTAAAAAAATCCAAGTTCACAAGAAATGGAAGCATTCAGGTAGGTCAAATGAGCCGTGTGATGTTTCTTCGAGTGGGGCAACATATGGCTGCCACCACCAGCACACAAACCGTTTTTATGATGTCTCATGCTCGAAACGTTTAATTGCCAGAGCAATTAATAGGACCAAACAAGAGAAAGGAAGCTTTCCTGCGGAGAAGACCCTTTTCGAGGGAAGGATTTATGGACTTTGTCTAAGAGAAAACTTATGAAAGGTTCAAAACTCCATTGCTTCACAGAATCGCTGAAATGTAAGTTGATTTCTATTCTCGTTCCCTAAAAAACTATAATCAAAATAAAAAAAGTCTCTACGTAATATTCTCAATATTTCAGAATCTGTATTGCTCGCTTATCTTGTTGGAAGACTTTCATCACAGGAATTCCAGAGTTATCCCTAGAGGGTCAGGGGGAAAACAACCGGGTTGTTTTTCGGCCCCTATGTGGGTTGTTACAACCCACATAGGGGCCGAAAAAGAGGTCCCTATATGGGTAAAATTAAAGTGGTCCCTCTATGGGTTTCAGGCCCTTAGCCCCTAAAGCTCAAGTGGATTTTCAATAACGTTCAAAAAACGCTTATTGGTTAAGTTTTTCTCTTGGAAATTTTTCTTCGCTTAGAGTTCATAACAATTATCGACTAGCCTGCTCCTACAGGGACCACTTTTGCCAGCTTTAGTGGCCCTTAAAGGGGTTGGTAAAGTGGCCCTTAAGATTGCCCCTATAAAGACCACTCTGAAGTTTCTGAATAAGCTAAAAAATAAATCGAACAAGCAAATTTTCCCCAACTTTGACCCACCCTGTCCAAAAATCACGAGACTAGTTCAAGCTTTCTCAAGCTCGCGAAGCCGTTGGCGGCAGGCCGACTGGGAGCAAAAAGGAATGGAGTTTTCTACAGTGACGGAGAGTATGCGGATGGATTCACACCTCATCTACGTCGACATGCACGGTTTCGTGTCACGAAGCTTCTTCATTCCCGTTCGTGCCGCACGCACTTCGTGTCCATTCCGCTTGGTTTCGCCCGCCCTTTCAGCCCAACTGCCACTGTACACGGAAAGGCTCGCGAGTCCATTCCTTTTTGTCCCCGCGTCGCTTCTTCACAGCGGCTCCAGGATATCTCACAGATCTTTCTTTTTTCCTTTTAACCACTCAAACTTCGAACTAACCTACTTTCAATATTCTTCTGTCGTTTATTTGAGGGAAAAACTATCGTGCAAAATCTTGCAGTTGTGATGCGTGCATAGCCTGTTCAATTTTAATCGTCTAGTCTCAATTTTAGGAAAAAAGAATTCCCCTTGTTCAGCCTCCAACCCACGATTTACCTGCTTTTTTCTGTATCAAGTTTGAGTGACCACTTGAAAAAAATCATTGAAAAACGGGAGAAAACTAAAAAAATTTCATATTTCTCTCTGTAATTAAATATTTTTAGCTCTTATTAGTTCTAAAATAAAATTTAGTACGACGAAAATAAAAAATTTTATTCAATTTCTCCTGAGATGAAGCTGAAATTATTTTTACATTAGAAGGATTTTCACACTGTGATGAAACAGGTGAAAAAACATTTTTGATAACCACAAAAATTTTGAATGAAAAATAATTTTAAAAAACAGATAGCATAGACCGCACGCTTCACAACTGCAAATGCACATCATGATTTTGTGGCTGAAAGGGTACATTCCTGTTTCAACCTCCTTCCCTATTTTTTAGTTTTTCTTTCTTCTATAATTCAAACTCAAGTCCGTTAGAGAAAGTCTGTTAGAGCACTTTTATAGCAAAACTGTGGCTCTCCATTTTGATTTTTGAGGGGTTTTTCAGCGTCTGATGTAGAAAAATCTCCGAAAACATGAAAACACTATAAACTTTGTTTTTCCATAAAACGTACTTCCAAAATTGTGAAAAGATACTCGGTTCTTTTTTCGTTTGTCTGTTTATACTCCACATCGAAAAAAAAGAAACGCATTTGACAACGAAAATGCATGAAATACGCAAAAATTTTACGTTCCTGGTCCTGCGAAAATGAACATTTTCCGAAGGAAGAAGAGCCCACTGTTAACAAGCTTCTAACCAGTCAATAAAATTTCGACATTCAATTTTCTTCTTTTTAATGGAATATTTTCAAAACTCCTCTTAAAAATTTCGAAAATGACGAAGATAAAGTGCCCCCTGTTATCACTCAATATTTTTCCTCCAGTAAGAAGCTGCCCAAATTTTATTTTCTCATAAAACGTACGATTCAAAAAAAAAAACTGTAGTCATAAAGCTGCCTTTGAGATTTGTATTTGGATTTTTAAGCGCAAAAAAGATATATTCGTTGTGTGTGGCATGCGATCCGAAAAAACGAAACAAAGGATGTTTTTTTTCAGAAATTACCTTTTGAAATTGCGCTGACGACGTTTGCTCGCGTACATCGGCAGATCACTTATTTCGAAAACCGAGTATGATAGTCAGGAAACAGAATATTGTAGCGAGTCCAATTGAAGGCTGAAATTACAATAAATAAATTGAAAAGAAAAAAAAAATTGAAAACGAAGAGAATGTCCTCATTTCAAATAGTTTAGTAAATCAAACCTCGACCAATTTATTTGTATTGGATCGGGATGGATTCGGTAGCTCCGTTAAGATTTCCTTGAAAAGACAAGGGAGTCTTCGGCCGTGGGCGTGGCCTGCCAATTGCGGCATTTTTCGCCATTTTTTTCCTTATTATTATTTATTCTTTTTAAAAAAATAGTAAAAAGTTTTTGAATATTTTTCTGTAAGATATACAGTTTAACTTCAAGAGTTTGGTTCGACTTTTTCCAGACTTTTTTTATGATTCCACTTAATTTTCCACTGGATAAACCATTATTTGCCTTTTGTTTTTTTCTAAAGTTTTTTTGGAACTCATAGTCCAAGATCCAGGAAGAAAACTCTACAGTACTTTTTTTGAATAAATTTTTTTGATACTAGTAATTTTTTTCTGAATTTTTTTGTTATCAATTGGATGAAAAAAATCGAAAAAAATTCCATTGCGCTCTCACACAAGCCAGGAAAAAAATTTTTTTAATAAGTTTTTAGTTTTTTTCATACTTCATTATCATGTATATTTTTTTCTTTGATTAAATTTCCCTCATAATGAACTTGATTTTTCTCTCAGCAAAAAAACATTTTTTTCGTGTGTGAAGTTTTTAAAATGAAATAAATGATTATCAGATATATTCAACATAAAAAAATTATTCGAATTCTCGAAGTGGAATAAAAACTCGACGATCGTAGCACTGGGGTCCTTTTTCAGATCCTTAGACATTTCCGCTTCATCGGGCTTCTAATGAAGACTTCTCACGCGATCGGGCCAGCCGGATTCCAAAAATTTTCTCGAATTTCAATATTCCGTGTTTTTTTTGTGTGAGACAAGGGCTTTTGAATCAAAATTTTTATGAAAAATAAAAAAAGTATTTTCGTCAAAAACTTTGATTTTATTGGAATGATTCAAGAAAATTCTTCTGTTTGCGTATGATTTCGGACTGCACTTCGTGGCGTTCTTTCCTGAACTCATAAATTCAATATTAAATTACGAATAGACGAGTCGAAACAGAAAAAAACGGAAAAATTTACTCGAAGCGAGAGTCGTTCCAAAGTTGTTCCCGGACGTCATCCAGGATAGCGCCGAGCCGGTTGGCTCCCATCCATTTCAACGGATTCGCCGCGTCTTTGTGCTCAATCGGCATTCCTGAAAGTTCATTTCACCTTTAATTTTCTTCTTTTTTTTCCAAACTGTATTCAAGCAGACTGTTCTGCGCCACAGGGAGAAAAAAAAAGAAACGTTATATACGATAATTGTTATTTTCTCACTTCTGACTACAGACGATTTTCAATAAAATAGATTAACTTCTACGAAAAGAAAACTTTCAGAGTTTTTTTTTCATGCTAACAGTGGCCGACTTCCTTATATAGACGGACACTAGGAAGGTTACTTTAGTGAAAGAAAGAAATATCTTCCTCTTAACGCGAATTATTTCTGTCATACGAAGTTTCCGAGAAAATTTCGTTATGAATATAAGAAAGATTTTTTCAGATTTTTTTAAATGGTTCAAATTTTTTTATTTTCATGTCAAAACGTATTCAAAATACAATAAGAACCCGTAGCTTTATCGAAACTTCCAGCGAACAACGTTTTTTTTTTCAACTACAGCCACAATGCTGATGAAATCTTTAAAAAAAAAAGTTGAAACTGATCTCGAAATATCAAACTAAAGACTTTTTTTGAGCAACTAATTCTATTTTAATAAGGAAAAATGTGGACTCTAAAACTCTACAAAGCTGAAAATATTATTTTAATCGCCAATTATACTTTTCCAAAAGAAAAATCAAACCGATGCCCCAGATCCTGTCTGTTGGCGACGCCTCGACGTTCCGCGTTCCATGAGAGAAAAACAAAAATTTGCGGAGTTCAGCGTTTTGCTCGAACTTTCTGTAAACGGCTTCGCGCATGATGTCAGAGCTTGCCTCATTCCACCTGGAAACGCTGATTCACCTCGCAAACATCTTCAAGTCGAACTTATTTATCTGTGAGTTGGACATTTTGAGCCCGCGGCCGATCATCTTCATTTCCATCGAATTTAGGTGACCCAAAGACAAAATTTTTTCCGCTGCGTCGATATCATTGGCGAACAACGCCTTGTGGTACCTGATAAGTTAAATTTCATAATTCTTTACGCAAAAGCCCCTTTTTTGCTCAGCCATTGCTTTGTATATATACTCAAGTTTTTAACCGACGAAATCAGAATTTTCAATTTAGATGCGCTTCCGGTTTCATCGGTAACGCTCCGCGTGTTCAAGCTGATTGGCAAAACATAAAAAATCTTTTCAAAAACATTTTGCAAATTTTATTTAATTTTACTAGAGCTTGAAATATAAAAAGCTGAATTCTTCGTCTCCAACTGAAAAATTGAATTTTCTGATCGTTTCGAGAAACTTCTACAAATTCAAGCTTCCAGCTAAACTCCGTTCAGAAAAAACGAGACAAAGAAATGAACGACAACTTTTTCAATTTTTTTCAAGTCTGGATTTCCAGCACACCACCCTTTTTTTTTTACTGCAATGCCGATCAAATCAACGACATAGACCAAAACTAAACACTGTGTTGAACTTCAAAGGCTACAGGAGCAGAACTAACATGAAATATTGTTCACTGCAAACAAAGTCCATCAGCTTTCCCCCATGCCCCGAGGCCGAAAACGGACTCGGATGGAAACTGCAAAAAGGACTCCCGGTCTCGAAGAAGAGTGTGAAGACACCGTGGCGGGAAAACACGACCTTTGTATGTTTCTCCATGCTTGCTGAAATCACATCGCATAAATTAGCTAACAGGCAATGGAAAAAACAAGCTGAACCGACTAAATAGAAAAATAAAATTGTCACTTGGAAGCGCAGACACATCTCAAAAAAATTTAATTAAATAATGCAGGTTAACCTGAGTTTTATATTATAATATGACAAAGGTTAGTTCACGTAGGTACCACTAAGAATAAAAGTCAAACCATCGTTCTTATCAAATTAACACTTTTATAAACAAAACAGTGAAGAGAAAGAGAGAGAGAGAGAAATAAAGAACTAGGAGAACACACAAGATTTGCAAGCCCCATTCAAACCTTTCCCAACACTTTTTGAAATGTTTCGCAATCGGCGTTCGATAAACACCGGGTTGGCGCCTAGGCTCGCCTTATCGTTTCCACTTTCAAAAAGATGACGAATAACCAGATGGAAAATCGGAAAAAGCAAAGTTTGGGTGTGTCAACTTTTGTAGAAGGAAAACGCGAAAGTTTACTTTCAACATGATAATGCCCGACCACACGTTACAAGGAAGACGAAAGCTGAACTCGCCAGGATGAACTGTGCTGCCACATTCACCGTATAGCCCCGACCTTGCACCTCCAGACTATGATTTGTTTTCTCATCCCCAACGACATCTTGATGAAAAAAATTCTAAATCTGGAGGTCAAAACCGAGTTGACTCGCAGCCTCACACGTTGCGGTGAGAAAGTTTCCGCAAGTTGCCCAGGCGATGGCAGACATCGATAGACAACTATTTATACAAACTTTAATTTACCGGATTTTTTTGAAGTTTTTTTCAAAAAAAGAAAAAAATTTTTTGCGAAAAAAATTCCGAAGATTTGGAAACAACCTAATAAATAAAAAAATATACTGTTAAAAAAATAGATTCTTGGTGATGATGAAAAGTGGTTTCAGTGTTGTTCAATAATTTCTACAGCACACAATCAAAAAAAGACCTACCTCTTTCGAGCCAGGAACCATTTCAGCATTGAAGTCATTGAAAATCTGAATCACAACTGTTTAAACTTGTTCATAGGCAAAGTCGTAAGGGTCGAAAAAGGCTCCATAGAAATGTTCTTTTAAGGGTGAAGAGAGTTTTTTTTTTTTCTGTCTAGTCAGCCAATTTATCGGCACTTATGCACCATTTCTACTGCCTCTCCTTTTTTCGACAATTTTTGAGCCTTTAAAACTCTACAAAAAATAGAGACTCGATAAAGAGACTCTTTTTGCTGCCTTTTTTGGGCCTATCCCTATTATCCGACTTTGCCCGAGTTACAGCTCGAGCTGCGCGCCAGCTTGTCCCTTTTTCTGCAAAAAAAAAAACCGTATAACAAATTGGAACCAACTTTGCTTCAAGACCTGCACTTTCTGCCGTTTTGCGGAGCAAACGTGCGGAAAATGATGTTTTTAAAATAGCTCTTGAAAATAGCGGATTCACTCTGAACTCGGGGTCGCCAATATCAGATAAAAAGGCTTTATAAAAAAAGACCGAACGTTCGGAACATTTTTTTATAATTTTATAAATATAAAACGAACCGACCGACTTTCCCAGCATGCCGAAACGTCCGGAGCGCTTCCGGTTCACGTTATCTTTCCGAGAAACGGCGGAGTGTCGTGAGAGAACGCAAGTTTGCTCCGCGGACAATTCAATCAGATTTTTTTAAAAAAATTGATTCACTTTTTTTATCTTTTTTATTCCGTTTTGTTTTCTGAAGTTGTTTATCTTGCTATATAATATCTCTCCAGCGTTTTTGAATAAATGGAAAACCCTTTTTAATATTAATAGTTTTTTTCTTGGTTCTTGAGCGAAGTTTTCAATTTTCGCAGATCGCCTAAAATTCAAATGTAAATTCAGCTCTTTTTTTTTTCAATATCTTCCCTGTGGTTTCGTCTTTTTATTTTGTTTGTTCCTCAGCCTTCTGTGAGAATTTTTTTAAAACAAGGTATCAGAAATATCAGAAATTTTATGGCGATAAACTGGTTTTTCGAGAAAAGGTCTGTTTTCTCTGTTTCACTATATGTTCATTTTTTCTCTATGTCCTGGACCTAGTTTTTATGGAGTTTACTACTTTCCTCATTTCACAATTATATTTTAATAAAGAAAACGGCTTACGCGTTTATTCTCAAAAATTATTTCAGATGGTCGATCAAACGCCTATCATTAAGGACATATTTGTGTCGCCGAAGTTTAAAGCATTTTTGGCTGGTTAGATTAAAAAATAGAAAAAATGCAATCAAGAAAACTCAGAAAAGGAAGGATGTGATCTTGTCGACTCACTCGAGAAGCGATTTAGATGCATTATTCACGTTGTCGGGAGTACTCTCATGATATCGCATCAGAGAAATACTAAAATTGATGTAAGAAAAATTGAGAAGACTCTTCGGGAAATGTGGCATCAGAGAGACGTCCATAGGTTTGTTTTTCTCTTCCTGTCTATATATATATATATATATATATATTTTTTTGAATATATATATATTCAAAAAAATTCAAAGTCGTTACGGATGTTCAGACTTGGATTTATTCTCAGAACTATTCGCGAAGCCGTTTTGAATTCGACTTGCGGATTTCAGTGCAACATACAGCTGACGAAAGCTCAGGCTGCTGTAGTCAGTGTGTATTGTTCGGACATAATAAGAAGATCTCGCATTGATGATATATTGGTAAACGACAAGTAAAATATTCTGTAAATTTGTTTTTAGATAGATCATTTCGATGGTCGTATCAAACTGTTCGGAGAAGAAAACACAGTTTCTACAGCTAGAAACATTGTACAACATTTGATATCTGATCATTTTGGTCCGCTCGAAGAAGAACTTGAGTTGCCTTTTCGAACTGAGCGTTATCCGAAAAGTGAGATTTTTTTTTGAGTCTGCTACGTGAATATTCAGATCTACCGTCTGACTCAAATCTTGCTGGAGATACGCTGTTCTCGCACGATTCTTACGATAATCTTTGCGAGGTGCGTTGTGTTCATCTGATCGATCGGGGTTGCATCTTTTAGACGGTTCTAGGTGAGAGTAGAACAAACAAAGAAAGCATTTTCGCTTCGAATAAAACTTTAACCAATTATAAAAAAATTAAAGTTGGGCCTCAGTTCTGAAAAAAAAAATCAATCAAAGCTCACGATTACCTTCCTAGAATCTATCGGTTTTATCAGTCGCAAGGTTAACACCCGCTCTGCAGTTGGAGAAAAAAATTAATAAATTTGAGGCAGTCAGGTTAGTGGAAATTTCGCAATAGTTTCACTATAAAAAAACTGCTTTTGAAAGCTTTTTTTATTGAAAATTCACCAAGATCTAGTCAGTCCGTAGGGAGATATTGACAGAAAAAAGTTTTGGTAATCGAGAGGGCATCATTACAGTTTATAGAAAGTAAACTCAAGGGTTTCAGAATTCTCTCTTTCTCGATTTCGAAGTTTGTTCAGAGTTTTAAATGAACGAAAATTTAATCCGAGACTTTACTTTGAACCAATTTTTCGTCTACCCTTTACAATCTTGAAGGGTCTCATTTTCCAGAAAAGTATAAGGATCTTTGGATATTTGAGATCTGGATGTTCACATAGTTGCTCGCGTAGTTATTCGCTAAAGCCTTGAAATATTTCCAGGATCGCGTTTTCAACGATGAAGAAATATGTCAAGCGCTGGAAACAAGGTTGGTCATAACTCCGCCACCAAAAACGAAAGAGCATTCGGAGGAAAGCATAAAGTTTTGGGTAAGTATATTATTCTTTCCATTTTCTTAAGGTTCCAGGTCGCAAGCGCGGATGTGGCGAAACTAACATCGAATCGAGGATCGTTGAAAAAGAAGATCGAAGCGGAGTCTAAATGCACCTTTTTGGTATCAGTTTTATTTTTAGTCTTTCCTCACGATGAGTATAAGATAAGCAGAGAATCAGAGAGTTTTGGCATGATTCCTGTGGAGATCGTAGCAGAGACCAGGGCTCTTTGCCAACAAGGCCGGACCGCTCTTGAGAAAGTTCTGCTCAAAACTCCAGAAAAACCTCTGACTCGAACAACGTCTCGCTATGAGTTTGTGGACCGGAAGGAAACGGATTCCAATTCGAAAGTATACTTCTTCACTTTAATAGTCTTTCTCAATTGATTTCATTCAGAGAAATTCTTTCCGGAACCAACCGAAGGTCCTCCTCCAGCTCAGTCCTCGGAAGTCGTCGTCCTAATAACACTTTCATTTAAGTGCGCTGAGAGATCTTTTTCTGTACCAAAGTTTCTTTATACTTCCTGTTCAAAAAATTAGACCACGGGTTTTTTTCTGCAGCCTGTGAATAACGTGTTATTTGTTCAATTTTAATAATCATATTGTGTGAGTCTAGCAAGTAGAGATGTGCTCAATTAATAAATTTCTGTTTTTTTTTTCTTTTCAAATGCCATTACGGTTTGGGTTGATTACCCTTTTACTTTTTTTTTTTTACATTACTATCATTATTGTAATTGCTTCGACTATGTACAACGTTATGGTTAGATTATATATGTTCTTTGGGTCTGCACGCAAAAAAAAAGTTTAAATTTCTATTAAATTTTTTTCTTTAACTCGTTCAGCCACCTCAAGGGTCTGGAAAAAAATGCACCAAAAATGTATTTTTCGTTTTTACCTGAAAACTGGACGGGTCCCTGTGAGTCTGAGCTGATTTGTCTGTTGATATTTTGAACTTCAAAATCGGCCCCTGTGGCTGCAGCATCTTTCGCCTGGATATTTTTTAGTGCGGGACAACGATCCATGGCGCTCCTTTTTTAACTTCTTTCCTAGCTTTTGATCGAAAAAGATCAAAAATTATAGCTCTGTTGAATGATCATCAAGCATGAAGATCTCAAGTTGGGTAAATTTGTACTTCCCTTATTAGGTTGACACAAAGGGGCGTGGATTTTTTATAATCTGTTGAGATTTTGAATGTCAACCAGCAAACTCCACCCCCAAAAACGCTCTGTGAATGTCTCTCTCTCTGATTGATGATCTACTCATAAGGGGCGGAGTTTCAGCGATGACTTGACATTAAAAATCTGAACAGAATGTGCGCTGTCCACTAACCAGGCATTGCCTCTTTCCTTTTTTAAATCTTGTCTGAACTTTTTTTTCGATCACTCACAGTGGCCGTGAATATACATCAAAACATAACTGATGTTGCTTTACTAACTATTTTCTTAATTTATAAGATAAGCTTTTCTTGTTCTTACGTATTTGACTCGTTGAGATCCACGAAAATGAAAGTTTAAGAAACGGACAGTATTGATTTTGAGGCGGAAAACATGTTTACTAGCCCGCGAGTGTAAGCGACCAAAGCTCATCGTTAGCACGTTCGTCCCTCATTCTATCAGTCAGTTCTCTGTTTATTATCCGTTTTTATTCTATCAGCAACCGTTGCACTGAAGCTAGGCCAGTAAGGGCCAAGAACTTTCCGTTTTATTTTCCGTTTATTTTCCGTTTTATTTAAACGCTGTGTCTCAATTTCCATAGTTTCTTTCAAATTATATCATGTTGAAAGAATATTCGACAGCCACTGGAAACTGATTTCAGAAATTCTGAGACGAAAAGGGTAGCTTGTTTTTAGTAGCTCACAGAAGTTTTTTCCTTTCTAGATAAATTTATAATAATCGTATTTATTCTGATATGTGCAAAAGTACCAGAAAACGCAGAAAAACATTGACTTCATAAATTTAAGAAAACTGGTGTTTTTCCAAGTACAGAATTTTACAGCCGCCTCATATAACCTATGAACAAGTAACTGCATGTCATTTTCTTTTCTCTTTCTTCTTCTAGCCGATATCAAACTTTACGCGCTCGTTTGACATTCATGGTTATTTTCGTATAACTGATTTCACTGCAGAAAAAAAAATATGTCGAGCCGCAGAACGTATTCGATCATCCCAAACGACGAAAAGCAGCCTCCTGAACCGCGTTTGCCTGACATTCCAACTTTTGGAGAAAGTAGTTTTTTGATCATGTTTTTAGAAAAAATTTTCTGATGGGACACGTCGTTTTTTAATATAAAATTGCTGGAGAGTTTGTACGAAAGTTTCTGAATTTCTTACTTTTTTACCAGATGTTCTCGAAATTTTCACAGGCCATCGCACTGGCGTAAACATGCGCTGAATCGATTCAAACGCGCGCCGCACATATGTTGCCGCCTTCTTTTTTCAAAATACGATTTTCACCTTTTGTTTTTTTTTTTCTGAAGTGAGAAACGCTAAGATCGGTATTATAGGTGTGAAAACCAAATTTCCTTATAATCTTTAAAAAGGGTTGCGTACGAAGGTATGATACTCTTTATTCTTCCACAACTGCAAATCACTACATTTTTTTAGGGAAAAAAAGTTTAAGAGTTTTTTTGAAATTCTCGTAGTGTTTTTTTTTCAGTTAAAAGGAAAGCCTGTGCATCTTAGTGGGGAAAAGAAAAAATTTAAAATACTGTTTTTTATAATAGTTTTGAAGGAAAAATAAACGAGTTATGGATTCAGTATTTTAAAATTTTTCGTTTTTTCAACAAGACAGCTTTTATTTACATTTTCTACAGCAAAAGAGACAAATTTTCAGTTCTCGCTACCAAGCGCGACATTGATACGAGAGCCATGCCGTTTTGGACCACTCAGGTACGTATACTTTTTTAATCTTGAGTGGGAAGGATTACGTAAAACTTCAGAGAGGTGGCGTTCAAAAAAATTGGGAAGTCATTATTTTTCGAAAAAAATCAAATAATTGTCTTCCAAATAAGAATCTTTGATATGATAGCGTGCTGGAGTAATCAAACAAAAAAAGGAATTAAAGACGAAAAACTCAACCCTGTGCTAAAGTTTATACTTTTATAAAAAGAAAACCAAGTGAGAAAACCATGAAAGAACTGTATAGAAGATGCATGACGTTTCTCCATATTTTTTTTACTTCTTTCAGTATCCATCTTTGAAGGCACAGTCTGTACAGATTTTGAATTTCAAGCTAAAAACTAAAGTTAACTCCGCCCCCGCTGGCACAGTACCTTTTCGCGTCAATGTTTGGTGGCGCGTGGCGATGATCCTTCAATAGTTCTACATTTTTTGATCTTCTTTTATTTAACAACCAGAAAAAGTCAGAAAATGCAACGCTATTGAAGAATCACCGTCACACGCGAAAAATATCAACGCAAAAAAATGTTGAAGCCATAGGGGCGGAGTCAGCTGCTTGATATTCAAAATCAGCTTCCTATAGTTTTCCATCCTTCTTGAAAGCTTCTGACATAACTGTTGAAATTTTGAAAACTCATCTGATGGCTTTCAACTCACAACGGTTTTTGAGATATGAGGCGCCCAAAATCCAAAAATAAAGTCTCGCTGAGTATCAGTGAAACTCAGAATTCTTCCAAATGCACAATATTACATTTACAGAGCTTTTTTTCAGGATACACGCAACGCTATCTTGTCGACGTTGATTCCTGGAGCAGCGGCGGCAACGGCTTTCGCCGTTTTTGCTCGGGACCACAGTGTGACGACTTGGTGGTCGGTGCGTTTGCTCAATCGCATTTCTTACAAGAAAAAGTCGTTTTCAGGGTATTCGCAAACCGAACTGGGCGCCAGAAGATGTTCGAGTGTACTCGGCTGTTGATTTGCTGACCGTGTCGCCGCTGGGCTACGCTTCTTACCTCGTTTACAAGAACGGCGGGGGCTTCGACTACAACGACACTCGTCTTGCTCTCGGCCTCTACGGCGCCAATCTCGCTCTCGCCCTCGCCACTATCCCCATCGTCAAGAACAAGAATTTGGGCTGCGTCAGTTTTGATTTAATATTAATTCTAATGTTATTTGAAAATATGAAATCGGTAAGGCTAACGATAATCTAGAATTTTTTCGGTTAAGACTTCAGTTTCTTACGTTAGAGCGTATTTTATAATTATTGTTGGCCTTTGTTCATTTGTGAAGATTTGAAAAGGTCGGAGGTCATACATGGCGTCCAAGAATAGGTTTTCTCTAAGTTTATAAAAATTGGTTGCTTGGTTGAGAAAAAAGGCTGTCTGGTAAAGTAACGAACACATTAATATAAATTTTCGAAAAAAAGAATACATTAAGAATGAACCTTTGCGTGCAAAATCATGTTTTTAAAAGCAGATTAATGGAAGGCTTGGTTGAGAAAAAACTAGATTTTGAAGTTGAACCGAATTTTAAATATCGTATAAATTCATTAACAATTTATTTCTCGAATTTTTCTCGTACATGTTAATGAAACATAATGAACATCGAAAAAGCCCAATCAAAAAGAAAATCTTCTAATAACTCATTTTACTTTTTCAGATGTGGAAAAACACCGCTTTGATTCACCTCACGGCTGCCGGAGCTGCGTATGCGTTCTACAAGGTTTAAATTTCGTTCTTTCGATTGATCCAGCGCGCTCTCTCATTTTTCTCATCCGAATCTTCAGATCGACAAAACGGCCGGTCTTCTGCTCGTTCCGTATGCTCTTTGGACCGGATTTTACGCCATCCTCGCTTATTCTATCGATAAGGAGAACAAGCCTATCAAGGATTTGTAAGCAAACCCGTAATCTAATTTAGAATTTTAAGTTCTAGTTAAGATGGTTTCCTTTTTTTATTATTTTCTTTTCGGCTGTTTATTAAAAGTATTTTTTTCTTGAGTTCAATCGGATCTTTTTTTGTCTATTCAACGTGTCGCTCGTTTCTCTGTTGTATAAATTTGAAGTTCAACTGTTTCTGTACATTCAAATTGTTTTATTCAATTTTTATCGTGAGAATAATAAGAATAGAAAGAATGAGCTGTTCTTGGTTTAGAAGGGCCGTCAGATTTGAAATGTCCGTTTACAACAAGGTATGTCGCTTAAAAGTTCATTCAAAGATAGAGAAACATCCGAAAATGCTTCATCTAGGACCTTTGTAACGCTAACCGGACGTGTAGGGGAAATTCTAGTAATCACTTTAGTAGGATCAGCACTTACTCAAAAAAAATCCGGTTTTCGATACCCAAGATTTTCTTTCTTTTTGTAGGGCAAAAGCGCAACTTTCTTACGGTAGCTTTTTTTCTGCAGTTCTTTCAAAACGTCTGCTTGCGCGGATCATTAATGCTAGATACAAAAACTTCATCGAAAACATTCCCGGACCTTGATAACTCTAACCGAAAGCCAGTCGGACGTTTTGAGGCATTTCTAGTGTCCACTATAGTAGCGTCAGCAATCTTAAGTGCTCCCTAGAATTGCTCAGAAGCGTCCAGTTGTTTTCACTTTTTGTGCGTTTGAAAAATCCTCCCACTTTCTTGATGAAAAGTTTTGAGGAAAGTCGCATTGGAGAGTCAGAAGACGTGTGGGACGACACCGAGCTCATACGCATGTACGAAGAATCCATCAGTTCAACTTATGTTTGAAAAGACATCGATTTTCTTAGAAAATAACAGTTTATAGAAGCAGCTGAAAGCGCCTGCCCAGTCGAGGACTGTAACTACCAAGGATGGAAACGTTTACAATGTACTTTGGATTTTTTTTAAACCGATTTTACGGTTACTTTACTGAAGACTTTCCGTACGACTTCACCATTGTGTCCAGAAGAACTTGTAAATCCAATCTCTTACGAGAATCGATGAAATCGGAGTGTTAAAGCCTAAATCCTTTTTCCCTCACAAGGAAGGTCCTTTTAACTTGCGGTTAAGAATTTCCTGAATTTTGTCCAAAAAAATGTTTAAATGTACTAGAAGAGAATACTGAAAGTTCAACCTGTACAGTTTGCTACTTTTTCAAAAATTAGGGCTAAAAGCGCCAAAATAGCTACGCACGCTGACAGGGGAAGCCATTTTACTTTAAGGTTGATAATTTCCTGAAAATTGGCCGGAACACTTCTTGATGTACTTGATGATGATCCTGGAAGTCTCAACCTGTACAGTTTATTCGTTTTCGAGAAATAATTTTTCAAATCCTCAAAATACCTTATTTTATGGGTTTTGAGGGTTTTCTTTGACTTTGAGCCGACTTTTCTCAAAAACGAGGAAGTTGTGCAGGTTGAGACTTTTAGAATCTTCTTCTGGTACATCAAGGAGTGTTCTGGCCTATTTTCAAGAAAATCGCAACGGCAAAGTAGAATGACTTTCCTCGACAGGATTTTCAAGCAATTTCTGAGATCCTTTTCTGCAGTGGACGGTGGGCTCACAGTGCATGGCGCCGTTCGAGGAAGAAGGTGAGACGGCCTGGTTTCCGGCGGTGATCGAGGAGCTGGACGAGAAATCAACTCAAGTCGTCGTCATCTTCGAAGGCTACGGCAACATGGAGACTGTCGACATCGAGAGCCTTTGGCAGTGAGATTTCATCATTTTTCCCGAATTTCTGTCATCAAAAATCATCTTGCTGACTTCTCAATGAACTCGAAGTTAGATAACTTGGTAAATATGGTCTTGAGGATCGAATTGATGCTTTCCTTGATCGTTTCTCCTCCTTTTTCAAATTTCCTATCTTCTTAGGATTATAGCTTCTTTAAAAATAAATATGTAGTACTTGAAAGAAACTTCTTCCTTACAAGTTTCCCTTGTATCAACTTTTTCTGAAAAACTAGGAAATTTCAGAAAAACTGATAGCGCCGAAGAAGTGATGGATACGAATGAGAAATCCGCAACCCCACAGAAAATTAGTATGTTTTTCGAGCATTATGAGTTTTCAAGTTTGAGCTAAAGAGGTCAATTGCGAAGCAGAGAGCACACCAGATGGGCCGAAAAAGCCGAAAAATGTGCCAATGGTCTGTTGAAATTCACAGCCAGTTCGAATTATTTGCATCAGATCCCCGCAATAGCACCGCCGCCACCGTTGTCCGTCTTCAGCACTGCTCTTCCAAATGAGGTTGAACACGCAATGAACCTTTCTCACAAGGGGCCTCGTTTTAATTTGCTGTTGGGATTTTTTCTGAAAATTGGCCAGAACACTCCTTGATTTACCATATGAGCCTAGAAATCGCAACTTTCTGGTTTTTAAGAAAGGACATCTCTAGGTCAATAAAACTATTAAAATACTTTATATTAAGCTTCTTGGGTCTTTGAGCCCTTATTTTTTGATAAGCTGAGAATTCTAGTACAATGAGACTTTCAAAACCTTCGGGGACACAAAAAAGCCTTCTGGCCAAATTCCAGGAGCTTCCCAACCTCCAAATAAAATAATCATTCTTGTCAGAATCCCAAAGAAAGACCCTGTTCTTTGTTCAGGTAGAGGCGTTGAATAGCATGTTGATGAGTTGGTACATGAGCGGCTACCACACCGGATATTACCAGGTAAAACCTTACAAGCTTTTTTTTTCAACTGTGACTGTTAAGGCGATCACTGATCTCAAGAGAAATAGCTGAATACGCCGAGAATCCAAACGTTTTCTGATTTCTTGACGGGTTAACGAGCACCCTACTTGTTATTTTGAGAAAATTTTCATTCCTGTTTCTGAAATACATAACTCGCCTATTCAATAAGGCATCGAATAAAATTAAATTGAAAAAGGTGGAAGGAAAAAAACGAAAAAAAAAACCGCAAAAAGAAACCGGTACGAAAAAGAAACATAAGAGATCCATGAGCGATAGATTGAGAAATTCAGGGCCTGCTTTTAAAAGATAGATGTGAAAAAAAAATTCAAAATTTTCGGAAAGAATTCTTATTGTTGGACATTAAATGAGAAAAAAGAGCAAAGGCACTTAACATTTTGGCAAATCATATTATTATCGCCGCTTTTTGAAATAATGTGACGTGCATGACGAATTACGTTGAAAAAGGCGAAATTTGAGAAGTTTGGCAGCCTTACAGAAAATATTTTTTTTGTTAACCGCGCGTCAACTTATTTCAATTTTTTTTGGCATAAAATGAACTCACTTTGAGAAAATGTACAAGGAAGTGCTTTCAAAACAGCTAAAAAAAGGAGCCGTTCTGATTGAAACTATACATATTTGTAATTCTGCGAGGTAGGTTGCAAGGCCTGGTAAACTAAAAAATGATCGTAAATAGGTACTCTAAATAGCCCATTTCTCCCCAGCATGTCACGCTTTTCTCCTAACTTTTCGGGAAGTACCTGTAGCTAGGAGGTAAAGGAAAATAGGAAAAAGCTGGGGCGGAATGGGCTATAATTGATAAGCTTCTAAGAGAAGGTTAAAAGAGATGATCAATGAGCGAGCGCGGTGTCGATGAATCCGCGTTCCGGAGCTCGTGTCTCAGTCACTTCTTCGTCTTTTGCAGTAGTATCCACGGTCGATTGCGAAATCAAGACCATGGGCTACAAGAAACATAAATTGGTTGAAATCCTAGCATTTTGAGCGATTTCTTCATAGATCCATGAGCAAACTATATCCTTGCGATTTGAATATGTAAAAAAAACTCACATCGGCAACATTTTTCGGGAGAATTCGAAGGTCAAAGAGCGTTTGGGAGTTTTTGCTATTATCGAAATGCTCGCCGCCAAGGTTTCTGAACACCTCGTTTCGTAATTCTACCTTGAATAGGTTATTTTTCCCACCTGTATAGAAGTTGTTCCATCGGCGTTTGACCCGTTTGCTCATAGAGAGCGACTTTCAATTGTAGCAAAGTTGATGACGAGGAGATCTGAAGAGTATTCTTTTTTTTTCGTTTCGCTTTTTCAAAGAAACCTTGACTTTGTGGAGATTCTTTTTCGAAACGCGCCGTGTCGACTTCACAACCATCGCAGCAAACTGCGCATCATCTTCGAGGGTCTGAACTTTTCGATATTTGAAGGCATAGGGGCATTAAAAAAAATCTGCATTTGAGAAAAATTTACTGTTTCTTGAGCTTTTCACTGCCTGTCGAACAGTATACTAGAAAATGAACAGAAGTTCCTATTTTCCGAGAAAAAATCGGAAAGAAAAAATTTTGATTCCCACCAAAAGGGCGTTTTGTAGTAAAGTTGCTCTATAGATAACAGGCATCGCAAATTCTTGATTTTTCGCCTTTTTTTCTTTTCTTCCAAGTTCTTAATAAACAATAAACCCCGTTTTTACTGCTAGGCTTCTGAATAGTTCGACAGAAAACCATTAGTTCACTTACACCATTGCTCAATCGGATGAAGACTTCCTCATTATTGAACTCGTATTTTGCCTGTTCCTGTGAGCTCAAGAACAACTGGTAGCATTTACCACAGAGCTCTTCAACTGTTCCTAAATTAAGAGGGGTAGAGATACTTTTTCTTCTTTCGAAAAAGTACCTCCTTTACCCAGCTTGATGGGTGTAACTTCGTTCGGAGAACAATCGCCTTGAGCCGCTTGAATGGCCCGCCATTCGTTCAGGAAAGTCTCCCACTCTCGACGCGTCAACGGCACGATTGAAGGCACGTTCGACTCGACGGCCTTATATTCATTTATAAAAATTTGCATGTCTATGGAAAAAGAGAGGGTTTGTAAAAAAAAAAACCAAAAAATAAGGACTCTTTGGCTTTTGACAGGGGAGGTCATTTTACTTTGCGGTTGGGAATTCCCTAAAGATCGGCCAAAATATTCATTTTTGTACCAGATGATGATCCTGAAAATCTCAACCTGCAAAACTTCCTAGTTTTCGAGAAATGATTGCTTAAATCCTCAAAATAGCCTTTAATAGATTTTTCTGAATTTTCTTTGACTTCGAGGCGTCTTTTCTTAAAAACGAGAAAGTTTTGCAGGTTGAAATTTCTAGAATCTTCTTCTAGTACATCTAGGAGTGTCCTCACCAATTTTCAGAAACAGCAAAGTAAAATGACCTCCCCTGTGAGAGATTCACAATAAATAAAGTGCATACAGCTTCAGAAATCCCCCGACAAGGCTTTCCATGAGAGCACATCACACAATTCTGACAGATTGGAGGCAAGAAAGAAGAGCTTCGAGAGCTGAAAAGTCCAAATAAGCTTTAGGCAAACAATTCTGCGGTTACTTAAGGCGACGAAGACGATTCAAAAACTCGCTGCAAACCCCAAACTCTAAGTTCTCATTTCGAAGTTGCAGGGCGAAAAAATCAGCGCCACGTCGCTTGTCTACTTCCTGAGGTATTCGATAGAGAATTCTCATATGGTAGCTCGAACCTTCAAAGTTTCTGCGAGCCGTTTCCGAAGGTCTCGGATCGTCTGGCGCATGGATGCCGTGCCGCTCAGAGCCTCAGAATCGATCCGAAAGCATTCCTCGCAGAGGTCTTCATCGCAGAGGACCGAGAACGATTCTCCAAAGTAGGACTTCAGCTGCTTCCATTCCTCTGGTGAAACTGAGAAACGGAATTGATCCACGTTGATCCCGCCTGTAAAGATTGCTCCTTTCCACTGAACAAAATCTTTAGGAAAACTCATCTTGTGTCATATTTTTTCTCCCTCAAAACTGATATCGAATTAATTTGCTGAAAAAAACTTTGCAGCTTGAAAAAAAGGCGTGAAGGTTCGAAAAATCACTTTTAAGAGGAATGTAGCCACCAAAACATGTTTCCTAACAAAGACAAAAATGACCATGAATGCAGCGAAGCTCCGAGTTGAACTCGACAGCGACGGCGGGGACGTCGCAGCTGCCATTGGAGGCCGAGGGCGGCCGCGTCTCTTCGCCCTCGCTCAAACCGGAATATTGACGCGATCTTGTTCCAAAACTCTACTTTGGTTTCCCCGCAGTTTTCTCATCCTCGGCCGAAGAACCGCTCTCCAATCTGGCGTTCTTTTCCTCCCTTTCTGCGAAGGTGGCTTGCGGCGGCTCTTTCACTTCAAGGTTCTCCTCCTCCTCTTCTTCGAGGATATTTTCTGGCAACTCAGTGGATGGGTCAAACTGCAAAGAGGGCAGTTATGGGACATACGTCGGATGGATCCCACGACGGGGTGAACGAATTGCGGCCTTTTTCAGATAATTGTGCCCTTTTTATACCTCTTCTTTCGCCTTTGGTATATTCAGAGTGGTTTTGCTGTTGTATTCACGGACTGGCTCAGATATAAGAACGGCATCTTCTTGGTCGTCAAGACCCTCTTCCTCAGCCTAAACTTTGTCAAATGATTAAAAAAAAAGTAAAGAAGTACTCAAAATTTCATGTCGCTTCATTTTGACGATGAAACCCTCTGACGAGTCGTCGATATCTTCTGTAAAGAGTTTAGAATCATGAGAGATTTCGTTGCAAACCATTTGGAGTACCACTTCGCTTGCGATTGGGACGCGTTCTGCTTCCCTGGTCCGCCTGGAAAAGCTTGATCTCATCAAACAACACTAAACTCACTCTGGAAACGGTTTCGAAAACTAATTCCCCGCCATTGGTGTTTTGAACTTGCAATCGATGCTGGCGTTCACTCACGGCGGACCTGTAAGTTGCGAAGTTATTCCGTAGAATAAAGACGAACTGTTTTTTGAACGTACTTGCGGAAATTCTGAAGAGCTATTTTTGCAACGTAGAAATCGCCAGGATCTTTAGGATGGACGCCTTTCACCGAACACCTAGAAATAGAGCGTTTTCTGAGAAAATTTCTCCATTCCGTGTAAAATATTCATTTGAATTGGTCACTCTCATTTCGAGGCTTCCACCTAGAGAACGGTTTCCTGGCTCCAGCTACAACATCCGCTACATTCTGAGTTCTTCAAGGCGCAACTGGATGGACTAGGCGCACAAGGACGAGGCGAAGGACCGTAAGACCATGCTTTCAACTTTTTCGACTACAGGTTTGGACTTCTAGTTTGCCAAAGGCAGTTGTTCACCGCCTAATCGTTTACATCTACGACTAAAACAACAAAATAAAATGATTTGATTGATTTGATCAATTATTTTGTTGGCTTTATTTGGACCGAAAAGTTTGTAAAAAAGTTGAGTAATATGAGAACCTTATCTTGAACTCCTTCAATATCTTCTTCACAGTTCGCTCATCTTCTTCCAGTTGGATGTTGAACTGAGCCTCTCGCCTCAGTTCCAAAATACACTCCACACAGAGTTTATCCCTGCAACAGTTCGATTTGAACTTTCGAATTGAGGTGACTACCCAGTGAATATGAAAGGCGCGTAGTCGCTAGATGGATACTCTATGTTCCCATCATCACGTTCTATTTTCGTCTGTAGGGAAAATAATATTTGATTAATTTTTTTAAAAAGTAACCTCTATTCCGTACTGTCTCAATAGCTTTATTGCAGGTTGCCGCGCCACCGCCTTCACATCCCCGAACAAAATCTGAAATTTCTAATCTTCGAACATTCAATTGTCAAGAAAGTATCAAAAACTGAAACTAAGGGATCTAATCAATGAGCTGTATACTTTAACAGAAATTATCACCGTAGGTTTTTCCATTCAATTCAGAAAAATTTTATCTATATCGCCCAAACTTTTTCTTCTTCAAGCCATCTAAGGAATCTGTTAGATATAACTGTTTTAATTTATGAAGACTCTAAAGCTCCATAAAAGTTTCTTTTTCAATGCGTTTTTAAATAAGTCTATTTAAGAAATTGATCGAAAGGGATAGTTCTCAATTTTTTTAAGTTTTTCGAAACCGCTAGCGTTATTAGATGAAAACGAAAATAAAATGAAAGAAATAATGATCAGCGCAAATTCCTGAAGACAGGGGCGCGCAGATGTAAGGAGTAGCGCTAGGTGCGGGCGACAGCCGCTTGCGTGGTTGGCCGAGTGGTTGAGCGCGCGGATACCAATCAACAACACATGGCGGCCCGGGTTCGACCCCGCCCGCCGGTTTCGTACTGATGATGTCTGACTCTTGTCAGTTCTGCTACTGAATGCATGTGACGACAACATACCCATTGTCTGAGGTACCATTTTGCAACATATTCTACACGGAAAGAAAAGAGAAAATGACTAATTTTTTTCCTACTGAAGTGAATATTAGCATCGTAACAAGAATTTTTCGTGTAACCATCTCCTAAACTCTTTTTCTTCATCCTCTTCAAACTTCATCACAAAATTTTAATAATTCTCAGACACTCAGCTTGAAAAATCTCAGAGTTATGGAAATAATGAAGTAAAGATTAAATTTGGAGAGTAGGAAAAAGGGATTGAACTAATTTTTATTTTTCTGAAAAATTTATTCTTTGAATTTTTAAAAAAATTCAATCCTATGAAATTACCTGAGCTAATTTCAAATTTTGAAAAATCTCCCAGGATAGATTTATTCAGTTCTTCCAACATCTGCCTTTTTCTCTCTGCATGCTATTATTTTCCTTCATTGTTATAGCTCTCATTTTAGATAATAGTGAGCTAGTTAAGGCTTCCCCCAAGCTGTAAAGAAAGTATTAAAATTGAAAAACGGACTGAATCGATAAGAAGACGGCCGTGAGGACAAACGGCCATGGAATGAGCCTGCAGCCGAGCGGCGACCTGAGCGACGATCGGAGGTTCTCGGCCGCCGGAGCTCGAGTCGACTCGCCTCCAATCAAAATAATTTCCAAAATCACTTAAGTGGCTTGCAGACTTCCGTGGGTAATAATCGGGCCTGGGACGGGAGACTCCGTTGCGTGATCGCGTCGTCATGCCGCTCTTCTCGTCGACAGTAGGCAGCTCAGATGACGTCATCGCGATCGCAACAATGTCCATATCCAAGGGTGCCTGAGAATTAAGGCGTGTTTCACCGTGGGATTCTGCGAGAACCTCCGGCAGATCTGCGCTATTTTCCAGAGCCGCATCTTTTCCGTTTCGATTGACCACAGATTTCGAAGAGTTCTGCGGAGCGCAGCCCTTTCTGACGCCGGCCGCTTCCGCAGCGCGCAGATACTCGTTTTGCAGGATGTCTGTGATGAGCGAAATCGGCACGAAACCCACTTCATTCGCGTTTTTGAAATTGGACTCATGCGTCTGCAATTCAACGTGGATGGATATTTTTTTTTCTTTTTAACAGAAAAACTAACCTCCAAACTGGCCAGTGTCTTAGACAGACTTTCGAAGCGTCGCCTTAAGTCGTCAAACTTCTTTTTATTCTTAGCCAACGTTTCGCTGTTCATTCCCAGAAACATGTCTTCGATCTGAACTGAGCCTTTGAGAAAGATTCTCGAAAAGAAACAGAAAAAAAGTCTTTCTTGAGGGAATAAAGGTACCTCGTCGGCGCTAGAGCCTATGAGCTCCGGCGGCGGATGTTCGGGACGCGGAAGGGGAAGCTGTTCATCGCGTCGTCGGTACAGTAACCCGTAACATGCTCGCTGATCCGCTGGCGCTTTTTCTGACTTCTGGAAAATAGAAAAAAACATTGAAAATGAACATTTAATCGGCTAAAAAAATTTAGCCATAACTAAAGTTAAATCAGAGAATGAACTCCCATTTTTTTTTCTTTTTTTACTAGCAAAAAAATATTTTCTCTCAAAGTAGCTTTCCCTTTTTTTACTACTTATCGAATCGAGCAAGTTCAAGAAAAAATTAGATAACCCAGCGCAGTAGGAAACTATTTAAAATATTTCAAAGATGAAAAAAAAAATCAAAAAAAAATTCGATCATTTAGTTTGAAGATAGATTTTGAGAACAGTAATAGCACCTACATAGCAAAACAAGCATTGCGGAAAACTTAAAATAGAGAAAAAAATAATTAAATTCCAGCCGATTTCTCGAATTGAATTCGTTTTGACAACGAAAACCGCAAGTTTAACTTAGTCATTTTTGAATCAAAGTCCTCAAAACTATGTTTTTCGAAACCTACCTTGACTCTCTTTCCATCTGAACTTGTTGCTCTCTCCGTTCCGGGCGGCCTTGCCATTGCTTCAACTTTCTGAAACATCATAAAAATTATCATTTCAATGCTAAGGGAATTTAAGAGGGTGTGTTTCCAAGTGTCTAGACGAAACATCGAATATTTACGTTTATAAAAAACTAGCTATCGATTTTATAAATTAATACAGTAAAATACATTGGATTTTGTCGTCAAATGGTGATCTAGTCGGAAATTTTGATGATTTTTTCAAAGTTTTTTAGCAACTTCTTCTAGAGTAAATTACAGTGGTCCTTTAAGTAATTTTTAGAAATCACTCCAGGAATTAATTTGCTCAGTTCAAAGTCTCTATCCGCTCTAGGAGTTTTTAATGCTCTTTCTAGGAAATCTTTTTGAAATATTGTTTTCTGAATTTTACACTCTTCGAATTTTTTCAAAGAATCCGTGAATTTTCAATGTATGAGGACAAACTCGAGATGATTGAGGTTTTTGGAAAGTAGCGCAATTCTTTGTTGTGGTATCAAACCTCGTCGTTGTATTTGAACCACTTGGAGCTCCAGGGCGTCTTCACCAAGTCGTAGTAATGACCGTAGTCCGTGTTGTCGCCTTCGTGGATCATCACGGCGAACAAATCGTACATCTCGGCGTTTTCCTGACATGAACACTGGATCTCGTACAAAGCCGCCAAAACCTGTTCGTCGTTGGCCTTTTGGAAGACCGAGGAAGGCAGCTCTCGCGGATAGACAACTGGAGTTTTCAATTTTCTTCTGCCTTTCCTAAATATTCGGAGTTTGAAGAAAAAATATGAAATTCAATGAGGAACAAAGAGACATTAAATCGAGAAAGGTCTGAAAAAAAATTTCTTCTAGCTTTTTTGAAACGCAAAAGTCCTGCATGACCAGAAAAAAAAAGATTAAATAGGGATACTTGAAACTTACCAGAGACATCCTTTTAAAAATTATTCAAAGAGAAAAAAAAAAATCAGAAACTCGGGCAAAGTCGGAACGGTGGATAAGGACCGCTAGAAGGGAGAGGCTCAAAAAAAGTCGCAGAAAGAGCCCCTTTATCGAGCCTCTCATTTTTTCTAGAAATGTGAAGGCTCAAAAAGTGATGGAAAAGAAGGAGGAAACTTTCGGAAGTAAAAAAAAAACAAATAAGCGAGAAAACTTCTATAAGAATCAATGATTTCAGAGGACCACATGTCCAACTAACATGTCATAGGTGTAGCGGTTCAATTGGACGATGATGACCTGAGGCAAATGCGAATATTCGCAACTCCGGGAGACGTTCCCCGTTTCGTTGCACGAAGGACATCGGTAGTCGTCGAGCCTGGAAAATCCTCTTCTTATCAGAGAGTTTTTCGCGCCGTCAACATAAATCTTCGATCTTTTTATTAAATTATTTTTGGCTTTTTTTGCTCGCTTTTTCTGTACTCTAACTAAAAAAATAATTTATCGACCTTCATCAAAGACAATTCGATATGAATTGACTTTCATTCGTCACTATTCTCAACTTTTTTGATAACTTCGATGGAGAAACTCAAATTTTCGAAAAATTTGGGTGTTTATGGCGGTATTTTTTGTTTTGACTTAATTTCGAAAATCTCATTTCATGATGATAAAATGCGAAAAACTCTATGCAAATGATTCTATTCCGTGAATATTAAGAATAAAAAAGATTCAGGGCTGAGTTGAGCCATTGAAAAAAGGTCCTGACACGATAATTCTAGAGAGCGCAGACAGGCAATGCCTCTTTAGTGTCCCAAGCTAGCCGTGAATCAGCTATACCTTCATTATCACGCAGCTAAATGCAAAAAGCGCCTACTCTTCAGCTGCGAAATTGGCGCGAAGGGCATCGAAAAGGGTAGAGTGACCGGCGATGTTCAGTTGGACCGAAGTGATGAGGTCTTCTCTGGCAGAGTTCATTCCACAATTGCAGAAAGTGTTGTACCGGATAGAGCCCTTCAAATGGAAGTTGAGGTGTGGAAAATCGAAATGAGAGACGGTATAGAGGTTGGTGATCCGGAAGCGGATGTCTGCGCCGTTGGGATGGGACTGCAGGTTGCGGTCCAAGGCGTCGAACAGCATCAACGTGAATTCCTGGACATTTACTTATTTTTTCGTGTTCAAGCTAATTTCGGCCTTTTAAAATAATTCCAAAATTTTGAGTTAGCGCCTAAAAGTTACAGTAAAAATGCACATTTTGCGATGTAGGACTAAATTACCGAAACCATTTTTACGCGTCAATTTTGAAATCGCCGAAATTACTCGAAACGCGAAACCCGAATCTTTCAGAAATATCACGCTTTATCAGTGTAGCACCATGATCAAAAAAAGACGAACAATGTGAAAAAAGAATAATAAACTTGATGGTGAACTCGAATAACTTAGAAATACGCAAAAAATTTAACTCTAACAGATTTTCTTTCTGCAAAAACTCAAAAAAAAATAATAATCAAACTTAAATTTTTCTCAGCAAGCTTTCTGAAAGGAAATTTGTTTCCACCACAGTATTATTTTGCTCATTCTTTCTTTCTTCCTAAAAAAACAAAGTTTTCATCTTCCCTAGCGCAATTTCAATTAATCAGAACGATCTCAAACTTCAATTGAAAAAAATATTCCAAAAATGGCGATTGTATCACTATTTTGGATGTATTACAGAAGTCATACTTCTCAAAAATTTTTGCACCGGTGACAAACTTTCTTTCTTATCTCAAAATTTTTTTCTATAGTAATTCTCGAAATCATCCAAATTTCATTGTGAAAAATGGAACCTGAGCATCCTGTTGTTCCTGATTGAGTCGCAACGCAGAGATCAGAAACTTGTTTTTGTCGGTGTCTTCCTCAAAATATCTTCATATTTAAACCGAAAGAAAAAGTTTCCAACAAATGGAGTTGTTTCCAGCGTGTAGAACAGGTCTTGCAAAGCCAACATAACCTTTTGAACATCCATCTTCGGGTACTCCGGACTAAACTTTGAGAGAAAATTAGTCACATTGCTCCGAATATTCTGACCTCAAATAATTGTGAGAAGGACGGAAATCGTAAACTATTTGTCGAAATTCAGGGACGTTGAACCAAACCTAAAAATTGTCTGAAAATCAAAACAAAAAATTGGGTTTTTAGACTTGCAAAAAGCTGTTAACGTAGCAGAAGTTGCCCGAATTTATCAAGCCTGCTGGCTGGTCGTTCAGATCTCGTCTTTTCTGTTCCTGAAAGCCGAGAAAATACTTGAAACTACAAAAAGAAAACCTCTTTCACTTTTTCAGACTTGGACAGTTCTGCCTTGATCAATTTCTCAAATTTTTCGAGACCTAGCCTTTTTATGCAGTATGGATTATCTCTGCAGTTTTGCGGTCTGAAAATAAACTTTAAAAATAAACTTTTATATGAGTATGACTTTGGATTAGCTGAAGCGTCATGTAGCGTGCACAGCTTACAATCCAACTTCGCCACTTCTAAGCACTTTTCTGATGTTAGTTCCTTCTCTGATGATAGTTCGAGTAGCGCCTCCATAGCTTCTTGGCGAAAAGCAAGCTAAAAAAAGCCTTTTACCCGCTAAAATTTTGTCAAAAAAAATTTTTTTTTAAATAGAGAACAAATTAAAATTACCTTCCGCGTATTTGGTTTTTCCTTCACTTTGGCTGGCTGTACGTTTGTATTTGTATCCATTGTGAAACTTCCTTGCTGATCCAACTAAATACAAACTTCATTCTTATGAGAATAGATAGGGAAAAAAATAAACATGTTTATCTTCCGTTTCTGCGAGTCTCATAATAAAAAAATTAAAAAAATTTTTTTATAATTTATTACATATTAAATATAAATATACCAAGGTTAGTTTCAGTGGTCCTTTGGAGTTGCTTTTTAGTGATCTTTGAAGGTTCTAAAAGTGGTCCCTACGAAAAAAATGGGTTTTCTACGGATGACTGAAAGGACAGGTCCTCCAACCGACCACTCAACCTGATCTCAATTTATTATTTAAAAAAATACATTAAAATTAATATAATTAAAAATGCAAATTTTTCTGTAAAAAGGAGGTGCGTAAAAAACTTTCAAAAAAGTGAAGTGCGCTCTGTTGAACGCAATTCCTGCAAGGGACTGCATTAGGGATATTAACATCCCTAAAGCTACCTCTTTGTGATTGGAAAAGAAAGTCATCACCGACAGTTTGAATTCGCTTTTTTTCGTCTTTTTCTTTCTTATAAATTTCTTTATTTCATTAATTTAATATTTATCGAAACGTCAAAGATTCCAGGTACGACTATAACCGATCATGGCTCGCCGTTATGATAGTCGTACAACTATTTTCTCCCCTGAAGGACGTCTTTATCAGGTAAAATGAAGCTAGATAGTTTATTCACTGCCATTATTTAACATAAAAAAAAAATAATTGAAGAATAGATGATCAAGTGAAGGAATAGGCAGAGAAATAACAATACACGGGAAAGAGTCAACCCCAACGAGTTGACGGGTACCCGGAAATATGGCAAATTCACAGGAGACGAGAGGGGATATTTTCATGAAAGGCTTCAAACGGAAGAGCATTCAACTTTTTACGCAGAGTTTCTGGGGTAACGTTAAAATCTAAATAAGAAGTTAGTTTATTCCAAAGAGGAATAGTTCTAGAAAAAAAGTCATTAGAAAACTGACCAGTAGTCCGTAGTCGAAGTGGATTCCTCTGTAAAAAGGATAAAGAGAAGAATTTATTACGTTCGAGAAAATGATCACAGCCACAGATGAAGTTATTTTATATATTTTTTCGCGTATGTCTGGAAGTCCTTAGCTGTGGAAATTTTTTCGCCCCTTTTCACGAATTTCGTTCAGGTCGAGTATGCCATGGAAGCTATCAGCCATGCGGGAACATGCCTTGGGATTCTAGCTTCTGACGGTATCTTGATTGCTGCTGAGAAGCGCAACGTCCACAAACTCCTCGATGACTCGGTTTGTGCTCATATCTGTTTTGTCTATCATAGTAAAAAAAAATTTTTTGAAAGTTAATAGGTTTTTAAGAAAGGTTTCGATAGTTTTCAACAGTTTCAAACTTATGAATTTCAGAAATTCAATTATTAAGAGTTCGTGGTTTTTATTCATATTTTACCGCATTTTCAGATTCTCGCTGAGAAAATCTACCGCCTGTCTGACAATATCGCATGCACTGTAGCTGGAATCACAGCCGATGCGAACATTCTCATCAATCATCTCCGATGGTTACAATCGTTATTATTTAGTCGAAAGAATTCGCTAGGTCCCTTGAAGTTGATAGGAATATTTTGGACTGGAAATTAATAAATTCATATGAACGACTCGCGGGTATATGAGAGAAGCTTGTGATAATAGATACAGACAAAATGACCGTCAAGAAAATAACTGTTTACCAAAAAACTTGGCCAAATTGAACGGTCTTCTAAGATACATTCAAATTTAAAGCAAGTAAATTTTTGAATCGGAATGTTTAAATTTCACTTTTTTTTTCTCGGCTATCTTAAGGCTCTGTTGTCTGAGGCTATTGTGGGATTCTCATTATTGTGGCTGTTATAGAGGTTATTCTTTCATATACCCTGCCTCCGGACCACTTTTTGACTACACGATAAGCCGCTGTAAAAGTCTTATATGAAAAAAAGAACATCGGTTTTAAGGTGGGCGGCCAACTATCGTCTCTCCTATGGTGAGGAAATGCCAGTAGAACAGTTGGTACAGAACCTTTGCAATGAAAAGCAGCGCTACACGCAGATTGGAGGCATGTGTTTTTCTCATTTTTGCTCTTGTAAACGATTGGAATTAGGAAAACGCCCGTTCGGTGTTTCTCTGCTCTACGTGGGATGGGACAAGCACTACGGATTCCAACTTTACCAATCGGATCCTTCTGGAAACTACACCGGCTGGAAGGCTACCTGCATCGGAAACAATCATCAGGTGCGTAAAGTCACATGTATTTTCGAAGTTCTTCTTTTTTTTCAAGGCTGCCGTTTCTCTTCTCAAGCAAGAATACAAGACGCCGACACTGGAAGAAGCCAAAAAACTGGCCGTCAAAGTTCTGTGGAAAACGTTGGACGTGAAGTTAGCTCCAGAAAAAGGTTCGAGTTTTTATTGTGTTCAAAATTTCCTGATTCTCCAATCACCTTTTTCTTCGAAAAATAAGGAAAACACCCTTTGGAGTATAGCTACTCTGTGAAAAGGATTTAAACTAGATATTCCAGTTTTTTGCGATCAGAATTGAAATTTTCGAGATTTGGGAGTACACTAGAGCAAGTTTGCAAAAGAAGTAATGATGAACTTACAACTAAATATAGTTAAAACGCGTTGAAAACTGCTAAATGCCGAACCAAACCACGTTAACTACTCAGTTTTTTGTATATGTATAATGGAAGATTTATTTCAAGCCATTTTCGTTGAAAAAAATATCATATATTATTACTGTTCAATTACAGTTGAAATGGCTGTGCTGACGCGTCGCGATGGAAAGACAGTTCTGGAGGATTTGGCGCATTCCGAAGTGGAAACTCTCATCAAGGAGCACGAGAAGAAGGAGAAGGAAGCGGAGAGCGCCGAGAAGAAGTAAAAGTGCACTTCCACCTTTTATTCTCATGTGTTCAAGTTATTTATTTTAATTGAGTGGTTTTCATCCCCTTTTTCTGTTAAACCTTACCGGTGGCCGCTTTCTCATATTTGGACTGTTTCTCAATAAACTTATTAAATAAAGCAAAAATTACTTACTATGAATTGTTACCAAACAAAAACTATTTTCAAAAAAACTACAAAGTTATTTTTCTTATATTTTTGAAGGAAAATGTCTATTTTGTCTCCAAATGAGCTTTCATTCCTGCGACTGCTCGAGCGAACAAAACGCCTTGCCCGTGATGCCATGCAAGAGAACTTGTGGAAGGTTTGCACCCTCAAACACAGCTCGTGAACCTTGTCTCTGGTGTTCAAAGTTGAATTTTGAAACAACTATGAGACCTTTTTACTGTATTAATTTGCAACTGGAACATGTTGTAAAATCGGATTCACAACAAAAAAAAAGCGGATATTATAATAGACCTAGTACATACTGAGAAAAGCTGGAATGGGTCTTATAGGAAGAAAAAAGACCCATAGGGAGGTATAGCCCATTCCGCGCGAGCTTGTCACTTTTTTATACCGTATACAAAATCAGATCAAAATTGAGCATCTTCGCTTCGAGACCTTTGTTTTTTTCTATCTTTTCAGCAGTTGTGTAAAGCAAAAGTTTGTATTTACGGCAACTTGTTCTTTTCTGTTTTTTTGAAACGTGATCGTTTCGCTCGGAACGTACTATATAGATCCCCGTTTGCGACACCAATATGGTCATCTAGGGCCCACTATAGGGTTTTTGCAGAAAGTGGATAGAAAGTCTGGAAGAGAACACTTTAGTTTTCTCAGGATTAAACTTTTCCAACATATGATGAATAAATGACGCATAGGAAGACAGAAATTTTACATTTTTTATTGATTCAGTAACTCGTAAAAAATGAAAGAATCATCAAAAAAGATGATTTAACCGCTTTTATAATTTTAAAAAACGAGGCAAAAAACGCGTTGCGCCCTCCCTAACGATTTTAGGCCTGCAAAGTGAATTTCCCTAAACGACAAAGTGGTTTCCGACAGGAAATCCTTCAAGTTTCATCTTTCAGGAGGTCCTAATACACTCCCTTCAGGGCTCACTAAATATCAAACTCCTTTTCGGACCCACTTTAGCTTTTCCCAGTATCTTGGAATTTAACCTCACTGAGGATTTGAAGCAGACCTTAACCCGAGAAATATTTCAGGTCTCAGCAGCAGTCGGTTATTTGCAAAACCTGATCAGTCGTATGCAGGATGAAAAAGAGTTGGTTGATCGGTCCGTAGTTCAATATACTTTTTGTCTAGCTCTCATTCGAAGGAAGTCCTGTTGCAGTACCGCCGAGAAGTCAATCAATTGAGCTTGTTGGTCGAGGCTGAGAAAAATGTCAGTCGCCAAATATCCTCTCATCGCTCGATTTATGTTACAGTCCCAGCTGGAAGTCAAGCTCAACGCCGTCGAGAAAATTCCGCGTCTATTTCCAGAAGTCGAAGTGAATGTGAAAATACAAGAAAGTAAGACTGAGTCTGAGTTCTACGCAATTATTTAATTTTTAACAGAATCTCCAGCCGTCGCAGAAGAAGTTCTCGAATCGGGCGCCGGAGTTCGCGCCAGAAGCCGAGCGCTTTATCGCGCCGATTTGCGACAAGCCCTTCTTGGAACTGCCGCAAAAGCCTTTGACCGTAATCGTTTCTTCCAATAATTAGGCTATCATGATTGCAAAATTTATCGTTTCAAGTTTTTCTAACCATGGTAAGAAGTTTGGGTAGTTTATACAAATTCGCTCTAGTATCCGAAAGTTTAGATTAAAATCGTTTATTTTTGCTACATAAGCGAGTTCCTTATTTTCATGAGATTCAAATATACCGTCAGAAAAAAAGAAGAGCTTCACAAGAAATACACAGGCTTTGAAAATGTCTCTTTTAAACAGGGGAAACTCCATCAATCAAACATTTGATCTAAATAAGGATTTTGTTTTTTTCCGAATAGACTCATGTTAACTTCAGAAGACGAGATCGAGCGGCGGGAAGAGTTTAGAGAGTCTGAACTCGCTGAAGAACTGCTGACAATGACCAAAAGATTGAAGTCTACCATGAGCGCAGCAAACGCTGTCATCAAAGACGACAACAAGGTTCAAAGACTTTTTTTTGGAGTCGGTAGCTATATTTTGTGCTTTCAGAGGCTGGCTAAAATGCAGAACCAGGTAGAAGCCAACAGAGAAAACTTGGAGGTTCCTCTCTTGATTGGTCAAACAATCAAATAATGGAATGTTTTGAGGTGGAAAGCACGCGAGTAGCTCATCACGCCTACAAGTGCGGTTTCGACTGCATGCTCATTTTCATCGCGTTGTTCGTCTTCTGGAGCTTCCTCGTGATGGTCGTCGTCATGAGGGTTTTTCCCAAAAGGACGTTTTCTTGAACGAGAAACTATGTAAATACACAATTCTTTTCATTAGTGATAATAATACTTACTGGGTGGAACTTTCGGGTTAATAAAATTAAGATAACGTAATAACATAATTTGAAACTTTTTATGAAATCAAACAACGGTGCCCCTGCAGACGCTTTCAGCCTTTTTCATACTAGATTTTTTTTTTTTGATTGCGCATGGGTATAAGTAGGTAGAAAGAACAGTATTCTCTTTGCCGCTTGTGTAGGAAAGTTTAGCGAAAAGTTGTAGAATATTTTTGCAAGCATTGATTGGCGCCAACTTTCGAACTCGCCTCCTACGGAAGAAGGAAGGAATATTTGCATATACGCTGCCACTTTTCATCTCGTTCAAAAACGAATTTCTCTATAATTTTTTTGAGAACAGTAAAAGTAGACTCTGTGGATATTCTTTTTTCGAATTGCTGGCTCTCACTCATAGGCTCCCCCCTAGAGCACAGCCTCCGGGCTCCAGTTATAACATCCGCTCTAAGCTGAATACAAAAAACGAGGCGGAGGACCGTTAGACTATATTTTCAACATCAACTACACGTTTGACCTTCTAGTTCACCAAATGCGGTTATAACTTCAAAAGTTCTTGTCTACCGCCTAATTGATTAAATCTATGACTAAAACAGGATGAATTATTGATTGATTGAAAAAAAAATCGTGAATAAAACATTTATTTTAAAAAATGCTTGCAACAACTAGGCCCAAAAGTGAATCAAAAATTATGTCAGATCAGATTCCTACAAGGGAAGTTTGAAATATATATTATTTGAAAGATGATGTCTTCGTTTTTCCTTTTCTTCAAAAATTGAGTCGATACGAAAGAGTTGCGGATCTTCTTGAGCGGCTCGTTTTCGGAAGGAGATCTCGCTAGAGATGTTTTGCCGAGTCGAGGGGGAAAGAACTTCAAACGGCACAATTGGGCTCAAAGACGCGACTTCCGGCGGGAGCGTCGCCGTCGCCGCCGCTGCACCCTTTACGCGCCGCTTCTTCCACCTTTCCGCCCCACGTCCATTGTCTCACCTGCCTTTTTTTTGCCTCCGAAAAGCCTCAAACTCCCGGCAACTCTTCTGACAAACTTCAATAATCGCTCTTTGTTCGTTTTGCCGTCGCTTGTCTGCGCTTTGTCGGGGTTTCCTGAAAATTTAGGAGCTTCGCTGCAAAGTAATTTAAATTTTTTGATTCAAACAAACTTTTTACATCATTCTTCAGAATTATGAAGCATCGTTTGTTGCTTTTCTTTTTGATGCTAATAAAAAAATTCCATTTTATTTTCTTAGCGCGAACTTTAAGCTCATTTTGCACCCCTCATGATTTATAAGAGTTCATTTTACAAAGTTAACTGTTATAATATTTCAAAGTTGTGTAGTGGGACTGAGTTGAAGTTTAATGAAAAGGCAAGAACCTTAAGGAACATAAGAGCATCATGAAATGATGAAATGATATCTCTCATAACCTTGTTTCGAATCTGATTACAAAATCATAAGCAAAGCCGAAAAGACTCTTTGAGAGTCTGTTATGGACGCAAAGGTTTCCATCAATTGTTCCTGAACGGGTGGCAACGGTTTCCTTACTACTGCCTTTTTCCGCCGCTTCATCGGCCTTTATGCACCCTTTTTGAACCCTTTGAGAAACACGAAATTTTTTAAATCGAGAATAAACTTTATTAATGACTGTGTATGAACCGAAATTTGCTACAGTAATACAATCGGAAATAATCAATGGCCGAGACTTTCAGCACCTTTCTTGCGGCTTCTCCCTTTTTCACCCTTTTCCGAGGCTTTTTAGCCCACCAAGAAAGAAAGGCTCAATAAAGGCCGCAAAACGGAACCTTTTAGCGGCCATTTTATACCCGTTTCCCTCACTTCCGAATTTAGTAGTTTTCAAGCATATTTCTTGATATAAGATGTGAACGGTTTTTCTAAAAAGATTTCTCTTACATTTGAATTCCAAAATTAGACTCCCCCAACTGTTTCATATCCTTGTTTGATGGCCTATCGATTTTTTGTGGATTTTGTGGCTTTTGTGGCTCATCTGCTGGAATGAACTGCCCCTTCCACTTCATTTGCCATTCACCTTTTCCCAGTTGAACCGCTTTCCATCCCACCTTACTGCGCACAACAACTTTCCCTGCTCTATTGTGCTTTTGGAACGCAATTAAAGCGTGTGCGGGACATCTGCCGGCTCCTAACTTGTTACTTCTTCCAGGAAATCTTCCTTTTCTTATGAACGTCCACTCTTTGTGAAACATCCAGGAACTCCGGGATTCCCTCAGGGAACACATTTTTCTCTCTAAATGGCCAATCCGACTACTTTGCTGATTGTTTTCGGCTTGCCAACTTGAAACAATTATTTATTTTCGTCGTTTCTAATACAAACCTTTTTATTTTAGAAGAAGATGTTAACTTTTTTGATTACAAGAAAAAACCTTAGAGCTTTTTTTCTTTCATTATGGGTCATAGATCTTCCTGATGACAAAGCTTGTATTACAGTAGTCGTGGGCGAATTCACAAGACTGCGGTAAGGTAACCTTATTTTTTCCAAAAAGGCACGACGGTGGGTTGTCTTGAATATGCTTATTCCTACGTCTTTTCGCACCTTTCTGTTGTCTTGCGAAGTGAGCTTCTTCTCCGAAATCTTTTTCTCTAGCTACCTTCGGTTGCATTGCAGGCTGTAAGGTATAGTCGATGATTTCGTTCCGTTAAAGACAGTAGAAAACCGGGCTTCGAGCATTATCTTTTATAGTTTTATTTTTGTTGCGAATCGAACGGTGTACTCAAAAAAAGGAAACGTAAAATATCGATATCCTGATCGAAAACTGTATGAAATCATCATTTTTCACAAGAGAAGCATTTCGCGATCAAAGTTTGCAAATTACACATGAATAGAAAGCTTTTGTTACGAAAAGAACTTTGGGGACAACAGAAAAAATTGAAATTTGAAATATATGAAGAAAAAAGCGAAAATCCGAAAAGTCGCGAAGAGTTTTGTCCATACTGCAAAACGCCCTTTTGGCGGGAACTCAAACTTTCCTCTCTCCGGCTTTGAATCATTTTTTCTCCAAAGCTAGGAAGTTCGGTACATTTCCAAGTTCACCGTTCGATTTCCAATGAAAAGCTCTACAAAGTACTGCTCTGAACTGAAACACCGTTTTTTACTGCCCCTGTGGCTTTAAGAAAGATCCTTTCTGCGACGTTTCTCACTCGTTTCTACCAACCTAAGAAATAAAAAACGCCTCTGTTTGAGAAACTTGTTTTCTTCGACAAAGTTTCAGACTTGAGGTATGTAACACGGGATGATGTACACTTTGATGTCGCTAATCATGCGCGTCGTGGCCGTCGCGCCGGGGATTCTGGAGCCGCCAACAGTGGCTCCGAAGCAGACCATCCACCTCGCAGCGGACGCCGACAGACACACCGACGAACAGAGGTTTTTTCATTTCGCAGTCTTTCAATTCTTTTTATTGCTTCTTCTTTTCCAAATCTAACGGTGGAATAGATCTGCAATCAAAAATGATTATATGGTTTTTTTGAATTTTGGCTTTACTAGATTCTTGGAAAAGCTCCGGGTTGATAAAACGAGCAAAAAATATTGCTTTTTCTTATGTTGAATCGCGTCATAGGTTACTCTACCATCTCATGAAAAACTACGAGAAAGCGGTGCGGCCGGTGAGAAATGCGTCAGACACGGTGACCGTCAAACTTGGCATGACGTTGACCAACCTCTTCGACATGGACGAACGCAACCAGGTGCTCACCATCAACGTCTGGCTCGACCAAGTTGCTCGAATTCTTCCGCAGTGTCCTCAATGCACTTTGTAGGAATGGAACGACGAGCTTCTCCGGTGGAAGCCGGAAGAATTCGGCGGCATCGAAACCATTCGAATACCGTGCGATCTCATCTGGCTTCCTGACATTGTTCTGTATAACAAGTTCGTCTTCAGTAAATATAATGGGAAAGAGATCAATCACGGTTGAACGGAACTGTGTCTTTCCTGAAGTTCCTAGTCAAAAAAGTGTGTAGAAAGGGATTTTGGGTCCGCAAAAATTCGTGAAAGTGAACTGTGCATACACAAATCTTGGGGGCTCGAATCTTTGAAAATTTGAACCTAGGAAATTGATTCTTGTGAATATTCACCTCTTTTTTGATTATTTATAACTTTACTAAATTTTTTGTGAACAGAAGGAATAAAAATAAGATAGACGTCCTTTGATGACGTGTATTTGAGAAAGGCGCATCATACGATTATCCAAGAATCGTTTCCCAACAATCCATTTTTCAAAAATTCGCGCCCCTGAGGTTGGTGTATACACAACTCACGCTCACGAATATTTGCGGAATTTTCCAATTCTTTGTTTTTTTTTTTAAATATTCACTCATCGACTTGGGATTTTCATTTATTTCGCAGATGGAGTATATTCACCTCTTTTTGTTAAAAGTTAAAATTATCACTTCGGTATATCACAGCAGCGTGTGACAAAGAGAAAGAAGAAGGTTGCAGTGCGGATGACTACACGGCCGGCTACATGCGATCCCGAGCCATGGTCCTCTTCACGGGAACGGTCTTCTGGCCACCGCCGACGCAGCTTCGCAGTACCTGCAAGGTCGACGTTTCGCTCTTTCCATTCGACGAACAAAAGTGCTCCCTCAAGTTCGGCTCTTGGACCTACCACGGATACCAGGTTTCTCACTTTGTTTCGAATCTTTGTCTTTAATCAGACGGATTTGGGTTGGGTAGAAGAAAAAATGTCTCATTATTTTCGCTATGGTAAAAATCACGACCTTAGGCAAAGTCACACCGGGAGCTTTTCTAATATAGCCGATTGAAGGTCTCCACAAACCAGAAACTGTCTTTTTTCTTATAGTGGCAGGACTCTTTTTTCGGTGGCTCAAGTCAGTCGTGAATCAGCTATAAACGCTAAACTTTGGCGGAAACTGACTTCTGTTCGGATGTGGCAAGTCAGAAAAGTCACTTGTTATAAGATTATCTTTATTTGAAGAGCGTGCGATCACTGATTACAAAAAAGGCTATCTGATTGAAAGTATTTTGATTGACGATGAAAGGTACCCTGAAAATCGTCAAACAAAAATATTATCCAAACTGTATTATTGAAAAAAATAAAAAGGGTTTTTTTTTCAATTTAGGAACTCACTTTTTCAAAAGGGAATATGAATTCTATTTTTTTAAATTTCTTCGCTGATAGGTGGACATCACAAACCGGAGCACCAACATCGACTTGACCAACTACGTGCCCTCTGGAGAGTTCGACCTGATCAAAGTGAGTTGCTCCCTGTGACCGAGAAGTGAGGTTCTCTCAGGTCTACCAAAAGCGAAGGGTCGTCAAGTACACATGCTGTCCGGAGCCCTATCCCGACATCACGTTCTTTATCTACATCCGTCGCAAGACCTTGTACTATCTCTACAATATCGTCTTCCCCTGCCTCATGATGTCCGTTTTGACACTTCTAGGTTTTTCCGTGCCATAAGAACCTTTGAAGACCATTCTTGCAGTTTTTGTTCTGCCGCCTGACTCCGGCGAGAAGATCGCGCTTGGAATCACCGTCTTGCTCGCCTTTTCCGTGAGGATATTTTTCAACTTTCTCTTCGATCTTCACCTTCAAATGGATAGTTTCTGAAATTTTTTTAGGATAAAAAGAAGCAACTTTTTGAACTGGGAGAGAGAAGGAGAAGTTTTTAAACATTTTCTTACTTGTCACGTTTTGGAACTAACGTCTCTCAGGCTGTATAACTTGAACGCGCAAGCGGTTCGTAAAATTTTGAATTATCAAAAAAATCAATCTTTATTTTGATGATGTCAATGAGAATCTGAGGCGGTGAAAACGAAACTCTTTTATTTCTTAGAGGAAGACGTTTTTTCTTGTTTTATGGTTAATTTTCCTTCTGAACTGCGTTAACCGATTATTTCTACAACGCAAGCTTTGAAATACCAGGATATGCAATTAAAAAAACAGATTAAAACTTGATAGTTAAGGTTTTTGTGCTGGCGATCGTCGAGAAAATGCCAGAGACGTCGGATTCGATGCCGCTGATAGGTTTTGGCTCAAATTGAAAAATGAAAGAAGGAGAATCGCAGGAATCTATCTGACCGTTGTGATGGGCATGTCCTCCGTGTCGGTGGTGATGACGGTCGTCGTGCTCAATTTCCACCACCGCGGACCTTTCAACGACCCCGTTCCCTACTGGGTCCGCTTTCTCGTCCTCGACCACCTCAGTCGCTTCCTTCGAATGAAACTTCCACGAGCTGGTTGGTTCTTTTTTACGGTTCATCTTTTTCAATAAACCACAAAAATAGATTTCCATTGAGTCTTTTCCGAATATCAACGTCAAATTTTTCAATAAACATAAAAAAATGGGGCCAAATCTGGCTTCAAGACCCCTTTTGTTGCCTTTTTGCAATTTTAAAGAGAAAAAGTGAAAAAAAGTTGTAAGTACGGTACTTTTTCCTGAAAATGAAGGTTTCCGAAAAAGGCTGGCACGGAATCCGCTACATTCATTTTTGATCATAGAACTGCGAGGGATTATTCTCTGCCTGCGTCTTTTATTCGGCCTGAATTTTCTTTTTATTAAAGACGCAGGCAGAGATAAATGTCGCGCGCATCGAAGGGAATTGTTCAGTAGCTCAGAGGATAACGAAAGCTGGTGCGGAATGGGCTTTACTATGAAAAAACGCCATATTTTTTTTTTTCAATGAGCGTGAACATTTGAGGCGAGCCATCAAAGGTTTCCAAGGCTCCGAACGGACTGATGCGCAAGATGTCGGTGCGCAACGCGATGACCGAGATGCGTAACGAGGTTCTCACCAACTTTTCCGTCGAAGATCAGGGACTTCTTGACGTGAGAGTTTTCTTTTAGACTATTCTCCAATTTTATTCATGTTTGGAAAAATTTTGGAAAGCAATTTTCGTTCACAAGAGTATTGCTATAGCTTATTCACGGCTGGCTTGAGCCATCGAAAAAAGGGTCCCGACACGATAATGCACGACATAGCGCCTGGCTCGCGGAGAGCGCAGACAGGACACACCCCCTTAGTGTCCCAAGCTGGCCGTGAATCTGCTATAGAAGCGAATTGTAAAATTTCAAGTCTGAAAAGTGAATATTTTGCCATTTTATTCTGCTTTCTTCCATTTTTTCTCATTTTTTTAGTCAATATTTTATGCTCCAACGTTTTGGTAGTGTCGAGGAGAAGCTTTCATCAGGCAGAAACAAAAAAAAAAGGAGAAAAGTGGTACGGGTTGTGCTGGAAATAAAAGAAGAAGGGTGAATAAAGAGGAACTTCGATTCCTGTAGTTACTAGCCTAATAAGTCGTGTATCACACTCTGATTTGTCACATTTTTCATGGGAACGCTCTCGATCTTTCATGCTATTTTAATGATTATATGACTTCTTTGGTGAAGTGGAATCTTACGTCGGCCGGATCCCGCCCCGGGGTGCGGCCTACCCCCCTCAAACTGCGGTCTGTGGGATCCAGCCGATGTATGAGTAAAGTACGATGTACTTATAGACTATATTTCGTCATTTCATGCAAGCATTTCTCAAAATTGTTTCATAAGACAGACTTTGGTGGACCTCAGGATACCCGAAGAGAGTCGGTACGGCTGGAGGCCCCGACGACGGCCGAGCAGCGACAGGCGGTGCAGCGGAGACGCAGAACCAGTACCGAGTTGCTTCAGGCGAGACTTGTCAGGACGCTGCAGGTACTCGTCGCCAGGCAGCAGTCCGAGGACGCCAGCGAACGGATGGCCAACGAGTGGAGACTCGTCGCACAGGTTCTCTTTCTTCTTGTCTTCACTAAACTTTTGGATTCTGAACGCAACTTCTTTTATCATTTATTCGGGTTTCAGGTGATAGATCGGCTTCTCTTCTGGATTTTCCTCACCGCCAACCTCATCATAACTTCTACTTTGCTAGTTTTTATACCAGCCTTTCATGATCCTTTTGCTAACGAAACCATGGAGTAATTCACTTTGTCTCCTTTTCTCAAAACGGGTACACATTACGTGTTCGATGAAAGAATTTCCTTCGCTTTTCAGAAATTAAACAAATTTTCATAAGTTTCATAATAAAAACTTTAGCTATCAAATATTATATTTCCATTTGTGGGATTCACAAAATGTGAAAAATGAAAAGCTTCATATTTAAAATTTCCTTCAAAAGGATATTTTGATTATAGCGACGAAGACAGTATAAAACTATAATTATCTATGAAAAACACATCTGATAATGAAAAGTCCACCAGGAAAGGCTCAGAAGGCAACGTTGAAGAAATAAAAAAATTTTGGAAAAAAATTTGAGCAAAATTCAAAATGAGTGGCATGTAAAAGTGGTGCTGAAAATATAAAAAACGCTCAAAGTTATTAAAAAAACTCGAAGAAGGAAATATTGGTTAATGTTTGAAATCAAATGGCGAGGTCGAGGTCGTCTCTGGACTCGTCGGAATGAGGGTAAATGACGTCATGAGGGGGCTGGTAGACGAGGTGAGGCTCGGCGGATGGTTCAACAAGTTGGACAGGCGGGAAGCCGAAAGGATGGCGCCACTCATCGAAAGAGCCGATGCTCGGCAGCTCGTAAAGGTATGGCGAGCCGCTCATCTCCGTCACGGTCCCGTAGTACCACGGCTGATCGTACCTGTGGTAGGAACCATTGCAGGGGAAGAACCAAAATGTGTCAATGACGGTGTGCAGAAAACAGGTATTGAAGTTTGGTTTTTAAGCTTTCTTTCAACTGAATTTTTCTTCCAGAACTAACTTCATAAGCTAAATCAAAAACTTTCGGTTACAGTAAACCGTTTTTCCGTTCTAAGAGCTTTTTAGCTTCTCGATTCAAGCTTTGATTTGAAAAAAAACAAGGCCATATGGTCTGGTTTTTATTTCAAAGCGGTTATATTTATTGTATCGTCCGTTTTTCGCGACTTGGAAGAGCGGGACTTCTCTGAGCCGTCCTAATCTCTCGACGTCTCTCTCATGTTTACGTGCTATTTCTATGTTTCTCTGGCCTCGCCAGTGAGGGAACAGAGAGACGCAGACACGCGAAAAATGTCAAGTCGAGGGACTGTAAACTTTTCGATATAAATTCGAGATTTGGAATCTTTGGAAGGAAAAAGTGAAGTCAGGCTTATCTAAAGCTTCCGAAGATGGTAAAACAAAACAGGGACTGTATTTTGAAAAAATCTAGATTTGAGGAGGTTTATCTTTGAAGTTTGATTCCTGCACCCCCGTGGTCTACAAAGATGAAGTTGAAAACAAACGGCTGCGGGAAGGTCTGAATCGATGGAGCGAACGGATAACTGGTCGGATAGCCGAACGCCGACGACTGCAGCGACGGCAACGTTTCCACTGAAAGATGTCTTCTTTCATTGCCGCTAACAAACACGAACCAGGAGCCGCACCGACGACAGGATCCCTAATTTTATCCACTCCATAGTCGCCTCCGGATACTGGTGCCGCATAGTCGAACTGAAACTGATACGATGAGATTTGTGGTTTCATGGTTTTCCGCCGAAAGAGCCAACAGTATTATGTGAACATAAACTATTTGTTGCTTGGGAATGACTTTTCGCCGCTAACAAAACGTATTGGATGACTCGCTCGTTTTACCGCAGTGCGCAGTTCGAACTCATTTAGTCACGCCTGTCATCACTCCACCCAATCTGCAGTCGTTTGTCTGCGGCTCCTGACAAATTAGGCGCCAAATAACACAAACTAACGTCGACCGCGTTGCGATCAATTTCTCGCAGAGTATCATCGGTATTTTTCACAAAACAAATTAGGCGAAAACGGTTGACTTTTAAATCCAATCATCAAACTCAATAATATAGTGGGAAAAAAAGTTCGTGTTAGGAACAAAAGAGAGGAACAAGGCAGCAAAAAGACTCCCTTTTTCGAGCTTTCAATCTTTTCTGTGATGTTTAAGGCTCAAGAAATGGGGAAAAAATGAGAGGCAGCAAAAATGGTGCATAAGAGCCGATGAAATGGTGCAAAAAGGCAGCAAAAAAAGAGCCTAACAAGGAAGGTCCTTCTACTTTGTGGTTGGAAATCCCCTGAAAATTGGTCAGGTCACTCCTTGAAGTACAAAAAAACGATTTTGAGAGTCTAAACCTGCACAAATTCCTAGTTTTTATGAAGGCAGGCCACAAATCCAAAGAAAACGTTCAAAATTCGTCATAAAGACCATTTTCGAGGCTTTGAGCCCTAATTTCTTGAAAACTAGGAAGTTTTGAATGTTAAGATTTTCAGGGCCTCAACTTGGTACTTCGGATTCTCAGGGTTTCCTTTGGCTTTCAGGCGTCTTTTTTCAAAAACGAGGGAGTTTTGCAGGTTGAGACCTTTTGAATCTTCTTATGGTACATCAAAGAGTGTTCTGACAAATTTTCAGAAAATTCTAAACCGCAGTTTAAAATGATCTCCCTTGTAGAAGGAACATTTCTATGGAGCCTTTTCCACCCTTTCCGATTTTGCCTGTGCTCTTTGAAGACTTCTCAGCCTAGGACAAAACTTTCAATCCCTTCGTTTCTAACTCTGGATCAATCCAAGAAAAGCTAAGAACTCCAATCAAAGATGCAGAAAAGGGTCCCTTTTTTCAGAAATAGTCAACCTGTGGGAAGTTGGAGAAGGAAGAGCGCTTGCGCGCCTTGTAACCGCGGGGTCGGCGACGGAAGCTGCCCTCCTCGAACATGTACTCGCACGTCTCCGAAATGGTCCACTTGTGACCCTTGCGGCCCCTGCAACTCGACTAAGTGGCATGTCTGCCGCGAAATGCGATGCGGCTGTCTTGCGCAACTTGCCTCGAAAAACCGTCTTACCTTTCGCCGGACTCCTTGGGAAGCTTGACGAAGCAGTCGTTCAGACTCAGGTTGTGGCGAATCGAGTTGCGCCAGCCGGCGTATTCTCCGCGGAAAAATTCGAAGGTCTCTTGCAGGTAGGTGTAGATCTCTGCCAACGTCGCCTTTTTGTCCGGTCGCTTCTGTAAAAGTACCTTTCTTTCAGATTTTACTGTATATTTTTTTTCCCATAATGTGCGGAAAATTCCATTCTGTTCGAACACCTAACACTGTGATGTACCAAATTACAGCTCTGACAGCAAAAAAGCTGTTCCAAAAAGATTTTTCAAAACCTTCTTTCTCAATTTTCATTATTCATCACTATGAGAAAGAACAAAAAACAAAAAGAAGCGGTAATTTTTTTGATTGATCTTTTTTTGGCTACTGTTTGATGAGGAAATTGTATATTGTCAAATGGAGAAATTATTAAGGTACTTAAAAGCTCCAGAGTGGTTCCTATAAGGGCAACCTTAGGAGCCCTTGAAGGTTCCCTATAAGGAGTAGCATTTTCATGAGAAAAACTCAACGAATTAGAGTTACTTGAAAGGAAAATTGATCAAGATTTTCTTTCTAATTTTCGAATCGGAACAAAAAATGAAAAGGTCCTATAGGGACCGCTTGTAGGGGGTCAGACCCTAAACTTCTATATTGACCACCTTGATTTTACCTCTCTAGAGGGCCCTTTTTTACCCTAGCCCCTTAAGGGACAACTCAGGCAATTAGAAAAAAACGAACGGCGATGGCCATTGCTATGAGGGCGATGTAGGAATACGGTGGCTTCTCCTGCCGTTTTTTCGACTTGGACTTCTTGACGCGGCGGTCCTCGTGCTGAAACTACCGTACACCAGTCGGAGAACCAAGGCTCAACCTCTTCTTCCTCGGTCTCTTCGTGTTTCAACGCGAGAGGCTCCAGGGACCGCGCAATCGAGTACGTACCGCTGTAAAATTTTCAAAATTTTCTCTTTTTCAAAGTCTCAACAGCCCATTCTCTATAATTTTAATAGTACCATTTTCCTGCGCCTCCATTACCTTCAGAAACGCTTTCTTCATTGATATCTAGCGTCACGAAATTTTTCAAATTCGGCGACTGTAGTATAACTTATTTTTTACAAAATATGAATTCCAGGACCGAACTTTTTCCAGTTTCCAAAAATCCACAAAAATATTTCAAAAATTTGAAATAAGGATGAACTACAAACTCGGTTTTTTTTTTAATGAATGAGAAAAAAATAAGTATACTTAGGAACTCCAGAGTGTTAGTGAACCCTATAGGGGACATCTAGTCGATAATTTTTTATGAACTCCATGCAAAAAAATTAAAAAAAAGTTTTTTTGAATGAAATTGAACGACCCCTATAGGGACCACTCAAGCTTTAGGGGATAAGGGGTCAGACCGTACCCCCCATAGGGACCACCTTGCTTTTTACCCCTATAGTGGCCACTTTTTTTCGGTCCGTAAAGGGGCTGTTTCCCTAACACCTACAGGGACCACTTGAAAACTCCTAAGAATGTCTAAACAGAAGTTTTCAATTTGAATGAATTCGCCGCATATCTTGAGCATTTTTTTGAATAATAAAAATTAATTGATTTTTCAAGTCGTGTAGCGAAAAAATGAAAAAAAAAAATTACTCATTGCATTTTTTCAGTGAGTTTTATAAAAACGAAATGCTCGCCAGAGCGCGAAATATGAACGGTACATTTTTAGGCATGCTTGAGAAAAATACAGCTTTTCTCATTTTGCAAAAACTGGAGAAAGGATCGAAATAAGCTCAAAGCCTTTCGGTTGATGAAAACTACTTACACGAAAATGAAGCTAGAAATTCAGAAACTAATTTCTGAAAAATGACTTTTACTAGATTGCATAAGGACTAGTAAGAATAGAAAAAAGAGGTACGGGAAAGAAGAATGCCTAGCAAAGTTCCCGAATGTTGTATATAATAATTATAAACGTTTCCTGTGAGATTGTTTAGTTTTAGAAGAGAGAAGAGGCGTGGCTCGGGTTTTTGGATCAATTGAAATTGGAACAATACGTGGAACAAAAAATAGCGGCTTTACCTGTGGATGGCTAAAACGGAGGCGTCCATGACCGGCAACTCGATTCCCTGCTCGATGGCTCTGCTCGCGTGTTTATGCGGACGTTGTCGAATGACGAAGTACGGTAGCTCCTGTGTGGGCGGAGCCTTGGGCTTCTTGTTGGCGATTCGCTCCGTCGGACCATCTCGCAAGATTCGAATTTGTTTTCGTAGAAGATGATCTATCAATTGAACTGATTTTTCTAAAGTTGAGATGATACTCAAGTGAAGAAGAAATGCAGAAGATACAAGAAAATCTTACTTCTTTGAGGATGAAGAGAAGACTTTGTAGTCCTTTAATTTTTTTTTCCGCTTTTTGGCTATCTAATGGGACTTATTAAAAGGCGAATTTTTTCAAGCCAACGATGGATGAGCTATAACTCAAATTAATTTATAACGTGGCAACAATGAATTTAAGAATACAAGATTTCATTTCTGCCGTCTCGGAAGAAAGTACTCTTTTCATAAAAAAAAAATCATATCCAGTTTTAAAAAACGATACTGGACCTTTTACCGCTTTTCTGCCCCCTCTACGCTATTTTTCCTCAGTTGTCCGGATAATATTGAGCCCAAAAACCAATGAAACTAACTTTTCACAAGAGGGAAAAACTTTGACTTTTTTAACTATTTATTCTGAAAAAAATTGGTTTGAAATGATCGGTTATTATACTTCTAGTTGTGTTGTCCCGACAAATTTAAAAGGTCACAAATTTAATTTCACTTAGTGTCCTCAAAAGTAATAACGCAAGGATCGAAATTCGGTAAATTTAACTTTTTGTAATCGGCAAGAAACATAATGACTTTTTGGTGACAATCACAACAATGCGGATCTGAAAAAATCGGTCGGTTTTTTTTCGAAGTAAAGGTGCTGAACCAGACGTACGTTTCATGGCTCGAAACTTTGAAGGTGTCCGAGAAAGATTTCGAAAAAAACTAAGTGGATCACTTATGTAAAAAAAAAACGCAAGAAACCTTTAAAAAAATGCTTCGTTCTCGGTTTTTTGGCTTTCTTCGATCTGTATTCCTGTAATTTCCGATTTTCGGATGTCAAGGTTAGTTAGAGGATACTGTGAAACGATAGCTTATCCGAGGATTTATGACTGAGAAGTTGTGCCGAAACTATCAATCAACTGGATCGAAAACCAATTCTTGTAACTTTTGGATGTAAAAAAAATCTGAATATGAAGCAAGATGACTTCAAAAAATGTTCAGAAAATAGTGATTCACATAAAAATATTTTTGCGTCAAAATAAAGAATCAACAAAGTATTTTATACGTTTCAGAAACAGTTTTTTTTTCTACTTCTCGGTTCTCAAGCCTTCGAAACGGAACCAGGCGCTTCATTTTGAATTGTATCGAAACTTCCTTTTTCAATATTTTTTGTCTGCCAATTGTTTGAAGTGGATCATTAACTGGACAAAATTAAGCTCTACGAAGAAGTGAAGCTTCAGTGAATTAGGCCATACACAAGTCTTTCCCGTTTGGCAACTGTACCAGGCTGCACATTTGGCGCCTAATCCCCACGCAATGTGTTCCTCAAGACATAAACAACTGCGTCAGATCGATTCTCGTGGCTTTCGTGGTAACTCTGGCACCCAGCTGACCTCAGATCATTCACAGTTTCGCTCGAGACCTGAAATTTTTCTCATTATATGAAAATTTGGAAATCATTTTTGAGGATTTATAAGGAGCATATTCTAGACAATTTCCATATATTTCAGTTCCTGCATACTTCAAACATCCAACATCCTGTTGAGAGCGGTCGGTAATGGTAAATTTGTTTTGATAAAAGTTTTTTAGCTAGCCAGATTATTCTTGTTCTCTCAAAATGTTACTCATGAGCTAATTGGGAAAAAGGAAATAGTATTCAAAAATTTTCTGCCCCTGGAATAGACTGAGAAAAGACTGAATGGTCTTAAGTCGATTTCTTTTCTTTCCAAGTGAAACTGAGAGACTTTTGAGAGGTCTCTATAGGGGTTTCATAGGGGCCCTATGAGGTACCCCTACGCTCCTCCTATAGGGGCCCCTAAAAAGGTGTCATAGGGGCCCCTATAGGGGTCAAGCTCCAAGGAGTCCCTATAAGGGTATAAAAGTTCTGGTCTCTAGAATTGGTTTTCCCGTTCCAGCGGTCCTTAACTTTTGCTTATCCGTAAACGCATTGACGAGGGAAATTGATTGATGCATTATGGAATTTCGTTTATTAAAAATTGGGGACCCCTAAAGCTTTAGGGGCTCAGGAGCCAGACCCTAAACCCGTAAAGGGACCCATAAGATTTCTACCCCTATAGCGGCCCCTTAAACAGCAAACCCATATAGGGATTCCTCAAAAAATTCCTCAGAATTTAATTAAAATTTAGAGAATTTGTCTTCTTTTTTTGTATAAGGAAATTCCCTTTTAGAATTTCTTTTTCTCTCAAACTCCAGGAACCAATTATGAAAATGAACTGATTATTTGGAATTTTCAAAGACTAGTGGTGAAGTATATCAGGGATTTTCAGGAGAGTAAAAACTGTTTTCATGCTACTTTATGATAAAACGGATAGTATAGAAAAATCGTGAGCGGAACTTTTTGGGTCTCAATCGTTTTTTTTTTCAATTAAAAAGCCTTCGAATCACTTGGTTAGAGATTCAAAAACCGGATTTCTTTCTCGCCCCATATCCACGAATGTTACCTATCGTTTTACAGCGAGCGAAATAAACACCATATCATAAGAACGGCGAGTAGACTGGCACATTGAGCACAGGTGGGAACTGTTATTGTATTGACGGTCAGTGGAGGTAACCCGATAGCCGAGTTGCGTGTCTCGGGCAACTACCAGCACTCCTCCCGTCGAACTTGACACTGCGCGTGAATGGGGGCCGTTGTGGCAGATGTCCAACCATCATAAGCTTAAAAGTGTAAACGACGAGCACTGGAAAGGAAAATGCAAGTTCTTCTAGTTTATTGTCCAATGAAATGAACAAAATATCAAGCGTAGGCCGAGCAGAACTTCTTCAAGATCCGAGCGGCCGAAGCGACCGTAATGGGCGAATTCTCGCGATCGAGGCAGTTCTGGACTTGATCCGTCTCTTTGGCGCTGATCACGTTCAGCGTCTGCAAGTGGCCGAACGCCTTGCGTACCAAGGAACTGCAACTTCCTATCTTCTTTTCGAATCATTTTTTGGTTTTTTGAAAATTCTCTATGCATTTAGAAACCCGAATTCCCCAATTTTCGCGCATCGAATTGTAATTATATCATTCCATTTTAACGTTTTCGCAAGTGTTCAATTTTTTGGGAAGAAATATCGATGCCGGTGTAGTCCGTTTTTCGCGACTTGAAAAGGCAGGATTTCTCTGCGCCCTCCTCGTCTCTCGACAACCCTCTCATGGTGACGTGCTATTTTCTGTTTCTCTGACCTCGCCGATAGGGGAACAGAGAGACGCAGACATTCGAAAACTGTCAAGTCGCGGCAAACGGACTATCTTTATTGAACTTTTTTCAAAAAGGCCGAAAAGGTGCAAAAAGTACTTTTTAGTTTTAAGCTCTCCATCCTGATACTTTCAACAAACAGGAAACGAGACGTACGTGTCCATTCCAACGTCGCAAAGGGCCAAACCGAGGTGCTTGGAGAACGCGGAAGGATGCGTCGCCGCGTGTCGATTCATGGCCAACCAATCGAACGACCTCTGGAAAATCTCAAAGTTTCTGAGAGACTCGGCTGGAGGCAGATGCCTTGCGGTCGATGCTCATCAGATGCCTCTCAAGAACCGCGCCCGTCCTGCTCACTGAGTCGATGTCGACGACGAGAACTTTGGGTTCCTGGACAGCCTGAAGTCAGTTCGGACATTATTCTGAACGAAACTGTCACCTCATCTGGTTGAATCATCTCTGATGTCAGAGGAGCGTTACGAACGTCCAAAACGTTCGCTATTTTGGAGGCTGTCGGGTCCAAAAACGCGAGTTTTGCTAATGCGGGATTCACTCCCCTCTCAGAAGATTGTGTTTTCGCTGGAAAATAAAGACTGATGGTTGTTTCGAACTGAGCTTGAAAAACTGAAACTTTGTCAAAAAAAACCATATTTCACTCGAAAGAGAGTGAAATTACTTGTAAGGGCTTCAACTGAGCTGTTGAAAAGCCAAAGAAAGAAGGAAACTTACAAAGAGAAAGTTGGGTGCGGTCGACAGGAAGAAGTTCCGGCTTGCGTTCCTGAAAAGATTAAAAAAAAGAGCCTTTGAAAAAGACCCACCACTAAACCGCCTTTCTGCTCTGGCTTGACCACGCTGACCGAAGGCTCGACTCGCAATTTTTTCGCATCAGAACTCTCTTTTTTTTTCTCGACTACAGTTTTTTTTGGCACTTCAATCTTCTTTTCTTCTTTCAAATTCTTTCCTTCCTTTCCACTCTCATTTTTCTTTGCGATTACTGCTTCTTTAGAAGAGATCGGTTTTTTCTTTTTGTCAACATCAGTCAACTAAAATTATACAATCTTCAATTATTGAAAAATTGGAATGTTCTGAAAAATGACGATTATCATTTCCAAAATGATATTCTTGTCTTTCCACGCAACTTCATTGAAGGCATACTTGCAATAAAAAAAAATCGTTGCAACACTTCAAAAATCTACTGCAGGACCCCCTTTTTGGTCAAAAATCTCATTTTTGACTGCACTCGAAAAAAAAAAACTTGAAATAATTTAAATTGAAAACCGATAAATTTTTTCAAACGGTTGTTAAGAAAAATGTGAGCATTGAAGGCACCTTGAGAGGGACGGAGCTACGTACTACAGAGCGTCTTGTGTTTGGTTTTGGAATCAGACGTTGGTCGGACTTTTTCGAAGGAGTAGCTTTCTTTGGTTTCCCCTTGACATCTCTGAATGAGTTCTTATGATTCTGGAACGGTATAAAGTGAACTTAGAGCGGACAATCGCCTTCTTCTTCAGATCCTCCGGTCGGCTGGTTGGTTTCCGAGTTGTTTTCTTCTTCTTGGTCTTATCTTTGGTCTTATCCTTGTGTCGGTTCGTTTTCTTTTTGGTCTTTTTTGTATCGATAATCCGATGAGCGACAAAAAACAGAACGTTATCGAGTCATGCGATGTTTTTATATATTGAAACATGCTTTCTGATTGCAAAAATAAGAAACCATACCTTTAACCTTATCCTGTTGTTTCGGCTTGCTTTTGGTCTTAGTTTTCGTATTTTTCTTCTTCTTCTTTACATCCTTCTTTTCCTTTCCCCTGACAAAATGCGAGTTCAATAATGCTTAATAAGTTCAGAAGTCCACTAAATATGCGTTCAACGTAGATATGAAAGAGAGCCAATGACTAATAGGTGGTATGAAAAAAACACTAGCGAAAATTCAAACGGCGACTTTTCCGATTTTTTCATTTCGCTAGGGAACTTTCCGACGGCCACCTTTCCGACGAAACTTTTTCCGACTTTTTTCCCTTATGCTTTTCGGTTTATAAAACATCTATGAACATTTTTTTCCTATTTCTTTGTGTTTTTAATTATGAAAAAAACTACCTACTTTATATAGGAAGATGTAAAACGAAGAGTTTATCGAGAAAAAAAAGTCGGAAAAAGTTTCGTCGGAAAGGTGGCCGTCGGAAAGTTCCCTAGCGATATGAAAAAATCGGAAAAGTCGCCGTTTGAATTTTCGCCGGTGTTTTTTTCATACCACCGACTAATAAGGGCTGTTGAAGTTTTTCTAGTGACTCCTTCTCTCTCGATCGCTGAAGTTTTATCATTAGCTATTATCCTCAATCTGCCATCCAGCTGTCAAGAGAGCAGAACTATTTTTTAGAACTACCGGAGAAGAGAAATTAAGAAGTTATTATCGAGTTTTATAAGAACTAAAAGAAAAAAAAATCTTGCAGGTTAAAATGAGTGACTTCTCGCTTTGCGTTTTTGAAAAAGTATGTCTTTTTTGTTGAATAAATAATAACATTATAAACGGAATTCGCCTACACGTTCTACACTTGCATTCGAACTTGTGCAACCGAAAAAAAAGAAACACAGAGCAACGGAAAATTCTGGCAGAAATCAACGTGGCTTTGCGGTCTCTAACCATGGGAACTACTTCTGGTGATCACTGATGAACCTCTTTGGAGGAAAACACAGAAGATTCGTTCAGTGGATTTAATGTTGGATGATATTAATCATGAAGGTTAACATAGAAAATCTTACATCTCGAAAAGAGCTTGCGTGTAACAGCAAAGAAAAAATGGAAATGCTCAACTATTTTCGTTGAAGTTGGATTGAATCAAGTTCACGTTCAACTGTGAAAATTCATTTGGAGCAATAAATACAATTAACCGTCAGTAGCGACAGTTTTTTCTTCTTTGATCATAAAATTGACAGAAAAGAGATGCATAGGCATACCCGTTTGCAAGTAAAATATTGATCGAGCAGTTATCGGAATACTCTAAAAGGTGGGCGTTTAAAAATTGAACAAGAAACATATATCGAGTAAACTATGATGAAAAAACACTGAGTGTGAGATTATTAACATAGAAATAGATGTTAATAAGGACGTAAGATGTATACCCAACGAAATTAAATTGAACGACGAAAAATCCAGAGCGAAAACAAATAAGATAAGCAAAAGATCCGAACCATATTCACAATTTTTTTCTCTTAAACTTTCCGGTAGAATAAAAAACTAAGCAAAACTCTCTTCCAAGCTGTCAGAGTTAGTGAGAGAGTTTTCGATGACAGTTTCCATGGACTCATCCGGGTTCGAGGATTCCTTGAATATTCTGAAAAAAAAAATGTGCAAATTTTATAGCCGAGCTATTTTTTTTTTTCTATCGTTCCAATGATATTATCAAAGTATTAACAACGGAGCACCTTTTATATAAAAATGGATAGAATCGGGGGTTAAAATTTTAAAAAGGATCTGTTTCTGCGGAAAAATCGCCGTAATTGGGAAAAGGTTGTTTGCAAGCGCGCTCCACGTGACATGTCTTTCAATCAAATTTTTGAAGGTAGGCAATTTGATTTTAGTTGGAAAAAAAGTGAACATGAAAATAAACGACACGGTGTCCCTAGAGCACTCATTTGAATCATATTTTACCAAATACGCCAGAAATTTCGCAGCCCGTTATTTTTCGCTCATCTCATTAAAATGCTGGCTTGATTATTTTGTACAATCTCGAACCAGTGTGCTGACGCTACTAAAGTGGTCACTAGATATGCCCCGACACGTCCGATTCGCGTACTATTTTTATGTATATATGACCGAGTTGATGAGGAAAAGGGATCAAAATATTTCCAGCTGTGGCGGATAAAGTACTTTCAGAATCAAGGTCGTCTATCAAGGTCGTCTATTCATAAAAGAAAACTGAGAAAGAAACCTCCATTCCTCCGCAATGTCTTCTGGCACTGCCTCGACCATGTTGTCGCACTTCAACAGAGCCCGCATCACGAAGTTCTCCATTTGCAACCGTTTGAAAAGCTGCAATTGAATTTTGAAATAAATTTAAAAAAAAAAACAAAAGAAATGGTATGAAACTTTCTCGGACCTTTTTGCGAAGGATTTCTTTCTTCTCTTCTCGGGCAACAACAAAATTCACAGCCGCGCCAGTTCCAACAAACGTCCCCTTCACTTCTTCGTCGTTTTTCCTCTTTAAAAAGCTTAGTATTATTAAGAAACGCATGAAATAGAAGGATTGACGACTCTTTTTTTGTTTCTCGTTGTTATTTTTCTCTGCCGATCACGTACATGGGCAAGTACCCAACTCAACTAACGCGGGAAAAGAAGGCTTACTTAATTTCGATAATGAGGAATGAAAACTACTTGGAACAAAAATATATGTATATATTTTGGTTTTCAGGAAAGTCGTGTTGAATAATTATTAGAAAGTCGTGAGAAAAGGGCTTTAAAAAAACTGTACATGTATGAAACCGCATCATATCGTCAACTCAATTAATAACCAACGAAATAGAAGTTAAACAAATTAAGAAAACCAAAAAAAAAAACTAACGACAACGTCGTCGACACGCTCTTTCGGAATCTTCGGGCGTGCATTCAGAAGATGTTGAGAATATTCGGCCATAACATGACGATGCTTCTTCATGACCAGTTCAAGGCCACACATAAGGTCTTTATGGAGAGCTCGTAATTCTTGATTTTCAGAGCTCAGGTGCAACAACTGAAAAACATTCAATTTTGAAATTTATGTCATTTGCCTCATGGTATAACTGATTAGGAAAACATTACAGAATAGTATTGAGATTTTTGACACCCTGAAAAAAATTCAAAAAAAAAAATAAAGTTACTTCGTTCAATGAAAAAAATTATAAGCAATTTTTCATTTTAATATTTAAAAGGCGACGATTTCGGTCAATAATGACATGAATACAACTCTTCTGATTATGATGTGATTTTCGAAAAAAAAAATTAGCCAGAGAATAAATGATAGATTGAAGGAAACAAAATGTTAATTTAAGTTTAAACCTCGCGATTTCTGTTAGCTTCATTGCTCGCCTTTACGATACAAACGCGACCGTTCGAATCGATTGTGTAGTTCTTGTTCCCATGATACATCAATTTATCTCGTCTCTGCAAATTTATGTCGTCCCATGTACCTTTTCTTGAAGCATCCAAATCAAAAATAACTTACCGATAAAGAATGAATGCTGTGGCCATTTCTAGCAAGCAATACGTCCAGTGTTCTCTTCCCGCAGTTCACAGCGTCGATAACCTTTACTCGAAACTTTTTTTCCAAAATGAACATACAACAAACCTTGACAGTCTTTTCGTCCACGACGAAACTTCGAAGATCGCTAACGAGGCGACCAACATCAATCGATGCCGAAACTCTGGACGATTCAAAAACTGGTCGGTCAGTTGCAGCCACATTAGAAAACTCCGGATCTTCGTGCATATCTGATAAGTTGGAGGTGATAGAGAAACAAATAGTTGGAAAAGATGTAAAAAAAAAATAGAATCTATTATTCTAAAAGTATTATGAACGTACCAATATACTGAACAAAAAAAAACCCCTTTTTATTGTGAAAAGAAATCAAATAAACTCTGGTGTGCTACATAAATGTAAATTCCCTCTGAATTTCTGTTCAATGGCGTTTCCAGAGATATCTTGCCCTCGTCGGATATGCTGTTTCTTGTGCATTCACCCCAGACGAAAGTTGACATACTTTCGAAATTTTAAAAATTTTTCAATGAACAAAGAATAAATTTTAAAAGCTGGAAAAGCTAAAAAGTAATTGATCGCCCATTTATGTTTAGGCCGTGTTCAAAGTGATTCTGCGAAATGCAAAATACCCGTTAGAGAATGGAAAAGATAACTATATTTTGGAGAGTCAGAGACCATTTTGCATTTCGCGGAAATTACTTTGAACACGGCATTAATATCATAACGTGACAGATCTAAGCCGTGCATAAGCCGCAGATGACAGAAGGAAAAACTACCAAGTCTGTTCAGATTTTAAATGTCAACCGCCCTCCGCCCTGTTGGCATAGTACCTTTCTTTTGATGATTTCTGATCTTTTTTATTCTAAAAGATAGAAAAAGAAGTCATGATCAAATGCAGCCATCTTAAAGATCTATCTTCCTCTGGAGATGAAACATGACGCGAAAGATATTGTAGCCTTGGGCGCGGAGTTAGCTGCTTGACATTCAAAATCTGAACAGACTATATTTAATAGTAAATTGAACTATACGATTCTTCACGTTTTTCAAAAAGTAAAACAGAAAAAAGGAAATCAATACAGTTTATTCACAGCGACATTCACAAGATTGAAAATTTGACAAGCTTTTAGATTAAATTAGATAAATTTTAATAAGAACAAGATCTATTGCACAGATTATAAACTATTTTTAATACCATCTCAGGGTGAAATTTTTTTCTTCATATATATATTATTAGTTCTCTTGATTTAATAAAAAAATAAAACTGGAAGAAGCTGGTTTTGACTTCGCATCTCTTCGTTCAAATCAGCGAATCCGTCTGGAATTGAAATGAAATCAGTGAAAATCGTAAATTCAAACGGAAAAAAATTTTTAAAAAAACTATCTTTTCCAGGGAAATCACCATTTTGGGCTCTCAAATCATCCACGTTTTTTCGATGCCAACTCCAAATACTCTCGCTGAGTGATTTTCTTTCAAATGATCCCAAGTGAGTAGCTATTGAATGAAATGCGACAGTTAGATGTTCAGCACAGTCGATTCCCCACCGGAACAGAAGCTGAATGGCGATTTCATTTCCTAATATGGATGCGGTCTTACTGTCTTCATTGTATGAACCATGTCGCCTGCTTCGTCTTCGTGCTGACGGAACATTCGTGCCGTGATAGAAATCGGTATCAAACATGGTTGAACCAACAACAAAGATACAAAAGTGTTCATGGACCATGGTGTCGGGAAGGCTATAAAATATATAATTCGAAATTGATTATGAATTTATATCCACTTGTAACTTCTTCCATAAGATTGAAAACGGCGTTTTTTGTCCAGGAAAGTTCTGTGTTCGCCTTTTTAGTAAGCATCAGAGCTTGAAGAGCTGAAGAAATGTCGCGAAGCATAGAAATAGCCTGTTGGTGCGTTTGAACAGCGAAGTCTCCAAACAAATCCCAATGAACAACTTCTAAAAAAAACCTAAATCTAAACGTTTTTTTCAGACTACCTTGTCCCCCTTGTGTACGCATTGGTGCAAAAAGCAGATATAAAAGTTTTGATTGAATTCGTGTTCCCGCTTTCTTATAAACGTTCATCAAAGCTGACAACCAAAAACGATTCGATTCATGTTGAAAATCCATTCCCCGATGATTCAAAAAAAGAGATGTCAAGTTCACTCGCACCTGAAGAAAATCATAAACTGATTAATATTCTATTCAGTGATTCAAAAACAAAGAAGATAAATTTATAAAAGAAAAGGAATTTTCTTGTGAAAACGGTTTTTCTTTTGCAAGTTGTTTACCTTGGATCTATTAGGCGCAGACTTGTTCTGCGCCATTTGGGTTTATTAATCTTAAGTTTTGGTCTGAAAAGCATACCTTCAGCTCCAATTTAGATTTTTGACCCCACGGGGAGTCCAGAATAGAATTCAAATCTTCATAAATAGATTTGTCGATCAGCATCGCAGAAGTTATAACTTTGTCGTAGTCTTCTTGACTCTGTATGCCGTCACAAAACTAAAAATCAAGAAAAAAAAAATACTACACATTAGCACTTAAAAAACCGAAAATATCGCTCTTCCGAAACCATCTAGACTTCGAATTTTCTCGAAAATTTTTCGGAGAAACTTGACTAAAAAGTCAACCCTCTCGGAAAATGAATCAAAAAGCTTGGTAACTTGCCTCAAAAATATTCCTGAAAACAGTATTAAAGAAAATACCCAGAAGCCAATTACCAAGAGAGTAAAAAGAGTCATTCCTCGTATAGAAAGAAGCTGGATCTCGGGAAGAGTTACAGTCTCTCAAAAATCTCGATTCAAAAAGGGCTGAACAAGTGTAATCTTTCAAATAAATCATCCACGATTTCGAAACGGAACTCAAGCGTGCTAGTTCGATCACTGAAAATTATATTTGGAGAACTTTCAATGCTGCAAACTTACTGGGGATCTTTGAAACTAGAAGATGAACTAAATCTTCTGGTACATTATCGAATATTCCCATAGGCGTCGGCCTTCGCAATTCGGGAATTATATTCAGGCTTCTCAGGGTCGGGCCTTAAATGAACTTCTGGGAAAGCGTATGGAAATCAGATATACCAAGATAAACAACTTCATCGTCACAAACGCTAAAAGGAGAAGCCGGCGATAAACATGTTCGACCATCAGCAATGCAAGTCCGTCGGCGTTTATTATTTTTACCATGTGCGGCTTCCGATAATCTTTTGCGAACACCGAAGAAGTTAGTTATTCTTTCGGAAAGATTCTAAAAACTATTTTGAATAGTTCTGAATGAACTTGCTTCGAGATATCTTTCAACTTCATGGTTACAAATGGAGTTCCTAAATGTGCATTACATAACTACACATTTTATTTGCAATTGAATGTTCTTTGAAACTTCTATGGACAAACCACTAACCCCTTTACGACAAGAACTTCTCGATGACACTGGTGACGGCTGTGTCATCTCTGCCCCTCAACACGCGACCCCTAAATCAAAACTTTAATGAGTGAGTTCAATTTTATCGAAATACAAATTTACAAACTTTTAAGACTAAATTGATTTCTGAGAGAAAAACTGATCACAGTGATGTGTAAATACATATATATAAAGCAACAAAAAAATAAACATTTCAAGAGAATTTTTTTCGAAAGTCTAATCATCTAATTATTTAGGAAGAAGATTTTTCAAACCATTTGCAATAAATAGATAACTCGAAAAAAAAGAAAATAATGTATTTGAAAAAAAAAATTAGAAAAAATGTTCAAAAATTCTTCGTAATGAATCAGTGGGATTTGAACTTGCGCCAATAAGGTTACTGTAGCGTCATGAATTTCGTCACGATTCCCATTTTCTTTTTCTTTTTCTTTTTTCTTTTTTTACTCCATACAATACCGCGTTTATAAATTTTAAGTTATAAAACTACAAACGGAGAAATCAATGCCGTGATCAAAATGATTGCGCGAAATTCGAAATAATATAACAGTGGGGAAAAGATAATTAGGTTTTTAAATAATTAGAGATGATTCTGAACTGCTTTTTGCTGCATTTCGCCGCGTTTCAGCTCGAGCCGTTGAACCAGAAAAAATTTCGCTGTGCGCGTCAAATTGGCTCCGAAAGAGGCATAATTTTTCTTTCATATGAGTCGAAATTGCGTCCGCCGCGCGACCGTTTTGCGCGCCATCTCCTTAGTTGGCTACATCCAACACAGTCTTTCTTTCATTTTTTGCTCTGTTTTTTCCAAGATTTGGAAACTTTCTGGTTCCGGATTAGACGGCGAAATATTGACCGGCTACCGGACGCCTTACACCACTGACTGTCAAACATGCTCGGAAAACAATTTATTTTCATTTTTATCAGTTTTTGAGAAAGCCAATATACATCATAACGATTACATCTGCGAATAGTATGACGCGAGTAATAAACCAGATAGAAAAGAGTTCAAAAAAATTATATGGTGTCTTTGACTTCTCGAAAGTTTATCTCTAGTTTTGCGGTTTCGGCGGCACTGCTTTGAGGAACTTCTCCTGAGAAGACGATGATGTCGTCTATCGAAGCCGTTATATGACGAACTCCTCTTTCAAAGTTTTTCCGATAGTTATACACCACCAATCGCGAAATATACGTGGGGGTGTCGAATACGAGAAAGATGCGCGCGCACCGATTGGGTAGAAGAGGAGTTAGCCACATGTGACTAGGTCTGAAACTTAATGTTCAAAAAGAGAAAACCCGACTAGGCTCAGTCGGTAGGTTTATCGAACCTGTCCGTGTCGTTGACTCCGTCGATCAAGTTCTCGGAGCGACGAGGATCGTCTACGATCGATGGCAAGATATTAACACTTTCCGGGAAGGCTGCCAAGTCTACGAAAAGCTTTTCGCGAACCAAGAATCACTCACTATGTTGTTTAAGACGGAGCAGCTCTCCGTGCCTGTTATACATTTCAATACCATTTAGGCCAATGTAGAACTCATCGCCCCAAGTTGAAAGGAGTCGAAGTTGAAAAACAACTGAATTAACTTCATCAGTAGGAAAAAGAGAGGTTTTTTGTCTCAAAATACTGTTTGGATGGAGAAATTTGAATATAAAAAAAAAAAAATTCAACTGACATCCTCCGATGGTCCTAGTCGTCGGCCTGGGAGCAACTGAATTTATCCGCGAGTGGTTCTCTAATAATATGTCTTGCACAAAATCGAAAAAGACATTTCCTAAAAACACGATTTTATATATTTCTTCCATATTAATACCGATAGCTTTTCGTAGCAAAAAATGGCCGATCACCATCTTTCCATTTATATACACATGAATTAGTTTCACACCGGCATAGGATAATTCACTAGAAGCGTTGTAGTTCCAGAACGAAAGAGCTGGAGTTTTCATGTTGTTAGATAACTATAAAGAACTGCCAACCTTTCACGAAAACCGGCTTCGGAAATTGGATAGTAATAGTCACGGCCTTCTTCGGGTCAAACTCAGAAAGCCACATTTCTTCAGCACACCGAGTCAGGTTTTTTCCATTGAATAACCTTAAAGGGACAAATATAAGGTGGAAGCTCAAAACAAGAAAAGTTATTTTTCTGACAAAAGAGATGCCGAAAGTCACAGTTGGAGAGTTTGATGGAATTTTGATTCAAGCTCAATCAAGATTCAAGGATATTTAAGCATTTTAGCTTTCAATTGAGATATGACACTTCAAAGTTGATTCACTACCGCTTCAAAGAAGAACATAAAAGTTTCTGGAGTTCTGGAGAAAAAATCTCAAAATTCTAACTTTCGGATATTCTCGCCGTTGCCACCAGACACAGTGATCGCAGTGTCTTTCATGTCGATAAGTCGATTTCCGGCTCCCAATATCTCGACACTCGTCAGTCCTATCAAGTCAGGTATGCCCCAGTTGGAAGCGAGCTCAAGTTGAAGTACTGCAAGTCGGTTTTTGTCTAGAAAGCCATAAATAAACACCTTTGACGTTTCCTTCGGAAATGGCCTCTTCGCCGCTTTCTTGAGCGCTACTTGGTCTGCGTTCTAAGGACTGCGTAGGGACCCCTCTCTCTGTTGTTTGCGGACGGAAAGGCGTTAAGGCATTTTCTGAGAGTTTGAAAATTTTTTTCGATCCGTGATACGAACAAAAGAAAGCTCTACTTCCACTCTTGCAAGCAAAAATGAGTAGAAATATCTAAATTTAACCGAAACGCGTGTTCTCTCGAGAGAAATTATGTGAATTTGAAATTTTCGCAATTTTTACAAATTATAAATATATTAAAAAAATGAATTGTCTGAAGCGGCACCGGACTGAAATTCATATACAAAAATTTCATAATCAAATTTAATTTTTCGAGCTCAAACAAAAATGAAAATCTTCAGCAGGTTCCGGAAACAAATTGAGAGTGAACCAACCAGAAAGTTTGGTGTTGTCGTAAAAAGAAGTAGACTCGACCGTGTCAGGGATGAGGCAAATGTCGTGCTCGGCTATCGCCTCAAGTATCGCATCCTCAGTTGTGAACAGCACTGTCTGAAGAACTCTAGTTCAACCTCTCCTATGTCGGGTTGAGCTTGACCTCTCCCATGTCGGGCTCAACCTCGGTGTCTCTCGCAAAAGCGCAGTCGATCTCCCCACGAAAGATGGCGACTCCGTCGAGCAACACACTCACAAGTCTGACTCCAATCTGCGCCTTGACTCGAGACTCGTTGTAGTTCTTGACGACGAAATATTAGCCGCGACAAAGAGAGGCTTACCCAGAAGCGGATCATCGCTATGCGGCAGGCTTCTCGCAGTCTCACGCTCAACCTGATCGGTTCTTCCCCAGTGCCTGAAAGGTTGTCATGACGCTTCTTTTTCGGAAGATCGAAAGCTCGGGTATTGAAATACAATTATACTATAGTCTGTGTGCCAAGACTTGAAATTTCACCGAACGACATTCCACTGTGCCGCTGCGTGCGTTCGCGAAGCGTCTTTCGAATATAGGTCACGCTTTCAATTGATTGTTATTGCTGTGGGAGCACATGAAAGTAGAGTACCTTGATAAAAGAAAAAAAAATTGAAAGCGCGACAAAGGTTCGCAAAGGCGCGCAGCGGCACAGCGGAATGTCGTTTGGTGAAATTCCAAGTCGTGGTACACATACTTACACGGTACAATTAGCAACAAAAAAAAAACAGTTTTTTTTCTCTTGTAAGTTCTAGAATAAGTTCTAACTAAGAGGAGTCTTCGAGGATATTTTGAGACTCACATCTATGCCTCAAAATTGTGTCAAATCTCGTTTTGAAAAGTTGCAAAACCGAAGCCCTATGTTTTTCCAACGTTTCCAGGATGTAAAAAGCATACATTGACGGTGAACTTCGATGTTGGCGCTCCACATTTCGGTTTTTTTCTTCGTGATTACAGCATCTGTGATCAAATTTTTCAGATTTCCTGATGTACATTCGGCGCTTGTATGAATCTAAAAGCCAACTCTTTTGAAAAGTATGAAGAAACGTGGAAAAATTGACTTCAACAATTTCGGCGCGACGTCCAGTTGAAGTGAAGATTTCTATCGAGTTGAGGCCAACTTGTGTCGGATCCCCCCAGTTGGACAAAATCTCAAAAACCAAGAGTTCGCCTAATGGCAACTCGGGAATCTCGCTGCAAATCAAAAAATATTTTGTTTTTTTTGGAGGAAAATGAAGATCTTTTTTCATGTCCACTTCCATTATTAAAGGCATATGAGCAGTAAAAATGGGATTTGAGATGAATTTTCCATTTTTAAAAGCTCTTTATAGCATGTCGAACGGTACACGTGAAAATGAATTGAAGTCCTATTTTCGCTCTTTTTTTTTCGTTTCTTTCAAATTTCAATTTTTTCGCATGTCACCAAAGTTCTTTTCGACATGAAGACTCATGTATAATTTGCAAACTTTGATCGCGAAAGTACTTCTTTCGCGTAAAATGATGATTTTATACAGATTTCGGTTAGAATATCGATATTTCGCGTTTCCTTTATCATCCGTGTGTGGTTTTTGTTTGTAGAAATGCTTTTTCCAACAAAATGCGAGTCTAACGACACGTCCGCAACATCGCGTGCACGTCTACTGTAAACAGTTGTCCGTAACCGATCCAAAGCAAATTTCTAAACTTCAAGGCGGGAAGGTAAAATCGCGTTTTTCTTCAAAAGTAGCCACATCTGTAATTTTTTTGATAGCACGGTTCGATTCGCAATGAAAAACTATAAGATACTGCTTTCACCTGAACCCCCGTTTTTTTTTTTTACTGCTCCTATGCCTTTAAAATACATTTTGTTTTGACGATTGGACACGTCGGGGAGCCCAAAAAGTTTTTTTTTTCTTTAAAAAAAAATGGAAAGTGCGTTGTCATGAAATCACTACTTTACCACAAAACACTTTTTCAAAATCGAAAAAATATTAGGATAAAAAAACGAACAATGGATAAGTGTTGATGGGGTCGCCGTTGTCACACGCCATGCCGATAAGAGCCGGAATGGCGACGAGTATTTCCTTGAATGTTTTTTGTCGCGAAATCCCCGTGTGTTTCTTACTCGTCTGCAGTTCCTTTGTCGTTTCCATGGAGACGCATTCCGATGCGCGCTGCCGTTGACGTCCAAATGAGGTTTCAGGTGAACTTCAAACTCACGGTTTATAGTTGGGGTTTGAACTTGAAATTGGTTACTACTAACACAACTTCAGTATTATTGTTTTTTGCGGATCAGGACTGGGCGGAGACGGATCGGAGAAATACAGAGAACTGAAAATTTTGAAAGAAAATTTTTGATCCTTTGAAGGAAGGGAGACAACTTTAGAGGTGATAAAAAATCAAGAGAAATATCTAAGAGCTTATGTTGCTTTTTTTTGAAAAACTTTTAAAGAGAACACAGAAATCAAAACGACCGAAACCGACGGAAACGAACGGCGTCTATCTACTTTTTGGGTTTTTTTTTTGTTCAATAAAAAGAAAAATGCTCGTGTCTTTGGCTTTGGCCGTGTGTCTTTTTTGTTAGCGTAAATGACTTTTCGGAAAAGAAATCTTTGATTTGAAACAGAAATTATGTTATTTCGCACAAAATGCGAGCCTAATGAGGCTTCCGCAACTTCGTGCACGTCTAATGGAAACAGTTTTCTGTACACCGATCAAAAGCATATTTCAAAATTGAACCAAACAGGCACTGCATCTTCTCTTATCGTGTCAAGACCCTTTTTTCGATGGCTCGAGCTAGCCGTGAATAAGCTATACATGCTCGAGTGAGATAAATATTCATGTAGTCGAATTTTCAAAAAGAGTTTATCAACATTTGCGTGGAGGTACTTCAGCATTATCCTCCTCACAGAAAGACAAGAAAGGCGGTCAGAGAAAGGAAAGTGAGAACGGAGTTTTCACGCCACTCGGCCACTGTATTTGAACTCTCACACTCGAACTAGGCCCTTGAGGTCGCACGTTTCCCTGTGAGGAGCTTCTTAATTCTTGTGAAACGTACCCAAACCGTTTTCTAATTAATACCGTTTTGTCTTTTTATTTTTTCTCACTCTTCTTTTTTTTTGTTCGATACGATTCAAATTTCAAATTTTATTTTTTATAAATCAAAATTTCGAAGTTTATTCTTTTGCTAAGTTACTAGGTCCATTTTTAACCTCTTTTGAGACCTAATAGGAGTCCGGCTGTCTTTGGCGCGCCGACCTGCCTTCTCCTGGCCATGTTCCGTTTCCCGACCATCCATCGATCGTGGTGGCCTCGATCTTCGTTGAGTGCACTGGACCCCTCTTTTCTTTTTCTCTTTTGCCACTTTCCAGTTAGATTTATTGAACAGCACTATTTCTAGTCTCTTTTCAACAATTAATGAAAGCGTTTAGTGAAACTATTGTTGAAAGTCCAAAAATACTTTTCTTTTCAATTAATTAGTCTTGCTACTGTGGTCTCGCAGTGCGCACTTCATGATTTTTGCTCTCAAAACTTTCAAGTTTATCCCTGATCGCCCATGTTTCATAAAACCGATGTGATCGTCCAAAATCACCAAAATATTTTCGTTCCAAAGTCGTCAACAGATTTCAGTTTCGATGATTTTTCTGACGCGGTCGTAACATTGTAAAGCTTTCTAAAAACGTTTTATGGAACTTAGAGTCTCACCTAGACCTTTGACCGAAGAAAAAAAAACGCCCATCGTCTTTTGGGCTCGTTCTGGATGTGATCTAGACAATCTATAAACTTTTCAAAACATATTACAAAAAGGAACGAATTGACATTCGCCTTTCTTGGATATTCATCTGCGGAACAAGTCGTCAGGATGAAAAAGCCCTTTTTTGAACTTTGTTTTCCCAACGTTCGGGAAACGACAGATTCGGGCTATTATCTCGTTTTGAAATGCCGTCGTCGTACCTTGTTTGATCTGCTCGCGGCTCTGACAGCCGATTTCAGTGCATTCCAGGCCGATCCCATTTTCCCATTCCGTCTTTTCTGCCATTCCAGCGGTTGGGCATTGAAAACGATTTTCAATACTCGACAAATACTTTTCTCATAAATTTTTATTGTTGATTTCGTCGCTCATGTGGAGGGATTTCCCTCAAACAACCCAGTTTTGTGAATTTGCTGGTGGCTTCATTCGAAAAAGGTCTTCATATGGAATAGGAAAACGAATTTTTAGGTAGAAAAAACAACTTCAAGGTCTATAACTATGCAAAGAAATATCCGTTCGCCACGAATTTTCTGGCTTACCTTCGCCCTCTTGATCTCTCAGAGGAGCTCTCAAACTAAATGGCTCTCTCCATTTTTCTTTCGCGACGAGAGAAAATGAAGACAATTCATTTATCGTCGGCCGATCGGGTGAAGTTTATAATTTTCCAAATAAAAAAAGGTCCCTTTCTCTCTCGTTTGCCGAAGGATTCAATAAATTTGAAGCTCTTTTGTTTTACTCAGAGAATCTCTTTTCGCTTTTCTGGTAAAAGTTTACACAATGGTCTGTTAAGACTGCGTGTAGAAAAAGAAACCGGAACGTAAAGCATTGTTTTTGTTCATCTTCCCTCTCATTTTCATTTGCAATATTCAGAAAGAAAGTGGTAGTTTCTGTGAACAACGATCCGAACACATAGTTTTTCGGAAGCCCTCATATATTATTTGACTCTGATTAAACTAGTTTCCTTCGTTTTCTCTATGAAACTCGGATAGCGCTGTATTTTGTAATGAAATATCATCGTTTCATCATTTGAGATATTTTCTCTGCTCTTTTTTCAAAAATCAATGGCTGTATATTGAATATTCCATCATTATATTTAAAGCTTATCGTGTTTCATAGTCAATTTTTTTTTCAATAATGGTACTTTTTCTTTGGTTATATACAGATTTTTACTTCCCAACAACTCTATGACAATTTTTGGTATTCAGTAAGTCTCATTTTTCTTGTTGCGGATCCATTCGACTTTCTCTCGAAGATTAACTGAGAGACTCAGTGTAAAATACGCATTGACGTCCCAAAAAACGGGTTCCTCTAGGCGGTTCTTGGGTCATGGTTCGAATTGCGGGCACGCTTTGTCAATTGTTTGCCATTTTCGACTGTTCATTAAACTTTTGTACGGCCTTTTCCTTGTCTGTCCGGCGAGGAAGTTGAAGATAAGCGTAGAAGTATAAACTAAAAATAGTCCCCAAAACAGTACTCCTTCCAATTTAAAAAAAATAGTAACGATTAGTCAGAGATCATTGAAAAGTTTTTTGAAAAAAAAATTGGAAGTGAAAGAGGTTTTCCGCGTTCAAAGTGATTTCGACGAAAAAAAAATGACCGGAGAGTGGAAAAGATAAAGAAAAATTTGGAGAGCCAGAGATCATTTCGAAATCACCAAAGTACTTTTAACGTGGTATTTGAACAAAAAGACAAGCCAAAAATGCGTGTTCTCGCTTCATTTCTCGCGGTCTTAGAAGCTAGAAGCCATCGAGCAACAAGGTGTCCACTAATCAAACACTGTTCATAGTGACCAGCCGACAAACACGTGTCTTGTTGTTTATTCTGGTTTTAGTTACTTGCACGTATTCTTATTGTCTCCAACATCAAGAGCTCCTAACTTAGAGAATTAAGTTTTAGGACACACACAAATCTGAGTATGACAGTGAAGACGCGTTCGGTTTGCATTGCGCTCTGTCCTGTAGCTACATTTGAGCGTTTTTTTTTGGCTATTTTTGCATTGATAAAGTTAAAGTAACCCTTTTCGGAGGGTAATAAGAAAAAAAAACCATGAAAAAAAGTGATGAAGCTCGGTATTTTTTTTACGAATATTCGATGGTGTTTTGGACGCACTGCACACAGTACACCCGAAAAGACGCTCGAAAGTTAAATTCAAAGTTTATGGTTTGTTCAATTGGTCAAAACTACTAGCAGCTGATAAAAATCAACGACGCGGATGGTGAATGTAGTGGCAAAATGCGCTGTCAATTTGAAAGGTGATGCCGTTACCTAAATGCGACCTTCAGTTTTTTTTTAATTTTCAAAACTTGATCCAAAAAAGGAATATCCTATTTTTTAGAAACTCTGGGGCGTCAATAAACCCCGGTTTGCTTTTTGATATGAGTTCCGTTTCTTTGTTTAACACGTCATCGAAATTTTTGCTTTTTTTGTTGGTTTTTTTATAATAATAATTTGCCGAAAGATTAGTGCTTTAAATTTTTCTTGTCGATTTCATTCTAATTTGCAGTTTTTTTGTTTATCGAAATAATAATAGTGAATAATTTTCAAATTTAAAACAAGTCACCATCTTTTCTGTTTATACAGCCGCATTCAATACAAAACAAAAACCCCCGAAATTTTTTTTCCAGTCGCTTCCGTTGGCTTTCAAAACTTTCACTTTTTAAATAAACGAATAGATTTGTAAAGAACTTCTACTATTGAATTAACTTCTTCATAATTTTTCTCTTCGTGGTCTTCGAAATTTAGCGCTAAATTACTCGACGTATCTGAAACAGTTAATTTTTTTTGTAACTGTGTGTTTAAAATGTCGGCTTGCCAGCGGTGAATTGACTATAGTACTTGGTGCTCGGCACTGAGAATGCAGCTGACTTTCTGTCAATGAAACATTCGGCTATCAATCAGCCAAGGACCACAGCTGCATTTTCCCCGAATGATTGGATGTGATATTTTGATCATTGGAAAGTTTGCATTTCACAAATGAAAATAAGGAAAGCAGACGGTTACTCGTAACTGCATCTTATCTATGAAAAGAACTTGCTTTGTCCCTCGTTTGATTAGTTATTTTCAAGCCCGGAAAACGATCAAAAGCGATAGAAAATGTCTGGATAGGAAAAAATAATAATATTATACGTTCTTTTTAATTTGACAAAATTTTGCATTATCATGTCACATAACTATTTAAAAGGCAACATTGAAACATTTTTTCTAGATTTTGAGCGAGCCTTATTATTAGGACAGTTGTGGATACTGCCGCTGGAAAGTTCATTCGGTAGCGTCGCGTATGTTCGTCATGTGCCCCGCCTCTTCTCGTGTCTTTCCGCCCCCTGTAAAGTTGTCTGCCTATTCTCGTTGTGTTGCTGTTGATTTGTTTGTCGCGCTCTGTTCAATCGTGTAATATTTCGTTTGTGACTCATATTGTTGTAGATAGAGGCTTCCAAAGGCTCAATACCGCTTTTTCGATTCAGAACATCTCATCTTCACTATGAATTAAACTCGCCTGGATCTCACGACCGACTTTATCGCGAGTATTCGAAACTAACCGATTCTGATCACTAAATTCGCAGTCACTAGATATAGGGACTCTTATATTATGTGAGTTGATAACACGAAAGTATTTCTAAACATCATTTTCAGCTTTTTTTTCAACGGTATGAGGTTACCCTTGTTATTTTCCGCGAGAGCAGCGAAGGATCGATTTTTTTTGTACCACGTTTTTTTTCTTCTCGCAGGGGCAACTGTCATCAACGGCATACAACATGATTCTGTAAGTTGAAGGCTCAAAAACTGAAAGTTTGTTTTTGAATGAAAACTAGCTTTCCAAAACCCATCCACAGGCTTAGAGAGTTCATGCGTGAAGGCTTTCAATACATTTCTTCAAATTTTACTTTCTCTGCGTAAACTCGTTGAACATCCTGATCAACTTCTATCGTCTAGTGATTCAGGTCTGCGACGACGGCAGTTCAGAATGCCCTGAGCCCACACACACGGTCATTCGCCTTGAAAAGCGCAACGACGAACTCGCGAGGGAAATCGCAGCCCAACATGACATGCACGTGAAGGTTTCGTTCTTTTTTCTAATTTTCAGTTTCCTTATACCTAGTTTCAGTTTTCTCAGGAACTTATGTGTGTAGTGGGAATCGCCCAATACTGCTCACTATTTTTGATATCAGGAAGCAAAATGTCAATGTTAAAACTGACATTTAAGGCAATTTTGATTCAAATCGTTTTGAATTTTTTTTGTTTTATACGGCCGTTGTTTTGATGTAAACTTTTCGGAATTCAAAAAAAGGATTGTTGAAAAAAAGTTCAAAAGAAAAAAACAAAAAAAGAACTTTTTTTCAAAACCAGGAACAATTTTTTTGAAAGCAAAAATTTTTGGCAATCGAAAAAAAGATTTATATTTCGCAAGCTTTAATGCTGTAAATCTTCCACCTCTTTAGGAATCTCGTTCATTGTCAGGTTTGAAGAGAAAGAAACAATTTTCAAACAAAAATCATATTTAGATCCCTTAAATTCGCCAATTTATTCATTCCACATGTACATAATATCTAGAAACATGATGTTTTCAAACCGAACAAATATTTTTCTTTGATTCGCTTCAGTCGTCCAAATCCTATAATTTATATAAGTGCGGAGAAATATACGTTTGTTTTCACGAAGAGCGAAAGTGTAACAGAAAAGCCGCAATCCAGTTACAGTTGCTTGCTTGAAATCACTGCCAACCTCATACGAGAACCGTTCCACTGCACCTTTTTTCAGAAATTTCTATTTTTTTAACCATTTAAAGTAAGATTATTCGAAAATTTAAGTTCGAAAGAAAGAAATTATTTGGAAACTTCATGTTTAAGATATGACCGTGACCCGGAACTAGTAAGTGTACGAAGAGAGAAGGATATGTCTGAAGTTCTAGCTGCGAAAACTCTACTTTTCCGCTTTTTTCATTAAAGTTCAAGCGAAATTCTAGATATAAATTATTTTAATTTGATTTCTGTAGCTGCATTCTTGAATATGTGGAGAAAGTGGAGGTATGAAAAAAATCCAGTGACTTTTCCGATTTTCCCATATCGCTAGGGAACTTTTCGATTGCGAAGTCTTCGAATAATCCTTTTCCTTCTTTTTTTCTCGATAAACTCTACGTTTTGTACCTTCCTATATAGTATAGGTAGTCGAAAGTTCGCTGGCTTTTTTCTACATAAAACCCAGGAAATATAAAATAATGTAAACGGTTTTCCCCAGGCTATTACCTTTACCTTTACTATACCTTTACTACGGAGACGTGACTGAATAACTTTTCAGGGCGAGCCTTTTATGGAAAGCCATTATTTTTTGTACCACTCGGACGAGAAGAAGTCGCGCAGGCATAAAAGAGCAATTGTAGAACGGTTTGGCATATTTAAATTTTCAAACTATGTATTTTCTCCAGACTTGATTCTCATCCCGCTGTCGAGTATGTGGAAGAGCAAAGACCGCGGAAACGTGTAAAAAGAGATTTTATGCTTTCCGACGACGTGAGCTCCACCTTTTTCTCTCCAGAAACAAGAAAATCTGCAGGAACCAACTCATACGATATCCAGACGCTCTGCTGACGCCACTCGATTTTTTCGCCAAGCGCCGCGTGACATCCCCCGTTTGCCGTTCCCCGACCCTCTATACAAAGATCAGTGGTACTTGGTGAGTATGTTCGGAGCAACCTCCAGACTTTGAGTCTTCCCGAGAAACTCTTTTCTGTTCTCAGCACGGAGGAGCCGTCGGTGGATACGACATGAACGTCCGCGCGGCGTGGCTGCAGGGATACGCGGGAAGAAATGTGTCCGTCTCGATCCTCGACGATGGCATTCAAAGGTTTCCGTTCGTAGACCAACTATCTCAAACCCCTCAACTCAGAGATCACCCGGATTTGGCTCAGAACTACGATCCTCTCGCGTCGACAGACATCAATGATCATGATGATGATCCAACTCCACAAAACAATGGCGATAACAAGTATGACTTTTGAGATTAGTTCACTGGGCTCATTGTCACTTTCGAGGCACGGAACTCGATGTGCAGGAGAAGTTGCAGCTCTCGCCGGAAACAACCAGTGTGGCGTTGGAGTTGCTTTCAAAGCGAAAATCGGAGGAGTTCTCTTAACGCCGTTGAACTTTTCGTTACTTTGATTTTCAAGGTGCGGATGCTTGATGGAGCGGTTTCTGACAGCGTGGAAGCGGCTTCTCTGTCGCTGAATCAGGTTTGAGAAACAAAGAAAGAGGAAAAAAAAACGTGGGTTGCAGCATCACATCGACATCTACTCGGCTAGTTGGGGTCCTGAGGATGACGGCAAAACGTTCGACGGCCCAGGTCCCTTGGCTCGCGAAGCCTTCTATCGTGGAATCAAGAACGGTCGTGGCGGCAAAGGCAACATCTTCGTCTGGGCCAGTGGAAACGGAGGATCGAGGTACTTTTTTCTGAATTTTTACCAGGACCCTTTTAGAGCAAGCTTAATGCAAGCGTTCAAGTTGATGAGAAATACATGGTTTGCCAAAATTTATTCAAATAAAAAAAAAATTTAACTTTGCGTTCTTCTAATGAATCTCGGACATTGGGCGCCTGAAGATCGCCACAACTCTTTCTCTAACACACACTATTTCGTCCTTATCTAGCTGCGAGAAATTCAAGAAACAGTGTAGGTAAGAGAAAAAGCTGTGGCGATCTTTTTACGCCCCATGTCAGAGCAATTTTGATGCAATTTCAATTTTGTAATTTCAATTTTGACAATAGTGATATGATTCTTTCGCTATTTCATTGGAGGTGTGAGAACCCAAAAAAAATAAAATAATCAATCTTTTGAATAAATTTTTCTAGTTCTGAATTGGGCTGCAATAGCTAGAGGAGTTGTTAGAGAGTTTTTTTTTTCCAAAAGTTCTTTTTTATCCCTGATAAAGCGCTAATAATAAACTTGTAGGCAAGACTCGTGCTCGGCCGACGGCTACACGACTTCCGTTTACACGCTGAGCATCTCTTCAGCGACCTACGACAATCACAGACCCTGGTATCTGGAAGAGTGCCCCTCGTCCATCGCTACAACTTACAGTTCGGCCGACTTCCGACAGCCCGCCATTGTTTGTATTTTCGTCTTTTTTCTCCAAATCCATACTTCATTTACAATAGACCAGTTTGAATCTCAATGGTTTTATAATCTTCTGAGAAACCACAATCAGAAACTTTCGGAAAAAAAGTGAAAATAATTTTAAAAAATTTGGCTATCCCCCCGCAACATCGCCGTATACCAACGCAAAGTTGCGAAAATAGAGTGATTGATTGATAAAAAAAACACATAAGTTTAGAAAGAAAAAACTCATCGATTTCTAAATAATTTATTTTTTAATATTGACCGAATAAACTTGGTAGAAACCTAGTGTGAAGCGGATCTGAATCAAAAATTTTTTCATCTGATTTTGTCATTCAAATAATTAAATAATTATTTTCAAACCCCATTTTTTTTTTTGTTGATCATGTTTTCAAAAACGTATATAAATGCCATTTTAAAAGTAATTCCCGCAAAATGCAATATTAACTCTGACTCTCCAAAATCTAGTTATCTTTTTCTTTCTCTGACGTCTATTTTGAATTTCACGGAATCACTTTGAACACAACAAAAAAAGCTTCGAAGTCCCTTCGCTCATGTTCTTTTTTTCTCATTCTTGGGGTTGTTTTTCAGGTCACTGTGGATGTCCCCTCAGGATGCACTGACAAGCACACGGGTACCTCGGCTTCGGCTCCACTCGCAGCCGGAATCATTGCACTCGCTTTGGAAGCCAAGTTTGTCGAAGGTGGTCGAGTTCTCAGAAGTTTTCGGTCGGTTTCAGTCCGGAACTTACTTGGCGAGACATGCAGCACATTGTGTTGCGTACTGCCAACTGGAAGCCACTCGAAAATAATCCCGGGTGGTCGAGAAACGGCGTCGGTCGCATGGTCAGCAACAAGTGAGCTCCTTTTTTGCAAAAGTTGATTGAAAGTGCGAAAAACTGTCCATTTTTTTTCTGCTACTTTCTTGAAAAACTGCCAAAGAAAATGAATTCAAAATTTGGGATTTTTGAAGCCCGAAAGTTTTCAAAAAGTGTCTCATACTCATACGTAAGCAATTGCAAAACTCAACTGAGGAGTTGACTTTCAAAAATTTTGAAAAACTAGATATAAAAATTATTTCAAGCCCAGAGAGGAGGTGTCGACCCATAGATGGGCAAGTGCGAAGCTTGTTATGCCCGGGAGAAGGGTTAGCTTACAAAATTTTCGGAAATTTAAGAATCAAATCAAGTTTCAACCTCAGGGAGGTAGCTTTGACCATAATAGTACAAGTTTTGGCCTCAGGGGGTAGGAATAAGTTTAATTTATGAAAAATTGGGAGGAAGGGTTGGCTGACTTTCAAAATGGCCTGCCCATGTATGGTGTCGACAAAAATAAACTTACTTTTAACTTTGGGAGGCAGCCTTGACTCAAATTTGTTTGTGAGAATTCGGGAGAAGGGGTTGACAGCCTTAAAAAATGGTCTGCTCATGTATTTTGTTACGTTTTGATTATCAGTGTACCATCCTAGATTCGGTTATGGATTGATTGACGGAGGAGCATTGGTCAACATGGCGAAAGTGTGGAAGACGGTTCCTGAACAGCACATTTGTACTTATGAGTACCGTCTCGCTCCGCCCAAGTGAGACGTCTTCTTTCTTTTTTGTCTTAACCCTCCCACTCTTCTAGTCCGCGACCCGTTTCTGGTCGGTTCCAGTTGAACTTCACTCTTGACGTCAACGGCTGCGAATCAGGGACGCCGGTGATTTATCTGGAGCACGTGCAAGTGCACGCCACAGGTGTTCCCTCGAAACAAAAAAGTATAACTTTTCCGGTTTTTAGTACGCTACTTGAAAAGAGGAGACTTGAAGTTGACGCTCTTTTCGCCTGCCGGAACTCGCTCCGTTTTGCTCCCACCTCGACCTCAGGTTTTCATCCAAGATTTCAAATATAATCTCGCGCAAAGTCGGAATGATGGATAATGACTTCTAGAAGGGAGAAGCTCAAAAAAGGCAGTAAAAAGGGTTATTTTATCGAGCTGTACCAGCCCAGCGATAGAAGAACCTTCGACCACGCCCCCGCGTGGGCGAAGGTTTCTCAGTTGGTGGGTTGCTGGTTCCGCGTGTCCCTTCTGTCTTTCCTCGACTCCTGCCTGCCTGTATTTCCCTGTGTCAAGCAGCTGACATCCCAAACAGGAAGGTCCAATACGCCAACCTTTAGAATTGTATCTGGAGGGAGTCTCTAGACTCTAAAGGCGGACTTTTGGAATAGAGCCATTTTTATCAATTTTGAATACTCAAGAAATGGTGGAGAAAGGGAGAGGCAGCAAAAATGGTGCATAAGAGCCGGTGAAAAGGCGCAAAAAGGCAGCAGAAATGAAGCCTTTGTTAGCTTGGTCATTCTAAAAGGAAAATTTCTATGAAGCCTTTTTCGACCCTTTCCGACTTTGCCTATGACATGAGAGTAGAAGAAGATAACAATGTTAAATAAAGATACCAAAAACAGTGATTATTTTTCTTTCACAACTATAAGAACATGTAGCTTCAAGCAAAAATACAACAAAAACGTTTGATTTTCGTATTTTCCTGCTTTTGTAGTTCTATAGAGACTATGTATGTATTTTTTTTTCTTTGAAAACAGATTTTTTTCACTGTTTGTCAAAGTTTTTACACAAAGAAGTTGTTTCAAAGTTTGAAATGTTATCCACCAAAGAAGAAATTCGCCTGTCGAATGTCTCAGCGTTCAGGACTTCAACGCCAACGGCTTCCACAAATGGCCTTTCCTATCTGTGCAACAGTGGGGCGAAGATCCGCGCGGGACTTGGCTCTTGATGGTCGAGAGCGTCACCAACAACCCTGCCGCTACAGGTTTTTCAAAAAGAACAGAAAAAAAAAACCGATTTTAAGCTGAATTTTTTTTCATTCTCAACGAAAGATTATTCTCAGCGTCCGATTTAAGCAAATCCTAGTTTTTCAAGAACCGAGTTTATCATATAACGAAAGGGAATTTCCAATTTTATTATACCCTATTACGTAAAAACGATCTGAGAGAATCCTTTGGTCTTTTTTGCATGGTTTTGAAACCATCCAGTCATCTATATCAAACCGCATAAGCTAGGGCGAAAAACAAGAGGCCGCATCGATGGCAAAAACAGAACGTGACTTGAAAGAAGAGATTAGCAATTTTTTTGTTTTGGAGCAGTTCAACGAACCCAAAACTTAATTGACTAGTTGACTGAGCGGCACTGCTGCAGGCTCGTTCCACGACTGGACCCTGCTGCTCTACGGCACGGCCGATCCGGCTCAGCCTGGTGATCCGCTTCATCCGCAGGCCCCTGCAGGACAGTCGGTCCTCTCGCGTGTACAGCAACTCACTAGCCAGGTGCGAGCATATTTTAGCTTGTTCTCTCCAGTCCCGGCTTTGCCGACAGCCGAAACCGTTTAGCTAAATTTTTTTTCGGTCAACTCACTAGAAAATTTGCTTCTACTATGCATTCAATTGGTTTTTTTTTTAATCAAAAAATATAACGTCATTTCTACAAGTGACTGTTCAGTTTTTTCCACTACTGCTCTGCTTATCATTTGAAGTCGTTCGAATATCGCTATGAAAAAAAAAAACAAAAATTGTGCTGTAGGCCAGAACTCGTTTTCGAAACAAAACTCTTGTCTCATAAAATTGCTTGTGTGTGTGCTTTTTGTGTGGGAATGTGTGAGCTTTCAATGTTTTCCGCGTTTGTTTTTGCTTCACACTTGTTTTCCCTTTCGGGTTAAGAGGTTGTCCCGCAACTGTATTTGATCCTCACGCTTTTGCTTTCATGTGCCGTATGTATTACCGTTGCTTTTTTATAAGTGTCGCTTCAATGTTATTTTGTCGAATGTGCAGTCCATTTGTGTATCGTTTAGTTTTTTTGTTTTTCTCGCGAATGAAGTCTACCAGTGGCGTGTGTTTGGTTCGATGCGTTCTATTCTTGAAAACCTGAAGTTTTACCTTCAATCACAAACGTGGTATCAAGGTCGGTTCCATGGATTTAACCGGGTGTACTTGAAAAAATGTATCTAGCTTTTTATGAAATCCGCTTTAAAGGTTTTCGGATTGATACTTTGTGTTAAAAAATTGAAGTTTTTATTACTGTAGGGATGTTGATTAGTTTGACAGTTTACGGTTAATTTTTCTGCAAATCCAGGGAAGAAAGTTTTCTTTTTCTCGTTGTTTCTCCGTCCTGTTCAGTTTTGTCCGTTTTCCCAGTTCTGATTGTCCCGAAAGTCCGCATCTTCTCCTAAAAGTTTCTATGTTGATAGAAGACACAATTTGAGCCTTGGCCCACCACGAAACCAACTTGTATTTTGTCTTCTTTAATACGTCAAACGAGAGTTTTTCGGTATTTGTCTCTTATCGGGTTTTGGCGGTGTTGCAGAAAAAACGACGTCCGATGGCGTTCTCAAGGGTTCGACAGATGCCGATTCCTGCGGCTCGCGGATGGGTTCAGCCGGCTCCGTTCCGGGTTCCAGCGCCTCCGACTCTTCCAGTAGGCCAATGGATTTTCGACCCCGTGTCTCAGAGATGGGTCTGGAACCGTCGTAAATGGCGCCGTGACCACCGACATCTGCAACAGCCGCCTTCTCCGCATCATATGTCTTTAAGCTCCCTTCCTTGATCTTTTTCTTTTCTTTTTTTCACGGGCTTCTCAATATGAAGTTTTCGACCCAATTCTTGGGCTTCAGGGGGGTTGTTTGAATTTTTATTTCAATACATCTCAATCTTCTTTTTGCATTTCATTCTTCTCCAAGCTGTAGTACAACTTATGACGTAAGGAAAATAGCGTTAATTTGTTTTTGAAAGCAAAAAAGCCATTCTAAAAAATTTTTTTAGCTTCTTTCTGTTTGTATAATGTTTTGCAAAAATCAGAGTTTGCATTTCCAAATATTAAAAAAGTTATTCAATTTTTTCTGAACTGTCACTAGTTTTGCTATAGCTTTCTCAAGTGTCCAATTTCATTGTTAACTTACAGAAAATCTCTGGGTAGTTCGGAGTCGGTTTTCTTACATTGGTTGCATGTTGGATCGTGGGCATTCGTTGATTTTTCTACTCCTCACGATCTTTTCGCTTTACAAATATTCGGGAAACTTGCATGTTGTTGAAAGGGAAATGAGAAATGTTTCCTTGTTGAATTTTCAGTTTTTGTCTGCCTTTGAAGTCGTTTTGTGTCCTCGTGCATGCTTTTCTTCCAAAAAAAATATTTTTCTCTAAAAAGTTATACTAATGTGTTGAGTTCAATCTTAGTTCTCTGACAGGAGTTTGTAAGTGAGTCGTGCTATTCTACAGATCTCCTTCCCCATGGCGGTAGTGGTGTTGCAAGTGGTAGCCGTTGTGGCAATCTTAACCGCGGCCACAGTCACCATCTGCCGTCGGCGAAGAAGGAGAGCCGCTGAAGACGTGCAGACTGCGACGACGACTTTGGCTACGACGACTCCGGTCTCTTCGCAAGCGAATTTCTCCGAAACGGAAGCCTTACGGATGGCCATCATCGAGAGCAAGCGCGATGAGCTCGAGGCCGATATGATACGCAAGGCGATCGCTGAGGCTGACGCTCAGAGTGCCGTCGAGAAACAGCGCTTTTGAGGCTCCCGTTAGAAAAATGGGAGTGCCAAGCTTGCTTGTTGTGTCATTTTTCAGCATCCTTCTAGTTAGCAAGTTTTTTTGGACCTTAGATTGTAACTAATTTCTGAAACCGAATGTAGTGATTACGTGGTTTTTTTTAATCAGAACGTTTTACACTTTTGGTTTCGAAAAGTATTTTCTCGCATTCTAACGTTTGCTCAATGATAACAACGGGTTTCCCTGGAACATGCAATCGATTGTGGAAAATCTCTCTGTTTGCTACTTCTTTTTTTATCATTTCGACTAGTTCACAAAGCCTTCCCGCACATTTTTCATTCGTTCGTTCCTGTAGAATATCCTGATTGAACCATTTGAATGATGTCTAACCGTCGAAACTACTCACCCTCAAACCTAATCTCAGATAGTTTATTTTTAAAGAATATGTAACGGAACAGTCAAAAGTTATTTAGCCCGTAAAAACGACGTCGTCATCATGGTTAGAAAGCCTTGGCGCCGGGCCCGCACAGATTAATTCTGATTTTATGAAAAGCTTTTTCAATTCATACTTCATGAAAATGTTCGGGACCAATATTCCCTCGCTGTTTCAAAGCGAAGCTCGCAGACGGTGAAGCTAATTCAAATCGGTTCATTCTCATCGTTTTATTTTCACATTCTTTCTTGGTATCGTTGTCGTGTAATTTTATGCTGTGCCTTTTTTCTTCATTAATCATCTTCCTGTTCGTTCTGTCTTTGCGGTGTTGAGTTCCTCCTCCTTCTCGTATTTCTGTCCGTTTTCAAGCATACACGAAATGGTATGACCAGTCTCTGTTCCAGAATATACGTAGCTCGACACCCCGCAGAAATATTCGTTGGTATCCCTAGAAATAAGAAACAATGTTTATCTCATATACCAAAGCTTTAAGTCTTTTGTTGTATTTTTGTTGTCAATTTTTCGAAAATCCGGTGTATTTTCTCATTTTAGTTCATTAATGAATACGGAATATTAGCGTCGATTTCTCACCTTTTCCAGAATTCGAACTTTTTTCAAATGATCAATTTTTCTCAGAAAAAGTTTACAGTAAATTGTCTTCCGATCGGCTTTCTTTCAAAGTATATCACGATTTTCCTAATATATTCTTGTTTTATTTTTTTGAATTGATTCGTTTCGTGTATCTGAGGTGCCTTCGTTCATAATTATCTGTGATTCTTTTTTTAGTTTTTATAAATATGAACTGTGATCCTGAACCACTTCTAGAATCAAATCTATTATTATTATTATGCACCCAAGTTTTTTTTAACGCCTTTTCGCTCATTTTTTTTTCATTGAATACATGTCCAATAATAATAATTCGCGTTATTGTTTTTGTAAATACTCGTAAAACGACAAACTTGGAAAGGAAATCGGAAAAAGAAAGACCAGGAATGTTGGCTCCCCGCGCCTGACTTCACATGACTGTAGTTTTGCTGTCGTGGTGTACTTTCCCTTTATTTGAAGTCATGACGTATTGGCTTATTGAAACGCGTCTTACCCTAAGAAAAAAATCAGAAGAGATTCAAGGGATCAGTTGAAATTTTTGTTGGTCTTGTTTGGTGATGGATGTGCTTGGTTAAGTGTGCTTGTCAAATGACAATAAAAAATTGAACAGAGCAGTGGGGAAAAAACTGTTCGGACATATACTTGAAAGGATTCAAAGCGCACTAAAAAAGCAAGGAAAAAATTTTCGCGAAAATCGTACCGAAATAAAGAAAATGGGAAAATTTTGGCAAACGTTATGATTAATACAAAAGAGTCCAAGTGCACCTGAAAAGAAATTCTGAAAAAGGCTTTTTGAAGACCTTCCTAGCTCCCTTTTTGTGAAATTTTTTCGGGAAAAGGTATCAAAAAGGAGATAGCTGAAAAAACGGCTAGAAACGAGAATTAAAAGTTTTTTTTTTCAAGAAAGGTAAAGCCTTTTTACCTCTTATAAACAAAAAAGAAGCGTTTTCTTCTCGAGGGGCTCGAAAAGCGTCGAAAATTTTATATAGATAGTGAGCTTTGTTCGGAGCAATAAAAAAAATCAAAATAAAATTTTTTTTTGCGGAACCAAGTATCACAAGACAGTGAAGTTTATTTTTCGACAGGAGCGTTTTTTTCAAAAATAGAAATCTTAAAAGTTCTGTTTAAATTTTTTTATAATTTTTGAGAGAAAAAAAGCACATTTTTTTAACTTCGGAAAACTAACTGGGAAACGTTTATAATTATTTTTAAAAGGCATTTTTCCAAATTTTTTTCAACTTTTTGAAAAATTGGCTGGAAAAAAAGTGAAAAGGCGAAAATTCTCATAAAAAAAATCGGAATTGAGGAATGTAGAGCTTTTTAACGGGATCAAAAAATGCTTTGAATTGCTTACAGACAGAAGAGTCAGTTCCCCTGTCATTCAGCGACTTGACCTCTGCCGGCAACTGTCACGAGGAATGTAACGGAGGTACTGTAGACCGTAAAAGGGTGTGACTCAGCCGTTATCCACAGGCTGTTCGGAGCCTCAGGCGGCGACCACGTGTTTCTCCTGCAAACACCTGACGCAGACCCTCAGGAACAAGGCCGGCAGCGGATTCAAGTTGGTCGATGAACTCGAAACTCATGAACAACAGAAATCTTCAGATGCGTCACCCATTGCGACGATACCTACTACTTGGAAGGGGACAAGTGCAAAATGTGCTCTTCTCATTGCCATACTTGTTCTCAGGCTGAGGTTTTTTCAAGAACTTCTCGTTGAAAAAAATGGAGGGAGAAATAGAGTTTCAAGAAGTTCTTAACTGTTAAAATGGTATATTCATATCTTACAAGATGGAGCATACTAGAGAGTTCAATCAGACCAGGAGGAGGCTTTGACTTACTAAATCCAAGAAATAAATTTAAAAAATGGCGGCTTTAATGGGGCACCTAAAGCTTGCAAAAAAGGTCCCTATAGAGGTTTTAGTTAGGGGCCCCTATAGAGCAAATACTTGTCGAGAATTTTTATGAACATGTGAAGAAGGATTTCCATACGAAAAAATAAAGTAACCTTTTTTGAATAAATTTGAAAAACCCCTATAGGGATTACTTAAGTTTTTAGGGGATAAGGGGTCAAACCCTAAGCCTCTATAGAGACCACCCTAATTTTACCCCTTTACGGATGACTTTTTCGGCCTCTATAGGAGCTGTTTTTTCCCCTAACCCCTAGGGACCACTAAAAAGTTCCTAAGTTTTCTCGAAAATAAAAAAATCCTTAAACTCGCTAATAACATTGATCCGGCTTTTCCTGATGTAATTTTTTTCTACTCCTACGGCCTAGAAGACTTTTTTCCTTTCATATTTATTATTCGCAGTTTCTCACTCAGTTTCTGGTCGTTCCATAGTTATTTTGTAGATTTGTGAGACATGTCCTGGCTCCCAGCTGCTCATCGACGTCGTGGATTTCCCGCATTTCGACCACGGAAAATGTGTCGACGCTTGCCCTGCAGGCCTGGTTGCCGATTGTGCGTGTCTAGTCATATTACAGTTGAAGAAGCACTTTTTTTCAACTTCAAATGCTCAATCCATATTCTCATGAATCAACTTTGCAGACGAATCGAACTTGGTCCAAGCGCGGTGTATCTGGAAAAGAGACCTTTGCGGAGAAGGTTACTACATCAACGCGGTCGGCAAGTGCGACCAGTGCGACCCCGCCTGCACCAATTGCACGGCTCCTGGTACTTTTCCTCTGAATGCTTCCTCCACTTGACCTATTCGTTAAGGTCCCATGAGTTGCGATTTGTGTGCCAAGGGCTTCGGTAAGGGAGCCATCGGGTACTGCAGACCCTGCTGCAAGCCTGGAAGTACTCCTGACTATCACTGTGGTGAGTCTTTTCCTCCCGTCTTCTACTAGCCGATGTATTTCTCAGAAGATTGCACAGTCACGAGAGGTTCGTCTTCTTCGTCGGGGTCAGCCAGTTCGACTTCTTTCCTCCGAAGTTTCTTCCTCTTCCTGGCGGTCATCGTTTTCATTTCCTGTCTCGTCTCAGTCATTTGCTACTGTCTACGAGACGGAAGAAATCAAGTCGAGTACGTTTTCTCTAGTTTCTTTCCTAAATTGTTTTCATTTATAAAAAGCTTTTTCCAATTAGTTCAAATATTGAATTAAATCTCCCTTGTCAAAAAAAAAATCCAATAAATATAAAATAATTGATTAGAGCATCCAATACAGGCTTTTTTGGTTCTTCTTTTCATTCAAAAAAAAAAAAAAAAATTTATTTTAAAATGTGAATTTTCCAGTTACACGCCACTTCCGCACTACAACTCGGCTAGTGAAAAGGTCAACCTGGGCTGCGAATCGGATGATGATGACGAACTTTTTGTTCGAGTCCCAAACATTCAAGAAATATAGTTCTCAAGAATGGACCTTTTTCTCCCTTCAGCTCCTAGAATTGGAAAAAGAACATCCAATTTCCTGTTTTTCAATCAGCACATTCATTGTCTTTGAAAAGAGTTAACAACAACTGAGTGATTAATTTACTTTTTTAGAATTAATATTCCAATTATAATAGATAATATTTAAAGCTCCAGAGTCGAAATTCGAATGGAGATAGTCATCAATTCCCGTTTTTTTCTAGAATTTATTTTAAAAAAAACTTCTATTTTTTTGAGCCTCACTTATCCTTGATCATATTGCCCCACTACGGTCAACTTCGTAACATTTCCAGCCTGGCATTCACTTTATTGTTAAAAAGTTTACTGTATTTTTAACCCGGGTTTATTTTTACTGTGTTAGAATTTTTCATTTGTGTGACAGGTTGAGCTTTTTCATGTAGCATAATATTAAAGTTCTAAATTGCGAAGACATGTTTATTTTGGTATTGACTGGTTCCCTTCCCGATTTTGTTGGATAATATATGAATTGTTGGAGTTTTTGGAGTTTTTTCTCAAGCAAAGATGAACGTGTAACCAATCAAACACGGTGATATATCATTTCAAGCAAAATTTTTAGTCTGATAAATCTCAATTTCAATATTTAGAAATACTGAAGTGAAACTAATATTTGTACGTTACGTTTTGGTATGAGAAAATATCAAAGATCTACTAACTTGTCTCGCTTGAGTTTTCTAGTTCCATCGGTCGTTATCTGAGAGATAACACACGAACTTGGTGTTATCATTGAAGTTGGTCACCTCAATGCGAGAGATGTGGTCATTTCTTTTTTTCTGCCATTACTGAAAACTTTTTAATGATTTTTTTTTAATCAGTGCTTTGTAGGGATCTGCTTTTTTTTCTGATCGACGGGTTATTTTTCGCTCTCCGCTGCCATTTCAACATCCGTTTTTTTCTTTTTCTTGAACTTCACAAAAAAAACGAGGTTCGACATTTTTTTGGAAGGATTTTTCAAAGTTACAAATTTCTTGATTGATCGAATCACGTTGGAATGATTAAAATATTGACAAAATTTGAGCTGAATTCTATCTAGTAAACTTCAAAGGTCGTAATGAAAATAAATCTCTGTTGATTGAATTCAGTGTGACTTTCAACTGGAAAAAAATAGAGAAAAAAAATAAAAATAGATTTTTCTTTCACGGCTGATTTTTTTGACAAAAAAATGTGTGAACGTTCACAAGATCTTTTTTTCTCGTTCCTCTGATCTTCAGAAAAATTGACTCAAGCCAGCCGCGAACTATCTGAACCTTATTGTTACCTCATTGTTTTTTTAACTGAACCTCTTTCCATTTTTATTTTTTTCAGAAATTTGACTTGTATCAATAATTGGCGTGAATTTGTTGGCTTCAGATGTATAAAGGTCGCTATATATACCAAAAGTTGCCTCCGGGACAAATCACCAAGTCGACCGTGATCGTTTTGACGAGTGGCTTGGTCGGCTACACGTTCCTTGAGCTTCTTGGCGGCTCCGAGAATTTCTACAATAAGGGGGTTCGTCATTTGGAATGGATACGTTGAACGGAGAGAATTGCAGGCGATGCCTTTGGTTCACCGTTTCATCGATGGCGAAAAATCGCATCGTTGGGCCGTACGAGCCGCTTCCTGGGGACTTTTGCCTCGTTGGGGCTGGAATCGCAAAGAATATCCAGAGCTCCATTGCGTGGTATGAGTTCGAGAGTTTATTAAGAGTCGAGTAACCAAGAAGGAAGAAAAAAACCTTTCGATATTTTCAATAAAAAAAGAATCTATGAAAAAATTTATCCTAGAAAAGTTTTATGTTATAGTCTGTTTGCCACGACTTGAAATTTCTTGGAACGACATTCCGCTGTTCCGCTGCGTGCGTTCGCGAAGCGTCTTTCGAATCTAGGTCACGCTTTCAATTGATTGTTATTGCTGTGGGAGCACATGAAAGTAGAGCCCCTTAATAAAAGAAAAAAAAATTATATATCGGCTATATCTCATTTTTTATTCTTTTGGTTTTTTTGCAAATGTCTTTTTGAAGTTTCTTTTTTCTCTAAAAAGCAGTTTATTTTTTCGTGAATTTCAGTTTTTTTTTCTTTATAGCTCTTCGGACGAGATATCAAAAATCCAGTCGGATTGGCTGCCGGATTCGACAAGAATGGCGATGCGATCGAGTCGCTCGCTGAAGTTTCGGGCCTAGGAATGGTGGAAATCGGATCTGTGACTCCGATCCCACAGCCTGGTAACAATCGTCCTCGCGTCTTCCGTCTTTTGGAAGATGAGGTTTTATTGAACCTCTGCGTGGACATGGAATGAAGGCAATCCACCTGTTGAGGGGGTCATCAATCGGTACGGATTCAACAGCGACGGAGTCGGCCGTGTGCAGCAGAGAGTGAGGACGGCGAGAGATTCTTGGCGCTCTGATTGGGCTCTCCTCGGAGTCAACCTTGGCAAGAACAAAATGAGCGAAGATGCCTTGTTTGTTATTTTTAAATCATTGGAGGCGCATGTCTGATTTAGTTCGGATTGAGATAAGATACATAACAGACAAGAGCTTTTTACCTTCTTTTTTGACTGTCTAGTTAAAAGGCTTTTTGAAACTTGAAATAGCGTTTTTTTTGGTCATAATTTGGCAGATTTTGAAGTGTCCTGACGTGAAAACGAGATTTATTGGGTAAAATCTCTCTCTAGTTAGATCAGAAGAATAGAGAGTATTTTTTTTTCTTCGATGTTTTTTGCATTTTACAGACACGACTATGAAATCGGGATCAATTACTTTGCTCCACATTGCGATTACCTCGTGCTGAATATCTCGTCGCCAAATACACCTGGATTGCGGAGTATGCAGAAAAAGTCGGACCTCGAAAAAGTCGGTTCGCCTTTCTACATCACCGCTTCTCAAGCTTTCAGCTGCTTCTCCACGCCAAGAAAGCTCTGGACCTTCATCAGCTGGAGAAAAGGCCGCAGATGTTCTTGAAAATTGCTCCCGATTTGATAGAATCAGAGTTGAAGGACATTGCTCAGGTTTTTTAATGTCGTGATTGAAAAAATGAAAAATTGAAAAATTGAAAAAGGTTAATTTACGAGTTCCATCGGAGTGCGTTCAGTTAATGTGTTTGGAAAGTCCGAAAATAGTTTCCAAAAATTTCGCACGATTCTACTTTCTTAAAACAATTTTTCGAAATCAAAGTTTTGTCAGAGCAAATAAAAATACAAAGATTAACTAGGTTGTGTCGAATCCGAAGTTTGGCATAGACGGACTTATAATTTCAAACACGACTATTTCTCGTCCAACCAGCTTGAGAAGCGAAAACAAGGTATCCCAGAAAAGATTGGAAGAATGTAGTTTTCTCTGTCCCAGGACGAAAGCGGGGGCCTGAGCGGGAAACCAGTTGGTCATTTGAGCACGGAATGCATCCGGACTATGTACAAGTCGGCTTGAATATTCGTCACCTTCTAGACATTTTCCAGATTTCAGGCTTACTGAAGGGAAAGTTGTGATAATCGGCTGTGGCGGGATAGCGAGCGGTCAAGACGCCTACGACAAAATTAGGTTTTTTTTCGCCACGAAAAAGTTTTTTTAAAATTCAAATGAGGGTAATTGGAAAGAAATTCATTTTTCACTTGGAATTAGCTTCTTGAAACATGAAATTTCATCTTACCTTGTTAAAACCTTGTTATTTTCGTCACAACGCTTCTCGACAACATTAATGAGAAAAGAAAATCAACCTGAAATTGCATTTGACAGAGCCGGAGCCAGTCTAGTCCAGCTCTACACGGCCATCGTCTTCCAAGGTTTCCCCGTCATAGGCAAGGTTCGAAATTTCTTTTTTCCCCCGCAAATAATCTGGGTTAGCGAATGATTTATGCAAAACGAATGCAGGTGAAACGCGAGCTAGTGCAACTTCTGCGACGCGACGGCTTCGCCAACGTTTCCGAAGCTGTCGGCGCGGACCATCGTAGCGGCGGTTCCAAAAATCCTTAGTTCTTTTTTTCTCACGTTCTTTCAAGTGCCTCCCCAGTTTGTCAGAAATTTTGGTGCCTTCAGTATTCTTTAATTTATTCCATTTGATTTTTTTTTTGAAGTGTCGAGAATAAACGGTGACTTTGAAGACGAGAAGTAACATTGTCAGGAGTGGACTCGAAGTTCAGAGTGACCAGACCTCCATTATTAGCTCTGCAGCTTAATAGAAGTTTTACCACGTTCTTCTCGTAGAAAATGCCCAAATAATTCCAAAATTTTGAGTTCGCGTGTAGAAGTTTGAGTAAAAATGCATATCTAACGATATATCGTTGTAGGACTTCTTTTGTCTGCGCCTTCTCACAATAATAATTGGAATAATCCGACGTTACCAACATGTTTGATTTTCAGCATGAAAGTATAACCATTCGATTCGTCTCATTGAGATACGTACGAATATCATAAAATTATTTGGCGCTAATAAGAAGAAATAACCTTATGGTGTGCAAAAACCAGAAAAAAACTCCAAAAATTTCAAAAATTTCGCTGCATTTTTCGACGCTGATTCAATTTAACTATCGCTACTACGCCATGAGAAGAAAAAATCTTTTAAAATAGGAAAAATATGAAAATTTTTCGAAAAAAACAATTCAAAAAAGAAAAAAAAAAATGAGAAATCACAGTAAAAATAAGCGACCGCGTCGAAGCCCACGCTTACGCACAGTATGCTCCTTTAATATTTTTTCTTTCTTTTTTTTTGGGAAATACATTTTACAGATTTTTTCGCTACGCGTATCAAGTTTGCAAATCGTTCAGAGCTACCTGATAGTGTTTTTTTAGTGTCCACGTTTTGAAACTACATGCTTTTTATGTCAAGTATTTCATTTATTTGACGAATTGCTCACTGTGGCTCAGTTTTTTTCGAAGCGAGCCACAGTCGGCTTCGCGCTATGCGCGCTCCGCCTCCGTGTGAAGCCTTAAAACTAAGCCTATTTTCTTAAGTAATGCATGAAAAAAAAAACAAACACTTCTATTCCTCAGAATAATCACGTGATTGAAAACTAATAAAGTTCATCTTAAATTTTTCTAAGTGGTCAGCGCCGAATAATTTTATGATATTCGTACGTATCTCGACGAGACGGATCGAATGGTTATACTTTTATGCTGAAAATCAAACATGTTGGTAACGTCGGATTATACCTAATAATTCTGCTTATTTCCCGAAATCATTTTAAACAAATAACGCGTCAATTTCGAAATCGCGGAAGTTACTTTGAACACGGTATCGGAAACAAAAAACGCGGAGATGTACCTCGCGGTGAAGTCACGCAACAAAAGTGTAAACACACAAAGTGAATGCACGCAATGCGTATATTCGCTTACAGTATTCTTCGCAAAATGGAATTCCGCTCTTTTCGGAGCACCGGAAATCGAACAAAACAGTTTCTCGCTTTTCTTCTGGAGTAAATAGCTGGTTGGTTCATTTTTTTTTTCTCTATTTATTTCCCACGTTATCTTGTTGGAATGTGAAAAGATGGAGTGTAGCTCCGAGGGGCGGAGCTTCGAATAAATTAGGTTTTTGTCGTAGAACAAAACACGCAGGCCGTAATCTCTCATTTTCACAGAATTCCTGATGTTGATATCTTCATTCGGCGCGCTCCTTGATTTTCTTTTTGTTTTCCGTGAGCTCGAGCTCTAGTGGTTCTCTAGAGAGAGTGCCAAGACGCCTGCATTTTCATATCTCATTTCGAAAGATTTTTGGTTTTCAACTCTAGTTTCACCTGCGATGTCTTTGTTTCCCAGGAAAGAGCCTATATAATATAAGCTATATTACCAGATCTCATTGAATTGGGCTGTATAAATGCTCTATTTGTCGTTTCGTATGATTTTAAAGGCTTAGTTTCAGCGAAAGGCTTTCTGGTTCTTAATTAAAAACTTTAACTTTCTCGTTAGCAAGCCCTAGTGCCATAATTAGGAGGTTTGAAAGTTGCGGAAAACTTGAAGAAAGGATATTTTTCGAAGTAGGTATGTGTCCCTGTGGAAAAGTTACGTCCTGCCATCTTTTCTCAGTCATTTATTTCGAGACCATAGCTATCCACCCTTTTATGATTTTTACGAAAGCCAGGAAAGAAGAAAAATAGAACATTATTCGTCACTACAAATATAAATTCCTTCGCTGGAGTTTTCTAAGTGCTTTTTGAAAATTTCTAAGAAAGTATTCCATTTTCAAAATTTTTGAAAGTCCAAAAAAGGCTTGTTGTTTATAAGATTTATTATTGCTTGCTTGTTCCAACTTTTTGAATCGTACCGGCTTGAAAACGATTTTTTTGCTCCAATTTCAAAATTAAAATTTATGAAAGACCAGAAATCTGATCTAAAAGAGATTTTCGGTCATTCTAATTCCTTTTTTTGAGTGAATATTTTTTTCACACAAAAAAATGTCTTGAAATTACCTTTTTTTGAGCTCAATATAATTCCCTACATTGAGTGAAAATTAAAAAAAGATGAAAATAGCTTGGTTTTTGAAATCATCTTCGTTTGTTCTCTCACTTTCGAACTGTAGATTCTCAAAATATTTTGTTACAGGCAGCTCTTTAGTTAATAAATATCTCAATCAGTTTTTTTTTTCAGATTCAAAATAAAGACTTCTATGTCCAATGATATCAGATATTAGAGTTTGACTTCTTATGACGAAGGCGAATTCACGGCTCATGCCAACGAGTGTTTGTGACAAGCTGAAAAAAAACAGACTTTGATTCTCAACTTGTGCAGTTTTGTCAGACTTTCGTTTCGCGGCGAATTCCCAATTAAGTACTCTACGGCCGAATTTATCTATGCATGAACGTGTTGATTTCTCTGTTACTGGCGACTTTTCCCCCCGTTGTCTTCTCTTTTCTTGCATAGTTGCCGGCTATTTTTTTTTTCTTTTTCAGCTTTTTTCTCTTTCCGTCGTCTTTGAAAACTGGCTCTTTTCTTTTGTCGAAACTTTTTTTTTTCGCAAAGTTTTAATTCAATTAAAAGTTTCGGCTAGCTTAATGTTTTTCATCGGCTCAAAACATTCAAATCTTTTTTCGGAATCAATTGAGAAAATTTGAAGCTGCGCTGACGACTTTATCCCTTATAAGAGAGCCGAAAAAGAATATTTCCACTTTTCTTTTTTTGGCTGAATCGGATCAGAACCTTGTAAAATGTCTAAAAACGTCGGAATGACAGTTTCATGAAATTAATCTCAAAGTTAATTTTTATTTACTTTGGTGAAAAAATTTTCTAACGCAAAACAGAATCCAAATAATTTTTTTCACTACAAAAATGAAGTCTGTTGCTCAGGTTGAGATTATACATGGACAAGCATTTTTTTAAATTCTCGACAGTGACGATTTCTCCCTAAATAAGAGTCATTTCCCTAGTACTCGGTTGGAAATTGCTTTTATTTTTGTCGAAACCTTCTCCAGATGTTAGGAATTGATTTTATACCTTTTTTCTGAAGTTTTTGTAAGTCAACTACTCATCTTGGACTAATTGAGCTCTGTATATTTTCCTATTTGTGGTTGAAACAGAATCCATTCAATACATTTTCTCAGGAAGAACTATTGGGGGTGCTCACAAATGCTTTTAAGTTTCTGATTTGATTTTTCTATGAAAAAATTGATTTTGTGCTGAAAAGCTCAAACCCGTTTACGTGGTATTTTCGTGTTTTTTTGAACTAGTCATTGAAAAAATTAACCGCAAAGTCGTTTTTTTGAGATGAAATTTCTTCTAGAAAATCAAAGTTCATGTAAAATGCATTCGGAAGTTTTCTACAGTTGGAAGCAGCTGCATTCACTGAATTCAATATCGTTTGATCATATTTTAAATAAAAAGAGAAGAGCTTAATTTTCAAGGCTTCATAGGGCGTTCAGAGTGAATATCGAGGGATTATCCGCTTGAGGAAGACGCAACTTTAGCGTTTTTCGAGTTAGAAGCCTTTGTCGACAAAAATAATTGCCACGCATCGGGTAATTCGCCTGGCTCTCCTCGCTTTTTCCCAATTAAAATGTTCATCGACGCAGAACTCGAGGAATTTGTATGCTCGCAGCACACCGTAGCGCCTATTCCTTTACCTTCTTGAAACTCGCCAAATTGTCTCGCTCATTTACAATACATTCACTCTGAATTTTCGTCCGATCTCTGCGCATCTGATCGTATATAGTCTGTGTGCCACGACTTGAAATTTCACCGAACGACATTCCGCTGTTCCGCTGCGTGCGTTCGCGAAGCGTCTTTCGAATCTAGGTCACGCTTTCAATTGATTGTTATTGCTGGGAGAGCACATTAAAGTAGAGTACCTTAATAAAAGAAAAAAAAAATTAAAAGCGCGACTAAGGTTCGCAAAGGCGCGCAACGACACAGCGGAATGTCGTTTGGTGTCAAAATTGAAATCTTCTAACAGTAGTTGACGGTTTTCATGCTCTGAATGGAGAAAGAGCGCGAGATCTTCCGCTGGTCTCGCAACCACTGTACTTTCGACTCCGCCCTCCGCCTCTAATCTTTAATTTAAGATGTTGTTTAATACACTATATGTGTTAATCGCTGGAAGCTTCAGACGTAAACAACTGCATATCGATCATATTAATCTGTACTCGGCTTCCTTTTTTTCCTTTTGGTCCAAAGTTCTATGTTGATCCAATACTCCAAATATTTCGTTAAATTCTCTTATCTATTAAGATTTTAAAGTAACCGCCGCTCTTACTAGTCTGATTTTATTTCTCCAAGAACTTCATGAAAACTCAGAGAATAAACACGACTTTAGAAAATGTTTAGTGGTCATTTCGTATTTTTACTGCTTGACAAAGAAAATAGATTAGACCTTTGATAGGTCTTAATTTTACCGTATAGGATTCTCAGCCTCCTACAAACGTTTTGAGAATGTTACCTCCTTTCGATATTTTTGACATCAGCTATCAGTTTTGAGAAGACGTTGCTATTCTGGGATGTCGTCGTCGCGGACGCCGTCGCCGTCACTGTCCGCTTCGCGCGAGAATATCCCCGAAGCTGCGAATTCGGAGACCAACCGTCGCTCGTCCATCCTCAGCCGATTGCTTTTTCGTAATTCCGAGAAAAGAGGTTCCTAACATCTATTTTTATACGTTTTATAGTTTTCATGTTTCGAACCACAGTCTCTTGAGCATAAAGGATCTTGAAAAAAACATTGCGAGCGATTTTTGAAAAGTAAAGTCTTAGAAACCCATTCCTAAAGGTCGGCCTTTCTATTTTAGTGATGTGAATTTTTCCATAGTTCATTCGTCGTGGGATTTATTTGATGAGGTTTCGAAACGGGATAAGAAAGAAAACAAAAGTTAAGAATTATCCGTGAAATTTTCGTTCCAATCAATCAATGAGTGAGTTAAATGATCATAATGCACCATTCACAGAAATTCGTCACTACCGCTGTTTTAAAAGTTTTAAGAAGTTAGATAAAAACCTTTTTTTGCAGCGGTAAATTACAAAAAAGGAAAGAATCGGCTGATTTGTGAATCTTGTCAGGCTCGCAGGAGTCGATGAGGACGGTATCTCCTGTCAACGGGGAGCGCTGTGCGTCGCCATCTCGGACAACTTCGCCAAGTAGAAGACTTGCCAACTTTGCGAGCCGGTTCGTCTTCTTAGTTGTTTTATTGTACTCACAACTTGATGAAATAATGGCTTTTAATGTTCCGTTGCATTCCTAGTGGATGGAATCAATTACAAAAGTCTTGATTTTTCTACTCGATTTTTCTCTTTTTCGATTTTTTTATCTTTATTGGAGTAAAAAAACGCAGTAAGTCAATAAAATCGTTGTTTTTTTTTTCGATGGATAACGCTGAACAAAACTCACAACACATTTTTTTTTCATAACGTTATCCACCGAAAAAAACGATATTATTGACTTAATTCTTTTTTACTCCAATACAGATCAGTAAATAAGAAATAAAACGCTGGCCTGCCGTTTTATTCTTAGTTCAACGTGATTCCGAAAAGCTCGAAATAGTCGTCAGAGGGAAAAAAAGAGGATAAATAAATGATGGATAGTCAGAGATAGTTTTTGAATTAAAAATTTTTTAAAAAGGAAAAACTTTTTTTAATTTTTTTAAAAAGGAGAACTTACGCTAACTTTTTTAACTGCCTTACTTCTACCATGAGCCGTTACAAGCTGACTTTTGGAACTTATCCGATTGAAAAAAAAACCTGAATTTTTAAAAAATACTCAGGGAGTGTTTTTTACTTCGTTGCGAACTTATGTTCTGGAAGGCTGAATTTTCATACCCAGCAAAGAAGTTGGAACAGTCTATTAAAAAAAATTTAACATTTTTCAGATCCGTACGGAAGAACCAATGGCGGTTATTCAAGCATCACACGTTTTTTGGCAGCCAGCGGAGCAGCATCAAAGCCGGCAAACTGTTGGTTCAAAACTTCAATGAAAAACAGGAGTAGAATGCTTGAAATTTTGAAGTTATCATTGAGAAGTTGACATGAAATTCGATGCTCTTAAAAGGCCTCCCATGTCCTTTCCAGACGTTTTTCTTCTTTTCTGCGCTATTTTAGAGATATTTTTGTACAAACAAAAAAGGCTCTACGCTCATTAGTTCATTGAAGCTAAAGAGAAATTTAAAAAGAGACAACCGAATAATTATTGAAAAACTTTTATTGAAGGGAAATTATTCAAACAAATTCGTTCCGTGTTTTCGAGTACAAAACGACTGATTATGAAAAAGCGTCAGAAAAATGAGATGAAGTACAATTTTCCTCAATCTCTTGAAAGATTTTTCGCGCTGTACGTAGCAGAAATGTCTGATAATTTTTCGAATATAGGAAAAAATTTTTCGTTTTTCTCTACCAGTTCGTTGAACATTCTGTCCAGATAAATATCTCTTTGTACTGGTCGAGTTTTGAAATTTGTCGTGCTTCTTTGATCGAAATTAGAATAAAGAGTGGAAAGATGTGGTTTTTCGCAGGCAGCTGCCGCGCCTGACGCTTCGCCATCCGTCGGTGGACGGAACTGCGATGCCGCTGCCGCTCGACGCCGACGACAGAGACGAACGCGATATCGTCGCCGTCCGTAGCCAGTCGCGACGCTGGACCGACACTGAGACAGTCAGTTTTTTTCTTTTTTTTTTCTTTTCAACCCTCACAGGCGAAGCGAGAAGGTACTATAATGTGTCTACAAAGTTACCTCTAAAAATGGATCATGAAGACCCCATGTGTCCATCGTGAGACCTCCAGCATACTTTTTAGCTACATCTGAGCCATCTCGGAGGTAGTTGAGAGTCTCTCTCAAGCACTTCTAATTTTGTTAAAAACCCTCAGAGGTATACTCGAGGTACCATTGTACTTTAGAGCCTGCGGTATACCTCAGAGGGTCTTGCGATACCCTTTCTCGATCCGCCTATGTTTTCGATTTCTCTATTGAGCTTCTTTGATAGCGAGGAATGTGTCAATAGTTCAATTTGAATATTAGTTTTTTTTTGTGGTTATAGTTTATAGTAATCGTTTTTGACCAGGATAGTACAAAAGTAAAAGTTTTTGAGTAGTTTTCAAGAAAATAGCGATTTCATTTTTTACTCATTTTAATTTTGAAATCTGCTTGCACGCGAAATAGCGGAGGCGTCAGTAGACTTGCATTTTTTCTTAAATAACCAGATATCTGTGTCCAATCGGAACTGTTTTTCCTGAAAAATCACGTATGTGTACAAAAAACACACTGATAATAAAAGAAACGCAAAATACCAAAAAAAAAAACGCGTTTTGGCGGGAGTTCAAAAAAAATTTGCCGACTTGAATTATTATTTCTTCAAAACTAGGAACTTTTTGTACACTCTCAAGTATACCGTGCGGCATGCGACGGGGAATTTTACAAAATTAAAAATTGATCTCTAACCCCTTTTCTACCGTTCATACGCCTTAAAACTTGGCTGCAAAACAGCTGAGAAAGGCGTTTTTTTGATTCCGATTCAAAATTCACATCTTTAGCCTTTTATCGAGGGCATAACGTCTCAAGGACGCCGAAGATATTTTGTTTCCTCAATAAAATGGTTAAAGTTGAACTTTAAAGTATCTTTACTGAATTAAAGCATGAAAAAATCCATTAGGTACAAGTCAGGCTTCTCTAAATTACGTACAACTAGGGCAGCAGTGCTTTTTTCCGATAATAAGTTTGATAAGATGAGCTTCTATAGTAAGTTTTTTTTAACAAATTTTTTTCCAAGTTTTGAGGGCTATAGATTTTCGTTTCCAGCGCCGGTATATGGTTATTAAAAGGATCATTCGCGTTTTTTATTTCTCCGAGAGAAAATAAGGAGAATAAGATTGAAGGAAACCCCATCCATGTTCCTGACGAATGTCAATTGAGAAAGCAAAAGCGGCTTATTTTGTTCGCATAAGAAGGCTTTTCGAAACCCTCGGCTTATGTTCGTCAAACCATCGCTCTGACTAATGAGACTTGTAGACAAAACATGCTGGGCTCATATGAAAATCCAATTTTTCCTTTTTTTTTTTTCATTCTTCGAACGCACTTTAATTTGTGTGAGCCTTTCTCCTAGTTTTACATAGATAAAAAAGTTACTCGTTCCGTTTTTTTTTCGGATTTTGATTTTAGAGACTGATTGAAAGACAAATTCTTGAGCATTTTTTTCTGCTGGATCTACTAGAATACAAACTGTCCACGTTTTGTATTTCTCGCCTTGTCTCGCACTTTTGAACAATTTGAAAATTTTGATCCCAGGTGGAATAATGGTCTACATCTTGGAGGGACGAGACTTGAACCCAAAAAAAGTAAGAAAAGACTCGGATAGACTTCTTCTAACTGGATCTTTATATTAATACCCGAATTTTACTCACGATGAACCACACCTTCATTTTTTTTCCCTGGTAAAACTTTGATATGTTGATTTCTGTGAAGGCCGCAGAAAGGCAGCAAAAAAAAGTCCCTTTATCGAGTCTTTTACTTTTTCTGGGATTTTTAAGGCTTGAGAAATGGTGGGAAAAGAGAGAGGCAGCAAAAATGGTTCAAAAGAGCCAATGAAATGCCGCAAAAAGGCAGCTTAAAAGGAGCCTTTGTCACCCTAAAATGAACATTTCTATTAGGCCCTTTTCCAGCCTTTCCGACTTTGCCTATGTGTCAAAAAAACTTGAAATATACTTTTTTTAAAAACGAGATTTTTCCAATTTTTTTGTGTTCAATATGGATTCAATCAAATTTGATTTGGAAAAAAAACCAATAACTTTTCGGAATCATTTCAAACTCATGAAAACATGAATTGATTAGCGAGATTGAACCATTCGGTGCGCCGTAGTACAATAGTTTGTGCGGCTGCCTAGCGCTGCTCAAGCGGTACGAAGGCGTTAGAAGAAGAGGGTGATTGAACCATGTTTGTGATGTAGAGGAGACACTTCGCTCAAGTCCCTCATCATCTAGAGCATCGCGAAGTCCTCATTTCCATGCGAAAATTCTCCGATGTTTATTCTTAAAATCATTGAGGATCATTTTCGTCGGACTATGTCCAAGAATAATTTTGAATAAATTTGAAAAACTGCATTTTTCAAATTTTTGAAACGTTCCGGCTAAACTATACTGCACTTTCTTTTTGAAGAAACAAACTTGGTTAACAGTACTTTGGCGACTTTGGGTAGAGGCCCTTTCTTATATGAATTGAACTTTCTAGGCGAATCTTCGTGCGACTTGAGCTGTATTTTCGGTGTGAGAAGGGGGGTCGGAATTACTCAATTAGCAGTAGCCGTCTTAGAGCCACAGACGCGCGCACGCTCACGTTCACATACTGAAAAAAGAAGAAAAACGAGTGGCGGACAACCTCTAGAGCGGCTCGAGTGACGTGCACAATTGCCTTTTCGAATTGGCTCCTTTCTCCATTCCTTTTTGTTGTTCAGATTTTTCCCTCGGTTTCTAAGTTGTTTTCAAGGGTCTCACTCACATCCAGGCCATTTCCTGGTCACTTCAAAAATTTTTTGGCTGTTTTTTCACAAGTTCATTCGAGGTCGTTTTTATGAGACGTTGGCTTCTTTTTTTTTCATTTTCAAAATAAACTGATGAACTTTGGTTTTGATCCGATTAAGCAATAATTTGCTAAGTTTAATTACCTCAAAACGGAAAAAGTTCAATTTAGGAATTTTCTCTACACGTAAAAACAAGCTCAGACCTTAGTAAGAATTTACAACGTGTCTGGGTTAGTTAGTTCCTTTCGCCTTTTTTTTTCTTTGTTCACTGAAATTTTGTTTTTGCTGAGTAGACAGAATTTTGGTGGGAAAAGCCTAGCTTATAAGGAAGCCGAGATTTTCCTGGGATTAAGCACCTGTTCTGTTGCATTCAACGTGATTTTTCAAGCATAGCTTCTCTCTTTCCCTTTTTTTCCTTTTTTCGCGCTTTTTTTCCATTCTTTCCTCATACTTCTTTTTTTTGTCGTTTTTATTTTTCATCTTTTTTTCTCGACACGACAAATTTATCAGTTATTCAAGTTAAGTTATCTCAAAGCGAAAATCTAACTTTTTTTTATTCAAAAATAATAGTCTACGAGATCTTCGTATTCAATTAACTTAAAGTTATCTGGCTTTAACCCCCCCCTCATTTAAGCTGCGTAAATTTTCATACGACCTAAGTAAGAAATTGATTTTTTTTTTGTTTCGAGTGAAAAGTTTGGAAAGGAAACGTGGGACTTAGTTCGAGCAGAGAAAAACGAAAAACGCAGGTGCGTTGGAGAAATGGAGCCAGGGGTTTCTCGAGAGCGACGTCGTCAGTGGGGTCTCAGCGAATTGTCGAATTTCCTTCAGACACATTTCCGCTTTATTTCGTACTTCTGTTTCGCGTGGTTACTAGTCTATTCTTTCAGAATATCCTGATTTTCCTTTTAATTTTTTTCTTCATTCTACGTAAACTAGTGAAAAACTGCACAAAAAAATCTCAAAAAAGAGTCAACCTTCGTTTTTGGAAAGCTTGGGGCACAGGAGAAAAAGGAGAAAAAGCTCAGTTTTCTTGAGTCGCCGAAGATTTCATATTTCATCGTTATATCCTAATTAACGATTGAACTTTTGAAAAAAAGTAGCAGAAATATTCTTCACTCATTTTTCTAATATGTGTAAAAAAAGGAAAAAGTTGGATATTGATATGACCAAATTGAACACTTCCCAACTTTGCGTGTAGCGTTACACATTGAGAAACTGATGAAATGCGCGTTTGAACCCAAAAAAAAAGTTTTGAACCTTTCATTTCACCGAAGTCGACCAGAAAATCGAATGAATTGCTTCGAAGTTGAGAAATAAGAGTAAGTAAAGAAGAGCTATGTTTTCATTCTTTATTCTCAAGAATTCGAATGCTTTCAAAACCAGTATCAAAGCAATCCAGTTGTATACCTTTTGAAGAACAAATTATTTGTTTCCCAAATTCTAGTTTGTATGAAGAAGAATGAATTACGAAACAGTCAAAAAGTCGTTTTTGGATCATTTCCGAATAGTCGTCTCGATTCGGCTTTATGCATGGAAGGACCTTGATTTGTGTCGCAACAGGGGTTTCCAGGGCCGACTGCGCGGTTCGCGCGAGTCTTCCGGCTTCCACGACTCGCATGACGCGTTCGACGGTGCCGAAGAGGTGCCGCAAGCGATGACGGCTCCCGTTTCTCCCTCGGTGCCTCTGTCGGCCAGCAGGTCTTTTGTCTCTTTTTTCCCATTTCTACATACTAAATCCGCTCGCGTCATGTCAATGAAACTTCGAAGGCTTATGGCCAGCGAAAAAAAGGAGTTTTGCATAGAGTTGTCAACAAAATCTTTCCTTTCCATCAAAATGATTAGTTCCCATTTCTGAGAACTAAGTGGAACTATGGAGGAAAATTTCAATAGGAGAAAATGAAAGGAAAAGCAAGGGAGAGGAAAAATCTGAAGATCTCATTATGTTTTGTCGATTTCTTTCGCATTTGTCGCATTTTTAATCAGCTTAAGACTGTCTTTTATACCTTTTCAATATAAGAAGACCTTTGCTATCTCATTTTTCTAATGTACACCTGAGCCTAGTTTTTTTCGTGATCGGACGTCTTCAAAAAAAAAAAAACTAATCGAACTCAGTTTCTCCCAAAAATTCGCTAGTTCAGTGTTTTGAGAGTTTGTAAAACACTCTGACGCAACCGACCGCCGGAGTTTCAGCAGCCATTCTGATGGGTGGAAGTATTCGTCACAGAAACTTTTGTGGAAACTCAAACCTCGATATATCAACTTTTCGCATGCGAGCAGCACCTCGTCCTCCACTGACTCGGCCTGGAAATCACTGGTTGGTTTTTTTTTTCCAATGAGTCACCAACGAGAAACTTTTGGACTTCAAATCAAAAATTTTCTGCCCATAAATAAACGACACTTTTTTAGGACAGCACGACGTGGAGAAGTGTCGACGGCGCCGAGGTGGTCCTTCGAGGAGCACGACTCGAAACGCTTTCGGAGATCGAAAGATCGGCTCTCCAGGTATTTTCGTCACTTTCTCCGTCATTTCTGGGTTACAGGTCCTGGCGGCACAGCGTCTTGGTCGACTTCTTCCGGGTGTCAGCGTCGGCAAACCCAAAGGCTAGTTATACAGTCATACGTCAGCTGAATCCCACCCCCAGTTATTTGCGCGCGATAAAAAAGAAATTTGAAAAAGGGGGGCGGGGGTAGGCACTTCGAAGTGGGATTCAGCCGACTGTAAACAACTCGTCGACTTAACTTACTGAATGAGAATTGAAAAAAAATATCTAGAGCTCGAAATGAGTCGAGAATCCCGACCAAGCTAACTCGTGACGATGATTCAGTCGCTTAAGTGCTCTTTCTCGTTATTTTTTCAAAATTTAGCGATACATCAACCAGAAAGTCAAAAATAGAACAAACTTTGCATTGATTAAAAAGGAACGACTAATTCAGCCATCACCCTCTGTTTGAGAGGCAAAAAAGTCGAATTGCAGATCCGTTGGCGGCTTTGCGACAAAAAAGACAAAAACTCGTGAAAAGCACACGGACTTTGACTGTGACCGAAGCGATTCGACGGCCTTCCAGCTCTTCGACTAGTGGTTCTGCCCGATTTCCATGTATTTATTTGAAAGCTCATTCAGATGACAAACGGGTGTTCGGAGTTTCGCTTGCAAAGTGCATGCAGAATGAGAAAAGGTATGCTTTGGAATTCTGGAAATCTTCTTTTTCTCAGAAGAGGGATGATTTTACTCAAGGGCTTTCCGTTCTTATACTCAGTTATTTCTAAAACAGTTAGTTATTAAGGCTAGACCAGGAAAGTCGCTGTCGTTCTCTCGACGATTCTTCTGTCTGTCTCTTGCCAAGGTTGGTGATCATTGAGTTGAGTAAAGCCCTAAGAAGATTCAATAAATCTGTTTAAAAAAGTTCTCTTCCAGGGGCAAGCCAGTTGCCAAGTCCGTCAAGTCCGAACCCGAAATGGTGCAGACGTCGACGGTGACATCATCCGACGAACGCAAGTGGCTGTACCCGTCGACGCAGAATCTGTACCCCTCTTGCTCGTCGCACCAGACCTCGTCCTCTCTTGTCGGCTCGGCCCCGCCCACTTGTTCTTTGCTTCCGAACATTCCTTCTGTTTCTGCACAGAACTTGGCAGCCAGCGAACAAGTCTCCGAGAGCATCGTCGTTAGTTCAATTCACTTATTCTCTTCTGAATCCGTTTCTAGTGACCATCTTTTCCTCTTCACGATTAGATGTAACTAGCCGCGAATTAAGCCATTCTAGAAAACTTTACAGTCCTTAAAAGAGTTTTATTTGTATTGACTGTACTTTGTACCGTACCGTATGGTAGACAGTAGGTCTGTGCTGACCTAAATTGAGGTTTTTAATTTTAAAAAAATGCTTAAATAGACCATAAGGATTCAATTTTGTTGTGTCCGCGGTAGCCAAAGTCGAAGTTGAATGAGCAGATTTATTCGTAGAATGAAGAAGTGTGAAAGAGGTAAAAGGGCCGCCTTATATACCCATCTCACGTAGAGATAAGAGTATTTATTAGAGAGACGTGATATTCCAACACCTCCCCCCTAAGATGATTTTCCCGCTTACCATCAACCATCGTCACCATCGTCACCGTCGCCATCGCAGTCATCATCGTCGTCGCCGCCGCCGCCGCCGCCGCCATCACAGAAGCTGCCACCGTCCGACAACGACGTTCCCGCCGCTTTGAGACGCTCCGAACGCTATCATCAACCGCCGAAACGACTGAACATGGACCCCTCTTTGAAGTCTTATGTTTAGTTTACCTGTATAAGATGATTTTCCCGCTTACCATCATCTTAGGGGGGAGGTGTTGGAATATCACGTCTCTCTAATAAATACTCTTATCTCTACGTGAGATGGGTATATAAGGCGGCCCTTTTACCTCTTTCACACTTCTTCATTCTACGAATAAATCTGCTCATTCAACTTCGACTTTGGCTACCGCGGACACAACAAATTTCAATCGTAAACTTCTAGAATCATGACTTTCTGCTTCTGAGGTCTAATGCCAACGTCGAATGTAGGATCATTCTAACAAAGGTTGTTGAGGGCCGTTTCGCCAAAAAACAACGACCTTCTTCGGCCTCGTTCTCGAGCTCCTTCGAAGGCCTCGGCGACGTCGATCCACACTCTCTGCAGGTACCGCGGATCGTGGAGAACTGCACGCAGTACCTGATGGCGTACGGTAGGAAGTGAGAGGAAACCGTGTTCCCAACTGCTTCTTAGGACTGAACACGGTGGGTCTGTTCCGTGTTGCGGGCAACACGAAACGGTGCCGACAACTTCGGGACGCCCTCGAGAAAGGCGGCGGCGGGACGGCGATCAGCGACGACGTCGTCGAAAACACCACGGCTCATGATGTTGCAACTCTTCTCAAAGAATACTTTCGGTAACTTTTATCGTCTTTTTTCTTTGATAGCCAGTGGAGCTAGACTCAAAAAGTACAATGATCACTGACATCGTAGGTCATATCAGTCAGTTCAATTTTTTTTTTGTTTGTTAAAGGTCCTGGGAAGCTCAATGCGGGTTAAAAATGTTCCCTAGTAAGAGTTTTTTCATATCCACATATATTTTTTTTTAGTCCAAAAAAAATTTAGACCGTACTCTAGTATAGAGATTATTCCATTTTTTTTTCGCAGTTCATGAAATTTTCTCATGAGAAATTGATGCAACTGAATAAAAATTGATCGATGGTGAATAGGTGAATTACTAACACACAGCTGTTGGAATAATGAGTTTTTCAAATTAGTGTCTTGAAAGGTTCGTTATAAAACATCCAATGTCGAAGAACGGTAAAGTAAGTTTTTCAAAAGTTTTAGCGCAAGAATTTCAGAGATCTTCCACAGTCCCTCCTGCCTCGTGAACACTACCAAGCTTATATCGCCTGTTCAAGTCAGCGCACTTTTTCATATATTTTCTCCAAAATCCGAATGCAGAACTCGGTCCGGAAGATCACATTGAAGCGATCCGACTGTTGGTCGGATTGCTTTGCTCGCCGAACGTTGACACACTCTACGTTCTGCTCAAGTTCCTGCACGAGGTGATGCTCAACTCGAACGACCGCACCGCGGCCGACGGCACCATGGCAAATCCACTGAGTAAGATCTGATCCAAGTGCTTGACTTCAGATAAAAGGCAACAAAATGGACGCCCGCAACCTTGCCACCATCTTCGCCCCTTCAATTCTGCGGGCTGACCACGAGAAGCTCCACGCGACTCTTGCCGAGAACGAACAGCAAATTGCCGTTGTCGAGACCATGATCACCTGTGTTGAGGAAATCTTCGTGGTTCGTAATAATTTTTGCATTTTTTTTAGGGGTCACTTGAAGCTTTACAGAAAGAAAATCAAGTTTTTTTTTTTTTTAAGTAGTATAGCTCGGGCAAAGTTGGAATGGTGAATAATGCGTGCTAAAAGGCTCAAAAAAGGCCGCAGAAAGGCAGCAAAAAGAGTGTTTGTATCGAGGCTTCCATTTTTTCTGAGGCTCAAGAAATGGTGGGAAATGGGAGAGACAGCAAAAATGGTGCATAAGGGCCGAGAAAATGGCGCAAAAAGGCAGCAAAAAATGAGTCTTTGTCACCATAAAAGGAACATCTATATGGAGCCTTTTTCCACCCTTTCTCAATTATTTTTCTGCAAACTCAGATACGCATTTAGGTTTTAAATGGTTTTCCGCTGTTTTCATTTCAACCCAAAACAAAGAATATTATATATTTCCTTTATTTAAAAATTCAAAAGCATGTTCAATTCTATTATGATTTTTTTAATGCTAAAACTAATAAATTATTTAAGTTTCCAACTTTGTTTTCAGATCCCTAGAGAACTTCAAAGTAAAATGTACAACAAGCTGCGGGAAACGGAGCCAGATCGACTTGACCGCATCCTCAACTTATTATCGCGTGCGGATGGGTAAGCTTCCTCAAGTCATAGTCCTCATCTCTGAACATTTTGAGAGCGGAGCATGGCTCGATGCTTTCTCCTTTTCCGGCGACTTTAGAAGAAGAGCTCCCCAGGAGTGCCTTGCAGCAAAACTCGCCGATTTCCTGCAAAAAGTCCCCTTTGGCTCGCGAGAGTCAGTCCAGCGTTCGAGGTACAAACGCCGCCCAAATTTCACCGGCTTCACGTTTTGCAGGGAAACTGACGTCGCAGAGGAGCGGCTCGTGGCCTTTCTCGCTCACCCGGCCTACAGGAAGTCCGAAGGCCAATGTCGTGCACTTCTTCCCGTCCACCGACGATGAGACCTTCTCCTCGTCCACTCCTTCGACGTCTCGTCGGCCACAAACTTTGTCATCCGCCACTACAGAAACGACTTCCACGCCCTTAGATGATTCGGAAGTCAGGCGCGCTGAAGGATCTGCTCAGCAACTTGTCAAGCCAGGTTTCACCCTTTTGGTTCATCTAAAAATGTTCATTTCTACAAGAGAGGTCGAAACAGTCAAGCTTCGAAACTTTGCTGAAAGTTCGCTGAGATATAGTCCGTCTTTCGCGGATTGTCTGCGCCCTCCTCGTCTCTCGACGATCCTCCTTTGTTGACGCGCTTTTTCCATTTTTCTCTGGCCCCGTGAGGGAACAGAGATACGCAGAGAGGCGAAACCTGTCAAGTCGCAACGGACGGGCTATATATAAGGTGGCTCGAAAATTTCGTCGAAAAAACAACCAGAGCATTGTGATGAGATACTCTTTATTTGTTAAAAATAGCCCTAATCCCCAACCGCAAAGTAAATTGACCTCCCTTGTGAAGTAAGTTTCACAAAAAATTACAACGCAACACTAATTGATCCTGCACCTCGAGTTAATTTCGCATTTGTTTGTTCTCTTCGGGAAACGTAATTTTCAGCGACGCCACGGCAGACCGAGGCAAGGTCGCCTTCAAGAGAACGCGTGGACAACCTTCGGACTGCGGCGCGATCTTCGGCCGCTGCTGCCCGTCGACGGCTCCGCAACGTCGTCCGCGCTTTCCGTTTCACTTCTATCACTCGCAGCAATCCGGATATCGCACAGCCACAGGCATGAAAAAATCCGCCTGTGGATCTTTGTCGGACTGAAGAGGACCTCGAGAGCATCAAAAAATCACGATCGTAAAAAGAGATTGACGTTGTGGCGTTCAGATGTCCCGTTTAGATGTCTCGAGAACCTTATTTTTTCATTCAATACGTCGAAAATTATCCATCGAAAAAACTTTATAACAACCGAAGTCTGTATAGATGTTTAATAATTGATTTCCATGTTTTCGAAATTTCTATGTGTTTATATTGCTTCCCTTATGATCATCATGACTTTGTGGATGAAAATCCATGAGAGAAATTAGAGAGGTTGATTCAGTTCTGGAGAGCATTACATATTCACCTTGCCATTCCCCCAGTTGATCTCATCATATTAATATAAGTGATATCGATGTACGGATGATGCAACGTTTGAAGTTCAAAACTTCTACGTTTTATTTCTATTTAGGTATACACATACATTCCGAACTTGCAATAAAATGATTTTGCTTCTCTCTTTACAATTTTATCGTTCTGCTTTCTAACCTTGAGCGGAATGAAATGAATTTACATGGAAAAATAATAATAAGTTATTCTAAACAATCTGCCATGAAAAACTGAATCATTATCACTGAAAATCGACTTTTTCTTGTGGTTTCTGAATTAAATTCGCTCAACGAGGATTCCTTCAGCTGGTGGAGGCTTCAAAAGGTCGCATCGAGACTGCACCAACCTCAGTTCACAGCAAGCTCGCGAATTGCTTTCTACCTGGCCTGCAAAAAAAAATTGCCGTTTGGAAAGTACTCTCTTCTCAAAGTCATCGAAAATGAGGAAATAAATGTGTAAACGAGCTCAGTTTTGATAAAGAAAGTACAAACTTTGAGCAAATTCGCTGGTGCGTTTGATGAGCGCCTGCATAGTTTGAAGGACGCGCTCGACGGCGCCAGAGACGTCGCCTCGGCTTCTGTCGAGCCACGCGACGAGCAACGCTGTGAAGACGTCGCCGGTGCCGACAAAATGTCCACGAAGTCGGGGGAAGGTGAAGCGATATCGTGTGGGCGACGACGCGTTCGCTTCTGCGGCACGACTCATGCTAGAGAAGGAGAAACGGGCCTCACCTCGGACACTCGAGTAGCAACACAGAGTTTCCTCGGATTGGGCATCTGTCACGCCACTCGTCACCACCACGAAACGAACGCCTCAAGACATCCTTTTCCGGGAGAAAATCGCTCGAAAAACCTTTGTCGTGTAAGACGTCGATGGCCGCCAGGCACTGCTCCTCTGTCGCAACCGTCGATCCCGTCAGTTCTCTGGAATAGTTTTTTTTTTTTGGAAACACTTGTATTACATTTTTAAAGTCTTCATTCGAAAATCCTGTAAAAACTATTTTGAAAATGGAAACTCGTTTGATTTTTTTTTCCTAACGAGGAAGGTCATTTTACTTTGCAAGTTTCCTGGAAATTTGCCAAAAAACTTCTTGGTGTATCAGATGAAGATTTTGAAATTCTCAGCCTGCACAATTGACTACTTTTCGAGAATGAGGAATCAAAGCCCCGAAACAGCCTATTTTCCCGAGTTTTGACGGTTTTCTTCGATTTTGAGACCTTTTTTCTCGAAAACTAGAAGTTTTTTTGTGCTTTTCTGTATCTTCATTCAATACATCAAAGAATGTTCTGGCCGATTTTTAGAAAAAGCCCAGTCCCAAAGTGCACAGACCTTCCTTGTATTATCCGAACTCCAGAAAAGCCGAAAACTATGAAAAAAGCTATTCTGACTTCTCTGAGCTTGCATAAATGAACGATACATTCAATTTTCGATTCTAAATTTTCTCAGACCGTAGATTTACTCGTAGGCCTAAAGAAGAGATAATTCTGACCCGAGTTCGAAAGCGTTCGGCGTAAGCAGATCGGCCAGTGGGAGCAACACGTCGCGATAAACCGGCATCAACTCTCGAGGCGTGTACTAAATCTACAGCATTAATTTTTTGCCCGGGGAAACCTTTTGGATAACTCCTAAAAATTGAAACTCACATATTTGCCATGATCTCCCATCACTGGATCGCATACTGAAAAAGGTGATATTGGAAAAACGGAAAAAAAATATCTAGATGATTTTTTGTTTTATTTGGAAATTTTAGGGGTTACCCTAGCTTTTTGGTTGGTAACGACCTTTGCTTTTACTAATTTCACTCAAAAAAACGAACAAAGGCGAAGTCGGAAAGAGTGAAAAAGGTTCCATAGAAATGTTCTTCTTGGGATGACAAAGGCTCCCATTTGCTGCCTTTTCGCGCCACTTCATCGGCTTTTATGCACCATTTTTGCTGCCTCTACCTTTTTCCGCCATTTTTGAGCCTTAAAATCCAATGGAAGACTTGATAAAGCCATTATCCATCATTCCGACTTTGCCGACAATTAATAACTTCAAAAACTCACCAAAAAAGGTGTTCGAGTCTTTCCTCTTGATGTCTGTGACAACATCGGCGATCTTCTTCAGAAAGTCAACATTCCCGCAGTAGCCTGGAAAGCAACTAAGATTTTAAGAAAATTCTGGAAGCAAAAAAGAACCTGTGAGAATATGTGTGTAGTTATTGATTTTGTTCAACCTGAGTCCCTCGTAGAGCTCTTCCAACTCTGTGTCCGTTAACTTTTGCCCTTTCACATGTTCGTATCCTTCAAGTTACCTAAAGTTAGAACTCGCAATACCAAATGGGTAAGTGTTTGGATTCTAGATTTTGACGAAGAACTGAGAGACGAAAAGGTCGAAAAGACAAGCGCAATTACTTGTCGGAAGGGTCAAGTATTCGACGTTACCCGCGTGGTTCGAGAATTGCACGCTGTTGATGGAGTCAACCTCAAAGCCGTGAAGCTGCAAAAAGGCGAGGTTCGGGCGGATAGAAAGAAGAGGAACCTGTAGAGGAAAGATGGAGCATTTGTTGCCCGCGTAGCCGTGCACGACGTGGCTCTGGATGGACAGGACACGACGGTCCGGCTCGCGGAGCAACGCCGCCTCTACAGACTCCGATCCGTCCATCCTTTTGCCTTCAAAAGTACTGTCGAAATGAAAAATGTATGCAAAATTCTAATAATTGCTCAATTTCGATCTACTTCGGTGTGTTTTTGGCGAAAAGGAAAACGTGGCAAGCTGGCGCGGAATGGGCTATAGGTACAAAACATGACATACAAAAAAAACCTGTTCTGTTATAAAAAATCTTCAATCTTTCGTGAGCTAAGTGTGAAAACTTTCAAAAAAATTATAACCGCCTAGATTAATGTAATCGTTTCGTAAACCCTTTCCGTAATTTTCATTTACCGGCAGACAATCCGCGGATCGTACGGCCGATAGCTGGAGTAAAGCTCCGAAGCAAAATATGCGGATTTTTCATCCACATCGATCGCTCTACCAAGTATGTAACAGGAGAACTTCCCACCAATAGCAAAAGTTAGAAATAAAAATGGGAGTTATTTCAGAGATGATTTATTGGAATAAAAACGTGAGATTAACAAAATAATACATTCAAAGCGCAAGATGAATATCACCCGTCAAAGCACGAACAAAGTTCAAAAAAAAAAAACTTATGTACAAGGGTCCAATGATAGTTGTTTGAAGCTATATTTTTTCAATATTCGATAATTGTGAAAAAAATTGTGAGCTGTCGTTCGAAACTTCAAAAATATTAAGCTGCCATCTTTTAAAAATTTTGGACCATACATTTTCTAAAAATATAAAAAAATCGCTACGTAATTTGAGTTGAGTTTTGTGCCAGTCATTCAAAGTTCTTTTTTTGAAGAAAAAAACTTTGAAATTCGAGTATATGAAAAAAATTATAGGCTGAAAATCAGAAAAAAGACGCAAAATTTTAGTTTGAGAATGGAAAATCAAAATGAGCAGTCATCAAAAAGAAGGAAAAGACAAAGGGGGCAGAAAAAGAAAAACGCAGGCTATGTTCCTAAAAGTGAAGGAAAAAAGCAAAGTACGAGGATTGAAAACGAAAGAAAAACGGCGTGTCGCGCAGAAGAAGAAGAAGAAGAGGTGTAATATGTGCGTGAGCGGTTACGTGCCATGACCAGCGGCGGCAGAGAGGCGACCGGCGACTGCGATGACGTCGGCGACGGAGAAGACGTCGGCTGGAAACTCGCAGCCTTGGTGGTGGTCTGGGTTCCGCCGACTGCACAGTCGCCGGTGAAGTCATTCTGGCATTCGGCATTCGCACACACACATCGCAGCACCGAAGAGTTGTGCGGCAAGGCGTGGTAGTCGCATCCTGCAAATGAAGTAACTCTTCTGGGTCATTTTATTTGAAACTCTGGGAGCTCGTGTAAGTTCCTTGAACACTTCTATATGACATGGGTCACATAAAGGCCGCCACAACTCTTTCTCTGACCTATGCTATTTCGTCGTTTTCTCGCAACTAGATAACAACAAATTAGTGTGTGTCCGAGAAAGAGTTGTGGCAGCCTTTATGCGCGCCATGTCAGAGTTGTTGATGTTAGAGATAGATATTCTGAAATTTGGGCCCGACAGCTTTGTTCCAAGATCAACGAAAAAGCCTGAACAGACTATAGTCGGTGAAATTCCTTTTGAAAAAAGAAATTAAAGGCAAATAGACGTCTAAAACAGTTTCAGCAAGAGAATTCGTCATCCTAGAGCTTTTCTCTGTGTGTCGAAAGGTATAATTTTAAAAAAAATTAGTGTTCAAGGAGGGGTATGAATTATCTTTTTTGAAATCAAAACCGGCAAATTTTTCTTTTTGCATTAATTCAAAAAAATTTTTTTCAAGGCGTGATGATTTTTGAATTTATTTTTAAAAAAAATCAAAAAAAAGCACGACAAAAGCGAGGAAAAAAATGGTAAAAAAATGAAAGAGAATGTTGATCAATAATCAAAGGTATGATGAAAATAAAAAGGCCAAACAAAGGTCAGCTCTGGTCGGAGGTAGATCAAAATATAGTTAAAATGGATTGAGTCCAATTTCAGTCATTTCATCACTTTCCTTTCAAATTTGTACTTGCGGATATGAATCTTCTTAAAAAAAAACCTTATTACATCAGAAAAAAGTCGAAATAAATCAATTCAGCGAGTTTCAGGCCTTTTCTATATTCAGGAAAATGGCGAAAATTATTACATACCTCTGGTCAGACTAAAAAATACTTGAAAAGAAAAAAATTTCAGGAAATCCCGGAGTGAAAATCGACGTGTTCTTTCAGAAAAACTCATCTCCAGAAAAATCGAGAAGTTTTTAGATTCTCCTTTTCAGAAAAAAAAACCTATTTCAATTCTCACCTATCAGATCATCTTCTGCAGCGTGGCAACCGGAGAGAAAGAAATTCCCATAAGGAGAGTTGACAAGAGCTCGAAGGCAAACCTGCAATCTCCCTTTTTCTACATACACGCATTCTTATAAAATATACCTAGCTAGACCAGAGACCGTGTGCATGAATATTTACACAGAGTAAATGAATTTACAGAAGGAAATTCTCTATTATCGTTTTTTTCAACATTTTTCAGCCTAAAAGACTTGCAAAACCGGGAAGAAATTATAAGTTTATCTACTTTTAAACTCATTCACGGATACGACCTCATGGTCAAAAAAAGAATTTATCCGTGAAAATTTTTAAGTAATAAATAAAGATTTTAGCTAATACTAAATGTGATTTCTAATTTTATGCGATACCATTTGAAGACGGTTTTTGGATGAGCATGACTGAAGACAGTCTGGCCAAGCCCCCATACTCGAAAAAGATTTTTTTGTTAATTTATCGAACTCTGTGGACGCCGGAGGATGCGAAAGTTCTTTTTTTCGATCAGTTTTAATTAAGAAAGAAAATCGCTTCTGCCAATAATTGAACTTTTTTTGCCACGGTCTACCCATCTACTTTAAGCATACCTGGTCGCTTTTGCATTCGACGGGGGTCGCCTCGCAGCATTCCTCTCTCGAAAGCCTACAAAGAACATTGCATAGAACATCGTGAAGCACACAGAAAAAAGTTGCTACTGTTCATAATTTCGATAATGAAATAACTAACCGAACAGAACCTTCGTACTTGTGACCGCCGCATTGTTGGCACATGAGAGCTGAGCTGAAAAAGCCGGCAAAAAGTTGCACGACGGCGACGAGCGCTGTATAGTAGAGCATTGACGAGCTGTAGGAGAGCAAAAACTATGGAAATAACGCGAAGCCGAGGTGTCGTAAATCGTCGATCGGAAGCGGCAAAGCCACTTATTGCCGCCGGTTACTGAAAGTACTCATCTTCCAGGTGAAGAAAACGCAAAAGGAGCTTTCTCAGATAATGTGCTGAGTTTCTACCCTAACAAGTGTCATAAGAAGATTTCAGAAAAATCTGGTTTTCTTTGAAAACAGAAATGGAAAGCGGAGAGCAAACAAAAACGCAATTAATTGAAACCTCTGTGTCGATTGAAAAAAAGGCTAGGCAGAGCTCAATTTCTTTTTCCCTCAACACAGAGCTCTGAATTCCAGATTTTTTGGAATTGGTTTCGATTATCCTTTCTTTGAATACTATTTTGAGGCTAGCGGCAAAAACTTGATACAAGTTGAAAAAGGATCTAAAAAATTTGGAAAGTTGAAAGGAACCATTTGGACTTGACAATTACGTTTTCTGCTACTTTTATTAGGCCAAAAAGAGGAGAATATTTTATTGTACTGCTTTGAAAGCAAGTTTTTATCTTATGTCAACGCTTTCCATATGAACACAGAACATTAAAAAAAAAGGATTGTAAACCTAGAAAAATGAAGAATATTTTTTTTCGCAAAATTTTTCCGATGTGTTCAAAAAGAATACGATAAAAGGACCTCTGATTCAGAGGCTCTGAACACTTTTTACATTTTTATTAAAGCTATGCTAGACCAACAAATTCAGATATTTTGAAACCACTCATGAAACTTATTTTTTCAAGAAAAAATATCAAAATGTTTCCAAACAAAGACGAGTTTATGATAAATTAACATCTCCTTGAAAGTCTCAATGAAGAAAATTCGGACACCTCCAAAAATATTTTTTTTTATTCCAAACGATACAGTAGACTCATAAACAGCCTATGGGGTTCGAAGAAAAATAATAGGTCCAAATCTACTTCAAAAGCTGTTTTCAGTGGGACTTTATAGAACACCAAGAAAAAGTTGTGCCTTACAATAAATAACGAAACTTGAAAAATGGTTATTTTCAACTGATCTCGATTCAAACGAATGAATGTAAAAAAAGCCTTGAGACAGACATGAAGAAAAGAAAGTTGGCTGTGAAGCACCAAGTGGGAATAATCTAATTTTCTTTCGTTTTTCTTCGGCGCTCAAAAACTTGAACGCGCAGAAGCGTTTTAAATTGGAACTGAATTACGAAAAAAATCTGAGCAATACAAGGGAAATAGTTATTATAAGTTGAACATTTTCAAAATATTTGATTTCAGCAGAGAAAGTGCATGAAAAACTCAAATTTTGACGTTTCTGAAAGTCATTTCAATCATATCAGTCTAGCTTCTCTCCGCCTTCTTTTCCCTGGGTGAAACTATCCTTTTTTGGTGATTTTTTCCCTTTTTAAATCAATCAGGGAACGATAAGAGATAACGAATCAAACTGTGTCAAGACTTGGCAAATGAGGTCTATGAAGCTCGGAAAAAAAGGAAATTTGACATCGAATTTTATCTCTCACAGAAAAAGGACCTGTACGTTGTAGAAAAAAAATAAATCAAGAAAAAGATAATAACGTTTTTTGAGATCATTCTGAGATAAAAGAAAAGGAAAACAAACTTTTGGAGGGCGGCGATTCTTGCTTGCAGAGCTTCGGTCCGTTCCACAATATTTACCATATCCTTCGCGATTTCACGTATCTGTGGAAGTCGTTTTTGAGCCAACCAAAGCTGCAACCAACACACTACGTATTCAAGTTTTGAGAAAACTCAAAAAAACTTCTTATTAGATAGTATAATTCTAGCTGAGATCCATATTTATATCAAAAAATAAGTATTTCGTCATGAAAAACGATGAGGACATGATTCTTACAGAGTTGGTTTTTTGAAGGAACCTTAAAAAATATCAAAATTCCGTTTTACGGGGGTTTTTTTTCCAGACACAGACAGCTATGACAAGCAGTCACTTTTTTGACGCACAAGTCAAGTTGACAGTTTCTTTCTGTGGGTCCAAAAAAAACCCTTTTTTTCTCCGTTCCCACCAAATCGCTGAAAGTACTGTTCAGGGTCTCGGCAAATAAAAATTTAAGAGAAAAATCTCTTTCACACAACTATTTGAGAAGACACCGAAAAAGATTGACCTTGATTTTTCACAATATTCTTCCAATTCATATGTTTATGTTAGAGCCAAGGCTAGCTTGGGACGCAAAAAGAAGTGGCATGTCTGCGCCATCTATAAATCAAGCACTATCTCTATTCTTATCGTGTCAGGACCCTTTTTTTCCATGACTCAAGCCAGCCGTGAATCAGCTATAGACCTCTCAGGGAAAATCAATTAATCTTTCACGTAATTCCCATTCTTCGATGCTAACGCTTCAGATTAAAATGAAAAAACCGCAGAGCGATAATTTGAACAAGAAAGAGATTCTACCATTACTGAAAAAGAATGAGAACGTGCTAGGAAAAGCATATTCTGGTTGAACATGTTGAAATAATTGTGGAAATCGAGAATAACGCAATAAGCCACAGCCTGAAGCAAGCCAGTTGAACAAACAAACAAAGAGCGCGTTCCGAGAGTTTCAATTACAAATCAGGAACTTTTCAGCTGTGGTGGCTCCGGCGAAAGCTTAAAATCTCTTTAAAGGCAAATAAAGGCGATATTGGAAGTCCTCACGGAGGAAACTATGCAATTAGAAAACTTTGTGATACGGTCCTAGGAGCCCATTTCCATCGAGTTTTCAAACGAGAGAAAGAAAAAAAGAAAAAGAAATAGATAAATGTTTTTTTTTAATCTATAGCGCTCTTTGAAGCGTGAAACGTAGGCATTTAATAGTTTAGTATATAATTCTTCAAAGTCATAGCTTTTTTTCTATAAAATGATAAGATTTTTTTGTGGACCCATTTTGACAAGGTCTTAACAAGAAAAATGTTTTCCCCGTTTTTCTGGTTTTTCTTGGAGACAGTCCCAGAGCTCCGATAAGCAACCGAAGCATGTCGAAAAAGTACAAAAACCAAAAAAATTTTTTAAATTTCATTCTCTCGGGCAAAGTTGTAATGGTGGATAATGGCCGCCAAAAAGGAGAGGCTCAAAAAAGGCCGCAAAAAGACAGCCAAAGGAACCTTTGTCTACCTAAAAGGAAAATTTTTATAAAACCTGGTACCCACCCTTTCCGACTTTGCCTATGCTTGAAAAAAAGCTTCTTTCGAAGATGCTATTATGAGCAACATGAGAAAAAGCTTTCAAACTCGAACCAGATTAGCGATGTTTGTTTCAGGTTCTTTCTCATTTAGAAAAAAAAATATTCAAAAAAAAATTTCGTTGCGACTCTTCTATGAAAACGATTGCCTTTTCGAGTCGTTGCAAGTGGATCAGTTCATAAAAAAATAAAACTGACAAATTCTTCTATTTCGGCATTCTTCTTCTCCAATCTTTTATTCGCATCGCCCATACGCAATGTAAGTTCGTCTTGTGTTTGACTGTAATGTAGTTGTTGAACGGAATTGTTCAATGAAAAGAGACTCACATGATTTCTTCCAAAACAGATCCGCCACTCTGAGGGTCTCCGGAGGTTGAAGGCTTCGAAGTCTCTTCCTGCATTTCTTGAACGACTAATGCCACTGAATAACTAAAATTGATTGAAAAATTCGAAGGACTGATATCGAGGCATAGAAAAAACCTCCCAAAAAACCAAAAAGTACAATAAGTTCTTTTTTGTTTTTTATATAGAATACAAAAATTCAAGCTTGTCAAAACTAACACTAACGTATCACAAACACACACAAAACAGAAATTCGCACGCATAGATAACAGCGAAGACGGGTCAGCGTCTTTACAGACCTATACAATCCATTCATCACATTATAATTTGTGAAAAACAAAGCAAAGCCTGAAATTATTCTTCTCTCTTCTCACTACTAAAAGTGCTAAAAATCGGGGTCTTTAAGCTTTGTTATCAGCTACAGTCTCCCGAAACAGATACTCTCGAGAAAATTGAATCTTTTCGCAGAACAAAAAACGACATAAATGCAGATTTTGAAAGTTTATTTATATCTAAGAAGTTTCAGTTATAATATTTCGAATGGCTGTAAAATTATCACAGTAAATCGATGAAAATGTACAATAAACTATAATGCAATGTAACGCGCAGCCGTTTGAAGCCTTTAAATGGACGGCTCCTTGCATTAGTTGAAAAATTGAGTAAAGTTTTTTTTTTCGCAACTCTCTTTCGGTACGTAGCTTAATTGACGAATAGGATGAGGAGACGAGAAACAAAAGTAAAAACAAATATAAGACATGGATCATAACTCTAGGCCGTGGCTACGTATGTGAACTTTAACGTTGTCTTTACGGGCGATGCCGCGGCCGCAAATGGGACACGTGTGCTTCTTCTCGCCGGAATGGACCAGCAGATGACGTCGCAACGTCGACCGATCGGAGAACGCCCGGCTGCACATCTCACACTAAACCACCGGCTTATTACATGCACAAAATTTCGGTGTGGTCTTCACTAGAAGTGGTTGCTCTCATTTCGAGGCTTCCACTTACTGGGGAAAGTTTTTCGCAATAGATCTTGTTTCCGAGTTATGGAGCTTCAACAGCTTAAAATAGAATATTTTTGGCCTAATTCGCGTATTTTACGTACTTTGAAGCTTCATAACTCGGAAAAAAAACGTTCCCTATTTAGAGCACGGTCTCTTGGCTCCAGCACAAGATCCGCTACATTCTCTAACAAAAGTTGCGGTGCACCCCGCGTCGAACTCTCGGTGCACCATGCAGTGTAAGCAGGGGTTTACCCCGTTTAGCTCCAAGTGCCGACCGGTTGCAACAGGGGCGCACCCCATCCATGTCCAACGCGGGGTGCACCGAAAACATCATCGAAAAGTTCACTTTTTTCGGAGTTGACTGCGGGTTACACCCTCATTTTTTAATAATAATAATTTCAGATCAGTGTGAACCCCAACAAGTTCAATTCGATCTACAATTTGAATAAAGAAAAAAAGTGAGAGTAAAAAAAATTGAGATCAGTTAAGTCTTGGTGGAAATTTGTGACAGTTATGAGCTCGTCAAGGCGCAATTTGATGGACTACGCGGAGAAGAACGAGGCGAAAAATTTTAGGACCGTGCTTTGAACTTGATCAACTACACGTTTTAACGTCCAATTCGCCAAGGGCGGTTGTTGGATACGGCTTTTTAAGTAATTTTCCACCGCCCATCTGAATAAAGGAACGAAATAAATGATTTGATGATGAACAAGAAAAAAGAAAATTTCAAAAAATCAGAAAAAATCTAGAAGTTTAATCTCGTCAAATTCCACATTTTAGCCATCAGTTCGGAATAGTAACTTCGTACCATCCAAAAAAAACACGAAGAAATCACCTCGAAGGGTTTTTCACCCGTATGCTTTCTGATGTGCGATTTGAGGAAGTTTTTTCGGCCTTTCTTTCCGCAATACTGGCACGCGTAGATCCTCAAACGGTGGTTGTTGAAAATACGGAAAAGTCATCCTACATATTAGTGTGTATCCTCATGTGCTGAATCATGTTCGTCTGCGGTTCCGAAGGACAAGCTTCGCACTGTTGTTTCGTCTAAACGATTGTTTAAAAACAATTCGAGCAGAAATCCTTTTCGATTTGAAAACTTCAAAGAGATAAACATATTTACACACCTCTAAAGTTTTTTAACACTTTTGGAGCGACTGGAGGACATTCAGAGATATAAAATGAGAAAAAATTACAAACCTGGTCGACGTGTTGAGTGAGAAAGTGCGTTTCTATATCTTCTATTTTTTGATTGTCTTCTGGACACAGTTGACATAATATATACTGTGCCACGCCAACGAGAACGTCCTTAACTTGAAACTCAATAAAAATATGAATATATACATGATTTCATTTTTAACTTTGAGGACATTCGCGGACAAAGTCCAAAACAAAAAAGAAAAAAAAACCTGAGATTTTTTAGTTGATGAAAACTGAGCCAGGGAGGTTCCAGCGATCCCGTCGCCGGAGCGAGAGGAAGACGTTCCGGGATCTTCCAAACCTTCTGCAGCAGAATCGAAAAGAAGCTTCCGTCCCGCGTCTTCTGATTGCGTTTCAATGTCGTTGTGTAGATCACCGTCAGCTTCTTTTTTCACTACATCTACAAAAACGAATTCGCCTTCAAAAAAGTTTACCCACCGCTCTGTTCGTCTTCCGAACACTCCGCACTCTGTTCTTCCACTTCTTCTTCCCTCTCGTCCGACCTGACAACGTCACAAACGTTTTCCGAAGTTCTGCACGCTTTTTTGATCACCTGAATCGATCGATGATCATTCGATAGTGGTGATGCGTAGCTACAAAACTTAAAGAAAGAAAAAATCAATTGAAAGACTTTCAGCGCAATATCATCGTATGTTCTACAGCCGTTCTTTCAAACAGAAGAAAACTTTTTTAAACTGAACTTTCTCTATCCAGAAGGGGGCCTCTAACTAAAAAAAGATTACCTAAAAAGTAAGCAGGTGTACTATGCATGACAAAAATTGATAATTACCGCGAAATAATTGCTTTTGACAGGAGCCGAGTCGTACGAACAGGAAGCGCTGCTCTCAGAACAGCTATATCCAGCAAGAGACTCCGAACGAGTCGGAGACTTTTGTAGAGAGCCGTTGAAACCTTGTTGCGCGAGATAAGAAGCCTTTGGGGGCGCAGTGTCTGAACTTTTGGTGTTTTCGAAATAAAACAAGTAGACAAAAAAAAACTAACTCGAAGTGGTTTTCAGCAACATACTCAATAACTCGATTTGCTTCAACTGCCAGCTACATTCCTTTTCAAGCTGAAAGTTCCAGTTTTATTTTCCTTGATAAACTTTTAGGTCACCGCTAAAAGACGCTCCTCAGATCTTTCAAGCTGCGATTTTATTTGCTCTTTTGCTTTCTTTTCCTCTCGTAAGGTACCCTGATGAAGATTTTGTTAAAAAGTAAATCTTCCAAGCAAACCTTCAATTTCGTAAATTCTTGTAGAAGATGGGCCGATATTTCTTCCGTAGATGGTCGCATGAGTCTTACTGTAACAATATTCGGGATCCATTCCACTATGAGAGAACAGTTCACCCCATCTGAACAATATTCGATTCTCGGAACCGCAGAGCTGCAAATAACTTATTCAAAAGAAAAAAAAGATGCAGGTAGAGAGCATGAAAAAAAATTTATTTTTTTGAACTCTCAGTGAATAAAATCCAGTCATTACACCCGATTTTTTTGAAGAAGGTGGCAAAAACGTAATTTCGAATGGTAAAACTTTTTTCGGAAGATCTTGAAGAAAAAGCTTCTTGTCTCAAAAAGATTAAAAATTGATTTCATGAGATGAAACTATATTTGAAATTTGAAATTGACGATAAATGGAAACCTGAAGCTGTTCTCCCTCTCCTTTCTGAGCTCAAGAAGATTTCCTTTGAGTAGTTGACAGTCCTGGATGGAAGTGTTTCCTCGGAAGAAAATTGTAGGATCGCTCTCCGATGTTACCACCACCTACAAATAGAAAATAAACAGATAAAGTGTACATGAGACTACCTCTGAAAGCACAGGCGATGTTCTAATCTCGATCACAACTGAGCAAAGCCTGAAAGATGAGGCTTGAAAAAAGAAAAAAGTTTTTTTTTCTGGTGCGACACCGATTATAAGAGTAAAAAATTAATAGACTCGTCAATAACATCAATATTTTAGAAACTTTTTGGTAAGAACCTTGTTCCGACGATGGCCTGGGGAACGTTGTAACACTCTACTGTCGCATTAAGAGAAGGCCCTTCGGAGAAAGTCGACGAAGAGCAATCCATAAAGCGAAAAAGAAGCTTCCTTTATGATCTCGATCTGAACCAATAACTTTGAGCTCGCATGCAAAACGACCCTTCGTTCAGCGCGCTGGGTATGAGTAATTATTGCGCCCTCTCACCATACTCCGCCGTTTGAACTTTTCATCCGGGCACTTTTTATCGCACGCGTTTTTCTCTTCATGTTCACCATTTTTTTTAATGGCGTGTTCATCGGCTGATGATAGGAGAAACGGAAAACGAAAAATTGTAGTCACCGGCTCAAGCCTCCGGTATTTTTACATCTTGCCTCACGTAAATGGACAAGAGATTTATCATTGGGGCGCGCTTTTTCACACCTCCTTGATTTTTTTTCTAATTTCTCTCGGACATTCGTAACGCGAAACGGACGTGCTCCGGAAGTTTCCGAGCAGTTTTAGGGATCACTAAAAAAATTCCTACGCCACTGAATTCCCTGGTTCTCTTCGTTCACATCACAGAATTCTTTCTGTGAGCGAACAATAAACATTTCATTTCATTGCAAAATAATAACAAAAAATATTATATAAGCTGATTTCCTCTCATCGAATAAACATTCATAAATATGAAAAAAATATTGAAATGAGAAAAAGTTCAACAGCACTCAAAAAAAGTTTACATTGTAAAAAAATAGCATCAAAAAAACAATCAACAAATAAGAAGTAATAATTTTTCAAAAAAACCGAGTGTTTTTTTAATTAAGTTCGAAAAAAATCATCAGAAAAAAACTATAAAAAAATTATGTAATTTAGATTATTTATGTAATGAAACTTCAAACTTCATCGGCAAACTCAGCTAATTCGGGCAAAACTGAAAAGCTCCCCAAAAGCTTTTCTCAAAAAAAGACCTTGAAAGGGTCCCCAGCAGATCTTTTTTATATCGTTTCACTTCTTTTTTGCATCTTTTTCACATCCTCTAACAAAAAAGATGCTGGAAAGCAACTAAAAAGATTCGAGAGGATTCAAAAAGGATCCTCTGAGGCTATGAAAAAGGTGCTCAAAAGCTTTTTTACATCATTTTAGGAGCTTTTAGAGGAAGCATTTTATCTCCCTCTCAGGATCCTTTGAGGATCCTCAAAGGAACTTTTGAGTTTTACCTATGAAGGTACACGGATTATGCTGCTACAAGAGGACAGAAAAGATACAAAACCGTGGAAAAAAAAGAAAGCCCAAAAATTAAAAGCTTTGAACTTTAAAGTTTTTTAGCGTCTCAGCTAGCTCTACTTTTCGCGTCATATGACCCGAAGTTTATTAAAAAAAAATTCATTCTCTGCGAAAAAAAAAAACGTGAACCACGTGACAACGTGTCATTTCTTCTTGTATGACCTGGCTTCAAATATCATTCCTGCTTCCATCACGAGTCGTCTTGCTACTGCATTCAACTTCAAGATGAGTTTTGAACCTCCATTTAACTTCTAATTTTCAAAATAAGTTTCTGAGTTGTAAGAGCTAGTAGATTAGGCCCGTGGGACTCCCGGAGTGCCGATCCTTTTTGCTTGCAAATTGGATACGCAAAGTCACGCCGAAGCCCATTCCGGTGGCCGAAGCACAAACTGTTGGCAGCGCGATGCTGACAAAGCGATGATGGGACCCCCACGGAAAATGCCGTCACGGCTTTCGGCGTCTAGGATTCTTAGTTCTGACAAGGCCGAGCGGGGCTCTAGCGCACCGCCTAGTTAGTTCTTCTGACTGGATGAAGCTTTCTTAACTCACTTAATACTTTAGCTAATCAGCCAAAACATTCAAAAAAAAAACTATTTATCCTCTTTCTCCGCATTTAAAAGTCTTTTATCTCTGAAAATTCAGTCATCGCCATGACAAGAAATCCGCCTTCCTTTATCGGTCGCAGCGACGTTGTCAAACAAGATTCATGGCGGACGGAGTTCGATCAACTGCGGCTAAACAATACCAGGTACCAGCCCAATGCTCTTAAAAGCAGCTGAGGGTTTTTTTTTCTGTGTTAAATTGCAAAGGAGAGAAGAAATAACAGTAACTGGGCAGAAAATGAATAACAGTCACAAAAAAGAAAAGAAAAAACAGTAACTTCACACTGGCTAAATCGCACCTCACTAGTACAAAAAATGAAATTATCGTTTATTCAAGGTAATCACAACCTATATAATAATTTTTTTTATTGTTGTTCGCTCTGTGGTGTGAAGGAAGAGAACCAGGGGCTTTAGTAGAGTAAGAAATTTTTTAGTGATCCCTAAAACTTCTCAGAAAGTCCGGAGCTCCGCGGAGCACGTCCGTTTCGCGTTACGAACATGTTTGAGAGAAATTAGAAAAGAAAAGGTGATTCAAAGAGGTGTGAAAAAGTGCGCCCCAGTGATAAATCTCTTGTCCATTTACGTGACTCGGACCTTGGTAACGCGAATCGGGGCGTTTCTAGTGGCGCTCTTAAGTGATCCTAAAAACGTCCGGAGCACATCCGTTTCGCGTTACCACTGTCCGAGGAGGCAAGCAGGCGAGGCTATCGGGGCGCCAAAGTTCTCCAAAACAGTACTAATTTTTGTTTTGGAGCAATTTTTTGCGTCTCGAAGCATCTTTCGTTTTGTCCGATGAACACACCATAAACGCCGTGATATATATATATATTTGAAAAAAATTTTTTTAAAATTTAAAAGAAAAAAAGGGGCGTAAAATAAAACGTTTCGGTTTCGCAGCCGCACTCTCTTGGACTACAGTAGCCAAAAAAAGTTTTTGGCGAGGCGCCCCGGGTATGAGATCTTCATCGTTTTGGTTCCTTTTTCCCAGTTTTTATGAGGCTGTGTTCAAAGTTATTTCCGCGAAATGCAAAACTATCTCTGACTCTTTAAAATTCAGTTATCTCTTTCTTTCTATGACGGCTATTTGAATTTCGCGGAATCACTTTGAACACGGCATATATATACCGGCATAACAAAAAAGACAAAAAAACATGTCATGTTTTACTTCATTTCTTTATGTGTATATGTGTTTTTATATGTTGACTGAAAATGATACTCGGATGCTTTGATGTGTGCTCTGTAAAAAAACGCAGTGAAAAATTTTTTTGAATTTTTTTGAAAAAAATAAACAAATTTAATTGAATTGAAATTTTTTTGAAACATCCAAAAAAATTGGTCCGAATTGTTTTAAATGCACTTTTTTTCTTTCGAAGTTTTTTTGTTTGTCATTTTTCCGACTGGTTTTTTTTCGAACAAACACTTCTTCTATCAAAAAAATTCTCATTTTTTCAAACTCGCGTGTCAATCAAAATCAAAATTTTTTATTTTAGGTAATGGCCATTGGCAAATGGTCTAAAAAAAGGCAAAAAAATCCAGATAGCGGGCCTCGACCGCCTGGTGAGTTTGTGTCGAGAAAAAGCAGAGAGGAAGAAGTTGAAAAAATTGAAGAAACTGCAAGTAATAGCGTTCTCCAAACACAAAAAAAGTTTTTTTATATACATTTATTACATAGCTCATGACGTTATTTTTAGCTCGATAAAGTTATCAGAGACACTTTGGATCCGAAAATGCGCAATAAGAAGAAGAAAAAGTCTCGAACAGAAAGAGCGATTGCGAAAAGGGAACGAGAGGGCCTACCTGTGCATAACAGAGATGACTTTTCTGATTCTGACGAGGAAGACAGCGAGGACGGTTTTGGCGAAGAAGAAAAAGTACATAATATTTCCGTCAATCAGAAGGGTGCCCTTTAAATCACTTGGAGAGAAACCTATTCGTCCCGGTTTCATCTGAAGAGCTTAGCATGAAAATCTGTTTTCTGTTCTTCACAAAAATTAAAAGTCTGAAGGAGATGTGCAGATTTAACGATTAAGCTTATCAAACTCTCGAAGACTTTTGCACAAAGTGAAAATTGTGACAAGCTGTCGCGGAATGGACTATAACCAGTTGACTGTCATTCCGTTCCCGAAAAGTATTTACTCCTTTAAGACGGCGTCCAAACGACCTCGGAATTTCGAAGTGACGATCAATCGTCGCAAACGCAAGTACGGCCTGGATGAATCAGAAAGCGATAGCGATCAGGACTTAACTTACGAGCAGTTTCTGAAAGAAGTGGAAGTTGCGTTTCTTATTGTGAGCTTTCCAAAAATGTCAGTTTCAGGAGAAAAAGAAAGAATTATTGGACGATCCTTCAAAATCCGACGATCTTGCTATCAAACGTTACGGAAAACTTCTGGGCTATAAGGTGGGCTTATTTCGATTATTCTTCAATATATTTGACAGAGATACAAAATTCGTTTTTTTTTCCAGGAAGAAGAAAAAAATCGAGATGGAAAACCCAAGATAGCTCAAAAGTTGCGTAATGACGGGCTGGACTGTAAGGAAATCTTTTTAAATGTTTAGAAAAAGGAAGTTTTCAGTTCTTTTGGAGTTTTGCAACGCGGACGATAGGAAAGACTTTTTAGAAAATCACGACGTCGAAGGTTTCTGGATGGATCTATTTTTTTGACGTCATGAATTTAGACGAAGCAGAGGCAAGCGACGACGAAGTCACAGGAAGTGAAAAATCAGAAGAAAATGAAGTTGACCTTCACGAAGATGAGGTTCATTTCCTTGAATTTTTGGTTCACATCAGAAGTTTTGATTTGAAGGAGAGCGAAGAGGAATTTGTTGAGGATGAAGAAGAAGAAGATGGAGAATCCACGGCTTTTGAACTGAGTGATGAAGAAGACGAAGAAGAGGAAGTTAATGCTCAGCCAGAAGTTTCGGGCCAAGTTAACGAACTATCCGAAGATATTTATGGAAGAACTATCAATAAGTTAGTTTTATATCACATTAGAAAATGTATTAAAATGTTTTTTGGATCAAGAAATGCGTGTTCTCATTATACATTTTCAGAAAGACGAGCGAACTGATCAAGTTTGATCCAATGGCGGCAAGAAAGAAACTGGGGGAACTCGAGGAAAAAAGCGAAATTTCGGTGGAGCAGCGAATGAAGGTCGAGCGCTCTGTTACCGGTCTTATCAACAGGTAGTTTTTGGCGGGTGGTTTTTTCTCACTTTTTTAATTTCTGCACAGATTATCTGAAGCCACAGTGATCAAGTCGAAGCAATCTATCGCCGAAATGTGGATCACACATTCGAAGAACGGTTCTATCGAACTTTGAAACGATAACCATGAATTTGCCAGACGTTAAATGCTCCCTCCACAAAATCCTCTGCCGTGTCATCTCGTCGCCTTTCGCTTTGCAGCCTTCCTTGATGTCCACTTACGCCATGTTTCTGGCCCTTCTCCATTATTCGGTCAGCAGCGAGATTTGTTCGTCCTTTCCTTTCTTTCCGTCCAAAACGAGGCTTTTCCAGCTGCCTATTTCGTCGAGAATTTACTCTGCGACTTGATCAAGTCGATAAAAGAGGGCGGCGAGGCTTATTCCCTTTCCGATGGAGATAAATCCATAGAGAATCGCGTCATTTTAGTCTCGATGCTGGTCAACTTCAAGGTAATCCTCCTTCCTTCCTTCCAATTTTCACTTGTTGTTCCAGGTTTTGAAACCCGAGATGATCTTGGACGTCATCGATAAGTTCCGCACTGAGCTCAACCTCGAAACGATCCGTTTCACAGTGCTGATTATTTCTAGTTAGTGTCGTTTCTCAATCCAAAAGATCGTGTTCAGATGCGTACAAAATAATGAAAAAGGCGGCGTGGCCTCAGGTCAACGAGCGGATCAACTTTTTATGCGAAGAGTTCGAGAAAACTCCTATTTCAAACCTGTGAGTGGTCTTTTCTTCAATTTCGAACGCCGTTTTCAAGAGGGAAATTGATGAGAACTGTTTTTCATAGGAGGTCAGGGCTTTTGGCTCGGAGCTGAGTAATCAATCCCCTTGTTTGATTAGAAACGTTTTTTTTTGTGAAAAAATCTTCAATCATTTCGACTAGTAATAACCGTTAAATGAAAAACTAGTTGCAATTCGTTTTTTTTTTTTCAAACTTTTGGGAAGATTTTGGCCTTTTCACAGCAAATAAAATTAGTATTGTAAAAAAATTTTGAAAAATTCGTTTCAAAAATTTGAAGTATGTGCCGTGTAGAGAACACTTTGCGAAGTTCAAAATAGCGTCAGAAAAAAAGAAAAAGACAACTAAAATTTTAGAGAGTCAAATTTGAAACTTTTTCAGAAAAATACCTTAAACACGTCAATAACTTATTAGCAATTTTCAGAACACGAGCGAAGTTTTTGATTGATGAACTCTCATCTCTCAAAAAGAATCCGCCAAAATCGATCGACTTTTCCGTTGTTGAACATCATTTGCGAATAATGCAGGGGTTGAACAAAAGTATGTAGGAAAATTGTTCAAAAAAATCATCTTTATTGCTGCAGATAAGTCTCAGGGCAGTGAACGGGAACTGGGAATGTCTTTGGACGATTTGCTGGTGGCTGAAGAACGCGGTCGTTGGTTCGTGCTTTTTGAATTGAGAAGTGAAAATTGAAAGCGGAGTTTAATTCTGGAATTTTCTGAATATTTACTCAGATAATTTCTTTTTGAAGTTCGCTGCATACAGCCAAGCAATGATTTTCAACTTTGAAAATTCATTACTCTAAAAATAACATTTTTTTAAGGTATAAGGCGTTAAACTTTCATATAGACCTTAAGAGAGTTTAAAATTTCGAAAATTGACCTTAAAATGAATTATCTCGACAGCTTCTTATACGATAAAAGGTGAAAATTCAAACGAAACAGGTTTCTTTTGGAGATAGTTTGAAAAAATCTTGGTTTTTCCACCCATGTTTTATAATAAGTTCCGGATTCATTGTTAAAGTTGACGCTAATTTCTGAAAAAAGTTGACTGAACAACAAAAAAAATAAGTAGGAACATTTTTATTTGAAACGAAATTCAATTTTAATAGTTGTGGCTTTCTCGTCTGAGCTAATTTATACACTGATTGGAGGCCATTTTAAGATTTTTATTGGACAGGTGGATTGTGGGCTCGGCCTTCCGCTTGCCGGAGAACCACGCGGCACTTGGAACTTCCTCTCAGAAAAATATTGGCTCGTTTTCCGAGAAAATGGTTTCGTTGGCGGTCAAGGCCGGCATGAATTCCGACGTTCGACGAAACATATTCTGCTCTGTCGGTCAGTTCTCGAATAAACTTTCTGCCTTTCGATTATAAAAATTCAGCTCACTATTAAAATATCTGAAAAATCAATCGGATTTTGAACTGGCAGCCTCATTAAAGTGAAATTCCAAGTATATCTCTGTAGTTGCGTGAAAAGGCTATAATGAAAAAACTAATGAAAAATTCATCTTTCGATACTTCAAATTCAACTTTTTCTTCGTTTTCTGAAGCTTCACGAGTAAGATGTGAGATGCTGTCTTCATAGAGTTTTTTTATTTTCCTTCGTGTTTTTGTGGCGGATGTTTCTGTTTCAATGAACTTTGAAGGTTTTCTTTGTCCTTGAATTATCCTTTCTGAAGATTAGAACGTTTTGAGACTTCCAGGACTTTCTTCTGGTATACCAAAAGTGTTCTGATCGATTTTTAGGAATCGCCAAGCACAAAGTAAAATAACCTTCTTTTGTGAGAGACCTTATTAAAAAGTTCTATTCAATCAGTTGTAAAAGAACTTTGAGAACAGGTCAATCGATAATAAGAGCGAAAAATTGTTTCCTGATAAAGTTACAATTCAAAATTACATTACAGTATATCGAAAATCAAAACACTATTTTCTTTCAGCTTACGCTGAAGACACGGATGACGCTTTCGAGAAGTTGTTAAGATTGTGTTTGAAGGTATGCCGAAAGTTTTCTTATCTTTTCGATTCAATTCCATTCAAGGGAGAGAAAGAGAGGGAAATTATTCACGTTTTAATCATCATGATGCTGCGTGAGAAGTCGTACAATCCGTTCTATGCGACTTTGCTGTTTCGCTTCTGCGAATTCAACAAGCGTTTTGTGGTTCGTTTTTAAGTGTCTCTGATATGGAGTGAAGATATCGAGAAAGCCTGAGTGGTTTAGGACGAAAAAGGGTTTTCACATTTATGATTGAAGTAAACTTCGGGTTTTCTCTAAAATATTGTATATTGATTTATTATAATGTTTCATTCTATGTTTCATTATGTAGTATTATGAAAATTTGACAGAACAGATTAAATACCTGTCAATTTCGTAATAACGGCTGGGTGAGAATGAAAAATGCAAAAATGAAAATCTGAAGACCATGATGAGAGTTTCTTTTGAGATCACGACGCAGTATGCCCTGTGGGACCGAATCCGAGAGTGTGCAGGACTGCAGCCGCGAGAAAGATCTCACTTGGCTCTTCTGCTGCATTCTCTGGTCTCTCGGGAAGTGCTTCCGATTACCGTCCTCAAGGTGAGATCAATTTTTTTGAAATCTTTGACTATAGCCTGTAATCACCCAACTACCAGACAAAAAGACATGTGAAATGTCGGTTTGACGGAATCGCTGAGTCGGATACACCGCGTACCTGATTAATTTCCTGAGCGCTAGGCGTCTCAACAAAATATTACGCCATGCATGTTGGTTCATCAGTCGGAAGCATGGCTCATTAGACTTCCTTTGGCTTGTCTCGAGCAGGAATTTCACTTCTCTAGCTTCTTGAGAATAATTTCTGACTGACGAGCCAGTCTCGAAAAAATCACGAGCGGAAAGTCAAATCCTTGACTAGAGCTCGTAAACACCCGACTGGCAACACAAAAAGACAAGTAACATGTTCGGCAATTCCAAAAATTAGTGTTTTAATAATTAGTTTTTTGCAAAAACGCGCAATTATTTTTTCTTTAGAAAGCAGATTGAAAGCAAAAAGGTCTGAGTGAGAATTTCCTTCCTACCATAGAACCGTAAGGTTTTCCATTCCAACTTTTCTGCATCACCTTTCAAGCCGAGAAAGGTAGACGAATCTCACGTCTCGTTCTTCTAGCGTTACTTAGGAATTCCAGAGTGGTCTTTGTAGGGGTTAGGGGAAAAACTCTCGATAGAGAACAAAATAGTGGTCCCTATAGGGGTTAAAACGCTGTACAACGTGGCTTTGATATGTTTGATCACCATTGTATGTAATGAGTTCACTTCTAGTATGGTTACCTGAAAAAAAAAATGGAACGTATCGATGTTTCCGGTGTTTTCATACAAAGATTCTAAAAAATTATTAGCTTATAGCTTATAAAAGTTTTCTCAAGATTAATCTTTTGAACATGAGAAGACAGTAGTAAGTGAAAAGTAGTTGTTCGCGATTTAGGTGGTCGAATGGGGATCACTGGACGGAGCGACGTCGTCGCTGCTCCGACGGTTCTTCTCCCTTCTCGCCACGACTTCAGAAGCAGTTCTGCGTCGCATTTTCGAACCGCTCATCAAAGAGTCGACGCGCGAAAAGTTCGAGATGCTTTCCGAAGGCCTGCGAGTTTTCTTGCATATGCACTTCAAGGGCGATCCCACCTACGAGAACGTGGACCGGTGGATCATTGAGAATAACCTTGTTTGAGCATGAGTTGATTTTCAATTCACCGCTACTTTTTTTTGTTAACCGTTGTTGAGTTTATGAGGATTTTTATTCTATGAAAATCAATAGGAAGTTGATTTTCACAGAAATTTCGTTTTTGAATGACGCGTTTATTTGAAAAGTTTACAGCGACGCCTGATCTATATCTAGAAAACGTTTTTACCGAACGCTAATCTTCAAAATAAGTTGTTACACTTTTGCTAGAAGTTGTTTTGTTGGCTCTTGTTTGAAAGTTTTGTATATTTACTGTTAATTAAATTTTTTTTAAATCCTTTGTATTTTTTTTTAGATAGGTTAGGCTTCAGGTGCGACAAGATGATAAATACCTTAACGGGGGGGTCAGCGGCATTGCGCAACAAAACACGCCAAAGCATGGGTAATTAGGGAGCGGATGACCGTCTTCGGCCGGCTCGCCTTGTCATTTTTGCCCTTTTCGGCAAAACGCGCTTCCTGAGATTTTCTTATCTTTTTTTTTTCTTTTTATTTTCAAAATTTTGCGAAGGTTATTTCCTTTTTAAGTTGGAAAACTTTAAATGGAAGAGTTTGATATCTATCGAATCCCGCCGGAGTCACCAGATTGGTACTTAATCGAACCTACTTTCTTCTGCAGCCAAACCCAAAAGACTGCAAAAGAGAAGCCCAAGGAAGAGGTATCCAGGTGAGCAGCAATCTCCGAATTTGTATCTTCATATCTTTCTCAGAGGCGTTTCGGCTTATGCGTTATTTTTCCGCGAGCGACAGCTGGCTGAAAAACAGAGAACGCCGCGGGCTTCCTTCGGGGAACTTTCGAAGAGAATCGCTCGCCAGTGGGACAGCCTTAGCCAACAACAAAAAATGGTTAGTCTCGTTTTGTTAGTTGCTCGCTTTCTCAAAACTTTTGCTCTGGGTTTATTTTTTTTGCAAACTCATAGAACCATGGAAATATTCATTCCTTTGAGAAATGCAGGTAAAAGGAATTCATCTCATCTACTATTTTCGTTTTTTCGTTCTCGTTAAGTTGACTAATTTAACTAAAACAGGATCTGTAATGTTGGACTCATGGTTAGAATTGAAGTCTTTTCAAATTTTTTTGATTCGTAGATGTTCTCGATATTTTTTCAACTCTGCTCTCACATAGTAATCTCTCGGTTTTCTTTTTTTGTAATTAAAAAAAATTATTTTTTTAAGTCAGTACTGCTTTGTAAGCTGGGAAAATCTGCGAAGAGACATCAAAATTGCTGTTGGAAAGAACGTGAATTTTTGAGCTTTTGAGTTTTTTGATTCGGTTTCTTTTCTTCTCAATAGCTATCAAAAAACGTTATTTTTGTGTTAACTTGAAATTTCTCAGAAATTCCAGCTGGTAGTCGAACTTAGAACGAGCCTATTGCAGAATTACAAACGTCGGTGCGAAATGAGCAGAAGTTTGGACATGACGAAAGCCGTAGAAGAACGAGCACGGCGGCTAGTTTTACAGTCTGCAAACTTTTCCACAGTGCAAATCGCTTCTGGAAACTGCAAATGAATGTTTTTGATTTCCGTCGAAAATGGACATGTTTTCTCATTTCAAACTGTTTGCTTCGACATCAAGAAAACACCGAAAATCTGGCCGAATAGTATTGAGAGGTAGAAAGAAATTAAAAAGAGGCAGTGATAACCAGTTGAAGTAATTGTCGTCTGTTCACGGGAAACGCGTCAAGTCAGTGATAAGCTTATCGCAGCAAATGATACTGATCGACATTTGTCGAGCTTTTCTTTCTTCATAAGATATTTTTATTACCTTCAAAGTTTCCAACTGTCAACAACCGAAAACAAACAGTTTGGTAAATTCGAAATTTTCATGTGTTTTCTGTGTTTATTTGGCAGTAAATAATGAGAGAAGATCGTTTCAAATTTTATATTAGACCAACTAAATCACTATCAGGCTGTGAAAAATGCTAAGTATTTTTTAAACACACCTAATTTGAAATTCTGAAATCTAAAAGTAATTAACAAGATACCTCATCTTACGGAAAATCTTAACTTTTCTTATTTTAAAAAGTGAAGAAAATGTGGTACTACAGGGAAAAAGTCATCCAGTCGTTTAAAATGAAAATCCAAGAGATTCTACTAGTCATGGTTGAAGACTCGTGCAAAAACTTTCAGCATATTGACTTCCAAGCTCCTTCAAACATTATTTCTTTCTCTCTTGAAACTACTACGATTTCTCAGCTAGAAGTTCTGTTCATGTGAAGAAAGAAAAGAGCTCCGAAGATGGGGCGGAGGAAAGGTCGGTCGTTATCAGACAAGTCTACAGGTACGCCCCGCGAATGAAGATAAGAAATCAGAGCAGCTCTTCAGCACTTTTCTATCAGTAACTTCTTGACGTCGCCGTTTACTCTCTCTCTCGAAAACTTCTTTTTCTTTCATCCTTTTTTTGGTTTCCTAGATCACCGCGTAACAATTCAAGGCGTTCTCCAAGTTTCTTTTCTCCGGATCGATAAGCAAGGCGGAAGACCGCAAAAAAAACCTCACAAAAAAGGAACGCTTTTCCCTCGCTCTCCTTCTTTCCGTTCTCTCGGCGTGTCTTTGGTGAATTAGCTCAAAACTGCAGGAAACTCCGCGCTCCGGAGAGAGCTTGGAAGGAAAGCCGTACCGCACAGACTTGTGGGTGCTGTGTGCGTTGAAAACCGCCACAGCTAACCTAGGTAAATTCGAGTTTATTGAGAGAATAACAGTATCTTCTCTAGGGTCTCAACACAGCCAAAATCCAGACGGTGCGTCAGCAGCGTTCACCCGACGAGTCGCCACCTCCCCGTCCTCCATCGGACGTCTCCGTCGATCGGTTAGTTGGTCCAATCATGGTCTTGCTGAGAAAGGCTTGAACAGGAGCAATTTCAACAAATATGGCAATAATTCATACACCGGCTAAGCCCCACCCCAGCCTTTTGCGCGCGAAAAAAAAATTGAAAATTTACTGAAGTAGGCCGCACTTTTTGGGGGGTAGGCCGCAGTTTGAGGGGGGTAGGCCGCACCCCGGGGTGGGATTCAGCCGACCTATGCAATAATTTTCCATATCAAAATGGAGAGAGAACTTGTAGAAAGAGGAGTTCATTGCTTTTTGTTAACCAGGGAATGGTCTCAGCTCACAGTTGGACTTCTGAATGAGACCATAGTCTCTAGATGTAGTTTTTCACGGATTTGGAATCAGCGTGAAAAACTACATCTAGAAAATATGGTCTCATTCAGAAGTCCCACTGTGAGCTGAGACCATTTCCTGGTAAGAATATATACTCTAGCATTCGCCACGTTTGAAAAAAAAAACTTTTTCTCGGACGCAAAATATACTGCAGCTATGAGCTAGAGCGCTATATTTTTCGCAAAGTATTTTGGTTCTCAATTCTAAAAAAAAAGTTTACAGCGACAACCCATCCAAAGCAAGGTCAACGCGATCGAAGCCACTCGACGCAGACCAACGTTCTCGATTCCGCTGATCGAGGTGAGCTCGTCTCTAGGATCCTGAAAACACCTCACTTGTTCAGGATTGCATGGGTCCTGACACCAAGACCCGCATCCTCGTCCTCTATCGTCGTCCTCCCTAGCGGGTCTCTAGGAAGCCCTCACCCAACGTCAAATCATTCAAAAACCAGCTTCACGCAATTTTTTTACAAAAACCAAAAAAGTTTCTTCAAATTTCAATGGTACAATTAGAATTTAAATTTTGAAGAATGTCCGTCGGAGTTGTCAGCGACTGCACTCAAACGCTCCAGGAGCTCGAAAATGTGCCCATCGAAGAATACTTCTTCGAAGGGGCCGAGAAACTGTTGGAAATTTGGTTCACTAGCGAGCAAGGCGCGTTGACCAAAGGCCTACGAAACATTCCACGTAGCGAAATCGACCGGATGCTCGAAGTCGCCTGTTGCAAGGTGCTGCACGCCAAGAGCAACGAGTTGATCGACAGCTACGTCCTCAGGTGAGCGTCGCATTTTGAGAGAAAATGCGCCGTTTTCAGCGAAAGCAGCCTGTTCGTCTCCTCACACCGCATCATCATCAAAACGTGTGGCGCCACAAGACTTCTCGCAGCTCTCCCAGTTCTCATCAACCTCGCGAGCAAATACGGCCAGCTCACACAGGTCGGGATTTTTTTTCCAGTCAGGAGTTGGAGCAATCGGATTCAGGTGCAATCTGTCTACTACTCGCGCAAAAATTTCTTGCGGCCGATGCTCCAACCGAACGTCCATCGCAACTTCGATTCGGAGGTCGCCTACCTCGACAGTTTCTTCGAAGACGGCCACGCTTACTGCCTGGGTTCTCTCAAGCAGGACCGCTGGTACCTTTATACAATGCAGCGTGAGATGCCTCATCCAGTGGCCAAAAGACCGGTTGGTCTCTGTTCCAAGGAACTGCTAGATGAGGAAAGTTCCAGGATCACACTCTCGAGATTCTGATGAGCGAGCTTGACGACGACGTATTGCGAAAGTTCAACAGAGATGTTTGCATCGATGGCCCTGACTGCTTTGTGGTGAATATTTTCACTCCTGTGGAATATGGCTGGGGAAAACTTGAATGACTTCGTCCTAAACTTTTAGTCGCGAGCTCTAAATTCAGGTTGAAGGGAAACATTTTACAGAGAAGTGGCATCGACAAAATCATACCAGCCGGCGCGGAAGTTCACGACGAGTTGTTCGACCCATGTGGGTACAGCATGAACGCCTACATGAACGAAACGGTAGGAGAACACCTTGGAGCAGAAATGAGTCGGAGACAGGACCAATACGCGACAATCCATGTGACTCCGGAAAAAGAATTTTCCTTCGCTTCTTTCGAGACCAATCAGGACCTCGTCTGTCTTCGTCAGCAGACGCTCAAGGTGCTGAAATGCTTCAGGTACCCATAAAAAAGCTTTTGAGCTTTATCTATCTTCTGATCAATAGACCAGGCAAAGTTCTCATGACCGTTTTCGCCAACGACGTCTCTCTCAAGGGAAAAGATGCCCAGCAGCACCTTTGGGAGCGTGAACTTCCAGGCTACCGTAGGACAAACGTGCAGTTCCTCCGACTTGAGGTTTCGGCGACGTTTAGCGCAGTAGCCAAATGGAAAATGTTCCAGACGGAGACCCTGGTATACGCCAACTTTATTCGCAAGTCTGGCTGCGACACGTCCAGCGACGAGGACGAGGGCGAACGCAGTGACTAGAGAACGAACTGCGATCAATTCATTCGTTCATTCAGTTAATTTTTCCCCTATTTTCTCGATACTTTCAGCTTTTTTATAAGTTTTTAATTCTACATGAGGAATTATTTTTAGCGTTGTATCCTTTTTCACCCTGCTCATGATATCTTGTCCAAATCGAAAAAGAAAAACACACATCTTCAAAAATGATAAACCCAAGCGCCCTAACGATGTTGTAAACGCTTACAAAGGGAAACTTGCTGGGCTTAAAAAAACTTTCACGAAAAAAATAGAATAAAAAAATTTGACTCCCCAACTGAACTTTTTGGTCGTAATTTTTTTCCATGTTTGATAAAGAATTTGTAACCGCTGTGTTTTTGTAAACGAGTTATTCTTTTTTTAGTTTTTCTTTCTCGAGTCTACCTTTGCTACTATAAATATATCTTGGGAAGTCCGCCTCATTACGATGTCTGATCAGACTTGCGCTTTTGCAACCGACAATTTGAGAAAATATTAAAAAAGTTTCCAAAATTTTGAGGTTACAACCACTACAGTTATGTCTGTGAAAATTACTTTTTTTTAACCTCAAGTCGAACTTCACCCATTACTGTAATCATTTTTTTTTCCTGCTTGGCGAATAGTCTAATCTTTGAAAATGACAGAAAATTTTTATAGCTGATTCACGGCTGGCTTGAGCCATCGAAAAAAGGGTCGTGACAGGATAATGCATGAGATGTGCCTGGCTCGTGGAGAGCGCAGACAGGCCACGCCCCTTTAGTGTCCCAAGCTAGGTGTGAATCAGATATAGTCTGTTCAGATTTTGAATGTCAAGTCGTCGCTCAAGCTCCGCCCATAATGGCGCGATAAACCAATCAGAGAGCGAGCCATCCACAGAGTGTTTTTGAATGACGTCATTGCACTTGACATTCAAAATCTGAACAGACTATATACTGTCAAATTCCACAAGAGCTCTTGAGACTACTTCCGTGTTAAATGCTCCCCGCAACAAACCATTCTTTTTCAACAACACAACAAAATTTCATACAAAATATATAGCCGTTTCACAGCTAGTTTTAGACGCAAAAAGGGGTGGCCTGTCTGTACTGTCCATCAACCAGACACTATCTTTTTTCTTATCGTTTCAGGACCCTTTTTCGATGGCTCAAGTCAGCCGTAAATCAGCTATATATTAATGAACTATGAAATCTGAAAATGCAAAATTTTAGAAAGCATTTTCGGTATCCATTCCACAAACGGTTGTTTGTATTTATTTGTACTTATATTTCGCCAAAATAACTTTAAACGCGCCATGAAATTTGGAACCACGTCGATAAACAAAAGAAAATTACTTCACGATGAATCCCACGTTCAAAACGAGTCATTTTCAGAATATTTGGCGTCATCATCCGTCCTTATTCAATTAATAAAGTTACCGAATACTTATTCAGAGAAAAATCAAATCAAGCTTCCAGAAGAAAGTACTTACCGCGGATCTACAGAATTCTGGAAAAAACAAATGCGAGAACTCGTCTGTCTTGTTATCATCTTCATACTGTCTTCAAGCGCTCTTTATCTTATATGGGTCTTGGGACCACTTCCTGAGGTATTTTTTGTTATCACTTTCTCGTTTCTTACAAGGGAAAGAGAAATAAAAGTTTTATTTTATTCGAAATCGATGGTAAACTCTCTAGTTACCAACCAACGCGCTGGTAAAATTCGAGAAATTCGTATTTCCCTCACTCTCGTTTTTTGTTTTTTTTTTCATGTCGTATTCAAAGTAATTCCCGCACAGTGTAAAACTATCTTGACTCTCCAAAATTTTAGTATCTTTCTTACTGTCTAACGGCTATTTTGAATTTCGCGGAATTACCTTGAAAACGAGGCCAAATTGGATTAAACCACAAACATATTTTCTGAGATCTCAAAACTGCAAATAAAAACATGATTTTCACCAGTTGTTTATAATTCATAATTACTTTTTTTTTAATTTTCTCAACTTTTTAGGGTGGGAAAAGGCCGAGTTTCCCTAGAGATCTCGCCGGACTTCAACAACTGGCGCGAAATCTCAACAGTTATAAGTGGGATTTTGTCAATACAAATCCAAGGATTCTTATTCTTGCAGAAATGACCACTACACATATACCATGGTCCTGTTTTGCAGCGCTTATATTTTCAAGCAGACTTTCGCGATCCCCGGATCGTTCTTTATGGTCAGACCATCGCATTCTACCAATAAATTTTTGTGAATTTTTTGCGAAAAAATCCGTCATTTCGAACACAAGCTCTATAAGATATCTCACAAGGGAGGTCGTTCCACTTTGCGATTGGGATTGCCATAAAAATTGGCCAAAACACTTTTTGATGTACCACAAAAGGATCCTGAAAGTTTCAACCTGCACAACTTCCTGGTTTTTGAGAAATTAGACCTCAAAACTCCAAAAAAAAAAAAGCTAATTTTTACTGACTTTGGAGGTCCTTTTTGACTTTCTCTTGGACTTTCTCAAAGTTTTGAAAGCTGTGCAAGTTAAGATTTTAAGGATCTTTTCCTGGTAAATCAAAAAGTATTCTGATCCGTTTTCGGGAAATTTCTTACCGCGACCTTCCCTGTCGACTTTCAGCGTCTTTTAATTTTTTGTTCAGAAGAAAAATCGATATTTTTTTTAGTTTGTACACTTAGTTATGTTAAAATTTTTTATTGATTTACAGATTTGAGAATAAACCATGTAAAACGTAATAAACCTGAAATTAAACAGAGAGAAGTAAAATTATGGTCAATTTGATTAATATCATATTCCACCATTCCAAAAAACAATTTGAATGAGTTTTCCTAAAACTTCCTGACTGGCAGGTCTGCATTAAACACACCAATTGTAGAACTTGCTCGCAGGAGCCCTATGCGGCCCTTGGCTTGGTGTCCTGCTAGTGACGACACTAACATGTTTTGGAGCATCATTCTGCTTTATTCTGTCGTCGATTTGTGCTCGGCCCCTGGTGGAACGATGTTTAGCGTCGCGACTGGCGGTCCTGAGGGCCAAGGTGGGTTCTATCGAAAGCTAGACTCCTCTGAAGCCTCGCAGATGTTCGGACAGCGACATCGCCTGTGGCTCTTCCTGTTGTCGGCGCGCGTTTTTCCTTTCACCCCACATTGGCTGCTCAATGTCATGAGCCCAGCGTTGGACGTGCCGCTTGCCACTCACGCCTTCACGGTCTCCATCGGTGCGTTCTTTCTCTTTATTTTTGTATTTGCTGATTTTGACGGTCATGGTGACTTTTTTCAGGTATGATACCGTACAACACATTATGCGTTCGAGCTGGAGGTGTCCTCTCAAAGGTAAGTCCATTTTATGGTTTCAAAAAGTTTTGCGAGAAGAGGAGGTCCAGAATATTTTTTTTCTGACATACAAGTGAAAAACATACAGTACCGACCATAAAGATACGAACGCTTATATTTTTGACTAAACCTTTTTTCAATCAATCTCGATTGCTGTGAAACTTTACATAAATATGTAATATGACCCGATACATGTTACTTAAAACAAGAAATCTTTCTATCTAAACAAGATTTTGAAACATAGTCAAAAAACGAGACCCGCCAAAAACGCCTAAAGCCAAATTTTTTTTGAAAAATCCGCTACTCTGAAAAACTTCTTAAAGTATATCTCAAAGCTATTTTTCTTTGTTCTACACGTGTAGGCTTCAAGCTTGCCACACGATTCGAGAAACGGCCTAATCACATGCGCCCAATAGTAACGTAGACACGGATTTCTACAACTTGAAGCCAAGAGTCGAATTAGCGCGCAGTGTAATAAAGATTCGACGGCGCGTCATTTCCAAAACGAGATTTGTGACAAGTTGAGTGTTGAGGTGAAATCAGTGAGCGACGTGCTGGACACCTGGACACTCGCCGAACTTCTGTTCGTTTCCGTCGTTCTGCTGACCATCGCGCGCTTTTCGAAAAGAATCTCGCAGCCGCGAGGCATCTCTTACCTGCCGACGGAACACGCGTCCGTCGACTGATCCTTTGTTTTTCCCCCAGTAACATCACCAATCAAGCCTTGGCTTCACACTAGTTATCATAATTTTAGACATGACGGGTTCAAGATTAGCACGGAATTTTTTTTTTCTTGATACAGAGTTTTTATCGTGAGACGTGTCTAATAAATACTTTTTATGCAGAACCAGTAACGATCCAAATGTGAAAAAAAAAAGCGAAACAATGGGTTGGGGTGAATTGCAGGTTTTTGATGTTGTAGAAATGGTAATCGGGATTCGACATTTTTGCTCTACTTACAAGTTGTCATGGCTTTTTCTGGCTTCGAGCCTGCCGTCTCAGCTTCTGGCCATTTGCCGTCGCCGCCAAAGCAGACGTCGCACTCGTTCAGTCTTCTCCGTTGCGTCCTGTGATTGCAGTAAAAGTTAACAAGAAAGGTCACTTTGGTTTGCGGTAAAATTTGATGAACCCAAAAACAGATCCTGAAAGTCTTAACCTGCACAATTAACTTTTCAAAAAGTCCAATAAAAATCAAAAAGGACATTAAAATCCGTAAAATTAGGCCTTTTTAGGGCCTTGAGGTCTCATTTCTCAAATACTGAGAATTCGTGCAGGTAGAAACTTTCAGGATCCTTTTCTGGTACATCAAAGAGTATTTTGGCCAGTTTTCATGGAATCCCAACCGCGAAGTGAAACGACATCCCTTGTAAGGAAATATATGTTCGAATCTATTAAAATTAATTCAATTTAATTAATTTTCAATTTTACTCAATTTATGTAAATAAATCCGTCAAAAACAATAAGAACGATCTAAAATTTGAATTTCTTTGTAGAACATGTCGTCAAACAGTTTGTTTTCAGTTTGACTCAAACTGATTCGAATGGTAAAACAGCTTACCAGTTCTTCAAATCGCTTGATGACTTTTCTGCTTTTCATGAGCTGACGTTTGCCTGTTATCAACAAAAGTTTTTTGAAAAATTTCGTCATGCTTACTCGAAAGACAGTAGTACCCTTTTCGATTTATTCGACCGGTGCCTGTACTAAGAAAGTTGACCTGAGATTCCCAATGTCTTTTGAATCTTTTTTTCCGGACGGACCGTGTAGGTGCCGAAGCTGTCAGGCAGTGCATTGGCCGCAACGCAGCCGAGGACCGCGCACTTTTTTGTCGCCGACAAAATCGTCTCCTTCTCCGCTTTCGCCATCCACTCTCCAGTGCAAACCTCAAAAGCTTCTTTTTATCAAATACTTTCGCCAGTTTCTTTTTCTCATTTTCATGTGCGCTCTTTCTTTCCTCATCGGAGAATTTATGTTCAATCGTCCGATTGTTTTATAACCACACCGGTGGGGAAAAGAGGGCCCAGACAGATAAGAATATAGCTGATTCACGGCTGGCTTGAGCCATTGGAAAAAGGGTCCTGACACGATAATAAAGAGATAGTGCCTGATTGATGGAGAGCGCAGAAACGCCACGTCCCTTCAGCGTCCCAAGTTAGCCGTGAATCGGCTATTCTCCAAATTCTGGAGGGAAAAGTCATAAAATCCCCTTCAAAATTTTCTAAATATGCATGGTTTGAGATATTAAAGTATCAACTTGATTGTAGTAAGTCGTGTAGGTCTTTGTGCCGTTAACTCCCGAATGATGCCGACTTGGCGGAGAAGCTCCGTAGGAGTCTTCAGAAGAGGTGGCTTGGCTCGGCGAAACCTATAAATATTTAGAAATCACATTTTTTCTACTTTTCAAAGAAAGGTTCAAGAAAAAAAAACCTCAATCTGCTGAATTCGTGGCGCGTTTTGTAGTGAATCGTTCGTATTGGAGAGGAAAGGGTTTTCTAAAACAGAGTGAACAGAGCCGACGGGAGAGATCTTACTGGGTGTGACGTCATCAGACGCTGGCAAGGAGGTGTGCGACAACGTCATCTGCTCCGCGTACACCGCTACCTCCTGGGTAGGCGCCGTAGTGAAAGAAGAGATCTGAAGTATTCGTTTAATAATATAATTTATTTACAGGCAGAACGAAATAACATGTACAAAAAAAGAAGGGAAGATTGGCATAAAAGCCTGAAATAAATAAATAAAAGGCACTTGAGGCCCTCACGAGCCTCTGAGCCAGTATTGAAAGATGATAAGGTCAGAATAAGAATCGAGGATTGTACAGAGTTTTAAAGAAAAAGTCAATAGAAAAGAAAGCATTATAAATTATGACACAGTGTAGCACAGGTATTATGACACAGTGTAGCACAGGTGACACAGTGTAGCACAGGTCGTTTGGAAAGGAAATGTCATTTTGAAAATCAATTTTAAAATAAAAAACTAACATGATTTGACGACGGCACCGGCGGGTACTGTGGTGTTTCACCCTTGAAGAAATATACTTTGTGAATTTTTATCGTGGCGATTCTTACCGGAAAGCTTAGCGGCGCTCGGCCATAGTAGTCTGGATTGACAAGGCGACTGCCGGAAGGTGAACGATTCCCCAAGTCCTGCTGTAAAACTGGACTGGCATAGTGACCCTGGTATGATGACGGCGCAGCCAAATTAGGACCCTTAGAAGCATCAGATATTGGGAGGCAATCATTTTTTTAAAAGTTACAGGAATCGGAGCAGCGTAGGAAGGTTGGTAATGTGCGCCGTAGTTGAGTGATGGTGAAGAAGTTCCGCAAGGACATTGGCTACATCCACAATTGGAGCCTATTCCTGAAAAGATGGGGGAGTGAGCATTGTGAAGGCTCTACCGACCTCCAGGAAGACAAGAAAGTGCGACAGGAATCAACAATGCTAGGATAAGCAGCGGCATCGGCGACTGACGACAGTAAAGGAGCGGATAGGAGAAACGAGGGCGGAGCCGAAGAAGTCAACTGATCCGTGACCTTCTAACGACACAGATCTCCCAGGTAAACAAATGCAAACAAGAAATGAAAGGAAAAGCGGAAGTTGCCACCGAGTACCGTAGAGGAGGCGGCGTGTGCCCAACGCTGCGTGAAAAGGATCGCAAATGAGGTGTTCCGATCGCCGAGGGGCCGTCTTCTGGCCACTGGTTTCCCCCCGTCCTCCGGCTTTCTTCGAATGACGACGTGGGCAGTTATATCATCTTCCAGTGCTCTTTTTTTCGCAGATTCTACTTTTTTGCAATCCAGTGAGCAATCTAACGAAGACTTCAGTCCGAAGTTGATTCCGACCTGCATGCCCATGGGCGTTTGAGTTCCAAGGAAAAGAAAACGTTGACAAATCGAATGGATACTTCGACGACGATAAAGTTACATTGAAAGCAACTATGGCAAGATCTTACTATGTTGATTTCAAAAAAAGAAAACCCCTAATAAAAAAAATAGAAATTTATTTCATAATAAAAACCGGTTTTTTTAAATGGTGCAGATTTCTGATTAAAATCTTCTATTTGAAAAAAATCTCTGACAGTCTTTCAAAAGAATTTCTGATATACAAGTACACCAAAAGAATTACAATCGAATCAGGTTTTGCGGGATTTCCCCTAACTATACATTCCGAAGCAGATCTCCATGTTTGCTCTAAGCGACGACGTATCGAAGCGAGTTTCGCAGCTATTTCTGCAACGAATACAACTTTGTGGGTACCTGAAAAATCGAAAGTTCCAGAAGAATCTTTTCATTTCGAAAAATGTCCTTTTTTGAAGGAAATCGTTTTTTTTTTTTAAATAAAATATCACGGGATGGTAAGCTTCATCCTTATAGATATCGAATTTTTAAAGCCATGGGGATTGAACTTAGTATCTTGTAGAGCTCTTAAATGCATGTTTAACGGTATACTTGAGAATGAATAATAGTTCCTAGTTTTGAAGAAAAAAACAGTTCACTCTGACAGAGAAAAAAATTTGAATTTCCGGCAAAAGGGCGTTTTGCAGTAACGTTGCTCTGTGGAGAAAACTTATCCCCATTTTTCGGTTTTTGGGCTTGGTAACTTATCAGCCTCGGGCCATTTTCTAAGTCCTGGGCTCAAAAGAAGAAGTTTTCTCCAAGTCAAATATTCAAATCGAATGGCGGGAGAATATAATCGCGTTTTTCTAAAAACACACTATGGTTTTTTGAGTGGACCATTCGATACGCAATGAAAAAGCCTATAGTCTGTTCAGATTTCGAACGTCAAGCAGCAATCTCCGCCCCCAAAAACGCTCTGTGAATCTCTCGCTCTCTGATTGGCTTGATCTACTCGAAAGGGGCGGAGTTTGATTGATGACTTCACATTCGAAATCTGAAAAAAAACTATACAAGATACTTCTTTTTACTTCAAACCCTGTTTTTTTACTAGCATACGGCCTCTCCCAGGATTCGCCGATGACTCTAAAAAAATTTAATATAAAAAAACTTTATAAGGGTCACTTTTAGTACAATAGATTGAAGGATCCGGCAGGCCGGAAGACGTGAGAGATGATTTGGCTAATGAGCTGCTCGTTTTGCGCGGCGGAGGGGCAGTTATCTCGGAGTTTCCATTCACTTTCACACACATTTTCACCTCGTTTGAAATCCTCCGTCATGTTATCTTTTTTTGAAAAGAAAAAAAATTGTCTTCAGTAGAGTTTTAAAGCAACAGTTCTTCGAGATTTCTGACAGTCTGTGAACATAGACGAATCGGGGGTCAGGTAATAAAAGTATACCTAGCATAGACCTCGAAAAATACCAGTGTAGAAGAATTATAGGCTTTAGACCCTTCGATATAGTCCGCTCAGATTTTTAATGTCAAGTAGAATGACGTCATTCGAAAACGCTCTGTGGATGGCTCGCTCTCTGATTGGTTTATCGCGCCATTATGGGCGGAGCTTGAGCGACGACTTGACATTTAAAATCTGAACAGACTATACCTCTGCCCGATCCATGTATGAAAAAGTAAGCTGTATATCACATATAATGAGTGAATGACAAAATAGCTTTTCGCTACTCGTTTTTCTCAAACAGCTTAGTGACATGACTTCTTTGAAATTTTTTTAAATCGCAAACGATTCAGACGGTTTATTGAGTTCCTTTTATACAATGCCACCTTCTTCAGGCGAGTTTTAGAAATGTTTGAATAGAGGAGATGCCGGCGACGCGGCACGCTTCGCAGTCAGAGACGGCGTCCCGCGCAGTCAGCGAGTGGGAGTACGAGAATGAGGTCGAGGCCTTCGACCCCAACCACCATCGTTACTTGTGCTGCTGCGGCCACGCCCACTCGATGGTCAGGGAAGTTGAATAACCAAAATAAAAATAATCATGGGCTCTAAATTGAAAAATCTTTCTGGAAGCTCAAAAAAATCGATGTCAGTTTAAATTTCAATCAGAGAGTAAATATTTATTGAGAAAATTTACGGCATTAGCCAGAAAGTGCGTTAAAAAAGTATTTTCACATTTTTTTTTGTACATTTCCTTCAGTAAATGTAGGAAAAACGCTTTGACCATAGATCCTTTTTGGAAACTCTAACCCCAGATACCTCGCTAACTAAAATTTAAAAAAAAAGATTGCAGACGGGAATGCGCATAGTGGCAGGGATGCTTTGCGTCACGGTTCTTTTCGAAGTCTGGCAGCTCATCGTGACAATTTTCGCCGCTGGACACGGTGGTATTGATCGAGTCAGCGTTTACCTTTGTCGATTATCAAAATAATTCTTCCTTTTTTTTTAAAGACTGGTTTTCAATTTTTCATGCCCAAGCTGTTTCAGTATCAAACAATGACGACGGCAGCCCGATTTTTGATTGGCGCTGCGATCGCTGGCTCCGTTCTTTGGGCTATCCTGTCGCAACGGGCAGAGATGCTCATCCCTTATTTACTTCTACAAGTTTTCTTTAACCTTTCCAATTTTTTATTGAAACTTCGAAGAAAATATAAAACTAATATTTTCGCTTTCATCACGTTATCATAAATGATGACGACAGGGTGCTGGTCTTGCCGTGGGACTTGTCTTCTTCGTGTCGTTCCTGTACATCGCTTTGTTCGGAGACCGAAAAGTCGGCATCACGGTTCTGCGCTCTTACGGCGGCATAATGGCGGCCGGCAAGGGCGACGACGCCACGTACCTCAGTGAGGTACCTTTCTGAATCCTGCAACTGAGCCTGTTTGAGACTACGCCGCATGGCTCATGGCTGGATCCTTCGCCATCGTCATCTTCTTGCAGGTCTGGCTCATGGGCATCGTCGTCGCTTGTTGGCGATACCTCAGGTTTTGTTTATCTTTCTTATCAGAATTGACTTTTTTTTTTCTCCAAGAAATGGTTCTTATGTAGTCACTTCCGCTCAAAAATTAAATTTACTATTTTTTTAAACAACTGAAAAAAAGCTTTTGAAAAATAACCTGAGTTCTCATTCGATCTTTTTCTTAAAAAGCGGCAGCTTGAAAAAAATTCAATATATTTTTTTAACACAATCTCGGATAAATTCAAAAATTGCGTTTCTGGCGCTTAGCTCAATGAAACGAAATAGAGATTATAGTCATAAGATCTTTCCGAACTTAGTTGCGCTTCAGAGACAAAAGAGCCCTATTCACGACAAATGCCGAGTACACGCCATACGTTGTGCTGAAGCCGGTAAAAAAGATGCAGGTAGACTTCTTTAACTACAACTGAAACAGAAATTGTTCAGCTACTGACTGAGATGCGGCTGTCACTGTCGGCCGAGGCTCTCGGAGCAGCCTCAAGCGCTAAGAAAAAGAGAAAAGTGAACGGAAGGTCCGCCTCGGCCACTCTCGATCTTTGACTCGTCACTTTTTTATTATCAAAGCCAAGTGAGGCTCACGTAATTTACTGCACTTGAAAAAGAAGATTAACCAAACGTTTGACGTCTTTTTTCTGCAGTCTGAAAGCTAAGCGAGATAAAAGAGAAATTGTAAATAATTTTCTCCAAACGAATAATTTCAATCTTTCTTTATGCGCTGTGTTTTTCTCACTGTTGATTTGAAAAATTTAAAAATGAATTTTTGGACTTGAAATTTTTCACGAATAAAACAAAAAGGTGCAAAGAAACCTGACTGTTTCGAGACAAGTCTACATGACTTGCGCTTTTTTTTCGCAGTGTTTCAATCCGTTGCGTATGAAATTTACGATTTTTCAAGTTTTATGCGTTTTGTGCTTTTTCTTAGGCTTTTCAAAAAGTTTTCAATAAAAATGATAATTAAATCCCGCTTCCTTAATTTCGAAAAAGTTCAGAAGGACCTGCGAAAAGAAGGCGAAAGAAGGTTTGTTCGGAGAGAAAGGCTGACGGTTATATTCGAAACTGATTAATGGTTTTGCGATGTCCAAAAAACTGTTGGGTAATAAAATAAAGACTTTTGAGTTTCTGAGACTTTTTGCTGGTTCAATACCTACCAACAAGATGCACATCTCGACAAAAGCAAAATCAATCGAAGAGTTGTTAAACTGGGCCAGTTGCTCGGCCGCTTTCTTTCGTGCCCCCTCTATTTCCTTCACTTTTGGCGCTTTTTCGATTGTGCTGGTTTTTTTTTTTCACTAACAAGGGAACGTTTTTTAGACCCTGGTTGAACTTTTGATGAAACTTTGCTGAAGTTTTTTTTCTTGTTCCGGGGTCAGAAGGCTTAAAAGTGCACTTCAGCAAAGTTTAATCAAAAGTTCATCCGGGGACTAAAAAAAAACGTTTCCTAGTAAATAAAAATGCTTTGCTTTTTCTCAGAGTCATAAATCTTGTAACTTCCTTTTTCTATGTGAGGACTGGAATTGGGAATGAGATTATTTGTTTTGCAGGTTTACTAATAACTGTCCTTGCTTGCTCTTCTTATCGCTCATGTGTTTCTGCGCCTCTTCTTTCGACTTCATATTTTCCCATACTCTTCTTCCTTTTTGTTCTTGGTTTCTTGCGTTTTTGCGTTCATGGAGAACAGGTTGTTATGAGAAAAATCAGGAAGAGCTATGTTGTCGAAGCTGACAACGTCGGCGAGAGTCGCAGTTCGGCATGGAAGTGCCGCTTCGGCTATCCGCACGCACAAAATTCCTGGCCAAAGAGTTAGTTGTTCACGAGCTTCTTTTTCAAAAGTTTCTTTCCAAAGTTGCCCCTGGCCAAGTACGGCGGTCGGCACACGGTGACAGCCCTACCTGGCGATGGCATCGGTCCCGAAATGATCGAACACATTCGCAAAATCTTCTCCTTTTGTCATGTTAGTTGAGTGAAATAAGTAATTTCCTGAAGGTAGACTCAGGTGCCGGTTAACTTCGAAGAAGTGCAAGTCTCCTCATCTTTGGTAGGCGTGAACGATCTGGAGGCGGCGCTGTTAGCCATTGAACGAAATGGAGTCGCGATCAAGGTAATCAAGTTTTTCCTTCATGTTCCATGATTTTAATTAGTAGCTGAAATAAGTTTTTTGTAAAAACAAGGTCCGTATCTTCGAGAAAGTATATAGCTGGCTTGAGTCATTGAAAAAATGATCCTGAAACGATAAGAAAATAGGCAGTGCCTAGTTCGTGGAGAGCGCAGGTTCGATGCTAGAATGAGGACAGTGTGGGAAAAGAGAATATTCACACTTCTAGGTAGTATTTTGTCTCAGCTAGTAATGAGCAATGTACGAAGCTATGCTTGCTGACAATTTAAAAAATGCAATCTTCAAATCGGCATCATTTTCTAGCTACTTCGTTTCAACGCTTGTTTTTCCGTAGGGCAACATCGAGACGAAGCACGACGACCCGTCGTTCAAATCCAGGAACGTGGAGCTTCGCAGTCGCCTCGACCTATACGCCAACATTCTTCACTGCGTCACGATCCCAACGGTGCCATCGAGACACAAGGTGCCGCGATTTGCATCGGGAAGAAATAATTGAAAATGAAGGACATTGACGTTGTATTAATCCGAGAGAACACGGAAGGCGAGTACTCTGGCCTGGAGCACGAGACAGTTCCGGGAATCGTCGAGAGCATCAAGGTCGCAAGTTTGATCATTTAGTCTAAAGTCAGTTTCCAGATTGTCACAAGAGAAAAGATCGAAAGGATCGCCCGTATGGCTTTCGAATATGCAACTCTAAACGGCCGCAAAAAGGTATATAAATTTTAAAAAAAAAGATATGAAATTTTTCTGCAGATCACAGCTGTGCACAAAGCTAACATTCAGAAGTTAGGGGATGGCTTGTTTTTGAAGGTTCATCGATTTTTTTCACAAAGGAAAAAGAACTTTCAGGTGATTCGCGATATGTCGGAGGAATACAAAAACATAAAGTTTGAGTCGATGATCGTCGACAACGCGTCCATGCAACTGGTATAGTCTTTTCTGAATTATCACAGAAATTGTTAACTATGTTGCCGGTCAGAATTTTCATATTCCCTTTTTTCATTGTAAAAAAGTGGGTTGGCTCAGTTTGACGTTTGCGTCAGTTCCATCTTTCCTACTTTGAATAGAAGCTCAAGATTCTAACTAGATGTTGAAACTTCATCAAAGCTTTTTTCCTTCCAACTTCGAATCGGTCCAAGGAACAAGATATAGGAAACAAATTGACTAAGATTCAATCATGAGATTCATTTGTAAAACGCCTCGGACATTGGTGACAAGAAGGACGTACGTTTCTGGGCAATTCTAAGAATTACTTAAGAGTGCTGCCAATACTAAAGTGGTCACAACGAATGCCCAGGAACATCCGCAGGTATTGTAAAACTTTTTTCGGCTGGTATTTATCCACAAATATATAATATAATACCAGCCAGAAAACTGATTTTATTTATTATGCCCTGTTCAATTTGATTCTTCGAAACGCAAAATACCCGTTAGAGAAAGGAAAAGATCACTAAATCTTGGAGAGTCAGAGACCATTTTGCATTTCGCGAAAATTAATTTGAACACGACCTTATAAACGTTTAAACGTTCAATCTCGCTTTTTGCGCGTCGCTTTTCATGCATCGCGTGCACTGCGTACAACACATTTCATTTTCCGCCGTGGCGGTGGGTGTGGCGTCGATTTGGTGTCGCCGTGATCCTCAGCACGTCCGTTTCGCGTTACCAATGTCCGAGAAGATCTGTCAAAGACCTTCCTGATCTTGTTTTTAGATAATCTCAAGAACTTTCTGTTAAAAGATGAAATGTTAGGTCTCCCGACCCCAGCAGTTCGACGTGATGGTGATGCCAAACCTCTACGGTAACATCATTTCCAACATCGCTTGCGGCCTGGTCGGCGGCCCGGGACTCGTCTCAGGAATGAACATCGGCAGCAAATATGCCGTCTTTGAGACTGTAGCCTTCAGTTATCCAAAATTGGCTGTAAAGCGGTTTGCAGGGTACTAGAAACACGGGAACTTCTCTCGCTGGGAAAGACTTGGCCAATCCGACGGCTTTTATCCGAGCCAGCATCGACATGCTCAGGTATTCGAAAATTGTTCAGTCATGACTACAACTAAGCTTCCCAGGTACCTCGATTGTCACTACCATGCAAACCTCATTTCCGACGCCCTGTGGAAGACTTTGGTGGAGCAGAGAGTTCACACTAGAGATTTGGGAGGGCAACACTCAGTTACTACTTTTTCGCCTAAATTTGATCTCCTTGTTTTCTTTGAGGCCAGCGACGTCGTCAATTGTACGCTGCAGAATGTGGAAAAGATCATGGAAGCCGAGCGATAGATCGGTTGCTGGGAACATCTTCTAGGCATTGTAAATATATAAACCAACGAGTAAATCCAGTTTATAGTTTTTATCGCAATTCATGGAAGCAGTTTAAAGAAATCTTTAAAGGGAAATATGCAAAATAACTGAGTTGGGGAAAACTGAGTGTTCGACGTTCTGCAGTCACCAAACACAATACTTAGTTTACAGAGTAAGAGGGAAATTATTGAGAAATTTCAGAAACACGAATAATTGCTTAATGGAACGAAAGACGACAATGTATTGAGTGGAGACTGTAGAAGGAACTGCTAGGCCGCAAGAAGTTTTCAGTAGAAAAAAAAAATTGGCTTTCATCAACTATTTGGCGAGTTTGGAATGCGTGCGTTGGAAAAAAAAACGAACAACAAAAAAAAATGAAAAGTATTAACCGTAGGTTGAAACAATCGAAAAGGGAGAATGAGATATGTGCGGAAGAGGCACTGGAACCGCGTGTTTCAGCGATCTACTGTTATTACGCTTATTATTATTTGGAGATGTCAATGGGAATCAACTGGAGATCTTGCCGTCCTTGCTGTTCACACGTCGGAAGACGTAGTGGCCGACGACGACGGTCTGGATGGCGATCAGAACGAAAAGCGTTCCGAACACAGCCACCAGCGTCGTTTTTGCCAAGCACAGTGATCCGGGTTCCTGAAAGGAAATCCATCATATTTCAGCTTTAATTTTTCTTTTTTAAAATGCAGCCGCTGAAAATCGAGGTTTTTTCAGCGAGGACCCTTCAATTTTTTTTTTTGAGTTTTTGATTCTTCAGGGTTAGAACTTCTAAATTAGAAGGTTTAAAAAAAATACTATTTTTAGAGCATTTTCTAGCGCTTCCAATGATTCATAAGAAATCGCACATAAACATGGAAATTTTTGAGAAAAAAATCGATCTTTGCGCCATGGAAGATGTTATTTGTAAGAAATGCTTTGTCAAAAATTTTTTGTTCTGCTTTTTTTCAATATTTGAAACAATGAGAAACGTTTTGATTGAATCATCGATAACGGCTTGCTTCGAGCAAAGATTAAAAAAAAGTATATTTGCGCCAAAACTAGTGAACAGAAAACTAAAAAAAAAAAACTGACAGCCACGGAGACTTCCTCGGCTTCTTCGCGCAGGAAGTCGAGAGACGACGATCGCGAGAGGGCGACCGGCTCGTTGACCTGCTGCAGCGGGTCGATGATCACGATGGAGGTCGTCGTGTGGGACAGTCGTGGAACCTTGTAGTGCGTCGTCTCATCTGTTAACGTTCTCTTATTTCGCAACATATTTCTTTACAGCGACAGTTATAACCCATATCAAACATGTAGTCGATTCACGGCTATATTGGCGCAAAAAGGCGTAGCCTGTCTGCACTCTCCATCAATCAGGCACTATCTATTTTCCTATAGTGACAGGACCCTTTTTTCGATGGCTCAAGCCAGCCGTGAATCAGCTATACTATTTTTTCAAGGATTCATATATTTTTTTTTGAATATTGTTTCCCGTCATTAACTAATTATCACTTTGAAAGCATGCTCTTGCAAGAAAATTATTACTTACTGGGAAAATTTTTAGTGGCCATTATAGTAGTCAAATCAGTGACCACTTAAGGGATTAAAAATTAGTGACCTCTATAGAGGTCTAAGTGCTACTTACTAGACCACTTAAAATTTTAGTGGCCATTTTAGGGGTCAATGGATCAACAACTGGTCCAATCTGTTTTTTTTGAAATTATCACAGTTACTGGAAGGAATACTGTTAAAATTGATTCTACGTCAAGCTGAATTTTCACTAGCTAGTACTTTCTGACTCTAGTCTTTTCTTGTCTTCAAGAAGTCTTGTGGCTGTGACGGGGCAAGCCTCCTTGCAAAACTCTAGGCTGTAAAAGAAGGCCTTCCGTGACTTCCTTTTTTACTCTGCTTAGGAGAAAAAGACAAACATTCGTCGACGGAATTGTCGGTTTCGCGCTTCTTGCGACCCCAGGATTGCTTCTGGCCAGTCGTGAGGGCACACTCGACAGCTGAGCAAGTTCCCTTGCAGATTTCCACTTCGCAAGTTATTCTGATGGACGAAGAAGAGTCGAAACGGAAGGCTTGCATTCGGGCAATCTTCACCTTCGACGACTGCACCTCCACGGGGCCAGGAATCAGTTTCTGCGCCACCGCCGGAGTAGGACATCTGAATTTTTCAATAGACTTTCTTCATCTCTAAGAATGCTTTACCCTCCGTCGATGAGCTGCAGTTTCTCAGCGCCAGACGCCTTTTTGTTAGATCCGACTCCCGGTTCGGCGTAACACTGCTTCACGAAGAAGTCTAGCTCGTCGTCCATCGCCATGATTTCCCAGTGAAGCTCGAGAATATCTCCCAGTTTAGCCTGAACTTTTTTTGTGATGAACGGCGACTTGAATCAGAAAGTTGAGAGTAAAACCTGAACCAAAGGCTGCTCTCCGTCTCCGGTCAACAATTGCATGAGAATAGGGTTTCCAAGCTCAATTTTGCCTCTTGGCTGGATCAAGTTGGCTTCTGGACCGCTAAACATCCAAATTATCAAAATTTGCCGTTTACAAATGAGCTTACGTGACTGTGAGGTTGTATCCAGCTTGAACTTTGCCACCGAGCATGCTCGAGTAATCGCAGGACACCTCGTAGAGTTGGTCCATGGAGGTGACAAGGCCGGGGATTCCTAGGTTGTTGGTTTGGATGACGACAGTCGTCTTGTAGGTTCCGTTGAGCTGGAAAAACACATTGCAGAAGGAAAAACGAGGGATTACGAACAAGATCGACCAGGCCACAGTCACGAGTTTCGATCTGACGCTTGTGTCTGAAGTCGTCGACTCCCTCTTTCACGAGTTCAGGCTTGGTCTCGCGATTCGCCGAAGTATCATGATCGTCGACCCCCTCAAGAGTGATGGGACGCATGCCGAAGTCTTTCGGAAGGCCGAGCACGAGAGTCGCTGAATTCGAGTTGGCCACCTGAAGGCCATCAGTTCGTGGAATTCTTATCACCAACAAAACCTCGACTCTGCATGTGTCGAACTTGTTTTTGACGAACATCACACCGCTGAACGACTCCCCATTGTTAACTTGGACCTGCAAGGAAGTCATAGAAGAGTGATATCGGAAATCCGCTTACTTTGATTCCTTCATAGTTGCAGATAGTTTGGATGGCATCGGCCGAGACGGAGACTGGAGGACCGATGGGAATCGTTGACTCCGGAGCTCGTCGGTGCTCTTGGTTGCGGATAGACGGCTTTTTCACCTTCAACTCTGGCTATTTTCGGATCTTTCTAGCTCTCACACCTTCTTGGTGGAAAGAAGCTCGGAGCGAGGGTCCTTAGTATCGACGACAGTTCCAGAGACGCGGTGTCGTGTCTCAGGAACGTTAGCGGCCGCTGAAGCTCCAGTGTCGATTTCCTGCACGATTAGAACTTTATTAACGTTCAGCCCAGAGAGGATAACCTTCACTACGCAAAGATTCTTGTAGAAATCAACGTTCTCGTTGACATCAGCATCTCCATCGATGGCGTCGAAGAGATCGCACTGTCCATATCTGCGGTTGTAGTTGACTCCAGCGCAAGTCGGGCTTCCAGCGCAAACTTCCATGCAAGAGTTGAGCGAGACAACCTTGAAATACCATCATCGGTATGGAGCTTTCGCTTGGCGAGCTACCTTATAAGTCTTGGACGGGATGCCACGCTGACGGGTGTGCAGGTAACGGGAGAAAAGAGCGTCGTCCTTGTTGGCTGAGCAGTCCGCTTCCACTAGAGCCATAGCTATAGGGCAAAACGCAGATGATACAGTAGCAAGCAAGGGTGGAGTTAATAGCATTGAAGCCAGAAAAAGCTCGGTTAGAGGCGTGACTCACCGGCCAGACAGTGGAGGTCATAGAGGTCGACGCCTTGTCGGACCTGTGGACGCAAGGTGTTGTGTCCATCCAAGTAGAGAAGGTCGCAAGTTCCTCTCTTCTTGTCGAAGTTAAACGAGCGGCACTTCTCAGGAGAAAGGTCGGAACAGCTGAAAACCATGAATTGACGGTTTTTGAGGTAAAGAGTACAGACGTCTTCATGCACTCGCGAACTCCTTTGGAAGCGGAGGACTTGAGAACGTGAAGATCGCTGTCGCCTTCAGGGAGGGCGGCGTTGATGGTGCGGATAGCCTTGAGATGGGTGCCTGAGGGACACTGCTCCGGCTTGAGGTGACACGAGATGTCAAAGTAGTCAACCTGAAAACGATTTTTCGAGATTTTGAAACAATCTTCTGACATGGAATTTCAGCCCTATGTATTCGATTGAGCAAATTTAAACAGATTTTCATTAGGAACACTAAAATGGCTTCATACTTCCTATAGGAAAAATGCGAGAGAATTGTTCGATTTCTACTCTTGATGCTTTCTTGAGAGCCGAGGTTGTTAAGACAGCTCCGGTCTAAGTAGGTTTATGAAAATATAAGCGTAACTGATTGAGTGATCCCACTCAAAAAAACGAATGAAATGGACTTCTAAGAAAAAAATTATCAAAAAAATTCCGCGCACCAAAAACTCTTCTCCTTCGGAAATGAAGAGTTCGGGCTTCGATTCGCGAGTCTCCGAGTTGAGGATGCATTCCTGCTCGTTGTAGTAGTACATGACAGACTTGCACTCGAAGTTGTCGCCGGTCTCTGGTGGAGGGCTAAACTCTGACCGTTTTCAGGACTCTCGAAGAATCTCACTTGGTGCACTGGTCGAGGCACATGGTCACTGACGGCACGTTCTCCATCACGAAGGCGGCGAATCCGACGAGGATCATCTGAGGGACGCGTTTGAACGACGGGCTGTTGCGGCACGTGTTCGGCGCTGAAACTCATCACTTTTTAAATTTGCTGTTCATTTTTCGAATGTCTGCGTCTCTCAGTTCCCTCATAAGAAAGGTCAGAGAAACGTGAAAACAGCACTGCAACATGAGAGGGTCGCCGAGACACAAAGACGCCCTTTCAAGTCTCGATAAACGAACTCTATTTTTACTGGGCCCTTTTGAAAAAGATCAAAACTCACAAGCAAAGCACTTTTTCTCATAGTAAGAGAACCCTTCAGTAGAGACGAGGTCAGCGCGACCGAGAGGTTTGGAGCGTTCGTCGGCCAAAATGCAAGTGCGCGAAACGTTGTTGTACATGAAGGACTTGCAGTTAAAGTCGTTACTCTGTGAAGGAAAAGGCGTTCTTCTGTGGCAACAGGTGGAAAATACCGAGAGCGAGAGTCTCTGAGTGCACAGAGCCTGGCAAGAGTCGAGGTCGACGTTGATGATCCGATCGAGCTCGTTCTTGAGCTGCTTGCCCTCGACGGCGATGTACTGCGTGATGTAAGGCGGGTAGCATTGCGCTGCAAAACAAAATTTGAAGAAGAGAAACAAAAAGTAGAAATAATGGAACCAGGTTGAAGACGAAAAGAGTTTGACCGTACAGAAACTCAGACGGGATTTTTTTTCAACTCATAAATGACGGTCTTATTTTTCAGACTAAACAAAAAAAAAAACGAACATCCAGCGCAGTTGTTGTCCATGTAGATGACAGTGTCATCGGCTTCGTCCACGAACAATGAAGGCCTGAAGACGTCGATCAAAAACATTCATTTAAGGGCAAAGAACCTGTCGAGACGGTCTTCCGTGTTCAGGATGCACTCCTGGTCGACGGGGTAGAACATGGCGGACTCGCACTCGAATCCGAACGTGTCGAAGGCGTTGAGGCAAGCTGCCATGCACACTTGGATGTCGTCGGCAGGGACGACTTCGCGGGCGAAACCCACCAGGATCTTCTGCTCGAAGATGTCGAACTGGAACGGCGACTGGCACACGCGCTCACTCTGCAATGTCACTTCGGCGTCAAGGTCAAAATCATCACTAGTTTCTCAAAAGGAGTATGATGGAAAAGCAGCAAGCTAAAAATATTCTCCTCGGGTAAAAGTTGGAAGATCTGCTTTCAGTTCCTCTTAAGGCGTTTAGAAGCTTTCCAGCAAGTGGTCGAACGCCTTCGAGATAGCTTCCTGACACCTTCTACTCAGAAAAAAGCCTGCCGAAAGCCTTTCAGAAGCTTTCCCCGCAGGTTTCTGCGAGGGATTATCCATTTTCACCCTCCCGAACACCTTCCAGAAGCTTTCTCAAGAACTTCTAGCTTCCATAAACCTTCCAACCTCCTGCTGGTTACCTTCCCAACACCTTCCCAAGATTCGCCAAAGTTTGGTTCAAGGTTCTTCCCCATTTTGCAAAAAAACTGTTCTTTTTTTCAATTCATTTTTTTCTGGAAGAATTTCACTAATCGAAAGAAAAAAAATTTGTCTAAATGGTTTTTAATATGGCCAGGGCGAATTCTGGGAAGGTGTTGGGGAAATTGGAAGATGGATGGAAGCTAGAAGGTCTTGGGAAAGCCTTTGGAAGGCGTTCGGAAGGTAGTTGGAAGGTAAAAATGGAAAAGGCCTGCTGAAACGCTTCTGGAAGGCTTCCGGCAGGTAAGTAAAAGGTGTTGGGAAGATATGTGGAATGCGTTTGACCACTTGCTGGGAAGCTTCCGAGGAACCAAAAGCAGAAGCTTTCCGAGAAAGTGAGGAAACTTTCGCAACTTTCTTTTATCACGAAGTTTTGCCTTGATTCGTAAATTATCAAAAGTCAGAATCAGTGTCGCCTACAGTGAATAAAGCCTAAAGCTCACCTTGACACAGCTCTTCGTGAGAACAGTGCTCTTGTCGGCCGGCGTTTCCTGTCCGGCGCGGAAAACTGCACAGTTGGCATTGGCGTACTCGATTCCTTGACAGTCCTGGAAATCGGGAAATATTCCACTGTGCTAGGGGGAGAAGTTCAAGTACGTTGGACACGGCGCAGTGGTCGGAGCACTCGCCGAGGCTGCTCGAAGGGATCGTCCGGACTTTGGCGCCGACCGTCGCGTTGTGCTGCATCAGGAAGACCGTCTGAGTGCCTGCGGGGCATACCGCCACCGACGCTGCAATTTCCTCTCTTATTCTTAGCCTGTGCTAAATCATTTTTAACATTTTGTTTTCTCTTTCCTGACCCATTTTCAAATATCGATTTGATCGATTTTTTTTTTGTAAAACTGTTTCCATATTCATATACCTTTTTTTGATCATTTATAAAAATGAGAACTTCTCTTTAAAATATTTCATAAATATTTCTTTTCCAGGGGTCTCTAAGTTAACTTCCTTAGAAACTCCAGAGTGGTCCCTATAAAGGAAAACTTAGAAGCCCTTGAATGGCCCCTTCAGGGATCACATTAGCATCCCCTATAGGGGCCACTAAACCTTGCAAAAGTGCTCCCTATAGGGGACATTCTACTCGATAAATTTTATGAACTCTAAGCGAAGAAGCATTACCATGGGAAAACTGAATAAATAAGCGATTTTCGAATGAAATGGAAAGACTCCTCTAAGGTCCACTTGAGCTTCAGGAGCTCAGGGGTCTGACCTTAAACCCCTATAGAGACCCCTTTGACTTTCCCTCTTCAGGACCACTTTTTCGGCCCCTATAGAGTGGTTTGCATATGACCTCTTGTCTTAGAAATCTGAAAGTTCGGGTCCAATGAAAGTCTGTTTGTATTCTGAATCATCGATCAGAACGACGATATGATTTCCCTACAAAGGTGGAAAGCGGTTGACGCGAGAAAAAAGGAATGCAGGTAAGTAGGTCGGGAAGGTAAGATCGCGTGTCCGTATCAGGCGTCGCCAAGATGGCCTCTCAGATATCGCCGTGTTTCTGCGGCTGTCGAAATTAAGAATGACAAGTTGTGCGGGGATAAATAAAAGTAATGTTCACTTTTGACATAAAAGATGGCTTACGAGAACAAACCTCATTCGAATAAGAGATATTTATGGATCTTCTGGAAAAAAATTTTCAGTTTAAAAACGGTTGATGTTTCAGAGGACTATGGCGCAAGCAGAAAGGGAATCGTTACGGGACCTTTATTTTTTTATGCGGATTTCCGCCATCAACTATAATTTATTTTTAAGGAAATTTTAGAAAGGGTTCTGAATAGGTTTCCTTAGCAAAAATACATTAATAGAGATTTTTTTTGGTGTTCGAGCGGATTCTACTTTTCAAAAAACCTGAAAAATCTTTTTGTTAATCGATCAAAGAGAGTTAACCCTGGTTAGGCTGTTTTTGAATTTTTCTAAAAATGAAAAAAATTATCTAGCTGGAAAGGCATCAGAACTACCTTGAAAATTGGCTAAGGGTGTTAAAACTGACGGCCACTGCTGTAAGGAACTTGGATGATCTCTTGAATAAAAATTCTCTTTTTTTTCTCTAACAAGGGATCTAATCTGTTTCGTAATCTGTTCTACCATGTCTAATATTGAACGCATTCTGCCTCTTGTGTACTGCGTTCACGTTTTATCACAGGTTGGTAGTTTATTTCAACGAAATAGTTGTTCTAGACTTACAAAATCAACTTCGTTTTCTCGTGTTTATTGGAACTCGAGAGCTTGTCAGAAAGCGTGGAACTCAATAAATGATGAAAACGTACGTATGGTGTCGGCGACAGCGAAAGAAAGGAGAGCGGCTAGTGCCAGGAGCATGGCTTCGGACCTTTTTCGGCCTGTCTCTGAGATTGCAGCTGAACCGAAGTCGCCACTGAAAAATCGTACTCTTAGAAGATGGAAAAAAGTGAAATAAAAAAATTCCGCAAAATTGATTTCGAGTATCTTGCAAAAAGAAGAATAATCAAAAATATTTGAATAAGGTGGTAAATTGATAAAAATCAAGGACAAGGTAACAGTTGAAGCTACAAGTGATGCAAGAAAAAGTAAAGAGAGCAACTGTGATTAAAGCAGTATATCCGGTGTCCGAAGGAGAGAAAGTCAGAAAAGGAAAACGGCGGTAGAAATAGGCCAATTTGGACGTTGACGAGTGGCGGCGGTCGAGAAAGATAATGGAGGCGGGCATCCGAAGGCCCACCGCCGCCGATCTCGTCCCTACACGGATAAAAAGTGCAATCCGAACAAGACACTCAAGTTCTTGGTCCTCGGCTAAAGAGGATTTCTCGCGATATTTTAACATTCGAACGAAAATTCTTCGGATCTATCTCCTCACTTTGAAGGATTGGTTTCGACGTTTGTAGCGAAAAAGTTCTTTTCAGAACATCATAAACGGGGTGAAAAAGGAGAATTGCTATTGGTAGAATATGTTGAAAAACGCGTTAGCTTTCACCGTTGAAAAATGTAATGATTTTGGTGTCTTTTTGGTGTGGCGCTAAGGTTTTGACACTTCAGAAAAGTCCCAAAATGCTTCAGAAAGGTCCCAAAATGCTTCTGGAAGGTCCCAAAACGCTTCAGTAATTTCAAAAATAGTTTCATTTTTCTTTGCGATCCAAAAAAGGGTTAAAAACTAACTTCCAAAACGCGAACTTTTTGGCCACACATGAACGAAAATCCCCCGCAACACGCGCGTTTCCGGAAAACTGGCGAAAATGGAAAATAATAATCCTTGACCTCGGTTTAGGACGTCAAACAAGGGAGGAAGTTTCTAAAGAAAAAAAAAAGTAGTTTACTAGTGATTGTGACCGAGGACGTTAGGACCACTACGCGAGGCCGCCGGGTGAAGGCCGCTCTGATAAAATCTTCTTCTCATGTCTCGATCGGCCTTCGTATCCCCGAGCTTGGTAGTAGGATCCCCGAACAACGGCATATGGTCGACACAGAAAATGCTCATTCTTGCTTTAAAAAGCTGATTTCTTTTGAAAGGAGAATTAAATAGCCCGATATGTGTGCTAACAGATCTCTTCTGGAATCAACAAAAAAATTTTTTTTACGCTTCGATGCGAAGAATGTGGAAAAAAGGGGGCAAAGCGCGGGATTTAGTTGATTCAAATCCAAAAACGGCACTTGAGAGAAAGAACGAGATCAGACAAGATGGTTGCAACAAGCTTTCATGACACTTTTGCAAAACTTCAAGCCTCGAAAGCTGAATGAATCGGCCAACTGTAAGCCTTGTGCTTCATTTTTCAACAAAAAGTTGTTCATCTAGATATTTTGGCACTTTAAAATTGATGCAGTAAAATTTCCACGTGTTTTATTTGGACTGCCTTCTCTTGAGTCCCCATTCGGTTTGTCGCGTTCTGCCCTGGAACGGGAAGAGAGGAGTAGAAAATTTGTCGAGGTGTGTGAAAAAAAAAAGAATTGTGTCAACCGCACGAAAACTGACGCATTTAGTGGAGCAGATGATGCGACGTTTTTGGCCTTCAGTCAGATACTAAGGCCACGACTTCCAACTACGGTGAGGATCTCAAAATGATGGTCTTAAGGACGCACTGGAATGTCCAAATTTCTCTCAGAACGGGCACGGAAACTATTTGAGCTTCCAGATCTTGGTTTATATTTCACTTCATACAATTATAACCAGGTAACTTGAGGAAACTTCCCCGAAATGATCGAAGGAATTTCAAGACTAGATTTTTTTTTTAAAATTCAATTGGAATGTTTCCACTAGAAGAATCAACAAGGTTCAAAACACACGAAGAAATTCTGAATGATGGATCTAAAATGCCTTTCGGAGTCTTATGAAATTTCGAAACACTAAAATCTTCCACTGAGAGTGAATGAGGTTCCGAACAAAGCCTTGCTGAAAACCGAAAAAAAGAGAAAGACAAAATGTTTAAAACAACGATGGAATTTGATAGAATGCAGTTTTTCTGGACAAGAAGTGGGTCAAAGCCGCCTCGAGAGGAGAGAGAGAAGAACAACTGATTGGGTATCAGCGAGTGGACAGCGGCGGACTGGCGACTGAAGCGCACAAATTTCTTTAATTGGGTCAGGACGCCAAAGAGACGTTGGCCTGGCACCAGCCAGGACCTCGACTCCACCCCGCGGTTCTCAAAAGGAGATTCAGGCATCCCTGCTGAGTTTCCACACGCTTTTTGACCTCGATACTTCTCGCTTTCCCGTTAGGCCCATCATACTGAAGTTCAACCAGAGCTCTCAAGTGGTTTTCCAAGTTGCAATCAATTTTCTAAGGTTGCAGAACTTCGACTCGGGCAAACGAGATTTTAGAAACTATTAAAATCATACGATTATTTTTTAAAAATCTACTAGTTGAAACCTGATAACAGTTATCAGAAAAAAACAGAAAAAAAGTGTATTTCTACACATTTTTTTAAAATTTTTTTATCGTTCAAAAACGAGGAATAACGCATCGAAACACTACGGTCCGTACTGACCAGAATCATTCAGAAACAATAATTTTTTTCAGCGTAAAAGCTGAAATCGCCAAGAATTCTTAACTGAGCTCTCGAATTAACTTTTTTTTGTGACGCATTACCAAGCCCCGCAATCCCTTACGTTTGGCGGAGCTTTGAAAAATCATATCTAGGCTTTAAAATTTTTTTTTTATGAGAAGAATAATTTGTTATATGTTATCAGGATGCTCAAAAAATGAGCTCAATCGGTGACACTGAAATTCGCGACTTTTGATGGTCCATAACTTTTTTCACAGACCTCCTCGGCAGTTTTTGAGACCAGATTCGGAATCAGTGTGAAAACTACATCTAGTAAACTTGTTCTCATTCAGGGGCCCCCCTGCGACCGGAGACCATTCATTGGTGAGCTAGCACGATAGTAAATTTTAAAAGAGCGTATCAGATTTTGAAAAAAAAAAATTTTCCAGCGGATATGGATTGTGAACAATAACAATGGTCGAGTTGGGCGATCCGCTAAGTTCAGCCGCCCTTGGAATCTGAGTTCATCGGCTGGCGTTGGTCGTCCTTGACCGAATGTCGCAAATGTCCAAAATCAAGACTGATACGGAATTTGCGACCGGGCACGTTATACTCGTTCGTGATACTGTATCGGGTAAAAAATGTTTGAGTAGGTTATCCACGAAATTTTCTTTACAGGGATGGCTAAAATATTGCACTTCAAGCTTTATATTTTATTTGTATTTGGTAGACAGATTTGTTTAAGGGTATGTTCATAACTTAAAGAATTATTTCGGGTGAAGTCTTCACTCGGAGTGGTCGCTCTCATTTCGAGGCTCCAACCTAGAGCACGGTCTCCGGTTCCAAGCAATAATATTCGCTACATTCTGAGATCTTCAAGGCGCAACTGCAGAAGAAAAAATCGAAGGACCTTTAGTCAGAAACAGCATTGGCGTAAGACGAATTGAAGAAAGATTTTGCTATTTTTGGTCGAAGTGAATGTCGATCCCGACCTGGGCGTGATTTTAATAAAGCCTATCCTTCTGTTGACTTTTTTTTCAAGTTAAGAACCATTGTTGGGATTTTCTAACCGAATTTGAGCTACAACGCGCAAAAAAAGACGGTGTGAATTAAGTTATACATGCAATAATCGAAGGGGCCATCGGTTTTACGAGATAAGTTTTGATGTTCTAACACTCACGAGAAAATCTCTCCATTTATTGAGCTATTTATACAAAGTTCCGCCTGTCATAGGCCTCGATGACTTGGAGAAGTCTGTGAGCCGAGTATCGACTCCTTCGGTCCACCTGAACTTTTTCCGAGGTTTCGAGTGGCTACCGAATACAGATACCTCTAGGGAGTGGTAAAGAAGATCGACATAGAGAATCGGGAGATCGTCAACGAGACCATTTGTCGAATACTTTCCCTCATTAGAGGCCGGCCGGCCTGAAAAAATGAGAAGTGATTTTACGGCAACGTGAAACTCGATATTGATAGGGAAGTTCATTTGAAGGCGTCGCTGAAACGCGACATTTGACTCAAGAATGGCGACATTCCACAACTGACTTCCAAATTTTAAATATTTTCGTAAAGTTAAGGTTTATAGGGGACGCGCCTTAGCGCAACAGGTTGTGTGCCTGTCTACGGTCCACAGGGTCACAAGTTCAATCCCCGCCCCGACCCAACCAAGGGGTTTAAGAAATGTTGGTAGTGCGAAATCACGAATTCAAAACCCCCAACCGTCACACACACACAAGGACGGATATGTCACTCAAGCCAGTTCACTGATTATCAAAATAGGACCCCGGCTAATCGATTTGGGGCGCCGACGCCGCTCAAGCCGTACAAAGGCGTAGGAAGAAGAAGTTAAGGTTTATATAAAAATTGAAAGCCTGGCCCCTTTCAAACAGACGCCGCTTTTCAACTGCCCTAACTCGGATCGAAAACCGTTAAGGACGTGAAAACCCGAAAAAAAAAGGAACGACGTGAAGAAAAAGCTAACATATGCAGAGGCCGTTCTCGTTGTTGTAGCAAAAATCGGCACACGAGGCGCATTTATCCGCCGGCAGCCACTCGGAACAACGAGAGACCGCATCGAACCCGTATCGCGAGCAGATCACCTGAGGGAAACTCCTTATATATAGAAGCAATTGCACAAACCAATTTATTGAAGTCCAGTGGCTTTGAAGGGGGAGAGACTGTCACTCGCAAACCTTCACTCAGAGCCATCTGAAATAGGACCGTTCAGAAAAAGGAAGAAATTATCTATTGAATAAAAAATGAGCAGTTTGGACTAAGGATCTTCAATAGACTCGGGCAAAGTCGGAAAGTTGAATAGTGGCCGCTAAAAGGGAGAGGCTCAAGAAAAGCCGCATAAAGGCAGCAAAAAGAGTCCCTTTTTCGAGCCTTCCATTTTTTCTATAACTTTAAAGGGTCAAGAAATGGTGGGAGATGGAGAGGCAGCAAAAATGGTGCATAAGAGCCCATGAAATGGCGCAAAAAGGCAGCAAAAAAGGAATCTTTGTCACCCTAAAAGAAACATTTATATGAAGCCTTTTTCCACCCTTTCCGACTTTGCCTAAAATTTTGAGACCATTTCATTATTATACATTTTTATTTTGAATTTTTACTTCCTATTAGGGGGTTCTACCAAATTTCCGATCAAGTCTGATTCAAATGTGATTCTATGCTCGAACACTGTGTTAATTTATTAAATACGATGCTTTTACTTTATTTTTTTTCATTGTCTGGCAAGCTTTCTTTTTTAAAAACCTGGGAAATGCCATTAATTATGCGCATAACAAAAAATTTTAAAAAATCGGAACTACTGATCGAAAGATTGATAAAAATTATGATGAAGTGGTCTAAAACTTTTGAGGGTTCATAACTTTTTTCACAGACCTATGTGGCAGCTTTTGAGACCGGATTTGAAATCAGCATGAAAACTTACATCAAGAAAACATGGTCTCATTCAGAAGTCTCACTGTAAGCTAAGCCCATTGTCTGGTTAGTTGTGAAAAGCTGAGTTTGAACGAGAAAAGGAAACCTTTTCTATGGCCTCGGAGCCCACGAGCGAGGCAAGGTTTGCAATGTTTTCGATCTCATTGGCGGGCATGAAGAAAGGATGTTTCAACGCGAGAAGAGACAACAAGCAGAGTCCGGCGGAGAAAACATCCAGTGGAGCTGCGCAAGTTCCGATGCCAAAAAGGAGTTCGGGAGCTCGGATTCCAGGTGTTCCAACCTTAAAGCACATATAGGGCAATGGACATGCAAAAAAAAAACTGGAAATTAAAAACTAAACGCACTGCAGTGTAGGTTTCTCGGGATGTTTTCATCCGACACTTGAGACAAAGCTCGCCTTTCCGTCCGCATTCCGAACATTCTTCGTTTTCTTCCAGCTCTTGGAGGATCGCCCTCTGTTGGGAAAGTATTCATGAAGATTATTTTATTTTCGATTACATATTCATATACAGCTTTTTACAGAGCAAAGCCCAAAAGGTGTCAAAAAGAACTTTTTAGAAAAAAAAAGCAAGGCACCTTTTTCTTGACCTGTTTTCATTAATTTTTTGATATGACCTTTTTCTCAGAAGGACCTTTCAAGAAGGAAAAAGGAAGGCGGAAAAAAGGCAAAAAAAAATTCCGAGAAACTTTTGACACTTTTTGAGGAACTCGAAAAAGAGCTTTAGACTCTTCTTTTTAAGGCCTCTTTAAGGCCGTTTGGGCTTTACCTGTGCAGAAATATCGAGACATGCGCGTTTTCAATTGCTCTGTTTCCATTAATTTTTTGATAGTTGACTACCATTGTATTTTTTTTTTTTGAAAAACAGAGATGATTTTCAGACAAGGATCCCATCAAAGAGATTTTTTTAATAGCGCCAAACTCATCGCGACCGCACCGTGCACACAATTTAAATATCGCATTTCACCGTTTCAAGGAAGATGAATCGATATAAACTCCAACCTGCGTTTGTTCGTTCTCAGACCTATTGATCGTGGCGAGTCCGAAATCCACGATACGGAAGCTCAAACAAATATCTACTCGATAAAAGATGATATTTTCTCACCTATTCTGTTTCGGGTTGTATAGAAAATTGGATAGTTTGACGTCTCGGTGGACAAAGTTGTTGTCATGTAAGTAAGCAAGAGCAGTTAGAAGATTTCGGAAGTAAAGTAATGGAAACGTCTTTTCGCGTCTCGAGTGCATCAAAAGTTCCTAAAATAGAGAAATTACTCGAAAAGTAAAAATTGCTTCTTCTCTTTCTAAATAATATTTTTTATGAAATCAACTTTTTTTATTATAAAAAGAACGACTAAGTTCTTGTTAGGTTAAAACTGTAGAAAAAAAAAACTTTTTGACATAAACTTCGGAAAAAAAATCTCACCGCAACGGAGCAGTGTTCGAAGTACTCCATGACAATAAGAATAGAGCCACTGGCATGGAAAAAATCATAAAAGCTGATTACATTGAAAAAACCTCCGAGTTGAGTCAACAGCTGAAAATATTGATACAAACGTTTGATCATGATTTTCTACGCTTACTTTCAATTCAATGAGAAGGAATGATACTTTTCTCAGCCGTCGAATAACTTTCACAGCTCTCTTAGTCCCCTGTACTTTGGCTATAGCGGTGATGACCGTTCCAAACGACCCTTCAACCAATATTGATTGTGAAAGATAGAACTAAGACAACCTTCTCCGATGACTTCATCAATAAGCTCGTACTTGGATTTGAAGTTTTCTTCGCACAGCACGGGGCAGTTTCTTTGCCATCTATCAATATTGCGCATCTGCGAAAAATCTCAAAATTGAATATTTCAAACAACGTTCAAACGAATAAGTTTTGATATAACGATATCATATCATAAAAAGTTAAAAGTTATATGAAATTTTTCAAAAATATGATGTGAAGCTGATAACAAATCTTATGATAAAGATCTATGAAGACTGAGGCTACGCTCGTTTTTTAAAGGCTCGAAATTTCGAAAGCAAGAAGCACTGAAATAAAGAAACGAGATGGTGTTTAGAAAAAAAAACCCGCCCTCTAATTTTTGATCACTTTCTAACTTTCGAATATTCGAGCTTCGAAGAATTTTCGCAGAGTCAGAGACGTCGATTCAGTCCTTCTAAAATTGTTTCACTTTTTTGGGTTCAAATAATTCTTTAAAAGCGACTTTTTGCCAAACTTATTAAAAAAAATAATAACCTCAGCAGACGTGCTCTCAATTCTTTAAAATATCAAGCAAGTTAACATGATCCTTTTTTTCCAAGTCACATGTTCAAAAAAACAGAATGAAAAAAATTGGAAACAGGAAACATGCTTTTTTTACATACTGGAGGTCATCGGAATTTCACCTATAAAAAATATGGAGCAACTTCGAATAAAATAAATCATAAATTCGTAAAATTAAATATAGTTGAAAGTTTCTGAGCAGAATGACCCTCTTAAGAAGAGCGATGGGTTTTCAAAAACTGAAACAACAGCTAGTAAATAGGTATGTGTGAAACTCGTATTGGAATACACTGTGGCGTTAACTTGCATACACAAATTTTCGAAAATCTTCAAAACCGTCATTTTGTTATAGCAACGTTCTCGTAACATATCAAAATATAGAACGTTATATTCGAAGTTTAACTTTTTCCATTTTTGTTTTTCATATTCATTCTTCTCTTTTTCGTTTTACTTCCAAATTCTCTTAGTTCTAATGCATTATTGCTGTGTTTAAAGAATTTTCGCGGAAGTAAAAGCTATCTCTGTCTCTCAGAACTTTTTTTCCTTTTAACTCTCTTCATAAAGGTTATTTTTGATTTTGGCAAACCACTTTCACAGCGTTCCAAAGCGGGGTTTACGCAAAAAGAGGCGCAATCTATTCTCAATGGAGCGCGTAACTTGGAGCGTTGTCAATTAAAAAGAAGGTGTTTTTTTTTTCTTAAATTCACATTCTTTTAAATTGTTTTTTGATTGTTTTCATGAACTTTTTGTTTCTATGCATGTAATTGTTTAATAAATGTATTTAGACACGTATTACAAAGTTTTTAAAGTGTTCATAGCTCGTTAATGTGCCGAAACGTTGTTTATAAAAAAATTCCGTAAAATAAAGCATATGTAATATGTTATCTTCAGGAATAATTTGACGATATTGATCGAAGAATGAAAAGGAAGGGATACCAGAGAACGACAAGGCAATTTGATAAGCGAGCAGAGGCTCTAAAATTTCGTGAGGTTGATGTTTACGTTTATGTTTCGTTATAATTACAATTCATTGAAAATGCGGCAAATTTCCCTCTTTTATCCCCTCTCAATTGTCATCATTTTTTTCCTCGCCATAATTTTCCTATTTTTTTTTTCAAGTTCATTTTTGTGTCTAATTAGTTTACTTTTTATTTTTTTATTGTCTATCTATTGTAGTCATTTGTATCTCGGTTTTGTTAAAGTAATTTCTTATTCAAACGATTACCACTCTTTTATCCTAATAGTTATGCGTTATTAACTGTTCGTTTGTTTTACTAAACGTGTTGGTTTGATTACCCAAGTTTGAGGTTACTCAACGTGGGAGCTACTTCAAATCCTTGCACAGTTTTGTGAGCCGCCTCGTTTATCGTACTCAGTTGGTTGAAGTTAGTAAAGAGTTTTATTTAGAACGAAATCGTGTAATTACGCTTTAGGATTGCAAGTCCTCGAACACTTAAGTGTTCACTAAGCGAGAGTCGTCGAGGGCGAGGTCTTAGACCCAGCCAGCGTTGCTTCGTCGTGTCTCTCTGTCGAAGCTGCTCAGACGACTGCGGAAAACCGTGTTGTGGCTCTTGCCCGCCGGTTCACCTTCCTTCTTCTGTAGCAGTCCAGCTAGGAAGAGTGTTGTGGCTCAACCCGCCTCTCTCCACTGGAGACAAACCGGGCGTGAACTTTCCAAAAAATTACTGAGAAAGCCCTGAAGGAGAAAAACCTCTCGGAGGCGTAGACATCTCTTAAAAGTTTTTTAAGGAAATACTAGTTTGGCGTTCTGGTCATTACTGAGATTAGTAAAGTAGTGTTTATAATTACGTAAAACGTCTTCGCTAAATTTACTAAAAAAACGTTTTTTTAGAGAGTTGAAAAATAATTTATTTTCTTTATGAATAAGTAAAACCATTTCAAAATTCATATAAACGATGAACTGATACGTTTTCAATTCTTGTTTTCAAGGAGCAGGAGTACTGTCATGTACAATATTCATAGTGCACAATGTCGAGTAGTTTTTTTCCTTGTTTGTGACGGCACTGAATCGAGCCGAAATACCAGCATGAAGGGACTCGATGGCTTGTTCTGAATATTGACCCCATGTTCGATGAGCCGTAACGAAGTCCACGACGTGGGAAGAGAGAATATGAAGTTTCTCGGTTACGGTTTGATCTGGACAAGCAATTCTGATGTTTTCTATGAAAAGCTCGATGTTTTCTCTCAAACATGTTTTCGACCTTCCTGTAAAGTATATGCCTTCTGTGAAGAGTTGTTAAAATTTATTTGTTGACTCTTTTCCACGAGGAACGAACATTGCTATCACGGGTTGCAAATCATGTTAATATCTCTACTATAGTCAATGTTTCCCGACTTGAAAGGCGAAGGAGGCGGGACGCGTAGCGTGTGCGTTCGCGGTTCTTGGCACGAGTTCAATTTAATTGCCTCCGAATATTTAAAAAGCTCGGCAACCGCTCTTTTTTAATGTTTTCTACTATTTTTTGACGAACACATGAACATAATCAATAAATAATTGAAAAAGGAATCAAAAAAAGCAAAAAACGAGCTTTTCAAAAAGTAGATGGCGGTTGAAATGAACACGTGCCAAGAACCGCGAACGCACACGCTACGCGTCCAGCCCCTGCCCCGCCTCCCTCGCCTTTCAAGTCGGGAAACATTGACTATATCAGAAACAGAACTTTCCTTCGATAGTACATCCTTCTCTATGTTTCGCGTTGTTCAAAAACTTGAAGTGTATAGTTTAGCACGCTTTCCAACTATTTTATTCTTTCGCATAAGTCTTTTTACATTGCATCACGGAATTATCTGAAAATCAAATAATGTTTGAAGCATCAAAAAAAGATCCTCAATATTCACAACTCTTATTTTTTGCCAACACGCTCCTCGAAGTTGAAGGAAGATACTTCTAAACGATAAAATTTGTAATATTTGACATTTTTTCCCGGAAAGAGTTTTGCAAGTGGCGACTTCCAGGATCTACCTTGAGCCCTCCAAAGAATATTTTGATTTTTTCCGGAAATGACCAGTGTTAAGTATAGCCATCCTTGTTTGAATCATTTCCCGTGTCTGCCAAGAACCGATGATCCCGATGATGATCTTCATAATTTGCTCTCCGCTCTCCGCTCTTTCATTTTTGTTTTTAGAAAGTTCAATATCAATTCAGTATTTAAGATTTTCTTTTTGTTATTTGTATATTTTATTTGTTCAGTAAAGATACTTTTTTATCTTTTATTTTTCGTATAGCACTGAATAAATAGTGAAAATCAAGCCATGGTATGATAAATGAAATCAATATATGTAGTTTTTTTTTTCTTGAGATTGCTAGAGAATTCTATTCGTTTAAAATAGCTAAGTTTCTGTAACTAGACTCGTGAGCAAATGGAAAACCCAGGAACGTGTGCTTTTTGTGCTCAAAGGGCGTTGATGCGTTGTTCCTGCTTGTCCATCTCTGCGCGGACTTCGGCAGGCAAGTCTGGTCCCACCTGGAAAATAAGATTAAAGTTCCTGTTTCGTTTCTGCATCAACGCACCTGAGTTTCGAGGAAATGGCGGACCTCCTTGACGTCTTCTTTCCAGTAATCTGCGGGAACAGACATCAGCTCATCCCAATTGACATCAGACAGTCCTTCAAGGTTTATCGAACCCTGAAAAAACCTAGCTATAATCTAAACCAGTAGAAGTTGGAGATAAAATGTTGAATAAAAAATCTTGGTGTCCCTTTTTTTCTTTTTTCTACATACTTTAAATCGATAACCAACTACAATATCGTTTCGGCAAGAACTGAAAAAGAGCCACCAACAAAAAATTGAAGCTCCATCAAAAAATGGACCTTTCTCTACACCTACCTACACTAGTATAATAAGTCTTGCTTTTGAACTCTTCTTCTCGACATTTATTTGATCAATTCTGCTCCACACTACTCACCTTGGCTGGGACTGTTCCGATGGCCGTTTCAAGTCCGAGATCGGCCTCGCCGTCAAGTCTTCTGATGATCCAGTCAATCACGCGAATATTGTCACCAAAGCCGGGCCACAAGAATTTGTTGTTGGCGTCTTTGCGGAACCAGTTGACATGGTAGATTTGAGGCATCTAGAAATAAAAAACTGATTTCAGAAATGTTGTCGGAGATTCTATGCCTTGCGGTTTCCTTGTTTGAGGTCAAGCCAGTGTTGGAGGTACTTTCCGAAGTTGTACCCCATGAATGGACGCATGGCCATCGGATCGTGCATGACCTGCTTGCCTGCAAAGCTGAGGTCAGAACTTCAAACAAAACGTGCTCAACCGGTGTGTTCCGCAGCGGCTGTCGCCTCCGACTTGAGGCAAGCGCCGACGAAGATGCCGTGCTCCCAGGAGTTGGTCTCCAGAATGAGGGGCACTCCCGCCGGACGTCGGCCTCCGAAGATGATCGCCTCGATAGGGACGCCTTGAGGACTTTCCCAGTCAGGATGGATGATTGGACATTGACGTGCTGGTGCAGCAAATCGGCTGAACAATTTAAAATATGGGTTCGCATTTTTTCATGAGTTCACGATTCTCTCAAATCAATGACGAAACCTAATCGTCTCTAATTTTTTTTCAATTTGGTAGGAGTCTTTATAAGTTCTCGATACAAACACTAATGGACCTGAAAATCGAGGTGCATGCAGCACAAAACGATTTTCTTTCAGAAAGCAAAAAAACCAGAAGAAGTTGGCTTTTGTGCCAAACTGTCTTTTGAGAGAATCCGAAACCAGACACCATGAAGGCCCAACTCACGAGTTCGGATGAGCAGCGACTCCTTTATCTCCGATTTTCCATTTCTCACCGAGCCAGTTGATCATTTCAACATTCTGAAAATCAACTTCTACTTGTAAGAAAAGAAAATTCAATCAAGCTTGATCAAAAAAAAGCAGGACCTTGTCTTTGATTTCGTCTTCAAGTCCCTCCCAGAAATATTCTCCGTCAGCGGTTTCGGCAACATTTGTGAAGATTGAGTTCTTCTGGAAAGTGGCGACAGCCATCGGGTTCGTCTTGTGCGAAGTTCCTGGAGCAACTCCGAAAAAGCCGGCCTCGGGATTGATAGCGTAGAGACGACCGTCCTCTCCGAACTTCATCCACGCGATGTCGTCACCTTAACAATTGAGGGGCCGAATGGGGGCTTCAGAAAACAGACGCACCGACGCAGCGAACCTTCCAGCCTGGAAGAGTCGGCTCGAGCATCGCCAAGTTGGTCTTTCCACAAGCCGACGGGAAGGCGGCGGCGATGAAGTGCTCGCGACCGCAGGGACGTGTCACGCCCATGATGAGCATGTGCTCGGCCATCCAGCCTTCATCCTTCGCGATGTTGGACGCGATGCGCAGAGCGAAGCATTTCTTGCCTAAAAAGCCCTTCCATATTGATCCGTGCGGGATTTTTTTTTTTCAAATATTAGATCTTTCAAAGCGCTTTGCAAGCCACAGCAAAAACTAAAAAAACAGGTGAGATAGTAGATGGACAAGCGCGTAGCGTTGCGTGTGCGACGCGGCTTCCAGCGGAGAGCTCGAGGTCAGTTTTATGTCAAACGCGATCATGGGGAAATTTAGAAAAAAAAACTTTTATATTTTTATTTGTTAAACTACATCAAAAATTAAATATCATTCAAAAAATATCGAGAATAGCGAGAAAGAAATGGTGGTGTTTCCCGATTGACCTCGAGCTCCCGCCCAGAAACCGCGCCACACACGCAACGCTCCACTCTTGCCGATCTACTCATCTCGCCTTTCGAGTCGGGAAAGAACGACTATGAAACATATCGAAAAAAAATGACAGATTTCTCTAAACATTCCACTTTTCTTGCCCACTTTTCCAGTTATAGGACTTCGATAAGCCTTTGTAGAACACAACGCACCAAGCAAAGAGTTTCCACCGTAGCCGGATCCGAACGACCAAATTTCGCGTTCTGGAGGCCTGTGAGCGATCAAAACTCGTTCCGGATTGCAGGGCCAATGATTGACGACGCGCTCTGTAAACCATGTCTATCTCTCCTTCTGTTTTCTTTCTTTTTCCTACGAGAGATACAGTTCTCGCCCGACTGATAACAGTCAACACAAACAAAAATGGTCAAAGTATATTGAGAGAAAGGGAATCGAAGACCGACGTTTAACGGGGCGCGGGAGGCCGACCGAATGGATGCATCGGACGAAGTCGTTGTTGGCCAAGGCGTCCCAGACGTCGTTGGACACGCGCGTCATGATCCGCATCGACAACACCACGTAGTTCGAGTCGGTCAGCTGAACCTCTCCCATTTGAAACTTTGAAAAACGAGTCTTTGAAAAAAGAAACTTTGAAAAACGAACAAAAAAAAGGCCGTTTTTTTAAATTCACTCTTTGGAGGTCACTAGATGCGAACTTTGGGAAACTATATCTATATTTGAATGGTTGCGCAAATAGGAACTATGAGGATTTGGTTTCTAATCTGCCCAAGAGTGTTTGAGCAAACTTTAAAAAAAAGAACTCGCTGAGGCGACCGCTCTCGTAAGTCTGGAAATAGGCTAGAAATTCTAGAAGTAGCTAAACGTACAAAAAAACTATATTAAGCTTTGCTACCTGATTTTTTACCGAAATGAAAAATTGGTTTTGAAAAATTTTGTTATTTTCAGTACAGCAAGGATATATAATGAAAAGACCAAAGCAATTTTTCACTGAAGTTTTCAAAGAGATGTAAAAAAAAAACCTGGACGCCAATCTTAGAGAGAGGACCGCCAATGGGGCCCATCGAAAAAGGAATAACGTACATGATACGGCCTGAAACGGAAAAAGAGATAAATGGATCGAGTCCATTGGAAAATGACCAGCCATGCAGCCAGGGAAACGGCTGTCGAGCTCGACGGCCAAGTCGTCAGGACTCATCCAGTGACCCATGAGCGGTTCGGTGCCCTCGGCAGTCCGACAGACCGTCTGGTGCTTGTCAGGCGTCACCATCCACGTCTTCGACTCGACGCGAGCCACGTCCTCAAACACACGATTTTTTTCCAAACTTTTCAATCGACACCTTGGGATCTGTACGGCAGATGTAGTTGTTCTCGTAGGCCCTCAAGGGCGAGAGCATTCCGCGCTCGACCAATTTGTCGATGATTTCATCCGCTTCATGTTGAGTTCCGTCGCAGATGTAGATACCTATTGTCGTTCCACATTTAAAAAAGTTGTATATGATATAATTGTTTTTTCATTTGTATAGACAACACTGAAAACCATATTTTAATAATTTTTAGAATATTTCCTACTATTTTTTTAAATAAAATTCAAAAAAATATCCATATATAAAAATGAATGCTATAGCATGCTACCAATCTAAAATATTTTGAATGAACGAAAGATAATGAAATATGAGTTTGAACATTCTCACCCCGTGGTCTCATGACTTCCACCTTCTCGGCAACGAAGCGCTGAACTTTGGGCGGAAGCAAATGGAAATCTCCCTAAACAAAAAGAACATCAGTTATCGACTTTTTCAAAAATTTTTCTACCGATTTTCTCTAAGCAGCACTAAATATTTTCCGAATTTTTAACATTCAAGTTAGGATCTTCGGGTATCTTCTACCGCCGGCAGTCGCCCCACATGATATTTTTTGCATTTTTTTTATTTGATGTGATTTCCAATAACTTTGTTATTCAACACGAAATGCATTTCAGAAAAAGAAATATCGTTCGACAACCTTCCAAGGTATGCAGTTTCACGTGACCGCTTGCGATCCATCACAAAGTTCAGACAACTGTCACTTTGCTGTTTCCCGAGATTGCCCGATCGAAGCCCACTCTTTCGGGTCAATACTCCACATATCAACACAAAAAAAATACAATTTAACTAGCTCTTCTTCTTTTTTTATTGATGGAAACAGTTTTTGAAGCACTGGAACTCGGAAATCGAACTTTTTAAAAAAATCTGCACCCTTCAAGTTCACTTACAATTTCTTCAATTTTTTTTATTTTGACCTTTTTTTATTTTTGAAAAAAATGTGATTAGACTGGTTATGAATATGTGAAATTGTAAACAAAAAAAGATTTTTGAATAAAACCGGATTCTTAGAAAGTTCGTATTAAAAGAGATTAACTCAACTTGTTCAAATTTAAAACAATATTTCCAAGGGCTCCGGATTTTGTCTAACACTTTTAAAGCCCTAACTTTCAAAAAACAATAATAATGAATGTTTGATCATCTTCCCCTTATCACGGCTGAACGTACCATGATGCTGTGTTCTAAATGGTTCCGCAAAATTCAAAATACCCATAAGATAGTGAAAAAGATAACAAAATTTTAGCGAGTATTAGAAAATTTTGAGTTTCGCCGAAGTTACTTTGAACGCGGCATGAATTCTTGAAAAACCCCTAATTCTGATCGCAAAGTTTCTTTTCTTGCCCTGTTCTAGACTCATGATTGAAATTACCGCTTTCTGGCTCCCCGGTCAGAATTTATTGCTGATCTAATCGAACAGCTTTCTCAACGCAAACAGATGAAATCAATAGGATGAAGGGCGACCGAGGGATACACGGCTGTTCTGACCACACAGCCGACCTTCTAGCGACTTTTGGACTCTTTCAATTCATCGTCGAGAAACTGCCTACGTGCAGAAATCGTTTACGCAAACATCAAAGCGCTATTTCACAGAAAGATTGAACTCAAACGCAAGGTCATTCAACCGACGGTGGTTTCATCAATAAAAACAAGAGTTCATTCGGTTCTTCTTACTCTTTTGAGTTCAATGACGTCTTATGTCTCAGAACATAAAAATCATACGTTTAGCTCTTTTGTATAACCGTAAACAAAGATAACAGGCGAAAGAGATCGTATGAAGACGAACCGCCAAAAAAGTAACTGGCAGCAAAATAATTCAAGATAAGGCTCTCTCTTCCGATAAAACAACGTGTAATATGTTCTAAAAAGCGTACCTAGTTTTACATCAAGTTAGGTAAGCATTTTTCGTACCGCGGACAGTTTCTCCGAATGAACTCACTTTGTGGATGGGCACATGTCCCAGGCGTTTCATGACCACCTCATTGACGACATAAAATGCGTCTTCCGAGATCTGTCGAAGCGAAGCATTCGCTCCGCTCGTATTCTGAAAAAAACGACGGATACTTCTCATTTCAAAAATTATTTTAAATACTGGCATCGCTAAATATACTATCGCCTGGTAGCCACGACAGCATTTGTTTTAAAGTGAGTCCCATTAAAACATTCCAATTTCGAATGAGACAAAAGTATCATTTGAAAAAATAGATGAAAGAGAACCTTGTAGGGAGTAAGCAGGTTAGGATCCGCCGACATGGTTGCGTTTGAGGCAGAGTGAATCGCGGCGTTTGTTGTTTTCAACTGCGATAGGCGGCGCCGCTTGTGTTGCCAGTCACCAGACCTTCCTTTCTCTCTCGTCTCTCTCGCGCCCGAAATCTGTTCTTTTGACCACCCTAAAGGACGTCCATAGTACCAACTTTTTGTAGCATATCTAGCCAAAAAAGCCGTCAAAACAATCTATTCTATCCATCTAATGCGTAGATTAGAGCATTAAAATAATTATGCAATATAGCCTATTCCGCGCCAGCTTGTCACGTTTTTCTTTCCGCCAAAAAGACCATATACCAAATTAGATCAAATTTCTGCTTTTATAACGGCAAGAAACAAAGGTCTTGAAGCGAAAGTTGGTTAAATTTGATATGGCCTTTTGGCGGAAAGAAAAACGTGACAAGCTAGCGCGAAACGGCCTATAATAACAAATTTTCAAACTCAAACTCAAAAAAAAAAATGAAGATAAAGTTGAAAAAACGTTTTTACGCTCCTTCGGCTCGTTCTCCAGTTGCGCGTTGACAACCTCAGAATGTAGCCGATGGTGTGTTGGAGCCCAGAGAACGTGCTCTAGGTGGAATGAGAGCGACCACTACGGGTGATGTCTTTACTGTTCAAAAAAAACTGTTTATTGCATCTTCAATTTAATAATACACGTGCAATCGACTTTCAATGTGTTTAAACGGCGGTAGGAGCTGTGGCTTAAGCAGAAAAGTTGTAAATTTCGCTCGTAGAACATCAGGTACAAGAGAGGTCGTAGGAAGAAGTACGGTGCCGGCTTTCCAAAGGCCGATGGCAGAGATTGAACCTTCTCGCTGCATGCAGCTCCCAATTTTATCTGCCCCGGAGGGATGAAAGGCTTGGTCGACCTCGGGGGACTCGAACCTACGACCTCGCGGACGTTAGAAATGAGTCTTTACCACCTGAGCTATGCCGCTTCCGATGTCTTTACACGGAATAAAATTGAAAAACTCAAAGACTCCTAACCATCCGATGAAATATCTCGTAACCATTGCACATATAATAAACAATTTCATGACCTGTCTGACCCAACTTGAAACAACCTGACTTTTCTCTTTTCCCTCGGAGACACTATTTTACTGCTTCTATGACCTCGTCTGTGTAGGGAAAAAGAAATTTTTTTTTAGGTTTTATATATATGAGAACAGGAATATTCACAAGCATTTCGAGTAATTTTGCAAAATAGCAAGGCTGGAAACGTCGTCACCCCCAAGTGAGTTGGCCTCTTCTTCCAGATACGGCAACTTTTCCAGCAATTTCGATGCGAAATCTGCCCAGAAGACTTCGTTTTTAGACAAAATCGGTTTACAGTCCTGAAAAGAAATTGATACATTCCGCCGGGCGAAAAAAACAAACAGTAATAAGAAACGTGAGTAAAATTGAAGATCTGCGTACAAGAACAGCGTTATTAACAGCCGTGAGGGGCAACTTTTGAAGCTTGTCCTCGCTCAAAACGACACCTATGCCGTTTTTTTTTGAAAAAAGCGCGTCTGAATTTTTTGTTTAGAAAAGATAATGATAGGAAAATGCAACTTTTTGTGTGAACAGTCAAGAAAAGAGAAATCAAAGATTTCTCATGGTTCAAAGAAAGGGCTCGCTCGTCCTTCCTTCGGTTTGTTATTTCAGAAAAATACTCATCACTGCAAGTTTAAAATTCGCAAAGCAAGCTAAAAAGGTCTCATTTAGATGAAATTATATGATAACAAATTGATCTGAGAACTGAAATACATCTCAGAGGCGGAAAATATTTTGTTAAATGAGCCTTTTGCTCACGAATATGAGAGTCTTGTAATGTGGGGTCGTTAAACAAAGATAAAAACAGAAGGATTTTTTTTTTTCCAAAAATGCAAATAGTTCTTTCAAAGCGACTTTTGCCAAATTTCAAAGACCTTTCAAGCATGATAATAACCTTAGCAGGCGTACCCTAACTTCTTCAAAATGTCAAGGAAGTTAACATGATCCTTTTTATCCAAGCCACATTCAAAAAACAGAATGAAAAATTGTAAATATGCTTTTTACATACTGGAGGTCATCGGGATTTCACCTATAAAAAATATGGACAACTTCGAATAAAATGAATCAAGTTCGTAAAAATAAAAATACTTGGAAATTTCTGAGAAGAATGACCCTCTTAAGAAGAGCGATGGGTTTTCAAAAACTGAAATAACAGCTAGTAAATCGGTATGTGTGAAACTCGTACTGGAATACACGGTGGCGTCAACTTGCACACGCAAATTTTCGAAAATCTTCAAAACCACGTCGGCGCGTCATTTTGTTATAGCAACTTTCTCGTAACATATCAAAATATGGAACGTTATATTCGAAGTTTAACTTTTTCCTTTTTTGTTTTTCATATTCACTGTTCACTTTTTTGTTTTACTTCCCATTTCTCTTAGTTCTAATGCCGTGTTTAAAGTAATTTCGCGGAAGTAAAGACTATCTCTGACTCTCCGATTATTTATTTTATTCTCTCTCTTATGCTATGTTTTTTTACCGGCTGTACTCAAAGTTCTTCCGCGGGCTTTGAAATAGCCTTCGGAGAATGACCAGGTTGCAAGAGAAAAGGTTTTTTGGAACCGAGACACGATCTTGACGAGATAGATTTAAAAGTTCGTTTCGAAAAAAAAAAACGAGACGTCCAATTTTTGGTCGAGACGAGACGAGATCGAGTCTCGTATGCAAATTTTCGAAACGAAATTGAGCTTGAGCCAGCAAATGTGCTTCGAAAACTTGAATAAAAAAAATTTGGATCACTGAAGAGCTTATTAGGTAAATCTCAGTGCTTTAAAATTTATTTTCAATAATCATAGAAAAATAAATTATTTCGTCTTGAATTTTTTTCTTTCGAGGATCTCGCCTCGCGAGGCGAGATCTTCTAGGAAAGAAGAGACGAGATGGCCGAAATTTCGGTCGAGATCGAAGTGTTCTTGACAAATCGAGACGGCATAAGAAATATCCTAGTGTATTTTATAGTGCAATTTTACTTGGATCATTAATATTTTATTTCACCAGGAGCGTAATAGTCGTAAAATATGTCTTTCACATTCTATCTGAATTATGTTTATCCTCGGTTGGGTTATTTTTTTTTCTATTGCCCAGTCCAATTATCACCTATTTCACAGTAATATTGAATATATTGCCGAGTGTTCAGAGTGATTTTTGAGCGAAAAAAATTTTTAAGCCTTCTCTTCTGACTTCACGTCTTTTCCCCCCGCTTTTTGATTGGCCTTTGTCTAAGGTCTCTATAAAAATAGAGTTCCGGAATAAGAAAAACAGCGATGCGCACTTGTTGCGGCGCTCGAGGATTGGGGTTTTTGGTTGAATTTTTCTATTTTTGGTCGAAAATTAGTTCGATCATTCGCGACATGAATCCAGGCTGCGCATTCTGTTTCATGAATTGCCTGCGTAATGCTCGTTGACTGCGTATCGAACGCGTGGCGTCCAACGCGGTCTCGCGTGCGGGAAGCTCCTCTGCGTCTTGCTCTTCTTTCCTTGAATTATTTCGCGGGTACAAACTGCTCTACACATTTTCTTGCGATTAATCATTATTTATCGTATCGATTTTTTTTCTATCATAAGATGGCTTTTGAAAATTAGTTTTTCACTATTTTCTTTTCGCAGAACTGGAACAAAGAGTTTCAAGTTATTATTGTTATTTTTATTTATTTGAAGTCTCTTTTTTCTCAGTGCTGTTTTTCATTTTTCTTCTATTTGATGATCATTAAAAACGATTGCTACCACTGGATATTCAAATAGTATGACTATAAAATTGTGACCTTCGCTTTATCTTTGCTTTTTCGTGAACTTTAGTATCGCTCCGTTGTGCATTCCTCAAAGTAACTTCGTTTGAAATTATTTCGCGAAATACGCAGAAATGGATATTCGTGAGCCGTCAAAAAAAAAAAATTACCTTTTTCAACGAGATCATTAAAAGGTTTCCAAAAAACCAAATTTTTTAGTTTCGCACATAAGATTAGTTTTTTTTTTCTGTTGTAGGACCCAGTTTCTTTTCAAGCCCCCCGAAGTTACATTTTGCATAATAATTTAAAACAAAAAACGCATGAATTTGGAAATCGTTGAAATCTCTTTGAACACGGCTTTAGTTTCATAATTTTTTTTTGGGTATGACATAAACTTATATTGTTTTTCTTATTTTTGTATTTCGTTGAAACGTCTCCGAAAAACTGGTTATCAATAGAAAATTATCCTTTTCTAGAGTTTTTGACAAAAATCTAAGTTTGTAAAGTTTACTCTGTGATTGTAATTTTTTTTTTCTACTTTTTTTAAAAGTTTTCGGTTTTTTTTTGAATCACCGGTGTTCCTAATCTTTTTTCACCTTTTCTTCCAACCTTTTGATTATTTTTTCCAGTTTAGTTATTTGTCTTTTCCTAGTGATTTGTGCCTTTTGAATCAACATTTGCAAATTTCTCTACCAGGAAATACCTGAAAATTTGGTTTTGCCGTTCTTTTGTTGATAATATAATTGGTTCGACTTCGGAAAGAGAAATCAGAAGATGAAACAGCTTTTAGTCATACATTGCTTCCCTGACAATAGTAAAAAAAAATTTTTCGCTCGTTTATCAGTTGTAGTCCGATAAGCTTCGCATCATCGATTATCTCTCACTGTGAGAAACTATCAACGTTTGACATTTTTCAGTTTTCAACTTAAGATGACCGAAGGCAAAGTGCCTCAAGTCCTGCAGATCGTTCCACCTAGGGAGCTCGTTTTTCAAGGTAATTTTTATAACTCGCTCATTTCTTCTCAGCTCTGAGCTGAGGAATTCAGCACGCTGTATGGATTACATTCGTAAAACCAAATTCCCCATTTTCTACGATTTTTCTTAATTTTTTCATTTTTTTTTTTGGTCTTTTTTTTCGGTCTTTTTTTCGGTAGTACACATGCTAGATGAAAAATTTTTTAGATAAAAAAAATATAATGTTTTAAAAGTATATATAAAATAAGAAGTTTCATGGAAATTTTCAGTGTTCCTTCGCCGTTTAAAGATTGCGTTACGGCCGCAATTAAAATTATAAACAAAAAACCATAATCAGGAAAATAAAGTTATTCAAGAAAAACCTTAATAAGACTCGATTTAGGCTCTATTTTGGTTTATCGCCTTTCTATGATTGATATTATCTTTTATTTTAATAGGGAACCACGGCGACAAGTTTCAAGTTAAAACTTTGGTGGCCTGTAGACCTGGGTAAGAGTTTAGAAATGAGAGAGATTTTCTGCTAGCCCCATAGGCTTCTGAGAAAAAGCTTTCCGTGAACCAAGAATGAATCCCGTACGCAGATTATCTCTTCTGATTCCAAGAGCTTTCACCTACGTCTATAAGCCGCCAAAGTTTCAACCTGCTCCCGAGTCCGAGTAGTTCTTCAGTTCTAATTACTAATGCGAGAATACGAGCGAAAAACAATTTTTGAAAAAGTTTATAATGAACCTATAAAAAAAGTGAAAATTTCATGGAGCGAAGATTATTCGGGGCGCGAATTTTCTCTGGACGCTCATTAGGCTCACAATTCTGCGCTGAAAAATATGAGATTTTTTCCTCTAAGTTCATATAATCAATTCTCCCGACTTTGAACACGGTGTGGCTAGATTGGCAAGGGTTACGTGAGCAACACTTTGCCAATTCACTCATCTCGCCTTTGAGGTCGTGAAGGTTCGACTATATTTTTCCTGATAAGCGGAAAAAAATCTTCCCTAGTGAGGGTTTCGGAATTATGATAAATTTTTTTAAAGAATCTAATATCATCTGCTTTTTTTGAGGGCCTTTCACGGATGTTGTAACGTCTTTCATGACTCTGCGCAATCCTACGTCAAAGTCGGTGTGTTTCAAAGTAAAGACAACTGCTCCGAAACAGTACTGTGTACGACCAAATTCCGGTTCGTTATAACAAAAAAAAAATCGCTTAAATAAGATTGCTTGAAATTCTCTAGGAGTTATCGCGCCTGGTGAATCGAAAGTAGTGACTGTCATGCTGCAACCGATCGATTCAATCCCAGTGGACGCGAACAAGCACAAGTTCATGGTCCAATCCTGTGCTGCTCCTAGCGACGAAGTCGACAACCTAGACGTTTTCTGGAAGGTATAATTTTTTTTTTTTAAATAGTATTCTAGCCAATAACGAGTTATCGTTGTTTCTAGAGTATCAATCCTGCCGACTTGATGTATAGTAAACTCATGGTTGTCTTCGCGGATAAAAGAAATTCCGGAGACGCTGAAACCCATGAGAATCATTCAGTCAAAGAAGAAAGCGCCGCCTCTGTGACCTACGTCGGGTAGTTCTCTTTTTTTTTTGTTCGATCAACTTCATGTTTTCAGAGAATCAGCCTCCTCTCCTAGCACTGTAACGGGTGATTCTTCAGCTGCCCTAGTATGTTTTTAATGATTTCGAGCTTTTTATCTAAATATTTCAGAGGAAATCCTTGTCGGCGGCGTTAGAGGATAAGGATCGTGCTCTGAGGAAGTTGGAAACCCTCCAGAAAGAACTAGAAGAACTTTTCAAAGTAGGAGTCTATTTCATTTAATCAATCTTAGTCAGAACGCCCCGTAAAGTTACTCAAACGATAATTTTTACAGCAAAATCGCAAGTTGCAACAAAAAAGCGAAGGAGTTGCAGAAATCGGAATCCCAACACTTCAGGTTGGTTTTAAAAGATTTCGTTCATAAAACAATGCTTCAGGTTGTTCTTATGGCGGTCGCAGCCCTGCTCATTGGCTTAATTTTTGGGAGAATGTTTTAAAACGTTTTCCGCGAATCAAAACTAACAATTTCGTTTAAGATGTTACAGTGATCATGTATAATTGCACGGGGAAGCTTCCCTAAAAATACTTTATTGTCACAAACCCGGTATCGCAACCTTTGATTATTATTAATTTATTAGACGCGCTTTCACTTTAACCTGTTTTATTTTTCTTTACTTTCTTGTTCATTTGAGTATTTTTATCGTTGGCTGCCATCTCAGCCTTTTCAGTTTTCGTAAATATTCAAGGAAATAAGTATGCGCTATTTTAGTTGGTTTCACCCTTTATCCGAAAATGATATGTACATGATTATCTTTAATGAAGTATTTGATATATATTTGTTTCTTGGGTACTTTCTCATTCAACGTTTAATCTTTTACGTTCGATATTTTCATTTTTTTTTTCTCTCGCTTAAATGATCAATTTCTCCCGATTTTAAAGGCGCGACTAATAGATTGACAAGGATGGTTTTTTTCGCCCACACGACTAGTTTTTGGCCAAAAGCTCGAGTTTTAAAGAGTTACAATCATGCTAAGAATATCGTAAAAAAAAGACTTATTTTTGTTTTAATTTTTCAAAATTTTTTATTGAACTTTATTGTTGCCAAAATCTAAAAAAATAAAATCAAAAGCTATCGAAAGATTCAAAAAAAAAAAAAAAAAAAAACAAAATTATCGACACAAAACCGCGTCGCATATGCAACAAGTCATCCTTGCCATTCTACTCATCTCGCCTTTTTTTAAAAATTACGATATAAAAAAAGTATTACTTTTTCAGTTAATTCGAAGTAATAATGTCGACGGGAAAGAAAAGAAGTGGCAAAGCCGAACCGACGGCTGAAGATCTATCCACGATCGAATTCGAGACTTCTGAAGACGTAAATGTCGTGCCAACTTTCGATCAAATGGCGCTAAGGTGAGTTGGAAAAAAAGTTTGCCAACTTATGAATATTCTGTTTGTTTGTAGAGAAGAGCTTCTGCGGGGAATTTATTCGTATGGTTTCGAGAAACCTTCGGCTATTCAACAGCGTGCTATCGTGCCTATTTTGAAAGGCCGTGATGTTATTGCTCAAGCTCAGTCTGGTAGGTTTTCCGCAACCGTTTTTTCTTGATCTTCTTGTTATAGGTACCGGTAAGACGGCAACCTTCTCTATTTCTGTCCTCCAGGCGTTGGACACTCAGGTCCGTGAGACACAAGCTCTCATTTTGTCACCAACAAGAGAATTGGCGACTCAAATTCAGAAGGTAATCTATCTCAATCATTTCCCTTTTAAAAAGATCCTCTAAGGTTGTTCTTGCGCTTGGCGATTACATGAATGTGCAGTGTCATGCCTGCATCGGAGGAACGAATCTAGGAGAGGACATCCGTAAACTGGACTATGGACAGCACGTGGTGAGAATTAATTGGTTCACTATGAAAACAAAACTAGAACCACCGTAGTTCAGAACTATCAAAGTTAGAACCTATTACCTTTAAATTTCAATGCTTAGTCTCGGATTCTATTTTGAAGTAAAAACGAAAAAAACATAAGCTCTGACCTTTCAATCATTTGAATCAATGCAATTTTTTTTTCCAGGTTTCTGGGACCCCAGGACGTGTGTTCGACATGATTCGCCGCAGAAATCTCCGAACACGTTCTATAAAAATGCTTGTTCTTGATGAAGCTGATGAAATGCTGAACAAGGGATTCAAAGAACAGTTGTACGACATCTACAGATATCTGCCGCCTGGTGCCCAGGTTTGGGAAAAATTTCACTAAATCTAATCACTAATTTCGAATACAGGTTGTTCTCCTATCGGCCACACTTCCTCATGAAATCCTGGAGATGACGAGCAAGTTCATGACAGATCCTATTCGTATTCTCGTAAAACGTGATGAGCTGACTTTGGAAGGAATTAAACAAGTGGGTTAAAAAATTTTTTTTCACGGGACTTTTCACTACGACAACTTTTCGAGGACTTCTAGAAAACGAATATTGTTTTATAAATGGGAAATTTAAAAAAATCATCTTTCAAAGACCTTTCAAAAAACAAGCTTTGAATGTTTTTTTATTACTGTGAGGCTGCGTGTGGAGAAACTTACTCGTAAAAAAAATTTCTTCTTGTTAAATACTTTTTTTAAATAATTGTCTTGTTTCCTAATTTTTTTCTTTCGTTTTTTTACAATGTTTTTCGTTGCAGTTCTTTGTCGCTGTGGATCGGGAAGAATGGAAGTTTGACACGCTCGTCGATCTCTATGACACGCTCACCATCACACAAGCAGTTCTTTTCTGCAATACTCGCAGAAAGGTTTGATATCAGATTTATTTCGTTTTTTCTCATCGGTTAAATATTTTCTTCGATTTCCGTCTTTTTTCTGACCTTTTGTAGTGCTCGAAAAAAATAATTTATATTTAATTAAGGAATTTTTTCAATTTTTTTGAATATTCATTTGAAACCAATTTGCTTGAAGGTTGATTGGCTCGCTGACAAACTCAAGGAAGCGAACTTCACAGTTTCTTCGATGCACGGAGACATGGAACAAAAGGAGCGTGACCAAATCATGAAAGATTTCCGCGCCGGTACCAGTCGCGTTCTCATTTCCACAGATGTGTGGGCTCGTGGTCTCGACGTCCCGCAAGTTTCCCTGGTTGGTTTCTTTATTTTTTCTGTGAACTCATTCTCAAACGACAGGTTATCAATTACGACCTTCCTAACAATCGTGAGCTCTACATCCATCGCATCGGTCGGTCTGGCCGTTATGGACGCAAGGTAATCCTTTCTCATTTATAGATTCTTTTTCTTCTTCTCATTGGCTGATGTTTCAGTCCATTTAACGTGCTGGCCATCAAAGTTTTCAGTTTTCTTACTTCTAGGTTCTTTTTTTTTCGTTAGGGACTTTTTCGCCGTCTTACAAAAAACCGAATGAAGTAAAAACAGCACTTTTCGGAGGTTGTCAATGTGCCGCCAGTTATTCTTAGTGCAAGTAGATTTATTGGGATTAAAATCTTAAAAAATGAGAATTATTTTACCTGAGTGATCGCCATTTTTTACTCCATAAATGGGAAGTGACTACTGTTTTTTTTTTCTGAGAGATTTTTCATGCCTCTCGGGAAATTATATCAAACATAAACTGCTGAGCCCGTAAATGATAAATTAATATGCAAAGGTCAAATTTTTTTACGATTTATGTAGAAATTCTATTATTTTCTCTTGTTTGACTCTAGTTACCATCGAAGGCAGGAAAGCTCATTTTCTTTAATATTTTTTTCGGGTTGAATGTTGTGTTTTTTTTAATGTAGCCTGTACGCTTAGAAAATTTGGACCGTTGCAAGTCAATTTAGTTCTTAAATGGAAACAATGCGTTGAAAAAATAAATTTACGTTAGCTCTCAATCCGACATTTTTTGGTCAAGTCCAATCTCTATGCTGTCGAGTAACGGCTAACTTATGTACAGTACCGTCGGTAAAGATACGAAAAAATGTAGCTCCGGTCACAACTTTCTTGTAAGGAATTCAATCTTTCAGAAACTTTCAGGAGTTGTGATGACTGTTATTTTTAACATTGAGGAATTTTTAGTTCACGGAAAAAAGCGCAGCTTTAGAAACGTTCAGAAAATTAAGTTCTTTCCAAGAAAGTTGTGATCAAATTCGTGTTTTTTCGTATCTTTTCTGGCAGTACTGTAGTTTGGAAATTTGATGGTCGCTACAATATAAATATATAAGAAAAATTTTTTTACAAAGACAAATATATACCGTGCAGTATCTCGTAATACTTTTTTTTTTGTTGAACTATACGAGATTTTTTCTTGTTAAGGGTGTCGCCGTTAACTTCGTGAAGCAAGATGATGTGCGCATTCTTCGAGATATCGAACAGTACTACTCAACTCAGATCGACGAAATGCCCATGAACATTGCTGATATGATCTGAATACGATCATTTTTCAAAACGAAGCCTGTTTTACCATCCTATAACTTATTTTCGTTGTTCAAAAATGTTGTTTCTGAATGTATCTCCTTTTTTTGTTATGTTAAGCTGTTTTCCTCATGTGTTCTCATTTTTTCACATAATCTGCTTCATCAATTGATAAATGTGAGCAGAAAAAAAAATAATTGAATCCGCTTTTACGATTTTTTTGAATAAATATTTGTTGTTTCAGATTTTTCTCACATTGTCATTTGATATTCATGTTAGAAGTATGGTAACTCTGAGATACTTGGAATACAAAATTTGAAAAGACGAAAAAAAAAATATGGGAAAAGGTGCTGTGATGCATGCTTCAACCACCTGTTGATATCATTCTACTCGTCGGAATTTTCAGTTTTACACGAAAGGTAAGATTCATTTTCAAAGATACCTGGTTACTTTTGAACAGCACTCGGGATGGGATCCTACGGACGCGAAAAAACGCAGTGCTGTGGTCGAAAATGGTGCGTCGGGGACCCTTGTGGGATCATTTGCGCCGGAATCACTTGGTCAGCTTTTTTCTTTCAGTTGTTCTCAAATATCAATTAATATAAACTCATTACTTCATATGATATAGTTTTTTCGAAAAAGAACCCTCAGCGCATAAGGCTCAAATCTGGTTCGGATTAAGCACTAGAGTTTGCAAAAAAAAAAAACCAATCTTCCAAAATTATTGATAGCTCAGTATTTATGGCCCATTCCGCGCCAGTTTTTTCTTTGCAGTTTTGTAAAATTCCGCGCGAGGCGGTCATGTTTTTAAAGAACATTAGAAAAAAGGCTACCCTAACAAATTTTTTTTGCAATTCTGCCTTTAATGGTCTTGAAGCGAAGTTGGTCAAAATTGATCAAATTTGGTATGAGGCTTTTTTGGCGGTAAGAAAAATGTGGAAAGCTGTCGCGGGATGGGCTATAAAATAATTAATTTTTTTGAAGTTTCTTTTTGACGAAAAAGTCGTTTTTTTAAAATGGTTTTTGGAAAGATCTCAATATTGACAAATTTTTACAAAAAAACCTTTCGATTGATCAAAATTCAAGCCAATGTCTTCATGACGACATTTTTGAAAGATCGAATTTAATATTAATAAAATCGAAATGTCGTTCAACTCCCACTTGTTGACTTTCCTTTTTGTGGAAATGCCAAATTTCCCTAATTTCTGTGAAATTTTGTGAATATATCGATCAATAGATTAGTCGAACCAAAGTTTTTGCCAACTCTATTGAGCACGACACCGGTAATATTTTTTCGCTTCGAGACCTTAAAGCGAGACCGCATCTGTCATGGCCCTTCAAACAACAGCTATCACCTTTCAAAATGCCAGATGGACTCTTGGAAACTTCAATTCACACCTCATGTGATAAGACAATCTAGATATTGAGACGTTTCAATCGGTAAACTTGTTTTTCTTTCTTGAAGCGATACCGCTTGCCAAAGAACCCAGAAAGCGAATTTGAACAGAGCTTTGAAAAGTAAAGAAAATGAACTCAGCTGTTCATTTTCCAGGCTCCTAATGCTCTATGGACAAGTTTGCGTGTTGCTGATTTTCGTCCACTCCTGGGAGGAATACACGTTGCACACTTCGATCAACTTCATCTTGTTCGAAACCTTCTTGTTCCTGGCCTTTGTGAGCCACGTGAAGGTTGGGAACTTGTGTGTGTAACTGTAGTAGAAGTCCTCTTTGAAGACGATGTTGACGGATCCTGGCGCCGTGCCAAAAGGCGACGCCACGGAGGAGTTGATCGAACGACTCCAGGCCGCCAACGGAAACGAGGTCAGAGGTTTTTGTTTGGGTATAGTTTTCTGAAATACACAATACTGACTAGTTCGGTCATTCACTGCTTTATTTCCATACTTGAGTATTTTGAAACAATTTTTCGATGGTATGAAATAAAAACCAACGAACTTTTGAACGGCGACTTTCCGGTTTTTTTCATATTGCTAAGGAGTTTTCCGACTTTTTGGTTCTCGATAACCTTTTTCATTTCTTTTGAAGAGAATATTAGAATAAAAATCTTGGATGAAATTCGCTCAACTGGAACTTTCCTCCCAATGAATGGTGCAACCAACGGCTCGACGAACCATACACGAAACTACTGAGAATACATTTTCTTCGAATTCATGCTATCCTCATTTATTCAGGTGATCTACAAATGCCAAAAATGCTGCAGCATCAAACCGGAAAGAGCACATCATTGTTCTGTGTGTGAAAGGTTGTTTTTTTTTTTTTTCTTCTGAGATTTTTTTGATGAAAACCTCCTTTACCTCACTGTGTGGCTTTCTGAGAGCATTTATCTCTGTATAATTGAAGTTTTTCGTGCTGAACCCATTAATCAGACGAAACTCAAGAATTAATTTAAAAAGAAAATAATTTTTAAAAAAATGAAATGATTGATTTTTTTTTTCTCAAATAGCTCTCTTGAGAGAAGACACCGAATGGTTTTTTGGACCAGAAAACAAACTGTGAAACGTAATGAAATGTTATATGGACGCAATTCCTCTAGTTTTTTTCATTTTTCAATTTTGAAACAGGTGCATCCGGAGGATGGATCATCATTGTCCGTGGGTCAACAACTGCGTCGGAGAGGCGAATCAGAAGTTTTTCGTTCTGTTCACGGTATAAATAGTTCCAGTTTATTTCCTCATTACTGAAACTACACTAATTTCACTTCTAGTTTGGGTAAAGTCGGAATGGTGGATAATGGCCACTTAAAAGGAGAGGCTCAAAAAAAGGCCGCTGAATGGCAGAAAAAAGAGCCCATTTATCGAGCCTTTCATTTTTTCAAAAATTTCAAAGGCTCAATAAGTGGTCGAAAAAGGGAGGGGTAGCAAAAATGATGTATAACAGCCGATAAAATGGCGCAAAAAGGCAGAAAAAAAGGAAAATTTCTATGGAGCCTTTTCCATCCTTTCCGACTTTACCTCTGAAAAAAGTTTCAGTTCAATGTTTTCCATGAAAGATTGTTCTTTGATTCCAGGACCTCTTTCTGAGTGAAAGAGCAACTTTTTATGAACGACAAATCTGAAATTCTGAGCGATTTCGGAAGAAGAACTTTTCTTGTTGTAGATGTACATCGCGTTGGTTTCGCTGCACGCCCTTTACTGGGGCATCTGGCAGTTTGTCCTGTGCGTTGGGGTTGAATGGCAAGGCTGCAGCGCTCTTGGCCCTCCAGGGACCACTCTCATGCTCGTAGGCTTCATATTTTTTAAGGCACTCTGACTGTTTTCCAGATTTTCTTGTTGTTCGAAGCCATTCTGTTCGCTATTTTCACATCGGTCATGTTCGGAACTCAAATATCGTCTATTTGCAGCGATGAAACAACTATCGAAGCGTATAAGAGGTTTTTTATTGGCTTTTTTGGAGTACGCTTTTCAAAAATAAAGTGACAATATAAAATTTCAGTTTCGCGTAGTCGAATTCGTAGAAATTCTTCATCTCTCTTTTTGAGTTTAATGACAAAAATTGAACCTCAAATAAAAAAATGGAGCGCTTGAAACCGAAAAATTTTTTTGTTCAGTTTCGCAAAAAAACGGCGTCAATTCTTAGTTATTTTGAAAAAGTTTCCATATTTATTAGTTCTAGCAAAACTAAATAGAAATCGCTGGATCAGAAAAAAAAACCTTACGATTATTTTTCCTATGCTTGTCTTGTTAATTCACACTATTCACCACTCGAAAAACTGGGAATGATATGTTTGAGTCTCTTCTTTGCGCACACTGATTCGCTTAGCGGATAAGGTTCCTGTTTAACATTGTTTCAATATCCTGATATGGAGCGCCAAAAGGGCGTCACACCTCTTTCTCTGACCTACACTATTTCGTCTTTATCTAGCTGCGAGAAAACGACGAAATAGTGCATTTCAGAGAAAATGTCAGAGCACTTTAGAAAAAGTGGGACAACTGGAAAAAGGGGCTATGTTTGAAAACTTTGCTCTGGCTTCAATTTATCTTTCCGTCTCTCAAATAAACTTATAATTTTGTTATCTAGATGCTATCGTTTTTTTTCCTCAGAGAATTTCTATAACTGATCCGCGGCTAGCTTGGGACGCAAAAAGGCTTGGCCTGTCTGCTTTCTCCACTAACCCGGCACTGTTTTCTCATCGTGTCAAGACCCTTTTTCTGATGCCTCAAGTCAACCGTGAATCAGTTATAATCGAGAAGACTCACAAGGTTTCATTATGGTAACTGTAAAATCACTATTTGTAGAGGAGGCGACGAAAGAGTTCGCAACAACTCCTGGAAGAACATGCAGATGGTTTTTGGCGGGCCGTTCAGTTTACGCTGGCTCAACCCGCTGGCCGACCCCTACTTCTTGAGACCTTCCTTCGAATATTCTGTTTGATCTGCTTCAAATAGCATCTTTTTTGTCTTTCTAGTCTTGTGGACGATTCTCTTGTGATTTCTCGTGTCTGTATGATTTTCTTGCTTCGAACCTTCTTTTTTTGCAACAGTTCTATTTTACATTTCAATTCATATTTATAGTTTAGCGAAGCTTTTTTCCGAAGAAAAATCCAAAACAGAGTGTTATTTTTTTTCAAATTGAAATCACGGGTGGGTTTCCTTTCTCATTGGAAATTTTTGACCTAACCAGAATCACTACGTCAGTAAGTAATTTCCTCTTGCTCATCATTCAATCCTTATAAATATCTGTAATAAAGTTTATGTCCTTTTTTTAAAACTTGAAATCGCTTTAAAAGAAGTTTTATCGATTGAAATATTTGAAAAAGTCTTGGCCCAAAGCTAAGAGAAACTTTTGAAGGATGGCGATTCGGTTGTTTTTGCCAAAAGGGACAACTAAAGGGCCTGCGTTCCTCGATAAGATTTTGCGATTGAGAAAGACGCTCTATCCACTCCTCATAATGGCGTCTCTTTACTACGCAAAAATAGTTCTGTCTCCTGAGAACATGGAATTGACCAGGTGTTTCTAAAATACCCTTTGAAATGAAAATAACTATTTTTTCAATGATTGAAAATTTCTCCTGTTGTTTTCCGATCTCAATGTCTTGATAGAAAAAACCTGGATCACAAGGGTGGTCATTTTTTGCGGTAGAAAATTTTCTGAAAATTTGTCACGATATCCCTTCAAGTACCAAATCAGGGTCTTGAAGTTCTCAATCTGCACAACTTACTATTTCAAGAAATAAACCCCGAAAATGACCTTTTTGAAGGTTTTCTTTGGCTCTGGGCACTCAATTCTCAAAAACTATGAATTTGTACAGTTTGAGGCTTTTGAAATCCTTTTTTGGTGCTCGAAGGAGTGTTCTGACAGATTTTCAGGGAAATCCCAACCGCAAAGAAAAGTGACTTCCCTTGTCAGCGGCTAACGGCTTCGAAGCAGTTATAATGAAGGTATATTCGACAGTAACTTCTACCGCATTGCTTTGAGCCTTTCTGTATACAATTTCCAGGAGATTTACAACTAGGGAAAATGAAGTTTGATAACTTAGTATGAATGTAAGAAGTTGGGTTTGTAGAGTGAGTGAACATGCCTTGATGCCTGGACTGGTGACGTCACGGTTCGATCGACCGGGTCTGACGATGCAACTGGCGAACGACTTGAAGAAACTCAACGGGTTAGTCGGAGGTTTGAGTGAGAATGGCTCTTCTCAGAAGCAAGACGCAACAGAAATTCGTCTGCGACTTCTTTCGAGAGCTGGGAGTGAACTGTCACGAACAGAAATGGTCGGTGGATCTGCCTTCTGAGGTTGGCCCCGCTTCCAGACAGAACATTTCCGGTCTCCAGAAGCTCGAGGGCCGCAACGCGTACGCCTGGGTACGTGCTCCGCGAGCGACCGGCGTCGAGGCGATGCTCGTCGCCGTGCGCCTCGGCTCTTCCGACTCTCGCATCGCCGCTCTCTCCCACGTCCTCTCTTTCGCTTCCTATGCAAACGGTCAGTTCGCCTAAACGTCTTTTTTTAACGGTTTAACGGCCGATAGTTCGATTTTTCAAAACATGGAATCGCACATTTTTTCTGTTTCATGGCCATGAACACGTTTCAGAGCAAGTTTATTGGGCACGAGACATAGTTTTTGTGTTTGTCGACGGCGCATCCAAGATGGAGGCGATCGTCGGTTTCGACGCTTTTCTCTCTTCCTACCATCTCGTGAAGAACCCGGCCGTCGCTGCGGATCCCCTACACGAAGACGGCGGATTCCTAATCGCGGCCACCGTCTACGAGGTTTTTCTCTTCTCAACGAATCCACTCAAAATCGAACCTTTGTACAGATGGCTCCTAAACAGAAAGACGCGAAAAAATGTGTGGTTAGTTTTTTTTTCTTTTTACATTCACTGGGAAATTAGTTTATTGGAATCGAACTGGCAACTTTCACTAATTCCGATTAGTTCCTAATTTCAAGTGAGATGGATTTTCGATGAGATCTTAACTGACCAAAAAACGCCTTTTTTGACAAAATAGGCTCTTTTATCAAAATTTTAGCAGGTTCAACAGGAAACATTGTGAATTGCTGAGTTAACTTTTTAAATATATTTTCTAAATGAAAAAGATCAGAGCAAACGGAAAAACTATCAGAAACCGAATACAGCCTGCTCAAAAATCAGAGTAGTGCGTGGGCCAGGGGTGATGTCAGAAGCGGCCCACAATCAGTCGCAATCACAAATTTTTTCTATCTCATTGCAAAATTTGCATAAGTTTTCTAAATACCACATTTTCAATCATTCACTCCCCGATTTACACATTCTGTGAAAATGTCGCGACAAAAAAGTTCGAAAAGTAGCAAAATTTCGACCGCGTTGCAACATTATGGCCAGCCCTTCGAAAATACTTCCTAAATTTTTGAAAATTCAGAATTTCGCATCAGTTGAAACAAAACTGAAAACTGTAATTTACCTCGAGATTTTCACAAAGTTTCTTCATGCGTTGTTAAACACCCAGGAAAAATTGCGACACCTGAAACTTTTTTTTCTTTTTTTTTTAAATCAAACCTCATCCCTACGACTCCTCGTTATCACAAATTTTTGAAGTTGTCCGCCAAGTTGAATGGAATCAACGGACAGCAGCCGAACTTGGATCTTTTCAACTCCGCTGTCCGTATCATGAATCGCGAACACCATTCATGCGACATGCAGATCTATGGGATATCCTCAAACGTTGGTGTTTTTCTTTGTTGCAGGAAGGTCACTTTGCGGTTTGGATTTTTCTACAAATTTGCTCAAACACTCTCTGGAGGTCTATATTAGGACCCCCCTCTCATAGTCTTTTTCTACGCAAATTTCTAGTTTTTGGGTTATGACTTTTTCAAGTTCGTTTTAAGGTTGGCTTTTCGTACTTCAAAATTAATTAACTTAAAAACTAGAAACTGCCGCGAGTTGCAACTTTGATAAATCTTCTTATAAACTTTCAGAGATTCTTTGAGCAGATTCGTAGAGAACTCCAAGTCGCAAAATAAAATTACCACCTTGTCCGAACTAATTCTGTTCTAAACGCGAGGTTTAAAGATTAATGTCTCGAAAACTAGAACTAGAAGTAGCGACTATGAGGGATCTTCATTTAGATATTCAGAGACTTTTTGAGCGAATTTGTAGAAAAATAAAAAGATGACTTGCCATGTGAAAGGCAACTTTTAAGAGAGGTTTACGGGAATCATCGCGATGGCTCCTTCCGATCCGCGCCCTCTACACGCAAGCTTTCGTCTCGGATGAAGGACTCCACAGCGTCATGGGCAAGTACGGACTCCAGGTGACTCATTGTCGTCACAACTAGGAGAATGATCACTTTTTGCTTTTTCTAAAGTTTCCTTGTTATTTCACAGCCGTATCCTCAAATCGTTTTGCATCGAAGATCTGATTAATTTGAGAAGAATGGCAGGAGAATCGTCTGATTTTTGCCGAGTAGTGTATTTTAGATTTTTCGAGCTAAGAAGGGTGATAATATACTACGGCGGCCGGTGGCCGGTCAATATTGCGTCAGTTTCGGAGCCAGGAAATTTTTTTAATTTTCGTTCTTTTTTGCAATTTGTTAAGGACCTATTTCTCGAGGTTACAAGGTAAGTTACGTCACAAAAAGTACACAAGATTTCATTTTATTATTGAAAACCCTATTCAAAATACCGTAATACGACCGGCCACCTTAAACAGGAGAGCTCTCCGTTTTTTTTTTCTATTTGCTCATTTTTTCTCCACAGAATTTTCATGCAGTCGAGATTTTCAATTTTCTGGGTTAAATTTTGAAACTATTTCTTTCCTTTCTTTTTTCATTTTCAGATCATCTCACATTGAAATGACGATGATCCTGAGTCAGGAACGAATTTTAGGGCCTGACAATCGGCTTGGCACACTCGTTCAACCCGACACAGGCGGCGCAGTTCATGGAAGCGATGGCTCGGACTCTGAACAACGCCCTTGAAAGGCTCCACCAGAGCTATTTCATGTGGGTTCTTCCAAGTCGTCACCTTATTTTTTATTCTACCTGTTCAGGTACATTCTGGGTGATGACTCTCATTTTTCTTCAATCGGATTTTATATTCCCATAATAATACTTTTGATTGTTCCTCTACTTATCAAGGTTTGTTTCTCGGAAAAAGTCGACACAATGTTTTACTTCGAAATGATTCATCAAAAAGTTTAGCATGATGGTTTCTATACTGAGTTATGTTATAAAAAAGTGCTACGACAAACGCGAGTTTTCCTTGTGAAGAGTACTGTATGTGGAAGTCCGCGTGCACTTTGCGTGTGTGCACATTGCGCGTTTTCCATTTCCGCGTTTTTTTTCCAGTTTTGGGCTAAGTTGTATGGAAATCACGGCGTTTTTGTTAGTGGAAGAAAATGCAAATCCAAAAATGAATGGGGCGTGGCCAAAACCTCCACCTTTCCCAAGTGACGTCATGGGAAAACGCGTAAACAGCAGGAAATATTAAAGGCGCATCAATGGGTCCTGAGACGAATCTATTTCTGCTTTTAAAAAAACGCGATTTTTATGTTTCATTTTTTTTTAAACCCCGTTTTGAAAGTAATTCCGCGAAATTCAAAATAGCCACCAGAGAGTGGAAAATATAACTGAAATTCAGAAATTCTTATATGATTTCGAATTTCTTGACAATTATCTTTACGTGACATGTGCGAGAGCGCCGCGGTGCATGCACACGACACACTACACTTTACGGAAAAAATATGGGCGGGCGTCCCCTAAAAAACGCCGTGAAACGAATTAAGACTTAAAGAAACGGTTGGACTCCAAATATTTATTTTGGCTAATTATAAAAAAAATTAAAGGTTTGAAAACAATTAGGGAAAAAACGCGGAGTGCACCCGCCAAATGCGGACTTCCACATACAGTAATCTTCGCGGAAGGAAAACTCGCTTTCATCCTAGCACCTATATAAGGTATTCTGAGAGAAAAGCAACTCGATAATTCATGATGATAGATCACTTATTTATTAGGCCTACTACGAGTGGACGGAGATGGGAGGCTTCGAGCTGCCTCCACATGTTCCGGTTGCCCACGTGTTCGGAGCCGCTCTGTTCCTTTGGTCCAGGTGGTGCCTCGAAAACTTCAAAAGCCGTGCTGCACTCGCTTCCATCCCGAACTTCCCTTATTTCGACTTCGTGGATGCGAGCCGTCGCACTGAGAACGTCATCTTCGAATTCGACATGTCTCTCGTCATTACTCTCGTCTTTATCGTTCCTTGGGGAACTTTCATGAGGTATTTTTAAAAACGTTTCCTAGTCAGCAAAAATAAAGGTACCTGGTGAACTGAAGTTATGATCCGTTAAAAATTTTCATTCTTCACAGACGGATGGGAAAAGTTTCGTCGGACGGCGCGGCTTCCTTGCGAATGTTCATCGTCCTGGAAGCGGCCCTTGTCCTCGGCGCCTTGTCCCTTCTCAACTTCGGACTTGCCTTCAGTGTTGCCGTTCTAGCCGTCCCCACATTTCTCCTTGCCACCAAACGATCTACGCAAAGGTTTTTCTACTTTTAAAGCGTGTATGGCATGTGAACTCAAGTTCTGAAAACTTGGTGCGTGGACTTCCTCTGGTGTTGTGTCATCCGCTGTTTCTGGCGTCAGTCTTTCTCTCAGTCGTCCGGCCTCTCTTCTACAAGAATACCAAGCCCTTCGACGTAGATACAGTGAGTGAACGTAAGACTGTGAAGAAAAAAACGTCTCCCAGATTCCGGAGTTGACGTCGCAGATGCTCCGCGAGCACGTTTTGCTGGGCTCTCATGGTTTTGCGCTCTTTGCGCTGTTCGCCGTTCCTCTTTCCAACCTATGCTTCACTGTCGCCACCATCAACTGCAGTGGACTCGTCAAGGCTGACAGGTTTTCCTCTGCTTCTGCACAGATTATTGGAAAATTTTTATGACGAAATTCCTGAGATCCATTTATCAACTTGAATAGAAAAAAACAGTGTCGGATGGAAAAATTGAAATATCTTTACAGAAAGTTGAGCGAGGAAGAAATGGAGTCAAAAAACGTGGTTGCTAAAACGACTGAATGATTTTACAGTCTCTTCCTCTTCATTATTGTAGTATTTGTCTTCTTGAAATTTCATCAAATGTGATTCAATCATTAATCTCATATTATTTACTGGTGTGATGTAAATTCGCGTTTCATTCTGAATTTTTCGGTGTTTTTGAGTCGAGCGGAATCATGTCCAATGTTTTAAGCTTCCTGTGATCATTTTTCCTTCTTTCTGTGTTTTAATAAAACGAAACTCGGGTTAAGTTGATCGATATGGCAAAAAATTCCAACAGTTTTATCAATTTTATCGAAGAAATTTTGGAAGATCTTTGAAAGGTCATTTTAACTGTAGAGATCTTGAAGACAAGTTGTAGATTTTTTTTTTCTCTCAGTAAAGATGTTGCCATTTTCTTGCTTCTATGACCTCGTAGATGAAGGAAAAGAAACACAAACTGTTTCAAATCGTATACATTCTTTCTTCTCCTTCAAACGTCTTTTTACCGATTGAGCTGGGTCGGCGCTCCAAGGCGGTGAATCATCAAGGATCATCGTGATATCATTGAGTATCAGAGGCTCTAGTTGTATATCCGTTCTTGTATGTGACGACTGAGAATCATGAAGCCGAGGTTTCTCGCGACTAAAATTCCTTAAATCCCTTGGTTCGGTCGCGGCTGAGATCGATATTGTGCCCCTTTGAACCGTAGACGGTAGGTCTAAAGCGCGTCGAATACAGCAACGCGAATCGGACGTGTCAGGGCGCATTTAGGCGCACAGGGCGCATATTTTGACCCCTCTAGTAGCGTCAGCACTCTTAAGTGATCCCTAGAAATGCTCAAAAACGTCCGGTTTTCGGTACCAATGTCCGAGCAATTATACATTGACGATTTTCTAGAGCCCAAAAAGATTGGAACTGCGTTGGCGGTGTCGGGACGCGAGATTTCGAAAGATTTCTCGGTAGGATGAATTCTTTCCGAGTGAATATTTATAAATGATTTTCACTACAAGCCCGAATCATGTAGATGACGCGAGGTTCACATGCCAATTTGCGATGCTTCGCTCTTTGGAAATGGCGAAACCGCCGAATTGGCTTTCGAACCTTCGTCCTAATGCATCGGGGGCGGCCGTTTCTCTACGATTACACGTTTCGATGGGCTCTTTTATACTTTTTCAAAAGAACGGTCTGCGATTCAAGTTTTTACATAGCTTTTTTTCTTATCCAGAAAAAAATAAAAAAATTTTTTTAGAAGGAGTTAAACTCCAGCCGTAGTTTTGAGCATGCCAAGCTTTGAAGAAAATCGTTGAATAAATCGGTCTTTGAAATTTTTTTGAGAAATTTATCAAGATATAAATCAGATTTTTTTCTCCTTATTGTGCAGTTGAAAGACTTATGCAATGAATACGTATATTGAAATCTTTTTTTCTCATTTTTTAAAATTTTTTTCTCTCACTCGCTGTTCACCCTCCATATGGTTTTTTTTTTGAGAACTACCTCGAGAAAAAAATCGAAGGCGTATAGTGGATTGAGGGTTTTCTTCTCGCGAAAAATTGGCTAGGATCATCCGCGTGAGAAAAATCCATGATACGAAAATCGAAATATTAGCAGCGGGGATGGTCATTTGTGGATCGGGTGACCGACTACGGATATTTAACTTCTAAGATTCGAGGAAATTTAATACTCAAATTTTTGTTCTTATTTGTGGGCGGCGTCTCTACAAAACCACATATTTAAATGTTGATACTGGACCGACTTGCGATTTTTGCAAATCTTCTGTAGTGTCCAAATTTTAACGTTCTACCTCAAAATAAACGTCTGCCACCTGCTTCTTCCTAATTTCAGGTAAAAATGGCTTCCTGCATGGTCAGAAAGGGCCTTCTACTGTTAACCATCGCTTTTCTTTGCTTCTGTCTCACCCTCGCCAGTCAGGTCCGCTCGGTAAGTCTCCACTTGTTGAAACATTTCACCCTTTTAGTTCGGTTCAGTTCGGTTTATGTTCCTCTTGGCAGAAGCTTCAAAGGAAAATGTTTCTGATCAAAAATTTGACTTTCTCATAAGCTCGGAACGCTAGACAAAGACAGTTAAATGTACCACAGTCAATGAGAATTTTTAATTAATTTTTTACCGTCCTTGTGGTACTTGTTTTACTTATTTGAGTTTAATTTTCAACCAATTGCGATGACTTAAAAAATCTCCGAAGGAAGGTGCATTTTTTTTTCACAAACTCTGTTCCCTCAATCACACTTTGTTCAAAGAAAGCTAACTTTCCAATTTCTTTATAAATTTTTTTCAAACTTCGGTTTTTCTTGTTAAAGTAAAAAAATTCAAGGAAACAAAATGAAAATCTTGCCGAAAAAGAAAAACTCAAATGATCAAATAATAAAAATTCCTTCAAAAAAATAGGCTTCCCCTTGAAAACTCGAGTTCTATTGAAGGAAAATAGATGTGCCTGAGATGTTAGGAGATGATGAGTTCAGGAAATTCGAGAGAAGGAAGATGGCAGCGACCCCATAACCGATTTTTATAAATGGAGCGGTCGAAGAGCAAAGGTTTACCTAAAATCGGAACGAAAAAAATCTGTCGTCAAATATAAACTTATAGTGATTTTTTTATTTCAAAAAGAAAAAAAGTGATTTTTCGTCGAATTTTTCTACCTAGAATCCAAACTGTAAGAAGCGGTTTGTCAGCATTAACCGACTTCGAACATAGACAAAGCCGGAAAGGAGAAAAGAGGTTCCATATTAATATTCCGGTGAGAATAGCTCTTTTTTGCTGCCTTTTTGCACCGTTTCTTCGGCTCTTTTGAACCATTTTTGTTGCCTCTCCCTTTTTCCACCATTTCATGAGCCTTTAAAGACTTTAAATTAAATTTTAGAAAAAATGGGAGGCTCGAAAAAAGGCTTTCTTTTTGCTGCCTTTTTGAGCCTCTCCAATTAGCAGCCATCATCCACCATCCTGACTTCATCCGAGAAAAAAACCCCACTGAGCTATTTTTGCGCAAAATGACAAATTTTGCAGGTCTAAACGAGCCCTGGACATTCTTAAACGGAGAGTAGAAATAATCGAACGCAACCGTTGCTTCTTCAATCCCATCACGTGCTACTGAACCGACAGCCCAGAAAAATGGTGTAAATATGTCTTGAGCTCCTCTTTTTTCACTTACTCCTTTTCAATGCCAGCCCACTATTGAAGATCTCATATTTGACGATAAAAGTTTATATGTTTGTAAATGGCACCCGACCTTCACATTGGGGAGAGCCGTCATTCTGTCTGTTCTCAGCGTGGATGTAGACAAGGAACGGAAGACCGAAACATTGAAGAGGTTTACCATTCCTCTAACTAAGGAGCGTTTTTCACCTCCTGTCAAAAAGCCGCCTGGCGTATGTAACGCTTCACCTTTGCCAATCTACCAATCTCGCCTTACAAGTCGGGAAAGATTTAATAAAACCTAGGGGAGAAAATCTCGTAGACATTTATCGTCTAGAGCAGGGATGTGTGATCAACGTTGTAGGACTTTTTATTGATCTCGACGCATCGTTTTGAGAACAATTGCTTAACGGGTGAGTCCAAAATAATTTTTAAGAAACATTTTTCAGGAAAGGAAATCGAAAATTTGATGAGATCGGCAACCGATGTGGTTTCTACTCATCGATTATAGCGGGTTTTCGTTCTGAAAAAAATTTTTTCAAACGAACTAAGACTCGAAAAAAACCGTTCCGACGGGAAGGAACACAGATTCTATTTCTTCGTCCTCACTCTCCGACTCGAGACTGAAGGATTCTGTGTTCCCTTCAAATTTCGGATGAACTGGACTCTAGACAGTCGAAAACCTTTACTGTGAAGCTTTATTGCCCTGTAAATCACAAAACCTCCACCAAGAGACAGAATTTGGGCCGCTATAACGCCGCACAAGAAGTAGAAAACGTAGTGTGGGAGGTTCTTCGTTGATTTTATTCCAAAATTTTTTTTAATTAGGAAATCGAATTATGAAAATATTCCAATTATAAAACAAACCTAATTTCGGCCAAGTTCTCGTTGACAGTTTTCCATGGAATTTCTACAATTTTTCGTTTTCTCTTCAAAAATCAAAGAAAAAAATAACAAGAAAAACCCCCAGCCAAATATTTCTAATCTTTTCCTAAAAACTTTCACCATTTTCCAAAAAACGCGCAGGTCAATTTTCGAGGGATATTTTCAAGTTCTAGGGACCAAAAGAAGGTAATTATTTCTGTCAGGATACCAAGAGTACTTTGCGGGAAAAAGTCGAAAAAAATTGAGAAAACTTTCATAGATTTCGAAATCAAAAAAAAAAATAAAGAGTCTGCTAACTAGGGAACGTTTTTATCTCATAGATTTTGTTTCCTTGTTATGGAGCTTCAAAGTCCGCAAAATACGCAAATTAGGCCAAAAAAGCGCTATTTCGGGCTTTTGTAGCTCCATATCTCGAAAACGAGATCTATTGCGAGAAATTTTCTTTCTGTTCTGGAATCAGGGGGTCCTAAAGTACACTTCAGCAAAGTTTCAGCAAAAGTTCAACCGGGGGGTAAAAAACGTTCCCTGGTAAGGTTTTCATAAAGTTAATTCGGTCGGACTTGAAGCGCCTGGGAGGCAAGTATAATAGGGACTAAGGAAAACTCGAAAACCGATACCATTTTTGCAGCAGACTTGCTTGTAGTGAACCAATGTTGGGAAGCTACCAGACGGACACATTTCTTGTGGAGTGAACTCCAAAAGAGAAGAGTTTGAGTCCTTGAGGACTCCATGTTTGCAGGGCGACTGTGTTTCTGGGAGAATTAATTCTGTCAGGATACCAAAAATCGCATGAAAAACCTCTTATCGCGACCAACGTGGAAAATGAACTTATATATACTGCTAACGCTAAGAAGCATGCAGCAAAGGCCATGAGTCTTTTTGAAATGATTTATTCGGATTATATCGACTTCAAAGACTAATTTTTACGTGTCAAAAACAGAAAAAGTTGAATCTTTATAAAGATCCTTATCTTTCGTCCACGAAGCTCTCATAGAGAAATGAAAATTATTTACAAATATTAATTCAAGTTTCTTTTTTGATGATTCGTTTTATCCCATATTTCCTTGAATTCGCCAATCGAAAGCTGAATCTTTTAAATAAGAATTCATTTTACGAGAAAAAAAACCTTGTAAAAACTGAGAACATCGTGAAGCCGCTCCTTTTTTTTCGTCAGGTACTCTTTCTGATAAAAATTAGATAAAAACAGGCTTTGTATTTGGACATACCTTTTGAATCAAATTTTGATAATCCTTAATTTCATCATCCGAAACTGAAATATGTAAATTAATAAGACAGACTCACATATCGCCTACAAAAAGTTGAAAAAATTCTGATAACAAGAATCACACACCCTTGAGCTTTTTGAATCGTATTCTCGTGATCCTTCAGACAACTTAGCGTGTTTTCACAAGCTTGTTCAGCCGCCAGAGTAGTTGCCGCTTGCTTAGCAACGGATCCTACTGAACGAAAAAAAATTTGGCTTATAAAAAAATTTAAAAAAATATTAAAATAATTAAAATACTAGGTTCCTCGTTTTCTGTGAAAAATTTAATTTAATCAAACCGAGATTAGTGATGACGTCGCCGTGAGTTGAAAAAAATCCATCAATGTCGCGATACGCCAGCAATGAATAAACTTTAGAAGTTGCTTCCAAAGTTGTTTTTATTTTCTCATTCAGCTCTTCATGGGTTTCCTCCATTTAAATTCTTCTTGAGAATGTACTGCAAAATGGTTTTGAATCAAAAAAGGGGTTTTTGCGAAGGAGAAGTAGGAAAAGATGCTAAGTAAATGTGGCAAATAATGTTCTTAGACATCGTGAAAAACGAAAACCGTACTTTTTTCTTTAAGTTACCACTAAAGAGAAAAATTTATTTTTCAAACTAGAAATAAAAAGTTTTTTTGGGAGAAAAAAACCTTGCCGTAAGAAAAAAACGAATCAACCAATTACACATAATTGCACGCTTTTTAATATTAAGGATTTCATATAGATTAATTTTTGAGGATTGAATAAAAAAATAATATATATTAACGAAATTTAAAACACGCGGGTTTTTTTCTGAGAGGCGCGCACGAAACGCCATGGCTCCGCCCAGATGACCATGCCGCATGGAGTAGTTTTAATTTTTTTAACTTTATTATTATTATTATTTATTAATTATTTGCTCGAGTATTATTCCTTCTGAAAAAAGTTATTAGCGTTTGAAAGAAACTGCGCGGAATTATACATGGTTTATCATTGCAAGCTGTTACGATGTTCATTTACCGTTTTAATTTCAAGATTTTGTGCAAATCTCGTTCATAAAACGAGTATGCGCTGTTTTTTCATAAAAACGAAATTTAGTCTGAAATCTATGTGATTTTTGACATGTTTTCGTGCCGAATCTTTGTATTTTTTTTTTGTACTTTCAGGTATGGAAACCGGGGCGAAGTTCAAGCAGGAGATGCCTCCTCCTGGAGGTTACCGCCAATTTAATTTCCACAGGACTTTTCCAAAAATTGTTTGGAGACGTATGTTTTAACTCCTTTGCTTTTTTTTTAAACTTCTCACAATACGTGAATTTCATTTTTTTTTCCAGCGGGAGTTGTTGTGGCCACAATCTTCGGAGCTTCTGCTTATGGTGCGTATGCCGCAATTCAAGAAAAGAAGAGAGCAGTGTTTGGGAGACAATTCTAAAAAAAAAAATCTTCTTTTCATTTTAGGACTGAGAAGTTTGAAGACGTCGATATCAATACGGCTCTTGAACCTTTCTTGAAAGCAGAACGAGACCGCTAGTCAGTTGTTTCAAACTCTTTTCTCTGTAACATGATCAGTTCCAGTTGGTTAAAACTGATCGCCAAAAATCGAGACTTGGAGGAAGAGGTGATGAAAGACGTTCCCGGCTGGAAGACCGGTATCGTTTTTTTTTTTTCAAAAATTTCAAGATCGAAGTTTTCATTTCAGGTACGTGGTATGGGGAACCTGTCTATTTCACACTAGGAGATAAATGGTGGGATCCGGCTACACGAGAGGTTCGTATATAATTTTTTTTTAAATTCAAAGTACATACGGGTCGAAAATCCACGAAATAACGGCGAAATATGATATCAGTAAGCTAGTCTTATTTATGTGGATGCGATTGGCATAAAAATGGAATGTTGACCGCTCTCACACCGTTTAACATTTTTTTTTAAAATTTTTAGTTCAATTCGAAGATTGTCAAGGTAATGGCGCGTTCAAAGCTACGTTGAGAAATTTGAAGAAATTTGGCGAATGCGATTAAGGAAGTCACTTAAGAACACTTAACAGCTTCTGATAGAACCCTTGAAATCTTCTAATCAATTCGAATGTTCTCATCAATTTTGAAGTTAACATGCGAAGTATTGACGGGGATTTGAAAAGGAGATTCAATGCGCTCACAAAATCTGCTTTGCATCTATTTGAAGCCTGGAAAACCAAGATATTTTACTAATAATGAATAAATGACCCTCGAAAAGGAAATTAAGGTAAAAAAAGATCTTTACGAAGTAAATTCTCTGACAAGGGAAGTTTTTCTAGCCCTTCGGTTTGATAGAACTTGACGGAAGTATACTTCAGAAATTCCTGATTCGAGGGAAAAAAGGCTCTAGTTTCCAAGTTTGATAACGTTTCTAAGTCAGCAAAATGCACAATGAATAAGGAAAAACGTTTTTTTTTAATTGGAGCGTTATAACTACAGAAAAAGATCTATTGCAATATTATTCATCGTGAACACTTTATTTCTACAATGCTAAAATTTTTAAAAAATCGTAAATATTATTTTCTATGCATTTAATAGAAGCTAAATGTTGGGATAAATTCCTAACTTTGTTTAGAAAAAATATTGACGGCGCTATTCTTTGAAATGAACCCAGGAAATATGGAGAAAGCGTTTTTATCTTTTATTTAAAAGAATACCAAGTAGAGGTTTTCAGGTGTTCGCCCACTCATATCAGTTCAACGAAAATCGCGATCTGCTCTGGAGGCAGCACTCTGAATACGCCGGGCCGAAGTTCTACGACAACTGGTTTCCAAAATCGATTTCCAAGTACTTCTGGTAGAAATCATATTGTTCTTTACGTGTGCTCTTCTCTCTGCGACATTTTTCGACCCGCGATGATATTTCAATCAAATTTTTCATAGAGTTTCTTCACTTTATTTTTATAGGCGTCATAGAAGTTTAGAAAATAAGTTTCTCTTCTTTTCAAATTTTTATTGGAGAAAATAAAAGTTTGCAAAACTGTACTGAAATATGTAGAAGGGTTTTTTTCTCTGGAAAAAGTCACGCGGAGCTTTGATTTTCTTCTTGAGTGTTGGGACGGTCTCGCATTTGAATAGAGTAACCTCCTTCGGAATTGGGTTTCAGTTCGAAACTGTCGGTGGACAAGCCGAAAGGCTTCAAGCAGAAATCACCTAAATTGTTTTGAATACATTAACGAAAATTTAAGATCAAAACGAATAAATTCTCCATGAAACAGCATAATGAACTCTTTTAGATTTTTTAAAAAAAATTTTTGAAGCAGGTCACGTGCATGAATCAACGTATCGTATATTTAATGGCGTTAACGAGTTTAAAGTGAAAAACTTGAGTTTTTTTTTCTCGGATATTCGAATATTGTAGGCTGTAATGTTGACAAAAATCAATCACTTATTGAAAACTCGTTAAAGCCTTAGAATTTACGCTACGTGAATTTCCATGCACACGACTTTTGATTATTGCCGAAATGCCAAAAAACTCGTACCTAATCCTTTCAGCTTCTGTAGAACATCCGTTTTGAGCTCCTCGTTCCTTTGGTCTATTTTTTTCCTCACGTTGTCAATTTTCTGTCGTATATATGTACGATTGGGATATAACGTCTAAAAAAAAATCAGTTTGAAGCCGAATTTCAGGTTCTCTTGTACCAAAATCTGTTCGTAGTCTTCAATCGAAGACTCGTACTTTTCAGACAAATTCGAATAAGCAAATGCCCGTCGTTCAAGAGCTTTTTCGTTGGGAACTCCGAGCTGAAAAAGGTGTTTATTTTTTATAGGAAGAAGTTAAATTTTTTCTTGCGGTCTGGCCCGATTTCAAACACCCTCTGAAGATGTGCATGACTTATAGCTGATTCACGACTGGCTTGAGCCATCGAAAAAAGGGTCCTGACGCGATAAGAAAAGATATAGTGCCTGGTTCGTGGAGAGCGCAGACAGAGAACGCCTCTTTGGCGTCCCAAGCTAGCCGAGGATAGACTATAAAACCTCAATCGCCCGGGAAGCATTTTCGGCTGCTTTTTGCCATTCTTCTTGTTTGATGAAAGCCGCGGCCAAGTTGGAGAGAAGAAGCGACTTCTGTGTGGAAGCTTCTTCTGGGCAGAGCCTCAAAGCCTCCTGCAACAAAAAAAAAATCATAACAAAAATTCACGCCAATTAGCAAGTCTTAATAATCTTGTAAATTTCGGAAATGAAGACCAAATTTCACTTCTACCCAATGAAAAAATAGACACGTTTGAAGAAAAACTGGTACCATCAAAAATTCAACTTCAAAATAAAAAAAAATGAAATTCTCCTCAAAGAAACAACTGAAAGATTAAAATTAACGACCGACCTCGTACTTCTCAGCTGCTCCACTCCAATCACCCTCGCCAAAATGTTGATTCCCATCTTTCTTCAACTCTTCTACCGTCTTCAAAACATCTTCAGAGCCTTCGATAATTTCTTCCACGATAACCATCTATGTGAAACTGAATATTCCTTCAAAAAATCGGTTTCAAATACTGTTCCATGTCGCAAAACACATGAAAAAACACGATAGGTAAGAGAAAAAATTAATTCATACACAAATTGACGCACCTGTAAATCAACCGACTTCTCATTAACAAAAGAGTAACAATGAACAAATGATGAACAGAAGAAAACAATAACTGATAGCTCAAAAGGAGCCTTTCGATTTTGTCTAAATTCTTTTTTTCCAAAAAAATTGATAAGTTCAAGTTTAATATACATAATCTGAAGGAAAAAGCAAGTCTAATGTCGACATTAACTGAGCTTTATAATTGAAAAATATTGGAAACACCAACTAAGGAACTAAACAGGCTCTCAATTGCATATCTCGCTGAACCTTTGACAGTCCAAAGGCATAAATACGAATATTTGGTAAGAGAGAGACATTATTTGCCAAATTCGATAAGCTGCTGAAAAAAAGTCTGTTGAAATAAAACAGACCAGAGTCGAAATTTTCCGAAGTACTGTTCCGCCACGGTTTTCTCAAACGTTTTTGATTATTTGGACAGTTGGCTTTTTTTTCAGTAGTTTTTAGCAGTACTCTGTAATTTTCACTCTCAATTTCAACATTTTTCTTTTAGGAGCCTTATCAATTCTTTGAGAGTTGGTATCAAAAAGAATATCAACTTTAAAAAAAGTGAAAGAGGAGAAGAGGAGATCAATTGAACAAGTGTTGGAATAAATCATCATAATGGGCCACGAATCGAACGTCGATGTCGCCTTTCATGAAATCGGGCAGATCTTCAAAGTCGCGTCGATTTTCTACGGGAAGAAAGATTCGCCGAGCACCGACTCTTCTCGCCTGATAAGTACAAGAGTCGTTATTTCAGTTTCTGTTACGATGTGTGTACCGCAATAATTTTCTCTTTGATTCCGCCCACAGGCAACACTTTTCCAGTGAGTGAGATTTCTCCGGTCATTGCCATTTCTTGAAAAACTGGCCGGTTGAGCGCCAGAGAAAGAAGTGAAGACACTAGAGTAACTCCTGCAGAAGGACCGTCTTTTGGCGTCGCTCCCTGAGAGTCGTTTCATGTTTTATGTTTATTTTTTTTTGGAAAAAACCTCAGGAACGTGGATGTGAATGTGACTTTTATCGAAGAACTTTTTGTCGGGCTCAACGCGAGCCAATGTGCTTTTTGCCACGGTTAATGCTGCTCTAACGCTCTCCTGAAGCACGTCCAAAGTGAAAAGAAACGAATAAAACAACGTTTTTTTTTCTTATTTAGAGATTAATCCGATTTTCTTCAAGAAAAAAAAGTTCTTGAAGAATTAAAACGTTTTTTGAATTTTTTCTGAGATTGAAATTTTTCATTTTCTCTTGAACTTTATTTTAGTCCCTGATAATAAGATTGTAAATTTTTCCGTTCAAAGGAGAATCGTATTTTCAGTGCTCAGTTAAAATCAAAATTGTATTATGAGATACCTTCATAACATCTCCTAGATTGCCGGTAGCCTCGATAGTGCCTTCTTTTTCGGAATTGTAATCGACAGGTCTCTTGAGTACGGTTTCGATGTAAAGAGCCGAGCCACCCATCGAAGTCCAAGCCAATCCCATGACTACCTGAGTAGGTTCAACTGTAAATGATCCACAGTGGGAAGACAAACTCCGGGGGGCGTGACTTCGTAGAGACGATCAGAAGTGAATTTGGGCTTTCCGACGAAATCTTGCAAGTTATCGTTGCTGACGATGATGGTAGGCTGACTGGGAGTCGTCGGAGGGGAAAGAGAAGGCGATTCGGAACTGTTTTCGACGAGTGAGGCCGATGCCGCTTGCTCGGCTTTTTCAGCCTTCGAGGTGCTGCCGTCAACCGGATTCTGACGCTCGGCAATGACCAGCGCCGCCTTCCGGAATATCTTCAAAAAAACTTGTTTGTATTTGATTTTTATATTTTTAACTGAGATTTGGAGAGTCAGAGACGATTTTGAGTTTCGCGGGAAACATTTTCGTGTGTTTCACTTCTCATTTATTGCCAAAATAAAAATAAATGTTATGGTCTATCCTTCTCGACTTGAAAGGCGAAAATTGATAAATTGGCGATGGTGAGGCGTTGACGCGGCTCTTTGGCGTGGAGCTCGACGTAAAACCCAAGACATCTTTTTTGATATGTTTTCGATAACTCCTAATCTTTCAATTTTTTACTGAACGGATAAAAATATGAAAATAGCGGAATACTTATTTTTTTCATCTACATTTTTTTCCATGATTACGTTCGACCTCGAGTTTTTTTGCCAAAAAAACCGCGTCGCATACGCAACGCGGATCAACCCATCTCGCCTTTTAAGTTGGGAAAAAAACAGACTATGTTCCTTTTGTTTAAAAAGTGCTCTTATTTCCAAAAAAACTGATGAAAAAAAGAAGGCAAGTATATAAGAGGACAAAAAAACGAACGCGTTCGACGTGTTTCTGAAGGTTGCGGACCCCAGATTCACGACAGTACTGCTTGATGAGGGTGTCAAGAGCAGCGTCAGTTATTTGCAGTTGGTCATCCGTGATGGACCTAAAGTGAGATAAAACTGGAAAAAAAAAAATAAAAGAGCAAACGTTTCTCGGCGTGTTTGAGGGATCAAATGGTGGTGTGCGATTTCCAGCTTTTCCTCAGCTAGATAGCCGCTCACGTCAATCATCTCCATACGATCGCGCAACGGCCCAGGGATTTTGTCTCTCTCGTTGGCCGTGCAAATGAACAAAACTCTGAGATATCAATCAGTTTTTGGCAATTAAAAAAACACAAGAAAGACTTGGACAGGTCAACAGGAACATCGAGAAAATGATCGTTGAAATTCGCGTTCTGTTCAGGGTCGAGCAGCTCGAGAAGCGCCGAAGCGGGGTCTCCATGGAATCCAGCGCCACCGATTTTGTCGACTTCGTCGATGAGAACCAGCGGATTTTCGGTTTGGACCTTGGCTTATGGAGTAAGCATGAGATTTCCCTCCACTTGCCTTTTTCAAACACTGGATCATTTTTCCCGGCATAGCGCCAACATAAGTCCTCCGATGGCCTTTGATCTCTGCGACGTCCGTCATTCCACCCACAGAAAACCGGAAATACTGAGCCGAGAACTCTCTTCCGATTGAAAAGGCGCACCTGTCTGTTCAAAGCCGTTGCGATCGACCTGGCAATGCTTGTTTTTCCCACTCCCGGCGGTCCATGGAAACAGAGAATTTTTCCCGCCGTACTCTGCCTGGTAAGGTTTTTCATTACATGACAAAAGAACGCTTCGTTCTTCAAACCGAAGAATGTTGACAGCAATAAACTCGAGAATCCGCTCTTTGACGTCCTTCATACCGTAGTGACCATCGTCCAGCGCTTGCTTGGCTCTCGAAAGATTGCGGTTTTCCACAGACATGTGACCCCAAGGCACATTCGTCAGCCAATCCAAATAATTTCTTCCAAGTTTGAGGTCAGCTATGGGAAGTTTTGAGAGCACATACCTCGTCACACTGAATTCACTAGAGTGAGGGTCTAGGAATTGTAATTTTTGTTGTTCTTCTTTGATCACCTTCATTGCGTACTCAGGGATCTGATCGAAAATAGATAATCTACGCGGTTCCGAGACAAACCTTGAGTTTCTTCATTCTTTCCTCCATTTTGTCCAAAATCGTTGTCTTTTCATCTTTCTCAATACCCAGCTCCTTTTTTATCACTTTTAACTGCAAATAGGCGAGCGTAAATGACAACGTTCGACAAAACGACCTGTTCATTGAGCAAGTACTTGCGATGGTGGTCTTGAACCTTCTTCTCAACGTCCTTGTTGATGTCGTGCTTCAACTTGGCGACCGTTTTCTCTTTCTGGATCAGAAGCAAGGCAATGCTGAGACGTTTCGACACCTGAAAAGAAGCAATGAAGAAGGTGGCAAGGTGGGAAAGCGTGACGTCAGTCTCCTCCATCATCTCCTGCAACTCGTGGGTCTCCGCCGACTGGACGAGTGTCGCCACCAGATCACATAGATAGACGGGGTTGTCGATGACGTTCTGCGACGGGTGCAGCAACAAGTTGATCTGCTGTCCGAAAAGAGAATTGAACTGCACGACGTCTCTGCAACTCTCGATATTTGTTCGATATGGATCTTGAAAGCAACCTGATCGTTTGGACTATCGCCATCATGGAAGCCTTAGTCTCATTGTTCCGCTGGATAGGTTCCGCAGTAACATTCTCCGTGCGCACCTGAGATTCGTGATTACTCGAACCAAACATGTAAACTAACTAGTATGATTCCTTTTCGATCAGCTGCTTTCGGTTTTCCTGGAACGCTATCGACTTCTTGTGGTGATTTTTCTGCCTTCTCAGGAGCTTGAGTTTTTGGTGGAGTAGCAGATGTCAGCTTTTTCCCTTTGTTGGCTCTTCTGCCATTCACTCCCATCACTGCGTTCTGCTCGGGACGTAATCAAGCATTATTGAGATTTTAATTACCTGCTGAGAATCCTCTACTGGATCGAGAACACGAATCCTAAAGTTGATTGTCATCGAGATAATTTGCTTCTAACAGGGAATCTTGCTATAGCCGGTTCATGGCTAGCTTAGGGACGCTAAAGAGGCGTGGCCTGTCTGAGCTCTCCAATAACCATCCACTGTTTCTTTTCGTTTCGGGTTGGACCCTTTTTCGATGACTTAAGCCATCCGTGCATAAGCTATATGGAGTTTTCAGATTTTTCCCAGTGCTTCTAGAGTAACGATTTTCTGCTGCTGAATTCTTCGCTTCAAAAAATAGCTTGAATAAAGCAAAACAAAGAAAACCAATCCAAAGCGATTCTGCTTCCTTTTTTTTCCTATATAACCCCTACAAGCGTTTTTAAACACACTAAAACCTTCTATGAGCGCTCAAAACAAGTTCAAGGATGCTGCCCTGATCCCGGACTTCGATTATCTAAAAGTGAATATTAGTAATTCGCTTTGAAAATGGAGCAACCTGTACGAATGCTCCCGTAGAATAAATTTCGGAGAGAGAAGACACAGTTTCGTCTTTGTTTCTATAGAGAAAATGAATGGAGAAAAGCCAAATTTTCAAACTCGTCATCTCGTTTGACGAAAACTCCGGCGTATGGTTGCTTGAGTGATAATTGGCGTCGTATCAACGCTTTGAGCCCATCGTCTTTCACTATCTACAGGTTGAATACTAGGGAAACGAGAGGAGAGATGCTCACTCACGTCGACTTTTTTGATGAAGCCTGGGAAAAGAGGATACCGATTGATTGCCAGCATCGGAACAATTGGCATAACATCGGGAATCGAAACCGGTGACATTCCCTGAAGCGACATAAGACGTTTAGAAACGAGACAATTATCAACGTCTTTGGATATCAGCTCGATTGCAGAATCTTCGTTCAAATGCGGCGCTGGGTCATCGGGTGCTCCGTCTGATGTGCTGAGGAAACATCATTTCTGTTGGGGCGTTTCATCAGGAAAAAGGAAACCTGCTCGAAAACATTCTACGCGGATGAATATACTGTCCACTAATAGGTTGAAGCTTCAGACTTCTCGCTGTTCCGATTGTAGGACAAAAATGAATTAACTGAAAGGAAATCTCTTTTTTTTTCTCATTTAAAGTCTAACTCTTGAGTGTCGAGAAGAAATATAGCGAACAGAAGATGAAGCGCGCACAGCCATACAGCGAAACATCTATAACCAAATCCTAACATGAAAAAAATCTTGAAGAACTTCCGATGGGTATTAACCTCAAACTTTTGTTTCCTCGCATGAAAATAAAAATGAAATAATTTATTACACCATGAAACAATATTACATTGACCCCAACCAATAAGAAATAAACCCCATCCCGTTATCCATTATTTTTTCTTTTTAGATTCCTCCTTCGGTTGCACAGGTTGCCACTGAAATCGTGTGATGGTTTAAATGAGAAAAACATCGAAACGAACCTGGATAGGGTTCTTGCGGAAAAGAAAAGGCCAAGGCGGCAATACAATAAGTGCTGAAAAGATGGCGGAGCCAATGACGACGAAGATGCCGTTGGAGAGTTGCTGAGTGTAAAAGCCGACGACGAACCCGATTATCCCGCCAAGCACCATTATCACCTTAGGAATACTTTAGGTAAACGTTTATCGAACTGTGCAGAAAATTGAAAAAAAAACACTGATTTGAATATCACAAATTGTCAGTCCATGCAGTCTAAACTTGAAGGAAAGTTTTTTATGCATTTTATAATTTTTAATGATCAACTTTAGGTCATCGAAAAACGAATTTTTTTTCATATAGCAAATATGTAGTATCAATTTTCAGTTTAATAAAAGGTGTTTGAATAAATCTATGAAGCTCCAAGATGTATATCAAAATGACCTCAAGAAGTAATTTTTTTTTCTACTCGTTAGAAGGATAGAACTGAAACCTTTTGTGGCATTTTTTTAACAGGTAGTTTCACTTCTTTTCATATTCCTTTTACGACTCTGGATCGAATTTATTAGTACTTTTGAGCTTATTACATTACTTCGATTTGAGAAAGTTAACCAATTGACATTTCATCATGTATTTGTTATGAAAAAAAAAATCGAAGAAAAAATACCTGAAAAGTCCGTTCAGCGATTAATTGTCCTTGATAGTCGTGATGAGTGGAAAGTTTCTGAATCGGAGCCGGCAGCATGGCAATTAATCCGTCCATCGTCTAAACACTTCGATCACTTGTAGATGATGCAAAATTTTGCATGCTTTTTTTCTTGCGAAAAAATTTCGCAAGAAAAAAAGCACTTAACTACGGCCAACAATGAGAATGGTTGACTAGATAGTTTTACTAGAAAGCAGGATTGTTGAAATGAATACACAGAATGTAAGAACGATTAGAATATCTCAAAAGGAAAATGAAATGCGGTGGACGCTTGACATATAATAGGTTCAAACACTCCTATACGGCTTGAAAAAATGGATTGAAAGATAATAAATTGAAAACAGTTGGTAAACAGTGAAATAAGACGAGAATAGAGAAAAATGAGGGAAGTTTAATAGATGTTGCTTGGAATATATAATATTTCAGAAACGTGGTGAAAAATTATAGAAAAATCTTTCTTATTTATTTTTTTAATAGCGGAAAAAAAGAGGAGAAGAACATAAAAAAAGGAAAGTTTTTGAAAAATATAAAACATTGAGAGGGCTTCGCAACTCTATTACCAAAAACAGAACAGAACAAAAAAATAAATGAAAAGTTTATTTTTCTAAGGTTTTTTTCATAAAGTTGTCGATATGCAAAAATATCATACTTTCACTATAACATATGCTAAAATTTAAACGAAAGGCAGAAATCGAAGTAAAACAAGCATACATATTATTGATATTATGATGATAGAGTGAACTTGATAGATTTGATGGAATACTATTCTAAATATTGTAAAATTATATTCGATTAAAATTTTTTTTCTAATAGTATTTGCTGTGAGATTTTTATTCGAAACGTGAAAGACGTGATCGAGTCGCTGTACTAGTAGAATTGATGAAAAAAAATTCCAGGTTGAAAACGTGCTCCATCGGGATGATGAAGTGCCCTAAAAGCAGACACTGGAAACACGTGAAGAGGTACTAAGGCCACTAAAGTGATCCCTCAATGACTAAAAAATGTTCATTTTTCCCGGGAGGACATTTCAGTAGGCCATTGATACTATCGTAAATTCATGTAGGACGAAAATTCATCAAGTATTCTAGTAAAACGGCGAAAAGCGAGTCGTGAATTTTTGAATGCGAATGAAAATAGAATGACTATCATAGTAACCTCAAGCATAAAGAAAAAATATTAATTATGACCGATAAGGCGCATAAAATAAAGAGACTTAGCGACGTTTGATGTTCATCATCTTCATGGCTTTCTTCATGAGCGGCGCGACGGGAACTTCTTTTCGAGAGGTCGAAGAACCACCTCCACCACGGACCGCCGAGTTCCGCTGATCTTTTTTCGCAGAACTCCGAGATCCTGAGAACAATTAACTGAGATTGGATTGTACAATAATGTAATGTTAATAATTCTCAACACCGTAAATTCGGGAATTACTGAATTGTTTCCAAAAAAAGCTCCAAAAAATTAAGTTCGTTTCTTAAAAAAAAAAATAAATTCAAAAAGAGGTGTAGAATCTCCAAGCATTATCATGAAGTGGATCATACTAAGTTCAAAAGACGAACTAAACTACAATTTTTGACTACATATTGAATTTCAATAAACTCTGTGAGGAAGAAAAATACTCGAAAGGGGTGTCTGCATACCAGGATCGGAGGGATTTGGCGCAGAACCTCGAAGAGAGGAGTTCAAGCCGTTTTTAATCTGTCGACGCATCACACTTTTCGGAGCCACTGCGTGCTCAAGGATTTGCTAGAAGAAAACTTACTAACTCCTACAAGGAAAAAACCGTTTTTCGAGTAACATCATGTTTAGTTGCGGTTTCACTGATTTTAGACTTGACTTTCTGCAGCTTTTTTTCTTCGGTGACATTTTTTCGTTCGACCAAACTGAAAAAAAAGTTCTTCTACTTATCTTGTTCATTCATTCTCTCGTATAAAGAGAATTTTGACTTACTTATGATATTTTTCACACCAACTTCGACCGTATTTGCGGGATTTCACTAAATCAGCAGCAAAAGACTGTAGACAGAATCTTTCGTACAGCTCATCGGCGTCACTTTTCAATTGCTGGGACATTATTCAGCAGAAGGAAAAAGTTGCAAACCGGATTCAAGTTGAGTATTCGGTCAAGCTGTCGAGGGTCGCATTTTTCGAGAGGACCTCGAAGTAAGCTATAAGGGGTGAGTCCAACGTGGTCGATAACTGAATATCCAAAAGTCCGAATGAGACGTTTACGACGATCACAACTTTCCAAGCAGTTTCCCAACTTCTTTTGACAAAGCGCCAAAAGACTTGAAACCTTAGTGAGTCCGACTTTCTTCCTCCCCGCGAAGACTTTTCCGCGTTCCTTTCGTGGCTTGAACATTTTATCGTCTAGAGCTGAAATAGTTCTTTGAGGAAAAATCTGAGAACAAATATGATCATCTTCATTTGCTTTTTTTTTTCTGGTTTTGCAGAGTACCTTGAAAATACCCCTTTTGGGCTGAAACCGCGAAAATCCATACTTTTACCAGTTGCAGCTGTTTACTTATCACTCTGTTTTCGAATTTTAAGAGAATACTGTAAGCTCTAGCCTCCCAGGTAATTGCTCTACAAAAAAGACTCCACTACAAAATGGACAAAACTTTTATCTGTCAAATGAGAATACTCTTTGAAAATCTATTCAAAGGAGATGAATGAGAATTTGAGATTGAATAAAAAAATTTTTTTATTTTTCACCCAAGCCAATATTTCTAGAATTAGTTCATTCCTTATAGATAACCCCATCTGTAAAATATAAATTTCAAACTCTATACACGTACTATTTTTCATCAACTTCCCATTGAAGACACGATCGCGTGGCTCAAATGACTGAAATCGGAGATTCAAAAAGGTAGATTCTACAGTTTCACCTCGAAACATGAAGCCCGTGTAGAGCATGCCAATTTATTCGAATCCTGCTTCAATAAATCCAAAGTTGACTGATAAAACTTCAATCTGTCTTTTGATTCGGAAATCGCCTTCTGATCTCCTTCAGATGAGGTGGATACTTTTTCTTGCTTCGCGTCATCACTATTAATTTTTGTCTAGAAACATTTTTGTAGTGCAGGTAAAGTAGTGAAACCAACCTTCTTCGAGGGCGGCTCAAATAACTTGGTTTGACGTAAATCCGTGTTTGAAGTCTATTTGAACATTTAACACAATTGTCATAAGAAAAAAAACGCACCGAAATTTCTCCTTTTCCCCGAGTTCGTTTATTGTCTACTTTTGAAACGCCGCCATTATCAAAACTACTGAATTTTTAGTTATTCCATGAGAAACTGAAGGACCGTTTAGAACCTTTTTGGCTGATCATCCCATAACTTGAGGAGCTGACTCGCCAATTTTCCGTGAGCGGCATCACCTGCGTAACTGAAATGATATGATAACAGTAATTAACTTTTGGAGTCCTAAAACGTACTTCATAACTGAATTCTAAGGAAAAAGAAAAAAAAGGAGAGGGAGGCAACATCCATTGATCATACAAGTATCCACAAAATAAATCCGAGCTCCAAAAGTCTACAAGTTTCGGGCAAAACCCAAAAGGTCTCAAAAGGAAATTCTAGAAAAAAGGCCTCTAAAAGGCACTGTCTTTTTTTGAACTTTTTCTGAAAAGGGCCTTTAAACGAGCAAAAAAGAATAAGGATTTTTGAAACCTTTTCGCCCGTGTCCTGGAAAAACTGTGACAAAAATCAAAAAAGCAACCTCAGAACAATGTCTTGAATTTTATGCCGCTCAAGGGCGGACAGAGGCGCCTTGATGTTGAGTAGCCCGATAAGTGATCTTTCAACCTGAACGAGCAAGCGTTTCATTATGAGAAGTCGAGGCTCTGGTTATCGGGAAAAATTAAATTCTCACTTTTCCTTTAGAGCTATATAACTATAACTTCTCCGGTCGGCAGAATTAATTATTACATTTTTTGTTTTCTGCAAATCGTGTTCCTCCTTTATTGGAAAATTTTTCATTCCTCAACGTTTCCTTACTACTTTTTCAAAATTGTCTCTTCTATTTAATTCTCGTAAATATACTCGAAGTTCGATAACGCAAGCCAGACGTGGCTCAGACTTGTCGGGGCGATTCTCGCGACCCTTGAAAGTTTTGAAGCTACTAAAGTGGTCCAGAACCAGAAATGTCCCGATAAGTCCGTTTCGCGTTACCAAGGCCCGAGTATACATGCATCCTAGGCCGTTTCTACTTTCGAAGAACCTTGAAATTCGACTTCAAACAGCGCGCATGTTTCTTGAGTTCAGCCTCCGTCGATTCCATCCGTGGGATTTGCTGTAAAAATGGAGAGCTTCGAACAGAATACCACTAACGATGAACATTTTTGAAAAATGAAAACTTTTTGAAATTAAAAAATACATGTTCGAAACCATTTCGTTAAAACTTGGTTGCCACCGAAATTACAGTTCCACTCGATAACAAAATAGAAGTAGCATGAGACGAGATGCGAGAACTATTTCGAAGATTTGTAGATGACGTCGGTCCAAAACAAAAACACATTTTCCAAAGTAGAACACCCGCATTTCGACGGCTCAACAAGCAAAAGAAGTTCATGCTTTAGAAAATAATTTATTCATTAGCAACAAACTACTTCGGCTAGACGCAAACAATAGACAGAAACATTTGAAAAGAGAATCCCTCGAGTGAGAGCAAAAGGTTAGTAGGAACGGATTTTAGGGGCCACCCAATCAGTTTCGGACTTGTCGAGGGTGGTGTCGATGACAGGTCGGTAATCAACGGTAACTTCGCCCGTCTCGATGTTTGACCGGATTATGGAGTGTTTCCGGAAGTGGTCTTTCATCTCCTTTTTCTTCTGTCCCTCCAAAGGTTTCGAGTAGTCGTATTCATCGCTTCTGTCGGGAAAATCGTCGCGAGCGTGGGCACCTCTGGATTCCTGAATCCAACTAATGTTGAAGGAACATTGACCAAAAATGGATAAAAGAGAAAGAACATATGTATCCCAATAAATTCAGACTTCCTTCTCGAGTCGCCGCTGGGGTCAATCGACTCATTTGTGGTTGTTTTTTTTTTAAAATAATCACACTTACTAGGGAATGGTCTCTATTCACATTGGGACTTCTGAATGAAAAATAGGTTCAATAGAGGTAATTTTTCAAATCTGATTTAGTTAGAGGTTCTGATATTACTATGAAGCCGTTGGATATGGTCCGTCCATACAATCATTATAATGTGAAATGAAAGAAAAATTACCGTTCTTTTTTCTGCAGCCGCAATGGTTTGTGTGGCGTTGATGAGCAGATTTTGCAATTCCAGAGCTTCTACAAGTTCAGAATTCCAGAAGGGAGACCAGTCGTGCAACTCCAAATTGTTTTGCTTTTTGTAGAGGTCCGAGAGAACGGATACACCTTCCTATAAAGGTTTTTTCTTCTTTTTCTAGGTTGAGTTATTGACTTACCTTCAGCAGATCACCGCGTCTGAAAACCGCACAATACTTTTGCATTGCTTTCTGCATTTCGAGACGGAGCTCTGGTGGCTTCACCTATAGAAAAAAAAATAAGGCGAATCGCGGAAAACGAAAAAAAAAAATACCTCGCCGTCCCCTTCAATAAGATTGAAAATGTTTTCATATGACGCTTGTCCGTCAGTAGGCGACAAATCAGGTACTTTAGTGTCAGGTTTCGTTTCTTTCAGAATTCTAAGTGAAGAAATAGTCAGAGCATTAAAGATGCGTTTTACGTGAGAGCACATGCTCGACCGAATATGACCAGGTCGAGAAGAGAATTGGCTCCGAGTCTGTTGGCGCCGTGGACGGAGTGAGCCGCACATTCTCCTGCGGCGTAGAGTCCCGGAACCACTTGGTCGCCTTTCTCAGGAGTGTAGTTGATCACCTCAAGCGAAGTACATGGAAGTGAGGAGTTTATTCCTCTATTTTCATTTTCATCATTTCTCCCGGAGTTTTTGAGGAGTATTCCACTAGTCATGGTGATAAGAAAAAAAGGCTCAAAAGGGAAAAATGAACGTATTCCATTTCGTGAATAATAATTTATTTGTTCCCCCACTGTTCCGCAGAATGCTACTTGGCGGTTCGACAAAATATTAAAAAAATATCTTTTTAAATTGGAAACGAAGAAACTTCTTTATTATATTTAAAAGTAAAAGCGCATGTTGGAAAAAAAAACTAGAAAATCTATACGATCCCAATAAAATTGAAATCTATAGCATATTCATTTTTTGAAAGCTGCGAGAAAATGACGAAATAATAAACACTTAAAAATGAAAACCTGTCCTTTGTAGTTAGTTGGAACTCCGCCCATGTTATAATGTACAGTAGGAATAACGGGGATTGGGTCTTTTGTGACATCGACTCCAGAAAAAATCATGGCTGTTTCCGAGATTCCTGAAAATGAGATCATGGTCAAATGAAAAAGAACGAAGTACGGTAATCATGTTTTAAAAAAATTAACTTTTGCGTTCGTTTATTTTACTCCTACACAAGAATAAAAAATAGAACATATTTGAGTAAAGGGGAGTTTGATATATAAAAACGGACTAACGAGATATTGACCGAGACTTGAGATGAGTGGGTGAAAAGTTTTATGATAGTTCCATTCAGTTCATGAGAAGCTGTACATTATATTTTGGATGCGTATTTTTATCATATAACTGTAGAGATTGAAGCACAAAAACTTGCCAGGAAGACGTTGCATGAGCTGTTCTACAGGTAAGTGGCTCAACTGCAGGTGAATATGATCCTTGTTAGGGCCAACACCACGACCCTCCATTATTTCGATAGTCATTGAGCGAGAAACGACGTCGCGAGAAGCGAGGTCTTTCGCCACTGGTGCGTATCTTTCCATGAAACGTTCACCCTGAGATTATTTTCAAATTTTTTCGACTTTTCGGGCGTAAAATAAATTTTTTTACGAGCAAACTTTGATTAAATTCATTTGGATGCTTTCTAAGACCGACATTCATTGAAAAACTATTTCTATAAAAGATCAGCTCAGAAAATATATCTTGGAAGTCGCGATCAAATAGATCTCACGGGAAGAAGGCTCACAAGAAAAGTTAATTTTAACTTGCGATCCGGAATTTCTTGAAAAATAGGCCAGAACATTCTATGATGTACCAGAAGAATTTCCTGGAATTCTCAAAACTTCTTAGTTTTCTGAAAGTAAGGACTCAAAGCCCCAAAATGGCCTATTATAACCCGTTTTGCGGGTTTCTCACGACGTTTAGGTGTCCTTTTTCGAAAAATTGTGGTTTTTGTAGGTTGAGACTCTCCTCTCCTCAATCTCTTTTCATTTTCTGAACTAATGATATTGAAAGAGCATTTTCATATTTATATATCGCATTTCCTTGAAAATAGGAAAACGATATTTATATTGAATAACCTTTTTCATCGATGAAAACGTGAAAAAAAGTTTTTTTGGCGTGAAAACTTTTTATTTGAAAATAGACCGCACATTATTTTACGGAAATGGCGCGTGGCAACTTCAACGTGACTTTTCTTATTTTCCAATGTTCATTCATCCTGGATGATGAAAATGCAATAAATTACGGCTTTTATAAATCTGATTGTTTTTTTTAGCCTCAGATTTCAATTTCTAAAAGTTAGCCCGTGATTGCAACGGAGTTTGAGCGATGACTTGAAATTCGAAATCTGAACAGACTGTAAACCAACCTCCGAGTTGACGAGGTATCCGCCCTCTCCGCGAGAGCCTTCTGTGATCAGACATCCGACGCCGTAGATTCCAGTGGGATGAAACTGAACAAACTCCATGTCAGACGTGTTTATGCCCGCACGCGCAGCCATCGCAGTTCCTGGGAAATTGCGGAAAGGTCGAAACTTCTTATATACCGTCGCCGGTGCAAGTATGAGCCGATGTGCATGAGAAATATGCACGTCCATAGCCTCCGGTCGCCAGAACGGTACTTTTGGCGCGGAAACGATGGATATTTCCATCTTCAAGATTCAGGGCCACGACTCCGACGCATTCTCCGTTGTGCATTATCAAGTCCAAAGCGAAGTACTCGACGAAGTATTTGCAGTCGTATTGAAGTGAAGCCCCATACAACGTGTGAAGAAGCGAATGACCAGTCCTGTCAGCTACACAGCAGGTCCTACAATACAGCATTACATATACACTCTCCAAAACGGTAGCACATAAAACTTGAACTTAAAATCTTCATAAATTGAGGACAGAAAAGACGACAAGCTGGCAATGTTAGATATGATAACTATATGTTTTATGTCAGTAATCAGTTAAATGCTAAGAAACATCTCTACAATCAACTGCGGAAACGAAGTTGAAGCAATCGTGAAGCTTAAAGTTTCACTGAAAATAGAAAGTGAAATACTTTGTAAAATAAAAAATTTCCACGTCCGAGCTAGAAAAAACAAAAGAAAAACTGAGATTATACTCCTTCCTTTCGTAACATCACAAAACTGACCTGTGAGCTTGACCACCTTTGCCAAAATCGTTTGACTGGCCGCCAAACGCGCGTTGATAAATCTTCCCATCTTTTGTTCTCGAAAACGGCATTCCTGTGTTAAATCTGCCGTGAACAATCAACGAAAAAGACGCACCATAGTTTTCCAATTCAATAACTGCTCGTTCGGCCTCACGCGTCATGTAGTGAATGGCATCTTGATCACCAAGCCAATCAGATCCCTAAAATGGAACTAAGAAGCCAAGAAGTTTTTAAACAAAACGGGCGAAAATTTGAAAAATTACTTTTACAGTATCGTAGAAATGCCATCTCCAGTTGTCCGGGTTCATGTTGCCAAGAGCAGCATTGATACCTAACAAGATGAGACGAGCAAATGGACAAAATTAGAACCTCCTTGAGCTGCGACTGTATGAGAACGGGTCGGGAATAGTTTGGTGATGACTGCTGTCTTCAGTCCTCCTTCAGCAAGTCCCATCGCAGCTCGCAAGCCTGCTCCACCAGCTCCCACCACCACAGCGTCATAAGAGTGATCAATTACTTCGGTGTCTCGGAACATGAGTTGCGATTTACTCGCGGTAGTGCTAAAAACGACATTTTCAACACATTTGAAAATCTTATTCTACCTAAGAGAGTTCGCTATGAACTTGGCCGGAAACCATTTCGTGCGTTTCAAAGAAATGTTCAGCATTCTCCTAAAAGCTTCAAATTTTTATTAAAATTTTACTTGTTTAAAAAACGATAAAGTTCCATGCCAGGCGTTAATGGATAGTGAAAGGTAAAAGAAAGAGTTAAAAAGATTCAAAATCAACGAGCGAAAAACTTTTTTTAAATCAAAAAGCGCCATCGCTGAAACTTTGATATTAAAACAGTAAATGATCCAAAGGCATGATAAATTTTCTGGATTTTTTTGAAAATATCTTAAGATACAAAGCGCATTTCTCTACGGAGCCCTTTCGCCAAAGGATTCTCTCGCGGACAGCGCAAAATATTGTTCAATCGCTAAAATATGTACAAAAAACGGATCCTATATAAAAAACTCACTCTTCGCGCCTACCAACTGTTAACAAGAAGTTTGGATGAGAGGATGAAATAATCTAATCTTTTATTTTGCTTTATTTTCAACGTGAAAGAAAATGTAAAGTACTGCCACGTGGTATTCCACGTGTTCCATGTGGCATCTAATAAAAAATATTTTGAGATCGTGTTCAAAGTAATTTCCGCGAAATCCAAAATATCCGTCAGAGAAAGAAAAGGTTATTAAATTTTGGAGGGTCACGGACCATTTTGCGGAAATTACTATGAGCACGGCACGAACTTCAAAATAGAAAGAAATCCACTTCATTATAAATTTTTTTTCGACTCCACATGAGAAAGCTGAGAAATCGTAGCAGGGACCATTCAAAACATCAAATAGGAATACGCCTTTTCAAAAACTACTGGACCAAAGATGCGGAGCTCTCGCAAATAACTCAAAATGACACTGCAGCTGCACAGTAAACTGGTTCATCGCTTCGACTCACCCAACATCTGAGTCTATCGCAGCGGGCCGCAGGCGATATAGTTAAAAATTCTTGCTGCTCTTGCTATCTTTTTTATTATCGTATAAGGAGTCATATTCTCAACTTTTTTTTTTATAAAATGGATCTTGGGTGAACTTTTAGGTAATTCTTTGAGCTTTGAGCACGAAAAGGGCGCCCATACAAAACGAGTGAAAGCAAATTTAGATGTTGAAGAAAAAACTGAAATCTAACTAATTTTTGAATTATTTGAAATTCCTTTACTGTTAAAATGGCGCACGAATCTTGAACTTCCCAAGGAAAAAAAAACAGCGCTATAAAATGTAATATATAATACATGTAAAAAAATGTCCCAGTAATTTCTAACCAAATGAAAAAAATAGTCGTTCTAATTTTTCACGCATTTCGAATTAGTCAAATTCCAAAATGAATTTATTAAAAATTTTGCGCGACATTTATAATGTCATGCGTGCATTGCGTACAAAACAGAGAACTGCACGCTGAACTTTTGTTTTTTTTTTTGCGCAAATTGCAAGATTTCTTAATTTGCCTTTTTTCGCTTTAAAATTGCTCTTTTGTACGCTTTTTGAATTTTAAATTCTATTGTTTAAGAGAAACTTTGAGCTAGAACAACTTTTTTTCAAACGCGTTGTTTTTATTTGTAAGAAATCTATTAGTATCCATGCTCACTTTTCAAACCGGTTTCACGCACTTTTGTACAACATATTCAAAGAACCATATTGAAATGGAAAAATGTGTAAGGTTGAGTTTTATGCGTCGAACTTTTGTTTCAATCTAAGCATCATCGATGCATGAAAGTGGAAAAGGCGGAATTTATTAGCTTATATGAACAAAAAAGAGAAAGAGAAGGCAACTACCACGCCACGTCTGCAGAAAACAAAGTGTGGAACATTTTTTTGAACTGAAAAAAATTTTTTTCTCAGTTAATTTTTTTATGCTTTTTTTTTCAAGAAAAAACGAAATTTTGTGATTTTTCCGCCTAATTTGCTATGAATTTTTTTGAAATGATTTTTTTCCTTGCTTATTGAGATCGAGATCTTAAACAACCCTGGTACCACATCCTGTAAATTTAAAGTTTTGTTTTACATTAAGTTAGAAAAAAAGCAAATATTATCTTTGTCCTCAATATACTGGTAACATGTGCACTCCGTTTTTCGGCACTAAAATTGCTGTTTTCTCTGTTTCCTCCTGGTCTCTCGGCGATTCTCTCAAGTTGCCGTGCTCCTTTCATGTTTCTCTGACCTCGCCGGTGAGGGAACAGAGAAACGGAAAGTGTCAGGCCGCGGCGAACTGGCTATAACGCACTTTTTTCATTTTTGCGCGTCCCTTCTAATGTATCGCGTGCACTACGTACAAAACAGCAAGCACGCACAGAACAGTTTTTGAGACAAATTTTAGCCAGCTAGTAGAAGTTCTTATTTTTTAGCCTGTTTATTGGGTAAAGTAAAAAGTTTTTGAAATTGAAAAGTGCGTTTATCGATACGTGTAGATGCTCTAGAACAGGTTTTTTCGCCTCATAAATTTTTGCCGAATTTCGAAGATTCTTCTCAGCGTCCTTGGTGATTCTCAAAATTTTTTTCAGTGTATTTAATGGAAGAGGATCCTGATTGGTGTTCATCGACGACAGCAACACCTGGAGGAAGCATAAACAAGGTAGAGGGTTTTTTGGTTCAATTTTTCAGATTAGATTATGTTTAAATTTTCGATCTGTAATTTATTCAAACAGCTTAACGGAGCGTTTAGAAAAAAAGCTATGGGAAGATTCAGAAAAAAAATGTTTTTCTTTAAACAAAGAATTTCTCTGTTCTTGCAAGAAACCTGAATGTTTTTGTAATTATAATTAGTCGCGTTCCGATCCTCAAAATGGATATCAGTATTAAAATGTTCAAAATATTTTTGGCAGTCGAAAGAAGAAAAATAGGAGTAAAGCTAAATTGTAAATACTCCCTTCTCAGTGCTCAATGATTGACCATTTTTTTCGAGTGTCTTCAATTAACCTCTAAAAGTGATAAGAAAATTTTCATGTAGTTCCAGATCAATTGTTTTTCAGTCAAATGGTCGCAGATCTCCAAAAACAAATTTGTTAGGAAAAACAGCGCTTCCTCCAAAAAATTCCTCATCGTATATCAAGACGTCTCAGAAAGTTGAGGTATCTAAAAATTGAAAAAAACCTTCAAGTTAATTATCTGATGGTCAGGAAGCACTTATTCGACTTTTTTCTTCGGCTCCTCGTTGCGAATCTCAGAGCTGCTGTCTCTACGTAGAAGGATTGAAAACAGATATCCAGAGAGCGCTGACCAACCTTGGTGGCGAAAACCAAAGTGAGGATTCGCCTCAAAGATTAGTCCGCAGTGTTAAAGTTGTAGGGTTGGAAGAGGAAATAAAGAAATGTCGAAGAGAGCTTGATGCGGCAAACGTCACGGAGATGCTGGATCTTCTGAGAGAACGCCGAGAAGCTTTCAGAACTTCGAGCATAGCTTCAGCTCGCACCGAGGCTTTAGCCCAGAAACTGGTTAGTCTTTCTGTTTTTAGGACGATCCATATTAATCTGACCTTTTTTCTATTGGATGAAGTTAACTTTCAATAATATGCATTCTGTGTGTTTTTCCAGGAGACTCTGTTGCCTCCACGGCAAAGTCAGTTGAAGAAGTTGATGTTTTCGTCTGCCGACAGAGCTGTTTATAACGAGAAACTGTACACAGCAGCCAAAACTGAAATTGCCGATCCTATTCCAAATATATCCATTCAGGTATTTTGAATTTTGAGGATCTAGTTGTTTACAACGCGTGAAGGAGAGGATTGAGTAGGAAGTTTTTCCAAATCTGGCCCCAACTCTACACTAAAAATAAAAATCAGATGAGTTTTGGTTTATAAGAAGACAAATAATTATCGATTTTTCTCTCTTTGCGGTCTCGGTTAATTTTTTGAACAGCTTTTGTCTTTTTTTTCTTGTCCTTTTAACTATTTTTTGCTGTAAAATTAATTTGTTCCGAAAAAAAGAAAGACTTCGATAAGATAAAGCTTTTTCAGGAGCCTTCCATCCAGAAATCCGAAAATCCAGTTAACTTAGCCCCAGTTTACCCAAATCGTGAGTGACTGTCCTCATCAATTTTTCGCACATTTGTCGTTCAGAAAGTCTCAAGCCCAGAGTCCTGGGTCACGACAGGAAGCCGGAACCTCATTTGTTGCGAACCGGAGAGGCCAGAAACGCGGGATCTCGTCCCAATGACGTAATTTATCTCGACGAATCGTCTCTTGTTCGAGTTTCCCCGCCCCGTAAAAGGGCAGCGGATATTGTTATCAATCACCATACCGCCAAACTTCAAGTGCTCCCCAACGTTAGTTTCATTTCAGATTAGTCAATGTGAGAATGAAATTTTAAGGGCCAAACGAGGTTCGTTGTTCCAACTGTAATTACTCGACACAGCAGCATTCCTTATTCTCGAGTGACTTTGGTTTGTCTTCTTTTCTCATTCAAACGAGATATATAAATTTCTTTGTTCTCAGGGTGAGTTGCCCGATTATCCAGGAGCTTTCGGCAACTATTTGTCTCCATTAGCAGATGTTATCGTCAAATGGGACGAAAAAGGTTCTTTTTTTTTTGGAATACGAACTTCAATACTTTTTGTAGAATTTCGCAGAACTCACTGTCTTACTGCACTCGTTCGATATCAAGGGAATCGAGTTGTGGTAGGTTTTTTTTGCTATGAAAAAATTTGATCAGCGTTTAGTTTGGAGGGGAAAATTTTTCCTGGTAAGAGTACCTCTTTTTTCCGCATGATAAGGCTTCTCTTTCAAGAATATTTTTTTTTGAACATCAGAATTTTCCTTGATTTTTTAAGATGTTCTCTATGCTGTTTTTGGCAAAAAAAAAACTTTTGATAAATATTTTCTGAGCTTGATAAAAAAACTTTTTTTTGTGCCCGTATCGCCTTCTGATTGGAGTGAAATGCACCATAGGCAGAGTCGGAAGGACCATTTACGGCCCCATTGAGCGTCCCTTTTGGCTTAGGCTTAGGCTTTTGGCTTTCCAAATTGTTCCTAAACGTGTGGCAACGGTTTCCTTTTTACAGCATTTGCCGTCCTTTTATAGACATCGATCTACCCTTTTTGGACCTTTTAGAGAAACACGGAATTTTTTGAATTTAGAATAATCTTTACCAGTGATTTTGTATGAACCTAAATCGGAAATCATCAATGGCTGAGACTTCCTGCACCCTTTTTGTACCCTTATTCTTCACCTTTTTTGAGGCTTTTTTAGCCCACCTAGAATGAAAAGCTCAATAAAGCCCGCAAAACGGAACCCTTCTAGCGACCATTTTCCATTCACTCCCTTTCTGTGCTCCTACTTTGGCAGTGACTGCACTTGAATCTTAGGATGTTCTCGGCGATATTTTTTCTTCTTCAGAAAATGCAAGTGTTGATGAAATGCGAGGCGTTCGCCGCATTCGGCAAGGCGTTCAGCGGAGAAGACGTCTGGCCGTGGACGGCTAGCCGCACGATTCAGACGGCCGAAAGCACGCGTTTCACATTCAAGTTCCACATGAGTTGGTCTTACTCAAGTTCTTGACGTCTTCACGTGATTCCAGGCCAAAAGTTTCCTGAAATTGAAAGATTCAGTTTCTTCGCTTTGCTTTTCGCGGATGACGGCGCGATCATGACTTCCAGGGTATTCTTTTTATTTTTCATCTCGCAATTAATCCAATTCTTGTTACAGATGCAGTCCTATTTTCTTTCCTAGCTTGCCAAAAAAATATACGGTAATCTAATTGCAGTTAATTATAATATGTTTGCATATAATTATCCTTGTTAATTTGCCCTTACTTCAAAGTCCTGGAGAGCTACTGGTAATTGTAATAAAAAACGGTAATTCCTTCTTGTAGCATCTGTTTTTTTATTGTTGAGATAGTTTGAGCTTTATGATAATTTGAAACATTGTTTTTGTGCCACTATTCTGTGTATAAATTTTTGGTGTTTTCTTTTTTGAATTGTTGATGTTTAGTTTGGTGTTTCTATCACTATATTACTTCAATTTTTTTATATTCAAAAAGTACTCACAAAATCCAGACTCCTAGGTGTTTTGCAATGACGGATTTTTACCCTAAGCCAATAGAAAGCGACGACGAGGTGGCGACAGATGAGAGCGACGATGAAGACGTCGACGAAGAGGCTCGTTTTGCTCTTCCCTGCAAGGAATCCCTCTCGATTTCAGGCGGTCCAAGTTCGGAAGAAAAGGAAGATCGCCAACGCGGCGAGCGAGTTTTCTCAGGATTTCATCTTTGAGGGATTCGAAGGACAGCTAGAAGATAAAGAAACAGAAGATCTCAAAAAGTAGGTTCGAAAAAAAAGAACATAGTTAAAATTTCTAGGAATTGAAAGTTATCTTCTTTTTCACATTTTTCCGTTGTTAGATTTTGAATTTTCTAGAATTCGCTTACGGAAAAAAATTCATTCTTACCAATCTACCTATATTACCTTTCAAGTTGAGAAATATTGACTAAGAAAACGAAGGAAGAAAAAATTTTCTTGGGGTGGAAAATTTGATTTTCTTTCCTTTTTGTTATAAGGGAAAGTTCCGAATTCTTTTCAGATACCTCAAAAAAACAGTAGCATCTACCCTGGAGGACAAGATTGCCGAGGTTCGGCGCTTGAAAAACACGGGAAAAGCCGTGGTTGTGGAGGGCGAAACTTCTGCACAAGATCAGAACGAAGACGACGTCCAGCAACTCGGAGGCAGAGAGACAAAAGGTTTTTTTTTGCTTCTGTTGCTTTCTCTCAAAAGCTTTCGACCATAAACACAGTAATCGAAAGCCGTTTCCTCATCTCTTGTGTACTAGGCCGGCCATGAGACACATTAATTTTGCCCTACAAACATGTCATTCCTACTTTTTTCGTCCAATATGTATGAGTTATTGCAGACACTGTGAGAGAGAAGAAAAAGCTTGGGAGAGCCCGTAAGACAGAACCTCAAGACGACTTCTTCGCGGCGAGCGTCGACGGTCGAGTTCTGGAGGCCGTCAACATCAGCTTCGAACAAATGAATCTCAGTCGACAGATTTTGAAAGTTGGTCGTTTAAGTGTGATCCTGGAAGTCGCAACCTGCACGATGCGCTCTTTTTCGAGAGTTGTAAAGTTAAAAAAAAAAAGAAGATAAATAGCAGTTTGAATCAACTTTTCACGAATATTTAAGACAGTGCTACGGCGGCCGGTGGCCGGTCAATATGCTCCGTCAGTTTCGGAGCCAGGAAATTTTTTCAGTTTTCTTTCTTTTTTGCAATTTGTTAAGGACCTATTTCTCAAAATTACAAGATGTTACGTCACAAAAAGTACACATTTTTTCATTTTATTACCCAAAAATCTAGCTTGACTACCGTATTACGACCGGCCGCCTTGAAAATACGTGTATTTTGAGGTTATAAGCTTTTTTCATGGATACAGTTGAGTTGTGCAGATTAGAAAATAACGTATTTTCCTCATGAAAAAAAAACCTCAAGCTTACTATCTGTACCGTCCATCTAGGCTGAAAAGTTCCAGAATAAGTTTACTGCTTTTTTTTTATTAATCATTTTTTATTGAGATTTCGATTCCAATCTCACATTATTTTCTCACTTTTTCGTCTGCATACAATTTGAAAGTCCCTTCCAAGCTTTAAAGTACCGTTGTTAAAGTGGTCCTTAGAGGGGACCTTCCAAGAGCCTCTAAGCTTGCCCCTATAGGGACCACTCTAGAGCTCCTACGTTTGGCTGTTTCGAACCACTAGCTTTCAGGCGATAGGATCGGCAGGATTCAGCGAGCCGACGCCCATCCAGGCGGCCTGTATCCCCGTCGCGCTCACCGGAAAGGTTACATCTTTCTCTGTTCACATTCATCCGCAACTCTGCCGTTTCAGGACATTTGCGCGTGTGCGGCCACCGGAACCGGCAAGACGGCCGCCTTCGTTTTACCCATCCTCGAACGACTTCTCTACCGGTCCAAGGGCGCCAGCTGCACTCGAGTCCTCGTCCTCGTCCCTACTCGTGAACTTGCCATTCAAGTCTTCCAGGCAACTTTTTCTTCTTCTTTTTAGATTAATTCAATAAGTCAAGTCAAAATTTCTTACTTCCTTTCTCCGTAAACATCTTATTCAATAGAGCAAAATTATTGATAAGTTTTTCGAGCTCTGATTTTGCAGGTTTTCCGCAAACTCTCTACGTTCTCGCAGTTGGAAGTTTGTCTCTGTGCAGGTACGTGCACTCTTTTTTATTCAGTTTGGGAAAGAAGTACTGAACGGCAATTTCTTGTACCAATAATAGCTCATAAATTTATTATTCGCAAGTTTCCGCTGAAGGAAAGTATGTGAAAAGTTTTTCCAACTTTCAATAACATACATTTTTTTTTTCACCAAGAGTTGTCAAACATGGTGGGCCTTTCACCTAGTCTTTTGGACTTTTCTGTAAATTTGCTTGAAAAATATTCGATAGCAGGAATTAAACCCATTGAGCCGTTTTCTGCACAAACTTCCAGTTTTAAATATATGAAGTTTTAAAGTTTTCTTTAAACAAGATTAGACATGATACCCATATTTAACAACTTAAAAAGTTGATACCTCTTAAACTAGACGTTTGCGTAGCCAGAGACTATCTGTGTTCGATTTCCAGTCCATTAAACACAAGCTACGTCAAGAAAATTTATTCAAAATGCTTTTTTGGCAATATTAGGTGACTTTTTTTAGCGTTCATTGTTCGATCATCTTTTTACTTAAGTTTTATTAATAAATAATTTAATATGATAGCAACGGAGCAAATAACGCCAGTTGCTTTCAAAGACCACTCGATCAATAAATTAGTAGTTGGTGGCGGTGAGCGAAGGCAGAAGTGTTCCCACTCGATTGTTAGTGTTCTTTGCGAATTTCGCTACGTAGACGATGAGAATTACGGATAGGACAGCTGATGTGTAGAATGCATACGTATAGTGAAGACGCTGGAAACGTGTTTTGAAACTTTTTTCTATCAAGTTCTTGCAAACCTCGACAATTTGAGCTGCGTAAAGGGGAATCACAAAGTGCGTGAGCCACTGAACCATTGAAGCCAATCCTGTAGCTTTTCCCAGGTCGGTCAACTCTACCGAGCTGAATCTCATAAAGTGAAACGGGTGTATTTTTGAGATGAAAAAACCTGGTGATTTGGGTGCATGACTCCGCGTAGGCGATCGCGTAGGAGCCCGTTTGAATAGCCGTTATCACGAGCATTTGTTCAAAAGAAGATGCAAAAGCTGCGGCCAAGTAGCTTGCCGTCAAGCCAATTAGGGCTACCTGAAACTTTTGGTTTCGAAACTTCTTTCGTTATCTCACTTGGAGGAGCGTTCGAGGGCTGGACCTTCGCTGAAGAATAGGCAGAACGACAAACTGTACGAGCAAAAGAGCAGCAGCCATTGTGAGCAGCACGTACATGCTGTCGTTAGTGTTGTGCATATAGTTGCGGAGCAGAAAGTTTCTAGAGATCATCTCGTAGCAGACGTAGGAGGCCACCAACAGTAACCGCATCAACAAACCTTCCTTCAAATAGTTTGATAAAGTTTCGGAGATACTAGATTTGGATGGACTTTGAGAGCAGAATTGCGGGAAATCATATGCCAGTAGTCTTGGGGGCGCAGACGTGCAGAAGCAAGTCGAGGGATGGAGTGGGTCGTAGGCAGCAGGAACATGATCACCGGGGCCAAAGTGGCCAACAGGACGCAGCCAACGATGAACTGGGAGATCCTAAGCGACGTGTAGGCGGCCACCTTGGAGCCGACGATCGGACCGAAGAACATGGCGACCGCCTGGTTGGATCATTCGGTTATCACCAAACTGGAAGTCGTTGATACCTGTGGAAATGTGAGCCTCATCAGGGCGGATGTTCGTTCGCTTTCCGTCGTGACCGTAGCCAAATACATTTCGGCCGTTCCATCCAGTTGGTAACCGAATCGTAAGACCTGTAATAAATGATTAAGATTACATAGGAAACTCTACCCTCCAACAAGGATCATTTCACTCTGTACATACTGGAGAATATTTCAAAAATGGGCCAGAGTACTTTTTGATCATAGGTCGGCTGGATCCCACTCCGGGGTGCGGCCTACCCCTCACAAACTGCGGCCTACTCCTCAAAAGTGCGGCCTACTTCAGTACATTTCCAAATTTTTTTTTCGGGCGCAAAAAGCTGGGGTAGGATCCAGCCGATGTATGTTTTCGATTTGTTCGAGGAAGACTACGAAATATAAAACTTCCAATTTTTTTTTTTCGACAAAGGAGGCAGAAAATTAGAAGCCACCATCAAACAGAGATTGTTGGAACTAAATTTTCGAATTGCGGAATGCGAAATAAAGTTTTTTTGCGAAACACGGAATGCGGAAAATCCCTCGGTAAACAACTTTTGGATTATTAAGGCTCTATTTATGAATTTTTTTTTTCTTGGTAGGTTGTATTTTTCGACAGATATCAGGTAAAAACGACTTATTGTACTGTAAAAAATCTTTGCAAGAAATAACTTCATCATTATTTTCGAGAAAGTTTGCTAGTTAGAGAATATTTAAGTACTACTGTGTGGTTAGAGTTTTTTATTGCTGATAACAGCTTTTTAGTCGTTTAGATTAACCTCAAACTTCCTTCATTTCGTTGTAAACTTGAGAGTTAAAAAAAAATATTTTTTTCGAAGAAGAGATAAGATCTTTTTCTCAAAAAGCAAGGACCTCATAAAAATTTTTGAGGCAAACTAATATAATTCGAAGTACTTGAGGCTTTTCCCACTTTAGCTTTTTTCAAAAGCAGTTTTTTAAAACTAAAACAAGGTTTTATAGCCGAGTTGTTTTGAAAAAAAAGTATGACGAAGATTCTTACAAGTTCAGAAAAAGGCGACAGAGAAAACTGGTTTCTCACCTGTAGGAAGAAGAAAGTGTACCAAGTTTTGGCCATGGAAATTCCGCAATAATAAACAGCGGTAAAAGTTGCGGAAAGCATGAACATGGATTTAGCTCCCATAGAGTCAGCCATCTGAATGTTTTCATTATGGCGAATAAAACTATTTTGACTTGCCTGGCCAAAGGCAAGCGCTCCGACAGCATTGCATAAGCTTCCAAACGCCTGAATGTAGCCCAAATCGGTAATAGTCATCACTTCTACAGTGTCCCATTGCAAAAAAGACAAAAGGGTAGTGGTCCATTGCGTTCCGAAGTGCCATAATCCGAATATTAAGCACAGAACTAGCATTACTCGCTGTTTTTTTTCGAGCGACATTTTGAACAGTGAATAATGTTAAGTATACAGATCAATAAAGCTTCAGGATTACAGTTGGCAGTGCCGACTCGCGCTTTTCGGCGAAAGCGAATGTTAGGAGACCGGAGACGAGGCTGCGCGGTGGACGTGTCCAAACGGGGGAGGGGGAATCTGGTCGAATGGCCGCGCAGCAAAAATCTTGTTTCTTCTTGATCGCTTAGACAGTGATGGCGTCGTGCATATCATTGGAGACGCATCTTGACGCTCTCTGGATTTCCGGAAAAAGAGGCTTAGAAAATAGATATCTAGTGAAATGCAAAAGAGTTTGAGTTGCAACTATGGATCGGCTAGTCCTTGACCTTGCACTTTGCACCTTTCTTGTTTTGCGCACGTTTCATTCTGCGCGTCCTGGCCTAACAATGTGTTTGAGAGGTTTTTCACCGCCTCGGGCGCCTGTTTGAAGTTCGACTTTCGTCTTCGGTGACAGGAGAGGACGAGAGAAATAGAAAGAAGGAGAGTGGTCGATTTTTTCAAAATCTACTCAGATGAAACTAAGCTTTATAGAACTCCTAGTTTGCGAGTTTATTTTTAATGGATGGGATCAAGTTTACTATGGAAGTATAGGAAAGCTGACTAAAATTCGGAAGAAACGATAAGGTTGGAAAAATACGGATATAATAGGGACAAATTTTTCAAGTTTGTCAATCCGAAACTCCTGTACATTTCCTTCTGATTTCAAATAGGACTTTTCTTCGTTCAAAACAGTCTAAAAGTTTCCTCAGTGGTAAACGACAGAATACTTGTACCTGTCTCCCGGAAGGACTTGGGGTCAACAGCGCTTCGAAAATGTTATGCGTATTTATGAGTCTGCGCCGTCGCTCTTTTTTGCCTGCTCTTAAATGAAGAAAAAAAACGGTAGAATTAAAATTATTCATTCCATTTTGACGGAGTGAACCGTCAAAAGAGCAATATCGAATTTCATAAAATCAGCATATTTGTGCACAAGTGGTATTGCTGCTAGTGATATGAGAGCGTTGGTGATGCAAAGAGGAGTCGTGTCTGACTCGGTGAGATAGGCTCCGGCGACGAGAGGCGTCAGCATTGAGGCCCCAAGCTGCGACATCCGTATTAGAGCCGTTGCCTAAAATTTTCGAACCTCTTTTTGTGACTCGGATGTTTTTAGGAATCAGGAGTGTTTGAATTTTCTCATAAACTTACGCACCTTTCCAGCGTACTCTTTCCCAACGTTTCCCATGAGTTGAGAGGATATTTCTCCGATACAGATCGAAACCGCAAACACCTGAATATGTTTACTCGATGCGCCTGGGGAACTTGGCTCACTTGAATGGGCATTCCGACCAGTAAGTGAGAGTAGTCATGGAACATGGCCATGTAAGAGTAAGAAAGACTGAGTAGCGAAAACGAGCCGATAAGTAATGTCTGAGGACTCCAGAGAGCCTGGATTCTCGGTAAAACTATGGCGTTGACGGTCATTGTTGTCAGTCCGAGCATGAAAAACTTATTCCGGCTTGATTTATGTTGTTTGTCTGTCAATCCTACCAGCTGATGTATCATTTGAGGGTCGTGAACGACAGTCGAAGCCATAGAAATTCGGACGATGTTGTCGTAGGAGATGTATGGTCCGCTTACCATCTGAGTGCCGTGTTTTTTTGAAATTGTGTCCTTCTTACCACGAGATAAATAATGCACCAACGGATTCGCGAAATCCCTATCATTTCTCGATATGTCTTCAAATCTGGCCATTCGAAGTTCCTGCCTTGAACAATTTGGGTCTTAAATACTCAATTCGGCTAAAACTTGTTTTTTTATCCGGCAGCCGCGTAAGGATTATTGGAATAAGAGTTGTTAATGTTAGAATACTGCACACAGTTTGAGAGGTGATCAAGGAAGATGTTACGAAGAAAATCATCTGCAGTGAAGTTTTTTTGGTTCATCACTTGTTTTTAAAACCTGCAAAGCACAATAAGGACCCGCTGCATAACCAACGCTCATCGGAATGAGCATTTTTGTAACCAATCGAGACCTTTTCTTTGCATCTCCGTGCTCTCCCTGGAAAGGAATTTTCATTCTCATTTGAGCATTTTATTAAGCATTTTATAAAGTTTTTCGAAAAAGATCATGATAGTCTTTGCCAATTTTTTAAGTATTAAATATGAACCTCTAGATGCAGTATTCCGGCGTCCACGACCATTTGCATGTTGTTAAACATGAGGATACTCTGTAGAGCCCCATAAACCCACACATCAGTTGTGGAGCAGATGATTATCTGAAGAAACTTAGCATTTTATACTGAAATTGTTATATACCTGGTAAACTGCTACGAAAATCGCAATCAAAAGCGCACTTGTTCTCATTCCCCAAACATCAATCTGGAGCTCTCTTGATTTGTTTTTCTTTCATTGGTCTCACCATTTCGGCGATGAAAAATGTTCCGAAGAAGGTAAAGGCCGAACCGAGGGAATTGAGTCCCAACATGACTGTAATGGATGGATGTGGTTCGAGTTGCCATTGCGCGAAAGGCAGCAGAACCCGGGTCCACTGGTCGTAGGTATGGTAGAGTCCAGTGAGGACCAAGAGCCACGTCTCGAACCTCGACCTTTCCTTTCTGTTCATTCCTAAGAATTTTTTTCAGGTTGGAAATCGAAAAAAAAAGTTCAAACTTTGGTCAGTTCGTTAGGACGCAAAGAATTAACGAACTCACAACGACCGCATTTATCAATCATAAACGGAGAAAAAATTGTATTTGAAACATTTCCGTTTTGATCAAGCATATTTCAACAGGAAATTGTTTTTTAAAATCACACAATAATTATCAGAAAACAGGTTCACTTGTTACCTGGTGGAAGACTTGATTAATGAATGGATAACAGAAATATGCAATCTTTGCCTGATTGACTACCACAGAAGCGTCGCAAATGGATCTGCAAAAGAGTATTGTTCTGGGGGTTTTTTTTTCCATGTTTTTGTTATATTTCGCTGAACCTCTCTTTTCCTCTCTCTTCCTCATTGTGTTTGTACACCTGTAAACGCCTGAATTTCCACCCTATAATGATGTGGCAACTTACGCTTGGTTCTCAAGAATTTCAATTCAAATGAATAAGATTTTCACCATTTTCGAAACGGAGAATGCATTTCAGGAGGCCTCGACCTGAAGGCTCAGGAAGCAGCGCTGAGGTCAGGCCCAGACGTCGTCGTTGCGACGCCCGGCAGACTCATCGACCACCTGCACAACTCCCCTTCTTTCAATCTTTCACACATCGAGGTTTGTCAGAACGCTGGAGGAAACTCCGCAAGGATAACGTTTCCAATCTTTTGGAACCGCTAAAGAGTTTTTCGAAAGAAGTTAATAAATAAGTAGGAGTATCACCATGAATTTCAAGTCCTCTCGAAAATTTAAAAAAAAATTTCTGATGGAGTTCAATTTGTTGGTTCAACCTAACTCCTATATTCACTCTAGTATCAAATCTCATCCTCAAAAAAAAGACATTTTTCAAATAATTAAAAAAAAACAACTAAAGTCTATCTCATCACAGCCAGACAAAATCTTGACCTTATCCTCTCCATCGTAATCAGTGTTCTCTCTCCTTTAAGGTGTTGGTTCTGGACGAAGCTGACAGAATGCTGGAAGAAGCCTTCCGGGATCAGATGAACGAGTTGATCCGCTTGTGCTCTCCCAACAGACAGACACTTCTCTTCTCGGCCACCATGACCGACCAGGTTCACCTCCTTTGAAAAATATGACGATTAAAGCAGCGACATCACTTTCTATATAAATATTCACAAAAAAATGAGAAAAGCAGGAGAAAAATAGCAATCAATAATAAGCCGCAGATCTTCAGATCGATGAGCTGAGCGCCATGTCATTGAAAAAGCCGGTGAAAATTTTCATTAATGAAAACACGGACACGGCCTTGAAACTGAGGTGGGTTGAGAAGCGAAGAGTTAATCTAGAAAAGGGATCCTCAGACAAGAGTTCATTCGAGTTCGAGCTGGCCGAGAGACGGACCGCGAGGCGATCATCGCCGCTCTTGTCACCCGCACTTTTCAGGTTTGCACCGAATATTTCCCATATTCCTTCTTTTCGTTGACCATTCTTTCTTCAAATATCAAAACAACTTCAAGGAAAACGCGATTGTCTTTGTACGGACCAAGAAAGATTGCCAACGTATGCAAATAATGCTGGGACTTCTAGGAATCAAAGTGAGTTTTTTTTTTTCAGATTTCTCCTTATACAAACCATTAAATTTTTCACCGTTCAATCCTTTTTTTTTCTCATCCACACAATGAAAATTCAGGCAGAAACAAAAGCTGCTCCAAAGATAATTTTGAAAAAAAAAATTGAAAATCGTCAAAAAAAGAAGCGAAACGGCTCAAAGCTAAAAATCGAAGCTGAAGTTTTCGCTAACTTTTAAGAAAATAATTGAAATGGTTCATGTGAATTACTCAAATTCCCATAGATATTCTTGTATTGTCAAATGATTATGTTCGTAGTGAAAGACCTGTGGTTAAAAGAGGTCTTAAGACGAAAAAAATATGAAAGGTATTCTCATGTTTTTCCAGGTAGGTCAAATGCAATCGAGTTTGACTCAAACGCAACGTATCGAGGCTCTATCAAAGTTCAAGCACGGCGAGGTTTTTTATAGTTTATTTTTATAGTTTTTTATATTTTTTATATTTTTATATTTCCTTCGTTCCCTGTTTTCGACTTTTGTTTTTCTCGTCTTATTTTTACCGCCTCTGCAGCTCGACGTTCTTGTTTCGACGGACTTGGCCTCCCGAGGATTGGATATTGAAGGCGTCCAAACGGTTTGGCACTTGAAATTTCTTCCTTCTGAAGATAGAAAATATGTCTAGGTGATAAACATGAGCATGCCGAAAACCATCAAGCAGTACATCCACAGGGTCGGCCGGACGGCTCGTGCTGGCCGCGCTGGAAGGTCCCCGCCCTTTTTTGTTTCAATATCATTCCATTTGTTTTCAGGTCGATTTCCCTAGTGGGAGAAGATGACCGAAAACTTCTCAAAGAAATCATCAATTCGAACTCGGACCGAATCCTCAAGCAGAGACTTGTCGCATCAGGTTTTCTAATTTCATCAAAATGTTCTGTACCCCTTTTTTGAGAAAATTTTTAAAATTACAGTGACAGTATGTTAAGAGAAGAAATTGTTGGAAGGAACAATGAAAAACACGGTTTTTTTTTTGAACAAGATAGTTCTCATTTTGGTGCTGTGAGGTCACGAAAATTTCATGTCTAACTCTTTCCATTCCAGAAGTCATTGAGGCTTATCGCCGTCGGATCGATGAGCTAGAAGAGTCGATCCAACAGATTGATCTCGAGGAGAAAACTGAAAGGTGAGGCTTCGACCGCCGAAAAACTATAAATTTGATTCGATTCAAGAGAGCTGCGTATAGCTGAGTCTTCCATGGCAAAGACTAAGGAACAACTCGAGTCGGGGACTTCTGAACGAGAGGGTCGCGTTTGGCTGTTGAAACAGTCGAATTCCGGTGCCTCAGTCATTTCAAACCTCAGTTGAACTTTTATTCTTTCCAGAGAAAGATCGTAAGCGAGAGGAGAAGCGTGTGTTGAAGAGTGAAGCTAAGAAAAAGAAGAAGGAAGAGAAATCTGTAAGTTGCTGTGTAGAGATGCGCCCTATTTTTGCCTTTTGTAGAAGGATGAGATCGAAGTGGAGCACATGGCTGCGTTCCAAGCGCGCGAGGCCAAACGCAGCCGACGCGGTCAGCACAAACGTCTGCGGGCTGTCGTCGAGAACAAAATCTCGCACAAGGTTCTTTCCAGTCGCATATTTCTCATTCATTTGAGAGTTTTATGAGGCAGGCAAGAAATAGAAAGAAGAACAAATCGCAGAAAATAGAGTTATTTTGAGCCATTTTAAAGGAGTTATTTTTTCTTTGCTACACAATTTTTCAGTATGCCTAGTAACTCCAGTGTGGACCCTATACTGGCAACCTTAAGGGCTTTTGAAGGGTCTCCTCTAGGGACCACTACCATCCCCTATAGGGGCCCTAAGGCTCGCAAAAGTGGTCGCTATAAGGGTTTTATTTGTTTTTGCTCCCGATAGAGGCTGTCTTTTTCCTTTACCCCTATAGGAGCCGCTTGAGCTTTGGGGGCAGAGGGGTCAGACCCTAAGTCCCTTTAGGTGTTTTTTGCCCCTAACCCTTATAGAGGCCACTTGAGCTTTCGGGACTAAGGGGTCAGACCCTAAAACCCTATAGGGATCACTAAATTTTCTCCCCTTTGGGCACAACTTTTTAGTTCCCTATAAAGTTGTTTTTCCCCGGACCCCTATAGGGACCACTCCAGGTTCTGAGTTTCTTGCTGTCCGCTGTTGGACATCTTTCCAATCTTCATATTCCAATTATCATTCGCATTTTCCTTGAATCATACTTTCACTTCAAGAAACCGATGAAAGCGACTGCTGCAGCGAAGGTGAAAGCGAACGCGTCGTTGCGAGACATTCCGATCGTCGGGGTTGGTGAATCCGTTTTTTACCCTGACGATGGACCCGTTGCAGAGAAAGAACAGTACGCCTCAGAAGAAAGCGGCCAAAAGCAGCTTCACATCTGCTTTGGCTTCTGTGTCTCGCAAGTCTATCAAGGCGGCTCGGCATGGACCTGAAGACTCAGGTTTCCAAAAAGCCCGCGTCGCGCATCGCCTCAAAACGAAAAAGAAGTAACTGTGCGTAAAATTGTTGTTGTTGTTGTTATGCGTCTCTCCAAATTGTTGATTTTTGTTACATTTTATGAACATCTTATTATTAAACTGCGAACAGTCGGGTGGGGGTCAGTATTATATAAAGTGACATGATATCATTGAGGTATGAGGATCGCGTGGACTTATTAAGGAGGCTTCACTGGCGCTCGTCGTGCTCCTGAATCGGGTTTTTTTACTCCGTACTCAAGGTTTTCAGATACGTGCTGAATGCTGAAACTTCGTGGAACTACTCTGCTGCGGGACTCTATCCGTGAGTCGATGTCGTCCATTAAAGACTGCAGCTCGTTGATCTCTTCCACCAACTTCGACGCGCTATCTGCTGGTTTTTTGGGACTCGCGGGGCTCATTGCGAACTGCGTCATAGTTGATTGGTTCTGCAATACTTTATTTTGTGATGACGCTCGAGAAATGGGTCTTACCGAGTTTGGAAAGTTTATTTCTTTACTCAACATCGTTCTGATGCCGAATATCTTCTGTCGCTTGTGCGCGCGCGTTCGAAACCGTGGGAACTTAATCATCTTTTTATACGGTTTTAGAGACATGAGATGAAGAAAAGCCCAGAAAACGAAATGGAGATGTATCATGAGAGGACGTCACATTGAAACGAAAAGCAGTGTTTCATAATCGGTTCTATTAACGAATTTCAGCTAAGAGAAGCATTTTGAGAGTCTAAAGAGAATTCTAGAGCGAAAAGTTTGTATTTTTGAATGGTTTAATGAGAGCTCTCTGTCGAGGCGTGATCCATAGAAAAGACCTGTGCTTTGATTTTGGGCGTGAAGTCGAACCCGCCGTCATGCAATTTCGGATTCCGCGTTCTCTTTCCTCCCTTTATTCCACGCCGTTTTTTCGTCTGAAAACGTTCCGAGTTGTGAACCGTGAGAAAAACTCACCTTTCGAAGTACTTTGGCTGTGTTGAGGAGCTGGACGGAGGCGTGACTTTGGTCGCTCTTCCTGGAGGTGACTCCCTCTCTAAAGTACAGAATAGAAAGCCAATGTCGAGGATGACTGACCCGTGTCTCGTTTCCGAAAGTTCGTTCTTCTCTGCCATTTTGGCAGCTTGCGTTATGTTCTTCAGCATCCAGTCCAAAGCGCTCAGAGTGTCCGCCGACAGTTCCTGAAAGACACGAACTACAGGTTGGGACGGAAAGAAGGAAAATTTCTGTTTCCTCACCGGCAAAGCCTTCTCCTTCTCCTTTCGTGATGGCAATGGAACTTCGCCGAAATGCAGAGTGCTGAGACTTTTCACCTCTGTAATCAATTTCAGTTGTTTCCAGACACGGCTTGAAAAAAGATTTTTTCCAGGGACTTGACTGATTTTCCTCAGATAATTAAGAGGTGTTCCCCCTTTTTCATCAGACTTTTACGTTTTTTGAAGGTTAAAACTCACTTTTAACCGTTTTCTCCCTCTTCTTGTCGTATTTTGTTGTCATCGGTGGTTCATTTTGCAAGGGTATAGCAATGCTGAAACTTAAAAACGAATTGTAGGAATGTTCGAGGCTGACAAACTTCGGAGATGACGTCGCCGGTGTGACAACCTCAAAGAAGAGATCTTCTGAGACTGGAGTTTTTGGCGTGACGATTTGAGGAGGAAGGTTTATTTTTTGCGTTGTAGTGGCGACAGTCTGACTGACGGCTGTCGTGCTTGCCGTTGTGGTTGGAGTTGGACTGAATTCAGACGTCGTCGTCTTCGGCGCTTCAGTTGTCGTGCTAGATACGAAGGTGCTTCTGGAGTCTTCCTTCTTTGTCTTGGAGTCGTCGTCTACCAAATTGAATTGCGTGAGGTCGTCTATGTTCCCAAACACGTCTTCAGTAAACTGAAAAAACGTTTTCAGCTACGTCTTGTTGGATAGTAGCCCCACAGTGGTTAACAGAGAGACCTAGCGTTACAGCAAATCTTTGAAGTCCTACTTGTTTTCCAGTGAACTGGGGTCCCTTCATGTCGAACTTCGGCGTGTGCTTGTGCTCATCCAGAGCCTTAGTCTCGGTCAGCTCTTTCTGAAAATGTCTCTGAAGCTCTGAAACAGTTTTAAGGCTCCTTACAGTGGCGAGAGAGGCGTGGAGATCCTTCTTGCTGGGTGCGTCAACGTCATCTGCTCTGTAAGAGGGAGTTTCAGAGCTTGGTCAGCAAGTGCTTGATAAGTTAATTTATCAAATCATGAAATTTGATGAGGATCAAAAAAATCTTTAAATACTTCTCACCTTTATAATCGTCAAATTTCCTAATTCTTCCAAGTTGATAATAGTTAGAACGAAAACATAAATTTCTGATTATATAGTCTGTGTGCCACGACTTGAAATTTCACCGAATGGCATTCCGATGTTCCGCTGCGCGCGTTCGCGAAGAGTTTTTCGAATCTTTATTGTTATTGCTGTGGGAGCGCATGAAAGTAGAGTACCTTAATAAAAAAAAAAATAAGAAGCGCGACCAAGGTTCGCACAGCGGAATGTCGTTTGGTGAAATTTCAAGTCGTGGTACACAGGCTATATACAAATTTTTTGCTCAAGCGCTAGGAAAAAAAGAAAGTATAATACGACGCTTACCGTGTGAGGAAAGGGCGAAAGCTCTCTTTGCTTTTTTGAGACTCCGGGAGCTTCACTTCTCTCGTAATATCGCCGAAATCCTGAGCCTGTTTTCTATTGGAATAAAACCAAAGCAAACAATGAAACCTCAGGATCAACCGAGGGGACTGGTAAAGGAAGATTGATGCGGCCGCTTGCTGTCTTCACAGCAAATTGCTTAGCGCCGAATATTCTCTCTGGCGTAGAACCTAGATAGGAGATAAATAATAAAGAAATAGGGGAAAACAAACCCGGAGCGCCGTCAGCGTCGTTGGTTGGCCTGTGCAGAAGCTCATGAGAGACTAGGTTTGGTGGTGTAAGTTCTGAATATTCGATCACATTTTTCGGCGTTTCAGGACTTTCGAACTTGGAACTTCACCGGCTCGGAGTTTCTGATGTTTTCCCTGAAACTTGCTGTTGGGCGCCTGATCAGCCAAGTCGTCCGGGTAAAGTTGTCGCAGAGCCTCGATTCTGAAACACTGAGGTTGGGCAAGCAGAAGTCTTAAGTGTAAAACCTGTCTTCTTGCCAAGGGTCCGAGACATCGTAATCGTTGGATATGGAGTTTCGGCGAGGCAGAGCCGGCACGACACTCGCATCGCATGGCTGCGTCTCCTGAAGGTTACTTTGGTTTTTTCGACAGGATATGAGTTTCAATATAAGAAGTGTGTTTCAGAGGATAGGCTGCTGAATGGAATAACGCTTTACTTGGTTGGGACCCAGGCAGCGGAAACCGCGGATGGTGTTGCAGGCGCGGACGCGGATCCTTTCTCCGCCGGCGCAAAATGACCAGGAAGACCATGCCGCCCACACGGACGCCCACACTGCAAAACTCCTTTTTTCTATTAAGGTTGGCAAATATAAGAAGAAGTACATTGAAAATTTGATTTGAAAGTCTTGATCTACGCTGGAAAGTGTCATATTTTCACTAGAAAAAGACATATTTAAGCTTGATGATTTTAGGGGAAATGCGTTTAAAAAAGATGGAACGAGGTGTTACCAGATGTGAATGGGTTTTATAGAGAAAAGTGCTGATTGGGAAAAATTAATTTTAAGTTATAATTGAATAATCGAATCAATATAATACTATCCTTTTCTCAAAACCGAAGATCGCCCTGATACAATTTAAAATCAATTGTACTTAGGAACTCCAGAGTGGTCCCTATAGTGGCAACTTAGGGGCTCTTAGAGGGTTCTCTCTAGGGATTAAATCACCAACCCCTATAGAAGACAATAAAGCTTGCAAAGTGGTCCCTATAGAGGAAAAGCTAGTCGATAATTTTTATGAGCTCTAGACGAAGAAGCATTTTCATGCGAAAAACTTAAAAAATAACCTTTTGAATAAAATTGAACGACCCCTAAAGGGTCCAATTGAGTTTTTGGGGCTAAGGGGTCGGACCCAAAACCCCTATAGGGACCACCTTGATTTTACCCCGATAGGGGACACGTTTTCGGTCCATATAGGGCTTTTTCCCCCCTAACCCCTGTGGGTACCACTCAAATTCCAAAGTAGATTTCTAATTCTAAAGTCCCGTGGTTTCGAAAAAATCTGCCGAGACGTAAAAGCACTACTCTCTCTCTTTTTCGAAAGCTGAGCTGGAACGACCCAATTCCAGTGCATAAAAAATGTTAGAGATTGCGTGTTAGCCGTTTTCGAGCTTCTCTCCTTCGACTTTTGGACTAACCCATTTGAGCGTGGGCCGGTAGTAACTGCGGCCGTGGCGTTCCAAAGCCGGCGAACTGGTTGAGCTTTCCGGTCGGAGCCCAGTCTGGCTCCGTCGTCGATTCCACCGTCCCATCGTCTCCTGGAACCTTTTTGTTTGGCCTTTTCCCCTTGGAACTATGTTTTCCTTTGGGATCAGACTTATGCAGCATCAGTAATGATCATTTTGAAAATTTTGAAAGTTTTTTCGTCCGATCTTCGTGTCAAAAAAAGTTCAGAGCATACATGGGATGAGAATGACTGACGACAGCTGTTATTTGATCGAACTACAGGCTGACGCAGGAAGATGTGAAATTTCTTTTTTTTTTCGATCACTTTTAACTAAGAAAAAAAAAGTCGCTTCTGCTAATCAATTGAACTTTATAAAATGAATTTTTGACTTTTTTATAAGATCGGACTAGCGCCGTCAGGCGCGCACCCTGAAAATTTTTTTTCGTTATTTTGCCAAGACCCCTCCCCTTCTTCAGGTCTCACCAGCGTATGGTTCAGAGCAGCAATGGCAAAATTTGAGTTTTTTTTTCCAAAAAACAGTTTTATACGGTTCTTGAAGACGTCATCTGCAACTTTTTTTTATCGATTGTCACTTCATAAAACAGAAACCAAAAGTTGAATGGCGCAATGGAAGGAAAGTGCATCGCCATCTTGTAGTGATATCTTGATCTAGTGACCAGGCTTTTCTAATCGATTATAGCAAAAGTTCAGCGACGCGTCTCGCTTCACGAGTTGGTTCCCAAGAACTGAATTCTCCCGAAAGGCGAAATCTTTATTAGGAACGATGGTTTTTGGATCACGGGAAAGAGAAGGTTTCGCGGTATTTCAGTGTTGCGATTGAAAGGTTAGGGAAGATGATTGAAAAGAGCTTTAATGACAGGACCAAGAAAGTAACTTTTAACGGCAAAAAATAAATAAAACAAATAGAAAAATAATCAAAAATAATGAACAGAAAGCACTTTTTGAGAAACGTTTCTCAGTTTTTTGCCACAGTTCCTGCTTTTTTTCATGAACAAGATATATTTCTTTAAAGGAAATGTATGTTAAGAGAGGAAATCCAGAAAGTGTGAAGAATATGACAAAAATTTGACTACCCCACGGTAGCTAACATCCTAGATCTTCACTCAAAAAGCGACTTGCTTTCAAATTTTCTTGCATGTTTTTGGACTTCTTATGAGTCGAAAATGGTAGCTGGTAGAGCTTCGAGACGATTACTCTAGCTTAGTTAGTTCGAATCTGTGTTTAGAACAACATAGGCAAAGTCGGAAGGATCATTTACGGGCCCTTCGAGCGTCCGTTATGGGTGCAAAAAGCATCCATTAAAAAACGGGTGGCAACGGTTTCCTTTTTAAAGCCTTTTTTTATCGGCATCCATCCACCCCTTTTAGACCCTTTTTAGAAACTAAAATTTCTTTTAATTGAGAATAATCTTCACCTATGACTGTGTATGAACCAAAATGTGCAACATTAATAAAGTCGGAAATTATCAATGATCGAGACTTTCTTCACCCTTTTTCAAGGCTTTTCAATAAACCAAGAAAGAAAGGCTCAATAAGGCGCAAAATGCAACCCTTCTAGCGGCCATTTTGCAGTCACTCTCTTTTTGCACCCGCTTTCCGCACTTCCGACTTTGGCAGTGAAAGGATAATAAAGGATAAAACATGAAAGCGAAGATATTCAAGCTTCTAAGCCAACAACGAAAAAAAGAGACAGAGAGAGTAAAGACGGAGATGGTAAGGCAGGTTAGAAAGTAGGTTAGTGTAGGTAGTGGTCAGCAAAGAAAAAAACTCACCGAGGACGGTATGTGCTAGAAGTAGACACAGCAGCCAGCGACGGTGCATGGCGTTGTGTCGATTCGAGGACTTATCGATAGGATAGGAGAAGTGAGCGCGATGTGGGTAACGGGGTCAGGCTGAAGCCGCGGCGAACCGCTTTCGTCTTCTCGCGCCACCGTCAGCCCGACAACAGGTAAAGTGCCCAGGAGCTTCTCTTTGTCCCGACAAGCCGCCAAAGTGTGCCATTAGTTCAAGGATCGTTGAACTCCCTCAAAGTGATCTTTTGACTCACTGTGAGAAGGAGGAAGGTTTTCTCAGGAATGCCAGCTCTGAATACTTTTCTCTTCTTAAAAACGCGATCATGCGCATTTGCGACAATCATCTCATGATCTTTCTCTGCGCGGCGACTTTCACAGTGTTCCAAAGCGAGTGAGATATAGGCGTTTCCTTTTCAATTGGCGCCAAATTCGAGATTTCTTTTTCAATTGAGTTGTTGAGATTTCCTTCTTTTTTTGATTAAAAAGGGATTTTAATTCCTTTTTTGGTCTAGAAACCAAAAGTTTCCAATCAGGGATGCACGAAACACGATCTCGTCTCGAGATTTTTCGAAATTTTTTTATCTTAATTCGGGATGAAAAAAAAATTTTTTACGCTGAAAGTTAAAATAAGGCGTCATATATGACGTTCCACATACCGGAAGCGATCAAAACCACAGCGCATTTTCAGATTTTGTGTAATATCTCTCAATAAAGAGAAGTTGCCAAACATTTTTGAGTTTTGGTCGTTTTCAAGTGTTATTTTTGAACAAAAATTTGTATTTTTTTTATTTCAAATTTTCCGAACTCGTCTCGAGATTTTTTTTTTCCAAAAATTTGCTTGTCTCGATCTCGTCTCGAGATAATTTTTTTTCGTCTCAATCCCGTTTCAAGAAGAAAAAACCTCGTCTCGTGCACCCCTATTTCCAATCACTGCCAGAAACTATATTTCTGAAAAACAGAGTTACGATAAAAAAAAATATTATCAACTATTCATCTCTATTCCGGTACGGAATAAAGTGCGTAGGCTACGGTCGATCCATTTTTCCATCTTTTCAAGACTTGTCCCTGCAAGCCTCTTGAGTTTAGAAAAGATAAACTTAACTTGAGGGTTAAACTTTTTTTTTATTGTTTAGTTTTTAGACTCTCATTTTCTCATTATGATAAGCTTTTTGGCCAATACTTTTTCCTTAGTGATTCTTTTACAAAAACTGAAAGGTTTATGTAAATTGACAGTTTCCTCTATCGAACAGTATGAAAAACACAATTTTTGGATGATTTTGAAAAAATGGCTTGCGGTTCCTAAGTATGGAAAATTTTGTACTTTTTCAAAACATTCAGGCGTTTTTGAACTCTTTTGACATTAGTTCAGATTACTAGTTGTTTCGGATAGTCTTCGCTGAACTATGCATTTTTCAAAGTTTTCTTGTTGTGCCAGCTAAAATTTGAGCAGACAGGATTTTTAACAATTTACATGAATATTAATTTCCACCTAGTAAGATCGAAAACCCAAAAAAGTATTTCATATTTTCGAGAACCAGTTTAATTTTTTCCGAGAAAACAACTTCAGAAGTAATGTTTGAGATCATTGACCAACCAAAGGTTTCCACCTCAAGAGCCTTTGAATTGAGGGTGGGCAAATGGCTGAAGATTAGTACCCTGCCACCCTCGCATGTTTCGCAATTTCTGCTCTGTCGGCTCTTATCACTGAGCGGGAAAGTGTATCAGAGCCTGTTGCTCCCGCATTTCCCTCTGTTCTTCCGTGAAACCTTCATTTTAACTAAACTCTTGATATCCTTTTGAAAATAAATAATTTTCCTAGTTTCAATAATTTTCCTTTGAATATGATATCTTAAACGATCTCCAGATGCATCAGCTCAAATTTTTTAGTTAATAATAACAATTTATTCACAGATCAGATCATTATTATTAGTTATGTTTATCATCTCTAAACCACCAGGGAAAAAAACACGACAGGAAAATGCACTTTTTTGCATGTTTAGGGGCCATTGGAGGGCCTCCTCTAGGGACCATTTTACCAACCCCTGTAGGGTCCCCTACCGCTTGCAAAAGTGGTCCCTATAGGAGACATGCTAGTCGATAATTGTTATGAACTCTCAGGGAAGAAGCATTTCCATGGAAAAACCGAATAAATGACCGTTTTTTGAATGAAGACCCCTATAGGGACCACTTTTCGGCCCCTATAGGGGTTGTGACGTTTTTTGTTTGAAAAATCTAAATAATTTGTTTCGAGAATGAGGTGCACAAGTAAATAATTAAAAAAAATAATAATTTCTTTCTTCGCTGAAAAGTTCAGGTTTTCATTTCCGAAATTTTTCATTACAATTTGAGTGACTTCAACAAAGTCCGAGGCATCATGAATGTTTTTATTGATGCTTTTTCCAGGACAATTCAGTTCAATCATTGAAATTCAAGGGATCGAACGAAACAGTTCATCAAAAACCTTTCCCAAGTTTGGGAAAACTTTTCTAAGGAGAAAAAGAGCGTGAGAGTGGACTGCTTGTGCAGCTGCGGCTTCCGGAGACCGCGAGGTTGCCTCGAATTCCGATGGCCCCAAAAGGCCGACGGCAAGCGATTGATCGGCCGCCTCCACTCACAAGCCCCTCTCCAGTCCGCTTCTCTCCTTTTTTCCCCTTCTTTCACTTCTTTTTTTCGCCCACAGTTCTTCTAATTGACGTTTTCTCCTCTATGTCATCTTTAAAAAGTTGCTTTTTCCAGCTTCTTTTTGTTTTTTTTTTTGAAAACCTACCAATTTTTGAGAAAGAAAGAGGTTTAATTTCCTAGGAAAGCATTCATCCGAACCCTGCCAGTGCGAACTTTTTAAGTCACCCTTGATAATTAGTACAGTCTAAATAGTTTTTAAGGGATTTGATCGAAAAGTTCTTATTCAAATTTTAAGATTCGAGTGAATCCCATCCTAATCCGCGGATTCGCTCATGATGGACCGACATACATGGCAGCATTTTTTCCTACCCGCCAGTTTCTGTTTTTTTATCAGCTAAAACGCCCGCTTTTCGAGAAGTTTTTTTTTTCGAAGATTCGGGTAAACTTGAAAAATATGGGTTTGGAATGCAAATTTTTTAAAAATATGGGCTCGAAGGATAACAGGGGTCACCTATAGGGTTCGCATGAGCAATGGTAGGTTCGGATGAGCAGGGTTCGAAGGTGTAAAGTTTTGGATAAATGTCTGCCGCCTCAATGGGATCTCTGGGGCCAGAGGGCTCACTATTGAGCCAAAGGTCGATCAAGGTATCCACAGAATCAAGAAATAAGATACGCAGTGTGATAGCTATAGATATGCTATGAAAATTCTAAAACTTCCTCAGCTATCGCGAATTCAGAGTCGAGTGCACGAAAGTAGTATTGAAAAAACAGAAAATCAGACTTTTCGTAAAAAATTTCTGTTGGTCTTGGGGATTCCGATTGAATTAAAAAGTGAACTCTGTTGGCTAATTATGTGGATACGCCGATTGACCAGTGGCAAAAATTCGAACTTTTTTCTCTTGTATTGTTTTCAATATTTTTATAGTTCATTCCCAAATGAATGGAGATTGAAATAGACTCTGACATAAGTTTCAGACTTGTCTTTTTTCTATTGATTTTTGTTCCTTATCTGTTGCTGAGCTTTACTTTTTCTATCCTGAGAGGTGAACGTCTACACAAGAGCTGGTTTTTCGAATCGAATATTTTCAAGTTACCATCGCCTTGTAAGTTCAATGCGTACTTATTTTTGGCTAAGGTCGATCGAGCTTACCTTTTTTTCCCTACGTTTCGACTCTTTCAGATCTTTTTCCTGGTTCAGTTAACCTTTATACAGGGATTCAGGATTCATGAACAGATTCATAATCATGAGTGTTCCAAACCAAACTGAATTTTCTATTGGGTGATAAAAATTCGATTAAAGTCATGCCACCAAACTTCTCAGCCGCATGTAGTAACTGTATAAAAGTTGTTTTCCTCTAAAAGTAGAAAAAGTTTCAAAGTCGCTATCAGTCAAGAATAATTTTCAACCCTTTTTGAAATTTGGAAACTTTTTTAGAGGCTTACACGTCACATCAACGCAAAGAAAACAATTAATAAATGAAAATTTAATATTTTCTACCAGAGCGAAGCTTTTCTGTGCTTATTAGGTATTTAGCGGTGAGAATTGTTCTTTTTTTGAAAACTTTCGAAAAGAAAAAGAAAAAGGAGCCTGAAAGCCTTTTTTTTCGGTTGCTGTTCTCAAAAGCCATAAGACGGCCATGGAGCAGAGCGTCACTTGGCAACCGCCAGCGCTTTTTGTTCCTTTTTTTCTGCCCCCGCGGTCTTTTGACTGTTTGCTCCACTCGTTTGCCAAAGTCTGACAATACCACTCGGCACATTATTTTACGCGCTGGAGATTTCAAACTTCTGGGTTTATTCATCCTATTATTCAATGAACAGTCTTGAACTGCACATCTGAAGGCTTCTTCATTACCAAAATCTCGTTAGACTAGTGAAAAATATTAGAGATGACCATTTTGAAATGACTTTTTGAAAGCCTTGCTAAGCTAATCGCGAAGTTTACTTTCTGAAACATAACTGCAAAAAAAAAAACCCCTGTCGACCAAAGTTCTCAAATTGGAGTGAGTGGAGGAGGCTGCCGCGAAAATTGCTTCCAAATCGTTCCTGTGGCCTCGATATCGACCGTCCGCCCACTTTTCTTCTGTTTTTGTTCTTTCTGTCCATCACAGCCGTTCTCTCAGACCGCTTTTTCAAACCTAAATTGAAAAAATGAATGAAAATTTTGTGTAAAATGTTGATACTACTTTTTTGAATTTAAAAAACTGCCCAATGGACTGGTGTTTTTTTCCCTAAAGCTTGGTCTTGCAACGATTTTTCGGAGTGTAATCCGGTGGTCATGAATAATTCAAAATTTGAACACGCGTAGCAGAAAAGTTCCTGGCCTCCGCTTGTTCCACAACTTTTTATTATCAAGCACTGATAAAATGATCTCGCCACTTCGTTTGAAAATTTCCCGAAAAAGCGTTCTCCTTACTTTGGCTGTTCAGCTCGCTCAACTTGGGCCCTTTGCAAGTTTCGAATGACGACATCCACTGTGATGACGTCATTGGATGTCTCTTCACGTGAATCACCGAGTAAGTTTTATTTTTCAATAGAAGAAATGAGGAGAATTTTTTTAAAAGGTCTTTTGAGGTTTTTAAATCGCCCTAAGCTTTCATTATTAAGAGAAAAGAAAAATCGTAAAACGTTTTTTTAGTGGAAAAATAGCATTAACGTTGAGTTTCGTTTTTTTATTTATAAGGTGAAACTAAAACCACGTTAGGAGTTATGAGAGGCCTTTTCCCCTTCCCTCAGAGTCAGACTGAGCTCCTTACTTGTTTAAATCCTTTGTTGGGAGCTTTTGGTCGAGTGTAATCGGCTGGTTCATTCCGGCTTCTCGATGCTAGAGAGGGCACGTGGACGTCTTTTCTGGAGGCAGACGAACAGAGTAGAAAAAAAAACAGTCTCTTGCGTATATTTAGTTTATTTGCGGCCAACCGTTCGGCCTCGCAGGCCCTCTGTGGCATCTTTCATGACGTCATGCTTCCATTTTTTCCGAATGTTTTTCCTCCGTGAGTCTGAGTCATCCTTTCAAAGCCGAGAGTCAAAGTTTTGCACTTTTGAGTTTTAATAGGCCAAATGTTTTCAAAGATTGAAAAAAAGCGAAAAGTACATAAGTGACGTTAATACTCGCTCCACTGCAAAAGGCCCCTCCGCCCCTAATTAAATAGGAATACGTCTATATGACGTAGCACTGCTGCTTGATCGATAGTTGCTAGGTTAAAAAATAGGAAAAGCTCAAAACGATAGTTAGCATCAGTCTGTTTTATGATTTGACGTTTATTTTATCAAACGCACGTCAAGATTGTTGATTCCATTTATCAGTAGGCATCCAACGGGACATTTTTCCTCTGATTTTTGGCCCCAGAGGGTCGATAAAGGTGATTCATCTCTTCTGCATCTCTCTCCTCTCTTCCAACACTTTTTTGAGAACTCAACCGGTTTGAGGCGTCTTGTGTCCTTTGCCGAAATGAAGAAAACATTCGGCTGCAGTAAAATTTTGAAAAAAAGTGCTTTTTGTTCATAATCGATAATGAATCGGAAGTGATTTTTTTAGAAAAAAAGGATACCAAAATTTCAGTTGAAAAAAATCAATGAAGTTGGTTTGCTTAATAATTAAAAAAATAATAATAATTAAGCCTTAATTACAGCCCTTTCTACTACTGAAAAAAGGTGAAATTACAAAAATTGGAGACTTTAAGTAGATTTTTGAACCTGTTTTCTGAAATCCCGATTTCGAAAAAGAGACGCGAATAAAGTTTCCTACCATCTAATTAAGTAACGAAACTCTTTTAAACTCGAGAAAAGGAAAACAACGCAAAATAGAAAATAATGCATTTACAGACCAACCTGGGTCCTTCTCGACGGTAACACTAGGCGATGCGGAACTGGTGACGCAGAGCGCTCCAAACACGCCGGTGGCTCACCGCGAAGCCAAGGTCGTCGACTTGATCAACGGCAACGGCGGCGGCAAGATGGTCGTCTCAGGGAACCTGTCTAGCGCATACTACCGTGCCGGGCTCGGTATATCCAGCCCTAACAGTCTTTAGAATACCCAATAAGTTGCAGGGAGCTTGAAGAACGGGATTTTTGCTTGTTTCAAACCGGTTTGGAGTTACTTCGGACGGAGTGAAGGCGACCTGCCGCAGGCGATCGTCGACGACTGGGAGATCCCTTTTGAGAATATTTCCAACCTGCAATGGCTCGGCGCCGGTTCCCAAGGTGCCGTCTTCAGTGGCGACCTTCAGGGCCGCACCGTCGCCGTCAAGAAAGTCAGGGAGCTCAAGGAAACCGACATAAAGCATCTGCGACACCTGTCCCATCCCAACATAATCGAATTCGTGTAAGTTTCTTTCTTTTTGAAGTTTTTCTCTAGCCCTAAATCACCAGTATTTTTTCCAATTAGGTAGGCAAAGTTTTCGGAGAAATGTTGAAATTTCTATGAATCGACTTTTTATTTTTGTCTCATCTGTTGCAAAAGTTTGGTTTTGAATTCTTTTGATGAAACACAATGTTCCCGAGCGGCAGCTGTGGTCAGTAGGCGTGGCTGACTGCAACAGCGGCACGGTTTATTGCAATAAGGGCGCGGCGAAGTTTTTGTGGATTTAGTGGTTGAAGAAAGATCATTAAATGATGTTTTTCTAGGCTCTCGCAAGTTTTTTAATGTGTATCAAATGATGAAAAAAGAGACAAAATAGTTTTTGCAAAACAAAATATCTCCAAAAATGTCGTTTTTTCGCCTGCACTCGTCTTTTTTGGAAAACTGTGTGATAGAAAAATTGGAATATACTGAGTTTGAGATTTTATTCGGAAAAAATTGATTTTGTTCTTGTTTTCACCTAAGTTTTGTAATTAGAGTGTCCTTTTGAGTGATTTCGTACACTTGTTTGAAGATGAGTCTTACTCAGTTCTTCGGAATGGCGGACTTAGTATCACGTTCGCTAATTCTCCTGTATATTTTCAAAGAAGCACTCTGAAGTGATAGAAAAACTGTAGTAAACGGGCACGGGGAACGCGTTTACTCTCTATCAGTTGAAAACATTTTCTTTTACGCTCCTTCAAACAGAATTCGAAACAAAATGGTACGGACTTGACGCAGGCTCATATTGAAAACGTGAGAGAAAACTAAAAAATATCATGTTTATCTCAAAGCTTTTTTTATTCACTGGCCACATGCCTTCAATGGTTGCACCGTAGCGGCTATTTGCAGAGGAATCTGCACGGCTGCGCCTTGCTACTGCATCGTGATGGAATTCTGCTCCAGTGGACAGCTCTGCTCCATGCTCAAGTCCAAACGCGTCATCAGTTAGTCTGACTGAGCTGCAGCAGCTCAAAAAAGAAGTTCAGAGAAGGATTTGTGGTCTCGATGGGTGCGACAGATCGCCGAGGGTATGCACTACCTTCACAAAAACAAAGTGATCCACCGTGACCTCAAAAGCCCGAAGTAAGCTACTCCGTGTAGTTTTCATCGAAAAAGCTCTTTCCAGCATTCTTCTCAACGACAGCGATGAGATCAAGATCTGCGACTTTGGCACTTCGCATCTGCAGGAAAAGCTCAATAGTACACTCATGTCTTTTTGCGGCACCGTGAGTTGGATGGCGCCGGAGATGATGAAAAAGGAGCCGTGCTGCGAGAAAGTCGACGTCTACTCGTTCGGCGTCGTTCTCTGGGAGATGATCTCCCGAGAGATGCCCTACAACAACGTCGATCAAATGGCCATCATCTACGGAGTCGGAAACAAGTTCGTGCAGCGTTGATATAATACCAGAAAGGCAACCGTTGCAGCATCTTGTCTCTGCCGATCCCGCCCTCCACCCCCGGCGGCCTCTCTGTCCTCATCAGACAGTGTCTGAGCACTCGGGCACGCAATCGACCTTCTTTCAACCACATCCTCCAGCATCTCGACATCTTCCAGCGGGAGCTCGACGAGATCAGCGACGAGGTTCCTAGGCGTGATTAAGACAAGTTCAACTGACAAAATCGCTATTCACTGTGCTTTTTCGTAAATTGAATTTTTTGAACACTCATCTATCTTTAATTGCCGTACACCCCATTCTTCAAAAATTGGAACAGACGATCTCTAATTAGGTGGCTAAAAATGAGAAATTTTCTAGACAAAAATGAAAGCCGAAATATGTTCATAAATTCTACAAATGTAAAAAAAACAAGCGAAGTTCGAGTTTCGTTCAGGATTGGCTGCAAAGAATGGCCGAGTGGCGAATCGCTGCGCAGGAAATACAGTACCCATCTACTCTCACGAGAAAACCCGTCGAACCTGACAGTAAAAGCGCTGGAAACGGACTTGTTGATCGTTGAGTCTTGCAGAAGAGTACGAAAGGCAGCGCAAGGAGCAGCTCAAACACATCCAGGACATCCGCGTCATGTACGAGAGGAAGATCAAACGCGCCGACCGGATGTACGCCGAGCTGCGCTACTGTCTCGAAGACGTCTACTTCCGAGAGAAGGTCAGCAAGAGGGCTTTCAGACGCTACCAGAAGTATAATTCATGATGCAATAATTGTATATTTAATTCGTTTTTGTGCTTAAATTTCATTTTGAGAATTTGTTCGAGGTTAAAAATATCAAAAAATCATTACAGAAAAGCCTAAAATATAATTTCGAACCATGTTTCAAGGACTGTATTCGATTAATATTGAAAAAGGTATCGAATGTACCAACGAAAATTGTTTAGGGCAAAGTATGTTTCAAAAGGAAGATAAAAAGTTGCGAAGAAAAAGAGATAAAATTTTTCTCAATGTCTCTCCATACTTCCATCGTTACAGAAACTCGAAGAAAGAGAGCAAATGTTCGAAGAGCGAGCTTCGAATCACTTCCATGCACATCCAGGATCGCGAATTCCAGTCGTGCGAGCCGGTCCCAGGACTATCCGAGGAGCCGAGCAAGAGTCAGTTTCCTCTCTTTTCTGTGTCTAATTCGAGCTCAGTGTGTTCACGACGACATTCCACAGAACACCGAGTAACCACGAGGAAATGGACGACATGTCTTCCAGCGAAGACGAGTTTTCTGTCGGCTGTCCAAGAGGCTCTCCTTACCGGTTCAGTCAGGCCAGCAGGTGAGCATATCGACAAAGATCGTCTTCTTTCGGAAAATAGATTAGCGCCGCAATTAGATTTTATCGAACTTAAAAAAAATGGATTTCGCAGCTTTGATCGTCGTGGCCAAACAGAATATTTTCTAAAGTGAAAACTTCTGCTTTTTTGAAAAAAAAGAAAAGGATTTCTATAGTCTGTTCATATTCTGAAGGTCAATTCATCGCTCAAACTCCGCCCCTTGAGCGTAGATCAAACCAATAGAGAGCGATCCATCCACAGAGCGTTGTTGGTGGTTGCTTAAAATTCGAAATCTGAACAGACTATGATTCACAAAATTTTTTGAAAGGTTTCTTTGTAAATTGATGTGATCAGAAATCCATAAGTCGAACAGAAGTATTCAGCTCATCGGGATTCCCATCGACAAACTCGGCTCCTTTTTCACGACAATCTTCTTCTCGCAGCTCCTCCGGAATCGCCATGCGCAGACCTCGACCAGAGCCAAGTCATTATTGGGACGGTGCTCGAGGACACATTGCTCGGTGCAGCGGCGTCTCTGAAGACAGCGGTCTCTGGAGCGGCGCCGGGAGCTGCACTGTCCTCAACGCAGGACAGCCGGTATCCTCGGTGGACCGCTTCTCAGAGACGAATTTCTTCGTTGCAGATGACCTTCTCCCAGATGCTGTACCGCAACAGCGACGGTCGCTGGTCCGACGGCAGGATCGCCCAGAGACGAAGGACTCGGAAAGGCACCAGTTTCCAGCGCGACAGCCCTTCGCGCATTCCCCAGGCTGAGTTCAGACATCGTAAGTTTTAAATCGTTCATTCTTCTCTTTTCATCTCATTTCATGACTTTGGAAATACACAAAAGTCTGTTCTCACTTGTCATATGCCTTCGAAGTTTGTCAGAAACCTATAAAGTTTTGAATTGTATTAAATAACTCTTTCCTTTATGCTTCCTGGTTTCAATCTCTTGCTCATAACTCTAAAAAACTGGATTTAATAACGAATACAACTTTTTACAGCTCGTAATAAAGCAAATAGGGCTTCTTGTCCCTCAAGACCGCAAATGGAAGACGAAATGTGTGAGTGTGACGGAGGGAACTGCGCCAAAAACACAAGGTAAGCCCTCCTCAGAACAACTGTGAAGATTATAACTTCAGAGCCAAATCGGTGACAGTGGCTCGTCCTCGATCCCCCACGCCGTATGACGAGTTGACGGAATTGAGCGTCAGTGCGTTGCCCTGCTCGACTTCTTACGACGAAGCTCTGCGCGACAGTGCCGAGAGGTCGTTCTCCCAGCCGTCCCACCTGGCCACCTACCTCAAAGAGACGAGTCCGATCAGAGTCGTCGGCGGCACGAATTCGACCTACGTCTCACCGGTCACCACCTATAACAACCCGATGAAGCAATCGGAAGGCGAAAATCTGAAAGTTCTCAACGCCAATATTGATGACCTCGGATCTTCGATCGATTCCCGAAGAGGTCCGTCGCGACGCGAAGGCGACAACGACGCCTCCGCTGAAAGCAACACTGAGGAAGACAAGGAGACCAACGGGTTTAGTCTTGTTTTTTTTTCATGCGCTTACTCTTCTAGTTCAGGAACTTCTTGAATTCTTCGTTGGACTCACAGAAGTCGACAGCACTTTTTCAATCGCAGAGCGACGAAGACTTTGTACCGCGAAGAATGATTGATTCGCAGTCGACGATGGCGTCCTCTCTAGAACGATCGTTAGAGCTGGGCGCTACGCGTTCAGACGGTCTCAGCGACAAGGAGCAGCGAGTACGTGCCGTCAAAGAAACGATGCTCCGCCATCGGCGAATGGTGAATCGGTCTTCTCGCGGTCGCTTATTTGTTATTATTTCAGAATTCCAATCACATGTCCGACATTCTCGACGAGTCTTTCAGTAGCGATGACGCCGTCCAGATTTGAACTCAAACTTCCCTAACATGAAAATTTGATTTTCGATGTTCCTTGACTCCTTTCACTTTTCTTAGCCAAAATTTAAAGCGCTGTTCTGAACGGTATCAAAACTGTTCTCAGTGTTTCAACTTTCATTCGCAAGTCCCAATGTGAGTTTTTCTGTTTCTTTGTGAATGAAAATAATATTACAATATTTTTGTTCGTTGTTATTTTATTAAAAAATTTGATTATCCGAAATTGTTGTTTTCGCGGTTTTCCAATTATGTGAAATTTTCCTGTGACATCATTTCATGTACCTCTACATTATTCAGTCCTTTTTGACCCTCGAAAAAATAGCTTAGGTGCCCTGATTCGCCAGGTAAACATGTTCCGCCCATTCTTCCCTACTTTTTTTCCACGCAGAAGCTTATTCACTCTAATATTTTTCCACATTAAACTGACTTATTACGTGTAATATATGATATTTTTCTGAATATTTTGTTAACAAGATGTCTACTTCAATTTTTCTCTTACTTTATTTTTACTTTATATTTCTTGTCTCATTTTTCATATTTTTGATCGAAAAAAAAAAATGAATATTTTACAAATCTGTTCAAACATTTTTTTTCGAAAAAAATTGCAGAAATGAATTTCTGAAGCGACTCAAAAGGTGTCCGAGAAAAGCGCGAATTCGCAAATAACTCATTTCAACGAGAAAAAAAGGTTTTGTTCATGAATTCGCCATGTTCCTTCTGTTTTCTCAACAACCGGGTGCACTTTTTCTTCTACGCTCGCTCTCGCTTTTTAAAGCTACTGCGCGAAAACGTCTTTCCTCATACCTTTTTCATTGATCAAAAAGTGATTTCGACGCGCTCTTCAAGCGATTAAACGTAATTTCCAAAAATTTATGAGTAATTAAAACTTTCTGAATCTGTACTTTCCTAGCGAAGTTCAAACTCTGAGGTAATTCGCGCGAATACGAACGCATGAACATTCAGTAAGCATATTTATATATCACTTTCAGTCTTTCAAGATTCGCACAGCCGAGCAAAAAAATAATTTTTTTAAAAAAAATTTATATCAGTTTTGAACTCATTTCGCTAGCAGACTCACGCTGCGTGAACGTTCATGCATATGCCGCTTTCAAAACTACGTTTAGCTCAAGAGAGATTTGAGAAAATGCTGTGGAATAGATATGAGAAGTCATAAAAATACTGAACAGTTTTACATAAAATGCCTGAATTCAACCCACCGCCTCAAATCAGCTTTGAAGGCGGCATTATTTTTTTTCAATAATAACTCCCTGGGATTAAAACTTATCTTTACTTTTTGAACGCGGCAATATTATGTAGTATATTTTTAACATGGTCTGTTTAAATTTAAAAATTTTGCGCGCCGTTTCTTTTTGCGAATGCCGCATTGCGTACAAAACAACAGACTTTGTTTACAAGTTGCGATGTATTTGATTCCTTTAAAAGTTTTTATATATATCGCTTTCTTAATTAATCTGAGATGCGCCGCTGAGAGAGCTAAACAAGTAATTAAAAGATTTTTTAAAATCCATAAATTCAACCTATCTTCAACTCCTCGGCGCTTCTCAAATTAACTTTGAACGAGACTGGATACTGGATTATACATAAAATGGAATAGTTTTTCTTCGTAATTTATTTCTTGGTAAAACGAATAAAAATAGTATTTGATCTAAAAGTCCAGATTTAAGGATCCCAATTTTTTGGAGAAAAAAAACAGAATAAAAAAAGTTAATAAGACTTTCTCCTCAACATGAGAAAAATCATGCTCGCAATATTTTAAAATTTTCTTGTGAACGTAATTTGTTAATTGCAAAGCTTTAAAGCCTTGCGTCTTATATGAAAGTTCTGTTGCTCTGTCTAACGCGATTAGAATTTTTTTTTTTTTAGTTCGGTGTATGGTTAATCCACAACAGCTTTTTGGGCTATGTTCACCTCCGAGAAAAGCTCTCCGCTGCCGAAATCGTGAAGTAGTAACGGTAGTTTTGTAACGCTAGTTTTACCTTCCAATAGCATTCTGCAATTTCAAAATTTGAATCGATTTGCAGATTGCGTGTTTCAACTTTTTTTCAAGTATAGTTACTGTATGTTGTTTCTTTCACGAGTTTTATTATCCGGTTTCCTTGTTTTCTTTTCTACGAACTGGGAAGATTTTCATTTTTCTCTCTAATTTTAAGCGGATGGTGTATCAGCGTCAATGAAAACGACGCATATGAGCGCTAGTCGTACGGGAACGGTGAACTCGGCGGCGACCGACGACCGTCGCTCCGTAGTTTCCTGTAATTCAAGCACAGCGTCAACGTTGGTCGCTGATAGCGTGGTTTCTTCAAAAACCGCCGCTTCACAACTTAGAAAGTATTGTTTTTATTTATTTCGTTAGAAAAAAAAGGTTTAAGATTCACCGCGGGAGTTGGACGCCCCGGTTTGGCAAGGGAGGCACGCGAAGCCGTTAGGACCGTCCTCGTCACTCAAAACCCACTAGTTTGTTTTACTTTTTTTTTGTGTCACTAATTGCATGAGGATTTATTGATTTTGCGGACCGTTGGAATGTTCCTGAACAGTCGAGAGAATTGTTATTTTTTCGAAACATAAACATTGGAAGTTTACAATGCAATGCATTGATTCACGACATCGCTCATAACGTAAATGTCTGTTTCCAGACCATGCGACTAATTTCCTTCCAAGTTTTTTCTCCTCCGTTGAATAATTTCTCTAAAAAAACTAGATTTGAAAAGATGAAAATCTAAAATCTTTTCGCTTTTTCTACACTTCCCGAGTTTTTATTTCAAAATTATTTCCAGAGGAAACCACCTCTCAGCTACCCGGTGGACTATGAGAAGTTTATCACGGAACGAAGTATCCAGCTTGAGAATGACCCGCAGCGCGAGATCATTCTCTTTCCTCGCGATGACATTGAGGTTTTCCTGGGTTCTTCCTGATGTTTACCGTTTTTGTAGGTGACCTCGTCTTCGCAGGACCAGTCGACGGCCACTCCGATGGTCCACGAAGCGGACATTTCCCGCTCCAAGTGGCTTCTGACCCGAGAGGCTTTGCGATTTTTCATCTGCTCGCACCGGTCGATTATTTTCAACTACTCCAAGTTCTCTGGCGATTATGCGATGGGCAACGAGTTAGCTCCGGATTTCAGACGAATTTCATCATTTCTGGGTCTACAGATCTTCTGTGGAAAGCGAAACTCTCTCATCGTTGGTGTTTGAGTCAGACATGGCGCTGGAGGAAGAAAGAGCTGCTTACCAAGGAGGCTTTTTTGCTCCCGGAAGTATCAAGGAAGGGTACCTGATGATTGTCAAGACGGATTCCACCTTGTTCGATAACCTCAAAGTGGGTCCTCGTTGAAAATGTTTGAATAAAACAATTATTTTCAGTCGGGGAAGAAGCGATTCTGCGTCTTGAAGAAGCACGAGGGCGGCGACTTGACCTTCGAGGTTCGTTTCCGTTGATAACTCGGATCATTCAGGAGCTTTTCAGGTTCGAAAAGCACCCAACGATGTTCCAAAGCAAACTCCGATGAAAGTCGCGGGCGCTCAAATAAAATCTACGAAAAAGGGCAAAACCGTTCTTGAGGTACAATATCGAATATTCACTCATTCAATGTACTCGGAAAATTCATGTTATATGCGAGCCGTGAAATCTTCAATTAGATGTTACTTTGCTATATATTGGAGCTTTTTTTTGATTGAGAAAAAGGACATGAAGTGTAATCAACCTCTTTTTGGGGGAAAAAAAGGTTAGGAACTTACTCAAACACTCTCTGAAGGTCTAGATAAAGATCCCTCATAGTCGATACCTGCACTAGTTCTATTTTTTGAGATAGGATTTTTCCAAGTTGCGAAATATAAGTTTTAGGGCTACTTTTTGAACTTCAAAATTAATTATCTCAGAAACTAGAAGCTGTCGCGGATTGAAACTTTCATAAAGCTTCATATGAACCTTCAGAGTTTGTTTGAGCAAATTTTTAGAAAATTCCAAGCCGCAAAGTAAAATTACCTTCTTGTGGGCCAAATCCTGTATTGAATGCGAACTCTAAAAATTAATATATCTATAACTAGAAGTTTGCGCAGGTAGCAACTATGAAGGATCTTTATCTAGACCTTCAGAGAGTGTTTGAGCATATTGTAGGAAAATTCAAACAGCATAGTAGAATGACTTCCCGTGTAAGTAATACTTGAGGGAGGAGTGCGTCATCATTTGATCAGACTTTTGTATATATTTTTTTCACCCCGAAAGTGGCCGCGAAACTGAGGGATCTACTTGTGGAAGAACGAGGCGAAGGACCGTAAGACCATGCTTTCAATTCAATCGACTACACGTTTTGACTTCTTTTTCGCCAAAGGCGGTGTTAGTGCCGCTCAAAAGAGCAATTTTTTCACCGCCTAGTCGATTCCATTTGACTAAAACAACCAATAAATATTGATTGAAAGTAAACCAAAAACCAAGGTTCATTCCAAGGTAAAATTTGGAACTTCTACAAATTGCAATACATTTCTACTTTAACGTTATCATTCGTTAAGAAGACTTTCAGATTGAACCGTACCGTGAAGAAAAAGATCTCAACACTTCAAACAATACGGCCACGTCGGCACATGACCGAAAAGCGTTGATGGTCGCCTGTGAGGATCAAGAAGAACTAGAAGATTGGCTCACGGCTCTGCAAACTGCGATCGCCTTCTCCAACAAAGGTCTCGCGGCTTATGTACCTGAAGAAGCAAAGACTTTGCAGAAGACACGCTCTCGACGTGTTCAGAAACGCCGGAAAAGAGTTCGAAGCAGACACTCGATGGGAGCAACTCCTTGGGAAGAGGGTCGGCGCCGGACGCGGAAAGCATCGGAAGTCAGGACAGCGGCTCCTTCCGCGAAGTTTCCAACTGGCGCGGCAGGAACACCGCCGCCAGGGCCCTCCAGCCTCCGATCGTCGGAAGACGCAACATCTTTTCTCTCTTCTATAGACTGCAAGTTCGTTCATAGCCCGAGAGAAATCAGGTTGCCAACGTATCCAAATGTCGAAAAGTGGTTTTCCTAATAGTTGTGAGACATGAAAAGTCACGAGATTCTATCTGCGTTCTCCAAAAGATTTACACCCTTCAAAGTTATTCCGCGAAATTCGAAATAGCCCTTAGAGAAAGAAAAAGATTATGAAGTTTTGTAGAGTCGGAGACGATTTTAAATTTCGTGGAAATCACATTAAACACAGCGTTAGGGCTTCTAAAAAAAATTTTTTTTTAGTTTTTCCAGTCTTGAAGTATAATCCAACACGCGATAGAAGGATCAAGTTTGTGTTCGAAACATATTAAACTTTTTCCAGAAGCTCAAAAAACTTCAAATTTTCTTTTTATGAAATAGATATCCGTACATTTCAAAGGTTATTGTTCTCATGAGGCTATCAAGGTTGATTTTCAATCAAAATTATGTAACTTGAAAAGTTGAAACCAAAAATTTTTTGTTCTCGAGGTTCTGGGAAAAATTATGCCGATTCGAATTGAAACGTTGAAATGTAGCACCTGTTCTACGTATGACTTCAGCCGATCGCGGAGACAAAGTTAGACGCCATGACGACGATGTTGCATTCGCGAGCTCGCAATTCGCGCTCTTCGACGTCGCCAACACGATCAAGACGAAACGCTTCTCCTCTACGCAGACGGACGTGAGACTCGCCAAACTCGAATCTCTTATATTCTGTCTTCTCAGCTCTCTAATCAGCGCTGTCCAGCCTTCGAAGCCTCCGACTTGTGTTTCTGTCGACTTTCGTGCCCTGATGTTCCGTCTTCCAGTTCTCAGCGGAGTCCTCCAACAGGTCGTCCGTCCATTTATTTATTTTTTCATAAATCTCAGTTACTCTCTAAAAACCCATCACTAGAGGAACAATCTCAGAAATCCAATACTCTTTGAAATGCAAGAAAATCAAGTTGAGAAAAAATCTTCCAGCTTCTAACGACCTTTTCAGTAATACATTTTAAAAAGGGCTAAAAATGTCACTTGGTTTTTTTTTTCCAGAACTCTTCTTTTGCTTTGGATTGATATATTTTTTGCTGCAGATCGAACCATTTTTCGTCCGGATTTTCGTCTTCGATACCCACGAGTGTCGACGAGTGAGCGAAGAGTTCCAGTTGCTGGTCAACGGGGAAGATTTGCACGTCTCTGCCCCCGTTTTCGGTCGGTTCTTTGTATTGCTTGATGAACTTATCTCTCATATAACAAAAAATGTAGCTTGGGATGAGGTCCTCCATAAAGGGATAGATGAAGTAACACTTGTGTTTTATTTCTGTTCGAAGCGTTTTTGTGAGAAAATTGAGAGCAAAGTGCAATTTACAAGTTTTTCGAGCCTCGTCACTTGAGATACCTGAGTTTTTTCAATTTTCCGTAAACTATATACCTTTTAAATTGATAAAACAGAAATTTTCAAGAAGATTAGTTTCCGATCAAACCCCAGTGCGAAGAAATTAGCCTCGATCGTTTCTTTTTTTCAATTCGGAAAATATAGAATTTTTTTATGAAAGTTGAGAAAAACTGCTAAAACTGTGGCCCCTTCTATTTCTGCTCTGTCAAATCTGGCTAGATATTGACTATTTTCATGCCGAAAACTGGCAGAATGAAAAGCCCATTCAAAATTGAAATATTTTCGATTGAGAAAAACGGTAGATCATCTCGATAGTGATATGTTTTGGATGAATATAAAGCTTTCCTACAATTAGAACACGTACTCTTGAAGTTCAAATATTAGCAGGTATTGAGAAGTCATAAAAATTGTTGGAAAACTACTTACAAGAATGTTAGAATTTTTCCGGACAGTCTTATAGTTAAAAAAAATAAACTTCATAGCTTAATAAAGTCCTCACCCTCGGGGAAGGATAATTTACGAACAAAAAAAACCAAAAAAATGCGCAATTTTATTCACGCTTACAAAGAAATTTCATATCAAGACTTGCAGACAACTCGATGGAAGTGAATGGCGTTAGACGGAGTTTGCTCGTGGACCGTGCCGCCTCAAAGGTATTCCCCGTAATACGCGAAGAGAGCCGTCATTTTCTCCACAGGCTCTCATGAACATCGCCAACCCGCACAAGGACGTGTGGCTCGTTTGTCGCATCGACCGTGTTTTGTCCGGCGACACTAGCGGAGATTTGTATATGAAGTGCGCCATTTTATTCCCACTTACAAATAAATTTCATAACATAAATTTCGAATGGTTTTCCGAGTTCTTTTAGTTTTTTTTATAATCGGAAGCCATTTTCTACAAAGGTGAATCGAGAAGTCGATACAAATAGATACCGGGTAGCAACTTTTGAAAAACTCAATCAGCGTATGGTAATCGGTGGTCGTTTGTATGCGGCCGGGTACCATAGAGATGGTACCCGGGTCGGAGGTCGATGCAAGTAGCTACCGGGTAGCTGCCTGACATTCGCGATTTCTTTCGGAAAGTCTGGAATTGCTTCCCGGGTCGTTATTTTTTGTTTCAGCTTTATCCAATAGGACCCTGGAAGGCTTGGGAAGGTGTAAAAAAACACTGATGCTATATAACCGATGTGCCAGCCAGTGGCAATCGCGAATTTCAGGCAGCTACCCGGTAGCATCCAGATACCGATCAGGTACTATCCATGTACCATTGAGATAGTACCCGGTCGCATACAAATGACCACCGATTACCATTCGCCGATTGACTTGAGTTGCTACCCGGTACCTACTTGTATCTACCTCTCGATTCACCAGTGTACATGTCCTTCTGTTGTAAGTATGTTTGAAAAACCTTGCCGAGAATTTTGAAGGAGAATAGATAAGCTTTCTGAAGATTTCACGGCTTTGCCAGGTTATGAGAACATAGATGGGCAAGTTGAGAACTCATTCAGCCGGGGAGGAGAAATCGGCTCACAAAAATTTTCGAAAATTAAGGGATTAAATCACGTTTGAAATTCAGGGAGGTAGTTTAGATCACAATAATGCAAGTTTCAGCCTTAGGGAGGTAGTATTAACTTTAATGTAGAAAATCTTAGGAGGAGGAGTCGTTAAAAAGGGTCTCCCCGTGTATGTATGAGAAGTTTTTTTTGAAAGGTTTGCTGCTCAAAAAGAATTTTCAAATTAGAAATCTTTATTCGAAAGAAAGGTTGCACACATCAATATAATCGTTTTCTAATATGATTTCAGAGCTACTGGTGACGGCAAAACAACTTCAAAGTTACAAAAAGTGATAGCCGGCTCGATAACGAGGCTTTCAGGATATCGTCAGAAGTTCGCTTGGGCGGCCAGGTGAGAAAAAAAAAGACTTCTTGGATGAGAGACAAAATTTTGCAGGCCTTTGTTCCCAGACCTGCGCCCGGATGCCCCTTCTCCGCTGCAGCCGACCCCCGCCTGGGCCAGAGGCGGAGAGGTTCTCCAGTGCTACCGATGCGAGGCAAACCGACTCTCCGACAGCGACCTGCAACGTTATCTCAGCGACTTCAGCAAGTGGGAGCTTGAGCTCTTTCCATTTCCATTCTCGCAACGTTCAGAGTGGAGAAAGCCTACAAGTTCATCATTCCAAGCGGGTTGATAAGCCTTTCCATCGATTTGAAGGCGAATGTCTCCGATTTCCCACGTTGGTTACTTTTTACTGAAAATATTCACGGCTGAAAAACAAAACTCGGTTGAAAAATAAGCTGCTGAGGAAACCCAGTGCTTCCTAGAGGGGTTAGGGTGGAAAAAACACCTATAGGGAGCGGAAAAATGGTCCCTATAAAGTTAGAATCAAGGTGATCCCTATAGAGGTTCAGGGTCTGACCCCTTAGCCTCAAAAGCTCAAGCGGACCCTATATGAACCTTTGAGTTTCATTCAAAAAACGCCTTTTATTCAGTTTTTCTCCTAGAAATGCTACTTCGCTGAGTTAATAAAAATTATCGACCAGCGTGTCCCCTATAGGACTCTCCAAGGGTTCCTAAGGTTGCCTCTATAGGGGCCACTTTGATGTTCCAAAGTGCTTCCTAGCTCGAGCGATAATGAAAACCTGATTTCTCTCTATTTATTATCTGAATGTTGAGTGAACTCGATACTAACTAGAGCACAAAAACTTAAACTCAAGAAAGAATGGATAGCATGAGAAAAGTTCACTTCTACTGTGGTTTGGCCAGAAAAGACGAAACATGTTTTTTCCGGCTCCTTATAGCTACTGCTAGATTATTGGGTCTTGTCTTTTTTCCTTGGCTGATTGGTTTACTTTTACAATCTCCTTGAAGACCAAAGAAAAATGTTTCAATTTCAGAGAGATTGAACCCTTCGTTGTATCCCCTGAAACCATGGAATCGCGCTCTCGAAAGTGACGTCCCACCAGTCTTCCAATTGCAAATTTTCGGTGAACCTGCGAACCAGCCTCACTCCGAACTTTTTAATTTGCTGTATATCTATCCTCTGAGTCTCAAGTAGGTGTCATCAATATTCCCTCTCTACCTACGCTTCTAAGATACGACAATCAAAAAGCCTTTTCTAAAGCGCGCAACATCGCCTGCTCCGTACGTTTTGTGAAAGGAGACGAAACGATTCCAGAAAAAGTTTGGCCCAATTTTTGGCTCTCTTCCAACGGATTTTTCCAGGCGATAGTGGATCGACTTTCTGCCAGCGGCCCTCACACAATACACACAACTTGCGCCGTTCAGCACCATCAGCAGTGCCCGATTTTCGGTTCTCTCTACTTTTTTTCTCCTTCCAACCAAAATGTTATAGGTGACGAGATCAAAGTTCAACTTCCTCTGAATTTGTCAACGTCTGACCATTTACTCTTCTCATTCTCTCACATATCGGTCGCTGGCAACACTAGTGTGAAGACCCCTGAAGTGAGCTTTGTACATTATTTCAATTCTAAAAGTTTGGAGACAGAGAAGTTGTTTTGTTTAAGTGGAAATTAGGACTCTTTTTTTCAAAAATGTTGATTTTTGTTGTCGTGGAACTTTTCAATTGAAGACGATGGGGAAGATCAGCCAATTTCAGGAAAAATTTAGCTGGAGACTTTATGATTTTTCCGTACAGGGGATCTTTGTAGGCAACGGAGACCCCCGTAGGCTACGCATGGCTGCCGCTCGTCTGGAAGAAGGACCGGCTTGTCCTGGAAAGCGATGAACAAGAGTTCGCTCTTCCCGTGGCCGTCGACTTGCCGGCTCACTACTACAAAAGCAAGCCGAACCCTCTCGGCAAAGGGGTTTCGCTGCTCGAATCGACACGTTTTCAGTTGCTTTCTTAGGACGACAACGAGATCCGATGGGTAGACCAGAAGCCGCTTTTTCGTGTCCGCCTACGACTTGTGTCTTCTGTTTTCACGACGGATGGCAAGTTGCAGTCGTTTTTTCAGGTTTTTGCCCTTTTCTTTCTCGAAATCAAATTATTCTTAAGGCTTGCGATCGCTTATCTTCTAGAGGTTTCGTTGGCGACGCACTTGGTAGTTTAAAGGTGAAATGTTTTTCAAGGAATTAGTTGATTTTCAATGCTGAGATCCTCACAAATACGGTGATAGACACGTAGTTTTCCTAGGAACAATGTAATTTCTAAAAAAAAATACATCAGACTCTTTATGTTTTTTTTTTATTAGAAAGGTTCTCGAAAAAAAAAGGAAACTTATCGGTTTTGCACTCCTCGGATGAGATGAAAAGTCGCTGGTACACTTCGGAAGATGTTAGAATCCGAAAGAACGTCACCAATGATTCTTTTCTAGAGGAGAGAGCGCGATAGCAAGTCAAAGTCGAGCACGCCGTCTTCGATCGCCATCGCAGCTGCCTCGGCCATCGCCGACGGTCCTTCCACAGACGCGCGTTCCTGTTCTCCGATCGCCGAAGCGAATATGTCGCGCTCGCCGTCGCACGAGTCCGACTACGTCATCAAACATTTAGTCGAAAAAATCCAGGTCTTTATGTGTTTTTTGAGAATTATTTTGTGCTTCCCGAGGTCCCATTCATGTGTTTCAGTCTCTTTGCGACGTTTCTTTTGAAAGACTCATTGTATTTCTTCCCATTGTGCTTGGACGTCTTTTTGCGATACTTCCCCGTGCTCCTGCCGACCTAGCCATTGCCACCCTGAAGTTGACACCTCACAAGTACAGAATATCCATTTCATTCTAGTTCCATCGTCTCGATATCCGACAAATGCACGGAGAAGAGGATGAGCCACGTCGTGAGAAAGTTTGTTCGTTACTATTTCGTAGCGATTGCGGAAGACGGACGTTGTGTCGGCGACTCGATCCACGCCGCCATATGCCGAACCTTGCCTACTTTGGTACTTTTTTCTTTCGGCTTTGTTCGCGTAACGGGGAATTTCAGCTCCGTGAATCGCAAAGCAACATCGAGGTGCTGACGGTTCTCTATCGGCAGCTGTGGCTTCTCACTGACGCCATCATCAAAAGTATGGCGCAGACGATCTGCAGCGGACAGCTCAATAAGGTTCGATCTGCAAACGTCTAGATTCACAAGATGAGCTTGAACGAGGAGGACAAACGTTTATTGGGCTCACAAATTCATTACATACTTTTATTCAGTCTTCAGAGAAGATTCTCTGCTAAATCATGGAACAATTGAAGAATTGTTTTCTGTTCGCAAAACTGTCCTTGATCAAGAACGGCGCGTAGAGCGTCACGTCTTTTTTGGGGAAGAGTAGACGAGTTTTTAGCATTAAATAGCACTCATATAATTGGAATTATGTAGCAGTTATCTGAATTGCGCATTTCTTACCCGAATTTGTGAGAATTTTCCGTATCTTTATGTTCATCACCATCTAGAGAACTAGAGAACTACATTTAATATAAACTTGTATGGAGGCTCTGTATTCAGGTGGCACAGCGTGACCGGTTTCCGGCCGAGTTGCTGGAACAGATGGGCCAAGTCCTGGAGGTCGGAGTTCCGCAGATGCTCGCCAAACACCGCGAGATCCCCGAAGAGTGTCGATGTGCTAACTTAGCTTTTTCTTATTTCGTTCGGGTTTTCTCTCCCCTCTCTCTTTCTCTTCCATCTCGGTTTCTAGTTCTCGCTGAGCTTTGTGGACCGCGGTACTGTCTTCAAATGGATCCATTTCTACATTTCGCGGCTCGATGACAGCGACTTCAAGGTATATTCAAAACGGAGAAGCTGATGATGGCCCAGCGTTTGCCACCAGGTGCTACGGGAGTACAAGGCGGACTTTTTGACCATCTTGTGTATGCATGAACATTTTCTCCCGCTGAACTTACCGGTTCTCATCAACTCTCAAAATCACATCCAACGAGTCACTTATCTGACGGGTATCATTGAGCAACAGCAAACCACGAATCGTAAGTTTTTCTTCTTTCTTTCTTCTAAAAACTTTTTACAGCCAGTGGTGCTGGATTTCTGTCTCGATTTTTCAATCAAATTTTCAACACCCCATCTTTGGAAACAACAGAAACCGACCGTTGTGAGTATTTTTGTTATTTTTACTAACTAATTTTTCCTTGGGTTCTATCTCGACTCATAAAAAACGAGTTTGTCATTATCACGTAAAACAAACCAAAAAAAAAAACTATGCTTAGAATCTCGAAAAATGTAAGAAAGCAGTCTATTTTCGAGCGCTCAAAGAGCCAAGAAGACCATCAAATGCTCCGATTTTGTATTATATTTTTCCCAAAGACGTTTTCTAAAGCTTTTTCTCGAAAACATTCCTGTCGTGGTAATATAAAAACAGTCTCTCAGATTTGAGGATGACCTACCCAACTAAGAGTTTTTTTTCCAGATTCTTCGTGTGCGGGTGAGTGGCACCTGACGTCATCATATTCTTCTTATCACTTCATCGTCGGTCTCGTTTTCCAGGTCTCTTCCTTCTTCAAACTTGTCCCACCCCCGTCAATAATTTAGGAGTTGGTCGCTTGTTTGAGAGAGCCCAAAGACTATCGAAAACGGCCCATAACTCTTCTGAGGAACTTGCTCGCCAAACATTCTTTTGATCGGAGATATAGCGATATGGTGAATAAAGCATAGTTCGAATGAAATCATAAGGAGAAAAACTCAGAACATCCAACGGAGAATCGCCTTGATCTACGCGCCACTCTTGGACTTTGCCTTGGATCACCTGCCCGATATGGAGGGCAATCAGTACGACGAAACCGATGCGGTTCCGATCGGTTAGTTTTCTTTTTTTTAAAATTATTTCTAGAGTTCGTACTCAATATTCAGTTCGTGAATATCAATTGGCGGTCATAGGGCTTATAAAACAATATAATTCATTCGAAAAATGCTCATAATGAACGTCCGTTAAATAAAATCAGAAATTCGAATATTTTAGGGTTTTCAAAACTTTCTATCTGTACATCACAAATTTCCCGGCTGGTTTTCAGACTTTTCTGAAGTAATTTTTATCGTAAATGATCATATAAAAAATGATGACTAAAATCTAGAATTGAACATGGAATACACGTTCGAAACCATGATTTTGAGGCATGCGAAGCCAGTACAAATGGCGGTCGCTCGACCGGCCTTTGCTGCCGCCGAACTCGGCGAACGGCGCTCTGATGCGAGCGTCGCCGGCCAGACAGACCAACTCTTCGGTGACGACGTCGCGGCATCCTCCAGTCCCGCCGCCGCTGCCTCCATCGACGACTCCTTCCAAACAGACGGCGCCACAGCAGCACACGCCCCTTGCTGAGAAGCTTGATGACGTGAGAGAGGAACCTCTTGAAAGACGGCAAAAAAATCAGAAGCATGGAAAGAAGAAATATCGACTTTGCTTCTATGATTTCAGTTTCACTCCTGATAACTATTTCAAAAAGGGTTCTCAAGAAAACAATAGAGTGTTAAAAACTTCGAAAAACCGGCGCTCGCACTGCATATATTTCATAATCAAATGAATCGTGAAAGAGTCAAAATATTTTTTAAACAAACCGAATCGGGATAAATTCAGGAAGAGCTTCAAGACCTCCTCATTTGTACTTTGTACGTCATACAAAGGATTCCTAAGCGAATTTTTGCTGCGATTTGGTCTGAAAATGAAGGTGGAAACTCGGAACGGCTTATTCGTCTTCTGGACGTTGTTCTCGAAATTTTCCGATATCGGGTAAGTGGACTTTCAAGAACAAAAAAAATACGCAATAAATTATTTGAGGGGAAAGAGCAGGCTCTGCGACGGACAGCTGCAAGCTCGAAGACGCGCAATTTGACTGTCGAGCCGCCCTCCCGGAATGCCAGCTCCTTCATTTCTGCGACTCGCGCTTCGGTGGATCGCTCCGGTAATCGACGCTGCGTCTGCGACTAACCAAGTTCCAGGCGGAGAGAACGGGCCGGTCTCGGCGATTGGCGATGACGACGCGGCGATTCCTTTCCGAGTCCTGCAGCTCGTCAATCTGAGTCAAGAAGCGGCGCTGATCATTCTTGACGCAGCGCAGACCTTCGCTCATCAGCTAGCGGTAGGAGGTCTCCGCAAGCAACGGGCCGTGGACCGTCGTTCCAGATTCAATACAGCCGTTGGCAACATGCAGAGACTCTTTTCGTGCAGCTTCTGTTCATACACCTCAAGTTATTGGACGAAAACTGGTCAGAAGCCGTCCGTCTTCATGCGATCGCTGCATTGGCTCTCTTCGTGAACCTGGTACTCGAAGACGCTGGACAACGCATTTTTGGGTTTTTTCCAGTTTCGCTCGAGGCTTTTCGAAGGCGGCCCTCTGGAAGCGCTGTACATCCTCATCGAAAAGGTCCTGCTCCAGATGGCCAGTCGTCTTCCATCCGTTCAAACTGCCGCTGCCGCCCTCCTGCAGCTCATTCTTCGCAATGGATATGAAGTTGCCGAGGGTTATTTTGGTAATTTTTTCTTTTAAATAATTCCCAATCACTAAACCTTACTGTTTCCTTTCACAGCGACTCAAGCCTTAGCGCAAAGTGTCTCCCCAAATGTGAGGAAAGTCTCTCGAAAAGTGGTGACCAGCGAGAGACTTGGTCGTCCCGGCGCTCAAACTGGCGTCGCCCTTGCACGTCTCCTGGGCTTCCAGGTACTTCTGGAGGCCTCAGCACATCAAACTGCAACTTTTTCCAGTCGGTGCTCTCCAACAGCGTTCAGTTTGAGCGTGGCCTAGCTGCCGTTGAAGCCCTAGTTGACTCCAGAAAAGCCACCTCCTTTGATCTTGCCGTTCTGGTTTGCCCCTAATCCGAGCACTTTTCGTTCATTCAAGCCTTCAGGATCTCTTACGACAACTGCGCGGTGTGATGAGCGCTACAGTGGCTTTGAAGGATGCTGCCAGAGATGCAGTTCGTTCCTTCGAAAAATATGCGTCCGAAGTGCTGATTTTCAGATCAGACTCGCCGACTTGCACCTGCAGTTGGCTGACAGTTACAGAGGGTCCGCGGCTCTTCGCAGCGCTTGGTTCGACACTTTGGCTGAGATTTACGAGCGTGGTGAGAAAAAAAAAAATAGAAGAAATCCGGCCTTTTCTTAACCAAATCTTTTAAAATTTTTTTCATTCCGAAGTCGAAAATAAGAACCGACTTTCTTTTTTTTTTTACTCAGAAGTTAAAATTTCCACTTTCTGATAGTCAATCAGAGCCCTTAAGAACTAGATAGGATCGATTACTTGATGTAGTTAAAATGTAAACTAGAATAAGGTCCTAATTTGTTTGAAGCTCAGAGCAGCGAGATACTTGCAAATCACAGGTATTTTATTTGGTCCACAAGAGTTCGAGTACCGAGAAGAACATTCAAAATTAAGAAGATAAAAAAAATGCAACGGGAAATAAAACAGAAATACTCATTTTGATACTCCAACTGAACAGTTTTCTATTGCAAAAAGTCTCGAAAGATGAATTTTGAGATCGTTGGTTTGCTGAGGCTGCGGTCTGTTACACTCACTCGGTGGCTATCATTGCTAAGGAACTCGAGGAAAAAGGTTTTTTTTATTTTTTATTTCATCAAATCCCTTCGAATCGTATTTCAAGAATAATTTTTCAAAATTAGGCGACCTAGAAGTGGATTGGCGGATATTTGACTGGATCAACGCGGAAGTTTCAATGGCCGAAAACTGTCGTCACGATGGCAGTGTCCAGCCCGGAGGTTTCACGCCTGTAAGATTGATTCTTTTTCGTGAAATCCTAGAGAGAGTTTTAGGAGAACCTTGCGTCGAAAATCGATAAAACATCGGCAATGCTGACATTGGCGGAGAGGTTCGAGGCGGTTGGGCCACTTTATAGGTTGCTCATACCTTTATTGGAGAAGAACATGAACTTCACGGTACGCGACCGTTCCGGAGTCGAATTCTCATTTATCTTCTTAAGAGTCTCGTGAGCGTTTACGCTGAGCTTCAGCAGACGTACAGCCGCGCGGCGGAAGTCCGTACCAGCGGCAAACGTCATCTCGGGACTTACTTCCGTGTCCGCTTCTACGGCGAAACCCATTTCGGGTAGGCGGTCCATTTTTTGAAGAGCTTCAAAAGCTTACACTTTATTGAAGTTTCTTCGACGTTTGGTAACTAGGATTGTGATTCTAAGAGTGCTGACGGTACTGAAGTGGTCACTAGAAGTGCCCAGAAACCTCCGGAGCACGTCCGTTTTACACTACCAATGTCCGATTAATAAGAGAGCTAGAGAGCTACGGTAAACTAGAGAGCGCTCAGAGAAAAAGAGAACACTTGTCCTCCTATTTTGGAATGCAGTATAACTTTTGAAGATTCAAAAGAATGTTTAAAAAAAACTGGAAACAAATTCATCTCGAAACTTTTTCGTGGTTATTCTGTCTACTCCCCAGAAGAAAAAAATTTCAAAATACTGAATTTTTTTGATATTTCCGAAAAAAAGGTTCAAAGTTGGGATCTCTCAGAAACGAGCACGGGACAGACTGGGTGTACCGCGAGATAGGCCTGACGTCTCTGGCGACCTTTGTCCTGAAGATGAAGGAACAATGTCAGCGCGCTCTCGGCCACGACAGAGTCCAGATCGAAGCCAACCGTGTTCGTAATCTCGACCATCTACTTCGATATTTCGCACTCTCATGGGAAACTTCTATGATTTTCAGCTTGACTTAACGAAATTAGACCCGTCTTACGCCTATGTTCAAGTGATTCACGTGGACCCCGTCGCCGTAATCGAACAAAAAGAAAAAACTGATTTTTGGCGTCATACCAATATTAGGTACTATTTCCTTTCCTCTTCTCGGCTTCGAAAAACGCACTTTCAGCGAATTTTCTTTCGAATTCGCCATGTTGGAAGATAACGCGAAGAAGATTTCTGGCGAACCCAGTATAAGTGAACAGGTTCTCAACAAGACCATCATCAAAGGTTTCCAGACAGCTTCTTCATTATTTTTCGTCTTTTTCATTCCAATCTTTCGAAGAAAAAAATGGAAAACAAATTTCAGTATAAAATATTAAAAATCATTGCTAAAACCCTCTGAATTGAAAGAAAGCACGAATAAATCTGAACGATGTCCCTTTCCAGTTTCGGGCGTGTTCCCAGCAACACGGAGGCGTCTTCCAGTCGTCAGTGAGAGCAACCAAATATTCTCTCCATTAGAGTTCGCTTGCCAGAAGTTGCTGGTGAAATCAAACCAGGTTACGAATGGAGAACAGGAAAATCGAACTGAATTGTCTCATTCAGATTCTCAAGACCCTGTCGGCTGCCGAAAATGGCCGAAATCTGGACATTAAGGGCCTGCAGCTTCTGCTCCAAGGCGCCGTCATGCCCACCGTAAGTGAAGCGATAATCTGTCACGCTATCGAGTCTGGTTTTAAAGAAGCTTGCGTTGCAGGTGAATGCAGGGCCTTTGGTTTACGCCGAAGCGTTTACAAAGGAAGATCAGATCGAACGCTATGGACAGAAGGGCATCGAAGAACTCAAAAACGCTTTCAGGTGACTACTTTTTTTTTGAAGGAAGAAAATTGAAGGAGTTCTTAGAAATTTTTCGTCATTTTCAAATCGAAGCAAATCATTTTATTTTGTTGTTTTAGTCATAGATGTAATCGACTAGGCGGTGAACAAGAACTTTAAAAGCTATAACGAACAACCGCCTTTGGCGAACTAGAAAGTACAAAGAGTTGAAAGCACGGTCCTTCGCCTCGTTCTTCTTTACGTTCCGTGTAAAATTTTTACTCGAAGTGGTCGCTCTCATTGTGAGATTTCCACCTAGAGCACGGTCTCCATGCACAACATCCGCTACATTTTAATGGAACTTTCTCAGAAGTTTGATGGCGGCCTGTCAAGCGGCGATCCTGGCGAACGAGTCGGCGATCGGGGCCGACCAACAGACTTACCACGAGGTCCTCGTCGCCTCCTTCGACGCCATGCACGAACGTCTTCAGTCTTTCTTCGGAGTTTCGGTACAACTTTTTCCCATTGAAGTTCTCGAAATGATTCTGCGTTGTGGAATCTCCTCGACCACTTTTACTCGTTCTATCGAGCAATAGTAAGGGACGGAGAGCCTCTTAGAGAGCTTTCTTTGGTAATGAGTTCAAGGTTTAGTGTACTAAACGAGCCTAAAACACTACAAGCAGTGAAAAAAAAAGTTTTTAATGTTTTTAATTTTTTTTTTAATTGCTTGAAAAATTTTCTACGCTTTTTTTTCAAATTGAATCAATTTTAAAGCTCGACTTTATGTAATAAAAAAAAACTTTTTGACAACGATCGTTACAGTTTCATTGGATTCAGTAGGGCATTGTTTATTCTCGGGCAAAGTCGGAATGGTGGATAATGGCCGCTGAAAGGGAGAGGCTCAAAAAAGGCCGCAGAAAGGAAGCAAAAAGAGTCCCTTTATCGAGCCTTCCATTTTTCTGAGACCTTTCGTCACTATAAAAGGAAAATTTCTATGGAGCCTTTTTCCACCCTTTTCTATTTTGCCTATGTTCGAGTGCTAGTGAGAAGTATCTTTCGAAATCTGAAAAGGCATTGCCTTTTTTGCTGAAAATCATCAAATAGTTTCTGCGATCAAGTTAAAGAGTTCAGCTCCGGGCTGTTGTGGAGACGGAACGGACGGCGATTCCGCCTTCTGCCATGCACATTCTCGATTCCATCGGAGGAGTTGGCCGAAGCTGATCGTTGCCTACATTTCCAATAGATTGTTTTATCATTATGTTCCTTTCCTTATTTATTCTTGTTAATTTTCGATTCTTTTCACTTGACCTTGAGTTAACTAAGAAGAGGAAGAAATATTATTTGAGGCTCTATCGTTAAAACTCAATTCTTTTTTGCTTAATAGATTTTTAACAATCGAAGTTTTTTTTAAAGTTTTGGTAACGGGTATGCACATCAAAAGAAAATCCAATTAATAGGTTAAACGGCAGATTTGAAGAACTTACCATTTGTCAAGGCCGCAAAGAAAAAATTTACCGGAATTCAGTAAATAAGGTCGTGAAAAGTTTCCGAATGCCTTTTTGTCATTGCAGCTCTTTTTTTTTATCAAAAAGTCGATTTATGTGCATTTCAATCAAATATTCCGTTTTTGAGCTTTTTTTTTCAAACTCTCGCTGGTGCTTTTTACTGTCATGCTTCAGGGTAGTATTATGTGTACTTCTTTTTTTTTCCTTTTCCAACAAACGAAGGTTTGAAAACATTCCGACAATGTGGTGTTTTTTTTTTTCTGTTATCCTATCTCATTATAGTACTCGATTTTTTTTTATCTCGCTATACCGTTCTTAGGCTTGAAGTGCTTTCAATTTTAGGTAATTGACTAACAGCTTGTCTGAATTTTCTGTGAGATCAACCCAAAATTCTTTGAGCACAGAAAGCAGCTGTTTATGAATTTCTATATTTTGTTTTTCTTCTACAGGATGTGGAATTATTGTGCGCATTAGTGAACTCTAATTGCTGGCCCCGCCTTTTACTGACTTTTTAATGAGAAACGAACCAATCATCGACATGATTCCCTCGTATGTTACAAAAAATGAAGGTAGAAAAAGCCGCAATTTGAGAAAACATTTTTTTTTGTGCATATTTTTCTAGTCAAAAAGCTTAGCTCTTTGGTAACATTGTTTTTTCTATTCATCTCTCAGCATTCTTCTTATTTTCATGTGACTTATTTTCTTGTTTGTTTTTTGGAAAGGGCGAAATCTCCTTACACCCATCTTAGTACTAACCAATTTTCGAATTTATCTTTGAAGTGAACTTTTTTCTTTCTTTTTTTTTGTTGTTCAGACGAGAGATGTGTACTAGCACGCTATCGCACATATCGTTATTCATATTAACTATATGAATCTTTTTTTAATCTTCTGAGCCCCAAGGCTTTGGGGAATGTGTTCATGAACAAGACTACTATCGGCCAATTTAATGATAGTAATTAAGGTCATAAAGTCTGTTCAGAAGGTCAAGTCATCGCTCAAACTCCGCCCCTTATGCCTAGATCGAATCAATCAGAAAGCGAGCCATCCACAGAGCCTTGTTGGGGGCGGAGCCAAAATCTCAGATTTGAACAGACAGATTTGAGATTTTGGCTCCGCCCCCAACAACGCTGAACAGACTATAGATCAAAATTTTGAAGTCCTGTGTTCATTTTTTTTTTGTTTCTCGAATTGGTTTACGAATCAGCAATATTTAAATCATTTTTTCGAAACTTTTCTGTCTTAGAACTTGATGAAGACGAACAGCGAAACGATAAACGCACACTCGGGTATTTATCTGCAGTTGCTCCGCGAGCAATACCTCGCCCTCCAAGTGCCTCTTTCCGTGGTGATTTTCATTACAAGGAGGATTTTTAGAGCAAGTATGCGTTCATGAAGAAAAATTATGACCTCATAACTGCCGGATCTTCCAACGAATCTCACACGGATGGCCTTGCCTCTAGACTAGTCTCTACAGTGGCTTCGCTCTGCGATAGTGAAGACTTTAGGTTCGGATTTTTTGGGTTTAGACCTCAAATTCAGTTAAAAGAAGAAAGAATTCGTTTTTTTTGTTCGAACGAAGAAACGTTTCTTTAGTGATCTCCAATTTCACGTTGGGAACCGAAGTATCCCCGCCCACCGGATCGTGGTCGCTGCTCGTACTTCCTTCTGGAGCGACCTCACATCGATAGAAAAAATCGTGATTAATGGTAAAGCATCTCTCTCAATTGAGGCTCAAAAAGTTACAGAAACCGATTTTGAAACTTTTCACATAATATACCGTTGGATGTACACCGATGAAGTGAACGTTAAAATAAACGACGATCATCTTCTGAAAGTCTGCGAAGCTTCCATCCGTTTCCATCTTATGGCCCTCCAGGAAAGGTGAGCAAGAAGTATATTATCGGCTTGTGAATACTTTGGATCCGCAGAGTTTTTTGTAGAAAAATTTCGTTTCATGGGAGATTTTCAAAACAAGTTCATCCTAGTTGCTTTGTCAAGTCCAAAAACAAGTCCAAGTCCATCCTAGTTGCGAAACCTGCTTTAATCAAAAATTGATTGGAACTGTCAGTTTTCAGTTGTGTTGAAGAGCTATCAGCACGGCTCGATATCCACAATTGCGTGCCGATTTACGAGTTTGCGGAAAAAAAAGCCCTCACGGTCTTGCGAGACACTTGCGCCGCGATGGTGGCGGCGCGATGGAAAGAATTCACACCAGACTCTTTTCGATCCATGGCAGCACCCATTTTATTTCGTCTTTTGGCCAGGTTTTTTTTCATCTGGTCAGATATCATCAAGTTGCCACTCGCGAGTTTGAAGAGTTTGATTACTTATTTTTTGAATTAATTCTCGAAATAGTTGTTGTTCCTTAAGAAACAGGGAAGAGTTTTGTTTTAGAAGTTTCACTTATGTTAGAAAAAGAAAAGTTATCTAATAAGTAGGGTCCGCAAGCCATTTCTTCAAAACGATCCAAAAAATATGTTTTTCACACTGTTCGATAGAGGAGACTGTCCATTTTCATAATCCGTTTAGTTTTAGAAAAAAGGTCCACTAAGAAAAAAGTTATGGCCAAAAAACTAGCGCGCGCGGCGTTCAACTGGAGGCGAAATCTCACGGTTTACCCGCTGCCGCACGCTTTCTTTTTAAATGTTTTTGCGGATTTCTGAACCGTTTTCAAATCGGTTTTCTGTTCTGAAAGGTTGTCCGAACTGAGCTTCATGTTTTGGTATGAATCTTTTGTACAATCCTCATAAGAATTTTTTTGATAAAATATCAAAAAAACTACTTAGAAAAAAAGGTCAGAAGGAATTTTTCAGCTTATTTTTTTCTTTTTTCTAATCAGAAAAACATATTATCATTTGGTTTGGAAAAAAGAAAAAATGAAAAATAATGTTATTTCGAAATAAAACAGGAAAATGTGCAATTTGACTCCGAAAAACGGCTCCTGCGACATTTAAAAGGGCGCATCGGTGTGTTTGACGCAAACACAGCTACAGACACTTGCACGAATTCTTCCAAAATTTCAAAAAAAATTGCCATTTTTCGAGGTTTTCAAAGCCGTTATTTTTTTTCGCGTCGTTTGATTTTTTTCATAATTTTTCCATTGATAGAGTTTTGAACGCTTAATAACCTGATCAAAAGTATAGACGCGATCCTATTCTCTCATGCGTCAACGAGGCAGGCGAAAAAAGGAGGTTTTGGTAAAATTCAAATATAATTTGATTCGCTGTCCCAATAATTATTTTTATTCTGAATTTTTATTTTTGAACACATTGTGAGTTTTAAATCAAATAAAAAGTATACCATGTCGCTGAAATTTTTTCGAATTTCAGCTTCAAAGTTTGGTGTCCCTTTACAAGCTTCGATTTTTTTTTCGCGTCGTTAGATTTTTTTAAATTTTTTTATTCAAAAAAATAAAGAAAGTGTTAATGTATAACATACTCAAAATTTAGAAGCGTTCCTCACTTGGTTTTCTGAAACGCGATGATTTTGTGAAACTTGTCAGTTTTTTTCGTGTTAAATCTTACTTTTTCGCTTATTTTTGAAAAATACATAGTTTAAAAAGTTTTACAGTCTTGTAGAGCGTTGTCGATTACATAGATTAACTGAAACAGTTTATTTTTAAAGTGGGACTTTAGCTAGTATAAAAGCCTCAAAACCGTTTTTGCAACAAAAAAATCGTCATTTTGGTGGCATGAAGAGGCGGGGCTTTGCGCCCCCTACTAATAAGTAACAAAAATTAGTTTGAAAATAACTCTGAAAGTGGCGTCGAATTAATATTTTCTCTCGTTGTTTTGAATATATCCGATCTGACACTAAGAATAACTGACGAGATAAACGCGAGGTCGGTGGCGGTACATTGACGAACTCGCAAACATCTCGCTTTTTTCTAGGCGCGCTCTCGCATTTCTCTCGGCGCGACCTCGCATTTTTCTTGGCGCATTTATCTCGCATTTCGGAAATTTTTAAATTGCGAGAGAAATGCGAGACCGGCGCGAGAAAAAAAGCGAGATGTTTGCGAGCTCGTCAATGTACCGCCAGTGTCTAGCGTTTATCTCGGCAGTTATTCTTAGTGGATTCCAGCAATTCCAAACACATGTTGCACACGATCGTGGAAATCGGCCGAGAAGACGTTTTGTTCCTATACTTCATGGAGAACATGGCCAATGTTCGTTCACATGGTTTTAGAGCACTCTGAACTCTTTACAGATCAACTACTTGGTCGATCAAACCGATGACAACGGCACAAGCCCTTTGGAGCTCGCGATTTTATGTCGCCGATTCTCGACCGGTTTGTTTCGTCGCTACTTCTCCGAAGACTTCGATATGCAGACGAGGAACATTCTCGAGAAGGGGGCTCAGGTATAGCATCACAACTCGTCGAGAAAGGCGCCAACCCAAACGCCGAAGATTCCGATGGGAACTCTTTGTTGGACAGAATGGTCAAACAAGGTGGGCTTCACATTATTGTTGCAAGTCGAATGGGGGTTGCAGGAGACTCGGAGGCGTGCGAGTTTCTGAAAAATCACGGCGCCGACGTCGGATGGCGTCATTCTTCCGATGGCCACGGTCTACTCCATACAGCCGCCCGTCGTTCAAATGAAGCGACTCCAAGTTTCGTGGAGTGGATAGCCGCAAACTCTTCTGCGATGGGCGTCAATCTCCAAGACTCCCTACAACGGTTTCGGTTCTCGATAGCCTTTCATTGGATGGTTCTTCAGAACTCCCCTCTCGATTGCTGCGGCGCAGGGAAACGGAGATATCGTCGACGTATTGTTGGCTGCCGAGGTGAATCTTATTATATAATCCTTCACAGAGTGTTTCATAGGTCGATGTGAACATTGCGACGTCGTCGGGAGAGACTGCCTTGTCTTTGGCTCTATTCGGGCGAGAGGCAGAGAAAGCGGGAAGACAGGACCTCCAGATCGCAGAAAGGCTTTGTGCAGCTGGAGCTGATGTGAATGCCCGCGTGAACGACGGTTCATTCATTTTGAAGTTCACTATGGGAAACGTCAAGTTTAGTGCCCTTACTCCACTTGGCGGTCAAGCTTTCGGACGGAGAAGCGGTGCGATTTTTGCTTTCTCATGGGTGTGACGTCAACTCGACAACTTTCGGAAACAGTACTGTTCTGCACGAAGTCGCGCGGAACGGAGAAGAAGAAATTCTCCAAACTATTGTTCGCTCTTCAAAAAGTCGGTTTATATGCTTTTGGAACTCGAGAAAACCACGATTTCTCAGATATAGAATGGACTCGTGATAATGAAAACAACACTGCACTTCATATTGCTCTGAGCAAAGGAAACTTGACCTGTGCGAGGTTTTTAATACAAGGTTCCTTCTTGTTTTGCATCAACAAGTGAGCCGTTTTTCTCAGCCGGGGCTCCCATCGACCAACCAGACTCAACTGGTGAGATGCCTTTGGTTCGTGCCATCAGAAGTGCTCGAGAAGACGTCGCCATGTTTCTGCTCGGCCTTGGAGCCGAGCACGATACTCGGTTTGGGGCTTATCGGCTGAAACTCCTTAAATGATCGCTTATTCCAGGAACCAAGAATACTCCTTAATAGAGCTTAATATTAAATAGTTAATAAAAAATAAATGAGAAAAAATTCATTCCATTTTCTAAAGTTTCAAGTGATATACATACATGGGATAGTCTCGGTGGGACCTGAAAAAAAGGGGGAGAACGAGAAAATGGGGGAAGGGGTTGGCAAAAAAATTGTTAAAAAAATTTCAGGGTGTGTGCTGGACTTCGTCCTATAGAAAAAAATCATAAAAAAATCATACGTTCATTTATAAAAAAAATCAAAAAAATGGTGATATATCTTCAACTCTTCATAAAAAAAATAACAAAAATAAAAAAGACGCGTATGACGATCCAATAGAAACAATTTTGCTTCCATGTGTTCATTTTTCTGTACCTTATGGGTCACCAAATATTATAATTTGTTGCGGAATCATTTTTCATAAGCTGCTAGACACATTTTATCGGAAAAACTATGTGGCAGTGAAGGCGCAGAAATATGCAAAACTTTTGGTTAAAGAGGCGTTGACGGAAAGACCTGTCTCGAGTCGGCTGCAGAGTTAGGTCTGAGCGAGACGCTGAAGAAGATGCTCTCGTCCGGAGCCCCGGTCAACCAAAGATCCAGCTCAGGCTTCACAGTTCTGGAACGCGCTCTTCGCAACGGTCTATTTTCTCCCTCCTCTCTCCTTTTTGTAAAGATACGATCCTCTAGGGCACATTGCTTGCGCGGCTGTACTCACTTCCTACGGCTGCGACGTCGAATCTCGCGTCCGTCTCCTCGTCGATGGTAAGATGGTCCCAGTCAGAGACCCTAGCCGAGACGAGCCTCCATTCAAATGCGAACTGACGCTTCTGCACTCGTTGCTCGACGACGGTCTGCAGGAACCTGCCATCTTCCTTATTCAAGAGCAAGTTTCAATGAACACATTACACAACAGATTACACGACAATCCATGTTTAAAAAGGCTTCTCCGTTTTTCAGAAAAAATCATTTTTTACCGGCCTTCTGTGTTTTTTTTTTAATGACAAGGCAATGAACAGATTCCACACCACTATTCCGCTTCGATTTTGAAAAATCGAAACTTTCAAAGCGAACCACCAAAGATCCACCTAAATCAAATCTTTCAGTTTTTCTTCTTGTTTTCCGATGTCCCAGTTCTTACCTTATTCGAGAGATTGGAGCTTTCAGGTTTCCACTCAAAAAAGTTGTGCAGTCACCTTTTCTTCATCTCAATCAAAACTTTCCAAACTCCTGCTTTAATTAATTTGAGTTTTAACGCAATGACCTTCGGCCAAATATCCCAAGTTGTTCTAAACTTGCCGGCTTTAGAGGATGTGACGTGAACGTCTCGAAGCGGTTTCTGGTAGAGGCGGAGGACGATCAGCAGACTCCGGCGCACATGGCCGTGTCCAAAGGACTCGACGACGTCCTGGCCGCCCTCGTCCAGCGCGGCGTGTCTCTCGACGTCCAGGACTCGGAGGGGAGGACGCCGCTGCACATCGCCGTCCGCCAACGCAACCCATCTGGTTTGTTCTCCGTCTAACATACAAACTGTCCCTTTCCAGCCGTTAACGTTCTTCTACAAGCGCCTGATGTTTCTTTCGTCGGGATCCGCGATAAGCTTGGCCTGACACCACTCTCTCAGGCTATGATCAACAGAGATCACAAGGTTTCCCTTCAAAAAATTTGGGATATTCCAGAATCGCCAAAAAAAAGTCGATTGGGGGGGGGGGGTGATTCAAAAGAGGGAAATTCTAGAATGCCTTGGAAATCTTCAAGAACCGCCCTTGAGAAAATCCTGAACTGTTTCAGATTGCCGCTGCCATAGTGGAGCGACAACCCCATGCAGCAGAGCAAATGAATGGAGCCGGTGAGACTTCCGGAAAGTTGGTTGCTGAATTTTGATAACAGGAGAGAATCTTCTACATTCCGCAATCCGGACCAACAAACTCGAGAACGTTCTATTTCTTTTGGGCGTCGGCCGTGCCGACCCAACACGACTGACCAATGACGGCACCCAACGTTCGCCACTGCATCTCGCTGCCACCGCCGACGACGAGATGATCATCCGAACTTTGGTCTGTCCTCGCCTTCTGCGAGAATCAAATACATCGCTCTCATCTCAGATTTTGGCCGGGTGCGACGTCAACACCAGAATGAACAATGATATGACGCCCCTCCACGAGGCTTTGCGATCTCGCCACGCAGCCAACGCCTGCATTCTCCTCGAAAACGGCGCAGACCCGAACCTTCTCGACGATATCGGCGAGAATGGTTCGTTTCAACGATCACCAAACAAAGTCCCTGAGAAGGCAAACGTTCACTGATCTTGGTAAAGTGGCTCCATTCTGTTCAGATTTTGAAAGTTAACTCCGCCCCTTAGGAGTGGATCAAACCAATCAAAGAGCGAGCCATTCAAAGAGCGTTTGGGGGGGCAGAGTTTGCTGCTTTGAAAGTCGGTTCCGACTAGTAGGAAAATTCAAAGGAAAATTAAAGAGGAAATTTTGAAGAATAGCCTTTCTTCCATAGTCCCCAAAAAAGCGTGGTTTCTGAGTTTTGATCAGAAAGATTCACTGCTAGCTTCACACGCAAGAAGGCATGGCCTGTATGCGCTCTCCACCAACCAGGCACTGTCTCCTTTATTTTCGTGTCAGGACCTTTTTTTCGATGGCTCAAGTCTGTCTGAATCATAAATATTCATGTGTTCAGCGCTCCACTATGCCGTGCGCAGCGGCTCCCTCGAGTGCATCCGCGCGGTTTTGGACGATGGAAGATGTCAGCGACGACGTCTCAACCAAGCGTACTTTTTTTTTACTAAATCAAGTGCAGTCAGATTCGCGGAGTGAATCGGGACTTTAGCGGGTGATCAGGGTTACAAGTGAGGGGGTCTCCAATTTCGAACAATCAAATAATTTTCGCAAAATACAAAGGATTAGATGAGAACTCCAGGCAACCGATACTTCTCCTTCGTTTGAAGATTTTAAAAATTGGAAAAGGATACAGTTGATACAATTAGTCAAGTCCAAACATTGCATTTTCCGTCTTCCGTAAAACTGTTCCGATTCAAGTTTAATTCCGCAAATCTCTTCCGTGCAGCTGTGGCGTCGGCCATTTGAATTCATTTGCGATTTTGCAGAGGGCAGACAACTCTTCACATTTGTGCAACTTTGACTCTCGAGCGTCTACCTAACAGGTGATTCTCTTTCTTCAAACATTATGTGCTCATACACCCTCCTCCATCTTTGGAGAAGTTCCTTGTGCACCCAAAAAGCTTGTTATGATGCAGGACGACAAGTGCCGAGTTAGCAGAAGTCCTTCTGAATTTCGAAGAGAAGATAGTCTCGAAAAATGTTTCCACGTCAGCCGTTAAAGAACTTGAGAATTTCATAGATGCCAGAGACGCTGACGGGTCAACAGGTCTGTCAATGTGGCTACTTCTCCAAAAAGTCTATTCAGCTCTGTTCATCTCCTATTCCCACGGCAATTCCGCTCTGTGTCGCGCGCTTCTGCGACGTGGAGCGTGTATGGGCATCCGCAACGCTTTCGGTGTCAACGTCTTCACCTATGAGACGGCAACCAAGCAATTATTGTTTGGGTTACTCGGTTTGTACTGAAAGATCAGTTTGTAATCAGATGAAAGTTCAAATTTCTTGAATTCACAGCTGCGGAAGATTTGTTTTTCATTTTCTTTTCCCACACTTCGCCTCTAGAGAGGGATTTCTCTGATAACCCGAATATTTTTTGAAAAAAATAACGCCGAAAGATTTTGGGATTTGTAGAGTGGCTGGAGCAAGAGCCGCGCTGGTCGGACGGAGAGTCTTGCGACTGCGGCACGAAATTTTCCCTCACTCAAAGGAAACACCATTGTCGGTTAGTTCAGGCTAGATGTCTCAAACGGGAGCAACTTCTGCCCCTTCCCACTTTTCCACAATAAACGGTCTTACAGGCATTGCGGCAGACACGTGTGCTCCAAGTGTTCGGAGACGACGATGCCCATAGTCAAGTACGGAGAAGAAAAACGTGTGCGCGTTTGCGACCTGTGTGCCTTCGTCCTCTCTGGAAGACGTCCTTGAAAGGCCTGTTGAAAAATCATTGCTATTCATTTAAATGGAGATGCGAATCTCTTTACTGCGGTAAGCAAAAAGAGGCAACGCGTGTGCACAAAAGGACTTAGGTCTTACTGCCAACCTCCAACGACGGTGTTCCCAGAAGATCATTGAACAGCTCGGCACCCGCATCCCGTCTCCGACGACTGGGGCAGTCGGAGGTGAAGTCGGCAGTCGGGGACCGGAGGAAGCGGGTGTCGAGTTGCTCAATGATCTTCTGGGAATTTCGGCCCTTATATACCCTTTTTGGGGTCTAATCTTCCACGTGATCTCTTTTATTAAGTATTCATTTCTACATACTCAAAACTTTTTTAAAGAGAGGAGAAATGATTCGATTTTTTTAATCGCATCAGTTCTTTTTTTGTAGGAAAATGTTCATTTTCAAAACTATACAACGAATACATTAATTTCAGCAAGCCATAAAAAAACATTTTCATTCAAAAAAACAAATTATTATTCTAATATTCTACTGAGATATCGTAGAGTGAAAATGACGTCTACTTTACACACCAGCACCCCTTTCAGAAATGATAAAATCTTGTAAAATGCTATTTCAGTCGATGGCAGTCAACACGCTCATCTTCGCAATCTCATTCTTAAAATTCCATTTCTTCGCAACTTGGTCATAAATTGTAATCGATGAATAAATATTTATTGTTAACTCGTCGTTTTCTCACTTTTCTCTTTAAGAAGATAGGCTTCTAATTTCAGCATAAACTAAACTTTCTCTACACACTTTTCATATTCAGTTGAAAGCCATACACAGTTTGTGTTCGATAACGCTCTTCCTTACACTGAAAAAGTGAAATTAATTTATTAAATACGCGTGCCGTCAACAATTATGAAAAAAAAATTAATTATGCTGCAGATACAAAACGTAGAAACCACTTCGCAACATACCCACCAACACTCAAACGAATTGAGCCACTTGGAATGGCTTAAATTCAACAAAAGATCCTCGAAAACCGCAGTTACTCGTAAAGAAAAACAGGGAAATAGGAATGGGAAAATTGAAAATAATTAAACGTGAATAAGACATCAAGCGCCATGATCTTTTAATAAAAAACTCCGTTGTTTTTAGTAACCAGCGTTCTTCAAATAACCGCCCACGTCTTCAACCGCTCGACGAACCTGAGCAGTCACCTCATTTGGCCCCTCGTAGACAGCAATGAGAATAGCTGAAAAAAAATATTCGAAATTTTGATTGACAAAAAAGCCTCAAATGAGAAAAAAATTCTATTCAACGAGATACATTTTTTAAACAGTGAACAATTGACTGATTTTCTCAGTACGCCGACTTAGTTAGATTTTAGATGTTGGATGAAAATAGTTTGATTAATCCTTACTTCGGGTTCAGAATCTAGTTTTTTTTTTCGCATGAAGAAAAGTGATGAACGGTGTAAAAAAAAAACTAGCGAGTGTATAGAAACCGCACATTATTTTCCTATCGCGCGTTCATGACTCATAGAAATTCCTTCTGGATAAAATCTTATTCACCCCTAAAATTCAAGTTATACTTGGCTACCCGATAAAAATTTTCCTGCTCCAGCAACTACCACTGAAAAATTGAAGGAAAATTATGGAAAATTATCAAAACTTTTCGCTTTTGAAGGCGAAAAGGTACCAGCCTTCTCTCAGACAAACCACTTCAAAAACTTACATTTTAGAATTTTAAAAACATTAAAATTAAAAGAGCTTCTGATCCCAAAACATTAAAAAAGCTTCTGATTCGTGATTATCGTTTCAAAAACATAGGTTCTTTGAGTAGAGTGAAGATAACAACACATAACCTTCATTCTTTGAGAAAAAAAAAACTATGAAAGATTTCACGATCCATACCATGATGTATTTTAAGACACATATAGCATCGACTTTGAACTCACCACTCTTAGTTTTGACAGCAAAAAAGCCGCATTTGTCTTTCTTCCCGAAAATGAGATTTTCTTCAGTGCGTGGAACAACATAGTGCGTATTCTCCATATCTACTCCCTTCGAAGGTACTTCGTTCAAATTGTCGAATAGAGAAACGAAGGCTTTAAGCTCCGGCTCCGTGGCCTGAAAAATTGGACACTCATTAGACAATATTTTTTTCAAATCAAAAAGAAAATAAACGAACACGGAAAACATTAGCGTCCTGCGTACGAGCCCAGACACTTCCATCCGTACCGACGATGGCTGCTCTTTTGATGGCCGGAGAAGCCCCGGTTATAGACGCAATGTAAGCATCCCAGCCTGACATCTTGGACGATCGAGCTGCTTAAAAAAACAATCAATCGAAAAAATTTGAAAGATTACAAGGAAAGAAATCGCAAGGAGTACTGCAAAGCGAAAATGCAATTTGAGTTAAACTGTACATTAACAAAAATGCCCGAGACTGAACAGAAGAAATATCAACAGAAATTATAAATCCCTATTTTTATTTTTTTGATATCTTCAGATAAACACCAAAAAAACGTAGATTTCATGTACAAAATAACATAAAATATACAAGAAAAATTATACAAACCAAGCACTTCTTAATTATTCGAAAATCAGCTTTTTATAATTTACGATATTAACATCAGTTTTTTTTTCAGAAAAGAAACATTCCCGCTCTAGGAAACGATGATCTCGCTGTTCAAAAAGAAAGATCAAAATGCGTAAATTTTAGCGCGATGATCTGAATCTTTGCTTTGAAATGCTCTCGGAAAAATCAGTCAGTGCTCTTTCGGAAAAACTGAAAGGACTTCGAAAAAGTAGAAGAACCGGAGAAATCAAGAATGTTAAAAAAATTTTTAAGAGATTAAATTTTGCCTAAAACGATTTTTTTCTACAGCTATCGGTTGTTTAATCCTCCCTTGGTGGGCTTTTTGAAGGAGAAAAAAAGTGTTTAGGTCTGAAAGCACGAAAAACGAGAACAACGCCTAATCTCTTCGGTACACTTTTTTCTCCTTTCATAGACGCTTGCTGGTTTTTCAGAAACTTTTATGAAGCATAGTCTTCTCAGATTTTGAATTTCAAGCAACTAACTCCGCACCCGTGGCTACAATATCTTTATCTTCACGCGCGATAATGAGGCTTTCTGCAGCCTCGGGGGCGCTTCTTGGCATCCTAAGTCTGAAAAGACTATATGCTACCTGCCAAAAATCAAGAAAATTGCAAACTTTCATTAGAACAGAAAGACGGAATACGGTCCCCAACTTCTAACTATGACGTCCAGAAGGGCGCTGCAACTATTTTTCCCCCAAAACCGCCGCAAAAACTTGTCTAACCAATGATAATCTCTCTATACTGTTCAGATTTCGAATGTCAAGCGCAATGACGTCATTCATAACTTTTTCTGTAAAGGGCTCACTCTCGAATTGGGTTATCGCGACATTAAGGGCGCTAGATGAATTTCTTCCAAGATGGCTTTGGGGCGAAAATAAAATTGCGCGCGCATCTAGGCGTCCCAACTCGCAGAAGTTACTTATGAGAGCACAATTTAGCTCTGAAGAGAAATAAAAATGATTCACGACCATGGCGAAACTGGTGAAGCCCGATTCTGCAAGGAAAATGAAAGGTCGAGATAGTTTGAAATATTAAACTTTCATTCGATTCATAACGAACAGTAAAATACAGGACAATTTTCAAGTTAAGCTTTTATTAGAATGCAATATTACAATTATAATTAGAAATTATTCAAAAAAACATTTATTAATAAATAAACCTTGGACGATTGCCATAGAAGAAAAAAATGTGAGATTATTTTTCATCAATTTGTAGCAATGAGTTCGACATCGAAGATCAGGGTAGAGTTAGGTGGGATAGCGCCCGAAACACCACTCGCTCCGTAGCCCAAGTCAGGAGAGATGGTCAGCTTCGCTCGTTGTCCAACAGACATCTCAAAATCGTGAATCAAACAATAAAATTGCGCTTAATGCCGCGTTCAAAGTGACTTTCAGACAAAAATTGATTCAAAATTGAATTATTTTAAACGAATAACGCATAATTAAAATTATTTCAAACGAATAACGCATAATTTTGAAATTGCGATTTTCTACCAGGTCTGCTTCCAAGAGTTTGATACGGGACCATCTGCTGAGACACCGTATTAGCACCTTCTAGGACCTAATTTTTTTTTTCAAAGCTCATGAAGTTCCATTATTGCGTATTTTGCTATATCATTCTAAATGAAAAACACGTCAACTTTGGAATCGCCAAAATCACTTTGAAAAGGGCATAAAAATGTGGATGCTTCGAAACACTTCAGAAAGGTACGAAGTTTTGACTAGAAGGAACAAAAACTACAATGAAAACTTGTCCCTGATTTCAATTTCCTTTTTTTTATTGACAAAAAGATATATTTTTCACATATAATGGTTATTGTTGTGTTCGAAAAGATTTCGAATCTCTAATATGTGGTTGTTTTTTTCCATTCCATTAAGGCTATTCTGAATTTAGCAAAAATCACCTTAAACAAAAAAATATAAATTCGAAATTTCCAGAAATTCTTATACGCTTGAAAATATTTTTTTGCAAAAAGTTATATAACTAATATCTAAATTTTTTTGTTTAATTTTTAAATTTGAAGTGATCAAAAAAATTTATATCATTTTTTTGTATTTACCTTGGCAACACCTTGATCCCAGCCCTTGATGACTTCGCCGCGGCCGATCTTGAACTTGAATGGGGATCCACGATCACGGGAAGAGTCAATCTGATCGAATTTCATGTATAAACTTCTTTTTTTTTTTTTCACAAAACCTTCTTTCCGTTTTCGAGGGTCAAAACATAGTGGCACGTCACGGTCTGGCCAGTCTTGGGGAAAGTCGCTTCATCTCCTGGCTTGATGGTTTCGATGTCGACAGGCATGTTTGAATATCTGCAAACAATCTTAAAGATCAAAACTTTTTATCAAAAACCGTGCTGATTGACTTTAATGCCGTGTTCATGCCGTGTTCAAAGTAATTTCCGCGAAATTCAAAATAGCTGTCAGAGAAAGGAAAAGATCACTAAATTTTGGAGAGTCAGAGATCATTTTGCATTTCGCGGAAATTACTTTGAACACGGCATCAATTTGATTCCGCGAAATGCAAAATGATCTCTGACTCCCCAAAATCTAGTGATCTTTTCCTTTCTCTAACGGGTATTTTGCATTTCGCGGAATCAAATTGAACACGGCATAAAGAAGAAACCAAAAAAATTCACTTTTGCTATATAAAAAATTTGAACAAAAAATTACGAAAGCATCGGCAATTAATAATAATGAAGAAAATTAGTATTAAGCCTTAAACTTGACAGCAGACCAAGTTCCAAAAGTTTTTAATTTTTAATTGTGTTCTACACTTTTTGCAAAACCTATGTGAAAATATTACCAATAAACAATTTGAAAATTTCAGAGAATCATTGAAAAAGCGAAGAAAAAGCTCTGTGTCCGCTTAAGATTACCTTGCTGTTTCTCCAATTTTTTCCTACGCGCTCCAAATTGTAACATTTGATAATACACTTTGAACGGAATTCATGTCGTGTTAGAAGTAATTTCCGCCAAATGCAAAATTATCTAACCTTCCAAATTTTGATTATCTTTCTTTTTCTGTGATGGCAATTTGGATTTCGCGAAATCACTATGAATACATAATTATAAAAATAATAAAAATAATAAAAAGAAAGATCGCTATGAAAATTTGAAGTTTGGGAATATCCAAGCAACGCGGTCGCACAACGAACAAGACCAATTTTTTACTGGAGTATGCGCCTTTAAAAAAAGTGTTTATTTCGTTTGTAAAGAGGTGAGTGTGTGATTTCTAACGCGTTTTTCCGCTGGTATTGATATCGGAATTAGACTGTGTCAAGTCGTAACCGTCCTTCGGAAGATTATCGCATTTTCTAGGTTTCTGAAAGCATGATATGAATTTCATTATTTCATTTGCCAAACCTGTGGATTACGCATTTGTTGGCGCAAGGAATTCATCCTCTTTTTGAACCTGTCGACCTCTGAGGCAGTTACCAAAGATTTATCGGTAGCCTTCTTTTTATCCTGGAAAAAGTGATGCAAATTTCGCTGTAAAATATCGGTGTGCTAACCAGTATATACTAATATTAACAAATAAAAAAATATAAAAAAATATGTACAATAGAGAAAACGTTGGGCTGAAATTTCAACCGTTGAAACAATTTCTTTTTTTGGTGGAAATTCAAAATTTTTCGGAATTTATTTTTTTCAAAAATCAACTTTTTTTAGTAGAAAATTTCGAACGGTTGAAAGTTTGATTTTTTTATGACTTTTCTATAATTGTTTTTCGAGTGATCAACCTGAAATGTACAACAAGCTTCTGCACAAAGTGAGCAAACTCCACACGAAGAACAGCGCTCATTTTTCTCTGCCCTGAAACTTTTGATGAACAATTTACACAAAGGGACAAATGATATTTTGTGGTCATGACATAGTTTTTTGAAATGTGGTAAAATTTTTCCACGAACGTCAAATAATGTAATTTCGGAATAATATGTTCGCAAAGGAAGAGGAAAAACCTTTTGTTTAGCAAAAAGTCGGAGCTGGCCCTTGAACAAGTGGAAGTATCGGTATGACTGCTGTCCACCCGTTTGGCGAATTTCTTAACTTGCATGATCAAAATTCTATAAAAAGAGATTTAACCTTGCTGGAAGCCATCTTCCGCAGCAGCATGCGAGCTCTTTGGCGTGTCTTGACGCTTGTACGACGTGGAAACGGAGTTACAGCCAGGGGATCAGACAAAAGACTTTTGGAGAAATGTTTTTTTTTGATAATGAAACATTAATACCGGCCAAGATGATCTCGTTCCTCGTCCAAACAAATGGTTCTGTTGTTGTTCATCTGAGCAATCTGATTGGCATTTTCTCGGAAACTTCGAAAAGAACATGAAGATGAGGTAGACGAAGACGATGTTTTTTCGTCTTTTTTCTGAATTTATTCTAAATTTCTGCTAATCCATGAAATTTTTTTTGAAAGAGATTGAATTTAGACTGCAAAGAAAATTTTTTTTTTTGGAATATCATGTTTTCAAACGGCTATGAAAAAGATCTTTTGAACTTTTTTTTTCCCAAATTTCAGTTTTTCTGCAACATTACAAGTAACTTCTGGCTAAATTTAGAGCAAAAGCAGCCAAATTGAGAAAGAGGAGCAAAATAGTCGCTCTTTTTAGCCGTCATTTTTGTTTGGGGTCTGGGAAAATCCATTCTCATTTGCCTACCTTGCTCAAAGGAAGTTGTTTCTGCTGAGTATGGGTCTTCTCGGTTCCGGAAACAGAAGAAGTCTTTCGGTCTTTCGATGCCGACCTCAACTAGTTTGATCACCCAACAGATATTGTTAAAGGAAAATTTGGACTTTCAGAGCCTAAATTAAATCAAAAAAAAACCTAGTTCGGGTTTGAATTGGAGAGTCGAGGTAGGAAAGAAGGCGATCGTTCACTCGGATACGGAGCTTCTCGGACTCGGAATGTGGATACTTAATGTCAAATTGCCTGAAAAAACAGTTTTAAACCAGGTCAAAGAAAAAGGAAAAAATTGGAGACTTGGGATCGCAAGGACTGTTCGAAGCGCGGCCCAATGAAGACGTCGTCACACTTCTCGACGAGTCGGTGCTCTTGGAGGGCGTCCGAGAGGAGCCGCGGCTGTTAGGCTTCGGAAAGCGATAGGAAGAGCGGACGAAGTTGTTGAGGTCCTCCACTTCACACAACACTCGTTCTACATCCGACGCCATATTCTCTTCAAATATCTCCGTGTTATGTAGGATAGCTTCTCAAAAAAGATGGGTTTTCCAAAGAAGTCTAACTATAGGACACATGATTTTTTGGCGATGTTTGTAAGCCTTCAAACTATAAAAAAGACAAAAAAAAATCGAATCGTGACGGTCCAAACTTTTTTGAAGATTTCGATCGTAAGCTTAGGCCATGTGCAGCAAAATCCGTAAATACGTTTTCTTTAAATCAAATTTCTCCCTTATTGCTGGCGTCTATCGTAATTTCGCCTTCCAGTTTTGAAAAAAAAAGTTAATAATACCCGCTTTCCAGAAATCTTCTCTATTCCGTCGACTCCACTTTTTGACGTCAACCATTTTTTGGCTAGAAGTCCTGCTATCGTGATTCGAGCTCATATCAGACTAAAAAATGACACGTTTTTATTTCCTAACTTGACTCGCATCGGATTCTGTAGCTTCTTTCCCCGAAAGCTGAAAAAATAACAAATTTTTCCGATAAAATCTCCAAAAAATTACACTTGATTTGGTCGACGAAGAAGAAATGGAGAAGTTTTTGTTGTCTCTGCAGAAAAAGTTACACATTTATTTCCGATGACTCTGTATGCCATTAAAATATATTTAAATCGTGAAATTAGAAAATATGGCATTGTAGATGTGAGAAACAGGTTTTTAAACTATGCCTTATACGTATATCCTCTCCAGGAAACGACTTCTTAGGTGTGTAACGAAGGGAGAAGGAGATCAGGTCGGGTTTGCGTTCGATGAGGCCGGTCCAGTCGCTCATATCCGAAGTCAGGTGCTCCACTTTCGTTTTTGCACGATTTGCATGGAAATGCCTTCTACATTCTCGTCAATACACGTTTTGATTCACGTTTAAATTTTTTTAAATTTTTGTGATAATAAATTCAACGAGAGATGTAGTTTTATTATGAAAATTTAGGAGAGTTTGGCAGATTACGGTATTCTTCTGCAGTAAAATTGACAGGATGCAAAGATCTTCTACGGATTTCCTGAAAAACTTCATATGAATTTTGAGATAAACAAGATCTTCTTACATTTATTAAGCACATAAAAGCCATCGGCTGGAAATTGAGATAAAGTTTGTGTGCTACGAGCTCCGGCCTTCTGAATATGGTCTTTTATATTGATGAGAAATGAAAAAGCAGAGGCTTAAATTGGGCTCTAGTCGCAGGTGAACGACTGAAAACGAAAATTTTGCGAAAAAACCATTTATTATATAACCTGTGAACCACGACTTGGAATTTCACCAATAGACATTCCGCTGTGCCGCTGCGCGCCTTTGCGAACCTTTGTCGCGCTTTTAATTTTTTTAATTTTTTTTTATTAAGGTACTCTGCTTTCATATGCTCCCACATCAATAACAGTAAAATGAAAGCATGATCTAGACTCGAAAGACGCTTCGCGAACGCACGCAGCGGAACAGCGGAATGTCGTTCGATGAAATTTCAAGTCGTGGCACACAGACTATACAGGAAAAATTATATTTCTAATTAAAAGAAAGACATCAGAATTTATCCACATAAATGTATAAATATGATCATAAGTTTTATTACGTCAGAAATATCTGTTCTCCATAAATATTACTGGTCCAAATCCATGCCCTACATGCTCCGTTCTTATTTTCTCTATTCAATTTCATTTTTCCTTCTTATAATCTCGAGACTCGTCTCTTGAAGTTTCTTGTCGAATCAATCAACATCAAGTATTGACAGATATGGAAACCTTATTAACATGGGCAGGTCTCTGACGCCAAAAACACACGACAGACGGTAGTAGTAGCCTGGAAAAAGAGAATCGAAAAGACGATATCGCAGCAGAACCTTTGCACTTGGCAGGCGGTCTGTTCACGTACTGCTGGTACCTCGCCACGTAGTATGACGTCACGTTGTAGCGACCTTCGACCCTCGAAGCCGTTTCGTCAATCGGAGTTGGCCTGAACGAGTTGTTCAACGCCTGGATCTGAAGAAACCTGATTGGTCCGCGGCGCAGCAACTCTCGAGCATCGAAGCCGCCAGGCATGTTAAGTTCTGAGAAAAAAGGGTCAGCGGAACGATTCACGAAATACACAATGAAAAAAAAGTTTCAGGATTAGGCCCTGCTTTGAAAAGCCTAATCTCTTCTCCTCACATTTTTATTTCTTGATGTTTCCATGCTTCTTCAAACTAGTGTGTGAAATAAAAGAGACACTGATTAAAAAAAAAAATGCAATTCTTCCAATTCTTGACAGAAGGCTATATTCATAGGCAAAGTCGGAAGTACCCGGAGGGTCATAAAAGCTGCTGGAAGGCTACATAATAACGTTCTTTTTAGGAACATTATTATGTAGCCTTAAAGTTTTAGGGTGATGAAGGCTCCTTTTTTGCTACCCTTTTGCGTCATTTTCTCAGCCCTTATGCACCATATTTGCTGCCTCTCCCTTTCTCCACCATTTTTCGAGCCTTTAAAATCCCAGAAAAATGGAAGGTTCGATAAAGGCTCTTTGCTACGTTTTTGCTGTTACGCAAAAAAAAAACAGTCATAGTTTTGCATCGGAAGCTTTGCGGTCATAGAACAAGAAATCCACGAAGTTCATACCTTTTGGATTTCCTGCAACGGTGGCCCAAAGTGACTCGTCTGCACACAAGGTTCCTTTCAAAAACTCCATTTGTTTCTTCACCACCGGACTCGAAATCATGAAAGTGGCGGAAGCGCGAGAGAAAGTCGCAGAAAGAGAAGTTTTGTAGAGCTCCAGAGGGGAATCCCAAGGCTTCAACTTTATTTATTGAAAAATTTTTCGAGATGAGCAATGACAGACCCTTTTCCACATCAGACGGTACCATTCAAAAGGCAAAATTTCGGCGTTAAATGTGCCGTTGAGAGCTTTGAAAATTCGGACCATTTCGAGATTGGTTTTCAGAGGAGCGTCGACGCCAGATAGGTACTGATTCGGCGGTTTTTTTTCAAACAGGAAGTCGATTCACCGACCTGGTAGTACTCCCAAGGAGCTTCAATCTTGGCTAGGTACTCGACGCAGCTGAAAACCGACGTGAGGATCTCGTAGGAGCACCATTTGATCGGCAGCGCCCGCTAGAAGATCAAAAGTGAATTAATTGAAAACGAAATCCTCACAAAGACGTGAATATTAGGGTAGCACTCTGCAAGCTGCTTCATCTTCATGTAGAAACTCTCCTCGCTGTTTTTGTCGACACCTATGCAGAATTGGTTCTGCGGCTGGTAAATGGCCGAGAGGAGCAACATCACCTGAGATTGAGAGGATTTTCAACCAAGCAATCTTTTACCTTTGTTTCAATCATGAATTTTATTAAAAGTCAGTAAACTCTGAATTTTTTGAGACGCTCTAGAGAGCTTTTATTTCGAAAAAACCTACTTTTAATTTACAGGAACTCGAGTTACCTGGATGACGTCACTATGGACGAGCAAGCCGTAGGCAATTGGAAACTCGGCCTCTTCTTCCGACAAAGGAGAATCGAAAAAACGGAAGATTTTTTGGAACGCCTCACATCTGAGCTACCCAATAGTTGGCTAGAGTTTTAGAGCAAACTTGTCTTCGGCCTGGATTATCGCTTGTTCTACAACGCTTCCGTTGAAATGAAAGAGGGCTGCTCGCCTAATGGCATACTCGTCGCCATCGAACATCCGATCGCACTCAGCTCCATGGTTCTCCAATATGTCTCCTCTGAACTTTGACCATTCCTTTTTTGACGAAATCGAGAGTTATGTGCTTGATTATCGCCTCGTACCTCGATAACGAAAACCGGACATGCCCCGGACGTTTCTGAGCAATTCTAGGGCTCACTTATGAGTGCTGATGCTGCTGAAGTTGTCACTAAAAATGCCCAGACACGTCCGATTCGCGTCCGACTCGCGTCCGTTAGCGGCGCTCACAACCTCGCACATTTTTTCAAATTTAACACTTTTTTTATTAGACCAATTCCCACAATCGTAAGTAAAAAAGGGTAAAAATATTTATAAAAATACATTATATTTCAACTCAAACCATTTTTGACAGTGTCTTTGCGGATCCTCGTAAAGAAGTTAAGGGCGAGTCGAAAAAAACTTATTTTCACTGGTGTAATGTGCCTGCCGACTAGATAAAATCGTATTTTATGAGAACAATCCTCTTTAATCATCAGATAGCAGTTACAAAAAAGTAGAAACTCTCAAAGTTTAAGCTTAGAGCTTGAGAAAATAGGTATAATTAGCTGGTCTTTTTCAGGACCCAAAGGCAAGATTACGACAGACGCAGCAGTAAGGAAGAAACTCGACTAAAAAAACTGATTGACTGAGTTTGCAAAAAAAGTTCAGAATGAGAAAATATAAATTAGCGAGCTCCATTATTTTCAAAGGGACGAAAACATAAAAACGAAAAACATTTGTATTACTTTCGAAAATCTGGTTGAGGTTTCTTGTTCAGTTTAATTTTTCAGTGTTTACCCATAGTCAGGTCGTGTAAAGGTCTGTTGGAGGAAAGAAACAGCTATCCGGGCGCATAAGAATATCGAAGTGAGAATCAAAGTGACGTGCAGAATGGTGGTGAACAACTTGCGAGATCTGCGCGACGTCATCGGATTGAGCAGCAGGCGACTCCGGGGGGCCGAAATCGTGCGAGACCCCAATATCCTCAAATATTGACGTTTGATTTGCATTTCTGTAGTTCCTCAGTTAATATCTCTCATTTTATACCTTTAAAGCAGAGAGAATACGTTCCCACAAGGAAAATCGAGTTGTCGAACGATTTTATTTATTCTCAAAGATGAATGCTCCGTTTGATTGTGCGAGTAGCTGAGTCATTTACAAACGATTTTCCTCTGCAAATCGCCATTCCCTGACGTAGTTTTTCTAACCAGGAAAAGGTCTCACCTCACAAGCGGACTTCTGAATGAGACCATGTGTCCTAGATGTAGTTTTTTCACGCTGATTACTCAAAAGTTGCCATATCTTTGAAAAAAAAAAGTTAGAGGCTCTCAAAAATCCAAAATTTTGTGTCTCCAATTGAGCTCATTTTTGGAAGGTAAGTAGGTCCTGTCCCTTTGGTCACGAAAAACCGTTTCGGAAAGTGCAAAGGTGCAATAATTTGATTAAGCCTAGTATATAGACACTTTATTACACCCTGATCGAAAATAATTTGAAAACTGGGTCTTTTTGCGTTTTTGGAGTGGATAGCCCTTTTTGCTCTGTGTGAAATGTGAAGAAGGTTCCAATCTTTTTTGGTGAATCATATATTTGCCAATTTTTTTAAGCATCAAATATTTCTGAAGATATAACGAACAAAACCATTCAAAAAAACTTGAAACTCGTCAATTCGCTAATAAACTACTTGAAAAATAGATACTGTTTTTTTTTTCGTTTCGAGAAAATTTTCTTACCTTATTAAGGATTATTATCACCCAAGATTATAATACTTATTATTATTATTATCGCTGCAACACTTTTTTTGAACTTGTCTGTTGATTTTTTTCTGCGATTAAAAAAACGTGCTCTTTTACTATGTATAAATTATTTATCCTTCAGAACTTCTCTGAAAAAAACGGACAAGCACGAGTAATACACAAACAAAAAAAGAAGGATAAGGTCTCTGTGGTTACAAAAAAAAATTGAACAAAATTCTCATTTCCAGTTGTTCCAAAAGATTGCTTCACCTAGCGAGAAAGAGAAAACATGCAAATCCTTCACGCTTCTTCAATTTATCGAGTATTAAGAGAAGAAAAAAACGCCCAACACCTTTTATGAAAAAAGGAACCTACAATCGGCTGCAACGAAGTCAAAACATGTCTCTCGAAGCATTTTCTCAAGCGTCTTAAATAAAAATTACGCAAACTAACATGATTAATCAATTATAATTCGAAAACTCCCAAAACTGTATCAAAAACAAATTTTGATCAAAAATAAATTAGGGCTCATGAGACTATCAAATCCACTCGTGAAAAATCACAGTGCATTTGAATGATAAAAACGTTCGAAAAACAAATTTTTTCACTGATGGTAGGGCGACTGACGGAAAGGTGGCCCGTTTGGACCCCGAGCGAAAGGATTTATACCGGAAGGGGCCGTTCCAGAAGGTGGGGGAGCGAAGCCTCCCATCGCCTGAGGTGGAGCGAATCCGGCAGACGATGGAGGCGGTGGACCGAATCCTGGTTGCTGCATTTGCGGATTTCTCGGAGCCCCGAATTGGCCAGAAAGAGGCGGCGGAGCAAACGCTCCCTGCTGAGAGTTGTCCAAATGTTGTGGTGGTTGTCCAAACTGCTGCTGCTGGGGTGGCGCTCCAAACTGCTGCTGCTGGGGTGGTGCACCAAACTGCTGCTGCTGATGCTGAGGTGGTGCTCCAAACTGCTGCTCCGATGGCAAAGCGGAGAAAGGAGCAGATGGCGGAGGCAAACCAGCCGAGTGCGACTGGATGAACTGTTGCGGCTCCGAAGAAGGAGGAGGTGCAAAAGAAGCATGCTGGTGTGGCGGAGGAGCAAAGTTTCCTGGCCGTGGTGCGAACGTATGCTGCTGCTGTTGAGCTCCAGGTTGTCCTTGAGGCGGGCCAAAGTTATGCGGTTGAGGAATTGGAGTCGAAGAGACAGAAGACTGCGGGGTTGCTTGACCTGGTTTCTGTTGAGCTTGGAACTGCATCGGTGGAGGGGCGAAGTTTCCAAGAGGCGGGACATTCTGAGCAGATGGCGGTGGCGGAGCCGAGTTCGATGTCGGGAACGAAGGAATCGACGCCGGAGGCGCGAAGTGCGCTTCATTCGGAGGAAGCTGCGAGAAATGGTGTGGGTCTTGCAGCGGAGGATTCTGAAGAGCGCCATTGTAACCATGACCTTCGAAATGATTGTGTTCGCTGCTCTGATAAGAAGTTTCAAGAGGAATATCTTCTTCAACAGGAGCTCGGTGACTGTCCGTCAACACCTGAAAGATCGAGAATAGAAAAAACAGTTTGCCTAGACAAATTTTCACGCTGACCGAAAATTTTTTTTTAAAGTTTTCAATTTCTCAAAGAAAAATAGTATAGAATAAAAAAAATAGCCGAAGACAAACATAAATACTTTGAGGAAACTTTATACGGCCAAGAAAGACTTGAGTCGCTCTGCTAAAAAGAGGTTTTTTTTTAAATAGGAGGAGGAAATTCATCTATCATTTTTTGAAAATCACTTAGCACGATCTATTAATTTATTCAAGCAATAGGAAAAGAAAAGAATCGATTAAAAACAAATCGAAAATAAGTCTCGTAGCGTGAATCTCCTTTTGTGTTCGAGAACTTGAGATCCCTAAAAAAAAATCACCGAAAAACTTCATCCAATTCTCAACAGATGTCAAATCAAAAACTATATCTATTTTATCAAGTAAAAAAGTCAAGTTATTTCGAGATGAGATTTATTCATCATTTATTCAAAAAACTCAAGATTCAAAAACTCCTCGATTCATGATGATTTACTTTATTTTTTTTTTCTTCTCAGCAAATGAAAAAATAGCTCCCTTGGTGTTCAACTTCACTAAAGAGAATGATTTAATGAAAGAGGTGTGAAGAGGTGGTGACACGGACCTGTTCATGGGAAGAAGGCTGAATAGTGGCAGGAATTTCAGGCCTATCAGAAGGTACAGGCGAGTCAGGAGCATCGTAAGTCTGTGACGTTCATGTTCATTTTCCGTGTTTCAGAATTAGTGTTTACCTGCTTGAGGCTCAACTGGTCTTCCTGTTCGCTTCTCGGTTCTACTTTAGAGAGTGGGTGCACAGTGGCAGCAGAAATGCTACTCAAATTTTTCCCACCGGTGCTAACCTGAAACAGTGAAGAATTAAACTATGAATAAAACGCATTTTACCTCCTGGTGCGTGATCCCAGAACTTTCTAATATGCAAAGACTCGCCAGAAGTCGTTGAACGTCAAGCTGTAAACGTGAAAGTTGTAAAGATGAATCGCATGAAAAAAAAAAACACATAAGAATGGGCTGCATTTCAGAATGGAAGATTTATATCTTATGAATGTTCAGAAGAAAAAAAAAACCGATCTACGAATTACAAACTTTGAAGATTTTGATTCGCACATCATAAAAACCAAAGAAATGTGCTAGTTGGGATTTTCAGGATCTTCTATTTTATATCAAAGAACTGAAAGACAAGTGCCTAGTCTGGCGTAAGATAAAAAGCGGTACATTGAAGATCAAAAATGGCGGTCGCTTTTATCTCGGCCGTTGTTTTTAGTGGAGTATAATCGGGAAATCTTCAAAAGATCTTCAGATTTAAAAATGAAATCTTACCTCTTCAGATATAACAACATTTTTTTAGAGCCCCACTAGAAAAAAATAACTAATAAAATTTACCTTAATATTTTCAACTTGCTGTTGGATGTTCTGAACAGATTCGTAAGCCTTCGAATCGATACTCAGATCAATGTTCAAAACGCTGGAATCCGCAGAAAGTGCAAGAAGTAAATCACTATCGTCGGTAATAGTGATGAGATCTCCATCTGAAACCCCAGGAATTGTTGATTAAAAAAACGGTGAAAACTAAAATAAACCTGAATCTTTGTACTTGATCACAACATTCTTCTCCGGGGAGATTTTGAATATTCTCTGCAGCTTGATGACCAAATCGGCCATCGCCAGGTCGTTCCCATGATGCAAAGGCAGTTTCCGGATTTCAGAGCCAAACCGCGCCTTCAGAATGGTACTTGTGAGTCCCGTGCTGTTGTACTCAACCATCCTGGCAAAATACTATAAGATGGGACTTTCCACAGAAAAATACAAAAACGAAGTGAAAGAAAAAGCGGCTAAAGTTTTTTTTTCAAAATTACAAACGATGTACATGCATATATAACTAAATATTTTTTTGTGGAAATATATTTACGTCGTACCAAAAAGTTAAAAAAAACTTTAAAAAATTTAAAACTTCGAGAGATAATCTGCCAGCAATATGATGCTACGGGGTCCGGAAAAAGCAAATTTGTAAGCGAAACTGATTGAGAAGAATATCTAAGTTTTTTTCATCTATTTTATCATCAAAATTATTTATAATGCCGTGCTCAAGGTGATTTCGTGAAAATAGAAATCATCGACCGAGAATTTGAAAGATAAAAAATTTTTTGAAAGCCAGAGATCATTTTCAATTTTCGTAAAAACCCCTTTAAGCATGGCATATACAGAAAATTTGTCTGAAAGTTGAGGCGCGATCGTGTGTTCCACGTCTGCTGCAATTCCAATACACCGTGCGGCATTTGCAGAAATGATGCAGGCACTTCTTCCATGCTGCAGTTGATCGGCAAGTCCGACATTTTTTCACCAATTTTTATGCAGCGGCTTCACTCTAATAGTTCCACGCACTTTTTACCCGCTTTGATCGAGAAGATGCTACGCATTGTTCAAAAAACCGTTGATCCGCTGAACCAAAATGTCAATTCTGCAGGACGGATGTTCGTCGGATGCTACAATGTTTCACTCGGTTTTTTTTTTTGACGATGCGAAGCCTCGGCTGGACTAAAACGGGTGAAAAGAGCTTGAAACTTCATGCACATGAAGAGACTCGAGTAAAACGGGTGACAACGGCGGCAAAAAATTTTGTTCGGGTGAAGCCTAAAAACAGGTGAAGAATTGTAGCACCCGCCGATAAATCTGCGCTGCAATGGAGGATATCCTCCTAGGATGTCCTTTGAGCGTTTCTAATGCTTCGAATTGATTTATGCCGTCTTCAAAGTAAATCCGCCAAATTCAAAATAGCCGTCGGAGGAAGAAAATTATAATTAAATTTTGGATAGTCAGAGATAATTTTGGATTATGCGGAAATTACTTAGAACTCGGTATCAGTGATCTTTTAAGTGATGTGAACTCCACTTTAACTCGAAAGCTTTCGAAGTAAAGGAGGGTCACACAAACCTCCCAGCTGCTTGGTCCTTTCTGAGCGCAAATGTGTCAGTGAATTGTCATTTTAATAATTTCTTGCCATCGATTTCAGTAAGATGCGAGTTTATTGAAAGGTAAAATCTGAAAAAAATCAACAAAAAATATGAGTTAAAAAAATGAAAAAAACACGGGGATCACCAATTCGAAAAGCAATACATTTTTCCAAACAAAAAGAGAAAACGGACTATTTTTGAAAGAACAAATATTCCAAAGACAAAAATTAAATGAGAATGTCAATGGAATGAAAAACTCGTATTAGCAAATTAAATGGAATTCATTCAAAATAAAAAAATATTTTTGGAACTAATTATTTAGAGATGAAAATGAATTCACTTTGCGCGGAAAAAAAGAGATGAAAGAAATAAATCAACTTGAAGCAATTCTAATTCCGCCGTTCAAAGTTATTTTGGCGGACTAAAAAATTTTTTTAATGCACTAGCGTTTATTTCTATTTCGCTGACCTAGTGAGATAACTTTGAACGCGTCTTCGAAAAAAAAGATACTCATCGTTGATTCAAAAAGACTTGCTATTTAACAACGCGTTGTTTCGACGAGAGCAGTATTATCACAATTGGAAAAAAAAGTGTGCAAAAAAGAAATATCAGATCTACAAGAAAAAGGGTAGAAATCTACAGTGAGAAGCGAAGTTCTGCCTTCATCATGAGCGATTAGAAACGTTATCCTAGTATTCTCTGAGGAAAAAGGCCACCAAACGTGATTTCTGTATGGAACAGAACTACCAGAGTTTGTAGAAGCCGATGACGGAGGCGACCAAAGAGAGCCATGCCGTTTGTCGAAGTCGCAACTTTCCAGCCCAAAGTACGCCTGCCGGAAGAGAGTTGGCGCCGCTGACAAAGTCACAGACGAGGCCGATAAGAGTTATTACGTCCTGTTGTCCCTTAAGCAGCCCCTTGGTTGCGATGAGTCGCAACTGGCGAATGATGCCGGCCAACAACGCTGCTAGCCACATGTAAAGACAGTATTGGAATAATCTGACAGCGTTGAAAGGAAGAAGTTTGGCGTCAGAAAGCCACGCCAAAAGTTCCACGAAACCATAGACGGTGTAAATCCCAGTGACTGCGGCGGCAGCGCCGAAATCCACGACGTCCACTGAGCGACCGACTTTCCCAGTGCGGAGCAGCGACAGCGTTTGCCTGCATGCGATGATCATACTGGGATGATTGAACTGTCGCATGACCAGACGAGCCGAACTGAGCTGTTTGGCCAGGCCGAGAAGCTCCTTGGCATTTTCAGGACTGGTAGTGGACTTTAGCTGGAGGTAGAAGGCGAGGGCTCGGAGTGCCTTGTCACGACCAGCGTAAGAGCCGAGTAGTTGGGCCAAGTGGTCGACAGTGTTGTTTTGAGCCATCCGGCGAGAGGAGACGAGAATCGGCCAGTGATTACCGGAGGGGAAAAAAGAGGTTCCTTTGCGAGCAGCGGCTACAATGTTGCCTCTTTCCGCATGATCAGCCCATTGCGCCACGCGAAAAAAATTTCTAACATTCATTATTTCCTTATGATTCGAGAAGAAATCATAGACAGAGGACTAGTTCAGCTTTTTTGATTTTGATTTTTGTTTAATTAGACTGTTTTCGATTGATTTTGACGTCTTCTTCGTAATTAAGTGCGGTCATGAAAAACAATTTCGTAAAAAGAAAAAATATATAATGAAACAAAATTACCGAGCTCAAACTTTTCTTTTCTAAAAGTAACAAAAATTAACCGAATGGAAACGGTTGACCGGAGCGTTCGAATTAAAAGATTTTCCTAGAAGATCTCAGAAAACCGAGCTCTTAGAAACCATGGAAAACCGAAAAGAGATTTATTTTTCACGAGCATAAACTCAAACAGACGTCGAATGGGAAAAATGTCAACAATAACAACAAAACTGATCAAAACCAATAAAGTTCGGATCTGCACAGCAAGAAAAAAAAATGAAAAATTTCTTCAGTAGCAGTAAAGATGATGAAATCCCAAAGGATTCTACAACATACTTTCAATGAGTGTATCACGTAATTGATTGCTAATGCTTGTAGGAGCCCCTTGGTCACCAAGTTTGAAGATAGACTCCACAACTGACAGCTCCGTTGAGGTAGAGTCCAGTCCTGTAGAAAAAATATTTGAAAAGAGTTCTACATCGCAAAGTTGGATGTGAGTGAAAAAAGAAGCTGGTAAAATATAAAGGAAGAATGGCTCTTTTAAAAAAATGACTGCTTCCCGGGGCGGGGCAGCTCGCCTAGTTTTGCTTTGTCTCATCAGCATTTCTGATAGTTTGAATCAAATTTCAGTCATAGACGCTTGCCTTCATGCAGAAGCGAAAAATATTCCGTTGCCGGGTACATTCAATTAACAAGACACAAAATAAATAGCTTCTTACGGCCCAAAACTTTCTTCTCGAGTAATTGGTAAAGACTTCCCTATACTCTCAATACGGCAAGACTTTAGAACAGGAATGTAGAAGAAGTTATGCTTTTCGCCAGATTTGTCGGGACATGAGAAACATAAGAGTTTTTTGAGTATATCAAAAGACTGACCGCAAAAGGCGACCCAGTCGTTGACGACCATCCCTGCTCCGATAAGCTCACTACCGCGGTTGATAGTTCCGGCGACGACAGGCAGCTGTAGAAGCGCAGCCAACTCCCTCTGAGTTTCTGGAGGAGTACGGGCGGCGACGAGACATCCTTGTGAAGACAGAGAGCAGTACGTTCCGACCTTAAAAGGACTTTTTCATCAACTTTTCCTAGTTTTCAAACTAACAAGAGCGTTCTGAGCAAGGCTGACTCGGAAAACTTCTACCCCAAGAACATCGACAAGAGCCTAAATGAAATAATACATTTAGCACCAAAAAAGCGAGTAAACCTGCTCAGTTTCTTGACTTATTTCAGCATGAACAATAGCAACGTGATCGTTACAGGCAATCACGTTTCCCAGAGCAGAAAGACGCTCTTCGACCCGACGAACTTTCACCTTTAAAAATGATTTTGATCATGTTCAAAGCAAAACGGGGATTCTGATCAAAAAAAGAACAGAAACTTGCTAGCTACGCGAAAAACAAGTGAATTATTGCCTACTTCATCTGGGAGCGAATTTCTGAGGTGTTGCAATTCTTGGTCGGTGGTAGATTCCGGAACAAGCAAACCGTGACGATTTCCTGGAAGTTATTTCACTGAACTTATTCTGGCATTCATTACATTTTTTCAATACAACAGAAAATGTTACTCAACATTGACAATCCTCGTTAATAGTTAACTTTCGCACTGTGACTCAAGGCCTGATGGGTGGTGACGTTTGATCATTTAGTTTATAAATTTTTCAAACATTGTTTCACGTGAAAAGTAGACTTCAGTCTTCCTTCAATCCCAGAGGGATTTCAAAGCCTTCTGAATGAATTTTCATTCTCTTTTTTTTTTTCAATTTTCATATACTGAGCGAGTTCATTTAAGTTCAAATCAATTACGCGAAATTAGAAATGACCTCTGGCCCACCAAACTTTCGTTTATCTTTTCGCTTTCCGACGAATTTTAGATTACTGAAATCACTTTGAACGCAGCACTACTCTGTAGAAGGCTGATCTTGGAAAACTAATTAAATAATTCTCCAGCTTACCTAATGAAAAAATCCGAACGTTGCGAACGGTACTAAAACTCACCGACTGTCACACGACCAACGATTCTGGTGGAAGCGATTGAAGTGTGAACGACCGGAATCACATCTGCGAGTTCGGCTTCGAGAATGCTAAAGCGGATTAAACAATATGAGAATTAAACTAGAATAAGACGAACCTGTAAAAGTTCTGTGTTCCACCAACTCCTACTAAACAATAACTGTTTGTAAGTCTACAAAAAACTCCAACTTCGTTACTTCCTTCGTAGTCTACGCGAAGAGCCATTTCAGCTTTTTTCTGAAACGAAAATAGTTTTTAAGCAAGAAAACATCGACAGATGTAGAAGAACTGCAAGAAAAAGTGAACACTATCCAGTGAAAATATTGAAGACGATATATATAAATATATTTCCGCCTTCAATTAAAAAAAACAGCAACAATAACTTGCAACGTTTTTTTCCTTGTTCAAAGTGATTTACGCGAAATTCAAAACCGACTCTCTAAAATCTAGTTTTTTTTTTGGCTGTGTGATCGCTACTGTGATTTTTCGAGAAATCAATATGAACAGGAAGGTTCATCAAAAACCTCGAAATCAGTAAAACATAAACTACGTAAAACCCTAACATACCGTTCTAAATATATTTGTCCAACTAAAAAGATGTTATTATTGCGCGCAATTGCGCAATATTGCCACAAAAGATGTCGAACAGAAGGCCATCGCGAATTGTTTTATGTATAGATTAAAACTCCATAATATTAACTTCCTCATATTTCCAAGATTTTGTGACTTTTTCGAAACAAGTTTCGTTTCGTCCAAAGAGAACGCTATTATTTTTTTTGTGCCGTGTTTAAAATGATTCCGCGAAATCCAAAATGTCTGTGAGAGAGTGAAAAAGATAACTCAATTTCGAAGAGTCAGAGATAGTTCTATATTTCGCAGAAATTATTTTGAACACACGGCATTGAAGCTTCAATCTTAATGAAGTATATAAAAAAAGCCGAATGTTTCAATCCAGATTTAGACGTATGCGCCTTTAAAACGAACTTTAGGGCAAGTGTGCTCTACCACGCCGTGTACCGAGGAACATTGTTTAAGACAATTTCAAAAATTGTCATCGGATTTTTTTTTTTCAGAATAATTTTTGTATTCCGATTATCTTTAATCAACAAAACAGTTCTTTTTCTATATTTTAATCACTGTTCATAGCTTGGGAGACTTCAGAGACTTTTTAGTTTCTTTTTTTCGAGCCTTTTTTCGTCGATAGGTGGGGAGGCCTTCATTGAATTTTGTCTCAAGCGGTGAAGAACTTCACTGTCGTTTTCGAATTTTTTTTGAGATCATTAACTGATTTTATTTCTTCGAACAAAGTCTCCAAAACTGTCGTTATTTTTTCAATCTCTGATGATCAATTATACTCTACTAAAAGTACTTTAAACGTGGCACAAAACTAAATTTGAAACATAAAATATATTTATAACTGTTGAAGATAATGGCTTCGGTGGACGTCCAGAAAAATGTTACTCGCATGGATATTGACCGAGGAGGAGCTTTCCATTTTTCGAACTGCACGAGAAATGTGACGCTAGTCAGTATGGGTCATAAAGCACCACGACTGACTAGTACTGGAACGACGATTGTGGCTGCGGCATACAAGGTATAAATCATTTTCCGTTTGGAAATGGTTTATTTTCTCACAGGGAGGACTAGTGATGGGAGCAGATTCTCGCGCTACCGCCGGAAACATTATTGCAGACAAGCACTGTGAAAAGGTTCACAAATTGACGGAATCTATTTACGCGTGTGGAGCCGGTACCGCGGCAGACCTTGATCAAGTCTCTTCCCTTAGAAAAATTTAATTCCAAAAAATTTTTGAAGGTCACCAAGATGTTGTCCGGAAATCTTCGTTTGCTCGAGTTGAACACTGGGAGAAAGGCTCGAGTGATCACTGCGCTCCGTCAAGCTAAGCAGCATTTATTCAATTATCAAGGATACATTGGAGCTTATCTTCTTATCGGTTTGTCTCGAGTTTCGTATAGTCTTATAGCTGCTGATGAGATGGGGTGCCCCGGAGTGACGGGCAAAGCGGTCAGTGTCAAAAGAGCGATTTTTCCACCCATTTTTTAAATACATTTTTACTCATTTTCAACTTTGCGCGTCTGGTCATCCCGTCATCAGCTCTGCTTTCGACGGTGGCTTCATTAACAAAAAAATAATGCTATTTTCGTTCGGTTTTTGGACGGAAAAACTTCAAACGAAAATTTTTTTATTACTTTTGCTCAATTTAGTCTGGGTAGCTAGTCATTAGAAATAAAACTTTTGTCTAAAATTTTAGGCGGAGTTGACCCTACTGGACCTCATTTGTACATGTGCAGCGCAAACGGAACAACTATGGCCTTTCCATATACGGCGCAGGGCTCCGGAAGTTACGCAGCCATAACAATTTTAGAGCGTGACTTCAAGCCAGACATGACGGTTTGTATGGTTCTTTTTTGAAATTAGACTCTGTTTTTTAGAAAGAAGAAGCAGAAAGCTTGGTGCAGCGTGCTCTTGAGGCTGGAATGCACGGAGACAATGCCTCGGGTAACAGTCTCAACCTGGTTGTTATTGAACCAACCGCAACCGTTTTCAAGGTTTCATTACGTTGCTTTTTTCCCAATTAATCTTCAAAAAATGTAGGGTCCAATCATTCCGGACTTTTGCAAACGACCTGAGCCCAACGACCTCGAATACAAATTCAACAAAGGCTCAACCAAAGTACTGAAACAGAAGGCTTACAAGTACGATATCGTCGAATCGATGGATATTAGTCATTAACTAAGAAAGTGACTCGCTTTTCAATGATTTTACTTTTGACGGATAACATTATCTTTAAATTTCGGTGAATAAATTATGTCTTCATCATTCGAATTCGAAAAAAATGACACTTGTTCCTTTTACAATTTGCGGTGAAAATTATTCAATATCACATCGAAAAAATATGAGTGACAGATGAATTCAATTTCAAAAAAGAAAAAATTCTGTATAGAAAAAAGAGAATCACGAAAAAACGGCATGAACAGCCCAATGATCGGAAGGGAAGCAAAGGCATGATCTTATACGTTGCCGGCCTTCTAGAGAAATGTTTACTGATTTCAACGGACCGTACCAAAAAATCCTGTCGAACCTGAAAGAATAGCTTGAATGAAACGTTTCCGTTAAATTTTTAAACTCGCGATCTTTAAATAAAAATCTTTCAAATTTGAACAGCAATGCAAGTTTTGCAGTACCGTGCAGTTTTATATACAATTTTACTCTTTTAGAAGTTCAAAGTGGTTCCGCGAAATTCTTACGTGAAGAGCTTTATCGAAATTTGCTAGCTTTTTGCGGACATCAGAATTTTTTGGGCTTCAAAGTTACATGGAACATATATCACAAATACCAAAAACGTTTCAGAAAACAAATATACAAATTTCGACGATAGTCCCTCAAACCATAATAAAGTTTTTATATGAAAAAGATAAATTTTTTTAATCTTACCGCGTCGTACCGTATGAAATATAGAACATTAAAAAATTGGGTAAATAACCTCATTCGCGCATTCGCATGCATCTCTTTGTTGTTGTTCAAACGCATGTCCCAGGTGAATTTAGTTTTGATATCACTTCCCGCCGCAATCCAAGCATCTCGCATTCCTTGGGGAAGATCGACCATCTGGAGAATAAAATTAAAATTGTGGTTTTGTACCAGGACTCTTATCTTTTAATTTTCAGCTTAAACATCTTCATCTCACCTAAATACCAGCTGTGTGGCACAAATTGCTAAGATCTGCGGCGGCTCTTGGGCTTTCCCGAGTTTATTTTCAAACGAATCGTTTTGAGGAGTAGGAAGACTCGCGATAAGTCAAATTTAAAATTTTCACAAGATTTTTTTATATTGCTATGACTTGCAGAACGCATTCCAAACAAAAATTTACCTCATCATCTCGGACGTTCAGATCGCCACCGAAAAACACGAGACTGTTAGGGTTCGCACGAATAATATCACGTACTTTATCAAAGCAGAAAGCCAACTGGAAGCGCCTCAGGAATAAATCATAAATAACTATTTCGAAATAACCTCTGAACACTGTGTTCCTTCATACTCTCCAAGTGAGTGTTTAGTAAAAATACTTTTTGAACACCAATCATGCCCTGGAAACCTTCCACAAAATAACCTTTTCACGTCAAACCTCGACAATTTGAAGTGTCCTATGCATCCCGGAGTTCTGATAATGAACAACGTCGTGTTTTTCGGTTACGAAGTTTTTGCTGACTAATATTGCAGTGTAGTAAGGAGAACCTGCAGTATTAATGTTCATGTGTCGCACGCTGCTGATTTAAAATATCTCCTTGCAAGTTATTGAAAAAAAAACTTCGATTGGAGTATAATATGTTGTATTGCACTTCGAGCCTCTCGATTGTCTTGATTTCTCTCTCGACGACCTCTTGCAAAAAGACAAAGTCGGGGCTCAAACTAATAGGAAATGTCAAAAAATGATATAGATATATACTTGGTAATGATCTTGTGTACAGCCTTGATTCTTGTGGCAAGACTTCTGCCGTCGAGTCCGTCGATGTTCCACGACATCAACGACACGTCCAAGCCCAACAAAAAGCGTAGAAAAAGGAACTTATTGGATGAATCACCTCGATGTTGACAGGTGGGAGAGGAGCTCGAGAAATCGAGGAACTTTGTCCCACTACTACAGCTGAACGAATTTCAGCGAAACCTTCGCTTCCATAGAAAACGTCTAAAGCCGCCTTTAAACAGTAGCTCTGGTCGAAGTGTTTTTTTTAAATGAAATAACCTCTAGATTCCAATTTACGTCCTGCAGAACGGTTTGAGCGAATATTTCATCTGTTCCAGTAATCGCTGCGAATTTCTCCATAAGTTTTTCTGCCTCGTGACTATCGATTTCTGAAATCGTTCGGATTTCACAAAGTTTTTTTAGAGACTTTTTTTTCTTCATAAAAACTCATCATACAAAAAAGTTTCCGAAAAAAAATATTGCCATTCGTCATTATTGTAACTTCTCAGCCATACCTTGCGTTGGTTTCTGTTCGCTCTCCCTTTCATCTTGGTCTTTGACATCCTTAGACGATCCTAATCCGAATTGGCCAATATCCTCACTTGATGAAGACATCCTGAAATTTGTGATGGTCGAGACTTCTGAAAATCGAAAACCTCCGAGAATTGTGCGATAACTCAATTGTTCATATAACGTACTAAAAATCGGCATCAGACCATTGAAAAGTTAAATCATAATAACTGATTGGCTAATCTCAATTTCTTAAACAGTCTAACTTGAAATTCGGAATTCCAATAAAAAAGTCATCGCCGCTCAAGCCCCGCCTATAATGGCGCGATAAATTAATCAAAGAGCGAGCCGCCCGCAGAGCGTTTTCGAATTACTTCATAGTAATTGAATTCCAAAGTCTGAAGAAAAGCTTTTCTCTTTAAAGATCGACCGAGCCGATTTTTAAAATTTTAAAATACATCCCTAGCTTCAAGTTCACTGTTTGCGTACCCAACGCGAGAATCGACGACGTTTTTTGAGTAAAACTTTTTTTATGATTTGTTTTTTTTTGCTTTTTTTTCCGTCCCATATCCCCGTAACTAACAAAGTGCGGAAATTACGAACGATGTAGAAGTAGTAAAGAATTCGGATTTTTTTAATAATTTGGAAAGGTAGGTGACTACCGAAGATCGTTGAGTTTTTCTCAAAAATTTCATTCCAATCAACTAACAAATTTTTTTCATTTCTGTGCTGATTTCGTATTTAGTTTCAAAATTTATTTTTCTTTATAGCATTAACTCAGCGAGTGAGATAAAGCTTTCAAGAATATTTCTTTGTTTTCGCTTTTTTTTTAATGCAAAAATAGATGGATTCTTCACTTTTTCGGTCATGAGAAAAATATTTTTTGGTTTGCTCAAAATTTCGCTTTTTACTTTGAAACATTGATTAGAAAAAATTTGCAGAAATGTGGAAATTTTTTTCGAAATTCTCTCAGGACCAAGGCGTAATATTGACTGCTCGCTGGCTCAGCATTTTCTTGAACATGTGTTTGGAATAAAAATTTCTGATTCCTGAAAATACGGCGCAATATTGGCCTGCCGGGTATTTCACGGACGCTGGTGGCGTGCCACGCGTCTTTTTCCATTTCTTCGTTCTCAAGTGGACTTTTTTTCGTCAATCGTTCAAATTCTAACGTTTTTACTTTTTTTTTTTTGATATGATTTGCAGCTTCCTTTTCTTCCGGCGAAATTGAATTGTATTATTAACATATTAGTGTGAACTTGAAGAAAAAAATCTTGAAGCCCTTTCTTCAATTGAATGTTGACTCTGAAACTTTTTTTGTTATTTGTTATTGTTTCCAGAATTTGAAATAACAGTCCACAGAAAAGCTTCATATTTTGTAGTGAATTTCTGTAGCGATACTTCAGCCGTGGCTAGTCAATGATCTATAAGATTTCTTCCGCTGAACTTAACTCAAATAAATTATTTTTAGTCCCCTATGCTTTGATTCTCGTCGCCTGGCTTTTGTAGAATCGTCTGAAAGGAAGAGATAACGCAAAAGTGCGTTAGCGAAACAAAAGAGGCGTTCATGTTGATCCAGCCTGGCATTCCAAGGCTTCCGTGTCATTTCTCTTTCTTTTGATTTCTCGTTTCCATTAGATCGCAATTTTCAATCCAAACCTTTTTTTCTTTTTGACTTTTTGAAAATGGTAGAATTTCTCAGTATCGAGCTCTTTTTGATTTTTGGTGAACTAATTAACATCACTTGTGGGACGTGCAGAGAAATAAAGTAGTTACCAAACTACCTTATAGAGATGGTACGTGCGACCTAGAAAATGACCACCAATTAGCTATAGCGTCTTTTTGGAGGAGCTACCCGGTAACTACTACTTTTGTCATCTCCCGATTCATTTTTGCAAAACAAAATTGAAATTTAGTTTTTGTATCTTTCGCTCCGCGTATCGTTTTAATATTTTTTGAACTCCGTTTCATTAAAAGCAAAAAAATTTCTCCTTCAGTGATGCTTATACTGGTGACTGGCGCGGCAGGTTTCATCGGAAGTCACACGGTCCTTGAGTTGCTGGAGTCCGGCTATGACGTGCACTGCATAGACAACTTTGCTAACGCGATACCAGGGAATACAAGTCAAGCATATATGAATATTTCAGAGTAGTTGATGAAAAAAAAAATACCGCATCTTGAACTCCCCCTTCGAAAGTTTGAGTGTGTTCTGCAAAATAACAGCGGTCATTTTTCATGCAAGATATAGCATTTTCAGATGCCGATGGCAACGCGATATCTCTACTACGTGTCTCAGAAATTGTTGGAAAACCAGTGCCCTTCGAGGATTGCGACGTCTGCGATGAAGTTGCCCTGGAAAAGATTTTCTCAGCGGTTTGCTCAGTGTTTTCTATGAAAGATTACATGAATTTTCAGCGAAATTTCGACGGGGTCATCCATTTGGCCGCTCTGAAGTCTGTCGGAGAGTCAGTCTCCAAACCGCTCGACTATTACGCCAACAATCTCGTAGCCAGTTTGAACTTGATCAGGGTTCGTAAATTCAAAGCTTGATTCAATGTTAGGATGGAAAAAAAATTCTTGTGAAAGTTCTGAGTGTAGAATCATCACGAAAGAGCCTAGCGATAAGGTGAATGCTCCAATTCGTTTTTAAAAAATTACTTCGTTAGTATCAAGTGAAAATTATTGGAAATAGAGAATTTTCTTTTGCTCAATTGCTTATTCAGCTTTCAATTTTCAACAACGTCATTTAGTCTTTGAGAAAACGCTTGATTTGCGCTGAATTTGTAGGTTTGGTCATTTTAGCAGCACAAACCAAGTTTTATAGAGTCTAGATTTAACGCCGTAAATTAAAGGTGTATATTTCACTAAACAACACATAGGTTAAATGGAGTTTTGGTCGGAGAAATGAGAGAAAAGTATGAAAAAATTTCGATTCCTCATAAGTTGAATAGTTCAGCCAAAGAACTAAGGAACTCTAACAATTGGTTGTTTTCCAAATACTGTCATTTGCTTTCGAATGATTCCTCTTTTACAGATGTGCTTGAAATACAACGTGAAAAACTTCGTTTTCTCAAGCAGCGCGACAGTCTACGGACCCCCATCAGAGCTTCCTATAACAGAAAAGAGCACAACTGGACAGGGAATCACGAATCCCTATGGCCAGACTAAGTATATGATGGAACAGATTCTGATCGACGTCGGAAAGGCGAATCCTGTAAGTTTTTCCCGGAGACTTCTGATTTGAATGTTTCTCTAGGACTGGAACATTGTTCTTCTGCGCTATTTCAATCCGGTAGGCGCGCACAAATCGGGCAGAATCGGCGAAGATCCCAAAGGCGTACCCAACAATTTGATGCCGTTCGTCAGCCAGGTCGCCATTGGCAAATTGCCGGCTCTGACCATTTATGGCGACAAATTCGACACTCCCGACGGAACTGGTGTTCGAGATTACATCCATGTGGTGGATCTTGCCAAGGGACACGTCAAGGCTCTCGACCGTATCAAAAAAGAAGGTTTTTCTGATTCGAGTGAACGCTTTTATCGATTTACTCTCAAGGTAACGTTGGAACGGAGATCTACAACTTGGGTACTGGAAAAGGTTATTCCGTGAAAGATATGGTCACTGCTCTGGAAAAAACCAGTTCCAAGAAGATTGCCGTTCGTGTGGGTTTCTTTCTTGATTTCCAGTGATTTATAAAAAAAAATAACAGAAAATAACTAAAACTGTAACCGTATTTTTTTATCTTTAAATTTGCTCATGAACACTTTTTGCGACGCGGCTTTTTGGTGGAAAAAAATCGAGGTCAAAACAAAATCGTTTAGAAATTATATATTAAAAAAAGAAAGGATGTTTTTTACACTTTATTCTGCTATCGATTCGTCTTAAATTTCAAAAAAACACAGGAAATAAAGTTTTATTGAAAAAATTGATCAAAAAAAGTAGGCGAACTTCTTTTGAAAGCTAGAATGGATTTCATCTTGAGTCAAAACTTGGGAAAACTTAAAATAATTACGCAATAGAGCGGAAAAATGACATGAGAATTTCAGTTAAGTTAAAGAGGTACACAAAAAGTTGAACTTCCGAAGTGGATTTCAGATAGGCGAACCACGTCCTGGCGACGTCGCCTCAGTGTACTGCGACCCGTCTCTGGCCGCCGAAAAGCTTGGCTGGCGTGCCGAGTTCGGTCTCGAAGACATGTGTCGCGACCTTTGGAACTGGCAGTCTCAAAATCCCAATGGATTTGCTAACTAATTTCTATTCACTTCTTAGAATCGCTAACTAAATTTTCATTTCAACTAATACATCGCCTTGTCAATTATGTTTGTGAATCAAAATTACTTGTCAAATAATCTGTGATTCTTGTTCTATTTTTTTCCGAATTCGATTGTATCCATCAAAACATGCTACAGAAAATGAATTTTTTTTCTTTTTCTGGAAGTTTCAATCAAATGGGTGTGGTCCATCGAGTATTGGACAACGATTGTCAAATTTTGGAATACCATGATCCTGGAGAAACTCCATGGCGTCTCTGAACGTGGGGGTCTTGGGCCACGTCGACTGCGGCAAGACTTCTTTGACAAAACGTATAGCTGAGGTTCACGGCAAATAACAAACTTTCGGAAAAATAGATTCTAGATTGCTTCAACATCAGCTTTCGATGCTCATGCTCTTAAAGGAGGAAGGAAAAATACTTTGGATCTGGGGTTTGTTCTTTATTTTTTTTTTCTCTTTCAGATGCTTTTATAGGGAATATGTTTGGAAATTATTGTTGCGATTTTTGAGAGGTATATAGTCAGTTTACTATTCGTGAAGTTTCTGTGGCAGAATCAGAGCTCGTAATTCCTGCCGCAGCTCGTCATTCCAATAGAGTCTTCTATCGGATTTTTTTTTTTTGCAAAGAAGCCGTTTTTTGAGTGGTTTTAGAGCTCCACAAAAATTTTCTGAATGAAAAAAAGTCTAACCCATGCACGAGAGTTTCAGTTTCGAAATCTTTTTTCAGTATACGGTTTGAGAAAAAAAAAGTAGTTCTCTGTTTAACAAAAATGTAGCGTACAGCTTTAGGTGTCAGGCGGCTCTTTTTTTGTTCACGTGAACTTTTTTCAAAAAATGAATTTACGAATTTCCAACGAAATCAAATGGAACAACCGTGTTCGAAGTAATTTCCGCGAAATGCGAAATTGTCTCTGACTCTCAAAAGTTTAGTTATCTTTTTCTTTCTCTGACGACCATTTTGCATTTCGCGGAATCACTTTGAACACGACATTAGGAAAATGAAAATAACCAGATTCTCCTCGATGACAATTTCTGGCCGAAGACTCGCTCTGATTGACTGTCCAGGCCACGCTGCGCTGATCCGCGCTGTACTCGCAGCAAGTACAGTTTTCGACATAGCCATAGTGGTTTTTGTTGCTTTTTTTTTCTACTTCGAGATCCTTCTTTTCGTAGGTAGTCGACGCTTCGAATGGTGTTCAGCCTCAGACTGCCGAACACCTTCTTCTGTGCTCCATTTTCTGTCCAAACCGAATAGTTATCGTTCTCAACAAGATAGATCTCATCGAGAAATCGAAAGTGGAGTTTTTGCAGTTCTCTTCATATTCTCATCGTTTTTAAGATTCCAGATGTTGAGAAACAAGTTAGAAAGGCTCTGAAAGCGGTTGGAGTGAGCTCTGATAGCTCCATTGTTGCCATGTCGCTGAATGATTCTCATTTTGCCCAAGGTTTTTTTCACACATAAATGAGCGTTCAAAAAAGTCCATTATGTAGAAGGGAAAGGCTTTAAATTACAAGAAAGGTCATTTAACTTTGGGGTTTCCTGATAATCGGTCAGATCGCTACTTGATGTACCAAATGTAGAATCTGGATGACTCAATCTGCACAACTCTCTAGTTTTCGAGGAATAAAGGCTCAAAGCCTCAAAATGGTCAATTTTTACGAATTTTTAGTGTTTTCCTTGACTTTAAGGGGTACTTTCTCAAAAACTAGGAAGTTGTACAGGTTAGGACTTTCACAAATCTTTGTCTGGTACATCAAGGTGTATTTTGGTCAATTTTCAAGTAATTCCCAAACGCAAAGAAGAATGTCCTTCCTTGTTAGAGATAAGTTAGGGGAAAGTTTATCACTTCATTTAGTAGATATTTTTTCTTTAGAATCAATTGAAAAACTCAAAGAAGTTCTCAGCCAAATGATCTTCGAACCCCTCCGAGCTTGTGAAAAAAAGTTTTGGGACTGAGTTGTATCCGGTGGCAATACCTTTTTCAAGGATGATTCTGGCCGCCGACCACTGTTTCAACATCAAGGGAAAAGGAGTTGTGATCACTGGTACGGTTTTGCAAGGAATATTACGGTAGGTCACTTTTTAGGTCAGAGACTGAAAATACTTTCTAGAGTGAATGAGGATTTGGAAATTCCCAAACTTCAAGTGCTACGTAAACCGAAAATGTTGGAAACCTGGAAACAACCTGTTGAAGAAGTGCCGTCTATCTTCCTGAAACGGTGATAAGAGCACAGTTTAAGGTGAGAGCTGGGGAACGTGCTGCCGTTTTGGTGTCAAATATCGATGCTGATTCGTTTTCCAGGACCTTGAGTTAGTGAGGCCATACCCTTGACAGCCCTTTTTTCTTCTTTTCAGTCGCTTCTCCAGGATCCCTCCGATCCCTGAGCCGCTGTATAGCTTCGGTAGAGCCCGTACCATTCTTTCGATCCTCCCTTCTTTCTGGCACAAAAATGCATATATCGATAGGTTTCGAAACGGTTATGGCAGAGTGTCAGTTCTTGCGTCCGCAACCAGAATGCCCTGATGAGTTCGAGCAGGTTAGCGACTATTTTGAAAAGATTGAAACGCTGGAGAGGGGGTTCAGCTCCGATCGATGGAGTCTCCGTGTGTGGTGCAGCTCACTTTCGAAAGAGCTGTGTTCGTGGCGGACGAGGGCAACAGTCCGTGTTCCTTCCTGATGGCGTCGCGTCTCGAGCAGCAGCGCAAAGGCTGTCGATTTGCTTTTCACGGACGCGTTTTGAAGGTAGTCCATTGTTTTAAATTTCAAGTTTTGTACGCAATTTTTTTCCAAGCTCTTGAAGTTTCATCGTCCAACAACTTCTTACTAAATATTTTCCAAAATAAATTACTGGAGTTTCGAGGTGATAATTGACTCACCCGAATCAGAGACTAAAGCATATTGGCCGCAGGCGATCTAGCCAAGGCTTCTTGCTGTTGCTATATCGCTCTAATAAGTTCAACAAAAATACGACAGCCGCGTAAGAATTTCACCGCGAAAGTTTTTTTGGGAAATCCTTTAAGAGGAGTCGCACTTTGACCATTGCCATCGCACTGCAAGGCGCTAGCCACTACACTACGCAACCAACTTCGGTCAAAGGCGCTTAGGCGAGCCAATTCCCCTCTTGTCATTCATCACTGATTTAGGGTGCAAACTTTGAAGCTTCATAACTCGAAAACAAGAATAATTGTGAGAAATTTTTACCTTATGGAATCAGGAAGTCTTAAAGTACACCTCGGCAAATTTTCATCAAAAGGTCAACCGGGGGGTAAAAACAGTTCTTTAGTGAGACTTAGTCCAGAAAATTGATTGCTTGCCGGGTCTGGTACCATTTCCGTCGAAAGAATTTATAAAAGATCTCACAAATTATTGATTTTTTCATACGTTTTCTTTCTAAACACTTTCAGATTGTCGATGATACAACGTCATTGAAGCGGTTCACTCGGAAATGCAGACAAGTGTGTTTTCCTGTCGTCTCCCACTATTGAAAAGAGACGTTAAGGGAGTCGTTGAGAGGGTCGAAGGAGGACGCCGAACGGCGATCTGTTGCGGAATGCTCAAAAAAGAGACAAAGATTGAGCTATTCAAGAACATGATTGTGATTTTTCCTGTTTTATCGTGAATGTGAATTTGGTTCAGGTGCAACTCGAAACTGGAGAAGAGGGGCGGATTGAAGGGTCTTTCGGACGGAATGGAAAAATCAGACTCACATTTTCCTCCGCGTTACCAGACTCCTTGCCATCAAATGTTGTAGTGAAACTTTGTTTCAAGAAATATTTACCATCTGGCAAAATTATAAGCTACATTCCTGAAAACACAAGAAGCGACGCATGTTCCGCAGTATCATAAATTTTTTTTCATTTTTTTTTTTCATTTGATCAGGGCGTAGATCGCTTCGTTATCTAAACTTTTTTCAACGTTTCTGACGTCTCTGATGTGAAAATGTTAGTTTACATGTACCAAGTCAAACTATTTGTTACGACTTTAAACAGTCTAATCTGTCTGCGTCCTCTTTTCTCTAACCTCATGAAGACGGTCTGTTAACAAGAGAGCGAGTGGTGCTGAGGAAAAAAAGCGCTGCAAAATTTATCAAACGATTTTTCTGACCAAAAAATGCATTTGAAACCGTCGAATAGAGATTGTCACAGAAGAAACGCCAAAAACCTGTTGAAGATCAAAGAGCTAACGTTTCAGTGGCTATGCTGTCACAACGCCTCGTTCGAATAGTTCAATCCCGATGTTTTTCCAAGTTTCGAAAAGCTGGTATGCTCAAGTAAACGCAGTTTTAACAGATTCTCGAACGAGGCCAATTCAGCGTCGACAGTCGAAAGAGCTGTTGAGTTCGACGAGGACGGGTTTTATTTGTCGGCATTGTTTTTTTTTTCAAACAGATTTCAGACTTCCAAAAGATTACAAAGCAAAGACTTTAAAAGCTGGGAGCCGTCGTCTGGACACTTTTCTTAACCGCGCCACCGGCAAAAGCAGCTCGTTTGTCTTCTTTGTTTTGCAGCTGAATATCACCTGGTTCAGACAGATCGAAAAGTTGATCATGGGCGGCAAGGTGCGCGTTAACGAAGAAGTTCACACGAAGAAAGCGTACAATGTTAGTCTGTTCTTGTTTTTACTCAAATTTTCACGCTGGTTTCTTAAGGTTCAAAAGAAGGATATAGTTGATGTTTGGAATAAAGCGTATCAAGAAAACGCTGTTTTAGCCCACGTCGAGAGAACGGAGGTTTGATAACTTATTTCCTCTTTTTTTTCATTCAAAACAGTTCTAGGGTGCTCAAAACAAGATCATAGTTCAATTTTAATTGCAAAAAATTTTGCTCTGTCCCCCACGTGCTGGAGATTTTCAGAGATCTGTTTCGAATGAATTATAAAAACTGATTGAAAATTTGAATTATCAGAAAAAAAATTTTAAGATTGTCGATTACGAAGTCACTGAACAAGGATACTCGTTTCAAGTGAAGAGCTGGCGGAACTTTTTTGGCCGATAACTGGCGCTCTTCTAACTGATTATTCTCTCTAACTCTTCCCCTAGGCTCAATATCTATTAAATTTTAGTCTTTATTGTTTTTTTCTTCAATGAACACAAGAAATTCTGAAAATAGGTTCACGAATCGTTACCGTGGTTGGAAATTCTTCTAGTTACAGTATATTAATAAGAGATTAGCACTTCTAACTCTAAACAATAAAATTTTATCTCCTCGAGGAATGGAAAAGACAGAGGTTGGAAGGCTGCACTGGCGAATCAAAAAAATTAGACGTGGACTGAAGGTTTCCGCCTAAAAACCGGTGTGTTTACCTTTTTATTTCTTGAATTTTTCATTGAGGTTCCTTTTTTATGATTTGCAATTGTCAATGTTGTATAGTGCGAATATATACAACTGTTAGTTACGAACTATTTACTTCAAATCCAAAAGTAAAAAACGAAGACACAACAATGTAGGAAGCAATCGCGGAACGCGATTGCGCAGAAGTGGAACTGTGAAGGTGGCCTGCACATCTTAATAATGCGCGGCAATTCAAAATGGGGTAGATTTACGGTATGAAATCTAGAAACTACAACACCTCCCCTTTTTGAAGAAAGTGTGCACAGGTTAATAGAACAATATAACTTGCACAATGTTAGATGAGCGCCGGAAGATGAGCGAAAACTTGTGTTACGGTGAAGGATCGTAACGAGAAACAGGATTTCGCTGTCGTGTAGATCTTCGCGGTGCTGGCGGCACGTTGACTGACTGCGTTGGTGCGGCCATAGTCGTTCGGGCTTGCTGCTGGGCTTGACTGTTGGTTTGGCTCGTCGATGGAACGGCGGTTGTAGCTGCAGGAGCGGCTGGGCACGGCAGTTGTGGACCAGACGTTGTCGGTGCACAAGTTGGACTTCTGCTGCTGCTTGAGCTTGAGCTGGCTGGAGAAACATCGTAGGTGTCCAGCAACACGTCGAGACATGGGTCAAAGGTATCGTTCACTGAATCAAAATGAGAGCGATCACTTTTAAGTTGGTTGGTGTGGAAACGTCTGATGGATTCTCCCAAATCCACCTCGTAGTTCACTTTACCAGCCTTTTTTTGAGGATTTGGCCGGGTCTCCAAATCCATGCGTTAGCCGTATGGCATTTAGCTAACACGGACTGGCCTGGGGGAGAAGCTTCGGGTTTTTCGCTCCATTATGGTGGTCAAACCAATCCTTCATGTTTTGCTGGTGAATGGTCAAGGGAAGTGGGTTCACGGAATCTCGAGGTTTCAGAGCGTCGAGCTCTGTCCTGAGCTGTCGACCAAGATGGATTTGCGCGGCAGATTTGCCTTGCAAAACTGTGAGCGGGGTGCGTCGATATATCATTAGGAATTGGTTCAAGATATTTTCGGATATCTTCTCCTCCCCTTTTTGAAGCTTTTTGAGGGCTCTCTTGAGGGTATCGACAAACCTTTCGGCTTGACCATTGGACTGGGGACAGTAGGGAGCAGTCCTGATGTGTTGGATATGGCCATTCTGGCACATATCTGCGAATTGTTGGGAGGTGAACTGGGTTCCATTGTCCGAGACGATGGTTTCGGGGTAACCATTTCTGGCAAAAATCTCCTTGAGGACTTTCACGGTATTGGCGGCGGAGATGGAGTGAACAATTTTTACCTCCGGGTATTTGCTCTTGGCATCTACCACTACCAAATACCATTGTCCTTGGTCGGGTCCGGCAAAGTCGATGTGAATCCTTTGCCAAACACGTTCGGGTGCGGGCCAAGGTTGTAAAGGGACTTTCCGGGGAGATTTGCTGTGCAAACTGCATGCTTTGCAGTTTCGCACGAAGTTCTCGCAATCGGCATCGATTCCGGGCCAAAAAAAGCAACGGATCGGGCCAATCGCTTCATGTGATCCATTCCGGCGTGGGAAGCGTGGAGTTCTTGAAGAACTTCTCGCTGTAAGGTCTTGGGAATGACGATTCGTTCGCCGACCATGAGACAGCCTTCGACTACGTTCAAATCATCTCGTTTTTGATGCAAATGAACGCAAAGTCGGAGGGATATTTGTAGGGAATTTTTCCGGATCTCACGAACTTCATGAGGTGTTGGAGGTCTTTGTCCTGACGAGTAGCGGTTTGGACGCCCGCGTTGGTCAGGGGAAGTCTTCGGATGCTGGATCGAAGCACTTCTTGAACCTCTACTTCCACTTTCGCGATGACAACGTCGTCTTGTTGAAGGGCCTCCTGATGTTGGATCATTCGGGACAAGGCATCGGCTTGCCCGAACTTATCGGTGTTGACGTATTCAATGTGGAAGTTGTATCCGAGCAGGATGATCGCCCATCGCACAAGCCGGTTTTGGGAGTGAACAGGAATTCCGTTCTTGTTTCCAAAGATGGATAAAAGGGGCTTGTGGTCAGTGCGGAGAGTGAAGCGTCTTCCATAGATGAATTTGTGGAACTTCTTCACTCCAAAAAAATGAGAGCCAAGGCTTCCTTTTTCGATTTGGGAGTACTTCTTTTCCGTTTCGGTAAGGGACCTTGCTGCATGTGCAATAGGCTTTTTCGGTGCCATCGGGCATGATGTGGGAAATGACTGTGCCTATGCCATACTCGCTGGCGTCGGCGGCCAGTACAATTTGGTGCTTCGGATGAAAATGAACGAGGTTCAGATCGGAGGACAAAACGTCTTTGAGCTTTTGAAAGCAACGCTCTTCAACTCTAGTCCACCTCCAATCCTCATCTTGGACCAGAAGTCGATCCAAGGGTCCTCGCAATGCTTTGATGTTGGGGATGAATTGTCCGTAGTAGGAAATCATGCCGAGAAATGACCTTAAAACCTTCTGGTCTCTCGGAGGGGTCATGTTGTGGATAACCTTAACCTTTTCAGGATCCGGTCGGCGTCCAGAAGCATTGAGGATGAATCCCAGATACTTGATTTCGCTTTGTTCGAAAGCGCATTTATCAAGTTTAAGGTGGAAGCCGTATTCACGGATACGGGCGAAGACCTTCCGAACATTTTCGCGATGTTCGGCTTGGGAACGGCCAACTACGATGATGTCGTCCAAGTAAACGGCCACGCCATTCAATCCAGTAATCATTTTTGTCCATGATTTTTCTGGAAAATCGCCGGAGCCGTCTTGATTCCGAAGGGTAGCCTTTTGTATTGAAAAAGGCCTTTGTGGGTGTTGATGACGGCGTAAGGCTGGGATTCAGGATCTAACTCAACTTGCAGATACGCATCGCTGAGGTCGATTTGGGTAAAAACGGATCCTCCGTTCAAATTGGCGAAGATCTCTTCGGAAGTGGGCAAGGGATATTCTTCGTCTTCCAATGCTGAGTTGAGTCCTGTGCTGAAATCAGAACAGACTCGGATCTTCCCTGAGGCCTTTTTAATGCACACGACGGGTGCGGCCCATTGGCTGTGGGTAACGGGTTCAATGACGCCTAGCTGCTGAAGACGATTCAGTTCGCCTTCGACTGCTGCCAGGGAGCCATAGGGGACGGGGCGCTTTTGCTTGAAGACTGGATTTGCATTGTCCTTCAAGGTAAGCTTTGCTTGCTCTTTATTGCATTTCCCTAGACCTTCAGCAAACACTTCCGGAAATTCTTCCTTCAGCTGTTCACCGAACGGTCTACCGTTCTCGATGGAATTGATCATTTGGTCAAGGTGGTAGTTCATGTGGGTGGATTTCAAGCCAGTCCAATCCGAGTAAGTTTCCGGAATTCCTCACGTAGGCATAGCCGCTGGCGTGAGAATCCTTCAACTGGAAGTTGCACTTGAAGCGGCCTTTGATGTCCATGTCGCTTCCGCTGGCATTCTTCACTCGGAAAGGGACGTTTTCCAAGGGCGGTTTGCCTAGTCGTTCCCACTCGGGGGTTCCGACCAGAGTCAAATCGCTGCCGGTGTCCATTTGGAATGGGATTTGGACGCCATCGACTTCGACATCGATGAAGCGTCGGACGGCTTGCACTTGGGGGGATTCTGCGTTGGCAACTGTGACAGCTTTGCACCGGGTCCAGGTGTTCGGCTTTGACGTAGTCGTTTTCCTGGGGTTGGTGACGCGGGTGGACTTGCAAAATTTCGCCAAGTGTCCCTTTCGATGACACTTGTCGCAGGTGGATTTGGGATTGCGACAAACGGGTGAGGAGTGCCCGTCTCTGCCGCAATTCCAACAGGTCATCCTGTTCATAGGATTTCCTTCTGAAGCTACCGGGGTTTTTGGGGGAGGCTTTTGGTCTTCAACTCGAGAACTCTCTTCTGTCCAAGTTCTTGGACTTCAGTTTTTCTGTCGTTGAATCCTCAGCCATTCTTCGCAGAGGTCCATGATGGTGGTGGGTTGTTTGCTTTTCTACTCGTCGTTCCATGAACTTGATGAAATGGGCACGGATCTGAGTGTCTCCTGCTGCGTCAAGGCCCTTAATCCAAAAGAATGTTTTCCATTCTTCTGGGGTGATGTCTTTCAACATGGCCTTTTCGCAGGTTTCATTGATACGGGACGTGTAAGCCGCTGGATTTCATCCAGACGACTTATTTGCGTGCATGCGAATCTCCAGGACAGCAGGGATCTTTTAACATCGAAGTAGTCGCTCAGCGTAGCGACTACGTCCGCATAAGATTCCGTGGAGGGGTTCTTGGGACAAATCTTTGCAGCAAATTGCTCATAGATTTCGTCGGGTAATTTGTTGAGTAGAAGCCTGACTTGCGTAGTCTCGTCGAGGGACTTTCCTTCAACCGTGATAACTTCTCCATATCGGTTGATCCATTTTGGAAAAGTTTTCCCGGCTTCCGGATCGAGGTGGCCTGCACATCTTAATAATGCGCGGCAATTCAAAATGGGGTAGATTTACGGTATGAAATCTAGAAACTACAACAGTCAAGGTCTTTATTTTCTGATATTTCTTCATCTTCGAAATCAGAATTGTAGCGAATGAGAAAAGAAAAAAACTAAACAAAGATCCTCCAGAAGCACGAAATTTCGATAAAACAAAGGGCAGTTTCGCTTGCATGAGATCCATTTAAACTACAAAAAATCCCTACCTTTCTAAAAATTAGTTTTCAAAAAGTGTGTTGAATTCATCTTGACTTTTTTTTACCCAATGCTTGCTTTGAGAAGCGGCAAAATAATTCTAGTTTGTTTTTTAAAACAGAATAATCGAAAAGCTTGAAGGGTTTTTTCCAATTTTATGTACTATTCCATGTAATCTCTCCTTTCTGTACTATTTTTTGAAATTTCCTTGTCGTCGACCTCATTGTTCTTAAAATTGCTTCGGACAGGAGTTTAACTAAATCTGTCTCGGACTTCCTGGTAGCTTCTTTGTGTGGAGGTTTGTCTTTTGTACTTGAACATCAATTTAATTGCCAGTCTTCTCACGGAACGGAAGTATGACGTCGTATTCATCTCGATTATTATTTGTCGTTTCTGAAAAGCTCTTCCCAAAGGGAGATAGAAAAAGAAAAACAAGATTTCTAATGTGTTAATGATTTATTTGCTTGGCTAACCCCACGACGATGGTTTTTTTCTCGTTGGTTTCTCTTTTTGTTCCCAAATAACAAACTGCATGTACCTCTGAAAAGTGAACTAGCGTGCTGCGAATTCTCTCGGGAGCGCCCCCGTTGCACGAAAACAATTGGCTCTGATATATGCCCATATTTCGATTCTGGAGTCACGGTTTAATTTGGCTAAAATGTTTCTAACTGATAAATCTGCTTTGAGAAATCGCAATCTTTTTCTGAACGAGCCTTGGCATTTGATCCGCTTGCTTTTAAATTGGCAATGAAGCTTTGGTATTGTTTCGAAGCACGATCGCCCCTAATATAGTCCATCTCACAACTTGAAACAAGTTTATTACTCTAATTTTACCTCAAAGAGGCTGATTTAATTTCTATTATCTTTTAGGTAAAAAAAAATTGGGATGCTCCTGCTCTCGGTTTCTCGGAAAGGAGTCTGGAAGCTTTCCAACAGGTGGTCGAACGCCTTCTACATAGCTTCCCGAATCCTTCTACTTACCTTTCAGAAACCTGGTGAGGACTTCTGTCAGGCATTTTCAACTTTTCCCTTTCAAAGACCTTCCAACTATCTTCCCAAAGCCTTCTCAAGACCTTCTAGCTTCCATTCACTTTCCAATCGCCCGCTAGTTACCTTTCCAGGATCTGTCTGAGCTCAAAGTCGAACGGAAGAGCCATAGATCAGAGTTCTTTTGAGTCGTGCGCAAGGGGGGCACCTTATTCGTTTGCTTTTGAGAAATCGTAACCTTTCGCCAAACAAGGCTGAAATCCGCGAATCCTTTTTAACGGGTATCAAGGCCGATAAAAACCAATGAAGGAGGCTCAGCTTTCAGAATTCGGAAAGGACGTGACGTCATGAAGCTTCCACGCATTCTAAACGTTTTTCGGAGTCCAATTTGCGAATTTTCGTGCAATCCCAGACGGCGACGAAGCTATTTATCGGTGCGAGAGGACGTCGCACCCGCCTGACACTTTTCCGAGGAACGATAGCCACGGCTCGACATCGAAAACTCACAAACGCCAACAATCTTACTTTCTTCCCTAGAATATGACTAATGTTCACTCGTCACTCGTTCTTCCATACATTTTGGTACCACAGGCGGCTCATAAAAAATATGTTTTATAAACAGCTACTAGTAAAAAACGAAATGAAATAAGAGATTATGGTACAAGAATGAAAAGAGCGCCGAACAGTTTGGAAGGCGTTTTTTTGAACATTTTTTTTGTTAAATTATGTTCAAAACAGCGTTCGAGTGTGTGCGTCCTTCCGAAACTTGCGTAAACTGAATTGAATTGAACAAACAGAAACAAATTTTCAAAATTGAATAGGAGTCCATAAAAAGTACAAGTTATAATTTTGGAATTTGCTCGAGTTCCGAGACAACCTGAAAAAATTTTCAAGGGCACTTTCACGTCTAGCTAACTACATCACACTTCGTTACAAAGTTTTTTTTCCCCGAAAAATTTGTTCGAGTTCTCAAAGTGTGGGTGGTAAGAAATTAGAAGATCTCATTATAGTCTGTGTGCCACGACTTGAAATTTCACGGAACGACATTCCGCTGCGTGCGTTCGCGAAGCGTCTTCCAGATCTAGGTCGCGCTTTCAATTGATTATTATTGCTGTGGGAGCACACGAAAGTATAATATCTTAAAAAAAAAGAAAAAATAAAATAAGAAGCGCGACCAAGGTTTGCAAAGGCGCGCAGCGGCACAGCGGAATCTCGTTCGGTGAAATTCTAAGTCGTGGTACACAGGCTATACTGTACCTATTTGAGTTTGTGATTCCGCGCGGGCGCTTTTCAAGACTTACAAATCGTGAACAATGTGTGTTTAATTGATCACAGAGCATTTTCGATTAATAGCAGGCAGAGGGCATGGTATTTATTATAGTCTGTTCAGATTTTGAAAGTCAACTCCGCCCCTTATGCTTAGATCAAACCAATCAGAGAGCGAGCCATCCACAGAGCGTTTTTGAAGTCGGAGCTTGCTACATGAGATTAGAAATCTGACCAGGCTATAGAATGAATTGGAAAATGGGGAGACGATGCGTCTGTCCACTCCAAGCCATAACTAGTCAACTGTTCTCTCGGATCACACTTTTTTGAAATTATCTGTGTTGTACATAAGTAGTCCTGGATAGTTCCATGTTTCGATTAAAAAAATATCAGTGCTATAGATGATTCACGGCTAGCTTAGGACGCAAAAAGACGTGGCTTGTCTGCACTCTCCAACAACCAGAGCACTGTCTCGTCTCTTTTCGTGGCAGGACCCTTTTCTTGGTGGCTCAAGCCAGCCTTGAATCAGCTATAGCTATATATATATCTTCTTCTTTGATCTTAGGTAAGAACAAGACATCTCATTATGAAAATAAGCCAACCATGGTCGAAATCGGTAAGTTCCCAGGATCCTGTAAGCATTTGAATGGCGCGCACGCATAATAGCTGACTCATGAATTTTATTAGACTTTTACCGAAGTTATAGTTTTTTCAACCATTAAAGCCTGAACCTTTTACAGAGTGTGCTTTTTTTGGGCCTCGAGAAGAATTGCACCGTCGAGTGTGGGTGAAACTCGGAACTCCGCCCCCTTTGCTCCAGACCGGCTCCGCCTCCAACGCCAGTCTTATTTTTCCGCGTTTCACCCACGCGTTCGACAGCGCCCCAGGAGATGTGGCCGACCCATTCTGCCGTCGTCTCGGCTCTTCTTTTCGCTGCAGTTACGGTCCGTTACTTTTCTTTTCTAATTCGAAACGTCGAAATCATGAAACTTCTAATGGAATCATTTTGCTCTTCTTAAATAGCGCACAATGGTACCTCTTTTTTCCATTCAATGAAAGCTCTTTCGAACAGAAATTGCAAATTCCAGTCGCTGTTTATTTAAAATTCATTTATTGGCCTCTGTAGAATTTTCAAGCAGAAGCCATTTGCATGAAAATTGAGGGTCCGAGAAGGACTACGAATCGTTTCGAAGCCTAATTTTGGGGACAGTTAAGCGAAACTTTCAATTTTTTGTGAGTTGAAGTTATTGATGACAAATATGTTTGTATATTGAAGATTTAAAAAAATCATAAAATCTTTTTGCCTTTCGTCGATCGCGTGTCTTGATCTGAAATTTCTCTTCTTTCCCAGAATTTCTATTTCAAAACTATATTTTCTGGCCAGCCGTCTGTGAGCTGTATACTAATGTCTTTAGAAACACAAGTAAGTTTAAATGATGATAAATAATTAGAAGTCAAAAGCCAGCTACTAATATCAAAAAAAAAAATAGAAGGTGCCGATGTCTCAATCGAAATTTTTCCACTGCTCACAGAGAAGGTGCTTGGAAATTTATGTAAATATGCCTTTTAAGGTCTTTAAATTACGATCTTTGAAAGTCGCTATTTCTGTGAACTTTTTTTCTAAGCAATATCTTTAAATTTCTGAGCAGTACAGAAAAATCTTACTAACAAACGTTGTCCCGGTCAAAAATTTGATGAATTTTTTCAAAGTATTCATTAAGGCCTCCTGATTCCATAACTGGAAGAACATTCTCGCAAAAGATCTTTTTTCGATTTACGAAGCTTCAAAATTTGCAGAAAGCGCAAATTCTGACTTCAATCTTTTAAAGCGTTTCAACTCGAAAACTAGATCTATGGCTAATAACTTTCCCTAGTGCGATAGAAATGGTACAAGTTTGAATGAATAATGAGCACCGCCATAACAATGGTAGGCTTGCATCTCAAATGATCGTGGATTCGTCAAATGCTTCTTGACGAACACAATTTATGTATATTCAATTATCTTTTTTTCATTCTTTCTTGGTTTTTTTGAAAAAAACAGCATCGATAGCTCAAGAAAATGGAGCATCTAATAACAGAACGGAGAAAAACTTTTACTATCATCTACACGGAAATTGATGTTTTTCATAGGTTCCACAACCTGTGATTTCTTTAGACTTAGTAGTTCTTCTGCTTTCCTTCGTTTTCGAATACGTCATGAGAAAGCGCACTCTGGGGATTAGTCTCTCATTTTTCTTAAACTATCGTTTTTCATATAGGATCATAACTTTTTTTTTTTCGAAGGCGAACTTCAGCTCAAACCTTTTAGAAGTTCAATTATCGAAAAATAAAATTCAGGTTAATATTTGGGTGAAAAATTCATAAAGTAAAACGAAAATCATCAGATTCGAATCTCAAACCGCTTCCCTAGGAAATTAAAAAAAAAGGTGGAAGAAAAGCCGTCGTCGTTTTGCCCATATCGCAAGAAGCCGAATCGCTCTGAAAGACTAATTAAAAAGAAAAGAAGTGGCGCAAAGGTTTTCTTTTCCTTCAGTCAAAGTGGCATTTCTCTGTGATGTCACACACATTTTGCACGTTTCTAACGTAGAGTTTTTAGGGATTCAAAATATTCAATTCCATCAGATTGAGTCTTTTATAAGGGAGGTCATTTTACTCTGCGGTTGGGAACTTCCTTTGTTCTGAAAATTGGCCAGAACACTCCTCGACGTACCAAAAGAAGATTCTGAAAGTCTCACCCTGCACAACTTCCTAGTTTTCGAGAAATAAGCGCTCAAAGCCTCAAAATGTCCTATTTTAACGGCTTTCAGTGTTTTCTTGGACTTAAAGGTGTCCTTTTCTCGGAAACTAGAAAGTTGTGCATGTTAAGACTTTCAGGATCTTTATATGGTACATTGAGAAGTGTTTTGACTGAATTTCAGAAAGTTCCCAATCGCAAATTGACCTCCCTTTTTAAGAGTTTGAAGATCTTGACTACTTGAAGGACCACTGGAATGACATCGAAACTTGCAAAGTCATTGAGAATATCGCAGGAAAAGTTTATAAGTGAAAGAAACATTTTTATTAATTAATGGCGTGTTCAAATTGAATTTAAAATAACCTTTCGAGAATGAAAAAGAGAGCTAAACTACGAAGAGTCAGAGATTAAATTTTTTTTTTGAGTTTTCGGAAATTACTTTTTAAACTGCATAAACGTATTTTTTCAGGTATCAATAGCAAACGCCGTGTCGATTCCTCGGTTCAGACGTTCTTTTGACACTCTGGTAAGCACTAAATCTTCTCCGCGCTGAGATAATTCTTCTTAAATCATCTGTTTTCACCGAAAAGAAGACATCTTGAAATTTAGGCCGCAGGAGGTTTTACTGCCTTAGATAAACGGACGTTTGATTCATTGGTAGGAAAACCGGACACCTATTATTAATCTTCTTTTTTTTCAGGCAGGAAGCGGCTTTGGCGGATTCCATAAGCGTGCTTTCGATAGTTTGGTATGTTTTTTGATCATTTCTCACTTTAATTTTCCGGAGCTTTTAATGAACACGATTTGAACTTTCAGGCAGGGGACGGATTCGGTGCTTTCAACAAAAGAGCGTTCGATTCATTGGTGAGTTTTCCTACAGGGGTAGTTAGAATAGTATAGTTGTGATAATGAAATGGAATCATTTAAATTAAATTCAAAACTTTTCAAGCCTTCAAGTTCGCTGTAGTGGAGGAATGACGCCTAAATCTTTGAAAAAATCTCACAAAAATGTGAAAGTGTTAAAGTTATGAGCCGGCAAAAACGATTTCCGCCAAAAGGATTCCAACCCTGGTCCCAATATTGACAAGCTTCGGGAGACCACTACCACTACACCACGCCGCCAGTTGCTGGCCAAAGGCTCCGAGCGCGGGCATATGCGCGCTGGAAAACTTTCGACGAGCTTTTCCTCGGTCGCCTGTGGGGTTTAGCAGAATTTTATTTTTGATTCCGAGTTCTCTCTCCTAGGCCTATCCACCGACAAAGTCTCAATTCTCAACTCGTTGTCGAGACCACGCCCTAGTAAGACTGATTTGCCGCTCTCGTTTTAGCCGTTTTGAGGCGGAATGAGTAGAGTAAACTTTTGTGGCTAGAAAGCAACGTACTATTTTCTTTAAAAACCAGAATTTCGCGTTAAATTTCAGGAGCTTAAGTTAAATTAACACGATTTGGACTTTCAGGCAGGGGACGGATTCGGTGCTTTCAACAAAAGAGCGTTCGATTCATTGGTGAGTTTTTCTACAGGAGAAGAGTAATTAATTATAATTAGAATAACATAGTTATGATGAAATAATAAATCCATTAAATTGAATTAAAAGTTATCAAGATTTTAGGTTCGCTGTATTGGAGGAATGACGCCTAAGATTGACTTGCCGCTCTCGTTTCAGCCGTTTTGAGGCGGAATGAGTAGAGTAAACTTTTGTGGCTAGAAACTATTTTCTTCAAAAACCAGAATTTCGCGTTAAATTTCAGGGAAGTAGTGATAATTTTATCAGTGAATCTCCAGCACGTTAGGAAATATTTTGAGAAGAGGATTGAAAGAATATAGCAAAATCAAAAAATGTCATTCCATTTTTTTCATGCGGTTGCTACTGGAAAAGAGTATATAAAACTCTCGGTGTTCAGAAAAGAGCGTAGGAGTATATTTTTAGAATTAATTGGCAAAATCAGCTCAGTTGTTCAAGTTTTTATGGAGAGATTCAAAACAATATTCCGCGTTTGTGCTTTAATATTCCGAATCATTCCTCAAGCTAAAAGAAGTAAGCTCTCCACTAGTTCGATGATATTTTAAGGACGGACCGGGATTCACGGGCTTCCACAAGAGGGCCTTCGATTCGCTCGCCGGCTCCGGCTTCGGTGGATTCAATAAAAGAGCTTTCGACTCCCTGGTTCGTCTCACCTCAAACCTTTTTGGGAAAAAATATGAAAAGTAGATGTCAAGATGTTTATTCTGGGCGAGAAAAACAAAATACGCTGGGCAAATTCTGCTGATATCAATGGAAAATTTTCGTTAATACTAAAAACTTTTTTTCAGAACGGTGCAGGCTTCACGGGATTTGAGAAACGAGCTTTTGACACTGTGGTGAGCCCAATATTTCGAAAGATTTTATTTTTTTTTTGAATGAATTTGGAGAAAATGGGAAATAATCACTACTAGTAATACCAATCGCCCATAACGAACCTTCATTCAAAACTTGTTTTTGCAGGAATCTTTGGCAGTTTTCTTTTTTCAAATTTTTTTCTTCTTATCAGAAATTGTCCTTACTCCAAGAGAGCGTTAGGAAGAACTCTGAAATTAATTAATTTTTAGAAAAAAAGTTTCATTTTGTGTTGGCTTTTTTTACAGCTCCATTAAAAAAATTAACCAAAAAATTGTTCATATTTTTGAAATTCTGCTTCGTTCAGAGTTCAAGCGGATTCGACGACTTCTAAGAACATAAATCGACACATTTTTCATTTATGGATCCGTAGCGACACGACGATGCGAGACCATGGCAATTCAAACTGCAATAAATAACATTTTCAGAAAAACCTCCATCGGAATCCCCCTGTTGCCTCAAACATTTTTTCAACCATCTTTATTTACGTTTCATTACTGGTGGCCACAAATAAACTATCCCGTGTTCTCGGCGATAAAATGTCCGTATGCAAAAAATTAATAAATCAGAAAAGTTAGCATGAACGCCGTTTAGGAAATGGTACTTCTCAACTTTATAAAACAGCTGATAGAATTGAAAAATTACCTGTTTACAAGATACAGTTTTTGCTAGACCTGACAATCACTATAATCCTCGAATTATATTTGATAAAATCTGAGCACCTGAGAAAAATTTCTACAGGTCCGCCCACAATCTGGAACGAGTATTTTTCATGCGTTTCACCTAATGAAATTTTTCAAAATCAAAAAAACAATTTAAATGTTCCAAGCAGAAGAAGACAGAGGCATTATTCTTGTCAAATATATATCAGAAATGCAGTTCGGTAGATAAAAGTTTCAGAACTCGTCAAGCTGAATGTGATCGCAGTAAATGAATTTTGCGCTGTGGCAACTTCTCAGAAATCGAGAGCCCATGAGAGACTTTTTGGCTCTCTTAGAAAACAATGGAGAGGCGTTTTATCTAAATGAGCATTTTTTTATAAAACTTTTTATAACCAGTCAAAATTTAAAAAAAATGTATGCGTGCCTTCAGACGAATGGAAGGTTTAGCTTATACGCGGCAATCTCAAACACCATTGGGTAATCTTCAGGTAACTCAAAGGGTTACAGTCCGGAATCCACAGGCGGTAGGCCAAAAAAGGCTCACAGGGAATTGAACGAAAATTTATATTACTAGTCGGTCTAGTCGATTTCCTCGTTTTAGAGACGGTTGTGCAGCTCGATCAGCCAAAAAAAAAAATATACTTTGAGGGGTTTGAGGAAAATGAGATAGACTTGAGGGAAACTCACAAGTACCTAAGAGATGGCTCAGATAGAGCTAAAAGGTATGCCTGAGCTCAACCTAAGAAGCCTAAAAAGTTGGGAAAAAGTTAAAAGCCCTACGGAATAGGAAAACCCTGTAAATGCTATACAGTCAGAGAAAAACCTGAGAACCCCTGGTAACTCCGGAGCCTAAAAAAAGCCCATTTTGGCCAACTATTTTTCCGCGGCATTCACTTCGAGGAGAAAAATGACTTCGCCCGAGGAAAAAAAAAATGGAAGGCGAACTCGTTTTTCATTTTTTTTTTTGCATACAGGTAAATGCCGTTTATTAGAAATATCATTTTCTTTAGCTTTATGAATTTTTATTGTATAAGGTCTGGATCCCAAAGGCGCTTCACGGATCCGGCCTAGTGAAACTTTATTCCGAAATTCGCTGATTTGAGAAATGTAACGATTATGTAGAAAATAAGTTATCTTATCCAGTTTAACTGGGTATCCTCTATATGCGTCTAGACGCATCGATGCCTGGCCAGTACTGCAGTAACATGAGAAAAACGAAAATTTTCTGGGCAAAGCTGGGTTACAAGTGTACTTTTTATTCGTCAAAATGTTGACCAATGAAATTCTTGTCTTTTTCAACCTTCACAAGCGAGAGTTCCTGGAAAAAACAAAAATTTTTTTGAAATGAACCTCGGTGTGGATAGAGCGCGAATGCCACGTATGTAGCACGGCATTTTTTTCTAATTCGGCGTCGCCAACATTCTTTTCTTTTTTGGCAGTTTATCAAGAATTTAAATTTGAAAAGAAAATATTTTAAATGGTTTTTTGAGCTTGATTTGCTAATTTTTTTCTTGAGTTGAAATTTGCTCTGAAAATGGACAACCTCATAATTTTTTTTTACGTTTCCTCAATTTTTTTTCTTGTTGCAATGTTTCGCTTAACTAAAAACTAATTTTTGCAAAATTCTGTGCTTGCAACTGAAGTTCTTTTTATAAAAAAGTACCTTTTATGTTTAAAAGTATCTGTTCTGATTTAATTTGGCTAATTTCCATTTTCTTTTCAGGCAAAAGCTATTCAACAACAAACAAAGTTTTCAATTTTTTTTACAGGATGTCCTCTATTGAAATCGAGTCAGCTGAGTAAGTTATGAATTTTGCGGTTTTTTTCTAATGTGTTATGAAAATTTTCCAGTGTTATACGCTTGATCGAGCAGTTTTTGAAAGAAAGTAATCTTCTTCGAACTCTTGCTGTCCTGCAGGTATTTTTTTCCGTTCTTATAGATGCTTATATTTTTCTTGAAATTTTTGTAGGAGGAAACGAACATCACTTTAAACACGGTCGACAATATTGAAACCTTTTCTCATGAGATCACCTCGGGCCACTGGGACTCTGTGCTAAAAATAATTCAGCCATTGAAGTTACCAGCAAAGAAGTTGATTGATTTATATGAGCAGGTAAATTTGAAAAGGTACATGAAATTTTGCTGTTTTGAGATAATAACTGAATTGGTGGAGTTGCGAGAGCTCGCTACTGCTCGTTTGATAGCTCGACAGACGGATCCCATGCTTCTTCTCAAGAAAATCGACCCAGAAAGGTTGAATTTGCTTTATTGGCTTCCGAAAGGACTTTAATGTTGTAGATATACACGACTTGAGAATCTCATAAACCGTCCTTATTTCGATTCTTCAGAAGTTTATGGTGACGTAAGCAAAGATAAACGGCGTTACATGATCGCTCAGGTATATTTGGAAGTAGCTTTTCCACTGAAAACCATTTATAGGCTTTATCGGCAGAGGTTCACGTCGTCGCTCCATCGCGACTTCTTGCCTTGTTGGCTCAATCGCTCAAGTGGCAGCTTCATCAAGGGCTCCTCCCTCCAGGTAACTTGGTTTCAGGATGAGTAACATAATTTTTGGCTGTTCAGGTACGGCGATCGATCTTTTCCGAGGCAAAGCCGCGCTGCGAGAACAGATCGAAGAGCATTATCCGACGCAGCTTGCGCGGCAAATAAAATTCGGAGCTAGTAGGAATTCAATGTTTTTCTTTAGATTGTCTTTTTTTGCAGATAGTTACCCTGAATCAGCATCTTTCTCGCCTGACGGTAACTACCTTGTCTCTGGTTCGAAAGATGGCTTCATTGAGGTAAAAGTTGAAGCATCCAGAAGAAGCTCATTTATGATTAAGGTTTGGAATTACTTGAACGGAAAACTGCGCAAGGATCTGAAATATCAAGTGAGTTTTGGGGGTATAGTTTCGGTGAAAAATGGCTTGATTGAAGGCCCAAGATAACCTCATGATGATGGACGCTGCTGTGCTCTGTATGACTTTCAGTCGAGATTCGGAAATGCTGGCGACGGGATGTTCAGACGGGAAAATCAAGGTACCCCCGGTTTTGTATTGCTTGAAAAGTAGCGAATAAGTTGAGACATTTCGATTTCTGATTGCGAACGTTTAGTATTTAATGTTTAGAATCTTGAAAGATTATTTCGCAGTGTTTTCATTTCCTGTAGAAACCGAATAAATCCAAGTTGACTTTTTTTTTCTTCTTCTTCTTCACCTAGGCTTACAAGGTCCACCCTTTCTTTGGCTTATTTTCTTTGAAATTCACTCTTATCTTACGTTTTCCCGCTCAATTCTTTTCTTCTACTTCCTACGCCTTCGTACTGCTTGAACGGCGGCAGCGTCCCAAGTCGATTAGCCGAGGTCCTATCCTGATATAAGTGAAAGTCAGTGGACTGTCTCTAGTGACATATGAGTGTGACGACTGCGGATTTTGAAGTCGTGGTTTACCACTACCAACATTTTTCAAACCCCTTGGTTTGTTCGAGGCGGGGATCGAACTTGTGACCCTATAGACCGTAGACAGGCACCCAACCAGTTGCGCTACGGCGCGCCTCCTAAATTCTTCTCATTCATCGATATTTTTTTCAAAACCTTTTCTATTTCATTCAATCTCTATCTGTGTTTTTCCTTTGCCATAACTCATATAAGAAAGTTTTATTGGTCATATAGAATCTCCTTGATTGGAATTCAAGCTCATCTTTTTCATGTATAGTCAAATTTTGAAAAAAAAACTCGGGTTTGAGGTGTGGAAAGTGGAAACGGGAGACTGTCTGCGGCGGTTCGACAAAGCGCACACGAGAGGAGTGACGGCGGTCCGATTTTCTCGGGATAACACGCATATCTTGTCTGCAGGAAACGATCACGTCGTACGGTAGGACCATCGCTTTTTTTGTTTTTTCCTAATATAAAGGTAAAGCACTTCAGCAGGCCTTATCTACGACCGTAGGGAAAATTTCTCATTCCCAAAATTTTCCTAGTTTCCTGATTTTCTAACTTATTAAGAGTAGTCGAATTTGAATAAATATATAAGATTCAAAAAAAGTCCTCTAATTCGAAGGGATTTTTCTTTTTTTAATTCGAAGTTTCTCGAATTCAAGTTCTGAATAAGTGGCGCTACAACTCGCCAAACTTTTTACAGGTAAAATTTAGGGCTCTATGAAGCTGCGAAATTTATACGTATCCCTCCTAGTTCAAAGGGTTTTTCGAAAAAAATAGATCAAATTAAATTTTGCATATCTTTGAGCAAATTATGAAAGATCGGTTCAATTTGGAATGTTGAAGAAAAGGTTTTTACAAAATATAGTTTATTTTAGCACAGTTCTTTTTTCACTTTGAAGCTAGTTTTGCAGAATTCACGGAATGAAGAGCGGCAAATGTTTGAAAGAAATGCGTGGCCACACTTCGTATGTAACTGACGTTCGATACACGGAAGAAGGAAATCAAGCTGTAAGTTGGACCATTTACATGAGAAAAGGGGAAATCATCTCTTTTTCATTTTATTTTTTCATGATATTGAAAAAAAAATCCACAATCTTTATATATTTTAATCTCTTTGCTACTTTCTTCAAATAACTATATTTTTTCGAACCAAACATCGAATGAAAAAAGATCTGCAAACTGTCTTTGGTGTACGTTGGGATCGAATTTTCCGTTTTTAAAATTTTAAAGACCCGTGATATTCTATGCTCGTAAAACGGATTTTCGAGAAGATGAGTTGCAACATGCATGGGCAGACCATTTTCAAAGGCCGCTCCTCCCAAGTTTTCCTGAATTAAAGTTAATACCAGCTCCCTGAGGCTCAAACTTTTTTTTTATTTTGGCCGAATTTACCTCCCTGAGGTTGAATCGTCATTATATTCCCGATTTTTTGATATATTTTTGTAAGCCAGCCCCTCCTCCCTGGCTGAAGGAGTTCTGCACTTGCCCATCTATGCTTGCACATTTCAGACAGCGAAAAAAAAAATCGAGCCTACTGACAAAACTTTTTTTTTCTTGTAGCATGTGAAATGCGGTACCCACAAAAACGTCTTTTTTGAGATCTCTTGCTCGGCGGACGGAACTCTGCGCGTGTGGTATCTGAAGACGGCGGAGTGCATGACGACGTTCCGCGTGGCCGGCGCCGGCGACACCGCCGTACTCAACGTCCTGCCGATTCCGAAGAGCGAGCCGCCGCAGTTTGTCGTCTGCAACCGCTCCAACACGCTCTACGTCGTCAACATCTCCGGCCAGGTCGTGCGGACCATGACTTCCGGCAAGCGCGACAAGGGAGAGTTCATCAACTGCATCCTGTCTCCCAGAGGTTCTCTCCTCGCTTGATCCTTTCTCAAGTCGTCTTTTCAGGGGAATGGGCCTATGCTCTCGCCGAAGACGGCGTTTTGTACTGTTTCCTTCTACAAGCTGCTTCTTTAGAGTCTACTCTTCCCGTATGTTTTTACCTCTCCGAACTTTTTCCATGGAACAGTTTACTAAGGCTGATGCAAGGTTCATTACCAACTTTGGTGTAAAATATATTTTCCAGCAATTTTCTACATCTCATGCTACTTTTTCGAGTTTAGTTTTTTTTTTCGTTGCGAATTTTTTTGAAGTTGTTCACGTTTTTACCAACTTTGTTCCAGGTATGCGAAAAGATGCCCCATGGTCTGGCCCACCACCCTCATCAGAATCTCATCTCGACTTTTGGAGAAGATGCTCTACTCAAATTGTGGCGTGATTAACATCCTCTCCAGTCCAAAAATAACATCTCCAGAACTTTTTCATAATTAATATTTATTACTTTCTGACACCTAACTGTGAGATTTCTCACAAAAAGAATGATGTAAATCGTGTTGTTTAAAAAGAATCTTTGTCTCTAACGACCGCAAAGTTTCGAGAAAAAAAGTCGTCGTATTTTTATTCAGACTTTACTCTTGTTGTTTTTCGTTTAAAGGAACATAAGAAGCTGAAATCGCGAAGAAGATCAATCTAGCACAAGAATCATTCATAAAAAAAGAAAATATGGGCAGAAAGTTGTTGCGATATTTTTGGTTTTGAAGGTTTTTGAAAGTTTTTTTGATATTCTTTTTTTCTGTTGGCTCTTGTGTTGAATAACATTTTTCATAATATTAAAGTTTCAAGTTTTTTTATGGCGTATGAAAGTTTTATCAGACAAGATTGAGCCAACTCACGGTAATGATTTCGTTTTCAGTTCTTTTTTTGATTCTTCTTTCGTTTTTCTTCGCTTTATCTACCAGAGTCGTTTTGATTTTTTCGAGTTATCCTTTTTCATAACGAGAATGAAATTTTTGATTTTGTTGAGATTCAGAGTGAAAATTTATGCAAGGAGGCTAAATTATTTCATGATAAACCACTAAATTAATCGGTATATTTTTAAAATTCTTCAAAGAAAATTTTTTTGCAAAGGGATTTTTCACAGAAAAGTTTCAAAGCCAGCCACGTCCAAACACACTTCCTTTTCTGAGTTTCATACTTCTCAACATATGTTGTCTTTTTTTTCTTCATACATTCTTGCAGCTTCATGAATCACCGCTCCCTTTTTTTGCAATGATTTGGAGTCCTTCTCTTTCGTTTATTGATTCTACGAATGTTCAAAATGTGATCTCCGTAAACTCTCTTTGCAATCATTTTGCAAAAAACTGTATTCTGTTAATTTTTTGTCCAGTTTTCTGCTTGTTATTCTCGACTCCATTACTTTTTTACAATAAAAAAGTGTTTCTTCTATTTTCTGACTGTTCTGTGAAAGCTGTTCTCGTAGAGAGTATTAAACTCCTAGGATACTTGTTGTGTTGATTTCTCAGGATGTCCTCACTGCATGCCGTTTTTCAGAGTTTGTAGCTTTTCCTACGGTCGACCGATTTCGCCGCCGACACCCGCAGGTTTTTTTTTTCTTTCTACTGGTTGCGTTGGTGATGAGCCACTCACTGCCTCCGTAGTTTTTTGTTTCCTCGTTTAAGTGCTCTGAAAATTAAGTCAACGTCGACTCATCATCTTTACTCGGTTGCGCTGATTGTTTTTCTTTCATTTAGAAAGAGAAGGTTTCAGCTTATTTTCTCCTTAGTGTTTTTTGTTTGTTATCTCCTACGCAAACAATAAGCTTTAAAATTGAAAAAAGCTTACAAAACAAAGAAAAACATTGATAGCAAGCCAAATTAGTCTTTCTGGAAAATTTCTTTGTTTACACAAATGGCGAGCCTGTATTCTACGTGGAATCACGGCTGCAGACTGAATGCTTTTTTTACAACTAGAAAGGAAATATGTGTTGTGGTGCAGAGGATAAAGCTTAAGAAGGAACATTGTTTTGGGAAAGTTATGAAACTTTTCAGTGAATTTCAGCCTCTCGTGATTATTCGAACTCAATTTTTAGAATGTCATGTCAAAATTACTGATAAACAGAGCAATGGTTTTTGAGGATGACCGAAGAGGATTTCAAAGCTTTTTGAAAATTTTTTTTGATACGGAAGCTTCAAGTATTACAAAATGATTTAACGTGTTTTTAGATTTTATTTTATTTTTCTTCGATTCGATATTTTCAAACTAAAGTGGAAATTTATCGAATTGGAGGCGAATATAACTTTTCTGGTTCTCAAGTCGTTATCAAAGTTCACAACAAAAAAAAACGATTACATTTTCCATTTTATCAAATAATTACACCAAGAAAAATGTGTTTCTGAGAACATAGGGCACATTAAACACCGAATATTTTTAGATTCGCTACTTTTTGATTCAGATTGGGAGACTCATTGAACAAGAGATATATTGCTCGAACTATGATTCGAAAAATCCCTACTAAATTGAAACTTATTGAGAAAAAAAAAATCAACCACATAGCCAATTGTCAGTCTCGTAAAAAAAACTCCTTTCAAAAAGTTCAAACCAACTGACTTCCTGAAACTCATCTGAAATCGATATCACTTTAGCAATTCGGCTGTTTTGTGCTCGACTTTTGACTGTAGATCAATTTTTGTCCCTTTTATCAGACCTCCAATCATCCTTGAACTATTTTTTTTAGGTTATATCGCTGAAAAAATCGTCTCTGGATATTTTTCAAATTAATGCGGGATGGAAATTTCGGACGATATATCGCACTCTAATTTTCAAGATACGAAACGGCTGCCCGTTCATTTGAGAAATTTCCATTTTCATCCATTTTTATTCAAAGTCACTCGATGAGTAGCAATTTTCTTCCAAAATACTCAAATTCTCAATTTTCGAACCAAACATGTTCTCACGCTTTTTAACGTGAAAATATACTCCATTCGCAAAAAATACTCCTCCACTTGAACCCACCCAATATTTTCAATTCATTAATATTTTCATAATCTAGTCAAATAATCTCGAAGTTGAAAAATTACTCAGACATTAAAAAAAATTTTTTTCTTCTCCACAAAAATTACACTCAATTTTTTTGGCCATTTTTTTCGTAATAATTTTTTTAGTTTTTTTGTTGAGGAAGGTATGAAAAGCTTACCAACTACGAAAAAGACCAGTTATTCAAAAAAGAAATAGAGCTGGTTCTTATTCATCTAAAAGGGTCGTCAGTGACCTTCGAAGCTTTGCCCTGTAGAAAATGGCCTTGTTCGAAGCTTTCATGAGAAATTTAAGGCTTTTTGGTTGCTGAGTTTGAATAGTCATCAGAATCGCGTATTTAGAGCAAGTTTTGTCGTGATTGTTCGGAAAAAAAATAAACCTCAAGTTTTTCAGAAATATACGAAAATACAATTTTGAAAATTTCCGATGGAGTTATAGTGATATGAAGGTGGGTACTGAAGGAAAGCTACGGCACAGAATAATAATTGAACAGTCGCCTTTCAAACCAACTCTTTGGAATTTGTAAAGTTGTTGCATGTGGAGTTGATTTGATTATGCTGCCATGGTAGCAGCTGTGGGCAGGCTTCCCACCTTTTTCAATTTGTGTCTAAACATTCTTGGCTTCTGCAAGACTTCTTAACCACTTTTCATATTTCTGGCATCTTGTTTTTTCGTCCTTGATGCCCCTTTTTCCGGAATAAAATTGGGGTTCTCTTTGTTCAAGTTTCAAAAAAGCTCACGACGAAAACGTTGGCTTAGCAAACCGAAGGTGCGAAGCCTTATTTGCCCGCCAACGGATATAATTTGAAAGAGTTCCAATCTCGTTAAGTGACGTGTCGGAGCGCCTCTCTCAAGAGCAGAATTCCGATCCCCGATGTCGACATTTCAGCGCTTTTTGGGCCAGGTTTCACCTCCGGAGGCCCTTTTCAATTTAGCGAGTCAACTTTTTCAAACGACTTTCATTCAAATTTGCTTTCACTTTTATATTAGACACCCGCAACAATCAGAGTTTTGAAACTTTTTGAACTTTTTTTTTTATTTCCTCTGGTTTATCAAACCTGAACTTTTGAAATTTATTATTCGTGGCGCCAAAACTCGGATGAACGGCAGACGAAAAGTTCTTTTGGTTGAAGTCGGGTGCTTCGAAGAATTTGAACCTCCGAAAAATTTCAAGAAGTTTCAAATCATTGGCATTTCTTATTTTTTTCATGTTATTTCGCAAGACTAGCAAAGATCATAATCTAACTTATTATATAAAAAAATTCGTAGCGCTTTTAAAAAAATAATTTCCCGTTCCTATTCATCAGTTTTTTTAAATGTTTGATCATACTAGTCAAGAAAAAGATGGAACGCTCGAATGTTTCCAAGTTTTTAACTTTGCATCGAATTATTTTTGATTTTTTTTCTTCTGTTTCTTGATTTTCCGTTTTCACACACTACTAAACGAATCTCTGAAGCCTTTTCTCATTTTTAAAATGCTCCCGAAAATCATGTAAGACGTAGTTTCCTTCTCGAATTGCAGACAATCTTCTCTTCCTTGTGTGGTTTCCGCAAGTGTTTCCCGCCTTGTTTGTCCACTCATTCAATTTTTTGGGTTGACTACTCTTTTCCCGCAATCATTTTTTATACATAATTTTGAATAGTTTGATGGGAGTGCTTCAGTTTTCGGCTTCATTTGCTTGTATGATTTTTTTTTTTCTATACCATATTCTGAATTTGAGTAGCTTTTTCCATCTTCACATCACTGTGTGTAGCCGCCACCAGCGAGTTTTTCAACCGTTCTCCGAGCTTCTCTTGATGAAATTTTTATAGAAATATTAGATAGGCTAGTAATACGTCTCTTCTTCTTCGTAACTCTGAAGAACATAACTTTCTTGCTCTTTTATGTATTCAATAACTTTTTTGCCAAGGTTCTTCATAGACTCGTCGTAATTGTGCAGCTGGACAATGGGAAACTTGTGGTTGCTCCATTTTTCTATTGCGCTTTTACAATTTGACGGACAAAGAAAGTCGTTCTGCTGAGAGAGTCTGGAAGGCGAAAAATTGATTGGTACGGACATAATAATAATTTCAGAAGTCACTTTTTCTGGCTTCTATTTTTTTTCCGCTTGAGATTTGCTCAGGAGCATCTTCTAATTGCTCTCAAGAATATATAAATAATAGAATTAGACTGAAACTTCTTTTTTCAAACGATCGTATTTTTCTTCCCCTGCAGATCTAGTAAATAATCAAAAGTTATAGTTGTCATCCAAAGGCCTGTATGACCCAAAATTGTCTCATTCAGTTTTGAAAATGTTCGCAAACGTCTTCCAACCCAATCGAAGAATTTATTCCTGCTTTGCTTCATTTTTCGCTGCCTCATTGTGAATGAATGAAAAGCATTGACATCTACTTCGCAGTGGTTGTTACGCACCTATTCCAACCTCAGATCAACTCCATCCGCCACAAAATAGAGCAGGCAAGACAGGAAATCATCGTGAGACGAGTGGAGTTTTTGTGGAAATTTTGGAATTTTCTTGCAAATTTCCTGAAAACTCTTGTTGTTTAGATTAAATTTCTTCATAGGCGCTACCTACGCTAACTTTCACTTTGGCATGCAACATTTTTTTCTTCAAAGTTAGCTTTTGAAACAAAACCGTTCTTGCAACTGGTACTTTACAATTTTGAAAGTACCCTCTTAAATTGAAATTCGGCACAGACTATTTGTAATCTTCATCGAATTCCCTTGCAGTATTTCACAGAACTTCCATACTCTACCCTAAAGTGACCTCTCTCTGAGGGATTAATTCGGTAAGAGAATAACTTCATTTTCAACCCTCAAAACGAATCGCTATCACGAACCTTTGAGCTATTTGTGTGAGAAAAAAATAATTCAAGTAATATCTGATAGTGTTTGGAAGCTCTATGAAATAGTATTGATGGTTGTTAATTTTTCATCTCAAATAATGTTGACCAGAGAAAGAGATTGAAATTAAAATTTGAAAAGCTGAATTATTATTATTTTCCCAGAAAAAGGTCGTCAATTATCAGCAACTCAAGTGTATGTCTGAAAACAGGATTAGAATATTTTCTCCCGGGAAAAGATTAAGGAAAGTAAAAAAAGAGAGAAAAGGTAAGCTCGTTTTTGTGGATCTTCTCAACACTTTCATAAATCTCCTAATTACTTTTTACAAGTTTTTTGTAAGAGTTATTTGACACAAACTGTACAATAACTTACGAGAAACTTTTATTAGATTGGGAAAGATTTTCCTCTCCTTCAGTTTGTCAATTAAACGAGCTCGAGCCACCCCGCCGTTAACACGGCGACTTACTCTGAGAAGCCTCTTTTTTCTGCGATCCGGAAGCCGTCGGTGTCATTGGGAAAGGCAGTGATGTATTCTGTATCCCTTTCGTATTTCCCATTCCTCGTCTCGCGACGTCTCATTCGGCTCGGCAGCTAATTTGAATGGCATTAGCTTAGAAGTCATCTCAGCTCTCTTTTACGCAAAGAAAAAAAAACGCCTCCTGTCGATTCGAATAAACTTTCCGAGGCTCTACCTATCATACTCCCTGGTTCAGACGCCTATTTTGAGCTTTGCTATTTTTTCAGAAAGTTCGTAGTTTCTCCAACCAACCGAAGAACTCTCCTTTAAGTAAAACCTGGAATCAATTTAACATCAATGAAATTTTGAAGTTTATGGCAAGGAGTTTTTGTTCAATTCACCTGTCTTGTTAAGGATGATCGTCAGATTTATGAACGAGTAAAAATTTTTTCCCGGGCAAAAAAAATTGATCCAAGTCAAATTATCTTTCATAGGCAAAGTCGGAAAGGGTGGAGAAAGGCTACATAGAAAGGTTCCTTTTAAGGTGAAGAAGGCTCGTTTTTTGCTACCTTTTTGCTGTCTTTCTGCGCCATTTTTGCTGCCTCTCCCTTTTTCTACCATTTCTTGAGTCTTTTGAATCTCAGGAAAAGTGAAAGGCTTGATGAAGGGACTATTCTTGCTTCCTTTCCACGGCTTTTTTTGAGCCTCTCCCTTTTAGCGGTCATTTTTAACCTTTCCGACTTTGCCCGTGTTGGGGAAATTTATTTAGAAAAAAAGCAATTTTTTTTTGTGTCAAACATGTTTGGTATTAAAATGGAAAATTACTTTCCGGTGTTTTTTTTTCACTTTCCACGTTTTATGGTTCAATCGATGGTGCACAACCGCTTTTATTGGAAGCTCTGACGTCGAATCGCTTCACATCTCTCAGTTTTCTTCTTCCTTTTTTATTTTCACAAAAGTCATAAATACTTGTGCGCTTTTCCCTTTCTTTTGAAATTTATTTCGCTTCGAGCTCAAATTTTTTTGACCGGATCTTCTCTTGCTCGAGGCGCTGGAAGTAGCGGACTGTGAAAAGACAAAATAAACTTCTACTTTCAAAAACAGTGTGCAAGGGGATTTTGTGGTGAAAAAGAGATACATTTAGTAAACGAGTAAACGCTGGATTGATTTTGAACGTTTTTATCCAAAGAGCCGAAATTGTGATTTTCCCGCCTTTTTCTTTCGTTTTACTTGTTTCCTTCTCTAAAAAGGATAAGGAAATTTTAATTATTGATTCAATGAAATGACGTTTTTTAACGCTTCAAAAACTTTTGACGGGGATTAAAACGATGGAAATAGGAAATAAAAAGACAGAATTCGTTCATGCGTGCCATCGAGCACTCAACTATTCCTCCAAGACTTTGTGTCGCGGCCAGCCCATCCATTTAAGTGTCGTTTTTTGTCATTGATTCGCAAACTGGCCAGTCCTTTTCGATCAAAGTTGTTCAGAATGATACACTTGGAAGTACTTTTCTAAATTAACCGTCTGCTAGTAAGCGAAAGCAACAATGAACGGCGGTTTTGGGCCGCTTCCTCAGGTAACCTGGCTGTTACTGACGCAATCAAGAAACTCTCGTCGCATTTGTACCTCAGTTCGTGTTTTCAGGCGGATAAGGAGGTGCCGAAGCCCACGGCGTCCATCTTCCGCGTCCAAGGAAACGGCATCGCTTTGGTTCGTCCACTTTTCGATTTTTGAAAATGATCATTTGGCAAGTTATCGAAACCCATCTACTATCAAGTAGAGAAGAAATGTTTAAAACGATTCCAGCTTGACAATCTTACAAGCTGAATACCCTGCTATACAACTCGTTTGCCAAAAACTTTTTAGTGTAGTAAATAAATGTTTTAAAAGTATGAAACAAAAGTTTTTGACTTTCAAGAAAGGATATTTAATTTTTTGGCTCCACCTTTTTATCGCGCGCTGAGGCTTGGAGACGTCGTTTTTCTGAAAAACGTGAAATTCTAAATTACCCTCATAGTTCAAGGTACTTTCATTTCGAGATACATGGAACTTCAAATCAATCGAAAGTACTAAGAAAATACAGAGTTGTGCAAAATATTTGATGATTTTTCTAACCTTCAGACCTCGACTACATCAGCAAAAGAAGTTACGGCGCCACAGACTGCCGCAAAAGTCGAGGACAGTCCGTCGCTTATAACCTCGGGCCTCGTCGCGGGCTCAAAATCGCAGAACAACAACGACATCATGATCGAGACCCTGAGCGCTGAGGAAGCCGCCTCCCACGATGCCAGAGTCTCTTTCGACCGCACTCCGTTGCTTTCTCAACGAAGCCTTTGCAGAACTGCGTGCAAATGCTGCGAACAGACGTCGCCGAAGGGCTGACGACGGCAGAGGCGACTCGACGCCGTCAGTACCACGGCTACAACGAGTTCGAAGTCGGCGAGTCCGAGCCGCTTTGGAAGAAGTACCTGGAACAGGTTGGCAATGAATGGAAGTAGAATGACTAACTCATTCGGAGGCTTGGCAATAAAAAACCAATAAATGTTTCTCATATCTAGAACTCATATCTGAAATTAATCTAAGGAATTGCGATTTCTAGGGAAAATGTAGGCGCAGCTATGAAGGCAAGAATTGTGGACATTTCAGTTTCAAAACCCTCTGATTCTACTTCTGCTCGCTTCGGCAGTCGTTTCCATCATCATGCGACAGTTCGACGACGCCATCAGCATCACGGTGGCCGTCGTCATCGTGGTGACTGTGGGATTCATCCAAGAATACCGTTCGGAAAAGACCCTCGAACAGCTCAACAAACTGGTTCCTCCCACTTGCCATGTGTATTTCGTCTCCAAGGAAGGCAGTGTCGAAGAGTTGGAAATTCAGGCTGAGAGATGGACGCGAGTATCCGATTCTGGCTCGCGAGCTCGTCCCCGGCGACGTCGTATTGCTCAACACTGGAGATAGGGTATCCGTTCGGATCACCGTCTTATTGTTTTCCTCACTTCATTCAGATACCCTCCGACTTACGTCTTGCTGAATCTTTCTCTTTGCAAATCGATGAAAGTTCGTTGACGGGAGAAACGGAGCCAAAACATAAGGTTTCAAATTAAAAATCAACTGATTAAAATTTTTTCCTTTTTATGTTCTATAACAAAAACAAAGGAGATCATTCTAGGTTTCAAGTATGCTTCAAAAGATAAATTTTTACAATTCGCGTTGTTTTCACAATTCTATCTTTGAATTGAATTAGTCGTTATTAACCTCTAAAAGCCTGAGAAAAATCGCCGATAAGAGTAAGATAACCTTTCTCAAGGACACTGATCGAGTGGCTTCTGCGAAAACCGACGTCAATGGCGGCCATGTCGAGCATCTGACCTGCATCGCCTTCATGGGAACTCTTGTCTGCTCTGGTCGCGGCCGAGTCGAAATAAATAATCACTTTTTATTTCATCTCTTTCTTTCAGGGCGTTGTCATTTCAACAGCTGCCAACTCGCATTTCGGAGAAGTCTTCAAAATGATGCAAAGCGAAGAATCACCGAAGACGCCGCTGCAAAGGAACATGGATGAGCTCGGTAAACAACTGTCGTTCTACTCCTTTGGAGTGATCGGCGTCATTTTTGTCATCGGACTCGTTCAGGGCAGAAATGCTCTCGACATGTTTACCATTGGTGTGAGGTCCGTGATATGGTGTCCTGAGAGCAAACTTCATTCCGATTATTTCAGTTTGGCAGTGGCGGCGATTCCGGAAGGGCTACCTATCGTCGTCGCCGTGACGTTGGCCATCGGTAAATTTGAGTTGCGAAGGAGACGGAATCCTGACTTCAGGAGTGATGAGGATGGCGTCACGTCGTGCGGTTGTCAAAAAAATGCCGGCCGTAGAGACTCTCGGCTGCGTCACAGTGATCTGCTCAGACAAAACTGGAACTTTGACCAAGAACGAGATGACGGCGACTTGCGTCGTGACACCCGAAGGCCGCTCCGCTGAAGTCCGTTCAAGCTCATGTTTCCGATTCTCTTTTTCTTGAAGGTGTCCGGCATCGGCTACACTTCTGATGGCGGCGTGTGCTCGTTCAACGGAGAAATGATTCGGCAGTTTAGTCATCCCGAGTTCTCCGTCATCATTGAGGTTCGAGGGCTTTAGGACGTCTTCTAGAGCAAAAAAAAAACAAGCACAAAGATTAGATTCAGTTTAAAAAAATTATTTATTTTCCGGAGTTGTGAATGCCGAAGAAAAGTTTTTTTCCGCCAGCCAGGTAACAGAAAGCTTAATGAGGGAGGTCGTTTTATTTGGAGGTTGGAAATTCATTGTAAATTTGCTCCAATACTCTTCCAAGATAACATCTCCAGAAAATTTCAGCTTTGGAAGTATTCAAGGTACCAGTCCTAAAAGTGAACTTTCAAATTTCTTGTAGCAAAGAATTCATATAAAATCTTTTTCTCGTGAGCGGGAAATACCATAAATTCTCACTCGATTGGAAAAAGGGCGGTTTGAGGCTGGAGTTGTTTGCAACAACGCGTCGGTAGAAGGCGACAAAGTTATCGGACAGCCGACAGAGGGCGCTTTGGTGGTATTGGCGAAGAAGGCAGGACTCTCGGACTGTCGCCAACGGTACGCACGGCTCAGAGAGATGCCCTTCTCCTCGGATACCAAGTGGATGGGCGTTCAGTGCGACTCTAGTGTTGGTTTCCGAGCCTCTTTCTGAGTAACGCCCATTTTCAGACTGGCAACGTCTTCTTCATAAAAGGGGCTTTGGACCGGGTCATGGATCAGTGCGACGCTTACTTGGGACCTGATGGATTGAGAAAGGTGACATTTCCTCACTCACTAGGTTATTCCCCCTCATTCAAGGTTCTCGATGGGTTTGCGCGTCAGAGGATTCTGGAGACTGGGAAAGGCTTGGGATACAATGGACTGCGAGGTTGGTTCCGAAGAGAGGTCGCATTCGATTCGAGGCATTCAGTCCTGGGGCTGGCGCGAGGGGAGCAGATGCAGTCGTTGACGCTGCTCGGAATGGTCGGCATGCTCGACCCGCCTCGACCTGGCGTCAGCGAGGCCATCGCCGTCGTCAAGGCCAGCGGCGTCGACGTGAAGCTTATCACAGGCGACGCCATGGAAACCGCTCAGAGCATTGGTATATCTTTTTATATCGCTTTTTTTCGCAGTTGATATTCAGCAATGTCTTATTATTCCTTTCTTTCTTTTATCATTCTGAATATCGAAAATTACGTTCACTCGGTCATTGTTTTTTCACCGTAGGAACAGCTATATTGATTCTTCATTATAATCGAATGAAATCATTTTGTAATCAAAGATTCTCAAAACATGTTTTCAGGACACAGACTGGGCGTTTTGTCCTCCTCTGACACATGTCTCTCGGGCCAGCAAGTCGATCAGATGAGCGAACAAGACCTAGAACTTATCATCCGACAAGTTGGAGCGTCAAAGGGCTGAAAATACCCCGTTTTCAGGTGACAGTGTTCTACCGAGCGTCGCCTCGTCACAAGCTCAAAATCGTGAAGGCTCTGCAATCCGTCGGCGAAGTCGTGGCGATGACGGGAGATGGCGTCAACGACGCGGTAGCGCTCAAGAAGGCCGACATCGGAGTCGCGATGGGACTTGGAGGAACCGACGTTTGCAAAGGTGCGAAGGCATCTCCGACAAGTCCTTTTCAGACTCACTGGCTTTTTGAGTTTTGCCAAGCCAGGTGTAAACTGACCCTTTTTTTAAAAAGTGAATTAGATTAGAAAACATTCTGTTCCAATTATTTAATCGGAAAAATCAAAATCCCAATTCAAATGAACCTTGCTTCTTGAAAAACGATTAAAAAGGCGATTTTCTGATTTTAAAAACTCCAGAGATAAACTAACAAGGACGGTAATCTAACTATGCTTTTGGGATTCCCCGGAAAGTTGGTCTGAATACTCCTTGAGCTACCAAAAGAAGGTTCTGAAAGTTTCAACCTGCACAAATCCCTAGTTTTCGAAAAAGAACACCTCGAAGTCGAAGAAAACTCAAAATTCTTTAAAATAGGCCAACTTTTAGGATTTTAGCTCTCATTTCTCAAAAACCCGGGATTTGTTCAGGCTGAAACTTTCAGGATATTTTTTTGGTACATCAAATAGTGTTTCAGCCAATTTTCAAGAAATTCCTTCCTTGTAAGCAAAGTTTTCCTCACAAGAAAAGTTAAGAATTTGAAATTTACGAACTTTCCTACAGCGAAAGGCGTTTCGAGTCTTTGAGTCTTTCAGTTTCTTAGTTCAGAAGCGGCCGACATGATTCTATGTGACGACGACTTTTCGACCATGACGTCGGCTATTGAGGAAGGAAAAGCCATTTATCACAACATCACGAATTTCGTCCGGTTCCAGCTTTCAACGTATCTTCCTACTTCTTCTGAAAAATGAGCGAATCTCAAAAGTAGAAAAAAACAATCGATGCGTTTCTATGAGCTAAATGAAAATATTTGATTTATTTTTTTTTTGACTTCTTAAAAATTTTTTGAAGAAAGAAAAAAAATATTAGACTGAAATGAATGAACCTTGACTCGAACAAACGGCGTTAATTTCTTACTGGGACAGTTGTTCAGAAGCGTGGCGGCGCTGTCGTTGATAGCGGCCTCGACGATGTTCCACTTCGAGAATCCCCTGAACGCGATGCAGATCCTCTGGATCAACATCATCATGGACGGGCCGCCGGCGCAGTCGCTGGGCGTCGAGCCGGTCGACGACGACATCATCCGTCAGAAGCCCAGAAACACGAGACAGCCCATGATCACCGGCGAGTCCGACTCTGGCTGCTCCAAATATCCAGCTCTTTCAGGAAAACTCATTATCGACATTCTCTCATCTGCTGCCATCATCGTCGTCGGAACTCTCTTCGTGTTCTACAAAGAGGTTTTGTACTTTGGTCCAACATAAAAACGAAGGTTGTTTTGTAATCCGAAAAATACACTAAAGGTAACTTCATCGGCTGGATCCCAACCCCGACTTTTTGTTTGAGGGGGTAGGCCGCACTTTGAGGGGGTTGGCCGCACTTCGGGGGACGGTGGAAGGCCGCACTTTTTTTGTGGGAGGTCGCCCTTTTTGAGGGGTAGGCTGCAGTTTCCGCAGTTTGATGGGTAGGCCGCAGTTTGAGGGTGTAGGCCGCAGTTTGAACAGGGTAGGCCGCAGATTGAGGGGGGTAGGCCGCACTTTGAGGGGGTTGGCCGCACTTCGGGGGACGGTGGAAGGCCGCACTTTTTGGGGGGAGGTCGCCCTTTTTGGGGGGTAGGCGGCACCCCGGGGTGGGATCAAGTCGATATATGCGGTAAATTGACGAACTCGCAAACATCTAGTTTCTAGGCGCGATTCTCTCGCTTTTTTACGCCTCAAGAAAAAAAAAATGAAAACTCCAAAATGCGCTGTCGCGCCTATACAAATGCGGGGTCGTCGCACCTAGAAAAATGCGAGGTCGCGCTTATTTCCTTTAGCTGCGATTGATCTTGACCAAAGAATAACTAAGAAATTGAATTTTATAATATTGAACTTCTACTTAAGATGTCGGCAGACAACAAAATCACTCCACGCGATACAACAATGACGTTCACTTGTTTCGTGCTCTTCGACATGTGGAACGCTCTCAGTTGCAGAAGCTCTAGGAAACTCATTTACCAGATCGGCATCCTCAGGTCCTTTGTCAACGATCGCCATGTACCCTCACAATCTTGTAGAAATCGCATGTTCTGCTTCGCAGTGTCAGCCTCGCTTATATGCCAACTTCTGGTGATATACTGGTCTCCTTTGCAACACGTCTTCCAGACCGAGGCCCTGTCCTTTTTCGGTCAGTTTGTTATCTATTTACTCCCGGAAAAGCTTGATATTTCCTTCCAAACAGCTGAAAATAATTGATTCAATTTTCAGATTTGGTTTTCTTGACAACAATGACGTCATCTGTTTTCATTTTCAACGAAGCGCGCAAGTTTTTCCGGATGCGCTCGAAGCCGTTCAGCCATGATTCACTCGCTGGAAACGACATTTAACTACGTCATTTATTTATTTCAGATTCATCTATTGCATTATTAGGTTTTTGTACGGGAGTTTATTCACCATAACACTTCGTTATCGAGCTTTTTTCTAATTTTATTTTCCACGGATATTTTTTCAATGTATCATTTTTTAAAATAATTGCCAGAGATCATATAGAAAGCTTTTTCTGATTTCCCATTGAGAAGTTTTTCTTCAATAGGGATATGATTGTTTTTTTAAATGAATTTCTATCAGATCTTATATCACGTGAAGAATTTTTCTTCAAGTTCGGGTAGTCACAGATTCTCACTGTGAGATGCAGATGATATAGCGAAATCGAGGGTAACAAAAAAAAGCGGAGCACTTTGAAAAGATCTGGAAAAAGGAAGTATACAAGGTCAAAATAAAGACACGGCTAGCGCTGAATTTTGTAAGAATAGCCATGAAACAGCGGGCTACAGTAATACGAACGGCCGGCTAGAAAAGACATCAACGTGTCCTTTTTTTCTTTTGCGCGTCAAATCCGCTGTTTGCACACCAAACGTAATGATTAACGGAATTTTTTTCGATTTTTGCGAACAAGCTCCGCCTTTTTCCTTACCCTTGATTGCGCACTCGAGATGCAATGTATCGTTTACATAACTATAATTTATTGGTAGTTTTTATCATGAATAAACATGTTATCATGCGCCGCTGATAGTTCAAAAGATCTTTCATTTTTTCATGGCCTCGGGGAATCTATTGATGAAATTTTTTCGTTGACAGGTAGCAATTAAAGTTTTCGACATTACAGCGAGCACCTTTTCTTTTTAAAATTTTCAAACATGAGGACAGAGATAATCGAAAACTTTATTATACACATCTCAAATTAAGTTTTAAATAATTTACAAGAATCCGTAAAACGTTCATTAGTATATTTAGCACTGAGCTTGTAAGCGAAGTACAGTACTGGCCATAAAGGTATTTCAAAGTGGTTATTCGAGCATAATTTTTCTGAATGTGGATCAAATGACTTAAAACTGCGCACAAATTTTAAATAACTACGCAGTAACTTTTTCCCAAAAGAAGAACTCATTTGCTCAAGAAAGACCGGATTTGAGAGCAAAAAACCAAAAATCGTGAAAATGAAGATTTGTCTCTTGAGATTCGAAAAATCATATCTTTGAAGAAACTTCGATTTTGATTCAGAAAATTTTTTTCCCGGTAAAACAACTCTTCTGCTTTCCAAAAAATCTAATCAGCTCCCTACCAACCCGATAGTAAAAGCGTAGTGACTTTTTCTTTGGAAGGCCTTTGCGTTTTGACGTCTCGTCATTCAGATGGACTATACGAGGTCGTTCTTGTTTGAGAACACCATGTTTCCTGTTGAAAAACTTCGAAACACCCTCAAGAATAGTTTCACACTGTTTTCTCCAGTTTTGTCACTATATCCTCTCCCCAGAACTCGCTTACTTCACTAGGTCTGATTTTGAAACCTCTGATTTGGAGCGGTTCTGCTCGTTTTTCAAAATCAGAAAATTCTCGATTTCTCATTTCAAATTTCAAAGCTTTTTCAGAACCTTTATGAATAAAAATAAAAAAAGACTCACCGTGTTTCGCTTACTCATTCAAAAGATATAGCGAGTTATACTGAGTTTCTTGAAATTCTCAAAACTTCGTTTCAGCAAGTGTTGCTTAGAAGGCTCTAAATCTTGTGAAAGATGATAAAAACCCATTTTTCGTATTTTTAAATGTTTAAGATCATGAGATAAATTTGTAAATCTTCTTTCTAGCTCTCAGGTCAAAAATAGGCACTGTAAAAAGTTTCTTCAAACTTTATGGGAAAATAAGTTTTTGATCTTGTCAAACTAATGCTTCAGCAAAATAGTTAGCAGTCTTCAGGAAGTGGGAGACTGCAATTTGGCCATTATTTATTCTCGAATTCACGATTGAAAAGCGATTGATCAGACAAAAACGGCTTTGAATGCACGTAAGTCCAGAAAAACTGTTTGAATCCGAGCTTTCAAAATCAGACCTATTGAAGTAAGCGAGTTCTGGAGAGAGGATATAGTGACAAAGCTGAAGAAAACGGTGTGAAACTATTCTCGAGGGCGTTTCGAAGTTTTTCAACAGGAAACATGGTGTTCTCGAACAAAAATGACCTCGTATAGCCCATCTGAATGACGAGGCGTCAAAACGCAAAGGCCTTTTAAAGAAAAAGTCACTACGCTTTTACTATCGGGTTGGTAGGGAGCTGATTAGGTTTTTTGGAAAGCCGAAGACTTGTTTAGCTGGGGAAAAAAGTTTCTGATTCACAATCAGAGTTTCTTCGAAGATATGATTTTTCGAACGTTTAGAGAAAAATCTTCATTTTCAGGACTTTTAGTTTTTTGCTCTCAAATCCGGTCTTACTTAAGCAAATGAGTTCTACTCTTGGAAAACAGTTACTGCGTAGCTATTTAAAATCTGTGCGAAGTTTCAAGTCATTTGAGCCACTGTCAGAGAAGTTATGCTCGAATAACCACTTTGAAATACCTTTATGGCCAGTACTGTACATAAATATGAGCATGCCAAAAAAGTGAATTTCTATAAAGCAATTTTCGCCATTCGGTAGACTTCTTCTCCGCCACCGCCGTTCACTTTCATGGTTGAGTGGTCGACGGCGGTGTGGACCTGGAGATTCTCTTCGAGTAGATCCACCTGTCGTTGGGAAATGAACGACTGCACGTTTGTCGTCGCGTGAGTTGGGATCAACGTTGAGGAAAGCTCTTGAAAACATTTGTTTTTCTCTTTTTTGGATTTCCAGCTTGTTCTATATCAAATATTTTCAAAGGTGTTCGAATGAATAGCCGCAGAGGACAGAGAAAAAAGGAAAAAGCAGCGGCAGAAGCTCCCTGGTTAACTGGGATTGTTTCTTATCCGATTTTAAACTCAAACCGTAATTCCATAGACATATCAGACTCGAAAAATGAAAGTATAAAATTATTTTATAAAATTTTAAAAACTGCTTTTTCCACTCAAGACTTTCTTTCTCCTCTGCTTTTTCTTCCAAAAATTCCATATGCGGTCGTTCTATCATTAATGGGGATCTTTTCGTCATTTTTTCAGTCTCGTTGAAAAAGCCGAGTTGTTGATAACAAGAAAAAAGCAAAATACCTTTGTCATTCCAGAGCTTCTTTCCATCGATCCAGGAGTCCAAAATCGCTTGCGACACATCGTTAGAGTGTAGGACGAAGTTCGCCGATCTCAAAGCGGTCGCCTTACAAATTTCCGCATAGGTTTGCAACCAACCGGACATTGGCGAAGAATTCTTCGGCGTTTGATTCGTCGAGCGTCGTTTTTGAGCCATCGTTGGGCACCGTCACGAAATCGAAGAAGAACGGCCGGGAAAACCTCGCAGCTGAATTATTGATTTCGATGTTGTTATTCAAAAAACTCTTATTTCAACTTCTTGAAAAGTGTTCCCTCCTAACCTTTCTTGGGGGCAGAAGTTGTCTGGATCTTTATGAGAGGCGTTTGCGTATGGGGCTCCTCCATTGTATGGAAGCCGTTGTTCTGCGCAGGCTCGGGTGGAGGCGAAGTCAGATCTTCTGAACGACCAGTCGAGTCGAAATCTGGAATCAACCATGTTTTGATTGAGAAGATGCGCAACGGAGTTGGGCAGATGAAAAGACGCACCACCAGTCGAATTGTCGAGGAGCTCGCTCTGCGAGGCGACGCTCTCCAAGACTTCGTCGATCACAGGATCTGCCTCTTCATACTTCACTTCGCGATTTGTGCCGTTCTCCACAACGCTCGAACGAGTCTGCATGGTCAGACTCTACAAACGTCACTTTTGCAAAGAGTTGTTTGAGACCAAGACGACCTTGTTTATTTCCACCTGATCGGCTTGATGAGCACCGACAAAATCAGTGACGGCCGGCGTTTTTTCTTCCGTCTTCGAGATGTTGTTCGAGATTAGGCTATTGGCAAAGGCCGAAGTGAATGGCGTGGCCGCGTCTTCGATCAGTTTCTCGCTGATCCTCTGAGAAGCGTCCTCCGCATCTGCGACGGGATGTTCATCGTTTGACGGATGTGTTTCTTCCTGCTCGCTTCTGGATTATTGAAGAAGAGGAAGACGGGTACCTTCATGTTCATTTTATCGAAGCGCTCAATCAGCGACGTGTTGACAGATGAAGTTTCGTCAACGGATACTTCTTGTTGCTCTTTTTCTGTGTCCATGCTGAAAAATGTTTTTGAAAACTAAAAAAAGGATGACGCTCGAACTGAATTTTTTCAATGCCTCCGAGAATTTTTTTTTTCATGAACTGGGCGTAAGAAAAAAGTGAGAAGACAAAAATTATGAAAAGCCTTCGAGGGAAAACATGCATAAAGGACATACTTTTCGAGTTTATAACGAAAAAAAAACTGCGAAAAACGGTTCATCGGATGGATTGCCATAGAAAGGCAAGCTACTAAAGTTTTCTCACCTTATTATAAAAAGTTTTCAAATTTTCCGGAAAACGTAACTCTCAATGATGCAACAGCTTTTTTTTCGTCATGTACACACTTTCAGGTGCGGGATAGTTACAAACCTAATTTTTCGGAGGCGCGGAGGCTCCTCACCACAGTCACGCAACAAACCATCTTCATTTGGCTTTTCCGGCTCGAGCGGCTTCTGAAAGCATTTGAGAACATAAGTGGTATCAAGAATTGCAAATTTTCTCAAATTTATTTTCAAAAAATCATGATTCGAAAGGTGGTAACGATGGATAACCAGGAACCTCAAAACCATCGGCGACCGGCTTTTTCTCAGGATTCTCATCTGGTTTTGCTGACGGCGCATCGTCAGAGGCCGGATGAGGCGGAGAAGTTTCCTTGTCGTCGTGAGAGGCGACGTCCGGTCGAGAAACTTCCTCTGCCTTCGGATGACCTTCTTCTTTTTCGTGTTGCTGAGGAGGCGACTCTTTTCGGGGGAGAGTCGCCGCAGGAGCATCTTCTTCGTGTTTCTCTCCGCTCTTCTGTCAAAAGCAACAATATCCCCTCGAGAAAATAATTTCAATCCAGCTCGATTTATACTGTATGAGAATTTTTCATCTATATAATAATCCTTTGGTTCGACAAGAGGGGTTGGTTGACAGCTTAAAACTCTATAGCCCATTCCGCGCCAGCTTGTCACAATTTTCGTTTTCTTCTGAGCTACAGAACCCTTCTCTTCGATGCGCGGGATATTTATCTCTGCCTGCGCCTTTAATATAACGAAATTTTAGGCCAAATAAAAGACGCAGGTAAAGAAACATCTCGCGCGCTTCAAACCGAATGATTATCTAGCTCGGAGGGAAACCAAAATCGTGACAAGCTGGCGCTAAATGGCCTTCTTTTATTTATGCGTCTCGCTTTTTTTCATACTTCCTTTTCAAATCTTCTTTAAGACCGAAAATTTAAACGTCTTATGAGAGATGCAGTCATAATGGGATCAGAATTGATAACCTCCTGTCGCTCTACCTAAATTTTCTGTCGCTTCAGCTGATTGAACTACCACTTTCAGACCATAGCTGATTCACGGCCAGCTTGAGACGCTAATGGTCCTGTCTGCGTACTCCACGAGCCAGGAGCTATCTCGTGCATTATCGTGTCAGGACCCTTTTTTCGATGGCTTAAGCCAGCCGTGAATCAGCTATATATGAAGCAGAGCAACTTGACAAAAAGTAATAAACGAGAACTCCAATCGCGAAAATCACCACCGACTCAAAAAGCTCTAGCAAGCAGGCACATAACTGCGCTATTTGACGACGGAAAAAACTTACAGTTTGTCCTTCAGACGACGAATCAGACGTTTGCTGAGGCTTCGGAGATGGTTCGGCGTTTTCATCGGTTTTTGGCGGCTCCGGCGTTGGCGGGGTGACGAAAATGTCGTAGGACGGTACGTTCAGAGCCTCGTTGGCGGACCCCTTCATTTCGAAAATCTCATTTCACTACACAGGGCAAACATGCGTCGGTCAAGCTTTTTTAACTTAAAAGTTTCGTATATAGCCTCATTTCAGGTTACAAATCGTTTTCCTCACGCCTACTAACGATGCAGAACATGAAAATCACAGTTAGCTACAGTTCAATGAATTGAGGCCGATACCAACTTATCTCAATATTTCATTCTGAGAACGCACGATTAAACCTTTCACATAAGCTTTCCAATACAGAAGCCACTATATGAACTAAAATGCATACGAGCGTCAAACAAACATATATATATATATAAGCATACCGAATTACATTGGTTTGAATCTCAAAGAGAAATCGTTTCTTTAAAGTCGCAACTTACATTTTGTGGAGCTTTGGGAGCAGGTGCCGTCGGCTTGACTGACTTTTCTTTGTGTGAGTTCTCAAGCTCTCCTTTCTTCGTAGGAACGGTTGAAACTTTCGAGGTCATCTTGGTCGGTCGAGAAACCGCCGACCCTTGCACAGGATGGCTGAAAATTTCAACTTTTTCAGCTCTGGTTTTTTAAATTTTTTTTAAGAGTTTTGTCTTGAAGTCGCAAAGATGATAAACAAGAAATAGTTTTTTTGACTCGATAAGAGCTGAGTAGCCGTCGGGATATTTTGAGAGAGCATGAGCCAAAAATTCAATAATAAATGAAAATTCTAAGTAAAGTATTTCTTGAGCCGTACACGTTTTGTTTTTGCGCCGGAGCTTCCACTGTCTTCTTGGCGACGGCTGTCCGATTGGCGGGCGCCGTCCCAGCTCGAGGGCCAGCCGTAGCCACTGTCGAGGCTCTGAATCACGCGATAATGAAGGAACGAACTTTTGTTGAACCTATTAGAGGAAAGAGCTGGTTTTGATGAAACAACGGTCTTTGAAGGAGGGCGAGATGCAGCCGCAGGGCGATTAGATGGTACGGATGGCGCTCCGTTACGCGCGGGCTGAAATCTTCCTCAGCCCGGGACTAACGGGAAAATCTAACCTTGGGGCCGCCATTGGCAGCAGAGCCGTTGGTTGCCGCACTTTTGAGCGTAGGCTTGGTTGCGGTAGTCGAAGTGCGCGGCAAAACTTTCGAAGCGGCCGTTGGCCTAGCTGCTTTTGGTTGTTGAGTGACTTTTGGCGTGGGGTGTGTTGAGAAGACGTTCGCCGTCGTCACATGGGACACGTTCAAAAATGGAAGAGCTTTCGAAGCTCTTTCTAGTGCCTGGTGCACACGAGAGAACGTAGCATTTCCTGAATTTTTCGTAATCCAGAGGAAAAAAAATCGAAAGTAATCGAAAGACTGTGAAAACTTTGTTACAAAAACGGAATAACTTTTGTTTCCGAATTTTTTCGGAAGAAGGTATTAATTAAAAGGTTTTAAAGAAAACCTGTGAACAAGACACGTTTGACAGCTTGATTTTGAGCAGCCGGCCTCCAAAGAACCACGGCTACCGTACCATGCGAAGCAGAAGCCTACAAATAGAAGAACTACCGAGGTTACTGTTGAAAGAAGAATCAGAAAACTCAAAAGCAGTTCCATGGAACTGACCTTCTCCAGAGCATTTTCGTCTCCCAAGACGGCCTTTCCAAGAGCCTCGGCATCTTTCGCGTCTCCGGCCAACACGTACAAGAAGAGCTCGCCTTGACGCAGTGACTGAAATCGATACCTGATGATCAAAATTCAGGAAAACTGAGAAAAAATAATTAATCGAAAGTAAAATCGGAGCCTTTTTAGAAAAGATCACTCATTTTTATTATTCAAAAAAGTTTGATACCTTGAACAAAAGAATCGGCTCCAACTTTGGGTGCAAGACGCTCGAAACAGGTGTTGAGATTTTCGACACGGAGTTGTGGATCGACTTCAGAAGTCGAGAAGCTTCGGTTTTCGGCTCTCCTTTGACTGACGACCAGTTCATGACGACTGGCACTGGAGTCGCCTGTTGAAAATCCAGTTGATTTCATCATATGAGCGCTAACTTTTTAAACTGCCAAAATAAGGTAGTTTGAGTTTTTTTCCTCACCCTTAAGCTAACTATTTGTTTTTACCTTTCTAAAAAATCAGTGTAAATGCAAAATATAGGTAAAAAAGGGAGTAAATATGTGAGTACATCATTAGAAGAAATCAGTCAAAAAGACGTTAAAAACTGAAAAAAAGCACCAGCGTGCCAACCGAGAACTCGGCTCAAAATACTCCTTTTTTGGCTTGAGCCAGTACAAACTACAGCTTCGGTGGCGATTTCACTGACTTTTGCAGAGCAACCGAAAACGGAAAAAGAACCTGTTCAGTGAGAGTCGAAATGGAGCTTAGGTAGGACTTAGTAGGAGCCGAGACGATTGCAGCGTCGATGGGTCGCACAAAAGCCAAAAACCCCAATGAAGACGTCGAAGTTCCATTCAACAGAACATAAACTCCATCAAGATCGAGAAGTGTCGAGTCGCTGTCTTAAACGTTCATTTTATAGTTTTTTTAGTAGAATACTGTGATAAAGTTTTTGAAGTTTATGCAACTGCTGTTCGTATTTCGATCACTTTAATAGTGCTTGAAAAGATTCAAATAGACTTCATTTACGAACTAAGAAATAAGAAAATATCATATATCTAACGAATTAATGTAACCAAAAAAAATGATTGGGAATTAAAAAAACCTGGCTCCAAAATGTAAGCGCTTGGCGTTGTTGAAGGTGGCACAAACGCCATTTTGCACTCTCTCAAATCTGAAACTCGGTTTTTCAGGAAATTTAAACTTCAGAAACAAAAAATGTACGAGCAGTATGCATAGAAAAGAAGCCAGAAACAAGAAACTTTCAACTCTCCGAAATTAAGTTAGAAATAATTTTGTATTTCGCGTAAATTACTTTGAAAACGGCATAAAATTCGTGTCAACAACAAATTTTTTTTGGATCCCCGTGATAATGCCGCGCCGAAATAAGACTTATATTTGCTCTACAGATTTTTTTTTTTTGATTTCTGGCCTTTGATCTTCAGGTTGCTTTGCATTTCGAACACTGAATGAACTTCAGCCAGTCTGGTAACCAGCACGAAAGTCTTTGTCTGGCGCGATTTTCTTCTTAACTTAGAAGGTCTTTCCCAGAAGTAGATAAAATATTTTAAGATCACAACGTTCTTTTCACGACGCCCCGCCCACAATTTTCGTAAAATATGACGTCTTTGGTGCAAACACAGAACGGCGCTAACTCGCATACTCATTTGAATCGAAAAACAATTTTGTATAAAAAAATTATAAAATAGAATTTTTTAGCATTACAGGCAAGAAAAAGGGCGAAAAAAAGGGAAAAAGAAGATACCTAGAAACTTTTGACACCTTTTTAGGAACAAAGGAAAAGGACCTTTATATTCTTCTTTTTGAGGCTTATGGACTTTGCCCGCAAAGGTTTAAGTAAGAATAAAAGTAGGAATCGAACAGAAAAAAAAAAAGAAATTTAGAATTTTGTTGGTCGAAGAAAGTGATTTTGCAATGGTTCGTGATGGATAGGACAGGTGTCTCGGCGCATATAATGGCCTAATTTGACGTCAGATGCTGTCAGTTTTCGTCTTATCCACTATCGAAAGAAAAATTGAAGAAATTCCAGAAGATGCAAAGGTCGTATGCATGAACGCAGCGTAAATAACCACAACGAGTCAGAGCCCTGCCAACGTGCCTTCACCGCCTTTCAAGTCGAGAAAAATTTAGCATAAAAATCAAGTTAAAAAATAGCTATTTTTGGTATTTTCATTTTAGAATAAAAATAGGAAAACCGTTTTTCCACTTTCATGCAACGAGCCTGTTGTTTATTTTTCCTCGCGAGGCGATTCATGAAGAAATCTCAAGATGATAGTTCTCGAGATTCTTATGTTCTGCCGTAGACTTGTTCTGTGCGATTAAGTTCAGGTGAAAATTTCGAATTCCATTCGAATCACTTTTGGACCCACTGCTATATACTAGAGGTCCATTTTGATATTACGTGTTAATTGTGTTACAAATATACATACAACAAAAACTATCTTTCATAAGCTCATATTCATTTTTTGGATACTATTATTTTTAAGCTGAAAAATAAATCAAAAAAGGTAGTTCATTGGAACTATTTGAATAAAAATTTGACGGGCAAAACAGAACGAAAAATAAAAAGCAAGAAAAAAGAAATCTCTACTCCCGAGAGAGAACCGAAGTTCCGAACTATGACTCAAGCGACGTACGAAGAAGTCAAAATTCAAAGAAAATTTTTTTGTGAGGTCTCATAAGAAAAATTTCGAAAGGTTTTCAAATGTTAGTACGTGTACCGCGAATCAGCCACACGCGCAAACAAAAAAATATAATTCGTTTCAAGAAGAGTCGATAAGACAAAATATTTCTTACAAGAAAAGCTTTCAAAAGGCTAGCTCGTATTCTTACAACCTAAAAATATTTTCATCATTGTTCCGAGTAGGTCAAAAATTCGTTAGGAATGAAGTGAAACCGGAAAAAAATCTTTGCGTCGTGAAAAATCTCAGTAACGTTTTGGGACAGACTATACCAGTAATACATGCCCCAGTAAAATTGCCGGAAAACGGAAGAACAGACCAAAGTGTGCGAGGAGACGGCGAGGAGCGAATGCGAAAGGGTTGGGCCTAAAGAGACACAAAACAAGAGAGAAAGAGAGAAATCGCTCTGGGCAAGAGCACATAAGAACTACTTTTTATTTCGGACACGTTCGTTTCAGTACTGGCCCCGAGTTAGATAACGAGTTATCAGTCTTAAATTGAATAAGAGTTTTCATTTTGAATATATTTTGACAGCAAAAAATTATACCACAGATAATGTATTCTTCAGAGGCCTGCCACGATTCAATGCTTTTTTTTTACTATCAAACACCAAGCTCGCTTTTTCCCCCAACACGAAAAAAATTTTCTCTACTTTTCTTACACTGTGGCCCTTAGTGACAGCTGAAGCATAAATCGAGATAGAATAGCTCGGCAAGTTTTTTTTTATAAAATATGATTAACTTATAACTACTGAAAAAAATTGGTAGCCACTATAATTATTTAGTCAACTTCAAGAAAATTGGGCAAAAAAGGAATAAGTAATTCGAAGGCCGCGAAGATAACCATGTGTTCATGACGACAGCTGTCCATTCACCCTGGCTTCCCAGACCGCGCCGGACATTTCATTCACTAAACGTCTAGATTTTAGCCTTTACCTAAACAAATTTCTATTCACTCAACTGAGAAGGTCTGAAACCGCTCCGAAGAAACGTTTTTTTTTACTAGATATCAGCAAGAAATGAGAATGACAAAAAATAATAAAAAGTTTTGAAACCGTATTCGATAAGTAAAAAACTTTTTACTGATTTGACAAGATTTTATAAAGGCGTCGGATACGGGAAAACTATTTTTAATGAGAAAAAAGGCATTATTTTTTTAGTTACCAGAAGACGCGGAAAACCATGTTTAAATTCATTGCATACGGCCTCAGGAGGGCGAATGAGTAGTAAAAGTATGCGCAAACGACATTGCGAAAGAGCGGTGGTCGATTCATTACACACCCCTCTAGGCAAATGCGACTCCCAGTCTTCCCTGAGGTTCATGGTAAGCTGAAAAACGGTGCACAATCGGAGCACGAACATAAAGGGGAGATGCTCTGCGAGCCGCTGAATAAACATGTTGATTGCGAGAGGCGTTCGCCAAAATGTTTCCCGTTGCAAGCAGCCCCCGCTGGGTAGCCTTCAAATTTCACGGGAGCTCATTGAGAAACTAAATCCGTTGCGCATCCTCGCAATGCAGAAAATTTTTTTTTAATCGTTAGTCGATTACCCAGGCTCCTGGCGTTAAGATATTTAATAAATACTAGAAAGCACTCTTTTTCTAAAATGGATCTAATTTAAGTGGCGTTTGCCCTTTATTTGTTACAAGACCATAAAAAAACAGTTCTAACAAAAGGTAACAATAACAGACAACAAAAAAAGTTCTTAAAAATTTTTGCCTGGGTACAGGGATGCCCGAGGCATGATCGAGATTATCCGAGAAATTTCGAAACATTTTTACGCAGAAATAAAGTTTTACGCAGAAAAAAAAGGTTTACGCGAAAAATATAAATTTATGGCGTAACATATGACGTTCCGGTCGTGACGGAACATACAGAAAGCAATTAAATTCACGCGCAGTTGTAGATAAATAGCTCAATAAATTTTTTTCTCAAAATTTTGCTTCTGGTAGCTTCCAAAAAGTTATTTTTGACACAAAAAAATTTTTTTAATTTCTGAATGTGTCGAACTCATTTAGAGACAATCCCGATCTCGTCTCGAGATATTTTTTTGGAAAATTTTTCTCCATATCGTGGTCAAAAACCCCGTCTCGTGCATCCCTGACCGGGTATATACAAGCGATCGAAATGATACAGAAATAAATCGATCACCCATTCACTTATCGGAGACGGCGGTTTTCCAAAGATCAAAGGGACTCTCTGTGGCGACAGTTTTCTGACGCAGCGGAAAGACGTCGCCGTCGTTGCAGGATCGCGTTTGCTTGTAGAGGCCGCCATGCTTCCCTTTGGACAACGTCATTCGCTGGATTCCTCGGAATGCCGTGCACACGTCGCAAGTTATGTGTTGGCCCAACTTTCGGTTCTGCACAAATATCTTTACTGTTGTTATGCGACAGAATAGATCGTAAATTTGAAAATTCTTTGCAGTTATAACTCTTACATTCATTTCATCATAAGATTAAAAAAGAAAACTGACTCTGAGTATTCGTTCTGCATGATTGTTAGGTCGGTGAGGGGTCTTTTCCAAGATAACAAAGGAAAAATTGGTGATTTCGGATCCACCTTTTTCCCTGAAAAATGTATTCTCCCGTTGGCCAAGCATGGGACAAACCTATCCGACCGCCGTCCATCAGCTCGAATTGCTTGATATCGAGTTGAGAAGGAACAAACACTGAAAGAACGGTGGAAATTTTCAAAAAAAAAAGTTATCGTTTCGCTGAATTTTCGTTTTTGAGAGCTGTAGTGATTAACCTTTTTTCCGAGAGCGGACATCCCAAATCGTGAGGACAAGGAGCGAACACAGAAGCAGTAGGAAGTTGTGTTGGAAGCTTTATTTCTGGAGGCAACTGAGAGTTCAATTTAGACTGATTCAAAAAAAGTTTATAACACACCAAGTCTTTTAGGATCACAAATCGTTCATAGTCGCTCAAATCACGGTTTCTGAGAACTCGCGAAACTTCTTCAGAAAAAAGTCGTTTTTCCTGAAATCATCCTGATATAATCCTTCCGCAAAGGTTTGCCCCTCCTACAAAGTGAACGGAAAATAATATTTTAAAAGTTCTTTTTTACAACTTATAGTTTCTGGAGCCCAAGTGTTATGTTGAGGTGCAAATTCACCACTTCCAACGACACCTAAAATCGCTACCCAGTGACGTCATCATCTTTCTTTTTATTTTGTAAAAACTCGGGCTCGGTTTCTCAAAAACTGTGAATAGAGGTTGTCGATTTAGCGAAACCCCGATTTCAAAAAAAAATTTCAACAATCCCGAGCTAAATCTCAAGCCATGATTTGTTTCAAAGACTTTCATTCCCCTCCAGTAGTTCACGGCTTTCTGTGAGATACTTATTCTTCTTCTCAGCTTCAACCAAGATTTTCAATGAAAGCATATAATTCAAAAGGGGAGTCTGCCCCTAGCAACACCACATATAGGCTTGTAAATCTACCTCTAACAACGCTTGAAGTTGATCATGGTCTATTTTGATCCCCGAGGAAAGTAGAAAATCGCGAGCTTCTAAAATTCCTGCGAAGCCTCCCATTGATGCCGACTCAACAAGTAGTAAAAACCTGAAAACGGTTTTGGGTTAGGCAGAACGTAGAAAACAGTTTTTCAACCTGTCTGTTCGTTGCCAAAGAGACTCAATCAACTTTAAACGAGCCTCGGTTGACCCGATTTCACAGAGAACTCGGTGAGCGATAACCAAATCGTATGTACTCTGAAAATGAAGATTTTCCCACAATTGAGTAGCTTTTCTCTCTAGGAGCAAACCTGAGGAGAGGGCAGCAAGTTTCTGCGAAAGAAAATGTTCTCGTGGACAAAGGGATTCGGTTTCTCATCAGAAACATCAGAATTTTCCGCGTTTTTCTGCAAAACCGCAATCGAAAAAAAATATTACGGCCATCGGGTTCTAAGTAATTTAAAGAAATGTCATAAATTCGGTTGAGGTAGACGATTTAGAGAACGTAGTTATATCCAGGGAGCTCGAATGTGGGTAACTACACGACGCGTTCGAGACCTTTCTCAATTCAAAATGATACTCTCAATTTTATTCAATCTGTAAAAAGAGTGAGACATATATTGAACTATAAAATAAGAGTAATTGGCCTACACGAAAAGTGTCCATGGAGAATCGCGCCATGGCGTCGGAGATTTCCACAAGTGTTATCTGGTCGACGGATTTCTGGTCTTTGCGTTGGGGCCACTTCGAGAGAATAGCCCACAAAGCGGCGCCGCTCCCACTGCCATAGTCCAGGACGGTCCGTGGAGTAAAGTCTGGGATGCGTGAGAATTCTGAGAGACACCGCGAAATTTCCGCATAATTCGGAGCCAGCCTAAAAAATTTGTATCTCCATACTGATAACTACGCTTCATTTGGAAAAAAAAACAATGAAAATTTCAATAATCTTTTAAAAAGCTGGCTGGTAAAACTCATTTCTAACGTCCGCGAGGTCGTAGGTTCGAGTCCCCCCGAGGTCGACCAAGCCTTTCATCGCTCCGGGGTAGATAAAATTGGGAGCTGCATGCAGCGAGAAGGTTCAATCTCTGCCATCGGCCTTTGGAAAGCCGGCACCGTACTTCTTCCTACGACCTCTTTTGTACCTGATGTTCTACGCGCGGATTTCACAACTTCTCTGCCTAAGCCACAGCTCCTGCCGCCGTTTAAACACAGTCGAAATCAATGAAATTCGATTGCACATGTATTCTTACATTGAAGATGCAATAAACAGTTTTAAACAGTTTTAAAAAGACCTAGCTAGCGAATACGACGCAGCTGCTTCCTTGGATTTCAGTTCAAGCGGCCTCCAATTGAACGATGATTTTTTGAGTATTTTATCGACCTCGTTTCTGATGTGATATTCTTCCCTTTCTTTCTGAAATTTTGACAATAATAAAAACTTTCGTAAAATTCTACCGATTTTTCACTAAGGGAGTCATCGTTCAGAATGTTCCAATCCTCCTCTTTTTCTTTCCCTTTCCGCAGCTTCTTTTTTACTTGGTCACGAACTTCCTTCAATTTTTCAGGTGAGGCAGGGAATCTGATAAATTCCACTTTCAACAGACAAAGAAAAAAAAAATCAACCTTCTCTGTTCAAGCTTGTTGTCTAACTGGTCAGCTTCATTTTGTAGTTGTCTAGGAGGACGATCACACGATAGCAAAGCGCTTCTCAACCCGGTTATCGCTTCTTGAGGTAAATTGTATTGCTTTCTGAAAAATTCCTTAAAGAAACCGAGAAAAAAAACCTTACCCGAATTTACTTATTTTAGCTTCTTTTTTTGATTCAAGTTGCACTGTTGATCGTTGACTTGTTACAGTATTGATAGAAGTAACAGGAGATTTAAAAAGCGCCTCAAAACAACTTATTACCAACTGAAACAATAAAAGAAAAAACTTCATAATCGTCATTGTCCTTTTCTCTAACGCGGTTCTCCGAATAGCAAGAAGTTTGAATGCATTCTTGATAAATCCTCGAGACAGGTAGAAGCCTTCTAACAATCATGTGTGAAAAATAACACGGAAACTCCGAAGATAAAATGATAACTCATTAAAATCCGATCGGAAAGTTCTAAAATTTTTGGAGTAAATCCACAAGCGTCAATGGAGCAGGTTTGCTCAACTTCAAATTCCTACTGTTCGTACCTCGGTACCGCGCGGTAACGAAAACCGGACGCACTCCGGACATTTCTGGGCAATTCCACTAATCACTACAGAGTGCTGACGCTACTAAAGTGGTCACTCGCGTCCGGTTTGCTCTACCCATGTCCAATTGGATGGCGTGTTCAACGGAGAAAACGAAAACGTATCATGCAACGAAGTGTTCATCGGACTAAAGAAAGTTTATTCGAGACAGTAACAAACTTGCTTCAAAAATTTACCACTGTTTCGGAGAAAATCTGAAACGCCGATGAACAATCTTGTGTGTCAAGCATGTTCCGTTTCTCAGATGAACACGCTATGAAAGAATTTCTTATTATTTATTATAAATTTCGATTTACGCCTGGCTTAATTAAGCTTAAAGCAGCAAAAACATGTTGTAATTTTGAGTCTAATATACCTATCGCATTTTTTCAAAACATGGTGTGAAGATTCATCGGTTGGGCCGAATAGACAGTTTTCAGAGTGATTTCGGCGGAACAGAAACGATCTCTGACTCTTTCAATGATCCTTATCTCTTTCTCACTCTCTGACTGTTTCGCTGAAATTACTTTACGCAATATCGTAAAATAAAGAATAATATATTTATTGATGTCCTATGTTGGGATATTAAGGTGTTCATAGTAGGAAAATAACTTCATTGGCCAGTGAATCTCATCTAATCTAATCTCATGAGGTTCTTCACACGTACAGAAGAAAAAGTTTGGAGATCTCTATAATAATTCTTCCTAACTTAGCGGTGTATATGTTTTTTTCAAACTTTTTTTAGAATGTTTTGAAATAAACCTAATTGAATAATTCACTTAAATTTGAAAAAAACTTTGGGTGCGTGCGATTAGGGGAAGCGTTTCAGCAAACATTTGTTATCTAGCAAGTGAATTATACTTCGAAAGGACTCGTCCGCAGACTCTTGTACTAGTTTTCTATCGACAATTCCTCTTTTTTATGTATCTTTCCCATATATTTTTTCAAATAAGACTGTTTGAAAATTGCAAGTTTTTAGTCAGGATGGCAAGTTTGGAAGGGCTGACAAAACTTCGATCATTGTTTTCCGCTCCACGGGTTCTGTCTTTCACATCAAATACGCCAATAGCCGCTTATTTGCTACCAAGTACGGACGCTCATCAGGTTCGATCGTTCATACAGAAGTTGGCACGACTCTTTTAGAGCGAGTACCTGTCGGACTACGACTTCCGCGTACGCTTTCTGTCTGGATTCTCAGGCTCCAACGCCTATGTCGTTGTGACCACGACTAAAGCTCTTTTATGGACAGATGGTCGATATTTTGCACAAGTGAATCATTTGTTCGAATCTTCTACTTGGGATGCTGTAAAAGAAAAATCAAGCTTCATTTGTCAGGCAAATCGACAATTGGATGCAAACTGGAAGCTCATGAAACAGGCTGTGCCGGAAGCTATCAGCGTTGTAGACTGGCTTATAAAGGAACTACCTGCGAACTCTTACATTGGATTCGACCCTTCTCTGCACACGTTCGGTTCGAAAGTTTAGTTTCAAACTTATCGCGGTTGAATATTCCAGAGGGTGGAAAATCGTTGAGGGAGAAGTTAAAAGCGGCTGGATTGACGCTCGTTCCTATCTCTGGAAATTTAGTAGATGAGTTCTGGGCAGACAGGCCGTCGTTGGGAAACAAGCAGATTGTCGTTTTGAACGAGTCTGAGCACGGAAAGGAGGTCAAGGTCAAGGTTCGGGACCTGAGGCAGTCTTTGGAGAAGAAAAACTGCACGGCCGCTGTTTTCACAGCTCTTGATGACATAGTTTGTAAGTCTGAAGGTGTGTTTCCAGATGAGAAACCCATTGCAGGGCTTCTCAACATTCGTGGTTTCGATATCAAGTACAACCCGCTTGTTTATTCCTATCTGCTAGTGACAAAGAGCGATGTTCATCTATTCATCGACGAAAATCGAATTAGCGGTGACGTAAGTTTTCCTGTTGGGACTTGTAACAGCAAAGCTTCGTGTTAAAGCTTTCCATAACTGCAATTAGGATTTTCCTGTGGCAAAAATACTTTTTTCAACCTTTTTTTCTCAGGCTAGAGGACATTTCGCAGAATCGAATGTTCATATCCACAAGTACGAAGATGCAACCAGATTTTTGACTAACTGGCATAAGAACCTCGAATCCAGCGATGGCCATCGGGTCAGTTGTATGAAAGGTCAACAAAAATGATATATATGTAGGTATTCGTGCCGATCTCGGCAAACTACGCCATCGGCAACATTTTTGGGCCCAATCATACCATGGTGGATGTTTCGCCGATTCAGGTTTTTCACACTTCTTTTGTACTCACTACGATTTTTTTATTCTTTTTAAGATTTCGAAAGCTGTGAAAAACTATGTAGAGATGGAGGGGATGCGAAGAAGTCATGTAAGTGAACCCTTAACGCAAATTTATTGAATTTTTCACAAGAAGGTTTGAAAAAAGTTTCCGTAGGCAAAAAAAAAATCACTTTTTTGTTGTAATGGATTAATTGTTTATATTCTGAGGAAATCAGACTCTTTTTTACTCTTTACTTGGTCTAATCTTTCACGTGATCTTTTTACTAGATCATGCCTTTTTACATAATCAACAGTTAATCTAACAAACCACCTTTTTACCGTATCCTTTCGATCATAAGCTATGACAGGTCCGAGATAGCGCTGCGCTTGTCGAGTTCCTGTGTTGGCTGGAGAAAGAACTACTGGCCGGAAAACAGTACTCGGAGATCGAACTGGCCGCCAAAATAGATGGACTGCGCGCCAACCAGGAGAAATTCGTTGACTTGAGGTTTTCCTAGTCTCGATGACTCATGTGCAGAATTCGGCAGTTTCTCGACGATTTCGGCTGTCGGCAGCCACGCCTCGTTCCCGCACTACCATCCAGAGGGCGAGAATGGTAAACGTCTGGCTTCTGCTTCTGATGTCTATTTAGTCGACTCCGGCGCTCAATATAGGCAAGTTTCTCATTAGGTTGGCCGGTGATTTAGGCGCAGGACCTACGCCCTATTTCGGGTTAAGCTTGGTTAGGATTTAGCTCTAGGTCTTTCGATTCATATTTCATTCCAAAAATAGGATTTGAATAGGACAATGATTCTTGGACGTTCTTGATTGATAAATGATATTTGCGATCGAAACTTTTTTGGAGCTTTCTATTTTGAAAATGGTAGTAAAATAAATTCAAAAATAGCGCTCCTTTTTGACCTCTTATCACTCCTGAGCAAGTCATCTTTAATATCCCAGTTTGTAGTAACAATATTTTTAAATCTATGCTATCGATACTTTAAAATAACCGAAAAGGACTCAGTTTTTCACATATTTTGATAACTAACAAAAATACGTGGTGAAGAAGTTTTTTTAGTTCTTTGGTTTGAGCAGAGGAAAATTGAAGAGTTTGCCTTTTTTTCTTTAAAAAAATTCTGCTGGAAATTCTCTTTATTTATCCTGTTTTTTCCCAGAGTATAATCTATTCAAAGATTTTTACGCTGTGGATGCTAATAACAAAAAGGATGCCTATCTTTGAAAAAGGTACATTTTATGGATGACATCCCAACAAAAAGTGGAAATCTCGCCAGTTCAGAGATGGGACCACTGACGTCACACGGACTGTTTGGTTGAAAGAGCCGCCAGCGGAGTTCATCAAAAACAACACTCTAGTTCTCAAAGGACACATTCATCTCGCAACGACAATTTTTCCCGACGGTATAATCGGTGTTCGGCTGGACACTCTGTCGCGACACGCCCTTTGGCAGCAGGGCCTCGACTTCCAACACGGCACCGGCCACGGCGTCGGCCACTTCCTCAACGTCCACGAGGGACCCAGTGAGAAACATTCTTCATTTGGTCCAGCCCAGGAGGGTACTTTCAGGGACTCTTAAAAGCCCGACAGTAGTCGGAATTCATATACCATATCATCGAAATTTTTATTGCTCACACACTTGTTATAAATTCTAAGGAAAATGTGGGAAAATACGATTAGTTGTGGTGATGGAGTTGAGAGTATTTGAGTAGTTTAGAGAGTAGTAAAACAGAAAGTTTGCGCAGGTGCTAGGAAATTTCGGCTAGACCTCCTGAAAAATTTCGAAAAACTCTAAAAAAAATTCAATCTTAAAACTTCCTTCCGCAGCAAAGATTTCGAACTCATTTCCGAAGTAACACTGCGAATTATGAAGAAGAAGATTCATTCGAGAAAAGTAAACATCCTCGGTGGTTTTTTTTTTTCGCTGACTTGAACCATCGAAAAAAAGGTTCCTGACACGATAATGCACGAGACAGTGCCTGGCTCGTGGAGAGCGCAGACAGGCCACGCCCCCTCAGCTTTCCAAGCTAGCTGTGAATCAGCTATAATAGGTCATTCATTCGGTTAATTCAGAAATGAATTTTCTAGACGAAGTTTGCATAAAAAGGGAAAATTGAAATTCAGTTGGCATCGGCTTCCGCTCGGTGGCCTCCGGCGGGGAGATTCATCCCAGTCAGGTGCTCACCATTGAGCCAGGTTATTATCTTGAAGAAAAGTACGGAATCCGTATAGAAAACTGTTACGAGGTACGATGATATTTTTTCAACCATCTTTTTTCAATCCTCGATTTTTTAAAGACAGTCAAGGCGGAGAATGTCCCATCAAAAGCCACAAACTTTGTCACGTTCAAGGTGAAACAAGACTTTGACGTTTTCTGACAATCAGCTTTCAGGCGCTCACACTGGTACCCATTCAAACCGATATTATCGACAAGTCTCTCCTCACTGCGGCGGAGGTTTGAAGCTTCGAGTTTCCAGAGAAACTCTCGATTACAGATCGACTGGCTGAACGCTTACCACGACAGAGTTCTCGCGGAAGTAGGCCAATTTTTACGCAGTAATGAGAAGGAAAACGTTCTCCAATGGCTTCAAAACGCATGCAAACACATTTAGATGTTTTTGCGCAAACTCCGTCAAAATTTAATTTACATATATTCTTGGTGTTCAATTCAAGTGCGAATAATTTATTCATTGTGAAACTAAAAAAAAAACTCGTTTGTAAAATTGTAACCTATCATGAGTGAAGAAATTATGAAAGAGATGAAATCCGAGACAAATGTTTTTGTTTCACTTATGCGAAATTCTCGGAATAAAATTTCCTTTTTTTATTTTTTTCAAAGTGTCCTTTTTGCACAAAAAAATGGAATCTGAATATATATTTACATTGTTAATCAAAATTATCGAGAGTTAGTTGTTATTAACATTAAAACCATAGAATGGAGAGTTGGAAAAACACGTAATGAAATTATGTAATTACAGCTTTGAAAGTATACCATGAGTCTAAAAAGCTAATGCTAGATAAGGCAAGTCAGTTGTAGCACACGTCGAATCAATAAAAAAAGAGATTAAAACATGTTAAATTATGTGTTTTGCGAGAAAGTGATGAAGTTAACAAATTTTAACAATCCGTTAAACGACCGAGATGAAATCGATTTCAAAGAAAATGACTAGAAAAAATCGCAATTTGAAAAGGTATCTGAAAATGAACAGCGAAATGTTGTGGCCGTGATAACTTAACCGATTCCTACGTTGTTTTTTTCCAGGGCATACGCGGCTCATAATTTCAATGGCTTGCTCTTTAACCGGGACAGCCCTTTTTAAGATATCTATGAAAAAAAAATTCAAACAGTAGTGACAAGCATCTGTTTGGTGTTGGGCTGCACGGTGGTAGTAGGTTTACTCTCAGATCCATCTGCTTCGGAAACCTGAAAACGTTTTTTTACTTTGGGAGCTGATAGGGTCCTCAATGGTGTCTATGAAAATTCAGCTTTTACCTAAGAAAGTTACATTATTCTGAAAGTAGTTTACAGAGGAAAAAACTGTTTAAAATCGAATCAAAGGATGGAACGCTCAGTTTCTACGAATCAACTTTTTTTTCTGTAAAACTGTGCTCCATGATTATAAGAAACAAAACACTACGAAACAAATAACGGAAAGGTAGTCTCTAATCTGAATTTACATGAACCAGTGAGAATGAACAGAACTCACAATGAGAGGCTTCTGATAGTTGTATGGGGAAACCATGGCCGACTTCGCAGTAGTTACGGTAGATTCGGTGCTGCGTTTAGGTTCCAATTCGTTGCTCTCTGCGTCTGTGGCCTTCGAAGTCGGCAGCGCCATGTTGGTTGCTTCGAAATTTCGCGTCTTCGGTTGAGCAGCTGTGGGGAAAATGACGGTTGACGGATTTTTTGCAGTACGAGGTGAGATTTTCTGGAACAAAAAAAAATAAACTTCGAAAGGCAACACACAAACTTTGTCTGGAAGAATTTTGCGAGAAGGCGACGACGATGGCAAAGGTAGACGAGAAGAAAAAGCCTTCGGCCCCAAAGGCGTTTTCTTTGGCGGGAAAAAAGTGACGTCCGATGTTATGGAAGAAGATGAATTTTTCGGGGTAGAAGTGGCCAGAGCGCGATGAGCAGCACGGGAGCGTAGTCGCGAGTCCTGGCACTTGGTAGACATTGACCCGTGAGTTGGCGGTTGCCTGAAGGTGATATTTAGAAAAGAGAAAAACTAAAGATCACTATTCAGGCACTCAAGGTTTTCTCCCGTGGGAGAAATTCGGTAGAATCGTGGTAAAAATGAGCGTTCGGGAGCTCGCACCTGTGAACTTCGGCATTTCTAGGGTTGCTCTGGTCATCCAGGCTTTCCCACTGATCGATTTCGGTAAATACCGCAAAATGAGCGTTTAGAGATGTGTGAAATTGGAAAGTTACCGCGCCACGAGCGGTGAAACTTTTTCCACGAGCGGTGAAACATGAGCGGTGAAACTTTTTGGCAGGAATTTCCAATGAATCGCTAATTTTTCAAAACAATCTTGTTATATTTGAACATCAAAAAAGGCCTTAATGGAAAAACGAGGTTTCAAAAAAAGATGAGCTACAGGAAATCTCGTTGGCTCTAGAAATGGACCTAAGAATGGAACAGTCGATGGTCATGTCTGTCGAAACGATGGCCTCTTGGGTCCTCTCCTCGTCGTCTTCCACGTCGTCATCGTAACAGTCGAGTGGGATGCTCATGTCCAGCTCCATAGCAGGACGACCCAGGCCTCCGCCGGAAAGAGCGTTCTCGTTCGTGCAGAAGACTCCCGAGCCAAAACTGTCCTCGCTATCGGGCTGGCTGTAATAATGTCACTATTCAGTAGACTTATGAAAAAGAGTAGTGATAAACCTAGCAGAACCTAATGCCGTGCAAAATTATCTCTGGCTCTTCGAAATTCAGTTATCTTTATCTTTCTCTGACGGCTATTTTGAATTTCACGGGATCACTTTAATCACGGCAATAACAATTTTTGAAGTCATCAAACTGTGGAACTTGCAATATTTAGTAAGCCTGAAGGCGTTGATCCTTCAATTTTCTCACGCTTTCAAGGTTTTAGCGGAAATTTAGCAACCAGTTCTTATGAATTTTGTTCTTATTTCAATAAGTTTCAATTGAATTATCTAATTATTTCTGTCTTTTTTTGGCTTGGAAGATAAATGGAAGTTTAATGAGTGGTCTTTAAAATTTAAGTTTTTGCAATGAATCCGGAAAAGCGATGTTCTGTTTTTTTGCCTAACTGTATAGCTGGAAATGCAGCGAAAGCTCTTTTTTACCGCATTTCCTTGATGCAAACGAACCTCTCAACCGATTCATGAAGCATAACGTGGGAAAGAGCTTCAACATCTTGGTGTTCTTCAGAGAGTGAACGAGTTGAAGTCATCTGTGAGCTGCAAACATTCCGAGTTATTCTCAGGCGAATGAGGTCTTCGAAAAATCTTCTATATAGCTACAAAAAAGATCGTTTTCCATCTTTTCAACCCCTGATTCCAGCTTTTCTGCGATTTTGGGAACATTTTTGAAGCCCTTGCCTTTTTTTTGAGATTGAAAGAGAACCTAAACAAGGTCTCACCCGATTTTTCTATAATTTTCAGTTAAACGACCCAAAACTATTCAATCCATTCGAACAGTATACTCAGAAAACTTTCAAAATTTTAGAAATGATGAAGGACCTCCTAGGTGCGAGAGAAGTTGCTGGAAGGGTTGTGAGTGGCCGGCGATCGCTGAGCTCTTGGCGATCGGCCAGCCCGTTTTTTGAAGGAGATGGGCGTGGTAGAGAGGGAGTAACTCCGTAGAAACCAGAGGCTTGTGGCATTTCTGACATTATGCATTCCATGAGGAGCCGGTCCGATTCTGCAAGCAGTGGATTCATATAAGCAGTTAGACAAAAAAAAAAACGGAGACTCGTATATATAATCATGGTTTTTTTCGACGACGCCACGCCCACTTTTTCTCCGTAAAGTGTCGTGTTTCGTGTGCGTTGCTTTCGCGCATAAACATGCGAATTCAATTCGTCTCAAAGACCCTGGCAACACGATGGCCTGCGCCTTTAATATGACATCTTATTTACGCTCTTAGAGCCGACTTCTCTGCCGTTCCCATGACGTCACTTGGGAGCGTTTCCGCATTTTCTTTTACTAAGAAAAACGCCGTGGAATATTTTCATCGAAAATTATTTGAAACCTGTAGTATTGCGGTGAGGTGGAACTGACGACGCCGGAGTGTGATAGCGACTACGGGGAGACTCAGCGACACTGGACAAAAAGCCGCCAACAGCGCGCGGTTGTTTGAACCGGCCTGGACTCAACGTGCTGGAAACCGACTGTTTTGACATCTCCACGTGAGGGACCAACTTTTGCGGCATCTCTTCTTGAATGGATTTCGTCAGTAAATCGCTGTTGGTCTCGAGAATTGCATAGTCGTCCTCCAAAGGCGGTAAAACATCGTCTTAAAAATCACGTCTTCCTCCCATTAGATTTGAAAACCCTACCGGGACTATCCAAGTCTGTGTTGTTGGACGCGGTGACGCTCGTCTTTCTGACAGTTTCGATAGGCAAGTTCATCTCTTCGGAAGTTTGTAGTGAATCTCGCAACATTTCATTGTTCGTGTTGTACTTCGGAGTGATGAGATCTTCGAGTGGGGCGGTCGTCGAATCGCTAGCTTCAAAAAACCATTCTACAGACAATCGTAGAGCCATATTGAACAAATAACGAGAAAATTTCGAAACAATAATTCGGATTCTCCGATATATTCTTCCTTATTTCCCCCTTTACTCAGGCAATTTTATTGATGGAGCAAACTTTATTGATCCGAAAAAAATATTTAATAATTTTTCCAAAGCCTCCAAAATTTTTCTATAAAGTAATTTAGTCTGTGGCGCTTAGGACGCCACTAAAAAAGCTGGAAAAACGAACCGACGCTTGGCAAGGCAGGGTCGGCGTTTCCGGTGCTGATCGTCGTTCGCGTCGAGTCGCCGCCGCGAGTCACGGTCGTCGCGGATCCGCCACTGTTACGCGTGACGTCACTCGCGTCGCCGTGCTGCGTCTTCACTTGCAACGAGCCGAAAACGGTTTGATTTGGCAGGACGCCAGTCGATTCGAGTCCTGCAACGAAAAAAGTTCCTTGGTGAAAATTAGGAAGAGTTGCGAACCGCCTCGGCTCGGCTGACCGTAGAAGGCGGTGCACATGGTGGGCGACGCTGGCAGCTCCGAAAAGGAGACCGGCGACATCCGCGAGCTGTTCGCCGCTGTGTTCATCGTGCTGTTAAAACCACTGCCTTGCAACAAACTCTGAAAATTACAAGAATCGCAAACGAAAATGAGAAATGTCATTGAACTTCACAAAAAAAGAATGCTGAACTTTTATATCTTTCGCCAAGATTATTATTGAAAGACAAATCTCACAAGAAAGGTGATTTTACTGTGCGGTTCTTTGATAATCGGCCAGAACGCTCTCTAAGAAAATTCTGAAAGTTTCAACCAGCACAACTTTTTGAAAAAAGACACCTTCAAGTCGAAGAAAACGTTCAAAATTTTATTGAAATAGGACGTTTTGGGGCTTGAGGTTCATTTTTCTCGAAAAGTAGAAAGTTTAGCAGGTTGAGATTTTTAGCATCTGCATCTGGTACAACAAGGAGCGTTCTGACTTTAAGAAAATCCCAACAGCGAAAAATAATAAAATAACCTTCCTTGTTAGAAAGAATAACAGTATAAAATGTTCTTTTGTGATGCTACATTCCTTGTTTTTCACCAAGTTGATGGATATAAAAATATTTAGTTAAACAAAAATTATCGATCTCTCTTTCCCGTGAGAATACCGCTGCTTCACAGTCGCCACTTATAAAGAAAATAATATTATCGTTACAGTACCCCTGGATCTTGGCTTCCCAACGAATGAGCGCTGTTGTTTCTGGTCACACCCGCTGTTTCAGATATTTCCAAGTCTTGTTCATAAGAAACAACATCGTCTTCTTGTTCATTCTGCAAAATTTTAACTTTCATATAAAAAAATAAGGGCGTAAATTTTTCATCGAGCGAGTAAAAAACCTACGTCGGAGACGGTAAGCCGTTTCGTCTCATTAGAGCCCTGAAAAGAAGAAAACTGACCGAAATTCCTGTTGGACCACTTTACTTATACTAGCTTATTTTGAAGTTTTTCTACACTATTTTGTCGATTTTCTGTAGGAATCATTCCTACAAAAGCCCTTTCTGGAAGGTCCCCAACTGTTCTCAAAAATTCAATTGCATTTGAAAAGTATTTCTAAGATTCTGGATGATTCTATTTTTCTTCAAGTTATACAATCTCTGAATTGAACGAACCTCTTGCCGAGAATTTTCCGGTAGAGTTTGCTGAAATAGTTGTTGATGACTGATTCTTTCTGAGTTTCCATTGGTTAGAGGTGCAAAATTTGGGCTGAAAACGTGGGCTCAAAGTCAAAGTTAGAATCAAAAAAAAAACTTTGGATATTTATCATAACTTTGCGCCATGTTCCGCGGAAGTGTAGAAGATCTTTGAGGTGTACCTGTCATTGGAGAAAATTGCCCGAGGCCAAATCTGGAATTTCTCGATTAACATTCAAAATGAGAAGAAGGGGAGGGACCTGCCAGGAGAGGCGCGAGCTGCTCGGAGAGGCAAAAGCCGCGGCGCGCCGTTCCCCAACGATGACATCATCATTGGTTCCCCGAGAGAAGACGCCATTTCTAGAGAAACTCACAATGGGATGGTATCCTGGAAGGCTTCTTACCTCCGAATCTAGTGTGCCCCGAGGGCTGATTTACGGCGTTCAAGACATGTTTCACGGCGTTTCTGATGTCGTCTCTAGAAGAATTCCGCAGCGCATTCAGCTGATTTATCGTGGTCGCATCGTGACGAACAACGTTCTTGAAAAATAAAAACGGTTGCTCATAAATTTCAAAGGAAAACTGAGAAGTTTATGGCTGAACTAACAACATTCGAGAATTCCCTGAAAATTGGCCGAAAGACTCCTTGATGTAACAGCCAGAGCTGCTAACCAGACCGGGGCGACCCGGGTCGGGGCGCCCCGCCCCGCGAAGCGGTCACACTGTTAGAAGATTTCTCCACACTTACTCAATTAGATAAATGAATTTTCATTTTTCAAGAAAAAAAAACAGTCTATGACAACTCGTTTCTCAAAAACTACGAAGTTGTAAACTTTCAAAACTATCCTCGAAACGTCCAGTAACATCATTTTCCACAATATGGGGTATTCTGGCCAATATTTAGGAAGTTCCCAACATACACGGGCAAGTAGAGGATTCAATTTGTTTAGGAGGAAAAGGCTGACTTACAAAATTGGACCAAAAAACCGGATAAAAATGATAAGATCAGGGAGATACCTTTGGCAACAAAAGACACAGATTTGAACCTTAGGGAGGTAGTAACGACTCAAAATTCAAGATACCTCCAATAATTATTTGGCCATGTATGGTTCCCAACCGTAACTTAAAAAGGCTCTGCTTTGTGCGCATTCGATAGACAAGAAAAAAGACAAACTTGTAGATGCGGATCTTTGGAAATAAGATTGGATATGGCGCCCAAAGTGTTCGTGACAATGGTGAAAGAGGCACTTCCCAGTAGTTGAACCAGTCTCAGAACCATCTCGTTTCTGATCTGCAAAGAGAACGCTGAGTCAAGATTTTTGCCTTGAGGTTTCGTGAAAGTCGAACGGTTATGACTACGGCGAAGGCTATAGGGCCAATATACGTTTTTAGAGTTCAAATATAGTCTGTTCAAATTTTGAATTCCAAGCAGCAAACTCCACTTCCTTGAGCGATAACTTGGATCAGAACAGACTATATCTTTTTTCTTTGAATTCTTTTTTGATTTCTTAAAAAAACCTTTGTCCCTTACACAATTTAACCTAAACGTAACTTTTCGAATTTTCGAAAAGAAAGGATGAATTCGAAAAGAATCTCACGTCCAAATGAGTAGATGTGTGAAGCAAGTATTGCGAGACGTACTTCAGAATCCCAGTTGCACTTTCGACGATCGCCTGTAATTATTAGCGTTATGCTAGCCTGATTACGAGAAAAAATAATTTTTTTCAGGGTTTCCGAACTTTATTTCGGGGAGTATCGTTGAGGCCATAAAAAGCACCTTTATGTCTCAAAACGTCCGTGAGTTCGGATAATGCAATTACCGACTTTTCTCAATTTTTTTTTCTCTTTTTAAAAAAATGGGGATTCGAAAAATTAATCTCTTTCTGGCTACTGTTCAAAGATCCGAGTTCAGCAATCATAGAAGTCACTAATTCAACTAAATCTTCCAAATGTTCTTGAAAAGAGCATTGAAAAAACTTTCCATTGTGTTTTCAGCCGAAAAATAGAATTTCAAAAGTGTTATTGTAATGAAAATACCGTCATTCTAGAGTCGGGAGTGAGAAGGCGACAAAGGACGGCGAGGCAGTTCGGAGTGTCGCAAATGGCTCTTTTGTTTTCCTGCGAGTGAGCGGCCAAGTTCCAAAGAGCGGACAGGGTTGCCTTCTCACAGCCTCAAAAGCAAAAATAGGGAAAATTTTAGGAAAAATCAGCCAGAACCCACAGCTCTTCATTGAAAAACTTTTTTGCGAATTTCTTCTTTAGAGATTAAACGCCAACTGGTACTTAGATTAACTCGATCAAGAGATGTCAGTAGGAAAACTAAGAAACAGGGAGTTATTTCAGAAAAAAGTTGTACTCGGGCAAAGTCGGAATGATGGATAATGACCGATAAAAGGGAGAGGTTCGAAAAAGGTCGCAGACAGGCAGCAAAGTGAGTCCCTTTATCGAGCCTTCAATTTTTCTGGGGTTTTAAAGGCTCAAAAAATGGTGGGAAAAGGGAGAGGCAGCGAAAATGGTGCATGAGGGCCGAGAAAATGACACAAAAAAGGAACATTTCTATGAACCCTTTTCCACTTTGTCTATGTGTGATTGAAAATTACAAAATAAATTGTTTTAATTGAATAAATTTGTAACTATTTTGTCTTTTTCAAGGAGATTTAATTGAACTTGAACACAGCCAAGAGATAAATGAACCAACCGTCGTCGTTGACAGCGTGGGCGTTGACGGCAGCGACGGCCAAGGCGCGGACCGTCGGCCGGAGTGCTGAGGTCATCTCGTCGTCGGCCATCCAACTCAAGTTTCGCACCAGGCCAGCGTACACCTTCAACCCAAAGCCTACAGGATCAAGTCCCTTCAACTGACCTGAGCCAAATTGGGGGCTTCCAGGATGATTCTTATGATGGTGCGCATGAATTCAGTGTATAAGCAAAGCTTTCGTTTCGAGTGAATCTGCAAACCTTTTTTTGAAGTTTCTTTTGCAAACAGCATTGAGAGGAGTGATTCTAGAAAAACTTCGGCTAAAGTTTCATTTTTTTTTTTACTCTTGCTATCCTCCTAGGATCTGACGTTCTACGAGCGAATGTCTGAATCCAGTTTCTTACCGCTGTTTGAACTAATTTTTATTCGAAAAATCGACTGATAATGATTTATTAGATTGAACATGCCTCAGGCCCTTTTCATTTTTTTCGAAATAAATCAAAACTTGAAAACACGGGGAGAAAACTGGGGCAAAGTCGGAATGGCGGATAATGGCCGCTAGATGGGAGAGGTTCGAAAAAGGGTGCAGAAAGGCAGCAAAAAGAGTCCCTTCCATTTTTTCTGGGATTTTAAGGGCTCAAGAAATATTAGAAAAAGGGAGAGGCAGCTAAAATGGTGCAAAAAAGGTAGCAAAAAAGGAACCTTTCTCACCCGTAAAGGAAAATTTCTATGGAGCCTTTTCCCACCCATTCCGACTTTGCCTATGAATGGAAATTTTACTGTAGGGAACAAACCTGCCCAAAAGTCAAATTCGTGAGAGCATTTGCAATGTATTTTCTAATACACCGATGCTCGTTCTGGTTAACAGTCGGAACGCCAAAAACGTGCAGTTCGAGAATAAGAGCTTCTGCGAGTGCCTCGACGAGCCCTGGAACACCCGAGATTCATTGGAATGAAATTTGAAAAAAAAAAACCGAGGACGGTTGCGACTTTGCGATATTCCTCGTCAAATGATTCCTTGACTATGGTGTCTAGAGCGTTTGCCAGCCGATGGACATATGTGGGCGAGGGACTGGGAGGAATTCGCCGCAAATAGTAAATCTCAAAAATTTTCGAATAAAATCAGAGGCTTTTTGAGTTTTCTTCACCTGCTCACGGACGCAATTTGACGTGTGGAACGCTCTTTTTAAACGCCTTCTCCTGAAAAAAAAAATGGAAGTTACATTTAAAACAACATATTCTATTCTGCTTCCGTTTTTCTTCAAAATTTAAATATTCTCCTTCGTTTGTATTTTTTTTTTTTCGAATATTCAGTTTCAAACTATAGAGTGCAAATTGCTCGATCAGACAAAAATCCCTCAATAAATTGGAGAGAAAAAAAGCTGACAAGTACCACCCTCAAAGTCGTGAATTTTTTCAAAAAATGTTCAGTTTTTGACAAGTTACCTGACGTCGTCGGCTTCTCTTGATATAACCGATTCTATTTTATCGTGTACTTTACGCAGTTCAGCGTCATCGAGGTCCGTTGCCTTTCTGCAGAAGCTGTCTAGAAAAGATGAACGAAAAGTTTCAAACCTTCTCCGATTATATTCCAACTGAAGCGAAGAAAGAAGAATCGTGATGGCATCATCTACATCGACTGTGTTCTGAATCATGAAAAATTGAAAATTCTAAACTGAATAAAATCTGGAAAAGAGTTTATTTTAATGAAAAAAAAAAGAAAAGAAAAATGAAAACGGAAACTTCTGGCTCTTAAAAATCAAAATTGCTTCTCTAATCATTGAAGACCGTTGATATTTGTATGTTAAAAATTTCGTTGATCCTGAGCATATAATCAATGAAAAAGCTTTACATTTATGGTGCTTTCGATTTTATTTCGCGGATTGTCGTATAATTAATTAATTCACTACTTGAAGATACTTAGAATCATTGAGTTTTCAACTAAGACGAAATTACTTTGAGCACTTTATTGAAAAATATCCCATTGCTTGAAAAATAAAAGAAATTGATAAGCCTAATGTTTGAATTTTTCATTAAAAACAACCAACCTCTTCGTCTCGAATATAACTTTCCTCGTCGTCTTCAACATCACTGTGAAGGTTTTGTGAATCTAAAAGCGATTTTGATAGCGAGATTTTTATACTTGTAGAACCTGGTTTGGGATGAGAAGGTCCAGGTTGAGGTTGGAAATAAAGTTCGCGCGCTTGGTCATTTCTTCGGTGGTTCTTCTGAACGCCCGGCGGCTGACTTCTCTGTACAAGTTTCCTCGCAGTTTCTTTTGAGCTACTTGAGCTCATTATTGTGCGTCTATCCAGACGTCAAACGTGGCGGACCCTCCTCCAGGAGCGCTGAAACATGAAGTTGAAATCTCAGTTTTTCGCAGTTTGATCTGGGGACAGAAAAAAACGAGTACAAAAATTTTTTTCCACATACTACTGCAGTGAAATGAAAAATAACTAGTCAAAACCAAAAAAAAAAAATGAAGGTCGATTCATTTTACAGGGAATCCAAAAATCTCACCAATCACTTTAATTCGCACAAAAGTTCTCCTCTACCCTTCGAAAAAAATTTGCTATTGTTTTGAAATAACTCTCTCCTTGTGGTGAAAAAAAAGTCGATAAGAGTTCCGATAGGAAAAAAAAATCTTCTATCTCAAGAAATCAACACATTTGAAAACAAAAAAAAAAATTTTTGGTTTTTTCCGTTGTTAACCTTTGAAAAATGAAAAAAAAATGGGTAAGAAATTGCGAAATAGATAATTTTATTCATTTCAAATTTTAAGAAGTGAAACACCTTCGAAAAGAAAAAAATATAGTTTCTCTTATTTTTTTGATTCATAACGCGTATAGACGTAAATTATTTTATGATCCAAGACTAATTCCGTGTCCAAATGGATTCCGCGAAGTTCCAAATAGTTGTCAGAGAATAAAAAGATAACTTAATTATGCAGAGCCAGAGATAATTATGCATTTCCCGGAAAATACTTCAAACAAGAAATAAAGCATCACCAAAAAAAGACGACGAGCAAGTTCGCGCCAATCTAAATATCAGATGCCCATTTTGGTTACTCGGACATTGGTAACGCGAAACGGACGTGCTCCGGACGTTTCTGGGCGATTCTAGGGATCACTTAAGAGTTTTGAGGCTACTAAAGTGGTCACTAGAAATGCCCCGACACGTCCGTTTCGCGTCCCGTTCGCGTTACCAAGGTCTGAGTATCCTCGGACATTGGTAACGCGAAACGGACATTTCTGGGCGATTCTATGGACCACTTAAGAGTTCCAAAGTTACTAAAGTGGTCACTAGAAATGCCCCGACACGTCCGTTTCGCGTCCCGTTCGCGTTACCAAGGTCTGAGTATCCTCGGACATTGGTAACGCGAAACGGACATTTCTGGGCGATTCTATGGACCACTTAAGAGTTCCAAAGTTACTAAAGTGGTCACTAGAAATGCCCCGACACGTCCGTTTCGCGTCCCGTTCGCGTTACCAAGGTCTGAGTATCCTCGGACATTGGTAACGCGAAACGGACATTTCTGGGCGATTCTATGGACCACTTAAGAGTTCCAAAGTTACTAAAGTGGTCACTAGAAATGCCCCGACACGTCCGTTTCGCGTCCCGTTCGCGTTACCAAGGTCTGAGTATCCTCGGACATTGGTAACGCGAAACGGACATTTCTGGGCGATTCTATGGACCACTTAAGAGTTCCAAAGTTACTAAAGTGGCCACTAGAAATGCCCCGACACGTGAGATTCGCGTCCAGTTCGCGTTAACAAGGTCCGAGTATCAAACCACGGTAGTTGAACTGAAATTGTTTCAAATGTTCACTAAAAAAATTACAAAACTTGTGAAAAATGTAGGCCAAGTAATGTAATTTAGTTCTAAACAGTTTCTAACTGTTCTTTTTGAAAAAAAAAGAAACAGGCCAATTTGGCGCGGAATGGGCTACACCCGCATGAGGACCGATATAATTTGGAGCAGGTTCCTGGAAACTACTTTTATACTCTTTCCGATTTACCGTAGGAGAAATAGCGAACATGAGCTTCGGAAAAAAGCTGCGTCTTCAACCGAAGAAGCTGCCCTTATTTGTACCCTTCCACCTAGAGCGCGGTCTCTGGGTCATACTTTCAAGTTCTCGACTACCCGTTTTCCCTTCCAATTCGCTGAAGGAGGTTGTTTGATATCGATATGGCTTAAAAAGTACTGGCTCAACGCCAAATAAATCATACCTATAACTACTGGAAAAAGAAAAAATTAATTATTGATGATGAAATCTCGGTATGCTATATTTGACTGACTTTATAAATTATCGGTTTAAGCATTGGACTAAACCGTTCCTGTCAACCTTCATATTTTTCGTTACTAATAACGAAACTGCTTTTTTGTATCCTTTTCAAATTACCTTCTAAGAAAGAAGGACTCAGTAGCTCCGGAGAAAAAGTCATCGTTGACCTTCAAAGCGATCGCGATTGTCAACTTTCTCTCGCTAAGTTGCCTTGAACGACGAAATTCGACGGAGAGAGACGAAAATGCAACGTTTAGCTGTCGAGAACAGCGTTCAAAACGCGATAAGGGTGTACGAACGATGGTAGAGAGGTATAAGAAAACTGTAACCGCGATGGTTTCTCCACACGCCACATTCAATTCTTTCCAAGGCGTTTGAACGACCTTTTCTTGCCACATAGTTAGACCCATGCTATAAATTGTTCAAAATCGCAATTCTACCATTCTGATGTCTTTTCTGAAGCCTACGTTGACGACGACTGCGAGGCTTGGGGCTACCTTCTTGTCTCCTGACGTCAGTTCAATCCAGATGAACGCCTTTGAGCATGGTCCTTCTACTGGACCTCTCTTAGAAGCAGCAGATTCTGATAATCTTCTTATTAATTGCATTGAATCTGTAGGTATTTTCAGCACCTATAGTTTCGAATTCTGAGATTTCCACGGACAAAATAAACTTCAGAATAAATAGACAAGAAAAATTGTAAGAGTTTTTTCTTTCTACTCGCTAGCAGTTGATCTTTTGAATTCTCATTGAAACGTAACGTTTTTCTTCCTTAAAGTTCTTCGAAATTGTTTTTCAATGAGAATCACGCATAATATTCGAGAAAATAAATTATTAAAACTTTATGTGTTTAGAGCGTTCCGATAATGTACTCACTGGTTATAAACAAAAAGCTTATTTTTGTCGACACCAAGTGGAAGATTTTCAGCGCTCGCAGAAAAAGTCGTCTCGAGCAGAGCAGCCGGTTAATAGACTCGAATCGCAAATTTACGCCATCTACCGACAAGAAGTGGCCAACTGCGACGCAGGAGGCCGCAGCACTCAACATATTGGCAACGATTGGTTGCGCAATGTCGCTACCAGGATGCTCGTTTGCAAAGGAGAATCCACAGGAAGCGTCACCGACTCGTGGATTCGCGGCTTCAAGCGACGTTACAACGTCAAGTACTACAAAGGCCGTAAACACGCTCAAAACCAGAGCAGTTATGTGACGAAAGACCAGGAGGGTTCCGAAGATGACGTTCAAGTAGACGTAACCAATGATGGTGAACCGAATGAACCTACAGCTCGAGAAGCGATAAGTTCAAGTCAAAACCTTGAAAAATCTAAAAAGAGCCGAAAAAAACGCAAAAGCGAGGAAACCGGCCCTGCAACAAAAGGTAAGATCCCACTTTACGAAAAAATAGAATAAGGATACACTTTTTTTCTCTCACCCAATTACAAACGAAGAAAAACTGAACAACTAGTTTAATAATTTGCAGCACGTCGTTGGGAAAAGCTGGAATATCCCTTGGTGGAGAAACATCTCTTTCAACGAATATCGGCCCGTCAAGCACGACAAGAGCGGCTCTCAAACCCTTGGATTCAAGATGAAGCCAGAACTATTGCTCGTTCGCTCTACAGTATCGAAGAGGCCGAAAAAGCCGATTTCAACGACCGCTGGTTAAGTCAGTTCCGGAAGCGCTATCAAGTTGAGCTCAAGGTAAGTATGGATATTTTCTTTGGTAAATTCGACTTCCAGCCGCCAAACTGCGCCGAACAAACCCGGTTGTGCCCTGATCCATTTCAAAATGACTCAAGTATACTGGAATCCTCAAATGCTCAAATCAAAAATGAAGATGGAGCGATGCCGGACCTCGAGCAGCTTTGTTTCCTACTAAAGAGCTCGCAAACCCTTTTTCCTCGTCTCACGTACCCCTCAATGCCTACCGAAACTTTTAATCAGTATCTTTGGCTTAACCAGGCGATCAATTTTGCATCACTGCTAGGCGTCCAGCCTTTCTCTCAGCCTTGAATCACTAACATCTGATCTTATCATTAAAAAGTAATATATAGGTCCTATTAAGCTAGAATGAATTCCTCACATTTCAGGGTAAAATAAATGTGCAAAAACTACATCTACTCAAAAATGCCATAGCATTTTACGTGAACTTTGTAATTTGATCACGAAATTTAATTGTAGTTTTCGACAAGTTATGAAATTTAATAAAGATGACCTGTTGAAATTTAACTGTTCGCAAAAGAAGTCAAAACTGAAGGAAAAACACGAAAACTGCATCGTTTCAAAGGAAACTTGGCCAACTTGATCGATTGAAAAAAGGCGACGAGCCTTCTGAGGCGCCGAGTGGGTAAAAGATAAATGACTGAAGAAAAGCGTCTCAAACTTCCACACTTTCTGTAATTATGAAGGAAAACTTCCTGACGTTCAGAGTAAGCATATTTCATTCAATCAACAAAACCGGCAATTAAGCAGGAAACGAAAAAACTGTTAGTGTTCTTCAAAAGCAGTTACAGAATTTCCAGCAATTTTTGAAACCTTCTCTGTTTAGAAGTCCCTCGTTAGAACTCTTTTCCTACATTTTATTTTTAGTTTGACGAAAAAAAAAATATATACAGAGTTATAAAAGGGACTTGGTCAGCGATAGAAAAAAAGTTCGCGTTGATTTTTTAAAAAAGCGATGAGGAAAAATCGAAGAAAAAGACCCGAAAAAAAACTCTCGGTCAAGGCGGGAAATTCAAATATTTCTAGGCGTTAGAGATGCGTGTTGCTTGGCGTGGAGGTCGCAGGAAGGATCAAAGACACCGCCGACCTCCGCGTCCACCGCACGTCCCAGCCGCCTTTCTGTGCACATATCTATCTCTAAGGACCACATCAAACCAAGCGGCGTCTCAACCAAAATAATGTTTCATTAGAATGAGAATGTATTCATGAATCAATGACATGAACTTGTAGATTTTCAACGCATTGATCAGTCGGAAGTATCTCAGTGGGATTTTATGTAACCTTGTTGCAGCACCGCTTTTTTTTAAAAGATAAAATCACTTACAGCGAAAAATTTTGTTTATGTAATTTAGTTACAAACTTTTAGTTTCATAAATGTAGATGAATAGAGTATTCATTGTTTAAATTTGAAATTTGCTATGAACTTGTATACAACAATATATTGTAGAACGAACACTATCAAGAGGAGGTAAAGTCACAAAGTTTTCGCCATGCCTGCACAAAATTTTAGCTTCGAAAATGTGATTTTTATATTATACACAGTAATTTTGAGAAAACACAAACCTGATACAAACCTTGAAATAATTGTGCTGATCAGACCTTGATAACGCGAATCGTTCGTGTCAGGGAATTTCTAGTGACCACTTTAGTAGGGTTAAGTGATCCCTTGAATGGCTCAGAAAAGTCCGGTTTTCGTTACTGCGGTCCGGGTAGATGATAGACTTAGCGCGAAGAATTAAACAAAGGACAAGAAAAAATTCCCTTGTAAAAGTATTTAGATGAGTGAGATAGGAAAGAAGAAAAGGTATCTGGAACGATATATTCGAAAAAAAAAAATCCCTATTCGGATTGCAAACGAACATACAGTAGGGACGCGAGACGCAAGTGAGACTTAAGTGACGTAGCTGAGACGCAATGACCCAAAAAATTTAACCATCATCAAAATACAACACAAATTTATAAGAAATAGAGCCTTATATTGGATTTTCGGCAGAAACCAAGAGAGTGAAATAGATGCAAAGGGCAAAGTTGTGGCTCGGGGGAGGCTCAGAAAGAAAAGGCTATCGACAGCTGTTATGATCGCTAGAACATTACAAATTACCTTCCGTTAGCGAAAAGCTCCTTTCAAATCTACACTTTCGTGCTAATAACATGTTAAAAAGCAAGTTTCTGAAAAATTTAAAGAAAATTTTGAAACTGAAACGAGATTTTAAAAAATCCCTCTGACATTCCAAATCGGGGTTCACGCGTGCTGCTGCAAAAAGCGTGCGGACGCTGCATTAAGTGGGCGGGACTTCTTTATCAATTAAAACTGCAAAATAAAAGTTTTATTTCATTGTACATCTGAAATAAAATGAATTACCGAAAACTTTGTAATTTTCTTCTGCGAAGTTATTGAATAAAATGTTCAAAAATCTGATAGAGTAAATATCTATTGTGTTTTGTCTTCGTCTTGCAACAAGGACGTCTTCGAAGTCGCATGAGAAAGCTGGATATGTCTACGACGGTTCTGCAAAAGCTTCTTACTATAAAGGGATCCATTCTCACCTCAGCCGGATGTCGTTTGTTCTTGTTGTCCTCCTTTCTGACCCGGTTCTGGCTTGGCGCCTTGGCTGTCAGGGATTGGGCAAAAGCCGCCTTTTCCCCAAAAGAACCGTCTGTCGGAGTCAGTACAGAAGCTGAAAGTCAACGTGAAACTTGTGCACTCTTTTTCTTGGTACCTAAGCTTTGAGTTGCCTGTACGCTGAGTGGAGCTGTTTTCTGAGCAACCGATTTGGCTATCGGCTGTTTTTCTTCAGGAGGACGCTGCGCCCGGTCCTGCAAGTTTCATTCTCAACCTCTCATTCTTGTACACGAAAAAACCTGTTTTTGGTTCTTTTTACGAAGAGGGGAAAAGTATAAAAACTCCTATCGACTAATTTTTGACTTTTAATCGAAAAAATTTAAGGAAAATAGATCGGAAAAAGAAAAACTCGGGAAAAAAAAATGCATCTTTCTGACGCGAAAACCATTCCTTTTTTCGACAGAAAATGTATTTGAAACGTATTTAATGGAAAAAAAAAACTGACGGATGGCAAATTTGGCGGATATTTGTTGTGTTGCTCCCAGTGAGCCTGGTTCACTGCGTCAGATATGCTCACGAAAACACGATTATCTGGAACTTTGGTGAAGAAATCTGTCGCTTCCAGCATCTGCCGAACTTTCTCTGAACCAACTTCCCGTTTAAAAGAAGCGATTCTGGAAGAAGACCTTTTGTATTGGCGAACAACACGGCAATGTCTATGGCCTGGTACTCGAGGTAGGTCTGCATGAGCGCGTCTTTGCCCATCAGATCCACAAACGGGATCGAGGAACAATCTGCGACATTCCAGCGTGACCACTTTATACATAACACTTGCCAACTATTATGTGAGTTATCTCTGTGATTTCGTGCTCTTCCCCATCTTCTGGCATCGCCTCAGACCTGTCCGGCTTTGCATTGATCTCTGACAAAGAGGCCAAAAATTGAACGAGTTCTGTGTTCCTTCCGTGGCTGCTTACTTAGAGTCGAACCAACTGGAGTGACATCAGACCTGGCCGAATTTTTCATCTTCTCCTGCTTCTTCTTTTTCTCTTGTTCATTGAGTTTCGCTCGAACTGAGTTCCGAGGTTATATCGAACCCTGCACTGAAGCTCACCTAACACCGGATTGACGCAAAGAGTATGTACGCGACTCAAGAAAAGTTCCGAGGTGGCAAAGTACACCGGGGAATCGAATCGGAAGATTTTGACTCCTAAATGAAGCAGTGACATATTGCCTTTTCAACAAAATACAATTTTCCTCTGTAAACCGAAGCTAAGAGTTCCACTTGAAGATAAAAAAAGATCACCTGGAACTTCCGTGGCTTTGGTATAGTGTCCCATGCCTCGGAAATGAGATGTCCCTGGAATACGGCCCAAGACGGTGCTGTCGGCCCATTGAGTCCGGAAGATGACTGTGAGCAAGGCGAAAGCGACGCCGACCACCAGTCCGTAACTCACGTTGAGAAGCACCACGGCCGACAGCGTTACCACGAAGATCAACTGCGGAGAATTTTGCATTTCTAAAGGTCAGACTTACAAAGTCGAACATGCTCCGGCGAGAAACACTGAAGGCAGAGAAAATTTGAAGGAAAAGGTCTTTCATGGCAACGACAACGATCGAGGCAAGTACTGGCTGCAATGAAGGCTTGCTCCTCTCATTGGGACTGACTCAAAAAACGAGTCTTTGGAAATTTGATCTTTCAAAGTTGAATACCGTCAAAGTGATTATTTAAAAATAAGAAACTTCAGTTTCTACGCAGAAATGATCTTCAAGCCCTGATCTTTACTTGCGGAATTTCCATACAGAACCGGCTTGAAGAAAAAAAAAAGGCGACTTTTTCAAGGCAGAAACGAACCTTCGGTAGATAATAGATGAATTGTGCGGCGCCGAATGTAAAAACGACAATGACGGCACAGCAACAAATAGTGGACATCTGACTCTTGGCGCCACATTTGACCTTTGTTGAAATCTTCGCTCAGGATCAGAGGAACGAGTACCTGCATCATGGTCCTGCCCAGAGAGGAGCCTCCGGCGTAACACCCAAAGAAGGAAGAAACCGCGTGCATGACCCCCAAGGCCAGCCATTCCTTAATGCTTGGACCAGGAAAAGACGCAAGTTTTACCTGGTTCGAGTCGATCTCGTAGTTGAGTTTTTTGGCGACCAATTTGCACATGGCGATGTGCACGACAAATGAGACGATGCCAATAGAGACGGCGGCTCCTGAACTAGGAAAAGTACAACAAATTCCTTCCGGATTTTTCGACCAATCATGTTGATGAAGTTTGGCATCGGAGGGATCAAGGGCGCAGGCAAGCCTGGCTCAACTGCGCCGACAATCGGAACGTTGATCTCATACTCGGTGTCCTGCGACAAATACACCAGAAGTGTTGAGAATATGACCTAAATGTCGTAGGTCTATTTTACAAAAGACTTCATTTGCCACCAGCAAAAGCTCCATCGGAAACTTGAACTTGCTCCATTTGCGGAGGATAGGATCGATAACGTAGGCGGAAAGAAGAAGAAAAACCACCGAAACCACTGATATGATTGTCGACGTCAAGTGGATGCTGTCCAACTGCGAGAAAAAACACGTGTAAAACTGAAAATTCCTACTTTTTTGTTCGCTTTTTCCCAGACCTGGATCAACATTCGGGGTTCACTTGTTGGTGGCACTTCCTTCACTCCCGTCATCGTCTTCAGCTGCGACGTCAGTACGTGGATCGCAGCTCCCGTGGTCAATCCTGACAAGAAAGGGTTTTCTGTTCAAAATTTCCGGTTTCTCGCCAAAGAGATTTTGAAGTTCAGGACACGCAAAAAGTCTCATTTGCTGTAGTCTGTGTGCCACGACTTGAAATTTCACCGAACGACATTCCGCTGTTCCGCTGCGTGCGTTCGCGAAGCGTCTTTCTAATCTAGGTAACTCTTTCAATTGATTGTTATTGCTGCGGGAGCACATGAAAGTATAGTACCTCAACAAAAAAAAAAGTTGAAAGCGTGACCAATGTTCGCAAAGGCGCGCAGCGGAACAGCGGTATGTCGTTCGGTGAAATTCCGTCTTAAGAGTTTCTTTTTGACGTTAATCAGGAAGTGAAGGTCAAAAGTTCCAGGGTATGAAGCGGATACACGCGGGAAAGCTGCAGGTAACTTGCAGAGCCTCGAAAATATTTACCTTTTTTAATCTCTCCCCTCAGAAATTATTTCTCTTTTGAAAAATAGCATGCTCAAAGTCAAACCATTCAGCTTTTTTTTGAATAACCTTGAACAAGATGATCAGATAGCCATACTGCCAGAAGACCGGCATTCATCATTCCCAAAACAATCTGGAAAAGATTCGATTATGACCGCCTAGGTAGCTTTCAAGCGACCTGAATGAGCCCAACGAGTAGTGTTATCGATGTAGCAATTCCGATGGCGATGTGCTCGTCCGTTCTCGACTTCTTCTCATGACAACAGACGATTTCTTCCATAGAAGCTTCAACCTGAAACTTGGGCTTGGGAAACAGGTAGAGTTAAGCTAAACAAGGCTCTGGGGATGAGAGTATCTTTCTACAGCGGCGCCGACCATCAGAGCCACAATCGCGAAGGAACCTGCAAGATGAGGATTTTCGCGTTGATGAAGTTGTTACCTGGAGAGGCGTGTTTAGAGCTGCCTAAGACTGCGTAGATCAAAGGGCCAATGATGTTCGAAGCCAGTCCATTCGCTGGAGGAACACCAACCAAGTAACCGTAGGCCAGACCTAGAACTCATCGTTAATAGAAACCTGGGTAATAACCTGTGGCAGGTGTGAAATATTGATTTTTTTATTATACGCAAGGAAAAAAAACCTGGTTTCCTAAACGGTTTGGTGAAAAGAAAACTAAAAAGTAAGGAAAAAAATTAAGTGCTGGAGAAAATTATTTTCGGACAGTCCGTTCAAAACAAACATACGCTACAGAGCCACCTGTAGGCACACCTACCCCAAAAATTCTTGAAATATTTAGTGTTTTCATTCCAAAGTAAACTCATTAGTGTTCAAACTGCCTTGATAATACATCATTTTCAGAAAAAGGGAAAGCCAGGGCATTCCTCATGGGTCGAGGGAAGGCGAGCGACGCGTCAAACTTTCTGAACTTACAAAAAAAGTAAGTAAGCGCTCAGGAAAAACGACGTCATTCTACGTCACAAATTACATGAGTATTCAACGTTAATAACTTGTTTGCTCGATCGCTTTTGGATGCGTATATACTTAAGATTTCAATTTTCGCGCAAAACTTTTTTTTAACGTCTTCCCACCCCGTTTGGGAACGCCGTTCCCTAAAAATCTTGAAATTTTTATTTTTTTTCCATTCCAAAGTGAACTCGTTAGCGTTCACACTGCCTTGATAAAAAAAATCCGTTTCTAAAAAAAGAAAAAGCCGCAGCTCACTTTGCGGGACGGTGATCACGGAAACCATGACGCCGCCCAGAGCGTCGGCGAAGAAGTCGGAGCGCCAAGAGTAGCTCGGAAGCCACCGTGACGCCGGGGCGCGGGAAGTAACAAACTGCAGCCACTCAGGTCGTTTCCACCGGACCATCTGTTGAATCAAAGCGTCCACAGAAATCACGACTTATCAACCTTCCGATAGTGCCAGTGGACACGCTCCCCAAAAGACAGGTTCAGTCTCCGGAAGCCGTAAGTGTTATCGAAAAGTTGCTGCAGAAACCAATCATGAGCAGGATCGCTCTCAAACCTGATCGATTATGTCCTTGCTTTTCATTTTGTTCATGTTCGCCCTCACATTCGGTGATCGACGCTGATAGCTGCAATCGAGAAGAAAATCACTTGATTGTGTCCCCTTACACGCTATTGATTGGTGACTCCATCAAAGAACTCAGATCCATTACGTCTTCCTTTTTGTCCGTAACATCTGAAAATTGTACTTGTTCGACATAGGATGAATTGAAGAGATTCGAAGATTTTGATGTGAACCTTTGGGACTAATCGACTGTGTGCTCCTGGTCGGGAGCACATCGAAAAAGGCGGAAGAGTCCTCTCGTGAGTTGAGACGCTGCATTTTCTAGAAATGGTTTCACGACACTGTCGAGCGCTCATTTTTTTTTTAAAACTTCAAGTGAAAAACTGTCTGATGCAGGGCCGTATATCCGATTCACGGATTGCTTGGGACTCAAAAGGGGCGTGGCCTGTCTGCGCTCTCCTACATTTAGGAACTCTTTTATTATCGTGTCAGGACCCTTTTTCAGTGGCTCGAGCCAGCCGTCAGTTATATCAGCAGCAATGATTTCAGTGAGTTATAACATAGGAAGTCTTTTTTTCATTTTTTTTTTCCAGAATGATTTTGAAAACGATGTTATGCTTACATCATACCAACTTTCGGGTGCTGAAAGTCCAGCAATGAGTAATATTTTTTTATTATTCGTCAATAATCAATAAATGCATATTTCGTATTGAACATTCCGAAGATTTCTCGAAGTATATTTGAATGAAAAAGTTCAAAGGACAAAAATCTTTAAAATTTTATGACCCGAAATCTGAATGTACAGGAAAATGCAACAGAATTACAAACGAAAAAAATCACACGTAAAATGAAAGTCGACAGGTTGCGCTTTCCCTCAACTTTCGGAAGAATGGCTCAAATCTCAGTTCATGGCAGAAAGTAATATTATTATATAATTTTTAAAAGCATGAGGAGCTACAAAACTGAGGTATTTGATGAACTCAGACAGGCTGTGCATCAGGCGGCTCAGAGAGCAGGGCTGAAGTCCGAGGCTCGCAGAGCAAAGCCGAAGCTCTTGGCTCGCAGAGCAAGGAAGAGGCTCGTCGTTGGCCGGGACTAGGGTGACCGATGCTTGTCGTCCGAACCACCACCGATTGCGCTGTGTTCTGCCGTACCCGAGAAACCAGCAGGTCTGCAAGCTTGAACCATCAAAAAGTTCCGAAATCCATAACCGGCGACCGTGTTTTGAGAAAAGTATTGGAGTTCCATAGAAAGAAAAAAGGCCAACTTTATTACTCTCATGCTGATGAGGCATGCTACAACAGGGTCTCAGCGGGTGCCCCCGTAGTGAACCCATATAAAATAAAAACAAATGGTAGAACTTTGGACAGTTTGTACCCTATCTGAGGCAACGCTTTAGCCCAGTTGGGTCACAGATTTACGAAATAAACACAGCTGGGTCACCTATTTTTTCTCAAGCCCGTTGTTCTCCCGTTTTAACACAACTGAGACTCAAACAAACACGGGTTTAAGGCGGGTGCACCCGTTGAGGCACCTGGCTATGAGAGTCCACATACGAAATCTTAAAGCGCTTCTCTAAATGCTCATTCAGCAACTTTTCATCTCGGATAAAAGACATTTTCCGTCAAACCTTAAACATTCAAATCTCAACGAATGGAGTGAGTCTAAATATAAAGTATAAACTTGTACTTGACGAATTTCTGGCCAAGGAACCCACGAAAACTCACTTTGATTATGTGTGGGCTTCTGAGAAAATAGTGAACAGAAGGCCGAACGGAAACGCTCCGACATGAGGTTGTAGAGGATCGGGTTGATCGCACAGTTGACGAAGATGAGAGTCTTCGAGAAATTGATGTACCTGAAAAACGATGCCGGTCTTAACAAAGTTGATGGCTCACCACTCGGGGTTCCAGAGAAGTCGTTGGTCCGTGACGAATGAGTTGTAGACGACCATCCCTCGGTATGGCAGCCAGCACACCGCGAAGATTACCACCACTAGAGCCAGCATTTTGACAACCTGCAAGTCTTGTTTTCTATCACAAACACATGCTCATCATAAGCCTGCCAAGTCTTTTTTCTTTACGTTTGACTGTTTTAAAGACTATAAAACAGTCGAACATGATATTCAAATATAAAAAAATTGCCCAAAAAATGTCAGGAAAAAAGGGATTTTTATCCGTTTTGGCCACAAATTTTTTTCGTTTTAAAAAGTTTAGTCATACATTGTGTTGGAGCATAACGCTTATATTAAGCTGATTCTAGAACTTTCTATAGTATTCTATACATTTCTAGTCTCATTACGTCATAGGGATCATCTGTAAAGGTTTCCCTTCTAGAAAGTTCCATAATCTTCTCATTTGTTCCCTACCTTTCTAGAAGGTTCCACATTGTTCTCGAATGTTCTAATGCTTCCGGGACAGATCTCTAAAACTCTGGAATGTTCCATCTTTTACTCTAATCTCAATACTATCTAAACTCCACCTTTATTCGGGAACATTCCATAATCTTCGGGATCTCTTCCCTCAGCACTATATAACACCTTGTTTGTTATTGTAAAGGGGGCTAGCATAGTCTAGTTTCTTGTTACTAATAAATCTTCTACTACAACGTCTTCACTGGCCACCTGCGGGCACAACATCTGGCGATCAGGATAGCAGCTACGTCGACAACAGCTTCAAGTCACGATCACCAGAACAACATCTGGCGATCAGGATAGCAGCTACGTCGACAACAGCTTCAAGTCACGATCACCAGAACAACATCTGGCGATCAGGATAGCAGCTGATTGGACTCCACTTCATTCCGGACGACTACAGCTGACGAATTCACCGTGCTCCGCAACCAGATCAGATACGTCGACAGCGTTCAAGTCACGGTCACCAGCATAACATCTGGCGATCAAGATGACTGTCGGAACGTCTACGCTTCAACGCCAACGACGACCAACAGTCGAATTTATGGATTCTCCACCACACTGCCGTCAACCGAGAGGGATCGACAACCGAAGCAACAAGCCGGGACGCCGACAAAATTCAAGGACTGCAGAAGAACAAGTCGCGCACCGTTCAGTGCGTCCAGCAGAAGGAAGTCGCACTTCACAACGCTCCAGTCGTTCAAGACTGGAGGCCAGCACCACATCGGGATCAGCCGCACATTATTCCGGAAGATCAGAAGATGGTAAAGCTGTGCGTCAAAGACGTCGCCAATCGAAGACGACGCCGGCCGTGGAAGATCAGTCGATGGTTCCTCAATCTGGAAGTTCTACCGGAGATCCATCTCAGCCTGTCAACGTCGTATCATCCGTCATCGAACTTCTCGACAGCCTCGTCAAAGGTCATGATCGGACCTTGGAAATTCTTCGACAACTCGTTGAAGTGAAGCAACAAGAGGAGAAATTCAACGACGACCACAAGACGAAGAAGATATTGCAAGAAACACCGCTTCTTTCCTCCCACCGTCAACGTTGGCCCGAGTCACCGTCCAGAAGCCGTACGACCACGCCGTCTGGAAAGCCTCGTCGACAAGAAGAACCTGGCACGACTTCAGTTTCTGAGACCAAAACTGGCGCTGATATCACGACGATATCAGTTTGGACTCTGGACAAGATCAAAGAAGACGCCGTCGCACGACTTCCGTCGAAGTTCGACTCCGTCGCCGCTGAAAGTTTCGAGAGCTGCACGAATTCTGAAGCTGATCTCATCCTGAAACCTGAAGCGTCACCGGTTCAAATGAAGCGATTCAACATCGTCACTCAATTTGCGAAGACCGACAAAGACGTACGCCATCAAGAAGACGACGTCAACAATGTCAACAACTCGCATTGGGCAGCTCCTAAGGTCGTGGTCAAGAAGAAGAAAGTGCACAACTTCTCGACCAACGTCAACGACTCGCTGTGGTTGCACCAGCAGCAGCGCTCATCTTCTGAGGACGACTTCAACAAGCTGATCGGAGGACAGCTCAAGCAGTTCGACTACATCAACGAATTCATCCGTTTGCGAGACGTTGGGTCGACTGTTCCTGGCATCAGCGAGATCTTTGACTCCAAGATCTCAGCACAAGGCGCTACTTCGAATGCAGACTACAACGTCTACGGCCGCAGTACCAACGAAGACCGCCACTCAATGGAAGCTCCAGGGTACCACAACAGCTTCCGCGCTCACCTGTCGATGTGCAACACTTCGCTTCTGCCTGACGCTTGGTACATCAGACAGCTCGACAAGGACGAACGCTTGGACCCCGAGTTGGGTCACTCCAAAAGGATGCCGCCACCGCTCAACTACGATGGTTCGCAGCTCATCAAGTTGACGGATTCAACAATCATTGACGACGCCGTTGCCGCAAAAGACAACAGGAGCCGCACTTCTCCTGCTGCAAGCCGGTTCAACTACCAGTCGCTCAACTGGTCGAACGAGTGCCACGTTGCCGTTCTTTGCGCCAAGGAACTGCCTGCCTCGTACCTGCTCAACAACGTCAAGCCGAACATGGTCCACGCTGTCACGGCCGACTCCATCGACTCCATCGGAAGACATCGAGCAGCATCTTTGCGTCGACATCCACGTGAAACCTGCAAGCAGACATGCCGACAACGCCACGGGTTCAACAGCGCAAAGAAGATCAACACGTGCAAAAGAACACTGCGATCGCTGAGACGACGACGCCGCCGCAGACGTCGCCCACCAGACGACTACGACTTTGTTCAAGCCGTGCCCAAGACGCTCAACACGTCATCTTCACGCTCCTGAAGTCAAACATCAATCCCTATTCCTAAAACGTTAGTTTACATGTATCAGATGATTATTTCTCTTTTCTTTCTGAAATGTAACAATCATCTTAGGAGGGAGGTGTTGGAGCATAACGCTTATATTAAGCTGATTCTAGAACTTTCTATAGTATTCTATACATTTCTAGTCTCATTACGTCATAGGGATCATCTGTAAAGGTTTCCCTTCTAGAAAGTTCCATAATCTTCTCATTTGTTCCCTACCTTTCTAGAAGGTTCCACATTGTTCTCGAATGTTCTAATGCTTCCGGGACAGATCTCTAAAAACTCTGGAATGTTCCATCTTTTTACTCTAATCTCAATACTATCTAAACTCCACCTTTATTCGGGAACATTCCATAATCTTCGGGATCTCTTCCCTCAGCACTATATAACACCTTGTTTGTTATTGTAAAAGGGGGCTAGCATAGTCTAGTTTCTTGTTACTAATAAATCTTCTACTACAACGTCTTCACTGGCCACCTGCGGGCACAACACATTGTTATTTTCCTTTCTCAGTATTCTCTTCTATGTAGGATTTTTTGGCGTAGTCAATTGTATGTTTCCCTCAATTTCCAAATCGGCGCGAAAAAACTGTTTTAAAATGTGAAAAACAATCAAAATGCAACGAATATGACGACGTTTTTGACCACTGAAGTGGGCTTTGCGGTCCTATTTATAGTCAATTAGTTTCAACTATAGTGGGCAGTTCCTATTGAACTTTGCACATTTTGTTATCAATTTCCTTTTCGGCTGTTAAGTATTCTTACGAAGTTTTCAAAACGCTAAGTTTTAGTTTGAAAAACGAATAAAACTGTATAAAAAATCATTTGCCAAAAAGTTACGTCGAAAAAATAGTGATTTCTAATAGAAAAATTTTTTTTAAAGTTTTTCAGTTATAATTCTGAGAAAGAAACCTGAAAACAGTATGTTGATATAATGATGCTCACCTGGTTTTTACCTTTGGTTGAATAGCGGCGCCCACTGACATGTGATTCCCTGCACAAATTTTCAGATCCGTTCCTCGATGCTAACAAAAAGTCTTCACTTTTCGTCACTGCAAACAATTTTTCTGGTGATCACCTTTCGGCGCTTAGTCACCTTTGGACTTGACCGAGTTTTTGATCTTGTCACTGCATTGTGAAAGAGTTAGTCCTATTTTGACGTAAATAACGACGTCTAACAGCATCGGGATGACGTAGAGTCCGAGGAAATCAGCCAGAAATATTACCTGAAATTTTTTTTTTGAAAGTGTGACTAGCAGGGTGAACTTCAAAACCTTTATTTAGAAAAAAAAAATCGCAAAAAGTGAAATTTTCCTTCGGTACTGCGGCCAATTTTCGTATAGGTCTGTGTCCTTTTCCAGTAAATTTCAGATTCTTTGATTGATTTTTCCTCCTGACCGGGTCAGGTAATAAAAGTATTACGATCATACACCCCAAGATGGATCAGTATGGTATAATAATGTTCACCGTCAAACTTCCGGTACATTCTTCAGTACTGTCGGAGCTCTACATCGTGCTGAATGGTATACCTAGGGACCAGCAACGATTTTCGAACATTTTTCTAGATTGCAAGGTATAAGTTATGTATAACCGTGGTACCATGGTTAGGCTTCAGACTTTTCGATGGACTACTGTTACTATCGCGTTACCCCTGTCCGATACACGGCGTTCCCAAACCTGGGCCAAACAGGGTGGGGAGACGTCAAAAAATTTTGGCGCGAAACTTGAAATCTCAAGTACGCAACCAAATGTATTTTTCATGCCGTTGAATACTCAGTTTAATTTGCAACGATAGGTAGCTGTGACGTCACAGTCCTTTTATCCGAAGCGCGCACTTACTTTTTTTTGTAAATTCAGAAACTTTGACGCCTCGCTCACCTTCCCTCATCCCATTAGGAATGCCGTGCGACACCTGCGGTGGTGTTCTAGTAACTCAAACAGATTCAGAATTAATAACCAAAGTTGAATTGGCGTGGCGCGCAACAGGTTGTGTGCCTGTCTACGGTCCACAGGGTCACAAGTTCGATCCCCGATGCAATCGTTCACCCCACCTTATACATGGTGTCGTTCCTCTCGAAGCTGAAAGTGCAGGTGGTGATGGTGAAGTTGTGGTCGAGAGGCTCTCGGACGAGGGTAGCCAGGAAGAGCCATTGTGAGTGGTACAGGATCGACATCGTCCACATCACTGTTATAATCAGCTTCGCTCGGCTCACCGTACACATCGTCCTGATCAGATATTTTAGAAAATGCGGCCACAACTTTTTTTTTCGAGATTTCAAGATCAAACGTTTATTGGAAAATCGAAATTGGAAAGGATTGCTTGAAGATTCAAAAGAAAGTAAAAAGCGTGCAAAATAGATATCCGATTCACGGCTAACTTGGGACGCTGAGGGGGCGTGGCGTGTCTGCGCTCTCATTAAATCAGGTACTATCTCTTTAATTATCTTGTCAGGACCTTTTTCAAGCCAGCCGTGAATCAGCTATACAGTTGCATCTCACTAGAGAACGTTTTTTTTTCGTCCGGTAGAAATTTTGATGAAACTTTGCCGAAGTGTACTCTAGGATCTCCTTACTGCAGAAGAAGAAAAATATTTCTCGCAATAGATCTGGTTTTCGAGTTGGGACGCTTCGAAAGATTGAAATATTGTATTTTGGTTATAATTTGCATATTTTGCAGACTTTGAAGCTTCATAAATTGAGAAAAAATAACCTTTTTTTCTTGTTCTGCAATCAGGAGGTACACCCAAAGTTTCATCAAAAAGTTCAATCAAGGGGGGACAAAAAAACAGTCCCCTGGTCAGCAAGTTTTTCAAAGAACCCGCAATTAAAAACTAACCTGGCTCTGTAGGGATAACAGATGCCGATGAAACGCTCGACGGTGAACGCGGTGATTGAGAGAGAGCTGGTGTTCATGGCCAGGTAGGGCAGCATGGTCAGCAGCGCGCAGCCTGAAGTTGTCTCAGAATGGCCTGGACGGAAGAAGCAGATGTTACCGACGGCGCCAAAGAGATAGTCGTCCCACTCTCCCATCATGTTGTACATGATTTCGTGGGGAATCGCTCCGAAGAAAAAAAGAGTGTCGCTCAAGGCCAATGACACCAAGTAGCAATTTGTCGGTGTTTTCTGAAGTTTGGTGTTGCACATTTTTCAAGATCATTGAGAAAATGCTCCGAACGCATATAATTTTGAAAAAAAAAAATGTGTTGAAGAGGGAGTATCCCAGGGACACGGATTGTTAAAGCAGGCGGATCTACATTGATGTTTGTCTTCACGCAGTTTGAATGGCTGTTCTCTCAGGTAGTAAAAAGAATGCTGAGGGCATGACGTCAAACATTTTTGTATCTAACTTTTGATCCTTCCGCTCTGTGAAAAAAAAAAGAGACCGAAAAATGTCCGCCCTTTTTTGTTTAAACAAAAGAGATCCCAAAAAAATAGCTAGCGAGCAGAAACTTTATCTAGAAAAACATCTATTTAACCCCGAAAAAAGCGATGAACCTTTGGTATAGGAAACTCAAGATTTTTTTTGAAAGTTAAAATTATTATCACAGGTACTAGAAATAATGTGTAAAATTTGAGGCTAGTTACTGTGACGCTCCGCCCCCTCACTGAGTTACGGTAGGACTTTTTAGTGAAGTTTTCTAACTTTTTTTCCTAGTTGACGGATCGGCTCCCAACTTCTTCCAGAACACATATAACGGTATTTCAATTTAAAACTAAAAAAAGAAAAATTCTCATTAAAATTGTTGTTTTCTTTTTTTCCTTTTTTTGGGTTTTTTTGAACGGTTGGGACTCCAAATTTTTTTAAAGAAGTTTAGTATATATTCTCACCGATCTGCGTCCTTTTATATGTTTTTTATTTATTGCGAGCTAATTACAGAACAAATTGTCTTTAACAATTTACGATGGTCTCTCAAAGTATAAAAAATGTTTCAGTACTCTTGCCAGACCCACTAAATTGAAAACTCTCTAATAATCTTATATAACTGTATCGGCCCAGAAGGATTGAGCTCACACCGATCACAAAAAACGTTAATCTATGTAAACCACTTTTTGAGGTTGTTACGAAGGCTGAAAATCGGAGTTACCACGATTTCTGAGATACGTCACTGTACCCAGCTACAGTATGAATAACTTCTCCGAAACATTTCTAGATCACTTTTCATGACGGACAATCAAGAAAGAAGTGTCGTCCGAATAAAAAAAAATGTTCATTTTGTCGATTGATTTTAATCAGATTAAAAAAAACCGGGTTTTGAAATTTTTTAGAAGCCCGCTTAGAACATCTTATGAATTACTTGGAAAAATATTTTTGTGGGCGGATGTTTGTTCTGAAAAGAAAGAGTGGCAAGGCTAATAGATATGTTTTTTCTGTTTGAGATCATGTCCGTTTCACTCATAGCGGGCCACATCTTTCCAGCCAGAAAATGGTCGGGGCTCAAAGGAGGTCTAGATGAAAGTAGTTTTTCCATTGTATCTTTTTTCAAAAACTGCCGCTAGATTTTTTTTTTTTGGAGAAGCTCTTGAGAGCTACAGTTTTTTAAAAAAACTCAGCGCTTTAATCGGCACAATCGTGATTTGAGCTTCCAACCCCCTGGTTTTTTTTTGTCAAAGTTTAATTATGTTTTTCGAAAAAAAGTTCAGCCATCCAAAATTTCAGTTACGAAGGATTTTTCGTTCGTTTGTTTTTGTTTTTTCGAAATACCAACTCGCTGTCCGTCTCTCCGTATAAACACTTTTCGCACATCATAAAAAATTTTACACCCATATTTTCTGAATTTTCTTGCCTAGTCATTGAATAAAAAGGTGAGAGTAAGATATAAACCATGCCGCGGACGTTGAAGACGACCGTGATGACGAGGAGGTTGCCGACGACGCCGACCACGGAGAGAGCCGAGAGAAGAACGATCATCGGACTGTTGACCTGCCAGCCTTCTTCGGATTGCGCCGCAATCAGCGAAGAGTCGAACGTCGCATTTGGCATCCCTGAACGGGCTGATCTGCAAAATACAGTCTAGATGAGAAAGCTGGGTGATAAGTTTAACGACCATGGCTACAAAGTCCGAAAATGATTATTTTCTCGTGTAAATGAGAAAAAGGAGAAGCAGAAGTAATCGTAATACTCAGGCAAACCCTGAAAATGTGTTCGAAAGGCAGCCAGCAGGAGGTTGGAAGGTGGATGAAAGCGAGAAGTGCTTGACAGGGCCTTTGGTAGGTGTTTGGAAGGAATTCAAAAGGGATTTGGAAGGTAAAAATGGAAAATGCCTGCCAGACGCTTGCTGAAAAGCTTCCAAACGCCTTCCAAGGAACCAAAAGCAGAAACTTCCCAACTTTCAGTAAGAACATCGAGATGTTGGCAGGAAGGAATCGAAGATTTTTACAATAGGGCAAACTGGGCAAAACGAGAGTTCGAGAGAGTCTAGTCTGAGAAAGGGCCGTTGCGTGTTCATAAACAGGACAAATAATTCATTATGTGCAAAACCAAGAGAAGTTCGTCCTGAGCATTTTTGACACATGTGTCAAACTCTGCAACGTCAGGTGCCAACTGCGGTGAGCGGGGTTTTTATGACGTCCACAAACATTTTATTTTGTGCAGAAATATCTGCTTCTCAGTGATCTTCTGGGTGCGAATAACCAGAAATGTCGAAAGTCTGCATGTTCACATGATAAAGATAGTTGATAGAAGCTACTCCATCCTCCACAGCTTCAAACTGTCTGTTTTAATTTTCGCATCGGTCTCCTGTTTAGTTATAACTTTTTTTCATGAGGAAAATGGCGCGGAAAAATTGAATGATATTAGAATCCTTGTGAAAACGATGTAAAGTCGTGTAGGAAAAAAAGAAAAATTAAGAAAAAAGAGGCTAAAAGCGGTCAGGACATGAGAAGAAATGTGTTGACAGTGGGCGGTCGCGTTTCTTCTCAGATCTCTTTTCTTCCTCGCGCTGAGTTCCACTTGAAATTTCAAATCCCACGTTTCTCGTAAGTGTCGATGTCATGAAAAAAATCGAATTATGCTATACGTTAACATAAATCGATTTTTTTGGTTGTTGGAAATATGTTTGACAAGTAGAACTCATTATGAGTTGAAGGCTCACAATCTTTGGAATTCCAGAGTGGACCCTACAGGGACTGAAAAAGTGATCCTTGAAGGGGTAAAATTGAAGTGGTCCCTACAGAGGTTTAGGGTCTGACCCCTTAGCCCCTAAACATCAAGTGGACCCTATAGGGGTCTGTCAATCTCATTCAAAAAACGCTTATTTATACAATTTTTCTCCTGAAAGCGCTTTTTCGCTTAGAGTTCATAATAATTATTGACTAATATGTCCCCTATAGGGGCCACTAACTAAAAATCTTGTAGGGACCACTTTTGCAAGTTGTATTTGTCCCTAGAGGAAACCCTACAAGGGCTCCAGAGGTTGCCCCTACAGGGACCACTCTTTTTTTTCCTAAGAATTGCCATCAGTTTTTGACCATAAACTCCCAGCACAGGTTGTGTTCCGCTTCTTCTTAAATTAAATATTTACGAAACGAAGAAAGTCAAAGGAAACTTAAAGGATTCAACTTTTTTCATGTCTTTTCTGTTCTCACATTTTTGACTCGTTTTTTTTTTGCTTTTGAGCACATGTTATCGGTTTTTCTTAGAAAATATTTTTATGAACGTCCAGGCTTCAGAAAAACTTCAGTTTTTTCATGGCGATCAAGAACTGTGAAGGAAAAGCCATCAAATCAAAAAAAAATTTTCCACTTGAAGAAAAAACTCCAAAAAAACCATAACGAAACATTTGGTCCAAATTTGGAGTTTTAAAGCAAAATGTTTATATCAGATCTCGTGTTTATATCAGATCTCCGTTAAAGACTTTTCAATACCGGTGGGCCATCGAAAAAAATAAAAGAAAAATGAGAAATTATCACTTGGAAAAACAAATTCCAAAATTTATCATGATAGGCTAGGCTAAAGACAAAATGTTTACCTGAGAGTCAGGAAAAATCTCCGTTGAAGACTTTTCAATACCGAAAAGGCGATTTTCATCAGGAGCTAAACCAAGTTTCGAACCTTTTATCGATTATATTGATTGTAAGATCGAACAAGAAATATCTTACAACTTATATTGTCAATGTTTCCCGACTTGAAAGGCGAGGGAGGCGGAGCAGGGGGCGGAACGCGTAGCGTGTGCGTACGCGGTTCTTGGCACGAGCTCAATTCAACCGCCATCGACTCTTTGGAAATCCTGTTTTTCGCTCTTTTCATTCCTTTTTCAATTATTTATTGATTATGTTCATGAGTTCATCAAAAAATAGTAGAAAACATTGAAAAAGAGCGGTTACCGAGCTTTTTAAATAGTCGGCGACAATTGAATCGAACTCGCGCCAAGAACCGCGAACGCACACGCTACGCGTCCCGCCCCTTGCCCCGCCTCCTTCGCCTCTCAAGTCGGGAAACATTGACTATATTGACCATTTAGAATTTTCTCAAACTGTTGAACTTACTGAAAACATGAAAAGGAGCTGAGAGTAATTTGGTATAATTTTAAGAAATCGATGCAATTTAAACAGTGGGTCTGAGATAAAAAAGTTTTCCGGCGTCTGGATCACGATTATATCAGAGTTTGTAGTTGATAAGTCCTAAATAATCCGATTTGTATTCTGACTCCCTTGATAAGAGAAGAAAACATACGAGACCACATCATTGAAAAATAATGCGACAACAAGTGAGCGAAATTGCAAAGGATTTTTCAAAACTCCAACGATCTTTTGGGGTGAAAAATAAACAGAGCGCTTTTTCGCTCAATACAGCCAGGAAAGATAGGCAGGGCTTGCGTACAGGATTTCACAGGAAAGAGTCGAAGCAAAGAACAATGGATTTATTTTGTCAAACAAAAACTTTCTTCGCTGCTGAACTTTAAAAAGATACAAACTAAGATGATGAGGAAAAAAAACTTCAAAAGACTCGACTAATTTGAAAGAAAAGTTGGTCCATTTCATCACAATGAAACGATAGAAGAGTTTAAAAAAACAAAAAAATGCAAACGGCTTCAAAAAGGTCTCAAAAAGAAGAGTCTAAAGGTCCTTTTCAGAGCTCAAAAAAAGGAGCTTGTGAGGCTTTTTAGAGGTTCCAAAGGATCTTTTTAGGGACTATTTCCTCTTACCTAACATGGTTTTAAAGAAAGCGAAGACGTAATTAATGACATCAACTCGTGAAATATGGCCGGATTCGGATTTGCATACTAGCGAAGCTTCCCATTAACTTTTTTCCCCCATGCTCGTCTTCGCCCTTTCTTTCAGTGACGCCGTAGTCGCTACAAAACATCAGGATAAGAAAATACATCGAAACGCTTAAAACTGAAGCTGAACTTTTCTAGCTTTTCTGCAAAAATTCAAAAATCGTTAATTTTTTTAGACGTAAACTTTTTGATCTTGAATTTGCTTATAAAAACCTTTTCAAGGATTTATGTAGAAATAAACGGAATCAGTTGAATTTCCGATCAAGTAATTTAAAATTTTTCCGTGATGAAAACAATTTTTTTCTAGGAACGAAAGTTCTCAGTTTGAAAAACCAATGCCTCGAGCAAAAAAATAAATATTTATTGCACGAAAGAGGGCGGTGGGAACGCTTGATAAAGTTTTTTCTTTTCTTATCTAGTCCTTTTAAAATTTTCTCAAACTACTGAAAATTAAGATTCTCTAACGGCTAACCCTATTTGCCAGGAAAACTTGAAAAAAAAAGACCGGAGCTTGAACTGAGAAGCGATAGCTGACAGGCGCGCGAAATCCTCAGGTGAATAAATATTTCAGTCGCGCGTACTTATAGTCTCTCCACTGGAGACCTAGGGCTTACCTTCGAAAATATGTGACTAGTTTTTGTGCAGTCAGTTGGATTCCAATTGAGGAATGAAGAATTTAGAAAAAAAAAGTAGGAACCCGGTAGCTAAAGCTGATTCACGGCTTGCTTGAGCCATCGAGGAAAGGGTCCTGACACGATAATGAAAGAGATAGTCTCTGGTTGGTGGAGAGCGCAGACAGGCCCCTTTAGCGTCCAAAGCCAGCCGTGAACATATTTTTACCCTCCTCCCGATGGAACTTTGGTAGCACTGTCTTAAGCATTCGTCTGTTCAAAGTGATTCAGCGAAATTCAAAAAAGGTGTCAGAGAGTGAAAAAGTATTGGTAAATTTTGGAGATTCAGAGCTAATTTTGCTTTTCGCCGAAATTACTTTGAACAAGGCATGATATTGAGCTTTTTAAAAGAAAAAGTGGGTAAATTTAGAGAAAAAACCAATTAGAAAATTCAAAGATCCAAGTTTAGTTTTAACAATAAAGTATTAGAAAACGCCAGCAAGCCTTAAAAAATGGCCGAGTCTGAGAAATTCGTCTTTAGGTAGTAAAAAATCGTTATTTTGTAATTTGTTATCTATTATTGCAGTGAAAATCCCTGTTCTTTTTATTACATAGAAAATAAATGTCAAAAATGGTCTAGTATTTCCAGCGAAGACGGCGCAGTGGAAACCGGACGGCAGAGCCACGCCCCTTTTTGCGATGGTGAAATCATTGAGTTTTTGGTCTTTTTTTTTTGTTGTTTTCGTAAGAGCGCAATACCAAACCGATATTAACGAAAATTGGTGGAAAGATAGAGTGAACCTCCCTCTTTCGATTCATGTAAAATTAATTCCAAGTACTCGCGTTTCAGCGGAGTGTCGTACAGAAAAGTGAAACGAATTTGATTTTGCCTGTTTTTAATTATGTTTTCGATCGTGCGCATTATATTTTTTTTTCTTAAATGTTTCATCATTGGAAGATAAAACTTTTAAAAATGAAAAATAAAAGTTTCATCATAGCGAAAAATGTAGAAACCGCATAAAGTTCAAATTACTTTCCTCGACAGGTGAGCAAAGAAATTTTTTTAAATTTGACTGCGGCCCCTACCTGTTGGCCTGAGCAGGAAGTATCTTTTCACCGAAGAAACCACGAGCTATAGAGAATGAAAAACTTAGTTAGTAAAGCTTCCATGCTGAAAGCTAGCTCAATAAAAAAATTATAATTGAGCTTGCAATTTTGTACATAATGAGAGAAGTTTCCAAAGAGCTTTTAATTACACGAGCGATGAACCAACGGACTTAAGTCCCGAACACTTACAGCAAAAGTTAACAAAAAAGCAGTTTTCAATGAAAACTTCTCAGAGCTGAAAAAAAGAAGAAAACGCTTTGAAATTCGAGAAATATCCGGTTATTAACAATTCGTTCCCAGAAAAGTTTTGAAAGGGGGTTTTTGGAAATTCCATTCACCAGAGAAGAAGCTTGTGGGATTTTCGGAGTTTCCAAACAAAAAGAGTTAGACACACTGCTTTGCTTCGTTTTCTGTTAATTCAGGCGGATTTTCGAAATATATTCGACACGATTAATTTGAAAGCACCAATTTAAGACCTATCAGTACTAGATAAACAGCTAAAGAGGCCCCTAAAGGGAGTTCGAGTGGGTTCTTTAGGGAGTGTATTAGGGCCTCTTAAAGGGAGAAACTCGGAGAACCCCTTAGGTGACCCTATATAGTCAAATTTACCCGAACTGAAAGGCCAGATGGGTTGATTGGCAAGGTGAGGCGTTGCGTACGCGACGCGGCTTTTTGAGGGACAACGGGTCAAACGCAATCATGAAAAAAACATAGAAAAATGATTTTATTATTATTTGTATACTTTTATACGTTCAAATAATTTTTTCGAAACTATAATAATTTGAAAGCTGTTTAAAAACTGTCGAAAAAAGGAAAAAAAGTTGGAAAAACGCATCGCTTCACCCTCGCCAATTTACCCATCATGCCTTCTTTTTATAGTCGGGAAGGATTGACTATAAAACCAAGTTCGGGGAAATTTCACTTCGAAGCCCCGGGAATCGCGCGGGAGGCATGCGTTTGCGTTGGAGCGCTCTTTGTTGAGTATCGTACGCTCGGACCTCGGTAACGGAAACCGGCTTCGGAGCGAGCTGATGCCACTAAAGTGGTCACAAAAAATGCACCCGACAGTCCGATTCGCGTTACCAATCACGGCGTTTTTGTTAGTGGAAGAAAATGCAAAACCAAAAATTAAGAGGGCGTGGTCAAAACCGCCGTATTGAAAGTAATTCCGCGAAATTCACAATAGCCACTAGAGAGTGGAAAATAAAACTGAATCTCAGAAATTGAGATAAACTTTATAATTCTGCGAAAAATATTTTGAACGTGGCATGTGCGAGAGCGCCGAGGTGCATGCACAAGACACACTACACTTTACGGAAAAAATATGGGCCCAGCGTCGCCAAAAAAACGCCGTGCAATGTCCGAACGGTTTTTCAAGAAAATTTGATTGAAGTCAAATAATCTTTTTAAAGACATTCAAGATTTTCCTCATTTTTATGCGTCTAATTTTGTTTTTTTTAACGAGTTATTGAATCATTAAAAATTGTTAATTTTCAGTATTTCCAGTACAAGAATATTGTTATCGGTTGCATTACTTTGAAATGGGAAAAGGCAAAAAAAAAAATGACGCTCGAAGAATTTCAATTTTCCCTTCCAGATTTAAGATATGAGATAAACTTTTGAGGTAAGAAAGATTTGTGATGGGGCTTCAGAAAAAAAAGAGTGAGATCCTGGCAGACTTCTTCTTCTTCTTCTTCTTCTTCTTCTTCTTCTGTGGAAGAGGATGGCAAAGGCAATTGTTTCGAGAGAAATCCGAGCCGCTACATATTTGTCTTCCGATTCCGTTTGAAGTGAAAGATGATGAGGTCGGTTTCATTGAAGATTCTTCAACAAAAAAAAAACAAAATCATAAGAAGATCTTCCTGTTATTTAAAAAACGAATTTTGGGCCGAAAACTGAATAGCACAGTAAAAGTGTTCGTCTAAAGGATGGCCCTGGTGAATTCAAGTTAATGAGAAGTTGGAAGCGGAAAATCCAGACGGACGAGCGGCTTGTCGCGACGACAACAGCGGGGGTCGCGTGAACTAATCGCTCCGACAAACATTCCCGCCAACTTCTGACGGCAGCCGTTTTCCGCCTGTGTTTTACACAGTCAATTGTTTGTTTTTGGATCAAAATTTATTGGTCAGAACACAATTTTCTTAGAACTTCTCTAAATCAGTTAAGGTTGAGCTGCCGCGCTACTCAAGTTCTGTTCGATTTCAGTCATATCTTTCATTCCGGTCTTTGTCTGGACTAGTTTCAAGATTTATTTATATTTTTTCCCGACTGGCTTGAGTCATCGAAAAAAAAAACATGGAAACCATAAAAAAAATGACGCCCACGCCCCTTCGCATCATCATAAGCTTGCCATGTCGGCTACTATGATAATGAGAAATTGAAATACGGCTTGAGGATTCGATAAAACTCCTCTGACCTGTTTTCTAGAGCAATCTGATAGCCGGAACTTTTTGGCTTTTCTCTAGTTATATACATGGATTCTACCGGGCTAAGCTTATTTAGGGACCGCAGGCAGTTTTCTAGAAACCATTAGGTTTCAATGATTTTCATATGGCCGTGTAGTCCGCAGTCCTGACAACTTTTAAAAAAAGAGATCTTGGAAAAGATTGACTCTGAACGAAGTTACAGTCATTAAAGCGCGCGTTTCGCGATTTCAGTTCTCTGTAGAAAATTTCGACGAGGTCGCGAAAAAAGTGGGCGTTGCAAGGGTGCGGCGCGCTCTCAAAGACCAGTAAAAAAAATTACAGAAAAAGGTATGAATTCAGAGGGAAAAAACGGAAAGTTTCGTTTGGCTATAATCAAGGTACAAAAAAGTCGGAAAAATGACAAAATTTTGACCTCTGCGAAAGCCGCGACGCGACCCCAGCGTTATTAGGGCGGCCTAAAAATGATTTTTTAGCTCCAGAAAAAAACCATCCATATATATTTTAAGGAATCAAAGAAAAAGAAAAAAGGTCAGTTTAAATTTACTTCCGCATAAAATTTTTGAGTATTCAACCAAAAAAAAACGTATAAAACTCATTCCCGTGCAATGAAAATTTGCTAGCAGTTTCTACAAAGTTCGAAGTGACGCCTCGGATGTCTTTTTCAGTCATTCTTTTCGGTATCATTCTTATAGATTTCGTAGATCTTTTTGTTTCAGTATTGATATTTTTACCAAATATTAGCGGCCTCGATGCACAAGCGAATAAAAAGTCGAGCACAGTGGCTTCTGGGTCCGGATTCAAGCTACCAGGCATAATATTTTTTTTTCACTCTGTTGGAACCTTATTTTTTTATATATCACGGTTTCTCCTGCGCTTTGAAGGCCTTTCTATCAAATTTTATTTTTAAAAAAAGCTAATTTTCCCTTCTTTCCTCTATTTTTCGAAGAAAACGTTTTTATTGCTTAAGAAAAACCTCCAAGTACTTGAAAACTTTCAGATATTATATTTCTTGTAACGACCGGACTGGTGATAATTTGCGTAATCTTCATGACGCCTATAACCTACATGTTCGTTTCTGATTGGGCTCCTCTAATTTTTTGAGTTCCAGTGTATACAAAAAGAAATTAAAAACGACAGATGTCACGTTTTCCTTGGACAGGCTCAGTGACGAACAGAAACAATCTCTAAAAAGCATCAAAATGGTAAAACGTGCTGAATTTGGAGCACGGGTCAGAGTTAAGGAAATCCTGGCGCACAGTCCCTTGGAATGGCTGGACCTTCTCAAATGCGGCGAGATTCTGCACTTTGAGGACCTTGTGTTCCACGAGAAAGAGTCGCTCTTCAATCCGATCTCCGAAGCTAAGAAGACCTTCTCACAGTCGAAAAGGGATCGTCGTCAAAAAGAACGTCGTCTCAGGCCTTTGTCTCCGCCGCCGCCGGATCGCACTCAACGTAGGTTTCCCTCTACGGAAGCTCTAAGCTCTTTTATAGTCTTGGAAACGGTTTTCAATCAGAGGATGTCTTTCCCGGAGAAAATTCAGGGTCTGTTGGCCAAAGTCGTTGGCACGAGCCTACAGAATGTCAGTTTCTACAGGGTTCGTTTTTGAACACATTTTGAAGCAAAAGTCTGTTGCGGTATGAAACAAATTTCGATTCAGTGAAGAAATTGGACTTCTTTGTTCATTTCAAACGTTTGTTTTTGAATATTTGAAAGTTATGTTAAGAAATCTTCCATTCTTGAATAAACCAAAAACTTGAAGGCAGCAGAAATAATTTAGGCAACTACATCTTTAAATAGGGGTAGTTTAGGGACCAATCCACAAACCTCTATAGGGTTCACTAAAGTTTGCAAAAATAGCCCTTATAGGGGACATACTAGTCCATAAATTATGGACCATAATTTTTATGAACTCTAGGCGAAGAAGCATTTCCATCCGAAAAACTAAAAAAAAAATTGAACGATCCCTATAGGGACCCCTCAAGCTTTAGGGGCTAAGGGGTAGGACCCTAAACTCTACACTTTGATTTTATCCCCACAGCAGCCACTTTTTCGGTTCCTATGGGGCTTTTTTTCCTTCTTACGCCTACAGGGACCACTCTGAAATTCCTAAGCTCTCAAAGCTTAGAAGTTCGTATGAGATTGTTTGCGGCTAATGCGCATGCTCACGCGCATCAAAATTTTCGAAACAGTGGAAAAAAAAGTTTTATAGTTATAACTTTTCATTTTCCCTATGCGGCATAGGCTATGCCTTGTCTACTTGTAGATATACCTCCCATTTTTCGATATTGAACAAACTGAAGTAACATAGAAATCTGATACTATCCAGACATCGGAAGATGGACTCACGATGAAAGAGTTTGTTCTACTGACGAAAGTTGAAGAAGAAGAAGAAGGAGGAGGAGGAGGAAATGCTGTTAGTAACAAAACGGAGAGCGGGAAAACGGACGACAAGTAAGCATATCTGAGAAGCATGGAAATCTGTTGGAAACTGGATTATAGAAGGCTAGAAAGTTGTTGTATGTCCGAATTCAGCAGACTATAGTAGAAAATTTAACCGCTTAGAAAGAAGATCGAAAAACGCTCCGCCACAGAATGTTATAGCGTCATTTGAATGCTGAGCTAGCGTTTAGTATTGCGAATAGGTGAATTTCGTTTGAATTCGACATATGCGTCGCAATTATAATGAGATATGAGTGATCAATTGGAGTTTCTGAACGATATTTTCAAAAAGTTGAAATAAATCCGAGTTTTAGCTTCACCTTTCTTGACGGAGCTGAAGATGTGCGACGTGAGAAGATCGAAAAACAAAGTTTGAACGATTATGTAAGTCGGAAAAAATTTACTTTAAGAAAGTTCTTTTTCCTTGAAGGTTTGCAAAAGAAGACTATCAGAAATCAAATTGCGTTTGAAGGGTATTTCCGCGAATTTTCAAAAAAATAAAAAATAAAAGAACCTCAATTGAGACTGAAAAACGTTCACAAGTTATAGTCAATGTTTCCCGATTTGAAAGGCGCGGGAGGCGGGGCAGGGGGCGGGACGCGTAGTGTGTGCGTTCGCGGTTCTTGGCACGTGTTCAATTCAACCGCCATCTACTCTTTGAAAAGCCCTTTTTTCGCTCTTTTCATTCCTCCTTCAATTATTCATTGATTATGTTCATGTTTCCATCAAAAAATAGTAGAAAACATTGAAAAAGAGCGGCTGCCGAGCTTTTTAGATAGTCGGCGAAAATTGAATCGAACTCGCGCCAAGAACCGCGAACGCACACGCTACGCGTCCCGCCCCTTGCCCCTCCTCCTTCGCCTTTCAAGTCGGGAAACATTGACTATAGAAAATGCCTTCAGAAAATGCCGTCTGGAGGGTCTTCAGTGCTGGTGCTGGGAACACAGGGCTTTGCGGTGGACGTTCTGCAGACGTTGACGATGGAGTTTCCGACGGAACCTCACCATTTGGGAAAAGACAACGAGAGGAAGCCTGAAGTCCCCAACGAGAGGCGCGTCACGCGCAGCGAGTTCGAACAACGAGATACCAAGCTCCGGAGTCAATGGCTCTACCCAACTTATTGTTATTTGATACCTTTTTCCGGTCAATTAGCCTCTTTTTCAGGTTACCGGACACCAACCTATCAAAACTACTTGCTCATTTCTCGTCCTCAGGTTGAAACTATGGTTAATTGTTCACCTAAATAGTACTAGAAAAACTACGTCGAAAGTGACATGGACGAATACAGTTTCTTCTGGAGACTGATGACAAGATCAGTCGGTCCGGAACACAGCGAAAAGCCCGCAGGACTCATCGAAGACGACTTCCCTCAACGTCGTTGGGTTTATTTGAGGAAGTTCAACAGTTATTGGGTGAGAATTACCCGTGAACCGAAAAATGTTATTTGGACAGGACCTCGAGCTGGAGAATCGCTTGGATCCCGTTCCAGTCGAAGCCGCTTTGACTGACTTCGGTCTCAGCTCATTTCTTTTCAGCGGGCCTTGGTTCAGTGTCCTCGGGGGTCGTGGAAGTTATCAGGCACTTTCAGGACACCCAACTCCTTTATTGACGACCCACGTCTTCTGTTTGAAGTGGTTGCGAGCGTTTTGTACGGCAAGGTGGCCTCCGACGTGACGATCGTCGGTCGCAAATCTCAGCAGTTTGTCGACGCGTTCGCCATTGCCGCTGTACTTGTGCTGCGCATCGAGCTCCCACAGTCCTTCTCTAATTTTGACCTTCCTGCCTGCTTCCAACTGAGTGCCCGTTAGTTCTATCGGATGAACAGTCAATCCTTGCCGATTTGAAAGGCGAGTGAGGCGGAGAAGTGGGCGGTTCTTGGCACGAGTTCAATACCAAGAACCGCTAACGCGCACGCTACGTCTCCCTCGCCTTTCAAGTCGCAAAGGATTGACTATAAGGAGAAGGCGTCGTTTTAGAAGACGATTTGAAATTCACCGTTTTTCGAAAAATTCCTCTATAAGAGTTACCACAAATCTGCAAAACCAATTAAATTTTTCCAGTTCTTGCGCCCCCGCAGATGTTCTACGAACCTCGAATGATTTTCGACATATTCACCGGTATCCTACTGCTGTGCGGTAATGAAGAGAAAGATCAAGTTTTCTTTGAAACAAACTCAAATTTTACACAATTTTCGCAGAGATACGATTCCTGGATGATGTTTCAAGAGTTACTCAAAAATAAAGTACTGACACGCCAAAAAAACGAAGAAAACTACGACGGGTTGAAGTTTGTATCGGGAAAGATGGAATCGTTAATTTTAAAAAATCTTTAGGGATATTGATTCGATATTGAACGAAGGAGAAATTTCAGTTCAACTTCGCGAAAATCTCAAGAACTGGACCCCTTAGAACTTTTAACACTTTTTTAGTCTCAACCATAATAAAATACTTAAATTTTTATTATTTTGCCCCAATTTTGGATATATTTTCTTCACACTCTGGCACTGAAAGTTTTGTGTGAAAAGGCATTGAAAATTTATTCTGAGAGCAGATTGAGAAAAAAAGAACGACCCGTACAATGGAATCATCGATGTGTACATTGGATTGGCTCACTGAAAGAACATCTTCAAGCTTCAACATTAAAATGTTTAGAGGATTTCTTGATAAAGAATTTTAATAGGAACAAAGTTGTGTAAGAGCAGGCAAACTCGAAGGAAGAAGTGGGTGAAGTCAATCTATGGCTTCACTGTTTCGGGGCGGCCGTTCGACGACAACTTCGACGGTCGTGGTCGGAGGCAGCTGCGGAGAAGCCCTTCCAGACACGTCGAGGCCGCCTTCCGAAGGCTGCATCTCCGGCGTTCTCTCCTCGGCCACGCTCCCTGAAAATTGAAGAGGTGGTCCGAGTTGAGAAGGAAATGAATTGACATGCATTTTAATTAGAAGTGAGTGGGAGTTTCTAGATTATAACCCATTGTATTTAATTTGAATTAAGGGTAATTAATACGTGTCTTTTTACCCATTCACCCATTCTTTACCTATTTTTCCGCTAGTCAATGTTTCCCGTTTTGAAAGGCGAGGGAGGCAGGGCAGGGGCGGGACGCGTAGCGTGTGCGTTCGAGGTTCTTGCCACGTGTTCAATTCAACCGCCATCTACTCTTTGAAAAGCCCGTTTTTCGCTTTTTTCATTCCTTTTCAATTATTTATTGATTATGTTCATGTGAGCATTGAAAATAGTAGAAAAGATAGAAAAAGGCGGCGAACGGGCTTTTTAAATAGTCGGGGCGATTGAGTTGAGTTGGCGCCAAGAACCGCGTACGCACACGCTACGCGTCCCGCCCCCAGCCCCGCCTCTCTCGCCTTTCAAGTCGGGAAACATTGACTATAAAAGGCGAGCGAAATGGAATCTTTGAATGGGTAGAAAAATGACCTCATAAGAAGTTTCAGATTCATCACTAGCAAATTTAATTTCGATTGAACACTAACTTCGAATTCAATCGAAAAAAAGGTTTTTTTTTCTTGGAAAACGCCCTTATATTTTGGAACATTATAAGCGTATGTCTATTTTCCTAATTTTTAATTGAACTGTCTCAATCAGAGTTCAGTCCAAAAATACCGAACTTACCGATTTTTGACCGGAAAGTATCGAAAAACTTGTCTTACCATGATGATCTGATGACCTTACGTAGAATATGACAAAAATGTTTTCCTTCAATCATATAGTACTGACTAGTGAGAAAAAAAAAGTAAAGTTATCAAAATAATGAAAGAAAGCTTTGAATCTCAAAAGTAGTCGAAAGGCAAGCATAAAGTTCGACTATGCCGTACATTTTGATATGAAAAAATCGGAGAGAGAAAAATAAAGAACTTGAATGTGAATCATCGTCGGGACGGTGGCTGCTGGTCGATGAGAGGTCGATCGAGTCTTCGTCTGCCAACGGCGCCAAAGCGTCCAAGTTCGATCTGCCGTCTAGTCTGAACAAACGAAAACTAATGAATCGTTTAAAAAAAAACTTTTTTCACTTTTAAGTCTTCTATCTCTTAAAGTTTTTCATCTTCTCCTTTTCTCATCAGCTCAAAAAACTACATCTAGTGAGTCCAGTATTATTCAGAAGTTCCAATTAGAGCTGAGAAAATTTCCCGGTAACATTTCTGTCTATCCGTTGTAAATATACTTGATTGTAGGTTCAAATTTTTGCCTTTTCATAGTTATGCTTAGCAAGAAGTATCGAACCTGCGCGGTGAAGAGAGAAAGCTCTCGGGGTCGTCGTCAGGCAACCGAAGAAGTTCGTTGTTTTCAGCGGTGGAGAGGAGTCTTTTGCGTTTCTTCGACATTATCGACTCTTCCGTGATGATCTGAAACCCGAAGGCCTCTTCACTGACCAACAAGGGCTTGTCTGACTTGAGCATGTTTGTCTCTGCTTTCGAGGGTGACCACACAAGCGACGATCAGTATGAAGCAGCCGATCCCCATCAAAATCGGTCCCAAGTACTGCAACTAGAGATGTCAAAAACAAATATCAGGCGTCAATTCTCAAATCCCCAGCTTCATTTTTTTGTTCTGCCAGGATAACTTTTTTTCAGAAAAAAATTTGAAATATTTTTTTGATTATGACTTTTAGGACTTCCATGAGAAAAAAAGACAACAGTTGTGAGCCGTAAGTGTGAACAGAAGTCGGATTTTTCAATTTTTGGGGACGTGCAACGTTTTTTATTTTGGAAATGAAAATAACTGAAACAAAAAGTTCGGTAGTTATTTTGATGGTATGAAACAAGCCAGCAAAAATCCGAATCTTCAAGATTCCGAACGGCGACTTTTCCGGTTTTTTCATATTGCCAGGAAACCTTCCGACGAATCCCTTTCCGATTTTTTTTTTCTCTGTTTTTTCGGTTTATAAACCATCTATTAATATTTTTTTTTCCTGTTAATTTGTGTTTTAACATGAATCAACTACCTACTTTCTATAGGGAGATTCAAAACTAAGAGTTTATCGAGAAAAAAAGTCGGTAAAGGATTAGTCGGAAATTTCCGTCGGAAAGTTCCCTAGCGATATGAAAAAATCGGAAAAGTCGCCGTTCGAAATTTCGCCTGTCTTTTTTTCATACCGCCGTTATTTTTATCCGACTAGACGTGAGATATTCGCACAGAAAAGGGCTCAGCTCATAACGGCCGTGAAAAAGCTGCTTAGAAAATTAAACATACGTGATATTTGAAAAAAATCCTACAAAATAACGTTAAAAGGCATGGTCTATGGAACAACTCGACAAAGTTTGATGTTTCTCACTGACCTGCATACTTTTCAATTGATACTGTATCAGCTTGTCGTGGTACATTTTCTCTGTTCCATTGACGATCTCTACACGCTGCAACTCGAAAAATTAGTTTGAAAAGCAGAAGTTGAGCCAGAGACGATCAGCTCAACAAAACTGACTTCGGCAAAATGTTTGTCGAAGTAGCCGAGAACGGCCATGGCCAGGCCGACGGCGATGATGATGCATCCAAAAATGACCGCCCGACACGCAGCCCATACTGTCTAAAATGAGCTTATTTTTATCAGATGAGAATTTCTCAGCCTGATTTCTATGCTAATTTGTGGGATTTCCCCTAATATCTTTTCACTTCAAAGCCCAAAAGATAAGAAAATTTTTTTTGAAACTTTCCGCGACTATTTTGCTAAAAAAAAAAGGGTTCTTTTCTCACGAGAAAGCTTGTTTGGACTTGAAAAATGATACCAGGCTTGCGACCCTTATTTTCTGCGTTCTTGTCCGTCAACTAATCTCGGATCATGCGGCATGATATTACTTGAGAGAATGTTTTTGAACATAGAGCTTTATTTGATTGAGCCTAGCGGGAAATAAAATGAAAATATATACACAGTCGGGTTGTTGGTTAGAGCGAAGAGAATCCATGATCAGAACGTTCCGAAAAAGATGTAACTCCTTTTGCTTTGGAGGGAGAAAGGAATTTGAATGCCCGAGGCGATAAAAGCCTTGCAAAAGAGGATGAAAGCGTCTTGAAAGGAAAATGAAAAATCCAATATGTTTCCTATTCGGGTTTTTCAAGATCTCATTCGTTTTCTGTTAAATTTATTGTATAACCTTCTCAAAATGTTCTTGAAAGAAACTCCGAAAAACCAAATTTTCACTTAAAAATTCCGCTGAAATAACTATTCTTCAAAAAAAAAAAACCACATTCATAAACTGAAAGAAACCTTTTTTTCCAAGTTATCTAATTTAAGATGATTCTCAGATTTTACAAGTACCTCGTTAAGTTTTCACAAATTCATCACTGATCAATAAAAAAAATGGAATAAAGTTGTCCAAGGCTCTTTGTCCTTTTTAATTTAATACCGGTTCAAACTTATGAGAGCTCAGGTGAACAACTCAAACTGATATTGAATACCTCTTATTTTCAACATTCATCCCTTTAAAAACATTACTTCTCATTAAAACTGTTTCTTAAAAAAGACTCAAAAACTATGATTTTTCGATGTTCGGTGTCCCAAAAGCTTCTCTTATTTGTGTAGTCATGGGAACCTCTCATCAAAGCGTTCACGCAAAAAATCCGAACAGCGTAAAGATTAGTGAGAAGTAGGAAACAAATAAATAACGACCTTGAATTGAAAAATCTCAAACTAAAGGCTCGAAGTCATACTTTGGAAAAGGATGACTAAAGAGCGCAAGAAAGCCTTGCAAATATTGCTATTATCTCTAGACAACTTCATGAACTTTGTGGGAAATTGTTGCGAACCCTCTTGTTGGCGGCGTAGTAGGAAGCGAAGAAGAGAGCGCGGGCTCGCAACAAGTTGGGCTTCTGGCCCATCTGCAGTCCAGCTCAATTTGCAGGTGACTCGTTGATAGCATAAGGTCTTGGCGAATCTCGCGGCTGGCTGATGAAGCACCGCCCAAATTATTGCGCGCCGCCCTTGACGAGCTCCATTTGCAGACATCCGAAGGCAAACAAACACATTCTCGAGGTAGTTATCCGTTCCGGAAGTACTTCACGGCAAGGCGACTTTTAATGGAAACGCAATGATCTTCTCGTCGAAGTCATGAAAGCAAGAGCGGATCAGAGAGATGAGTTATCGACGCCGTTTCCCAAACGAAGTGAGGATAGCCAGGCTTTGAAGTGTTTGCAAGAAGTTTGTGCCTTTTCACAGGTATCTATGCCGCAGTGAGCCTTGAAGCGTCATACCACAGGGGTATATGAAAGCGCGGAAAAAGATAAGATAATTTAAATTTTAAAAAAGTTTTGCTAATTAAATTTTTCTCGTTATTTTGGTTTATACAGGTTGATTAAATTTAGGAGTAAAATTTCTTCAAACTTATTGAGTACAGAAAGTCTAGGAATATATAATTTTTAATGAAAAAAAAAAATGAAAATTTAACGAGAGAGAAAAAAACTATTTTTAAATAAATCAAGCTTTGAGGCACGAAATTGAATGTTATTCTCACTTTTGGAGTTATTTTCTCATTTTTCTTAACAGAACTGTTCGAAAACTTGCAAGTTTACTTATGAAATCCCTCTAACATTTCACTTAAAAAAACTTGATTTGAACTTTTTTTCTTAATTTTTAGCCGGGCAGGATTGCCGAATGCAAAAATTTTTTTAGAGTTATTATAGTTAATCGCTCATTTTTTTCCCCGGTTTTTATCAGAAGATTGTCAAAGCAAACTTATTTGTCATACCCGTACACTAGAAAGGTAAGTAACTCATTAGGAAAAAAGTTCAAAAAAATTTTTTTAAGAAGAAGAGGTCGCCAAAGCGGTTCATTTATGTGTCCACCCATCAGAATGGTCTTCTGCCCACAATAAGGTTTTTTGTTCAAAAAAGGTGGATTTGAACCTTCTCATGAGTGATTTTGGAGTTTGTGTAGAGAAGGGCGTGATCCGACACGACGCGTACCAAGGAGAGACGGACGTCGTCGACAGAAGACGAAGTCACAATTATTGAAGGGCGTGTGATCATTCGGAACGACGCAGTTCTAACAGGATACTTCAGAAAAATGTGGAAAATCAATAGACTTGCGAAAAATAGTGCTATTTTTTTCAATGTTGAAAAATGAAAAAAAAAGTTAACAACAGTTATTTCGAAGACTCAGTAAAAAGAAAAATTTCTTCTTTTTTTCAAAAAAAGAGGGTCTTCTTCTAAGACGAAGAAAATTTAAGAAAGAGAATATTCGAAAATTCAAAAATAGCGACTAGTGGGTTGAAGCTCGGCGAAGTTTGCCGTTCAAAAACTCTTGGAGCGGAAAAACGAGTAAAAGTGTCTGAGTCGTTTCAGCAAATGGTTTCTTCGCTTTTTATGCCGCAGCCGCTCAGATGCGCAGGTCTTAGTGTCCGAAACTTCAATTTTGTTATCTTACTAGAGGCGTTTTTACTCCCCGTTTGAACTTTTGATGAAACTTCGCTCAAGTGTACTACATGTACTACTGATTGCAGAACAAAAAAAAACATTTTTCTCTTTTTGAGTTAGGACCCTTCGAAAGCTTTAATAGCGCTATTTTGTAATAATTTGTAGCGCTTCTAAACCGTAAAAATTTTATATTTAATATCAATTCTTATTTTAAAATGTCCAAGGCGAAATTTTTATGCTTATATGCCTTCAAGTACATGATTGTCTTAAAATTGTCAAGCAACTTGAAAGAAAACGGCTTTTCGAAATATAGAAGATTTTCCTAGGAAATATTTTCCTTGAATTCTGTAGAAAAACAACTAATTTGTACGATTCAGAAAAGGAAATTGGAATTTCAAAAGATGTTTGAAGAAATGAGAAATTTTTGTTTTTTATTTGTGAGATATATCCAAATATGAAAATTTTGAGCGATTTTCCGCTACAATTAGCTTTATTTTTCGTAAAGGCAGAGCCCAAAGGTTCTAAATATCATTCAACGCGAGGCAGGTAGAAATCACTGAGCCGGGATTTAAGAGAAAGATAGTAAAAAAAATTCAGTATTTCATAAAGATAGTTATAAAAATTCTCTGGATAGGTCGTAAGGTCAAAATCGTCTATCTATTCTGATAACACATCAATGAAAAATACATATTTCTCTGGTTGATAATGTCATAAAGTATATTGTTTTCTGTTTCAAATACACTTGAAAACAGAATAAAGAGATAGAGAAAGATAGTACGAATAAATAGAATAAAAAATAAAGGAAAAAAAAAACTCTGAGAAAAGCGGTGTCGCAAGGCTTTCCAGATCGTGTGAAGGTTGGAATTCTTGCACTTCCAAGAGAAAATAAGGCGTGAAGAAAATAAGATACGTTCCCACTCCAAGTCATTTTCCCTCCAATTTTCTTCAAATAGAATTCTATCCCTTCTCCAATATATACTTTTTTTGCTTTTTTAAGAAGGTCTTTCTTGAAGAAATTGTGGAAAAACCTTTGCATCTGCTTTCTTCTTGATGAGAACTCTCGGTTTCTTCTTATTTTCCGCTTTCTTCAGTTGCGCGGCAAGCACCCTGAAAAAAATTTTTTTACATTTATTTTTTTTCCTTTTTTTTAAGTTATTTTTTTATCAAACTACAGTACCGCCCAAAAATAAATCAACCCTGGGGTTTTTGCCATAATTTTTTTTTCCAGTTATTTGCTTGCAAAATTTCGCCAAATATGTGTGGTTGCCGATCAAACATACAGGTAGAAAAACCTAAGGGTTGATTTCTTTTGGAGGGTACTGTTCAAGGAATTTTTCGGCCTGAAAAAAAAATTTTTTAGAAATTAGAAAAAATGTTAGAAAATTATGTTTAGAAAATATATCGATATAATTTAAACTTTTTAAAAAAGGGTTCATTAATATTTCACGAATTAAGGTTATTAAATTTTTTTCTAAAAGCGATTATCCTTTTTTTCAAAAAAACGTAAAAAAAATAGAGGAGATGAAAAATTTGCTAGCGATATGGAAATAGTTGAAGGATCGTCGTTGAAAAATGTATCAATTTTCAATTCGTAAATCGATGAAAGCTTTCAAAATTCTGTCCCGCGTTTTGATTATTCAAACGATTTTGAAAAATTTACGAAAAGTGTGACAAATAGAGAAAGTTTTTCGAAAGAAAAATAATTGCCAAATAGTTTAACTATGCGAATGTTGGCAAGGTGAACAGACCTGTCGGCAGGCAGTTGGTTGAGGTCGGAGAGGTTGATCTTGCCGAGGCCGAGGGAAACGCCGCGCGCCGCCAACATCCCGACAGCTTCTCCAGCTCAGCAACGTCTTCCCATTCTCACTTCATGTCTTGTGAACGGCCCTAAATATTTTTGACCAAAAAAATCAAAAAAATTATTCTACCAGCTCCTAACTTAACACGTTAACAAAATATTTGAACACTCAAAAAAATAAATTTCTACAAACAAAATAAATTACAGGAGTGGAGTTCTGCGAAGACAATAGAGTGAAAATACACATTTCGCTACAAATTTACGAAAGTAAAATCATTTTCACTAGCTTCATGAGAAAAAAAAACTCACACAGAACATGTTTTTGTTCCAGAAAAAAAAAATTGGAAAATAGTTCTGAGAAAATAAGGCAGGGCTTGTCGAAGTTCGCAAGACAATTTCTTTTGGATTGGTTTGCAGAAAAATGAAAAAATAATAGAAAGAAAATGCATCATAGTCCTGTCAGAGAACGATTGCATGGAGAAAGAGCTTCAAATTCAATCAATCAATATTTTAAAGAGTGATAAATTTACGCCTTCCCACAGTGTAAAATTAACAGCAATCGAGAAAATAAACTTTGTTTTGGATCATGAAGTTGAGAATCGGTCAACGAAAGAATAAGAAGGAGAAAAGAAACTCGAAGACGGCTCGAGTACAATTAGTGAGGCTATCAAAATGGGGCTTGGAGAAGGCGTGCCGCGGAGACAACGGACAATGGAATCGATGAGTAGGTCCTGCAGCGTTTGTTTCACGTGGCCGCGTCGTGCGAGCAAAGCGAAGTCGTAAATTCTCTTGCGAAAGTGGAAGAGAAAGAGCAAATTTCGGATGGCCAGGAGCCAAGGAGGCGGAGCAGGTCTTTTTCCGGCCTGGCAGCTGTCACTCTGTTGTTGCGTTCCAACTGCCCCAGATATTCAATCTACTTTTCTTGTGACTGAATACGACTAACAAGAAGATGTCATTAGCGAATACTAAATTATGACGTTCCTGTGTCTTGGAGCAATCCCGACCAGACAATTTCAGAAAAATCGAATGGAGATTTGTCTTTTTTTCAGGTCTATACTCAATTTAGTTCAATGTTTGGCAAGCATTCTCCTATCCGGTTTTTAAAACGCGGCAGAAATCAAGTTGGAATGGAATCGTCACCTTACAAAACAAAAATAAAATGTAAACGTTCCAGTTAGATAAAAAATATATGGGAAAACCGACCTGACATTGGTGGGATGGAAGAGAAGAGATGAATTGCCAACCAAGAGTGGCTGAGTGGAAACCTCCTCGCTTTTCGTCTTTTTTCCGCTAATTTTCGTGCATTCCCAATGAGCGATGAGACTTCCCAAGAGCTTCGGCCTAAGGTCTCGAAAATTGAAAAAAAATTCTTAACGTGTTTAATGATGAACTCTGAGACCCTAGACGTGAGAACTTGTGCACGGTGAATGAAAAGACAAGAAAGAAACACAGTGAGAGGGTTTACAACATAGTTGTTCGTGTGTGCTTTTTTAAAAACGAGGAAAAGTTTCCAAAAAAATTTTTGAGACGAGATCGAGACAAGCAGTTGTGACGAGACATTATCAGACACAACTTTTAAAATAAGCACAATCCCTGCAAAAATATAGCTTTATTAGAAATAGGAAATCTATACTTAAAACCGTCCATACTACAATTTAGAAATGAATTTTTATTGAAATGTTTTTTTTAATATCAACGTATTTGATAGTCATAAAACCAACTGGAAAATTTCAGAGAAATATTATTTCAACCATTGAATGAAAAAAAAATTCTGCAAAAACACGACAGAAATTGCAAAAAGAAAATTTTGACTGAGAAAATTACATAAGAGTCGAAAACAAGTAATTGTTTATTTTTTTAAAATGTACTTACTAAATTTCCATCATCAAAGTAAAATTGATTCAAACGAATGGAAACTGTTTCAAAGTTTTAAATAACAAGAAAACAGCAAAAATTTCGAAAAGTCTCGACGCGCAAACTTGTTCCTTCCGCATGCACTCTCTCGTAGAACTGAATACGCTTCACATTTTTTCAGTTTTCTTTCGACAGTTTTCAATTTTATCCAAACTTTTAAACGGAGCCAAGCCTCATATGATCATTTTCCGAGTTCCGACTTCCAAAATTCAGAGAAGTTGCTCATCTATATGTTTCACTTTGTTCAAGCGTTGTCAGTCAATGTTTGGAATTGAACATGAAATTCAAAAAAAAAAAATGCGTTTTGGGCGTCATTGCCTTTTTACACTAACGTTCACGAGTTCCGATAATTTTTTAAAATTATATTTTGATGAAAATCAATTAATTTTTAAGCATATTATATCTGCTTTATTCGAGCACCTAGATAACTGTCAACCGTTCAAACATATTTGCTGTCATGACAGCATAAATCCTTCATTATCAATTTTTTTTTTTGAAATGTTTCTTTTTAAACTTCAATATGCATATTTTCCAGCAAATTAAACCATTAGAATGGCTATTGAGACTTGGGGGAATCCGAAAACCAGCGTTTCTTTTTTCAACTAGAAATAACAGAACCTCTCTCGAAATGATGATGTTTCTCAGAAAGTTTTCGTATTGTTTCGAGAGGGTGTTTGACCATTAAACACGCCGTGAAAATTTTAGCCTCGCTTGTTATCAAACGAAAGTGGCGTGAGTAGTTTCGTGTTTAAAAATTTCTCGCAGGAACCTTTGAAGTTAGTTGAAATTGCAAATTTTCAACCTTAAAGACGAAAACTTTTTCATTATTTTGGTCCTATGTTTACTTGTCATATCATATGTGAGGGTTTTAAGATGCAAAGTAATGAAAGTTGACTTCAAGGCGTTTTTGTATAACTCATTGATCGTTACTTCTTACGAAATCGCTTGTGAATTCCACACGATCTTGAAAACTACTGCTAGAATTTTATTTTTCGCATCTTATCCTGCATTCATTTTTGAGGAACACTTTATTTATAATGAGCAGATGATCTCAATTTGGTTCGCATTCTGTTTTCTTAATTTGAAATAGAATAACCTTCAAGTTTCTCTATTTTTAATTGTTCCACGAGTTCGAAGTTGAAAAAACTAAAAAACTTATAAGCGATTGATTTTTCACAAGATTGTTTTTCGGGTTTCAAAGATCGCCAAACTAAACACAAACAAGCAAATATTGTGCAGATTTTTTTCTCGCTCAGTTTGTTTCGTTTGTGCGGTAGTTTATTGAAAAAAACTTTTTTAATTGTGAAAAAAATTAATTTTTCATGTATAAGGCAGATAAAATTTTGAAAAAAAGGATTGAAATTCTTTAAATACTGTTTTTTCAATGCTTCATATAGTTCAGAAACTACTAATGCGTCTCTTATTGATCTACCGCTTATTTTAAAATATCATTCAAACAGAGAGTTATAAGCTTGTCGACTCTTCGAAAAGAAGCCATCACGTTTTCAAGAAAAATTTAATCAACTTCTTTTAAAATGTTCGTCTCTTTTTCTCTTATCGGTTAATCCCGAAAGAGAAAGCGAGTTCATTTTTTAAAGCTTTGTTTTTCGCCGTTTTCCTTTTCTTTAGTCGACTTTATACTCGATATCATTCTGGAGACTTAATGAATGTTAAATGCTAATGGTTGATTTTTTTTTTTGCAGAGGTTAGGAAGGATGTCAGAAACGAAACTTTCGGAGTTGGCGATTCGTATGTTTTCTTTTTAAATTTCCTTCTAATTCTCATGATTACCTTTTCTTATTAATTGTGAGTTAAATTTCATTGACAACAGGGGACCGAATATTTCAAATCAAGTCATCCTACTTTGAAAATTCGATGATTTTTTTATTTTTGAACTTGTCTTTTTTTCTCTCATTTCAAGTTTTGTATACGCATTTGTTAGTTTTGCTGTATAAGCCATGTAGAAGTTTTGAATAGAATCAAATTTCGAAATTGAGAACCAACAAAAATAAATTGAAACAAAAGTTTTGAGTGGCTAAGAGGTAGCAAAATTTAGAAAAATAGTTAAATGAAATGCTAAGATTTTGTCTAAAGTTATATGAATGCGGTGTTTGATTTGAAAAACTATAGCGATTTGAAGAAAGGAGGACTGAGATTAAAAGTTCTATGAAACTTGTGGGTTTGTTTCAATATAAGTGTTGTATGCCTTTTCCAAGTTTTTTCAAGATGCCATTGCAGAGGAGCCACGGATGATTATCGTTGAGGTAGTAGGTGCTAAGAAAAATGTGGCTCTTGTTCGGCTAAACAGACCCGAAGCACTCAACGCGTTATGTTCGCAGCTGATGGACGAGGTTTTTTTTTTATATTTTCAGCAATTAGGCTCATTTTTCTTCTTCTGTTGCATCTATATTCTCAAAACTTCGAAGGATCTTTTCGATAAAAAAGTTCGAAGAAGTTTTCAAAACATTGATTAAAAATATGAAAAGACAAACTGTGTAGAATGTCGCTTATGGAGTTCAAAGTTGACGGTTTCGAGAAGTTAATGCATGTATCGTTTGAGCTAGCCGTTGCCCTATTGAAGTTGGATATGAACACGGAAATCCGCGTGATTGTACTGACTGGCAATGAAAAGGCATTCGCTGGCAAGTAACGATTGATCGTATTCTGTGATTTTCTCAATTTTTTCAGCAGGCGCTGACATTAAAGAGATGAGAGAATTGGAGTTTGCACAAGTCTTTGGCGGCGGGTTTGCCATTTTTTCGAGGTAAAAAAAAGAAGATATTTAAGGTACCTAGCTAATTGGTCCGCACTTTCGGATGTTAAAAAACCGGTGATTGCCGCTGTCAACGGATTTGCCTTGGGCGGAGGCTCAGAACTCGCGCTCATGTGCGACATCATCTATGCAGGCGACACCGCGCAGTTCGGTCAGCCAGAAGTCAACGTTGGCACCATGCCAGGTCTTTCTTTCGAATTAATAATTGGGAAAATCATGAAAACAGCATGTCACCGAAAATACGTATTATTAGGTAAAGACCCTTTAATGACTATCAGATTGAATTTTATTACGGAGTCGGGAAGTCTATTATGTCAATTTTTTTTTCGCATATAAAATTCACATCCTTTGAATATAAATCATTGGTGTGATTCAAAAAAAATGAACCGTAAAAATTGTTTTTTTTTTCCTCCTTTTTTTTTGACCTTTTTTTGGTGAGCCATATTTTTAGACCTTTTTCAACGGTATTTTTGTCTAAGGCTCTTTACCACGAGCTATTCTGTCATTTGCCAATTCTTAATGGGTTAATAATTTTTGGCCTGTTATCAGGTGCTGGAGGAACGCAAAGATGGCCCCGATTCACTAGCAAATCGTTCGCCATGGAGGTTTGTCTGACAGGAAGTAGAATAACAGCTCACGAAGCAAAGGACGCGGGTCTCGTCAATCGGGTAACTTGCAGAAGAAAAAAAAAAGTCGCCAAGTATCAATTTCAGGTATATCCGGCAGCGGATCTCGTCGCTGAGACAATCAAACTCGCCGAAAAAATAGCTGAGAAATCTCCAATAATTGTTCAAACCATAAAAGTTAGTCTTCTCACTATCTCTCAGTAGTTTGGAATGATATCAGGAATCTGTGAACTCCGCCTATGAAACGACTTTGAATCAAGGGCTGCGCATGGAACGACGGCTTTTCCACTCGACCTTCGCCACGGTTCGTTTTTTTGCTCAATGTATCCAGGAAAAAAAATTTCCTTTGCATGCATTAATTTTTGATTAAATTTTAAAAAAATCTAAGTACTTTCAGAACGACCGTAAAGAGGGAATGAAGGCGTTCTCAGAAAAGCGTACTCCCGAATGGACCTCCTCTTAAGGGGATATCACTAGACTGAATCCCAAAACCAACAACCAGTTTATCACCAGAAATCAACCAACAAATAATCACATAAGTGAACAACCAAATGCAATAAATTAATTGAACAAGTAGTCAAAAAGTTTCAGAAGAAAAAAACATGAAACAAGTAACGAATAATGAGACTATTATCAGAGCCGATATCCTAAGAGAAAAATCACGACTGCGACCAGAATATTTCCTATATGACAAACGCACAAAAATAAATAAATAATTCTCTGATAAAAACTTGATCCAACAGATAAAGCTGCATTTGGCCACACAGAATATTTAGTGAGAATGGCCGTGTGAACCTCCATGAGAGTGGCCGTGGGAGCCGCCATGGCTGTGTCCGTGGCCGTTGCGTGGTTTTCGCGGCAACATCGTTCCTTTCTCAATCTGAACCAACCTTTCAAAGATTTCTTTTAAAATTGCAGATTCGACTCCTTTAGCGAGAATAAAAGTTCTTGACATCGTGATACGGGCTTTTTTGTTTTGAATTCTTGATTGTGCGAATATCATGAAAACCAAACCGGATGACCAAGTCGATAACCGGGGCAAATTTGCTGTATCTTCTGCTTGAAGACATCTTTTTCGACTTGGACCGTGTAATGCGTGGCTCCAGCGGCTTTCAGCAGGCCTCCGACCTGAAAAATTTCATGTTAACTGGTTTCTATAATCGAAATTTCTCTTTTTCTCAAAGCGCACCTTGTGTCGAATCATCTGCGCATTAGAGCCTGAAGTCGCCTGTACATGAAGACTCGCGACGTTCAAGTCCGATTTGAGCTGCCACAGATGAGCCTTGGAGTAGGACAAGACTCCATCAACTTCCAGGGAATCTTGCAGATGATGCTCGAAATCCTCTTCGAAACCGTCAGGAACGTCCTAAAAAACAATTAGATAAATAGAAACGTGAACAATATTTTTTCAAATAAGCAAGCTTTGCTCGAAAAATTGGAAATGAAAAACTTTGGTAAATTTAGATTCTCAAGTTTTTCAAAAATCATTTAATGTTAGAAATGAGAATCACCTGCAGTAGTGTGTTGACACTGCTTTTCAGAAGAGGCAAAACTGATCCAATGATAAGAAGAGATAAAATCAGAGAGCAAAGGGGATCAACCCAGACCCACCCGAACCTGGAAAACTTGAGGGCATCAGAGTACAACTTTCATTTTCATACCACTGAATTAGTAAAGTTGATATGATGACGAAAACAGACCCCAAAGTGTCAGCGAGAACATGTAGAAAAACACCTGAAAAGTAGACAGTTCGCCATTTTTTTTGTCAATACTATTTTATAATCTATTTCCTACATCTATCTCGTGAAATTTAGTACTTGTGTGTGAGAAATAAAACATTTTGATTTTGATTTGATAAGTTTCATTTAGGATAGATTGAGGAGAGGAACCACTAAAGCGTATAGAAAATAGAATAAAAAATCTTAAAAAAGCAAAAATGTGAGACAGTTCAGGTGGTCGAAACGTAATAAGTACGCTTCAAGTGTTTTAACGGCCACTAATTTCCGCTCTTTGTAACGCCACATCAAGTAAAGTTGCTTGCATGGAGCTGGAGAGCGCAGCGGAGACTCGAACCCGGGTCCCCAACTTGGCAATCAGACACCTTCGCACTGCGCCATTTTTCTTTCCTCATCTCTCGCGCTGTGGGCCATGGTAACCTGGCCGCCGCAGAGAGTGTACAACATCTCTGTGAACGGAAAACTTGCAGTTACAAAGAATCTTTTGAAATAATTTGAAAATCTTGATTGGCGCTAGGTTAGGTTAATAGTAGGCAGTAAAATAACAAGGCTTCTCATTTCATAAATGGAGTTTATTTTCAAATTTTCGGGACTGCGATTTTCGAAGGTTAAAGAGCGTACAGAAATGAGAAGATGAGCGTTTTATTTTCCTTTTCTGGTTTGCGAAACATCGACCGTATACTCCATAGATGATGAAAAATTTTCGATTACAAAAAAAAATTTTATATGAAAAATGAGTGTTTGAGCTTTATGCAATAATTTATTTTGAATATACAAGTTTAAAAGAATTATAGAGAGCTAAAAGGCGAAAAAAATACCCGGTCATTGCCTAAGATGAAGTTGATTGAGATAAGGAAGAGAAAAAAAATGTTTTATTTGAAAATGAAAATTTTTTTTTTCCAAGTTTTCTTTTTTCTGAACTGTTCTTTACAGACCTCTGACTTTTTAGAAGGATAGTTAAAACTAAGAAACTTCAAGATCTTTTTTTTTTTGCACAATGACAGAAATTCAGAGAAAAGACGAAAGTTCTTAGGAATCTTTAAACTCAAAATTGAGACCCTTTTGATCACCTGAACCAGCCGAAATGGGGTTGGGCAAAAAAATGCTCCTTTTTTTCGAAAGTTCAGAAAAGGTACGAACAATTGAATTTTAGGGACATGACGAAAAGGCAAAAAGGTCCTCACTAACCTTGCATATTGGCGTTGCCACCGTGCGAATGTCCATGAGATCCGCCATGAGAATGGGAAGATCCGCCATGACTATGGCCATGTTCCCCTAGGGAGTACATTCCGAATAGATTGACCAGAAGGCCGGAAACCGCGACGAACTGTACAAAGCTGGTCAGTGGAAACCAAGACCATGCGACATACAAGAAGACGGTCTGTGTTTATGTTCGGAGGGTCGAAAAGTCTTTCTAGAGCCTCGATGAGAATGAAGAGAGCGATGACGCACAGGAAGAGCGCATTGATGAAGCCCGAGAGAATCTGTAGAAAGGCAAATCACGAGAGAAGACGAGAGACAAGGACCTCTACCCTACCGAATCCGTAGGTGAAATGTCGCGAAGGAGGCCACCGGGCCATCACAGACGCAACGAGGCCCATTACCTGGAAATGGAATCTTAACAAGGGAAATGTGTGAGGTGAACATTGCAGATCTGGTCCAAACTTCTATGATAGGGAGTCCTAGGTCTGAGTACTGGAAAACAGAAAGAATTATCTGCTAGGGTACGGAGTAATAACTCGTGGATTATGTACTCAAAAATGATTTTCTTCGTGTTTAAGTCCTCTTTAAAAAAAATTGATCTGATATAATTCACTAACTATAAGAGAAAGGAAAATGTAATTTTCATTCTCGTTGTTCCCTAACACGTCTTTAGCAGCCTTTTCCATACATATGAAACTGCAAAAACTAACCAAGGCGCTGCAATCGAAAAGCATGTGGAATCCATCGGAAATGAGACCAAGACTGTTCGTCCAGAACCCATACAGGAATTCCACTCCACAGAAGCCGATGTTGACGCAAAGAAACCAGAAAATGCGTCGAGAATCCGAATTGGCCAAGATTTCTCGTAGAGTCTCCTAAATGCCAAAATACGAAAGCAAAGAGATATTGAGATGAACCTTGAAAAAAAGAACCAAAGATTTGCTAGTTCGCTGGAGGAAGGCTTCTCCGTAGGTGAAAAGAGGTAGTCCCGTGTTGGAAATGCCGACAAAATGACCACCTCGGTGTTTCGGAGGGGCGGCAGATGTGAGAGATATCGAAGCTGAGAAAGATAATGATCTTACATGTGAAGGTAGTTGATGATAATCCTACCGAAGACGAAAGCGACGACGGTGATGACGACGCCTCCAGTCAGAGAGTGCTCGGTCAGGTTCTGGGCTCCATACCAGAGATAGGCGAGGAAGAGAGAGCAGGTGAACATAGTGACGGGACTCCAGCGGGCCGCAGCCATCACTGGATCGGCCACGTGCTGGAAAATGAACCCCGTCCACTACTACTTCAGGGAAAAATACTTGGAAGCAGACGCTTTCTGCATAAAAGTCCAGAACGAAGATGAAAAGGGTTGCGACGACAAGAATTGTGGCCGATTCGAAGAACGACATTGTCGAAAGAGACTAAAAACGTTGCCTTGTTTTTGAAAATAATTCAATGAAAACCAGAAACTAGAACAAAAGCCAAATATGGCATTGAATATACTTTGATTTATAAGTACTATTAGGAAAAAATATTCACGAAAATTCACACGTGAACAGCAGCTCAAAAAATGAAGGCTGATTCTCAAACATTTTTCAAATAGTTTTGATAGTTTTCACCAGAGGTGGAGGATGGCTGCCCACTGGCCGCCCTGCCTGCCAAGCCATGAACGCCCAAAAGCAGAAATGACTTTTTCAATAGTAGGTCAATGACTAATTTCTATCGCTTGGCTAAATGGCTTGGCTTGGCCGCCAAGCCAAGGGCTGCCTTCCCAATCCTCCACCTCTGGTTTTCAAAAAGCGAAAAAATTTCAAAATTCTTAATTTTGTGAAAATTTAACGTTGAAAATCGATTCCGAGCAATTCCCTCAAAAGTGATATCAAATCAAAAATTGATTCTTCAGGAAAAAATAACTCACTGCGGGAGAGAAAGCCCAGGAAAGTACGAATATCGGTGTCAAAACGGCAGCACAGACAGGCTAAAAGAAAATTCCTCCGAAACATCAAAAAATTTCCATACCGTTACAAGAGCATGAAGTCTTTTGGGACCGCCGATTTCCACCGCAAGATGTCGGAAGGAGGATTCATAAACTTAAAAAAGTAACTGCAAAATCTGCTTCACATGTGAAACTTCAGAAACATGCATACGGTGGTATCGTTTTTTTTAAACGAATTTTTATGTTTTCTTTTCAGGTATTTTTTTTTTTACCAAATTCATGATCTTGCTTGGCTATTTTTCACATCGTTTGAAAATCAGAAAAAGATTATAAGAAAAAATTTTAAGGTTGTAGAACTTTTAAAAATCAACGGAAAATTAATTAAAATCTTGAGATTCCTAGTTCTACCACACAGCGAGCCCACTCATCTGACAAGAATATCTCAGAAATTTTGTCGCCAATATTTTGTTATTCCATAAAATTTAAAACGCTTAAACACGAACCAATTCGGAACACCAAAGCCAAGAAAAGGATAACGACGCCTCCCTGGTGATCGCTGACGCCGAACATGCCCGTCAGATGATAAAACAAATGATTCAGACCACTGTGATGAGAGTGAGCTTTGTCTGAAAACTCGAGAGATAAAGGTACTTCCCAAAGAAAGGCTCACGGTGAGCATCTTCAATGGTCTCATCTCTGTCCATGAGCATGAGAGCGACAAAGCCCACAACAAGAAGGAAAAGTCCGCGACTTTTGGCCGGCGTCGAATTCCCCTGGAAGTTATATTTTCAGTCAAGTTCAAAGTTTCCATCAAAATCCAATTCCTTAAGAAGTGCCTTTAGGCATTTTTTTTCGACCTCCAAAAAATATACCAACAAAGAACCTTGAAAAAGGATGAAACAGCCACGAGCAAGACGGACGGACTGAGCTCGAAAACCAAGACGCTTCTCAAAGGACCGCATAACGTGATTCCATAGAACCAAAGCGTTTCAATGACAATGTTCATTAGAGCCAGTTTTCCAATTCGGATAACCTTAAAACTCAAAAATCTAAGGAGGGCATTGCCACTTACCAAATTTTTTCTCAAGCCTTTCCCGTTGGAAAGAGGCTTTTGGACCGGGAACAGAATTAAAGAAGCTCTGAAAAACTTTTTTAACTGCCTCAAACGTTTGAAGTTCAACTCACATAGTCTTGCATAGCCACAGAAGATCCACTACGTGAAAACTTTTAGTCAAAACATCAATTAGGAAAATTCCAATACAGCGTAAAACTTTAGCTAACACTAAAACACAAAAATACCATGCCGACCTGGAAAAGACATCATTTTTCTATGAAGCGAGACGTATTTATACCTGGAGGAAGATGTCGGTGTAAAATTACGATCATCTTTTTTGATCAAATCGTGAGCCAACATAGTTTTCAAAAATATTTCTGTGTAAATACAAAACTCCTTTCAATTAGTAAAACATCCTGTAAACCATTAATTATACTTTTGGAGCGAACGAAGACATTCAGCAGATCAGCATTAGAAAAAATTAATGCCGTGTTCAATTTGATTCCACGAAATGCAAAATGATCTCTGACTCTCCAAAATTTAGTGATATTTTCCTTCCTCTAACGGGTATTTTACATTTCGCGGAATCAAATTAAACACGGCATAAAAGTGATAAGAAAACTGGAGGATCTTTCGAGCTCACTAGTCAGAACACATTCTGCGAGCGGCGTAATTTTTATGTAAAAATGGTCAAAATCATGCACTTTTCGGTGGATGTGTATTCACAAAATGCAGCGAAAGCGCCGCAATGAACTAAGGACGCTGGCTTTTAAAATGGACGCTGCTGTCTTCCGCTATTTTCCTCTCTTTTGCGCTTTTTGACATTTAGAACGTTGTTTTCGAGCTTTTCCGAGTTTTAAAGTTTCCTCTACTAAAGTGAGATTCTAATAAAAAGTCAAGCATTCTTTTGATTATTTGTAAGAGTCATTCAGATAGAGCGAACTTTAAACGGACGGAAAATTGAAAAAGAAAAAAAAATTATATATATTCGTACAGGCGTGCTGGAAAACTTTTTCAGTTTTGACGGTTTCTTACCCGTTATAAAAGCATCTTTAAAGATAGTCGACCGAGTTTTCCAACTTGCCCATGACCAATGTAAAGCGTTTCAGCCTATCTCATCTGTTTGATTGAAAAGATTGTATCTGGGATGTTTTACACGCTTACTCGATTACTGTTTTTTCTATTCGTGTATTCATACTGTGCAGCTGAAAAGATTGACGATTCTATTCACTATTTTTTATCGTTCACCCACGACCAGTCAAAAAAATACAGGTTTTTTTCAAGGCATCATATTTAAAAATTCTATAGTTCTTTTTATATATATTATTTTTTTCTACTTTAAAGAAATATTTAAAAAAAGAAGATTCTGTTAGATAATGTTATGTGAAAACCGTAAAAATCAATTTAGAAATTTAGTTACAATTGTTTTTTTCTTTTTTTAAGGGCTCTTTCGAACTGGAAGACGATGCCAATGACGATTACGTACGCATCACAACCAAGAACAACGAAAGATTTTATTGCAAAATACCTCAGTTTGTAGAAGAGGTTTCCTCTCATTTTCAAATCAAATTTATAAGATAATCGCAGGATTCTCATAAGATAGAGAACTACAACGGCCCTTCTCCGCAAGAGATTTTGGATCCTCTGTACAAAAGAAGTGGCTGTTCTTACTTAGTAGATGCTTATTGGAATTATGAGGTGATTTTGTGTGATTTTTGTATGATATTTTGCTCTTATTTAGGTTTGCCATGGACGCTACGTTATACAATACCACGATGAGAAACATCTGGGATCCGTGTATCGAACAGAGTATTACCTAGGGAACCACCAAGGGGAAAATGCTCTAGAGGTTTGCGAACTTCCTAGATTGTCCAATGCGAATAGCACAGGCAGAGAAGAAACACGAGTCTTTGCGTCCTCCCTCGAAACGGATTGAAACGGAAGACTACCCTTATTACTCCGTTTCCTATACGCGCGGAACTCAATGCGACATAACTCAGAAGCCCCGTTCCTGCGACGTTCTGTACATTTGCGTAGAAGTGAGCAACGTCTGTAAGGACAGATTTTTCAACAATCTTTGCAGAATGTGATGCAGCCTAAAATTTTGTCTGTGACAGAAGTTTCTTCTTGCCACTACGAGGTTGCGTGATCATTTTCTTTTTCTAAATCCAAGATAATGAATTAAGATCATAATAATGTCGGCTTTGATTTGCGATCATCCTGCATATCGACTGAAAACGTCGAAAGATCAGGAAATCATTTGCGTGAACTTAGATGCTGAAAACGAAGAAGCAGCAAAGCCGCGGTCGCTTCAACGCTTGGACGATTTTCACGATACCACTTTCAAGAGGGTTTTTTTTTCATGGCACTTTGAAAGGTGAACTAAATTTGATAATGAAGGAATACTCGATCACACACGAGGACTTCCGAAAAGACGAAGAATTACTGGAAGAAAGTGAATACGAGAATCTTAAGAAGTATTCGAAGCGATCTGCAAGTGCTGGAAAGTATAAACTTGCAGGGAAAAAACGGTTCGAGTTGTTTTTTTCTATTTTTTTTTCTATTTCTTGTTTCTAGATTTACTAGTAAAGATACTCTGGCCAACAACAAGGTTGTAGTGGATCATACAGTAAATAGCATCTTCACGGGGTTCGAATGTATTGTTGGTGGTGAAGGCTGGTGGAAGTACGAGTTCTGCTACGGAAAACAGGTTTTTCATGCTTCGAGTCTTTTTTATACCGCATTTGTAAAGTGAATTCCGCCAAATTCAAAATTATTTTACAAGGGAGGTCATTTCATTTTGCGGTTGGGAATTTTCGGAAAATTGGCCAGAACCCTTTTTGATGTACCAGATGAAGAATCGGAAAGTTTCAACCTGCACAACATCCTTGTTTTCGGGAGAGACGCCTCAAAGTCGAAGAAAACCCTCAAAACCCAAAGTACTAGGATATTTTAAGACTTAAGGCTGTTTTGAATTTCGCGAGATCACTATTAATTTTTGCTGTAGGTCATACAATATCACCAAGAGCTGAACGGACACCGCGACGAAATTATTCTAGGAGTCTTCGATGAAAAAATGCATAAGTTGTGGGTCGACGAATCGCCAAAGACTCGTGGACCTCAAAAGGTTTTTTCCTCTATATAAAATGGCTTTTGTTTAAAAAAATTTTCAGGTTGACAATCATGTAGCCCAAGTTTCTCATTTCTACTCGAAAGGAGATTTGTGCGAAGAAGCGGGAGGTCATAGGTGAACTTTTCTTTTCTTCAGTTTCAACAGATAAAAGTTATTTTCTCAGAAGCATAGAAGTCCGACTACGCTGTCACCACTCTGAATACAGCTCTCTTTCCATTTCTCTAGCTTTGACAGAACCCAAGACATGTCAATATGTCCTCACCATCGATAGTGAACGGTACATAAATTTCATTCTTCTGTTTTATTAACTTCTTTCGTTTTTAGGTTTTGCGAGCCTCTGCAGTACTCTGACGATTACGGGTTAATAAAACTGAAAAAGGTTTCCCCCGAAAACAGCGAAGATGATGTAGACGAAGAAGATGAAGAAAGTCTATCCTCGTTGTAGCCGTTGCAGTCGAGCCTTTGAACTTGCCTTAGATTTCATTTTTCACTTTACATAGATAATATGTGTATACAAAGTTATTATTTGGTTGTGAATATGAGTAAAAGAATGGGATGGTAAGACGTAAAATTTGGTCTCTCGAAATTTTTAAGCGAGACAGTGTGAGGAGTTGCAGAAAAACTGGATAACGAGGACTCCAACCCTCGTTGATCTCTCGCTTTGAAATTTTGAGGGAACAGATTTCACTTCCTACTAAAAAGAATTTATTTGAATATTTTTTTCCACTTTGTATTAATTTTTCACTTCTGCTAGCACTCAATTTCTTGTTACATAGTTCTCATATATACCTTTCTTTTTACGGGAAATCGGAAAATGATCGTTAATAATGTTGATAAATATCTTTATTTGAAACGAAATCAACTCAGCGCATATACTCGGATGGGACAAACATGTCGTCGGAGCTTCTTTTTCGTTCCTGCAATCGCCAATTTTTTCGAGATTCAAGGTTTCAAACCTTGGCGACAAGTGTGTGCGCGTTCTTCGTCCGTGTCAACTTCGCATTACTTCCCCACTTGCTTCGCACGTGTGTCAAAGAGTGCTCATAAGAACGTACATCTACGAAATATCTAAATTTCGGCTCTACCTCTGAGTTTCAGGAAGAAAGCTCTCACACTAGAGTGTTAGAAGATTTTGCTCTGACGAAATCGTGCAGTTATATATTATCCGTTCAGATATTTATTGTCAAGTCATCCCTCAAGCTCCACCCCTAATGGCGAGAAAAGCCAATCATTGAGCGAGCATTCCAGAGAGGATTTTTGAATGAGGTCATTGCGCTCCATGATAAAAATGTGAAAAAACTATTTAGTCTGTTCAGATTTTGAATGTCAAGTAAAATGACGTCATTCGAAAACGCTCTGTGGATAGCTCGCTCTCTGATTGGTTTATCACGCCATTAGAGGGCGGAGCTTCAGCGAGGACTTGACATTTGAAATCTGAACAGTATCACTGTATAGGCAATTCACGGCTAACTTGGGGCGCTGAGAGGCGTGGCTTGTCTGCGCTTTCCACCAACCAGGCACTATCTCTACTTTTATCATGTCAGGACCCGGTATTCGATGGCTCAAGCTAGCCGTGTGTCAGCTATATTAAACGAATGACGTCGTTCTACTTGACATTCAAAATTTGCACCGACTATAAAATTCTTCAGGAAACTTCTGACTACAGCTTCAGGCTCTCGATGAAAGTTAGCGGAAGAATGTGTGAAAATAAAAGATTTAGGTTGCTACTCTGATTAAATGTGATATTTTTTTCTCAAGCTATATATTGGTTTTTCGAGCTTTTCATAAAACAAAGAGTTGAAGAAAAAATCCCACCGCTTTTCTCATTTTTCCGATTTATCTGTAAAATCTTTGTAGAGCAAGAGAAAATGAATCACGCACAATACCTTTCTTTCATCTTGACCATCGTCGGATTCTTCTTTTTGGTCGGATTGCTTTCCTGTATTACATTGTGTCATCGAAGAAATAGTTAAAGTACACAGTAAGAAGTAAAACCAATGCCTCAAAATCTGCCATTTTCGTAGACTGTTTTAAACTCCACACCACATCTAAGATGAACCAAAAACGGTTCTTACATATGAAATGCTTTTGTTATTCACTCAAGCGTCTATCACACGAATATAATTTTGTAAAAATGAGTGTACTTCTTTTAGTCTCACTGGCTCAATTCCAGAATGAAACTTTTTTTTTGGAAACTCAAATGTTTTTCGCCTGTTGTTGGAATTTCTAAAATTTTCAGTAATCCTAGTTATATCCGGAGCCCTCAAAAACCAGCCTTTTGCAAAAGTTTTGGAGCAAAATTAAATTTTCAGTCCTTTCCTACTGTACCCCACTGCTCCGCAAGTCCGCAGTACACGCCGAATTCAAGCGTTCTCGCAATAAATTTTTGATCCGTTTTTGCCCTGCGTACAAAAACTTGTAATTAAGTTTATTTATATTTAGTATTGTTCTTTTTCTTGAAAATAGATTCTAATTTGTTTTCCTAACACTGTCTCATTTTCCGAAAATTCCTTCTACTTCATTTTATTTTGTTTATCTCGTTTTTGTTTACTCAATTTTTTCGCTGAAGATCATTTCTATTTGAATTTTTGATGTTCTGTGTTTTTGAAAGTTATGAATATTTACAGAATTGGAGCGCCCAAATGTCATCGCTAATGAAAAATTTTTCAAATCTAACAGAAAGCACAACAAGGAGAATCAGCCCAACTACGTTAGTATTTTTTTGGCGTTAATTTTTTTATGAAATTTTTTAGAGAGACAGTAATACATCTTTAATGATAAAAAAATCAAAGTTATCCGAGAGAAGATGTTTTTTTCCGGCGTCAAAAATGATATTCATATCATTAATCCTTATTCGGTTGTGACACAGCCGAAAACTACCAAAGGTAAGACAATTTCAAATTTCGCATTTGATATATCTTGATTAAAGGACCTCGTTCATGTCCCGGAGCGCCAATGGAAAGTGATTACAATTTTAATCGCAAAAATTTCGACGGTGGCTCCCAAGCTAACTACAGTTCGCGTTACGAGAATGTTATGGGACCTAGAAAAAGAGGTTCTTTCTCCACGTAAGTTTCTCTTCTGGTCGAAAAAAGTTTTGAATTACTTATTTTTTATATATCAGTTGGTTAGTTCTCCAGATCTGATTGTTAAATTTTGCTAAAGTTGTTTTGAAGCTTTGATGTTATTTTTCAAAATTCATCGTTTATTTTTTTTAAGACATAAAATTTTTATCTTTTCTTTTTTAAGACATAGAATTTTGCGATTTTCAGAATGGAACGGTCCGAAAATAGATCCGATCGGAGTCCTACAGACTTTGGAAACCGACAGTACAAGAATATCATATCTACAAGTCAAGCTTACGATCATTACGACAACTACGAATCAGACGACGACGAAATTCACGAAGCTCGCGCCAGAATCCAACATGTCAGTTTTTTAAAATCCTTTTTTTGAAAGAAAATATAATCAAAAAATGTTTCAGTTGGAAAGTAAGATGCAACGGATGCAAAGACGGTGGTTTGAGGAACGCGCCGTCATGTCCCAGCAACTTGAGCACGCCCAGGACGAATGCTTCCGTTTGAAGTCAGTTCCACTTTTTTTTTTTCTCTAACAAGGAAGGTTTCGCTTCGTGAATACCTGAAGTTTGGCCAATTATGTACCGAAGATATTTTCTTAAATTCGTAGCCTGCAAATTTTCCTCTTTAACTTTTAAAGGTTTTTTTTTTGATATCTGGGAAGTTTTGCTGTCATTTTGATACATTAACATGACAATTTTCTTTTCTTCAACTTTTTCTGTTGTTTTTTTTTCTCATCTACAAATTTTTTTCATCCTTTTTTCCCTTTAAATTTTTTTGATTAAGCATGTCGTTGTTAAAAAAAGGCTCCAGTTAGGGCTTTCTTTCAAAAATTTATGTAAATTCACCACGCTTTTATATTAAGAATATGTAATTATTCGTCAAATTTCCTTATTTTAAAGTTTTTTTAAACCGCCTCTCAAAAATGGAAATCGAAAGAAAAAAACAAATCTTTGAATTTTTTTAATTTTTTTAAAAATTTTTTTCGATATAATTATACACGGTAGATCTTAAAAAAACAAAATCTTTTAAATTCTTTTTTTCAATTTTTAAAAAAATTTTTAAAGCTATCTCGAGTTGAACTTTTTGTTTAAAAATCTCGTCGCGAGTAGTTTCCTTTATCTTCTTTTTTTAAATTACCAACTGTTGTTTTATTTTTTTCAAATATGAATTAAATTAGCGTGTTTTTTTCAGTAAGTTAAAAAAACTCAAAACAGCTGTTTTCAGTTTTTCTTCCACGAAAGAGCGGTTTTTTTCAGGAAAATGTACGACCGAGTCCAACGATCTCACGGACACTTGAAAGTCCAGATGGAAAAAGAAAAAATGATCAATAGCAACATAATGAAGATGCTCCAAGAAGCGAATCAAAGGATCGTGAGTTTGCATTTTTATTTTCTTGACTTTTTCGAGGGGTAAATCTTTGTCATTTCATATGGTGTTCTCAATTTTCATATTTTTTGAAAAAAAAAATTGATAAGCGTCCTTTCTAGAAAGCTCTCCATGGCTGCGAAATTGCATTTTTGAATTTTGAAATGAGCGCTATGAAAATTGGAGGCGACTTTGTTTTCAAAAATTTTTTCAGCTATTTCTAGCGCTCAAAATATGAATTTAATCTGACAAGAGAGGCGTTTCAATTTGCGGTTGGGAATTCTTGAAAATTGGCGGAAACACTCTTTGATGTCCTTAAAGTTTTAGCCTGCACAAATCCCGGGTTCTTGACAAACGGAGGCTCAAATCGGCTTAATTTAACGGATTTAGAGGGTTTCTTTGACTTCGAGGTGTTCTTTCTCAAAAACTTGGAAGTTGTATAGGTTGAGACTTACAGGTTCTTCTTTTGGTACCTCAAAGAGTATCTTGGCCAATTTTCCGGAAAATCCCAATCGCAAAATTAGGATATTTAGGTACCATGCAAAGAAAATTGTTTAGGACTCTGTTCAACTATCTCGTTTATATTTACTTCTGCTTTTTTCTATTCACGCCTTAGGAACCTGTCGATTTCAGTTGATCTGGTTGTAGGAGATCCTCGAGTCGGGCAATGAGAGCGGAAACACGAGCTCGCTGCTGTGTCCCTATGGCCAGACGCTTCTCGGCGAAACGAAAGGGGCCGGAGAGGCGCTGGCTCTTCAGGAAGATCCGCAGCCGTCGGCCTTCTTCCCCGACACCGCCTGTCTCATCAGCCAGGGCACCACGGCCATCAAGGACGACCTCGACAGTCAGGACGAGGTCTCTTTTCCCCTCCTTCTTAGTATCTCTTCTCTTCACAGGTGCGTATATTTCGGACCGTCGAGAGCGGAATCTCATCGCCTCTGACCATGGAAACGGCTCGGAGAACCGACTCTCCTTTGGATTTGGCGTCGTTCAACATTGATGTCGTCCTCACGCACAAAGTGACGCCTACGAGGTTGTCCAATTAGTTATTCTCATTCTGAAAGAAGTAGAATCGAAGAAAATGCATTTGTCAATTTTTTTTTTTATGAATCTTCGTTTCCCTATACAAAAATAGAACGAGCTTCCGAAAAAAAAGACTCAAATAAACTGAAGGGTTCTTTTCTGTACTGAATAGGGAATTTCCAGAGACGCTCCAGCTCTATTTTTTGAATATTACATAAAGAAAATACATCAATCATTAATCAAGAAGTTTAGCGAAAATTTGGCGAACAAGGTATTGTATTTATGTGGAAGAGCCCTATAATATATATGAGCGGAGAGAAAACTGAGCAGATAATACATCAATAAATTAATAAGGGTAGGAAATTTCAAGCCGAAATTTTCGAGCGAAAGATTGGAGGAGAAAAAAAAAAGAAAAAAAGTTTTAAGCTTTTTTTTTGTAGATCACATTCGGATTCGGATATCTTCAATTCCGTTCTGCGGGATAATTCTGAGGCAACATCTGTCGAAGAGGAACCTGTTATACAGAAACTTTGGAAGGTTTTGGGGTTTTTTTTGAAGTTTAGCTAGTTTCACGTAAAACGTGTCAGAGCAGCCGAGATAACTTTTTTTCCTTTTTTTGAGTGTTTTGAAAACTGAAAAAGTAGTTTTTTTAATCTTTAATTTTTGAACCGTTTGGTCTTTCAAAAAAATATTTAGATTTCTAACATTTTTTTGCAAAAAAATCTTAAAGTTAAAGTTCAGGAGAGCCATTTGAAAATACTGAGGAAAGAAAAAGTTTTTTTAAAGAGATCAATCCTTGAAAATTTAACATCAAAAAAACTAGGATTTTTTTATGTAATATTCTCCTTTTTTTATTCCTAATGATTTGAGCGAAAATGAATTATTTTTAAGGGTACTCTATAAAAGTGTAGCTTCAAAATTTCAGTTTGAGATTATTTAGTTCACCAAGGTGATCAAAACCAGTGCTCAAATCCTTTTTTCTTGTCTTCTCTGGAAAAGGATCATTTTACCCTAGATTTTATACTGAATATAATTTTGAATCTCACACACAAAATAAATTTTTCGTTTATGGAATGTAAAGAAAATTGTTGAAGCTGCCTCAGAAGTGATTTGGCTTGAAAAAAAAGTCGGGTTTTTCAGCCCAGCGCTGTGGAGCAAATCGTCGAGGAAGAGTCGTCTTCTGAGGATGAAGTCGTGAGTTTGATAGAGCGGCAGCTTCGAAAGCGGGGGGATCTCGTGAAATTCAACCCTCCGCGCCAAGCTATTCATCCACGCCACTTCAGAAGGTGTTGTCTGATCCGAGAATCCCACTAACGAATTCTTTATAGATTCGGTAAAATGGAACGGACGGCTTTGGCAGAGTTCGAGTACCTCGAAGATATTTCCACCGACGTCAGCGGGATGCTCTCGAGCCCTGAGGTCAACCAACACTACAAGGCGGCCACCCTCCCTCGTGTTTAGTCGGTGGAATATCTTGTTTTTTGTTGTTATTTTTCTGGTTCTGTTGAAATCTTGTTCTTGTCTTGAATTATCAAAGTTGAATCTTCTCTTCTTCTGCTTTTCATTTTTTCATAAAGTTTCTGACCAGTATATCCATAAATTTTCCGGCTCTCATTGGTTCCAAAATTTTGACAATGGAATCGAAATTTTTGTTTTTAATGGCTCCTTTTCCCACTGAAGTAAGTCTTTAGTTTAGTAGTACCGCTCTTTTTTATGGTCAAAATTTTATAGAAACTCTTTTATTCAGTTTATTCCAACTTCTTTTTCCCCAGTCATGTATATCGTGTTCTATTCTTAAAATTTATTAACAGGCCGCAATTTTTGCCCTTCCCGTTCTTGTAATAACCCCTTTCTGATCATGCTAGCATTTTCATGATGAAAATTTGACGACGAGTCCTTGTTCACTGTAAAAATTGATAAGTGTCTTAATTCTTCAGGCGAAGCCTTTTATATTGCATTCACCGTACTCTTTGAAGCTTTGCAAACTTGTTCCGATTTGTTCTCAATTTCTCAACCCACAGGGTCGCGTTTCTCCCTAATAATACGATTGTGTTCCAAGTTTCAATAAACTTGTTTGAAAACAAGCTTTCGTTTCGATTTTCTCGGTCGATCCAATGCAATATCTCCCAGTGATTATCTTCTTTTTGACAATGGTTTTGGAAGGAAGCAAATTTCTCCTACGATGTGATGTCGAAATTCATGAAGCGCGTTCAACATGATGAGGTTTGTGAGTGTAAAAGGGAGGAAACAATATTTGATTAAGAATAAAAGTTGTCATAACGCCCCTTTATCAAATAAGCCTGAACTAATATCGGATGCTACGCGCGAGTTTTCCTTTTGCAAAGAGTACTGTAGGTAAAATTCCGCACTTGGCGTGTTTGAACATTGCGCGTTGTCCTCCGCTTTTTCCATTTCATTTTAAAATTTTTCGTTCTTTTTCATGATGAAATTATCTTACTCAACGGTTTCCCAAAGCTGTAATTCATTTCGATGAGATTTAGAACGAAAATGAAAAAAAAAAATGCGGAAATGATAAACGCGCAATGTGCAAACACCGAAGGTGCACACTAATAATGCGGACTTTGACATACAGTACTCTTCGGGAGAAGAAAAATCGCCCTTGTCGTAGCAATATGCAGGGTAAGTAATTGTTGAAAAAAAGATCAGGGCCGGGCGGCGTAAATCTTACGACTACGGTGGTTTTTGATCAGCCCAGGACCCGTTTTTGGATTACAAGGCTCAACCTTCAGAGATATCTCAATTTTTTCGGAAAGATTTATTCAACAAATAAACTAACTTAGTTTACGAACGTTTCAGGAACTATTATCTTGAAATTGAAAATCCTCAAAGTGAAAAAAATAATTTTGAGTATGCGATAGTGCGTCTCGGTGTGTTTACACTTTAAGCAGCATAATTTACGAAAAGTTCTGACTTGCGTATTAAAAAAACGTCGTAAGCACCTTTAACCGCGCAGAAACAGTCTGCGCTTAATTAAATCGTAGTGTCAATGGGAAATAGAGGCCTGCAGGCTGAATGTAGCACAACGAGCAGTAGGACGAAGGAAGAGCCGAACGGACAGCCGGAGGACTCGGCCGAGGAGCCCGACCCTTACGCCAACCTCTCCGACTACTACGCCAACCATCCTTGCGCCGCCAACCAACGTTAGTTTTTCCAATAACCTCTGGGGCTTTTTTTTAATTTTAAAGAAACTTCATATTGAATTTTAGTTATATTATATAGTGGGTTGAAAGATCTAAGCAGTATCGAAGTTTTGTAACCTTTTTTCCTCCATATTTCATCTTTTGAAGAATTCAATTCCTTGAAATAGGCTGTCTTTTTATTTATTCGGATCTCGATCACACGAATTCTTTTTTTGTTTTTTAAATTTTGAAACACTTCAGGAAATGTAAAAGCATGAACAAAAATCATCATTCTGTCGGCCTTCTGACATTTTTTCCATATCGTTAGCTTTCAGCCTATGTACCGCCTTACGATGTGAAGGAAGAGCCGCTGGAACCTCCAGAAGTTGAGGTTCGTTTTCTTGGAGAACATAGAAATTTTTTATTTTAGAAGATGAAAAAATATTAATATTTTGGTGCTCACACGTTGAAAATTAATAACTTGTGGGAGAGTGAATTTTTTAACTGTACGAAAAAGAGGAAATGAGAATATGTGTAGATTATAATCGTCAATCCCAACCGCTCTATCTTTTTACGACAGTTGACCAGGTTTCAAAAAGGCTCAAATTCCAACCGTTCAACCGTTGAAAAAATTTTTTTTCGCTGAATTTTCAGCCCTTCGACCGTTGAAAAATAAAATTTGGGTTGAAATCAACCGCTAAACCGTTGAAAAAACTTTTTGTGTTGAAATTTCAACCAGTTAACCGCTAAAAGGAAAAATTTGGGTTGAAATTGCAACAGCTAAACCGTTGAAAATAGTTTCGGGCTGAATTTCAAAAATTTCGAAATTTACTTTTCAAAATCAACATTTGAAATCAAAAAATTCAATTTTTGATCTTGACGACTAGATGCATCGATATGTGAGGAATTCGGAAAGTATAAATGTCTTCGATTCAAACTGCAAACTAAAGAAAAAGTACCTCGAAAACAGCTCGACCATTGATTTGAGGAGGATGAAGCTGAGGCGTCTCCGGCGGCGCCTTTCGTTCCGCCTTCACAACGCGACGACGCCCCTTTAGCCGCTATATTGCATCCTTCATTAGATTCCATAGACCCTAGGTTTCCTGGTCATTCCTTGTCCCAAAAACTCTCTCGTTTGCAGAAAATTTTTCAATGATTTCAAGCCAGACGGAGTGTTACGGTTTTCGCGGCTTTTCGCTTCGAATATCAAGCCTTCGTCACGGTCCGAAATTTGGTGGCCCAGCAAGACATTTCACAAGCGAGTTGCGGCCAGCGAGGAGGAAAAGGTGCAGCCTTCCTCATTGATCCCAAAAGTCTTTCAAGTGAAAAATTTCAGAAATCTTCCGGCGCCCCCGAGAAAAAAAGGTTGAAACTTCTTGTTTCCGACAAACCAGGTGCAGATGATTTGCAGTTTGATGAAGAGGTGAGGTAATTTTTGGCTTTCCTGAATTTCAATGAAAATAATTACGAAATCACGATGATGGCTTTAGAAACATTGGCTTTTTTCTCCAGAGGAGCTAATTTTTGTGAAAAAAAAACTCTTCTAAGTTATAACCTTTTAAAATGTACTGTCGAAGGAAGTCGTCATAAAAAAATATATTGGATAAAAATACTATTTTTTTCATACTCTTTCACTTTCTTTTCCTAAAAAGGTTTATCTCATTTATAAAAAAACGAAAAAAATTGTCTGGAAATTTTTAGAACACTGCCGAGGATATTTTTACATTGAAAACTGGAGGCGCGCTGATTCGTTTTTTTTTTCTTGATTTTTCGATTTTATCAAATCAATCAAATCAAAATGTTTATTTCTCACACACAAGTGCTAAATTTCACGAAATAGATGTAGGGAGAGTTTGGGAACATATGTTTGGGAACAACAAACATGAACAATTTTGTAAAACGAAACTTACTAAAATTGTATCCTTTTTTGCAAATTTCAACTTTTTTCAAAAATTTTTGAAAGTGTGAAAATCAGGAAATTTTCGAACAGCATCTTTTTCGATTTTTCATAACACTAGGGAAGTTTCCGACGAATCTCTGTCTGATTTTTTTTTTCTCGGTGAATTCTTCTTTTTGAATATTTTTATATAAAGTAGTTAGTTGATTCATGATTAAAACACAAAACAATAGAAAAAAAAAATGGTAATTGATGTTTTTTTAACCGAAAATGTAAGAGAAAAAATTCGGAAATGGGTTCGTCGGAACCTTCTCCCTCGGAAAGCTCCCTAGCGTTATGAAAAAATCGGAAAAGTCGCCGTTCGAATTTTCGCTGTCTTCTTTTTTCATACCACCAATTGTTTGTATGTATTCTTACCAGGTCCTGCAAGTAATTTCTGACTAGAAAATAATGTTTTTTGTAGCTGGAGATGATGCGGCCGATGACGCTGTCCGAAGTGCGGGACTTCACGAAAAGAAGTCAGGAAGAAGCCCAAGAAGAACTCGTGCCGCCCTGGAGGTTCGGTCCGGCCAAATTCTGGTTTGTTTTGTTTTGTTTTCATCGTTCGTCATTTTGATTCATTTCAAAGGTACGATATGATGAACGTTCCATCAACTTCTTCAACAGCTGACTACGGACTCAAGATAGGGGTGGGTATCAAATATAAAAATCATTCCCCTTTTCAAAGGCGATTTCAGTAAAAATTAGTTTTGATTTCACCGTTTTAGATCTTTGCTTCCATCCCAAAAAAAAAATCCATTTTTCCATTTTTCCCATCGTTTCTTCAATTCCTTTTTTACGAAAACCGTTGACAAGATACCGTCAAAAATTGTTATTTTAATGCCTTGTTTTCAAAAATTCAACGAGCCTCATGATAAGCCTGATTAAAAAAAAAAGTTAAAAACCTTTTTGAAATACTGCAGATGGGAAAATTTTGAAAATGGATAATGATTTTTTAGACTTGAAAAAGTAAAATTATGAACTTTCCATCCTCACCCTATTCTGATTCGAAATGATTGCTTACTAGGGAACTACTCGGGCTTGGGTACGCGGATCGAGCTCAAACTTTAGGGGTTTGTAGACCTAAGTGAGAATACTTGAAAACAAGAGAGAATATCTGCTAAACCCGATAGCGAACAGAGAAAAAATTAGTAGAAAATGTGAAAATTAGGCTTGAAAATTTTCAGAATACTGTTTTTTACCTTATTTCATATTTTAATACCTTGAATGATCCGGCTATGATAAACTCTAAAAAACTTTTTTCCAGTCAAAAAAACGAGGAAAGCAAATATTTGATAATTTTCAAGCCTAAATTGTTCATTTTCAATGAGCTTTTTCTCAAAAGCCTATGGGGTTTAGCAGATAATCTCTCTTGTTTTCAAGTACTCTTACCCGGGTCTATGAGCCACCAAAGTTTCAACTCGAAACGCGTACCCGAGTCCGAATAGTTCCCTAGTTAGTGTGTGCATTTTTTTCAAACGGGTGTTTGAGGGAAAACAGTTGATGAAATAAAGTGTTTATTTTGCTCACAGACAGATTTGTGGCAGATCTGTTCTTATTATTTAGAGGCTTGACTCATGCGGAAAATCAAAAGATTCAATTTTCAGCAGGAAAAAAGAGAAAATATATGGTTTTTACTGACTAGGAAACATTTTTCACTGCCTGAAATGGCGCTTTTTTGTCACGATTTGCGTATTTTGAAGCAAAAGTTGAAGCTTCATAACTCGAAAACTTGACCTCTAGTGAATTAAAAGTTACAGACTCCGTAAACAAGTTCATGAAAAATTCTTAAAAAGTTTTTTTATTCCAGATATCGAAAAGATGCGCGGAGAAAAAACAGGACAGCGAGTGCAGCGGATACGTGGAAGTCGTGGAGAAGAGCTGTGGCACTTTCGACGACCTCATCAGTCCCTCGAACATTATGGAGTGGGAGAAGACCATCGTGTTGGATGGTGAAGACGTCAGAGAGAAGGTTCATCCTTTTTCTCATTTTTCTCCTGCAAAAAAAAATTAAAAAAAATATTCCCTCAAATTTTCAGATGAAAGTTTCTCATTTTGTCTTTAAATAAATGAAAAAATCACGTTTTTACCAGATAATGAAGGTTTTTTTTTGTGGGTAGACTCATAGAAGTGGGGCCAATTTGAGGCGCCGTTCATGTTTTTGGATAATATTTTTAAAAAAATAATCGAAAAAACGGTTTCTCCATGTAGCAACGTACTGAGTATAGCTTTTGCATGGCTGTGGCAGGAATTAGACAAAATAGAAAATTTCTGAGTGTGAAGGTATGATATAATGATGAGGACATATGAAAACGCCGCTTGAGGGTTACCAAAAGGTTTCGTACTTTTTTCTTTGTGTCCAGATTCCAATTCCAACCACCTCTGTAAAAGGAGAGTCTGGTTAAATCTCGGAATAATCAAACCAGAGATTCTTGGAACGGCTAATGAATAATCTATTGGTGGAACAAATTAAAAAATAAATAAAAATGTATTCATATCATTGAGTAATAAATCTTCTAAAAGTGTTGCCCCGGTCTTGTCAGCGGCTCTGTTGAGAGAAATAAGACTAAAAAAACAATTTAAAAAAAAAAGGTCAGACAAGCAAAAGAAGAAAAGGAAGGACCTCTAACAGAACTTATTACAAAGAAAGAATGTAAAGGACATTTTTCCAGTTACTCGACACCTTAACCGGTGACAGAGCGCAGAGCTGCGACTGGATCCCGACGCAGTACACACGCACCTACGAGCACTTTGTCTACGCAGGTAGGCTCAAAATCGTCTCCTGAAGGCTTGGATCGAGAGTTTTGAGCGAATAACTCGGCATTCGAGAAGATGTTTGAGCCGAGCGGCGTCTACGCCCAAGTTCCGATCAACCTTGTCCCGGCCAACGGTTGGTTCCTCGTCCTTGGGCGAACCCGAAGAGCTCGCTGTTCTCAGATCAGTTGATGGAACCCACGCCGACGCACACCATCTTCGCCTCGGCACTTCCGGAGCTCGACCAATACAACTGGGAGGAGGACCTCATCTGGGATCCGGACCACATGTCTGCTATTCCAGGTTCCATTCCTCCCTTTTTTCCAGCCTCTATCGTTGATTCAGAGCCGAAAGTGTTAATGGTCGACTTTCACGACGACCCATTGATTTTCGGCATGCCGGAGGACCGAAGGCCGGATGATCCCGCCAACGGACAGCACGGCAAAGCTTTCGATCGCAAGGTTATTCTTACGACTTTTGTCGATAGTTTCGTCAAAGCGATTTTTTTAGTTGTCAATGATTCATTATCAATGAAAATTAGATCTAAAGTGCTTTTCAGGGATTTTTTGTGGCTTAAAATGATTCAAGTTAGGTCATTTCATCTAAAAATCAACCTGAAAAATGTTTTTTTTTTTCGAGAGAGAGAGAGTGTCCTCAAAACGGTACTTTTTATGTGTTTCTACTTTTACATGGTTAATTATTCATCGAAATTAGATATATTCATTACATTTCAGGGATTTTTTTGTGGCTTCTAATGGATCAAGTCAGGTCATTCAAATAAAATTCAACATGAAAAAAAATTTTTTTTTGGTTTCTCGAAAATTTCTTCAAATCGGTACTTTTTTTGTGTTTCTAGTTTTTCCATGGTTAATTGTTCATCTAACTAATATATACAGTACTTTTCAGAAATTTTTTTGTGGCTTATAATAAATCAAGTAAGGTTATTTCAGCTAAAGTTAAACCTGAACAAAATTTATGTTTTGTGAAATTTCCCTAAAAGTTCGTTTATATTAATATCATGCTGTTATCTAACTTTGAAACGTATGCTCTTCAAACTCTAAGGATTTCAAGGTTGGGACTTGCTGAAATTTCTTGTCCTATACAACAAAAATCAGGTTTAAAAAAGTCTCAAACGAAAAAAAAACCTTCTTTTCAAATGTTCTCGGATAGATATAGAGAAGGCAATTTCGCGTTTTAAATGAGAAAAGCTCTCAATTTCTTGTAATTGCTCTGATAAGGATTTTTTGCAGTTCACCAAAAAGTCAAAGATGATCCTCGGCCAGGTGCAACAGCGGCAGAAACAGGAGGAGGAAGAGCAGGTCTCTCTTGCTTGAGTATCATCCGCTCAAATGCGCCTTCTTTCAGATGGAGAGCTCCATGGCGCAGTTCACCGACAAGGACCCGTTCAATCTGAGCAACGACGACTACTACGTTCCGAAGGCTGCCAACAAGTCTGCTGCATGTTCCGAAGCACAGGATTCTAAGAGTTCTTTCAGAACACTGTCCGGAAATTCCATGTTGATCCAACATTCGACGCCTGCCCAGAACATCCACCGGACTTTCTTCCCGACCCATCTCAATCCCTTCAAACTCCGTCATTGGCATCGGTGATCCGTCCCGTTTTTCGTGATGTTCGCAATAATGTCCTTCCAGGATACCACTCTCCCGGCGTTTACTTCGTCTTTTTCTTTCGAACCGGTTCATGTCTATTCAAAATATCAATCGGCACGTGGCGAAGATGAACGAGGTTTTGTTTTTTCAAAAGATTCATTTTTTTTTCTATCCTAATTTTGCTTTTTTTTTTCCCATAACTTTCTTCAATGGCTTTTAGTAGTTCGTTGATTCTCAAGCAAAATCAGTATATAATGTACAAGAAGGTAGAGAAAAAATAGCAAAAAAACCCGAAATAAATTGATAAAAGGCAATTGAGGCCCTCAAGAGCCTCTGAGCCAGCGGGGCTTCGAAATGAGTTTGGTAACAAAAATGAGATTTTTCGAAAATCTTAACGCCATTAAATAGTTTTTTTCACCTCATTCTGAAGGTCTACTCGAAGCTTTTCAACATTCTGCCCTTCTGAAGCGAATTTCGAAATTATCACCCGTCTAAAGAGTGAGAGAGAGACGAAAAGTTGTAAACAGCGTCATTTAGCGTGCTTTCCACTATCAAAAGCAGAAATTTTTCAAATTTCAGAAATAAATAGAAAAAGCTTCATATTTAAGTGAAAGGTTGAAAAAGAATAAAAAAGAATTTTTGGGAAAAACCATATCTCAAAAGCTAGAAGTTCGCGCAGGTAGGGACCATAAAGGATCTTTTTCTAGATCTTCAGAGAGTGTTTGAGCAAATTTGTAGACAATTCCAAACCGCAAAGAAAAGAACCCCCTTGTGAGGCCATAAAACTTCGTGAAGGTCGTGATTGAAAGCCGAGTTGCAGATACGGGAAAAAATGAAGGCGGCAGAAGGGGGCGGGGACATTTTCTTCATGAGAGACGTCGCGGATCTGAGTGGTCGAGACGGCGACCTCGTGCTCATAGAGTACAGCGAGGAACATCCCTCGGTCCTCAGTCAGCCTGGAATGGCCGGCAAAATGCGAAACTATTACAAACGAGTTTGTTTTTGGCCAGACTTTTGCTCCAACAAATACCTCATTTTCAGAAGCCTGGCAACGATGTCGAACCAGACTTCGATTTCGGAGAAATGGCCTTTTCGCACCACGTTCCATTTTTGGGACAGCTGCAGCCCGGTCAAGCCATTCAGAGCATCGAGAACAACTTGTACAGAGCTCCCATTTACCGTCACCAGCCGTTGTCAACGGATTTCCTTCTTATTCGGAGGAAAGCCAGGTGATTGAAATCAAGCTTGACTTGCGAGAAAAAAACGAAGTTATAAATGGTGAAAGAGCATAAGAGAAAAAGGCGGGAATACGGAAGGAGTTGCAAGAAAAAAAGGCCTGCCGGTAGTTTGAGAAACGGATTGAAAAGCGGTAGTTTCATGAATTTTTCGTTTTGTTCCCTAATTGAACATTTTAAAGCCAAGCTATAAGTTTTCAAGGTTTCCTACACACGGCGTTATTTTTTTTCAGTACGCTAGTCGAAATTTTCCGTGAATTCTGGTGCTTAGAGTGTGAACGCCGACACGCATTATCGCATACTCCGAACTTTTTCTTTTCAATTTAAAATTTAAAATTTTAAGATGATATTTCCTGAAACTCACGAAAACTTCTCTATTCGAAGAATATGATGTTAAAAAAACATTTTAACACGCTAAAAAAATACAATGCAGCGATCTTGAAAGGGAAAAAGTATAATACAAAAAGAATAACAGAAAATGTTTTTTTCTGGTGGGTTGCATCGCGTCAAATAATTAATGAAAATATAGAAGATTTTTAAATATGCAAAAATTTGAGAAGAGTTCCGTGAAAAATGAATAAAAACTAGAAAATCTCGATTAACAGATAGAGGAGAAAACTGAGAAGCCTTGGCTGGCCAAATGTTTAATTTAGTTTGAAAAATCATCAAAAAAAAATAGAAAAAATGATGTCATACAAATAAATTATATAATAATACTGCCATGTTCACTTCAATTTGACTCACGGAACCGGTTTTACTCTACGTGAAAGTAACTTGATAATGGCTATAACCCAACAGAAAGACGTCAAAAGAATATTCATTATTAAAAAAGCTAAATATTTGTACTTGTTTGAAGTCTTCAGTAAGTCTAGAAATATATTCGGTCTGTGAGTCTGTTCGTTAGAAAACGGGTCCTGCACAGACCAAAACTACCGTAGTCGTATTGAGATAAATTCTGAATCAAATTGAAAATTCTGCCTCTTGTGAACACAGTTGAAGCCGACGATGTTTCAGCTGGTACATCCGACCTTGTCCCTCGCTGTTTGTGGCAGGTCAGCAGTGTCCTCTGTACGAAGTGCCGAGTCCCAATTCGAAACGCGCCACTGTTTTCGTCCGCGACTTCTTGTTGGCTTTCATCTACAGGCTCTTCTGGGCTAGCGAACACTCTCCTCGAAGGCTCAAAATGGAAGACATCAAGGTCTTTCAGCAACGAAATATAATGTCAACGGAATTATTTGCAGCTCGCCTTTCCTCATTACGCTGAGAGCAGTGTACGAAAGCGTCTGAAGCAGTGTTCCGACTTCAAACGGCTAGGCCAGGGACCCGATCAGAACTACTGGGTCAGTTTATTTGTAGAAAAAGTTATAGTCCGAAAGTTCTATCATTTTTTTTTCCTGTCTTCTCCAATAAAATAGGAAATACAAGGTCTGGACTTGCAAATTTGCTTTTCGAGTTTGCTGTATAGAGAATATTAAAAATTAAAATTATATCCTAATTTTTTTTTTGGATTAAAGTGAGTTCGAATTTCGAAAAGCTGTGCGTAGTTTAAAAAGCCAAATGAAACAGATTTATTCCTACGACCTTAGGAATCCCAAAGTGGTCTCTAAAGGGTGAAATTAAGGTAGGACCTATAGGGGTTTAGGATCTGACCCCTTAGCCCTCAAGTGGGCACTATAGGGGTCTCTCAATTTTATTTAAAAAACGCTTATTTGTTCAGTTCTCCCATGGAAATGCTTCATCGCTTTACCTTGGTTGAAGTTCATAACAATTATTGACTAGCTTGTCCCCTAAAGGGACCACTTTTACAAGCTTTAGTGGCTCCTATACTGGTTGGTGAAGAGGTTCCTAGAGAAGACCCTCTAAGGGTCCCTATAGTGACCATTCTGGAGTTCCTAAGATTATCAAAGTTCGTTTTGAGGGTCGAGAAAATTTTTTTTCCATATACCATACCCAAATCTAACTGTCACGCTGTAGAGTGAGAAAGGAAGGTTTAACATCAGAGATCTCATTAAAATCCACTTACAAGTACTAGTTCAGATCTTACGGCCCGAGTTTCGGCTGCCGACAAAAGAAGAAGTTTTGGCGATGGTGACGCCGGAGATGTGCTGCGTGCAATACAGCATGTTGGCCGCCGAGCAGCGCCTCAAAGTTTTTCTTTGATTTTTTCCTTTCTTCTAAGTGTTGATTCAAGGACGCCGGCTACGGAGAAAAGTACTTCTTCACTCCGGAGAACGAGGAAGATTCGGACGACCAGGTCACCATTGAAGACGAGGTCGGTTCGCACATACGGATCATTTTGTCGTGTTTCAAGCGGATCTAGATTTCCGATTCATTGAACCGCCTTTCCTTTTTGTGTCAGAGATCTTCGCTCTCAGCCTCAGATTACAGATAAAATGCGCTCCGTGGAACACGACAAGGGCTTTTCTCTCTTCGATGCGCGACAAGTGCCTGCTGGACCAAAGCGGAATCGCGGACCCCACAGGCTGCGGCCAGGGCTTCTCCTACGTTCGCGTTTCACAGAAGCCGCATCGCGAAGACGCGCCGCCCGTTCCCAAGCGACTCGTCACTGGAACCAACGCCGACCTCCGCAAGCTGCCGCTCAAGGAGGCCAAGGAGATCTGTCGGGAGTACGGCGTCAAGGAGGAGGAGGTCTCCAATTTTTCTCTTCTACAGTTTGGCGGTTCAATATCGTTTTTTTTTTTCATCGATTTCATAATCCTCTATCTCATTTACTTCTTTTTTACACTAAGCTCTTCATGTGAAGGATTAGTAGTTTTAGATCACTCTTAAAAAAATTTATCAAAAAAAATGCAGGAAGCACTTCATTTAGACTTAAAAACATAATTTTTTTTACTTTTAGGGGTTTCGGTATCAATATATAATCAGGAAAGAAGGAAAGCCCTTCGTATACTTTCATACTGAATCCACTCGAGTACTTTGAAAATATTATGCAATCAAAGTTTTGACATCGGGCTCTTTAAGTCCAGGATGGCAATGATTGGCCCGGGCCAAGTCATTACTCTGTTTCATTCTCAATCAAGTCAATTTTTCTCCCAAACCATATTGAATAAAGGAGAGTTAATCAAGCATTATTTTTAAAAAAAACTTTCAAAAAGGAAATTGAACTTTCAGTACTTTGTAATAATGAACAGTGACTATTTCATGTATATTCTCTTACTAGGGAGAAAATTTTATTTTGCGGTCGGGATTTTCCTCAAAAATATCCAGAACACTCCTTGTGGTAACAAGAGAAGATCCTGAATGTCTCAACCCGTGAAGTTTTCTAGAAATGAGGACTCAAAGCCCGAAAACAGCCTAGTTCAACGGTTTTTTGAGTGTTTTTTTTTTGACTTTGAGGTGTCATTTTGCGAAAATTAATAATTTTTGCTGGTTGAGCTTTTCAGGATCTTTTGATATCTCAAGGATTTTTCAGGCCAATTTTCAGGCGAGTCCCAAACACGAAGTAAAATGAACTTCCTTGTTGAAATTTTCCGGCTTGAGAATTTCTCTAAAGGTTCACCGCCTTCTGTTTTTGCAGATAAACGCCCTAACTCGTTGGGAAATCATCGATGTGATTCGGACGCTGTCCACCCAAGCGGCCAAAGCAAAGTCTGAAAACGGCGAAGGCAACTTCAAAACATGTCGAATCAATTTTGATTCTCGGGTTTTTAGTTTCTGGAATGGCTCGTTTTGCACGCGGAAACACGCGTTTCAACTCTGCAGATATGCAGGACAAGTACAAGCGTCACTGTCAGCGGATATTCGACCTTCAAAATCAGTTCGTTTTCGGTCTCAAGGACTTTCTCATTATGGATTCAAATAGTAAAAAAGGGTTTTAAGAATATTCTAAAAAAAGTCGACAGTATCGCTGTGATCCGTCTCCATACTTTGTTTGTAGAACCCTCGCAAATCCTGAAGCTCTTTCGACAGATGACGACACATCGGGAGAAGATTCTGATAACGAAGAACTAGCAAATCGGCTCGAAAACATGCTTCAAGCCAATAAAGGTTGGCGCCATCTTTTGATTACCCAATGAAGGTTAATTTCATAGGTAAAAAGCAAATATCGATGTCTGAGAAGGCCCGAATGGAGTACGAGAACGAGGAAAGGGAACGTAAAGACCTCAAAAGGATGATCCACGGAGACTCTGTCAAGACGGAGAACAAGGAAAAGAAGGAGGCAACGGCCGAAGAGAGGAAAAGTTCGTCTGGCAACCTCCTATTTTGTCTTTCCCTATTTTTCATATTTAAAAAACCGTCCAAACACTTCTTGAGGTTTCTGTGTGTCTTTAGGTAGACGAGAGCATATAATTGGTTTAGTCTTTATAAAATGCAGGAAAGTATTGTTTTTGAGGGGCGCTAGAGACTCTTTAGTTTTCTCCAAAGCTCAAAAACTTACCGAATTCTTATTCTTTTCCTCAGAACACAACTTCAAAAATAAGAAAAACTATCAATTTCAGACGCTTCCAAATTTGGCGAAGACGTCGCGATGTCGGCGTCCAAGATTTCTGGCATCACAGCCAACCAAAAGCTGAAAATCTATCGGACTGTGAAGAACTCGGACGGAACCGAAACGGTTAGCCGCGCGATGTTTTTTTGGAATCGTGGAGGTTTGAGACGCGGACGGAAGTGGTGACGCGACCGCAGCTGATCGAGGCCTACACGAGGATCCGAATGACCCGCGACGACACGTTCATCCAGGTCTACGCGCAGATGGACGAGCAGTACAAGGAGGTTGGATCATTTCTATACCACAAGTGACTTCTAATCAACTGGGTTCTTAACTACGCGGAGATCTGAGGTGTAGAAGTAATGTTCATAGGTGAAAAAACAAGATTTTCTGAGTCCATTCTAATGATGATAATAATTTATTCATCCACAAGGTGAAAAGAATACGTAAGTTAGAACTGGTTTTAGATCAACCTCATGAGTGACTTCACCGGATAGCTGTTTCACCTTTTTATTCCGACTAATTTGGAAAGGGAAAATTTGGGTCAATTTTAGGAGACATCCTGGTCATCTGGGGACTTCTCAGCCTTAAAAAGACTTACTAGGAATATTTTTTTTCCCGGGTACTGTAGGACCTCCTGATTGCAGAAAAAAGAAAAATTCTCGCAATACATCTGATTTTCGAGTTGAAACGTTTCAAAAATTTGAGTAGCGCTTTTTTGTCAGATTCGGGGGCTTGAAAATGGTTGAAAACCGTTCCCTAGTTAGAATTAAGTTCATAGAGTCGTATTTGAAAATTTTTATACTTTAAGTTTGCGAAAGTGCTCAGTTCTTTTCGAGGCCTTTTTCTGCTTTGTTTAGTTCTAAAATTTTCGAAAAAAAAAAAGTAAAAAACGGATTTTTCATTGCAGGAAAAACGAAAAGAGAAACGCCGCCTGCAAGACCAACTACGGCGAATCAAACGGAACGAGATGAAAGCGGCGAGTGGACAGCCACCGAAACCGGAGAAAAAGCCGGTGCCGATCAAGCCAAACCTGATCAAAATGCGGTGCAGTGCCTGCCAAGGCACAGGCCACATGAAGACCAACAAAAACTGTCCGCTCTACGGCAAAGATCCGCTCACAACACCTCTCAAGGAGCTCAACGTCGGTTTCGTGGATGACTGCTCGAATTAACTCTCTTGCAGATGTCCGGAGCTTCTGACATGGATGAGTCGACGTTTGAAGCCGCAGCTTCTGAAGACAGCGCCAAGAAATCCGCCAAGAAGACCCTCTTCACTCCCAACCACACTAGTGGCATCAAGAAACTCAAGTTTGTGTTCCTTTTTCATATAATTGAAGGATTGAGCTGTTTACGGTAGAGAAAAGACCAAGTTGTGCACATTGAGACTTTCAGGTTCATAAGAAATCAAGTAAGATTTTTGCCGACTTCCCGACAATACCGCATCATAGTAACACGGCGTTTTTTCAGTACGCCAGTCGAAACTTTCCGTGAAATATGGTGCTTAGGGTGTAAACACCGAGACGCTTTATCGCATACTCCAAACTTTTTCTTTTCAATTTTAAAATTTAAAATTTTTGAGCCAATAGCTCTTGAAATTCACGAAAACAAATTTATTTGAAGAATTTGATGTTTGAAAATATTCGAACACGCTGAAAAAAATATATAGCAGCGACTTTGAAAGGGAGAAATTCTAAACAGCTGATTACAAGAATAACAGAAAAGATTGTTCTATTAGGTTGCTTTGGGTCAGAAAATCAAAAATATGAATAATTTTGAAATAAACCAAAATTTGAGAAGAATACCGTAAAAAATGAATAATTTTTCAAACCACAGAAATTTTGCTTCAGAAACTTGATTAACAGATAAAAAGCGAAAACTGGAAAACCTTGGTTGACGAAAGTTTAATATATTTTGTAAAACTAGCAAAAACTAGAAAAAGTAATGTAATTCTAAGTACTTATGTAATGAATCTTCAAACTGCCATGTGCAATTCAATTTGGCTCCAAATTACACGAAACCGATCAGGATAACGCTGTCGCGCGTGGACTCGAGCGCCGACGATGGTCATTCTCCGCCACCGACGATGATGTCAGAAGACGTCGACGAGGACGAGGCGGACAGTTTCCATGACATGTCGGCCACCTCGGCTGCGGCAGTCCGAGGCTCAGTCAGGTCGACGAGCAACGGCGGTCCGAAGCGTCGCCTGTCGATGATGCCAGAGGAAGACTACCTCCAGGGACCCGCCAAGAGCGTCCAACGACTTCGGGCCGATCCCAAGGTAGAAATCTTCTCGGTTCTTCCTCCACTCGGAATCTTCTAGGTGACCATGAGTAGCATGCTGACGGAGATCGTCAACGAGCTCAAGACCATCAACGGCGCCGACCATCATCTTCTTCCTGTCAACGCTCGGAAGGTAGTATCTTCCATCAGCGTTATATAATTTTCTTTGTAAATCTTTTCCATTTTCAAAAGAGATTCAAAAAAAAACTGTGGTCAACTCTGACTGTGAAATGGTGCAAGATATTCCCTTTTTTTGTTCTGACTAGGGAACTACTCGGACTCGGGTACGGGTTTCGAGTTGAAACTTCAGTGGTTTATAGACCCAAGTCAGAATACTTAAAAAAAAAGAGAAAATATCTTAACCGATAGAGAACTGTGATAAAATTCGTAGAAAATTAGGCCTGAAATTTTTCAGAATACTGCTTTTTACCCTATTTTTATATTTTTAATACAATCAACTTGGATGATCCCCTATAATTAAAACTAAAAAAAGCTTTTTTTCCAGTCAAAAGGAGGAGGAAAGCAAATATTTGATAATTTTTTTAAGCCTAAACTGTTTATTTTTCAAAAAAAGCTTTTTTTCTCAAAAGCCTATGGGGTTTAGCAGATAATCTCTCTTGTTTCCATGTACTCTTACCCGGGTTTATAAGCCACCAAAGTTTCCACTCGAAACGCGTACCCGAGTCCAAGTAGTTTCCTAAGGAGTAGTCTCCATTTTAGGCTCAAAACGAGTTATAAAGGCCAGAAATGAAATGATTGAAAAGCTTTTTATTTGGAATCAATTGAATGAACCTGAAATATCTTACCTACAATTTCAGGTTCCTGACTACCACGACATTGTCAAGCAGCCGATGGATTTGCAGAAGATCAAAATCAACATTTCTGATCAACGTTACGAGCTTCGTAAAGTTTTCCTCGAGGTATAACTTTCCTAATTCTCTCGGCTAACATCTGAGTTGCCTTCCAGGATGTGAAAAAGATGTTGGACAACTCTCGACTTTACAACGGCGACAATCACGTCATAACTGAAGCGGCGCGTCAGATGTTCGAACTGGCCTGCAAACGCGTCGTCGAACGGGAGGAGAAGTTCATAAATCTCGAGAAACAGATTAATCCCCTCCTCGACGACAACGACTCGTCAGTTTTCAATCGGAAAACAAATGAGCAACAGAAATGTCTTTTGAAGAGTCGGATTCTCTCATCTTCTCTGCGAAATCGTCCAAAAATGCAAGAACATCCCCAAGTCGGTCGTTTTCCACTCGAAAGTCGACGCTCGCAAGGTTTCATTTACTTTTTCTTGGAGTTTATGATAACCCCTTTACTACCCGTTTGCCTCAACATGGAAGCTTTTGATCGCACGTAGAATTTGTCGACGGCTGCAACCGACCAAATCTTACTTGCGCGTGGGGAACTTGAACATCGTTACAAAAAGATATTGCTTTTTGGTACATCTAACCGCGAAGTTTTGAATTATACGTGCGATGGGTAAGTTTCGAAGCCGCGTCTATAGCTGATTCACGGGCGGCTTGAGCCATCAAAAAAGGGTCCTGACATGATAATAAAAGAGATAGTGTGTGGCTGGCGTAAAGCGCAGACAGGCCACGCCCCTTTAGCGTCTCAAGCTAGCCGTGAATCGGCTATAAGTAAAATCCAAACGGAACAATTATTTTGTTACACCAAAAAAAAGGGAATTGAAAACCGATACATTAATAAAAAATTCCGAAAATTCCCGTGCAACCCAAAAAAATAATAATTTTTCCAAATTTATCAGTCTTCTGGCTTTAAAGCGAGTCCTTTCGAATACCCCCTTAATTTCTTTCAGGTGCCAAACTACTACGATAGAATAAAGCGGCCGATGGACTTGGGAACGATAGAAATGAACGCCAAACAGCGACAATACACGACGGTGGCGGCCTTTCGAGCGGACGTCGAACAGGTTGCGAAATGATACGAGTCAGTTGAGAGAAGTATTTTCTCAGATCTTCCTCAACTCCGAACAGTTCAATGGCCCGGCCGAAGTCAACTCCTACACTGCCAAGGCTCTTGAAATCCTGCGCATGACGGATTCTTTGATTGCCGAGAAGCGCATTCAGGTTTTTTCCCTTGCCTGGAAACATTAAAAGTATAAATTTATCACAGCTTCATAAAAAGCTCTTCCTATTTTATTAACTAGGAAATCCATTCGCTGCTCCAAATCATATCAAAAACAATCAAATTTTTTTTGAAAAAAATCAATCGGTTTTTCGCGGCCGGGGAACAAGGACTATATACCCTCGAAAAATCAGCTCAATCGGAGACATTGAAATTTTCGACATTTGAGGGTCCATAACTTTTTTCACAGGCCTCAAAGGCAGTTTTCGAGACCAGGTTTGGAATCAGCGTGAAAAACTACAAAAAGTAAACTTGGTCCCATTTAGAAGTCCCACTGCGAATGGTGACCATTTCCCAAAATATGAATTCATAAAATTTTTCTTAATATTTATTGGAAGAAATAAACTTTTGAGACTAGGGCTTATGTAGGTTATTTAGAACAGCTCTGAAAAAAAGAGATCCTGAAAAATTTATTTGATGCTTTTTCTTGTAGCCCATTCCTATACGCTTTCATCCAAAAAGTTTTTTTTTTCTCTAAGACCTGAAACAGAAAATCTTGAACTCAACTCTTTAGAGAAAGCTCCCCAAAAATATTCAAAAGCCATTTTCAGCTCGCCGAGCTCGAGGCCAACATCAACCACATTCCGCTCAACGAAATCGACCAGAAAGACTACAACAAGGACTATGAATCGGACGATGAACTCGCTTATAGCAACGGTTTGCTCTGAAAATGTAAGAAAAAAACTTGGAATTTTCCTCTTTCCAGACCGAGAAGAACTCAACGACGTTGATATGAGCGAACACGTTGACGATGAAGAAATTGGTTAGTTCTCATCGCATCTTCAGTAGAACTTAAAAAAAGAGCAGTCTTAAAAGAAACTATTCTACTGTTTTGACATGAAATATAGCTTGATTGACTTTGCATAGTTAATCAGTTGATTTTCCAGATATTTGGCCGGAGGATGAAGAAGGAATGGACATGAGCGACTCCAGGATGGCCACATCCGGACAGGTCCAACATTTTCTCATTCACTCGCTTGTTCATTTTTGTTCTGTTCATATTTGAGTCGTCTGTTTCTTTTCACCAGATGAAGATTCTGAAAGTCTCAACCTGCACAACTTTTCAGTTTTTGTTTTATTTTCGAAAAATAAGGGCCGAAAGTCTCTAAATAGCCTTTTTATGGGTTTTGAGGGATTTCTTTGACTTTGAGGTATACATGGGATAGTCTCGATGGGACCTGAAAACGAGGAAGTTGTGCACGTTGAGACTTTCAGGATCTTCTTCTGGTACATAAAAAAAAGTACTCTGACCAATTTTTAGAAAGTTCCATTTTAAAAGTTTCTCTGGTGAGTTGGAAATCAAACTTTATTTTCGAAAACTCGTGTAGATATTGAAAATCGGCTGAAAAGACTCAATACTAAACATCTAGAGAGAAAGACAGTGATCAGCAGTATTCAGGTGATCAACGACCTGGCTCTGTCCGACTCGGACGACGAAGAGCACCTCGACGATATGCGGAGGCCCAACGACGACGACAATCTGCTAGACTCATTCTGAATCTCATTCATCTCATCACATCTTGGGATCGTAAACTGTCTCTCAGCTCAGAAGATGATAAAACCAAAAAAATACCGCGACAGGTTTATTTGAACCCTGAAGGCGTTCACAATAAAGTAGTAAAAGGTTCATCCAACGAGAAATGATTTTTAACTTTTGGTTTTTTTTCGTATGAAGAAAAGTTCATTTCGATTTCAAAAAAGCGCGTTTGAGCCGATTACCACTTTTCCACACAAAACGGCAGGATCTAATTCTCCAGTTTTTATTTATTTGTTTTTAGTTTAAATCGGAGTTAGCTAGCAATATTCCTCAGATTTGAGAGTGTCTTCTTTTTTTATAAACATATTGCAATGTCTTTCACTTGATGCTTACCTCAAAGCGTTTAAAGGTTCGCTTAATGTTAGTGCGGCGAATCTCTTCTCTGCCTTACCGTTTTAACGGTTAGCTTTTCTTCAGTTTCATTGTGTAATACCTGGTTATATATTATTATCGAAACTTTTGAAGTTCTATTTTCTTTCGAGGTTTATTTTTTACGGGTCACCGTTATATCCAGTCCATTTGTTATTTCTTCCCTCATAATCTAATTCCATATGATCTTATCAACTTTTTTTTATCCCCCTATTTATCTGTGGCTACCTTTGATCTTTTTCGCGTTGGTTCTCATCATTCGAAAACACAAAATTCTTATTTTCTCCCCTGTTTTTACACGTGAACCCCAGTTTTTTTTTTCTTCTTTTAAATTAATTTATTATACTTTCGTTATCCTCTTTTGTTGAGATAATGTGATATATGTTTACCTTATAAACGTCCCTGCTCAAATGAGTTATATGAAATAAAATTTTAATAGCTTTTATGCATAGAAGTTTCTCTCTTGAACTTCAGAACGAACTTTGATAATCTTAGGAACTTCAGAGTGGTCTCTATAGGGGCATCTTAGGGACCGCTTTACAAACCCCTATAGGGGCCACTAAAACTCGCAAAAGCGGTCACTATAGGGTTTTCGGGAAAATGATATGAACTCTAAGCGATGAAGCCCCTATAGGGACCATTTTTTCGCTCCTCGTAGGGGTTTTGCCCTCTAACCCCTATAGGGACTACTCTGGAAATCCAAAGATTAGTGTTGTGATTTCGTGAAGTCTAAGGAGGAAAAGTTTCAGAGTTAGTTCTGCAGATTAGAAGAAAACAGGAAAAATAGTTGAATTGCAGATCGGGTGTTTGATTCACGAAATCCCTGGAGTTTTTGGGAGAAGAAGTTGGCGGCTCACGTGTCCCTCCGGCACTTCCGGCCATTTCGTGGTCACTCACCTGAATACCCGCTTCGCTATATACCTTCTGAGGCCATTACTTGGCGTACGCCCAATTTTTCGTCTTTGTCACGCCCCCCAGCAGTTTTGTTGGACCTCTCGCCGTCTGGATGGAGTGGCATTTGTATAGTTTCTATTTATTTCTTGTTTTCAGACGAGACCTTTAGAAGAGGGAGAAGCAACGGGAAATCTGCCCTTCAGAATCGCTCTAATCGGTGTCCTTTTACGCCTCCCTTCGCGACGTCGACTTCGACATGATCCCGAAACGTTGTTTCTGGCACAACGCCCATTCAATCTTTTAACATGTTCGTCGTTGAGGTCCGTTTCCGCATTGATTTCTACTTTTTTATGGTTTTGAACTTCTCAACATAATCATTATCGACTTATTTGGTACATATAAAACACTTAAAAGTCGGTCTATTAGACAACTTTATGAAGATCTAGGGATAAAAAGTTCTGAACTGATTATTCTAAAGTTCATATTGCGAAAATCAAGACAAGGCATTGCTTTCTAATATGTATGCTGACTCAAAAAATTTTTTATTGATTTTTATGTTTTTCGAAGTTTTTCAGCTAAATTCCGAGTCTCAACTTTTTTCGGGAAATCAAAAAAAACTCGAAAATTGTCTCATATGGTTTCGATTCACAATTTACTTCAGATCAGGTGATTTTATCAGGAAGGTAACATTAATCTCCTTAAACATTCTCTCAATTTAAAAAAATTTTTTTGAAAGTCTTTTTCAAGGAATTTCACCACCGATGATGAAATTCGGTTAATATTTTATGAGTTTATATAGTATGCTAATATTTTCTTGGCCTCTGAAATTTTTTTAAAAAAATCAGCGGCAAAAAAACGGCAAAAAAAGAGCGTATATTATAGGTTAACTTTATAAAATAATTTTTTTGATGAACATAGTTTGACCAAGGGCGTATGTTCCGTTTTTTAAAAATTACTTTGACTTTCGTCCCAAGTTTTGCCGTATCATATATTGTATTATGATCATGAGAGCTCATAGGCTGATTTCGAGACAAAAAATTTTGAGATGAACAACCTTCCTTCTTCGGGTTTTCAATCAAATCACACGTTTTTAAAATAAAAAATCGAAGCTGTTTACTGAGTTACAGGAAGTCGGCTCGATGGAGTCGAGCAGAAGACGTGGGGGAATTCTGGCCGACGCCCTGAGGCAGCTGAAAGAAGAGCCGCGTTCTCCAGACGTGCGTTTCTCTCACTTCTGGTCGTCGGACCGTGAAAATTGGCCGCACCTGGCCCTTTTAACATTATTGAAAAATAGGAACATTTCATGATCGAAAAGTAGAGCTTAGGAAGAAAAAATAAGAAATTTTAGTTTTAGTTCACCAAGCGTCATTCTTACGAAATATTTACAGTCCGCAAATGAAATAACGTCTGAGTAAAATTGAGATAAAATTTTCCAAATCCATGTTCTGACCAAAACTGAGAACGCCTTGAGTATACTTAATCGATTTCAAAGTTTTTGAAGTGTAAACTTCTTAACTGCGTTGCGTTTGACGCATTGTTACATACAGCCCCTAGAAAAAGTATAATTAAAACGGCTCCAATATTGCATCGGTATTAATTCGAGGCGCCGAGGCTGTAAAAAAAAGCTAAACTGAAGAGCGAATTTGACACGCCTCTTTTCTCGCTTTCTTTACTGAAACGAAACAAAGTTTTTTTTTCTTTGGGAGGTCATCTCATTTTTTCTCCCTGTAGTGACTCTTAATCCATGCCGTGCTCAAAATAATTTCCCCGAGATTCAAAATGATCTCTGACTTTCCAAATTTTATTTATATTTCTCTTTCTTTGACGGCCATTTTGCATTTCGTGGAATCACTTTGAACACGGCATCCTCCTCAGTTCATTTTTTTCCGTCACAAATAAAAGCTATTTTTTTATAATTCCTAGTTTTTTTATGACAGCGAATAAACTATTATCATTTAAAATCATTTTTCATCAAAACCGAAGAAAAAAATTACGTTGGTGAACCCATTTTTCTCAAGTAAAAAGTTACACCAAATGGGTTTTTTTCAACTTCGAAAATCGCCTTTTTTCAGATGGAACCCAGCGTCTCATCTTCGACGATGGTGAAAAAGTCGTCGATTCCGCGACGGCGCCGGTCGAGCGACGAGTCGACGGATCGCTGGAATCGAAAAGGTATCCTCGCCCAAGGACTGCGGGAGATGAACGCCACTATCCGGCAGCTTCACAAAGAAAGGTTGGGACTCTCGGATTCTCGTATCATCAAAACAGTTCAGCGAGGAACCGGCAGTTCGTCATGGCATCCTGGGATCGGCTCTGGAGGAAATCAAACACGTCAGTTATCAAGGCGTTTTCCGTCGAAAGTCACCACCGGAGGTATGATTTTTGTTCCAGTACACGCTTAAGCTAGAAAAAAAAACACTTTGGTCATTAAAATTAAATCCTCACATATCAAATGTCAACATAAGTTGATAAAAGTTCGTAAAAGGAAAAAAATGACGGGAGAAAAGGTCTTCTCATATTCACGGCATTTTTTGATGGAGCCTGGAGAAGCAAAGAATAAAAAAAATATAGTTTTTTTCTTCTTAATCTTTGAGTTTTTTCTGCAAAGAAATCATCAAATCATGGTTAGTCTATTTTGAAAACGTATCACTCTGCTCTACATGAAACGTGGTTAGAAAACTCTAAAATACTTCTCTGCAAATTCAGAATCTCAACTTTCCACGCTCTGCATTATCCTAACCAGTTCGAAAGCTAGTTTTGCTTTTGGATATCAACTAATCGAATTCTTTTTTTTTCTCAAAAATAAGTATAGATTAAGCGGTCAAAGTCGGTGGACGAGTCAGCGGCCGAGGAACGGAAAGGGATGATCGCCCTGTTGCTCACGTCGCCGGACCCGCAGGAACTTCGCAGCCTCGGACTCACGGTGCTTTTTTTTCTGTGGAAAAGCCGTCGTCAAAACGAGATCGAATTCGGCCGTTTATGACTTTTTGAGTGCTCGTCAACTTTTCGATGCGTTTAACTATTTCACGCGCGGACTTTTTCTAATTAAATCCGGCTCCAACCGCAATAAAACAAACTTTATCTTTTTTTCAGAAGGATGGTCATTTTTTTTTTGGATATTGGGCTGAAACTTCTTACTTTTTGCTAACCAAGTATATAAAAAAGCGTTGAAAGATTTTTTTTTTAATCTCAAGCAAAATTTTAAATTGCATCACTTTCGAGTATTGAGATAAAACCGCAATGCCTAAACGGTTCTAAATATTTTTTTTTTCAGTATTTTTCACTATTACCTTTTTTTGTAGTTACGTATAGTCTGTTCAAATCTTTAATGTCAAGTGCAATGACGTCATTCAAAAACACTCTGTGGATGGCTCGCTCTTTGATTGCTTTATCGCATCACTAGGGGCCGAGCTTGAGCGACGACTTGGCATTCAAAATCTGAACAGACTATAGTATAATTAAAGAAAGAGTATTAGTGACCAAGTTCAGGAGTTTGCGCCGCAAGAAATGACGGAACCTTCGGGCTTGCGGAGGAGGTCATCGACGGTACGATACACAGGATCGAGTGGTAAACGAGAAGCGTTTTTCTCCCTGCCGCCGGATACTTCGGGAAGTGCTCCAAGACGAACTTCGGGAGCTCATCGGGAGCCCTCTGTAGAGGTTCGCCACGCAAATTTTCTCCTCAGCTGTCAATTTATAGGAAGAGAAAGAGACTGTACCTGCGACGACATCGGAAGGAATGTCTCACGATGATCTCCTGCTCGCTGATCCCCAAACTAAAGTCCAGAAAAGAGAAAAATAATTCAGAATCTGTTTTTGCAGATCTTGTATTTCGCTAAACACGACGATTGGGTTTTAGTCGAAGTGGAACTGGACAGGATAGGCCGTAGTGACTTCGGACTGTGCGATCCAGTAGGCGCTCATTTTTCTTCCCGATCAAAATTTTTCTTCAGCATGGCATCAACGCTTTTTTGTTGGCAGTCAAAGCTTGCAAACCGAGAATCGTTGAAAAAATGATCAAAAAGGGAGCTCATGTCAACCATCTGGCCAAGGTATTTTTGAAAGGGCGCTGGGTTACATTTTCCGGTCTCTCTCGACGGGACAATATCTTCTCATTTTTCCATGTTTTGCTTTGTTTCGTTTGAAGCCAGTTGCTGTAAAGGGAACAAAAATTCACGTTAATTTTCAACAGACGCCTGTGAAATCATCCAGAATTCCAATTTTTTCAAATCATTCTTGAAACGGCAGAAACTTGGAAGAGAAAAAAACTGGACAGTACAAATAACAATATGAACAGGATCAACGAAATGCGGCTCACATAGCGGCCATGTACGCGGACAACGACATGCTGGATCTTCTGCTTTCGAAAAGGCCAGACCTTCTTTGGAAACCGGCTGGCGTGAGTTCCTTCCAAACTTATTTCCGAACTGTAAACTTCAGATTCACAAACAACTACCGATTCATGTGGCTTGTGAGAGGAAGTCCAAAAAGGTATTAAAAACGACTTATCCTTCACCCAATTTTTCAAGGCTTTCTTCATTGTGAAAAGAATCTTGGAAGAAGCGGATCAACGGATGACCGCCGATGGTGAAGGATCTCTACCTGTCCATCTTGCCTTGAAGGTATCTGCATTTCTGACTTGCTTGCGCTGGTTTTGACACATTCCGTTTACAAAAAAAGCATATATAAACATTATTTAACTTTTTGCTTCACCCAAATCTCTATCAGTCGTAGAATTCTTCTCAGAACTCACAGTTCCACCCAAGATAAACAATTATATCGCAGCGGGTAGAGCCAAAGGTCCTTGCTGCGAAGTCGCCAAGATCTCGATGCCGTATCATTCTTTTTTATAAATTTCCAATTGAAAAAAGTTTTTTCATGCTAAAATTAATAGAAGAAGAAATTTTTTTAAAAGCGATATGGCACGAGACCTTCGCGACATCGCGCCGGCAGACTAGCGATATCGCTCTCTCCGGCGACAGAGATTCACTATAGCTAGTCCAAAATTTTGTGTGGAACTGATTTAATTTTTTTGATTTTTCTTTTTTTTTACTTTGACTTTTTTGTCGTAATTTTCTACTTCAAAACTTGTTTGAAGTTTAAAAAAGATGCAGAAAAAAAAACTTTTTTTTCTAGCAGTTTTGCACATTATCAATACGTCGGAAAACATATTCAAGCGTTTTCCCATTTTTAAAGAACTTTTCAGACATTTTTCTAAAAGAATAAAGTTAAAATATATGAAAAGTTGATTTTTTATGATTGGAATTTTTTCGGACTTAGAGTTTTCAAATATCACTTCCAGAAAGTGAGAAAAACACATTTTTTTTATTGCTTGCGCTCCATTCATTTAACCAATTTCATGCTTCGAAATTTCACAAACTTTTTACCACTACAGCTAAGTTTTTTTGAACTACAGTTTGGAAACGTGTCGATAGTGGAGCTGCTTCTGTCGTCGAACGTCGAGGAGCAAAGCTCAAGTGTCGACGGCGAAGGCAACAGTCTTCTGCATCTGGCAACTCGTTCCGGAAGCATTGGTTTGTCTCCACTTTTCAGCTTTGGCTCAGCGATCGTTCAGACGCCGTCCGAGTTGCTATCGCTGCCGGGTCAGAAAATGCAAACGCGCAAAACAGTATTGGCCGAACGCCATTGCATGAGGTACGTTTCTTTTCCTTGCTGTGGAATATAATCTAGAGATGCTAATGAATATAATCTGGAGATACTAAATTATTTTATGCACGTTCAGGTTGCGCAAATCGGAGATCAGAACATGATGAAAATCATGTTCAAACTTCACGCCGATGCAAATGTTCACGACAAGGTACCGAGTTTTTATACGGTAACTTCGATTATTTTCAGGACGACAAAACGCCCGTTCACCTCGCTGCAGAGAAAGGCGACACCTCGATGGTCGAAACGCTCATTGACAAGTTCGGCGGCTCCATTCGGTAAAGCATTCTTTTAATGTGTTTCCATGACTGTCTTACAGTTTTGCTCTTTTTTCGAGATTTTTATCTTTTTCTACATCATCTGCTTGTCGAATGAGCAATTATAGCTGGTTCACGGCTGGCTTGAGTCATCGAAAAAGGGTCCTGACGTGATAATGAAAAAAGATAGTGCCTGGTTCGCGGAGAGCAACACAGACAAGTCACGCCTCCTTACCGTTCCAAGCTAGCCGTGAATCAGCTACAATCAATTGAATTATAGAATTTACCACACACTTTCAATCATCAAAAAAAAAAAATTTTTTTTTGCTGACGATCAATGAAATCAGAAAAAAATAAACGGGAAAGGTTCAGATTTTTACCAAAGAAATTAAAAGAAGTTTTTCTTTTCGGAACGTTTTTCAAAAGTCTTCAACTTTAAAACTGGATTTTTGATTCCATGAACTCATTGGAGCAAATGCTGATTTTATGAAGAAATTCGAGAAAATATCCCCGTATCTTTATATATTTGTTTCAATCAGCGGTGTGAACATATAGAAGAAAGAAAAAGTTCGAGCGACGATTTCAGTCTTTTTCTCTTTCATTTTGTATTACCGAAGATCTACATGAAAATTTTTGAAGAGCACGAACGAGAGACGGATCGACGTTGCTTCATATCGCGGCTTCTGCTGGTCACTCCAACACAGCTCTCGCCTTTCTCAAGCGAGGTGATCGAAAAAACTATCCATTTCGGGAGACGGCGCAAGTCTAGGTGTGCCGCTGTACATGCCAAACAAGAAAGGTGCCCTGGGATTGCATTCGGCAGCAGCCGCTGGATTCAATGACGTCGTGAAGATGCTCATCGCTCGCGGAACTACAGTTGACGTTCGAACCAAGGTGAGAAGAAGCTCATCTACTTCTGAAAGCACAAGTCTAGGACAACTACACGGCCTTGCACGTCGCCGTTCAGTCGGGCAAGGCGTCGGTCGTGGAAACTCTGCTAGGTTCTGGCGCTGACATCCACGTACGAGGCGGCGAGTTGGGACGTACTGCCTTGCACATCGGTAAGGAGTATCAGAAGTCAGACGACAACTCTCATTCATCCGACTATTTTTGAATCCCCTATCTGCGTCAGAAGGTCACGTAAATGTATGCGAAAATCATAATTAAAAGTTCGTCATTCGAAATTTCAAATTAGGTCTTCGCAGCTCTGTTCACAAAGCTTATGTTCAAGAACAGACCCAGTACTTTGCTAATTTTCTTTGTCTCAAACTGTCAAAATTAGTTTTTTGCATTAAACGTGTTGAATGTTGGTTTGAGCGGCTTCTCTCGACGGCCCCGAGTCTCGAGAGTGCGCCATGATGCTACTCAAATCAGGAGGACAGCCAGACGTCGCGCAGGAAGACGGGGAAACGTGTCTGCACATTGCCGCTCGCAATGGAAACAAAGAAATCATGCGGTAAGTGCGCCCAAGTTTCCGCAAAAGAATATTCCCCAGACTTCTGCTCGATGAGAACGCCGACGCCCAGATTCGGTCGGCGAAAGGAGAAACGCCTCTGCACGTCGCTGCACAGTCGTGCAACTATGAAGCTGGTGCCATGCTCCTGAAACACCTGGCAGGACATCTGGCCCCTGAACAACTGAAGGAGTACTCTAACTACCGCACTAACGTAGGTTACTAGAAAATACTCTGGCTTCGGTTTGGAAAATAATTGATTCTGGAAAGAAGCCCATCACAGACTAGAAATGTAAATATTCCGGCTCAAAGGTTAAGGAATTCAGGACGGATTCACGGCATTGCACTACGCTGCTGAAATCCAAAGCAATCAACTACACTTCCCCGGCGAAGATGCAAAGCTTATCAATTTGCTCATCGACTATGGCGGACAGGTATCTTTCTCGCTCTCCTCCTTCTCACAACTTTCTTGTAGGTCGAAATGCCGTCGATCAACACCAACGAGACGGCCATGCACATGGCGGCTCGTTCAGGTAACCAGGCCGTTCTACTCGCGATGGTGAACAAAATCGGCGCCGGAGCAGTACAGATAGTTCAGAACAAACAGAGCAAAGTGCGTCTTTTCTTGGATCTAGTCCATCTTCTCCTGTTCAGAACGGCTGGTCTCCGCTTCTGGAGGCATGCGCTCGAGGACACACTGGCGTCGCCAATCTACTCTTGCAGGTTTCCTTTCCACATAAAACTTTTACCTGCGATCCAAGGATCATTTCAAAACGTCTTCTTACAGCATCATGCACGAATCGACGTTTTTGACGAAATGGGTCGAACAGCTCTTCATCTGGCGGCGTTCAACGGACACCTTCAGATTGTTCACGTTCTACTTCAACACAAGGCTTTTGTCAACAGGTTTCTTCTTCCTTCAATATCATCATTGGCTGTGTAGCAAGTCGAAAACCGGAGAGGCGCCTCTGCATCTGGCTGCCCAGAACGGCCACGTCAAGGTGGTCAATGTGCTGGTGCAGGACCACGGCGCGGCCCTCGAAGCCATCACCCTCGACAATCAGGTTCTCCTTCTGACGGAGTTTTCGGAGAGCCTTATTTCAGACTGCTTTGCATTTCTCTGCCAAGTTCGGACAGTTGGGAGTGAGTCAGACGCTGCTGGCCTTGGGGGCCAACCCGAATGCACGCGACGACAAAGGCCAAACACCCCTGCATCTGGCTGCTGAGGTTGCTCCTCCCTGTTTCCATGAAACTGGCAAGTCTTCAGAATGACTTCCCCGATGTCGTCAAGCTGTTCCTGAAGATGAAGAACAACAACAATCGCGGAGTCTTGACGGCTATTGATCATAACGGGTTCACGTGTGCTCATATTGCAGCTATGAAGGTTTGAGGATTACTAAACTGAGCGTTTTATCGGATGAAAAAAACCGGTTCTAGGGATCTCTGGCAGTGGTGCGAGAACTTATGATGATCGACAAGGCGATGGTGATTCAGGCAAAGACCAAAACAATGGAGGTTTTGTAGTAAAAGATCCATTGACAAGAACATGAGCTAAGGCGACAACCTTGCACATGGCAGCCGCCGGAGGACATGCCAACATCGTCAAGATACTTCTGGAGAATGGCGCCAACGCTGAAGACGAGAACGCAGTTAACTATTTTTCCTTCTTTCTGTTCCAAGATGGACTCAACTTTCAGCACGGGATGACGGCATTGCATTTGGGGGCCAAAAATGGGTTCGTTAGTATATTAGAAGCTTTCGACAAGACCCTCTGGAGACGATGCTCGAGAAAAGTTTGGAGCCTTCTAAGCAGAGCTCAATCAGATCTTCAGACGGGTCTCAACGCTCTTCACGTGGCCGCCTACTACGGCAACTCCGATTTCGTGAACGAGATGCTGAAGCACGTGCCAGCCTCGATCCGGAGCGAGCCGCCCATCTACAATCATCACGTCAACAAGGAGTTCTCCACTGAGGTATTCATCAAATTTGAAAGAAAGAAAGAATCTTATGATATTAGTTGCGATTTTAAAGAGCTTTTCTTCAGGTTTCTAATAGTCTACTCAAAATAATTTCGAAGTAAATCGAGATTTTAGTTAGTTTACGGTCGTGTCACTAGATTTGCCATTCGTGGGAAATTACCTTTAATGGAAATTAAATGCTGGTAATATTTTCATATCGCTTTTAACAAAAATGGGCAGAATTCAGGGTTTCGCCTTTTTTGGAATACTGCATTCGCGTTTTTCGATATCATCTCTCAAAAATATACTTTTGTTCTTTTAAAATTTTTATTAGTCCAATCATTTGTTTTCACCCGCTAATTATCGAAAACGACATAAATAGCTTTTTATAATCCAAAAAATCGGGCTAATTTTGTACTCGGGCAAAGTCGGAATGGTGGATAATGGCCACGAGGAGAGGCTCAAAAAAGGCCGCAGAAAGGCAGCAAAAAGGGTCCCTTTAACGGGCCTTTCATTTTTTCTGGGATCTTCAAGGCTCAAGAAATGTTGGAAAAAGGGAGAGACAGCAGAAATGAAGCATAAGTGCCGATAAAATGGTCGAAAAGGCAGCGAAAAGGAACCTTTGTCACCCTAAAAGGAACATTTCTATGGAGCCTTGTTTCACCATTTCGCTTATGACTAAATATTTTTTCACATTCCGCGCTCCGCAAAAATTTTATTCCGCAATTTTAAAATTCAGTTCATCAGTTCAAAATTCAGTGTCGTGTGCCTTCAAACTGACGAATATAGTCAATCCATATTTTTTCTCAGAACGTTTTGAAAAAAAACTTTTTGCCTTCAAACTGACTATCTCTGGCTTCTAAATTATACAATTAAAAAACTCTTCAAAAATAGTTTTTTTCTGTTCATTTGAAGTTGAATGAAGTAAAGATTAATCTGCAGTATGGGTTCACTCCTCTCCACTTGGCCGCGCAGTCGGGTCACGACAGCCTTGTTCGGATGCTTCTCAATCAGGGCGTGCAAGTCGACGCCACAAGTACCACAATGGTAATGATCTACCCGTTCTTCTTTCAAAAACGCAAAGATCGCTTTGAATCCGAGCGGAACAGTTTATCTTCTTTTTCGTCATGATTTTGATAAATGCTCCTGTATCATTGGCTTTTAAAGAACGTTATACCGCTGCACTTGGCGGCGCAACAAGGACACATCGCGGTCGTCGGAATGCTCCTGTCGCGTTCGACCCAGCAACAGCACGCTAAAGACTGGCGAGGCAGGACGCCGCTGCATCTCGCCGCCATGAACGGCCATTTCGAGATGGTCTCTCTGCTCATCGCACAGGGGTCCAACATCAACGTGATGGACCAGGTATCGTCTTCCTGCAGAACCTAAGAAAACTCGATTCTCAAAAAGTTTCGAGGGAATTTCAACTGACAAGTATATAAAGTCAATCCATATTTTTTTCTCAGGACGTTTTTGAAAAAAATTTTTTTGTTATTTACAAAAAAAATAGTCTGTTTTTCTGCGACTTTTCGAATGTCTGCGCCTCTCTGTTCCCTCACCGGCGAGGTCAGAGAAACATGAAAATAGCACATAAAAACGAGAGGGTCGCCGAGAGATGAGGAGGGCGCAGGGAAGTCACGAAAAACGGACTATAAAAATTGTGATGTTTTGGCTTTCCACGCACTTCCTGTATAGGATATTTGATTAATTTTGTAGTTTTTAAAGCTTTCTTTTGAAATGAGAACAGTTAATATTGACTTAAATTGAAAAATGATTCAATGAGCCATTAGAAAAAGCAAAAGAAAAAAGGTCAAGTTTAATATCCAGAAAAAAAGAGCGAGGCTCAATTGTGCTGGCCCAAAATTGCTTCTTTGGTTCGATAGATCCCATTTCAGAACGGCTGGACTGGCCTTCATTTTGCCACCCGCGCAGGTCATCTCAACGTCGTCAAGCTTTTCGTCAACAGCTCGGCTGATCCTCTCGCAGAGACCAAAGAGGGAAAGGTGAGCGACTGTCCGATCTCCGGAAAAGTCGCACTTCCCAGGTGCCGCTTTGCTTCGCCGCCGCACACAACCACATCGAATGTCTGCAGTTTCTGCTCAAGCAGAAGCACGACACTCATCAGTTGATGGAAGACCGACGCTTCATCTTCGATCTGATGGTCTGTGCTTCCCTATTCCCGAAACCATTCCAGTTGAAGGTGTGCGCCAAAGCCAACGACAACGAGCCCTTGCAAGAGTTTATTCTGCAAAGTCCTGCACCAATAGACACTGCCGTTAAGCTCTCCGCTCTCTATAGGTATATTCTTCGGCGGCAAAGAACCACACAACTATTTGAATAATTTGTGTAAATCAACATCGAAACTATTTCTCCTTGCAAAACATTTTTGCCTTTCAGTTCTGTTTTACAGAGACATGTCTGAGAAAGAGAAAGAAAGGGCCAGGGACCTCGTGAATGTCGCGACTTATTCGGAGAACATGGCCGTCGAGTTGCTGAGCATCACGGCGACCGAATACAACGCCGCGCTGCTGCTCAAAGCCAAGGACAATCGCGGAAGACCCCTTCTTGACGTTTTGATCGAGAACCAACAGGTCTGTTGCACTGTGAACTTTGACTTTTCCATAATAATTATAATTTCACGCTAACTATAAAAAGTAAGGTAAGGGGAATTGCTTCGAGTTGCTGAAAATTTACTATAGTCGGTATGCCAATACTTGGAACTTCACTGAACGACATTCCGCTCTTCCGCTGCGTCGCGAAGCGTCTTTGCGACCATCGGTCTCGCTTTGAATTGGTTCTCATTTCTGATAGGTGGACTGTTCCACTAGGAACACGTGTTGGTCGAGTTCTTAAGTAAAATTAAAAATTAGAAAGCGGCCGAGCACGCAGCGGAACAGCGGAATGTCGTTCGATGAAATTCCAAGTCGTGGAACACAGACTATATCACATTGAACCTCGTTACTCGAGGGCAAAAAAAATGTGGTTCGAGAAAGGAAAAAAAATTTCATTTTGTTAAGCTTTTAGACAAGGCGTTCTTTCTTCAGTAGTACTCATTTTGCTTTTTTTTAAATTTCTATTTTACTTCTTTGATTCATTAAATCTAGCGATTCTAGAAGATTATCTTTAAACTCTTTTTTTCCCTTCTCATGTGCCTTTGAGCGACCTAAATTGGTTTTGATGATTGTTTTAAATGAAAAACGAAAGCAAAAATGTTTTAACAGAAAGAAGTGGTGTCATATGCTTCGGTGCAGCGATATCTGACGGAAGTGTGGACCGCCAGAGTCGACTGGTCTTTCGGTGAGCCCAAAACTGTCCCCACTATGACTTTCTCCTGTTCAGGAAAGTTTGTCGCATTCTCTTTGCTTGTGTTGATTTGTCCACCGGCGTGGTTCTACTTCTCATTGCCTCTCGACAGTCGAATAGGTAACTTCTGAAAAAAGAAATCGACAGAAATAAAGGGTTATACAGGCCGAGCTCCCATCATCAAGTTTGTTTGTCACATCGTTTCGCACGTCTACTTCACCATTCTGCTTATTACTGTCGTCCTCAACATCACCCACAAAATGTAGAGACCTATGAGTCGATGATCAAAAGATGACGTTGAAGGTACGAAGTGACATCGATAGTGCCGAATCCCGTTGAATGGCTGCTTCTCCTTTGGCTCTCTGGAAACCTTGTCTCAGAACTTTCGACTGTGGGTGGCGGCTCAGGTTTAGGGATAGTGAAAGTGAGTTTGCAACCTTTCTGTCATGATGGAAAGAGGAGTTCAGGTGCTGATACTGGTACTGTCAGCTGCTGCGATAGCCGTCCACGTTCTGGCCTTCCTGCTGCCGGCCGTCTTCTACACCCATCTCGACAACGATGAAAAGCTACACTTCTCTAGAACTATGCTATATCTAAAGGTGCAGCTTCCTCTGTTTCTTTATGGAAGAACTCATAAACGAAGTGATTCTTGCAGAACCAGTTGTTTGCTTTCGCGATGCTTTTCGCTTTTGTCGAGTTTCTAGATTTCTTGACCGTCCATCATCTTTTCGGTCCTTGGGCGATCATTATTCGGTGAGGTTTTTTCAAATAGCTATAAACGAAAAATTCCTTTTTTTGCTTTTGTTCAGCGGTTTCAAAAATTATTGCGCAATTTCCACATTATGTTGCCTTTTCAGGGACTTGATGTACGACTTGGCTAGATTCTTAGTTATACTGTTACTTTTTGTCGCTGGATTCACACTTCATGTCACTTCTATTTTTCAGGTATGTTTATTGAATTTAAAAAGACAAGAGATGTTTTGAAGCCGGCTTACCAACCGGCGGATGAAGACAGCGCGGAACTGATGAGGTTGGCGTCGCCGGAACAGACCCTCGAGATGCTCTTCTTTTCTCTTTTCGGGTTAGTTTTCGGGATTTGGAAAAATATCCTATAAAGAACATTTCGAAGTGTAGGATGAAGAAATCTTTCCGAAAAGGTTCAAATTTTCATCAACTTTGCGATAAGCCATGTTTTTTATTTATGTACTTCACTCAAAAAGGAATATTCATGTTGGCGTCTTTCTTCTTGAAATATTTTTTCCTGGTTCATTTTCGATATTTTTTGAAACGAACCCGTGACATAAAGTCAATTTTATCACCACAAAAAAAAACATCAATCATTATCAGACTGGTCGAACCGGACAGTATGCCGCCGTTGCATTTGGTGCCTGATTTCGGCAAAGTTATCCTCAAGCTTCTGTTCGGTATTTACATGTTGGTGACCCTGATCGTGCTCATCAATCTGCTGATTGCTATGATGTCTGACACATACCAAAGGATCCAGGCGCAGTCTGACAAGGCCTGTTATTATTTCGATTGTGAAATATGAAGCTGTTTCAGGAATGGAAGTTTGGGAGAGCGATTTTAATCAGACAGATGAACAAACGCAGTGCGACGCCTTCACCAATCAACATGCTGACGAAGCTTTTCATTGTTATCAAAGTGGCTTATCGAAATCAACGTAAGATCTTCTCAACTTCCTTAAAAAAGAGTTGTTTGAAGTGAAAGTTTGCACGCAAAAGGCACAGCACGACCTTCGGTTCGAAGAGAACATTGACGCGTTTTCGATGGGCGGCGAGCAGCACGGCCGCATCAGTCCGACTAACGAAGGTAAGACTCCTTTGCAACGTCGCCGAGGATCTTCCGGCTGCAGACCGCGCCGAGCTGGGCCACAGCGCTGACTGGAACATCGAGACTGTGATCGATTGGCGCAAGATTGTGTCCATGTACTACCAGATGAACGGCAAGAAAGACGACGTCGCCGAGCAACCCCCTTGAAAGAGGCGTCCGTCTTCGTAGGGCTCATTTCTCTCTAGTCATCTAGTCTACTGTAGTTGTTTGAAATTTGCTATAGTACTCAAACCCAATTTTCTGCTTTCTGAAAAAGTTTGTACTTTTACATATCACAAAAAAAACAACAGGAAAGTTTCTCATCTCTTCATACTCCTTTAGTTCATCGCCGAACGTGGAAACGCTTCGAAAAACGAGTTATTTATTGATTACGAGCTTTTTGTTAAGGATAGGGGGCGCAAAGCCCCGCCCCTTCACGCCACCAAAATGACGATTTTTTTGTTGCAGAAACGGTTTTGAGGCGTTTATACTAGCTAAAGTCCCACTTTAAAAATGAACTGTTTCTGTTAATCTATGTAATCGACAACGCTCTACAAGACTGAAAAAAATTTTTTTAAACTATGTATTTTTCAAAAATAAGCGAAAAAGTAAGATTTAACACGAAAAAAACTGACAAGTTTCACAAAATCGTCGCGTTTCTGAAAACCAAGTGAGGAACGCTTCCGAATTTTGAGTATGTTATACATTAACACTTTCTTTATTTTTTGAGTAAAAATTTAAAAAAATCTAACGACGCGAAAAAAAAATCGAAGCTTGTAAAGTGACACCAAACTTTGAAGCTGAAATGCGAAAAAATTTCAGCGACATGGTATACTTTTTATTTGATTTAAAAACTCACAATGTGTTCAAAAATAAAAATTCAGAATGAAAATAATTATTGGGACAGCGAATCAAATTATATTTGAGTTTTACCAAAACCTCCTTTTTTCGCCTGCCTCGTTGACGAATGAGAGAATAGGATCGCGTCCATACTTTTGATTATGTTATTAAGCATTCAAAACTCTATCAATGGAAAAATTATGAAAAAAATCAAACGACGCGAAAAAAATAACGGCTTTGAAAACCTCGAAAAAAATGGCAATTTTTTTGAAATTTTTGGAAGAATTCGTGCAAGCGTTCGTAGCTGTGTTTGTGTCAAACACACCGATGCGCACTTTTAAATGTTGCAGGAGCCGTTTTTTTGTAGTCAAATTGCACATTTTTCCTGTTTTTATTTCGAAATAACATTATTTTTTTCATTTTTTTCTTTTTTTCCAAACCAAATGATAATAATTTTTTTCTGATTAGAAAAAAAGAAAAAAATGAGCTGAAAATTCCTTCTGACCTTTTTTTCTAAGTAGTTTTTTTGATATTTTATCAAAAAAATTCTTATGAGGATTGTACAAAAGATTCATACCAAAACATGAAGCTCAGTTCGGACAACCTCTCAGAACAGAAAACCGATTTAAAAACCGTCCAGAAACGCGCAAAAACATTTAAAAAGAAAGCGTGCGGCAGCGGGTAAACCGTGAGATTTTGCCTCCAGTTGAACGCCGCGCGCGCTCGTTTTTTGGCCATAACTTTTTTCTTAGTGGAGCTTTTTTCTAAAACTGAACGGATTATGAAAATGGACAATCTCCTCTATCGAACAAAGTGAAAAACATATTTTTTGGATCGTTTTGAAGAAATGGCTTGCGGACCCTAGTTAAGGACGTCTCTTTGGTCATAGAGAAGCAAGCTGGAGTTTTTCCCACATCGGTGAGGCTGGAGGTGAAAAAATTATCGCTTTAGTTCCTAACTATCCTTTTTTCGACTATGCAACTGTTTTTTTAATTGATTGAGATCATCCCTCTGTTTGACTATATGAGATAGGCAATGAAATATTCATTTTTTTTCTTAATCTGACGGTTAACTTACCCCGGTGACGCTGATTCGAACTTTCCTGTACTAATTTTTTTCTATGATATTCATCGTTTTTTCTTTGTTGTTATGTTCAGAAATTGTTTGTTTGAACGTCATTGCGATAAATACGGTGATTTGTTTATCATTTACTTCATTTTCAAACGTCCGACTAGGTGGTTTTGTGAGTATCAGGTAGAAAAAACTGCTCCTCTGCGCAGCTGACAAGCTGGATGTGTAAATATATAACGATGGATAAAGGTTGATGTTTTTCTATATCGCTTCAGAAAGCCAAAATATTTTCCAATAAATTAAAAAAAAAAATTGTAAAATTAAAATGTATGATGCGAAACCCAACGACAGATGTTTTTACAGAATGCCGCTCAATATATTTAACCCCGTTTCAACCACAACAACGATTTATCTTCTGTTTTTGGTGAGTCTGGTGTCGGCTAACGCCTACTGCAGTACTTGCCGAGGTACGACATCCTTTCGATCGCTACCAAAATCGTTTCAGAAAGAAATGAGCTTCTCGGGCACGCTTGCCGAATGTTCACCGCTATTTGCCTCGTTGTCATGGTTTTCAACGCGATGGTCATGATGGTGCCTTGTAGATCAATATTTTAATTTTTGCGGTTTTATTTAAGGGAATATCAGGATACTTGAAATGTGTCGAATATTTTATTCTCGAATGGTTGACCAAATGCAAGATTCAATTTCTATGTAGACTAAAAATTTAGTCTGTTCAGATTTTGAATGTCAAGCAAAATCGGCCCCCGAAAACGCTCTCTGATTGATTTGATCTACGCATAAGGGGCGGAGTTTGAGCGGTGACTTGACATTCAAGATCTGAACAGACTATATTAGGGTTACTGCTATACAGACTGACAACTAAAATGAATGTTGGAGATGATCTGATCAAACATAGAATTCGATGGACGAAAGCGAATGTTCAGATGAACGTTTGGAGCATTTTCAGCAGGCTGAAAGAATTGAATTTGAATACTGGGACCAAGATAAAACGATCGTTGATTCGCACGAGAACGATGAGGATCCAAATCTCGTTCCAAATGATAAAAAAGACAAAGTAAGTTGAAGAAAGAAGATAATATAAAATGTGAAAATAGAGTCGGGATTTTCGAGTTTTTGTTTGAATATTAATATTTTCCTATGAACAATGGCCCATAGGTCATAGCTTTTTTCAAAAATTTCAAACTTTCTCTGAGTTTTAAAAGCTCTACGATATATTTGAAAGGCGGCGATTTTTGATATTTAAGATGGAAAAGAGTGTGAGAGGGTTGAGGAGCTCAGGAGTGAAAAAATCGGAAGAAAAAATGGAGAATCTCAACAAAACGAGCCTGATAACCAAGACCGGTCCCGCGAATACCAAGTCAATGTACGAGGTAGAATCTCTTCTTTGAAGCTGTCAGTAAGCTGCATCAAAACCAATTCAGAGAGAAGAACCAGCGGAAATTGTGAACTTGCCGAGGCCTCCAGCCAACTTCCACGAAGACGCTCTCGACAAGCAAGAAAAGATGCTCTCCGATTTACACGAAGATTTCTAGTCCAAGAAATTGTTTTCAATGTTAATAAACTTCACTGTTCACTCATTCAGAAACTGATTGGCCAAGAGCATATAGTCTGTGCGCCACGACTTGGAATTTCACCGAACGACATTCCGCTGTTCCGCTGCGTGCGTTCGCGAAGCGTCTTTCGAATCTAAGTCACACTTTCCATTGATTGTTATTGCTGTGGGAGCACATGAAAGTAGAGTACCTTAATAAAAGGAAAAAAAAATTGAAAGCGCGACCAAGGTTCGCAAATGCGCGCAGCGAAACAGCGGGAAGTCGTTTTGTGAATTTTCGAGTCGTGGTACACAGACTATACTATTGACCATGCTCTACAGTCCTACAGAAAGAAGGAATCAGCAAATTCGACACTTGTAGAGGAATCTTTTTGCCGAACTTTTATAGAGAAATAAAAAAGCCAAGAAAATCAAATAGGCAGTCGAACTTTGAGATGAAATCCCTATTTTTGAGAACTTTCAATTGCCTATCAAGCGGTATATAGCCCATTCACGGCTAACTTAAGACGCTGAGGGGCGTGGCTTGTCTGCGCTCTTCATCAACCAGGTACTATCTCTTTTATTATCGTGTCAGGACCCTTTTTTGATGGCTCAAGCCAGCCGTCAGTCAGCAATACTCAAAACTGCATAGGCATGTGTGCTTTTGGAGTCAAGCGCAATTTTTTTCTCTCGCCATTTTTTTATGGAAATAAAAATACTTTAGATCGGTGTACAGAGAACGTTTATGTTACAAACGTATTATTAGACTTACAGTTTTTGCGAAATCACTGCCTATAATAAAGCTTCAAAAATTTGCGCTGTATGGTCTTTGAACTATCCCAAAAAAAAAAACATCAATTCCCATGATTTATTCATTCATCCCACTCACTACTGCTTCCTTTTTGTTCGATAAGAGATTATAAAAAAGTTGTAAAAAGTTATTACCATGGTGTTGCAATAAAAAAAAACGAACAGAGTTGTATAATAAATTCAATAATTAAAAGCAAAAGTGCGCTCGAGGAAGTTCGCTCACTGTTTTTTGCTTTTATATCCAGTGTTCGTCTTGTGTGCTTTTCTCGTGCTCAACGGAACCACAACAGCTGAAAAAATGGCGTCGAGAAAATCAGAGAGGAAAAACGAACCGGTGATGTTGGCTGTTAGAGGGTTCATGACGCTCGGAGCCGTCGTAGCCACAGTGGGCATAAAGGAGCTCCGATCTGCCGGTCCCTTTGGGTCTTGCTGAAACCGCTATTTTTCGATTGCAACAATTATTGGAAAAAAAAATTGGTTAGACAGCCAGTTTAAAAAAAACTGTGTTAAAATAAGACATTCGAATCGATTTACAAGTCTCAGAAGAAATTCAACGTATTGAAACGGTATACGTCACGGTAAGACATTTGTTTCCACTTTGGTCCGTTTGAATATTTCGTGTAAAAAAGATGCTAACCGTCTCGTCCGCGTACTCCAGCATTAGTGCGTCAATAAATCGTGACACCTGGAAAAAAAAATTGAGTCTCAAAAGTATTTTCAAGCTTTTTTTTTTTGATTCAACCTGTGTGATTTTAAAAACTTTAATTTTAATGCTTAAAAAATACAAACGTCCGCCATGGAGACACGCTTGTTGGGGTCCTTAACGTAAATTTTCTCGTAGATGAAATTCTTGAAGCGATCGGGGCAGATGTCAGGAATGGTGAGATGTTTGCCCGAAACAACCTGAAAAAGTTGAGAGGCTAGAGAAAGACGATTTCAATGTTTCTAGCAACGTTTTTCTTGGCGTCCGTGTTCGTACAGTGGTCCCAGGGCTCGCAGCCGTCGGAAAACACTTCGTAGCACATCACGCCGTAGCTGAAAGCGATTTTATACAATAACGGGAAAAATATTCATTATGAAAAAATGAGATGAGAAAGAAAAAATAAAGCAGGCTGGACGCGGTCTGACTCATGTCGAGAAATGTTTCCCTTCTCAACGAAATTTCAGACTCCTAAAAGTACCATATGCCGACTAGAGACCAGTAACAGCGGTGAAAGTTTTTTTAAGGTCTAATTTGGGTTTAGGGTCCTGGTTTGCAGTTCTCTTTCAGGTCTCTTGCAGTTCTGTAGCGGTTCTCTTGCAGTTTACTTGCAGTTCTCTCGCAGCTCTCTTTCAGTTTTCTTTCAGTTCTCTAGCAGTCACCATTCTTGGATGCTCAAGCTGGAGTACAAGGCCTATTTCCCATCTTCTCAGAAGATCAAAGGATCACTATCTGATCTAATATATCCATTAACTCAATAGCCTCGTTTGAATTCTTGACAAATTAAATTGAAAAACCTACACCTAAAAATTTTTTTGTTAAATTTCCGATTAGAAATTGAATTTTTTTCAATTACAAATTGATCTAAACTTTTCTAAACTATGAAAAAAAAAACTTCGGCTGAGATCACAAGCAAATCTAAAGCATACCAAAGTCTCATATCTCTAAAAATGGATCAAAGGCGTCCAAAAAAGGGTCCATTTTGAGAGCTCCAGTGAACTTTTTAGCTCTATCTTAGCCAAAACGGAGGTGCTTGAGAGTATATTGCTCTCAAAGTTCTCAAAGGTATCCCTTGTAACACCATCATTAGACTTCAGACCCTTCAATATGTGTCAGGTAACCTTTCACGCTTGTGAAAGCCCTTGATTGATTCTCACCTATAAGTGTCCGTTTTGAGGGAAAAAACAAGCGTGGTTATCGTTTCCGGAGCGAGCCACTTGATCGGAAGCTTCTGAGGAGTCACCAGCTTATACGTGTTGCCGAGTCGTGACAGTCCAAAGTCGCTGATTTTGATCTTCAACCACAATTTAATAACAAAAATTTTGCGTTTCGGAGCTTATTTTATCAAAAAAATGTTAGACATACGATTTTGTCATTAGAATAAAGGCAATTTCGGGCGGCTATGTCGCGATGGATACAAGTTGCCGCATGAAGATACTCCAGTCCATGTGCAGCTCCTTCGACGATTTTTCATTATATTTTTTCGTAAGTTATTACTTTGAATGCTTGCTGTGATTAACCTAATATCAACTTCATTGATTATCTGCTCTCCATTGAAAACTTTTGGTTATTCTGGTTACCATGTTAAGGCGTTTTTTTTCGGTACGTCAGTCGAAACTTTCCGTGAATTATGGTAGTTATGGTGTAAACACACTGGGACGCATAATCGCATACTCCAAAAACGTTTTTTTTTTTCAATTTATACACTGATCATTTGTTTAGATCTTTATTCATTTCGAATGCCACGATAGTTTTGAGTTCTCGGGCAAGGTCGGAATGGTGGATAATGGCCGCTAAAAGAGAGATGCTCAAAAAAGACCGTAGAAAGGCTCTAAAAAGGCAGCAAAGAGATTCCCTTTATCGAGCCTTCCATTTTTTTTTTTGATTTGACCAGCCTTTCCGACTTTGCCCATTTTATCTGCTGAGAGGGTCTTTTATTTATTTTTAGTTCCCATAAGCAGAGGCTTGAGAAATCAATGAATCACTCTGATCTACCTTGACACATGGCGAGTCTTTCTTTTAAAAGAACATTTGGTCCATTTTTCTGCAGGTAAGTGTTCAAAGCGCCTCCTGCAAGGTTTGTTTCCTTTCGACAAAACAAGAAACTTCCAAGCCTTTGACCAGTTCTAGAAGGATGTAAAGAGGCTGTTCATCAACGGCGACGCCAAAAATCCGAACGATATTCTTGTGCTTGAAGTTTCGCATCAGCCGAGCCTCTTTCATCATCTCACGTATCTTGACCTTCGACAAGTCACCGGCGCCTTTGGTCTTCAATGTTGAGATTTTGGGCATTTCTTTCATCATATAAGCTAACTAATTTGACAGCCACGTCGACATTGCGTCCTTTGCGACGGAGGACGCCTTGACGCACCTCGCCGTAGGCTCCTTCGCCCAACAAACTGCCCATCTTCACCGCCGAGTGCAAATATTCCCATGTTTGTAGCTTGATCGGCGTTTTGAGAAGCATACGCAACTGAAAACAGCCTTTTCTGAGTAGTGATAGAGGAGCCTACGCCATTGGCTTGTCCCTTTTCTGCGTAAAACATGACTAGTTCTCGGATGGTGTCAAAGTATCGAGAAGCCTCCACCGAGTATTTCCCTTGATTACGGCGAACGACCACGTTTCGCAACTTGAAAAAATATATGAGAAAATAAACGACATGAAGGCCACCTTTGTCTCGTGGTGATGATCTCTGGCCGGGTCGAGTTTTCCGTTGTCGCATACTTGTTCTTGTCCATGATGGTGGAGCTGAACTTTGCAACTGTTATCTCAGACTATGGGGCTCATGAAAAAGTTCTCTTTAGTTGGAAGTTGGGGTTTTTCATAGGTTTTTTCAAACACTCTTTGGACGTCTTTTTATTGAAAAATTCTCATATTCTCTCATATAGTCTGAGTGCCACGACTTTAAATTTCACCGAACGAAGTTCCGCTGCGTGCGTTCGCGAAGCGTCTTTCGAATCTAGGTCACACTTTCACTTTATTGTTATTTCTGTGAGAGCACATGAAAGTAGAGTACCTTGATAAAAGAAAAAAAAAATTAAAGGTCCGAAAAGGCGCGCAGCGGCACAGCGGAACGTCGTTCGAATAAATTTCCAGTCGTGGCACACAGATTATACCTGCACAAATTTCTTATTTTCATACGTCGAGGAATCTAATATTCGCTCAGGTTTTTCTCTGCATATTTTTTTTCCTGACAAAACAAGAATGTTTCAACCTCCGTCATTACAGAAAGAATAATTTCTCTTCGATTAACTGCCTCCTTTCTGTTGCTCTCGTTGACCTCAAGTCAAATATCAGCTGTTTTCCAGATACATATTCACGAACAGGGACTTCGCTGACACGTAGAATGTAGTCCCCATCGTTGCGCAGGAGATAGAAGATGTCCTCCCGAGGCAAGAACCCATGATAGAATTCCAGCTCTTTCATTAACTGCAAAAACAACCTGCAAGCTTCGTATAAGACTAGTAACTACCTTTTCCTCTTCTGCTATGGCGCGTTCGGCAGTTACCGCAGCTATTTGTTTCGCGGCTCCTTGAAAGAAAAAGTCTTATCAGGACTGATTCTTACGAGGTAATCATCTCGAAAAACATATTTCGGAACCTTTTCTGGCGGCATCGACGTCGGCAGATGGCAGTGGAGTCAGTGGTGGACCTGTTTGCCCTTTATCAGAACTGACCGCAGTTAGAGCCGCAGGGTTTTCCGGCGTTTTAACCGCCACAGCGTCTACTTCTTCGTGTCCTTGCTAAGATTTCACGATCTCTCTGTGACGTGTGATATAAGTGCTAACCTTCTTGACCTCTGCGTCGGCGGCCGTGCCTGTGGGATGAGATTCTGGGGGCTGGGTCGAGGGCGACACGCCTGGCGGTTCATCAGTCAACTCAGTGGTGGTGGCTGGGGCCGTCGTGAGAGCCGGAGCAAGCCCCTTCGCCGCGAAGTTGTTGTAGAAGCTCGACCACATTACAAAATGGGGTCATTCCTATGTCGTCATCCTTGAATATTTCACGTCTTCTACGCTTAATATTTTGTGCTCAGTTCATTATACCGTATTCAAAGTGTACTGTGTTCATATTGTCCGTCAGCTTTGACTTCATATCAATTGTATTATGTCGCTCCTTGGCCGTTTATCGCATTATTTGAGAAAAAAAAGAAAGAGGAAAATTCGCGAGTTTTTGCTCGTTTTACCATGTATTTGACGCCTTCTCACTTGATTTCCGTGCAGAATGAGTTTTTCTACAACCTTAAATTGTTTAAATTGTTCAAAAAAGCTCTATCTGAAACAATTTTTTACTGGATTTTATGTAACTTTGTCAAATTTTGGGTGTTCCATAGCGCTGCTTTCACCGTTCGAGTAAGTCCTCGGGTATATAATCTCCATTATTTTTATGTAACATTTTTCAAGAATTTGTTTGCATTAAGTTTAAAGCTTAGAAAAATTAGGACCCAAATGCATTAATGGCTCAAGCGATAGAATTTAAAATTCATCACTTTGTCCTACCGTTTCTTTTTCCGTTTCTTTTCAATTTCCTATGTTCTTTACCCATCTTCTTTAGTTTATTAGTTTTTTGGTTTGTAATGTCAGAAGGCGCCAATTTATCTCCTCACTACTATATGAGTTGATGTGCTAATTAGGTGATCTGTTTAGGCTCTCAGAGAGCAGTAACGTGACGTGTGAGAAAACCCACAGCAGAGAAATATGCCGGTGGCAAGGTTATATCAGGCTGTGTTGCTGCCCATTCTGTCTGCTGTCTCCTCGTCGAGGCGTCTATCGATGGGGAGGGAAACCTCTGTCGCTCCCCAATTTCGCGCCTTTTTCGCGTTCAAAATGTATCTTGCGTTTCGCCAGTACTGCATTACACTGCTTTTTCATTGTTCTGCTCTATTATTTCGAAGCACTACCCAAGCTTATCTCTCTCCTTCTGTTTTCTATTTCATTCTTCAATTTTTTTATTCTTTTTTTAATGAAATAATAACGCGAAAAAAAATTTAATGGATACATTTTTTTCTTAGTTTTTAATAGTGCGTTTTAATTTTTCATTTATTAAAGTCGGAATTCTCAAAAAAATAAGATTTATTATATATAACTATATAGTCAACTCGTATCCGAGTCGATTGGGACGCTGCAAACTTTATGTTGATGCACGTGCGCTCTGACGCACTTCTTTTATAGAAAAAAAAAAATTTTTTTTCTAGTTTCTTACAGAGGCCCGAGAAGTTTTCGTTTTTTTTTTTACCTTCAAAGCAAGCATATGCGTCAGGGCCACCCGGCCCAGTTTTTTTTTTGCTAAGAAGCTGGCTCAGGCTTGAAAAATAGGCGAGGGATCGCAGAAGTCTGTAAAAAGAATACGTTTTTAATTCGACCTTTTTTTCTTCTGTTCGCCGTTCGGGCAGTTAACACAGAAATATTTGCGTTTTTCAGCTAATTATGCCAACAAATAAAGCTCCTTCCACTACAAATGGCGTTCCGAATATTCGAATAAATTCGAGGAAAAGGAAAAACGGTTTTTTTTTCTTCGACCGAAAACTTTAGTTTCTTTTTTGTTTCAGATGATGTCGTGCATTTTAAAAAAAGACCGATCGTCGAACTACATTCATGTTCTCCAACATCGTCGAATAAAGAGAACGACGATGAAAAAGAAATGGAAATCGAAGAGAAAATCTCTACAACTGACGGAAGCTCTCTAAATGCAGGTTCGACTTCTTGTTAATTGCTAAAAAAAAAAGAGCTTTGGTACTTCATTTTATTTTTCGCACAAGAATTACATCTCAAAAAAAAAATGAGGCTATTCAAACCAAAATTCTTTTTTTTTTGTAAAAAATATCGCTCGTGATTTTTCAAATGGACATTACACTGGGTTATATCCCTTTTGAGAGAAAAACTTGTTTTCTTTTTTTAAAAATAAGTTTTTAATTGATAATAATCTTTTTCAGAAGACTTTTTGGCGCTTTTATTCGAGGCTGAACAACGCTTCACGTCCAAAGTTGTTTTTGAGTCGTAACATTCGATCTCACAATAAAAAAGTAAGACGAAAAAATGCGACCGCACAAGATGAGAAAAAAAGGCGGCTTGAATTCAATCAATACATCAAGAATGCCAGAACAAAAGCGGTGAGTGTGTAGAAAAAAATCATTAAAAAGTTTTGAAATAGATGCTAAACACTGGTATGCGACCGTTTTTCGTGGTGGAGTTCAATTGGCTCAACTCTTGGGATTATGGATCGTACGATATAGTGTCCGGTAGGAGTTTGATTTTTTTTTTCTTCGAAGTAAAAGTACAGCTGATTCACGGCTGGTTCAGTCTTCGAAAAAAGGTCCTGACACGATGATGCACGAGATAGTGCCTAGTTCGTGAAGAGCGCAGAAACGCACTCTAGGCTTCTCAAGCTAGCCGTGAATATCCTTTTTTCCTAATAAAAATCGTTCGATGTACATATGATTTTTTTATTTTAGATATGACATCATTGGCTGTAGTCTATGCGAAAGTTGGGTTATTTGACGATTCAGGAAAAGTTAGCCTGGTAAAAATGAATTATTTTGCCAATACTCTTCAATATCTTTCAGCATGATCTCGGGTTCGCATTGATTCCAAAATCAAAGAATTGGGAACGCGAAGAAAGTTTGAAAAGACTGTACAACGAAAAAAACAAAACGCTTCTCTCGTTCCGAGCCTTTTCTTGCTTGAAAAAGGAAATAAAAAACTCAAGGTAGCTCTCGAAATTTTTGGCTTTTTGTTTCAAGTAAGTGCTTTTTCAGGCATGTGTTTCTTTACGTCAAAGTCAAGCGGTTTGTCCCGAAACAAGCGATCGAAAATGAAAATGGTAAAATTATTTGGTTTGATAAAAAATAATTTGTATTTTTTTAGTTCGCCTCAAACGCTTCAAGGCGGCCGTGAACAGTTTGGAAAAAGTTGAATATTCGGAGGTGAGGAAACGGCAGTTTCGTGTTGACGTTTCTCTAGGTGGTTCGCTACGGCTGCAGAAAGATCGGACACATGGCCATGGACGAACTTGATTTCCTTTCCAGCGTTCAACATCTTCTTCTCCAGTCAGTTTCGCTCTGTTCTCTCTGCAAAATCTGGTTTTAAGAATTTCAAATCGATCCATTGACTTTTTTTCAAATAAGAACGTTACTCACAATCGTATGGAAACATAATTAAAAGTTATAAATTGAGATATTTTGGTCAGCCACCTTTGTTCACATTGGTCGGAATCTCCCTATCTTCAGTTATAACTAAAAACCTGCATTTTTCAGCGATCCCAAAAACTTTTCTCTCAAAGACGTCAGCCTGACGGACGAGAAATGGATGCAGAAACTTGAAGTCGCGACTCGAATCGATTCTTTGAACGTTGATAAGGTTCTTAGATTTTCTGCTTTTTAAATTTTCATTTATGCGTGAATTAGTCGCGGTTCCTGCTCTTGGAAAGGTAGTATTCGATTTGAAAATAATTTCTTGCCGATTTTTTAATTTGGAACCATCTGCTTCGTGTAACTAAACCTAAAATAATGAAAAAATCCGAAAAAAAGGAGCATTTTGGTTCGAGCCACATCTCTCTGAATTTCTGGAAAAAACAGCTTCCGATGTCACGTGATTCTCCCATTTTTTTTTAATGCCGATTTTCACGTTTTCAATTGTTGAGATGATTTCTTTATTTCGTTCAGAACGAAGGAAACTCCTTCTCGGCTCGAATGATCTTCTCGGTGGGAGACACGCGGATTTCTTCTGAAGAAAAAGTCTCACGCGTCCGTCGATCTCCTCGCAAAAACAGAAGCAGCGAGATACTTCCCCGGAAATCTCCCAAATCCAATGATTTTGAGTATGTTGTTCAGATTTCTTTCTATTATGTTTGATTGCAAGCAGGCTTGTGCGTCAGAGCGGCCCGGGCTTTGAGCCTAATTTTTGAGAAAAAACTATTTTTCACCGAATAAGTCTTTTTGTTTGTTGAAAATCATAGTTTCTATGATAGACTCTATGTGAAAAAGTAAAAAAAAAGCATCAGTTTTCTCCTAGAAAAGCTAAATACTCGACTTGAAAAATTTTTAAGCTTTTTGAGCCAGGATTAAAAAATGGCCTGGGGCCATTAGGCTGACGGGCTGGCCCTTGCACAAGCCTGATCGCAGGCAAAAAAAAAAGCGGTTCACTGAGTTTAGCAAGTCTTTGCATTCTCAAAAAATCAGTGAAAAAAATTTTCGCCTGCTGATTGTTTTTTTAATTCTCAGTTTGTTCCCTTTAATCAAAGAGTTAAGACTATGGGAAAAAATAATGATAGAATTTTTCATTTAATCTCATTCATTACAGATCCTATCATTTTGTGCAAGAAAAGAGAGCTTGTCCACTGACTTCAGATGAACTTGATAGGTAATTGATCTTTTCAGATCTTTTATTTTATTATTCACCTTATGGTTTTCAGAAAAACCAGTGTAAACTGTTGTCCGTTCACGAAGCAAAGGTTCGAGTCGAACAAATTTCTGCAGATTCATTTAAAACGCAGATATCCGATGTTTTCTTTTCGACCTTCGGTATTTTTCTAGCACGAGGCTTTTTTTTCAAATTCATCGAGTTTAAGGAACGCGCCAATTGTTTCAATGCGACGGCTGATTCTGATTTCAACTTTTCTCAAGAGAAGAAGGATTCGTGGATTTTCATGAAGTGAGTCTTTTTTTAGCGGAAAATGTAATAATGTTTTGAATGTCCTCTTGATGTGCGTTTATCGTGTTTTGAGAGATTGCACACTGTTCAATTATTCCAGTTTCCCATCAAAAGTATAATTGAAAATATTTAAAGCACCTGATTCCAACATTTTTTTTAAATCTATTTTTCACTTTCTATTCGTTTTGTAAAGACTGTCTCTTTACTCTCATCGCAGTAATAGACGCCAAAAAAAACCTTCAAAAATTGAGTTGAAATTGAAGCTTTAGGAGGCCCATCAACATTTTTCTACTCCAAAGAAAAGAAAAAAAAATAATGACGCTTAGGAAGTTTACAAAAAAAAATCGCACAAAAGAATAATAATGGAATTATTCTTGCTTCGATTTTTATTTTTTGAAGATAGATAAAAAGTGGATTTTGTCAGAGTCAAAAAGAGGATGGGAGTCCTACGGAGCCGTTTTCCTGTTGATGTTGCTCCTGAGCCGTGTGGAAATTTTCCAAGGGATCACCACTTGACCTACATCCAATCGTCATACCTTCTCAAGTAAGTTTTTCATTTTTTTTTTCTCTTCATTCAAGTTTTCAATTGTTCATTTCTTTTTTTAGACCGTATCCGCCGAACGCCGGTGGTTGGGCGACTGTTTCTGTGGAGAAACCGGCCGTCGTTTTGTCCCAACCTCTTTTGGTCAGCCCGAGTCCCGATTCCCTTTGATTTATTTTTTTTTGTTCAGAAATGCCACAAACATCTAAATTGTCATCTCGTTCGTTACAACATCATTTTTATAAGGTTTTATCCTTTTTTCATACCCTTTTCCACTGTGTGACTTTCAGTTATATGCTGGGAAATGGCTATCGACAAGCTTCGAGAAGTCCAGAACAACTTCATGAACTATATGTAAGTTTTAACTTGCAAAAATTTTTTTTTATAAACTATGAGAAAGTGTTAGATGTTTATTATGAAATGAACAGAGCTCTCTGAATCTCTAGGTGACCTACAGTCGCAAAAATCGAATTCCTTTTTTAGTTTAGTAGTTGAGGAATTCCAAAGATACTCTGTGTAAACTGCAGCATTGATCTCTGCGCATATCTTGAAAAGTAATATCTCTGTAACTAAAATTTATCTCAGAGGTCGTTTATGATGATCTCTGTCAAGATTTTCGAAATAAATAGTTTGAGAAAACTTGTAGAAATCGTCATATTTCATATTAGAAACGGTCTTTCTTGTGAGAGGGTAGGAAACTCAATTTTAGGAGAAATAGGCTCGCCAAAATAAATTTCGTAGTTTTCCAAAACTCAAAAAATAATAATCGAACTGAGTATTGTTTCAAAGACTTAAGAGTTGAAAGAACTAGAACATTGGTAACACGAAACGGAAGTGCTCCAGACGTTTCTGGGTGATTCCAGGGATCACTTAAGAGTTTTGCCGCTACTAAAGTGTACACTAGAAATGCCCAAAAACGTCCGTTTCGCGTTTCCAATGTCCGAAAAATTTCAGAAGCCTTTATTATATCCATAGTTTTTTTTTAAAATATAAGTAATAGGCTAATTGATATAAAATTTAACGAACATCATTAAATGTTTGCTTGAATCGTGAACCATTCGCTCTGAACAGCGAGTAGTAATTATTTTCTAATGCTACCGATTAAAAAAAAAGAATTGCAGAAGGAATACGTAAAAAAACCTCGGCTGAATGGATTATTGCTGAAAACCTGACTTCGATATTCGTGGAGCATATGACAATGGCTTATCTGAGAAGTCTTGTAACTCGGGTACACTATGCAGATCTCATCAATGATTTCTTTAAACGCCTGCCATTTCACCTCTGAAATTTCCCTAACCAAATATCTCATTCTCGTATTCAATTTTCTAGGTTGTATGATATTTTTTTTCCTGTGCTCTCAATCATGTTTTTATTGTTATGTTTATGTATAAGTGATTTGCGTCCCTTGAAAAAAATATTGCTATTATTTCTAAAGTTTGTTTTTGAATCAACGTTTCTGTGAACTGATCAGAAATATTCGAGCCTTGCTTATGGTATCTGCTATTTCAATTCCTAACAATTTATTCGCGTTTTAGGCAAAATAAATAGGAATCATGTCAAATGTGTTCGAGAAGAAAATAAATGTCGTGAAGAGAGAACTTGAAGGAGACTTTCCGTATTTTTCAAAGCCCATCGTTGTCTCCGAGTATACCGTCGACCGTGAAAGGTAGCCACAACAGATTTTAAAAAGAAGTGGTTTTTTTTTCTAGTGTGAGGTGACTTGAGAGTACTTGAATAAACCAATTTTTAAGAAAAATAAATAACTAGTCGAGGTTCTTTCTTCGAGTTTCAATTTGAAATATAGGACCTTTTGAAAACTTACTGAGATTTCGCATATGGCCGATCCACAGTTAGCTTGGGATAACTTTTTTGCGCCCCCCATCAAACAGACAATGTCTCTTTTTTCGCCGTGTCAGGACCCATTTTTCGATGGCACAAACCAGTTGGGAATCAGCTTTAGTCATTGCGCCAGCTTTGGCGAGATCAACGAAAAACCCTTTATGGCCAAGCATTATATAACTTGGGCGAATCCTAGTGACTTTTCAAGGGAATTGAAATGAAAATAATGGTTTTACAAGCTTTTGAGAGGTGCAAAAAAATATTCTTCCGAGCTTCTTTTTCCACTTTTCAAAAAGGCCTTGTATCGAATTTCCAGTTCTTCTTTCCTTCTCAACACGTTTATATTACCTCAAAGAGAATTTGTAAACTTTTCGTTTGGACGAGCTACGTAGAGGGCATATAGATCAGTCACGACTGGCTTGTGCCATCAAAAAAAGGGTCCTGACACGATAATAAAACAGGGCCTGGTTGGTGGAGAGCACAGAAACGCCACGCCCCCTCAGTAGTCCAAATCAGCCGTGAATCGGCTATATAATTTGACTAAGCTTTAGAAACGTTACTATTGGGCGAGCAGAAGCTAAGAACTTGTACATACCTGCTGTTCGACGCGATGTGCATCTAAAGTTGGATGAAGGCTACGAAAAGTTTGATGAGAAGGTGAAGAATGATGTAGATTACCCTTTTTCGTTGCTGGAGCTTTTTATATGTATGTATGTAAAAAACGTCCCAAATAAACTTTAAGACTAAAACAAGGTTAGAAAAGAATTTCCAGGCCGGGGAAGAAAACCTCGACGGTTTTATTACGCTGGATCGAATGCATGGCACCGAAAGGTGGACGATTAAAAAAAGGTTCAGATTTTTACGAAAAGTTATTTTATAAAAAAACCAGCATAAAACATACAAAGAAAAATTGACAAGAATTTATTTCGAAAAATAATCCTCAAAAAAATTGCAATAGAATATTCGAGAAGAAGTGAGTAGTTGATTTGTATAACCATAAAGAAATCGCCGATGTTACGATTTTTCTTGTCGCTGAGATCCCTGCACCAGGAGCGACTTCTTAACCGTCAGTTGCGCGGTTTCACTCTCGATTCCCCTTGCGAATCGCTTGATGCGTTCCAACTGAATAATTATTTCGGAAAATTCTGAGACGCATTTTCCCTTTTTGCTTTTAAAAAATTTGAAAAAACTATATAAATCAACTTGAAAGATATTTTTTTACCTCTGATTCGATGATAGTAATCATCTTCAAGGCTTCTGTGGTTTTCTTTGTCACCATCTGAAATTTTTGCGTTAATTCCTAATAAAATGCTTTTTTTTCTCACCTCTTCATAAGACCCATTCAAAGTTTTGTTGATTGTCATAATTTTCAAGTCTGAAACATATTGAAATAAAAGATTGGGAAAGCTTTCCAGATCATAATCGCAATTATCTTCGTCTGAAAAGAAAAGCGAAAAAAAAAACGGGGAAAAATGTGAAAATGAATATAACGAGGTTATGAGGATCTCTTATGCTGTGTTCGATTTGATTCCGCCAAACGCAAAATGATCTCTGACTCTCCAAAATTTAGTGATCTTTTCCTTTCTCTAACGGGTATTTTGCATTTCGCGTAATCAAATTGAACACGGCATTAGGTCAAAAAATGCATGGTTATACTTTGATCTTAATTTGATCTGTTGTACTCGTTAGGTTTTTTTTCTTTTCTGACAAGTCCTTTTCTCATTAATGCTATATAGTCTGTTCAGGTTTTTAATATCACTCTTGCTCTGCAAAAGTTCAAATAGACAACGGGAAACAAAGAAACAACCTTTAGTTTCAAAAATGTTTAGAAATAAAGTTTATTCGCTATTTGAGGTGCTCCACGAAGCGGAATTCGTGAGTTGGAGAGGCCTTCTGACGCGAATCGCAGTCACTCCGTACGATCAGCGGGATAGTTGGCGTTTCCGAGCAGCACGGCGACTAGGAGTTGTCTTCCTCAACGAAGAGGAAACCGAAGAGAAAAAGAAAAAGTTAGATAGTTATAGCTGATTCACGGCTGGCTTGAGCCATCGAAAAAAGGTTCCTGACACGATAATGCACGAGACAGTGCCTGGCTCGTGGAGAGCGCAGACAGGCCACGTCCCTTAGCGTCCCAAGCTAGCTATGGATCAGCTATATCTTGTTCAATAACACGATTTTTCAGAAAAGAAAACATTTCGGTCCGCGAGAAACACATGTGTTTTTGGGGCTTCAAGTTCGAGCAGTACATGACCGTTTCTGATAAAGAGGTCTGCTTTTCTTCTGAAGCCCCAGAATTCGAGGGATGCGAAAGTAGCTCCTTCAAAAACTATAAAATTTTGTTTCAAAGGAAGATGAAATGTCGCTCCCTGGAGCGGTAATGGAACATGTATTAGGTAGAGCCAGCAAGCAATTTATGAATTATAACTTTCTCAGATATTTTAAAACCTGTAGGAAAATTTTTACACAACCACATGAGCAAGATTTATGTTCATTAAGATAGTATTTAACTCTTTTTTTAAATCAAGCTATTTAGTGTGTTCAGAAGTCAAATTTGATTCGAGAGTCAAACTCTAAAAATAATGCCCACGTTGCGTATTTAAGAAAGTTCAGGAAATGCCGGATACAAAACAACCAGTCAGTAACCGGGAAGAGTTTGCCAATGTGATACGGTCGAATCTGAGAGCAGATGATGGCGGAAACTTGAAGATGCTCTACAGCGCCGAAATCGACTGTCTCGATGACCGTAATGCGACTTCTTATCATTTCGTTCGATGAAAATGTTGCGCAGAGGGACTTCCAGTCGAGTTGAAAACGCACAAAGGGGCCCTGGAAGGATGGTTTTGGGAAACAAAGAGCTTGAAGTGGTGGATGCAGTCGTTTCTGGTTGCTGTTCCGCGGATTGTTGTCGGACATCGCAACGATCAAGGAATTGTTAGAACAGTTCGTTGAAATATTCATTTTTTAATCAGCTATCAAGGCAGGGCATGAGCTCACAAGGAGACTCAAGTAAGCCTAACTAGGGAACTACTCGGACTCGGGTACGCTTTTCGAGTTGAAACTTTGGTGGCTCATAGACCCGGGTAAGAGTACTTGAAAATAAGAGAGATTATCTGCTAAACCCCACAGGCTTCTGAGGAAAAGCTTTTTGAAAATGAACAGTTTAGGCTTGAAAATTATCAAATTTCTGCTTTTCTTCTTCTTTTGGCTGCAAAAAAGTTTTTTAGAGTTTATCATAGCCGGATCATTCAAGGCGATTGTATTAAAATATAAAATAAGGTGAAAAGCTGTATTCTGAAAAAAATTTCAGGCCTAATTTTTCACATTTTCTACTAATTTTTTTCTCAGTTCTCTCTCGGGTTTAGCAGATATTCTCTTTCGTTTTCAAGTATTCTCTCTTATGTCTATAAACCACTAAAGTTTGAACTCAAAACCCGTACCCGAGTCCGAGTTCCCTAGTAAGACATAGCTTCTGATTTTTTTTTTCCAAAATATTCTCTTCTTCCTCTTCCTGAGAAGCTTGAAAATGTTACCCGAGATCAAAAACGATCTTCATAAGTTAAGCTTTTTTTAAAAATTCATGCATGCTCTCTTGCTTTCATACGGTTTCTCAAATCTTGCCGGGACCATTGCCTTGAAGTTTCACTTATCTTTAAAACTGCGGCAAGCAGTCAGACTTGCTCCCAAGTCAGCGCCTAACTTGTATGTCAGCTTCCGCTCTGTAAATATCTCACCAATTCGAAAGTGCTTCATGAAGAAAGTTTGAGGTGGACTCGATTGCGACAGAAGCGCTTGTAAAGCGTGGGAAATGGAGCGGGTCGGTCTGCATGCGGTTTCTGTCGCGGATACTCAGCGAAGTGCGTAATTTGCTCGTCGAGGAAGGTTCTGCGTGCACTGTCGAGTTCAAATCGGACGGTCAAGTTGTGATTCTCGGTGCCTCTTACTCTTCTTGCAATTATTTCTTACCCGAAAACTTTCTTCGTAAGTTTTTTTAGTTCTTTAATTTTCCTTATCGTCATTTTTTTTTTCTTGTAAACTGCTTTCCCATTAAGTTTTGATTTCAAGTTTGAGAAAAATTGTGTCAGTTTGTATCTCTTTTATCACTAAACCATCACAACCTTCGTTCTTTTATGCGTTCTGCTTCGGCTCCAAACCATTTCAGGAAATGAAACTTCATTATTGAGTTTACATATTCAGAAAAATGATTTCAAATCCAGAAAAGTTTCGAAAACTTGTAGAACATTGCAGGGCCCTGAGAACGAAAAAAGATCAAGTCAAAAAAAAATGATCAACTGTTTGACCTGCCTTTTTAGTGATGTAGAACACTGCATGACCCTGAGAACAAAAAAAGGTCAAATCAAAAAAAAAGATCAACTTTTTGACCTGCCCCTACAGAAGGGAAAACTACGAAACTTTTATATACGTTTATTTCTTTGTACATAGAGTTTCGTTCATTTCGAGTAATTTTTCTTTCGCGATATCACTTATTTCCTTCTACATTCTTGTGGATTTCTATCTTTTACTGTCAATGAACTCTCAATAACTCGATGAGCGTTAAAACCTTTGGAAAAACCGAATTTAAAGTCGTGGTGTCAGTGATTTCACTTTTACTTCCTAACGTTTCAATTTTTATCACTCATTGGTATTTTTCGTGGCTAGAGGAGATCAAGACGGGGGAGTGACTTTGATACTCGGAAGCCAGGTGGCCGTAGTGGTTTTCCACGTCTTGTATCCAGCGTCGGCCTTTTGGTGCTCCTGTCCCTTGTGGTGGTCTGGGTCTCGACGGAACCCCCGTGAAAAAGACGCTCTCTCGCGACATCCACTGCCGCAGCTGCACCAGTCAGTCCCTCCATTCTTCCTCCCCTTTAGGAGCCACCACCAAGCGTCGTCGTGTTTACGTCCACCTACACTTTTTTTTAAGGTTCTGGGTTTTCTCGGCTAGTTATATTTAAATAGTACTCTATATAATTTTTCAATCTTTATAATACTTCAACCTCCACATTAGCCTGAAAATAAACGAACATCGTGCTTTTTACTTGATATTTTTTCTTAACATCAAACAAGCTTATCAAAGTTTTCTTGTATTCCTAGGAATGATAACTGGGAAAATTTTTTTATACTTTGCAAAGTTGTTTTTCAACACACATTTTTTCGAACTTTCTTCTACTAATTTAAAATTCTATTTAATATTTTTCTTTCTACTGTTTATCAATTTTGTCCATTTTTCTTTATCCGATTTTCGATGCCTGTTCGATTTCTGAATAGACTCGACTCAATTCTTTCAAACTTTTTTTGAAATGAAAGTTTTTTAGATTTTATTAAAATGTATATTTCACCGAGAAGCAACAGATCTTGTTCTAGATGACCGGTTTACCTGGAAATGTGAGTTTTACTTCTTTTTTTCTTGAATTTATTTTTTTAATATAAAATAGACCATTACTAGTTCACTAAGCGGATTATAGCAAGGCTAGAACTGTTTTTGAGACGGCTTTTCAATGGAAGAGTGACCCATCCGCGAGAGAAACAGATGGTCGTAGGGTCTCGAGTGAATGGAGCGATGTCAGGGGATTAGCACCACTTATACAGTCACTCGATGAAAATTTCGTGATTTTTGACATTATTGAATCAAGAAGAGAACGATCTCATTAATTTCCTGACACTTTTATTTTAACACTTTTATTTTTACTTTTTGCGCTAAATCCAAAATTGGCTCAAATGAAATGAAATTTTTTCACATTTTCTGTTTAATATAATTTTGTATCATAAGAAGATCTTATTGAGAGTGCGAATTCTCAGATGAATGCCGTGAAAGCGGAAGACATCGAACACGTCCTACGAGACGGAGTCGCGCTGCTGCCAGGGGGACGCTGCCGAGCAGGAAAAGCTGTCCTGGTATTTCCGTCTCGAGAACAACCCGTAAACCCGGACCATCTCCGCAATGTCCTCCTCTACCTCCTCACAGTCACTGCGTCTGTCGACGGCTCTATTCTGAATTCCTTCGTTTGTTTGCAGAGATGCTGCTCGGGAGCAAGGCTTCTTGGTCGTCATCGACATGCGCGGCAAGCAAACCTGGACCAATGTCCGACCGATCCTCAAGGCTCTAAATGTAATCCATTCTCCTGCTTTTTTTTTCCCCCCAAAGCACGTTTTTGTAGAGCATGAGTGATGCTGCAGCAATCTCGCAAGTTTTCATCATCAAACCGGACAAGTTCTGGGAGAAGCAGAAGGTACTGTTCAATACTCTCCTTGAATAAATTCGAAAAGCTGTCATTTTTTTGATTTTTTTATATTATATATTCAAACAAGTTCTCACAAATCCGCAGTATGCAGGGTGAAAAAAATATTACTTCTTACGAATTTGGAATCTCATTTTTGGGTTCAAAGTTACAAAATCGTCCTCCAAGAACTATTTTTTTCTTTTTAACTATCGGAAGGAAAGTTATTTCTCAAAATTTTTATTTTTTAATTTCCCACCCGGAATTTCCCACAGTGTTTGAGTTTATAAAATTCAAATACTTTGGGTCAAAAATTTTTTTGTGTTTGAAAATTTTCTCAACGCTGACAGAAAAAAAAGCCTTTTTCCACCATTTTACACAGCTCCTATGAATTATCAAACATCTTGTATAAATCGTGACTTTTCCTTGTATGACTGAGACGCTGATTAAGGCTCAAATTTCTCTGGGCTCCTGGCGCTTCGAGGTCCAGATGATATCCCCGGAAGGTCTGACCAAGTATGTCGACATGAACCAGCTTCCACGAGTCATCGGAGGCTCACATCCGTACGACCACGACGACTGGCTAGAAATTCGTCTTGTAAGTGACTTCTGGTCTGGAATTACTTTCAAATCACACTTATATCCTTTTTTTCCTAAATGAAAAATAAGTGGCAAAAAAAAACCATTCCAGAGGAAATATCCAACCAAACATTTTTTCAATAGTTTTCGGTAGCGCTTGAACTGAAATTTGGAGCTCCTTATAAATAAAAGCATCCTCAGGGATAAAGAAAATCTGAAAAATGCTTCTAAAAACGGAGTTTGAATTGTTCTTCTTCAATGTTTGATTTAGGATCTTGAGAAGTGGATCTGGAACATCAGCGAAGTGATGGGTGGACTGGACCAAGTTCGAAAAGAGGTTCCATTTTGTTTCTTTTGTAAATATTTTCGAGCTTCCGAGTTCTCTATCTTTTAGGGATCCCTATGGAAAATTCACATGTCTGTAAAATCTACTTTTTCCATTTTCCAAAGTGTTTGCCATAGTCAAAAAGCTCATATTTTTTTGATTATTTCCAAGTATTTCTGTTTGAGATATGCGAATGCGAACAGCCAGTGGATGTGCCGACGTCGGAAGTTGCCGTCAACAAACACGCTGTCGCCAAAAAGACGATTTTCGCCATTCCTGTCGATAAAATCGAGAACGACGCGAAAAAAGTTGGTTTTTACAGATACGAATTGCAAAAAAGGACGTTTTTCTCATTTACTAGGGAACTTTTTTCAGCCCCCGGTTGAATTTTCGATGAAACGGAAGTGTACCTTAGGACCTCCTGATCCCAGAACAAGAAAAAACTTTTTCGCAATAGATCTGATTTTCGAGTACGCAAATTCTCATAAGAAGCGCTATTTCGAACTTTTGAAGCGTCTAAACTCGAAAATAAGATCTATCATGAAAAATTTTTTTACTTGTTCTGTGTTCAGGAGGTCCCAAAGTATACTTCAGCAAAGTTTCATCAAAAATTTAATCAAAGGTAAAAAATTTCCCGACTTAGTTTCCTCTCATTCAAATTCCGAAATATTTCAGATATGTGACAGGATAAGCTCACCAAAGAATTTCTTTCAAAATCCCGATTTGGTCGCAGTCATCCCTCACATAAGCAATCTTGTTGAATCTCTCCGGAAGCTGAAGTGACCTCAAATTTAATTCGATGAAAATGCCGTTTTCCTTTGCAGGAGCGAGGTTTTCTCGCTTTGGGACAGCCGACGTGGCGAGCTGGAAAAACTCTACCAGATGAAGCTTTTTGAACAGGACGCCGAAAAGGTGCAGTTGTCTACCATTCAATTGAGAGTTTCAAGGTTTTACAGATGATCGACTTGGTCAGGTCGTACTGCACGGTCGTCGACCGTAACATGGGTGACGTCGGGGTCTGTGAAACTGACGTCATCCGCCTCAGCGCCGACTTTGAAAGTTTCCAACAGACCGTCCTGGTTCGTATTGCAGTTGGTATTGATCATGGAGTCCAGTTTCAGGGGGCCGAGGTCAACGTCTCCCAAGTGATAACGCGCGCTCAGCGGATCCTTTCAACGGGTTCAACAGGAAGATCGAACGTTCGCTTTTTTCCGTTTCATAAAAAATCGGTGTATTAAGGGTGAAAGATGGGGTCAAAAACTAATGTAGGTATTTAATCTTTTTTCGGAGTGATGGTTACTTGAAACTCAAGGGTTTCTGCCTCTTATAATGCTTTTTATTCTCAAAAAAAATACTTGAATTTTTTCACTTGTTATTTTCTGAATAGGCTTCGATCATTAAATGATCGTTTACTTAAAGTGAAGATTTCTCGGAAAATGTCTCAAGAGCAGTTAACTTTGAAAGCAAATAACACAATTCGTAGGAGAGTTTCAGAAAATGAACTATGGTCCTTGTGAGGTGTTTGTTTACAATGGAGGTGTCTTTCGACTTCACTTTTACTCTTGAACTATCGATCTTGCCAATGGCGGGATCCCCTAATGCAGTCCTTCTCGTAGAATTCACCAGGATCTTCCAAGCGGGGAATTATTGTCTTCAGAATTCAAAACCATTTCAGATCGAAGTAGGGGCCATGCGGCTGCAAGACGAGTGGCGACATCTCAACGATTCCATTAAACGTCGGCAGATCATCCTTTCCGCAGCACGAGCTTTCTTCATCTCCTCGCAAAAAGTAGTGAATACGTATGGCTTCGGGATTCTAAACATCTGTTCAGTACTTTGCGGAAGTTCCCGAGTGGACGGCCAAGCCGGGAGTCAATCCTTCGGACGTGATGTTGCAACCCGCAGACGCGCTAGAAGACGCCATCAGACGGCACGACACCTTCTGGGTCCGCATCGAAGAGATCTATGCGCAGGTCCCTATTTTTTATCGAAAAAGCAAAATTAATCGCATTTTTTTTTCGCAACCCGGGATGGTATGGTGATGTTGCAGGGAGGGAAAAAGACCACTAGGTGGATTAACTAACCCCATCTGTGAAGAAAAAAATTTTATTAACATTTTTATTTTACTCACTCATTTTACCAGAGAAAACACTAGCGAGCAGATCGATTTTCTAGCAATATTCAATGAAATAACTCACGTCAAATCCACTTCTTCATTTTTCCTTTTGTTCAAGTAAATGTTTGAGACAGTATCTTGAGATTTGAAAACTACTCCGATGAAGCCGAATCCTTGAAAATATGGCCGAAGTTGTGAATCTAGCAAACTCTTGTTAGTACGTGAAGGTGTACTCTTATTTCCACAACTTTGGATTCAAAACAGCGCTTTCAAAGTGTATTTCAAAAAATATATCTACGTTCAGGCTTTTGATGACGGAACGAAAGTGACCCAGGCAATGAAAAGCGCCGATGCGGAGGACAACGTGGCCAGAGAGCAAATGGGACGACTAACACGAGCACATAAGCAGCTTCACGAGAAATGGCGAGAAAGAAAGGTCGGACACTTTTTGAAACATTTCTCATCGAATCTCACGTCTATGCAGGTTCTCTTGCATCACTTGTTGGCGATGATAGCTTTCGAAACCGACGTGAAACTTGTCGTCGACTGGCTTGACCAACATGGCGAACCTTACCTTTGTAAAAACGTCAATATCGGTTTGTGCTACTTTCTTGCCACTTGAGATCTTCTTCTTTCCAGGAGAAAACGACGTGCAGGCCAAAACTCTTCAGAAAAACCATGCCAACTTCAAAAAAGTCGCCGCAAATACCTACGACAACGTCAAGAAGCTCTACCAAGTTTACAAAAATATTGTCGACTCTGGAAATCGTGAGTTCCGAGAATTTTTTTCACGTTAACCTCTTTCAATATTCAGAAATGTGTGACGCTGAAAAAATGAGAAAAATGCAGACTCTCATGTCGGACCTCGAAGTCCGGATCAATCATTTCACTGTACGGGTAGAAACGAGGTGAGAAAAGTAATATAACTTCTGGTCACACATTTCTCAAAGGTATAACCTACTACGGTTATCAGTGCTTTTCCACACACACTACGCCGAGCTGACTACGTGGTTTTTGGATATGAAGAGGAAGTATGAGGAAAAAGTCGTGGACACGGACGTCGATGTCTGTGAAATGAACAAGGAGCGATGGGTCGCAGAAAGCGACGGGACCGCCCAGGTCTTCTAACTTGCAGCATTTTTCTCCTCTCTCATTTATTTCTATAGTCAATCCTTTCCGACTTAAAAGGCGAAGGAGACGCGTAGCGTGTGCGTACGCGGTTTTTGGCAAGAGTTGAATTAAAGCGCCACCGAGTATTTGAAAAGCTCGGTCACCGCTCTTTTTGTATCTATCCTAACATTTTTAATGCACAAATATAAAAAAATCAATAACGAAATGAAAAGAGCTATAAACGAGCTCTCCAAATAGTCGCTGGCCGTTGAATTGAACTCGTGCCAGGAACCGCGAACGCACACGCTACGCGTCCCGTCCTCTATCCCACCTCTCTCGTCTTTCAAGTAGGGAAAAGTTGACTATATCCTCTCTTACTACGTCTAAAATAAGAACAAGAGCTTTCAAAAAGGCCAATTCTGTTACATGACCCTGATTGAAAAAGCTTACGGATGCGCTTAAAAACGGATGTTAGAAAAAAAAAAAAATTGAGATCATTGCAAACTTTAAACAACCGCCTCGATTAAGATGAGAGATTATCGGTTCAGGCGTATGCCATAACTATGGGCGATGGACGGAAACTATTGACGGAACTTCAAAGCGCTTCAAACACGTGTGATATCGATTATAGTGTCTCAATAGCGCATACTCAGAGGCTCATGGATGATATTGGTAATAGAAACCTTCTTTTTCAACGCAAAAGCTGATATCAGACGAAAAAAACGCGTCTCTCTCCAACGAGTGGGCGCCACAGAGGATAGTGCTGCAGATCGGGTTGAAATATGCCCAGTTCGCCTTGAGTACGTCCCAGGTTCTGATTCAGATCCAGGTAATCTTTCTGCCAAAAATTTTTTAGTTTTATTTATCCTTTTCCCTCAGGGTTGGGAAGAAGATATGCGCGAAATGGTCCATTCGGATACGTTCATTGACAAAGTTGAGGCGGTTTCTCAGTTTCACCACGACAACCAAGAGAAGGTGCACGAATTCATCCTCTACGAAATGAATCAAGAATGTTTCAGGTTCGAGTTGCAGTCATCAACATTCGTAAGACGGCTAAGGAGCTGCAGTTGGCTCTGCACCAGCACAGAATCGTCGAATTGACGACTAGGGGTGGCCAGAAAGTTATGGATCTTATATACGAGCACACAGCGCATCTAGAGAGATCCGAGCGACGAGTAATGAAGGTTTTCCCTTGTTCCAGAGCCTTGCCGTCATCTTCCGCTTGTAGGTAGCAGAGAAAACCACACAACGGATAGAAGCAGCACGTGATTTTTGTGCGTGTCGCAAGAAGGCGCTTAATCTGATTGCCCTGTGTGAACAAGAAGAAAGGCAACTTCTGGGAAGAGCTTCCATCCCTCTGAACGGCAAAGAGGCCGAGTTCGCCAAGGAAATGCTCAAAGACTTCCACAAAAAAATCGAGGCAAGTTTCTCGAAAAGATTCTCTTTTTTCTAATCGCATTCCCAATGCGAAATTTGTTCAATTTTTCAACTTTAGAAGAGAATCCGTTTTTTCAGAGCCGTCTCAGTGACCTTCTGCGCGCATTTTTCAAGCAAACCTATGAGATGCTCGGAGAAGCCAAGTTTGACCGTGACTTGATCGCCCAACTGAACGAGTTGGTGATGAGGCAGCATCGCCGGCTTTTCAACTTGTGCGACGAGAGACATAAACTCCTAAATGTGCCCTTGTTTCCAAAAGTTTCATTGAACATAAGGTTCAGGCAGCCGTTACCTACTACAAAAGCTACGAAGAAGGAGTCGTTCCGGTGGTTCAACACTTCTCCAAAGATTACAGCCAAGTTTCAATCGTGCACTGAATACTAAAAAAGATATTCGTCGATTCAGCCGTACAAGGATTGGTGCGCTCAATGCCCTTCAGAATCTTCGGAAGATAAAGCACAGTATATCGCCAACCTGTTAGCGAAACACGTCCAGTACAAAGAACGGTGAAAATGTTTCTATTTAATTTCTAACCCAACTTTTGAAGGTTCATAAAAGGATGTGTTTTCTCACAGAAGAATGCTGATATACTTTTACGGTATATTCAACGGACTAATATCAGTTCTCAAGAAAAGTACAGTTAAAAATCAGATCTTCTTCACAGCTTATTTATCTTGATAGGATGGCTCATCAAGATAGGATTTTACAACTGAAGGACGAAACTCGTGACAGGCAGTCCAAGTACTTAGGTCTCTGGATGAACAGGAAACTGGAGCTAGATCTGTGAGTTGATAGAAAAAACGGGAAGAAGCTAAAAGAAAAAAAGTTTAGCTGCCACAACTATGTGTTGCTGGTCGCGAGCTCGAAACATATCTTGGACTGGCTCAAGGGGGAAGGAGAACAGAAACTGATGGGGTACCGCAAGTTTGTGCAGAGTGGCGACGACCAACTTAAGAAAAAGGACGAATTCAGCTCTTTCAAAATTGAAGTTAAAGTGGGTTGTTTCTGGTTTTTTTAAGTTTTTCATCATTTGAAGGAAAAGCGGAATCACGCCCATGTATTTTTGAAGTTTGCTAATGAAATGAAAGACAAAGATCCAACGAGTCAACACGCCGAAGATGTGGATCGGTGTATAAAAGAAGTTAGTTGAAAAAGGTGTTCAAGGAATAAGAATAAACCTAGCTGAGGGATAAATTCGAAAAGTTCTCAAAACGAGTCGCCGAGTGCGACGTTGTGTTTCGTGGTGATGCTCCACAGTCTGCTGTGAGTGAGAACAAAAAAAGAAAAATCAAATGAGAATATTTAAGCGAAACGAGTTTTCTCTGGATCGACATTCTGATAGCAGTATCGAAGAGAAGTTTACAAGCGCACGAGAAAGTGAAACCAAAAAGATGCTGTAAGTTGTTTTTCTTATAAAATACCAAAGTTGAACTGAATAAATAATTATCAACCTTAAAATAATAGAAAAAAAGAAATTTACATTAATTGAGCGCTAACCTCGCGCCTGCGGAAAGCGCGCCCTAGTGAACTTTAAAGGGCCAGACGCCGAAAAAAATTCATTTTTTTATAACTTTGACAGGCTATATACTCTCGCAGGCCAACATTTTTGTACTTTCTAACAGGTGACTTAATTTTTTACTTCGAGAAATAGATTCAAATAAAATTGTGAAAAAACGTATTTCTTGGATTTTTTGAAAAACCCGAGAAAATTTTTGAAAAATTGCGGGTTATCTATCTTTGCAGCTTGACCTCAAAATTTCATGTTAATTAGTTTCACCTCAAATTGAATAATTGAAACCATCATGATTCTCTTCTGAAATCGTTTATTCAAGGCCGAAATCTTTCCAGAGAGCCTATGCGAGAGCTCATAAAGTCGGAACGTGATTACATCGACGATATTGCTCGATGTGTTCACGTTTACCTGAAAGAGTACGATGATGCGTTTGCGTCAAACACTCTTCCTCTTGCACTGCGGCCGTTGAGGAAGGATATTTTTAGCAATATCGACAGGATCTACGAGTTTCACTCTCAGTATGTTCACTAAGTATTTTTCTAATAAAAAAATGTGTATAGTTACTCATAATTTTATACCTACATTCTCTATGATTTTTTTCATTCAGGAAATTGTTGCATGAACTTGTGAGGTATGAAATGCAGCCAGAAGCCGTTGGAGCTTCTTTTACTGTTTGGATTGACCTTCTGAATGAACTCTACACAGAATATTGCGTTAATAAAGAGCAGAAAAATAGTATTCTGACAATGCCAGAGTTTAAAACTTTTTTCGATGTGAGTTTTCCGACAATTTTTCCATATCTTTTCTTTTTTTGATTCAGGGTATCCGTTTGAAACATGAGCTTGAAATGCATAATGAAGTTGGATCTCTATTGATCAAACCGGTTCAAAGGATAACGCGGTATCGCTTGCTTATGGAACAGTTGCTTAAAACGTGTACTGGTAACACAGATGATTTACGGGTTTGTTTGTCTGTTTTTTTCGCAAGAGGAAAGTTTATACCTGTTCAGGATGCTTACGATGTCGTTTTGAGTGTACCAAGGCGTGTAAACGACATCATTCATTATAACTGCTTAGACTTAAAAGACAGCAAGGTTTGAAAATAAAGTTTTCAACTTTATTTCATGGTTTCAGGCGGACGTTTTGGGTCCTTTTGTTATGCAAGACACTTTGACAGTGTGGGAGCCGAGAGCATATTTCAAAGGGCGTGGAAAAGAGCGACAAGTACTCAGTTTCATCTAATAAAGCTATATCTAATATGATTCAGGTTTTTCTTTTCGAACTGAGTATCGTATTTGCCAAACGCATTGAAATCGTCGCCAAAAGCTTCAAATATGTGGTCAAGGGAAAGCCGATACCGGTAGTTCAACTGAATAAGTCGAGAGTTTCTTTTTTTCCTTTTGAAGCTTTCTGAAGTCTCGGTCGTGGAGCACGTCGAGGGGGACACTTCTCGGTTCGGTCTCCGTGTGGGAACCGTAGCCAGCAACGACAACCGCACGGACTTGAGAGCTTCCTCGGAAACTGTCAAAGTGTCGTGGGTGCGCAAGATTCGCGAACTCACCCAGGGGCTTCTTTCCATTAGTAATTTTTTTTCTCATTCTGGGTCTAATTTTAGAATCAAATCTCTCACTCCTAATTTCATTTCAAAGCTCTTCGACTATTAAGAAAGTGGTGCGAATTATATTTATAGCCCATTCCGCGCCAGGTTTTCACGTTTTTTTTCCGCCAAAAATACCGTATAGATCAAATTTGACCAGCTTCGCTTTAAGACCTTGTTTCTTGCTGTTTTAAGAGCAGAATTGCAAAAAAATGTTTTTATAGTAGTCATTTTTCTCTGCTGTTCTTTGAAAAAAATGACTGCCTCGCGCGGAACTTTGAAAAGCTGCAAAAAAATTGGGTTCGTGATTCAAATTGAAAGTTTTTTTAGTGCGAGAAAAATTCTTTCTTTAAAAAAATTCTCGCAAGTTGCGAAACTTTATTCTCATTTTTCTCGTGGTTTTTTTGGCTTCTAACAATTTTTTTATGAGTATAAATTGTGAACGAAATTTCTAGCTGATTCTGATCAAAAAATTGGTTTTTGTGATGCAACTCTCTCGCAGGAGCATAATAGGCACCAAAAAGATGGGAAATTATGAAAATTTGACAGAAGAGCGTAGAAATTTTGAGCGGTATATAAAATCCACAGATTCGCAACAATTATTTAACCAATGGCTGTTTTTGTAGACTTGGGTGTTTCCTCGGCGTTGACGGCGCCGTCCTCGACTGTTTCGGGTCCGCGATCCGTCTCTACGCGCTCGGTCGTTTCCTCGTCCAGTGGGAACGCAGATCGTCTATCCCAGGATGTCGACCTTTCTCACAACCGCCACAGTATCCAGAGCTCTGATAGCGCCGAGGTCAGTCTTTACAATTTTTCATCTAAACACTTCCAAGGCAAGCCGATAATTTTTTTTTCTTTATATGGTTTTCTTTACCAAGTCTAGAGCTAACTCTTTTTTCATTTCACTTTGCAAAGTGTACATTTTTCTTCCATAGTCGGTGAGAGATTTTAAGCACGTATAGACATCTTCATGTTATGCTGCAGTTTTTTGGGTCAAATGTTTTTTCAATTCAAAGGTTTCAGAGATTTTCGAAAAACAAATAGTTCGCTATTTTTGAAGTTTGTGTATTTAGTATTAAATTGAAGTTTGAAATCATGAAGTTCGGTTAACTCTCAACCTTGGTTAGTCACGGTGAGGCTTTATAGGGCAACATTTAAAAAAATTATAGATCTTGAAAGGTTTATAAAAATGTTCGACAAGAACTCATGAAATCAAAAAAACAAGAAAGTAGCTCTCGGCCAGATCTTTCCTTGTTGTTGATGCTAGAAAGAACGGTCAGAGCTTAAAAATAGGCGCTGGACGATCTGTACACAGCTCTTTACTCTACGTTAGTTGTAGACCCACTGACTCTTGTAGTCATGACGATTGGACTTGAAAAACGTTAGCAATGATCGGCATGCATCTCGTGTATCAGCTCGGTTGTAAAGAATGCACGAGGACATCCCTGGGAGATGACGGAGCGCCGGTGAGAACAGAGGAGAAACGCTGGAGAAAGCGTCTTGACTTTCACGCGGCCAAGAGTAGATGCCCGCAAGCGCCTGTCGCCTGTTGCTCGTCGGCATTTTTTGCGTCTCGTGGACGATTTCTGTTCGTCACCTCACTCGGCTGCTTCCCTTCTGCCAATTCGTCTTGATCTTTCTGCCCTACCTATGACACTGTCTGCATATTGATTTTTCTTTTTCAAGAACACGCCTTTTGTTCTCGTGCACACTTCAACGCCCCTTCGAACCGTAATTGATGAGTTATGAGTTTACGAAGATGTTTCTGCTGTTTCTTGTCGAAGGTGAGCATTTCTATTTGTAATGCCTTTTCTCAATTTTTTCAAATATCCGACAATCCCAAGCTCACACGATTTTAGGTAGTGTTAACTTGGTGGGTCTTCTTTTGTCGAGCAAAGAAAGTCCTTTTCAAAAGAATTCTTGAACGAGTTTACATATTCCTTTCTAGTTTTTGAAGTTATCGATCAGACGCCATAGTTTTCAGCGTTCTGACATATTTAGTTTTGGTATTTCCGTTTTCCTTGCTTTTCTTTTCTTTCTCAGCCACTTGCTTCGATCTCTACTTTCCATTCTCTCTGCGACCCTCCACGCTCTCTTCGGCACTCCCTGGATCGTGCTCTATTGGCGCTCCGCCTTTTCAATATCAGAGGTCCCAGTTATCTGTCTCCTCTGTCTACTTCGACCTCATCTGAATTGGAGTTGGAGATTCCATCATTTTTGGTCTTGGGTCACTTTTTGCGTTTTTTTAGTCGGCAGTATTTTTCTTTCGAATTCCATCGAGGTCTAAGAGATATTGTTTGTTTTTTAGCCACACGTCGCTCGAATTCAACAAACAAGAGCAGTTTGAGTACGTTGGCATTTTCAAAGCGGCCGAAAATATAAACGTCCGATAGGCTTTCCGAGTAGAAATGCTCACTTATTCCAAGTCATGGCGCTTGCTGCGAGATCGAACGGGCAATCTTTACTCCCGAGCTCGCAACAAACTCGCCACTTCTTTTCGTGGTGGCACAAAGTCCAGTAACGTCGAAGGCTTTTCCGACAACGTGAGCGTCGTTTTCAGTTTTATCCCACGAGACCATTCAGTTTTTATGTCTTTGAGCGTTCATTTTTTATATTTCATTGGTATTTTCATTTCGTTCTTCATGAATAGTCGAGATGGTTGCAAATTACCAACGTTTTGGATATCGACTCGTTCATCGTCGCTCTTTTTATCTGTTCTCTTCTTAAAATTAGCACTATTTTCCCGAAATTCGGGAAATAGGAAACGTCGTATGCATAATTAAAAATCTTAGTTCACGCAATTATCAATTCTACCTATTTCTGACCTTTTTTATTGGAGAAAGAAGATTGCGATAGTTGAGATTATTTTTTTGTCAGTTTTTCTTTTCTTGAATCCTCCCAGTCGGAAACAGTTAATAACCGGGAATCCATGGAAAAAAATCCGAAGAGAGAGAGAAATGACCTTGATTTTTTATAGTTAAAAAAAACTTTTATGATAGGTTGGACTTGAGATGGGAAATTTTTTTATTCAATCGCGATAAATGTTTGTCCTTTGCATGAGCGATTTGCAAAATTTTGACGTTTTCAAAAGTCGAGCATTTTCCTTCCAAATGTTTATCGTAGCTTGCACTCTTCTCATGATTTTGGCAGAAACGAGCTTGGTTTATGAAAAAAAAAAGACATATGGTTCTTGCGGGAAGGGCCACAAAAGCAGTGGAGTTTTTTTTCTTTTGGCACCGCGTAATTTTGATTGAAAAAAAAAACTTTGAAAAAATTTGTTTGCTCCGAAAACCTTTTTTGTCGAATGGAGAAATGGTGAGAAACCAGGATACTTCAAAATCTTGCAACCCTTATGAGTCCTGGAATCGGACGCTTAATCTTCTACAGGATAAATTTTGTAATTAAAAAAAATTTCCATGTTTGCTCGATAATTTAAAAAAATGGTGAATTTGTGGAAATTGAAGTTAGAAGTATAATTGAAACGAAATTTGACAATAATAAATTACTTTTCCTGTTTTTTTCAGCAAGCCTCGGAGGCATGGTACGTGGTGTCCGACTTCGAAGGACAAGCCGAAGGTCACATCAAGGTGTCCAAAGGAGAACGAGTTGAGGTTGTTGTTTTTCGAACTCTGAAACTGGGATATGTAACGTTATTAGAATTTTCCTTTCTGCTATTCTGAAGTTAGAAACGAGATCAGTGAGAAAGATGAGTTCAGACATGAAATTGTTCGTTTACCCCATTGAAGGTCTTATTCCAAGTCTTTTATTCGGTTTCAGCGTTAAATTACTAGTTTTTGCTAGATACATTTTTCACGCTGATAATTTCAAGTGGTATACAATTTTTTTCCCTTTATGAATAAAAAAAGTTTTTCGCTAAACTGATAATATCAGTCTGATATGGTTTTTTTTAAACCGGTCTGAAATGAATAAAGAACTCGATTTGGTAATAAATCTGTGGGTAAGACTTGCCTAAAGACAATGGGAGTTTATTTAGATAGTGGAAGATCAAGCAACGGACTTTGCCGACTACGTGCAGGTGGTGGTTTGCGAGGAGCCGTCTCGTCACGGCCTCGTGCCCACTGCGATTTTGGTTCCCGGTGAGTGGTTATTCCAGGGGTTTTCCAATTATGCGAAAGGTGCCGGTCCCCTCTTGCAAATTGTCACTTCTGCAGAGCGGCTCGTGAAATGCGCTTTCTCATTAGTTTTAAGCGCTCAATTTTTCCACATTTTCACTTGAAAATGTGATTTTATTTCGCGTCTGTAACGCATGATTCATCCTTTTTTTGCTTTTTTTTTTCAATTTCATTATTTTATATTCAAAAGCCCATCGGCGTTTCCGGTAAATCTGCTCTCCATCAATAGTTAATACGTTTTTCTTTCTCTCACTTCTGAGGGCCGTATGCATGAAACAGGAAAATTTGCAGGATTCTTCAAGAGAGAAAAATAAATTTTCTGCTCTCATACAGTTCCAATAATTAGTTAGAGTGATTCTATCGAAAAAAAATACGTAAAAATTTTATAAACGACAAAAAATTAGTGACAACCTCACTGCTTCTCACCACTGTTACTTTCAAATGCAATCTTTGAAAAGATGTCTATTTTTTTTTTTTTGAAAACGGAACTTTAAGTTCAATCACGCTGAAATATTTTTTTTTTAAATTTCTGTGGCCACTAAAATAATTATTTCCAACAAAGGAAAACGGGTTTTTGGTCGCTTCCATTTTTTTTTTGTAAAACGGAAAACAACTCACGACCACACCTTCATCTTAATGTAAAGCTAGGTTTAGTTTTAAAAAATTTGAACTGGTAGAACTTTTAACAAGTGAAATGTATTGAAAATGATTTCCTGATCTTTTGATATGTAAACTATTTTTTTTTAGCATAAGTTTAGCAAAACCAACGTGTTTTTTTATTAAAATTTCGTCAGTCTATTGAATTTCGCGACGTGTTCCTGTGTAATATATAATGTATATGAAGGCTAGCTGAGTCACAAAACGAAAAATAAGGTCAAAAACTAATAGATTTTCTTGTTATTGAAGTTTTCTCTTCGCGTGAAAAAAGGTCTTGTTCCATCTTGTTTCGCACGCTACTTTTCTTGTACTTTGGCTTCTTTTTTTCTTCGCCCTACTTTTGCAACGGACCTGCGGCCTTGCTAAATTTCCTTCTCGAAATTTCCTTTTATTTCTTTCCATTTAGCCGTTGGGTTCAAATTAAAAACAATATTTCGATTTTCAAGAGCTCAAAACTCCGAGTAATGCGCCTTTACTCATATATTAAAGAGAATTTTTTCTGAATGAACCTGATAGAACGTTGTATATTCCAGCCTTCTCATTTTATCGACTTATAGAAGATTTCAATCAAAAAAATGATGTAGAAAGGAGAAACCATGACTTGAGATGAATTGAAATTATTAACACGTTGTCGAGCAGGCTTTTAGTTTTTCCTCTCGGCTGAGATTCTGTTTTCTTTTGGCTTGTTGCTTTCCAACTGGGCTACGAAATGAATTATTTTTAGTTGTCGTTTTATTCATTTTTTTCTTTTTAAAAATTTTTCTATCGTGTTTTTAGTCGCAATTTTTCTATCGTGTTTTTAGTCGCAAATAAAAACGAATTTCAACGAATTTTTCCAGTTTCAGCGTGTGTTTTTAAATAATTTTTTTATCGAAAAAAATTTAAATAAAAAGATGAAAAAAACTTCATTTTTTTAATATCGAAAAAAATTAATTCTGCGAGTATTGTAGACTGAACTAGTTAATAGAAAATTTTCCTAACAGTTCACAAATAAGTAAACTATAATACTTTGGAAGTGAAAAAGCGCAAAAAATAATATGAAACCAAATTGGAAAACTCAACTTTTCACTATTGCTTTAGGTAGCCTTATATAAAAGGCAAGATGTTCAGTACTCTTATTTATTCTCTGTTCTCGGATACTCCAATATTCGGTTTCTTAGACTTTTGTTTCGAAAAAAGCAGTCTTTGGCATTTTTCGTCGTTTCGCTGGCTCTCTCGGCGTTTCGTTTGTTCTCCTTCGTAATTGTGTTTCTTTCGGTTTGTGGGCATTATTCTACCCTTGGATCTTCATCGCCACGGCTCATTTGCGTGCAGGTTGCACATCGTTTCCTTTTTGAAGAAAGACATTGGCGTCTTTCATTTTGACTGAGAAAAATTGTCCGCGAGCGGCGGCGGCTTCTCGTTATTTGAGTCTTCTCATTGCATTTTTTTTTTTGTCTTGAAGACGCGAATTTTCATCGTCCTCGAAACTTTCTTTTTTTGCAAGTCCATTGAGGTGCCGCTTTTTGCTTTTCAATAATCGTCAGCCGATCGAAAAGTGAGAAAAACATTGAACAATATTGTTATATTTTGCTAGACAACGTAGTTGTTGAAGTAAAATATTTATTATATCTTAATACGTAGGAATGGTCACAAAGCTTATGGCTGTTTGCCCTTATGGTCTTTTCGAAAAGAGAGAAAAAAATTGAACAATACTGGGACTAATTTAATTATTTAATGGAATACATTTTTTTTTTTTGAGAAACTCGAGCGCAGACAAAACCAGAAACTTTTGGATTGAACTCTTGTTATTCTTAATTCCGGTGGTTTCATAACGTTTTATTGGTTTTTTTTCTCATATTGTCCCGTGAGTTCAATTTCATCAGTCTTCTATGCTTCTTTCTCTGAGCTTCTTCTCGATTTTTCATAGAAATTGTGAGTCGTAAAGCAGTAACGGATGATATGTTGTTGGAAAGCGACTGTGCGGCGCCCTCCACTCGGCGGATTGTTTGTGTTCGTGTGAAAGCTCGTTGGTTCCTCCAATCCCGACGTCCGCGATATCTGAGCTTCGCCTCGTTTCCGTGTCCCTCAATAAAAATTTAGTGTCTCTCGCTGGTACATGTGCGAATCACTGGCGATAGATTATTTTGTCTGCCAGATCCTTTTACTCTTATTTTTTTCTTTTTTCCGCTTTTCACTTATTTTCTATAACATTCAACGGTTCACCTTTATAATACTGATTCGATTTCATCAGAAATAGTTTTTTTTTTCTCGATTTTCGGCTCTATTTCTCCTATAAAAGTAAACCCCGAAAAAGTTTTACCTGTTAAATTTATGACGGACGTACAAGTGTTCAATTTGTAATGCTGCCGCTTCCATATGCTTGCGTGGTCCTGTGGAAGAAGCCGCCCATGACCCTCTTCACGCGATTTTCTCTCCAACTCTTCAAACTTGCCTCTTCGTCCGTCCGCCTTATCTCCTATCTCCCGCTTTTTTGAAAGAAATAACCTTCGTTGATATTTTCATGTGACTCTGGAAGACTGGCCATTTATTTTAACTCCTCATTTATATTTCGTGAGTAAAAATATCGCTTATTTTAGTTTTAAAGCTATCGTAGCGAAATGAGTTTTATATTTAGGAAAGGATTTTTTGTAGGCGGATAATTCTCAATTTGTAAACGCCTTCTTATTTTTCTACAATTGTTTTTTTGATTTTTTTTAAAAGTAGTCCTATAAAATGGTAGGAGTTCTTTTTTATTTATTTATGTTTCTAGAGCGATCGCCACCAATCATAGGCCTCATTCGTAGTCTCGAAAGAGTTTTTGAACGAAATAGGGATATCAAATAGTAATCAATCGATAGTAGGCGTACCACAGGGATTGGTATAGTGCCTGGATTAAAGTTTTAACAATCCGAAATCGCACAAAATAGAACATTAAAGGAAATAGAAAAACATACAAATAGAAGGCGCTTAGCAAAAGATATTCTGTGAGAACCAAAATTTTCCACGTTCCTTGTAGAAACTAGAAAGGAAAAAAAAAGTGAAAGTTAGTACAAAAAACATTTCAACAAAAAAAGGAGCGCCGACAGTCCTTGAAAGCTTTTATGGACGGTAGAATGTAGAAGGTTTTGTCTCTCTGAGAGCACATGCTCTCATGGGTTCTCTTTTTCTGCACAGTCGACTTGGCGCGAGCGATGAAAGGATGACTCGAACCTGGCGATCGGCAAACAATCTGCATCGGCGCTTTTCCAGCCGCGTGTTCTTTTCCACTACCGCCGGCGTGATGCCGGATAACATGCCCGATAAAATCCCCAAAAGCTTCTGTCCACCTTTTTTCAATGGCTTTGAGATTTTTAATAAAGCATCGACATCCATTTGAAAACCAGTTCCTCTCTTTTCATTCTTCCTATGTTCTTTTTCGCGGTTTTATGAGGCTTGAGCACTCTACGTAGAAATAACGAAAAAAGGCTACATCGGAGAGGTTAGTGAACCAAAAAGAAAAATATTGGAAACGGCTGTTTTTAATTTTTTTAATCCTCATATCTTTCTTTCTTTCTATCGTTTTCTCCTCGTTCGTTTTCATTCACTTTTCGTTATAACTTTGAACTAAAATAGCAAAAAACAAAATGACGTAGGGCTGTTTTGGCGGTTACTGTCGAGAACCCTGAGTGATGCGTCGCTCGAGGACTGTGGAAGGTGGCACCACCGCCGACGAAAACAGCGCCGCCGTCGCTACGGCGACTCCCAACAGTCGCGTCAGCTCGAAGCGCGAGCGCTGGTCGTTTGCAATCAAGCGTCGCTGGTTTTCCTCGTCGACGTCGCGAGCCGCTAGCCACGACCAGGAAGCAGCGGCAATCACTATACCTGCCAGGACCACTCTTGGAGTCGGCAACTTATCAGCACAAAGTTTATCCCACAGCTGACTTTTATTGTTAGCACGCAGCCAACTTTTTAGTTTAATCTTCCAAAACCAGGAAAATGAAAATCAAACCTCAAAAAAAAAACACAATTCTCACGTTAAAAAAAGACACAAATTTTTATTGCAGCTGATTCGTCGGGAAGTTTACCTGACCGGCCCGATGACTCTTCTTCCTCTTCATCCGGAGTTTCCAAAAGGAAATCTTTGAGGTACGCTGTTCCTTCCGTACAGAAAAATCCCAACTTTTTCCAATTACGATTCCAAATCTTTTCATCGATTCCTATAGAAGTCCTGAGCTTTCGATTGTTTTCAAATGTCGAAAAATTTTCTTTCTTATACCTCCGCCAAGTTCCCTTACGCAATCTGTCGAGTTTGAAGAAATACGATCATTTCTGGTTATTGAGAAGATTCACCAGAGTTTTTTTCTTACTTCTTCTTTTTTTTTTATGATGAACGATCTTTGATGTCAAATTATGAAAACTATTTGTATTCTTTCTTTTTTTCATTCAGCCGGTTCCCTAGTTCATAGCGACTGATTTCTATTTTTCCTCATTCGAGACGCGGAGTCCTTCGAATGAACCTTCAAGAGAGAGAAAAGAAAACATTGTTGCTTAATTACTTCGAGTCAATCAGTAGCTTCCCTTGCCAGAGGGGCAGAAGCTCCACAGACGTGAAAGAAAATGGCGAAGGGGAAATGAGCTGGAGGAGCTCATTTGTTCCTTTCTGGAAGAATTCCTCCCATCTCCTTCTTCGCTTTTCCTTTTTCATACTTCCCACATCGCTTCTTGAAACTCGAGCTCTATGAAGTTCTCATTTCAGTTTATTCTCTCTTGGTCCAAATCATGAAGGCAGGCTTGGCATAGATATGCGAGTCTAGATAAATTGAATTACCGTTAAAACATGAAATTCTGGTATTAAAATTTTTTTTTTGTCAACTTTTTTCTATTCGAACGCATAAAAACCGATATTTTTCGAGCTTTTCGAACGACCCGAATAATGTGTGTTTTGAAAAATGAGATGTTTTTTTTTATAGAATGGAAACTAGAGGATAATTCTTTGTAGTTCACTTTAAATTATGATCTATTTTGCTGGTAATTTTTTTGTTTTCCCTGTTATCTTTTTTAAGTTCACTTTCGCTAACAAATTTTTCCTAGAAAAAATAGGTTACTGATTTCGAAAGTGAGGCTTTCGTCACTTTTTTAAAACTATACAATGGTTTGCGAATCCATGAACGGACGACAAGAAAGTTTGTTTCCTTGCAATAAGAACCCTCTCATAGTTCGCAACGCTTTTTTTTCGACTTGAAAGAATGATGCAATGAACTTTTTTTTTGGAGCGATATGCCTTGAAAAAATCGTTCTATCGAGTAGGATTCCGAAAATTGGAGGATTCGGGCCTACTGCGGCGCTCTGTGTGCCTGCCACTTTATTCCATAACTTATTTGACGCGGCGCCGCTGGCTCAGCCCTCCACGCGGCTCCCACTCTTCTTTGCCCACAAGCGGATTACGCTTTCAAAATTGAATATATCTTGATGCGCGTCGCGCCTCCTCGCCTTCTTCGTCGTCCTTCTGCCAAACTTCTTCCCATTTTTTCGTCTGGTTTTTTTACGATTCACAGAAGTCAAATGTTTCCTTTTGCTAGTCAAATCACTCCTAGTTATTTTTTAGATTCAATGGAAATAATATTTCCTTTCTGTCTATAGATCGGAGGTTTTTTATTTGGTCGTATGGATTTTCGTTAAGTGTGCTCTTTGGGTCGAGGAATTTTATTTTTTTGGTTGAATTTGTCATTTTTTTGAAATCTCCGAGTTTTTGTGTTGTGAGATTTTTGTATATAAAAGAAAGTAAAGTCAAATTTTTTTATTAAACATCTTATTCCTCTATCTGTTCATAGTTTTTAAAGAAAAAAATTGAATTATTTGAGGCTATAGCGTTTTAGTGGTTCCTAGCCAATCTTTTACCCTCTTTTATATCTTCGTCTCATTTCTCTTTAATTTGGAGCTCCGAATTCGAATTTTTTTTTCTTCTCTCTTTTCTTTTAGCTTTCCTTTTTTTAAATTCTTTTTGCCAATGGTTTTCTCTTATCATTGAGATTAATTACGTTAGCAGATCTATAATAATCTAAAATAGCTCTCAAAAATTAGAGAGAGAAAAATAAGCCTTTGACGTCATGAAAAATTTCCGTTTGACGACAGAAATTTTCAAATTTCTGCATTTTACGTCTTTTTTCAACGATGTCCCAATTTTCATTAGATTTGACTTCCGTCAACTTTTCAATTCATTGAAGCTAGTAGTACTTTATTTTTTTTTAAGAACAACTGTTCTCTGAAAACGAGGAGGCAAACTTGAAGAATGGATGAAATATATTTCGTTTTTTTTTCTGAAGGAATGCTTTGAGTCAAACGTGGAGAAATTCAATTATCGCACAGTCTGTTTGTGACATGTTGACAGCTATTCTAGTTGCTATAGTTGTATTCTCTTGACTATCAGAGTCATGTTTTTATTCTTTTCGTTTTTTCAAACAAAAAGAATCAAAATGAGAAAGAATATTAAACAGATCCACATACATCAGTGTTTATGACGTCATCCCGTACCAACTACGTTGAAATGAAGATGTTGAAATGAACGCCGCCGCCGCGACTTTTTTTCTTTTTTGTCTGTTTTGTGTCAACGATCTTTCTTCGTTTTTTGTACACGACTTTCGGTCGCTCCTTGCTGTCTGCGGCTGATTCTGGCGTTTTCGTTCTGTAAAAACGAGAAAAACTTGATTTTCATTGCCGCCCCGCTAGATCAATTAGTTCTCGTATGTTTTTCGAATCGATCTTTTCGAAAAGCCGTTGATAATATTCTTACTCATGTACTGCGCCGATTTTTCTTCTAGATTCAAAGAAAAAGCCCAGAAAATCTGGTAGGTTATTTTTTAAATTGATTATATATAACTGAGTGTACGAATAACTTTTCCTTTTTCTAGTTTTCTGTTTTAATATTGAATTATTTTTTATATCTAGTCTGATATATGATATCAAATTTCAAAATCTATGATGAGTACGCGAGAACGTTGTTCTTGAGGAAAAGACAATTTCAACGTAATTTCGACTATATAATATTTTTTTCTTTTCTGGAAAGTTGTGTAATCGGGAAAAAAAAGGGTTTTCTAGAAGCATTCCACCTTGTTTTTCAAGGGTTTTTGCAAGCCTAATAGCCGCATAAGACATAAACAGACTAGTTCGAACCTCATTTAATTCAGGAGGCTGAAAATTAGCTCTTTTTAATTATTTTTTTATTAGAATACCGAAATGGTTTATGCATGGTAGGAAAGAAGAGTTTCTAATCATTGGAGTTTGCGTATTTTGAGTTTTTGGCGTAAATAAACGGCCGAAGAGTAATGGGAATTGGAGGTCTCTGCTGGTTTTGTCAATGTGTTCGAAACGAATATCGTTGGAAACACGATGACAGCCCAACCGAATTTGCATTCTCGCTCTTCAATGTTTTTCGTCCTTTTTTCCTACCCGTTCTGAACGTTTCCTAATACTGAGAAGCTTTTTCAGTGGTTTTCGAACGCGTTTGAAGGATCGAATTTCATCCTCAGTTTTTTGAATCTTGAGCCGGCTGAGCAGTTAACAATGATTGGGGTCAGAAGAGCTATTTTTGCTGAGCTTGTCGACAAAAAATTCCTTCCTTTCACTGAATTGGTTTTCTGAACCTTTTAGGCCTTCCATATCATCGTTCTTATCAAAAGTTTACTTCTTTGAAAATCTCAATTCTTCGAGATCAATCATGAAACAAGGGTTTTTTAAAAATTTGATTGGCTCTGATCACAATACTAAATTTGTAAAACATAATTTTTGATCCTCATTAACGAATTTCTCAAACAGGATCACAGGCTCTTTTTTTTAAATCGTACTTCATCTTCCGTCCTTATACGTAAAGAGTATGAAGGAAGTTTAAAACGGGTGAAAAGACGAGAAACTTGACGGTTTTTCTCAAGGAGAAAAAAAATTTCGAGCCTTTTCTCTGCGTGTATTTTTTATACGTAGGCGTGAGCGTGTGTGTTGCCGCGAGAAATGCAAGAATCGATCGTAGGACGTGAGGTGGGGGAGCCGGTGGAAGAAGAAGTGGAAAGAAAAAGAAGGCGAGAGAGAAGTTTGTGCGCAGAAGCGGCGACGGGCCAGACACAGAAAAGAAGTTGGCAATCATGTTGGGGAAGGTTTCCAGGCTTTCGGCTCAACTTAATTGTTCCATTCGCGGGCTCTTCTCGGTAGAGCATGGTTCCATCGTCGATGGCAGCTGTTGTTTCGTTGACAAGAGTAGAAACGGATTGACAGAGCAAATTAATCAATTAGTGTTGTTCAAATGATTTGCAAATTTAAACCCAAAAGATTGAATTTTTTTTTCAGTACATATCATTTCTCATTCATACGATACAAGCCTTCAAGAAAAAAGGACCCATGGAGAATTTCCAGGATAGTGCTTCAAAAAAAAAGTAGGCAATTATCTCCTAATTAGATTCTTTGCATGACGTATATTTTCAAAAAGAAGCGCGAAAAAAAAGAAGCCATTGTTTCTTTTATTTCTTCGTTTCGCCTCGTTTTCAATATGGTTGCCGTGAAAGTTGGTTGACACATAAAATAGGAGCGCCTGAATCTTTTTTTTTCTATTTTTCGTGAGCTTCCGCTCATATCCTTGTGGCTTAGTTCTCGCTTCGCTTGTAGTTACTTATAATATTTTGTTTTTGTCGCACCTCATATACTTTTCGCATCTAAAAATATTTGTCTCGATGAAAAGTAAATTTTCCCATTTTCTAAAATTTAGATAATATTTACATAACACAGAACTTTCCTTCTCAACTCAAGTTTCCTTGCGAGCTCGGGGCTTTCTACTTCCTTCTTATTGGATATACTCTTGACACTTTCCCACGGGTTTTTTTCTTGCAAAACTCCAAACAAACCGTTGACTAAGAAGGTCTCTCAAGATATAATGTTTCCTTAAAGCTTTTGCTATTCCTACCTGATTTAAATAATCACTTTTTTTTCAAACTCTCTTCGAGTAGTTTTTGTTGGTTTCTTCTTTTTTTCATCTGAAAGATAAAAAAAAGTATTTTTGTGAATATTTTAGCTTCAAAATTCTTTTTCAGGCGTATTTTTCGCGAATTCGAACAAGGAGCGAAGTCGGCAGCCAGCAGCTCACTCGGCGCCTTCCAACTCAGCTCCAACCTCGATCAACGGCCCTGTACTGTTTCCTCGACTTTTTTGAATATTTTCCTTCTTATAATATTGTCACAGTTTGTCTGCAAGACTCATTCAATCCATAAGCCGGAGAAAAAATTTAAAAAATTAGAATTACTCTATTTTTGGAAAAAAAAAACATTGCTGAAGTTTTGGAAGCTTTGGTTACTAGCTCTCAGCTTTTTTGAAAATTTAAAAAAAATTTGATATTGGTCAGGAAATGTAGGTGATACCGGAATCAAAAAAATGCTTCGAAATTTTTAGACAGCAGTTCAGCTTATCTACGTTTAAAACTTCATTTATTTTACGATTTGAGAGGTTTTTAGATCGGCGCTGAGAAATCAGTTGGAAGTCATTAATTAATTTCGAGCTATGTCCAAAAAGTAACATTCAAAATGCAAATCAAAGAAAGCGAATTGAACTGAATACGGGGCTTCAGGTGGCATCGTCGCCGCTGGGTGTGCTTTCTTCGGGAGAAGAGTCTTCGCAGCCGTTGAACGCCTCGGAAGCCGCGTCCGCAGCGACTTGCGCGGTCCCGTCGACGTCCTCCGCCTCGGTGCTGCCGCAGAGTGGCGTCGCCTTCGAAGAAACCGACGCCGAGAGTCTTCCGCCGCCCATGCAGAACATCACCCTCAACACCATGGTAATCGAATATCCGTCATCTCAATTGTATTTAGAAAAAGTCTTTATTGATAATCTTTTTTGAATTTTCAACTCTCGCTTGGGCGCCCTTTTTCAATCTCTACATATTTCGAAGTCAGTTTTCAGTTTTCGAGTGAGGAGCATGTCTAACTAAGAAAAAAGTGTATATATTGAAACTCAAATAGCCTCATCTAGTCAATGCTACCCATGTTATTCGAATCATCAGCATTTCCGAGACGCTGAAAAAAACTGATAGTTCCTAGAGTTTTTTGGAAAAAAGCATAGAAATTATGAATTTTAACGCATTAGGCAATTTTCATCATATTAATCAGTTTTCTTCTCAGAGTAAAGACTGTCCATTTTACTATAGTGAAAACTCCAAAATCAACGTTGGAACTTGTCATTTCTTTTTCAAGGTGGATAGATGGAGAAGGCGAGAGTTTCTTGTTGTTTTAAGGATGGCTCTCAGGGCTTTTTCGCGCTTTTGTGCCGGGGGCTTTTAAGAGCAGCGAAGAGTGACGCCTTGATGAAACGCATTGTGTTGTGGGCGCGAAAACTTCTCAGTCCCATTTTTTGCAAAACACCCGGAAAATCTGCGCTTCTTGGGATTTTCAAGTCGTAAACTTTTTCTTCTTGGGCAATTTTTCTGGCATTCAGTTTTCATTGATAGATAGTATGCTAGAAAGTTGTATTTCGATGTTTGTTTTTTGATTAAATTTCTTTTGGAGAGATCATGCTCATTCATAGTATGTTGTTATCCTTAGCGCATTTCAATAGTAGGAAAAAACATCCGATGGTTTTTTTTTACTATGCAACGAAATCTCACTTGATGGCGTCCGCCTCTGAATTTATTATCGCGATTCGGAGCTTTCATAGATCTTTCGCTCTCGCTTCTAGGAGGTTTCGTAATTAGTTTTTTTCTTTCTTTTCCCCCTATATTTCGTTGAATTTTACGAGTTGAAAATCTTTTTTCCTACAAACTAAATTTTTAGGTGTGATTTTTTGGATGTTCAAGTGTTCGGAGAAGTAGGACCTCCGTTGACAATTGCAATGTGTTGGTTGTAGACGATTAGGAAAAGGGTAGAAGAAAAGTGGGGGGAAAGGCGTAATGAGATTGTGCCGCTGCAGCATTTGCGAGCAGTGTGTGCTGCTCATATTGGTTCCGAGCCCCAAGCTTTTTTTGCACATTATCCGGCTACTAACAACCCATTTTTCGAGCTTTTCCTGAAAGATATTTCTGAAATTGTAGACAGCAGGGTTCTTACGAAAAAAGTAATACGAAGGATTAACAAAATTGAGATAAGGGATTTTTTTCGAGCTTCAAAAAGCTTTCATAAGGGCTACGTCACCAAGATATGTTTCCATCAATTTCGAAACTTTTTTTCGCTTTCTTCGGTCGGTTGTATTGACATTTGGAGTTTTTTCTTCTCGCTTCTCACTTTTTTTACGCCAATCAAGACTGGTTTCGTTTTGATACCCAATAAAAAAGTGGTAAAAACGGTTTTATTTGTTCAGTTTTTTAAAATAAAAACTCGTTCAATATTTTTAATATTTCAAAATTTCAGGACGAAGAGAAAAACGACGAGGTTTTGCAAAACGAGGTCCCGACGCCCATCGGAGACGATCCCAAAGCGATGCCGACACCAGTTGAAGATCCTCCGACGGAAAAAGCCAATGAGAAAACTCCAGAAGAGCTCGCTCGCTTCAAAAGACAGTATGTTGTTAAAATTAACAATGTGATTGACTTTTTAAAAGAAATATATTCAATTCTAAACTCACGGACTAAAACAGAGCGATATAGTCGTTTTGCCTCTTATCATTTTCATAAAATCATCAAATTTTTGTAAGAATCTTTGAGGGTTATAAATAGCTCATCCGCGCAATTTTTCATGATAATATTCTATCATATTCAATTAGAATTGAAACGGAGCTGAGGAAAATCAATCTTACTTCGCTTCTCAAAAGATTGAGAGTCAAAGAGCTGTTACAGGTATGTGCTGATGGAGCTCGTGGAGACCGAGCAGGACTACGTCCGTGACCTCAACTCCGTCGTTGAAGGCTACATTGGCAACCTGGAGAAGATGGATCTGCCACAGGACCTCGTCGGCAAAGACAAAATCATTTTCGCCAACATCGGGCAGATCCTCGACTTTCACAGGACGAGTTTCCTGGGAGAAATCGAAAAGTGCCTTGAAAATTACGAAGCTGCTGGTCTCGCTTTCGTTAAATATGTTCGTTTCTTTCTTATTTGTTTTTCCTCTAGTAATTTTTCCTTGTTTCCTCATTTGTTTGCTCAGGAGCGGCGACTGCATACCTTATACGTGAAGTACTGCCAAAACAAGCCCAAGTCGGACTACCTGGTTTCTCAGGACGACTTCGAGCAGGTCAGAACTCCAGCTCTTTCTTGACACTCACATCAGATTCTTACAGTTCTTCGCGGAAACCAAGGCCAAACTCGGACACAAAGTAGCACTGTGTGACCTGTTGATCAAGCCCGTGCAGAGGATCATGAAATATCAGCTGCTGCTCAAGGACATTCTCAAGTTCACCGAAAGAGCGCATGACAAGACGGACAACCTCAAAAAGGCGCTCCAGGTTTTTTTTTTCCCCTAATTTGTGTGTTTTTCGTAGCTGCTTCTCGATTTGTATTTCATTTCGTGAGAAAATTGATAACCTTGTTCAAACAGGATTCTTGCAAATAATTGTACGACTCAGTTTTCAATCTCATGTTTTGCATCGATTACTTTGAGGTGATGCACGTGGTACCCAAAGCCTGCGACGACATGATGCAGGTCGGACGTCTCCAGAACTTTGACGGCAACCTCAGCGCCCAGGGCAGGCTAATTCATCAGGTTCGAATTAAGAACCAAGTATGTCGATGGTAGAATAATGTTTTCAGGGGACTCTGCAAATAAGCGATTCGACGGCCGGCACGGCGCAGAAGCCCAAAGATAGGCGCATTTTCTTGTTCGAGCAATCCGCCATCATCGCCGATCACATTCCGCCCAAGAAAGAGTTCGGAAACCCTACCTACATCTTCAAGAATCAAATCATGGTGAGGAACCTTTTGCATTCTTCAACAAGTATAAAAAAGGGGTTTTGAAAATTTTGAGTTATAAATTTTGGCCATCATTTAAAGAAGAGCGGCAAATAAGGCTTATTTCACATATTTTTTGAGTCGTGACTGGGAAAATTTTAGTGGTAACTATAGAGGTCCCTCAAGACTATTTGAAAAAGGCACTAAATTAGCCACTAAAACCACCTCCATAAAAACCACTAGTTTCTAGCTCCTTAAGTGGCCACTCATTTGACTATTTTAGTGGCCACTAAAACGTCAAAATCCTATAGTGGCCACTAAAAATTTTCCCAGGAGTTTAGAGTTTTGCGAGAGTGAAAACCTTTTGAAAAAAATGTTGAAAACAAATCATTCTTCAGGCCGAATTAACTAGTTCATTTTTCCTCGGCTCTTCCATTTATAGAAGTTTTTAGTTTCCAAAATCGAAAAATAAAAGTTCAGGTTAACAAGATGGTTTTCGACCCGAACGTCTCTGAGGATCCCCTGCGCTTTGTGATCAAAAGCTCGGATCCGTCCCAACCGACAGCCTTCATTGCTGTCGCGCAGACGCAAGAAGAAAAGGTTTGCTGCGCTTTTTCGATTGAAAAAAACGTGAAAGTTTTCGTAAACTGCTAAAAAACAAACCATTCAGCAATCATAAAAAAGGCGTCCGGATATCAAGTTAAAAACCACGGATATTAGAAAGTATTACGGTATAACCAGAACTGTGCGCTGGGCCGAGGGTGATGGCTGAATCGGCATACCATTGTCACGAACTTTTCATCTCATTTCAGAATTTACATCATACAGTTTTTCTAAATAACACATTTTCGATCACACTCCTCCATATAAAAATTCTGTCGAGACAAAAAGGTTCGAAAATTCGACCGCGTTGCAAAACTATGGCCAGCCCGGCCGGCCCAGCGCACAGCTTTGGATATAGTGCTGCCTGTGAGAAATCATCTTTTTGATTCAAAAAGTTGATCTCAGAGAAAGTTTTTTTTTAAGTTGAAAAAGGAAAAAAATGAGACGGTTTGAGGACGACTGGGTACGGAAGATTGGTGAGCAGCTGGACCAACAGAAGCGACTTCTGGCGGCACTCGTCGATCCGAAACGCTACATGGGAGGTGGCGACGACGTCTCCTCCTCCATGGGCAGCATGTCCTTGTGAGTTTCTTTAATCCCAACTTCCACGCTAGGCAAAGTCGGAAAGGTGGAAAAAGGCTCATAGAAATGTAAAAGAAAAAATGAAAGGCTCGATAAAGAGACCCTTTTTGTTGCCTTTCTGCGCCCTTTTTTAGCCCTTCTAGTGACCATTATCCACCATTTCGACTTCGCCCGAGTATTAAGTGATCATTTTTCATTTCCTAGATTTTTTAGCTTCGCTTCTTTGTAACCACTAGGTTTTTTTCAAGAAATGTTTTCCCTGCTCAATAAAATCATTTCAGAGGAGGCAACGATAAGAAAACATCGGCGCCAAGCCGATTCGGAGGCTCGTCGGCGCCGAAGAGTGCCAAGGCGGAATCGCCGAAAAAAGAGTCCAAATCGAAGCTGTTTTCGTTTGGGAAGTCCAAGCCGTCGAGCAAGTCTCCGACGTCACCACCGCCACCGGTGGGCAATCCGAAATAAGCCGTATCTCGTTCTCCTCTAGATTTCAAGCTCTTTTATCTATTAATATGGCGTTTTTCCCGGTGACCGCGGCGTCCGCTCGTCTTGTTGTCTGTTTTCTTTCTTCTCGTCCTACGTCTCACGTCCTTGTTTCAATTGGTCTGCTTTTCAGATTTTTCAGAGTTTTTTTTTCATTTATTGCTCAAGGAGCGGAACCAACCTGTATTTTCGACTTTTTGAATTAGTCGGAGGAAACCTTGTTAAGAATGATAACTTCAAATGGTTGGCGACGTGCAATTGACTCACCCTTTTTTCTAGGTTTCGTACTAACCTTTTATTTTTAGCTTTTATCGCATGTTCATACCAATTATCTTCAACTTCTAGTCATCAAACTTGTCTGGCTGATTATTGCACTGCAGCTCTTGAAGCTCTGGGTAGTTTTTTTTTTGAAAAAAATATTTTTGATTTGTTGAACTTTCCTGATCTTCTTTTGTATGTTATGTATGACTGACCACTTCCTTCCTTCTTTCTTCCTTATGTATAATGCTAGTTTTTTCTGTGTTGTTTTGAAGTTTTCCTTCAAATGTTCAACTCATTGGAAATCCATTGATCTTGAATTTTTACATTGTCCAAGAGCTTCAATTTCTTCGTTTTTGGCTAGTTTTATTGATCTATGGTCTGGTTATTTTCAGTGTTCACATATACGTTGCAGGTCGTTCATTATCTTTTTTCCTTACTCTTCTTTTCCATTTCGTAACTTTTATTACTCAAAGTTCTTAGTGTTCGCTGCTGGCGCTCATATATGAAAACGATTTTCCTGCGGGTTGGCTCTCATTTTCGACGTCTAAAAGCAATTTAAAGTTCTGGTGACAACGCTTTCAGAATTTTGTGCCGATGCGGCTCCGTCGACCGCCGTCGCTTGCTCTTTCTCATAGATTTTATGTTATTAACATTATTGCTCTTTGTTATATCAACGAAACTTCGCAACGTGTGATTTTGATTGGTAGTTCTGTATGTAGGCCCTCTCGGTCTTTGCTTTGATATGTTGCTTTTGCGAACATCTCATTATCATAAAGAAACTTCTCTTTGTTGGTTTTCTCTTCGAAATTATCTTTCTGTTTTGTATTCAACTATGTGATCTCTTCGGCGAGCACATCAATAAAAGGTAACGATAAGTTGTTTTTTGCTCAGGAAAAATTGTTGGTGTATATAATGTATAATTTTTTTGAAATGGTGTGGATTAATACAGTTAACATTCTTTTCTGTATTTGATCCGAGAAGATGGGTATTGAGACGTTTCAAAATGATGTTTTAGCTTGAGCTTTTGGGGTAGGATGGTATACACAGAGGAGCCTTAACTGTTTCGGAATGAGATTTTCTTCTCGAACGGTCAGGCAGCTTCAACGATCACATGTGTACCAGAAAAGATGAAAGTAAACCTAAAAAAATTTGGAAAAAAAAAAGGAGAAATAAATAAATTCAGTTACTCTGGGTATCACGACACAAAAAAGTATTGATGGTCTTTTCAAGCAGTAATAAATTGAATAAGAAAATATCTCAAAGATAATGGATTTTTCATTTATCGGATATTAATTCCGCAAGATGAATTTATGATTGAAAATAAATTTTTTTACATCAAAAACAAGCAAAATTATTGATAATAGTTAATTAAACATAGGGCTGATTATGTCTGAAAAGTGACTGATAAATAAGAAATCGTCTGTGTTCTGCGGTCACCGGGAGCTGAAATCTTGTGGTCGAAACGAGAAACGAAGTTCTTTCTGTTCAGTTGGAAGCCGTCGCAGCGTGCGGCTACACAGGTCTTCGCAACGGAGAGCTCGACCTGGAGGAGGCCGAACAGGTGAAGAATCAAGTTCTCGAAAATATTCAGTTGATAATAGTTAAGTAATGGTGAAAACTACAATAGTTGGAAAAAAAAAACAGTCGGATTGGAAAGTCGGAGTCGTCAAACCAAGTTAACTTTCACTGGCTCAGGTGAAAATTCTGAAAGTGCGCGACGGATACGCAACAGTGGAACGGGAGGATGGGATGGTCGGCAAAGTGCCAAACTACTTCCTGGAACTCGCAGATATTCCCGGCGAGACCCTCGCTGACCAAATACAGTAACCTTGATGTCGTCCGAAGATTTTCTGCAATAGGCGTTTGAGGTATCGCCGGAATTGGTATGCGACAGTGGATGAGACATCGCGCCACGTGTCGCCCGTCGGTCCTTTTGCCGATGTCGGGGATATCTTTTCGGCTTCTGGCAGCGAACAGAAGCCCGTCGTCGTCGAAGACATCGAAGATCTGGAAGCCGTGGAAGGAGAAGCCGTTTCTCTGCAGCCTATCATTTCTTCTCGTGAGCTCTTTTTGGTTTGAAGTTCTTCGAAAATCAGCCAAATCGGTTTTTTTTTTCGGTTTTTGTGGATGCTGGCGTTCATTGTGATTGGGTGAAGATGGGAAAACTTATCGAATGAAATATTTTTCCCAGAGATCAAAATTAGTTAATTTCACATCTACGCTAGTTTTCTGGGAGACGTAGTCTAGAACAGCCTCAGCCCAAAACAAGATCTATTATTGTCTTTTAAAAATGATGTCGTCTCAAAACCGCAAAAAGTTCTTTTTCTTACCTTTCTATTACGTATTTATAGTCAATCCTTCCCAACTTGAAAGGCGAGGGAAAGCGGGACGCGTAGCGTGCGCGTTCGCGGCTCTTGGCACAAACCCAATTCAACCGCTAGTTAGTCTTTGGAGAGCTAGTTTGTCGCTCTCTTCATTTCTTTTTTTATTTTTTTATTGATTTTTTTCACTTGTGCATTGAAAAAGTAGTTCAATAGACTCAAAAAAACGGCGAACGAGCTTTTAAAAAAAGTGGCGCTTGAATTGAGCTAGTGCCAAGAACCGCGAACGCACACGCTACGCATTCCGCCCCCTGCCCCGCCTCCCTCGCCGGGATGGATTGACTAAGACTACTCAAAAAAAAATTAGGCCAGGTTCAGGAGGTTTCACCAGTCTCAGCAAACTCTCAAAACTCTTTTTGCCTTTCTTATTTCACGAAACATAAAATCATTGAAAATTTTCGTTTCGATTGTTAAGATATGAAACTATCTGCTCAGGTTCGGACTTCACCGTCGTGTGGCGCGGACCGGCCGTGGAATCGAGAAGAGCTCGTATTGAGGTGACGGTCTGATTTAAAGCACCAAAGCTCTGGTTCAGGCTAACGGACTCGCGACAAGACTGACGCTCGACGCGGTCGCCGCCTGCGACGCCGGTCCCTACGCAGTCATCGCTCGCAACGACTTTGGCGTCACCTCCAGCGTCGCCTTTCTCACTGTGCTCGTCGAGCCCAGTCAGCACAATCCTCCATGCTTTCGAAGAATTTTTATTTGAAGAGCAGCCACAAGGCGTTCGCTTCGAGGTGGTCGGACCCCGCGAATTGCGACTCAAATGGATTCAAGAGTTGGATGTTAAGTACTGTGTCGAGTACCGAAGTGACGGTGAGTGATCATTTGAGGAAAAAAACTCGTTTCCTTTTCAGTCGATGAGGCGTTCGTGTGCGCTTCGAAAAACATAGCCAAGTCGCACGTCGCGATGCGAAACTTCCTTCGCGACGTCTACGAGTTCCGTGTGTTCGCTTACAACCGGCGACTGCGTAGTCCTGCCTCCGAGGTCGTCGCTGTCGACTTCTCGCGAACGTCATGAAATTCTTGAAACATTTCTTTCCTTCTCTGAACTTCCTTGCTGTTCTATGTAAATATTGTACTGAAAAAGGTTTCTGCTTCTCTGCACTCTCTTTTCCCTCGCCGAGGCGGCCTAATAGATCACTGTCAGAAGAAGAAAGATCATGTCAGTCCTCGAAAGTTTTCCCGATGAATGAGGGGTTTATTCCAAGCAGTTGGCACCAGTTGCCCTGTCAACAGCTTGCCATTCGCTCCTTTAAACCTCATATCGTTAATTAGCACTTTCCCCACTCTTTCATCCTCTCAGACCACTGAATCTCTGAATAAAAATTTCACTCAAGTCGAAGGAACCACAGCTTTCTTTTCTTCATTCATTTTTTTTTCATGTATTCACAATTTGAAGCATTTTGTGAGTTCACAAACTGAAGTGAAATAGTTTATAAACGAATTAAATTCCGTTTTATACACGACAGAAACAAATAATGGAAGAAAATTGAAATGCTGAGCAAGATTGAAGCGTAAGAAGCGGTCCTGAAAGATTATTTATTGGAGAAACTTCTTCTTCCTAGGCTACTTACAAGCTTTTTCCGGTTTTTACTTGGTGAAGGGGTTGGTCTTTCCCTCCTTTTGAAGCTAGAAAAAGGAATGATCGTAATCATATAGGTAAGTTTTAACTTACACGACGGCCGAGAGAAATAAGGGTGACGCAGACAGAGAAAAGGTCGCGAGCCTCGAAGAGGTCGACGGATTGGAAGGTCTCCTCAGTCGGCACTCCGAACTAATTTATTCTGTCAAGTTGGAAGAGCTCAAAACACAAAAACCTTCTTGGCGGCCTCGACGAACGCGTTGATGTTCTCCATGCAGGCAAAGTTCGAGACTGGCTTTTGGATCTTCTTCACTGATCCGGCCTCGATTCCATTAGCAAGTCTGGAGTTTTCATTTTTTTTTTTCAGACTTTTCTTCTGAAAGCGTGACTCGAATTTTTCAGACTATCATCGAAATCAGAAGGAAACAACATGCTCAAAAGGCTTCAGATTGATTTCAAAGTTTTCCAAAGCAACCCCGCTGAGACTTAATTAAACAGTTGATCATTCAGCCATCGTAGGCTTCAGGCTGCTTTTACCCCCGTCAGTCAAAGACTTGAAAAAGTTTTCGCCAGAGAGGTTTTGTTTTTGTTTGGTGAAAACAAGAGGAAAGTGCGCTGTGATCTCATCGACGGCCAAACAGCCGACGCATTACAACGGCGCGGCGGTCTGTGGTCTCGAGTCGGACCGACTTACTTGCAGAGCAGCGAGCCGTCCTTGAGCAGCTTCAGGAAGTTGTCGCGGTCGCCGGAGGTGTTGATGTTCTCGCCGGAGAGCTGCTTGATCCATTCGAGAAGCATCGCGCCCTCTTCTTCCACATACTTTGAGTCTTGCTGTAATATTCGCTATTCAAGCCAAGACATTAGTTTCGTGACGTGAAATCGATTATATTCCAGTTCAAAAATGGACGTCTTCCTGAGTCAAGTGGAAGAGCTTCTGGGTTTTTGGAGGATAATATGGAACTTTCATATGAAAATGTCGGCTCCTGAACTTATTCAGTGATCTTTATTTCTGAGCTTCACCATTAGAACTTCTTAAAAAACCAATTCAGACTACTACTACCATCGCTTTAAATGAATCAATCCAACATTATTTCATTTCTAAGAATCCTACTTAAGCAAAAGAGGAAGAATTAGAAGGAAGACCAAACAAAAAGGCAATACCTTCTGACGGACGGCGAATCCGATTCCTCCGGCGGTAGTGCGGCTGGCCATGTCGGTAGCTTGTGAGTGTAGCGGAGAAAAGAGCTGTGGCAGCGAGTGGGCGGAGTCGCAGGAGCTCGGATCCACTTGGAGCACCGCCCTCAGCTGCCGAGCTTTTATCTGGTCGACTCGAGGCTGGCTGCCGCCTCTGACGAAGCGTAGGCGACCCTAGAAAACAGCTTCGTCCACTCCCCCGCGAATTTCGAAAAAAGCTGACGCAGCGGAGAAAAAAAAAACGTAAATTAAGTAACACCAACTGTTATATATTTTTCAGCTGAGTCAGATCTTTCTGTCTTCAACGATTTTCTAGGAATTTTCACTATCACTTTGATACGGCCCTTTTTTCTCAAAACGTATTCTCTGCCTGATCCGTGTGTTCGACTCGTTTCTCTGCTCGATCCAGTAGCTTGTTTGAGAAGGCTCTTTGATAGGAAGAACTACCATTGACCCACAGAGAGTTCAACATTACTTTCAGGAGGCATAAAATTTTGGGGTTTTTAGATAACATCTGGCACATACTCAAAAGAAAGTGCAACTACGCCGACGGGCGCCAATCAAAAGAGAATTGGCAAAGACCAGAAGGTCCGCGTCAGCGAACAACGCTCACCTCGGCAAATTATTACACAACATACGCTATTTGCTCAGAAACTGCCAATTTTTCGATCACTGAAACATAGAACTTCATCCACCGAAAAAAGCACTCATTAAAAATCCATAAACCGAACAATACACATTGACGAGAAACGAAATAAGTTAAAAATCAACAAAAAAACTATATTTGGTATAGAAGAATTTTAAAGATCGATAGAAATTTTAGCAAATTTTCGGGCCAATTCGACAGCAGCGTCCAATTGATCGAGATTCTCACCGGTAGCCTAGAAAGTTGTTAAAAAAGTGAATAAAAAAGGGGGAGACAGAAGACAAACCTGAGCGTTCGCATCCTTGCCGCCGCCTTTTCCACCGAGCAAAGAGCACACTTGGGTGACCCAGACGCTGGCTTTCAGGCCGCTGCACTGGGTAACTTCCTAGAGACATTCCAAGATTTTAGGCGATGGTAGAGGGAAATCACCTTGTCGACCTTGGCCAAAACCAACACTTTGCCAGTGTCTGGGTTCGGAGAGAACGCCATGATTGCCTTGGGCTCCTTGAGAAGCTTCAAGGCGTTGTCCAAAGACTTGCTGTTGGCGCCTGGAGGGAAAACGTGCACCAAGTACACTGGTTGTTCTTCCTCTGCTGCTAACCGTTTAGCCTCTTCCATGACCTTGAATCAAAACGTGTAAAATTGAAGATTCAGTCGCCATGAAGATCGTACCTTCTCAGAAACTTCGTTTTGTGCAGCTCTGACGTAGGAGTCGAGTACTTTGCCCACAGACTTGGCCGCTTCGCGAATTTCGTCTTTTCTCCAGTAGGGCAGCAGTGAAGCGTTCGCTTCCTTGCAAGAAACTCTTTGAACTGAGAAAAGACGGAAAAAATCACCTCGATAACTTCTTGGAGTTTGTTGGTGAGAGTTTTGACTTTGTCCTTGCTGGCAGCAGTTTCGCGATTGTAAACCTCGTTGGACAGTTGCTGAAATCGGAAACATTTCTTACAAATAGAAAGTTTAGGAGTGAAGAAATATAGCCCATTCCGCGTCATTCCGACGAGCTACAGAACCCTTCCCTTCATTGCGCGCGCTATTTATCTCTGCCTGCGCCTTTAATATAATGGAAATTTTGAGTTAAAATAAAAGACGCATGCAGGGGAGAATCCCGCGCGCTTTGGAGAGAATAATCCTCTAGCTCGGAGAAAAAAGAAAATCGATACAAGCTGGTGCGGAATGGCCTATGAATCTTCTTCTGTAGTAGTAAAAGAAAATTGAATGAGAATTTTTTTTAATCTCAAAAAAAGAAATCGGTTGGTTACCGCGACTCGAGCCTCGAGACGATCGGCGCGGTGAGTGGCGCGTTCGGCCTCTGGCCCTGTGAGAGCAACGATTCGGCGGATTCCTTTGGCGATCGCTTCTTCCGAAGTGATTACCAGTGTTCCAATGTGGCCAACGTTGTGCAAATGTCTGAATAGCCTTGCTGAAACTTTCAACGCAAGAATCGAAAAAAAAAAACAAGCTAGTCATGTGGAGATAATAATCGAAAAGTAGATTTGAGGAAATTTTTCAGAAAAATTGTTTTTTGACTCTGGTTGAAATAATCTAGAATTGAAAAAAAAAACTCGTGTGGAAGGTGAGTTAACTCAAAATTAAAATCTTTTGCTGAAAATTCGCCGGATGTATGACTTTGAAAAATTTCTTTTTTAGAGCCATAAACTTCCGAATTACATATATCTAGGCTTGCAAGGGTATAGCTGTTTTAAATGTGGCTTGTGCCATCGGAAAAAGGGTCCTGAAACGATAATAAAAGAGATAGTGCCTGGGATAAGGCGCAGACAGGACCCAAGCTATCCATGAATAGGCTTTAATTATTTTTTTTTAATTATGCAGCTTTAAAACTTCACAAATCAAAAATAAAAGGATAGACAGGAAGCATCTATACATTCAAAAGTTGCTATCAAAATCTACAAGCAGATTAAGACGCCCCCTGTTTTGAAATATTTCTACTTGACGCTGGCCAAACGTGAAGTGAGAAAGTGAGAAACGTACGTTCCGCCGCAGAACTCGACGGTGGTGTTTTCGCCGACGTCCGAGTCAGGATTGGCCAGCAGCTTCTCGACGGGAGTACCTACGGCGACGACTCGAACCGGGTCAGGATATGCCTAAGTGGACATTATGTGAGGTTGAGTGAAGGACTGGGAACCTCGTCGAACATTGCGCGAAGGCCCCGCACTTTCTTGGCTTCTGCAAGCGGAGAGTTCTTCGCATAGACGTTGCCGTTGGTGTTGATCAGCTTTTGCGCAAATTCTTCAGCTTCTCGTATCTTCAACTCGGTAATTTTACAGTGATAATACAAACATATATTGTTTTTTAACGTTGTCTAGAGAAAATTAAAACTGCCGGTGTTTCAATTGAAAAGAATGACGAAAGAGAAGTAGACAAATATTTCAAGAAATAAAATTTTGAAAAAAATACTTTTTAATCGTGCCTAGAGCTTCTCGAACTTATGGATACAATACTGACAGCCTATGCGGACCGATGCAATTATGAAAAACAGAGATAAAAAAGTTTGTATCACAAAAAAAACTTAGCGCAAAAGAAACCAATCTCTTTGTAATGTCGTGTTCAAAGTAATTTCCGTAAAATTCAAAACTATCTCTGATTCTCCAAAATCTAGTTATCTTTTGCACTTTCTGACGACTATTTTGAGTTTTGTGGAACTTCGACTAGTTTTTCTCAACTTGAAGTTTAAGCTGACGAGTATTTTTCAACAAATTTGAAAGTTATCGGTCGCACATTCGAAATAGCCTATTTTTCTCATACTTCCCATCCTTAAAACTCTTACGTAGTATCAAAAAATGTGTCTACGTTCAAACTCATCAGAAAACTACCAAGAGCAGAAAAAACAACCTGTTTGACTGTCATCGCCTGTTTGTTAGTGAAATCGAAACGCATACGGTCGGGAGCTACGAGCGAACCCTAATTAGAAAATTAAGACATTATTCCATGGTTTTGATACTTTTTGGTCGGTGTCGTTGAGAACTTTGCGAAGAGCATAGTTGAGGACGTGGGTTCCCGTGTGATTCTTCATGATCAGTTGACGACGGTCCTGAATAAACGTTCGGGAACCGAGGAGAGCCGGAATCTAACCTCATCGAACTTCTGATTGACTTCGTCTCCAACGTGGAATTCTCCTTCTGCAGAGCCCACTAAGACTACGTATCCACCACGAACTTGACAGTTCGTTACGTTGAACTCGCACGTCTGATGAGATGAAAAATAAGAAAAGTTGTGAACAAAGGTCGCACGTCATCTCCAGCCTTCGTCAGAACTCCGACATCGAAGATTTGACCGCCCTGCTCAGCGTAAAAACTCGTTCTATCCAGAATGACGGCGCCTTCTTGTCCCGCCACAATCGAATCCACGAAATTTCCTTCACTTCTGATCGCAAGGATTTTTCCAGTGCAAGGTTCGAATTCTGCAACAGTCGATATGGGCGTTTTGCTGGATTTAAATCATCTTTTGTTTTTTTGAAAAAAATATCCCTTTTTTTCTGATGATAAATATTTATGAAAAAAAGGTGATCAATTTCCCTCTTTTTTTCTAGGAAAACAATATAAAATTTTTTTAACGAGTTTTTTTCTGATTTGATTGTTGGAATGAAAAAAATGAAATTTATTCAAACAGCTACATTTCTAATTGACTTTTTAGAGAATTAGTGATTTTTAGAAGTTCATAAAGTTAAAAAGCTCCTTAAAAATATATATTCGCATCAATCTTTGGTTATAGAAGAGAAACAGAGAGAGTGAATCTTTTTTTATTCAGATCTATTCGAAATATCTGAATTTCGATCGCCACAAGCTTTCACGACAAACCCGAGATAACAAAAAAAAAAGGAAAACTAACTGTATGTTGCTTTTCCGCCCTTCCCGGTAGCCTTGTATTCGTATTTGAAAGTGTCGTCGGTGGTTGGAACGCCTTTGGACTGGAGTTCGGCCAAAGCGTGCACGTTTAGGTCGACCGTGTCTCGGACCTTTCCTGCTCCGCCAGCAGACATTTCCTGTGAGTTTTCGATTTTTAACGACTTTTCGCGATCAAACGGACAATAGCACGCTTTCGGGAGTTCTCGAACTCTTCTTGGTTTATGCTAAGTCCTTTTTCTTCGGCCATCAGCTGAGTCAGGTCTGCCGGGAAACCGTATGTATCGTACAACCTCCAGGCGACGTCGCCTGTACAGAGAGCTTTAAAAAAGCAAAGATTTGCAAGTTACCAGGGAAGTTCGTGCTTCCGGGAGCCAGCTGAGAAACAGCACGCTGGAATAGAATCCGACCGCGCGATAAAGTCTTCAAGAATTGCTTTTCTTCGTCGTTGATAATGTCCTGGACGCTTTCGGGGTCTTTTTTCAATTCAGGGAACGTATCCCCCTGGAAAAAAAAAATAGACAAAAAAAGAATAAGTTTCTACCAAAATGGAAATGACGACCGGAACTAGAGAGGCGAAAAATCCAGGCTGAGCGTTCAGCTTTTCAGTCGCATAACGAACACCACGACGCAAAATTCGGCGCAAAACATAACTAAAAATAGTTTTTTTAATTGATAGTGAGGCAGCTGGACATCTGTGAATTCGACATAGTCGCATATTTAAGAGGCCCCGAGCTCCATCGAGTCTTCTACTTGAGAGAAGCGTGAGGAAAATGAATGACACATAAAAATAGATAGGCAAAAGTAAAGGGATCTCGTTTTGGGTATTCAAATGAGCGCATACTGGAGTTTAAAAACTTATACCATTAAAAAGGCTATCATGTTCGTTTGCTCGAAAAACCGGCACAGTAAATATAGACCGGAATAGTCCAAATGGTTAAAGTTAGAACCTCCTTTTGTCTTGATTCTACTAGATTCAGCGCAAAAAATGTGTTCCTTTTTTGCCAGAAATTTTGAAAGTCTGCCGTTTTGAAAGTTAATTACCGAAAAATGAAGCCCATGTCAATATTTTTCAAGTACACGGGCAAAAAGGACCTAAAAAGAAACTTTGGAAAAAAAGCGTTTGAAAGGCCTTCTTATTGACCTTTTCCTAAAAAAATACTTTTCAGGAAAAAAAAGTGAAAAAAAAACACGTCCCGAGAAACTTTTGACACCTTTGGAGACTTAAAAAGAAGCCCTAGACCATTTTTTTAAAAGCCGTTTGGACTCTTCCCGTGTAGGGATCATTAAAACCCATTTGTTGAATTGTGAATATAGAAAAAAAAACTGAGAAACTTATTCAGAAAGTTAAGTGAGCACTGACCCCCGACCGGCGTTGTCTGGACGGCCACCATCAGAAAGTGCGATGGTGAGGGTTCTGACGTGGTCGGCGACGACGCGGTAGGCCATGTCGACGCCGTCTGTGTCTTCTGCTCCCACATGACCGGTGTATTCGCGGGCTCCGCTTCGCTTCAAGTGGAAAACGGTGAGTTTCGATTGTCAACTTTTATAAAATTCCTTCTAACTCTCGAAATTCTCTTTTTTGATTCCTTCAAACAATCTGAAGCCCTTGTTCAGCTCTTTTTCTCTCAAGAATGAACGATTGATTGGTTGAACCTCTAAAAGAAAAAAATAATAAAACTTTTGAAAATGACCGACGTGTGAAAAAATCGAGCTTGTCACAATTTTATGAAATTAAACCAATTATAATTAGCCTTGTCCCTCATAAATTCAAACCACATTTTTTAAAATTTGCTTATGGACCACTTTTAAACTATTTCCAACTTTCAAAAACACAAATTTTTTTTGAAAGTGTCCTGCAGTCGAAAAAAGAGACGAAACACCATCGATTCACTATTCTGATATATTTTTCGCGTAGATGAAAAAAAAAATTCTAGATTAAAGAGGAGGCTGAAAGTCTAACCTCTTTAATGGCTTTGAAGAGAGGCTGGAAAATGTCGGTATCGTAGTTGCTCGTCTTGTTCTGCATGACAGCGATGAGACGCTCCAAGCCGAGGCCACAGTCGATGTGCTTCGCTGGAAGAGGCTTCAGAACTCCTCCCTCTTCGCTGCAAAAGTTCCAAACTTTCATCAGCCTTCAACGCGAAACACACCGGTTGAACTGAATGAAGACGAGGTTCCAGATTTCGACTACCATCGGATCGTCGGCGTTCACCAAGGCAGATGCGTCGCGGTTTCCGACACGGTCGTAGTGGATTTCTGAGCAAGGACCGCATGGACCGATGTCTCCCATTTCCCAGAAGTTGTCCTTCATTCCGAAATTCAAAATCCGCTCATCAGGAACGCTTAAAACTTGAGGTGAAAAAGGCCATGAGGACTATTTTCCAACCCGACAGAACGCCAAATTTCGCGAGCCTCCGTGTCAGCGGGGATTCCCATCTGTTCGTCTCCACCAAAAACAGAGACATAGAGTCGGTCAGCCGGAATCTCGTAGACTTTGGTCAACAGCTCCCATGCCCAGGAAATGATTTCCTTCTTGAAGTAGTCGCCAAATGACCAATTTCCAAGCATTTCGAAAAACGTGTGGTGGTATACGTCCTGTAGAGGGGAACTTGTTGATCGCAAACAAGGGATGGAAAGTATTTTACCTTGCCGACATCATCCAGGTCGTTGTGTTTCCCGCCAGCTCGAATGCATTTCTGCGTGTTCACCGCTCGCTTCAACTTGGCCAAATCGCTATTTGGATCAGCAACTCCAAGGAACAGTGGTTTGAACTACGAACAAGATTAGATTATAAATGTTAAGAGATACTTACTTGGTTCATTCCAGCGTTTGCAAAAAGCAAAGTTGGGTCGTCATGTGGAATCACACATGAGGAATGTACGTAAGTGTGCTCTTTCTTCTCTTTGAAAAAGTCGATGAACGTAGAGCGAACCTGCAAAATTTCAATAAGACATTTTCAAAGATTTATTCAACTTTGGAAATAGTAACAATATCAAAACGAACCTGGCTCGCACTTAACTGCTTCATTATGAAGGAGTCACAAAAAAGTTACCTTCGTAAAGAGGAGTTCCTGAAAAAAATTATGAAATAAGCGATCCTATATAACGGAGAAAGGTAACAGCAGTTTCGGAGTGTGATTCAAATTTTCTGAGATACTCCAATGTTTGAAAACAACTTTACTTAGTTTTCCTTCTTCGGTGCATTTTTTTTCGCTTTAAAAATATTTGAGTAATAACTCTCTAGAAAGATTCTTTCATTCGAGGATATTTTAATAAAAAATTTTTAACTCAGCTGAGTAACGTAAGAAAAAAATCTCAGGCCTCGCGAATGACAAAAAAAAAGTAGTCGGCCTCTCTAAAGAAATAGATAAAGAGGAAAAAAAGGTCGATATACTATTTAAATTTATCTAGTGATCAGTGAAAGAGGAGCGACTATTCCGTTAAGCGAACCCTTAGACGTGAGCTTAGAAATTTAAGATCTCGAATTCCTATTGCGAAAAAAGGACTCAATCTGAGATTTGCAAAACGGGCGCGGTGTTCACGTCAATTATCCGCCCCTACTCCTCCGATCAGACATGGGGCGCCAAAAGGTCGCCAAAACTCTTTCTCTGACCTCCACTGTTTTTTTTTTTCGTTTTTTCGCAGCAAGAGCTGTGGCGATCATGTCAGAATCAGACACTGAAGTACTGTGTAAGGCTTTACGGAGGGTGAGGAGAGCACCCTAAAGGATCTTTTCAAAAGGCAGGAGTTTGTCGCTAAAAAAGGAGTTTTAAAAGAAGATTCTTTTTTCTTCCCCTGTATTTTGACAGTGAATTCTGAATCTACGTAGCAAAATATATACTCTAAAACATGTTATTGCAACACAAATGTTTTCAAAGAAGTGTTAGAGCAAAAAAAAAGTAAATTTCCAGAGTGCAACAGAAAATTTTCGCAGAAATGGGCGTGGCTTTTTGGTGACCAGCTAGCTGTACACCTTTTTTATGTTTCTTCAAACAATGCAACAATAAGTTCTAGAAGAGAATTCTGAACAGACTTCAGGATATCTTTACTTCTCTGCGGACGTAAAGTTAATAAAAAAATTAGCGTGATAGATTTAATTGATCCGATCATTTCAAACAATTTCTTGTTTCAAGATGCAAAACTTGTTAAATCAGGTAAATTTTGTAATGAGAAAAGAGTTGAATTTCCAGGAAAGGGGGTCTGTGGCAAGGTCGGCGTCAGTCCGTCTGACGTTTTCGAAACTATGCGAGAACGCGAAAGACAAGTCGGTTATTATGTTCACTGAAATCGAAAAATAGTTCCTTTAACAATGCAGACGGCTTTAATAGCAAATCAAAACGCGGTGAATGCGGCTTCTTCGTTGAAAAATTGGAAAAAAGTTGCTCTCGGGGAACAAGTCGAGGTAGTTTTTCAGTGGAGTTTATAAGAGCTTTTTCTTATCTGCAGTAACTGGCGAGTCACTTTTTTTTCATCATACGTTCAAAACTAATTTTTGAGCGCGGAAGAACAGTTTTCTATTTCAAAAAGTCGAGCCAAGCTGTGGGAACGACGGCAGATAACCCAGAGCTTGATTGGATGTCTCCTTCCCTTTTGACCGCAAAATAACATGAAATAGAGGATTAATAGTGGATTTATTTGAAGAGGTGAAGCCAATCAATCACACTGAGGGGATCTTCTATTGCTTTTGAACCAAACAATTGTTTTTAATAAGTTTTGAACGCGGCATTAGATTGAGCGCTGCTCGGCGCAACTGGTTCATCGGAAGACGGTAACGGAGGCTCAAATCGAGGAGTTGATCCAATTGGCCGATTCTCTTCGTAATCGGCTCAACCTTCAGACGACTTCAAGTAAAGGAGTTTCCTTTTTTGTAGAAGACAATCAGTTAAAAAAAAGAAAAAAGAAAAAAGGTTTCATTTAATATTTTTTTTGAAGCTCTTCGATATAAATTCATATCAAAAAAAGTTTTAAATTTTTAATGGGTTCTGTTTTTCAGAGCTTAATACTATCCGAGAAAACCCTGATGCTTTCATTCAACCGCAACAAATGAGTAATTTTTTTTGAGTTCTACAGTCTGTGTGCCACGACTTGAAATTTCACCGAACGACATTCCGCTGTTCCGCTGCGTGCGTTTTTCGAAATTAGGTCACGCTTTCAATTGATTGTTATTGCTGTGGGAGCACATGAAAGTAGAGTACCAGGATGAAAAAAAAAAAAAATTAAAAGCGCGACCAAGTTTCGCAAAGGCGCGCGGCGGCACAGCGGAATGTCGTTTGGTTAAATTCCAAGTCGTGGTACACAGGCTATATTTAATTGATTTTTTTAAAGGCGTTACTAATAGCTCAGCTGGAGCTCCAGAAGACGGCAAACCTATCATCCTTTGATCTTGCATTACCAATAAATTTTAGCTATTTTTCGCGGTTTTAAACTGAAGAATGAAGCAAAGACCAGACTATTTCGGCATGTCTTTCTAATTAGCTTCCAATTGTGTCCTTTTGTGTTTCCAACGACATTTTCTATTGCGGACTTTGCGCGGTCGTGTTGAGTTACCGGCAAAAACCGAAAGCAAACGAAAATGGGCGGCGAACACGTTGTGGCTCTCGCGGTCACTCGCTCCCTGGCTCCTGTTTCGTCCTCAACTCGTCTCCAAATTCGTTTCGTGCTTCTTTTCAAGATCTCTGTGACTAAATAATCAAATAAGACTCTATGAAAGCTTTGAAAGTCTCTCTTACAAATTTCGAATTTTTTCGAGAACAGAAAAAAAAACAGTTCATAAAACAGAGCCTGAAAGTGCTTGAAGTTTCCGGCTCCGAGGAGCAAAATAATCTTGTTGTGATTTGTGTTCCTTTAATAAAGTCGGTAGGTATAAGACCTTCAATTTTTTTTTTTCAAAATTCTTTTTCTTTTCGAGGCTTCCGGAGTTCATAAATGTCAAGAGATGAAAATTTAAAAAAAAGAACACAGTTTTTGGTTAGTTCAGTATTTTTTAAAAATCTGGCTGATTTTTCTGAACCAATCTTCATAAGCGATTCCTTTTTTAGTCAAAATTTCTTTCATACTGAAGAATCCGAAGCCCTTAGGGGTAAAAAAATATCAAGGTTCCCGGACTTCCAGCTTTCCGGACATTGAAAAAAATTTTTATTAACTTAATTTTTTTAAAAAAATCGCCTTAAGCTTTTTGGACTCTCTGAACCTATTTCTCAATGTAACAACTCATCGATTTTCATTTTCTGGGGTAGAAATTGAATAACCGCCTGACCGACAATCCTTCCCAATCTGAGTTCCGTCCACATACAATCTCGGGTTTCTCGACTACAACAATAGAGCTCAGCGGCCTCAAAATCGAAAATATTGCAATCGATCTTCAGAGCGAAAGGTACAGTGAAGAGAATGCGAACGCGAGTGCAGATGAATTGTTAATCCGCAAGACGCGTCCTTCCGTTTCCGAATCTCCGCCGACGAGAGCTTCCAATCAAGGAAAAGACAATGTCATCCCTTCACGACGATGGTTTGCGCCGGATTTATTAACCCCGGGCTTCATTTACCACCTTTTTGAAGAACTGAGTTGCTAGAAGTTAACAGTTCTATACTCTAACTAGGGAGAGTTTTTTAGCCCTTTAATGAAACTTTGCTCGTGCTTTAGGACCTCCTGGTTGCAGAACAAGAAGAAATCTCTTTCTTCTTTTCGAGTTGAGAGGCTTCGAAAGCTTGAAATAGCGCTTTTTTGCCGTTATTTGGGTATATTGCAAATTTTTTTTTTTTGAAGTTTTATAACTCGAAAACCAGATCTTTTGCGAGGAATTTTTTTCTTTTTCTGCAATCTGAAGGTTTTAAAGTAGACTTCCGAAGAGTTCCATCAAAATTTCAAACGGGGGTAAAAAAAAACCGTTCCCTAATCAAATTTCATGGATACGACACCAAAAAAAACCATTTTCAGAATTTTCCAAAAAGTGTTTTAAAAAAAATTACTCAGATTGTCCTTCTGACACGGCTTCGATAACTACGATAGACCCGGAGCAACGTCGAAACGATCTGCCGGAACCGACACTTCCACCGCCGCCAAAGCTCGGACCTCCCACTCCGCCCAAGTTTCCAGCAGCCGAGCTTATTGTCGAGGAACTTCCTTTCAAAGAAGTTGGCTTTGTAAATTGTGGTTTGCTTGCAACATATCCTTTTTTAATGAGTCGCTTGATGTTTAATCTTTGGGCTCGATTAACAGCCGTCATTCCTACACTAGAAGTCAAAAATATAACCTCCTCCTCTTCTTGTGAATCGAATTGAATTTGATTTTTTCAAACTTGTAACACTCGAATCTAAAAAAGTTACAATCTACAAAGCTAGAACAGCTTGTCATAGGCGGAAAAAAACGGTTGTAGAAAAACACGACTCACTGACAAGACTCGCTCTTTTGAAAAATTGAAAAAAAAAAATCAGAAGGCTTCCACTAATCAGAGATCACTCTTCTGATCAATCCAGATCAAATGATCTCTTCTTCGAGCTTCTAGTACTCAATGAGGGAGCTTCTAGGCCCAGAAAATGTGTAAAACAACGTGGGCGAGCGGACAAAAAGTGAGAAAAGCGCCGAGAAGCTCAGCCAGCCGCGATTCCTTGTTTTTTTTTGTTTCTCTCATCTTTGACTGGTTTTTGTTGTTATTTCTGTTGAAGATCGTACAGTCGTAGGATTCATTTGAAATTTGAAAATTAGAAATGCCGTTCGAGGAATTTTTTTTTCTTGTCTGTTGTTTTATTCTCTTCAAAATTGCAGTTAAATTCCAGACCCTCAGAAAGTCTGAATTATTTAAAAAAAAAAAAAGTGAATAGATTGACATGTACGTTGTCAGACTTGATAGCTTTTTGGAAAACGGTTTTTAGTTTGAAAATTGATCAAGGACTTTAAAAAATGTAGTAGTTTTTATGATTAAAAAAAGCGAAAGTTTTTGACGAATCGAGAGAAAAAAACGAATAAATAAAAACAATGGTCGAAAATGTGAGCATGACAACACAGAAAAAAATGTTTTTTTGAACTCTTTTTTTGAAAGAAAAATTTCCCCGTATTCTTTTTTTGCGGTTTCACTCTCCTAGATTATAATTTTTTTCAATAGCTTTATTGATTCGATACATATTTCGATTTGAAAAAAACTATTTTTAATTGTGTTTAAATTAAATTATAAGTTTGGAAATTTGGTTTGAAAAAAAGTCCTCTGAAAGCGGAAATTCTTTTTTAAAGTAGTAACATTTTGAAGATGAACGAGCCTCGCTATCACACGACGACGACGGTCGTCGAAACCACAGAATATTTGGCAGATTCTGGTCCCACCGTTCAAGTTCGTTAGATCCAGTCATTTTTCACAGAAAGGAAGAAATCTGCAGCTGGTGATGCCCAAGATGGACTGCGGTTACGTGAGAACTCTTGGCGGTATCGTCAAGATCGTCTGCATCGCCCTCTGTCTATTAACGTTTCTGTTTGTTTTGGCCGGTCCAGCTTATTTCCGTGGTTTCAGAATTTGATTTCTTCCCAGTTTTCAACAAGGTTTCAGGAGCCGGTTGGGCGACTTTCGTCGCTTCAGTTGGAGTTTTTGTAACGACATCGTTGCTTATGTTGTACATCTTCCATGTTGTTGACACCCTGAACAACGTGAACTGGATCGTGATAGTTAGTACTTCGAAAGATTCGGACTCAAAGTCTTTTTTCTTCCCAGGAAATGGTCTTCTGTTTCGTTTGGACCATTTGCTTCTTTATCGCCGGCTGTGTACTCGCAGTCGCTTCTGCGCAATTTTCCGGTACTTTTTGGTGGGCTGTAGCTTCGGTTCGTTTCCTCTGCTTCTAGCCAAAATCGAGTCTAGTCCTGTTCACCAATAAAAAACTGTTCAGTCTATTCACATAAAATTTTTGCAGTTTTTTGCCTTTGGTGGGATGTGTGCCTACGGCTTTGATTGCTATCTAAAGTTTTTGTCCTGGAAAAATGACGAGGTTTGTTTCTTCGGTTAAATCTTCGTTTCAAACGATTTTTAAGCTCTATAATGGGGAAAAGAGTTTCAGAAAGCGACGGGAGGCTCTAACGATTTTGTGGTCGAATCGCCGCGGCGGAGAACGAACGTCTGAAAGAAACTAAATGGGAACTTTGAATGATTTCTGATTTCTTTTTTTCTGCGAATAAAATTTTTATTTTCATTTGGAAATAAAAAAAGAGGTCGTAATACTGATACGATCGTCGTATGCAATAAAATGGAAAATCATTTTCCGTCATTCTCTAGAAAATATAGAAGGTCTGAAATTTGCTATTGGTTCAAAAACCTCGACTTTTTTTCTGATATATTCAGGTTTTTTTTATATGATAACCAAAAAAACTTAAATTTTAAAAAAAGGTACTAATTAAAGTTATTCTCGAGTCTCAAGAAACACGCGAAAATTCAAATTTCATTTTTGTTGCGTACGGCAAATTTTAAAATTTTTCAAATTAACGAAGTTCTGCTTGTTCTAATGAAGCATGGAAAAGGGAATTTTTGAATTCTGAAAAAGAAGGCGCAAAAATAAAATCCTTTCATCCATTTTTCCTTTTAGACTTGTGATGTGCATGAAGTAGACACAAGGAGCCTCAACTTGAAAATTTCCTGCGCGGTCGAAAAGTTTTTTTTTCGCGCAGTTAGGCTAATCACTTTTGAGGGTTCATAACTTTTTTCACAGACGTATCGGGCAACTTTTGAGACCAGATTTGGAATAAGCGTGGAAAACTACATCTAGAAAAATAGTTTTCATTCAGAAGTCCCACTGCGTCCCGTGACCATTCCCTGGTAAGTGCTCTCCCCTAGATTTAACCCATTCCCATCTTGGCCTGCGGTTTGGAAAGGAGTTATTGCTTTCCCATCGGAACCCTAAAACTAGACAACACCTGGGAACCGAGGTTTCGAATGGATCAAGGAACGCGAATGTTTTGGCGCTCCACACAGCTGTCCTTCCGAATCTGCCCGAAAATACTATTTCTCTTTCAGATCCACTCTTTGCCATTTCTTCTTCGAGGCTGTTACTCAACTATACTTTGGTTTAAGTTCTGTACTTTGGCCAATATAAGTTTTTTTTTCTCCTAGCATAATTTGAGCGCGTTTTTATTTCAAAAAAAACTCACTTCTTCCCATTTTTCTCCTTTTTGGTATCGATTCCGCAAGCCCTATGGAAACTTGGGAGTTGTTCAAATTTTTGATACACATATGACCTCCATTTTCTCCATGCGTGACTTATACCTTCGTTCGATAGAGTTCATACTTCGATAACTTCTCAATAACATGGACGGTTTCAAAAGGAAGGTTGCCAAAGAAATAAATTGATATTATATTCCGTTTTGTTGGGTTCAATTCGCTTAGAATAAACTCATAAATTTTTTGATATGCAGGTGTCAGCCTTCCCTATCGTAACCTGGCTAAAGAGGGAAGGACTCAAAAAAGTCGCGTCCTGAGATCTTTGAAGGACCACTAACAAAAGGGAGGTCATTCAACTTTGCGGTGTGGAATTTTCTGAAAATTGGCCAGAACACTCTTTGATGGACCAAAAGAAGATTCTGAAAGTCTCAACATGCACGATACTTGCCTTCGAAGGCTTTAGAATTTTGTTCTTTTCTCATATTCCAGAATTTTTTGTAGGAATTATTTCAGTTTCACAGTGCTTAACAAGAATTAAAAGCGAGAGTATCTAGATATTTTTCAGTTTTAAAAAATGCGTAGTAAATGAGGCTTGCAAGCGGTCAAGACGCACGTGTTTATGCGGAAATGCTCGCCGCGTGGCAGTCTGCCTGGCGCCGCGCCAACCTTCCGATTTTGTCACTCGATATTCCCGACCAACATCTAATTTAACACCTGAGCATTCGCGAGCGCAGGTCGCATTCGTCATCCGCGAGACTCCCTTCTACCATCAACAAAGCTCCTTTTTTATTTACAGTTTCTTGTTTATAACCTTTTTTTAATGCAAATGGAGCCCTTTTCATGATTTTCTCTGTGTCTCTCATTCCTTTCTGTTCCACGCGCTGAAGACTGAATATTCATACTACTTTGCAAAGCTTTGCAGTATTACCCCCAGATCAAGTTAACAAGCAGGAGTACTAATGAAAATTGAGAAATTGAGATCTACCTGTAGCTGAAATAAGACCGGGAAAGATCAAGGTATTGTAGTGGATATAGTCAGTCCATTCCAACTTGAAAGGTGATATGGGTAGATTGGCAAAGGTAAAGCGTTGCGTATGTGACGCGAATTTTTGGCTTTCCAATAACTTCAATTTGTCATGGTTTTGGAAAACTTTATTGGACGAATAAAAATATTAAAAAACTCAACTTTTTTTCCAAATGTTTTCTCATGCACCTCTCCAAAACGCCGCGTCGCGCACGCAACGCTTCACGCTTGCCAATCTATAGTCTGTGTGCCACGACTTGAAATTTCACGAAACGACATTCCGCTGTTCCGCTGCGTGCGTTCGCGAAGCTTCTTTCGAAACTAGGTCACGCTTTCAATTTATTGTTATTGCTGTGGGAGCACATGAAAGTATAGTATCATAATAGAAGAGAAAAAATTAAAAGCTCGACCAAGGTTCGCAAATGCGCACAGCGGCACAGGGGAATGTCGTTTGGTTAAATTCCAAATCGTGGGTACACAGGCTATACCTATATCTCGCCTTTCAAGTCGGGAAACATTGACTATGTTATCGAAACGGTTTCACCTCTTTCCGGTGAAATTTCAAAAATCTCAAAAGCACTTGAGTGCGTAATTTTCCTTTTCTACGGAATCTCGTTTTTTAAGTTCGAAGCTTGAGAAAAAAACATAAAATAAACTTTTACTTCAAGAACTACAACTTTTCCAATTTTTTTGTGTATAAAGTCTCGTTTTAAAACGAATCACGCGCTTCTCTTCTGTTTTTGAAAGGCTGAAAGTACACAAGAGCTTTCTAGAAATCCATCTATTTCTCCATTTCATGCCGCCGCCGATGTTTATAGATTCTTAAGTGCAATAGGTGAGCTTTAACGTTCCTACAATTTCCGGAAAGACCATTTAATATTTTTAGAACGGTATCTAAGTGCTTTCGTTTAGCGAATTCCTTTATAATGTTCCAATGTCCTTGATTCCAGCTGTAAAAAAAATATTTTTTTAACTCTTTACCCAAAAAAAATTGCTGATCGGAAATGAAACGATCTCCGGACATCGCACCTCCGAATAAAGCAACTGAAAGCTGTTCTTGGAAACGGATATCAGATACACTGACATGTTTATAAAGTTTCAAATTTATATCAGTTCTCGAAATTAGCTGAGACTAGTTTTTTTTCTTTTAATCAATTCGTTCTTTCTTTTTGACCCTGGTGACAGAAAAATTAGTCATCAGGTGGGCTCAAAGGAGTTTGAATCAAAAAATCAATCAAATTAAATCTTTTATTTTTGTCAGAGGAGTTGTGATGCTTTTTGGCGGGTATCCGCAAAAAAAAGTCACCAGAAAAGTTTAATTTCAAAACTGGGCAAAATTGGTTTCGAAAAGGCGCTCCACGGAACAAAGTCGGCAATTTCAGAACTCAAGTTTCACTTTTTTTAAATTTTTTTTTGTTTGAAAACGATTTTTTTTCTGATTGAGTCCTTTCCATTTTTTTCTAGACAAATTTTGAAGAATTTTTAAATGGTAATAGATGTTTCAAAAATTATTCACTCTAAATAATTCTAGAACTTTTTACTTCAATTTTCTTTCTAAGGTAATCTCGCGTGCGAACGAAATGAGTCATATTTTTTTTTCCAAACAGCTATCAATCTTGAATGTAGATTCCAATTTGTAGGACACTGTTTAACAGAAAAGTTTTGCAATTGCGTTTGCAAATGTTATCGGAATATTTTCAAGGAAGACAGTCAATCAATCATATAGGGAGTAGAAAAGTGATTTAACTCTGGTTGTGTCGAGAACCGCCATGTGACAACAAGAAGACGGGAACCGAAAAAAAGCAGCAGAAGAAGAGTCGCGCATTACAATGTCGGGTCACTCCATAAAAGGCTATCTTCTTTATAAAACAACAAGGCAACATTGTTCTTTCGTCGCAATGTTCTTCAAAACTTTCAGAAGGAAATATATGGATTTCAAATTTTTTTTTGTTTCCAGAGGAAAATGAGCAATTGAGAGAGTTTACCATAAATTTTGGGGGAGATCTCAAAAATTGCAATAGCTTTGTAAAGTGTACTTCTGCATAGGCAAAGCCGGAAGGGCTCTCCGAGGGTCCATAAAGGTTGCTGGAAGGCTCCATAAAAATTTTCCTTTTAGGATGACGAAGGCTCCTTTTTTGCTGCCTTTTTGCGTCATTTTATCGGCACGTATGCACCATTTTTGCTGCCTCTTCCCTTTTTCCACTATTCCTTGAGCCTCTAAGTTTTTAGAAAAAAAGAAAGGCTCGATAAAGGGACTCTCTTTGCTGCCTTTCTGCGGCCTTTTTCGAGCCTCTCCCTGTGAGCGGCCATTATCCACCATTCCGCCTTTGCCCGAGTGATTACTATCTTCTGGAATGAAACTAAATAAAAAATTGACACTTTTCGTATTTTTGTCGCGCTGCGTCATGAAAAGATTGTTTTCCGATCCGGAAAAGCTGGAAAGACGATAAATCTCCCCGAAAAATGAACTTTCCACAGGGATTACACATCGTCAGAAAGGCATGAGACAGCAGTCTAAAGTGGCAAGAGCGTTTTTTTCGATTTCTCTTTTTCTTCTCGCCCTACTGACGTTCCGAAATTCCTGACTTGCTCAGCTGTTAACACAAGATATTCGTTCTATACGTTTTTTTCCCGCTGCTCGGAGAAAGTAATTAGGCTTAATACGTATGAAAAATTCGTTTCGAAAAAGTGTCCACATATATAATTTAGCAACTTTTTAGTCACTATATTGGATGAATAAATTCTTTAAAAAAACACTCTTTTTTTAATAAAATCATTGTTTTTTACCTTAATCTTGCGTTTCGTCAACTTTTTAAACGTAATTTACATACCCTTACATGAAATTAGAATAGATCATTGAAATCCATATGAAAGTCCTACATGGAATTTTCGTGGTTTTCACGTCCAATAAAAACTGGGACCTTTTTCTGAAGGTCTCTCAATTTCTGATATAGACACGGTTCAATAATCTTTTCGTGCAAGTTTGGTTCAGAATCGTTCCCAGTCAGCCTGAAAAGTGAGAACGCCCACAGCGGCTGGCCACGCCCCCTTGTGATCGGACCTGCACGAAATGGGTTCATGTCGCCTTGTATGTTTGCGCTTTCCGTCGGCCGGCATGAACTCCATGAGCACTTATTCCCGCCTGGATTCTCAGCTTCGCTCGTTTTTCATCTTGCTCCTTCTCTTTCACATATCAAAAGTGAATATTCATTTGTGAATATATAAAATGAGCGAACGCTTTTAGTTATGAGGATACTGAAAAATTGTAGCTTTTCAGCTTTAAAGGTAGTAAATCACTAAAGAGATTCTGGTGAAACTATAAAAAGAGAATTCTCACCTTTTCAGAAGTTAAAAACTTTTCGAAAACTGATCGGAAGCGTTGACAGCTGTCCTCTTTTCATGGTTCCTCTTGTGATTCAAATTTTTCTCGGATACAGACTTTTCTTCTGTGTTGTTCCGTGTGAAATCCTCCTTCGAAGTGGCTGCTCTCCTTTCAAGGCGCTCACCTGGACTCCAGCTTCATGCGCTTTGAGCTCGTCAAGGCGCACCTGGATGAACTAATCACAGAAGAACGAGGGACCGTAAGACCATAATTTCAATTTGATCAACTACACTTTTGGACTTCCGGTTCGCCAAAGGCGGTTGTTCGTTATAGCTTTTAAAGTTTATGTTAACCGCCTAGTCCATTACATCTATGAATGAAACAAAAATAAATGACTGATTGATTGATCCCAAGAAATAATAGAGGAAAGAGCCACTATTTTTCTTCATTTCTCCATTCACGAAGAATTTTAAATATTATCACCCTCTGCCAATTATTGCACCGCTCTCCTTTCTCAAAGACCTCGGTTCAAAGTTCACCAGACTCTTCGTATATAGTTTGGATCTGTCTCTCTTTCTCAAGCAGCTCTTTTCGTTCTGCTCATCCGCCTTCGTACAAAGGGCACCCGTTCCATTGCCTTGCCACGACATGTGACTCCCATTTCTTATTCCGCCTTTTCTCTGTCGCGTCGAATGCTTTTACCCGAGTTGAAAGTTGTTCGAAATATGACTCGTCGAAATTTTTATTTGCCTGCTTTCATTCAAAAATTTTGTGAGGGGGCCTAAAAAGAATCGTTACTTTCTTGATTATAAATGAAATCCTTTCGATCTCCCTTCAATTTGCTCAAGCGTTTTTGAAACTCGACTTTTTTCTTCGCGTCGTTTCCCGCTTATTTTTGTATTGATCATATCATGATTATAGATCAAAATACATAATGGACGACGCTGTAGCCATCGCGTCGACCTCAGGCGTCGACGACGCCTCCTTCGCCTTCCAGTACATTTGGCCCCTCAAAGTCTGTCAAAGGTGTCAATTTTTTTTTGTTTTTGTGCGTTCTGTGGCGTGTGGAACCCGTCGTGAGGAACATTCATACAATCCCATTCTTTCATTAAAAACAATAATTTGGGAATGAGAATCAATATTCCGTGAGAAAAGCAGTGAAGCTTCATGGAAAAGAAGATTGCTCAAAGATAATTTATTGCTCGATTATGGCGGCTCCGTGAAATAGGTGTTTCCGAACGCAATAGACGTTCCTTTCGTTTTAAGTCCTTCCATTTGAAGCTTTCGAAACAAATAAGACTTTATTACAGTCACAACTTTCTCTTTCTACGCTACAGAAAAGTTTCAAAAAGCCATCAGCGCAACAAATGCGTGCGATAATGGCCGGGCAGACGGAGAGCATTGTGTTTGTGCTCTTTGACCATTTAGTCTCCGTATCGGCCGATTGCCGCTGATAATTTGGTGGTCAAGCATCGTTGTGGCATCGAGTTTTCGGTGCAAAATTTTGAGCAACTTCCGGAATTTCATCAATTCATTTTTTTGCGCGGGAACTTTTGGCAATGGTATTGAGACAATGAGTACTTCGAACCCACTTTGCTCTTCAGAAACTGTCTGAATATTTTCAATTTCACTGTTAAGTGATCCTAAAATAATTCTATTTTTTCGTTTCAATCTGCATTGAAAAACGCAGAGATAAGAAACAATTCCAGGCAAATCGAAGACGAGTCCATAATTCTGACGCTGTCTCGGCCGTTTTGTACATCCTACAAACACGTGCAGTTTACGTGGGCCCTTCGCCTCACAGACGAGTATGTCATCTCCAACAACGGTTTGTTTTGCCTGATCTCAAGTTTTGTTGAAAGAATGGCAAGAACGAGACGGACACCGCGGAAATTTGGGAGCAAGTGTAACAATTTCTTAGAGGATCACTTGGGTTGATGGACGAGTGTAAACGTTTCAAGTTCAAAAAGACAAAAAGAATAAGAAGGAGACTGTGAAAACCAAAGTTTCAGTTCCGGACACTGGCTGTGCTAGACACGTCCTCCTGCATTTGTACTACAAAGAAGGCCCTTGCATCGACGTTCCCATCGAGGAAATTCGGTTAGTTTAACACCTTCATAAAAGTTCAACTGTTTGTTTCTGAAACATTTTTTTCAAATTGATTTTTATTAAAAAAAAATTCTACTTCACGTATATTTAAAAAAAAATTTTTGTTAAACTATGACGATACCGCACAATTATATACTTGAGAAATAGTTTTTAAGGCGAAAAAGTTGTCAACAAAAAGTTTTTCAAGGCTCGCCATGATTTTTACTGTTAATTTGTGTTCTCGCAGTCTGGTTTTTTTATACAATATAAATGGGAATAATTTCAAATTTTCAAATTTGTCATTTGTAAGCTTGTAGTGCCGAGTTCAAAGACCCAGTCACCAAGGAATCATTGTTCACCGGATTTGGTCTTGGACGTAACGAATTCACCAGGGTTTGCAGTCTTTCTCAATGGGATAGGCCAACTTTTTCGATATTCAGGGAAGCGGATGGCCTGTACAAGTGGAGAAGTCGCGCCGTGACGAATTCACCAGTTTCATCCATGAAAGGATCGACACCAACCTCATCGCTGTCGTCGAAATTACGTGAGTAAAAATGGCCTTTTCTACTTTTACTAACTTGAATTTAGAGTATTCTAAACCGCATTGAAATTTAAAAAATACGATCATTCTTATGTAAAACCATTTAAAATTTTTTTTTTCGCGACCTACACCCCGCTTCGAACTAGAAAAATAGAACTTTTCTTTCGGGTAACCAGTTCCAACTCACTAGTTGCAGGAGACTTGAAACCAAATCTTTCGACCTGTTCCAAATTGCAAACAAGTTGTTTGTAGGTTATTTGCAGATTTTTGAAAAATAGTAAGACGCTGCATTTATGAGATATCTCTCGAAAAGCCTATTTCAAAGCATATAATAATCGTTCGTCGCTACTTGCTCATCTAAACTATTCCATGTGAAGTATTTTTTTGTATGATTTTGGTTCTGTTTTGCAGCATGAAAGAGTCCTTGTTCGAGCCGTTAAACTACCTACCAGACGTGGAAAACGCGTTCCGGAGCCGTCGGATCGAGACGGCATGCCAGAATTTCATCGAGAAAGTCATCTCTTCAGAGGTCGAGATTCCCAACATGGACTTGCTCAAAGAGCAGGTGAGCCACTTCTTCTGGACTCTTTATTACTCCGGGTTTTCAGGGCGACAAGTTTTCCATCCACCGAATGATCTTCTTATATGGAGTTGACCTCGTTGCACGCGAATACATGGCCAGCGAGGAGAACCAAAACCAAATCTGCGAGAAACTCGTCAAGAACGTTCGTCTTTTTCTTTTCTTTCGCCTTCCATTGCAAGAATTGGCAGTAAAAACCAAAGATTTTGTTGACGATCAGCATTATTCACGCGCTCGAGATATATATGAACGTCTTGGAGAATCTCTGTAAACATGTTTTTTTCGGAACCGTGCTGCCCATTTCGACGTCTTTTCTTTATTGTTTTTGGGTGGGCAGCTTTTTTAAACGATGGTCGTTTGATTTTCAAAGTGTCGTAGGAGGAAGGTGAAATTGGAAATAGTTAACCATATTTTGTCGGCTTCTCGCCTTTTCTCAGTGATTTGTGTTAGACTTGTCAGAGAATGTGGCAAAGGACCCCATTTTATTAAAAATAATGTTTTCCCCGAAAAATGTATTGACGAAAATAACAAAATAAATAAGAATGAATGATCATAAAAACAAAAATTGATATATCTTCTTTGCAAACTGTTCGGACTCAATGTTTCAGACTGGGTCCAAACTGCCATAGAAGATGGGTGTAGGTAAAGATAGCAATAAACTCAAAAACAAGCCCCCAAGTCACGCGAAGCCCGGGAGATTCCCGAATAAGAGCCCTAAGAAGGCCTAAAAATGGCTTCATAATAGATTTTTTCGTTGATCGTTTGTTTCGCGAATAACTGTTTAAGATGGGGTCAGTAAAGCACGATGAAGATTTTTCATCAAGACTGCAGCAAAAAGCAGTTTTCAGGAATTCTTTGCGCAAACCGACAGGATTCCACTCGATTTCCTATGACGATCACCAGCTAACTTTTTTTTTCGCTTTTAATTGGGAAATTATCGAAAAAAAAAACTGACTTCTTTTAGGCTAGACCAATGTTAGAATATGTGAATTCAACGAAAATATTTCAGACGTTCGCCCACATCTACTTCGAAAAAGTTCTACTGAAGGAAGTGAAATACGTAGAAGATTTCGTCTCTTTGCTCGAAGGCATTACTTGTGCCCACATCCCAGCCCTTCTCAAGGAGCTCGAGCGCTTCATCTGTCAGGAAGTCATGCAGGTTTCCGAAGATTTTCTCTACTTTCGCCCCAAAAAAGCTTTTGTGTGCTTATCTCAAAAACTAACAACTTTGTCAAGAGTATTTGATCTATGTCGGTTCATACCATTGAACCGAATATTTTTCCCTTCTAGAACTAGGAAATAAGAAATTTCATGGAACTTTAAATTACTTTTCATGTATGATACTGCAGTAGTTCAGAGTAGAAAAAAATTACAAGAAAATTTCCCTGATTTTCCGATTTCAATCATTCAATTGATTAAGGAGCCAATGGACACGAATTTCGCCAAAAAAATGCTTCTTATTGCCGAAAAGTACAATTTGGAAGTACTAAAGATGGTTGTTAATGGACTACTCGTTGACCAGGTTAGTATAATTTCTTCCGCGCGAATTTGTCACGTTTGAAAATAATTATTAAAAAACACAGTATGGAGTTTTTTTTTAAAACTTCTCTTTGATTCAATAGCTGTAGCACAATTTAGCGCCCTAGCCTTCTGTGCTCTATTTAAAGATATGTTTTGGCCATAAAAGTGTCAAACTGGCGCGGAATGGGTTATATATAATTCTTGATACAATTTATTAAATTATAGATAATCGCGAACTCGAATCCTCCAAAAGAACTCGTCAATATCGCCCACGAGTTGGAAAAGTTCGCCAATGAAATGTGCGTTAGAGCAGATTGGAACAGCCCAGAAAAAAAAAACCTGGTTTAGGGTGTGCAGCAAGGAAAATGACGGTTTGGTTGGGGTAGTAGTGGAAGACCTGCAGGAACTGACGCGTCGAGTCCGCCGAGTCTCACTGTCGCACTCGCCGTCGCAGTCCTCCCACAACAGGTTGGCATTCTCCTCGGTGACCGTTCAAGTCGGAAGATTAGCTTGAGTTCCAACTCTCCGCTGGCGACTCCGACCAAAGCTCAGTCATCGTCCACCGATGACCACGAGCCTTTCGAAGCAGCACCTGTAGAGGGTTCCAGCCGCTTCAAACGCGTCTCTCTTACCTGAAATAATTTTCGTTCTAAAACTCATCCACAGTTTGTATATTATTTGCATCCCTTCTCCTTTTATTAGAAAATTTAGGGTCGATTCTAAAAAAAAAATTTCAGCCTTCACTAACACCGGTTGTCAATTGTTAATAATAATGCATTTGGACTTATCTGAGCCTTATAAGAATTCGTGTCTGATCATTTTTTCATCGTGAAAGTTGCAGGTAGCAAAAAAAAAGTATTTCATCCGGTTGGAAGCATTTATGTGTAGAGAATTTTCCTCTTAAATTTCTTGTGATATATTTTTTTCCATTTAGTTGAAAAATACGACTTTTTTTTGTGAACTTCGAACGCTTTCTGAGATACATGCTATGATTTCTTTTCCTATTTAGCTGGTTAATTTCCTGTACATTGGGTTCTCATGTGACATTTTTCTGCGCCCCTAGAAATCCCCGTCTCCTTTAAAGTTTAACGCGTTTAAGAATTAGCTCCCGGGTTTTCATTGAAATGACAACTTTCTCACTTGTTTCCCGCAATTTTCGTAGCAAATTCATGAGAACAGTCGTTCATTATCCTCTTCATCTTTATTGAACGCAATTTATGATAAAACGGTTACTTGACTTCAAGTACTGCAAAAGGGGCCGAAGCGCCGGGTGAAATGTTTATTTTGGCAGTGAATCATTCGACGTAGCAGTAGACTTTGAACTCGGAAGAGTCGCGAGCGATGAATTCGCGTTCGATGAGCGCCTCGATCCGCTGCTTCACCGTCGAGGTGCCGATCACACCGCATCGATCTTTCATCTCTTCCAGGACCTGTAGTTCAGTCTTAATAACTCCACGGATGCTTCAATTCGAATATTGAGTCACATCGAATCGAGAAAATCGTCGTTTCCATTACAAGCAGAACTTTATGGAGGCTGGAGTGGCACCTATAGGGGTTTAGGAAAAAAAACAGCCCCTATATTTTCATTCAAATAACGCTAATTCATTGAGTTTTTTCGCATGGAAATGCTTCTTTTCAGATCATGACAAAAACTATCATGTCCTTCCGCTGTAAGGACCACTTTTGCAAGCTTTCATAGATTCTATAGGAGGATGTAAAGTGGTCCCTAGAGAGGGCGAACTCTGTAGTTCCTAAAAATGAAATGCATTTTTTCCACGTAGATCACTGGAGGTTCCTCTTCAGGAGCCTCTCTATCTCCCCTATAGAAACCATAAAAAGTGGCCCCTATAGCGTAAATGCTAGTTTATTTTTAAAACGGAAAAGAAGCATTTTCCCACGAAAAACTCAATGAATTAGCGGTATTTGAATGGAAAATGAATGAATTAATCGTTTGTCTTTTTGATTTACACATTTGAAGTATGTCAAAAAACCCTATAGGGACTACTAGATTGATAAGTTAAATGAGGAAAAAGTTGAAAACCCAAACATTTGCTATAAGTTCGTCGTGGTTCATTTTTCGGTTGCGTTTCATCAGGCGTACGATACAGGCTTCCACTTCAAACTTTCTATCGATTTCGGTCTTAAAATAAAAATTAAACGATGGCTCAAAGCTCTCGGCAAGAAATGCTCTAAACCCTCATTTCTTAATGAGATCACGAAGCATACGCCAGAATGTACTCACCTTTTCGCGAGTATCAGCGGCTTTGTCACTTTGATGATAAGCGGCAACGGCAGCCACCTTGACGACGTCGGAACTCGACTGAAACTGTTCGTTCACGCTGAAGACGTCGTTTGCATCTGTAGTAGGAGAAAGCGATAGTTTGAGCTGGGCGCCACGAACCAAAGTCGGTCGATTTTTTGCTACTGCTGATGAGCACGTTCTGACCTTTGCAAGTGAGAGCAACGAGGTTTCTGCCAAGGTCCTTCACGCTCATTTTTGTCGACTCCTGGACTTGATCCTTTATGGTTATAGACTGCGGAAACGCACCAAGAGCTCTTTGAACGTCCAGTTGTTTTTCAGATTGAACTGCAGCAAGACAAGCATTTGCAGCGTACTTGTGGAGATGGTCTTTTGACGACTCTCTCCGACTTCCTATTTCCTTGAAGCTATTAGAACAAACAGAGAAATGACTTGCAGGTTCAAAATTCGCTAGGAGACTCGCATATCCAGCCGACCGGCACAGCGTCAATTTCCGTCCCTTGTGTTTGCTCGTATAAAAATTGCTGAATTCCTGCAATCACATAAGAATTCAATTTATCGCTAGCCTTGACAAATCCGGAGATTACCTGAAATATGGGCGAGAGCTGAGGAGATAAGACATAGTCATCTGTGTAGAGCGGCCAGACTCCTGCTGTGGCGACCCGGATATTGAACTTGATGTTTCGAATCTGCAATAATTCGAAGAACTGGAAGAATGCGCACGGGAACCTGAGAGTGGAGTTTGCAGTGCTCCGAGTACTCGTCATTCATCTTCTGCCAGGTTTCCACATCTCGAAGCATATGTTCCATTTTCTGCGTAAACTGGAACCCGCACTCTGTTCTCAGCTTTGTCACGACGGCCTTTTCCAGTTCGTAGCAGGTACTTGTGCCCGAGAGTAAGCGTTTCGCCAGGGATTTTTTGTAGATTCTCAATAAAAGAAATAATGGAAAGTTTGGAAATTTTGCCAGTGCTACGTTGGTTATGGGTTTCATACCAGTAATTTAGTAATTAACTAGCTCGGGCAAAGTCGGAATGGTGATTAAGAGCCGCAGAAAGACACCAAAAAGGCAGCAAAGAGAGTCCCTTTATCGAGTCTTTCATTTTTCTCGGATTTTAAAGGCTCGAGAAATAAGGGAGAAAGGGAGAGGCAGCAAAAATGGTACATATGGGCTGAGAAAATGAAGAAAAAAGGCAGCACAAAGGGAGCCTTCACCGCCCTGAAAAAACATTTCTATGGAGCCTTACAGAAGCCTTTATGACCCTCGGAGGGTCCTTTCGCCTTTGCCTATGAGTAATGTACAACTTTCTTTTTGATTACTGAAACACGACTGCAAGTCAATTAGAACTCAAAAAAAAACTTCACATATGAACAATAACTTTGCTACAATTAAAACATTTTCCTGGCAGGGGTGTTACTCGGCAGAATTATATACAAAATTTATACCATTTCAGAGGAGGGGATTCAGACATTGAAACTTGTAACAAAGAAAAAAAAAATCAACTATTAGACAGTTCCTTGTTACCTTTCAAAAACATCTTTTTCATGAATGAAGCGAAACAGAAAGGTGCAGCTGTTCACTTCGAGCGGAAGATTCCCGCCAGCCTAAACCTTGTCAGAAACTGTAGGACGACAAGTGCTGACCGACCGAGGACTTGAGCAGGAAGTCGAGGTAGACAGCAAAGTACTCGGCGACCTGACGACAACGGTTCACGAGCACCTCAAACTCCTCGTTGAGTCTGGCTACGAATTTGCGATCGCCGGCAAACGACGTCGCGCACATTCTCTCACAGTTCTCCTTCACCTCCAGCAGCTTCTGGAATCGAAAAACCCTGATTTTCTTCTATTTTCTTTATTTTTTCGAAACAAAAAAACGATTGCCACTCACGCGAATGAAGTTTATTGGGTTGTTCAAACATTCTCTCATCTCTTCTTGTCCGATTTCCCGTAGCTTTCTGTATAAATCATTTTTTTAATGAAAAAGATGTTTTGAAAAAAACTAAAAAAAGCATGCAAAATTCTTAGGGTTCAATTTTTCTCACGCCCCGCTTTTCACAAAGGTGATAGTCGCAAATGAAAAAGCTTAACCTCAACCACTGTGATCCTTCTTCAGACCAAAAAAAAAGTTTTCTAAGAAAAAACATCGATAAATTGAAAGTTTTTTAAATCCTGGCATGACAAAAAAAATATTTCGAAATCTACTCACTTTCCCGTTTCGTCGACAAAAAAGGAAAGACTTTCGATCCCCGTGAAGAAGCTGTACAACTCGCTCATTTCGTTCATCTGAAAAGATATTCTCCGAGACCAGATGAAGCTTTTTCTTAAAGAATCAGTTGTGTACAAACCATTGACCGTTTCAAGCATTTTTGACAAATCCGAGAGGAGAAAACACAAGAACCTTCTGTTCTCATTGATTATTTTTGGCGTATACCTGAAATTATATAATTTTAGTTTGAAATTTCTTATCTTAAACTTTTGCCATTCTTTCGGCGGTCTCTTTCCCAAAAGCTTCCGAAACAAGTTTACCTTCATTAAACATTTTCTCTTGGATCTCAAAATGTTCTGATTAGTCATAATTCATGTTCAACTATCACCATCTTCAACGTCTTACATGTTCCTTTTCCAGAATTGGAAACCTCGCCAATCATTTTTCCAATCAACGTTTGCATCTTCTGTGAAGAATTATATAAATCTGAGAACATGTTTTTACAAACTTCAAGAAAGGCGTTTTTCGAAAACTTCTGTGAAAAAAATTGATGATCGCCGTTGCCAATTTCAACAATTGTTCGAGTAGATCTTTTGAGTAAATTAATTCTGAAATTTGAAAGAACACCCCTCAACATTTTTTCAGCATCATTCAAAATTTCTGAGTATAAAAACTGGATATTATTTCCAGACCAGCATATCAGAACGTATTTTTGTCTAACAATACGAGTATGAAAAAACTTTTTCTGGTCAGGGTTTTTACGGAGCAAAGTGTAAACGTCAATCATCACATTTCGTATGAACAAGACAAGATTGTTTTCGAGAAGAAACTTTCTGAAAATCTTAGAATGACCGGAATACTTCGTCATAGAAAACCTTAATCGTTTTTTATAAAGGACGTTGATCGACTCCGCGTTGGTGAGGTTACAGAAATGCTGGTCGGTTTGTTCACAAATAGTAAGGATTTTTTTCTGGAAAAGAATGGTAATTCGTACCGAATAAGTCCGTCCTACCAGTTTAACTCTGTGAACTGCCCACATGTTCGTGAAAGCGTCTAATGGACAGAAATCCCACGTCTCCCTATCCCGTTTCAACTGAAACGTGTAACAGCGAGATGCTCCTGCTCAATGCCAACCTCTTCCTGCAGACAGAGGGACAAATAGTTTTGCAAGTCGTCCCGTACAGTTGCAACGTGGCCACTCATGCCCTGCAACTCATCAGCAGCCGAAAGACCCTATTTCCAACCAAGACGTAGAGATTCTGGCGGAGTTCGTCGAAAGAGTGCTCGCCCTCGTTCTCAAACAAGACGTCCATCATCCATTCGCGAACTTTTTTCAGTTTGAAGTCGACGTAATCGTAGTTAACATTGCTCTGGAAACCGAAGATAGACTTCGACTATTCTTTTTATTTTAGCCACCAGATACTTCTAGAGTTCTTTGGACCTTACTGAAAAAGAAACAAAATTTCAAAGTTGAGACACACACTATTCAACGGAACACAGCAATTTGACAAGAAATGAGATTTTCTTCTTAGAACCCTAAAAATCAGCAATGAAGGCAAGTTTGAGTACTTACACTGTTTTTGAGGTTAAAAGTGGTCAGCATCTGTTGGAACGAATCTTCTGAATTTCTATAAAAAAAAAAAACAATTGCAAACTCCAGTTAGGAGAGAAAAAAACTTGATTGATTCGATGGTAGATGCCATTTCGAGTGATGTCCAATGTCCAAGTAAACGGAAATGGCTAACCTTACGAACATTACGCGATAATTCTTGACGTATATTACTTTTCTCGGCACTTTAACATGACATCATGCTGTTCTTTAAAGGGACAGGTGGTCGGGAGCGTCAAACCGGATCGCCGCAATCATTTTTATCAAAAGCAGCAGATTCTCCAAGCTGGGTTGGCTGCAAAATAATCGGAAAAATGCTTGAGTCTTTCTCTCTCATTTTTGTGGCATGAAACAAATTGCAATTTTTCTGATATATCATGGTATTTCAAATCTTTCTTATACTCTAATACTGAACAAAGATCACAGACTTGAATTACGAGATTTTTTTCTCGTTCGACTACTCTGCAGCAACCTATTTAATCAACCTGAAATCCGATCGACAAGCAAATCAACAGAAAACTAGTCGCCTGATGACGGGAACGGTTGGAGGCCATTTTCTGAAGTCACGCATTACAGCGTGGCGCCCTTTCTCGTCTCGTCATCTACTCAATCGCCACCGATGAAGCTGATGCTGCTCTTTTCGACTTTTTTTCTGCTTCTTAGCTTGGTCCAGGCAACTCCAACTCCTAAGATGTGTTCCTCATTTGCCAATTTTGTCTCAAAGTTTGTTTCTTTTTTTTGTTGTTTTTCATCTTCTACAAATATTTTTGAACCAGGCCGACGATATGAACTACATACACCGTGAAAAGCCATACATGCAAAACCCTGTTTATTTTAATAACAGTGATGATAATGATAATAATAGAAGTTTATTCAAGCGCCCCACGGTGTGAACTCGACTCAAAGGCCAAAAATCCTGAAGGAAACTTCTTTTTTTCTCCGAGTTCTCAAAACTACTTCTCAAAAAAAAGAGATGTATTTCTCAAGTTGCGTTTATTTCAACTAAAAATTTTTAAATTATATTATTTAACATCTAACTTGATTTTTCATATAAACTGGAAAGAAAGCCGTTAAAAACAGAAAAAAGAATGTACCGTACTAATTCTCACACTGTAATCAACGTTTCTATATTTTTTGTGGGCTATCCTTTCAATGCAACGACAAGAGCGTGTTTTACAATATAGCTTTTTTTTTCAAATAGCTTCTCTGAGTTTTGAGTTGTAAATCAAAATGGGGAAAACGCGGAATTGGAAAAGGCGTTCTTGCCGTAGCACCTTCCTTTTCATATTTTTCTCCAAACACCAAAATACCTGTCAAATCGAAAAAAGAAAGAAAAAATGCAGATTCGTTCAAAAAACAAATTATCAAAGAAAATCTTGAGATGGCACTCGGATCCTGTGACTCTCTTGTCGTGGTCGAGAAGAAACTGTGACAAAATTCATCCGAGACCAGCAGACATGTCTTGCGATGACATTGTTCAGGTATCGTATCAGAAATTTTAATTCGAATGTTCATTCATTTCTCTTTTTGCATTTTCAGTTTGTATCGGATTGCAATTACGGGGGCACTATAGAAGCTGACCAGTCCGTGCAACCTGTCGCCGCTTCGTATCCAGTAAGTCAGTTTTCCTTGAAGCCCAAGAAGGAAAAGAAATTTCAGCCCGTTTACAATTTACCCAAAGTACTTCCCAAGTACATTTACTACAATTCTCGGACAGCAAGCGACTATGGACAATTTGGAAATTGGTTTAAACGTCCAAATGCGGTTTGTAAAATTTTTATTTGAGGTATTACCCAAACTATTATCCTCCGACGTATTTGGGATACTACGATGGTCGTCCGGCTAGTATTGCTCAGCTAGAAAACGACTATTCTTTCGCTAGAGGCGGTCACTATCCTTTCAACAGGTGAAAATAATTGGCTGATCAATTAAAAAAAATTAAGGAAATTGAAACCGCGTGTGCCGTTCTGCGGGAAGGGCTAAAATTTGCGTCAGATATAGATTGCAATCACTGAGGAACTTGATTGAGGAAGGTCGTATTACAGAGCTGACAATATCGTGAACATTGGACTTCAACAAACCTCACTTCCTACATGCCTCCATGATCTGTTCTACTGCGTTCGAGCCGCCAATAGTCAAAATGCCGGCCAATATAACGTATAACTTCACTTCTGAAATAATTTAAAGTTGAATTTGGAGAGCTACCGAGAATACGCGATACAGCAAGACGCTCGGGCCCGAGAAGTCGAACGGCGACAGCGGAACAAAGACAGCGACTGACCGCAAGAAAAAAAAAATGACCAACAATTCTTTTTTTATTGAATAGTGTATTCACGAACAGCTAGGACAGACTTTTCAAGACGCGAGAGAAGTGAAAAAAAAACTACTTGTCAGTTCACGTTAAAAAGACTCATCTTTGGTTTCGTAGCAAAAAATTTAAAGCCCTTTCGCACTGATTGAAAGAATATTTCAAGCTGTTGAATTGCCATAATAAAAATATTATTACAGGAAGCTCATTTTTTTTCGCAAAGATAGTATATATATGGAACATAAATCGGGGCTTTTCTAGTGAATCCTTCAGTAGCATCAGCACTCTTAATTCTCAGATACTTTCGGAGCGCGTCCGTTTCGCGTTACCTCTACAAGAAGCGTGCACGGTGCGAGCACTGATTTTGCACTTTTTTGTTGCACGGTGCATGTTGTCGTTTTGCACCTCGCAATTTGGGTCTTTTTCAGTGCGCAGAGGTGCAACACCATACGGTGCTGACAGTCTGGACCACAAAACTAAACATGCTTTGCTACTCAATTTAGGCCTTTTCTTTCTTCATCATCCGACTTTTCTAACGAAAAAAATCATCACTAAAACGAAAAAAAGTATAAATAACATGTAGAATAGAAATGGACTGAATTGACAGGATTTCGAATACGCAATTTTCTGATTCGGAGTGTCAGCACCGTGCGGTGTTGCACCTCTGCGCACTGAAAAAGACCCAAAATTGCGAGGTGCGGAACGACAACATGCACCGTGCAGCAAAATAGTGCAAAATCAGTGCTCGCACCGTGCAAGCTCCTTGTAGATACCGAAGTCCTATAGCAGGCTTGTGCGTCAGGTCGGGCTTTCAGCCTTATTTTTGAGAAAAAGTCTGCGCGGGATTGGTCCAGGCCATGCTTCAAAAAAATTTCCCCCGGAAAATTATTTTCAATTGTTAAATCACAGGCTCTGTTGAACCAGGTGAAAAAAAAGCAAAAACATGGCTTTTGTCGTAAAAAAAAAATTGATATCGGACTTGAAGAAAATTTGAGCTTTTTGGGCCTGAGGCCGGGTTCAGAAAATGACCTGGGGCCGAGAAGCCCAAGCGCCGGCCCTCGCACAAGCCCGCGGGTCGGAGGTCTCGCATTTTTTGTCACACAAACACAAACACAAAAAAAAACATGCACAAAATGCATTGTGCATTGTGTGCAGAAGCGTGAATCTGAGTAAATTTACGAGGTGATATTAGCCTTTTGCGCTCCAGTGCACTTTTTCAGCTGGCACTCCGACGCACTATTGCACACTCCAAATTTTTTTTTTTCATTTCAGAAATTTGCAATTTCTAGACACGCCTGTTTAAGGTGGCCGGTCGTATTACGGTAGTTTAAATAGGTTTCTCAATAATAAAATGAAATCTTGTGTACTTTATGTGACGTAACTTACCTTGTAACCTCGAGAAATGGGTCTTTAACAAATTTCGAAAAAGAAAGAAAATTAAAAAAATTTCCTGGCTCCGAAACTGACTGCGCAATATTGACCGGCCGCCGTGGTACTGTCTCAAACATGCGTGTTCTAAATAATAATCATTGAAAAGATTAAAATTTCGTCAGTTGGAAAAAATAGGATGTGATAAATCATGTCTGGACGTGTTGGAGCGTCTCTAAAGTTGCTCAAATACGTGCTCAGATAAAAAAGCAAGTTTTCCTCAAGTGCAACATCACCTTTTTTCCGACAAAAATCATGTTTCTGGTTTTTTTCATAGTTAAAGTTCAACAAAAACTACGAACTTGAAAATATACATTTTTCGGTGAGAAATATGAGTTTGGATACAATATTTTTACAGAATTAAGTTTCAATTTTTTTAAATTTTTTTAAAACTTGGCCTGGCCCAAGTTTGCGCAGGCTTTTTAGCAAAAAAATTATATGGCGATCGGTCAATATTGCGCCGTCAGTTTCGGAGTCAGGAAATTTTTTTGATGTTTTTTCTTTCTCGCAGCTTGTTAAGGACCTATTTTTTGAGGTTACAAGATAAGGTATGTCACAAAAATCACATACGCTTTCATTTAATACCCAAAAACCTATACCGTAATCCGACCAGCCGCCTTGAACAGGCGTGTTTTTTTATCAAAAAATTATTTTCACGTTGCATTGTCTGTCAAAAGTTATGGAAAGAGACGGAGGCCGATAAGTTGACAAACTGGACCTCGCAAAAGCCTGGCTAGCCTGCTTTCAACAGTTGTCAATCAGTTTTGAATGCCGTGTTCAAAGTAATTTCGGCGATTTCAAAATAGACGCGTTATTCGTTTAAAATAAATTCACGAAATAGGCAGAATTGCTATTCCGAGAATGGCAAGAAAAAATGAGTCCATATTTAACGATATATCGTTAAATATGCATTTTTACCGTAATTTCTTCGCGGGAACTCAAAATTTTGGAATTATTTGGGCATTTTCTACTGAAATTTCAAATTCGCGCGTAAAACTCACCGTAAAAATGCGTATCCAACGATATATCGTTGTAGGACTCACCTTCCCAGAATACCAATTCCCCCTATTTCCCGAAATCATTTTAAACGAATAACGCGTTTATCTTGAAATCGCCGAAATTACTTCGAACACGGCAGAACAAACGATATTTTCATTCTTTGTACTAGTGTAGAGCGATTTCAGTCATTGTGAATTGACTGTTATTTTATTTTCTCCTTTGCAGTTCAACACAGAAAAAAACCCTCAGCTGCTTTTTAGAGCGTTGGGCTGGTACCTGGGGCCTCACAGTTGATCGAACTCCGTCCGTCATGGATTTAGTGTCGTCGAATCTCCGTGGATTAGTCAAAAGAAGTTCGTTGAATGCTTCCTGCAATAATTTCAACATTGAAAAAAGAAAGTCGTATTTAACGAATCGAAATATTTGACTGATTAGCTATGTGAAGTCGTGAGAAAGTTAGGGAACCTTCATCCAATCAGAAAGAACTAACTATGCGGTGCGCTAGAGCTCCGCTCGGCCTTGTCAGAACTAAGAATCCTAGACGCCGAAAGCCGTGACGGCATTTTTCGTGGGGGTCCCATCATCGCTTTGTCAGCATCGCGCTGCCAACAGTTTGTGCTTCGGCCACCGGAATGGGCTTCGGCGTGACTTTGCGTATCCGATTCGCAAGCAAAAAGGATCGGCACTCCGGGAGTCCCACGGGCCTAATCTACTAGCGCTTACAACTCAGAACCTTATTTTGGAAATTAGAAGTTTTTGGAAGTCAAAACTCATCTTGACGTTGAATGCAGAAGCCAGGCGACTCGTGAGGGAAGCGGAAATGATATTTGAACGCAGGTCATAAAAGAAGAAATGACACGTTGCCACGTGGTTTTTTGTAAGTGTTAACTTTTCCGATATTAGGAAAATTAAACACTGCCACGGCGTTCACGTTTTTTTTTTTGCAGAGAATGAAGTTTATATTGTAAATAAATTTCTGGGTCCAATGACGTGAAAGGCAGAGCTAGTGGAGACACTAAAAAAATTTTAAAGTTTTTTTAAATTTTTGGGCTGTTTAGTTTTTCGCGGTATTGTATTTTGTCCTTCTGTAGAAACATAATTCGTGTAACTTAGAGCCAAGTTGACTTTGCTAATGCCGTTTGAGGTTTTTTTATTATATAAATAATCTGAATTACATTATTTTTTTATAGTTTTTGATGATTTTTGATGTTTAACATAATCATACAAGGTTTTTTTAAATTTCTGCTCTCTATCTATTAATTGTCTTTCTGATGGTAAGTTTTCAAGTTATATAAAAACATTTCTTTTTTTTGAAGTGCTTCTTGAACTGTTTCGAACCGGGCAGGCGTATCGCGATAGTGTCAGTAGTCTATCAAATGGTCTGAAGCCTAAAGATAGTACCACGGTTATACTATGCAAAATTATAGAAAAATGCGATAGACTTGCGGTATACCACTCGGAAATACCGGTAGAGCTCCGATAGTGCTGAAGTATATGCCTGAGGTATGACGATGAATATTTTGTTATACCATTCCCATACATTTTGAAGTATATGTTCGGTATATTTTTATTACCTGTCCCCGATTCGTCTATGGCCGGCCGGACTTTGGGCCATATTTTTGAGAAAAAGGCTGCGCGTGCTTGAGGCCAGTCCAGTCCTCGATTCCCCGAAAAATTATTTTCAAATGTTAAATCATAGTCTCTGTTGAACCCGGTGAGAATAAAAATTAAAAACATGACTTTTTTCCTAAAAAAGATTGGTATTAGACTTGAAGAAAATTTGAGATTTTTGTGCATGAGGCCGGGTTTAGAAAATGGCCTGGGGTCGATAAGCCGACGGGCCGGCCCTCGCTCAAGCCTCCGGGTCGAAGGCCTCTCACAATGTCTGCGTGTGCAGAAGCGGATCAGGATGTTATAAAGCTTAATTAAGCTTAAGCCTGAATCCGAGTAAATTTACGGGGCGGTATGGGCCTTTTGCGCTCCAGTGCACATTTTGAGCAGACCCAGCGCGCTCTCTCACGCTCCCCCGTCTGGCGCGACTTTGCGGCGAGGATTTCGCAGGCTTGCGCCGTGAATTGCGCGAGTATGTGCACATGTTAGCCGCAAGCTTGCGCGTAGAGGCGCAAGGGTTGCGCGAATTATCCATGGAGCACGCATTCGTGATATCCTTTTTCCTTTCTCCTCCTCGTCCTTCCTCTTATTTTTCCTCTTTTTGAGTTACAACGCTCAAAGGTCGCCTGTATTTTTATTTAACTCAAGCTTTTTTTCTATTTATCCATAGCATTGAATTTTTTCAGCTTGATTTAAACAAAAAAATACAAGCAACCTGTGAGTGTCGCAGCTCAAAGAGGCTGAACAAACACAGAAAACTTGGAAAAAAACTATATTTATTTCTAAAATGAACTAATTTTTACACTTTACAACAATTGAAGTCTTTAAGATGCATTGGATTTCATGGTATCAATCAATAATGAAAGGAAAAAGATAACGTGAGAATGGTAAAATTTAAGCTATGTTTAATAATTACAATGACTCGAATTATTTCCAGTAATAAAACAACCGGGGGGTTTTGCAAAATAGTAAGATTCAGAAGACCCGGAAGTTCAGAAACAGAGAAAAAAAGTGAAACATGGAACAATTTCAAAACGCAGAAATATCAAAAAAATACATCATGACATACAATAAAAAAATTTCCACTTGCAAGAGTTCTGATACTTCAATCTAATGAAAAGTAGTATTATAAAAAGTATTTTTTTCAAATCTTTTTCTGTGCAGTTTAGTGAGCCTATTTCTCTGCAAATTTTGAAACCCAGTAGGTAAACTTTTTGTTTTTCAAGCATCCCTATCCAGGTCTATCTAAAAAAATGTTGCAACTCAACTTGCAAACAAGTGCCTGCGTAGTTACCTGGTAAGGGCTAGGTAAAATATAATTACAAGTAGCTTGAATAATTGATCGCGCATAACGATTTCCAGTATAGTCTCGACTTTTTCAGAAAAACTACATGAAATTATGATGTTCATATTCTTGCAAGTGGGTTTTTCAACAATATAAAGATGTGTACAGTTGCGCTAGCAGAATCTCGATAGTGTTGAACACAATTTCTTCCTTCATTCATCCATTAGCCTCGGAAAAAGTCTTCTAATAAGGGCCTGCGAATCGATGGCTTGGGACGTTACGCAGCGAACGTTCCATCGCTCTCATCTAAAAACTTTTTTCAAAGATAAAAAAATAATCAAAATTACTTTTTATTCGCATATTTCGAACCAGGGTGGAGGAACCTCTTTCTTTTGACCATCATCGTGTCGAAAAATTCGGCGTATCATAGCTGAAGTTTTATAGTTGCTTTTTTTCACTTTATACGATTTTTTTGTTAAAATAAAAAAACATATTTTTTTGTTAAACAATCACATGATTATCAGGGTCCCTTTAATTTTTTTATATGAACAGATATTATATCTGGTACACTGCGTCCAATAAGGATAGGACCACCCTCGATCATGGACTTTTCGGCGAATCCAGAAAAATATATCAAAAAAATCTGTTAAAGCCATCCGATTGAGCGTAAAGAATTACCTATGGAACCCAAGTTTCATCATAATAGCCATTTTATTAATATTAATCCATCACAAAATCGTCTTTTTTTGACTCTGATAAACTTTTTTTCGAAATCTCTTCAAGTTTTTCTGTATATATCCTTATTATAGACGTAGTGTACAGCTTTGGATTGTACCAAGAACATAAGAGAAATAATGAAATGTTATTCGAAAAACTACAAACCTCAACATTGCAAACTTCCATATATCATGTTCACCACTCCATGAGAATCTTATTGTTGAACTCTCTCTTCATTAGATCTGAAAAATTCAGTATTACAGCTAATACAAAGAATATCGAACTCACTTTTTTGTAATTTCTGGAGTTAATTTTTAAGAAAAATAATCAAAAAAAACGTCTTCGCTAGGAAGAAAAACAAAATAATTACCTTTCTCAAAGTATAATCGGATAAACCAATACATCGAATCTCTCGAAAAAGATACGTTTCGACGCGTCGCATACAAATATGAAGTCAACTAAAAAAACGATGATGATAAAATTTCATTTATAAAAAAACCAGAAAAAAATATATAGAAAAAAAGAAAACATAATTTAGGAAAATAGAAAACATAGACGAAACAGTTTCGGAATTACTGTAAATGAGTTTGTGAGCTCTAAAGCAGCCCTCCCATAGCGCAAGCTTGCGCCCTGTATTGCGCGAGGTTCGCGCAAATTTTAGCGCTGGGTTTTTCTTGGCGCAAGCCTGCGGAACTTAAATCTCTCGCCGCAAAGTCGCGCCAGACGGGGGAGACGTCGCTCGGACCTTCTCAGGCACTGGTGCGCGCACGCGGGGGGGTACTGATTCTTTTTTCGCCTTTTCCACTGAAATACAGTTTTGAAATATAATTTTCATATTTTTGTCACACTACCCAGTGCTCCTGCTCACGTTTTAAAGTTGTTCCGAGCACTTTCTAACACATTTATGAAAAAAACAATTGTCAAGGGAAACTTTGTTATTTCAAATTTTTGGGCGTTCTAATTGTTATAAACTGGTGCAGAGCAATGATAGAAGATGAACAGACATGAAAAATATTAAATTTATAACTTTCTAGTTAGTTAAAAAACCAAAAAATAAAAAAGACACCCCGCGCGTGCGCGCAGCAGGCGCCGCGCACGCGCACTTTTGGCAACAAACACGCGCCGTCAGTGCTTGAGTTGCTAACGGGAACGGGACGCGAATCGGGCGTGTCTGGGCATTTCTAGTCGCTATCTCAGTAGCCTCAGCGATCTTAAGTGATCCCTAGATTTGCCCAGAAACGCCCGGAGCACATCCGTTTCGCGTTACCAATGTCCGAGTCAGTCAAATCAAGAATAATTTGCATGTCCTTTTTCAGGAAGGTTTTTCCAAATTGTATTTTTATGCAGCAAACTAAATACTTTACGATCTTGGTTTTCGAATTTCGCGGTTTGAAAATTTTCATTTTTTTTTTTAAAGGGGCGGGGGGCGCTCCGAGTTTATTGCTGATTTGAGTGGAAAAACCGATGTCTACTTAATAATTTTTTTTTGCGTTCCAAAATAACTTTGAACTGCTAGTTAGAAACTTTATTTCAATCCTCCATGTCGTTTTTTTTTTGTGATTTGCACGAAATGATCCGTTGAAATCATAGTGGACGCGTCCATTTTGAATTTTACCCACAAAAATAAATTTCGAGATATAAATATTTTTTTTGAAGGTAATTGACCGATGTCTACGATACTGAAGGAAGATGTAAGAAACTACGACTTGAATTTGGAAAGAATCGACTTTGAAATACGAATGGAGAAGATACGACAGAATTCCACCAAGCTATCGTGGGATGGGTTCACTTATTCTGTTCGGCGCAATTTGTTGGTTGGTTTTTGATCATCATATTCATAGAAAAGATATTATTCAGGAAAAGAGAATAGGCTTTGATGCAGAAGGAAGATTGGATGTTCTTCAAGCTATTTCGAACATGACGAAAAGAATGCCTGGTATTTAATTTTTTTTTCATAATGAAATCAATTATCTTCCTTAGTGGATGGCGAAAAAAGTTTATTACATCAACTGCGGCAGCTTTGCGCAAGCCTTGAGTAAGTTTTATATATTTTTTTTCTTGTTTGGAACGTTAAATTCTCAGATGCAGCATAATAGAATACAGCACGGGTGTAGCATTCAAAGGCTCTGATCTGACTATTGAGTTGGGAATGGAGGAGGACGAAGTTTTCTTTGATACTTTAGTTGTTACTTATTTTTCATTTCCCAGATTTCTGTATGCAAAATATCTTATTGGGACGGTCCTCTGGATGAAACGAACCTTGGGCTGGCCCTTCTGAGGAATAGAGACATAAACACGTTCCGTTCAGCGGTTTTTTCCATCCTCAACATCATGCCTGCCGGCGTGACCAGGTAATCTCCAACCTCCATTTATGGTTCAAAAAAAAAAGGTTCCAGCGAGTGCAAAAAGATATGCAAAGAGGCGTTCCGTGCACTAGAGCAGCATTTGATGCTTCATGCGAATGAGCCCTCGTTCGAGGCTATCAATTCTTCGCCTTACGGTTTCTACAGTCCCAGAACTCCGCTCCGCCCTGGAAGACTCTACTTTGTGGTCGAACCTTCTTTCACACAAAGAGTGCACGGTTTGAAAACGCACGCCGACCTTGCTGGTATTTCTCACAAGACTTTTCTTGTTTATTGTCCGCATTCAGACCTCGAGAACTTGCCTTACCTGGAGCTGGCATTCATTTCTACAGATCGGGAATACCTTTTACCTCGATATTCTTCTAAGTAAGTGTTTTCAACGAAGCATCCAATCTTATTCGTTAAAAAAAAGATAAAACAGCTAGAATCAGAAATATTTTTCAATTGAATGTAGGAATCTTTGATTTTGGCTCTTACCTGAAGACGCCAACGTATGAAAATTACCTATTGAAAGTCTAAAGTTTTTGGACTCTACATTAACTTACGGTTTCGAAATTTTAGTATTAACATTCATGCATCTGGCGATGCGTTCGTTGTCCTGTTTAAGTTTTCATAATTTGAGCTCCAATTATTCTTTTTTTTTCAGTGGAGTCTGGGAAAACTTCCAAAAAGCAAATGTGTGCTTGTGTCTGCGGTTCTCGAGTGCCATGCTTTTCTCGCAGACCACCCAACGGCTTCTGGAGCCGTACGTCGCTCGCTCTGCGCTAGTTCGCCACTACTGCAATCTATACCGATACATGGGAAACCGCGAAAATATGGTCGGTTTCGAAGGAAAGTTCATAAAATGAATGACTTTTTTGCAGACGAAGAATTTGATCCTGAGGACGCGTCTTCCAGAAGATTTCATACAACATCGTTACGAAGTGGACGCACAGTCTCTGAAAAACGAAAACGATCCTGTGGTTGTGGAGATGTACCTCAAAGATTTCCGTCAACTGAACGAGGTTTCTTCTGTTTATCAGAACGATTTCATCCAATTTAAATAGGTCGTTGCGATCATACGGAGTGAATGGCGACACAACAGTCTGTGGGAGTCGATTTTGGCGATGAGCTATGGAGAATGGCGAGGCAGCGACACTCTCAGAATCTTGACCGTTCCAACAAGACGACGGTTCGAGTTCGCCTTCCCCGTCAGCTCGACTCTCATCAAAGGTTGATTAATTCACTCTGTCAAAAGTTATTTTCGAGTGTGACAGTTGTGATCGAGGAAGGAGAACGTTGTCAATGGGTAATCAGAACGACGACCTACGATGGCCTGCCTGTCAGCAAAGAACTGGACTTCGTGATGACCGAGAGACTTGCCAGGTTTCTTCTTCATCCTTCTCTTACCGTGGGGAAATTCAAAACTATCATGAACGTTTGTTTTTTCGCTCACATACAGATTTCTGTGGTGTAGAACCAGGATAAACTTGGATTAATTTTAAGCTGAGTCAAAAGAAAATTATTTACGAACGAGTTGAATGATTATGTGATATTTTCAGCCTCCGTATTAAAAGTCTAAATCACTAGTCTTTGAAGTTTTCGCAAGATTTTTATCTTTTGTACATTTATTTTTGCTATTAGGGATAAAATGTCGCTCTCAATTGCTTTTTTTCCTTAAGGAATAGGCTTTTTCAGAGAGAATGATGATTACAAAGCTTTGACACTCATCAAAAAAAATTTTTTTGATTTTATTTGATTAATTACGTGTTTATCCTGCGGATGGCTGTTAAAAAAAGGCCTTTTATTGATCTTTTTGATGATTTATTTGAGAATTTGAGTTGCATCAATGTGAAAAAGTTTTTCTGGGACTATAGTTTGGTAAATAAAAAAAGAAGCCTTTGTTCATTTTTCAAATTCAGAATAAAATGAAAAAAATTCGTTTTGATCAAAAGGACGTTAGAGACTGGTCATTGATGCACATAGGGAATGCGTTTTGCAGTAATCTATTGTTGTCTTTTTTTCTGAATGAACTAACTTTAATCGAAAGGCTCATTTTTTTTTTTACCAACCTAATACTTCACATCAAAGACACGTCAGAAAAAGGGTGGGAAATTTGTAGCGAGAACTACAACGTTTGTTGTCCGTCCCAGAAAGATTCTTTTTATTCTGAATATTTTTTCTCTTTCAGGTCGTGGAGCATTCCGTGCACTCTAGCCGTAGCTGTGCAAGAGCTGGGATGCGTCGCGTCGCCAGACGCGCACGAACTGAGCGAGAGCTTTGACCAGCTCAGCAGCTCTCTTAATTGTGTCAAATCGAAACGTGTTGTTATGGATAAAGTTGGTAGCGCGTGGTTGAATGCACCGGCACTGAATAAGAGCGACTTTTGCTCCCTCGCGAAGCCCAAGTACGAGATGGACGGCTCGGCCGAGTACGGAGGACTGCTCGCCTCTTTCAAAGAGGTCGATGAGCAGTTCAAGGTGGCGCCGCCCTTGCCCCGTGCCGAGTTCCGCGGAAAGCGGATCCAGTCCGATAATACCATCTCAGCCAACGTCTTCTCTGACTTGGTTTGTCTATTTGTGATTTTTCGCCCACTTTCGAGGGCTTCTGTTTGGGTGGAATTGGGAGAAAAGTCATGTACATGAAATATACTTTTTTTTTTGCTGAAAAGGTTCTCGCGTTTGCGAGGCATGTGTCCAGTTAATTAATTCTTCTTTTTAATTAGAAAAAAAGACAAAAAGTATGTTCTTCTATTCTAGTTTGCTAATACCAAAAGGGAATCATACAGAAGTTTTTCGAAAAACGAATCAATTTTTTTGATCTAAAGTAATTAAAAAAAGAACCGATGACATACTATCATCGTTGGATTATAAAGATAAAAATAACGCTATTCTTTGACTTTTCTCTTGGTAGATAATCGTTTTATGATCCATGACATCATTACTTTTAAACGGCTAAACAGTGCTATTAACTTTTTTCTAACCGAAGAAGTGTCTCTGAAGGCCTAGAAAGCGTTTTGAAAAAAAAACTGTAGCCTAAGACTGAAAATTGGATTTAGGAAAAAATACGGCAGCTAGCAGAAACGGTCGAAGACGATGGTCTTAGTAGCAGTGGGCCGATGTTCGGCTCACGAATGAGTCTCGACAGCCCTGCTATCCCACTTCGGCCTTCCAATCTAACACAGCTTAGCCCATTGGAGAGCGCACGTCTCAAAATGGCGGTACGATTTGTCGTGTTTCTGCGACTTTTCCTTCTTGTCTTCAAGTCTTTCAAGTCGCGTGTTCAGTTCAGTTCTCCCATCTAGGACTGAAAGCTTCCGAGTTGCTTCTCTGAAATGTTGTCTCGTTCAGCAGTCGATGAGTGTGGCCACGGCGGTCGGCCTCGCCAGTTGCAACCCCACGCCAACGAGTGCTGCCGGCATCGCTGGCATAGGACCTGAGATTTTCGATTTTCCCGACGAAAGGTGCATCTTACACTACATATACTGTGTTGAAGAAGCTCAGGCCTTTTTTTTCAAGCGGTCTAAAACTTTACAAAATGACCGGTGATCGTTTTTGACGTGGTGAATATTCTGAACGCTCAGGTCACAAATTGTTACTGAATGTCTGAAAATTATGTGAAAGTTCCATCGACATTTCAATGGAAACATGATTTGGAAAATCTCAAGGAAATTCTTGAAAATATAAATTTTTTACTTCGGTAAGTTTATGCCGCGTTCAAAGTAACTCCGTGAAATCCAAAATAGCCGTCAGAGGAAGAAAAAGATAACTAAATTTTGGAGAGTGAGGGATATTTTTGCATTTTGCGGTAATTACTCGGGCAAAGTCGGAATGGTGAAAAATGGCAGCTAAAAAGGAGAGGCTCAAAAAAGGCCGCAAAAAGGCAGCAAAAAGAGTCCCTTTATCGAGCCTTTCATTTTTCTGGGATTTTAAAGGCTCAATAATTGGTGGAAAAAGAAGAGGCAGCAAAAATGCTGCATAAACGCCGATGAAATGGCGCAAAAGGGCAGCAAAAAAGGAGCCTTTTCCCACCCTTTGCAACTTTGCCTATGTACTTTGAACACGGTATCAAAAATGCTAATAAAATATCTATGTGTGTTTTTTTTAATTTCAAACCATTACACCCAAAAAAAAGGGAAAATTGACAGCAAAATCTAAAATCCTGCATAAGATTTAATGTCGTGGTTGGTATAGAACTTCTTGGGCTAAAAAAATGATGTTCTCTATTTTAATAAATATCTTTAATATATTCTGCGATAGTCTATTATCTCTGCTTCTACCAGATCGCCTTCAAGCGGATTCTCGTCCCCCTCGCCGCACTTGAACCAGCAGTACATGCAGCACCCCCTGGGTCAGCCTCCGGTGCGAGGAGCCGGGAAAACGCGGCGGCCGAGAGCTCGGAAGGCGGCCAACATGGGCGACCGCCTCAGCTCCGACTCTCTCAACGTCTCTCCCTCCACCCCAACTCGAGGTTTCCTCTCTCGAAGTGCAAGGAAACGTGTATGGCTTGCCAGGTCGCGGTAGAGGTAGAGGTCGGGGTACGGGCTCTCGGAAGCCGCCGGCTCATCCTCAAGTCGACTTCGGCGACCCCCGTCCTCAGCTTCAACGGTCTTTCAGCGACTTCCCACATCAGTTAGGATGTAAGTTTTTTTTCGTTTCAGAAGGACGATTTTTTGTGTTCCACTAGGGCAGTTAACAAAACAAAGGTGCTGATCCGAGACTTCTTTTTCTCAAAATTATTCAGAAATAACCGACGGAACCGTGTTGGAATTCTCTCTATTGTCTTTTCTTATAGATTTTTTTGATTTTCTGATTCAAATAAAGCCAAGAAAGAGAAAAAAGATTTAAAAAACTTTGAAGAATAAAAATTTACTAACAAGGAGGGCCATTTTATTTTGCGTTTGGGAATTATCGACCAGAACGCTCGTTGATGTACCAGAAAGAGATTCTGGAAGTTTCAACCTTAACAACTTACTTGTTTTTGAGAAAAGACGTCTCAAATCAAAGAAAGCCCTCAAAATCCATTAAAAAGGGCGATTTTGGGGCTTCAGGGCTCTCATTTATTGTACAGTAGAGAGTTGTGCAGGATGAGACTTCCAGAATCTTTACTTGGTACATCAAAAATTTTTCTGGCTTATTTTCAAGGGATTAGCAACCGCAAAGTAAGAGGACTTTCCTTGTAAGAGAGCCTCCCTTAAGCTTTTCCTGCAGCGTTCCCTTCGACGCCTCAGCACATGGGATCTCCTGCTGGCAACTACGCCGAAGACGACTCGGACGACGAATGCGACCCGCCGCCACCGCCGAAGCCACAGGGCGGAGGACTGCCGCCCGTGTACCCCCAGCCCTACGGAAGGCCGTCTCTGATGCAGCAGTCCCCCTCCCTCCAGATGATGTCGCCTTTCGGCAACATCGCCCACTCGCCCAACACTCCCTCTCCGCTCTCTTTGGTCACTTTTTGTTCATATTCTCCATTATTTCAGTTAGGATTTGAAAATTATTACTATTTACAGTGGAAAAAAGTTGAAAAAATAAGTGAAATCCCGAAATAGTTTTGAACTAACAAGGGAACGTTTTTAGCCCCTAGTTGACCATTTGATGAAACTTTGGACAGGTATACTTTAAGACCATCGGACAGCAATATAAGAAAAACATTTTTCGCAATAGATCTCGTTTTTCAGTTTAGACTCCTCGAAAGTTTGAAAAAGCGCATTTTTTTTTTCATAATTTGCGTATTTTGCGGACTTTGAAGCTTTATAAATCGAAAAAAGTGAAAAACGTTTTCCAGTAAGAGAGACATAGTTAAAAAATTCCTGTCTACCACTTCAGTCTAAATGTTTCAGACCAGAGCAGAAAGATCTGAACCAAAGTCGGAAATGCGCGACGTCAAACCGTCCCTTTTGGACAGCGGAGCGTACCAAATGCCTCGCGACGCATCTGCTTCTTCGATCCTGCAACAGCAGCCTCCCAACCAATTTTCGCACCTCCAACAGCTCCAGATGCAGCGTCAGATCAAGCAGGAGCCGTCGGAGTCCTCGAGTCAACCCGCGCTGCAATGGCCCGTCCCGACGCGCAAATCCAGCCTCGAAGCCGTTATCACCAAGTGCAGGGCCATACAGCCCAATCCGCGGCATGCCACGTACGTCAACTTCCTGTTTTTCAAATTTAAGGTTCCCGACCAAAAAAATATCTCTTGCGTTTTGATAGCATTCATCAAAGGTAGTTTTCGAACTCCTTTTTGAAGAAAAGTTGTTGAAGATCAGATTTCGTGTAACTCTTGTTGTTACTTCATCCTACCTTGCAGAACGTTCAGTGATCTGTACGACGACGGAACTGAGGAAACCCCTCCGCCCTCTGATCAGAAAGTCTTCCCATCTGGGTCCCAGCCAGGCCGTTCTGCCCCTACCCAACAATTTTTCGGAACTTCTTCTGCAGTACCATCTTCCCCAAAGGAATCGTCCAATGATAGTACATCTTCGAAACTTAAGGTTTGTTTCCCGAATCATTTCCGAAAAAAAAGAAAGTTGAAAATCAGAAACCCGCACCTGCACGCAACTCGCCTTCTCTCGAGGCCCAAAAAGCAAAGTCTGCACCATTAATTCCAAAAATAGAAAAACAAGAGAAGCCAAAAAAAGATCGCAAGATGTCTAAAGAGGTGATCGAACTTTCTATATATTTTACTTTTCTTCTCTGATAACGTTATTTTTTGCAGCAACGATCTTCCCAAAAGCCCAGCGCCTCTACGCCAACGCCAGGGACCGAGCCGAAGAAAAGGAAGCACGACACAGCGAAAAAAGATCCGAAAGAGAAAGATCCACGAGAACCGAGAGAGAAGAAACCAAAAGTCAAGGTTTCTGCCTCAGACATTGGTAACGCGAAACGGACGTTTCTGGACAATTCAAGGGATCACTTAAGAACGCTGAGGCTACTATAGTAGGCACTAGAAATGCCCCGAAACGTCCGATTCGTGTCCCGTTCGCGTTAACAAGGTCCGAGGTTATTTTATCAGAAAAAAAAACCAAATCCAGTTTCTTCTGTTGAATTTCTACCGCGAGGGTCTTTGAAAAAAACTATAAGCGCTCAAAGTGAAAAAAAGATCATCAATGACGTCAAGAATATAGCTGATTCACGGCTGGCTTGAGCCATCGAAAAAAAGGGTCCTGACACGATAAGGCACGAGATAGCGCCTGGCTCGTGGAGAGCGCAGACGGGACACGCCCCCTTAGCGTCCCAAGCTGGCCGTGAATCAGCTATACGTTTAGTTCGTCGAAAGGTGTTCGAAAATCATTTTGAGCTTTCCTGTTAAATGGAAAGAGATTATGCGGACCAGTTTCTTAAAAATGGAAGTCATGTACTCACCTCGTCTTTTCTGGCTTCAGTCTTCGACCAAAATCGACCCATCCTCGCCGTCGACCTCCGCTCCGTCCACCAAACTCTCGTCCAACGTCCCGGCTATCATAAATCCTCTCACCATGACGGCTAGTCTCAAAAACTTCCGCATTCCCAAGGTTTACCTTTACTCTAACAAAAGTTGCGGTGCACCCCTCGTCGAACTTTCGGTGCACCCCGCAGGGTACCCAAGGGGGGTACCCCGTTGAGCTTTGAAGGCCTATTAAGGTACTTATTCCGTACACGATTTCGAAGTGATTTGTTTCTCAGTATCACCATTTTCTAAATGTTTATCCTAGGCTGTTACGGTAGCCCAAAAAAAAACTTTTCATTCCCGTTCGGCTGCCCCAGGGGTGCACGCCATCCAGGGCCACCGCGGGGTGCGCCGAAAACACCAACGAAAAAATTCACTTTTTTCGGGATTCACTGCGGGGGTGCACCCTCATCTTTGTTAAGATATCGCTCTTGTGTATCTCATGTCGACCTTTTCGCAGAAAGAAACGATGGAAGACGCAAAAGAACAAATATCCAGCAAAGAAGTCAAAGAATCAGCCAAAGAACCGCCCGCGGTCGTGGTACCTCAGGCGCCAGTTGTCCCCTCGGCACCCGCTCCTCCGACGTCTTCTGTTCCGACGCCTTCTTCTTCTTCTTCCCTGCCGCCTCCCCCCACCGCTTCTCTGCCTTCAGAGTTCCAACCCGGCAATTTTGGAGCCTTCGGTGGGTTTTAGCGTTTAGTACCGTCCTTAAAATATCGATTTTTTCTTATTTTGGGTGTCACTCCAAACTTCAAAGTATCATATCTCGGCTCAAAAGGCTCAGATTCAAGAACAGTGATTTTTTAATAGAGAGTCCACTCAGTCAAAAGTTTTCTATACCTAACTTCAGAATGCATCTTATCGGTAAATTAGCTTTATGAAGTTTTGAAGAGAATTCATAAATTTTTGTTTGTAAACTTTTCTGAAAATGTTCAATATTATGTCCGCTCTCTGGGCAACTACTCAAATTTTGCAGCCGGTCCAGCGATTTCCACAACTAAAAAGAAAGGTCCCGCTCTACACATCCAAATCCCCGGGCCACTCGGAGGACCCGCTCGTGGCCCTAGAATCAAACCGCCGAACCTCTCTGAACACATGCGCGATCGAAGGTTTGAATCGAAAAAATTATCAACTGAGACTTGTCGTTCTTCAGAAGCTCTTCGAGTATATTCCCACGAGCAGGTCCGCCCCCACCGGCTCCCTATTTCATGAACCACCCGCCGCAGCAAAAAGTTGCGTCCTATGCGCAAGGCCTCGCAGGAGCGCAGAGCTCAGCGGCGGCCGCGCAGCCGACCACTCCTTCCGGGAGTTTCGTCAGCGGCCAGTGGGTCCGCCCTCCGTCTGCGTCAGTTTCTCTTTCCAATTTTTTCTCCACATAAATTCAGGAAGAGCCACTTTAAAAAAAGTACAACTTTTCATATTTATTGTTATATTCTGAAAAAGTATTTACTGAGAAAAGTCGTGTTCTATTTTCTCTGTTTTTTTTAGGTCAATATGTTCCGTTATAGGTTAGTTAAGCAAGAAAATAACTTAGAAATTCAGAAAAAAAAAATTCAAAGAGGAGCCGTAGTTTGTTATGACGTCGTGATGACACCGCTTTCAATCAAAAGTTGATTTTTTTCAAACCGAAAAAAATTGTGGGAAAGACTAAGAAAAAGTAGTAATATTTATGGAAAAAAAGCGGAAAAAGCTTCGAAATTGCGGTTCTTTAGAGTTATATATAAATGAAAAAAAGTTGGATCCTCATCTTTTTGAAAGTTGAAGGTTCACCAACTTTTAAGAAACGCAGCAAAATTCTTCAAGTGTGATACTTTTAAATCAAACTCTATGTTTCATTCTCCATTGTATGTATAAAAAAATAACTAGTAAGGGTGAATAAAAAAAAAGATAATTCCTTCTTTAAGTTTAGAATTGTGCCAAAAATAAGATTTTGCATCTTTCAGAAGAGGAGACGAGGGTAAAAGAGAAGAGAAGAAAACGAAACCGACCGAGCCGGGAAGTCCCGAGGACTCTTTGAGGATAGCTGATGATTGAGTGCGGTCGGATTCCTCCTCAATCGAAAATTTGTTTTTTTTTTCTAGATTTTCTTTTGTTTATGGGTCAATCTACAACAAAAAATTGAAACAGTAAAGCCACCGGAAACTTCAAGGTTTTATATCTTGAGTATTTTTTTTTCTTTTCGGTCAGTGCAAGTCGGAACAATCAGCTCAAATTTCAAGTTTCATATTTTTAAATTTCAAGGTTCGAATAAGTGCAAATCTTACATCGCGCTCGTTTACTGTAGAGCGTTCATTTTTCATGCCACCTTTTTTTTCACTATTTTCTCTCGAATAATGTGCGAGTTTTGAACTTTATTCAGTTTGCCTTTGCAGATACTGAGATGGAAATCTGTCCGAGTGTTTTTTTTTTTACTTTATTATACGTTGTATATCTTCAAGCATTTCTTGTTAGACAAATTGCATACATTTTTGAAGTTCTTTTCAGTATTAACTCAGTTATTTTTCTTGTATAGTAGTTCTTCATTTAGAAAATTATCTGTAATTTTACAATTTCATCTAAGAGAAACAAATTTCTTAAAAACTTTCGCGGTATTCATGTCATACATGTACTTTTATTTCCACGTTCTTTTTTTTAATCATTGTCTTTAATTTTATTTATTTTGTAGATTTCTGTCTGTATCATATGTGCATAGCGCTAATAAATTTCACTTAAAGTTTAAACGTGAAATTGCGGCATTTTATGAAGGTTCAATGGCTGAAGAGGTTTGAAAGCTCATTTAGTATATATCCGCCTTTTTTTCCTGGTTGCTCAAACAGAAGTAATTGAAGACGTCGATTTGTGTTTCGACATTAAACCCGACAAGCCGAATTTCGGTTCTTTCTCCATTTTTTTTTCAAATATTGAGTCTTTTTTAGAGCAACTGGCCAAAAATATATGGTTGTACATGACGACATACACGCCAGAAGGAGCGCACGGGAAGTGGAACTCCCGGATCCTGTTGCATCTCCTGGCGAAGGCCCAGCAGGCTCTCGTTCAAGACGAAAACATCGTCAACGTCAAGGTTCGTCCGGATCGCCGACGACATCTCAGCGGCTGTAGACGCCGGCTGTGGTCGTGGGTCCGATCCACGGCGAAGGAGACTCGCTGACGACGCTCATGTCTCTGGCCGGACCTCCGCCTTCCAGTTCCTACGTCTTTCTTGGCTGTTACCTTGGCCTCGGATTCGGTATGTCTCCCCAATCGTTTCTCAACTATTCAAGTTCACTAAATCCTTCAGTATCGAAAAAAAAAAGTCAGTGAAAGGAAAATAAGTTACTCTGTTCTTCGCAAACTTTTCAAAAATGAGGAAAATTTATAAAACCTTATGGTTTTGTTGATCCTATGGAGCTTGGAGCTAAATATTTCGAAAGATAATCATTCAAAAGGCAAAAGTGAAGTGGGCTTTTCTCCTGCGAAACTATTTTTCTGCTAGTCAAAATCAATAAAATTGAAGCTGATTCACGGCTAAATTGAGCCATCGAAAAAAGGGTCCTGACACGATAAGGCACGAGATAATGCCTGGCGCGTGGAGAGCGCAGACAAGCAACGCCCCCTTAGCGTCCCAAGATAACTCAGCTATAATGAAAAGGGGACAACCGAAATCGCGAAACCGTTGTAAATCCAACTTCTATGTGGCAAAAAGGTGATTGCCACCATTTCTAACCAAAGTTCTCGTTTTTCCGGAAGTTATATATTTCCACAAAAATTTTTTCTTCAGCTCCTATTGAATGTTTGGCACTTTTGCTCTGCTACAAAGTACAGTATCCTACTCAAGTTTTCTTACTGAAAGGTCACAATGAAGAGTCGCTCTCCATTGAAGTGAGATGATTCTTGTTATTAATTGCATTTTCACTCTCAAACTTCAGAACTTCAAGCTATCCATTATGCTAAAGCTACGTGGAACGCCTGAACCAGAAGCCCTAGCTATCAACGAAGCCCTAAAGGCAACTTTCTTCATCAGGGGGGTTGACCGGAAGATTGTTTCAGCGAGCCTGTAGTGTGATGCCGGTCGGAGCTCTGGTCAACAACAAGATCTTATGTCTGCCTGGTGGCCCCGGACCACAACTACGCGAAAAAGGTCTCGTAGGCATTTTCTATTAAAGTCATTCAAATCGCAGGATTGAACTTTCTGCGAAAAGCGAAACGACCTCCGGTGAACGTAGGAGAACGGAACACTTTCATGGTAGTCGGTATATGAAGGTCTCGAAAAGTAGCCAGGACTTGAAGGAAGCTTCTTGGTCGGTACTCACGCTGATAGAATCGGCCGGAAATCCAAACGGCATGCCTACCTTCTCACCTGAACACGCCTCCGAGTTCTGCAGGAAAAACGACGTGGCCGTTCTGATTCGCGGCCGACAGCTGGTTGGCAGAGTCGGGGAAATCAAGAAAGGGACGTTTTCAGGTCGACGGAGGCTTCCTCAACTTCCCGAAAGAAGTGATCACGATGACTTCGGCAGTCGCGCTTCTCGACAACTTCCGGAACTACGCGGCAGCCTTAAAGATCGAAGGCGATGCTGTGAGTGCCTTCTGACGATTTTTCTGAACGCTGTTCAAGATCCGCGTCATTCGCTACAAAATGGAGGAAGGAGAGCAACTTTCTCTGGAGCTCGTCAAGCCTGGCATAGGGAGGAACTCTATTCTCATGTGAACCAGTCCGTCATTTTTTTTTCAACCGGTTTTTTCTCTTTCCTTTCAATGAAATTAACGCATGGTGTTCAATATGATTGATCATTTTTCTTCTGAAAAAGTTTGGTTTTTTTTTATTTCCCGGAGACGTTAGCATTGCCGTCAACCTGAACGGTTTTCACGCTGCTTTTCCTATTTTTGCGCTAATCCATTCAGTCGTATCCATCAATTATCAGAAGCCGTTATCTAGCCGAAAATGGAATGCAGCAGCTTGAATGCGAGACGGCGGGTCAGGCGGCTTTTCGCCCCTTTCTTTCATCAATTGATCGCCCAATCTCCATTCTTTCCCACTTTCTAACTTTCTCTCGTCGTTATTTTCATGATACAATCATTCGGTAGTTTTTATCTGAAGGCCGAGATTGATTTCTGAAGGTCGATCAGTTTCAAAAATTTTGAATTTTTTTTTTTGGTTTTAGTGAGAGCGAGGAACGGAATCTTAAATTAAAATTGATTTTTTTCCTGTTTTTGTTGAAACAACTATCTATTTAAACAAGAGGAATCGAAAAAAACCGCAGGTTTACTGTAGATCTCTGAAGTGTACAAGATCATTAAGAAAATTAAAAAAACTTGATGATGCTTTTTACTGATTTCTTTCATTCGAACGCAATTTCGAAAATCTTAGTTTTTTTCTCTTTTCATTCTTCTTAGTTTCTTCAGTTCTGAGAATAATTTGGAGAATGATTTTTCTGTCACTTTCCTCGAAACCAGAAACTCGCTCTAAATCAATAAAATTTATTCGATTTTTTTAAAAATCTTACAAGAAGGTCCAGATAGGGAAGAACAAATTTCAGAGTGTAAAGGTTATTTTGCGAGTTTTTATGGCCCAAAGGAGGCCTTATTTATGTTGGTCATTAACTCTTAAAGAGGTAATCTGTTTTTCGATAAGGGTAATTTTTTTCAACAGACAGTATTATAAAAATATATTAGATAGCTATATCAGATATATAATTAACATACTATATATACACGGAATATATTAGAATGTGAGAGTCCAGGATAATTTCTAACTGTGATTACAAAAAAGTAGATAAATTGTGTTTAACCTCCTCCCTCTGGCACTCATATCGGATCGATTTTAATGTACTAATTTTTGTAATCTATGAAATATTGATAGCTTTCAAAAGGCGGTCTTGCAAATCCGCAAAACCCTTTTTGCGCCATTTGTGCACCATTTTTGCTGCCTCTCTCTTTTCCCATCATTTCTTGACCTTTTAAAATCCCAGAAAAATGGAAGACTCGATAAAGGGGCTCTTTTTGCTGCCTCTCTGCGCCCTTTTTCAAGTCTCTCCCTTTTAGCGACCATTATCCACCCTTCCGACTTTGCCCGAGTCTGAGCTTCTTCTCGCTTTTTTCACGTTTTCTTGTTATTTTCAAAAACACTTTCTCAATGAAAGGCTATTGAAACGTCGTTGAGAAAGTTGTCAAAGACTTTCCCAGCCACTTGTTTTGAGGTCCTGTTGGACCTTGCCCGTGACGTCGGCTGCCTGTGTTCCGAGAGATAAGATCAGGTGGATGAATGAGAAGCCGGTCGGCATGCCATCCGTCGTTAGTTGCCCCTGTTCCAAGGTCGAATTCCATGCTTCATCCGTCACTCACTCTCTCTTTCTTCATTCCGATTTTCTGGACATGAGTCCGTTATAAATTGTCGTTTGCCATTTCGGAGACTTGCTTTCGAAGACTCTTTACTTTCTCTCGTCGTTTCAATTTCACCTTGTTTTTTGGGTTTCACTATAACTATCAACCTAGAGATGCGTTTTAGTTTCTTAAACTTACTTAATCTGCTGTGATAAGGAATTATCCTACTGAAGGAGTTTCTGAATATATTCTTTTTTCCTATCATTCTTCTAATGGCGACAAGCTCCTAAACCAAGTTAGGCTTACCCCCGGATAAGCCAGAGTTGATAAACTTCAAAATGAAGTGAAATCTCAAAATCTTCTTGAAAATGCATGCTCCAAACTTGTTACTTTTTGGAAATTAGCGAATCGAGCAACATGAGCGCATCTTAGTACTGTCAGCGGTATTAGAAATCATCTTTATCAAAGTTTTTTTGGAGAGAGTTCATTTTAAGAATTATCTAGTGCATTTGATCACGACTTCTAACCTGAAACCTTCTTCTCCAAAAGCTTCTCCTTTTCTTTCTGTCATCTGCCTTTGTTCATCCTGGCATTTTGTCTCGAAACAGAGAAGAATAAACTGAGTGTACCAGGACACTTCCTCCTCAACAACCGTGTTATCACTGAGCGATCCGTCGCAGGGGAAAGCAACTTGGGGAAAGACCTCGGAAACGCGAGGAACAAGAAGCGTTGCGTCACTGAGAAGTCGTCGGTTATCCAGTTTGTCGGCGGTCGACTTGTTCTCCGCCCACGCTGCCATCGCACATCCAACTTACTGCTGACCGTCTCTTTCAGCTTTTGCTCATTTTCTCTCTCAGATTCCTTCTAGTACTCTCTTTTAACATTTTTTCATTCCTTCAGTATCCAAGAAGAAAATCAAAACTTAGGACTACTGAACGCAACTCCTTTTTTTCTAATATATGTTGGACCTATTGCTCAATAAGTGACACATTCATTGTTTCTCGAACTTTTCTCTTGCAATCTAGATCTCGGAAGATGACGTGACACGATCAGCTTGTAATAACCGGACCTCGGTCGTGTTTGCCAAGACATCGCAGAATCCGCCTTCGCATCTCTAACCATAGCCATTAGCACGCTTATTGATTCAGACGACAGCATCTCCAACAACCAAGAATTTCCTTTTAGCTGCTGTGGATGCTATCTTCGCCCACAAAACATGAGGAATAGGTGGAAAGCGCTGCTGGCTTTGCTGCTCGTAGCCTTGAGCTTTGGCGGTACCACCGCTCTCGAAAAGTTTGCTCTGTACCGCGTTCGGCCGCACGACCTTCACGGGCTCGAACTTCTTTCCCAGCTTCAGATCAACGACGATAAATATGGCGTCAGTAGACTTTTAACTTTTCTCATCGAAAATCTTTGGCTTTAGTTGGATTTCTGGAAGCAGCCGCATGACGTCGGACACGACGGCGATGTGATGGTCGAAGGGGGCTCTTCGAAAATTTTCGAACGACTTATGCGACTGGGCAACGTCTCCTTTGCTGTCGCCGTACCGGACGTCGAAAGGTTTACTGTTGTTGTTCTGTACAATGTCTCAATAGGTATCAGGTTGTTTGACATTCATTTTTCTGTAGTCTCCTACTTTCTATATTTTTTCTAGTTTTTAATACATATTGAGAGTGAGAAACGGAAAAACGTATTTTCAAATTTGCACAATTATATCAAAATTTGATCGATGATTCAATGGAAAACCAATGGGAATAGTATTTCTTGATTATAGAGTTTTTACGCGAAGTATCTTTCATAAAGAGTAGTACTTGCAGATTGATCCAGCGCAACGAAGGAAAAAGGGCTTCAGATTCCCACGGAAGCCGTCGACTCAACGACGATCCGATTCTCGACAGCGAACGTAAGAACCTCTCTGAACTAATTTTGGGTCTGACATAAATTCCCTTTCTGTTTTGAACTTGTTTCCTTCTTCAAAAATCCTTCTAAAATCTAAATTAATTCATTCTGAAAATTTTTTTCCTTTTTCCATCAACCAGTCAGAAAAAGTCTCACGAAATTTTCAAATAGCTCTATTTTATGGAAATAGAGCAACAAGCTACATCGGTTCTAGGTTTTCAGAAGTCCAATTTTTAGTATTTCTCACTCCTCGAAAGATATTCTCCTATTTATCACGTTATTGAAACTTCATTTATTAATCATGATGACGTCGAAAAACTTTTATAAAAAGTTTTCTTCTTAATCAAAATTTTCTTTCCAGCGGATATGGACTATAAGAAGATTGGTCAGTTGAAAAAAGCCAAGTATCCATTTGGTGACTACGCCTCCTATGCCGACATGATCAAGTACATGCGAACCATCGAGTTCTACTACCCGAAAATAGCGAAAATCATCCGGATCGGCACGACTCATGAAGGCAAACCGATAGAGGGTCTCAAGGTATTCTGCTTCTCATGTCCCAAAAAGTCTCTAACTGACTTGAATTCAAGATCGGAGCCGCCAACGATTCGCCCAAGCGCGCCGTTTGGGTCGACGGCAACATCCACGCACGCGAGTGGGCCAGCAGCCACACGGCCCTCTACTTCATAAATCAGGTCTCTTTCCAAGCTTGCAACTATATTTTTTTCATGAGAGTTCGAACTAACTCAATTTCTATGCGAAATGAAATTTTCCAATGGTTTTTTCTTCAAAACTATTCCTACTTGGAACAAACTCACTTCCAAATCTCAATTCAGCCATCACTCCAAGCTTTTAAAAAATTTACTGGTTAATCTACCATTGCACGAGATCTTCTTATCTACTCCCCCAAGACTCAAATGATGTATAACTGTATAATGTATTCTCTCAAGTTCTAGATCCAACTAAATAGAAAAACTCTACAGGGGCCACTAAAACGGAAAATAGTGGCCACTATAGAGGTGGGTTTAGTTTTCACTTAAAAGTCCTCTCCGAGTAGTCTTTGGCGATCCTCTATAAAAGCCACTAAAAATTTTCCCAGCTGCTGGCTTAACGCCAAAGCGAAATTACTGAGTTCGTTAAACACCAACGAAATCCACGTCGATATGTGGTGTTGCTAGAACTTCACCTATTTTTTTTAAAGATTTGCTAGCGTTAACAAAAATTTTATTTTCAAAACCTAGCTCCTATTTTAGCATTTTCTGATTGTGTTCCCTCTAGGTTTACGCTCTTTTTACACGATAAAATTTTCTTAAAGACCACTTCCTGTGCATGAAAGTTGCATCCTAAAAAAAGGCTCGAAATGATGACATCAAAGACTTCGCAATACAATTAGTCGACAGTTGAAGATTTTCTTTTCTTATATCACATTTTTTCTTATCAAGTTGCAATAACTATTTTCTGGCAGCTCGTCTCCGAATACGGCAAGGACCCGTCCATCACGCAATACATCGACAAACTCGACTTTTACGTCGTTCCTTGTCTCAACCCTGACGGCTACGAGTACACGCGATCGTCGCCTTTCCCCAGCGTCTGTACATCCGGAAGATTACAACCAACATCTTCTTCAGGTCCGGCTGTGGCGCAAGAATCGCTCTCCATCTCAGTGCCGCGCGACCATCTGGGGCGGCGAGAAATGCTGTCAAGGCGTTGATCTCAACCGCAACTTCCACTTCCACTGGGCAGGTGCTTCTTGAAAAGTTCTTCTCTCAAATCAAAAAAAAATAATCTCACCTTAAGAAATATGCGTAGAAACCGCAAGAAAACTAGAAATTACAGCAACTTGTACGAAAAAAAACATAAATCAGCAGCGCTCTAGAAAATTTCCGCATGAATACTGATGGAGGCGGAAAATTGTCAGCATAGTCTGTGTGCCACGACTTGAAATTTCATCGAACGACATTCCGCGGTTCCGCTGCGTGCGTTCGCGAAGCGTCTCTCGAATCTAGGTCACGATTTCAATTGATTGTTATTGCTGTGGGAGCACATGAAAGTAGAGTACCTTGAAAAAGAGAAAAAAATTAAAAGCGCGACTAAGTTTCGCAAAGGCGCGCAGCGACACAGCGGAATGTCGTTCCGTGAAATTTCAAGTCGTGGTACGCGGACTATAAAATAGCTTGTTTTTTTCTCTAGATTGAGGAGACTAGAGTTCTTAGGCTGAAGTCATGAAAATTTCAAGTATCGATCAAATCAACCCTTAAAGCTTAGAGCGAGGATCCTCTTCTGAACCCTGTTCCAACATCTACCAAGGCGAAGCGGTTTTCAGTGAGCCCGAATCAATGTAACCCGCATTTCCATTCTCATTGTTACCATAGTTAAATGATCAGGGCGGTGAAGAACTTCCTCGAGCGTCCGGAAATGACGGACCGTCTCGACGCCTTCGTCACCCTTCATTCTTACGCCCAACTCTGGATATATCCTTACAGTCACGAAGAACAGAACTATCCGGAGGACATTGCTGATTTGGTATCGTATCCTGCGTTCCCGACGTTTCACCGTCAGACTTGCAGAGGAAAACGGCGCGTCGAGCTATCACCAAACTCAGCAAGATCTACGGCACTCAATATCGCATGGGAACTGGAGCAGACACGCTATGTGAGCTTGTTAATTTTTTTTGAAGTCGTTCTTTTAGCTTCTTTTTGTTGCGAGCTTCCAGAATTCTCTCGTATTCTTCGTATTTACAGCACCGGCCTCAGGCGGATCTGACGATTGGGCCAAATCGGCACTCAATGTCAAGTATGTCTACTTGATCGAACTTCGGCCAGAAATGGAACGTTAGTCATCTAAATTTCAGCGATTGCTTTGATTTCTATTTTTCAGTGTCAAACGGGTTCATTTTGCACAAGAAGGAGCTGATTCCGACTGCCGTGGAAACATTTGAAGGTTTCCGCGAAGTCGTCAACGCAGTTCTGGAGCACAACGGTGTGCCGAAGAGCCCCATCAAAAAAATCTCAGCTTCTCAACGCAAAAAACAACAATGTAAAATATTACTTCTCCATTTAGTTATCTTCCAAAAACTCTAACAAAATCTTTTTCTAAACGAATTTTCTCTTGAAAATCTCGTGAACGTTGTCTTCGTTATTTCTGAAAAAATAAATTATCATCAAAATTGAGATCGTATGCGCTTGCTGGCATCTCAGTCGACGACGGCGGTCACGAAAATCCCGACTTCCAGCACTACAGTTGTCACTTCGACTTCTCTGAAAACCGGTTAGAACCGTGAACATAGCTCCGAACTTCGAGAGTTTCAGCAGAAACCACGACGACAACTCATTCCAGCAGACTCTTCGCCAGAATGTCCAAGAAACTAGTTGTAAGTTTTTCTACAGTTCGTTTTTTGATGTTTTCTGCATGAGAAGAAGAAAATACACTAATATGGGCTTTCGAAAAGAGGCTTTATTAGTAGAGAAACAAGAGTTTTTTTTTTGTCAACCACATTTTTCATTCCAGTCAATGCATAAAGTGATGTTTCAGATGGCAGAAGAGAAAGAGACCAAGAGGCCGACGCCGCCGGTAGCCCCGCCCACAATGATCACGCCGACGACACTTGAAGCCGAACCTTCACCAGAACCAACATCAGCACCGACGACGACAGAAGCGTCGATGGCGTCGAAGCGTACGACTTTCGGCTTCTACACGCAGACCAAGCCGGCTTCGTTTGCCGACCCATCCTGCCGCGACATGCGCTACTCCTGCAGCTTCTGGCTCAAGCACAATGCCGACGTTTGCGTCGAACAAGAATCCTTCATGCGCGGTCAGTGCGCATTCACCTGCAAGTTCTGCACGCCGTTCATTTCGCGCAGTTAGTCGCATGCTTTCTCTTGTTATTCATTGGCTTAACGCCTTCTGGTTCCAAAGAGGGGTTTATGGAAATCAAGTTTCGAAAACGGAACTGACTGAGAACTTTTTTTGCAAAAAAGCAGATTCGTTCCTCATAATTTTTATGTTTGTGAGCTCAACTCCGTTGTGGGAAGGCTGATTTTCATAAATCCTGATTCCAGAATGATAATCTCCTCTGATGTACTTGAAACCTTTCTGAAAATGTATTCGACCTTCCTGTAAAGTATATGCCTTCTGTGAAGAGTTGTTAAAATTTATTTGTTGACTCTTTTCCACGAGGAACGAACATTGCTATCACGGGTTGCAATTCATGTTAATATCTCTGCTATCAGAAACAGAACTTTCCTTTGATAGTACATCCTTCTCCATGTTTCGCCTTGTACAAAAACTTGACGTGTAAAGTTTAGCACGCTTTCCAACTATTTTATTCTTTCTCATAAGTCTTTCTACATTGCATCACGGAATCATCTGAGAATCAAATAATGTTTGAAGCATCAAAAAAAGATCCTCAATCTTCTCAACTCTTATTTTTTGCCAACACGCTCCTCGAAGTCGAAGGAAGATACTTCTTAACGATAAAATTTGGAATATTTGACATTTGTTCCCGAAGGAGTTTTGCAAGTGGCGACTTCCAGGATCTACTTTGAGCCCTCCAAAAAATATTTTGATTTTTTCCGGAAATGACCAGTGTTAAGTATAGCCATCCTTGTTTAAATCATTTCCCGTGTCTGCTAAGAACCGATGATCCCGATGATGATCTTCATAATTTGCTCTTCGTTCTTTCATTTTTGTTTTAGAAAGTTCAATATCATTTCAGTAGTTTAGCTTTTCTTTTTGTTGCTTGTAAATTTTATTTGTTCAGTAAAGATACCTTTTTTTTATTTTTCGTATAGCACTGAATAAATAGTGAAAACCAAGCCATGGTATGATAAATGAAATCAATATATGTAGTTTTTTTTTTCTTGAGATTGCTAGAAAATTCTATTGGTTTTAGATAGCTAAGTTTCTGTAACTAGACTCGTGAGCAAATGGAAAACCCAGGAACGTGAAACAAGAACTTTCAAACCTATAACGAACAACCGCATTTGGCGAACTAGAAGTTTTTTATTTTGTAGTTGATCTAGTTGAAAACCTGTTCTCACGCTCCTTCGTCTCGTTCTTCTGCGCGTATCGAGTTGCGCCTTGACGAGCTCAGAATGTTGGGATGTTGGGTTGAAGCCCGGAGACCGTGCTCTAGGTGAAATGAGAGCGACCAGTTCGAGGGATGTCCTTACACGTAATAAAACGTAAAAACTCAACGACTCCTAACGATCCGATGAAACATCTCGTAATAATTGCACATCTAATAAACACTTCCATGACCTATTTGACCCAACTTGAAACAATCTGACTTGTCCCTTTTCCTCGGAGATGCTCATTTGTAAGATATTCTATGACCTCGTCTGTGTAGGGAAAAAGGAACATTTTTTTTAAAGTTTCATATATATGAGAACAGGAATATTCACAAGCATTTCGAGTAATTTTGCAAAATAGCAAGGCTGGAAACGTCGTCACCACCAAGTGAATTCGCCTCTTCTTCCAGACACGGCAACGTTTCCCGCAATTTCGATACGAAATCTGCCCAGAAGACTTCGTTTTTAGACAAAATCGGTTTACAGTCCTGAAAAGAAATTGATACATCCCGCCGGGCGAAAACAACAAACCGTGATAAGAAACGTGAGTAAAATTGAAGATCTGCGTACAAGAACAGCGTTATGAACAGCAGTGAGGGCCAATTTTTGAAGCTTATCCTCGCTCAAAATAACATCTACGCCGTTTTTTGAAAACACCGCGTCTAAATTTTTTGTTTAGATAACATGGTGATAGAAAAATGCAACTTTTTGTGTGAACAGTCATGAAAAGAGAAATCAAAGATTTCTCATGGTTCAAAGCAAGGGCTCGCTCGTCCTTCCTTCGGTTGGCCATTTCAGAAAAATAATCATCACTGCAAGTTTAAAATTCGCAAAGCAAGCTAAAAAGGTCATTCAGATGAAATTCTATGATAAAGAATTGATCTGAGAACTGAAATACATCTCAGAGGCGGAAAATATTTTGCTAAATGAGCCTGTATACATGAACTCCGCAAAAATGTGATGTTGTGAATGAGTTTAAAACATATTTATCTAATGAACTCGAACTTTTGCTCACGGATATGAGAGTCTTGTAATGTGGGAGCGTTAAACAAAGATAAAAACAGGAGGATTTTTTTCCAAAAACTCATTTACGATAGTGGCCCCTATAGGGGTAACCTTAAAGGCCTTTCAAGGAACTCCTTTATGGGCTGCTTAACCAACCCCTATAGGGTCCACTGAAGCTTGCAGAAAAGGTCCCTATAGGTGTTATAGTTAGTGGCCCCTTTAGGGGGGCATGCTATTCGATAATTTTCATAAAATTCCCTGCGAAAACTAAAAAAAACCTTTTTTGAATGAAATTGAACGACCCCTATAAGGGTCACCTAAGCTTTTGAGGTTAAGGGGTCAGACCCACAACCCCTATAGGCGGTTTTTTCCCTAATCCCTATTAGGACCAGCCTAAAATTCCTGAGTGTGCCCTCTGTAAGGTCTTGAAACTACGCTATTTAAAATATACCACTCGATGGCGTTGTATCGCAACAAAACGCTTTGCGACATGATGAAGTCAATGAAAGCCCTCTCAAACGTCTTGTTTTTGTAGCAAAGCTAAAAAATAAAAAGTTAACATTCCGAAAACGGAAAGTAAACCTTGCATATGACGTGGCTTACTGTACCGATGAGCTCATTGTCCTGCACGACTAACTTCTGAAAACGAAAATCCCATATTCTTGACCAAAGCGATGCAAAAACCGCATATTTCTCGATAATACACTCCATAGAATATTCCATTTGCGCATCGGTACTAATCTGCAGCTCTTGATCATTGAACCTGGAAACTCTGCGTGTAGTAAATTGGAGAAGCTTATGGACAAACCCTAAAACGGGGTGTTTGCTGAGCATCTCCTTGAAGAATTCGAATATGGATTTCCGTTCTGCGGCAGAAGCGTTTTTCTTAGTCCATGTTGTGACCTTTTCTCCCACTGTGCGCTTACAAAAGGATCGGAACGCATTCTGGGAAAAAATTCTGATTAAAAACAATTCAAATTTCTTTCTTTAGGAAAAAGAAGAAAGGCAAATGCCGACAGTACTACGGCGGCCGGTGGCCGGTCAATATTGCGCAATCAGTTTCGGTGCCAGGAAATTTTTTTTTGTTCTTTCTTTTTTACAATTTTTTTTTTACAAAGGGTTTCTCGAGGTTACAAGGTAAGTTACGTCACAAAAATTACACAAGATTTCACTTTATTATTGAAAAACCTATCCAAAGTTCCGTAGTACGACCGGCAACCTTAAACAGACGTGAGAGTAACCTACATCGGTTTCTCGTTGAGATTCCACTTTCTTCGGTTCAGGGAATTTTGTGGGTGGATAAAGGTCTCTGATAAGGTCCATGGCGATCGTCTATACAACAGAAAAGGTGAACTTCTAACTAGCATTTCCATTCACCTCGTTCTCCGATTTCTCACTACGAATTTCAGGAAGATTTTCGCGAGCTGTTTGCCAAATCTCGCTCACGTTCTCTTCCTCTTCGGCGAGAACCTCGCGAATGGGGGCTGGAGCCCTACAAATATAAATAAAACGTTTGAAACTCGTAGGAATAGATTTCATGCGTGCATTGGTTTAATCAGGTCAAGTGCAGACGTAACGAGTTAGATAGAATGCGGAAAGAAGCAATTTCTGTACCTAAGAAATGCTATTTTTTGCGAAAAACATATGCTACAGCTTCAAAAAACACTCTGTGAAAAAAAAGGGCAAAAATAAGATATTCTCGATTAAATTTTCAATTAATATTCAAAATATTTCACTCACTTACTTATGGGAGTAGAAGTGCCACCAAAGCCGAATGCAAAGGACGGTCTTTTCCCGTCATAGGCGTCGATTTTAAAAACTCGAGCAGGTTGTACCTCGAAACTGCTATCGCATCTGTTATTTTAAACCATAATAGCTTTATATGAGTTCATTTTTCAATTTTTATCATTAAAACTCCGCTCGCACAAGGGAAAAACTAACAGTGCTTAAATAACAGTTAAACACATACGTTGAATTCAAAAATGAGTAGCTATTTCCTTTAACTTCGTGTTTGTCAAGAGATTCCGGAGAGTTCAGCGGCCCTTCTTTCGGTATTTTTATCGATTCTAGAGCGTGTGATCTGAAATTCTCACTCTCCTTAATATTTTCAAACCGAAAATTCCATTTAAAGCAAATAAGAACCGAATAAAGGAAAACATACACAACATCTCTCACTTGCCCTTGAACGTTTATCGCAGCGGTGGAACTTGGATGCTCGTTTTCTTTTTTCCATCCATCTAATATCGTATCTCGTTCTGCTTCCGTTAAGTTCGTCCTCACTTTCGAAAAGTTCTGAAATCCAATTATATATACAGCTAATTGGGAGAAAATTCTTGGGCAGATGATCAGAAAAAAAATAGTGGTCGAGCACCTCATGCGGGCGATTAGCTGTTTCTTTAAATTCTTTTTGAATTTTTCCATTTGTTCAGCTTTCGAAAAAAGAACTTTTCTAAATCAAAGGAAATATCAAAATACGGTTATTAATATTTGCTTTGAACTCATCCGAGACCTAGATCAAGGTCGACCTTCAGTTTTGCATCCTCGAAGCTTGAAGAACTATGCAGATGAGGGCTTTGGATAACTCTTTTTGGTGCTGCTCACTCTTTTTTCAGCTCCTTTTACTGATTATGTTCGAGAAAAGCACAAAAAGCGAAGGAAACTTACTGGATTCGCTTTAACGGGAAGCTTTTGGAACTCCCAACTACTTTCTTTGTGTTGTTTAGTTGTAGAACTAAGAGAGCTCGGATTTTTCGAAATACTTTGCACGTGACTAGCTGCCGATCTGAAGCGGAAAACTTATGAATAGATTTCACATTTTTCTTTCCTAAACATTTTCGAAACATACCTTTGTTGCATTAGGAAATGCATTGAAGGTAATCGCCACCGCCTCCAATACATATCAGAATCTCCCAAATATTCCCCATCACCTTCTACATCCGCATCACTCAGACCAAAAGTCGGCATAGAAATCTGAAAAAAAAATGAAAGATTCCCAAGTTTAACTAAATCTCAAATCACTACTCAAAGACGTCTGTTTCATTTCATTTCATCCTCTTCCTTTCGTAAACACAATTTTTTTTTCACACTTCAAAATAAACTTTTAGGTTAAATAATAATCTTCATTATATACTACGGCATTAATGAGAAAATTTATAAAATTTACCATAAAGAGAAAACCTTTCTAAACGGTTGGAAAAAGTTAGCTTGACGCTTTTTTTCTGATCGAATTCAAAGCGTAGAAAAAAATTCTTGCAAGGTGAATGTCTACTTATTCTACGAGCAATATCAAAAAAAAAAACGAGTGAATATAAGATTTAAAAAAGGGAGAACAACCAAAGTAGCAACGAAAACTATTTCACGGGCGCGTTTTCCGCGTCTGGGGGTACTGTATTCACGAAATGTGTGATCACGCACATGCGCGCCAAAGAGTTTTATTTAAAATAACTTGAGTCGCTTTTCGTTTTGGTGATGTGCAATTCCCGCGAAATGTAAAATCTTCTCTTTGGCGTGTTTATCGAAAAAAAACGGAACACGTTTCAAACGTAAAGCCTGTTCATCGGCGCACCAAAGTTACTCCAAAAAATTGCTAATTTCTTTTGAAGAAATTTTTCGCGTTTCGAAACAATTTTCGTCTTTACCGTTGAACACGCCACTGACATTGCCCAATTTAACTTTTTTGTCAGCCTTTGACGGCTGTTTTTAGTTTCGCGAAAATTACTTTGAACACGCCATTGGCTTTCCTTTCTTTTTTTTTTCAAATCACATTTTCTGTCACATTTTCGGTCATATTTTAATTGTTTGTTTTTGCACTCTAACATGGGAGGTTTTTTGTCTTGTTCTTTCGAAAACCTACCAGAAAATAAATCAAAGATACTGAAAGTCTCAGCCAACAAATTCCTTTCTTTAAAAAAGGGAGTTTCCAAAGAAAATTTTATTTTCGTTGATATGGGCCATTTTTAAACTTTCTCAATAACGGTAGTTGCTAGACTTTCAAATTTTTCGAATGAATAAAGAAGTTTTCTTGCCAATCTAAATAAAAATTCCCGAGCGCGCAACATAGCGATTTAAAAGCAAATATTTTACAGGTAATGGGAGGCGAAGACTCTCTCCGAGTAGTTGTGCGCGCGCGCCCTATGAACGCTCGCGAAGCTCGAGAAGGTGCTCGTAGATGCGTCGAATTCTATGAGAGCAGTCAGCAGGTTAATTTATTATTTTAATTCCAGTTCTGATTATCGCAAGTAGAACTTTCTTATTGATTCAAAATCCTGTTTTAATTAGGACGAATCTTTTTTTTAAAACCACGCCTACCGAGCCCAATTTAAAGTCAGTATCTCCCTTAGGTTTAAATTTAGTATTATGTCAACATTACCTTTAGAAATTTTCACATAGAGATTCACATAGAGATATCAACCCCTTATTTATTGAGTATTATACTTGCCCACGTATGATTCTGTATGAGATTAAGTTATATTGAATTTATAACGAAAAATTTAAATTAAAAAGCGAGCCCTGCTTTTTCACACTCCGTGCTTATATTAAAGGCATATGGGCAGTGAAAAGTGGAATTTCAGACAAATACGCCATTTTGTAGAGCTCTGTCTTGCCTGTCAAACAGTGAACTTCGAAACTCATAGAACTTCCTAGTTTCGAAAAAAAAAAAATAATAATTAAAAGTCATAGAGAGAAAAAAGTTCCAGCTAAAAGAGCGTTTTGCAGTAAAATTGCTCTATGGACAACACGCTTCGCCATTTTTCGGATACTCGGACATTGGTAACGCGAAACGGACGTGCTCCGGACGTTTCTGGGCGATTCAAGGGGTCACTTAAGAGCGTTAAGGCTACTAAAGTGGTCACTAGAAATGCCCCGACACTTCCGTTTCGCGTCCCGTTCGCGTTACCAAAGTCCGAGTATTCGCTTGTTTCTCGTTTCTTTCAAATTTCAATTTTTTCTGTTGTCTCCAAAGTTTTTTTTTGTCATGAAAACTTTCTATTTGTGAAAAAAATTGCGAGTTTTGATCTTAAAAACGATTGTAGGTATAAAAATTCATACTATGAATTATTATTTTTTCAGGTTGTTATAAATGGTGCAGCGACCTTTGCTTTTGACAAAGTTTTTTCGGATACGTCTGATCAAGCGACAGTTTACGAAAACTCAGCCGCTCCTCTCTTAGACCGAATATTTGATGGTTCAGAGAGTTTCCGTGAATATTCATTTTTTAAAGTTCAGGCTTCAATGGTACGGTCCTGGCTTACGGACAGACGGGTAGCGGTAAAACGTATACCATGGGCACAGAAGACAAAGACGACACAGATGAAATCCAACGTGGAGTGATACCTCGGCTCGTTGATGGCATTTTCAGTAGAATCTCAGCAGCTCTCAACCCGGATTCTTTCAAGGTGTTTCACATTGAATTATTTTCCATTTTATCGTATTTCATATGCTACGAAGTTAATTCGTTGGTCACTAGCTGTTTTCATACGTAGATAGGTGATATTTGATAACAGAATATCATTTTTCCATTGTAGTAAAACTATGTTCTCTATGTGAAGTAATTCTTTTTTTTTTCCTAAGTAAGATCATTCAAACATAATATTGCTGTACAGTTCTCGAAAACTTTATTAGATTGGGTTACAAGAAAGAGGATACTATGATGATAGTGAGCCGACATTTTTTCTTTATTTTTTTTCATAAATTGAGGCGAATTCGAATTTATGAACAGATCCATATTCGTTATCCGTGTATACTTTCAAGTGTAATTGTTTTTTTTTTTCCAAACAGGTGAGCGTATCTATGTATGAAATCTACGGAGATGCTGTTTACGATCTTCTGCGCAGCGACAAAGTGAAGCTGGAAGTTCGAGGAGATGACCAAGGCTGCACAATCGTAGAAAATTTGTTGCGAAGCTGGAATCAAAATATGAGATTGTAGGTGAATCTCACCACGGCGCCAGTAAAAGATCTACTCGGAGCCCTCAAACAACTAACCCTTGGATGTCACTATAGGACCAAGGTTTTTGGATTTTTCTGACCTTTTTTTTTCTACGCCAGTTTTTAGGCTGAAACAGCTATGAACGCCACGAGCAGTCGAAGTCACGCCGTGTTCACCATCTTGTTAGAGAAGTTCCCAGATGAAGCCAAGTCTTGCTTTTCAAAAACTCTTGTCGAAAATGGATGATTTTAGTGACGCTTCTTTTTCTTCTAAACTTCAATTGGTAGATCTCGCTGGATCCGAAAGACTGAAGAAAACTCAGGCTGAGGGCGATAGAATGAAAGAAGGAATAAACATCAATTCCGGTCAGAGTTTACTTCTTTTTTTTTTGGTTTGGATTTATCAAATTTCTTCTTTAATAGCGAAATGATGAGTATGGTAAAAGGTCTGAGAGCTACGATATCTCGTGTTCGGAAGCACATTTCGGAGTTCTGCTCGAAGATTTTGCTCGTTGCAGAAATTGAAGTCGGTTCAAAATTAAAAAGTCAGTACATACTGCAGAATGCGTGAATTGTCAACGCTTTTGTGTTAAAATACTGACGGTCATTAATAACGAATAAAGAACCAGTTACTGTTGCTAATGTCCACGAAGGTTCGTGGTTTCAAATGATCACAAATAAGTTCTGATCGCTATTCCCTATTTTTGTGCCTTCGAATATTATCCAATACCGAAAGAAATAATCCGTTTCCAGGGCTGCTAGCCGTCGGAAACGTCATTTCGGCTTTGGTGCAAAAACAGAAGCACATTCCTTACCGTAGTTCAGTTTTGACTCGCGTTCTTCAAGGTATCTTTGTTCAAGTGCGGCAGTCGATATATTTATTCAGATTCTCTGGGAGGAAATGCCTTTACCGTCATGGTGGCCTGCATTTCGCCAGCCGATACAAATTCTGTCGAGAGTTTAAACACCCTCAGGTTTTTCATTTTAACATTGGATTATAATCATTTTCGCAGATATGCTGATCGGGCCAAGCAGATTAAAAACAAGCCAATCATTAATCAAAATGTCAAAGCGGAAGAGGTTTGTTCTTTTCTCGTGCATCTATTTGGATATGGTATGTTTAGATATCTTCTCTTCGGGCCCAAATCAAGCAACTGCAGCGGGAACTGTCCCAGGGAAGATCTAATAACGCTCCAGATGGCTTTTCAGCTTCTTTGAGGTTTTTTAAATTTCTTGTGAAAGATTTGCCATACTGACGATTTCATTTACAGTTCCGAGCTCATATCTCTGAAAGAAGAAGTTCGTAAACGGGAAGAGCAATTAAGAGATCGTGGTCTCAAGCTGGCCGATTCTCTTGTTAAAACGGTCCGAATTCATTTAACTTTTGTGATCTTTGCAGTTTTCATCATTTCAGAACGCACTCAACAGCAAAATATTACGTTTGGAAGAAGAGAAAGAGCGTATTCGAGAAGTCTTCCAGCAAGCTTGGAGAACGCTAGAGTTTCTCTTTTCGTATAATCATTTTTCATACTGCTTTCTTTCAGAAACACTGACGGCGTAGAACCGGAAAAGTTACTCGTTAAAATGAAGGATTCTTTTGAATCGTCGAAAGGAATATTTGAAGGATCCCAGATCGAGAATTGTAATGAGACTGCGGGAGGAGAGGAAGCAGAGGACACGATTGATGATTTCGATAGCGCCAGGTCTGACAATTTTCGTAATCTGTTTCTTTTCATTTCAAGTGTTTATTCGCCATTCCGCAATTTTCACGACAAATACGAAAAATAACACATCAAAACAATCAAATTTAACAGCTGGTCTGTGGAAACGGCTGGAGGAAAAGATTTCAACTTCTTTTTTTCCATTCCAATCTTCTGACTTTGATAACGGTTGACAGGCTCGCTGAGCTGCAAGCACAGATGGAGAGACTCGACCGGGAAATCGAGCTGAAAGGAGCCGATCTTCTGCAATCCGCTCAAACTCAGAACCAGTTCAACGAAGACGACGTCATTCGCGAAGTTTGCTCTGGAATCCTTCTGGTCACATTTAATATGAATCTTAAGGAAGAGAAGGCAAAACTAGTGGCTCGCTGTAACGAGCTCGAGTCCGAGATTTCTAAGTTGAAGAGTGAGCAGCGAAAAGCAAGTACTGCTTCCAAGTAATCTTTTTCTTCACATTTGTCTGTAAGAAACAAACATTTTATTCCAGACTCGCGGAGGAACGCCGATTGAAGCTTCGCGAACTCGAGAAGCAGCACGAGGAGGACAAGAAAAAACTGAACGAACTCCGGAAACTGCAAGAATTCCGCAAGAAATGCGAAGAGTCGCAAAAGAAGATGGAAGAGGAGTTGAGGCAACTCAAACAGGTTCAAACTTTAAATTTCCTTCTTTCTCTTAACTATCCATGTAGATGCGCGTTCGGCTGCTCAGAGAACAACAAACAGAGGCGAACAAGTTCAAATTGTTCAAGAGTAAGCATGAAAAGGAGCTGCAGTTGATGAAGACCAAGCAGCAGAGAAAAGAGTTCGAGGCCAACCGCCAGCAGAGGCAAGACCAACAGCGCTGCGCCGTCCTTCAACAGGTTCTATTTTTCTTCCCTGATTGGTTCAAATATGCACTCCACTCAATTTTTTCTCAGTTTTCCACCAAATTCTGTTTTTTTCAATTCAAAATATTTGTTTTCAGAGGTTAGCCGATGCCAACAGAGCGAACAAAGCTTTGCGTGAGCTGGTTCTGAAGCGCGGCAACAAAAAAAGCGCTCCGAAAGAAGCCAAAGGTGTCCAGGTTTTGTTCTGATTTGTTTGATCCATAAAACTCCTTTACTTATTCAGCAAATGGTCGAAGAAGAGCTGGAAGATCTGGCGCAATCTTATCACAGCCAACTTCTAATCGACGACCTCAAACAGCAGAGAGCCGAACTGGAGCAGCAATATCGCAGCATTGACGGGTTCTCCATCAACGACCGCGCCGCTCCCAGCAAACGGGTAAGTCGAAAATTTCTTTTTTGTAGACGTTTCGAATTTCGATCTCTTGTTGAGCGGTCGAAAGTTAAAAAAACCATTTGAAGCCGTGAAATCGGAAGAAAAAAACCTGTTTCTTCCTTTCAAACGTTCGCATTCAAGAATTTAAGGAAACAAATCAAAATTCAGAAAAACTTATCAATGAATTTATTTTATCAGGCACGTTATTCTCTTTTGGAGAACTCAACCGCCGAAGACGAAGAGGAATTCGAAAAGGAAAAAAAAGACAAGCTGGAGAAAATTCAGAACTCCATTGCTCTGCTGTTTGTGAATACCGGAGTTTAATTAAATTTCGTGATATTTTAGAAACTCGGAGATCCAGGATCTGCTGAAAAGTTCGACGATTCTCGAGGACACTGGTTCTTCTGCCAAAGTCGACAAGCTCGCAAGTCTGAATCTTTCTGCCGAGTCTCGCGAAACCTTCGACGCCATCCTCAATCTTGCAAAGGCAAACGTGAAGAAGGCGGTAGAAATGGAGTTCAGAGTTTTCAAGCAAAAAATCAGATACGAAGATCGTCTGGCGAAAAAAGCTGAGACCGAGGTGACTCGCTATTTGAATATGATGCTAATATTCTCTTCTAGAAAATCAAGCTTGCTGAACTGGCGGAAATGAACGACAGATATGAGATGCTAGCAGAAACAATCGACAAGGCCAAAAAGAACTATTCCGAGCATGTTCGTTTTTTTTAAACACGCTTTCAATTTTCTCGAGCATTCAACAGCAAGATTTAAATGTAGTGTTTGTCTTCAGGACATGGTACCTAGTTATAACGGAAAAACGAGACATCCCAGTTATAAAAAGTAGGCTAAACAGATTTTTCGCTTTCTGATTGGCAAGAGAATGACGCGTCGCGAATCGTTCTTTCACTTGCATCTACACATTCGAACTTTAATTTCGTTTCTAAATTTTTGCGGAAAATTTTATGGTTTCAGTTGGATAATAATAATAATGGTGCGACAGTTTTAAAACACTTTATCGTAGAACAACTTCCTATTAACTTCAATTATCATTTGTTCCATATTTTTTAACGAATGTCTGATACAGCTGTAAATTGAGGTTGATTACAGATCGGAATGCTTTTGTTGATGCGTAAAGATCGAATCGATGGAGGATGTCTGCAGAAGTTGGAAGAGTTGAAGGAACATTTCCTCAACATTGAGAAAGATGTCAAGAAAACTGCAAGGGTGTGTTAATGCAGACTTACTGTATTGTGTGTGATCTCGGTCGGACGAGTTTCGGATTAGAATAGGCAGAATGTTTTGCAAAAGTCTTCAGAACACTTCAGAACATGTTTTTTTCTTGCTAGCTGAGGTCTTGAATAGCTTATCGCCAAAAACCCTTCACAAAGGTGGTGAAATAACGGAAAAAGTCAAAATAGGTAGCAACTTCTGGGGTTCTGAGCAGGGGAGGCCAGCAAGTAATTTCAAATCCAAATCGCGCATTTTTGCTAATTGAAAGAAAAACAATTGGGAGCATGTTTCTCCTCGATTCTTAAAACAAAACGACGTTTAAGTCTTTTCATCAATAAAAAACATTTTTCAGTTTTAAAAACGGAATTTAGAGAGTCCTAATGAATTTTTATCATTGTTGACATCTGTTCTGGCAGCCTTCATAGTTGGTTCTCACGCAGACATGTTTTTTTTGTTTTCCAGCGGAGAACGATTCATGACGGACTAACTCCAAAACCGGAATTGAAGAGAAGTGACCGGAGCCGCAAGCAAAGAGAGCTCTACGGGGTTCGACCTTCCACTTTGTTCCATTGAATCAGAACTTATTCTCAGACTGCGATCCGATATAATGACACGGAAGCTTCATTCCTTGTTGACAAATCAAGAAATCACCTGGACTTGCCCAGAGAGTTGGTTAAACTTGGGGACTGTTGATGGATTCCGAACTTTTCAGCAGAGTACCATTATCGCCGATCAATCCAGATAATGAAGACGAAGAATTTGGCAATGAGAACCAGGTGATTCCTTAGTTCTTTTCCCATCTCATTTTCAACTTTAAGAACAATACATTTGTGATTCCGTCAAAGTCATCTGGTTCGGCTGAAGATCTCAATACGACGTTTGTGATTTCTGGAGCGAGTCGTTCGTCATCTGATGAGGTTGGCTTGATTTTAGAAAATCAATATCAATTCGACGTTTTTAGGCGAACCTCATTCCACCTCTGAGCGTGAAAAGTCGCAAGTCGGCGCTGGGAAATTTATAAATCTTGTTTTGTGTTTCTCAGCTTTTGTGTCATCAAACCTTGATGTGATTATTGGTGATGACACATTTATTCTTCTTTTCGAATTTCATTGTAATTATTTTCGGGATTATTTGTATGCATGCGCGAATTTCCTTGAAATTACTGTGATTTTTCATCTCATAACCACAAACATGTTAGATCCTCGAGTCATTCGTCTTTGAAAACACTTTCACGGCTTAACCTTCTGTATTAACATAAATATTTATTCATTTTTTTGTACGAAAAAAGCATCAAAATGGGTTATTAGACCAAAGTTTTTTTGAAATTTTCTTCAGATTTTGAATGTCAAGTAGCAAACTCCAACTCTTCTCGTACAGTACTTTATCGTGGGGGCCATTTAAAAAGAAAAAGAAGTCAAAAATTCAGCCCTATTGGAGGGTCATCGTCATATGCGATAAAACATAGACGCGAAAGATACTGTAGCCTTGGGGGCGGAGTTAGCTGCATGAAGTTCAAAATCTGAACAGACTAAAACTGTAAGTTTTCATACACCCGGCCTATGATTACATTGGACTTTTAGTAGTCTCCTTTTAACCAAAATAGGCAGTCCTTTCCGTTTTGTTATTTTTCTGAAATCTCCTAAAGAAAAATTAACGCTCCACCAATATGAATACGGATCTATTCGAGTGATTCGATATGAAAGATACTTTTTTCGTTAAAATGATTCAACCTTTTCAATAGACTTGGTAACAGGTGCTTCTTCCCTTTAACGATATGATTTTTGGTAGGGTTGTGAATGAGCACATGATATTTCAGAATGAGAGGGCAGAAACGCCAAGCCCCATGTCATCAGACGAAAAAGGAATTGAAGCCGTCGAGAAGGGGGCGTCGGATCGATACGAGTCCCTTCACACATGGCTCCGAGGCTTTTCGCGTTCTTGTCGTTGCTGACGGTTCTTACAGTTTACGCAGACCGGCCACAGTCCAACATCGACCAGATTTCCTACGCCCGTCAATGTCCGCGTACGCCGATTTTCTTGTTTATAAATGATCCACGAAGTTCTGGCCGTTGAACAGGAAAAAGTTCGATCGCACTGCAAATTAAGATAATTGAATTCTTTGGGGGTTAAATGATCACAATAAATAGAAGCGTAAAATTCTGTGCGCTTTGCATAAATCGCCTTGAGCTCCAGAGACTTTGCATTCAAGCAAAAATAAGAAATTTATGAATTTTTTTCCCAATATCTCGTGACCTTTATAAAAACACTAAAAAACAAATGAAACAAATCGTTCCATTTTTTGCAATTGATTGTTTTTTACGGCGTTAACGAAGCATAGAAGAAAAAACTATTTAAATTACCCATTTCAGGCGACTGGGAGTTCGAATGCAGGAACGGCGAATGCATCGCTTACTACGACGTTTGTGACGGGATCCCCCAATGCAGCGACGGCTCCGACGAAATCAACTGCGAGCAGATCAGGTCCGTGAATACCTTCTCTTGGTCAGCAAGCAAGTCTCAGACAGTGCTACGTCGGTCGGTCATTATTGCGCTGTCAGTTTCGGAGCCCGGAAATTTTTCCGTGTTTTTTTTTTGCTACTGTTACGGACCTGTGTCTCGAAGTTTCACAAAAAGTACAAAAGCTTTCATTTTATTTTTGGGAAACCTATACGAATTACCGTAATACGGCTGGCCACCTCAAACAGGCGTGTCAAAAAATCAAAAGAGGTCCGAATGGTTTTTTGGCGAATCAACATCTCTCAAGGCTTTTTTGTTGATCCAGATCTGATTTACCTAGGCGTATAAAGATGACTTTTAGCTGGAGATATTTATCGTTTTTGAAATTGACAGGGTTAGCGAAGCAGTGTACGGAGAGAGGGAGATTTCCATTTTTAGTATTTTTTTTTACTTGGGCGTCGAAAAGATTTAGTGTGCTCAGAATATGGTTTGCAAGCTTCCAATCGCAGTTTTTTCCGCTCTGGATTCATCAAAAAAAAATTTGTAAGTGCCTTTATTACGAAAATATACCGTTTAATGTACTTTCGAAACTTTTTGAGTCTAATTTCTTTATAATTGTTCGCAAAAATTTAAAAAGAAAACGAAGTAGATAGTAAATTTTTTTGTCACTTAACTTTTAGAGTTTAAATTTTTGGGCCTGATAAGCTTTTTTTAAAGTTTGTTTTTTTATGAATCTTAATTATTTTTAGTGATGACATAACTTGGTCTCTTCTGCGATAAACTCCATATATTTCAGAAAATGAAAGTTTTTGTAAGCTTTTTTACGCCGTTTGGTTTTAATCGAGTTATAACGCCTCAAAATTTGACGGCTATCATTTTTTATCTAAAGAGGGCTTTTTTCTAGCTGAAGAAATTGAGACCTTTTCACCTTTCTTGGTATCCGGGTTCTTCGAAATTCGCATCAACCATTTTTAGCGAAATTCCAGAACTTCCATTTTTTCACATTTCTTGTTATGATTAGTCGAATATGCTCATTAACCTAGACAACTTTTCAAGGCAGAAAATTTTTGAGGAGATTCGACCCCCCAAGAGACTCAAAAGATGAGATGTTTCCGTTGCGGTTCTGAAATAACGTATTGTTTGACTTTTTTACGACAATATTTCGAGAATTATTATCGGTTGTGTCACTATCTCTAATCGATAAAACGCTAAGCAAACGTTTTCGAAACCCTGGAAAACCTAAGAAGAAGAGAGCAATGAGCGAACAAGAACTATTCAAAATTATTCAAGCCGAAATCGAAGGGTGAGTTTTCTCTTACCTCTCTTAATTTTCCATGCTTCATCGTTTTCCGTTTTCTTTCATGACAGTGTGTAGTTGAATTACTTTTATAGATAAATTATCCACTTTCAAAAAAAAAAAAACAAAAGTCAAAACAACTTTCGCCCGTTATGGACTGTACTGGCTGGTATTGGGTGTAGAATTTGATTGAAAGTATTCAGAGCACGAAACAATGGGAGAAATCGCGGAGAAGCCGCAACCACGACAGTCGCTCCTGTGACGACAACGACACTCGCCGAGCAAGGCTATGTGGTTCTAACTGCGCGACAACTCTTCTTGGGCTTCGTCGCGTTCGCCGTCGCGGCCGTCGCTGTCGTCGCGCTCATAAAGCGGAGAGCACGCAAAAAGGCCGTAGTCCGTAATCGTCGAGGCAATATTCTGCAGGTATTCCCTTCTTCTGTTCGCTTCATGCTTTTCGAAACTTGGAGAGGTGCAATTCTTTTCGACGATTAAATTGCAGAAAAGTTTTCCCTCTTTTTTTAAAGAACGTCGATTTTTTGCTCGCGAATGACATTGGTATAAAACACCCGTTGGCAGAATCGTCACCTTATTCTTACGCTCCATCGATAACGCAGAAAGTAATGTGCGATCGGAAAAATAAGTCGATAATTAAAAAGAAATCTATAAAAATGCATGAAAAAGCTTCATATAACTGATTTTTTTTTTTTTCCAGGAAAGAAAAATTTCGACTAGTTATTCATATGATCAGTGGTCACTTAAAATACTGATTTTTTTTTCAGCAAGACTCCGATGAAGACGACATTCTCATCAGCTCCATGTACTCATAGACTCCGCTCACTTCATTCTTGTTTCGAAATACGGGATTTGGAAAATTCGCTCTTGTTCACTTGTATTTTTCATGAGAATTAGTGAATTTTGGGAGTGCGATCTACCCCAACTACGTCAATCATTCACTGGCCACGCTTTTTAGAAAAACAAAGGTTTTAATTTCGTATGGTAATTTAAAATTATTTTGCTTCATCGATCTTCTCAGGCCACCTCAAAGGGCGTGTTCGACCCACTGGAAAAAAATTTTTTTGTTTGGTTCATTTATTTTTGAAAAAAACTCATTAAAGTAATAAATTTATTTTTTTGAAAACCTTTTTTTCGGTTCTCGACAGCAAAAAAAAATATTTACGACAGGGGTCTTACAACGAAATAACAACGAAATTGCAAAGGTTTGTAATTTTTAAATAGCTGCAACTTCGTCGAGAAAATATTGACCAGGATTTTATTCTTCGCAATATTTAGACTGACACCTTATTGATTCGACTTAATTTTTTGTGTTCGAAAAAGAAGACTGAAATTTTGAAAAAATGAGTATATAGACTGGAGAGTGTGCTCAGGTCCCAAGCAGTAAAGATGGTCTTTCCTCAATTATTCTCCATGGATGGGACGTGAAAGCGTGAATTCGGACTATTTCTAAATCAATCTCCTCGGCGGAAATGTGCGTGGGGAAAAAGAAAACGAAGACATCAAACTTGGTTCCTCCAAAAGGCCGCCGACCGTCCGCAAACCTTATAACGGCCCAGGTACAGGTAGCAATATTCAAATTGAAAAAAAAAATCCACTTTCCAATTTTTTTTTTCAGAGGAGCGAGGTGAAAGTATCTAAGGATCACGACAAAAAACATTTCGAGAGGAGTATTGAGAGGCCAAAATGTCTAGAAAAAATTGATAAAAAGTTGAATAACGACGCTCCAAAAGGTTACATTGCTAAACAACAGGGAGAAGTTCGGAAGGCTGCAAAAAGGAACCTCAAGAAGTTTTCAAAAAAAAGCGAACTTCTCTAATTACCTTTTTGTCATTTTTGCATCCTTCTCAGTTCTTGCAAAAATTGTCCTGGTCTTCGAACTTTTTCGTTGACCTCATTTCCGAATCTATCATCAGGGATATCTTCGAACTTTGTCTTGGAAGCTTTTCGATTTCCGAATTCAGTGCACACGCATGCAAGTGGGGATAAGAAGAAAGACAGAGCGACACATGAAACGAAATTTACGGTAACAGTGGAAAAGAGGATTCCCGAGAAAAAAGACGAAGGCAAGACGTCGGGGCTAAAGAAAGCCTCTGCGAAGAAAAATTTCGAAGTTCGGCCTCTCGACGAGACCGGCAATGTGCCAGCTGGACACAACGACTCAGCGTTTGTTTCTTTTTCTCTTTTCCTCTTCTTTTTTGTAGCACAAATAACTCAAGTTTTATGAGGAAGTTGAAAAACGGGAAGATCGGTCCTCGTTTATAAATAGTTTTCAAGCAGGTGGGAAAAATCAGAGTGCCTCCTAAAGGGGTTTCAAGGCAGATAGTATATCTCCAATTTGACGATTATGTGAGCTTGAAAATGGTTTAATACCGTTATTCAACAATTTTTTTCTGGCACGATTTCAATTGAACCGCGAGCGACTATTTGGAGAGCTCGTTTATCGCTTTTTTCGTTTCTTTCTCAATTTTCATTGATTTTTTTCATCTGTGCGTTTGAAAAGGGTAGAATATATACAAAAAGAGCGGTAACCGAGCTTTTCAAATAGTCGGTGGCTCTTGAATTCAACTCGAGCTAAGAACCGCGTACGCATACGCTACGCGTCCCGCCCATTTCTCCGCCTCCCTCACCTTTAAATTCGGGATGAATTGACTATACTCAAAAAGCTTTCAGACGATCTGCACACATAACGCGCACGGAGCAGCTCGAGAACGCCCAAGTGACGGGAGCGCTGGCGTCGTTCGACATCAAGGCAGCTTTCGTCAAGCCGCTGATCATAGGAGTCGAAAACGACGACAACAGCTGCAGAGTTAGCCGCGTCGTCTTGGCCTCACTTATCGACGTTACAGGATACGGTAGAGGACGTCGCCAGCGACATGGAGGACATGATCTTCGCTCCTTTGCTTTTTCCCATCCTCCCGGAGGCAGTGAAAGCCTTCCGCGTCTACGAAGACGATCCTGTCCGTCTCATTCGACTCTAGTCACTTCATCGCAATTTTCAGGGGGCTGATAGGAAAACGACACTTTCGAAAATCGACGGAACCTTACTACAGACCTCGGTTGGCTCCCGCGACGACGACAATGCCGTGCCCGTGTTCAGAAGCGCCACCAGGCTCTGACCTCTGGTTACTAATAAATTTTATATGTATTGTGCAGCACGTGGTGAACGAAAATGAACTGGAAAAGTTTTCGAATAAATGAAGAAAAAAAAAATTATTGCATAGGATTATAGATTAACAGCGTTTTCTGAAAGAATGGAAGAAAGTACCTTGTTTTTTCATTCATTTTCTTCAGAGATTACATCGAAAAACTAGGTTAACAAAAGAAAAATTCATACAGTTCTTTTGCACTGAATTTTTACATGAAACCATTTCTTTAAAAAAAAGGTCATTTTATTTCGCGGTTGTTGATTTTTCTGCGAATCGGTCATAGTATTATCAATTGATAAAATGAAGATCCTAAAAATTTTCTGACTTTCCGTGAATTCTTAACCGCAAATTTAAATTACCCTTCTAGCGTTTGAAAAAAGATAAAATAACTAAAGAAAATTTCAAACATTTTAATGATCCTTTTGATTTTTGAACTTTGAAAGTTAACCCAGAGAGGTGTGAAGAAAACGGATAGATGCAGAAAAGAAGTTTTATCTGCGAAAGGGTCATTGCGCCGAGACGAGGGTCTCGTCGAAGGTCTGCGTCGGGGACAGAGTCAATTCCTCGGACAGCGGCGTCAGTCCGAGCAGCATCCGGCTTGTCGGGTTCGTCTGCCACGACAAATTATTCCAACTTTTGCTGCTTCAGTACCTGCCAGTCGAAGGGCACGCTCAGATCAATTCCGTTTTGTTGGGCCATCGCAACTATAGTTCTCGAGATTTTGTTGTAGTCCGGAGTATCAGATGCACTAGACGGTTTTTCTTTCTTTCTTTATTTCATTGCTTTATATGAGATCTATTTTATTCATCAAATCGAAATATATTGTTCATTTTTCGCTTTCTGCGTCTCATAAGGGACGTCAGTTCAATATGAACGTTGAAATTCTTGTAAATTCGCAAAAAGATTCAAAGGTTAGAAGAAAGATTCAGCATAGTTGCTACCTTCGCAAACTTTTTTTTCGAGCTACAGTCCGTTTATCGCGACTTGAAAGGGCGGGACTTCTCTGCGCCCTCCCCGTCTTTCGAGGACCCTCTCTTGTTGACGCGCTGTTTCCATGTTTCTCTGACCTCGCCGCTGAGGGAGCAGAGAGACGCAGACACTCGAAAACTGTCAAGTCGCGATGAATGGACTATATGATTTCTTTTTGCGCAACGCTGCGGTTGATTTCAAAACTCAAAAACTAGGAAGAACGATTTGAACAGACTTGAGCGCGATAATCGAGTTGAAGATGGAGATCCAGCCAGATGGCAAGCCTGAAAACAGCCGTCTTTTCCCGGTCTCTCGTCGTGCATAGATCTTCCATTCGCGGCAACGAGCAATGTCGAGGTGCACACGTTGATTGTGCCACGGGAGTCCTCCTGTAAAATCCAGACTATATTTTCAATTTCAAACAAATTTTTCAGTAATTGGCTCAATTTATAGACGATTCACGGCTAGCTTGGGACGCAAAAAGGCGTGGCCTGTCTGCACTCTCCACCAACCAGGGCACTGTCTCGTCTCTTTTCGTGGCAGGACCCTTTTCTCGATGGCTCAAGCCAGCCGTGAATCAGCTATAACTATGTCTCGAAACCGATGGCACGGTCGCGAAGTGAAGCGCGCTCAAAGTCACTATCATATTTACTTGAAGACTAGAAAAAAAGTTATATATTTGGATATGCAAAAGGCAAAAAAAATTTTCCACAGCTATAGCCTATAGATAATGTGGCTTGCCATCGTAGTTGTTTGGCATTTCTTGGCCCTATTTTATCTAGGGGGCGCAAAGCCCCGCCCCTTCACGCCACCAAAATGACGATTTTTTTGTTGCAAAAACGGTTTTGAGGCGTTTATACTAGCTAAAGTCCCACTTTAAAAATCAACTGTTTCTGAAAACCTATGTAATCGACAACGCTCTACAAGACTGAATATTTTTTTAAAACTATGTATTTTTTTCAAAAAAATAAGCGAAAAAAAGTAAGATTTAACACGAAAAAAACTGACAAGTTTCACAAAATCGTCGCGTTTCAGAAAACCAAGTGAGGAACGCTTCTAAATTTTTTTAGTATGTTATACATTAACACTTTCTTTATTTTTTTGAGTGAAAATGAAAAAAATCTACCGACGCGAAAAATATTAAAGCTTGTAAAGTGACACCAAACTTTGAAGCTGAAATGCGAAAAAAATTTCAGCGACATGGTATACTTTTTATTTGATTTAAAAACTAACAGTGTGTCCAAGAATAAAAATTCAAAATGAAAATAATTATTGGGACAGCGAATCAAATTATATTTGAGTTTTACCAAAACCTCCTTTTTTCGCCTGCCTCGTTGACGCATGAGAGAATAGGATCGCGTCTATATTTTTGATTATGTTATTAAGCGTTCAAAACTCTATCAATGAAAAAATTATGAAAAAAATCGATCGACGCGAAAAAAATAACGGCTTTGAAATCCTCGAAAAAATGGCAATTTTTTTTGAAATTTCGGAAGATTTCGTGCAAGTGTCCGTAGCAGTGTTTGCGTCAAACACACCGATGCGCCCTTTTAAATGTCGCAGGAGCCGTTTTTCGGAGTCAAATTGCACTTTTTTTCCTGTTTTATTTCGAAATAACATTATTTTTTTCATTTTTTTCTTTTTTTCCAAATCGAATGATAATAATTTTTTTCTGAGTAGAAAAAAAGAAAAAAATAAGCTGAAAAAAAATCCTTTTTGACCTTTTTTTCTAGGTAGTTTTTTTGATATTTCATCAAAACTTCTTATGAGGATTGTACAAAAAGATTCATACCAAAACATGAGGCTCAGTTCGGACAACCTCTCAGAACAGAAAACCGATTTAAAAAAACGGTCCAGAAACGCGCAAAAAAACATTTAAAAAGAAAGCGTGCGGCAGCGGGTAAACCGTGAGATTTTGCCTCCAGTTGTACGCCGCGCGCGCTCGTTTTTTTGGCCATAACTTTTTTTCTTAGTGAACCTTTTTTTCAAAAAAACTAAACGGATTATGAAAATGGACAGTCTCCCCTATCGAACAATGTGAAAAACATATTTTTTGAATCATTCTGAAGAAATGGCTTGCGGACCCTAATTTTATCCCTCAAAAAATAATAAAATCTTGAAACCTCGCAGCAAATGGACAATCATGTAAAGCCATCCTTCTAAGTCGTCGGCAGGAGTCTGGTCCATGAAGGAAGCCGATGCAAGAGGGGCATACGGAAAAGTGCCGACGCAGGGTCCGTATCCTCTCAGAAGGAAGCGGGTGCCGCTGTCGTCTCTACAGACGCCATCTTTTACTTTCTCTCCTCCTCACCTGTATCGTCGCGTGAGGCCAAAGTCCAGCATGTAGACCGTCGAACTGTCCGAGCCGAGTCCCACGGCGAAGTTGTGGGTTTTGAGGTCTCTGCAAGAACAGGTGGCGTCATCGAAAGGACTCTAGTATCTATCATGTTTTTTACTCATCCATAGGAAATTTCGTCATCATTTCAATTCTTACCATCAAAAAATTGGAGATTGATTCGCAAAATAGCCTACATTCGCCCTACCTATTGAGCCAACCAGCACCGTGAAGCACGCGTATACGCTCAAGGGTCTGTAGAGCATACTTGTAGACGGTGGATTGAGAGAACCGTTTCGACGGCATCATGTGGAGCAAGGTTGCAATGTCGGGTCCCACCTGTTGTTCACTCTCCGTAACGTTTATCTGGAAAACTTCGAGGGGACTCGAAGAAACGCACCAGCTGCATGACGACGTACTTGAACTCTGTGGTGCGGCCGCTTGCCGCCAGCTGAGGGAATCCGACGACGCCTGATAACCGCGACAAGACTGCATGGTCGAGCTGTAAAAAAGAAGCTTTCTAGTGATCACTTAAAAGCACCGGATCCCCCACTTTTTATGAAAAGGTCTGAGAATTTACCAATTTTATTCTATCATATTCTGATTTTTTAAATCATGCGCGCACAATTAAAAGACACTTTCTGCTCAAATTCAAATTCATATCAAGTCTGTAGTCAGAATAGGCACTTCAATAAGTTGTTGAAACAATTTGGCATATCAGATTATTGTTTTGGGCGTTTATAAAATGCAACCGGTGCGACTTCCTCTGAAATCCGACCGTTAGGCGCGGACTTGTTCTGCGCCATTTGGGTTTAGGATGAGTTGGAAAAAAAAATGAGTTTTTCTTGTGCTCCATAGCTAATTAATAAAGTACGAGCGTTTCTCAATCAACTTTTTCTCTTTTTTTTCAATTTTTTTGTATTTTTTTAAATTATTTTTTTATTAAAAAGGGCGATTCAGAAGCAGCAGCACTAACTGATCACCATACGTTTTTTTGAAACGAAACGATAAAAAAATTCCCGTTTTTTTCTTATTAATTTTTTTGATAGAGCATAACAGTCGTTTATTAATATATTTGGGTCGTGTTTTGTAAACGCCCGCACTTCATAGCAGGCCAAAATTGGAAGATGGGTCATAAGTTCTTTTCTCTTACTTTGAGGACGGGTCGCATGCATCCATCTTGTTTCTCCACTTTCATAGCGTACGGCATTCCATCCTGCTCCACCTCAATTTTTCTTTAATTTTTTTTTATTCTTCTTTCACTTTTATTTTCTGATTAATACTAACCAGATATACGCTTGAGAAAGGTCCACTACTGATTAAAGATTCAACTTTCCATTTGCGTGATTGAAGTTCAATAGTTTTACCAACCTGAAAATTTAAACCTTTAGTGAGAAAAAAACATCAATACAAAAACAAACAGGAAGAAGACGACATTCATGGCTTTGGGACGACATGCGATAGGAAGAAAAGACGGAGCGAGAGACACGAGTTTATGAAAAAATACAAGTCAGAATGAGCTTTCTTGAAGATTTTCATTATTTCACGTTTTTAAATTCTCGATTTTATAACTTTAAAGCGATATATTTCCAGTTGTAGGAGGTGTGCAGCTGGTGAGATACTTAGTTTTCCTTGATCCTCAGAATTTCCTTCATCGATTGATATAGGTCTAGACCAGATTGGTTTCCATGATCTCAGCGTCAAAAATGGAAAATTCCAAAGGGATTCCAAAAAGACTGCAATTTTTCAGTTTCCTCAAAACGCTAAAATATTGATTTGAAAACATTATTTGATAAATAATGACGTCCTAATTATGAAGGTAGAATTGTTCTAAACCTTCTAGAAAAAGAGTTATGCGTCTTTCAATGATTTTCACGTTTTGAAATTTTCCATTTTTATCGCTTTAGAAAGACTTGAAAAAAGTTTGAGCTTTTTGAGCCTTTTTGAGTCTTTCTTGAGACCTCGCAAAGTCGGGCTTAGGATATGGTCGGGGGCCGATAGGCTGACGGGCAGGCCCTCGCAAAAGCCTGTTTTTCATTTGAAGGAACATGGACTCTTGAGTGACGAACGCCCGAGGGGAATAGCTCTAGCTTTTGTTACAACAGCACTTTGGCAACAACTCCGGCCATGACCATCGCAACACACTATTTTTCTGCCAATAATTCTTTCAGGACTGATACCAAGCAATGGAATGGAAATTTCAGCATTATTACAAAGAATAAAAAGCATCAATTAATCAATCGTCCATCCTTTGCAAAGGAAGAACTCGAAAAAGACGGCTTGCTTTTGACTCAAAAAGACGTGGCCTGTCTGCGCTCTCCACGCACAAGGCGCTCTCTCTTTTCTTTTCGTGTGAGGACGCCTTTTTCGATAGCTCAAGCCAGCCGTAAGTCAGCTATATACTGTGGTTCTTCCTATTTGCTTTTCAAACGTGACGAGTTCTTCACTATAAGTCTATAAAATTTTGAGAGCATGTCTGAAAAGTCGGTCGGTTCGGACGCTTTTTTTAATCTGGCCATTTTTTTCAAAAATTTTTTTATTAGTTAAACTTTTTCAAATGTACAAAAAAATGTGTAGAATTATCGATTTTTAGTTAGTTTTTAAGATTAGAAAAAAACCAAATATTGGCGTCTTAAAATAGGAGATTTTGTGTTTTTTCAATTAATTTCATGTCAACCTTTTCAACTTGGCCAGAAATCGAAAATATATTAAGTGCGCAATTATTTACATCAAGATTTGAGAGAATTTTTGGTTTTTTCTTCAATTTTTGAGCATGAGGTTTTTTTTTCAGCATAACGCTTGCATAGGCACTGCTTTTTGCACGATTACAATCAAGTCCACCAGTTCCAGGCATAATACTCATACTAGCTGATTCACTTCTGGCTTGAGCTATAGAAGCAAGGTCGGACACAGTAAAGAAAAGAAATCCGTGCTTGGCTAGGGGTAGGCAGGCTTGTGCGAGGGCCGACCCGTCAGCCTCTCGGCCCCCGACCGTTTTGTCCGGTCTCAGCGGGCCTTCAAGCAAAAATGTTTCGGCCCAAAAAGGCCAAATTTTTTTCAAGTCGAATATTCGACTTGAAAATATCAAGCTTTCTTTACGACAAAAGTCACGTTTTTGCTTTTTTTTTTTCACTTACGGCGATTCAAGAGCTACGTGAGCCTGTCTGATAGGATGTTTTTTGTGCATGCACCGCACGCGCAACTTGAAAAACTTTCGAGATTTTTAAAAATTTTTTGATGACCGAAAAATAATTTTTTGTATTAAGTGCACTTGGTGTTCAACAGAAACTATGATTTAGAGTAAAAAAATAATTTTTTTCGGTCATAATGTTTTTAATTAAATTTGAATTTTTTTCTGAGCCCGCCCTGGCCCCAAGCCTGCGCAGGCTTTTTCTCAATAATGAGGCCCGAAGCCCGGCCTGACGCACAAGCCTGGAAGTGCAGACAGGGCAAACATGACAGGTGCGCTGGAGCACATGTAGTTGGAAAGCGATATGAAATTTTTTTTTGTCTTCTCCGGCGCTAATGGCTCGCAGCCACGGCGTTTCTGCCAGTTGAAGAAAATGCAAGGAATTTGAAACTCGGCAAAGTCTGCGCACTTCTCGAAATTCGCCCGCGAAATTTGAAAAAGTGGCTTTATTTTTTATTTTTTGTCTATTTTTTCATATTTTTTCACTTTTTCTTTGCGTAGATTGCTGATAGTATTGCGGGACCACGATCGGGGTATACTCTGGGTTGTTAGACGTTTTTTTGAAAGTAGTTCTGTGAGGCTAACTTTAAAACTCGTGATGAAGAAGCGTTTTGAAAAATCTCCACCTGTTTGTATGGAACATGTTTCACCCCATTTTATGTTTTTCTTATTCTATTTTTTTGTCGATTGTTCAGATTTCTAGGTTGTGGACATCAATGAGATGAAGTTACATGAAAAAAAGTCTGTGAAGTTGAGAAAGTATGTTCCGGAGTTCATTTATATCCGGATATTCCGTCAACTTTTTATAATAAAAAAAGTACTTGCTGTAAAACATCTTTTTATTTGTTTCTCCACAGCAATATAGTTTTTATTTAATCTCTTTTAATTTCCTCGTCTTTTTTTCTTCAATGTTCATTCTTTTTCTCACACTTATATCATCGGTTAACCTTATTTTTCCAAATTTTTTTGTGCATGCACTAAACACGTCCTAATTGACGGAGAAAAGTGGGCGGGGCGTCGCAAAAGAAACACCGTGCAGCCTCAGCTGAGGTTGCTCACGCTGCACGACGAATGCCTGATCAGGCGCCGAACGCCGGGGTTTCATTTTTTTTTTTTTTTGTTCATATAAGATAAGAAATTCCTTTTTTTTCTCAATTTTATGCATTTTCTCTCATCGGAGAAACGGTACATGCTAGCCAACGCAAAAGCGTGTTCATCGGCGCTCCAAAGTTGCTCCAAAACATGACTATTTTTTTTTGGAACATCAATCTTGCTTTTCGGAATATTTTTCGTTTTTTTCCGATTAACACGCAATTAAACTTTTTTCAATTTAAAAATGGTTAGTCTTTTCGCAACATTTTTCGAAACAGTTTTCGAAAGTGAGCGAGGATGCTAATAATGCCGTTTTCAATTTGATTCCGCGAAACGCAAAATGATCTCTGACTCTCCAAAATTCAGTGATCTTCCCCTATCTCTAACGGGTATTTTGCGTTTCGCGTAATTAAATTGTACACGGCATAATAACACGAAAATGAAAATTACGTATTTGAAATACTTTGACGTAGGGCGGCAAAAGGTCGCCACAACTCTTTCTCTGATACACATGATTTCGTCGCGATCTTGCTGCGAGAAAACGACGAAATAGTGTCTGTCAGGGAAAGATTTGTGGCGATCTTCTGGCGCCCTCATGTCAGAGTAATTATTATTTTCCACTCAAAAGACAAAGATAAGACACTGTGCTTTTGTATATTGTCGTTCTTCCTATATTTTTTCAATGTGTCAAGCTCCTGCGACCTGAACGTTTATCGGAATGAAGTCCCATTTTTAAGGTATCGTGAGGCGGCAGTATCCAACAATTTCTACTCTGTCAAAACGATGAGTGAACAAAACGATAATTCTTTCCAAAATAAAGACGTCTTCGTTTTCTCAGAAGGCAGTACGCATGATTCAGGTAAACGTGACTCTTAATTGACGAAAAAAGTTGTTTCAGAGGCGACAACCGAGGCTAATGAGCAGTACCCCGCGATTCCAATGGACGAAGAAGACGAAGACGTCAGATTTTTTGAATTATAGCATTGAAGAACTGATAAGAAGCAATTTCAGGAGATCGAACAGATTTTGACGGAGAATTTAGTTCCTGATAGCGATCGCGAAATGCTCACGCTGCACGACGAATTTCAACATCCGAACAAAAAAGAAGATTTAAATGTATTTTTTTCTGTTTTTTCGTCTTTTTTTTTCACATAATGGCTCAAATTTTTCCGATGAGCTTTCATGAAGCACAAGAACTTTTATTCTTTCGATTGTTACATAGTTTTAGGAGCTTATGAGGAGCATTCTGTTCGCGAGTTTGATGGCGGGTGGAGTGAAGCTGAAAGAAGGTCTTTCCGTGGAAGAGGTCGACGCTCTCATTAAGTAGGCCTTTGGATTTGAACAAAAAATAATTTAATCTTAGTCGCTAGTGATAGTGTGAAATTCAAGTAAATCGAGATATTTTTTTCAAAAAATTCATACCTGTGGTTTGAAAAAATTGAATTTTCTTGTTTCTTTCGAGTAAAAAAAGTTTCGCGTAAAAGCGCGAAATAAGCAGTTTCCTCCTAAAATTGAGTTTTTATTTTTTCATCAACTATCCTAATTCCATCCTAATTTCCGCGCACAAGTTTCTTCTTCACCTATTGTTCAATTTTCAATTGCGTTAATTTGCAGAGATTTTTCTTATTCGCAGATGAATCTTCTGTCAATCGGATTGATTCTGAACAAAGAAAAATATTCAGACCAGAAAAACGGAAAGAGCAAGGTAGTTTATTGTAGGTTTCCAATATCTTCCAACGATCATTTTTCAGGGACAAGTGTTGACTGAAAAAAACTTCGAAGATATGATAATTCTCGATGAAAAGGGGATACGGTATGCAAAAAATCCCTGTTTTCTTGAAAAAAAAAAAACTTGTTTTCAGTCCTAACTTGAAAGATCCGACGCTGAAAGCTCTTGCAGATAAGGCTATCAAAGGTGCGGAAAACCGTGAAAGAAGGTTAATTCAAAATATTTTTTTTATTTCGATTATAATCGCTCCAATTTTTTTTAACTTTATAGTATTTTGTGTTTTTTGAGGGAGCGAAGGGAGAACGAAGACAAGAAAAATCGTCACGCAGACCCCGAAGCCTGTCGGCGAGCTATGACGGTACGTTTTATTTCTCTATGAGTTCGTTTTCAGATCATCCTGATCGTTATGCTAAACTTCCAACAGCTTGAAAAGTTGTTAAATAGACAAATATGATCTCTCAATATTAAATTTGGTCACGATCAATTTTTTTAAACACACCAGAAAATCTTTTCTCAATATAATATAAATTTCATTCTGAATAAAACAACTTTTGAAATTACTTCGATTATATTGAAAGTTGATGACTCTTTTTTTCATATATAATTTGCTTACTCGCATCGCTTTTTATTTTCAAAAATTCGTGTGATATATATCTATTATTCAACAAAAAATTAATTTTTTAGTATTGTGGTACTGAATTTTTTTTGCTTTCAGGCGTGCAATTTTTTGATGTTCATGATCGAAGAAGTATCGAAGGAATTGCGACAGAATCCGGAGACAGGAGTTTGTCTTTTTTTCAATGATTTCTGGTATTTCATTACTATTTGTGTCCGATAATATCTTAGTGGTCTCTTTATTTGATAGTTCTGAGGAAGCTTAAGAAGTATTCTGCCGAAGTGCACTCCGATATCTATCTCATCGCGAATCCTACTTAAAAAATGTCTTTTATTGAGTAAATCATTTTTTCTGCATCATGGAATATTGAAGATCTGTTTTCGGTTAGCGGAACTAAGAAAAACTCCTGGATGTCCTTTCCGTACTGAGGATTGTAATATTCGATTTTTGATCGTTCCGACGAACAACTGTTTCCCTTCTGGAAAAGTACAACGTACAGTTTTTGTAGAAGTCATGTACAATTATGAAGGAAGGCTTCTAAAAACTTCAGTTCGTTTTTTTTTTTTTCATTCACGCTGAAAAAACTTTTTCGCTGATCAGGATTAGATATATCTTGAGTCGAATTTTCCATATATTCTTCTTCTTGGCTGCAGCCGTTGTCAATGACCCATCTATGTTTTGATCTAATGGACATTGTACTTGAATTTTATGCTTGAATAATCTTTGAGGAACAATTTTATTCGAATGAAAATAGAAAAAACGTATTTCGACGAAGTTGAGACCAAACTTTGCAGATTCCTCTATATCGAATCCGGAATTTCTACAAAGAGAACGTTTGCAACGGCACAGGAAAACTGAAAGAAAAGTTCGCAGTCCTGCAACTGGATGGCCACTCCGAGTTCAACAAAGATGTTTCACAGATCTTTGTCGTCAGTCCTCATAATCTTCTTCCAGCTCATCAAACACCTCACATCTCGGTCTACTCTGAAAAATGCTTTCACCATGGAAATCTTTCTCAAAAAGCTCAGTTGTCACGAAGCTGAAAACGTTGAACCAGCCTACGGCATCTATCCATGTTGGTCGATTTCGGATCATCTTCGGCTCAACGTTTGAGTTTTCAGTGGCGAGACCCTACACTGCCGAGGAAATCCAAAATCGCTACGATGAGCTTTCGCAGAAGAAGAACAACTTCTACAGAAGAGACGGTTTCTTGTTTTAGTCTGTAGAAAACTTCTGAAGTTTGGGTTTATTAATATAATTTTTTGGCAATTTCAAAGTATATATTGTTCAAAAAAACTTTCGTATAGTGTTCGAGGCTAGTTAAAAGACATATAATCAGTATATCGTTAACGAAACATTTTGAATCAAATTTTTAAAATTTTCAAAAATCAGAAAGAACTATCTGGCTTCCGTTTATCATGCTGTTCAGTTTGGTAGAAGTCTTTTTGACGCTTGCTCTGAAAAAAGTCGATAAACCTGGAAAAAATCGGAAAAAAAAAATTTGTTTCAAAATTCGATCACAGATTACACACGTGCTTCTGATTCGTTTGCACTAGGATCCAAATTATTCCGCTTTTTTTGAAAGTTAATGTCGACAGAAAGCTGAAAAAACGAAACGTTTCCCAGTGAAAAAGTTTAATCATTCAAATGTAAACACGATTTTTGAGTATTTTTTTCAATACAAACTTTTCTCTAACATGACTTCTTCGTGGAGAAAAAAAGTCAATATTTTTTTCAAAATCTTCAATTTTTTTCAATTTTGAGGTATCTGAACCTAGTGCAAATGAATCAGAAGCACGTGTGTGAGCTAAGATCGCAAAAAATTTTTTTTCAAATTTTTCTTCCCGATCACTGGAAGGTCATCGATTAATAGTAATAATAATTTACAATTTATTTTATATCGATTCTTTCAGAGAACGCGTATTTTTTTATTAGATCTAGAAGAAATTTCAAAAAAAATTTGAAACAAACTTAGATTTTTGTTGACTTTTTCTTCATCTATAATGTGGGATGTACTTGGAAACTACAGATCGAGCATATTCGAAGAAGCCGGCTCCCAGTGCACAAACGCAGAACAAGAAAAAAGAGCCTGAGCCGAGTCAAGGACACAATCTCGGCTCTTCGGAGAGGGCACCTGTGTTCGAAAACGCTCCGCAGCCGAAAATCTCTGAAAAAGTTTGCTTCCCATTTCCAAATCACCTGAAAAAGGCCGTTAACCCACGTCCTCTGAGGTTCCCGAAAATATGTTGGTACAATAGTTTTCAAGGTTTTCTTTGAGCTGAAATTCATATCGCAAACAATATGAAACCTTCTTAACTCACATCATCGGGTTTCAACAAGCTCCGCCCACGCTTACGGTTACTGTGACGAAAATATCGAAACAAGAAAAAAAAAGCTCGAAAATTATTTTTATAGCCCATTCATTGATTCCTCGAAAAACCTGTGTTACTGATAAGAAAGTTCAGTCACCCGCTTTATGCATTTTCCTTCCTTCCTCTTCTTGACTTGGATACTTTACACGTTTTCTTTTTTATATTATTTATCCAATTTAAAGTTTCATTTTAAAGTATTAACTTCTTTTCGTTCACAGTTATCATTTTGCGGGAAACTCAGTGTCCAAATACAATTAGGGGAAATCGAGAAATTTATATAACTTTATTTTATCGCCTTAATTGCAATGTTTTTTTTTCTCACGACTAGGTTATTCAATGAGGTTCATCATGTAGATGAACCATTTCAAAAATTTGCATCAGTGCCTTTTTTTTTCTTTTGCAAATCCAACTCTTGCCGAGTTCAAAACATTCGTCGGCTGGATCTCACCCCGCGGTGCGGCCTTTTTCAATTCAATTAGTTGAAAAAAATGTGTCCCGTTCAAGTTTATTGTTTCTTCTTGTAGCGCGAAATTTGGCTAATGCACGCTTTTTTTTGTTTTATTTCAAATGGTCTATTTTATCGAAGCATTTCATCTTGATTTTCAGATTTTTTGGTTTCAGCGACAATCTCAAACAAGAGAAATGGAAGTGAGCGAGGAGGAATCCTACAACAGAGGTTTCCGAGATTTGTCGCCTTCATCTGGAAGCTCTTCTGATGAGGTGGAGGAAAGTGACGGCGAGTATTCTGACGACAACGACGAGGTCAAAGAGGCTCGTAAAAGGAACTTGGAAGAGAAAGCTAAGAAAGTTTGAGCCGCCCAATATTCGTAGAAAACTTATTTCTTTTTCCAGAAAGAAGAGAGGAGAGCTCTCCGACTGAAAAGACTGAACTCCACCAAAGAAAGTACTAATTTTTCAGTGATTTTTCAATTTCATTTGAAAACGCTTCAGAAGGGAACCAAGAACAAAATGAGGGCCCCAACAGTTTCGTGCAGTACATGACCTTTGGACGAGGAGTTGATTTGTCCAGAGCTGGAGCCGAAGTCAAAGAAATCGTTTCGGAAAGCGGAAAGAAAGATCTTCCACTTGAACAGGTTTTTTGAAAGAAGAAGTATTCTGGATACTTCTTTCTCATTTTGGTCACTCCAAAATTGTTCAGGAGCCACAACCTCTCAACAAAGTGTCTAAAGGCTTCCCGGATGATGCAGACTTGCAGCCTCAGCCTCTTTCTTCGAATGTTATGGTATGTTTCCTTTTTTCCTTCTATTCTTTTTCTTCTTGAATTTATAAAACTTTGTGTCGAAAACTCAGTCAGCGGAGTCTATTCTAAAATTTTTGCTGATTGCGTTCCTCTTAGGAAAGAAATAACTGAAGTCCATTAATGGGGTTTAATGCATTTTGTCAGCAAAGGCTCCTGCCTTTCGCGTTTTTGGACTATACCTCAAGCGTTCGCGAGTTAGTGATAAAATTTTCAGATAACTTTAATTTTGATAATTTCCAAAAAGTTACAGCCAAACAGCGGCGTGCTCTTTCATCACCAGAAAGACGCTCAGAAAAGGATGAATGAAATTTCTGAGGAAAAGAGACTAGACCAAGAGCAATCGCGACGAATGGAAGAGCAGAAAGAGAAGGAACAGAGAATTCAGGCGAAAGAATTTTCAGTGCAGGCAAGGAAGGAACCGATTTGAAAGACATGAAAAGTTATACAGGACGATTTCGAATACGCAAAGTTGCTCCAGCGAGAAGAGGAGGAAAGAATGTACAGACAGCCCTCAAGACCAAATTTCTCCGACTTGCCGCCCACGACGCATCGGAGCACTTTTGGTCAAGAAAGACCTCCTGCCGCTTACAGAAACGACAATGTTCAGCCAAACTACAGGTGTGATAATTGAATTTTTGCAAAACCAGAAGGATGAATATGTATCATACGTCGGCTGGATACCCCGGGGTGCGGCCTATCCTCCTCAAACTGCGGCCCACCCCCCGAAGAGTGCGGCATTCCCCCCTCAAACTGTCGTTATTTTCAAATCATTTTATTCTTCAGAGCCGCTCCTACATATCCAACCCCGATTCAACCGGAGTCGATTCGATATCAATCGAATCACTCCCAAGTTCCCCTGCAACGCCATTATGAAGGCTCGAAATTTGCCGGCAACAAAACGACCAACTACCCGCCTCAGTCCTATCAGAATAATTCCTACCAGCCACAGAATAGTTCCTACCAGCCTCAGCCTGTATCCTCGCAAGCGACATCCAGCGGTCAAGCCGGCGGTTTCGGTTAGTGCTTTTAGGGGTTTACTGCAGAGTTGCACGGAAAAGACATTTTTTAGATTCATCTTCACAACGAGGTTTTTCAGCCTTTTTTAACCTTGAAGTCAAAAAGTTATTTGATAAAAATAACAAACACGATGAAACTCGAAGCGAAGTCATACATGAGCGCGTAAACATTCCGCCATACCGGGAGGCGCTGGTTACAAAAATTTAAACTGGTGCAGGAGGTGATGTCGGATAAATTCGAGCCTCAAAAAGAGGTCTGAAACAGCCGACAAAGCGTCAATTTGTGCCAAGGGTCTAAACACCTGTGCTATTAATTATTAACCCATATTTGCGCAGTTTTCATAAGCTTGCCAAAAATAAAAACTGTAAGAGGAAAAGTTTAAAGAGCAGAATGAGGAATGAGGAATGATTGAAGGACGAAAATGTTTCGTGTGTTGCATACGTTGGCTGGATCCCACCCCGGGGTGCGGCCTACCCCCTCAAACTGCGGCTGGGGTGGCACCCAGCCGGTGTATGGTGTGCGGGAGTCGCCGACTGAGGAGTAGGCGAAGTGTCGAGGCGGTTGATTGAGTTGAACTGTTGATCAGTGGAATCAGACCCTTATATAGTGGTCTAATCTTCCACGTGATCTATTTCTTGTTTATTCATTTCTACATTCTCAACAGTGAGAGAAACCTTTGTCGATATCTTATATTTCATAATGATGAAGCTGAAGGAGAAAAATACTGTAATGAAAAGAGAATTCAGCATGGTCACGCTTCCTGACACCACACAGTGATGTACGAAAAGAGCAGAGAACAACAAATAGGTACCCTTTTTCAATTTGTCGATTTCTTCGCATGATCATTTTTCCCAGAGTACACGCACCACAGCAGCCGTTTCATGGTGGGATGAGCAGAAATAGGTAACCTTATGAAAATTGAATTATCGTCTTATTTCGTAGTCATTTCTTGTCAGTTTATCAAAAATATTTTTGAGCCACATTGTTTTGGGGGATTCTTTTTTCAATTTTGATATTATCGAACCCGACTTTTCTTTTCGTTGTTCAAAACTATTGATCTCATCTTTCAAAAATTTTTTTTCGAATTGTTTTCAAAACTCGTTTTGAAAGAAGAATCAATTTTCAGAGAAACTCCTGAACACGGATATCAACAGCCACAGGTATGGTTCTCTGTGTGATTTATTTTTCTGTAAGGGCAAAAGTTGTGCTTAGAGCTCTTGTCATAACCCAAATAAAATTCGGTAAAGTTTTTTTTTTGCTGATCCAATCGCAGTTTTTTGCATTCCGCTAAGCTAAATCATAAAATGCTGTCAATTTTCGCTGCTTTTCGGAACTCGAATTCCGAACCTTCCACAACTTTCTAAGTATTTCTATGGATTGAAGTGAACTAATCAAAAGCGTTCACAACCTTTGAGCTTATCAAATCAGGGCAAAAGCTCGAAGTTTTCTGTTAGCTTTTTCCATGACGGAGAGAGAGTCCTGGACTTAGTCACGTATCGTATAATATGTATCAGAAAAGAGCCAATTTTTTTTAGTACCACGAGTAAAGGCTAGGAAAGATTGAAACATGATAATCGGAGTTAGAAACTAGAAGATGAGATTAGATTTTTGCAGCTGCTGAGCGAAGATCGAAATGCGCGCGACAGAGTAATAGATACTGTCAAAGATATTCAAAACAAAGGATGCATTCCATTTGTGAGTTATCCGCCTCCACCCAACTCCAAGTCAAGTTTCTGCTTTCAGCTGTCCGAATTGCAATCGATTTTCAAGCATAAAGATTTGGAACATTTCCTTGAAACGTCTGGTTATTTTGAAAAGAGACGCTCGGGTGACAGGGTATGTTTTTTATGAAATAAGTTGATTCAAGTTTTTTTTCAAGATCGCTTACTTCATCTTCGAGCGAATGAATGGTATGAGAAATTTTTCCAATTGACATCTCATTTTCCATGTTTTTTTCCTGTGCATCTTACAGACTCTTCATTTTTTTTTAATACCTAACTGATACCAAATTTAAAATAACCTTATTTACGTCTCAGTTTCCACATGTCTTTTCAAGTTCCGTTCTTGTGCCATTCTGATTTACACGATAAAATAAATGTTGCTAAGTTTTAACTGAAATATCACATTCACAATTATATGTTATGGAATATGAGTGTTACAATGGTAAAACGAATATTTAGAAATATTTAATTTACGTTTCTAGGAAACATTTTGATAGGAAGAAGAAAGGAAGTGCATTAAATACATGGGGATATTTTGGTTGGAAACTTTTCGTATACTCAATCTCTATAAATGAGCTCAAAGACAAGGTTCATCTATCTCGTTCTCTCCCGTATCGAAAAAAGTTAGTGGAGCACTAAACAGTGAACGGTTTTCCAATGCGAGCCGCCCACTGGCTTTTTTTTTTTGACAGTTTTTGAAAATTTTTACAGCAGTGAGTATAAGCGAATTTGACGTATGAAAATTTCTGGAAGATAGTGGGCTCGCGTTGGGAAGCCGTTAGTATCAATACAGCAAGTGACTTATATCAATTTGAAAAAAAAAGAGGAAAAAACAAAGAAAGGTAGGAAGGCAATCAATTATTTGGCAATAAAGCTATTCTATACACTACGAAGAAAAAAGAGAGCGGTTCAATGTGAAGCCGCGAGTTTCGCGACGAGTTTTTCGAGTTTGAGCCGCGTGGCGACAGCGGCGACCAAAGCCGCGCCGCGTCCCGAGCCGTCTTCCGATAACATCAGCTGGTACTAAAAAAAAGTCCTTGAACCAAAGAAAGATAATTTCGAAAGAAACCTGAAGTCCTTTGTTAACTAGTTGCTCAATTTTCTCATCAAGAAGTTTCGGGTAGGTTGGGTGGAATCTGAAAAGAAAAATATTCTTGAAATTGTTTATTAATCCATTATAAGTAAAAAGTCATGGGACCGAATCATTTGCTGACTGTGGTCATTCGACAAATAAAACTAAAGTACTACTGACTTTTGACTTTCTGGACTTTTTCTGGACGACTACCCAGTCTCAGATAAAAAAGCGGTTTTTTTAAAAAAAGATTTCAGTGAAAAATTGAAGCGCGCCCATTCTGCAAAAAGGGAAAATAGGCCCCTCCCCTTTTTTTATGACGGAATACGATTCAGTGCAAAAAGCGTTTCCGGAGTCTCGCGCTGTTCTCGATGTGTCTCAGCTTTGCTTCAACTTTTCTACGAGATTTTTTGGGGTTTGCTAATGGGTAGCACGAACTACGAGATGATACTAAAATCGAGGCTTTTGGATGAGATTTTAAAAATGCTCTGCGGTCTCTAAGAGCGAGTCAAATGACGAACCTGTAGACGGAGCCGTCGAGGCCGACGGTCACAAACGGCTTTCCCATCCTGTTCAAGAGGACAGCGATACCAGCAGCCGTGAGATGAGCAGCACGGAAACCCTCTCCATTAGTTCTTTCCGAAAATGAAAAGCTTACCGAGAGCTCACGAGGCTGCAGACGTAGGCGACGTTGACGCAGTCGTTACTAGAAACTGTCTCGATTCCGATGTCCTCGAGAATTTGAAACGTCTTCTGGAACGTCCGGTCCTCGTCTTCCAAGAGTTCGCTGCAACGTTTTAGGTTCATTTTTTGGAATTGATGAAAAATCTGATAAGAGATCCTTTCCACAAAAAAAACCTAAAGATTGTAAAATTAGATTTAAGGATTTTTTTAGAGGTGGATCGAGTTATTCAGGGCTAGCTTGGGTTAACTAAAGGGGCGTGGCTTGTCTGCGCCCTCCATCAACCAGCTACTGTCTTTTTTCTTATCGTGTCAGGACCATTTTTGATGGGTTAAGCCAACCGTTAATCAGCTATATACTTGTTTTCAGTTATATTCAATGATAAAAAAAGCAGAGAGTCGAATCAAAAACTTAATTATATTAATTTTTGAAACTTTTTGGAATGAACTATGAGCAAAAGCATGAAGCTATAAAACTTTGAAACTGCCAATTAAAAAGTGCAGTTGTTATAAAGACAGACGAGAAAAAGTTCTTTTTTTGTTTTTCTAAAACCTTTTTTAAGTTTTCTAAATGTCTAGATGTTGATTTGCGGCACTATCTTGAATCTCACAAAATTGTGGAAAATGAGAGTTTATCCTAATAAAAAGGAAAAATATCTCTCCCGGATCTTTGTTTTGTGCGGAATAACTATCGAAGATTCAGAAAATTGGTCTGCCTGTGCCTTTTTTTTCAATAAGATAAGAACAAACTTCTCGATTTCGGAAACGTATTTGGTGGGGAAACAGTGAGGACGGGAAATGGCTTCGAAGTTGCCGCCGAAGAGCAACTTTTGACGCGCCAGGTCCTCCAGAACGACTCGCGTGATCTCGCCCATGTACATGCCGCTGATCATCTTCTCGAAGACCTGCTTGCCGGGGTTGATGCTCTGTCGATCGACGACGTCGTCCCACTCAGTCCGGATGAAGTCCATCGCGCCATCGTCCCCAAACGCGCCCCATTCAGTGTTTATGATCATCTGAACACCTTTCTTTTTTTATAAATGTTTTTTATAAGTTTAATTGGTTCTAATGACGTGAAAGAACTGTTTTTGATGATCAGTCCTCATCACTTATCTGCGAAGGTCAAGCTGCGAAAGGTGAGCCAAAATTTTGAAAAAAACTGAGAAAAAATGATCATGAATTATTTTTTTAACGACATGTAGTCAAAAAAATATTCATGTCATCCTTTTTTGCAAAAAAATATGCCCTTTTTAAAATTTCTTGCCAAAGACCCAAGAAATTATTTCTGGCCGTTATTTTTTTCTGGTGGCTTAAGTAACTCATTTTCGAGAGAACGGTTGAAAAAGTTTCATTTTTTTGACTTCTAACAAAAAAACATTCAAATTCTAAAAAGTACGCTATACCATTTTTTTGAGGAAGGGGGATTTATTTCAACCTCTTTGAGGCGTTTTAGCCCTACTAAAAGACAATAAATTATTTTCTGTCTTGCAACCAGATCTCAAAAACTCAAAAGCTGATAAAAATGATAATTCGAAACAGTGGCTTTCAAATCTTCCATGAGAAGATTCACTCTCAATATTATTTCTGGGACTTCGCCAGTATCTACAACTCTGAAAAAAAAACCTCTTCGGGGACAAGTCCTTCCTCGTCCACGTAGTCAGAGATCTTGCTGATCCGATCGAAACGCTCCATGTAACAGGCGTTAGTTCCTGTCCCGACGATCACTCCAATCTACAAAGGTCTCTCTTCAATTGACGAAGAAAGAAAAGATTCTGGAGCGAGTCGTCGAACCTGACAAGAGTTTTCGACAAAGGCGCAGGCCATGAGGGTGCCGACTGTGTCGTTGAGGAGGGCGACGACGTCGATGTCGATGTCGCGACGCCGTTGGCAGGCCTCGCGAAGCAGCGTCACGACGTCAGCGCCTTCGACTCCGCTTGCGTTGAAGCCTTTCGTCCAGTTGATCAGCTTCCCCCTGCAACACAAAGATTATCATGCTGCAGACTGGATCGGAGAATAGGGATATCAGACGGAAACTGACTTGGTGAGGCCTTCTTGAGCGCAAGGAAACGAAAAAGTGAAGCCGAGGGGGAGTTTCTGGGCGTCTTTCAAGTCGTGCTCTTGCATGAATTTGGCCATGCAGTCGGCAATGTGGTCGAAAAGCTTAATTTTTCTTTCTCAATGGGTCAGTTTTTCAAAAGCCCACAGCTTCTCCTGTGCCGCGCATGATGTTCTCGGGAACTCGGAAAATCTTTCCAGTCATCTCGGCTTCCTTCTCTTTCAGTCGAATGAGCAACACGCGAAAGTTGGTTCCACCGAGATCCAGGGCCAAAAAACCGCCTCTCTGAAATCATTAAAATACTTCCTAGGACCTCGGTAACGCGAAAAGGACTTGCTCCGGGCGATTCTAGGGATCTCTTGAGAGCGCTGACGCTACTAAAGTGGTCACTAGAAATGTGCAGAAACATCCGGAGCATAATCGTTTCACCAATGTTCGAGTCTTTGCTATTTCTTCTTTAACGGAGACATTTCAAAATGAATGTCTACTTACACCTGTTCAAGGTGCTTTAGGGAGTGCGCTTTTCCATCAAATAATATACTTCCCTCACCTCCGTTCCGTTGGGGACCGCACAAACGTATGAAGGCAGCATCCGGACCGCAGCTGTGGATGCTTAAAAACTCTGAGAATGAAGGTGAACACAAGGAAAAATGAAACCCGTTTCACGGTCGAGTCCTTTTTCCATGCTTTTTTCCATGGCCACCATCATTCTGCGCAGTTGTTGGTCACTTAGGAGCAGCTTCTGGCATACTTCGTGGATCTGCAATATTAATCGATTGTTTAAGACATTTTCAAAAAAAATATTGAATATTGTCAATGTGAAAAGGAAAATTCCCTCTTCAAGATTCACCAGGTCACGCGGTCGCGACAGAACCAAAGCAACTGGACGGCCCTTTTTGACGGCAGCTATGCCGTTCTCCAACAACTCGGGGTTCAGTTTGTGGCGCACCAACGACATTCTTCCCGTGCCAAAAACATCGATTCATCAAACAGTCACGAAGCACTTTTTTCTGACGGCTAGCGAAGATTCTAACAGTCGGGGGACTGAGATAGAACAAAAATATTGAGAGAAAAGCAGTGAAAAGAAAAATTTATTTATAATTTCTGAATTCGTTCAAGGAAGGAGCATTCAATAAATAACCTGAAAACTTATAAAACGAACTGGAATTTAGTTCAGAAATAGAAATTGTAAAAACGTCCTTGACTGAAATATTGAGTTTAAGTCGATTCTTTGTCTCCTAAATTCAAACTTTCAATAAAATTTTTTGAAAATGGGAAATCGTCGAAAAATGATTCCTGGGCACCGAATTAAACCAAAAAAACTATTTGGATGGTTTTACAAAGGCCACGTGGGTAAAAAGCTTTCTTCATCGGAAAACCTTTCATCTTGCCGACCTTTCCATTTCTTCAATTGAGGTTTCTTGGAAATTGAGCCTTTCAGAAACGTTAAAGAACAAAAGATAAGACCTTCCAATCAAATTCTTTAGCTTTTTTTTTAATACAAGCCATCATTTCGAGATTTAAGCCGCAGCCTTAGAAACTATGTACGGAAGAAGTCTCAAAAAAAAAACTCTAGGAAAAAAGAACGTAGACTTATTATTTTCATCAAGTAAAATCGGATGGATTATCTTGAGAGACGAATTTCGGGACGCGAGAAGTCAATAAGCGATAGATTCTCATGAAATTTTTGCAAGAGGAGTTTGATGAACAAAATGAGAGAATCCGAGGAATGTTTAGAAACTGCAGTATAAACAGGTGTCCAATGTCGCTCTGTTTTTTCCGCTCTTAACTTGGAAACTGCGACCTTGCAAGAGCACGAAGACTTCATTATGAGACATTTATGAAACTTGAATATTCGTTTGGGTTCCAAAAAGAAATGAACAAAAGATATGAAGAAAACGTGCTGGGAAAAAAAATTATAAGAGAACCGAGAAAGGAAAATCTGAAAAAAAAATGTTAATTTTGTTTTCGTGGCTCAAAAACGAAAAATACGTCACTGACAGCTTCCTATTATCATATAATGACTCATCAATCAATCAGAAACTCAATTGTTCGCTCAGAAAATTCATGAAAATTTTATAAAATATCTGTGAACGAAAACCCAACACTAAATTTTTTAAACTCGGAATAAGCAGAAAGAGGCAGCCTTTCCTAAAGAACATCTGCAAATAGGAACTCGGCAAATCAAAGAAACAAGGCGATCAGGCAGGGAAAAAAGGCACACAGGAAATCGTAGATCGATATACGGAGGACTTTCTGCAGTCCTTCATGACCTCTGAGGTCAAATCTTGACCTGCCAGACCAACAGACTCAACGCGAAATCAAAATCAGAAGCTGAGAAATAACAGAAACAGAACAAGTTTGCGTCTAACAAGACTTTATAGGAAGTAATTGGGATCTTCATCACTGTGAATCGTCAAACTTTCCTCATCAGAAGGCGTTTGCCATGCTCAGTTTTCAAACGTTCGTGGCTTCAGAGTTTTAACTCGAAAGCATCATTAAATTTGAGAAAAGCGTTTTTAAATACTCATTTTGGTAGTGAAATAATTATGTACGAGGCAGCCTCGAACTACGGTTACAATGATAATCGTTAAGATTATATTCCATAGTAACTGATTAGCCAATATATGAAAAAAATTCATAATCATTTACAGTAAGCTATTTATAAGATTAATGAAGGCGATGGAATTTTTTTGTTTTTAATTTATTTCAATTTCGGATAGAAGAGTTCATCATGACAAAAAAAGCTTTTCGATGATAAAAAAATTAGATAAATAGAAATAGTTTTTGTGCAACCGTAGCCTGCCTAAACTAGAGTCCTTTTTATATTTCAAATGTGATTCCAAGAAAAAATTTTTTCCTTGGAAATTTTCATTAGTTCCAACCTTCAAGCGCAGTTTCCATCGTAATTTTTTATCGGAAAAGAATAACTTTTTATTTTAGGGTTCAAAACTGAATTGGCAAAAGCCCCACAAATTTTATGTTACCCATCTTGACAGTATAACTGACTGAAAAAGTTTTTAATTGTAAAAAATTGGTAAATATTTTTTTTTTAATTTTATCGGGTTACGATTGGGTTAAGAATGGGTTGATACTCCAACTTATTTTTTTATTTTTTTAGAAAAAAACGTTCAGAAGAAGTACCAATTCGGTGTTGCTGACGTCGACGCTGCTCTGGACGGACATCTTCCGCAGCAGTTCCAAGGGCATTCTGTGTCTCTGTTGGTGTCGCGTATTTGTTTCCGGCATTTCTACTCTGTAAAACTGATTAAATGATGAATTGTAGACATCAAAAGAAAAAAAGTAATTAAGCGAAAATGATTTTTTGATCTTAGGAAGATAATATACTTTTTCATTCGGCCTCGTCCGGTGAAGCACATTAGAGGCGTTCTCTTCTTCTAACGATTGGGACGGAAATGAGATTGGACCACGTTTCTTTTCCACACTATACGTCATTCGAAATTCGAGCTCGTATGAAGAAAAATCACAAAAATGACAAAAAGCGAAAAATTTAAGGAAAGTGTGTAGTTGAAAATTTATTTGGACAGCGTTGCGAAGGTTGAAAGGAGGGGAATAGTCAGAAAAGTTAACAAATTGAACAAGGAGTGCAAGAAAATAAAGAAGGTTGCGACGGCTCCCGTTTTATGGTGGGAATGGAAATAGTTGGAGAATAACATGTTAAGAAAATGAAATCATTTCAACACATTAGAACACTTAAAAAACGAGTTTTTGGCAGGGCAGGGAGGGCGAGAATTATTTTTGTTGGCCAAAGGGGCTCTGAGGGAAGTCATGACGCAACTGAGCGAACAATGATGCAAAGCCTCAAAAGGCTAGATATTGGGAGGAAAACCTTCTTTGGGAAACAAAAAGCCCTAGAACTGTAAAATGAAAAGTCTAATTCCCGTTCTTATCTCTGAAAACTAAATTGAAAAATATGAACAAAACGTATTCAAAATTTTTGAAAGATCGTGGCTTTTGGAATCGCGCAGCACACAAGACAAACAAACGAAAAAAAAAGCGTCGAACAGAAAACGCTCAACCAATTTTTCGAAAGAAATGAACTCCTTAGACAAGAAAAGAAGCAGATCTTTGTTTAATTGGAAGAAAAAAACTTTCTCAGTTGTCTAGAAATGTGACCTGGGAAGATGAATAGAATAGGAATGCGTTCGATTTTGTGAAAAAAAGAAAGTCTTTCCGACTGTTCCCCAGAGCTCGTCGAAAGAGCGTCAGTTGAAGAGAGCCCAGAGAATCCCTGCTAGGAATGGCGGAAGCTTTTCAAACGACGTTAAATGAACTTGTGATGAGGATTATATAGTAAAACGTGAAGAAATTCGTCTTTTTGTCTCAAAATCGAGATATCCTTTCTTTAAAATTATGTCTCGATTCCATTAAAACTAATATAAAGATTGAAGATAAAACACTGATGTTGACAACGAATGGAAAAAAAGGAATAAGATCGAAAAAACTTAGTTCTGGCAGGTATTCGAGGCGAGTGGGCGGAGCTTCGCGGTCAGTCTGGACGTCCTAGCGGAATAACAAAACACTAAAAGTTTGTTTATTGGAATAGAGCTCGAAATCTCTTGAAGTATATCGGCAAATTTGAACCCCTCCCCCTCCCAAAGCCATACGATAAATTCGAAAAATTTGAATGTGTGAAAAAAAAATGGACTAATTAAAAAAATATGATAAACTATCCGGTTAATTGATTTTAAAAAAAAACAAGCAGCTTTCGAGACGTTCTTCCATACGGAGTCTAGCGTAATGATGTGTAAATAACAATTATAAAATAGAACAAAACGTGGAGCTCAAAATCAACATAAGAAAGGGTCGAATGCGGAGAGACAGGAAAAGAAAAAGTGCGTGGTGAAACGACGAGTTCGAATCGAACGGGACCAAAAACTCGCGCAAAAAAGGATGAGGGCGCGAGGGAAAAGCCGGGCTTTCCTGTCTTTGCTCCCTAATCTCTCCGCTGCGCTCTCACTTGCTTATTAGATTTCCTTAAAATATCCGCTCGACTTTGTGTAACTGTTTTGGCTCCATTTCCAAACTTGAGTGCCCTTGAGTCCGATCGTACACGAAAAACATCAAAAAAAAAAACGTCAGATCACCCTTTATTCCTTGATTTTCGGCTTCGAAAGTCATATTTACACAGGAAATGGAAACTTCGTGAAAAAAAAGTGTAAAATGTGCGAGAATTCGAAACCTTCTTCTCTGAGGCCGAAACAAGGCTCTCAAGCCGCAGAGCTTTTAGGACAACATTCGCTTTTCTTTCAAACGTCCTGTCCAAGTAAAAAATGTTTTTATCGACTTTTCTATCTAAAAAATAACAATTGGAAAGCTTTTGTTTCGAAAATTTATAACCAACAATTAAAGTCAACAAATTTCGGCAGTTCAACAAGAAACAAGCACTGCCAAAATAACTAAAAATCTGGAAAAGACAACAGACGAATAAACAATCTGGAAAAACAGTACAGTGGAAGAATGAGAAGGGGGGACAAAGTGGAAAGGCTATTGGCGGCGGACGAGGGCGGGGTGTTCAATGTCGAGGTGCAGCTTCACGTTCATTGCGGCTAGCTCGGCGACGAGGTATCGGAACACTCGAGGAACCTTTAAAAAAATTTCAAAGATCTGTCTATGAGAAAATTGAAAATTTAGTATTAATTTTCAGACCTGAAGAAAAATCACTCAATTAATTATTTAGTCAAAAAAAGCGATTTCAAAGAATCTAACTGACCGATTAACCAATCTGATTATGCAGGATAAATCTTTAATTTCATAAAAACCTTTGAAAATGATCTCTGCTCAGGTCGAACAAAAATTTTTTTACAAAATTTCTCATTCAAAATAAAGAAAAGTGCCTCTAAAAAGTCAACAAGAACATATTCTAAAAATAAACTTAAAAAAAGAAGGATTATTCATCTTTTACAATATTATGGTTAGTAGCAAACTTCAGATAATTTCTGTAACATAAATTTTCCCGAAGAGACATAGTCAAAAACTGATAATCTTTCTCCACTGTACGACGTGAAGGCCAAAAAAAAATTATATCAGAAAATATTGCTGAAAAAATTGGATGCCGGGAAACCTGCATGAGGAAGACTTGATCGTCTTTGAAGCAGTTGCGACAGACTTGCTTCTCTGTGTAGTCGATGGGTTCACCCTGTCGCCGAGCGCGCGTTTCTTGAATCAGCTTCGTCGACATCAGGACGGACAGGAGCGAGCCGCAGCGTTTGCACGCGTAGGCCACGTCTCTGTCTGAGCAGTTCAAAAGCCGATCCTGCAACTCTTCATGCTCCGGCATATCCGTACTCCTTTCTAACTTTTGAACCTTCTTTTGAAGTTAGTTGCAGTTTTCCAATAGTCTGATTCAATTTTAAATAAAAAAAAGAAAAAAATAGTCGCTTGAATTGAACTCGTGCCAAAAACCGCGAACGCGCGTGCTACGCGTCCCGCCCCCTATTCCGCCTCTCTCGTCTTTCAAGTCGGGAATCTTTTTAGTTGCTTTTCAGCATCTTTTCTGTTTAAAGATTTGAAAAAGATGCAAAAATGAAATAAAATGAGATCAAAAGATCTGCTGCGGACCCTTACAAGGTCTTTTTTGAGAAAAGCTTATCAGTTTTGCCCGAGTACATCTCTGACTCTCCAAAATTGAGTTCTCTTTTTCTTTCTCTGACGGCTTTTTTGGATATCGTGGAACCATTGCAGCTTTTAAAACTAAAAAGAAAAAGTGGAAAAAGTAGGAAACCTGCAGGACGAACGAAGTGCCGTGAGCGATGATGGCGTCGCGTTCCATCTCACCAAATCGGATGCCTCCGCCCTTTTTCCTTCCTTTCACAGGCTGATGCGTGATCGGATCAATGGGTCCTGTGGCGCGAACTTGGAATTTGTCAGCGATCATGTGTCGCAGACGTTGGTAGTACACGATGCCGAAGAAAATTTGCATCTGGAACATTAATGAGTCAACGAATGCGAAGATATGAAAGACCTCCATTTGGCGACCGTCCACTCCCGAGTAAAATGTCTCGTTTCCGTAGTAGTTGTAGCCCGCTTTGGTGAGAAGCTCTCCGAAATGGTTGATCGCCGTGTTTCCCTCGCTGAACATTTTTTTCTCCATTTCTTTAAAACAGTATCTTTTTCAAAAATTGCTAGAGATTTTCAAACTAGTCATATTTCAAGAATAGAAAAAAAGCTTCTTGTTAAAATCTTTCTATTCTTCTCTCAGTTTCATCATTTCATTCCTGCCCTTTATGTATATATTTTTCTTGAAATTTGTTCTCTTCATCCTTTCTTTAGATTGAAAAAATTCAAAATCAACTATCTAGATAACCTAACAATACGGGAGCGAAGGTACCTTCAAAAAAATAAATTTTATGGGTACTGAAAAAAGATTTCCGTGGCTAATTTCTGTTTGAAAACGACATGAAAAAAAAATCCAACTTGAAAACAAAAGGCGAAGCGTCATACGTGTCGCCGTGCATCGCTGCAGCTTTTCCTGCCATACTTTCGATCATCATACCTAAAATTTTCTCAGAAATAATCATAGAAACCATAGATTAAAAAAAAAGAAAGTTGGAAAAAGCATTATTGGGAGCTGTCCTCTCAGATTCCGAACTTCTTTGGAGAAAATTTCATTGCTTTTTTCTGAACTTCTTCAGCATGTAGCTTGCGGATTGGTATTAGGAATCACAGAAATTTGTTGGTTCAGCTCTTTTCCGACCCTTTTTTTTCCTAACAAGGGTGGTCATTTCACTAAGTGTTGGAATTCACTACGAATTTGCTCAAACACACTCTGAAGGTTAAGATGAAGACATCTGGTAGTCGTCACCTAGTCCAATTTTTAGTTTTTGAGATAACTTTTTTTTGAGTTTAAAAAGTTAGGCTTACAACTTATATCTATAAGCATATATCTAAAAGGAATCATCTTCTAGACCTTCAGACAGTATTCGAGCGAATTCTTAGAAAATTTTAAACCGAGAAGTAAAATTTCAATCAAGCCAAAATTCTGCAGAAAGTGATATATCAAGTTCTTTTTTCGACTTTTTGCATAAAATTGACATCGAAAAAAGCATCAAAGGAACTCAGGAAAAAGGTCAAATTTAATCGCAACAAAGTCGGAAATTGAAGCTCCCTGTCGCACTTATCCAACAAATGGAAAAAGATCAAACCGATGGTCATCCGACTGGGGAAACCGTGGGGATTGAAGATGATGTCTGGAACCATTCCGCTCTCGGAGAACGGCAAACTCTCCACTGGCCACAGAAACGAGTTGATCCCCTTCTGGCCGTGTCGAGACGCGAATTTGTCTCCGATGATTGGATTCCGTTCTATCCGCCACTGGATGAGAGCGTGCTGCAATTCATAAAGTGAAGTGAAAAAAAAACGGAAATATTTTTACGGGAAGTGTGCGCAGGCTAAAAGAGAAGAAAAAACATTAAAAGTTTGAAATAAAAAAAAATGTTGCATTTCAGTAGTATATTCTTGATATTATTGAGATTTGTTACTATTTACACACTCGGGCAAAGTCGGAAAGGTGGAAAACGGTCGCTAAAAGGCAGAGGCGGCAAAAAGGCAGCGAAAAAAATCCTTAAAAAAAAACCTTTGCGCCTTCTTCTGCGGTGTCTTGATGGACCAGTCTAACGAGGCCACAATAGGCAGGCTCCGCGTAATGGAACTTTCCCTTGCGGAACTCTCCCGTTTCCAAGTTGTACGTCACATGATAAACTTCCCCTGAAAACCGTTCTTTCGACGGAGAAAAGAGTGAGAGAACCTTCGAAATATCGCCTGCCAGGAATGGGAAGGCCGTCCACGCCTACAGTCGGGATTTCTTCTCGCGGATCCTTGTGGAAAATGATTTTCTTCTCCGTTTGAGTTACCAAGTTTATCCTTCAAATCAGAATCAGTGCCTTTTTAGTGAGCCTAAAGAGACCTTTCGACTTTTATGACTGTTCCGTGTGCGAATCCCCGTTGATACGAAGCCTTATTAATAGTCATTGCGTCTTCCATATCGTATCCTGAAATGCAAATATGTTTTTGAAATGAATTCTTCGGAACTTGCCAGTATAGGAAATGACAGCGACACAGGCGTTGGTCCCTAGAGGATATTCGTCCATTTGATATTTCTCGTAGGCCTCGAGCTTCAGAAGCGGTTGTTGAGGGAACTGGATCGACAAAAATATAGGAATCTGCTCTAAAAAGGGAGAAAAACCTGTAATCGGTACATTTTGTTGTCGGCTCTCGCGTGCCACGCATGGACGGCCGTTCCCATCGTTTGCTTACCCATCTGGCACTGGTAAACGTTTCTTAAAGAAATTCCTGTCATCATTTTTCTTTTAGGGACTTGCCTGGGAGACTGGTTGTGGTCTGGGAACGGAATCAGATTACCCGCAAAAGAAAAAAGACAAGAAGGGTGAAGCTCCTGCAAAAAAATCCGTTTTTCAAGAATACCTTTCCTAATGAGCTGAAGGTTCTTGGAAAAAAAAGTATCTTGGAAAAATTAAATCCTAAGTTCTGGTAAGTTTTGAAAACAATAATAATCGTCTTGATTCTATTGCCAGATAACAGTTTTGTGCACACTTTTTAGCGCCCGAAAAAGTTCTCAAACCTGATGCGTCGTGACTCCTGGCTCCGCCTCCTCTGGATCAATCACGACCGACAAATAAACTTGCTCGAAGGTACCTAGAAAGCAATGAACAACGTGAAAAGATGGAGCCCACACCAATCTGTTCTACAGAGTCGACTGCGAGATTTCGCACTGGTCGGAAGAAACGACCGGGGTCGGTGAGGATGTAAATGCCAGGGTACTGCGTCTGAACGTTCTTCGGATCGGAAGACTGACGGACGAGGGCGATCTCCGACGTGTAGGGAACTCGGGCGTCGTTGGAAGCCTTGGCACATCGCAAATGTCTTTCGATGGACGCGGATTTGGCGACGGGCACGTAGCCGATGAAGCGGCCGTCCAACAGCACCGGATACAGCTGCACAAGATATTTTGAGGTACTTTTCAACTTTTCGAAACTGGTCGTCCTATACAGAAGCAGCGTCTGTTATTTCACAGTCTTTTCTGATTGAGTATGTTCAACTTGTGAATTTCAATTACTATAAGGATCTCTAAACTTCTTAGTAAACGTTTTTCACCCCCGGTTGAATTTTGGATGCAATTTTGCTGACTTTATGGCCTCTTAATTGCAGTGCAAGAAAAACAAATCGCAATAGATTTTTTTTCGAGTTATGAAGCTTCAAAGTATGCAAAAATAGGCAAATTTTGACAGAAGAGTGCTATTTCAAGCTTTTGAAACGTTTTTTTTTTCTTCGGTGGAAATAATCATTTCCCAGTGAGATTAACTGAGAAGCAGTACAAGTATAAAGTATTCTCTTTTTTTCTTATTATTTAAAAAAAATCCCTACTAATTCTATAGTATAACCAAAAACCATAGTAAAAAAATGTAAAAGGCAATTCTCATTTATATGTAAATCCATAAACCTGTTTGCACTCAAATACGTCCGTGGAGGGTAATTTGAAAAAGTCGTACCGGTTCATCAAGCGGGGCGAGGGCGACAGTAGAGTGGGTGTACATGCCGAGTTGCGACATCAACGAGACAATCTGCGAAGTGTCGGAGAAGTGGGTGACGACGCGACAAGACGCTGTCAGATGGTTGAGAAGACCGCATGGAGCGCCGTCTGGAGTGTGGACGGGGCAGATGAAACCCCAGGCCTCCGGTCGCAACTTGCGCACGTCCGTCGTTCGCATTTCCATGAAGAAGGCTCCTCTGAAACACATTGTTGAACGCTTTTCATTCAATCATACACGGAAAACTGTTCTGAAAGCCGCCAACAAAATCAAAGTAAAGCAGATTTTTGAGTTCATATAGCTGGTTCACGGCCGGCTTGGGCAATCGAAAAAAAGGTCCTGACACGAAAATAAAGAGCGAGGACAGGCCACGCCCCCTTAGCGTCTCAAGCTAGCCGTGAATGGGCTATAACTGTCTCCCATTTTGTAACCACTACCTCCATCGGATTAAAACTCATTTATCCACCTTAATCCTCATAATATCCCTCATTGAAAAAAAAAAAACCAAGATTTTCTTGATGGATTGTTTAAAATTAGTCTCAAAAAATTGGTATTGTAACAGGGGAGAATTCAGCTAACAAAATCATAGAAAAAAAAAACGGGAGGAAAATTTCGAGGATCTTCTTCATTTTGTTCACAACATAAATACTTAAGCGCAAAAAATCTAATAAATGGAGAAAAATTTTCGATGAAATAGGTAAAAAGTTTTTACTTTTGAAAGCTACTTTGGAACAGGAGAAATAGTTCTAAAAAGTTTTCTTCAAAAACTTGAGTTCCCATTATCCACAGGTAAAAACTTGGTCATACCTATGAACAGCGCGAAAATGAGACACGAAACGCAGCTGGTTGATTCTCTCGGCGATGACGGAGAAGCCCGTGTCCTGAGAAAATATCATTCGATATCAAAATGAGCTTCTCTCTAAACCTGCTGCAGAGCCAATCCGATCTTCGTCACCAGGTTGCCAGTGGCCAAGAAGTACTCGAGTCCACGGGTGATCTCTCCCGAGTTGTGGTTTCCCAGACATTTCAGAATCACTGCGCTGCAGGGAACCGAGCCTTTTCAAAAATAATCGAAAAACAAACCTCGTCGCAACGAAGTCTTTCTTTTTCGACTCGAGAAACTCCATTTTCCTTCGCACCATTCCCAAAATATTCTCCAGGCGTTCGCGGATAATCAGAAGAATGATATGCCCCGACACAGAGGCTTCCTAAAAAATTATCCCTTTTCTTCTTTTTTCGATTTTTCTCACTTGGAACTGCGGATTATCTGGTGTCTCAGCTGCGCACTCTCCCTGCAAGCCAACCCATTAACAGAAGTTCTTTTTGGATATTTTCAGCAGAATTACATCAATAATATCTTGCTTCGAGTGTTTTTTTTTTGTTTTGTCGATGTAAAAAGTCGATTTGAGTATCGTTAACTAAGGAACTTTCTCGCAAAAGATCTTGTTTTCGAGTTATAAAACTTCAAAATACGCAAAATACGCAAATCATGACAAAAAAGCGCTATTTCAAGCTTTTTAAGTCTCTCAACTCAAAAACAAAGTCACTTGCTATCTTTTTTTTCCTTGTTCTGCAATCAGGAGGTCCTAAAGTACACTTCAGCGGAGTTTCATCAAAAGTTCAAACAAAAAAAAGAATGGGTAAAAAAACGCTCCCTAGTTAGAACTACAGCCTTTCTACTAGCTAATTTCCATGTTTTTTTTTCATTATCATGACTCTGACTAACTTTAACCAGGGCAATGAGTTTTTGAGCCATGTAGGCGAGTAGGTAGAACTTCTCATTCTCATCGTTGAGATGAATCGATACACACTGTTCGATGATAAACTTGCCAGCCTCCTTAAAGATAAACATAAAAACTTGGAGTAGAAAATGGAAAAAAATACAAGATCATCCTCCCACGGAGCGATGCGGTCCGAGATGGCGACGCGAAACCGTGAGCCGATCGCTCGAAGAGCGTCTTCTCTGTTCATGACGCCCTCTTCCTGACACTGCGCCAGCATATTCACAACACAAGACGAAAAGAACGTGTCGTTTTTCCGCCCCCTTAAAGATTCGATTTGGAGTATTTTTTTAGAAAAAAAATTCATGAAATGAATTGAGAAACATAGACAATATTAAAAAACGAAAACTATAAAATGAGTAAAAAAAAATTTTTAACTGTTTTATCTTTTATCTATGTGTATGTTCCGAGATTTGCAAAAAAATACAAGTGAAGAAATTTTAAACTTTTTATTGATTCAAACTGTAGCATTGAAATTCTTGACATACCTTCGGAACTCTGCAGCAATGACTGCATCATTTCGATCCGTTAAAGCTTTGACGATATACATCAAGGGAACGTAAAAGATCTCTCGCCGAAACTGTAGTAACGGGAAAAATTAAAAATGGGCTTCTGAAGGAACCTGAAGAGCGACTTGGACGGAGCCCGAGTCGAGGTAGTGCAGAGTCTGCATGACGGCCGTGTGGTTGTCCTTCACGCTTCTCATCATTATTCCGAACTCGCTGAACAGTTTTCCCTGCAACAGAGAGCTTCTGAGGCTGTGAAAAAGAGGGAGCAACCTTATCCTTGAAAGTTTTTCTGATCAAGGCGATAGGATAGTTTCTTCTGTTTGCAATAAGTAGACGAAGAACCTGAACGATGAAATCAATTTTCAGAATGTATCCATCTGCTACCTTTTCACTTCCGTTGCAAATAAAGTAGCCACCTTTCTCAATGGGCTCCTCGCCGGCCGAAACCAATTCTTTTCTTGACAGACCTCTCAAGTGACATGCGGAAGACCGCAGCATGATCGGCACCTGAATTAACTTGAACAGAGACACCAGAGCTCATACGAACCTTTCCAAGAATTGTGTCCAAGATATCCGTTCTTTGTCCATTTATTCTCAACTTGAAAAAAAACATTAGACGAAAAAATAATTGGCAAACCTCTAATTGAACTCTCAAATTACCGGAATACGTCAAACCCCGCTGTCGACATTCTGAAGGCAGGAGTGGTAACTGGTCGGATGTTACGAGTTTCGCCTGTGAACAAATTTTTCAATTCAATGATATAAGAATGATTGTTTACCCCTGTATCAATAGTTGGCTTTTGGATCTGCGCTCCATGATACGACAAACTGACAGCATTGCCGTTTTTCAGACGGAACTTCTCATGAGGAACTGCTAGCGCTGCTTGTTGTACTCCAGCATCCACGAGGTAGTCGAAAGAATCAATGTGATATGAGGCTATATCGCAATCCATATATCAACTTAAACCAATAAAATAAAAATAAATTACTTGGACGAATGTTTCTAAAATTTCATGCACCACAGGATGTCTGCGCGTGAAAAAAATGAAAAAAATTGGAAAAAGGTTTGAATAGCTTCCACCTAGCTTTTCGAAAGAATAACCTTTTTATCAGTACTTTGCGGAGTTGCTTTCACATAAAAAAATATCAAGTTTAAAAAGAGAAAATAGAAAAATTTTTCGAAACTATTAGAAAAAAAGAAATCTAATTTTTCGCTCAAAAAAAGAAACGTTACAATATTTGAATATTCCAACTACATTCAAAAAAAATCTATACCACAAATAGATAATAAAAAGACAGTCACATAAAAACTTGAAAGATTTTTTGAACGAATATCAAAAATTCTTGATAGTTATGTTAAAAAGAGGATAAATGAAAGTCGAATAAAAATAATTCTAAAGTTAGCATATACTATAAGCACAATCAGCGAGTATTTGAAGTTTAAAGAAAAAATAACTATTGAATTAAAATATTTGAATTAAATATTAAAGGTGATTGAAATTAAATCAAGGGAAGGGAGCTGGTGCACGTTAAAAGGTCCTAGAGAGGTTGTTACTATTGAAGTGCGCTAGAGCAGACATGGAGTGGTTATCAAAAAATTTTATTTATTTATTTTTTTAATTAATCTGTGTTTATTATTATGATATATTGCCGCTTCGGAGTGTTTTCCGCGAAATTTAAAAGTATCTCTGACTCTCCAAAATTCAGTTGTCTTCGTTTTTTTCTTTGCTGTCTATCTTGGATTACGCAAAATTGCTTTGAACATGGCATAATAGAAAAATAGATGTCTTTTTTCGCGTTTTAATATCAATCGAGTTGTATCAGATACAGTTTCGCTCCTTCGATGAACAAGCCATGTGAAATCCATTTTTTTGTTTTTTGATAATCTTTTTTTATAACGTTCAACCTCTATGCATGTTTAATGAACGGAATAATCAATTTTCAAGTTTCAAAGCAGAATGTGTTATATGACGGACGATACGAAGTTATTTCAGAAGCCTCTATCTGAAAAATCTTAAATTACTGATGTTTCAGGCACTAACTCTCTGACACACTTTCCTTTTTCAATGTTCTCTTTCTACAGAGAAATCATACCCGCAATCATGTTTATTAATAACTATGCCTGATTTCTTAGATGGAGGTTGCTAAAACTATGTCGCATCATCTGCTAGTGGCAATTTTTTATATAGGCTGTCATTTGGAGCGTCGTCTAGATATTTGCGTGTTTTTGTCCCTCCATGATTCATGCATTTCGTAACTTGTTTGTTTGAATGTATTGAGAAATGAAGAAAAAACTTTTACTATAAATATAGTATCCTTTTTTTCACTTTTTCACTTTTTAAGAATTGCAAAAATTTTTTTCAAAAAAAGGTAATCGCTCGTGTTTTAAAAAAATCTAATCATTCTTTAATTTTTTTGAAAATAAACGTGAAATCGTTTCGTTGATAATTTCTTCAATTTATTTTTTTAATTCTTGTTTTTCAAGGTACGTACTGCGCTAAAGGCCGCGTGCGACCTCAAATTAATTCGAGAAGCTGGGTGCAGGCGAAAGCAGTATGTCGCTCGACAGTATGTTTTAATTAGTTTCGTACTTTATAAGTGTTTTTAGAGCATTTGTTCGAGCTGAAATTTGCTGCAAAGCAATTGGAAAAGAACGCACAGCGGTGCGAGAAGCAAGAAAAAGTTGAAAAGGATAAATTAACTGCTGCGATAAAGGTCGGATTTTTTATTTTCTTTTCAGTTTTGTTTGTTTTTAATGCTTGATATGTCACATACAAAAACTTAATATCGAAATAATGATTTATTAACACCAACAACAGCGTACTAAATGATGAAGAGCAAATTTTTTTTTGTTTTTGTTTAAAGCTCGTATCGGATTTTGTTTATTAGAACACAATAATTATGAAAATAATTATTGGTTTTTAAAAAGATTAATAAAATTCTTTATCCACAACAGGTGAGTACAATGGTAAATTTTTTAATATTGTTATTGCAACCGTGTGACCTAAAAAAGAATTTTAGTGTTTAGAATTTACAAATTTGTATGTATTTCTATGGAAATATAATGATTGGACATGAAAACCCTAAATAAATAATAATCATTATTTTTTTATGATTCTGCTTTATACTACTAGGCGGCTTTGAAGATTATCCTGAAGTTTTCAGAAAGGCAACCGCGAAGTTGCTCAGGTCCATGCTGAGAACGCTATTCGTAAGAAAAATGAATCGGTGAACTACATTAGGATGGCCGCGCGCATCGATGCCGTAGCTGCACGGGTCCAAACGGCGGCGACACAGGTTGTCATTGGAAAAGTTGCGAATTAATATGGAGAATTGCAGAAACGCGTCACGAGTAGTATGAGCGGAGTCGTGAAAGCCATGGAAAGTGCAATGAAGAGCATGAATTTGGAAAAGGTACTGCTTGAAATTTTCGTGGACTAGTCTGCCTATTCATCCAATTAAGTTAAATTTAGTTAGCCTTATAATAAAAAAATTTTCTCCATGGAAATCACTAAAAATTTGTAACCTTCCTAGGGGAACTTACCATCACAATGTACTGCTAGTGTCTTGATTGAAAACATTTTATTTCACGCACACCCGAAAGAAAATTATTAATTGCGGGGGTATATGATTTTGGTGCATTTGAATTTTCAATTTTTGAGGTTCAACAACTGATGGATCGTTTCGAACGAGATTTCGAAAATCTGGACGTTCACACGGCGACAATGGAAAAGACTATGGATGGAACGACTGTTCTCAATGCTCCGAAGTCGCAGGTTGACGCTCTGATTGCGGAAGCCGCTGACAAAGCAGGGTGTGTTATTTTTTATGTTTCATTTTGTACAGGGCTGATAATTTAGAAACGTTCTTCGGTTATTTAATGAACATTTCCAACTGTTTCTAGACGCAACTACTCTGGTTAACTAGATTAAAAAGTCCTTATGAAAATTGAAAAAGTTTTTTTTTTCAAATATAAAAAATATCTCATCATTGCAGAGAAAAATTCAGAAATCAACTTAGATTTATCCATCTCTTCATTAAAAAAAAGCTTTTGGAATTGGAAAACAAATGGATGGTGCAATTTTTGAATAGAAAAAGTATATTCTGCTAGTTTTGGTAGTGATTGAAATTTGCAAGCTATCAACTTGTTAGTTACAGAAAGGGGTTCAATGACCTTTTTTCGAAAAATTTAAAATTTGGTGAATCTACGAAAGTATTGCAGTTAGTTTTTTTTTTTCAATTGTAAAGAGTTGTTTTAACCGTTATATTTGTTTATCACGTAGGGTATCAATTTTCTGAGCTCGTGTACATGAAGGCAAAAGCGGTTTTTTAATGAATATGAAAAATTTCTCAAACACGCTGATCACAATGGACTCAATATTTTGGATGTAATTGTATTTCATGAGGGTTCTCTATAATGGGAGATCATAGTGATCACCAAAAATAACCTGCTAATGCATGGGAGAGAATATTCTAATTATTGATGCTTTATTTCAACCTCCATGAAACAGTTACTGTATCGTAAGGAAAAATTGGTTTGCAGCATTGAACTCAACCAAGAACTGCCTTCCAACGTTCCGACTTCTCTGCCGGCCTCTTCGGCCACCGTTGGCGAAGACTCGGCTCTCACGGAACGCCTTGCCGCCCTTCGCAATATGTAGCCACCTTTACCGCTACAAATATTTGTTTAAAGTAATGCATTATCCCTTCTTTTTATGTATAATCTTATAAATTTACGCCCACACTTGTGCTGATGGTTACTGTATATAGTAAAAGTATTCATTTCAAATTGTTTCTCGAGTTTTTTTAAGTATATATCTTTTTATACTTGAAAGTTTATCGCTCATTGCTAAATCACGAACAGTTTCGATTGACTAGATTTGTAATTTGCAGTTTTAGTTTTTTTTATCAATTTTTTTTATTCACAGGAGTTTCAATATTGGATACTTTAATCAACTTAAGTAATCTCCTAATATTTACAATTTACTTTTTGAATGTTATTTGCGTTTGCGAAAAGGAATTCTTAGGGAGGATCAAAGTAGAGACTGTTGAGAGCCTCCGTTATACTTTAGCCGATTTTCAGTTTTCAAAAGATCACAAGAAAACGGCATCTTGAAATGGAAAATGGTGGTGAATTCATTTCTGTGACAACTGGACCATAGGTGTACTTTGAACTCTTTATCAGCGGCGGTCAAATCTAATCGATTTTTTCGGTTGACAGATATAATTATTTTTCCTCGTTTCGTTCGTTGAAATAATTCGTGCAACCCTATTCCATTCTTATAAATTTTTAAAAGTTCTTTGATTGTAAAAACTGTTTAACAAAAAAATTTGCTATCCGCATTGTAATAACACGATTTTTTTATATGATTCTTAGTTAGATACTGACAATAATCATGAATATATTTTTATTCTTCTCGTGAATCTTTAAATTTTCTTTCCGATAATTCTTTTTGCAACTAATTTCCCTGGTCAATATCCACAGAATTAAAAAGCAAAGTGCACTTTCAAATTCAATCGGGGTATGCTTCGATTTTTTAAAGAATGAGCAATCAACTATTTGTCCATCTCAATTCTATAATTTTTTCTATTATGAATGTCAAGTCTTCGCTCTTACGCGTAGATCAAACCAATCAGAGAGCGAGCCATCCATAGAGCGTTTTTAAGGGCGGAGTTTGCTGTTTAACATTCAAAATTTGAACATATTTCATCTGAATCTGCAAGAGTTAAGAAAACTTCAAAGTATGCTTCTGGATAGCGCTCCGATAGCTATATCTCACCACGTATCTTATATATTGACTGACTGTGCGGATACCTCGATTGACCCTTGTTTCAGAAAATATGCGGATTCTTGTCGGAGTAAAGAGAGTAGTCGACTACGCCGTGAAGGTTTGCAACTTATAATCACTCCTAATCCGATTTCTTCTATCAGGTTCGAGTGAAGCCGGACAAATCGGGGGTTGTAACAGAAGGCGTTCAACACAGCATGAATCCGTTCGACGAAATCGCTCTTGAAGAAGCCGTCAAATTGAAGGAGAAAAAACTCGCCACAGAGGTTCTTCCCCACCATTTTTTTTTCTGCTAAATTTAGATCGGCACGAACTGAATTAAGACAACACTTGTCTGCGTTTTCTTGTCCCTCACTGGTGAAGTCATAGAAAACAGTAAGCAAACAGGAGAGCTTCACAGAGAAAGAGGGCTATAACTTTTGAAAGGCGAACTGAATAATCTTATTTTATTAAATATAAAAAATGGGAATTTTTCATGCTGCAGGTGGTCGCTTTCTCCCTGGGTGGACCTAAAAGTGCGGAAATTCTGCGAACTGCTCTTGCCAAAGGCGCTGATAAGGCAGTTCATGTTCAGGTTTTTTTTCCAGTGGTAATTTCTCGGTCAAAACTTCAATCTTTTTAGGTTTCCGAAGCGGAAGCGGCGAAAGTAGAGCCTTTGCATGTGGCGCAAGCTCTGCAGAAGCTGCTGGAGAAGGACAAGTTCGACCTCGTTTTTGTGGGAAAACAGGCGATCGACGACGACGCCAGTCAGACGGCGCCGCTTCTGGCGGGACTCCTCGACTGGCCTCAGGCTCTGTACGCCTCCAAGGTCGAGGAAGGCGGCGCTGGATTCCTGAAAGTGACGCGAGAAATCGACGGAGGCCTCGACACCGTTAAAGTCCGTTTGACCCATAAAAGTAGTCTTGAAGTTGAATCAGTCTTTTTAAAGAAAGGTGCAAATCTTATATGAATTTAACTGAGAAGTAGGTAAAGACAAATCATAAGGACTTCAACAAAAAAAAATCCCAAAAATTCAGGTGAAACTTCCTGCCGTTCTGTCGGCAGATTTGCGCCTCAATGAGCCTCGTTACGCCACTCTGCCCAACATCATGAAGGCCAAGAAAAAGCCGCTGCAGAACATTCCAATCAAGGATTTGGGAGTGGAAATCAAATCGCAAACATCAATTCTTGAGGCGAGCTGTTTTTCATTTTGGCATCTGTTTTAGTTCAGCCTTTTAATACTTTTTTTGTGTTGAAAGTGTGTAGTTTTAGTGAAGATGATTTCAGGTGAGTGAGCCTCCTCAGAGGGAAGCCGGCGGCTTTGTCGAAGATGTCCCAGCGCTGGTTAACAAATTGAAAGAAAAAGGATTTGTCAAAAACTAGATTTCTTGTCCAATTCTCTTTTCGAGTACTTGTGCCTTTACGGTATTTTTTTAAATTATGTTCTGTGTAAAATATTAGTGACAAAAATGGATAAATGCATTTCCTTCTTTATCAAAATTCATAGAAGAGAGTAGGCAGAGCGAGATAATGTGAGTAACCGTAGAGTCGAGTTGAAGAGACCATGGGAGAACTGGTGTAAGTATAGCTGAAAATTCTATTTTTTGTTAGAAAAGAGATGGGTACGACTTACGAGTCGGGTTCGCGAGTTGCAATGAGGGCACACTGTGAACTGCGTGTTAGCTGTTTCCAGCGGTACATAGCTCAGAAAAGCATTTCGTGTTTGGAGAAAAGGCCGTTTTTTGAAAACTTCCGTTCGCAATACCTCGACGGACCTTGACGAGGTCATTTTCAGTAGAACTTTGTCCAAACATCTGGAACTTTGGTTCCAGTGAGGATTCGTCAGTTCTTGAGCAGAGGTTGGACAATTCTCGTCGCCGTGCTGTCCGACCCTGTCCGCATATCTTCCTTGCATCCTCCGCACGGACATCAACTTCTCGCCGTTCCTTTTCCTTTCCACAGCTATCCGAAGATATCCGTGCTGTTGCATGTGGTACCTCAGGATACAAGCCGCCTCAAGATTAATTATATTTTGAGTGTTTTTCGATTTGTCATTTCGTTTTCTACCAATCTCACTCTCCTTTTATTTTATTCATTGTTTTGAAAATTTTGTTGTGCAATAGTTGTCAACAAAGAAAACAGAATCAGAAGAATGGAAAGAAGAATATGCAATTTTTGCGATCGTTTTCAAGTACCCTGACTTAGGTCAATTACCAAGTCTTGATGATTCACTTGATGTACATATCAGAACCTTTATCAGACATTTCACTCAAAGAATAATTTTAACTCACTTGATCTGCCGTGACTGCCCGCAAAGAACACTTCTCGCAAGCCATTAATCGGTCCCCGGGAAGAAGTTTTTGCGCCTGAGTTTAGGTGAAATAAACTTTCTAGGTACTGCTCCTACATGCAGAAGCAGCTGGTCCTCGAAACTATCAAAACTCGTCTACTACTTCTGATGCTTTTAATTCTTCTTAGGAACTCCAGAGTGGTCCCTATAGGGGCACCCTTAGGAGCTTTTAGAGGAACCACTTAACCAAACCCTATAGGGGCCACTAAAGCTTGAAGAAGTGGTCCCCATAGGGAACATGATAGTCGATAATTGTTATGTACTCTAAGCGAAGAAGCATTTCCATGCAAAAAACTGAATAAATGAGCGTTTATTGAATGAAATAGAAAGACCCCTATAGGGTCCACTTGAGCTTTGGGTGCTTGGGAGTCAGACCCTAAACCCCTATAGGGACCACTTTTTCATTCGGATTTCGAAAAAGAAAAACAGGAAGGAAATCGGTCAAACGTTGAGTTCAATGCTGAGTAATGCCTCTTGGGACTGAAATTGATGTTGGGTTCTATGGGTTTTCAACGGCCGAAATGGCAAGTCGAAGTGTGCCAGAACTCGTATAGTAATTTCCAAGCTAGTCAGTCTTTTTTTGCAAAAAAAGGCATGGGGTAGAGAAAAACATTAGACAGCAAATATCTGATAACTCAAGAGTCTACAGTATTTCTAAAAATAAAAGAAAATGCAACTTCCGTTTACCTGGGTAGATGAAGGGTGAACGTAGGCCACAAAAACGCCGCTGGTGCGGTTACCCACGATTCCGAAGCCGAGTCCATTGCCTAAGCTGTCTTCCTTCTTCAGGGTCACCTGAGAGGATTTTTTCGCATTAGTTCTTGAGTTGTCGCGAATTCACATTGTCCTTCTTTTTTCACCATTACTTTACTCGAAGAGAACAAGGTTTACTTTATCAAAATGAGAATTTATGCGAAAAAAAGCTCGAATTTAAAAATCGTAAAGTGATTTAGAAGCGTATTCTTTGATCTGAGCTTTATTACTGTGACTTTCTTTCTTGGAAGTTCGGATTTAACAAAATGAAGAACAGTTATTTTGACGGGCCATTTTAATAACCTCGTGAAAAATATAATCGTTGCGATCATCAGAATCAGCTATGGGGTTCGTTATGGAGTCTCCAGATGGGCCTTCGGCGCCGAAGACGTGCTCATCCTCGTCACACGTCAGCATGCACAGGTTCTCGTAGGCCGAATGCGAGTAACGACCTGATTTTCCCGCGTTTCGCACCATCTTCTGTAAGGCTTCTTTCAACTAACTCTTCTAGAAATAGATTTTTTTAAGAAGTGAGAAAATTTCGAGATCACGATTTTAATTTCCGCAGCTTTAAAATACTTCCGTAGGGCTAGATGATCTGCGTAATTTCTATATCAAAGTTTTTTTGTGAAAAAATTTCGACTTGGAATTTTTTCCTACGGATGAAAGATGACGGATGTTTTGAATAAAACATGTTGATGGAAATCCCGTCTGAATGTTGGACTGTGTACGACTAGCGACTGCGAGAAATGCGTCAGCGGAGCATGGAAGTGCCACGAAATAAAACGAAAGAGTCATTCATGGAATGCTGAACGCATGAATTTTGCAGCGCGTGGGAAAGCGGCCTGACTACCAAGAGGCTTTCTCGAAATGCCGGACTAAGCTTCTGAAAGTCGAGTGCCGTCGGCGAATCGGCCTCAACACTCGTGTACTTAAATCGCGACTCACTTGAAAGTTTGAAGGATGGTTTGGAGCTCATGTGTCAGGAAGGAAACGCGATTGGAAAAATTTCCGAGTTGTAAAAATTGCACAGTTTTGAAGTAATTGAATGGCAAAAAAAAGGATTTTTTATGGGTTGAACGCGTCAGCGAAAGGTTTTTTTCATTAGAGAAAAACAAAAAAGAGATTCCTGAATTCATCTTTCTTAATATAATATTATTTATTTACAGGCAGGACAAAAATAACATGTACAGAGAAAAAAATTTGGCATTAAGCCTGAAATAAATAAATAAAAGGCACTTGAGGCCCTCACGAGCCTCTGAGCCAGTAATAAAAAGAATAAGAGGTGAGGATTGCACAAGGGAAAAAAAAGTAATTAGAAAAGAAAGCATTATAAGTTATGACACAGTGTAGCACAGGTGAATGGGGAATTTAATTGTTTCTTCAGTTCAGTTTTAAGGAGTGCAGTTTCTTTTTTGTCTGATGTAGGGTTTCAAAAAAAATTTTCCATTTAAACTTCAAATTGGATGATTTTCTGAACATGAATGAACAACTACTTATGTTTCAAGAGCTATTAGAATTCCGCACAGTACCCACACATAAGGCATAAGTTCTTGGAATATAAATAACCCTGTAGATTGCAACATTCAGTCCTTTTATCTTATATTTTGAACAGAGCTTTCAGTTATTTTTTCTGAAGTTCCAAAGCGATTAAATTCATCTCTTTTTGGTACTGTTTCAAGTAACCTGAATGAATGTAATAAAATCTAATGAATGCAAAAAACTCCCGAGAAAGAACAGAAATTACGAAAAAAAAAAAGCTTGGTGCAAAATTTTTTTGAAATTGGCAAACAGACCACTTGGGAATTACTTCTTAAGACAAGAGACTCACGAAAGCGAACGATGGGAAACCCTCGCAAGGCATTTAAAAGGAATAGTATAAAGGAATGAAAACAAATAGCTCGAGGTGGAACCGACCTCGTTAGAAATTCAAATTTTGGGCATCTCTTCTTCAGTTACGTTAATTTGAGATGATTTCCATGAGAAGTGGAAAAGAAACCTAGTCCTGGAACTTTGATATAGGCTTGAGAGCAAAGGAAAACATTCTCATCTAAATATTGAAGTCTTTGAAATTAATAAATTGTGAGTTGCGCAAATATCCATTCCTTGAGCTTCGTAAAAGTTTTTCGAGCCAACTAAAAGGAACTGATAACCCAGCTTCTGTAGACAAAATGCATTCCAATGGGCAAACGTAGAAAACAAGAAAATAGAGGCAGGTGAGCTCCATAAATGACGGACGGAAAAAGGCCTGGAGATGAGATGGCGAGCCGCCACAACTCTCTCCCAAATAGCGACATGCGTGACATATGGGCCGCCTCGAATTAGTCTTTTTAGGCGCGCCTCCAGCTCAAGCCAACCTCTGTTCCAAAACGACGCTTGATCAAGGAAACTCCAAAAGGTTCCAGCTCATTCTAACTCTTGACAACAGTAATGAACTTTCCGAATCGAATTGAAAAAACTTTCCGAATCCAATTGTCCAAAAAGTCGTTCAAAATGCAAAAGTTCTTCCAAAAGCTCAGAGCGAAGTATCAACACTAACAGTCAGACTCATTAGAGCAGATATCATTCATCACTGCTGCGAGTGGGGTTCGAACCAACGACCCGTTGGAAGATAGGCCAGCGATTTAGCCATTGCGCTACAAGACATGGCCGCGTACAGCGTCAGCCGATGCGTAGTCAACAGTCCGCGTTATCGAGGTCGTGAACGCTACTTCTCACAGTGAATTGCTCAGATTAAATTATTAATCTCATACTTTTGTAGCCAAAGTGAGAGGATTTTTCTGGAAATCGTAGTTTCAACTTCATAATCAGCTTGACAATTATCAAAATTTTTGTTGGTTGAAGATTTGTTATGAGACTTATGAATAGGAAAGGAAAATTAGATTTTCTTTTTGGTGGGTATATTATGTATCCCGCTCTGCAGAAAGGCTAGAAAAAACAGGAAAACGACTTTTGCATGTTTTACGACTTTTTTTTCAGCTTTTTTTCGGAGGAGTATAGTACCGATGTTTGAGGTATATAAACTGGTTTGTAAAAAAAAAATTCAGTTTTTCGAACAATTAAAAAGTAAACTTCCATTTCGAAATGCGCATAATCGATGATGAGGAAAACAAAAGAAATAATATAGAATTGGCGGAGGATGGAATCAATTTCCGAGCATTTGCTTGTTCCACAACTCAATTACTAGACTACTTAGCGCTCTGCGAGAATTTCATCACTCCTTCACAATCGTTACATTTACACATTCAATTCAATTACTTGGTGCGTGTTCAGAGTCGCGAGAATTCATTGAACGAGAGTCGGACGACCCTTCCTTCTTCGTGGCCAACGGACGTTGTTATCTGTTCAAAAGTCCTTGCAGGGAACTTTGAGAGATTGAATGAACTCAAAAACACATAAAGCGATTTGTTTGATATCCGTTTCAGGTCATGCAAGGGACCTGTTTCTTAACTACAAAAGTTCATTTGAACATTTTCTACTTTACATGCTCGAATGGTAAATGAATTAATCATGAGATTAAACAATGTTTTTTGTGTCTCAAGGTAGTGAATCGGAATCCAAAGCAAATTCAAGCAACCTATGCTACTGAGCGGCTACCTGGGCAGTCGAATCTTCTCTCAGAATTAGCTTACTTGAGACATATAGCGACTTTAGCCGCTATCTCCAGTTCAATATCCGCCATATAGTCGCATCGACATCGCTGTCTGAGTTTTCCATTGTTAAAAAGGACGAAGTGACCTGTTTCAGACCTTTGTCTATTTTTGATTTTAGTTAAACAGTCGAAAAAAATGATTTCACTAAAAACTGCATTTCAAATCCGATCGCCAGTCTTGCCCCAAATTTTTCTCCCATCCGAGATTTAACCTGCTCTTTGGGATCTTGGGATGCATCGTGAACCAAAACCCGGAATTGGAGATTGGCGCTGCAGAATAAGGTTCGTTCTATATCGCAAAATTGTGTTGAAGAGCCACTGTTTAGAAATTTTCTTCAAGTCGAATATCAAGATTTTTTATGACAAAAGTCATGATTTTGCTCATTTTTTTTTTACTTAGAGTCAAGCTTTTATGTCAGCCCGGGTCAAAATTCTGGCCGAAACTATATTTTCACTCGTTGAAATATAGTTTCTGTTTAATTCTAGAAGAAAAATTAGCGAGAACGTGGTTTGTTTTTTTCTCAAAAAACTTGGTATTTGTCTCGAAGAATATTACCGGGCCTAAGGGCTGACGGGCCGGCCCTCGCACAAGCCTGCATAGTGTTCGAGAGAAACTATTATTTAACAAGTAAAAATAGTTTTTTCGGTGAAAATTTTGTTAATGAAATCGAAAATTCGTTTTTTGAAGCCTGGCCCGAGCCCGGTCTGACGCACAACCCTGCCGGTGATCCTTCTCGCGAGGAAACTGCGCTCCATGGTACAAGTTTCCGCAAGACATTCCACAAATCGATTTTCCGAAATTTTTTTATTATTTCTGTTGCTCAGTTCAGAGTATTTTGATTGGATTGTAGACAACGCGGTTTATTAGGTTGCCCCTTGAGAATAATTTGAATCGCTTCAAAAAATACTTGGGTCTGATTTACCGCTTCCCACAGAATTTCCGAATGCAGCATAAGCCGATGGGTTATCTTTTATTTCTACACTCAAAACTTAACTCTGGCTTCTCTATTTTTAGATCACAGTTTTGCGATGGCTATTTGTCTGGTAACTGCTTTACACTATCAAAAACAAACAAATCCATGAGCTAAGTCTACCTTTTATCCGTGTTTTGAAAGGAGCTCCTTTTTTTCATTCGTCAGTCAGGAATTTTGCATTTTCCCTTTTAGAATGCTTTTTTTTGCAACACATCCGATAAATTTATGTAATTTCTTGTTGAAAGGTGCTCGTTCTGGAAAATCTGTGATAAAGATAATAAATAAGTTCTTTTTTTCGCTCTGTTCAAGTACAGATGAATCGTCCTCATATCATTTTATCACGCAAAGAATTTATTCGAGACAGAACTCAACTTTTTCTATTTTCATAATTTCTTTAAAAGTTCGCTATCAGTGTTATTTGTTGTCACTGGGTGAGATAGCCTTCTGATTACCTTTTTTCTATTTTTTTTCTCTTTTTCTCGTTTTTCTCGGGCTTTTCTTATAATCATGTTTATGACGGTATAGCTCGTGATAATTAGCATAATTGAAAATAGTCATTATAAAAAAAGTCTCTCGCGAAATGTTTAGGAAAAACGACTGACCAGTGAAACAGAAAAATTTATAAAAAGAGCGCTCGAGTCTGGTGCAAATGTACTCCATGGCTAAATGGTTCCGTTTCATTCAAAAAGTTTTAATTAAATTTCTCAGTACAAGGACATAAATGCTATAAGGAAGCTGTGGAGAGTCGAATGTCCAAAAATAGGGTTGTTGCTAGGGTACGAAGCCACAGTAAGAATTCTCAAAAACCTTTGGTTTTTTCAAGTGAAGTGGTAGTAAGAGGTTCAGATCTCACGAATAAAATCGAACTTTAAGATTTCGAAAATTTGATTAATGAAAAGAACATTTGAACGGAATCAAATATATTTTAGTAACCTTTGATTGAAAAAGAACAACAAATTTTGGAATTTTCGCACGCTTTTCATCAGTTTTTCTTTGCTCATCGTGTACTTTGCTCTCATTTTCACTCGTGTCAAATCGAAAAAGCGAAAAATCATGTATATCTTCAGCAAATGGGTGATTTGAACGCAAGAACCGAAGCATTGCTCGTGAACGCCCTATTAGAGCCGCTAGAGCGAGCGCAGTCGACCTCGTCGACTATTAGGAGCGGTTCTTCTGACGGCGATGAAATAATTAAACTGGTACTTTGATTTTCTAAAATCCCACAGTAGTTATGATATCTAATTGCTTTAAAGCCTGACTTTGATTTCCTTTTCCAGTGTCCTGTTGTAAAAGGTGGGCATTGGCTCCGCTTCGAGTGGTGCAATATGCACACAAATATAGTCAACGTCGTTGTGGACATAGTCAGGTTTGAATATCAAGTTTTTTTGTTTGATTCAATTGCGGGTTTCAGAAGAATGAAAGATCAACTCGAAAATTTGAACACAGTTATGAAGAATGATGTGGAAAAAGTCGACCGCAAAGATTTCGCTTCTCTGAACGCGTTCACGAGCAAGTACAACAAAGCAGCTTCTGCAGTTCGGAAACTGGTATTTTTTTTATTCATAGGAGAATCTTCATACATTCACATCCAATTTTTTAATTTTCCTCCTCCCTCTCGTTCTGAAAAGTCGGTCGGTTCGGACGCTTTTGTGTGATGCTATTTTTTAAAGTTTTCAAATCTTGAAAAGATTTTGGGCTTTATTCGGGTGTTAAAGATTTCAAAGCGCGTATTTTTTCATAGTATGACCAGTTCAGACGTCATTTTTCATAAAATCCGGTCATTAGATTCTCGAAAATTCACTTTTTCTCTGGATTTTTCCTTTTTCGCCAGAAATTCTCTCAAATTTTAATGAACGCTTGACATATTTCTATTTAGGGTCAAATTGAAATGTTCGACATAACGTTTATGGAAAAAAAAAACATAAAATCACTATCTTGGACCGCCAATATTTGGTTTTTTGGAACTTAAAAACTATAAACTATCCACAATCGAGAATTCTATTCATTTTGAGCGCCTAAAGAATTTAGAACTAAAAAAACTTCAAAATCTTCGGGAAGTGCCTTTTTTTAAGGGATCGTTTTTCTATTAAAAGAGCTATTCAGTCATCGAAAATTTCTGAGTTTCAAATACCGAAAATTTTGTTCAGAACGCCGGTTCCGTTCATCACGAATTGGGCGACTGGCGTCTTTCGTACTGCACTCCACAAATCGCCCAAATCATCGGAGGATACGCATTTGACTGGTCAGTTATTCCCATCACAAGTAAGGTCATTTTATTCTGCGGCTTGGAATTTTCTAGAAATTCGCTCAAACACTCCCTGAATGTCTAGATGAGTATCCCTCATAGTCGCTACCTGCGAAACTTTTAGTTTTTGAGATATGATTTTGCATAGTTGCGAAATATATGTTTTATGCCGTGTTCAAAGTAATTTCCGCGAAATGAAAAATACCCGTTAGAGAAAGGAAAAGATCACTAAATTTTGGAGAGTCAGAGATCATTTTGCATTTCGCGGAAATTACTTTGAACACGGCATTATGGCGAACTTTTCGAATTTCAAAGTTAATTATCTCAAAAACTAGTAGCTGGGGCGGGCTGCAACTTTGATGGATCTCCATAGAAGCCTTCAGAGATTGTTAGAGCAAATTTGTAGAAAAATCCAAGTCGTAAAGTAAAATGACCTTTCGTGTCAGCCATCAGATAGTTCGTTGGAGGCTTTTTTTTAGCAAACGGAAAAAAAAAATAATTTCAAATTAGAAAAAATAATCACACGTGAGCCGCTACTTCACCATAAAAAGAGTTGAAGATAGGAAAAGTTCCTAAGTTAGTCAGAAAAGAATGTCTCGAATTTGACGATGCATGTTTCGTTTATTATCTCACTAATTGTCAATAGTTAAGAAGTTTTTTCGAGTAGGACCATTAAATAGAGGATTTTCAGTGCTGTGAAACAGGCCCGTGCGCTGAACAACCACTACGAACCTTTTAGCAGCGAGGTTTGTTTTATCAGGATTTCCGGGCTATTCAGCAAAGCTTTGAGAAACTTATTCAGATTTTCTTTTCTATTAACTAAGCTTTGAGTTTTGATATTGAAATTTCACTGGGATGTCTAGAATTTCTCTCTAAAGAATGAATAGTTACGTTTAATGAGTAAAGAGCAGAGCCGGGAGCTAGAATCACATGAGCAATAATATATATCCGCCTCAGAAAAATTGAAAAGTCATAAAAATTGTCGAAATTTTTGGAGTCAATCTCATAACTTAACTATTTTTCTCGACCTTCTTTTTTTGTGCTTCTCCACGACCTTCCTCTGAATGAAATAGAGAACTTTTCGCGAAATATTTCTCTCTATTTTCAACTCTCTATGTTCCACCAGGTCTACGGAGAAACGAGTTTGGAGCAAATGAGCCTCATCGTGGAGCAGCTCAAGCTCGGCCCGGATGACGTCTTTGTGGACTTGGGCAGCGGAGTGGGGAACCTCGTCACGTTTGTAGCGGCCATGGCCAACGTTTGATTCTTCTCAGATTCGAAAACAAAAAAGCTGAATTAAAGGTCAAAAAGTCGGTGGGAATCGAGATCGCTCTGCTGCCTTCCACTCTGGCTGTTCAGCTCCAAGGCTACTTCGAACAGTGAGTTACATTAACAACGGTTTTGATTTAATCAAGTTAGAATGAGCAGCCGAACGATAGAAGTAAAGCAATGACAATAATTATATGGGCTTTCATGGGCAGAAATTCGTTTAAATTTAGGTTTGGACAAACTAACAGCATTTTTTTTTTGCAACAAGAAAATATATTCCAGTTGGTAGTTTATAACATTACAGAGATGGTATCAAAAAAGTAAGTTGTTGTTAAAATCTTGCAAATTTTAATCAAGTCTCAGAAATTCAATAAAGAAAGATGTTTTTTTTTCTTTTAAAGGTTCATGGCGCATTTTGGGAAATCTTACTCGCCTTTCGAGTTACACAAAGGCGACTTCCTTGACGAGAAGTTCAACGATTTGCTGACCAAGGTTCGCTTTTTTGTATCCGAAAGCCTTCAGTTCCATTCGAGCAGGAAGCGACGGTCATTTTCATCAATAACTACGCTTTTGTCCCTCAACTCGAGTCGAAAATCAAGACCAACGTTATTATGGAACTCGCCGACGGCGTCAGGATTGTCTCTACCAAAAAGTTCGTTTTCTTGACCTTCCCATCTGAATCGAACATTTTGAAAGCTTTGGAAAGAAGATTTTCTAATGAGATAGAAGGAGAAAGAGAATGCGTTATACGGAGATTCCTTCTGGAATAAAACTTGAACTCGACATTATTCTCCATATTTCTTCAGTTCAAAAGTCTTACCCAGCAAATTCAATGTATTTAATGAGCATTTATCATTTATAACTTCCTTTTTCATCCATTAGTACATTCAGTATTTTTCAGATACGCTACCGGCTCGAAGGAAATAAATCAGCGGATGATGACGGGTACGTTTTTGCATACATGAATCCTTCTCGGAGTAGTGCGTTTGACAGCCGTAGCAACTTATGAGTATAATAACTTACCTAAAAAGATCTTCCATATCACAAAAACGAAGAATAACTTGCATGGAGGTGTTTTATAGACCGAGCAGCCGTCAAGGCGTTTCGACCTACTATGGCAGGCACGTTTTGTGTTTCCACTCACAAAATCAGTAGAAATTCGCTTGTGTATCGTGCTGCATTTCTCATTAGTCGATTCCTTCCAGAAATCGAGACATATCGAATTTTTTTTTGATGAGTTTTGAAGTGCAGAGCGAGTTGCTTGTAGAGAGGTAGTGAATAATAAAATGATGTAAACTCCTTTGAATGAGCTCGGAAAATATTTTCATTCGTAGACGTGGAGGCCATGTTGGACGTGGAGAATCTGAACACTGTCGACGCTCCTGCTTCCTGGACCCCCCGGAACGTCCCTTATTTCCTGCACACAGTCAATCGTGGCAAGGTGGGCTTTTCCTTTGACGTTCACGCTTTTTTTTTCCATTTTCAGATCGAAAAGTATTTCGAAAAAATGCGTGGGAACGGCACCGAATCGGGTACGCGTCGACGTGGAAAGGACAGCAAATCTTCGTCTTCGAGCAGCCGGGAAGGAAGCCATTTGGTGGGTTGGGCATTTAGATGAGCATCGAAAAGTAGGCTTTGTTCCTTGAAAATAAGAAGATGGAAATTATTTATGTTATTAAGTGGTCAAAAAAGTTCTCGAAGCGGTTTTTGATGCTCTCACTTCAAACAGATTTTTTTTAAACAAAACTTCTGGGCTGGCTCTGTAAAGATAGATTAGTAGATTCTTTAGTTTTTTGTTCTAACTCTGTTATAAACGATTGTTTTGACCTGAAATTTCAATGGCTTTTCCAAAAAGGACAAAAAAAGATTCTAGTTCAAATTCTCGATAACATCAGTTTACTTATTTAGTTAAAATTTCAGGGCAAAATGGTTGTTTTTGACAAAGTTACGGACGGAAAACCAAAAAATGTACTGTACGTCATTTTGAAGCGCGTAGCATTTTTAGTTTTAACACAGTAACGTCTCCCAAACAGCTTCAAAACTTGGAACAGTCATTTTTGAGTTATGTTTATGCTGAACGGTTACAAAAATTCCTGATAGCTGCACAGTGGCGAAAAAGAAGCTTGTCATCTCTGATTGGGAGGATATATAGAAAATGGTCGTGCCTAGAGGACTTTTAAAGCAAAAGCTCAATTATGTGTTCCTCACAAATCTAAAGAAAGTCGTGACTCTATTTTCTCAACAAAATTGATCGTTCAAGGAATTCAGAATGCGCAGACGGCGCAGTCAGATGGAAAGGCCGAAGCGAAAGAAGACGTCGCCGGCGAACATCCGTAAGTCGTGTCTGTTTTCCGAAGATAGTCTACTTGATGATAGGTTCGGGCCAACTACTCGCAACAAGTGGAAAGCCTACGTTTCTTCCATGGATGAAAAGAAACCGAAGAGTGTACGCTTTTTGCAACTGAAAAATCGATCGATAAGGTTTTTCAGTCGACAGGATCTCCGCGATCGGAAGAGCCGGACCGTGATTTCTATCCCCTCGAAAAAAAGGCTCGCAAGCAGGCCGAGAAGAAGGAGAAGCAAAGGCGCTCCAACGCGACAACACCTCGCCTTCATAAGGTTCTTATTTGCTTTGAGAATATCGTAATTTCGTTTCGTCATGGCAAACTGAAAACTTAAGGCCAATATAGGATAATCAAGGCCAAAAATTGATCTCTATCAAATGTCCTATAATGAAATGAAGTTTGGATTTGCGCGTGAAGACCTTTGAGTTCAGAGGAAGGTTTCGTCTGAATCGCCGAGCCGCAATTCGGGAGGCGATGCTCTGGCTCGGAAATCAGTCGAGTCGACGAGCAGATCTGACGCGGTCCTCGGCTCAGAAGACCGCTGCTCCCCCAGAAAGAACCTGCACATTTCGCCGGAAACCATGTCGACGATCGACGTCATGCATGAAATGATAGTCTCGCCCCCACGACATTCCACCAGCGACGACATCGCGTCCGGCCAATTTGTTAGTTTCTTTTCTGGAGTTACTTTGGTCTAGCAAAGGTTTTCCAAATTTTTTTTTCGTTTCGTCACTAGTCGATGTGCATCCTCAAAAGATAGAAATTCGAAGACTGGGATTTTTTATTTTTGCATTCATGTCATCAAACTAGCACACTTCAATATTCAATGCCCTACTGAGGAAATCGTTAGTGGCGCCTTTAGGGTTTTAACTTTTCTTTTTGACCACGTTAGTATACGAATTAGTAGCCACCGAAGGGGAAGCTACTACAAGGCCACTCAGTAGCAAAATAATGGCTTCTATAAACGTAGTTTTTGTGGCCACCTTAGTGCCCTCTCCAAATAATCCTTGAGGAACCTCTTAAGTAACTACCAAAGTTTTTCTCAGTATATTGATCGAAAAAGGCTACAATTTTGAGATTCGGGTGGGAATCGATGGTGTACCAATTCATCCGCCAAAAGAGAACCCGATGAATCGACCAACGTTCATGATTCCGCCGACAGACCCGCTGTATGATTGCATCGGTTGGTAATTTATCATAACTCAAAAAAATGAAATAAAAAATGCAGTCGGCCTTTACCTCGGCTTGAAGGAACAAGGAATCAAGGCGAAAGAGGCCAGCGAAGAATACAAAGCGGAGCTGCGCAAGGACATCGAACGCGAACAGGTGCCGCTTTTTTGTAATTAAAACTTTTGAGTTTCTCGAAAAACGAGTGACTTTTTGAGCGTAAAGTTTGACGGGAAGGATATTCAGGCTCGCCGTGCTGAACTCCAGGAGAGCTGTCGGGAAATCCAGGCTCAGATCGACATTTGTTTGCAGTCTGGAGTCTCTCACCTCAAGGAACGCCTGGCCGAGCTCGACATGAGTGGCGTCCAGGAAGTCTCGGAGCTCCTCTATGGGTTTTTCTTTTTCAAACTTATTCAAATATTGAGTCTCAAAAAAAGTTTCCATACTTTTTAAAATTGATGCAAAACGAACATTTCCGGTTTTTTCTTCTCTCCTATGCTCTTTTTACTGAAACGAACGCTTAGAACTGATATTTAAAAAAAAATTCCAGAAGTTTTAAGTCACAGATTCCCCAAAATCAGCGAGGGGTGCAGTTTCTGATTTTTTCTAAATCAAAAAACATTTATCTCGGCGCGAAAAAGCGGTTGCGTTTATTACAATATGTTTGCGAAGCGTTTGCGATACGCTTTTGGAGCACATTTGAAATCCCCGCATTCTTAAATTTCACGATATCGAGAAAAATGGCAAAGCTTAAAAATGGACAGTTGTCAGACTTTCTGCGCATGAGTTAAAGGTATTTTTAAGTCACAAAAAGGAAATGAAAGGCTGCTGTGGACAATAGCAGAAGAAAAAGAACGTTGTTTCAGGTCGAAACAGATTGTTGCACAGCACAAAGAACTCACGCAGCGCGTCTCGAAAGAAGAAGCGCTCAACGCGGTCGAAGAGGCCAAACTACGGTCGAAGGGTCCTCTCGGCGACAAACTCGTTGACAACATCCACAGTTCGCTCATCTCGATCTTCTCTCTCAAAATATGATTTTTCTCAGTGATTCCCGATTCTGAAGCGACTGGCGATCGTTATGGCGCTCACATAAGCATGATTCTGGGCAACGAAAACCAAGTTGTTCCGCATGTTGCCAATTCGAGGTTTCTGCCGATTCTGAACCTTTCTTTCTGTTTCTTTTTGTCTTCGGGAATCTTCTCTTTCTAGCTTCGACGAGCCGATGGATATAACGCCACCGCAGGGAGAAATACTTCCTCGTCGGAATCGTCCGCGACAACGGCCGGGAGCCACCGGAAAACGCAGCGGTCGTTCCGAGGAGCACAACGAGGAGGAAGATAGACAGATACGGATCTTCGTCCAGCAGGCTAGTTTTTATCGTACCTATTGGGAAGAAGGAGTAAGAATAAAGGCGGAACCCTGATCTGTGAACGTTTCGATTCTCAGGCAGCAGGGAGCCTTTAAATAGCGAGAACAATACTTCAGTTATCATTAAAAGACCCACAACGAGAGTTGTCCGTCAGGTTGCGCGGTTCGGGCCGGTATGCCCCGAGCTTTGGCCCTTCTTTTTGCCCCGCCCCCATCACTTTTCCCGTAGAAAACATCACTTTTCCCGTAGAGAATCCACCCTTCCTAAGGCCGGTTTTTGGGCCGATAGGTTGACGGGCCGGCCCTTGCACAAGCCTGCTCACAACCCTCTTTGTTAAGTTTCTCAAAAGCAAAGAAGCAAAAACTTATAATATCATTGTCAAGGTTTTGAAAGAAATTTGTGACAATTAATAGAACCTCATTCCAGGCGCTGAAGGTCGAGAACATGGCTAAAGAGAAGGAACGTCGGGCGCGCGGAAGCGGCGGCACCGGAGGAGGATCGGCTAGCGAACGCGGCTCGACTCGTCGCTCTGTGGTCCAGGGCACTGCGGCCGCGGCGGTCGTCGTCGATCCGTCGCTCCATCGTTCGGGTCCCTTGCTCCCAAGCTCCGCCCTGCCTCCCAGCAACTCTTTCAACAATTGACCACTCCTCTCAAAGCTCTTTCCAAGGTGATCCAATGGTGCCTTTTCCGTCATTTTCTCTTACAAGCTTTATCTCTGTTACTTCAAAGTCATTTATTACATTTTTTCTGTATTTTAGCTTCCAAAGTTTATTATTGAACTTTTTTTCACTTCGCCTGGCGATCTATTTGAAGCACCAAATTATCTTCATTTTATTAGAAACAATTCAAATTGTCTTTCAATTTCAGGTTTTTATCATGTAAATGCCCTTCATCTGTGCCACAACATCTTTTCAATGTACTTTTTTTCTCAATCGTGAAAAAGGAGCTTTTTTAAGCGTCCATCGTTATCCCACTTTTTTTCAGTGATTCTCAACCGCTACAGAATTAATCAAATATATGCTTTATCAAATTCCTGCCCTTTTTCATACCTCGTATATCTTTGAATCATTTCTTATCATTCTATATAATAACTTTATTAATCTTCATCAACAAGTGATAATATCGGATTTTATAAGAATCAATAGTAAATTATGTTCAAACTTAACTTTTTCGGTTTAATAAGGTGTTCATAAAGTTATACTAATTTGTGAACTGTTTCAATTCTTGTGAATAATCGGTTTTGAACCATTATATTTAGAATTTAGCTCAACTGATTTTTTGAAATTTTGAATGTTTGAGGGAAGGATGGATGAAGAAACTGCAGCGACACCCGCAGTGAAGAAGTTTCGAATTCCACGAAAAGAAGCCACTCCCGCCTCAACTTCAACATCAAAACGCGAACAAGAACCGGCTCAGCGGTAATATTTTCGTGTTGATTCTTTTTCTGAATATCTTTTTATAGTACCTCGGCGACATTTCTTGCTGACACATCAGAGCCAACGAGTTCCGCGAATCCTAATGGAGGTCACAAAAGGCAGGCTTTTTTTTCCTCAACCGTTTCTCGGATGGACTGATCTTTTCTCTCTGGGAAAGTGTTGGGAAGGTAGCCAGCAGGGGGTTGGAAATGAATTAAAGCTAGAAGGTCTTGCGAAGGCATGGGGAAAGTTTTCAGAAGTTAGTTGGTAGGTAAAAATGAAAATGCCTACCAGAAGCCTTCCAGCAGACTTCTAGAGGTGTTGAGAAGGTATGTGGAAGACATTTGACCACTTGCTGGAAAGCTCCCAAGCACCTTCCGAGAAACCGAAAGCTGAAGATTCCCAATTTTACCTCAGCTGAAAGCTATAAAAGTTTCGACAACTTATCCTCATTTCAGCAAACAGCCAGCTGGAACATCAAAAGATCGGAAGCGATCCCTCCCGACGACGAGAAAGTGGGAAGCTCAAACACCAAAAGCTCCCGAGGAGAAGAAGGCGCGCGTGAGCCGCGAAGGAACCATCGAAATCAAGCAGGAGCCGGCGCAAAAATCACAGGCCTTCGACCGAATCTGGATGGACATTGACTCCGAATCGGTGAGTTGCTTTCTCTAACCTTAAACGAAATTTGAGCGAAGAATGGAAATGGTGCATCCGCAAAATTTGTAAAAAAAAAAACCGTTGAATTCATTTTTCCAATGTTTTTGAAACGGTAAAAATAACAGTTGTGATCTTGAAAAAGTCTGGACCTTCGAAGGGATAAGAAAATGTTTTTTTTTCTCATAAATCCAAGGCATCTTAGTATCAGTCAATGACGCCTGAGAAATTTTTTCATTTTCATAAAAAAGATGTGTTCTTTCCACCCTGTTTGGCCATTTAATCGCTGAAACTTCTCGAAATTTGAGATTACTAACAATTTTTTTCAAAAAACTTCATATCGGAGGAAAAAAGTTGAAGAAGGATGTAAAACCTTTTTGCAGCGAGATCAAAAAGAACGGATAGCGAGGAAAAAGGCACAATTTGAAGCGGGAACCTCGAGCAGGTCGTCGACCGGTCGACATTACGATGAGCTCACTGAGGAAAATCTGAAACTGTTCGCAAAGGAAGGCAGCAACACCCTCGTCAACAAGGTTGCCGCTTGACAAGTTTTTTTTTCAATCAAAAAGCTGGTTTTTTGCATTTCCAAAGGATGTTGAAAGCACACGGCGTTTTTATTAGTGGAAGAAAATGCGAAACCGAAAACAGGATGGACGGAGCCAAAATCTCTGTTGTTCTGCCGTGACGTCATCATAGGGATGGCAGAGTTTTTCGGCTCTAAAAGCGGGAATAACAGGGCATATTAAAGGCACAGGCGACCCGTTTTGTCAGAGGTCTTTAAGACCAATCGAAATCTCTCTACGTAAGCGCAAATTTTCTGCGCGAAAGCGGCGCCGTGCACACGACACATGAAACTTAACGAAAAAAAGTGGGCGTGGCGTCGTCGAAATAACGCCGCAATAAAAGGATAGAAAAAAAAGCGAGAAAAAACGTTTGATAGAAAAAATTAATCAATTTCTGTAGCACAAAAACACGAATTGTGGATTAGTTTTGTATTTCAGTTCATGGAAAGGGAACTGATCGTCGACCGCATCCTCGGCTACAAGATGCATCACGGCCGCGTCGACCCCTACAACATCGTCGGCTTCGTCAAATGCGACGCCTCTTCCCCTGTGCCCACAACCAGCTTCGAAAGAACGAGGGTCGGTTTGCTGGAACCTTTCCGTAGCTCGCTCCAAATACTCAAAAATCACCTGGATGAAGGGGGTGCATTATTTTCATAGGTAAAACGCAAAAGTTCCTTTGAGGATTCTCAAATTGCCGTAAAGTAAAGTTAAAACGGTTCTAAAATGATGTGAAAAAACTTTCGAGCTCTTTTTTTTTATAGTCTCAGCGGATCCTTTTTGATCCATCCCCTCAAATCCCTTTAGTGGCTTTCCAGCACCTTTTATGGTTAAAGGATGTAGAAAAGTTGCAAAAAGGAAATAAATTGAGATGAAAAAGTTCTTCTGAGGACCCTTACAAGGTCTTTTTTTGAGAAAGCTTTTGACGAGCTTTTCCGATTTTCCCGAGTTGGTGGAAGTTCGGTGTTTTTATAAAGAATCTTTTTGACTCGATTTCCTCTAATCCTTTAAGAGAACGAGATTTTCAAAAGATCAGACTAAAACGGAAATTTAAAAAGAGCTAAGAAAAAAAAGTTGAAAAATTCACATAGTCTGAGCTTCAGTGGAGCCGTAATTTTCCAATTTAAGAATTCCCTTCACTTTTTTCATATTTGTGACTGAAACCGCTCACCAATTTCAGAGAGAAGACGTCTTGGGAAGTGAGCAGCTGTTTTCCCACAGGAATGACCGAATTGCGTCTCAAAGCAGTCGAGAATCTCGCCCAGAACTCTCTGAACCCCATCTGCTGCCTCCGTCGCCTCGACCATTCCGAGTCGACTCGAGTCCTCCGTCAGCTCGCTTCGGCGGGGCTCCGTCAGAGACCCCAGGTCGCTCTGAACCAAGGCCTCCGCCCTTCACGCCTCTCAAGGTGCCCAAAGGCCCGCGCACTCCTCCGGGATCTCCAGGTTGGCACAAGCGTCTTCAAAGAACGGTGTGATTGGAAAACGATACTAAAAACAGTTCTAAATTGCTTCTTGGTAATTTTTGGGGTAAAATGGAAAAGGTATAAGCTGACTGATCAAAGATTCGTAGAAGTTAAGGAAGAGTATTAAAAAAAGTTTTATCATCATTTTCATGGGCAGACCATTTTTTAACGCCGCCGACTCCTCCCAAGTCTCCCCAAATTAAAGTTAATGCCAAGTCCCTGAAGCTAAAATTGGTGTTGTTGTAGCCAAAGTACCTTCCTGAGGTTGAACTCGATTTGATTACTAATTTTCCAAAATTGTTGTAAGCCAACCCTCCTTAGCTGAGCGAGTTCTGTGCTCTCCCATCTATGTAGGCTACCGATCAAAAAAACTTTCGAGATTATGCAGAAATAAATTATAAACTGTTTTTCTTTGGACTATCAAAGGTAGTTTTCGTGTTGAACATAAAGGAGGACTGTTTTGAACACAAAGGAGCCGACAAAAATTTAATTTTTTGAAGCTTCCTTGCGCATTTTCGAAAGGTTACTACGAGAAAGACATCCAAATTTATTTTGATGCGAACCTTTTTAAGGGCCTGTCACACCTCCGCCTTCGACGACGATGGCTTTTACACTGGGTCAATCTGCGATGGACGCATCGTATTCCAAAGACACCGACAAGCGGATTCTCATCTCCCAGATGGCTGCCCTCACGGGGACCACTGTAGCCCAAGTCGAGCAGTTTTTAGGGGACGACTTGAATAAAGCGATGAATAAACAAAGCGACAAGGTTATCAAGATTGTCTAGAAACTCGAAACCGAAATTTCAGTCGGAACTCTTGGAGACGCTGAGAAACGCGCTGCGAAACCTCGGAAACGCCGCCGAACATCCGCCGCCGCCAACCCCACCTAATCCACCAGAACCACTCCGAAGACAACAACTTGTGTCAGTTTATGTTTTATGTTTCATGAAACAATAACTTTGAAGTTTGAGTGTGATACAAATAAAGCTAAAATGTAACTAAAATTTCTCAAAAATTGTTTCAAAAGGTCTAAAGTTACAGAAACAGCAGAATGTCGGACTCCCTATCGGCGAAAATGGAGCTGGTGTCCAACTGTTCGATGCACGATAGCCCAGCGAAGAAAGCTCCGTCAGCGACTGAACCGTCGCTTCTTTTAACGGCTCCGCCTCCACCGCCCTCGCTTCTGCCTCCGCCTCCTCCGCCGGTCCATCTCTCTTCGCCGCCACCCGTGGTCAACGTCAACGTCAACATTCGGACTCTTTCAACAAACCACAGTGTCGCGCCTTCAAATCATCCATACTCTGTTTATGTCAGTTGAAACAACTCTCAACTTTTCTCAAATCATCATGTTTCAGATGCAGAGATGTGACAACGGCTTGTATACAGCGCAACTAGCTGAACCGCAGCAATCGTCGATCATTCACGACTCTGCAGCACCTTGTGCGTCTCATATGCAGATTCCGCAGCATCCGCCTCCCAATCAACTCCCGCACATGACGCGTCCCTACAATCCGACGCCTTCGACAAGTCTTCTGCAGCCGCCACCGCCACCTCTCCCACAGATGCCCTTCCATGCTTTAATGAACGTGCCACCGCCGAACCTCGGTCACCCTCCTCCTCTGCAAATGTCGGTTCGAGAGCCTGGCTTTCCAGCGCCAATTCACCCGCATGCTCAACCACCGCCTGGACTTCCGTCTACCATGTCTGCGGGGATGAAACCTTTAGAATCAATGGGTGATATGCCGCGAGTGCGAGTCGAGATCAAGAACTTGACTCCTCAACCTTCCGAGTTTTCGTCAATCCAACAAGCTCTTCCTTCATTAGCGAACGTCTCATGGACGGACCAGTCTTCGTGGCAGCCTCCATCGCAGTCACAAAACATGCCGCCGCCTTCTAATCGGCCACCGACGTACACACACGTGCAGAGTACTCTTTTTTCTGCTCTCGGTATCGGCTCTAAGCCGCCAACGACTCCCCAGCACCCCGAGCGTCAAGGTTTTGAAGGCCAGTCGATGCTTGACCGGTATGGTCATCCACATCCTATGTCCTCGCGTCCGTTTGGTCCTGGGGCCAGCGCTCCACCGCCAAAGAATTCCTTTCACGCGCGTTCTTTTCCTCATTGACGAACTCTTCCTGCTCCAGACCTACTGCATAATGTTTCTTGGGCTGAGCCTTTTTCTTACCTATCATCTAAAAAAAGCCTGCTTCAATGAACTTACTTACTTCGGTGAACCACAGGCTTCATTCTATGTTTCACGCCTTTCAATGTCTTTAGAGATGTATATAGAATTGGCTATATTTGCTTATTGGTTGATAAATCCCCAAATAGTCAAGTTATCTTGAAATTCTTCGTGAGATTGGTTCCATTTCTTAAAAAATTATCCCCGCTGAGTTCATGTGTCCTTATACTCTAAATGATTGTTCAATGTTTCCTTTTTTTAGATTAGTCATTACAAACTTTGCCAAATTCTGATCTCTTTGCCAACTCGACGATTATATTTCGATCGGAAATGTTTAGGCAAAATCATATTTGGAAAAAATTGTTTCCTCTTATCGGTAGAGAATATAAAAAAATATATAACTGTTTTTTTATTTTTATGCTTCCTGCTGGTATTCCTCTTTCTTTAAATATGCTGTCTTTCTAAACCTGATTGTTTCAAAAACTTCTGAAGTTCTTTTAGTCATTTTCATACATTTTTTTTTCCATCTTTCATTTTGGCAACTTCTATTTTTATTACACCTCCCTTCCGCATAATCTTCCGGCGCTAGCACCAATCTCCGTATCGAAAAACTCTTTCGTGCATTTTGTAATTTCTTCGATTCGTGGATGCTCCCTTTCTCCTAATTCAACACTATATTTTCGAGTATATGACAGAAAAACTGCTGAAAACAAGCCACCAAAACATTCATTTTTTAGAATAGGGAAAGAATCATCTTGTAAGTTATTTTCTTCATTTTGGATAAAGTAAATGTTAAAATCGACAAATATGGATCTGTTAGTATGAGAAAACAAGCTGGAATCAGAACAATCGGAGTAGCGTCAGCAGTTCCAAAATGTTACAAGAAACCCCCCGACACGTCCGAATTCCGATTCGCGTTACCAAGGTCCGAGATTTTCGCCGTCCGTTCTCGATGGAGCGCAACACGTAGATGACAGTTCTAATAACTGGTTGCTGAATTTTTGCAGCTAACTTTTCTATGTCCTTTATTCCGTTTTTCGCAGCTTTTTTTTCATATACTCATATTTTTCAGTCTCTTGTCGTCTTTTGTCATTGCATCGGTGATTGGTATGTGTATTAATATACAATCGAGTAAAATGAAATTAAAACACAGTTCATAAATGTCAACTTGGAAACGATGTGAATAAAATCAGCACGATTTTAAAAAAAAAATGGAGCTAGGAAAATTCTCTTGAACTATCGCGTTCAAAATATACCTTGGCGTAAAGGCTTATGAAATTGAATGATAGCTGGGAAAATAATAATAGTATTAAACTTGCAATTTTTCTAAGTATTTCCCATGATTTTTTTTATCATTTTTCCCATCACAAAAACGGCTTCGTCACCTCAAAAAGTTGCTATAGCCGATTCAAGGCTAGCTTGGGACGCTAAGGGGCGTGGCCTGTCTGCGCTCTCCATCAGCCAGGCACTGTTTCTTTTCTTATCGTGCCAGGACCCTTTTTTAGATGACTCAAGTCAGCCGCGAATGAGCTATACTGCAGCCGTACCTTACGAGTGTGGTCGAGTTCTGTAGATGCCCTTTGAAGCTTGCAAACGAGCAGACAGTCTTTTCAAAAACGTTTTATGTTTCTCTGCCGAAAGCTATTTCGTCGTTTTTCCGCAGAGAAATATTAGGGCATACCTTGAGGCGCCACAGTTCAGAGTACAGTTATTTTGGTTTTAGTTAACAACTAAATCATTCTTTTTCGTGCAGCTAAACTCGAAAAAAGGAGCAAGTTTTTGAGCCGGCCTCTTTTGGATGATAACGAATGCACAAAGGAAGTCTTTTTTTCCATTTCGGAAATGAGTTGTGCGGATCGAGAATTTAGGACATGAGGCGTGTTTCGTATCCAATAGAAACAACCAGCTCACTTTGGCCGTTAGCTTTTTTGTGTGGTAAAAAATTCAAATTTTTCTTTTTTTATGTGCAGTTCAAGAAGGCTCTATATTTTTACAAGCATCTCAATTAATTTCCGCGCGGAGCTCCAAGAATTATTGCGTTTGTAGAAGAGCGAAGAAAGTTGCCCCGCTGATGAGTATTGTCATTTCTTTTCCAATAATTGTATAAAAGCCTAGGAAATCATTTGTCAGAAGGAAAGGAGAAGTGAGAGTATGAGAAAGACGGGAGTGAGAACTGTCATAGCGAGTCGCTCAGACTGCATCCACGTCGACCAGATGGCCGGCCCTCACGTCAACGTCGTCCAATTCTCCCCCACTCTGACTCTCCGACAGCTCAGAGGTGTGTCTTATCCGTTTTTAAGATTTCATTCTGGAGACTCAGACTATATTTACATCTAGAGAAGTTCCGCCGAAGCACGATCCGCAGGGTTCGCAACATGGCGTTCAACATTCAGACACGCGATCGCCGCCTCGCCATTATCGGCTCTGAGGACTCTGTAAGCTTATTCAACCTTTGTATGGCCCATTCCGCGTCTCGCCACGATTCCTTGTTTTTTCCATTCAAGCTACAGAACACTTTGCTTCGGTGCAGCTGGCTGTCTTGTGTATGCTCCTTTTCTGATTAAAAAAGAGAGCCTAAATTTAAGAACCTGCAAAGAAAATGGCTGCGTGCATCCACTAAGAATAACTGCCGAGATAAACGCGAGACACTGGCGGTACATTGACGAGCTCGCAAACATCTCGCTTTTTTTCTCGCGCCGGTCTCGCATTTTTCTGGGCGCCAGCTCGCATTTTTCTAGGCGCGAGCTCGCATTTCTCTCGCAATTTGAAAATTTCCGAAGTGCGAGATATATGCGAGATCGCGCCAAGAAAAATGCGAGGTCGCGCCGAGAGAAATGCGAGATCGCGCCTTGAAAAAAGCGAGATGTTTGCGAGCTCGTCAATGTACCGCCACCGACCTCGCTTTTATCTCGTCAGTTATTCTTAGTGTCGAAGCAAATGGTACTGTAGAAAAATTGTGAAAAGCTGGTGTTGATCGGCTGATTTGTGATCAATATTCTGAGGAAATTCGGACCCACGCAACGGTCGATAGATTTATGAAAACGGCATTCTCGTTGTTCATTTTGATCCCATGAAGACATACTTCCCACTAACCTTTTGAGGATTTCGTTTCTGAATGGTTATTGATCGTTGATTGGACATATTGATTGAAAGTTCTTTTTTTAAAAAGGTCAAAGTCTTGTTTTTTCAAGAAATACTTCGTGCGAACTGTTATTGGGTAAACAGATTTTACATCTTTTCATAAGAAAAAACTTTCGGAATGCATTTAAAAGTTCGAATTTTTAAAAGACCATATTTAGACATTTAGTTATGTGAAACAGTGTAGCTTTAAGTCGAAATGATTGTGTAATTTGGCTCGTCTTTTTCAACATAAGAAGGTGGACAAGTTTCCAGGAAATCACGCGAAGTTCTCTGACCAGGAAAAGCTCGCCGGTGTTGGCTTTCTTTCGCTGGATCATCAGCGAACTTCTTGTCGATGGAGCTTTCATCGACTTTCTGCTTTCCACGCCTATCGAACATTCTTCACAGCTGTGCTTTGCTCTGCAAGCTGTTAGTCCAAAGAAGGTTCGGGGCTAAAAAAAAGGAAAAAGAAAAACGACCCGTCTAAGGTATCTGTCCGTTTCGTGAGTCGATTTCTGTCGCCGGATCTGGCTCCTCATAATAGGTGAGTAACTATGTACCTTCGGATGAAGATAATTTGACTGAATATTATTTTGAAAGTACTATTTTTCACAATTATAACCTTTCATTTTGTTTAGTTAAGACTCAAGAAAGAAGAAAAAAAAAAAGCTTTGATTAACATTTTTCGTTTTCATGAATCAGCATCAGAAACTAAAAATTCGAAATGTGTCATTAAAAAAAAAAATTAGAGCCAAGAAAGTTTGAGATGGTGATAGAAATGAGCTAAATGAAACAATTAGGCTTTCAGAAGGTGTTCCGAAAAAGGAATATCGTCTTATTCTATGTGACTCCTAAGCTCTGTGAATATTCGTTCATTTTCATACAAGGTCTATCAAAAAGGAAATTAACCATAAGCGTCTTCAAACCGCTTTTCATTCATGACAAAAAATAATTTAATAAGAGCAGGTCTGAATTATTCGCGCTTTGATTCGCACGCGAAGGAGTAGGCTGACTAATGGCTCAGTGGGAAGTGTGGAAAACAAGAGAGCTTGATAATTGTTAAGGCGCAGGGAAGGCGTTGGGAGCACTCTGGCTAGCAACCGGCGTTTTTTTTTTTGGCTTCTCGGCCTTTTTCAGTCTGTCGTCGACTTTTATTTGCAATTATGAGGTCTTGCACCGTGATTTTGAGTTGTTAATTTGAAAATAGAGCAAAATTTGTCTCATTACAAAGAATTTATTGTAGAAGATATCAGAAAATCGCCACAGACATTGGTAACGCGAAACGGACGTGCTCCCGACTTTTCTAGTGACCACTTTAGTATCGTCAGCACTCTTAAGTGATCCCTAGAGTTTCCCAGAAACGTCCGTTTGGCGTTACTAATGTCCAAGGCAAGAGAGATAATTTTTGATCGGAAAAAGATTACTGGTTGTAAAGCTGATATGCTTGAAAAAGTTTTAATTTTTGGCTTTTTCAATTTGAAATGCTTCTCTTTTTTTTATCACAGGAAAAATCTTCTCGTCTATTTTATTTTCTTGAAAAATCCTTCACGATTTGCGACCTTTACCCGGTTGAAGAATTCTAATTTCTTTGCTTCAAACTTTTAAGGCTCCCGCTTAACATGATTTGATATATTCGTGCCCCTGAAAGTAGCTCTTCTCAGTTTAATAAAGGTTCGAAGTTTTGACGTTTGCAGTCAAATTGTTGCCATCTACATCGACCATGGGAAGATGAAGGCGTCGTCGCCAGACACACGGGCCTCTTCTGCACAAAACCGCTACGAGCGCATCCGCACCGTCGGAAAAGGTTTTAAGACAAAAAAACGTTCATCAAAGATTTTTCTTGTATTTTTCGACGTTTATTCGGCCTTTTGAGTACTTTCTCTGTTAGAACGAGTTGTAGGGCATCAAAAATAAAAACGATTCCATTTCTCACAAGGAAAATGTTCAAGGTGAACATTGTAGGTATGGTCCAAACTACTGCGATAGGTAGTCCTAGGTAAGACTATTCGAAAAAAAAATTCTCTGAACCGAGAAAATGAACAGAAAGGCTCAAAAACGGCTTCTCTCAGGAAAATATCGTTTTCATGTTGCTAATAAAATATATTATAAAAGGATTCTTCAGAGAAACTAAAAATACGGATAAGAACAGTTTCTGTCTGAGCCTTTGCTCTTGGTTTTCGATCGGCTTTTTCTCGCTTATCAGATAATTCTCTCCTCTTTCGATTTTTCTCAGGACTACCTATCACAGTTAGGACCAGATCTGCGAAAATCCTTTTCATTTTCGGTTTTTAAGGGGCATTCGGATCTGCGGTGTTGTATCGACGGCGCGATGACAGCTCGCTCGTGATAATAAAGGAGATCAACATGTACGACCTGGACAGCTCGCAGAGACAACTTGCTCTCAACGAGGTATTAGTTGGTCCAGTTTTAAAAGACGCTAAGTGGAGTTGACGCGTTTCTTTACAAATCAGGTTCATATTCGAGAAGACGTTGCGATCTTGGCCTCGTGCTTTTTGAGGTTATCAGGCGCGAAAAGTTTTAGTTCGGGCTCGTTTGAAGGCCAACGCTCCAGAACGAAGAAGTATCGAGTCATATCGGGGCGATACTAGGATTTTAAGGGTCGATGCGAAAATCGTTTTAGATCTCAAGCTTGTAAACTCATCAAGTATAAAAGCTGGTGGAGACAGATTTAAAGCATTTTCAAAAAACAAGGAAAAGTTTTTTTCAAGTTTAAAAGTCAGCAAAGACTGCCGTCGAACTTTCCTCGGAAAAACTTTTTTTTTGAACGTTTCATATAGTCCATCCGCCGCCATTTGACAGTTTTCGAGTGTCTGCATCTCTCTGTTCCCTCACCGGCGATGTCAGAAAACCATGAAAATAGTACGTCAACATGAGAGGGTCGCTGAGAGACGAGGAGGGCGCAGAGAAGTCCTGCCATTTGAAGTCGCGATAAACCGACTTTTCCAGAATTTAGGACGGAATTTTTTAAAATTAATGGTCTAATATTCAAAGCCTTGCAGGTGTCTCTTCTCTCGAGAATCGAACACCCCAACATCATCGCCTACTACGACTCGTTCGAAGAAGAAGGGCTCCTGATGATTGAAATGGAGTACGCGGACGGCGGGTCTGTTCTTCGAAATCTCTCCGACGGTTGCTTTGAAGGACGTTGGCTCAGATGTTGTCGCGCAGTGAAGACCTGCTCCTGGAAGACGTCGTCATCGAGATGATGCTCCAAATGCTCTCCGCCGTCGGCTACCTCCACGAGAACAGCGTACTTCACAGGTTCTTCAACATTTCTCAAACATCAGGAAACTTTTGTTTACCGCGTTGCTAGGTAGTTTTTGCTCGTAACCAATTAGTGGTGAAAGTTTCCATCTCAAAATAATCCAATCTAGTTTAGCCATTCAGATATCAAACGCAGCCACATATACTTGATGTTAAAAAGTTTTGGAAAAAAAAATTCGAAAGTTGGTTCTTGCTAAGCAGCCTTCTCGAACTTATTTGTTAGATTCAGCACTTAGAAGAAGGTCATTTCACTTCGCGGTTCAGAATTTTCTAAAAAAAATGGCCAGAGCACTCCTTGATGTACCAGAAGATTCTGAGAGTCTCAACCTGTTCGATTTCCTAGTTTTCGAGAAAGAACACCGCAAAGCCAACGGAAGAACTAAAAATCCGTAAAAATAGGCGATTTTTGGAATTTTAGAGCTAGTTTTTCGGAAATTCCGGAAAATAAAAAGTTGTGCAGGTTTAACCTTCCAGAATCTACTTTTGGCACATCAAGGAGTTTTATGGCCAATTCTCATGGAATCCCCAACTTCCTCCCTTGTATGCTAATCAGAACTCGTCATTTTTCAAATATGCACTTCTCCAAATGAACCGTCTATTAAAACGTTCAAAGTCTCTAGAGAGGCTTTAGATAGAGTCGAATTTTCAATTTTAAAGACTTCTTAAAATATTTTATTTCTTATTTCATCGATAGAAAAAAAAAATGAAGTTTTGTTAAGAGATCTGAAAACGGCGAATATCTTCCTGACCAAGGACGCGTTTGTCAAGATTGGCGACTTCGGCATATCGAAAATAATGGGAACAGACACACTGGCACAAGGAGCGAAGACCGTCGTTGGCACGCCGTATTACATCAGTCCAGAAATGGTTTTGGTCCGAAAAAGAAAATGATAAACGGATTTTCAGTGCTCTGGTAACACCTACAACGAAAAGAGTGACATGTGGGCTCTGGGATGTATCCTCTACGAAATGTGCTGCTTGCGGAAGGCGTTTGAGGGAGAAAACTTGCCGGCACTCGTCAACAACATCATGGCCGTATGTGTTACCTTCATTAACAACAGTTATAGCCTGTGTACCACTTGTTGAAATTTCACCAAACGACATTCCGCTGTGCGAACCTTGGTCGCGCTTTTAATTTTTTTTTTCTTTTATCAAGGTGCTCTACTTTCATGTGCTCCCACAGCAATAAAAATCAATTAAAAGCGTGACCTATATTCGAAACACGCTTCGTGAACGCACGCGGCGGAACAGCGGAATGTCGTTCCGTGAAATTTCAAGTCGTGGCGCACAGACTATAGCCGAGTTCCTCAAAGGAGACTTACTTAAGAAAAAATCGTTGACATGAGTATTCTCACTGAGTCGAGTCTTACCGGGCCAGAAAAGGCTGCGAAGGAAGATTCCTTTTCAACTTATATCAAAGCAAGGGAACTTTCCTAGTTGCACCTTTTTCCGGAGCACTAAAAATACACGAAGAAGTCTGTTACAGTGCAGTTACGCCCCGATCAAAGCGCCTTACTCGTCGGAGCTGAAAGTTTTGGTCCGCGAATTACTGCAGCTGGACCCGCAGAAGCGGCCGTCCGCCGGCGACGCCCTCAAGATGCTGAGGCCTTCGGACATGCGCAGGAACAAGAATGCTCTGCGCAGCGCCTCGACTTCCACCAAAACGTCTTCTCTTTACTTCTTGAACACGGGTTCCATTGCACTTTCGCCAGTCCCACGGCTTCCGTCTAGGATTTCTATTCGTCAGGTTTAATCATAGGTCTTTTCTAGAACTTTGCAAAAAATTTTTTTGTCAGAAAACAATCAAAAGAAGTTTTCAATTTAGAATCTATTTTTTTTTTTACCTTTTTTCGATGCTGCCTGATGCCCTCACATCCCTTGCAAACGAGAAGCGAGATTTAGGTGGCGGTTAGTGAGAGCCACACGCTGATGCTAACCAAGGACAACCTTCTGTACGGCTGGGGACTGAATCTCAACGGAGAACTCGGTCTCGGAGACACAAAGCCACGGTTGCTGGAATGGAAAGAAAGGACAATTTAAAGCTTTTCAGAGGCTACCCTCAGTTAATTGAAGCTTTGAAAGGTCGCGACATCCAGTCCATCGCTTGCGGTAACGGCTTCAGGTGGGTGTTTTCGAATCGAATCATTTTTCTTTGCAGGATTTTCGAGTTCTGCCCACACACACTCTTTCAGTCAATAAGCCCGAATCAAAATTGATTTTTGAATGATTTTATACTCTGGAAATTGAACACAATGAAACGAAAAATAACCTAAGACATGAAAGTTTTTCAGTGTCGTGCGTTGTGACCGAGGAACAATCTTGGCTTTTGGGAAAGGAAAATGCTTGGGGATCGGCAAACAGGTGGAAAACGTCCTCAAGCCTACGCTCATAGAACAACTTCTCCGGTTAACGAGACATTTTTTTTGACAATCAAAAGTTTTAATTTCAGAGATAACATCAAAGAAGTCGTTTGTGGACTCGAACACGTAATCGCCATAACCGAAGCAGGAGAATGCTATGTCTGGGGTGAGAAGTCTGAAATCTGACTCATAATTTTCGCTTTCAGGGGACGGTTCTGATGGAAAATTAGGCACGGGAAATACTGGAACGGTTCATTCTCCAACCAAAGTATGTTTTTTTCTCCTATTTTTATATAAAAAAAGTGCAGAACTAAGTTCTGTCTCGACCTTATTTCAATTCTAGAGACTTTATAAACGGCAGGGATCCGGGCCCTAGTTAATTTTTGCATCTTCTCAAGTTCAAATTCCTAGGTTTTCTGCAAATTTCAAAAATAGTTGTTCAACGAAGATCAAGAATGTCAACGAAGATCAACGCTAAAAAAAGGTCAAGATACGACGCAAGCCAAATTTTAAAATAGGAGAAAAATGTCAGCCCGAACGAACTCTTGGGAACATTTTTGAAGTTCAGCCGTGATGATCTTACTAAAAAAAAGTAATAAATATAGTCTGTTCAGATGTTCAGTGTCAAGTGCAATGACGTCATTCAAAAACACTCTGTGGATGGCTCGCTCTCTGATTGGTTTATCGCACCATTAGGGGCGGTGCTTGAGCGACGACTTGAAATTCAAAATCTGAACAGACTATAGGGCAATAGGTGTCGTCAATTTTTATTATCTAGAACTGACCTTAATCAAACTTGGGATTGGGAGACACCAATTTTTTTCCTTTTCTGTTTGCAGATAATCATACCGACGCCGAAACGGGTCGTGTACGGCAGAGCAGGCAAAGATGCAACGATTCTGATGACGGAAGACGGACAACTGATCGCCATGGGAAACAACCGTCACAACAAGCTAAACCTGACCCAGAGACAGGGGTTCTTCGCCAAAGAAAGAAACGTTTGCCTGCCTTTCTTGTCCCTCGAAACGTTGCTCACAGGAAAACAGCGAGCTCGTGCTGAGGCCGACTCTGGTGAAGGCCTTTCCAGAACGTGTTGTCGACCTTCACGTCGGATCATCCCACTCAGGAGTGATCTTAGAGTCTGGACAAGTGATGCTCTTCGGGAAAAACGAGAATGGCGAACTCGGGCTTGGGAACACGCAGCCGATCGCCGTCCGGGGTCTCAAGCCTGTCAAATCTCTTCTTCAACACGCATGCACGGTTATTTTTCTCTTCTTGAGTGCAGAAGCCGTTTTCCGGCAGTATCGACGTTGCACTATGAGAAGACGTTTACTCTGAACTATTCTGAACCTTTTTTTTAAGTTTCGTAAAAAGGAGATGATTTATGAAGAAATCAAGAAAATTTGGCTCATTTTACTATTTTAACTAATACCCAGCCATGATGAAATTTATCCTAAAAACTGAAGCAAAAAAAATCTCTATGGTTTAGTAGGCAGCTTCGGAAGATTCAAAGCTTTCTTCCTTTTTGAAGAAAATATGAGCAGTTCTTTGAGTAAGATAATAATAGAGGGACTTATATTTTTTTTAAGAATGATAAAATTTTTTTGAGAGAATCTCTTTACAGCAAGTGATCTGCGGGGATGGATTCACGCTTGTCCGGACAACGGAGAATGAGCTCTTCTTCTGGGGACGAAAGCACGATACCGGCGGCTCTGAAGAGCTCAGCCAGGCGATCACCATCGAAGATCTCGAGTCTTCGCAGAAGATCAGAGTCGTCGAGAACAGAAGGTTTGTTCTCATGTTCTTTTTTTACTTAAGCTTCAAAGTGGATAATACTTCTGAACAAACTCTGAAGTTTACTGAACGAGAAAAAGCTTGGGTTTTCTTTAATAATAGTGGTTTGAACCATCTACAGAAACGTCGGCACGAAGGACAAGCGTTGCCAGAATGCTCTCGAGATTTTCAACGACATTATCCCGTTGCCATCGTTAATCCTGAGGTAAAACCGTCGACCTTACAAAGCTCATCGGCATAAAAGGTTACAAGAGGGCAGCTCCGACAAAGGGCTACGGTTATCTGGAATGGCAGCCGTCGGCAAAAAAGTTCTCGTCGTCGTAGACAGTACGGAGGGAAAAAGGTTGTCAGTCTGGCCGGAGTCTCCAGAATACCTGACTCAGGCTTCCGTCGGCCTTGACCCAGAAGACACGTTCTCTGTCGGTGACTTCTCTCGCTGAGCAAAGCCTCGTGAGGACTTGGCTTCGTGAAGAACTCAACCAGGCCGAATTCATCCCGATCGACTCCACGAAGGTAAATTATCGCCCACAAGACTTCATCACATCTTTTTTTGTCTAGAGGAAAGTTCGTTTTAGCGGGACAGATGAAGAAGATCCGTGAGTTCTTTTTTTTCTACTGAAAGAATCTAGCTCGTTCAGAAAGTTGAGTGCATCAGACTCGGCATTACTGAAAGAAATAGAAAATCTGAAGATAAAGATCAATGAGCAGACGACAACTGTCGAAGGCCATCAATTGCAAATGACAGAGCTTCAGGTATCAGTACGTCGTTGTGCCGAGAATGAACGCGAATTCAGGAAAAACTCCTCGAGTTGCAGACGCGTCAGTCTTTTTTGAGAAAAGCAGAACCACCCCCTGCCTACGACAAGCGATCCGTTCCTTACAACCGCCTTTTCCCTGAAAATACGAGCAAAACTTGTGCTATTCTGTGATAACTGAAACTCTTCTACAAAGACAAAACTGAGATTTATTCCTTGACAAAAAACAAAAAGTTTAAATTCGCTAGATTTTTGCATCAGTTTTCTGTGGAATCACTTGGATCTATGGGTACAGAAGTGGGAGGAGTTTCACGTTTTCTTATCTTGAAATGTTCATATAAGTTGAGACGTCACTTCCAGAGGGTGAATGTAGGGGACTTTTGGTGACTTTTTCATATACGAAAGAATGATCGGCAAAGACCCAGTTGGATTGATGACTCATCCATTCCGAATTGAGACATTCATCGTAGCCTGCTCGGAGTAACTCGTCCTGGAAATCGTTTTATTTTTGAAAGTTTTTGTTAACTTTTTTTCAGCTTTTGGAGATTTACACTTTACATATTTTAGAGTTACAATATAATACACTATTTTCAAATACCAATAACATTGAAAAAAACGTCTTCAGCAATAATCTGAGCATTCTATGAACGAATCATATTATTTTTCAAATTTCAACCTCTTCGAGCAAAGAAATAATCAGTCGGCGGCATGGGACAGACGGCAAATCATCGGGAAAAGCAACATGCGTAGAAGGCGTTTGGTCCTGCAACCGAAAAGGGCCTCTTCCCCGCAAACTTCGAAATCACCGGCCACTTTCCAACTACCATCGTGAACAAAACAATGCCACAAGCATAATAGTCAGCAGCGAACGTGTCGTATGTTTTGTACTGACATATTTGAGGGCACGAGTAAGGACGAGTTCCGCAGAACGACCTCGATCTGCAACTCGGTTCGATTGCGAAAAATGATCCTGAAGTTGAACCTCTCTCTACGCTGAACACAACGCGCGAAACCGAAATCAGTGAGTTTGAGGTCACCATTTCCATCGAGGAGAATGTTTTCCAATTTTATATCCCTGAGCAGCGCTCATTAACTTACCAGGGAATGATCTCATCTCGCAGTGAGACTTCTGAATGAGGCCTTGTTTTCTAGATGTAATTTTTCCCGCTGATTCCAAATCTGTCCTCAAAAGTTGTCATAAAGATCTTTGAAAAAGTTAAAGGCTCTCAATTATTCGAAAAAGGGCCCTTACAAGAAAGTATCCAAAAAAGAAAAAACTGCAAAAAAGTTGGCACAGCGTGGGGACCGAACCTGTGACCTCATTTCTACCATTTCGCCGTCTTCCCTCTGCTCCTCGCTGCCGCCGAACCGCAGCACACCGCGCTTGACTTCCATTATAATCTTTGAAAAATCATATCTGGGCTCCAAGCTTCTTTTTTATTTTATTTTTTGTGACCAGTGGAACAAGGACTAGACGCCATCTAAAAATGAGCTCAATCATTGACACTGAAAATTTTCACTTTTGAGAGTCCCAACTTTTTTCACAGATCTATATGGCAACTTTTGAGAACAGATTTGGAATCAGCGTGAAAAAATACGCCTAAAGAACATGGTCTCAGAAGTCTCACTGTGAGCTGAGAATTCCCTGGTAATTGATACAAACCGATGCGTTATATTTCTTTGATGTAAGTAGTGAACGGCCTCAATGAGCTGCCGAAACATCGTGACGGCCAGTGGAATCTCTATAAATGGCTGCTTTTTTCCGAAATTAGTCTTCCGGTACCTTTGATGCGTTGCTCCTTGAGTATGAGCTCGAGAAGAGTGCCCCGCTCATAGAAGTCAGAAACGATAACAATTTTCGAAGGAATCGGCTGCATCACCGAAATGCAACGCGATAAGTGGGGATGTCGTACCTCAAATCAATAGAAGCTCCAAATCTTAGTAAGAATGATTTACTTGGATTGTGATCTCTATCTCACGCGGAAGGAATTTGTCCACTATTGTAGGGGGCAGTGCTTTTCTGTTGATGATTTTGACGGCAACATCACGGTGATGTCTGAAGATGCGACAGGAAGCCGAAATCCGACAAGAACTTACACATTGGAATGGACTTTGAAGACGAGCGAATGGGCAGTGCTAGCGATTGGAGACGTGAAAGATCCCACGAGACTTTGAGACAATCTGAGTACTTCGCGCGAATGAACCAGACATAGCAGATATTTGATGGAAAGACGAAAACGTTCCTCACATTGGGATCAGCTGCTCTGTGGAAGAAGACCGCTGTGGAGGAGGAGGACTCATCTCGATACGAAATGCTTTTTCTTCACGTTTTAGTCACATTTCACATAATTGAGTTCATTCCGATTTTTAGTTTTTATGCATGAAACAAAGGAACTACAGATTCTGGGAATAAATCGTACTTCTGCTAACTTTTCAAGCTCTACAAAAATGATCAGAATTGTGGTTAGTGTGTTTTTTATTTTCTATTGTATTAAAAACTCCAGTGATCATGCCAAGGTTTCGAATGAGACTACAAAGAGAAAGAGCTGGAGAAGCGAAATTAATAGAATTTTTGGGTCACCTTGATAAGAAATGATTTTAAAATAAAATTTTTTTTTCCATTTTCAAGGCGAATTTTTGTCCAACTGATCCGGTTGCTAAGACGAAAATCTAAACTTTCTTTTCAAAAATTTTATTTTCGTCAATGTACATCAAGGCATGGTTACCAGTCATTAGAGTCAAAGTCATTGAGTAATTCTTCATTTTCTTGGGCGAGCCGTTCTTCTGCTTTGCGTCTCTCTTCTTCCTCTACCGAACGGAACTCCGCTTCGAAATCCTCATCTTCTCGCCTTTCCACATGCTTCTCTGCATCATATTTCCGATTTCGAGGCATATTCAATCAGCCTTACCTCCTATTTCTTCGCCATCATCTTTGCCGTCGTCAATAATATTCAGGTTTTTTTCTTTTCGAACTCTTCTATCTGGTTCGTCTCTCATTTCTTCGTCGTTGTCCAACTGATCCATGCGAGTTATTATCATATAGACCTTGAATAAAGGAGAATTCATACCACGATTATTGGAAATGTAGAGAATATGGTGTTATCATGAGCAAAGTCGGAAATGGTCAAAAAGGCACCATAAATGTTCCTCTTAGGGTGACAAAAGCTTCTTTTTTCTGCCTCTTTGCGCTATTTCATCGGTTCTTATGCACCATTTTTGCTGCCTCTCCCTTTCCCATCATTTCTTGAGTCTGTAAAATCCTAGAAAAAAGTGAAAGGCCCGATAAAGGGAATCTTTTTGCTGCCTTTCGCCGGCCTTTTTTGAGTCTCTCCCTTTTAGCGACCATTATCCACCATTCCGATTTCGACCGAGTACAATAGAAAACATAACAAAAACCCACTTTCACGCGTCGTTTCTTCCCTAAATTCTCGCATCGTGAGACGACGTCTTCGAACTTGGAGCTGGGAAACATCAGATGAGCCCAGTGCTCGTACTTCTTCATTAGAGTTCTCAAGTTGACGTACTACAGAAAAAAAAATTATAAAATAAATGCTTCTGTTTAAGTTACCGGATCTTCTCTCTGATCGGGAACGTAGTTCTTGAACAGCTTTCTCAGATTGGGAATCCCTTTTGGTCCAACTAGTAAGCTTTCATTTAGGTTATAGCGCGGATTCTGTAAATCCACGAAGTTGGAACTACACATTTATGAATTTCATATATTTTATTATGAATTGATTTTTTTGATGAGAATACTCAAAAATCATAATTATGAAAAAAAGACTGAAAAAAATATTCTGTGTAACAATTTTTGAAAAATTTTTTTACACAAAGTCAATCGATAAAAAAACTTCAAAGTGTACAGTATTTTTTTCAAAATGAACAAACCAAAATATTTCTTTTTCTTCTTCCCCTTGTTATCTTCTCCAAAAAGATTGTTAAGAACGTTCTCATCAGTCCTTTCATCTGCAAATGTTAATTAACGATATCAAATGATAACTCAAAGATTTATTTTTTTCAGTACCATCGAATTTCTTTTTTTCCTTTAATTATTTCAAGACGTCAACGAGAAAAAAAAATTTTTTTATTCCTACTAAGCTGAGTTCTCATTGAGTTTTTTTGAGAGAAATTTGTTCATAAAGTATTTATTGCAAATACATATGATTTTTGAAAGGAAAAAAACCTTTTTTTCGAAGGCTCATCATCAGAAAGAGGAAGATCTGCAGCGAAGTCGTCGTTATCGAAAAAGCTGTTAATTTCGTCCATGTTATCTGAACAAAAGGATTACTTAAAAAATCAAATTCATAGAGATTTTTTATTAAGACAAATAAACGAAAAAAAGAAATATCAGAAACCGGCAAAACGATTCGAACTGCCGCCTTTGTGAAAACTATATACGCTCCACTGATAACCTTCGAGCCACCGACCTTCCTTTTTTTTTTCTCGCACTGGACTTGACAGTTATCTTTGATTCATCCAATTTCTGTACCGGAGATTGCATGAACTATAAAAAGAAAAGTCGGATGTGGTGAAGGGTGAACGATTCTCAACGTAGTATGTAGTGAATGATTCAAATTTTGTCTTCGAAGACCGTAAATTCATTTATGAACGCATCCATGTTTACTCCCGCGTAGAAAACCAAGTCCATTCGCATAGTCACAGAAGAAAAAGTTATATTTTTTCTCGTACTAAACCTCCCTATTATATTCTTTCATCAGGACCGGATAACTGACCTTATTTTTTCAGGTTTTCAGTTTTTCATAGTTTCCATTCAAACGTGGTAAATAAAATTTCTCGTTCAAACGCGGTAAATAAAAATTTTAACCACTTGAGATGCTTTTAGTTTTGTGTATGGTACTAAAATTGTTCTTTGCGTACGGAGACAAGTTGGCGTAATTTGCTTAGTTCTCTGTGCTCTCTTTTCTCCTCGGTTTTTTCTCAGCGTTTTGCACGTACATCCTCTCGGCCGCCCGTTCAAATGTTCTTTCTGCAACATACAACATACACAAAACCATCCAACGCGATTTTTATTTCGATGTTGACGCTTTTTTTAAAGATATTTTTCTGTCGGTGTGTTTTATGTATCAATTTCTTGAATGAACACCTTTGACGAAGCTTAAAATAAGTGAATCCGCTTTTCAAGAGAGGTTTCGAATTCGCTTCACGGAATTTGGCGCGTGTTCCGCCTTGAACCAACATCATACACTATTTTCGTTTCCACTACAGTTCATCTTATCATTTTATAATCAAAATCATAAGGTTTGCTCGCAATGTATAGTCTAGTATCGAAGCTTGTAGTCGCTTATTCACTGGCCTATTTATACTCGGGGCATATTTTGTAATATATATTTTTTTTTCCAGGATTCCAACCAGCCATGAGCATTTCGAAGAAGATTTTCGCTTATTCAGTCAGGGGAAAGTGAGATTTTTTTTTCTCCTTTTGATCAAACCTTATACGGAATAATTCAAAGTGGAAACTTTTTTTTTCACATTTATTTTTCATAGTTAATATTCTTTGACGTTTTTACCTGATGAAATGAATAAAATTTGCCAGGTCATGGTGGTCTCATGTGGAAATGGGGCCGCCGGATGCGATTCTCGGTGTAACTGAAGCGTACAAGGCCGACAAGAATCCGAAGAAGATCAACTTGGGTGTAGGTGCCTACCGAGATGACCAGGTTGACCCTGCAGCGAGTTTTCCGGTTAACTTAACCTTCAGGGCAAACCTTTCGTTCTACCATCAGTCAAGCAGGCTGAGCAACGCATTCTGGGCGAAAATTTGGACAAGGAGTACGCAGGAATCACAGGTATGAAGAAAATTAAGTCTTTTTTTCAAATCATTGAGTAGGCATCCCCGAATTCACCAAGCAATCGGCCAAGTTGGCGCTGGGAGCCGATTCAGAAGTCATCAAGTCGAAGCGCATTTTCACTACTCAGAGCATTTCTGGAACCGGAGCTCTGAGGATTGGCTCCGAGTTTTTGGTGAGTTTTTTTTTGAACTCGTTCAGATTCTCCAATGTTTTTTGTAGGCCAAGTTCCACAAGGGAAAGCCGATCTACCAGCCAACGCCGACTTGGGGAAACCATGTTCCTGTTTTCAAGTGGGGCTTCATTTTCATAATCTCGATTTATGAGCAACTTGAGATCGGATAACAGACCGAACATAAAAAATTTCGATCATTAACTTCAACTATGAACTTTGAGTCAATGTTTCCTGAGTCAAAAAAAACTTTTTAAGCACGTTCAGTGTATCTGATGATACTCCGAATGTTTCAAAAATAAATTCCTTTTTTTTCATTCAACGGTTAAGATTTTGTAATTTTTTTTAGAAAACAGGGCACTCGAGAGGATCTCCGTTTAGTGTACCAAATAATTTTCAGTCCGTTTCTTGAAATTCACGACCAGAAAAAATTATTTCCCATTTTTAGAAGCTCGTTCACTATTTTTCGTATGTTTATACATAGCAAAGCAAAAAAAATTTTTTTATATAAGTTATTCTACGAGTAAAATACTTCCATTTTATCCTGAAACTTGAAAATTTTATTAAAATTTTAAAAAAAAAGTGCCGACTATCCGAAATGAGTTTAAATGCTGTTTTTAAAAAACTGTTTATTGCATCTTCAATGTAAGAATACATGTGCAATCGACTTTCATTGATTATAACTGTGTTTAAACGGCAGCAGGAGCTGTGGCTTAGGCAGAGATGTTGTGAATTTCGCTCGTAGAACATCAGGTACAAGTTTCAATGCAAAACCCTGAAATTTAATTTCTCGAGTCCGATATTTTTTAGACTTCTTTATTAAAAACTTTCAGATTCGCTGGAGTTGATGTCAAGAACTATCGGTACTACGACAAGTCGACTTGCGGATTCGACGAAGCTGGCGCTCTGGAAGACATTTCCAAGATTCCAGAAGGCTCCGTCATTCTACTTCACGCCTGTGCTCACAACCCCACTGGTGTCGATCCCACTGTAAAAACATAATTAGCCGATATCAACTCCTTTTTTTCTTTCAGAAAGAACAGTGGAAGAAAATCTCCGAGGTGGTGAAAAAACGCGGACTTTTCGTCTTTTTCGACATGGCGTACCAAGGATTCGCTTCTGGAGACGTCGACCGCGACGCTTTTGCCGTTAGGTAAGTCACTTCTATGATATATCTTGGCGAAAAAAGGTTTGAAGTTAGTTTATGTCTGGTCTACCGATTCAATTCATGACTGTCGTTAGTGAATATAGGAGTTGACATCATCAGAGGATTTTTGAGACTTTGAAATTTTTTTCACCTTTTTTTCATTAAAAAAATTTTTTTTTGTATCGGACTTGCGATTTTACATAACCTTTTTTTCTTTTTAAAGATAAATAATTCCAAATGGGCGAGAAAAACGTTGGAAATCGCAGCAATGTCTATGCACAAAACCAATTTTCATTTTTTTAAATTTATTTCCTCATTTTTCATTTCTGAAACTGTCCGTCTTGAAAGATGACCTTTAGATAGAATTTTTTTGAAACATTCGACAACCAAACCTTATTTATTCATTCTTGAGTAAGATAGATATATAAATAAACTTTGGTCCAATGGAAATTATTTTTATGGTAAGCACCTGCCTTTTGCTGTCATCTCGGATGAAGTTGGACTTAAAAAAAAAGCTTATAATTTTGTGCAATTTGAAGTAAATATTCGGAAAAGTCTCGAATGTTTAGCGGAAAGTTTCATATACCTGCTTCACTCGATTCTGTTGAATTTGGTCGATTGCTTACACCTTTATGCCTACGAGTCTAATGAGTGACTTGGGTTTGCAGGTACTTCTTGAAGGAAGGCCATGACATGGTGCTCGCACAGTCCTTCGCCAAGAACATGGGTCTGTACGGAGAGCGCGTCGGCGCGTTTTCTGTCGTCTGTGCTGACGAAGACGAAGCGGCTCGAGTCGCCTCTCAGGTCAAGATCCTCATTCGACCGCTTTACTCCAATCCGCCGATTCATGGCGCCAGAATCGCCGCCCGAATTCTCTCCGACGCAGACCTTCACAAGCAATGGTAAGTCAACATTTACCATTTTTTGTGTTATTATCGAGACTCTTTTTAATAATTAAGCTACTGTCACAAGTGGTGTTTGAGTATTTCCATACAAAAATTTCAGATCCTTTCTTTAAGTGTACCTAAGAAAAAAGCTCCAACTCTCTGTTTTACCAATCTATTTTGCGAAAATAGCTACAGTATTGTTATACTACCGTGTACGAAGTGATTCCGCGAAATCCAATATAGTCGTCAAAGAAAGAAAAAGATAACTGAGTTTTAGAAATTCAGAGATAATTTTGCCTATCGCGTAAATGACTTTGAACCCGGCATAGGCGTTTTTCACATTGAAAAAATTACAAAAACAGCTGAATGACGACGGCAGTGTATTCAGTTGAATTTATATTATAGCTCCATCCTTGCAGTTTTGAAAATCTTTCTACTTGATTTTTTTTTCTCGGGAAAAAATGAATTACTATCGAGGAGAGATACCGTGTAAAGTCTTCACTCACTTCTAGTTTGCCATAGGCGGTTGCTCGATATTGCTTTAAAATTTTTCGTTGTCCGCCTAGTCAATTAAATCCTTCATTATTGATTTATGATTTCAAAAAATCGAGTTGAAAAACGTCATAAAAGCTCAGATCGCTCTAGAGATAAATTTTCGAGAAGCTGCAAGAACCAAATGCTCATAGCTAAAGATAAAAAGTACCAGTTTCAGCTCGTAAGAAAATCATCCGTTCAGCGGAATAAAAGCGAAAAAATAGAAGGAATTTTGTACCAACCAAATATATTACTTCTACATAAGCCTTCTCAGGTTTATCAGTTATGATTGAGTGAAGTTTCAGCTTCAATATTTAATAATCAAGATTTCAATATCAGCTTTAATAATTCTATTCTCTGTCACGTTTCAATGTTGTCATAGTGCTTATTTTTTTAATGTTAAAAGAGTCCGCTACAAACAAGTAATCGAGGAAGAATCATTCTTGTCTCATAACTGAGTGTTTGAAACAGAGAAGTTCTTTAAAGGCTCGGAGACGTGAAATTAATGGCGGACCGAATCATCACGATGCGCGAACAGCTCAAGAGTCTACTGGCTAAGGAAGGATCCAGCCGTAACTGGGAACACATCACGAACCAGATTGGAATGTTCTGCTTCACGGGAATCAACCCTCAACAGGTTTCGCTTCTTTGCTTCGATATAAAGTTGCAGACCATTCATCTAAAAATGATAATAATCTTTTTTGTAGGGACTTAATCAACGTGCTTTTTAAAATCAAGGGTTTTTAGTTTCACAAAAAGCCAGCCGTGAATCAGCTGTACTAATCTTCACATCGCCCCTTTCAAGTGAAGAAAAACTGACTTGAGTCGGGCTGCCACAGCGAATGGACATTTTCTAAGCTTATGTTTTCGCTCAGGTGGAAAAGCTGATCAAGGACTACTCTGTATACCTGACGAAAGATGGTCGCATCTCCGTGGCTGGAATCTCGTCGAACAACGTCGGCTACCTCGCACACGCTCTCCACCAAGTCACGAAATAGATCAAAAATTTCCTTGCATTTTTCATTTTTCTGGCTCTTTATGGTTTTAGGAAAAGCGTCGTTGAGACCCTTTTTATTTTGCTTGATATATTTTGTCCCTAGTTTAAATAATTGCATAGTTTTTTTTCATGGCACAGGTCTTTTCATTCGGTGTAGCGCTTTAAATGAATTTTTTCCATATAAATTGAAAATTTACATAGTTTTTCACAAACTAAGCCGAAATACAAAGAAAAGATGATCTTGCTCCGAGAAATTCGGTTTTCGGAAACGCCAGTTTTCCCCTTGGGTTTTCTGAAAACGATGCACGTCTTCGCGGACCTCCGCTCTTCATCAGATTGCGGTTTCATCCTCGCCGAATATCGTTGCCGTTTGCCAATTTTCGCTGGAAGAAGCACTTCCCGCGTCAAGATTTTGTCTCTATGGCTGTGTTGTTGGGCCTCCCCGACATATCACACTTGGCTGAGACGCCTTTTCCTCTGATTTTTTTTGCTTTTTTGACTTGAATATGACTATTTTTGCGGGTTAACCTCAGTCGTTCGTCTTCCATCCTTTTCCGTTTAATTCAGATTTTCAGGTTGATGATGACCCGGAGAATTTTCTGAAAAGCCTTTGAAGGAGATTTATCTTTCCAACCCAAGTTTTTGATCCTCGAGCAGTACCAACGAATGTCGGACAAGCCCCATTGCGACGTCCACTTTTAATCCTCTTCCGCCTAAACCTCGTGTGACTTTTTGCCGCTTTCGCCGTCTGCTACCAATCTCTTCATCGAGCTGATCGCTTTCAAGCTGAAACCTCCCATAAATTTCTTTCTTTCTATGTAATTTCCGAAAAAAGCCTTTTTTTCGACTACAATTCACCTCACCACGACTTCCTGGAATAAAAAGGATGTCATCTTTCTCTTGTGAGGTGTAATTTCAGAATCATATTCTTCTTTCCGAATAGGTCCTGCTACTGCAGCAAAATTCGAAATTTGCAAAGCAACTATTCTGATATTCCTGTTTAGTGTTAAAAAAGAATCTAATCGTTTTGTAAGGCTGAACTTTAGTTCCTGCAAGTCCATATACCTCCTTCCATTGACCAATTTTTTCCTTTCCAACTTCAATAGGCTCGAAATTTGAACGAGGAAGTTTTTTTTGGAAGCTGCTCCCAAAAAATGAACAAAGGGAATTTGAAGCGCGCAAAAAACTTCTCGGACAGTCACCTCATAGATTTTTCTTACAGCTCGGAATCGTGTCACAAACTCCGTAAAGACTCCCTGAAATGAATACTCAGGCGCTTTCTCTGATTGAAAAGTGCTCCATGGATAAACATGCTACTTTTACTCAAAATTTAAATTTTTATTGTATGATCGATGTTTCTTAACTTCTAAGAGGAGATTCAAAAATTTCCAAGGATGACTTGTTACGTACGCGACGCGGCTTCTACGAACTCGGCGAAAAAATGTAAAAATGAAATAATTTTTTTATTTTTATTCTATACTTATATTCATTCAATTTGAGTCCCAAGGCTATAGCCAATGAGTGAGAATCAAAAAAAAAAAGTCAAAAAGCAAGAAAAAGAAATAATAAAGACCTTGAGTTTCCGCAAAAGCCGCGTCGCACTTCGTCTTTGGCAATCTTTATTGGCGGTAGAATCTAAAAATTTTGAAAGTGAGTTCAACAATTTGTTCCAGAAAGCGAAACAACATGAATTGAACTTAGAATTTTTTTTTTCACGATGCAAAGAAACTGGCACTAGCAACGTCCAAAACGCCATTTCTCAAATGTGTGTGCTTATTTGGGAAGAAAAAATGGACGATTGTGACGCTTTGGTCCCTGGGGGAGCCGAAATGAGCAATTTCATCGTTCAGCACGCACCCATATATACGCCTATTTTCGCACATTTGAAACATTCGAATTTCTGAAAAAAGCTCTAGAATGGTCCATCTTCGTTTCTTTTTCCGCAATATTAATAGCCCATATTAATCGGTACGGCTGCGATTCAAGAATGTATGTATTTTCAAGTTTGAGGTGGAAATCATGACACTAAAGAAAATACAGTTTGCAATATTGTTGTTCCAGTCCTGAGAAAAACTAGGAAAAGAGGAGGGGAAGAGCCCGTCAAAAGATGTGTGTAAATGGCGTGAGAATAATGGGAAGACGAAATTGTGCGGAGGAAAAACAAAAAAAGTTTTGGATGCTCCAGGGCTCTTTATTTTTGTTCTCCATCTGGACGACTACAACTGGAAAACAACCGTTTTGAATATCTTACGAGAGAAGTTCCTTTCTCCACGGAGCAACGTTTCAAGGCGGAGAACGGCCGGAGACCAACAAAACGACGAAGAGAAAGAAAAATATGATAAACATTTTTGGTTTGGCTTCCTCTGTACTTCCTTCAGTTCCAAATCGGGCCGAAGCTCCGCCCTCTTCTGAAGACTGCTCACTCTGTTTTCCGCTTTACTTTGGCTAAACCTTTTCCCGTTCCGAGCGTATCAAATCCGATTTTCTATTTTTTCTCCACTTCTTCGAGTTCATCTTGGTTCAAGCTTGCTTTACTTCTTCGCCTTTTTATTAGGAACAGACCCCCAAAACTTTGCCAGATCAAATTAAAAGCCAATCTCTCTTTTAATGAAAACTCTGAACGCAAACACATCCTAAATGTTGCAATAAAAAAATAATGAAGAACTTGAAACTTATTCTAATGAAAACTTTATCTAACGAGTATTTCTTTTTTTGGTATAGATAATAAATGAGCAATAATTCACTTGTTAACTTTCTTCCTTTTTGTTTAAAAATTTAAAAAAAGTTTGAAATCAAAAAAAACTGCAGCATGAAACTTTCCGTCGAGGTCTATGCACAAAATGCATCCTATCTGACGACTATTTTGGGCGAGGCGTGTCTCGAGACAGAGATCTCTTATATCTTTGAGGGAGAAAATGTAAATTTTTTTATGTAATAATTTTTTTGAAAATGGTCGCTCTATAGAGCTTACTAATATACTCGATGATTAGCGCGCAAAAATTCGAAATCCTTGTTGCTCTAAGTCTTCAGGCGATTTTTATGTTTTTTTTTCAGTTATATCTTCATAGCAATGCATTGGGTTTGTTTCTGATTTACGGTAAATTTATTCTATTGTGACAGAAATCTAATTAGCAGTTTGATGATGAACCAAAATTCTACTTTGCTGATAAAAAAAAAACCGAAAAAACCGAAAAAAACGAAATTTCACTTCTAAAGCTGGTTTTTTCAGCCACAGTTTCGGTATCATCGCGATGCCTTTTTTTCCGGTACTCTAACATACATATTATGAAAATTGTGAGCAAGTCTCGAACATCAGCTCGATATGCCGAGTTCAGATGAAAATCAAAATCATCTCCGACTCTTTAAAGTTTAATTTTTTTTACGATTCCTGATGTTCATTTTGAATTTAACGCACTTAACTTGAACACGGCATTGTTTCTAAAACGTCTGTGCGAAGTTCAGTCAAAAATTAAGAAACATTGATCTTTACAGAATCTCGCAGGTCATCTACATGTTTCAGTTGAAAATGTCATATGAATAGAACGCGTTTCACAACATTTGCATGAAAATCGGAGGCCTATAACAGGTGTGTATTTCAAAAGTTTTTTTGACTTCTTCTACCCTTTTTTTCAATCATATCTTAAGAACATCTATATGTGAAAAAAACAGTAAAGAACTTGTTTTAAATTATTTTTTTATGTCTTTTGTAAAAACTAATTTCGTTTCGCCTTTTTTCAGTTACTCTTTACTTTCACTTATGCATCTTTCAAGCTTCATTCATTTTATCTCTATTAAATTTTTGTAGTGCTTTTTCAAATGAGAGTTCTACTGAGATGATCGAAAATTTATTGAAATTCCTAATTTAATTTTTAAAAGCGTTTCGGAATTTTTTTCGGTGATTCTGCGGCGCGTCTAAACTGAAAAAAAGCGAATCCCACTTTCTCGTGATTGACAAAAATTCAGTGATGAAAAAGTTCTTACAAAAACGTCTTTTTTCTCGACTTGCCAAGATTTGTACTTTATAAGAAAAGGCTCTTAAGATCTTTTAGGAGAACATTTTGAAGAATTTTTTTAAAGGAATTCAAAAAAATTTTTTTCAGCATTGAGCTTTGTATGGTTTGATAGCTGTTTCGATTCAAAAACTCAGAACCGTTTAGTTTTTTTCGAAAAAAAGATTGAGGATGAAAAAGTTATGACGAAAAAAATGTGGCGCGCCGCGCACCATTTTTTTAGTACTGAAATTTTGGTATTATCCATTTTGACATTTTTTTCTCGATTTTTTTCTTCTAGAACAAGTTTTGATACTGGTCTATTATGATGTAACAAATCATAATAGAGTGCTAAAATGATGCTCATCAGCTAGTTTGCCGAAAAAAAGTCGGTATTTTTCCAGAAAACAAAAAAACTGACGCTTGCGGGCATCGAACTCGCGACCTCAAAATGAAAAAAATCGCAGCGCACGCGCTGCGCCAAGCTGCTAGGTCTAGCAAGGGGAGCTTCCATCCGCCTTACCCTTGAGCCGTTTAGATAGCACAGATTGCCTATTTCAAAAAAATAAAAAAACTTGAAGTAATTCAGCTATTTTTTTATCAGAATATGTTCGCAAATCTTTACTCAAACTTTCCGTGAAAATTCACTTCGAAAAAAACTGTTTTTTTAGTGCTTTTTTTCCTCGTTTAACGATCGCTGCCTTAAAACGGCCCCCGTAAATTTTTTTGGCAAAGACGAATTTTTTTATTTTATTCTTTTTAATTGAAAGATTTTTTTCACTAATAAATGTATATAATCGTTTAAAAAAACCTGCGTTCGGCCGCTTTCTGTGTGATAAACGCCGCTAATTTTTATTCTCTAGTTTCAAGAGCATTTTTTTGCGTATTAAACAACTATTTCAAGCACAGATACTGTGAAGAAAAAAAATTTAAGTAAGGCCATGATCTAAATTTTTTAAAAAAACAAAAAAACTTGATTATATTCGCTTATTAACGATATTTTTGAATTATGAGTTTCGGCGCTCCCTAAAATTTTTTTGGCAAAGACGAATTTTTTTATTTTTATTGTTTTTAAAATTTTTCGTTACTTGAATCAAAATCATTATTTAAAAAAAGAAAGAGTGCGTTCGACCTGAAAAACACATGAAAAAAAGCAAAAAAATGACAAAATTTTTTTAGTTCCATTCACGTTTTTTTGTACGACATTCCGCGAGAACGCATCAAAAAAAGCGTGAAATATTTTTTTAAACGAAAGAGGAAGCTTTTTCTGTACATGTGTGTCAAATTTTATTCGCCAGTTCCACATATTTTGCAACTACAACAAAATGAAAGTTGAAAACCAAAAAAAAGCCACTTTTTCTATCGCGAAAAGGGGCGTGGCTTTGCGGTCCCTATGTTGGTCCCTACTTATAGGTTATATTATACTCACTTTTATTTCTCTCCCTGATATAACGATATTTTTAACATAGTCCATTAGCCGTATAATTTGTCTGCATCATTCAGGTTTAGGCTGGTTTTAAATGTTTAAACTCGACTTTTCAGTAAAATTTCATGAAAATCTTAATAATTAACAAGATGTACTGAGCTGGACTTTGAGAAAATTAATTTAAAGACAATTTTTTGTTTTTTTTTCTCTGGGAGAAAAACGTGATTTCCAATTTCGAATAAAAAAAACTACAACATGCGATTCAAAAAGAGTTTCGAGTTTTTTAGTTGCCAAATTCAGCTGGCAATGGGCCAACTTCCTGTTCATTCAACTCTCCTTCCTGGGCGCCTCAAAGAAAAAGAAGCTCAACAAAGTCTTTTTTTTCCTTGGTACATTCTCCTCCGATTTAGTAAGAGAAGTGTTTTTCAAACTGTCGACAGAGGAAAAAAGCGGTTTCGTTTTCCTGGAGGTCTTCATTGATGTATTTCGCTCGCACTCATCCTTAGCTCCTCAGAAAACTCACCGAATCCAATTGCAACGCCATCGTCGCGTCGCAGGCGGTCCGATTTACCCCCGCACCCGTTTTTTCTCTGATCATTTCTTCAAGAAGCTTTCCATTTGAAATTCCTCATCGTTGTCTTTTATTTGATAACTTCGTAACTCCTTCTGTAGCTCAATAAGAGTCCCTTCGAAAACAGCTGAAGCTGTTCTTTCTCTCTTTTTCCAGCCACTCTCTTTTCATTGTTTTCTCTTCGTTGAGGTAAGGATTTCACGGTCGGCCACTCTTTTATGGCAAAGTGCCAGAGCTAAATAACCCTAATCCCAGCTGTTATTTGTGGCGGTCCTGAAGCCCTTTTGGACATCCTTGCCGAAGATCTTGCGCTACGGACTTTTTTCGCCCAAGCTTAGATCTTCCCTTTTTTCCAAAAAATCAAAAGTTGAAAAAGAAATCGTTTGATATGTTCCTAGAAGAGAAGTTCGAGATAATGTGCCAGAGATGTCTCAGAGCAACTGTCGTCGATGTAAATCCAGTTTAGTTCTCGACGACGCCTCGCATCCTGCTTCCGAAGCAGAACCTCGTTTAACTTTTTCTCCGCTCCTTCTCTTCTTTTTGATTCAACTTCATATCAAAAATAGACAGCGAAAAATGTTACAGAACATATTTGAACTGAAGTATGAAAACATTGATTGGACTTCTTTCAGGGAGAATGAAGGAAGCTAAAATGTCTCTATCATGAACTTTCTGAATGAAATTTCTTACTTTGGAGTGAGATATCAATCAATAAATCTTGAACTGTCAGACAATGAAAAAAAAATTAAATTCTCTGCTTTTCCTTTGACTTTATTACTAGTCGTGAGTTAGAAATAGAGTTAATTGAGCGTGAAAAGTCGGCAAATTTCTTTTCAACTATCTCGTCGTTTTTATTTTTATTTTATTCATCTTTCCATCTATCTGCAAGTGTTTATTGTAGAGAACGTCGTCAGAGTCTGAATGGAACAGAATTCTGACACTGATAACGAGCCAATAAGAGACCCCGTTCGCTAGGGCGTACTTTTGTAGAACGTCACAAGAAGCAGGGATAAAAAATATATAAAAAAGGGTCTTTTTCTGGTCAAAAAAGGATCGAATGACGCATAAAGTGCACATAAACCAAAGCTGTGCGTTTAGATTTCTTTCTGTCAAATCCTTAATCTCAAAAAAAAACATTGAGAAATTCAAACATACTTTTTTCCGATTTTCCATAAATGAAAAATCAAGTTTTCAATGTTGTGTTTTTTTACTTCTTACCAATAACGTTTTTCCAGGATCAATCTTTTATCATAATTCAGTTATTTTCCATTATAACCTGAGCTTTTGCTGACTTTGACTTCCCAGAAGTCACATCAGACAGCTCAAAACTTTGTTTTTCCTGCACTTTGAAATCGCAAAATCGGTGCCGAATTCTTGAAGGGAGGGACGAACACTTTACTGAAAGGCCGAGTGCCTCAAAAGCCCCTCGAATGAAAGATGAAAAAAGGAGCATTCAGTTTTTGGAAAACTCGCGCGATTTTAAGCCGCTCTCCTCGTTTATTTTCCCTGCTCCACGACTCTGAACCTGGTTCTCCATTTTTGATGCTTCAAGTTTAGGTGCTGAAGAAAGTTTACTGAATTTATATAGAAAAGTTCATTTTCATTTAGATTCTAAACTGTATAGCTCGGATTTCTGTTGAAAAGCGGTTTTTTTAAATTAAGAGAAGCTACAGGAACCGTGTCCGACTGAATTTTTCAGGTGAAAGTTGGAGAAAAGAACTTTCGCTGAAACCAATGAAAGTTTGCTGAGATCATTTTCCTGTTAATAACTTCCAGTAAAGATAAATAATGATTTTTTTTTTTCGGGAAAATTCAGTCTGTATCCACACACAGATCACTGTACGAGTATGCCTATCCGAAGATTTTTTCGCCAATTGGTAGAGCTTTGACGTCTCGAGTTCCTTTTGGGGTGCCATTAATTCCCGCTTTCACTGCTTCCTAATCGCCGGCTTTGTTTCTTTTTTCCCCCGTTCTTCTTGTTTTCTTGTTGCGGCGCCATAATTACCGAGCGCACAATCGCTTCAACCAATTTTCCAATCTGAAACGGCAGCAATATATGAGTTGTCTCCTCCAAGGCAAAAATTGAGTTTTCTCTTTTTCGATAGCTTCCGGCCAAAATCTGGGAAAATCTACTCTTCGTGAGAAAGATGTAATAAGTTCACCATCTTCAGGATATATTTTTTAAACGAGTTGCGTATTTTAGTCTGGTAAATTATATATTATATAATCGGCTTTTTTTCGGGAAGCTCGAGGTCAAACGCGAGCTTTTTTTTTTAATTTTTCTCTCATTTTTTGATAATTTTTCATGGTTTTGAGAAAATTTAGTCGAGTTTAGCTTTAACCAGTCAGCAGAACCCTGATTCAAAATGCGGTTTAGGCGCCTACTCAAAGACAAATTTAAACAGTGCGCATCTCTGCTGAGCCTTGTTCAAAATAGTTTTTTGCGAACAAAACGGAAAATCTTTGCGAAATCAACGTTTTGGCCAATCGTCACAACTTGAAACTACTTTAGGCTTACAAGTCAGTACCCTCTTTTCTCTAAATAGCGAGATTATTAAAAAATGAAAAATAGAACGTACACATGAGAGCCACGTAGGTCAAAGAAAATAGGGTAGTAAGTCATATTTCTTTTTTGAATGATAATCAAAGAGAGAGGGGGGAATAAAGCTTAAAAAGTTCTTAATGCGGAGAAGAGACGTCACTTAAGTTCAGTATTTTTCATTTATAAAAAAATCTAGCAACGCCACAATTTTAATCTCAACCGTCAAATATGTTCTAATAAACAACTCTCAGAACTTTATTTTCTAAACAGTTTCTGCATCAAATCTTTTTTCTTGAAGAAGTTTTTTATATTTTTCCCAATTATTTAAAAGCTGAGTTTGGAAAACGAGTACACAACACAGTTACGGCTTAGTAGAAAGCTTCAGAGCGTTATTATTCTCAATTTGAGGGAAATCCTTATTTGCCAAAAGAAGTGGCTCGGCGAAATGGAAGTTGCTCCAGAAGCGGCCACGGCTTCTCGGGTTTCCGTTGCCGTGATTCCTTCGGTTTTGGCCCCGAAACGCGTCTTCACACAACTTCCATCCCTGTTCACGCAATTTTTAATATTCATGAGCTGTTTGAAGGCGTTGAAGCTGAGAGCGAGTCAACGGCTTTTTTTTCTCTCGCCGTTTTTTCCGCTCCTATGCTAATTTTGTGCTGACTCTCTCTTCACTTTTGGGCTGGTTTTTGGGTTTACCATCTTACTTTCTCTTCAGAACAGTATTCGATTTCTTGAGTTTGTTCCCGTAGCGTCTTCGATTGATAAGCAAATTTCCTAAAGTGATCTACAATATCAGTTTTTTCTATTTGCTATGGGAGAGTATTGAATTTAAAATTTTAGAAGCTTTTTATTTTTATTTGTATCATTTGTCCCTTCATAAATTTTATTGCGTTCTTCGCTATTTTTTAACTTTTTTTTTTTCAAAAAAAATGATTTTTCTCACTTGTTTATTCAAATACAGTGTATTATACAGAACTTTTTTTATTTTAAACTAATAAAATTATCCATACTTCAAATAATTACACACTTTATTAAATACCATAAATAACCTGTAATTTTTTTGTTCTTTTTATATTTTTTTGAATTGTGTTTGTAGGCGTTTTTTTCTAACCTTTTTTTATGAAATTATTTGTATATCATAACTGATTTTTTTCATCCTAAAAAAATCGTTTTTTTGATTGGACATGTAAAAAAATCAATTAGTTTGAGTATTTTAGATTTTTTTGAAAAATTTATCAATCCTCTAAAAAAATCTTGTCAATTTTATGAGACAACAAAACGCAAAACTTTCATTCTTTCCCGTTTTCCTTTTCGATCTTACATTTTGGATAAATCTCATACATTCTTGATAAAGCTTCCGATTTGAAGGTGAAGGGAATGGGGAACAACAGAGTGTCACGCGGCGTGCGACGCCTGATTCTGCTGCCCATCGTCGTCGTCTTCTTCGTGACGTCATCCGCCGTATCTCGCAGTCGACGCGACGTCGCCACTGAAGTCGTTCCTTCTTCCACGGATGTGTCTTTTTGGCGCTCTCTACTGCCAACCTGCAACCGGTAGGAGTTCATCTTCGGAAGTTTACGCTCCAAGAAACAACAGATCCCTTGTGCCGCCGCCAGTCGATGTCAACGACGATGGACAATTCCCGCCAGACCCATTTTCGTTGGAAGACAGGCAGAAAGGAGCCGGTTAGTCTTTTTAAAGTTTGCTCGCTTGAACCGGGACAGCTTTTTCTAACATAGGTTTTTCGACTCCAATAAGTTCAAGCACGTCTCACCTGAAACAATGAACCGCTCAAGTTCAAATAAACAAAACAAACGGTTGAGTGGTGCTTCACATGGCGGGTCTCATCTACATGTTCGTGTCGTTGGCCATCGTCTGCGACGAGTTTTTCGTCCCGTCTCTCGACGTCCTCACCGAGAAGCTTTCACTGTCCGATGACGTCGCCGGCGCGACTTTCATGGCCGCTGGCGGGTCTGCGCCCGAGTTCTTCACCTCCGTCATCGGCGTCTTCATTGCTCAGAACAACGTCGGGATCGGCACAATCGTTGGTCAGCCTTACATTATGAGTATCTCTACATTAGAAGACTACAGCTTTTTCCAAACGTTATTCAGAATTTTTTTTTTCGAGACTAATTTTGGAGCATTTTTTTTTGGGGCAATTTCGAGGTATCTGACTTTAATTTATCTTACAAAAAAGATCAATATTCGGGAAAAAGTAGATTTTTTTTCCAGTTAAAACAAAAAATATTTTTCACAAAAAAAAATGCTTCAGGCTCGGCGACCTTCAACATTTTGTGCGTGTTAGCTTTCTGCACGCTTTTCTCGAAGACGGTTCTCGACCTGACTTGGTGGCCTCTCTTCAGGTCAGTCAAGCTCTTTTTCTTTGAACTCCCGATGTGACTTCAGAGACGTATCGATCTACATGATTGCTCTTGCCATGCTTGTTTTCTTCTTCATTGACGAACAGGTGCGCATCGTTTTTTCAATTTTTCGTAGCCAACATTAGGTACTCTAGAGTGGTCCTTTAGGGGCAACCTTAGAAGCCCTTGCCACTTCATCAACCCCCATAGAGGCCGCTAAAATGCAAAAGTAGTACCTATAGGGGTTTTAGTTAGTGGTCCCTCTAGGGGACATGATAGTCGATAAATTTATGAAATCTAAGCGAAGAAGCATTTCCATGCAAAAAACTAAAAAAAAATAACCCTTTTTGAATAATATTGAACGAACTTCATAGGGATCACTTGAGCTTTAGGGCTGACGGGTCAGGCACTAAACCTCATAGGGGCCGAAAAAGTGGTCCTTATAGGGGTTTGGGGCTGTTTTTTCTCTAACCATTATGGGAACCACTCCAAAATTCCTAAGACTATCTTAAAAGGAAAATTTTCATATCGGTATGTGAAACCTCACTGAAAAGGTACGGAAAATCGATAGAGCAGAAAGAAAAATCTCACCCGAATTGCTCCGATTCGCTGTCTTCCATTACAGTAGTAAAAGGAAATAATGAGCGTACGTATGAGATTGATTATCGGGTCATCCGAAACAGAAAAAAAAAATCTATCTTCAAAAAATGTATGAAAAAAGAGGAAATTTGCAGTTTCTTTCTCTCCAAATAAAAAAAATTTACTTGAGGAATGATTTAAGATTTCGTGGCCGGAAGCCTTAGCCATGTTTTTGGTTTACGTGCTCTACTGCACTATTATGAAGTTCAACATGCAGCTGGAGCGGCTTGTGAAAGGCGAGGAAGAAATTCTGCCGGAACTGCCAATTGAGCCTGTCGAGGCGCAGAAGTTAGATGTTCACATCAACCGCGATGGGGTATTTTTTTTTTTTAAATGGAAAAATAGGGTTTGATGTGAAAATAGTACCTTGTAGAGCTTTTCATTCGAACATTCTATTCAAAAAAGCACAGATATGAGTACCTTTAAAGAAAAAAACGCGATTTTATTTTCCCGACTTTTATTTTTGGAAAAATGCTTTAGATCGGTGTACAGAAATTGTGAGCAGTAGACGCACGCGATGTTGCGGACGTCACTGGACTCGCATTTCATGAGAAATAATTGGATATCTTCTACAAATAATGGTTTTTTTCTAAAAAAAATCATCTTTTCAAGATCAAAATTGCGACGAAAAAAACTTTGGTGTCAACAGAAAAAAATTGAAGTTTGAAAAAAATGAAAAAAACAAGCAGAAATCCGAAAAATGGTGGAACTTGCCCATAGAGCAAATTTACTGCAAAACGCCCTTCTAGCGGGAACTCAAACTTTTATCTCTCCGACTTTGAATCATTTTTTCTCCAGAACTAGGAAGTTCTGTACGTTTCCAAGTTCACTGTTCGACAGGCAAGAAAGAGCTCTACAACATGGCTTTTTTGTCTCCAACCCCATTTTTTATTGTCCCTATGCCTTTTACCGAAATGTGAGAGCGCTTAAGGTGTCGGTGACGCGACCGGTGGACAGGATGGACTCGATCCGCCGACGGAGTTCTTCTTCCCGACGGCAGTCTGTGCCGATCCTGCACTCAGGAACTATGTTCCGCAACGGAATCATGCAGCTAATGAACAACACTCTCGACCAGCTCCCCGAAGGTCTCACTATCTTGAAAAGTTTCAGATGACTTTTTGGTTTGGTCATTTTGAACTTATTTTTACAAAACGACATAAGGTCGTATCAAATAAATCTATGTACAGCAGAATTCTTTTCAGATAGCGAAGAGGAAGATTCTTCACGTCGATCTAATCCGGCGACAATGACGGTAATATTATTACAAAACAATTCCTCTCGAAAAACCCTGATAAATCTGTTCTGATTAGAAACGAATCACATGTTTAAACAAAAAAAAAAGTCGAGTTCAGAGGAACTCTGACGCTTCACACTTGCCAGCCACGTCGGCCACCGAACGCCGATCCTCACAAATTGAAGAAATCGTCTGTTTTTTTTTTTTTTCGAGATCTTTCAACTGAGAAACTTTAGAAGTCGTTGCTGGAAGAGAAAGAAGAACAGCCACTGGACATGACGTGGCCCGACAAATGGCAGAAAAAGCTGACCTACGTGCTGTTGGCGCCGGTCCTCGTGCCCATGTGGGTCACGATTCCTGACGTCCGTCGAACGGTTTCTTCGCACTATATCTCGTGACGTCACATCAGAGATTCAGACGTCGAGGCATCTCTATCCGGCGACGTTCGTCATCTCGATCCTGTGGATCGCCTTCTTCTCCTACCTGATGGTTTGGTGGGCAAACACCATCGGAGAGACGTTCGTCATTCCCACTGAGGTTCTTTTTTGACCACTGCTTAGAGCGCTCCTTATAGGGGTTTGGAGAAAAACTCCTTCACAGAGGCCGAAAAAGTGGCCCTAAGCTTACCCCTATTTGGACCCTCTGAAGTTTCTAAGGTCATTCATTCTCTTAATCGTGGGAAAAGATCACCATGCTCTTTTCTTTGTAAACTTATCAATCATTCAGGTCATTGGCCTGACCATCTTGGCAGCAGGAACCAGCATTCCCGATTTAATCACGAGGTGAACGCCTTCAGCTACACATAACCGTTGATTTAAGTGTGATTGTGGCGCGAAAAGGCCTGGGCGACATGGCGGTCAGCAGCTCCGTCGGAAGCAACATCTTCGACGTCTGCGTCGGGTGATTATTTTCAAGCTGTTGGAAATTGTTCTAGAACACAGTCTACTACCGAATTCAGAGTTAGGCGCAGACTTTTTCTCTGAAAACAAAACAGAATATCATCTCTCGAGTAGTTTTCGAGATACGGTAGTTTAAAGGATTACGGTAAAAAGCTTTAAAAAATCTATAGCTTGACAAAAAAAATCAACGAATCTTTATCAATGCTTGTCGCAAGGTGCAAATAGTTTTATTCAAACTTTAAATGGAACATCTCATTTCTGCTGTTTATTGCTCATATTAGAGAATCTTCTCACACGGTCGTTGACGAAGAGCTCATTTAAAATAAGCTATGCTTCACAAAAAGGGGCTTCAAAAAATGAAAGAAAGAAAGTTAAGCTTGCCGGTCCCGTGGCTTCTCTACTTTGGAATGGAATTTTTCGCAGATCCCTCGAGGTCGCCCATGCCGATTTCTGTCAGTAGGTAAGGAGGAGGTCATCCCGATAGTTGGCTAGACCATTATTTGATGTGTAAAGTGAGCTTGAAAATTGCAACATCCAAAAATGAGGCCTTTTAGTATACCTCAGCCAACTTTCAGGGAACTGCACTAACAATCAGAACAATTCCGTTTGTAAGCCACAAATATTTGCAGCAAGGGGCTTCTTTGCTCTGTGGGAATGCTCTTCATAATGCTCATTGTTCTCGTCGGTGCCATCTTCCTTTCCAGGTGGAAAATGAACAAGGTCGGTCATAGACTTCGGACTAAACCAAATGAAAATTCTCCATCTCACAGCTTCATTCTCAGGTTTTCGGCATCGTGATGATCATTTCCTACGTCTTTTTCTGCATCTTCTCGGTTGCGTTGGAGACTGATCGTCTTGTCTGTCCGTTGAATATCTGCTAAATCATCTACTGCTCCTCATATCCTTCTCACGAATAAGTATTCTTATCTCCTAAAGCTAACTATATTAAGTTGAAAATGTTCTTACTCAGTTTCTGTTTTGTCAGACCCGCCCGGTACTTCAGTTGCCTTCGATTTCATCTCTTCTCCTGTCGATATTCCTGTTAGATCTCGTCAAAATCTTTTTGAACTATCAAATTTTTTCAGTATGTTTGCCTGTCCACGGGTTATTTGAGTAACTTTTACTGCATTTGAATGATTTTTAGAATATAAAGCTTTGAACAAATAATCATTCTGTATAAAGTCTTTAGTTTTCTCTCTCGTTTCGAGGTTTTCACCTAAAGAATAGTATTCGGGGTCTAGCGCAGCATCCGCTACATTCTGAGCTCATCAAGGCGCAACTGGATTAACTACAGAAGAATGAGGCGAAGGAACGTAAGACCATGCTTTCAACTTGATCAACTACACTTTTGGACTTCTATTTCGCCAAAAGCGGTTGTTCGATATCGCTCAATAAGCTTTTGTTCACCGCCGTGGCGTTTACAGACGTTTAGCCATTCTTCGTCTGACTTTAAAAGCCGGGCAAGTGAGCGGAATGTGTAATTTGAACGTCAAAATTTTGCGGTCATTTTTCAAAATAATTCATTTTCGGAGAGGCAAGATACCGAATGTACTCATGAAAGCAAGATAACTCAAGAATGCAGAAAATCGTATTTGGTAAAAGAGGATGCGTCACACTTTCTACACTACTGGTCATGTTCGAGTCCATTCGATAGGTTGAGTCGGCTCTGTTGGGGAAAATCGCGAAGGCCTCGTCGTTGGCGTCGTGACGTCATTGTCGACGTCTTCTTCGAATCGTCGCTCTACCTAAACTCTCAGTAAGGTTTAAAAACTTTAACATATTAAAGTTCCGACATTGATGAGTTCGTTTTTATTTAGCATATTGAAATTCGATACTTTCTGCTGTAGCACCATGAAAACGAAGTACAGGCAGAACAAAGAGCATTCCGGGGACGAGATTCGAAATTCAAAAAAAAGAACAAAGGAGAAAAGAAACAAGCCGCATCAACTTCACATTTAGTAAGAAATGTTTTGACTTGAAAAAAGACTAACTTCTTCGCGTGAGAGGCCTTCGTGTGCTTCCGGCTGCGCGTTCAACCCACCGATTTTCTGTTGTCTGAAAATCCTTGTAGATTTTGCGAACAAGTCTCTTTCGTGAAATGCTTCAGACTCACTGGAAGCTGTTATTGTTCTCCCCGACGTTGCACAGGTTACTGTTGCAGCAGCAAAGGGAGATAGGAATCTTCTGGAAAGTCGTCGAGATACACTTGTTCTGGGCGAACTGCAACAGAGGAGTGACGTCAAAGAGATAAAGACGGAGACCATGCATCGCCACATGCTGCAGCCGGCTTTGGTGACGTCGAGGAAGGCGTTGGCAGTCGCCGAGATGTTGTAGCAGTAGGCGGCTGAATTGTCGCATCGGATCGTCGCCGTGCCTACCGACGTTCCCGACAGCAACTTGAGGCCCTCCAAAACAACTTCATACAGAGAAATGATCGATATAATTTGATTACCAATCACCTAACCAAACTTATTTCAATCAAATAACAAGTTTTGTTCATTCTCCGCAAGTTTATTGGAAAACTTCAAAATTTGGACTGACCCCTATATAGAAAAGTTTCGAAAATTGGTCCCGATACGATAAAAGTGCAAAAACAAGAAAACAGGCAGCAAAAAGAGTCCCTTCATTGAGCCTTCCACTTTTTCGGAATTTTAAAGGTTCGAGAAATGATGGAAAAACGGAGAGGCAACAAAAATGGCGCAAAAAGGCAGCAAAAAGGGGGCTTCTGCCACCCTAAAAGGAAAACTTCTATGGAGCCTTTTCCACCCTTTTCGACTTTGCCTATGATATTAAAGTCGTATTTTTGCTATTTGAGATGGCTATAAGCTAGAGCGCAATCAATACTTTTTAAAAAATTTCTGACTTTTTTTTTCCTTTTCTGTGATTCAATCAGAAAATGCATGGAAATCTATGAAAACGGTCATACACGAGCTGAAAAAAAAAATTTTCTCAACTATTTCCCCAGCCGATCAGTTTTCTTCCTTACTAACGATTATTAGGAGTTTATTTGAATTTAAAAATAACCGTGTAACATTCGATGCAGAAGCCAGAAAACGGCAGAATCATCAAGCAGATAAATAATCTCAGATCCATGCCGCAAGCTGAACTTGAAAATGAGAATAGAAAAGTAAATTATTGAGAAAAAAAAATCAGAAATGGAAGGCGATTCGGCGTCTGTGTGTGGTTGTAAAAAAGTCGCCTTTCCAACCGCCATTTCTGCGGGCAGAAAGGAACTAATAAATTAAAATGAAAGTCCGGTCGACATCCGTTTTCTGTGGCGTCAAAGAGGCGAGACAAAAATTCGATGAGTCGAAAAGATGATTTTGTTTTATTGCAGTCATATATCCTCGAAGAAATTGAGGAGAAGGGTCAAAATATTTACACTTTCCACCATATGGTAGGTATCCTGTTTATAAGACTTACGGAAAAAAAGAGAAAATATTGAGAACGAAAAAATTTTTGAGAAAAACCTCGGGACAGGCCAATCTTCGAAAAAAATTTTTTTAATTTCATTGAAAAATATTTTTTTACTTTTTACTTGTTAAATCATAGTTTCCGTTGAGCTAGAAGTGAAAAATTTTTCATTTCCAGTAAAAATATATTATATCAAATGACTTTTATCGTAAAATAAAACTGATATTCAACTTGAAGAAAAATAAGCTTTATGGGTCAAGCCGCTCTTTTTTCTTGAAGCCTCTCTTAGGCCGGGCCGGGCTTATATAATGGCCGAAGAACCGATAGGCCGACGGGTCGGCCCTCAAACAACTCTGGGCGTGGCCTTGAACCACGCCCTTGCGTTCGTTGGAGCGTACTTGTGCGACAGAGTTTTTTTAAGTCCACTTTTTTTAAAATTTCTTTTTTTATTTTTCTTCTAGAACTATTATAGTCGTTCCGATCGAATTTATAATATTTTTTGTGATATATAATATTTCTATGGGATACTGGAAGCTTATAGATAGAAAAGGCCTAAAATTCCCTATTAATTCATTGATTTTGAATTTTTCTTATATAATAAGATTTCATAAGAAGATTAACATACGCAAGAAAAAACTTCAAAGGAAATAAGAATAATCAAAATCACAATCACTTTATATAAAGTTTGTTGCATACGGCCTTTGGTGTCATTTGATCTCCTGCTCCACGAAGTATTTGATCAATTAACAATTAAATTTGGCGGGACAGACTAGAGTAAATTTTCATCTCTTATTAATATTTTTTTATGCTGTGTTCAAAGTAAATTTTCGTTCATGGCGTGTTCATTGGAGAAACGGAACATGCTTCAAAACGAAAAATCGTGCTCACCGGCGCACCAAAGTTGTTCCAAAACAGTATACTAATTTTTTTGGAGCAATTTTCTGCGTTTTGAAGCAATTTTCGTTTTTTCCGATGAACAAGCCATCAAAGTAACCGCGAAACGCAAAGTGGTCTCTGACTCTCCAAAACTTAGTTATTTATATTTTCTCTCTGACGGCTATTTTGCATCTCGCATAATTACTTTGAACACGACATTATTTTTTTTCGTATATTCTATTTACCGCTGCCTAGGGAGGACCAAATACTGATGTATCAGTAAATTATTAACGACTTCGCGCAAGATTACGATTTTGTTTTTTTGTGGTTATCCCAAAGCCATCGATATTGTGCCCTCAGCCTTTCCAAGTTCATTTCAAAGAAACTGCGAAATTGAATATTATTCATGTTTTCTCTCGAAGGAAGCTTATTTTTTCAGAATATGTCAAGATCAGCTGTAGCTCCGATACAAAACGAAAATGAGTGAGTTGAAAAAGTTTTTAGCCCGACGTAACAACGTTTCAGAGGTATCGGTGACAAGATTCAGAGCAAGATGGATGCTTTCCGAGAGTTCGTAGCTACATCGTGTTGTTCTTGCGCGGGAAATGTGATTTCTTTCTTTTAAAAAATCTAAAATCAGGCATTTTAGTTGCCTTCAGCAGCTGTTGTTGCAATTGCGGCATTGTTACTGATACTTCTTCTAGCACTGATACCCACTATTTTCCTCATTGCCGATTTCGCTTCCACCGCAGAAAAGTTCTCTTCCTCCAACTTAGATCTCACAAAAATGGTAAATCAAAAGTTTATTTTTGGACGCCGTTCTTGGTTTTCTCAGGCTATGAGACCAAGCAAGTCATGGCCGAAGGTCGACAAAGTTCCTCTACCAAAAGACGGATTTGAAGATATTCATACAATCTCGATGGATTCGCTGTTTCCGCCAAACGTCTCTTCATGCGTAGGATTCGGATTCTCTTGCACTAGTTCAGTGGTAATTTTTGATTTTTACTCGAAATTTTTCTATTATTTCTCTCAAGCATATTGTTATTCCCACTTCGAAGCGTTGTGATGGTGTTCCGGACTGCCCCGATGGCTCCGATGAAGAAAATTGTCGAAGTTCGTCTCGCAAGATTTTCATATACTAAGATCCTGTTTGAGCGTGCCAGACGCTTTTTTCGTGCTCAACGCGCCTTCTGGAATCCGGAGACAACAAAGAGAAAGACGCTCATCACGGCAATGTCGTTTGTCTTGCCGCCAACAAACTTTGTGACGGCGTTGAACATTGTATCGATGGAAGCGACGAGAACAAAAACGGACTTTGCAGTACGGTTTTTGGATTTTTTTCGGACTCGAGAATTCATTCAAAACTTTTTTAAAATGCATGCGTTAGGAATAATACTCATAATCAAGCAAAAATATAGAGGAGACTTGCGAGAAGGACGAACATCAGTGCGTCGGCCGAAAACTGTGTCTGCCAAATTCAGCGGTTTGCAACGGAATCCTCGACTGCGACGACGGCAGCGACGAGGCGAACTGCAAGTCCTGCCATTCCGGCTCTTTGGTTTGTTCGATCAACAACAAAACGAAATATTGTTCTCAGAAATGTGGGGATGAGTGCGTTCCGGCTAGTCAAATTTGCGACGGTGTCGCTCAATGTGTCGACGGGAGCGACGAGAAGGTTCTTTTTTCCACTTATGAGTTTCATATTTTCTCCCCTTTTGAGAATTGCGATTGCAAAACGTGTTCGGGATCGAAGACTGTGCTCTGTGACGACAAAACGTGCATCGATCGCTCTGCGGTTTGCGACGGCCACGACGACTGCGCCCAAGGCATGGATGAAAGAGATTGCCCTGGGTCTTGCACGACTTCCAACATGCGGAAGGACTCTGATTCGACGGTAGTCTATTACTTATAGGCAATGTTTCCCGACTTGAAAGACGAGGGAGGCGGGGCAAGGGGAGGGACGCGTAGCGTGTGCGTTCGCGGTTCTTGGCACGTCTTCAATTCAACCGCCATCTACTCTTTGAAAAGCCCGTTTTTCGCTTTTTTCATTCCTTTTTCAATTGTTTATTGATTATGTTCATGTGTGAATCAAGAAATAGTAGAAAAAATGAAAAAGAGCGGTTGCCGAGCTTTTTTTAAATAGTCGGCGACAATTGAATTGAACTCGTGCCAAGAACCGCGAACGCGCACGCTACGCGTCCCGCCCCTTGCCCCGCCTGCTGCGCTTTTCAAGTCTGGAAACTTTTTTGAGGATATGAGCTCAGTAGTAATTATTACTGCTTATCATTATTTTCATCATTATTAGCAAATCGTGGAGCTTAATTTTCGCAAAAAATCTTTTTTTTTCCTAGATGGTGACTTGCGCGGATGGCCGGCAGTATTTGGAGTCTGAAGCATGTTCTGGAGAATTCGATACTTGTAAAAGGAATTGCCCTAACTGTGATTCGAAGAACACTTTCAAGTGCCCCCAGGAGGACCTCTGCCTGTCTAAAATTAAGGTTTTTTACTATTCGATCAGCACTTCTCACCTTTCCTTCTAAGGTTTGCGATGGTTTTGATGACTGTCGGAATGGGGAGGACGAGGTCGGCTGCAGCTGCAACGAAATCGATGCCAAGGTACTTTTTTCTCTCTATTAGTAATTTTCCACAGCTCTACAAAAAGTTAAACAACCAATTTTTCACGAAAGCTCTGCCGTTCCTGATTTTATTCAGAGCTTTCCCTGTAAATCCAGTTGAAACTTTGATGGGGTGGTGAGAAAAACTGTTCGAAATACTTGAGTTGACCAGAACCAGAATCAAAAAAGAATTATCTGTGATTTGGTTTTTTTCTGACGTTTCCATGACCTAGGATGAGGCCCCGTTCAAGTGCGCGACACAAGATAAATGTATCCAAGCGACGCAAGTCTGCGACGGCGTCCGCGACTGCTTCGATTGGTCCGACGAGCAAAACTGCGAGCAGGTTCCTTCCATTTGCTTCAGTGTTCATTGAGCGAAGATTCAGTGTCCCGCGGACTCGATTCGATGCCCAGCTACCCGTAAATGTCTACCGCGTCTGTTGCGCTGCAACGGAGTGGTCGACTGTGAGGACGGCAGCGACGAGGAAGACTGCTCTTGCGACGAATGCACGGTCGAACACTCGAACACCTACATGTGCGACTCCGGTACGCGTTGTCTCCGTCGAGAAGACGTCTGCGCTCCCTTCTCTCTCTGTCCCAACGCCACGCGTGTTGATAAGGTAGCAAATCTTTCCATGTCTCGTTCGAACACTGTTTTTAGGCTTACTGCGCTGTTCTTTCTCTTTCGAAGAACAACAAACTTCCATGGTGATTGGCTGCTGGATTACTGACTCAAAACATGAATAACTCACTAATATGAAGTTTTAATAGCATCCCCTACTACTAACTGTGTCGCAATATATTTTTTTGAAAAATTCAACCCTCCCAACACTTGTAAATTCCCGAGTGCTTTCAAAGTGAAACCTAATATTGGTGTACTTCCTTGTCAATTTCCAATTTAGTCAATTTACTAAATTTTTATTATCATCGGAAACAAAGTAAAAAGTTTCTATTGGCTTGTTCTTACGAGAGAATAAACTTAACAATCTTTGAGTTTTTTTTTCTCTTCAACTGGTTCAACTTGCCGTGTCGCAACTCATTATCTAAAAGATGGAAGTGAGCTATCATTGGTCGCGTATCCTATCATTGATACAAAAGGCGAGATCTTCATATCGCATAAAATGAGAACAGACGCAGTCAGTCAGACTTCCTTCTCGTTAGCGACGTCGGGGAGATATCCGCCCGAATGATAAAGTATCTCCAAGAGCGCTTCCTGTTGCCCACTTCTGAAACAATGCGTCTTTTTCCTATTCATTCTCTCAGATTAGCCATTTATGTGTCCTTTTTGCGGTACTTTTGATGAGTCTTGATTTGAAGCATCTTTCAGACAAGTTGATTGAAAATGAAACTTCTTTTTTTCAATCTTTAATGAAAATTTTGGAAGAGTTTGTCATATCTGTTATCTGTATGGTTTTAGTGTTGACCTTGACGGGTCCTCTTGTCGTTGCTATCAAATTTGTTTTATCAAAAAGTATGGTCAGTTGAAAAATCCTTGCGATTTCGAGTAGCGCCGCGCCGTCCAGTGAAAACTATTTTATCGCTGTTAAAATTACTTTGAAAGCTCTACGCTATAAGTTTACTTGTACCCTTTTAAAAGAAAAACAGAGAGAATTTCTGTTTCAGTCTTTTTTATATACTTTTTCCATAGGAGAGTTTTTTTCTCTCAATAACGTCAAAGGACCGATTTTTCCACATAAAACAGAGGGCGATCGGCCACTCACGCACTCCTTATCTATTTCTTACCTGCCCAACCATTCTTCATGATTATCATTAAAAAAAACGGCGGTTTTCAGAAAAAATGTCGGTGAGGAAGATAAACTTTGGCGCTGGACCCGCCAAAATACCCGAGGAGGTTTCAGCTTCATTTTAATTTCATTAAAAAAACGAAAATTTCTTTTTAGGTTCTTCTGAAGGTTCAAGATGAAACCCTGAACTATGAAAACCTGGGTGTCAGCGTTTTAGGTCTGTTTATTTTTCATTTAACAAACGTTTTTCTTCTTTTTTTTCTAGAAATTTCGCATCGCTCCAAGGAATTTGCTGTTTTGTTGAACGAAACCAAGCAGTTATTGCGTGAGCTCATGTAAATTCTCAATGCTGAAGTTGGTTTATTTTCCCGGATTTTTTACAGGAAAGTACCAGACAACTTCGAAATACTTTTCATGCAAGGTGGCGGATCGGGTCAGTTCGCAGCCATTCCTCTGAATCTCAAGGTTTGAGTTAGAATTTTCGTCGTAAAAGTTCCATGACGGCTTTTGAAAGGTTTTTGTCGAGATTTTAGGGTGAACACTCGTATGCCGATTACATTGTAACTGGCGCCTGGTCACAGAAGGCGGCCGCTGAAGCATCCAAATTCATTGAAGTTAAGAAGGTTTGTAGAACTATTTCAGAACTTTAACCGTTCATTACTTACGCGATAAAATAAATTTTAAGGTGTTCACCCCGGCGAAACCATATGTGACAGTGCCCGACCAAGACAGCTGGAGCCACGATGAAGTCTGTTTCTTTTTTTTTTTTGAGTGGACGTTGTATGAGGGGATTGGAGGCTGTCTACAGGAAAGACTGTTCCAATATTTGTAACTTTTTAAGCTTTCGTAAAAAACTGACGCGCTGAAAAAAAACCCAAAAAACGAAGAAGCGAAGATTTGCTTTCCCGTCGGTAATTGATTTTAGAGAAGTGTTCAAAAAATCAAGGAATCTTTATTAAACAAACCTCATTACATTACAGCTCTGAAAATCCAGCACTTTTTAACTTTTTAAAAGGTTTTCATGTCAACTATAGTCAATCCATCCCGACTTGAAAATCGAAGGAGGCGGGAAGAGCGATAAACCAAATAGTCGCTGGCGCTTGAATTGAACTCGTGCCAAGAACCGCGAACGCACACGCTTCACGTCATGCCCCCTTCTCCGTCACTCTCGCTTTTCGAGTCGGGAAAAATTGTCTTTAACTGCGATCAGTTTTGTATGTTAATCATATTAGAATGCCGCATACCTGTACTACTGCGCGAATGAGACTGTCCACGGTATCGAATTCACGCCTCGCGCTCCTCCGACCAACGTTCCTCTTGTCGCTGACATCTCATCCAACTTCCTTGCACGACCCTTTGACTTCACCAATGTAACGCCAAGAAATCACCGATATTCTTCATCAAAAAATTGACTTGAAGCATGGCGTGGTTTTTGGAGGAACACAGAAAAACCTGGGTGCTGCTGGATTAACGGTGGTTTTCGTCCGGAAAGACCTCATAGGCAAGGAGCAAGCCGTGACACCGGCCGTGTTCAGCTACAAGGAGATGATCGCCAACAACAGTCTCTACAACACGCCACCATGTGGATCGTCAGTCCACCTTGTTTTTTTCTAAATTTTTGGTCTTCTTGCAGGATTTATATCACCAACCTTGTTCTCAAATGGATCAAAAACAAAGGAGGAGTCGACGCTATTTACGAAATGAACTTGGTTGGTTTTTTATTCATTCAGAAACAGTGTTAAATTCAGAAAAAAGCGAAGTTGATCTACGATATCATAGACAACTCTGACGGCTTTTTCCACTGTGGAGTCGACAAACGCTTCCGGAGCATCATGAACATTTGTTTCCGTATCGGTGGTCCTCAGGGCGATGAAAGCCTTGAAGAAAAGTTCCTCAAGGGATCTCTCGAGAGGAACATGATCAGTCTGAAGGGTCACAGGTATGTGTTTGCTTTTCAGGATTTATCAGACCAAAAAATTGTTTTTGGCGCAAAATTTTGCATGAAGTTAATACTGAAAAAAGAACTGGTGGTGGTCAGTCTGCGTTAGCTGATAGGTGGTTACTTATCAGTGCTGAAAAATAGCTACCTGATAGCATGCGCCAGACTACCTGGGCTATCAGGTAGGTTTACATCGATAGGGTTTAGATACCTATTCGGTAGTATCGAATAGCTAATAAACGACCACCGATTAGCTTTCGTCGATTGACTTTGGAGTAGCTATATACTTGGAATTTCGCCAAACGACGTTCCGCTGTGCCGCTGTGCGCTTTTGCGAACATTGGTCGCGCTTTTTATTTTTTTTCTTTTATTAAGGTACTCTACTTTCATGTGCTCCCACAGCAATAACAATCAATTGAAAGCGTGACGTAGATCGAAAGACGCTTCGCGAACGCACGCAGCGGAACAACGGAATGTCGTTCGGTGAAATTTCAAGTCGGTGCATACAGACTATACCTATAATTTTATTTTCTTCTCAACCTTGCTTCCTATTTCTTTCAAAAATCATTCTAAACTTGAAAAATGTGTAGTCCGTTTTCTCGACTTGAAAGGACGGGACTTCTCTGCGCCCTCCTCGTCTCTCGGCGACGGTCTCTTATTCACGTGCTGTTTCCATGTTTCTCTCATCTTGCCCGAGAGGGAACAGAGAGGTGCAAACACTTTAAAACTTGTAAGTCGCGGAGGACGGGCTATGCAAAACGTGACTTGATCGACGATTTTCCTACCCATTCCGAATTTTGCTCAAATTCAAAGTTTCCGAATTTTCGAATAAAAGAAATTTCTAACGATGAATAAGCAGATCTGTCGGAGGAATCAGAGCCTCGCTCTACAACGCGGTCAACCTCGAGGAGACGCAGAAACTCGCGGAATGGATGAACGAGTTCGAAACGCAAAAATAAGAAAAAAACGTGTAGTTGATTCTAAAAAACATCCAATTAATTTTTAAAAGTATCTTAACCACCCGTTTTTTTAAAGGTTACGTCGTAAGTTTTTTTCTAACAATTTTTTTAAATTCTTTTTTTAATGGTGCTGCCTCACCATTCAAAATTATCAGACCAGCTAGAGCCAATGCAAAAATACATTTTTCCATGTCGAATATTGCTATCGTTTGTTATTTTTATTTTTTTCCAAAAATTGCTGCTGTAGTTTTCAATTTTTACATTTACTAACAGAAAAACCGAATTTTACGCCGAGTTAAACCGGGAGATAATTTATTTTCTTCTTTTTGATCGACATTTTCTCAAAATGTGATAAATATTTGAGACAAGCAAGTTCAATGTTCCCATATGAAAATTTATTTCAGATTTGAAAAATCAACCTAATCACAAATTGAGAGCAGCTTTTGATAGGAATTCGCATCTTTTGTATAGAACTTCCCCTCCTTTCCGTCGTATAACGCTTTGACAGCCTCGATCTGGAATTTCAATGATCCTTCGAAGTTTGGCGTCATCAAACGCGCTTCTCGCAACTAATAGTAGAAACTACATGTAATTTACAATTTTAGTCGTTCACTTGCCGCCTCGAACTCAGGTTTTGTGTTCAAGACAAAAAATATTGACCATGCTTTTAAAATTTAGACTTCAAAACAGTTCACATTATAAAGAGATACATGTCCTCTGAAATCGTCAAAATCTTTGCAATTTCGAAAAAAAAGTTTAAAAAGCTGAAAACTCGAAAAACTAGCCAATATAAAACCGGCCGGGTTCTTCAACATGCATTTAACCATACCTTTTGGGCAAGTATGGTACGTGTAGGAAGTGCAGTTGAGCGAAGAAGGTACTGAATGATGCTTGTAGTGATGCTGTCGCCGAACTCTTGTAGGCCCTGTTTTCAGTATTTTTTCGAATTGGAAATTCTAGAATCTTGCCTCTGAGACCAAAATCTTCTGGATTCCTATCCTGGCTCGGGTTCCAACATGAAAATGTGAAAAATAAGGCGCATTCGGTCTGATGAGTGAAGTGAAACACAAGAAGCAGCAGGGCAACGCCGCCGGCGATGCTCATGTTTTTTTTTAGCTTTTCTCGAAGGCTCTGTGATTCTGAGCGTAATTGAGTTTTCTCCTTTAGCCTTTTTTCATCTCGACAGCGCATATATCGTTTCTGATCTTCTTGTCATTGATTTTTCTTACAAGGACGGGTTCATCAACTTTATTCGTTTTTTTAAACTAATGTATAGTTTGATTCTCTCTCAACAAAGTGGGAAAAAATTTGATTTTCTAGTAAAAACGACCTGTATTTCGAAAAGATAACCTTGTAGTTATATATCAAAAATGGGGCCACATTTCAGAACGTCAAAGGAAAGTTTTTCTAGGAGGGCAAGGTTTTCAGCAGAGGAAACGTCTGCCAGTAAGATGGATGAAAAAAATAAGGGTGCAAAAAATTTTGTTTGATAGGAACAATCTTTGTAAAACAGGAGGTACACAATACACGTGACAATCAAGCCGCACCAAGTCCCAGTATTTTGTGCTCTATCGGTTGAATTTGATAAGAATAGCTTGACTTTGACGCGAACTCTGAACACAGCTAAACTATTCACTGAGATGGTAAATTTCGAACAAGAGGTTCAGATCCCCATTTTGCGGCTGTCCCATCTTAGCAAACTGTGTGCGATTTTCGTCTTAAGATTTTCTTGAGTACTTGGTGGACTTCTTGCCCCATTTTTGCGCTCGGCCATGAGTAGGACAGTAATTTGCGAAACAAATTATCCGAAAACAAAATTCAGACAAATCGAGAATCTAAGCTTAAGAATAAAAAAGTAAATCACCAATTCTTTTTTGAATATGTTTAAGGCACTACTCAGAAGAAACACGCGAATCCAAAAGAAGTAAGAGAAACGTCTTAAATACAACAAAGTGATTTCTTTTTCTAGCGAAAACAAGGAAGAATAGGATGATTTTTGACAAAAATATCATTCATCAAAAATTCTAATGCAAATAAAATTATTTACAATCGAAAATTTAACTTGATATTTGGAGACACAATAAACTGAAAACAACGTATATCAAAACACTTTGATTAACATATATACAATGGAAACGACAGAAATTACAAATAAAGAGATGAATAACCTTCGGCAAAGTAAAAAAAAAGTGTGACGGAACCGGTTTTTCAATGGAGTAGGAACATCGGGATAGTCTACCGGGCCTGTGTTCATAAAGTGCAATACAGTTAGAAAGGCATCGGGATTCAATTGCAAGTCCAAACGAAATACCACCGGGAACATCGGCCAATCATGGATAGAATTGTGAAGACTAAAATTCTTGCATTTTCTAACGCAAACTAATACATCAAAGTCTAGCTCAGTTAGCTGAACAATTGGACGCCATTGGAACTTTGGAAGTGTTTTTCAAAAAGACGAATGATTCAACAGAGGATCCGACGTTGGCGAATCTTCGTGTCTCAGCGCCTCGTAAACGCTTTCAAACTGAAATTTATTTTCAATCAATCAATAATTTTGTGGATTTAGTCATAGATTTGATTAACTAGGCGGTGAACAAGGGCTCCTTGAGCCATATCAAACAACCGCCTTTGGCTAAGTAGATTTCCTGAATGTGTAGTCGGGAGCGTTGATGCGAATTCTTACGGTCCTTCGCCCCGTTCTTCCTCGCGAAGTTCATTCAGTTGCGTCTTGACGAGATCAGAATGTAGCGAATGTTGTAGCTGAGGCCAGGAGACCGTGCTCTAGGCGGAAGCTTTGAAATGAAAGCTACCATTTCGAGGGGGCGGGGGAGGGGCTTTACATTTACGAAATTCATTCCAAACGTTTAGAAGAAAACAATTACCTTGTCGATGTGTTCGAGCATCGGCAAGATTTCCAACAACTCCGAGTCAGTCGGGTCATCGAACCAAGTCTGCACGGGGATCTGCAAAAAACCCGATCCTGAGAGCTCTGGCTTCTCATATATATTCAATCTTGAAAACAAACCGCATTTTCAGGATGGAAGGCATAACTAGCTGGGGAGTTATCAATGATGAGAACTTTGTTGAGGTCACGTCCTAATCGACTCAGATCCTGAAAAACAAAGTTATTGAAGGGAACAAGAGAGAAAGAACAACAGAAAGAGGGCGAGAAAAAATGTACCTTCACATAGTTTCCCTTGTGATAAGCACACGCCTCTCGGAACAGACGAGCTCGGAAAACGCCACGTTTGTCGAGCAAATTGGCGACTGGATCAGCATACTGTAAGCCGCAAAAATCAGAAGTGAACTAATATTTCTGATGAACCTTTGCTAAAGAGGCTGTGAACAGCACACACTCGAACTTCTCGCCGACTTTGGCCAGAAACTCGTCGACGTAGGGTCTTTTGAGAACGTAGACCTGGTGCTCGATTCCATCAATCTCCACCGGAATCACAAAGTCCGGATTCTTCACGGGCTGAAATCGAGAATTTTTCATCAAATACAAATATGACATAAAACATGTGATACAAAACAAAGCCTTACTTTGAAGGAAGAGTGGACGAGAGTTTCATCAAGATCGATAATCAGGCATTTCTTCTTGGAATCCGCCGGCCGCAACGGCGCAAGCAGAGATCTTTCCCCACCGGCCTGTAATGTAAATAATAATTCTGTGGAATACAAAGTGCTCCTCAAAAACTTAACCATTTTCGAGAATACTATCAATTTCATAAAATAATGTTTTAAACCCAAATGCCTTACGTCTATCAGATCGACGCGTAAATATTGTTTCTTCCGAACCCAATAAAAAAAATCAAAAATTCGGCTCATTCTATCGAAACTGTATTTTTCTCTACCTTTGACCTCGGATCATTTTCTCTCGAAAAATCATCATTCTCTTTCTTTTCTTTTTATATTCTTTAATTTCTCTCTTCTTCCTAAATCATGCCGAGCAACCTTTTTTCTGGAAAAGGACCTTTTTATCAACGAGCAAAAAGCGGAAAATCTCAAAAGCGGACGGCGTCCTGCCAGGCTTCCATTCGAAAGCCAGCAACGCCTCGCGGTCGTCCAACTCTTCGGTGAACGTCTTCTGTTGGGGCGACCGGTCCCGCATTTACCCTAAGATTCGCTCATTTCTGGCTGAAAAGCCCTCAAACGCTTCAACAACGAGAAAATATCCAAATTGAGAAGGAAATTCGACAAAAGTACATATAGCTCTTTCCGCGCCAGCTTCTCACGTCTTTCTTCCGCCAAAAAAGGCTGAGTACCAAATTAGATCAAAATTGAGAATCTTCGCTTCAAGACTTTTTTTTTTGCTGTCCTTTTAGCAGTTTCGTCGAGCGAAAGTTTGTATCTACAGTGGCTTTTTCTTTTCTGTTCTTTTTGAAAGATGACCGTCTTGCGCGGAGCGCACTATACTTCCTATCATTGAGAAAAACAAATTAACATTCAAAACGCTCAAACGAAAAAATGAAAAATGATCTGGAAGCGGAGAAAATGAGCAGAGCGAACCGATTTTTCCAACGGAATGTGGTTCACGAGAGGAAAAAGTGGAGCAGTAACACATGACGCAACCCCACGCAGCAGAATTCGAAACTTTTTCTCGCAGGTCGATTGTCTTGCTCTCACTCAAAATATCACTGGAGAGAAGTGAGCCGGAAAAGCGGTCGAGTGTAACACGATACAGCAAGGGAAGAATCTCCGGCGTTCTTCTTGAATCGGGAACACGAAATTCAGATCCCACAAGAACCAGAAGCAACAAGAAGCTTTTATTTATCAAGCCGGTGGAAACAGAGGAGAAGATATGAGCGGGAAAACTTGAAATTTCGATATTGAAAAAAGATGAAAAGTTAAAAGTTGCTCCTTTTTTCATTCCTTCTTATGGCCACCCCCTTTTTTTGAGACCCTTTTCTTCTGATAAAAAGTAGTGGTGAAGATTAGTTGACTTCTACTATCATTTGAATTTCTTCCATGGTCAATTGTTTCTTTTATTTTGGTCAGTTTGGCACCAGAGATCCGAGCTCAAAGCAGATATAATTTTGCGAGATGAAGGCGGTTCGTCGAAAAACTGGCTCACAGTGTCAAATCACCAGGAAACTCACCAAAATTGGTGGCGGAATGGCAGGTGATGGCTGGTCGACCGTAGTCCCATTCACGTAGATGTTCTGAGCGGCGGGAGGAGAGCCGTTGGGAAGACCGGAGACGGATCCGTCGCGGTGAACCTGCGTTATCGGCGACGCGGTCGCGTTGGCGACACTCGCCGCTGTAGCCAAGTCTCGTCCGTTTGAAGGTTTCTCTGGAATCAACTTTCACGATGTTTCTTTTGATATCTATCGAATCAAATGACAAAAGTTTTCAGCATTATAGTACAAGCTTCCCTACTTCAATAGCGAGATAGTTAGTTGTCAAGGGTGAAGCGTTGCGTGTGCGGCGCGGCTTTTCGGCGCGAAGCTCGAGGTCAAACACGAGCCATCTTCTTTCTCCTTTTTCGACTTTCAATAAATTTCAATTTTTTATGGTTTTGATAAGGATCACTTGAACGAATAAAAGTGTAAACATAATCTTGAAAAAAATTATCATTTTTTTCAACGTTTTTCTATGATTACATTCGACCTCGAGTCTGCCGTCAAAAGCCGCGTCGCACACGCAACGCTTCACCCTTGCCAATCTACCCATATAGCTTTTCAAGTCGGCAAAAATTGACTATGTCCTAAAAAGGTTTTATTATATTCTACTTGTTCCTTTCGAAAAAAGTGAAAGAACTGGGATAACTAGCTGACAAATTATCATGTTAAAAGCATGATTTACAGTTGAAAGCGAATTCGCACGTGTTATTACCATAACAATTTTCACAGAGCTCCTTGGCAGTTTTTGAGACCAGATTCAAGATCAGCGTAAAAAACTACATCTAGAAAACTTGGTCTCATTGAGAGGTTCCACTGCGACCGGATATCATTCTCTGGTTAGAGTAATTTATAACGATAATTTCGACATATCTTGTTGCCGCTCTGATCGCTTCGCCGCAAAAAAGTTTGCGGGAACAAACAAAAAAATTTTGAAGAGATTCAGCTGTCATTCCGGTTGGCTCACACGTGGCGACACGGCGAGCGATCAATTTCAAACGACAAATAATGGCTTTTTTTTTTCTTTTTGCTAGGTTTTCTCTGATTCGGAAAGGTTCAAAATTACCAGGTTATGGCGGACAAACATATTTTGGTCCAGAAACATTTCTGAGAAAGAAAAAATAATAGAAAATCTTTAGTAATTCTCACAACTCGGGAAAAAAAACCGCAAAAGGGACATAAAAAAGCAAGTGATGAAAAACGTGCAAAAAAAAAAACAGACCAATTTCACGAGGCGCGGTCACGCAGCACAGTAGAGTCTGCATGCATCTGCCCCAGCGAGGTTTCCGTCGACCAGATCTCTTTTTTTCAGCTGAAAGTTCAATGCTTGACATATGATAGAAAAATGCAGGATAAAAATTTGACTTTTGTTGAAGAATCCAAAGAATAACTTTATAGTGAAAATTCGAAGAACTCAACTATTTTTTTACATTTCAACTTTCACCAATGTATACACTTGATCTGTGTAAAAAAATTTGATTTAGCAATAAAGAATCCAAAATATTAATCAGTACGGCTTCAGAATCACTGAGCTAAAATCCCCAAACTAGAAACAGAAGTCCCCCTCGGCACTCACAAGATGATGAAAATGGCGTTATGTTTGTGGGGACGACTCGAGCAGCTTCGTAAGTCTTATTGTTGGGCGGCTGCGCGATATCGCTTGGCGGATGCACCTCGTACCACGAGTCCTTGCCATTGGAGACGGTGGTCGAAGAAGAGTGCGATACGTTCACCCAGGAGGAAGTCACTCCGTTCTGCGAGACTCCTGGCGTCGATCGCGAATGGAGTAGTCGCGCCCGCGGCATTATGGGCACGCTCTGATGAATCCGCGGCGACGGCGACATTTCTGGGATAGAAATGGTGGCAGAAATGGGGAAAGGAGGCACAAGTCGTTTGTCTCGGCCTGGAGTCTTTTTCTCGGTAGAGAAAGGCTGTTTCTTGTGTGCAGGAGACGTCGAGCTACCGTTCCCATTGGTGTTCCAGTAGTAAGTGACTCCGGCCCGGTCCTCGGCCTTGTGCCAGTTGTCAAGGCTGTTCCGAGCTTTGCTGGAGCTCATCAACATGCTGGGGCCGACAGGAGTGCGTGGCGGAGGCACTATGGCGTAGCTCGAATAGGCGGATTGACGCGAGTCGACGAACGTCATCCTGCCAGCCGAGGCCTCAGCCGAGAACTACTTTGAGGTCGAAGGCACTAGTCGTCGTTTTTCCGGATCTGTGGCTCAGTGACGACCAAAACGAAGTGCAAACACGCGGGTCGCGGGACTCTCGTAAAACACTTTCCTGGTGCGCCGTGTGTCAAACCTGTCAAGATTTCAGTTCACGTCCAAGTACTTATCGAACAATCGGTTTGAGAACATGAAACGAGCAAATAATAAACACCTTTTCACAAAGAAAAAAAAAAACTTTGGCCCTCGGGCCTCCTTGACTTTCTCTACCAGAAAATCATAAAACTAGCAATGAAGAAGTTAATTTCAGACATAAATTTAGGTAACTTAAACACAATTAAGAAAGAAACTCATTAGATCACTAGAATCCGAACCGAAAAAGCCGATATCTACTCAAAGTTGTCAAAACAACGGAATAAAAAATTGGTGGGAAAAAAAGTTGGTTCATATGACCCTTCTAACGATTCACATAACCAGAAATACAAGTTTCTGCGTTCGATTTATCACTGAATCCAAAATTTTTCCGCACCTGGCCTGAGCCATCGAAGCAAAAGGTCTTTACACGATAAAAAAACAAACAATATCTGGTCATTGGAGAGCGCAGACAGTGAAAAAGCTATAAGATAATCTAATCTTATTCAGCTCAGCTTTTTTTGGAAAGGAAATGATGAATTAAGTCATTGAAAAATCAAGACTTTCTGCCGAAAATTTTTTAATTTTCAGGCTCAATAATTCAAACACTATCAGTATTTTTTTATGAAAGAAGACTTCAAAAATCGAAACAAAAATTTTTTTGATGAATTATTGACTTTCGTTGAAACTGAACAAAAAAATATGAAATGAAAAAAATTGCTTCTTTTTTTCGTAGTGTAACACATACACACGGTTCACTGAAATCACGTTTCAGAGTCTCGAAAATCAGGTTTCATGCTTTTCTGAAGGTGAACTTTTTTATGAAAAATGTTTGATTTAAAAAAACTCTTAACGCAAGAAAAATAAAAACTAACACTACGAAGAAGGTTGAAAAAAATTATTCCAATAAGAAAGAATTTTTAAATAACTGAACCAGTTTAACAAAAAAAGTATTGAATATTGAATTCCTTCTATGGTATATATTGGTGAAAAAGAGCAAAAAAAACTTGTATCCGGGAAAAATCAATTTTTTTTTACAGTTTCAAGCCTTTCTAACAAAAAAGAAGTCACAGTGAGTAATAAGACCGAGTGGAAGAGGGACAGCGGCTCGAGTGAAAATTATCCAAATGAGCCAGATGAAGAACAGCTTTTTTTTGGTATGAAAAAAAATCAGAGAACTTTCGAACGGTGACTTTTCGATAGCGAACTTTCCTTCTTTTTCCCTTATATTTTTCGTTTATTAAAAATTTATTGACATTCTTTTTTTGCGTTTTAGTCATGAGCTACCTACCTATTTTACATAGGAACATTCGAAACGGAAAAAAAGTCGGAAAAGGATTAGTGGGAAAGTTCCCCAACGATATGAAAAATCGGAGAAGTCTTCGTCCGTAAATCTTCTGATTTTTATTTCATACCTTCGTTTTTTGGCCTTACTACGCGCAGTAAGCTTTTGAGGAAAAAAAAAATCAATTGACGGCTAAATAAATTTTTTTTTGACACCTATTGATAACGCTGTCGTAAGAATAGAATGAAGGCAACAAGCATCGGAAAAAAAAAACAACTCGGCAAGAAATCGATGGCCAAAAGCCTGAGTAGAAAAAAAAGTGTGCGTGGAAGCAGAACGTGTTAAGCGGGGGCAGGGTGGAGAATCGCGTGCCGCACATGCACAAACACACGGCAGGCGGAAAATTCGACGAGTGAAATGGAAGGCAGAAGGAGGAGACGAAAAACGGGGCGAGATGGATGACTTGCCCCAAAACCAGGAGGATTTAGCGACACCTGACTCGCTCCTCGTTTTCCGTGCTCTCCAGACCAACTCATCCTCCAGGTTTTTTTTTCCTTCGTAGGCCCTAAGGTGTAAAGCCAAAACGGTTAGAACACCTCTCGAAATATCTTCCGCCATTGTTTTTTTAACCTCCCCCAGGTTGAACTTTCGATGAAACTTTGCTGAAGTATTCTTTAGGATCTCCTGATTCCAGAACAAGAAGAAAATTTTTCGCGATTGATCTCGTTTTCGAGTTAGGACACTTCTAAAGCACAAAATAGCGCTTTTTTTGTCATGATTTGCGTATTTTGAAGCTTCATAACTCGGAAACAAGAGCTTTTGCGAGAAATTTTTTTTTTTTGATCAGCAATCAGGGGGTACACTTCAGCGAAGTTTCAGCAAAAGCGAATCATCATTTCAATTTGAAAAAGGATTGGTTATTTAAAAAAAAAATCCGACATCAGCTGGCCTTGGACAAGGTGGATGCCTGTTACCTAACAGAAAAAAAGCTTTTTCGGCGATTTTTTGGAATTTTTCCATATTGATTCAGCGTAGAAATTTCTCTACATGCTTAATTGAATGTTTGAATTTCATTAAACGGCGAATTCTTTGATTTTTTTTTTCCATTCCGACGTCTTTTTTCTCGAAATTCTGCTGTTTGAATAGTATTTATATTCATAAAATAATATGAGTTAGTGGTCAAGAAATTGTGCCTCATTCTAAAAGATTGACACAAAAATCTTGGAATTTTCTTCATCGAGACTTTGAATTGAAAAAAGATAGCGATGAGAAACAATTTTTACCTTTTTACTGCATAAAATTTCCTTTCATTAGGTCTATTTTTCACTTTTAATCATCAAAAAATGTTAAACTATCAGCAAAAAAAAAGTGGTGCCGCGGATGGATAATTGGAGAAAGAAGGCGATAAAACTGCTGAGGAAGCGAGGAAGAACGGCTACCAGGGAAAAGACAACACGTTTGTGTTATTGGAAGCCGGCGGCAGGCTTTCGTCGCGTCCAAGCAGAATACGAGAACGTCGACTATCTTATCAACGGGACTTTCTTGGCGCCATTTCCCGCATTCTGATGAAAAATCATTTCATAGACTTCCAAAGAGAATTTTTAAAGTTCTTATGATTTGGCTTTTTTGATTTCAAAATTTGTTTCGTTCAACACTAAATCTGGCATCAATTTTTCTTAACTTCGAAGATCAGTTGTTCAAAAAAATCAAGCTCGAGAGAGATGATAAAAAAAAATTTACTGATGTTTCGCTTTGAGAGTTATTAGACTAATATAAGAGCTATCGAAATGAAAGGAATTAGTGTTAATAACAAAAGTTACTCATTTCCAAACAAATTAGTTTACAATCATCTTTTTTTGCAATTTAAACTTAAATGCAACTTTATTGTCCGTACTGGTGATGATAAAACGATTTGATGATTTTTTTGAAGCGTTTTTCGGATAATATTTCAAGGTAAACTTTTTGGTTTACTTTTTCTAATAGCTCTTTGTTGCAAATAAATTCTGTTATGAATAAAAAAAATGGAAGTGAGTGCTCAATTTAGTGCTGAAACTGATAAATTATGCTATTTTTGGCAAGTGATGATTGATTTACACTAAACACAAACTCATAAACTTATGAGGAATAAAATGAACCAAGTATAGTTGGTAGAAAAAAAAATACAAGGAAGAAACAATAGAGTGTTTTGAAAAGGAAAGGACATGCAGATCAGAATTTGAAGCTTGGATGATGTCATGGCGGGGCAGCCGCTCCTTTGGCCCAACAACACAAGGCGAAGAACGCCGAGCGACTGGCGGAAAACACGCCAGAAAGGGCCAAAAAATAAACGCTCTATTTTCTCAGAGGACTCGAATTACACAAGTTAATTCAGATGGGAAGAAAAAACGAAGGATGCACCCGAGGGGAGGAAAGAAAACACAACTTTTTATTTCGTTGTTGTCTTTTTGAATGATGATTGTTAATCTGACAACAGCAGTTTTCCAAGCATTTTTGTGGATACAAAACTCCAAAAATGTTCGAAAACACTTGATATACTACTTCATAAAAACACACTACGAAATTAGTGGCGTGTCCATCGGACAGTACGGAAATTGCTTCGAAACGCAAAAAAATTGCTCCAGAACAAAAATTAGTACTGTTTTTGAGCAACTTGGGGCGACGATGAACACGATTTTTTCGTTTTGAAGCATGTTCCGATTTTCCGATGAACACGCCACAAAAAACAAAAAATAAACTTTCAAAAAAAAACGATCAAAAATTATCAAATTGGAAAGAGAACCATCAAAACAAGACGATCAAAAGTGATAAAAATCAAAGAGACAAACATAATAGCAAGGAGCTATTCATGAATGGTTGAAATTCAGGTTCATATGTTGGTGAAGTTCGGTACATCGAAAGTGTCTTATTTATGCAATATTTTTTTGGTCCAAAAACAGAAAATAATTAACTGGATAAAAAAGCTTATATGTAAATGGCAGTGGATAAACGATTATTATTAAACGATTTCTAATCGAACTATTGGCACTGAAAGGATTTCGAATACTTTTCGCAAGCCGAATCAAAATCCCTGTACTCATTCCAGAGTTTTCAACAACTTCACGTTCAATATTTCAAAAACTCATCTCAATTTTTGACATATGAGCCGTATACCTGGGAATAATTCATTCGAATTAAAGTTATTCTTTGGATTCTTTCTCCCACAGTTTGCGAGGTAAACATAACTTTACAAGCTCAAACTTTTGTGGCAGTTAGACCTAATGAGAGAATTCAAAATAAGGCACACAATTAGCCAAAACATATGGATAATTCACAGAAAAAGCTCATAAGCTGTTTTTCAACGAGCTTTTTCCATTGAAAACCTACAAAGTTCTTCTAATTTGTTACAAATTCACGAAAACCCGAAAAAGGGAGCTTTGAAATCTTTCTGAACTGTTCCGACATTCTTTCTCAGTACGCTACGGAACCAGCAAATATTCTTCCGAGTGGCCGAGTGATATTGAAGTTCTACTTGCCGCAAAAGTTTTCGCCTCACATAACCCACTTCTAATAAGTAAGTTGTTCTTTTTTTTAGAAAGAAACTAACAGTTTCTGTTGATGTCGACGCAAGTCAGTTTGTTCTGAGAGACGTCTGCCACCTCGCCGATCGTCGCCATTTCAGGCTTGCGGATCTGAAAAATAGAATATCTCTTTGAGAAAAAGTTGAAGGAGGATGAGAACTGAAAAAAAGTAAAAACAAACGCTACAATCAATGAAAAGAAGACGTCAAAATTACACCAGGACCGCAACAAAGAACGTTAGAGTGTAAAGAAGAACCTGCGTGACGACGTCGTCGTGGCAGGTCGCCTCGAGCATCGTTTCAGGACTCTCGCTGCGGCCAACACTTTCTGGTACCGAACGATTAGTTGGGATCCATTGAGCTTATCGGTGCTTATCTGCAGGAAGACCGTATTAACTCTCTTCTTGACACGTGAAGTCGCGGCTCGGAACGAAATGAAAAATTAAGATAGCCATCAAAAACTGTACAGTATTTGATTCATTTTTTTCTTCATAACTGCGAATCGGCTTTTTTTCGCAATCAAAAAAAAAGGGAAGAAATTTTTTTATCCTTGCAATAAAAAAATAAGAAACAGACTGTAAGACAAATTTTTCTTTTTTTCATCCATTACTATATTATGCAAGCACACAAACTTTGCGATTTCGAGAAAAACGCGTTTTGAAACTGCCACGGCATTCCTAATGGGGTGAGGAAAGGTGAGCGAGGGGTCAAAATTTCTAAATTTACAAAAAAAAAGTAAGTGCGCGCTCCGGATAAAATGACGTCAAAATTACACTGAGTATTTAACGTTAATAACTCGTCAGTTCGATCGCCTTTGGCTGCGTACTTGAGATTTCAAAGTTCGCGCCAAATTTTTTTTTTTTGACGTCTTCACACCGTGTTTGGGAACGCCGTGGCTGCAACAGATTTTATATTCCATATGCTTTGGCCATATAACTGATGCGACTGAAGTTATTCAAACTATATAAAATTAAGATGAATAAGATTTTTCAACTCCCTTTGGACACACCGCAACTTACAGATGATAATTGAAAAATGATAAAAGTTTGAAAAGTCAAAGTGAAAGGGCTCGACAACTCCCAATGTGAGAAATGGTATGCGTACAGTTAGAAAAAGTGAGATTTGCGGGAGGAAAGAGGCGCATGAAACAACAGCTGCAGCATGTGGCTGCATGGCAGCTGCTATCAGTTCCGAGGCTCTTATCTCTCGACGAATCGCCGACTCCGAGGGCGAGAAACTAAGAAACTTTTTCCAAGCTCCGTCATACTTTCATTTTCGATGAACTTTAGAAGTAAAAAGAAAAAAAAAATTAAACTTCTATAATTCTGAGTGAAGGAAAAGTTACTTCTCTGGATTCAACAAAGTTAACTGTTCACTCTGTACAAAAACTTTCCAGGTTCCGCCCGCCCGGTTTGGCACACTGTAGGATTAAATTGTTCATACACCGATCGTGGTTTATAGGCGAAATATTCATAAAATAAAGTTTTCTCCTACGAAAAGTAGGCAAATTTGAAGGAAAACACAATTAGAACTTAAAAGATACAAATTAAGTTTTGAAAGTCGTTTTTGCAAAAGCCTGCAAGTCTTTAGAAAATGGTCTAACTTGAGAAAAGTTTCTGTAATTGTTATCTATTAATGTCAAAAATAGCCGTGTTTACCTAATTAAATAGAAAAAATGCTCAAAAATGGTCTAGTATGGCCAGAAGAGACGGCGCAGTGGAAACCGGACAAGCTCCTGTAGGTCTGAGCTAATTTGTGTGAATATATAAAAAATAACTTCTTCCTAGTCGAAACAAATAGAGAAAAACAAGAGAATCGGAGAGAATTCATAAAATCAATTAAGTTTCTCACGCAGAAAAAATTGATTATTGTTTGAGTCAAGACAAACAGAGAATATTCAGAGTTACTCGAAAATTTTTTTGAAAAACTCTCTGCCTGGGAAAATTTTTTATGTCTGATCAAGACTGTCAATAGGCGCATTTTTGAGCCGTTTGAATCGCGTGGCTATCTAGAACGACATAAGTACAGCATTAAGCGTTGCGGCAAAAAAAAAAACCAAAACTTTCGCAAAACTCTTGTCAGCAGCAAAAATTGATCAGCACCAGTTACTGAGAGAATTCGTGTTTTAAAAGAAAATCGTACCACGAGCGGACGTTTCTAACAGATGCGATTCAAACCGCGTAAAAGTCGCACCTGTTAAACAGTCCTAATTTGACCACTGACTAGTGAGATTTCAAAGATTTCTCTCTCCAATTCCAAATTTCCAATCATCCTTGGTAGACAGAATAGAAAATAAATTTCAAAGTTCCTAATTCTCAAATGATAAGGAGTTCATTTTCTTACCTAGGAGTTTGCAGCAAACGGTTTGAAACAGATTTGAAAAAAATTAAATTAATATGTTTGAAATTTTTTGTAAGCTTAGTGATGGAAGGCACTGCAAGTAACATTATTGAGGGATAAAAATGAAGTGAAAAGAGGGAAAAATTGTGGTAATAACGAAGCGGCAAGTGTAGGCGAGAGCTGCAGAAAGAGAGGTAAAATTAAAATTTTTTCTCGGCCAATAACCTTCGATTTGCCCTTAAAGGACGTCGCTCCGCGCAAAAGGAAATAGAAATTGCAACAGGATTCTAGTCCGAAAATTTAAGTCAGCAGAAATTTTCTTCTACGAAATGAAAGTCGATAAACAACAAAATCAAAATTGATTTTTCGAAGCTGCGAAATTTATCGAGCTGTTAGAAGAACACTACGGCAAAAATATTTTGATGTTGCAGTTATTGGGCCGGCAGAGAAGTGATAGAAATCGATGGAAATGGCGAGGCGACGCGCAAAAAGAGGCGAACAGACAGTTTTTGGCATTTCGACAAGCGGTCTGCGCCCTCTGGCGCCGGTCGCGTCTCTCGGCGGCTGAGCCCTCAGAACCCGCCAATAACTGTTACACGTGACTCGCGAAGAACTGTTGACACGGCCGGAGGAGGATCGTCCAGAAAATAACTCAAACTTGTGCGAGTTCTCGAGAGCGAGTCACTGAGCACTCTCGAAAAGTTACGACTTTATCTCTTCTAGAACATCTGTTCCAAAATATGATTCGTAGAGGAAGAGGAGGAGAGGATCAAAACGCGACAGGGTCGAAGAAAATATTTTGGAAAGGGAAAAAATTATCGTCTGTTATTGCGTCACACAAACAACGACACTAGAAAAAAAGAGGGTCATAAAATCGCCACAATCTTTTTATGATCGACTTTTTTTTCTTCTTTTGAAAAAAATTGAAATTGTGATTTTTTTCACACATTTGTTGATTATTTTTATAACTTATAGCGATGAAACTTTTTCTTCGACCATCATGGAAAATAAGAAGATGACCGGGGGGCATATAATAATTCTTTTTTTGAAAACCTTAAAACTTCTCGATTAAAAATCCTTAAATATTTGTCATCACAGAAACGAATAGCGGCGTTTCGCCCTTTTTTTGCCTTTGAAAAAAATTCTCACTCTACCGCCCCCACAAAGTTTTTGTCTTGTTGCGTGTTCTGCGGTCGTTTAACAAAGTGGTGAAGAAAGAAAATCCGTATTCTAATATTCATTCCCAATCGAAATTCCTATTTTCTTTTCCATAAAAAGTTGAAAAAAGGTTCAAAAAAAGGGCTGAAATCAGGAGAATGCGAAAGCAAAAACTTTGGCAAACATACTCGAGCCAATTAAACTCGCAAACATTTTGAAAATTTTCCCCAAAGACACATCAATGGCGTCTTGACAAGCGAATGAACTTAACTATATTCTAATCGAGCGAAAAAAAATGAAAAAAAAGACGAATTTGCTGAAAAGGAATTCCATCAAATTAGAGAAACGCACATTCATAGCTCAAAAACATGTTGCTCGTCGAATAAGAAAGCGGAAAAATCCTAATTGGGGTAATCAAAAAGTTCTTGGCAGGAAAATATCTCAGAAAGGAGTTTTCAGTTGAAATTTCTCAACCTATCTCATTCTGTGAAATCTGAGTCTTTTGTTAAATATTCTGTGAATTACAGAGTACAAAAAGCCTATCTGATCTCTGATATGATTAATTAGCCGATTCTCCAAATCTTCAAAAAATAATAATTCGAAGATTTATTGTTTTGTCTACCCTAGAAATCAACCTTCTTCACCAGAATAATCCAGAAGTTTACTCGTTTTGCACCTAAAAGAAACTCACTAATGCATACAGGCGAAATATCAAGCTTAGCAAAGGGAAAGAAAAAAAAACCGATGCAAAAATAAACCAAAAATGCGGGCACCCGGTCATGCATTAAATGCGATTCCTAGTTCACAGCCACTAGCTCCTTCACTTCCATTTTTTTTATGATAATAAAGACCAAAAAATTTCTGAACGTTTTTTCCGCTTTTAATTAAAACTGAAGTATGAAACTAGGTAGAAGAGCTGGCCATGAATGGAAAAATACACAAGCAAATTCAAGAGCAGTTGTTTCAGAAAATCGGTAAATGAGGAGGTTAGAAATCTTGTTTTTGTAGCAAGACTGTTTGTTTCCGTTATAAAAACGAGTTTTCTAACTTCCAAAAGGTGGTATTCACTTAGTTCATACAAAACCGTAAGAAAGGCTTGGCGGCTCTCAGAAATAGTCCGTTCAAGTATGCGTGGAGTATGAGAAGAAGACTAACATTGGAAAAAATCAAAAACATGCGATCAATGAAAGTATTCGAAGACGAAGCGGCACTTCTGATGTCTTCACTTTTATGTTCTGCATGCAAGAAAGAAACATTGAAGAGTTTTAAAAAAAACCAATTGCATGATCAGTTTCCCAGCGTAACAGGAAACTGGGAATTTTAATCTTCTGGCGTGTAAAAATTCACTGATAAGTGGTGAACTCGAGGACAATCAGGCAAAAGTTTTTGCCAAGGAGATTGGACTTGACGGAAAAAAGAGACGAGGCAGGAAGCAGAGCAAGCCTGGAAGTGCTCGAGAAAGATTACGCGAGCACAAGCAACAAACAGCAAACAGATCAGGCGGACTTGCCGCTGGACACGTTCCAAAGAAGTGAAGTCGCCTTGGCCATTTGCCGTCAGATTGGACAGCTCTGATCCTAGGTTCAGCCTCATTACAGGACTCTTTTTTTTGAAGCTCAGGTAATCGAAAGAGATTCAATCTTCAAAGTGCCTCAGTTTCTGGAAACGGAAGCCACAAAAGAACTCAGAAGAATATTTTCTTGAACAAAAGCTTCTTAAAGCTTCGTCACCGGAAAGAAAAACGTTCGAGCGTCAACTTTATCAGTTCTACGATCAACCTCGAACTTACCATGAACTTGTCAAAAACAATAAAAGCTCTTTTAAAAACAGCTTTCCCTGAAAAAACTTAAGTGATAGCCACTTTTAGAGAACACACTTTCGATAGGAGATTGCGCTAAAAGGCCACACGTTAATTAGCAGTTGCTAGGAAACTGACAACCTACTTCAAGAGTCTCTTGAAACTCGTATTTTGTTTCGTGTGAAACAAAGAAGATTGAACAGTTCTAAAAATTGGAAAAAAATGAAAAAAGTTCTGCGCTCGCTGATTTTTTTCTCTAGTGGAGAACGCCTGATTTTTAAATTTAATACAGAGCGCGAAAAGAGAAGAATAAATCTAACAAAAAATAATTGAATATAAAAGGAAACTCTAAATATTTAAGCTGTATAACGGAATTGATAGCCGTTTATATATATTTTTTTTTAACGCAAAATATACGCCACTTGTACAATTTTTTATGTCACAGTAAAAGAAATCGTGAAGATATGTAACAGGAAAACAAGTATGCAAAAAATGCGAATCAAAAGATAGCTTTGCTGTGGAAAAAATTGGGGAGGGAAGACTAATTCCATCAAAAACAGCTTCGCGATGAAAGCCGCCAACCCTAAACACAGGGGGAAAAAACGTAGAGCTCTATATAGGAAACAAATATCTAGAAATGAAAAGTATACCCGGATCTACAGATCTCAGAAGATAGGGGCAACATTAGAGAGGGGATTTGACGGATTTCCACCGAATATCTCATTAATATTTTCTCCAAGCGACCTACTATAACACAAGAAATCACAAAACAAAAAGAAGCCTATTTTTAAAATCTTCAAATTTTTCCTCAATCTTACTCAATTAAAATGATTGGGGTGAAACCATGAAGAGAAGAAAACTTGATACGATTTCGACCTAAGTAAAAAAAAAACATTTAAAATTGAATGAGTTCGAAAAAAATCATGATACAGCATGGAAAGGGATTGGTTCAACGAAAATATCGAAAAAATAGATGAAAAAGAACAAAACGGGAAAATGAGATCAATATTTGATTGAGGCAAAGTTGGCGTGTAGAAGAGCTTCGCGAACGGACTTGCTATCAGCTGAGCTGCTTGGATTCGACACCACCGATTCGAGCCAAGAAATGAGGGAATCCGGGTTGTCGATGATCCCTGAGAGTTCATGAATACACCGAGAAAACGAGGAAGCTCTTGAATTTTACAAGATCGCGGTGCGATATTTGTAGATAAATCGCTTACAAGCAGGAAGGCTCATTCTGGCCAGGTGTCTCAACGGGTGTACCCTTATTAAGCCGTGTTTTCGAGGCTATTTGAATCAAAGTTGTGCTAAAACGGAACAACAACGGGTGTAAGGAAAAATAAATGACCAAGCTGGGTTTATTTCGAAAATCTGTCTCCTAACTGTGCTGACAAGATGCCTCGGCTGGGGTAAAAATTGCCAGAATTCTACCAGCTTTGATTACACGGTCGGGTACTCCCTCTGAGACCCCCTTGTTAGCACGGCTAGGCCACCCTCATAAGCATGAGAGTTTGCCAGATTGCAGAACTCCATATAATACGAAAATTTCAATATTGCTGAACTTAACAAAAATAGCAACTCATTCACTGCAATAGCATGAAAAAAATAAAAATAAAATAAAACTCTTTTAAAGAGATCATTCGAATGCGCCATCGATGATTGCCGTACATATTCAAAATAATTGAATCGTTAGAACGCGCCAAAAAAAAATTGTAGAAAGTTAGTTGGTCTTATTAGAGTATGAAGCTAATAACAGAGCTAACAGACTTATGAAAAACCAAAGAACAAGAAAATTTTTGAATTATACTTGCAGATTTTCGATAATTAAAAAAACCTAAACCAGTTGAAAATATGAAACTTTACGAATTTCAGAAGTCGAGCCTTTGAATGAATGAAAAATTGGAATAATTACAGAAATCAAAAAAGTTTCTGAATTGCTAATAAAAACCTATGTTCCCTTGTGTGCAGCTTCCGTCCAATAAAAAGTTTTATTGAGATGGAATATATTTCCCTACTAATAAGAGACAAAAAACAACCTTTTTGCTTAAAACTAAAACCGATGAAAAGAGTTTCTGGAAAGATGAAACGTGTTTAAATTTGCATGGCTATGAGGAAAGAAATTGTGAATACAGTCAGAATATATTTCTGTCAATGAAAAAAGAACTGACCAGGAGGGGCAATGTTTGCAAGAGCATTTTTGGCGACATGCGCCCATCCCTGGATATATCCTTGCGTTTGAGCTAGCATCTTCTCATCTAAAAGGAAATAATTAAGTCCAACCATTAACCAAGATTTATTATCTCATTTCTACCAACCGAGTGGTCGGTCTTCATTTCCGCTCTCGTCTGAGATTTAATCCGACGCCCGTCAGCCCTGGACAAGCTGGGCGCCGTACTGTTCCTACATGGACAGTTTCGCGAACCGACAAACAACTCTTTTATTATTTCATGATTCAGCAGAGAAACTTCTTTGAAGAATAAAAGTTTCAAATTTTTCAATACCCCAAGTTAAGAACAACTACCAATAGAAGAGCGAGATAGCTGGCGGCCTCGCAAATGTGACACTCTAGCCTCGCATTTTTCTTGTCGCGACATCGCTTATTACGGCAAATTTTAAAAAAAGCGTGCGAGACCGGCGCGATAACAATGCGGCACTTTCGGGAATGTACAGCCACCGACATCGCTTTTCTCTCGTGCCAGACTCGGCCGATTTCTAAACTACGAAAAAAAAAAAAATTTCCGACTTCTATCTTGCAGTCATTTTTTCCAAAATTCCACATCACCTTTTTTCTCGAAAAATCTATAAAATTGAGAAGAGATCAAGAAAAACCGTTAGCTATTCGGGCGCGGAGAGCGAAATTCTCGTCGTGGCCGGCTGATTTCTGGAGAAGTTCCATTTCGTGCTCGATGTTGCTTATTTCCCTGCGCATCATCCGCAACTCAGACTCTCGTTCTGAAACAAAAAAAAAACTAGGAAAATCAAAATTTGGTGTTAAATATAATTAGGAAATAGTTTATCGGACCAGATTTCAACCAAAGCTAGTTTTGTGGCGTCACAAAATGACTCTTTCTTGATAGTATTTCAACATAAAGAGAGCGGAAATGAAGATCGACTAATCGGGAGGTAGAAAAGATATTATCTCGTAACGGCCCATCAAAATAAATCATATATATCTTAAAGGATCACTTTTTTTTTTCAAAAATATACCTTCTGGAAATCGCTTTTTTCCGATTGGAAACTTGGTCAGCTCGTAGGAGCCAATTTTTTTTTATATTTTCAAATCAAATCGCAACAAAAGTTCTGACAGTGCTCCAGAAGTGCGCCCGACAAAAAACACTTGTCCAAAAAACTTTTCGAACTGCCAATTCCGTTTGAATATTCTAACCAGAAAATCTAATTTTAGAAAGTATTCGAGATTCAAAAAAGCAAAGTTAATGAAATTCATTTTTGAAGATTCAAAATAGTTTTTCCTACATTTTCTTACAAACAGCCAGGAGCTTTAAATGAAGTGATTGAATAGAATATCGCGGAAAATGTGAAAAACTCGCGTCGGTTGAATTCGATGAAGGGTCCACTGAAGATCTCTCCAGAGAAGACGTTGGTAGGCGAACCTTCGGGACCATTTTGTAAGCTTTTCGTACGTGCTCCAGTCTGAGAAAACAGAGTATCGCTAAACGAAAAATCGAGAAAAGACCAACGCTGGTTTTCCTAGTAGAAGGTCCGTCGATCAGGTCGACGACGTCACGCAGCATTATCGAATCGACTATCCCCGTCTTGCGGCTTTTTTTCCGTTGGTTTAGAATCAACTCTTTCTGTTCTGAAATATCTTTGCATAAAAACTCGCAGATTCACGACCCTAAGAGGGTAAAAAAAATCTAATCTTTTAAATCTTATTCTATTTTTTTACACATCTTTGGAAAAAAACTAGGATAGCTAAAAACCTAACCTTTTCATGACCTTAACAGAAAAAATATTTTAACTCTTATTATGAAACATCGGAAAAAAAATATGACGAAGATGGACCAATGGGAGAAAGTGTTTCAACCAGTTTAAAAATTTTAAAATCAAAAAAAAAATCTAGCAGTGCACGAAACAAACTATCCGCGCATACTTTGGAATTTGGAGTAATCCTCTGTTTTTTGATAGACGGCCATCGCTTTTTCATAGTCGAGACGTTCTTTCCGTGCAATTTCGTGATATTTCTGAAATTGAATAAAAATTCGAAGAGTGGAAAAATGGTGACCTCTTTGTCGCCGGCGGCCAGAGCCTGCCACTCGGCGGCCAGAGCAACATTGATGTTTTTCTGAGAGGCGCCTTGTTTCACCGAACCATACTTGGCTCGTCGGTCACTGGGAAAAAAAGAGTAGTCGGGAAAATCTCGGGAAAAACCTCAGGAAATGAACGTAGCCGGAACGAGGCTTGCGCGGCGCGTTCGGATCTTCCAGTTTCTTCCAGCACCTTGCCGTGGTCGGCGTTTTCTGAACGTTCTCCTGTTCAAATCCAACCAGATGATATGAATTACTCTTTCTTTTTTAGTGTGATGACGTCTGTTCTTCATTCTCTCATTATAAGTGTTGAACGATTCGTCGGTTCTGCTTTCGTCGACCTGAATTCTGAATCGAACCTGAAGGCTGAGAGAAAAAACCTGTTTGTCGGGTGAACTGTCTTCGCCTGGCAACGGCGAGACTGGCGCTAAAAGAGGCGGCGAAGACGATCCCTCTTCATTCTGGTGAAGAACCATTCTGAAAGCAAAGCCGTAACACTTATTTTCCTCCACTTGAAACTCGACATAACCCATTTACCAAAATCTCGAAGATATCGAACTCATCAAATTTGAAAATTCGAGATTTTTGAGTTATCTAACGTCTTTGAAAACAAGAGCAGGAATTTTTTCGGAAAACAAGTTTCAGGGCCTTCTCTTTTCAAATTCAGAATAAATAGAACGCTAGAGAAAATTTTGCTGATTCTTTCAGTCTTTCTAGTTGCTCAGACATTGGTAACGCGCAACAGAGGCGAATCGGACGCATCGGGGTATTTTCAGTGACCACCTTAGTAGCGTTAGCGCTTTCAAGTGATCTCTAAAATTGCTCAGAAACTTCCGGTTTTGTAAACGAGGTCCGAGTAGGAATTCCTACTTCAGAGTAAGGATTTTTGCTCGGTGGGGCGCGCTTTCTTTTTTTACGCCGTGCCTAACAGCAAAGAATTGAAGATGTTTCGAAACAAAAAAAGTTCCATTAGCACTTTATATTGATTGAAAAACATCTCGTTTCATTTTTTTCATTTTTGGTTAGCAAATTTAATTAGTTTTTTACTCAATCGGCGAAAAAAAGCTAATTGGTCATGCAGATGAACTAAAAAGAGGTCCACACTGAGTTTAGTAGTATTGAGACGAGAGACAGAAGTCGGAGTTAAACCGATTCAAAAAATCTCACACACAAAAAAAAAATGAAATTTTATTTTCCACATAGGATTTTAGAAGATTTTGAAACATACACAAAGTTGAACGTGAAAAAATTGTGAAAGTGATGAAAATAGTTCAATCATCGAGTTCCATGTCGCCATCAATGTCCGTAGGCTCTCGAGACGGACACGATGATTTTCGGGACATCAAGCTGGATTGAGACTCCGCAGAAGCGACGTGCGACTCTACGAAGTCGGCTGTCGTGGCTCTTTTCCCAGTTAGAACCTGTAACAGAGCGCGTGAAACATTCAAATTCCTCAGGGTGTGGTATCAAGAAAGCGCTATATTTTCTTAGAAAACAAGCGACGTCACAGAAATGCTTATAAGAGCTGAAATTTTTTCTAGGATGATAGTACCAAGAGCATTTTATTGCAAGCAAAGAAAATTATGTTTTGATTGTTCGTTCTCAAAATACAGAAATCGGAAAAAAAAATTCATTCAACTTTTTCTTAAATCGAAAGTTTGCTTTGTGTGCTTTTTCCTTAGTTTGAAAAAGCGCGAAATGGTGTGAAGCCTTCATTCATTCCTTTTTCAAAATTGAATTTTTTTCCTCTTTAAAAAGGTTCAGCGGGCCCTATATATTCAGTTTCTTTTCCAATCTCTAATTCAAAAAAAAACAGTGCAATCATGCTGTCATTTTCAAAAACTATTTGTTTGAATATTACTTGACTACCATCGTGTCAGGACCCTTTTTTCGATTCCTCGAGCGAGCAGTGAACCAGCTCTAGCAACTTTCGTTCGATGGAATTTATTGAAAACCTGGCTGAGAGATATGAAACTAGTTTTACGAATCTTTTTGCAGCGCCTTATATAGGGGAAAAGGAAACCTTTTGAGATTCTTCGAAGTAAAAGTTGGGATGAGTGATAAGCTGTCCGAGAGCTCCTTCCTCCATTTTGTGAGTGTACTCGAAGAAACGTGAGCACGCCTTGTCGTAACTATGTTGTGAAGACAAGTTGACGATCTACAACAAATAACTGAACATTTTCAACCTCGACCCATCCACCAACCTTTTCCACTTGGTCTCTCGTCAATCCTTCTTTTTGTAATCGTTGTGCTAATATTTGCGGCTCAGTATGTCGGTATGGACATCCTTGAAAGCACTTGTTAAATATAAGTTCATCTCGGAAAAGTCTGCTTTATGTCTAAAAATCATATTTTCAACAAAACCGTGGCAGTCGACAGTAGAGGGGGGATTGCGCAGAATGATTGCGGAGCAAGAAAACGCGTTCTGAACAACATTTCAAAACTGAAAAAGGAGTTCAAGGTTTGGTCTACTTGGGCTACTCGGCGACCTTCCTTTCCGTACATGTATCGGATGTTATAGGCGTACTCCTTATCAAACTAAAATTTCCTTATAAACATGATTCTACGACAGGCTTCAGACCTTATCTGAAGGCATCTTCTTGGTGAACTCCTCCCGCATAAGCATCATCGCTTCGTCCAAAGACAAGCCGATCGCTTTCAAAAATAGTCCATACTGTCTAAATGACAAAAATTTGCAAAGATAACAAAGGAACCAGTCAGGAAATTAAAGTTTTTTTTTTCATTTCAAAAGGTTCAAACCTTCGGCCGCCGTATTTCAAATGATGATTGCTCCGAAGACTAGTGTGTATATGCTTCATGCATAGTGGGAAGGATGTGCTAGCAAGCTGAAAAACAACGAAAAATTGAATTTAAATAAACTAAATATCTATATTCTAGAGTCGGAAAACTTTAAAAATTATCAAAATGGCTTTAGAAAATCGTTCTAGCTACATCGATTGATCAGTGAAGCTAGACTGCATTAAACGAGGCTGAAGGTCAAGAAAGTTTTCGATTTCATTTTCTAGTTCGATCATTGATTAGGTTTATTTCCTTTCCAACCTTGTCGAGCATCTTGCGAGTGACAAGATTCTCGTTTTCGTTTCCCGTGTATTGCTTTCCATCGTAGGCGTTGTTGGACAAGCTTTTCAGGCGTGGAAGAAGACGATTCTCTTCTTCCAACATTCCAAGATTTTTATAGGCTCTAGCCATGGCTTGTGTCATTTGCGTGCGTAAATGGCTGCAGATGATCACGACGAGGTCTTCATAGGGCACATAGGCCATTCCCTCTTGCAGGTACACCTGCCTTTTACGGATCAAATCCAGAGCTTCTGTGAAGCCAACCTGAAAAAAAACCACATTGAAATTCAAAAACGCTTCGAAAATTTTTTTTTAAAGCGTCACCTTCCAGAATGAAGTTATACGAACAACGTCCAAAGACATCCCGCTGCCAGAAGCAAGTTTGTTGACAAGGTGTTCTCGTTCCGAATCGGAAACCTTTTCCAGCTCAAACTGTGTATTTCTTAGAGCACGAAGCACGACTTCTTCACTTTCATTCATGAAACGGAGCCTTAAATAGAGCTTCATGAGCTTAGCCGTGACATCACCATTTTACTTTCATGAATTTTAATCTTCTCATTAAAAAAAACATTCTTCTACATTTGATAAAACGAAAAGACGCTCTGAACCTCACTTGAAAAGATCGAGTTCTTGGTTGACCAGCCACTTCACATTCTCAACTGTCCGGCAAAAAGCCAATCGAAGAATGAAATGCCCTATGGTGTCGCGACGCCACGCATCAGCTCTCTCCGTCTCAGTTTTCTTTTCTTGGCAATTGACTAAAATTAAGAGATACCGAATGAAATTTCGACCCAACCGACCTATTAATTTCGAACCAAACTTTCGAATCTGTTCGCGGAATACTTTTTTAAAATCATCGTCATTCAGTTTATAGCCATCTTTGCAATTTTCCAGCGCCTGGAACAAGTTTTTAAACAATATTTCAACAATGTCGCTGAATAAACCTTCAATGTTCTCAGGCGCTCTACGGCGATTTCGTCAAACTCTGCCAGAGTAATATCATTTCCAGGAGGGATTTCATATAACTGTAAATAAGCGGGGTAATCGACGGAAGACGAATTCGCTGCTACTTCCTGAAAAAAAATTAAATTTAAATTCAAAAATTTCGGAACAAATAACCTTGATGCGTATTCTATCCACATTTATTTTGGAACGTCGTTGTCTGGAGTCTTCAGGCGCAAACATGTATTAAAAGTAAACTATAAATTTTTTGAAAACGATAAAATAGAAAAAAGAAATTTAAAAATTTTTAATTTCGCGGAATTTTGCAAGTCCACGTTTTGTCAACTGGAGCGTCGTTGCTTCTTTTCAAAAGTTTTCCTTTTGTGTGATTTCGGAATCGTTTTTTTTTTCTGACGTCACAAAATATTTTTTGCGTTTCCTGATTATTTAACCCACTTCACGCTATAATTATTTTAGCGTTTTCCTTTTCGTTCTTGAAAAAAAGAAATTCCAGTGACGCCTGGGCATCCGATGTCATTTTATTTTCAGAACTTCAAAGAAACCTTTCACGATTGAATCGCTACCGCAAATTCACAGCACAAACGCAAATAGGATGGATCCTTTTGCAAGTGCCTCGGTCGATATTGATATGGTGTGTTGCTTTCTCTACAAAGTGGATATAAAAATGTTGATTTTTGATAAAAATGCATCACTCAAACTATTCGAAAGTTTTATTCACATGAGAAAGGCTGAAAAGTTGTTCATTCAGCTCGAAAGAGAAATGTCGGCAGGCCAACAAGGAAGTCGCGAAACGCAGCCGGGAGATCTTTCCGGAAACATCGCTGGAATGAACAGCGCCAGACAACAGCGACGGTTTGCGAAACTGTTGGGTTATTCTTGATCTTCTAATTTTTCAGCGGCCCAATGCAAGAAGTTGATTTGGACGCTGACTTTGACACTTTAGACGAACCTGTTTGGGACACAGTTGTACGTTTTTTAACCAATGTTTTATTAACCTAGACTAGATTAATTTTGAATTTTGAAACTTCTAAAATCCTTTTGAAAATCAAAACAACTTCAAAAAAAAAAAAAATTAACGATAAGTAACGATAAACAAATAAGTAATGAACCGGAGATAGAAACGAAGAATCGACATTTCATAGGCAATAAAAAGAAAAAATGAAATGATTTGTGCTCACGTACTATATGAAATATCCAGTTAAAGATTTTTGCACCAACAGCGCAAAATTCAAAAAAAAAAAAATAAATAATAGTGTTTCCTGATTTAATTTTTTTTTTCTTCCTGGTAAAACTATCAAGAAGAAAAATATCTTACTCCAATAAAACGGCTAATAAGAACTAAGATTGTCCAAGAAAATTAGGATTTTGACTTTTTTTTTTTCACAGAAACGAGACTTACTGACAGTTGGACTCAAGTTCGGACATGTTGTCCTACCTCATGGAGACAAGCAACAATTGCTACGGGACTGGGACCTCTGGGGACCTCTTTTCATCTGTGTTGGCTTATCTTTGTATGTTTTTCAAAGTCAAGAAAAATATAAACATCAACTTACGTACAATTTTTTTTAATCGATTCAAATTTTTCAATCGGGAAATTTCCTATCAAACTTTCTCTTTATGCAGTAGTTCTTCCGTGATTTCGATTTTTGCGAGGTACTTAACAATTTTTAGTAATTACTGTAAGAAAAAGTAGTGGTAAAGAAATTGTCTTCGATCATCATTTCTCATATCGTGTTTTTCCATGCCTCGGTTTAAACGATTTTTTGATGAATGCTCACTAATAATCTTTCCGACACCAAGCTGAAGCTTCTTGGAAGCGAGTATAGACTTCAGAAAAAGTTTCCCAGAAATATTCAAACTCTTTTAAGAGTTTAAAAACGATCTTGAAATATTTTGATCACAGTTGTAGTTGTTTGAAAAGATTCTCGCAAACGAAAAACTTTCATTATTGTCAAATCATCTATCATATTTTTTTCCTGTTATGATTTTTGTTGTTGTTGAGAGTGATGTTTACAGATTGTTACAACATAATGGTGGAACTGAATCTGCACCTCAATTCACTCAGGTACGTTCAATATAATCAAAATTTATAGGAAAAAGAAATTTTTTTCAGTACAATACATTTAAAGTCACATTGAAGTTAACATCTTTTAATTAATTTACTTTTCATCAAATCGTAAAATTTCACTTTTTTTTCGATATGATACGGAATTTATATTCGAGTTATAGCTCGTCTCCATTTTTGTAAGCCTTTTCAGCCCCACATAAAAGTCAAATCATATTTTTCACATAAGTTTAAGGATGTTTTTTAAGACTTGAATCAGTGAGAAACTTTTTTTTTTCGTTGCGAGACCCTCACATCATCTGCATTCTGTTCCAACTTTTTTTCAGGTTTTCATAATAACTTTCTTCGGATCAGTCGTTGTTACAGCGAACATCAAGCTTCTTGGCGGAACAATGTTTGTTTTAGTTTTTTTTTTCTTTCTTTCTTGGATTGATAAAACTTGGTAATTAACTTTTGATAACAGGAATATTGTTTCAGTTCGTTCTTCCAGTCGCTTTGCGTCATCGGCTACTGTCTACTGCCTCCTTTCGCTGCCGCGGCTCTCTGCACTCTCTTTCTGCACGGAATCGCCTTTCCTTTAAGGCTTCTCATTTCTGCCGTCGGCTTCGTCTGGTCCACTTATGGTACTTTTTTCCTTTTCAAATTTTATTTTTCCTTCATTGCTTTTTTTCATGGAACCGAAAGCCTTCTGCGGCTCAGTTTATCAAAGAAAGTTTTAAGATTTTTTTTGTGTTTGGTAATTTTTCATCATGGCTTTTTTAATATGAACTTATGAAAAATTCATTTTAAAAAGGAAATCTAAATTACAAATTCTTTTCTTTTCCAGCGGCGATGGGATTTTTGGCGGGCAGCCAGCCGGAGAAGAAGCGGATACTTGTCATTTACCCAGTCTTTCTCTTCTATTTTGTGGTCAGCTGGATGATTATCTCCCATTCTTGAACGGTCTCAACCGTCTGTGATATTTACGCATAAACCTATTCCCCAAAACGCTCATTTTCCGGTATTTATTTTTTCTAAACCAATAATGAAGCAAGCTTCATCGCTTTCGGTATGTAGACTATTATCAGAAACAAGCGAGAGCTTGACCGGGCGAAGATTGGGTCGGCTTTAGAAGAATGAAATCTGAAGCAATAGTCACCATAAACGTGTTCATCCCAGATTTTCTATTTTTCTTCTTTATTTTACAGTATATATTTGCTTTATTCATTCCACGTTTATCTTGACTCCTTTTTTTTTTTACTAATTCTACTCGGTACTGAAGCGATAAACCGTAGTCCGCGCACAGCTTTGGCTTTAAAAGTAACATTCATAATACAAGTACGTCTTCGTATTCCGAAGAACTGGTTCATTCATTACAGTGATATGAGGTTGGCGAGAAGTGGAGACTTTTTTTGAGCTAAAAAAAGCAATGTTTTTTTCCTAGGAATTCTTGCAACAGAGTTTGTTTTTTTATACATTTAATAGTTGTTTCTGCTCTAATGTTTCTTTGAGGGTTCTTGTATGCCGATGAATAAAACATTTCGACGAAACTTGAGGTTCTAAAGGTTTTTTTTTCAAAATTAGAACAAAGACCGCCCTTCATTTCTTCTTCTTGTAATTTAGAACACTTTATAATGTTTGTGAAAAATAACAGAACGTTCGAAATTTTATTTCTAAGAATCACCAACAATTTAATTCAAAGAGAAAAAAAAACAATAAAGAAATGCACCTCGCAGAAGAAATTCAACCGGGACAAAAAAATGAATATACTATGGTTTCTATATATTATACTTAAAACAGTATTATACTTGACGATCTACACGCTTTGATAAAGTTGGGTACAGGGCTAAAAATGAAAACACATTGATTCGTTCACTAAAAAGTGGAACGGACATAGCAAAGATAAAATTAAAATACAATTTGAAGAACTACACCCAATTATTTACTAGAAGTTTTCTTTTTGAAAGGAAAGCGGAAATGCAGAAGGGCAAAAAAAGTAGAAAAATTTATCCTAAAGAAAGAAGAAAAATGGAATGCCTGCGGAGGCCACAGTGGAGTTCAAGTACAACCAGGAATCCCTTCAAGTTGGATCGACGGAATTTGAAATTAACAAAATAAACATATTAACATCGAGAAATAAATAAACAACCAATTTCCTTCGACAAAATCATGTAAAAGAAAAAAGTATTTTTCTGCAGCATGAGTACATAACATTTCGTAGCAGAAAAGATAAAGTATTTTTGGATTGATAAACTATACAATAAATATCTAGAAAGTGCAAACTCGTTTTTTCTAATCCGTTTTTCTTGTGACTATTCACATCTACAATCGTGCATAGTGGCGAAGCCAGCAATGGTTAAAGTGGGGTGTTCGAAGAGGAAACAACTTTGAAATAATTAAAGAGCACTAGGAAAAAGAATATGTGTTACAGAGGATTATTATTGCCCGAAGAAAATATTTAGTTTTGAAGCATGCCATTTTTTTGAGAACACCATGAACAAACTTTCAATTATCAACTACAAGCATATCACTGAAAGAAAGCTGGAACAACCGCGTCAAAAATGAATATTTTTGGAGTGAAAAAATTTAAAGAGAATCTACGAAAAAAATAATCAGCACAACCAAGCTTCAAAAAGGCGCGAAATAACCATATTCAGATAAATAAATTGGTTTTTAAATACCAAAAACTTGATTAGTTCTCAAGTATATATATGAAGGAAAGAGAAAACTTTCAAACTGTTTGAAATAATTTTTCAGACGTAGCGGTTACCAAAAGCTACCAAAAGCTTTTAGAGAGTTTTCTAAAAAACTTTTATTCTTCAGAAAAATCGGTTCGGACCCGTTTTAATTATTTTTGTTTGTTTTCTTTTCTGTTCGCATACTGGGGACCGACAAAAATTGTTCAGCCCAAACGTCAGAATGAATAATCGAGACTTTCTTGGGTGTTAAAATTTGTACCTATAATCAGGAATAGCAATAAAAGGGAAAAAGAACGCAGGGAAAAGAATCTTTGATTTTTCAAGGTTCGTAGTCCATTCACAAGAGCTTGCTAGGTTTTTTAAAGACGCAAGGAAAAAATGCTAGTTCTTAATTGAAAAAAAGCTTTTGACCAATTCAAACTGCGTATGTTCTTTAAATTGAGCAGCAAGCTATTCTGAAAAGTTGGTGAGATAAGATATTTTTTTTGACTTTGACAGCTTCCGGGAAAAACTGTAAGTGTGCCTATAAAAGTTTAGTGAAGACCGTTGATGAGCCCGACGGCTTGCTGCATCTGAAGCGTCGAGGGGAAGTCGGTTGCACTCAGCTGGTGGGACTGCAGCTGGGCGTTGTGCAGCTGCGGCGGCTGCAGCAAGTTCGGCTGCATGTCGTGTGGCTGCATGTGAGAGTGATGATGGTGGTGCTGCATGTGCGGAGTCGAGACGTGCGGCGAAGACAGGGCCAGCAGAGAGGAGATGGCCGACGTGTTCGTCATGTTCATGTTCATGTGGGCGGCCACTGTCGAAGGAGACAGGCCTTCCATCATCTCACGCGACGTCTGAAATCACGAGCTACTGAAAAACGATGAACAATTGTCGGAAAGAGTGCGAAAATACGATTAAGTACATTTTGAAATTGTTTCTTCCCTAATGAGCGAAATTAGGAATCTTGTGGAAGAAGTTGCTCCGAAAACTATAAAAAGACCTCCAGCTGTCCGAGCAAGTCACTCGTGAGGCCCATCTGCTGCTGCTGCATCATCGCAGCTGCTGCAACTGTCGCCGCGGCGTCCAGGCTGATGCCAGGATCGACGCCGTTGAAGCTGTTGTCCGTCTGTCGCGAGTTTGCTTTGCCGGACCCTTCTGAACAGATTCAGATGCCTTTATTCAATTCATCTATTTTTATCTTTGTGAAAAAACTTTTTCAAATCTTAAATCGTGGCTCACGGAAGAATTGCGGAAGTTCATTATCTGTCCCAAGTTACTTTTCCGGCCGTTTATTTCGCGACTCCGCCGCAGACCGGAACGCATAAGGATACGAGGGAAAGGGCGGGAAAATCTTTTTCAAGCAAAAAATTTGAAACGAATTTCGTTCTAAAATCTTCCAACACAAGTAGAATTATGATAGGTTGTTCGGAAATTTTACGGCTTTTTTCCAGCTTTCTATTTTTAAAAAAAGCCAAATACTCTAGCAATCAGTTTAGTGGAGATCCGGGCTCGTAGACTTGAATTCTATTTAAAGTGATTCATTTTTGGGGATTCCTCTTTCACAAAATGAAAAAAAAAGAAGTAGAAACGGACTTCTCCGGCCTCTGCCACTCGGAGTTGCGCCTGTTCCTGAGGGCAAAGTCGCGGCTGAGGGCGACGTGGCAGACTGAGCCCCGTGGGTCGCCTCGTGGCCCATTTGCTGCGACCTTTGCCGGAATGCTCGACCGCAGAACTGACATGTAAACGGCTTCGCTCCTGGAAACGATTTGCTCAATTCTTTACTTTTTTGAGTATCGAGAAGACGCCTAGACTTCAGCGGAGTATTTAATCATTGCTCATCTGACTTCATCGCTTCTATTGCATTCAGATCTTTCACTTAATTTTCATCGATACCGTTAGCGTCGCGCTTTTTTTTAAATGTATATTCACGGGAAAAGTCCAAAAGGTCTCAAAAAGGACTTTTGGAAAAAATGGCCTCTAGAAAGCCTCAAAGACGCCTTTTTTCCAGACTTTTTCTGAATAGGACCTTTTCAGGAGCAAAAAAGACGGAAAAAAGATTTAAAAAAAGGGGATTGGTGAGCTTTTGACACCTTTTTAGGAATTCAAAAAGGAGCATTAGGCTCTTCTATTTAAGGCATTTTTGAGGTCGTTTGGATTTTGCCTGTGTTAGAGCGGCAAAATCATTAGCTTTTGGGTTTATTAATTATTCGAGAATTAAAGCGACTTCTGGGGAGAAAGACTATTACTTCAAAGTCTTCCATCAAAAGTTCATTGTGAGTCTATGGAAGGCCTATGGCTTCAAAAAAAAAAAGTTATGGACAAACCAGTATGGATTCGTTCATGTTGATCAAGATGACTTTTTTGGGTGAAGCTTTTAGTGCAAAAATGACAGTTGTACGGTTTGTCGTTACTGTGGATCCGCATGTGTTGTTGCAAACCGCCACGCGCCTGGAAGTCTATTTTTTGGAAAGATTTTTGAATTATTTCCATAGTACTTTCTCATGTTTTTTTGTATCATCTTACTCAAATCACTAACTTGGTCAAAATCAAAAATTTCTGCAAAAATAGGCTAGAAATGAGAAAAACAAAATAAATATGAAAAAGCGGGTATTTTTTTAAAATATTTTACCTTGAATCTCCTGCCGCACTGCGCGCATTCGTGGCTTCGAATCATCCTACAGTCCGACATGTGATTGTGAAGCTGAAATATATTCAGAATGCTGATATTGCTCGATTTTCCGTTGTGAAATACATAGGGAATTATCAAAAAAAGAAAAAAGGATAGCTCAGTTGCCGAAAGCCACTTCTAGCGTTTTCAAAGCGCCTGGTTTAGACTATTCCGATATCTTTCTGGATTACTAAAATTATAAACACAAGGCCTCAGATATATATTGAAAGAAAATTACCGCGCGGTCGTTGATGAACTTTTTGGGGCAAAACTGGCACTTGAGCATGCCGTCGTTGGCCGAGCGAGTGCGACGTGCAGGAGCTGGCGTCCCGACCGCCGAAGGACCCGTCGTCGCGCCGTCTGAGCATCTTCCGAACGCTGTAACCGACGATGTTGGAATGATTTATAAAACCGGACTTATGGGAAGTCAGTCTACTCTAACAAAAGTTGCGGTGGACTCCGCAGTGTAACCAGAGATGTACCCCGTTTACGAAAATTCACTTTTTTCGGGTTTCACTGTGGGTTACATCCTCATTTTCGTTAGAATAGCCAGTCATCAAGGTTCTCAAGGTACTGTTATGTGTGTGCCTATAACCTAGCCAATAGCGGGAATTCTCTATTTCAGTTTGAAGATTCCTCTCATGGTGATGAGGGTTAAACAGAAATTACGGGGTCTCAGCGGGTGCCCCCGTGTTGAACCCGTATAAGCATAGTTTATAGAGATTTGTCTTTTTTTTTTATCACAGTTGATAACTGAGACACAAATAGTCTCGAAAAAACACGGGTTTAACGGTTACATCCGTTTAGACACCTGGTCAGCATTAGAATTAGCTATTTTCTTAGAATTATAGTAAATGTTTCACGACTTGAAAGGCGAAAGAGGCGGGGGACGGGGCGGGACGCGTAGCGTGTGCGTACGCGGTTGTTGGCACGAGTTTATTTCTAGCGCACCGACTACTCAAAAAGTTCGGTCAGAGCTCTTTCTTTGTATGTACTACTTTTTTTAATGTGAAAAAAACTCAATAAACAATTTAAAAATAAATGAAAAAGAGCGAATTTGAAACCGCGTACGCACACGCTACGCGTCCCGCCCCCTGCCCCGCCTCCCTCGCCTTTCAAGTCGGCAAACATTGACTATACTCGTCTGGAATGATGTGCTCGTTTACAAGTCTTCGTTTAAGAATCTTTCTAATACTTGTGAAAAGTTCTTATTTCATTTGACTAATATTAACCTGCCGGGAGTACATTGTGTACTGTTGAAGGGACAGAATATAACACGTACTTATTATTCACTTCGTTCAACTTCATATTAGTGACTGTCATAATTGAATAATTTACGAAATAGTCGTCTTCAAAATTTATGAAAAGCATGATTCACGATTTTTGGCAGTAGTGGAAAACTTCTTCATTTTGGTTTTGTTCAAAATATATCTTTTTTTTTCTAGCTCGAAGCTCAACTTTCTGTGTTCTATTACTGTAAGCTTGCTGCGGAACGATGTACGGAGGTTAGAAACGAACACAAATGCAGGGGCATAGGCTGCATGGGATGACGATGGCCGTTCTCTTGAGAGTGGTGAAGGCCGTCGTGCCGCATCGAGTTCATGTAACTCCCGTCAGATTCTGTCTCGCCGAGAAGAGCGTTCGGAGACGTTCGTGCGCCGCCGACTTCCAGGTCCGACGACGAAGACTGGTCTGAACACGTTGATAAGCTGAACCCAGGAGAGCGGAGGACAGAATGGGTTGACAGACAACAGCTCACAGGGAAGCTCGTTTTGATTATTGTTTGGGAATTTTGAGATTTTGGCCAAAAGACTATTCCACTTACCAGATATATATATTTGAAGATGCAACGCAAAGTTCTCAGAAATCGGGAAGTTTTGCAGGTCAAATTTTCCAGGATTTTTATCTGGTATGGTCAATCCTTTCCGACTTGAAAAACGAGATTATCAGACTGGGGAGAAGTGAAGAGTTGCGACGCGGTTTTTTATCGAGAAAATTTCATTTCATTTTTCTTTTTTGACTTCCCATCTCGTCTTTCAAGTCAGGAAAAATGTATATAGTCTGTTTGTCACGACTTGAAATTTCCCCAAACGACATTCCGCTGTGCCGCTGCGCGCCTTTGCGAACATTGGTTGCGCTTTTGATTTTTTTTTTCTTCTTATTAATGTACTCTACTTTCATGTGCTCCCACAGCAATAACAATGAATTGAAAGCGTGACCTAGATTCGAAAGACGCTTCGCGAACGCACGCAGCGGAACAGCGGAATGTCGTTCCGTGTAATTTCAACTCGTGGCACACAGACTATACATCATAAACTTTTTGCCAAATTCCAGAAAATTCCAAACATAAAATAAATAAGCCTCGTGTGTCAGAAGCAGAGTGGATTAACGTACACAGTCCGTGGATAACAGACACGTTCGTTTGCTTTATATGTATTTCTAATCTGTCAAATCATAAAAGTTTCTTTTACGAGCGAACTTTCCATGTTGAATGATCAGATTCCAAACATTTGAGTGCTAGAAAGAGTTTAAAAACGATAAGATTTAAAGTTTACAAAAAAAGAACTCTGCCGACCATTAGAAAAAGTTCGAAGCTTCGGCACAGCGATGAAAAAAAAACAACCAACCGCCCCGTTGATGCCGGTTCCGTCGAAGTTCATGACCTTCCTGGTTGGCCGTCGTTGGCGAACAAGACGAGGAGCAGCTATTTGAGGAGATTTCCGAAGAGGAAGATCCGCGGCTGTCCTCGCACCTGTGCCGTTACGATCAGTAGAGAAAGACGGTCAATTCCAAGATTTTCCCATATAAAATCATGAGGAACTCGATTTGAAGTGTGTTTCCATGCATAAATAATTTATTTTTTCACTTCAAAGGCGTCAGCTTTTTCTGTTCTTACCAGGGAATGGTCTCAGCTCACAGTGGAGCTTCTAAATGAGACCATGTTTCCTAGAAGTAGTTTATCACGCTGATTCCAAATCTGTCTTTGAAAGTTGCCATATAAGTCTATGAAAAAAGATGCGGGCTCTCATATTCCCGGAAAAAAGTTTTCTCTTCGAAGAAAGCGCAAATGTGAACCTTTGAAGGAGCGCGTGGACATTGGGAGTGACCGGCGGGGTGGCTTTCGAACTTCCCGCAGTCATGGCCGAAATGTGCTGCGGAGTCGGACCCAGCCCATTCACGCCGATTCCCAGATTGAGCATCTCCAGGTCGCGCTGTAATTTTCACTTGCAAAAGGAAATAAAAATGTTCACATTTCATCCAGAACAAAACAGATTTTGTGCCGCTTTGCGCCACGCCTTTACGAACCTTGGTTGCGCTTTTAATTTTTATTTTCTTTTAATAAAGTACTCTACTTTCATGTGCTCCCACAGCAAAAACAATCAATTGAAAGCGTGACCTAAATTCGGAAGACGCTTCGCGAGCACACGCAGCGGAAAAGCGGAATGTCGTTCGGTGAAATTTCAAGTCGTGGCACACAGACTATACAATACAAGATATATTTTTCAAAGCACAGGTGTGTCATAATCAAGATTCTGGAGGCTAGGATCATTTTGAGTTCTTCAAAATTTTTTCTTGCTTTACTGTTGACCAGGAAACGTTTTTTACCCCCCGGTTGAACTTTTGCTGAAACTTTGCTGGAGTGTACTTTAGGATCTCCTGATGACAGAACAAGAAAAAATTTCCTCGCAATAGATCTTGCCTCTTTAATGAAGCTTAAAAGTCTGAAAAATACGCAAATTATGACAAAATGGCGTTCCCTAGTGAGGCAGAAAAAAAAAATGGTTATACTGTTTCGGTTCGGTTTCATAACAAGTATAGAGTTGTAAAAATTTCCTTTGGACGCGATTTTGAAAATTTTCGGATATATGCAACAGAAAAGCTCACAAATAAAATGAGGAGACTGTAAAAGAACTTTTCCTTTCAGCTTTGAAACGAGAGTTTCGACTCAAAAGGAAATGTAGACAGGTTAACTTGTTGCGGCCGCGACGCGGCTTTTGGTGGGAGATGCGAATTCAAAGACTGAACTTCTTTTTTTCCTCCTTTTTTATTCTATATTTTTGGTCATTCTCATTTGATGATATTTTGACTTCAGTCTATTTTGAATGAATAATAATATGAAAAACTGCATTTTTCCTTCGTCCTTTCTACACTCTCGTATTTCGTTCCCAGTGCCGCATCGTTACCGCAAAAAGTCACTTCTGCCAACCTGCCGCCATCGGTTTTCAAGTAGGGGAAAATTGACTATATGAACGCGGAGGAAATGAAAATAATTGTTAGAAATGGAAAGGAGAAGGGGGAAAAGTGAAAAAAGCGAAGAGATACGATCTTCTCAATTTCTACAGGAAGGGCGTTTGAAAATTATCTGGAAGGAAGGTTAAAGTTTCAAAGAAAGTCAACTAGGCGAACCCCAAAAAAAGATGTATGAAGTGCAGACACGGAAAATCGATAGCCATGGTGCCGAGTCCTTGTCGACGACGACGTGGAGTAGACTACTAAATGTGAAGAGCGAAATGAAGCGAGTGGGCAGAGAAAAAGCACTCAAAAGACGGGCGGACGCAGATGAGCCCGGAATTCGCAGCCACCTTCTAAGTTTCGCACAACCGACACTGACTTGTTTCAAATTTAATGAATTTGAAAAAAAAAAACGGAAAATTTTCTCTTCTTGCAAAAATGGGAACTTCAAACTATGAAGAAAAATCGAGAACCGGAAATTGAAAACTTATGCTCGATGAAAAATATCTCAGAAGATGTTGATAGAAGTAGTACTGGGGTGATAGATAGTTAATTGGATAAAGTACAAAGAAAAGAGATTTTTCAGAAAAAAAAACAAAATGTTTGTCGAACTTGAACGATTTATCCGCAAAGGAAAAGTTAGAATATTCCTTTCTAGAAGAAAAACAGCAGGAGTTGAAAATTGCAGATAGCAAACCTTTTCGCAGCTCAAAACATTTTCGATTAAAAGTTTGACTATTTGAATTATTGAATTATCGAAAAATTTATTTTAAAATCTTCCTGATCCTGATTTCGGACTTACACGATTCTTTTGGATTTCCTTCGGAAATGTATTTTTTTGTGGAATTATTAGATGACACACCCTCCAAACTTCGATCGCTGATACTTCAAATACTAAAAGCTATCTGTGACCTCTTGGTGGCGGCCTTTTTCAATGTTCTATGACTGCAAAATGAGTAAGAAGAGAAAAAGTTAGACTGTTTCGAGCCGTCACTAATGAGGAATGTTGGCCACAACAACGTGAATTCTTAGTTAAAAAAACTGTATTCAATCAATTTTTCTGAAGTTTCAGGTTTTTTCTAGAAGAGAGCTAGAAAAATATACACTAAACAAACTTGGTAAACTTTTCTTTAAATGGAAGAAAAATGGTGAACTTCGAATGGAAGATGAATTTGAAAAGTTCACACAGAAAGCGGTACATTTCTTGGTTTTTTTTGTTTATCGAACAGGAAAGAATAAAAGGATTCGCTTTTATATGGCTTGGTGTTTTATTATCGATCAATGGGGCTGAGGAGCAAGGGTGGCAAAAAATCAAAGACTGAGACAAAATGATAATGAAAATAGAAACGTTGTAAAAACGAAATGAATTTTGATGGAGGTGCTGAAAAAACGCTGCGTGGAAAAGAGCGGCAGTTTAGACGAAAAAACCGAAAGCGAGGGAAAAAGGAAGGAGAGACGCGCGACAGCAGACAGAACGGCCTCTGCCGCAGTTGAAGCGCAGCATCATTTCCTGTTTAAATTCCCGCACTTGCCTCTCGTTTTCCATCAAAAAGAAGAGCGAGCAGTAAGTTTCAATTAGAAATATGTCAGTACCTAGTCATATAAGGATAGTTTCTCGATGCTGACCCTAGGAAGCAACCTGAAAAACTATCCAGAAGTGTGAAAAGTGCAGGTACTCTCTAAAACCCAATATTTGTCCAAAAATTTCATCATTCTCAGGGAAATCTTCGTCAAAATTAGTTCATGGAGGAAAACTACAGTATAGCCGAAAGTTCACTTCACTCAAAACTTTTTCAATGACGAACACGTCGCGCAAAAGGGTAGAAAAGGGGAGAAAAGTGCAAAAAAGCACACACCTAGTGAGGTGTTGAATTAGTACGGCGAACGGCGCCAATGTTCTTCGGAACCCCCATACATTTGCAATCGCGTTCGTCGCCACAACACAAAGGAACTTCACTCGAGGGTCTCTAGTTCGGAACCGCAAGTCCGTTTGCGCCGTTCCAAATATGGGGATAACAATTTCTGGCGGATTTCGCTGAGAAAAGCAGCTGAATATTGCCAAGTTTCTTGTTCTTCAAACAGTACTTTTGCACGGAAAACCAAAAAGTAATGAAGATGGGTAAACTTGTAGTTGGAGAAAAATTGGAAGCTTTTTTTCACAACTTTATTTTTCGAATCAATATCAAGAATTTACGGTAATTTTCGAGTTGTCTTTTTTTGCAATTATAACTAAAAATCCATAATCAATTAAGCTTCTGAAATTATTTTTTTGATAAAATTAATGATTTATAAAATATAGGTTAAGAGCTGAGAATAAGAGTATGGAAGATTTTCTCAAAAAAACTGAAGAAATCGAAAAAAAAGCGATTAAATGGAGGGACCTCGTAGAGCAGATTGCGGCCAAATCAAAAAAAAAAGGATTTCAGGCTTTCCCTTTGTCTACACCTTGTCAAAAACGTTTTTACCTAACTTTTTAAAAAAAACAAAAAAAATTGATCAATTGATCAAAAATCTTCGAAAAATGATTCTTTTTCTCAAAGCCGCAAGAGATAACTAGTGTTTCTTAAATTCGGATCAATAAACCTATTCATACGATTATTATTATCACATAAGGTAAATTGAAAAAAGACTTTTTAAGTCTGGAAAAAATGGGAAGCAGATACTTTCAAGCTTCCTCAAAGTTATCTCGTGATTTTTCCGAGTTTTTTTTTCCAGCATTTTGTTGTCAAAAAAGATATTAGAAACGAACTTGAACAATCGGGTTGCGAAATTGAGCGTCGAGCCAGGACGGCATGGGCATGGAGCTGAGATGCTCGTTGATGCTCATCATCTGCTCGGCGGAAACTCTTGCAGAAGCAGCGACGTCTTCGGCGGCGCCTTCACTGTTTGGCTCCGTCGAAGGACGGCTGCCGGTGGGGATATGGCGCGATTCTGCGGCAGAATCGTCCGTTCTTTGGGTTCGTTCCGAATCACCGGATAGTGCTTGAGTCTGAAAACATATAATAGAGATATTGAACATGATATGAAGCCGCATCCCAAACAAAAATTGTCGCATTATCAACAAAAAAAAAACCAACGTTAAGTGAATTCGCACCGGAGGACCTCCCGTCATAGCCGCAAAACATATTACTTCGCTGCTACTCTGAAAAGAAGACATTTTCTCCACATTACGTATAGTTTTATTGAGGTGAAACCTACTGAGCATTGGCTACTCCAGCATCTCAACGTTGCTCAAAATGCTCAAAATCCAATCAAATCTGTGAAGAGTAAAAAAATTTAATTGAAAAATCGACTCAATTTCAAGTATGCAAACGCTCTCATGACGTTGCAACACAGTGAAAATATGCCAAAAGTCATTAAATTTTTTTAACGTGGAAAATCAAAGGATGTTCAATATAAGCGACAAAAAAACGAAGAAAACATTGATAGAAAAACGAGAACCAAACAATGAAAGCTGCAAAACTCGTCTCATGACACGAAGAATTTTAGTTTTCGTGGGAAATCAGAGCGAAGAATCTCTGGCGACATCGAAAACGTGCTCCAGGAGCTCCGGTCGCTCTTTTTGCCGCCGTTCATACGCTTTCCGCTTCGACGGCTTTATTCTCTCGTATGTGCGCTCCTGGAGAAGAAAAATCAAAATCCCTAATTGAGACTTTTTGTTTGTGAACAACCTTCTTTTCAACCTCCAATTGTCTCAATCGCATTGCTTTGAAAACTGTGTATTCTTCCATAGTTACTCCGGCTACCTAGCAGAGAAACAGAAGAGATCTTTGAGAAACAGTACAACTCACATTAACAGCGAACTGCTCATCAGAGGTGTTCAAAATCTTTTTCAACTTGGGGTTTTCCTGTAATAAAAGAGCCTTCGATTTTTTTTTTCATTGACTCAGTCTGTGTCTAGAAGCCAAAAAAAGGAAAAAGAACCATTTTGAGTTGCGGCCTTTTGGGATCAGGCTGTGAGTACTTTCCAGTGAGAACTAAGAAAACGTGGCGAGTCTGCATCTCCTGAAGGTCCATTCCGTCGATCCAGCGGTCGCCGCATTCACTCAATTCCTCGCCTTCCGCTCCCATCTACAGAAAGACTCATTGAAATTAAATTCTGAGTTCCAGTTGTTTTCGGAAATCGTCAAAGTTTCCCAAAGCACCTGATAGAAAACGTAGTCGTACTTTTCCTCGACTTCCTCGATGTTTTTCAATAAGATTTGTGGACAACGAGCAATCATATTCGATGCCTGAACAATCTTCTATTTTTGAGAGGAAAATCTCACGAGATCTGAAATTGGTTCAATATGCTTCTAAGATTCTTAGAACGGTAGATCATGATACATTGTTCACGACAAAAGTTCAAATAATCTGAAAAAGGATAATCTAAGTTGGCTAGACCATTTTGTTCTAAACATTTTTTTCGATTTCAATCAGCTTTCGAGGCTTGTTCGCCTTGGAGCTGTGGCTTCATGAAGAAAATCGAAAAACTCTAAGGTTTTCAAGAAAAGGAGGAAGATGACAGAAAGCACAAAATCAAAAACTTTGTGAGTTTTTAAAGAATTACCTGCCTTCTGGAAAAGAAGCCGCCAATGCCCTCTGCAAGGCCGCGCATTTCTGCGGGTTCACGTGCAAAAAGTAGTGCAGGACATTTGCGAAGCGCATGAGAAAGCTCTCTAGACGTCGAGATTCCCGAAGCAACGATCGCCTCGATTCGTTCCCGAATCCCGTTGTTACTACACGCCAGGAGCTCTTCAGAAAACCTTCAAATTTTGCGTCAATTCGACAGAAAAAAAGTACAGCGGGCGTTTATTTTATATCTTAAAAAATCTCTTGAGGAAGAAATCGAAAAAACATGAAAAGATGATTTAATTTAGAAAGAAAGTACAACTCTCGACAAAACACTTGCAAACATTGAAGCTAGTAAGAAGGTCGAACACCTATTACCATAGCGACACTTATTGCGTCGCCCAGAAAAGGAACACCTCATCACAACTGTCAAGTCTAACTGTGAAGGCTTTTGAACGCGACCGGAAAACAAATTCATAAAAATCTTGAAAGGTTTTTGATAACCTATATGTGCATTATCGCAATTCAATGAACAGCTCAAAAAACTTACGAAACTGCGCTTTTCGAACGTCTGGGAACAAGAAAAGAGAGACACTAGAAAAACCATCAATGCATTAAGAATTTCCCTAGTGAAGAGAAAAAGGCGAAGCGGTGCAGTATAGGACAAAAATGAAAAGAACCTCGATTGAAACGAATAAACTCCTCCACCAAATCCGAAAAAGGAGTGATTTGTAACTTCAACCAAACTTCTTCTTAACTAATCCATTCATGTCCAGAAAAATGCTGTCCCTTTAATTAAAAGTCCTAAACACCCTTTTTCTGTTTTAAAAAGTAGCGGAAATGATGAGTCGAAAATCCAAAAATAAGCTTTGGAAGTATGAAAAAAAAAGACCAAGAGAGTTGTCACGGGGTAAATTGAGGTAAGAAATTCGCAAATTTAGAAAGAAAAAAACGAACTCGGAAAGTATCCTGAGAGAATCTTCATAGGTGAGATTTCCTATGGAGACAAGAGTGTTGATGATCTGCAAATAAAAGTAGGATTAAACATGACGGAGAGTTTCCACGTTGGCCATTTGCGCGGCAACGTCATAACTTTTTGAATTTCTAACACTTCAAAAACATGTCATATCACTATTTCTCATTTTTAATGTTCTTCAGAAAGTTGCTCATCATAGAGGCACAGAAAAGTGCAGCGAGAACCTTGAGAGAAGACTCGCCGTGAGTGGTGAGAACGCGGAAGAGCTCCGCCTTCTGAACGCAGCCGTCGAGAAGAAATTCTGGTCGGACGCCTGGAAACGGCAAAAAAGACTCGGGTGACATCAATCATTGTTGATAAAGGTACACGAAACGCCTCCGGGTATTACAAAAAGGGAGACTGAGAAGCAAAATCACACCTCCTGTAGACAAAGTGCGCACTTCGCAACTACTTTCTCGATACAAATCGCGTCTGCAATCCACAAATCCAGCTACAAACTCAGGACGAAACAAACTCCTTTGTGTGGTCACGAGACAGCTACGCGACTTGCGTCAAGAGCGAGTTATAAGGAAGGAAACAGTGGCAATTTTTTCTTTCGGAAGTTTTCTTACCGATAGAGACTAGACGAACCAACGCCTGAGTAACGCTTTCGCGCGCCGGCGAGTCCTTTCCAGGAATCAAAAAAATCGTCCCTCGTTCCTTAAATGCATTGAATAAAAAAAGTCTTCTGATTAAATTCCTTATTTATTTTTGTAAAAGGCAAAGTCGGAAAGGGTGGAAAAAGGCTACATAGTAGAAATGTTCCTTTTAGGATGACAAAGGTTCCTTTTTCGCTGCCTTTTTGCGCCATTTTATCGGCTCTTATGCACCATTTTTGCTGCCTCTTCCTTTTTCCACCATTTCTTGAACCTTCAGAGTTCTAGAAAACAGGGAAGTACATATATCGATAAAGGGACTCTCTTTGCTGCCTTTTTGATGTCTTTCTTCGGCCTTTTTTAAGCCTATCTCTTTTATTAGCCATTATCTACTGTTCCGACTTTGCCCGGGATTGTCCAAACGCTATCCTAAAAATTGAACAAGGCTCTGGAAAAACTTCTAGAGCGATAAAAAGTTTCGAGCGGAACCCCGAAGATACGATCAGGAGAAAGAAACTTAAAATTTTTTTAGCTCTTACGGGCTGAGATTTTTGTTTTAAGAGGTCAACTGTACATGGAACTTTTCTTAATCAGAAGAAAATCCTAAATTTTCAGTATCCAGAAGTATTTTCGCGCAAGATAATGAGAAAAAATTTCAAGCTTGTTCAATCCTTTTTCGGGTAGAGAATTGGACCACCTTGTGCTCGGCAACGATCTTCTCGATCATTCCTCCTTGCGGTCGAAGATCTTCTTCTTTATAGTTATGTGATCTAAAATCCTCAGCGACATCAATTGTTCTCGGTTCCGCCAGCTTTTCTGCAATTTCAATTTGAATAAAATGCATAGAAAACTCCGGATATTCCTACAAAAACGTCCCTACGCGTTTATAATAACCTTTTCCTCCTATCAAAGTAAATCACCGAGGAAATTATGCAATAGCGTGGAATTTGGAAACTACAGAAACTATGATAAAGCTGATTCACGGCCAGCTTGAGAAGCTAAGGGGGCGTGTACTGTCTGCGCTCTCCACGAGCCAGGCGCTATCTCGTGCATTATCGTGTGGACCACTTTTTCGATGGCTCAAACCAGCCATGAATCAGCTATACAATACTTTGAAGAAAAATGATAATCACAGTTTTTCAAGAAAAGAAACCTGCTTTTCGGATTCTGTTTTTCAATTCTCGCGGCTTCGAGTGCGTCCAGCGGGCGGAAGACGAAGTTTGAGCCGCGGAAATCTTCAAAATTTCGTAAATAAATTTCGTTTTTTCTTTTTGATAAGTTCTGTCATAAAGTCTCTTTTGAAGCTTTAAGATAGAGAAATTCTACAGTAAATCTCAGAATGACATAGAAATATAGAAAAAGTTATCCAGTTCAGACTCAAAACAATTGAGCCTATTCAAAAAATTATTTTGAAGTGGTCATGGTCATGGATAAAGCCAAGAACTTCTCAGTGATTTATATACCATTGCGGAAGGTTGCCACGCCTTCTCGTGATTCCGCAGAAGCCATAAGCTCCGAACTGCAGTCTGCAAAGCCAATCGAGACATTCTCGGCGTTGAAACGCTGTGGAATAATATTTGGAACCTCCTAGGAAGTGGGAATTATAGAGTATAAAGATGCTCGAAAATAAAAATCAACTTTTTTAGCCACTTTGTCGAGAATTCCGACGACTTTGAAGAAATTCATCAAGTTTAGAAGGTCTTGATAATAAAATAAGGGAATTGGTATGCGACCTGCGCTGAACGAGTAACGTTGCTTCATGAAAAAAGATTTATCACGAAAAAAAAAACTTGAAAATACACAACTTTTGTGAGAACGAAGAAAAGATTGAAGATCATTTGGATGGAAGTAATCGGCATAGTGAAACAACTTCGAAAAAAAAAATCTAAAAGGAAAAACGAATAATTAGAGAGATTCACAGTGTAACGATACCCCATGAAATACACGTTGAATATAATCTCATAATTATGATTGAAAGAGTATTATGCCAGAAAGAAGAGACCGAAAAACAAAGCGTTATTGGATGATTGAACACAATTATGGAAGAACTGAACCGGAAGTAAAAAAAAACAAAATAAAGTTTTATGGTAAATCGAAAAATTTCGAAAAAACCATTTGTACTCCATCAAACATGAAAATTTGTGTCAATGCAAAAAAAAAAAATGAAGTTTCAAATTTTTTTCTTCTTCAATAAATGTTTAGTGCCAGTCTTTTTATTATAGAAAACCTATTATATGAAATATTTGCATTTTTTTTTATTGGCGTTTTTTTCTAGGGCTAAGAATTACAAGATTTTTCAAAAACTCTTTCAATTGCTTTTGCATACAGCCCAAAATAACATATTTAAAAAAAATTTCTTAAAAAAAATCGTCATAAGTTGGTTGAATTTTTTTGAAGTTCGCGCCGTACAAAAAAATTGTAGCCAGTGATTTAAATTTGGAAAAAAATGAATCAAAAAAATGTTGAAAAATACATCGAAACCGGATTTGTAAAAAAATTATGGATAAGACAAGAAACTGAAGATTTCACAGAGAAACCATCGAAAGGGGAGATTTACGAATTATTATAAAACCAAAAAAATCCCAAAAAAACACGAAGAAAAAGATCTAAAGACATTTAAAAACAACCTTTTTAAAATACACATATAAAAAAATTGAAATACTTTCTTACAGCCTCCACGATAACAGTGGGAAGCGAAAAAATGTCGACTCATTCCAAATCTTTCAGTTCATTCGCATTTGATACTCGCCGTTCTGCGTGATGTACCTGACCCAAGGAAGAGCTTGATAGCCGCTCTTCTCAATTATTTTCAAATATCGCACCTAAAAATGTTTTTTTCACAACGGAACCGCGTTTGATAGTATTTTCTATCTCTTTGAATTGGGTATAGCTCACTTGAATGCCTGAAGTTGTGAAATATGGGATCTCGAATTTAACTTTGATGGGCGGCCGTCCTTCTGATTCTTCGCTCATCACGGACGGCAACGAGAAACTCGCGTTCAGCAAGTACTCTTTCCCTCCTCAAACATACTTTTTCAACGATTTCAAAACATCTCAACATTAATTCATACTATGGTCGACTTCTGCCGACTTGAAAGATGAAATTATTAGACTGGCAAATATGAAGCGTTGCGTGCGCGACGCGGTTTTTGGCGTGAAACTCGACGTCAATCGCGATGCATCTGTTTTTTTTTCACATTGTTGTATATGACTGCCTTGAGCCACCAAAAAATGGGTCCTAACACGATGAAAAAGAATACAGTGCCTGTAGGGTGGAGAGCGCAGACAGGCCGCACCTCTCAGCGTCCCAAGTTAGCCGTTATTGGCTACATTTTTGATCCTTCTTTCATTTTCATGGTTTTGGAATTTTAGTTGGCCGCAAAAAAAATTTTTTTGTTTTGTACTCTTTTTCCGGGAACCTCGAAATTCTTGTCAAAGGCCGCGCCGCATACGGAACGCGTCATTCTTGCCATTTCTTGCCCGCATCACTTTCCCATCGGGAAAAATCGACTAGAAAAGTGACCATAATTTTTAAAAACAAGTTCCAAACAGGGAAAAAAACCTGGGAAGCTTTTGATAGACCAGACGAAAGCGCTCTGCTCCGGCGTGTACTTGACCGAGCCGATGCTCGTTTTGAATTTGGGAGAGTCGGCGTCCGACGGAACCGGGATGATGATTTCCACGTTGTTGGCAGTAGAACGTCGCTTGAATTGCGATTTTGCCTAAAATACACAAAATTGTTGAAACCCAGCAAACTTTGTGGTGAAGGTCAACAGGTTTAACGAGAAGATAATCAGAAATTAAAAAAAGTTTGATTGACAATGCTACGCAGGAAAAAATGAAACTTTCGGCTACCTTAATCATGAAAGAGACTCTCGAGTGACTGTGGCGCTCAATATTTGTCTCTATCCAAATCAACGGCTTCACAACAGTCGTCAACCTGAACCCAGATCCTCGATGAAAAAAAAAGAGAAAGCGAAAAAAAAAACCGATAGCTCATTAGTTCGAAAGCGCCGTCTGGAGGAATGAACGAAATGGTCCGGTCGGTGTCAAAACGGGACAGACGGACGCATTGGTGGAACTTGACGTCTTCCAGCTCCACCGACTTGCTCTTCCCTCCTACGAGTTGTTCAAATATTTAAAATTCTACTTTTGTTTATAATGAAGTTATTCGACTTCTCTACAGATATATCCTAATAGCCGAAAAATGAATAAAAAAGAGCGCAGGCAACATATTTTTGATATGTACAACATAAATAGAGCACTTCTGATGCTGGTTTGATGGAATTCGAAACTTATTGGAATTAAAAAATAATGACACAAATATGAGCTTTTCACACAGGCAATGTCCGAACGGCTTTAAAAAGGCTTCAAAAAAAAGCTCCTTCTTGAGTTCCTAAAAAGGTGTCAAAAGTTTCTCGGAATTTCCTCTTTTTCTCCTCAAAACTGAGAAAAGTCCAGGGGCCCTATAGAAGGACAAATGTAGGCCCTAACTCAACCCCTATTGAGGCCGTGAAAATCTGGTTCAGGCCCCCTATAGGAGTTAAGTAAAAGGCGCCTCTATAGGGGTACGATCAAATTTTCACTGGACTTTACTTCTTCATATTCGTCCCGAACTCTTTCAAACAACGCTTCTTAGAAAAATTTTAAAAAAAATTTACGCCTATAGGGGCCCCGAATCGTTTAGGGGGCTCAAGGGAAGCTCCGAGGCCCCTATCGGGACCCCTAAAATTTTCTTAGAAGGTCCGTATTAATAAAAATTCAAGAAAAAAGACGCTTTTTTTCCAAAAATTATTTTTGAGACCTCGTGGACTTTGCCCGTGTCAGCTAAGTAAAAGTTTACGGCCTCAAGAGCCCAGAATTTGAATTCAACGCATTTTGTTTTTTTCGCTTGTAAACGTTACACGAAATTATTCCAAACAACTTACTGCCACTTCCTTCGAACAGTACTTTGTCGTTGAGACCGAGTCGCAGTTCAGGCATTCCTGTGAGATAAACGCGCATCTTCACACTGCCCACAATTTCACTTTGCAATACGGTTCCATTTGCGTTAGCCTAAACTGTCTTCTTCAGCTTTTCAATTGGAAGAAATAAATGACCAGCATGTTGACGCTTTCCACAACGTCCAGAAAAACTTCATTTTTCCGATATTTGATTCCCTCACTACGCCAGGAAACGGCGTTTGTAACGGCCATCGGTGGCCGAGGAGCCGCTTCCAATTTCTGGCCTTCTTGGGTTATGTATCTAAAGTCGAACAATTTCTCGGAAAGTTATAAAGAACGCAAACTCAAAAAGAAGAAGAAACTAACTCTTGCAGGATACGACTCTCCGTGGTTTGTGGAAATCCAAAATCCATCATTTCGTCGAGTAACTCGTAGATAACGACAAAATTGTCGCGAACCGACTCTTCTTCCACGTCTTTGAAATATTCTGCGAAAACCTAAAATTCGAAATTTCTTGATGATAGCGCGAAAATAGAGCAGTGTTACTCACCTCGATGCACTTATAGAGGAACGACAAAACCAGCGCCACGTTGACGTTGCTCCGGCATGTAGAAACAACTTGAACGATACTTTCAAAGAAGAAAACTATTTGAAACAAACGATATATGTTGCTGTGCTTGATGTACACAAAGTGAACGTCCTGTTGGATCAAAACGGGAGATGTGACGCCGTCTTCTTCCCGCTCCATCAGCAACGGCATAAATTTGTCAATCACACCCATATCTACATCGCCTCGGTAGTTACGGGCGATTATCGTCTGAAAGATGTACATCAATGGAAACTTTCAGACACTAACCTTTCCTTTGAGGTCTAAAATAAAAACGGCGGAAGCTGACATTTTCCAAGTATTTTTTCACGCCACTTACTCTTTCGAAATCGAAAAAGTATTCAGCAGCCGTTTAACGCCTGAATGTTAATTTTTGGTTTACATTTCGCGTCATTGGTGCGTAATGTGTGATCGAGTGGTAGGAAATCTTGTCATCAAAACGGATACAAAATAATATATTTTTAAAACAAAATAACACGATGAGACTTTACTCCGATGGAAAACGAAAAATAACTTATAAAGCAAAAGAACTGAAAAAAAAGCGGCAGAAACAACTCAATGGCGTATCCTTGGTGGGGATCGATTTTCGCCATTGAACGTCGAAACTATGGTCGGCGCGTCATTAATTTTATAATATTAGGGAAATATGCAGAGCAAAAGTGAAAAGTACAAGTAATACGTGCAATGATAAAATATTTCTCATTTTTTTTTCGAAAAAATTTTAATGATGTTTTTGAATACGAAAATAAAAAGGAACAAATGACACTTTATGAAAATTTCAACCATTTACAGGAAATTTTTTTCAAGCTCCTAGGACTCAAATTAGCGACTACTAGGTTTTTTTGCTCGAACTTCATCACACAAATCGAAAAAAATGAAACACAAAAACCAAAACTGATGAGAAATACATTAAATACAAATTGATAGTTTTTGGAGAGAATGAAAAAAATGTACACGCGTCTCAAATAATTTTTTTATAACCCAAGGATTCCTAAATAATTTGTTTATCGCGTTTCGAAATTCTTTTTCAAACTTTAAAAAAATTATATTTGCAAATTATAAAATATAACGTCGTCAGACAAGGCGCTCGCGGTGCGCGCTCCCGAGACGCAAATTTACACACTGCAACATCGCGGCCATACGGCACCGGTACACTAAGAATAACTGACGAGATAAATGCGAGCTCGGTGGCGGTACATTGACTAACTCGCAAAAATGTCGCTTTTTTCTAGGCGCGATCCCGCATTTATCTCGACGCGACCTCGCATTTTTCTCGGCGCCATCTCGCATTTATCTTGCATTTCGGAAATTTTCAAATTGCGAGAGAAATGCGAGCTCGCGCCTAGAAAAATGCGAGCTCGCGCCCAAACAAATGCGAAACCGGCGCGAGAAAAAATGCGAGATGTTTGCGAGCTCGTCAATGTACCGACAGTGTCTCGCGTTTATCTCGGCAGTTATTCTTAGTGTAGTTTAGAAACGTTTTTTTCGGTAATATTATTAGGCCCATCAAGACGTGAATACTTTTTGTTACCCTGAAAGAGGGAGATTCTGAAAATAATTTCAAAAAAAAGGAAAAAATTGAGAAAAATTTCCTAGTTCCGGAACAGTCGTAGCTTCGAAGAAATATTGACCGGCCTCCGAACGAATTAGCACTACGTCAAACATGCGTGCCCAGTTCAACTTGGCCATTTGAACTTAAAAAAAAAGCTTTTTATGAAATTTGGCTGAAGTGTGCCTCATTTCGCGACTTTTCGCAGAACTCTCACATCCTTGTTGGCTACAAACAAACATTTCGAAAAACGTATTATTCTGATAGAAAATATCCAAAGTTTTAAAGATTTTTTTGTAGGGATAAAATACGAAAAAGTACTGCATCAAAGAAATAGTAGAATTTTTCGCTAAGTCTTTCAGTTTTTTTAATCATGGTGAAATTGAATTATTTAACATAGTTTTTTTAAATGTTTGATGAACACGAGCGGGTATAAAACTTTATCCGAAATTTTCTGGATCCATTTTTGGAAATCTTCGTTGAAGATAAGCACGTCTGTGATCCACGTTCGTATGAAGGGCTTCCATGATTTTTCCTTGTTGGCTCATTTGCAGCTTGGTCCAGTCCATGGGGTAAAAATCGCGAGGGTCAAGCTCGAAAATAACCTTAACAATATAATAGATGATACGTAGCGGAAAAAGGATTCGCGTCAAAATGTTAAAAAAAAGTTTTTTGAAGTCTCAATTTTTTCTTACTAGCACGCAAAAAATTGAACTGCGGAAAAATCACTTCGTCATTTGTCTGCATGATGTCGCGGTAGTATACCATAGCGTCCTCCTTGGCAAGATAAGCCAGCCACCAGCCAAAAGTCGAAGAAGGAGCTGCAAAACCATGATCAATGGGTAAAAAATATTGTCAATTCAGAACCTGTAATAAGGACGACGTCGCAGAAAGTGCGAGAAAAAGCGAAATCGACTTCGGGGGCGAGTGTTGGAGTCAGAACGGCCGTGTAGTTGGGCGATAAATCGGGCAGAGGACCGACTTCTGCACTTCTTTCCGAGTATTTCGCTCGTGTCTTTATTTTATCTGAAAAGCGATGAATAAAGAACCATCGGAGATCTTGCCGTGGAAAAGGGAGTGCGACCAGAGTGGATCGTTACCCAGCAGAACCACCGAAACGTTTGCGTGCACCCGTTGGTCTGGAAGAATCCATGAAAAAAGCATCCGGTTTGAACTGAACCGTACATCTTCGGACTAGGAAATCCGTTGCAGCCCTTGTAAAGTCGGCCTGTGAAGGCAGATGCATGTTGTCTGTTACAAAATCTCCTCTGCGGATGTGGGTACAAATTCTGAAAAAGAAAATGAACGTTTTCTCGTCGCTAATATTTATGGGCTCGAGCTAAAAATATGCGATTCCCTAGTTTTTTTTTTCCAGTAAAGAGTACTTTAGAGTCGCAGAAACTTTAGTATTATTTTTGAAAGTATACTCTAGCGAATTGAATTATATCTTCCTGCCTTAGAGAGCATATTCAGCCAATCATAAAGCCTTTAAAAAGAGTAAATGCACCCCTTCAAGTACCACCTCTACGCGGTGATGGGGAGGCAACGCCATTTATGGCGGCTAACGGTACACCGGTCACGCAGTTCGGCTTGCTTCTGCTAACAGAATGGGCGGTCTTTTTTAGCCCTGGCAAGGCAAAAAGGATAATCAGACCAAAATTATGCTATAACACGTTCAACACCACGGATGGAACTTTTTCGCAAGAATACCAGTCAACCAGGACGATAACACTGGATGACCGATTGCATAAGACCTCCTGGAAAACGTGTGGTCCACGCTTCGATCAATAAAAGGCACTAAAAGGCAATAAAAGGTCGAAAGCGAAGATGGACCATCTAAGTATCTAAGTAAGTAAGTAAATGCTCCGTTTTTGTCTCAAGTCGGCAATGAGTTAGTTATAAATCACAGCAAACATGAAATGATCCCGATTTTCTGGAGGCATCATGAGCTCGGCTCTCAGAAACGACAATTGAGGCGGCATGAGCCATTGCCGGACCTCGTTCCGTATGTGCATGAAGTATTTATAGCTCTGGAACCATTTTGGGTTATCTTGACTGGAAACTGGCTACTTGAAAGTAGGCGCCGTCGAGGAAAAGGTTAGGAGACGTCAAGTTGGTGAGTCGCATCGGGTCGTCGTGAATGCAGCAGCCGCGAGAATTGAAAGGTATCACCGCCATGGACTCTTTCTGAAAAAGTGGATACCTTTGATTCTGGGGCTGGGAAGAGCAAGTTACCCGAACAAGTTTGATGGAAAACTGCTTGAGCAATTCCGGAAAGAGAGGCATAACGTTCTGGTAAACACTCTGCATAAGAGCTGGCTCAACGGCATTCAGCACCGGCTCTCGTAGGAGGAAGTCAGAGATGCCTCGTAGAGCACACAGTTCGAACAGTTGATTGCCTTGAAATTCCAATTAAGCCAACAATCCGGATAGAGCAGACTTGCCTAGACCGCCGCCGGCTATTATTCCGTACATTTTGGTAGTGAGAGTGGCTACCGGCGGCATCTTCACTTCTGGAGGCTGATCTAGAGGTCGGATGAATGGCGCAAACAAGGGAACGAACGGCTGCAAGGCCAAATATCATCGTGAGGGTAAAGGGACCAGACTCACTTTGCATGGCGTTTGGGGCTTCAAAGAAACTTTTTCAATGGTGCCATCCAGAGGGTCTGTTGGAATAAAAGAAGCAAGCCTGAAGAATGCCTTTGAAAACTGGTATCTTTTCGGATCGACACTTTTGAAAAAGGTCGAAGTTTACGTCTTCAATTCGTCGAATGTGAGAAACTTGAGTTTGAATAGAATGAAGTAGATATACAGCGAAAAGGGCAACTGAAAAGACTGAATCGGATTTTTGTCTGTTTCGAGTGGTTTTCAATGTTCCGTGACCTCGTCGGTGACGGAATCGAGGACGTTGACAAGGTAGACTGTTTTAAGTCTAGGAGAAGGGGTTATATGAAAATTGTGAAGAAAAAATCGAAAAATTATCCTCATTTTTCAAAGATTGGGGTCTGCTGAATAACGAAATAAGGACTTTTTCACCGCTTCGTCAATCTGTGGATGAACAAAAACCTCTCTATCTCATTTTATAGTTTTTTATCTTCGTGAATTAACGCAAGACGGACGAAACGAAGCTGAGAAAAAGAAGACCCACTGAGAAGGTGCACAAAATGAAGTTTGAAGTAGACCAAGAGTTTTCGGCCGTAGTTTTTGGCGGCAACAGTCGCAGTGCTACACATGTGAATTTTCAGTAGGGGAGAAATAGATACGATCCCGGAGATGACTGGGTGATACAACTACTGTTTGCGTGTTTAATTAGCTGCAGGATTTCAAATGACCGTCCAGCCGCCCCAACGGGAATTTTACAAATTCACACCTTTATTCAATTTCCGATAACTTTTCGAAGATTTGCCCGACGTCTGCAGTTAAGAATTTGATCGATTTTTTAAAGGTCGTTGTGATATGAAGATTACTGTGCGAAACTTTCAGAGAAAGAAATAAGCGTGATAAACACACTATTTTGGACTATCGGCGATAAGAACTTTTATTTTCGCCGCTTGCCTCTCTATTGTGTCGTTATGTGTTTGAGCTCTGAAAATGGTCTGAAAGATCTATTGGAATTCCTTGGGAGGGAATGAGGGCACAAAAGCGTTCGACAGCGCCAGTCACTTTTGCATCCTGTTTGTTCTTTTTTCTCAGCCCCACTCGTTCTTTGCTCGCGTCGTACTATATCGGAAAACTTTTACTTGGAAACCGCACACGTGTGTTCCATCTGCAGGCTCAGCACGGTCCTTTTTCAGTTCAACTTTTTTTCTCTTCATTTCGCTTTTCTGCCACTTTTTGTCTGCCCTCAAGAAATCGGTTTCTGTTTAGATGCACACTTTCCCAGATGCAAGTTTATTCTCCAGAATTCGAGTTTAGGCTTTTAATTTTGTTTCTGAAATCCTGATTGCAGTCAGACTTGAAGTAAGGATTCAGAAACAAAAAAGTGAGACTCAGGATCGTAGAGCTTAAAAGTCGGAAACTCCCTATGGGCTACGTTTTTGGCTTTGCGCCAAACAATTCTTCCTCATTTTCTTCGATTTCTTCTCAACTGAACGTTTCTTGTTCCGTCGAAGGTTGATATGAAACCTTGTTTTTCCGCATACCGTATAGATCATTGAGGCCTCTTTTTTGGATTCTCCCGAGATTGATCTTTGGAGGTTTTTTTCGTCTGCCGTTGAAATTAATGTAGACCTCAGCGCAAACGATGGCCAAAAAGGTGGTGAATGAACCGAGGTCTTTTAAAATTTCGTTTTAGAATTTTTTTTTTTCGCATTTTTTCTGTGGTTACAAATTAGCTGAACTCTTTCGAACTAAAGAAGCTAGATAATATATGAAATGTGCTGAAGTATAATTTTTTCCAATAACTGTTTTTGCTACCTATCATCACGGTTGTATATGTATACGTTTTTAGCAGAAGTAATTTTTGAAAAATAAATGAAGCGAACGTCTTTTTTTTTCGAAGTATGCACGTTGTGAAAGAACTCGGAATGTGCAAAAAGTTGATGAACCAAAGAGCAGCCGTAAATTAAAGACAAAGTCGTTAAAAGCTGACTGTTTGGGAAGAAGGAGCGGCGGAAGACCGCAGAGAAAGAGAGACGAAGCACGCAATATTATCGGATTGTAGCCTCGGAGCCCCTTTCTGGCTCTCATCGCGTGTGCAAAGCGGCTAAACCGCAGAAGACGTCACGAAAGCCGCAAACCGACGTCTTCATTGGTCCCTCGGTGTGCCTTTCCGACCCTTTTTTCATCAAACACTTCGCAAACCTCAAATTAAGATCCTTCCTTAACTTAAATGATCAGCAAAGCCTGATATCTTCACAATTTTATGCGTTCAAACACTAGCTTTTTCTTTTTTGTTTCAAAACAACGGAAATAGAGGCCAAATTTGCATGTTCTCCTTGAATTTAGAATGGAATTTGACGACGACTGGATCGAATTTCGCAGCATTTCCGCGTTTTGCACACACACACACACGCACAAACAAGCGCAAATACCGATTCGAACGTCTTTATTTGTTGTTTTAGGCCCTTCACTCGCTAAATGAACAATCGCTGGCATTGCCTTTTCTTTTCAGACTATGAACTTATTTAATAATTTATGAGAAAGTGTTCATTTTTTTCTGACTTGTTTCACTTTGATTTCAACTCATATATTTGTGTGGCTGGTGCTTACGGCGTTTCCAGAGCTACGTCCCGCCCACAAAAATTCGTCAATCATGATGTTTCTTGTGCATCTACCGCCGACGAAAATTAACATACTGTCGAAATTTTTATATATATTTTTTTTCAAAATCTGTGAATATTTTTACAATTCCTCCTGGCTACTGAATTTGCTCTGCCCATAAAAACGTTTGTTCTATTTTTCTGCCTATTTGAAACTTATATTTCGAAAAAATCTTTCTATAACCGAGCGAAACGGATTAGATTGGCTATTTTATTTATTTTTTGACTTATAGCTTTTTATGATTCCATTTACTAAAAGCTCATTTCGCGTTTTCAAAGTACTATTTTTTACTTGAAGGTGATCCTTTGAAATGGGTTTTCTTTGGTCCCGAATAGCGCTATTCGGGACCAAAGAAATAGCAACTTTTTCAAATCTTCATCTTGACCCGATTCTGACTCAATTTGAATATAATCCTGGACTTCAAGCGCGAGATAGCCAATTAGGCTCATTTAAGCTCGAAAGAGCGTGAGGCAACGAGATTGGGGATAAATACCGGCCAAGTTGAGCTTGTCGCCGGGCAACCCCGCTGTGTCGCACTAATTCCTGATTTTCCTTCACCTTTAGTCTTTTTCGAAAACTTTTAACAGCATGTTGTATTCTTTTACAATCAATTTTTTTGAGAAAAAACTCACCTCCGAATTTTTCTCAATCTAGATCTTCATTACTCTGTCTCATCTCTGTTAGAAAAAAATTTTTAGGTTTTTTTTTAAGACCCTCATAGAAGTCGTTATGCTGTGTTTAAAGTAATTTCCGCGAGGTGCAAAATTATCTCTGACTCTCCGAAATTCAGTGATATTTTTATTTCTCTGACGGCAATTTTGAGTTTCGCGGAATCACTTCGAACACGGCATTACAAAGTCCTTTTTAAAAACGTGAATCAGTATTCAAAACAGGTCTCGAGGGGAATTACCTGCGCTTGGCGTCCTTAAAAACGCATCGAGCATTTCTGGTCGTTTTATTTTTTTTCTAAGTGAGTCCGAAATATAGCACATGGCGGTGCATCTGCACGCAGTCAAAATAAACATTCTCAAAAACTTGAGTTTCATTGCTTTTTTTTGTCTTTCGGAAGAGATTTGATGGAATTTTTCATTTGGATTATTGGCAAGCGACTGCTTGGAAGAAAGCGTGAAAAGAGCTGAGATTGTGACAAGTGGTGGGAAGCGTGACAAAGGCCGCCGGGTACATGTTCCACTTGTCGGACACTTGTTGCCGCATCCATGCTCGCCCCGCCTCTCATCGTGCTTCTGATATTTTGTTATCGCCTCCAACTAACCGCCAACGACAAGACTTTCTTTTGAAGTGTTTTTCCTACTAGCCGAGATGCTCTCTAACACAAACTCGGCCCTGGCCATCACCCTTGTCCTTGACGCCTGGTAACTCCCTCCTTACTGTCCCTTCCCAGTTCTAATGCAGACTTGCTTCAAACAAAGAACACAACGGAATGAGCTGCCACTGGCTTTTATGCGTAGACCAGGACGAAGTGGAGAATCTCGGCGTGTCCGTCAGACTTTCTTCTTGGCATTGCGCGCCGACCTCTTGGTTTTGTCCGATTTCTCGACGTTCAGACTCGCTATTTTTTCCAGCGTGTCGTCTTCGTCGGACTTGGGCTAAAAATGTTTTCTCGGTAAGATTGTATAGACTTTTTTACTGTTTTTTGTTCATGTACGCTCACTGTGAATAGTTTGGGTCTCATGAATTTTATATTGGGTCCAATTCCTTCTTTTGTGTATTCAGAGAATATTATATGAGAATAATGGTTCGAAAAAACTCCACAGTGAGAGCCGGTTTCAAACTTCAAGACTATTATTTAGCGTGAAAAGAAAGACGTACATTTTCATTTTTAGAAGATTGGTTGGAAAAGACAACAAACTTGGAAAAATCCTTGAGCAATCTTCTCTTTTTTCTCTTTTTCCACTTCTTTTTCTTTTCGTTTTTTTGTACTTTCTGTCGGCATCTGAACATTAAAAATCAGAAAAATTCGAGAAGAAAAATCAGAACTCACCACAAATTTGGGAAAAGGTCTCTGAGACTGCATTTCTTTCTGCAAATCGAGTTTTTGTATATGCCGCAAATTGGATTGCGCTTTGAGAAAAGCTTTCTCATGATAAGAACATAGGATCCTGTAAGCAAACCTTGGTTTCATTGGGTTTCTCCGCTTGTTTGGCTTCCTCGTTCTTCGGTTCGTCTTTCTTGCCGTCGTCCTTCTTCACTTCGTCTTTTTTCGGATCCTCCTTCTCAGGCACATTTACGGCCACGTCGCTGTCCTTTGCCTCGACATCTTTCGCATCCTTGGCGTCGTTATTGGCTGCAGGCTTTTCCGCCGACTCTTCGACCTTTGTTTTCGATCCCATCTCCTCCGTTTTCTTCGGCACCTCATTCGATGCTGGCGGCAGGGGCGGCTTCTAGAACTCAGATTGTTCTACAAAAAACCGTCTTCGACCCGACTGCTTCCGAATTGTTCGACGCCGTCGCGGTGTTTTTCTTCTTGGCGCACAACGTCAGCAAGACGAGCTGTGAAGCTGCGATGCCCTGTTGAAAAACAGAAGGAAAAGTGTCAGTTTCCGAATTTCGTGATGAAAATATCCAAGACCACCTCAAAGAACCTTACCAACGAGAACAATTGCAAAGCTTCGTTCATAACAATATGCTCGGATATATTGAAATGACGATGGAGCTTGACTTTCTAGTCACGTTAATTTTTTTGATAAGATCTGAAAATGAACGTAAACATTTCCCAAGGTCTTTTTTTTATAGAATCCGTTTCAATCATAAATGGCCTGCGCCGCAACGCCAACCAGTTGCAAAACAATCGCCATGTAATTATTCCACCGCGATTTGGAGCGAAAAACTCGGGTTTCCTGTTGTTTGCGACCGTTTTTGGCATTTAAATCTACCCTTAAGGGCCAGACGATACTCTACCTTATCATGTAATTCGTTTCAGCTCATGCAAAAGTATCTCTCAATCAGAAATGTAGCCAAAACCTTATTTTATTAATACTGAAAATCAAATTTACCAGCCAAAAATCAATTTTTCTAGATCGTTTTGTCACCTGAGAAACCTATGTCGCGGGGTCTTTGAATTCATAAATTCCTAATGAACCTCCATTCAATCCGTCCTTGTCGCTCTGAAGCCTGGTTTTTTTTAGTTCAAGATGTTTTTTTCTCTCTTCCTAGTTTCCAACAGTATTAGAAACTGTTTCAAAGACTTTCAGTACCTATTCAAATCTTGGGGAAAATAAAAAGCACGCCGTAATAGCGCTTGTTTCGCTTTTAAGTGTTCTCGTTTCCACCACTCTTTCTCACATAATAACTGAAACTCGGGCAAAGTTGAAGAGTCGACGGGAAATAGCGGAAAAGAGAAGGAAGTGAGTCGAGTGACAAAAGCTCATTGGGCTCCGCAACGACCCCAAAACCCTTTTGGGGCTTCAAACTTTTTCTATTCACCATTTTCGGTCTTTAAAACTCTTTCAAGTAAATTTTTTTTCTTTGTTACTTTACGTGCAACGTAGTAGCTATGAATTTGAATGCACTGTTTCGCTACTTCATTTGGTGAATAGTAACTCAGAAACTCAGCTTCTCTTTTTTTTAAATAAAAAGTCTTCAAAGGGAGAACTGAAAATATATTTTTCACTATCAAATCGATATTTTTGTTAATCAACTATGGCTCTACTTTCTTCAAAACCGAGAACGGAACAGAATTAAAAACTTTTGTTGGCGCCGATATGCAACATTTTTGACGCGCTCTCGATCGCTCGTGGTCATTCCATTCATCCTTCCCGTCGACCCAAATTTCCTTTTGGTACTTTCCTTTCGATCTCGTCTCTCGCCCTCTACTCTCACAAACAGCCTATTCTGAAAATATTTTGATGAATATGGGTATTACCCGGTTATTTTTCTCACGTTGTTTCTTGGCGAAAAAAGCCTATCGCGTTTGACTTTACACAATTGAAAAAAAATCGAGATCTCCGACCAAAATATCTCAAAAATAAGCTAGAAAAGATAAGAAAGAAAAATTCTAGAGTTGCTCTTTCAAACAGCCAATATTTTTAACTTAAAAAAAGAAAAAGTTTGAAGGCGCATTACTTCCGCGGAATTCCGCAAAATATTTGTTCGTTTAAAAAAATTGGAAAAAAATAATATTGAGTGTGGGAATTTGCGTCGAGTATGTGCACAAAGAACATTCTATCTGACGACCTTTTTTTGTGGGCAGGGGCGGTCCTGAGGCAAAAGACGGCGCGTTTTGTTACCAAAACTGCGCACAGTTTCCCTTTTTTTACTATTTTTAACGGATTAAAAATTTACAAATTCAATATTTTTTTGTGTCCTTTTTTTATTTTATCTCTGCTCAATTAATGAAAATTTCGAACATACGAAAATTCAAAATTTTAAATATAAAATTATCAAATGAAGTTTTTTTCGTATTTTTTTCTCGAAAGTGCTCGATAATTTTTCAAAGCTAAGCCGTGCCGTCTATACACGGCGTTCCAAAAGGGAACCTCGCAGTAGAGAAAAATGAGGCAGAAAGTACCGCGCCTCAATTGCAGAAAACTGGGCGTGGTTTAGTTTTGTATTGGGAATTCAAAACCCTATTTCTTGTTACATTTTCGTTTCTGAGTGTTACTGCTGTGTTTATATTGTTCGTCAGCTCTGACTTCATATAAGTTGGTTGTGTCATGTCGCTCCTTGGCCGTTTACCGCTTTAGTTGAGGCAAAACGAAAAATGATAATTCGCGAGTTTTTAATTTACATGCCATGTATTCGACATCTTTCTGCTTGATTCATGTGCAGAATGAGTTTTTCTACAATCTAAAATTGTTCAAAAAAATCTTTGTCGGCAAAAATAATTTTTAAACTGAATTTCATGGAATCTTGTCAAATTTTGGGTGTTCCGCGCGAAAGATTAAAACTTTGTGGTATGTCGGTCAATCTTTTATTTTGATAGCTGAAAATGTTCACACAGGTTCATTCGAAAGAACATGGTTAATTAGAGAATTGGAAAAATTTTTAGAGAACACCTGCGAAGATCGCAGAACTACGCAACAAATGAGCGTTTTTTTCCATTATCATTCTATGTGATTTTTCGTCAAAACTTCTCAACAACATTCATTCAAATTTTTTACGTTTTACTATCATTCTTTCATCTTTTTAAACAACGAATACCATAGGCTTATAGCTGAAAAATTTTTTTCGTAAAACCGATTTAAAGGTTGAGAAGCAAATATACGGATAATTGTCAGTGAAACTTCATCGAATTGCTTCTTTATGTTTTGAAAGCTTCCACTTTTTCCATGGACATCATGATAATCACAAAAAAATACTCTGAATTCAATCGAAACATCTCAATTTCTTAAAATTTCGTTTTTTTGACATTTTTCTGTGAATTTTCAAAAAAAAGTTCTGTTGCGCAAGTACGCTCCAACGAACGCAAGGGCGCGGTAAAATGACACGCCTCATCGGCTCGCTTGCGAGTTCCCTTTTGGAACGCCGTGTATAGTTATTATGCTATTATGCACATATATATATATATATTTTTGTCACTTCGATTTTATTTCAAATGCGTGAAATAAGTTCCATGTATTCAAAAAGGAGGGCTTATTTTTCCATTGAATGTATTGTGTTTTTCGAATATTTTTCATTTTTTTGCCATGTTATCGTTATTGTTTCTTTTTAACTTTAGTAAGTCTATCTTTAACGCGACACAGATAGGTTGATTTTAAAAATTTTTTTGCGTTGAAAAACTTCCGGAGATTAGAAAAAAACGTTATAATTCCAAACTCGGATGTTTAACTTCTGAAAATTCTTCTGAAAAAATTTGTTGATATAAAAAGAAAAAACTCAAGATGACAAGGTTGCGAAAATCAGGGATAAGATGGATGGCTGTAGCTTTTATTTCTTCGCTCCTAGCAGGCCCCTCGATCCACAGCTGTTTTTTTTCCCAAGTTTTCCACTCAAGAGTTTCAGCCTTTTATTGCGAAAATTCCTTTTTTTTTCTCTGGGATATTGCTTACTTTTTCTGCTTATATCAAATTTGTTTTACAGTAAATTGAAAAAAAGTTTCAGCACGGCCCTTTATGTTTCTTAACCTTTTTTCATTCTCATCTCGTTTCTTTTTGTTCCGATACTTTATCATTTTGATAATCTGGTAATTTTTTCAGTTTTTATCGAGCGATGAATCTTTCGCAGTGCTAGCAACGGCTTCTCTATATTTAACGTAATTTTTTTAAAAATATCGATCTTATATATTTTTTTAAAATAAACAAAAAAACTTGAAAGAACTTCAATTAAGTTATTTAGAATAAGTTACCTATGTCGAGCGGACAAAACACCTGGGCATGTTATTTCATTCGGTTTTCAGGTACCGTAGATCGGAACGTTAAAAGTCGAGATGGCCGCCACCGCCGTCTCATCGACTCCTACTTCACCAATAGGCAAGGAAAAACGGTCAGTTCTAGACTCAGTTTTGAAACGTGATAAAATTTTAGTCTCATATAAACAATGCGTTTTTTTTTCGAAAACCCAAGAACTGTAAGAAAGTGTATGTTCTTTCGCAGACCCCAGATGGTTAAAAGATGATCCGATAGTTAGGATATATCGTCTTGCGCACACTTTTGCCATTTGCTCGCAGCTGCTTCCCATGTTTTGTTTCCTTCTACGGACGCAGTTCCTTTTCGGACGCTGTACGTTTCTCGGCCACCGTTCTATAATGTTATGCCGACATTTTTGACTTGTTTAGGAAATGTTTCCGGCTGGATGTGCAGTATTGATTCTTGTCTCAAATCGTCTCGCTTTTCTGCAGAACGATAATCCACGCTTAATTCCACTATAGCCCATGAAAGGAGGTTTTCTTATGGAACTCCGTGCTGCCTTAATGACGATCATTTTCTCGCGGCCCCACTAATTGCAACTCGGGTGGCACTCCGAAAACTTCTTCGTTTTCCTCTCACTCTTATTATTTTACATCCTTTTTTTCTTTGAATGCAGACTTTTAATTTCCCATGGCGAAATAGCGATGAGAGCGATGTAAAAATTTGCCGTCATGCATTTTCGTTTTCAATGTACGCGACGTGCGTTGATCGAACGGCAATACCACGCTTCCTATCCGTTTTCTCATTTCTTCTGAAGTTTTCTTCTTCGATTTCTTGATTTATTTTGTATTTTGAAATTTTCTCGCTTAGAACAGAGAATAACGTTCCTACTGCTTCTTTTTGTGTTGAGCAGGGCTGCTAGAACTCAAAATTGTTTCGCATTAAGATCTAACATTTTTTCGCCAATTAGACCCAATATTTTTTTGGAAAAAAGCCTGGTTAACTTTTTAATGAACCTGATATGTATACACGGTGGAATACACCGCACGCGATATTGCGACTTTCGTTGTTTTCGCTAACGCAAATTTCGCTAATATTTTTTCATACCATCGAAGTATATCATGAAACACAATCTTTAGGAATTTTCGAAATAAAAAGCAAAGGCAAAATTCAAAAAACATGTTGACGCGATGAGCCGTTCTCACCAGAGTTATTCAGGATCATGGAAAAAACAAAAATAATGGCGGGGTGAGAAATTTTGCGCCTTACTGGTACACTTCCTTCTCGGAATGATTTTTTTCGACGTTATGAAAATTTAATTTTCTTTCATCCCTGGAAAAAATTGTCAACCAAAAGTGTAATGAGATAAAAAAAAACCGCAAACCAGTTCTTTAAAGTGAAGAACTAATTTTTTCTCTATAAACATTTCCTGTTTTCAATTTCCATCCGGAAGTCCGGTAAAGGAGCCTGTTACTGTTGAGAAGGGTCTTAGAAAAGTTGAAGACTCTTATTTGCCGCCGCGTATCTTCTTTTCCTCCAACTTGATCGCGCACTGAGCAAATTTTGTTCTTTTTTTTTGAGGACCTTTTCCATGATCTGGCGCTCTTGATCAGACATCCTTCTGGACAATATGCTTGTTTTCACATCAACTGATTTAGGTTAGAGTTCAAGTAACAAAAAAAGAAAGCAAGCGTTCAAACCAAGCTCAAAATTTTTTGAAAAAAGACGAAGAACTGTTTTGTGTGAAAATCGATTTTTGAGATTTGTTGAAATGAACCGTTCCAGATGTTATGTGTCTGTGTTCACAGCGAAAACGCTCGCAAAGAACAACCGAATTCTCGAAATTGCCGGCTCAAGGTCGTTCCAAATGCGTTTGGGTTGTCCTTTTCTACCTGTTTGCTTCCAATTTCTTGCCATAAATGTATTTTTTTTTTAAAATCTATCTGTGATATTTGGGAACTAAGAAAGAAAAGTCAGTCATATTATGTTGATTAACGTTTAGACGTATTTGGTCTGTTTTTTTGTTAATAAGCGCCTGATATTTCATAGTAACACTCAAATAAGTTTTTATCTCTCTTTATTGCCAACCCATACGTGTTACTTTGATGTTGAAACGCTCGATCGGACCTTAAAGGGACAGCTGCGAGTTGCAGATAACATCGGCTCTCCTCAATTCGACTTTACCCGTCCAAATCCACGGTGCTCCGGTTTTCTGACATGAAGAGCTTGCTAAAAGCTTTTAATTTGCCTAGAAAAAGTAAAAAGTGTGTTTTTTTTTTTCACTGCTCCACTCATTTTGCGCTCTACTTCTCTAAGTTCCGCGATAATTATTTTGGTTGATATGAAAAAAAAAAATCAAAGTTTTCATTATTGAATAATAAATAAATAGCCTTCTTTGTCAATGAATCAGATTCAAAAAGAGAGGTCGCCGTTTTTCAAAGTAGATATTTCTGACATTTTAAAACTAGAGATAGTTTAAACTCGCTTGGCACAGAAAAAAAGAATAAAACTGGTCTTTAAACGATTTTTGCCAAGTGGTCTTCTTTTCACTTTTCGTTCGTTTCATAGCTGAGGATTCGCAGTTTTTTGAGCTCTGTCAGAAAGTTTCAAGGGTTTCACTGTAGCTCTTGGTGGTATGAATGAATAAAAACGCATTGAATTTCCTTCTTTTGCAATTTTTTTTTCTTACAGGGTCTCTTTTGGCGACGACCACACGTTTGTCTACGAGAAGGACGACGACGCCACTCCAATCATCGCCAAACATTTCACTGAGTCAGTTTTTTTTCCGACTTCTTCTGATTCGGATGACGACGAGGGGTCTGAAAGCCGTAGTCGATTGTCTTTGTGCTTTTATTCCATCTCACAAATGTCTATACGGACTCTCAGGTCATGAAAACGTTACCGATCTATAGCTATAATACAAAAATTTATTTTTCTTCGAAACTAATTTGTTCTATGCGGGCTTAAAAATAAAAGCTACTAGCGGTTCGATTCTTTTAATATTTGTCTTGGTGTCTCTCTCTCATTTCTCTCATTTCTGCATCTCGAGTTTTTTTTTACTGAACGGAGGACATTTTCGTTGAAAACGAGGAAACTTTGAAAAAAAAAGTCGGCGCTCCTCATGAAAGAGGGTGTCGAGAGGAGAGCGGCAGAGAAAAAGGCGACGGCGCCGCCCTCGCGATTTCTGCCAACTTTCCGAGACCCGCCGAACAAACACAAACAGTTCCACTGCAGGCGATAAACACTTCCCTTACTTCTTTATTCTGTTTATCCGTCTCGACATGACTAAGTGAGTACGTTTTTTAGATGAAAAGAATTTTGGTGAGAGAGAAAATAAATTTTTTCGAAATTTATCTCAACTTAAGTTTTTCTTTCTATTTTTTCTGGTTACTGCGAAGTTTTACCGTTTTTTTATGTTGTAAAAAAACTCGTGAACTCTATTGTGAAATTTTTTTACACCTTCTCAATGTTAAATGTAATTTTAATTTTTTTGCAGTCAACAACATTTTAGTTCAAACTTTCCGCAGATAATTGAGCAGGATCGAAAATTTTTCCAAAAATCATTTTTCTTTTCTCTTATTAAAAAAAATTGACAGAGATGTTCATGGCTTTTTTTTTCAACAAAAAAGAAAAGAAAAATGAGCAAATTTCTCACGTTTCGTTTTTCTGCAGCCTACCAAGTGCGCTAAAAAAAAAGACGCTTTCACGTTTCTCCGCTGTAATGTTGAAAGAAAAACGAAGCATGTGAAAAATGAAGAAAGAAAGCAGTACCACAATGTATATGTACTATTTTCTCACGGAATTTCGTGCTAACTTCTCAGTTATTTTTTTTACCGTTTTGTTCCCAGCATTTTTTTACAAGTAAGTCCGAAACTGGAATATTCAAATTTAAGAAGGCAAAATTGAAAAAAATGTTAACTGGTTACGCTATAGCTTTGTCGTCGAAAACCTTTCTTTTCGAACACTCGGGACCTTGTACATCCACTTGAGAAGAATTGTGCACGGTGCAAAACTCGAGAGGGTGTTGAAATAACAAAAAATTTGCCAGAATGTTTGGTCGAAAACAAAGGGATATAGAATCAAGAGTAGCTGTAGGAGTTTCTTTTTACTCTTGTAATTTCAGTATGACCAGGCCGATGTTCTTATTCTTTGCCTAGAGTTAAAGAGTTGATTAAATGGAGAAAAGGCTCTCGAGAGAATGTCGTGCACATGTGCATCAGAGAGATTTGTCGACGCGAGAAGAGATCATGACCGAGTTACCAGAACACGCGCCTCGGCTCCTATCGATCGATCGCATTTTCTTTCTGCTTTTATTTTTCCCCTACCAGCGTGTAAAATTCTACTTTCAAAGAATTTTTTTAAGAACACCAGCGCCACTTATTTGAAACGTCTGTTTCGCGAAATATTAAAAGTCTCAGTATTTTAATTCGAAAATTTGGTTTCGTTTGCCAAAGGGAGCACTCAAGGAACGGAAAACCCTTGTTTGCAATCGTTTCAAATTTGGCTGGACCAAAATCCATTGTCGTTCTGCATCCTTTTAATACTCTAGGGAGTCGCCTAGAGATGTCTGTTGTTTCCAGCTTTGCCACCAACATTCTCTGTTTCAAAACCTTCAAAACTTTATCTTCTCGTCTCTTGATTTTAGTTCGAAGTTCTTTTTGTTCTTCTAATGGTTTGAGTGTACTTTGTCAATCTATCGACCGCTGAGATGACATTACTACGCATCGATTTTTCACTAACTTTTCGCTGCGTCTATCCCATGTCAGCTGCTGATCGGAAACAGAATACCGAAAGTTTGAGGCCTTAAGCTGCAGACACCGGGTATTTTAGGAGGACACAACTGCTCAAAGGGCAAGATTATTTCAAAATGTAGAGCACTTTCTTCCGAATTCGAACTGGGTTTCAAAAAAAGTCTTGTTTGAAGCGGCGCGAAAGACTATTGGGCTCGAGGAAGGCTTACGATCTTGAGCTAATTCAGATTGGTCAAATCCAGTCGAAATAATTGAGGAAGAAAAAATATGAGACGAAAGGGCAATTACTCTTTGTACATGTTTCTGGATGGCGATGTGTTTGGGGTCTGAGAAATTTGATTATAGATGTCGCCGTCTTCTCTCCGGAATTTCTCATAAAATGGCTTGAATGCTTCTCTTTTTCCAATAAATCCTTCTTTCACTATATTTTCTGTAGTTAAAAACTGTTCTCCATCATTCAGCCGCTTTGTAGTTCTTTGACAGGGATTTCTCGAAATATTTTTTCTTGCGTAGTGTTAAGTCGACCAAAGATCTCGAAAAATTGTCTCGTTTTGCTTCATTTTTTGCCTATTGTTGCAGTTTTTCGCTTCTGCTCACGTCGTTTTTCTCCAGCCTTTGTTGTGCATTCCCTCGCTTTTAAGAATTCTCCAGGATTTTTTCCAGAACATTTTACGTAAATGAAGCTAGAGTGAACAGTTGAGAAACCATAACATTACATATTAAAATCCGCAAAAATATTGACAAACTGTAGTGTTTTGAGACCTTCTGCACACCATTTTTGCATTTGTAATAAGATTTATTGAAGCGTTTAAAGAATGTAAAGATCTTATAGGCTTTTTGTTCAAGTTGAAATATCCAGTAATATTTGAAAAAAAGTCAAGAAAAAAACAGATTGCGGGAGTATAATCGTTTCTTTTTTTGTTTTTGTTTTTTTGGCTGGAGGTACAACAATAAGGTGTGCAAGAGCGACTGATCGTTTTTGAGGCAGCTGTCCCAAGAAACGGACGCACCAACCACATTGATTGCGTCCCCATTTGCCAATTGGGTGAGAAGCTCTAGCCAGGAACGCCCAGCACATTGTCCATCCATCTTTCTCCCATTCATTTCCACTCCTAGCCACTTCTCTATATAATAAGCGTCCTTTAAGAGAAAAAAACGTTTCTGAATAATTAATTGGTTTTTTTGGCCTGAACCGTACGTCGGATACGGATACAGCGCACATGGGAGCCGATGAATCTCTAACTAGATATTTCGCTAAAAATGGATAGCTTTGAAAAAAATTATAAAAATTTTCTTGACATCGGTGGCCTTCGAAATTGGTGCTTTGACATCACTGGACATTGGTTCATTTTTTTTCTCTCCTGATGATTTGAGTTATTTTTCACCTGAGGGAGGTAGTAATGAGAAAAAGGGGTAAAAGGCTTGTAGAAAATGTCCCGCAATGTATGATTAGTTTAATACGGTGCAATGAAAATCTTCATGGTTTTCAATGTTTTTTTTTTGTCGATACAGCTGTAGCCTTTCCTACATCCTACTGCTGAATGCATTTCTAACGTCCTCGAGTCTTTTTCACTCGTTCTATTCCTTCCAGAGCTCAATTCAAAATTCTTCCATTTTTTTTTTCCTTTGGTTAGAAATTGACTTTACGCGGTAGTTCTCATTCCAATCTATTCTTTCTCAAGAATGTTCAAAATTTTCGCAGAAAGTAGCGGTCTGAACTTTTCTGACCACAAAGATGAGCTGTTCTCATCGCTCTATTCGTTTCGCCGGAGCACTGAGGCTGGGTAATGAGCTTCTCGACGAGTTTAGCACTTTACGGCCTTCCGGAGGCATCTAAAATGAGAACAGAATTCTTTTCTCTTTGGATCTTTCGCTCCCTGGTTCCATTGTACCAAAAAGTCGTTTTCCACTTTTCCAAAGGCCGTCGAAGAAACTAAATCTCGAATTTTTCTTCTTCTGAAAACTTTTTTAGACTGAAAAAGTGTGTAGATGTGTTGTGTTGGAGAAAATAAATATTGAGGGTTTTTGTCTGCTTTTTTCAGTAGCTTTTTAAATCGATCTGAAAATTTTCTTCCACACACGTTTGAAAAATGATAAAACTCAAAAATGAGACTTTGTTTTTGGCCGAGCTGTGATCGGTGAGTTGGCGGAGCAGAATTGAGTGGCGGGGTCCAAAAAAGGAGCGAGAGAGGCTCGGATGTCGGGCATTTGTCACATCGCCCGCTCCCTCTCTGCGCCTCGATTCTCTCGGCTTCCCGCCGTTCGGCTTCTTGTTTTTCTATCAAATTCTACGCTTTTTTGAGTTGAAAAACAGTAGCTGAGCTTTTTAGGGTATATACTTTTGTTTATGAGCTTGAGAATTTCGAAGCTGATTTCTTAAAGCTCATTTGTGGTAGAAATTCTATCAATTCGTTTTATATTGGCAGAGATATTTTGAGAGGTTACTTTTTCTGTCTTCAACACCCTTATTTTTTTCTGGAAGTTTCCAAAAAAATAATAACTTGAAAAACTGTAGAACTCTTGGAAAGACGCTACAAATTGGTTTTTTTACTCCAGTTCTGATCGATATGTTTGATTAAAATGAAGGCTTTTAAATTTTTTTCTTTTTTGAAATCCCTCTCAATACCCAAAAAAAGTTTATATAGACTCAGAAATGTTCCGATTTCCCTTCAAAACTCGAAGAAACTTGGCTTCTTTTTCAATTTTGAGTTCAGTGTTCCTCCGACAAAATTTCCGTTTTTGACATGGTTTTCCTCTATTTTGCCCTCTTTTTCTTTTACTCTTCTCTTTTCTGAGCGTAACTGCCAAATCGAGTTCCGTCAGTCTTTCTCCGCTCGTTTTATTTTATTTTTTCAAGGCATACATTTTTGGACGGCCCGCGCCTATTTTTTCTGAAACATTTTATTGACTTTTTAAAATTCAGGCTAAAACCTTTTTGACAGGTTTTATCGATTTTTTATCTTTCGAATGTTAGCTCTTGAAAATTTCACGCTTCCCGAGTTCATACACAGATCCAATTTCCAGGCGTTCTTGCCGCCCTCTTCTCACTTTTCGAGGAAAAATAATAAAAAAGTGTTTTTTTTTGTAATTTAATAAGAATCCAGATTATATTTTGCTCTCGACCGAAAATAGGAAAGGTTTTTACGCGGAAAAATAAGCTTGAAAATTCTTATCTAACCTTGGCTACGTGGTAGCGTGTACTTCACCGAGAGAAAAAAAAATTCACAATATTATCAATCAAAAGTCGAGTAGATTCTCGCGAGCGACAGACGACTAGAGCTGAGATCGTAACGATATCCATTCTAGCCCTCATGGCAATTTTCTTGTTTTTGTTTGACTTGGATTTGCCTGTTCAACAAGAATTTATTGCAGTCCCGACGCACCAGTGAGCCGCGTGGTAGTGACGACAGAGACGGTGGTTCCAGAAGCGCCGAGTCCCATCCCGCCGCCCGCACAGTTCGAGGAGATCCGTCGCGTCGCCGTCAGTCCTCCCCTTCCCACAAAGTTCGTTTCTGTCCGTTCTCTTAAACCTCTCGATTCTTCTACCGCAAAGTTTCTTGATAATTGAAGGGATAGAATAATAAAATTATAATGTGACTTGAGGGAACGACGAGGTTTCCCGACTAAGAATGGAATTTTCGGAAAATTGCCGAAGTTTATAACAAAATCAGGCGGATCTTCGCGGTCCCTATGTAAAAGTTTCTAATAAACGAAATATTTTTTTGGAATAATGAAGTAAAGATATTCAGATAGAAAGGAAGAAGGGAAATTATTAATAAGTGACCGATTTCAGAAAGATGACCGACGCCGAAAATCCGTTTCGACCTGAAGAGGTATGTTTATTATTTTTTCGAATTCGATTCGGGATCTATAACGAAATTCACATGTTCAATAATTTTTGAGATTCCTTGTTACGTGCTAGATCCAACTGAAAGTCAGCAGATAATTCACAAAGAACTTCTGGAATTAAATCGCCTTTTTTGGTTTTCGAAGTTGCAGAAAATTACGAAATTTGAAGAAAATGAATATAAAGTTTCGAAACTTCTTCTCGAAAAAAATTGGTTTTGAATGATTAAAACACTGATGAAATTAAAAAAATTTTTAGCAATCGGAAACCTTTTTTTAAAGCAGTTAGGTTATAAAAAACTAAAAGAAGTCAGCTCTAGGAGTTTATTTCCTGTTTACTTTTTTTTCGTCTCATTAACTATTTCAATGTTCAGACGCCTGAGATTTTAGTAAATTTTAGCCCCACCTGTTCGAAGAGTCGCCATAAACTGGGCCAAAAATATTAGTAGATAGAGATTTCACTGAGAAATTCGGAAATAAATAGTTTCTCCTTAATCCAATTTTATAGTTTTCAGGCGATTTTTTTATTCAGATTTAAAAAGTATTTTTAAAAAGTCCAAAAAAATTTTAACTTTTTTTCAAGTAATTGCAGTTTTTTTGGTTCTCAGGTGTTGTACCACGAAGTGGATCCGATCGTCGAGCAGTACCTTCACAAGCCATTCCCACCGAGCAGACCGGGAAGCGCCCAGAACACTCCTACAAAGCACAGCAACGCGTGAGTCTCTCACAACCGTCCCTTGTGGAGCTCATCTTGCAGAATCGTGAACGAGAGCCCCATCTACCTGCAGAACGGCCTGAGCAAGGAGCAGTTGCTGCACAACGAGAAGACCTCTCAACAGGAGCCGCTCCTTCCCAGAGACAACCACCATTCTTCTCCTGATAAACGGTTCTTTTCAAAGATATTCTACATTAAGTCGGCCTCGTATGGCTCAGTGCTACTTTTCGTGACACGTTTTGATTTTCTATACGTTTTTTTTCGGACACTTCAAAGCCTAGAACTTTCGTCATGGGCGGTTGACAAAAAAGGAAAAAGTTTTCACACTTTTGTTCTTTCGAATTTCAGCTTCAATGGAATTGAACCAAAGAACTTGTAGAAACTCAAAAAAGTCTCCTCTTTCTAAAATGTTTGAATCTTCTAGTTTTTTTCAGGTTGCTTCAAAATATGTACTTATGTTGTCAAATAATGTTCGTTACCATTTTCCCTTTTCAAAAATGAAAATCTCCAAATTTTCGAATATTCTTTTTCAATCAGAATATTTTTTCAAAGATTTAATTAGGAAAGATGTGAGTTTATAGATAAAATTTCAACAGAAATGAGGTAAATCAATGATAAAGATTGAGAAAAAAACGGATGGTATATAGGAAATTTGGTATTTTAAAAGGATATTAACTATGTCAAACTTTCTACAACCTCGTTCCAAAATTCTGTCAACCGTTCTCGCAGGTGATATACATTTCAGAGTGTCTTGATTTCTCCACGCTGAAAAAGGAGATCATCAACTTTTGTTTAGAGTTGTCATCTATATTCCCAAAATCGTTTCCCAATCAAGACGACAAAGTTTCAGGGTGGATGGTGGCGACTACACAGACGAGCTGCCACCAGCGGGAAAAGTCGAATTGATACACATGAAGAAGAAAAAGTGCGGCTGCTGCTCAGTACAATAGCCAGCATCCTCTGGCCGAGCCTTTGAACAATTGCCCAACAGTACTTTCGTGTTTATTTAGCTTGTCTAGAGCCCCAATTCCGTTGCTTTTCAGCATACTTTCCACTGATTTCAAATGCGCAGCTTGATAAAATACAACGAGTGATTTTTCTTCCACCCTTTCTTCCTGTTAGTTTTACTGGAACCTGAAAATTTGAGGGTTTCTCTTTCCCCACTTACTACCAACACTGTCCGCAAGCCTGTCAAACCCTGTTGCGTACCGGTGTGATTATCTAAACCCGTTCCCCAATTACAAAAAAACATCTGTTTAGTTATTGTTATCTGAGTTTGACTGTTCCTTTTCACAACGACTTTTTTCCTGTATCGTTTCAAAAAAGCTCTATTTGTTAGCTCGCATATTCTTTCACCCACTATTACTCCCTTGCACAAATCTAAGTCCTGCATGCAATCTTCCAAAAAAAAAACACGTCACACATTTTGGGAAAACCTTTATATAAATTCATGTTTCATCAACGAAAGATTTATGTTTCACAATCAACGAATTTTATAAAATTTCAATTCCTATTTGCTGTATTTTCAATCGGGAAAAAATAACAAATGTACTCGTTTGAAAGTGGGAAAGCTCGTCAGATTTACTGAGACCAATTAAGTTCGCTGGCTGTCTCAAATTATTAGGGTTTTGGTTGAATATCGAGTAAAAAATAATTTGATAGGGCTCGATCTCGAATAGTCTATAGGAAATATTTACATAAATATATTGGAAGTGATAAAAGTTTGATAAAATCGGAATATCCGAAGAAAAAGAGTTTCTTAACTTCACTACTAGTCTGGTTTGAACTTAATAATGGAGTCCAAGAAACCGTCCTTTCTTTCTTAACTGCTACTAAAAATGTACCACTACTTTTTAAAGTACGTGTACAGCTTATGACAATGAAGCAAAAGAAGAGGAAGAAATACCAGAGCATGGATCGTTCCTGAACAGATTCTCTGAACATCAGGCAACAAATCTCGAAAAGTTACCGAAGGAAATGACGAGTAGGACGGTCCGGAAGCATGTCTGGACGACGTAGCTGTCGACGAAATAGAGGGAAGAGACGCCGAGAATGACGGAGATCGACGCCTGCGTCACAGGCCACGCCACCGTCCCCAACGTGTAACGGAACCTCGCCACGGTCGGGCTTCAATATGTACATATTCAGATTATTGCCTTGATAGCTTCTGCTCGCCAATCAACTCCCGACTGTTCTACTTGAAAAACTATCGATGCGTTACAAGAGAAATATTCTTCAGAAGAAAAATTGAATTTCCTTCATGTTCTGACCGTCTGGAGACACTAAAATCAGTGCATATTTTCGGTAGAAGAACAATCGCTCCATTGCTAACACTCAAAAAATTGTCTTGGGCATTCATTACTTTCCAAGCGCAGAAAAAAAAGCCTCGACAGCCTTTTCGGCTTGTTCAGACAGGTTCTCATTTTTCAAACTTACTCAAATTCTTCCTTTTCAAATACTCTGTATTTTCGTGTTTGAGTGAAATAAATAAATAAATAAATAAAACTTCTCGGTCATTTTAATTTGGCATAGACTCTGCTCTAGATATGATCTCAACATTTCGCCGACCACCTTTAGAAAGATCCTCGACTCGATCGACAGATTACTTTAAGAAAATTCTTTTCTCAATCACTTTCGTGTATAATCAGCAGCTGAAAAAAACCGAGGTTTTAATTTATTTCATTCCCCTCAGTTTTTTTTTGTGCCATCTCTCTATATCTCAATGACTATTTCCCCTTTTGAATGAAATAAATATTATTATTTTCGAAACCAAAATCAGCGGAATCTTTAGGCGTTCGCCAAGTAAAACTCACTGGGTTGTTAACCTATCTCCTGAAAAACTGAACTGAAAAAAACAATACCATTCTCCTTCTTTTGGTGATCTGTTCTCAGTCATGTAGGCGTAAGACACGTGGGCCGCAAAATCTGAATCTCAACATTTTGAGAACTTTTTGTTCCGATGGATGAGAACCGACAGAAAAGCCAACACTCATAGCCACAGTTATCATGGAAGTCGCGTCGAGACTCACGCCAAGCAAAGACATGAATCCGATGACGCCGAACGCGATCGACGCTATGTTCGCTCCTGAATACTTCTAGAGTTGTACCCTGGCTGAATTCTTCTAATAAACAATCAAATATCAGAATCAACTACTACAATAAAACAAAAACAGATAAAGACTAGGGACCCGTTGAAAAAAGTGTAACATTCAGAGTTTTCGGCTGTTCACGTTATTAGGAACTTATTATAGTCTGTGTGCCACGACTTGAAATTTTACGGAATGACATTCCGCTGTTCGTGCGTTAGCGAAGCGTCTTTCGAATCTAGGTACCAGCGGTCTACTCGAAAACTAAAACTTTTTAAGGTCCTACAAGTAAAACAGACCAATGACAAGAGAGCATAGAGGTTGTGGAATGAAGAGAAGAGCAACTGGGATCATGACAGCTGAAAGAAAAATGTTGAGCATAAGCCAAAACGGAAAGACCAATGGAGATGTAGATGTCCTGGAGAGTCTGCGGCCACATGATGTCGTACTCGTCGGCGATGTGCCAGATCGGCGAGTAGGTCGAGACTTGAAAGACTGCGTGAAACGAAGAGAGCGACCTGAAGTAAATAGAAGCTGAAAAACTAAAAATTTATTGCTCAAGCTTCCTTGTTAAAACCCATCAGGCCTCTCAAACCAAAATCAACGATTTCCCTGTCTCACTCCTCATTTTCTGACGGAGCATTGAGTTGAGAAGTCGAACCTCATGGTAGCGGCGCAGCGACTCATGCTCTCATCGTCGTCGACTCGCCGCAGCCGTGTCGACAGCCGGAAAGCCGTCGGACTGTTGTTTCGCGTCTGGACGTCGTAGGCGAACCGTTCATTTGTCATTAGAAAACTACGCAGATTTTTGTTGAACTTCTGCAAAAAACTCTTGATGCGTTTTGAGTTTGTGAAAAAAGGATACCGTTTCGTTGTTGGCAATTTTGTTGAAGTCATTGCCGAAACCCAGGTCCGCGACATACTTCTCAAAGGTGAAGTACCAAAACTGAGTGGAGTTCCGACCGGCAGAGCACCACGTATTCTGCTCGAGTGAATTTTTGTTTTAGGCTCAACTTTACTTCAAAGTCTTGGACGAGGTCAAGAAATTGTTGGCGCTCCACAGGGTCGAACATTCGTGGAGGTTTCATCACGGCAATGTCCATAACCTGCAGTTATATCTCACTGAAAACGATTTCGAGAGTTTGAAAGACCTTGGTGTCTTCGGGAAAAAGCTGCTGCCGAGTGAGCAGAAACTTTCTCGAAACCGAAGACTCTTGAACGATGTTGATCAGCTACAAAGTGCACGGATGGAAAGTTTACTCTTTTCTTTTCCGACTACTCTTTTCTTTTCCGACTACTCTTTTCCGACTCACGTCGAAACCGATCAGAAGGTTTTTGGAGCCCCTGTAGGCGAAAATGACGTAAGCGACGTAGAGAGCGAGGGCCGCAAAGCGGCAAATCGGAGTGGCCACGAAAGGGGCGTAGACGTCTTCGAAGAATTGTTGGTACCACATTCGGTGGTCTTGAGTCTCCTTCGAAAAAGCAATCCTATTTTTTTTTCTCATCATATTGCATTAAAAAACCCTTTAAAATCGAATGACCGATCAGTTTTTTTTTTTGGAATTTTGGTCCACAAGTCATTTCCAGTTTTTGTTTTTTTTTTACTTCTATATTTATCTTTTAACGCGGCTATCTGTTTAAAGATGAAAAATATGAAATGATTTTTCGAAAAGCCTAAATTCCTTTCATTTTCTTGTTACTGAAAAATAAGATGAATAAGCCATCTGAATGATTACCTTAGAATAAGCAGTATAGTCATTGTTGTTCTGAACACGAAAAGGCTTCTCTAACTGCGACCCCATGTTCAGTAGCAGCTCTGCACCACTCGCGTTGCCTAAACGTTTCAAAATAAGAGGAATTTTTTCAGAACGAATCCATTCCTTTCCTAAATAGAACTAACCGAATTCATTGAAGTCAACAGTAGTCGAGCCGGTTACCGAGTTTAGACATTCGTTTTCGCGCCGGCCTTGAAGCGACAAAACGGCGACGAAAATGGTCAAACAGTACACGAAGATGAAGACTATGGCGGCAGACGAGTAGTAGCAAAAGTACATGACCTGAGTAAAACTTTTGAAGTTTTGCACCAGCCGTAGTATTGGAATATATTTGAAAAAAAAAAAAACAAACTGCTGGCAATGGAGCGATGGCGCCTATGAGGAAAGCTAAGGCGTCGGTGAGACTGGTAATGGAGATGGAAACGGCGGCGTGTCTCATAGAAGCCTCTATTCTTTTCTGTTGAGAGAAAGTGTTGGAATTCGGGAAATGCAGAGTTCCCACTTCAACAGAGTCGCTCCGGGGTGTCTCGTGCCAAGCTGCCAGCATCAGAAACGTGTCGTCGATTCCGATTGCTGCAAGCTGGTTGGCACCGCCGAAAGATCCGAGGACTCACTAAGACTCAGGAATGGCATCACTGTGCACATGTCCACAAAAGTGACGTCGAGAAGGAGGAGGAGACCGGTGGAAGAGATGATGGCCATCAGGGTGATTACCACTCCGCAGATACCAATCAGAGGTTTACTCAGGACCTCAAAATATAGGCCATCGAATGTTCAGGGTGATCAACTACTCACCCAATCGACAATCGGCCATGTCCTTGTGTTTTTCTCGGAAGCCGGAAATGTAACCCATTTAAAGGTAAAAGTTGTGAGAATCGAGAAAATGATGAGCGCTGTGAAAGTTATGGAAAACTTTGGAGTTATTCTTCGGTTCTCTTTTTCCAGCTCCAAATCGAAAGTCGCTGAGTGGAAGTAGTAGAGGTCGAGCAAGCGCTCTGGAGCGCGTCTTTCGTCGATGCTCCGTCCGACTTCTTTCTCGAAAGTCCTAGAAGGCAAGGCTGTGTGAAGTTGACAGGATATCTGTAAATACCTGCTCCACTCGGCCATGTTCGGCTCAAACTGCTTCAACTGGTAAAGAATGAGCCAGGCAGAAGCCGTCTTGACAACGCCGTTTTCGTCGACAGTCACGTTTCCGAGTACCTATCAATGGCTGAAATTCTCCAACAAAAACTGGCAAATCTCGCCTTGGAAACGTCGATTGGTTCTGTCGTAAAGCGGCTGCGGTAGCTGGGGAAAGTAACGTTGAAGTTTTTTACGTGTCCATTCGCGAAAATGTCGGCAAGCAGTTTTGCATGAGTGTTGGAGAAGCAATCGTTCTGAAAATAAATGTACCCTTCGAGGTAAAAACGGATCTTTTCAACCTAATAGTAACCAAGCCCTTACCAAAGTTCACAATGAAAAGACGGCTAAAGCTTCAATTTTATCGAATATATTCACCAAAAAAAAAAACAGCTCTTCTCGGATCACAGGGTATAGCACTGCATCAAACGAAATTATCAGATTCCCAGTCTGTTTTTTGCAGATCACAAAAAACTTCTATAACAATAAAGCAAAGGTCTAGGAAGTTACATTTTCTCGAACTTATCAGAAACATAATCATCTTTAGGATTGAATTTCAGTCGTATAAAAAATAAATGATTCGAATAATTCAAACCGAATTTCTTGCCTCTGGAAATCCCTAGAATCGGACTCACTTCATCAAAGAAATATTTAGGTATTTATCTGACCACGAATCAATGTTTTTCAAAAGGAAACACTCACCTGAAAGTGGAGACAGATATCTTTGTAAGAGAACCATTCGCCGGTCGTAGATGTCATGTTCGACTTTTCAATCCAGTGCATTATCTTTTTGTTCATTCCATTTTTTTTTCTCCAAAATAGGATTGAAAACCTCTTTAAATTCAAGAGCCTGTTCCCTGCGAAGAACGTCACCGCCATCAGAGCTTTTGACAATAATGTACAAACCACGTCTTCTCATTAGATCCTTCCCTGAAACCACTGATAAAACCGAATTCTCCATTGTTCGACCTGGATAGAAGTGTTTGTCATCATTCGCCCAATTTTCTCCTAGAACTGCTTCTTCAGACTTCCATTTGGCATCGAGGGGCGAGTACAAGTAGTTGACCCCTCGGACGATCTCAAATAAGACTTTGTACGAAGCGAAACAAAATTGAGAAAGGACCTTAAAGTTAAGCAAAATCCCTGTAGACAGAAATATCGTGAGAAACGTCGGTAGGAGGATGAAAGGCCATGGGTGTCTGTAAACACTCGGATTTCGGTAATGCAAACCGGACGCGATCCGGGCGTTTCTAATCCTTTCTAGTAATCATTTTAGCGATTACTTGAACGCTAGAAAGCGTCCGGTTTGGGATACCGAGGTCTGAGTAGTCGGTTCAACGTCGTGATTAATTGAATTCCGCGCAAACTTGTCAAGGAATACCACAACCTATTAGACTGTTTTCAAGATTCGCTTCAAGATATCAAACTTTTTGCGCTTTCGCTTTAATACCTGATACCTGAAGGCTTACGGTAATTTGGTCAGAAAAAAAACACGGCTAAATAGGCGCGGAATGCACCAAAAAATTTAATACGAAAAGTAGGGCAGACGTCGCAAAAAAAAAAATTAACCTCTGCCATGGAATTTTTCTTCATTTTTTCTCCAAATTTTCTCTACGCACGACATGCAGTAGAAACAATTTAATCATACCTGGCTACAAAAATACAGTATTTTGCCAGAAGATTCGACCAAGGCTTTTCGAGAGGTGCCCAATACCAGTGGGTCATCTGAAGAAGGATTTTCAACGTCAAACAGCTAACAAAAGAAACACAAAGACTAGAAGAATCAACGAGATCGAAAAACTTGACTCGAATGGGCGGAGTATCTTCCTTCGTCCGTTCGGCTTCATCTGACCAGGCCTAATACGAAAATTGCGTTCAGACTTTTGAATTAGCCCAAGCAGCGGACTTGACCACAGGTGAACCGGACTGCTTTCCATCACCTTCGACCTCAAAAAACTAGTTGTTCTTCGCAGGCGATTCCCACTTTTTCGATGCGTACTCGTTCAAAAGGACGCTCTTTCGTGCTAAATAACAAACGTAAAATTTTTTTTTTAACTTGCTTGAATTTATTGGAAAAGAACGGTTGGGAAAGAGTTTACTCACTAGTCAGACAAAATGAGGAGACAAGATAGACACGAAGAAGGGTTCTAAGCGATCTATCACTCAATTGAGGTTATAGAGCTCTTTAGCTTACTCTTGAATAAGACTCGGACTTTAGAAACGCAAACCGGATGCGTCAGTACCTTTCTGAGCATTTTCAGTGTTCCTTTTAGCGACTTCGGAACTCTTATGTTTTCACTAGAAATGCCCATAAACGTCAGAAGCGCGTCCGGTTTTTTTATACCAACACCCAATATTATGTCTCGGCCCCCTTGCGATATAGCTAATCAGGGCAATGTGCCCAATGCATAATGTTAGGTGGAGGTCCGAGATTGCAAAAAAGTTTTTGCAATAGTATGTCAAAGTGCGCCGAAACGTATGCATCGTAAACAACCTACTTCACGACCATTTTTTCTATTTTTTTTCGCCTGTGCGTGTTCAAACGAAAATAAGAAATTACTCGAAAAAGCAGCAAAATTGCCTCGAAAAAAGAGTGTAGTTATTCGAAGCAACTTTGAGGCGTCCAATAGCACAGGGTTGCGCTTTGATCCGTTATCGGTTTCACCGTTGAACAAGTAATAGAAATAAATTTGAAAAAATGTTTCCTTCCAGCTGCCCGAATTAATTTTTTAAGTATGAAATTATCTATAAAATTAATTCTAATTAATACGCGTTTTTAAAAAGTGTACCAAACGAATTCCTCGAACAGCCACAATGCTCTTTGCGTTTTTGCGATATTTATAATTTCACAGAATTATTAATTTCAAAACCTTTTCAGGGAGTGATGGTCAGCTTTAGAGAGATTACGCTGCAGCGAATTGGAGAGGAAAGCGCGCCGTCCCGAATATGGATGGTCAGCTGGCATTATAGTGGCAACTTCCTCGCTTCTTGTGGAGATGACAAGGCTGTTCGAATTTGGACTTTCAATCAAGGTATTCAATAGTTTTATTATATATATATGTTCATGAAAAAGAAAGTTACAGATTCGAAGCCACACTTGGACTGTCGAACAACGTTAGACGATAGTCACACGAGAACAATTCGATGTGTCAACTTTTCCCACTGTGGAAAACTGCTCGCATCTTCCAGTTTCGATGCTTCAATAGTCATTTATCAGCAAGAAGAGTAAATTTGGACGTTTTTCCTCGAATAAACTCCTTCATTTCAGCGGCGATTATTCCGAGGTGAACAAATTGGAGGGACATGAAAGCGAGGTATCATTTTCTTTTCTTTTTATCATTTTAAATCATTAGCACTATTTATCCGGTTGTGAGATACATATTTCCTTTAAAATCTATTACTTTGACTTTTCGAAGAAGAGGATGATAATGGGTTAAAAATAAAAAGAGAAAAACGAGGAAAATCCGAAATGAACTTTTGATATACATAGCTGTAAGTACTGTTCTCAGCGCCTTTCATCGAAAATTTGTTTTCCGAGATGGAAGGAATGTTAAAAAAGAAAAAAGTTAAACTTAAAAAAAACCATTTTTCACGATTCAAAAAAACCTGGAAATATGTTCAATAAAAATTGTCGAGGCACTTTGGGGACTTTTCGAAATTTCATTGACTCAGCCTTTTTTTGACTAATTCATTTACATTGTTCGATTTTCAATAATGACGATTCAGGTGAAATGGTGCGCTTTTTCCCCGAGCGACGAGTTTTTGGCGACTTGCAGTAGAGACAAGAGCGTGTGGTTCTGGCAAGGTATCGTTTTCCGTCTCACTCATTTCACGTCTTCTATCATTTCAGTTGATGAAGACGATGACTTCAACGTATCTTCAATCCTACAACCACACACGCAGGACGTCAAGTTCGTCGTCTGGCATCCCAACGAAGACGTTTCAGAGAGAGAAATTAGTAAAATACAGCTATTATCGTTTGCAGCTGCTCGTTTCTTGCAGCTACGACTTTTCGATCAGGTTTTTCCGTTATGATGGGGAAGATTGGGTGACGCAGCAGAAAATTGATAAGGTGTGTGGTCATTTTTTCAAAGAAGAAAGAGAATCTAGGCGCACGACGGGACGGTCTGGAGTGCTGCTTTCGACGCTGACGGTCATCGACTCATCACTGTTGGAGAAGACCACGTCATCCAGGTGAAGCTCTTCCTAGTTACGGCGGTTATGACGTTGAACTTAGATTTGGAGACGAGAAAATGTCGGAGCAAAGTCGGCGACGGCTGACACGTGGAAATCTGTGGCCAAGTATCTCGTGGAGGACACGCGATGGCCTTTGTACTCCGTATCGTGGAACCATGTCACGGGGCTCGTCGCAACGGCAGGCGGAGACTCTAAAATCCGGTCAGTGTTGTAGAGTTTCATTATTTAGAAAGGGTGGGATGTTATATACCCAATCAAAGATACTTTCTTAGGGGTTCGGAACAGCTCTGACGCAAGTTTCACGTTTTTTTAAATCAAGGTTTTCGAAGGCACTAAATTTGTCTACGCGAAAAATTCGGGCACTTTTCATTTCGGATTGACAAAGTGTTCTTATACATGAGCACGGAAAATTTTCAAAGTTCAGAGCCGCCGTAGTTGAAAGGAGATGTGCACAAATTAACTTTTTTTGTATTGTTCATAACTTCAAAAGAAGCTTTTCCCATGAGCATTTTCACCGGAGATTCCAAGGATGTCTCTTTTTCTTTTTTTCTTTGTGTATAGCGTCGTATGAATTTCAACTTGAAACACTTCATGACTTTTTGGAAAATTTAACAGTATCTCCTGATTTCTTATATCGAAAAGCGGTGCTAGGACACAAGCGTTTTATTCCATACTTATTTCCAAATGGATTATAATGAAAAAACAGCGGGTAAGAAGCATAGATCATCCATTCTAATTCATTAAAAAAATTAAATTATAAAGGAAAAAAAGAGGTTTGAAAAAAACGGAGAACGCACTCCTGTTCTAGCACTTTAAAACCATTCATTTGAATATTAGCCTAGAAGAAAAAAATGATTTCAAAATTTTTCGATCATTTTCAGTTACAAACCTAGTTTTTTTCTCAATAATTTTTTTCTTGAAGAATATTCCAAGTAGCGGGCTCAGCGGATGATGAACGGATTGAGCCGCTGGGCGTGTGGTCGGGCCACGACGGAGAGGTGAACTGCGTGGCTTGGTGTCCGGCCGCCGACAAGGCCAACATTTTGGCATCGGCCTCCGACGACGGCTCCGTCCGCCTTCTTCAGGTCGAACTCTAGCCTTTCTCCTTCACTTGTGTGATTTTCTTGTTGCCTCAGCCCTCGGGATCTTTTTCGTCGGGATGTTCTTTTTCTCTTTGCATTCCTGTTTCCGGTCCAACACAAGTTCATGTTCATAACACTGCTGTCAATCTTGTTGTTTTTAAAATTTTTTTGCAATTTCAAATAGTTAGGAATAGATGAATAAAATTTATTTCATTTTGAAGAAAATTATAGTTGCACTAAAGTTTTAGAATTTTAAAAATTATGCATTAGGAAAGGACACCCGCTCGAGGAGTTTTTTCAAAGTTAAGAGCTATTTGATGAGAGATTGGTAACCGAGTGAAGGAAGGCTGTTGTGAGATAGATATTAGAAGCTCTGATGACTGAAATCGGGGGAAAAAGAAATATTTCAGTAAAAAAAATACTATCTTTGAACGAGTTAATGGACAGAAGAAAGAAAAAGAAAATAGTAAAAGATAATAAGAATGCACGCAGAAAATGTTTTAACTATACAAATAAAAATAAAGCCAAATTAACTACTACAAACGCAAGATTTCAGGTACCACTAAAGCGAGTCGGCGACGTAACTCGTTGCCTTCAGCGCGAGAATTTCGCGACGAAGAATCGCGAAACGCCATCAGTTTTGCGCGGTCGTATTTTGTGGCCTGTAAACTAATTTTTAAAAAGGAAAAGTCGGAATTGGCTGAACAAAAAGTTTTGTTAAAATTGTCCAAGGATTAGAGTACACACACTCACCAACCCCACTTCGCCAAAACTAGTCGGGACTTCGGCGACGGTCGGCATGACGACGGTGGTAGTCAGCGCCGCCGTCGGCTCTGCCAAATTGGGCGTCGATCCATGAAACGACCGTGACGGCTGAAACTTTCACAAGTTGTTAAGTCCGAAACGTTATCGAATCGGATCAAACTTTAAGGTTGCTCTCCGGTTGACTTTGCTGGAGGGGCATACTCTTGCGCCGTTCCTTGCGTTTCTCTCGCTCCTCTGCGCTTGGACGTGTCCGCACGCGCAAGTACTCCGACAATGCTTCTTGTGCCGCCTAAAAAGATTTTTATTTCTGTGTCAATTCATTCAGTGTTCCTAGAGGAATAGGATATTCAGAATAAAGACGTTGAGGAAAAAGGCAAAGTAAAACTTTCTTCTTATAAAAAAGGGATCACCTGGAGAACTTCTGGATCGGCGCAACACAGCTTCAGCATACCATCCTGTGTGGTCTCGATGGATATGTCGTTCTGCGATTCTTCCTCGTCGAAATCGTCATCGTCGTCGTTCAAAGGCGCTGTTGTATCGTGCTAAAATGTGACGGCTGATTTCTTTCTTTTGGGGGAGTTCACACACCCGTACTGGACTCATGTTGCGTCGGATGGTGTCGATGATAAGGTCTTTGGCTTTCTCGATGTCTTCCATCGACGAGGCAGTGATAGTCAACGTCCTTTCCTTGCTTTTTGGATCGACCTTGAAGATAGTTTGAAATGTTTGTTAGGTTTAAAATGTTTCGAAACCTTCTGAAAGCTTATTACAGTGTTAGTGATCTGCTCGACCAGAGCCACTCTTCTTCCTTTGACTCCCATTATCTTTCCTGAGTCGGAGTTTCGGATGATCATCTCGTGCCGCAGCTGTAGCGCCTTTGCGATTGGATTTGGCTGCAAACAATACTTGACTATTAAAAATCGGCAATAAAGGAAACTTTTTTCAAACTGCGCTGACGCATGAGTACGGCCTCGTGAGGCATCATTGGCTGAGGCAGAAACGGATTCGGCGGCACCATTCCGCCAGGCATCAACGGCGGCATCCAGCCTCCGCCGGCCGGGATCAGGTAGAAGCCGGGATTGGTAGCTTCAAAAACTTAGTTCAGTCTTCTTTCCCTCGAAGATGGCTTCATCAAATTACTCACCGCCCATGTCCTGAGGTAGGAACATTGGACTCTGCGGCACGAACGGCATCTGTTGTGGGACCGGCGACGTCGGCTGACCGTTCGACGGCGATGACGTCATTGGTAGAGCAGCCGAGGACGTGACGGGCGCAGGGTCGTGATCTGAAGTTTTTTCTGTCCATAGAAAAGATATATTTTTAAAAACTTACGCTGTTCAGGACGATTGACATAGTACTGGCTGTGGGCCAAGTTGCTGCGCCAGTGCATGGCCCTCAGTTCCACGAGTTCCATTATCTTCAGCCTGTAAACACGTTAGTTGCTCATTTTCTGTTTCTTTCAGTTTTCAGAATCTGAGTAAGCTTTCACGATTTTTCGAAATAAAGCTTCTGAAGACGTTTCAGTTAAAATGTGAAACAATTTACTTTCATAATCTTCTAAAAAGTTTAATCACATATATTTTTGTTCGCAAAAAACACCAAATAAGCGCGTCGTAGCGCAACAGGTTGTGGGCCTGTCTAGGGTTCAAAAGGTCACAAGCTCGACCCCCGCCGTGACTTCACCAACAAGCTTGAGAAATTTTAGTATTCAGAAACCAAGGCTCCAGAATTCCAGTCGTCACGCAAGGACGGATATGTCACTAGAGCCAGTCCACTGATTATCGCTGATATCAGGATAGGCTAATCGACTTGGAGCGCCGACGAAGGCGTAAGAAAAAGAAGAAGAAGAAGTTTGAATCGCCAAATAACCATTTGGTTTTTAACAATTGATAATGGATGAAAAATCTTCGAAATCGAGACTTTCAACATAAGCTAATACATACAAAGGGGAAAACCTTTTAAAACGATTAGACTTTTTATTAAGGCTGAACTATCTCATGAACTATACCACTACGTAGCTAACATACTGAGAAAAAAATGAAGTTAGTTCAACGCTTGGTTTCGAGAACTGACGATATTTTCATTTCTCACAGATTTCTTTTCATTGACAGAAAGCGGAATCAGACCTGCATGGTGTTCCAAGTTGTCCGTTGTCGCGGCAGCACGCCTGCCGGAGAGACACGAAAACCTTGTTCAGTTCATCTACAAAATTGGTCTCTAGAATCTCCGATAGACACCTTCGTGAAGATCTTTAAAAGAAAGACTCACTCTTGTGCGACTGTTCAAGCATGACGCCGGACGTCTTCAGCTGCGCACACAACGTGAAAATGGTGTTGGCGAGCTGAGAGGTGAACTGTCCGGCGCGTACCATGTTGTTGATGGCGTTCATCAGCTGCAGTTGCTGGTCTGAAACCATCATCTTCAAACTGGCTCTTTTTCACAAGGGTGCGTCTGCTTTTCTTGCCGCTACGTCATTACACAGACTTCTTTTCCTGTCTTGTATCAAAAGTTTTTAATGTTCCCTACTTTCTCAAAGATTGGAAAAATATTGAGGCGGAAGCTGTCGATGATGACATTTGTCGCAAAAGATGAAGATTTCTCTCTTTCTCTCGAGAAATTCGAGCCATTTGAGATCCGTGTAGCGCCACCTGATTCACTCGAGCAGCCCCCCAAATTCCTTGCCTTCTGACCTCCAAACATCTGGATTATCTATCGGAATTTCGAAATGAGTCAAAATAAACCGAAAGAACGGAAAATAGGTTTTCTTCCGCCCAGCTCACAGTGATCCCTCGAACAGAATCTACAGTATGGGACATGGCGTGATTGTGTCTATGATATCAGTCATCTCGGAATCGAGCGGCCCCGTTGGTTTCGGCGGCAAACTGAGCATACAAACACATGTAAGCCGGTGCGGCTTCCCTCCGACATCTCATCGCAAACATTTGATCGTACTTATCGATAAGACAAACGTCTTTTCCTACACGTATCAGTTCTCTCTTCCGCTGAGTACTGTACACACCGACGCCCTTTCGGTAAAATATCGGCCGCTTTTTTTTTATAATCGCAGTGTTAAGTCGAAAGCAACCTTTGTCGAATTAAAGAATTTGGAAAGTAGAAAATTTCCATCAAAAAACGAAACGGCCGCTCAAATCTTATACCTGTTTCTTGTTCGAAACCTGTTGTAACTTGGCTCAAGCTCGACTTTTTTTCGTTCTCAAACTTGCGATCGCCGAAATTTATTTTCAAATATTGTACCTTTCGAACAAGCAAGTTTATTAATTTTAAATTTTATCTACGATATTTTTTTGTTACAGGTTTATACACCGGTTAAACGCGGAATGAAAAACCGAAGATTTATTAATATTTAATAAAACATTTTTTTCATTCTTTTTCTACTGCAGCAAAAAAATACCACAGCATAAAAAAATATAAGATTATAAGAAATTATTATTCTCAAATTTTTCCTTTTTTTGAAGATGCTTCAAAACGTTCTTGATATCTTCCCTGTTCGATCTCCAGTAAGTATCGAACTTTTAAAAGTTGTTCCAAGTATTCCGCGAACTGAAGTAAAGACTGCAAAAAGTTTTCGAAAAGCAATTGGAGTCATTTTTACGCGTTTTCGTTCGAAAAATCGTACAACGTCTATGAGCGAGAGAGAGAAAGAGCATCGCAAAAAGAACACTGACTCACAAAAATCGTGTCCAAGAACACATTGATTGTGAAATGAAACTGAAAAACCTTTTAGCAAAAACGTTTCACTTTCTTCTCTTTAAAAAGCACATCGAGAAACTTGGCTAGACCTATCTTTCAAGATTAAAATCATATTGATCGGATTTGAAACTTACACGACTTTCACATGTCAGATGCGAAGAAATCGAGTTTCAATTCATAAAAATTTTTTAAAAAGTCAATCAGACGTTTGATATTACTTTTGTTCTTTTGTCACATAACCTCACAAAACTTGGCTTTTTTCTTAACTCCAGATTATAGATAAGCAAAATGTTTTTCTGATAAAGGTCATAGTATAGAAAAAAGAAAAGGAGCATATATTTCAGAACCATAAGTTTACTTGTGAATAGGCAAAAAAACAGATCAAAAAAATTTTAAAATCACATTTTTTTATTTTTTTGATTAACTGAAAAGAAAAGTCGCTTCCCTGCGCTTTTAAGCGACCATTAAAGATTTTTTTGAAAACCCTATAGAATCCCTGATTTCTAACCTTGATCTAGAGGAAATTAGTCAGTTTTTCTTAAGGAATCAGCTTCAAGCGAGTTTCATATGATTATTTAAATGATCCAAAAAATTTATATAAAACTAACGTCTACTTGAGGTTGAAATGTACCCGGTTCCCCTTTAATTTCAAAAAAGGGTTTTTTTTTTCAAAAGAGAATTGAATGGTACAATTTTATCGTTTCACAACAAAGAAAACGCCAACTTTATTCCTTATCACCAATCTTTGAAATTTTTTTTTCCAGGACTAAAATTACCATTTTTCGTTCCAGAAGATTTCATTTAGGCAACATGGGATTTATAGAAAAGAAACCGAAAGGACATTGGTTTTTCCTTAAAGTTTTTTTCTAATAATAAAGATTCATCCATAAAGTGAAAAGAATAAATGAAGTTGAGAACCGGTCCCCCACACGAGTGATTAAATTCGAATCCTGTTCCTCCTAGTTTCTTGGATTGATCGAGGTATAGTACGGTTCATTTGGTGGGCAATAATCTCAGTTAACTTTTCGATTTTTAAACTTCAAAAATGTAGGGAATGAAGCGTTCCGGAGATGTCACTTGCATGCTTCGAAGGGAAGGACGTACCGATGGAGAGAAGAGTGTTGCGCTGGGCGAGCGGCGACGATGGAACGACGCCGCCCCGCTTGAAGTCGTTCGCGAGTTCGTAGGAGTGGTGAAGCATGGTGCCGAGGTGCTGATTAGACAAGAAGGATGTGCTGAGAGTCGTTCGATTTGGGACGAGTCAACCGGAGGGACTGCGGCCACCGCGGGAGGGCGGCGCTTCTTCGTCCGTCGCGCCGCTCAAATCACTGATCGTCTCTCCTCTCTGTGCCCCCCGTCAGTTAAGAGAACGCAGGACCTTTCGCTTTACAACCACTGACAAGCCTCTGCGAGCCGCCGGTTATGCTAATTTCTCCTGCTCGAACCCCGATCGATTTGCCGTTCTTTTTTTTTCGATGAACGTCTGAATCGGCTCTATCGATCTGAGAAACGAGCTCCGTCTTCGTTAGCCATATTTGAGCCTTTTTGAGAGAAAATGAAAAATTCCATCAACATGATTTTGATACTTGATTCGCGTAGATACCGGTTTACAATCTGAAGTCTGATAATTTTTCACTGGATCCGAAAAAAAAATTTTTTGTGTTTCCACTTAACTTCACTGTCGTAATGGGTCGAGGTCAATAACTTCAGGCAAAATACATGCCAGGAACATGAAAATCAGGTGAAGATTTTACCTAGAACAAGCTGAAAAAATACCAATCAAAATAATATCATTTCAAGGCTCAGAGCTGCAGTTGGGGGAGGCTTTTTTTCAGAGAACAAGAAGAGAAAAAAAAAATAATTTACGCAGTTTTAGAAGACTATAGTCCGTTCAGATTTTGAATGACAAGTAGGATGACGTCATTCGAAAATGCTCTGTGGATGGCTCACTCCTCGATTGGTTTATCGCGCCATCAGGGGGCGGACCTTGAGCGATGACAACATTTGAAATCTGAACAGACTATAGAATGCTTAACGATTTTAACAGGCACTCAAATCTTGTTGAATTTAGGCGGAAGAAGGAAGTTTATTCTGCGTGAATGTAGATGCTAACGACCTCTGAAAGTTGTAGAGGATCATTCAGAAAATTTTGGATAATAGTGGATACATTTGTGTCGAATTCATTCGATATTCGTGAATGGAGAATGAAAGTCCCAAAATATAAATTTCAAAATGAAAGGCAAGAATGAGGAAAGCAACGTAATGCTAAATGCGACGGAACACGTGTCAGAGTCATTTTTCGGCTCAAGAATCTCGAGCGAAACATTCCCTCGCGGTCTGTGAAAGACTCCAGATGGACTTTGACGACGAAGACTTCGGAGTTTCGTCGCGACGCCGCAACCGTCGCGAGAGCGGCTCTCCGTCTCGTTGCTACTTTGGCGTCGCCGACGACGACGAGGACGAGGAAGAGGATGAAGTTTGCGAGTCGCCGAACATCGAAGTCTCTTCCGACTATGAGGGCGACGAAGATCTCCGCGACGTGGGTCTTTGACATGAATATTTTCGCGCTTCCAGATTTCAAAAAACTGCTCACAAAAATAAAATATTTGCTCAGAACGAAGTATAGCTGATCCACGGCTGACTTGAGTCGTCGAAAAAAGAGTTCTGACACGATAATACACGAGATAGTCCGTGGCTCGGGGAGAGCGCAAACAGGCCCCGCCCCCTTACCGTCCCAAGCTAGCTGTGAATCGGCTATAACTATTAACAAAAAAGTCATTAGTCATTGAAGCACTCGTAAAACAAAGTTGAAACGTCCATTCACTCACACTTGCTATTTCGAAATGACATCGCTAAGTTTTTCAGCCGGATGACGACAAAGAAATTGACGAGAAAGATTTTGAACGAAGCGCCAGAAGACAACATCATGTGTTGGTGGAAAACGAGGTTCCTCTTTTCTTCTCAAAAAATGACCAAATTAAGAATCAGGTAGGCCTCGATCGACACACTTCAGTCAGGCTTCCCGCCTCTCTCCCTGTGAGTTCTCCACACTCTCAAAAAACGCAATGCCCTCGAAATAACTCATGAAACGGTTGCAGGTCTCTTGTGGGACCATCGTCGGTTTTTTGAAGACCCGAGACTTTCTGTGTCCAGGAATCAACTCGCGCTGCATCCTCATCAACAGTTTGTGTTTCTTCTTTGCCTTTTTTTCCGAATGACTCTGGATATGCCAAAAACCTTCAGACGAACAAATCTCGCCGAAGGAATTCACGATGTTGGCGATGAAAGACCGTCAGAAGGACTGGAAGAGCGCAATCCGCATCAACGGAAAATCTTCTCTGCGGTTTCGATTTCACTGATATTGTACCCTGCGAACCGTTTTTCAGATTAGGAGAAAAAACCATCGAAATTTGTTTTATTGGCGACATTTTTTTTCAATTTGTGCCTTCTGAATTCATATCGTATGACTCATATGTATGAACATGAGAAACGGTTGTGTGAGAAAGAACTTCTCAACGTTGTTTCCATTTTCTGAACTTTATTAAATATGATGGAACTTCCCGAGAAACTGAAACACTCGGACTTTGGTAACGCGAAACGGACGTTTCTGAGCAATTCTAGGGATCACTTAAGAGTTCTTACGCTACTGAAGTAATCCCTAGAAATACTCAGAAACTTCCGTTTCGCGTTACCAATGTCCGAGCATATAAATCAAAGGACAGTTCAAAATCGACCTGATTTTCCCGAAAAAAAACTGTTCTTTTTTTTTTTTTGAAAACCACCTTTCTGATTGGTAAGGACCCTCCTTTTTTGTCATTTTCCAAGAACTATTCCAAAAAATAGAACGCTGAAACGATTTTATCAGTACTGAAAAAAGGCTTTCGTATAAGGTCATACTGTTCTTTGCAGAGCTCACATGGAGGCGAACACGATCGACTTCTTCGATCACGAGGCCCAGTGCAATGGTCGCTGCTTCAGCCGCAACTACCTCACTTACACGTGAGTCTCGGATTTTTCTCCCGAAAAAAAGGGAACTTTCAGCCGAGAGGAGACGATGACGAGGCGAATGCGCAAGATTGAGAAACGCGACTACTTAATCAGGGAGCTCGTCAGCTGCAACAACGGTAAGACTAGCTCTGACTTCCGTGGCGCTCATCAGCTTCGGCTTTTTTTTTTCTTATTCTTTATGACTCTAAATTTCTCCTCGCGAACTTTGACCCATCTCGTCTATTCATGACTGAACTGAGAATTTTGAAGGGGAACGTCCTTTGGTTCCAGTCGGACTAGCCAAGCGCGGAAGGCCTCGGACGCGAATCAGATCTTCGCCCGTCCCCATTTTCGAGCCTCGTCCAGGCTCTCCCAACCAAATCTCCTCGCCAAACAAAGTTCTCGGTAGCATGCAGCGCTGTGAGCTTTTTTTTAAAGTTTCGAACTTCATGTTTTCTCGTAGATCCGGCTTCGTTTTGGGCCGAGATGAACCGGGTTGGGGCTCTGAACGAAGTCTGCGATCAGGTCATTCTAAGCGCTCTCCAGCTCAAAAATATTGTCTGCTCACCAAACGACGAGTCTGGCCAGAAACATGCGGATTTCGGAGAAGGTTCTTTTGATTCCTCTTAAGTTTTTAATATCAAACTTTTAGCTTCGAAGAAGCTGTCTAAGGCATCGTTGACTCTCGAAAAAACAGACACTTTTGTCCGATTTGTGCAGGGGATTGAACGCGACTATTTCCTCTGGAAACAACAAAAGGAGGCTGAGGTGCGCGTCACGCCTTTTCTTGTTTCTCAGAAAGCTCATCTTACTTTTACTTTCCAGCAACGACCAGAGGACCGTCTGCCCAGTGACGAGCCTTTGTGAATCAATTCCTGTTATTCCTACTATTAACGTACTTTATTCTTCTAACAAACCGATATCACGTACCAATCAACTCATGATAAATGTTTCTCCATGCTTCTGAAATCATCTTTTTTTTTGCAAAGTTTCTGTTTCCATAAAAGCATATGGCTCTCATTACACAGCAACCGCGTTTTATTTATATATTTTTATGAGGCGTAAACCCGTGCTAGATATTGGAAAACAAGGTGCTATATATAGAAAGCTGTCATAAGAAATATGAAAAGGTGCACTATGAAAAGTGAAGCGATTTCCGTTTAGGGTCTGACGGAGCAAACGGAGATGTCGTGGTAGTAGCTGACGTTAGAAAATTCTCCGCAGCAATGGGTCGATCCTCCGTTCGAGTGACCGAGAAATCCTTCTTGGAACCTGAAGATTATCTCCTAAATCCAATCCATGATATAAGCATAATTATAAATCTAAATGGAGTACATTTCAAGCAAATAAGCTCCAAAATCATCGTTCTTTTCAGAATGAAATAAACTCCCAACGATAAAGACTCATTCCAACCCCCCTCGGCCTATTCAAAACTTTGAGGTTTAAAGAAGATTATCTGATTCGTATAGCAAATTTTCGAGTTTCGAATTTAAATTTACAAAAAACTCGTATAGTCTGATTTTTGCATTGATTAATGATTAACTCATTAACAGGACTCCAATACCATCAACCATACATAAATTTAAAGGCTTTACCATCTGACGTAGCATGGAGCGACTTGATGAGCGCCGATGAGCTCCTTGATGGCAGAGTAAGCCGAAGAAACTCCGCCGACAAAGCCAAAGGCTGAACAATCATAAATTGTTCCGAAAGATCACTTGCTGACTCACTCAATGAAAGCACGTTGAAAAGCAATATCATTTTTGGAGTGTAGTATACTATGCTGTAAACATGTTTTCAATAAGGCGACAGAAATCGGAATAAAACTCGGAAAATTTCGCGATCTGGTCATCGGGAGAGTTTGAACTCAAAAGACCGCTCTGGATCGCATCTTGACGTTTTTTCCAGGACGCCTGTTTAGATTCAAATGTTTAGTTTTGATATTTTAATCACTTGTAAGAACAAGTAAAACACGCTGGGAAGTAGCATGGTCATCAGGGTGATTGTCGTGGCGCCAACCTGGAAATCTTAGGTACGTGAATAGTTGAGATGGAAAGACGTACAAGGTCGAGAAAGACTCCGAGTTTGAGAACGGAAAGCGAAAGGAAAGTGGAGCATCCAAGTAACAGAGTTCGAATCAGGAATCTCTTCACTCCGAACTCTAAAGTTACTATCTTCCGTGGCGGCTTCCCAACTTCGTTCACAGACCATTGGGTGCACGGAACCACTCTTCGACTTGCTGACTCAGGGGCGAGAAAACAATGACGATTGTGGGGAAGATGTGCAGAGTGATCATCACGTTGATTGTCTGGGAAATCCACTTCAACTGAAAGAAAGCGTCTTATAAGACATCTGAACAATAGTCCTTTTCACATTCTTTGTTCAAGGTCAATGACTGGCCTTTTTTTTAAAGTCATTATGTAAGAAAAAAGTATCTCAAATCTACTCTAGTCTCGCGAGTTGAATGTATATCTTTTTCTTAGTACATAAAAAAAACGCCTATAATTTCAATGATAGTCCGTTTTTCCCGGCTTGAAAGGGCGGACTTCTCTGCGCTCTCCTCGTCTCTCACAACCCTCTCTTGTTGACGCGCTCTTTTCGCGTTTCTGTGATCTCACCGGTGAGGGAACAGAGAGACTCAGACAGTCGAAAAGTGTCAACTCGCGGAGAATATACTATAACTGGTAGAGAAATGCGGCTGAATTTAGCAATCAAAGCGCAAAATTAACAAAAGATGAAACTGGGAGTAGCTCCGGATCGAAGGGATAGAACCAAGACTTGGCTCGTACCTGGATAGAAGGGATTACTGTATCGACCATGCTGTTACCGTACACCAGCAGCCCAGTCGTCGACACCGCTACATAGACGATCGTGATAACTGCAGAGCTATTTTCAGCAGGGCAAACTTGCTCCAACTCACAGATGTAGCTCCAGAAGACGGATCTGTTGAAGTACTGCGGTTTTTTCATGTCGTGCTGAATGGTTGGAAAAGCACCGTGACCGCCTGGAATATGTATCGATTATCAAATGCTCTCTATTGAAACTGTTATGGAGGCGAATAATATTCAGGCACAAAAGAACTTACCATAGGCAAACACAATTGTTCCGTAGGCTAGAGAGAAGTTCGTGAACGACAAGCTCGGCAATTTTCTCGACTAAAGATCACTTTATTAAGTCGGTTAGAACTTGACCGCACCGGAACACAAGCTGAAGAATCGTGAATTGAGCCAGCGATAATAAATCCTGCCGCCAAAGAGCTCGAAACCGCAGAAATGATGGCGAGTTGCCTACAAACAAAAAATGTAAGAGTTTGTTTCTTACTTTGTTAGACAATATAATATATTTCGTTCGATGATAGCACTTTTAGAAGCAAAAAAAAGTTCTGAACACACTATACTTGCCAGAAATCCATGGGACTCTGAAGCATCACAAGAGGCCATAGAGCCGCCGCGAGAGCGACAATAAAGACGCAGAAGTCGAGGTGCCAGCCGAAGAAGACGTTGAGAAGCGTCGTGAGATTCTCGGCGCACATCAGCAGCAGAACCGAAGCAATCAGGAACTGGGACAGCGCCAATAAAATAGAAACGGCCTGTCTAAAATGAGCTGCGGGGTTTCAATTAAGACCATCATTTTCACTTTGCCCAAGGTCCCAACGCGCGATAGGCCATCTCAGGATAGGGTCGACGGCAATGTTGCTTGTACTCGGTCCAGCGGTTCTTAACCAAACAGTGACCCTAGGATTCGCGTCTTTCCTACTTGGAGCATAGTCCAATTATCTCCCAGTTGGATGCCTGTATAGCCGGAGAACAGCGACGCCAACAGGATGATGGCTATTCCAGGGCCGAGACCTGAAAAGAATCATTTCCCTAGGTTCGAAGACGAAGATGACCGGCGTTTCCGAGGGCCAGCGGGAGCGAGATCATGCCGGCTCCCATCATATCGCCGACGATGAACACAGCCGCCATCGCCCAGTGGATTCCGTGTTCGTTGCGGTGTGGCGACGACGTCGTCTGCACAAAACTGATTTTCATTTAGTTATCAAAAGCTGAAAATTCAGAAAATTCTCTAGGGGAAAGTCAAAATTTTGTTAGAGAAGGTCAAAAATGAAAAAAAAAACTTCATGTCAAATCACATTCTATCATAATTTTAACGACGTTATCCAATGATTCCAATAAAGTCACTCCAGTTTTCCCTGAATCTCACCCCGCTCAAATCGTCTTGCAACGTTTTACCATTGTCCAAAGTGATGCTCGACAAATAAGGCTTGTTCACCTCGTAAACTTTCGACTTGCCCTTCATAATTGAGTTCTGAAGCCTTCATTATAAAACTCTTAAAAGGAAAAAAAAACATTTATATTTTACCATTGTTACCAAAGAAAAATACAAAAAAGGGCAAAGAAAAGCGACACGAATGCACAGATTATGCAAACACATCGAGAGGCCCGCTGAACGTTCAGACTTTCTGAATATTCAGAAAAAGGCCATACAATCGTTTGTTATAGAAATCCAATTAGAAAACATAGCTTTTGTCAGTGAAAATTTTCCTTTTAAACGAGGAAACTCCCATCATTTTTCTATTCCTCTGTTGCCGACTAATTGTTCCGTTTTTGTGAAAAAACTGAAAAATCAGGCAAAAGGAATGCAAAGAGAAAAACGGAGCGAAGGGAGACCCGAGGCAAAATAATAATAATATCGCGATAACACTGAACTCTAACCGGAACGCAAACATTTAACCTACTATAAAATCCGAGTCTTGCGCTTTTTATGTCAACAATGTTCAAAAACTCACTTGCAAGTAATATTCTCATCTTTATCATAAGAAGAAACGAGCAAAGAATTAAGTTTAATATCAAGCAGAAAACTTTTTTTCAACAATTAAAAGGGCTACATGCAAAAATCAAACTTCTAATGATTAAATTCAGCTTAAAATATTTTTTGATAAGAGCTGACCTGGAGAGAGAAACGCTTCAAACATAGGACTTAAGTCTTTTTTTAAAACTTGTGACGCTCAAATTTGACCTCGAGAGTTATTTTTTTAAACTTTCAAGCTAACCACCCTCAAGAAATCTACGCGTTTTGGAACTTAAATGACTTTACCGAAGAAAAACTTTTTTTTTTTCGAAGAACGGCCACTATGAAAAAAAAAACCGACCTAACCGACCGACCCTTCGAGCACAACACCCAAACTCACATTTTTTTCCTATTTAACTAGCTTTAAATACTTTGAGGTGTTTGTCAGGTGCTGATAAACTTTCCTCCTGAACATTTGAGTTGAAAATAATTCATTTATCGCTGTTGACCTCATCTTCCTCTCACCTAGCCATAAAGGGCAACGCCCTTCGGCGCAATTTCATCTTTGCCAAGTTCTAAATATCCTATCTATGAATAATAATCGAGAAAACTTTGATTAGAAAATGCTCATACATCTACTGAAATACTTTTACCTGAGAAATTGAAGCAGCATGATGGATGTTGAAATATTTATTTAGTTCTAATGAAGTCCTGAACAAATTCAATTGGCATAAAAATGCTAAAATTTCAAACCATTCAATCAGAGGGTGGATAAAAATATAGTCGTAAGAATGGCGAGTTTGAAATGGAAGAAATGTGGTTCATTCGTGAATACATTGAATCCGGAGCTGGAAAAGAGCCTCGAAACGGGCAATCTGCAACCAAATCACAAACATCGTAAATTCCCAAAGAAGGCAAAGTGTTAGGCAGACGGTATATAGAGCGAAAGTTTTATATACGGTGGCTTTTTATTTTCCTTTTTTTCGATAGTGCTCAACAGGCGTGGTGATTAATACTTTATTCTGGAAACTCATTTACAATCTCGCATTTACGCTTTGTAACGGTTGGATTTCAGATCTTGCAGCAGTAAAACGGAGTTTGAAGTTTGAACTCCGTTTTACTGCTGCAAGTTTATTTCGTTTACTATCCCGAGGTGTCGCCACAAGCGAATCGAGAAATTTTATCGCGATACTATATGAGCTTTACCGAGCGGTCTGAAGTTTAGCGATAGTACCAGTTTTCTGGAGTAAACCTCTGGGGACTTTGAGCTAAATACAATAGACTTGGGATATACCTTCAAGGAACTCCGGTAAAGGTAAAAGGAATACTGTAAGACTCATAATTACAATGGACATATTATTGGATGCCCTCGGTCTATTTTTGAGAGGTATACTCGTGGACTTTTTTCCCACGGTATCCTCCCGATTCACCTGTGCGGTTATTTTACAGCGTTTAAAATCATTAAAATTGATCTTTGGCTTCTCAAAATATTTGTTATCCTTTTCAATCTCTGACGGTCATTTCTATATTCTGCCAAAATCACGTTGAACGGCCAATAGGTTTAAGAACAAAATCTTTATAAAATAAAGTTATGAACAGAAAATTATCAACTCTTTTTTGCGCGTCGCTTCTGATGCATCACATGCATTGCGTACAAAACATCAGAATACACAGAGGTGAAATTTGTAATTATTTTTTCACTAAAGCGCTTTAAACTTTAACGAAATTTAATCTAACTTTTTTTAATAAACGGTGTTAACTCTATTGTGATTTGTACTCGAAATTCAATTTGAATTTGCTTTTTATCGAAAAAAATTTTTTTAGACATTGCTTCTCAAATTTAATTAGATGAAAAAAATCGCGCTCCGTTAACGACTAAATTCAATCCGCCTATTCGCGTCTTTAGTAAGTGAAAAGTCTTTTTTTCTGTAATTTTCTATCTATTAATGTTGGAAATTTCCTTCTTAATTGTATTCAATATAAAAAAATGATCAAAAAGGGTCTAGTATAGCCAGCGAAGACGGCGCAGTGCAAATCGGACGGGTCCCTGTAGGTCTGAACTGGTGTGTCGTAAGCTTTTTCAAAATTTTTTTTCCGATAATGATTCAAATTTTCGAGGAATATTTGAATCAAATTAGTTTTTTTCCTTTCGTATTTTTGAAGTAATTTCGGAAAAATTTTTTTCTATCCAATTTCTCACGCATAAAAAAATTGATATAAGTTCCTTCTACCACAGAAAAAAAGCCGAATATTAATCATTGCTTCTGATTGCAATTTCAGCGTTTTAGTAGATCTTAAAGTCGTAAGTTTGCCTTCTAAAAACTATCGTGGCTAGATAGTTCATTTTTTTAAGTGATACTACTGAAAAAAACTTTCAATTCGTTTTTTTTTTTTTTTAGCTCTGCTTCTTAATATCAAAACTGCCTAAAAGACATCAATAAATAATTACTATAAAACTGCTTTAGGTAAATTCAGGAGACGGTATTTTATTATCAATTTTTAAAAGAACAGCGCTCCTTGAAAATAAAATTCCGATTTGAGAATTTAAAATGATTTTTTTATAATGTGTTGTTTCTCAAAAGAAAATATAACAATGTCCCTGCAGCCTAAATTTCTAGCTTTCTGAGAATTTTTAAATTCACGTTTTTCTTCATTGACGATGTTTTAGTGACCTTATTTCAACGTGAATTAGTTACAGCTGAGTGTATATCTAATAAGTTGAAGGGGACACTAACAAGATTACATTATAGAAATGTATAAAAATAGTAGTGAGGAGCGGTGATCGGTCCTTTTTCGTCACACCGCACGCTCGCCAGTCCCAATGACACTCACCCACTCAATTGCGCTCTTTCTCTCAACGCGCCTCGTTTTTTTATGTTTTCTTTTTTTTTCAATTAACAGTGCTGTTTTCGAGTATTGATGAGTTTTATTTCAAGATTCGGGAAGGTTAATTTGAGTTTCATTAAAGTGCACATTAAAAACGAATTTGTATAAAAGTACCCAAAACTGTTTTGATGGACTTTAAGTTTTTGCTTTAAATTCAGTAAATGAGCCGTTTTTGATTTCTAACGCTGTTCATTTCTTCTAACTTTTTTTTTAACTCGTAAAATGTGAATTTCTGTCTCTCAAGCTGTCACGTTCATAATAAAAACGTTTAGAATCGAGTTGTCGTTTCAGCTTCATTATTACTGTGAGGGATGTCGGCGTCGTCATCCGGCGACGTCAGAGACAGGGAAAAAGAAAAGGAGCAGTCTTCGAGCAAGTACAAAGCCTACGTACAGGCGGTTGACCGCGCTCTCAAGACTTTCGAGAATCCAAACGAATGGGCTGATCTCATTTCGGCCCTGGGAAAGCTTGCTAAGGTTTTGTTTTGCTTTTAATTTCATCTATGTTTTATGGACTTTCTGATAAGAAAAGATTATTTTCCGAAAAAAAAAATATTTAATCCATTATGAATTGGCTACGATTTCCCATTAAGAAGAGGTTCATTGGGAAGTTTCTAATTCAATTTTTCGAGTTTTTTTCAAATTTCCTTTCATATACCGATTTATTTCTACTATTTAAATCTTAACTAACTATAACAAATGTTTAAAATGAAAGAAAACGGAAAAAAGAGGCTCGATGCGTCGAACACGTTTCAATTTATGCCTCGAGTTGCTTCTCATTATACCATTATAAATCTTTAGATCAAAAAAAAAAAGTTCTGAGTTCAGGTTTTCCAATCAAATGCCAAGTTCACGCAAATTCCAAAGCCTGTGACTGTGGCCAAGCGTCTGTCGCAATGTCTTCACCCTGCTCTTCCCATGGGTTTTGTCAGAAGAAACTTTTTCGATCAAATTCTATTTGTAGGTGTTCATATAAAAGCTTTGGAGACTTATCGACAGGTCTTCGACATCCTCGGTCAGAACTCCTTGCCGGAGTTGCTCTATCTGTTTGCGGTGGGACTTTTTCCATTGATGGACCATTGTGGAATCAAGGTTGCTCCAGCTTTTTTTGTTCTTTTTTCAATTCTTTACCATCAAGGTCAAATCGGAGTTATTCGCAATCTTCGAGCAGTATTTGTTACCTCTGGGACCTCATTTGAGACCTGCTCTTCCGGGATTCTTAGGCGGCGTGCTTCTTGGACTCGAGGAAGGCACAGAGTTTTATGAGAGGTTCCGAAACGTTTTTTTTTGTTTCTGACCATGTTCAGGTCTCTCGTACTCTTGGACCGAGTGTGTGAGAAAGTTGGCGCTCGCTCGTTCTACGCGTGTTTGTGGCAAACGGTTCTGGGATCGCCGCCAGTTCGTCTCCCGGCCATGATCTACGTCAACGCGAAATACGACAAGCAAAAGTCTCTGGACGACCAGATCTACTTCTTCGGAGATCATGTCAACCACATGGTTCGTTTGAGCTTCTACTTGGCTGGTATAGTATACCTTTTTGTGATTTCGTTACTCTTTACTTCAGAATCGAAGTTTTGAGGCGATGCTTTGGGAAGAAGGGGGGCGGTGTTTATATTTATTTTTGAAGCTCGCAAACTTTTTTAGCTTGTTTGGAAAAAAACAGGGATTTTTGCTTCGTCCGATCGTTCCAGTATCCGTAACATTTGTAAATCATGAATTCGGTAAAATATATATATTATTTTTTTCGATCTCAGGAAAGTCCTGGGAAGGTAACCAGCAAAAGGTTGAAAATGAATGGAAGCTAAACGGTCTTGAAAAGCCGTGGGAAGGTGTTCATAAGGTAGTGGTCTTAGAAGGTTAAGAAAAGATGGTGTGTGCCAGAAGTATTCCAGCAGGCTTCCGGAAGGTAAGTAGAGGAGTTGTGAAGGAATGTGGAAGGAGTTTGACCACTTGCTGCAAAGCTTCCAAACACCTTCCGAGAAACCGGAAGCTGAAGCTTTCCAACTTTTAACTGAGTACAAACATATCAGAACGGTTTTTAATTAGCGGATTCAGGTGGCGGCTCTCTGCGCCACGGCTGACGACTCCGGATCTCCGCTGGTGCAGCGATATTTGCTCGATTTCCTCGTCACGGCGTTCCCTCTCGACAGCTCCAATCTTACGAAAGAAGATTTTGTGCAGGTTGATATTTTTATGGTCAACTTAGTTATTCGGATCTTTGTTCAGCTTCTGCGGAGATCTCTGTTCGTGGTTTTGCGACGCGACATGTCCCTCAACCGACGGCTGTACACGTGGCTCGTCAATCGCTCAGGTATCCCCCTAAATCTTTTCGCCGTAGCTGATTTTTGCAGGTGAAACGACTGGAGTTAGTGGACTGTCGCTGGGAGGACCTGAGGAAAGTCTCGACATGTCTTTCTTCCGAGATCACGTCCTTCCCATGATTGTCTGCGCTATCGAACAATATTTGGCTCTTGACATTGTCGAAGTTTCTACTTTGCATGGATCTCAGTCAATGTTTGGAGAACGAAAGGCAAGTTCTGGGAAAAAAAATGCGTTTCTCCTTGCTTCTGTTGTTCACGAGTCACAGGTTTTTTCCAGGAAGCTGACCAAGTTCAATTCGCCGAAGTTCGTGTCTGCCGTTTGTTGCTCTACCTGCAAGACCGCGCTGACATTGGAAAACTCATTCTTGACGCCGTCTTCTCTCGTTTTCTCAGAATATCCGCCGAATACTTTGTGAATTACGGCGGTGCCCTCCTGGAGGTCGAGTCGAAAAGCGTGGAAACAAGAAGCCCGATCCAACCAAAACCGAGCATGCAATCAATTGATCCTTCGCACTCCGTCGATCCTGAAATTGACCTTCAGCTTCATGTGAGCAATCAAAGTCAAGTTTACTTCTCAGTTACTAATGAAGTACCTAGAAAAAAATTTTTTTGTAAGGAGTTAAAAAAAACTAGATTTACGAAAAGCTTTAAAATGAGATTTCCTTACGATTTTTCTAAATTTTTTTCGAAAGTTCCAGTAAAAAAAAAGAAGGAGAAAGTTCAGGAAAACAAGTTTTTTCAAACATTCTCTTTCTTTTTTGTTTTTCCTATGAAGCTTTTTTTTTCTCTCCTAGATCGAACGTCATTCAAAATCGCGATTCCCAATTCATGTAGCCCTAACACACTTCCTTAGTTAGAGGGAAAATGAAAACCGAAATTCTCTCTTTTTGAAATTGTGCTTTGATGTGAAACAGCTTCCACTGTAGCTGAAAATCTTGTTATAAAAAACCACTGCTCTTTCTTTAGGTATTCACGAAAGTTTTAGGGACGTCGTGTCGACGAACTCACCAAAACTTTCAACATGCTGTTGAACTCCCTCGAGCAAGGGTTCATTTGGGACTTCCTCGGAAATTGGCTCGAAGAGATCGTCAACCATCCAGGCGATGAGTACATAAACAGTCCCACGGTCAACCACTATGCACAGGTTTTTCCTCGTCGGACGGCCTCCTGATAGCTTTTTTCGGATGTTCAGGTTGTGATGGTGTGTCTGGAGATCTGCAATTTGGACAGCGACGTCGCCGTTCGCATTCTGTTCTTGCCGACGCTCCTCAAACGCATTCTGAACGGTTTGGCGTCGACGGAGCTGCTCGAGGACTGCAAGCAAGAAGACGTCCTTCTCCTGTTTGCCGTCTGTCGCAATCTCTTGCAAATCATCACCTCTCGCACCGGGGTCCCCCTTGAAAGTTCGTGCATAAACTTCAATACAAATACATTATTTTTGGCTTATATCAATATCAGTACCATAGATTGAAAAGAGTACAAGACGACAAAAAGCTTAGAAAAACTAACCTTACCTTTGTCCGAGTTCAGAGGGATATTTTTTTCAACGAAAATATTTTTTTATAAATTTAGTTTTTCAAGTTGAATCCGAAGCCAATCTCAAAATCAACCACGGTTGTCTGTGAAATAGTGATATCCACTCAAATTTTGAAACCATATTTTCCAATTGAGCTTTTTTTTTGTCTTGCAAAAGTGACTATCATTTTCACCAAATTTCTTGAGCCCACCGGAAGTTTCTCTCAAAACGCAAGGAGTATTTTTTGTTCTTGAGTCGCCACATTTTCAGTCGCAGATTTGGAATTAATTATCGTAATTTTAATCAACATGATAAACTGCAAACATTCAATGGATATCAAATGGAAGACATCTAATTTTTTTTCTTCTAGATTCTGACAAAAAGTATGAATATTCTGGAAATATTTCATTTCAAATGATATTTTCAGCGGAGTCTTTCAGTCAGACGGAAACGACCGCCACCGCGGAAAGTGGTCAGTTTTTTTTTTTCTTTTCATGACTTTTTTGAGCACCAAGATACTGAAATGAACTCTGCGACATTCCATTTTTCAAACTGTTTTACAGAAGGAAATCTCGTGTTCGAGTGTCAACTGGCGTGCTTGGAGGCGATGTCTTCAATCTTTGCCCTTTACGCAGAGAAACGGTCTCCAGAACATCTCCCGCTGATTCAAACGTCGAGCGCCTTGCTGAATTTGTTCCTCGACATTCCCATTTACGTGCTTCCGGACGATGCTAAAACGATTTCGAAAAAAACGCCCGCCTGGCTCGTCAATATACTCAAGGTTCGTTTTTTTTTTTCCAGCTTTCTCAGTCGGTTGAATTATGTCTTTTTCGGAGAATGATTACCAGTTAACGAAGTATAAAGAAGTCGTCAAATGAAGTGGCGACCTATGAACAAATATAAAATGTAAAACGTTTGTCGGAATATCAAACTTCAAATTAATTTGGTCAAAATATTCCTAAATATCTCAACTTTTACGTGGTGTAAAAAAATATTTAAATAGTTGGCGATTTTAGCTGCCAAGAAAAAGAAATTACAGAACAATTCCTTATTTCTGGATGAATAACAAGTTCAGTATGAAATTGTAAAATTTGCCGTTTTGTTCATTTCATGACCGACAGGGCTCTATTCCAAAAATCTGCTTTTTTAGAGAGAAAAAAATTTGTATTGCATGTCTTTACTCTCATTTGTAAGAAACTAAGAATCTTATACCCTAAAAACGGGAAACTTTTGAAGGTAATAGATGGACCAGGTTGGCTCAGTGCTATGCATTCGGCCAGCTGTCCAGACGTTTCCGCACGAGCAGCCCTACTGGAACTTTTGTGCTGCATCTACGCTCGGTCCTCTTCGGTCCAGCTCCAGCACAAGGAGCTCAGCTCCCGAAAGTCCTCTGAGCCATCTGAAGACGCAACGAAGTGAGTTGGAAAATCGAAAAAATAAAAAAAAAGAAGAAATTTAGCGAGCCTTCTCACGAATCATCCACTATTTTGTTGATGCCGCTTCTCTCCGAAGACGATATGGCCTATTTGGAGAATGAACGTTTATTTCCTGTCAGTCTTTTTTTTTATTTTTGCCTTTGCAATGAGGTCCGTGAATAGACAACTTCTGAAAACGGCGGATTTTCGCTTAATAGAATTCTCAGAAAACCAAAAATTTCATTTTTAACGGGTTTTTTGTTGCAAATGAAGTGTAGGAAGTGTCAAGATATGAATTTTTTTTTTCTTTTTTTTTGTTGTCAAATCACATTTCAGTTTTCAAATTAGGAAGGTGAATAGTTTTAAGCTATTTGGCCGGTTCAGATTTGCGCCGAAGCTGTGTGGATAGGAGTCGGCAGCAAATGGTGCACTCAAGAGCAGCAGCTCATGTCTCGTTTACTGCTGCAGCTCCACTCCAGAAAGACGAATGAACCGAGCAGCGAGCTGGAAAACATCATCGTCCGGAATCTCACGTCGACCGACGAAGTTTCCCTTTCCCTCCGCCCTTTTCGATGTATTCCGGCTTCAGATTGTATGCACAGACGCGGCAAAGACATTCCACAAAGTTTGGGTCTTGACGCGACCCAACGAGGACGCCGACGGTTTTGCTACCTACGCTAAGCCTTTCAATAGGTTTATTTGAACATCCATGATTCCTTCCACTTCAAAATAATCCCATATACTTGAATCGTACTCTTGATTGTCTTCAGAGTGGTGATGATCTTGTTGGGTGTGTTGGCCGATGAGAGCGTCGCACGAGCCCGCACCGAGCTGAAAGCTGCGGCTTCAGCTTGGTTCGCAGACTGTGCCAAGCACCAAGATCTGCCTCGCATCGTTCAGGTTGGTTTCCTCTTTCACGCTGCTTTCCCCATCACAAAATATGTCTCTAGATGCTGTCGACAATGTTGATGAACCCCGTGACAGCGAGGATATCCATACAATATGTTCGCCAGGAATCCAAGTTTTCGAGTCTTCAGTACTTTGAAGTAGTTGAGTTTGAAGGATGACTCGAGAAACTTGTCCGACGCTTCCTTCTGGCGTTTCTGCCGTCACGATGATCACTGCTGATGGCAAGCAGCGTCTGTATCACATTGACGGGCCTCCTCTACCCGAAGAGTTTGTTATTCTTCAATGAGTCGGAAAGGATGGTATTCGAATCGGGACCAAATCCCTCCTCATATTATGTTCATAGTGATTTCCGCGAAATGCAAAAGCATCTTTTTCACTCTCTGACAGCAATTTTGAATTTCGTAGAATCACTTTGAACATGGCACGAAAAGGTCTTGGAAACAGTAGTAACTGGTATTCAAACACGACGAATATGCCAAAAGCTTCCTTAATTGAAACAGTTAAAAAAACAAAGTTCTCTGCGTTTTTTTTTGTTTTTTTTTTTTTTGAAAGACCATGATTCAGTCAATGGCTCTACGACGTGAGGAATCGGCTCCTGTTATCGACGGTTGAAGAGAACAGCGTCTCGGAAAACCTGCGCGTGAGCCCTTGCGTCGGAGTTTGTCCTGGAGACGTGCCTAACTTCGACGACGATACGGTTTGAGCAGCTCTTGGACATATGCAAGTGGTGCTCAGGATTCGATCGACACTTTGTCTTGGAGTTTGGAAGGAGTCGATCCGGCCGTCGTCGAAACACTTCAAGCTCTCATCGACACGGTTGTCGAGGATGAGGAAAATGAGATGGAAGCTCTCGAAAAACTGAGTTCCGTTGGTCAAATTATTGACCCATCCGGAATTTCTTTTTCTCTGCGGTTTGATTTTTTTCGCCTTCCACGAGATGAAAACCAACTTTTTAGCCAAGAAGAAGCGCAAAATAGCAAAACGAATGATGAAATGGAGCCTGATGAGCCGAAGGCAGCCCCCGTCTGCGAATCCATGCAACGGTCCGTTTAGTAATCATCTTCAATCAAAAATAAGATTTCAGCCTCAAAAAAGGACATCGAAGACAGGACAGCCTTCAGGAGAGCATATTCAGTATGACGGAAAAAGACTTCAAGTGCGAATTTTTATTTCAAAAAAAAATTTAAACCAAATTCGTATTATCAAGCGATTAGAAGAATAATGAAAAAAAAGCGATTTTTTATTCAAATTTTAAAATGCGTTGCGTTGAAATCTCATAATCTCATGAATTCTTTCGAAATTTTTGAGGTCTTGTTCTTTAGTTTTTCTTTCAATAACTTTTCCATAAATAGCAAAAATAATCAATCACTAAATATACTAAAAAGTCGTGTCTTTTCGATTTTAAGCATTTTTTATAAATATTCTGCAGGGCATTTGACGCGACTGAAATCCTGCGCTCTTCTGCTGACAGCGTCGAAGGAAGCAACTCGACACCCCTTTTCGATGAACTCCACGTGCACATGTTGCTCTACGGAGAAAGTGGCCGAGTGGTGGACCTGGGTCGTGCCGAGACCGCTTTCCGAATCCTCGCAGCGTTGCTTTCGCCGCGAGGCAGCAGCGGCAACCGGATGTTGCTCAAGTGCGTTCTCCCAACCAGTTGGACACAAAAAAAAGTAGAATACCGATAGGAAAATTGCAGAACTCAGATATTTTGTGATTGTGATTTGGGATAGGTGGCATTTCTTGTGAGAGGTGCCACAATTCCATATAAAAAAGTGGAAAATAAAAAATAGGACATAAGATTATTAGTTGAGCCCAAGGCTTGCAAAAAGTATCTGTCGGATTCAATTTTTCTTAGGAGCTTCCAGGAAATCAGATAGATATAGAGCTAAGATAAATTTAAATAATTATCAGGTTTTTAGTCAGTGTCTTTTGATTTTTTTTTTCATCAAAAAAAAGGTGTATTCAACGAACATAAATGTGAGAACCTTGATTGTTAACTGTGAGATTGAGAAACTGTTTAGCTGTCTCGTTTCTTCCGGAACCGCGGCCCAGACCGGAGAGGACGCCTCCATGAGCAACGGATCGCTAGTAGAACTGATGACAAGACATGTGCGGGCCATCCTCGGCCAGCACTTCTGGACGTCTTCTGTGAGCGAAGAAGACCCCGCCACGAAACATCGACATCTCACTCTCCTTGAACTCTTAATTACGGTTCATGGCTCCCCAATGCTTCTTCTTACTGTGGTCATTCAGATTTCTCTACACTACTTACGTTCTTATTTCCTGAATTCCCCAATCTCTCCCGTTACCGATGCCGATCTCGTCGTTTCCTGGAAGTGCAAGGTGTGCTCCTGTCTTCATTATTCCTGTTCAACGCTCCTTTCAGATTTCTGCTCTCGAATTCTTGTCAGAGTTGATTAGCGAACTCGCGAGTATGCTCGACGAACAGAAGTCGAGGACTTTTGTCATTTTCGTCCAGTCGATTCTCAACCGCTCGAAGCTGCAAAAGTGTCTTCTTCATCTGCTTTTCACAGCTGTCCACCACGATCCAGATGCTCAGCGACAAAAGTACTTTTTTTGTCTCTTTTCTCAGGTCAAAAATTGATATTTGAGCTCTTCACTCTCGGTGTCGATAAGCGAGTTCAACGAGGGTCGTCACGGAGAAGTTTCGCGCAGACTTTCCCCTCTGCTCAGCGCCTACCATCGTTCGCTGTTAGCTCTGACATCTCAGGCTATCCGCCTCGAGTACGAGATCAAAAACGGCTACAACAGTTTCCCCGATGTGAGGGTCACTCATCTTCATGATTAGTCTTTTGTTCCCTTTTAGAACACTTCAACGATCGGACGAAATCCTTCTTTCAATCCACAACTCTACCACTCAATTTCTCAGCGATCCAATAATAGAGAGCCCCACGCTGCTTTAGTGGAACTTCGGGCTTTTCTGGTTATTCTGCTGAGTTCCTTGAAAAAACAGCCGCAGCGGCACGAGATGTGGTTGCATTTCATCGTGCAGATTCTCCAGTGGATGGAAAGGTCTGTTAATTTTTGTCACCTTTTTTTTTGCTGAAACATACTCTATTTTGCCCCTACGTGGGGTGGGTCCCATCCCAGTTTTTCGCCCGAGAAAAATTTTTTGAAAATGTACTGAAATGGTGGGGACGTATGATTTTGCCTTTTTCTCATTTAAATTTTGTTTTTTGTTAACCGTAAATCGTAAAAAAAATCTAGGGTCATTTTTTTTCCTGGTAAAATTTTCTTTCGGAAACTTTATTTCTTTTTAGGTTTAGAGCTCTATCAGTTACCTTATTTCTCAACTTTTGCAACTTTCTCGCTTTTAAATCTATTATTTTTGGAGATTTCGAAAAATCTTTTACAATTTTTTCTCCTGCAGGTCTCTCGCTACGATCGTCTGCCGAGTTGTGGAACAGTTGTGTAAAAACGTGGAAGCTGCGATGAGCGAGGCCTACATCGCGCCGATCACCTCGGACGTCGTCACAGAGAGCCTAAGTGAATCGAAAATAGAACCCGACGGATTCCCTCCGAACTATCTTGTCATGATACTCGAGTCGATGACAACTCTGGTCCACTTCTGCGTCATCGACGTCACCAGCATTGCTGGTCCTTCCACCGTCCCGACGAGCACTCCGCCTGCGGCGCACGGCGTCACCAGTAGTAGCGTCGTCGGACATGTCGGAAACCTTTTTGAACCTTTTGATGAATATCATTACAGGCAATGTCTGTGATTCCTGGAACTCGAGGGGCTACGGAGCTTATATCGAATCTCGTCAAAGTGTTCAGCTTCAGTGAATCCAACAACGTTAGTTTTTTTAACGTAGGAGGTCAAGAAAAAGACTTTTGATTGTTGTTTATCTTCTCGAATCTTGAATTTCTTTTTTCAAGCTATAAATTCCGTGTTGGAAAAACCGCAAGATTATACTGTGTACTCCGAAAATTCAAATAATTTTTTCGAACTGCGCTATTTTTGACGAACGGGAGCCTAAAAGCTTATTCGAATGTTAAAGATAGTGTTTCGACTAGGAGACACTTCAGTCGAAAAGTACGAAACTGTCTCAAAGTTTCTGCCATTTTGCTTTTTTGATTCAATTATTCTATTAGGACGAGTTATCGTGAACAATCTTGATTTCAACAAGTGAACTCTTTTTGGAAGAAGTTTTAACAGAAGCTTTAGAACGGAGGCGTGGGAATTTCAAAAGGTGATGGAGCAAGGATGTTAGGAAACGGATGGCGTCAGGCACAGTCCGACATGCTGAGTTCATTTCCCCATTCGTTGGCAACAATCTGCAACGTCTGGACCCTTGTTAGAACTCATCAATGTCCTTCTCTACCTCTCGGAACCACTTCGGTTGGTTCTGCCATTTTTCCACATTTCTCTTCTTTCCAGCAACTCCGACGGCTCGTGCTGCAAATGCTGTCGCCCATCGCTCAGCATCACGAACATGCTTTCCTCGCGGCGCTGGCTCTCGTCTGGTTGACACGCTCTTCGAGCAAGCCGACGGCTCTTCGCAAACAGGATCTCGACAAGGTGAAGCCTGTCGATTGACCAGGGTTATGCAGCATTCTTAAATATTTTACCACGCTCAGCTTTGATTTCTTCACCAAAACTCTTCTAGAAAATTTTTCCCCACTACAAATCATACATCTCCATAAATATGGCGTCAAAAAATCTGATCCGGAGCGTTACATACTGTAAAAAAATTTTTCAGGCCAATTTCGATTATTCCACGGCACAAGTTGACATCGCGAATCTGTTGCTGAGTTTGAAAGTGATACCCTTCGAAGAGCTGATCGCCTCGGTTAACACAACGCTGAAAGAATCCTCCCTGAAGGCGACCAAAGTTGGCATTCAAATGGACAAGGTTCGCTCCAACCGAGACGAATCAGTTGAAGTTCTGTCGATTCAGGGCACGTTCCCGACAGAAGAACCGCTTCTAGAACTGGTGCACGCCTGTGTTACAACTGTACCAGCGGCACAGCTCCGTTCCTGTTGGCCAGCTCTTCTCAATCTTTTCAATGAGGCGCCTCTTTCGAGTCTCACTCCGCGGGCAGTCTTCCTACTCTTCGTGTATGTCTTTGCTTCTAGTCTGAGGAGTTAACGGCCAGAATTAAGGATATTGTGCGATTTTGTGAAATCTGTGGGAAGCGCATACATAGTAGAAGAGAAGCTCATGTCGAGAAACGTGCACGAAGTCTGCCAACGGCTCACGGAGGCGGTGAACGTCGTCGTCGGGTGGCAGTTGGAGACGACGACCTGGTTGAAGCGGACCCTCGTCGTCAAACAAGACCACGCCTCCAACTGTGGGTTTACCTCCTCAATCCAAAGAAAATCATCAATTGCTATCTGCTAGCAACTTTTATCGGCCTCCAGGTTCACCTTTATGGACTCTGAACGAGATTTTCAGCAACCATCCGTTCTGTCGATCAAAGCCCTGTTGTCGAGAACATGGGTAGTATTGCGGCGATGTCGACCTCGAACATTTCGGAGCAGGCGTCGATTTCCTCCATGCGAGCATCGACCCTGTCCCTCATGAACAAGTTTGAGAAAGGTTCCTTCAAATCAACATTTTACGTCGTCAGGCCGCCCTCCATCGATAGCGGCTCTTCCTCAAGTGGACTCGTGGACAAAAGCGACAAGAAAAGTGCTTCGAATCTTCGCGCTTCCATCAAGGACACCAACAACAACAAACGCGATCCCACTCACAGCACACAAGCCTTGTTCCTCTTGTCCGAAGTTGGCTTTCGCTACGTTCCTACCATTAAGCGAGTCATTTCCAGAGATTAACCGATCTCCTGGATTCCATCAGCAAAAGCGATGAAAAAGAACGTGTTCAACCCATTCTCACCGCCGTTTGGAACAATGTCGTGCCGTACTTGAAAGCGAAAAAGTTAGTTATTAGGGGATATCAGGACAGACAATTTCGTTTTAACATGTTTGTTTATCTCAAAAAGTTCTTTCAGCGCAAGAAATGCTCGTTTTTTCCTCGCTTCGTCGCAATTGCTGGCATCTATGAGTTCTTACAGTTATATGAGGCCCGTTTGGAAGAAGACAACCCTGGAATTACTGCTCGATTCATGTATCAACTTTTTTACGACTTTCAAAACTGATTTTAGTGTAATAGAAACAACTCAATATCGTTATCGAAAAAAAAACTTCATTTTGTTCACCAAAAATTGAAGAAGAAAAATGAAATTTCAGCATTTTTCAAAATGGATCATCAGTCATTGAAACAATGGCTTGTCGTCACTGACCATCTGATGACACATGATCGCACTTCTTTCAAAGAGCTTCTAAGTTAGTTCACTCGTTATTCTCATCTTATCCTGAATGTCTCGAATATTCTGAGAAATTTTTATCGTGGATTTGAAACAAACAACCTACTCCACTAAAACGGCTTGATCTATTCTTCTAAATGATATGAGAAATACATCCGTTGTCTAATAAAAACGAATTATTTCCAGAAAGTATTGCGTACACGCAGAACGCCTCGTTTAGCATCATGACGTCAAAAGACCAAGAACACGAGGCGCGAGCGCAGGCTCTGAAAAGACTGGCCTTTGTAGTGTTCGGTTCACAGCTGGATCAGTATCACGCCCAGATGAACGACATTCAAGGTAGGATTCTCCGTAGTAAGCGAAGTACCCCGTTCTCAGAACGTCTGTCCGACAACCTTCGAGTTTCACAGTCGCCCGTCGTTCGCAGCGCCGTTTTTCTTTGCATCCGAGTGCTGCTCATGCGACTCAGACCTCAAAGCTTGATTGGCATTTGGCCAATAATGGTCACGGAATTGGTAAACTTACCTATATTTCAAACTGGAAAAAATTTTTTATAGGTACACGTCTTATTGCAACTCGAGCAACAGCTTAACGTCGGAGGCAACGGACTGGAAGAGCTGGCTAGCGCAAAGGACGATCATTGGATGCAGCTTTACCTGGCAGCCTGCAAGCTTCTGGAGACACTCTGTACACTACCAGCTGGCTACTTATCGCACTTTCAAATGTGAGTCAGAACTCCTCCATAGCAAAAGTTCACGAGAAAAGCTAAAAAGAAGTGCCAGAGAAAAGTTGTTAGTGCCGTTTCTTTCATCTTTAAATGTTCATTTTAAAAGGTAAAAAAGTTTTTAAAACCAATAGAAACCAAAAAAAGGTTTTTAAAAGTAGTTAAAGAGCCGGCAATGAATATGTTATAACTTTTCAAAAATGAGCTTTTTTTAGGAAGAAAATTCCTTTGAGAGAGCCATTGAAAAGGTATTCTAGAGATTTTCACCAAATTTTGTTTCGATTAATTTTTCAACTCAGGTGTCACTGGGCTTTCGTGACATCGGTGACTGCGGATAGAACCGACAAGTTCATTCCTTTTGCTGGTCGTATCAATGAATTATTATGCAAAAAGGTTTTTTCTTGACCCATTGAATCGCCGTTATTAAACACTAAATTTAGTACGGTGAGCTTTCGGCAAACGACTTAGCTACTCAAAGCGCTTCGTTAAACGGGATTAAACTGCTTACATCCTTTGAGGAGTTGAGACCATTCTTCTACGCTTTGGCAACTCAAAACAAAACTGTTCCTGGAACCGAGGTGACTTTTATTTATTTTATTTTTAAATTGGATTTTCTAGCCTGTACTTCGTGATTCTACAATACTTACCGGATCTCTATCGCACAAAAGCGCTGTCTCTAGAATGGAAAAACGCACTTTACGTCGATTTTTCGGAACATTTGCAATTGTGATTTCTTCACACCAGCTTTAAACATTTTATTATAAATCAAGCTATCAAGTCGTCTAATAAGTCATTCATATCGCTTCCGAGATAATTTGTACATATACTAGTCTTATAAATATTATTTCACGCTCCTGATGAGCTGTGACACGGTTATTTTAAACGATGTAGTTCACTTTTTCTCGGTGTTTGAACATGTATAAGAACATTTTTTTTCTAATTGCATGTACTGTATAGATTTGAATAATTGTACACCAAATTTTCCATCTGTGATCGTTTCCACTTTACTCCCTTTTCTCCTGAAATCTTCTTTTTGGTTGGGTATTTGTCCCTGGGTGCAATCACAGTTCTCCTAGTGGCTTAAAAGTTTATTTCTCGAGTATTTCGATGCACTACGTTATGGAAATAAAAAAATTTATTGAAATACACGCCTTTATTTTTAAACACTTCTAATGAAAAAAAGATCATATAACATACACGTAAAATTAGCCTAAAGTTCCGTATGTATTTCAAGTATGAAGTTTCGGAAACTTCACGGCTCAAATATCACCTTTGCGCCCTCTGAATCTCGATCTCATGTCTACTAAAGACTTTTTACAGTCAGTGAAATTATTTAACAAAGAGAAACACTTATCAGGGACTGAACCGTCATGTGCGTTTATGCAATCCTTAGCAGAACGAGCTTGTTCCTGGACACAGTAAGACTCTTTAATGCAACGCTTGAGAGCCTGACGTAAACGATCGCACGACTTTCCAGATGACTGCAAGTTGTTCAGTTCATCGTCATCAAATTGATAACTTTGTTGGGGGCCTGCCATGATCTGAAAACGGATTGAAGAAAAAAGTAAATTAGACTCCAAAAAGACTCAAATGATTTTGTGACTTTGCTTTCGAAAAAAAAAAAATCATATTTTGCGAATTGAAGCCAAAACGGCCTGAAACTGTGTTTCAAATTATACACTAAAATAACCTCTCTATTTAATTTCGTGTTCAAAGTAGTTTCGCGAAATTCGAAAATGGAGCCGTATACTACGTAGTAAAAAATGATACAATTTCTCTTTTATTTTTAATTTTTAGAAACTCAGAAGAACTCGAATTTCGCAAAACTGATCTAAACACGACATGATTGAGCGGTTTTGCAGAAGTTCGAAAATTTTCTGCTTTCGTTGGTGTGAATGCACTGATCAATCGGAAAAATAAGCTTAATATTGTTAATTTTGCGTCTTAAGAGTGTGTTCATGCGCCTTTAAAAAGCTCATCTGGAGAATTGAAAGAAACTATGAAATGTTTCTGTTACGTAGTTGTTTGTCAGGTTTATAAGAACGCTACTACACTTCAGAGAATAAATAAATATAACCACCCATTCCATTTCTATACGTTATTTGGATTTTAAAAAAATTACATACTATTTCGGCGTTTGCAGCGTGTTCGTAGCTTGAATCGTTGTAGTTGCCGACCTAAATGTTGAAAACCGCAATTGGAAAATTCGTCTAGTGCAGTATTTGACCCATTTGTTGAGCAAAAAGTCAAAGCATTGAACGCGCGAAAAGTGCGCGCGCTTTGCCTAAAATTTCCTTTTCGTTGTGAGACCGGCCTCCGTTCAAGATGGTTGAGCTGAAGGCGTTGTAATTTTCAATGTAATCTTCGTCGATTTAACTTTTTGTTTTCAGTTATTTTAAATGGAAAAATATGTCAATAATACGGAATGAAAGCCCTATAGGAAAGGAAACTTTTTCAGAGATTTTCCTTCAATTTATTTGGTTTTTGTGTACTTTAAATTTACTTTTAAGGGGCTTCACCATTTCGTTCTATTCATTTTCAGAGTATAAGCGATTTAAAGGAGTCACTATGTTTTCGAATATTTCAAAGCTAATTCAGTCATCCGTTCGCCTTCTCGCCTTCATTGTACATGTTTTTCTCCTTCTTGAAATGCCGCACGAGATTTACACTAATTTCAAAAATTACCTGAATTTTCAACAAACTCTTACTGGCTAAATTAACAAATAATTTCTCATACAAGTATCACAGCAAGCCTAACATTGAAATTTAAATTATAAATATTTAGAAATATGATTTTAAAGTTAGTTTTCATAATTGCTTTGGTGAAAGGATCTTCGTACAAATCTATTTTGTATACTTTAGTACAATAGTTTTTAACATAAGTAAAGCTTATTGAAATTTTTTAGTTCCAAAGTACTGTGGGACAGTGTCCTTTCAAGCGTTTTACTGGTATTTCGTTATATATTCAATGAAAATTGTCGTTTGTCGCTCCCAATTTAATTCGCATCGCGTATAGTTTTGTAATGAATCTGTCCTGTTTTTGTTTCATAACTTCTTGACCTTTATTTAGACATTTACTCATCTCTTTATAATCTTTAGAATTTATCAAGCCTGATAGGTTTTTTTATAAGCCATGCACGACGAGAGCAATCACAATCGAAATCAATATGTGGTGAACCGATTTAAACAACTTTTTTTGCAGAGGTAGTTATTCATTTCAAGAAATGTCCAACCAAACTCCTTACATTGGAAGCAAGATCAGTTTGATCTCAAAACTTGACATCCGTTACGAAGGAATTCTGTACACCGTTGATACCAATGACTCTACTATCGCTCTGGCTAAAGGTTAGATTCTGCCAATTTCAAAAATTAGAAAGAAACTTTATCGTAGAGACTCGAATTTGTTTTCAGTGAGATCTTTCGGAACTGAGAAGCGTCCCACGGCAAATCCGGTAGCCGCTCGAGATGATGTTTACGAATACATTATCTTCAAAGCAAGCGACATCAAGGATCTCATCGTTTGCGATACACCAAAGGTTTTTTTTTCTTCAAGCGTCGATTCATTGAGTTCAATGAAGTTTATCTGAAATTTGTTTATCCGATCATCATCGTACTTCTCGCGGCTACTCGCTCATACATCATATGTTCACACCAGACTCGTTATGTTGGAAGTGAAATGGAAACAGTATAAATTGATCATCTTCTCAAAAAAATAATAATAGTTTCTAGTATATATGATACTATGAATTACCGTGGGTGCCTTCAACTTCTAAGATTAACATCAGTTGGTTGATCCCTTATACGGGCAGACCAGTTTTTTTAATGACGTCATTCCCTCCCAATTTTTCTCAAATTATAGTGTCAATACTACCTCTTTACTTTCATATACGTCAATACTTCTCCCTTAAGTTGAAACGTATTTTCATACCTAATTTTTAAAATTAATTTTTTTGCAAAGTAACACCTCTTCCTAGAGTGGATGAAAGGTTGATTTGCAAACTTGATTTCTCTACATGTCCGAATGATTAAAAAAAAAAGTCTGTTTATCGAAGTTCAATTTTTTTTTTCAGATGGCCACGCTTTCTGGAGGGTTACCATACGATCCAGCGATCATATCAGTATCGTCGAGAACCGCGCCTGCCAATAGTGATGGCTCTCAACCAGGCCATCCTTCGGCAGGATCTTCTCGGTCAGATACTCCGAATCGTCAAAGTCCTCTTGCCAACATCGTTAACCGGGCCCCTGGCTCTGGTCGCGGTGGTTTCTCGCGGGGTCGCGGAGGTTTCATTTCCCAAAGTAAATACATTTTTATCTTTTTTTTATGAATACATTCTCGATTCAGGTGACAATCGACAGCAAGGACGTCAATTCGTTAACTACAATCGTGGTGGCGGATTTAACGCACGTGGTCGTAACAACTTTGGAGTTCCTCGCGTGAATACCCGGGAAAAGCTGAAGTTCGATAGCGACTTTGACTTTGAAAAGGCTAATGAACACTTCCAAGAAGTTCTGTGTGACAACGTTGAGAAGCTGAAGGTATTCCCTCTTTAATTTTTTTTTTTCTTAGTATGTACCGTTTTAGCTGGAAGGAGAAGAGAAACAAGAAGTTGAAGAGAATGATGAGGACAAGCAGCACTTCTACGACAAGAAAACCTCATTCTTCGACAACATCAGTTGTGAAGCCTTGGAGAAAGCCGAAGGCAAAACTGGTCGTCCTGATTGGAGGAAAGAGCGCGAAACTAACCAAGAAACCTTCGGACATTCGGCAGTTCGTTCGCTGAACTACCGCCGTGGTTTCGGTCAACGCGGTCGTGGAGGCAATCGCGGCTATGGAGGTTCCATTTTAAATCCCTAATCCGTTATTGTCTTTTTTATCAATAGGTTACAACAACTACAACCGCGGTGGCTCCTACAATGGCTACAACAACTATAGGAACAACTTCAACCGCAACCAAGGAGGGCTCAACAAACGTGAACAAAATCCATCAGGTTCTAACGCCGAACCTCAAGCACAGCCACAATAATTTGGAAAAATCTTTTGTGGGATTTTGGCATCAGTATCCTTTGTAATTATCGTTGCTTGTTAATTTTAACTTTGCCCAACTGTGTCCTACTTCGCAACTCCAATCATTTTTCAATTATTTTATTACACGCTTTTGACAGGCGTTTATTCTCACGACTACCATAGGAAATCTCGTAATGTAATAACGGGCAAAATATTAATATATATTTCGCATGTTGTTTTTTTGGGAATGAAATAATAGATTTGTAATTAAGCGAACTTCTAAGTATTTTTCTGTAAACTTTTTCCAGTAGCATAATTTATTGGCAACATAGTTTATCTTAACTTTTTTTTGATTGGTACAATAATAGCCACCCAAAAGTTGTCTGATGTTGTTGGAGATCCTTATGTTTATAGAATCTGTGATTTTTACATGTGCGATTGGTCGATTTTTTTCTATTTAATTTCCGCAAGTTCTCTCAAGCTGTGGGATTCTCCAAACGCTGTCGACGCTTATTTTCACAATTTGAAACATGTTTTGTTCCGTCGGCACGTGGCTAATAAACTTTTTTATCCAGATTTGAAAATAATGAAAATAAATCAGAATGGGAAAAAATTGGGTGAGGAGACGGTTGAGATCAGCGACGTGGTTTCGCAAGAGCTTTGGAGTAATGGCTGGAAATTTTGAAGATAGACCTTTTGAAAATATAATTTTTCAATACCGATTAAGAACGTAAAGTTGAATGCAGAAAACCGGTATGTAGAACGCAGTGAAAGCAATCAAGTACACTTTGCGGTCTGAAAATCTCTTCTAGGAAGGAAAAGTTCTATATATTTTACGTGCAATCCACTCGTACGGATCCTCGTCATTGGGAGTTCTATAAGGAGTTGTAGAAGCCATCCATGCCACAACAATCACGATCGCACATAGAAACCGCGCTACCTGGAAAACCAAAAATTCAAGTAGGTCGCCTCATAGTCTGACATGGGGCGCCTAAAGATCGCCACAACTCTTTCTCTGACACACACTATTTCGTCTTTATCTAGCTGCGAGAAAAAGACTAAATAATGTCAGATATTATTAAAAAGGGTTTGGTACTATTCTAAACTTGAAAGAAGGTTTTCGACGGCTATAAAGAAATCGCTTTGCATCTTTTGAACTTCTAATTTCTATATATTTAAGTATCTAACACTTCTGCAACACTCAAAAAAAATGATTGATATATATTTACAAGCCGAGAAGCTAATGTTACAAAAAAATGCTTAATAGGAGGCGGATTTGAAGGTCCTTTTTTTCGTAGCCTTTCCAAATCTACGGGAGATCGGAAAAAGATATTTTTCCCTTCTGTCATATAATCAAGCTCTAGTTTCGGAATCTTATTTTTTTATATGAATGAAAAAAAGATAAGAAACCTATTAAGAATGATGTTTTTCTATTATACTACTTTGAAACTAGCTCAGTTTTAAATTGGTCACTAGTTCATTCTCAGCACAAACCAAGAAAGTTTGTAACCAAATTAACGGCTTGCTTTTTTTTCTTAACAGAATAGAATAAAAAATTTCGAATGAGAACTATATCATAAGAAATTGAATGTCAATTTCAACTCAAAAGGCCATATATTCTTTATTTAGTTTAATCGAAAAAAAAAATTTGGAAACACAAACCGTAAGTGCGACGGAGACGAGTGTGAATCGAATGTTATGCGTTCGGAGAGCATAGGCGAACGTGCAGACGAAGGCGATGAAGAGGACGAAAAAGGTGGCGAAGCCGATAAGATAGTGGGAAGAGAACTGCTTGCCATTGATGAAGTAGTACAACAGCGACACCAAAAGCAAAACGCACAGCAGCACGTCAATCAAGATCGACAGTAGAAGAAGAGTCTGAAATGTCCCGTTTTGTAGCTTCCGCTATTTTTCTTTGCGATGGAAAACTTTGCGTGATACAACTTGTCAACTTCCAATGAAATTACTTAATTACGTAAAAAAAAAAACTACAATAACTTTTTTTCTGACTGAAAAAGTAAGCCAATGATGAAAGGATAAAATATATCGAGAAATATCTTCAAGGAACTGTCCAAAAAAAGGGCTCAAATTTATTGACAATCCACAAAAAGTGATAAGCCACTCAAAAAAAAAAAAACGTTCAGTAAATTTCAAAGAAGGTTATATTTCTGGAAATTCACGAAAGTTTGTGAGCTATAAAGAGCATTTGTAGTTACAATTTTTTCAGGTCTAAAACGAAGTTGAATTATAACTTTTATCATTAATTATAACTTTTATCACTGGCTCAGAGACTCGTGAGGCCCTCAATTGCCTTTTATCTATTTATTGCAGGTTTATCTGCTATTTTTTCTCTACCTTCTTGTACATTATATTCTGTTTTTACGTGTGAACAAATGAATTACTAGAAAGTTTTCACTAGTTTCGAAAACCACAGCAATTCTAAAAAAAAAAAGGAAATTCGCTGCTTACTAGTCAAAACTAACGCCTAAAAGTGCAATCTGAACGATTCTGAAAAATTCGTTCTCACAGATCAATGGAACATTTAATTATGAGGAAGTAAAAAACAAAAGAACATGAAAAATTGCTTTAAAAGTCTAACCTGGTAAGATTTGTTGTGAGCCATGGAGTCTAGAAGAGCGAAAAGGCCGAGAGAAGAGAGTCACGCGGCAATGGGAGGGGCGACTTTCTCGTTTGCTTTTCTGCACAACAACCAGCGAGGACAACAACCCAGAGGCCATCGATCGCCCTCTCCTTGTAAATACTCGGTTGACGTTTCCGACAACATTTCCATGGTTTCCACAAAACGCTCGGCTTTTAATAAGTATTTTATTGACGTGAAATAGAAACGAGAACATGGAAATGGAGAAAAAAAAAGAAAAAAAAGTTATATTACACGTTGCGGAGACAAATTGTGATGCCAACGAAGTGCCAGAAGCACCGGAGGCCTATCGAGTTTTTTTTCTGTTCCAAAAAAGGGTAGTTGAAGGTTATTTGAGAGACTGATGGAATCAGTAAACTTTCATAATATATCAGTTCTTAATTTCAACAAGAATAAAAAAATAAAATGCACGATGAAAGAACAAATCCTCCCCATTTTCTTAAGTAATCTAAAGGTGAAAAAAAAACCTCAAAGCAATAAATGTAAAAGTTGACTTAGAATGAATGTGGAAATTAAAGTTTCTGTTAGCGCTCGTAAGAGTTGAAATTTAATAAAGCCTCAATATTTGGAAATTGGTGAAATGGTTAAAGCATCGTCAGGGTAAGGACCACTATGCAGAAAATAGCGTCAAAAAAGAAAAAAAAACAACAAAAATTACAAGAAGAAACGGCGCACAATACCGTAATTTGTTGACGAAGAAATAGGCAAGTAACGATCACGAAATCCCGCTAATAAAAAAGTACATCAGGGAACTTCGGAAAATTGATATCGCACAAATGAGAGTTCAGAGGGCGAGAGAGATAATTAGAACGTGGGTAATAACAAACTAAAGTCAACAGAGGCGGTGTGAAAATATATTGAAAAAAAGGTGACGTCTATTGTTTTGAAAAGTCGATATCTCAAAAAAGTTGAAATGCTGTAAAAGAAATGCTATGAAAGCTTTGAAAAGCAAGAAAATAAACTGGCTAGCACAGGCTTTTTAGATCAAACAGACAGAGGAGAGAGAGAGAGAGAGTAGATTTGTATGAATCACATTTAAACAGAGCAGGCTAACGAAAAGTAAACTTTTGAAAAATAGCACAAAGAAATCGCTTATCACAAAAAGGCTTGAGCTTATGTCAAGCAGGCGTTTGGCGACTACATCTCGTCGCAATTTACGAAACGAGTCATAAAAAGATATCGAAAATGGTTGCGGCGAAGTGCTCATCGTCGCGCATGCTGCGGCGAAGGGACAAAAGTTGGACTCAGAAAAGCATTTACAGAACTCTCGGTGTTGGCAGTTAGCCAGGAGCGTGCCAGCAAGACGGCGGGCGGGCAAGAAGTACAAATGAGCAACAGAGAATAAGGAGTGATCAAATTTATAAATTCTTGAGTTTCAAAATCTTTAATTCAGCACATAGACGAAAAAGAAAGAAGTCTACCGTTTTTTTACCATTCCTACTTTTTTTTAGTGAAAAACTTTTTTAGTAGTCAAACTGTAATCCAAACAAAAACCTGCCATTCACTATACCAAATTTCATACACAAACTTTTTTTCGACGTTACAAAAATATCAAAATCGATAGTATTTCGCTTATTCTTGTTTTTGGCTTCGAATCGAAAAAAAGCTACTTTGGAAGTAGAGCATGAAATTAGGGTCTTATTGCATCAAAACACGATATTGAAAAAACAGAGTTAAGGTGAAAAAACCACTCGGGACAGCGAAAAAACAGGTGTATGAGAAGAAAGCCACCCGCGCGAATCGAAAGCGATCCTTAAGCTAGTTTTTTTTGTTCTCATTTTCACTAGAAAATAGCCAGAAGCAGAGAGAAGGGCAAGTATGACTAGCAATAGGAAGAGAAAATGTATGAGAAATTACAATAGCTCGTACTGTCGCAAGTGAATGCGTTGGATGATGTCGCGGCAGTCGTTGAACACCCTCCGAATGTTTTCCGTGTCGACGGCACACGTGAAGTGCGGGTAACAGTGGTGTCGGCCATCGCCAGCCGCCGTCGAAATCCTCTGAAAAATCGACTTTCTCTTTAAAAAATGGCTGTGTTCAGAAGAACACTGCACAACGCTGTTAATCACGGCGCGCATTTGACATGATTTTTTTGAAAATGAACACTCCCCATACGCCAAGATTCGAAAAAATTTAGAAAATCAAAAAATTTGTTTCGTTGATCCAAATTTTTTCTTTTTTTTTGATGGTTTTTTCATACATTCCGGCCCATTTGAAAGAAGGCGGTTAACGCATTCTCCGTGTTCACCAAAAACCCAAAATTATAAATGACTCAAATTTGCTCTTTAGAAGAAAATAATGCGATTTTCATTATCCGGAACCTCCTATAATAAAAGTCTTTCATTCAAGTTTATGAAAGTGTCCATGAAACCATTCACCTTTTTTGGAGAACCATTCATCAATTTCCTGGACTACCTATGACGAATTTTCATACTTTGAATCGTCACTTTTTTCTATATTCCTCAAATTAAGTTTGAAAAAGTCGATCAATTTTCGAAATCGACAGAATATTCTTTTATCGTCTCCCCTTTTAAGATGAAAAGCTTTAAAAAAAAGATTTGTTCCCAGAGAAAATGAACTTATCAAAAGAAGTTCATTAACAACAAAAAAAATTTTTATGTCTATGCGCCATTAACTCTAAACGTGATTGCATAATAAAAAATTAAAATTTTGCGATTCGTCAGATTCGAAATAGACACCGATGGGGGAAATGCAAAAAAAAAACTGGCCGAAATCAATTCTTCAACACCGCAATAGAACTTTTATAGGGTTTTTTTCCTGTGAGCTTGAGAATTTTGGTGAAAGGCCTAAGATATCCATTCATTTACAAGATAAAAGTTTCGGGCATGGTCCAAAAGGTCTCAGAAAGAACATTTGGAAAAAGGTCTCTAGAAAGCCTTGAAGGCACTAATTTTTGAGAGTAACAAAAAAAGGTGGCAGAAAAAAAAGTTATAAAAAAAAAGGAAATTCCGAGAAACTTTTGACACGTTGTTAGGGACTCAAAAAGGAGCTTTATACTCTTCTTTTTGAGGACGCTTGGACTTTGCCTGTGAATGGGAGATCGAAAAATCCTCACTTTTTAAAACTTAAATTCTTTGAAGTTATGAAGTTATGAAATATTTAATTCACTTTTTTAACTAAAAAGAAATTATGATAATTGATAAGAAAAGTGAAAACTGACAAGGAATTCGCCTCTGATGAAATACTTGGCTCTGACGACGTCTTTGTCGTCACCGGCGTCATAGACGGCGTCGTTGGGCAGTTGATAATTGGCGAACTCCGGGAAGTACGACTCGAGCAGGTACCTTTTCGCCTTGATTTTCTCTGAGAGCAAATCCTGCAAACGAAAATTGAGAATCAAACAACGAGAAATCAATTGACAAACCTGCTTGTTCAGAAATAATATCACGGATATCGTTTTGAGCCACCGATTGTTCCAAATGTTCTTGAAAAGCGCTAAGGATTCCCGTAGCCTGTAGAATATGGGATGAATCAAAGAAAAACGAGAAATCCATAAAAACTGAAGCAAAAAAGATAGTGTACACTTTAAAAAAAAGTTTCTTTTTAGAAAAGAAAAATGTCTGGATTCCAAAAAAAAAAACATCTTCTCCAACTTTCGGTTAGGCTTTTTCGCATCATGGTTCCTTCAGTTCGCCAACCCACTAATCAAAGTTCAATTTGCTGCCTAATTTAATCAAAATCTGATACGAAAAGAAGAAAAACTTGCTTTGAGAACGAAACTTGGTTAGTCCAGGCTTCGAATCTAATGATAGAAGATCTACAAGCCGTTATCCGAATCAAGAAGTGAAAAAAAAAGGTTTTCGAAAACGCTTGATTCAATAAATAAAAAAGCAACGAACCGATTTTGCGTGGCGTCTTCCCAAAGAACTAGGTTGTAGGATGAAGAAGCACAGACAAAAATGATGGCTGTGACGTCATTGAAGCATTGGATCCATTTTCTGCGTTCGTCGCGCTGGCCTCCGACGTCGAACATGCTGAAAAAGACGCTTTGAAACTTCTGTTGGGAACAATGTCGTTTATTCCTTTGATAAGATTTCCATCAGTTTGCAGATCTTGTTATCACACGGGAATCCACAAGCTGAACTTCATTCTTTTCTTTCTTTTTAGAAAATACAGAACTTAGTGGCTAATGAGAGTTTGGCATTCAGATGTAAACCTTACTGTTACGCGAAAAACAGGTTCCAAGTTGAACTGAAGGTTCCGATGAATTCGAGGGACTAACAAGCTTCATGGTTCAAAAACGTCCGATTTTTTCAATTTTTTCGAAGATTGTACATTTACAGTCCGCCAACCGCAAAAGTCAACTCCTCCCAGGCTTATTGGGTTCTTTACTTGCCCAGGTATGGTCAGCTCTTAGATGACAACCCAGAAAATCTTTACATAACAAAGGATCCTTTTTTCAAGAGACAAAAGAGCACTTTTCGAAAAAATTTCGAAAATTAAAGTAACGTCTAGTAAAAAAGATCATTGTCAGCGTTTATTCCTGAAATTTTTCTCTGTTTTCAATTTCACGAATACTAAAATTTCTAACTTTTTTTTTTCCCATGGAGTCCCATCATCGATTTTTGAGCGGATTTTAGGAGGGCAGTTTTTTTTTCTCTATGGCGAATATGATGAAACTTCGCAGAAAAATATTTTGAAATTAGTTATTCACTTCTGATTCCAGTTCACAAAAAAAAATTAGCCAAAAAATTTTTTTTCACTACCTTGAGAGCCCTAACATTCCGAAGCTTACAGTTCGGCTTTAAAAAAAAGCGAAGCGTAAAAAAAATTGTTCGTTACCTAGATTCAGGATACCTAAAGATACATTCCTGGAAAATCTCATCAAACGCTCACTTGGCCATTTTTTAGAGTTAAAAAATATTGCAAAAAGAAATAAAAACCAAGGCGAGAAAAAAAGATAGGAAAACCCTTTAGAAAAAGAAAAGAATCAAAAATTCATAGATAAGTCAAGATAACTCACTGAAAACGGACTTTGTCGACCTCAAACTTGGTTTCGAAAATTCCGGTGGTCATCACACGACACCGCAGAATGTCCTGCAAATTCAGAACATTGATGAAGGCGATTCCGCGCCAGCACGATTTTCGTTTCTCTCCGAGCTAGAGAATAATTCTGTTCAAAGCCCGCGGCATGATTCTCGGTCTGCGTCATTTATTTGGCTTAAAATTTCCGTTTTATTAAAGGCGCAGGCAGAGATAAATATTGCGCATCTCGATGGAAAGGGTTCTGTAGATCAGAGGAAAACGAAAATCGTGGAATGGGCAATAGTAAAAGTTCAAACAGAAAGTTGAACAGAAAAAGTTTCTAACCTGCTCTGAAGGGTCGTAGTTATTTTGGCGTATGACATCTACTTTATCGAGGAAACTGAAACGAGAAATGCCGTGATCAGGTTCAATTTGAAGGCAAACTATTGGGCACAGTCGATGAGCTGATACTCGCTGCTGCGTTCGTAACAGGCCAGAACACCCTTGTCGGCCCAGCACTTTTTCACGTGATCGTAAAACTCCTGAATTCCGACAGATTCGTTTCGTTTCACATTTTGAAGTTCACCTGTGGAAAGTTGTCATCGGGCTCCATACAGGCTCCGAGCACGTAGTTCTTGCTGGCTACCGTGCTGGGGTCGTCCAAACAGACTTTCGGATCGATTTCGTCCATGGCTCGCAAAATTACCTGCAATTATGTTTTGTTCGAAGGCGCGCGATTCTTCGAAATTGGGCCGAGTGACTGTTAGCTCAAATTTACAGCGAACTTAATTTGAATGTTTCCAGAAATGGACGTATAACCATGACGCAACGAAGCTTTCTGATTAATCGTAGAAATCTGTTTTGAGCTTTTTTTTGCTCATCATGTTTCTTGTAAATAATAAATAACCAGGAACAAAATGAAAAAAAAAACACAGTATTTACTGTCCAATGAGTTTTCACCCTGGCATACATGTACAAAAATTCTCATAAACACCAAAAACGGTTAAGAGATAATAAAAAAAATTCATCATAATTGTATAAATTTTTTTCGTTGCGCTAGTGCGCCTTTAGAAATTGGTAATCTCAAAACTTTTATTTTGTTAAAGTTTTTTTCAAAATTTTTGTGATTTTTTTATGATGACGCATGTGAAACAAAAAAACGCATAAAAAAACATCAAAATAAATATATACATATTTACAAAATAGTTCCGAATTATTGATAGATTAATTTTTTTAACGTTTAAATACCAGGGTGTAATTGAAATTGAAACCTACATTATGAAGAAAAATCTCATTTCAATATTCAAAAGAAGAGGAATAAAGAAAAATGAGAGATTTAAAATTCCTATTATCTATGGAGCACATATGAAAAAATATCAAGATTGATGGAGTCGAAAAAATTGTGAGGAATTTGGAAACGAACCTGCATTGAATCTCTGATATTTCTCCGGATATCCTTGATTTTTTCCAACTTTTCAGCTTCATTGAAGCCGTTGATATGCAAAATCCGCATTTGTTTCACAATCGTGCTCTTTCCACTTTCGCCGGCGCCGAGGAGAAGCAGGCGATGCGTGGCTCGCATCACCTAAAAAGTTTCTTGCAAAATAACTTCAAAACGAGTTTTTCTAAAAAACCATTATCCACCTATATTTAAATCAAATTTTTGTCCGTCGCTTCATCGTTTAAAAACGGCTCAGACCTTAATCAAAAAATGTTCAGGGACATTATCGAATAAATACGTTCATCAAAGAAAATGTATGAGTTTCAACTTTTGATAAATAGAAGATCGCAGAATTCTCAAATTTTCAACAAGCTCATATATTTAATGACTTAAAAAAATCAAATTAAACTTTTTATAATTAATGATATAAAAAAATAAAATTAAAAAAATAAATGTTTTTGATAGGCCCCATTCAAAAAAATAAATAAACAAATAACTATAAATTCGGAAAAACTACGAAAATGTTTTTTTATTTTTCTTATTTTTTTATCGATTGGGCACAATGAGGAATTATATAAGAAAAAAATCCGAGAATAAATTAAAACGAAAGGGGTTATGGATGATTTGTTGAACACTGGAAGAAAAAAACAAGAAAAAAAAATTTTTGGAATGAAAAAAATTTGTTCTAAAAAGAAAGATCTCTGCATTTTTCCACAGATGGAGCACGTGTAACAAAAAAAATTGGAACAAAAAATTCCAAAAACCTGATTTCTTTCGTTATAAAATAATTAGACAATAAATAAAAAAGTCACTATCCTCATTTAAGAAAAACTTCATTAAAGAATTGGATAAAAAAGGAATTTCATAGGTCAATCGAAAGTTCCGCACGATAATGCGAAAATTGAATGAGAAGGAGTAAACTTTACAAATTTGTTACTTCATAATACAAGAATATTTTTTAGGTTCAAATTAAATCTTCTAGTAGATTATCGCTTTAATTTTTTTGATCCTACATCTTCAACAAAAAAATATAATCAAACTATTTGTTCAAGCAACGAAAATGAAATATTGAGCGATTTTTAAAGGACCAGCAATTTTTCTGAACAAATTAAAATTACATAGTTTGATTTCGTCGTTGTCTTGGGAAGCAGATTGATAATTTTCAAAAGAAAATGAATTGAATTGTCTGATAACAAGTGACTATTTTTGGAGGCCCTAGTAATTTTAAATCGAACCTCGGAAATCAAAAATTCTTAGGTTTAACAGAACCAGCCAAACGATGATAATTTCTAGTGATGGATGGTCGCAACAAAAGAACTGTACCTGCTTATCCTTGGCTAACTGCTCCTCGATCTGCTTGTTGACCTTGCGAGCCTCGCGTCCCTCGGCATCAGCGCTTGCGCCGACGCAGCCCATCAGGCGCATTCCGAAACGACTGTGAGCCACAGGTTCTAATAACGAGAGATGGTTGGCGGTGATGGTGCAAAACCGAGGATCGGCAGAGAGTGAGATCGGAAAAGAGAGGAACTCGCCTCAGCCAGCACAACAAACACCCACCGAAATAACACACCAAAACGAGCTGCCGTGTTGCCAGCCTGCCTGGCTTGTGCTCTGCTCTCCTTCGTGCTCTCTCTCCCCGGCTGCCTTCTCCTTCTCGGACCACAGCCCCCACACTTCCGATCAGAGGCCGCGTCGCTGCCTTCGCCGCGCTGCGGCCGTCCTCGGCCCGCCAATTCAAACCTCTCTTTCTGCGAATCTTAGCACCAGCTGAAAAATCTAGCCGTGTCGTTGATGACGCTATCTTTCTTTTGAAACAAATCGTTCTTTTTGTTTGAAGTTCCTCCTGATTTTTTTTATTGTAAATTCTACTATTTTTTCAACCATTGATATGACTCATGTACATTGCGTAATTTCTTTACGAAATAGTATCATTTTCAAAAATATGCTCAATCAATTAATATAAATCGTTATTAGGTGAATATGTTTTTTTCTTATCAAACGGTTTTTTTGAACATCTCTGAATTCGATACATGGGTTTTTTTATTTGATAGTTCGTCTTGGATAAGAATTCAGATATAAAAATAAAATTAAAACTCACAAAAGTTTAAAAAGTAATTAGTATTAATCGCTGTTTATCACATTATTTTTTTCAATAATATTCCTCGATTTTTCGATTGAAAAAAATTCGTTAATAAGGAGAATATATAACTTCATATTTCGAACTTGGAGCAGTTTGAACATAAATCATTAAAAAAATATTTTTTTCCGTATCAGAACGAAAGTAGGATGAAAGGCCTTAGGAAATGAAGTTTAATTATGATAACGTTAATCAAATTGAAGACAGAGAGCTGGTATTTCTAGCATTATAAAAAAAATATTATGCTATAAGATTAAATTTGGTGCAAAAACTAAAAATCTTGGTTCCCGATTCCGCAAAAATTCTTTTATTTGCTTTTTACCGTCGCTTATTGCTTATGCGATGTGTGAAAAAATGTAAAAGAGTTGTAACATATAAATTAAACGAAGAAAATAACTTTTTACAGTATAAATACATTTTCACGCGCATTGAACCCTTTCAGTACATTGACACATTTCTATTTTTTTCAAAACACGCAATAAAAAACCGAGGTTCGCGAACTTTTTTCTAGCAAATAGTAGAACCTAAGAAATTTTTCACAGAATGAGAAAAAAAAGCGTGTGGATGGAAAATTTAAAAAGTGTCCACGGCGTTCCAAAAGGGAACCTCGCAGTAGAGAAAAATGAGGCAGAAAGTACCGCGCCTCAATTGCAGAAAACTGGGCGTGGTTTAGTTTTGTATTGGGAATTCAAAACCCTATTTCTTGTTACATTTCCGTTTCTGAGTGTTACTGCTGTGTTTATATTGTTCGTCAGCTCTGACTTCATATAAGTTGGTTGTGTCATGTCGCTCCTTGGCCGTTTACCGCTTTAGTTGAGGCAAAAACGAAAAAAATGATAATTCGCGAGTTTTTTTAATTTTACATGCCATGTATTCGACATCTTTCTGCTTGATTCATGTGCAGAATGAGTTTTTTTCTACAATCTAAAATTGTTCAAAAAAATCTTTGTCGGCAAAAATAATTTTTAAACGGAATTTCATGGAATCTTGTCAAATTTTGGGTGTTCCGCGCGAAAGATTAAAACTTTGTGGTATGTCGGTCAATCTTTTATTTTGATAGCTGAAAATGTTCACACAGGTTCATTCAAAAGAACATGGTTAATTAGAGAATTGGAAAAAAATTTTTTTAGAGAACACCTGCGAAGATCGCAGAACTACGCAACAAATGAGCGTTTTTTTCCATTATCATTCTATGTGATTTTTCGTCAAAACTTCTCAACAACATTCATTCAAATTTTTTTACGTTTTACTATCATTCTTTTCATCTTTTTAAACAACGAATACCATAGGCTTATAGCTGAAAATTTTTCGTAAAACCGATTTAAAGGTTGAGAAGCAATTATACGGATAATTGCCAGTGAAACTTCATCGAATTGCTTCTTTATGTTTTGAAAGCTTCCACTTTTCCATGGACATCATGATAATTACAAAAAATACTCTGAATTCAATCTGTGAATTTTCAAAAAAAAGTTCTGTTGCGCAAGTACGCTCCAACGAACGCAAGGGCGCGGTAAAATGACACGCCTCATCGGCTCGCTTGCGACACCCAGTTTCGTGGACTATATCGCAGCGAGAGTGGCGCGACATAGCAGCGACATATCTCGCTGCCATCTCGCTCAGCTCTAGCAAACTCCCGGCGCGATATCGGCGCGAGGTCGCGGATTATTGATTGGTCACTATTTACGTGCCATCAAAATTTTTACTTGAATTGTTTTTATTTTTTTCGTGTGTTATATTCTCTCTGATTTTTTTCTATGTCTATTTTTTTCACTTAATATTTCTAAAATGTTAATTTTTACAACTAATGTAACGCTCATACAGTACCGTCAGAAAAGGAAAAATGTTTTTCGCTCACAACTTCCTCGTATAGAGCTCAATCTTTCTGAAACTTTTTCAGCTGTGTTTCTAAGTTTTCACCACGGTGTTACAATCAACAGTCATCATATTTCCAGAAAGTTTCAAAAGGGTGAAATCCCATTAAAGAAAGTTGTGATAAAAAAAGCTTTTTTGTATATATTTTTAACGGAACTGCACACCTTTCTTGAATTTGAAATTTCTTTTTTTCGCATTTTTCATGTTTTAACCAAGAATTTCAGGTTATTAGTACTTCAAAATGGCATCTAACTTTTTCGATCAATAAAAGTCAAAAAAAGATCCGTGGGAGATGGCACTGAAGTTTTTGCTTTTTGGATACAATCAATAAGATTCTTGGTAAACTATTTTTTTGAAACAGTATATCCATTTTTTTACTTGAAGATATGATTTGCACTTTGGCGTCGATGGGTAAGGAAAAAAAGAAATGAGGCATGATTTCGAGAAAGCACGTACTGCTGTCTTGATACAGTCACTCCTGTGAGTTATTCTCTTATTCAAGGTTGGACTTTTTTCAGTATTTCTCTTTTTTAACCGATTTTATCATTTAGAAAAGTTCTTGACGCAGCAAATGAAGGATATGCCGAAAACTATCGAGTCAAAGCTTACAGTAACATTTTTAAGGGAACTTAGGGCCAATCTGATTGTTTAAATTAATTTTCTTTTTCAAAACTTCTTTCATTTTCATTTCGAGCCTCCCTCCTTTATTTTTTTTTCTAATTTGAACTTTTAAAAATCATCTACGAGCTTACAATCGGTTTACTTTTTTTCTGTTTTTATTGAACCTACTCTTTTTCTAGTCACATTTTTTTCCTATGAAAAATAAACGATACACATGTTTTTTTCCTCATATTGTCCTTTTTTATTCTTACTTGAAGCTTCACTCTTTCGCCTCAAATCAATTTTTTTTCTTCTTCAGATTTGTACATACTTTCCGTTTACTTCGAATTCGAAAATGTATCATCAATTATTTGGAAAATTTCTTTAATGCTCTCAAGTTTTCATTTAAATATATTGTTTATATTAAATAAAAAGTAAAGAAGGTTGATAAAGACCGATATGTTATCATGTACAACCCAATAAAAGTATGAAGCATAGAAAGCAAATCAAGAAAAAAAAGCCCAATCGAGCTAAAAAATTTTTTTGAAAGAGCGACATAGCAGCGAGATGTGAGCGACCTTGCGCCGAGAGGCGAGCGATATAGCTCGCGGCTCCCCCGCGATATAGCGTTTCTCTCGCTGCGACCTCGTCCGTAAAACTGGGTGGAGTTCCCTTTTGGAACGCCGTGTGTCGCTTGTAGAAAATCTGAATTTAAAAGAAAAGAGACAGAAATTCAAAAATTTGACCACCTATTTAATTCTTGCGTCAACTTCTTTGCTTGCGTACCCCGCAACGAAATCGACGGCACTTTTTCAATCTTCAATTTTCTCAAAAATATATTTTTTGTTATATAACAAAATAATATAATTATAATAACCGCTTGAACGCGTTATCAATTAATTTCTTATTCATATAAGTTATATAGGATACAACTCACCTTTCTAATTTCTATTCACTTCAAGAAAGCAAAAAAAAACTATTTTTCCAGGATGATGGATGACTAAAACGATTCAAAATTGTTGAATTTGGTTTACTTTACTATTCCTTTTATTTCCTCTTTATAAATTTCGATTAAATTTGATAAGCCGTACATTTTCAAATCTACTACGCTCTAATTTTTTATCAACATCCAAATTTTGTTCAAAATCGCTCAGATCAACTCCACGTTATTTATAAGTTTTTTAAAACTTCATTTTCTTGGTTATTCTATTAAAGTTTTTGTTAATCTAACTTGAAATTATTTTTGACTAACTTTTTCAAGAATAAAAGCGGGGAAGTTTGCGATTGAAGTTACTTTATTTAAATCCGTATTTTTTATCCTTTTTTCTTGTTGATTTTTACTTTCCGTATTCACAGTTAAAGTTTTCAGCATCTTCTTTACTCTGCCGACGTCTTCAAAAAAATTAAATTATGAGCACGACTGCCTTACAGGTTAGATTTTTGTTAGAAGCAATTTGGAACATTAATTATTGTTTCGTGTGAAAAAATCTCAATACTTTTCAGTAGAAGAAGTAAAAAAAATGTAGTTCTGTCGCCAGGATTTTGTTTAAACGGTTCATATCCTTTTTTTGGGTTCAAACTGTGCGAAATCATCACAAAAAAAGTGAAGCTGAGAAGTCTAGACAGAAGTTCAAAATAATTCTTTCGATTTGGAAATTTGGAAAGTAGGCTACAAAAGCTTTTTTTAAAAGTTCATTAATGATCCTGAGAAAAAAATTTTACAGAAAGCCATTGAGCTCGTCACAAAAGCAACGGAAGAGGACACAAACGGGCATTATGAACCCGCCCTCAAGTATTACGACCAGGCGATAGAGTACTTCTTACATACAGTCAAATGTGAGTTTTTTGTATAATTATGCTCAATTTTCCACGGACTCATATGGGCGGAGAGATAACTTTCGTATCATGGTGAGGCGGTTCAAAAAGTAATTTCATGAAAAAAAGTTTGAAAGTTTTTTTATAGAATATATAAAAATTTTTCTTGGAACAGCTTGCTAAATCTGGCAACTTCTGATGAAACTTTTTTTAATTTCTGTTTTTAAAAAAATTTAGGAGTATACGATAGCTAATTATAAGACGATTTGAAATCGTTTCGAACAAAAATCTTGCTACGTACATAAATCATGCTATTAATTTTTTGAAACCATCTTTTTGGTTATCGGATTTTGCACCATAAAAAAATAATTTTTTTGAGAAGTTGAAATTCTGAGAAAAAGAGCTTTCAAATTATTTTTCTTCTCTGAACAAAATGCCTTGGCGCAAATTGGCCTTCTCAATGTTTCTAAATTTTTCATTATTCTCCATATTTTTTTGTATCAACTTGTGTAGTTCAATTTCAGAACGATCTGAGAAAAATTTTTTTCGAAAAAAATGATGACTTTTATTCATCTATTCCGTTTATCTAGAAAAAAACTACTTTATCAAATGTCACACCTTATCGAAATTTTTTGAAGCTGTACCGATTTGACATAGAAGAAGACGAAGCTTATTAAGAAAAATTATTTTTCTTGACTCCCTGTAGTTTCGGTTTTCTTCAGATGAAGCACAAGGAGAACGACAGAAGGAAGCGATTCGGGCCAAAGTTGTGTCGTACTTGAATCGGGCAGAGCAAATCAAGAAGTTCCTCAGAGACGGGAAAGAAAAGAAGCCTGTTAAGGTATGGCTCATCATACGCCGTTCTCACAGTTTCTTTGTTGCAGGACGGCGGTAAGAACGAAGATGACTCCGACGAAGACACGGACAAGAAGAAACTACAGGTTTTTTGTCGATTGAATTCCACTATTTTCAAAAAATGCTGCTGAATTGAAAAGTACCGATGAAATCTTTTACGGAAGGCTTTATAAAGTTTTTTTTTTTTGACAGACGGAAAATGAGGAAAATTCAAAAATATAGTTTTGTTAACCAGGTAAATATAGTACATGTTGAGAAAAAAAGACCTGGTTTTTATTTTTTTCATAATTAAATTTTTTTGAAGATTTTTTTCAAAAAGGAAATAGCTCCAAGGGGCGTGTTTCTAACGCAAAAAAAGGTTTTGTTAAAGCCCAAAAAGTTCGCCTTTTTTTCTATTTTTACTTTTTTCCTCAGTAAAATTTAGTTTTTCTTGTCTAATGAACATGTAAAATACAGAAAGAAAATCGTGATCTTCCTGGTTTTAAAGATTCAAGAAGAAGCTAAAATAGTATCCCTGTTAGCAGGGGGCTAAAGATATACGTATAGTCATTCCGCGCCAGTTTTTCACGTTTTTCTTTCCGCCAAAAATACCGTATATCCTATCAGATAAAAATTGAGATTTTTCATCTGGAGCTCGAAAAGGGACATAATCTCAAAGAAAAACGAGAAAAAAATTTGATGAAAAATGTAAAAGTTTGAAGTTTATGACATATTATGAAGTGATGACTCATTCCAGGACAAGCTTTCTGGAGCGATTGTGATGGAAAAGCCGAACATAAAATGGTCGGATATTGCTGGCCTCGAAGGAGCCAAAGAAGCCCTGAAAGAGGCCGTTATCCTGCCCATCAAGTTCCCACAGCTTTTCACCGGTACGGTTTGTGCGCTTTTATTTTCCATCATCTGGCTTTCGATTATCTTGTGACCTCAGCTCTGGCTCAATTAAGAGATTCAAAGTATTCAAAGCGTAGTGAAACTATTTTGTTATTTATTTCGGGTTCTTTTCTCACAGTTCATTGCCGGTTTTAAAAACTCATTTTATAGATGATTTTTTTAAATAACGTTAGTTGTAAAAAAAAACTATACTTTTTTCATGTACGCAAGAATATTTTCTCGTTTTATCGCTTCCTTCCTACGTTTTATCAGGTTGATCGTTTGGATAACGAAATTTGAGATAATATTTTATTTCACTTATTTTTTCGTATTTTTCTTATTTAGTAGTGAGTTTTGTGATGCCGAAAGATTAATTTTTAAATTGCTATCTCCGTTTGTAGATTTACTCTGCAAACATTGCAAAATAATTATGTAAAATATTCGAAATAAGCAACCGCAAAACCGCAAAAGATATACAACTCGCGGAATAGAGCTTCCATATCATTTCAAGCTCCGTTTTCAAGAGAAATACCTTTCCTTATAAGTTCCGTGCATAAAGGTGTTCAAGGGTTGAAAGTCTTGAAATATGTTTATACAAGCTAACATGTTCGAATGGAAATCGATTGAGTATCAAATAAGTTGGGCCTGCATGTTGTGCTGCTGCGCGACGTGGTGGTAAGCGCCAGGAGGGGCCTTGTGAGTTCTAGCCGTCAACGCCATGTCTTCCTCCTTGATGATGAAAAGACTGGCGCCGTAAAGAGCCGGCGCGATGATGCACTGCGTGAAGGCGGCGAACATGCAGATGGCCGGCCAGACTGTCTCCTGGTCGACGCGCCACTCGTGCTTCTGGTTGAGCATGGTCAGGGTGTAGAACGGTACTTGGTACAAGGGGCTGCAAATAGTCGCATTATATTAAAGATCAAGGGCGAAAAACGTACCTTAGAAGGAATGCATAGACCAGAAACCGGCTTTTGTATAGTCCTAGTGACTGGAAAACGATGGGACTATGGTATAGGATTTGCAGAATACGAAAGTAGGCGTAAGAAGAGAATCCAGCAGGTATCAACACACCGAATATTAGAACATAGGAAAGAAATTTGAGCCCAGAATCGGAATGACTAGATATGCAACTCCGAACTGACGGACCGTAGACGACCACGTGGCCGTTCGTCAGAGACGGCAGGGCCAGGAAGAAAGATATGACCCAGGAAAGAGCGCAGAGCTTCGTTGGAGACAGTCCAAAGAGTTGTTCGTAGTGAATCCGGGCGAACGTGAGCAGGTGAACTCCGGCGATGCACAGGTTCATCAGAGCCATCACCGTCCACACTGTTACTGTTAGCGACACCTGAAAATTTCGATCCTTCTTTTTTCGGCTCTTCGAGTGTTTTATTTTCATTTCAGCTTCAGCAATTATTCGATTTATTCTTTCTATTGAATACAGGAAAAAAAAGCGTAAAAAATGACTGTTATGGAATCGTCATCAAACAAAAAAAAAAACTGAACACAGACTGGTATGGGCCTAAATCCATTTGCAAACAGCCTGTGGATCAGATTTTTTGATTATCAAATCTTCATTGTTTGAAGATAGGCCCAAAACAAAAACAAAATTGCGACAACACACACCTGAACTCGACATAGCCAGTTGTTGTTTTGGAAAATGTTGACCCCAGTAGCAATATTGTGCAGGAACAAGGGAATAAGAACCAGTAAGGCGACCAGATTAGTAATTGACAGATGAGCGATAAATTGGGATGAGATGAAGTTCTGATAGAGTTTGTGACATGTGATATAAATGAATAGAGATAGGTTTCCTACGACTCCAACAAGCGAAATAGCTGCGAATAGAACTGCGAGTAGCGCTGAAGGAGCAGACGTATGCGTCGCATTGGCATAGTTCTCTTCGATCTCCGAAGAGTTGAATATTCCCATCATAGGGTGGTGACTGAAAATCGTTTGAGAAACAGTTGAAATCGTTTAGGATTTCCGAGTGTTTCTCCTTCTCTTGTCTCAGCTGTGTGATCAAAATATAGAAAGCAAAGGTTTCTTTTCGTTGTGGCTAGGAATAAGGTCACAGCGACGAAGAGCCGCTAAAACTGGAGCTGTGCAAGATCTGGGGTGCAGGCGACAACAGCAGAAGCTCGAAGGTGTGGAGTGACGTCGGTCGAGCTGAGTTGGCTCAGCTTCTGCTGGGATAGGACCCGGGTTCTCCTCCTCGTACGACGGCCCTTGTTTTTCAGACCCTCTCCTTTTTACAGCGTCTCTCACCTCGGCACGAGAAGCTATGCTGCCGTATCGATTCATGCGAGTTGCGTCCCACTGAAGCTCCACCTCACGCTCGCGCTCTCTTCTGTTCATCTCGCTGCCTTTTTTTTTTTGCTATTCCTGGCTTCTCGTTGAGTTGGTCTTCACATCTTGTTTTTGCTTCGAAATGCCGCTTTTTTCTCTTCTAGAGCTTTTCCGAACTCATTTTCCTGCATCTTCGTTTTTATACTTTTGAGCAGGTCATTTTTCTGGAAGGTTTTGGAGAGTGGAAAGAAAAGTGACACTCAAACGGGTCTGGAGCTTTTCAAAGAGGAGAAAAGAAAAGTCTGAATATTAATTCATGTTGAACTTCTTTTATACATGAATTAAAACCAGAATTATGCAAAATTATATAATTTTAGTATTTAAATCCCTTCAGGTGCAATTATATCCATCTATGCTATGTCTTCTTAAAATCATTTTTTTCAGCTTTTTGTTTTCATATTATAAAAAAAGTTTTTAGCCCGATTTTTTTCTCACATCGACATATGAGAAAGCGATAAATTTATTCAAACAATACTTTTTGAAATTTTACAAGTTATTTCAGGAAACCGAAAACCATGGCAAGGAATTCTACTTTTCGGTCCTCCCGGAACAGGAAAATCCTACATCGCGAAAGCCGTGGCGACAGAGGCCGACAACTCGACTTTTTTCTCGGTTTCTTCATCCGACCTCATGTCCAAATGGCTTGGAGAATCGGAAAAGTGCGTTCATTCATTTTTCGCTTTTCTTAACTTTTTAATTAATAGGTTGGTGAAGAATCTTTTCGCGTTGGCTCGTGAACACAAACCATCGATCATATTCATTGACGAAGTTCGTTGCTTTTAAATCATATTTACAGGTTTTAAAGTTAGTTCAAGTTTTAAGAAGGAAAATGAGATATGGGCCAAGGGGAGCATCGCTTTAGGAATATTTTATTCATTACTGTCGCATTCAGTAGCGGTTTTTCAGTGTCGATATCAAAAAAACTTCGAGACTTCTCCGATAAGAAATGTCGACGAAAAGGAGGTGAAAAAGTAGATCAAGTTCTCGCTAGATATTCTTATGATATCCTGGAAGACCTAGATTGAATGAAATACAGAAAACTATGTCACTAAAGTAGGAAAACATGCTCTGGAAAGAATGAAAAGCAATTTGAACCGCGGAAAATGTGTTTCTTTTTGCAGATTGATTCTTTGTGCTCTTCGCGGTCAGACAACGAAAGTGAGAGCGCGAGAAGGATCAAGACCGAGTTCATGGTGCAGATGCAGGGCGTCGGCCTCAACAACGACGGCATCCTCGTCCTGGGCGCCACCAATATCCCTTGGATCCTCGATTCTGCTATTCGCAGGTATTTTCCACTGAAATTAATCGAAATGAAAGGCTTTACATCCATTAAGACTAACCATCATATTTACGTCTTTGATTGTCACCGCGAAAATGTCCTTTGAGTTGTTTATTTCCCAAAAAGTTCACCTTTACCCCTTTTTGAACTTCACTTCTGAATTATTTTAAAAAGCAGAGAAGGAATTTGTATCGATGGAATTCGGGATCTTGGAAATCGTAAAAAACTTAATTCAAAAGGTTGAATGCGGTTTTTTTTTTCTTTTCTTTTTCTAGATATTACAAAAACCAAACTTGCTCAGTGAGAAAAAAAAGTCTTGAAATGTTTTGTGTACAGAAAAAAGCACAAATGGAATCATAAAGTCTAAAAAGAGAAAAAAACGTAAAGAGTTCCCCTCATGATACGTTTTTCTCATGAGAACAAGTTGATAAGTTGGCCCAAAGCTATTGGTTATTGATTTATCATCAAATTTATCACATCCAGTCGATAAGGTCTGGCTTTTCATTATTTGAAAGTAAAATTCTTATTAATAGAGGTATATAAATTCTGAAAAATTTTTTTTCCAAACATTGCAAAACGAATTCTCAATGAATATCCGAACACTTTCCAGACGTTTTGAGAAGCGCATCTACATCCCGCTGCCTGACATGAACGCGAGGAAAGAAATGTTCCGGATCGACGTCGGCAAAAATTCGAATAATCTCAGCGATCAGGACTATAGGGTTGCTTGATCTCTCCCTGTTATTCAAGTTGTCTTCTCTTTTGCAGGTCCTCGCGCAAAAGACGGAAGGATATTCGGGATACGATATCAATATTTTGGTGAAAGACGCCTTGATGCAACCCATTCGTAGAGTCCAATCAGCGACACACTTCAAGTATTTTTTCTTCAACTTGAAATCTTTTTCATTTGGACTTTTCAGTAAATGAGAGCGTTTTTTTTTCAAAAACTGTGAAAATGTTTAGTGGCCACTATAGGGTTTTGACGTTTTATTGGCCACTATAGTAGTCAAATTAGTCATCACTGAAGGGGTTAAAAACTAGTGGCCACTAAGAGGTCTAAGTGCTACTACTAGACCACTAATTTTTTTAGTGGCCACTTTAGGGGTCAATGGATCAACATAACTGGTTCAATCTGTTTGTTTTAAAATTATCAGAGTATCGGAAGGAATACTGAAGTAGTCACTAAATAGAGAACCTCCATAGTGGCCACTAAAAATTTTCTCAGAAAAAGTTCTTTTGTTATAGAAACTTCCAGGTGTGACCAATTTGATTCAGACACGTTTCCGCGCCTTCTCGGAAAGACCCGTCGTTGATCGTTCGGGACATGCTGACGCCTTGCAGTCCAGGCGACGCCGGAGCCATCGCCATGAGCTGGCTGGACGTCCCCGGCGAAAAGCTCGCAGAACCGATCCTTTCTATGGTTCGTTTTCTAGAAGAATGGAACCAGCATCTTTTTATGCTTTTGAATATAATTTTTCTTGCAAGGAATCTTCATTTGTTATTTGAACTTTTCAAACGAAAAAATTGAGTGTTTTATTTTTGGTGAGAGGCAATCACGGATCATTCTTGCAGCAAGACATGATCAGGTCGTTAACAACAGTGAAGCCGACAGTGAATGGCGCGGATCTCCAACGACTCGAGCAATTCAAAAACGACTTCGGGCAGGATGGCCAAGAATAACGGCTGCCGTGTAAAAATCCCTTCTCTCGAAAATGCCTTTGTTCGTGATACAGTTTCCTATATGTACTTTCAGTGAACCCGATGTGTCTCCAAGTTGATTCCCCAAGTTTCTGGTTTATTTTCCGTTCCAAAACCACAACCTTTTTTACTTGTAAATACATGAATTTATATGTATTTTTGATGTTCATTGTTTCGAAGAAAAGCATTGGGCGCTCGCACATCATATGTAACTCTGCATCCCCTAGGGTTTCTTTTTTTGCCTCCTCCTCTTCATCAAATACTACATTGTGCTTGCTATAATTGTCCTTTTGAGAGAGTTGGAACTCTCAAATTGTGTACATCGATAAAAATAAATGCTAAATTAACAAAAATGACTAAAAATTTTATGAAAAGAAAGCCGGAAATTTCGATATAAAAAAGTTGCTCGTTGGGTTAGAGGGATTTTTTCACAGAGCCTGAGCTTCTCGGAGAAGCTTCTCGAGTTTGCCATTGTTGGCAGCAGCGGCAGTGTCGTCACCGCCTCCGAAGAACTTTCCACCGATGAAAACGCGGGGAACAGATCGCGCACCCGTCAACTCCTGAAAATTTTCAAAGTTTTTGCAAAAGCTTGCGGTTTTTTTCACCAAAAATGCTGTGACATCTATTCAACGCTTTTTTTGCTGTTTTTTTCAGAGTTGTAGAGCCAAAAAAAACCGTTTCTTTCTTCTGTACATTAAACGTGACCATCTCGCGCGGAGCACTATATATTTCAGGGTATATATAATGCGTTAAAAAATAACGGTCTTGAAGCGAAGATGCTCAATTTTGATCAAATTTGGTATACGTTACTTTTGGCGGAAAGAAAAACGTGACAAGGTGGCGAGGAATGAGCTACATGCAAAGAAAACATTGCACTGATTATATAATTCTGAGTTCTAACCATTTTGGTATGTTTCGTAAATAAAAGAACCTTTAGGTAATCCTGGATTTCTTCACCGTCTTTCCTTTTGTCCAGTTCAACCCATTCCATCGCTTCCGGCTTGATATTTTGTCCGTCGAGAGCTGCGCGCGCCTGAAAAGATCGTATCAATAGACTAAATATGAATACTCTAGCAGAAAATCATCATCTTCTTCCGTAAGAAGAATTCTTGTAGCAACTGAGTCACCTTGTGGCAGTATGGACAGTAGGTTTTGCTGAAAACGACTACTTTGAACTTCTGAAGGAGACCGTCGACGAAAGATTTTCCAGTTGCGCTCATTCTTTCGATATTATCTGCAATCGGACATTTATTCAAAACCAAAAAACTCTAAAGAAAAACAAACATTAAAACGATTCAATGAAATATTGAGAAGCAAAACGTCGATTAGAAAAAAATTTAGAAATATATAAAACGGTGAAGCGAGAAATTAAAATGAAGGTGATTAAACTTGCAAAAAATGAGAAACTGAAAATAAATAGAATTATCTATTTTGTTAAGAAGGTGAATCACCGAAGTTCAGAGATCTTCATAATAATCGCCGTCAAATGAGAACCTCAAAAACTGAATATGAAAAAGATTGCCTGTTTTGGAAGCTTAAAGAACACTTTCCTAAGAAATTCAGCTTTGATATAACAAGTTTTCTACACTCAAACTGCTCGAATAGTAAAAGCAAGAGATATGATTGGGTTTTTATAATGTTCGAGTATTTTGAATGATTCGATTTTTGATAGCTTCTGCATCAATCACAATAAAATAATGAAGAGGACGGGACGATAAGTATTTTAAGAATTTAAATTTAGATTAATTGTTTAAAAATCGTCACACCCCTGAGGGCTGGAAATAATGAATAAAATACATAGTGCAGAGAAGTGTAAGCGTTCACAAGAGTGGTCCGAGGGGACTTTTCATTTGGAAGAGTCTCCCCCGACCACGTTCTTGATGGTGTCCATGATCTTCTTGAAGATGCCGCGCGGCTGGCTGTCGTCTTCTTGGGCCGAGAACGGAACGATTCCTACGGAAAACTTCTCGATGCCAGGCATTTTGCTTCCGTGCCAAGATCCTTCCGATAGTCTAGCACTCTTCGGACCGTCCGCATGGCTTCGTCTTGTAGAAAGGACGGGAGTTCCAAGCTCCATCTTGATTGAATCTCCCTGAAAGGATTTTTCCATCTACAAATGTTAAGAAAATTATTGTTTTATCCTAATCCGGCGCAACAGAGTTTTCCGCACAACTTGAAGTTTTGCATTCATCGTTCAGAAATTTGAAACCAAGGACCTTCTGGCTTTAAAAAAAACTTCAAAAAAAAAAAGAAGAAATTTACACTTTTTACAGGTGAGTGTCATTGAAATTCGAAAATGAACTAGAAAACAAAACCCTTAAAAATATGAAAATAGAAACCACATTATGGAAAGCTCTGCTGCGCGAAAAGTCTTGGCTCGTTTTCGCAAATTTTTACCATTTCTCTTGTCTCTTTCTCCAATGATAAAATAGGCGTGCGTGCGACATCCCCACAGCTTTGATCAACGAGGTTAGGCGTGGTCCGATCATCGACGTCGCTCTTCTCACGATCCACAATGATGACATCATCCTCGACTTCTTCTACCAGCGTTATCACTTCGGGGCTCTTTTGGTGTTTATTTCGACGGCTTTTCGTACTGCGACTTTTTTCTTCGTCATACTTGCGCGCAAGAGACTCTCTCAAGAAGTCGCAATACGTGGCAAACGGCGGGATCTTGTAGTTGCGTTCTCGATCTCGCAAAGCTCTATAGGAGTTGTTGAAACCCATGTAAAAGTGAAGTTTGCGGTCGTCAAGAGTTGGTCGGGAGGACTCAGAGAGGTCCGTAGAGTCGCGAGATTTGGTATCATCAACGAGGTGAAACGTGAGAAGTTTGTCGGAGTCATCTTTGACGATGGCGTGTTTCAGATAGCCGGGCGGGTAGCCATTGACGAAACCCATACGCCGCATACGGTAGATGTACTCAGGAATATCATCGACGCTGATCCCCAAAGCCTCGCGCAAGTCGTTGCTTATGCGGCCAGGTCGGAAGCGGGAACTCTCGTCCGAATCGTGGTAACGGGCGCGATTCGGTTGCTGCTGGCGAGTGCGGAACTCTTGCTGCGCCTTGCGTATTTTCGCAAAGTCTTTTTCTTCCTTGCAATCAGACAGTACGTGCTCGCCGCCGCAGTTGAAGCACGTCGAACGGGGTTTCGTCTGTTTCGTTGGCGTGACGACCTCGCTTTCCAAGTTGCAGAGCAGCTGACTGGCTATCTTCGAAGCCCAGGAACTATTCAGAGTCGAAGAAACATCTTCCTCGTCTTCCGCCTTCCCAACGTAAACTTCTTCTTCTGCGACCACCGAAGTTGTTTGGATATATGAGTCCTTGGGAGTCGTGCGTCTTTTCTTTGTCGGAGGCACTTCTTCGCATTCTTCTGAGTTTGGAGAGCATTCGCCCTCCTCTACATCTTCCAAGTTCTCTGCTCTGTTCATGGCTGGGTCTGGAAAAACGAACTGAAGAAAAATAAGTCTTATCATAAGTAGGCAACCGGGTAGGACGCTTTTTCGAAACCAAAGCAGAAAAAAAAATAGCATTTTATTTTACAACGAATCTAAAGATTCGATGTTTCGGAATTCATTTCAGATTTCAATGTAATGCGAAAATATCGAAAGGTATCAACGAAAACAAAAAAATTCTGATAACAGGTAGAAGCTGTCAACAATGCACCGACTTATAAACATACGATAAAGAAGAAAAATTCACAACGCCCTCACTACAGTATTTTCTTCACAGTAGTCACAAATCTTGCAGTTCACTCCACATTCCAAGTTTTCTTGATCGTTTCTGAAAAATTAAAGAAGTTGGAATAAAATACCTGTCTTTAAAATCTTAAAAAGTCAAATTAAGTAACCACGACGTGGAGGAAACGAAAAGATACTCAGAAAGAAGTCAATACGCTCTAATGATAAAAAAAAAAGTGAAATCATGTGATGAAACGTTTCAAGTATAAATAACAAATAGCAGAGACTTGTTTGTTGATTTCCTTGAGTTTTAGCGAATTTAAAAGAAAGTGTTGAAATAGTTGTCCATAGAGCACGAATAACTGCGTATGATAAGTTTCCTTTTTACGTTTTTCGATTTAACTACATTTGTTAAGAATAAAAAGAAGTTTTTCAATTTCACTAATTTTTGATTTTTTTTTTGAAATAAATCTCGAAAGCTATGTTGGCTGCCCTCGGAAGTTTTACACATTATGTCACGCTTCAATCAAAAATTTTTTCTGATATCACAAAATCAAAACTTTTTCAATGATGATTTTGTGGGTTGAAAGACAAGAGGCTAACTTTTTGATAATATTCTGTACCGGCAAAATTATCGAAAAAAATTATGAAAGCGTTTTTTTATCTAGAAGTTTCATAAAAAAATTTTGTTAATAAAGAACTGAATGAAAATTTCAGAAGCGAAAAAAAAGAACTTACAGGGCAGGAGGATTGACGAAGTGTTAAAGCGATCATTTGAAGAAGCTCGTTGTTGTCCGCGGCACATTTGAGAACAGATTTGAGCCGAGCGTCGACGAAAGGTTCGACGGAGGTCTCCAGAATGCTGGCCAATGAAGCGACAGTCCGATGGATTTGATCAAAAAGAAGCGAATTTTCGGTGACGGCTGCCTTTTTATGAGGATCTTCCAAGATGGTTTTGAAGTGATTGAAAATAGCCGTGACGAGCACGATGAACGTGGAGCGGCTGTAACTTTTCGACGAAGCCACCATTTCCGAAAGACAGTCTCCCATCTCGTATAACAACGAGGTGACGACTCTCAAGGTCCTCTCCTGGAATAGGGAGATTCGAGTTCACTAGAAACACCCTACCTTGACCCGATCATCGCCGCTTTTCAACATGATGGAGATATGAAACGGAAGTGTGTCATTCATCCAACACCGGACGTCCAAAACTTTTTTAATTTTCCCAAGGTTTTTGGATCTCTGAAAACATGACGTTCATAAGTCAAAATTTTTCCTATTCTCAAAAAACCTTGAAAAAATGCTCCAAATAATCTACAGATGTCGGCGTTGTTATCGAATCATCAAATTCGAGGTCTTTTTTTAAATCAACGGAAAATGAAGCCCACTTGCGCACAAGTTCCCACACGGATATCGAAATCTGTTGCACCTTACGGTCTTCAAAAAAAAAGACACTCTAGAAAATAGTGGGTTTTGACTAACTGTGAGAGTCGGAATAGTTACAGACGGCGACTATCCAGAGATGAACAAGGAAAGAGAGATCACAAACATCCGCCGCACAGTTTTTGCTTGAAGATATGACTTCTTCACAGAAAGCCAGTAGGATATTCGAGCGCGGCAAAACTCTGTAATTATTGACAACCTATGGCTTCAAACGGAAAAAATACAAAGATTGATCCCAAACAAAACAAGAAATGTTCGATATTTTCAATCATATTCTTTGGAAGACCACGCTTGATCGCTGAAAACTGTGATCAGCCTAGAATGAACTGACTTTTCTTTTCGAAAATGGGTGAAAATCCTGCCGACGAGTCCACGAGCACAAGGTGAGCCTTTTGAGAGTCCAATCCTAAGCTTAAAATTAATTTTGGAAAGAAAAAGAAAGGCAAAAAACCTGCATTTTCAAATAACATACTGCCCGGTCATCTTCCTCCATCTTGAGTGCTTCCTCCCACAATTCGCTCGACTTTATTTCAAAATCTTTGCATGTCAACCGATTGAAGAGACACAGTTTTGCATTGCAATCCAAGGAAGAAACCACGCGGCTCATATTGAATCCGCTCAGGACACACTCCGGAAGAGAGCTCACATTTTCGATGAACATCGAAACTTCTTCGGGCTTCTCCAAACTCATATCGCTCATAACTGGTATGAATTAGAACTTGAGACTTGTTGGATAAAACCTTTAGATTTCAAAAGCGCAACGTCTTTTCCCCACTTAGGATTTTCGACGAAATCGAATGTTGTGAGAATTTTCAGCATGAACTTCTAAAAACTGAACTTATTCAATCCCCTTTTAATTACTAGCCTTCTGTTGGACCGTCGCAGAATGAAAATTTCGTTCAATGTATGAAAAAACCAGCTTTCGAATATCTGCATCTGAAAAAAAAAGAACAACATTATATTAAATTCTATCTTTGGGTTGAAGTTCCCCACGAAAATGGTTATCATGTACGTGAATATCGTTGCCTAGATAATATTCTTATACAGACCTTGGGGGAGAAAAACTGAATTTAGCTCGAAGCAAAAATTTTAACTTACCATCGACTCGGAAATGAATGAGTAGAACCAAAGAAAAAAAGGTTTCGATTTCGTCGCCAATTAATTTTTGGGTTTTTGCCGAAACCTGTCTGACAACACTTCCTCTCACGATTTCCCAAGCATCTGGATCTTCAAAAAAAAAAATCATGTTTATACTTACAGCTATCAAACGTGAAATTATCCTAAAAAGAAGTTGCAGAGGAGCTAAATCTACATGTGAGTCAGGAAAACCTTGAGCAATAGCATTTTTCCAAAGAGATGTTTCCAACGAAGCCAAAGTGACCTTCAAATGGACTTGCGAAACTAATAATCAACTTGAAACTCACTAATTTGTCACAAACTCTCTCCTCGTAACTTTCGAAAATTCGTTTCATTATATCGGTAAGCGCTTTTCTGTAAAATGAATTTTGACAAAAAAAAAAAAGATAGAATCAAACCGTCTTCGTTTGTCCCAAGACCCGATTTTTCTTTCCGCCATGAACTCATCAACAAGCAAACACGCTGATGAGAAATAATCGAGAGGTAAATCTCCCAACATCGTCAAAATTTGAGAGAATCTTTGAGACAAAAGTTGATCCTCACAGCCTGTCTTTCCCAATAAATGAATAAAACAGTCAAAGAAACCAGTGTTTTCCGGCGGGAAAAGAACATTCATAAACTTGATGAAAAATGAAATATATGAGATCGAGTCGGAAGAAGGCGTCGATTGATAGAAAACTGAAAATTATTCCAAAGTAAACGGTTCCTTAGAGGTTTGAAGACTTGGAAAATCAACTGAGATATAAGTTTTGGTGGTTGCCAACTTGAACAATGTGTAGATATCGTGACAAAACGTGTTTCCTTTGTCGACATTATAAAGGTCCCATATCACTCTCTGAACGCAGCCGCAGTTGAAAACCTTAAAACGGATATCAATTCATACAAAATAGATTAAACTACGTTAGAGCTTTTTTTGAAGGATGAAACCATTCCATCAACAATTATAACACGCGGTAAATCTTTTTTCATTACATTTGGATCGGGCTTATCTAAATTTTCTTTTTTTTTTCGAGACAAGAGAGGAAGTTGAACAAAACCTTCGTCAAACATGAAACAACCCAATTTCCAAGAGTCCAATGCAACGTGAAACAGACAGGTCTGCAAAAAAATCAAAATTTCGGTCAAGGTAAATTTACCGGACTCACATTAGAAGAAGCAAGCCCAGATAAAGTTCCCACACGAAAAAGAAACTCTTTGTATTTGAGTTGTATTATTCGTGCCACGGGCTCTTTATTTAATGATTTCCATTCCCATTCCAAGGCGTTCAAAGCTTTAAGATAAAATTAATTATTAGTTTTTTGGCAAAGCTGCTTACCTCGAGAGAACGGCTTCCAAGATTGAGGAAAGTCGACTGACGTGTTTCCACATTTATCATAAAAGCTGTGGAGAAAGTCAAAAAAAACATCTACACCGTCCTCATCATACAACTGAATATTATCTATATGCAAATTCCAGAATATTGCAGATGACTTCTTTGAATAAAAAAACATCCACAACATTTTATCAAATATTATGCCGTTTTAAACGTGAAATTGCAATTTAAAAGCAGTCGTCAGAAAGTAAAAAGGATAACAACATTTTGAAAATAAAGAGATAATTTTGCATTTCATGCTGTGAACTGTGAACACGGCATAATGAAATCGGGTTCGACTTAACGTACCCCATACCTGAATGGAGGGGAAAACTATTTCTTTGTCAAATTCTATGAAATCGGAAGGTTTAGAAGGTCCCTCGCGTTCGCAGAAGGCGTTGTTCACAACTGAATCAACTGAATATTACAACGAGAGATCGGACTATATCTCTATGGGAGAAAAGGTACCTGGACGGCAAAAACTCGATGACTCGGCGCTGGTGTCGTCATCAACGTTTTTGCACATCTTTTAATTAACCCTAAAATTTAGTTAGTGTTTGTAAACAAGTAACGCGATTCAGGAAAAATTTTCAGAGTAAACTCCTTGGCTCCAAAAATTTCAGCACATCTTAATGTATATACTCATCTTGGGCAAAACGGAAAAGTTTTTGAAGACTATTTCAAAGAGATAAAAAAATTTTGATCAAAAAGCTCCTGTAAGGGGATGGGAAATGTTCGCTCGAACTTGCTTTTCATTGCTTTGTAGAGACCTTTCTGCTAGCTATGCAATTTTTCAGTTGCTTTTCGGAGTTCTTTCTGTAAAAATAATTGAGAAGGAAGCAAAAATGGAGAAGGGACGTTGAGTTCCTAAAAAGTGCTTTTTCTAAAAAAAAATTTTCTGTTATTCCCTAGTACGACAGTTCGTAATCAATAAATTCAAACACTAAAAACGCTTTAAAAAAAATTTGAGAAAATTTTAAAAACGCGGGTAAAAAGACCCCTAAAGGGAGCCTTCAAGCTATTTCACTGGAGCAACATTGCACTTTATCATTTACTGCGAGAATTCTAATTATTTTTTAATTATTATAAATTTCTTGGCATGTTCTAAAACACGAGCGGTTGTGGGGCACGAGCGGCACGACCGTTACTAAATCACGAGCGGTTTCATTTTTCGCTCCTTTGCGAACGCTTCCAAATCACGAGCGTTTTTTTGGCTTATCGTTCTGTTCGAGCGTTTCTAAACCGCGAGCGTTTCATTTTAATCATTTTTCTTTATTACCATCCAAGTGTGTGTTTTTCATATTTCTACCTTCTTTTTTTCTCCTTGAATAAAAAAATTTTGACGATCTTATATGCACATTTTTTTCGCTCAATTTGTTGATTGATTCACATTTGAGGTTCATATAATGGATTTTTTCTAAGTTTTTTTGCGGTCTCTATAATTTCACAGATTCTGCGTATGGCAAATTTTTTTTCTAATAATTTCATCTGATTTTCATATTCAATATTTCACAGATTTTGCGTATGAGAAACTAATATTCACAGACGTCTCGCATGAAAGTCAATATTTCTCAAATTTTGCGTATAGCAAATTTTTTTTTCTAATACTTTCTCTCAAAATTTTTCTGGTAATAGAATCTCATATTCGAATTGATGCCATTCATATTTTATTCTCCTCTTACCCGCTAGAATACCGCCGCTCGCCGCTCCGCTCGTGATTATTAGAAAAAAAATTTGCCATACGCAGAATCTGTGAAATTATAGAGACCGCAAAAAAACTTAGAAAAAATCCATTATATGAACCTCAAATGTGAATCAATCAACAAATTGAGCGAAAAAATGTGCATATAAGATCGTCAAAATTTTTATTCAAGGAGAAAAAGAAGGTAGAAGTATGAAAAAAAAAAACACACACTTGGATGGTAATAAAGAAAATGATTAAAATGAAACGCTCGCGGTTTAGAAACGCTCGAACAGAACGATAAGCCAAAAACGCTCGTGATTTAGAAGCGTTCGCAAAGGAGCGAAAATGAAACCGCTCGTGATTTAGTAACGGTCGTGCCGCTCGTGCCCCACAACCGCTCGTGTTTTAGAACATGCCAAATTTCTTCTGCATGGTTCTCCTTTTTTTAAATATATTAAATGTTTATGCCGTGTTTACAGTAAATTTCGCGAATTCAAGATTGTTTCTGGCTCTCCAAAAACTTAGTTATTTCATAATATTTTTCTCTTCACAAAAGTTTGAGAATAAAAAAAGTGAACGTTTCGAAAAAAATTTGGTTTATAAAATTAGATAACAAAGGATTATTGCAAAACGTATTCCCCATATTCTTCAATAACCTACCTTAAACGTCCTTTTGATGAAACTAACTTTTTTTGAAAAATTTTTTTAGAATTGTAAATTAAGAACATCTAAAAAAAGAGATCATATCTTCTTATTTTTCAAACCTTATAAATAAATTATCTTATTAGTTAACTTTAACTCTGATACCTGGTTTTTTTTTTCGAAAATAATTTTTCTCTCTCTTTTTTCATTCTTTCTTGCGAGTGAGATTCCGGTTGCGCGAATAAATACCTACATGTTCTCCAAATTTGAAAGCTGTTTAACAAATTTTATTAACCACAGAGTACCGTGGACATTTTTGAATTTTCAGAGGATATGAGCGCAGCGCAATATGCACGTTTGGTTCCGAAAAAATACAGATCTCGAACATTGCCCAAAATCGATCGTCCATGGAGGCCTCGAATCGTCGCATGGGCAGGTCCGGCAGCGTTCTATCCAAACAGGTTGCCTAGAATTACGATGAAATTTCTAGGAATTTCTTTAGATTTTATGAAATCGATAAGTGGTACAAAGCAAGGATTGATAAACCACAGAAAGTTCAAAAAATGCACATTATCGATCCTGCAGAACATTCGCGATCTTTGGATGAGCTTTTAGCGAATAGTTAGTTTTCGTAGCTCTTAAAAATGGTTTCTTTCTGATTTCAGAAGGTGTAGAAGAGATCAATATCGGGTTCAAGGTCATGAAGGTCTCTGAAGCTCGTGAAAAAAGTGTAGACGAAAAAAAGAACTTGGAACGTATATCAAGGCATATGGAGCGTAAGTAAGGCGAGAGTCCTAATAATATCTTCATTTTTTTTGAGTTCTGATCAACGTCGATGAAACGAAGAATCCTAACCTAGGAGTATACAAACACTTTAAAATATTCGAGCATCTCTTTGGTGAAGGTTTGGTTGATGAACGGATTCCAAAAAAACTACGTTTTTAGCGACCTTTTTTCATACTGTTCAGCAGTTGGACGTTTCTTTTGGCGAAGATGTTGTTTTTAGCGGAAATGTCATCGAAGCAGCAAATACTTCTGCTCCACCTAGTGTAATTCATTTTTTTTTCCGGCAAAGAATTTTATCCTTTTTCAGGTAGTCATTGAAAGTTTGGGAAATGCTTTCAATACCCTCATGATGGTGAATCTCGATGGGAATCCGTACGAGAAGAAAGGCGAAATGATACATTGGCTGGTCACAAATATTCCTGACGGTCAACCAGTGCATAAAGGAGCTGAGGTTTATTCTATCCTCCGAAAATCGATAGCCATCGGTATTCCAGGTGATGAAGTACCTTCAGCCGTTGCCTTTCTACGGTACTGGATATCACAGAGTTGCTCTGATTTTGTTCCGACACGACGAACCAATCTCTCTCACGCCGAATTTGAACGAGTTTGCTTTTTTTCGAAATCTTGAACAGAAGTCTTGTTTCAGTGAGAAGCTGGAAGACAGAGCTCATGAGATTGCCAAGATTTACAAGGAGAACGAAAAAGTTCTGACACCTTCTGGAATCAAGTTTTTCCAAACGAGCTATGACGACAGCGTGAAACAAACTCTCCATTCTTTAGGTTAATCACTGTTTTTGCGCTAATCAGCGTTTTTTCACTCTTTAGGTTTGAAGTCTCCCTTGTACTCGTATGAATATAACGAGGCTCTTAAACCGGATCAGCGCGAGTTTCCTGAAAGACCTCAGCCCTTCAACTTGTGTGACGACTTTTCTTAGCATTATAAGATCTATTTTCTTTTGAGATATCTCGACATGTACCGGGATCCGAAGGAAATCGAAGAAGAAGTAGTGGAGAAGAGGCTGGAAACTGCTCAGCTGGAACAAGTTCAGGTTACATTTTCAGTTTTTCTTGTAAAAGTCGGTATAGGCGAATGAATGTGTTAGGAAATTTCACAACCTTTTAGAAAATGAGAAGAAATGTTTTGATATATCTCGATCTTTTTCAAATGCAAAATTGTGCCCATTTCTAGAGAGGTTTTGTTGGTTTCTGAACTTTTTCTCTAAAAGATTCGCTTTTTTTGAAGAGCACGCCATGAGAAAAATCAAAAAATGCGTGAAAGACTTTTTTTTAATTTTTTTGAAACTGCGTAATGTTAGCTTTTTTATTCCTGTTGCTGCGTTTTTAAGTTCTATCGCATGTGCTCGCGAAGCAATAAAACTACTCACATTACACATTTACACATTTATTCAGTCCTAAGAAGATTCTCTTCTGAATCATGGAATAATAGAATAGCTGTTTGTCGGTTCTCGAAACAGTGGTTGATCAAGAACGCTAGAGCATCTCCCCCTTCTTGTGATAGTAGTAGACGATTTTCGAGCGTTCCGTCGAAACTGATTTCGCCGGTTCAAAGAAAGTCATCATTAGTGACACGCAACGCTTATCTTTTGAATACGATGAGTGACAAAAAGGAAAAACTAGAGAAGTGGACGACACCGGAAACATTCCAAAATGCTTCGTGATCGCGTGCGTCTCAGTTAAACGAGTCGTAGCTAACGACGTATAGATTAAACTTTTATATCCAATTGAACTTGTAGGTTTCGAAGTGGAGAGACCCCAACTACGTTGAGAACAAAAAGACGTTACCCGCGTGGCAGCACGAGAAGATTTACTCCCGCGAAGGACGACATAAGGCCTACATTCGTAATCCCATCGACTCTTGAGTCGCAACTCTGTTTTAGGTTTTGCTAGAGTTTTTATAATATTTAGCCATGTTTTTTGTTGTCTGTTATCAGTTGTACGTTCCAAAAGGCCCTTGGAACTGTACAGCGTCCCGAAGTTTGAAAAGGAAAGTTCGACTGGCACATGAATCTTGAGCAAACACGCTTTTGGAGTTGTTGACAGCACTTGGTGTTACAATAAATAAGATTGTTATTGTTTTTATCAAGTTCCAAGTGTCTCATTCTTAACTGGGACTATTTAAAGTCATTGAGATTGAAGTCGTTTAAAACTTGTCTATGGTTCCCCCTCTGAGAATCGGCTCCTGGCTCGTCTTCTTTACCGTAGACCGTCAAAAACTAAACGTTGTAGTAGATTCATAAAAGCATGTTCAGGAGTTATAGCTGGTAAATCACTTCAATCCACAGAGTCAGTTTTTTTTCTGTTTGTCTCGATCTTCTGAATTTAGGCGTTTGTGAGTCTACTAGACTCCAACCTGTGATATACAAAAATGCTTTGAGGATGCTTAGAAGGAATAAAAGAGAACCGATCTGCCGCGTGCCGACGGGACGCCCGTTTTCCGATTGTTTATCGTGTTGTGGGCGGATACACAGCTTTTGTCCGCTGCACTCCTCGCTCGCGAAACACTCACACGCTCACATGCGAGCAGCCTCCAGTTCCAGCAAAAAAAAAAGAGACGCCGATTGATCGCGGCCCAAAACGGAGTTGTCGGCCCTCGGGACCATCGTGACTGCAGCCAATTTCTCGCCGCTCCAATCCATGTCCTTAATTTCATGCCTCATTCGCTCTTTTTTCTGTTTTTCTCTGAAATATCTCACGCAGCTTTATTCATTTTCGTAATGATCTTGAGCTCTTTCTTTGCCAAGAATATATTTTTTCTAGGTTTTTAAATGCAATATCAGGAATTTTCAGTCCAAATAAATAGTCTAATTTCATCACTGGTGTGTGCATAGATTAACACGGAGAGTAAACACTAAAGAAAATCCGGAAAAATAGGGCGTAGATGAATCAGTTTGTTGCAAGTTGTTTATTATATCAAAGAAGCTGCTCGAATGCGCTTTTTCCATTCTATACTTTTTAAAGCTTCAAACCTAAGATATCTACAACATGCTAGTTCTAACTTGAAACTGCGAAAATAGAGTTTCCAGGCGATTAGGTGAGTCAGATATCATGTGGAGCGTGCCATTCAAGTTATATTATTTTATTCTTTTATTTCTTACTTGGTTAGAACAATCTTTTTCCTTCTATTGGAGGTAAAGAAACAATTTTAGATTCATTTTTCATATTCTGGATGCATGAAAAGGTAAAGAAAATAAAAATGTATTATACTAGGTAAATTAATTTGTTCGAAATTCTTCTATTTTTATCTCGTTCGTTTTCCGTTTTTCAACAGTTTCATTCGCAACGTTGCAAGCTCTTTTTTTCAGACGGAAATGGCCCCCTTGAAAGTGTACGTAGCGAGTGTAACAGCCAATCCGGAGGTGAGTGCGATTTTTCCATAGGAAATGTTTTCTGTCCTTTTTTCAACAATTAACTTCCCCTAAAAGCTATAAAACAACTTTTTCACATGAAAAAAACTATCAGGACTCAGAAAATAATAAATTAATTATAACTTTGAGGGAATAGTAAAAAAAATTTTACTAAAATTCCCTGTTTGTGCTCCTTTTTTTCTCGTGTTTTAAAAAATGATATACATCCGTTTTCAAAAAATACGAAATTTTTCTGCTTCATGGGCTTTTTTTTTGCAAACTCATATTTTTTGAGCTTGAATTTCGAAGTAGACTACTCTAGATGGAAATTTAGTGAAAATCAATTTGAAGAAATTTAAGATCAGGAAACGTGTTCTGAGGACTTTGATGCTTTTGGACGGCCTGGGGATTCCTTTCGACTCGATTGACATCACCAAGCCGGAGAAGGCCGAAGAAAGACGGTTCATGAGGGAAAATGCGACAAAAGAAGGCCAACGGGGGCCGCCGCTGCCACCTCAGTTTTTCTACAACGAAGAGTACCTCGGAGTACGTTTCGACCTCTATTTCATCAGTTTTCTGTCAAATTTATAGGAAAATTTTTCGAACGTTCCTTTTTTCATAAAAGATTATGAAGGAGTAAAATCACCACGTCTATGAAACTATAAACCTTAAAATAAGACTCGCATAACCGATGTAGACAAAGTATTTCTCAAGGCACATCCTCGAAAAAGAAAACTAATCAGCCAATTAAATCTATATGTTTCAGGCTGATACACTAGCATTGCTTTGATAAGTGTTAAGTGGTAGAAACCGATTTCATGTAGATATATTTTGTGTAATGGATGGTTCTAGTTCATGTTGGTTTGAAACTCGGCATGGAAAATAACGGTTTTCCAGAATTACGAAGACTTCGACGCCTCGGTCGAGTCGGACACGATCACAGAGTTTCTACGGTTGTTGCCAGACACCATCGTAAGTCTCCATTTTTTCTCTCGGATGCCCGCGTGTTTCTGCTGTTGACTAACACTCCGTTCAGCGCAAAAGAATCCGCGTCGCCACGGCCAAGAATCCCCCTTCTGTCGCGCCCGACCATCCGGTGGCCAGCGTCGGTGAGCTCCACGTCGCTTTTCCCAAACTACTAGCATCAAAAATTGAAGAGTGATAACTCTAGAATCATAACAAAAGGAACTTGTCTCTCTATCGTATTGCTGAAACTACTAACTGTTTTATTGAAATCTCACTACGTTTGTTGCTTTGATTTTGACAAAAAAAAGTCCTTCAAAACTGACTTTCGGCGAATCGGTCATATAATTCTTACCCCACCAGTTGCCATTGAACAGAAAAGATTTTTTCTCGGCTACTTAAATAGTCTCCGTGAAATTTGAAAGAAAAGAAGTTTCAGGAGTCGAATGTCGCCAGTGATCTGCATACAAACGAGGTAATTTTCTTTCATTGCTCTTTTCTCCACGATAGCGAGCGAGCACGAAGAAAATACTTTCGGAATGAGAAATTAGTTTGGAAAAATGAAATTGAAACTAATTTTCTCTTTGAGTCAGTCGGTTTATGAAAAAAAAAAAGAGCGAGGCGAAAATTGCGAACGTCGGCCGCACAGCTGTCGTGGATGACAAATTAAATGATACAACTTCCATGCAAAGTTGTTTCAGGAGACTGAAAAACCGGTAGCATCTGTAGAAAAACCCCAAAAAGAAAATGCGGCAGCTGACAATGGGTTGGATTTGGAAGATGAAGACGAAGAATGGGATGAAGATGAAGAAGAAAGCGAAGAGTCCAAGACGACGGCTGATCAAAAAACGCCATCTTCTGATAAACCGAACGAAAATGAAGAAGTAAGTCTTTCAAAATGGATCCTAATGGAGAAAAAATTCCAGGTTGAGGAATCGGCAGTGATACAGCTGAAACCAAAAGAAAAAGATGAAGATGTAGAAAACGAAGATGAAGCTTTCGACGAGGACGAAGAGTACGACGAGGATGAAGAAGAAGAGGCTTGAATGAGAGATCCAGAAAGTCGTGTTGTGTCGTCTGAGAAGTCATCCTTTTTTATGATCTAATCAGAAGAAACCAATTCTTTTGGACCAGTTAATTTTAGACATTGCCTAGAGAATATGACTTTCAAACGACGCTTCATAGAACTACTGCGGTTTTCTCAGTAACTTCTAACGTTGACTTGGGTTCGGGTCCCTGCGACGATTACTGCCCATAGTCAGATGCATATTGTTTTATAATCTCTAATAAAAAAAACCTGCTTATATTTTACCGCTCTCTAACTATTTAGATATTACCTGTTCTGAAATTATTATTGTGATCGGTCTCCTCAACATCATGAATTTATTAAAGCTTGTACTTCGCTTGAAAACAAAACTGAACAAGAATATCAACAAAAAAATTTGGATAACAGTAAAATGACATAGTAAAAATTAGCTGTAATTCGAACAAAAAAGGTTGAACAGGGCTTCCGACATTTTATCAACATGTTAAAATGCGCATACATAAATCTGGGGACTCCAAATTTCTACCTTATAAAATATCACGCGGGCTTTCAAACGACCTTTTGAACTAATTATTGAAACGCTAACTTTTCCCAAGGACTGGTTGGAATTTCAGAATAGTTTCTATCACATAAGATAAAGTTCACCGAACACTCTACATAATTTTGTTTCAGAGGTAAATAGAAGCACCTTCGCTCTTTTGAGAAGACAAGTCCCTCTAAAGCTATTATGATGAGAAAAGGAAGATCTTTTCCGAGTCAGAAAAGTTTAGAACGACAGGGAAAGAAGAGATGCGGTTGGTTGATAAAAAAAAGGATAAGCTACTATTTTTACCCACTGATTTACGAAAGTTCACCGATGTTTCAAGAAGATGTTCAAAAAAAAATTAGTTATAACTGAAAAAATCCCGTATGAGGAAAAAGAGAGCTTCACGATAGGAAAGCATTTTTGAAAAAGAAAGTCAGTCAGTACCGTAGTATTTCATGGCGAAGCTGTGAGGGAACTCCGTGGTCACATCCGAAGTGATGATCGTCAATTCGGGGTAGTTCGAACAAATTCTCTTGACACCTGAAACTAATATTTTTTGAGGTTAAAATAGGAAAAATTCTATTTTAAGATTTGGTTTTTTTATTGAAGGAAAATTACCAGATGTTCGCATATATCAGCACCTAGGAAAATCAAAATACCAAAAAAAAAATCGAATAATATTTATGGGACGCCTGTAAAAAGTCGGCTTAACAGCTCGTGCCAATAAAAAGCTGACAGAACGTGGTAAAACACCAAAAAATAAAAATCTGACCGGCTGGAGTGATGAAGAGAGTTATAAGGTACATGTTTTCCTCTGAAACGCCGACGTCCTTCAACGCACGAATTGCCCTGCACGTCGTGATACCAGTACTAAAAATACTTCAGAAATGAATTTGAAGTTAGTTCGGATTACTCTGCCTTATAGTTGGATAGAGAATCAGGATACGTCGCTGTGAAATGTCCGACATCAACCGTGCGTAGAGTATTCGTTGTTCTTCGCCTGCGAAGTTCAAGATAAAGTTCTGAGGAAAAACCTTTTCATTATTATTCAACAAGCAAGACTGATGAAATTGTTCAAATCGAAAAAAACTTAGGTAATCTTCGAATATTTAGCCACTAAATTTTTCTATCCTTTATATGCTCTTGATGAACTTCCCTAGTTTGGAACCGAAAACTTATCCACAATAAAAACATTCTGTGAAGTCCTACCGAGAAGGACTTTTCCTATTCGGATAGAACGGCAGCACTGCCTCAGAGCAATTTCCATCGCCTCGCCGCTCCTACAAACTGAAACTCCGCAGTTTCCCCTCGCAAACTGTATACCTGCAAATATACAACCATTTTTCTGATTAATTCTTTTTGAACCGTTGTATTTGACGCCAGAAGGAGTTACGACCGTTTTTTCACTGAAAGGAAGCCGATTGAGGCCTTCCTCGATAACAATCCTCATCAAACGGTCAGCGTAAAAAACGAAATCAGGATGCGAAGTTTCTCTAAAAATATATGAGCGTGAAGTGCTTTATTAAATTTAAGCTAGTCCGACTTTATGCTTCATCGATTGATTTGAAAATAAAAATAATAATGATAGTCCACTGGGACAGAAAAAATGAATGAACAAAAGAAGGTAATGAAGTCTCGATGAAAAAGTAGAGAAAATCTATTTCAAAAAAACTAACCTGTCTTTCAAAATTGTCTGCAGCTCCTCTATCTGGTTGGTTTTGGGAATGACGGCAAGCCATCCGCACTGTTTCAGCCGCTCGAGATCCTTGTCGAGAGCAAAGTTACTCTCGCCGTTCAACATTCCGTGTACGTAACTGAAAAATTAACTTTATGAGGCATGGCAGTCATGAAGACAACTGGGATAAGTAACGAAGAAAGAAAGTGCGTCTCATTACCATTTTTTCATTATTTGAGAGTTGCTGGTTGATTTCCCACATTCTCTCTTTCTTCAAAAGTTTAATATCAAAGTCAATATGATGATGCTAATGACTGAACGACAAACTATTAAAATCTCTAGATTGATTCGTTGACGTCAGAACTCGTGTGAAAAACAGTTAAGTAAAAGCAAAAAAAAAAAGTTTTTTTTGAAATAACCATTTCGGTGGAGCGCAGATTCTCTAGATATTGAGGAGGCGGGCCCAATTCGGGACTGACGCTCCGCCCACCTATACGTTTGTCGCGTTTTCGGAGACACAAAAATATTTTGGAGAGTTTCTTTCGATTTTTGCGTAAAATGGAGAAACTTTAAATTATTTTATTATCGATTTTTATTTTTTGGAAAGTGATTTTCGAGTTTTCCCGTCAAATTTCACCGACTGACATGTTTTGATCCATTGTATAGAATTTTTTTTCAAAAAATATTAGAGAGAAATTTCTATAACCTTTTTACATAGCTCCCGCTGGCATAGCTCTGACGGTCCCGCTCAGCCCAATTGCCTTCGTTGGGAGTGTCTGAAGCCGTCAGTTTTATTCTTTTTCTTTCGACTCGCGTCTTGGCCAACTTCGCAACGCCATCCAGAGGTGAGATCACCATATTGACTCCATTTTTCCTCCACTTCTTTTTTTTCTCCGAATTGTTCCTAAATTCCCTTGATTTTTGGAAGTCAGTTGTATTCAGGAAATGTTGAATGATGTCTAAAGCTCTTTTAAAGCATCAAATGCAGATAATAAAACAGAAAAAGATGGAGATGACTGAACTGAAATTTCAAAAAAAAAAGCACATGTAATTTAATTTTTTTAAGTATATCTGAAGGCCTGGAACCTTGAAGTTCCCTTATCCCTTCTTTCTGTGAGAAAGACCCTATTCAAAATTGGGTCAATTTTTTTCGTGTCAAGACCATTTTTTTTCGGTATATTGTAAAGCAAAGTTCAAAAAAAAAGCTAAATTCACGATAGTTTTTTCTGTTCTTTGGATTTAGAACGATCTTCTCGCACGGAGCTCACTTCACTATATTTCAAAACTTCTGAATGAAGCAAAGTAACTCTCTGAAAGATTTCTTTTGTTAATTTTAATGTTCCCTTTTTAATTTTTGTTCCAACGACGATCAGACTAAGATGCGACGATGAGCGGGACAAGCTCCAGCGTTGACTACGACTACGAAGACGGAGGAGGCAACACGACGGACGCGGAGTACGAGGCGCTCATCGCCGACGTCCTCTGGCCGAACCTCGTCGAACGCTGGTTCGTCGCCGTCCTCGTCGCCATGATGGTCGTCGGAGTTGTTGGCAACAGCCTCGTTGTTCTCGTCGTCTTCTCCAACAAGTCCATGGTACGACCTTCCAAAAATGTCACGTCTTTAAGTCTGACTCTTTCTCTTTCTTTTTTCACGTAGTCTGAAGACTGAAGCTCAGTAGCCTGACAGTAGGTTGATAATTCAAGTCTTTTGGTTTGAAATGGAAAATCTGTCTATCTTCTTTCTTTCGTAAATGTATTATTTTGGACTCTTGAATTACCAGAAAAGATTAGAACTTGACATTCCATCAAAGGAATTTTTTTTTTGATTTTTTTTTTCAGTTTTCGATGTTATAGTCTGTAGATTACTTATAAATTTTCTCCCAGAGTTGTTAATTCCGTGTTCAAAGTTATTTCCGCGAAATTCAAAATGGTCTCTGAGTCTCCAAAAATTAGTTATGTTTTGCTTTCTCTGACGGTTATTTTGAATTTCGCGGAATCACTTTGAACACTGCATAAAAATCATTTTTGATTGAAAAAAAAAGGAAAATAGCTCTTTGGTTGTTTCATTAAATTTCTCTGCACAAAAAAACATTTTTTTAAATAAAACACGCTCACGTCTTCGAGAACACGTCTCTTTTCTCATTTACGGACGTCGCACGAACGTCACTCCTTCGGATGCTTTGCCATTGATGAAAATTGGCAAGAAATCTGCCGATTCGCATTAAAAAACGTTTTTTGTGCCATTTTTGGGCCTAACGGGTTCGAGAAAATTTCTCGAAAAAGATAAACCAATATTCTAAAAATAAGCTTTTAGAAGCAGAAAAGGTAGGTTTTTTCAGGCTTTTCGTGTAAAGTAAAAAATTTCTCTATAGAAATTTGAGTATTCAAAAAAGGAAGGAATAAGGCCAAGTGAAAGAGAATTTCGGAAAATAATGGATGTTTCTCATGCGTATGTTGAGATTGTATTCAAGCCACCTTAGCAAGATCAATCTGAAAAGTGTCGCGAAATTGAAGCTATTGAAATATCTATTCAGGTCCGATTGATTTAGTTGATAAGATTAAAAATTCAACTTCCGCACGGAGTAAAAATCAGCGACTATCGAATTCAATCATTTGTGTGAACTCATCGACTTTCTTCGATCTTCGTTACACTTAAACTGAACCCTTTCTTCATTTTTTATTCATATCGGAAGGGCTTCTTTGTTCGAGGTATTCCTTCACTCTGTTAAACGCCCCAGAAAATTAATTCATAGCTAATTAACAAGTCCCTCCGTCGTTTGTTTTCATTGCGAAATGAACGACGGTGCCAAACGAAAAATTGCATTAATTGCGCCGTTTGCCTTTGTTGGCGTCCTCTTCTCGAGGGGCCTTTTAACCCAAACGTTTGCTCACTTTGATCAACTTGAAAGCCGAAAGACGGGAAAACTTGAGCTACTGAGAGTCATGAATAAAACTAGCCTAAAATAGCAAAAGTAATTTGGCGTCAAGATACCTTAATAGGATATCCCTTTTGGGAGTTTTCCGATTTTAAAATTTACACACATCCGGAAATATGTAGTTGTACGTCTAATGCAATAGAAAGTCATTTTTTGTAGAATAATTTCAGTAGAGGATCGTTTTTCTCTTGTTTTGGACTTACCAATATGCTTTGTTATGGACCTCTCTTGCCCGGTGACGCAGCCAAATGAGTGAATCGAATTTGGCGCTGCAATTTGGTGAGAGATGCGCTCCAGTGAAAAATCCACACTAAGATATATTTCTCGTCCTTTTCGGTTCAACTTGTCATAAAGAAGAGTTTGGCGTGAGAAACTCCACGTGCTCGAACGGGGAAACCGCAAAGTCGTCTACGAAGTACTTGAATTTCCTTATCCTCTCACCAACTGTCCGACCTGCGTCGACATACCCAATTATCATGTCTTTTTACATCCTCCCACATCCGCAGAAACTTCGAACGCGTTCCGGCAGTATTGCGGGCTTCAAAACGGCTCAAACCAAGGACTACTCACCTCATTGAAGCAGTTAAAATAAAAGATTCCAACGGCCCTTTTTATAAGTGAGAATGTTTTCTCCTAACACTTGATGATCACTTTTTAACTAGGAAAATACTGACGAGAAAATAAATTTAGACTTTTAACCGTGAAACATAATATACAAAAAATAAACCAAAATAAAATTTTGTTTACTTTTCGTCCAAAGATCTGGTGAAGCGGGGAATGAGCGGAAAGTGCGAGGTTTTATGCAAACTCGCATTTTTTTTGTTCGAAATGTCTAATGCTACATTGGGTCCGTGAGAAACCAAAAAAAAAAAATCAGCTTATTTTCAGTCGTTCATAGAAAAAAAATGGCTTTCGGCCTCTTGATGGATTTCCGGAATAACGAAAAAGAAGTAAAATAAACAAAAAAAGAATAAATGTTCAGCGCAACGCCCTGAACATCGTGTTAACGAACCTGGCCCTCGCAGACCTGCTCATTCTGCTTTTCTGTCTGCCGCCCACCGTCATCAATGACGTCACCAAGACTTTCTGGTTCTCGACGGTTTTCTGCAAGTCCGTCCTTTTCATACAGGTTGGAATTCAACGGTATTGCTCGGTTAGAACACTTTGCTAGTTTCTTTTCTTGCCCATAACATATACTTCAAAACTAAAAGTATCTCGTTTTTTACATGCTATTATTTTGTTTCTAAAGCCTCGCCGTGGAGGGAAGAAAAGACGCAGACAAGTCATACTTTTTAATGTTTTTTATTAGGCCAATAGACTTCCGAGAAAAAGAGGAAAAATAACCGCAGAGAGAGTCCGAAATCTCCCTATCGCCTGCGTCATTTAATAATGGTTTTTTCGATCCTCATTGGCGCAAAAGCTAGCAAAAAAAGTCTTGTTTCAAGATCGTGTCCACTTTTGTTCCTCAAAAACTTCTCAAAACATTTCTCCTTCAAAGAAAACCTTCAACTTCACAAAATAATTAGAGCATTGTGTGAAAAGGTTTTTTTAAGAACACATCGGTATACGTGAGCGTCCTGAGCCTGGTGTTCATCACCTGCGAAAGATGGAGAGCTATCACTTATCCTCTCAAACCACCGTTCTTCTCCACCAGCCACGTCATCCCAGGTTTCATTTTCAACCTAAAAATTACACAAGATAAGCCTAAAAAACCCTGGAAACTTGTGTTTCAGCGATTTGGCTTCTCGGGATGATGCTCTCCTCGCCGGAGCCGCTCACTTTGCAGCTGCAACCGGCTCAGTTCCTCAGGCCTAATTTTGCGACGACAGTCAGCTATTTTCTTGGGTGTTGTGATGATGGAACTGTTTCAGTGGGGCACTCAATGCAAAGAGACGTGGTCACAGTCCTTCCAGCGCAAGTACCAACTCGTCCAGGCTCTCTGCGCCTACCTCTGTCCTCTTTTCATCATTTCTTGTCTCTGTATCCACATGAGCCGCACTCTCAAGCTCTCCAGAGTCTCGTGAGTTTGATCTCATGTCTAAATAACAAATTAAATCAGCTAACTGGTAAATTTGAAAAAACTGAAACTCTCACCTCAAGTTCATGCCTGCTTCTAATACCGCATTCTTCCTGCTTTTTCAGGCGGACTTTTCAAAATTTCGAAATAGACTGAAAGAAAGAAACGCTGGTCCAGTAACTCATTGTTGTGAGATTAAAAAAGCTCAGGATGGGCCGACGTCACATCTCCTCGAGGAAAAAGGCTGTCCGGATGCTGTGCGCCGTCGTCTTTCTCTTCGCCCTTTCCAATCTTCCCGTTCACGTTTACAATATCGCGCTGTGAGTTGATTTTATTACACACGGGCATTAATAACGCAAAACGGACGTGCTCCGGACGTTTCTGGGCGATTCTAGGGATCACTTAAGAGTTCTGAGGCTACTAAAGTGGTAACTAGAAATGCCCCGACACGTGCGATTCGCGTCCCGTTTGCGTTACCAAGGTCTGAGTATTTGCTTAAGTGAGTTTTGATCTCGCTTTTGCAACTTAGCGAGTCTCGTTGAGAATAAGTTTCTTCAACTGGAGCTATTTTAGGTCATTCGACTTGCTTTCGAGCGGCGGAGATGAGCAAGAAATCGATGTGAACATGGTGGCCATTCGAAAACTTGCTCCACGGGTCTTCTCCTACTCTTCCTCCTGTCTCAACCCGATACTCTACAGCTTCATGAGCGGTTCTTTTTCTTTTATCTTTCCGGCTTATCCCTCTGACTTGTTACCTTCATTTCAATTCCAATCTTCAAAATGGTTTTTCTTGTTTAATTTGAAAGAAAATTATCTCCTCAATTTTGAATTCCTCGAGGAGATATGAGTAACTTATCCTTTATATTTTCCAAACAAACGGTTTCACAAAAACATTTATTTCAAGTAAATGAACGGAACTTCACCAGTGGCTTCAATATTTACACGTATATTCATGTGGAAGAAATGAGGAATGTAGTGTGAGACCACAAGGAATAATTAACTTACAGAAACAAAATCAGGGATACTCGAAAAAGAAAAATAACTAAAATGGAACGACTACAGTCTATTTGTGCACCTATGGCTTAATCTAAACTTTCTAGTGGATTATTTCGTCTAACCGGGAATAAAAAAAAGAGAAGCTCACAAGACTTGGAAACTGGGCGATCATTAAAGCTCATAAAAAAAACGGATGATATTAAATATTAACGATTTTATGTTGAGATTACGTTTTTCCATTATCAAGAGTTGTGGAGTCAATTAATAAATAATCGAAAAAAGCTCCAGAGGTAAAATAGAACAACAAAAAATCTATTGAATACATGAATTTTGACGGTTGTTCGAATTTCAGCGCATAATTTGCATTAAAAAATTCGTGCAACTGTTTAAAAGTCAAGTTTTCGGGTTTTGAACTCATTTACGAACTTTGAATTTTCTTACGGCCTCTAAAAGAAAAAAGGAAACAAATTGCAGGGAGGTTCCGGAAAGAGTTCCTGCGGGTGGTTTGTTGCATACGCAGCGGCAAGCCGGAGCTGGGACAGAAGCATGTCGCATCACTGACGCAACGCCGCAACCACAGGTCGTCGAAGGATTTGGCGCTGATTCCTCAGCGAAGTTAAGGACGCATCTCCCTCATGCACAAGTTCAACGGCTCCTGCGATTCGACCATGGGCGGAGTAGGCGGCAGCTTGGAACGCGTCGGCGAGAGGCTGTCGCATGAGCTTGCCGGATAACGTGGCGGCTTGCGGAGCAACGACGCCAGAGCCTGATGACGTTCCAAGAAGGAAGAACGCGTCGAGGACGTCGACATGGCGGGCGAGACGGCTGGAAGAGAGACGGCTGGAACGACCGGCATCAGAAGTGTCGATGGGATAGAGGTGGCTCGGAGCCTTTCGGTGTGCCATTGTCGCAGAGTTCGTACGTCGTTGAGCAGCGTCGGCGCTGCTGACAGCGTGATGGTGCCGCCGACACGAGCGAGCAGGAACCAGAGTCTCTCCGCCAGAAGCGTGCACAGCGGCGAGGAGTTGGCCCAATCCGACTGGCAGACGGCGATCGCCGCCAGAACCGGGAAGGCTCCAGAAGGCAGACAGCGCAGTCGTCTTGCCAGTTGAACCAACGAGTGAGCCAGGAGAGGAGCCGTCGCCAGTCCGGCACAGTGCACGTCTCCACGAGTGGCTGCCACGAACAGCATCACGTCAAACACCGAGCTCTACAAAAATTCCATTTACAATGTCGTGAGATTTTAGCAATTTTATTACTTTTGAGTTAGTTTAAAAAGTTTCAATGTATTCAAGGATAGGCGGTGATCAAAACTTTTGAAATTTTCAAGGATCACTTGACGAAATTATCGCAGAAAAAGGCAGGAATATGTTCCCAAAAACGGGTCTGTGAGCTTTAAATACGGTTCGGTATATCAGTTTTTATTGTTACTTGAATAAAATTTTTAGCCTTCTTAAGTAACAAAAAAAAAAATAATTCGAAAATGATTTTCTTACAATTCAGGAAGGTGACTCAAGAATTCAATGACCGGAAAAAGAAAAGCAAAGCAACTCCTTTTTTATAAGGATTATTTTCTTGGTTTTCAAGAACGGGTTATACAATATATATCTAAACCATCTTGACCTCTCTGAGACCCCCTTAACTTCAAAAAATGTTCGACGAGCATAATCATTTTGAAGAAGCTTCAAGCTTATAAAATCAAGAATAGACTACCTGAAGAAGTCGGACGCGGTCTGGCTGCGGAAGTACGAGAAAAGCAGGAATGGCGTTGGCGAAGTCGACGACGGCCTTCAAGGCGACGACGACGCTGGCGCCACTCAGTGGACACTTTCCGGGCTCGCCGAACCACGCCCCTTGCTCCAGCTGCAAAAAGAGTGTAAGAAGAGCTGTCATCGGAGACTGACCGTTTGCGAGAGATGCTGGAAAGCTGCCGTGATTCGGTTTGCAGCGTCGGCGACGTTCTCAAACTGGAAGGCGATGGCGTCGCGCTGCGACTGGGCGCACGTCTTCTGCATCTCCTCTACCATCTTTGCCTTTTCTCGCTTTGGCACTCGGCCGAATCGAACGGCTGCAACAAAAAACCTTTCAATATCGTTGTTTCTTTTGATGGCAAGACTGAGAAAAAGAAAAAAAAGACATCAGTTTCAGTTGAACCATGAAACGTTTATAAAGCTCTAAAGTTATGAAGACTAGTTTCTTTTTGAAATGTCACGCTAGAGTTAACTATGATACCGTGAAAGTTTTTTTAAAATGAACGTTCTTTTTTTTTTGTAAGCGTGGCATTTATTTCGGAAGTTTTGGCGCGCAAACGAAAGTTTTCAAATTTTTGGCGCCTCGCTGATTTCAAGGAAACGAGGCGCGTGTCACTCGAGTGGAAACATTAGAGTGTTTTGCGCGAGGACGGTCCGAAACGAAGGAAGACACAGATGCCGTTCACAAAGAAACGGATGGCAGAATTCGCGCGTTTTCCCATCGAAAGAAGGAAACAAAGAGGATTTTTTTTTTCACTTTTTATCTTCGTTTTTTCTTCTTCTGTAAAGTGATCTTGCCGGCCTTTGAGAAAGACTGCTCGAAAAAGGAAACTAACCGTCGCGGGACATGCCGACGGAAAGACATTTCTTGAGACGGCAATGCTGGCATCGGTTTCGGTTGTTGCGGACGATGAGACAGTCTTCGCTGCGGCTGCAGGCGCGGTACTGGATCTTCTGCTGTATGGACCGGCGAAAGAATCCCTGCAACGAAGCCGTTTGGTCTTCGATGTTCCGACTCCGAAAATTCTTTTTGGGAAAACAACTCCAAAGTGTATTTTTGTGTTAGTGATCAGCGCCGAACTCGCGACAGTCGACCGTCCATGACCCACATATACCGAAAAAAAGAAACGAAAACATCCAACGTCTTCTTCTACCGGCGAAGGGTATCGCTCAAAAACTGAGAGTATGTGGGCAACAAAGTGTGACTCAGAAGGTTTAGAGAGAATATCTCGGCAGTTTGGACCGACCTTGCAGCCTTCACAGGCGAAGACGCCATAGTGGAAGCCGCTGGCTCGGTCCGAGCACACTTGGCACATGAGAGACGACGTCGCGCACGACTCTTCCTTTCCTGCAAATAGTCCATTGCTCATTCCTTCTTTAAGAATTGAGCAACTTGATGTTTACAGTATATTTATGTGGTAATATGAAATTTTTGGTCAACTGTCAGAAAAGTACGGATCAAGAAGTCTTCTTTTAAAAGCTCTCAATGGTTGGCAAGAAGCGAAAAGAGAAAAAACTTCAGCGATCGAATTCATTTACGATTCCTAAATTCTAGCCTTTGAGCTTCCTGGAAAGCCTTCTCCTACGTTGCCCTATAAGCAATCCTGCTCTTTGCAAGTAATTCTTTTTTGAGAAAAATGGTATAATGACCAAGGAAGACTGTTCACAACAAAGAAAGAGGACGAACATTTTTGACAAACAAGCAAGATTCAGATGACGTCGGTTCAGTAAAACAGTGCGCCATGGCCTTTAAGTAGGTCAAGTTCAAAATAATTGCGACGCAACTCACGAAATAGCGCACAAAAACAGAGATGCAGATCTCGGGAACCGTTTTCCCTATTTCGAAGCGCCACACTGTTTATGCCCGTGAGTCGAAAACAAGAATCAGTAAAAAAAAATTGGACTAAAAATTAAAATATTTCGAAGTTTGGTGTAGATCCGAAGTCAATACATGCATACTTTGACTGAACTTTTTCAAAAAAAGAAGTCCTTGAAAGAAATAAAGCATAATCTTTTCATCTAATTAAAACAAACGGTAGGAAAAATAACAAAAGGGCTTTTAGTACATATATTGAAAAAGTCGTTATTGACTTGTTGAAAAAAATTTAGAATATTCTTCGATTTACTGAGAATAAAATTCCATTATTTGATCGAACCTGTGGTTTTGAAAATCAAAAGCAATGAAGAAAATATAAAACAGTCAAAAAGTGCTATGTGTTTTGAAAAACTTAATAGGAGGCTTGGAATAAGTATAAATAGTCTGACCAAAAAGTTTGCTCCGACTCTACAATCCTTTAAACACCAGAGCAAATGGAAAGAAGCTATAAAAGGATATTCTCGGAGATGTTTTGATTTTAATTTTGCAGAATCGCTTTTTTTTTTTTTGAAGATTCAATGAAGACAGAGTGAAGACATAGTCAGAAGGAACGAAGAGAAAACCAATAGAGAATAGAAAAGTTAAAAAAAAAATGATACCGATTGTGCGGTCGGAGATGGTGGAGTTGGACTCGGACGCGGAGTCGTCAGTGGGAGTGGAAGCGGTGAGGACCAGCGAGTGGATGGCGGTCATGTAGAAGGCGTCGGACACGACGGAGCTCGGCACGATCGGCCGGAACGCCGACGGCGCCGAAGGAATAGGCGAGACCTGTGGCGGCGACGGAGCCACTCCGAACGGCAGAACGGACGGAGGCAACGGTGCTGCCACGTCGGCCGGATTGCAGGCGAACGCGAGCATCAGTGGGTCGGTGGCACAGTGCTTAGCGGTAGTGAAATGACGGCGGTCGGAGGGATCGGGGGAGGAGCCTCTCTCTCTAAAAAAACGCGCGCTGCCAAGAGAGACTGTCGAGCGAAACGACCAAAACGACGCGATCCTGCCAAGGTCGCCACGTCTCCTTCAGCGTTTCCCTTCTGAACACCGTTTCCTTGCCGAGGTTAAATTTCAATGGCCTACTTTTATTTTTGCTTTACGGCTGAGATTGGGTTCCACCGGAAAGAGTAGCCGCGCAGGGATGGACTTGGTCAGCCTTGGAAGAGGAGCAGGATGAACAAACACTTCAAAAATATTTTGTACTGATGACTTGCAAAATAATATACATCGAAACTAACATTTTTACTGTGACAAGATTCCTTTTCCACAAAATCCCCTGAGATTTCTTATAAGAGTGGCTTTCAAAAGGTCTTTGCGAATTTTTAAAAAGGCTCTTAGGTTTTCGAAATTAGGACGTAGAATTTGATAACTATCAGATCCTTGAGTGAAGAAGAATCATCAAAAGGATAAGCCATAAGGATTGAAACACAGCTGTCGGTGCATTAATCAGAAGTTGCTTGATAACTTCCTTATTGGAGATCTGCCTCACGAGATCCAGTGTTGAGAAACACTCATTTCCAAAAAAAGGAGATCATTGAGCTGTAATGAAAGTTCCTTCGAAACGCGCATATCAAAAAGAAAGACGTCATTTATGGGTCACTATTTCGATGCGATCTCCCACGTGGTTTGAAAACAACTCTCGAGTAATTCTCGCAGTTTCAACTCGAATTTTACTCTTATTCATTCCTTTCTTTGAGAAGTAATATTTGAACCGTCCAATTAGTTTACTTTCATGAATAAAAACTTCAAGATAACTTGCCATTGCTCACAAAACTTCTTGGATTAGAAATCCAGGACGGATTTCACTTTTTCTATCAGAAATGAAACTTAACCTGATATGTTTTGAAAAAACACTAACTAATCGGGAAGAAAAAGAAGTATTTCAAAAAAAATAAAAGTTTTTTTAAAAAATAGTGATCGATAATAACTTGACTTTTTTACTTTCAATTTCCGTGTATAGTCTGTGTTCCACGACTTGAAATTTCACGGAACGACATTCCGCTGTTCCGCTGCGTGCGTTTGCGAAGCGTCTTCCGCATCTAGGTCACGCTTTCAATTGATTGTTATTGCTGTGGGAGCACAAGAAAGTAGAGTACCTTGATAAAAGAAAAAAAAAATTAAAAGCGCGATCAAGGCTCGCAAAGGCGCGCAGCGGCACAGCGGAATGTCGTTCCGTGAATTTCAAGTCGTGGAACAGAGACTATATCTATATTTCTTTCAACACTTCGGCGAGAAAATCAAAGAGTATGGAATAGTATGACGGAGGACTATTATCAATATACTACTCGAGATGTTGAGCTTGGGCACGACCTTATTTGAAGACGGACCTTTTACGATTCGAAAGTCAACTGCTCTACTCTGTAACATTTTGACATGGTCTCGTCGCTACATTAGTTCATTTGAAAGTCGTATTTTGTCTTACTTTTCCGCCTCTGAGCTAGCTTTCTACGTTTCTTTCCGCGAAAAATCTCTTTGGAGCCAGAAAAGAAGGAAGATGAGGCAGATGCCAACGACCTTGCGTCTTTTGTCCGTCGGCACTCGTACCCTCGATTTTCGTTTTATTTTTTTTCCTTCTCAACTACCCAATGACCCCCAAACCGCGTGATCGACGGTCCGGCGACGCATTCCCTCACAATTTTCTTCAAGACCGTTGGAAAAACGCCCAACGCAAGCGAAAAGACCTTCTTTTTTGAACAAACTTCCTTTCAGTCCACTTCTTCTAGATATGGAAAAAAAACGCTGCAAAACTGAGTATTCTGCCCATATTCTCTTCTCTTAGGCAGAAAAATCCCCCATAACCAGAAATCAAAAATTTACATGATTATTTCCGGTAGAAACTGTCCCTTACTAGATATTGTAAGTTTTATTACGACTTTTATGTCCTTGAATTCAGTTCGTGAATTATTTCTCGTGTTTCGACTAGTAAAACTTTAGCAATATTCCGAGCAATCGCAATAAATTCGTCGAATTCTCATGATGGAGAAATCCATCAATCGGCTCAATGTCATCGGAACAATTATCGAAGGCAGGAGTCAGCTTCAAAAAAAAAAAGCGAAGCCAGCTGGCCCCAACGGACGAAACCAAAAGTGGCTTGGAGGCCGCGGCCCGTTGCCGTGGCACGCTGCCTTAGGAGATACAGTTCTGTCCTTCCTACAACTCCATGTGGGCGAAACGTCCGTCGAACTGCGTCAGATTGAAAAAGTGAAGGTCGAATAGGAAGGTCAGCGGGACAACTCCCAATGATTGTGAGAGTCCCAAAAAAGAAAAATCAAGCTAGCCTCGTTTCGCTCCCTTGCTCGGCAGTATGTACCGCATGCAGGAATTATGTTTTCTCGGAGGTTTTTTGACAGTTTGGTCCAAAACGAAAGAAGTTAGCACAAAGAGTCCTTCTAGTCGACATCGCTAGTCCTGAAACCGTTAGAGTAGGGACAGTAAAAAAACGGGGTTTCAGGTGAAAGCAGAACCTTGTAGAGCTTTTCATTGCGAATCGAACGTTTTACTCAAAAAACCACAGATATGAGTGCTTTTGAAGAAAATCGCGATTTTATTTTCTCGCCTTTAATTTTGAAATTCGGTTTGGATCGATGTTTACTGTCTTCAAATGAGATGAATTCAAATAAAATAAAACGCAGTAACTTCAGCTGGATTACGTCAATCGAAAAAGTCATGATTTTCGGAAACTTAGTGCCCTGAATTTGGACTTACTGTGTGGGGAAATTGTGAACCTGAAAAATTGAGGCACATGAAGAAAAAATGCAATGTGACGAGGTACATAATTATACACATATTTATTATTCTGCATTCAAAAACGTGATTAGTTCTACAGCAGCTCTACTCAATTTGTTGATTAAGAATCTCCTGTTATTTGCGAAAAAGATTACCGAATGGGAAAAGAGTACCTGCACCGTGGTCAAGGGAAATAATAGGCCGTCAACAGCTGAATTCCCAAAAGGAGGATATGAAATGAAATAATTAAAGGGTCACAACCGCCATTGGACTAGAGGGTTTACCTGTACAAGTTTCATAACTGGAAATAAATATTTTCGGGTTTAAAGTGGTATGAAGTTCCAATACATACAGAAACAATCTTGAAAAAAGGATTTCAAAAGGCGATATTGTGCTTTAAAGGACCATGTAACATTTGAAGCTAATTGAGACTGACACCGAGAAACTTTTCAAATGAAAGTTCAGAAGTAGGTGAGATTTCTTGCAAGGATGTGACACAAAAGAACTCGGTATAGCTTGAGAGGAATTCCCATGAAAAAAATGAAGAACACATTTAAAAAATCGTCTTACGTGCACACTTCTTAACAATATTATCTTTTTCAACTAATGAATATTTAAAATCCATCACTATTTAGTTTATTTCGGCAATTTCAAAAAGGCAACCAAAGAGCGGTTCTGTACATTGGAGGAAAAAAAATGCCCAGTTCAGAATGAAGCTTTGAATTTCCTATATCTACTCTGTAGAGATCTAGAAGAAACACTGCCATATTACCTTTTGCTTTCAATTTTCAAAACTTTTTTTTTCTTCGGAGGCTCGAATTAAGCACAGAATTGAAGTTAGCAATCAGTACAATCAGTACGACGAAATTTTAAATCATCAAAAATCTTGAAAATTATATCTTCAAAACTAGGATTTGTAGCGAAAACATGGATCCTACATCTCTACAGTCTCAAAGTTTTGGGCATACTTATGAAAAAACCTACACTGGAATAACCTTTTTTATCGAAGAAATTATGCTTGGGGATTCGCAAAATATGGACGTCCTTCTTCTATGGCTTTTTAATGATTAAGCTTTTTTGTAACTTTTCATAGAAAAAGTGTGAAAGATTATGAAAAAAGTAAGTGAAAATTTGGCATTGAAAAAAAAAGTCGGTCTTTTTTTCTGTAAAACATAAGAAAAAACTGAGCTTTTGGTCGCTAGACAATATTAAAAAACCTTCTTGAAAAAATTCTGAGCGATAAAGTGAAATTTTACATACTAATCCTGCTCATCTTCTATCAATTTAGCATTGTCCTCCTTGCGGTCGCCGGAACCAGCCGGCGAACGGAAAGGTTTTTGGTTTTTCGACGCAGACTTTTGCGAAAAAGCGGCTCCGACGAAGGAAAGCGTAATGGGAACGGCTGCGAGGAGCTGGGCGAAAGTCGGCGGCCGCGACCGGAGCAGCGAGTCCGCGAGGAACGACATCGGAATCGCCATGGTCAGCGACAGCGACGCCGTCAGCGAGTCTGACATTCCCGCCGCTAGCAGCCACAAATAGTCGGCCACCAGTGTTCCTGAAACTACTCTTTCCGAACCAAATATTATGTTACAAAGGAAAAACAGCACCCGACTGAAAAAACGAACCGAACAGAGCGGAAAGTAGGATGGAGGCGAGCTGCATCGAGTTTGGCATCGGGTACAAGGACTCCACTCCGACTTTGTCCAGAAAAGTCAGCATTGGGGTGCCGATGACTAGAGCCATCAGTCCGATAGAACCTTAAATATTATCCAAGATTAAAAGAGCCGATGCGCTCCAAACTAAACAGAATTTGGACTGTTAACTCTGTATTATACTAAGCTCCAGGAGTATCTGACTGACTAGCTCGAAAAAAATAATCTCTGTGGTATAAAAACCGATAAAAAACGGCTTGAACAGGAACAGCCGCAGCAGACTACCACATTCCATTTCATCCTTTATATGGTAGGTATTTTTTCTTTGCGGTTGGGAATTCCTTGAAAATTGGCCAGAACACTTTTTGATGTACCAGAAGAAGAATCGGAAAGTCTTAACCTGCACAAATCTCTAGTTATCGAGAAATAAGCGCTCAATGCCCCAAAACGGTCTTTTAGTTGAAAAAACTTCATTTTAAGTCGATAAAAAATCTGAAACATACCAAACATTAAATTGATACTCATTCTTCCGAGTCGCTCCTCGAAGTGTGACAGAGCCGTCAGGTATATGGCGTAGGATAAAGCAGAAATCTTCAAATTTAATGTATAAAGAGAGGGATTGGAAAGAACCTGCGCGAAAAAGGCGCCCATCAAAGACGGAGAGTAGTGAGAAACGATCATGACGCCGGCGATGTTCATTGCAACAAGGATCGCCTGTAACAATGCTCTTACAAGAAAAATCTCTTTCAAGCTATATAATTTATATATTCTTCCAATGAACCATAAATTTTTGATTCGAAGCAAAAAAATTTTAACAGCTCCAGCTTAATTTTTTTGAACCTTATAACATTCGCAAAAAGAAAGTATAAGATCGAACTAGCGTTTTTTATGTGAGTTTCTTACAGGAATAGAAAAAAAGTATTTCAATCCTGTTCTTCAACTTTTTTTTTGTGAAAATTTGCTTTCGAATTTTTTTTTTTATCATATGTTACTTGGTGAAGATCATCAAGACACTTTTCTGAAGAACGCGCGAAAAAAAACCGAAAAGTCAACCTACATTTTGAAACTGGAGATTCTTGAATCTCGTGAAAAAACTATCAGCCCTTATCAAAAGAAAACCGCCTGTGAACAAACCTTGTACAGAGTGAAGCGATTCGAGCCGACCGGAAAGCATATGGAAAAGGCGAGAACGAAAACGGAGGAAGAGCTGGAGATTAGATTCAAGTTGGAAACGGAAGTGGAGACGAGGGCCGCCTGGTAGGTGAACGAGCACAGAAGCCACTGTAAAAGGAATCCTCGAAGGGCGAGAAAAAGAACGGACCAAAGGAGCGAAGAAGAGGATCGTGTACTTGAAGTGTGGGGACATTTGCAGGTGGCACTCGACGCTCGGGGATCTGTAGGGCAGTCGCGCTCGTCTTTGGTCTTCTGCCGTTGACGACGGCATCCGTCTCACCTGCGTCGCATTCATTAAAACGACGAAGTAGGAAGGAAATAGAAAATCTTGATTTTTCTGGCAGTAGGACCATCGATATGCAGTATAATCGACGATAATGCAGAAACAGTCGGTTTTTGGAAAACTAACATATTGTTACATGAAAATTTTGAGAAGCTCTAGAGCCAAAAGGAACTTAAAGTAATACTGTATTTGAAAACGCTCGCCTCTCGACGAAAATAGTTATATTTGTTTGAAAACAAACACACCTCCCGTTGTTGTGAAAACCTGACGGTTCTATTGACAGAATCATCGACAGATGATTCAACTTCAGAGTCTTCCGTCACACTTTCGAAGCCTTCCACGGACTGAAAAATGAAATCTCTTAGAACTCGTCTTTCAACTTGGAAAAAATTAAATTTGGTTCAAATTTATTTTAAATTTGAAAATTAAACTTCTAAAAAAAGAAGCTCGAATTAAAAATTATATATCTCAATGTAAAAAAAGGAAACTTCAACTCACCAGCGAATCGCAACTCATTTCGAAACTTTCGCTGTCTGAATCATTCACTAAAGTTTTGTAAGAGCTCTGGAAAAGAAAAATTAAATTCATCAAAAAAAAAAGTTTCACCTCTTCGCCTTCCCGAGTTAAGTAGCGCAGCATGTACAAAATTAGAGTACACGATTTTAAATAAACTGTGAAGAAAGGTCTATTGAATTCTTCGTCCACAAAAATAAACTGTAAAGAGATAAACATTTACTGATTGGCACAAGACAATGGCACTCACTCTTGTTAATTCTGATGATAAAACCCACAAGATGTTAACAATCACGAGTAGAATCATGCCGACACATTTTTTGTCAAAAAACGCGGTAGCAGAGCCGTCAGCATTTAATGGCATCCGACGGCTTCAAACTTTTTTTTTCGCAATGAAAGAACATATAAAAATTAAATAATATTTTCTTCAAGCTCTAGTTTCCGGTAAAATTTCCGAGATATCTAAAAAAAAATGTATCTGATAAAGAACAATAAAATCGCAGGTAAATCTTAAAAGTTAACGGAATTACTATTATTTTTAAAAATTTTTTTGAAAAAAACAAAGTAAAACATGCCACGCGAAAATGCGGACCTGCGTAAATCGACAACGCGTGTACGCACTTTTTTGAAAGATAGTAGGTTAAAAATAGTCTGAATCTCATCAAGCTTGCATGTACAATATTTATATTGAAAATGTTCAATTGGTGAGGATTTCAGTGAACTTCGGCAAAAATAAAAAATTATTTTTTGACCTGCTCTCTTCAGATGGACAAAAATAGAATGTGAAGAAGTTGAAAATTTTTATTTTCTGCCTTAAAAAAAGGTTTGCTGTTTTTCAGGCGTATTGGCCGCTGTAGCTGAAGATGTTTTTCGGTGTTTCTTCAAGTGTGACTCTGTGAAGAGCCTCGGGAACGGCCATGACTGCTCTCAATGAATCCCACAGATAGATTGCCACATTTTCAGATGTGCTCGGCCTTTTCTGAAAAAAATGGCTCTTCAATTTGAATAAAGAACTTTTTTTTCAAAGGTTCAGAGGTACGAAAATAACCGTGATCATATAAGAGAGAAATGATATTTTAGTGAAAAAAGTTTTTATTCATGAAAATTTAACTTCTCTGAAGAAAAGAACACGGATCCCTACTTGAAACCAGTCGACGTCGGCGTCGAGATTTCTGTGGTCAACGTTTTCCAAAACTGAAGCCATCTCCTTCTTGAGCGCTGCCAAATCGTAAACCATTCCCGTGATGGAATCCGTCGGTCCGCGTAAAGTCACCTATTTTTTCTTCATTTTTTGTTTTCCCACCTTTTTTCTCGCTAAGACTGAGCTAGATTCACTTCAGACCTACCCTCCATACGTAGTTGTGTCCATGGCCGTTGATGTGGTTGCACTTTCCGTAGATCTCTCGATTTTCTGCGTCGCTCAGTTCCTTTGAATGAAGTCTGTGGCACGCGGAGAACATCTCCACTCGAGTCATCTCCACCACTGGCTGGGACATCGTCCAATGTTCTAGAATACGCTTTTTGCCGTGAAAACCCACATTTTAATTCAATAACGGTGTAATTTTATAAAGGAGTTTTTTGTTCAGATGCTCGAGAACATTCAGAAAAACAACAACCTAAAAGAACGTTGAATATTAGCTCGAAAACGTAGGAGAGAAAGAACAGGAAGAGGAGACGCGGGAGAGCCGTCGAGAATCAATAGAAATTCACCAGGACACTGGTTTTGGAGGGTTGTCATTAACATATGCGCATAAATATGAGAGGTACATGGTAGGAGACCAAATGCACCTTTCGATGGACCAGCGCCAAATTCAACAGAATTTTCTGCTAATGGGTTACATCTACTTTGAAAGGACCTTCAGCCGACCGAGAAGCGTTGAAAAGTGAGCATCCGTTTCTCATAAATTATCGGCGAGCAATTATCATCATAATTTCTTTTGAATGATGACGGCTCCAAAACGAACTTGGTGATAAAAAAAAAGAAATAGATAAGGGTTTTTGGCGAAACAAAGCTTTTGAGCTGACAGAAGCAAGAAAAATATGGCCAATTATTAAATATATGTATGGGAATTTCTGATAGAACTGGCTCATAGATGTATGAGAAAATCTATTTTTTTCCTTTTTGCAATTTGAACTTGCTTCTGCAGTCGTCATAGATCCTGGAAACTGCCAAAGCCCATAGAAATCCCCGAAAAATTGAATATTTGGAAGTTGAAATTGTTTCTGGTTAGGCAACGTTATTTCATCGTTAATACAACGTAATATAATATGTTTATTAATTTCTGCGAGAAAGGTTTATGTAGAAAAGAAGTTGTTGGAAAGATCTCTTGAAATTTTTTTTTTTGAGTCTGAATTCGATAATTTCAAACTCTGAGAAAAGCTCGCATTTTTCTCACCAGCCACAAAACCCAAATAGCAGTCGTTTCTCGCATCCAGAAAAAGTATGAAAAAAAAACTACTTTTTAGCGCAGAAGTTAGGAACGTTAGAACAATCCCTATAGGGGTTTGGAAGAAAAAAACTACCCTTCCTAACTAACAAGGACAAAAATGACCCCACCGAAGTGAAATTTAGGTGGTCCCATAGGAATTTAGGGCTTTTTAATTTAATTGTTCAAAATAAAAAAGACAAACTTTATAAATAAATCCTCTGTTGATATTTTTTATTCAAATAACGCTAGTTTATTGTTTCTTTTTTCGCATAAAATTGATTCTTCTCATGGAGTTCTAATCCATGGGTAGGAATGTCCCTAGAGGAGGAACTTCAATGACCCCTGAGGTTGCTCCTATAGGGACCACTCTGGGGTTCCGAGAAACGGCGAAATTCAAAAAAAATTTTGGGGTAACTCGGGCCTAAAAACTAGAAAGTAATCCCTTTAGCGGCGTAGGAACTCTTAAGTGTTCACTACATACGCTCAGAAACGTCGCGGGTTTGTCCGGTTTACGTCACCGAGGTTCAGGTTTGTACTTCAGGCCGAACTTTAACTTATTCTTTGCGAAGAAGCCCGATCGGGCTTGGTCGAATAAATTTTTTGAATTCCATTGAAATGTTTTCCACCCTAATTCAAAATTTTCATCGAAAAATTGTTTTCTTTTTGTTGAATCATAGTTTCCGTTGATTTGCCAGTGAAAAAAAAAAAAAACGTGATTCTTGTCGTAAGAATGTATGATATTAGACTTGGGAAAAATTGCGTTTTTTGGGCCGAGCTTTTTTGCTTGAATACCGCTAAAACCGGGTCGGGTCAGGCTTTAAAAATGGCTCGGGGTCGATAGGTTAACGGGCCGGCCCTCGCTCAAGCCTGCCGTGGCCCGAGAGAACACGAAGTCTCCGAAAGCCTGTCTGTGGAGCGCATTTGATCTGTGTCGCGAGTTTTGCTGCTTTTGTAAAATATTCATTATTCTTCTTTCTTTTTTTCTATAGAATTCTAATTTTAATCGTCCCATGTAGTCTTTTTAACAAGGAAAATAATGATAGTTGGAGTTTTCTCTGAGATAAAATTTAACATCTATGATAATGATTAAAATAGTTTGGACTAACTGAATTTTTTTCTCATTCGTTGAGCTTTTTTTTATTTTCTATAACTTTTTTTGCTTCAAGGCTTCTTGCTGTTTTAACAACAAAACTTGAAAAAAGGGCAAAAATTATTTCTTTGAATTTTTCACGAAAACGTTTTATGAGATCGTCCGAGCACCACATTTTTTTTTTGTCTTATATTGGTTATGACGCTTCGAAGACGCCGGTAACTCTTTTTTATTTCTATTGATAACGCCCGAACTGCAATACTACATAAATCGACTGAAAAGCAAGCGTGAGAGTTTTTTTTTTGCAATCTCGAACCGCAAAACTACAAAACACACTTGAGATGTTTCATCGAACTTTCGATTTCCCATCAAAACCATTTTCCCTTGGAGCATTTATCGATTTGTGCAACCTCGTATGACGTGAATATTTTTTACAGATAGCATAGTAAATAATAGATGGGCTTGAACTCACCGAATCACGGCGTTATGCCGACACAAGATATCTGGAATGCACCCAACGGAGATCCGCTCGAGAGCCAGCGCATCTGGGGCGACACTAGCTTTCCTCCGCCACCTATTAATAACGGTTAAAACTTTTTCGTACTTTTTGAATTTTTCTTTTGAGAAAAAGTAAAATGTTTACCTTCCAGAGAAATTATTTCAGTCATACTATTAAAAACAAAACAATCAGGTCTTCTCTAGTTGTTACTTCCTATTGACGAAGTTTTCGCTTGAAAAAATTTAAGTTATCCTTTTTCTTCACTTTTAGATTATTGAATTGTTGACTTTCCACTTCACTTTTTTCACTTTTTGATAAAGTTGGGTATTTTAATTTAATTCAGTTTAAAAACGTGCAGCTATCGGTTAGATCTAAAACTTTCTTCTCAGAAACATCCGGAAATTCTTGGCGCAAAATTCGTTTTTTTTTTTTCAGGAAATTTTATGCTTAGCACACGTAAAGACGTCGATGTTGGAGACGCAGATTGGCGCGTTGCGAGTGCGGCTGGCCATAATTTGCGCCAGGTTTGGAACGACACCCCGGTCTTCGAAATGTCCTGGAAACCGCCTCAGGTAATTTCTCTTTCAAATGATTTTTCCTTCGAAGAAACCTTCTCATCACTTGTTATCTGATTAGTTTTTTTGCGAAGAAAAAGACATCTTTTTTTCTCACTTTTTTTCAAAGTTTTTCACGAAATTCATGACCAATAGTTATTCATTTTTTTATTGATTGTTCCTTGAAACTTCATTGATAAGTTTCATACCCCGTTTCGGTCTTTCATTTTTCGACAAATGCAGTTTCAGCTTTTTCCAAAAAAACTTCAACAAAGCCTGTAGATTTTTCATTAATTATCTGAATTTCTGTGCAAACGCAATTTTTTCTTATTTTTTTCTTCCGGTTAAAAAATGAAACTGGTTTCTTTTTTTGTTTCTGCCCTCACATTCAATTTTCTAAAAGTACTTTCGCAAAGAAATAAATTATATAGTTTTTGCATTGGTTTCTTGAACCAAATAAAGTTTCTAAAAAAAATCAAGGTCATGTTCAACTCATAAACATTCAAATTTTGTATTTTTTTTATTGAAAAAAGTTTTGTAGACTGTAAAGAAAATTGATTTATTAAAACAAAAGAACACGTAAGTAAGTAAAAAAAAAATTTCCAGAGAAAAGATTCAGTGAGCTCTACCTGAGAACATTCTTGAAATAGAGAGAAAAAAAAATAAAGAACCAGACTTTTTGAGGGCGTCTACGAAGATGGAGCAGTGATGAACGGAGAAGGTCACGGATGGCCGCCTTCGAATCCCCGCGGACTCCCGCCGCAGTCCATCCCCAGACACCGCGGCCGCGGTTCCATGCCTCCAGGTTAAATTCCTTCGTTTTCTCTTTTTTTTTTCAGAAATATTTTTCTCCTTTCGGATTTCGCAATAAATCGTCATAGTTCATTCGAATGAATAGTCTCCGGAAAATACTAAGAGAATTGTGTGATAAAAAGTTTATAGTCTATTCAAAATAGATGTCTTTGGTACTTTCCCAACTATGGTCAGATAATTGTGAAAGAATCGACTTCTCATGCGCATGTCCTTCAATTTTAAACACCTCTTAAAGCTTTTTTTTTCAGGGGAACATAGTTGGTTTTCTTTTTTTCTTTTTTCTAGGAGCCCTATATTTGTGTTTTTTGCGCGATTTCTATAAAAATAAAAGTGAATAATATTTTTTTTACCGACCACAACTAGCGACGTTCCATTGATGCTGGCTAGAACTATGTTTTTTTTTTAAAGGACCAATGGGTGGTCGGACGGCTCCTCCGAACTTCCGACAGCAGTTCGGACAGTCGCCCGGGCCTCTCGTCGCCGGTCCTTATTTCGCGACGCCTCCTCCCGACGTCCTGATGGACATGAACACGGCCATGATGTCTGATATGTCTCTTGTATGTTTTTCTTTTTATAAATCATAATTTTAAAAATGGTCTAAATCTAATTGAATTTCACGGTCGCTACGGAATCAAAAAGGTTTTGAATGTAAAAAAAAAATTGAGGTACTTAGAAAACACGACTTTTCCTACTTTCAATGCACATAGATGAGATACAGCCAGACATTTACTGAGTTTCCTTTTTCGATTAAAATTTCCAGAACTTGGCCTTTAAAACAAGGAAAATTGCTTTGAAACAGGGAAAGTTTCTCTAATGTAGCCACACGCTCGATAAAAAAGAGAAAAGGGGGAAAAGAAGAATTTTAAAAAATTTTAAAACGACATCGAAATTGTTGTTTTAAGTCATAAAACACGAAACTTTGAGTTTAATTTGTGTTGTGTGCTTTCAAAGACAATTGGCTGTTTGCTTCACTTTCACATCGAGAAAATCAGACTTAAATATATTTTTAAAATGTACTTTTGTGGGTGGAAAATGATTTTGAATCAATTTTTGAATATTATTGGCAACGTTTGCGAAATATGCATCTTTCGTTCAGAAATTTCCACAAGAAGTACTTGTTTTTGTTTGACGGCAGAGAAATCCATCGTTTCAGTTCCTTCAATCGGTATGATATTTAGGGAGGACCTCCACCAATGATCCCGATGCCCCAAAGGTCTTATGTGAACAACGGCGTGATCAAAGACTTCAACTCGCCCTGGCCGCCCCCGCAGCCTCAGTTCCCGCAGGAGGAATTTTTCGACCCTAATGTGACCCCTTACGGAGCTCCGATGAATGGCATGCCCCAAGGCGTAGGTTTTTATAGTTCTGTAGAAAATAGATTGCCTTTTGAACTTTCGGCTAGCAAGATTTTGTTCTAAAAATGTTTTATTTATAACTTTCCTGATTCTCTTCTTCCACGCCATGAAACTCTCACAACAGTGAACCTTTCATTTCATTTTATCAGTAGGGATTGTTCCTTTTTTGTAAATTTACTGAACCATTTGAAGTTTTGGCTCAAAAGAATCTAATCCAATTATGACCACCAAAAAACACGCACAACCTTTTTGCAATCCAATGTGGACTGGCTCTAGTGACACATCCGTCCTTGTGTGTGACGGCTGTAGAATCGGAAGTTGTGGTTTCCCACTACCAACATTTCTTAAATCCCTTGGTTATGTCGAGAATGAGGTCGAACTTGTGACCCTGTGGACCGTAGAGTGGCACATAACCTATTGCGCTACGGCACGCCACCTTTTTGCAATCCAATAATCTTGGTCGAAACTTTAATTCGGCTTTTCAGCGCGGAAGACCGCCGTTTGGACGACAACCCAACTCCGCGAACAACAGACCGCAACAGTTCTTCAGACCGCAGCATAATCCTCCGCAGCAGCAGCAAGTGTTCTCTCAAGGGATGATGGCTCAGCCCCAGCAACCTTTCTACAATCATCCGCAGACGATACACCAGCAGCACGTCCAGCCGTTCCGACAACCATACGCACCTGTTCAAGGTCTGCCCCTCAGAAAATAATATTTGTTGAAAGAAAAAGTTGCAGGAAACGCGATGGATGATTATGCCATGTGGACGGATGAACATGACGAGGAGGCCAAGAAGAAGAAACAGTTGAAGGACAAGGGTTTGCTCGGTTGGGGCGACGCCGAGGCCGTCAGTCAGTATAATTTCTTTTTTCTTATTCTTTTTTTTTCGCGCGGACAGGACCAACTAATCAAGAAGTCTTTGCCGACTTTTCCGTTTCAACTTTCTTGATTTTTACCTTTATGCTCAGTACTATCGAGTTACAGTTCATAGAAACCGTGTTAGAGAAAAGATCTTCTCTTTCAAAAAGTTGACGTCATCAATTTTCCCACGTTTTTTTGGGGCCATGGTATTATAGGAAAGTCAGAAAATAACAATTAAAAACCCTCTAAAAAAGATCGAGAAAATTTTGTGACTTAAAGTGACTTCAAATTCAGCGATTTTTAGTATTGTTATGACCGGAAAACTGGATAAAACTCATCTGACGCGACTATTTACAGGGTGACAAATAAATATTGAAACGCGTTTGAAACGTTATAACTTTCTCAAAAATCAACCAAACACCACCAAACTTGGAACAAATTTTATTCATACAATATAGAAACAAAATTCAAGAATAGTTTTCAAAACGTCCTCCTTTAGCTTTGATAACGGCCTTCAGTCTCTTTGGATACGCATCGATCACGGCACGAAGGTAGTCGTCGTCGATTTCGTCCCATTTCTTGATGAGCGCGGTCTTCAGAGCTTTGATACTTGGGTAGTTCTTAGAAGAGACCTTCTCGGTCAGATATATCCACACGGCATAGTCCATCGGGTTGAGGTCGGGCGAGGAAGCAGGCCAATCAGCAGCCGAGATGAACTCGGAAAATTGGCGCGATACCACTCTAGAGTCCCTTTGGCACGATGAGCGGGGGCGCCGTCTTGCTGGAAGGTCCATGGTCTGTTTCCGTAGTGAGAATTGGCTCAGGGCAACACCCTCAACTTTAAAATCTATTCCCTGTAGTATACTTGGTTCACTTTGACTTCAGGATCCACAAAAATCAGCGGAGTTTTGTCGTCAGCGGTAATTCCGGAAAAAACCATCACGGAAGCCGGATGCGAAGTTTTATTCAGAATTTTTTCTTTTTCACAGGCACTCTGATAGTCAGTAACGATGATCCGATGATTTTGGCCGTTCTTGTTCGCCTCCACAGTGAAGATTTTCTCGTCGGTAAATAGCGTCGTCAGATGCGAGCCATCTTTCGTGCCAGCGAGCAGCTTTCGAGCCTTTTTCATCCGGAATGTCTTGTTTTTTTTGACTGAGGAAGGCTCCTTTCTGCATACGGTAGGGAATCATCTTCAGCTTGTCCTTGACAATAGTTCTCATCGATCCTTGACTCATTTCGTATTCTTTTGACATGTTTCTCATGCTTCTTCCGGAGTGCGTCTGATTTTCTCTCGAACGGCTTTGACTGCTTTTGGAGTCGTGACGGTGACTGGACGTCCCCTTCTTTGCATGTCATCTGAAGTACCGAGACGCCGATAGCGTTGTGCAGATCGAAAAACGAGAACACGAGACACTTTCAGCTTTTTACCGATCTCTGAATTCGTCATTCCGTTTTTGACACAATCAATGATTGCGGTACGGTACGGAGATGGGGCCACCATTAACTGAAAACTGAAAAGTATGAGCTGTAACTTCAAACACATGATAAGTGAGCATGAATGAACGAAATAAACAAAAAAATTCGAAGGCCAGTCCTTCGTGCAAAAAGCAGCGATCAAACAAAAAACGGTTTCAATATTTATTTGTCACCCTGTAATGTGTTCCCGGAGCTATTACACTTCGTGAAGAAAAAATTAGTTCGATTGCAAAAGACCTAAAAAAGTTCTTTTCCAAATTAATTTTCGGAGTTTTTTACTTTCTTAGTAGCCCATCTCTCAGTTTTTTTGAACAACATTTCACTTAAATTTTTTTTTGAAAATTCACTGATCTTAATAAACCAGAAAGTTTGAACGAAGGGCAAACGTGCGTGATCACATAAATACAATAGAAAAAGGAAAACTTTTCGTAAGACCGATTTGATGATTTCGTGGTTTTTTCGATCTTGATCTAAGCATTCCGATAAAGGAAGCTTGTTTACAGACTCTCAGCCTATAAAGAACTGGCTGGTGGATGAAGGCGAGGAGGAGGATCTCGAAACGGCTTTGCAGCGCTGTCCGACCTTCCAGAAGCTCCGCAGACGTCCACAGGTTTTTCAGCGTTTCAATTATTATCAAATCGTAAACTTTATCTGTGTAGTATACAGCCGACTCATGACTAGCCTGAGACATCGAAAAAATGGTACTGACATGATAAAAAAAGAGATATTGTTTGATTAGTAGAGAGTGCAGACAGGCTATAACTTTGGTTACAAGACATTTATACTTTCGGAGGCTTCTGATCACTGATTAAAATGTCGGGTTCTCTCTTTGCAAAACCTGCTGTATGGAGTTTTTTGATTAACTCTTTTGTTAGTCGGTTTTTTTTTTGCTTTTTTCTTCTTTTTCCGTGATTTTTCGTTCATTTTGAGTTGATAGGTGTGTAACAAGGCTTTTTCTGGAATATTTTTACAAAGAAAAATACCCATAATTTTAGAAAAATTTTCAATTCAATCGAGTTAACGATTTGTTCAAACTGTAGGATGTCGGCAGTCAAGAAGAAGAAGCGGAAACGAACGCGAATTCGTCGAAAAACTGGTTGACAATGCAGTCGAAGAAAAGCATCGTTCCTTGTGGTTGGGGAGATCTTCCTCCTGAGTATGCCGAGAAGCTCGGTAAGATTCTGAAACAACAGCTCTTAGGGATAAGCTGCGAAGGTTTCCTGGTTGATTTGGTGCCTACCTTGCTTCTCTATCTCCATTTTCCCTTTTTCGATCGAATTTCCGTTTCAGACTTCAAAACATGGGAAGAAATCAACGTCCCAACAACGATGGTTTCGCCGCGCGACTCTGTCCAAATGAGCATGGCCCCGATGACGTCTGCACCCAACGGAGGAGCGGTACCTTCTTCGACGTTACCGCCGGACCTCGAGAGAATGCCCTGGAACCTGCCACACCAAGAACAGCGGAACCCCTTCTTCGCCCAGCACATGAACCAGCATCAACAGCAGCCTCAAGGAGAGCCTTCTTCCCGTTTCGGTCCCAACGAAACCTGGGTGCAGACAGAAGGCTTCCTGTCACGTCTGGGTGACGCCGTCGGCCTGGGTCCCGTCGACCAAGGTCCCGAGAGTGAAGAAAAGTTTGAGGGATCTGCTGACAAAATCGCTGAAATGCTCAGGTTTGTTAGAAACTTTTTCGCGTAATTTTTTTAACTTATTCTTTTTATTAATTTTTATTGGCTATGAATAAGTTATCATGCGGCGTTTACGGATTCTGAAGGTCCATGAATACGTTCTCAGAACACATTTCCTTTAACCGTAATATTCAAGCAAAGTAATAATAGTGAGAGTATAAAATGCGTAATTATATAGTTAACTAAGTTCTCGCCGTTCAGATATGCTGTGGAGAAAGGTTATTTGGATATGGAAATGATGACGCTCCCTCAACTGCCACCCACTGTCCTCGACCTTCTGTCGACGATCCTCGTGAAGATCCCAGCTTTGGACACGGTGGAGAGTGAAATGAAGCAGTTGGTTCGTAACTTTTTCTTGTTTCTTGGTTTGAAAAAAATATTAGACTCAGGTTTTTTCTTCTTTTTTTTTTAACCATAAAGTCGAAATTCTAATTTTCTTCCTTATTCATAAGATCTACTGTGCAATTTTCTGAGAAATACAAATTTTCGAACCTTTCTGGTTATGCTTGCAGGCCTAGGTTTTGTACTAACTATGAAATTCGAAAAAGAATATCTTTACAATCAGAACTTCGCAAAGGTAGTAACTATAAAAGGTTTTGATCGGATCTTTTTGGAAATTTTTTTTCGAAAATTTCGTTTTCCAATAAAATCGAGCCTTCAGAGGCCTTTCCCAGTTACCCCTTTTTCAGCTTAGCATCGATTTCACCAGAACTTCAAACATTTTTAGGCCGAAGAATCTCGTCCTGCACACGTTGCAGCTGACGCTCAACCGACGACATGGCTGAACGACGTTCAAAAAGTCGTACTCGACTTGTTTTGAATTTGAATTTATCGAACTCTTTCCAGGTGGAGTACGATCGTTTGGTCATCAACGTTGTGACTTCGAAGATCGAGGTCCAGGAGCTGTCGCGAAAGATCCATCGCGCCCTGGTCGAGGCAGGAGTGCTTCCGCCAGGCCGCGAAGCTCCTCCCATGACCTTGCAACCAAATTCGGCGGACTCTTCGAGCCACGCCCCCAACTCTCCGCCGAGTGCTTCCATCGAGCCGGAGACGGCAAATTCTGGACAGCCGCCTGTTCAGTGCGACTTCTACGACTACTCCTATCTCTGAGTTTTCTCTCTTTCACCCTCCCGAAGTCCATTTCAAAAAAAATTGACGTGTTCAGTGTATTTTCGTTATTTGTTCCACAGCAGTCTCTTTCTGTCCCCGTTTAACAGAGTCTACATGTATCTTTTTAGAATATCATGTTTTCATCGAAGTTCCTTGTGATCTTACTTTCCTGTTGGTTCTGATTCGGCTAGTTTATCCTGTGATCTTTTTTTCTGCATTATCCGTGTGGCACCTAAGCCTTTTATGCATGTAGATGCGAGTTAGACATTTTTGAATTCATTTTTTCGATCAGCCTACTTTTTTAATCCCAATAAATTATGTTTTTAAAAAATGATTGTTTGAACTTTCCTATCGCCAATTTGCTACAAAAATCGTGTTTCTTTGTAACAGTCCGGTATTCTCTATATTGTCGTCTATTTTTCGAATATGCATTTAAACTATGATGACTTCTTCAAGAATGACATTCTCAAACCTGTGCTGTCCAAGTAGCTCGATGTTTCTTGCTGATTAGAAGTGAGGAGAAGGCGTCAAAGTTTTGCACTCTATCACCAATGGCTTGCTAGTACTGTTACGAGGTCATGAAGAAAACTTGTTGTCTCTCGATTGCTCCACCTTCACCTTCGTGTTCATGTCTGGTCTCGATTACTTCCGCAGACGAGTTGCCTTCTCAGTCCACGCCAAACCGATAAATCTCCACCACACGCATTGCTTTCCTTCTTTTTATTGCCTTATTTGATAATTTATTCTCACATCACTTCCCACGTGCATACTTCTTCATACGTGTGGTCTATTCGTACTTGACTTCTGACCCGAGTTCGTTAGTTACTAGCCTTAGTTTGTTTTTTCTTTCTGTTTTTACTTTTTCACAACCAGTGCTATGCTCTATTTTTTCTTCTTTCAAAAAATCACACTTGAGTATATAGTTCTTGCTGATCTGCATTATTTTTCTATTTTCAGTAATTTGTTTTTTGTGTCTGTCATTTCAAATAGATTGTTTCGATAATAATAATATTTTTGGTATTTGAAGGAAAAATCGATTTACTTTGAGAAAAATTATAACAATCAGCTACTTGCAATGGATGCATGTGCGTTTTTTCCCCATTCGATGTTATCTGTCACTTTCGTGATTGCTGGTGGTAAATACCAATAGAGACTGTCTTCTATTTCACATGTGTCGGCTTCAAATTCTTTATGAAGACGTTTTTTTCACTGCAAAAAGGCTAACATAATTATTTGAAATCGAATACGTGAACATCTCAAAAAGTAGTTTATTTTTTTCAAACAACAACAAACTCATAACTTAAAAAGCTAAACTAACATTCCATTCATCTCGGTGACTTTATGGACATGTAAGACTCAAACCTATAGAGGCTTAAGCTACATGATCAACAATTTCATTCGGACCTATGTCATCATTTTCCAAAACGGAAGAACTTTGATGGCTTCGTGAGAGGCTCGACGTTGCGTTTGGCCGCTGCTTGGTCGACAGCAGTGTACGTCTGAGGAAGGAAATTGTTTTAATACGAGTACGAAAAATCCACCTGAAGTTTGTCGAGTTCCCCATAGCCGACTAGAGACGGTTTCGTCGCCAACATCCGTTCAGCTATTCTGATAATATCGCTGTTCGTGACATTTTCTGCAGAAGCCATCATGACGGAAAATGAATGAATATTGGAATCTTACCTATTTTGGCAGCGTAATCGTCAGGTCTTCTTCGCGTTCCGTGGCCCAGAACTTGGCGCGCAAGATCTTCGAACATCACTGGTCTCACCTCCAGATTCATCATCAGGTGCGACTTCAGCTGCACTTTCGCCCTTAACCCAACATTTTTAGAGACATTTTTTTCGTTATTCTGATTAGTTGAGGTTCTGATTCCTCGCAGAACAAACTCGTAAAAAAATATCTCTCGATGAAAAAAATCTCACTCTTCTTTCAAACATTAAAAATGCATCAGTGCCTTAATTTTCGGTAGGTAACGTTTTCCTTATTATTAAAACCATTAAAAATCTAATTTTATAGGAAGAGGCTGCACTTTCGCCCTCTATAATATATGGCTACCTTAAATTCACAGTTTAGGGAATTTCGAAAAATTGATTTAATTTTTTATTGAATATCTTGTGAAAAGCCTTTCGTTTCACTGAATAGTTCGAATTTGGCTCCAAGAACTTCAATCATAGCCCGCTCTCTAAGAATAGTACGATGTGCATATCAAAAAATTCAATTCATTTCCCTCCCTTCTAGTTTGGAAAATTATAAAAGAAATACCTTTGTTCATTTTGAAGACTTTCCAAACAAAAAAATAGAACCAAAGGTTTAAAAATTCCGATGCAAACCTCTCCAGCTCTTGTTTGTCTGTGCCTTTTCGCAAAGATAGGAATTGGTCCATCACAACAACCAGAGCATCTTGTAACTGAAACTCCAATATTATCATACGGAAAGTATTCTCTCGGTTGTGCACTACTTCTGGGCTTTTTTTAAATCACTCCAGCTTCTCGAACAAACAGTGCTCGACTGAAGTCAAGAGCACTCACCCGGTTGGGTGGACAGCTGGCGTGAATGCAGAACAGGCCGTCATCAGAGTAAGAATGGTTTTGCGCCACGGCACTGTAGATCCAGTGACACCTTCAATTCATTTTCTTAGGTTCAACTCGGAACCAGTTTTCTGGTATACTCATCAGAAGCCAATCAGATTACGCACCTGTTCATAACTTGCGTGTACAGACGAGCGTACATGCCCTTGCCAGGACCGCCGGCAGAGAAAGATCCACCGCCGCCGAGGAGAGATTGCAACACGCAGAAAGGTACAAAGTCATCGTCTCTAGAACATCCAATTAGAAAACATATCTTGCAAGGATAAACTTGAAGCTGCAGCCCTGGAAGCCGAGAACCACGTGGGCAAGATGAGGGTAAGGCGTGCCGACGCCTAGCAAGGACAAGTCGGCCCCTTGCTGACAAAAAATACCTTTGATAATTTTTACAGAACGAACAATTCAGAAAAGACGCGAAGTTCTTTTTTTTTTACTTTTCCGATTTTCAAGTATCGCTAGGGAGCTTTCAGACGAATCCCTTTACGACTTTTTTCCCTTATATTTTTCGGTTTATAAAACATCTATTAACACTTTTTTTCCCATTTTTTTTTTAAATCATGAATATATTGCCTACTTCATAAAAGAAGATTTAAAACGAAGATTTTATTGAAAAAAAAGGGAAAAAAAGATTTGTCGAACAGCTCCCTAGCGATATGAAAAAATCGAAAAAAGTCGCCGTTTGAAGTTTCGCTGGTCTTTTTTTCATACCACCCAAAAAAATAGATATATTCTTCAAAAATTAGTTTTCAGTAAATAATCAAGGTCACTTCAAAACCTGTCTCTTTGAAACAAGTGAACGCCTATGAGGGATCTTTCTTGAACCTCTGAAGAGTGCTTGCGCGAAAATATTACCAACTTCACACTAAAACGATCTCCCTTGTCAATAAAAATAGGCTAAGCCCTCAAAAGGGTTCTCTTCATTGAAATAACTGTTTTTGGAGACTTCACAGCCCTAAAACTTTTTTTTTTCGAATCAAGTAGACATACCCGTATCTCTCCACCAGTGTATTGTGCCAAAGAGTCATCAACGGCAGGGACTTTCGGGAGTAGCAGTTGGCGATCAACGTTCCACGTTGCTTGGTTCAGTTGAAAATGCCGTTCTACTGCAGTCACGAAAGCATCATGATCTACTCCGATCCCTGGAAAACTCGGCTTCGAGACAGAAAATCCAACGGAAGAGCACCAGCAACGACCATTCTCGGGGGAGAGTGCATCTGACTGAGATAGGTGGCGACATCGCGACTTGTGATTTTTGGAAGCGTTTCAGAAGTCGCAAATTTCGAGAACCCTAACGTGTTTCCTTTGAAGGCTGCCTGAAGTCAGCCGTTTACAATTTTTTTTTTGTGAAACGTAAATGGCATTTTTACGCGTAGTGAATTTTTGCGATAAACTTCAAAACACTCTTATCATTTTATTTTTTTTTTGTCTCTTTCCTACTTTAAGATTCAAGCAGAAAAACTAAATAAATGTTTAACTACTGTCAAATGTTTTCTTACGAAGAAAATCAGTACAGATATCTTGAAGAAAACAACGTATGAAAATAATCAAAAACTATTTGAGAAAACTACCAAACAAGTTATAACGAACTGAAAAGTGACAGTTCTGAATTTCATTCGAAAACTACGTTGCGCGAAAAGTCGAAAAAAAAAACCTGATGTATCCAATCAGTTATCAGGGGTTCGCATTCAATCTTCCTCGTCATGTCCTCTATTTCGTACAGGGTTATCATTTTCGCCTCCTCGACCTTGAAAACAGAATTCTAGCTGGGGAAAAAGCAGATGAATGTGACCTCGTCTTGTTGGAGCAAAGGCATCCAAACGGCGTTGGCCAGGACTTCGACGACGGCGTCGACGCCAGTTACATGGCAGCTGCCCGCGTAAAGGAAAGTGTCCTGAGACTCTTTTAGAGACTTATTTGTAAGGCTTCAAACCCTCGTGCTCTGACAATCAATGATGCCGCCGCTTTTTTCCAAAACAGAATGGATTTCATCGCGAGATGGAAACCGATTCGTAGCCTGAATCTCTTACTAAGTTACACCTGGAATAAAAGTTGATGAAAACGGACGAGAAATAAAAAAACTACCCCAAACGCCAACTTTTCAACGATGTGCGATACGCCTTTTGTGAATGAACTTTCGAATCGGCAGCCGCTTTCGATTGCAACTTAAAATTCCCGAAAATCGGTGTTGATGTATTAAAGTAGAAACCTCCTATTGTACAATAGTCTCCGAAATGAGGTTCTGAGCAAACACGAACTCCATTAGAAAGTTTGGTCATTTTTGTTTCGCGGAAGGTTTTTCCGACGCCAACGGGCTTGGCAGAAGTTGATAAACCTCCGTCGAGAGGTTGTGAAAGTGGAACATTTGAAGCATCCTTCAAAAAAAAAAAAAATTATGATTTTATAATTGATTCACAACATATTTTTCAAGGTGATTCAAAAAACAAACTTTTATCACAAGAAAGTTTACAAACGGAAAATTTTGCTACATTAATTTCTAATTCATAATATCAACCTTTGAAAATTCCTAACTCGAATTTTAATAAAAAGATGCATGAATTTAAAATTACCCACCTTAAATTGGCTCAAACTTCTTTTTGATATTTCTTTCAACTGTCTCGATAACAGCCACGATCTACGTACCATCTGAATGTTGTGTGTTTTAAAAATAGTGAACCATAAATATACAAGCTACAAGTCAACATCAACGCCTAGGCCTCGTACAATTAAAATTGAAAAGAGTATTAAATATTTATTTGCGTTTTTTTTTTCCCGCTGCCTCGGATATATCATTTGTCTTATTTCTAAAACTGAAATATTGGCCTCCTCACCATCTGATGAAGTTTGGAGGAGCACAAATTGAAACAATATGGGAAATTTTAAGGATCTTGTAGGGATCCCGCTAAAAGAAAGGGAGAAACAACCGCGAAAAATTCGGCGTAGAAAGAAAACGTTTTAAACTTAGAGTTCTCCTAAATTAAATAAAATTTGAAGAAAATTCAAAATCATCTCCGACTCTCTAAAATTCAATTATCTTTTTTTCATTCTTTAACAGCTATTTTGAGTTCCGCGAAATCACTTTGCATATGGCATCATTTTTAAGTAATCAGTGCATATACATATATAGCAAAAATTTTTTTAAAAATTTTTTTAAAAGAAATTATTTTTTTGAACGGAAAAATACATGAAAAGTCGACAGCAAATGCGCACCATAAAGTTTCTCAGCCCTTGAGGGATTTTTTTCAATTTGAAAATCGCGCGAAAAACCGATGGTAGGACGAAAAAAATTTGATCCGCAAAAAAATACGTCGCGTGAAAATTGCGACCACATAACTTATGAGCCACGAAAAATTTTTAGCCTTTAAAAATTTTTGTCCATTTAAATTAGAAATTACTTGCATATAAGGCTTTCAATTTCTGTATTTTTCTGTTTTTTTCTTCGTTCTGGTCTTTTTTTCAAACTTCTGCTCTAGTACTGATTCTCATTTCTGCGTTGAGTTATCCCGGCGATCCCAGGATTTGATAACGTTTTGAAACCTAATTTCGAGTTTTAACTCTTTTTTTCTTCTGTTTTTCATAATTAATTTGTGCTATAAATCATTAAAGTTCAAAAATCTGTCAACTAAATACGTTTTTCCATGTTTATAAAAAATGACAGACTTCTTATTGATGATAATGATTGAAATTTCTAGAAACCTACCGAAAACAGTGGCTCTAGCTCTGGAATTAATCAATATCAAGAATAAAGGGAAAAAAATTGAGGAAAAGAAAGAAATTCAAAAAAAGTCATCATCTGAGCAATTTTTAAAATTTTACGAAAAAAATTTTTGAAGGCTTAAAATTTTCGTGGCTCATAAGTTATGTGGTCGCAATTTTCACGCGACGTATTTTTTTGCGGATCAAATTTTTTTCGTCCTACCATCCGAAAACCAAGCCATTTTTTTCCGGGATTATTATTTTTTTATCTTTTTTTTCTTTTGTTACGATACATATATATGTATAAAAAAATTTCGGTCGAGACGTCTCGATCTCGTCCCGACCGACCTTTCAATGACGCCTCGATCAAGGAAAAATAAACTTTATTTTATTTGTTATTTTGTTTTAGCGTTATCAGTTATGCTGATGGAACAGCACTGTTAATTTCGAGTTTTCTAAATCTTTTGTGGAGGTCTATTTTCAGAGGAAATGGGCAAGTCTAAGAAACCGAGTCGTCGGTCAGTCGTTGTCAATGACTTGCTGAACGATAACGACGAAAGAAGGATGTTGCAAGAAAGCGATAGTTCTGAAGATGATGAACTCCAGCTTCTTGAAGACGATTCCCAAGTTAAAGAATTTCCCAGTACACTAAATCTTCTGCGTGAGTATGAAATCAAAGTAGGTTCTTTCATCTTGTTTAGACATTTTCAGCTGATTTTGTTTTTCTTTTACTATTCGTATTCTTAATGCATCTTTTGTACAGGTCCCGGAGTACAAAAATGTGTTGGAAGTGGCTCAAAGTTTTTCGGATGCTCACGTGTCCGTACTTCAGCAAATGTTACATCGACCGCACATGAAGGTAGTTCCAACCATAAGAAACTCGATCAAGATCAGTTTTCAGCTGAAGCAGTTCTACATATCTTTCGTTAACTACGTTTTTACAGTCCAATACAAATGTGACCATCGTACTTATTTTAATTTTTTATCTTGTTTTTAGTGCATCCGAATGTGGTGAAGTATTTCAAAGCTGATACAGAAGAGCTTCGGGCTTTGGCCGTTGTCGTGATTAAAATAATCAATACTGAAATCCATCAAAATGATCAGGTATTTTTTCTCAACCGCTTTTTCCTGAAGGAATTTTCAGTTCTATAATGATGCGGAGACCGATGTCAATCCAACTGATTTGCAAGGAAAAAAGGTTTTTCTTTGATATTTCACAGTTTCCGTTCATGCGAGTTCAGAATCGCCGTCGGTCTTCAGAACATAGTGGTGGGGAAGAAGAAGAGGAAGAAGAAGAAGAAGAAGAAATGGGCTGTGACCTCGGATATCGGCTGGCATTGGCTACCGATGAAGAAAGTGGCCACGAGTCGGTGCTTCTGTTGTCTGAAGTTCAAAGCTCAAAAGCTCTAGAAGATATTGTCGAACTTACGTAAGCTTGAGAATGGAAATATTAAATCTACTGTTTTTTTTAGAGGCGCTGAGTTAAACTTCTGGTGGCTGATTGTGGACGAAATGATGCACAATTTCGGAGAGGCTAAGATTCAGTGGGTTCATGACGTTGCCAGAACTGTACATTCTTCTCTCACTCCAGTTCGAGTTTCGAAGCTTTTACAGCGTTTGTGCCAAGACAAGTGGATAAAAAAGGTTTTTTTTTTTTGAGTTTTTTCATGTTAAACCAGAAAATCCCAGGCAAAATCACACTATTCTATTCAACCACGAACTATAGCTGAATTGAGTCCTTTTTTGCGCCGTGAGTATGATTTGCCCGTGTGCAGCGTCTGCAACCAGCTAGTCATCAGGTATTTTTGTTCCTCTATTCCGGCAGACGTCTGATTTTTGCTCAGATCTTACTTGGGGCCGAAATGCGAGCAGTGCAACTTTTTCATTCATAAACACTGCTGGGAAAAGTTTTTTTTTCACGATTTTTGAGAATATAACTGTGATCGTTGAGGATATCGAAAATTTCACAGGACAATTTGGTTGGCTGCCCTAAGTTCGGTTGCGGTGCTCATCTGGACAGCAAGAAGGTTAGAAATTTTAATCTTATCACCACATGATGTCTTTTCCTGTTCAATCAATCAATCAATGTTTATATTTTGTTTTAGTCGTAGATGTAATGGAAAGACAAGAAATATCAAGTTAAGCCGCCTTTGGAAATCTAGAATTCCTAATGTGTAGTCGAAAGAGTTGAAAGCCTGATCTTACGGTCCTTCGCCTCGTTTTTCTGCGTTTAGTCTATCCAGTTGCGCCTTGAAAAGAGCTTTTAGTAGAGACTTCTCACGGAGTTCAGTTTCAGAGATCATCCATTTTTCAGGTCGATGAGCAAGTCAAGGAGAACGTCAGACAGAAGAAAGAGCGAACAGCGGAACACTCGGATCCATTGAAGTTCGCGATTAAAGTCGCTTCTTTAGTCGCAACTGAGGAAACCGAAGAGGATCCTGTTTCAAAGGTTTGAATAAAAAGAAAAAGTTGAGCAAAATTAGTTTGTAACAGATTTCTAAAAGAAAAACGGCCAGCGATAGAGATACAGTGGAGGACGAAGAAATGCCAGAAGTTGGAGATGACGGGGTCAAGGTGGAGGAAGATTCTGACGACGCGCAGCCGAAGCGCAGAAAGTCAAAAGTTGCACGGAGAAAATAGAAAAATTATCGAAAACATGATTTGACAGTTTATTTATGTCGCCTCTGAAGAAGTATTTCATTTAGGCGGAAAAGAAAATGATCTCTGACTCTCCAAAATTATCGTTATCTTTCTCATTTCTCTGAAATAACTTTGAATGTTGCATAATTTTTCATACGGTTTTTTAGATTGGATATCTTGCCACAATGATTTATATTTCTGTGAGATCTCGTTCAATGAAGTTTTTTGAAAATTTTAAACGTCTGATGATGATTTTTCGCGGTAACCTTGGTCACCAAATATTGTGATAATTCAATTTCTTAATTGGAATTTCAGGTATTTGGGAAAACAAAGATGATCAATATGAAAGGAAAAAAATTTTCTGAAAAAGAGTGTCTGTAAAGTTTGAAGGCCTTGTAAAGATTTTTGATAGACCTTTTTTATAGCTTTTTGTTGGAGATAATTCTTGGTGAGAAAAAAATAAGTCCATTAGATATTTAGTTAGAAAAGAAGCATAGATGATGTCCTAAAAGCAACTATTTTTAAAGATTGAATTTTTTTCGTAGCCATTATCTTGAAGATGCCTTCTATCTGACTCTGCGAGTCTTTTTTTTTTTGTTAGAAAGGAGAAATCACCTTGTTTTGGCTTTTTGAACAGCCCCAATTAATATTTCAAGCTGCTTCTCTCAGATTAGTTCAATCTAGTTTTGAACGGTCAATTCGAATCAGTTTACAGGGAAAAGCCAATAAAAAAGTTGCGCACATGGAGAATATGAAGCCCTCGAAAAAGTTAGTTTTCTTTCCTTTTTTGTCCTTCTTACTTTCTCATCAAAGACCCAAAAAAGCAGCGTTCTTTTTTTAGACTTGCGACTGACAAGTTTTGTGAGGAGATAGCTGCTTCAATAACTTCTATGGTCTCGATGTGCCCGAAGGAAGACGTTAGGAAAAAGGCTTTTGAGCTTTTAGGCTAGTTCTTGAGTTTAGACTATTAAAAACTCTTGCAAAAAAAAAAAATTAATATTTTATTAAAACTTCGTAATTATTTTAAAAACTGTCTCATAATCTAAAAAGTTGTAGGTATCGAAATGAATGATATAGCAGGATTATCGAGAGAAATAGAACAGCTTGCATCTTCGTTTTTCAACCGGGAGAGTATCGAAGGAAGGTCCTCATTTACATTTTTCATCTCTTCGAAACTTGAAATAGTTTCAGAAAAATTGGAGAATCTTTAGAGCAAATTTGTTCGCAAGAAATCGGCTCTTCGCAGACGTCCAGCTCTTTCGAATCCGAGAAACTTGACTCCGATAAAACTTTTTTCTCGGACGAGGTCTGCAGAACTGGGTTAAATTAACGGTTTCGGCTTAGGAATTTTTCTCGGGCGAAGATGACCTCAGATCCGAATTTTTTGCTGCACCATCCGGGGACAGTACTCCACTTCTTCGGAAGGTTGGTTTTTCCTTCCTCACAAAGATAAAGATGCCGTTTTCTGTCAGCAAGATATTCAAACGTCATCTCCCAGCTTGAGGTTTCACCGGACATGGCGATCTCAGACCCGTTGGAAATTGTTTGAGTCTTTTCTTTGATACTGGAAAAGAGTTTTTATTTTCAGACTCCGGCCTTGAATGACATTTTTTCTTCGCTGGCCACTCCTCCGAGAATTCAGAACCGCGCGTTTTCGAGCCTCTCTGTGTGGTCTAACTCAAGCAGAACGTTTTTTGGAGAGTTTTCGATGAAAGTTCCCTCGGTGTGGTCTGAGGACGGGTCTTCGGAGCAGGTCGCTCCTCTGCTTAATCGTTTTTCCTCCTCTCTCTGGTCTTCTAGCTCTGAGAAAAAGGTTTGAGAGAGAGTTGAACACAAAATTACTTAAGGAAGATATTAAAAAAACCTGACTTAGAAAATTCCAACCTTGAAAAACAATAAAAGTGGAGTACCTTTCGTTCTATGCAGCTCGATGATTTCTGACCTGTCTGCGTCTATTTTCTCTCACCGGCGAAGTTAGAGAAAATTGGAAATAGAATGTAAAAATAAGAGCGTCACTGAGAGAAAAAAGGGCGTGGAGAAGTCTAGCCGTTTCAAGTTGTGGCGAAAGAGTTGTTTCTATTTAAAGTTACCCTTTCAAACGAGAAGCGTCAAGATCGGGCGTTCGTCATTTTGATAGTTGTCGGGAAGCAGCACGCGTTGTTATCCTAGTTGTACAGTCCCCCATTCCTTCTGATCGAAGTAAATCTTCATTGAGATAGGGGAAAGCGTTTGAGAATTCTTGAAAATTATGATAGTATATTGCCTCCTTACTCGGGCAGGTTTTCTGTCTATCGATTGACAGTACCGTCAAAAAGAAAAAAGCTGCGTTTTTTTTTTGCGAGAATTTTGTTTTTCTCCCAGATTCCGGCTCTAAATGGCTTGGTTTCGTCGTTCTATACCCCTCCAAGAAATGAGATGCGCAAGTCCTCGAATTGGTCTGATTCGAGTCTGACATGGTCCGAAAGCCCGCCCAACCTTTCTTCAATGGAAGTTATGCCTGCCTGGTCGGAGAACGGCTCTTCTGAGCAAGTCGCTCCTCTGCTCCAGCGTTTCTCCTCTTCCCTTTGGTCTTCTTATTCTGAGAAAAAGGTTTGAGAAAATATAATCGTTTGAACAAGTACCGATTTGCTTCTATATCAATGAGAGATAACTTTCAATTTTCAACTCAAAAGCACCCCAAGCCTGATTTAAGAAGAAATCGTTTAGACTGTGAACTTGCCGTAGAACTATCTATTCTAAAAATTCCAGAGTAACGCATTTTTTCCAGAACAGCCAATCACAGCGTCGTATTCCAGTAACGCACCGAGTCGACACAGTTTGGTCGGTGGATGGTTGCGAAGAACCTTGATCACACTGAAACATTTTATTGTCTTTTTTCTTTTTTTTCTTTAATTCCTCTAATTTATGTGTTAGATTTTCCAACAAGAAATATATTAGAAGAGATAATAAATATATTACATTTTTAATATTGTTCTTTTCGTTTCCATTCCAACGGTTTTCTCTCCGTTCACAGTATTAAAAATATATCCAAGACTTTTTACCATTCATTTTTTTTTTTCGGAAAATAACCTTTCATAAGTTTTTTTTTAGAGACACCGTCATTTGGTCTAGAGTCATGAGCCTAAAGCCACCAGAAGCTCCTTCGGGGTATCTGAATTCAATCATCTATCAATCAACTAATCCTCTTTTTCTTCACTGTTCATAATCCTAACGGAACAGTTTACATGAAAGTAGAAGCCAAGGTGAAAATAATCTTCGTTTTGGTCAAAGTCCACTTTAGTGTACCCTTCGACTTGACTGTATTCAGTTACGTTTACCTGCGTGTAAATGGTTCCCCGTTTGTACTTTATTAGTTCTTCCAAAAGTAGTGACAGTGTTCTTTTTTTTTGCTTTTTTCTATATCAGCAGATGGCTCACGTCCTCTTTCTTTATCTTTAAAGTTCAAATGCTCATTTTGCTTCGAGGCTCGAAATGCTTTTCAGAAAAAAATTTATTGGATAAATGCCAATGTTTTGAGATCTCCTCCGAACCTCTGTAAATTGCACCGAGTTCAAAGCGAATGCATGTATTAGTAGTTTTTTGATATCTCAGTCCTTTTCAATGTAGAAAAACAGAGGTAAATCGACACATGCAAAAGATTTATCTATTATAAACTTTTCGCATGTATCGGTTAACCAGTGTCATTTTTATGTTCATTGCGACTGAAGAACGATAATTTTTCTAGGAAGAGTAGTTTCTCATCGCTTTGCGGATTTTCGACGGCAGAAGTCAGAGAGACGGTATTTTTTCCAGAAGTAGCGATCGACGCTCTCAGTGTAATTGGGAACATTGACGAACTTGTCGAGCCTGAGACTTCTTTTGTGGAATCTTTGTCCTCTAAGTGAGTTTTTAATTTTTGCAACTTTGACTTATATCGCTCTTATTCAAATTAATTGATGAATTTAAGAGATTTACGGCTCGTAGTGGGCCGCGAAGAGTTCGTGATGCCCGAAAACGGGGGTAGCGTGCTGGCCATCGCCGGATGCACAAACTCTGGGAAGACGACCGTCGCCGAAATGCTCGTCAAAATGGTGGCTCCGAAGAGTTTTGTCGATGTTGACTGGTCTTTTTTTGCAGTTTCTGGCCGAAAAAGCGACAGTGGCTTTGATTCATCAAGACAACTTCTATTATGGATTTGAACAGGTGTGTTGTTAGATCTTTTTATAGTTTTTGCTGGAAATTCCTTAAAACTGTTTTTCAAACATAAAGAAATAATAATTTGAGTTTATGCTGCGTTGCCAATAGTTTACGTTTGTGAAGATTCATAATTTTTTTGTCACCTTTTTTTCATTAAAAAAAAATACAGCATTCGTGTTTTTTTGCACCTTTGTCTCAAGTTCCACTTCCGTCACAATTTTTCGTTATATAACAAAAACTGCGAAAATCAGTACAACTGCCAAAGAAAAGCGAGGTTTGCCGCTTGATGGCAGAAGTGCTATCTAAAATTTTATTTTTTTTACCGGTTGAAATAATTCTTGAAAAAACAAACTCTCAAAAGGGTTTTCATTTCACTTTGCGGTTGGGATTTTTCTATAAATTAGCCAGAACACTCCTTGATGTACCAAAAGAAGATTCTAGAAGTCTCAACCTGCACAACTTCCTCGTTTCTATGAAAAGACGCCTCAAAAAAAAAAAAATAAAACCCTCATATAGGTTATTCTTAGACTTTAGACCCTTATTTCTCGAAAAATAGGAAGTTGTGCAGGTTGAGACTTTTCAGAATGCTCATCTGGTAAATCCAGAAGGGTTCTGGTCAATTTTAAGGAAATTCCAAACCGCAAACTAAAATGACCTCCCCTGTCAGTGATCAACGTTTGAATTTTTGAATCTGGGACGGAAAAAAAAGTGTGAAAAAGTCGCGAAACACCCAAACTTTTGCACATGTTCTTCGATGGAGCGCTCGTTTTTCCGAGCTAGTTTTCTGTTGGCAATTTTTTCGCTCGCTTTTTTTTTCAGTTTTCTTTTGTCCTAACACCAATATAGTTGTCGTTGTCCTTTTTTGTTGCTTCGAAATATTTCTATCTTCATTAAAAAAGATTTGGTTCGGACTGCGACCTTGAACTCAAACCCTAACATACAATTTCATACTAATTTTGGCTTCAAACTGCAAAATAATTTTATTATTAATGACCGATTGCATTGTTCTGTTCCACTGCTTGCCTCCCCGATTTGCACATTTCAGGTCGAGAAGGTATCTCCACTTCGCAAAATGGTAAATTTTATTCGCACCTCTCCTACGTCCTCTTGATTGCCGTTTCGTTTACCTTTTGACCCCAGACCTCCGTTTTAATTGAAGGTGGATAAGATTTTCCACGGGCGGACCGACAGTAGAGCTCAGGGCAGTTTCTACTACAGCTACGACGAGAAAGAGTCTGTGGACAAAAACGCGCTCATAAATGCCATTGCTGAGGTTTCCATACTTTCTGGCTCTTCTGACGATGGGGTTCTAGGCCTGTTGCTCGCATGACTACGTAATCGTGGAGGGGAACATGCTGACCGAGTGGGACGACTTGGTGGAAATGTGCGACCGCGTCATCTTCTTGTCCATGAACCAGGTGAGGCATATGACCGAATAGTTTATATTGAATAGCCGCAGACACGGGCAAAGTCAAAAAGACGAAAAAGGCGCCTTTTATTTTTGACCTTTTTTGAGAAGGGCCTTTTAAGGAAGAAAAAAAGAGATTCCGAGAAACTTTTGACACATTTTTTTGAACTCAGAAAGAATCTTCTGACTCTTCTTTTTAAGGCTTTTTTTAAAGCCGTTTGGATTTTGCTTTTGGCGAAAAACAAGGCCCTCCGCCCCTGGGAAGTGAGCTCCATGGTTAACTAGAATTTGTTCTCTTTACAGAACTTTTCCTCTTTCATCTATTACTATGCGAAGAGATTGAATGTTAGAAATGATAATATGATAGGTTATTAACTTGGGAACGTTTTTCAACTCCCGGTTGATCTTTTGATGAGACTTTGCTGAAGTGAAAGCACAGTTGTACCGCGTTTTAGTACCTGTTGCGGCCTTCCCATCGCTTTCTTTGCTAAGCCAATCTGTAAATGGCTCTTTTGTCTGCGGCTATTTTAATGAAGCTGCTTATTCATAAAGCCATCTGTTGCCACCATCAGCCTCAAGGATATTCTCGCAGGAGACGTGTCGTCGCCGTCGACTCGGCCGTACTTACGACCCGCCAGACGTCGATGGTTATTTTGACGACGTCGCCTGGCCCGCCTATCAGCGACATCTCCAAAGGGCTCTGGCTCTGGCTCGCGACGACAAACGCATTTCTTTTTTTGACGTTTCTTCTGACTGCGACAAAGTGACCGAAGAGGCGTTGATCGAGGTGGAATCTCCTAAAGCGGATCCATCGAGATTTTTTGTGTTTGCAGATGATACAGGCCTTTTCGAACGATGTCATCCGAATAGGATTCGACGCTTTGGATGTGAATGAAGTTATGAAACTGATCAATACGTCAGTTAATGAGGGAATCGTCTTTTTCATAATGTAGAATTGGCAGGCCTTCCTGTGGCGCGACTTCCATTTTCGTCGGCACCACTCGCGACACGTTTCAAGATCGTTTAGTTCAGCGACTCGATTACGAAAGTTACGATGAAATGGCTTATAAGGTTTTTTTTTTCCCCCCATTTTTTCTCCGTTTGAAGAAAACATTTTGAAAAATAAGAAAGATGAATGGAAAAACTGGGAATGAGTGTAATTTGTTTTTAGTTTTTGCCAAGCGTCTTGTTATCTCGATTTTCTGTCAACTGTGCAGTTTCTATACTTTCCCGCATGATTTAGGAGCTTCGAAAGTTGTGCGATGAAGTCCACGCTGAATTTCCATCGGTCGAACGAGTTGTTATTTTTCACAGGTCCTTCATCATGTGATATAGTTACAAAACTAGGTTTCAGAATCGGCGAAGTCCCTGTTTCTGAGATTTCGGTGATAGTCGCAACAGCTTCTCCCCATCGCAAAGAGGCCATCCGAGCCTGCGAATTCGGCATCGACGAGCTCAAAAGAAGGGTTCCCATATGGAAAAAGGCAGGCGTTTCCTTTTTTGCCATTAGTATTTTTGCTCTCTTCCCAGGAAGTCTATGAAGATGGCGGCTGCTCTTGGAAAGAGAACGGCGAGTCCGATCCGCAGAGTCGACGCCACGGCCAGACCTCCACTGAAGAACGCGATTTCGCTGCTGCCAATAGGTATCAAAAACCAGACTTTTGAAGAAGATTAATGGCAGAATAGGCGAGACATTTCAGCGTGAAATATAGTTTCTAGAGATTATTTCAAAATGTGCTTCTTGGCAGATTAGCTATTTTTCTGAGCTGTTAGTTGTATATAAGCCGTCTCATTGTACAAAGTTTTTTCTTTGATTTTTGTTTTCAGCCTAATTTTGTTCTGTCTGTCACACTAATTCGATAATGAGATGATTTTCCAGCCGAAGAGACGCTCGACGAGAAGTTTTTTTGATACGACACTTCATGCGTCAACTGAATCTGAAATCGCCGGCGAAAGAGAAATAACATTGGGTTTTATTCATTTTTCCTTTTTTCATTTTGTGAACATAGATTTTATGCACAAAAAGCGAGTTTTTTTCATATCCAAATCTTTTATGATTCTGTTATAATATTGTTGTTATGAGTCGAATTTGTGGTCGGCAAGATTTTTTTCTGTTATTTTTTTCTGAACTGCTCGGAAGAAAACTTTTTTTTTCAGCCATCCTGAATCAGGTCCAGCGTGTAAAGTTTGTCAGAAAAAAAAAATAGGAAAATAGTAATTTTTTTCACTTTTTGGCACTTTCTCATATTAGTGCTGATACTTCTTATTCCCATCAATTAGAAAAAAATTGTTTATTGACAATAAAATTATATAATCTATATCAGGCTGGTTTCATTATTCTGTTCAATTTGTTAGATCTATTGAGTGTTTTATCTACATAATGTCAGCTTTTTTCGCCGCTTCTCCGGCTGTTCTCAGTTTTTGAGGGCACTGAAGAGTTTTCTGTTGAAACATCTTGACGTCGAGTCGAGAGGCCAGATTTCCCTGAATTCTCCTTCTGTACGGAGAGAGAAAAAGAAAGACTCACCAAATGTTCGAGTTGACTCTTTTTGTAGACGATTCCGTCCATTTCATCACAAAGGAACATGTGAGAACGCTCCGGATCTCCAGGAACCTGGACCGGTCGCGAGACATCAATCTGAAAGCAGTTGGATGACTCAGAAGCTGGTAAACTCTGTACCGGAGTCAGATCACGGGTCTCGTCGATGAAGGACTGCAGACGGCTTGAGAAGCCAGGAGCGAAGCATTCAGGGTCGATCGCCACGAAACATTGACCCTATAAGTTAGTGATTCGTAGAGGGATTAAAGACTAATCAGTTTTTATATCCAAGTCTCACACCAACTACGTTATCTTCCAAAGAAGCTCCAAAAAGCAAGAAAATCATCTAACCAGGTCCGCAGAAGTGTCAGTCGTCTGCCACTGTCGGATGTTTTTTCCAAAGGCGGCGCCTCCCATAATGCCGCACAGCATCTCGACCATCATGCACAGGCCGGTTCCCTTGTACCCGCCTAATTTCTCACTTTCTAATTGCAGTTTCGGACATCTTTACCTGTCGCTTCCGAGCCACCAAGAGGCTGCAGACCGCCCCCATTCAAAACCACCTTCGGATCGTGTGTTTCTATTCCGTTGGCATCGGCTCCCCAACCTGACGGAATCCTTTTGCCGCCTCTCTTGTTCACAACTTCAATCTGAACCCTCATTCTCAGTGAGTTAATAAATCTAAAAAACGGACCTTTCCGTAAGCGACTGTGGTGGAAGCCATGTCGAGAAATAGTGAGTCTCCGTCTTTGGCCGGAGCTGCCACGCAAACTGGATTTGAGCCAAGGCTTTTCTCCGCAGAGCCCGTAGGGAAGACGCATGGAGATGTGTTTGTGAACGCCATACCCTATAGTTTGAAATACAAACTACGATTTCCTAGATTTTCAGTATTTAAGCCAATTTTGGTGCATATGACATGGGCATTAAACTGAGGTTGAGATAATAAGGCTCGTTGAACTTTTTTCGTTTCCTAACGGTCTATTTTAATTTTTTTTTGTTATGAATCTTCTTCTGGAAGCTTAAGATTCGGATAGAACTTAGAAATCTCAAAAATGAAATGACGGCATATCAAGTTAAGATTAGCTCCAAAAGTTTAATTTTCACAATTTTAAAGACGGCTTCTTCAATCTCATATTAAACTGGTCATGTGCTATCAAAATGGAAAGAAACCCACGACGAGTCCCTGCCTAACGGCGTAGTCAGCGTACCACCCAGCAATGCCAAAATGGTTCGAATTACGGGCGACGACCCATCCGATGCCATGCTCTTTTGCCTCAACCCTCAACGGATCAAAAACTGGTTCATCTTGTGCGGAACCTTCTGAACGGCTAGTCGCATGCAGAAGTTGCCGACGACTGGTCCCAGAAGGTTGTTGCCGTCGACCCACGCCGTCGCTCCTTTCTCCTTCAGAACTTTCGGCGTTCCTGAAATTCCCTCTTTTCCACTAAGGCTCAATAGGTTCTCAAAATTGTAGTCTCCGTTTTTTTTTTCTTTTGATTGATCTCTGTCAAAGAAAGACAAACCATCAACGGAAGTGGAACCGGTTTGAACATCTTGCACGTAGATGTGGAGTCTATTGAGTCCGTGCGAGTAGTGACCCCTACAAAGAACAAAAAACCAATGTAATAGTGTAAGACTTGGGAAAGATGTGACACCTGTAGTCGGAGCAAATGAGAATGTCGGCGAGTTGTTGGGCATGTTCGACTCCGCAGCCGACCTTCTCCAGGCACTCGAGCACGAAAAGTCGCAACTGCAACTTTCTTACTTCTTTCAGATTCAAGACGACATTCATCAACAACGAAAGCCAACGTTTTTCTTTCGGAGCAACTCATCTTAAAACTTCTATTTCAGCTTTCGGTGGACCTTGTCCGTGTCGACAAAAAAAAAAAAGTCAAGTAAAATTTCAAATTGTAAACAAACCGCTTTTTTCGAGACGACGACCTCTTCGGACTCGTTGAAGACCTTCTTCAGAGTCATACCCTGAATTCTGAATCTTAACTAGAAGAAGCAGTAAATTTGGACGGTTCATAAAAGAAGTAGAACGAGACGGATGTCTATGATTATCTTGTCATTTTTTGAATATTTCTTGAAAAATAGCCTAAAAATGAAGTGGATCTAAACAAATTTAGAGGAATATATAATATCTAAAGGTGCCCTATTCACATTAAACTACCCAAATCCGATGAAGGTGTAGTTGAAGTTTATATAATGAGAACAAAAAAACGATAAATAAAAAAGCTATTTTCGAAAGCAAATTCGAAGGTCCACATGGAAGGTTCAAGGTTTGCGGCGACAGGAGAGACTGACGGGTCACCCCATCTGTAACACTTTAAACGGAGATCGTCTCTTAAAGAGAACACCTAGTTTTTGTAGAAACACGCAGAGTCATCGGCAAGGAAGTTTCCAAAAAAAAGACAAGTTGGGGTTGGAATCGAATGGAAACTTCGCATCGGAGTAATTGCCCCTATTTCTAGCTTATCAAAAATGGAACAGACTAAAAATACTGTCTTGGGATAAAATTTGATTCTTTGAATATTCGTTATTGAACAGATTAAAAGATTAACCGGTGAAAAACTGTTCGCGGCAAAGAAATTTTTCCCAATAAATACGGAGAGAAAAGAAAAACAGGAGACGAACAACTTCGAAAGTGTTTATAAAGGGATGCGAAAAAGATGATAATTTAGAAGACGTCGCGACGTGAAACACGTGAACGCGTGATGCGTCGGCCGACCTCCATCTGCACTGGCTGCCCGAGAATGGAAACAATACTTCGACACTTTCTTTCAGACTTGGACACAACACAGCCAGCCGAGCAAAGTACGATATGACGATTGGAACATGGTCCGTTGGAAAAAGCAGATGTGACTCTGACATTGGTAACGCGAAAAGGACATGCTCCGGACGTTTCTGAGCCCTTCTAGGGATCACTTAAGAATGCTGACGCTCTTAAAGTGGTCACTAGAAATGCCCCGACACGTCCGACTCGCGTCCGTTTCGCGTTACCAATGTCCGACGAGTTATGTGCGCCAAGATATAGGCGAACCCGAGCAAGGTTGCTGCCGAGCGGTGATAATCTACCTGAAGATTCAATTTGGCTAGATAGTTCCTGAAGGTACACTTTGGAAAAGGAAAAACCCCGCCCTTGTCGTAGCACCCTCGAACCCGTCTTTCTTCGCATCTATTTCAACTCGACCAGCCATTATCTAGATCGACACTTCCAACAGAGTAACTACAACTTAACTACAGATTTGTTCCGTTCGTTCGCCCTTGCACGCCTGTCGAACTTACCTCTGCAGAATTGTCAATATTTTCGCAAAAACTAAGAGAAATTTCAATCTGATATAGTTTTCAACATTGCCTTCAGCAGAAATTTTTTGAATAAGGTTATTCATTGGGCTTAACGAGCGAATCATGTGGTACAAAAGCTCAAGCTGAAGGTTTAGAATTTTTTTTGGTTTCAGGCGCTTAAATGTTCCAAACGCTACCCTATCCTAACGAAATTTCAAAAAATTCTCTATCAACATACAGGAGAGCTGTGAAAACTTAGAGCTCCTCTCATGTCCGTATTCAGAGAAGATTCTGTCCTGAATCATGGAATATTTGAAGAGCGTTCGTCGGCCTTTGCACAAGAACGGCGCGTAGATCAATTCGCCCTTTTTGGTAGTAGTCGACGGAGTTGAAAGTTTAGCTTCTCCTCCATGTAGGAGCAGTACGGCGCCCGCTTGTCCAGGGTTCGGACTGATCTCAATGGTCAGATGAGAGCGGAAATTAAAACCGACCACTCGGGAGAAAAAAAAAGAAAAATTTTTTAGATTCACAATTGTGATCAAAATTGATCAAAACTATTCCCTTCCGAGAACTTTGGTAATTTTTTTATCCTGAAAGATCGTTGAAAAATTGTTACCAAAACGACAGAAGCGATGTGAAAAAGTTTAAAGATAAAAAGAAAGGCGTGAATCACGATGAAACAAGTGATGAAAAATGAGAAAAAGGATGACAGATATAAGTGCGCAAACCATACATAGTTAGAAACAAGCAAATTGATAAAAAAAAAAGCAGAAAACAGAAAGAAAACAACTTGAATCGATGAGTTTTCAATGAAAATAAAAGCTTATACAGACTATTATTGAGCTAAATTGTTTGATAGGAATTTAAAGCAACCGCGAAAGTTATTAAAATATCATGAAATTGTTTGCAATCAAGAAACAACAAAAATATAAATCGCATAATTAAAATTTAAAAAAAAGCATAAAGAAGAAATAACAGTTATTAAAGAAAAGACTTCAAAAACCAGCAAAATGTCGAAGAAGGGCTTACAAGTTTGCGAAATACATGAAAAGCAGCTAGGCTTGTAGGGCTTCCAATATTTTTCTTATTCCTTCACTTCTGTGAAAAACTGACGAGAACAGTGTAAAGATAAGGGTTCGTTGTCTGGTTTGCCAGAAGTAAAGTTTACAGGAGGTTTCAAAAGAAACCGACTAGGTGAAAAAAAAAAAGTTAAATAGATTATCACTTCTGCATGGAAAAAAAACCGGCAAAGAAAAAAGATGGGAAAGTTGACAATACTCGCGAATCAAAACACGAAGTGCAACAAAAACAAGAAAAATAGAGCTCACTTGAATCTCTACTCTACCGGCAAAACTTAGCGAATATTGAAACAAAAAATGTCGTAATAAATGATTGGGATGCGTCCGAGACTTCGAGGGTCGACAAATAATTGAAGAAAAAGCTGTACAAAATATGCTTAATGTATGAAGAGGAACGTGAATAGTGAACTAGAAACGATTGCAGGGTTTCATCTTTTGATATATTCCTATACAGTTGCTAGTCGCGTACAAATGGGCCTTAGATGGGTATAAAAGCGTGAGACCAATAATATTAATCTACTAAGCCTTTTTTCGGTACTCCTTGGAATTTGATCAAGCTTCGTACAGATTCGAACAGAACATTGAAAAGGAAATAAATCAAACAAGTTGAGCGAATAAGAGAAAAAAGGCGGGTGAGATCAATCCTCAAGATCCAAGTCTTCTTCCTGGTAAATGTCGTCCTCGTCAGAAAAGTACACCTGCAACTTTTAGATAATTGCTTTGAAAAAACCCTGAACCGTTTTTTTTTCTCAAAGATGTTCTCCATTGTTATCATCGATTCAAGGTCATACGACTTCAAAGTTTCAAAATATTTTTTAGATATCATTTCGTTGAACTCAGAGTCGTCCAATTGTCGTAGATGAGAGATATTTGGTTTATAAATATTTGAAATTTTTTTGATAATTGTGAAATTAATAGTAATTAAAGAATTGAAGCACTCAACTGCCCAGTGTTTCATAATATTTCTCAAATTCAAAGTTTAGATTTTTACTAAATAGTATTTTTTTCCATTTCAAAACAGAAGACTAAGCAAATCTGAAAAAAATTATAAAAAAAGTATAGTTTATCGTTTTTATAAATTTATATGAATGATGCATTTTTCAAGTAAAGTTTCAGTGTACAAAATAAAAAAACTGATGACTCACCTTGTTGCCCACGACTCCAGAGCTGCTGTAATTCTTCTCATAACCATCGTCGAAACGTTCTTTTTTGATCGGTCTTAAATAGCGTACTTTTTTATTTAAAAAAAAAAATTCGAAAATCATTTAATTTCCTCTTTTTACGAATCAGAGGCCGTATACAATAAAGTGGAAAATGGTTTTCCACCATTTTCCTGAAACTCGTAAATGGCTACAATTAGTCTTTTTTAGACTGAATTTGTTTCTACTCTATCCGAATCTTCTTATAAAGCCTTATTACATCAGATGAAGTGGAAAAAATGATATCCAGGCGAGTTTAAGGCCTTTTCAATTTTCAGGAAAATGGCGGAAATCGTTTTCCACTTCATTGCATACGGCCTCAGAAAAAGACTTTTCTGTGAAGAAGAAGATACCTGTAGGCAGACGAAGGAGCGGCGCGGCGCTTTTTGGGCGCCTTGGCTTTGCCGCGAGCGCGGTCCATGCAGCGGAACTCGAGGGCGATCGGCCAAATGTCCTCGATAACCCGCATGACGGCTTCTTCCGAATGTGCTTAAAACTTTTTCTTCTCTTCCAATTGGTACCTTTTCTGATCTTCTCAATGAAGACTGTAAACCGTTCAATACCACAAAAAAAGGAAGAAAGTCAACGAGAAACCTATCCAAGTGAGAACTGCGGTCTGCGTATGTCTCATTCTCGTTCAATTTCGTCTCATTTTCATAAAATTGAACCAACATTTTCTCGTAAAGGTATTTACTCTGTTATTAGGCCTTTTTCTGTTAGATTTAAATATGGATTTTCTTTCATTAATGCAGCGACGAAGACGCTTGACCTATGATAAAACTTGGCTGAAGTTACTTCAAGTTCTTCCGAATTCAAAAACGAGGAGGACATTTCTCGACTTCCAGTGTCGCGTTATGAAACTTCCAAAGCTTAAAAAAAAGTTATTTTCCTCAATAGTTTCTGTAGATTGTATACTTTGAAGCCTCATAATTCAACTATAAGAGATAGCCGAAAAAATTTTTATTTTGAAATCAGGGGTATTCAAAAACACGGAACTTTCCTCTAAATTTTAACCGAGGGGACCAGTCCTCCTAAATCCCTTATCTGCCTTCGATCTTAATTTCCCTAACTGATTAGAAACTTTATCGAACGGAAACGTCCAACAAAAAATGAATGGAGAAACCTCCAGTGACGGTAATGGAGCCAGTTGTGTGGATGCGAAGGGTCGCCTTGGGGTCGGTGGAGCGCCAGACGAGGCCCACCGACAATTCCGGTTCGTATTGCGCGTTCGCCGGGTACTTTTGAGCAAGCTACAACGTTTACACTCAATTTCGAGCGGAACTGGCGTCAAACCTCCTCAATTTTGATGCCGAAAGGTAACCGACACGTCGCCAACACGTTATTCACCTGAAAGAAAAAAATAAAGTCTTCAGATAAATATTTACAGTTAGGCTCTTTCCAATGAAAATCTACTATATATGAAAAAAAGGTTGTACTATCCAAATGAAGCAGGAGATTAAATCTAGTGTATAGCCCACTGATGTGATGAACGCTTTTGATTCTAGATGTTTTTTCAAACGGAATTTTCACGAAACTAATGAAAGGTTCTTTTTTGTTTGAAAAAACCTTGTAGTTTCTTATCCGGATGCTCGATTCCAGCTTGCCCATAACGCGCTGCACATGTCTTGCGATAGACCGAGCTGCTCTTTTACAGTCAATTTCGCTAAAACTTCCTTCTTATTATTTTTTTTTCTCTTTGTGATCGGGTTCACCTCCGACAACCGACGATATAAACCTTGCCAGAACTGTAGACTTTGACGTAACAGTTAGGATCTCGCTTTTGCTTCATCATCACCTTTAAAAGAAAGGATCACTCCACATAATTACATATTTTACAGAACAATTGCAAAACTAGAAATGCTTCGTTCATAGAGTGCAAAAAAGCAACTTCCGACTAGGGAAAAGTCGGAATGGTGGATAATAATCGCTAAAAGAGAGAGGCTCGAAAAAGGCCGCAGGAAGGCAGCAAAAAGAATCTCTTTATCGACCATTTTTTTTCTGGAATTTAAAAAAAGGGAGAGGCAGCAAAAATGGTGCACAAGAGCCGATGAAATGACCCAAAAAAACAAGCAAAAAAGGAACCTTCGTCATCCTAAAAAGAAAATTTCTATGGAGCCTTTTCGACCATTTCCGACTTATCCTATGGAGTGATAAAAGCTAACTTTCCAAGCGCTGTCTACTAAACTCATTCAGCTGTAGAAAGCTGAGCAAAAGTTGATAATACTGAATCGAATTTGCGATGGAAAAGTCCTTCAATGAAAAAGCTAACCAGGGAACGTTTTTTACCCCCCGGTTGAACTTTTGCTGAAACTTTGCTGAAGTGTACTTTAGGACCCTGTGATTGCAGATCAAGAAGAATATTTCTCGCAATAGATCTTGTTTCCCAGTTATGGAGCTTCAAAGTGTGCAAAATACGCAAATTAGGCCAAAAAAGCGCTATTTCGGGCTTTTGAAGTGTCCTAACTCGAAAACGAGATCTATTGCGAGAAATTTTCTTTTTGTTCTGGAATCAGGGGGTCCTAAAGTACACTTCGGCAAAGTTTCAGCAAAAGTTTAACCGGGGGGTAAAAAACGTTCCCTAGTAAATACTCGAAAATCAATAAATGATTGAGCGATTGGTAAGAATATTTTTGTTTAGTTGTGTTTTTCTGCGTCTTACAAATTTTTCACTGACAATCTCTTGTTAAAGAGTTGCTTCTCTCGCTCTAGAACTCTGAAGGAAAAAATCACAAACAAAACGAGCTGTTCCCAGCTTTGACGATAATGAATTATATGAGGAACAGAAAAATTGATGATTGTTTTCATTAGATGGAAAAAACAGCTTTGCGAGATGAAAATAGAAAGAGACCCCTCTTCCTCTGTCGTAAGTGACGTTGTTACTGTTGAGGGCGAGCCGACGGAGGTCGATGTGAAGCGGGAGCGTGTAGTTGCAGACAACGTTGCGGATCTGAAGAGCAGATGACGTCACATCGGCGTCCACTCACCTGAATGTCGATGTCCCCTGCGAGGTCTTCGGACAGTGGCTCTTCTTTCACTTCCTCTTTCACTTCTAGCGGCTCTTCCTTCACCACCACCTGGAATCGGCTTCTTGAGAGCTGCGGCCAAATTGATTAGGGGCAAAATAAGAGCATTTGTGAAAACCGTTCAAAATCTTGCAGCTTAAATTGTGTACATGTACAAAATGAACAATTTTTTTCAAAACGAAAATGATTACAAAAAAGCAAGAATATGTAGGCTAATCTTGGATTCGTGGACTCCCTTCAAGCTTTTGCCAAAACTTTTTTTTGAATTTTTTTTTTTGCGAATTGCGGCCATCCATAAAAATATATCATCCGCAGAGTTTTCCTGCTCGCGGGCCGAATTCATTCGTTTTCATCCTTTATTCAATATTGAACTAACTTTTTACAACTTTTCAACAAATTAGTTGCTTTTCAAATTTTTTCGAACTGAATACTTGATGATGGAAAAAATGCGACATTTTGAATTTGGGCTAGGGTTAGAACAAATCTAGAGTGAGATTTCTGAGGTAATTTCTCTGGTTTTTTTTTTCTTAAACCGGATCCCTTATGGTTCATACACTCAAATCATAAGAAAACAGAAATATGATGCTTAGAACTTGAAAAATACGACTTGAGTGAAAAAAATTTCAAAAAACTGACCGGTTCAGGGGTCGGTTCTCTCAACGGAATCGCCAAATTCATCCCGAAAGAGTTGTTCCTATTTTGCACGAAAACCAGCTGGTTCTGGAGGTTTTGACCTTGTCCGTTGTTTCCAACTAGCTGCTGAGTACCTTCTAAATACAACATATGATCTAAATGATAGATGCGTTCTGAATGCGACACCGAAACAATGTTCAGAGCAGAAAAAGTATAAAGAAAACGTACGAAAAGCGGAGATATGTTGTCCTGGATTTTGAATAACCTGAGTTCGGATTATTTGAGGATTTCCTGCGGAAGTTACAACCGATTTCACAGGAGCATATTGCATCTGAAGTCTCAGATTTATCAAATGAGTGAATCGAAATTAGAAGAAGAAAGTTTCTCAATCGGTTAACAATACAATACAGCCGAGTTTCATTGTCGATAGAACGTCTTTCCAAACTTGTGAACTTATGAGATGAAACCTTTAAAAAAAACGGCGGAAACAAGGTTTTTTTGATATCGAAAGCCGACTGAAAGAATAGAGAAGCTGTATCCTGCTCAGAGAAAAAACTTCGTTCCTCTAAAACCTGGAGCAGATAATTTTGAAGATTGAGAAAATGAACCCCACAGTTAAAAGTGATAGAATTTGTATGCTCATTCAATCTTTAGTAAAATATTTTTTGAAATTGAAGCTTGAAAAACTTTAAAATAGGGGTTTTTCGCTCCTTTATAATTTCCCAAAAAAATTACGTTTTGATGAGTCGTGGGCGTAGAGGTGACGACAACGTAAGATGTCCGTGGGATCTGGGAACCCGATGGCTGTTGAATGATGCTCCGATTGGGCTGTTGAACAAGGCGATTCGTCGTCTGAATCGTCGTACGGCCAGCTTCCATCGGAAGAGGAGTCGGTCGTATGGGCTGCTGATGAACGACACCTGCTTGAAGAGGTCGCGTCCCGACGATCACCGGCCTGACCGAACCGTGGCAGAAAGAATCGGAAACTCACACAAACCTTCCCTCAGAGGTCGTCACTATCGTGTTTTGAATTCGCTGCGCACCGCCAACCGCAAATGAATGATGGCCAACGCTCGCAGTTGTTCGAGCTGAAACGAGAAGCAATTTTCCAGACATAAAATCGTCGAACTATCCTCTCCCTCTATACTGGTTACTCATTCATAGCAAAAAAAAAGCTGAACATAAAAAACGTGCTCTTTCAAAACTCTCACCTTGCTGTGACGAGGACTGACCGATATTGGAACCATTCGTTTTACCCGTCGAAGCTGCATAAGCGTAGTCATGGTCGACGCTCATGCTCCCGAAAATAGGTTTCAGACGATTACTGCAGCATTAAATTGTGAGATTAAAAAAAAAAGCTTAAGGCGTGTTGCACTGAGAAACGAGGCCGGTTTCGAAGTGCAAAAAGTATCCATAGGCGCGCCACAATTGCTCCGAAACAGTAAAAAATGTTTCTTTTTAAGAAATCCTGTTTATTTTTGAAAAGAATAACATTTTTTCCGATGAACAGACTACTTTTAAAAAAACTAGTTTGAAAATGTTTCAACTCGTCTTGAGAAGGTTACATTTTCAAAAACAAATTTTTTTCTTCTATATATTTAATGCTGAGCTAATTGCTTTGCGCACTTCTCGTGAAACTTCAATAGCTTCAATAAAGGTAAAAATAATCTTTGAGGCAAATTGAAGGAAATTATGAAATATGGAAAAAATCCGAGGTACGGAGAAATACTTTTATTCAATGCGATCCTTCTTCAAAATTTTGATTCATACTCCGTTCAACAATTCAGAAATTCTTGTAAGCTAAATATCACTAACAATTTTTTACTGACATAGAAAAATGAAACTTTCAAGGGACGGGCGCGAGGTGCGAGAGAGCAGACTTGCCTCCTTGCCGGCTTTCGAAATTCAAAAAGAATCGAATTTGATGAGCTCATCGTGTGTGATTTTTTAACTGTTGTCATTGTGTTTCCTTTTTTTTTTGATATAGTATTGAATTCAGAGTATTTAGGATTTTTCTTGGATCTGATGAGAACTTCCTTGAAATTTGGGGTCCGGCACTTTTTTATAGTTTTTCAAAGCTGTGAAAAGAAAACCTACAAAGCAAATAATTCTGAAATCGTTCCTTGATTGGTTCTTCGGTGTGCTCAACTGAGAAACGAATGTTCAAAACGGAAAAGTGTTATTTGGCGCTTCGTGTATCTGTAAGAATTTCTGAGACAGCGCGAATGAGCAAGTTTTGAATATAAGTGTTCGTAATTTTTTTTAGAAATTCGCTTTGAATCAGCCCTTTTTTTTAACAAATAAATTTAGTTTGATTGCTAGAATAGTTCAATATGCGATTTGTAAAGAAGAAACTTTAAATTCTCGAAGAATTCGATCATTTTGCAAAAGAACTATCAACTGTCGCTCCGCTTCACAATTTCGCGCTTTAGAGTTACTCGCTCACCAATCGCAATTCTGTTTGAAACCTTAAGAATGACAATTGGAGTTTTTTCATCGTATATGAAAAAGGGACGTTCGTGTGAGTTTGGTCAGCTTTCATGTTTGAAGGACTGCTGATGATGACATGACTTCCGTCTCATTCTGGAACTGTAAAATGATTGTGGAGAAATTTTCAAAAACTCTTGTTTTGAGGCTTTTGAAATGAAGTATGAGGATACATCAGCTGTGCAGACTGTCGGACTCGCCCATGAAGAGGGGGAACTTCCGTCAGACCATTCGAATTCTTCCTCGGTGGAAGACTTGCTAAAAGGTTGCGTTTCGATTTTTATTCAAAGAATAGTTTTTTTCAGAAAAGGATGGCGTCCTTTCATCGTCTCGAGATCGTCTTTTTTCGGAAAAGTCAGACAAATCAGATAAGAAGAAGAAGAAAAAGGATAAAAAACATAAGAAAGATAAAAAACACAAAAAAGAGAAGAAACATAGACGCGAAAAAGACACGAGCGACATCGAAGGTTGTTTTTCCCCAATCATGCTAACTAAAAGTATGCATTTAGAACCACCAACAAAAAAGAGAGCCGTTGTTTCTGAGCAACCTTCTGAGAAGATCAATGTTGAGGAAAAATCAGTCAAGAAGGTCGATAACGAAAGTTTACCAGTAGCTCAAAAAGTTGAAAAAAGCCATGATTCCGTGGGTGATAAGAAAAAGGACAAGAAAGAGAGCGCTCGAGAGGACGCGAACGATATGAAGGAAAAAACGGACGAGGTTTTTAGAAAAGCGTCCTCACTTCTTATAAATCTCCTTCAGAAAAAGAAGAATGAATCGCGGAGTTCGGCGGAAAAAAGACGTGAGCGAAGTCCTGAAAAGTCTCGAGGAGACAGGAGCCGAGAGTCAGAAACAGGAAGGAACCGAGAACAGGGGTTAAGACGTCGAGGATCGCCAGACCGTCGGAGGTCCGTCCGTTACTTTGCCTATGATCTCCCTAGCTCTCAACATATTCCTTCTCTGAAACGTGCCAAGATTTTTTCAGGCCAGTTCATAGAAGTGCGGAGCTTCATAGAGAAAGAGAAAGAGATAGATTCCGGAACCGTGGTCGTGACCGAAGCAAGGATCGCCCGAGGGACGACCGTAGAAGCGAGAGGTTCCTTTCTTGCGAAAATTGTTTTTTCAGGAGTTTTTGCAGGTCTCTTGACAACAACCGCGGGAGAGGGGACCGCAGACACGGCCGAAGTAGATCTCGTAACAGACGTCACAGGTCTCGAGAAGATGAAGCTCGAGGCAAGCGAAAGGAAGCCAAGGCGGTCAGTTTCTTCACACTTTGTGCAATCTAAGGTCGTATGTAGATAAAATGAAAGATAATTTTTCTCTTTTGTTGAGGGCGGAGAAGGCCTGAAACTCGCTTCAGAAGCTTCGAAAAAAAAATTTTCAATCTGTAAAAACGAGTTCGAAACTTGTAATTGCGCGTCATAAAAAAATATTGATGCAAATTTTTCTGTTTTCTTCTTCCGTTCTTGATAAACTGAACTATTTTTTTAAGTTCCTAACTCCTTTTGACTTTCCGAGGACGAATTTTATTTTTTATGCGCTCTCCGGGGTAATTTTTTGGTAGAGTTGAATTTTCAGACTTTGCGTGAACTTTTTCTCCGATTCTACTATGTCAAAAAAAAAGTGTTTCAGGAAGAAGAGGAAGACGCTCCAGCCGTCAACTGGGATCTCTATTCGGATTCAGATGACGACGAGGAGAAAAAGATCGAGCAGCTGCGAATTCGTCGTCGAGAGATCATGCAGAAGCTTGGAGGCAATACGGAAGAAGAGAAAAATGTGCGTCTTTGCGAGTTTTCTTGAGTCATTGTCGGATTCTGCAGAAAGACATCTCTGTGTCCGTAGAAAACAGTTCGATGGATAGTGAAGATAATGAGGCCTCGGACAGCGAAAAGGAGGAGAACAGTTTGATTTTGGAAGCGAAGAAACTCGTCAACCAGGTTATTTTCTCAGTGAAATTTGGCTTCGTAGTTGTTCATGATCTCCAACGCTCTATTGAGTGAGTGAAAAAAAAGTCTAAACAGATCACAAAAAGTGTCGCTTCGGAGTGTTACTTTTTTCGTTTTTTTTTGAGGTAGTGTTTAATAGTGATTACGGTTCCATATAGAGGCTGTGTTTACTTGGCTGAAGATTGGTTCTTGTTAAGACGCGAATAGGAAGCGACACTCCGACGACGGCGAGTGGAAGGTCGACGCCTGCCGAAGGACGCGAAGAAACGCCAGAAGGCGTCGACTCCCCCTTCGATTTCTACGCAGATTTGAAAGAGAAGATGGTCCATCTCAAGTGAATTTGCTCTTCCTCCTTTTTACATTTTTTCATGTTCAGAGGGGCCGATGAACATAACGTGGACGAAGTATTGAAAAGAAGTCGAGAGGAGGAGAAAAAGGCAGAGATGAACTTCATAGAGGCCGACGAGCCGAAGGAAGTCCAGCAGGTTCCAGAAAAAGTTTTCTTTCTGAGATATCGGTCTATAAGCCATCTTTCCAGAGCGAGAAAAATGAGGACGTCGAGTTCGATATGTTCGCTGACAACGAGGTTCTCCCACTGGTTAGTTGATTTTGACTCAGTCGTTAAAGACATGTTTTTATGAATAGACAGTTGGTTGAAAGAAAATAACTCTGTGATGCTTGACAAGGGAAAAAAATGAAAAAAAAGATGAACAAATTGTGGAAGTAATAAAGAGTTGAAAAGTTTGTTGATTTGGGATTCCTTTCTTTCCTACAGAAGAGATGCAATATATGGAAAAAAATAGGCTCAAGAAAGTTTCAGGTCGTAATTCTAAAAAAAATAAGTACTGACTATGAAAGATCTTCATCTAGACCTCGAAAGAAAATTTGAAAAAAATTGTTAAGAAGTTTTGAATTTCAAACCTTACCGATTTAATTTTCAAGTAAATCAACAAAGCTGCTTCCAAGAACAAATTTGGCAAGAAAATTTGAATCTTTTATTCTGTCAATAATTGATGAAAATCGAATAATGCAGGACGGCATGGTTGGGACGGTGGGTACACACGGAGCGAAGCACGAGACTCTCAAAGACAACTGGGACGACACCGAAGGATACTACCGTCAGTGGTCGTGCCTTCGTTGAGTTAATGAAAAATTGTTGAAGGCGTTCGAATCGGCGAAGTCTTGGACGACAGATATCGCGTCGTCGGCTACACGGGCGCCGGCGTCTTCGGAAACGTCGTCAGGTGCACGGACCAGACGAGGAACAACACCGTGGCCGTCAAGATCATCCGCAACAACGAAATCATGCAAGTTTCTCTTCGGATCTTGCTAATATTTTGTACCTGCTTGAGATTGGGAAAATAAGAAGTTTTTTAAATAATTAGAGAAAAGTCTGTTAGTTTAGTTTCAAAAATTTTATGTTCAGTTTTTTCCTTGTCAGTTATTTTCCGACCATATGATACGTGGGAAATTAAGTAACTCAATAAATCAAGAAACAGTTTGATTAACAACAATTTTACAAAATAAGGTATAAGAAAAAGTCTTCAGTCTCAGTCTTCACAAAGATAAACAGAGGTTTCAGTTTTTAGGAGTTAGTAACGACTTCAATGAGAAATTCTAAAAAAATTCTGAGAAAAAAAGAATCTAAAAAAAGTTCTCGACCTCCAAAAATTTTTTTCAGAGCGTCTAACGAAAGAAAAAAATCAAAAAAACGATTGTTCTTATTTACTTTTTGAAGCGTTTTTCAATTCTGATTCGCCTCTGACAATCAATTCCCCATAGACTTGGTCTCAAAGTGATTTATGTAAAAAAAATTATAATTTCACGATTATTCACGGCAGGAATGAGACCATTTATTTCCTAGGAGGAAGACGGGTTTGCGAGAGTTGGAAGTGCTTCGAAAGTTGAACGAGGCCGACCGAGAAGACCGTTACCATTGCCTGCAGCTGTACCGGACCTTCACTCATCACAACCATCTCTGTCTCGTGTTCGAGAACTTAAGGCAAGTTGAGAAAATTATTGAAGCTCCCATCAACGAGAAAAAATTGTGCTCTTTAGACAACTCCCAACTCCTTATTTCAGCATGAACCTTCGCGAGCTGCTCAAGAAGTACGGCAACAATGTTGGACTTCATCTCAAAGCTGTCAGAAGCTACGCGCAGCAACTTCTACTCGCGCTGCGACTACTGAAAAAGTGTGGTCTCGTGCACGCCGACATCAAACCCGACAATATTCTTGTAATTCTTTCTCCATTCTCATTTAAGTAGTTATGATCGTCGTCAAAGGTCGCGCTGTTCAGCTGAGCCTTCAAGTAGACTTTTTTTTTTTTTCGAACCTCTAATGGGGGTCGAACTTGTGACCCTGTGAACCGTAGACGTTTTGATTCATGCCTCATTTTTACCTATTATTTTTCGAAAGCTATTTCTAAAAAGATACTTTTTCAAGGTTAACGAATCGAAGTTGACTCTGAAACTGTGCGATTTCGGTTCTTCTGGTCATGTTCATGAACAGGAAATCGCCCCGTACCTCGTTTCCAGGTTCTACCGAGCTCCAGAAATCAGTTAGTATCAAGATTTACCTCTCCTGGATTGATTTTGTATGATTAAGTGCTTGGAATCGCGCACGACTACGCCATCGACTTGTGGTCGATTGCCGTCACGCTCTACGAGGTTTACACTGGTAGAATCATGTTTCCCGGTAAATCCAATAACCACATGCTCAAGGTTCGTATAATTTCCTCTCTTCCACAATTTTTTGATTGTTCAAGCTATTCACGGACGTCAAAGGAAAATATCCAAACAAACTGGTGAGAAAAGCTCAGTTCCGGGATCAGCACTTCGACAACAATTGCAACTTGCTTTACCACGAGGTCGACAAAGTCACACAGAGAGATAAGGTTACTGCAAAAATAAATTCTTCATATTAATAAGTTTTTTTTAGGTTACGGTACTGGCAAATCTGAAGGCATCTAGAAACCTTGACTTGGAACTTATTGGCGACCAAGACTTGAACCGTGATGGCATTGCCCAGGTATTATTGTCATCTGTGCGCTGTTTGGTGTAGTGGGATATGGGGCCGTGGGGGTCACACACGTTGCTGGTTCGACCCCTCTTCAAGGTGGCATTCTGTTCCTCGCTGCATCCCGATTTTCTGATGCAGGGATTTTATGAATGCCTAAAGAAAGGAGAATTGTTGCGTGGCTCATCTTCCGCAAGATTTTCGGAAATGGCTGATTGGGACACTTCTACAATCTATTTTGCTTCTATTTTCAAATCCTTACCGATTTCCATCTATTTTTCAATTAGATGTGTTTCAGGTGCAAGTCTTCAGACAACTTCTCGATCAAATGTTGGTTTTGGAGCCGAGCAAACGGATAACATGTGGCGAAGCGTTGAAACATCCGTTTTTCACTCAGAAATGAGTTGACTTTTTGAGCACCTCAACTCATCTTTTGTGCCACATATCGAAATGTACGCAAAAGTTTCTTAACTATTCTTTTGTACTTTTTTTTAATGGTATGGGTAATACAACCTAATTATATGTCTTCTTTAATTCCTCGTCAGCAAAACCCCGCTGAGATCTCTTCATAGATTGTTTTTTTCACTATCTGTTTGTAAGAATTTTTCTTTGTCCTATTGTTATTTGTATTTCCGATTTTCAAGTGATATGTCGGTGCGTGTTCAGACATTTTTCCAAGGCTCGCTCTTTTCTGCAATTATCAATAAACAGTTGTGTAGTATTTTTTTCATCCATGCACACAGAAAAACCTTGGGAAATCATAGAAGTATACATCTAATTATGAAAATTAATGATGAAAAATATTCTACCGCTAAATCAATCGACGACACATTTTTTTCACAGATTTTAGCAATTGAGGTGCTGGATTTCCATATCTGTTCCCTTGGTGACGTGAGAATTGTAGAAACGGTTGCCGCAATAGCCGCAGGCGTGAACTCCGGGCTTGTCCTGGAATCACTTGAAAATTTAGACTCGAAAAAAATTCCATAGGCAAATTCGGAAAGAGTGGAAAAGGGCTCCATAGAAATATTTCTTACAGGGTAACAAAGGTTCCTTTTTGCTGCCTTTCTGCGCCATTTTCTCGGCCCTTACGCACAATTTTTGCTGCCTCTCACTTTTCCCTCCGTTTCTGGAGCCTTTAAAATCCAAGAAAAATGAAGGCTCGACAAAGGAAGTTCTTTTTTCTGCCTTTCTGCGGCCTTTTATGAGCCTCTCCCTTTTAGCGGCCATTATTCACCATTCCGACTTTGTCCGAGACGCTCGCTTTAAAAAAGAGAAAACTTGCGTTATTCTTACAGGGATGTTAGTTTTATTTTGCGCCTAGGACCGTCATAAAACTCGGTAAGAACACCTTTCGATGATATTTCCCAATCAAAAAGAAAATATACGTTTCCCAATGAACTCTGTCAAAAAAAGAAAAGGAAACCAGTTGGATTCTCACCAAGTTTATGTAGACTTTAGGGTGACCCAAAGCAGGATGTCCTCCGTCGCAATGAACGCTTCGCTCGTGGCCGCAGTCTTGAGGCGGACGCTGTGCGATCAAGTTCATCGCAATGTTCGGATTCACCTACAAACATTCTTAAGCTAAGAAACTATCCTTCCCCTGGCTACCTGCTTAGGAGATATTCCGAAACGCTGGAGTCTGTAATCCGCCTGGTCCCACGCCTGACATGAAAAATTTTATAAATCAGTTATTTTGAGTTTCAAACTAGAATTGATAAGTGACAATACCTGTCCGGTATGAGTAAGTTCGTCGAATTTGGCGTTAGTCTCTGAAACTTGAGCTGCCGATGGCGACTTGGTCGTGATGCCACTATTGTTAGAAGCACTGCGAAGGGAAATAGACGCGATTCGTCCGAACCTTTGCTGCAGGACGCGGTTCATTCTTTACTGAAAACTTTCAAAAATGCATTCAAAACTCTGAACGAAAATCACTGAACAGAAAAAAGAATACCCCACTCGATTTTTTGCTCATTTTGAATGCAGCGAATGAACCTATAGTGAATGAGAGGTTGAAAAATTATTAAAAACCGTCAATAAATGGAGAATCCTTTGATTGAAAAAAATTTGAAATTTGAAATAAAATAATAAATGTGTTCAGCGGTTGGTTATATAAATGACGGACATTTATATAAGAAGTGATAAGTTCTGAATATCCCTTTATTTTTTTCGAAAAAAATGTGTTAAACTGATAAGAAAAAAACTGTAAAAAAATATTCAAAAAAAACTTTTAAAAAAATCTTATTAGGCAAAAAAACTATTTGAAGAGAAAAAGCTTTTGTGAATTGACGTGATTTCATACAAAAATTTAATAAGATAAAAATATTATCAACAAAAGTAGTTCAAAGCGAATTTGAAGCAATTTGGGCAAAAAAAAAATTACCACCAGATAATAGAAAAGATAACTTCAAATGGGAAGGTCCAAGATCGTTTTAAAAAGGAAAAATAACTTTGACTAAAACTTGAAAAAAGTTGTCCAGGCTCCATTTTTTTTTTCTTCGGCAATACTGTACGTTATTTGGTGTACACATCAAACTCCACGAGAGAAAAGAATAATTTTTTTAAACCTAAAAAAATGAATTTTTGGAAACCAAGATGTTTTTTTGCATTTCATTTTGATTCTAATTGTTCGATCACTATATATTATATAAATTCTTTGAAATTATTTTTTAGAATTGGTTAATTACTCCTGTGACTTGTTGGATCGAGACCGTTGAGGAAAATGTATATAAAGAATGAAAATCAAAGTTCTTTGCAGAGGTCATTTTAGTTCCACTCTTAGAAACTGCATTCAAACAGCTAGTAATATTAAAAAAAAAAAGCTTTCGGTTCATGCGTAATTTAGAAATTACTTCCGATTGCCCCGATCATGTTGTGCAATAACCATCATTTTCAACCTTCCGCTTCCCTTAAAAGCGCAGAATGCTGAAATAACTAGCATAACAAGAATTTCTCTTTCGGTCGATGTTTTTATTAGTTTTTCTCATGATTTTTTTACACAATTTTCCTTCAAGTTGCTTAGTTTTTCTACCTTGCTTCTCTCTTTCTTGCCTCTAGTGCCATTTGGATTTCACAAACTCGTTACGATTCGATTATAATTAGCTCCGTACGTAATCAATGTGTTTTGTTTCTTGTCAGAATTCCGACATCCTAACATGCAAAGTTTTTAGACTTGGATGTCGCAAATGGCGAAAATTTATATTGATGCTGAACATGGTTCGGATTCGAACACCGGCTCAGAAGAAAGCCCGCTTTCTTCTTTGTTGCAGGTGAATTTTTTTTAACCGATTTACTCATTCTTATTTTTGAAGGCTATGATGGTAACGAAAAACAGTGGGGAATATTTGGTTAGAAAGAAAAACGACGATGGCTCACACGCTTGGGAACCAGTGGCGAAAGCTGCAGTCAAAAAAGCCCTGAAAAAGTTTTGGGAAATCTCTAGCGATTCTTATATTCCGTTTGGAGGTACGAGTCTGAGGTGAAGAAAGCTGAAAAGGCAGGTGATCGCTCCAAACAAGCGGTTGAGGCTGCTCACGCCGCTCTGGAAGAAGCCAAAAAGATAACTTTCCAACTTGATACCTCCTTGCCCGCTGCAGAGTGGACACGAATTTCTGAGGTAGTTGTATTACAGATCTCATCTGTTCAGCCCGTCCGGTTTGGCACACTGTAGGTTGAATTTGTGCATACACCCATGGCGGTTTTTGGGCGATATCTTCGTTATCAACGCGCTTTTTGTACGAAAAAATGAACAAATTTGAAGAAAAACACGTATAAAACATTTAAAGATACAAATTTAGTTTTAATAATCAAGTTTTTGCGAACGCTGGCAAGCCTTGAAAAATGGCCTAATTTGGGAACTGCGTCTTTAGTAAGTGAAAAGTCTTTTTTTTCTGTAATTTTTTATCTATTAATGTCGGAAATCGCCTTCTTAATTGTATTCAATACCAAAAATGATCGAAAATGGTCTAGTATGGACAGCGGAGACGGCGCAGTGCAAACCGGACGGGTCCCTGTAGGTCTGAACTGGTGTGTGATGAAAAGAAAAAATACCATTTTGTTTTAGCTCACGAACTGTCGCGAGAAGCGTGTCCTCGTCCAAGGGTGGGTCCATCGTCTCCGAAGGCAAGGAAAAGCTCTTATGTTCGTTATTCTTCGTGACGGCACTGGCTTTTTACAATGCGTTCTCAACGATAAACTGGCGAGTTTTTAATTATTCCAAGAATAAACGACTTTCCTAATTTTTCAGTGTCAAAGTTTCGACGCCGTTACTCTGTCTACTGAATCGTCAGTTCGTATCTACGGCGTCATTCATGAGGTGATTTTTTTGTAATATGTTTTAACAATCGCTGATAATTTTGTTGAGTTGCGAAAATCGCTTTAAAAACGATATTTATCTTCATTGGGATGTTTTTTGAAGGAAAAATTGAAAAAAATACTTTTTTTCTTATCAATATAAAGCAACACAAGGATATACAATAAATTGACTCATTTTTTTAAAAATTCCTTATAAATTTGAAGAATTGAAAACTAACATTTTTCATAAAACATTTCGCTTGCTTTTGATTCTAATTTTTAAATTTAAAAAAACTCCATCCTAACAAACATTTTGATCCTAATAATTATGGATAAGATCAAACATTCTTATGAAAAAAATATCTTCAATGTTAGTCATCTGCAGGTTCCAGAAGGAAAACAAGCACCGGATGGTCACGAACTGAGCGTTGATTACTGGGAGGTTTGAATGAGCTGACGGATTATCGAGAAACTCTTTGGCTGCAGATCATCAGCAAGGCGCCCGCGGGAGGCATCGACAACGTTCTGAACGAAGAAGCGGGCGTCGAGGTGCTTCTCGACAACCGCCATCTTGTTATCCGTGGGGAAAACGCCTCTCGAATCCTCCACATTCGAGCTGCGGCCACTCGGGCCATGCGAGAACATTTCTTCCTTTCCGGGTATACCGAGGTCTCTCCTCCTACACTGGTTCAGACGCAGGTTCGTCCTCCATTTAATATCATTTCCCTCAATTTACCTGCACACATATTATATCTCTTCAAGTTCATTTTCCAGCTTGGTGGAAGCTTGAACGAGTTCATCTTGATCTAAAGAAATATTATTATTTCAAAATAGATAGAAAACCAAAATAAAGTCTTTTCTGTCCACAGAAACTCTTTTAAAAAAAGGTTAACGAAAACATTTAAAGGGTTTTCGAATTCAAAATTTGAAGGTAGAAGGTGGTTCGACTCTTTTTGGGCTGGATTATTTTGGCGAGCCCGCTTACTTGACCCAATCTTCGCAGTTGTACTTGGAGACGTGCATCGCTTCTCTTGGAGATGTCTACTGTATTTCTCAATCTTACCGGTGAGATTTAAATCGTAGACAATTCAATTTTTTTTTTTTAAACAGAGCGGAGAAATCTCGTACAAGGCGTCATTTGGCTGAATATTCTCACGTCGAAGCCGAGTGCCCTTTCATCAGTTTCGAGCAGCTCATGGACAGAATCGAAGATTTAGTCTGCAGCACCGTGGAACGACTCTACGGCAACCCGGCAACAAAAGCCTTGTTGGATCATGTCAACCCGGTAGGAAAATAATAGGATCTTTGAAGATTGTGGCTTCCAGGAATTCAAACGTCCCGAAAGACCATTTTTACGCATGGATTATGCAGACGCCATAAAGTGGCTGCAAGAGAATGATGTCCGAAACGAGTTTGGAGAAAAGTTCGTGCACGGGGAAGACATCGCTGAGGCTGCGGAGAGGAAAATGACCGACACGATCGGAAAGGTTCCCAGAAATGGCAGTCGGATAACTCGGGTTCTGGTTTCCAGCCAATTTTGCTCAATCGGTTCCCTGCCGGCATCAAGTCCTTCTACATGCAACGTTGTTCCGACGACTTTTCTCTGACTGAATCCGTCGACCTGCTTATGCCAGGTGGAAATCTTCTTTATTAAGCTTAGAAACCGCTCAAGGGTTTGAGGCGTAAAGAATGTTAGAGCTCACTAATTTTCAGATAATTTTAAATCTCTTTGTTGAAAGTTCACAGAGCTTCATTTTTTAATCAGACTTCACCCATTTCAAAGTCGATTTTGAAAGCTAGCTACTTCAAAAATTGAGATTTTCAGGGTTAATGTTTAAATTATCAATGTTTTGTTTTCCTACAGGCGTCGGGGAGATCGTTGGAGGCTCAATGCGTATTTGGAATGAAGATGAGCTCGAAGCCGCCTTCAAGACGGCTGGAATCGAAAGCACAAACTATTTCTGGTTCGTTTTTGTTCGTCATTTCTAAACTTGGAAGTTCTTTTTTACATAGGAAATTTTCGCCAGGCTCAATCTCCTTTTCTTTGTTATTTTCTTCCTCATTTTTTAGCATTAGGCTCAAAGTTCAAAAAAACTGGTCTAAAAATGCATTCGCATGAAAAGTCTGTGTACCACGACTTGGAATTTAACCGAAAGACATTCCGCTGTTTCGCTGCGTGCTTTTGCACGTCTTTAGTTTTTCATTTTAGTTAAGAACTCGACTAACACGTGGTCCTAGTGGGACAGTCCATCTATTAGAAATAAGCCCATTCAAAGCGAGACCGAGCCTCGCAATGACGCTTCGCGACGCAGCGGAACAGCGGAATGTCTTTCGGTGAAATTTCAAGTCGTGGCACAAAGACTATGTTCGAAGGAAAAGTTGAAACAGAATGAGAGAAAAGTATCGTTTCCAGGTACGCGGACCAGAGGAAGTATGGAAGCGTTCCACACGGCGGCTACGGCCTCGGCCTCGAACGTTTCGTCTGCTGGATCACCAACACTCACCACATCCGTGACGTTTGCCTTTATCCTCGTTTCATTGGACGATGTGCCCCGTAAAAGTTCTTTCTTTTTATAAAAATGTACCCTTTTTCGATGGGTGTTGACGTTTTTTTTTTGATTTTTAAAAGGTGTTCCTATTGTTTGGTAATAATAATAATAAAATATTCAGAAGCACCTTCAAGCATCACTAAATTCTTCTTGATTTATGGATGTTATTTACAACATTTTTTTTCTAGTGTCAAAAACTGTAAACCCAAGTGTTTGGAAGTTCATTTTTTACGACTTCTCTGCTGGTTTTCGTACAGGGAGACGTGCTCGGATGAAACCTTGCACGGGGCAGCATTTCGACAGCTTTCTTCTAAAATTCGCAATTCGTACAGGCATTATTTCCGCAATGCGCTTGAAATCAAATTCCACTCCTACCGGTTAGAATTTTTATCAAAAATATTTTTTTCAAAAAAATGATCATTCCAAATTGAAATCGGAGACTTAATATTCTTCATCACCCCGCAATGCAGGCGCACTCTGTTTTCTGTGCTGGTTTTTTTTTTTCGAAAAATCGGAAAGAGCCTCTTTTTTTCTCCCTCCAAACTTCACGAAGCGAAGTATGATTTCAGACAACTCGTATGTCAACTCAGTGGTAAGGTAAACGGCGTTCCCGCTCTCGGCATGCCGACTGTGTACTCGGCGGGGCCGCCGACTCGTAACAGGTTCTCGTCACGTGAAAAATGAAAGGCAGCGATTAGGGGCGACGCGGCGGCAACCTTCGCCATAGATGCGATCACCATGAACTCTGTGGGGCCACGCCGACCGGCTCCGCCCGTCACTAACCTTTCTAATTTATGCACTTCTTGAATTTTTCGTAACTAGAAGAGAAGGCAGAAGACCACCTGCTTTCCTCTTCACATCATAGGCAAATTGGAAAATATCTTCTTAAGATCAACCTGGGTCTCTGAAGTTTACAGAATGGGAACTGAAAAAGTTTTCAGGAAGGCGCCCAAAGCTCTTCGTGCAGCTGTTTCTCCCCCTTTTTTTCAACTTCTCCTGCGTCTTTTCTTGAGCTTTTTTGTAGCCCAGCTTCTAAACGTCCGAATATCGACCATTTGTTGAGACGTTGCATAGAGACAAGATTTCAAAAGTTCAAACACAACCATTTAGAAAAAAATGAATGCTCCATAGACCTTTTCTTGTTTGTGGCAATGCGAAAGTTGAATTTCCGCATATGGATGACTCATCGCTATTTCAACTACCTTTGGACTATGAACTATCGCCTAAAGGACTTTTTTCAACAAGTTTATTAAACTTCTGGTAGATCTATCCTAGCTCTTTTTCTAGTTTTCATAACCTTATCGGAGAAACATCTGGGCTCGTACCCTGAAAACCGATTTTTCATTACTTTTCTTTTTTTTCCGCTGCAGGCACCGTACAGTTTGAAACACCGAACAAATAACAGTGGGCCAAACGCTCAACTACTTGCGTCAGTCCCATCGATTCATCAGCGTAGAAAATGAACGCTGTAGCGGCGTTCTTTTTTCACTGACTTCCACTTCAATGTACTTTGACTTTTTTTTTTCAAACAATAGATGTTATAATTTTCAGTACTAGGTGTTAGAGAGTACCGAAAGAAGCCAAAGAACTACTCTCGACATCGTCTTGAACCGTTAAAAATAAAACTGTTATCATTGTGCAGCAGCTGCGGCTATACATTCAAGTGGACGTGTCGATCCTGCGGCTTGTCGTCCCACAAGAACGTAGGCAGACACTATCAGTGTCACGGGACGCGGTTATCGTAGCGAATTCGCGTTCCCCCGACGAAAGCTGTTCTTTCTCGCCGCCTCAAACGCAGCTATCGACCCTTCCTCCTCTTCTCACACTTTTGCGTTCTCAACTTCTTTCTTTCGTCAGCTCTTTTGGCTTTTTTTTTTTAGAAAGATTGTATGAGTTCTCTGCGCGACGTCAGTCGTACTTGCGGAAAGGATACTTGGAGTTGTGTGCATGACGTAAGAGACGACGTTCTCTTCAGCTATTTTCTTCTGATAAGCGGTGGTGACGTCGGACTTCAAAAATAGGCACAAAGCGTAAGTCACCAACTGTCGTCGGTTATAGAGTCAGGTACGCAAGCACACCGGACGTTAAAAAGGTAAAAAAGACTTCTTTTTTTTAAGTCGGCGTTTGGTTTCCTTCAGACTCTGAAACGAACTGTGACCCTCATTATTCCAATTTCTGTTTTCAAAAAAAATAACTAAAAATCTATTACTCATAGATAAAACATTTTTGAAAGGAAATTTACGAAAAAAGGCAATTGTGAAAGGCTTGAGATTTTATGATTCAGGTTTTTTTAATCGAACTTTACTACCAGCATTTTCGCTGTTTGCGTATCCGTGCGAAAATCGACCACAATCCTCCAATTATCGCAAAAATTTGGCGTTTTTATTCGTTTTTTGGATGTTACCCTTAAAACTACCTGGTTCATATCTACGCTTTGAAAAAAGTTTTATCAAAACTTAAAACCGATTTAATTTAAACCTGACAAAGTGAGTTTCTTGAAGTGACGGAACAGCCGTCGACCCCTGGGGCTTCTGAGCCCACGCAATCTTCCGCCGAGTTTTTTTTTTTTCTTCTCTTTCATTCTGGCTCCCTCTGTTCCTTGCTGCTCTCTCACTAGTTCCTCAATTGCTTTACTCGGAAAATAAGCCGCCGCGAGATTAGGCGAAGGAAGTAATTTGCTTAATCACCTCAATTGGTTATGCTTCTGGGTGTTCTCTCCATGAACACCTGTTGTATTAAAAATATGAATAAGAGTGTATCCTAGGTATTTCGTCATCTCACTTTTTCGTTAGACATTCGCACTTTTCTCACATGACCCTTGTTGCGGGTACCAAAGACCGCTAGCTACGAAGAACATGGTCGCTTTGTCTGAATAAGGGAAAAATTATCGGGTTTGTAAGAAGACTCCGAAAAATGTTCCTTGCCCAACTTTTTCCGAACCAAAATTTTCAATAACAGCTCACTGAATTCAAAAAGCTGGAAATAAACTTTCTTGGAATTTTCTCCATCTACCAGAATTTTCTTCTCTAAAGTCCCTAGAAGTTTTATTTTTACGACTTCCTAGTTTTCGAGAAAGTTCAAAGTCTCAAAATGGCCAATTTATGATGGTTTACTTTTTAGCGAGGAGTATTTTCCTAGAGAAATAAAATAAATACTGATTTTCTCAGGATATCTGTTAGTACAAAAAGAAAAAGGGGTTTTATGGCCCACAGTGATCTAAGAAAGTTTTTGAACAACTTTACCCTAGTATAATACTGTGATACACATGTAAGTAATTCAAATATTAATTAAGAAATCAAAAGAGAAAACAGTATACCGTAGTAGTAGCATCCGAAAAACCAGCCATAAAGTTTGCGAATTATCAACGTTGTGTCGACGTATAAGACGACGTCCAGACCATTTTCTTTCATCTTTTCAATACTGAATCGGCTTTATTTCGCAGTTTTTTGTTGCCAACATGAAAATGAAAACTCAAGACTTTGAGAAAGCTGTTCTGAAAGTTTCATTTGCTTACATCAAGCGGTAAATAGGGTGAGGATCTCGCGGTGTGACGCCACGGTATCGCGTTCAAAAACACGGAACACATATACCAGGAGCCACGACATCAACAGCCATCAGCCGCACGTCACATGACTGTCTGCTTCTCTGCGACTTGGCTCTCTCGCACCACCTCAGGCTACACTTGTCACGGGTGCCCCTTTTTGGAGCTCCTGCTGATTCTGATGCAACTACTCCTTTGTTCCGTTCTTCTTCAGTTCACCCTGTTGAACCACAGTATCTTCTCAAGAGCTTTTGCTTCTTTTTAGGTTCCTTTTTCTTTTTTATCTTGTTGAGTTATAGCCTTTAGTAACCTTCTCTGGTTTCTACACTTTCACAAAAAACTTTAAGACCGGCTCGAGATAGTTTGTTTGAAAAGGTTGAGTTGATAGTATGCTCAAGAGATGAGGCCTTAAAATAGCTTGGCGGGAAATGCAGCGACAGGTTTTTTTTTTTGAAGCGATCGCTGAGTTCCGGCGGGTCGACCTCGAGCGTCAGTGCGTGTATCGCAGTAGGCATCGATATTTCCAGCTTGCCATCGAGCGCCTGAGGGTCGCGACCTCCGTCGTTTACCATCCACAACTCGTTTCGCGTCTTTGTCGTTTTTTCTTTCTTCTCTGTGGCTGTCTCGCTCGCACTGCTTCGCATTTTTTTTCATTTCTACGGAATTTCCTTTTATTACACTACTTATGGCGACTTCACGCGTTCTTTCAACTTCTGAACTTCAATCCTATTGTAATTTTTTTCATTTTTTTTCATCGAAGAACCTCAAAATTATAGAAACGATTCGGAATCGATGATAATCGTATGTGCCTAGGAACTTAGAAAAAATGTCTGTACTTTATTTTTTCCTGTTTCAGTGGGCCAGTGAAACCGAGTGGAAAAACGTAAGGTGTGTAATTTTGCCTTGTCACGTTTTCGAAATTTTGCGATAGTCGTCCCTTGGGCTCGTCTGTGAGATCTCACAATCTCACACAAAATTTCAAAAAAGTCAAATCAGAGACGAACTTCGCTAGTTTGAGCGTAAACATGGTAGTATAGAGAACTAGTTTTATTTATTTTCAGCATGGTTCAATTGGCTAAAACTAAAATTTTGATCATTTTACTTTTATAGTATTTTTATTCGTCTGTATATTTAAAAAAAAAAGGAGCCGAAATGCGAGATCCTTGATGGGGTTCTAAAAGAGCTCTCAAGAGTTGTCTGAGCACTCTGAAACTTAAATAAAAATAGCGATATCCAAGAAGCCTAAGTTTCAAAAAAAAAAGAGACGCTTAGATTTTGCACACAGAAAAGTCGTTTGAGGCTTTTTTTTCTAAGAAATATATTCGAGCCAATAGAAATGATTTTGAGTTTAATGAGGAAGTGACGATATGATTTGAGTCATACCACCAGAGACTCTAGAAAGTTCGGAAAATGTGCATGGAGAGGAGGCGAAATGTAGGGAATGAAGAGGCGGGGTGGAGAGAGAGTTAGGGCGCTCTTGCGATCACCTGACCGCAGTCATACGCAGTCCTTGTGTCATTTGCTCCTACCTTTCCTACTTATTCTAGCGCTGTGAACGTGGCGGCGATAGAAATTCCCGAGTTTTCAAAAATATTTTTAAAAAAAGTTGGCAGTACTGCTCGCTCGCGCTTGGCTGAAGTGTAGCCAAGATTGGCAGACGCGGCGCGGCGCGCAACGCGGCTGCACGAATTGTCATCGTCAGTCGATATTTGGTCGATTCTTCCTCGCGGTTTTGGGCTTCGGCTTGGCGTTTGTGAATTCATTTTCTTTACAATGTTCTCCTGGAGTTTTTCTCATTCCCGCGTTTTTTATTTGCGTTTTTTTCATTTTAATTTGATTTATATGAAAAAGTTTTTTTTTTCAGTTTTGGTACCTTCCAATGAAAAGTTTGCTTTTAACTATGAATTAATTTGGTTACAGATCTTGTTAGAAGTTTTTGAAACTATCCTTAAATTTAGAGTAATGAAAAAAATACGCGCAAGAACATATTTATAGAGACTAGAAAGAGGCTGAATCTTTTATTGAAACCCATTTCTTGAAAGAATCTTTCTTTTTTTTTAACAAAACAGCAGCAAGTTATTTTTGCTGCAGTGACACAAGTTTTTGCTTGACAAAAAAATGAAGTTCGAAACCGTTTCACAGGTCGCCTGAAAAGTGAAAAATTATCCAATAAAAGATGGAGGTATGATGAAAAAAATCAAATTAAATTATAAGCAAATAGCTCGTTTTTTTCAATCTACGTTTCGAAAGAATAGTTGAAAAAAACGTTTTTTTGAAACCATTAGGTCCTTAAGCTGATGCCAGTTTGTATTTTTTTCAGAAATTAAAAACATTTTTCTTGCATTGCCAGATTTGTTTTTTTGAAAAAAAAGGTTTATTTCATTCTAAAAATCGTACTTGTTTGAAAGTTTTATTCCAAAAGGAAGGTTGTTTTTCACAGTTATTTGAAAGAAATATTTTTAATTTCTTTTTTTTTTAAAATTTCTAGCGTTAATTCATTTTTTTTCTGTCAATTATTGTAAAAATATTTTCATAATCATTTTTACTGACGTAGTTTTTTTTTAAATTTTCAGGCTAGTGTTTCGAATTTCTTGTAAAGTCCCGATACTTAGCAAACTATTAAAGGATCCTAGTGAAAGTCCGTTTTTATGCACATAAATTTCATTAAATTCGTGATAGTCGTTGTCATGAAACTATCAGTTAAAGTAATTTTCAAATAAAAATTTTTTTTAGATGTTAAAGTTTTGTATGATACTACGGCCTCGTTTGACGCATTCCTCCATTCAGACGCGAAACAAGGTGTTCATATATTGATCGATCATCTATGCGATGCATATATTCAAGGCGTCACTTTTCGGCTACCTATCGATGGATTTTTATGATTTTTCTCTGGTTTTGTAGAAAAAAAATTTTACGAAACTTTTTTATGTGTAAGATTATTTTTGAAAATTTCTTTCATACTCAAAAAAAAAATGTCGGTTGAACTATATCTCAAATAATTTAGAACCGTAGTCAAGGCATTTAGATGAAAGAGGGTAGCTGCATCTTGAAGGGAAAAACGCGATCACGCGCTTGCGAATGGCAGCTGGCTGGAAGATGACTGCTGGTGCTGCTGTCACGTGCCACATACTGCTTTGTTCTCATGCGCTGCTCTAGGCGTAGCTAATCTAATGGTTTGCCGTAATGGTCAAATATTTCTGAGCCTTCAAGCAACAGATGTATAACAACCTTTTTAAAATTTTGATATTTTTTTTAAATAATTAAAAAAAAATTTTTCCCGTACAATGTAAGATATAACAAACTTGCATGAAGGGAATATTGAAACTTTTGAAAATGGAAAAGACTTTGTTTGTAAAAAAATAAATGATTTTTTTGTGTTTTTCCCAATTTTATTTATCTTTTTAGCTTAATAAATCCATTCTCACGTTTTTTTTTTCATCCTTAATATTCTTTTTCTTTCTCTCACAAACATCATTTTAAAGCATTTTGAACGTGAAAGATACATCCATTTTACTTGCTAATTACTTGTGAATATGTGGGGTGAGATTTTCTATGCTGTCGTCTTGTTCGCTCTTCATTTTCATTTTTCAAGTTTCCGTTTTTAAAGACAATTTCAGGTCGTCGGTCGGGGCAAATGGAGAACGAGCAGCAGCAGCCTTCTTCAACTTCGGTGTGCCGAGCGGGTTGTGGGTTCTACGGTTCCTCTGCTACTGAGGGATACTGCTCGAAATGCTTCAAGGATACCATCAAGCGTACGCAAGACACTGCGCGGTTATCTTCTCCAGGTTATTTTCGTTTTTTTAAATGTCTTTTATAATTCTTCTTTTGGATATGTAACTCAAATTTCATAATCATTAGTAAGCTCTAACAGAAAAAAGCAAAAAAATAAATAACAAACTCACGTTTTTATCATGAATTTATTTGACAGTACATGTAATCATTTCGTTGGAAATTGAAAACAGGCGATCGAGAATTTTTCCAAGCCCAGAACTGCGCGTTCACATACTCCGTATAATATTTCAAACTTTTTTATTGCAGTTTATTTTTTTTTCCGAGTCTTCGGCTCCGATGTTTCTATTAATATTTAATTTAAGGATTTAAGTTTTTTTTAGGTAAGCGCCATTTTTAGTATCACTCACCCTAAGTGTGTTGGGCAAAAATTTTTGTATAAAGTTTAAAAAAAGGAGGTTTTTTTCAATTTCGTTGTAGGAAACTCACACCAGGAGCAAGATAAACACTTAGGAAACGCAGAAAAAAATAATTCTGATTGAAAAAAATTGAGGAAGTTTGACGTTAATAACCTTCCAATGAATACAATCCTATTTAGAACCGCAATTTCGTTTTCATTTATAAAAATGAATAGTTACAGTTATGGCTTCTATGATGGCAACATCTTCGAACAACGAATCCCCCATAACACCTGAACTGGAATCTTGCGCAAAGGCTGCTTTGGCATCTTCTGAAGTGACAGCCAAACTCGAAAGTGATGAAGCTGTTAACATTCTCGCGAATCCCTCCAGTGCTTGGTAATATTTCAGTTATGCATCACTTGTAGATTTCTTGTTACGACCGGCTCAACATTTTTTTTTAATACTTTTTTTTCATTTGTTGTTTGCAGCAATGCGGAAAGCATTATTGCCGCGCCTTCAAACGGGTCGGACGTAGTTGCTCCTGTTAAAAAAGCAAATCGATGTGCATCATGCAAGAAACGGGTTGGATTGACAGGTAAATTTTGGTGGTTTTAATATACTATGAATACTGCGATTTCAATATTACGGAATACAATTTTCAGGATTCACATGTCGGTGTGGCGGACTTTATTGCGGAGAACATCGCTACGACAAAGCGCACAATTGCCAATTTGACTACAAGACGCACGAGCGGGAAGCGATTCGCAAGAATAATCCTGTGGTTGTATCGGATAAAGTGCAGCGAATCTAATTCTTCTTGCTTTCTTTTTTTAGCCCAAAAACATGCTGTCTTCTCCCATAACTTTTGGACATTTTGTTCTTTTGAAACCTCAGATTCGAGGTGCATACAATTGTCGGGGTTCATCATCTCGTAAAAAAAAAATTAGCTCCTCGTTTTTCTTGCTTGAGACTCTTCTTCTCAGCGCGTCTGTGTGAGTCTCCTATTTGAGTTTTCCTTCCAACCTCTTCTGACTAGTCCTAGATTATGTATTCTTTGCCTTGTGGGCCTTTCATTTTTCACCGACTAGCGTTATAACAACAAAAAGCTTTCATCGTGGAATAATGTCGAGATCGTATTAGCTGAAAATACTTTCATGTTCATTGGAAATTTTGTTCATCCTCCTCGTAAATGTACTGTCTTATACATTTTCTGTGATTTGCTGGTTCGCTTTTTGTTGGTATGAAGTTTCATAGTTAGTCCCAGATTTGTAATCATAATTTTTTTTAATCTCTCAAAGGATTCAAAATTTGCAGTTTTGAAAATGAGGTTTTAAAAATAGCTTTCTGTCAAGAATCAGACATTTTCAAAAAAGAGCTCATGACTTTTTTTTGACATCATTTCAAAGGGACTGCTGTTGATCATCCATACCATTTTAGAGCGAACAGCGCGACTTCATCTATCTAGGTCTCCTCTATCTCGGTTCGACTAAGATGTTTTCCCTCAAAGTTCTATGAAAAATGCGCTAATCATGTGTATTCTAGTTGTACCTTCCGCCTGTTCTCATTCTGGTATTACCGTTATTTCATTTTTTTGTATTCTCTCAATTTTCTCCCACCTCTGCGATCGTGTAATATAGCCAAACCGCTTTTTTTCATCTGGGAGTGACATGCTTTCCTACAGCGTTCATTGATTGGGTCAGCATCTTTAAAGTTCCTTTTCTCTATCTTTTTGGGGTATAAGCTTTTTATGCTAACTTTTTTCTTTCAAAATTAGCTGGTGTAGCTGAGCAACAAAGCTGAAACGAGCGACTTGTGTATAACGTTTTAATTCAAAAAAAAAAATGAGTTTAATTTTTTGGAACAACTTTTTTTAAATGCGACTGATTGCTCCTTTTTCGAAAAAAAATTTGCGGCGTGTAAATCTGTTGTGTAAAAATGCTTATATGCTTCTTGCATTTAAAACTAAAAAAATCACATATTTTATTGTTTATGTTTTATTCATTAGTTCTTCACTTCTTGAACTACTCCTATTTTTTTGATCCAGTTTTTTTACCCTCCCAAATTGTATTAGGTTTTTTTAAATTTCGTTTTCTTCTCTTACCATCTTCACTCGAAGGCTGTACATACGTTCTCCACGTCGATATGTGCGTATGTAAGGTGTGGCTGACGTCCGTTTATGTGTGCGTGAGACAAAATAAATCATTTGCTTTGGCATTCCGTGTCTTTTCCTTGTTCTTTCGTTTCAACAAAAGAGCTTACCGATCGGATTCTTACTTCCTAGCTTTAACTTTCTTTTCATATTTGAAAGGTTTTGGGTTCATTTCGCACTTTCGACGGATAAATTAAGAGCAAGGCTGAAACTAAGGACATCAAGTCACGTATACGCACTTTAGGGCCGAAATTTCGTAACTACCAAAAGTTCCTATTGGAGCGATGTCCGATTTTTCTTTCTTTCTCACTGGGACAGACCTTCAGTCTTTAGTAGTGGCGTGTTTCATAGAAAGACATGTTCACTGGAATCTATGACGAAGAGAGATCATATTAAAACGACGGCCACCTCGGATGAAGTACAAAGTATATTCCATTCACCCACGTGACATATTGAACTGAGTCAGTAGTGGGTTTGTACAAAATGGTTATCACAAGAAAAACTGTTAAAAAAAACTTTTTGATACCCATTAATTTTCGAACACTTTTTGTGAAAAGGTACTGTTTAGGAAGATTAAACGGAATTGATCAAAGATGAAAAAATCACACAAATTGCATCATCGCTTTCTGCCATTTTTTTTCGAAGCGAATAGAGTTTGGATAGCACCATTTCACCAATTTGAAACACTCCTTGAAGAAATCGTTTGATTCGCTCGCATTCGCCTTGAGAGTCGGAAATCTCGGAACTTTATTTCGACACTAGATTGTAGTGTTTGAACAGTTCATTATTCATTCTTGACAACCTATTGAATCCTAAACGTGTGTGTACTAAGAAAAAAAACTGTCTTTCTACTATACCGAAGGCTTAGCCCCATCTCAACTTTGAAGAAAAATTTTCAAACGATTTTTATCTTGCTGATAACCTTCACGCGTGGTTTGAGGCTGGTAAGGCTTTAATGAGGCCAACATTGACCTGATTCTATAAATCTTATTTAAGGACTCGATAATATGTTGGAACTTAGTTCCAGATGCGTTAGCTTCATACTTTATTAAGAAGGACGGAAAAATTCAAAAGAAAAAAAGCTTTGATTTTTGATATATTTCCTTTTTTTCTTCCCTATAAAAAGCAAGTTCGTTTCAAATTTTTTTAAAAAGGATTTTTGAAATTTAGTATAATATTATTTCAAACAGGCTCATTCATATGAAAAAAAATCGGCCGAAGAAATCAGGAAGTCACTTTGAACAGTTGTGACGAGGCAGAGTAGATACTGCAGCACAAGTAATCGATTTGCAGGGCCCGTTTTTTTTCCCGTTTTTTCGCCGTTTTTCGTGCTCCTTTTGCGTTTTACTTTGTTGTTTTTCAACTATTATATAATATATTATGTTAAGATAATGGAGAATAACGATAAAGTTGCGAACCGGGTCTGTCTGATCGTCATCGATGGCTGGGGAATCAGCTCTGAAGAATACGGAAACGCAATTCTCAATGCCAAAACTCCTGTGATGGACAAGCTCTGCTCGGGTATATATTTATAAATGGTTCTCATTTTCTGGTGATTATCCATAGGATAAAAGAAACGGGTTAATGAACTATCTGTGCTGAATATGACCAGAAGATTGGAAAAATTTTTTAATGAGTGTCGCCCGAAATGGGCGAGAATTCGTAGAAAACTTCTACCATATGTTCGGAATAAGCAAAATTTTTGCAAATATATGAAAATTTGGTGGTATGAAAAAAACAGCGAAAATTCAAACGGCGACTTTTCCGATTTTTTTCGTATCGCTAGGGAACTTTCCGACGGCCACCTTTCCGACGAATCTTTTTCCCGACTTTTTCCTTATATTTTTTTCTGTTTATAAATCATCTATTAACATTATTTTTTCCTATTTCTTTGTGTTCTCATCATGAACGACTTGTCTACTTTACATAGGAACATTTAAAACGAAGATTTTATCGAGAAAAAAAAGTCGGAAAAAGTTTCGTCGGAAAGGTGGCCGTCGGAAAGTTCCCTAGCGGTAAGAAAAAATCGGAAAAGTAGTCGTTCAAAATTTCGCTGGTCTTTTTTCATACCACCGAAAATTTCTCACAAAAAAAAGAATCATTCCCGTAATCTACTGATTTTGAAGGTCTCGCTTTTGAATCGATTCGATCATTATCTTTATCAATCTGTATGACAGACAATCTGGTCAAGTATTTTTGCCAATGAGGGATTTTGAGGTAACTGGACCGAAATAGAAGCGCACGGACTTCACGTCGGTCTCCCCGAAGGTCTGATGGGCAACTCGGAGGTCGGCCATCTGAATATTGGCGCCGGCCGTGTTATCTATCAGGACATTGTTCGCATAAATCTCGCGTGCAAAAACAATCAGCTGGTAATGGCTTTTCTCCCTTGTACCGAAGTCATTTCGACTGTTGAAGGTCAAGAACGAAGGTCTGATCAATGCGGCTAACCGTGCCAAGAGCGGAAACGGCCGTCTTCATCTTGCTGGCTTGGTCTCGGACGGCGGAGTTCATTCTCACATAGGTTTTTTCAACCCTATTGGCTTAAAAAGTTGAAAATTGAGAAACTAAAGATTTTTAGTTTTTCATTTAGAAATCCAATATGTTATAGCTATAAATAGGGTTAGCTATAAATAAGGAAGGAAAACTGTTAAATTTTCGTTAAAAGTTATTTCATCTGAAGACCAGTAAATTTTCCAAGTTTCCCGGTTGAAAATTAGACTTCAGATCACATGTTCGCTCTGATCCAGGCCGTGAAGGAACTCGGCGTTCCTCATCTTTTCCTGCACTTCTACGGCGACGGGCGAGACACGTCTCCCACGAGCGGCGCCGGCTTTTTGCAGCAGACTTTGGATTTCCTCCAATCGCAAAAGTTCGGCAAATTGGCCACAATCGTTGGAAGGTCAGCTATTTCTCAAAAAAAGCGCATTCGTATCATTCTCGTTTTTACTAGAAAAAAAAAGAAAAGAAAGAAAGGCTTCAATCCTCAGAATCAAATTCTTGTTTTTCTTTGATCTTTTCTCGGTTTTTTTTTCCATTGGAAACTCTACCAATCTCTCAAAATTATTTGTGTTACTCGTGATGCATTTCAATCAGGTTTATTTTCAAAGAATGTTATCCTACTGTACTTTTAAAACGGGAATGCTAGAAAAGAAAGTTTTTTAGAATGATTTCACTAAGATCAGGGCTTGATAAAACTGTTAGCGAAGTGTCTCTTCACAGGTACTACGCAATGGACCGCGACAAGCGGTGGGAGCGTATCAACATAGCTTACGAGGCGATGATCGCCGGAATCGGAGAGGAATCGACCGAGGATAAGGTTCATTTTTAGATATTGAATGAGTGAAATTTTATAATCTACGAGCCAGAAAGTCTTTGCAAGGTTCTTGACCAAATTTCTATAGTGTCTATTTATTTTCTATCTCAAAGTTATCGTTCATCATACCCCCTGTTAGGTTGATCACGCAATTATTTTTTTTCAGTTAGGTCAGGTTTGGTATTCTTGAAAATTTCTTCAAGGGTGTCAGTGACCTAGCCATTCAAGATAAAGTTGTAAGGGACGAGAACCCAACTTTTTTGGAAAATAATCATCCTGTTTGAAGATTTGAAAAGAAGTTTTAAAAGGGACACAAAAGGGTTGATTTACAATTTTTGTTTTTTTTTTTTTGAAGTCGTATCATGTTGATTGAATGTAATGTATGAAAAACCCTTCTTGAGGTTGTGGATCTCGTGAAAGGAAGGTACGAGAACAACGAGACGGACGAGTTCCTCAAGCCGATAATTTTGCAAGGAGACGAAGGCCGCGTCCGCGACGACGACACCCTTGTCTTTTTCGATTACCGCGCCGACCGAATGCGCGAAATTTCGGAGGTTTCCATTTTTTTTTTGCACAGCTCAAGGTTCCTGTTCAAAGTGTGAAAAATCAATTACAAAAGAAGTAGTTCAGAAAGACGAGTTATTAAAAAAGGATGAAAATAAGTTTTAACCTGAGCAAGAAAGTTTCGAAAACAATTAAATTCGATTTGATTCTCGGAAGTTAGTGCTTACTTTAATTCAGCGAAAATTTTGAGGAAAGTTGATGGTCTACAAAAATCGTTCGCCTGTGTATGGTTGTGCGTTTCCTCTATTCGTTATTAGGACTTTGGTTAAAATGAATAATGAAAAAATAGTTAAATTTTCTGTTCACATGAACGTTCGAGTATCGCTCAAAAACATCTGGAAGGTTCTGCGTTTCAGGTGATGGGTATGGAGCGGTATAAAGACTGTAACTCGAAGCACAAGCATCCGAACAACGTACAGGTCATCGGTAAGATTTTACTTTTTGGAAACATTTCAAGGGTTTTTTTTTTGAGGCATGACTCAGTACAAAGCAGAATTTCCTTTCCCTACTCTGTTCCCGCCTGCAAGTAACAAGAACGTGTTGGCAGAATGGCTGGCTTCTCAGGTATTTTTAATAGAAAAAGAGTAAAATGAAGTTCAATAAAGAAATGGAATTTGGAGGTTTTGCTAGATTAGTTCTGGTTCAATTTTTTTCCTACTAAAAAAATGAAAGTTCAATTTAATCAACAATAAACTACTCATTCCAGATAAACTTCGATTGATCACGTTTTTTTTTTTAGAAAGTTTCTCAGTTCCACTGTGCAGAAACAGAAAAGTACGCCCACGTGACTTTCTTCTTCAACGGAGGACTGGAAAAGCAGTGGGACGGCGAGGAGCGCTGTATGGTCCCCAGTCCGAAGGTAGGCCCCGTAAAAGTCGCTGCAGAAGTCGGACTCTTCAGGTGGCAACCTACGACCTCCAGCCGGAGATGTCCTGCGCCGGCGTCGCCGACAAAATGGTCGAGCAGGTCGAACTCAAGAATCATCCCTTCATCATGTGCAACTTCGCTCCGCCGGACATGGTCGGTCATACCGGCGTCTATGAAGCCGCGGTCAAGGCTTGCGAGGCCACCGACGCCGCCATCGGCAGAATATTCGAAGCCTGTCAGAAACACGGTTCGTTTGTTTTTTTTTAATTTTGAGGCGCCTTACCTTGATTGAAATGAAAAGTGAAGTAAAAAATTTAAAGATTGGAAAAAATTACTTCAAAGTATATTTTCAGCAAAAAATTTACGTCCTTTTGCTCTTTCTTTCTCTGCTTTTTTTTTTTTTTGAGCTTTTGCTCACGCTGAACCATTTTCAAATCTCCGACGGCTTTTCAGCTGTGTTCAACAGTTCAAAAAAAAAAACTTCAATCCAAAGTCGAGTTCAATTTGAGGAAAATGAAGCAAACAATTTTCTGAGGGTGTAAGTTTCAAAGGTTTATTTAATGCAGAAGCTTAGCCGACCTGAATATGCTTCTGAGTAGACCAAAAATCTTCTGTAGGCTATACGATGATGGTGACGGCGGACCATGGAAACGCGGAGAAGATGAAGGCGCCCGACGGCAGCAAACACACGGCCCACACTTGCTACCGCGTTCCCTTCACCAACAGCAATTCTGCATACAAATTTGTTCATGTTCGTTTCCTCTTTCTTTGGCTTTCAACATGTTGACTATAGGCAGTTAGAAGTATAAGAAAACTGTTACTTAAAAAGAGGTAGATTACTCAAATTAGTAGATCGATTTTGATGCTCGGGTTTCAAGAAAAAGGATTTTTCAGCCTTCCGACCGAGCTCCGGCGTTGTGTGACGTCGCGCCGACTGTTCTGGCCATCATGGGACTTCCGCAGCCAGCGGAAATGACTGGCCAGTCTATCGTTTCCAAAGTTTGAAACTCAGCGTCCATCTTTCCCATGAACTAATCTTGATTTTCCCATTAAATTTCATAGATTATTAGTTGAGCAGTAGCTTAAGATTCATCTAGTCGCTTGTTAGTATTTCGCCATAATTCAGACGTGGTAGTAAATATAAATGTATAACAAATTGAAGATATGTCTCGTTCTATTCTTGTGAATTTTTAATTGCAACATTTGAGAATAAATGTTTCTTCCCGAAAGTTATTCATTCTTTTCTCTTCCGGTTTTTTTCAGACTTCCAAGTTTTCTGTGATCGTAAAATTTTCATAGCTCGTTTATCGCGCTCTTTTTTTATTTTTTAAATTCTTTGTTGGCTTATTTCATATGTGAGTTTAAAAAAAATAGTAGGATAGAAACAAGAAGAATAGGGACCGAACTTTTTTAAATAGCCGGGTGCGCTTGAATTGTACTCGTGCCAAAAATCGCATCGTTCTCCGCTTTCCTCGTCTTTCAAAGTCAGGAGGGCTTGACTAAAACACTTTTGGATTGAACATTTAGAAGGAAGTGAGTTTCGTGTTCAATTTGGGACGCCGTGACGCGTTCATCTTTTGCCAGGTATTTTCTTTATTATCTTTTTTTTTCTTGTTGCATTTTATCCTGCATAAGTAGGTTTTCAACAACTATCAACTGATTTTTTTTTTTTGAAATGGGTATTCTAAACGTAAGAACAGTGAATAATAAACGTTGAGGTTTTTCCAAAATTCTCATAAGAATCATTCGACAACTGCGATAATCATTTTTAGTTTAAACTAGTTCAGTTTTTGAGACACATTCTCTAGCTATTTTATTCTGTTTACAAAATTATTTTGTTTGAACTGTACCTCTACACTCAATGATTATATCGCAATTTAAGTTTTTTGATATGTTACAAGAAAGGCTTCTTTTTTGTAGGTTTCAAAAGTTAAGAATGACCTTTTCTATTATAATTGCTTTTAGATGGTTGTAACTTTTGAATTTTTTAAAATTTTGATCAAAATCTTCTATCTTCTCTCGTGATCCAGTTCAGAAAATTTGTTCTCTAATTTCTGATTCAAGATAGGAATGTTTTTGGTTAAAGCTGTGCTATCTGATGTTGGCTAATACTGATGTGATCCCGAGATGAGATGTTGGTAGTGGAAAGAGTTGGCCGATCGCAACCTTGATCGTTTCCTCGCGAGTCGGAGAGCACATCTGGGTCGCCAAGCTCCGCCCCTCCTCGCCACTCCGCCTTCGCCTCAACCCTTGACCGCCTTATTCACCAAACATTCTCTCACAGGACTTTCTGCCCTTTCAAGTTCACTTTTTTTTCAATCGAATTCCTTTCAAAATCCCGAATCTTGAAATTTTGATCTAATTAATAATGTTTGCTCTTACAATGATATCGCTTTCATATGGGGGTTTTTTGATAGATTTTGAAAGCTTTCAAAAGAAGTAACGTTAATCGGAAGAATTTTAGAAGATCTCGGCCATTTTCATTTTTCAATATTTTATACACCCTATTCGCCATAACTGTCTGTTTTATCCACGCTCTTTTTTTCTCTTCCGAATGAGGTATATCAAAAAGAGTTTCTAAAAACTTCAACGTTACTTTTTGGGATTTTTCTCGTAGCTCTCCCTAGCGGAATACGTCTTTAAATGGTTGGATAGGCTCTTTTTTTACAATCTAAAGGCAGAGTACGACAATAAATAGTTTTGCTGAAGCGAATTTAAAAAAAACGTTCTATATCTGGACGTTTATAGTGCTAGTTAGAATCGATGCGTCTGAACGCCTACGCCCACCTCCTTTTTTGTTTTTTTTTAGTCCCACCGGCCGATCGATAGGCTTCGGGCTTTTGCGCACTCTTCATATGCGCTCACTAAGACCGCTTCCTTGTTTGTAATTCTCATTAGGACATTGATTGTTCTTTCGAAATTCCTCACAAACATTTTTTTCAAAGTTGTTTTTTAAAAAAAAGCTGCTTTGACATAGGATTCCGAATTGACACAGCCAGTGAACTTCAGCCGAAATGGTTTCTAGAGAATCCTGATCACATGCGAAAAATTCTGAATTTTTTCTTTCTAAAGTTTAATTTTCGTCGAAACAAATTCTACCTCAAAAAGGACTTTAGTGATGAGCATTGCATAATTTTGAAGCGTCCTAAAATCGACTCGAAACCCAAATTCGAGAAAAACTTAATTTCTGTGCGATGTAAAAATGTCTTCGAAATTAAAAAAAATTCTTTAAGCTTGGTCTTCATGCAGTAATCTTACTATTTACAGTTCGAAATTTTAAAAAGCTTTGTTTTTTGTAGTTTCTTCTATGCTATTTTTAGCCTATAAGCGCCATAAACACCTCAAAAGAAACAAATTCGTGCCGGAGACCAGCATTTTCGCAGCACGTTAATTTTTTTCGAAGGATATGCAGGGTTTCGAGTCGCATAAATGAGTAGAAATGGGGACATATGAACGGAGATCGGTATAAACAGCCCTGGTCGGCGAAAGAAATGCATCGGCCTCTCGCTTTACTCTGTCTCTCCGGTCTCCTCTCCCACCAAACAATTCTGACGTGGCATTTCATTTTAGCCCTTTTTCAACCGTTTGTTGAAAATTGGCTTTTTTTCCCTTCTTTTTTTCTTGTTTTTGTATTTTAATCGATTATAAAACGGCGGCCATTTATTTTGCCCTTGAAGCCTTTTTTTAAATTCGCCTTCATTTTTGCAAACAAAGCTTCGAAGCCACACTAATCGACACTAAACTGGTTTCTTTTCCGAAAGAAGTTCTATTTTTGAGATTTTCAAAAGTACAGGTTTTTTTCCTATTGTGATCAATACATATGGTCTTATTATCCAAAAGGCCCATATATTCATGGCCTCAAAGTGAAATGTTTTTTTTAGATATCCATAAAACTATTTGGCTATGAAGCAAAAAAGAGATTTTTGATAGTTTACGGCGCAACATCATGTAAAATCTTTAAAAAAATTGTTTCTACAATTTCCGAAAGAAATAAAGCTTTCTCGTGGGCGATAAAATTTTAATAGTTTTTTAATGGGGGAAGAATTCGTGGTTTTTTACATTTTTGGTGCGGGAAAAGCGGGTGTGTGAGTGACAGGACGACGAAATTTGGTTGTACGGAGGACCTTTTTTTTATCAATTACTCTCCAAGCCTTGAAACGATCCTTATCTACGTCTTCTCGACTGTGCACTGAACCAGCACGAGTACACTTTTCTTCCCTCTCCAATCACGTAATTTGATAATTAAAAGTTGAATAGAGGAGTTAGGATTTTTTTTTCGCGATGTAAGCTGTCCAGAAGTTTATTTGGCTTTAGTTACGATGAAGATTTGCTGAAGTTTTTTCCGACAAAAAACATGTTCGCACTGCGGATCCCACGGTACCTATATTGTTCTTTCTTTTCTACGACGCTGCTAACCGGTTAGCTCATGGTTTTCAAAAAAGCGAAATCAATTGCTATTTTTCGACCTTTGAATGAGTCAGTAGTACTGAACAAGCGTCAAATTGTGAGAGGCGCCCTTTTGATGATAGATCCTGATAGCAGGAAGAAGGCAGGTAGAAGTGCCAGACGAACAACTGGCGGCGAAATAGTGTTCGCTCCAACTCACTGGGTTCCACGGTGGACTCGCGCTTGCGAAATTTGTTGCCCAACACAGATCTTGGCTTTTCCTCGCCTTTTTCTTCTTGATCTCCGTCCGTTTTCATTCTTAGACCCATTCTTTCCAGCAAAACGTTCCATATTGACTCTTCTTTAAAAATGTTTTTCATTGTTCAAAAAGGATCCACGAAAGCTAACATGTGTTCTCAAAACTTATTTTAAAGTAAAGTAACTGAACTTTCTTGGCTGACTTAGGACAGTGGAATATTTTAATCTTCTTTCATCTTATTGTCTTCTACGGGCTTTTCTTGATCTTTGGAGCCGTTTCCGCACTTTTTCTGCTCATAAGTCACAAATAGAAAGAATTTTCAACTTTTGTTTCTTCCTTGTTGTCCCGGTGTTCACCAATTGTTTTTGCAGGGGTATTGTCTCAAACAGTCGCCAAAAGGCATCGAAAGCAGGAAGATGGACGCGTTTGACGACCTGCTACTCGGCGTCGACGATCACGAGAGCCTCGGAATGATGCTCTCGGTGGCGGATGACGACGACATCCATCTCTGGAACATGCCGTCCAACTTCCCGGAGCCTGAGCTCTTTTGTGACGACCTCGTCTCGAAGCTGGACCTGATGCAGGCCGAGGCTGAGCACAGCTACGCCGCCCCTTTGTCTCCGCCGGACTCGATCGCCATGAGCCACGCTTCGACTTCTCCTTCCTCATACCACTCCTCTTCCAGCTCCGAGGGTTTTCTTTTATCTCCTCCGGACCATTCTTTATTTTCTCATTTTTCAGAGGGCTATCAAGTCGATATCCTACAAGCCGCCAGTAACGAAATTTTCGCCCCGACAGTCAAGCCAGATTCAGATAATGAACTATTTTGCAGAGTTGGTTTTTAACATTTTTTCAATACCATTATACTCCATTTTTTGTTCGTTTTTTCCCGTTGAAAATAATTTTTGATACTGAATAACTTGACAAAAATATGGTCGGAATTTTTTATCAAAATTCTGGAGTAAGAGGAAGCTTCTTGTAGTGGTTGGAAGGGCATAAGTTTACATTATTTTCTCGCTCATCTTCTTGTTCTCACAAGGCTTCTTGTAGAGTGGCGCCCTCGTCGGCTACACGAGCACCAGCAGTTCTAGCGTCACCTCGAGCAGTAGCAGCGGCAAGCAGACGAATCAGTACAAACAGACGTCGAGGTTCAGCTCCTCTGGTGCCTACGTCGGATCCGCAGCCAAGCCGTCCGTCTCCTCTATCAGATACAGTCGGTTTTTCTTTCCCTTCTTATTTCCGCATAGTTGGAATGACTCCTTGAAAACTCGTTTTCAATTGTGTTTCTTCTCCTTACAATTTTCTCGTTGACCACAGTCGATGGTGTCTGCGAGAAGTGGCGATCCATATGAATTGGCCCTTTTCTCTCTTTTCCATCCGAGGGAAAAGGACTCGACTATCGATTGGACCTTTGCGCGAAAATCGTCTAAAAACGTTTGGAGCGCCTGCGCGAGACATCGAACAACGCGCAGATCCTTTCATCGCTGCGTAAAAGCCTTAAAAAGAGGAGTAGGGTGAGAAAGAGAAAGAAGGAGAAGAAAAAACCGTAGCGGGGCTGGAATGGTCGCACTGGTGATTTGCAGACCGGCAACCTCTGCAAACCAATTACAGCCTCGTGGGAACAGAATATACGCTGGTTTGTAGTTGCTGGGAGGGAACACTCTTTACAGAACGACTGTAATTAAGAAGTTTCAAAGTTGAAAGTACTGGAAGTCTACAGCAAAGTTCCAAATTAAAAGAAGAGCGGAAATTCATTTAAGCGAGTAAAGTTCCATTCATAGAGGCCGTATGCAGAATTTGGGAAATTGTTCGTCTTGGTTACATGTTTATAAGTGCGAAGGAAGAAATAAGCTCTCGGCAAGCTTTCTCTAATGTGATATGAAGGGGTCAAACTACGGATGAAAAATGTGATAACCAATCCACATTCATCTGAATACTTAACTTCGCGTCTGACTCCTAGATGCACGGTTTCTGCAGACCATCTGAAATGCGGCCTTTCCCAAGATGCAGAGCAGCTGTAATTTCTCGCCAGACGACCAAGTCCGATGAGCGAGGTCTTTGGTTTGTTGATCTGTTACACTCGAACATTTTACACATTATAAACTTCATCCACGTGTGTATGTTGTTGCGAGAATGGATAGTAGTCGATTCAAAATTGATGCGGAATCAAAGTTCTTCTCCACTGAAGGCCAGAAAGATGACAATGGGACGGTGGATCTGAATAGGGAAAAGAACGCGCGAGGGTCGCGATTGTTTGCCCAATACGAGCGGCCATAGCTATTCACAACCTTTGGTGGTCCTTTTCGAACTAAGGATTGGGAATTTGAAAAGGGTGGTCGTTAATATCCATTTGGCGTTTTTCTCGAATCAGATATAGTTAATTTGTTTGACTAAAGGGTTTTCAACTAGTTTTTCTAGTTCTTTCTTTTCACGCTAACGTTATAAAAACTTTCCAAAGGGAAACGCTTTTTTTTTCAATAGCACTAAAGTTCAAATCGGTTTAATTTTCGGAATCTTGCCTTTTAAACCTTGATCCTTCAAAGGAATTTCACGGCCTGACTGACCGAGCTGTCCGCTGCGAACTGTTTGTCCAACTGTCGCTGCGTGAGTACGTGCGAATAGAAAGAACCTTTCTCACGAAATTTTTCTATCCGGGAATTTAATTTTTTGCGGTTTTATTATTTAAGAGTTTGCGTGAGAATGTCCGGCAGTAATTTTTTGGTGTTCCGAATGAAGATAATTGGGCGTGTGTAGTGCAAGATAATGAGGATTTGGGATTTCGTCGCAAGAAGATGCCGGGAAATAGATATCATTTGTTCACGAAACACGTTCTGATCCTCCGAGAAATCTTAGCGAAAGCAGTTTGGACACGATCGATTTTGTCTGGTTTACGGAAGAAGCGACCAGGAACTAATTCAAGGGGAGATGGATTAAGATCAGGGATGTAGACGTCTGCATTTCGGTGATTGGCAGAATTTCGCATGACATTTGATTGGAAAGTCTATTCACTTGGATAATCGAAGCAAATTAACAATTTTTAAAATTGTCTTATTTTTCATACCCTGCTTTGTTTGAAGCTTTAAAAGAAGACGATTGTAGAGCCTTCTTCACAACGACATCTCAACGGCAACCCCGCCAACATTTCCCTGAACACAACGACGACTTTCTCTTCTGGAAACACAGTCAACTTCAAATCAGGTGCTTTAGTTCACACAAGAAGACTGTTTTATTTCATTTTTGACGACCAAGAAAAATGGTTAAAACTGAGTTAAAATCCTATTTTTACCCTTCAAAATCGAGAAAACCAGAGCACGCATGTTAAATATTCTTTCGGGAACCTTCTCATCGAAAACTAGAATTTGACTGATCGAAAAACTCAGGATCTCCCTTTAGTGCATGTCTAAGCCTATTCTGAGAGTCCATTTCTTGTTAGATAAAACCATTTTTGTGAATCACCCAAAATGTATTCAGGTGAAAGAAGGAAGTACCCGGCCCTGGTACTGACAGAAGAAGAAAAACGGTTGTGCAAAAAGGAAGGGATCCTTCTGCCAGAGTTCTACCCTCTGACAAAGGCCGAGGAGCGCGACTTGAAGAGAATCCGACGCAAGATCCGCAACAAGCGGAGCGCCCAGACAAGCAGAAAACGCAAGCAGGTCAGTCGCTTCCGTTTACTGTTACCTCAGTTACCTAAGTCCTAACCGCGGACAAATATTTGCTGCTGGTGACCTTTTTTCTTGCCGTGCCAGGGTGGCAGATTGCGCGGCGATTTCGAGGTGCAAAAAGGCGACGTCTCAGCTGATTCTGCGGTCGGGCGCCTGGCACTGGCTGTCCCCGTCCTGTTCGAACCAGTCAATGATTTTATCTTTTGGCCCACTTTTCTTAAATGACTACCGGTAATCGGATGGAAATTGATGAGGTCTCATGATTCTCGTGTGAGGCGGTGGCCCACTTGGAAGATGTACCTCGTTTCCACTTTGGTCAAGTCTTCTAAAGGAACTTTCATATCCTTGAACCTTAGAAACAATATGCGTCTGAAAGGGTTAATATTACTCTATCAGAAATAGCAATCACAAGGTGTTAGAAAAACAGACCGTGAGTTGCTAGGCGACGTCACAAAAGACGCAGAGCTAGTAACTCACTTCAAACGAGTCTTTCTAAGAAAAGGAAAATTTAAAAAACGGCAAGAACGGAATCCTGCTTTTGGCGAGATCATGAGGTCAATAAAATCAGTGACGCGTTAACAGGTCAAAGGATTTCTATGCTGTAGACAAACACGAATTAGTGTTGAATGTTTGGCTATATAGCTTTTTCTGCGCCATCTTCTCGTTTCTTTCTGGCCAAAGCGAAAAAGCATAAGGACAGATTTTGAAGCGGGTACTCAGGAAAATCCGGGAAAGGTGTTGGGACGATAACCAGCAGGAGGTTGGAAGTGAATATAAGCTAGAAAAAGCCCTTTGGAAGGTGTTCACAAGATAGATGGATGGCCTCTGGTAGGCTTGAAAAAAAAACCTGAAAATGCTTGTCAGAAGCCTTCCAGCGTTTTTCCTGAATTTCCTTTCAAACGATAAAATTTAAGAATCGAAGTAGAAACCAACTGAAAAAACTTTACACGAGGGTAAACTTTTTTTTAGATGAACAAGAACCGCTTCATGCGTTTCAAGGCATAACACAGTATATTTCGTAGTTTTTAAAATGCCTCTTCTCTCTTACTAGGGAACGTTTTTTACTCCGCGGTTGAACTTTTGCTGAAACATTGCTGAAGTGTACTTTAGGACCCCCTGATTCCAGAACAGAAAGAAAATTTCTCGCAATAGTTCTCGTTTTCGAGTTATGGAGCTTCAAAAGCCCGAAATAGCGCTTTAATTTGCGTATTTTGCGGACTTTGTTTGTGTTTGTAGCTCCATAACTCGAAAACGAGAACTATTGCGAGAAATTTTCTTTCTGTTCTGGAATCAGGGGGTCCTAAAGTACACTTCAGCACAGTTTCAGCAAAAGTTCAACCGGGGGGTGAAAAACGTTCCCTGGTTAGAATTTTTGAAGTTGAACCTGTTTATTTGAGTTATAGCTGCCTCGATTTTCTTCCATGTTTTTGGTGTACGTTATCAGCACGATATCAGTTCTGATAGATTGACACCAAATTGACGTACGTCACATTTGACGTTTGCCTGACAATGGAAAGAAATAATTCGGCAAAAGATAACGCTCTATCTCTCAATGCTCACAATCACAAATTTGGAATTTTGGATCTTTGCCAATTCACGGTATAAAAAAAAAGATCATGGGTAGCCGCAATGGACATACATATATTTAAATTTATCATCGTCGTTATTCATTCAATAAGAGAAAAAGGAAAAGAAACCTCCTGATTTCAAAGCCTCGAAGTGGGATTCAAACGTTAGTAAATCAGTATTTTATTTTATCTATATGTAAACAATAATGATTGCGACGCAGCTACGTACAGGAAATGGCTGTAGAAATCAATCGGAACTCCTCTGAAAAATTATAAACTAAAAAAGCAAAGATGAGAGTTATGAGGCTACTTTCCGAAAAAAAAAACGGAAAGGGGAGTGATAAGCATGGAAAGGGAAACTTTTTTGAACTAAGTCAAGAGAGTTCATTCACACCTTTTTATAAATAATTAACATCATTTATAAATTGCTTCAGGACTACATTGAGCAGCTGGAAGACCGCGTCGCAGACTGCAGTCAGGAGAACCAGCAGCTGAAGGCCCAAGTTGAACTTCTACAGCGAGAAAACCAGTCGGTCCTCGTGCAGCTACGTAAACTTCAAGCAGCTCTTGGACAGGTGAGATTAGTTCTTGTAGATTCCTGAGAGAATCCATGTTGCAGAGCGCCAAGAGAGGAACTCAAGCAGGCACCTGCATCGCGGTCCTGATGCTCTCCGTGTGCCTTCTCGTCGCACCTCACCTCAATCCCTTGGTAGGAAGGCAATCTTCAGTCGGAAGAAGGTAGCAAGCGAATTCAGACGAGGGAGAACAACGTGCAAGCAGCGATCGAGTGCGGCGAAGAGGTCGGCGTGCCGTGTCCCAACGCCGGTACCCTTGTCCGTCGTCCGACGCTGAACAAGAGCGCCGAGAAAATGGTCGCCGCTCCAGTCTCCCTTGCCGCCTCTCCGGAGGCTGTCGTACAGCCTCAAAACGTGGCTACCTTACGAAGGTCCACTTTTGGTCAGTGTCCTTGCTTCTAAAAAAAAAAGATTTTCAAAAATCCATAATCGACTTCAATTTTGGAATTTTTCTGAGCCCGTGAGAACTAGAGAAAGTTACTTAATTCAGGAATTTCTATATCCTAACTTTGACTTAATGAGGCAAAATGCTGTAGAAAGAACACACTGAAAAAAAGAACCATGAACCATCTTGTTCAGAAAAAATTTAATCAAATTCTGGATAATAATTCATTCGAGACTCCCTCACCTCTTCAAGGAACGATTCCAGGCTCTTCACGTACCCTAGGGACGTATGAGGACACCTGCGGAGCAGAAAATGACTCGAACTGTGCCAACATGCCGCCGCTAGTCCCGATGCGTCGCGTCCTTCCAGGCGCCGTCACGACGAATCGGATGTCGGCGAGACCTCCGCCTCCTGTTCTGCCGCCTTCGCACAACGTCAGCCATCAGAAGCACGTCGCCATGCAGGTCCTACAGCAGAAGAGAACTTTTGCTCCTGCGGTCGATCAACGCATGAGCCTCTCTATCGTGAGTATTTTTTATTCTGTTATCTCAAAAGTTGAAAAGAGAAAAATGAGGAGAGTTGGAAAATAAGAGAAGACCTACTTTCAAGTTTCTTTTTTAGTTTCCTGAGAGGTCGCAGGAAAAAAAGAATTGAAGGATAACATTCCAATCTTATCACACTTACTTCATGCTCCTCAGGCACCTGAATACGTGAAAGAGGAACCGAACGAGCCGTATCAGCAGTGGAACGTGTCGCGCCACAATCTGCAGTACGAACACGAAAACGAGCAGCTCAGTCAGGCTCCGCCTTATCTGAAGCGTCAGCAGCTCGACCACTTCCCGCAGTACCGACAGGAGCAGGCCATCCAACCGCCCGTCAAGCGTCTCAAGACCCAACTTTTCTGATTCTCTCATTTCGAAAATTCTCTCGCGCGTTCTCTATTGCTTCGTCAGTTTTCACGTCGAATTCATTTTTTGTTTCTTTTTTGTTGTACCTATTGCATTCCATTTTATGTAATTACAGTGTATTTTCATAATATTCAAAAGAATTAGTTTAGCATTCTGGTAAAACAGTTTTCCTGAAAAAGTTTTATTGCTCTTGTCCATATAGTTATCGATTTTCAGAAATTTACTGAAGAATTTATATTACTTGTGATGCTCCTAATCCACATTCTAAGTCTTCAGTGCTTCCTGTCATTTTCGAGCGCTTTTCCTGTTCAAAATCTTTCCAACGTCCTGCATATAATTATTATTTATACCTGTGTTGTTTTCCTTTTTCCTGTTTGATTCGTAGTATTTTAGAATATGGGAACTTAGTATTGCTTGAGCTACAGAAATGCTGGATATTTCTAGTGCTCCACCTTCCAAACTACTTTTTCCGGGTTTTTTTTTTTTCGCTTCTCCACTTTCCCTAAATATTTTTCTGCTTTTTCTTCTTCTTCTTCTTGTGTGCTGTTTTCTTTTTCTGTGATATCAAAAATATAACAAAGGTTGAAATCTGGACGCAAAGTTTGCAGTTTTTTTCCTTGGATGTTGATTGCATTAATTTCAATATCTTTCGAAGTTATTTTTCATCCTTTTTCACATTATCATTTTATTTCATGGGTTTTCTTTCCGCTTTGTTCTTAGTTGGTCCTTTTCCATTGGCAAGCGATTGTTGTGTTTGTTGTTTTCTTTTTCTCTCATACCGATATTTATCTCGAAAAAAATTCAAAAAGTTTTTTTGTTACTTTCTTTTAGACAGAAAACTTGACTTCTTTCGTTACATATTCGACTTGTTTTTTTCAAATAAAAGTGGGATTTTTTTCAAATATTTTTTTCTATGAATTATTTTTGTTGAAATAAAACTTTCATTTGTTAAAAAAATGAATCACAACTGAAAAATAAATTCGACCAGCTGAATTCGGTAAAAAAACAATGATATTTTTTTCTGTCCAAAAAAAAGTCTACATATAACTCTAGTGTCTAGGACAAATCCGCTGAACAATATTGGAAATATAAGTTCCCGTAGAGAAGAAGAAGAAGGTTCACAAGAAGGGATGTGTGACGGCGCGGAATCTAAAGGGCGCCGGAGGCTCGACGCTTCTGCTGCGAAGGTGCCGCGGTGCCACTGCGCGAACTGTCCGCTGAGCTTATCAATCAGCTCGAGAGACAGTCTCCAGAACAGACCTGGTCGAGCTTCGGCGGCTGAAATCGGATCGTCGCAAGAGAAGCCACAACGGGACGTCGTCTGCGTGTTCCTCAACTCTTTCTCTTCTTATCTGGTCGTTTCTTACGGGAAAGACGAAGAAATACTTCTTCGCAGGCCACGTTTTCTTCTTGATCGCTTCGGGACCCGTACGTGTCTTCCCGGAAATTCACGTTCTGTCAAAAGAAAAAAATTGAAATAACTCGAAACAATCAAATGAAATTTCAGATCATTTTTGGGCAAACCTGGTCCTTGCAAAAGATTATTTCTTTTCATCGCCTGCAAATGGGATTGAGCAGTGCCAGGAAGCAGGAAAACATCAGAATAAGAACTGGAATAATGGTAAGGGTTCTTGAAAAAAGTGAATCTGAAGATCAAGCTGCGATAATTGAGGAAACTTTGCGAAAACGGCGCTTTCCAAACACTTTGAAATCGTTCTAATTTCAAAAAAAGTTCTATTTTAAGTTTGGGACAAATGGTCAATCTAGGACGTAGAGGAAGCTTGATTTGAAGTCTGTTTACCACGACTTGAAATTTCACGGAACGACACTCCGCTGCATGGCCTTGTGGCCGTGAAAGTGCCTTTGCGAACCTCGGTCGCGCTTTAAAATTTTTCTTTTATTTGGAAATTTCGCTTTATTAATCATGTTTCAATTTTTTGTGGTAAAAAGTGACTATCATTGCTTTTGGGCATAAGAAACAAATGAAAGTCGAATACTTTTCGAATTCGCTCACTTTCCTCAAATATTCATGCGGAGCTTCATTTTCAGATTGAGAAAAATTCTAACATGTTGTCAGAGGTTGGAAATGGTTGAGCTGTGATGATGCCGGAAGAACGTCGCCTCGATACAGTTCGTTCGGCTTGGACAGAGAGATTAATGGCGAGTGAGAACGATACCTCCAAAAGACGCGTTTGACATCGTTCTTCGGGGGATATTCTGATGAGCCGAAGGGTAAATCACAGAGTTTGCCCTACTCCGATGAGAAAAAGGTGTCGAAGATTCGCTTGGCAACGGAGTCCATTCATCTTAATTTTGGTCTTTTGAGAGATATCCCGTCAACCTATCTACTCCTCAGCAATAAAAAAAAAATCTGTTCTCACGAACCGGCACAAATTTTTCCGGGTCCACAAAAGAGCCGATCAATGTCGCTGCCCCACGAGCTGTACTGCGAGCCTGAATCAGAGCTTTCGTCGTCGGAGCTCAGATCAACCAACTGTAAGGCGTCGACGAAGACTGTCGCTGTCCCATGTGGAACCTCAGAAAAGTCCGTTCCTACGAGACACGTTCGCTCCTCCGAGCGACGCCGAATTATTCATGCCACTCTCGGCAAGCTACTTTTGTCAATGCATGGTTTCCATGGTTCGAAAAACTTCTCAGTAAAAAATTTCATTCACGAGATCAGTTATTGGAAGCTTATTGGAGGGCTAAGAAACAGGAAAAAGGCGCGGTGGCATTGGTGAACGATACCCGAAGATTATTAAAAAAAACAATATAGGGGAAAACCAAGGGTATTAGTGTCAGAAAATGAACTAGCTCGAGGAAAAATGTTAGAAATATTAACAGTCGGAGAGCATGGCCTGGAAGTCGGACTCGAGAGATGGCATGGAGAGCTGGACGAGAAAAGTCTGGCAGTTGACCGCCAACTCTCCGCAGATCCGCACCACGTCACGACGATTCGCATTGAACGTCTGTAATTATAGTTCGAGTCGAAAAAGGTTTGAATTTTCATTTCAGCCGAAACTATTTAAATACAAATATTTTACAAAACCGACTGTATATATCAGGGATGCCCGAGGCGTGATCTAGTCTCGGTCAAAAATTAACAATCTTTCGTCTCGAGATGAAAAGATAAGTCTGATCTTGTCTCAAGAATTTCGAGAAAAAAAATTCTGCATGAAAAAATAAAAATATGGCGTAAAATATGAAGTTTCGGTCGTGACGGAATATACCGTAAGCGACTAAAGTCACGCGCAGTTTTCAAAGAAACTCACGACGGGATCGTTCTGATGGAGTTTGTTCATGACGCGGCTCATCTGCTTCATGTCGTTGGCGATCAGAGTCTCCGTGACGTCGACTTCTCTTCGGCGCTCGTCATTTTCGGCGAGTCGACGTGTCAGCTGCGATGACTTCGAGAACATCTCTCGGAGACGCGTCGTTATTTTCTGCATTTTAACGGGTTTCTCATTTCTTCTCAGTCCCTTTTTAATATGACGAGAATTGAACACCAACCCGGATTGAGACCAAAAATTCGTCGTTGTCCATCAAATTGTTGAACGAATTCTGCAGCCTCGACACTGACTCGCACACATTTTCGACGCTTTCCCTCAGTTCGCGTTGAGCGGAGTCCTGAGAGACGCTTGTGAACCCGTCGAAAATAAGAAGAAGAAACTTCTCTGGGAGCCTTCGAGACAGGAACACCGTTGCTGACGTGAGTGATTCTACGTGGAAAAGTAGAAGTGAGGATATCTTGAGGCTGCGGAGAAGTTTTTTCAGGCGATGGCTAAGAAGTATCGAAATGAAATACCACATCGGGGCTCAAACCGGAATCTCATCTTGCTCTTCCTCGAGCCATTTGTCGTCTTCTTCGGCTTGGCGACGCTGCTCCTCTAAAGTGCGATAGAGCGTCAAAGACGGCAAGGACGACATTTCCGCCACTATCACTCCAGCTGCCTAGAACGAAAAACTTGTGAGATAGTCTGCTCGCGGCAAATTGACAAGTTTCTAGTTTCTGCGTCTCTCTGTTCCCTCACCGGCAAGGTCAGAGAAAAATTGAAATAGCGAGTCAACGTAAGAGAGTCGCTGAGAGACGAGGAGGGCGCAGAGAAAAACAGTAGTTTCAAGTCGCGAAAAAGGGAGTTTAAAAATCATAGTATAAGGTTTTTATTTTGACGCTTTGACCCAGCAATTAAGTTTCATATAGAGAAATATTTTTGGGTTCTTCCAATTTTTTTTCGAAAGAGTGTACGAGTATATACGGATTCTTTATAGAGATGTGATTTTGAGAACTCTGATTCCAGTCTATAACTTTTTTCTGATTCTCAGTAGAGTTACAGTACTGGCCATAAAGGTATTTCAAAGTGGTAATTCGAGCATAACTTCTCTGAAAGTGGCTCAAATGACTTGAAACTTTGAACAAATTTTAAATAACTACGCAGTAATTTTTTCCCAAAAGAAGAACTCATTTGCTCGAGTAAGACAGGATTTTAGAGCAAAAAAACCAAAAATCGTGGAAATGAAGATTTTTCTCCTGAGATTCGAAAAATCATATCTTCGAAGAAACTTCGATTTGAAATCAGAAACTTTTTTTTCCCGGTAAAACAAGACTTCGGCTTTCCAAAAAGTTCAACCAGCCCCTTACCAACCCGATAGTAAGAGCGTAGTGACTTTTTCTTTGGAAGGCCTTTGTGTTTTGACGCATCGTTATTCAAATGGACTATACGAGGTCATTTTTTTGTTTGAGAACACCATGTTTCATGTTGAAAAAAACTTCAAAAACACCCTCAAAAAAATAGTTTTTATACTGTTTTCTTGAGCTTTGTCACTGTTCCTCTGCCCAGAACTCGCTTACTTCACTAGGTCTGATTTTGAAACCTCTGATTTGGAGCGGTTCTGCTCGTTTTTCAAAATCAGAACATTCTCAATTTCTTATTTCAGATTCCAAAGCTTTTTCAGAACCTTTATGAATAAGAATAAAAAAAGATTCACTGTGTTTCGCTTACCTATTCAAAAGATATAGTGAGTTATACTGAGTTTCTTAAAGTTCTCAAAACTTCGTTTTTAGCAAGTGTTGCTTAGAAGGCTCTAAATCTTGTGAAATATGATAAAAAAACCCCTTTTTTAAAAAAATTTTTTTAAACGTTTAAGATCATTAGATAAATTTGTAACTCCTCTTTCTAGCTCTCAGGTCAAAAAAATAGGCATTGTAAAACGTTTCTTCAAACTTTATGGGAAAAATAAGTTTTTTTGATCTTGTGAAACTAATGCTTCAGCAAAAAAATTAGCAGTCTTCAGGAAGTGGGAGACTGCAATTTGGCCATTATTTATTCTCGATATCACGATTGAAAAGCGATTGATCAGATAAAAACTGCTTTGAATGCCCGTAAGTCCAGAAAAACTGTTTAAATCCGAGCTTTTAAAATCAGACCTAATGAAGTAAGCGAGTTCTGGAGAGAGGATATAGTGACAAAGCTTAAGAAAACGATATGAAACTATTCTTGAGGGCATTTCGAAGTTTTTCAACAGGAAACATGATGTTCTAAAAAAAAAAATGACCTCGTATAGTCCATCTGAATGACGAGGCGTCAAAAAGAAAAAGGCCTTCCAAAGAAAAAGTCACTACGCTCTTGCTATCGGGTTGATAGGGGGCTGATTAGGTTTTTTGGGAAGTCGAAGACTTGTTTTACCGGGAAAAAAAGTTTCTGATTTCAAATCGGAGTTTCTTCGAAGATATGATTTTTCGAATCTCAAGAAAAAAATCTTCATTTTCACGACTTTTTGGTTTTTTTGCTCTCAAATCCGGTTTTTACTTGAGCAAATGAGTTTTTTTCTTTTTGGGAAAAAAAGTTACTGCGTAGTTATTTAAAATTTTTTCAACGTTTCAAGTCATTTGAGCCACTTTCAGAGAAGTTATGCTCGAATTACCACTTTGAAATACCTTTATGGCCAGTACTGTATAGCCCTTCAAAAAATTACTTTTAACACTGCAATAATACTATGCAGAAATTCAGACGTCATAACTCAACTAAAAAAGAGAAAAACTGGTTCAGAAAGAAAACGATGAGAAAAAAAAACGTACTGTAACCGGTTTACAAACTCTAATTTCCGTTACTTCGACCCCTTCGATCGTCTGAGCCAGCACGTTTTCGACAACCTGAACATCAAACTACGTATTTTTATTTTTCCCAACGACTCGCCATCGCGACTTGGTCAATGGTCGGCCTTTTGTGGGCCTCGAGAGCCCAAACTTGTTTTTCAATGAACGAATACAAAGACACAGGGCACTCCTCGGGGCGTGCTGGTCGAATTCCTGAACAAAAAGGTGCAATTATGCCGAAAAATGAGAGCACCTTGCTCGATGTGAGTGATAACATCAGCGTTGGGAACGCCAACCCAAGGTTTGGTTCCGAGAGACAAAATCTCCCACATGCAGACTCCTGAACAGCTTTCGGATAGGCCAAAGCGTTTTGTCTTGTTTCATCACGTCGTCAAAACGTCAATAAAATTATGTTCATACTTAAAGCGGGGTAGTGAATTGTAAAACACAAGACTAGGTCAGAACGTCGAAAATATTGTGTCTCGTTTCTAATGAGCTGAAATGGTGACTAAGTGGGCGAAGCTCCGAAGAGAGAGGTACTTGACCGACTTCTGTCCTTATTTTGGGAACTACGATTCACAGTTACTGACCGAACATCCATACGTCCGAAGCCATGCTGAACTGTCGGAAGTTGACAGATTCTGGGGCGAGCCACTTGATCGGCAGCTTCCCTCTCGATGCTGGAAGCATTAAATGAGTATTACAGAAGATCCTTCGAAAAAAGAGCTAGGGAAAGCGGTCAAGACAAAATTGCTCGAACAGGCTCACGCGTCGAAGTGCTCTACGGATAATTGAAATCAGCAAAAAAACAATCATCGAAAAAAACATTAATACTTAAACTGTGAGGTAAGATGTATGAATTACATCAAAACTTCTTTCCGGTCTGAATTTTTTGAAGAACTGTAACTGTAGCCCTCAGAAAATTATTTCCGATTTTCTAAACCTAGTAAAAATCCCGTTTTTTGAGTATCTTTTCATTTTTAAGTCTCACGCTCTTCTCATACTAACAGATGAAGAAGAATAGGAAAATTTAAAAGATTTTTCAATTAATCATGGAGCGACTATTCTGTCATATACTAAATTAAATCAGTCTGAGAGCAAAACTCTAACATACGAAAAAAAAAGGGCAAAAGAGTACCGGTATAAACGGCGTCATAGTCGAGAGCGCGACTGAGGCCGAAATCAGCGAGTTTGACGCACAAGGGCGAGCAAACGAGGACGTTTCGTGCCGCGATGTCGCGATGAACGAAACGCGATGCATGGAGGTAGACGAGGGCCGAAGCGAGCTGCGAACAGAAGAGCAGCAGTGTTCGCAGCGGCAGCCAGTCTTTCTCCGCCTGGAGATACTCTCGCAGCTGAAAATTCCAAGTTCTTTGAGAACGCGGATCTGACCAAAAAAGGTCTTTTCACTTTTTTATTTGAGATCAAATTGAAAAAAAAACTCTCTTATAGTCAACTTTTCGCGATTTGAAAGGCAAGGCGAGTAGATTAGCTCCATTGAAAAACTATCGAAAATGAGAAAAATGTAGTTTGACCTCAAGTTTTCGCCAGAAAGCCACGTTACACACGCAACGTCAACCTCGCGAATCTGCTCATTCGCCTTTCAAATCGGAAGGATTAACTTTAACTAAGTCAAAAGATCCGGTAAGTCTCAACTCAGCTTCTCAGTTAAAAGTGCAAATAGTGTATAAAAGTTCTAACTTTAAGAAGCTTCATCCTTGAAGAAGCGCACTCCGAATATTCATACCACTTATCAGAGTCACAATTTTGAATCTCTTATGTTTATGACTGAGAAAAGTTATACTGCAAATTACGAACTTCTCCGCGAGAGGCGAGTTCCATCACCAGCCACATGGGCTGTTCCATACAGACGCCGATCAGCGTGATAATATGAGCGTGTCGAAAATTACGCATCAGGCCTGAAAGCTTTCAGACCACATTTGGGAAAGTTCCGCTCTTTCTAAATGTTAATCTTGTGAGAAAAAAGTCGGTTAAACGTTATTCAAGTCCAAAATATAGACTAACAAGACAACCTGCGTCGTTTTTTTTTTTATAAAACTTTTTATAGAATTCGAAAAAAAAATTCAAATCTCAAGGTTATTTCTAAAAATTATCTTTCAGTGTGGAGACATCAGACAAGACTAACTTGACTCTTGGAGGATCAACTGAGTATCCGCCGGCTCGGCTTCCAGTTTGCAGACTTTCACCGCCACCGCGATCCTTTCTGCCGTTTCCTCAAACGGACCATCTTTATTGCAACCTTTTAGAAGATCATTTTTATTTGTTTTAGAAGATAATTTTTATTGTTCTCGAGATCTAATATCTAGGATTGTCTGTTACAGAAGTTTGAAACAGATCTGTGATTTTCACCTCACACACTTCCCTCGTCAAGCTTCGTTAATAAGAAACTCAGGAAATAGTGCCAAATCCTACTGACCTTTCTGGAATTTTCGGTGGAGCTTAAATTCATAAGAAAATGGAAAATTCAACGCGATGCAGTTTTTCCAGGCAAGAATGGTCAACTTTATTTTTGATGATGTTTCAAGGAGCACCCAGAACAAGTTTACACCAGTTTCCACGAGATCTGTTTTCAACTGACTGATTTCACCAAAAATACTTTGAAAAGTCAGCGTACACGATGGAAAAGATGTCTACCTGGTTGTGATAGATTGCCTTGTAGACGTTGCCAAACTGACCACCGCCGATCAACTCCTTCAGAGTCACACTATCTCTTTGCAGCCGCATGTCGTTTTCCACTTCAAAAAATACGATTAAAACGCCGGGAACTGAAATGAACCTGGCGTGTTTTTCTGATTCACTGTAGCCGCACGCATCTCCAGTGTCTCACATCTTTCTATACCTAAAACTGGTATTCAGCCCAGAAGCCATATGATGAAGCTCTTCATAGAAACGATCAAAACGAAAACTGGCCAGGAAGTTTGTAAACGGACTCGCGCTGGTTGTACAGCATTTGGTAGCCGTCAAGAAGATGGGCCAAAGATTGTGCCAATTCGTTTCCCGAAACCGTGATTGCCTAAGTTTCTCACTTTTCTCTTTTCTTTTAAAATAACGGTTTGGACTACTCTCCGAAACATAAATGAGAAACTTACAACGGGCAGAGATCCGCCGGAAAGTCTAAGCTGAACTAACGTCTTCTCCGATGAGTTTTCGAGTCTTCGCACAGTTATTTCTGCTATAGTACGAAGCTCCAAGAGACGGGAAGTCTTAAAACGGTTCAATCGTCAGTTTGGATAGTTCCAATTGGAAAACGGACATCACATCGGTCGTTGATGCGGTACGAGAGAGCGGCATGTGGGCCGACGACCAGCTCCACAGGGTTCGTCCAGCCTATCTGAAGTCGGAAACATGAGAAGAGTTGGTCCCGGAAGCCAACGCACACCGAGACTCGCTTTGAAGACTTCTACATCAAACTTCACGACGTCGAGGAGCAACGTCAGTGAGCGGACGATAGAATCAGACGGCGACAAAGACGCCAGCTTCTTGATCAGCTGCACGAATTGCTTCTTCACTGCGCCCTGTCAAGACGAAGATGACACGCGGACGAGTGTGGAAACCTTGACGTTGGCGGTACAAACAGCCGTGTTGGGCAACAGAGACTGAAGACAGGACTCCACGTCAAAGTCCTCGAGTTCGAGTTTGTGGTCCACGCAGTGCTTTCTGTAGCTCACAAATTCCCTACAGAAGCCTGTTGGACCCATACGCTTTGTTCTCGCCGGAGTCTCGACACACTTTAAGGGCAGCTATCTCCAGAGCAACTTCGAGATTCGTTTTCCAAGCTACATGGGCGAAGAACTCTTCCACAACCTGAGCGGAAACTACTTGAAAACCCATTCTCAAGACTTGTTAGCATTATACGCCGTTTTTCAAAACTTCTCACTAAAGTTTATAGAAGTTGAAGCTTTTGAAAAAATCGTTCCGTTGAATTTTTACGCCTAAAAAAATTTCAAAAATACATGGAAAACTGAAAATTATTTCGAACTATTCTAGACTGGTTCATTTTTTTTTTTCAAGAAGCAAGTTTTCAGAGGAAAACCTGTTCATGCAGGTAAGTGAAAGCTTCAGAATCCGTGACCTGGAGTTCGTAAACCGACTCAGGCATGAAACGCATCAAGAGTTCCAATCTCAAGGAAGAGAAAAATTAGAGAAATAAATGAAAAATTGTTCAGACTTACTTTAGTTCTTCGTTGACCCCGATAGGCAAATAATTGGCAAAAACATGCGGTAACTGAGAAACACGCAGCAAAGGATGAAGCCATAGTGAGTCCCCGGACCCTGATAAACTCAAAAACTGCTGATGCGATCACAGATTCTCGAAACCTGCGGTTTTCGGAGTTGGGCCAACAATTAGACGGAGTGCGAAGTGCGGTGTAGAGACTTGAGACACGTTGACACCTCGCAGAACCACTTGAATTACACGCTGCAAAACCATCGCAAAATAATGATCAAGTGAATTTTCTAGACGAACGGAACCTGACTTGAACATTTTTCATAGTATCTTACTTCATTTTACTAGCAATTGAAATTGCTTACCAAATGTATTTAGCTTCCTAAGCAGTCTAAAATGAGACCGATAAAAAAGGAAGAAAATCCTTACCGCCTAGTATATTTTATTAAGAAATGAAAATATGACATATGCGCATCGATTCATAACTTCGAGAAAGCTTGAGTTGCTCACAAATTCCATGGGAAAAAATATTTTACCGCCAGCGGTTCTGAAATAAGATTTATATGGAAAACTCATGCAATATTCCGCTAGCAGGTATATCATAACTGATCTTTTAAAGTTAGTTTACAAATGTCGAAAAAAAACTCTTCCACGTTTTCAGGGCAGCTTTTTCAAAAGGCTTTCGTAGTTTTCTGCGACGCCAGCTACTCCGAAATTCTTTCTATGTATGGAGAATCCTTCGACTTCAAGGGCTTCTCAAAGACTGAGAGCCAAGTGAAAGCTGAATACCAAGAAATAGCGGAAGCGGGTGCCTCAAAGAAAAAAAATCCCTGACAGCCTTGGCGCGTCCCACGGGTGACCAAGCACTTTCTCTGGACCAATTGACCGCATTTTATGCCGTTTTGGATATACACATAAGAACACTGAAGCTCTACGAACGAAAAAACAGAAGATGAAAGCTTTTGGGCAATATAAAATTTAATTTTAACTTCTTTAACTTTTAATAATTGTGAGGTTTAAAATGTTTATTAATTCGCTTGAAAACTCTCTGACTGACGGGTGGGGACACCTTTACTTTAATAAGGTTTTTACTATTACTATGCGACCTACCAAGACCTTTCGATGTTTTTTGGAGAAAATTTTCAAAGAACTGGGCTAGGCCATTGCAAATCAAATCACACACCAGTGGCTGTGTGGTGCCACTTGCCACACCACAGGGAAACTCGCTTCAATAAAAGACTGCTCTTTTCAAGATCTCTTTCCGATGGATATGCAAATTTTCGACAGAATCGGGCATTGAAATAATTATTTCTTATTCATAAACACTTTTAAAAAATGGATTAAACATTTCCGAGTAATATGCATTCTTATGATCTATCTCTGTCGCCAAGCTTTACGAATCTAATGGCAGAGAAGTGTGCAAGACGAAAAATATTGAATCTTCGCTGCTTGATCGAACGCTCAGCGGCTGTGAGGTGTCGCAAGACGGAAAACTTGCCCATTTGTAACAGCCTTGTCTCTAGCACTTCAACGCGAGCAAAGTGCAGCAAAGTTCTCACACTTACTTCAGAACAACTCTTTCGGGCAAAAAGTTACAGTACAGAAACAATTTCATCTGATCAGCTACAAAAGCTCCGTTTTCTTACGTTTTTCTTATCCTGCGCCTCACAGAGAAAATATAAAAAGGAGCAAAGCGTGCGAAACGCATTGATTATTGATCGAATGAGGGTGACAGGGACCTTTTTGCTGGATGCGAGCAGACATTTTTCCTTATTTGATTAAATGTCGAGAAATGAGTCACTTTTAATCATGTATAAATAAATCAAAATAATGGAAAACGATGCTTTCAAAATATTTCAACCTGTTCACATCTAATTCAGGAAATATTATTAAGGAAGCCATGAGTAGACGTAAATTGACAAAACGCACCTCTACCGTAGTTTGATTGTCATACCGGACAGATCTGGATGCGCCGCCAGCCAGAAAAACGCGCGCGATTCCATCCATCACTCGACAGCTCCACCATCCGTTTCCCAATTAGAGGAGTTTTCAGCGAAGCAATCTACAGTGCTGCTCTCATCGCTTTTAAGGAAAAAAAGAGGATGGATAAATCGCCTGAACGACGCAACAAGGAGAGAGCTGGAGCTTTGGGCGGAGCTGCACGTTGGAGTTTTAAAAAACATCGATGCGTTTAAATTTCGCGGTTGGCTGGAAGAAGGGAGTTGCGCTCTGCCGCACAGACAGAAAATTCAGAGACCAGGAATCGATCTTTCAAGTCTCGTCGTCAACTCTTGTGCTTTCTTGTTATTATTTTTTTAATAATTTTTAAAGTTAAAATAGTCAAGTTCAGTAAATTAATGAGCGAGCTAAATATTCTCAATTTTTGACAGCCGGATCTATAAAATTTCCCAATCTTTTAGGCGTTGAAAAAAATCACCAAAGATTCTTAATGTCGTTTGCGGAACCATACATCTAATCTAATTCGATTTCATATATCAGCAAACTTTATGAATATTTGAGGTGCTTCCCTGGACACTGTAATTTTTATGGTGGCATGAAACTTTTTTCTAGAATATGCACATTTTTAGCTGACATTGGATTGCAGGGTACATCAATTGTTTCTAAGAATGGGCGAGTTTCTGTTCAACATCGATCATGGCTATTTGGAAGCGTTGATTCGCGGATTCAAGACCGGCCTGCTGGCTCAATCAGACTATGCAAATTTGGTCCAGTGTGAAACTCTTGAAGGTGATCTTATGAAAAATCCGTTATAATTTGAGTTTTTGTTTTCAGATCTGAAGCTTCACATCCAGTCCACTGATTACGGAAACTTTTTGGCGAACGAACCAGGAGCAATAACGGTGATAGAGTAGAAAATATCTCGTTCTATGTTTGTTTTTAGGTTCAAGTCATAGATGAGAAATTGAAAGAAAAACTTGTCACGGAGTTCACCCATTTACGCAACAACGCTCTAGAACCGCTGGCCACGTTTCTCGATTATATTACGTTAGTTTTTTTAGATATTAAAAACCGACCAGTCTTTAAACCATGAATTATTGCTCAGCCAATTAAATTATTAAATTAACGGCTCTTCACTGGTTAGATGCCCATGTCCTAAAGCGTTTAAAGGCGCAAAAATTTAGTTGGACCCAAAATAACCGTGAAAAAGGCTCTTTGTTTCAGTTCAATGCACTTTTAAGCACTCTAGCAGTAATTTTTGAACAAAATACCGCCAGTCTCGATATTTGGAAATGAAATTAAGTTATACCAGTGACCGTATTTCAAAACAAAACTTTTTTTTCGAACTGAATTATTTCAAAACTTTCAGATACTCGTACATGATTGACAACATAATTCTGTTGATAACTGGAACTTTGCACCAACGTCCGATCAGCGAGCTCATCAACAAATGCCATCCTCTGGGCTCCTTCGAACAAATGGAGGCCATCCACATCGCCAGTACACCGGCCGAACTCTACAACGCAGTTCTAGTCGACACGCCCCTCGGTTCTTAATTTCCCCATTCGAAAGGAGAACCCCTGTTTCAGCCAACTACTTTGTCGACTGCATCAACGAGCAAGATCTCGATGAAATGAACGTCGAGTTGATCAGAAATACTCTTTACAAGGCTTACATCGAAGACTTCTACAAGTTCTGCAAGCAGCTCGGGGGAAAGACGGGCGAAGTCATGTGCGACATCTTGGCGGTTCGTTTATTTACTGTAAATAGCGGAAATAGGGTTGGCTGACTATTCTAGAAATGGCTATCCATACTAGTTATTTTGTTTCCGACAGTTTATTTAGGGAATTTGAGATTCTAAAAGTAACGCATAAAAATATAATAAGATGCTGAAACATATTAAGGGCGATTTCTAATAGTATGTCGCATATTTATGTTCAAAAAGATTTTAAATATTGGATTTTGAGTATAGTTTTTCAGTTCGAAGCTGATCGGCGTTCTATCATTATCACTATCAACTCTTTCGACACAGAGTTGAGCAAGGACGATCGTGAGAAGCTGTACCCACGGTGTGGAAAACTTTATCCCGAAGGTTTTTTTCTATTCGTTATCCCTTCTCATCTTGGATTCAGGACTGATTGGTTTGGCTCGTGCCGACGACTACGAGCAGGTCAAGCAAGTTTGCGACTATTACTCCGACTACAAGGTTATTCTTTCTTTTTCCAAACGTTTGAATGTTCTGATTGTTCAGCCGCTCTTCGAGGGGACTGGAAATGGCGCCGGTGAGAAAACTCTTGAAGATAAATTCTTCGAACATGAAGTTGTTTCCATTTGTCTTTTTTATTCATGGAACCGTTTTTAAGGTCAAAATGAACGTTCAGTCGTATCTCCACCAGTTCCATTTCGGCGTTTTCTACGCTTTCATCAAACTTAAGGTAGCCGTTGATTTTTCTTTCAACCCATTCGAGGGGCAAAAAAAAAGAGTCGAGTTTCACAATACTCCAGGATTTTGAAAGAAAATCCAGGAAAAAAAGAATCAAGGAAATATGTCTATTTAATTTATTGAAGGGTTTTTTTTATGGTGAATTCTTTTTTTTTTGTTAAACTCGGGCTTGGGCCAGACCAGGCTTCAAAAAAAAAGTTTTGACCGAAAAATTAGTTCTACTCTTGTTGAATAATAGTTTCTGTTAAACTCCGTGAAAAAAGATAAGCAAAAACATGACTTTTGTTGTAGAAAAAGGATTGATATTCGATTTGAAGAAAATTTGAGCTTTTTGGGCCATTTTTTGCTTGAGGCCCCCCTTAGGCCGGGCTGAAGTCCAACGTGTAATTTGTTGTTTGTCGATTTCACCATTTTCTTTTCATAATTAAAAAGAGAAAGAATGATATTTTTGCAGGAGCAGGAAATGCGCAACATAATCTGGATTGCCGAGTGCATCTCGCAGCGACACCGTACGAAAATCGATAACTATATCCCTATTATGTAGACGGTCTGATATTTCTTATTTTATTTTTCTTTATAACTGAATTTAGTTGAAGAATCCTTCTTCACATTTCGTAGAAAAATAATATATTCAACTCAAAAAAATATATTAGTTTATTTCTTTCCCATCCTTCACTTCGATAACTGTAAGAATCTATTGTGGGTCCCAACCCAGTTCATGAGACAGTATCGCAACTTTATCCATTCCAATCAAATTAGTCGTTCTTCACTTTTTCTTGTCAAGGCTTCTGTGAAATGGGGAAAAAGACGAGACTTGACGTATCTTTCTTGTGAGATAGGTGAAACTTTCTACTAACTCAATACTTCTTAGTACGCTTGAATTGTAAAGTTCTATCGGCCCACCTGTGAATAAAATCTATCGCTTCAACGGAATCCTTCTTTGCACGTAAATTAAAGGCAGCTGTGATCAGCAATATTCATGCGCTGATTATCCGAAGGCAGGTTTCTCTGCAACAATATTTGCTCAGCGGGACGCCGAATTCGTTTTGCCTGTTGTAGCGGTTGTTCGCAAATCATCTATCGTTTCGCCTTATGTTAAGTACCTGAGAAAAAAAGGAAGTAAGGTTGCGAGGACGGCAACTTGCTGGAAAGAAGGCTGTTTTGGCACTCGCCCAAGACAGGTGGCGGGTTCATTATGCCCAGACGGCTGAATTACACCCGCCACTCCACTTTTGCCCTTTTCCGCAGTCGTCATCAATTGCGGTGCTTCTTTTTTTCGGGTTTCCATGTTTCTTTCGGTTCATCTTAGCTCGTCTGTATTTGAACTTTCCGCCTAATTATCTTTGTTCTCTTTTTCTGTCAATTATTTTTTTAAAAACCTTTTTAGGTTAATAGATAAGGCACTTTTCAATCTCCTACTTCTACTAATTGGACTCTTATTAGTATGAAGCAAGTTAAATTTTAGGGTTTAGGAGAAGTCTGTGGCTCATCCCTTCTAATTCTATATTATCCCTCAATCTTGCTTAGTTTAACAATCTGGGAATAATTTGCTTACATAAATTATCTCTAACCAAGATTAGTTCCTTCCGGGAAATAGAAGATATTTCTAAAAATGAAAACGTCTGATTTTCATTTCTTATATTTTTTTTTGGAGTTTCCAAGGAAACCATTTTCAAAACGGAAAACCGTAAAAATGTTATGTTTTTGGTTGTGACGGCGAATGTTTTTGCTGTGATTCTTCCCTTTTATCTCCAAAAACACTGTATTGAAACTGATTACACGGGCCAGCAGAACAAGTTGTTGGATAAAGGATAAAAAGCTCGAAATTTGAGTTTTTACCTTGTTCAGCTAGTTTATGCTTCCTATAATTTTCTGGTTCTTTGGCTGCGGAACTGAATAAGTCACGATTTCTTCGCGGATCTTGTCATTCTACCATATTTTTACAGTGACAGTGTGCGCGTATCACTTTCAGTGAAAAGCAAAATGATTTTTCAATTTTTTTTCAAGTTGACCTTGAGAAGTATAAGTAGAACCAATGCTCCCTTGGTAGGTGCGAAAAGCTTTAACTATTTTTCGCAGGTTTTTTTCCGATCTTCTCTGTAATTTGACTTTTTATTCGTTTTAAGGCCTTTCATGTTTCAATATTTTCCTTTCATAAATTTTTAATTTCAAAAAGGTGTGCTTCCAACAAACGCTTCGAAAGAAAAGGCTAGAAGCTTTTCCAGTTCTTAAGGTCTCGGTCTGCAAGAGAGATCGTCTACCTTCAAGTATCGTCTGCTGAACGATTAGTTCTGAAAAGTAGAACATAAAAAATGTCTCATTGAGACAATAAGATGAAGAAGCGTTTGAGAGACGTGTTTCTGCGACGGACAGAATGCCGGGCAAACAGCCGGATGAACACACGGAGACGCGTACGAGTTGTTTGGCTTCTGCGTGTTTCTGCCGTCGCTGTACCGACCTGCTCTTTGTCTTCTCCGTCTTTCGAGGCCTCGTTTATGCCGTCGTGAACCATTTTTCGTTTTTAATAGTTTGAACATTCCACATCTTCTCCTTTCTATTTTTCTGAATTCTTCTTGTTTTTTTTTTGTGATCTGTTGGTGCTCTTTCTGTGTTTTTAGTAGGCAAACTGCGAAAATTTACCAACTTTTTTTTTCAAGCGTATGATCGAGAAAAAAATGAATTTAATTGTATCATAACTTTGTACCAGCCGTGATTTAAAGTCGGGTGTTGCCTTGGCGTTCCTGGCAACCGCTGCTCGAGGCCACACGGACGTCAAATGGCGCCCTGTTTGAATAGTCTCCGGTGACATCCTGATGGCCTCCGTCCGTCTTTTCTTTTTTTGTATCTGTTTCCCTTCTTTAAATATCCATTTTTTTATTCTTGTTCTTCGAGGTTATGGGAAATCAAGGTTTCTAAAAGAGTCTCAAAAATTCCAGCTTTCATCTTATTTATATTTCGGATTCACAAAGCTCACTGGAGACTTTTAGCGTGAGCGATCGTGAACAAAATTTGAAGAAATTGGTGAGACTGTCTTGAAAACTTGTAATAAGAAGCTTTTTAAATAGTTTTCGTTCATAACTCCTAATTATCACAGTATAGTTTCCACCGAAAATTGTTTCTCATATTCAAAATTTCTTTTTCGGCTTTTTTCTTGAATTTCGCAGTTATTTTGTCAAATCCTCAAAAAATTTCATCATCATACTTTTGATGTTTTTCTCAAAGTACGTCTCGCAAAAGTTTCTCTCAGACTTTTTTCCAAATGCTCAATTTCGAGTGGGATAAAGGGATAGAAACTCAACAATAGTGGACGAGATTTTTCGTAGAAATAAAATGAGAAGACACTTGTAGCGAAGATATTCAAGAATTTCAAGACCGTTCAAGCTGTCGGAAGACGTCGCTCATCTTCTGGTGGCCGGTTTTTCTCCCGGCAGCTGCCAAAAAGTCTTGCCAATTTTTCGTTTTATTATATTCTAAATGACGTCGCTCGGCTTTGACCAAGAGAATTACGTTTTCCTTTCTCTTATTTTCCGCGCAACAAGCAGAAAACTTAGCGAGCCGACCCAGTTTCTCACGTATTTAGGTTTTTTTACCTGAAGAATTCGCCTCCGCAGCGATCGACTTTTGTTTTCCCTCTTCTTTGTGCAATTAATAGTCCATTCACAGAAGCTTGCAGTTTTGATTGATGGAACATCGATCCGATTTGCCGTATTAGTACTGGAAAAGCTATGATTCATTTTTTGCTTTGATCCTAACGATGTTAAAATGATAAAACGAAAGTAAAGTTTCGATTTTTCGAGTACCCGCACTGAAAAAAAGCTACGTTTTCAGGTAAAAATGTAATAACTGAAATCATCAGATCATCTTACTGTTTCTGTAGATTACAAGACTTCTTTGGACGAAAAACGAATTCCTTCTCTGAAAAAACTATTTTTACTGGACATAAAATGTTTATCTTTATTCAAAACGCTTCACTAGTTTTTGTAAAATTGATTCTTGCAAGCAACCGGCAAACCTGTCTTCCTTCTGTAGGCCCGCTATCCATCAGCTTATCACCTCTAGATGTCCGATTACAGCTGCTTTTTCTCATGATTTTTTTGTTTTTCTAATTTTTTTAGATAGTTCAAATCTCTTCCTATCATAATTTACAATTGCTCATTTGAAGTTAATATTTGAAATTTTTTTTAAATGAGAAAATACTTTGAAGGAATTTCAATTTAAAGCCAACTATTTCAAAGTTTGAAACTGTGTGTTATGATTTTTTTTTTCTTGAAACATATTTCACGGACTTTTATACTTCTGGCTTTTCCTAGCCTACTTCCATTCCAAATCAAACGAAAGAGAACTCCAACATTCTGCCCAACAAGGCTCGTCAAAGCTTTTTGTAAATACAAAGCGACGGAGTCAGCTGCTGTTGCAATTCCGTCGCCTTTCAGGGCGTTCCATCCCCTCAATGGAAATATCAAAGCGGTCCACGTGCATTTTCGAATTCTTCCGGCCCTTTTTCGATTCCGACAAGTTCTCCCTGCTTGTCTTATAACCCAGGATGTGCCTGCCATCGATGAAATCTTATTTCCTTTACAAATGATCACCGGTTTTGGTCGAATTAGCGGCTGAACTTCGGGCGGGCCCGAGGAATGAGGTGAGAGTGTTGCCATCATTCATACCATGTGTCCAAACGGGTTGCGCCGTTAATCAACAAAATGGCGAGCGAGCTTGTCCTTTTTTTATCTACTTTAGGATTGTTATTCTTTTTTATCTTTTATAGAATCACAAGTTTTCTCGTTTTTTTTTTCCGTGTTTAGGAGGCTGTGAGCATTCGATCTTGTTTTTTTTAATCCCCCTTATTTTTTCTCCCTGTTTCGAATCTTCTTTCATTCACCAGGCTCTTCTACAAGTCAGGAACGAGGAAAGAAAGAATAAAAAATATTGAGTCTCAATTCGATTTTTTTTTTCAATTTTTCGACGTTTTTTCAAATAGGGTTATCAGTCCTAGGTAGTTTGTGAAGACAAAAAGTCAAAAAATTTTCTCATGTTCTTTCCATCTTTATCCTTTTTTTCGACATCCTGAGAAGTACTTTTGAAAGGTTCGTTAGTGATTCTGCAAGTGATAGGACGCGTGAAGAAGCTTGTCAAACAAGCGGAGAGATCAGGGAACGACTCTGGGCAGACCTGTTTGCCACTCTCAGCTGCTGGTTTACTCGCCTCCTTTTCTCTTTGCTTGATTAATTCAACAAAGATAAGAAGAAGTTTGTTCAAACGATCTTTAAGTGGCTTTTTTGGTTCTATGAGAAGTTCAGGGAAAGTATGGCATCTAAAAAGGGAGGGAATTTCCTGGAATTCGGCCAGAAGGCTCCTTGATGTACCAAATAAAGATTCTGTAAGTCTGAACCTGCATTAATTTCTCGTTTTTGAAAAAGGATGCCTCAAAGTCGGAAAAACCTCAAAAATCGTTGAAAAGGCTATTTTGGGAATTTAGGCTCTCGTTTTTGAAAAAAATTGGAAGTTGTGCAGGTTGAGACTTTCAGAATCTTCATTTGGTACATCAAGGAGTTTTATGTCCGGAAATTCCCAACCGTAAGTTAAAATGACCTTCCCTGACAGAGGAAAACGAGATTTGTATCTTTCAATTTTCACAAAAACAACTACCACTAAGAGGATGTCAATAACTGATAAAACAGTTCAATTATTATTAAAAATATATATCGGAGCTTCGAAATTATTCTGAAAGCTCAGGCCATGATTCTCAGGCCCCAGAATAATTATGAATATCTTCAAAGGTTCCAAATCATTCATGAAAAAACGATTAAAAGTGAGAGCAAGAATACAAAGCGTTGTAACGTAGTTGCCGACGAGCAAGGTAGGCTTGATTGGTCTTCTGAAAAATAAGCTGAAACAGAGAGTTCACACATTGGTGCAGTGGAAACAAGAAAAAAGCGCAGCCGGCGGCAACAGAAGCGCCAGGAGACGCCGCGTGTCCTGTCAGTGTAACACTAAAGGAGCTTCTCCCCTGAACGAGCCGTTCATTCTCGCCTGCTCGCCATCGATTTTCGTACCATCTGAAAGGCTCGATTCATGTTTTTTCTCAGTTTAATTTTCACTTTCACTTTTTCTCGCTTACGCGAGTTTTCCTTGTTCTGACCTATCTTAAGAAGCTTTACAGCCCTTATCATGAGTTTAATGACTGACTGAGAAAGAAGGTTGAGACTTGGCCACTAATCATTTTTTTTGTGTTGCGATAAGAAGCCAAAACGTCGGCTTATCACGACAAATATTGATTTTCGACGCCCTTTGCACTCCGATGAAAACGATTCTTCTGGCTCCAATAATTATCAATCTATCGATAACGTTTTTCGAACAACTTGTTTTAAAAAAATTTTGAAACGACAATCGGAATTTCTGACTGTGGATACATCAAGACGTGTCAGAGATCCATCAGAATCCTTTTTTTCATTGTGATTTAATCATTCTCGATTTTTTTTTTGCGCGTCAGAAAATAGTCCCTCACTTTTCTCGGTAACACCTTTTTAACCTTCAAAAATAAGTTCCATTAATATTTTTCGAGTATAAATTTCTCCAACAAAAAATTTTCAGTTATCTCCTACACTTCAGAATCCGTTTTACTCTGAAATTTTGAGCCAAAGACAAAAGTTTAGAAAAACGCAGGTGCAGATACTCCAAACGTACTCCAATTGAGGAGTGTTCGATTTGCGGCTTTTCGTTGGGCCTACCTGCCTCAATTCCGCCCTTTGCCTCTTTTATTACTTCCAACGCACAGAAAAATTACTTTTCCCCTTTTGCATTATCAGCTTGATTTGAAGAATTTATTTCGTGCGCTTCATTGAATTTTCTTTTCGCGTTTGGAACAGCATTTTGATGTGGTTTTCGATGAAAAATGATTTTAGAGTTCATTTTTTTCCTCTCTCTTTCTTTTTGATTTAGAATAGAGATAAAATAGATTTATAACCTTATCAGAAAACTTACTCAGTTTTTCAGAAGAAACTTGACATAGGCCTCGCGGAGAAGCGTTTTTTAAGGGGTCAGTCTTAGAAAACCATTTCTTCCAATTCAAAAAATTGAAATTGTATAATAAATATCCATAATGATCGTCTCCAAGAGCAGACTTCAAAACACTCACAGGTTATTGTGGAAACATGACATCTCAATATTTGTACAGAATCCCCTGAACCGTCTCAAAAACGAATTTTTTTTTTGAATATTTAATCCATCTAACGCTTTATCGCTTTTTGCTTTTAATTTTTTGAGGTTTTTATAACCTCTAATTTGGAACACTCATCTGAATTTTTTGAAAGCTTTTTCTTAACTTTCTTGTAAAAATCTCTATTATACCTATTCTGATAAAAATTGAAAAAAAAATATGTAAAATAAAGCTTGTTTCGGATTTTTGAGATGGAGATACGTTATTCGTCACGGCTTGAAACAGTCTGATTTTTTTTTGTGCTCTCTAGTTTACCAGCTGTTTTTTTTTCGTTTGACTTTGCGGAAAGGAGATGCAGACATGTCAAATTGTTTTAAGTCGTGGTGAACGGAGTATAAATTTCGCAACAAAAAAAAAACCAAAATGGTTTTCCCAGAATCGTAGTCATTTTTCAAAATATTTTTTCGTGAACCAGAGAGCACTACAGGATGGCCCAAAAGTATTGTCGCATATAAAAATAAACGTAAATTTTTGCAGACACTATGGATTTTGCTGAAACTTTTTGAGTCAGACTAACATGCACTATATGTAGATAGATAAAACCAAAGAAAAACGTTTTTAAACCATGCCGACTAAACCTGCCGCGCACCCAGTTGTCATGTTAGAACTTTAACTTTTTTAAGATCTCAAAATTTTTTTCTGGAGCGGTTGATTTCGTCGTCAGAGGTCCACACTATAAATTTCATAATACCTAAAGATGGGGGGCTACGAGCTTACAGCTTTTGAGATTTTCCCTTTTTTCCAAAAAGTCAGGCTCCGGCGAAAAATGACCTTCCTGACGCTTTTCTACGTTTATGCTGTAGTTATGTAACCACACCAGCTTCAACTACGAGTAACTTGAGACTTCGGCTTGCAGTTTCAAGAAAAAGTTTCGAAATGATTCGTGTCGTCAGTTTGTTGGATCTGATTCACTTTATTTTGGTAATCTGGAAACTCCTGCGAAGGTTCTTCCTCGGTGGCTCGAGTGCGTCGGGCCACGTGTTGACTTTGCGTTGCGTTTCCACTCTCCGTCAAGCAACTGTAAGCTACTTTTTCTCGTTCGGTGGCTCCGCAGATCCGGCGAGCTCGTTTGATTGGCTTCCACCCCCGCCAGCCATCAACATCTCTCTGTGTCTCTTTCTCTTCCTATCTCTCTCCCTTTAAGATTTTTTGAAGGCTTTCATTTGATTTTCTTGGTTCAAGTAAGTCATAGACGATGCTGGGTTTAGAATTTTGGAATGTATGAAGGAAAATTTACGCCAAGGTATAGTTCGATCATCATTTTCTAGTTGCAGCCATTTTTCCGGTGGACCATCAATTCAAGAAAAAATGGACTTGTACCTTTCAAAATCCCAGCCAGCTGTCGTTAATTTATTATGTTTCTTCCAATTTTTTCACTCCATCATTATTAAAATCTATGATTGTTTATAGAGAATCCTATCCCAAATTTTCAGTAAGGAATATTTTGAATGGATGTTGTCGGCATTGTCTCTTCTACCTGTTAGGCACTTACGCAGCGTTAAGATTCCTGTTTTTTTTTTTGCTTCAGAGGCCACAATCGGCCCCCTGAAACATTTTTTGTAACTTTCATGCATTTTCCAATGCTCTTTTTCCGTGATTTTCTTGTTCTTGACCACTCTACGAAGAAAAATTCATGAAAAGATCAGGGACGGAAGTTCAAAGGGAAAACAAGGATGGAGGAGGAGGACGTGTTCACGTGCCGAATCCAGTACGTCAACGACGCGGATCCATTCGCGACCACCTCGAGCTCCTATCTCGAGCCCATGCGTCCAGTAACCTTCAACTTCCGGCTGCACTCCCTCATCGGCGACCAGCTCACCGAAGTCATAAGAACTCTTCGTGCTCCTCACAAGGTTTGCTTTACTTTCTGTTCATCGTCACCTGGCTGATGACTCCTCAGAACTCGAGCTTATATAAATTCCAATGCTAAAGTTGCGTGAAGGCTTAGGTTCTGAATAAATTAAATTCTGAATTTCAATAGAAAGGCTTTTCTGTAGTTTCATTGAGCTTACAATTAGGATAGACAATAATTTGGCTGTTGCAGGTTGGAGACTCGGCCCTGCAGGTCTACAAAGGGCTGGAGGGAGGCGGCGGCGAGTTTCACACCTACCTGGACTCAGACCTCACCCTCGCCGACCAGCCGGACGAGCTCGACCTTCTCAAATCCGATTCGTACGTTTTTCTGATTTTTCGGCATTACTAGTAGTTATAACAAAAGTGCTCTAACTAGAGGAAGAGTGAAACATGACAATGAATGGCTCGAAAGGATTAGGTTGGATTACGGAATGGGACGTAAAATCGGCATCTTTATATAAAATGATTTTTTTAAAAATATTATCAGGTGAAAGGAAGAAGAACTCAAAAACATCTGAACAAGTTTAAAAAAAAAAGAAACTTTGTCAAAGAGGGGAAATTGCGTATCGGGAATGTTTAAAGCCGCAATTAGGCATGGAACGGCCGAAGGTTTTGCGGCAAAGCGGTCAGCGCGGAAGCGAAAGTTGCGGTGGCGGTGGTAGCGGGAAAGTTGCCTTCGGAAGACTTTTCGGGACGCCGGATCACTTCTCTTCTGCAGAGACCGGGAAGCGCCGAATCTGCCAGAGAGGGTGTCGGCCGCTCCTTCATTTCGCGAGATATTCGAAACCGCCCAGCATGGTTTCCTGCGCCACCTGCTGTTCAATTATTCCATTATCCGTCCTCGAGATCTCGCGCACTGTTTTCCCTGAAACGACCGCCCCCTTGTCCACGCACTTTGACGACTTCTCATTCAGCTCATCCGTCGACCTTCGAAAACTTTTTATAGTTTTACTCGACCAACCTGCGAGTTGAATTGAAGCTTCACCTCCATGTCATAAACTAAGCGTCTAAAGTATAGCTGGTGCTGTCTGGTCTTCACTCCGCAAGGAAAACTTCAAGCCGTCCTTCCTGCCGCATACCATGTTCCTCACTTTTAAATGAAAGCGTACTGCATTCCCCATTTCTCCGACCAGGCTGTCTATGGAGCTCCTTTGGTCAAATCTCGAGCTTCCGTGTCGTCGTCGTCGTCGCCGCTTCTGAAGGCCTACGAAATCGACGTTTCGGACGAGTCTCTGGCTCAGAATGCGAGCCAAGCCTCGGCTCGAAATGAACTGCCTCTCATTGTGAAGCCTTTGAGGAAGTTCATCTCCAACTCTGCAAAAACTCTAGAACCGGCAGTTCCCCCACCGCGTCTTGTGCGTCGGACGACTCTGAAAGAGCAGCCAACTAGAGATCCAGCACCCGAAGTCCACAGTAACTTCTCGCTGCCGCGGAACTTCCGCAGACCAACAGTTCTTCATGCCGCAGAACGCGTCGACCTCAACACAATACCGTTCATCGACGATGACGAGCCTCCTTCTTCGAAAGGGTTTGGCCAGACGGCCCCAACAGTCCCGCGTCCATCGATCCCCTGCCAGCCAAGGCTCAGCACCACTACGACGGCTCAAAGGGCCTATGTGACTCCGTGGCAGCCGACCAGCACCTACTTCGATTACCATCGTCGTGAAGACTCGGGCTATCGTTCAACGGAAAGCATCAACCGCAAATTGCCAGAAACTTCTGTGTCCAAGGAGAAAATCGGTCTCGACGACGAGGACGAATTGGATGGCGACTTCGACTGGGGCGATGAATATCTGAACAGGTGTCAATCGTTGCTTTCATATTCGCCGCGTAATCGCTAATAATTCTCGCCATTCTCCGAAAAGCTTCAAGCCAAAGAAAAATACATATTTTTTGAATCTGTTTCCTTCGTTTAGTAAATGAGACTTTTTCAGTCGCCGATGCAGTTTGGTGCTCAGAACGCAGACGTCTCTTCGCGTCAAAACAATCATCGGTTTGGCTTTTTTCTCATCTTTTATATATTCTAAAAAGAAAAATAGAAGCTAGGGAAGTACATGAACTACTCCCTTAAAACAATATTTAAAAAGCGTCCAACAAAAAAAATATTTTTTCAGATAAGTTACTAAACTCTTCCGGCCGAGATCAAAGAAGAGCTCTTTTCTCATTGAAGCAAATATTCCAGGTTTGTTGAATTTTTCTTTCTAGGCTTCTTGTTGAATTTTTCAACCATTGCTTAGAATTTTTTTTCTCGAATATTCTATATTTCATGAGAATGAAGAGGATTTTGGAACTAGAATGCGTAGATAACCTCCGACTGCGCGTGTCCAGTCGGCCGTGAAATTTTCCAAACGATTTAGAAATTTGAAACGCTCAACAGATCCGCTTTGAGAGACTGAAAGCCGGAGATTTTTCAACAAATTTTTGCAGGATGACCAGGATTTGGTGCACGAGTTTGTACAGAATGCGGGACTCGACTGTATGATCCGTCTGGGGAAAACCGCAGATCAGAACCATCAGAACTATATTTTACGAGGTCCGTTCTTCATATGAAAACTAGTAAATTCAGAAAATGACGATTTCCGAGTTTTCAAATAGTTTTTACTGGGAAAATCTTTTCTTTTTTTCCGGAAATTTTGAAGTTTACAAAAATAGATTATTTGAACCCATTACTGTTGGTACACAGATTCCGATAATTTTTTTTTTCATTTTGAAACTATTTTCTCTTCTTTTCTTAACTTATGAATCCACGTTTATTTTTCACGAATACATGGGAAAAGTGAAAATCTGTTAGTGTCAAGATTCATCCTTTTATTGTAGTTTTCATCACTGCTTGAAAAAAAAACCCATTTCTTGCTTCATTTTGTGAAGCTTCATAGTAAAAAGGAGAAGTCTGATTTCTGGAAGATTCTTTTTGCTATCAGGATCCGTAAGAAATCACCGTACTTTCGTTTGTGTTTTTACAACACATTTTGCTTAAATTTGCGAATTTTCCTCCAATAAATAAACTTCGAAATCTTTCTAGGAATTTGAAAGAATGGTTTCAGCACTCGGACAGCTAATGTTGTACGTCGACGGCATGAACGGCATCATCGCTCATAATGCCACGATTCAATGGCTTTACGAACTCCTCGATTCCCCGGTACCTTTTTTGATGCGTTTTTTGTCTTTTCTGTCGTTGCTCTCATGTATTTTTCGTTTTGTTTTGTCCTTATCGTCCGTTTATTTCAGCTGTATGATGAAGAAGAGAGGAAGGAAATGAGTCCTTTCCGTATCGAATGGGTAAGCAAAAGTAACTATTGCAACAAAAAAAAAATAGTGAAGTTAATAGATAACGATATTTGACATATAGTATGTGTGCCAAGACTTGAAATTTCACGGAACGACATTCCGCTGTTCCGCTCCGTGCGTTCGCGAAGCGTCTATCGAATCTAGGTCACGCTTTCAATTGATTGTTATTGCTTTGGGAATAAATGAAAGTAGAGTACCATAATAAACGTTAAAAAAAGTTAAGAGCGCGACCAAGGTTCGCAAAAGCGCGCAGCGGCACAGCGGAATGTCGTTCGGTGAAAATCCAAGTCGTGGTACACAGGCTATAAATTTTTAATTAACTCCGAGTATCACTGCATGTAAAGTCCGAGGGACATTCAAATCAAGAAACATATCATCAAGCATGATTTGTGAGTGTGCATGTAAATGTTCAGCGTGAAAAAGTCATCTCTCAATTTTCGAAAAGCTTGTTTCAGTTCCGCCTTGTCGTGAAGACAGCTCTGAAGCTTCTGCTCGTTTTCATCGAGTACAACGACAACAACGCTCTGTTGGTCATGTCGGCCATTTCCAGCGTCGACAAGAGCAAAGGTATGCTCAGAACGAAACAAAAGCATATTTGAAAGTTTGCAGGACAAGCTGACTGGTCGGGACTGATGAAGGTGATTTCGGAGAAAGACTCGCCAGATGCTGAAACCCTCGTCTACGGCATGACTGTCATCAACAAAGCCCTCAATGGAATCCCGGATCGAGTGAGAAAATCGCGAAGTTCTCCGAAAAATCGCTTTCTTCAGGATACTTACTACGACGCGGTCGACACCCTCGACACTCTGGGAATGGAAGAAGCCATCAAAACGATGAGCAGGTAACTGAATGACTGACCATTGAACTTTGTCTCCAAAAAAGTAAAATTTCTCAAAGTTATTTATTTATTTTTGAACCTGTTTCATTATGTAAAATAGTTTCAAACCGGAAATAGATTTTGACAGAAGAAAAAAAAATTGTTAACACCGTTGAAAGAGTCAAAAACAAGTCAAAATTAGGCACATTCTTCAAAAAAAGTATAACTTTCTTTCTCTTTCTCTCAAGTTCTTGATAAGTTTTGAAGAAAGAGACAAATTTTACTCGAAAATGACCAGCATAAAAAATAAGAAAAATGGAATTTTTTTGGTTTTTTTTTCCCAATTTTTTGTCCCCACGATCCATGAATTCTTTACTTTGATCCATTCAAAAAGTTGAACCGGAAGTGAACTTAGAAATGTTCCGATATTGAATTGTAAGATTGACAAAATAATCATTTTGTTTTCTGTTACAAGATTTCTACGCAGAAAATCAGCTTCATCCTATGCTTCTCCTAATTTTCACAGTTACACCACTTTTCCAGGTCGAACAACCGGGAGCTTCAGGAGCAATGCCGGCTGTACGAGAGGGAGCTGAAGGAGGAGGACGAGCGGGAGGAGAGCGACGAGGATCTCAACGTCAAAATGCGGTCAGCTTTGTCGCCAACTTAGGGAAATTCCATTCTTATCAGCTGCCGAGAAAATGGCTGATTAGAAGACCTAATCAGTTAGTACTCGCATCATTTCGACCTCTCTTATTTGCCTTTTGTTCTACCAAACCAATAATCCTTCTAAGCTTACCGTTTGTCGTTGTAGTAAGATCATACTATGCTCTTGAGGTCTTTGCGAGTGAAAATAAGTGAACTTTGATAAACTAACCCTTTTCGAATGCCATCTGTTTTTTCCTTCTGACTCAAAAAAGCATGTGGAAGACGAGTGTGAATAGTTGCAGACCACAGCCAGGCTCCCAAATGACGTCACCAACAGAGTACAACCCGTCAGACAAAAGTAAATCTTCACTGAGGAGCTCTGTGCGCCGTCCGAGCCAGGAGTCTCAAGGCTCCTCTGTGACGAGCGATCCTCCGCCGGAGGACCCGCGCATCTCGTCCAGCTCTCCTGGAGCATCCTCCCCCTCTAGCTGCGCTGAGGAAACGGCGTCCAAGTCGACGCCCCAAGAGCGGAAGCCGTCGCGGCAGACGACGCACGAAATGCCTGAGGACATCGAGACCGCCCTGCAACGGCTAGAAAGAGCTCTGCAACAGCGTCGCGAAGCCGAAAGGGCCAAAAAAGAAGAAGAGGCGGCCAGAATCCGCGAACAACAGGACCGCGAGCAACTTCTTTTGCAGGAGATTCAGATGAAGCAGCAACAAAGGTTTCTTTATGTTTTTTTCTTCCACAAAAAGACTGAGGATTGTTCTGAAGCATCAAAAGTTCAACCACTAAAGACTGTAGTCTACAGACCCGTTATATTTTTCGGCTATTTCTTTGTGTTTTTGAACTTTCCTCGATTTTTTTGCGAAAACACGTTGGCATGTTTTTTTTTCGTTGCCGTCGGAAGGCGCATGTAAATTAAACTTAATATTAGAACTTTGCTAACTCCGAATGCGTTTTTTAATTGGAAGATGTGAGATTGTTTTTCCAAGAAAGTATTTTTGTATTATTAATATACTGGAGTTCTTCATGAAATGCTTAAAATTATCTTTCTATACTTCTTGAATACTCGAAAAATATAAAAGCATCCGTTCTTGATAACTAAAAAGTTAAGCAGGTTTGACTTTCAGATCCTTTTTCTAGTCAATATAAAAGTCTTCCAGTAGATTACTTTTTTTATCAATTCAGTATTCAAAAAGCGAAAAAAGAGAGTCGATGATAATTCTTAATCTTCTAGATATGCACAAGAAGTCGCGTCGACGACAACTCCTGCTGTTGAAGACAAAAAAGCAGCCATGCGTCGACGGCACGACGACGCAAGAAGACGTCAGCAGGAACACCAACAGTTCAGCAACAATCGCAGCGTCTTCAACAAATCTCCGCAAGAGTTTGTGTTTTCGCTGAGAAACTCAACCTGATCTGAATTCAGAGAAGCGAGGGTGCCGATCGAGCCTTCTAGTGCGTGGAAAGGGCCGAAAGAAGTCCTGCACGATCCTCAACCAGTCGGTTCAGTCTCCGTTTGCCTAATTTGGCGAAATATTTTCAGACGACATCAAAAGCAAATGAAGATTTAACGTCTGCGATGAGCAAGCGTATTCCCGAGCCAATTCAAATCCCCAACGAAAACCAAGAAAACGTGATTCCCAAGGAAAATGAAGAGTTCAAAGCGGTTAGTGGATATGAGTCGTTTTTATCATTAAAATGGCCTTGGGACTGGTCGATACATGGAAAAATAATCGAAAAAGCTGGATCTAAAGCCTTCGCAATTTTAAAATGTTATCTGTCTCCAACTTCAATGCGGAAAACAACTTCAAGTCCCAGCGGGAATGAAATATGGATAGATAAACTCAAACCTCATTTTCAACAGATCAACCAAAACTTTTTTTTAAATGATATTACCCACATTATGGAGCTTTCTTGCAGGTGAAAGCACCGCCTCCATCGTTTCCCACCCTCTTTTCTCCGACGGAAAGCAAAACCATGGAGTTCCCGGAAGTTCAAGCTCCTCCGAAAGAAGAAGAAAAAGCGCCACCCCCTCCACGAGCAAAAGTACATTTTTTGATTACTTAATCAATAACATTTAAGTGAGAAAGTTCCAGACTCATGTAGAAATGTTTGTCACTCACTTTTTATGTTGGATTCGATTTCAGATAGAACCTGCGTCGAGCGGGCCTGGAGGCTTCGCGGAAATGCTGCAGAAGCGAGCTGCGCGATCAGCCGAAGCCAATCGAGGCGTCTTCGAGAAAAAAGAAAGCGAGGCGGAAACACAATGGAAGAAGGCCGCTGAAAACTTGAAATCGCGGCCGTTGATCATCAACGACCTCGACTTCAGCGAGTTTCACGCTGACGAGTTCGAGCAGGACCCGCTGATGCTGGCCCGCCTGGCGCAGGTAGCCGAGTCTCGTGCCAACGGCGGTCCCATGATACATGCGGGCGGAGGAGCACCGCCACCTCCACCGCCGCCACCTTCTGCCATACCTCTGCCTCCACGACGTGAGCTCGTCTTATTTTCACTCTAGACTAGCACTTTTTCAGTGATGGGAAACGGTTCGATACCAGTAGCTCCGCCTCTAGGGATCATTCCTCCGCCGCCGCCGAACCTCTCCAACGGCTTCCGAGCACATGATATCAGTCCAGCCGCACAGAACAAGGGAGTCTTGAAGATGCATTGGAAGGCTGCCACCGTTGAAGCGCCCCCGATTCCCTCTTTGAAACAAAAGGTGGGACCTGATAATTTTTTCTGAATATGAACTCTTCATACTAGGGTACTTTCTGGAATAACGTCGATAGAACTGTCCCTTCCTTCGACGCCAACAAGATTGTGCAGCTGTTTGAAACGAAAAAAGAGAAGGAGTCGACGGTGAAGAAAGTCGCAGAAACGAAAACCCAAGTGCTTTCCGTATTGTCCCTCAAAAGATCACAAGCCATCAACATTGGCCTCACAAAACTGCCGCCTATTTCCGTCATTCCTGCCGCGATAATGGTTTGGTTCACCTCTAATCAACTATCAATTCTTAATGGATTCAGAAGTTCGACTCGCTCGTTCTCAACAAGGAAATGATTGAGAAGATCTTGAAGACGATGATGCCGGCCCCGAAAGAAGTGGAAGAAATTGAAAACAAAGCAGCGGAAAATCCTGAAATGACCTTGGTAGGACTTTTAAATTCAGTCTCACAATCACTCCTTTACTTTCAGGGCAACGCCGAGCAGTTCCTGCTAAAACTTTCTCAGATTCCATGTCTTTTGGAACGTCTCAAGCTTTGGCTTTTCACTCTGGACTACAAGAACGCGGAGAAAGACATTGCCGAGCCTCTGATGGATCTTCAGCTGGCGATGAAGGAAATGGAAGAGTCGAAGACGTTCAAAGTCGCCATGGGCATGCTTCTCGCCATCGGCAACTCGCTCAGCGGCACCGACGTATTTATTCTTTCGCCTTATCTCAAAGTGGATTCGATTTTAGATCAAAGGTTTCTACCTGGACTACCTGACAAAGGCTTCCGAAGTCAAGGACCCCGTCTACAAACACACGCTCACTTATCATCTGGCCGAGTACATGGTCGAGCATTTCCCCGAGGGAACCGACCTCTACAGCGAGCTCGGCGCCGTCGCTCGAAGCGCCAGGGTCAGAATCGCGTGGGAGCCTGCAGAATTAATAAATGCGATTTTCCAGGTCGATTACAAGGAGCTGCTCGACAATGTGATTCGGCTCGAGAAAGAGTGCAAGGCGAGTTGGGAATGCTTGACCATCATCAGCAAGAACGACAACTCCTCGATGCGTCAGAAGATCAACGACTACCTCGCCGACGTCGCCCAACGCATCCATCAGCTCAAGGCCATCTACACTGTCACTAAAAATCGGTACCTGGGTAAACTTTTGATGTGTCTAAATATTTTTTAAGATGGCACGCATTTTTGCTCTACTTTGGCTACTCTGTCGATGAGATTCCGAACCAGAATCCCAACGAGGTCTTCAAGATGGTCACCGAGTTTGCACTCGAGTACCGAACTACTCGCGACAAGATTCTGCAGCAAAGGAAGCGGATGGCCGAGAAGCGAGAGCGTAATAAAACGAGGTAGACTCCATTCTTGAAATGGCTGTGCTGCGTTTTGGCGCGAATTCAAAAACACCTGATTTTTGAAATTTCGCAAACCTTTCCTGTTGAAACATCATATAAAGCCGCTGATGATCATCAAAAACGTTTGCAGAGGAAAAATCTGGGCTCTGGAAGGAACTTCGGGCGAAGGTAACGAATCCTCGCCAATGAGACGAAGACAAGCTCCGCCGGTGGCCGTCGTCGACACTCGACAGCGTCACGAGGAGATGTCACGGATGCTGAGCACGACTTCTGAAGGCAGCGACGGCACGCTCAGACGACGTGCACCTCTCGGAGGCAGGACCAACCCCGTCGTAGCGCCAAAAGGTTCGGGGTAGACAACCTAGACCTGCCCACCGAAAGGTTCTAGAAATGAATGACAACGGCGCCGAATCACCCGAAGACGAGATTCTGAACGGGCTGGTCAAGGCGGCGACGTTGCAGACAGAGTCACGCGACCACCGCCGTCGAGCTCGGCAGTTCAACCGAAAATCTCGTGCGTTCTTTTCCTGTTTTGGGTCTCTTGTTAATAGAGACTTTGAAGGGTCTAGACGTTCGAATGTAGAAGTCTAAATTGTTCCGACAAATTCTCAGAAAATTCTAGAATGTCCAGTTTGATGGCCAGACGTTTCATACACATCCAGAACCTTCTAGCTCAAAATTTCTTGGCATCACTACATATTGAAATGCACAGCGTCACTCGATTTGAAGAGAAAACGTTTCAAATTGCAGTTCGAAGGACACGAACTCTGAAGCTGGTGGACGGACAACTGGAGACTTGCAACTATTAACCAGTGGCAATCACTTGAAACGAAACTGTACGGGACTTTACACCTGTGAGACATAAAAGTTCTCCTTTTTGTACATACTTCTGAATTTTTTGTTCCTCCCATTGTTTCTTTGCTAGCGGGGAGCAAAATCGATAGAAGCCTGAGGCGAAAAACGGCCAGAAGAAAAGAAGGCAAACATCCTCAGACGGCCCATTTCCAGTCTCCGCCTTCTTTTCCTTCTTTTCTTTTCAAATCATTACTCAATCTAGATAGTTACAAAATAAAATAAGAGCAGCTCATGACATATTTGATGAAATTATCCGGTCTGTACACTTTTCATCCTCATCCTATATTTATCCTTCATTGTGATATGGAAATTTCGCCTTTTCTCTCTGACATTGTCCAATTTGTGCATAATTGAGTGATTCGCGAGCTGTTCAGGTTATTGCAAACTGGGGTAGGCTGGATTATGAGACTGGTAACCAGCTTTTGAAGAGACAGAAGAACAGCCATTTTGCATATTGCCACCATCCAAAACTTTTCAGTAATTTCGGAAATTGTACAATTTTTTGTAGGCAATTATTCCCCAACTCTTCGTTCCGTGTATTTGGGTAGCACAAACGAATAAATTCGTCTTTTTTTCTCTTGAAAGAAAGTTGCAAAATCTTTTTTTTTCAAGTCTATTTTGATATTGCATCAAACAAACAGAGTTTCAAAGAACAAAGATAAGAGTCTCGCTCTCCAAATATTTGGCAGAGCGTAAACAATTATTTCCCAGTCAATTGTGTATTGTTCTTTGGTGAAAAATAAAACTGATTGAGAATAACAATCCCGACGAATCAAAATAAACACATGGGGGCTTTTTTTGGAATCGACAGCTTTTGCCAATTCTCTGTGAGTCCTGCGGAAATCAGAAATTGATTCGCCACTGAGCAATCATATAGTACATCGGGAGCTCTGCATCGTAATAACGTGTTGTTGTGTGAACGGAGCGGAAAAGACAGAGAAAAGAGAAGTTTTTCGGGAAAAATTTTTATTTTCCCACCTCGTGGCGCGGCGCCTCCAGCCCCTGAGGCGCTATTTTTCTATCGTGTGTATCTGTCGGTGTGTGCACCCGCAATTCTCTCCGACGTCTCTATCGAGCATTTATGTTTGTTGAGTCGCTGTCTCAATTTCCCACTATCTCCACCCTAATCCATTATTCCATTTTTCCACTTTTTTAACCTCAAAACTATATTCTTTTTTAGTGAATTTTCTTTTCCATCGGAAACCTCTTATTGGAATTTGTAAAGAAAATATTGAAAAAAAAATTGGATGAAATTTCAGTTGAAGGATGTGCGAAAACGGCGAAGGATCAAGTGGGTCTAATTTTTATTCGAACAAAGAAGAGCCTGAAATTCGAGAGCATCAGGTCTGTATGATCCCAGAATATCAGAAGGAATTCATTCTCGCTTTTTTTGATATAGGATATCTACTCACGCAATCGTGTAGGCTTCCTTTGACTAGAGAAGATGTTTATCTGGAGTGTTTTGAGCTGTCTTCGTCATTGTCTTATGACTAAACCTCCTTTTTGTTCCTTTGAATTTTCTTTTTCATATTTCCTACAACGTTCAATGAAAACGAAAACCATTTCTTTCAACCGAAAATATCTTTTATCACGCTGCATTCTTTCTGCTGGTATCAGTCACGTGGGCCCTTGAAGGTTATCAGAGCGAAAGACGAAAAACTGTTTTTTTTTTCGTGTCAATTTGCAGAACTGACTCTCATCTCTCTCGAGTGGCGCCAATTCGATTTTCCCTTCAACTAACCTTTTTTTCATTTTTATAGCTTATGTTCAAAAAAAAAAGCGATTATATATGAAAAGTGGGGAAAAAAAACATTAGAATCCATATTCGCCTACTTTCCAGGCGAAAATGGACCATCTGCCCACGGAGTTGATCCATCACGTGCTTTCGGAGCTTGAGTTCAGCGACAGACTCGCCATTTCCAAATGTTGTAGCCGATTATATGAAATAACGCATCCAACTTGTCGTCGGATCCGAGGCATCACCATAAAAGGGTCACCACAAGCTGAGGTACACATTTTTGACTGTTCGAGTTCAAAGAAAAAGTTGGTATTTGATAAAAAGAAAGACTTGCAGTACTACTTCATGGATGTTGTCTGCGATAAAGGGTTCAAAAAAAGATATGAAGTGTCTATGGGAGGATCTCTAGTTCATCTCACGACTACAACTTGCCGGTTAGAATGTTAAAACTGCAACAACTAAATCATCACAGGAAGATGGACGAGGTGAAGACAATTAAAAAGATGTGCGGCGTAGGAAGACCGAATTCGATAATCTGTCGCCTGTTCGAGGACATTCTCAGATCCTGCGATTACATAGAAGAAATTCATCTGGGCTGTGTGAGTCTTGAGGAAACTACCGTGCAAAACAGCTTTTCAGATGGGCGATTTCGAAAACATACTCAAACGAAACGATTGCCTCGTGAGAGATATCAGCCTGCCCTACACAGAAAACATTTCTCAAGTAGTCAACCAAATAAGGCCACGAAAGTTGGTCCTGTTCTCGGAATCGCAGACGACAAACTCCAGCCTGCTTCCAAAAGGAAAAATACGATTCGCAGTGAGTTTCCCAACACATAAACAAATATTCGAAGAACTATTAACAGGATTTGCGTTCTCTTCATACGGTGCATCTGTATATGGACACCGAATTAGATTTCGATGATCTGATGGAATCTTCAGTGAAAAACTTTTTCTGCAAATGCAACAAGCCCCCGTTTAGCGAGAAAGAAACGAGGCTACTCTACGAGGTGACTGTCGTTCTTATTGAGTTTAAATTTGTTCCACTATCTTTTCTAGAAAAGAGTGCTAACCTTCCTAATTGAGGCATGGATGCGAGGCGAGCGCGACTGGCACCGGCTGCAAGTTTTGTCTTCGTCAGCCTTCTCGCGAAAATGTTTTCCGGAGACTGAAGACGTTGGCTATCCGCAGGCTTTCCCACGGCCTTCCAAATGTGTTCGACTCACCGTCGACACGGCCGCCAACGTGAGCGGCAGCCAAGCATTCGTCGCCCTCGAAGGCGGCGAAATCTGCTTCGAGGCACGATATCGTTGCCGTGAATGCTCCCCCCAACACTCCTAGTTTATGGGTTTACAATTGATTCGGTTTCCTAATATTCAAACTGATATGATGACTTTCTTGATAAGGGTAAAAAAAGTTTTCCTTACTGTTTAGATTTTTGACTCGTAGACATACTCTAGCCCATCAAAAAACTTTCACGATTACTTATGGAGTTCAGAAATTTGATAACTTCTCGTATTCCTAGGCTATTATGAGAAACCTACAGGAAACCGAAATAATTGGCTTTTTTTTCATGTAAATGTGTAAATACAACAGAGAATTTAACTATGAAAACTATTAATTGAATTATGAAATTTTGTAACGTAAAAAATTTGCACGGTGAATTGATGCTCAATGAAATAAATTGTTTTATTTGGATCACTGAAATAAAAAAAATATTTGTCACTCGTAATATCTAACGATTAAAATGTGGGAGAAACAGTTTTTATAAAAAAAAATTCCGTAAGACCCTCTTACTAACGACCATTCGACGAGTTTGAGCAAGAGATAAAAAAAAAGAGAAACTAAAGAGAAAAATTCAATAAATAACTTTGAAATACTAATTGTAGAACTTCTTCCCTGTTTTGGCATGTTCTCGTAACAGTTGGCAGGGATTGAACTGAAAGAGAATTCGTATGTAAACTGATTGGAAACGAAAAAGGAGAAGTATGGAAAGTCGTTCACCTGTTCCTTGGAGTAGGCGGCAGCGAATCTGTCCATCGCGTTGACCAGCTTGTCTGCGCCGTAGAGGTCGACGAATCTGAACGGACCGCCCCAGAATGGCGGGAAGCCGATTCCGAACACCGAGGCGATGTCGCCGTCGGACTGAAATGTCCGTTCAAAATATTCAAAGTAACAAGAACGCTTTTCGCATCAAAATAATGGTTTAGTGATAATGTCAATCTACACAGCCTATTTCATTCTGCTCCCAAACCGAGTAAACCGAAAATCGCAAAAAACTGACCGGCGAAGCGATGACTCCTTCCTCAAGGCACAAAACAGCTTCGTTGACAAACCGCGACACGATTCTCAGCTGTTGATCCTCCACAGAAGAGCTAAATTGAGTAATAAAAAGGTGGAAGAATGAGGAAAGGAAACCATTCAGCGACTGGCGAGACGCGGTACTTCTGAAGAATCTTCGAAGCGTCTTCGTTCACCTTCTTGCCCTTCTTACCGTCGGCGTAGGAGTAGATACCTGTCCTTCTCTTTGAAAACACGCCTTGGAGAAAAAAACCTTTATTGGTCTTCTTTCCTTTGAATCCAGCGTTGACAGCGTCGATGAGGACTGCTGGAGAGCCTCCTTGGACTCGGGGTCCGAGAGCTTTCCCGAGGAACTCGGCAACGTGGGCGGCCACATCCAGACCAACCTTCAAAGTCTCCGAGTGAATTTCTCCGGGAACAAATCATTCGAATATACAAATAAAACTTGTTATGGTGCGTCTCAGAAGTGTCGGCGTCTTCGAAATCACCGACAACCTATCCATCAAATTTTGAAAGACTTTTGAGTTTTTCATCAATTTTCACCTTTTTCATGTCGAAACTTATTTTTTCAAATCTAACGATCGTTGAAAAACTGACTCAAATCAGACCAAGATTGATCGATTCTATGAAAAAGTCCAAAATGAAACTTCCAACAATTGAAATAAATATCTAGCGCTTTTGGTATTTTGGATAACTTCAAAGAGGCGAAAAATGCCTAAGCTCTTTTGCAATGATTCAAAGCTTTGGGTTATCGTATATTTCGGAGATGAAGCGACGGTTTGCCGAATTTCTGACTCGTCGAAAAAAAAAGAATCCAAAAAATACTTCATCGGCGAGAGTGGCGGCTCCAACCGGGAAGCCAAACTTGGTGGTGAGCTTATCGAGGTCGGTCGGAGACACGCCTTCTTGCAAGAGCCGCACAACTTCCGACATCATCGGGCCCAAGCAGCGAACGACGAAAAAGCCAGGACAATCCTGAAAAAAAAAGATGCGGTGAGAAGGTAGACGCAAACAACGGAAACCTTGACGACGACGACGAGTTTGCCCTGCTTCAGGCCGAGTTGGACGGCCGTTGCGAGAGTTTCCTTCGAGGTGCCGTCGTGGACGATGATTTCCAAAAGCTGCATCTTCTCGACGGGAGAAAAGTAGTGCATTCCGATGACCTGCAGTCCCTTTGCCTTTCAAGGAAATGATGATAAGAATGAACCTTGTCCGGTCGGGAAGAAGCGGCCGCGATATCCTTGATGGGAAGGGCCGAAGTGTTCGATGCGATGATGGTGTGCTGGAAAACGACCGTTCACAGTTTGGACATCAGATGAATAATAACCACAGAAGTACTACAAGTTAAAATAAATATTTTTCAGAGCCAAAATACAACATATGCCCTCTTTGACTTGAAACACTTGTAAATTTTTTTTTTCAGTTATTTTTTGAAACTCGAACAACGCAACCTGTCAAAGTGAACATAAAAAGGGTTATTATATTCTGAAAAGGACAAAATTTGTTGAAAAACTCTCTAAGATCAAATTTTGAGCTTAAAAGTTCGCAACTTCTAAAGCTTACATCACCGGTAATCAAAAAGAAAATGGAAACCTGATCGAGCTAAAAATTGGCAAATCTTCTTGGTTCTGCATTTACTTTACGAAAACGAAAGCGAACCTTTCCAACGATGCTCTCGATCTGCTTGATGACCTTGTGCTTCAAGGCCAAATCCTCGAAAACAGCTTCTACGACGAGATCAGCATTCTTTATATCCGCGTAGTTGACGGATGGAATCAAGTTATTCAGTATTCTGAAATTAAGAGTCAAAGAACGAGTGGAACACCATTTTGATTATGACAAACCTTTCTTTCTCAAGACCGTTGATCTTTCTGCGCTTCTGTTGACCGTTCAAATGAGTCGCAATCTGATTATGACCTCGGTTCAAGCCCTGAAGGTGCACAGAGAAGTAGTTGGACAGAGAAGCGGGAAACGAACGTCTTGGTTCATGTCGAGCAGGACAGTCTTGACGCCCTTGTCGATCGTGACATTTGCGATGCCGGCGCCCATGAGTCCGGCTCCAATGACGGCCACCTCGCTGAAGCCAAGAGTGGATGATCATGGTTAGGGGAAAATGGCTCACTTCACAGGTAGACCTTTCCCGTACTTGTTCTTCTTGCACTCGGTCGAGCCGTTGAAAAGGCCGATCAACGCGGCCGACTGATAAGTTTGCGAGAGCTCTCCGAAAGCCTGTGATTCAAGTGTGTGCATCGGATATAGCTTATAAAAGAATATCGGGTTTTACACTTTTATCATTTATTCGGGGTTTTTAGCAAAAAGAGACCTGAATGCATTGAAAAAAAAGGAAAAATATCAGACAGAAAGGTCTTTTGACACGTCTATTTTATTTGAATTTCACTCATGTTTCTCAGACATAGTTATAAGTGAAAATTTCGCTCAATGATGGAACAACAATACATTTTTTAAAGATAAAAACTACGTGAAGCTTTGAAAGAAGATAAACTCCACCTACTATGCTTTCTTCATCTAAGAACGATTACAAGGGATCTTCTGACTTTCCGAGTTTTTTTGAATAGGCTCACCTTGGCTTCTGCAGCGTATCCCGCTTCGGCTCCACTGACGATTCCGGTCCGGACCACGTCCAAGATCTTCAACGGCGCCGGATAATTACCAGCCGTTTGTTTCATGACCTTCAATCGATTGATTGATATATCGCGAAATTCATATCATTCTCACCTTATCCTTAGCCATCTTCATCACGACGTTGTCAAGCATCAAACGGTTGTTCATCACCTAATATTTTCATATGAATCCAGTGGACTTTTGTCAAAAAAAAAACCATCTCCGTTAGCTTCTGAACGACAGCCTTCTCTCGGTTGATCTTGAAGGATCCGTTGGCAATGTTCCGAGCTGTCTCGACAGCGACTTTCTCGAGATACCTGCGATTCAAAAGCTGGAATAAGCAGAGAACACAGGGGATACCTGTGAGTGTTGGTCGAGGCAGGAGCCAGACCGTCGCCCAGCGGCTGAACCACTTGGTCGACCAATCCAATCTTCTTCGCCTATGAAGGAGAATCAAGTTAGGAAAAATACATTAGCGCCGTTAAAAAGGCAGCTTCTACTTATCTATCTAGGTGTGCTTTGAAGATTTGCTCGATTTGGTTTCAATTATCAATTACAAAAACTATTCCAAATAAAGTGTCTCAAGTTGAAAGCTATATATGTATCACCGATAGATTAAAATAGGTATAGAACAAAGTTGGCAAAATAACCTTATCAGCTTTGATTTTCTTGCCGGTGAGCGTCATGTCCAAGACGTTCTGAATGTTGACAAGCTTCGGAAGTCGTTGAGTTCCGCCAGCGCCCGGAAGGAGACCCAGCATCACCTATTGGAGATTATTATAAAACTTTCAATAAATTTTGAAACATATATTCCGTTCTCTTAATCTCACTTCAAAATTTCTAATTTTTCAAATTCATTTTTGTGAAGTTTTAGTGGTAAATAGAGTTGTGATTTATGCAAAAGGATAACTATTGATTTTAAAATATAGATAAATATCGGAACCTCTGGTAGAGCGAGCTGGGTCTTCTTGTCGTTGACGGCGATCCGATAATGACAAGCCAAAGCCAGCTCCAGGCCTCCGCCCATACAACTTCCCATGATAGCCGCCACCACAGGTTTCTTCGAATTCTCGATTCGCAAAAACTGTTCTTGACCATCTCTGAAAACAACCTTCCAGTTAGTTATTTTGCGTATTTTTTCAAATTTAAAACAATTACAAAAAGCTTGTTCAAATTACTTGGAGAGTTCTGCAAAATATCAACTTTTTTCGAGTTTTCTCTCGAACTCAATACATTCAAAGACGTCAATCAGCGCTTCACGAGAAAGATCAAAACTAAAAAAAATTCCTTTATCCCATTAAACTAAAGAAAATAATTTTTTTTTTTTCAAGAACTTCTAACGAAACTCAACGTAAACATCGTCTACTGCAATATTTTCAGCCTCCTCAGAAAGTTATAGGTGAACAGAAACACGGCCTACTTGCTCAAATTCTCGATTCCAGATGCACTTTTCACAGCTTTGAGCATGTTGATGTCGGCGCCGGCGACGAAACTGTTTTCTTTTCCTGACATTACAACTATCGACTTCACAGAATCGTCATTTTCCAGCTGAAATGAGCATTGTCTCGAAAGGGATCAAGAAATTTGCAAAAAACCTTTTCAAAAATCGCCTTCATGTCCTTACTGAGGACTTCATTGAGCACATTTTCCTGAAGTTTGGATGTTCAGGATAATCCTTACTGGGATAAAAAATATAATTCCTCAAAGAGGATAGCTTTCCCCCTGTTTACTGATCATTAGAGAGGTGATAGATCCCCCTGACTGATCATTAACTTTAGGTGTCTCCGTTTTGCTACAGTTTCTCATTGAAACTCAAGTAATCAATGTTTGAAATTCTCGATTGGCATAGGTTAGTGGAAGAAAAACCTTTGTGTTAGGAAGGTCAATCTTCAGAACAGCGACGTCTCCTTGTTTGTCAACGTGAACAGTACCTGAATAACAAAATCGTCATAGATACTAGTAAAATATGTTTTAAGAATTCACATAAGCACAAAAAATTGATAAAACGAACTGGCGGCCGAATTATCCACACTTCGAAGGGCGCTTCCGTCGGTGTTAAGATGACGTCCAGAGAATGACGCCATCACGCGCAACTTGAATGATTGCTGTGAGATACGAGAAAGCATGGCCAAGATTTATGCCGACTACCCGATCGAGCCCCTGAAAATATCTAGTTATCAAACTGTTTGTTAAAACCATTTCAGGATGAAAATTGATACATTGATATACACATGACTCAAGTGTGAGATGACCTTAAAATGAGATCAAAATTTCTTTTTAAACTCCTAAACGGTTCCAAAAAGTTTACTCTCCGCTGCTTTTTTTTCCCCTTTTCGAAAAATTTACTGTTTATCAGGTTTTCAGTTTCCGTTTTCTGATACTTAAGTTCGTACTTCTTATAAACATCTTACAAAACTCCTTTGAAAAAAAAAGCTATTCTAATACTTCAAAATCTTCTAACACGAATTTAAAATGCTCGAACGCAAATGAAAAACGAGTCGCTTTTTTCGGCTCAAGCCTTTTCTTCCTTCGTTCAACTGAACGAAAAGCAACGCAGTCAAAAAAAAGACTAAAATATGAGCATGAAAAATAACTAAAAGAAATAAAACTCCAACTAATAAGTGATCAAAAGGCGCAGAAGATGGGTTTTCCTCATAAACTAAAGGGGAATCTAGCGACGCACGAATGTAGGGAACACTGCAGCCTGGTCAAAGTCCAAAGTGCGTCGTATCTCGCGAAACAGCGCTTGTGGCGGTCAAGATAACTCTCTCGTCATGGACGATTTTAACAAAGAAAAAACGCAGACCATAGAATTTTCATTTCAAACATCGATAACAGAAAAAAGAACACAATGTACACTAACAGAACAACGATGAAAGTTACAATCCGAAAAATTTACCTATGTTATTACGATATCTATTGACAACGTTATGGTTTATCTTGTTATTCTGCTCCTCCTGTTGTGTCGAAAGCTTTTTGAGTTCATCTAATTCCTCATCTTTAGAGAACATGTCAGGGAAGGTAAAAACGAAACTCTTGTCCATGAAGACATATGCAAACTTTTTATCGTTTTCTTTCCACATTGCTCTCTTGTATTGATAGTCTAGACGATTTTGCCATAAAATGTCGCCCATTTGCACTTCGATTCGGACATCGCGGACGGGAAGGTTATAAATCTCGGTTAGGTACTGCCGTACGTCGTTCCTGGACATCCTTGTGTCGACTTCAAACTTCACACAGTTTTTTGGCAGACGATTTCTTCCGACAGACGGTGCTTCGACCACGGCCATCCAAAAATCCGGCAAAAAAACGAAGCGCTGAGGATTTCCTGGCTGCCATAATCTCGCTAAGCGCGTGGTCATCTGAATCCATGATATTCAACAACTTCTCCTTTATACGATGTTTGAGAAGTTTATATAATAGCGATCAAATCAGAAATTGAAAGTAGGAAGAATTTAGCCATAAATGTACTTCGAAGATACAAAAAGCTTTACATTCGGGGTGAAAAACTATTCAACGGGAGTGAATGGCTCGGAAATGCATTTTATACGTAAAGATTGGTTCAACCGTCGAACATAATAAAAATTGGATTCTGGAAAAAACATTTTAAGAAACATGTGATGACATCAAATAGTGACGAGAAAGAGGAATACCGATCGTTTGAAAAGCGTCGAAAACTCCAACGAAAATGGGAACAAAAAAAGCAATTTTCAAATGGGAAATATGAGACTAGTTTGAAAAAAACCAAAAAAAAAAAGCTTCGAAACGAAAAACCAGTTTTTCAAAGCATTTTTTTATCGCGTTATCGAAAAAAAATTTTTGCGTTCCAAAACATGCTGCTTTTTCTCGTCCAAACGCGCCGATAGAACGAAAAAAAGAACTGGAAACTTAAATACGAAATAAAAAAAAATTTGAAAGGAACTGAAAAATGGACAGCCCCTTCAATTTTTCATGTCGTAAGGTCTGCTGCTTGCGCGCAAGACATTATGATTCACGACAATTCCGTTAAAAAAAACATTGAAAAAAAATTGTTTTCGTTCGTTCGCGTTCAAAGCTTATTCGAATAATTTACTTCGCGTTAAATCGCAAACCGCTACTCCCTGACGTCATCCCTATGACATCATCTTCATTTGCAAAATTCGCACACGCAGCCATATCATTTTATTCATTTTTTTACGTTACAATTTATAAAAATTAGATTTGACGTGAAAAACTTTTTCCGGTCACATGAGAAACAGAAAGATATCACACTTGAAAATCCCCTTTTGATTGGAAAACTTTTTCATTCTTCTATTATCTTACTTTTTTTAGAAACCTTTTGAAGGTTTGGAATAATCCGAGGCGTCGAGGCCCACGCTTACGCAGAGAATGCTTTTTTAAAATTTTTTCTTTTTTTTTTCACAGATTTTTTCGCTACGCGTATCAAGTTTGCAAATCGTTTGGAGCTACCTGATAGTGTTATTAGTGACCACGTTTTGTAACTAAATGCCTTTCATGTCAAGTATTCATTTATTTGACGAATTTTTCACTGTGGCTCAGTTTTTTCGAAGCGAGCCACAGTCGGCTTCGCGCTATGCGCGTTCCGCCTCCGTGTGAAGCCTTAAAACTAAGCCTATTTTCTTAAGTAATGCATGAATCTGTAGGCGCAGTTTTAATGCAAAGGCGCAATTCAGGCTCTTCCCATTCTTCAATTTTTTTCAATTTCAATTTCAATTCAGTTCAATTTATTCAGTCTTCAGAGTAAGATGAAGAAAATCTCTGCTGAATCATGGTATAATCGAAGAGTTAGTCGTCGGCGCGGGTGACGGTCCACAATCGTTGTCCAATACGTCCCGGAGTGACAGCTAGCGTTGGGAAATAATGTGGGCCCGCTGGTAGTGGCAGCGAATAAACTGCTTCACCATGTTGGAACAGTACAGTGCCCAGCTTGTCCAGGGCTGACGGGCGTCGGAATATTATCCCATGAGAGAGCGGCAAAGTGACCGACCAGTCGACGTGATGAAATGAGATAATAATAATCTGTTGAATCACGTTCACGTGAAAGAAATAAATATATAGCCAAATATTTCGATTACGCTTATTTCTAGTGTTACGAATGGTGTCATGAAATGACGTCAGGGAGTAGCGGTTTGCGATTTAACGAAAACTGAATAATTTAAGGAAATCTGATGTACTATGCGTATGTCTATTATACTTTATTTTTAAGGCTTCTGAATACGTGTAAAAGCTCTCCGAACTAACTATTTGGTTACTCAATTTCTCAAGTGAGCTTTGAACGCGGCTTAAATATCGGATCCATTATGATTTTCGGGCAGGAACATCGATCGACTTGAGTCTAAAAAGACTTTTCGAACTTTGATAGGGAAAAATGATGCAAAACATAAATTTTGGCCTTTCATGAAATACTCCATGTGTCATCTCGTAAAACTTAATTTTTAGCATAATTCCTGTTTCATTATAATTACCGAGAAATTCTCAACTGTAGAGAACGTCGTAAAATCGCCAAGAAATAAGTTTCATGAAATGTTTTCGCCGAAGCGTTTATTTTATGCCGTTGCAATGAACTCTTGCACTGAAAAACTTAATATTTACGAATACCCTTTTTGACTTTTACAGATCGATGACGATTTTAATCAGTGAATAAAGTTGTTATGCCGAACATTACCCCAGGATGTCTCCATCCAAGTAATGGCAGACAAGCTATACACTGGTATGTTCGTTTTTTACTTCGAAAGTTGCTCTAGTACGCTTTCCATATATTACAACTTGAAGGAGCGACTACGGACTTCTGGCCTACGCTTCTCATAATGTTATATTGATAGTGGATGTTATCAAAAACCGGAGAATACAAACATTAGATTTTCAAACGACAGCTGTCAATATTGTAAGAGGAATTATATTTGAATCCCTCTAGAATGAGTATATTTTAAGGTTCGATGGTCTCCTGCACGGTGCTCTTTTCGCGATCATGGAGTGTACACCCAACTTCTGGCTTCGGCGGACATTGCAGGACACATAATCGTAGTCGATCCTTTCACGGCTACCAAGAAGTCGCAGTTTGCGCTTCCTCATTCCAGTGTCTTACGTGATTAATTCAGTTCAGAGATTTGAAAATACATCGTTAGATGTTTAGAGATGACTTGGTTCGCGTGGAAAGACATATCGCGCGATTTCATGCTCGTTCTGCACTCTGGAAACACCCTAATTTTGTGGAATTGTGAAACTGGAGAGAAAGTTTGGAGTCACAACTATTCGGTACCTCTCTTCGACTTTTCCACTGACCCTTTTGCCTCTAGAAACATTATTTGTGAGAAAATGTTCGATTCAGTAGGAAACTTCTCTTTTCAGTTAGCAGTGTGGAGAGCAATGTGCTGGTTTGCTCGGATGTCTCGCTAAGCGAGCCTTCTTCAAGTGGACACTACTTTTCCCTCAGCCAGGACAATGTCAAGTCGAACAATACCAACATCGTTTCGATAAACTATCACAAGGCCTACCGTAACACGGTCTTCTGTCTTTCCAATGTGACAGTGAGTTTTTGAAAAACTGACTTTGAAGAAAAAGCTCAGTCTTGTGTGAATATTGATCCAGTCTTTGAATTTTGAGTTTGAAGTTGAAAATTGTTCAGCTTTACATCCTCAACCCGGAGCTTTTGTGCATCATGGCGCGGGTCTGTGTCGAGGGAAACATAGTCGAATTGCTTCCCTGTTCTTCTCGAGACGCTCTTTTTGCGGTACATTCAAACGGCGCCACCACCCTTAGAATAGGAACATTTTCTCTATGCGACGAAAGAGACGACATTTCAATCGGATTAGAAAAAGTTTGATCTTTTTCGAAATGAGGAAAATAATTTATATATATCGTCCTCAGATCTGCCAAACCGAATGTCTTCGTCATAGCGCACAGCAAAGGATAGTGGCAGTGGCTTTATGTCCCGTGACGCAGTCTTCGTTGGCCGTGCTCTACCAAAATGGACGTCTGATTTTCTGGCAACTTGTCAGTTGCATTCTTGCAGCAAGGATTCCAATATGTTCTGCAGAAGAACGAGCTGACGTCGTTGAAGTACCGGAGCGCGTTCATCGAAGACCTTCTTCAGTTCGACACTGACCTTAAGACTTCACCTATCGGCGACCTGAGTCTTCATCAAGTTGCCCAGATAGGGTCCTTGGCTTCCAGTGTCACGTGTGTTCGAATGCGACCGATGGATGAGCTAGCCAAGATCAAAGAAGACCCTTTCGGTTTGCTTTTATTTTCTATATAGTAATTCAGTTTTTTTTCGATTTTATCCGCATAACATGCTTGACAAACTTTGATTATGTTGCTAAGAAATCACGGAAATTTGTTTTCTTTTGGTTTTATTGATGTAGAAAAGATTTGGTTTGTGCATGAAAAAAAAATAATGGGATAGTTTCCAAAGGTTCCGTACGTACCATATCAATTTCTGCTTCTGATTTCCTTGCTGAAGAATATAAAGAGAAGTTACAGTAAACTTTCTACGCAAAAAAGCTCAACAAAGGTTTTTGAACAAACTGTATTTAGGTGTTCTTTGGGTGATTCACGTGATATTCAATGCGAAAATGTTTTAAATTTCACGAAGATCTTAATTTTCAATGAATGCGTTAGAATATCAATAATCTCGGTATATTTTTATTGCAACTTTTGTTCTTGAGCTCGTGATAGCAACTGCTTCCTACTTCGTACATGTAGAAAAAAATTGGAAAAAATTACTAAGAATGAGAAAATTATCTCTTTTGTCCGGGTATAAGTAGTTATTTGAGCTCTAGCAGATCTAAGAAGAAGAAAAAAAACAGATTTTTGTCGCGTTCATAAAATAATTGACGGAAAAAAAAAATGAACTCTGGCTCCACACTCGCAGACGGTCATTTATAATTTTCCGGAATCACGTTGATTTAAGGAGAATATCGCGAAAAATGACAAAATTGCCTGAAAACGGAAAGATCAAACTTATTTTGCCGAACATCGAAGTGTTTCCTTAACTTATCCATCCTGTTCAGCCAACAGCACGCTTGGAACGTCGCACTTGGCCGCCGTTGGAACGAACTCGGGCGTTGTACATCTTGTCGACGTTTTCTCGGGACAAATCTTCAAGGATATTTCTGCACAAGCGTCTCCAATCAAGTAACTGCAAAAGTCTGCCTTCTGAAACGCCTTTCTTCCATTTCTCAAGGTGTCTGGAATGGGGCGGCGCCTACAGCGTCGTCACGGCCGGCTACAACCATTCCCTGAGCGCTTCGCAGGTGGTTCGCAACGATTTGTTCATCACGGACATCAGGACGTCGCTGAGCCGCAGGATCCGACCGGAAAGCGACGAGTCACCCATTGTCTTCCTGCGCGTCTCTCATTATCAGTTGGTTCTTGTTCAGAAATTCTCAAAGTTGATCATCTTTATATAATAACGAGAAAAATTCTTTTGAAGGAATGTATTTTCACTACTTCTTATAATTGAAAAGTTAGAAAAAGTTTTGAATCGGATTTTTTAAACGTATTTTCTACTGCACCTAATCTGCGCTGGAAGAGGATATCAGTTCATTACATACGCTAAATAGGTTTGATACCTTGAATTGCTAGGCCACATCTCTAGATTCTCAAAAGATTGAACTTTGAAGAATCCAAAATGCAACTATCCCGCGTTTTAAGAGACCATTAGGTTAACAAGTAACAATGGCGCGCTGGTAGATGCAAAAGATGAACGCGTTTTTTATTCACACAGGTAACAGATCTTTTTTGAATTTTTTTCGATGTTGAAGTTTGATTGAACTTTTGCTCTAATGAATTTCTTTCGGATATGCTAGGTCCATTCATGTACAACCTCTGTTCTAGCTGCTATCTGGCACTGGCATTCCAAAACGAGCCCCTGGAGATCTGGGACCTGAAAGGCCTGCGGCTGTTGCGCCGAATGAGCCGGACGTGTCCTTTGATCATCGACATGGCCTGGTCCAACAAGCATCACGGCATCCGCACCACCGAGGCTTCCAATCAGAGCGTCTACCGGGAAAACCTCGTCCTTCTCGATTCTGGTCGGTTTTTTCCCCTCGGCTATAGGCAAATGACATTTCATTTTGTATTTTCAAAATTTCTTGTGCGGTTTCCTTACGTTTCGGGTGTAGACTGACATAAGAGAGATTATAAAATATTTTGGCATATAGGTCTCTTGGAAATTTTCGCTCTGTTCCAAGTGCAGGAAAAAATAGTTTGGTTTTTGTTCTTTTTTTTCTAAAGTTTGGTTTTTGTTCTTTTTTTTCTTTTCTTTTCTAAAAAGCAGAGTGTTATTGAATGGATATTTTTAGAAAGTATTGTTTCAGAGAACAGGATATACCACATCACTCTACGCGGTCTTCACGTGAGGGATGGAAAAATCGTTAACACGCAGGTACTTGTGAAATATGTCGATTATCCACAGTCAAGTTGAAAAAATTGTACTCTCATAAATTTTTTCCTGGCTTTGAATATTGGGAAGATTGAGTTGGTTTTGAGAAGCTTCTTCCTAGAAGAAAATTTCAGTAGTTCCTTTTTAGTTTTTATTCTTCTGACCGTTTTTCTGAAGGAAGACTTACAGTTTCGTTTAAAAAAAAATTAAAGTTAGTTTCGGATGAAAGAGATAAAAAAAATGGTTCACGAAAATAAGTGGAACAAATTGTGGAGTGTATATATTTGAATTTGAGTGGAAAAGCGCGAGTACTCAAATTTGCGCCATGGCTTGGAAAGACGACATGCTCGCTGTGGGAGACGTCGACGGATCGCTTGTAGTAAGTTTTTTCGATCGAAGTTTAGGTTTCTGCTAGTCTTTCTCAAGGGAGATCCTTGAATTTTGTAGGTGTGGGACCTGGGAAGACGGCAGTCGAAACAAGTGCGCGACACGCATTCCCGTGTCCTCCGCATGTGTTTCTCGCGATTGGCCGGCGACCACACGATGGCTGTTCTACATCCCAGGTTCCGACTTCAACTCTGCTCTGCGAATTTAGAGAAACTCAGCTAGGGAATTGCAGCCTCTCTAATGATATAAAATATCAGCCACAGAAAGTGGAGTCAGACGTTTAGATAAGTTAAAATGACATAATTTTATCTAAAAACTTCAAAGTTTGTCTTGCCCTTTTATCTGTTCGCTTCAGAGTTGAGGTGTAGAGATTTGGAAGTTTGAGCTCAACTTTCAAGCTTTTTGTTTAGAGTGAGTTTTTCAAACTCTATAGCTTCATGCCTTTTTTCCAAAAGTTCGCAAGTTCTCTGAAAACGCGCCTTTTCTTGATTAGATTGGTACCCTGATCGAAGATTTTCCTTTAAGAGAGCTGAGTCTTTGGGACACGGAGGCGATGACGCGAGTGCAGAGCGTCCAGCTGGACGCGATGCGGTCTTCTGTCGACATGGACCTCTGCGGACTCTCGCCGTTGGTCCTCACCAGCGACAACCAGCTGCGATTCCTCGTATCCAACACCCGCAACTCTGCAATTGCTGACAAAGGTTCATCCCTAAAGACTGAATCTGAGAGTGTAATCTTTTATTTTGAACATGATTTTTCCAAATACTTCGTTTTCCACTCTGTTACAGAAACTTCTTTGCTGTGCGCCCGAAAAGCAATTTTTAGCCGCTTATAGATCTCGTTTCTAAGTTAAGCGGATCTATAGTCTGTTCAGATTTTTAATGTCAAGTGCAATGAAGTCATTCAAAAAAACTCTGTGGGTGGCTCGCTCCTCGATTGGTTTATCGCACCATTAGGGGCGGAGTTTGAGCGACGAATTGACATTCAAAATCTTAACAGGCTATACTCAAACGCCCAATTCACGCGCCGAGCTCTCGTTTAGGTCCAGAGGATCACTCGAAACGTCAAAAACACCGGTTGATCGGCAGTAGCACCCGTAGAGCGCCGGTTTCGCAAAATCATGACGTATTAGCCCAACAGATGCTACTGTCCAGCCTTAGAGCGGTCCCCAAATCTCTCAAAAAACTCTTTCTCCCGTTTTCAGTGACTGTGCTAATGATTTGGTTTACGTCTTTAAAAAAATACACAAACGATCTTCTCAATATTCTGATACGATTGACGTGAAACCTTTTTAATTTTCAGATGTTCCTTTTCTCCACATCGAGAATGCGCTCGACAGAATCAGAACAGCCTGGGATAGAGGCGATTCTTCTGGCATTCCGGAAATGAACGCAATCGTTAAACGGAAGGTATCTGTGATTTTTTTTGGATGAGACGCGTTTTGTCATTTTGAGAAACGTGGCGAGGTTCCCGCAGAGGGGATCGATATGCTGCCACTGCACAACGAGAAGTTGCTGCGGTACTTTGTCGGCGACTTGTACGCGGTCCGTCTCCTTTCCGTCATCATCGACCACCTCGCGAGAGAAGACCCCGATGCGGATCTTCCTCATCTTTCGCCCGACTTGCAAATGTTCTGGGCGAACAAGGCCTTCAAGGTATCATTATCACCTTCATCTAATTAAATCTATATAACGGTGAAGATTTGAAAAAAAAACATCGAATGAAATTCCATCTGAATCCATCTCCAAAACTTGAAGAGTCAAAGTCAATTTTCTGTGCTTTGATATCTGCTTGATTCAAGAGTTGCAGCAGAGAGAGAGAATCATAATCCAATCAAGAACTGTATAAATGAATGATTTGGCGCACAGGAACGCGAGACTCGGGTAGTCGGCGTAGCGTGCAACTCCTCGAATGCCATTGAGAGTCGTTTGGTAGAACAGGCGGTCGTCGTGGGCGGCAAAGCCAAGGTCAGTTTATTCACGGAAGATCAGAAGATTTTCAGCAATTCTGGAACATCCCCACAGATATTTGTAGGAGCGAGTTGTGGACAGATTGATCGTGTCTTCGGATTTCCGATACGCCAGCATCAAAGCGGCGTTGCTTGTTTCCAGTCAAGAGAGCGAAAAGGTTTCTTTTTCCATTTGAACTCTAACGAAAATGAAGGTGTAACCCGCAGTGAATTCTGAAAAAAAAATGAACTTTCGGTCGCCGATCGATAAAAGTCTTCTTTGAGCTACCGTAAAAACTTGATATAAAATTGTAAAAATTGGTTATATTGGGTAACAAACCACTTTGAAGTCGTGTACGGAATAAGTACATTAATAGGCATTTAAAGCTAAACGGGCTACCCTGCTGGCTAAACTGCGGGGTGCACACAAAGTTCGATGTGGGGTGTACCGCAACTTTTGTTAGAGTGGCGCTCTAAAAATTTTAAATGTCATTTATCCGATTGGTTTATTTTTAGGCGAAATCTCTGATCAAACTCATTGCTACAAATCTCATCGCGTCTGACATGATTGAAGGTGAACATTTTCTATTTTTTTCAATTGAGAGAGAACACCCAAATAAAAGAAAAGTTGAATTATTACTGTAGCTCTCGAATAAACTCAAAGATTTTCTCATAAGTTAAGAAGTTGTGCAGGTTAAGGCTCTTAGAACCTGTTTCTGGTACATCGAGAAACATTCTGGTCAATTTTTAGAAACTAAAGTGACTTTCCTTGTGAAATATGGAGTAATGGAAGAGTTTTTCGTCCGTTCGGGAAACTCGTTGATCAATAATAGCGCCTAGATCACCTAGAAGAAGTCGAGTCTTAAGAGTCATCACTGCTTCTTCATGTAAAGGATCTATAGTTCAGAACGGTACTGTTCTTTTTCTTAGTTATTTGATTTATAAGTTGGTTACTTTTCTTTTTGAGAGATTCCCTACGCTCTTATGATCAAGTTTTTTAAATAGTTTTGACCTCAACATATTTGGAAAATGATTCCAGATGGAGTCGAATTGTTGTTCTTGGTGGGGGCAGGAAGCGACGCCTGCAAATATCTTCAGTCCCAGAAGCTCTGGACCAAAAGCGTCGTTTATGCAAAGGTTTTCATGAACGTCTTTTCTACCTTTTTCAATAAGTTTCAAGCTTCTAGAAAATGAGAATTTTTTGTTTAAGATGGGTCTGGACGATCCGACGGATGTTGTCGCTAAATGGATCGGTCATTTGTCTGAGGACTCCAAGGTTTGTTGAATATTCGGAAAGAATGTTATAAGGAAAGATATCAGATTAAATCTGAACCTGATCATAAGGTTAAGAATAAGAAACTCAAAGAGTGAAAATATGGGTTAAAATTCGAAGATTCATATGAATTCAATCATTGCTGGAAAGAATATAATGGATTTTTGTTGTATTCTGACTTGCTGAGCCAGTTTCAAATTGCAATTGGACCAACAAATTTTTTTCTTAATTTTGAAAAAAGGGGAGAACGTATTTTTGCATTGCTTTGTATCATAGGACCTTCATCCTAAATAAAAAAAAGGTCTTTTTTTAATCATTGACAACTTTTTCTTCAAAAAGTACGCCAATCTGAAAAAAAAGAATTTTTTGAAAATTGTGGGAAATTCGGCTCAGTTAGCTTGTCCAGTTGGAAATGACCGAACACTTTTTTTTCCAAAAATTGCTACATTTGTTCTAAAACCCCATATATCATTTACGCGGAGAAACACCCACGGATGACTATCAGAGTCTACAAGCGGTGGCAGAGGCGGCGAGGGCGAACTGGCCGGTCGTCGTCGAGCTGACGTCATCTAACGAGCCGGAGTTGGCGCGTCTCGTGCTGAGGACGACGACGAGCTCGCCGCCGCTCTCCAAGTCGCCGTCGCCCCGCCTCCCGGTTTCCACACCTTGAATTTTTGATGTTCCGGTGTTTGATCGCCGTCCTCCTTCATTTGTTCGGGAATAATTGGAATATTCAAGAATAGCGCATTTTTATACTGTTTATTTCTTCCAAGAACGTTGTTGCTTATACCAAATAAGCATTTGCAGAGCTCCTCTTTCTTTCTTTTTAATCAGCTTATTACTTTTTCGCTTTTTTTTAACTCTGAAAAATAGCCTTTAAAATGAGAAGTTGCTTCTTAGTAATAAGCAATCAGTTTGTGAAATGCAAAGAAAAATCGCAAATCTTCTTTCAGTCCAATTATTTTTCCCTTTTTTCGATATTTGCCGTCATTCCATACAGCTTTAATCATCATTATCTTCGTGTTTTTCTTGTGTTATCAGAGGTTGACTATTGCTTGTGATCGTGAATCTGTTGTTTGTTAGGACGCTTCGAATTCGGCTTTTTTCTAGTGCTTCACATGTGGTAATTAGGGTGATGGAATTTTTCAGATTGGTTAGAGTTCATATTTGAGAGAAAGTAGCAAAGTTCATGTTAACTTTTTTTTACGGTTTTGCTAAGCTTTGGCTCATTAAATTTAGATTTTTTTAATTTTTTTCAAATTTTTTTCAGGTCAGGTGAATTGGGTTGTGGTTTTTTGGTTGTGTTTTTTTTTGAATATTTTTCGAAATTCTGGTGTTTTTGAACATTAAAATGTCAAATAGTCTTTTTCTTGGTTCTAGTCGTGCCGATATTTTTCATTGTAATACTTTTTTTCTTGTATTCAGTTAAAATTTTTTTCTATTCTTTTCATTTTATAAAGTTCTATGACTTCGTTTATGAAAATTTTTTTTAGTGAACTTTTTTTCTAAACTCTTCAAACTTCCCGAGATGTGTTTTTCTGTTGAAGAAGCGTTGACTATCAGCGAGATGCACTTCTTTTCGAGCGTTGATTGTAAGAAAAAAACTTCAGAAACAGCTGATTTCTGAAATTGAACAGCCAAACTTGAGTAGTAGTTTAGTAGTAATTGATGGTCAAGCTCAAAAAAAACTTTATAATTGCAATTTTGAGACAAAACAGAGTGGCCGAGGTGTTCATAGAGCAAGGTGTAGCGTGTCTCCTAATCTCTTGATGTGACATCTTCCGACATTACTCATGAAGGCGTAAGAAGCATCTCCATTTGGGTCCAACAAAATAAATGACTCGTACTTTCTGTTGTTGTTTTGGTTTCTGCTTTTTAGCTGGAGTAAATGGGCCTTCAAGGGGAAAAAACCTTAAATGGAGATAGTTTCAAGAAATATCCTTAAAATCTTTCTAGAAATTTTGCGGCGGCGAGCCTGGACGGACGTACAAACACAGAAATAGTTATTCCTATTGGTTTTATCAGTATTTTTCAGACTATTAGTACTAGAATTCTGACTCTGGTTACATCGAGGCCTTAATTACAACAGAGAGCTTTTGGCGCACTTCCATTGAAGAAAAAGCCGCTGGATGCGTCTGACGAGTCTATGATGCGGAAGCGCACGTTGCTCTTGGCGAAATTCCTTTCCTGCGAGAATTGCCGGCCAACTCCTCCCATTTTGGAGCGTTTTTCTTTTCGACAACGCAGTTCGATCCAAATGACACCTTCGTAAAAAGACTCGTACAAATCCCGTTTGCACTTGGTAGCCAAGTTTCCCTTCATTCAAAGCCCAAGAAAAGTGGTTTTAGTCAGGGAAAGGCTTCTTTATTCTCAAACCAAGATTTTCGAACGTTTCTATTTTTTACTCTAATAGTAAGAAAAAAAATTCTAGTGCCTTATATCTTCGAAGAAAACAAAAATGAAGACCTGAAATGGAAACGTAGGGCCGCGTGTCTGTTTTGTTGTCCTCTGGCGCTTTAATTAACATTTTCTCCGTTAATTTGATGATCCCGAAATCGCCCTAATGAAGTTTTGGCCTCTCTTTTGGCGGATTCTCGCACGAGCCCTCTTTCAAAAGTCGTTGAGATCCTTGGTTGCTTGGTGAAACCGTAGCGCTTTCGTCCCATCTGTTGCATGAATCGAAAGTTCGAAGATTGAAATGAATTTCGGAAGCTCTGTCAACCAAAAAACCCGAGAAGTCTTTGTTTTTTTCTCTTTTTTCTCATGGCTTTTCGAAAGTTGTGCCACGTATTTTCCTTTCAATTAAGCAGATAGCGAGTCGCTTTTTAAACAAGCCGGAGCATCGATTTCCGAGATTCCGACCTGTTTCTCATTTTGTGTTTTTTAGAGTGTACATTCCAAACTGAAGAAATGATCTTGGAGTGATACTTTCCCTTTTTTCTTTCATGGCCTTTTCCGTGAAATCATAATTTTTTGCTTTGATTTGATGGTGTTTGGCATATTTTCTAGCTTCAACAATTTTTTTTTACTAACTAAGGTTCTATTTTATTTTTTTCCTATATCATTTTTGATAATTTTCCTATTCAGCAACTTGAGAATTTCTTTCAAGTTGGATAACTTCATACGTTTTCGAATAGTTGGAGGCAATCTGAAATTTTCTTTATGCAAAAAATGAAGAAAAATATGTTGAATTCCCCGCAATTTCAAAAGTTCGTTGCTTTTGAAAGAAAAACGAGCGCTCCTACGAAACAAAAAGATTAGGGTTTGAATCTGTAATCAAGACAATACAGGCTTGCCCTTTTTCTCTGATAATCTGAATAGAAAACAGTTTCTCGAGCTGAGCTTCATCTACCGTTCAAAAGCAAAACCTGAAACCAATCGACCAATTTTTTTCCATCAAACTTTTTTCTCAACTTTTGTGGATTTGAGAAAAAAAAAACCTTAAAGTGTTCAGAAGGTCGCTTCTTTTCTCATGTAATTTCCGCCCGCGGCGTTTGGCGTTTTCTCATTTGAATTCTCGAAAGGTTCGCGAATTAGCGTGTCGAATTCTGGCGGATGATGTCCTGACGAAAAGAGTGGATTTGGCTCAAAACCGCCGCATTTGCATGGCAAACATCTGGGTTATAGCTCCCCTGCGCCCGACCAGCGCTTTTCTGTCGCATTTCCGAGTTCCTTATTGTCCGAATGTTTATAAACACTTTTTCTTCCCCCTCAAAAAAAAGTTGTATAGGCTTCAGTTATTTTTATTCCTTACTGTTGTGAATTAATCATGACCTTCATCGTGTTCAGACACCCGGTAAATACTCAAGACGGCCGTTGTCTGTGTTAATCTAACTCTCTTCTCCAATCTCCGCATCTATGGAAGTATAAATTTTTAAGAATTTAAATTCTTTAAAGTTCTTGTATCTTTCGCCCGGAAAGGTAGATTTTCTCTTTCTTGTAACTTCTGGACCCGAGAATTTTTTTTTTCTATGTACCTTTCTTTTTTCATCGGCTCCTCTGCACCATTTTTGCTGTCTCTCTCTTTTCCCAACATTTCTTGAGCCTTCAAAATCCCAGAAAAAAGGAAGGACTCTTTTTGCTGCCTTTCTGCGCCCCTTTTTGAGTCTCTTACTTTTTCGGTTTTTTTAGTTTCTATTAGTCGCAGTTCGGTATTTTTCCGCCAAAAAACTTCAACTCCACTCAAAGTATTTATATGAACTAAAAAAAAGGTTTAAAAAAAGGGACAACTTGACGGATAATATTATATTCTGAGTATTCTGAGATCCTCCCACTTAATTGCCCATAGACCCAGAGAAATTGCCTTCGTCAAAGGAAACGTTCGGTTGGAAAAAAATATTGAAGTAAGAAATTTAATGTGAACTGAAAATCTTTTTGAATTTCTGAGATTTATCACCAAAATTTCTATTGAATAGTTTTAAGAAAAAGCTCATCCCGAATTTCAAAAAGTTTTCATCAAATTTCAATAGGTTCAGTGCGATTTGAAGATATGTTTCATATTAAAGGTCCATAGAAAATGAGGATTTCAATTGTAAAAAAAAAACATGCATTTTGCAAATTTCCAACGCGAAAATCCACTCCTCGACGAATTTCTGAAGAATCTTTTTTATGAACTTGAGCAGCCAAAATAGGAGAAAAACTCTCAATGGCGGCACTTTCACGAGCAAATTGAACCATAAAAGGCTGCCACGTTTTTCGGATCCGTGAGGTTCCAGCTCTTTTTATGTCTTCCAGTTTCCGGAAGGGTGACTCAATCCGGTAACTGTGTTTTTTTTCTTCACCGGTTTGCTTTTCTTTTCATTTCACTTGACTGATAAGCTCGTTTCAAAAAAAAACCCCTCTTCTTAGAAAAGCGAGGATGAGCATAAAGAATGAATGCCCAAATATAGCTCGAGATAATTAATTTTTGTAGCGCTGCGGGGATATGTTATAGACCTCAGACTAAACTATCTCCATTTACATGTGTTCTCATGTTTTCTGTGTTTTTTGTTCTTGTGTGGCCGGATGTCGGGCTGATTAGCCTTTACAGAGATTGAAAAAAAAGGTTTGCACGAAAGATCCTTCGAAAGTCTCAGCTTCCCAGACATGTCGTTACAGGAAGCTCCGTTGTCAATCAAAAAATGTCTCAAAACTCTCAAGTTGTATATATTCCTTTGGAATGACTTTAAAAAAAAGATGAACTCTCAAACCCGTTTATTGTGCATTCGGTACTTTTTCTTCATTACTCGATTGTATTTTTCAAAAAATGCGAAATACACTGAAGTTACGGAGAGCTTTCTGAGTAAGTCTAGGTTCAATCGATGCAGTTTTTTTTTATATTTGAGCGAATCTTGTATCGAAAATAGCGAGGAGGTCGGCAATACAGTCCGTTCAGATTTTGAATGTCAAGTAGAATGACCTCATCCGAAAACTCTCTGTGAATGGCTCGCTCTATAATTGGTTTATCGCGCCATTAGGGGCGGAGCTTGGACTTGACATTTGAAATCTGGACAGACTATAAGTTATACAAGCTCAAAAAAAAATTGGTCTTTCATAATTTTTACACTTGGTAGTGCTTCTCTATCAAAAATCCAAAAAAGCTACTCCGTACAGGAGCTCGATCAGAGCTTGAACTTTCAAACTCTACACCGTATTTTAAAGACTTCTTCGACAACTCACCCTAGTCAGAAGTTCCACTCCTAGAGCTCATTATAGAAAGATTTTTTTGCTCTTTTCCGGGAAATTTTCAATAAAATCTGTCAATAGCTGAAGCTCTAATTGTATTTTTCTCTTATAAATTTCATATGTTCTCATTTTTAAATCTAAAATATTATCATAAAAGTCTGAAACATTATATTCTTATTTTTGCCATTCTCATAAATATTCTTTATTGATTTATGGAAAAAAAAGTGCTTTTAACACATGATAATTTTCCATAGGAGCAAATATGATGAACGAAGAGGAAGAGATGACCGCGGAACAAATGCGGGTATGGCTGCAGAGTCAGCTTCAACAGACCGGCGAACCGGGCGACTTCCAAGAAATCAACGGTCTTTCAAAGTTCAATACATTTGAAGAAACATTTTTTTTAAAGCCACCTTAGAACTTTATTGCGTATCATCGGTTACGGTTATAATTTTTTTTTGAAGAAGAATGTACGCTAAATGTTGAAAGAAAAAAATATTTCGCGTTACTACAAGAAGTGTACGACATTACTTTAATTTTTCTTTGACTCTAAAACTTTTCAAAGAGGATATTTGACCATGTCAGTTCCCATGCACCTCCTTCAACTTAGGCTCTGCAGGTCGATGGGAGCTGGTGGCACGGAGATTTGGTGTCGCCTACGTCACCCTGGGCGTTTGTGCCGTCATCTTCAACACCTTCATTTTGGCGTGTCTTCTAGCCCGAAGAAGAATCTTGTTTTCCCACGTCTTCTACGTCATCGTCCTCAACTTCACTCTCATTGACGTCATTAAAGGTTGAATTTTCCAAGTTTTGACCTCGGTCATTCCTTCAGGGATCAGCTCGATTCTTTTCGCGCTCAAGCTTCTCACCTCAAACATGTCGATAGAAGCATCGATGTGGACCGTCCGGGTCGACCAGTACAGCGGGGTTTTACTCAGGTGCCGTGATTTTTTTTTCAATAGTCAGGAAACAAGTCAAAACACTTTCTCGAAAAGTGATCTCATTTTCGGGTTTTAAAAGCCCCTGAAAGACCTTAAACACAGTCTCTGTAATTCTTAAAAGCAAAAAGTACAAAAAAACGTTTTGGATATCGATTAGACTTCCCCCGGAACCGTGCACCATCAAAAATGCGGACGCAACTTTTTGAGTCATTTCCTCTTGAAGCCAGGTTACGGTGGGCAGAAAGGCACATGCGTATCTGAAGAATTGTGAGTTTTTCAGGACTTTTAACGAAAAATCAAGGCTTCATTTTACAAAATGGATTTTTGTTTTCTGTACTAGGAAAAAGAGAAAACTGTCTTTCAAACTTACTAATATAAATTTTCAGATTCACCAACTTGGCCACGATTCTGAACGTTTTACTGATCACCATGAACGAGTTCATTTTCATCTGCTACCCACTGAGATACACGATTCTCGTGACCAGGTTGGTCCTTTCAAGTTTCCTTTCTAGCTTGGACGTTAAGAAAGCGCGTTATGCTGGCCATCGTCGGTTGCTGGGTTCTGTCGGCGGCGTTGACCTTGGTCAACATGTTGGCCAGCAGCCAACACCGCAGCGTCATGATCGACACGGACTGCATCTTCAGTGAGCTCTGCGAGAGGGACGAGGTCGCAGACGTCTCTTCTTTCAGGAAGCGACAATTCGACCTCGCTCTGTGTTCAACACCAGCCCACGTCTTCTTCGCACCACGTCGTCTTCCATCTCGCGCTCCTCGCCTTCTGCATTCTGTGTCTCGCAGCTACAGCTTCCTGCTATGTTTTCCTTTTTAGGTGGGAGTTGGGCCAGACTTGAAAAAGTGTTTCAAGGTATCTGACATCTGCAGTGTGACTAACGAGGAAGACTATATCTGCCAAATTTTTGAGATATATTTACCAATGATATTTGAATCGAAATCCAAATCAATTCATTTTTATCAAACTTCAGAACTTTCTAAAAAGCTTTTGTTTCAGCACAAGAAGTTCCTAAAACTTAGATGACCTAACTTCTTGATCCTTTTTCAGACTGGTCTCCTCAATGGTCAAAGCCGACGTGAAGAATCAAGCAGAGTTTGAACTTCTAAAGGAAGGTTTGCAACTTGAAGACTCTAGAAGACTTCAGCCACTTCTCTCAGACTCGAGCTCCCATCGGAAGCAAGTCGTCCGGAGGTACAAGTACGTGGTGATCATCGGCAGCGTGATCGTCGTCTACTCTGCCTACCTGTCTGCCTACGCCATCATTCAGGGCCTACAGCTCGTGAACATATCAAGGTTTGACTTTTCCAGAAAAAAAAAGACTCCAAACGCTTTTGAGCTTTCCTAATCATTCCGTCTCTTCTTTTTCTGACTTTTTTTTTTAGGTTTTTCAGCGCATAATGATTTTATTCATTCTGAATATTATGCATATTTTGAAAAAGAATTTCAGAAACGAGATCTCGCGCAAAGGATTCGTCTACACCAAGTACGTCTGCTACCTTTTCGTGGCGTTCCACTCGCTTCTGCAGCCTCTGTGTTTTCTGCGGATGCGCGAGTTCCGCAACGTCATTCACAGGTCTGTCCAGCTGTTGCCACACCGAAAATCTCTCTTCTCAGGACGATGTGCTCGGCTTTCCGACGAGAATCAGTTCTGTCGACGGACTTCACATGTAAACGGCCTTCCTCCCAGCCAACTGACATATGATATTATTTGCACTCTAGCTTTCTGGAGATCAGAACAGAACTGTGATTTCTTAAATATTGCGGCGATTCCGAATACCTGTTCAACTGAAAACGAACATTTGAAAAAGGTATAGCCTGTGCACCACGACTTGGAATTTCACCAATCGACATTCCGCTGTTCCGCTCTGCGCCTTTGCGAACATTGGTCGCGCTTTTGATTTTTTTTTTCTTTTATTAAGATACTCTACTTTCATGTGCTCCCTCAGCAATAAAAATCAATTGAAAGCGTGACCTAGATTCGAAAGACGCTTCGCGAACGCACGCATGGGAACAGCGGAATGTCGTTCCGTGAAATTTCAAGTCGTGGCACACAGACTATAATTTCAAAAAACAACCTTATTTTCCTTTATATACCAGATGGGGTTTGAGAGTCACATCCTGCACAACACTATCGTTTCAAATTTTTCTGAATGTTACGCTCCGTCGTGGGAAAATGATTTATTTTTTTTGTCTTGATTACCCATCTCGAAAACTAGAAAACTGTACAGGTTGAGTTTTTACAAGGGAAGTGTTTTTGGTGGCCGGTTGAACTTTCGTTTAAACTTTGCCGAAAGGTACTATAAGACCTCCTCTTACCAGACCACGAATAAAATTTCTCGCAATAGATCTTGTTTCCGAGTTATGAAGCTTCAAAGTCTGCACGCTGATCAAGTGCTGCAAGGCATGAGGGAATGTGGCTCGCGTACGATCTCTCCTCTCCAGTTGGCAGCGTGGTGTAGTGGCTAGCGTCTTTGAACTGCGGGGTCTATGACCTGGGTTCGAAACTTTTTGAAGAAATTCGTTTTTGCCAAAACTTTCCTAGGACGAATTTATCGAAATTGTAAGAAATAATCAAAAAAATTTTTCCGAAATGACATATTTTTTTCATTTTTGATTCGCTATACCGATTAAAACGCTTTCTTCCGATTATTAACATGATTAATAGTCTCTTTTTTTGGGGAAAAAGTTCTACGTTTTTTTATTCAGCGTTTCAGTCCAGTTGATAATTTAAAAGGAATCAAATAAAAACTTACGCCACAGAAAGATGAGTAGGCCTCCTCTAGATTCTTGAAAAAACACAGAAAGCGATCTATTGATCATGCCTATGGGCAGTAGAAAAAGTTTGTCGAACTTCGTGGCAAATCGGTTGAAATGAGAAACTATGTTATTTTGGAAAGAAAGTTTTGGTCCATTTCCTCAGTGTCGATAAACTCCTCCTAGGAAAGTTGTGGCAAAAACGCATTTCTTCAAAAAGTTTCGAACCCAGGTCATAGATACCGCAGTTCAAAGACGCAAGCCACTACACCACGCTGCCAACTGGAGAGGAGAGATCGTACGCGAGCCACATTCCCTCTTGCCTTGCAGCACTCATTCAGCGTGCAAACGTTGAAGCTTCATAACTCGGAAACAAGATCTATTGCGAGAAATTTTATTCGTGGTCTGGTAAGAGGAGGTCTTATAGTACCTTTCAGCAAAGTTTCAACAAAAGTTCAACCGGCCACCAAAAACACTTCCCTTGTTAGCAAAATTTCAACATTTTACTTTTTTTTTTTGGAAAATAACAGGCTCTTGAATGTAAATACTTTTCTCGTGAGGTTTCCAGAGCATCATGTTTCGCACTCCTCGAATAAAACTTCCAGTTTTTTGCTTGTTTCGAGACAAAAGTTCGCTTGTTTACGTGTACTGACTGCTTTTATAGGGTTTCCTAGGGATGTCCTGGATCTGAAAATGAAGGGTCTTGCGCTTCGGTATTCCCGAAGATGTTTCCTCGCGATTCTCACTTCTATTGATGAACTTTTTTTTTTAAATCTATCTAAAGGGAACTATTAATTTATTGCGAAATAAACTTCTTTTTTTCCTCCTGGTTGGACTGTTTCTCATATAAATGAAACACGGTGTTTCATTTTTTTTTTCAGTTTTCAACGAATATTTTTTTTTACACTGAAAACTTGGATCCTTCTATTATCTGCTATTTGAAAAGGATAGAAAAAGGAAACATCGAAAGTGCCACCTGGGTGGGTCGAAGGAAAACGAGAACAAATCAAGAATCTCGAAGAAGCGGGCTAACCATAGAAACTGGAATTCGCCCTGACCATCACTTGTTCGGTTGTCCAGCCATTAGCACGTTTCTCCATGTCACATTCCATTTTCTCCATTTTTTCAACTTGTTTCAACTTTTGCTATGCATTTTTGTATCTATTAGAAAGCTCTGGAGGGTTGTAAAAAATAGTTGAGCAACAGTTCAAGACTTGACCTGAAAAAGCCATAAGCACCTCGAAAAGCTTTAAGAAGTTTGGAAAGAATTTCTCCAAAATCCTTCTTTAATGTGATAATATCCGGATACAGAAATGAAGTGGGCGCTTCTCGTTCTGCCTTTGTGTTTTTCGGAGCCGACACTGTTCATGTTTCCATCGAATCCGTCGCTGCATCCGGCCGGAATGTATCCCAACTCTCAGGTCGTGAGGTATACGGAAGTTGAATTCTCAGCCCGAAAACCCTTTTCAGAGGGAAAATCCGGGACCTTCCTGACTCGGGCATCGTCCATCTCAAACGAATAAAACCAATCTCCGACGAGTTCGCCACAGGTGCAGTAAAACCAGTGTTTAGGCTGTTGCAAAAGTCTTGCTTCACTTCTTCTAAATATCTTTTGTTTTTTCATATCCGAGTAACGAAAATTCTCCCGACAGCTAGTCTGTCACAGGGGCGTCCAGATTCCTGGAGAGAATAAGAAGTTGTTACAGCAGTTGTGGCTCGCGGAGAAGAAACATTTGTTGAGTCGGAAGACGTGGCTCCTCTTCGAGAGTTGACTGTTTCTAGTTCGGTTAGTTCATTTTTCCAAACTCGGCTTATTTTTATAACTACTGAGATAGTGGGCAAAGAAAACCTTTCAGGCTATGACGCATGCGATAGAAAACGCGGAAAAAACACTTACCATCCCCTCAGATCAAAATACTGAAGTCCCGTTTGTTTCTCTCACCTCGAAGACACCAAAAAATAGTTACAAGGTAATCTAGGACCATAAGACTCGTATAAACGCTTTCAAAACTCAGATGAGTGAACTGAAAAAGCAACAGAAGACAAAGGAACAGGAGATGATCGAGGAAAAGGACGATGAACTCGACACGCTTCTCAACCAGATCTTGCAGGCTCAGAACACAGAAACGGTTTGAAAATATGTCATTTTTTTAAAGAATATATTTCCAGGCTCACAAAGCGTCACTTGCCGCCAGATCTTCTCGCGGGAAGGGCACAGTGGTAATATTATCGATTTCAAAAAAAATTGAAAAATTAATAAATGATGAGCGTTTTTTTTAGGTTAGCCCAACTCAGAGCCGCGCAAGTAAACTTGTCTCTTTCGATGGTACGGCACGACTTCATGGAGGTGAGAAAAAACATCCCTTGGTCTTATTTCTGTTAATATTTTTTCGGTCAAACTGATAAAATACGTATCCTTTTCTCAAAGTTAAAACCTATTTAGTGCCCAATAGAACATGTGGTGTACTTTTTAAATCATAAATTAACTCTAGGAGAAATGAGAAACTCGCGGCCTTCTCCGACGGTAGTCAAGCTACACCAGACCGAACCTCGGTGAGATTATCCGTTATTTTTTTTTTCTGAAAACTAATTCCAATTTTCAGGCATCGAGACTCCACTAAATCACGAAGAGAAGACGCGGACTTTGATCCATGGGAGAGAATGTCCACAAAACTTGTTTCATGATTTTTTTATTTATTGATGAAGCAATGTATATTTAATAATAAAAATTGAAATGGTAATTAATTTGAATACCCAAAAAAACAAAAAGTATTTTTATATCGACTCCGCCTAGAAAGGCGGCCGCAAAAGTTATTCTGACCCCTGTTTCTTCCTCGCTTCCATGCGGTGAAAGTTTCAAAAAATTATAGATTTAACTCACGTCCTCATGTTATCTGTTTTCCAATTTATCCGACCCCGCTAGTAAACTATAACAGAATTCCCAAAAAAAAAAATTGTCTTTCTCCCAGCTGCGCCAGACTATAAAGTGCTTACCATTAGTTAAGGTTAATTAAGTAATTACAGAATACGACACGGTGTTTCTTTTGCGACGCCCCGCCCACTTTTCTCCGTCAATTAGGACGTGTTTAGTGCATGCACAAAAAATTTGGAAAATAAGGTTAACCGATGATGTAAGTGTGTGAAACGAATGAACATTGAAGAAAAAAAGACGAGGAAATTAAAAAGAGATTAAATAAAAACTATATTGCTGTGGAGAAACAAATAAAAAGATGTTTTTACAGCAAGTACTTTTTTATTATAAAAAGTTGACGGAATATCCGGATATAAATGAATTCCGGAACATACTTTCTCAACTTCACAGACTTTTTTTCATGTAACTTCATCTCATTGATGTCCACAACCTAGGAATCTGAACAATCGACAAAAAAATAGAATAAGAAAACATAAAATGGGGTGAAACATGTTCCATACAAACAGGTGGAGATTTTTCAAAACGCTTCTTCATCACGAGTTTTAAAGTTAGCCTCACAGAACTACTTTCAAAAAAACGTCTAACAACCCAGAGTATACCCCGATCGTGGTCCCGCAATACTATCAGCAATCTACGAAAAGAAAAAGTGAAAAAATATGAAAAAATTGACAAAAAATCAAAAATAAAGCCACTTTTTCAAATTTCGCGGGCGAATTTCGAGAAGTGCGCAGACTTTGCCGAGTTTCAAATTCCTTGCATTTTCTTCAACTGGCAGAAACGCCGTGACGACCGTCCATAAAAAAAACCGATTTTTATATTTCTTCCCAATAAGTGGTTTAAACTAGCGCAAAGTTCAAGTTAATTCTTGGTGTGCTGGAAAAGTCGGCGTCGGTTGGGTCGGTTTTCCGAAAGGATAAATGTGCGGTAATATTGCAAAGGAGGCGGGGTTGGCTCAAGCCGCATTGCAATTTTTTTTCGAAATTTTCAAAAATGATATTTTTCATTTGGCTTTGTTTGAATTTTCGTTCTTACTTTCGTTTCTTTTTCTTTTTCGATTTTGCTTTAATGAACAAAAAATGGATTTTTGGCAGTGACTATATTATGTATTTAAAGTTTTTTTAGTTCTTTTTTTAGCATAAAATTCACCGCCGAATTTGGGATAACGGAAAAAAATTTTTCTAAGTTTTTTAACTTTTCAAACATTTGAATATAATAAATCTCCAGAATATAGTCATGACTGACCAGTTTCTCCTCGTGTTTTTGTGTTTTTGTATTACACTTTGCTTCTAAATTACTTAAAATTGAATAGCGAGAATTCTTCTAAGTCTTACCGGCTTAGATCGTCTTTTGGCTCTTCCAAAGCTTGACTATTCATTGTCTTGGCTCTCCAATGAATCAAAAAATGATTTATTCGATCAAGAATGTCAAGAAAGTGTCTAGAGTCAAATTAATAGCTACTAAAAAAATACCTGGAATGATAATTTTATCAGTTTTATCTTACATTTGTAATTATTATTTGTATGTAGCACTTTCAAACGTAAAAAAAAATAAACCATAACCGATCTGAAAACTTTCGTTCTGCAGAGAGTCATGTCGACGGAGGAATTGAACCAGCAAATCGTCAAACAGTTGGAGGTATCTAAGCTTAGACTTCAGTCCTAATTTGTTTATTTTTTCAGTATTACTTCGGAAACATCAATCTTCCCCGAGACAAGTTTCTTCAGGAGCAGATAAAACTCGACGAAGGATGTGGGTTCAATCATACGGAGATGTGAAAATGATAAGTTCTAGGGGTGCCCATTAAAACTTTACTCACGTTTAACCGATTGGCTGCTTTGACAAAAGACGAAGAAGTCATCGCCAATGCTATCAAGGTAATGACCAAATTTTCATTCTCATTTTGATATTCGTCAAATAATGGTTTCTTATTTAAGGCTTCTGAATCCGACATATTGTCAGTTTCTGAGGACAATATCAAACTCAGAAGAAATCCCGGGAATCCTTTGCCTGAAAACTCATTGGAATACTGGCAGCAGATCAAGCATCGTACTGTTTTCATGGTTCGTAAATGTATTTTTTTTTTCCGTTTTTTTAGTTCTCAAATTTAGTTTATCAATTTGAAGTTATGACATTTTTTAAGGAATTTAAGAGTTGTTTCAAAATCTCCTCATATCTGCTCTGCTCGAACGTTGATTTCCTAACTAATTTGAAAACTGAGTAAAATTATGCTCGTTTTTTTCCGCAATTGTTGAAACTAACATATTGAATAATTTTGTGCGAAGAACCATCCTTTATTTCAGAAAAACTTCCCCAAAGAGACGAAACTCGATGAAATTCTATCCTGGGCGAAAAGTTTTGGGGAGGTCGAAAACGTCATAATGCGCCGAATTCAAGCTGATAGATCTTTCAAGGTTAGTTTTTTAAAAGTTTCGTGTAATGTTTTTTTTTTTTCTAGGGTAGCGTCTGTATAACCTACAAAACCAGAGAAGAGGCAGAAAACGCTCAAAAGTCCGATGAAAAGTTCAACGACAACGAACTTGTCAAACTTATGCAGGAGGATTACTGGATCGCTAAAAACAAAGAAACCAAAGTAGTACAGAAGGCAAAAAAAATATTTTAAATTTTACTTAAGGAAGCGAGGGCCGCTGCGAAATCTGCTAAGAATGAGCAAGAAAACGCCGACAAGAAGAACGCTAAGGTTTCTTGAAACTCAATTTTAACCGAATAGTTTTTGAACCTCAGGAAATCGCACGGTTCGAAAAGGGACTTATCCTCGCTATTGATGGTCTAGATGAGAAATCCACGTTTGCTGACATTAAAGAATTCTTCAATAAATACGGATCTGTGGGATACGTATCTTTTGAAGCTGGCCATACTAATGCTGAAATCAGGTTAGTTGGTCACGATTTTCATTGAACTAAATTATGTAAACAAGAGAAAAATGTCGTTTTCTAGATTCAATATGGGAGAGACTGGTGCTAAAGAAGCTTGGGAGAAGGCTCTTTCTGAGAACGGAGGAAAAGTTGTCATCAAAGAGAAAGAGTTGACAGGACGGGTAATCTTTTCTAGCTGTTTACCCGATTTAATACTTGCTTTCTAAGGTTCTGGAAGGAGAAGAAGAAGAAAAGTACTGGGACGAATTCAACTCGGCGAAAAATCGCAGTAAAGATAACCGTGGCCGTGGTAGAGGACGAGGTCGTGGTGGCCGAGGAGGCCGCGGCGGACGCGGAGGACGGTTAGTGCGATGATGTTTATGATGGGGCTTTTCTTTTCTATATCTCAAGTTGTTGATGGTGGGGCGGAACTTTTGAGCTTTTGGAAATAGAAGAACGTTATTTTTGTAGACAGTGGTCAAGCAAAAGGCGTTTCAAAAGCTGCTTTTTGAACGCGCGCCATTGAAACCCGTTTGCAGTGTTGTTGATAACTGGACGCTAATAAAATGAAAGCTGAAATTTGCGACAAATTTTTCTTATGAAATTAGTGGGGCTTGAGCCCTGTTTCGTTGAGAAATGGTTGGTGATGAAATACAATGAATTGAGAAATAATATGATTCTTCGTAGTTTTTTAAAATTTCTCACAGGTCGTTTCAATTTATTTGTTTCAGGCTTGAAATCGCTTGAAATAATTTCATTTTTTGAGGTGTCAAATTTCATATAAAAAAATATGCCCAATAGTGACTTTTTAAACTTAAAAAAAATATATATTCAGAGGAGGACGTGAGAACTCTAAGCGCTCTGCAACTGGAGATGACGGTCCCAAGTCGAAGCGAATCATTTTCGATGAAGAAGGCGCAGTGAAACCCGCTAAAGAAACTTCGGAAGTTGCTGAATGATTTTCTCATTTTTTAATTGTTAATTTTTGACGGTGTTCATTTTTTTGGAACCCCAAACTGTGAATGACTTTTTGTTGTCTGTTACCGTTGCAATGTTGATTTTATTCTATTTTGTGAAATACATTTTTAACAAAAAGGGAGCATGATGAAAGAAATGGTCAGCTAGTGTCACCCTATCAGCTTAACGCAGCGGTCAAATCGTTATTAGAATGGAATGGGCTGTTTTTCTTATCTCATTCTATTTTGAAACGGGCAGTAATCACGCAAAGAGAGTGAGGAGACCGAGAGTTTTGGCGCCAAGCGCCGCCCATCGGCCAATTGTTCAAAAGGTCGCTCCAACGGAGTGCACTGTCGTCTTCTTTTTTCTTATCACTTCCAATAGTCTGTCCCAATTCGTGGATTTCGTTTTTTCTTCGTCAAGTTTGTTTCGGTCCAAATGCCGAGTTCATAGAAATTTGAGAAATTAGAGGAAACGCGGCGAATTAGACTGAAGAAGTCCCTTAAGCATACCCAACAGTCCTACAGAACATCCTTGACTTCGATTCGCCGCGCGCGTCAAATTAGCTTTGAACGCGGCATAAGTTTTATATTGAAGGATGAAGAGCCTCACTGTTTTATTGCTGGCCGGCCTGGTGGCGGCGTCTTCCGCCGGTAGTCTTTCTCGGCAGATCGAAGCCGCCATGGACAAGTGGGACGACTACAAGGAAATGTATGGTGAGTTGCTTAGAAGACGTCGGGGCAGGAAAAAGAGTCCACGGTTGCAGAAAAGGAGTACGAAGAAGGTGAAGAGCAGGACTACATGGAGGCCTTCGTCAAGAACGTCATTCACATCGATAATCACAACCGCGAGCACCGTCTTGGTCGCCGCACGTTCGAGATGGGCCTCAACCACATCGCTGACCTCGTCAGTTTGTTCTCTTTTTGAATGAGTTCATGAGATCACGAGAACCATAATGCCTCTTCGTTGCTGGTGAAATAGATATTTTTACTCGCTTTTTTCAGAATGAAAAAAAATATTTTTAAAAAAGTAACTGAAAAAAGAGGTACTAAATGATTATTTTTTTGAAATTCTTCTGAGTGTCGGGTTGAAAATAGAGCTAAAGTAGGAAATGGATCTAGAAAACCCTCGCCGAAGTCCCAAAAAAAACGACCGACGTCTTTTTTTCAGCCTTTTTGGACAAAATATTTATCAAAATCATCAGAATCTAGAGTATTTTTTTAGTTTTTTTGTTTTTGTTTCATAGAAATATGACTTTGTCTTTTACTGCCAAGTAGATGCTTTCGCAATGTTCTTTGGACGAGCAGACACTGGCTTTTGGCGTTATCAATAGGAGGAGGTCAAACTGATAAAGCCTGCGCGTCTGCGGCTTCGGCTATCACTCATTATCAGGCGACATGTTTGCCGGCTCGTGCTGGCCGCTGTGCGAATCAGAGCCATTCCAAAGGACGTTAATGAACGTCAAACAGCTGAAGCGACAACTGTCAGTTACGACAGATATCTCGTGACTATCAGCTGATGTCAAAAGACAGCCAGTCGTTCCTTGCATAAACACGTTCTTTTGGTTCCATTCTTTCAAAACTTTGGCCCCAGAAGTCGGAAATTGTGAAATCTTAAGTTTTTTTTGGGATGAGTTTTTCTTTTCTTAATCGAAGAGTAAGCACTCTTTTGTCAGTCAGTGCTTCTCATCAAAAACTTTTTTATGGGATGCAAAAATAAAGGTTATCGCTCAAATGCCTTTGAAATTTCGACACCTAGTTGTTGAAAGAAACACGATGAACATTCTATTCACTAACCTGCGAAAAATGACGCAAAAAATTTTAGGCTTCGCCGCTTCGAATTTATTTTGATACGGCTGAAAGATTCTTTTTTGGCCTATCCTTTTCAGCCCAAAGAACACTGAATATTTGGAAACGTAAATAAAAATGAAAAATTCGGGAAAGATTCTCCTTCAAAGAAAGATTTTCAGCCCTTCTCGCAATATCGCAAGCTGAATGGCTTCCGCCGTGTCTTCTCGGACCGCCGCCAGAAGAACTCCTCGACTTTCTTGGCTCCATTCAACGTCCAGGTCAGAAACAGTTTAGTGACGATGGTTAGGATGGATTGCAGGTCCCTGACGAGGTTGACTGGCGCGAGAAAGGACTCGTCACCGACGTCAAGAACCAGGGAATGTGCGGATCGTGCTGGGCGTTCTCTGCCACCGGCGCCCTCGAAGGACAGCATGCCCGGAAACTCGGCTCTTTGGTCGGTCTTTTCACGACTTTTTTGACTTGCAGTAGTTTTTTCAAAGATTTTGTTTATGACTACCTGTTATACAAAAAGAAAGGTGATGGACTATACATTTATAGGTAAAGAAATAATAGTAAAACATTTTTATTATTTTCATAGCTATAAAAAAGCATTTCAGGTCTCACTCTCTGAACAGAACCTGGTCGACTGCTCCACCAAGTACGGCAACCACGGCTGCAACGGCGGCCTCATGGACTTCGCCTTCGAGTACATCAAGGACAACAAGGGCGTCGACACCGAAGACTCCTACCCCTACAAAGGCCGCGACATGAAGTGTCACTTCAACAAGAAGACGATCGGCGCCGACGACGCCGGCTACGTTGACCTGCCTGAAGGCGACGAGGAGAAACTCAAGGTGACTGGTGGAGCCTCGCTTGACGTCACTCTCGAACTTTCAGATCGCAATCGCCACCCAGGGCCCTATTTCCGTCGCCATCGACGCCGGACATCGCAGCTTCCAGCTTTACAAGAAAGGTACACTCAATTTGAACAAAAACTGCATCAATGATTTCGAAAAGCTATTTGTTATTCTCAGCGAATTCGAGATAGAAGTTTGGTGCTTAATGGACTCTTATCGCACTGATAAGTATTTTCTGGTCTAGTATCGAATCCTCTTATGACTAACTTCTTTTTTCTGAATCGTCTCTGCTTCATTGGCAAACGAATACAAGTCCATACGGAAAATTTCAAAATGACAAAGAATAAGTTTCGAAAAAACTTAATGTGGTGACACTGAGCTTTTATCTGGAAAAAGTTTTCAGGGACTAGGAATAACTTCTGAGAATTTGGAGAGCATTTTACGAAACTTAGCCATAATTCGATTTATAGGCGTGTACTACGATGAGGAGTGCTCCTCGGAGGAGCTGGACCACGGAGTTCTGCTCGTTGGCTACGGTACCGACCCAGAGGCTGGCGACTACTGGCTCGTCAAGAACAGGTGAGTCGAGTGGAGCCGATGTCGATTGGACGGGGTTTTCAGCTGGGGAACCGGATGGGGAGAGAAAGGCTACATCAGAATTGCTCGCAACCGCAACAACCACTGCGGCGTCGCCACCAAGGCCAGCTATCCGCTCGTCTAAATCCCCGGAATCGCTCTTCTTACAACTCTTTTCTCAGGTTCAAAAAGCCTTCATTTTGTTGAATCTTTCTTCACTTTACTTGTAACATGCTTTCGTAATTTGTTCATTTTCTTCGACTTTGCTCAATTCACACTTTGTTGTATATAAAGGTTTTATGTACAATTGCACGAGTTTACCGGTTGCGAAAAAAAATGAACCAAATTTTGAGGTAGGTCAACAAATACATACAGCTTTTCGGTTGAGAAAACCATCAATATTGTTTTATAGGCTCATCATAAACTACAAAATGAGAAAATGAAAAAAAAAAATTATTTTCGTTTCATCCAGAACGAAAAAAAAACTGTCGAAAAGTCGTTCAGTTTTAACACTTTTTTTCTTCATCGACAACGCCAGGAAATGTTGCAAACATTTTTCTGAGACTTAATATAAAAATTAAGAAGAATCAAATATTGCGTCCATAATTATTTAATAAAACAAACATCAAACTACGAATCAAGTTGGTATATAAAATTGCCAGAAAGAAAAATTAAATGTTCATGTTCGGAATTCAGTTTCCAAGTCTTTTAAAGTCTCGATAGAAAGCAACCGTACGTTTTGAGAAACCAAAATGAAGAAGATCATGTTTTGGCGCGGACGATGACGTTGAGAGAAATGACGAAAAGTAGGAAGGCTATGGAAAATCCAGTCGAGGCCGTCACGAACTGGGCATTCACGCACAGACGAACGTCACCTGAATTTCAATCAATTTAGCTTAGGATTTTCAGCTCTCAGAAAAAATAACGGCCAAGCTAGCCTAAAATTTTCAGCTTTAATGGCCGGAAAACTTTGCAAATATGAACTCCATGACATGAATAATATAAAGAAAATTCTGAAAATCCGAGTGCAACTGCCTTGTGAGCTGTGCACTTCGAGCTTTTCACCTCTAAGCTTATGGTTCATGAAATTCTCCATTTAATAACGTCAATCATTGGCTCCTAACGCCTTGAAAAGTCAATCAAGAGTGTGATCGCCGATCAGAGATATGGCTCGAGAGAACGAACCTGATAAGCCTTTTAGGATGATATAACTGACCGGCTATCTTATGGTGGCAGTTTTGAGAAAGACAGAGTGCCGCACGGACGGTCTGCGTCTCCGAGGGCTCTTCAGCGTATCGCCGAGTCTTCTCGTACCGCTTGGCGTCCGATAGTATGGAGTTGGGCGGCGAGGTGACGACGTCCGCGCAGAACGGAGGCTGAAACTTTGATTTTCGATTGACGTGCCGGAGTCCGCAAGTCAATAACTTTTTTTTGTCTTTGAAAGAAGGAGCAGTCATAAGAGTCACGTAACGAAAAAAAGGAAGAGTGTCGAAGTTTCAGTAAACTAATTTTCTCATTGAATTTTTCTATATCAAAAATTTTGGGGGCTCTCGTCTACAATTAGATATTGTGAAGCTCTTTCTACCTGTGGAACTGCCATTTTCTACGTCTTATCAAGGAATATTACCGAAGGGACGTCCTCGCAGCTGCTGACGTTCGTGTCGGAAGTCTTGATGGCGGCGCAGACAAAAACGTCGCATTTGATGCGCAGAGAAGACATGTCTGGCACCTCAAATCGAATCATTTTCTGGCGAAACTCGTGCAGCCGACTTTGAAGGCCCACATGTGGGCAGCGGCCGTGTCGCGGAAAGAGTCGTAGTGCGGATGGTCGATTATAGAAAGATCTGTCGAGCACCTCGAAAGTGAACCATTAAAGTGTACACTCCGATGGAGAAAGATTCGAAGTTACAGTCTTCCTATCTAGAAGGGCTTACCCTTGTTCGTCGATTAGTTTGTGCTCAAGTTTTCCGATCGTGTCGACGACAAGGCAGTTGCGCACGTGGAATCCATATGCGTCTGGAAGTTGGTCATGTTTTAGAAACAAGGAGTTCTCACCAGACTGCGGGTTGAGACGCCAGTGAACCGCCAAAGGCATGCCGATGTCCGCGGCGCTGACCTGGAACGACTACATTGAAGTACAAAAAAATATTTGAAGGGCAGAACATGGGAGAATGAGTTTCACGAATGCTTTCTCCATACTAAAACTCATTTTATCTCTTTATTAACCCATGAGAATCGAAAACGCGCCTCGGGTCCGACATTGTGATGGCCTTGATCGACTAGGAGCTGCATCTCAACGGTTGGCAGCGACGCCTTTTGCTCCAAACGCGCAGGCACAAGACGAAGCCTTGAAGAGCATCTTCGTTGCGACGTCTTCAAAAGAACTCACTCTTCGAGGGCTTCCTCGATGCGTCGCGGCACGTTCTGTCGGTCGTAGCCGATCTTCTGATGCACGCACTGGGCCATGAAAGACTGCAAAGTGTTGGTGCCGTTGCCCTGGTCGACGACGAGCACGACCTGAGCAACTGGGATGCGGAAGAGATCATCTACCTGCCTGCATGTGGAACTGGGCACGCGAGTCTTCCTGGTCTCCGGTGTTACGGACGCCGCATTTGTCGAAGGGCAGGAACACGCTCGGGTTGTTCTCCTCGTTGAAACTCTTTGCGCACCTTCAATTTCCTAATTGAGAACTCATTGTGGAAACAATGCAAGAAAAAAGTGTTGGCGATACTTCAAACTTTCGAGATGCGTATTTATACCAAGCTGAATCAAATTTTACTTTACTGGGAAAATGTTTAGTGGCCTCTATAGGGTTTTGACGTTTTAGTGGCCAATATAGTAGTCAAATTAGTGGACACTTTAGGGGTTAAAAATTAGTGGCCACCATAGAGTTCTAAGTGGTACCACTAGATGACTGAAACTACTATAGTTGCCACTAATGAACAAAATAGTGGCCTCTATAGAGGTGGTTTTGGAAGCCACTTTAGTGTCCTCTTCAAATAGTCTTGAGGAGCCTCTATAGTGGCCACTAAACGTTTTCCCATATTTTTCTTTTTTCATTCTTCTTTCTTAAAAATTCTTGAACGTACCTCTTTTCCAAGCCGTGCTTGTGCTTGAAAAATCTCTATTTTCTAGGAAAAATCACTGCGTAGAATTGACTTGAACAATATTTTCTCCTGAGAAGTCTGTTCTTTTGGACTTCCAACGACTATTTAGCTTCCCGACTGACTCGATCCAAACTAGAAAATGAGGGCTTGAAAAAGAAATCGCAAAACGCGAAGCCCGCTATGAAAGAACGAGATGTAATCGGTGGATGGGAATTTCGCCGTTCACTCATAATCGCTTTCTTTTCCTTGTCCTCCAATTCATTAGGAATTTTTCTCGCTGCAGAAGCATAACAAAGCCTAAGACAAGAAACATACTCTGGGACTCGTTTACGATCGTTGGCGAATATTTGGCCGGTGAAAGGCAAGATGGTCTTGGCCTCGAAGGTGATGCCATTCTCTTGGCACACGATGTGCGGCTTTCCTGAATCCTCCTTATAAATGCGAAATTCATGGGAACTCACCTCGCACTCTGTTCGGAACTGCAGGCGCTCCCTCAGGAGGATCGTATGGATTACGGTTTGGAATGCGCGGAGCAATCTGCTGTGGAGTGTGACCTGGCGACGTAGCTTCTGGAGCAGGAGACGTGGGATAAGTCAGCGTCGGAGGCGAAGGTCTGAAGCATAGCATTTTCCAGATCTCTCAGAGCCAAAAAACCTTGCAAATGTCACTTCAATGGTGTTCAAGCCTGGGGTGGCAGGGACTTTGAGAGTAGTGATGGTGGGAGAAGTTGTAAACTCTATGGTTGATGTCTTCTGTGGGGGCAGAGCTGTCGGTGGAGCGTTCGCGGTTGTGAGAAGGACTTTTTCAGTCGAGCTGGACAATGGTGGACTCAAAGTTGAGTCGGAAGTTTGATATCGAAGTGTAGGGAAGTCTGGCTTTCGAGTCACCACCGCAGGTGTTTGATCTTCTTTCGGACTTGGCGCTGACGTGGTCGACGTGGTTGCTTCAGGATGCAGCGGCTTGTATGTCGGATGGAAATCCGGATGAGCGGCCGTGGACAACGTCATGTGTTCGATGGCCGGTGGCAGGTACTCCGGTTGAGGAGGAGGTGTTGGACCAGTTGGCCCTTTGGTCGAGGAAGGAGCTGCAACGGTTGCGGCGATTGGTCGCAGAGTCCTGGCCGTCGGAGAGAAAGACTCGGTCTGAACAGATTTCTATTCTGGTACTGTTGATCAACGTTACAGGGCTCGTCGTAGTTTCGGAAAATGGCGTTGCCAGTGGCAGAGTCGTCGGCTGTGAGAGCATGTGCGCCGGAACCAAAGACCGAGGGACCGCCTACAACTTCTTGAGCTTTACTTTTTGACGAATACCATCTTGCTCGAAGATTCGAGTGAGGATTTGCACAAAAAACGTTTCGATTAACAAAGGTTGAGTTGTACAATAGATCTGATCTTCAAAAACGGTTTTTTTGAGCCGCTCTATGGAGCCTGGTTCGTCTGCCCGTGTACACGGGAAACTACAGATCAAACTTTTTTCAAGTACGAGAAAAAAAGACCGCTTTGAAAGGTTTTGTTCTTCTCACTGATGACTATCAAAGATTGAAATAATCACAAATTTCTGAGAAAATTTCAAATTTTCGCAATCCTATCCTAAAAAATCTTTTAAAGAGCAGAAAGTGACATAAATGTTTGGTCAACCAAACACGATTTACCTATAAATATCTACTTTGGATTACTTTACCCTAAAAATCCATTTCGACTGAAACGCCGCCAAAGCTCTACAGCTCAAAAAGAAAGGAGAAAAAAAGACAGAAAAAAGGAATGACCTCCGGTCGACGTGTTGTTGGCTGAAAAGGAAGAGGACTTGGACTGAATGGCGGAAATATGTTCTGAGTGGGAGAATAAGGCTGGCCGTAGTCCTGCTCGACGTTCGGCGGCTGGTAGGGGTTGTTCACAGCTGGCGGAGGCTGTGGAGGCGCGTATCCGGCCCGGCTTGCATCTTCCTGAAAAATCGGCACGTCAGAATCCAAAAAAAAAACGGGAAAAAGTTAATTGGAAGTTGGACTTCAACCAAAACCAAGGTTTGAGAGCACTCAGTTCTAAAAACATTTTTGATTATTTTATCAGTTGGAATGCAATAATAGTTCTGAAAGCCTCGTATCCAAATAAGAACCTTGGCGACGTTGCTGATCACCAGAGTAGGACCGTTTTCATGCTTGGCATCCGGCTTGTACAGCGAAACCTTCAAAAAAAAAAAAACATTTAAACACAGTTTGCAAGCTGATTTTGATATCAAGTACATAAGCTTTGAAAAAACCTTGTGAAAAAAAAATTAGCATCCATTTATGGGAAAAATACTAGAACTAGATTAATGGGGCCTTACTCAGAAAAAATACGTTTTCTGATATTAATAATCGTCTTAACTACTTCTTTCTAACTTTTACCTTTTTTTCAGTTGTATCTTCTTATTTATGTATTAAATATTAGTAAATACTCAGCAAGATGAACCTTGTCGGCGTCGACCGACGCGCAGTAGGGAGAGTTGCAGTTTCTGGCTGGAGTTTTGAAGTGCACGTCGATGTGTGAGGTGAATTCTTCTGGCTGATGTGCTGGTGGCTGGTAAGCCTCCAAATATTTCTACGTTTAGCATTTTGATCGTATTTCAGTTCAAAAAAGTAGAGACGCTAAAGTTCTCACACAAGAAAAAATCGCTCTGCGTCTTCAAGCTATTGGTCAGACTTACTTGAGCAGTCATGGGTCTTGGGAAGAAATTCCTCAGCATGTCTTCTTCGTCCTCTTCCGGTTTCTTAGAAGTCGATTGAGGTGGGCTGTAAGCTCGACATATTACTCACCAGCGTTCAAACCAACCTGGAAAAAATGTTCTCCGAGTTTTCGGTATCACTTTTAGGCGTTGCAGTGTCTTCCGTAGGACGCTCTGTCTCGCTCGGGATATAGTTATTTTGAGGTCTTTCTATGATCGGAGATGTCGTTTCCTGGGGCGACACCGTTTCACTGCTATCTTCTGGAGAGAGATAGACCGGTGGCACAACGCTGGAAACGGATGGCGGAGGCACCAAACGGGAAGTTGTTGAGTCCTCCGGCAAGGCAGAAGTTGGATTTTGGTATGGATTTGTCTCCGGTCTGAACGGCGGCTCTGTCATTTCCGTAATCGCTTCCGTAGGTTCCGAATAACTAGAGACTTTTGGAGTTTCGGTTTGAACAGTTGGAGCAGTAGTTTCGGGGTTTTGTGGAGCGGGTGAATGGGGAAAAGTGCCCTGGTAGTTTTCGGGGTTCGCAGAAGGCTCTGATGCCGGCTGCTTCGTCGAAGTCGGTCCGAATTGACCTTGTGGCGGCACCGGAGGCGCGCCATACCAGTAGGGAGCTGCGTTTGGAGCCGAGTTTGGCGGATTCGGCACCCAGATCATCTGCAGAGGGTATTGTTGCCAGTTCGGAGGCAGCTGCGAGAGCTGCGGAAACGGCGGTTGTCCTTTGTTGTGCACCGTTGGAATGGGGTAAAACTTCGGGTTGAAATTGGTGTTTGGATGGATTGATCGCTGTGGAGCAGTGGGACCGCGCCTCTGCGGGATATTCTGATCCGGCGGTCGATAGTCTGGAACTGAGAACTGCTCCGGTCGTGTGTAGTAGTTGGGCTGCGCGCGCTGAAAACGATTCGTTGGCTTACTGACTATCGTTCTCATTTAGTGCAACTAGCAGCGTCTCTTATAAGAGACTGCACTTTTTTTGTAAGTAGTCGGCTGTTTTTGCACTCAAGATTTGCTGTTTTTTAAGTATCTGTCTTTTGTTCTTCATTAAAAAAAAGCTGACCAAGTTTTTCGGAACCTGAAGGGTAGCTTGAAAGAGGATAAAACAAAAATGAAAAGTTTGAACTCAAAAAAGTCTTGAATCTCTGATTTTAAAAATCTTTAAAACCCAAATTGATTATTTGAACTGCAGAGGAAACCTTGCTGAGACTGGAATGCTGGACGCGGGAAGAATTGAGCGACGGTGGATTGGGCTCCGAGACAGGAGTCCGCCAAACAGGCTTCACTCCGAGTACAGCACTCAGGAGCGGCAAAAACAGCAGGATCATCTTTTCGGACAAAAAGCGACGGGATCCCGACGAAATGAGGATTTGATCGCCTCGGGAAAGTTATGAACGACGCCTAGATCGCTCGTTGCGATAGCCGAAGAAAACGTGAAAGAAAACGCATGAGGACCGCCCATTCAAAGGTCGTCTTTTCCAGCTTCCGAGACTCAAGTTGATCCTATCCTCCTATCTAAAAAAGAAGGGATTCTGAAATAAAAGGTTTTCTTCTTTGCCTGAACTGAAACTAAAGTTTGTTTTTTCCTATTCTGATCCTTTCTGAAGCTCAACTACATAAAAAAATGACAAGTTTAATTGAAGAATAGTTTCGAGTTCAAGGCATTTTCTATCTGGGGAAAGAGAGTAAAACCTTCTTTTAATAATATGGCAAGTTTTAAACAAAAAACTCGAAGAAAAAACTAAGGGGAATCTAGGCTTAGCCAGACGTTTTTAAAAGCTCAAAGCCTCTCTTCAACTCTTCAGTCTTCGACGTCTGTATGGATTCTGAGGACGTGATCATCGGAGCAAACGAAAAATGTTCCGAAACGCAAAAAATTGCTCCAAAACCAAAGCAAGTACTGTTTTGGAGCATCTTTGGTGCGGCGTTGAACACTTTTTTGCCTTTTGTTTCCGATGAACACGCCATGAATATGTCGAAAAGAACAAAACTTTAATCTTTTGAGAAGCTATTATCAAGGCCACTATCTTCTTTCACTCTGAACAACTTTATACTTTATTTTTCAAAATTGTTTTCCATCTCCAAACAACTATCTCTCACTCTCAATATTCGTTGAAATGATTTCTTAATCTCGTCAGATGAAAGGCGAATAAAAATAAAATAAGACGCTCGATTGCGCCATTTCCGACCTCACAACATGCTTCCGTATCGCGTCGACATCCAAAAGGTTTCTCAGGCAAAAAAAAAAAATTTTTCTGAAAGGCACTTTTTCAAATTGAAAGCTTCATTTAGAATATTTCAACCCATTTTTGGGGATGTAGAACAAATTAGTTTGCCGTTTTGAGGAATTCAAAATTATTGGCATGATTCATTTCTTTTCTTTTGAATAGCAGTTACAAAGAGTTGAACTTTTTTTCTCTCGGTTCTTTCTTTTTATTCGACGATAAAACACGAGAGAAAGTTGGAAAACTTTATTCTTATCAGTTTTTTGTGTTTTTGGTTAGTTTTCTGTTTGAATCGGTGAGTTTTTTTTGGTAATTTTGGTTTGAAAAATGAAATTTGAGACGAGAATCGATTGAAGTTTTTTTCTTGACTAATAGCAATCAAATCACTGATCCGTGTGAAACCTATAAATTTCCAGTTAAAGATTTTTGTTGGTCTTGGTTGGAAAAATCGCTATAAAAAGTACGTTTCACAAAAATAAAGGAATGTTTTCATCATTTTCAATGAAATTTGTTATTTCATCTCATGATCTTTCAATGAGCTCTTTTTTTGTTCAAACTCATTAAAAATTCTCATAAACTTGAGAACAAGTGAAAAAACGGCAGAATAGACTTAAGTGTGCTTGAAAATTTTTTGGAATGATTTGGTTGCGTTTTGAAGCAAGATTTTTTTCTTGTTGATGAAAACGCCATAAATGTATTCAAATAGACTTATCTCCCTTGTGTCCTATTCGAGGCGCTTTTTTTTTTTTTCAAAACGAGGCCAATTGCAAAAAAAATTTTTTTTAGTAAGAAAGAAGACTGGGATGGGCTATCCTCAACCGAACTTTTCTTGTTAGATTTTATGAGTTGAACAATAAGTTTTATTTTTTATTCACTTTGAGCTTCTCTGCGCCTCTGAGCGCTGAAACCGTAGAAATCCAGAAATTATATTACTTTTAGTTTTGAGAAGTGAAACTGGATATGAAAAGGAAAAGAAAATAGAAGGATTTGGAAAAGGCTTGCAAATGTTTCCTTCTTTTTTTCTATGCGCATAATAGCACCACTAAGAATAACTGCCGAGATAAACGCGAGACACTGGCGGTACATTGACGAGCTCGCAAACATCTCGCTTTTTTTCTCGCGCCGGTCTCGCATTTTTCTGGACGCGAGCTCGCATTTTTCTAGGCGCGAGCTCGCATTTCTCTCGCAATTTGAAAATTTCCGAAATGCGAGATAAATGCGAGATGGCGCCAAGAAAAATGCGAGGTCGCGCCGAGAGAAATGCGAGAGCGCGCCTAGAAAAAAGCGACATTTTTGCGAGTTCGTCAATGTACCGCCACCGACCTCGCGTTTATCTCGTCAGTTATTCTTAGTGACTATCGCGCGAAAATTGGGCTGTTATTGTATGAAAATGCGCTTTTACAATCTAACGAAGTTGATAATATAAAAAAAAGAGGCGTATCGCTTAGAACATCTAACCAGTGTCCTCGAAAGTTGAAAGCGCTCCGCGGCTGAATCCAGAAGAATGAGGCTCCTTTTTCCGGGAGGACCGTCTATCATGCCAATATTTCTGAGCTTATCCTGAGGCCATGCCAAAAAAGTTCACTCAAAAAGGAAGTTTGTCGCGTGGCGGCAGATTCCGTCTTGCGTCCTTTGAGCCAAAAAGGTGGCCCACTTGTAATCGAATATGTGATGGTGAAGGCGGCTCTCAGGAGCTCAAAGCTGCTCCCTCGAAAAATAGGCGGACCCTCGTTCTTGCCGCTTTTCCCTGCACCTCGACTTTCTGACCGTGTGTGTGTGTTTTTATTTATTTCTGTCGACCGTGAACCTCCGACAAAAGGGTCTCACGGAGAATGGCAGACGACCTTTTGGAATGCGTCGACGAGGTTCGCATCAGAATAAACAGAACACGCGAAGCGATCATTTCAAATTATGGTGGAATCTCTTCAGATTCTTAAATAATGGTTTCGAGATTTTGATTTTCTGCAGTCATTCTTTTCACATCTGGATAAAAATCCAAACAGAGCAATTTTTCGCCATCACATTTTTCTATGAATTTTCAACTCAATGAAGGTCACAAAAATGATTATATTTTCTGTTCTTTTTTCTTTTTCCGCTTCTGACCATCAGTACGGAAAGTTATAAGTCTGAGAAAGTCGAAGGGGATGTTCGAAATCAAATCTTCTGGGGTAGATTTGGTTGAAGTAACTGGAAAAATACTCAAAAAATATCGAAAACGTTCATTCAGATTGATAATCATTTGCTATGCCTCAATAATAATAAAAAAAATTCCTCGATGAGAAGCTATTCTGAAACTTACTCCGTGATTTCGCGGAGAAAGTTCCTACCGTTGGCTGGCATCTTTGGAGGATCTCTCCGAAGATCCCGTCTAGCCGGCTGCCATTTTCTCGCGCATAATTCACTTTCTCGTCTTTCGTTTAACTTTTCTTTCAGCCAAAAACCTTCTTTCGACGATTTCGAAATCTAAAGTGGGAGACAAAAAAGGAAAAAAAAACAAGTCGAAACGAGCATTTGGCTCCTCCCAAAACTCTGCCTTTATAATTCGAACGTTGTTTTTTTGATTTCTGTTGATTTTATCGCAGTCAAACTTTGCTGCTTTTTTGTTCACCTGTTTAGAAAATCAAGTTTTTGAATAGCTTCAATATTTTTCGAAAAAGATAAAACCTCTCTATCCCATTTGTTCCGACCGGAAACAGTCTGATTGACGCTCTCTTTTCCCTCGGCGACTCTCAAATGTTCACGTGTGCATTTCATGCTTCTATTGGAGAGAGAAAAGAGGGAACAGACAGGCCAGACTGTTTAGCGAATGCAATAAGGATATCCAGAATGTTGTGAAGATGACAGTTTTTCATTTCTAGGTAAAAAAAAAGTTACTGAAATTTGGGGAAATTGGATGAGCTCCCAAGTAGTTGTTTCTTTTTCAAAGTTGTGTCTGAAGCTTTTTTGTGAAATGCGATTTTTAAAGTTCCTAAATTGCAACGAAAATTTTCTTCAAATTTATTTTTACCTTATTTTAGTTCATTGCACTCACGACTTCATTTTTTGGGATTTAGCAGCTTCAGACGCAAAAGCCCATTTATTCAATCAGAAAATTGAAATTATGCAAAACGGTCGAAAAAATTGCTTTTTCCATCTATCCTTATTGATTTGCGAGAATGATAAAACAGTCAACATTCTTTATTACTATCAGCGATTTTTTTGTTTGTTTTTGTAGATAATTTTCGACGGGAGAAAAAACTCGTACAGAAGCCTCGACGTAGTGGCAGCCTTCTTAACTCTAAGAACTAGAAAAATAAATAGTCGACTTTTCTTTTTTGGATATATTAAAATACAAACAACTGAGAAGCATAAAAATCGCATAAAAAACTGGAAAAAGTCGAATAAATTTTCAGGAGCTCGGCACCAGCGGAGCCCAAGAACGCGATTGGAAAGGAATCGGCACGGCTCTCGTCGTCATCCTCATGATCTGTCTTCTCATCGTCTGCGCCCTCGTCATGTTCACGCCCTGTAGGTCCTATCTATTTTGCTAGTTACCATATGAGTAGTTATAATATCACATTGAGCACAAATTTAAATATTCACTTTTATTTTCAAAAAATAGGGAGTGAGAGCCGGGTTAAGATGATCATGTTGGCACTTGAAATATGTAATTAAAAAAGCTTTTGTGCATTTGTTCATTTTGAGGAAATGCACAAAAAACATTTTATTTGACGACTCTTTTTTGTGGGCGGAACGTAACTCAGGAAACGCCGTGTTTCGCTAATCATGTCAAGTTCTTATTCTTGGAAAAATCACTCATTCTTCCTTGTTTTTCTAGGACTTTCAAGCACAAAATTATGAAAATCCGAAAAATGGCAAATCGTGTTGTCTATAGAGCAACTTTACTGTAAAACGCACTATTGACGCACTCAAACTTTTCTCTCCTCTGACTTTGAACTGTTTTTTTCTCCAAAAGTAGTTCTGTACGTTTCTAAGCTCCCCGTTCGACAGGCAAGAGAGAGTTCTACAATAAAAGTGTCGGACCTATTTCATTGAGCATTTTGTGCCTTTCCAGCATTGATTTTATTCAACTTTCCATGATTTTGATAATAATAGAAGATGAGTATCTTTATTATTGTAGTCTACAAATTTGCAGAGCTCGGTCGTAAACGTAGTTTTCATCTTTTTACACATGAAGCTTTCATTGAAAAAAAAGTAAAAAAAGAAAAAAATTAATATTAAAAAAATTTCAAGCAAAAATGAGAGAATAAGGGGGCGTGGCTCATGGTATAGGTTCAAAGTCAATGAAAATACCTACTGACTCGACCTCAATGGGTGTTTTGATGCGGAAGTCGTGAGCCCAGCAGAAAATAGTTGAGGATCGACGCAAACGAGTGTTGTAATCCCCATCCAATCGCTTTTCGATCTTGCAACTTTGCTTTGCGTCCTCGGGGGTCTCGAAAATATCATCGATTGGAACCCAGCCAGACAGAGGATCTCAGCTCATCTACTGGTTCTTGAATCCAATCTTCTCAAAAAAGGCTTTTGTTGGATCTCACCATTTTGCTCAAACTGAGTGGAAATATATAGAAAATTTTTGAATAGAGTTAGTAATGAGGTTTTTTTTGAACTAGAAGGATCAGAACGTCAAAAATATGTATAAAACTCGACACGAATTTTTAGTGACGGCGTCTTCGCACGTGCTGCCACGGCGACTGAATCTGTCGGACATGGGCGTTTTGAGACCGGGAATTTTCGATGTGCCGCGCTTCGTGGACGGCAAGACGTTGTTGATGGAGACGCGTCGCGGCTTGGAAACTATAAGGGCCGACAAGCCTACGAGTCCGCGGATTGTCTTCGAACATCAGTCCTCTGTAGGTTGAGTCGAGACGTCACCTATGAGTTCCTTGGAAAGAAAAATATTATAGCCTGTGCCACGACTTGGAATTTCATCAAATGACATTCCGCTGTGCCGCTGCGCGCCTTTACGAGCCTTGGTCGCGCTTTTAATTTTTTTTTCTTTTATCAAGGTACTCTACTTTCATGTGCTCCCACAGCAATAACAATCAATTGAAAGCGTGACCTATATTCAAAAAACGCTTCGCGAACACACGCAGCGGAACAGCGGAATGTCGTTCGGTGAAATTCCAAGTCGTGGCACACAGACTATAGCTAGGGGACGTTTTTAGGCAACGGTTGAACTTTTTGCTGAAACATCACTGAGACTGTATTTTAGGGCCACTTGATTCCAAAACAAGAAAAATCGTTTCTTAAGAAGAGTGTTAAAACTCATCTAATGGGCAATTTCTTATAATAAATTAGTGTTAAGACAAAAAATCAAACATCAAAGATGCAAATCTTACAGTTTATGAATGCAATTCCTTCCGCAGACCTCAAGTTCTTCGCAGCAATGAGAAAAGCTCCCAATCCGGTGCGTCTATCATTCTTTCCACGAAAACGAGACTTTCAGGGAATGAACGTCATGAACTCAACATACTTCATCAAGATCATCGATGCCGAAACAAAGTAAAAAATCGAATTGAACCTTTAATATTTCTTTTTGGAGAGCCGCCTATGACTTGGGTGATGGCAAGCAGTCTCAGCAGGGGTTCCTGTGGAGCTCGACAGGAAACGACTTTGTGAGCTGTTCGAAAAATACAGTGTTCCGAAAGCTATGATTGAAGGTGTACGTGGAGAACAACGAGATCTTCTATGTGAAGTCGCCGACGTCGGGAGATCCCGTTCTGGTGAGCGACCGAAGACATCGACGCGACCTGATAGTCCACGGACTCTTCGACTGGCTCTACATGGAGGAAATCTTCGACCGCAAACGAACGGCTAGTTGGACCAAGTATGACTCGAATCGGCGGTTTCAGGCGATGTGGTGGTCGCCGAGTGGAGCCATGCTCGCCTTCGCCTCCTATGACAATAGCCTCAACACCAACGTCACTTTGCAGAGGTTTTCTTTATTTTCAAAAACAGCTAATGCCATCATTATCATCATCAGTGTATTCATCTTGCAACGATTAAAACTTTTCTAAAGGCTTTTTTTATCCTATTGAAGATAGTTCATTTTTCAATTCTTAGTGATTTTAGTATCAATGTGAGAACGTATTTAATGTCCAACTTGCGGGTAAAAAGCTGCTTACTTCAAACAACTTTTCAGGTTCCTACCACTCGAGTCTTATACTTTGGACACTTCGATTAGCTATCCAAAGGTCTACTCAAAAAGATTGCCTCTCTACACGATGACCATTTGGCACAAGGCCAAGCAAGAGTCAAAGCAGCTGAACATCCAACTCCGCGACAGCCTGTTCGTAGCCATTTTATCCCTGCAAAAACTATTTTGCAGGTCCTACCATTACTTGTTCGCCGCCCGCTGGGTGCTGCTGGGAGGCGTTGAGAAGCTTGTAACTACCTGGGCGGACCGCTTCCAAACAAAGATCTCTATTACAATCTGCGACTTCGACTCGGCCACCTGCGACTTGGTTATTTTGGTTGATTCAAGGCTCTCTTTCAAACTAAAATTGAAGGCTTTCGAGTACGAATTCGCCGAGAAGAGATGGGCTTCTCCAGACGACTTCCACACGTTGATGGCTTCCGGAGACTCTCTCTACTTCCTACTGCCTCACGACGTCAGGGACAACTCCTATCAGCACGTCGCCCGGCTCGTCGTTTCTGTGCGGAAAATTTCCATCAGTTGTCTATTTATTTGCTTGAGGAGGCCAAACCGAAAGCTAAGCCCGTTTTTGTTCATTCCGGCGACTTTGATGTGCTTTCCATCACTGCGATTGACGAGGCTGGTGGCAAAGTGTGAGTCTTGCGAATATGATTTCGACCAAAATAGACTGAAACAGTTAGAATTTTTCCTTCTGTACTCTCTTGTAAGAAATTCGATCTTCCTGAAAGTTTCTTAGTGGGTTTTTTTTTCTGTAAGATGAAACTTCATCAGAGTGTTAAAAATAACAGTCATTACTACTCCAAAAAGTTTCAGAAAGACTGAATTCCTTACAAGAAAGGTGTGACCGAAACCCACTTTTTTCGTATCTTTTTGGACGGTACCCGACTTGAAAGGCGAGGGAGGCGGGGCAAGGGGCGGGACGCGTAGCGTGTGCGTACGCGGTTCTTGGCGTTCAATTCAACCGCCGCCGACTTTTTAAAAAACTCTGCAGCCGCTCTTTTTCAATGTTTTCTATTATTTTTGATGCACACATGAGATTCAAAAAAGATGAACAGTCGCTGGCGGTTGTATTGAACTTGTGCCAAGAACCGCGAACGCACACGCTACGTGTCCCGCCCCTTTCCCCGCCTCCCTCACCTTTCAAGTCTTGAAAAATTGACTATACTGTATGTATTTCATCTTTTTTGAATCTAATCTTCATGGAAACGTTGATTGAAACGGTAGAATGTTGCTTTTTGAAGTGTTCAGTCAGTTCTAGTCTTAATTTGGTTATTCCAAAAGACCAATTATGTATAGATACTTTCTCGCGGCTGCTCCCAAACCAGGACAACGGCATTTATACTCGGCCCAAATTTCCGCTGTAAGTTTCGGGCTTGTGGCTCAAGCTTTATCTATTTCATAGTTCATGAGCTTTTTGACAGTTCCTTTTTGAATAGGAGAGCGCGGTTGTCCCAGAATGCATAACTTGTGGGATCGAAAACTGCACCTTCCAAGTTGCCGACATTTCGAGTGACTTCAGTCTCGCTTCCGTGTTTTGCCGCGTGAGTAATTTTCCTATCAAGATTCATATGCATTTTATTTCAAGGGCCCAGAAGCTCCATTCACGACGGTCGTCGACTTGAAAACACCTAAAAGCCGTCCATCGTCCTCACCAAAATGTATTACGAGTTTCCAAAAAATGTTTACTTCTTAAAAGTTTCATTAAATTCATAATTTCCTCATTCTTACAAAAGTGTCATGAGTTCGTTAACCACAAAAGAAAGTTTAATGCTTTTTTTCATGTCCGCACTTTTTTCAAATTTTGTAGACCGATTTTCGAGATGAAAGTTGTGCAGGAAACGGAAACCGAACCATCTGTTTTTCATTTTCCTCTCGCTTTCTAAGAATATAATACTCTAAAAACCCTCCGACGAGGCACATACATAGCGTTTTGAACTCTTCGAAATCAAGGATACTCTAAACGCTCGGTTTGCAGGGTGGCACTTGCTCAATGACACGGGACTGGTGGAGGCCGTCGAGAAGGCCGACTTGCCGACTCGTACCCTTGAGACGATCCGTCTAGCCGACGGATACGGTGCGTTGACCCTTCCAAAAAACATCCCAGTCTTGCTGCAGAGGCTGTCGTTCGCGTCACACTTCCGAAGGGCCTTCTTGCCAGCAAAGAAAAGTCCAAATCGGTGCCCGTCCTTGTTTTTGTGTGAGCTTCGTTTGGCTTTTCTGAGCCACACTGTTCTCAGGTACGGCGGTCCAAACTCGCAATCGGCGACTGAAGAGTTCGGAGTCGACTTGACGCAGGTGATTTCCTCGCAGCAACACGTGGCTATCCTTCAAATCGACGCTCGCGGCTCTGGAAATCGCGGCTGGAAGTATCGGTCGCCTGTTTATGGCCGTCTCGGCTCCATCGAGCCTCAGGATCAAATTGCTGCCATCAGGTCGAAAAGAATTTGAACGAGACAGCGTACCAGATATATAGATAGCAAAGCCCCGCCCCTTTTTGCAAATGTGAAATGAATGGAGTTTTTGGTCATTTTGTTTGTTGTTTTCGTTAAAGCTTTTTTTTATTCTCAATATTTTCAAAAAATAAACTAAACGGTTCTGAATTCGGAATGGAAGCAGCTATTAAACATAGAAGATCAAAGCTCAAACATTTTTTGAAAGTTTGGTTGCGGTAGATATACTTTTCTTTCAATTTCTTCTTGAAGAAGCATGGAAAGTTCAAAAAAAAAACTTGTTTGTTCCATAATCGAAAGTCAAATCCAGCTTTTTTTGCATTTTTCAATCCAAAAAAAAAGAATACTTTCCCGTCGGTTTTCCCGCAGAAAAATATTGAAAGTTTAATTCGAGACGCAATATAGTCGGAACCTATTGAAATTGAGTCCTAAAAGTTTCAGCGGAATCGTGTCACGATATCCATTTTTGGATGGGAATCGGGTGGCTGTCTTCGGCTGGTCCTACGGCGGCTTCATGACGCTGCGAATGGTGGAAGAGGCGCCGCCGTCCTTTTTCGAGTGTGCCATCAGCGTCGCCCCCGTCGTCAACTTCATGTACTACGGTGAGACGCGTTGTCTTCCCACGAACCGGTGGATCATTCTCAGACGCGACCTACACGGAACGGTACATGGGCGACGCGAGTAGAGCCGCCTACGAGGTTGTCGACGTCTCTCGTGACGTCAGCAAGTTCCAGACGACTCGGCTGCTCCTTATGCACGGTCTGTTCGACGGTAAGCCCTTGAACGCTGTCCTTAACCATCTTCCTCTTTTATTTTCAGAGAATGTTCACTTCCAGAACAGTGCAATATTCATGGAGCAGCTCCAGGCAAGAAATATCGACTTTGATTTCATGGTGAGAGTTTTTTGAAGTTTAAAGCTTATGGCGAGAAAAAAAAACTTCAAAACCTTAAAAGACCTTTCAACCTTTTAACCAATTCCTCGTGGTCCAAAAAAAAAGTGGAAGTTTGGGAGTTAGGAAGTTTTGGAGTTAGGAAGAAAATCAGTTGAAGGTTTTGAAGGTTTAAAAAACTAAAAAAGAAAAAAGCGCCGTACAGAGCTCAATGAAAAAAAATGAAGTGAATCGCGGGCAGAGCAGAATAATTTTTGATCCAAAATGACTTATTTTCAAGTTGCCTGCAGTGTTCTAAAACATAAAAACAGAAAAATAAAAAAAAAGTTTTTAGGCGTATCCGAACCAAGCTCATTCTATCTCCGAGAGAAAGCCCCACGTCCACATGAAGATTGCCACTTTTCTCCAACACTGTTTCTATTCTGAATGAATTTACTCTGTCCACTACTCTCGGACTCCTCAGGCTGCATAAATAAAACTAACGACCCGTGAATCGCTCAATTTCAACTCTTACCTAACCGGCCTACCAGGTTTGCTTACCTGTGCAACTCTGAAACTTCGAGCTTCAAAGCAGTTTTTGAACCGACGTTATTTATACACACGGCCTCAGTTTCTCTTTTCCTTCAAGTAACGGGTACTACGCTTCACTGAAAACGTTCCTTAACCACTTCTGTCCCCTCCCGGTATTCTCCTATCTTGGTATCAATCGTGTCACTTCTTTTCTAACAGATTTTCTCACTACTGCGCTTCTTTTTTCAATAAAATCATATCCAGATAATTTGGAGTCAAGGAGAACAATTTCATGGATTCAAAATGGGTTTCGGAACATGAGCGTTCGATTTGCCGCGGATGCCGTATCCATGGAAACGAGAAGGACATCGTCGACTCATAAGAAATGTCTTTAAAAAGACAGTTCCGAATTTTCCATTTAATATTAGATTATTATGACGGAACAAATACTTCAAAAAGCTGGTCTCTATGTTGATGATCTGAATCGAATCCGTCTTATCGACCCAGGTAAGTAATAACTTTCAAGTCTATTTTAGCATTTTTTTTTAATGGGAATGTGAAGGAAAATTAGCAAATTTTTTACATATTTTGTGGGCGTTTTGAAAATCATAGGCAAACTCGGAAAGGGTGGAAAAAGGCCCTATAGAAATGTTCCTTTTAGGGTGAAAAAGGTTCCTTTTTTGTTGCCTTTTCGCGCCATTTTTGCTGCCTCTCCCTTACTCCACTATTTCTCGAGCCTTTAAAATCCCAGGAAAATGGAAGTCTCGATAAAGGGACTCTCTTTGCTACCTTTTTGCTGCCTTTCTGCGAACTTTCTGCGACCTTTTCCTTTCAGCGACCATTATCCACCATTCCGACTTTGCCCGCGGATGTCTTCAGCAACATTTTTGCTTTTTTGCCAAAGAAACACGAATCATAAAATGCTTCAGAATGAAGAATATTTGGTGACCCAACAAATGTATGAGCTTTAAGAAGTCGCGGATTCGCTGCAGAGCACACATGAACGGGCGACGGAACTCGTCGGACATCTGAAGGCTTTCCAGAACAACACGTCGACTCTGATCGACAGCATGGAAGAAGTTGGTCTACTTTTTTTGAAATTCTTGTTGGATTAAAGTCTGAAGTCTGTTCACCAAAACTTTAGGGGGTGTTAAAAGCGCCACTGGAAAAAAAGTTCTACGTCTTGGTAAATTTATAAAATTTTTCTATACTCCTTCAACCTAAAAATCGTTCTGGAAGGTTTTATCAACTGTATACCTAATTTAATCTTCTGCTTGAAAAACCAGATATGTAAAAAATATATCCTTTCAAATCTCAGAAACCATATTTAAATATATCATCCAATCGCTAAGCTTCGCGTTTTTTTAAAAATTATTTCTACATCGAGGCAGTCGGCTTTTATATGGTCGTGCAAGGTGTAATTGAGTCATGAAAATAAATATGAGCCTCACATACTAAACGATTTAGAATAAGTAATGAAATTATCATCCTCAAATTATCATGTTAAAAAATATCCTTTCATTCATAAGTTCAAATTGGAGATTCATTTTTCTTTTCTCTCTTGAATCTGAGTATAGGTTGAAACACTGTTCATTGTAATACAGGAAGATCCTACAAAACTTCTCGGTTTTTGAGTGAGCCTCGAACCCGGAAAAATTATCGAAAGCCGGTTGAATGAGTTATTTTAAAACTTTTAGGCGTCCATCCTCCAAAACTAAAGTTGTGTAAAGTGAACCCTTCAAAATCTTGGAAAAAAATTATTTTGGAATGACGTACGTCATTTTGAGGTGGCGCGAGTGGTGGAGTCCGAGAAGATTCGCGCGCTTTCGTCGAAAGGAGCCGCGAATTCCGGGAAACAGCGTGAGAGTGACGCACAGTCGCTGCAGATGCTGATTCGTGAGAGGCAGGTCGAATTAGAACGTCTGCGAGTCGAACTCGCCGCCGCTCAGAAAATCGAGCAAGAACAAAAAGAGCAAATCAACGTCTTCTCAACCGTTTAATTCTGTCCAATAAAACCTTTTTTCATTAAAAAATTTTAATATTCAAAATGAAAGAAAAAGAACAATCGACAGCTAACAACTGAATAGAATTTCATACAACATCGAATGAAAGAAATAATTTAGCTGTGAGAAGAAAATTGGAACTGAAGGTCTTTTTTGAAAAGGTGTTGGATATCTCATATTTCCTAGCGTTCCATTTCGCTTTGTGCCACGAAAGTGACTCAATTGGGGATATACAACTTTCCAATATGAAAGAAAGAAAATGAAAATATGTATGCTAGGTGGCAGTTATAAACAAAACTCACAAGAAAAACTTTTAAAGCTCGAATGAATTTCACATAGGTTTCTTTTGACCTTCACTGTTGAAAAGAAGGAAACTAAAAATTCAGACTATATTCAAAGGTTTTACTAAAAAATTTGAAGAAAACTTTTTTCATTCAATATATAGTATGATTGAACTTTTCTCTTAATCTCATACATAGATGAGATAATCCTATGAATTATTTTCTTGAACTCAGACCGGTTTTGTTATATGAATAATAAAACTGTTTCAAAAAAAGAGCAAGGTCTCAAAGAAATCAGAAAATATTGGGAAAAATAGATGGATGGGAGGTTGAGCGTAAAGTTGAAGCAATTATGAAAGTTTTAAGTTAAGAGAAGTATCGAAGTGAAAGAAGGGAAGTCAGGAAGTATATCAGGCTTCGACCAGGTTACCACAACCTGCAAAAAAAGGTTAGAAGGAAAATATTGACGACGGCAACCTTTCTGGGGCTCTCCGCAGCTTCAGCACTCTCTCCTCCGTATGCTTGGAGGCTACCTGTAAATTCGAAAGTTAGTCCTGAAGTCGTGCTGAACACACTCAAAAGAGATGTTCAACTATTTAAACAATTTTTTTTCTTCATTTTCTGTTCTTCTCTTCAAATAAGTCTCTTCTTTTTTTGGGAATGCTCCAGTTTCCGCCAGGAATTTCGGCTAGTTTTCCTGCGGCGATTCTGTGGAACCACCCCTTTCTTAGAGAAAACTCACCTCAACGCACAGGACGATGAGCCGCTGATCACAGGAGCTCGAGACGCTGCCGTCGAAAATCGATGTGTTAGAGAAGATCTGACCAGAGTGTGCTTCCAACGACGCTAAAACCCATTCAATCACAAAATTCACATATCAGGGCATCTACACGTCTGTTTCGAGTCGTGGTTTTTTTTTGTTTTCAGCCGTGTTTTTATATTTCCGATATATGAAACATTAGAACTGCTCTACGTCTTGAAGCATATCCAATTCGTCTCGTGAGAACTTCATGTCACAAAAAAGACCTCCGGAGATGCAAAATTTAAGTGAACCAAGACCTTTAAAGTTTATGTGCGCAAGCTTTCTTTTTCGTGGGAAACGACTTCTTTTGCAAAATAAGCGTTAAATATGGCAGGAATGCTTTCAATACTACGTGTTTGACTGACCGCTGCTACTACGCCACTCGTCACAGTAGGCGTTGGCGCGAACTCCTCCGATCGTCGACCCCATCCAGACTCGTTTGGTTGGCCTGCAAAAGCGGTACACCTCTCTCTACTCATGAAGACACGCGTACCACCGAGGCGACTGTAGCACATCTTCGCCTTCGAAGGACAAAAGAGCCGCCGGCGACATGTGCGCTCCGTTGACAAAAGCTCTCCAACTGGAGAAGAGTTTCTCACCTCGAAGGTTCACCACTGGGGAGTCGTGATCGATCTTATTCACAACATGGAACATGTCCTGAATATAAATGAATGTCTTTTTAAGGAAGACATCGTGAGCTTTTTAGTACGGGGAGAATGAAAAGCGAAACTTGCCTGAGTCGTGTGCGAGAGAACAGCGCGGAAAGTGTTGAGAAGGTTGGCCATTCGTGCGGAGCGGTAACACAGGCGATCTGGGCCTGTCAGTCCGCCAAGGTTTCCGGCGAGTGGCAGATTCAGCGCTATCAAGTGCACCTGAAACCGTAGATGGGAGAGTCTTAAACCACCAGAAATCGGAGGGCGGATGACTACCCATGAAAGGATTGCGGTTTCTTTTTCGGTACACAAAAATGGTAAAAGACAGCTCGAACCGACCTTCTTCTCAGCGTGGTCGATGCGATGCTTCGGAACCCAGTGACTCGAGATAGGAGGCAGAGCTCCTACAGGCTGCCGTGGAGCATACCTGCTGGTGACCGGCTGATCACCCTGTTGACGCGTCTGAAAGTGTTCCGAGTGAGAAAATTAAACTTTTGTTTCTGCTCGATGGCACACAAAAGTAAAACTTTGCCTCCTAGACTTGAAAAGCTCCAGAAATACTTTTTTTCCAGTCTATTAACTTTAATATATTAAAAAAATTTTTGGAAGATTCGAAGGCTTCTATAGTGCTTCACGACACAAAGTAGCACAACAGTGGTGGCGGCACCGCCGAACGGAGGCCTTTTGTCTCGAAAAAAGGTTTCATAAAATTTGAATGCATACATGGATTAGACATGGCTTGAAAGAGGAAAGAGACTCAGAATGTTTGAAGAATTGAGAAAGAACTGGCCAAAATTACAAGTCCAGTTACCTAGGTTTCGAGATTTTTTTTTTCTTGAAGACGAAGTTTGCCCTATCTATCCCATGTATGCTTTGATTAAAGGCACACAAGTGAATAAGCTGAGATTTACATGGGAGCGGATGTGCCGGCTGCATTTGTGCGATTTTTTTGTTCATCTTTCTGCTCAAAATTTTATTTTTAATCCAATTTTAAAGCACTTAAAAAAACCAAGTAAACGCACAACAACAAGATGGTAATTTTTTAGAAGTTTTTAATATTATAAAAAAAAAGAAGCGGATTATGGTGAATGAAACGCTATAATTTAAATTTTTTTCTCATAATTTGCCAAAATTTGGACTTCCCCTGATTTTTTTATATTTTCGAAGTTTCCACACGATAAACTTCACAACGAAAACAACACAACGGCCGCGGAAATTGGAAAGGAAAGGCCGTGGAGCTCACTTACCCAGTATTCGAGACTGTTGGGACTGTACTTGGAGTCTAGTTCAATCGGCTGAATTACAACTGATAGCGTCACGTTGTTATATACAAAGCGCAGTCAGGAAAAAGCGAGAATACAAATATCCATTTTGTCGAATTTCGCATGAACTGATTTTCTCCTATTAATGTTCTTTAAGCTTCTGGACAAGATAACGGAGTACTTTCTCCCTACCATTTCCTTCACTCCTCTTGAAACTCAATGGTGTATTTGAAAGTAATAATGATTCAGGTTTTCAAATTATAGTCAATTTTTCCCGACTTGAAAGCCGAGGTGGAGAAGGCGAGGCGCGTAGCCTGTGCGTACGCGGTTCTTGGTACGAGTTCAATTTCAGCGACTACTTTCGTCCCGGCCCACTTCTCCGCCAATATCGCCTTTCAAGCCGGGGTGGATTGACTATACTCCCAATTTCTCTTTTTATGAAGAACGAACCACATAAATTGAGGGAAAAAAGCTCACCACGGAGGGTTGCTGGCTGACGACTGGATGGATTCTCGTGAGCTTAAGAAAAAAAAAATAATCAAGGAAGGTGAGGGAATCTCACTGAGAGTTCCGACCAGGCGTTGTTGATTCGGAAGTAGAGCTTCTGAGTGTCCATCGCAAAGCCGAACGAGCCGACGGGCAGCTGCGAGGCGCGCAGTTCCAGTTCGGTGGCAAAAGTTGGCGCCGCTGAACAGTTCTCTAATTTTCTTTTCTTCTTCACATTTTCAGAGAATCTTTCAAGTTGTGGACATTTTATATAGGAAATTCCATTCTACCGTTTTATTATACCGAATATCGACAATCTATAGTCATTTTTCGCGACTCTACCAAGCTTTTCTCCTGACCGAATTTTCGTAGTATGGCTTTCTTTCTGATTGAACCCCCGTTTTAATGATTTTTTGAAGAGCTCTTGTTCTCACGAGTTTTTTTTCTGAAATCTTTCCAAAAAAGAAGAAAAAACACAGTAAAACTGTTTCAAGGTGTTGCAGCCGGAAGAAGATCTACATAGTTTTACACGATCTGTGTATTAGTAACCGCTTTATCTCACTCCTTACAAAATAAAGAGTGTTTTTTTTTTGCCTTCTAAAATAGCCTGTTGGTTCCCGAGAAGATCAATCTTTTTACTTATTAATTACTTCTTAATTTCCTGATATTTCTTTGATTTTCCTGTATTTTATCGAAAAAAAAATCAAGGACCCGAAACTGACCGACAAGGCCAGTTCTAGGAGAGTTGGCACTGGGAGATGGCGCAGCGGTTCCGGGAGGACCTCTCTCGCCTCTCTCGCCTTTCTCTCCTTTCACCGTTTTTCCGTGAACCGCTACGTTGTACTCTGAAACTTCTGGACGCCAACTCGAGGTCCGCTAAAAGTCGGTGAAATCCAGCTCCCATCAAAAACTTCCCACCTCCGTTAGCAAATCGCTGACTTTGTTCGCAATGGCGCTCAGCGTGACGTCATTCAGATCGTCAATAGAGCACTGAGGCCCTGGAAATTCGGGAGAAAAATGACGCTGATTTTCGTAAGTTCCAAGAAATCCACTTTAATTAATTGGAAAAATATCAAAACATGTCATGAAACAGTTCAAAATGGGCTAGGGTACGGGAAAAAGGTATAAATTAAAAGAACTCAAAACTTCGAAGTCCGTATTACAACCTACTAAGTTGGATGTTAGTAATTACAAATGCGACATAAGTTTAGACGAAACGTTTCAAAAAACTTCTAGAATCGAAAAGTTACCCATGGGTCCTGGATGACCATCTCTTCCCGGAGCGCCGTCTCTTCCAGGAGGTCCGTCGCGTCCAGGAGCTCCAGGAAGTCCGACTGGTCCAGTGGGACCTTGGACAGTCTCTCCAGGAAGCTCGCTTCTGATGGCGGGGCCTGGCGGGCCAGGAAGTCCTGGCATTCCGGGAGGTCCAGGAGGACCTTGGTCTCCTGGCATGCCGACGTCGCCTCTTTCTCCAGGCGCTCCGATCGGGCCTGCAGGTCCAGGCTGACCATCTCGGCAGCTTTGGCGGCACTGCGAAACTCCGACATTATTGTTATTTTCCAGTTTCTCAGCTTACCGTTGCACTGTCGGCCAGCGGTTCCTGTTGATTCAGGCGCAAGTCTGCAAATTTCAGTTGTGATTTTAAAAAGACTATTTTATTCTGTCGATAACTACTTGGAGTGCTCGGCGTCAGGAATATAGGCTCAATACGTATATAATTCCGAACGAAAATCAATTTTTACGTGATTAAACTTCTTGGCAAAAAAGTATCGTTTGGACGGAACTTTTAAAGTCGTTATAAATTTTCCTTTTTTTTTTGTAAAAGTCCTTTCGGAATGTTCCAGTTCCTAAAACCTATATGAGAGAGCCTTTTTGAATTTCAGAAAACAGTCGCGCCGCTTTGTACACTCCAAGTAGTTGTCTATCAAACAAATCGCTTATTGGATCGCTAAGCAAAAAATCATTCATTCCGCTATGATACTCATCAAAAATTAATCCGACCATCACGATTTCTAGAGAACACGCGCACTCAGGGAGTTTCAACCGACTCAAAAGAAACCTATGGAGGAAATAGGAAAAGCCAGCACAAAGCTGTCGTCGCCTTGCCGTTCGTCGGTCGCTGAAACGCTTTGAGAAAACTTACATCTGTTAAAAATATCCGATTGATAATTCCGATGTTGCACATTTTTTCGAGTGAAATCGTCTAGCACGTATCTTCTCGTTAACTTTCATTGTTTGTAGGCCCAGTCTTCCCCTAACTTTCTTTTAACATTGATTCAACAACAATCATCGAAGTTTTTGGTTGCAACTCTTCTATTTATAGGCGAATAAAACGTTCTCCGCCTGCGCTTTTTTTTTCGGGCGGTACCGCGTTGACTCAAGCCACAGAAAAAAACCCTGTTTCTTTTGCAAAAAATTATCGAAAATATTCTTGGATTAGCGTGAAAAAGGTTATAGGCATTTACTGTGATTTCGCTGATAAACTAGCACTGATATAAAAAAAGAAAATAAGATCCACCTGCTTCGGCGGGGGCTCTTTGCGGCGTCGGATAAGGCGGCGGCGGCACGGGCGTTGGCGGAAATGAAGGCGCTTTTCCTGCATGTTTGTGGTCAAGCTCTATTTATATTATCATGATTTATTTTATAGAAAAGGGAGTTTGCTTTTCTTTTCTTCAAAAAGCGATATCAGATCTTTGGATATTAGAGCTCAGATTATCGCGATATAATTATCTCTACGTAACATGTAATTTTATGGATTTTTTCTTGGGATCTGACACTCATTGGCTCTAACAGAGTTTTCTTTCAACAAAATAGGAGATTCATGGATAAACACTACAATATCTTTTCAAGCAATATTTCGAATCCTACAAATTTTCTAGTTGAAGATTGAAAAATGTATTGTGAGTAATCCTTGAATTTTGATAAATTCAATTTCCTCTACTTGAGCTACTTAAAGAACGAACCCTTGAGTTCCTGGAGACGGACGGCTTCACCATCCGGCTCGGATGATCCCTCCACCTAAAAAATACTTTCAAACTTCAATGAGTAGCTCAATTACAACAGCTGGACAAACACATCATTGACTGTGAAATTCGATTCGATATAAATCCTTTCATAAATTTTTGAAATTAAACTTTGAAGTTGAATAATCTGAGCGTTGAGTTCGAAAACACAAAAGCCAAACGACGAAAAGGCAACGATTACAAACATTGTCTATCTTCTAAATGAAATCACTTCTCAACGGAAAAACTCACCGGTTTCTCGCCTCTTTCTTTTTCTTTTTCCAGATTTCGTCGGCGCCACTACATTTTAAAAGAAACTCTTTGTATGAACGTGATTATTTTTGAAATTTCGGCAAATATTAATGACTTAAGCCGGAGAAAGGAGATGACAGACAAACTTTTCCTACCCAGGTCTCGTCGCACTGTTGGGCTCCGTGCGAAGCTTCATCGAAGATTTTTAGCTCTTGGATGAGCCCCTGTAAACGAAAAAAAGTGGGGATAGAATATTCACCTCGGCACTACTGCTCCAGTTGTAGTCCTCGACGACGATCGGTTCGATGGGGAGGCCGGAATTGGAAGTCTCGACTTCTTCCTGGGAGGATCGCTGCTGCCGCACATGAATGTCTTCCGTCTCAACGGGCAGTTGGTAGACCTGCGCCGTCGGCATCGGCTCTTCGACGCCTTCTATCGACGTCGCCGTCTCTGCCGAGTCAGTCGGAATGATGTCTTCGTCGCCGTCGACCGTTGACTCATTCTCCTCCAGGAGATTTTTCACAACGTTTTCCTCTTCCGAAAACTCGACTGGCAGTTGTGTGTCTCCATGGAAAGCATGTTCCTCCACGGGTGCCGAGTTCTTCTTATCAAAAGAAAAAGTGAGAAGTTCGTCTAGAGGCTTGTCGTCAGCTGCGGCCATCCCGTTCCTCAGCAGAAAGAGAGACAAACTCAGCAAGATCAGTCCACGTTTTCTCATTTTGAAGCGACTCCTGTGTTCAAGATTTTTGGGATTCACTGAAAACAGATTCTATGGATGGATGGATGGATGAAAGGTTACTCAGAGAAAATGCGAGGACGTCAATGCATTTTCCAAACGAAATACTCCTGTTTACACTATCAGAGGATAAATGACAAGTTCTCATGAAATAAACAGATTGAAAAAAAGTATTTTTGAAATTTTGAGAAATGTACTCTTTGAGTTTATTAAAAAAACAGAAAAATAACGAATGACCAAAACTTTTCAGAGTTTTCTTGAAAAGATCCCACGATCCTTTAGCCGGTAGTTCTAGGATCAATAAAAAAACTTTGAGAGATTTTTTCTAGGAAACTAGATGAAGCTGAGTCGGGATTCACATAGTGGTAAAATTGATAGTTTTAGGTCAATTTCAGAAAAATCTGAAATTATGTAAATTGACTTGGTATTAGCTTTCAAAACGCACAAAAAGGAACTTTCATATTGAAAGCCAATTTTCTATCAGGAAGGAAGATTTTTGAAAACCAGATTCACCAAATCGAAAAAAAGGCCAAGGAGGCGGTTGTCTTGGTGGCCATCAGGCTCAAGGGCAAAGTGATGAAAAGATGAAATGGTCCGGGCTGAGCAAATGGCAACAAAAAGGGTCCATCGGAAGCTGTAATCATTTCTTTCTCGCGGTGTTCTTTCGGGAAAAGCGCCTGCGAAGAGAAAAAAGGTTTGATTAACGACGGGGCACTCGGCAGCCAATCCCACCGTTTCATCCAGTCATCAATTGTTCGTGGTTTTTCGTGGTTTTTCGCAACGCGAAAAAGCGAGACTGACAAATCCTCACATCATGAAGCTCGTTTAAAAATATTTTTTTGCAAAAAAATCCGTTCTGTTCTTTTTAAAAAAATAGTTATCTAGTATATAGTCCTTGTTTCACGAACAAATATTACTTCTTGCCTTTTTTTCTCGTTTGAAAAGGTCATCATTTTTATCAAATCAAAAAATCTCTAAATAAACCACCGAAGATAAGGTTATCAATCTTGGTTGTAAGTCGGAGTCTCTTTGACTTGTTCATGTAAATATTTTGCTAGAGTGAATTGAATTTTAAAAAGTCGGCAAAGGGCAAAAAATAAACTAAGAGCCGAATGAAAAGCAAGAAATCATATGGCGGGGAATCAAATGCGAGAGAATGAAATAAATAAACGGCGGTCCGAGGAACCTACAGCCGGCTCTGAATAAGAAACCGTCAGAAGGTGGGGGCGTGGCCAGCGTCGCCGACTGTCTGCGGCTGAGAAAGAGAGGAGAAATGGCCTACAGACTCTTGACATTCACTATGTACTTTGCAAGTTGGAAAAGATAGTTTAATTCGTCTCTACACAGCCCAAAAAAATAACTTGAATAAAAAAATAATAAATATAACACGATCTATGATGAATGAGAAACTTTTATTCGTGGATCTTCAGCTTTTATGCAAGTGAAACTTGAATTTTCAAAGTTATCTGCTAAGAGCTTTATGGAAAAGAGTATATAGCTGAACATTACGAATAGGTTTCAACACTGAAACCTTTCCAAAATTCAGCGTTCCAGCTCGCGGTTAAAGTTTAAACTAGATTTTGATTTTTAAACTTTCTTGCGGTTGCAAATTAATGGCCGTCAAAAAGTGTTTCAAACAATTTTTAATGTTGGAATTCTTCTATTTTCTTCTACTCTTTCTAATATGATTTCTATCCTGTATGAGTCAGAAAACATTTTGAGAGCCACATAAAATTATTGTAACATGTTGACTTTTATAAAACAAAAGCTTTCGAGGAGATTATCGGCAGAGGCCAATTGAACCATTCTAAGAATCTGTACAAAAGTTATTAATGGAAGACGACGGTCGGTCATTGCAAAATTTTGACTCATCGTTTCCTGTGCGGATGACGGCGAAAAAAATGACCAAAAAACCACGGAGCGCACAAAAGTGGTTGCCATTTCGCCGTGTTTTTTGCTAGAAATGTTGCATCAAAATTGGTGCAATCGCAAAAAGTGCATTCTTGCAACAGACAGATGGAATCTGAAAACAAGAACAAGATCGTCTTATATTTGAATAAACGCCTACTACTAAACGAAACAAGAGGAGCTAGCATATTTGGAAAATCTTTGAATCGGCCTTTATGAAAAATAAATTTTTAAAGAACTTTATTGGAATCCTCAAAAAAAAAACTTTGTTGAAATCCCCAAAAAGGCATGGATGGATGAAAAAAAAAAAGTAAATACAGCCCATTAAGTGTGTGAGATTATCGGTTCTCGATTTTTGACCCTTATCGGCTTTTTCAGCGCTTTTTAAAGTTTAAAGTTTTGTCGTTTACCAGAGAAGAAACATTTACAAAAAAATTCAATTAAGCATTACTTAAAAATCTAAAAGCTTTTTTTGAAAAACTTTTTCCAGAATCTCAAATAACGACACCTCAACATAACATGCTACTCTACACCAAATTCTATCATGAAACTGCTGCAAAAGATTTGTTTAGCTTTTAACCTTTCTCCTACCTGAGTAAATCTAGCGCTTATTCATAACAGAATTATTTATAGGGGAAGTATTAGTTTTCCATCTAAAAAAATCACTTTAGAGTTAATAAGTTCTCATTTTCGGAAAACAAAATAAATACATTTATTTCTTTTTTTGCAAAACTGTTCTAAGCCTATATTGCTTTTTTAGCACAATCAGAAAGACTTATTCTCCTTGTCATTTTTTTTCGGCTCCTACAGTCCATCGCTTTGCAAACTAGATTGACTTATTTTCCAAATAGAAAAATAAGTAATGACTTCAAAACCTCGCCGGTTCACTTCAAAAAGGCTCAATTAAAATCGAAAATTTTTGAGCCAAGAAAAGGAGTTTCTTTGGAAATTAAAGAAGTGTTCACAATTTTCGAAAACAGGTGAGGGTGGAAGGGAGCTGAATATTCCGGAGCCGTTGACCAGGCGTAAAACATGGCAATCGCTTGTGAGAGTCGGCACGTACTCACACCATTTCGTGCGAAGAAATGTCCTTTTTGAATGTTCACAGGGTTGTAAAAGGTTGTATATGACCAGCTACTTTCGATTCCCATCATGTTTCGGAAAGGTTGATGAGAAATTCGTTGTCAGGCTCTGCAAGGTTCGGCGAGGTTGAAATTCCCTTGGATGTTTTGCGCTGAACAAGTACAGGAACAAAAATCCGTGGCAGATCTCCTAGATCTTTGCTTTGTTGAAAAAGCCGCTCCAGTCGATTTCCTTTCTTTCCTCCCCATGAACAATCTCTCGAAGAAGCAGTAGCACCGTGGAAAAGACGTCAAAGTGCTCACACCAGACCAAAATAAATGTATGAAACCTCGAAAGATCGCTTGATTATTTTTCCGGCACTTCCCAGATACACTTTTTCGGCATCACCAATCACCAAGTCCGGCCATTTTTCCAGCTGAAAAAAATATCTCTTGTTTTCAAAATGTTGTCTTATTGAAATTTCGCAAAACTTTTCTGCTAAAAAGAATCTATTTTTATAACATTGCAGATGAGTCATCCTCCCCCTCAAAATAGCTTTGTTTTTTTCAAGTTTTTGGAAATGTTGATGAACTGTTATCGTTTGGATTTTTTACAGGACGAAAAAAAGTCTATATGTTAGGAAATCAATCTTTCAGGACAAAAATGTTGTCAGCAGCGCGCCAGAACTTTTTTTGGTGGCAGGAGTAGCCGACGTCGGCCGGTTTCGTTGCAACCTTTTTTCCCAAAAAGATCGCTAAAAATGGTACTAGAAAAAAAAACTTTTAAAACTATGGCAAAGTTTTGTAAAACCATGATACTAAAAATAGTAAAAACTACTAAAACCGGCCCATATGTGAACAGTTCGTTTTCCGATTTTGAACTTGAACGCATTAAGGTTTCAAGGAAAAAATGGGCCAGATGTTCCTTGTTGCTTCTGCCTGATATCAATTTTTAGGGATATCTATGCCTTATCAATGTTTCTTCTTCAGAAACAAACAGACATGAGTTTCAAAAAAAACTGAACCTTTTTCGAGGCAAATCTGTTGCAGCGAAAGTAAAGGGTGACTGCGTTGGACGTCACTTCGAGGGCGAACTGCGTCCAGTAGTTGCTGAAGTCGTCGACGAGAAACGACGCCGTCTGCTGCCGCCAAACCAGAGAAATATTCGTTTGCGCGGTGCCTTGAATGTGTCTTTTTGACGTTCGCGAACAGTGGAAGTCGGACCTGCTGGTTCTATGAGAAGGCCGAGGTCGATGTTCGTTTCCGAGGTGTCGACAATGGCGAAGAGGTAGCCGCCGCTGAAATTTCTAGTTGAACAACGGAGTATTTAGTTCAATCTCCTCATTTGAACAGTTCGTCCGAAAATATCAGGTTCTAGACAAAATTGTCACTTTTTGTTACGTGCCCTACGATTTACCTCGAAAGATTTAAAGTTTGTGCATCCTGAGTTATTTGGTTATAAAATATATAGAAACAAAAATCAGGAACCATGTGAATTCCAACACCTTCTGCGACACGAAAAAGTTGCTCTTCGGACAGAACATCGTGCTAATCACAATTATTATTTTCATTCAGTTTTTTATTATTTACTCTCTCCAACTTTTCCGAGTCCGAAATATCACTCAGAAGAGAGCGCAGTTTGATTGAATACTCTCACAATTCTCTTACTTTTGGCGGAGCTTTAAAAAATCATATCCAGACTTGAAAATTTTTTTTTGGATAAAAGTAATTGTTTTATATTATCAGACGGATGAGATTTATATATGCTCTAAAAATGAGCACCATCGGGGACATTAAAATTTTCAGACTTTTGAAGTTTCATAACTTTTTTCACAGATCTCCTCGGCAATTTTTGAGGCCAGATTGGGATCAGCGTGAAAAAATACATCTAGTTAACTTGATTTCATTAGGAGTCCAACTGCGACCGGAGAACATTCCCTGGTTACTTAAAAAAATTTTGTTAGCTTTGACCCGAGACAACTTCTAAAATTAGAAACAAAAAGCCTACTCTCTGCCTCGTGGCTGAACTGTCGCCAGGATTGAGAACTCGCGGAAAAAGACTTGCGGGAAAGAGACCCGGTAGTCACTCACGATTTCCGCGTCCCACTGAAACTTGCACGTCTTGATAGGAAGTTCCCATGAACAATACCTTTATCCCGATCGCAGGCAGAATTCCATCAGGTCCTTTGGCCGAGTAGACCTTGTCGTTGTCGCTCAGCAAGTTCGCTACTGGCGCCAAGAGATCAACCTCTGTCTCTGTATCTGCAAAAGTTCAATTGAATAATTTTCTCGATTTTGAATACAACTCCGCCCTACCGCATACCGCATAATATCTTTTTCCTGGATTGAGCGCTCTGACTCGGACGCGAATCTGACGTGTCAGGGCATTTTTAATGACAACTTTAGTAACGTCCAGCCCTCTTAAGTGATCCCTAGAACTTCCTAGAAACGTCCGAAGCATGTCCGTTTTACGTTACCAATGTCCAAGTGGGTGCGCGGTAGATTCATCACTGATTTTAACATTTTACAGTTATTTTCGGACTATTTTCACGTAAGAAACCTAGTAAGAGAGCTTGTATTTCTTCTCTTTCATTCATTTTTTGATCGTTAAACCGGACGCTGTTCCAATGGAAGAAAGAAAGGAAGCAACGCGGGGAACAATTTCCTGATGGGAGCTCTTTATGGACAAAAACAACTGCAGAGGCTTCCCTAGGGCGTGCTTATCTGCGCATCAGATGCTCCATCATGCTGCCGCTTTCTAGCTTAGCTGAGCATCTACCGCCTATCCGTCATTGTGTCAGCACTGACTGCGGCAAGTTGAAATAGTTATAGTACCGTTGATTGAGAAGGACGGTGCGAAACTTCAATTAAAAGCTACTTCAAAAGTGAGAAATGTTTCTGTTCTCCCGGGTCGGTGAGAACTTGAAAACTTGAGAACTCTTTTCTACATCCAGCAACCTGTAGATATTCTTATCTCAACGCCATTGAAGCTAATTTTTGTTCGCATCATTCTTTTTGGTTTAGCACCTCTGATCGCGCGAGACGCCGTCCCGAGGGAGCATTCTTTCTGAAAATCGCTCAAGCCTAAAGTTTGTCCATCAAGCGACATCGTACATGCCAATTGGAGCTAGTCTGAGCGACTCTTTCTGCTATTATACGACGGCGAATCAGAGCTTGTAATTTAGACATTCCGCCCAACATACTTCTTCTTTTCAAAACCATGAAGCGTCGTTTTTTTGTTATTGATTGAACAGTCCACATTTTTGTAATAATTTTGACAGATCTCCCTAAATTTTCAATAAATTTGAGAGATGTGACAAAAATCATGAACCAATTTCTCAATTTAATGAAGGGATACTGATGAGCTTGCAAAATTTTCGAGAACAAAAATTGACCGTCAAAGCTAATCCTTTTTTTAAAGATTCAAATTGTAGCATCAAGAAAAACGGCTATTTACCTAAAGTACGACCTCATCAAACATTTTTAAACTAAAATGAAAAAATGATAACAGACGCAGAAAAAGAGTTCTAGTGAGAGAAAATAATGAAAAACCATGCATTTTCTTCAAATCTTAGATTCCAAGCTTTCTTTTTCGAAAGTACTGGTGACCCGGCGTGTCGCTTCCTCATATAGAAAGACGGCGAGAAGCTGCACTATGAACACTCTTGATAAATGTGCGCCAAACGCGCTGAGCCCTCGGATGTCTCAGCCGTTTTCCTCGTTGGTTTCTACAACCGACGGCTTCTCGACAAACGGCTTCTCAAAAACAAATTTCGCTTTCTTGACACTCGAGAAGATTTAAAGGTTAATCGATTCCCAAAAAAAAGGGGATACTGAAGAAAAATAGCAGACCGCTTTCACCTTTGGAACCCTGAAACCTTGAAAAAGCGCTAAACTGTGCTTGGAAGCTAAAACAGGCGTCCAAACGGCCTTGAAAAGAAGATTCAAAGCTCCTGATTCTAAAAGGTGCCGAAAGTTTCTCGTAATCTTCATTTTTTTTTTTCCGCCTCCTTCTTTTTTTTCTTTCTTAAAAGGTCCTTTTTAAAAAGGCGCCTCTTCCAAAAGTCCTTGAGATCATTTGGACTTTGCCCGTAGTCGTATTTGTACAAAGTAATTTTCCGAAAATTTCATTCTTTTCAGCTTTTCCCTGGATCACAAAAAACACAACTAGGCGAAAACCTTTTTGAATGTCTTCCTCCTACTTCTAAATCTTTTCAAGCCATTTTTGTATGTTATCACCATAACGGGAAAATTCCAAAAAGTCTCAAAAAGAATTTTCGGAAAAAAGGCCCTGAAAGCATAATTTTTTCTTGCTTTTTTTTGAAGAGGACCTTTTAAGAAGGAAAAAGGTGGAAAAGGGAAACCCGTGAAACTTTTGCTTGAACTCAAAAAAGAGCTTAGACTCTTCTTTTTAAGGCCTTTTCGAGGCCGTTTGTACTTTGCCTATGATAGGGCAAAAATTTGGAAAGCAGGTACTCCCATTATGAGCTCATTAATGAGATAGCTAAAAATCTGCCAATAAGAGTAATTTCCATCTTTTGGATCACGTGGTACGCGATATTCGAAGACAACATATGCTGAAAGCCGCGCGTCGGAAAAGACAAAAGAGATCAAAAAGCTTGACCCGTGCGTCCTTTGTCCACCCGTGCAAAACAACTGCGCCGTTTTTTTGTAGTAGAAACTGTTCTGTTGTTCATCGTTTTCTCCAAAAGTTTCAGAATTCGGCTTTTGTTTTCTACAAAAAGAAAAGAAAATCTTGTTCAGGATTTGATTCGTGTCGAATTTCCAACAAAAGATATCTCTGAAATTGGAAAGACGGTGCACGATAGATTGGCAGAAGACTTGAAGTGGGCGTGCTGGGATTTGTTCCAGCAGGCAAGCATGTACTTGGATGAATGGGACGAGCACGCCAGAAACAGCAAGAATAAAAGAATCGAGAATCGCCGCCCCAAGGCAGGTGTCCGTCGATGGAATATTCCTGAGCGAGTTTCGAGCCACGAGGCGTTCCCCTCCAGATATCAAACGAACAATTTGTCGAGAAATCAAAAACTTTGAAATGTCTCATATATTACAAGATTCTTGCACCGTGGACATAGGAAATTACATTTAAAAAAAAATCTTCTGTAAGTTTCTCGATACAAGTTTATAGCAAATTTAGAAGAAATTCCCGCCGGAGAGGATAACAGGACTTCGAAATGAATCATTGGTGTGAAACTTATAATCAGACAGCTTACGTATTTGAGCCTCTCAAAATGACTAAAAGTCTTTATATCAAATGTGTACCGTTTGTGAATGAAGCTACCGCGAGGAGTTCAAGTCTATTAACTGTAACGAACCCCATTGCTCGAATAATTGTTTGGAAATTAGAGTTTAGCGCGATTATTTGATTAAAAAGAGTAAAACCATTGTCAAGGATTGAAAAAGGCATAGAACAGAAGGGAATACTGATCAATGAAGGATGTTTGATGGAAAAAGATGAAAGAATGATGTTTTGGCCGAAGCTAAAGCAAGATATAGCTGGGATGGGGTGTGACCACGTTCAGTCATTTCTTGATTTGAGAAATTAGGTTTGAGTAGTAAGAAAATTTTTTTTTTCTATGTAATTGAAAATTTATCTTGGTGATAATTTTTTATAGGCTTGAATAATTTGATTGATTTGAAAACGTCAGATAAACCCTTCTTGAAGTTATTCCGTTCCATTTTTGAATCTTAGGGAAAAAAAAAGTCGGATGACTTAGAATCACATAGACAAAGACCGTTTCCCGATGAGGCTTTCAAATTTGAAGCGTTAAATAATTCCTTGCTTCAGTCAAAAACCGACCTCCAGGCATTTGAAAGCCGAATAAAGAATTGAGAGGTGCTCTTGGCGCATCCGTGGCTCTGTATTCGGGTCGGTAGAAAGAGCCGACTGATGGGAAAATAAGAAGCAGGAAAGTTTTCATGGCGGCGGGAGCATGGAGAAGTGTCGTTGCTCAGAGGATTACCGCCGTCAAAAAGGACCGCTTCGTGGCTTGCGTGGCCGCCAGGGGGGCGGGTCTTGCCTCTCCACGGCTCTCAGCTTCTCGCTGCTCTTTTGGCTCCATAAAGCGCTTCGACAACAAGAATTTGAGGATATCATCACATCCATTTATCGGGGTTTCCGATTTATTTTTTTTTTGCCATTATAGATCTAACCACGTTCAGTGTGAAGAGCATCTGTGATCGGGAAATCTCACCTACAGAACGAGAAGGACACGCGCCGCTTGAGATTTCCATCTCATGGATGATGATCCGCGGCATTTCCTCCGGCCAAGTCAGGACAATCCACACCTCAAAAAACATCGGTTGAGGATAAGAAGAGACAGAATATTGACTTTAAAGGCTGGATTATCTTGAAAAACCTCAAAATCTGTTTTCTCTTCAGTTTTTAATCAACATTCGTATTTTATTTTTATTTTTCTCAATCACTCTTAAGATCTTCGGATAACTTAACTTTTGTAATCAACAAGGTTCAAGAAAAACGATTTTTAACAATCATGACTGTCCAAAAAACTTTTTCACGAAATATTTATATTTTAAAGGGAATTAGTTAATGAAACGGACTTTAATCTTCAACTATTTCTATCACATTTTTTTTTTTGATTACACTACGTTTATCGTTATAAACTATTCCGATTAAGATAGTATTTTTAAAAAATACACCACGAAAATTTTTTTTTCCGCCCCAAATAACATGAGTAAACAAAAATCCTATTGAAGCCCCATCCCTGATAGTGATGTATAAGTACAGCAATGAAAAACTGCAATTTTTCCAAAAGTTTTTGTAAATTTTAAAGCACAAGTATTTTAACGTTGTGAGAAGCTCTGCAAAACAGTAATTTTAACGCTCATTTTTTTTTCACGGACCATATGCCTTGATAATACTGAACCTTTAGAAAAATCAACCTAAATCAGTGATGAATCATGACTTTTTTACAATGTGAAAATTTATGTTCCACTCTATATTTGAAAGATTGTGGAACTTCAGTAGTCGCATCCTGAAAGTACCTTGAAAGGCTTGGGTTGAGCTTGGAGAGGGAGCCGGAGATGGGATACGACGCGAGGCTTGGTCTTCTCGACGTGCGTCTGCCAGATGAGTGTTCTCAGGTCGTTGCCGTCCTCGCTGACCTCGACGCGTAGCATTCCTGGCGATCATTGGAGGCAGGTCCGAGACGCGACACTGACCTCGGCTCTCGTGCAGGACGGCGAGTCGCAGCGACAGACACAGCGAGAAGCTTCGCAGCATCGCCAGTGGCGGAGTCGCGAGAGTCGCCCGCTGCTGTTCGCCTGCCTTGTGACGACCCATCGTGCATACCCCGGGCTCTCCTGAAGCAGTGGTAGAAGAGTAAAGACGTGCCGCCCAACTCATGTGGTGGCCTTTAGCCGGACACAGCTGCCAGTGGGAAGAAGCCGTCACGCCGCACATCTCCGTGTCGTTCAGGGAGCAAGTCCAGTCGAAGCGTTCCGAGGATTTGCCTGCATCAGAAGTCTTATCAAAAAATAGACGCAAGCTTCTTGCTCAACAATTTTATAAAAAAAAACAGACTCTTTTCTTTCTTTTGAGTTTCACGCTTTTATGATCATTCTATGAAGAGAAAAATTTTTTTTAAATGTAGTTCGATTCACAGGCGTTTTTTTTGATCAGTAACCGTAATAATGATGAACGTAGCGTTTTTCCCTTGCCAATCCAAATTCAGTCTTAATTTCAAATGAACAACAGAAAAACGTTGGTCAAATTTATAAATTTCCTAATTTAGGGGGCGCAAAGCCCCGCCCCTTCACGCCACCAAAATGACGATTTTTTTGTTGCAGAAACGGTTTTGAGGCGTTTATACTAGCTAAAGTTCCACTTTAAAAATAAACTGTTTCTCTTAATCTATGTAATCGACAACGCTCTACAAGACTGAAAAAAATTTTTAAACTATGTATTTTTTTCAAAAAAATAAGCAAAAAAAGTAAGATTTAACACGAAAAAAAACTGACAAGTTTCACAAAAATCGTCGCGTTTCAGAAAACCAAGTGAGGAACGCTTCTAAATTTTAAGTATGTTATACATTAACACTTTCTTTATTTTTTTGAATAAAAAAATTTTTAAAAAAATCTAACGACGCGAAAAATCGAAGCTTGTAAAGTGACACCAAACTTTGAAGCTGAAATGGGAAAAAATTTCAGCGACATGGTATACTTTTTATTTGTTTTAAAAACTCACAATGTGCTCACAAACAAAAATTCAAAATGAAAATAATTATTGGGACAGCGAATCAAATTATATTTGAGTTTTACCGAAACCTCCTTTTTTCCTCTGCCTCGTTGACGCATGAGAGAATAGGATCGCGTCTATTTTTTTGATTATGTTATTAAGCGTTCAAAACTCTATCAATCGAAAAATTATGAAAAAAATCAAACGACGCGAAAAAAATAACGCCTTTGAAAACCTCTAAAAAATGGCAATTTTTTTTGAAATTTCGGAAGATTTCGTGCAAGTGTCCGTAGCAGTGTTTGCGTCAAACACACCGATGCGCCCTTTTAAATGTTGCAGGAGCCGTTTTTCGAAGTCAAATTGCACTTTTTCCTGTTTTATTTTGAAATAACATTTATTTTCATTTTTTCTTTTTTCCAAACCAAATTTGCCTCCAGTTGTACGCCGCGAGCGCTCGTTTTTTGGCCATAACTTTTTTCTTAGTGGAGCTTTTTTCTAAAACTGAACGGATTATGAAAATGGACAGTCTCCTCTATCGAACAGTGTAAAAAACATATTTTTTGGATCGTTTTGAAGAAATGGCTTGCGGACCCTATCCTAATTGACGCAAAACCGTTTCATAGCAGTAACTTCAAAATGCCGCATCACGACGTTTTAATTAGTGGCTATCGCCAACCTATCGGATAATTTTTCGTCAATACAAAAAAGTAGAGCCAAGAATCCAAGACAAAACCTTGAGGAACGAAAAAAAGATCGCGAATACTCCAAGGGCTCTCGTTACCGTCGCCCGCTATCACCTTCACTGCCACCTCGAACTCATGGCCAGGCTGCAGAGAAGTCAGCTTGACGGATTTCGAGTTGGAGCGAACTCTCTGATGAGACTCGCTCTCATGCACTCCAAACCTGCGATCACCACAGAATTTGTGAGGAAAGTTGACCCAAAACTGACTGCACGACATATTGGCGCTGGAGAGAGTCGATGGAATTTTCGAAGGCTTGTTCAGGGTTCGGGTCTTGCCATGAAATGTGGGCTACTCCCGAATCGTCTAAATTTGAGCGAAGGTTGATTGGCGGCCACAGGGCCTCCTTGGAAGTTCCTGAAATTAATTATTCGATATTTCGCAGCGACCGTAATTCGCACGTCTTCTAAATCAAATAAAACTACTTTTACCATCGAAAAATGTTCAAACAGGCTTTTTTTTTTAATTTGGGTACGGATAGGTTTTACGGAAAAGCATAATTCTGAAGATTGGATGCTATTAAAAAAAATGATGTGCCTAGGTCTATAGCTGATTCACGGCTGGAAAAATTTTTCCGATGGCTCAAGCCAGCCGTGAAATAATTAAAAGATGATTAGGATCTTCGCTTTTTTTTAATAGTTCTTCGCACAATTCCCTCTAAGTGTTATCAGAGAAATAGCACGAAAAGGTCAAGACTCACCGGAACCAGAAAGAGTTTTCGCGGCCAGCATAACTTTGATGCCGTCCTCGCCATCCGCTTCGTTGTAGGCAGACACGGCGAAAACATAATTGGTATTGGGCTCTTCAAAAAAAAAATATGAACTTAATGAAAAATAATGATAAAAGAGCAATTTTGAGACCTCTTTTTTTCATTAAAAAAATTGTTAAGGCATAATTACATGGGCGGAGCTAAAAAGCAACGCGCGCATACACGCCACTGTTCTTTTTCAAGAGAAAAAAATCGTTTTTTTATTTAATTAATATATTTCCATCTTGAAATAAAACTGATCAAAACGAATGGAATTGTGAAAATATAAAAGGCGAAGTGTAAAAAAAATTTTTTTAACAATTTTAAATTTGAAAAAGTTTCGAAAAAGCGTTGCAACACGCAAAGTTGTTCGCTGTGCGTTCACCCCCTCGTAGAAGTGCATACTCTTTTTAAATTTTTTCCAGAAAACAGGATTTTTAATTCTATACATATAGCTACAGTTTTTCTATTTTTATACAGCAAAGCCTCATTTTTCGAATTGGAACAGCAAAAAAAGAAAACCAAAAACGGAGCAAAAAAAGCCAACCCGCAAGTGGGCGGACTTGGCGGTCCCTATCCATACGAACTTTTTTTCGCTTTTTGTCTGTCCAATCTCATTTTGGTTTCCCTAACTGTATCCTAATTATTTGGTTTGTACTGAAAATAAAGATAATTATAATATATCGAAAGTTCAGAAGACTGACTCAGGCGGTTGATGGTGAAGGAAGTGGCGGCAGAGCCTTCGATGAGAATCCGCTGAGATATGCTGCCCTCGCCGAACTCGACGGCATAGCCACGGATGAGGATCGACGGATCCGGCGGCGCTTCCCACCACAGCGTCGCCGACGTCGCGCCTGTCTTCACTTGTACATTCTGCGGAGCGTTTGGAACACTGTTCTCTGAAAAGTCGGTTTCTTCTTTTGTTCTGCTGATCGATTGATCAAATTTTGAACCGATTAAAAATCGTTTAGTTGTCTGACATGATCCCTTTCATATGGCCTTTTGAAATTTTCTGTACATTTGCTTGAACATTTTGATTTCCACCTAGCACACCTGAGTCTACCTTGACGAAAAAAGACGAATTTAAAAACAGTGTTACAAGAAGTAGCTTCCCACTTTATTCATTCAATCATCTTTATTTTCTCTTTCTCCCTCCTTAAGTTCGAGGTTTATTCATCGGTCGTCATCGAAAAACGACATGAAATATAGTAGGAGCGACGGTTGTCCTCAATTACCTGGAGCAGACGGACAAATGGAGGTGTCGGGCAAATTACCTGCGGTTAACCTGCCGCGGCTTCCGTCGACACGTGTTCTGCCTCTGAGCGGAAGCCTTCTCCGTTTAAATTGTCCAGACTCGAAATTCGTCCAATAAATAAGCCCCCATTCTCGGAAATTCTCCCATCCATTTATCACTTCAGACCTGTTATTTTCATTTACACTGCTGTGAGCTATTCGGTCATTATACTTGGAAAACATTTTCACTTAATACTTATCAAAAAAAAATTCAAACAACTTCGAGAAACCAGGTCTGTCACGAATTGGGAGAGAAAAAGCGAGAGATGAGTCTATCCATACAATGACTTGCTATTTCCAAAAGAGCTACCAGGAAACAAAACATAGAATCAAGATAGATTCTAAAATAGCACAGCTCAAAAAAATTTGAACCCCCTCAGATATTCAGAGAAATTTTTGAAATCGCCATTCTGTGAGTCTTTTTTAATGTTCGCTGCTCGATTTATAAAAAAACAGACCCAAACTAGAAAAGTTTCAAAAGAAACATTTTGAACTCCACAAATTTACCCCCTCTATAAAAAATGATGAAATTTTCTTGAGTGAGCTCAAGCGCAACGTTCGGAAGCTGACCGTGTTGAGAGAAGACGACGGCGAAGCTGCAGAAGGCGAAAAACAGTTGAGACGTCGACATTATGACATCTCCTGTAGCCTCGAAAAAGTGATTGTCGCTCAGAAAAGGAAGAAACTCGAATAAACTGAAACGAGAGAATCTGGAGAAGAAAAATTTACGATTTGTTTGCCTAAAACGGATGACCAAACCGTATGCAGTCTTATTTGTTGGTCCCTTCAACGCACTCTTTTTTAATGATGCTCCTCCGAAGCCGAATTATCGGCCGATAATTGAAATTTTTAGGAAGCCGACCAAAAAGAACTAGCTGGAGGTTTTAAAGGAATGGAAAAGAGAGAAAAACTTTGTTATAAGGAGGGAAGCGGCAGCAATCAGCGGCCCATTTCAGGCCAGCCTCCAACAAATTTAATCTACCTTTCGTCACATCGCGACCTTCTTAGTTGCGGAGCAAAAAAGGAACAACCAATTCAGGTTTACGACTTTTATGATTCAAAAACACAATGGCTTGAAAGTCTCATGCATAATCCGAAAAAAACAAAAGCTCTTTTGAGACTTCAGATAATATGAAGGATAGTTTCTTGATTTTGTAATGAGTCTTTGGTTAAAGATCAAAAACAAAAAGAACTTGTAAAAAAATCATGAAATTCTTAAAACAACACATTGACCTCAGTGAGAAAAATAGTTTCTTGGCTTAAAAAAATGGATGGGTGGAAAAATCGCTCTGAAATTTTTCTTTCAAAACATTGGTTAGAACTTTTTTCTCCTTTCCGAAAGCGACAGTCATTGGTTTCTCATTGAAAAAAAGCAATCCAATTATCAGCAAAGAAAATATTTGTGCTTCTAACTAGAGCCTAAAAGCCACGGGGATGCAAAAAGGCCAGTGACCCAGAAAAATCGCAGGAGGTGCTAGGCCCCGCCTCCAGATTTACGCCGGGCAAAAAACTCTTCGGAAAAGCTTTGCATTCGAACTTACTTCACTTATAAGTTTATTTTTGATTTTTTTTTTTTATCTCACGTGAATGTCACAGAACAATTGAAAAAAAGTGAAAAAAATTGATTTACTGCCGCAAAAAAACCGGTTTCTTATAATATTTAAATTAGTTGAAAGTAAATTGTAGACAAGAATGAAAAAGAAAACGAGGCCGTATTTATTTCTTCTTGGCGGCTTCTTCAGCCTCGGCGGCCACACGCTCTTCATCGACAACCTTGAGCAACGCTTCGACTTCTTCAACGGTCAAAACGCGATTTACGATTTCTCCCTTAATCATTTATTTTAAAAAATCAAAGAAAGAGCCAATTCTTACATTCACAAACTTCATCACGGCGATTTCGATATTCTGAGAGCCAGATTGGACTACCTGAAATATTTGAAAATTAATTTCTATCCTACAAGTGCACAAAAAGCGGAGAAAAAAAAAATCTATCTCTAAAGCCTTTGTGAAAAAAAATGTTTGGACTGAGTTTGATTATAAGATTTCTTTTAAAGTTTATATATGTATATCAAACATCTTGAACGTATGTGGGCGACTAGAATTACAAATCGCTACTAATGTACGATACTACTTGAATAATAGCTGAAGTAAAAAAAAAAGTTTAAAAACTCAAAATATTTCAAGTCGTGTTCTTCGGAGAAACGGAACATGCTTAAAAAAACGAAAAAAACCATGTTCCTCGGCGCGCCAAAGTTGCTCCGAAACAGTCCTATTTTTTTAAATTTTTTTAGCAATATTTTTTTGCGAAAAAAATTCAAATGGAAAACTGTTAAAATTCTGTATACATCTAGTTATTATCAATTTTCAAGTGAAGGAGAAGCTTATTTCATCCATTTAAACTTAAAAAAAAAAACAGATTCAGGCTCACAGAAAATTAAAAGGAAAGTACGCATTCACGGTTTCATGTAATAATTTCTAACCAATTATTTTTTTAAAACTTCTAATCAATGAGTCAATTATTTCAAAAAAATTCCAAAGTTTTCATTATTTTCGATAAAGAAATTTCAATAAAATCGTTGGATAGATTGAAAAAACTCGTTGCTTCTTCAACTTTTTGTATTAGGACGATATTCTCGAAACCATAATGAGTTTTTCTCATTCAACATCAATTAAAAAGAGTTCCTAGTCGATGTAAATGGATCGAACCTGTGAAAGAGATTTAACAACGAGCTTCAGAGTTGACTGTTCATCTGCAGTCGTCTCATCATTATAATGTTCTTCCAAGTACTCTCGGACTGGTTTTTCGCCACGGCCTGTGGAATTAGCCTTGAATGTTGATTGATAACAGTTTTCATGGTCTAAACTCTCACCAAGTACTCATAGTAGGCACCAGAGGGTTCGGTCTTGAAAAGGCGAGGTGTTCCGTCAAAGTCAAAGCCGCCAATGAGCATAGAAATACCAAAAGGACGTCGTCCTGGAGATTGTGTGAACCTCTGAGTACGAAACTTTGATGAGAACAAAAAAGTAATATATGTTAGGAATGAAAGGATGGTGGTATGAAAAAAAAAAGTCAGCGAATTTTCTAACGGCGACTTTTCCGACGAATCATTTTCCAACTTTTTTTCGCTTATATTTTTTTAGGTTTTTTTAAAAAAAATCTATTACTATTTTTTATTTATATAGGTAGATTCGAAAAGAAGAGTTCATCGAGAAAAAAATTCGGAAAAAATTTCGTCGGAAAGCTACCTACCGATATTAGGAAATCGGAAAAGTCGCCGTTCGAATTTTCGCTGGTATTTTTTTTTCTACCACCAAAAGGATATAAACATCGAAGTGTCCCAAACTCGTGATTCTAGCTCTATAAAAACTTTCTTTCAAGTGACCCGAACCATAAAAATGATCTTTAATTTTATATGAATGCAATTTTCGTTTGAAAGGGCCAAATAAATCCAGAAACTCAAACTCGCGCGCGGAAGTCGCCGTAAAAGTCACATATTGAGATAGATCGTCGTACGAGCTAATTTTTTTAACGCTCTCGGAACTCCAATTCCGCCTGTGGTGAAAAAATTTGAACAAACAATGCGTCATTTTTAGGTTGCCGTAATTACTTCGAACATGAACTTGCACTATAGAAATTATTTTTTCAAAAAACTTTATATCAAAAAAGTCATATGGAATACCTGTTTCGTATTGGCAATATAACGAGAAATATATGCCACAGTGACAGGGTCTTCGAGCGTCAATTTATAAGCCTGACATTCAACTCTGGCGCGATCAACAAGTACGCGAGCGTCCGCTGAGAGACCTGAAAACTATTTGATTATTTTATACTTCAAGAACAGTTTATAAAAAAGAAAAACGTTTTTTTTTAAAAAAACACATGAAAAAATTTGTTTACTTTTGTGTGTTTTTTCTTTTGAAATTTAATTCATTTTGCAACACATGGACCTCCTCTAAGGTCCACAAGATATCCTATAAGAAAGGCAAGTAGAGTAAAAATCATATATCTGCTGGATCCCACTTCGGGGTGAGGCCAACCCCCTCAAACTGCGGCCTACTCCCCAAAAAGTGCGACCTACCCCTCGAAAAGTGCGGCCTATTTCAGTACATTTTCAATTTTTTTTTTCGCGCGCAAAAGGCTGGGGTGGGATCTAGCCGGTGTGGGAAAAAAATTGAACCAAGAAAAAAAAAACTTGGACGCTAGGCGAGATTTTCAAAACAGAAAAATGTGAAAAATAAATAAATCGGCGTTTAGTAGATTAAAAATTTTTCGCAAATTATTTGCTAAAAAAAATAACGTACCAGCAAACGCAAGCATTACGTGTTCATCGATCATGTGGATCTTGCGAATAGTTCTGTCATCTTGAAGTGCAGGAATCGATTTCTTTTCAACTCCGATAACTACGCAGTTTTTCCCACGCACCCCAACCTAGTAATGAAATTGATATGTTTTCTTTTTTTAAACCATACAATGAAAAAAAATAATAAAAAAAGATGCTCACCGCAGTTGATCCTTTTTTTCACGGCTTCTTGGGCGTACTCAACTTGGAATAGATGTCCATCTGGCGAAAAAAATAGTGATGGCACGATCATATCTCTCCATTTCTTAAAAAAACTAAAACTCGATCAAAAAAAGAAATAAAATATGACATCGAAGTACTCAAAAACCAGTGGATAGGAGCTTTTTCTTACTTTCTAAAAGTAAACTTTTTTTCTAGTTGGCAAGTAGAAAAAAACTTTAATAAAAAAATAGCAGTCAGAAAAAAAACTAAAAAAATTATTATCCAATGTGTCAGCGCACTTAAACTATCTGACTCACTCAGAAACGCCTTGAGCAGTTCCGGTTAAGGTTTTTTTTACCTTTTTATCAAAGATTGTGAATTAAAATGCTTCTTACAATTATTCGTGAGGACCCAGAGTTGAAAAAATCAGATAGTCTAGAATAATAACAAATAAAATTGATGACATGTTCATCAGAGAAACGGAACAATTTTCAAAATGCAAAAACGTGTTCATCCAAAATTGCTCCAAAACAGTTCTATTTTATTGTTTTTGGACTATTTTCTCGCGTTTCAGAACAATTTTCGTTTTCTCCGATAAACACACTGAAAATATATAAAATAAATGAGAAACTCTGATTATTTTGAACGTTCGAAAAAAAAAATGGTGATTTTAAAAATCCAATGTTGAAAAAAGTGTACCGTACGCCCTCCCTCCTTTAATAAGAAAGATGGCATCGTTCCAACTTTTTTACCGTTTTGAATTTTTCTCTCTTTTTTTTTCTGGTATTCCAACTTTCAAGCTTGCTTTATATACTTTTTTTTCTCAAATTCTGATAACGCAACCGTGAGTGCTTCGAATTTTTCTGAGCCTTTCAGTGATTACTTTTTTGCCGCATGAGCACGTTTAAATAACCACTATATAGCTCAGGAACGTCTGAAGTACTTCCGGTTGTCGTTGCCAGTTTATAAGATCGAGAAAAGTTGCAGGCGTTTTTGCTTACGTAATCAAAAATTTTTGTGAAAGCGATATTCTTAACGCTATTATCTAATGATCAGAATTGAGAATTATTGATCATTGGATAATATATTCCGAGGAAGTTGAAAACTCGCTTCAGATTGAAGTTTATCGGATTGATAGAAATCATGTTGAAGAGCATATTAACGAAGAATGTTTCAGATGCCATATGCTAATCAACCGAATATTGATGTGACGGAAATTACAATTGACACAATCAAGTTTGTACTCTCGAATACGGATCTGAGTGTCGCCAACTCTCTTCGTCGAGTTTTCATAGCGGAAGTAGGTTTTATTGTTATATTTTTCGATTTTCTTACGGAGCTTCCAAAGCTAACTTGGCGCTCGTAGCGAAAAAGTTTCTCTCGTTCGAAAGCACGAGCCGAATCGTAAGTAAACGCGGTAGATCCCTTTGTGGTTATTTGTTTTCGCCCACCCGACAAGAAAATTACTTTAAAAGTTTATTTTAATTTGGAGGTTCGTCAGAAGGGCGGAGCTGCCCAATCACATTGAAAATCCGCTACGTTTTACTGCGTTTCGTCTCGACACGGTGTTCCCAAACGGGGTGAGGAGACGTCAAAAAAAAAAAATTTGGCGCGAAATTTGAAATCTACAGTACTTCAGCCGAAGGCGATCGAACAAAAAAGTTATTAACGTTTAATACTCAGTGCATTTTATCCCTAGCGCGCACTAAATTTTTTCTGTAAATTCAGAAACTTTGACGCCTCGCTCACCTTACCTCACCCCCATTAGAAATGCCGTGCTCGACCCGTTGAACCAGAAAACTGTTTTGCTGGCCGCTTCAAATTAGCTATGAAAGCGTCATTACAGAATGTCATGTTCAAATAGAATTTTAAAAAATTTAATTAGACAACAGCTGTTTTTTTCGTATAGATGACTTTCGTTTAATACGCGAAATTCAATATTTGGGAGCGTTCGGCAATTTTATGTTTTGTTAAAAGTTATTGCGGGGATTTCAAAGTTTTCATCAGAGGGAGAATAAAATAACTAAAATTTGAAGAGTCTGACATAATTTTTAATTTCGTGGAGATTTGATTTGAACACGGAATTGATCTAAGTTTTGAAATCGTGCGTAAAAGTCGCTCTATCTTGTAGAATTCATTTTTTTTTTCACGGTCTTTGAAAAAAAAGGAAGAACACGCCATTTTTTTCGAAACGCCAAAATTACCTTGAACACGGAAAAAAGTTCACTTATTTTCAATGAGAGTTCTAATTTGTTTCTCCGATCTAAAAAAAAAACATAATTTCAAACTACACTCATAGCTTTGATCCCTGTTATTCATGTGAGGATAGCTGATTGATAAAATAAAGCATGCTTATCAGAATTTATCAGGGATTAGTTTAAACGAAAACTCATCAACGGGTTGTAAACTTCAATCGATCCCAGATATTTTCTCTAGAACATTCCAGGTTCCGACAGTCGCGATTGATTGGGTTCAAATCGAAACAAATACCACGGTCCTACACGATGAGTTCATAGCTCACCGAATGGGTCTCATACCGCTGATTTCGGATGAGGCGATTGACAGGCTACAGTACACGCGGGTTCGCGATCTGTGTGCTACTCAAATTCTAATTTAATTTTATTGAGGACTGTGAATGCACGGAATTTTGTCCGGACTGTTCGGTTCTTTTCACTCTCTCCAAAAAGTGCACCGATGATCACACTCTTGCAGTTACTACAGAACACCTTCACAGCTCGGACGAGGTAATCAATCATCTTTTGCATAAGATTAAATAGAAATGGATGGGTTTGAGTATTCCATTCAAATATTTTTCTGGTGGTCACTATTACTTTTTTCTCTCCGAAATGATTCACCTAAAGCACAAAATTTTTCTTTTTTTTTCAGTTTTTGACATATTTTGGCTTACTTCCATTCTCAATTTTTCTCACTAGGGAACGTTTTTACCCCCGGTTGACCTTTTGCTGAACCTTTGATAAAGTGTAGTTTAGGACCCTGATTTCAGAACAAGAAGAAAATTTATCGCAATAGATTTCATTTTCGAGTAGGACACTTCAAAAGCTCAAAATAGCGCTTTTGTTCTGTTTTGCGGACTTTGAAGCTCCATAACTCGTAAAAAAAGACCCATTGCGAGGATAAATTTTTTTTTGTTTTGCAATCAGGTGGTCCTAAAGAACACTTCAGCGAAATTTCGCCAACTTTCAACCGGGGTGTGAAAAACGTTCCCTGATTAATGGAGTTTTTTTTTTTTTCTTTGTGATTCTCAGTATCGATTCAACCTAGACCATTAAAAACATTGAAATAGATTTTTGAATAGTTTTCTTCGTTTATTTGATCAAGAAGTTGAGATTCTTAAGGGTTTTGTTTCAGTCAGTGTTTCCTGCTTGTGGGAGCTCATCCAAATCGCCGTACTTCAACGAAGATGGCGCCAATAGAGATGAAATTCTCATTGTGAAATTGCGTAAGGGACAAGAGATCGATTTGAAATGTTACGCAAAGAAGGTTTGCCTTCTGTTCAGTTTGTACCAGTCCGATTTCTTCGTAGGGATTTGCTAAAGAACACGCCAAGTGGAACCCAACTTGTGGTGTTGGATTTGAGTACGACCCGGACAACGCCTTGCGGCATACCGTTTATCCAAACGCCAGCGAGTGGCCAAAAGGCGAACATTCTCAACTGGCCGAAGGAGACTACGAAGCGCCATACGACCCGGATGGCAGTCCTGAGAAGTTCTGGTTTACAGGTTTTCTAACATTGCTTTGCTTCCACAATGTGAATGTTTTCCAGTTGAAAGCTCAGGATCGTTGAGGCCTGTTAAAATCGTCACAACTGGAATATCTGTTTTGAAGAAAAAATTAGAAGAACTTCAGCAACAACTTCAGCAAGAGTTGATGAATCACGGACTCGGAAACTGAAAAACTTCTCGTATTCTTCTCAATTATTTATTTTCTCTGTGTAATACGTGTTGGAAAGTTCATTTGAATTATTTTTCAAGTTTATTCTGATAAATTTTTTGTTCCTTTTTTTTTTTACAGTGTTCAAACTTTTTCACAGTTATTAACGGTGATCCACCTTTTTATATTTCTTAAAATTTCCAAATTAATCTGAATACTTATTTTATTTTTCAGAAAAATTTTTCCTTGATGGTCTGCACAGAATGTACGTTTTTTTCTTTTTTTCTTTTTTTTTTTTTTTTTTTTGAAAATAAACCAAGGCATATGTTGAGCACTATTCATCAAATTGTCGGAGCTCGGAAAAATTTTAGTAATGGAAATTTTTTCGACACTGAATATGTTAATCCTGACTAAGTTTCTGGCTTCATTGAAAGGGATGAAAAAAAGACGAACACCTAGTTTTGTTCGAAATCAACAGTTTCAAGTACGCGTTTTTTATCACAACATTAAGTAATTAAGACCAGTTCATTAAAAAAAAAAGATGAAAAAATCCCATATTAACTATTTACCTTACCATTGTACGCGAATTTCTTCCTAAATCTCTATTTTCAACCATAAAGGAAATGTTTCATCGGCTTCATACTGAGTCAAAATTTTCAATCTGAATGATTTTTATCAGACAAGAATGTACTCGATTTTCTTTGGATGCCCAAAATCTGTTTATGACCCTAAATGAGGCTTTGCTCGAATGCTGCGGAGGTTGATCGGCCAGTGCCAAAATTTTTCGCCCGTTTTTGTTTTTTAGAACCTTGGAGCAGCCCCCGATCTCTCATTCTGCAAAATACTGACGTTTGTTTCCAGATTTCACTCCGCAGCATGAGAGAAAGTGTTTCGTGAATACGAAAGACCAGTAGACAGGTACTGTGAAGAGACAAGGATTTCCGATGAAATATATATATTCAGCTTTTTGTTTTTACATCAACATAAACTTTTACTGGTAACAATTAGGCCGTGTTCAAAGTAATTTCCGCGAAATGCAAAATGGTCTCTGACCCTCCAAAATTTAGTTATCTTTCTCTTTCTCTGAAGGGTATTTTGAATTTCTCGAAATCACTTTGAACACGACATATATAATATTATTTATTTACAGGCAGAACAAAATAACATGTACAGAAAAAAAGAGAAAAAAATTTGGCATTAAGCCTGAAATAAATAAATAAAAAGGCACTTGAGGCCCTCACGAGCCTCTGAGCCAGTAATGAAAGAATAATGACATTAGAAAAAAACTTTTAGCATTTTGAGTATCTTTCTTATTCGAAAACTTGAAAACCGCCATACGCTTCTTGAAAAATTTTGCTTTTTTTTCGAATTCGAAGTTAGTCCAGATTCGTTGAAATGAATTTAGAAAATGCCTTCTTAATTTTTCAAACTTGATTAAACTCTGTATATGGTTGAAAATTTCTGAGATTTCAAGGCTAGTTTGTCGGCGCGCAGCGAAACAGTTTTTTAGTTCAAAGGCTCGAGCCGAAACGCAGCGATTCTCAGAAAGTGATTGATCCGCCTTTTTTCAAATGAAAATTTCAGGTGAGAAGAAACTGACAAAAATTGTTGGCGTCGATCCTTATAGGAACAAAACGCATAACAAACCGCCGCCTTCTGGAGCGATTAAAAAGTTTGTCACAGAGAAGAATCGATTGATTGGAAGTGATAAAAAGTAAGTATGCATTCATTTTTTTTTTCTAACAAAGACATTAGGGGAATGAAAAAAATCTTCGAATGTTCAGTCATACGAGGTTCGTACGAATCCGGGGTCTGTTATCAAAAGTAGTTTCTTATTCTAATTGACAAAATAAACCTTTTTGTAATTGAAAGCTGCAAGCTTCTGAAAATTTCGAATTGAGGAGTTGTTCTAATCAAGAAATAATCTGCTGGCTTTTAAAGGTAAATAAGTTGAACTTGGCTTTTAATTTCAACTTAAAAAGGCTCTCCAGACTTTCAGACGTTTTCCGCTGCTCGGAAAGCAAAAAAAAATGTTTTAGCTAGTTTTGGCAGATATTAACCTTGCTAGCGTATCAGTTTCATTGATGTAGCAGATTTACGGATTAATAATTTTTTTCTAAATCTAATCTTTCAGAGCGAAGATCGTTGCGGCGAAATGTAAATTGTGCAAATGTTTAGTTCATCAGGTTTTCCTTTTTATTCAACGATGAAAATAAAAATTTGTAGGTTGGAAGTCATTATTGCTCAACGTGTGCTTATCAGAAAGGTATTTGTGCGATGTGTGGGAAGCGAATATATTCAACAAAGGGACTCCGCCAGAGCGTTGTTTGATTTTGTTCATGATACTGGTTACATGTGCGAGCTTTGTAAAAATTCATTGTAATAAATATTCTACCCTGCCAACAGAAAAAAAAATGAGCAGAGAGGAGTTATTTCATATTTATCAAAAGATAATGCTCCTTCAAAGGAATACCATGAAATAAATCGAAAGATTAGCCTAGCAAAAACGAGCTAAAGTCTATATACGTAACTTCAAAACTTTCTTTTAGTATAGTCTTTACAACTTATTTTAAATGGCGGAAGTTTCATTCTTGAGATTGTCAAAATCATTGAAAAGGAAATTATTAGTTGTGACAATTTCTAGATCCAAGTCTCAAAATGTAAACTTTTATTGATTTTTTTTTTAATTTTTAGTCTTATTTTCGGCTTATGTGTGTAGAAAGAAAAATTATTAAAAACTTTATATACCAACTTTTAACAAGAATGAAAAGTCAAATCAAGCAAGAGGGAAAAAATGGTAACAAACAGATCGTATTTACCCGGGATGATGTCAGTATTCCGACTGGCTCCATAACTTGAAAGTTCGGTCGAAAGCAGACGAAATAATCCAGTTCCCATCGGGACTCACATCAACACACAGGATCTATAATAAAATTTATTTTTTTCTTTGTCTCAGAATAGCAAAAATAATTTTTTCCTTATGGTAGCGATGATCAAGTTTTTTTGAAGTTTTTCGACTGAAGTAGGTACCCTCGTATCGTGTCCTTGTAGTTGTCTGAGAGGTTGCCAGCCGGTAGTGGACCAGAGCTGAGAACGATATATATTAATATACGATTTTTTTATTTTTGAATTTTTTTCAAACTGGAATATTTTTAAAAAAATCTTAACATACTGACTTTTCTGGGTAGAAAAAAAGACAGACAAAAATGAAAATTCTGTTTTGGCATTACCTTCAAAGTGCAGTCGAAACTACTGGAAACAAGATACTGTCCTTGGTGATCTGCACGGATACGCGAAACGACACTCGTGTGTGCCGGCATCGTGTACGTATTTCTACGCATGCGCAAGTCCCAAATCTTCATCGTATTGTCAGAGCCTCCGGACACCATCTCGTAGCTTTAAGATTACTAATCTTTTCATTCACCTTTTTAATCTGAAAACCCGTTTGGCATCCATTCAACTGTGTGAATTTCTCGAGTATGTCCGTCTAGGAACATGATACATCGACCCGTTCGGAGATCCCAAACGCGGCCGTAGCAGTCATGTCCGGCAGTCAGAGCCACTGAGCCGTCCGGGTGAAACGCGACGTCAGAGACGGCCTTCAAGCATTTTATAATGAAAACTGTAATTCGGATGAAAAACAAACAACATAGACTGAAAGAGATTCCTGAGTTTTGCGGAAATGTGACTTCCATTCTCGAAATTCGCTCATGCAACAACTTCTAACCAACCTTTGCATGGCCCTCTTGAAATAGAAGCTCATCTTTCGTTTCCACGTCAAACATTCGCCAAGAGGAGTCGAAGCTGAAATAGGAATCTACTATTCTCACGAAATCTCTCTGTGAGGTGAAGAACAACATTACGAGAGAACTCGATTAGTTGAAAACAATCAAAGGCTGCAGTCGTAAAAAAATTAATAATTTAATGCCCTTTTTCATAAAATAATCATTTAAAACTGCTAAAAATTTTCTACCTAACCAATTATAGTCAGGAATGAAAGAGAACGACAAAAGGCTGAAAGAAAACATTCAGAAAGTACGAAAATGGGGGAAACATTCTGAGAAGTTTTCGTACTTTACAATCAACACAAAGTTACCATGCTGTCGCGAGGTGATTCCCACTGGGATGGAACGCAACTTTCGTCACGCGGCTAGGATGCTTCTCGAGCTCTCCAATAGGTGTTTCTTGATCCAGAGACCAGAGGAAAACAGTACCTGAATTAATATCTATCCTTTTTTCTATAGCTCCATGAGAAACCATCGTGACTGCAGGATACAACATTCAGTGTCGATTCTGCGTTTGTCGTGAACGCTCCCGGATGGAATCTCGCACAGCCTGCTTGTGCACCGTGGCCGGTGAAGCCGCGAATTTTGCGGCAATCTTCGCGTTTCCACACCGAAACATTCCCTGACCATCCCGACGTCACTAAAAATATAAATTGAAAGGAAAAGTGGCCCGTGTCGAACCGATGTGGTTGGAATCTGCGGAAAACTCGCAGAAAGAGACTGGCCGTGTGTCGGCAACTTGTGACGCGTGCAGGTTCAGCTGCTGCACCCACTTATGAGCTTCCTGTCTGGCCAAAGCTTTTTCGTGTGACGGTCTTTGGCCTTCTTCTCGGGCCCTTTCCAGCCTACATAAAAAAATTAATAACTTTATAGAGGGTGAATCGGAAGTAGTATAAAAATATCTACGAAATACTTATTCTAGGAATGTTTTTATATGCGCTTGTATGCGCAAAAGCCTTGAATAACCAAAATAGTACTGAGAGCGATTTTTCGATGCTCCTTCAATTAATTCCCCAAAAATCTTTGAATAGACTATTCATGAGTATTTTTTTTTTTGCTCGACCTTAATTTAGCTTTTCTCAGCGAATAATCTGCAATTTTAACACGTGCCGCGCGCAAAGCTGTCGGCCCACGATGGTACCAGGTCACGGTTTCTTCGTCGGTCTTCTCTGCTTGAACCTGGAGATGTTCCAGATTGTTATATCCACAACAGATTATACCTCGTCACTATGAAGAACAGCCGCGATTTCGTCTTCAGTCATCGTGGACAGAAGGGCTCGCAGACGCTCACGCCTATCTAGAATGTCTTCGCCGAAAAGACAAATGGGCTGGTTGAGAGCGCGAAGTTTCAGTTTAACCTATAAATCGCTATAGATCGGATCATTGGAAAATCATTACTTGAATATCGTCAGTGGGGAGTGTGAGAGTTCTCGCCCTTCTACGTCGCTCAAACTCTGCCAGCATTTCGGTGTCATGTCTGGAGTCTACGGGATCCACTTCCATCCGCTCTCCTTTTGCGGTTGCCAGCGACCCCTTCGCTGGTTCGCTCTGCAGTTAATTTTATCAAAAACTAAGAATCTTGAGTATATTAAGTAATTATGAATGAGACTTCAGAAAACAAACCAAAATGCTGTTAACAGTATCGGCATTGGCCAAGGAGCCCAAAACCTTCTTGCTTCTAGGAACGCCGGATTTGTCATCTTCGCCCATCTGAAATCCGAAAATGACTGGTGAAATCAGAACATTGATGCAAATAAAATCCGATTTAACAACAGAAAGCTATTAAGAACAAAAATGTGAAAAAGACCGACGACATGTCAAATTGTATTTCTCAAAGCGATACTATTATCAATGGAAAAAATTTGTTAACAAAAAAAAATGAGGATTATATAAAGAGCGAAAAATGAAAAAAAAGTTCAAAGTTATTTACATGTGGATTTTATTTCCGTGAAACAAACGATTTTGTTTTTTCCTTATAAATAAATGTAACATATTTCTTGTACAAGTGAGCCTCCCAGATTTTTCAGAACATCTAAGTATCGAGAAACGACGTTAACATCCACACTCGAATTCTAATTAAAGAATCGGCTTCAATCAATCCACACGTACGTGTACACGTAAACATGAGATTATCATTTTTGAACTTTCTGCCGTGTTCAAAGTAATTTCCGCGAAATGCAAAATACCCGTTAGAGAAAGGAAAAGATCACTAAATTTTGGAGAGTCAGAGACCATTTTGCTTTTCGCGAAAATTACTTTGAACACGGCATTCTAATGCGAATTTTTTGAATCCAAAAACCCTAGAGAGACTTTCCGAACTTACTACGTTTGCAGTAGAGCAAACATCATATTATGGCGGAAAAAGTTCACGCTCCCAAAAAAATTTGTAAACGTGATCATGGTTTTATTTTTAAATTATTTTTTTCGCAAGTTCACGTTCAAAACAAATTCTGAGCTCGCGAAGTTGAGGGGTTGAGTTCACCATTGAAAAGGTCTTGAGTAATTATTAATCTTGAGTGATTATTAAAAAGTAATTATTAAGTGAACTAGGTTATTGTACGAACGAGGTTATTATTATCAGATTAAATTAATTTATAAACATAAATTATAATTCAAATTATGCTCTAAAATTATTTTTCACAGCTTTATTACACTATTTCTTGTTGCCTTTGAAATTAAGGAGTGAAAATAAATTAAACGAAGCAAGCTTAAGCTTCAATGTTATCAAAAAATAATAGCATCTCCGTTCGTTCTTTTAACGGTTTTTTTCAAATTGTATCGTGCTTTTGCAGGAATTCCAGAATGCGTAAAATGAATTTAATTGTGGCTATGGACAAGGACGGTGGTATCGGCAAAAATGGGCAGTTACCTTGGAGGCTTCGAGAAGACATGAAGTATTTTGCAAAAACGACCAAGGACACTAATGACAAATCGAAAGTTATCCGATTCAGCTTTGGCTAACGAAATTTTTGAAGTTCTCAGAGAAACGCAGTTATTATGGGGCGAAAATGCTGGGATAGTATCCCGCAAAAATTTCGACCACTTCCTCACCGTTTGAACATCGTTTTGAGTAGATCTTTGCCTGAAAAACAGTCCGAAAATTTGATAATCTGGTTGGTATTTATTTATTTTTGTCGAAGTCTCATTATAAAAGTTAAGATTCAATTTTTTCAGCGATGACATGAAGAAGGTTTCTGAAATTCTTGCATCTCCTCCTTATGCGAATAGTATCGAAACACTATGGAATATAGGCGGTTGCGATGTTTACAAATACGCAATAAACAATGATCTTGTGGACAATTTATTTGTAACATTCATCAAAAAGAGGTTGGTTTTTTTTTCCCATTTATGTTTCGACCACCATTTTCTCAGCTTTGATGCCGATGTGAAGCTTGAAGACATTTGTTTCGACAATTTTCATGAAGTCACGGATCATGAATATTTCAATATAGAGCAAGAAGAAGACGGCACAACATTCGTGTTTAAAAGATTCAAGAGAAACGATAAATTCAGCTAGTAATCGGATCGTATATCTTGTTCTCAAGTTTTTTCTGTACGATTTGTATGTATATGTTGTTATTAAACTATATTTTGGCATATCTTTGTAGAGTGTTTAAGGTAGTAACGCTCAAGACGTGGGATAGAGATAAGAGGGCTTACTAAAAAGAATTATTTATTTTTATTTGAATATTCTCGTAGTAACCCCTTAAATCTATCTACCACTTGTGCGTGAACTCTTGGAACTTGAAGCGTTCCTTGAATGGTTTACCGCCATGTGAATACTTTGATTTTCCTTAGAATCATTCAATATTTAATCCATTTCCAGAAGTTTGGTTGGAAAATGGTCAATAACAAAGGTAAGAAACGCGGTGGAGGTGGCGATAATTCGAAAAGCGGCTCTTCACACAGCGGAAGCACGAGTGGACGATTATCTAATGGCGAACGCCGACGCGATCATGTCTCCGTACTTTTGATTGTAGTTTATTGTACGTCTTGCCTTTCAGGTGCACGGAAATGGACTTAGAGAACATAAAGAAAAGGAATTTGCACGGACCGCCCCTAGTGATGACGGCGGCGCCTACAACCATAGCGAAAAAACGGAAAGGTACTTTTTTGTCCTAGGATTCTGTTTGCAAACATCCAAACGTAAAAGTACTATGCAAACTCGATTCACAGGACACCTTAGAATGTTAGGGAAATTATAACTAACCTTGAAGCGCTACCCTGAAATGATTTTTCAGCTCAGTACTTTTAATTAGGCTCACCTTTTATAGGATTTTTATTTAGTATTTTGTAAAAAAAAAAGTAACTCAATTTTATTGCAGGGAAAGTCAACGTAAATATGAAAAAGCGAACGGAACATTCTGGCAAGATGCAAAAAACGGGTCGGAAGTTTCTGAAACATCTCGAGTCAAACGAAATGAAAAGGAAAGCCAAGCTCCGCTTGTAGCTGTCAGCTCTACTGCTTCGCAAACGGCCTTCTTCACTGGTGATGTTATCCTGGCATATCTCGAGGTTTTTTTTTTCAACCTTTTTCCTTTGTAGCCTCAAAAAGATATAGTTTCCCTTTTATGGGTTTCTTGAAAATAAGTAAGGAATAAAAGCTGGTGAAAATTTTCAGCAAACGATGTGGGAAAAGGTGGAGATCATTTGCGAGTTGGTGCCACTCCTTAGCCCGGTGGACCTGCGTCTTCTTGCAAGTTGCGTCGAAGCTGCCGTGCGAGCCAATTCACAAAACGTCAAGCATCTGGAGTCACGAGCCAACTCAGCACAGCCGCTTTTGTGTTTTCCGCAGCCTTCCACTTCTTATTCTATCGCGTACGATTTTTATCTCTTGAAATTTTTAGAGAAAATACCGAAGACCAGCTGACAAGGAGTTATATATAGGTTTGGTTAGGCTTCTTGTATGATGGAAACGTGGGAAACATTTGAAAAAACATCATTTGGGTTAGGTTCTTTTGCATCGGATGGTATCCGCTCTTCACACGAATTGAAAAAAAGGCGACTGTGGTCGCGAAAATTCGGTTTTAAAATTTTTTCAGTGAAAAAGTTACAATCAAGAAAAGATCCATGCTGAACTCCGATTCTTTTAAGATCTATTGTTTTCTCAACTGTCATTTTTTCACATTATTATTTTGAATTTCGGAATTTTCGAGTTTCTTTCAAACATTTTAATATGAAGTTTTCAGGGCTGGCGGTACACCATCGCTTTTCGAGATTTTGGATGCTCTCTACACGATGATCGCCTTGTTGAATCCGAACAATCGTAGGTCGGCTTTCCAGTTCGCCCGCTACGTCGATAGTCTCGTCATGGCGGAAAGACAGTCGCACTTATCCCGTATTCCCCAGAAAGAAGACCAGCTGCGCGCCATCGAGATGATGGGACGCGTAGGTAGGAGAAAATCGTAATGTCCTAAATAATTGTGTGTGCGACAGCGTCGGCGTGTGTACACCATCCGGCTTTTGCCAGCAATGAGCGTCTTCGGTTTGTCGTCGCGCGGGAAGAGCTTCGCTGCGAGGTGGAAAAACTCTGCGATGAGCTGGAGCTTTCCGACATGACCTCGAACGTTCCTCGCGAGTCTCCTGAACTTCCGAAGATGCGGTCGACGCCGTCGCCCACGAGTCCCTCACAGTCTCCTAATGCGCCCCTTGTTCCTTTCTCTTCGATGGTTTTCGTCTACATTCGACGCTTTGTCGGCAGCCAAGTCGAACCCAACGATCAGAAGAACTTTCACATCCAGGTTTGTTACTGTTTCATCTTGTAAATTCTCTAAAGTATGCTGCACGCCGCAAACTAACGAAATTTCATTCAACTCTATTTCTCAAGACTTCAGAAAAGACAAAAAACGAATGATTTGTCATTGTGAATGCATTGAGCCGGTGGATATGTAGCTCTTTCCGTACATTATTTTCTGAAAAAAAATTCACAGCAACTTTAATAATATCAGCAGCGGAGAGATGGATAAATAAAACTTAAGTGTGATTATTGTCGGATTCAATCTTAGAACGAATTATGATACCTTTCTCAGTTTTTGAAATGTTAATGTTTGACTAAAACATTGTATGAACTATTTTTTAATATTCTTTTGGATTGCAATAAGATTCGGATGGCTTTCATTTTGAAAGCCCTTTTTAGATGATCTGGAGTGATGGCGAGAGAACTTGGACGCAGCGGACGCGGGAAGAACTCAAGGACTTGCACTATCGGCTGCTCGATACTTTCGGCGACGAACGCAAGGAGGTCGATGCACTGACGACGTCGATGGCGGCGAGCGTTCAGATGGCCAAGGAGCAGGGCACTGCGCCCAGTTACTTTACCGAGTCTTGCGCTTCCATGGCTACTAGCGTTAAAGGCGAAGAAAAGTCTAGAAGCGCTTCTACGTCGGTAAATTCGTCAAATGCGGAAGGTAATCGAAAAGGGACGGCTTTTTTTATTTCTGCGTTTCAGCCTCTTCGAGGAGAATTCTCCCTTACTTTGACTACCACGCCGATGCGAGCAGCATAGTTCAGTATATCAACGACTTGTCTGATTTGCCTGCGCGGATGATGCTCAGCGCAACGATGTACGAAGAGTTCCACGCAACCAGAATGAAGACTTGCGACGTCCAAGTGGTACAATTTGTTCTGAATGAGCTTTAAAGTTGCCTAAGTGGACTTCGAAGACAGAATTTTTGTAGTCCGAGAAGACGAATTCGCGGAGCGTGACGAGAACACCACCCGTGAGGAGACATTCGCAGCCGTTGTCTTATCCGCACACCTCTTCTTACGCGGAGCAGGCCATGTCCTACGGTGTTCTTCCAGTACAACACATGCAGGTGTATCAGGTGTGTTCGAAAAGTTCCGAAATATGAGAAAATGAAATTGGCATCGCAAGTCTTTTCCCCGATAGTGCAATAGCCTTTTTTCAACTTCATTAGGCGTTTCAGATACAATCTTTGTCTTGAAAAGGGCCAAATATTTGTGCAAAAGGAATTTTTAGGTGGTCGAACCCTCGTGCAGCAACTGTGCTGAGAATCATCCTTTCGTTTTCTGCAATAAGCCGTCTTTCATTGAAAAACAGCGTGAATGTAAGTTCACACTCCGCAGAACCTTGTCACAACTCTATCTAGCCACCGACTACAAGATGGACCTCAGTCCGATCGCGACACCCATGCAAATGCCACTTCCCGTCGGGCAACAAGTATCATCAGTGCTACCAAATCTGACGAGTGGCCATTACTTAGTGCCTTTCCAGCAGCAGCAGATCCCGCATCCCTTCGCCATTCGCCGCCCTCCAGTTTCTAGCTCTGAGGTTCCGCTTCTCGATGGTTTTCCTATTAACACCACCGGTTTCAACCAGCACAGTGCATCCAGATGAAACTCCTCCACTTTTTCCGTGTTATTAGTTGATATTTGTAGTTTCATCCTGGGAATAATTTTGATTTTCTATGAGATTTTTTTTTCGACTTTCCTGAAGAAAATATCTCTCGGAGGTGCCGTTTTCTATGCCGGTATTATTTTTTTAATTGAAGTAGTCAATTGTACTGCCATTCCCTATTTTCAAAATGGCTATCCTGCTCACTAGATACCTGCAAATTTTCATTATTTTTATATTTAGATATATTTTCAATATTGTCGGACTACATGAATAGATTTCATGGTAGCAACCGAATTGGCTAGTTAAATAGTTAAAATAAACTGATATCTTCTATACAGGTTGGAGGATTGTATTCCGAAAATTAAATTACTATTTCTCTTCCTCAATTCTTTTTATCAAAAACTATTTCTCATATTAGTATAGATATCAGCGTCTAAGGTGTGGAATTATTTTTTGCCTTTTTTTTCCGCCATGTTAATTTCTCTATATTATTTCCTTATGCATGCAGGCTGATTTTCTCTGATTCGAAGCAACTATCCATTTGAAAAAAAAGAAAGCCACCCGACAATTCATTTTCGCACTTTCTTTTCAATTAAAATGAATTGCTGTTTTTTTCAACTCATGGCCTTTTTATTATTTTTAAAATAAATCCATATTTATCAAATTTGCAACATGAAATGAAATACACACGTGCTTAAGAAACGCAACAAAGAAAATAGAAAAAGATGCGAATAGAAAGAGTTTTTTTGGAACATTTTTTCAATAATCAAAATACAGGTGAGAAGAAAAGTTAGTAAAAATAGTCAAGTGGGAAGAAAAATTTAGTGAAGATTTCTTAAAATAGTTTCTTGAAAAATTTTCTGAGCATGCTCACCATCCATAACCGCGAGCAGGTTCGGGAATGTAAATATTATCGAAAAGAGGACGTTGCAAGCGTCGACGAAGAGCCGCTCTCTGACGACGTTGACGACGGGCGCTTCTCGCCGTTTCCTGGGCATCGAGAGGTCTGCCCGAATCCGGAGAATAAGTCACGTCTCTCTGCTCTCCGTTCGACCTCAAATAATTTACACAAGTTTTTGATAAAAATAATATCTTGCACTCCTTTTCAATTCTTTAGGCTCGATGAGTGAGCCAAAATGCACAAAAATTTAATTTATCGGTCCTCGGTAACGCATAGCGGATGTATCTCCGGCGTTTTTGAGCGTTTCTATTGAACTTTTTAGCGGCTTCAGCACTTCCAAAAGATTACTAGAAATTCAGAAACTTCCAGCTTTCGTTACCGAGGCTCGGTTTCTCCATTTTTCCTTTGAAAAGAGAAAAAATCTTGATTTTTACTAGCTTGTATTGAAAAGTAGCACTTTCTCCAAAAATTCTGTTATCATACGATTTCTTCTAAAAATTATCTTTAGTTAGTGAAAAATCAAAATTTCCTTTTCTTCTTCTTCAAGTTTCGAAAAATTCTGAAGCTACCTGTTATTATCTGTATCCACAGAGTCTGCGTTGTTCCACGATTGAGCGTTCCTGAATAGATAGTTGTTTTCAAAATATTGATCCCGATAAATTAGAAACCGATTTTTGGACAAGTTCAAATGTTTCAAAAAGGCTAGATTACTTGGAATAGCTTTGAAACTACTCGAATTTCAAAATATACATAGCAGTTTTCGAATTTTCTACTAGTCAAGACTGGATATTTTCCAAAAATATTCAAGGGGTAAAACACCATGAATATATACTTGAAGCTGAAAAAAACTATTGACAATAACCAGAGAAAAAAATAAAATCTACGTCAATTTAAAAAAAAGTAAAAGCTAGGAATTTGATCGTTGTTGTCACTTGTACGGTGGAAGTTTTTGCCTAAAAAAATGAAAAACTATTTTTTTGATATTTTTTTAAAGTGAGTTACACCAAAAAAATTACATTCGTTAAATTTTTTCGAGGTAGTTTTTTTATTGAACAATTTCATGATTTCGGGAAAATCTGAATAAATTAGGACTCTAAAATTTTGGTTTGATTTTTCAATTCTGATGGTTATTCTACTTTGTGGAATGTATTCTGAGATAGAGAATCATGTACCTCCGAAGATTGTTGGTGTGCCGACGGCCGAGTTCGTGAAGATTTTCGCCTCCCAACGGCACAAAACATTCGCAAATGCGACACTTCATACGAATTCGTGAACCATCATCGTATGTCTTCAAAAAAAAACTTATATGGTTTTTTCATGTTAAAATGAAAAAAGTCTATAAATTTTTTGTGTTACACAACTATGAAAAAAATTTACGTTTAGAAAAAAATTCGGCTTTGGCTGATGAATTCGCAACAATTAGTATTGAATGAAGTTAATTCAAAAAAACGAAAAAAATTCAATATTATTAGTAGATCAAAGGCAGCCTGCAGTTATCACGAATTTCAGAGGTTTTCCCTAAATTGAGCATTCAACTGGTGCTAGGACATGAGCGCCGTTTTTTTTTTTCCAAATAGCTTTTTTGCTTTTGAATGTAGTTTTTTTTAACAAGTTAGAAAGGGTGGTTGATGCGTTTAGTCGGTTTCTGTCGTTATAATTCATTTCGATTAAGTTAAAAATGGAAATAGAAAAAAAAATCTTCACAAGAGCCCTGTCGTAGACGCGTTAAGTTCTGATTAAAATGACTGACCGTGAAGAAGAAAGCCGAGTCGTCGCCATTCGACACGTGTTCATTGGACGAACTATTTCGGCTGAAAAAGAAAAAAAATGACGAAGATGCAGGCAAAGAGGCGACCTTCGCGTGTTGTTGTCGACAGCATTGTTACCGATGGGGTCTCCCCTGTGGATGAGTGACGGAAGTCCGCTCAGTCCACGAAAAAGTTCCTGACGCTCGTCTTCCTCGTACAAACTGAGCATCTCCGTCAGAGAAACCGTTTGTTCAAGATCCTCCAGTTGGACCCTTCTTACAGAGCGGATAAAGCTCGTAACCTTTTTCGATCGCCCCCATTAACTCACTTATATTCCAAAAAGAAAAAGAGTAACGTTTTTGAGATGACATTAAAACTTAAAGCTAATTTAAATCTGCGAAATTTCTCAAGTACTGTCTTTTTTTGATGCCGTGTTTAGAGCAAGTTTAACTATTAAGAAATTGATTTTTTTCATTCGTCTCAAATATTTATGAAAAAAATTGGCATTTTGAGAGCCGTTAGAAAAAAAACTGAGTCCTACAACAAGATAACGACTTTTTGGGCGCGAATACAAAGTATTGATCAAAAAAATTGCAAAATTTTTGAATGTTGCGAATGGAATAGTGTCGGACCCAACATTTCTAAAGCCTTCCGAAATGCTAATTTCGCGTTAACCATTTCAAACTAATGATAATTTTTTTTTTTTTTTGAAATCGCCGTAATTACTTTAAACAAGGCATCATAAGACTCCATTCTACTTCTGTACTTATGAATCGCTCGTCTCTATCAGTTATAAAATAAAAAAAATATACTTACAAGTCGTGATCAGAGTCATAATCTTCTTCGCTGAAATCGTCTTCATCAGCATTGAAATCGAAGCGTTCGTCGTGGGAGCTCGTTTCGCTGCGTCTTGGGTGTTCCTTGAAGGAATTTCGAGTTGGCGAAAGGTTTAATCTCCAAACTTGGTCAGTGGAAAGCCTTTCGAAGGAGTCAACGAAGTGGCGGAAGCTGTCTTGCATCATATCCAGGTAGGTTGCACAGGTCTCCAGATTCCGAACTGGAATTGAGAAATAGAAATTAAAGAAGGACCAGATTCTGCCATGATTTTTAGGATACACATGGTTTTTCTTCAAAAAATATTTGTGGTCGCCCCTCTACATCGAGTTGAGAATAGAGACTCTGTGGGCTTGATTGTCCTGGACAAGAATACTCGGAAACAAGAATAAAACTTTGCTAAACCCTTCAAAAAACCGAAGAAAAGCGCTTGGAAAGTTTTCCGAAGCGTATATCCCCGCGCTTGCGGCCTTCGCTTAGCAACTGGCAGCGTGGTGAAGTCCTAGGCCTACCAATCCACAAAGCCTCAATTCTCAAGTCAAAGTTTAGAAACGTCGGAATGCGATTGAGAAAAAAACTTTTCCTGATCAGTTTTGAAGTCCATTCAAAAATTTAGAGAAATAGATAAGAGCTCGGAAAATTTTCCTTCGTGGATGTTTTTGATAAAGTTCAGTCTGGCACCAACTTTTTTTAATCAATTTATTTCTCATTCCCCCTTAAAGTAACCATTTATTTCGCATTGCAAAAGAAAAAGATGATTCACTGTTTAGTTATAGAAGGATCATTGTAAGACGCAAATATATCCGAAGCAAAGTTTCTGCGACTTGAAGACAATTTCCTCACTTTTGCGTCTGTACTCGTGGCCCGTAACGACGTCCCAGCGGCTGCTTTCCGTTTTTTGAGTGTGACGGTTCAGACGAGAGCGAAATATGTCGATGGCAGCGTTGAATTGCTCTAAAACTCCTTCTTTTTTAGCTGCGCTTTTTTTCGATCTTCGAATCTTTAGTCTATACTTCCTAATTTTTTCAAAAAAAATAGTAACGTACCATAAATTTCTGGAGGTATGACGAGATTATTTTCATCATCTGAAGGTCTAACGACGGCACCTGGAAGTGGAGCTGCAAGTTCTGCACTTGCAGGTGGCGAATTCGAATTGGAGTCCTGTGAGTCGACTAGACCCAGCCTTTCGAGTACTTCTGAAAAAAAAAGAAGCTAAACGATCAGGAAACGAAATTCTGGTATACCCATGAGCTGGAAGTTGACAGGAATGTTGGAAATCGAAGCGTACGTCTTCTTGCGACACGTGGGACAGTGGGGATGCACCTCGCCGTGGATAGCGATTCTTTCCAAGCACCATTTGCAAAAAGTGTGCCCACAAGACATAACTCGCGCCAATCTATCCTTGTCATCGTAAGGCTGAAAAACTAGTTTCGGGAAGAAAAAACAAATGAAACCAACATTGAAGCATATGCTACACTGGAAGTACCCGTCTGTGTCGTTTAGGTTTAAATTCGATCTTATGTTCCCTCTCTCAGAGTAATCACTGTTTCGCGAGCTTCGGTTCATAGTCGCTTCTCAGTAACAACCTGAAAACGTCAAAAGATACTTTGGATATATTCAAACACATTTTTTTTAAAGCGCCCACGTTGAATTGACTATCAAGATTTCAATGAATAAGAAAATAATTTTTGAGAGCCTAACTGCTTTCACATCTGTCCCCACCCCACGAAGACTTGAGGAGCAAAAGTACTTTTTAACTTTTATGACCTTTCTATACTCCATTTCATCTTTTACAAAAATATTACGTATATGTCTCCATCTCTTCACAAGGATCACTGCTACGCTAATTGTGTGAAGATCATCTCTTCAAGTAGGCTTTCGAGCAAACATTAAAATACAACCGTGCACAGTTTAAGAAGATGGTTTTAAAATGACTTTGTGTACTTTATATACAATAACATCGTTACGCGTCTCGAAATCATCATTCTCAACGTTCTGCGCAACAGTTCCCATTGCTGTGATTTTTTTTTTGTAAGCTTTATTGTGATGAAGCAGCTTTAAAATATGTTCATTTGAAGAAAAATTAATGTGGTCTTCAAAGCAATTTCCGCTAAATTCAAAATCATCTCTGTCCCTCCAAAATTTAATTATCTTTTTGTTTCTATGAAGGTTACTTGGGATTTCGTGAAATCACTTTAAACGCGGCATGAAAGAAAATAAAAACATGCGTTCGCCGGAAACCTCTTTCACTCGCACGAGAAAACAAACAAAAAGGGAAGAGCGCAGACAAGCAGACAAGAAAAATGCCAGTGAGACATTTTTTGCTCAAATTTTCCGCATCACGTTTACGATGTTTACTTGCGCAAGTACAAAATTTTTTTTGTCAATTCTGAAATTTATATCAAAGCTGAAACATGCTCAAGAGTACACACTGAGTAACTTTTCCATATACCTTGTAAATTTGAAATTTCTTTAACTCCGAGAATACATATGACGATTGTACGTTCAAAAAACGTATCAAGCGCCTCATGAATTTCAACGAAATTTTTTGAAATATATAAACTCTCTTTTCGACTGGCTTCGGACGTGAAACAACGCGGCACTATCTGCGCCTGCGCCAATCAGACAACAGTCCTTTCTTTTTCGACGCCTAGGCGTCGAAAAAACACCTCGAACCAGCCGTGAATCTGCGACTGTCTCTGAACTATTTGTTCCACAACTGGATAGTTCAGTTAATTCAGGCTAGGCGGTTTGGCAGGGCTTTTGGCTTTATTTTCGTATGGAGAGCTGCGCGGGCTTGCAGCTTTGAAAAAAAAGTTTATCAAAAAGGCTTGAACTTCAAAATTTTCACCGAAAAAATTCTTTGAAATCGATAATCTTAGTCTCTGTTGAACTTTAAGTGAAAAATAACCAAAAACGAGCTTTTTGTCGTAAAAGAAAAGCTTGATACTATATATAATTGTAAATGAAAAATTTTAGCTTTTTGGGCCGGCAGTTTCTGCTTAAGTTGCGTCGGGGTTAGAAAATGGCCAGGGACCGAAAGACTTGGTCGGTCCACACAAAAGCCTGACTTGGGCGTAGTTCACTATAATTTTTTTACAGCCCTTCGTAGCATAAGATATTCCGACAGTGATTAGAAAAGAGAGAACGGGAAGAAAAGAATCAAAAGATCCGCAAAAAGCCGACGGAAAGTAAGCGGAAAGTGAGCGCTCGAGCGAAACCGGTAAAGACAAGGAAAGAAAACAGGCGCAAAACGGTGAGAAAACGTGAAAACGCCGCGCCCGCGGTGAGCCGACGCGAAGAAATCGGAGGGTATCGATAAGAAAACGCAAAAAAAAATTCGGGAGCCCGCGGAAAGCCGATAGGAAAGATGGCGTTCGAACGTTCGTCATCTGCGCATGCGGACTGTCTTGTTTTTACCGCTAAGCCCCCGCCAGTGTATGAGAAAGCGCGCTCCAATGTAACACAGAAAACAACGCCGCGTGCAGTTACGACGCTTGTTTCTTGCCAAAGGCGCGCGTTACTTTCACCTCGTGTTCAAAGTGGTACCGCGAAAATTAAAAGACGCGTCTTTTTAAAGTCTAGACGTCAGAGGTTGAAAAAGATAGCTGAATTCGGAGATTCACAGATATTTTTGAATCTGCGAAAATTACTTGGTCGTCTTTCTTCATTTAAAAGTTTTTTTAAATATAATTTCTCGGCTCAGCTCTCAATTTCAAAAAAATTTTTTTAAATTAATAATGTTTGAAAAAGGTACATAAAATAATTTTTCAAGAATGACATTGTATTCTTAAGTGTGTATACATTTTTTTAATTTACCAATAGGAACAAAAAAGTTTTATTTCATGGTTTCAGGGTAGAGGGCTGGATCGCATTAAGAAAGGTTGAAATTTAAAGGAAGGCGAGGTTTGTGAATATACAATGAGAGAGCGATTGTGTAAAAAATGATTTTAGGCGTACGGTTCGAACGTCGTCCCTCGAATGCTCCCCGGTCAATCTGTGTTATCTTTTACATTCACTTTGCTAATATTAAGTCTACTTTTTTTGCAGGTTGCCTGAAAAACCCTATTATTTATTCTCGGCCAACTTTTTCTTTTTTTTCAGGCGAAGGCGACTCAAATTTATCCAAATAGCTACGTTCACTTATCTGTTACTAACAAAGTAAATGGAAGGCGGACAGATAGTTGTGCCAATTATCTTCAGTATCGGCATGAAAAAATCGCCGAAACGTTCGAAAATGCCGTAAGTTTGATTGCTCGTTCGACTTTTGCATAGCTGGCTTGAGACACTAAACCACAAAAAGTTTTATGTGCAGCCTACCAAAAAAAAATAAATCGCTCTTTTTTTGTATCAAGTCTCTTTCTTCGAAAGCTCAAGCCAGTTGTGAAACGGCTATAAAAAGGCATATCTTTTTTATTTTATTTGAAGGAGCCATATTCTCTGAAATGGTGGCGGAACGTGGAAAAGAACATGGATATATGCCCGTTGCCGCGTAAAGCCGAGCTGGACATGAGCTACAAAGGCGCCGTTGTCCCACTCAAGTACCGCGTAGATAAAGACGGCACATTGTGCACCAAGAACTTGTATAACAATTTCCGTGGAGCTGCGCAATTCCAGGTATCTTTCCGCAGTCATTTTCATTGGAACGACTTAAAAGAAAGATGATTTCAATCGAGGCTCCGTTCATATCTGAAAATGGAAATGAGCTCCACAGGCGAATCGAGAAGGTAACATAATGTGTCCACAGAGGTACCTCTCAAAATGGATCGTGAAGGCCCCGTAATGTGTCCATCGTGAGACCTCCGGCATACCTTTTAGCTATATCTGATCCACCTCGGAGGTACTTCAGAGTCTCCCTCAAGTCTATCTCCTTTTGCTCAAAATCCTCAGAGGCTCGAGGTACTATCGTGAGACTTCAGAGCCTGCGATATACCTCACAGAGTCTCGCGACACCCTTTCTCGATTCACTAAATGGAGAGAAGAATCTATCTGCACAACTCGATTCAAGAAAACACGAGTCAAAAATCCCTTTTTTGTAAATTTCGCGAGAAATCAGATCTGTAAAGTTCCCTTTAGCAAAATAAGCGGATGTTGCCAGTTTTTTAGGATTTTTATATAGAGCAAAGAACTGTATTAACCAATTTTCAATTTCCTGACTTTTTTAGTGAGGCTCCATTTATTTTAGTTCTTGGTGAAAAGCAGTCATGAGGCTATAGTTAGCCACAGAACTTCGATCACAAAAAAAACAATATCTTGGGACGCTTGACAGAGTTTGACTATTTTCTTTTGTCGTATGATACGTGGATTATATGCTGAACATCTAAAAGTTTGAACACGCCAAAGAAAGTTTTAGAGGTTTGAAGAATTTTTCAAAAAAAGAGAAGTTTTGAATTTTCGGATTGTTTTATTCAGTTTTTTCTCATTTGAAGTAGTAGATTCTGAACCCGAATCAAATTTTTTTCATTTTTTTCCCTCTTCAGATTGATAGCATCAATTCGTTTGATGCTTCGGCGGCTCTCTTCACTGTGGAAAAAGGAAGACAATTCCTTCAAGGCTGGAGAGACTTTTTGGTGATTTGAAAACAATTTGTCCCGAAATGTGGCTGTTTCAGTTTCTTGATTTTTACGATCCAAGTATCAACATTTCAACGGCTCCGCCCACTTTTTTCTTGTACAAAGACGTGTTCGATTCTCATATACGCGTGAGAAGACATGTCTCATATACATTCGATGATGTAACTATTTAGGATCTCGCAGACAACGTTGATGACCTGGAGCTGCGATTTTACCGCCCTCGTGCATACGCGATAGAACCTTCGATGGTGTTCATCTGGATCATCTCCATGACATGCGTCGCCGGCGGAGGCTTCTGGGCTTTTTACCGACATCGGTAGGCTGCCCCATTCTGCTCTCTTATAATTTGGCTGCGCAGATTGGGGAAAGATCAAATGGAAACTCAAGGATCTGACGAAAGGGTCGATGAAAACTTGTGTTGCACCAAATATGGAAACTACTTTGCTATCGGATTCCTAATGGGAATGCTCACGACGATTATGGTCCTCGGCTACTATTTCCGCGGCTATCTCGGTCTGATAAGTGCTCATGGAACAAATGTGAACGTTTCCCCTTTCAGTTTTCGTCTTCAACGTCGCGCTGGTCATCTTTGGCTCTTTCAGTGTCTATGGCTGTTTACGGGCGCTCTTCTCCAACTTTGCCTTTAGTAAAAGCTCACTCTATCTGGCCGAGATTTCAGTTCTCAGAAAGTTTTGTAAGCGGCTTATCGTCTTCCTCCTGTAACATCTTTTTACAGTGTTTGGAAGAAAATTGACGTATGTAGGAATACTGATCTACCTTCTTTCTTTGGCCCCTTGTGTGTATTGGTACGTTGTGCGGCGATCTCCTTACGCTTTCATTCTGTTGGACCTAATCAACATGACTATATGTTTACACATTCTCAAGAGTCTGCGATTGCCAAGTTTGAAGGTACGGAAATTATTATTATTTTCATTTTTCCGCAGGCTAGACGTTCTAAATTTATCTTTGATAATTTGCAGTGGATAACTTTGCTAATGTTCTGCATGTTCATCTACGACCTTTTTATGGTTTTTGGAACTAAAGGATTAACGAAAAACGGCTGTTCGGTCATGCTCGAAGTAGCGACAGGAATGGATTGTTCCAAAGTAGAGCCGGGCGGTTACCCGATACCACCTGTGGATTCGCACAACCCCGAAAAGGTTTCAACTCTTTTAAAAACGAACAAATAATCCAACTTTCGCAGTTTCCCATGCTGATACAAGTACCTCGCTTTGACGTGATGCACTCTTGTATCGACTTGGTCGTAGAAGACGGATTTCAGGCGAGCATTTTGGGCCTCGGCGATATCATCATTCCCGGTTTCTTTTTATTTTTATTTTTTGCAAGCTTTTGTTTCTAGGTTACATGGTTGTTCATAGTTTCACGATGAATGGTATAGGAGAAAGAGGTCATCTCGTCTATGGGACAGTCTGCGTTTTTGGTATTTTTCAACCTAGAAAATTGACAATTAAAAAAACACGAGCAGGGTACGGAATCGGACTGATTGTAACATTTTTCGCGTTGATGTTGACAAAAGTGGCTCAACCCGCTCTGATTTATTTGGTGCCTTGTACGGTGATCCCTATATTCGCCCTCGCCTTTCTTCGTGGCGAGTTTGTGATCGTTTGGAACGGCGCCCCTCAAAATATGACATCCAAAGTCAGAATTCAACTTGTACAACGTTTTTTTTGTATCACTTTCAGAGCGAGGAAAGCAACTCCGTGTTGATGACGTCAAAGCGGGAAGGCCAAGAACTCGAAAGCAATTCCTAGTTTCGTTTTCAACTCTTTTCATTTATGCTTACTCATTTCAAAAAAACCTTATTGGCCCTTTGTGCTGGTCACGGCTTGTTTGCTTTTTAGGTTATTCTTCCAATAATCACAATTGGTTCAATTCAATCGATTATCATCAAATGAAAAATGTATAGAAATTTATCATTCTCATGACATCCATCATTAACACTTTATTGAGTCTAAAGACTTCTGTGGAAATATGAACATAATAGAATTTTTAAAGAAACGTCGGAAAAATTGTTTTTTTATTGATGAAAAAAATTTAATCTTCATTTTGGTCTCAAATAAATTAATTTTTAACATATCTATTTACACTCTAAATAAAAACCCAGAAAAAAAGAAAAAAATAAGAGCGAGAATTTTTCGCGTTTTGCATTTTTGAAAATTATCTAATTTTTCGAAGCCTATTTTAACATAGGCGAATCGAGAAAGGGTATCGCGGTACTCCCGGAGGTATATCGCAGGATCTGAAGTCTCACGATGGAACCACGAGTAACCTCAGAGGGGTTTGAGCAAAACGAAATTGAGAAATACTCTCAAGGACCTCTATGTGCCACAGATAGATCTAAAAGTTATGCCGGACGATGGACATATCATGGGATATTCACGATTTTCTCCCCAAAGTTATAAAAAAAAAACCAGGAATTCGCTAATATTCAATTCCTATCATCATATATAGTTTCGTTGTAATCTGAACACCCAATTTACTGTGTTAATTCATAAAAGTATCGAAAATCCTTTTGTGATTGAAAGTTTCAACACAATTCTATTTTTTTTTCCATAAATCTTTATTATGAAAACAAAAACAAACCTAACTGGCGAAAATAAAACCTCGAAAAAAGAACAACAGCAACGAGAAAAAAAATGAGTAAAAATAACCGTTTGATCAAGAGAAAGAACTGCCGCCGAAGCCGCCCATGCCGGCAGCTGCGACCTCCTCTTGCAGACGTTTTTGGAGAGTCTGTGACACTAGATTCCACGACTCCATGAATCGATCCATACACCGTTGTAAACATTGTTTTTCATTGTTCGAAAGCGAACTTCCAGGGCTGGTAATGCACTTGTTTGTACATTTTTCCGAGATATCCTAAAACATTTCAAATTTAAAACCGTAGAGCGAAATTAAGTTTTAATATCCTGGGAATATTGGTATTAAATTCTTTATAGCTCGAGTTACGAAATTAAGATCTCAGGTTGGGCCATAAAACGAGCACCTTTTATAGACCCAATGAAATGCCGGATTACTTTTTAAAAAAATTATAGATATATTTTTGATTACAAAAGGTGAATTTATGCTACAATGATACTATCGATATTCTACCTGAAATTTGCAATTGCTATCGGGTAGCCCCGGGCTAGCCCGACACACTCTTCCCGAGTAGTAATATTTTTTCAGCGTTGTTCAATGAAGTCTTGGCAAGTTTCAAAAAAAACCCCTCGGGTGTTAGACGACCGCCAATCAGCCACCTGGTAGCAATCCCAAATGTCGAGTAAAATAACGATAGTATCCAAATACCCACACGGTAGAATCGAGGTACTAAAGTGGGCGTGATAAGTGTAGAACCCGGAAACGCGATCGGAATAACCGCAAAAACACGTCGCGTCAAAATTCAAATTATATCTAATGTCTCGGAAGTTATGGAGGTCCTATACTCCTGACGTGCACTTATAAAGATAATACGCAGTGCTAATGAGCGATTACCGATTAGCTTACGCATTCCGAGTAACTACCCGGTAGCTACTTGTATCCTAAGTATTTATACGATCCTTATCTCCAAACGGTGCAAAAAATACTTGACGAAATCTATGCAGCTGTCAAAGTATTTAAGAAAGTTTTATCCAAAAAGTAAGATTTTTCGGCAAAACTTTTCTTTCAAATCAAAATTAAAATCTTTGGCACGACTATGAACATAAACTTTTTCTCTGTTTGTTTTAATTTTAATGCATTTTTTCCATTAAATAAATGCCATTTCTCTGAAAGCGCATTTATAAAGGCTCACTCATCGCAGCTCAATTATTATTTTTGATTTTCCAATTTTTTCAACCAACTCCAATGGATTTTATAGTTTATTTTTTTAAAATTATGAACTGAATTGCATATTTTTGCACTCTCAATGTATCCAGGAATAGTTAAACTAACTTAATTTTTATTTTTTCAGTTTTTCATATGCTTTTTGACAAAACTCTCAAGGAAAGCATGTTTTTGCGTAAAACGAGTAGTATTTTTCTTTGTAAATACTCATAATTCCACTCACCGTGACAAGGTTTTGGGCGTTTGCCAAAGCAGCTTGTTGTTTCACACCGGTAATCACTTGTTCTTGTTGTTCTGGAGATAGCTTTTTTAACGCATCGACATCAAGCATCTGGTCCATCTGAAAAATATCTCGATAGAATCACAATTTTTAGCATTAGTATTTTTTCAGAGTCGGCCAAAAAAGTCTCGAAAAGAAGAAATGTTTCGAAAAAAAAAAATTAGAAACAAAAAACAACGGAAAAAAACGTGATGATAATGTGAAACTGGAACTTACTCTAAACCCAGAAAAAAGCTAAATATGAAAAAATATAACTGTTTCGGTGCAACTTAGGCGCGCCAGTAAACACTTTTTTTTGAAAGCTTTGGTTACGCGACGTCAGAAGTTTCTGTGCATTCTCAGCAATCTTCAGTGTTCACTGCAAAAGCTCAGAATCGTGCGTGGCGCGTCGGATTTGCGTCGCCAAAGTCCTAATTGCGCCCTCATAGTTTTAATTCCGCATTCAAACTAATTTTAAGAAACTAGAAATAACTCAAGAGAGTGATAAAGATAACAAAAAAAAATGGAGATTCGCAGATCATTTTGAATTGCGCAAAAATTATTGAAACACGCTGACTGGTTTTTGGAGCGTCCATTCGTTGAAATAAAGTTTGTGGCGCTCCTTTATGTGTCCGAGCTCTGAGAAGAAGCGAAAACTTTATTTCGCGCCCTACAGCTAATTTGATGAGAGAAAGTTATCCCTAGAGGCTTAAATAAGAAAAAAAAATTCCAAAAATGTGTAGTGCAAAAGCATTATAAATAAAATTTTAAAACTTTGATGCTTCATGATGATATTCATGAGTCAATATTCACTGTTTTTTTTTCTGCGCGGCGAATACACACATCGAATAACACACGCAATTTTGATATCTGTGAAGTTTTAATCGGACACGACGAAAATTGCTCCAAAACGCAAGAAAATGCTTCAATACAAAAATTAGTAGTGTTTTGGAGCAACTTTGATGCGCCGATGAACACGCTTTTTCGTTTTGAAACATGTTCCAGAGTTCCGATGAACACTAACCATTTTTTCAACCCTCTGACCGCTATTTTCAATTTCTCGGAATCACTTTGAACACGGCATTAGCATCGAATTTTTTTTTATTTGGAAAAAAATTCGGAAGTATGTTAATTATCTTTGAGGAGGATAGACGCATCTAGATTCACAAGAAAAGACATATTCAATAGTTGAGGTGTTGATCGTCAGATATGATGTTTTTTGTGCATGTACCCTAAACGGAAAGCCGCATACCGCCGGAATTTTTTTAATGGTGCGCACCATTAAACGTGCGTTCATTGGGTCCGACACAACAAAAACAAAATTTGCAGTGTTTTGTAACAGCTCTGTTGCGCCGCCGACACGCTTCTGCGTTTTGAAACATGTTCCGTCTCTTCAGTGGATAGGCCATGAATTTTTAAAATGACCAAGAAAAATTTTGAAGCGTGTAAAGTAAAAAAAGAATTATTGCGCGTTTTTTTCCAATATCAAAACAGAAATTACTCAAGAAATCAATTTTTCAAACAATTTTCGAAAACCTTCATGCCCTGTTCCAGGCTTGTGCGTCAGGCCGGGCTTCGGGCCTTCATTTTTAAGAAATAGCCTGCGCGCGCTCGGGCCAAGCTTCGAAAAAAAATTTCACTTTTTTTTATTTTAACTTGTTTAATCATAGCTTCTGACAACTTTATAAGAAAAAAATAAGCATAAACATCACTTTTCTAAAAAAAAAAAAACTAGACTTGTAAAAAAATTGGGCAGGGCCCGAAAAGCTCAAATTTTCTTTTTAAAAAAAGTGGGCTTTCAGAATATATTCGACGAACTTGAGTTTTTGAAAAACATTTCGAGAAAATCGATGGGTAGACAGGCAATATTAGAAATACTTGTGATTGGGAGAAGGAAGAGTTTAAAAAAAAAATAGTCGAAACCGTGAAATGAAAAACGAATTGAATTGTACTGATTTTTCTGCTCAAATCTAGAGCCAAATTTAGTATGAAGTTGAGCGCCAAAACAGGCCTCTGTTCCTCGCTTTCTCAGCGGTTTGAAATTCTTGCCTTTCATACACGGCACTCTTTCTTCAATTGATTATGGAGTTTTCATATTTTCATTTGCATATTTTGGGAAATTCTCGTAGGAAAACTACGTGTCTTTATGGATATAGTCTGTTCAGATTTTGAATGTCAAGCAGCTAACTCCACCCCCAAGGCTACAATATCTTTCGTGTCAATGTCTCATCGCAGATGACGATGAGCCTTTAATATGGCTGGATTTTTTGACTTCTTTTTCCATCTTTGAGAACAAATAAGATCAAAAATCGTCCCGCGCGATAAAACAGGTACTGTGGCGGAGTTAGCTGCTTGACACTTCGCCCCAACTATTTCTCTGACCCACACTATTTCGTCGTTTTCTCGCAGCTAGATAACGACGGAATAGTATGCAGGCTTGTGCGAGGGCCGGCCCGTTAGCCAATTGGCCCCGACCATTTTCTAAGCCCGAGCAGGTTTTTTTTTTCTCAAAAATGAAGCCTAAAGCCCGGGCCGGGCCGGCCCGGCCGCGCGGCCTGAAGCACAAGTCTGATAGTATTTTTCAGAGAAAGAGTCGTGGCGATCTCTAGACGTCCCATGTCAGAGTAGCACTCTTAAGTTTTTCACTTTTTAAACTCGGCCGTAATGCAAATCGGACGTTTCTGAGAATTTCTAGAGATCTCTATAGCGACGTCAGCACTCTTAAGTGTTCACTACCAAAGCTCAGAAAAGTCCGGAGCGCGTTCGGTTCACGTAAGTCCGAGAAAGTCTAGAGTGAACCAAGCAGATTGTTCTTCGCTAGAGCGCGTTTTCCCAAAATTACGAGTAGAATCTGAAAAATAATTTAATTTAATATAATAATGCATTATACATGTATACATAGCGTTTTCTTATGAAAGTTCTTAAGCCAATAAACTTTTTCTCAACGAAACTTCGCCGTGCCTTTTGCTTATCACGCTTTCTGTCACGTCTTGGCTGGTCACGCCTTCTTTCGGGAGGCGGACATGCCAGTTGAAGACCAAGTTCAGTAGTGTGACATGAACGAGGCCGAACTTCAAAGCTCAGCTTTTTTTGACTTTTAAAGAAATTTTTTTTGTGATGGAGTCAGAAAAAAGTAATATCTCCGTTCTATCAATTTTTTTCCAATCCGTTTCATTGCACATAGGCCACCATGCAGTATGAGCTATCCGAAAATCAAAAATAGTCTGATATGTCGGAAATCAGTCTGCACTCTCTAGTCCCCGGATATCCCCCTTCTAGTCGAACCGCTGTTGCTTTTTTTGATGTACAGTATGCTGCACGTGGCGTCGAAAAAAATTTTATACGCGCAATTTCCGCGCGTGTATGCGGACTATTGATTGAAGTTTCAAATTTGGCGCGAAAAAAGGAGCATTTCTTTCATTTGCGATAATCGTTTCGAATGGAAAAGTTCGTTATATCGTATGCATCATGAATTTTTTGGCCTAATTTCCTTCCCCCAATCTTCTTCTCTGCCGATCTTGTTCCGAAAACCTTTATCTCTTACGGCTTGACCTAATGGTTTTTAAGCTCACATTTAAATGTATTAAACAGATTTTTTTCTCCTTCCGTCTTTAATTTCTCCGACTTTTCCATCGATCGGTTTTTTCTTTTCCCTCTTTCATGTGATTTATTTTATTAATTTTTTTACTCGAACCTCTTTGAATAGCAATATGAACTCCTTGAGCTGACAAGTATAAATTTTGTGAAATGTTTCGATTGCAGATTATAATGGCGGATGACAGTGCTGCAGCCGGTGGTGGTGAAGGGGCTGGCGAGTATATCAAGATCAAAGTCGTGGGCCAGGCAAGATAACTATTCCAGTCAAGATTCAATGAAATTTCGTTCAGGACAGTAACGAAGTTCACTTCCGCGTCAAGTTTGGAACGAGTATGGGCAAACTGAAGAAGTCGTATGCGGACCGAACTGGAGTTGCGGTTTCGTCTCTCCGGTAAGTTTTTTTTTCCGCCTAAAATTTGATAGCGTTTATAATCAAAACTTCGAGTATTGGTAACAACGAAAAAAAGGGAAATACCCAGTTTGTCAAACTTTTTAAGAACTTACGTTTGATAATGAACTAAAACACGCAAAACCTTCAACTTGTTTTAAGGTTCCTTTTCGATGGCAGGCGGATTAACGACGATGACACTCCAAAAACTCTCGAGATGGAAGACGATGACGTTATCGAAGTAAGTAAACAAAAGAAATTTTCATACATGTATGAGTGAAAGAGAATCAGAGCGTTCGCTACCGGTGCTCCAGTTTCAATTGATTATATAATTTTCAATGAAGAAAAAAAATAAACAAAAAAAAAAAAAATAATAATAGCTTTAATCCTTCGGTGCTGAACACGTTAACGAAAATTTTTTAGTAATATTTTCTGAGCATAAAATATTAAAATAAAAGCTTCAATGGCAACTTCACATATTCAGGTCTACCAAGAACAGCTCGGAGGATATTGAAAACGGGGATTGGAGTCTTACGATAAACCGGTATCCTCGTATCTCAAAAAAATTTACAATTTACAATGTACTCTTTTTTTTATTTATTGTTCATTTCATTTCTTCCATCTTTTATTTATAACCAAATCACATTTGCGCTTTTATTTAACATAATCTTCAAATCGTGTTAATCTTTACGTTTACAATAAATTACTTCCTCAGATATTCCTGAACGCGCTTCGAAACAGCTTCATCGACACAATCTCCGTCTTTCATGAACTTCTCGATTTCCTCGACAGTCCGAGGAAGATCGCTCATGTTTTCGTTTCCTTTTGCCCAAATTACAACATCATCTTCGATTCTGACCTAAAAATAAGTGATTAAAGTCACCCAGTTTCAAATGACTAGTAAACTCCTCCGAAACCACGATATTTATCGACTTCAGTCTTGACGAGGAACCTAGCTTTCGATGGGTCAGCCAATGCTTGGTCAAGTAGCGTGTCGATAAAGTAACATCCCGGTTCAATAGTAATCACCTGGAAAAAAAACTTGCTTGTGACACGAGAGAAGGTTTTCAAAACCATGCGTTCCTGCAAAGTTCTCGTCGTTCGCAAGCTTCTCAGCCCTGGAAGTGTAGATCTCGGCGTTGCGTCCTGAATTTTTTGGGAGATTCCAAAAGAAAGAAAGAACAAAAAAGTTACTCCAAGGTATCCACCGCAGTCGTGGACGTCGAGTCCGATGAGATGACCCAATCCATGAGGCATAAAGACTGCTCCAATTCTTGCCGCAACAGCTTCTTCAATGTCGCCAGTGACGAGTCCTGCCGCTTTCAAGTGTTGCAGAATAACGCGCTCTGAGAGGATGTGCATGTCCGTCCAACGAACACCTAAGACGCCACAGGTTTCTTTGGGAAATGTCCCACGAATGAACCTGGCTTGGCTTCTCGGAAAACGGCCAAAGATGCTTCGAGCACGGCGTTGTAGATGATCTTTTGTTGATCGGTAAACTTTCCATTGCTTGGGAAAGAAGTCGTTATGTCAGACGCTGAAAAAGAAACCCGAAATAACTTTTTTTTTTTTTTAAAAAAAACCGTAGCAATTGTACTCTGGACCCATGTCGAACAGGCACATGTCGCCATCTTTGATCAACTTGTCATTCGGTGCGTTAGCATGGCCGTAATGCAGTACCGAACCGTTACATCCACTTGAAAATTAATAGAATTTAAGGTTTTTGCTCCGGAAATTCTCACGAGGCTGCTATGCATGTGTAAGCCAGATGACGGCACCCTCCATGGAAGTAGGATGTATGTCGGAACAGGCTGAAACGAGAATGAATAGCAAAAGTGGTTAACGGTCGCAAATGAACCTTTCAAGTTGGTATTCGTAGAGTCCAGGCTTCATGTTTTTCATGGCGACACGGTGGGCTTCTGATGCTATTTTACTGGCGTACCGCATTACCTGGAATTTAAATCTCTGCATAACCATTTCATGGTTATGTACCTCAAGCTCTTTATCAGTTTTCAAAACGCGGAGCTCAGCGATGGTTTTATACAAGATCAGGACGTCAGTTGAGAATCTTGAATTTTCAAAGAAGGCTGATTAAATGAGCGGGTCACTTTTCCTCACTTTTCGATTCCTTCGAAGCTTGCAGGTTCGAGGACGTTACCACTATCCGTGTTGTCAGCTCTCTAAAAGAGGAATTACTAAAACTAGAACGTTTTCGAAACCAGAAGAAGAATCTTTTGAGTATTTATACTCTGCAGCTTGTTGGCGATGGCGCTTCTGTCATTGAAATGCACTTCGTCAACTTCGTATTTGTTTTTGAACCAGTCTTCTCCGTTGATTCTTTGAAAAAATGAAACGTCTTCTGTATTATTCAAAAGATCCTACTTGCCGTCCCAAATAGCGTAGCTGGGGTCGAGTCGCGGAGGAAACAGGAAACTTTTGCCCGAGTCGAGGTCGATGGCTCCGTAAAAGTCGCTTTCGTGCACGCCAAAAGTCCAGAAGAAGTAAGACTCCTGAGTGCTCCGCAGTCCGTGAGTAACTCTTTTTTTCCTCAGAAAAACCTGTCTGAAGGGCAGGTCTTCGGCATCCGTGTTGTACCGGTTCTTTTCCTTGCCGCCCTCGAGAAAAACAACATTTCCGTTCTCGTTAGCGCCTAAAGTCTTCTTCAGAGCCTCCAGAAGCCGCTTTCGATTTTCCTTGAAGATTTCCGCCGAAACAGTCAAAGTGTTCTTGCCAAGTTGATATGCCATTCTCCTCAAATTGAGCTGCTTATCATCGGTAACTCACCTCGAAAATTTCATCGTATCGAAAAAAGTCTTGAAGAATTAGCATTGGCAAATCTTTTCGAAGCAAACCGTCCCAACTCGAAAGGGTGTTATTTAAAGAAACTTGCAAACTGAAGACATACTGATACCAGCAAACAATACTGGGAAGAGTTTTTACATACAGTTCATCGAAACAAACTCGACTGGCTTCAATAATATTGAAATCATGCTCATTCAACTTCTTTGAAAAATGGCATGTAAACTACAGCGTAGTCCCTTCTTTCAAAACATTCATTAAAACTCAAAGTTGGGCTAGATCTTTTCTCCTATCGAATGAAAAAATCCAACATATTTTTCTACAATTTCTAACTACTGGAAAATACAATAGGACAAACGAGAAAATTTTCCCAACGCGTTGTTTGTGGGAGAACTTCACAGAACGAATAATTTGTTTAAAAAAGAATCCCGAGAAACTTTTCACGAAGCAGAGAAGAACGAAATGAAAATTTCGTTGATCAATAGAAATACCGCTTACACACTTTAATGAAATACTCTGCGTTTACTTAATTTTTTAGGAAAACGTGAAGATGATTAGCGGTATTTCAAACACTGCGACCGTTATCTGTGGTCTGATAAGCCTTTCGCTTTGTTTTGCACCCTAAAAGGCGCAATCACAAGTTACACACATTAATGTTGAAGATTCCTTGAAAATTTTATGTTCCGTAAAAAATATTCACACGAGATATCTTGAATCTTTATAATATAGTTAACCGTTTTGAAAATATGTGAAGCGTCTTCTTGGAGTGCCATAAAAAATTGCAAAGGAAATTAAAGCAGGAAGACAATGAATAAATTCATCTTTCACATGTGATAATCAGATTTTTTGAATCAAAGAACTACTCCTTCATGTTTCTCATAAGGATACATAAAAAATACAAGTGAAATTGAAATTTCGATGGCGTGGATTGCACTCAATACGAATTCAATAGAAACTGTTGCAATATCTCTAAAACGGTCGTTTCGAGAAACTGATACATGCTTCAAATTGAAAAGTTAAAGTTTTCACCCACTATCTACAATATAATAGAAATGAGAATCGGTCGAAAAGAAACTCGAACTTTAGGCAACGAAAAACCGCCTAAAAGACATTTGTGTGAATCTTACGCAGCCGTAGCAATCGAAAAAAAAGCATTGGTGAAAAAAAAAAGAAAGTTTCAACAATTATTAATCAAAACAATAAAGTAACCCTGCGAGAGTGAATTGAACCGCTTAGAACTTAACAGAAGCAAAAGGAAAATGAAGCCGTTTCTCTTGGTAAAATATCGCTACCGAGACAGCAGCGCTTGTATTATCGGCCTGTGCGACTGCTTGACTTTCTCAGCGCCTTCGATCAAAGACATCCAAGTTCGCTGACGTCCGAATTCGCCCTTATATTCATTGTCATGAATTGAAATTTTTCTCAGATTATCATTAAACAAAAAATTCGGAAAATTACGCCAAAATCTATGTTAATACCATGTTCATAGTAATTTCCGCGAAAGGCAAATTTATCTCTGACTCTCCAAAAATTAAATATTTTTTCTTTCTCTGACGGCAATTTCGGATTTCGCGGAATCATTTTGAGCACGTCATAAATTTTTGAAACGAAACAAGGTTACATGTTATTAGTTTCAAATTACTGACCGGTAACTTTTTCTTTATTATTGGAAAACTCCATTATTTAAGAAAAAATAAAATAAAAGAAAAGGAACTTAAAATGCACGTACAAAAATTAGGAAAACTTTACTTGAACGCAGTTTAGTGAATGGAGTTTGAAATGGGGAATTATTGCCTTTTTATGCCGTTTTCAAAGTTATCCCGCAAAATTCAAAATGACCGCCAGAGAGTGAAAAAGATAAATTTTGGAAAGTCAGAGATAACTTTGTATTTCGCGGAAATTACTTTGAACGCGGCTTGTGAATCCCGAGACCCGGTTTCAGTACTACAGTTTCATTTCAGTCATTAAAACGAGTGGATTATTGTTGATCCGAAAATAAGAGTCAAACTTGTGAAATTTTTTCGAAAACTTTTACATCAGGACACTGGTCCTGCAGGCTTAATGTCTGAAATTAGGAAAATTTGGTATTTTATTAGCTCCAGTTAGTATTGAATCTATTCAGAAACATTCATAAATGTTCAGAAAAAAAAAAACCAACATACTTCTTGCCATTTCTGAAGTTCTTCAGAGACTTTCATCAGAAAAACTTGTGTCCGATGTTTTCTTATGTCATCCTGAAAATTTCATTACTGATGTCAAGAGAAATAAAAGACCTGAAACACTCCGATAAGTTCTACAGTCTGCGCCCGGACGCCGGCTTCTTCCATAAGCTCTCTTCGCGCCGCTTCTTCGGCACACTCGTCTTTTTCAACTCCGCCTCCTAAAATTTTCAATCATCCACAAAAATTGTTTTAGAAAAAAAAACAAATTTTGATTGGGTAAGACTATACTTCAATTTTTTGGAGAATTTGGAAAAAAAAAAGTACCTGGAACGACCCACTGACGTCCATCTTTGCCGCCACTTACGAGAAGAACAACAGTTTCTTTACCTTCTCCTGAAAATCGAATGTTATTTGAAGTAAATACTAGTTTCTTACATTTCAAAAGGAAACATGAAATCAATAAGTAGGAGAGGACATTTTGAAAAACTAGCCTATCTCAGCTGGTAAAACGCCTTATACAGTTTTTACAAGGCCGGAAGTTTTATAATCACTTATATCTTATCTACATTTTTTACACATATTATACATCAATTCATGGCTATTACACCTTTTTTTGGTCCCTGGATCCGCATTTAAAAATCAAAAGTAACCTGTAAAAATTGGTACATGCAAAGTGAAAAAATGCAGTTAAAATATTCATTTAAATTCGACGATAAAAAAAAAAAGCAAAAAAGCAAAAAAAACGCTGCAATTTTTTTATCATTTTATAGACCTTATAAGAAATTTTTAATTGTATCAAAAAGTAATAAATTTGAAAAATTATAATTATAAATTAGTCTATATATAAATTTTTAAAACTTCACACTGGCAGTTGCCGGAAAAATATAATATCTCGTTTTTTTCTCATACGGCCCCCTGGATAGATCGCTATTGCGTCTTTCAAAAAAACGCTTACAAGAGTTCATTAAGACGCAATATATAGGTTATCACTACACAAATTGAAATTTCTTTGTGGAAAATATGGGATCAGTCTTATCAGTGCAAAGTGGTATTTAGATTCGGCGATATTAAAGCCTGAGCAAGTCTTTTTGGAAACACTAAAAGTCAGGGAAACTTTATAACATGATACCTCGAATGCAAACGCCCGCGGCACGGATGCGGAAGCCGTCGTCATCGCGCAGCCTCTGACGGTCCCGGTCTTCGTCCCTGGACTTCCATCGCGAGAGCATGCGTACTCCTACAGTTCCGTCCAGTGTACTTGTCACTCGATCTTCTGTCCTCTCTACTGCGTCTCAAAAAAGTAATCAACTTACTAAAGAATTAGTTGAAAAGTAAAACGTCATAGACATGGGCATTTGAGAGAAAGAAGGTGGAATATTTTTTTATTAATAATATATTCGCCTTGGCTGAATGAAAAGGTGTTTTGTTCAAGAAAGTTTGTGAAAGAAAATGACAAATGTCTCGACAGTATCGGTAAATAGAGTACAAATTGGAGAGACATCAGATAACCATCCTATTAAAACCATTTAAAATGAAACAAGTTATACATATAGAGTCAAAGCAAAAAAGTTGAAAAAAAACCGACAAAGGAATCGCTTTTTCAAGGAAGCCATGCGAGAAATTTAAAAAAAAACGTGTTAAAAGCCGGTTCTCAAAAAGGTTTTCAACCAGCACAAAATTTACACTTTAGGGATTCATCCATGCACTCTCTGCATCGAAGTACCGAAAGAAAAAGCTCCCTCGATTAAGTGAAGAACACTCGCGCACGCGCGGTATCTCATATTTCTAAGGGAACACTTAAGAATTTTTTTCCTCGTTGCTTTCCAAGTGACTTTAAAATGTCCCTCGCATCTCTTACTGCGTATGCAAAATGAAAAGTTGCGAATACAGCACAAAACGGCTCTTTGCAGCTTATAAAAGTTCTTTACAGATTCAAAAAATTGAATGTAGAGCGGTCGAAAGGAGATTTTTTTTTGAATATGACATCGAACAAAAATTTTGAAAAAATTGTTAGCGTTTTATTGAGTGCTTAGTTTTCAAATCCAATATTTTTTTAGCTAGAATCAAATAAATATAGTCGTTCAAAGGACTTTGACCATAAAAAATTGATCTGAACATGGAAAACGAAAACAATTTATTCAAAAAACATAACAAATAACAGTAAAACAAGTGGTAATCCAAATAACAGAAGTTAACCGATTATGGGTTCGTAAACTGAGAAAAAAAAATCCAACTACTCATGAAGAACAGAAAATAGAGAAAAAAATTAATTAGATCGTACATTTTTCTCGTTTTAACAAGCCGTATGATAGCTAAAATTCGACTTCATGCCGAAAATTGAAATTCGAACGCAAGGATGATTTTTTCTTCAAAAAAAGATAAAAATGAGAAAAGTTCTACCGGAAGAGGAAAAAGCAGAGGAAAGCAAATAGCGCAATGACTGCAGATATTACAACGCGCCAAGACACGGCCGTCGTAACTACGGCGGCGCGTGGAGTAGAGACGGACGTCGGATGCAGCGGCTCTGCCATCATGCAGAACTTGGAGACGTCACGCACCTTCACCTTCACCCAGCCGCCCATCGGCGCTGCGTCCGCTGTCACTAGGATATGCTCGTAGCTTTTGTTGTGGCCGACGACGTGTTTTCCGTCTGCAAGCAGTCTTATCGGAGAATTCTGCTGCGCGCCCAACCTGAAGCCTTCTCGCAAATCAACACGTCGTGCACTTCGCCGATTCTCTCCTCCGTGTACCGAGAATATGATCGGAACAACTCGGACATGAGAGCCGTTCTTCTTCTCGCTTCCACTGTGTCTATCTAGAACAAACTTTGGTATTCTAATCTCTCATAACATGGCTCGTAGGCCGATCGGGTTGGTTCAACTCTTGGCCGACACTTAATATGGCTTTTTTTTCACTTGGGAAGCTTTTAGAGTTCACTGATGAAATGTATACTGAGCAAATGATGCTTTGTAATTCAAAAAGCTCTAATGAGAGACTTTCAAACTAATAGATTCATGTTAACCTTTTTGAGACGAGCGGCGGGTGTGCCCGAACGTGGGTAGTACTGATTGATGAACAACGACGGGAATCGGTACTTCTCAACGAGTCGCATACTTTCTTGGAAATCTTCTTCCGTCTCTGTCGGGAACGCAAGAATCATGTCGGTTGCGATGTAGATGTTGGGAACACTGAAAAAACTCTATTTTTCGGATTTTCGATTCATTACGGGCGAGAGATCTTCGTTATTCGTTAGATCTTCACGTATAAAAAATATTTCAATCGCCTTAAACCTGCAGTTGTCGCTCCTCGTTGAAGAAAAAATTTACAAGCAAAAGTTTAAAATTTTTCAAGCTGCTAAAGAGTGAAAATTCGGATACATTTCAATCATGTGTAGTTCAAGTTGCAACTGGATAAAGGAAAAAAATAGAAAAGATGAAAAATAATAATTTTTATTTGAAAGAGGATCAATTTTTTGAAATATACTTCTCATTTTCTACAAAAGAGATCTAGTATCGGTGACAAGTGTATAAAACAAACTTTTCAATCATATAATCCGCAATCTGCTCGAAATGCCTACGCGAATATTCGCGCTTCATGTCGTCGAGGACGGCGTCGCTGGCGCTTTGCACTGGGATGTGCAGGAACGAGTAGACTCGTGGGTGGTTGAGAATCTTTGCAATCTCCTCAAATCACATCCTCTTCAAAAAATAAAGTTTCCTTAAAGCTTTTCGAGTACCTAAGGATCATCGTAATACACATTACCAAGGTGAACACTAACTTTGAAGTGGAATAGCAACTAATCCAATCAATCTACCCTGAGCGCGATTTTTCCCACTTTAGTTACATCAAGACGGATCGCATGTTTATAATTATTATAGAAATAACCTCGAGGTGGTCAAGAATGTAGGGAGGATTGGTCATACCAAGACGCATCATACAGCCCTCGGGAATGACTTTGACAAGTTCATTGAGAAGGTCTGGAAGCACCTGTGAACACAAAAAAGCGGTAAAAGATGAAATTGTGGCTGACGTGGCCAATGTCGCGACCCCAGGCGCCGAGGTCTTCTGAAGTGAGCCAAATTTCCTTGACTCCGTCGTCGACAAACGATTTCCGCGCCTTAAGCGTTCATTGATTGGGGGAATGAAGCTTTTTCGGTACTTGTTCAACCAACTCTTCCAGCGGATAACTTTTCAAGTCGCCTCTCGCCATTTTCGTTTTGCAGTAGGTACAGTGGTTCAAACAGCCAGTTGAGATCGAAAGCACCTACAAAACGAAGAAATCCATAGGATTCGGTAGAGTGGAAGCTCAATCGAATAGCCTCAGTAAGCGAGAAAAAAAACTTTTGAATTTTCGATGCACATTTTTTTTTTGTAACATTGAGATAGTATTGTTAATAACGCATCGATACGTTGAAGCATGCACGAAATAATAAATGCTGGCCTCTTTATCCAGTTGGTTAATGTATGGAGATACTCTGACCAACAGACCTCGATCAATTGATTTTTCCTCATTTTGGGAAGTGCCAAAGGGGCATCTGGACGGTTTCTGGTCAGCAAACGAACTGAAATCGTTTCAATCAAACACTGAGATTTAAAAAATTGAATTTCTCAAACGGAAAAACCTTTGTTGCCTTTGAGCGTCTCCTCAACGACTTCGACGATGCGGTCGATTTGTTTGACGCCGACGATGGAGACCTCCTGGAGCCATGGCTCGGAAGGCGCCGCCTGCGAGACGCAACCCGCCATCACCACCTTTTTGCCCTTGTTCTGCGCTTGCGTCACCATGTTGCTTGCCTGCCAAACTGCCCAACTCTATCCGGTACTCTTTATTTTGGCGAAAAATTAGTATTAGTACCTTCTAGAGACTTCCACCTACGAGCCACTGAACTGACCTGCGTTTCAGACGGCGTTTTGACAGTGCAACTGTTGAGAACCCACACATCTGCATCGTCTTCTTGCTTGACGATTTGATATCCAGCCTGAAAAGGCCAAAACAACTTTTCGGCTATTCATTTGGCTATGATTTTTTTCAAAGAACTTGTAAACTAATATTAAAAAAACTTCCGAGGTTTTTGCGCAGAAATGCGTGAGGAAGATTTTTCAGAAAAAAATTAATTATTCAAAGCCCTTTGAAAATTTTTGAAAAAGATTTCGGAACAATGTGAAATTGTTAAATTTAAACTTTAAATTTCATTATTAAATTGAGGACCAAAACTGAAGTCACGAAACTTTTTATAAAAAAAGCATTTCATTTTTTTGGTAAAGAATCGAAATATTCCAGCCCGTCTGCATTTGTAAAAAAAGACTAGAATATCATACATCTTATTCATTTTTACCCATATTTTCTTCCGATTTTTGATAAAGGGGAAAAAAAAATCCAAAATTCCATCACGAAAATAGTGCACCCATTCTCGTAGGAGCTTTCTCATAACCGATAAACGCCGGCGGGAGCGACGTGAACAACAACGCCAAACTTTCAATGATCAAAACCAAAATTGAATATTCGGAATTGGAACGGAAAAATGACCTGAGAAAGGAGACCACTCATGTATTCACTGTCACTAGTGTTGTGTGAGCAGCCCCAGGTGCGTACCCAGACGCGATTTGTTCCAGGAACGAAAGAGTCCAGATTCTCCGGTTTCTCATCTTTCATCAACCCATTCGACTTTTTGCTCCTGTTCAGTCTTCAGGTTAGGTTCTGACAACAGCCTCACTAAAAAAAAACCTGATTTTAATGACAGTGTCGTTATTTTCCTTTCTGGAAGACGGTCCAAGACCAACGACATCCTCAATGTCCATTTCCCAGCTGAAAAAAAGTAAATTCAAAACTTGACCAAGGCCTGAAAATTTCCCAAAAAAAGGTATATTTATTCATACGATTGTAACGTTGTTTTTGTGAAAAGTTGAATTAATTGAAAATTTTTATAATAAGAGTCAAAATCACATGAATCAGCATACAAGATGAAATTGCACAGTGAATTGCATTCAGCATACAAATGCAATAAAGGTGTTTGAAAGTTCGGAAATAAGTCTCTTAAAATTTTTTTTTGTTGCAAGAATACAAAGAAACACGAGATAGTACACATGAAAGGCAGGATAAATAAGAGCACAAGAATAAGCACAAGCGAAATTGAGCCTGATACGAATGTAACTGAAGGAACTGATCGTTGGCAGAAAATTAGCGCAAAAGTATATAATAATGTACAAGTGACTAAAAAAACACAATATTAGTCAGTGGAATAACTTAATTATGAATGACTAGATGTAAGTTTATACGAAAAGACAGAAAACTGAAAAGTTGAAAACAGAAAAACATTAGAAGAAGGAAAGCAAAAAGAGAAAGTTTTCTGAAAGAGATGGTAAAGGAAAACCACCAAAAAGATTCGAGATAATTAGTCAAGGAAACTTGAGTTTGAGAAAATTGCCCTAATTTAGAAAAAGAAATGCTGGAAAATGAAGAAAACTTTGGAAAACTACTTGAGACTTGAGAATAAATTCGAAATTGACTAGAAGAACTGTTGATCAGGAAACACCTTGAATAAATCCCGTATCGTAATTCAAAACTAAATTTTTCAGGAAAGACATTTGCCGTCTCATATGATCGTACATAACAGTCGCATCGGTGTGATCAGTACTAAACACAGATTTTTTAAATGTAAAAAATGAAGGAGAAATATCTTACTTGAAAACGTTTGGAGCGATGACCATCGACAGGTTCTGGACGTCCATTTTCGTTCGAACCACAACTTCCTCGCGACACAAATCCTTCAAATAAAACCTTTTTTTCAAAAATTGGTCCAAATCTACACGGGAAAAAGTCAAAGGAGCATTTTTTTTTTCAACTTGATATTTCATTTTTGTTGGAGAAAAATGGAAGGTTGACTTCAAGAGCTTATGCATTAAGAAATGTCTCAAATTTGATAAAATTTGTTCAAACAAAGTTCAAAACGAATTCCGCCATATTTAGTCTGTCGAAAAACACAGCTGAAATCACTTGCAGAGACAGATGAAAGAAGCAACACACACGAACCTGCAATAGAGCCACGACTCTGGCCAAAACGAGTCGATGTATTTCGGGAAGAAGACTGACAATGTGGAGAATCTGGGAGAGAGAGAATAAGAGAGAACTAATATATTATTAAAACCTCAGTAGGGTTATCACAGGCGGTGACAGCTCGATCGTAGAGATTCGGAATGACGAGTGGCACTGGAAGTTGACGGAGCCACTGCTTCAGAAGACAGGCTGGCGTATGAGCGTCGTGCATTTTTGGCGTGAGCCAACCGTCGAGTTGGGCCCGTGCCATCGTCATTTGTTCAAAGTCTCCGGCGATTCTATACTTTCAAAATTACTTTTACCGAAGGCTCACGAGAAAGAAACGTTGGAAGAAAAGGGAATGAAGACGAAAATACCTGAAAATGCCTTCGCTTCTCCGTGCCCCTGCTTGATAGAGTAGTTCGATCAAAGTCGTGAGAACCCAAGGAAGTTTCAAGTTTGGGAACTTTTCTTGCTGCATTTCCATGAGTTCTTCAAGTGAAGCCGAGAAAACTGGAGGATGGAAAATATGAACCTGAGATTTTTTTGTGAAAGGAGATCAATTTCAATAAAAACTTTTGTTTCTTGAATAGCGGTCAAAGTGGGTTTGAGACGTGGCATCGATCTGCTCAACCTCTTCTGACATTGCTTCGAAAAATATGATATAGCAACCTGAAGAACACAATCTATCAGTTAATGATGATTATCACGACCTCTCTGTCGAATATCGGGTCGGAATTCTTTTCGAGAAAATCATTTAATTTTTCTGCAATTAACTCGGTCGGCAGCAAGAATGCCAGCAAAATTGTCAGAAGTTCCCATCCTCTCCTAAAAATTGAACCGATTTTTTCTAGAAAAGATGATCAAATGAACTTCAAACTATCGTTGCGTTCGTTGTTAGACAACTGCTGCATGAGTAGAGCGATCGCCTCGTCGCCCAGGTCCGGTCTTTTTATCGCCAACTCGCAGAAATTGAGAGCGAGCTAAATTTTTCATTTATTCAGAGGTTAGGAATGAATTCTGATAGTAGAAAGCAGAAAAAAATCTTATAAAGTTTGGAAGCGAGAGGATAATGCCAGTATGGAGAAACACTTACATTTCAATGAAAAAATGCCCTTTTATCGAGGATTTGAAAAAATGTCTACTTCGAATGAATTCTCTCCAAAAAACTTTTGTTCATTTTCGAGTATAAGAGTTCAACACGTAATCAATTTCTTTACAGAATGGTTAAATCATCTTAAATGTCATTTATTTTACTGCCTATTCGTCTATATGTACGTCTCTTCCAAAATAATTCTTTACCTTTTAAGCACGTTCTACATAAGCTTCCCCCCTAGAGAACTATTTCTTCACTGATTATTGGCAGTGGCTCGATCAGGAGACAGCAATACCTGATCTGGATTCGATTTGCTTTTCCGATCGCCCATGTAGCCCTGAATGGATTTGAAAAGAGCCGGTAGCTCTCTTTTCAGAGGGCGATTCTCCGGCATTGTGATAGGCACCTTCGGAACGTCCTTCATCCATCCTGAAACAACCCGTGAAAATGATGAAAGATTTTCTTGTGAGATTTACGACTATCAAAATTAAAAGTGTAATATACCTGTACCAGGTTTCGGTTTAGGACTGCCTGCTGAAGGAAAGAAGAAGCGCTTGTTAGGCGGAGGAGAGGCTGATTGAGAAAAACGGTTGGCGATGGAATCGGCGGAAGGAGCGTCGGAAATGGTGGAGGTAGTGCTGGCTGTCGGGAAAGCTGGACATTTGGAGCTGCTCGAGACATTTGTGGCCATAGTCCCCTGCTCACTCGGAGGATCCTCGTCCAGAGACATCCACTGAAACAACGACTCTCTGATTGGTTCCTTGCAACGCCGGACTACCCAAAAACAGCATAGCTCCAATCTCTAATTCACTTCAAAATTCGAGACCATTTATTTGTTTTCTCTACTTGCCGTACTACATGAGACTTTCAAAAAAATTTTAAGAGCAGGAATATTTTCAAAGCAATGAGTAGCTTTCAGTGTTATTTTAAGCCTATAGGTTCGAGCGCGCCCTCTATAACGTACAAAAAAAATTTTAACATTTATTATGGCGTACGAAAACGAAACTAATAGAGGATTTAATGTTTAAAAAAAAAAGATATGAAAATATTCAAAAATAGACTTCAACTTTTTTAACGCTTCTTAACAGGTTTTTGATAGGTGAAAATACAAAATATAAACGTTTGCCTTTACAGCTAATAATCCTCCATCAAATCTAACGCCGTTGGAAAATTCCCCAGCCTATTTGCGAGAGGTTATTGCTTTTCGTGTATAAAATCATGGTGCTGTTCCGTCATTGCGGCTTTGCATTTCTGATGAGCGTAGAAATTCCGAACGAATGAAAATTGAAGGCTTTCTGTTGCGGTGAACTATAAGATCGTTTGAACGATATTTTTCCTCACTGCTTTCCGTGAAAATTCAGACGAGCTTTTTTTGATTTGAAAAACGGTCCTTTCAAAAAATTGAAAAAATAAATAAACAGAAAAATTCAAATATGAAAAAGGTAGTTGATTCATGATTGGAATACGAAGAAAAAAGATAACACTGTAGTAGACCTTTTATAAAATGAAAAAAAATAAGGAAAAAAATCGGAAACTTTTTTTCGTCGAAAAATTCTCATATCACTCAAGACCTCAAAGGCCAGAAAAAGAAAAAATAAAAAAATTTTGATGACTGAACCACAGAGATTATTATTTAAAAAAAGTTTAAAAAAAAACTAACATCGAAAGAGCTGTGCATGCCGTTGAGAGTAGACTGAGAGGCGCGGCTTTGGCTTCGAAGAGAAGCGATTCCAGCCTCCGGAGTAACACTTTGACCAGTGGAATGGTTTTGAGTGTTCAAAGACATTTGAAGTCTTCGTACCGACGGCGATGTTTGAGTTTCACAACTTCTTCGAATCTAAAAACTAGTTTCTCGTTTTAAAATACTCATTAAGATAATACCCTAGGAGAGGCGCCTTCTGAATTTTCCTTTAGCGTTTGCAACTTCGCCAAAGGAATAATGTCGGCGTCGGAGCCTGTAGGTTTTTGCCACTTGGTGCTTTTCGATGCAGCGTTATAATAGTAATAACGACCAGTTTTGGCGTCGAACAGCTCCCACCACTGGTTGTCATGGGTGAGTTTTCTAAACTTTTTGTTGATTATCTCAGAACAGAAAAAGAGTTCCATACACATTGGCACCTTCGGGTGCATCCCAAGCACACTGCCCAGTTACAAGATTGGCGTACATACGCTGTCTTGTTTGTGGCTCGACGATTTCCACCCACTCCATCGTTGCAGCCCTGAAAAGTTTTTTTTTAGCTCTAACGCTTAAGAAATTACTTACCGAGCTGATGTGGTACCATTTTCATAGAAAGCAGCGCTCGAGGACGAGGTACTCGCCATATCGGCCTTCGAACTCTCCTCTCTCAAACTCATTCAAAAACCGCCATCTATTGAAAAAATAAATATTGATAAATTCAAAAAACAAAGAAAAAGCGGTAATGAGGGTACAGGTCTAAATTCGTTGTCTTCCCTGACTTTCGAACAAATTGACTAGCTGATAGGTTTCTCGTCTTGGAGAATAAAAGTGGATGTAGGTTCTGACGGAAAATGAATTAAATGTATTTGAGATGGTAAGGAACCTTTATATCCCTATACGGGTGTTTGATGAAATGAAAGAAATAATAACAACGAAAAATTATATTATAATAGAAAAATTCTACTAGATCACAACTGATTTCAAACAAAACAGTTTTTTTATAAATAAAAGAAAAAAACCCGAACTGCGAGGCATCAGATAAATTTGATGTAGCAGTTTCAAAACCCCTAAAGAGCTCCAATAAGCGTGCGATGGTCCATACTTTTCCTTTTTAAGGCTTTTATGTAATTTTGTTTTTAAAATTTTTACTTTCTGTTTGTTTTTGATTCAATGAACTGATTTCTGATTTGAGACAGTATATAAATATTTTCTTGACATAATAAAGAATTGGTTGAGTTTATCTTTAGTACTTTTTCTTTTTCTCAGCCGGTTCTATCCTTTTAAATCAAAAGAAAAAAATGTTTCTAAGTTCAAGTTTGGGTGCAGATTTCCCGCAAAGATTTTTGTATGGTTTATTATTTCGAAATTGCGCGAGCTATATATGGAAATTTTTCGCAAAAAAATGATAAGTTCAGCTTTTTCCATGATGTTCTTTTTTTCTATATTTTTTTCTCGAGAGGAAAAAGCTTTGGTTTTTTTCTCACTCTCTGTTTTTTTTTTCTAGAAAATGAACTGGGGAGGTGATTCCTGGCGGGAATATGCGAATTGGAACCATGAAAACACGATGAGAAGCTGGAACCACGGAGCATCCTGGGGCCCGCCGGCGCTTCAATATACGCCATATTATCGGCCGTCTCATTACCAGAATGATAGGTTTCTCGTCTGTCCATTATCAGTTTTGTATTATGTGATTTCAGGAGAAACGGGATCTATTCCAATCCTTCTCGCTCTTTTCATCCATATGCAAAGGCGACACAGCAACAAAGGTTACCGGCCCCACAAAACAATCTCCACCAGTTTCAAAACGCTGGTAAACCTGTTATTTGAAAAAAAAAGAAGTAAATTTGATTTGAGGGAAAAAGTTTCCCGGTTTGCGGAGCGGCAGAATCCTGCGTGATCAAGTCCGGGAGAGAGAGCTTCTGCGAGCGCAGAACAATGAGGAAAAAAAGATGTTCGAAAAGATTGACCTTCAGTTTGACATCTCCTCGCAGAGAATCGAACTACGATGGAAAGCGCCTACTTCTATTAGTTAGTTTTCGTTGTTTAAATGATTTTACTGAGTTTTTTTTTTCTAGAAAATGTGTTCTACCGTCTCAAATGCAGCGATCCAAAAAATCCATCCAACAAGTGGGTGACGTGTGAGAGGACATGGACTCAGACGTATTACGAGCTCAAAACTACTCCTGGGCAACTATACTGGTTTTTCTTTTCATTTTGGTTTTTCGGAGAAATCATCGGTTTATTCAGGGACTTTTGAACAAATTCAGTTTTGTTTCTTTGAAAGGGATCTTTGAAACAATTTTTTGCAGTATCGATGTGGAGTGTTTGACTCTAACAGACTCGAAATTGATCGCTCGAGGCTACGAAGAAGTGCGAGCAGGTTTATTTCTTGAGAAAGTTGCGACTAATTATTTTTCCTGAAGCTTTCAACTACGAAGAACTCAAGAGACTTTACGAGAAGTGTATAAAATCCGTAACGACTAACAAGAATGACTTCTACAAACACGAGTTCTACGTTCTCTATCGGTTTGACTGAGAACATCTCAGATTGGAGCCGAAAAACTTCAGATGCAAGCCGAAACTCTACTGGGACGAAATCCATCACTGCTGCAACGGGATCATGCACAAGTACATCAAAGACGACAACGGCCAGCCGGGGAATCTCATCAATGGCCTTATCAACGGTATGATTAACTTCAAAAAATGATTAATTGATGTTCCGCAATATATTTTTGTGTTATTGGTAACACGACTTTTTTGGTGAGGGAATTATTGCGTTGACATGAAAAAGATCCATTACAAGAAGATTTTGCGTAAGGTTGAGAAAAAAAAATATTCGAAAGGTCATGCAAATAATGTTCCAGCAATAAGCTCATGGTAAGAGTAACACAAAAAAAGAATGAAGAAAGTTCGAAGAAAAGATGGTTGCAGGATTGTTTTTCTCGGCACGACTGCTTCCCGACGGATCGATGCCGGTCGCTTCACCTTTCGGCAACGTCCGCATGTCCGTCAACGCCGTGCTCCTTCTCGATCCCAACAAGTATCACTTCTACTTTTCCGATTTCTACTGCAACTACATGACTCACTACGTTACGGTCGTTATTTGCCTCAAAGGCTCCGATACAGACAAGTTTGCTCAAAGCTAGAAGTTTTTCTAATTTTGACTTCAAGGTACTGTTACTCCAAACTTTTGCGCCTCAACCCTGAAGATAACCCTTTCCTACAGGTAGAAATCAATTCTTATCTTAAATATTGTCAATGGGTCAGGTTGTCGCTTCATCTCATCCTTACTACCCACCTCGCTTTTTTGTGAATAGCAGTGTGTGGGTTGAGATTTACTACACAGAAGACATCCCATTGAACTGGGGCAGCTTTGATGCGATCGATACTAAAGGTTCTTTTTTCAGCATCTGGTTGTTTTGATAAAAAGTAGGGTGGTATGAAAAAAAGACCAGCAAAAATTCAAACGACGACTTTTCTGATTTTTTCATATCGCTAGGGAACATTCCGACGGCCACCTTTCCGCCGAAATTTTTTCCGTCTTTTTTTCTCGATAAACTCTTCGTTTTAAATGTTCCTATGTAGAGTAGGCAAGTTATTTAATGTTTAAAACACACAGAAATAGGAAAAAAAAAGTTAATAGATGTTTTATAAACCGAATAAAAATTTGATAAAAGTTAGTTGATTCTGTAGAGCTTTTTATCCCACCCAAGAAAAATTTTTGAACTCCCATACAAGTTGAATCGACATTAAAGCGAAATCTAATGAGATATGCATTTGAATGCAAAAACGGAACGTCGTCGTTGATTATTTCAAAAAGAAGAAAGAAATTAACAGTAAAATTGTTTCGAGAGTACCTCTTCTCTATTTCAGTTGGATGTGTTCTAGAAATTATTTTAGGAGCGGGAACTTCGAAAATCGGAGGGTTGCCAAACAACAAAGCTTGCACCAAGTGCAATCTCTACCCAGTAGAAATGAAGACGAGCGAAAATCTTTCTGCTGGATCCGCCACGTCAATAGACGTCACCGTTCAGGAAGAATCCGTCAACTCGACTCTCCACGTCCTCACACTCGCGGTTCACACAACTTACATTCAAAGAAATGACTTGGGAGTGCAGGATCGGTCAGGACTCCACGAGGTGTTTGAAGACGTTGTTATCACGATTTGCGACTTGGTGGACAGCGTCTGCGAGAACGTGGTCCTCAGAGAAGAGGTCTTGCGGAAGAGCGACGAGGACGTAGAAGCCGCGTTGGAGCGCATGAACCGCGACGTCTCCTTATATGCGTCTACTCCGCCTATCGTCAACGCTGCCAAAATTCTTTCCGACTTTGTCAAGTCTTTCACCAAGTTGGTTTTTTTTTGTTTTTTTTTTCTCATCGTGAACTAGTTTGTATGCATTTTTGCCGCAAAATCAGCTGTTTTTACAAACTCTCGAAATGAAAAGCTGACGCGAGGGATTTTAAAAATTGTGCAGAAATTGCAATTAGGTCTAATTATTCCACCTGAGTGTTTATCAAATGATTCAAAGAAAAGGTATTGAAGGGATAAGGGAATAAGTGTGAAAATTAAATATCCAGATTTTTTTTCCACTGTCATCGAGAGGGATTTAATTTTTTTTTTTGTTCACTGGAACGAAGTCTGATCGCTATATCTCGCCTGAAAAATGCAAAAAAGTTATGTTCAATCAATCATAGATGATTGCAATGTATTTTTTTGCTTCATTCAAGGTCTAGTGAACTCAAAATTGTTAGTTTGGTTTTTTGGAGACCCGAAAGTCTGACAAAAGCCACAATAGAACTTCAAACGGCTTGTCATCTTGCAACCTTCATGAACTTCTTCATGTCTATCGAATGATAGAGCGAGGTTTTTGATAAGATTGAAGTCTCTAAAACTTTTTTTCAACTCGGTTCCTCTAAGCCTAGAAAATTTTGACTCGTAAGGAACAATAAAAAATTATTTTTCTTCCTAATGAATTTGTTAAGATCGGGAGTAGGTTTGGAAAGTTTTTATCCATTTTTCTTTTGTACCCACTTGGTGTCGGGTTTGCCGGAGACAGTGTTTTAAGCTGTTTCCCGCTGGTTCTCCATGTGAAAAATTGTAAGACATGGTCTGTTTCAGACAGCGAAATGCCGCTCTGAATGCCCTGCGAGAGCTGCAGACTAACGCGCGGAACGACTGAAAGCAAACAAAACAGGAGAGAAAATCCTCGACGGTTTTCTGTACTTATCATGATATATCATTTCTTACTCTCAAAAATATGTTTTTATTGTTTTCCTCGATACAGGTACCGAGTGTCATTGTTCACCTTCTCACAGATCTTGCCAAAAAAACTTGTGCCTTCTTACATGTAATTACAGCTTTAAAGTTTATTTCAAATTTTATTCATTTTCACTTGCTCTCAACAACTATATGTGATCAGATTTTTTGTTACAATAAAATTCAAATTTTATTGTTTTTTTTTCAAATCAAGAGATAAGAAGTTTCTTGAATATCGCTTTTTTTTTCTTCATTTCCCACCGTATCAATTTAAATCAGAGGCAACAATGAGCGAAGGGTTAGAGGCGTTTGTAAAATGGTGTAACAGCAGAGGATATAAATTCAATGGCCTGGAGATCGTCAGACCACCAGGGGTTGTACTTGATCTTCTCTGGAAGGTAACTGCATGTTTTAGGACTGCGGACACGGAATCTTCGTGAAGCAGAACTTCCGAGCCGAAGACGTGATGATTCAAATTCCAGAAACCGAGATGATCACTGCTGGAGCCGTCGCCGACTTGCCGCGCTATTCTAAGATACTTGCGCAAGCCGAGTAGACATAAATAGTCTTAGAACTAGTCTCAATTTTTTTTCTAGTAATTTGCTGACTCCGATGGAGATCCTAACTATGTTCTTCTGTTTGGAAGAGATCGGCGAGTCTCCTTGGACGCCATACCTGCGCGTTCTACCCAAGGTAACCGGAGAAAAATTCGTCTCTGAACTTCAATTCAGAGCTTCGACACCCCTTCATATCAAAAGAGAGACTTTGATCCGAAGACATTACCGCTTTCTGTGAGATCCTATTGGGAGAATCAAAAAAAAGAAATTCACAGCATAACTAATAAGGTGAACGCGTCGCTTAATTGAATAGGTCGTTTTTTGTAGCTGATCAAATTGTGTCCGGAAGTTGATTCCGAAAGAATTCTTTGGGCTTGGCACGTGGTCAACACACGATGCATCTTTGTGGAGAACTCAGAGCACGAAATGGTGGACAACACCGACGGAGGTTTCATAACTTGAACATCTTCTTGGAGCTTCTTCTTTCAGATACAATTGCCGTGATTCCTTTCGTTGATATGCTCAACCATCAGCCAACTTCTTTTCAGGTACATCTTTTCTCTCGCATTTTAGCTCACAATATCAGACTTGAAGATTCAGGCGTAGACTGACTTTTCTAAAAAAAAAAAACGGAAAAATCCGATAAAAAAGAGTCAAGGTTCTTTCTCTGTTATTTTACACAGCTCGTGCGGCTTCGAAAGATAAAAATAGTACATTTACTGGTCAATCGGCGTTAGATAATCGGTGGTCGTTTTTCAGCTACAGGGTAGCAGCTCTATGGCAGCTGGACCCAGGTACCATGGAGGATAGTACCAAGATACCATCGCTACCTCTCTTTTTGCAGTGTTTGCTAATGAGATCTTGGCACGGTTCACAAAAACACTGTTGTTAGGTAAACGATCACCGACTAGCTAATGCCGATAGAAATAAAGTAAGCACACGGTAGCTTCTTGTATCCTCTTCCCGATCGACCTATGTTAGCATTTCACTGACTTGACTAATAATCATTATAAGGGAGTTCAGGGAATAGCGAAGCATGAGCGAGTGAACGGCACTTACGTAGTGCGTGCAACGCGTACAGTAGTCGAAGGATCTGAGCTTTTTGTATGTTACGGACCTCATGAGAATGCGCGGCTACTGATCGAGTACGGATTCACACTCAAAAACAACCCCTACGGCAAGGTGTTCATTCCACATGGTTTTTTATTCTGCTTTGATTTTTCTCAACACTTCTTTCGCAGACGTACTTTTCACCCTAGCACGCATCGCGGGAATACAAGTTACTCGTGAGCATGAGCGAATTATACAAGAAATTAACCTACCTAGGTTAAGGAAGATACGAATTTCTCCATCAAAACCTTGATTTCAGTCACCTTTATGCGACAGACGAGGGTCCCAGTTGGGCTTTAAGGAACAATATACGAGTTCTTCTGCTTGACCATGAACAAATGTTGGGAACTCCGCATTAACATCAAACCTAGAGAATTATTTAAGGAAAGATGCGAAATGGAAAGCCATAATTTATTCTCATGATCCGATAGAAGACGAAGTCGATGAACTCATCGAGGATAAGCTGAAGATCATTATTCGAGAATTGCGAGATGGAATAGCTGCGAAAACTCAAAAGGTAAATTTCTCAATTTATTTAAACGGACTTGACATCACACAATTTTGAATAAATCACTAATCAGCAAATTTGGTTAGTCCACTGATTAATTCCATACGAAAAACCGGCGTTTTTGAGCATTATTTGAGATTATTTGATTGAAAAAAGTTTTTTTCGCGGTAAGAACTTGAGGTAACTTTTTGTGCCGATGCCGTGAAATATGATGAAAGGGATTCGTGATAAGAAAGCTGTAATGGGTCTTTTTTTGGTTTTCGCAGTTTTCAAATCAAATTAATGTTTCAGATTTCTGATGACGTAAAGTGGATGTGGGAGGAACAAGTTTTGATATGCGATACAGCATTGAAATCGTTCGAGCAAGATGAATAAAAATTCAGAAAAAGAAAAACTTTTAAAGCTTTTGTCTACTTTGTTACGGGTTCCTCACGTTGCCTGTTTTCAATGAAAAGTTTTATTTGGTGTGACACCTGGATTGAAGAAAAGACGAAATCGAACAAAAAGAATAACAAGTGATCCATATATTAACAAACACTTTGATGAGAAGCAGTTTTATTATAATCATGTATTCCTTCGAAGCCATGACTCGATGATGAGACGCAAAAGTATTGCAAAAACAACAGAGGGAAAAATAAATATCAAAAGCAACGCACTTTGATCCTAGATGGTTATTGGCGTGTGTTTTGGCTTTCGCATGTATTCATCCAACTCACGATCGAGTTCTTGCACGGACTTTTTCGATTGCGCCTTGTACTGATTGTTTTGGAAGTTGCCATTGTTTTGGTAACTGTTCCCTCGCTGAGTTCCACGCTTGAAAGAAGTACCTCGGAAAGTTCTCGGCAAAGAGTTCCCTCTATAGTTATTGAATCTACGTTGGTGACTGAAAAAAAAAAGAAATGAAACATTTAGTCCCATACATCCTGTGGCTTACTTATGACTTCCACGGCTAGAAAACGCTGAAGTTCCACGGAATCGAGGATTTCTGCCTCTATAAAGCTGTTGCTGCGGTACATAAATGACTTGCGGAACGTATGACAAACGGCTTTCTGAAATCAGAATAATATATCTAGGGGGAAACAATTTTTGGAAAAAAAAAAACTGAATAACCACTAACGTAATGGCTGCCTCGGGATGCGAATCGGACGACGATAACTCACAGGAGGCTCCGCTGGGTCGTACTCCTCCACAAATTCTTCGAACTATTTGCAAATTGACAAACTGATTCAATATTTTTGTTACGTTGTAATCTTCACGAGGACGGCGAATCTGCCTGGAGTAAGTCGGTCGTTGGATGGAGCCTTGCAGAGCCGCAACCTGTCTCTTCGGTGCAGGGAGTGTTGAAAACCTGAATATTTCATCAAATAATCAGACATAAGCTTTGAAAAAAATCCATAAATAGAATTTTACTCTGAACGAATTTTTTATAAAGTAAATTTAAAAAATCATGTTTTTGATAACTTTTACAGTGATCTTTTTTTCAGATTCAAATTTAATTTAGGTTTTTTTAATCTACAACGCCTGCTATACTATGAGCTCGCCACGGTGTATCTGTATGAACAACGTACGCATAAAATAACATAACGAAGGACCGTAAAACATGCTTTTAAGTTTTCGAATACAAAGTCCCCCAAAAAAGACAGTTCAAAAAGTCCCTCGAGGTATTCACACCGACAGTCAATAAAGAGGATAAGTTAGATGTCGGAGTGCAATCCGGAGGCACTTCGAAAGCTTCCTTAGCTTTCGCAAACCAAGATAAAATTTGGATAAAATCGGAGTGCACACAAATAGAATTGAAATAACAAAAAGTTATCCTCTTTATGATAATTGTTGATTGACCGTTAACATATCCTGATTGAATAAGAAAATGCACTTTGTTAGCTGATTTTGTGAATACGCCGACTGACAACAAGCTTTACTATGCACCGCTGAGAATACATCGCCTAGACAAATGCCTACTTGAAGGAAACAAAAACTAGAGTAGCTGTTTTTCTTTCACTTTCCGTTCCGCTAGAGAAAATTAAAAAACAATTAAAATTTTGAAAAACGAACCTTTCGTTCAAAGATATTGTTGAAGTCCCAACAATGACAACTTTAGCAGGTACTGGACAATCCACACTCATTTTCTGAAATTGACAAATAAAAATTCATGTTTGATCTTTTCAAAACTCCGATAAAATTTAATTTCGCGTTTAAAGTGATTCCGCGAAACCCAAAACAGCCGTTAGAGAAGAAAAAAAAACTAAATTTTGAAGGGTCAGAGATAATCTTGCATTATGCGGAAATTACTTTGAACACAGCCTTAAAAAAAACAAAAATTCCCGGCGAGATATCTGGGATAAGTTTTAGGGGGCCCTATAGGGGGTCGCGATTTTAGGGGGCCCTATAGGGGGTCTGCAAGTGGCCTTTTTAGAGGGAAATCCCTAGGGCCCCCTATAGGGGGTCCTAAATCGCTCCCTAAAAATTGCAAGACCCTCAAGGGGTCGCGAAGACCCCTTGGAACGAACGTGGTTTTTTTTTTAAAATATCTTTCTCATTTTCTAAGTTTTGAGTTGACTCAGTCGACTCAGTTTTAGTTTAACTTTATAACTTGTATTTATATTTCATCAATTTCTGTGGTGCTTAAGGAAGTAATACGTTATTCACGAACGAGTTGTCAGTAGGATCTTTTCGTTATGGTTTCAAATTGTATTATAATGATTTGTGCGTTTTTTTTGTGCTCCATAAAAGTTAACACGGCAATCTGTACATTGGTTCAGTATTCTCAGTGTTTCGTTTATGTACAATTGATATATTGGTTTGTGTAAATATGTTCAGAGTATTTTTTTATTTTTGGTATTTTTCAGAGTTTCGTCTATGTATAATTGGTCTACTGGATTGTGTGAAACCGTTAGAAATTCACCGGTAGATGATGTTTGTTGGAGGTTTTTGATGTAAATGCGTGTTTATATATTCTGTTTGATTATTGATCGTTAAAGAAGACTTAATTTTTTATTAAGATGCCGCGGAGTCGCGATTTTATTGATGCGCATTGGTTCTACAGCAGCGATGAAGATTCTGAAAGGTATATCGAAAATGTTGATAATGATAAATGATCGTAGAAGCACGGAATCAGCCGACGGAAATTTTGAGCCGCCACATGAACCAGAATCAACGGAAGATTACCGCGGGCCGAGCAATTCAATAAGTTGCTTTCAAATGTCAACGTTGGTTGTTTTTTGCTCACTGTTCAATTGTTCTTTTTTATATGTGCCAAACTTTTTGCCCCTTATCTAAGTAGTTTCAACCGTGTCCGTGTCGGAAGTCCCAACATTTTTTATTGAAAGTTGCCCAACCATTTGCCTTGACACAACGCGTTTTTCTTCTATTTTTTCGCAAGTAGCGCTTATATCAATATGGTTTAGGCGTATCTTTATTGTCTTGAAGAGCTTCTATTAGATTGATCAATACGGTTTCCGTTTAGACGTGTCAAATATTCATACGAATCTTTTACGGCCAAAAGTTTTTTTGCTTCCTCGAATATCCTGTTACGTATACATATCTTCAGTTTTTTGCTCGTTGTTTTGTTACTTATGTCTATCTGTTTCCATTGATGATCCTGATTGCTTTTAATGTTTTCAATTCCTTTCAATAAATTTGGAAACAGTTTCAAACGCAATGAGATGAGTTTACTGCGGATGTGTTAACGATTCGCATTCAATAAGGGTTTCTCTATTTTCTCCCGGAGCTATTTCAGAAATTTTCCGTGCCCCCCCTAAAGGGACCCCTAAAAAAATTCGTAGGGGTCCCTATAGGGTTTTCATTTAGGGGCCCCTATAGGGGCCCCCTCCAAGGGGCCCTAATTTACCCCCTATAGGGCCCCCTAAAACTTATCCCAGTATGTGGATTCTCTTTGGAGCATAATTACTCAAAACCAAAAACGCGAGTTCTTGATCTTCGCGAGAGCTCGAGCTTTTATATTTGTTTATAATATTTGTATTTATCTAGTTAAAACCCATACCAAACATATATATATTTAGCGAAAATTATTTTGAACACGGCATGAGGATCGGTCAAATGAAAAATTTGAGTTGTTCGCGCTCTGTCGGCGTGGACTTCTTGAAAGAAATTTGATAAGAGGTCTCTTAAGAAATCATTAAAGATATCACTAAGAAAACCAGAAACGTGCCAGTGCCTAGGTTGGAACGTAACAAGCTCATTCTAAACGTTTTTAATTAGCTTGTTACTTTTGTAAAGCTTGTCGCACATAGTAATTCGAAAGAGAAAGGTCTAGCGTTAATTCTCTTAATATGTTTCGATCGTATCTTAGAATTTCTCGTAAACTTAGTTACTCCCTTTTGTTATGTTTTCAATTATTAATCAGACGCCTGCATTTCGTTACCAGATTTTAGTCGTATTAGTTCAAATTCGTCGTTTTATCTATTGTAAATACTATTCTTTTTCAGATCCATCACGAAAGTCAGATAAGTGATGAGATATTTAATAACGTTCTTGCTGCTTATTTCACCAACTCTTGCGCAGGATAATGATGTTAGGGGGCTATGCAAAAATCCGCCAGCTCACACGCAAACCATCACAAGCAAGATCAGTATCCCAGCTCCCTACAAGGTTTTATCTCTAACAAAAAAAGAAATTCAAACCGAATATTAAATATTCAGACCAGCGGTTCTGTCACAAATTGGGTGCAGTCGTCGACTATCTTGCTCACTGAAACGACAACGGCCACATATCGCGTTCTGTCTCTGAAGTCGAAGTCGGAGGACAGATGGATCACGAATGTGGCTTCGAACCTGACCAACTATATCAACACTAACAGTTCCTTTGCTTTTGTTAACAGAGAAAAACTTTCTTTTCAGATCGATCATGTGTTGGAGAAGCAAAACCTCCACAGCTAATCGAAAACCCAAGATTCCTCACTCTTCTACATGGGGACACCTCTTCCTCAAGCTCGCTGGTTACTGGTCTGATTGCTCTGTCTAACGAACATCCAGGCTTTTTGGTAAGCGAAACTAAAAATTTCAGGTGTTCCAAACTTTTTAGGAAGGAAAAATTGCATTCAGCTCCATAAGATTAGCTCTTCTATATTTCTCATGATTATTTTTGCCATAAATTGAATGTTAGGTTGATAATTCTTTCTCTCTGAAAGTAAAAGTTGTATTTTTCCTCTGCGCATCTTTGCAAACTCAGTGAAGCGAACGTAAATTTGAAAACATCAAGTAGAGAAGGAATAAGATACAATGATATAGTTTTTCTTCTATGATTTTTGTCCGTTCTTCGAATTATAATTGCAGAGTATTACGCGATGTCATGAGCTGTTATTATTGCTTCAAAACGTATCTCAATTTCTCCCTTAGCTCTGAAAATTTTGAAAAATCTAAGGTAGATCTCAAATTTATAGCTGTATCTTCCCGCTTTAGTACATGGAGAAATGATTTCCAAACTTTATAGTTTTTTCGTTCAGAAAGGAGGCGAACCGGAAGTTGTTGGAGGAATGGAAACGGTAACTTGGATATCCTGCATAGATGGCATTAATGAAACGAGCGTCGCGGTTGAGGTTTCTTTTTTTCTGTCATTTTTGTATTCGTATTTTTGAATTCAGGTGAGATTCACAGGCGAAAAAACAGTTCACCCAGCTCGGAAGTCTTTCGATAATCCCATGTTTGTATCAGTCCGCTTGACCGAGTACAAAAGTTTCAATGGTTGAGCTTATTTATTTAGCATCAGAAAAAAATAATTTTACTTCAGGAACCGAGGATGCTGTGTCTCAAATTTCGGTTGAATTGGATCGTTACGATCTTCCAGAGGGAGGAGAAGATTTTGTGAGTTTTTTTAGTAAGAGCTGAGCTGGTAACAGAGACCGATAGCCATATTGTGAACCGCGCTTTTTCTCAATTTTTATGTTTTATTTTCTTAAAAGTGACCCAAGTTAATTTTGTCAGGAACGTTTGATTAATGTCTCCGTGATCCATCGCTTGAAAAAAGAGGATTTTTTTAAACCATATCCCAGCCAATGAAAGAAACAAAAATAACAAAACTATTGATGTCAAAATTTTTTTGCATTTTTCCTGATGGTGACGTAGTCAAGCGGAATTGGCAAAGATTTCGCTCGAGTTTTTTTTTTTGATTGAAGGGCATGAACTCGGCCTTTTCAGGTAGACCACGGTATTGTTTGCTTGCCCAGAAACACTACGGCTCTCCCAATGAAAGCGTTCGATGAGTTCACAGGAGTTCTATCGTACGGCGATGGACAGGGTAACCGAGAAGTTTTCGAGGTACTTTTTCAAATGGAAAAAATGCTCTTATTAAGGCACAAGAGCGCGAAAAGTTAGTAATAGGCCGCTAGCATAATCGACTAAAAATCTTTTTTTTCCACACCATTTCGTCCATCGTACAGATCCCTCATTTAATCAAGTCTCACGCCAAACCTGAACGAAAAATTTATAAAATAATGTGTGAAGTTGTATCTTCTGACTACGAATTGATCATATGTTTGTATCCATCGGTATCTAATTATTTTCAGATTCTTTATTCTACTTCGAAAAAGGTCTTGATTATCAGCGGAGACGGTTCGAATAAGAAAATTTCGTTCATCAACGCCACTGGATTACCCACTGGAATCAATTATCTCATCCACGACTTTGCCCACGGTTTGTTGTAATTTCTCCTAGAAAGTTCCGTCTTTTCTTTGTTTTATTTTGATCGAGAAAACTTCTCTTTCAGGTTATGAGTTCCTTCTTTCTGAAAATACTTGTGTGAAGATTTCTCCACTCTTGAACACGACAACGGACGTCGTTGTGAACAATGGAACCGTTACAATGAAGCAATTCGCGCGCATCATTGCCGATAATAACCTCGAATTCGCCCCTTATCCTACAGTCAGTTTTCGAGTTTCATTCCGATTCCGTGTTAGTGTTTTGAAATCCTCTTAAAAAGGTTTTTTTCCTGCGAAAACACTATAATCAAACCGACCATGTTTTTCAAAAAGAACTTCATTTTTTTAGGACTCTTCTGCTGATAAAGGAACTAAGATATACCGCGCTTTGAATGACATCGATAAGACCGTCATCGAAGCAGAATTGGACGGGGAATTCAATCTCGTTGCCATGCGTACATACAAGCAGGTAAAAAGTTTTCTGTGAGCGAAAAATGCTCGTTTTTGATTCACAGGGCTCATCCGACCTGGTTTCTACCCTGAAAATCGCGGAGTCGCACTCGTCGTCCTTGACACGTCGCTTCGATCACATTGTGGACTGCTTCCAACCGGATTCCATCACTCTCAATAAGACCTGGACTATGGATGTCAAAGACAGTCAGTCCCCATCCCACTTTTCTTAACTTGTAATCAATTCAGAAACGATGAAAGACGTTTATGGGGTCGGTCTCGATACGATGACCGCAGCTATTTCTTCCTCTCTGAACACTGTTGGCGTTATCAACTCCAATCGCATTTCCGCTTTTTGGGTACTTTTTTTTGCGGTTTCTTGCCTAATCATTTCCTTCAGACGGAATCATCCAAGGAAGGGGTCACTCTTTTGTTGCGAGTTAATGAGAAGAGCGAAATCCCACCAGCGGCTGTTGGCTTCGATTACGAGGTTTTTTGAAGAGAAGAAAAAAGAACATCTTTTGGATATATTACAGAAAGAGTTGGAAACGAAAGATTTCTTCGACAAGCTCAACGCCACTATTGCGAGTAACCAGTGGAAAATCAAAATTCCCAAGGCTGGGGAAAAGATAGAGGTGAAGAGAGTAGAAGAAAACTCCTAATTGGGGTCGTAGGAGTGGACGGTGGATGCGTCGAGCGTCTCCTCGTTCCCGCAGAAACAGCAGAGCACCTTCGTCGGCTACACGGGCGGCTCCATGTTCGTGTTGGGGATCTTCACTCTCATCCTCGGCGTCTGCATCGGTCCGCGTCCACTCATTTTCCACCTTCACTTTCTTTTTCCAGGAGCTGGAGGAGTGTTCTTCGTCGTGAAAAAACAACGCATCTCTACGTTGGCCTACCAGGTCTTCGAGTAATACATTGTCAACTTTTATTCGAATTTCTTCTCTTTGACTCATTTCACTAACTCCTGCATAGACAAATTATGACACCTTTCAAAACCTGTGTTCAATACGGATTTGAATTTTCCCATGTCTGGTGCGATATAACTACAGTTCTTTTTAATTTATTCTCATCATATGTATGTATATTTTGTTATCATTCCATTTTGCACATATGCCTAGCCAAATAAAGTATTTAAAAAAAAGTGTTTTTTTTTTCTTGTGGTAGAAATCCCAATCTTAATTTCGAGTCCTGAGTAGGTTCAGTTTTTCATTGGACTCAGATGGCTCAAAGAGCCGTGACGTCAGCAAAAGAACGAGCTCTGCGTATAGTGGAGGAAGCTTCGCGACTGCGTCTGCAAGATGTCCGCGACAATGTCGGTGCTCGTACGAGCGGCCGACAAGTTCGCAAAGCCAATAATCAAGTCTGCCGGCAATGAAAACGTTTTAATATTCTTGAACTTCTTCTTTGAGGCTGGTCATACTCAAGGAGCACTCGAAAGAGCGGCCAAACCACCTCTCGGCTGGATTTGGGGCGACTTTTTCCGGCCCTGGCAGCGGATGTTCCCTGGCGAAAGAAGCTTCAACGCAGATATCAAGTACTTCGATTAGGAATATACCGAAATTCCGTTCCTTCTAGCATACGACGGGAGTATATACCGCTCTCACTGATAGAACTGGCTCGGCTGATCGACCTCGGCTGGATATCCAAGAAAAGGCCCATCGACATCAGTGCTTTGTGCGCCACGCAAAAGTTTTCTGTCAATCCACGGATACGTCAATATGGCTTCGACCTTACAGCAGAGGTTTTTTTCATTTTTCTTCCTAATAATTAATGTCTCCTAACTTTTTGTTTGTGGTTATACTAAAGAATTTGCGCTTGCCAAAGGTCCCGATGATTTTCACGAGAAGATTATATATCTCATGTGCAGAAAGTATATAAATTATTCTGTGTAAAAATTTTTTTCATCCAAATTTCGATATTATTTCAAAGATATTGTTTTCGCATGATAAGAAGTTTATCAGGTTGAAAGCTTTATCCTGATCAAGTACCCAAAAGATCAAGAAGTATCAGGGGTTTCGGGAGAAAAGGTGAAAGGCCTTTTTGTGAAAAGCTTGGAAATTCATTACATTATTGTTTTAATTGTAGGGAGCGGATGATTTTCCATACGCAGTTGACATCGAAGTCCAATACGCGTCTCAGTCTGCAATCGCTGCAGTGGAAAGAGCTGGAGGAAGAGTTAGAACAGCTTATTACGACACGTTGGCCCTCGAGGTAATCGGGTGGTCGGTTGGGGCATAACACAACTAATAACTAGGAATGAAATCTTTAAATCTTTAATAAACTGTGGGAAATCCCATATTGAGGGCTTATTTTCTTTTTTAGCTATTGATTAGGTGTATTGTTCGGAAAAAGGTCGCAGTGTCAAGCGATGATAAAAATTTTTGCGCTTTTGAAAACCCCGAAAAAAGCGATTTTGCACAAAAATCTAGTATTTTACACTAATCTGTAGGTTCACATGTTCACATATTGGTCGATCTTTAGGGGAAAACGTATATTTGTCAATTGGAAAGGGAAAAAAGTTTTACTGTATTTGGGAGTTCTTCCTTATGGAATTTCGCTTTAAAAATGAAAATTCTGATACTCGAATTTACAGCGGTTTAAAAAATGTCTTTTAGAAACTAAACATTAAAAAAAACTTCAATTGAAATAATAGTAAAGGTGTTCTGATTGAGGCCGCGGTTGATCCGCGATCCTGGTTCCAAAAAGGTCTTCCTGTCCCTGTTCGCCGCGCTCCACCACCCTCCCTTCTTCCGTGAGTTGAACCATTTTTCCACAACTTCAATTTCCGAAGAATTTTTCAGATATTATTCGGATCCTTCAAATAGAGGCTATCTTTGTAACGTCGAAGACTTGGAAGCGGCTAGGAAGAAATTAGCCGATTTGAGAGGTTACCTCTTCACAGAAACGAGTGTGCCACAGGAAGAAAAAGAAGTCAATCAGGTAATACTCTAATTTTAAATTGATGTAAGGATATATTGAACGATTAAAGCAAAAGGAATAAAAAAAAAAGTTTATCCAGTTTAGAGATCCGACAGGTGAAACTGTGAAGAGTGGGTCTAAAACGTAAATTTTTTGTGATTTGTTAGCGTCCCACTGTTACTTTGACATAGTGGTCTTTTCTTTGACGCGATTCCGCCATCAAAGCTTCGGGAAGGATGTTCTCCTGATATTTCTCGTCTTTAGTAGTGCCTTTCAATCAATGTTTTATAATCTTGAACACTTTGAAAAAAATTTGTATAAAAATTGTCTTTTTTGATAGTCTAATGTAAACCTTTCGGGAGCTCATTTTGACAAAGGGAAAAGACAACAGAAACATCGTTTAATATCGCAATAAAACAATGTAGTCGTATCATGCGATGTTTCTTTTTCGAGCTCAAACGAATTCATTCCTAGGTTTTCTACGGAATTCCGGCGGGCGCCGTCGTTTCTCTCGCCGACAAAAAAGTATTCGCCGCGACAAACTCCCACCACTCAGCCTACTATAACTCTCAAAGATTATCCGATAAATCGTTCACATGAAGGAGGTGCTCAAATCTTAGAATCTGAATGTTTCTTTTTTGTTGAATTTTTGTTTCTGTTTTAGGCTGAATAAAATGAGTTGGCTTTTGATGTTTAACAAAATGATTTAGATGGCTATTTCAAGAAAGTAAATAGGTCAAAAAAGAACTTTTCGTAATTACTGTTCCAACGTGTACGAAAAAGAAAAGTTTGTCGACGTGTCGGCATGGCCGTCATTCCGTCGCATTTCTTCGGGCTCAACTTGTGCGAAACTCAAGTAATGGCTTCTCAACTTCGTTCGCTCGCTCAGAGTTTGAGGTTTCATTGTTATCACCACTTCTGAATACCTAATGCGGCGTTCCCGACGCGAATCTCAGGTGCAACTCTTTTCCTAGAGCACCCAACTTTTTGGTGCTTTTCCTTGAAAATACCTGCGCTTGCAAAGATCTCGTTAAAATTCGAAAGCCATCGAAAAACCATGGGTGTTCGATCCCTGAATTATCTCATCTTACAGCATGCCTTCCGGAGATCGTCAATCGTCTCGTGAACCGAACGAAGTCGCAGAGGTATCAATATTTAGACCCCCCCCCCCTTTTCCATCCTCCAATTCTACGAATTTTCAGCATATTTATTTTTCGTAAATGTTTTTTTTGTCAATATGATCAGATGGCTCCCGAGAACATCCCAAAAAATCCTATGCAGATAAATTTTTTATTTCTGACCTCCCTTCAATAAGGGCCTATAGTCTGTTCAGATTTTATATGTCTAGTCTAAGCTCAAGCTCCGCCCCCTAATGTGCGATAAACCAATCAGAGAGCGAGCCATCCACAGAGCGTTTTCGAATGACGTCATTCTACTTTGCATTCAAAATATGAACGGATTGTAGCTGTTCACTTTCCAGGCGGGTGATGCGCCTTCGTTTTCCACTGAGAATGAACTCCGGACTCTGAACAGTTCACCGTCCTCCCCAAACAATGAAATTGTGAGTTTATGCAGAGTTCAAAAACCCGCATGGTTTAATATGTGATAGATTAGGAAAACATAGAACAATTTTCTCAGGCTTTGAAAGGATTTCTCTCTGGTCGGCGTCAAAACTTCTCCCGACTCAGTCGCGAAGAATTCGTAGACGTCGCAATAGAACTTCCACCGTGAGTTATCACCATGAAAAATCTGGATTGAACTTGAAAGCCTGTTGAAGTTGTAACGCGGCATCTGCCAAAGTAGTTTTAGTACTGAAATGGCCTACTGGCCTTCATCTTTTCGCGGAATCAAAATTTTTCCAGTGGCGTTCCTCCTGCCAATGTTCCCAACGCCGTCCCTGCGTTTGTTCACATCCCAGAAGGGTATGGAACTCCGTCGAGCAAGCCGTCGAAGCAGCCCAACCGCGGACCTAACTCGCCAAGAAATTCCCGCAAGTTGCGGTCCAATGTTTCTGCCATTTCACCCGGCCTAGAGACTGCAGAAACGGAGACCACAGATAGACTTAAAAGTGGGATTTGTGGTCAATACAACTGGGCAAACCGGGTTGATCCTCAATCTAAAAAGATACACTAAAAACAATTTAAAACTTTTTGCCGTTTTAACAGCATTGTGGCACGCGAACCAATTCTAATCAAACAACTAGTGCTGACGTTTTCAGAGTTTCGAACATTCTGCCTAGAAAAACATGAAATTTTTTTGAATCCATTTGTCGAGTCTGATCGAATATTTTCGTTATGCGAGTCTGGTTCAGTAGATGAATTTTTGGTAAACTCACTCCCATTTCTTTAGATCAACTCCATCAATATTATCAATAGCAGAAGAAGTTTTGTAACATTCCAATTGAAGATGACTGATGTTTAACTTTTTATCATCAAGTTTGAAGACCTGAGAAATCAACACTAATTTTAAATGTCAACAATGGTCACTGTAACTACCGAACTTTAAGAGTTCTGTAGATCCTTCATTCAGAGAATTGTTTAAAAAGCAGGATTTTTGAACATGTCTGAAATAAACAAAGATAGCTGCATGCAATTTTTCAGCGCGCAAACATAACGTTCACCGTTTCGCTCTGGTCAGTCCGACGTCTGTGAACCCACTGCTGGTACCGATCCGCGGGACCATTGAAGACGTGAGTTTCCTCCGCTTTGAAGTTCTGACGGAATCGCAGGAGGCTAAGCCACGCTATCCACTTCTTCTCGTTTCCAACGAAGGAACCATTCTGCTCACCCTGTCCGCCGGCGTTTCAGTCGAGATATGCGTCGATCGCAGCTTCCGCGTCGTGTGCAACGATGATTTTATGGTTTGAGAATTGAACCAATTTTTCTCTTAGATTCTGCTCCGCCTATTTCTTCGCCTGTTTTACCAGTCACAAACACTGATCTTTTTCCCTGTTTTTGAATTAGTTATGAGAGTTCTCCCATTGATTCCCAGATTTTTTTAGACTTTTGTCAACCGTGCGGGAACAGTTTCATCCATCATGCATCGTTACGCGAAATTCGTACATACCAATGAGCACGTCCATTGCAAATTCTGTAAGGTCGAAATGGTGAATCGAGACAGATTCAATGTTTCAAGCAAGTGCGAACGACAAAATGGCGATTCTGGGGCCTGAAGGGATCCTCTTCTCTATGAATCACCTCTCTGAGGCCTATCTCGTCTGCTCCGGAGGCGACTCCAGTTGTAAGGATCACGTATTTTAACCGCTAGAATTGTTCTGTAGCTCGGTCGGCACTCGCCTTTGAGAAGCCTGCCTTTCCGATGCAGGACATCGATTACTCGCTTCACCAGCTCTACGAGCAGTCTGAGTTCGGAGCTCAGTTCTTCAACGAAGTAGGTCGAGTTCACAAAGAAGTTTGAGGGGTGTTCAGACGCTTGAAATCCTCCTTCTCTTTTAGCTGATTCAAGGCTAGCTTGTGACGCTAAGGGGGCGTCTCCTGTCTGCGCTCTCCACAAGCCAGGCGCTATCTCATGCATTATCGTGTCAGAACCCATTTTTCGATGGCTCAAGCCAGCCGTGAATCGAGTATATCGTCAGCCACTAACTTAAGGCGTCATAACGTGACTGAAAATACGAATAATATATTGTGTACAAACCGATCACTTCAACAAGTACAAAGTACATTTTACTGTTTAGTGAACAAAACTCTAATTCTGTGCCCATTTTAATTTTCCTCGTCAGGCGAAAATTGTGCCTATTTTAAGTGGCTATAAATTGATATTCATTGTTACCTTTCATGCATCAATTTTTTCGCGGTTGCTGCAGAACAGTTTAAAAAATTGGTTGCAATATGACGTCTCTTGGGACTTCTTTTGTAAAACTTCAGAAGAATAAGAAATATCTTCCTGATTTTTTTCCATGAACTGAATGTTGATCACTCAAAATTTGATTAAGTGTAACGAGGTTGTACACAAGGCGACATACGAACGACGTTCCAAGGACTCACTCGCCATGACTATTCATGGTAGGTCATAACCCTTTCGTCAGTCTGACCATCCTCTTTTCCTGAAGCGAAGACTTTTCATAATTTTCAGCCTATTCCATTTCCTTATCTTGTTAAAGCAGGGGAATCTATATGAAAAGGTTATCAAACACGATTTTATTTTATTTTCTCCAGTAAACTATTCTGAAGTCATTTTCAGAAGCAGCAGCCAATCTCCTTAAAAAGTCAATAATGAAAAATCTCTGCAAAGCAGTTTCATTCCGTGTTCAGGTATGTCGATCAAGGTGTGTGGTGAGACTGGAGAAACAACGATCGAGGCACGACCTGTCTTCATCCGCTTCAACCCCAAAACTTTGGCCATTCATCTGCGCAGCGCCCATATCGACATGGGAGTACAGGCAAAACAGTCGTATCTGCGTCTTTTGAACGGAACTTCAGGAGAAAGACAAGGCCTACGTGAAACGCGGAGACAAGCGAATCCACGTGTCGCGTTCGGGCATGGTGGTCTCCGACGGCACCTGCGTCACCTCGATGGATCACTTCGGCCGCATCGTCTCTTGTACCTGAGTCCTTCGCGTCGTTCTGTTACTAAGTGACTTTGCATTTTAGCACATTTCTTCTATTTCTTTCCTTTCCTCTTTGTTTTTTTTGTTTGCGTTCTGTCCCGTATAAATTTTTATCGCCTATTTTTGAGCAAAAAATACTTTATTTTCAAAGAATTTGTTCATTCCTGGTTCAATAGAACATTCTGGAGCTATGAAACAGTTTCACCTGTCTGCGTCCTCTTTCTTCTCAATTGCGAGGTCATGAAAAAAACGTTCCAGAAGAGCTTCTAGGATGGAAAAGAAGATTTAGAAGAACTAAACTTTTTGAAGTCGTTACGAATGGGATTTATACATCCTGGAACGCGTTTCACTGTATAGTACTTTGAAACGCATTCCTAAAGGGCTGCAACGGATGTTCACTTTAAAACGGAAGGTAGTTCCCCTCAAATTATCAAACTTCGTAGAGTCTTGCTTTGCGGTTTCACTTACCCAGAGCGAAAAATTTTGTGAGGTTTCTGTTCGAATAAAGATCTGGAAACCGGTAAATCTGTATCTCCCCAGAGCTGAACAAATGAAAAAACAGCATTATTTTCAAAAATTTTCTCGAAAAAGAAAGAAAATGAAATCAACGTGACACTGATTCACGTGTAGTTTGCATTCAAATAGTCGAGCCGAAGTGAAGTTCATTACGAAATGCTTTTGGAGGGATCTCGTGTCATCGTCGCCGAAGTCTTCGCCCACTACGCCCAGCGGCGTAACCTCTACAGCCAGCTGATGTGGACGAAGTCACATCTTGTGGTGAGGCCCCCTCTTTCTGAATGAAAACGACCTCTCAAATGTTTCAGATGCTTGGCCACGTTGGTATCATATCAAAAATCGACACCGAACGACTCTGCGCCACAGTCATCGTCTACTGTTTTGTCCGTGCGCCAAACTCTCAGAAACGACATTTTCTCGTAGGAATCCCAAACAGCAGAAGGTTTGCAAATGTCTCGTAGGCTCACGTGAAAACGGATTGGCCCTTGGATGCGTTGGACGAAACTTCCAAGGTCTACTTTGCATGTGGCGACGCTGTCGTCTTGACACACCGCGGAGCGAAAGTCAGTTCTCTTATAGACTTTTGGAAAGAAAGCTCGTAACTTCTGCTTCAAGAGCAAAATTTGCAAAGCGATGTGATTTTTTCCACATTGGAACAAAGTTCAGTAATTACCATCAAGATGCAATTTCCCATTTTTGGTAACAACTTTTTAAAGGCCCTCGAAGATTCAGAGATTTTTTTTGTTGCTTTCAGTTTTCCTCGTTAAAATTTCACGTGATACTTCGATTTTCACTTCGTTTGATTTTGTAAGGATAAACGAGATCATAGCGAGCTTTTACGTCCTCTCAGATCCTTTTGAGCTTTTCCACAGTCTTGGAATGTGTTTTGAAGAGATCAATGGGAGAAAGGCCGCTCAGAGGCTCACCCAGGTCTGTTCTGAGAAAATTCTGCTCTGGATCGGTCTAGCTTTTAGTTTACAAAAAAAGACGCTACTGTATGCGCTGCTCTCGTTTTAGGACGTAATCCCAGTTCTTCTGAGATATCTCTTTTTATTCTAAGGCGACTATGGCAAAAGTGACGAGTGTCGAGTTCAATGAAGCAGGAAATGCTACGTACACAGTAACAACGAAGCCGGTCGAAAACGAGTCTCCGGTTGTCTTGAAGGTCAATGAATTCGGAGTGATCGGCAGCACGTATGTTTCTGAAAAAAAAAGTCTCATAAGGAAGGAAACAGACCAACGAAACCATGTGTTATGCTTCCGATCTACGTCGGAAAAAGTTATACGCAAGTGATGCGCGACGAAAACAGCCCTCCCATTCACAACTTCAAGGTTTTACTGATTCGAGAGAATGTTGATCTGAAATCGTCGCACGCTGTAGAACACTCTTCACGGCTACACGATAGAATCGCTGATGAACGTCATCTCGAATTGGAGCGACAACCCCGCCTCTTACGCTAAGCTTGTGGAGACGGTGCGCTCTAACGCGGAACAGGTCCGGAGAGTTCAGTCTTTTTCACTTCTGAAGCTTTTTGGGAAAAAAAAATGATTCCACAGATTAGATTTGATTTTCCTGAATTCTGAAGACGATTTTTGAAGTTTTGAAAGTGGTGACTTTCAGGGTCTTCATGCCATAAAGGTTTATCGGCTGAATTCAAAGAAGTTTTTTAACTTTAAAATAAATAACCTTATTCATAATGCAAAAAAGAACTCAAAAATCGAAAGTCATTCTGTTTCTGAGATTGATTTCTACAGCTCATGGAGCTCCTATTCCATTTACTTCTAGGCGCCCTACAACTAACTTTTCGGCACTGACTGTTTCAAGCTCTCTTTTAATTCCAAAAAATTCAGTTTATAGATTAAATTTTTGATCGCTGTTTGTGCAGGTACGCGGACTGGTGGACGGAGAATTGCCGCTTTTTCGAGCCGTCGCCGACAACAACTGGCTTCTCGTCGTCGTTCTGATTGCCCTCGGCGCCAGTCGTTTCGCTAAAGACGCTCAGATGCGCAACGTGGTCCACATCTCCGCTCAGAGGTCGACCCCCCAGTGTTTCACTTGAAAATGAGAGGGTTAATGTTTCTGGACCAACTACTGAAGTTTAGAGGTCTCGAAAAAATGTTAGAGGGAGTTCTGATGCTGCTGCCGAACGAAGTCAATCGGAAGACTCGCGAGGGAGACACCCCGCTACATCTTGCGGCACGGAATGCCCACGCGGCCTGCGTTGACCGTCTCCTCAATCTGCAATACTGTCAGCCGAACATCCAGGTTCGCTGCGAGGCAGGTCCGAAACTCTTGTTGCAGAACGAAAACGGAGACACTCCCTTGCACGAAGCCTGCGCACTTGCCGAGTCTGCCAACAAGGTGACTCTTATTCAGGAATTTATCGGAAACGATTTCTCATTACGTTTTGTGAGAACACGCGTGGTTCAAGAGTTTCTCGGAATCCCGAGGCAAAAAACTAGGATTTAGACATAAAAGTTGTAGGAATTTCGGCTTTTCGAAGGAAGATATTAATTTGAGTTTTCTCGTTCTTATTTTGAACTGAAAAGATACCAGGAATGAGTCTCCGTAACCGTTAAGCAACGCTTTTTCAATTTTACTGTCGAAGTTAGTTTTTTCAAACAAAAAACAAATAGAGACAAATCAACCGAAAGCAGCACTGAAAAGCCAATGAAGAAAACTCTAACCACTGGTGACACCAATTTAATATTTTGAAACTCCATCGATGAGTTGAAAAGGTATCTTCTGAAGTTGGGAAACTGAAATATTATTGAGAGAACGTTGTGAAAAATAGTTAATAAGAAAGACAAGTCCATTCAACGACAGAAAGCGACGATCGGACGATTGCTTTCCAACACCAGGGCCACGATCCACCAGCCCAACAACAACGAACTCTCTCCTCTCCAAATATCCATTTTCAAAGGCCACGCGACGTGAGTGCCTCAGGAGGAGCTGGAGTTTGGGTGAGTTTTGAGGACTGTCGAGCAGTTGGTGCAGCTCCGGCCCACTCACCGCAACACGGAGAGTCGTTCCGGAATGACGCCTCTGCACTTCGCTGCGTCCTGTGCCAACGTGAACATTGTCAATGTTCTGATAACGGTGAGTTCAGTCAAAATGATTTATTCATTTTCACTCAAAGGTGAAAAAATTTTTTTGAAAAGAAATTCATATACGAAGGAAGTCGCTTGAAAAACAAAGTGAGCAGGTGACCAAAGGATAAAAAAAGCGTGAAAGTTGCCTTTCTGCAAACTTTTCTATCATAGATTTGAATAATAATCACTCTATAGAAGTGTTCCCTTCATGTTAAGAATTCTTTCTGAACAAAGATTTTTTAAATTTTCTCTGTTTTCCGCTCGGAATGGAAGTCCATCGGAGAGACAAGACGGATCGCAGCGTCTTGCACTACGTCGTTGAGAAATGGACCGGTCAAGCTGACAAGGACATGGCACGACTCGCCTGTCTTCAGGTAACTCTCTACTGCTCCCACGCTTTCTCACACCTCAGGCTCTGGTCCACGCCGGCGCCCCTTTGAACCTGGTCGACTCGAACGGCCACACAGTGATCCACGTGCTCGTCAGGTTCGGTCCTTCTCCTGTCTCCCATAGGAGAAGCTGAAGACTCCTCATAGTTCTTTTCAGAGAGATAATGAAAGAGAAGGAGCCCCTGCCGAACACTCTAATCGGTGTTTGCCTTCAGCTTGTCAGAACTAACTTGGTGTGTTTTATCCCTAGTTCCATCTTTATCTTAACCGAGTCATGAAGTTATTAGGCTCTCAAAAAAAAAACTTTTTCTTAATTTTTGCTCTACTGAAAATTAATTCTAGAAGTGGTTATTTATTAATTTTCCAAGAGCCTAGACTGTTGGCATAACTACTGCCATAACGAAGCCGGATTTTTTCGGTAAGGCTGAAGTTACAAAGATTTTTCGGATTTTAATATGGCTAAAATGACTGAGATTTGTCAGAAAAACCTGTGACTAGTACAGATATAAATTTTGATGAGAATATAGCATGAAGCTCCGAAAAAATTTAGCTTTATCAAGTAAAGCTAGAGCCTGACCTCTTCTGAATACATTTTTGATGAAATTTCGTTTATTGTCATTTTTTTTGACTTGCTTTGTTTCGTATACCCCCTAAATGAGATTGAAGAACCTGGACGAGATCGCAAGTCGACTGCGGCCTCGATGGCAACTTGCCAGCATTTGCTTTTTGGCCTCCAAGGGCGCCGACATGATGATCAAGTACTTTCTTTTCATTTCACCTCTCAATTACGAGAAGACAACAGCAATACTTGTACATATTGAAAGCTGCAGGGACAGACGAGGCGAAACGGTGGTCGAGATGTGCAAAGAGAACACTCTTCGCACTATTCTGACGCAGATTGCTAACCTCAAAATACGGTTCGTGAAGAGGAAGACGTGTACGACACGCACTTGTTAACTATCATATTCATGGGGAACAAAGCGAAGCCTTTCAGGTCTTGTTTGCCGATGGTGTCGATGAAGTGCGGTGATTTCGATAGCTCGGAGGTGACTATGTGCACTTTCATGTGCCAGGTTGGAATTCCTTCAACGGAGCAGTCAAAGTAGGGTTCTGCGTAGGATTCGATTGCGGACGTGAGGTTCATGCCGTGCGGACACCGTGTGGCTTGCAGCGACTGCGCCCAGAGAACGGCCTTCAGACGTTGTCCCCTGTGCTATCACATAGTGTCGAGCGCTCTTGACAACGGTTTGTGGCTGCTGACAATGAAATCGACGGCTTCTCGCAGATGGTCGCGAGGTGTTGATCGGAAGCAAGGCGGGTGATGAGCGCATGGAGAAGTCGATCATCTCTGAACAGGTCGTCCGCAAAATCGCGGAACAAGCCGCCAGAGAAGCCAAAATCGCGGTTGAACGTGGTTGGTTCAACCTAAGCTTTACCAAGAAAACATGTTTCCAAGAAAGGTCTTTTTACTAAAATTTAAATTGGATAAATTTCCAGATAACAAAGTAAAATGAATTTTTTCTCGTTAGAGAAGCTTATGTGAATTGTTAGAAAACCCCTCAAAACGACGATTTTTAAAAATCAGTTTAATGACCTGGTGGCCGGAATTTGAAAATTTTTAACGATTGTGTCAGAAATTCTAACACAGAAGTCTGTATATTCTTAACATACCGATCTTACCAATCCGCCCTAGATATTCACAGAAAATTTTGGATTTTATTGTTTTTCTAGTTTTCGCCCACTATTTTTCTAACCGTCCCAGGATCATTTCATTAAAAGTTCACTAATCATGGAACTTAGTTTCTTGAAGAAAACTTTACGAGCTGACTCGTGAAAAAACTCTTCTCCATTTTTTCTATATTTAATAGCAACATTTTAAGAGAAACAGAATGAGTTGAAAATGCTGCGGGAAAGGCTCGAGCAGCTCGAAATGGAAACAAGTTGCAGCATCTGTATGGACGCCAAAATCACGGTTTCCTTTTTTTTTCATTTTTTTTTTCATGAACGCTAGTAGGTCTCAAGAAATGCCTGACAGGAGAAATGAAGCAGGAAAAATTCTCCTAGAGCTGCGAGAAATGAACTTTAAGTCCTTTTTTTTATTATTTTGTAAGCACTTTTTTATTTCCGTTTTGCTGAATTTTGAAAATCAGCAAGAAGACTTTGATAGTATATAGCAATTAGGTATCGGAAGAACTTTTTCTCCTTACAGTAGTTTCTTCAGATGGTGTTCAACTGTGGTCATACGGCGTGCTCGGAATGTGCGGCTAAGTTGAAGTTGTGCCACATTTGCCGCCAAAACATCGCCTCTACACAAACCATCTATTCTTAATCTCCAAATTTTGCTCATTATTTGATTTGAAACAAGATTCTACATATAATATTTTAACGACTCAAAGTCTTAGTAATAAACATATTTGTGAGAACTGAGCTTTCCTCTTCGCAGCTCGATAGGACATGATTACGATAAGAAATCACCTTATAAGCTTGACATTTCTGCAGCTATTCAAATTGTTCGCTTTATGAATCGTCAAGCTACTTGCTCAGGGTCCACAGATAGCCTGCGAAAACAAAAACCATTTGGAGAATACAAAAAAAAAACCAGCTCATTAAAGAAAGGAAATATTTATCTTACAAAAATATATGATATAAATTGGAAGGAACCCGAGAATTTTCGATTCCAACCTATTCTACAAGAATGTTAAGTTGGAAATTTTGAACAAAGACAATATAAATAATTAAATGATCAAGTCTTTCAGCTTCACGTCACCGTAAGATCAAATATACCAGTAAATGATAGATCCCCTTACAGAAACAAGTTTCGATAAGCTAAAAAAAGCGGAAAAAAATAATTTGATGAATTAACCGGCAACTTCGCGATAAAAAAGAAACGTGAATTCTATTGAAATGTAGAATATAATTGATTTTAACACTTCAAAAAAAAAAAGCATGTTTACCTTATTTCTCTCACTCGAAAACGCCAAAAATGAATTACAAAAGACGTCTCAATGGGGAACACCACGAGTCAGATAGTCCTTTTGGACAACTGCCTTGTATTCGTCGAGCAGATCTTGAACGCTGTGAACCGCTTCGTCCATCATTTCCAACGAAAAATGATCCTGAAACATAAAGATTTAAAACAAAGCTCTGAATTATTTCAATTAAACATTTTTAAGTTTCTACATTAATTCTTGGCATCAGTTTGCTTTTGGTTATGCTATAATGAAAAAAAAAACTGTTGTGATTTCAAACAAGATCAAAAAAATAGAGGAAGAGAGAAAAGCATGAAAAATTTTTAATAAATATGACAAGTTTCTAAGTTGTGGGAGACAAATGAAAACGAAAAAAAAAACCAGGATTGGTAAAATTTTGTAAAAAAAAAATACCAAAGTTCAAAATCATCTACCTCTTTTTCAAATCGATCCAAGAAAGCGCGCTTGGAACGCAGTTTATCATACTTTCCAAGAAGGTCCTCAAACAGCGGCGCCACGCTCGTGCTGTTGTTCAACAGCAGCCCCGATACCTACAAGTGAAGTAAAATAACGTAAAACGCCGCTTTATTCTACCAACGTACTTTGTATTGAGGCTTGACATATGGCGACAGCGGAGCGTTGATCACTTGCAAGGGACTCGTCATGTAAAAGGGAGGCCGACGAATCATCGCCTGGAAAAAGAAAACAAAACTTCAATTAAAATAAGAGTAACTATCTTAATATTGAAAAAATGCTTCAGAACCTTCACCAAGTGATCAAACTACTTTGATAAAGACTTTTTCAAACATTTCGTTGGAATTGGTTTCAACTTCGAAACATTTTTCAACATTTTTCAATTGAAAATTATGAAGCAAGTAAACAAAAAATAAAAACACGATAATTACATCAAAAATTAAGCTACGCCCACTCAAAGAACCTTTTCTGTTGAGATTTTCTTAAGGTTTCAACTTGCGGAGCATCTTTGTAAAATTTCACACTCAGATATGGAAAAAAAAAACTAACATCGATATTATGTTCGGTTTCAATCATCTGAATGGGATCGATCTCGCCTTGCAGCCACATGTAGGCGGAAATCATACAGTCATTCGGTCTTACTCGGCTGGCCGTCGAAACCTACAAACAGAAGCGATTGGATCGGAATTCCTCAGCTTATTACCATCATCGATGTAGGCTTCAGTAGGAATCGCGTCACGTCGGCCACAGATGTCTTTCGTGTGAACTTTTGGTTAGGATCAACCACCGGGGAAATACCTAAAATTTCGAGAGTAATGAAACTTTTGAGTAGTGTAGTATCAACCAGCTTGAATGAAATGCATCGGAGGGAATGGGGCCAAGGAAAGATAGCGGATCGAGGGAACGATTTCTGAGTTGAAGCGATACGGAGCCGTTGAGGTGGACATGATTCGCGCTACCAAAGAGTTTATGTGATCGAAAGTCGGCGTCTCAGTTTTGAATTTCCCAGCCGCCAGTCGATGCAACGCAGCATTGTCCAACACGACGACGTGATCTGGAAAACTTGAGAATGAAGAAAAATTATCTTGACGGGGTTGGTGAACACGAGTAACAACAATTTAGGGCAATTCAACTTTGAAGTCTGTTAAACAACAAAATGGAAGAAAACAATTGTCGGAATGATTTCGAAACGATTTAAAACTGAACCTGGATTCTCGATGAGCCTTTGCATACTGAGCACCCAGTTGTAAGGATGCACGACGACATCTGTCGTAGAACTATCCTCGCTGTTTGCAAAGACAGAATAAGTCTCAATCACTTTTTTCGGGAAACTGCAAACAAAAACACCTTCATCATTTCATTACAAGTTTTTCTAACCATTCCCTCAATCGCTCAAGAATAAGAGAGCCTGTACCGGAGCCAGTGCCGCCAGAAACACTGTGAGTGAATAAAACTCCTTCTATATTATCTGCATTCTCAGCTTCTCTTACAATAATGTCCATGATGCTTTCTTGTACTTCCCTGAACACCGAAAAATTTGAAAAAAAAATAAGATGAATTGTTTAACCTTCCCTGACCATATCCGTTTGCCCAGTTATTTCCAGCTCCACCACCATGATCCGAGAGAAAGATGTTATCGGTATTGAAAAGATTAGAAAAAGTTGGACTCTGCATCATTCCGTTAATAACACGTGGTTCGAGATCGACTAATACTGCTCGTGGCACGTAGTGGTTGTCATCGGCCTGAAATCAAGGATTATGAGACAGGATTTCCAAAAATACCTGATAAAAAAGCATTTCCTTAATATCATTGAAGTCTCTTTCCGTCGTTGTCTGTCCTCTTCTAAAAAAATATATTCTGAATCACAATTTAAACCAATAACCAACTCATCGATTCTATGCTCTTCACACATTGATTTCCAGAAAGCCTGAGCTAGTTGATTGCCACATTGGCCGACGTGAACAGTCATTAGTTCACCATGAACCATATTTACAGATGACTGAAATATTAATGAATAAACCAAAAAGCAACAAAAAACGTTCCTTCCTTACGTACAAGACGCTCCGAAAAATATTAAAATGAAAACCGAGTGAAAACAAAAGCTTTACTTGAATAGAACGCTTAACTGAAATTTTAGCCACTACATTTTTTGTCCTCAGACCTCGTGGGCGAGGAAAAAATGAAATACCGAGAATCTTGGAAAATTGGCACAAGCCAGCCGTGAACCGAGTACAAGAAATTTTTGAATGCATCATTTTCGTTCAGGCTAAATTTATTTGCTAATCACAATATCACTTATAAATAAGAAATATGTAAAATAAATTAATAAATATCTTTATAGAAAAAGTTGAAATTCGAAAAAGGGCGCCCATTGAGAAGGGTTTATTGAAGGGGTCGCTTTAGAGCATCCTTTCCAAAAAGTTTAAAAGCGCGCTGGTAGTCGCGACCAGCCCGGGCTTCGGTCCTCATTTTTTTGAGAAAGCATGCGCCAGATTGGGCCAGGCCAGGATTCGAAAAAATTTTCACTTAAAATATATTTTTAGTTAAATCATACTGAACGTTCTTTATTTGATATGCCCTGTGACCATCAAATAATCAAATTTTTTTCCGTTCGTCTTTAAATTAAATTGTTTCGATTTTTTTAGTTTCAGGGTGATATGGAGGCGGGAGTAGTACATTTGAAAAAGGCGATGATAAAGGAAGAGCTGTCGGATGAGATAGAACCTGAAGGCAGCGTCAAACTGGAAGCTGAGGAAGAGGACGACGACTCGCCTGCCTCCGACTCTGGACTGACGCCTATCAGTCAGCAAGGTCGAAGAGTCTTCTACGACGACCAGTGCTACGAATATCGGTTCTGCAACGCGATCCGCGACGCACATAATGTTGGTCGTCGCGACATAGCGATTCGCTGCACCGAACGACATTGCAAAGGAAAAGCATATTGTCTGCGCTCCGAAGAAATCATCCAGAAGAACGCGCACGATCCGCCGCATGCACCGCCCTTCGGAAAAAAGGAACGCCGCGAGGCAATCGGTTTGCTCAAGCTGGAACGTTTGAATGGAGTCGCGGCGGAAGACGCCGTCCGGAAGATCATTGTTAGCCTTCCTTCGGCAATCCTTCCATCTCGATCCGCGCTCCGACGCATGGCCCACAGGGTCCATCCAGCGGACAATCATACAGTCGGAGTAAGCGGAACGATGGATACTACGATTAAAAAAGTCCTTTCTCGAACAAATGGGATGGCTGGAACCGGAAACGATCAACACGCGTCGGTGGAAATTACCGAGCACTCGATGGGGAACAGTCCTCATTCTGAATCGGCTTCGAAGTTGACCGAGCACAAAGAGCTACCCGGCGACGAAAAAAAAGCTCCTTGTTCAATTATCAATAGGCTAGTTTATGATATTTTTCTTCATTTATTCATTAAATTTTTTTGAAAGTCAATCTCGAAGACTTTGCAATGATTCGGAGTTCAATTTCTATTTTCTTTAGTATACCTTCTGTGGACGTTTTCCAACAAAAAAAAAATTCTCGTTTTCAAGTTGAACCACATCATCGAATAAGTATGTTATTTGAAGAAAAATAATCTCTCGGCCCATTGTGATGAGTCAGACGTCATCTTCGAACGGAGAAGTTCTACTCAACAGAAAACTTTCCATCGTGCGAAGTCCACAATCCATACGTGCGATTCCTTACCAAAGAGAGGGTAAAAAAACTTTTTTAAATTGATATATTTCCAAAAAAATTATTCTGAAAAGCTTTATTTATATAGTTAAAGTTTAAAAATTTTTCTGAAATGTTCAGATAATTTTTTTATATATTGAAAAAGGAAAAATCATTAGAAAAAAAAATCTTAGTTTGAACAGAATGGCTTTTGAGTTGTACTATCATCGACCAGCTGTATCAATTTCAAACAGGTATCAAAAATTAAAGAACTCTGCTCAAAGTTATTTAGTTGGACCAGTAATAATAATATAATTTATTTACAGTAGTGCCCTTGAAAAAAACGGAAATTGTTTTTTTCATGCTTAAAAAGTTTGACTTCTTTAGACTTTCGAAGGACTGTTACAGCGAAGCCAGTTTCTATAGGAAATCCCAGAGCCGACGCTTTAGGTATGGTTTTTTAAAAAGATTTTCTTAAAGTTCCTTGAATTTTTATATAATAAAAATCTTATTCTTATCTGGTTTTTTCTAGTTTTCATATTCTTAAAGTTCACTGAATGTACTTTATTGAACATTGGAATGTTTTCTTGAATTATACAATTTTTTTTCAAATGAAAATGATCTTTCGGAGATACTGAATGCAGAAAAGTAGTATTACAATATTTGCAGGCGTATTTGCCTACTTTTATTCTATTTTTGTCAAAAAATCGTTTCAAAAGTGAACTCTTTCAATAAAATCTCAATTAGGTAATATAATGTATCGGTTTTTTTTTCTCCGAAGAAGATGTTCATTTACAGCAGAACTCGTCCGACATCAAGCTGATTTTTTGATCCGCAACAAGATGGAGAGCAAATTCAACGAATTATGGTCCGGTATTATCGAATGCGTCGACAAATCCAATAAGTGATCTGAATGTATCTTTTTTCGAATTCATATTTTCTCCTGCGTTTCACTGAAAAAATTCATCAAAAGAATTAACTAATAATCCAACTCGATTATGAGAAAACTAGATCATAACTTCATAATATTATAAAAATATATCCGGGTTTTCGGATAAATGTGAAAATATTGTTTATGGTTCGATGATGTAACGATTAGATTTATCTGTAGACTAGAGTTTAATTGTTTTTTTTTCTTTGTATCTTTTTTGAAGCCATCATTCCAGTTGGCTCATTGTGGATAATCTTTTGTTGTTTTCAGAGTTCTTCTATATACGAAAGTTAATGCTTGCATAGTTTTTTGTTCCGTTTTGTTTTTCTTTTGTCTGTGATTGGTATTGGATTTCGGGTAACATAGCTTGAGATTCCTCGAGTAGGAAAAAAAATATCAATGAGCACAATTTTTTTTAAACTTCAGGGCCACCTTATATTTACTTCAGTTTTTACGTGTATAATGTTTCAAATTGTTTAATCTTTCATACAATAAATAGCCATCTGTTTGGTTTCATAAATTCTTCTTGCTTTTTTCTTCACCAAGAAAAGAAAGTTAGTTGGATAGGGCGCCGGTCAACCGAGGATTCGAACATGATAAGTTATCGATTCTCGTCTACAATCTAAATTATGTTTGAAAAAAAAAACGATAAAATTCAAATAAAAACGAAAAATTCAAAAAATAAAAGGTGGAAGTCGGTGAACTGTGACTTTTCTAAGTTTTTATAAACAAAGTGTGAAATAGGAGTTCAGAACTCAAAAAAAAATTCAAGCAGTCAGGTACTGAGAGTCCGCCGGGAATCAGTTTTAGATGCACGGAAAAATAAAAAAATATATACTCGAACCGGCTAATTTTGTTTGCTGTTTTTTTTTTCAGACAAGACGTCTTAAAACTTGTGGGAGGGAGGATGGTGAATTTTTGTTATCGTCAATTTTTTAAGCAGCGTAGTACAAAGTACATTTAAGTCTATTCTCAAGTCAGACTTCAGAACTTTTGTTAGGCATCGGGCAGATCGTTTTTTCTTCTGAAATTCGCTTTTTTTTTCTTCTAGCCCATGTTCAGATCCGTTTTACCCAGTGGAAAACAACAGCTCCTAGAATATTTTTCTCACTTTGTCTTCTGCTTGCAGCATTTTTTCTGGTGTTATGTACTTCGAAAAAAGAAAAATGCCTTTCAGGAACGGGAAAAGGAGCGACTTTGGCTGCCTCGAATAAATGGTTTTGTTATTTCTCACCGGAGTAAGAATTGGGTGCATCCAATTGGTTGAAGGGCGAGCGACCCCAGGGAAGAGATGCAATTCTCGAAAAGGCAGTCGCCGTTTTTCTATTTGTTTGCCCACGGTTTAGTTTTTTTTTTTGTTTTTCTTGAAGAATACTCTCAATGAATATGTGTTAAACTGAATAATAGGGTTTTTTTGACATTCTAGGAAGCTTAAATTAGAGAACATACCCTAAATAAGTTCAAAAGTACCAACCAAACCGAGATCCCTTTTAAGATTCGATGTGCAATAGTGATAATATTCACCAAATTACAGTTTTTCTCATAGAGAAGAATATGAACGACTATCGGAGAAGGCGCATACATCTCGACGAACGTGGGGGCGGGCTCAAAAAGAGCCGTTTGGAAGACCACGCCCCCGCACCTGAGCTCTTCCATTTTAAGGACTCCGTGCGTTTTGACTTATTCTGTCAGCTCTTGTTTCCGACTAGATTAGTATGCTGCTGCTGTCAATGTACATACTGTATTCTCTAAACACACTGGGTATGTTTTACTCATTTTTTCCATTTTTGGCCCACCTTCATTCAATTATAATTTTTTTTTGATATTTTTTTTTACATTGCTGCACAGATTTTGTTTAGTGATTTTCTATCAAACTATGAAGTGTTGTGAAACGAGAACCAATTAGAAATCTGGTATTTGGTTCCCACTGGCAAAAGGGACGTTTCCAATTTCCGCTCTCAAACGCTCAAATAGATTGCACCTTTTGAGAGGTCTATCAGTTTCCTGATAGAACGCTTAATCAGCCAACCATTACCTCTTTTCGATCTGAAATAGACCCAAAAATAGGAAACGTAGCCAATAAAGTCGAAATTTTGTTTCCCTCATATTATGACTTCAGAGGACGTATGCAATAAAGTAGAAAATGGTTTTCCGCCATTTTCCTGAATTTCGTAAATGGGTAAAATCAGTCTTTTTTAGACTGAAATCGTTTCACCTCTATCAGAATCTTCTTATAAGCCTTATCCCATCAGATAAAGTCGAAATCAATGATATCCTAGCGAGTTTAAGGCCTTTTCAATTTTCAGGAAAATTTCAGAACATCATTTTCCAGTTTATTGCATACGGTCAATCAGAACTTTTGCTAAAAGTTAGAATGAGAGATTTGGACTTAGTTAATCAGGCTCACAGTATTCCAAGAGTCCTCTTGTTCTAAGCCCCTACATGTTTTTTACAATCCCTCGACGACTAAAAACTAGTTTCATAGAGATATTTTTTATTTTTAATCATGAGCATAAATTATTTGTGTAAACCTTTAAAAAAAAAACTCAGAACCCCAAATTTGCAAGTTGCAAACTTTCCATGAAGGCAGCTTCTGACCCAACGTTTTTTTTGCGAATTTTCTTTAGTGATTTAGAAAGAACTACCAGGGCTGAAGGTGATTGGATTTTGAGAAAATAAGGAGGATGAGACTTTCAGAAATACGTTTTTTTTTCTAGAAGTTGATCGACAGAAACTCAAACCCCATGAAGATCCATAAGTTTTGGATCGATTTTATTGAGTGAGATTTTTCGTGTACTTTATTTGCACTAGCGAACGCTTACCGCAATCTGATCGATGAGAAAATCTAGTATAATGATTCAGAATAATAAATATATTCACAATATAGTGAAAAATCGAATCCAGATGAACAGCGAACTAGAATTTCTCTCACTCGTTCAAGAAAAAAGTCATCATGAAATAAATCTTCTTATTCGACTATCCAAGGCCTTCATCCGCATTCTTTTCCGATTTGCTCGAAAATAATTATGCTGGTTTTCTTATGAACTTGAGACAGAGAAAAGAAAGCTCGAGCTTGTTTATTCTCTTTTTTTTTTCTTGATTTAGACATAGGCGAGTCTAGGTAACGGAACAAATTCAGTAAGTCTTCGAATTACTGTATAATCAATTAAAAGTTTCGATGTTAAGAGAGTGGACACTCCAGTTTTTTTTCTTGAAATCTGCCGCAGGTCGACATAATATGCGTGCTGGCCGAAAATAGCGGGCGGAGCAGAAGACGGCGAAATAAGTTTAACGGTGGTCCTGTGGGACGTGGCCAACAATACCGCGTAACAAGCGACCCATGATTCCGCGTTTTGCTTCTTTCCTCTCATTCCGTCGGACATGTCGCAGACGTCGCCGTCGCTGCTCATGATGCCCACTCTGCTCTGCCATTTTTTCGATGGTGATCACTTGTTTTCACGTTTTTCATCATCATTTTTTTTCGGAGCTAGTTCTCAGCGAACGGTCAAGTTTGGTTCATTCACTTGATGAGGTATTTCGTAGGAATTAGCTGCTTCAATTGATTTCGTGTGTTTCGCGATTCTTTCGATGAGAAAGAAACAAATTCTCTTCGCAGTGTAGTCGCGCAAAGGACGAGTGACTAGTGCTGACCAGCTTCTTGAAATAGCAATTTTGCTCGCGAAAATCCTTTATCTGCCGCTCTTGAGCCAATTCTGCGGAGCCATTATCTCGCGTCAAAGCGAAGAAACCGCCGTCCTACCTTTCGTCTAGTCTTTCGAAGCTACAGTGCAGAAAGTGCAATGCGATTGATTTATCGGAATCATCTTTATTGAAGAGGCTTTGCGCAGAACCTTCGGAATTCCCATGATGATACATCATGTTTATGAGTCAAATTCACTTCTAAATATCTGGTGTCCGCTTTCGAACTCATTAAATATTACTTTGCTCTCCTATTTCAGGATCTGTTTTTCCAACTGTCTCAGAATTTATTTCTACTTTTTTTATCCAAAACTATTCAAAGACAATGGTAATGAACCTGTAGATTTCAAGGACTGGTCCGAGGCTATGAGAAAAAAAAAGATCTTTGAGAAGAAATGCTCAGAAATAGAGAATAACTTCTGCATTTTGGAGCACAAGGCGATTCTGAACCCAAAGCGGAAAGAAATCGTTTCAGCTTGCTCTCGCGGAGTGCCGCCGACGATCGTGCAGCCGTCGATGTCGAGCGCCGTGGCTCTTCTGGGGCAGGACGTCGATTTCACGTGCGTCGTCAACGATATCGGCAGCCACATGGTGAGTCGAATCTGTCACTGAATATTCCATTCCGGATTCAGGTCGCCTTTGTAAGATCCGACTCGCCTCCTCGACTGCTTACTTTTGATGAAAAAGTGAGTCTTTTGAACAAACTTCAAAATTTCTTCAAAACTCCAAAGTAATATGTTTTATAAGCAGTTGAATTTTAACGCAGGTGTTTCGAAGAAGAGACAAATACGAATTGAAGACTCAAGTCGGCGATAGCAAAAATGAGTGGGTCCTAACGATAAAGAACGTCCAGGTTTTTCTTTTCCAATATTTGGACTTGGAATCTATGACAAGTTTCAGGAGGACGATCGCGGCAACTATTCCTGTCAAATCAATACTGAACCTGTGACAATCGCCAGCGGCAGTCTCGACGTCAAAGGTGGGAATGGTTTCTGAATTTTCGCAAAAACCAGAAAAATCTTTTTATAGTCATGGATTTAGAAGTTCTTAATTTATGCCAAAAAACTATCGAAATAGTTATCTTATGGTTCTTTCTTTTTCCATTTGGATCAGAATTTGTTATTTTTGTTGTGGGAGCTCAGAAATCGCGGACTTTAGGGTAAAATCTCAAATTTGAAGCGCATTTGAGTGAAAAATCTACACGAGCTTTCATAATTTTATAGAAATTGAATAAAAAATCCATATTTACCTTAAAAGCACTCTAAACTGGCTTCCAACTTCATTCTCGTTCCCAAGGAGGATGTTGTCCGCAGTAGAAATAAAACAGATGGATTCGAAATATCCTTGTCGACGTCAAAATGATGACCAACAACGGGAGTCATGAATCATGTTGAGCGTGAAAAGCCGACGTCTGCTCGGAATGAGTGACGCAACCGTCATTGTCCGGCGCAACACCTGCTGCCAGTCTACTGCGGAACCTTTACCGCGTCTTTGGCTTTTTTATCTGCCCGACTGTTGATCGGATTGTTTCATATCGTCAAGATCTATTTCCGCTCTATCGAGGATATTCGACTTGGTAGAAGAACAGGCTCTAGCGGGATAAATAACCTGATAGACCTTGCAATCAACCTTCTGTGAGAGCTGGAAATTGTTTCAAGGAACTGCTCTTGTTCAAGAGATTGTAACAAAAATGTTCTGGACCGCGCATAATAGGATGAAGAGAGTGCCAACGCCAATTATGATGGCGCCTTCTGGGACGGCGTCTTCCGTTCAAGTCAAAAGCTTCGGTAATTACCGCGCGCGAGCCGTTTCACAGCTATGGGCCGCCTTTTGCTTTTCTTTCTTTGTTTTGCATTCGGATTGATGTGGACAATTATCGAAGGCGGTCCACCTGAGAATCGGGTAGAAGCGAAGCTCGTTTTGAAAAGAACTGATCATCAGGAGGAGAATTTCCAATTTTTCGCTTAAAATCTCTTCTTTGCTCAACCTAAACAGCATATACAGCAAAATGAAAGGATCTTATAACAAGCTACAAAAACTATTTTCAAAGTGGGGAAATTTTTTTTCCTTGAAATTATGTACAACATACAGTGATTTAGTTTTCAACAAAGAACAAGGGAAGAGTTTCAGTGCCGCCGATGGTATCGCGAACGACGCCAGCGGCGATAGAAGTGCGCGAAGGGAACAACGTGACGCTGACGTGCAAAGCCGAAGGAAATCCGACGCCGACGGTCATCTGGAGACGTCAGGACCGCCAGATCATCCGCTACAACGGCGCCACTGGCTTCGGAGGTAGGCTCAATAAAATTTTTCAAAGGTACAAATATTAATTTTTCTTCGAGTCTCACGATGCGCTCAGAACGTTTTTTTTTTCTTGCTCCATCTTTTGGAAATCGACACCGTCGCGAGCGGTGGAATTCGCATGACCAGAGCCGTCTTGTTGGTTTTACCCACGCGCCGTTCATTCGATCCGCCAGATTCTCTTGTTAACACAGCCCATATGTCCTGCGAGTGCAGGGCGAGATTAGTAAGAGCCTTAGGTTTCCGCGCAACTTCAGCTTCCTCGGCTCGAAAAACGTTTATCATTCGAAAAAGTCCGAAAGGAAACGTTTTTGAAACCTCCAGCTTGTGAAAAAAAAAAGCTTCACCCTCTTGAAAACACGTTTTGCATTCCACAGGAAACGTGGGAAGACACGAAGGCCACGCGTTGAGTAGAAGAAAAAAAAGATGGTTCTGCAAACTCGTCGTCTTTCCTTTTCACCTTTACGTTTTTCGAAGCTCAAAAAGCGTTCCGAAAAGGAAAGTGAGCTGTATCCATCAAAATCATTCTCCAGTGCGTTGACAGCTTTTTTTCCAAAAAAATTTGAATCCTTCCGCTTTGATGAGTTGATTCAAAACGTAGACGCTGTGTAAAGGTGGAAAATGCGAAGAAGCGTGGCTCCCACGATTAAGCCGCGAGCAAAGAAAACAATTTACGCGGAGGACCTCCATGATCCCGACCATATGCGTACCCATTAGTCGCAAAATATCCGCGGCAGTTGCGCACTCAATTAAAGCTCACTATTTTGGGATCTGGGTTAATTAAGAACGCGATTCGAAATTTCTTATGTTTTTTGTAAGGCTGAAGTAAGGAGACTTCGTAGGAAAACATTTTATAAACTGGAAGCGAAGATTTTGAAATACCTGCGCAGACTAAGAACGTCTTATAAGGATGAAGTCTACTAAATGGGTAGTTTCGAACTCTCAAGATCGAAAACCTCAAGGAAGTCGAAGGTTCGCAAGTCATAAGGCTTTTTAAAATTCTCTATTGCTCACTCTTCACGAGCTGAATATAAGGAGTAGTGAATTGACGGTAAAAATACCAATATTTTCGCCCAAAAAGTTGCTCCACGGTTCTTGCCAGTATAATAGTTCACAGAAGTCAGTTTCTAAAAGAAAATACTCGAATGAAGGAAAACTTTGCAGCAAGCGTGTTCCACGGATCGAGTCTACACCTGACCAAGGTGTCGCGAAAGCACATGAGCGAGTACATTTGCGTGGCGAGCAACGGCATTCCGCCAGACGAGTCTTGGACCGTCAAGCTCCTTGTCACTTGTGAGTTCTAATATCCGACTTTGTGAAATCCGAAAATAGATAAAATTCCTTTAGTTCTCTCTGGGAACTTTGCAAAACTTCTCGTACATTTTAAACCTCTTCCTCCCATGATTGAATTTTTTGCAAAGGGTTTGAAAAAATTGCACATTTTTTTTACATGAAAATTGATTCAAATTCGTTCATTTGGTAATTTCATGACCGAATTAATTTGATTATTAGAAGTGGTTGGACTGTTTTTGTTTTTTTGCAAGTTTTTTCCTGCATTTTCTCTAAGGTTTCCTCTTTTTTATTCAGAATTTTTCTCCGAAAAAATAGTGTGCAATCTGGAAGTTATTGAAGATTGGAGAAAATTTATTCATGACCAAAGCGCGTAGAATGGGTGCCGATAAGTGGTTGGGAAGCAGAAGAAGCCAACAGCAAGCCTAAAAAAGCAGTCAGGCGATTTCTGATGCGGCCGATCTAAACTCACGCAGGATACATCTTGAATTTTCGGAAAAATTTCAGTTCCTCCGTTCGTCCAGGCGCAGTCTACGACAGTGCAAGCTTCGTTGGGAGCAATGACGAGGCTGGTCTGTACAACGGAAGCTTGGCCGAGGCCTGACGTCGTGTGGGAGAAGAACGGCGTCCACATCTTCGACTCTCAACAATATACCAGCGTAGCGTTTTCTTTTCAGACATTTCTATTTGTGTTTGTTCATCGGTTCGAGCATTTTCGTTCCAAAAAAAAATTCTCTATCATATATATATATATATAGGACCCAAGGAAAGATAATTTCAGTCGCACACAGTCAGCGGGCAATACCACAGCGTGCACATTCTGGAGATTCGCGCCGTCCAGGAATCGCACTATGGAACTTACCGGTGCGTAGCACGCAACGACAACGGCCTCCAGCACGCCGAGATGCAACTCATTCGTACGACGCCAATCATGAAGCGCTGTTTTAATTTCAACATTGCAGAACTCCAGCATGGCCAGGACAACTACTTGTTCACGAACGCAATTCCTGAAGGTAAACTCCGATTAATAACAAGACCTCACATGCATGAAATGTCTTCTATCGGCCTGCGTTTCGATGCACGTACGGAACACTGTCCGTTAAACTGCACGATTCTCAGAGGAGTGTCGGTTACAGGATCGGGAGCACACGTCGACGAAGAATCAGAAGATGATATAGATCCCAACTTACCACGAAGAAGTACAGCAGTTGCAGAAGAAATCGAGACTACGGACAGCAAGCCTAGGCCTCAGCATCACCAACACTCTTTGACTGTAGCTCAGCACTCTTCTCGCACAGGCATGCACTAGAAAGCATAGGACATTCATGAAACGCTCGTTGGGACCTCAGAAAACTTGGCGTCAGATTTTTATCGAACTTTTCCAAAATTTCGGAAACGCTCACCTACATTCGACTCACCACTAGCTTGAGCCATTCTTTGATACTTGAAGAATTTAGTTGGGAAAAAAAAGATAAGAAATAAAGTTTCTGAATAGTAAAAATTACGTCGTCGATACAGATTCTGTGTATCGAACCAGGAATGAATCTCAGATACCTTTCATGTCGGACTTTGGGCACAAAAACACGACAGCGTTTGAATCTTCAATATCAACACGCTATTTCCCTTATCGTGTCAGGACTCATATCTTTGATCTTTAATATTTTGGCTCAAGTCATTATTGAATCGAGTATATTAGTTAAATGTGTTGCGCCTTTCTGACCCAAGCAAGTAAATTCTGAATGAGCTATACTTAGTGAACTCTAAAAAACAAGACTTTTCGGTACTTCAAAACGTGACTGCACTTTTTTTTCACTTCTGTCCTCGCACTCTTTCATAGCGAGGTGCTTTATGGTGCTTCTAATGTGAACTTTTTCTCTCTAACGTCTTTAATTTCAAATTCACAGTATGACTTTAACAGCACACTTATCGGTGGTAGAATGTTACTCTGTTGCGATTCGTTTTTTTTTTCTGAGGTATCTTGCTCCTCGTACGAAGTTTATATCGAAAGGTATGAAAAATTAATTAGTTTATTTCTTTTTGCTAAACATTCCCTCGAGGTTATTGCAGGCAAAAACTTAGAAACGGCAATAATCCGAAACTTTTTCAAGCTTATCGATACGAGCCAGGAACCCCAGAAGAGCGAAAAACTAGTTATTTGAATGTTTTATTATAATAAATATCATCAAAAGTTTAGTAGAGAGAAGAATTTAATTTTTTTCGAAAGTTTTTCAATTTCAAAAAGGATTTTTTTATTTCAGAACTTCGGTCTCAAAGCTCCACTCCGCAGCAACAATTCGGTTATTCATTATTATCATTCTTAGTTATCTTGTTTCTCACATAGCTTCATTGCTCAATTTTTTTAAATCTTATTATATACTTCAATTCAGTTCGGGGTGTGCAAATCTATTTCTGATCTCAATTTATTTCTCTTGATATTTGTTTGATTTCGTATATATTTTTTCTTGTGCTCTACTTATACATTATTCACGTTGCCATAATTGAAATTCACTTAATTTCCCATACTCAGCTATTATTGTGAACCTCTGCTTTATTGTGAAAATAAAACTCGATCGACTACCCATGGGAATTCCTCAGAAGTCATTCACGAGCCAACATCTAAACGCTAAAGCGGGAAGGTCGTTGAGCTTATGGAACAAAGTGAAAAGGTTCGATGCGGAGCATAACCGGATTAGTGCTTCCATCAAGAGGAGCTGCACTTACGTTCTTAGTTGACTTCTGCTCATCTTAGTCGCGAGTCTATCGAAAACATGAACGTTTCACTTAAATGTATAATTTGAAAAAAGCAATTATTAGAAAGAAAGTTGATTAATTCTTGTTTTGAAATTATAAGCACCAAAGCGAGTGCAAAAAAAAATCGAAAATTTATCCAGCACAAAAAATGAATCGAAAAAAGGCAAGAAATATAAATTTTTTGTTAACAAACCAAAACCTTTTCAAGGATTTGAATAAAGCATCTCCGAACATCTTTAAAATTTTGACATTAATGAACTCGGTTTCACGATAGTACATGTACATCATATAAAAGAAGAAAAATTCGGTTTAAAAAAACAAATGATTCAACTGCTCACTATTTTAGTCAGAAATATCCCAAAGGTTCAACATAAAAAAAGTTATTTGATAAGGAAGGCAATTTTACTTTGCAGTAGGAAAACTTCTGAAAATCGGCTGGACTTGCACGTTTCAAACAAACTTCCTGAACGGGTCTGCCTGCACAACAACACGCCTGTTCAGCATTGTTGAAAACTGCCTGATGCGAGACTATAGTTCGTTCCGTGCAAGACGTTCACGTTTCAAAAAAAACAGAAAAGAAGAAGCTACCGTAAATACAAACTTTTGCTCCACAAAACTGTTCAAAGGACGCCAAAAAACAGAGGTTTTGAAGCGAAGATGCTCAATTTTGATCAAATATGCTATACGGTGTTTTCGGCGGATAGAAAAATACAACCGGGCGCCGTCCGTTTGGAACTTTTTTCTAAAGACGGAAATTTTTTAAATTTTTTTCTCGAAAACTAGGAAGTTGTGGAAATTAGAACTATCGGAATATTCATCTGCTGCATCAAGTTTTCCGACCAAGAGAATTCCCAACGACAAAGTAGAAAGACCTGGCTTGTGAGCTTCAAGAAAAAAGTGGGTCCATACAAACAAGTAAAATATTAAATCGAGTAAATTTCATACTCTGTTTCTCCCTCTTCTGTTTCGAGGGTAGAATAGTCGTCATCGGCAGCGTCCGTCGGTATGCAAACATCGTCTTGATGAGAACTCTGAAATACAGATATCTAGGCTCCAGACGACACTTCACTTTGCAAGGGACGCCGCACATGCCGCGGCAAGCTGCATCTTCGCAGAAGAGCTGGTCGATCCCTGGCTGGTAGTAAAACTTCACGGGTGCAACCTGAACACCTTATCGTTGATCAACTAACTAAAATCAATAAGAGAAGAATTCGATTCTTACATTTTTGGAAACGTAGATGAATAAGACCGAAAGAAATTCTTTATTTTAGACTCATAACTAAAATCAACTTGAGTTGACAAGATTTGACTGTCAATGTACTTTCTGATCTTTCATAAAGTATTTTTTTTCGGTTTTTGAACATTCTTACGAGCTAAAAAAATGATTGAACTTTATTATATTGAAAAAAACTGACCACAAAGAAAAAAATGCATTACTTCTTTTTTTAGTCTGAAGCCTATGCAAAAAAATGACCTTTTTCTGATAGTCTAGTGCTTATATCTCAAATCGAAGGTTTTTTTCTAAAGTTATTTTTTTGGAAGTATAATCCATTCTTCTCGTTTAAAAAAACGGCTAGGATTGCAGTTTGTGTGTGCAAAACGGTCGCGATTGCGTTTTTGGCACCAACTCAAAAACTTGGGTTCATTCTGTGCAAATAGCCTACATATATTTGATAATAAAAATGCCGCAGCAGCTAATTTGGAGGTTTTTTTGACGTAAACTAATTAAGCTTGTTTACGGCGAACGTGAACCAATTCCAAAAATGGGACTTGGAAATGCAACTCTTCATTAAACGACAATCCGTAACTCTCTGGAAGTTATTGGTGCTATCAGAATGACTGAGCAAATTGAATGAATCAAAATGAGACGAACGAGAGAAGCAGAAGCGCAATGATCTCTGGAAGACACGTAGTCGAAACCGACGACATAAGCCTTTCCTAGACATTCCAAAATTCGAAAGTACTCCATTCGCTCTTCCTCATTCATCTGCAAACACGCTTACGATCATTAAGTTCATAAGAAAACCACATGAAAAGGAAAGAAAACTTTACATTGACATCCCTGCCTCAGGCGGAGCCTGGGAAGGTGTTCGGATGGTTCTGGGAAGGAGTTGGGAAGATCTGCTTTCGGTTCCTTGAAAGGGGTTTGGAAGGTTTCCAGCAAGGGGTCAAACGCCTTCCGAGTAGCTTCCCAACGCCTTCTATTCACCTTCCGGAACCCTGCTGGAAGGTTTCCGGAAGGCTTCTGGAAGGTCGCCCAACACCTTCCATCAAACATTTTACTGGCTCAAATTCTGATATGATTCCATAGTTCTTTCACCGCAAAATCGATTTACCCTCCGATTTTATTTAAATTTTCTTGTCCATTCACAAGCACATAACTCTCGAGTTGAACGGAAAAACTGTAACCAAATTACCCGAGTTTTGAGCCGGAAAATGGTGAACACAAGAGGCAAGGCACAAACTGAAGGATCCAATAGCCCTACAACTTTGTCCAGGACATGTCGATCCGAAACGATTTCCACCACCTTTAAAGTAAATTCAAGCAATTCTCTGAAAACATGTTTTTCCAATTCTGAACTTTCTGAGGGATTTTGCTGACGAAGGCCTATCTCCTCCGATATGCGGCTACCGATAATACTTGGAAAAAAGAATGGAATGAGTTTATAGTTCAAAAGAAAGTGCAAAACCTCTTTCGACCTACCTACCTAGTAAGAACATTAGAAAGAATATGAATAAACGGACTTGTTACTGCAATTTTTAATTAAAGAGAAAGAAAAACCTGCAAAGTGTCGATTTCGAGAAACAACTCTATTCGAGCACCGGCTTTGGGAATGTGCTGCGCTCGTCGGAAAGGGAACTTCCCCAGCTCCGGTCTGAACAGCACCACCATTTTCCCGCTCCAATCCTGTCGGTCGCCCTCTGTGTTCCACCAATTCTCGTTCGTTTTCAACCTACTCAGTAAATACGATAGGTAAAACTTCAACTTTCACATTGAGAGAAGGACGGAAACTGGAACGTACACCAATAAATGACTAAATTAAGCTAAAGATCATTTTTCGTCTTTATCTTCTTTTTTTGTCGCGTTTTTGAAGACTTTCAGAATTTCAAGACACGAAACCATTCTGATAAAAATTATCCTCAACAAACGTATATCAATGCGTAATTTACTACATTCATTCAAAATAACTAACGTTTTTTTCAAAGATTGAAAATAAATAAAAAAAACGAACCACTCCTGAAAATTAGAAGAGAACTCTTCCGGTCCAAACGATCTAGTCAAGCCAAAAAACCAAGAATCGATTTCAATTAAAACTTCTGAGATGGGCGTCCATCCCACACTTTCGGTATGAAAATCCTTAAACGATGCTGAATAACCGCTTGGAAACCAATGAAAAAGCATAAGATACGTTGTGAGAGGCGAACCAACAGCTCTGTTGGAAGGCAAAAAGAATCTCTCTTCGAGTCAGTCGCCAATGACTAAGTACTGGCAACGGAAAATGAACAACAATGTCTTCTTCATTGTAGGAACTCTGCAACATTATTAGATGTAAGAAAACCTGTCTAATAATAAATAACTTGATCGTTTAAAGATACGTTAACTGAGTCCGACAGATCTTCCCACTTCACAATGTCCACCGAGCAAGCCGAAAAACAACGTCTTCTGCTTTTCAATTCGTTCCTGGCCCCTTCTATGAACTGACTGGTGACGTTGCTTGCAGGGCACTAGGAAGCATCCGAAATAATGAGGAAAAACAATTACAATGTACCGGTAACGACCTCAAATGATTCTCGAATCTTTGCGAACGAAATTCTTTTTGAAAAAAATGTGTTTTTTTCTTAACCTAGAACAAAATTTAAATTCAGAAAAAAATTAAAAAGCTTTCAAACCACATTATTGTTGTCAAACGCATGAGAAACTTTGAGGTTTCCAAATTGACTTCCATCTCCTTTAAAAAACTGAAGATTCGAAATGTGTTGTCGAGTGCACTCTGTAAACAGACCTTGCTGCTGATCAAATGAATAAAAGTCTCAGAAAATAGGTGTTTCCCAATGTATTCAAAGTCTATACAATAACTAATGTCGACGTGTCCTTGCAAAATTAAGATGATTCGTTGTTGATTGTTTAGCTTTTTCTGGTTATGATAAAAGAGCAAGTTACCCATTTGTAATAAAAAAGATTAAAACCCACGTGAGTATGGATTAGGTTTGTCCATTCGATATTTAAGAAAGGGTCGGCAAGAAGAGGCTAACTTGAGTTCTGAATCCAGCTTTCTTTCATGAAGTTCCTCATGCTTCTCATAATCCGAAAACGAAGTATCTTCAAGATGAAAATAGACATGCAAAAATAGATGAATTACCATAAATATCGCATCGTTCAAGTTCAAAACAAATTTCTCTTAAATCCAAGCCGGACCGCGTCATCGGAATGCGCGCCATCAGCAAGAACACTACAGTAGTAAGTTTCAATAGTAAAGCTTACGTATGTATTTTGACCGCATTACCTTCAACAAGCTACATTGGAAAAACTTTTCTCTCTCTATCTGCAGAAAATTTTATGAACGCATTTCATTTAACAAAGCTTATAAAAAAAGAAAATTATTTAAAACTAACACGATATAGAAAAAAAAAAGAAAAAAAAAAATTATAAACACTGACCTTAACATTATAATGACGCGTTTATTGAAAAAAATAAACTTGCTCTGAAACAAAGTATGGTACTATTTCGAAGCAAATTTGATGACCCGATTAAAATCTTTTTGCGTTTTGGAACAAGTTCCTTTTCTCCGGTATACACGCCATGAAACTTCCCTATATATTCACGATGAAAAAATAAATTTTCGTCGTGATTTTCACTGTTAACGTACCAGACTTTGGAGTTCGCGACAAGATTCTATCAGAAGAAAGACGGCAGACCAGAGCGCAGGTTTTATGGGGGTTCAAAAAAAATATTATAAACACGACCGAACCGTCTCAGCAGAAGATAACAACGAAATTTGAAGAAACTGTGTACTCTTTAAAAAAATCTGTCGCACAAATACGCTCCAACGAACGCAAGGGCGCGGTTTATAAAGCCACGCCTCATCGGCTCGCCTGCGAACAAGCTTGCGTGAGGAGGGCCGGGCCGTTTCAGCTCCCGGCCCTTTTCTAAGTCCGACCTGGCTCTGCCTCAGGGCCCTAAATAAAAAAGGGCCGGCCCAAAAAGCGAAAACTTTCTCCAAGTCAAATTTCAAATTTTTCTGCGACAAAGACTACGTTTTCGATTTTTTTTTACTTCGGTAAACTCATATAGCTGATTCACGGCTGGCTTGAGCCATCGAAAAAAGGGTTGTGACACGATAAGAGAAAAAACAGTACCTGGCTGGTGGAGAGCGCAGACAGGCCACGCCTCCTCATCGTCTCATATTAGCCGTGAATCGGCTATACATTGGTAACGCGAAACGGACGCGCTCCGGACGTTTCTGTGCAACTCCAGTGACCACTTTAGCAACGTCAGCACTCTTAAGTGATTGCTAGAATTGCACAGAAACGTCCGGAGCACGTCCGTTTCGCGTTACCAAAGTCCGAGAATAGAAACTATGATTTATCTAGTGAAAAGTGTTTTTCGGGGAAATTTTTGAGTTGAGATGAAAGTTTCTTTAATTGAATTTCAACATTTTCTTCGACGCTTGTCCTTAGCCCGCCCAGACTTTTTTGTAACAGATAAGACCCAAATCGGGTCCGGCCGGGCCAGGCCGCCTAACATTTTGCACAAGCCTGCCTGCGAGTTCGTCTAAAGGAGGTTCTTCAAGTTTCTCACTTCAGGAGGTCCTAATACAGTCCCTACTGGATTCACTAAATTGCGAGCTTCGTCGAGGGCCCACTACAGCTTTCCACAGAAACTCAGCCAAAAGTGCTATATACGCAGTGGCTCCGCCTTTTTGGCAAGTTTTCAATATTGTTTTCTTTCCTGCCAAAAAGCCGGAGCGATGCGCGAAAAAAAACGTAGAGAATTTTCATTTAAAAAAATCAAATCGTTCACACACGGATCGGGCAGGGGCGATACTACCAGTAGTCTGTCGAAGGGTCCGACGTTTCTGATCCATTTTTTGGTTGTAGGCAGCCGCCTCGTTGCCTGGGTTGTCCAGTGAAGTACTTCTTGAAGTTTATGACGAAGAAAATACACCAGATTTTTTTTTCATAAAGTTCATATGTTTGCAGCAATTGCTTTCGATGCTTTTACAATAGAACTATTAGGAAATTTTAACATGTATTTCTCTTGGAATTTTCATCTCTTGGGAAAATTGGTGAGTTCAAATAAACTTTCTTTGGTTTTTTTTTTCTTGAAGAATAGTCAAAAACGCCCGAATTTCTTTTAATTGGAGTTCAGAATGACATCAGCAAAATTTTCATAACTTGATATGGTTTTTGCCAAATATTTTTGTCGTTAAATCAATTAATAAGTATGCGAGTTAGCGTCGCTGTGTGTATGCACCAAAGACCTCAAATACTACGGAAATTAAGGGCGGGGCGTCGACAAAAGAACGAAGTGTGTGGTGTACACCCGCTTCTTCATTTGCCGGGTAATTTTAGCCTGTTAAGGGATTCTCTTGGACAGCTTTTGTTAACAGTCGTGTTAAAGATCCTAAAAAAAAGTTATACATCGCTCTTTCTTGGTTAAATGGTAGGACTATTGTCGTGTTAAAAGTGATTCCGCGAAGTCCTACATAGCCGTCCGAAAACGGGAGAAGTAACTAAAGTTTGAAGACTCAAAGATTGTTTTGAATTTCGCGGAAATTACTTCGAAAATAGAATATACTCTTTAAAACACCACAACAATCTTTTTTTTTTTGAAAAGACTACATTTTGGGGCCTGGCTGTAATTTTAATTTCATTCATTTCAATTTTTTATTAGCCAATCCGCAATGTGCTCGACAAACACACTAAATAATATATCGAAACAATCGATTAATTCTAAATCTGTGGAAACGGCTAGAGAAAAAGATTGTCTGAATAGATATTTATTTATATGTAGTCCGCTCTACCGGATATCGCGGAATCAATCTTCAATTTTTAGGCGCTCCAAGAAAGAGATTTTTTTTTGAAATAAACTACCTCTGACCCACGTAAAGCACTAAGTGGGTGCTTTAACTTCAAGAAAAAACATCTGAAAAAACGGTCACACGTTTGAAAAAGCAGCGATATGAAAGATGAAAGCAGTTATCAAACGACAAGAGGCGGAGCGGTGGGAGGGCGCCGTGGCTAAAAGGGAAGGCAGCGGTCCGACTTGTTCTTTCGCAGCCGCCGTCGCTGTCCTCGGCCGCCTCTGCTGCCGAATGCCGCGAAACGTCGTCGTTCAGCTCGGCGCCGTCCTCGTGTGAGTTTCCAGGCGGAAGCAGGAAGCCGCGGCACCAACTTCGCAAACCGGCTTCTAATCATTTCTCGGCCTTGAAAAAACATCTTCCAAATTTCTTCACTTCTAATCATCACAATCGCAGAAACACCTATCTTCTCATCCACAGATCTCAAAAAAACATTTTTCGAAGGAGACCATGTTTTTATTGAAAAATATAAGGCTCAGATCCTGAGACAAGGTGCAGAAAAACTAACTCGAAAATGCTGATGGTTTCCTTTTTAAACATTTTTTGAAATTGAATTTAGTTCGTTCAAAAAAAATAAATCTTCTGCGAAAATTTCGATTTTTAAAAGGGCGCACAAACTCTCAGTTTTGATTCTCAAATCAAAATTTCAGGGTTTTGGTGATCACAACGTCGTCAGGAAGGACGCCATTCTTTGATTTGACGGTGTACAACGACTGGCCGCAGTTCGAAGATTATGTTCGCAACGTCGCCGTCGACAATCCGGCGTTTGTTCAGCTGCGGCAGATCGGAAAGTCGCGTGAGGGACGACCTCTTCTCGGCCTCAAGGTTCTTTCTGAGCTTTCTGTTGAGCAAGCTCTTTTCATACTCCTCAAATAGAAAGACTTCAGATCGGAACGCCTCCGAAACCCGGAGAGCAAAAAGTCGCCGTATGGTTAGACGGGGGCAACCACGCCAGGTTTTTTATTTTTTTTTTTTATTGTGATTCTTTTTCCTTGTAGAGAATGGCCCGCGTTCCATGTCGCGGTCTACTTTATCGACAAGGTCACTTTAAAGTATTTTTTCTCTTTATAATTGCATTAGGCCAACCGAAAAACCAGCTCATTTGAAAAAAAAAAAATGACTGATCTGACTCAAAAACTGTCAAGAAACGTTTGAGAAGCTGTTTTCAACCCTTTGTTAGCACGTAAATACATAAAAATATATATTGCTAACACTTTGAAACTAAAATTATACTGGAAGCGTCATAATTGATTGAAAGTTTAGTTTCCATTATTATTATAATGGTATTATAACAATATAAATTTTTTAGACCTGTATACCGGTATGGTATACCTGGGGTTCAGTCTTTTATTTTTTCACTAATTGGTTGATTTTTATTTGTTTTCCGAAGATTTCATGTATACAAAATTTTTTAAGAATTTTTTTAAATCAGAGAGAAGTTCAGCTAATCTTGTGTGTTTCCGAAAATTTCGGCATATTTGAAATAACCATATTAGAATGTTAACTTTCTCTTTAGTTGCAAACAAAAAAATGATTTTCAGCTGGTCAATGGCTTCATGGTTGACCAAAAAATTACGAACTACCTCAAGAAGCTGGATATTTACATATTCCCAGTGCTCAACCCAGATGGCTTCGTGTTTTCGAGAACTTCCTCGCGAGCTATGGTAAATACTGGAGAGCCACATCAACTCATTCATTGTTCAAGATTCGGCACTGGCGGAAAAACAAAGCACCAGAAAACTGTACGGGAAGAACTTTTTATCTTTCTGATGTTTGCTGTGATGGCGTCGACCTGAACCGCAACTACGACATTGGGTTACATCAAATTTGGCCAGTCATCACGTAGAATAGCCACTCAAATATCGTTTTTAGTTACTAATCGCACTAGTAGAGAGTTCATAAGGTTTCTTTTTGAGCTAGCGCCTCGGAAAGGTTTAAATAAACTTTTTCCACTTTGCGCGTGAGAATATATACTCTGTATTGACTTTTATTTGAAAGAGATCAATCATCGCTAGGTTATTTCCAATGTTTGAATAGTTTCGTTTTTTGATAATTTCTCAAAGATTTAGAGTAGTTCTTTTTTTCTCTCATGAGAAACAAATTAATTCTATATAAATAAAAAGAAAAATGAATAGTTTTTTTAAATAAACGTTTGGCCAGCACTGTCAAACCAGAAGGTAACTGAAAAGCGTCTCATTAGCCTCCATCTGGTCAGTCTTTGATAATAGGATTGGAGTTGCAGATTCAGCCAGAACAACTACCCGTTCAACAACCCGTGTTCCGACGAATACCAGGGACCTCGTCCATTCAGCGAACCAGAATCTAGGTAGGTTGGTTTTTGATAGGAACACCGCTGAGAAATAATCGCATTTTACACTTTAGAAAGACGAGAAAATTTCACGTTTGCGACCGTCGCCCTCGCTTTCGGTTTCGCTATAAAGTGTTTAGGCAAAAAAGCCGATTCCTGCTTATGGGATAGACATCAAGAATATACACCGTTATAATTGATCACTTATCATTTTGAGAGAACGGTGCGACCTTGACGTTCAGACTTTCTGTTTCTGTTTTTCTTTCGCCACAGAAATATTTTAACATTCTCGAACGTTTTTTGCTTTGAAGAAGATGTCAAAAAACATTACTTTTGAGATTTTTCGGACGCTCAGGTGAGTTATTGAGTAAGAAAGTATTTTATGCTTTCGATTGAGTTATGAGCGTTAAAAAACAGTGGAAAACTTGATGGAATTGGTTCATTTTGAGCCGCCATCTTCGAAGGTTTCTGAGGAAAAAAGTCGAAGACATGAGAAAAAAATTTAATTTTTATAAAAAAAGAATCACGATTCGTATAAAAAAACAAAAAGTTAAATGTTGGCGACTTTCCTGATTTCAAATTTTTTTAACGAGAAGTTTTACTCTAATGCCGAGTTTTGAACTTGCTCATATATATTTCGAATCCGAAAAACTAAAGAACCGGAATCGACTCCTAGTTGTCAAATATAATTTAAAAAAACTAGAACAGCGCTTGAGGTTAATAACGAGTGGAGGGTCGAACGTTTTGAATATAAATATATGTAGGAGATTTACGAAAGGATTTTCTACCCTATAGAGCTTAGCAGATAGTTCCAATCCATACCAATTCTTCCGACACAATATTATATTCATATTGTGACTCAGAAAACTATTGGATCATTGAACTTTTCTTTGGCAGGGCTGTGCGAGACTTCGTGATGTCGAAGGAGATTTACGGAAGACTTTACGCCATGGTTTCCATGCACACACACGGACAACTCTGGATTTTGCCCTATAATCACCACAAAAGAACGTATCCGGAGGACTACAAAGATCTGGTGAAGATCACATTATAGTCTGTTCAGATTTTGAATGTCAAGCAGCTAACTCCACCCCAAGGCTACAATAACTTTCGCGTCAATGTTTTATCTACATATGCCAATGGCCCTTTAATAAGGCTGCTTTTTTGACCTCCTTTTCTATCTTTCAGATCGAAAAAGATCAAAATAAGTCCCGCGCGATGAAACATCGACGCGAAAAGGTACCGTCTCAGCAGGGGCGGAGTTAGCTGGTTGACATTCAAAATCTGAACAGACTATATGATGCTCATATGACGTTTTTCTCTAAGATTTGAGTGTTTACCTCCCGTATTGGAAAACAATGGAATTTTTTTGTGAACGTGCAAATTTCATCTTAACTGAAACATTTTAAATACAGGAAAAACTCGCCAAAAAAGCGGCAGACACTGTATACGCCTACAGAGAGACTCAGTATCGAATTGGCACAGCCGCAGATATGTTAGGTTTGGCATACAGGAAATTATTTTTGAACGGAAAGTTTTAGGGACTGCAACTGGAGGAGCTACAGATTGGGTGAAGAAGAACACTCCGACTAAGTACGTCTACGTTCTAGAGCTTCCCCCAGATATGAAGAGTTTGGCGAGATATCCAATAATAACTTACATGAATTCTTTCAGCTTGGTTTGCGTTCCAAATCAAACCGCACTGGCTAATTCCCATAGGAAAGGAAACATGGATTGGAATAGAGGTTTTTTTATTTCTATTAAAACTTTGAATTATTTAGGTTATACTGGATCAAGTTCTTGAAGAAACAAAAAGGAGCGAAGCTGGCAAATTTAACCACTTCCAGTTAATAATAAGAACTCGGAATGAAAGAAATTATGCTTTCACGGGTGAAAATAAATAATTCTTTACGAAAAAAATCTTTGGTACAGAATGACAAAGTAGCGTTGGAAAATTGAAAGACAGAAGAACTAAATGTAAAATTTCAATCCTTCTGTTTTCCGACAGTCGGCGGACGGCTCTTGCCAGCCGAAGACTGAATTTTTGGTAGTTCGTCCCGCGTTTTCGGTTCGGCGCCGTTCAAAGGAACGCTCCAGGCTCGCGTCCTTAGTGGGTCCAATGAGACCTAAACAGATAGTCCCAGTTTATTTGTGATAACAGGAAGCTAAAAAAAAAAGAGTCGGGATCTTCAGAACTAAAAAATGAAGACATGTTACTACTAAAAATCCAAATGACTTTCTGGTATAGTCCGCCTCCCGCAAAATGACAGTTTTCGAGTGTCTAAATCTCTCTTTTCCCTCACCGGCGAGGTCACAGAAATGCCGTTTCAAGTCGTGAAAAACGGAATATAATAATTAAATCGACGAGATTAGAATTACGATTGAACTATTCTCAATGAGTAAAGAAAGATCGAGACGATACCTGAAGAGCAGATTTAAGCGCATGCCGCGCGTCAGTGTCTGGCTCGCAAAAGCCCATTTCTTCCATGCAAATCTCAGAAAACCATCCATTCATCACTGCCTTTTCCTCGTCTTTCGCCTGAAACTTCTACTTTGCAAAGGTCTCAGAATTACAAAAAAACTTGGTAGGCTTCCGAATCGATGTCATCGAGTACCTTGAGAAGAATCGCCGCTTCTAGAAAATACCTTTGAAGGATCCAACGCAAAAGAAGCAAGAAACCTAGATGATTGAGGCTAGGCAACTGGCTGTTAAACGTAGAAGCATTTAGCATTACTTCGTATAAGCGCGACCAGTTCACGTCAAGATTAGTCCGATCTTCTACATCCTGAAGAGTTTCTTTTGTCTTTCTCACCCTGTTTGAAAACCTAACCGCTTGCGTGGCATCATTTTCGTGTTTGGCAGCTGAGATAGCTTTAGATACGGCTTCGCGCGTCGTGTGCAACGAGACTCCCGGATGCGACTGATCGACGGCGTTCATTGCAGCCAGCCAAGATCGAGGCTGAAGTCGGCCTCAGAATTGAAATTTGGATTGCAGCGCACCATCTTGTCTACGTCGGCTACCAAATCTCTGCTTGGAAGCACGTTCCGTGGGCCTTTTTTCGCCCAGTTATTTTTGGCGTAAGTCATGAGGTCCTCTTTACTTTCAGCAACTAATTCACGAATTTCAAAAACCTTGGTCCTGTAACTCAATAAAAATATCAACTCCCGCAAGGCCTAATTACGCAATTTCATCATAGGTCCGTGTATTCAAAACCTTATGCGCGATGTAATGCAATGCCTTTTGTTGCGTTCCATATCTGTAATGAATATGAATTTGCCAGTCTTGAATTGTTTATGCTGTAGAAACAATGTTAAAAGTCAACCATTTAATAGTTTTAATGCTTCAAATTACTTAATACTTTTTTCTAAATCTTCAAACTTACTTCTTGAGACTTTCTGCTAGTTTTAAAAGTTCGACACTGGTCCAGCCACCGTCGTTGTAGCTCCGGCCTTCTTTCAAACGCTAGAAAAATAGTTTAAGCCAACGAAAAAGTGAAAAACCCGATCGATAGGACTAGGTTCCGATACTTCGTCCTCACACAACTCTAGAGCTTCCTGAAATCGCTCACTGAAAATTTTCAAGCAGCAGCAAAAACCTCAGGAAAACTATTTTGCGTAGTCGCCTCTGTGGATTCGTCTAGACGAGAAACCTCTGGCTTAGAGATTTTAGGATTATCGGCTTCCATCATTACACCGTCCGATAAAATGTTGAACTGTAACTTATAATCAAAATTTTAATTCATGTATTCTTTCATTAGAAAAAAATAACCTCTATAATCAGTGCGCAGCAAAATTATGTCAAATTATACATTACCATAAAATCCTTGGAGATTATCACAGATGCGAATTAATATAATTATATACGTATATGTATATACAACAAAATTTGAAAAAGAAAATAAAAATTTAAAAACGGGAGTTTTAAAATAGGAAAAGTCAAACGCGCTCGTCAGAAACTTTTGAGTGACTTCTTAAAAAAAATTCTGATTAAAGTGGCCCCCCGAGGGATCAGAAAGGTGTCGCTCAAAAATTTCCATTGAGGGTTTTGCCGTTGGCTGTCAAGCGATTCAAAGGAATTGAGGTATTTCTGTTTTCTTTTTTCAATCAAATTTTCGATTTCATTCCAATGAGGATCGATATACCCTGATTCGAACGCCTTTTTGAGCTTCTAATGCTTTTTATTTTTTTATAGTGTGAAGTTTTTTTCACAACCAAATTGGATAATAAATTTTTTTAATGATTAATCGGCAAACTTTTTTCTTCCTCAAGTGTTGTTAATTAAGATTTTTGAGACAAAAGATGCGGCTTGCCATTCGTGCTCTCCGCCCAGCTGCAAATCAGAACGTGAACTCGCCAAAGTTATGGCAAGACCCTGTCCTGGGATACTTTGAAACGCACGGTAAACCGCTTTTTGTTCATTAAAATGTTTTGAGTCAAGGAAAAACACAATTTCTGCCGGAACACGAATACAATCTCACCGACGATCAGAAGAAGGCTGTACTGTGGAGGTTTGTGAGATTCTAAATTCTATCCGATACGAAATCTAATCGCTACCCGCGCAAAAACTTATTTTTTATCGAAATTTTTGAATGGATTCGTGGGAAAATGGTTCAATATGATACAGTAATAATAAAAAAGAAATGATAATTTTTAGATATCGAGTGAAAGAGATTCTGAAGAAAGAATATTTGCGCCGAGAGTTTGACCCGCATAACTTCAAGTACAAGGTAGTTTTTTTTAAATTCGTTAAGTGTAATCTTATCAAAAAAAAAGATAGAGATAATTTTACGTATTCAAAATAAATGAGTTTTCTTTTAGTTTTCCGTTTTCCAACAATTTTCCCGGCAAAGTGTGTTAGGTGCATTGAAAAGCCTCAGAATGTCAACCTGATGTCAGGCTTGACTGAATAGAGCTTGTTCTTAGTCTTGTTAAGTTTTTGAACTGTTCCGAAAAAAAATACTCTAATTCTGAACCATTTAGTTTATGAGGTAGACATTCTCGCAAAAAAAAAATTTGCAGGAAGGTGTGACGATGGACCCGGCCATGTTCCGGTGGTACTCGGCAGATATGACGCAAGCAGAGTTTTTCCGTTTCACGCCCCGCTCCGTCCTCCTCTACGTCGGCTCAGTGCTCGTCGCATTCTACGTCTACACGCGTCTCATGTTCGTCCCAATGGTAGGATCCCTGTTCTTTGCAGTCTATTCTCAATCGAATCCTACTTCAGGACAAATCGAACGAAGCATGTTTGGATGGGGAGCTTTTGTGGTGGGATCGTCAGCAAGGTCGCACTCTCATGACCTCTGGATCTGGACTTTTTGCTCCGACTATTGGAATCGATTTCTAGGCGAACCCTTTAATTTTTTTTGTTCAACTTTATTTTATTAGTGTTCATAGAAGAAATGAATTTCGGTTTATTATTACCACGGTGATCCGATTGAAAGCAATAATGGCAGTTCGCAAATGTGAAACAACTAAAAAAAGGCGAATGGAATGAGTGGTAAGAGTATCAAAAATTGAGCTAAAACAGCAAAAAGAAGAGGAAGAACGACTAGATTGCGTTGAGATTCTCAGATGAATTTTCGTGAAAATTCACAATACAAAATGCATACATTTGTGAAAACTTTTTAGTTTTACGGCGCGATTGAAATACTTTTCCGGTCAGAATATTTTGGAATATTAGAACTTTTTGTCTCGATAAATCGGTCAAGTCTTTGAGGACCTCAGAAATATGAATTTGAAGCTAAGCAATCAAAACTATTTCGTTCCTTGGTAACCTTCAACAAACGGAATGCCGGACCACACACGAGATTGAAATTCCTTATAACTTGCACCAAAAAATTTAATTAAGTCTCGTTCTTCATCAAAGATCCTTTGAGCGAAAAAGTTCCAGCTAACGAAAGCGTATATAACGCAGCAAAAAGGATTGCATAGAACCAGTTGCGTAGATACGGACCAAATAAGCCATCCTGAAACCGTTTTTATTAAGCTCCTCGTGAAAAATGCTCAAAAAGAAAGAATACCTGTATAACCGGGGTGTCTGCAGAAACCGTATATTCCATCCGTGATAAGTTTGTGATCCGGCCGTTTGGCCATTGCGAGACGGTGTGTAAATCCATTTCCTGCTTGTAGCATTGCCGCTTTTCTGATCACTTCACCGACGAGGCAAAAAAGGACGCCTATCATGCTAACATTTACGTTTTTCAGCATCGGCAGCGCATAATACTGGAATTCCGACAGTCCTTATTTTTTTCCTTCATTCAAAAACCTCCAACGAAAACTCTGCCCAACTCAGCGCCGCTGCCCCCCAATAACCGTAGGAATGGTTGAGAAGGAAGGAGTCGGGCTGGAGCGAGCGTCGATTCGACAAAGCCGTGAACACATATTCGGACAGGTGGAATACGGAGAGAACTACACAGTATCGCGAGAAAAGCGTCGATTTGTGACCGTGGTGGTAAATTGAGTATGCCGTCGCCACACCACCAACCTGAAGCATTTTAATTTTGGAACACTTCTCAAAAAGCTTTTCCGCAACTTACCAAGCCTAACACCGCTGCTTGCATAGTGCATTGTAATTTGAAATTGAGTTTTCGGCTGGTCAAGAAAACGAAAATAGGGCAAGTAAAAAATAGAATCAGAGTAAGGCCACTAGATATAAAGTATGCCGAAAAAATAGTTGAGAAACAGGCCGCCGCACATTTAATAACGGAGCGCAGCTCCTGATCTACAGCCAGCTGTTTCCATATCATCATTCTGAACTATATTAGCAAAGTTAATTCAAGGTTTGCCAATAAAATATTCCAAGTGTATATACACGCTGTCTAATAACCAAAAATAAGACTGAAATTTTTTTTCATAAAGAGGTCGAAATAAATATAATCAACAGGAAAAGTGCTTAATTAAGCGGGGAATCAATAACTCGAATTAGTGGGGCGCTCAGAAAACTCGAAATCACAATGAATTGGTTTCCTAGTTTTTCGGTAAATAAATAACAAACGATTGATAATTTTCGAATAAAAACATCAACAAAACCAAAATAAAAGACAAAAAAAACTTGTAACGAAATCCGAAAAGTCAATCAAAATTGAATATTATAGATACGTTTTGACAGAAGTCTACTTAGTGTTTGCAAAAGATCTGACGACGCTGAGGAGTCTTGCAACGCGTTCGCTTTCCATTTTCGCATTGTCCCCCAAGTTCTCAAAATACTCTTGCAGCACCTAAATACGGGGTTGATGAAAGAAATGAAAAACATCAGCTGTAATTATGCGTGAAAAAACCAACCGGACAAAGAAGAAGGTCCAGACGATCATTCTTGAGTTTCATCGAGAAGAGTTTCATGGCACGTAGTCTGGCCGAGTTCATCGACCCGCAGACGTCGGCCAAGATGAGTGTGACGCGTTGCAATGTGTACAAACCATTCTCCAACTTATCTAAGTACTCCCTGAAAAAAAGGCTTTTCTTTATTATTTTTTTCATTAGAGATACAAAATCGGGAGACGATTTGATTTTTCTAATAACAAAACGATTTTTTTGTTGATCTTTCTTAAGAAATTTTTCTTTTTTTCTCAATTTTTCCAATAAAAAAATATAAAGCTTAGGCAAATATTTTTTTGGTTATTTATAAAAAGGTTCCTTCCGGGTGAAATATGAGATTCTGTCTACTATGAGAACATGAAAAGCGCTTAAATTGTTTTTTTGATATAGTTTAGATGAAGATTCAAAAGCATTTCTAGGCGTTTCTCATGCGCTGCGCGTAGACTGAAACCAGTGAAAATTCACAAAATAAGGCAAATTCAAAACTATTCCCAATATTAGCAAAAATTTGAACAGTTCATCCTACTAAAGATCGATAAATTCATTTTACCGAAATAAAACATAGAATTTATGACAAACAAGATTATATTCGCGCTCTCAAATTTTTAATAAAAAAAAGCATTTTTCCCAATATTAGCAAAAATTTGTGGATTTTGAAAAGTTTTGAAGTCTTAAAATGATTCTCGGTTGTAAACTGTAAGTTTTCATGGGCACGGCTGCAGGCAAAAAAGGGAAACCTTTCCGGGTCGTCTTCTGATGAATTATCGTCTTTGTTCTGACGTTTTTTCTTCAATTCGAACCTCTGGATTTTTTCTCTGAAAATCAAGGTGGTGGAACTGAAATTCTAGAAAGTGAGATCACAACGAACTTGTACTTGAGAAAGAGCTCGACTACACGATCGACTTTCTCGTGCTCGTGCTCGATGAACTTCTGAATGATTCTTTCCCGCGCTGACTCCTCACAAGACCGCAATAAAGAAGCCAAAATCTGCAGGAAAAAGAACAAAATGAAAACAAAAGAAAGATTGAGAAACAAACCGCACAAACGTGCTCCTCATGCTCGTCGGGAGTCGTGTCCTTCCTGCGGACTTTGGACGGCGTCCGCATGAAAAGCGGGAACAAAGTGCGTAGTCCCAGCATCTCAACGAGTTTGTTGCAATTCTCCGCACCTTCCATTCCTGTCGTCGCGTGGTCCAGCACCTGAACCGCAACTTTTTCTTTTTTTAAAAAAATATTTTACAATTCAATTTTTTTGAGAAAAAAAATGGTCTCTTAAAAAATATTCTACTCGTGAAAATTAGAAAAAAAATTCAATATCGCAAATCAGAATTTTTCAAACCTTCAGAGCACTTTCTCTTGACTGTTTTTTCTCGCGAAGCATAAGATTCATGAGCTGAAGTCCCTCGCCGTCCAGAAACTTCTCTGAAAAACTTTTCATTCAATTCCAATAGTATCGAAAAAAAAAGAGAGGGACGGTCGTCCCCACCAGACGAGTCTCAACACAGATAAATGTTGGGACTTCGAAGGGCAAAATGAAACTTCCCCAAGTTTTCCAAATACAGTGAAAACGAATCCAAAACCCACATAACAGAGAAAGAAAATTAGATAAAATTTTTTCTTTACTAGGGCTGAACTATTTGACAGAAAGAAAAACTAGAAATTTTTTTAAAACAACTAACTTCGATTCACAGGAGCCATTAAAGCAGCACACAGAGCATCAAAGAGATTTTCCATATATTCTCGCTCGTCTTTACTTTCTGGATCATACTTTTTGTACACTGCGATAGCCTGCAAAAAACAAATTCAGAAATAAGTTCACACCCTCGAACTTAAAACTACTTCTTTTGAAACACTAACCCGGAGTAAAACGTCGATTCCATCGACAGTTTCTGTCAACGTTTCTTTGGCTTCTTCTGAAATCTGGAGGACAACCGCCAAAAGTTCACTTGCGTAGAGTTTGTTCGCATCAAAAATACCCTGAAAAAAAGGTTCTGGAAACTCGGCTTTCAAAAACCTTCTGGCCGGCCCTTTTCAGTAACCAATGCATCAAGCCACGTCGGACACACTCTTCTATCGTTTCTTTTTCGCGAAACTCGATCATCTAAAAAGGAAAATTGTATATCGCGTAACTGATCTTAACTGAATCCCATAAATAGAATTATTACCAAAGAAGTAAAATTACTATTTTCCGAAGCTCAGTTTTGTCCGTTACGTGAAATAAAAAAAACCCTAAAGGTTCAAAAAACACAGATTTCAAAAAGAGAAAGGCGATAGAAGAGAAAAAAAAAACATTTTCTACGACGCTCAGAGCATTGTGGACGCCATCGGCTTCGTCCTTGACGGTTTCATCAAGCCTTCCCAAGCAATTCAGAAAAGTTTCAATGATCGAGCCGTTCCCGAGGACGTTTACAAGTTCTTCAACGGGCTCCAAGTCGTTCTGGTTCTGTTCGGTGCTCGTAAGCTCCTGTAAAACAGATATATCTAAGCATTAAACAGTTAAAAGAAAACATCAAAACTTGTTATCAGCTCAATTATTTCTATTACAAAAAAAAAACGAAAATTATTACCTGCAGCAAATTCAGCGTCGTGCAAACAATATCGCTATTCTCATGACCGAGTAATTGGAGAAGGATTTCATGTCCGTTGACTTCAATAAAAACCCCGTACATTTGAGTTTCGGCAGACAAACAATGCATTTGCTGGAAAAAATTGACTTAGACATGATGATAAAGACATTTTTTCAAGCTTGAAAAAAAAGAAAGATGAAAACCTGAATCGCACTATCAAGTTCTTCTTCAGATTCCAGAAACTTCAGCGGATCATCTGGATTTTTAACCCTCATCTCTCGGTTTTTGAGCATTTTTTTTTCTAACTGAACCAAAAAGAAATTTGAAAAAATAATGAGAAAAAAGACCTGAACCACCAGCTTTCTGATATGTGGATCATCCACTTCCACAAAACTACTCTCGTCATTCTCTAAGGCTGCCAAAATATCTTCTTTAGTCGAATTCATAGTCGAAGGTAAAGAATTGGCTGACGCGGAATTTGACGCTGCTGAGAATGACGGAGCATCTTCCAACTTCGGTTTTTTCATTGCTGGCTGCAATCTCAATACTGAAAGACGGATAAATATTATATTTCTACCTGCCGGAAGGAGCTTGTCGATGACCGCAAAATTTCATTCACATCGATTGTTGCCATTGTTTGAAAACTGTAAAAAAATACAGAAAGTTTTTAAGAATCTTCGGAATTAAAGATATAAAAAAATGAAAACGAAACGGATTTGAATATTCAAATTTTTGCGAAATAAAGATTTAGCTAAATTGCTACTCAAACCGTTTCTCAGTGAAAGTCATCGCCTTTTTTTATAGATCTGTTCATTCCTTCAAAGTTCACGCTTAGATTTTTTTTGACCCAAAAAATGGAAACTTTTTCACATTTGAAAAAAACAACAAAACATAAATTTTTACAACACAGTGAAATGAAATGCAAGACGATGACGTCACTAAGTGCCGGTTTGAGATTTGGAGCTAAATGCAGACTGATAAATATTGAAAATTTTTATTTTAATGAAATAAAAAAGCGATATAAATTCAAAAGACTTTACGATTATTTTCATATCGAAAAAAAAAAAAAAACTGGTTAAAAGACAATAGATATAGCCTGTTGATCGGACAAACTCAAATTGTTCCGAAACGCAAGAAAATTGTTCCGAAACAAAATTTGTACTGTTTTGGAGCGAATTTGGTGCGCCGATGTACACGGTTTTGCGTTTTGAAGCATTTTCTGTTTTTCTGATGAACACGCCATTAAAAATAGTACTATGTTCTAAACGATTTTAATAGAAAATTTTTGGCGCTGGAAATTTATTTTGTCGTAAGATCCAGTGCTTACGTATTGTGCGTTACAGTCGACGACAGATCTTTGATTTTTGTCGTAAGATCCACTGCTTGCGTATTGGGCGTTACAGTCGACGACAGTTTTTGATTTTCTTGTTTTCATTTTGCAACAAAACGCTTTTATGTCGGCTTTTCGTGTGACGGTTTTATTTAGAAATTTTTCGAAAATTTTACTCAGACAAGAGTGAAGGATTTTTATATTCTGTGCGTAAAAAGGTGCAGAGAAGTAGCCGTCCTCCGAAGAAAAAATGGGAACGTTCCTCGCATGTTATTCCAATTTTCGATGCCGTTTTCCCTCGATTTTTTTCCAATATATTGATCCTCTCTAAAGTTAGGTCTTTTATCCTAATAGGGGAATAAAAAAAAATCAAGTCTAGTGGTTTTTTTTCTTTGAATTTGAAGCAGCTGGCTTTCAGTTTCGAAGTTCCGTGAATACCTGTTTGAAGACAGGGTTCAACGAGAGTGCAGGGTTGATATATTCCTGTCTGGAAAGGAGAAGTTGACAAATCTTCGCAGTATCTTCATGCCATAATAGCGGTGAATGAAGTGCGATTTAATTTTTATCTGATTTATCATCTTTTCAGGAGTCTAAGAATGCCGAGCTCAGCACTGGTTGTCCGCGCGTTTGTTGTTTGCCGGATTATTCCTACAACGGTTGGATTTTTTTGAGTTCCAACTTTTTTTTAGATGTCTATAGATTATAATTTCGGAAGGTTTTCACTTTACTTGGTTCTTTAGAAAACAAAATCATGACGTCGGATTCTCTACCATCGTGAATTTCATGTCTTGAAATTTTTTTACATTGTGATTTCATCGAAAAATAATCTTATTTTGTCCGCGTTCAAACTTCGAAAAAAACAAAACCTTGCCTCGTTATAAAAGTTTATTTTTTTAAATGGTTGATTGAAAAAAACAAGTTTACCGTGTTTAATATTGCAAAAAAATTGAGTATATACAAAACTTTTTCATTGAACCTAGTACCTCGGCCTCACTGTTCCTTGGAAAAAGTAAGTCGAGCAACCTTTCGGCCAACCATCTCGTTTTTTTGGAACTTTTGTTCTATCTGACTGTTACCGTCTGCATTTTCATTAGAAAAAAGGTGCATTGTTAGTTTTTTTTTTTCTTTTGTACATGTATTTCCAAATGTATTCCTTTTTCATTCGAAGTTTTTAAAACAGAGAAATCGCCTAAAAATCGGCGATCGTCGAAAAGGCATTCTTGATAGTGAAAGGGAGATCTCGGAAGCGAAGAAATTCCGAAGGCACCGGACGGGGGCCGTCTGTCGCATATGCATATTTCAACCACTTATGACCTCTTTCGGCGCAAATCTCGCTCTTCTTCTCATTATCAGCCACCCATTCTTCGTTCGCGAAGTGTTTCAATTATGACTCCGCACTTGTTTTGCATCTTGCTTGGCTTCAAAGTCTCATACTTTTTCAAATAATGTTGCGGCTCGAAAAATTATGAAAAAACGTTGATCGCTATTTTTCTTCATTTTTTTTCTTTTGTGAGATTAACTGATGATTTGTAAAGTTCCGAAAATTACTTGTTAAGTACCGAAAATAGTTTGGGCGGAGCACTAGTCTCGAGACGCAAAGCTCAGAAGGAATGAGGTCGAATAATAACCCCATCGGTGTACAAACATTTGCCTAGAGCCTAAAAGGAGATGAACCGCTACTTTTCCTTCTCTTCTTCAATTGATTCACCCTTCATAGAAATTGGAAGTTGTAACATAGTTTTTTTTGGAATGAATCTCATTAACCAAAGGCTAGAAGACTTACTTCTGATCAATTTTTGCTGTTATTGAGTTTTCTTATATCTTGTTTGTTTGCAATAGAAGAGTATTTGAAGGCTCTGCTCGGTTTTTTTTTCTATGCTACGACATAAAAGTAAAAAAAAGAATCAAACGTATAGTGGCCGTGTTTTTTTCTAGCTAGACCGTGCCTTGGTAATATTTCTATGATTTAAGATTTTTCAGTTTTAATTTCTTTTCACAAATAAAGTTTTCAGGGGCGCTGCAAGGCACGAAGAGAGAGATGGGCGACGAAGTCGTCGCGGACGGCGTCCCACCCGAGCCGCCGCCCCGCGACTACTTCTCTTCGTTCGCAGGCGACGACCGTCTGCGACTGCGTCTAGAAGCTTGTCGCGACGGTTTGCTCCAGCTCGATGTGATGCGAACCAAACACACTCACATGATGGAAGTCTGTTTTCTGTCTATAAATGTAAACGCTGCTATCCAGTCATGAAATGAAAGTCGTGGTTTGAGAAGCGGGGGCAGTTGCTAGAAACGGAGAATACTTAGACGGTGGAAAAAGTTTTTCAGTATGACTTCACAGTTTTTGAGCCCTCTCTTTCTTCCATGATCTTTAAATTGACGTCATTTTTCAAACTTCAACTCGACGTTTGCTTCAATAGTATAAACGAATACAAAGTGAAAAGTTGGAGACAGATATTTCTGAGTCTATTCTTGAGAGGCTTGATCGATGTTTAGTCGACCTATAAATCGTACAAAATTAGGGCATTTGGCAACAGTTTTACCACTTTTTTGACTTAAAAATTCGAAGAATCAAGTTTCAAAAAATCCCATTTAAAATAAAGAAAATCGCTGCATGAAAGATTGTCAGCTTTTCTGGTATGAAATATCTTGCAGCAACTGCGGTGCCGCCTACCAGTGATCCCAGGAAACGAAGACGTCATGGCCAGGGAGAAAAAGTTTCGAGATATCCTCGACCGCTCCTCAATTCAAAGCGTTGACTCGGGAGTTTCCTCTTTTGGTCAAGTGAGTTTTTCTCGCGGAGTTAGACAGCGGAGACAGATAACAACCAAATCGGACCGATCTCGCACGCTATTCATTTCTTTTCGGCTTGTCCCATCGCCTGTTCATGCCTGTTTTAATATGTTTGCAATCGCAGTTCCAATCGAATGTAATAGTTCTTTTCTTGGAATGCTTTTAACGCTAATGTGATGTTCAGCATTGAGTCTCAAAATAGTTGGAACTTTTTCAATTTTCCTGTGAAATGGCGAACCTGAGAAGAGATTCAGACGACGCTGGCGTCAACGCGATCGTCTTCGCCGGCCCTCTCTTCGAATGAAGATTTGTCCTCTGACTACGCCACCATCATCAAGCAACCCCTTCACACTTATGAGTTTCGGATCCATTGTTTCACTTCCATACCCTTCTTTACAGAATGCCACCCACCATGCCTTACTCGACATTCCGAAAAATTTCTCTTGAAAACGAATATAAACCGATCGTAAGGAATCGAACGATTTTTGTAAGGAGTCTGTTGCGTTCAGGTGACGAGTCGAAGCTGCCATCGGGGAGTCTGGCAAGTGCCGCAAAGACCCAAGAGCATGTACGACAGTGCAAACTCTCCTAACGATTTTTTGTATGTCCTTTTTTCTACTGCTCTCGAATTTTATGAGTTTCAGAAGCAACCAATCGCCCTACGTAGATTCTCACATCTTCCAAAAAGTTGTCTCTTCGAACTGCGAAGGAAAGAAAGACGTCTCTGTTCAGCATCGGCATGCTTTTGCTCCATCTGGAGCCCCGAACCGACCCGACCACGCCACTCGCTCTTTCGCCCGACCTTTCGAAGAACTGCAAAACGCCAAGATTGCGCCAAATCCTAGTCCTAATCAACGACGGCTGCGAACCGCACAGAAACCTGAAGTTGTACGCAAAAGCAAAGTAGAGGTTCGTGACAAAACTTGATTTTCTATATTCTTGTTACGTCACTGAGTTACTGTAACATTTTGAACGTTTTTTTTCCTTATCGGAAGTTTTTTATGAAAAATAGTTAATATAACGGTGTACTCTTTTCATTTTGCTCAATTTACAGTTGTAATCTTTGAGAGAGCGGAAGAAATACTGAGCTATGTAGACTTTTTGCTTAATAACGGCAATCGAGATTTGCTGCAAGTTAAATATGAATATGCGCATGTCGTCCACTGCTTTTGTGGAAGAATTTGGTAGTTGGGAATTCAGAAGGCGGACGTGATGTTCCGTGCCAACTGTGTGTATCTGGAAGCGACGACGCCGCAGTCGCAACGACGGACGCGACTTCGTTTCTCGCCGTCGCGATCTCCGCCAACAAGAAAAGCCTTTTTCGCAACCAACTGTCGGTCTTCCCAGTCAGAGTCGCCGCTCTACGCTTCTCCTTGCAAGATTAGGTTAGTTTGTCGAATGATATCGGAATTCTACCCGATTGAAGACTGAGAACCCCCTCGAAAACTTTTTTGTTCTTCAAACACCACGCAAAGAGTTTTCCTTTCAGGCCCCGCTTTTCAACCATCTTCTTTAAAATTGTTGAGTATATATTCTAAAAATAAAGCTCTCAACTCATCATAAAAGTTTGTGTATTCCTTTTAAGTTGGCTCTATATTTTCTTATGATATATTTTGAAAGATACGCCTTTAACGAAACAAAAACAGCTAAAATTAGGCATTCCTGATTCGATTTTCCTGTAGGAATCCTCAGGAGCCTAGGGAGCATATGATGAAGTTTTATGCGTTCTCACTTTTTCTTGTCACTACTGCTGCGCGAATTACCACACTTTTTTTTAAAGACATTTATGTTACATTAACATTGAAAAAGAATATGTGTTGCTACTGTTTTCTGATTCAGATCGCGGATGGAACCATCTCAAGAAGTCGTGAGCGCTCCTCTCCCTCCACAGAGTCACAAATTTGCTGCGAAGCCATTCTTTCCATCGAGGTTGGTTCTCAAAAGGCCAACTCACACAAAACTCTTACCAGGACGACTGCGAACCGACTAGCCGCGCCCACATGGACGCAATCTCAACCTCTTTGAAAAATGCTACTTATATCGCCCTCATTTATATGTTCTAACTTTTTTCTATGTACAAGTATTTATCAATCCCTTGAAAAAGTTGCATTATGTTAAAGGGGCTTCACATGACGATTATGAATAAACGAGGAAACTTTTCTGACATTCGTTCAATCAAATTTGTGGGTTTTCCAGAAATCCTCGATATTTCTAAACACCTGTTTTAGAAAGTTAATTTTTCAATACAGGTTTTGAACTAATTGCGAGGTTTGCAAAAAGCCGATCAAAATTCGAAAGGAAATGCAAGGATTGAACCGGAAGCTTTATCAGAGGAGGTGATTTTTTTTTAGAAGAAGAAGATAAATCGACCTAAAAGTTTTTCATAATACTTGAACGATTGGCAACTATCCGAGAAGCAGTTTGAAAATTCAAAAATTACTGGAGTGAATTACAACTATCCGGAATGAGGTAGCGATTCAACTTGCCAACGGCAAAGGCCGAATGTCAGCACATAATCCAGCCGTGTGTCTTCTGTGTGTATTGTGTGTGCTGCACGAGGCGTGCAAATAGACTGTCCGAGGACCAAAGGATTCCCCAAGCGAGGGTCGCCGACCTTTTCTTCTTCGATCCTATGTTTTGGCGGCTCTCTAATAATGTTTCCTCTCGTTTCGTTTCGACTGACTTTCAAAGTCATCTACACGCCAAAACCCAATTAGTCCTTTTTAACCTGTTTTTTTTCTTGCGATGCTTAACTTTTTTTGAAAATAGGCTAGGTAATCTTGGAAAAAAATGTTTTGCGCTACTTCCTGAAATAATGTTCTTGAATTTTGTGAATCGTTCGAACAATAGAAGAATCTCCCAATTAGTTATGAACAATTTTTTGATAGTCGCATTATCAGAAGTAGCATTTTTCGGGCCCTACGAACAAAAATGTCGGTCTTAATCTCTTATCAAACATTAACGTGTAGACCCGCCGTGAGTTTTTTGAGAAGCGGCCAAACCACGCCTTCTTTTGTAGGTCATCACTCGCTGGCGGACGCGCGTTTCCCTCTTCTGTGGCAGTTACACGACGGTTTCTCCCATTTTCCTGACCATCTGAAGCTTCCGAGCGTCATGCTCTGCTTCGGCAAGCATCATAAAAAACAAACGGTTCGTTTCAGCTTCATAAAATGGATTGACTGCCAACTTCCTAAATAAAACTCTCTGTAGCTTTCGGCTAATCAGCTACCGGAACGAAAAAAAAAACGGAGCGCAGAAACTTTGCGGACTCCAGAAGAAGGCAAACAGACTGTTTTGAAACAAAAGGACTCACGACGCGCCGCGCGCTTCCCCACCAAGAATTCGGCCATGTGCAGTGTCCAACAAAATAATCAAAATTTCTTGTTTGAAAATTGGGCATACAGAAAATCAGCTTTTCATAGGGTAAATGGATGAAAATGTACTTAGTGTAATTTTTGAATGATGGAAAGGTGGGAAACTTGAAAAAAATAAATTTGTTTGTCAATGAAGTTTCACATTTTATCAACAAAATCGCATAAGTGATATACTTTTAAAATATTGAAATTATTTAACAAAATATATTTCAGAAAGCGAAGGAAAAAGAGGTCGCTGAAGAATGCTTCTCAACCGTAAGTTGATTTTTATTCTGATTGAATTGAATATCTAGAGCCGTTATCATAACTCTTTTCCTCACTCTCTTTTCGTCTGAACCGGCTGGAAGCCGTTTGCAAAAGTCGCACAACTGTGATATTCTCACAGATGAATAGTGACAGTCTCCGCCCCCCGTATTTCATGCGCGAAAGAGAAAGCGGCGGTTTCGAAGAGGCCACTGATATCGATTGATCACCAAAAAGGTCTGAAGAGTAGCGAAGCGAACAAGATGGAAATCCTTTTCGAGGCATTTCATTTTTTTTACATGAATGACAAGCTGTCTTTCGAAAAGGCATTTTGAGCTGGGAAGACATTTTCTGAGGAAAAAAAAAGCTTGTAAGGTCTTTCGCTCGAAGCTATGATTGCTCTTCTTAGATACCAACGATAAATGGATGAAAGGCCCATCCTGGCTTCCAATAAAAATTTCAAAATTCAAAAGCTTCAAAAATTCCTAATGATCATAAAATATCGAGATTTTTTCCCAAGGTGTTCATCACTTTAACAAAAAGTTTTGCAATACAATAAAAAATAACATGTTCCCTCTCTGAGAAATGTTCTCATGGAAAGGCAAAAATGAGAGCGTTGAATTTTTCTTCCGCTTTTGAAAGATGTCAGACATTGATCCTCGGGCTTCTCGTCTTCCTCGTCCATGTTTTTTGGGTTGTTTGTTTATTTTTTGACCCTGCCGTTTCCGTTGCTCCGATTCGCTGCAACCACTGCAGCTCATCTTCATTTGTCTAAATTTGAAGTAATTCTGAGCAAACATTTTAAGAAATAAAGTTTCAACATGTTCCGTTTTGCCCATGTTTCCTGTGTTGAATTCTTACTCTCTAATCGTCATTCTCGTTGAAAATTTTTCGAAAAAAAATAAGTGTTTGAAAAATTAGAAATCTTTTATATGGTTGGAAAAACTGCACATTGGGTGCTCAAAAAGAATATGATTTTGAATGACTCCTCCCATTTTTTTTCTCCTTTTTTTGACGCAAATAAGAAAACTTGTGTTATTTTTAAAGATTTTTCAAAGACATTCATGATAATCTATTGCCAAATCTTTTGCCAATCTCACGAAAATTTTCGCTCCACCGAATATTAAACTGATTTTCCTTTTTTTTTTTTCGAATATTTCATTCATGAATGCCTTTTAGTCCTGTGTTTATGAAATTCTTCCCAACCCATTAGTCGAAACTTGATGATTTCATATTTTCTGTACCATTCTTCCCTCCTACGATCTTTCATGTTTGCACGCTATTTCGTTTTTTTTTGTAACCTCGCTTTTGAGGGAGAAGAGGGCGCAGACATGTCATACTATTAAAAATAGACTCGAATAGAGTAAATTTTATCTAGAAGTGTGCTGAATGATTTTTAGAATATTCCAAAATGTCTAGTAAAACTAAGTCACATGCTAGGAAAAAAAATCCAACTAAAAGTATAATATTCTCTTAGAATCAGACAATTATATTTTTTTTCCTTGTTAAAGGACTTGACATGATAAATTTTTCGAGCTGTACGAAAAATGCGAGTTAAAGGGCCTTTGCAATGAACCGACACCAATATGGGGGTGAAGAAAACGCGAGTTGGAGCAAAGGAGATTAGAAACCCGAGAAGCCAAATCGTTTTGGCTTTTCTCACTCGTTTGGCTCGTTCGCCGTTCTCCCGAATATTCCCAACCCTCCTTACTTTTCAAAAATGGTTATTGTTCATAATAATTTCAGAAGCAAATGCTGGAACCACGGGACGAGGCTTTCGCAGTAGAGTACATAACTTCCCGACTTATCGGTGATTTTTTTTTACTTTTCTTGATTCTTTGACAGCATAGTGGAGACGAAAAAACTGTTCAAATTTCAGCCTTAAAATGTCCGTTGGAGACGAATGAGAAGACGTTTGGCGAAAGCCTTCAGAAGGCCGCATCCACTTTGTGGACAACTCACGGAACCCATTTTAAAGTTGCTTTGAAATAGAAGGAGAAATAGAAGGAATGAGATGCAGGTTTGGTGCGTGTCGAGAAGACGTCACGACGTGTCAGCTTCGCTTGAAGTCCACAACACGGGATGGCCTGGAGACGTGGCGCCACCTCTGGAGAAGCTTTGTGTCGTGTGCAAGCAGGTCGATCAGTTCCTGCTCGACCATCCGCTCAACGTCGCCGTCCTCTTCTGCAAGGTTTTCCAACTTTTGCACTTCAAAGAAGTCGGAAATCGGCGCAGTGCGATTTTGAGACAAAACACCGGAAAAATTGTATCTACTTTTTCTATTTGATCACTTATTCTGGTTCATTTCGGGTTTATCCTGCTGCGGCTAGTGAAATTACTCCGTTGAGATAAATAAATGAGACTTCTTTTTTTTTTGCAGGGACAGTTTTTCCGGTTGGCGATCGTCGTTGAGGCGCTCATGCGGTACAACGCAATCTCGGCAAAGTGCTTCCGACCTCTTTCTCTTTTTTATTATGTCGATTTCAGTGATGACTCGATTGAGGATCGCATTAGCATGAAGAGGTTTTCGGAGCGATACCTTGGACCCGATGGACCGCCCAGTTATAAGCGGTGAGCACCTCGATAGATTGTAGAAAGTTTGGATTGCCATAACCCATATTCCTTCTGGGAGCTCATAGCCAGTCCTCTCCATGTGCCCTAAAAGGACAATATTCGAAAGCCTAGACAAATAGTTCTCAAACTAACTATGCAATATTATTGAGAGTTCAAGTTTTTTTTTTCCATTGGTGCTCTGAGGCCACAACTATCTCGATCATGAAAGGCGGCTCTAAGTATAATTCTAGGTATTTGGGATACTTCTCTTCGTTGCTCTCGGGCAGAGTACACGTCGAACCAGTGCCTCTGCACCTGCAGCTCCTCACTTTGCGCAGTTTCCCGCCTGTGACCGTCTACCTCAAGGTCTACGAAAGACTTCTGCCCGTGTTCCAGTCCAAAGACGTGTACGTGGACTCCTGTCTGAGGACTCAGCCCCTATTCGTTCTTCAGAACGCTCAAAGAAACGACGAAGATCGACTTAGGCGAACTTCGGCTTCGCGGCGACGTTTTCATCAAATGCGTCACTGTTTCTCAGTACGATTCCTTTCTCCGAGCTTCTCAATCCGGAAACAGTTCTTGTACGTTGAGGAATTTTTCAGGACAGGAGATCGGCGCAGTTTCTTCACATGTCAGCTCAACACTTGCTCGCAGGAGGTTCCGACGACAGAAGGAGGCAAAAATGTCGCAGTTCTTCGTTTTTTCAAGGAGGACCTTGACCTCATCTTCAATGGTTTGAGTTTTCTATCACTGAAAGTTTCAAATTTGATTTTTTTAAAAAGTTAGTTAAATATTATTTGAGTGTGATTGACAAAGCGGAGGAGATTTCTTTAAAAACGAATTTTTTTGCTTCTGGTGGTTTCGGGTCGATGATGTAATAAGCATTCTATGATGGTAAATTAACGCGGTAAAATGAATAAGAAACATAGAGACCTTCAACAGTCTTAAAACCTAGCTTAGAGATAAAAGAACAAGGTGAGCGTGAGTGTGAGTGTGAGGAATTGATTATATTCATGATTTTGGATGCAAAATCGAAGACTTGAAAAATGTTTTAATGAAAGGAATATTTATAACTACGGTAATCTAAAATGGAACTGAAGAAGGACAATGGCCAGAAAAGAGAAATTAAAGCTTTTTGAGAGCTAGTGAAACAAGAAAGGGAAAATTAAGTTTTGGGAGAAGCCATCGACAAAAAGCTGTCCGATGGAAAGAAGAAACTGAACGAAACTTTCCAGACAAACAGATCGACAACAGCGCTATGTTGGAGCTGTCGGTGAGCCGCGACCCGACGACGTCATCGACAACTTCGACGCGAAGCTCGGCTCTTCTGCGGGCCAACAGTTACGAATCTTTCGACGCCTTCGAAGGTCCGTTTTTCAATTTTTCTCTTTCCATTATGTAATCGGGTTTCTTGCGCTTCCTTCTTCTTTTTTTTGCCACACTCTTCTTCTTCTTTTTTGTTTCCGTTGCGGCGAGACTCTTATGGAAGATTTGCTTTCATTCTACGAAAAATGCAACTCGGCGTTTGTTTTCGACGCATTCATTCTAGCCAATATTCGTCTTCGCTCATTATGCGTCACATCCTTTCCTTTTGACCGCATCTACACAGCTGCTAACGCTTTTGTACTTTACTGTTTCATCGTTGTAGTTTTTTTTTCTTAATTATTAGGGACATTCGCAGATTTTAGAAAGATGAAAGTAAGAGTTCAGGATCATGATCACAAAATTTTAGATTAATATGATCTTTTAGATAGTATTTGTTCAAAATTTAAAAAACAGCCTTTTGAAAAAAATATTTCTCCACTAATTTTTAATAAGTCTAAAAATCGTTCTCCGAGAAAATATTATTTAAAAAAATCAGTAGAAATGGATTCATTTATCACTTAGAGAAGCATTCCCCATTCTAGACAATGGTCAAAAAAATAAGCAATATTCACTTTTTTTGGTTACTAGTGAATGGGGGGTAAAAGCTTGAGAGAAATTTTTCGACGGAGGCTCATGCGAGCTCATAACTCAAAGAGGAGTTGAAGTAGAGCGGCGGAAGAATTTGGCTCACTGCCCTGGCTCTTTTAAACTGCTTCCGTCTGAGAATTCTCTCCAGGGGGACACCTGTTCTGGTCACTTCTCCACAACAAACATCGCCCTTCAATACTTATTATTTTCGTTTTCTGCGACTTTTTTCTTCTGGATTTTTTACTTTTTGTTCTGGTTTTCAAATCCAATTAAAGATTTCGGTCAAAAATATTAGGAGAAATAGAACTTTTAGATGTTTTTTGTCCACGACACACGTGTTCCAAACGTTTTGACCCTGCGACAAACCTGACGATATCGCTTTTCAGGATGAGTGTTATTCGATCCTCGTTATTTCCAACTCACCATCGTTCTCTAGAAGCAACATAGGTCGTTATGTTTTTGAACTCTTCAGATAACCCACGCTGTCATGACTGTGTTTTCAACTTGAGACGTTGTTTTTTGAAATATTTGGGGGGAGGAAGATGATCGAGGTCAAAATTCAGCAACATCCATCTTGTAAAAAAAGTGAAAATTTTTCTTTTCGTTTTTTTTTTTGCTCAAAATAGGGCTCTCCCCTCAGAAAACGCATTCAGAGATATTGCGGCAATATCTGATCGATGAAAAAGTTCTGATTTAACTCTAACTGTCGTCTGCACACTCAGCTGTAAGTGTACTTCGGAAAAATAAATGATGAAAGGTCGGAGAGCCGATAAGAGATCTATGATTAAGAGAAATTGGGAAGAGGATCTTAAAAATTTTCTTTGAGATTTTTTGAGATTTTTCTAAGAACTACTTTTTCCAAGCTTCTCAGAAGGTTTTCTTGCCACCTATTTTCAGAATTTTCAGTGCTAGAAGTACTCTTTTTAGCGATTTTTGAAATTGATGGACCAATCAGGACTTCTGACCCCGAAGTCAGCGCCCAGAGAGCGTACATCGATCGGCTCCATAGCTGCGATTACACTGTCCGAGCCGTCGCCGTCGGCAGAGCTTTTCCTGCCGTGGTCGTCCTCCCGCACGCCCCCGCCGTCGTGCACTATTTCCGAGCGCTGTGTGAAGCTCCGTCGATTTTTGATTGAACCCTCGCTGCTACTTTTCTTCGGCGATCTATCCCTGTCTTTTGCTGTTTTCTTCTGTTTTCTTCTGAATTTTTCTACGCGCAACATCTCAGATATCTTTCGTTTCAAATACACGATAATGTTTTCAAAGAGTTTTTTCGTAGCTGGTGAGTATGAAATCAAAAAAAAAGTATATTTTGTTGAACAACATGTTCTATCGTTTCATATGTTTTCCGACTGTTCTGGTTTAGGCAGTAAACAATAGACACGATCTACGATAGTAAAACTCCCAACTTATTATTTTTTCTTTTTTTAGTGGGGACAATTACCTTCTACCCTTTGCGGATGATTTTCGAACTTTAAAAGTTTGATTTTTTTTTTTGATATTCGTACTTTTTTTAATAATCCCAGCCTTCTCATCTTTTTTTTTATTATTCTCTATCGCTTTAAACCTTATTCCAAGACTGCACAGCTTTTTGAGCTGTAAATTGGAAGCTTTTCGGGATATTTACCTGCCTTCGCGCCTTGTCGGCATTTCTGAGCCTGCAAGCCGCGGCTCTTGTTTTACGACTCTTCTTGCCAGCTTTCTGGAAGCTTTAATTGTCGAACAAAGTTAGTTTTGCAGACGAGAACACAAATCGCAATCCGGAGGTTGAGTACAGCGAAATAAAGAAGAAGAGAGTCGACGACGACAAAGTGAGTTTGGATAATGGGGCAACCTTTCAGAAATCATTTTTCAGATGCCGGGACCGCCGGTGCCGCCGAAGCCGTCGACTCCTGTACAGAATGGAGATCTTGACATGCCGGAACGGTTAGATCGAAATTCTGAACACGGCTTGAGCTGGTGGTTCCTTTCAGACGTGGTGTGCTACCAGCTCAGATCAGAGCCATCGTCAATCAGAACAAAGCCATGGAGGGTCGCGCGACGCCGATCATCGAGCCTGATCTTGTCGGCAAGGACAGGTGATCTAATGAAGCGAACCCAATACCTGGATCTTTTCAGATACGACAAGGCATCTCGCTGCTTCTCTTACGTGCCAGCCAAGTCGATGCAGGAGGCCTTCGAAAGGCCACGACGGCAGTCCATCACGAGGACCATCGAACGTCGCGAGGACAGCGTCGAGAACGTCAGCGAGGCCGACATCGCCAGGGTCTTCTATTTCCTCTTCCTTTATCGTTCAAGCGGCAAAAATAGAAATGTCAGACAAGATTCCTAAGCGACAGCACACAGTCAGTTATGAGAAACTCATTTTGCAAGCAAAAAATAGCCCGGAGGTAAGAAAGATTTTTTCAAGAAGTTGAATTAAAATTGATATCTTCTTCATTTGAATTTTTTACACGCGCATGCGACAGTCAAGCGATTTTTTCTAGACTGGCTTTATTTTTTGCAAAGTACAGCTTGCAAAATTTTATTAACAGACGTCTTCGGCAGTTTTTTAGGAGAGTTACGGAATTCCGGATGAGTTTAGAACGTCTTCTGGTCAGAATTTTTTATACAAAATATTTCTAGAACTGAAAAAGCCGTACTCAGCTTTTTTTACTGAAGCCAACAAAAGCGCATATTTTAATAAAGAAGATTTTGAAATTAGCTCCTTTGAAGGAGTAGTCGCTAATTATTTTAGAAGAAACATCCCGAAAGTTGACTTCTCCCAATGAAACTATTCTCAAAGTAAGAATGACAGAAAAATCCATTTTTGAACTTTCGCAACTTACAAGGAAGGTCATTTAACTTTGCGGTTGGGATTTTCTTGAAAATTGGCCAGGATACTCCTTGAAGTGCCAGAAAAAGATTTTGAAAGTTTCAACCAGCAAAAATTTCTAGTTTTCAAGCAAGAACATCTCCAAGTCGAAGAAAACCCTTGAAATCCGTAAAACCAGGCCAATTTGAAACTTTGAGCCCTCATTTCTCAAAAAACCCGGGAGTTGTGCAGGCTAAAACTTTCAGAACAGGTTTCTGGTACATCAAAGAGTGTTTCGACCAAGAAATTTAAGAAATTCCCAACCGCGAAGAGGAATGACCTCTCTTGTTAGGTAGGAAATAAGAACTGGAATTTTTTTTTTGTCAATTATAGATCCTTCCGTGAAAAAAAAATTTTTATTGAATGAGAGTAGGCTTTTCCTGATAAACAGAGAAAGTTCATCACATTTTTGTTTTTAGCGAAGTTCTCATGGCGTAAGAAGCTTTATGTAGAACTAGCGTTCAGGCGTCGATCCCTCGGACCTTCGAGCAGCCCCGACAGGACGGCCCTCAGAAATGGGACGAACAAGTCGAAAACGCCAAACAGGTTTCTTTTTCTCACATTTATTCATTTATCAGTCTGATATTTCTTGAATTCATGTCCAGTTTTTTTTGTCATTCTTTACTTTTATACATCCTCCTCGCTTTTGAATCAAAATTGATAGTCTCAAAGTTTATTGTTTGCCTTTTATGTCGTAGATTTGTAAATCACTTCTTAGATTTATGTACAAGAATAGACATCTCATTTTTTCTCTCCCGACACCATTTTTTAATGCTCTTCTTTTTTTCCTGGATACGCAGTCAGAGTTAAAGGGTCCAGTTTCTTGATAAAACTTGTGATTTTACTTTCTTTTTATTTTTTTTCATCTTTTCGAAAACGAGCAGAATCATGGACAATTTTTTTTCTTCCTATTTGAAAAAACTCCGTAAATTGAAGTAGTTAAAGAAAACAGTTTTGATATTTCTCTTGACGGCTTGCTAAAATCGAGTTTTCGCTTTGATTTTTTTCTTATCCGCAGGCTCATTTTTTGAATATTTGCCACCATAAATAGTGAAAAAATAATTTTATGGTTTGATTTTCGCTGTTTTGAGGCGGCGCTTCTGGAAGAACTGGCAAGAGGAATAACGCCAAGAAGTCAGTCGTCGGTCGGACAGCCCTACCATCAGATGCCGTCGGACTACGGCAGCGAAGACGCGCAGCAACCGCAGGCAAGTCGTGTGTCCACTGTCTTCCCCTAACTGCGCTTTCAGATCTTCGAGCAGGCCCAGCGAGCCGTCGTTACTCCTACGTCGACCTTGCAGCGAAAGCCAAGTCGCGAACGCGGTGGATCGCGCTACGGTAGCTACCGTACGCTCAACGACGACGCCTACTGGTGATCAAGATGCTCCCTTTTTGCAACCGACGGTTTTTGAAGCAGCGACATGGACGACCTCTGCGACCCCGACTATTACATGAACTACACGAACCCGACGCCTTCCACCAACAGCCAACCTGCTCCAGCTCCTCCTCCGCGTCACGCCGGCGCCCGTAGCGTCCAGCTTCCACGTCGGCAGCTCCAACCTGTCGAGGCCTTCACGTCAGTCTCCACTTTCCCTTTTGGAACTGTACTCTCTGACAGTTTTGAAAAGGGTTATAACATTTGAAGAGGGGAAATTTGAAGGAAAGCAGATAAAATGAAATACTCGAAAAAGCTCATTGCTTAAATAAACATTACTTCAAGAAAAGAAGTGTAAGTTTTCTCATTCGAGTGCAAAATACGTTTCAAAAAGACAAATTACTGTTCAAAAAGCAAATTTACAAGAACAAATTTCAGAGATCCACTGGACGACGTGCTCGAGTCGACGAAGAGACTCACTTCGGCCTATTCGGTGGGCGACGTCCGTCAAGCCGATTCTCCAGCCGCCTTCAGAAACCGCCACTGCCAAAGCGTCACTTCAGCCAAGTCGAACTTCACGGCTTCGAAAAACATTCATCTGAACCTTCAGAGCACAAGACGAGCCGACGACAGAAGAAGCAGACAGTTGGCTGAACGGAAAACTCAAAAAAGTTCGCAGCAAACGAGATATAGACCCTGACCTCGTAATTTTTCTCTATCGTTTGTCAATTTAACAATTTTCGACTCGCAGGTCAGACGTCGTACTCAGGAAAAGATGTTGCTAGAGGAATTGAAAGACCAACGAGGCGATGTTTACGGCAACGAAGGTTCTACAAAAGCCATGTTTCTGGTTCGAAACATCTTTTGTTCAGGACCAGGACAACAGAACATCGATCCTTTGCTGGAGTTCCGAAAAGAGGAAGAGCGCCTGAAGAACACGAGGAGTCCCTACGACGAGCGCTCCTGGTAGTTGAATTGCACGGGACAGATATCAAATGAAATGGCACAGGAGGAGCCGAATGCGTGGAAAACCGCCGACGCCTCCGCCACGCGAAGCCAGCGCCAGTCCCGTCTATCGAGCAACCCCGTCAATGGATGTCAGTTCAATGAAAATCTTCTCCGCTCAAGAAAAAGACGTGTTGAAGAAAGTATTTGAATTCAATCAACGTTGAGCTTAAAGCTGAATGAAGGATTTTCAGTTCAAACATTCTAATTCCAAATAATTCGATAAGTAACCAAGATCCACTCTCAGTATCAATTCCGCATGAGACTCAAATCACTGAAAAATTTGTTTTATGCTGGTAAATTCGTGGTTGAAAACTGCCGAGAAGATCTGTACGAGGCAGGCTCCGCCTTCTATTTTTTCTTTAGTCGCTCAAATTTTAAAGAAGCATTATTTCAACTTTTCAAAATATTTCATTAGAAAGAGCTGTCCAATGTTTTCTGAACGACTTCGAAGTTTGGTCGGTTTTCAAAACTGACTTTTTACAGATTTTTCATTTTCTCTAATTTTTAATATATTTTTGTTGATGGAATTTCTTTTCTCATAAGGAGGCAGATATTTCTGTAGCATTCTTTGATAGACCTACTTTAGAACTACATGAACCGGCAAAGGAACAACTCATCAGTGCCGCCGTCTCACCATTACAACGAGGAAGTCGACTTCGACGTCAACTCGCTTCTCAGCTACAATCCACAGGTTGGAATCGGCGTGAAGTCGTTTCTAGACATTTCGTCCTTTCAAAAATTTCCGCGTCAAAATATCAAGCCTTTCAGCCACGATTTTCACAAGTTTTTGATGTTAAGCTTTGATGCTTTATATTTTTCTGATAAAAGCGATTTTTCGAATTTTGTGCCAGTTAGATCTTTTCCCCTTCTTACAATATTTCTAAAATAACGTGCTTGGTTTTATATATTTTTTTGGATACTAAGGCAAACGTAGATAACTGCTAATTGCTCAAGTTCTCCTGTTTTTTGTTTCACTGTAATCTCTAGCCACTACGTTATGTATTCCTGATTATCGAACAGACTCCTTCAGAAAACCGATGAGTCGACGATGGAACGAGGCCGTGCCATGTCCCGCGGAGCTCTTCTGCAGGACGCCTACTACTCGTCGCAGCAGGACTTGCCGGCGCGCTTTTACTCGGGCCAGGAGCGAGTCGCTGCGGCCATTTTCCGTGCAGAGACACCTCATCGCGACTTGTACGCCAGTGGCACTATCAATCGTGCAGAAACTCCGGGCCGTTACTTCCCCGAAAACGTCAGTTCGTCCAGAACCTCCTCACTTCAACTCGTCTCGTTCAGAGCGTGGTTCTGGAGCGGAGTGCGACGCCGTCGTTCCCCGTGTCGCGAGCGACGCCTTTGCCTTTCCATCCGCTTCTCTTCAACAATGGTCAGCAGCAAAGCGCCACTCTCAACGGACGGTTCGTTTGTCTTCTGTGAGGAGATTAGCGCTGTTGGCTTTCCTCGCTTCGCTGATATGCCAACAAATCAGATCAGCAAGAACGCTCAACCTCACAAATTCTAGTAAAAATATTTTTTCGTTTCAAGTTTTTAAATCAAGTATTTCTCTCAACGAAGTGTAGTCCACTTGGGTTGCCAATGTTTTTTTGTACAAAAAAACTATGGACGTAAGGAATAATGATCATAAATAGTCACTGATAACACATTTTTGATTTTATGATCTTATCCAGCAAAACTGTCACTAGACGCGAAAGCATATACACAAATTTTTCGAATTACACAAATCAAAAATGAAAGTTACGTCACTAGGATTTATGAGGAATTCTCATCTGAACTTTTAAAGAGATTCGCGCAAGTTTCCAAATACTCCTAAACTTTAACTGTAATAACATATCTTTTGAAAATATGGCATGATTTTTCTTGTTGAACCGAAACTTTTATACCTTGTCACGAGAAGAAGAAAGTTTCAATCGATCGACGCCGTTCATTTTATCATTTTTGTGGTTTCAGATCGTCCTCCCCTAGAAACTTTGGTCCAGTTCATCTTTCCCGTCGATCCTCCATGAATTCTGTCGGTCAGTTCCAGCTTCTGAGCTTTTTCTCTTACAAAATTTCATCGCTCTTCTTTTGACACTGTGTTTGATTTACTAGAAAATATATCTCGATCTACGTTTTTTTGTTATTTTTTAGTATGCTTCCCTTGTTATTTTGTTGTTCATTATTTCTCTGTCCCATTCATGCGAATGCTTGCGAAAAAGTTGTTTTTTCTCTTCCTTGAACCGGCTCTCACAAAATATGATGTGTCACAATCTTATTTTTCTTGCAAGCACTTTAAAAATAATCCAGTTTTTCGAATTTTCGAATTAACTTCATGACTTTTGTTCAAAAATATTTTTTCATGAAAGGAAATAATGAGAAATTGGCTTTCATTGACTTTTTTTTTGTCTAAAAAAACGAAAGTTGGAGCATATTTACTCTGTGACAAAGTATGATGAAAAGGAACCCCAAATTTGGTTGACGATTTCGAAAAGCAAACCAAACGGAAGTATTCGGTAACTTCTGGATGATGAATCTGAAATCATGGAATGTGAAAACGAGTCTGTGATATGATTAAGAAGAAAGTGTCAAGTGGGTCGGAAGCCCAGAGGGCGTGGCCACGTCGACATCATACACACCGACGAGAGGCGGGAGAAACCAGAGAGCGGCAGTCGGTGGCCGGCCGCAGCAGAACTCGCACTCTTGGCTCGCTGCCAACCATGACCTCCTGTCAGCCGACAACTTCGAGCACCAGCGTCGTCGTCCACCTCCGCAACAATCGCAATACTGAAGCTCAAGCGGCGTCGCTGCGAACGATTGCTGTCGCGCCGCGATCCCAACCGTCGGAGATCTCTCTGGCTTCTTCGGAAGAGAGTTCTGACCTTTCCGATCACTCGGATCCAGCGATCGAGAAGGACTTGGTGGACGCGACCAGCTCCTCCAAGGAGACTGTTGATGGAGCTGTAGAAGAGGAGAACGACGACTTCTTCGCTGAAGTTCCTCGACAGCCACTAAGCATCGAGAAGGCTACGACAGTTCTCGATAGAAAAACCAATGGCATCGGAGGCATCTTGAAAAAAACCATGAAAACAAAGGGTCAGTTTTGTACTGGAATGAAAAGCCAATTTTCATCCTTTAGCATATCTGATAGGTTCTTTTCATTTATTCCAGCCGGTCCTTTTCCTTCGAAATTTCTCACTTTACAACTACGTATAGCACATTTTTACATTTCTCTCTGCTCTTTCCCCTTTTATATTTCCGCAATAACACACGTAAAGTGTCTTTGTTGGGCCATTTGCCGCGCCTTGTCCCAAATAATTCTTTTCCTCACCTGCTGAGCCACGTTCTCAAAGACCACACCCTGTCATTCAAAGATGTAACGACAGATCCGAACTCTTTTTTTTTTGATAGGAAGTTCGTGGAAGTGCAGAGGGAGAATGAATTTTGGAATAAAGACTTGATACTGACGAGTCGATTGCAGATGCCTCGGAAATCATCCACCAACATCCGCTGTTCGTAAAGGACACGTCCAAGTATTGGTATAAGCCGAACATCTCTCGAGAACAAGGTTCGTTCATTTCTAATGTTTTCTGAATTTTTGTTTTTTTACTGAAATGGTAGTAGCTTAGATGACAAAGTTTTGAGAGAAGGTTAAAATTAATTTTACTCCGAAAATCCACCAATATTTTTCCATTCCATAAATTTAGATATGGCAGAAGTCTTTGCCCATTATGAAAATGTTGCATTTAGTCTACGTAGAACATTTTTAATCCGTGATTTCGTTTAATATTTGAATGGGAAGATACAAGCTTCTGGCAACTTCTATATGTATCAGTTGAACCAGATGAATTCGAACCTTTTTGAAAAGTGTTTTTTAATCCTCATAGTTTATATATATTCATTTGGAAATTCCTTGCATCTTTTTTTGAGCCTCGGGGTATTGCTTGCTTCCTTCAAACCAGAAAATAGACCCGACAACCCTGCAAATTCAATTGTCGTATCTCTGGCTCCATCTTTAAGCTTTTCGAGAGAATATTCAATTGAGCTTTTTTGCATTCCTCAAAGAACTACCCAGCAAGTATCGCGACCCAGTTTTGCCTTCTAAAAGAAGAAACAGATAATGGAAAGCTTTGAACGCCGGATGACTTTAACAAAAGGGCGCGAAGTCCATTGAACGACATGATCCGGCTGTAGTGCGTGACCTCGTGTCCCTGCAGCGGAAAGTCCGACGTGCCAGGCCGTCTGTGCATTACAATGCGGTTTGCGGCGTTCCCTGCGATTATCTCGTCGAGCTACGCCACATCGATCCGATCCTGGCAAACTTGACAGCTTTTTGACGGAATTCAAGATAGTTGAGCATGATTTCGTTTCTGCAACAAACACAAAACTCGATTTTAGTCAAAATAATCTAAAAGAAGGTCTTCAAAAAACAACAGTTTTGAAAAAAGAGCATTCAATTTTTTTCATGGTGCAGGTGAGCTTGAAATACACCCTTGGCACAGCAGTGAAAGTAGAAGCTGCAGCAACTGCGTAGGCTCCCGCGGGACTCTTTTTATTCTTGTCCTTGCTACACAACATTTCCAGAACATGTGAGAGCGAATAGTTAGCGTTTAGACATTCCCCAGGGTTTTGCCTTTGATTTGGCTCTTTCCGCGCCGAGGTTATTTCTGATATGAGCCTGATTGATGCTCCAGACGAAAAAAAAACGGGAAACTCCTTCAAAGGGCGAAAATCTCTTTTCAGCCTTTGGAACATTTCGAATCCAAACAATCAGAGTCCGTATCTTAAGATAAAGCACAAGTTTTTTTCAAAACTCGAGGTTATCAATATAATTATAAAAATCAAGAACGATAAATTTTCAAAAAATTTTCGGATTATTAGCTCTAACATTGAAAAATCTTGGCCCATCTCAAAACGTCACATTGAAATAACCTTCTTTTTCAGCGATAAACATGTTGCGAGACAAAAACCCTGGCACATTCGTCGTTCGCGACTCTAACAGTTTTCCTGGAGCTTTCGGCCTTGCACTGAAAGTAGCACAGGCGCCACCTGGAGTGCATCCAGGTTATTCATCAGTTTTTAAGGGGGAAACAACAGTCTCACCGAAAAATTGCAGGTGATGGCTCGGAACTGGTACGACACTTTTTGATAGAACCATCCCCTAAAGGCGTCAAATTGAAAGGCTGCAACAATGAGGTGTGTATATTCATCTCTTACATGGGATAAAAATTTTTTTCGAGTTTTTTTAATCGAATTTCGAGGCTTTGGGTTATCTTGTAATATCATCAGAAGTCAAACATGGACCAATTTCGTAATTGTCTTGCCCATTCATAGTTGGATTTTTTGCAGCCTGTGTTTGGATCTTTGTCTGCACTGGTGTATCAGCATTCGATCACGGCGCTGGCTCTTCCCACGAAACTCGTACTCCCTGATTTTGATCCCGCTGCAACTCCAGAGCACGTTTCCGCCACACAAGCTCTTCTCGAGCAGGGCGCTGGTAAAATTCTATCTTTTTTAGTTGCAAATAAGTCTAGAGTTTTTTGATCGTTTTAATTAATTATTGCAAAACATGGTTTGAAAGAGGATGGTTTCATCTATTTGATGAGTAAAAAATATTATTCGAAACGGAATTTGCAAACCCTTTCCACATTTAATCGTCATAAGAAAAATCCCAAACAATTTTTTTTTACAATACTAATGCTCCTTCTATCCAGATATTTCAGAAATTAGCTGCTCTTATTTTTTCATTAGCTGGTGAGAACTATGCCGAAAAAATAGATTCGAATGTCTTGATGACGGAGATTTTTCAGCGTGCAACGTAGTGTACATCGGGAGCGTGGAAGTGGAGTCACTGACCGGCAGCGAATGCGTAAAACGTTCAATCGCCTCTTGCTCACAACGAGTCTACGACCAACTCACTCGCGCCGTCTCCGTCCACTTCAAGGTAGCCCTCTAGGGGACACTTCTGGTGACACTTGTCGACTTCAGGTGTCGTCGCAAGGTGTCACTTTGACGGACAACACGCGTAAGGTCTTCTTCAGACGCCATTTCTCTGTTAATTCTGTCATTTTTGCTGGCCTCGATCCTCTAGACCGAAGGTTTGGCATAGCTTTACTTGTGAAATGTCCGTCTCCACGAGTATTTTCTTCAAATTTTATGATCTCAAAAAAAGAAACAAAGTTTTTATTTTCCTAAATGGTAGAGAGCAAGCTCTGTTTGTTTCGCTCCATGGAACTGGTTGCCAGGTCTTTTTTGATGGATACAAAAAGAACAAAACACGCAAGGAAGAAAAAAAAACGCGTTTTCCATGCATTTATGATGGTTCTTGATATTGCGCCGTGTCTTCCGGAATTTCCTGGCTTTGAAAAATTCACAGAGCTTGACTTATTTTCCTCCTTGATTTAGGTCAAGAAATATTTCATAAATAACCAAAACGGAATAATTTTTTTTCCATGATGTGCTTTTACACTGTGGGTCGTTAGCTTTTTAGCTCAGAAACGGGAAGAAATAGAATTGGAAAAGGTCCGAAGAGAGTTTGTATCGATTCAGGAGGTCTATTATTTCAGAAGAATGTTTTTTTGAAAACCAAAGTTGACGGCCAGTTGTATAACTGTTTGAAAGTTTGAAAGTTTTATTCAGTCTTCAGAGTAGGTTCTCTGCTGAATCATGGAATAATTGAAGAGTTGTTTGTCGGTTCGCGATAATGTCGTTGATCAAGCGTAGACGGCGCGTAGAGCATCTCGCCTCTCTTGTGCTAGTAGTAGACGTTTTTCGAGCGTTTCCGACGATCACTGCTTCTCCATGTAGGAACAGTACGGCGCCCAGCTTGTCCAGGGCTGACGGGCGTCGGATTGAATCTCGGACGAGAGCGGAAAAATTTTAAACAGTTATTTTCTGAGATTTTGAAAGCAGCGAGGTAGCTGAACCGAGTATATGGACCGCTTTCCTAACCCTCCACGACGTCAAAAAAAACCTTATAATTAATTTGCTTGGAACATTTTGGAATGATAGGGAAATGGACAGGCTGAGACTCAGATTCTGAACTGCAGGTTCGACAACCAGCACGCGCTCGGGTTCCACGAAGGCTGTGTGATGCAAGCACGGATGTTCGGATTCGTCGCACGGCTGCCGTCGTCGATGGAGAACGCATGCCACGTCTTCGCCGAGCTCGAGCCGGAGCAGCCAGGCGCCGCCGTTGTCAACTTCATCAACAAGGTGATGCTCGCCCAGAAGAATCGTTGACATCACCTGCCCCCGCATTCTTCTCCTCTTTCCTCATCTCCGGTTGACTTATCATAATTCTTCCGCCCCCATTTGTTTGTGTTTTGTAGATGAATCTTCCGATATTTTTTTGTTACTTTCTTCTACCTTTGAAATCGCTTTAAAAAGCTTGAAAGAGATTGTTTTAATTTTTTTTTACGTTGCATATTTATCAGACTCCGAAGCGCCATTTCGCTCAGTTTAGCTCTTTATAGTTATTTTTTTGAATTTCTATTTTTGAAGAAGGTATGCTTCTGAGTCTTTTTGCTTCCTAATCAACTTTCGTTACGGTTTGCTCTTTTCTTCTTTTTTGATCAGTTCCTCTCGTCACCCCTTTGAATGTGCCTTATAATTAGAGAATTTATATGTTAATTATTTGAATGATTTTCAATTGAACTGTATATATCGGAGAAATTGAATGAATTATCTTTTGATTTCAATTCTTCTTTTGACAGTAAGATTTTAAACGAGAAGAGAGTCATTCTCAGAGAAACTTCAAAAACAAGACAATAGAAGGTTGGCAGGAAATTCGCGAAATAGATTGACAGGGACGAAAAAGGAACCTGAAAGCATCTGACCGGAATAGTCTGTCCATTCGTCTTTGACGTGTGGCTGTTTGCTCGCAGCCTGCTCATTTCGTTTCATGAAACGACAGAACCTCGTCTGGCTGGCCGCCAACTTAGTCTCCACGTGCGTCGTCTTCGTCTTTGGTTCATCTTCTGATTCTGATGGTTTTTTTTAGGAAATATATTGGGTAGAAAGTTTTTTGACATTTTTTCTGCTTCTCTACTCAATACCTGACGCATACTTCTGGAAAATAGAGAAAAAACGGTAAATTCAGCGGCTGACAGTCGACCTTCGATGTGGCAGCGGTTGCGTAGTGACGTCATGGATGAGGGGAAGGCAACCGAAAAGATCGTTCTCGTGCTCAAGTGAAAATACTTTGAGAATTTTGAGCAGTGCAGATTCAGGCTCGCTCTCATTGGAACCTTCATCGTTTCTGCAGCTGCCACGATCAGTTTTATGATACTCTCGCTTCGAAAAATTTACTACGTTGCATCAAACTCTCCTGCTGTTGTCATTAGAGCTTATCCTTGAGATAAAAGTTTATATACTTCGATTTTCTTTCCACAAACTATTCTCCATCTTTTTCTTGAGTTATACTTCGGTTATAAGTGGGAAGCTGTAGGTAGGTACGCTTTCTTGAAAGTTCATCCTCTATCGAGCCTCTCTGAGAGCATTGAGACTTTTTCTTTACTGTAGAGATTATAGTAAACAATTCAATTATTTTTAAGTTTTTTTAATCTGAACGAAACTCTGAAATATTTTTGAATAAATTAATTTTTTTGTCAAAAAAACTTTTTTTCTTCTCCATGAAAAAAATCTCTTCTCCATGAAACTGTGTTTTTTTCGCACGTAGTGTTATTTCCTGCAAAGTGCGCTCACCGCTAGTGGTAAAAAAATTTTAATTATATAATTATTATAAATAATATTTAAATATTAAATATTTATTAATGCCGTGTTCAAAGTGATTCCGCGAAATTCAAAATAGCCGTCAGAGAAAGAGAAAGATAACTAAATTTTGGAGGGTCCGAGACAATTTCGCATTTCGCGGAAATTACTTTGAACACGGCATAAAAAATTGTTTTAATTGTGCGAAATTGCGCTCACGGTGTATGCTCCACAAACGCTGTGAACAAGTTCTCACGCGCAAAAGTTTTTTTCGTTTTGGATTAATCCTTTATTTTTAAGTTCAACAATCGATTGTTGAACTTAAAATTCAATATTTCAAATGTTAGTTTTAAATTTAATCAGTAAATAAACATCTAAGAATTCACAAATTTTTTTGTATGAACTTTTTTTCATGTGCTTGGCATAACTTTTTTTCGAATTTTTCAGAATTTATTTCATTACTCATTTATTGAAGAAGAGATTTCTCCAAACCTTCGAGTTTTTGAATATTTTTCATTATAATAATGCCAATGAAGCAGTTTTCAGAGAGAAAACTTTTGACAAAAGTCTCTGATTTAATGACCTCGGTGATTTGGAGTATCTATTTATTATTAAATTGTATATAAAAGTTCAAATTGCCACCATTCAGCACCTTCTCTCTGGGAAGGAGGTTTCATATAAATAGAACATGCGACTACATGTAAGCCACGTATTTCGATTTTCAAAGCGATTATCTTCGTTCATAACGACTCCCATTTTTTATGCAAACGCAGGTATTCGTTTTTATGACTTTTATTAAGCGATTCTTTTGTAAAGAACCCCATATCGGCCATGCATATACTTCAATAATCGCGGACGCAGCTCATCGCTGGCAGCTTTTAAAGTTTCCAGATGAAAATCACATTTTTTGTACAGGTACAGACGAGCATGGAAGCAAGGTTTTTTGAACATTTTTCCGCACAGATTTTTTCAAAATTTTTTAGATCTATCAAGCAGCTCTGAAAGCGAAAAAAACGCCAAAGAACTTTTGCGACGAAGTTTCGGGAGCGTTCAGAGGTCTCTTCGAAAATTTGCAGCTCTCAAACACTCATTTTATTCGAACCACTGATTCTGATCATGTGAAAGCTGTGCAAAACTTCTGGGTATGTAAAGTACCTTTCATTCTTTCAATATTTTTACAGGAAAAACTAGAAAAAGCGGGCTATATTTATAAAAGCACTTATTCTGGCTACTACAGCATTGTGGATGAATGTTTTTACGAACGAGATGAGGTGGAGGAGAAAGAAATAAAAGGCGTCAAATGCATGGTTTGAGTTGTGTTTTTTTTGGTAACCTTTCTCAGTTCTGGCGGTGAAAAACACGCAAACCGTGGTGGAATGGGTAGAGGAAGATAATTATATGTTTCGGTTGAGCAGTTTCCGTCAAAAAGTACAGAAATGGCTGAACGAAAATGGTAAGGAACCCATATTTAGCGCAGCTCTAATATATTCATTATTCAGATGTTGTGAGGCCGAAGAATTACTTGGCTCATACAGAGTCTTACTTCGATATGGAAGAGGATCTGTCCATTTCGAGGTGTCGAAAACGTGTTCCTTGGGGAATACCGGTGCCAAACGACCCTTCGCAAACAGTTTCGTCTTCTCATTTCTCGAGTTCAGCATGAATTGATTCAGATATATGTTTGGGTAGACGCTTTGGTTAATTATTTGACCGTTTCTGGTTACCCTGGAAAACAGAAGATTTGGCCTCCCACTTGTCAGATTATTGGAAAAGACATTTTGAAGTAAGTTTGCGTTTTTTTTTTCATAAAATCTCTGGGATTCTTTGTTGACATGTTCATGCTTTGGTAAAACTTCACAGAAAGTTGAAAAACTTGTTCCTACGCGGAGTGGAAAAGCTTCAATCCGATTTTTGTTGAATATTCAAAATTTGAAAAAAATAATTTTAATCAAATATTCTAATATAAACGTCTGATGAACGCAGCATGAGTGTCACAGATTTCATGCATTCTATTGGCCAGCGTTCCTGATGGCGGCCGATTTGCCTTTGCCGAAATTAATCTTTGTCCATGGTCATTGGCTCGTCGACAACGTCAAGGTGCTTTCCTCATCCGGCAGTTCCCTTCAAAAAACATATTTTAGATGTCGAAAAGTATCGGGAACGTTGTCCGACCACATGACGTCATTTCCAAATATTCGGTTGAGGGACTTCGTTATTTCATTCTGAAACAAGGCAACCCTCACACCGACTCCAGTGAGTTTTTTACAACTCTCACCAAGATTATCAAACGGCTTGTTTTTCTGAACATTCCCTCATTATGCGCGGAGCTTTGGAAAATAAGAGCAATTTTTTTTTTGAAGAAAGCGAATTGGTTTTCTTGTTAACAGTAGAACAATATCTAAACACCAAGCATAAATGAGCTCAATTGGAGACATAGAAAATTTCATCTTTTGAGGGTCCTTAATTTCATTCACAGACCTTGGTGGGAATTTCAGAGGACAGGTTCGGAATCAAATCTAGTGAAATAAGTCTCATTCAGAAGTCCAACTCTGAGAACATTTCCTAGTGAGATAAATAACAGAAAAGTAAATTTTTGAAAAATTTATGATTTCTATACACCCATTGTTAAAAGCAGAAAGAACGTAGAATTTTTAGAAAAGTAAAATGTTTTTGACTGTTTTAGTGATTTTTTTCAGATTATACAACTCAGAAGTGTTTGGAAATATTGAACAGCGATTTGGTTAACAACATCGGTAATTTGCTCAATCGAAGCACTGTCGAGAAAATGAACCCCGGACAAGTGCTGATAGTTCTCATTCGTCCCAAATGTTTCTCGTTCAGAAATACGCAAAAGTAGTAGCCATCGGAAAAGTGAAGGAACTTGCATCGGATCTTTTGAAGCAGCTCAACGATGCTCCAAGTGACCTTATTCTTTAAAAAAAAAAGTTATTTCCGTTTTCAGGTGAACTGGAGGTGGTATATGACGATTTGTTATTTTACAAAGCTTGCGAAATTCTGATGAGAATTATGAAAGAAGCAAATCGCTTCTTCCAATCCAGCACCCCCTGGAAAGTTTCCGATGACGAGGTGAATTGTCCAAAAAACTTGTGAAGATCCCGAAAAGCTCACAGGAACTGTTGTCGATCTTGTACATCACATACGAAAGTGTTCGCATCGTTAATATTTTGATGCAACCAATAGTTCCGGAGTTTTCTAACTTCTGCCTCGACAGGTTATTTCTCATAATTGACCAAGTACAATGATATCTGCAGACTTGGCGTCCCTATTGAGCAAAGGAAACTGCAAAATGCAAAGTTCGGGAATTACGCCGGCGGGGATCTTGGTACCAATAAAGGCATAGTTTTCGAACGGCTGTTGGAATAGTCGACGCGAAATATCTAGTAGGAAAAGTTGTAGAATAATTGTTTGTTTCTTGTTGTAGATTTTGTTGAACTAATTGAAATAAATGTTTAAAAAAGTGTTCATTGATTTCTGTTTTCAACTTTTTGTTGGGATACGACAATGAAGTACTTGAAAAGTTACATGGAAAATGTCAATATTTTTTCAAAGTCATTGAGAAATTGGTTTCGAAATGGCTTCTGTCGCCACGCAGGAGACTGAGCAGCCGTTGTCCGAAGAAACGGCTCGGCGGAAGGATTTGATACTGCGCAACTTGCAGGTTTGCCTGGAAGCCAGGAGAAGCCTTCCATGCTTGACAGGAAGCTCTGGGCGTGGACAAACTGACCAAGCAGCTGTCAACAGAAGGAAAAGTGCCGCATGTGTACTGGGGAACGGCGACGACCGGCCGACCTCACGTCGGATACCTGGTTCCCATGCGAAAAATCGCCGATCTCTTGCAATCAGGCCTTCGAGTAACTGAGCTCTAATGTTTTTCGTGCATCGGCTCCTACAGGTTACGATTCTGTTTGCCGATTTGCATGCCTTCCTGGACAACATGAAAAGCACCTGGGAACTCCTTGAAAACCGCGTCATCTACTACGAATACGTCATCAAGGCGCTTCTACAATCTCTCGAGGTGCCCATCGACCGACTTCATTTCGTCCGCGGCACCAGCTACCAACTCACCAAGTTCTGTCCGTTTCATTTCGTCGACCATTTCGCGCATTGCAGGGAGTACACCAACGATATTTTGCGCCTTTGTGCCTTGGTTTCCCAGCGAGACGCTTTGAAGGCTGGTGCGGAGGTGGTGAAGCAGGTGGATTCTCCGCTTCTCTCGGGTCTTCTCTATCCGCTTCTGCAAGCACTCGACGAACAATATCTCAAGGTAACCAACATAAAAAGGAAAAAAAATTTCCTTTGAATTTATCAGGTTGACGGACAGTTTGGAGGTGTTGATCAGCGTAAAATCTTCATTCTCGCTGAGGAGCAGCTACCAAAGTTGAAACTCGGCAAACGCTGGCACTTGATGAATCCGATGGTACCGGGCTTGACGGGCTCAAAAATGAGCAGGTGGACTTTCGCAAAGACAAAAAAACCGGTCGTTGTTCCAGCTCCGAAGAGGATTCGAAGATCGACGTCTTGGATGAACCAGCGGCAGTGCGAGCGAAAATCGCGGGCGCGTCTTGCCCTCGCGACCAGAGCGACAACGGAGTTTTGGCTTTTTTCAACTACGTCCTTTTCCCGATTGTTTCGCCTGACGAAATCGTAGTGGCGAACAAGTTCGTTTTTCCTGATTCATTGGGTTGATGCATCATAGACTTTATAATTTTTTTTTTCCGAATCGCACAACTAATTTTTTTCTTTATTTGTTTCAAGTTTTTTTTATTCGTTGACAAAGTTATTTGGAGCCTATCAGTTTCTATAGCTATAAAGAACCTAAAAAGTCACTCATTGAGTGTCTTTTTGAAGGTAGAAAACAACTGGCGGTTGTCTAAGGGCTGATCTCACTTCTGTATGAAAATATGGAATATTTAATCCAAAAAGCTAAAAAAAAAATTTGTTTTCCAAGCTTTCAACCGTCAAAACAATCAGCCAATCATGAGTCAACCTTGTAAATTTTTTTCCAAGTTTATTTTTGTAAAATATAAATTTGTTTAAGGAAGTTCGACGACTTTGCTTCCCTTCAAAAGGCTTTCACTGATGGCGTTCTCAGTGAAGGCGACTTGAAGGAGAAGTTGTCTGACTTTTTGGTCGAACTGCTCGAAAAAGTTCGGAGCCGTTGCGACAACGACGCAGTCCGAGCCGCCAAGGAGAAGGGATACCAAGTAGTTTCTCTGCTTCAGGAAGGATATCCAGCAAACACACTCTTTCAGAACGTCATAAACGCAGCTACCAAGACGGAAGTTCCTCCACCCGTGAGCTTGACCGAAGAGATGGAGGCAACTTTACGCAAGATTCTCGGAGAAGACGTGGGTTTCTCGTGCTTCGGTCATAACTCGAGGTTTGCAGGAAGCTGTCCCTGGATGCGAAACGCTGCGGGCCGCCGTCGCCGCTCAGAAGCCCCTCAAAGTTCTGTTTGTGGTTCACGGCCGCGGGAACTTCCATCTTGGTTTTGTCGGCGCGCTATTGAAAATCAAAGTTGACTGAGGGCGAAAAACAATAACATTCGGGAAATTTTCCAGCAAATTGTCAACGCGGGGATTCCCGTCGAAGCGACGCTGCTTGTTTCGCCCATTGAAGCTTTCCTTGATAATGAAAAGGTATAGAGATAGATTCATTTTTTCCTTTTTTTTTTTCCTACGAAAGTTATGAGAAAAGCTTTACGGAGAGGGGCTTTGCAGGTGTCGTGGGCGGCTCAGCAGCCTAGAGCCGTTTACTATGCCGAAATGCTTCGATCTTTCGTGAAGACATTGGGACTCGAAAGTAGTGCCAAGGTGGTCATCGCCAGCGACCTTCCCGGCTATTTCGATCGGTGAATGTTTTTATATCTATTGTGAATAAGTCCAGTCTTCAAATGGGAAGTTTTTTATTATCAAGCTTCTCTTGCAATTTGAGGGTACTGTGGCGGGGATCGTTGTGTCTTTAAGTGCACGTAAAAATGAAACTTCTTTTCAAAAAGTTACTAAGGAATTTCATCCGCGGTAGTCCTCAAAATAAATTTTAAAAAAAGATAATTTAAAAAACTGACCTTTTCCTTGTTTTTGATTCAAGTTAGTATCCCTGAAATCAAAATAAATTTTTGGTTAGATAAAACGAGAATCTTTTGTGTATCCAGATTAAATCTTGTTCTCTACTGGCAAAAAGTTGAAATCATACGAGTACGAAAAAAAAATCTTTTTTTTTAAAGTGCGCTAATTTCTGTCAAAATAAAACTTCTCACCTAATGAAGATAACTAGAAAAAAATGAAAATTCAGAAATTTTGATACAGGGTAAGTTTGAATTTCAGAGGATCAACTTTTTTAGAGAAAAGTTTGTTTCCTTTTGAAGCTTTTTCCGGATCTTTTCAAAAAGGTTACCAAAAAAGAATAATTCATGTGCAAATTTATCGAAACGATCCAACTTTGTTCAGGGACTACGTTCTCGATTTTTACAAAATGGCCTCAGCCGTTACCCGAGACGAGGCTACAATCTGCGAAGGTATATCAAGATTCCGCCATAGAGAGTCGTGATTCTCACAGGAACAAGTTTGTCTGGAAGCCTGGTACCGCTCACCTACGCCTTGAACTTGCGACTCGTTCGTCCTGACGTCGTCTTGATCGGCGACGACGCTGTCGTCTACGCCAAGCTCACGGAGAAAGTGATTCTGGGGAGCTTGTAACCGAAACAATTCGATTTCTTGGCAGCTCCTTTCCTTCATCGGCTCGCACACCTACACACACATCGTCTTGCCCACGATCCCCGGATGCGACGGGGCTAAAATGAGTTGTTCTCGCCGCGATTTCCTTCTTGATCCTTTGGAAACGCCCAAGCAGATTAAAACAAAAATAGCCAGGTTATCACAACTTTGCCCAGTTCATAGTAAAAAAGTGTTTCATCACTAAAATTTATTTCTTAATGTTTATAATTTTTGTGATGTATAAAATAGGAAATTATAGTTCAATGAGTAGTCGATTGAATTAATTTATCCAAAAGAATGGTTTTTCGTATCTTAAAAAGTGATAAAAAAAAACTTTAGAAGTTTCTGTGAACCTGGAAACCTCGAAGGAAACGTCGCGATGCAGCTGGCGAAAATCGTCGTCTTCCCGTCTCTTGAAGGCCGAGGTACGGCTCAACTTCCAGAAAAGAGCGGAAAACCTGTTTCAGAACTCCTCATCCCAAGAACTGCGGACAACGGTGGCGACGTCGTCGTCAAGGACTACAAATCACTGGAGCACGAGTTCACGACAGGTTCGAATCCTGCATTCCCACTGCATCCCGGAGACCTCAAATCGGCCATCGTTGGAGCCATCAACGAGTTTGTCACAGCGAAGAAATGCCTGTTTTGAACTTTGCGTTTCAGAATTTTCAACGAAGTTCGGTCTGACTTCTCTACCAAAGCGAAGTTGGTAACAGAAGCATTTCCGACCATCAAAGGAGGAAAGAAAAAGTGATTGAGATGATCTTTAGCTTTCGCAATATAACTTAATTTGTTGAACTTGTTTTTTTTTGGGCCATTCCTGAGGAAGCTTTCATTGAGGTTATCAAAGAATCTTTAAAGATGATTTACGGTGATTGAATTTTTATTTATTTTATAAATTTATTGCACCTTTTATTCATACATGCAAATAACTGTTTTTTTTTTCAAAATCTTCTGGAACAATAAGAAAAATATTTAAAATTTCATTTCGTTGAAAACAGAACAATTTTTTTTTGAAAAACAGAAATGGAGAACACGTCAGAAAGTGAAAGAGGTTCAACAATTAAATTTTCAACAAGAATAAATTGAATTTCTTTCTTATTGTGATAACTTTATAATAGACAATTATAAAGAGTCTGTTAATAGAATCGAGAGTGGACAAGAAACAGAGAACATTTATTTGACAAAAGGAAGAAAAAAAAACACGCGCTATTTATTGCTAGTGAAGAGCAAACCGCTCGAATTGTGAGAAGTGGATGAAGTGGTCTTAGGAGCGGAAAACGAAGGGAAAAGAGACGAGGCTGTCGTGGTGGACGTGGAAGCCGGAGTCGACGAGAAGAGGGAGCCACCGAAAGTAGGCTTCTGGGCGGTGCTTCCGAATAGCGACGTTCCTCCGGTCGAGCCGAAGAGGCCACCGCCGCCAAGACTGAGGCCGGTGCTCGTGGCTGCAGGAGGGGCCGGAGCGCGAAGAGTTGACCCAATGACGGCCAGACTAGCTTGAGATGGGTAGAAGTCGGGACCTTTCGGATGTACGGAGTGGCTCGGCATTTGGTAAGTTCTTCTCAAACTCGTGTAGCCTGCATGGATGAGGCTGTTTTTGAAATCCTAAACTCAGGAAATTGATAAAGAAAAGATAAATCTGGAAACCTCAATTTGGCGGCACATCTGTTCGATCTCCCGGTAGGCAGTTGAATAAACTGTATCGGTTTGAAGAAAACGCTGGTCCATTTCTTGCATAGAGAACGCAGTCTGCAAAAAACGCGATAAACTTTGAAAACAACTTCAAGAAACTTGACAGTTGAGCAGTCTTTCGAGTCTTTTTCTTAAAAACTCGACGTTTTCTTGGAGAGACGCCAAGTCGCGGTCGTAAACAATGCATAGTTCAAAAATATGTCTAAAAAATGATGAAAAAAGTAGAAAAATTCTTAAACTGACCTTTTAATCATGTTCCAGATGGAATTCTGATTCATATTAGACGACTGGACATCACGCAGCTTTTTTTCCGCATCTAGAAGAGCTTTGTCGCGAATCGTCAACGCATTCACTTTCTTTGAGTCAGCGTGAGAACTTCTCAAAGTTTTTGAGAAGTTGTTCAGTGTTGTTTGACACTGAAGGAAGAATAATTTGAAAAAGAGCATATTAGGTATGACCAACATCATCAACGAGGTCAGCCAAATTTTTGGGATAGTCCAAAGAGAAGGCTTGTACTGTTTCCATCGCCTCCCTATTGCTTTTCAGTTGCGCTCTGAAAATTATCAAATTTAAGAAATACAAAAAAAAAAAACAAACTCTAATGTGGACACTAGTTGGCGAACTTCGGCGGATGCAGCGATCTCTTCCTTCGTTCCGTCTTTACTTCCGGTAGCTAACGTCGAGCCGGAACCTGTCAACGCCCCTGCCGAAGACGCGTGTTGTTGCAGTCCTCCGAGACCAACTGAATCGAAACTATTTCTTCTCCTTTTCAACTCTTGGGAGAATTTTTGATTCAAATTGGGGCAGAAAAGCTCACTATTAAGCTATCAATTTTTAGAAAGTCGGCACTCCCAATTTTAGGTTCTAATAATTCAATTCTTAAACTTCTACGAATACAATTTCAGAACCCTAGTTAACCCATTAAACCGATTGCAAAGTTAGTTCCTTTGAAAACGCAGAGGATAACTTTTTTAAAAGCAATTTAAGAGAATAAAATAGATTTCTGTTCATCTACCTGCCGCAGCTGAGGATGTAGCTCCGAACAGAGAATTAGTGGTCGTAGTAGTCGTTGTTGTCGTACTACAAATATAATAGAGGAAAATTTAAAAATGGTTGAACCTGGCCGTGTTCGATGGGAACAGAGAAGAGGTTGTTGTTGATCCGAACAGGCCGCCGCCCAAACTTTAAAAAAAAATCGAATAATGACTCGCATAATTAGAGTAGATAAGTAAAATTTGTCCCTATTATATTCAACCACTGAGACTTACCCAGATGATGTTGTTGCCGGCTTTGAGAACAAGCCAGTAGTTGAGGTGGCCGTAGAAGCAGCTGACCCAAACAGTGCGCCAGCGGTAGTAGTTGATCCAATGGATGAAGTTGTAGCAGGCGTTGTAGTTGAACCAAAAAGACCGGTTTTCGCTGGAGCGGTAAGTGTTGGGGCGCCAAAAAGGGGAGTGTTCGAAGTAGAAGACAGGCTAGTTGTAGTTGAGCCAAAAAGGCCCGCAGATGCTGTGCTGGTGGTGGTGGTCGTCGGTGCTGCCGATCCGAAAACCGGTGCCGCAGCAGTCGTTGAGGTTGCACCGAAGAGAGGAGCAGAAGCAGTCGTCGACGGAGCTCCGAAGAGAGGAGCAGGTGTAGTTGTAGAAGCAGCTCCAAACAGAGGAGCTGAGGCAGTTGTCGAGGGAGCTCCGAAAAGAGGAGCAGACGTTGTTGTAGAAGTAGCTCCAAACAGAGGAACTGAGGAAGTTGTCGAAGCAGGAGCTCCAAACAGCGAAGCGGAAGCCGTCGTCGAGGGAACTCCGAATAGTGGAGCAGATGTGGTTGTCGAAGTAGGAGCTCCGAAAAGCAAAGTGGTAGCTGCCGAAGGTGTTCCTAACAAGCCGCCACTTGTAGGCGCCGTTGTAGATCCAAAAAGGCCTCCTGTAGTAGTTGTAGGCTGCGAAGAAGCAGGCGTAGCTGTAGAGAAGAAAGAGGGTTGAGAATTAGCGGATGCTCCGAACATACCTCCACCGGAAACGGCAGATGGCTGAGCTCCAAAGAGCCCAGTGGAAGCTGCTGGAGCTTTATTCCCAAAAAGACTACCAGAAGGAGCTCCACTAGAGGGCGCTCCAAACATTCCAGTACTAGGAGCCGTAGAAGCGCCAAAAACAGCCGTTCCCGTTGAGCCAGGCGGGTTATTAGAAGCGCCGAAAATTCCCCCAGTTGTTGCGTTATTCGTGGCCGTGTTGCCAAACAAGGATCCCGATGTAGTCGTGGTAGATGGATTTGCCGAGCCGAATAACGACCCAGTTGTGGTGGCTGCTGATGCATTGCCAAAAAGAGAGGAAGTAGCAGGATTCGATTGGCCAAACAAGCCACCGCTTGCTGTAGAGGTAGATGAGCCACCACCGAAGACTGGCCCTGTCGCGGCGGTAGTAGATCCGAACAGAGACCCTGAAGGAAAATAGAATTCTTTAATTCTCTCGAGAAAAAGATACCTGCGCCCGAGGAAGTTCCACCAAACAAAGAGCTGCTAGTTGGCTGAGAAGCTCCAGAAAAAAGTGAGGTGTTCGTCGCACTGTTTCCAAAAACTGATGTCCCTGTAGCTGCTGGCGTGGAGCTCCCGAAGAGAGAGCTGTTTCCTGGCTGAGCCGAGCCACCGAAAATGGATCCTGATGGAGCGGTATTCCCTGAAAAAGAAAGTTCAATGAAATATGAACGTTTCCGCATTACCGAAAAGGGGCTTCGAAGCAGAGTTCTGCCCGAATGCCGTCTGATTGTTAGTTGTTCCGCCGAATATTGGTTGACCACCAAACGCCGACATTCTTTGAAAGTTCACTTGAAATCGATGAAAATAGATCTAATGGAAAATAGTAGCTTTTTCCCGATTCAAACGGAATATAACTGAGGCTTTGGAGAAACATTCGAACTTTTATATCTGCAGACTTCTCAATATAGCGATCGCAAAAAACTCTCTGAACCATGAAAAAGTCACAACATCGCAGAAAAGGAATGAAAAAATGCAACAAAAAGGGTAACAAATTTGGAAACGAAGGCACTCTGGAACTAGTGACACGAATAAGTTTTGACACACTGGCATAACCTTTCGTCTCAACGAATTTCTGATAATCATATTTTTCGAAAAAACTTCTCAAAAACCATCAAAAAATCCCCAGTGTATCAAAGGCATGCTAGGAAATCTTGAGCTCGGATGAAAAAAAAAACAAAGAGCAGAGAAAACTAGGAATAGTCTTTTTTCATTATTTTTAAAACCGATTTCAAAATAAAAACAAAAATCTAGTGAACGGTCCAGTTAACAGAATATGAAGATAAGTATTACAACAAAAAAAAGACAACAACAAGAGAAAAAATCATTTGAAATCATGAAAGCGTTTCAAGCGAATTGTGATGAGCAGTATAAGCTTCTTTGTGACTCTCGTTCAATCCCTCAACATTTCTGGCCATCTCTATAGCGAGATAAATTATCTAAAAAAAATGATTGTATCGCAAGATTTTCATTTTTAAATTACCTTGGGAACCACCACTGTGTTGTCTGGACTATAAGCTTTTGTAACTTCTATTCTCATAAGGGTACCCATAGAGAAGTCATCCACTTTCTAAAAAAATAAGATAAATTATTTTTCGGGAAATTTTTAAAAAAACCTCTTTAAAAAAATATCACAGAATTCCCTCCATTTCTCTTTCATTCCATCTTCTTTAAGCTCCTTATGTGAAACCTGCAATCAACAATAATTTAAAAATGATATGACTAAATTTCTCGACTCAGTTTAAAAAAACAGTAAAATTTAAGTGCAAGATACAGAAATTTACAGATTTCGTTGCAGAATTTCGATGAAAAGACTGGATATCAGATCTTTACATCTCAAAAAAAGCTGAAGAGTGTTCTATGATTTTGGGGTCAGAACACACGGATTTTCTGGCGTGGCAATCCTCAAACGCTTTTCGACTTTTTGAGATTTGCAGATCTGAAACTAAGTCGTATAATAGTTTAATAAATCCGTGGTTTGATGAATTCAATTTTTTCAAAATCTGACACAACCTTCTCAACATTCAGATCGGGAAAACGCTCCCGGAAACTTTTCAAGATTTCATCTTGAAATTTGTTAAGACGCAAAAGTTTGGTGTTGCAGCACATGACAAGATTCATGTGAATGTTAGCTCTTTCAGCCGCCTAAACGTAATTTGTAAGTTTTCTTTTGAAAAAAAAGCCGGTTAAACCTGTATTGCCCAAGCCATTTCGATAGATTCATCGTTAACATATTTCTCAGCGTCGCCGTAGTCGATTTCATCCTCCATCTAGAAATGTAAATAAATGGCATATATATTTCATATCTTAAAACGAATCAGTTCACGGTGGTTGTTCTTTTTGAGTATTAGTAGAGAGCGTGAAGCTCCATCAATTTCATAAAATTCGTTACATTCTAAATAAGTTTTACAAGAAAAAAAATAAAAATAAAAACTAGACGCAACAAGCCGCGGCAAAGTGGCGCGATTCGAAATTTTCGCTCTCCATAGAGCGACATTGCCCAATGTTTTATTTGCTCATCAAAAAACGTTTCACCCTGACCGGCAAGAGCTCCACGCAGCCAAAAGCTAGCTTTTTGAAAAGTTTTTTTTTAGTTATAGTTCTCATTTTTTTTTCTGTTATGTGTGTACACGTTCGAAATAATCTGATAGCTGGATTTTTTTAAAAAGAAAAAGCGTTCTTTTTTTATTATTATTTTTTTATTTCAAATTTTTCTGTTGACTTTTTTTGTCTTATAAGTGACTATATACTGTTTGATTTTTGATGAGTTATGCAAATTTGGAAAGTATTTTAAACTTTTTTTTTCCTATGTCATTGTTTATTTTATGAACTTGCTCAAATGTGCTTTCGCGCGCGAATATCTGCTGAACATAAATTGATTTTCAAATCTCTCAAAGATTTTTTTTTTTCATTAATCACAATTTCAATTGAAAGTTTCACTCTTCATGAACAGAAAATAAACTATATTACAAATGTAAGAGTTCGAATCGCTTCGATCAAGACTAGTCTTGATCGAAGCGAAGTCGACTTAGTTATGAGTCATGTTTTTTCTTTTCCGTCAAAGTTTCAATATTGCGAGAAACAAATGGGGGATTTTATCTTTTTTTAACAGGTTATTTTCATAAATTATATAGTTATGTAGTTATATATAATACATATGCATATTTTGAAAAAATTTGAAAATGATTGCAGAACATGTCCGTTTAATGTTAATTTTTTACAAAACTAGTTCTTAAAACTATGGAAGTGAGCTAAGATCTGTCATAAAGTCTTATTTATGACAGGCTTCTTTCTTCCCGCGGCTTTCTCTTTCTCACAGCCAACCAGATTTGCTTGTGATGGGAAATCTAGGAGAGCAGCGCGCGATATCCATCAGCATTGCAAAAAGATTTACGATGTCCTTTTTTTGAAACAAATATAGAAAAATGATTTATTTTGACTTTGTCGCAAACTACGTCAATCGATTACATGAATGGGGTGTCTTCCACGGTCTTATCGTCCACATTTCGCTCCAACTAGCTTCGTACACGTTTTTCCCTCTCCGCGATTTTCTTTTGCTTCATTTATCAGCGTCACCATTCTCAATCACTCTGTGATATTTTACGGACATTATCACTCTCCATTTGCAATTTGAAGTATCAAAGTCTAATTTTATTTCTTTTCTCTCTTCGCAAAGTGTCCTCGAGTTCGAAGCATAACCGAAAACATTCGCTTGGACTCTTCGTCATTTCCAGCCCTGTTATTTGTCTTAGGTGCAGCCCGAAAGTCTTGTAAGGCATACACACATTGGTCCAACAAAAATGAAGCGAGTCATTGAATCAATTCAATTCAATTTTCTTTCTTTTTTCTAGATTAAACTGCTAATCTTCCTGATTTCTTTTTTTTAAACAACCTCTAGCTTATTTTTTGTGTTTAATTGTTTTTTTTTCAGTAGGTGGGCTCAAATACGTCGTTAAGAAGCCTTTATGTAGTTTTAATGATGTTCATCGAAGAAACCGGTTTCGAATAAATCGAAGAGTCTGAATGAGGTTATTGCAGAAAACGGCGTGGCAGACCGAAAGTTCGGAAGAGCACGGCCAAGAACCGATGCGCCGCAACGAATCCTTGGAACGTGTCATTTCGATTCTGCCACCGTTGCCCACGAATCCGCCGCCGGACCTTACAGAAACGGATGACGGCGGCGGACAGCCGGCCATCGACTTGAGGTGACCCCTCCGTCGTCTATCCCAGCCGAGCTTCTTCCTATCGTGTTTTTGGGCTTCCCCTATTGTTCTTCTCTAAACTTTTAGAGACAGATTCTGCTCTGTGAAAACTGTCGCTTTTTAACTATTTCATGAATAATTTTGTTAATCGTTTCGAGATGCCTTCTATCTATTTGTTTTAATAGAGAAAATTAGATTGAAATTTTCATTTTAATTTGAACTGAAAGAAGCAGAACATTTTAGAGCTCAATTCTTTTCGAAAATTTCGTTTCATAGTTTTCATTTAGGCTTCAAAGTTCCCATCAATGAAGCTATTTCAAGTTTCTATTGAGGAGCTTTTTCACCAGTAAAAAAGATCGATGCCGAGTGTTTTTTTTTGCTCATTATTGAGAAATTTCTGGGTATGGTTAGAAATTAAAATTAGGTTCATTTTCACCTTTCGTCACCCCTGTAAACCCGGTCTTGTTCTGCTCTAGGTTGTCCGAGTGTCCGTGTGACTCGTTACAACACACGTTCCATCCAACCTGAACTCGTTCGCCAGCCAAAAAATTCCCTCTTTCTCTGCTCTTATCGTTTTTCCCCCTTGGTTCTTAATTGTAGTATGAAAGATTTATATATCACTTTATTTAGACGATATGGCGGATTTTTTCGATATCTCTCATTATTCTCTTCTTCACTTCATTTCTATCGATTTTTCTTTTGGAAACAAGATAGGTCAACCGTCTGCGAGTCTCTTATCTAAATTTGAAGATGATTATTCGATGTCTCCCAATAATTTTTTAAGCATGTATCATAAATCGAAACGTTTTCATGAGTATTTGCTCAAGTTTATAATAATAATAATATTTATTGCACATGAGGCTACATTGTTGCTGTTTTTCTTTCTGTTAATACGTAAATTGAAACGCCTTAATTTTGTCGCGGTAAGCGTTATACTTATCGCTAAAGGTAATTTCAACGTTTTTTGTGACTTCTCCCTTTATTCAATAACGTGTGATTTTTATTCTCGGTGTACTGGCGAAGTTTCATGAACGTGTGACAGCTTGTTCTCACATGAAAAATGCAAAAAGTGTGAGTTGGGAGAGTGAATAAACTTTGTTGAGTGGACTCTGATTCCGCAAGAGTCGAAGAAAAGATTGCCTTTTGTAATCCCAAAAACACCAGAAACCATCATTTTCTCCACTATAATGATAGCAAACAAACTTATGTCAAATGAAACGCAAAAACTTTTGTACCAAGTTTCATTAAACTCCCAACAAACTAGATTTTGCACTTCCAAAGTCAATGCAGTGTTTCTTTTTGATAAAAATAATTATATGTCTGATTGATCCCTCACGTAAAATCCTTCTTCATATACACATGGGCACTTTTTTATAATAAAATTCAATTGACTATTCAATACAAATTTAAGCCACGCCTCGTTTTCTGCAGTTGTGGCGCGGTATCTGCTTCTCGTTTTTCCGCACTGTGCCCTCAGAAACGTCTTTTAATACCTTTCCTTCAAAAAAGTTTCCGTATTTGGTGCTTTCATGGAGTTTCCTGTTTGCCTTGATAGCATGTCTCTTTAGATTTTTTTCCAGTTGAGCTTTAAATTTCCCATCGCTTTTTGTCAGTTTCGCAACCTGTTTTTATTTAATTTTCATTTTTTTCACTTAGTCGGTTAATTATTTTTCTTATTGCAGCCAAAACTTCTCAGAGGAAGCTGCAGAAGGTGCGAGAAAAGTACAACCAACGTCAACAACTTCTTCGTACTATTCGGCCAACTCTTCTCCTCAGATTCCGCCATCCACGACCTTTTACGAGTTCCGCTACCCAAAAAGTGACAGCAACGACGCCACCCCAGGCATTCGTCTAGCTTCTTCTGATTCGCCTCTCAAACTTCCTAATCTTTCGATCTACTCCCAGGCTTCTTCGCCGTACTTGACGTATCCGTCAAGTGTCAGTACTGAGGGTTTTATCTGCTTATTTAGTTTTTCTCATCAAATGTTCAGAGGATCTCCCATGGAGCAGAAGTCGTCGGTCTCCCACAGTTTACAGTAACTACGAGGAGAACGGAAGAGATCCGTCAAAAATGATGATCGACAAAGAACTCGTTGGTAACGAAGTCGGTTCGACTGTGACTTCGGCGCCGTGTGATCACGACCAAGGCTTCATTTTGGCTAAAAACGACCGCCTCACACCCGTCAACTCGTTGGACTCTCTCTCAGAAGGTACGACCAGCTTTCCTGTATAATTTAAGTACATCCGCTTGTATAGTAGTCACTTGCGATAGATGCGCCAGATTTTCACGAAAATTATTTTTTTCAAGATAGATGGCTCTATAAATTTTCAAGTTTTAAAAAACTTCAGCAAACAAGGGGAATATTTTCGTAAAAAAAAAAGAAGAAAATTCAGGATTTTTGTCACAAATTTTTTCATAAAATAGCTGCTAAAAGTGAAATTGTTTAAAAAAGCCATCAATGGAACAAAAAAAATTACCTGATAAAAGGTAATATTTAACCTCTCACACATCCAATAAGAGTTAATTATTGCGTGCGGCAATCGGCTTGAAACCCAAAAAAAAAATGCAACTTGGTGTTGATTTTTTAGGGAAATATCCCCACAACACCAAACCGTCTTCGTTCTCTGGAGAATTTTCTAAAAGAAGTCACTCTGTTGGTGAGATTTCTTTTTCTTTTTTTTAGAAGTTATAAATTTGTATATATATCCCTTTTTCAAATAAATCTTTTCAGGTGATCTTATCTTGTCTAGAGGTCTGAATGGCAGGAGGTCTCTTCAAGGAAGTCTTGAAGATATGGTGAGAATTCATTCATTTTTGATTTTTACCGACTCAATAAAAATAGAGAATATTGTCTAATGAAGATTGGATAGTCATAGTACTTGAGATTTTTCCTTTGGGGGGGGGGAGCGTATATTTGTCAGTTGTTAGATTGTTTCATTAAAGGAGAGCTTATATACCAAAAAAATTTTTTTTATGTTTCCAGGAGTCGCAAAAGACGAATGACAACGAAAACGACAGGAGACCCGACTTTGACGAAGTTTTTCCGACGATCGCCGGAATTCGATCGGGCTGCGACGGTTTCAGAAGACGTTAATCCTCCTTCCTTCCAATGTGATCCGAACGTCGGTTTTTTTCATTTTCATAAATTGGAAGGATATCTTCTTCTCTATATTTCAATATGCTGTGTTTAAAGTGGTTCCGCGAAATTCAAAATAGCCGCCGTAGATTTAAAAAAAAAATCTTGATTTTCGATAGTCGGTTATTTAGGTTTCTCATACGTTCGAAGTGATATCAATTTTTTTTTTGTAAAAGTTGGCTACAACTTAAAAATTAAAAAAAAAAAAACGTTTCTATTTTCCAATCTTTCGTTTTTGGACTGGAAATATGCGCCTACAGGGAAGAAAAATTTGAACGATGATTTTCGCGCTGTTCTGAGCCCTGTTGGTCGCTGTGTGCTTAGCGAGGCAATTTATTGCAGGATTACGACTACGTGCCCTCGCCGGACTGCTACACGCTAGCTTTCCCGGCGTTCCCGGCTTCTTCCACCGACGTCGAGTCAGCCGCTCATTTTTCTGGTGATTTTCATACTTTTTTCTCACTTTGTGTGGATTTTGTCTCTCTCTACTGTGCCATGTTCAAAATATTCATACTTTTTTTTTCTTAAACGCAGGTTTTTTTTTTCTTTAGAGATTTTACTAAGAACAGCTTCGTTTTCTGATTCAGAGGAACAGTTCGAATTTTTTTTGTCACATATAATATATTCAGACTTCGAAGTAAGATTTTTTCAACGTTCTCAAACATTTTCAAATTTAGTTGTAACTTTTTTGCAAACTGTAGTTCAGAAGAGTTCATATTATGAGGCAGTTTTTACGATTGACTTGGTTCTGTACGGAAGGAAAGGTTGAAAAGAGACTTTAGTTTTTTTTTTTTGACGCACCGTTGCCCTTTCCTCTTTGTTTCATGCACACCATGCTACCTGTCGGACAGTTACTCACTAGACTTTTTGTACGTTTTGCAAACTTCTCAGCTCTTTGTCAGAAGGATTTACATATATTGTTTTGAATAATCATCCTGTTCCAGACTCGAATGTAATCAGTGGCAGTCGAGTGAGCTTCGAAGACCGAAAACCTGAACTGCCTGCAATTTCCGAGGAGTCCGAGGTTTGAAACAGCAAAAAAGGGCCCCAATTCGAACTTTTTCTCCAAAGAAGAATACAGAAATTAGACGACTTGAGGGTTTTTTGCCGCATTCTTCCTGGCTTTCACGTTCCAAAACGCTCATTTTTCGAATTTGATCGACGGGAAAGCCCGAATGACCGAAGCAATCGTAGAAATGCCGAAATTCACGCGCACGAGCTCCCGAACACTCATTTTTACCGCGGTTTTAACGAAATTCTCTCGAGGGAGAACATCTTGAGTGCCTGAGTATATGTTGCAAGAGGAAAACGTGGATGGTTTGAAGGTGGAGCACGGAACTTCGCGGAAGTCTTCAGTGGACGCGGTTGAGCTCTCCTACCCCATGACCCACTGTGCGAGTGCTCCATCGAACTCGTTCCGAGAAGTCGTAGGAAGACAAGGCTCCATTGCTCACAGGTTCTCATTTTTCCCGTCTTTCCTTTTTTCGAACCTCTTCATTTCAGACGGGCTATCAGCGATCATGCGGGAGAAAATCGTCTGAAGAGGAGCGAAGAAGTTGAAAACGTTGACAGATGTGGCGTTGATGAGGTAACGCCAGAGTTTATGAATCGACCATTTTGAAACCTTTATTTTCGGTGTCGTGGCTTCTTTCAAAATCAGAACTTCTGCTAAAAGATACTTCTTCTGTTCTCAAAACTTGATTTCAAGTTACTCTCCCGCTTTTTTCATGACTTTCTTCTTCATATGAGATAGTTGTCGCTTGAAAACACAAAAATAACAGCAGTTGAATTTTTTGTTGAGAGAGAAAACCAAGTTTTTTGCCAACGAAGCTTTAGAAAATTTCAGATTTTTGGCTCATTTACCGTATGTAGTTATGTTTACAGTTTCCAGACAACAAAACAGCTAGATGAAACTATTCTGTTAATAGATCATCACCAATCTGAGTTACCCTTTTTCGGAGGGAAAAAATAATTCTGGATTGAAGAAATCGGTTCAGTGGATTCAGATGAACAACTCGAAGGCGTTCGGAGGAGTTCGATGCAAAAGTATGATGCTGGTCCTGGAACGAAACGAAGAGGAGCACGAGCCTTCGGACGCTCGATCCAGTGACCGTCTTCTACAGGACAACTCTTCCACCTACTCTGATCGCTCTACTGTCGCAATGAGTTCTTCGTTTGATGAAAGTCCGACGCATGTCGTGGGCGGTTAGTGTTCCTTCCAATAGGTCGGCTTCAAAAACTTTGAGTAAAAAAAAGTTACTTTTTGATCATCTTATAGTGAAGATATATTTAGATCCATAGCTCGTCAATAAGGCATTAAAAAAAGTCTAATATCAAACATTTTTGCAAAAGAATATGTGAGGACAATCTTAAAAGTAGGTTGACGGACTTCGCTAATTTTTCAAAATAGGAAATTTAATCGAAGAGTATGAGAGTATATTCTGTTTTTTCGCGACTTGAAATTGTTTTTTCTCTGCGTTTCCTCGTCTCGGCGAACATCTCATGTTGTTGTGCTGTTTTCATGTTTCTCTGACCTCGTCGGTGAGGGAACAGAGAGACGCAGACGCTCTAAAAGTTTCAATTCGTGGCGAATCAGAAGGAAAAATAGCTCGGAAAAAAATGCTTGAGAAAAATAAAGGGGGTGACGCAGGATCCATGGGCGGACCGACGATAACGTCGACGCCTTCTTCGGAGCCACCACCAGTGCGACTGGCCCGGAAGGCGTCATCCTCTGCGGCGCGACCTGCCGGAAAGGCCTCCGACCAGTCTTGGAAGAACCAGTTCCCATCTTTCGCCTCAGCGCATACTGTAAGTTTTCCTCCTTTTTTATAGATTCTAAATCTAGGTATCAGAAGCTCTTTAAATAAACGAAAAAAAAACCATTTCTTTACTTCCCAGCTCAGTTTCTTTTCAGATAAATTGGATCCTACGGCGGTAAGTCGCGAAATGTCGTGATTTCTTTGTTGGTGGCTTTTTGTGTTTGATTCGTCACTCTTCTGTATGAAAACTTCTAGTCAGATATTTTGTTATAGGTATATTCACCTGCTTCGCTCCCTTCTCGGGATAACGGCCCAAGATCTGCAGGCATACATAACGAGAGTAGCGGAACGATATCCGCCTATTCGAGGTAAGATGTCGCCCAATATTTGGACCTGGGAGCATACTAAAAATGGAAAAAGTTATCTAAAGAACTGAAAGGAGAATTGGGGAGAATATTTTTTGTGAATGTAGCTTTTTGAGTTTCTTTTTTCTCTCATGATAAATAACGAGTCACGGTTGATTTTTTGGATAAGTCTTCACTTCTGTTCTTGTTCGTTATACCCTAGCAGTTCACCCATCTGTCTTTGTTTTCTCCTCAACTTTTTGTCATGCGTACGCTTTGTTGGCTACTACCGTGGGAGTGAGGTGGTTGATGTTGGGCCTTGTTTCATTTTAGCCGTTCACCTTCGCCACCATCCAACGGGCTTTTATGCAAGTCAACGCCTTCGTCTCAAGCGCCGGTCGACTTTTCATTCCTGACCACGACAAGCGACCCGCCGCCGCTGTCGTCGCTGATCCGAGTCGTGTCGACGTCTTCAGTCGCCACAACGATCGGACGACATGAGCCGTCGTTCATGAGACGCAGTCTGCGACAATTGGTCCGTCGCAGCAGAGCCGCGTTGCGTACCGACGTACGAGACAATTCCCACAACCGTCGACGTCCTCCCGGTGCCTCCGCCGTAGCCAACAACGCCGTCTCTTCGTTTGCTCGCGGCAAGAAACAAAGGGTCAAACCTAGGTTCGCTTTTTGTGTGCATGTTCAACCAACTGTTTTGAAAGCTTTTCCTTGTGTTTGCTGCGTGTTTTTTCTCACTTTGGATTGTGTTTATGGAACCTCCATAGATGTACTATGAAAAATTTTCTATTTGCGGCTTCTCACCAAAGTAATTGGAAAGGAAAAGAAAATTTCGATCGCATTTATAAATTTTACTTTTAAGCAGAGCACCGTGTTTTTCTAAATACAAAAGCACCGGAAAAAACGTTCAAAAGTTGCCTGTGAAACTTTCTTGCAATTTTTTCACAAATCATTCACATGGTCTCTGCATGTTTTGTGTTACACTTTTTCAGTTTCCGAAAATGAGAAAAATCAAAAAATGGTTAGAATTCAAACTTGAAAGTTTTTGATTCAGTATAACTCTCGAATGAAATCAAAGCCGATTTGAATGACTTTCTTAATTATGTTCAGGAACAACAAAGTGAATAAGAAGGAAAAGACTGGATCGGACACGTTTACATTCGGCAACCTTTTCCGCAAGAAGGCAGGTTTTTTGATCGAATTGGCAACTTTTGGAACACTATTGAGAGATGATCTTAGTATTTTCAGCAGCCGCGTGGGAATCTGCACGATATAGTCAGTGACCTAGACGCTCGGAGCAATTTGACGTCGATCGACGGCCAGACGACGCCGAGCCTCGCTTCCACTCCCACTGTGACGTCGATTCCGTCTCTGGCTGTCAGTTTCTTGTTCCGCGTATAAAGATATGACGTCATTGGAGTTGTTCGAAAAATCGGAATATTCTATTCTCTTCAATGTATCTAACAGTATTTCATGTAAATAGTAATATGAGGTTATCTTGATCGAAAATTTAGCTTGAAAAGTACCAGAAGTCGCTTCATTTCAATTATAAGGAGAATTTTTTTGCTGACCAAATGGATTCTGATTTTCATATAAATTTCTGTCATTGCTTTTCCGGTAGGCCGAAACTGCCAGCTCAAATTTACGAGCTTCTAGTTTGAGATTATTTTTTCTCGGCTAAATCAGTGCTTAAGTTCAAATTAATTTTTTTTTTGTGTGAAGTTGACGTCTCAAAATTTATTTTGTTATTTTGTAATTTTTTTGGCAATAGACCTGCCCGCTTGTTTTCAGAATTGAATAAGGAATAGTTATTCATGAAATTTTTTCATTTCATTTTTTCAGAGGAGAAGCGTATCTGCGTCGGTTTTTGGCGGCGAAGGAGCTTCTATCAACGATCACTCATCCCTCAATGGTGAGATAATACTACCTATTTCGGAACTTTTCGATTTCCCTTTTGCAACTTTGACGTGTAATTTTTCGACGAACCAACAGTCCAAAAATTCGAAAATGCGTTTTGTCTGTGGATGCGCCTTTGGGAAATGCCGCCGGCAACATTATTTCTTTTCTTCATTCCGCCACATTCGTCGGCCTCCGTTCACTCCGTTTGTTCCCTCCGCAGCTTCATTTGCTGCCTGGAACAGCGATGCCACGTCGGTCGGACTCGCCGCGAAATCGTCGTGCCTCTGTTGACGTCGCAGAGGCGTTGAAGACTTGCAAGCCGTCGCGATTCGTCCAACGACACCAGACCTTTTACCAATGTGTCGCTAGACCCAGCATTTGTGCCTACGTGACTGGGGGACCGCGCCAAAGTTGGTCTCAAATTTCTTGTCAGTACTTTTCTTTTTGGCCATTTATGGGATGGGAATGCTTTGAAAATGCTTGGTTTTAGACGAGTCTGAGTTTTCAGAGTTTGTGGGCTCAGCTAATATGGTTTTAACTTTGAAACGTTTGGTACTTTCATTCAGACTTTAGAGAGGATTATCTGCTGTATCGTGGAATAATTGAAGAGTTGTTCGTCGGCTCACGAAACTGTTGTTTATCAAGAACTGCGAGTAGAGCATCTCGCCCTTCTTGAGTAGATGTAGATGAGTTATGAGCTGCTTCTCCATTCTTTGCTTTTAATTTTTGATGTATTTTCAATGCTTTTATGTTTTTTTGTCCTAACGGGATTAATTTATAATGTCCATCAAATTCAAAAAAATGAAAATATTGTTTTAGACATTTGTTCAGTGGGTACAATCTTCGAGCTCGTTTTTTCAATAGCCGAGTAATTTTTTTTTTAACCCATTTTTTTTCTCACCTGAAGAGTCTGGAAGGACTTCTCGACTTCTATTTGTAATCGCATACTTCGCAACGTCTCATTTCCGCTAATAGCCACCTTTTTCTCATATTATTTTCATGTTTTGGAACGGGGAAATCCTCAAATAGCCTTACCTTCATAACTTAGTGCTCAAATGCTAACATACTTCAAGTTTTTTTTAAGAAGTGTACTTTCTCATTTTTTGATTTCACGCACACAAAGAGTCATGGCTCACAGTTTTTCTGATAATTGAACGCTTTTAGAAGACGCTTTTAGAAAAGTCGCTCTGATGAGACTCTCATTTCCAAATTCATGAAACAAAATACGTTTTTCCCAAGAGTCTATGTAGTAAAGAAAAAAAAGTTCTGACATAGTTTACCACAAGAAAACCATGTTTGAAAGAGATTATCATCGAAAAATATTCTAAATTGGAAAAATCTTTTTCTCAAAGGAGATATTTTCTTATGTGTCCAATTAGATTTTTTTATTTTCTGTTTCAATGTGTCCTGCCTCGCACTTTGACCTTTCTTTCGGAAAATATCTCTTCATGATCTACACTTCATATCTTTTCGATCATTCATGTTTTTCATTCTTTCGAATTTGGTTCAGCGTTGAAATAGTTCGCTTCTACATGCCTTAGAACTCGCAAATCAAAAAAAAAAAACTTAGAAGCCCAAGTTGCCAGAAAATGTGTCTAATAAGCTTTAAATTTGTATGACAGGGCATTCCAAAACAGGAAGTTTGAACTTCTGTTTTGAAATCAATCGTGAATCATCAATCGATGCTACTTCTGTTGTGGTTTTTCGAGTTTGAATGTTTATATGATCTTTGAGAAGAACCTTGCTCCCCGGAGAGCATTTACGGAAATAATATGCCTTTGCAATATCGTGTTTCAATAGAATATCTCGCTCTTGTGATTTCTTTTTGAGCATTTTTTTGTTTCTTTCTCTTCTTTGTCACCCTTTCAGGCTTTTGAAATTCGCTCTTTCTTTTCTTTTTTTTTCACTTAGTAATGTTGGCTACTTTATGACTATGAGAGAAGGAATTCCCAACTTTATGGTAATCTAATTCTATCAAATTTTTTTCTCTGTTCTTTATGATCAGATTTTGACAATTGACAACAGAAGTAAGTTCTCAGAAAAATTTTTTTCAAAGTTTATACGCTTCTGTTTTTTGTTTCACATGAATTGCACGTTTTTTCTCTGTATCGCAAAAGTGTATTGATTCCATCTGTTGTTTTTCCAAAATCTATTTTTTTCAAGTATGATTTCTGATCATCGCGTATAATTATTCAGTTTTTTTTTCAATTAACACGCCTCTAGGGTTATAAACAGAATAATTCTATTGAATGATTTCAATTTATTGCAAAATATCTTTGTTTAGTTCGATCAAAACTGGACTTCATTCGACAGCTGTTGACGACAATAACTTTTCGGAACTTTTGGGCCCAGAAATAGTTCCGCGATTTCTGTCATGGGACTCAAAAACGAGAAAGAAATCTTTGCAAAACGCTCATTTTGGCGTCCATTAAGAGAGGCAGTTGGACGTAAACAGGTGGAAGATATTTTGATAGGGCGCGTGGTGGTCTCTGGGAACGCGCCGTCAAGTGCTCCGTGGACAACTGGGGGTCCGCCCTCAAATGTTTCTGAACAGCAAACACCTGCGTCAGGCAAACCGACAAACAGCAAAACAACGGCCAGACGCAGATTCTCACTCCCGCCGTTGATACCCAAGAAGGACGCTCTGAAAAGTTCGCTTTCGCGCAAGTCCACTCCTCTCGTTGTAACCAGAAGCGTCGCGACCTCGATGGGAGCCGTCGGAGGCGATCATCCCAAGCAGTCGAGGCATCGCAGCCTCGACGTCTCTTCCTGGATCTCTCGGAAGATTTCAACCCTTTTGACCCAACTAACCTATAGCGGTCATGGAACCGGCACCTACGGCGACGACTTCCGAAGGTTTTCGAGTCCTGCTGCCAAAACTCCTGGATTCCACTTCGACAACTTATATTTCGACGAAGCGCCCAGAGAAAATATTCCGCTTCATTACGGGTCTCGACAGTTTTCTTCTCTTGTCAACGATGACATGGAAGAATGTCCAGTCGACGTCGCCGCCATTTTCAAGAGGCAATTGCGAGAATGTATTCGATCAAACGATTACCGCGGCATATTCACTTGCATAAAATCTGCCCAGCCAAATTATCTACTTTGTCGTTCGAGTTCGGACTCTGAACTCAATATTACTTCAAGCTTCATCAATTCCCCATTTGTGCAGTCTCGAGAACTTCAATCTACAATCGATCGTCATGGTCTTATTGTCGACAACTTAGGGACCGGTTTGTTAATTCCCTGACCGAACAAAATGCGTGTTTTTTTGTTCAGAACTCCTGGAAAGTTTCGTGAAAGGAGCTCTTATCACGGAGAACATGTGTTTGGTGACTCCTTCGTTTTGGGAGGAAGAGTCGAACTTTCGAGAAAAGCCCCGTGTGCCATTGCGCCAGCAGTCCTCGTTGAGCGCCACCGATTCTGGCTGTTCTTCTAGGAAAAGCGCCGACAGCACTTCCACAGTCACGTCACGCAATTCGAGTTTTGGTGTGCTTCCCATCCTCGTTTTTTTTTTCATCGAAATGTTGTCGTTGTGTGCATGTGTTGACGCTTATCTATGAGTCGGTCTATCAAAGGTCTAAACCGAGTCATTTGGTCTTGAATGGCGACTGTTGGTTGTTGAGGAAAAAAAATAAGAGATTTAGAACGGGGAGGCTTTCACAATGATGAATGGAACAGCGAACAATAACGAAACCAACGCGTTCAGGTTTGCCGGACCACATCTCGCGCATGGTCTTGTCCTCGGATGCGGGCGAATCTCCGCTTTCCCCCAACTTCACGTCTACTACGTCCTTAGTTCAGCAGCTGTGAGTTTATTTTTTCTATTCACGAAATTTCCTTCAAAAAAAAATTAGTTTAAATTAGTTCTCAGCAGGTTTTTAGATAACCCGAGTTTAGTCAAAATGATATACAAGTATTCAAAAAATTAAACGTCGAACAGAAATTGATTGTTATTACCAATTCACCATTGCTCATGACTTTTATTTGACTTTGAGATTTGATGAATGAATAAAAGCTCATTTTTCGCGACAGCTGTCTCTTTTGAAATGGGCTCAAAATTTCGTAGAATTTCACGTTTTACGGCTAATTGTGTTTGGTACCCTTCCCTCATCAAAGGTGATCGTCATATGTCGCTGTTTTTTGTTGATTTTCTTTGACAATGGTTTTTCTCAATGACGTGATATTTTTGCTGTGAGGAAAAAAATTTCGTTTCGAAATTTCAGTGTATGCAAAAAAGAAAGACAGCTGCGAAGGAAGGATTTCAATCGATATTGTTTTTTGATTTTTCAGTGAAGCTCGATGGGGCAGATATGGACTTTTCGAAAAGGAGCAATATCAATCATGGCACGAGAAAAATCGACCGAAAGATTTATCGACGAAAGCCATCAGCAAACAAGATGCCATTTACGGTTCGTCCAGTATTGATTCACACTCAAAAAGAAATATTCATTTTTCATTTTGAGAATAGTGGTTTGTTCAATTTTATTGGATTAGATCACGTGAAGTTTCGGGAATTTTTGTTCAGAAAATACTGGTAAACTTCAATCTTGAGATCATTCGAGAGTCGATATACTGAAAAGATTATTGTGACCCCCAAAAAGCAAGTTTGACCCACTAACCACTATATTCTGTTCATATTTATGCAAGTCATGGCTCAAACTCCGCCCCTTATCTGTAGATCAAACCTATCAGAGAGCGAGCCAACAGAGCGTTGTTGGGGGCGGATTTTGCTGCTTGACACTCAAAATCTGAAAAGACTGTACGTGATAAACGGTTCACCACTTTTTGCATAAGATCCATGATATTTTTTAAAAAGAAAAAGAAAAAACTGTTTTTTTTTTCAGAGCTGTTTCTTATCGAGAAACGTCACTGCGCAAATGTCGCTCTTTTGCTGCAGGTTGTTAGAATTCCATTACCATTAAAAGGGAAGTTTTTAGGGATTCCGGCTAAGAATGCTCGATGAACAAGTTATTTCTGTTCATGAGGCCAACATTTTGATCCCCGACGTACTGGACCCCTTGATGACTTTCCATCTTCGGATCCTCGAACGTTTGCGGGAAAGAATGAGCGAGTCTGTCGAAGTTTCCAGCATCTCCGACATCATAGTCGAGGAGGTTTTCATTTTTTTAATCAAAAAAATAAATAAATAACTTCAGATAAAAAAAAGTAAAAGAATTATAATCATTGAAAGTTTCTTATAACGTCACTAGATAGCTTAATGAGAATTTTGACGGATGGTTTTGGGGCTTCGATTGTTTTAAATTTATTTTTTTCATGAACAACGACCTATAAAATGATATTTTTGCCGTTTGCGTTTTAGAATTTGTAATAAACCTTTATTTTTCAGCTCTCTCCGGACGGCATGTACACGGAACTTTGCATCAACGCCTACACGACCTTCGGAGTTGCGAAACAACGATCGGACGACATGTACACCTACCTCATCTCGAAAAACAGCAAATTCGCAGACTTCATCCGGGTGGGTCAAAATACTTTCTTCAAGTTTTCCGAAACTTAGAAAAAAACATGTTATGTATATAATGCAAATCGCATATGAAGTTTTCTCACCAGGGAATGGTCTCAGCTCACAGTGGGACTTCTGAATGAGACCACTTTTCCTAGATGTAGTTTTTCATGCTGATTCCAAATCCGTTCTCAAAAGCTGCCACCGAGGTCTTTGAAAAAAGTTATGGACCTTCAAAAGTCAAAAATATCATAGTCTCCGATTGAGTTCATTTTTGGAGGGTATATAGGTCTTGTCCCTCCGGTCACGAAAAATCATGGAATTTTTCTCGAAACAATTTTGAAGCCAAGATATGACCTTTCAAAGCCCCGCCGCACACAAGAGAATGCGCGCGCGGTGTCCTATTGCGATCCGACGGCTGTCGAAGCAACGGCAGCGAGGAGCAGTGGAAAGGCGGCGGACTGAGGAGCACGATGTCATAGGTTCGGTCCCCACGCTGTGCAAAATTTTTTTGCATTTTTTTTTCTTTTTTAGATATTTCCCTGTTAGTGCTCCTTTTTCGAGTTTTGAGGTGTAGAAACAGGAAAATACTGCGTTTTGAACCTATTCAAACAGCTGGACTTCTTTTTGTCGCAAATTTTTTTCATGGATTTTTTCGTGATTTTCCATGTGTATGAGCATAGGTTGGAGTGTCGAAATTTTCAGAAAAATAGTTTGGTTTTTTTTAAATTTTTTCTTTTTCCAAATATTGTCTAACCCCAAGTCATCATAGCTACGCGTGCCGATCACAGAAAAAAAAATTTTTTTTTTTCTTTAATAAACTCTTGGTGCTTTGCAGTGGGCTCACCTATGAGCGTCGCCTTTTGCCGTCTGACTATGAACTTTCAGAAATTATGTTGAACGAAAAAATTTTGTGGGAGTTTGTCCTAACTGTTTTATTTATGAATCAGAAAAACCTTCTCGGAAATTTCAGCCTCAACCTGAAATAAAATTGAAAGTTTTTTTCTTCTCGTAGAGTGGTAAGTGAAAACCGCAGTCTGAGAAAGTCAGTGAAAAAGTTTATGCGTTTTCTACCAGCGCAGTTATGATAACTTGGGTCTAGACAGCTTTTGAGAAAGAAAAAAAAACCAAATAATTTTTCTGAAAATTTCGACACTCCAACCTATGCTCATACACATGGAAATTCATGAAAAAATCCATGAAAAAAATTTGCGACCAAAAGAAGTCCAGCTGTTTGAATAGGTTCAAAACGCAGTATTTTCATGTTTCTACACCTCAAAACTCGAAAAAGGAGCACTAACAGGGAAATATCCAAAAAAGAAAAAATGCAAAAAAAGTTTGCACAGCGTGGTGACCGAACCTATGACCTCGTGCTCCCCAGTCCGCCGCCTTTCCACTGCTCCTCGCTGCCGTTGCCTCGACAGCCGTCGGATCGCAATAGGACACCGCGCGCGCAATCTCTTGTGTGTTGCCGGGCTTTGAAAGCTCATATCTTGGCTCATAAATAGTTTTTGAAAAAATTTGATGGTTTATCGTAACAAGGGAAACAAGGACTATATACCCTCTAAAAATGAGCTCGATCGGAGACTATGAAATTTTTGACTTTTGAGGGTCCATAACTTTTTTCACAGACCTCGGTGGCAGCTTTTGAGAACAGATTTGGAATCAGCATAAAAAACTACATCTAGGAAAAGTGGTCTCATTCAGAAGTCCCACTGTGAGCTGAGACCATTCCCTGGTCAGGCCTTTTTTACCGTATACAAAGGCCAAACAGTATACATCTTATTGCAAGAATTTCGATATTTACCCTATGCAAAAAAATATCTTATGGTCACTATCGAAGGGTTCCTCTTGAGCTACTTTTCTCAAAGAAATATTCAGAAAAGCTTTTTAGCGCGTTTCTCAAGAACATCTCTACCGCGGACAGGAGTTCAAAGCGTTGACGGCGAAAATCATTGGTCGCGCGACCAAATATTCGCTTCTCTTGGAAACTATCCTCAAGAGCGAGGTCCAATTCAGCACCGAATATGAGTTGACGCAGAAGGCTTTGGAGGTTCAACAGTCCCCAATTTTTGATTCCAATCAAGTGTCTGATCAGATGTCCAAGCGCTTTGCTGCCAAAATCGACAACAACTTGTGCTTGGCTCAGCTGCACCGACGATGGGAGGAAATCCGAGCTCAAATTGATCCAGCCTCGTCGACCACCATCCACATAACAGACCGACAACGCACTGATTCTGTCATTTCTCCCACTTTTGGGGTATTTTTTGAGTATATGGCAAAAGTTCTTGATTTTTACCTTACATATATAATGCGCTTCGTGTTGAAAATAGTCCACAATGTGAGATTTTTTACTTTTTTTAGAGGAGCAAATATATACAAAAAGTAGATTTGGCGAGCGTTTTCATTGAACAAATTAGATCCTGACAACAAGTGGAAACATTTTCGCAGCTCGCTTTTCTTTGCCTTTTTTCCTTTTCGTTTTTGATCTGATACATTCAAATTTGTTCGCAGCTGGAATCGTTGAATGTGGAAGGCCGCGTCCTTCGACACGTGGGCGAAGTCTACTTGAAGCAGTCGTCTCTTCCTGGAAACAGTCACAATCACAGCTCTCGAGACCGCATACCAGGTTTCCTCCAGGAGATCCCAGAGTAATAACGCAGTTCTTCAGTTCACCTGGTCCTTTTCGATGACATCCTCGTTATCCTCTACCGCAAAGGAAATCGAATTCATTTCTTGCCGGTTAGCCCTAAATTGAAACCTTTCCTAACTTTTTCTTTGTAGGATCAAGCAGTTTTTCCCTTGGAAACGCTGATTATCCGGACTTTAGAGCGGGGTCTGTCAGTTATGCTCATCTCGAGAACAAAGCCAACCCTGTTGGAAATCGAGTTTTCAACTAGGACTGACCGCTCCAAATGGACTTCCCTGATAGAAAATGCGATTTCAAACGCCCCGAAGAACGGTATAACTTCCACAGATCGCTTTTTGCTCTAGTTGTAGATTTTAGGAGTTCGACTCGCTGCTGACAACAAATCTGAAATTCAACGACAACTTCTGCGGCAGAAAAAACAAGAAGACGATTGGCTGGAAAGGCTCATCCAAATATTCGGTAACTTTGGAGTTTTTTTCCGTCTAATCCTATGTGTTGCTAGCCTCGCGAGCTAGCGAAGAAGACGTCCTCAGCCGGTACCTCGAGTCACGTCTCAAGTTTTTCGACGAACTCCGAGCCCACATCTCTCTTATGCCCTTCCAGCAGCGCCAAGACATCCCCGTAGGCTTTCCTCTCGCTTTTTTCTTCTTTCATTTCGCATTTCCAGGACCGGGTTAGGAAGGCTGTTTCTCAACAGTTTCGGCAACTTCGCAACGCTCGCACGACTCCTCTCAATCGATGTATGCATTAAAGTCTTTTTCTATTTTTCCTGAATGCTTACAGTAACTCTCATAGGAAACTGTTAAACTTTTTTCAAAATCTAAAGTGTACGAACTTCACATTTTGCTACTTTTGAAATATTTTCCAACTGCATACTCCTGAATTCCTTGACTTCTGACTTTTCTTTTGGCTCACCAACCAAAAACTGCTTGCAGTGGTGGATCGGATGCAGAGGTCCCGGGACAGCGACCTTTGCTCCTTCTTCGACGACGAGGCTGACGCGGCCGAAGTGCCCGAAAAGTCGAGCGAGCTCTCGGACGACTCGTCTTCTTCGGAATCCGGCTCAACTTCTCGCAAGCCACGACGCTTTCAGACTTTCCACGGAACTTCGCAGCAAGAACAACCTTCCTCCTCCGACAGTGAGAATTTATCTTTTTAAGTGTTCAATTTTGTTCTCAATATCAGAGAGGGTGTGAATAAGTATAATTGAGATTTTAAAAATTGATTTAAAAAAAATGTGAGATAAGAGAATTCGGTTGTCGTTTTTTTGTTGATTACGCTGAACGATGTGGAAAAGGCTCTTTTGAAATTTTCTTTATGGAAAAAAAAGAATAAAAAATTTTTTTGAAGTTTTTCCAAAGATATTGCTTTTAAAGCTGATTTTTGTAAAAATTGTTATCATTTAGAGTAACGTGGTCAGCAAAAATTAGATTCGAAATAAAAGAGCCGTTTTTAGAGCCTTTCATTGGGTATCAATCGGTCTAATTGAAATTTTTTTCAAAATTATTTACTTTTTAAATAGTGTAAAAGTTTACAATTTACACTGAAATATTCTTTTTGCAAATTTTTCACGACCGTAGAAACAATGAAAGATATGAATGAAAGTTAAATACTATATGTGATATTTTTTTCTAATGATGGCTGTTTTCAGAAGCGGCGATTCGTCGTCATACGACTGTACCAAGAATGACGAGCGAAAGTGGCCTCGCGCCCCCTTCACTATTGGATACGAACCAGATGGAAGACGTTTCCGAGGAGTCGGTACGACCGCGTGGAGAGTCTCAGATCGACCGCAAGAAGTACGACGACTTGCGAAGAAGACTTCCGGTTCGTGATGGACAGGGAGAGAAACACGAAGCATAGTTTCAGTTGGGACTGAGTTTGAAGGCTCGTCGCGCCTCGACGAAGCTCATCAAAGAAGTGATCGAACTGCGCAAGGAGAACCACGTGCTGCGCAATGACAGTGCGCTGTGAGAGGCTCCCCAGCTCTCTCTTTTAAAAGCAGCTGATTCCAGGGTGAGGTCGCGATTGGCGCTTCTCGAACGGACTCGCGGCGGTTCTTCGCTCTCTTCAGCTTCAACCGTCGGCGAGTCAATGGAAGCCCTGCGTCGCAAAGAACAACAAATCCGCGACTGGCAGAAGAGCATGGAGGATCGCGAGGCTGATCTCGAGGGAAAGTATCGAGAAATCGACGTGAGTTGCTCACCCGATTCCTCGCCAACGCGGCAGCTCTTCAGAAGCAAGAAGCTGAGTTGTCGGAGAAGTGGGCTGCGCTCCATCGAGCCGAAAGTCGCGCCAACGAGGTCTTCCCACGGTCGCCTATCCACACGACTGTTCACGCCAACTACCGCACACATAATATGTACGTTCCTTTTTTATTCTGTCTTATATCGATTCCCATATTTTCAAATCTTCATTTTTTTTTAAATTATAGATTCGATCCTGACGTTACTTATGTGGTGAGTGAGTAAAAATTTAGTTTTTTTTTTTTCTGTTTTAACCTTGTAAACAATATCGTCGTTATTAATCAGGAAATTTGTGATAACATCGTCCAGAATGAAGCTTTTCTGAGTTGGATAATCATGCATACTCTAAACTTGCAGGAAAATTAACTGTTTCTTTTGCTTTTTATTTACTTTTTGTGCCTTATTTGTGTCTTTTGCAAACGGAAAATCAATTTTATGGAAGTCTCGGACTCAAGAAACGAATCAATCAAATTTTCATGAAAACTCATACAATTTTGAGGTCATGAGCAGTTTTTTTTTTTTTGAATGATGAGGGGAATTTTGTTTTGTCTTCAAAAATAATCTCTGTTTAACAGCCTGATGTGTTCCTCGGTTGCTTTCGAAAAAAGGTTTTTGAATCTTCATTTTTAGGGCACCACCAGCATCTCGAAGCATTGAGAAGGAACGAGAACTGACCCCGACGTTGCTCAATTTGGCGACGAAAAGCGGCGTGAAAAAGAAATGATTCATTTTTTGCTTCACCTTTTCATTGTGCACTTTTTCTCATGTTTTCTAAAGCTCTTATAATTTCTTCATTTTTCCCACACTTTGAATGTTCGATTTTCTTTGTAGTTTTTTTCCATTTGTATTTGTTTTCATTTCTCAGCTGTATCATGGAGTTTGAGAACAAGTTTCCAATGCATTTCGCCTTTGTACTATATTGCAAGTATTCACCGCCAGCCAAGGAAAATACCGGTTGCTCTTTCTCATTTTTGTTACATGTTCTTACTGTAATTAAAGTATGTACGGCTCTTAATTCCGTTGAATTAGTGTTTTTCTGCCTCGTGTTCCAGAGAAAAATCTAACAAATAAACAAAATTTCGCGGTTTTAAAGTTAACTAGATATATCATGGCAAAAATTTCGAAATCAAAAAGTGCCGCATTGCAAATATTTTTAACGTTTCTATCCGGTTCACTTGGTTTTTCTATTGTGATCTGACCCATTTTATTGCTCAAAATTACTTCTTTTTTCACATTGGATTGCTCAATTATTTTTTAGCACTTGCCTGTTTTCTCGCGCTTTATACGCGATGAAGCCCTGAAACTGTTACGTAATCATATTTTAAACTTTCTTTGCATGGTGAACTAGAAGAGTGTTCGAACTTAGGGTCCTACGAAAATTCACAACTTTTTTGCATTTTTTTTTGGTTTCCCAATGCGTGTCTGTTATCTGTGTTCTACTAAACATTGAAACTTATTTCTTTTGTAACTTTTTCAGAATTCAGAAAATTTTTTCGCTCTGTATTTGTTGTACTAATCGCTTTTGTTTTATGGAATGAATAATAATATTATATAAAAAAGGAATTCTCTTCTTACTTTTTTCACAGCGAAGTTATCAACATATATATCTGGAAAACAGCAAAAAAATGATCTTCAAAGAAACTCATAAGAAAGATAATAGGTCTGATTTCAATCTTTTGAGACCTCGAAAAGCTTTTTTTCAGCTTCAGCGTCTTCGGAAGATTTCCTTTCGGATGAGAAGCATTCATAAACTTTCATGGAATGTGGTATACAACTCAAAAATTGCCGGTGCTCGTGAGATGGCCTTATGCCTTTTTCTCCGTTCGCGGTTTGTCTTTTTGAGAATTTTTCGGCTAAGAAAAATAACTAAAACCTCTTTTCAGGAGGAGCAGTCTCCACGAATTCACTCTCTGAGAAACTCACGAAGAAACGCGAGAACTCGGCAGACTGGAAAAGTTCTTTGATCAAAACTTTGAGCACGGAGTACAAGGAGCAGATCAAGTCCCAGAAGTCTTACTGGATCCGGAAGTCCGCTCAAGCTCAAATCATGAGGTCTTATTCCGTAAACCGAGACTTTTTTGCGGCCTTAAGCATTTTTTGTTAGTGGAAGAAAATGCGAAATCAAAAACACGGTCCACACGGATCGAATTCTCTCCATAGCTGATTCACGGTTGGCTTGAGCCATCGAAAAAAAGATCCTGGCACGATAACAAAAGAAACAGTGCCTGGTTCCTGGAGAGCGCAGACAGGTCACATAAACGCAATTTTCTGCGCGAATGCGGCGTAGTGCATGCACACGACACACGACACCTCACGGAGAAAAAGTGGGCGTGGCTTTGTCGAAAAAAAGGCCGTGTTAAGTCAATTTTCAAATAAAGATCAACAAAATTTCTCCTTTTTTCGGCATCAATACTATTTGCCTTCCGAGGTTTTTGAAATCTGTTACTAAAAAGATGAAACTTCGAAAAGTGAAAAGAGGTTCAACTTTATCCGGACAGGTACACAATCAAAGACGACATGCAATCGCTTGTTCGTTTCGCTGAGAACCATGCCAGAGTACGCACTTCTACGAGTGACCGCGACGAGGAAGGGGTCAGTCTTTCGAGTCTCACTCAAGGCCTGAATATTGCTATCGCTTCTGATTCCTTTGCTGTGATATACTGAATTGAGCCTATGTTTTGACGTGTAAATATGAAAAAAACCCCTCTATAGTAGGGAAAAAAGAAAAGAGTTTCGTTTCATGTTTTTCTTCACAGGTTTGGGTTAGAGACGAATAAACTACGCAGATTTGAAAAACAGAACTCGAAAAAAACTTTTTCAAACTTGAAGCTTCTCGCGATTTGTCTTTTTGTGATGCACAAGAAGTTTTCTGCCTTGTCGCCTGAGGAAGTCAACTCTTCAGATGCTTTGACACTCTTCTTGAGCTTAGGTGAGTTTTCCCATTTTCAAAAAAATTTCCTTTGTATATACATATATATATTTTATTCACTGCCGTTATTTAACAGAAAAATTAAAGAATAAATTATCAAGTGAAGGATAGGCAGAGAAATAACAATACACGGGAAATATTCAACCCCAACGAGTTGACGGGTACCCGGAAATATGACAAATTCATAGGAGACGAGAGGGGATATTTTCATGAAAGGCTTCAAACGGAAGAGCGTTCAACTTTTTACGAAGAGTTTCTGGGGCAACGTTAAAATCTAAATAAGAAGTTAGATTTTCAAATTCCTTTTTTCGGAGTCATCTTCTGGTTATGCGACAGAATTGTCTAAAAAATAACTATGATAAAAACTTCCACTTCAAATGCGAGTCTGTGTTCAAACTTCACTTTTGTGAAACTTATAGTTTTTACAGTAAAATTAACTGTGTCTTCCTGATTTTCAGGAGATTTATGGCCAAAACTACGACGTTTGGGGACGACTGGGGACGCTACAGCGCTCTTGCTGCTGAATACTCTCACGGGCTGGGAATCCGGCAGAAGACGAGATGAAGCTTCTTCTGACGTCACTGAGATCTTGGAGTCTATGAGAGATCATCTTCAAAGAAATGTAGGTTCTTGCCTTCCCTGTCAGGATTTTTGGTTCTAGAAGCTCTAAAAATAATGGCCGTCCATATTTTGAGTCTTTCCGTGCTTATCAAAAGGTATCATGAAGTTTGGAACGCTTTTTTTTCTCTCCTTTTTTTTGTAAAATGAAGTATCGACCTCCCGATTCACCTTTGTACATGTTTCGATCAATCCTTTATCTATTACTCTTAAAAACCTTTCCCATTTTGAAGGCCATTTTCACAACAAATAAGTTTCAATCACATGAACAGGAATTTACTCGTACAGTTCAAACAAACTTCCTCACCTTTAGAAATTACTAAAATTGGACTCACTTCATCACAGCTGTATTCCGCTTTAGCATTGACCAAAAGGTTGACCTCATCCTCTCCATCAGACCTCCTCCATTGATTAATGTTTTCTTTCCTTTTTTCGTCATTTTTTTCAAATTTCCTTTTCAATAAAAATGACCGTGCTTCACGGATTTCATTTCATTGCTCAACCGTTTTGGATGAACGTGGGCACAATAATGAAAATTTTGATATAAATTAACCACTTTTCACATAAGTAACACGGAAAATTTCCTTTGGTGTTTCTCAGAAAGAGCTGAAAGGATCCGTTCAAAGCTCTAAAATAATCGAATTCTCTGGAATATTTCTAGTTTCTCTCCAGCATCTTTCCAATAAAGGATGTGAAGAATTGATTAACACTGGAACAAAATTGAATCTCTCTTCTTCAGATCAGAAGTCTTCGGCTGGACAGGTGCAATGTGTTTCTCAGCGAAGATGAAAAGTCGAAAATTGCTCAAGAATGGCTGCATTTGTCTGGAGAACTGCCAAAATCCTCTCGAAGTTCCGGGGAAGACAAATATCAGGTAGCTCTATTAAATTCCTTGAAACCTTTGGACCTCGAAGGAATCTCCTCTGGTCGAATCTCTCGCGTCTCCTTGCAGCCAAGAAGACTACTTTGGTAACCCTTTTCATGTCGGCGACCTCAACATTGTCAGTGTCATGTTTCCAACTTTCCATCGTTTTTTACTGTTCCAGGATTATTTGAGAGAATTTGATAAGCATCTCTCTTTGTTAGAATCTTCAGCGTGGCTTCATGTGCCTAATACAGTCGGTAATCGCAAGGTTTGGACATTATTAAGCTTGAAACCCAAGTTTCTTTTAGGGAATTGAGAAACATGCTGAAGACGTCATTCTCGAATGGAGATGGAAAGAAAAAATAGAAAAAAATATTGAGTTGCTGAGCGAAGCCAAAATGCACCCGGCTGGTCAGTCCACATTCATTTTTTCATTTTAAAACTAGAAGCTCTTTGTTCGTGCCCACAGTTATACAGTTATAAGGAACTTGGGAACCTTTCAGTTGGATCCTGTCTGAGCGCGATTCCGAAACGACGGTTGGCGGAGCTGCTCCACGGGGCAGCGGTCGCCGTCTGCTCTCAAGGACAGAATCTAGTCTCGATCTCCAGTTTTCACTACGATCTCGTCACGCCTATAGCCTTCGAACTCCAAGAAGCGTTCAAGAAAAAACTTGGCTATAGCGAGAACGAAGTTGGTTTTTCTTTTAATTGGAATGCAGCGAATAAAGTTTTCCAGTGAATGAGAGTTTTTTTTAAATATCTTTTTTAATCGGCCCACGTCCTACTTTCAATAATGCAAAGCCTTGTTTCAGCTCTGGAGAACAGTTTTCCTGAAATACGTCAGATATTTTTCTGAAGAAGAAATTTCTCGAACTTACTCCCAGCGTGAATGGTGGACTATAGCTTGTCGAGAAATCGGAATCGCTCCCGAGTTTCAAGTTCATTTTTCAAATCCTCAAATTATCATTAATTTTTTGAGTTTCCTCTTGGTCAAATCGACGGCGAAACCAGACAACAGATGGCGACTGTGTTTGCGGAAATCCTCGTCAAATCTTGCGCCTTTCCTCTTCCTGGCAAAGGTTCTTGGTAGAAACACAAACTCAGTCAGCAAGCGAGGAATTGAGGAAGTCAACCAGCTTTCTCGTACAAATCTGTCGCGGCAGAAGAGGAATCGCGAATCTCGGCTGAAGGCCGCGTCTCGCTGTCGCGGATGCTCGCCGTCCATCCCAAGATGATGCAGATTTTCGATGAATTCCCCTTCCGCTGCATACTTTTCACAGCGCAGCAGCTACCCATGACGGTTCATCACCTTCATTTTGCAACCAACAATTCAGAAGTTGAGATTCCTCCCCGACCGTGGATCGACTACGGCGTCGGCGGTCCGCTCTATAAAACTCGAGGGGAAATCATCCGCAATATTAGCGAGTACAAGTGTGTTGACATCAACTCCGAAGTCCGGAAACGAATAAAATCTGCGTATAACACTTTTAAAAATAACCTCTTGGAAGTTTTTGTTTAGAAAGCAAGGTAGACCTGTTTTTGATGCTTTGAACCAGTTGGGCTCGACGCCGTGGGTCATCAACGAGAAAATGCTGAGCGTCCTCAGAGAGGTCTTTGAAAACGAGTGATCTGAATTCGAGGCTCTTCCTTCTCAGACTTTCCTTCGCAGCGGCGACGCGACATCGCAGCCGCTACTCGAAAAACTCGGCGTTCCCATGCGGGCCGACACCGTCCAAGTTCCCGAGTATAACGTGATTTCCTGATGAAGAAACGAATCGCAAGTTTCTACTTCTTCAGGAAACCTTTGGAAACGTCCATAAGAAGGAATTAGATCAAACTAAATGGCGTGATTATGCGAAACGCCGAGCCGAAGTCATCAAGAAGAGGTGATAAACTTTTTTATTTTTATTCAGAACTCGTGAAAAATCATGTGGAAGCAGTTTGATGTTATTACGTCTGTTTTACGCATTCGTTAACATATTTCTGCTTTCGATTTCATAGACGGTAGTAATGGAACGGAAGAGCAAAAAAAAACTTCTTACTTATTTTTCAAAGGTTTTAAGTGTACCGCGAGAAATTAGTTTCAAGGGGCTTTTTACATCTTCAAAAGGCTTTGGGTTACATGAAGGACAAGTTTCTATATGAGGATATGTTTGGGCTAGACTTTAAAGTTCATAAAACATGTAAAAACATTTTCCTTAACTGATATTTTTGTTGATGACAAGCTTCAAAAGACACCAAAAGATGTGATTAACAAACGGTGGCGGGATTGAGGAACGAAAGCAATTCTCTCTGGTGTTGGATGCTTTACCGAGTGGTGCTCGCTGATCACTACAAAGGCCAGGTTCTGTTCTTCCCGCACAATATGGACTTCCGAGGCCGAGTCTATCCTCTTTCGCCTTACCTCAGCCACATGGGTGATGACGTCAACCGCTGCATCCTCAAGTTCGCCAAAGGTCTTTTTTCAATCATCTCATGGACGTTCACGTGTAGAACGAAAAAAGAATTTTGTTCTAAAAGAAAATGGAACAAAGATGTGTTTTTTTTAAATAAACATGGAGATGTAGCCAATAACATACTCGTTTATGAATTTATTCTGACAATAAAAATGAAGTCGCCCATTTTTTTTTCCGCTGCTTGGGAGTCTAATCAGAAAATGGTCTTTGGACGCAGTGGGACTTTTGAATGAGACCAGCTTTTCTAAATTTAGTTTTCCACGCTGTTTTCAAATCTGGTAAGTAAGTATTTTGTTTTACAGCGCAAAAGTTGGGCAAAGACGGACTTCGGTGGTTGAAACTGCACTGCATCAACTTGACGGGAAAACTAAAAAGATCCAGCATCGCAGAGCGAATTCTCGAAGCCGAACGAGTTCTTCCGGCGATCCTCGACTCTGCCTCCGACCCTTTCGGAGGTCTCTTCCTTCTTCCTGACCTCAATCTTTTTTGTATTGACCTGGCTGATACTCAGGCGAAGGCTGGTGGATGCTGTCGGAAGATCCCTGGCAGACTCTCGCCGCCTGCATCGAAATCCACGACGCCATCAACTTTTCTGGCGACGTGTCGGACTTTCCGAGGCACTGTTCCTCTCATTTTCCTTATCGAAAAGCCATTTCAGTCAATTACCAGTTCATCAAGATGGAAGTTGCAATGGCCTGCAACATTACGCTGCCTTGGGACGGGATAAAGAAGGCGGGGTTCAAGTAAGCTTTTCTCAATGAAGAAGTTATCAAGACGGTTGGTTTGATTCTTGGCTTTCATAGAAATATTCAATAACTATAAGCTTTTTCTATATTAGTTACTGAATGAATTCCCAGGTGAATCTCACTTCATCGGAGCTTCCGAACGACGTCTACTCGGACGTAGCCCAACGCGTCGAACAGAAGCGAAAAGAGGACGAGAACGGCGGCGAAGACTGCGAGGTGGCCAGAAAGCTTCGTTCGATGCTTCCTCAAGAAGTACCGCGAAAGGTTTTTGCCATCTTCAAGACTCTTTTTCGTTTTGATCCATTTTTTAAATTTCAGGTGATCAAACAAACGGTCATGACGACAGTGTACGGCGTGACTATGTATGGAGCCGTTCTTCAAATAAAAAGACAACTGCGCGCTTTGGAGATTTCCAACGAAGATGTTCCTTCATTTCACACTCCTTTAGAGAACTTTGAATTTCAGGCTGCTCTTTTCGCTCGCTATTTGGCCCGGAAAACGTTTGCAAGTCTGAACGACGCGTTCACGAGTTCGATGTGGGTCTTTGGGTTCTCATCTGCGTGGAAAAGAACCTTTCAGGATGCTGAAGGACTGGTTCCGAAGCTGTGCCAAAGCGACCAGCGAACTGATGCGGACGGTGGAATGGACGACTCCACTGGGCCTGCCTGTCGTGCAGCCGTATCTGCGCCCCGTCGACAAACAGGGCAAACTCCTCCTTTCCCCTGTTTCTACTAAACAGGTTGGAATTTTTCCGGATGATATGAGAAGCAGTTCTGCTTTCTCTAAAGCTTCCTCGTCATTCTGATGGAGATTTTTGTCTATTTCTTAAAATAGTGAAGATAGTTTCGAGGTTGCCCTCTCAAATACTGCACAAGAAGTCTGATTTGATTATTTGGCTACGTTATTGTTTTCAATTATTCAAGCTCTCCTGACTTATGAAACGCGAGTTGTGGACATAAGAGTAGACTGTTTCTCTCAGAAAAGCAAATAGGAGTTTTAAAGGCTCAATAAATGGTGGAAAAGGGGAGAGGCACAGCCAAAATGGTGCATGAGAGCCGATAAGTGATTAAAAAAGGCAGCAAAAGAGGAGCCGTCATCCTAAAAGGGACTTTGCGTATGAGTTTGAATTTTTGCTAATTGAACTGCTGATCCACAGCTCACCAGAAGTACAAAGTTTCTACCCTAATCATGCTCAAAAGAAATGAACTAACAGGTGGATGCATTCCCTCCGAACTTTGTCCACTCGCTCGACTCGACGCACATGATGTTGACTTCTCTGCACTCCGCAAGAAGGTACCTCAGGAGCTATAATTCCTCCAGAATTCTCTCATTAGGGGCTACACGTTTGCTGCGGTACATGACTGCTACTGGACACACGCGAATAGCGTCGACGCGATGAATCAAATTTGTCGCGAGCAGTTCGTCGCCCTCCACTCTCTTCCCCTCGTTCAGCAGTTGGTTTTTCTTTTATTATCAATTGGAAACGAAGAATATCATAGTTCGTTAACACGTTAATGTCGAGAAACTAGAGACGTACAGTTAGTTTTGACAATGATTGAGATGAGCTTTAATTGATCTGAGCTAGCTGGTTGAGCCTTTATCGATTAGCTAACAACAATTAGGAGCTTTAAGATGTTCTGAATGGTTCAACTCTCGATACTTACCAAGAAGCGTCACCAGAGTGATGACGGAGGAAGAGGTGCAAAAATACCGCTCCATTTTCACCCCACAGGTTTTCTTCCATTTTTCTTTAAAAATAACGTACAAAATGCAGGTGGTACGAGGTGAACTGGACATACACGATGTCTGTAACTCAGTTTATTTTTTCAGTTAGATTCAGAGGTTCTTGTCGTTGATTTTATTGCATCCTTAATGTTGAAAACACTTTTCTATAGTTCTTTTTAACTCAATTTCAATTTTTCCCGGAATTATATTCGTTGTGCTATGTACACAGATCTCTTTTTTCTTTTTCTTTTTTGTTGTTGTTTGTTGTTATTTTTCAAATGAGAAATAATATACTTTTTCCCTTAAATCACTTTCATGATGCTTCAAAAAGACTCCTCGGAACTGATTTCCTAAAAGGCATTCTTAAAGTTATTATGTTTGCTTAAAGTTTCACCAAGGCATCAGGATGACACTTCCAGACTGTTTTAACCACTGTCGAAAAAGTTTGTGTTCCGTCGAAATGTGGGCGACCGTTCAGATCAGAAGAAACTTATCTGCTAGCGCATCTGAAAATCTTCACAAGAATCTGGCCGACTCACAGATGACCCTCATTTTTCATTCCCGACTTGCTTTTCTTTCCTCAAACATATCAACAAAAAGAAATATTTTTACTTGCGGATCAGTAGTCTGAAAGAACTTTTTAGGGACCTTGTTCCGTACCCAGTTGCGACTCACAACTCTGACGCATTCACTTTCCTTTTCCATTTTTATGCATTGCGTCTCTGATTCTGTGATTCACTGCTACTTTTTGTGTGGCTTTGTCGCACCACACGGTTTTTGTCCGTTTATGCCTTGTCCTTTTTCACTTGGACTTTTTCTATAAACAGGAGGGTTCCTGCTTTTATGAAAGTAAGGCTCAAAAACCATCGAACAGTATGGGTTTTCCATCAAACTGCATCGATGATTTTGGCAAACCAGTTTCCGTTGCATTGATGGGCCACTTGCAAACCAAACGAAAACGTTAGTTGTTCTGTTTTGTTTTACCTGTTGTGGAAATGTGCTTCGGGCGACGCAAATTGGTGTTCGATTACACGGGTGAATTGTAATTTGTTTGTGCAGGCGGCCGGCTTCTCCACAGTCGCCTCGTTTTTCTGCTTCTTTTTTTGCCTTGAATCAACCTCGGTTATCAGCCTTTCTCGTTCTGACGCCCACGACTATGTTTTTGTATTTATTTGAAAACCATAACAGGACGGAAGGGGACACGCAAGTATTGGAACGGCGTCGAGTCCCCATGATCTGTTTGTGTTTGACATTAAAAGAAAAATTCTGACGATGTTTTTTTCCTGCTATTTTCTCTTCTTGTACTACGTTCCATGCTGAGGCCCGAGTTTGGTTCCTAGGACCTACTTGACTCTCAATTTTTGCTGTCTCGATTCAAAAACTTTATTCAAGGATAAAAGACAGTTTTCATTCATTCACAAGTTTCTTCGTTTTTTGTTCAATGGCAGATGGAATACTTTGAAGATCTCAGATCCGTGAACTGAAGTTTCTTGAAATTTGAAAACTTAGTTAAAAAGTCTCTCATAACAATCAGACGGTTGGCTGCCAGCCGTCGTACAACCTTGATTTTCTCCGATTTCTCTTTTTCGGGAACGGGATTCCGCGGATTATTGATGTCCAAAATCCATTGATCCAATCTGCCCATGTCGTTTTTTTTTCTGCCAGCTTCTTCTTTTGTTCTATTACCTGGAACTGCCGAAGAATGAAAAGAAGTTGGAAAACAGAAAAAAAAAGTCTAAACGCTACTGAGAAAAAAAGGAAGTCAAAGTTTGTGGTTGATTGTCACAGAATTTTTTGATATTAATTTATTGGTTCAAATCAAACTGGAAAGTTTGAATTTTCGACTTGAAAATCTCAAAAGCGCGCAAAATCTTGTTTAAAGCCCCGAAAAATGTCTTCAAGTCTCAAATGGGAGTGAATGGAATCAGTTTCTCGGCAACTTTCTCCATCTACAAAAATCCATAGTCATATTTCTGAAAAAGAGTATGATACAAAAAGGTACGCTGCGTAGCCCAGTTCTCTGTATATATTTGATTCAGCCTGTTAAATAAGATCGACATTGTAAATATTCTCGAAATTTGCATATCCTGTTGCCGGCGCCGCACTTCTCTTTTCCGATGTCATATTATTCTGAAAATTTTCCTGTTCTCTTCACGTCAGATCCACCAAATTCCTCGTTGCACTCTTAAACTGCCGTTTTTATATATATTATATGGAATCATATTAAAGATGCGCAAGTTTAATGTACTCGAAATGTTGCAAAGAAATTGATCAGAAAGCATGTATTTCCTCGGAAAAATTGAAATTTTTAATTTTCATCGTTATAATTTCTCATACGTTTTACCGGTAATTACCTAGAGATTTTTATGAGAAATTTTTTACAAATCTTCTCGTTCTGTCGAGAGAAACCTATATGCTCGTGAAATTTAAAACAATTTACACTATTAACAGGAGTTTAGGCATGAATTTGATAATATTCAAGCCAAAACTTTTTCACAACTTACTAGTAATCTCTCTCTTTCTCTCTCGATCGATCGATCCCGACTCGAGTCAGATGCAACATTTTTTTTTCGGCTACTGTAAGCCGAGAAACTACAGTCGCAGCATTTCGTCAAAGTGTCAGATTTTAAAAACTTCATTCCGCGCTTGGATTTTAAAAATTTTTTAAACTATTCTTTTATAATACATTTTTCGGTTACTTTCTTCCTTTTTTTCATATTTTTGTAAACTTGTTATTTTTTTTTGTTTAGCTCAACCAAGTATCTTGGAAGGAAGTTAAACATAAAAAATAGGGAGTTTGCAAGTTGCGGAAAATCTTCCTTTTAAGGCGTACTGTTTCCGTTTCACTATTTTAGTCGAACGTTTTAGTGCTACTTGAAGTTTTTTTTTCAGTGATCGCTTTCTTATAAAATGGCTGACGATTATCAAGTTCAAAGCAATGGAGGAAGCTCCGATCTCAATTCGAAGCCTCTTCTCGAGCTGTACGTGAAGGTTAGATATTCATTTTTTAAAGTAGAAAAACTTCAAATTTCAGGCGTCAGCCATTGATCCTCGTCGGATCGGCGCAGATTTGTTCTGTCAAGAATTTTGGATGGAGTTGTATGCTCTGTATGAAATTGGAGTGGCTCGTGTTGAGGTTTTTTTTTTTCGATTCAATAACTTATATTTACTGAATTATTCAATAAGTTTCACATTGATTACTAAATAAAATTGGTGTTGAAGGTTAAAACGGTCAATGTCAACTCAGAAGCTTTCAAGAAGAACTTCTTAGGTGCTCAGCCGCCGATAATGGTCGAAGAAGAGAAGTAGGTTTTACCGTTTGTTATAAATTTGAAGGAAAATGCTAGCTTCTAGCAATTTCCTTCAAATTTACTGTACTCTTCCTTCAAATTTACTGATTCCCTTTATTGACATTATTTCTCGAACTAATACATTTTTATAATATTTTTTTCTATCTAGAGGGGCTACTTACACCGACAATCGAGAGATTGAGGGACGAATTTTTCATTTGGCGAAAGAATTTAACGTTCCTTTGTTCGAAAAAGACCCTTCTGTGGAGAAGCGAATTGAAAACTTGTACAGAGTGAGTTTTTATTCTCTATTTCCTATCTGATGGTGTTGTTCAGAACTTCAAACTTTTCTTGCGCTCGAAAACTGAAAATCAAAAGGTTCCAACGCCTCTCGAGGATATGTCGGCGCAAACGAGGGTCCACTACAATCGCGTTGTTGAGCAGTTGACTGGAATTGATCAGGTTCATAAATAAATGTATTCATACAAAACAGTTCTGCTATCTCTGCTATATTTTTTGACACGTTTTTTCCACTATGAATTTCAAAACTTGCTGTTTCTATTTCAGCTGCTGGCTGACCGCAATTCGCGTTACTTACTGGGCAACAGCATGACGGAGTACGACTGCGAGCTGATGCCGCGGCTACATCACATTCGGATCATTGGACAGTCTCTTCTCAGGTTTTTTCTTTACGAATTAATTTTTTCCTTATATTGAATAAATCTCTGAATTATTTTCAATGAGTTAGTTTTTATTTATTTATTTTTTTTTTATATGGTTCGTTCCAGTTTCGACATTCCACACAATTTGACGCATTTATGGAATTACGTTCTGACGGCTTACCGTACGGCGGCGTTCATTGAGAGCTGCCCAGCCGATCAAGACATTATTCGCCATTACAAGGTTAGGCGTTTGAAATAGGAGCAGAAATAGATCGAATGATTTCATGGTAGATAATAATGATATTGGTATTGCAGGAGCAGCTGAACCTTTTCTCGAACCAACGCGAGACGTTGCAGACGCCGACAAAGACGCACACCATCCCAGAAAGAGTTCTTTGTGATATTCGGAACCGCGGCCTAGCTCCGGACGTCAAAGTCCAGTAAAGTTTTGTACTCGCGTTATTCAAATCGGTGTTCCCATCTGGTTTTTTTTCCTTCGAACCCCGTTTCCATATTTTTATTTATCCGTTGATGTTGGTTTTGATGCTCACTTATTCTCTGCATATTCCTTTGAAATGGTTGTCATTTTCACTCAACTCGCGTAATCAAACTTTTCACTTAAAGAGATAATTAATTTGGTTTAATGCTTTTCATTCTTTTTACATTCAACGCTGATATTTTTTTTCATATAGGACTATATATTACGGCTTCACTTTCTACCACATGAATGTTTAGCTCTAAAACGCTATCTGCGCTGTTTAAAGCAGCCTTTTTTGGATTTCACAAGTAGACCACGGGACGATGCTCAATCCAAATATTGAGATGATAAGTCTTGTGTTTCCGCCCAGCTTATTTTAACATCTCAGCAAGCGAATGAGCCATAAAGGGGATTGCTATTAGCGCGCAATGTTAAAATACATTCTTTTTTCCATATATTTTTTTTCGCATTTTTTCTCTATTTTCTTTCTATTTTTGGTCCCTTCACCCCAAGAAATGGCCCTCGTTTTGCTATTAAATCTTGCCTCATTTTCGAAGGTACATCAATTCGTTTCATAATATTCTTGGTGATAATCATACCGAATGATTCTACGCATATCCATTATTTATATTTTGATCTAAGTTGAGTCCAAAAATAAATGTTCGATTGTGTTCTCATGGTTGAAAAAACAACTTGTATGACCGATCTAGCGATACTTATAAATTTCGCAGGATATAAAAAATTCTAACTGACATAAGAATCTAATTCTGATCGAAATTTTCTTGTTACGGCGTTATTCCGGGCACCACAATCTTAAAAAGCAAGGTAGCTTTCAGATAAATGACCTTTAACTTATTGCAGCTTTTTAAAAGTTCCTGAATTACCGTCGCACCTTCAATTTTTTTTTTGTTCTCTGAAGATATGGGAAAAGTGAAGAAAGAAGAAGATGAGGAGATGCCAACGACTTCCGATTCTCATACCCCTTTCACTTTCTCGCCCTCGGCGTTGTCTGATCAACAATGCTACGAAAAAATGCAGAATTTCCAGGTTTTCTGACAACGTATAAACTTTTCAAACCTGTTTTCTTAGACTAATACCGAGTTCTTGGACACTATTCCAAAAGTTGATCGAAACAAGTTTGCCAAAGGTTTTTTTCCAAGTGTAATCCGGAATTTTTTTTTTTTTGCAGCTGCCTTAAGAGCAAATCCAGATGCCACGCTGTCTTGTTTTTCTTGCCGGAAAAACTTCTCTTCAAATATTGGCTTCATCAGTCACGTGAGTAAATGTGAAGATGCTGGCGGAACGCCAGATGCCGCTGATAGTCCTTCACCACCGAAGGTTCAGTTTTCTTGAATATTTCTTTCGAAAAAGATCTAACACAGAAACCAAGGGTGATCGAAAGATTAAAAACGCCAGGGTCTAGCCGAAAAGGTAGGCCAAAGAAGAATGGAAGCTCCGTGGAGATGTCGCTGGAAAGTTTGCAGGTTTCTTGCTTTTTTTTCCCTCCGAGGCCTGGAACGTGTCTTTGTGATATGAAAATTATCTCCAGAAGCAACCCTCGTTGTGGATGCAAGTGTCGGACTCGGACCGATTGAGAGTCCTCGCCGACCTTTTCGACGGGGAGCCGCGCGTCGTTTGCTTTGGCTTCCACGACGTCAGTCGGCGTTTTCTCTTTCCCGACGTCTCTTCTGTTTCAGACAGAGGAAGTGTCGTTTTCGAGCTGCGAAGAGGCTCTCGAACACGTGAATGCGTGCTGTTCCAGAGCCATGTACGACTACTACAAAGTTCGTTTCCTTATGTTTTTTAGTTGACGAGAGATTTTCTCTACTCCGCGCATATCTTTCGAGTTTATCAATTTTTTCTTATCAGGATGAAAAAGTGGACGAGTTCCGAATGCTGGACAAGGAGCTCCAGACGCAGTACATCCGCGAGGCGATGAGCATGGGCGGAGGGAAAGCGCGCTGCCTGGTTTGCGGGCGCGAGTTCTCCCATCGCTACGGCCTCTTCTATCACGTCATGCGATGCAATCTCGACGATCAAGTTCCATTTTACTTTCTCATTTATCCTGCATTAATTTCGTTAGGATCGACCTTGGAAGTGCTACCGATGCGGCTTCCTTTCGACCACCCAGAACAGCCGGGCCCATCTCGAGCAATGCTGGACTGGCGAGAATCGCTCCTGCCGGTTCGTCTCCAACTTTTTTTCTTTGCAAAAAGTCATGGGAGTACTGACTCATTCGGTCGAGTGCGCAAAGAGCTTAGTCATACCATTTATAACTTTGTTTTGGCATTTCCTGGAATCTTTTTTACTCTTGAAGACCTATACAGTCGATGCAGTTGAGATAGTCCTCACTTGCGCGAGAATTTAGTTTCTGAGGTTATTTTTTTCCAATTTATGAGTTTAACAGAAGACTATCCATATCTACAAAAATCGCAACATTGCAGTTGACATTTCCAAAAAAGAAAAGTTTGCGTAGATAGCTACCGTCAGGAGTTTTTATTTAGATCCTCGGAGAGTCTTTTGTCGAAGGTACAGATTATAAAATTACACTAAAATGACCTTCATTGTTGAATAAAACACGGGAAAGTAACAAATTTGAGAAAGTCGTTCTCTAGTTATCGGTCTCGCAGAGATTGAAGTAGTATCTGAAAAGTGTCGTAAAAATCAAAATACGAAGTTATCAATCCACAAGTTTGATTTTAATTTTGCGGGATTTTCCAAGGACCCAAAATCAACTCGGTTCAATGACGTCTTATCGAGATTTTAATCATTTAATCATTTCAATCATTGAAGATTTTAAGTGACATTTCCAGAGAATTGGCCGGCTTGAGCAAAGACACGTTGGACATGGCCAGGACCATAAATGGAGGAGACGCTCTTCTGGCCGTTTCAGGCGGCACTTTGGTTCGTTTTTCAACTACTTCCTATAAACTTTTTTTTTGTAGGACACGACTATCGTGAGTGCTGAGGAAGCTGTTCAAAGGCTCTTGAAGGGAGCAAATCTCACTCCAGGGCCGGTTTGTTTTTTTGGATCTAACAATTATTATTTAATCTTTCATAAGACACTCGAAGAAGAGGGAAAAATATTGAGATAATACATAAATTTTTGAAAGAAAGAACAAGAGAACAGTGGCAAATCTGTTGAAAGCTATGAACTATTTGAAACGTTTGTCGAAATTTTTTAGAGGCAGCTTAGTATAAAAAGATGTTTTTAACATCATCTCGAATTTTAAACCTCGATTTTCCTTTCAATTATAAGTTTACGAATGTAAATCCCTCAGCTGAACGGTTTGCACCGGCCGCGAGGAAGAAATGGACGGCAGATTTCTGTGACGGATTTCGCAGCAGAGTCCGGTAGGAAAGGCTTCAACTCCAAGGGACAGCCGCGCTTCAAGTTCCGACGCTCTGAAATCCGAGGTTCTCACGATCTCGTTGAGGAGAATATATTTTTTTCCCTTAGCGACCGGAGGCGTCTCCGACATCAGCGATTACTTCAAACTTGTCAAGTCCTACGGCGAAACCAAGAAAGAATGGGACGAGGAGATCGTTAAAAGTTCGCTGTGCAACGGAATAGTCAAGATCAAATCACGCAAGTTCAGCCTTACGGAGATTGAGGACGGGTTGGTTTCTTCCTCTTTTTTTGTTCAAAACAAGCTTTAGGGATCCGATTCTTCCAGTTTTTCAACGGAAATCTGTCACTTTACGTTGTATAGATGAATTCAATGGGGTAAGTTTTTTTACACGTTCGAAATTATAATAGAGGTCTAAGATCGTCTTTCTTCTTTTTTTTTTATTATTAGATAGGGAATTTGATGAACCTTTTTTTAAAGTTTATTTAATTTTTTTATTTTTTTAATATTTCTTTAAGGTTATTTTTTTACTCTTTCAATTTGGATAATTAGGAAGCTCTTTCGAGAATTTTGTTCTGTTTTCTTTTTCATTTTCAATTCAAAAAGAGCTGCGTATTGAGCAATGTAACGTCATCAACCTATGGGAGCCGATTTTTTTATTTTTCTCCCTGTCTTTTTTTATTTGAAAATTCCTCAAATTGGATTATCATTACGTTTATCGAAAAGAAAAAGAGATTTTGATTATTCTTGGATTTGATGCAGAACGAAGAGAATACAGTGCCTCAAGGAAAACGCATTGAAGTTCTGAGAAGCGAGAGCCTCGAGATCCCACAGAAAGACCAAGAAGACGACGCTCCGTCGGGTGGGTCGAGCCAAACTTTGGCCGCGTTCTGCGGATCCCCCATCAACTGCATCCGAGTCGCTCCCAACACACTGCCCAATGGTAAGGACTCGGAATTTTTTTTTGTTAGAAGGTATCTTTCTTTGAAGGCGACACCGTCGTCTGCGTCTGCACATTCCCCCACGAAGAAGTGCTTCATGAGGAAGTTCTCTCTGACCTGCCAGATCCGTCCGAAGAACCGAATTCCAGCGTCGCGGTTCAGTTTTGGCGTCTCTCTCCCAATGGGTCAGCGTTTTCTTTCGTATTGAGTTATCTCTGCATAGAGCTGCTGATGCGACACCATAAAGAAATAATTTTCTTAATTTTTCACCTCTTTCTTACATTTCCTACATTGTTACTCATTCTCAATTTTGCGATCCGTGTCTCCCCGGGGGCCTCTTTTTTTTTGAGTTTTTGTTATGAGAATAATGAGAAAAAAAAAAAAAAAGCTTCCAATATTTTTTTAGTAGCTTCAGTTTGATGATAATTCCTTTTAATTTGTTTTCGATATCCCTGAAGTTCATCATTTTTTTAAAGGCTATAATAATCTTTGAAAAAAATATCAAATAATAACGTTTTTTTATATTCATCCTGTCATCAAGAATCTCAAGTATCTTTGACAGTCTCCCGTTGAAGAAATTTAAAAAAAAACTGGTGACTAATTTTTTTGGCCAGTTTGTTTTTAAATTTTCAAAGATCCATGTTTCAGCCCAAAAACGCACATTTGGTTTGTTTTACACTTGCGGAATCGCGGAGCAGTCTTAGATGCGCGATGGTTGAATCGGGCGCAAAGTGAAGGAAAAAACGAGAAAACTCTTGTCGGCTTCATCGCACTTTCGACTTCCCACGGAGAAGTTTTGATCTATCGGTTGGTCTCTTTTTATTTCTTCTCCTTCTAACAAAAAAGTTCATTTCAATATTCTTTCTGATGTGTCAGCTCGCGTTTAAAAGTTTAAAACTGCAAAACTTCTTTTTTTGATAAAATAGACCTGCAGAAAAAAGATCTGATATGGACTCGAATTCCTCCTATATTTCGCTCTACCTTCGACTAAAAAAATCACAGTTTGTTATGAACTTATTATTATTTATCACTGTTCTCTAAGTTTTTTTCTTCTACGCATTATTTTTTTACTTTTTCTCTACTATTCCTTTTTTCGCTCAACTTTTTAAGTACGTAAGAAAAATTTCAAATTTTGTAAATGGTACACTTCACCGTCGAAAAGTTATTTTCTTCTGATTTCGAGCGTCCGTTCTTGAAAACTAAGAAGTTGTGCAGGTTGAGACTTTCAGAATCTCTATCTAACACGTTAAAGAGTGTTTGAACGAATTCTAAAAACATTTAAGGAGATGGAAAAGACCTTAGTTTCAAAAAGCCTTTTCCAGAATTGATAGCACTTCGGTGTCATACGAGAGTGAGAATGCAGAAGAGGTATTTGTGGAGAAAGAAGGAGCCGAAAATGTTTTGGTCGTCGAAATCACCGAAGATTTGACGCTTTCCCAAAACACAGATCTTCCCGATCTGTACAGCGACTCGAAAACAAATCGGGTCTGTTTTTTTTTTTTGCAGGGACACGGCAATCTTCGCTTTTTTTTCAAATTAACAGAAGTTCATCCAAGCTTTCATGTACTTTGGAATCAGAGAGTTATTAAATTTTTTGAATTTTTTGAATTTATTTCGCAAAGAAAGTCCAAGTTTGAACATTTAATTAAAGTTCAGATGTGTTATTTACAAAATTCAATCACTGATAAAGAAATATAATTTTTTTCTCGTTTTTGCCTTTGAGTCGACTTCAATTTGAAATATCTATGAACTTTCATACAAGAATTCGAAATCCTGCTGACGGCTCAAAGATAAAAATCGAGAATATGTTTCTATTGGGGTTAACCCGCAATTTTCTTGTCGAAAGGAAAATTAGTAAAAAAAAATCCTAAAAAGAGCTAAAAAAAAATGATCTTCCACTAGTGTCATTGAAAGGTTACAGGAAGACCTTTTGGTCTTTTTTCTTTTAAACTTTTCCAGCAGTGGAAACAACTTTCTGTATGTTAGTCATGAGTCGCGAAAATTGCCGTCAATTCCTAGCTGAAAAATTCTCAGCTGAAACTGGAACGGCGATTGATTTAAGGCGGCTGAAAAGGTCCATGGTCCTCCGATCACCGCGATTACGTGGTGTGCTTCCAGCGGTGGCCAGTGGCTCGTCGGAGTCAACGCGATGGGTCCATCCAAGCATCGATCGCCCTTTCAATGTCCTTTTTTCAGGAGCCTTGATTGTTTGGGGTCTGAACGACCCGAAGGCGGCACCGAAAGTAATTCTCGACAAGGAGTGGATGTCTCCCGCCGTTGATGTCGCTTTCATGTCTCCAGAATTTGGTCCGAATTCTTGTTCTTGTGAAAAAAAAAATTGAGAAACAAATAACAGCAAAAAATGGAAGTTGCTTTCTTCTTGAATGAGATATTTTTTCAGTGGCGGTGGCTTTCCGTGAGAAGCTAATCAGAATATACGACGTCAGGACGTGGGAAGCGGTAGGCGAGGAATCCGCTGTGCGAACAGCTGGTAAATTATTTCAAACAACGTATTGAGGTTGAAAACTTTAAATTTTGAAAGCCATCAAATTACTAGAACGTATAGTGTAATACTCAAGTGAGCCTGGAGTAATGTGAGAATCGGAGCTTTGAAAATCGAAAATTTTTTCCGAAAAAATGAAAAAAATTTGGAAGTTTAAAGGTAGCCGCGTGATGTGCGAGCCTCGAGTTCTGAGCGGCTTCGCGACTTTCCAATCGGACTACGCCGCCGGCAGCACTCCTGCGACCTACCTTACGGCCGGCATCAACTTTGTCCACAGCGGCGATGAGAGAGGCTTTGTCGTCGTTCCCCTCGCTAATGAGTATCTTTCAATCCTCGAAACATAACCCATCTCGTGCTAATTATCACTCAGTTCATTCCTTGATCATTTCCAGGCACGAACTGATCATGTGGAATTCGTCGTTGTGTCCTGAGAACGGAACTGTCGCCACCTGTGGAGTCGATGGAAAGGTTTTTCCGCTCAAAGAAATCTGGGAACGCTCTTTTCCAGTTGATTGTGTCTGCCAACGGTTTGGTCACGCCAAGAGGTTCCAAATTCGACAGCCTTTTCAACTTTTCGAGGACTTTAATCCAGCTGCTGAGGTTCGGAGTTTCGGACAAGATTGAGCACCTGGTCATTCAGGCGAAGAGTTGGTCCGGTAGACGCTCCGTATTTGGCGGCTCCGCAGTCGGAAAATTTCGACGACCAGGTCGGTTTTGGCTCCAGTTCCAGACTCATATGAACGTTTAGCAGAAGTCGGCGAAAGACGAAGATGCGATCGAGTGCTTTGTAACTCACGAAAAAGTCGTCGAAAACATGTGGATCGACGTTTCGTTCCAACCCGTTCCCGTAGGAATTCATCATTATTCTTATTATAGCACGATCGAATTTGGAAATGTTCTTTTCCTTTCCATTTTTGTTATCATTTTGGTTTTCTTTTCTGTTCTCCGGACGGAAATGTTCAATCGATGACTCAGCGCTCTTTCCTTTGTCTTTTTGTTTCAGCGTTATTTTTCAATGGCGCAGAAAATAATTATTTTTCTAACATGAAGAAAAAAACATTTCAAAGATGAAATGTTATGGATCCAGTTTTCAGTCCGAAAAGCGAGTGCGACTTCCTCAGTCCTGCCGCGACCAGAGAATCGAATCCCTCAACGCCGTGGACGTGGCTTTTGCTGGAAACATGTGAGAGTTTCAAATGATGTGACGAGATTCAACTAAGACTCTTCTTCATTTAAACTGAGCCTGAGAAAAAACTTTTGAGAAGATGATTGAATATTTTCAATTCGTCAGGAATAAGAGCTTTCCAGGTGTTGGTCGTTCGTGGGAGGCGAAGCGGGTCTGCTTTTCGTCGTTCCTTCCAACGTCCTGGTAGGTTCATTCTCCCATTGAAATCTAGCCAGTGTAGATTTTACGTTCTTCTCCACAATTCAAACTTCGATTAAAGTCTAAATTTTCTTTGTTTCAGGATAAAGCGACTCTGGTCGAGCAGCTGCAAAAAAATACAGCTATTGAGAAAAATTAACTGTTGAATTCGTTTATCCATCTTCCACAAGCTTCGATTTTTTTCATCATATCTTCTCATTACAATCAAAATAATTGTTTTCTCTTATGAAACCTTAAAAATTTCGGGTTCGCATTTTTCAAACTAATTTTTATCTCTATCTGTTTTTAGAGTTTTGTACTAATACCATTTACAATATTCTCGAAGATGTACGGCTCTCTTTTTTTCCCCAATTAAAGTTTAAAAATTTTTATTAGCATTCGATGAGTTCAAGCTCGCTATCGGCATTGCCGTTGGCGGGAAAGTGCGAGCTCTGAAAAATCCCTTGAAGAGGGAGTTGTTTTTCTTTGCTTCGCGTGGGGCTTCCGCACATGTTTCGACTACACGGCAGTCGACAATTGGCGCTCCTCCGCAAAGAATTTCTGTGGAAGCAAGACCGCGGCAAGGGCCGTTGTAAAAATGAGTCTGAGCCACCGGCTCGAGGTCTCGTTGCTCAGAAAACGACGTCACTGTGGAGGAGGAGGAGGGATCTTCTGATTGTTGATTCCACTGCAAAGACTTGTCCTTTTGAAGTCCTAAAAATATCAGAAGTCATTTGGCCACGCAAAAATGTCTGAAAGGCTATATAAGATGAGTCGCTCCAAATATCGTTCAAAAGGAACTTATTCTAACCGCTTTTTGATCACGGGTTCAAAGAAAACAGATAAAGGTCTGCAAAAGGAGAGACTGAAAGTGCCGATAGAACATTCTTTAACAAGAAGGAAAAGCTCAAAAAATGTTTCAATATGATAAGTACATTTTTTTTCTTTAGAGTACCTAGACGTCTGCTTTTCCTGAAGTATCAAAAAGATCTTCTGGATTCTGTTTTCGCGGTTGAACCAGTCACGATTTCACTAACTTTTAAATCATGTAATCTATCCCCTTTCATTGAGTTTTTTTCGATTTTTCAGTCGGAAGCGACTGATAAAATTATTCACTTTGAGAACTTGGTTTACTTTTAAAATGACTAAAATAGGAGAGCATACTCTATTAATATCCAATAACAAGCGACTGCTTCAGGAAGGTTTGCCGAAGCAATCGGCGAAAACAAAAAAACGAGCGAGGAAGCAACTGCTCCTCAACGAAAAGAACAAAAAATTGCGCTGAAATTTGAGCCTCGATCAAAGATGTTCGAAACTACGACTTGGACATTCCGAAAGGTTCTTGAATGATAGTAACAAAAGGAGAGTTTCACAGGTTTCTGGAAAGTTTACTTCGATATTTAAAAGAAGAAAGTCAAGTTCGAAAAGTAATCTGAAGATGAACCCAGATATGCCGTTTGTTTCAGTTTCAGGCGTCGATTTGATTTTCCTATGTGTTCCTCGTAAACCCAGTTTTTTTAGTTACGCGAAGTTTTCAAATACCCTATGAAGAAGCTTCCGAGATCAGTTCTCATTTGATTAAATGTAACGTTTTCTTCTTCAAACTGAAGAAGTTCTTTCGAAAAAAGGAGAGACCACGAAGGAAATTTGAATTTTCACTATCATCACCCAACTTTTTTAGCCGTCAATACTTTCTTAAAATATAGAGGAATCCTTATTTGAATCGGTTTCAGGTTTCTCCAGGGCAAGTTCGTCATGAAATTAACCTAGAAGAACTAGTAACGTTGTATGATTGCAGAAGCACCGGAAAAAGCCTGGTTTTCCAACAAAGAAGGACCAGAAAGGCCTCTGGGGCTCGTGGTTTTTCATCTGCTCGCTCGTCGACGGATGGATAGCCGCGTTGCGGGTGTAACATGCTGTGTAGCGACTTCTATCTTTACGTAGGGTGGGTGTAGGGCGGTACGGTACCGAATGGCCGTGGGCGGGAGAGGCGTGGCGGCTCCGCGGCACCTTCACTCGCCACTCTCCACCAGAAGCTTCTCCGTGCCTCGACCGTCTCCGACGAACACAACACAGCCAAAATGGACGCCATCAAGAAGAAGATGCAGGCCATGAAGATCGAGAAGGTTTTCCTTGCCCTTTTCTCTTCTTCCTTCATGGGTATTTCTGTTTATCGTTATTCTTCGGTTTTTTGATGGTTAACGGGAGTTTTCGTTATCAATCTTGATAAGCCCAAAAAGGCTGATCATATCTATTTTTTTTCTTTTCGTTATAGATCATACCCTTTCCTTCCGTTTTCTGGCTATTTTCGCTTGAAAAACATTATATATTATTCGATCTACTTATAATGATTTACATGATCGAAGGAAAGTTTTTTTGATAATAATATTTTTTTGAGTTTTTAAATCATTTAAAGACCTGTTGAAACTTATCGATTTCATTACTTCGCTTCATTTTCATAGTTGATTATAATATTTTGTTTTATTTTTTACTTTTAGTTTTCCAATAGATTTGGCACTGTGAAATGAGAAACAGAAGAGATCATGAGAATGATGGAATCGATAGGATGTGATGAATCGATCAAATCCAAAAGTTCGGAAGCGGCCGCAGCAAACGGGTCCGCAAGCCAATTACACTTCTAGGGACATTTTCAACTCATAATCTCAGCATCCTAGGCTAGTTACAGCTTTTCCTCCACCCAAATGTCATTCGAGGAAGTCAAAGAAGATTCTAAGGAAATCTATGCCCAGTTCAGTCTAAGAATGAAATTGAACATGTTCAACATCTGGTTTTTGCCGTTTAAAAAAAAGACGTACACTTTTTAAGCCTGTGAAAACAAATGGAGGATAAATCCTAGGATATTAGATTTTTGGATATTTTCTGCCAAGAGATGATCTCGTTATCAACTTTCCAACTTATCTCTTGTTTTCGAAAACCTATGATAAGAGTTGAAGCCGAGAGCATGACTGAGGACCAGAGCAGCCAAGCCAAGAGAGACGCCGTTGAATCGACGCTGTAACAAGGCGTCGAGTCTTACAACGGCTTTTGTTGGGCTCGGCAAGAGTACGTTGGCAGCCTTGCCACCAGCCTCCAGCTTTTTTTTCCCCTTCGTGGAAAAAGCTTTTAAGACGAGCGTGGACTGTAAAAATTGTCCATATGGCATCTGGTCATAAAGTTCATCAAGAAAAATCAATGAAAATAGCGGTTTACCTACTGAGTAACGCCGTATTCGAAGTAATTTTCGCGAAATTCAAAATTATCTCTGACTCTCCAAAATTTAATTATCTTTTCGCCATTTCGGCAGCTACTTTGATTTTCGCGGAACCACTTCGAATACCCCATAAGAAAAAAGCTGAGATTTTGCGAAAATCAAAAATTATCGTCGTTTATTGCGTCGAGTACGCAAGCAGTGGACTCGACGCTAAACATTTTTTCAAAAGTCTAAAATCATATGAAATCTTCAAAAATTTTAAAGGGTATTTATAAAGATAAAAATAACAATAAAGATATTCTTTTGCTTTTTGGTCATCTTGTCAAGTTTAAAACATAAGGTGGATGGATATTCGAAAAATATAGATGAATCCAATCGCGAAGATACCCACAAGGGTTTCTAGGAGCTTTTTCATTTAGTTGAACTTTTTTTTTCAAAACCGTGTTACCATAGACCCGAAATTCCATCTTCTAACTCGCTGAATCCTTGAAAAATCGCATTAGGCTCAAAAATCGGTACCTAAACTGGTTTTTCGCACCGACGCTTTTTGATTTTTTTAATTCTTTTCCTTGAATGATAAGACTTTTGTGCGTATTTCTTTCATTTCTGTTCAAAATCTTTTCACAATTTTGACTTAGACTAGCCATTTTTTATTTGTTTTTTATTTGACAAATTCGTTTGTGCTCATAACGAAAGGAGAAATATTTAGGGGGATTTAATGTGATGTTACTCGTTACTCGTTATGTTTCTCACATAGGCTTCTGCTTTTTTGATGGAGAATTTCCATCATTTTTAGCGAACATTTTTTTGAAATGCTAGCCGTGTCCTGAAAGGCGAGAAAACATAAACATCGAGAAATTTTCCCCTCCATTTCTATTCTTTTTTGATGATTCACTTCTACATTTTTTTTTTCTTTCCTGGTTCGGTTTTTAAAACAAAGCCGAACGACAGATAGGAAAGGAAAGGGGCCAAGTGCTCGTCTTACAATTCGAATTCATAAAATATATCTGAATTTGGTTTCAAGCTTGTGAGTATTATCTACGTAGAAGTTTTTATTTTTAGTCATGTATTATTCATGAGATATTTTTTTTTAAATCTATATTCTTTTATACTGCATTTCCAATGTTCCCGAGACTATCTTGAATTTCGAATATTATTTCGATTTCAGGACAACGCTCTCGATCGGGCCGATGCCGCTGAAGAAAAAGTGCGACAGATCACGGAGAAACTCGAGCGAGTCGAGGAGGAGCTCCGCGATACCCAGAAGAAGATGATGCAGACGGAGAACGACCTCGACAAGGCTCAGGTTCTTTTTTCCCTCCAAAAAAATGATTGATCTGACTTTGAAGAAGTGAAGACACGATTTATTAGGGAAAAAAAACGATAAAAAGACATGAAGTAGAACGATTTTGAAAACTTTCAGTTATCTGGTTTTATAAAAGTAGAAGTTAGAATTGAAATCTCGAATAAAAGTCCACTGAGTAACTGAAACAGGCCATATCTTTCAGGAAGACTTGTCGACGGCGACGACCCAGCTCGAGGAGAAGGAGAAGAAAGTCCAGGAGGTATGTTAACTTCCTTCATTTGCTCCATTTTTGTCCAACTTTTTTTTAATCCGCAGCCAATTTGGTTGGTTTTGTGCCGTTTCAGGTCTTTCAGAAACCAACACAATGCATCTTCGGTTCAGGTTAGTGACCAAAAATGTCATTTGTTATGTTGAAAAATTCAAATTATCTTTCGCTACACTTTTGAACCTTTTCAAAAAAATACTAAAAAAAATCAGATGACAGCGATTTCCTTAAATTTTCTCGCTTTCAGTCCTTTGATTTCATTAAGACACTTTGCGTTTCTTTTTGCTCCCGCTATGGGAGAACTCTGAGGGAATCACAAAAGTATGAAGAGGATTTCGCGATCATTTTGACCCTTTCATTTAACCGGAGCGCTCTATTTGTGTGAGGTAATGGCCAGGTGCGCGGTGCCTCTGGAAAACCAGTTCCTCGCAGGATTCCCTCACGTCTTCTTCATTTGCACCACTTTCAGTCGTGTTACTTTTTTGGCTTCATCCACTAGAAATCCGATACGAACAGAACTAAGTTTCAATTTTAAGTCTAGGTTTCCATTCGCTTCGGTTACTTGCATTTTTATCTGCAAATATAACTTTTTTTTTCATTTCGAAAATTCTCAAAAACTATTCACATCCTTCTATATAGCGCCACGTGGTGTTCATTGCCCTAATTTATATTTTTCGTTTCAAACCGGTAACCTTGAGCAGACTGCAACTTGCTAAGAATTTTGAGCAGACTATAATTTCCTCGTAATATTTAATTTATTTTGACATTCCGAAATTATTATTTAATCATTGTTTTTCCTAGAATCATAGCGTCTTTCTTTTTTCCTACCTCGATTAAATGTTCCATTTCTCCGTTAGTCTGAATCTTCGATGTCAGACTTTTTTTTTCTTAGTTTTCTTAGGATCGACAGTAAACGGATACTATTTCTGTCCTTTCTTTTCAAATGAACAAACGGAAACTTTTCGTTGCATTGTAAGTTTGAGGCAAAAAATAAACTCACAATGTTTTTTCCAAAGAACGAGAAACTCGAATGTTTACCGAAGAATCTCTGGGTTCTCCGTCTTTGATCAGTGTTTCGACGCCGAAAAGGAACAAGCCCTTTTTATCATTGGCCACACAAAAATGCGGCGCACAGCATTTCCCTTTTTTATCTAGAAGCGTTACATGACGTGTAGGCATTTTCGAAGTTTAGGCTTGGCATCCGTCTCAACTTCAAGTTTTTTCCGAGCTAATGCTCCTAATTAAAAATTAGATAAAGTTTGATCTTCTCAGCGAATTTTCTCATTAGATCCCTCGCCACGGCAAAAGTGTAAAACGAGCGCGACGCCTAGAGTTATTCGGAGAACCGCCGCGCTCCCGAATACCGGCGCTGTTTCGACGCCAAGAGGTTTTTCCGTTGTAATCACCCGCAGAAGCTCTGCAACACACTTTGTGTGTGTGTCTGCTTCTGTTTGCTTTACACAAGGCTTGGCACAACCCACGCAATACCGCGGCTCCCGAGAAACTCAAACGAACGTGGTTCTGTCGATGGCAGGACACGGCTCAAAGTTCTTCGAGTGATACCCAGCCAGAAATGGTGCGTCATCGCAACGAGGCTGCGCTTTTTGGCAGCCGTGGCCACTTAGATTCCGCTTGCTTTTTAGACAAAGCGATCGCTATTAGTTGTTGACGGATTTATGGAACCGTCATACCAGCCAACGAGGTCTGGCATAATAAATTTTTATAAGTAGACCAAAGGAATTGTGAATCTGAGTGACAGATTCACTTTTGAAGTATTTTGTCAGCCATAAGAGACTTTTTTCGTTCGAAGAGGACTCTACTTTCAATGAGCTCGTTTATTTTCATATGGATCTTCTTATGAGAAAACTTTAATTCTATTAGTTGAAAATTTCATTATCTATTTTGACGATAGAGCTTTATCAGAAAATTTACAAAAAGAAAAAAAGTTGAGTAAACCCAGTTCGAGGTGGTCTGGTTCTCGGGAGACTGCGCGGAAGATGATGAGGCCAGAATGAGGACGTCGAGGGACAATAATATACATACATACATGGTCCTCGACCGACACATTGTTGTACTCTCCCGCTCGAGTCTTTCTGTGTGACAGGTTGAAGGCCGAACGGCGGTTTTCGCCTTGCCATCAAGCTTTGAGGCTGTCAAGCACAAACACGCTCCGTTGGAACTTTCTGCCAGCCGCATTCTTCGCTAAAAATTGCTCAACTTGTCTGTTAATATTTAGATTTTTAAACCGTTGTCTACAAAATCATTTAGATCTAGATTGATGATCGCGTTTTTGGCAATCCTTCTTTGACAATGCAAAATTGATTTGTTTTCTAATTTTCTGGAACTTTAGTTGATTTATTTGCAAAAAAAAAAAAGAATCATTCCGTCGAATTTTGGAATGTTGAAAATTCATGAATAATTATTTTCGAATTGATAATGGTTTATGAGAGATAAAAAAAAATGAACAGCTGAATGTTACCAATCTGAGATAGAATGTCTGAATTTTACGGAAAAGTTGATCGAACAACGGAAAGCTCATTTCAATTCTGCGCTTTCAACGGATCACTGACAGACGCGTATCCGTCGAAAGCGATAAACTTCTGAGAATTGACAAGCTCAGAATTAATTCGGGAAATTGAAAACAGTGTGTGCCGTGTTTGCGATTCGAGCTGTTGTCTCCTCCTTCCATGCCTTCTTGCGAAGATTAATAACATGCGAAGCGCACTGACCCTCTGCCTAACCCTTTCACGTCGCGTATCATCCGCTTCAATCTATATGTGGCGTGTCCTCAATGGGCTAAAAAACGTGTTCGAATAGTCCCTCCTAGGTTTGGACTTTTATTTCCGTTCAATTAGAAGTTTTCTTCGGATTTTTCATTTTGCTTGTTTTGACATCAAATGATCTTTGGAAACGAGCTTAAACAAGCTATCGCCGTAAGAGGGTGATACGTCCTTTTTGTGCATACACGGCTACACGGAAATAGTTCACTCCCAGCTCTATGAGGACGGTAAACAAAGGCTTTCTTTTGGACCGAAACACACGCTAGTGGGAGTCTTGCACTCCGCAGAATCGAATTCGCATTTGGCAAGAAAACAGCCATGTGCGCTCCATCGATAGTCCAAATACCTTTATGTCCTTTTGGACAAGACTCTCGACGTCCATAAATTCTCTAGAAAAAGAAAAACTATTTGTGAACTTCAGAACAATACTTACTCCTATTTTTCCATCAATCTTGCTTTGAATAACAAAAAAAAAGAATTTTAATATATCTGGAATCGGCCCATTTTCACAGTCTCCCACATCTGGTAATATTCATTGCAATGACGTTGAGAAATTTGAACATTTCATTTTCCGAATTCTATTTTTCCGATTGCTTTAGTTCTTATCATCGTTTTGAGGCCCATTATCAGTCGCCGCGTGGCAAGCGTCTCATCCTTCTCCTTTTTTTAGAATATTTCTTAGTTTCATCGATTTTGAAGTTCGGAAAGTATACATCCATCATAATGAGAGTGCATTTGAGCGGTATTTACCATAAGTATCAGGACCGGAAAAGCTTTATCCGTTTTGGAGCAGACTATTCTTCTATTTCTGATTAATTTTTCGAAATTTTTTCAGTAGATGAATAAGGTAGTTCAATGACCTCGTGGCATTGTACTGAGGGAGTTAAGGGGAGTGTTTCAAGTGTCTAAACGCTCGAAAAGTAACTTTTTTCGTGGCGGGTTGACTTTAGGCCGAGTGGCTGCTACCAAGATATAAGTGAGGTTGCCTGGATGCCTCGTGGGCGCTGTTCTTCAAGAGGCTTCTCACTTGAGAAGAGAAAAATTGAGCGCCGCCCACTCGATCGCAGCAACTCTGGCGGTTGTTCTGGACGCCGCATGGTATACCGCGGGTGTTTGCCGCCAGAGCAGCTCCTGTCTTTAATGCTCTCACTTATTTTAGCCCTGCTCCATCTTTTCCTGCCGCTTTCTTTCAACATTTCACGCTCTCCTCTCTTTTCGACAAATTTTGCATTTTTATCATCGGTTCTTCATCAGATTTAGATTTTTTGTGCTGAGTTCTATTGCAACCTCACTTTTTTTATTTGATTTCTGTGATCGTTTTCAAGTATATCGGTTTGATTTTCTGTCGGATCTTTCCCACATTTCGGCCAACAGTTTTTGGCACAGGGAGAAGATGTCGAAGGTTAACAAGGATGGAGCGCAGCAGACGTCGCTTCTCGATGTCCTCAAGAAGAAGATGCGGCAGGCCCGCGAAGAGGCCGAAGCTGCCAAGGACGAGGCCGACGAGGTCAAGCGCCAGCTCGAGGAGGAACGCAAGAAGCGCGAGGATGTAAGACCTCATCTACCAATTGTTCTTCTCCAATCTTCTACCAATCCTTTCTCATGCTCATTGGATATGAATCGGTCCTATCCATCATAGTTGAAGTTTCGTGCCTACTCCAATCTTTTCTCTGAGTCCTAGTCTCTTAGGAAGCTTGAAAATGGAAAGAGTGCAGGGCCGGGTGCGCATGTGTGTCTGTTCGCTAAAGCTGTTATTGGCTCCCGAAAATTGAGGAAGAGCCACTTGACACTCCAAAATTCGATCAAGCGCTGCGTAGGTGAAGCAATGGTTTTGGAACACTTGCGAGTCATCATTTAAGTGTTTTATCTTTCATTGAGCCGTAAAAGATAGCGATAAAACGCGAGAAGGGGTTTTTGCACATTTCCACTCCACATTGGACAAACATACGAAAGCTTTGAGAATTTTTTTTCCTGGAATCTCGCGCGCTTGAGAGGTACGCAAATGTGCCAGGGCCAACCTTTTCTCTATCTCTCTTTGTCGTAAGGAACCTCTTTGCTCTTGTTGCAATTGCAATAGCTGGGTCGAGCCGAAAAATTTTGGTCCAAAAGGAGGAAAATTACATGATACAACTATAAATAAGAAAATGAAAAAAAAAAACTTAGAAATAAAGAAAACTTGATTCAAAAATATTGAAAAAAAAACAGGCTGAAGCCGAAGTCGCTGCACTGAACCGACGCATTGTGTTGGTGGAAGAAGACCTCGAACGAACAGAAGACCGACTGAAAGTGGCGACGCAGAAGCTTGAGTCAGCCACAAAAATGGCCGACGAAGCCGACCGGTGAGAAGCCTTACTAATTTTCCGTCCCCCTTTAGGCTGAGGCCGAGGTGGCGTCGCTGAACCGCCGCATGACTCTTCTCGAAGAGGAGCTCGAGCGTGCTGAGGAGCGTCTGAAGATTGCCACCGAGAAACTCGAGGAGGCCACCCACAACGTCGACGAGTCTGAGCGGTACGTCCGTCAAAGTTGACGGCGGTGCCGATTCGCGAAGCCACCTCCAGTGCCAGAAAGTGTCCTATTCGTCCTCCATGTGCTTTGTACCACGTCCATGTTCGTGTTCCTTGTTTTCAAGCGCTCGCAAGACGATGGAGACGCGCTCGCAGCAGGACGAAGAACGCGCCAACTTCCTCGAGACCCAGGTCGACGAAGCGAAGGTCATCGCCGAAGATGCTGACCGCAAGTACGAGGAGGTACGATCTCCGCATCCTTCCGACTCCATCCGACCCTCCATTTCTGTTTCTATGTTCTGTGTGTGTGTGTGTGTGTGTGTTTTGTGCATGATTCCTGTTACCGACTTTTCATGGTTCCCCAATTTCCCTAGTTTTCCAACAGGCTGAGCCTTACTTGGGGTAGTCGGTCTTTTTTCATTCTTTCCAGCTTTAAATTGCTGGTTCATTTTGAAATTTTCTCCAAGGCATGAGCTCAGCCGAAAAATTTTTTCAATCAGGCAATTGTGATATTTTGCTTGTTTCATTCAAAGGGAATTCGTGTTATTTTTCAGGAATGTTTTGATAATTAATACATGATTTGATTCTCTATGATTAACTGATGATTGAAGTTTATATTAACGACAGGGCGCGGAAGGCGTTGTCGAATCGCATCGACGTGGACGACGACCGATGCGAGGAACTCGAGCGAAAGCTCAGAGAGTGCCAGTCCCTGCTGCATGAGACCGAGAACAAGTCCGACGAGGTGTCCAATTTGATTCACTAACACATTTTTGTTCTCCTCCGGCCTTTTTCATCATCTCGGCATTTTCTATTTGATGAATAATCTGAAAAACCTTGATGAAAGAGACCGTCGCTTTGCTTCAAAATTGTCTGTCTGTTCAGTCGTCCCCGGCAATTCGAGATCTCAACGCGAATAGGCACCGCTTCCACTTAGTCTATCCCCCATAGCTTTCTTAATCAGCTTGTCATAAATTGAGATAAAGCGATTCGGAATTAAGGGTTGAGGTTTAGGTAGCACCGGTCCTTTTTAGCTTTAAAGTTGCCTATTCCGACCGAAATTTCCAGTGTTCGCAAGGTTATGGAAAACCGCTCGTTCCAAGATGAAGAGCGTGCCAACACGATCGAGGCCCAACTCAAGGAGGCCCAGCTGCTCGCCGAGGAGGCTGACCGCAAATACGACGAGGCAAATAATCCATCTCCCAACTTAATATCGTGTGCTCCTGAAACTAACCGAAACCCCCCAAAAATTACCGTTAACAGACTCTTTAAGTGACGCGTGCTTCTTGCCTAACTGCCTTCTTTTGTTCATTCTTACGTTTCTTCCTGTACAATGAACTGTTTTCAGGTTGCCCGCAAGCTCGCTATGGTTGAAGCTGACTTGGAAAGAGCCGAGGAGCGCGCTGAAGCCGGAGAGAAGTTTGTTCCTTATTCGATCATCGAAAATACTTTCTTTTTTTTTAATCCTTAAAAGTTCTCATTCCAGTTAGGCTCATTTAGAAAGGTTATCTTCCAATCATCACTTTGACAAAGTAATCGTATTTCTTACCATGCCACCAGGCAGTAGAAGAGCTTCAGCAAGATCGTAGAGCTGGAAGAGGAGCTGCGTGTTGTCGGCAACAACCTTAAGTCCTTGGAGCTGTCCGAGGAAAAGGCCCTCGAGAAGGAGGACATCTTTGCTGAGCAGATTCGCCAGCTCGACTTCCGGCTTAAGGAGGTTCCTGGAGGATGTCATCCGGTTGACCCTCATGTTGTCTGCGAATAGACTCTTTCAACCTCTGGACGTCCCTAAGAGAGACCCAACATCCTCAGTGCCCTCATACCAAACTCCGATTTTCAAAGAATAATCTAACAAGCCAATTCTATCGCAAATAACCTCAAGGAACCTTAACAATATCCTGACTAACAGAAGAAACGCATTGATGGAGCGAAGTCTGACTGGGTTGTCGGCGACGGTGGTGGACCTAGAGACCCAAGTCGAGACGGCCGTCGTTCGGGAGCATCACATGAGCAAGGTGCTCACCGCCGCCGACGCGCTCCGCATCGAGGTGTCGCCGATTGGTAGTCGTGCTCTTGTAAACTCTGTCGTCATCTGCATATTGTGCACATGTCGTCTTTCATCTTCGATGGCGCTTTGATCTGTCGTTTACTTCGGCTTCACTGAAGTTTCCACAATTTATGGTCAGAGCGCTGTTAGAGATGCCATCCGTATAGAATTCCCCAAATTATCAGTTCAATAACGAGATAAAACACCAATGAAAGATGCTGGTGCGTAGTAGTGGTTGTTGTGGCTTGCAGCAAGATCGTCGAGCTCGAAGAAGAACTTCGCGTCGTCGGCAACAACTTGAAGTCGCTCGAAGTGTCTGAGGAGAAGGCCCTTCAACGTGAAGACTCGTACGAAGAGCAGATCCGCACCATCTCTTCCCGTCTGAAGGAGGTCTGCATGCACTGTCTATCGTTTTTGTCCGTTGTCTGGTCGCTGTTCGACTTCTTTTTCATCTCTTTTCAATTCATCTGAGGTCGGTTCCAGGCTGAGACCCGTGCCGAGTTCGCCGAACGCTCCGTTCAGAAGCTCCAGAAGGAGGTCGACAGACTCGAAGGTATGTTTTTTTTCCTGTTTGCTATCACCTACTGAACGGCTTAGATCATATTTTGGCTATTTACGCAGCTTTGCTTTTATCAGGTACTATGAGAATGTAGACAAAATTCCTAAATACTATTTTGAATTTGAAGGAAAAAAGCTTCTCCAATGCTTCACGTTGTTTTGTTATCGTGAAAAAAGTTTGTGATGTTTGTTTTCGTCCGTGTAAAACTTGTTCCCAGTTTCTTCAGAAATACCGAGGCAATTTTTTTTTTTGATTTTTCAGCTACAATAAAAGAGCCGTAGTTTTTCGAAAAGTATGAAAAAAGACCCTGTTTTAATAAAATTATTAAGAAAAGGATTTTAAGAAGAAAATTCAACAGTTCTGCTTTTTTTATGTTGTTAACTGAGGCTTTTTGAGCTCTTCAGTAAGAAGAAGAGGTTGTCAGACAATCTATTTTCCAATTTTATCGGCCTCTGCGTTTGTCATTGTAATTATTTAGCTTGGAAAAGTACTAAAATATTTTAATTTAAATGAATTATAACATTCTCGGTTGCCTAGGTTGTTTACTTCAAGAATAATTGACATAAAAAAATAAGTTGGTGTCACCGTGATGGGTCTCGTCCATAGTACTCGTCAAAACGTGTATCGTTGTGTTGTAAAGTTTTCTGATTTTGTGTAGACGAACTGTTGGTGGAGAAGGAGCGCGTCCGCAATCTCACCGAGGAAATCGAGCAGACCGTCCAGGAAATTCAGGGCTCATAAGTGCGTTTTTGTTTTGTCTGCACGACCTCTTCTCATCTGTCGTGCTTGGACTTGCAAGAAAGCATGGATAAAAGCATGAAACCACCAACTGAACTCTCAGAAATCGAACGCCGTGAGGCGGTCGGTTTATTCAAGAAATTATTGACGGATTTACTATGGCATGCAATTAATTAACTTTGAATGGGAGTGAAACTTCTAAAAACAAAAACTACAGCGAAATTCGTAGAATAACTGTATGTGTGAGTGAAAGCGTGCCATTGCAGACTCCAAAGACGAGTCGGACCGGAAAAACAAGCAGCTGCAGGAGGAGCTCGACCACATGCTCCACGAGCTTAACGCTGTTTGAGAACCTGCTGCTTTCTCTTATTCCCGTCTTTTTTTTTCTGATTCCGGTGTCTCCCTCTTTTTCTTTTGAAATTTTTCTTTTTTGCCTGCCTCGTTTGGAACTTTTGAAGTGATTCAATAATTTAACAGTTTTTTCTGAATGTACAGTTTTTGCGGGAAGGCGCTTTCCGCTATCTCATACTTATTGCAATGATTATTCTACTTTTTTTTTCTGTGCTTGAGTTTTGTGTATTTTTCTACATGTTATAACAGTTTTCAGAACTATCTTAACCAATGTATTCTGGCATGATCGCTAAATTGTCCAAATCTCCTCAATTCTAGATGCAACTTGTAGTCACTTCTATCTCTCTGGCCTTTTTTTGCCTTTCTTCTTCTCATCTACACCCAAGAGAACAAAAGAAATCTGTGGTTCAGACGAGCTCGTGCACGAGAAAGAGCGCTACAAGGCCATTTCCGAAGAACTCGACTCGACCTTCCAAGAACTTTCCGGATATTAAGCCAATTTTTCTTCTATTTTGTGTTACATAAATTTTTTTTCTTGTCTATTTCTCCGCCAAAGATATATGCATCAAGAGCAATTTGCGCGCTATTTCTCGTCACATCAACTCTTTTGTAATTCTTCCACCCCTTTTTTCCCCGAGCCCCTGAGATAAGCTTCCGCCTTTTCCCTTCTCCCATCTCTCTTGTGTTCGCCAAAAATCAACCCATTTCTTGATTCTCGAGTAGTAGTTGAGAATATTGATGGTGTTTTTGCTGCAATTTATATAAAATGGTTATCACCCCCAGTGTTGAGTATGTAAGGCCAACAAGGATAGTGTAAAAAAATGAAACTCGACAAATGGCAGATTTCGTATAAAGTGTTTCGATTTATCTTTCGAATGAGCAAAAAAAAAGAATCTGAAAGATACATGAGAACATGCGAGGAGTGCGAGAAGATCAAAAAAAGACGATTTTCTTTCCTAAATATGTGAAGAAATTCAGTCAATCTGTGATAAACACACATCAGAGAGAGAAAGAACACGACATGAAGACAAGATCGTCTTTGTCACACGCTTTTTCAAAGAACTCAGTGTGGTTGATTCGTTCTAGAAACACGGCGTTTACAGAGCTACGTCCCGCTCACAAAAATGTCGTCAAGTATGATGTTTCCTGTGCATCTGTCGCCGAAGAAAATAAGCATACTGTCGAAATTTTAATAATTTTTAAATCGAAACGTTTCCATAAACCGGTTTAAAATCGAAACCTGGTTAACCCTGTTCAGTTCAATCAAAAAGTTTATTTCAAATGTTATTTGATAAGTTTGATGATAATCAAACGAAAGAGCGTACTCTGCTTGAATCAAACTTTCAGATTACAAATAAAATAGCGAGACCTTTTGAAACTGGAGTTTTCATGCCACGGCACTGCTACAGCCAGAGGGAAGTGGAATTCCCTCTCGCCCCAGCGTAAAAGTTCCTGACTGACCAGGTGAGTGACCAAGATGCCACAATACGGCTCAGCAGTAGGCGGGTTCGACCCCTCTATAAGGAGAGGAGATTTTTTTTGCAATAGAATGAGATACGTTTTTTTCGTCTTATAATCCAAAAACTAGTCACGATTAAGAAACTTGAATAAATCTACCTCGAAATCTAAAAAGTTTCACGTAAAAATGTTTTGTTTCAAAAAAAAAACAATAATTAATCTCTTGTGAAGGCCACACAGGAACATTGCTGGAAAAATAAAAATGAAATTCTATTATCCCCATTATTCTAATGCTTCTGTCTGATATAGACCGTTCATGTTTTAAAAAGTTCACCTGGATTCCGATTGTCCCTTTGAGGTGAGATGAGCCGATCAGAACGTTGATACGGAAAACTTTTAAAAACTTGCTAACGAAAATCTATACAAGGTATAATATAAAACCTTCCCGATGTGTGCGGGTCGTGCTGAGAAATTCGTAACCGAACCCAAGGTTTAAGCGGAAGAGTGCAACCAAATCCGTTCAAGACAAATCCGAGGTAGAGTCCGCGACTCGTTTTTTTCTTTCCGTTCCAGAGTAACAAACAGTCGCCTCGTTTTTTTTTCTCAGAAGAATTTAACTTGATTATCGGAATTATTGTTTTTGTTTTCACGGGAAGAAAAAATTGACAGCCGTGGGAAAAAGCAGTTACAAGGACACTAGGGGACAACGCAACTCGGAGCCAATTAGGCGTCGGCCTGGAGACAATCTTTCCCAACTCTCTTTCCCTTATCACTTGGCTGCTTCATTGCAACGAACGACACTTTCGAGAACATCTGGAGGCTATTCGTCAATAAAATATTGAAGTTTGCCACCTGGGATCAATTCGAATCCATTATCAAATGAAGTCGTCCTCCATTCACTCTATTTATCTCTTTTCTTGACTTTTGTGAATCTAAAAACTTTTCAGAGATTTCGAAATCTTTTCGCAATATTCACCTACAGATTTTTACAAAAAAGGCATGACTTTCGATATATACTAACCTCTCTTTCCTAGCACTACTTCAATAACCGTTTTGAAAGAGTCCGCTGGAAAATTTCTCAGAAATCTGAAAATGTTGGCGCAAGCCGTGTCGGTTTAAGTAAAAGGTAATTCTTATTTTTAGCGTGGCCTTCTTGTCTAATTTTCCGAGAGCCTGCTCACTACAATTTTGACCTTTTAATTTTTGTGTGAATGCCAAGAATTTGGAGAATTAGACCGCGTCTTTGTGGGCTAATTACCGAGCGACACTTGTGGTCAACTCATCGAACTAATGAGCAGCGCCTCTCGAGTCATCTCCCTAATTGAAATATGAACCGCGAAACACGACCAACCTGGGTCCGCTTTTCTTTCATTTACATGACGGGAATCTGGCACTCTCATTCCAGAGTACCTTTAGTTTCACTTCTTCCTCTGATGGAATTCTTAAAAACGATCCCTCAAATTTTAAATTTTTTGAATACTAAAACTTAAAATTCATTGAGCTTTTTTTCTACAGGACCCTAAGGACTATAGGCAAACTATTTTTTCAAACTTTTTCGGAAATTAATTTTCTTCAAAATTAATTCCCAAAACGTTACCTGACTCTCTGAAACTTTCTTTATATTTTTTTGTGAAAAAAACAACAAAATTTTTAAAAAGAAAGTGATTTAAAAAGATATGAAGGGAAAGTGCGCGCAATGGAACAAGTGATTTTAAGGCAACTTTTAAGCGATTTTTATTTTACTTTGTTTTCTTAAAATTCGAGGGCTTATTACATCGCTTTAATTTGATACACTACATCATCATCTGTTTCTCCTGTGAGTTATTCATTTTTTTTAGGATGTGGAATTTTTATATTTTAACTTTTCAATTTCGAAAGTGAATCTTTGACGATGAATATTTAAGTATTTATTTGCAACTCGCATGATTTACCAAAATGTTTTTATAAGAATCCCTGACTGCACCACCAAGTTTACTAAGAAAAAAACGCTCGCAACCCTAATACAATAATTGAACGTGAAGTTACCTTACCTCAAAACAAGCTTCTGGTCGACTAACTATAGTGGAAGTAACACAATTTGATTTTAAAAACAGATTTGTTAATGAAACTTTCTTTGTTCATTTCTATTTTATTTTGAAAAATTAGTCCAGAATTCTTCCTCTAGGGATATGTACCTGGAAGTGCGTTAAGCTGCGGAAAGACGTCCGCAATCTGCGAGCTTATTGCTCAGCTCTCGATTGTAGCAGTGCATTAGCAACATTGATTGCGACACGTTATCTTTTATTTCCTTCCAGAGAAGGGAGAATTCTCCCAGCTCCACTCGTCACCTTCTCCTTCCACTTCAGAACCTTGCCCTTTTTTTTTAGCAGAGCTGTAACGTGATTTTCCTATTTATACACTATTGTGTAATTTATCGGTAGAGAAAACTTTATAAATACATTTGAGTCATGAAAACGGCTTCAAGGAACCTTAAGTCTAAAAAAACGGGACAAGAAAAAAGGCAATAAAAAGCCGCTCGTGAACGTTTTGAATTGGCAATTTTCGCGCTGGCCGTTTTCAATATCGCCTTTTCCTTGGCCGCTAGGTGGTCCGGTTCATCTTTCTTTCTTCCTTCAGCTTTGACGTGAAAACGAATCAGCTTTTTTTTTGCAAACTACTGTAATCTCTCAAGACATGCCTCATACGCCACAAATACATTACTTCCAATTTCTCCTCGTCCTCTGGCAACTCTCGTTTAAATGACCTATATAAACGTTTCCATGAGCTCGCCGGTGAGGGAAAAAAGATAATAGAGATGTGAGACTGTTCGAATCCGAAACCACAGGGATGCAAAAACAGCTCAAAGTCCTATCTATCAAGTGGCTTTGCACGCTTCCATGCCTTGAGAGTTGGAAGTCCACTCAATTTTCTGGTTCCCTACTTTTTTTCATCTTCTGAGAGGCCGCATTAAAGAGAAAAAAAAATTACGGCTCATTAGGTTCCCAGTGGCTTTTATTTTTAGCGCAATCAAGCGAATGCATCATCTTTAAAAAAAATCACCAAAAAAAGTCGCTGCACTTTTTTGAAGTCGTATTTAAGTTAACTTTGGTATTTTTATATTTTACACGTTTCAGAAAACAAGAGTCTCTTCGCCTTCGTCTTCTTGGACAGGAGCCATGAGTTGGAGATAAAAGCGAGTTTTGCCGAGTAGGCCGAATGTGGCCTGGATCTCCCGGGTTTGTCAATTTTCTTGTAAAATTTTATTGAATCGAACATTCTGAATATGCTGGAAACGTATGCTGCAAAGCAATTATTGAGCAGATACAAAATGAACCGGCGATTTGGAGCAACACGACTTTGGCTCCGCCCACATTCCCTGAGAGACTCCAGGCTCCCACCAATTCTTGTACTCCTCTTCTTGTGTTCCTTGACTTTTTTGTTCTCTTTTGGTGCCTTTTTGAAAAATCCATAGGTGATTCATCAAGCAAATGATCTAACAAGGCATTTTTATTTTAATAGGATGCTCTCCCATTTTAGTAAGAAACAGTTTCTACGCCGCCTGATTTCTCTGGAACAGTTAGTAATTTTAAGAAAGGGAAAGGGAAAAAGTTCAGAAGACACGTATCCAAAGCAAACCGAAAGACGTAGCAATCATCCAAGTGCTTTTCCAACACAGAAACTGCGATTTCTGCATGTGCGTCATGAAGATATATGGCGTTTCAGGCGCTTCTTTCTTTCATTTGTTGCTCTTAAGCTTGAAGAAACTCAAGTTTGAAATAAAGCTGGGTAAAAGAAAATTCATGTGTCATAATTTATCTCTTTTTGAATAATTCTACTCGGAGCCTTCCTGAATATGGAAACCTTGAGTGTCGAAATACTCTCATTTGATTTGTTGCTTTTTATATTATTACGAGAAGCTGGGAACGACGCCCATCTGTCCAATTCATCTTGGGCCGCTCATCTCGTTCTTTTCCAGCTAAGATGTGAACGTAGGAATAGCAAATGGATTATTTGTAAAGTTTCATGAATGAAAAAAATAACCTGAAATCCAAATTTTATGTGAAGTTTTTTTCTGGACAAACAATTTCGCCTCTGGGGTAAGGTCAGCTCGAACCGGCCAAAACGCACAAAACCGATGGGAAAATCGCAGAGAGTGTGCTTGAACCTATTAGGATTTTCTCATAAAACTTTGATCGTTTTCATTCATTTGTACTAGTTGTACCTGTACACGAAAAAATCCGAATCTGGAGTTTTCTTCAGCCGCAGCACGTCAGTTTCACGCGTTTTGCCCACTCGAAACTGCTTATTTTCAATTATTTATTCGTTCAAAAGGTTTGGACGGCGTCAAAATAGCGCCTTGCTTTTTCGGAGAAAAAGATGTGTTTCAATAGTTTTGAGCAAGGCAACCGGGATGGATTTTCAGATTAAAAAAATAGTTTTTGAATATTGAAAAAGTAGCAGAACATAGCTTTTTTTAAAGGAAAAATTAATCATTATTTCCTGTAATAATGAAAAGGAAAAATTAGAGTGTGAGTAGTTCAAAAAAAAAAACAGCTGTCTTTTTTGATGAAATTAAAAGGAGAAATCGCATTAATATCATCAAAACAACCTATCAAGTTTTCAGAGAGCGAACGATATATATCTATCTAGGTATTGAAAATGAAAGTTTTGTTCTGTGCACGCCCAAAAATGAGAAATCATACGGGTTATTATTTCTTTTTTTGATTTCCATAGAGTATTTTCGATGAGATCCTAGAGACTCGTAGAAGGCGTCGATTTGCAGGACGCGAGGCGACATGTTCTTCCACGCGACGCTGGCGCGGTCGCTGATGAACGCCTTGTCGCTGCGCGGCGACGACGACCTCGTCGACCGTCTCAACTACTACTACACTCCGTTGGTCCTCTCTGTGTGCTGCCTTGTCATCTCTGCCAAACAGGTCTTCAGCAAAACTTTCTTCAAAACGATACAACCAAATGAGTTTATTAGTTTTGGAAGTTTCGAATTGGTAGAAATATCCCGTTGTAAAGTTTGATCTTACTATACGTCATTGCGGCTCCTTCCGTCGATGATGACTATCCCTCATTGACGTCGAGTTTCTTTACTTGACGGATTTTTCGTCATCCAAATTATAAACAATAAGGTCAGATCTTAAACATTTAAATTTCTTTTCAAAGGATATGCCGTTAACTTTTTGACTGCATGATTGGATCCTCGCTTACTTAAAAAAAATAGAGTTTAACGTAGCAAACCTTATGCCCTCTCGATAATCATGACCATGATAGACTTCCCACATACATAATAAATGTTCCAAAGCGAAATACGTTGTTTTGTCGAGAAGATCGCAGCATTAGTGCTTGAGAAACTAGACATCTTGAAACTTATAAATGTGGGTCTGTTGCAGTACGGAGGAACCCCGATTGAGTGCTGGGTCAACCCCCACAGCCGCGAGTCCATGGAGGAGTACATCGAGTCGTATTGCTGGATTCAGGTTTTCGCTCACTTTCCGCAGAAAAGGAGAAGTATTGTTACAGAACACATACTGGATCCCGATGTACGAGAACGTGCCGGACGACCATACGGCTCGCGAAGGTAAGTCTTCGCGATAGAGTCTCACGACGTTGTCAAACAGAGAAGCAGATCGGCTACTACCAATGGGTGCCGTTCATACTCATCGCCGAGGCGCTCATGTTCTCCCTGCCGTGCATCTTTTGGCGTGTCGCCAGCTTTCAGTCCGGTAACCATCTTCTTTGTCTCTGAAACTCTGTATTGGTTCTTTTTAAAACTGAAAATTATATTTGCGTGGTTTAAAGATGCTAACGAAAAATAATTAGAAAATGAGATGGAAAAAAAAACGTTCAGTGTCTTTTGACGGCAAAATTTCAGAGCAGTTCATTCGAATGTTAACTTCAGTATTCAAACTTTTTCTGATTTCAGCTAAACACTATCTGAAGGTCTAACATCCAATAGTGCTTGCTGTATTTTGTTTTCTTACTAAGGAACTTCAGGCATGAACATGCAGACGCTGATCAACGCCGCCTGCGACACACAGGCCATGATCGACAACGCCGAAAGACAAAAGGTTGGCGAAAAATGACTAGGAAACAAACATTCCCAGGCGATCGACGCGATCACCTCAAACTTCGTCGACAACCTCGACCTGCAGTCGCCCAACGGCCGCATTAAGGCTCGCGGCCTCATTTCTCGGTTCAAGTGCTCCAAGTCAGTTTCGCTTCTCTCTCAAATATCTTCCAGCTTTTCAATCGATTCAGAATTTTCGCCGGCCAATGCATCACGATGTCCTATGTGATGACCAAAATAATGTACACACTGAACGTCGTGGCGCAGTTCATCATTCTCAACGCATGCCTCAAGTCTCAGGACTACCTTTTCTTTGGCTTCCAGGTCAGCCTCTCCGAGCTAAAAGGCAACTGGTATCCCGATTCAGGTGTTGAGCGACATCTTGTCGGGACGGCCGTGGACGGAGACAGGCCATTTTCCGCGAGTCACTCTCTGCGACTTCGAGGTCCGCTACCTGGCCAATCTTAACAGGTTTCACAATTATCCAATCACGCTCTCAGGAATTATATTCAGATACACTGTTCAATGCGCTCTCCTCATCAATATAATCAATGAAAAGGTTTTCGCGTTCCTTTGGTGTTGGTATATGCTTCTCGGGATTTTCACTACGTTAGTGTGATTTCTTCCTGGTTGAGGCTTCAGTCGTTTTTTAGTTCTTCGGCCATTTACTGGATGACAAACGCATTTATCCATTCTGAAAAAGTCGATTACGTCCTGCGTTTCATTCAAATCGCAGAGTCCAGCGAGTTCAAACGGTCGCAAAAATACGAAAAGGTTTCGATTTTTTTTTTTGCAATGAGGAGATTTCCGATTTGAGGACGCGACCGTTGAAAGACTCTATACAGTAATCTCTTTCGCTCCGCACCTTCTCGACTCTTTTGTCTCCAACTTTCTCAAATCTGACGGGGTAGGTCTGAGCGCAGAGTCGGCCACCTCGCAAATGGTTCAGGTGTTGATGTTGAGGATGATGGCGAATCACGCAGGCGACATGGTCGTCGTCCAGATCGTCCGCGCTCTTTGGCAGGAGTTTCGAGAAAGGTTTTTGATATAGGAGCGATATTTGCGGATATTTTCAAAATGTGCACGGAAAACTAGACCGACTAGAAATATGCTCGGATACAAATTCAAAACAGATTTTTGAGAAATTTTCGCAAGGTTCACGATGGCGGTCCTGGAAATCTCTTCGCCAGCACAACCTAGTTTTTGAGAACCGACATCTTTAAATCTGAGTCAACAACACTAATGTTTAAAAAACGATTTTCGAGATATTCTAATTCGAAAAGGAAGTTTTGCAGTGGCAAAGCTCTTAGGACATGAGTCTGACACATCAAAAAATATTGGCAAAGTTTCAGAACTCCAACAATGTTTAAGGATCTGTCTTGTGAAACACGTACATTTATATCATAAGAAGAAAAAAGATTTTTAATTTATTTTCGACTCGCACCTGCCTAAGAAGCTTTCTACTACCAGTTTTCAGAAACTGGCGAGAATTTGAGGAGTACGAAGAGATGCGCGAGGCGGAACTTCGTCGGAAAATGACTGGCAGGTAAGGTTTTTTGGAAGACAACTGACCGGATTCAGAGAAAGAATGGTAACGATCGCGAACCCGGCAACGGGAGGATTCATCTCCCACGCCGTCGGTCCGGAGAAGACTATGCTCTGAACGCCTTTTTTTGCCTGTTCTCGACACTCCGAGTTTTTTTGGTCATTCTCACATATCTCCTTATAAGTCTTTCAATCTCTGTTTGAAACTGTTCAATTTTGTCATCTGTACCTCGGGTATCCCTTTTGCCACGACTTGAAGAAAAAAAGCTGACCTATCTGCCGTCTCCTTCCTCCGCCGCTGTGAAAAGGAAACAAAAATCGTAGTAGTAGGAATAAAATCCAAATTTACACTTTAATCACTTAATTCGAAAAGTTATACAATTATTTTATGCCGTGTCCAAAGTAATTTCCGCGAAATGCAAAACCATCTCTGACCCTCCAAAATTTAGTTATCTTTTTCTTTTCTGGGACGACTATTTTGAATTTCGTAGAATCACTTTGAACACGGCATTAGATTCATTAATATATCTCTGCGTTCGCATAATAATTCCGCGTTATTATTCAAGATGGTAAAAAAAACTTCTCTTTTGACCGCCATTGTACTTTAATGGAGACTTCAAAGAAAGAAGAATCGCGGGTTGGCATCTGACCTCTTATTGCTTGAAATTCGTCACTGTCACTCATATCAAGTAAATTTTCAATTACTTCTTTCATCAAATGCAAAAAAAATATAGAACCCGAAAATCTGCTCCAAAAAAACCTCAGAAGAATAGAGGATGAATAGACCTTCTAAGTTGCGGGGATTTGAGGAAGAGGGAATCCAAAGAGGACAAAGTCGTAGAAGTACATCTGAACGAGGCGCGAAGTGAGACGGCGACTACCCCGAATTTCTCGCAAGACTGCCGTTCGTTCAGGAGAATTCACCGTGCTGTGACGCGTTCTCTTCGATCGCAACGACACGTCTGAACTTGCCATCGACTAATCGACGTCTTTTGAACCTACCGATGAACTCGATAGAAGCGTCTGAGACGTGGCTTCGTTGCAGGAGGTCGACGAGGGCGTCGAAGAACGCCGCCGGCTTCTCTGCGTTCAGCTTCAGCAAATGATACTTGGACATGCTTGATGCGAACTCGCAACGCCTTCAACTGACAGTTCCAACACATGTGAAGAAGTTTAACTTGGGATTTAGTAAATATTTTTGAAAAAAATAGCGTTGTAATAGGGAAGCAAGTAGAGCAGATCAAAGTTTTTTTATCTACTAACTTCTTTTTTTAAGAATGAAACTATCTTTTTTTCGCTTCAAGATTTGTGCACTTGATCTTCAAAAAAATTTTTTTAATTATATTGTTTTTTTAGTTCTAGCCCAATATCTATCTAACCGTGCCAGTATAATTGCAATACAGGCCACAGCTTTTCACATTTTTTAAATCAAATTTGACCAATTTTCGCTTCAAGAGTCTTGCGCGGAACACTCTACAAGGTTCATCCTCAATCGAAAGCTGCTTGACACCGAGTTCTGACCAGGACTGAGGGAAAAAATGATCGTCGTCGAAAGAAACGTGTCTGCGATGCTTCGTGTAGTGCATCATCCGAGAATACTCAACTTCCACGAAACAAGTCAAGTTCTCAAGGAAACGTCAACTCGAGCTCCTTATCGCGACTTACTGTACGACAGCCGTTGCAACGCTCCCGGTGCGCTTTCCAAGTTTGCTCCCTTGAGGAACAAAATGAGGCGTTCGAGTCAGATATCGACCTACCTCAGACATTTGTCGACAAATCCAGAGACGAAGCGCTCGACGGGGTCTCGGATCACCGCCAGCAGGGTCCAATTGCGATTTCCCATCTCCGACATACTGGTCGCTTCGTTTTGTTTCGCACACAGCCTAAGTAAAACATTATCTATTGCGTTCCTTTTATACCTATGATGGAAAATTTCTCGATCCAAGGTTCTGTTATTTTTTTGGAAGCCTTCCTCGTCGTGTAAAAAGCACAAAATGGCGGTCAGGAACGTCGAGAAATTCTTCTCGATGGCGCATCCCAGCAGAGAATACTTTTTCGAAAACTGAAAATTTTAGAAAATTGAACGAGAGCAGTCTGACAGTGGCCGAGAAATATATAAAAAAAAACTTATTTTGAACAGAATATAACAAGTTCCGTACAGAATATCAAAAAATTTTTAAAAAGTTCTCTGACCCTCTTCATCGTTGATATGCTTACTTTCTCTTCCTCAATTCTTATGTGGACGATCGCCTTAATGGCTGAGTTGAAGCTTTGAATATGTTTAAAAATTCTGGTCCTTTCAAGTCTAATATCCTTCAAATAATTATCCTATTTTGCCACATTAAAAAAATTTAATAATAAAGAAGATACTTTTTCTTGGTTTAGCCACAAGCTAGTGAACTAAACTTTAAGAAAACTCACGCGGTATTGCTGTCGGAACGAAACGAAAGGCGGAACACATTCCTTCAGCTTCTCACCGACGCAAAGCGACTGCGCCGAGAAGAGCTTCTGAGGTTTGAGGGAGATTTGCGTCGAATTCGCGCAGGAAGGTCCTCGCTCAGAGATATCCGAAGGCGAACGACGCGTCCAGAGCTTGTAGACGACGAAAACCAGAGCGGCGACCGTAAAATTGTGCAAAAGACGAGCCATCGACTCTCTGTCCCCTGGGGCCGCATCGATCGCGACCTTTTCGAAAGTTTTTCGTATAGGCGATTAAGGGATTACCGTTTGCATTATTGGCAAGTTAGAAATCAATAACTGCGATCGCGGTTCCTTGCGGAGGCCGTTGGAATCAAAGTGGACTTTCAAAAAGTAGTGATACATTTTTGCCATCTTGCGAGGCGATCGGCCGTTGAATACTTTTTCGAACCATGATAGTCAGAATTCATATTAAACTCATCACATAGAAGCAAATTTCATTTTCATTCTCTCAAATGAAATATTTTTCCAGATCGCTTCAAGTTCATTTATGACGGTGGGTCTTTTTATTTAAAATTTTTGCAATTACCATTCAAAAATAAGTGATCTTTTATGAGAAAGTTTTATTACCAACGTTTCCATCGAATACCAGCATAGCACAGAGTTGAGATTGGGACTAACAAGGCGAAATCAGTCGAGCGGAACGATTCCGATGCGGCCCCGCGAAGTGTCGACGGACTCGATGCGGAAGTTGACGCTAGAACCAACCTGTAGAAGGGCATGAGAAACTGTTCGGGAAACTGCTTGCCTCGGGGTAAGGAGCTACCAATTTGCTCTTGTGCGCCAGTGCGGATTTCTCGACTCCAATGTCCACGAACAGTCCGAAGTCAGTCTGGCAATTAGAAATATAAGAATACTGAGAAAATCGAAATAGTTATCAACCTGATTAACGATTCGTCCTATGACGGTTTCGCCAACTCGAAGCGAAGCCATCTTACGCACCTCTTTCTGATAATATTTCTTTGCATAGATTCTTTCTCGACTCAAAGCAAAAAAAAAAACTTCAAAAGACATACCATGAAGGGCGGTGGCGGCAACGTATGAGGCTTTGTACAGAACAACTCGACGACGATTCTTTCTTCGTCTTTGAATTCGTTGAACCCAATAAGACGATTTACAAGTTCATTGGAGTTGGGATCAAAGTTTGACCAATCCAGTCCTACTTTGTTCAAGACACTAAAGTGAAGCTTTTGAGTAAAAACTTCAGAATAAACCACTTCTTTCTACCTTTTCGCGAGCTCATATTGATCCGGATGAACGATGGTCCCATCCAAAGGGTTCCAGTCGCTTTCCGTTGAACATTTCTTGGCCTTTTTTTTGGGCGGCTCTGAGTTTTCGTCGTTTCGTATCGCTGGCGGCATAATCGACAGAAAACCTCAAAACTTTTAGTTAAGTGAGTTTATCAATTTTTGTGATGGATATTAGGAAAAAACTATAAGAGTTGAAAATCGACATTGTTCAGAAAGTATGGAAGCCGAAAATAATTTTCAAACTTTTAAATTTTAAAATCACAAGTTCATATAGCGTTGAGACAACAAAACAATTACTACCAAAATATCTGCAATTACTGGAGGGAATAAAAAATTCCTTTCATATCATACGAATATTCTTGAAACGATAGGCAAGGCTTGGCAGAGAAAAGAGAACACGAAAAAATTTTAGTAGGCAGTTCATTTTTTTTTTTCTATTGAGCTGTAGATGAATAATAACTTCTTTTTGTTTGCAGACCTGCACACTGAGTGAAAGAAGTCTTGCCGAGTCCTTTGACCTGCAACAACTCGCTTCGAGACGAGATCCTTCCCAGTTTTTCTCGCAGGGCGACAACTCCAGCCGCGGTCTTTTTGTTCAGACCACAGACGTACCTGAAATGCAAGCATAGCCGCGGCGAGAAAGGTGAAAAGAGGCCTCAAAAGATGCTCCGACGCGCTGTTGACGTTGACGCCGCGCATGGAGACGCGTTCTCGAACCGCCTGTTCGAGGGCCTCGGTCAGCTTTCCCGTGTTCACAGAGTGCTGGTACATGCCCATTCCCAGATGCCGCGGCTCGATTTTCACATACTCGCCCATCGGATCGATCACTCGTCGTCCTATGGACACTGTAACTTGACGTTGAATAAGCGGGAGCTTTCCAGATTCTTCCCTGTCTTAAAAAAAATAATTGAAACTTTTCAGTTTAGACTTACAAGGAAGCTATTTGCCCATGACGTATGGACAAATATTGCCACGAAATGAGAGTTACAAATAAATTGAACTAATTTTCCACAGAAAGAACAAGTAAAGTTATAAAAAGCCTCGGGAAGGTTGGAAGAAACGAACCAGCGCTTCTCTGGGTGGGAGGCATGCCTGGCAAGTCCTCTTCGGCCAAATCCGTGATGCTGTACTTGGACGCTCCATTTTCGGGGACAACGCTACAAAAAAACTGATCAGATGATTTGATTAAAATGAAGAAATTGGCTTATTTTTTTTTACTGTCATTAGAGTCGCTGGAACACCTATTGAAGGAAGAAATTCAAACGAAGAAAGGGTCTCTTCAAAAATTTTCAATTACAATTCTTACTCATTGAATCAATCACAAAAGAACTGTGTACAGGTTTTTCCAAGTATCCTTATTAGAGAGGATTTCTTGGCTCTGAATGATCATACCTGTTTTCTGGAAACTCGAACTTAGGTTTCAAGATTAAAGAATTTTATTTTTATTGGCACCTCAAAACCCAAGAAAAGCGACTAAAAATTTTCCCATGCAGTCAAAAAATATTCATGGCAAAAGTTCAAAATTCAATTTGATAAATGCTTTCCTATTTTCATCTGAACTACAAAGCTCCAACAGAAAAACGGATTAACTATACCAAAAAGAAACATCGAGAGTCGGACCAAAATCCTTTCTTTTTATCATATCTGCAACAGCGCACTGAGTCTCGTAGGAGGCCTTGCCGTCTCCTGAACGAGAACATTTTTTGAGAAACTTATTTTGAGGTGCCTATCGCGATGAGAAGGTTCGAGCTGGCAGAAGACCCTTGGCGAGAAGATTCAGCCCATTTGCGGAGAAGTCCGACTCCTTTGGGATCGAAGCCCTTGTTCCTCAAGCCGAACTCGTCAGTGGCGATCACTGCTCCTAGAAACTGGTATATTTCTTCCAACCCATTTTATTTCGTCAAAAAAACAGGAATATCTTCTGTGGAAGGTATAGGTTTATTGGAGGGTGTTTCAAAGAGTTGAAGCCGTTCTAAATGTCATACTGTCATCAAAACTTCGGCATAACTTAGTTCTATCAGACTGGAGTTTCTAGGAACTGTAGTGATACTTAATTCGCAGAAATGTTTTGGCAAAACAGAAGTTAAGAGAAAACGAATTTGGTTCAAGAAACGAAATCAAGAGATCTTACCAGTTGGGGAGAGGAAAGCGGCTTTGCAGGCCGAGAATCCAGGGTCGAGGGCGACAATGTGGGAGGGGGGCACCGCCGAACGAGCGAAAAGTTGGCCCACATTCCGTGAAAAGCACTGAATCGCCGCCTGTTCTGCACGGCCGATCAGAAATCGTCTGTAACGGAAGTCGTTGAAAGATGTATGAAACAACTGACGACGTTAGGTAGTCAGCTTATAAAAACGTTTATTCGTCATTTGGATTAAAGGGCAAGAATATCAATGAATCGACCTGGTTGCCCGTTGGACCTTCGGAATGAAGAGCTTAGCGATGGAATATTCGACGGCGTCGTGGAAAAGGTTGACGTGGGCGGGGTGGACTCTGAAAAGGGCCGGATGAGGTCGAGGGAAAGACGGACCTCGTCCTCGTCGTCGGATGCTCTCTCTTCGCGTCTTCGCCGTTCACCTCCACCTTCCACGCCAGCGCTTCCCGTTCCTCAGCGCGCTCAAGAGCCAAGATCTGGTAGTTTTGAACCCATCTGGCCTCTTTCTTGAACTCCAAGTATTGTTTGAAGTGGTCTACTGCTTCCTGAAAATATTTCCAGACTGCCCAGAATCACAAAAAATGCTTCCCATAATGTTTGGATATCTTTTTTGGAGCGATTCAAGTTAATAAACTACTTCTGAAATGTTTTCTTGTCACAGATCTATTAACCTGTGCTGTTCCGTCGCCTTTCTCCAAAGCTTTCTTCGTTTTCGGAGCCACAGCTGCAGTAATGATCAGTCGAACTCGAGTTTCGAGCTTAGAACTGCAAGCAATTCATCATATATTATTTTCTGTGGTTTACGAGAAACATTCTTTTGGCCGCCTCCACTGTTTCCTGCAGTTTATTGAGCAAGTCCGCGAGACTGATCTTCACCTGTTCCATCACCTTTTCCAAGCTGTCCGTTTCTGGAAAAGAAATTATTTTCGAGAAAGAAGAATCGATTTACGCTCTCCGACGTATCGAGCGAGATCAACGTGAGCGCCTCTGATTATCTCCCTGGCTACTTCTTCGAACCCAAGTTCCCTGGAAATCGCCTTTCGAAATGATTGGGCTTCCCATTATGATATACCTCGCCTGAGCGGCTTTCGTTTTCTTTCCACCAGAACTGTACATTTTAGTCACCTCTGTTATATCATTCGAATCACTGCAAGCCTGAAAAGTATCTTATTTCTTATTTTACCTTGTTTTGTATTAGTTTGCATTCAGTTAAAATAGCAAAAAGAGTTCAAAGGTTAGGATCAATTTTGAAAGAAAAGCGAAGTTTCTTTTATTACTCGGAATCCTCTCTTCTGAGTTTTTCCTAAAGCTTTGATTTTCCAAATTAGTTTTCTGAAATTATACGCTGAAAAAACTTCTTAGCTTCCGAGAAAAGGTCCCTCAAAGCTTTTCTTTCCTAATTTACTTCAAAGATGGGAACGATTCCGTTTTCTGTGACATATTTCTTCTGAGAAAGACTGCTAAACCTCTAATTTCCTTGTCTCTAGTTTGGTCTTCATCCTAAACTTTATGAGCTCACCTTTATCATGGACAAAACAGCTTGTTTTTCCTCGGAGTTTTCGATTTTGGCCTCGATGCTGTTGAGCGCCTTCAAGGCCTTCTTATTCAAGTTGCTGGAAACGAGAGTTGCACGAGAGGAAACGGCTTCAACAACTTGGCCTCGTTGAAAACTTCGAACGCCCTTCGCAACTGCTCGCAAGTCATGTTTCCGTGTACGTCGCCACGATATCGGGCCACATAGGCCACCTTTGTTCAGCTGATTTTCATCCGAAGACAATTTTCGATATCTTTCGATACACATGAATAATTCATGAATAACTTTCGATAATTTTCGATACACATGAAAAGAATTATAGCAGTTCAATATTTGGAGAAGTGCAGATTCCAAAAGTCGAACACCATTTTTGGTCAAGAAAAATTTTGAAGGAGAGTGTAATTATTTTTCATCAATAGTTCCGCAGAAATTTTATTTTCCCAATTTCTTTCTCCTTCTTAATGGAACTTTCGTTCATATTCTTAATTTACACATAAGTTCACCTCATTCCCCTCCTTGAACAAGTTGACTATTTTCGCGGCACGAGGCAAGTCTATCGCCACCTGAATAACTTTCAGTTTCATTTCGATTTTGGGTTTGTAAGAAACCTCTTCTTCGATGAATTCAGATATAGACTTATCGAGGACCCATAAATCTTTGACAGCTTTTTTCGCCATCTGAACACCCTACTATTATTCTTAATTGTACTGATTCGAAAATACTCCAAAAGTTATTTTACACGATACGGAATGAAATTAAGACAAAAATAAAGAGAATTATTTATATGATTCACAAGAAAAACATAGAGGTCATTTACAAGAACAAAAAAAAAAATGAAAAAAGCAAAGTTCACCTATTTCAGATTGTACAGTTTATAAAATACAGGTTTGCAGACTTCGAAAGCTCCTAGATGATTGTTCGAGATCTTATCCCTCGGTAGTATGGCTAATATGATAAACATTCAACATGAAACCTTATTGTTTAGTAATGTTAAAATTTTTGAGAAAAAAAAGGCGAAGAGAAGAAAACGTTAAAATGGGTTAAAAATGGAAAAAAAAGCTCATTGCGGCGCAGCCTAACTAAAAAAACTTTCACTGCAATCAGAATATTGATTAGTTCACAAGTAAAGCAAAAAGCGGAGAAGATCAAAAAGTTTTGAATCCAGCACGGTATTGCTGGTCATTGTGTCTCCAGTTCGCTAATTTCCTGCGGTAGTCGCTGTCGAAGGTGTCTGCGCAGTCCACCGGTCTGAAAAAAACAAAACAGTGCAAAAAGCTCGCGAAATTGAATTCTCCAAAACAAACGAACATCAATGAGGGTGTCGTGATCCACGCATCCAGCATTGAGCAGTTTTTCTCACTGAAACATTAGAAAGCCTTACTTAATATCAGAGCTTCACCAACCATAGCTGAAGAGTCGAGCCAAAAGGTATCCCGAAAAACATGAGTTTTTTGATTGGCAGTTCATCTACCAATGAACCAATCCTCTGAAATTTTCCTGTCAAAAACTCATCAGGGCCGAAATGAGAAAGACCTGATCCCAGAACGTACACTTGCTTTTCAACGATTGCGGATGCGCGATTTCGGTCTCTTTCTTGGAATTCCCAGCACTATTTGTCTTTTTTTCCACGTGCAAATCGTCTTCTCTGTAAATTTTTACTTTCCACGGCGTTTTATACTAAATTTGCCTCCACCACACGAAAATGCGGTTTAGAGACGTAAAGCCCGCAAAGAAGAGCGTTTACTTTGTCCAAGTTCAACTGATTTGGTTTTCAAATTAAAAAATTTGAACCAGTTGTCGATGAAAAATTATTAGAAACTTGCGGAGATGCAGTAAAAAACGGCACAAAATTTCAATAGGTAAGAGGGAAAAGAAAAAAAACTCACTCGTCACTGACAAGCTGAACTTCTAATGAGGCAAAGGATTCTGAAAAATTTAAAGATCTGGGTAAACAAATACAAATTCTTACCGCTACTATTTGAAATGGCAGTATGAACGGATGTACTACAGCTCGCATCACACGACTCCTCATCGGCTTGTTTTTCCAATTCTATAACTTTCCTCCTATTTTCTCTTCTTCGGGGTAAGATAATGAAACCACGAATCTCTTTATTTATCGGCCGAACGATTGTTTCTACTCTTACTGCTTTTTCAGTTTGTTCTTCCTGTCTTGCATCAAGAAGTGCTATAACAAATAAATGAACATTTAGTAGTATTCCGTGAATAGCGACCGCAGAACTAAGCTTCTTCCTATAAGAAACACAAAAATTTATTCCTAATGTACGAGCGATCTCAGACAACAAATAAATAAAATCATTTATTTTTGTTTTTTTAGTCAGATGAAATCGACTGGGAAGTAAAGAACAACTTTTAAAGCTATATAAAAAATAACCGCTTTTGGCGAACTAGAAGTCCAAATGTGCAGTTGATAAAGTATAACCATAAAAAAATATTTCTTAAAACATTTCTTTTTGGGCTGCTCTGATTTTTAATCTTTTTAAATTTTTTTGGGATTCGCTAAGGGGGCATTAGCTTTAAGATGATACCAAAATCGAAGCGATCGGATGAGATTCAAAAACTGCTTTGTGGTTCCTATCTATAGAACGTGAAAAAACGTTTACAACACAATTTTTTATAATATACGTTTACAGAAGCAGAAACAAGTATTTGGAGCATGTAAAATAACTCTCTCGAAAAATATTTTTTGTCAAAGAAGTTGTCTGTCGTTTGCAGAGAGTAACAGCGTTCCTAAACCCATGCGGATGAAGGAACGAAGTAATTCTTTCGAAAAAAAATGGTAAACACCAAGGAATTTCCCTGGGAAAACATACGTTTTTCTTCCTTCGATCGGACTTCCTTCTTGTTTTTGTGTGGTGATGTGTGTTTTCGAGTCATCGGTTCATTCATCTTTTCTTCAAAAAGAGCTCGGATAGAGGCATTATCAAAAAAATCAAACCGAAAGTTGGATCATGTCGAATTGTCGGCTTTTCTTTCGTTTCCAAGGGGAGAAATTCCGTGTTCTCCTTTTCGTACTTGAATAAAAGTTTGGTGAACGCCGAAAAATTCCCAACCTACAGGACTGATTTCGGGTTCGAAAGTTCGGATTCTCTTGTTAGGCAATTCTTCAGGCATTTCCAGAGACTTTCTCTTCGTAGAAACGTCTGCGACTCTCACGTCCGAGTCTTCTGTCATTGATCGTTCGACTTCGTTGATGTAGCTCCGTGATGAATTGGATTTGAACTCCTTCAGCAAACATTCCAATCAAAACGAAAGTTGTTAACTCACAAAGTCGACTTCGGCGCATTTTCTGAGAAGAGAGTAGTTGCCTTCCAAGACGTCGACGGTGTTGCAAGGCGCCGAGAGAGAGGCGAATCTTAAAATCCCAACGATAAGCTGTTATGACGAAAATAGAGCAAGTCCGCCGTTTCAAAGTCTCTTTAAGATCGGTGAGCGCGCAGCGAGGATGTCAGTATTGCATCACTTATTCCGAAAATAGTCACAAAAACCGACAGTTTTTTTCCCAGAAAAATGTTTTAATTGCACTTATTTTTAAAGAAAAGAACGTTTGGATAAAAGCAACGACCAAAAAATGGCTGACTTCAAAAACGAAAAAAAAATAAGTTATTATAGGCGACGAGGAGAGATCTCTGCCATTTTTGGAAGCGACTATAAGAATCTCTCCTCAGATCTTGAAAACCATGAGAAATCTTCCCTCAGACGGGTGAATTTATAGAACAATCCAAACTACACATTAAAACATCATTCCTTATTAAAATTTGAAACTAAACCTGTGAAAGAGGTTTTCGCCTTTTAAAACAGATATTCATGTACTTATAATGACGAAGACAAACCCGAACTGATCTCCAAACTTGGAAAATTCATCAATGAACTTTTTCTTCTCCGTTTCAGGAATTTCTTCTGGAAAGTGAAAGGCTCCCGAATTGACTTCAATCTGCAAAAAATTGACTTTTTCGGGATGAGTTCGAATTCTCACTTCCACTCGAGAGCCAAGTTCTGCATTTCTCATCCTCTGTTTGTACTTCTTCTCGATACGACGAATGTTGAAGTTGTATCTGAATGGCGGTTATCGTTTGCGAGATTATCATTTAGAATTTATATTATATTGCGGAATATGATGCATTTTATTGGTTTTTCACGAGACCCTCGTTTTTTAGGTATGAAGTTTATAAATGAAATCGGAAAAAGATCATTATATCATCACAAAAAAAAATATTCTCCCAACAAACTTGGTCACGAGTCACATGAAAACGAAACACAAAAAAACGCGTACTGCTCGACTATTTGAATTTCATATTTGAAAAGCGCCAGAAAAAAAGAATAAACATTAGATTTATTCGCAACAGCGTTCCGAATTGAAGCGGTTAGCTCGAATTTGCCAACTTATTGTGAAACTTGAAACAAATTTCAAAACGACCATTTTCTTTACTTTTCAAGATTTTTTTTGTGTAAAAAAACAGCTATCACATAACTTTACGAGATATATGACTAAAAAACCTTTGAGAAGCATTGAAAATCCCCCTGGAGAAATTTCGTCGTTGGTTGCTTTCCATTGAATTGTTTGTCGGCGGTTCATATTCGTCTTCCGAACTGGAAACGGCTGATGAAGACGAAGAAGAAAAGCCTTAATAATATTCTTGTCTAACCACAGCAGAGAACAGCCTTCATTTTCCCTATAAAAACCCTTTAACGAAATTCCTATTTGAAAAATCATAATTCCGATTAAGAAAATTTAAGTTTTAAAAAAACTTCGTGAAAAAAACCCACTGAAATCATCTTCTTCGTCAGATTCCTCTTCCGTTTCTTTTGCGCTCCGCGCCTCCATTCTAAGTCGTTTCAATTTTATTTCGTGCCGCCGTTCAGCTTTCGCGAGTGCTTCCAAATCTCGTTTGATAAGTTCTTCTTCTTGATATGCTTCCATTTTTTGATGCTCATTTAACTGCAAAAGACATATCTATCAAAAGTAAACTGTTCTTTCAATTTTTTGATATAAAACTCACAGACTTTTTGATATACGTTAAAGATCAGTGAATAAAAATTTTTCCGAAAACTAGGATTAAATATCAAATTCCTATTCAACTTTTTCGATTTAACAGGGCCAATTTGGAAGGTATTCAAAATAGAATAACTTGGATTCCTTATCTCCTTATTATCCTATAAAATACCTGGACAAGGCGTCGAACGATAGAGAGAATGAATGATTAGAAACCTCGTTATGTGGTCGGAACAAGGGAGAAACCGTATCTGACTGATCGAGAGCACTTACACGTCGAACAGGAGCTTTTTTATCCCGGGGCATCCTGCCTGAAAAATTTTCTTTCTTTCTGCGAATGATAATGAGAACCCTGAAGGGAGAAAAAAAAGAAGAAATTTTGGCGCCTATTTAAGATAACTTTTGATGCTTTTTTCCGAAACCTTTTCGGGTCTATGGCGGATCACCTCCTTTTAAAAACTGGCGGATGCTTAAGAGGATCTCGCGAGTAAAATTTAAATGTAACTATGAATAAGTTCGAAAAAAAATTTTTTGCGCCTATAAGAAAACTGCGCCCTCAACATTCTTTTTTGCGTGCAATCGCGGCGCAGAATTCCTCAGGCGGGAGCTTTGAATTACTAGACTGTGAAACAAGATCGTTTGTTAAAGCTCTTGCCGTGTTCAAAGTAATTTCCGCGAAATGCAAAATGGTCTCTGACCCTCCAAAATTTAGTTATCTTTCTCTTTCTCTGACGGCTATTTTGAATTTCGCGGAATCACTTTGAACACGGCATCTAACCTAGGTTTATTCAAAGATACAAGAATTAGCGTCTCCGATGAACGATAGCAAATCGGACACGCGAAGCTTCAACGTTGGAGAACAAGCATTTGCCAAGTCTTCTCTATTCGCATCACCAGCACCGAAGGTAAAAAATATACTTTAACGCTCCTTATTTTCTTTCAGAAGAAGCAAGTATGTCTTGGAGGACAAAAAAAAGAAGTTACTATCAGCAGAAAGCCACCGCCTAGTCCTTTCGTTTTACGACGTATGTTTCCTATTTTCGCTGGAAGTACAGTGACTTTTCTTTTTAAGAAAAATAGGTTAGTCACTATCATGCTAGTCCAGGTTAATTGAGTCGTGATAACCATTGGGTAAAAAATCTGATTGTGGAGCGCTTCATATCTGTAAACTTCCAATACTCTAGAGCGGAAAAAATGCGCTGATATCAAATTTTTGTGCGAGCGATTTTTTTAATTCATTATATTATCAGAACCTCAAAGCCCTACATCGAAAATTTGTTTTTGTGCGTGTTTTTTAAAATTCTCTATACTTTTTTATCATACGGTATGCGTAAAATATGATCCAATTTCCTTACTGCGTTTTTAGTTCTGCACTGGACCTTTGTTTTTTTTTTAAGCTGTTGTTGAATTTATTTTTCAAAATAGAAAAATCACCTTCAGGTGCTTCTTCAAATGCTTCAAAATCGGAAATCGTAAAGCCGCAAACAAGTTCCGAGACTGCTCCATGTTCACAGAAGGAGAACGTGGAATTGGCCAAAGAAAACGTCTCGGAAAGCGCGACGTTCATAATCGAAAAGTCGATGGCGGCTGAGCCAATTCTTCCGCAGGCATCAACAGAAGGTGAAGAAGAAAGGATGGAAGTGGACGAAGAAGTCGCGCCACAACCGTTGAAAGAAGCGGAGGTTTCCGTGGATCAGACACTGACTCCTCGCAGGCCAAGGAGACCTTCCAAAGGCCGACGATCTTCGATTCTGGTGCCACGGCTTGAAGAATCCATTGTTGCCGATTCCAACGGCCGAGAAACGACTAATACAAAGGTTTTTGAGCTTCTGACTAAAAAGTTAAGGAGAGCCGAAAATGGAAAGTTCTTAGGTATTCCTAGGTCGTCAATTATAGTGATCGGTGGTTTGACGGCGAAATATCTAGTACCAATAGTCAATATTTGCTATCACGTTCAGATTTTCTCGCTCTATTTGAGGGTGTTGAGAGCATCAAAAAAAAGTTATTGAATGCGCAGTTTTTTTTTTAAATTAATTTGGTCACTTCGCTTTAAAACGTTGCCTGTGAATTTTAAATACTTCAGCGAGAAATCACGTGAATACCCTAGTTATTTTTTGAGCTGTGACTCTTCATAACTATTCAATCCATTAATTTTACTTCTTTTGAATTAATTTTGCCCAAATAGAAATCACCGGCAGAAAAGGCAAATTTGCCTTTTTGCAAAATAGCGAGAATTTCGGAGAGTCGGAGATTATTCTAACTTTGGCAAAATATTTTAAACGCGGAGCTAATTTTGGAGTACCACGAGAAGTAAGGGCATGAGTTTGGAAGAACAGTGACACGTAGGTTTTCTCTTGATTTTCATTTCCATTTCTCTTGGGTGGTCGGGTCTAAGCTTCTCCATAGTTTCTTTCGGTTTGTTTTTACATGTCTATAAATATGAATCGTGAATCGAAACTCAGTCTGTCCAGCACTATTCGAAGAAGGCTCCAGGATAAAAAAAAAATGAATTTTAACGTCAGGAAAACAAGTCAAAAACTCAAATAACTTCTGCCTTCGTTTCAGAAAGACGAATACGCCACATTGTTGAGCGACTCAGTAATGAAGGAGCCAGATGACCCAATAAGCAATATTATTTCTTACAAAAAACGGCTCAATGCTTACGAGAAAAGTCTCGAGGAAGAGAAAATTTCGTGGGACCACCTCGTGACTACCTATCAGAAAAGAATGGTGATCGCTAAAGAGTAAGTTATATTAGGATTTATTTCTTTAAAACACTGTGTGTTTTGGTAGTGTTTTCCAAGTTAAAAATCGTCAAGTTTGATAATGAGGCTCTTTTCAGAAAAATTGACCAGCCAGTCATGGAAAAGAAAGAAAAGAAGAAGACATTCGACGAAATGTTAGAAGAAGATGATCCAAAACGTCTGATCAACAAAGAGCTCAACAAGTTCGCCGACTCCACCCGCGATGCCGAGGTTCTTTTTTTTCTCAATTGGATAAAAGCCGTTAAATTTTGAAATTGGAGTTTGACCACTGGAAGAGTCAGAAAAACACTTTTGAAAGTTTTTTTTTTCTCATTTCATATTTACCATTTCAGAAGAAAATCGCCAGGTTCACAGAGGAGTATAGGAAAACACTCGAAGAGAAAGAATTCAAAGTGAGTTCACTTTTACGGATTTCATTTAATATTCGACTTTCAGGAAAGTCGATATTTAGCTTTGAAGAAAATTCGTGATGCTCACGCCCCAACGCGAGAACAAATGGAAGAGGAAATCGCGTTTTGGTCGGAAATCAATGTGATAAACACTATGAGTACTAAAACAAGGAAAAAATCTTTCAGGACCAGGCAGCGGCACTTCTTACTGAGCGGTTGGACTGCGATGTACCATGTATCTTTTAAAAGTTAAAAACCAACCATTTTTACTCATCAATTTTTTTTCAACCTTGTGCATAAATAGCTTAAAAATCGAATTTATTCACCACTTTAGAACAAAACAAAAAAAGACTGCTGGAAACAATGAGGGCAGTGAGAGGAAATAATCAAAAAAAAAAAGAAAAGTATATATTCTGTATTAAAACTCCAGTAATATTGATGGGGAAAAAATAAATAAATGACTCGTTTCTACCTACTCGCCTTTTTTACATTAGTAACATAAACTTAAATCGAAAAGCAGCGTAATATTGAAAAAAATAAATGAAATGATCTATTGAATAGGGGCATGTGGCAAACTCTCCAAAATCGTTCCCAACAGTTTTTTGTCACCCATCTCAACGACAAGCTGAAACATTTCATTATGAAGTTCTAGTAATTTGAAACGTTTCCAATTAAGTTTTGAGTTCTTTTCAATTTTAAATTATAGTCTAGTGCAGTCTCGAAAGATAACTCACACGATCATTTGCCCCGACAGAGCTGTCGATCCAAGCGAAAGCTATCGGCTTCTGCAGTCGGACGCTGTACGCTCCAGACGTGATTTGTCCGATTCTCTGCAATGCGATGACGTTCTCAGTTATGGATCCGATGATAGCACCTCTTCCTGGCCTTCCCGTCGGATGACTTCATTGCCGACAGGAATATAACGAGTATCCAGAGGCACTTGCGACTCCGTCAAATCGAAAGTCACCAACGCCAATCTCTTTCTGGAATTCAGAACGTAGGGTTGGAGAACGATCGCTTTGAGAAAATCACTTGAATTGTGTTTGCTTGCTGAACTCCTCAGCCGAGGCGCGGCCGATGAAGTCAACCTTGCTCAGATCAACAAGTCCTGCAAAAAGGTGGATACTTTGGAAAGATCTTCTTTGAGACCTCCAAGTCCGCATTCGTACGGGTTGGTGTCGAGGGTGAGCTCGCGGCCCCAGATTTTGTAGCCGTGCTCGAGCCGCATCATGTTGAAGGTGGCCTGTCCGAAGTTGACGATTCCATGGGGACGTCCGGCAGAGATGATCGCCTGCAATCGTAGGTATTATATGACCATCTTTTCTATGCACTTTTCATAGCTCTCCTGTAGAACCTTAGGCCAAATCAGGTTCTGCTTATAAGAGGGAGACATTTTAATTCCCACTAGAGAATTTCGGCTCACTAAACTGGACGATACCAAAACGAAAAAAGTTTTCTAGTCGTCGACATGAATGTTTGGATATGAACTGAAAGTTCTTCACCTCGTACAGTTTGGAGGTCTCGGCGCGATTGTGGAAGAACTCGTAGCTGAGCTGTCCCGTGGCGGTAGACGATCGAGCGCAAACCACTCCTACGGGGCCTAGACGGATCATCCGCGTTGACCTTTGCGGGAATCCCTCATCTGACACGTCAGACTTGGTCAGTGATGAAAGAACCTGAATAATGTTTTTGTTCTGGATCGGACAGAAAGAGCAACTTCTCGGCTGTTGGGTCCGACCAGCGCCAAAGAGGCAAGGTACTCCGAAACGCACGAGACCTGCACGTTCAGATGTCGTTCTGCCGCAGCTCGTCGAAGCCTATAGCTCAGAACTTTGATTCAACTCGGAAAACTCTATTTCTAGAAGCTTGATGTTGTACGTATGGTTAAAAATCTATATGTGTGCAAAAGATCGTCAAATAATAAAATATAAATTTGATAAGAAAATTTAACAATTACAGTGTTTTCACAAACGTTTCCTCGCACGGATTAAACCCGAAAATCAAGGTAATTCCCACTTTTGGTAAGTATATCTCTTTTTTTAAAACTAAGCGATGAAGAAAAATCAATCTGACCAGTACAAGTCGCGGCTCTCGCGTTCGGGCTCGGTCAAGACGATGAACGCAGATCGCTGACGATCGTGATGGAAAATCATGAACGGGGCGAGGACATTTCCCTTACGCGTCAACATCACACCAGAACCGATTTTGCCCAGCGGGGGAATCTAATATCGCAAATCTTCTTTCTTTTTCGATTTTTTCAAGCTCACTCGACTTGCGATGACATAGTCCATGAGCGCCTCCGCGTCCCGTCCTTTCACTTCGATCTTGCCTCTCCACGACATGTCGACGACTCCGCACTTGTTGGTCACCTTCTGGTACTCTCTAGAATCATTGAGTATGTGAGCGAGACTCATATAGAGTAGTTCACCTCATGAGCGTCGAAAGGAGTCCTTCCTCTTCGTCGACTTTGAAGGCTTGTGGGACCTTGAAATAACTCGTTTTTCAAATACATGAAGACGAGGAACCTCCCAGCCGTTTCTGAAGGCGAAAGTGGCCCCTTCCTTCTTCAGCCTTCCGTAGATGCCGCTGATTCTGTCGGTGGGTCGCGCTGCCAAACGATCTGTGTAGGACCAATTGTAGTACATCGAGTAGGTTTCACGGCAACGTTCGCGTACAAATCTTCAATCTAACGATGATTCAAAGAGAGCGGCCTATTCGAACTTGCGATCCGCCCATCTTTCAAAGCGACTGGCGTCGGTATCGAACAGTTCAGCCGGAGGTTCTCCATCTACTATCCAATCGGCGAGATACTTTCCGATTCCTCCGCCACTGCTCACTCCGTCCAAGAATCCTGTCGTGAGCCAGTAATTCTTGTCATACGGTCCAACCTGAGGTATGATTCATCACAACGACAAGGAGTTTCCCACAGTTTTATTTTAACTCAAGAAGGAGCCTACAAAGCCGATAATACCATAGAAACAATCTGTTTATCAAATTTGATAGAGTTTCAGTTATTTTGAAGGTTCAGATAGAAACCTTTTTTTTTTCAAAAAAGTCTTACGAAGGCCAACCCACCAACGGATAACCGTCAGGTGTCATGTTGAAAACTGCAGCATGCGCTTCGATTTCCGCATCTTTCAACCTCGGCAGCAGCTCGCACGCTCTTTGGTGAGCCTGCTCAAGACGTGAAAAGTCGGGCTTCACGAGGCTTGATCCTTCTTCAGATGAAGAGAATAAACAAAAAAGACAGTCTTAATCCAACCATTGGGGACTCCTTTCTTAGACCAATCTTCGCGGATAACGACGCGATCGAGCGGTTCGAACCCGCCGAAAAGATACTCATCACACGACTGCCTCTTGCGGATGTAGAATGTACTGTCGTGGTCGATGAGGGCAGGCATAGGGGCTGGCGGAGACTTTGGCTGAACAGAATCCCGTAAATATACCGAAAAGAAGAGGACAACTTTGAGAACGGCGTATTGGTGCTCGACAATGACGACAGGCAAATCGTGGCCGGAAAGGCGGGCGATGTCGTTGGCCCAGATTCCGCCGGCGTTGATCAAGTTGCGCGTGAGGACGGTTGTGCCGTCCTCCAACTCGACGATCCAATGACCCTTCTCCTTGTCATAGCGGATCTGTCTCGGGATGGCGCCATCGATGACTTGGACGCCGCCAGACTTGGCCCCAGCAACGAGGGCTTGAGTGAGTCCTCTCGAAGAAACTGTGCCATCGTTGGTCGTGTAGAGTGCTCCGAGAATCTGAAACGAAAGGGACAGATTATTGCTTCGAAACATACGGATCATTAGTTCAGGTTTGACTTTTGTATTTTGATAGTAAAAAAGGCTATGTTGTAGAGCTTTTCACTGCGTGTCGAACAGTCCGCTCAAAACTGTACAAAACTTTCAAGGTTTAAATATCAAATCGAATCGCCATATCTCAAACTCCCTTTTTCAACTGATGCTCAGCTTTCGATAAACTAGAATAATGATGATATGAGAAGAAAACTTGGAGTTACTTGAGAGCAATCGATATCAGGGGCCAACTCGTGGACTTGATCCGGAGTCAGCAAAGTCGTTTTAGAGACGTCTCCCTCCTGGAAATGAAATTAGTGGAAGACAAAAGGCGGAAGGTCTACTTTGTAATAGTCGCGAGAAACATATCGCTTGAACTCTGAAAGTCTTGTTTCGTGGGTCGCTAGTCGGATTGTACCAGTCGGTTGGAAGTCGATTTTTCTGAGAGAAGACAAATAATTCAAATAAAGAAACATTGGTCTAACAAATTCAGGTTCTTGTGGGACTGCGACTGTTGAAAAAAATAGGTTTATATAATTTCTGATCGCAAAATATAGTCAACTTTCTCTAGTCAGAAATTTGAGTGATAAGAATCAAAAAAAGGCAGTCCATAACTTTTTCCGCTCTAAATTTTCGTATAAAAAAATTCTTTTTCTTCACAGGTGAGGTTAGTTAATCCACAAAGTAGTCTTCATTTTGGTGAAAAATATCTAGATAATATTTTTTTGATCCGTTCGTCTAAAAAGTCAATAAAATATGTAATTATTGTTCTCCATGTTACATATTTCCTAATTTTTCAAAGTCAATACCATCAAAAAAAATTTCTGCTCAATATTTTTTTGGGTGACTGGAAAACAGGTGATAAATTGCCCACCTCTCATCCTCCGTAATGACCAAGATTACATCAGTACTTTCTAAGAGGAAAAATGAAAAACGAACGACTCCAGTCTCCTTCTCGAGTCTCGAGTAGAGCTCAATGGAGTAGGCAAGAATGGGCTTGTAACGATGGGCGGGATGGCTGGCCGAGACGAGGCCTGGCGAGTGGAAAGAGGTGCTCCGCGGCGACGCAGCCGCTGCAACCTTTCTTTTTATTCCCCCGGTTTCTGTGACCTTTGGCTCTTTTAGAAGCTGTACAGGTGCTCCATCTCCAACTAAAGCCCTAACTCACATGAAGCGCGCTCAAGGAGAAGCACGTCTTTTATGTTTCTCTTGTTCAGATGGTAGGCCACCGAGCTGCCGGCGACGCCAGAGCCCAAAACACAAGCAAAAACGTTCATTGTGCTCCCATATCTGAATGAAAATAAAATCCAATCGACTAAACAAACACGGCAAAAACTTGACCTTATTTACCCTTCGTATATTTTTAGAATATAAAAAGTGAGCTTTGAATTGGCAACAAAGTTATCGAAATTCGATAACCATTATTTGAAAACTGTTGCTTGAGTTTTTGAAGATATATGAAGAAAAATTCCAAAGTATCAAGAAACCGTGCTCCGGGTTATTTTTTTGCCGAAAAATTTCGCGCCTTCAAAAAAACATTGGTAGGAAAAATCAAACTAAATTTATTGTTTTTGAGATGAAAAGCAGGAAGATAACTTTTTGATCACAAAAAAACTCGAAAAGACTAAAATTATATAAGGATTATCCCCATAAAAACTATTTTCCTCTGAAAAACAGACCTTGTGGAAATGCGGGAGGCTATTGCAGCATTCCGCAACGAATTCGTTCGTTTCAATGTTAGCATAATCTGTGAATTCCAAATTAGAGGACTTTTTTGACGAAACAATCAACATGAAAAACATAACAAGAGAAATATAAGGTTGAAAAAAAGAAAAAAAGGTAGTACTTTTCAAAAAAGTGAATTCAACAGCAGACGGTTATGAACAAAGAAAAAATTGGGCGGCTGAAGATTTGAATAAATTTGAATCAAGAGTTACGAAAAAGAATAGAGCGAAAGGAGTGTCTGAACTGATATTAAATCATAGAATTATATCGAATCTGTCATATACAGTGAGTTCATCTAAAAGTAAGAAAATCGAGAAAAAATATTGCGTTGGGACTCGAATGTCCGCCTAACACATGATAAGAGGTTCTCCGGCTAAACAAGAGAGCAAAAGCTCGTGGAACAAACAACAACAAAGAGGCGGACAGCGAACACAGCACATGCCGGTAGCTTCCCAGCGTTTTCTGCTCTCTAATCCAATCCTTTCAGATCGCAGGAAAAAGCAAAAATAAGTTCGAATGATCGAAAAAAATTTCGATGTAAAGTAATTTCTAATCGGCAAGTTATTTAATGGGTGGATTTTTTTTTCCGATACTTGAAAAAAGATAAATAAAAATAACTAACGAAAGTTTCGACCTGAGGTCGTATTCGAGTTTGCAAATAAAATGTTTCCTACCTCTATTTTCATTTGATACTCATTTACTCTCCGTTTTTGAACATTCAGGCATACGGCCTCTGATTCGATCAGTTCCATAAAATTTCAGCCATGCAGGAATTATATGCTAACGAGCTTTACCTTGAAAAATTATTAAAACAAAAACGAGCAGTTTAGTGGTACAAACTGGAACAAATTTAAGGATTTACCTCACGAAGATTAGGAGGAATACGTCAGAAAAAGTTAGTTTTTGGATGTTATCAACCGCAAACAAAAAACTCGCGAGCTCGAAAAAACCTTCATTTGAAATTTCAATCAAACGGCATTTAACAAGAGATAAAACAAGTTTAATTCGGTTCAAACAGCAACAAAATATAAAGGATAATCATAAATTAAGCATTGAATAAGTTCGAAAAAAAGTGATTAATTGATAGTATATGATAAACAAAGATAGGTCAGGTTTGAAAATCAACAAATTTAATTTTAAAACTTTTGAGGATAAAGTAGAAAAAAATTAACGAATTCCGTTTCTCAAAGAATGAGCCCAAACTTTTGAGAAAATTCGATGTAGGAAAATAAATTCAGATTCCGAGGGAAGCCTGCAGTTGCAGAAGTTTGGAGGTGATGTGTGACGGGAACTTGTAAGGCACGCTCGCCGCGTAAAGAACGATCGCCTTCACCTGAAAATAACAAACTAATTTCTTGCTGTGAGTATTTTGAAAAAGAGCTTTCAGAGCAGATTCAAAGCCTTGAGAATCTAATTCTCAGAGCACTTGTGAAAAAGGATCTCGTATTTGAAAAATTCAAAAACAAATTCTTTAATAACGAAAAGTGCCCATAATAAAATACTTTTTTTTTACTTAATTGAAATAAAAACTACGTCTCGATGTCTGTTTCTCTTTGTATTTTTCCATTAAAAAAAAATTCTTTCCGTCTTTCATGCTTTCAATTTTTTTATGTTCCAAGCTCTATGCTCGAAAAAGTTCATCAGTAATTTAAAAAAAGTTCTATATGGCGAAATTGAGATAATATATCATAGGTTGGCGAACGACGGGGGAAATAACTGAAAACCCAAGGAACTAAACTTTCATCCATGAAATATTCTTTCACTCTTGTGGTTTTTCAGAAGCTCAACAAAAAACAACAGAATTTCCCATTTTTCAAATCAAAAACTTCTCATTTCAAATTCATTCTCTGGGAGAGGAAAAATGTCTGAAAGCATTTTTCACCCAAAAAAGTTGATTATCAACCCATTTGGCTGTCTCGAAGCGCTCACGCTATCAAACCATATCAGAAAGGGCAGAGTGAGGTACGAGCGAATGGGACAGAAATTCGACAGACAGCCCCTGATTTAACGTCAATATCGCTCGCCTTCATTTTTCCTTTTCTTAGCACCGAGTTCTCTGCTCTCAAAAATTTTCGAACTTGATTTTATTGGTATATATACCTATACTTTCTCTGAAAATGATTTCATATCTAAGAAGAACTGCTGGTGAACGTCATATAGGTTTTGACTTCAAGCTGAGAAGTTAAACCCTTTCATATATTTTTATATGGTTAATTCGAATCTTACTCAACCCATTGTCGATGTGTATAACCAAACCTAGCCGTTAAAGTTTTGGATTTAATTTTTTCGATTTTTAGGCTTTCTTAGGGGCTTATATCATCGATGAAATGTCGACTTTAACATGTACATATCGAAGATTGGACAAAAGAGTAAATAGCAGTTAACATAAACTCATGTACGATCAGGAGTTCGGAATCGTTTTTATTTCCTCGATAAATGAGAGGAACCGTGTCAACTTTCATGCACACGGCCGCAGAAGATAGAAAATATAGCCTTTCTGCCACAACTTTTCAGAAGCTTCTCCGCTGGCACTGATATAGTTATGATGATATTTTCGAAAAAAAAAACTAGGAGAGAAAATATATCGGTGCTGAATTTGGCTGTAGCTCAAAAGCGCTTTCATAATTGAAAATTTTATTCCATTGGAAATATTTTCTTTAATTTTAACCTCCCATGTGACGTTGAAAAACGATATCGGTCAAAGGATAAGCCTTAGCGAACATCTCCGATCAAAGCGACAAAAAATAGCAGAAACTGACAGCCGACTAAGAGAACGTGCGTTTCGCACACAAAAATCCTGTGTTTGTACTATCGCTATTTTTATTTGTATTTCCTAAGCTGGAATTCATCGGACCGGAATGTTATGAAGCACAGATTCTCTTATTCTTTCACCTAAACATCTATAATTTCATTCTCTTGATTTCATAACTCTCCTTTTTAGGATGGTAATAACGCGTTTTCTGGAGAAAATGAAAAGTCGAATGGCAGCACTTGCCTTTGCATTTCTCTTCTCGGCATCGGTGGGTTCAATGGAAGCCTGTTAAGCTTTTCCTTCCTTTAATATTAACAAAGTTGCAGTTATGAAATTTGCGTGACAAAACCAAAAACTTCAATAGAGTTTTGAACGTGAGAAATATTAGAATAAAATTTTGAGAAATCTACTTTGAACTTTGCGCGAGTGATTAGATAAAAATTTTAACGATAAGAATATAGTGGCTAACGGCACGCAGCAAGTGTATGATAACCGAAAAATAAAAACAAACATCCTATAGATCTAACCAGCCTCGCAAAAAAAAACTTTGGCAATCAATCAAACCATCCGTTTAGTGCATGTAAGACAAAAAGCCAGACCGCAATAAGACAACAAAAAAGCCACAGACTTCTGAGCATTTAAGGGCGACAGAATGTGGACATTTTTTTTGGGAATTTTCGTCCACAAAATCGGAGGAATTCTCTGGGTTGCAGTGCAGCAATGCTTCGATTCGGTTATCAAACTCGTAGCGATGCCTTACATCGGAAGGGTGCTTGACCGTGTTAACAGATTTAAAGGTACCCTTGTAAAAATGAATCAGATGTAAACTGAACTACAGCCCTCAAATATACTTTGATCGTCAACAACGTCGCAGTCGCGGTATCTTCAGCTGCTTTCGGTATCGGCTTCGGGTCTATAGACGATGAAAAAAAAACTGTAGGAGTTATTGCAGTGGTAAGACCTCTGAGGTGGAAAACATATACATAACTTCACCAGCCCGCTCTGATTTTCGCTGTCCTTTTCTCATCGGTTTCACGACTTGCATCCGAAACTCAACGAACGGCCTTCACTAAAGATTGGGTGGTAGTTATAGATGATACTGAACGCAGCCCAAACCAAAGAACAACAACATCTCTTTCTGGTGAGTGCCGATTCAAATTTTAAACTTAATGAGAGTAATAGGAAAAAACTCGGCGATGACTATGATCGACCAAGGATCGTCGTTGTTAATCCCGCTCATCAGTGGCTACTTCTTTGAAAACGTTAACACGTTAGGGAATGAGAAAGGGTGTAAAAGAAAGAAAAATTCTTGAGGACGTATCTATGCTTTGCAATTGTCCTCTACAATTTTACTTCGTGGTACATTGAATGGAAATTGCTTCTTAGAGTGTATAAGATGACGCCCGCTTTGGCGCTGCGAGAAGGTTTGCTCGAAAAAAGAAAAGCAAGAGCTCATGAGGTTGATCCTATAGGAACTACCGAGGTAGTCCGAGGGGAACGTACAAAGACCAGTTGGACTTTATCCTTAAAGCTCTACTTTCGGCAAAATTGTTGGCTGGCTGCTTTCGGTTTGGCTCTTCTTTACATGACCGTTCTTGGATTCGATAATGTGAGTGAATTAATTTTCTCTAAAAGAGTTTTCGCGCAGCTGGCCATGTCTTATGGACAAAGCCATGGAATGTCAGCAACTACAGTCGGGATTTTCCGCTCTGCCGGTTCCGGCATGGGTTTAATGGGCGCCGCAGCGTACCCACATTTAGTCACAATCTTCGGCGTTGAGTGGGCAGCTTTGATAGGACTCATCGTGAGTTTCGCAAGAAACGAAATAAAGATAATGACGACAGTGGCAAAACGTGTTCATCGAGATGAGTGGAGCGTCCACTCTCATGCCAGGAAGTCCCATGAATGTGACCGGCTACGTAGATACGTGGACTGTAGAAGTAATGAGAGATAAAAAAAAAAGATTTAATAACAACGAGATTCAGAAATGGAGATCTGACATATGGGGCAAACTAAAAAATCCTGGGAACAATGACGTTCCACCGGTAGGCATTTTTTCTTTACCTTCCGACATAGTCGTTTTCTTCCTCGGCATAACACTTGCGAGATTCGGTAAGAGTTGTGTTGTTAACTACCGTTACCCTATAATTTAAGGGTTGTGGATAGCCGACCCAGCCATCACTGAAATAATGCAGAGAACAATACCGGAAACCGAAAGGTACACAGTTTTCCTGGTGCAATCTTCCTTATGTGAAGCTTTCTCCGTATTTAAAGATGTCCTGGTATGTTCGAAACGAAAATAAATAAAATCTAAACTTTTTGAGGTGTTTTTTTTCGCTGAAACCGAGCTTTTCGGTGCTTTATCCATCTTATCATGTGCTTTCGTCTTCTCCGGTCTCTGCTTCTACTTTTCCTATTTCCTACAGGTATTTTTTAATCTTATTCTCTTTCCATTAGGATATATGGAGCTTTTAAAAAGCTACTATTTTATTTCAGAACGCTAGCTGTAGAAATAGAAGAGCCGAGGCAGAAGAGACAGAGCTAAGATCGAATGATGGACAAAACCAAGAAGAGCAGCAAAGATTGGTGGAAATTCCGCTTACGGAGATAAATGAGACCGAAGCTCATCTCGCGTAGAAATCGCCGAAAACATTTGATAAGAGGGCGCAGGATCTCTAGAGATTTCTACGCTTTTTTTTCACAGAGTTTAACCTGTTACTCAATTCACATTATTTTCACAATACCGGTACGAATGAAGTAGTTTTATGACAGTATTTTCCTCGTTTTCTTAGTTTTGCAAATTTCCAGATAGAAAAAGAATAAAAGATTAATTTTCACACGAACCTGTTTGACAAATTGATTCTGCGGAGAGAAGACGGAAGATCCACGCGAACTTAGGGGACTTGTCCTTCCCGTGACGGATGATCGAATGCAAGAATCAACCAGACATTTCATCAGGTTGTGGCACGCGTCCGGCAGAACTTCTCGCACCTTGATTCGTTTTCTTTGATCACGTGGCTTAGACCAAATCAAACCTTCTGTGGAACCATATGAAATTCGCTGACAATCACCGAAACGCTCTCAGGTTCCGTGGGAATCAGTCGGAGAGATTTGGAGATGCTGGAAAAAAAAAACCTTCATTTTCTTTTTCGGTTGTTCAAAAACGTACTGGAACGCTTGCTCGGCGTCTTCGCGAGAACAACGATCGAACAGAACGCTGAGATCCACCAGCAGTGAAAGGGTCGAAAACTCAGAAAGGTTGCAACCGCGTTGAACTGAAAAACACCAAGAATGATCATTTTTGACGCAACAAAACCTCTTTTGAACTCCTCGGCAACTTCTACAAGTTCAACAGTTCGTTCTTGATTTTGAGCCCTGAAGAAAAAAACAAACTTAGAAGATAAAGATAATTATTCAAATGATACATGTAGGGGTCTTCCTAGATTAACCTCAAAGCCTCGCTGATCTCCGACGAGAGGAGAATGGCGGCGTTGGTTGGTTCATTGGCGAGGAGAAAAAGTCCAACAGCAGCAGCCCATTCTCCCGAAAGTTCTGTGTCTAGCGCCACTCGCAAAATAACTTCCGTCGGATCATTGATGTACCTGGAACGAAAGAATAAAAAAGCTTTCATCATTAAATTAAAACTTGTAGAGCGTGAATAGAAAAACCGCAAACCACGCATATAATTTATTATTTGGTTCCTCTATCTGGAAATGAGTTCTTGTAAAACTATTCAATATTAGAATAAAACGTGTCACTTTGTCAACTGCATTTCCCAACACGCGGCGATCCGGAGTTCGCTGTTTCGCGAGCTGGCAAATCATGTCCTCAGGTGACCTCCTACTTCCCTAGATGTACGATCAGAATTTCAGCTCCGAAGTTATTCTTAAACACCGATTTTTCAACACTAACACAGCTTCTGCTAGCATTCATATCGATATTCATGACACCCCTGATGATTGGCAACTGCGCGAAGAAACGAGTTTGTGGTTCCAAATTTGAATTTCCGTTCAAAGTAATTTCGGCAAAATAGAAAAAATCCAAAAGAGATGAAAATTTTTGGAGAGTCAGAAATCGAAAGATTACTTTGAGCGCGTCGTAAAATTCGGAAATATAGAATCACGCTGTAAACATGGACGATGAAGAAATGGCAAACGATGAAGAAGGAGCAAACAAACGGAAAAATGCCGGCTACGAAGATCGGCTCAAGGTTGAATCACTAGGCTATCAACCTAAACTACATCGTTTTCAAGAAGCCCAACAACATCAGATCGAAATTGAAAAACGACTTTTGGCAAGCGATTTCTGAGATATCTGACGTGAGTTGTTCTAAAAATGTCTCTTCAAGCCGAGTTCTGTAAGAGACCGCATCACACTCCGCCACCCAATTCGGCAGTCCCCGCTCGTTCAGTTCTCCGAACTGCGTGCCCTATTCACGGCGCCTTCTCCACGGCGAAGACAGGAGCGCAAGAAACTCGTGAATTGACGGAAAACGAAGCAAACGATTGTTTCTGGTCGGAAGGAAATTTAGAAGACACCCAACTGACGCAATGTCCGTCTACGGAAGAATGGAACGTCATGAAGGAGACGGACCCCGCAAGTGAGACATTTTTTGAAATTATTTTTCATAACTAAATCCAGAATGCTCAAATGCCGAACGGGAAGAGTCTGAAGAGGTAGAAGTGGACAGATGCACATGTACCAAGAACAAGAAGTCTGTGCATTTTGCCAAGTAGTATTTTTCAACCTCAAATGAACTAACGATCGAATAAATTTTAACAAAGAAGAGATGAAAACTGTAAAAACAAACGCACTCATCAATAAGCCCCGGTAATCGCCCGCCTTCTTTTGCCAGTGTTCCCAAGATGACATCAGCGTTTCCAGTAAGGTAAACCGAGCGGCTGACGGCCATTTCGAAGACATCGGAGCCAGTTGGTGTTGAGATTCCCTGAAAAAATACGCATGCCCGAAGAAAAGATTTACTTTGATTGAATCCAAAGAAAAAAGCCTCGAGAAACTTCAAAGAAACTGTCAAACAAAAAAAAATTAGTTTCGACAATCAGAACTTTGAGAGCACTCCGGTTTTAAGTATTTGCGTAAAGAAGCTTTCCAAAAAAGATTCGTGTAAAATCGGAACTTTTGACTGAAAAAGTACTTTACAGGGTTTCGTATTACTAGCTTAGTTTTTGTGAAATTCAAATTTTCGGACCAAAATTTTTCAGTCGTTTTCAGTCATTTGGTTGTTCTCTGATAATGAACACTAATGCGTGATAAAGCTGAATGATTCAGATTTTCTGCAACACACCTTGAGAAGGAAGAAATAGTCGAGAGATCTAGGTACATCGAGAAGTTCAAAGTTCTTCGTGTATGCCACAATCAGTCGTGCAAGGTTCAAGTAGCATCTCGTAGCTTCAGAATTGTCCACAACCACTGAGAATGAAAATGGAAAGAGAAAGGGATGACTGGAAATTACACATATCGTCTGTAGAGTTTTCCGTCATTCGCAAATATCCAAGTCGATGAGTCAGCACTGCGACATGGACACAATCAACCCTTTGGCCGCATTCGTTCAGAAGCTGGATCTCGGTTTTGTTGGAATAACTGAGAAGCGCTAACCTCAATCGCTCTTTCGAACTGACCAGAGAGCCAAAGAGCGGTGAAGAAGTACTGGAACTCAGATCGGCCGTTGGCCATGAAATACTGCTGCCCTGAAACGAGGGATGCAACTTCCTTACAGACATCTGCAGACCATAATCAATGGCAATCGACTTCTGAACTTCCTTGTAGAGGAGGGGAGTGATGTGAGGGTCTACGCGAAGTGGGAAAAGTTTGAACCACAGCCAGTTTTCCAAAGTGTCCGAAAGGGCCGATTCTGAAACTTTCAATAGTTTTCAAACAAGACTTTCTTCACACACCCAATCCACCGAGCAAAGCTGCATACAGAGCTCTTTTGTGCTTGTCCTTGATATGGCTCGAGTTGTGACGCCACTCGACTTTCAGCTTCTTTTTCAAATCTCCGTCGAGCCTGTAAAAGGGAGCGTTTGGAAGTTTGATAGAACCCGAATCGATTAAGGTTCTGAAACTTTTTGTGCTTTGGCACTAACTAGGGAACTTCTCACAATTGCAAAATTCCATGATCAACGATCCGTTTTTTTTTCCAATTTCAACTTGAGCGGGTTCAAAATAAACTTTCGTGCGTCTTATTCCTGGAATGCCCTTTCAGAAGCTGCTAAATTGATACATATTTCTTTCTCATATTGACTATGGGTAAATTGATAAATTTCTTCAGAGTTGAACATTTTCCACCAGAACGCTTCATTAGACAATTTTATACGCCGAAGAAGAAATGATACTTTCTGCCTATTTCTCGATATAATCTCCCTTCAGGTTCCCGTAACTATTCCTTATTCTTCACATGCAATCATAGCAAAGTTTACTAGTGTTTTGTTTTTTTTTTCACTTAATATGGCCTTCTAGCTTTCAGTAGCCACTGTTTCAGCTTTTCTCTTCAAGCATGATTGAGTTCAATAACACTAACTTTCCGTTGTCGGCTAGGTGGTTCAAGGCGGCGACAAGAGTCGCGGATTGCGGGAACGACTGCAGTCGCGTCAACGCATCCTTGGCGGCGGAGACGTCGCCAGCGCGAACGCAGTGATACGTCACTTCCCAGATGGGCAATCCATCGATGTTGTCGTCTTCGGCGTTTGGATCGTCCGCTCCAACCTTTCAAAATCATCAATTTTTCAAAATATCAATTTTTTCTAACTCTTTTCTGAAAGTTCTAACTGCGTCAAGCGTATAAAAAAAGCCATATGTTATCCTGTCAAGCAGAGCTTCGCACTGTGTCGGCCATAGTTATGCAACGCGGTCGCGAAGCGTTCGCACATTTGTTACTTTTCAAAATGTTTTGGTCTCGAAACTTTCTCAGAATGTGTATATGGAGGAGATAGTGATGAAAAATGTGATATTTAGAAAAAAATATTTGATGTAACTTATAAAAGGGGATAAAAGTTTGTGATTGCGACGAATTTTGAGCCGATTTGGCCACTACCCTCGGTCCAGCGCACAGATCTGCTGTCAAGCAATGGCTTTGAAAAAAGTCGCAGAGTAACGGAAATTTTTGAATTAACTCGCAGCCGTTTCGGGTCTCAAAAATTGACGGCTCAAGAGTGTGTTCATGAGAAAGAACAAAATATACGCTCTTTCGATATTACTTTTAAGTGAATCATTCTGACTTTACTCGAAAATTCAATATTATTGTCTTTTTCAGGTAAAATCTTTCAGAGCCATGCCAGCCAATCTAGAGAAAAACTCACGCTACTATTGTTTGAAAAAATATAAATGGACCAAACCTTCAAAAAAGCTGACACTAATCCTCGAACTCCAGGAACTCCGCCCCGTTCAGCTCGCTCCAAATTACGCTCCACAACGGTCTGCATATGGTCCGAGAACCTAAAAAAAAACGAAAATTAAATGGCGCATAGTTTCAGTAAATTTTCAAATTCTTTATTCGGACCATCGAAGACTCAGAAAAGCTTCAACACTATTTTGCTTCCGAACAGTAAAACGTACAGTCTGTGCAAATAGTCGCATGCATCCTCAAGTAACTGCGCCGTTGTAATGACGTCGTCTCTTTGTGCAACAGTCTGAAAAAGAAAAAAGTAGGAGTAGCAGAAAATGTAAAAGAAGCATGATCATTGATTTTTTTCGGTCAACTTCAAAGACTTCACTAATTGAAACAAATTTTTTTTTTGAAATTTTCATGGGTAGCTAGATAAGCTGACGGCGAAACTATCTCAATCGAAAGGTTTTCCTTGCATACTCTCGATTTAGTTTCAGCTACTAAAAACCTTTTTGTACACGACTGCGGTGACATCTGACCAGACGCCTTCGAGAACCCCATCTGTCCCACTCTCCGCAACCGCTTCTTTCATCAGCTCGCAAATATTCTTCTGTAAGAAACAATGGGACTGGAGAAATAAGCTAACAAGGTACTTTTCCACCACTACGAAGATATTTCTTCAATTTGTCCCCGAAAATTAGTTCTCGTCGATCTTTCACCAAGGGATTGACAAAAGTGCCGCGAGGTGTTGCTACCGCCTGGAAAAACAAAACACGTATAGACAGGGACGTAAAATGTTCAGAAGAAAACGAACATCTTTGACGTAAGGTTGTGCAGGTGCTAATGCGGGAGCTGCAGGCCGAGAGAGGAGCATGTGGTTGAAAAAAGCTCGGTCTGTCTCGACCTTGATCCGCGCCGCGTCCTGCTCCAACTCATCAGGATCGGCCTCATCAAAGTAAGACGCTGGTGGGACTTCTGCGGGTAGTTCTTCTCCCAGATTGATCGTCTCCGTCGTTTCGTAAGTATTTTCCTTCTCTCGTGGTGGAATAATCACGCCGCGTTCGCCAAACACGATTTTTGTCTGTAGAATATTATTCATTTGCTGTCAATCATGACTCAAGATCATATTAGATTAGTAAAATTATACCTTAACTGGCGAAGAGCCTTTGACCCAAAGATTCTCACTGACGTCGAGAATTTTGAAAATTTCACTCTCGACTATTCGCGGCGCAAAAGCGTTCTGGAACGAAAAGCATAACTTTGGCTCTAGCAAAGCCTAAAACCTATTAACTCCAATTTACAGTAAACCAGTTAACTACCTACAAAGATAAAAAAATCGATGAATATCAAAAAATCGGGAAAACTTACACTGAGTTTCGGAATTTCGATACTCACCCGGTGGTCCTCAAAATCCATTGAAGAAATCATGGCGCTGCTCTCTCCAGACGTCGTTGCGATTGAAGAATGATTGTCCATTCGTTCAAAAACTTCTTCAAGGTTGAGCATTGCTATATATGCCCTCCTTCAATATTTTTCTATTATATTATCAAAATTGCTGAGTATCATACAAGAACTGCGATCTTACGGATAGATATATACTACCCCTAAGCTTTCAAGTCTTTCAAGGAAAACTCGGAAATATTGAAAAAAGAACGATAAAAAATGTATGGAGACATTACATTTTCTTTGTGGCGTGTTCTTCGGAGACACGGAACATGCTTCAAAACGAAAAATCGTGTTCATATGCCAAAGTTGCTTCAAAACAGTACTAATTTTTGTTTTGGATCAAGTTTCCTGCGTCTCGAAGCCATTTTCGTTTTGTCCGATGAACACGCCATTGAAGAAAAACGGTTGCAATTTGAAATTCGGAAAAAAAACGGTGCAAAAACATTCTCTTTAGAGCGCGGTTGCATTGCTGCCGGATGAAAAAAAAATGATCATTTATCTCACTTTCTAGCTAGATCTAGCGATCCTATTTTAATAAATAGTTTTCTAGGTGCAATGTCATGTAGTGTTCCAGAAAAGCTTGGTAAAGTGTATAAATCCTTGTCTTCTTGCATTTTTGAAAATCTCGCGTTTGAAGAATACATTTTTCGAAACCACGACGTTGCGAAAAATGGAGAAGCTTTGATTACTTGGAGGTTTTATCGGGTTCTTATGCAAATTGAATTTTTTTTACAGTAATCGACCTGCCGTAGTGTTTGGTAGACATCAAAACCCATGGCTTGAAGTAAATTTGAAATATGCGAAGAATAACGAAATCTCCGTAGCTCGCCGACATAGCGGGGGTGGAGCAGTTTACCACGACGAAGGTTGGAAAGCGTTCAATTTGTCCTATAGAAGCATATTTAAAACCTTTAACTAAAATATAATTGTGGAAATGATCCCAGAACAAACTTCTCAGGAAACGTGAATTTCTCCCTGCTAACCACCCACCAAGCGCACTGCCGTCCGAGAAATCTTCGATTTGTTTCCGAGGCTCTCAATAACGCTTACAAATTGCAAGTCTGTTTCCCGAGCCTGATTTTTCACACCCGAAAAGATTGTTCCAAACAAGCGCGACGACATGGAGCTGCAGCCCGGAAACAGGAAGTGCTCAGGGACGGCCGCTAGGATCGCCCACGGCATGGCCTACCACCACTTTACTCTTCTAGTCGTCGCCAACCTCAAAGTTCTGTCAGCGTCACTCAACTCCCCGCACAAGGTGAGACTTGTCCTTTTTTCCAGCTTATTTCTTTGAAGAACCTCATCGAAACGACTGCGACTCGGAGTGTTCGAGCGCCGGCGGTTGGTTTTTTGGCTCAAGATGATCAGCGCGTGAATGTTCCAAGTGTCACTGACGTCATCGTACGATCTTTTTGCGATAAAAATCAAGTAGGATTTTGTTTTTCTTGGATTTTGGTTCTCTAGTCGCAGGCAATAGAATACTTTCACCTTTGACAGTTATTATTTGATGAAAGTTTGAATTAAAAAATTATTTTTCCAATTTAAAACATGCGTTTAAATCCAAAATACTTGAAATTAAATTCCATGGACATATAGCACATCTGTTCAGCCCGTCCGGTTTGGCACACTGTATTTTTGTTTTAATAATGAAGTTATTGCATGCAAACGACAGCAAGTCTTGACAAAATGGCCAAATTTGAGAAATCCGTCTTCTAAATTTAGTAAGTATAAAGTCGTTTTTTCCTGTACTTTTCTATCTAATAATGTCAAAAATAGCCCTGTTCACTTTTTTAAATAGAAAAAGGAGTAAAGAATGGTCTAATATGGTCAGTGGAGACGGCGCAGTGCAAACTGACGGGTCCCTGTACGTCTGAACTGGTGTGATAGAAGAATATTTTTCGGTCACAAATCACGGATTTTCAAATCTTAGTGGGAAAGCACGCCGAAGATTATGTTCCTGTTTTCCACGATATCGTTGCAGGGAGCTGAGGTCGAAGTGATAGACGTTGGTTTCGAGATCGAAAATAACGCCGATATGAGAAAGATCTACGACGAGCTGTGTGACTGGAAATGGATATACGGCAAAAGTCCTTCATTTGTCTACCGGAAGGACGACGTAGCTGCAACTGTCAAGAACGGCATCGTCGTCGAGTCTACAGGAAGTCTCAACGCCGGAGAACGATTTGCACTAGACTAACAATCCATTTTGAAGTTGTGAAATGATTTTTTTTTTTAATTCAGCGGGTTTGCTTTTAGTTCATATTTTTTTAAGGCGTGTTCATCGGATAAAAAGAAAAATTTCCCAAAACGCAGGAAAATTAAAAAAAAAAAGTTAGTCTGTTTTGAAGCAACTTTGGCGCCGATTTCGCTTTTTGATACATTTTTCATTTCTCGGATAAACACGTCATTAATTTAGTGGCACGCTTATAATAATTTAATGTTGTGTTTTATCATAGGAAAATTTCATTTTTCACTTTGTTAGCTCGTTAGGATAGAATATCTGAATCAGTTTTGTCTTCATTCCCAAGTAGAACAATACGAAAAGAGTTTGAATTCGGAGAACAATTGGTTTGTTGAAAAGCCACGTGCAAATTGAGCACCGTCGACAAAGAATGGAAGAGGAGACCCTTCTGTTCTGTCGCATATTATGCAAATGTGTCCACTTATGGCTCCAAGCTGGGCTTCTCTGACATCCTCGTTTCTCTTTGGCCCCGCCTCTTTGTGTCTTTCGATGGAGAATCTTTTGTCTTTTTCGCTGTCCTTTCAAAATCTCCAGGCTAGAAGTCCTTTGATAAATCTTTATTGATTTTTCGTCTTTTTCCCAGCGTGAAAAGAGAAATTTATTTTCTTTATCATGATTATTCACTGTCTTTCCCTACTTGAACTGATCAACCTCTAGATGTTGAAACAGCTTATTTTTCGCCACTTGGATGGAAGATTGGCAAAGGTGTCGATGCTGTTTTTGATGATTTTGCTGCCAAAGGTCGGCTCCTCTGAAGTGGCCGTTTGTCGGAGCTTCTGGTTCTCGAACCGCCCGTCTCAGGACTGCTCCTCGATGGGTTTGCGGCAGTTGCCGCCGCTCATGCCCAACGTTTTGTCGTTGGTTCTTTCTAACAACTCGTTGGTCCGTCTACCGAGTGTCCCGACCAACTACCGCCGTCTTCTCGTGCTGCAGCTTGACGAGTGCGCCATAGAAAACATCCAAGTCCAGGTACAGTGATCATTTGGTCTCTCTGTTCGTTACTCTTATTGAAGAAACATACACTTTTACCATAAAAAGTAAAGTTGCGAAACAATAAAACCAACAATATATCTTATTGAATGTCTCAGTGGAGAAGAATCTCTCCATTAATTTGCTTTATTTTCATAAAGGTTGAATAAAAACTTTTCAGGCTTTTTCGACATTTGAGCAACTGCAGGAACTGGATTTGTCAAGAAATAAACTAGGCAGTTTAGTCTTCCACAGGAACTTGCACACTCTACGAATCCTTAACCTAGCCTACAATTCTTTCGTGTAAGTTTTGTTCAATTTTGCATGGGTCTTACCTAAGAGAGTCTCTAATTGAATTCACTGCACCTCCTTGGTGTTGAAAAATGAACAAAAAATTTTCATTTTACTTGGAAAAATTAGGTGGGCACGGAAGTACTCGAAAGACAAATCGCGTGTGTGAGGACACTTCAAATTGTTTTTAGACCTGTTGGGAGTTTTTTAGTACACGATTCGGAAGTTCCCACATTCGTTCTATCTCGGAGTTCGCTCAGGGAAAAAAATCCGATTAAAAAAAGTTTTTTTTTGAACTTGGATAGAGAGGTTCTGTGTACAGGTTCCTGCCGGACCTGTCTCAACTGACGTCTCTACGACTTTTGGATGTCTCCCACAACCGGCTGACGTCAGTCTCCCCACGGCTTCTGCCTCTAAACCTCGAAGTGCTGCGGCTTTCCGGCAACCGCTTCGAACACCTTTCTCCGTGGCCTTTCCTCACCAAACTCAAGGTTTTTTTTGTTGTTGTTTTTGCTCGGGACTAGCTGTTACTACTGATCGAGTCAGCATTCGATCCCATCGAAAGAAAAAGAAAACCACGAGGGAATGAAGTAAATCGGAAATGGTTTTGATATTCTGAACAGATTAACGTAGAAATTTTCTCTTCTTACGAGCGATTCTGACGGTTAATGCAGGGCATTCGTCCCAAAACACGTTCATCAGACCTACTCAATGAGCCGTGTCATTGTGACCTCTCGATTCCATTATTCCCTCGGGATTAATTTGGTTCCGACAATCTCATTGGATTCAATCTATCAAACACAGTCTCAATATAAATCTCTAAAAGGGTTGCTATGATGAATGAAGAGGAAATCAGTTTAGACCTGTTTCTGAATTTGAAAATTATCATTTTCTTTTTTCAATTTTTTTCTCTATATTTTCTGTGAAATCTTATAGATCACCTTTTAAAATCAGAAATGGTTTTTTTTTTGCTTCTAAAATCCTTTTCGACTTTCAAAAATTAACCGTTTGACGAGTTTATTAGTGTAAATGACCAGCGATGGGAGGAAAAGGGGTGGCGGGCATGAGAATATGGCCAAGAAAGGGAAGGAGCAGCTGTGACATTCGAGCCGCGGTCCTTCAAGCCATTCGAATCACTATTCTCTTTTTCCTGTGTGAAAAAGTGTGCATACGAGGCGAATGACATGGGAAATATTGCACGGAATAATTTTAGAAGAGGGTTGATCTAATATTTTCAGGAATTGGATGTCTCTTTCAATACTCTGGAGTGCGACTGTTCGTTATGGCAATTCGTGAACTGGGCAGAAGGTCTCGCTCTTTTTGACAGGTTTTTTCTGAATTCATAGCTGTAAAAACTCTGAAGATCGATATTTAAATATTTTGTTACAGCTCGGTTCTGCCTTGTCGAAGATTAGGAGAACTTCGCAAAAGTCCCTTGGATGGCAAGGTGATTTTCACTAAATTAAAAAGTATTGTATAATGACGTGTAAAATCAATTTTTTTTATTCGCTTTCAATCCACCGTTTGTCCAGAACATTCCAAAAAAGTTCTGCGTCTTTGAAAGAAACAACTCTCACGTAACTTTCACCGAATTAACCATAACCTGTACCATCACTTTCACTGAATGTCAACTGATCCTTTCTTGTCGATTTCAAACATTGAGATTAGAGCTATTCATCTTATTTCCATGAAATCTCCAGACCAATCACCCAAATGAGAACGACTCGTCACGAATTGATGGGTCAGTCGCGAAATGAGCCACGGCTCATTCATCAAAAGGGTTCCCAAGTCGCTTTAATTCGGAAAAATCTTTGTTAGTGGAGCTTAATTTGATTAAAGTAGGTATTCTGGAAATTCACAAATCGTAGTTGAGTTATAATGTTGGAAAATTTATTTCTATTAAAATTTTTTTAGTCTGAAATAATTTGCGCCGTATTTCAAGGATTTTCTTAGTAACTTTTTGTAATCCCCTAAAACTGTCCCTAAGGGATTTTACTCTCGGGAAATGATTTTTGGATCATTAACCGCGTTAAAATAAAAAGGGATTTGCAGACGGTGTGTGGACCGACGGTGACGTCGACAAGCCAAACCTCGAGCGTCGTTTCTCTCGGCGAAGACCATCGGATGTGCTGCATCATCGCAGCCACGCCGTCACCCGAACTCTTCTGGCAGCTCGACGAACGCAACATCTCCAGAGTTTACTTCATTTCCATTTTCCAAAGCGATGAAAACCTATAAAAAACGGATCAAACGTTGAAAAATTCTTATGATCAAATAATATTAGGGAATACTTGCTTTTCAAGGACCGTGGACCAAATTTTTAAATCTTTTTGAAGTTCAAAAACTTTTACAGTTCTTTGGTTTAATTCATTTTGCAAAAATTTAGGGTTTCGAGAAAATTTGGTATTTAAAGGAACTTTATTTTCATAATCAGACTAATTTTTCCGAAATTTCAGAGTCGTAAGGTATATAAGTTGAAATAAAAGCCATGTTCAATCCTCTTCAATATGAGCAAAAAATGATTCCATTGTATAGGGCCTCTCGCAACGACACTTGGCAGAGTCTGGTAGAGTCGAGTATTGCTTGGAGATCCGAAAAGTCTCAATGACGGACCTTGGCCGATATCGCTGCGTCGCCTTTTTAGCTGGTTTCTTTTCTGACGAATGAAATGAAAAATATATGAACCTTTAGGTTTCAACGCCTCAAGAGAATTTTCTTTGGAGCGAGACAAAATTCCAATAGTGCGAAATTCGGCGGAGGGCTTGATGATCTACCTACAGTTCACCATTTGTATTTTCATTGGGGTAAAGCTGGAACATTTATCGAGTGTGCAAACTTCCGAACGTTCAGGTTTGTTGCGTAGTATCTTGCTGCGTTCTACGAAGCGGCAATACTCGGAAGTTGCGACCACAGCGGGAATACTTTGCCACGAAAGTAATAACTCTTCATTTGCCCAGACTTTAAACGCTTCGGTCGCACTTGAAATGGCTCAGAGTGATTACCTTGTAGCCGGCTCCGCAGCCGACGGAAGACTCAAACCTTGCTCAAACACTTTCAGTTCATTTTCAGTGATAACGGAAAGTTAGAGCTATTCCAAGTGCGAAAATAGGGTTTCCAGTCTGAGCAAATGTACATTTATCCGAGTTCAAAAAATATATGTTCAGATAATTGAAATACCCCAGTCATCTTGTGACTACTGCGACAACGACATCGAAGAAGATGCGGCCGCCACGGACGTCAACCGAATCTTGCAGGACGACGACTGGCACGAGGCCGAGACAATCGCCGTCCGTCGTTACCTCCAGTGGCGGCAGTCTCAACCGAATTGTGAGCAACTTACTAGAGAAAAAATTTGGAAAAAAAAGCCTTTTCCAGATGAGGTGGGACCGCCTTTGGACCACGAGCACCTGTTTAGACTGTCGCGCGAAATATCTGAGGTGGTGTCAGACCATGGAAACTTGAAAGACTCCTCGAAGACGATGAAAGCGCCACTGGCCGCCTTCGACGGAGACTTCCATTTCATTCAATTTGTACATACAGCCGTGTAAATTTGAGCCATTTTTGCAGATGAAACAATTTTCTAAATCCAAGCCGTTGAGGACTATAGATAGAAAAAAAAATGAAAGTTTATTAGTTGATGTTACTCGCCGATACAGGCGGACTAGCGGTTAAACACGTAAAAACTAGTTCTATGGCAAGTATGATTCCAGTAATGACTGACAAAAGTCGACTTTTAAGATCAATAAAAAACGAACAGCTCAGAAGAAAACACTGAAAAGCAAACATGAAATTAAAAAAAAATCAAACAGAGATAATTTGAGAAAAGGAAGTTCTGAAAATCAGGACGTCAATAAAAAAGATGCTGTTCGATGCAAAAATTTGAATTTACAGCGGAATCACATGAAAACAATGTACACAAGAAAGAAAAGTGGTAGTTAGTAGTTCAAGTGAAATAGAAGGCAAGAGAGTACAGATTCAAAAACTAAAATAGAAGAGAATCCAGTTGATTTTTTTTTTCAACCTCTCAGTTGTTAACCGGCTCCACAGATGTTTTAGACTTTATCAAATTCATGGCACGCGCCACGTCAGCTTCTTTTTTCTCTTTTTTCTGGTTTCTGCTCTCGAACTCGATCCTGGGAATTTTGAATCCAGAAATAAAAAGAAAGCTTTGAGTCGGATACCTGTGAGAAATGATTCTCTCAATAATCAAGTCCGTTGTCATATCACTCCCGGAGTCGATTTCGCGATAGATCCCTAAAAAATCAAGTGAACGTTTTAGAAATCCTAAAGTAATTTTTTTCTTACAGTTATGGGAAAATCTAGAAAAAAGGATGTCCTTAGCTTACTGTACTTTTAAATGAGGAAAAAAGAGTCTGAGAATAGTTTTTTTTTCAGTTGGTTCCTAGTTTGACCTCAAAGGTTTTTTTGCAGCGCGGGCGAACTTTATCTACTATAAACATGTAAATTCGGACAAACTGATCAACTTTCTCAATTTAGAGCCATCAAAAGTAATATTTTAATATTGAGAATACCAAGTTGAGCTGAATTCGATAAAATCCACCGTGTTAGCGCCATCATACATGGGATGAGCATGACCGGCGGCAGCCAAGTCCCCTCCTACCCCCCTAATGTCCGATCCATTTTAACTATTAAAAAAATCGCTTCTGCCAATCAATTGAACCTTGAAAAATGAGCAGTTATTAATTTTCGTATCTTATTTTCGTTGTTATTTTCGGATTCAGCACCGTCAAATTAGTCTACAGGGTGACAAATAAATATTGAAACCGTTTTTTGTTTGATCGCTGCTTTTTGCGCAACGGACTGGCCTTTGAATTTTTTTGTTTATTTCGTTCATTCATGCTCACTTATCATGTGTTTGAAGTTACAGCTCATACTTTTCAGTTTTCAGGTAATGGTGGCCCCATCTCTGTACCCTACCGCAATCATTGATTGTGTCAAAAGCTGAATGACGAATTCAGAGATCGGTAAAAAGCTGAAAATGTCTCGTGTTCTCGTTTTTCGAACTGCACAACGCTATCGGCATCTCGGTACTTCAGATGACATCCAAAGAAGGGAATTTCCAGTCACCGTCACGACTCCAGAAGCAGTCAAAGCCGTTCGAGAGAAAATCAGACGCACTCCGGAAAGAAGCGTGAGAAAGATGTCAAAAGAATACGAAATGAGTCGAGAATCGATGAGAACTATTGTCAAGGACAAGCTGAAGATGATTCCCTACCGTATCCAAAAAGGAGCCTTCCTCAATCAAAAAAACAAGACATTCCGGATGAAAAAGGCTCGAAAGCTGCTCGCTGGCACGCAAGATGGCTCGCATCTGACGACGCTATTTACCGACGAGAAAATCTTCACTGTGGAGGTGAACAAGAACGGCCAAAACCATCCGATCATCGCTACTGACTATCAGAGTGCCTGTGAAAAAGAAAAAATTCTGAATAAAACTCCGCATCCGGCTTCCGTGATGGTTTTTGCCGGAATTACCGCTGACGGCAAAACTACGTTGATTTTTGTGGATCCTGGAGTCAAAGTGAACCAAGTATACTACAGGGAGTAGATTTTAAAGTTGAGGGTGTTGCCCTGAGCCAATTCTCACTACGGAAACCGACCACGGACCTTCCAGCAAGACGGCGCCCTCGCTCATCGTGCCAAAGGGACTCAAGAGTGGTACCGCGCCAATTTTCCGAGTTCATCTCGGCTGCTGATTGGCCTGCTTTCTCGCCCGACCTCAACCCGATGGACTATGCCGTGTGGATATATCTGACCGAGAAGGTCTCTTCTAAGAACTACCCAAGTATCAAAGCTCTGAAGACCGCGCTCATCAAGAAATGGGACGAAATCGACGACGACTACCTTCGTGCCGTGATCGATGCGTATCCGATGAGACTGAAGGCCGTTATCAAAGCTAAAGGAGGACGTTTTGAAAACTATTCTTAAATTTTGTTTCTATATTGTATGAATAAAATTTGTTCCAAGTTTGGTGGTGTTTGGTTGACTTTTGAGAAAGTTATAACGTTTCAAACGCGTTTCAATATTTATTTGTCACCCTGTAGTTTCCTTCAATGTCACCTAGGGGGTGAATAGGCTCCAGACGACGCGCGCCACCAAGTCACTCTCTGGTCACTCTTTGGACACTCCTCCCCTCTTTCAGGTCCCACCGAGACTATCACATGTATGAGCGCCATTTTCTTCGATATGTGAAAAACCTCGGCGTTTGGGTTCCTCGAAAGGATCCGGCGAGCGGAAGGGGTTAGGGCGGTCGCGGACGCCATCTACCACCACCTGCACATTGAATTGGTCGAGTAAATCCGCAGATACAGTGTAGGGCGCTCCGATCACTACTTCGTTTACAGGCTGCAAATTCCGTAGAGTAATATGCCAAAGTTTTTTCTGCTCAAAGAAAAAAAAAGCCGAAAGAAATTACTGCAGCACACCTTGTACGCCAAAACACTCAAAACGCGTTCATGAAGGGACATGATCGGGTGGTTGCTGCCCTTGTACTCGTTGACTACCTAAAAACGAACGGCGTTTCAGTATGCCTTGAGAAAAAGCTCGCCGTACTTGATCGCTGAGAATCCCAACAACGAGGTAATCCCCGAACTCGGCTGCCTTCTCCAGAAAGGACAAGTGCCCGATGTGGAACAGGTCGAAAGCTCCGCAAACGTAAACGACCTGAAGAAAGATAAGGATGCAAAAAGGTGGTTTCCTCTTATTTTCTCCTTCTTCGGAAAAAAATATTAGATGTTTTTTTTAAGTTCAAGAACGCACAAACTTCTACAATGTTCATGAAAAATTAAGGTAAAACTCACGAGTAATTTTATAAGAGAGCAGAATCGAAAAAAATGTTGTTCTTATTTTTACTCTGACAATTTAGAATTTATCTGTGAGAGGCAAACTGTTATAGTGAGATCAACAATCATACAAAATCTGAGCATTGCAAAGAATTAATATCAATAGAGATTCAAAACGGGTCACAATGGAGAATGGGAAAGAAACCTTGTCAGTTGGCTTCGGAGGACGGCCCTCGGCAAACTCGAGAATCGTGGTGGTGGTCGGGATGAATCGCGAGACGCGGGTCCACGGCGACAACGCCACGTTATCCTTCAACGACCGCTGACGTTCAACTTGTGAGACTCGGACTTTCAAAAAAGTCTTTTCTACTTTTTCCCAGACTTGCGCCAGCTCGAAAACACTCAAAAAAATGAGGAAAAATTAAAGTTAAAACTCAGTCTAAACCCAAATGGCGCAGACTTGTTCCGAACAAGTCTGCACCATTTGCCCCCTACCTAATGTTTTTGAAAGAAAAGCTTTTCAGTAGAGGGTAATTATATCTTGTTATACTTTCTATTCTACAAAAAAAGTTTCGGGATCGAATATAAAAAAAACTTCTAGTTTTGTTGGCCCTAAAAATGCAAAATAATACGAGCCTCACTTTAAATAAAAGATTTAAGCAAAGAAAAGAATTTTTCAATGTCTAAAAGGAAAAACGTTGATTAGCATTTAAAAAGCGGTTTTAATTGCTTCAACGTTCAAAGAATCGCAAGTTGTATAGTTTAAAGAAAATTTATCGCCACTTTCCGAAAATCTTTGGGGTGTACTTTTCTCAAGTTATTTTTATTCTCTAGTTTTTTGTATGAAACATCAAATATAGTTTCCCACTGTTTATCAACCCAATTCTGAACTTTTATTTTTGAAATTATAGCCATTATATTGATCCAAGGCTCAAACTCTCAAAATCTTTTCATGAAATGTTAGATGAGAGAAAACTAGTCGGGGTTCACAAGAAAAAAAAATAATTATTTAGCGGAAGCCGTGTCTCAATTTCAAACGAGAACTTTTCGTGCGAGTCTGTCTTTCAATGGGGCACAACTAGACTCACTGTGCTGAGGGAGCGGGCGCGTTCTTTGTGCTGCTCGATCTCGTCGTCGTGCACGTGGTGCTGCTTAGTTAGTAGCAACATGCGTCCCACCAAGTCCTGCAGATTTCTGATCATGGAAAGGTATGTGCGCAGAGGGTTATGGAGGGAGAATTAAAAAGATTAGGACGTTGAGCAAAACGAAATGAAAAATGCAAAGCCCATAACTTCGACATGCTTTTTCATCTTTTGTGTCTTCTTTTAACGCAAAAGAGAGTATTTTTGATATCCGTCGACACAATCGTAAAAGTCTGTACTATCTGCTCAAAATTCACCTATTATTCCAAATGAAAGAGATCTTCTCCGACACGACTTACCGTGGTCGAAACTCCGCAGGTCCGTTTGCACTCCCTATAACGTTTCTCACGCTTCACCTCCGCGTAGGTGTCCTTTCCGTCGGCGGTCAGGGTTATGTCATCTGAAAAAAGAACTGGAACAAGATACTGACGGATTGAAAGGCGTTCAATGTAATTGGAAAAGAGAATGCCTCCGTGGATGCAGAAGTCGACTTTGTGGGCTTCTAGAGTTTCTACCGTCGTCACATAAGGAGCGTCAATCACAACCTGCAAAAATCAAAGTCAAGAGAGTACAATTTATTTTTTGTTTAGCATTTTCTAAAAAAAATCCGCCTGAAAACTCTTCAAGAGCCTAGATGAAAAATCCTACAAATCGTTCGCTCATGTCACGGCTAATAGTAACTTTAACCGAGGTCTTCATAGTTTTGGGCGTTTTCGTATAATTTAAAACCTCAAAGTAAAATGACCTGGACATCTCATTATTATGCACAGTTTCCTATTCTGTATATTTCAATAGACTGGACTTCAGAAATTGTTATTTTTTGTTCTCTCGAGGTATTTTTTTCAAATTTTCACAAGCATTTTTCAATGACATTTAGGGAAAAAGTGCGAAAAAAATCAAAGCTTTATAAACTCATAGTGAATGAAGTATACGGTCCAAATATTCTGCTCTGAGTAGTTCAAAACTATTCGAATCGGAAAAATCACCTCGTCGACCCATTTAATGCCAGCAACCATCCGATAACGCTCTTCTTCGTTGAAAACCGGCGGCCCCTTGTGCATTTTAATCTGTAGATTCCGGCTTTTTGTTTTATTGTTTCTCCAAAAAGCTTGAGAAACTTTCAAAGGGGGTTGATTTTTTGTTAATTCAAAGTTCGTAAAAAAAAGAAGAAAGAACCTCTTCGTCGCTGTGCACGCCGACAACTAGAGTCTTCCCAAATTGTTTCGCCTGCCTAAGCTGATTGGCGTGCCCAAAGTGTACCATATCATAGCTGCAAAACATCGAGAAAATTCTAAACCTTTTTAAAAAAAATATTTCTTGAACTAACTTCAACCGTATGAATCTCAGTAGAAAGAAATCGCTTTCTTTCGTTTTCCAGTTGGAAAAAAAGGATAACTAATTTTCATTCATTTACTTTTAATATGAAAGAACAAAGACTTCTATTTCTCATTCGGGCATGATAGATTCTAGATTTCGAACATCGAAAGAACTTGCCAGCCGTCAGCCCAGACTCTGTTGCCTTTGGGTCCGCCGTCCGGAGCTTTTTCCGTCATTTTACTGAAAACTAGGAAAAAATGCCGGTGGCGGGAAAAAAAAACGAAACGATTATGAACAAAAGAAATGAAAAACGAGCGTAACTATTGTATGAAATATGCGAGACGACAAGAAACGAAGAACGTGGCAAAACGGACGGTCTCGGTTTTATTTATGTTATGAAATGGAGAAAATGTTTAATAACAAGGAAAAGTGAAATTTGCTGCCAATATCAAATCGAAAAAAGTGATCAACAAATCATTGTTTTTGTCATTTTTTGTTGTCAAGCGGTTTCAAAAAACAGACATCGCTGGTAAGAGCTCGATAAACCCGAAGAGGCTGGCACAGCGAGTGGTGCTCGGAAAGGCAAAGAGTGCGCCTGTAGAGATAAAGAAGCGGATGAAGAAGGGTCAATGCCACATGCGAGTGTCAGTTCGAGTCGCGCTATCAAATGATACAAGCAAACGTTCAATGGAGGCCGCCTGAAGATTGCCTGCTCATTTAGTCGCGTGCTCAGTGAGCCAAATAATGAATTCCTCCAAAGAATTGGTATGAGTATGAGGCCCGAAATAGAAAATGAAAACTGAAAAATGACAGAAAAACGCATACACCTCTTTCACTACAACTTGATATAGTCTCGTTTCTTTACGTCCTCTTATTCTTCTGCGACGTTCTCCTGTTTACATGTTACTTTCATTTTTTTTTTTTGTGAGCTCGCTTGTGAGAGAAAAGAGGGCACAGACACGTCAAACTTTTAAGCGTGGCGATTTGTACATATATTAGATTGCAAAAATTTATGAAAACAATTTCTTTTACTTATCATCTTTCTGCTTTTAAGGAACATTTTTTTAGCCGTCGGCTGAACTTTAGATGAAATTTGGCAATTATTCGAACAGTGGAACGTTCCAAAGGGCTTCCTAATGCAAGCAACAAAACAAAATTCTCGCAAAAATTTTTATTAAAAGAGTTATGCGCCTTAAAAATCAGCTAACTGTACAACCAATGAAAAAGGCGTTGCTTGAGCGGTTTGGTTTAAAAAACTCGGATTCCACAATTCGAAAGAAAAAAAACTGAAAACTTCAGTTGTATTTTCAGGCGCTGAAATTGAATTAATCTAGAAAGATCAGCGAAATGACTAACTTTTCTTAATTCTACTCGAGTGAAGTTAAGAAGTTACTCACTAGGGAACTACTCGGACTCCGGTACGCGGATCGAGTTCAAACTTCAGTGGTTTATAGACCTAAGTGAGTATACTTGAAAACAAGTGAGAATATCTGCTAAACCCAATAGAGAACTGAGAAAAAAAAAGAGAAAAAAAGATCCGACTATGATACAATCTAAAAAACTTTTTTCCAGCCAAAAGAAGGAAAAAAGCAGAAATTTGATAATTTTCAAGCCTAAATTGTTCATTTTCAAAAAGCTTTTTCTCAAAACCCTATGGGGTTTAGCAGATAATCTCTCTTGTTTTCAAGTACTCTCACCCGGGTCTATAAGCCACAAAAGTTTCCACTCGAAACGCGTACCCGAGTCCGAGTAGTTTCCTAGTCAGACGATAACTTTGAAGATCAATACGCTACCATTTGGAATTCTCTGAAATATAGTTTTTTTTCACATTTTTAAGTCTTCAACATTTAAGCATTTTGTAAATGAATTGAATTTCATCGGATTTTTCCAAAAATCAATAAAAATTAATACTTTCTCAGTATTAAAACACGTATTGCAATAAATCTAAAAACGGTTTGACCACTGAGAAAGCGATACAAATAAATAACTGCGGGAGAATCACCGGCATCAATAAGTAACTGAATTAAATTCAAATCAGGCTTTTGTTTATATTTTTGCAATAAGAGCAACTGATGTGCTACTCGGCGATTGAAAATTTTTTATGCCATAACAGGAAAAACAACATCCCAATAAAATTCTGGAAAAAAAAACAGAAAGAGAAGGGACCAGTGGAAACCACCACATCAGGAAAAGAAATTGATTTAAATAAATTGAAAAAAATAGCTTAAAAAAATAAATTACTCATCGTCGTCACTTTCTTCTGCGGCTGCCGTCTTTTTTTCCGTGCGTCTCTGCTGGCTTCTTCGGCGTCCAATTGTTGGTCCAACCCTTTCGGAGCGACGAGACCTTCCTAAATAAAAAAACTCTATTGTAAAACAAAATCATGTTAACTTTGCACACGCGAAGATCAAAAAGTAATGCCCGAAAGCAATGATAAAAAAATAAGGAAATTTTTTTCGATCATTCTGTTTATGACAATCAAAATGATTTTCTACTTTTGACAGACTTCGAATAATTGTAATAAAAATGTGTCTTCATTAAACTGACATCTTCCTCTTCTTCCTCGTCCTCATCCTCTTCTTCGTCTTCATCTTCCTCTTCATCTTCATCCTCAATTTTTTTCTTGTCGTCATCAATGTCCGTCACGACACGAGCCTAAAAAATGGAATCAGTTTTCACAAACGGTTTTAAAAAACCTCTTCTTTGATTGCGAATTTCCCTTTATGACTTTCAATGGCTTGACGAATAGTATCGAGAGCGTTGTTGACCGCCAGAAGACCTTCTTCTCTATCCAACGTTTGTGTCGTCACAACAAAGTGAGGAGCGGCGATCAGGTTTATCTCAAACGGAGACATAAAAGTTTCGAAAAAGCTTTTATGCAGCTAACATCTGCCCATCAATTTTCCGAGTGGAACAGAAAAAAAAACTGATGTATCTTTTATTTTTATTTTTAAGGGTTACACAAAATACGCAAAAAAAAAAGCAATTCGAGAGCGGTTGCGTCTAATTCTGTCCTGCGGCAAGATAGCAACTCTTACGTTCAAAAATTCAGGACACGAGTGGACCTTCTTTCTCAACTTTACGCCTCGCCCATTGAATATTTACAACTTTGAAAAAACATGAACATACTTTTTTTAATTGTTTTTTTTTTTTCAAATCAGTCAAACATGCATTCCAGAATGTTCTAATTATTGAACTATCAAAAAAATTAACAAGTATTTAGTTGAAAAACGTAAAAGAAATCACAGAGCAAATCAAAAAAGGATAAAATTCAGCTCAAAATACGTAAAAACAAAACAAAAAAACAAAATCGTTTGGAATTCGCAAACTAAATAAGCAATAAACTATACTGAGAAAATGAACGGTATAATCCGACGTTACCAACATGTTTGATTTTCAGCATAAAAGTATAATCATTCGATCCGTCTCGTCGAGATACGTACGAATATCATAAAATTATTTGGCGCTGACCACTAAGAAAAATTTTAAGATGAACTTTATTAGTTTTCAATCAAGTAATTATTTTGAGGAATAGAAGTTAATGATTTACTTAAGAAAATAGGCTTAGTTTTAAGGCTTCACACGGAGGCGGAGCGCGCATAGCACGAAGCCGACTGTGGCTCGCTTCGAAAAAACTGAGCCACAGTGAAAAATTCGTCAAATAAATGAAATAGCTGACATAAAAAGCATGTAGTTTCAAAACGTGGACACCAAAAGCACTATTAGGTAGCTCTAAACGATTTGCAAACTTGATACGCGTAGCAAAAAATCTGTAAATGTATTTCCCAAGAAAAAAAAAAAAAGAAAGAAAAAATATTAAAGGAGCATACTGTGCGTAAGCGCGGGCTTCGACGCGGTCGCTTATTTTTACTGTGATTTCTCATTTTTTCTTTCTTTTTTTGCATTGTTTTTTTCGAATAATTTTCAAATTTTTTCCTATTTTAAAAGATTTTTTCTTCTCATGGCGTAGTAGCGATAGTTGAATTGAATCAGCGTCGAAAAATGCAGCGAAATTTTTGAATTTTTTGAAATTTTTTTCTGGCTTTTGCACACCATAAAGTTATTTCTTCTTACTAGCGCCAAATAATTTTATGATATTCGTACGTATCTCGACGAGACGGATCGAATGGTTATACCTTCATGCTGAAAATCAAACATGTTGGTAACGTCGAATTATTCCAAATGAACCTTTAATGCGCAGCTACTGGGAAATCAGGTAAAAAGCCAAAGCGTAATCAAAAAACAAGGTTTTGCTTGCGTATTTTCTTTCAACTTTACTCTTTCATTAATCTCCTAGGATCCTATTCAACTTACTTTTATAGGCATTTCTGGAGTCGAACATTCTTTCCCTTTGATAAGTGAACTTTTGACAGCATCAATTCCATCGCCGGTGAAACAAGAAACGTCTATGTCGGCGCGAATCTGGGCTTACGATTTAGAAGAATTTTAGTTTAGAAAATACTTTGACTGCTTGAGGTGTCAGTTTCTTTCTGATGTCTTCTAAAAGCTTCTCTTTGACATCTGCTGAGATTTCGCATTCATCCAGAACTGATGGATTTCTGAAAAAAATAAAAAAATAAAAATATATATTAAAAAAAATAGATATCCGGCAACTGGCTTTGAAAAAAATTCCGGCAGCTTTTTTTATAAATAGACGACTCTTTTTTTCAACAAAAGAAATCGACTAATTAATCAGTGAAATTAATTTTTTTGAGGTCAATTCGAATTCCCTCAAGTGTAAAAACTCTAAAGTAGATAGTTTCAAAAAACTCAAACTATATCTCTATTCGATAATTGAAAAGCGTTCAATTGTAATAAATAACTCACGCGATAGCTTGTTTGAAAATTTCATAAGCCGCTGCTTTCTTCTTCTCTCTTCTATCAAAGTGCCAAGCAGTCTTCGAATACAGATCCTGTTAATAGCACTTGTAAAAGTCGATCTTTCATTCAATTAGGATTTCTCTTATTTAGAAAAAAAATTTATCAGCCTTAAAATTTCATATTTTAGGTTTCTCGCAAAACGAATCCAAAGTGATGAATTTATATTTGGAAAAGTAACAAACTTCAAGCTGTTCATCGCTCGTATAGCCAAGTTGTTCGGCAACGTGACGTAGTATACTGAAAATTGAAAATTAATAATCATTGAACAAACAAATGAAAAACCTGTTCACAGTTTTCGCATTGGCGAATCTTTCTTCGCACTGCTTCAAGTCTTTCAGGTATACACGCCGTTTGGACAAATCAATGTACCCTTCATAAGAAAACGTGTCATGGCGTGTTCATCGGCACTAAAGTTGCTCCCAAACTACAGATTTCTGTTTTGGAGTAATTTTCTGCGTTTCGGAACAAATTTTTTTTTCAGATGAACACGCCATAAAAAATAACGAAAAATCTTAATACCCTTTTCCTTGTCAACGCGGATGACAACAACGCATTCACTTCGACCAACGCGAATAAGTTTGTTCACCGATCGAATACGTCGGCGAGATAACTCGGAAAGAAGGATCATTCCCTCTGCAAATCGACTTTATCTCAAAATATGATTAAAATACCTTTCTCATTGTACTCAGAGAGCCGAACATAAGCTCCCATGTCGGCGATTGATTTAACATTTGCCACAACTGTTTCACCAACGTCCGGGAACAAATTTTCATAATACCGGCATTTCATTACCGACATCTGATAGTTGAATGTAATTAAACAAAAATTCAATAAGGCAGAAATAAACGGGAGAAAAAGAAACTCGTTAATATCCTGAACACAAAGTTGAAATTGTTTTTATTTGAGCCAAAAAAAAAGAAACTAAGCCTATAATTCATGAAGAGCAAAAAAAAAAACAAACTAAAAGATTTAAAACTCAACAAACATACATTAAAAAAAGTTAATTATATTCAGCAAATCCAAAAACAAAGTATACGGCTAAAAAAAAAGATAACAGAACAAGAAAAACAAAAACTCGTAAATTACTGAGGGATACTGAGGAGCGTTTGTTGATTGCCGGGCAGGTAAACGACATTCTTTGATTTGGCCATTCGTTCTGCAATCTCCTCGGCCGCTTCTATTTTCCTCAGTTCAACAAGTCCTTCTCCAGCCGAGGCGAAAGCCTGTGAAAAGAAAATAAAAAGAGAGGACGGATGCAAGAAATTACTTTGCTCAGAAGTTTTGCCGCTTGTGCATCTCCCTCCGCCGAAGTAATGGCGGCGATTTTCATCTGCTCAGCCTTTTCTACCAAATATCTTGCTTTCTCAGCTTCTTGCTGTGCCACTTGTTTTGCTTCTACTGCTTCTGTGAATTCTCGTCCGAAGTTCAAATGTGTCTGAATAATTGAAAACTGTTTCGATACCTTATTCTGCACTTACAATAGAAATATCATCAAGAAGTAAGCCGAACTGCGCAGCTCTTTGAGCGAGAGCAACCGAAACTCTTTGTGAAACCGTTTCACGCTGCGTGATCATTTCATGGGCGTCAAATTGAGCCTAAAACGTGAATAAAATCCGGTTTATCACTAAATGGCAACATACTACAACAGCTTTCAGAACTTCATTAGTGATGGAAGGTAGAACGCGCTCGGCGTAATCCAATCCAATGTTCAAGTAGATATTTGGAAGTTTGCTGGGATCAGGGCGATGGAGGATACGTAGAGTTATGTTTACATTTTGAAGATCTAGCTTTCAAAAATAATAGTCTTAGGAAAAAATTTTCAAAAATACCTTTACTACCAGTAATTGTCGAAACAATTCTAGGAGTAGATCGAATGTCAAAAATTATGGGCTTCTGCACCCAAGGAATCAAAAAATGAGTTCCTTCTCCAGTGATTTCGTCTTTCACACCGGAAAACCGATCGAAAATAACTGCACGTTGACCACCATCCACTGCAATGAAAATTGCCTCACAGTTTTATTTGTTTATGCTGATTCTTCTATTTCTTGAAAGGGAGCAATAAATACCGTTGTACAAGGCAGATTGCGCGACACCGCCAGCGACCGCGAGCCCAACGCCAACAGATCCAAGACGGCCGAGAAGCTTTTGAGCAGCAGCGGCCATAATCTTAAAAAAAGTAATCATTAAAAACAACATAAACGTTACGAAATATTTTCAATTTTAAAAAGTATCATGATGCAACTGAAAAAAAAAATATCAAAATTAACAGCCACTTTGATGTGAAAAAAAGACGGAGGAACTTTGTTATGACATTCTCGGAATTATTAACTTGAATCGTCAAAATCGTTACTACTAGAGTGTGGTTAACATTTCTTCGGGGAACTGTAAATAAAGAATTCGCGAATTCAAGAAATCATTGAATAACAGCCATTAGAAATGAATATTACAGAACTCCAAATCGATTAAAAATAAAAAATAAAAATGTACTAAGCTATTGCTGAAACACGAATGAAAATAACTAGAAATATGAAAAAGAAAAAGAAAAAATTTCTGCGGCAACGCAAAAGTAGAACCTCTCTAACAGGCTTCGAAACGAAATGAGGGCGCGCGCACTGCAAAAGTAATGGTACCGTATGCACATTCAGTGCGACGGTTTTATTTCTATTTTGTTTCTATTGGATATATAAATTTAATTTTAATTTTTGGACGTTTTGCTCTTTTTTCTTTGTTAATCTCGCATTCAAAGTAAATTGCGCAAATCAAAATTAAATTAAACTCTCCCAAGTTTCGTTATATTTTTTTAATCTGATGGTTATTTTGAATTTTGTACTTAGAAAACGTTTTTGTGAAATCGGTTGAATGATATGTTTGTTTTTCCACCTGCTTATTAATTTTTTGAGATAAGGAAAATTTTGACAATTTTTCTGGGTCCGTGTAACCATGGAGTATTGGTCCAATGGATGTTTTAGCTCACAAGAGTTGATATATCGTTCTATTTTGTTGCTTTCCCTTTGAATTTTTTGATGAATATAAGAACTCGCTTTCAGGGTAATGGCTCACGCTCTGAGAAAAACCCGAAAACTTCGGGGTCATGTTTCCCACGGTCACGGCCGTATTGGAAAGCACAGGAAGCACCCTGGAGGTCGTGGTAACGCTGGTGGTCAACATCATCACAGAATTAACCGCGATAAGTACCATCCTGGATTTTTCGGAAAGGTATGCGTGTTTAAATATTTTCACAAGAAAAACAGTTCCGAGGAAGGGAATACACTGCACAAAGGAAAAAAGTTTTAATGAGTATAGTCTGTTCAGATTTTGAATGTCAAGCAGCTAACTCCACCCCCAAGGCTACAATATCTTTCGCGTCAATGTTTTATCTACATATGCCAATGGCCCTTTAATAAGGCTGCTTTTTTGACCTCTTTTTCTATCTTTTAGATCGAAAAAGATCAAAATTAGTCCCGCGCGATGAAACATCGACGCGAAAAGGTACCGTCTCAGCAGGGGCGGAGTTAGCTGGTTGACATTCAAAATCTGAACAGACTATAATTTAGATCTAATTGTTCAATAAAGATGATTTTCGATTTAGCGCTTGCTATTGTAGGTGAAGTTTGTAAACATTTTGTTCAACGTGTTTTTGGTTAATTCAAGGTAGGGAAAAATGGTTTCCATTAAGTAAAAGGCTGAAAAATAAAAACCATTGAGCATTTTTTAAAAACGCACCGCGATCGAAGTTAATTTTATATGCGCGTCGAGTTATAATGGACTAGTTTTGAACACAACTTTAGGGACTCAATATGCTTTTTTGCAATATGATTGTAATTAAATTTTCTTTTCTCACAGCTGGTCTAAGGAAAAAAAAAGTTCATATTAATGTTCGAAATCATAGTTGTTATTATGTTCAAAATAATTTCAGCGAAATAGAAATGATCTGTGACTCTTAAAAGTTTTCCACGCTTGCAACAATATCAAATTGAAAGCGACACAAAACACGTTACCGGGGAGCTTTGCAGTTTCAGTAATCGTAACTCTGAAGAGTCGTCTCAATAAGAACTGTTTTGAGAAGTAATTCGCATTTAACCATTGGTAGAGAAAAAAAGAAAAAAAAAATTTTCCTTTTTTTTTTGTTGATAAATATCAGAAAAATAACTGAAAATTGTTTTTATGTTTAACCATTTGAAAATTCTCTTATCTTGGCGCAGCCGCTGGTCAATGTGGATGTGTATGTTATAAGAGATAAATTATCGCCTACGGCAGTCGGGTCTCCTTCGGTGCTTTTTTCCAAACTCAAAAAGTATCATCCTCTGGATTCGAAACATTACTAATTTCAGGTTGGTATGCGCGTTTTTCACCTCAACAAAAATCATCATTACTGCCCTACGGTCAACGTCGACAGGCTTTGGGCTTTAGTCCCAGAGGAGCACAAGAATAAGGCCAGCGCAAATAAGGCTCCTGTCATCGACTGCGTCAAGGCTGGATATTTCAAGGTTTTTTTTGTTCACTTCTGCTTTTCTCTTATCTTGGCGCAGCCGCTGGTAAATGTGGATGTGTATGTTATAAGAGATAAAATATCGCCTACGGCAGTCGGGTCTCCTTCGGTGCTTTTTTTTTCAAACTCAAAAAGTATCATCCTCTGGACTCGAAACATTCTCAATTTTCAGGTTCTCGGAAAAGGACTCCTGCCGAAGCAACCTCTCATCGTTAAGGCGAAATTTTTCTCCCATGAAGCTGAAAACAAGATTAAGGCTGCCGGAGGAGCCTGTGTTTTGGTGGCATGAGCCACGTTGTTGATTTGTACTAAAAATCAGTAAAAAAATTTTATTCAATGTTTTTATAAGGGCTTTTATCCCGTGTATATCTATATCTGCTGTTTGCTCAAATGTTTAACCGAGCCTTCAGCGTTCTTCAGCGTTTGTTCTCACTTGAGCTAAGGCTTATTAGCAACTTACGCTTGAAAGGATGGCTTCGAACCAAGAACTGGCTTGCGTGTACGCTGCTCTTATTCTCCAAGATGATGACGTCGCCATCACTGGTGACAAGATCGCCACCCTCCTCAAGGCCGCGAACGTTGAGGTTGAGCCATATTGGCCTGGTCTCTTCGCCAAGGCTTTGGAAGGAGTTGATGTGAAGGTTTTTGATATCGAATATAATACATTTAACCACGAAATTTGAAGAACCTCATCACTTCTGTTTCTTCGGGTGCTGGATCTGGTGGTGCTGCTCCCGCCGCGTCGGCTGCACCTGCCGCTGGAGCTGCTGCTGCGGCCCCTGCTGCCGAGACTAAGAAGAAGGAAGAGCCTAAAGAGGAGTCCGACGACGACATGGGCTTCGGTCTTTTCGACTAATTTCTTGGTTTATTGTTATCGATAAATTGTTGATTTTTATTCAATTTATTTATGTCGGTACAATACGATTACTCAAAGCACTTTGTATTCGAGACATCCGAGAAGTGTATCGTCCTGAAAAATAGTTAGTTCAAGAAAAAAAGAACATTCCAAAGGAACTTGTCACAAATCAGTAATAAACATTGAATAAGTGACTAAGTTTCCTATAAAATAATTCCGGCTACACTATTTCAAAACAGCCGGTCGTATTGCGGTAGTTCCGATAACTTTTTCGGTAATAGAATAAAAACTTGTGTATTTTTTTTCGACGTAACACGTTGTAAACTCAAGAAATAGGCCTCTACCGAACTGCAAAAAAGAAAAAAAAAAATTAAAAAACTTTGGCTTCGAAACTGTTTTTGTGACAAGCTCATGAATAGCATGATATAAGCGGGTTTACCAGGAGATTTTGGTGGTAGAAAATAGTTGGTGTTAGAAGAATCTTTTTCCGTCGGCTTCTCATATTTGGATTCCAGGCTGTTCGCGCCTGGTGAGGCTGGTTGTGTACTAGCTTGTGACAACCTTCTGAAAAAATAACATTTTGTGGATTGAAAGACGAGCTCACTTGTTTCCTGAGTGGGGATTATAGTCTGGAGTGTCGTGAGTCAGTTCTGATGGAATAGTCGAACTCGCCAAAGACTGTATGGGACTGGTGTCTTCTTCTTCCGGTTCTTGTTGTGCAACTGGTTTAGGTATCACCGTTCTTCTGAATCGAAGTTCTCCTTCGAACTTTCAAAAGCTGTTATTACCCTTCCAGTCCAGCTATGTCGGCAAGTCGTTGGTTATGCTCATCTTGCATCAGTTTCAATCTTCTCTTGTCTTTGTCCTCTTGCTGCTTTATCCTCAGAGCGATCTCCGCCGATCTGACTCCTTCCGACAAATACACATAATGCTCAACTATCTAAAATTCGGAAGTTTTTTTTAAAAAAAAAAGTTCATTTTAACCAAGTCGATGAAAGCGCAAAATTGTTCCTGGAGGGCGGTTTTGTCTTTGTTTGAGCGCTGTTGAACAGTTAGTGAAGCTGTTTTCGTGTTGTCCAACTGAAACATTTCTTTTTTCTTGTATTTTGCGGCTGTATCGGACGTGTCCACTGTAGCGGTTAACATGCGTTATTAACACCATTTGTTGTTGTACGTTTGCAATCGCTTGGAGGCCAGCCTAAATTTCGAATATTTCGAACATTGTATATGATTAAATAGCAATAAACATCAAGATTAAAAACAAACTGTGTTGGAGAACTCGACGTCGTCTACTTCACCATTGTTCTTATTGTTTAAAACGAACAAAATAGGCTTTTTGCTGCTATGAGGATGCTTCATCAAACTTTGAAGAGCCTGAAACATGAGTTTCACAATTTTTTAGTATAAAGTTGGCCGTCGGCAATGAAATTAGAAGTAACACAATCCCTTCACAAACTTTTATGAAATCAGAAAAAGTCGAAATGAATGAAATAACGGCGAATTTGTTTCTCATGGAAATGGCGGGATATATTTTTCCACTTTATCGCATTCAGCCAATAACTTCAAAAAAAAAAAGATCGGAAAAATGAACTCACGTCTATTGATTCCCGAAGGACGTCTTCATTGTCCAGATCGACGACAAATATGAGCCCATGAACCTGAAAAATAATTTCTGAACATTGAAAAAAAATTTTCGCAAAATTGCACTGTGAACTTATCGGCTCAGATAGTTTTATTAAACTAAAAAAGCTGATCTGAACGGACTCTGGATATGAAGATAATCAAAAGCAATTTTCGATCGGAACCATTCAAAGAACAATTGGAGAGATTATTCAGATAAAGAGTATTAGAATGATTAGTGAAATCGTTTGAACAAGAAATAGTGAATGTAGATACACAAAAACGAAACTTCTTGGAGATTACCTCGGCGTAATAATTGGACCAGATGTCGCGGATCTGCTTGGCGCCTCCGACGTCGTAGACTGTTAGGTGGAATGCGTCGTCGAATTCCATGTCGAGCACGCTGAAGCCGTTAGTCGTCAGCACGTTCCGAGGGTCTTCTGAGCTTCATATTTGTTTACTTTCATTCGAGCAACTTATTCCTCGGTCTGTCTAAACAAATGGGAATCGAAACTATCCACAGAAGAACGGTATGTGAAATTCTAAGCTCGTTATTTCTCAACATTACGCCTGGCTTCTTGTCAAAGGGACCGAGTCTTTTGGTCTAGAATTCTCAGTGTCAAAGAGAGTTATTATTTGAATCAGCTAGAAAGGATTTTTAAGGCAGGGAATCAAGAATTAACCAAGTTCCTGATAGTATCTTCGCATTGGTGGCGAGTCAAGTATATCGACATGATTTTCAGAAAAGGTGTTCCCTTTACAAAATTCAGTTTAACATGCTATTTACTACCATATTGAATCAACAGAAAACACAAACCTCCTTTAATAAGTTTTAAAACAGTCGACTTTCCTGAGCCGTCGATTCCAAAGCATCCCAACTTGATATCTCTGAGAAAGGCTTGTTTCAAATATGAGATCAACAAAAAATGGCAACAAATAAAATCCTTTTGAGAGTAACTAGGTCAAAAAGCGGACCTTCGATAGGGGGGAGGACGGTAGAGACAACAGCAGATAGACTCAATCCAGGACTTGGACCGTGACATGCTGGCTCAGCTCATGGGCGAAGATGTGTCGAAATAGCCAGGGACGAGATTCAGGCAAATTGGCAGAGAGCCAACGAGTTTCTGAAGAGAACTGCTCAACCGCGTTGCCTGGGCGACGCCTCCTTCTGAATTCACACACCAATTCTTCAATTCAGCAACCGACTCGATTCAAAGTTCTAATCAACGCTTTCCATTGAACTTTACTCAGAAAGTAATCATAAAGCTTTTTCCGGTTTCCTCCTTTACGCAAGTGCATCATTAATATGTGAAAAAAAGAACGTTCGGACTAAACTCGTCCAAAAATTAATCTTTGAAATGTCAATCGTTTTCCCTTTTTCCTTCTCCAATTTTTTTCAAAGCTTTTCGAACAAATTTTGCAACTGTAAAATTTCAAAGCGATGACACAGTTCTTCGCCAAGAGAAGGAGGTTTTTTGCGGCATTTTTTGGAACAAAAAAGTGAAAAAAAAAATTTATTCGCTGAAAGTCATATGAAAAGCGAATCTAACTATCACACATTATTCAGAAAATAATTCAAATCTAGCTTTCAACAAAAATTTAGGTGACAAGTAAGAAGTGAATTGAAATACGTTTTAAATTGAGCAAATAATTGTACCTCTTGCGATTTCTTTTCGATTTTCTGATCCGACTAACGTTTAATAAGGCATGCACCAGAATGAATTCACACGTAAAATAGAAAACAGATCAAGAAAATATTGAATATTGTTTTTTCACTGTTTGTAGTCAGAGCTCGTCGCAGTTCTTAGCACATTTCTCGATCTTGGACTTGAGATAAAGAGCGTCAATGCAAGCGATGACGTCACGGAGCCGCACGGATTCTTCTCCGATGGCACGTCGCGCTCGTTGTAGCGAACGACCCCACGCCGTGCGGTAGTCGTCGGGGAGCGAACGGAGCATCTCTTCGACGTCTTCGTCGTAGACTTCCAACGGCGTTGCGCAGCAAAAGAATTGCGTCGGCGGAAGCCACGTCCACGTCGACTCTCCCAGCTGGGAAATTAAGAATATGATCCAAACGAGATTGGAAAAACACAGAATTTCAGGATTCAAGTTCCGCTGGAAACGCGTTTTGATGTTAGTTTGGTCCGAAGGTTTAGTTACTTACTCTAAATTTTGTTTTAGAGTCAATATTTTCCGGTCATTTCCCTTATTGCGGGAATTACCCAAAAATATGATCCGGCATGAGCGGCAGATATTTTCAAAATTTCGAAATCTAAAAAAGCAGACGAAAAATTCTTTGGTCTAGATGAAGGTTTGTTCTAATCAATTCTCAGCTATATCTCGGAGCCTGACAATTTCGAACTTTTTCTAACCAAGCATAATTTTCAAAAATTAAGAAATAAGACATACATTCAGTGGAGTTTTCTGTGTTCGGTTTTCGCTCGGCAAAATATTATTTTCTCGAATCTGATGGAAGACACCCTGAATTTATTTAGTTAGCCAAGTCCAATAGTTAAAGAACCTTGTAGGCAGTATTGAATGGGGCGAAGGCAACTGTCGAGCCGTGAAGGAGTGGGCGATTAGGGGAGAGCAGAAAAACAGTGAGGTCGGAGGAGCGCGAGATGTGCAGTCGGGAACAGCTGACGGTGAGCCGCAGACCGTGGCAGTCGTGGACGACGACGACGTCGCGGACCGCGCCCAGAATCACGCTTTCCGAGTGCCGCAGTCCATTCAACATCACCGTCTCCGTTCTTCAAATACAAAATGGAAAATTCCGTAGGTGCGGTGAAAATGTGTTATCTTCACTGCGGCTCATTTCCCAGTCCCATAACTATCAGTTCAAAAAGACACTGTCCCAAAAAATCAGCGCAAGATTCAAAAACTTTAAATGCAACTTTCTTAGCTCAACGAGCCTTCAAATCTATTAAAATGATTTCCCTGTACAACGCAGTAAAAGTGTTTTCAATCAAAAAAAAAACCTCGACAAGGAAAAGAAATAGCATTTGACAAAATTCAGATATTTTTTTTTTCGAGTTAGAGATTTTAAAATCCGCGATCTCTATTCATTTTCAGACTTCTCAAACTGAGGCTTTTGAGCTGAGAGTTTTAGGTTTTTTCTTCTGAGCTAATTTGTCTTTGACCCAAAAGAAAACATTACACTCAGCCCGAAATGCTTTTTTTTTGCTTCTGTGAGAACTTTCTAAAACTTCTACAAACAATATTCCTTTTTTCTCCAAACAAAAAAAATAACCTAGCTGGTAGGACAACAAAAGAAGCGCTCGGCGCGTCGTGGCATATTCGAATGTGAGAATTCGAAAACTCGGGATTTCGGAGAATCTGTGAGACAATTTAATCGAGGAAAAGAATGCGAACAAACCTCAAAACGATTGAAACGATGGACGAGGACAACGCGTCGATTCGAAGGCGCCAAAGTCGTTCGCTTCACTTTTTGCCGAAAATCAGGGTTCTGAAAGAGAATTCAAAACAGAAAAAAAAGAAAGTGAACCTTTTCAAAAGGAATGTCGGCGATATGAAATGGATCGGGAACGAGAAGACGTCCTATCATCTCACAAACATCAGCGATACGCGTCTGAACACTGACTTTTCCAAGAACCAATCGAAAAGCGAACTTTTATGTGGTTGTGAGCCCATACGGAGCACACAACTTCTGAAAAAGGCTTGACGACGTCTTTCCGGATCTCTCCGTCTGCATTTTCAAAGTTGGTCGTTCCCTCGAAGACCAGGTCAAAAAGGCTCAATTTCTAGAAAAAGAGACTTGCCAAAAAAAAGATGAATTCACCTGGTGGGCTTGGGAAAGATCGAAAGTTTCTTCAAGAGTCTCCGAAATGCTCGGTCCGTGCTTCAGACGGTAGAGAAGACATGCCAGTTCCGCTAGAAATTTTGAGCAAATATTGAAGTAGTTTTTCAAAAATTAATTTGCGATTTTCTTGTGCTGTAATGCGATTACTGTTCTTCTCAACGAGCTAGACGATTTCCTACATTAATCATACAATACTAATAAATTCTATAGATGCCGAAGTTAAAGATAAATAACTTTCAGATATTGCACAAGTTGTTAACTTTTGTTCCCATCTGTAAAGTTCTTGCTAGTTCGGAAAAAAACAAAAAAAATTTTCTGTTGTCGGGTTGAACAATTGCTTCTTGGGGTTTCATTTGAGAAAAAAAAATGGGAAAAAAACCGATCAAGGTGAAACGGAAGAGACCCTCGGAATAGCCAACTTTAACTTGAAAAGAGGAAATCAAAACTCACGTAAGTTTTGCCTAACTTTCATCAATTGCCTGTTGTCCAGACTAGTGTCCACAAGCAACCTCAAAAACTTTTCTCAGCTTTTAAAATTGAAAGACTTTACCTCTCTTTCAACATACAGAGTGGACTTTTTGTGATTCCGCCGAAGAACAGACTCAAAATCAATGAAGATACATTTGCAAAAGTTTCCTGCAAAAATATCTATTGAAGAGCCCTATGACCTCTATTCGACCGGGAAAACGATAGAGTTTTGGAAAACAGCCTCGAGGAACTCGCCTGGCAACTCGGAGCTGTCTTGGCGCACTTTTTCCCAGTCCACCACGCTCAAACACAAAATTCTCGAGTTATTAGTTGTCCGGCAAACCTAACATTTTCCCTCGACTCGTAAAGAGAATGTTGGAGGAGAGAGTGAGCCAAGGAGATGGCAGAGCGAAAGAAGTTTTCCTCGGAACTGTCAGGATAAGGTAGAAAGTAACGCAGCGAAGTGTCGGACCGCAACCAGAGAAAAGCCCTCGCCATTCAAGACACGTCCCGAAAAGACTAGAGCTAAGAGGACTTTCTAGGGTCGATAACAAGTATAATCCCAGCTCCTTTTGTTACTAAATATCATAAAAGAGGCTAGCCAAAACACGAACTGATGAGACCTCTCCATCCCGAAAAGGTTGCTATGACGACCGTTGGACTAGCATTATTAAAGGTTAAAGAGCCAAATTCCTTCTGAAATATCCGCTCCTCCTTCAAAATCTTGAAAGTCTAATATTGGTAGCATCTTTTAACATGAGTAACTTTATAGGGGTTCTTTTTTTGTTGTTCCAAATTAGAAGTAATTTAATTTTCGTTTACTTTTTTTGATAACCCCTCAAAGAAAAAAATAGATCATTATTGGAATTAATGGATTTTTTTGTGAGTTTCGACCCTGTGCGGTGACTTTTTTTCATATCAAATAAAATGTTATTTATTGAAAATTTCCAATTATTTAAAAAAAAAAATAATATTGAAGTCACCTTCATAGTGTGAAAAAACGTTAAAAAACCTTCTCGCTAACAAAAAATATGAAGTGAATTACGTTTCAGAAGTCCAACTATTGTGCAATTTTTTTTCCCCACATTCAAACTTAAAAAAAACAAAAAAAATATTAGTCCCTTTCTTACCGTCTAAAGGTCTAAGGATCCATCTCTCCAAGACCCGAATTGAAAAAACTACTTGCACCCACACATCATCGAGGAACCACAGGCATCAAATCTTAAATAATGATAAGAAAAAAACATCGAAAAATATTTTATTTACGAATGAACTATAAATGGTAGGAAACGCCAAAAAGGAAAAGTGTAAAGCCACTAGAGCCAGCTCTCTTCGTCGGTATTTTGAAACAATTCAAATTAACCTGATAAGTTCAGAGTTTCAAGATGCGATAAAGATGTTCCGCGCGATCAAAACTTTGAAATAGTTCATAGGAGATTGAGAAAAGGTCTGAAAACCAAAAAATGTTTGAAAGTAATTTGAAAAAAAAACCTTTTCATAAGACTCCGTGTCCCACGCAGCGAAGCCTAACCGCGGAACGTAAGCGGCTCTAGATAGCTGCAGGTGGAGAAAAATCAGCCATCTCCTTGACTTGGCCAGAAGCAAAAACAAGGCAAAAGAGAACAAACAATGGGATTGAAACAAGTAACAGGATCATGTTCGGCCAGGAAAAATGCTGAATACATAGCGAAGACCTGGCAAACATGAGGACTTACAGACAGAAATGGCTCGAATTCGGGATATAAGAAAAAAGAGGAAAAAAGTGTGAATTTTTTTTAATTCGTGATTTCTGTTAATATTACCAATCTATAAAAAATCTGCATTTCAATGGAGAATTCAGCGATAATAAGAGATCGCTTCAAAAAATCAAAGATAATAAATTAAGAGGTCGCGACAATGAACAACGAGCAAACTCAAGTGGCACTGTTCCTGGAATAAAAAATAATGTTGCACAAAGGCTGAATGATGAGAAATTGTTACGCGAAAAGATCATTACAGATGTGTTGAAAAGAGTTACCAAAAACGCATCTCCTTAACTTCGTCGGCGGTCGTTTCGATGAGAATCTTCTTTCGAAACCTGCTCGCTTTTGTTATTCAACGATAGCTTCTGCTTTTGCGCCACCTGAAACGTTTCTCCATGAAAAAATAAATGAGCTTCATCATGACCTCTTTGCCACTATGATAAAATAAAGATTCATCATCAATCTTAAAATCTTAGAAAACTGCTCGGAAGAAAAGGGTCAAAAAGAGGGAATTGAAACGGAATTTTTTTCGCGAGCTCATAATAAAAATATAATTTTTTCTTTAGTTGAATGTTGGATTTATTTGCAAGTTAGCCATGTGTGGTCCAAAGAAAATGGCGTTTACCTGTTCGTCAGTCAACGGCAAGAAATAAAGAGCCGGAGTAGTAGATGTCTTTTTGAAAAGCTCGTCAGGAGTCTTGGTCGGAATCTCTTCCTCGATCGGCTCCCTCCTGAGGTTCCTGCCGTCGCCACCGTCTCTCAAACGGTCGTGATCTTCGTCGATTCTGCGCAGTCGTTTTTCGTCGAAGCGAGACCTCGAGCTCTGAGGAGAAGGCGACCGACGCCTTTTCCTCTCCTCCGTCTCCACTCTCCGATCTCTTCCCTTCTCCTGCTGCAAAATCCATTTCGAAAACAAGTTTTTCGTGACGCAAAACCATTGAAAAAAAAACTCATTAAATTTAAGATCACAAAGTTATTTTCCTTTTTTCTCCCTAACCGGCTGAGCCATACGAACGTGAAAAGAAAAAGGTAAAACGAAATAATCTATAGAAAAAAAAAATAAAACTATTTCAAACTGTCCAGAATACGGCTTATCAATTTGATTTATTGCCTTGCCAAACAGTTTCTGACCTCGGAAGGACGCACACTTCGGGGCTTCGATTGGTCAGGTTCTTTCTTGACGGCGACTTCCCGTTTCGTGTTCTCGCGAACTGCCGCTTCGACCTGTAACAAAATGGCCAATCAAGCAAGAAAAATCATAGAGAAAGCTCAATTCACTTGAAGATAAGAGACGGTCAAAACTCGTGATTAAGAAATTATAGAAGTAAATACCACGACTTTTTTAAAACCAATCTACAGTTGTGTCCATACAGGAGAAAACAATAAATTGGATTGAACTTCTGCAATTTTGTCCATTTGGGCTTTCTGATTAATTCGAAAAACTGTGTTGCAGTTAATTTTCATTTTATTCGGAGTTTTTCTTTATATTAATGCTTTGAAAGTGTATAAGGAAAATCGGGATTTCGAGAAATAATGCTGTTGATTGAATCGATTCATACGAACTTTTCCGAACTTGTGCAATTTTTTGTGGGTTTCAAACAGAACTCCTTTCATGGATTATTCTTTTTGACGTTGAAAGACAGCTGATAAGGTTCACTTATAAACAAAATCAAGAGAGAGAGCAATACGGATGTTAAATTTCTTGAAAAGAATAACTTTTAGAACTTAAGGAAGTATGGAATCGTGAATCCGTCAAAGGTAGATTACAGGAAAAAGCCTTGGAACTAACTGTGACACGAAGATTTCCTCGAGACGGAGGCGCCACCGCAGAACTAGAAGTAGAGACTCTCTCGGGGCGCGAACGACCGGTAATACTTCCGATTGTGGCGATCAATGGCTTCGCATCAACTTTGCCTTCTTTGTACCGTTCCATCTAGGTGCAGAAACGTTGGAAACAATGAGTTTTCTCAATCATACATTTTCATCTGTATCATAACAAACGGAGAGCTCCTTGGGATTCGAGTCAGGCCAATGTTTTCCACTCATGGCATTACGAACGGCAGTAGCGCTCTCCAGGGAATCCAACTGAACCAAAATGAAACTTTTATCGGAATTCAAAAAAAAGTGCCAACCTTGACAAAACAGTGACTTTTGACCTTATCCATCCAAAAATCAAGGATGTTGGCCCCGTCTTTGGTTATCTCATTGCGAAGCATGTTCTCCGTGAATGGACGAACAAGCCCTCGGATGTGAACGACGTCCGAGACTGGATGCCTGTTTTTTTCCAATAGTAATTGTATTTACGTAAATTAGGAGATAAATGACATTTTGCTTATATGCTCACTGAAGTACACTTTAACCCGTAAACAGAAAAGTTTTCCTTGAATTTTGCCTTGAAATGACTAACAGCGCTCAAAAGTATGCAGTCCACATCACTACAGTGCGTTCTACGCTAGACTTCATTACGAAGGAGAGTTATAACACAGTCAAAACGTAAAGATAGAGATTAAATTACTTTCAGTGATCAGGGTAATCTAACGACGTGTTTAAAGTGAATTCAGAATTTCAAAAATTGACGTGTTTTTCTTTTAAGATCACGTAATACACAGAATCACATATTCGAGAACTGTAAAAAAAATTCTTACGAGATTTATACTTCTACGCGCGAAGAACTCTAATTTCAAAAAATTGACGCTGATTGGGAAATGTTTCGAGGTTTAGTGTTTCAACGGTAAAAAGTGTGATTAATTCACATTTTGCCAAAGGTTCAAAACGTTTTTCTATTCGAAAATTGGATTTCCATCAATACGGCAAGAAACCAAAAAAAAACCTTTTCTTTTGCAACCGCATAACAGAAAGAAGGACATATTTTCAAGAAAATATGAAAAAGGAAAATCTGTAAATATGTACCTGGACGAAGGAGAAGATACCCGATGCGCTCGATCGCGTATCTTACCCTCCGACAAGACTTCCACTCTCGCCGTCCCATTTGATGACTTCTTTTTCGTTTCGGTTCCCTCAGAAAGTCCATTTTTCGTCGATTTCTCAGCCTCCGTCGTCTGCAAACATCCCATGAACAGAAGGGAAAAAACAAGACTATCGAAAATGTGTTCAACGGTAAAATGGAAACTTGGAAAACCTCCTCCCTATCCTTCTCGTCCTCATTTTCGTCGCCGTAGTCGAGCTCCAAGTCGTCGTCCGCGGGCTTCGTAGTAGTCGTTTGCGCCTTCTTCGTCTCTTCTGTAGCAAGCATTGACATAATACTTATCAAGTGGTGTTTTCCAAGCTCACTTTTCTCTTTCTCAGGAGGAATTATATGACTCTCAGCCGTTTTTTCCCTCGCCGAATCTTCTCCGGCGATCGCTTCATTCATTTTCTCTGGAATAAAAACTTCGTGGAAAAAAAAAATAGTTGAAACGAAAACCATCCGGCTCGTCAGAACTACTCGTCTCGCTCTCCGAATCTTGAGAAGTGAGATCCTCTACTTTCACGCTAAATTCGTTGCCCTTTTCGGTTCGATCGGCTCTTCAAAATGAAAATTTAAATTAACATCCTACATCTACTATCTTCAAACCTTTCAGGAACTGGATCCTCTTCTTGTTTGCAAATCTCGGGATCGACAGGAATTTGCTCAACGCTGTTTTTCTCTCCTTCAGATTTCCCCGAAGTAGCCTTGGCTTTCTCTTCTTTCCTCTTATCATTTTTCGGTGTCTGGACGCTCTCGCTGTCTTCTGAATCTTTCTTCCTTTCTTCGTCAACGCCTGTCTGTTCGGCCTGAAAGTAGAAAAAAAAGTTCGAAAAAATTTATTCGGCAAACCTCCGCTTCTGTTTCGACTTTTGGAGCTTTTTTCACGGTTTCCTCGTCTTGAGCGGGTAAATGTGCTAAATAACTCAGTTTTGAGAACGAAGTACTAGACAGAAATAAGTTTTGAAACTTACGATGAGCGACCTTTGCCTCTTGCAACGCTGCTTGCTGCTTAGCTAAGTACTCCGCGACCAAAGGATTCGTTGGAGGAGAACCCTAAAGATTTGAGAGATGACTAATGACTAATCATACGGCGTTATAAAATATTCCTTGCTTCGGTTGCACTTTCGAATCTCCTTTTGAATCCTATTAGGTCTTCTCGAATTAAATATTTTTTTCCAAGTTTCAAAGTTGAACAGAACATACCTCAGATCAGAAAAACTTTCTGATAACTAAAAAAACACAACATATATAAAAATAAATAGCTAACCCAAATCAACGCGCTCAACAAACTTTAAACTAACAGATCTTCGTTACGCCACTATTCGAGCTCATAAAGTCGAAAAATCGCGACAATTAATCTCGAACGAGTCAATTATAAGGCGTTATAAAAATAATATAAATTATTGGGTCAGTTTTTTCAAAAATGGTCTGAAAGTTCGACTAGTCAAAAACGACATTCAATCTCGGAAGAACTGATATTTTTCGGCGAAAACGGAAATGACATTTAGTTTTAATTATGGGGAGAGCTGGAAGATTCTAAAGCAAAATCTTTTTTTTTCAGCTTTTTCTTCTTCCAATTCATATGTTGGCCAAAATATAATCATACGAGTTTCGTTGATGAGGCCGATTTTGTTGGACTGGTGAGTGGGCTATCTCGATCTCGACCAAGAAGACTCTGAAAAAATCAGAAAACTTAGTTGGGAACGAAATGAACTTACATCTCGAAGCCTGTCCTGTAAAATTTGCTTATTGCCTATTTTTGATAAACCGCGTTCATCAAGTGCTTCTTTCAAATCTACCACCCGCAGTGTAGAAAGTAGCACACCGTTGACCAGCGGATCTTCGTCAGACATTTCACTGAAACCGCAAACTTATTAAAATTCTCATTATTTGAATGAAACTGCTCATAAAATTGCATTAACGATGAGCATAAAAAAAAATGAAACGATCCACAATTTAAGTCAAATTGAATGGTTTAAAACAAAAATCTTAAAGAAGTAGAAAAAAGCGTGTAAAACTGGACTTTTAGAAAGTGAAAAAATAAACAGAGAAGCCCTAAACTTGATACTATGAATAATGAAATGAAAGCAAAAAATTTTGATAATTTGTTTGCTTTTTCATTTTGATAACCTAAACAGGCGTCGATTAAGTTATAAGGAACACAATTTGCATAAATAGGAGTAGTTACAAAAATTAAAAGAAACTTTCTATCTTCAGAAAAAAACAATTTTACAAAAAAATAATAACACACGGTGATCTTTAGAGATCTTGTTACCTATAAAAACGGCACACGAAATATAAATTTATTAAAGTGTTAAAACGCGTTCAGTTTATTTTTACGAACATGACCTGAACAACACTTCCTTAACGAAAAAAAAACGCATTCAAAACTACTTCGAACAGTGCTGAAGGTTTAATGCTCATAAATGATTTTGAACGCGGCATCATGGACAGAAATTTTTTGAAACTTGGGATGGTTTTACCTCCTCCACGTAAACTTACGGACTGAACTTTCACCGCGTATCGTACCCAGCAAAATGTCGAAACTCTTTTCTCACAGATTTTCACGATCACGCCTCAGCGGGAAAAAGTTTATTGAAAAGAATTATTCATTCTGGTGAAACTTTATCGCAAAAAATTTTGAAATAAATTTTCTGTTTAGGCTGTACAAAAACTGTCCATATTCAAACTTGGTATCGCAAAAAAGCTTCGCATTCTACGAAAACAGAGGAACAGATTGAGATTTTCTGTCCAGGCTGAACATAAGTTGTCCATACTTTCTTCTTAGAAGTCGCAATCTCCTGAAGAGAGGGAAGTAGATAACAAAAGATTTAGAGAGTTAGAAACAATTTCGAAATTTGGCTAATTACTGTCAGTGATGGGAGCCTCTGGCATTGAGAAAGGAGACTAGTAATTTTAATATAAGCAGTATATTCGATCTTAACGTCTCCGCAGAAAAATAAAGACAAAAATTTTTATTTTTATTTTTAAAATATAAAAAAACTGGATGTTATGCCGTGTTCAATTTGTTTCCGCGAAATGCAAAATGATCTCTGAATATCCAAAATTTAGTGATATTTCCCTTTCTCTAACGCGTTATAACGCGTATTTACATTTCGCGGAATCAAATTGAACACGGCATATATATATTTACATTTAAAAAAATTCTGTTGCACAAGTACGCTCCAACGAACGCAAGGGCTCGGTAAAATGCCACCTCGGATCTTGTGGCGTGTTCATTGGAGAAACGGAACATGCTTCGAAACGAAAAATTGTGTTCATCGGTGCGCCAAAGTTGCTCCAAAACAGTACTAATTTTTGTTTTGGAGCAATTTTTCGCGTTTCGAAGCAATTTTCGTTTTGTCCGATGAACACTCCATTGGTAACGCGAACGGGACGCGAATCGGACGTGTCGGGGCATTTCTAGTGACCACTTTAGTGGCCTCAGCACTCTTAAAAGATCCCTAAAATCGCCCAGAAACGTCCGTCCGTTTCACGTTACCAATGTCCGAGACGCCTCATCGGCTCGCTTGCAGGCAGGCTTGTGCGTCAGGCCGGGCTTTTGGCCATTATTTTTGAAAAAAGCCTGCGCGTGGTCAAGACGGCCGGTCGATTACAGTTGTTAAAATTTTTTTCTAGTACTAAAGAAAAAATTACTGTACTATCGAGGCGTAACTACTCTTGCTACCTCGAGAGATAGGTTCTACAGATTCCAAATGAATAATAAATAAATTTTTTCTGGCTCGTGAACAGATGGTGTAATACTGACTGACCATCTTATTATTTCTCTAATTAAGTTAATTAAAACTTCGTCAATGGTATTTTATCGAAAAAAAAAAATTGAATTGGGTGAAGAAATTTACGGTGATTTATTTGAAGAGCTGGTATGGCGTGGTTCAATCCCTGGATCAAGCGTTCAACTGAGAAGGAGAATCATCCAGATGCGTCTTTAGCCTTTGAAGCTCTTAATTTCGACTATGTTAAAGAGGTTTTTTTTTTCACTTTTGCAGAAATTAGAATCTTCCTAATATTTCTAATCGTGAGATTATTTCTCAGGACGCCCGCTCAACGGAAGAATCTGAGAACGCCATTTTGGTTGAAAAAATTCTGAAAATGTTTCGTGATGATAACTTGGAGCAGTTGGAAGCCGTCTTGCAACAAGAGAAAAAGGTTTTCTTGTATTTGAAAACATTCGATATAGGTGAACGGGAGATCTTCTTTTTCTAAATGTAGATGCAAATATTGGGAATTTTCTAGATTTGTCAGGATTGTTCTCCATTTTTTTTCTCTTTTGTGCTTTTTCTGATCTGCAAAATAAGCGAACATAATTAATTTATATCGAAAGAATAACTCGTCATAAAAAAATTTTTTTCCAGACTTCGAATCCTAACGTCCGTAGAGGGGCTACCCACGATCTTGAGGTATCTTTTTCGTTTATTTTTATTTGTTTTTTGCAGCTCCGCAAAATTTCGATAGCCAAAAAGGGTTTTATTTCATATTCTGAATTTTTTTTTAAATGTCGAAACGCTCCGAATTTGAGAGAGAAACTGAAGACGATTATTTCGAGTATTCGTTCAAAGTATGCAGTCAAGGATTTGACGTTCAGCGAAGCTTTCGGAGGCCTCTGGCCGCGAAGAAAACGCTCCGCGTCGATTTCAAAATCGACGGTCTCGAAAGTTTTAGGGTGAGCTCTCATATGAAGTGATTTTAGTTCGCGGTTTGGAAATTTCGGAAAATTCGCTCAAAAACTATCCGAAGGTTGAGATTCCGTCATAGTCGTTACCTGGTACAGCTTTTAGTTTTTGAGATAATTATTTTTAAAGTTCGGAAAGTTAGGCTTAAAATCCATGTTTCGAAAATTCGAAAAAAAAAAACTATATCTCTGAAATTGAAAGTTTGTGCAGGTAAAACCATTGTGAGTCCTTTGTCTTAACTTTCAAAAAGTTTTCGAGCAAATTTGTAGAAAGTTGCAAACCACAAAGTAAAATTACTCCCCTTTGTCAGGTAATTCTGAAAGGAATGTTAAATTTTTCAGAGTTTTAATCCCACTTACACGAGTACTCCACATGCTCAGCGTCCATCCATGTCCTTGCGAACGGCTAATTTTCCCGAGGCTTTTCCAGAAATGATTGAGGAAACACGTGAGGTATGAAGGGGAAAAATGAAATGGAGACAGGTTCAATTCATTAGAGCATCGACGAACGAATCGATGCCTCTGCCGATGAAAAAAGTCATCAACACTTCCTCGTCTCGATGTGCACTTGCACCAATCCGCCAGCCAGAATGTCCCCGAAGAAAACTTCGGCTCTTCCCATTTCAGACTCGAACGATTCTCTCGTTACCTATTATGATTTGGAAAACAGCTCATCGATTCCCTTTGAAAGTTCTTCAAGTGAAGGTATTCTCTCTGGGTCAGACCTGTGTTCTATGCGTCTTGGCGATTTTTCGTTTCAATTAATGACTAATTCCGACCGTAATCAATCAATTCATCCTTGAACTTGTTTTTAAAACTAACTTTTTTTTTCTCACCTTGATGTATAAACAACGGCTTCTTATGAATTGCTCTCAGGAAAGTGTTTCATGTGTTATATTACTTTGTTTAAAAAACTTTCTACGCTTGAATTTTGTGCATGTATTCATTTATCATTTTCAAGCGAAACCTTGTTATGCTTCTGCACACTTCGCATGTCCACTTTTTTGAATTTGCTGCTGTAAAATGTGAAGATAAAGCTGTTCGACTGGATTTTGTGATATATAAAAACACTAGTTGGCTACTGGTTCAAAACCGTATCTCTAGTTATGATTTGACTATTTTTGAAATTCGGATTTCCGTTTGATCTTCATATACAAATCCAGTGATGAAAGTATGCAGAGCAGTGTCAGATTTCAGATCCTCTGATAAAACATCAGCACTATCGCAATAGCCCTGCTTGCTTCGAGGGTGATCGAAGATAATCAGCGACTGTGTGAGATGTCTTCACCCCAGGTGATTTAATCTTGATCTTTTTAACTAGTTTTCTCTGCCGCTTTCGAAGAATTTCCTTATACTCACTCTGATGGTTGAATCATAAGGGATCGAGAAAACCGAAAACAGTCTCGACGCGATTTTTATCAAGTGTTACAGTGGTTGAATGTGTGGTGGAACAAGCCTAGATTGCTATCTTAGGAGTTGCTTCTTTTTTTCTTTGTGTTTACACTTCAATGACGTCTAAATTATATTGACTAGTAAACTTTTATTTTGCAAACTTTTCTATTTTGATATTCAGTCAAAATACCTATAGACTTACTGCTTTCAAATGATGAGATTGAGATGCAGACTTCGCACTCCATATCATTCATAGTTACATTTCCAATTTTCTATGACGAATTAGAGACAAGTCTGATTTAATTCAAAATTAACAAATTATATACATATTGCCTCTTGCACAGTGGAGAACTTTTCACTTCAACCAATTAACATTTTAGAGTGGAATTGTTCTGATTGGCTCCCTGGTTATATCTTCTTTTTTTTTTGAAGCGAGGTCTTTGTAATGAGAAAACACTGACACTCGGTGTTCCGATGACTTCTCACGAGAGCGAACGGGTCTTTTTTGTTCCTTTCATAGACAACCGATCAGCCCTTCAAAAGTGCAAATTCTTCTTTTTATATCGCGCGTATTGCAGAGAGCGCTTTCTTTTGGTTTTTTTCAAAATGGGAACATCTGGGGAAAAAATTGATAAGAAAAAAATAGCAGGGTGGTCTGAATGGAGGTCATTAAGTATTAAAACTTTTTTTTTGAGACTATTATATATTTGGGCTAATATTATCTACTCCAAAGGTTTTTATGAATCTCAAAGAGTTTACGATGATTATTGTTATCAGCCTTTTCCAAGATTTCGTGGCTTGAAAAAAAAGCAGAAATGGTTAAAGGGGGTCTTTTTGGAAACTTTCTGAGAAAAGGAGACATAGCTGAACTTTTTACGCCAACATCGTGCAACATAAAAGGGCACCCAGTCGACTTCGTTCTTGACCCCGATTCTACTCGAATTCGAAGCGTGTAAGTAGTTCGCCTTGTCCTTATACGGCGGTACAATTCGCTCCATCAACAGAATACAGGCGGCAAGGACGTCGCATCGCATCGGCCTTGCGCGTTTCATTTTTTTTTTTTTCTAAACGTGTGAATGAAACCATGTAAGTGACTTCGAGGATAAGATGCACAGTAGAAACTAGCGCAATGAATTTTGAGAGAATCATGGTTTTTTGTAGCTGGTCAATGAATAAAAAAAGACTTAACGTCTCGTTTTTTTAAGTTTTAGAATTTCTCGGTGGCGATGTTAAATTTTACGAAGTATTTAGTATAGATGCGCCTATAGAACATATCTGACATCGAAACTGTTTATGATCATATTCTTATAACTTGTCATTTTTCAAATCTTATATCTCATATGGAATAATAGAAAACAATAACATTTCATTGTCCAAACTTTAATATATCAATTCAATTAAATTTCCGTTTCAGACGAATTTTCCAGTTCACATCCATTATTAAAATATCACATTAGAAAAAATTATTAAACTTTTCATGTTTCTTTGAGTTAGTCTTATCCTTTTTCATTTGATACTAAGCGTTTATCTCTTTGAGAGTTCAGCCAAAACTAGAGGCTCTCTATTTGAACGCCAGATTACCGTAGCCCTAAGAAAGCGCCGATCCCGCCTGTCAGAAAACACGCCCAACAAAACTCTCGCATAGTACTCGCCGCCGGTTTTTGTTGGTATCTCTGAAAAGGGTAAAAAAAGTTTTGGAAGAGATGGCAAGGTCGTGCGAATGAAACATTCAGCGCGACATTTTAAGCGCAGCGATTTTTTTTTTCTCTCTCCGCTCACAGCGACAGTAGATTATAAATATATAAACTTTTCCCCAAACTATGTGAATTTTCTGAAGTTTAAAAATCAAGTTAAAGACACTTTTTCATTAAATAAACTAATCCAACCGCAAAGGCGGTTTTTTCATTGCTCAAAAACCATACCAACATAATTAAAAGTTTGGTTTTTTTTTTTTACTTTTTTGAAACGTAGTTTTACTTTAGTAGTTCTGATTAAAAATCTTTTGAAGTGTTCATTAGAGTTGGGGTTTCAAGATTGGAGTCACAGCTTTCCATTCTCGGCTCTCGCTGGAAAAGTTTTCTCCCTGTTTGTATTGTTATTTAACTGCAGGGATCGGCTCTGAAAGCTCTATAATCATAGAGGATTTGCTCGATTTTTTTCGGACCCTAGCCTAGAACTGAAACGATTCGAGAGAACAATGATGGAAGAAGGCATCACTCCGAAAAGTTGGAAGGCCGAAGGGAAAAGGGCAAACATGCTGGCTGCACTATGCGTCCTACATAAAAAAGGAGAAGAACCGTCCAAAAACGGTGTGTCGAGAGAAATAGTGAGGTGGAGACGAGGACGAAGGGGTTTTGCGAATCTGACCGAACCCTAGACATTTTCCGATCGAGTGTACTATTAGAGGACGGAAACAAACAGCACGACCGCGCATGGTTAGCAGCTACTTGGCCTCCATACCAACTCCCACGAAACAGGAGCCACTGCAACGTCGGTTTCGCCTTTATGGGACTCCTGGTTCAATGCCTTTCGAATAAGTTTTCGCGCTTTGCATAGATTCTTGCTGCACAAAGCCTATTTTAACACTGCATCATATACTTAGTGGTAAGCGGCAGGTTCTATCTGAATTTCGGACTTTTTTCTTTTGGAGTTTTCAACCTTATTCATGTCGATTCGCTCCGAAATGGATAGAAAACCAAAATGTCTCAATTTATTTTAAAGACGAATTTCAAAATTCTCACAGAAGGACTATAATATTTTCTTTAAATTTTTTTTTCCGTGGATCAGACGATTAGTTGAGTATAATTTGTAAAATCACGCTGGAAGTTTTCAACTAAAAAGAAATTTCAACTTTTAACAGTAGTTATAAACTGTTCAGAATTTATACCAGTGCCTTTTCGCTTCGAGAGTTTCGTAAATCGTTGCGGCAATATTTTGCGTCCTTATTCGTTTCTGAATTCAATTCGCCTTGTTTTATGAGTTTTCCACGGCGACCGTTTCAATGTTTCTTTTTGCGTTTTCTCCACGATACGATCCAAATTTCTTTTTTATTTGCCGATTTCATTGGTTTTCTATGGGTTATATTTCATAAAATGTTCCTTTTTATTCTTATACGTTTATGAGTTTTTATTTTCATTCTTTTTCTACTACGATACATTCGAAAATCTCTGCACGGTCGGATGCTGGAAACAAGTCTTTTGAGTCAGAGTTGTGCGATAGGTTTTCTCGTGGCTGGACTCTCTGTAAGACACTTTGACATACTGATTTCAAGTTTCAAACAAGCTGGGCTTTGGATAGGCAGTTTTTAAAACCTAAGCTTTCTAAACTGCGTTTTTGAAAAGTATGATGCTGAGAGAACGGTTGCTAACTATATGAAATGGCGTCAGAAGTGTGCGATTAGTGATGTGGCTATATTGTTGACGGCGAGTGACTCTGCGTCCCAGAACTGATAAAAGAGCCGAACTCGGAGGAGGACGACGCGTCCTCGACCGCTTATCAATCTTTTTAGTTAGCATCGTCGAATCGCATTAATATAGGGTGGTTCCTTTTGAATTCTTTTCATCTGCTTGCATTCTTTCGAAATATTCGTACGGTAAAAACTATGAAAGAAGGTTTTTACGACCTTATTTTTAATTTTCTTGGTATACCGTTTATTATTTTGCCTAGCAAGTCCATTTTGGTCACCTTCGAGCTCAAAGGACTTGTGAAGGATTTCTGTAGCAGGCAAGAAATAATTTACTTAATTTTGAGCGAAAATATTCAGGACGCTTGTCTGCGGAGTGCTTCTTTTCTCGGTTTTCACGTGAGGTCTCCTTTTTGCCGCTACAAATTTTTGAAATTCAATTGTCCAGACAGGAAGGTCAATCACACCAATGAGCAAATGTCTACGCTTTTTCCCACACACGCGTTATTTCAAGTATTCAAACTCAGTTCCAGTAATTCCATTTGAAACATAAATGTTTTGAATATGAGAACGGTTTTTTGACATTTTACATGTTGAAAACATTTTTGGTTTTCCCAAGTTTTTTTTATAACAAGTAACATTTAGATCTTGAAGGTGAGTCGGATTTTTTTTTTCCTGGTCCTTGCAATTTCGTCGTTTCAAAATGGTTTCGATTTCCATACTTTTATTTTCGAGAGTTTCTCCCTAGAATGTTCGTAGCGTGAATCAGTAGTTAAGCGTTTAGTTTAGGCGTGGGACATTAGTCTGGTGTCTGTGTTTTGTTATATGGCTCTGCGCGGGAACTCACTTCGATAGCTTTCCTTTGCATTTGGAAATTTCTGATCTCTTGAGAATCTCCACGAATAATCTACCTGCCGAAGGCTCTCTGCTCGAATGCTGAGCAGGGTACCCCAGCCGTGCTAACACGGGGTCTCCGCGGGTGCCCCCGTAGTAAACCCGTATAAGCCCAGCTCATAGAACTTTTGGCAGTTTTTAGCCCAACTGAGACCCCGCTTTAGCCCAGCTGGGTTACATATTTTTCTTACACCCGTTGTTCCCCCATTTTAGCCCAACTGAGACTAAAATAACCTCAGAAACACGGGTTTAATACGGGTACACCCGTTGAGACACCTGCTCAGCATGCGAGTGGTTAGAGTTATGTAGTCTTTTAAAGGATCTGCCGTTTTTTTAAAGTCACATGGTCGAATCGATGTTAGGCCCATAGTTTTCTTCTCATCGTTTTCGAAATTTTCCATTTTTTCAAGTTTGTGGAAACAAAAAAAGCAGAGTTTTTGCTACATAAACAATATCAAAAACAAAAAATGACAGGATAATTAAAAAAAGAAATTAAAGAGTTCATGAAACAAATAGACGACGTATCGACTGTTTTCATGTCTTTTTCCAGATTTGTGTAGTGTCCGATGGCCCTCAGACTGTTCAAAAATTGAAAAAGAATGTTTGAATCGTACTTTGAAGGTATTTAAATGGCGTTTTTCTTCATTTTGAACGTGCATGAATAGATATTTTTTTCAGATTGTTAGGTCTTATCACCCAAATTTTCCAGGATTCTTTGAGCTAATTGTTTTTAAAAAATACCTGAGAGGTAGTTGAATCTCGCCACGCACACCTGCTCATTTCACTAATTGCCTCAGACTTTGGCGGATGAACTTTTGTGTGAGTCAGAAGTTAATGTAGGAATTATTTAGTTGAATGTTCCTTATTAGAGCATTGCTTTGACTTTTTTCTTGTCTAGTCGTTTTCAGGAAAAGTTTATTTCTATTTAAGAGATTTGTCTAGTCGTTTTCAGGAAAAGTTTATTTCTATTTAAGAGCCGTTGGGGGATTGAGTCGTGTGATATTTTCCTTTCTCATCGCGTTAATAATGTTAAGGACTTTGAGAGAGTTCCTGCGTCATCACTTTACACAATTTAATTTTAATTTTCATAGACAACAATGAGAAAGTTAGACCCATAACATAATGTTTCAGAGTTTTTTAAAAGGTTCTTTGAAACGAAAATTCTTTTCCATCAGCGAAAAATCTAGGATTTTTGCTTATATATTTTGCAAACACAAGAAAGAACTACTAAGTCCGCATTGAAACAATTATTCACTTAGTCTAAATATCCTCCCATCAAATTCGCAAATGTTTTTGGAAAAAGTACTTTTCATTAACGTATGCTCAACTTTCCTGGTCTGTCTCCGCTGTCTGTTTTCCGATTTCTGTTACCTACGTGGTGAATTTTCCTGTGGAACGGAAAAGAGACCGTTAGATTTCTTTTGAAACCCAGACTAATTCATCTTTCGCTGGTTTTGGGTGGGTTTTTTTTTTCAATGTTTTGGAACTTTCTCTCCAGGCCTTCGGGAACCATGCATCACGAGTCATTTTTCTTCATGACGCCAATGTTTCCTGCGTTAATATAAATTCCATCTTAACTTCAATCGGATTTTTAAAAGATATCTATTATATCAAGCAATGTTGAAAGCTTTTCATGAATTACGGTAGACTTAAATAATTAAGTTAACTGATTTCTGAATAAATTTCACCGAATAAATTCCTTGGTTTGCGATGCTCCGATTTTCCTTATACTTGGAGTTCAAGGTAGAAGATTTCTTCAGTCGAAGAGAAGACGCTTACGATTTTTGATCGCAACACTACCGTATGCCTGAAGGGCGTCGCTGCGAAATACTTTTGATTGGAGTTGCTTAGGGAAGTACACACACTGCAATTTATGTCCGACTAATGGGAAGGTGGGCTGAGCCGCCTTTCGGAGCAACTTTTCGCGACCAGACGGGCTCATCATCCTTCGCTCTTGCGTCAGACGATAACTATGGCTTTGAACCGTCGCACTCTTGCTCCCTAGTGTATTAAACCTGTCTGTTCTGCTCAGACATCTCACAAACACGTCTTTACTTCTTTCTCTTGAACTCCTAACTTTTGAGTTAGTTTTTTTTTAATTTTTACTTTCAACTGTTTCATAGTAATTATTAATTTTTTCCTGGTCTTTGCTACTCATTCGCCATTATATTTGGACGATGTCCGAATTTCGCTTATGTAGTTTTTTGTTAAAAGTTTTCTTGTTCCAAGGATCAGAGCGCATTTAATTTTCGCTAAATGAAAAAAATTTTCTAGTTGCTCGGTGTGAAGAGAGCTTACTGATTTTATGTAGTTTGTTCTCTGATTCAGTTTACGCGGTCTTTTGTACTTCTTTTTTTTTTCCTTGAAGTTCTACGGAAATCAATTAGGGCAGGTATGCTTATGAGAGCGATGTTTATCTATAGGTTACTGTAGCCTAATACTAGACTTTTTGTTTCACACGACTTGTTTGCTTTGCACTGCGTTTTTTTCCGACTCGCGTTATTGGAACATTTTCTCATTTTTCAAAAGTTAATTATCTTCAAAAATAGATCGAAATCCTTTCTCACTGCTGTCTAGTCGCGATTTTTTCTTTAATTTGTTGTTTTGCGATTGTTCGAATGTACCAGCGGAACAGAGCTCCTCACGGTGTGGCGACGAGGCAGCAAACAGGCTCCGCCTCTTTCTAAGCTCCGCCTTTTTTCTCTCTTACCTCGTGCCAATCTGTCGCTAGTTTATTCGCCCGGGTATACGCATATATTTTTTTTTTCCCGAAAACTGATAAATAGTTTTCGGGAAACAAAGTTTCTCAGAGACTATTCATTTATATCTTTATGAAACTTTATGCTCATCCAGGCTTTCCTAGCGAAGTATCTCGCAATTCCTTTTTTTCTTTTATCATTGGCTTTTCACAATTAGAAAGCGATCTAAGTTATTTTTTTACACTTTTTTGTTGCAGAACACTGAGCAGGCGACGGGAATGTCGCTGTTCACTGTGGAGCAGTTGGAGTTGATTCGGCGGCTTCGCACCACGGGAATCTCGTCGGATCAAGTGCTCAAGGTGCTCAAATATCAACTATCCAGATTGAACTTGTTCCTCTTCCAGGCGTTTGTGGAACTAGACCAGGTAGACTGTGTGCTCGACAAGAACCAGAACACTAGCCACACTCCCAACAACAACAATGCGACAAAGTTGTCGCCGTCGCCTCCGTTGCCTCAGCCGCCGGCCGTCTACGCGCCGCTTCTTCTGCAGCACTTGAGCGCCAAGCCGCCGTCTCCGGACGCGACACCATCCGCAGAGCGACTGTCAGTACTGACCGTGCCGCGTGCGTCGACCGTCAGCGAGTCTTCGCCGCCTCCTGCCCTCACTCCCACCCCTCTTTTGCCTGGAACGTCTTCTTTCCAGTCTGCGCCCATTTTTGGCTCCTTCGACAGTTCAGAGGCTGCTCGTCCCATCCGAAGCCAGCGGACTCCCATGAAGGAGATCACGACGCTTGAGGACCCAAACGAGCTCGAGCAGTTCATGCAGCAGGGCGAGGAGGCCTGCATCAGCGAAATGAAGACGTTCATCACACAGTATTCGCTTCGACAGACCACCGTAGCCATGATGACAGGTGTGCTTGTTTTTCGCCGAGTTGAAACAGGCACCTTTTTTCGCGTTTGCGCCATCTTCTTATCACTATCTATGCGCCCCGCAAATAGATAATTCGGATTGAAAAGAGTTCAAGGCGTCCTTGTCGTCCGAACAGTGATCAAACATGTTGTAGACGGAAACAGTTGACATTTAAAATCAAACTCCTATAGTTTTCTCAATATTTATTGTTCCTCAGTTCATTATTTGGGTTTTTAGTGATTAGATTGAAAGCGGTTGAACTTGCATTGACACTGCGAGAATGAAAAAAGTTTCGAAAATTTATCAAAATTGTGCTCTTTCTTCTAGTTAGGAAAATTTCTAAAATCAAAATCGAAAGCTCTACAAAATAAATCGTTCTTGCAGGGGTGAGTCAACCATACATCTCGAAGTTGCTCAACGGAAATCATCGTGAACTTTCTCTGAGGTGCCGCAAAAACATCTACTGTTGGTATCTGAACTGTCGGCAGCATCCCGAGAAGCTAGGTATATCTTCTGTCTCCTTTATTCATTTCTCTTTTTTTTATCTTGAAGTTTACCACGTTTAACATTGTTTCGAATATTGAAAAAAGCGGAGTACTGTGGTACTTTTGATTTTTTTTTTCATAGCCGACAAAAAATGATTTGAAAACAATGAAAAAGCGGTGAGAAACGAGGCTGATTTAGTGGGGCATTTGACGGATCGACGGGTCATGCATAAGTGTATCAATGTATAACCGCGCATGTACCCAGAAGGACGTTGAAATCGGGTCTTTTTGCATTTCGAATTGCTCTTTCTCTTTCTTTTTTGCTTATGAATACATGAGAACCGCGCTCCTTTCACGTACAAAGGAAACTGCTTAAATTCTCAATGAGGGAGTACCTTTCGAATAACTGCCTCGGTAATTATGTGGTTTACCGATAGAGTGATTGCGGGTTAAGCCTTCTAAAAGCCGAATATTATGTTTTGGTCCTTCTATTCAGTCGCAAGTCAGAAGTTAGAGATCTTTATGGTTTTGAGATGATTATTTATAGCTGTGTACTGTTTTGAAATACGAGAGCGTTGATCAACTAATAACCGATTTTGTTTACGTTTGTCAAGATCGACTGTTGTACTGTTTCGAGCGTTTTGAAGCTGGTGACTGTGGAAAATGAAATGGAAATTGATTTGGCGGAAAACGATACAAATATCTTTTTTCAAGCTTATTTTTCGATTTTATTTTTTTTTTCAGTACCGAATGGATTGTTGTAGGGATTAAGTATAGAGGAGAAAAGAGTCTCCTGAAAAATTAGCCCGCAGTAGTTCTGGCTCTTTGAATTGACGGGTTAAAGTTCAAAGAATGATCTTTTGGTTAACTGTGACCTAGTGAGTCCACTTTTTGATAAATTTTTTCCTTATTTAGGTAACATTTTTGAGTGGGAGAGAACCTTTGAACAAAACAGAGCGAGAGAGAAAAAATTATTGAAAAAATCGTTTTCAGCAGCGTTTTTGCAAGACCCGTCGACCCGGTTGGAGACGAATGGGGATGGCGAATTGGTACCTCAGCGCCGAGAACGATACGTTTTCCGACCAGTTCTGATTCGGATGCTCGAGATTTGCTACAATCAGACGCCGTTCCCTGACGCAGCTCGACGCGCCGAAATCGCCAAACTGTGCAACCAGCTTCTTCAGTACGACAAGAAAGGTAAGCGATAAAAAAGGAACATGGAGATTCGAAACTGGAATTCGGCAGGAGCCTCGCTGATGCCGAAAGAAGTCGTGTCGGCTCAAGTCGTGTCCAACTGGTTCGCCAACAAACGCAAGGAGATGCGTCGAAGGACCGCCGAAGCCGGCGATTCCAAGCCCATTCTCACGCCAATCAAGTCTTCCTTGTCGTCGCCGCAATCGCCTGCCGAGTTGAGCAGGACTCCATCGTCCGTCGATGAGGTCAGGCTCATTTCTTTTTCTCAATCAACCAATCGTTCAAAATTCTTCCAATCAATTTCTAGTTTTCAAGAGAGAAGATATCATGGAACTTAAGTTTATTCTGAGATTGAAAGAAATACGAGTTCATAAAAAGTGAGGCAAAATGAAATCAAATTTCTCAAAAAATGAAATAAAAACGATGGTTGCAGTGTTCGCGCACGGCAACGCCCAACTTGCAAGACGAAAACTGCGAGCTGAAAACGACGTCTTCTCAGCTTCCGACGTCTTCTCAACTCACGTCTTCTGGTCTACAATTTTCACCCGTCTTCGAGACATTTGCTCCGTTGGATTTGCTGGCCGTGGCGCAACGTATGGGTTTCCAACTGCCTCTGACGTCGTCTGCACCGACGACTCCAGCCGTTTCCGAGTCCGTCGGCATCTCCCATCTGTTCCCTTCGATTAATTCGGAGTTTCTCGCCGCCCAGCAACAGTTTGCCGCCTTCCGACAGCAGCACACAGAAACTTCCAAGCCCGACCTTTGTCTTTTCAATCCTAACATCTACGAAACTCTTCAAGTAACGGTAAGTCCTTATCTGAACTTTTCAGTTTTGAAATTTGATCATACATCAAAAAGTTAAGAATTGAAATAGTATCAATGAAATAATAGTTATTCCAAAAACCCTTGCTAATTTTTTGGTGAGTTCTTCAAAGTTTTAATCGGCACATTTTTTCATTATTTATCTTATTATACTTCATTTTCAATGCGCTTTCCTCACAAATTTTTTTTACAAAGCTTTTTCATTGAAACCAACAGAAATTACTCAGGAGATTTTTTCAGAAATAAAGAAGCTCGGAGCGACTTTTCGCTGTTGTCGACGGTCTCAATACAAATTCTTTTCTATCACGTTATATGATAATCATTTTCGATCCAATCATTTTTTATGGGCTTCTTTTTGTTTTTACGGGCCTTCGTGACTCTCTTTTTACTGAGTTCTTTTTTTGTTTCTGCCGGCGAACGTTTGCTCAAAATATTTGCTTCTATCCTGTGACTTCTTTTTTTTCAATTAGATCTTCATTTCTGTAATTATAGCTGTTTGGTTCCCATCGTGCTTTCTTTTTGTCTCATCCGGTTAATTATTTGCCCTTTTAAGCCTAGCTAAATTATGTCTATGAGAAGAGGTCAAATGCGTTTTGCAGGGATTTCAGATTTTATTTCAACCTTATCCCCAGGGAAATATTTCGACTCTCCTTTCCTTTCGTCTCATAATGCACTAATAATCAAGATCGGTGTCGATTTAATGCATTCTTTTTAAAGCTTTCAAATGCATGTAGATTTTTATTTTGTCATTGTTCATTTCAATTTTTAAATGAATTTTTAATTGTTCAAACTTCAAAGCAAAAAGCAAAAAGTGGAATTCCGTTATCTAAAAATTTTCAGCGTAAGGTTCTGAATTAAGAAGATTAAATTTGTTTAATTTTTCATAGATCAGCTCTCTTACAGAGTATTTACGCGGTCACAAAAACGTTAGTTTCAAATCATACCTATTTCACCAGTTTATGAAAGCTAGTAATTTAATTTTAAATAACTTGCTTTTATGAATGTTTATGAAAACATAAGGGCTTTTTTTGTTGTATTTTTTTCACTCAAGTCTTGGAAGCAAGACGGCTTCTTCCTAAGTTGCGAATGCTTATGAATCATGGACGACGAGAAGAGACGGAGAATTGTTTTCCAATTAGCGTCGAAAATAAATTTTTGCGTTATATTCATTTGGCTTGACACTTGGACATCTTCTGGACCACCGGTCAATACTATTTTTTCTTTATTATCAGGAAGAAATCTCCGTCGGAAAGTTGGGGGCGGCGTCGAGAATTTATGTGTAATCTCGTCGAGTGACCTTTTCATAAGGATCTCAGATTGAAATCACGAGATTTTTCTTCTCATACTTGTATGCTTCGGCAGTCACAACTTCAAACTCCAAATAATTTTTTTGAAACTAAAAAACTTGTTTGCTTTGGAGAGGAGAAGTTGGCCGGCAGAAGTGAATAAAGATTTTAACGAGAAAAAAAAAACCAAAGTTTGTTCTGGAAGAGATGGGCGTGTTTTTTGGAGCGTCGCTGGCGCATCCCAGGAGACCGCCCATTGTCGCCGGCGACGTCAACACCGGTAGCCCTGTAGGCGTGCATCGACGAGCAACCTTCTCCTCGTTCTCGTCCTTTCCGCCGCTCCCAAGTTTTTTTATTCGTTTTTGTTTACAATGCGTTCAAAGATAACCGTCGATTAACGTCAGTAGAGAATTAGCGATAAAAACAAAAAAATTGCTATAATTTTATAAGGAAACAACTTCATTTTTCGAAAGTTATCGTTTCCTCGACAGAAATCATTGAGAAAAAACAATTTTTGGGACCGGTCGTAAAAAAAAAATACCAAGGATTGCTCATTCAATCACTTACTTTCTAATTATGAATCGAAAGAAATTTATTCCAAAAAAAGGCTTTTTGAAAAAAAGCAATTTGAAAAATTGTATTTTTTTGGGAGCAATATATTTTTGTCTCCGCAAAAAAACGGTCAAAACCCGGGTTTGCCTAGACTGCCTGGCTTGACGCACAAGCCTGATTATGTATACTAAATTTAATTCGAACTTGTGAGAAGCTGAAAAAAAGCTTTAGAACCATTTTTTGTAGCTTGAGAGACAAGCTATAAAATCAGACGATATTTAAATTACAAGAAACTAGAAATAAAGCTTTGCGGTTATGATCAGACAATCGAAAAAGTTTATTTAACATGAGAAGATGGAAAAAGTCTCACGGCGTCGGGGGAAGATGTCAAGTTTCCCGCGCTGCTCGTGACGGCTTCTGCATATTCCGACTTTTCTCACAGGTGATTCTGCTCTGAGCGATGAGCGAAACTCTGTTATAACCCCTCAATCTTCAGCTAATTAGCACCCTGCGACGTGTCCGTCTCAGGTTCAGCCGTGTTTTGATTCTCAGATTCGCATTCCTATTTCCGAAAACCTTCTATGGCTATGTTCTGACAAGATTCTGATTGCGAAAAAAGGTTTCATCGTAGGTCTAAAACCGTTTTTTCTTTTCATTCAATTTTTACCTGTCTGTCTATTGAAAAAGGTCAATCACAATGTATTTTTCCCAAGAGTATAGCGTGAGATACTTAGTAAGTCACAGTTCACCGCCAACTTTTAATAAGAAAAGTGGAATAGTTAATGCTTAACTGTTAATCTATAAACATTTTTGTGACTCCGGAATCGAAACAACAAATTATTTTTGCTTCTGGAAAAAAAAATCAGGAATTTGGTTTTTCTGCCTGAAATGTTTTTTTTTCATCAACGTTCCTCGCGACTTGAAAAGTCTGACTTTTGTTCGTTTTTTTTTCCACGCCAATGACCTCATGAAAGTCGTGGAAAATGGTTTTTTCGTATCAAGACTTTCTATTGCAACGGTGCGGATTTGTTCGATTCAGGCTGAAACTAGCCGTGGATCAGTTTGGACGGCTCGGCGAAGAAGACGAAATGAAAAGACGGTGACTGCGTTGAGGCTGGAGGGGCGGCGGCGGATGGCGTTGCTCAAGGTGCGCGACGAGTGCACCAAGCTCGTCGGCCACCGTTTCCTCAACTCCCACATCTGCCTCTGCATCTCGCTCGTCCAGCTCCTCGTCTGCTGCTGGGCTGTCGCCCAACACGCCAACTCCTACATTGTCTACCACAAGGTGTGTCTTCGTTTTTTTTTTATGTTGCAGTAGATCGTGAAATATCGCAGATAGGTTTTTTTTGAGTCTTGAAGGATATTTTGCATCGGCAGTAGAGTGAAAATTGCTTAATTTTGGTCTGCAAAAAGCCGATAATTTGTTTCGAATTAGTTTTTCCGTTGTCTAGTATCCTCTCTGAACTCGAAAGATGCATTTTGAAATATTTTAGAAATTATTTTAATGCAGAAGCAATAATGAGAAGGAAGTCGAGCTTAGTAGTCCAAGTCTAGAATTTGATTAATTATATTTATATTTTCTCAGCAAGAAAAACAGAATTTTTGATGATAGAACTTTTAATTTTGTTCTTTTTCTTAGATCAGTGGTGCTTTCGGAACTTAAGTCGTGATATATTTTTTCTTCGAAAAAAATACCTCCTGAAAATCTAAATTTTTCTCTTTTTGCGAAGACTTTTGAAGTGAACAAAATTTGAACAAGTGAGCTTTTTTTCGGCTGGATTCATCCACTTTTCAATCATCTAATCGTCATGGATCGGATACATTGAAACCTCGTTAAAAGCTCTGAATAGGGGAAGAAGCTTTGCGGCGGGGCAAACAAACGTGACATCAATGGTAATCGAATAATAGCCACCAATTGTGCACGAATTGACGTGGAAAACGAGGAAAAGCAGGGGAGAGTTGCAGATTCTCAAGTGCGACTTCTTGGAAGGCAGCCTGCCTCTGGAAGCCGTCGACGCCGTCATTTTCGACGTCCGTCTCTTCCACTACCTCTGGGGCATCCGCGGCTGCGTCGCCGAGTACCTGGATGGAGGTGGGGCAAAAGCAGAATGTTGAAAAAATTATATCACTTTGATCGTTTTGAATATGTTGTTAGCGGCCTCAGCAACATTAAGAACTTAGGAAAACTTACGAGAATTTAGAAAAAAACGTCATTTAATAATGATCTTTTTCCAACCACTGAATCTACAAAACTTGATTCTCATCTCCGCGCCGCCATTGCAATAAACCATGCCACTATTGCAGTCAGCCACGCCTACTGATCACAGCTGCCGTCCATTTGGGAACACTGTGACTTATAGATCTTTTGGTTATCTGGAAAGCCAAATAAATTGGGTCTTTTAGTTCAGAGAATTCGGCGCCAAAAAACCAAACCTTCAAAGCAAGATAAAGCTCAGAAAATTGATCCCGAAAGTTTCAGCTATTTTTCATCTTGCTTCATATTCTCCGCTCATATATTTCAAGGCTTCGGAAGACTGGCTTGGTGTATTTCTCATTCGACCTCGCTGCTCTTCTCGCTGCCCGTGGCGTTCATCTCCCATCCACGGCCCTGCTACTTTTGGCCTCTCCTTGTCCAGGTATCTTCATTCAGAGCTTTCTTCTTTTTTCGCTACTCAAGTTCGAACTTTGGAGTTTTGCAACCGATTCTCATACATCAAAAGACAAAAAAAGCAACAGAGGCGGGTATCTCGAGGGATTTTCGACGGCTATCAAACGCCTTCTTGCTCTCCCGACGACGCTTTGATAGAGTTCAGCTTTTTTCAGACAAATCGTCAAAATTTTTCCCCTTTTTCATGGAAAATTGTCATCTTGAAGGATTTCAAACTGACGAGAAAGCCAGAATGTTGGACTATGAAACATTGGATATATCAACCATAACAGCTTTCAATAATTTTTTTTTTATTAGAAATTATATCTAAACTTTATCCATAATTTATTTTTTTATTCCACCGAAAAGTATGATAAAAAAAGTAAAAAAATCAAAGATTTCATGACCAAAGTTTGAGGAAATTCTTTTTTTGATATTTAACCCGTATTTTTTTAATTTTTATTAAGAGTATTTTTTTGAAAAACCACTTTTTTTTACCTGATTTTTATTGGCTTCCTGGTTATTTGAAATTTACGAAAAAAAAAGTTTTGAGTAGATTATAAATTATTTTTATTTAACCGAAAAGTATTATCTCTTGTAGTCGCTTTCGCCAAGTTCATAGAGAAAATTTTTTCAAAAGATTGTTTTAAAACTCAATGATTGCTAATTTATATTTACGCGTTCGAAAGACTGATTTCAGTCAAAATTAAAATTTATCCGTTAAAAACGAAAGAAAATTAAGTATGCGGTCAAAAAAAATTTAAAAAAAAGCTTTGCAAGTTTTCGAAACTGGAGAAGCTGACTTTGATCCTGCACTTTTTAGAAATTCGTCTCTGCAAGAGGATCACTTTCTATAGACCTCCAACAGAGTCGTTGAGTGGAAAGTACCGAGTTTGTTCACTAAGAGCTCATTTGGCCGACGTTCGATCACTCTCCGTCGGCCTGTTCGCATTTTTACATCGAAAAGAAAAGTGCAAAGAAATTAAGCGACAGGCGGTTTGGAACTGGCGCCGACTCTCTCCGATCGGCACGCTCTCTGCTCCTCGAGAGGCGGAGTCAGGCGTTCACCCCCAGGCAAAACCGAAGAGAAGACACAAAGTCGTTAACTATAAACCAACCTTTTTTTTTCTCTTCGTTCAGCTCCGCAGGCTGTTTGAAAAAAGTTTAACGTGGCTGAGGGACCAGGTTTTGGAAAAAGGGGTCTCACAACTTTAACCTTTATCTCATACGTAAGCTAATTTTGCTTTCCGTGGGGAAATTTTCTGTATTTGCCAATGATACTTTTGGATGTTCCAAATGCATAATTTTCAAGTTCAACCTGAAAAACCTCGTTCTCGAGAGCGGACGTCCAAAAATTATTTTTTCATTAAAAGGTAGTCAGAAAGAGGCCAAAGTCAGAAAGAGTAAAACATGTACTTCATTTCAGTTATAACTGGACAAATAAGATAATTTTGGTTTTATATATGAAAACTTTTGGAGAAATTTGCAGCAGTCGGCGTACGGAATCTGTCTTCTGATTCTTCTTCTGGCGGCGTTGCCTCGGATCGTCGTCCTTCTGGCGGCGCCTTACGCTGCTCCTCTCGCCCCTATTCTCTTCTATTTTTTTGGAACTTCACTCAACTTTTTCCATGTCAGTTATTCGATAGCCAGTCTTTCAAACTTCTCTTTCCCGAAATCACAAAAAAACTTGCAGCTGTACGTTTATTGGCATTGGTACTGGCACGTGAGTTCACGCTGGAACTCAGTAGTCCGCGTGAAGTTCGGCGAGCGACTGATGAACGCCAACAACCGGTCTCGCCGCGACAAGCCTCTCCAACCGGTGGTCGTCGACGACGCCGTCTTGCACTACGTGCCGCAAGAGACGACGTCGCCTCTGCCGCCGCCGCCACCGTTGCATCGGCGTTCGACGACGTCGTTGTTCGAGGGCTTGCCACGGGTGTTCACGCCGCTGGAAGAAGCCGACGAGCCGTTGGAAGAGAGCGAGGAGATGTCGCCTCCACCGCACGTCTTCGCCACACGGGTCCCCCTCGTCCAGGGCCGAGTCCGTCGTCAATTGCCGCCTACCCCGAACCTGCCGATGCACGGCGAGTTGCCGCGGTTCCCCATACGTCGTAGTCGCCTCTGATCTTTCAGGTTGGTAAATTGGGAAACAGCCACTCGTCAAAAGCTGTTTTAATTATGAAAATTTAAAAATCTATTTGATTCAAAAATCACATATTGATGTGTAAATTTCTTTCATAATTTATATAAAAGACAAGGTTTCGACCTTTTTCTAGTTTTTATTATGAAATAGATGAAAATCTACAAACTAGAGGCTCATTTCTATGTGCCGTTTCCACGAAGAAAACCAACCTAATAAAAATAGGAATCTATCAAAATGAAAACCTAGAAGCTATAGGAATACTTGATCAAAACTTTTCAGCCCAAAAATAAAGTCACAGGAACATGCTTTCCAATGCTTAAAAATCCGTGAAGCTAAGAATAATAAGTTTTCGAACTTTTAGCTGTAATATCACACTATTTTTCGTTTCATTCTTATTTTTCTTGATTTCTTTTTTACCAACTCGAGAAAGGTTGCTCATCGTTTCTTTCAATTTTTAACGGGTGTTTTTTTATTCATTTGTTTACACCTTTTCGCGAAAAAAGTTGTATATAGTTTTTTGTTTCTAATTATCATTTTTTTTTTCCAAACCAGACTCATCCGATTATGCTTTATAAAATATTGAAATTTTTCCCCTTTTTTTGTGATTTTTGATTGTTACGAGTGCCGTTTCCACGAAGAAAAAGTAAACTATCCTTATTCGTCTCTTTTTCACAATATAGTCTTTATTATAGTCAGATTACAAAGATTGGATCCGAAGTGTTATCACATTCTATAAACTGCGGTTGACTGGAACTGAAAGATATGGGAATGGCGATCAGGAAGAAAACAATTGGATATTAGTATGAAGGATATAGATTTTACTACAATATGTTAGATTATGTGTGGTGTTTCATTCAAGCTTTGGCCCAATTAGAAGCAGAGCAGCTGACATTTAATGGAAAGATTTAATCATAAATTATACAAAAAATCAGCCACTCGCCTCTGAAAATAAGTGACGATTCAACCGAATTTTCGAAGAAACAAGCAACAAAGTGTCTGAGAAAAGGCAAAGTTTTTCAAAATAGGTATTACCTTTCTCTTTTAAATAAGTAGAGAAGGTGTAAAAAGGGAAATGTTCTATATAAAGACTCGTAGGCGATCAAGTAGGAAGAGAAGTTGTCACATTTGGATGGGCATAGAGTGGGCGATGACACGAGCGCGGGACTCCCGCTCGAGCTGCTTCCGCTCTCGCTCGATCCTGTTCTTCATGCTCTTGACCTTCTTCTTGATGAGCGTCCTGTCCGAGTGGTTCTGGATTCCCATCGTCTGCAACATTTTTCTCTATTTATGTAGACTCAAAACCAGAGCTTCGTAGACTCAAAACCCGAGCAAAAGAGGATAACTGTCCTGTTGAACTTCTACAACTCGCCTTGAGCTTACTGCCGTCGAGTTCGAGAAACTTGGCTCCATTCACTTTGTTGATAGTGAACTCCGGCACGTACTTGTCGAGGCCCATTGTGACCAAAAGTTGACAAACGTCATCTGAAGTCCAGTGCAAGGCCTGAAGACCGACCGGCTGGCAAGACGCCCTCCAGAATTCGCTCTCGTCTGAAGTCGTTCATCTGTTTCTGCCTTTTCAAGTTTGAGACGTACTATTAACGTAGCGTTTACGCAGAGGGAAGAGAAGTTTACGATGGACGAGTTTATGCGGCAGGGCAGGACTCGCGGGCTCTGAGATTCGTGGAACAGGACTATCGCAGGAAGAGGAGTACTTTTCGTCGTCCCAACTGCTGCCCACCGAAATTTCGGCGTCTTTGCTCTTCTGAAGAACAACTTTGGGTTATTCAAAGATAGGGATTCGGGAACCAAGTCGAGATTGGCCATGACGGCCTTGTCCTCGTGTGGCAGCTCGCCGCCGGGCTTATACGCAAGTCCCTCGTCACGCTTCTCCATTTTTTCCTTCAAACACATCAAAAGTTTCCGTTTTGTCGGGGAGTCTTTACCTTGAGCTTCTCGCGCAACTCACTCAGCTCAAGGTTCTGGATCGACTGTCTCCGTTCTTCCATCTCTTCTAATTTGTGTTCGAGCTCGTCGATGCGTTCCTGCGTTGAAAAATGTGAATAATTGGACATAAGCTGAGAAAATGCGAGCTTTTGCGGTTACTCATGTTTCTAAAGTTCTAGAAGCAAATCTGACATGCAACTACTATGCATTAATCCTGTTTTTTACGAAAAAATGTTATTAACCGACTTCAAAACGTGTTTTGTAATGAATAATCGCAAAAAGAAGTTTCAAGATATATATTACTTTGAGCTGATTGACGAGCATCGCGTAGTGGGCATCCTTATCTCGGAGCTGTTCGACGTGATTTTCTTCGCGGCTCAGGAGCTCCTTCTCTCTGCAAGGAGGATTCCAGGATGGTCCAGCCACCACGAGCTCACCTCTCTTGGTAGTTTCTGAGGAGTTGGTTGGCCTGTTCGTACTTCTTTTCGAGTTGTTCGTAGTGCGCCTTGGTCGTGTCCAGCACATCGTGCATTTGTCCTGCCTTTTTCTGAGTGAGCTCCAGTTCCAACTCCAAAGAAGAGATCTTCGACTGAAAAAAATTTATATATGATTTTTTTCAAATGTTAATTATGTAATTACAACACGTTACTACTGTTTCAAAGGTTTAAAATTAAGTTAATAAACGGGCACATAACGGTTTGGTTGACTGACCCTGATCTCAGCCTCCTCCTTGCTGATGAGCGACGACGTTGGTGCGTTGACGGATTCCAGATCGGCCGGCAGCGGCGGGGGTTCCTCGGCGCCGTCGTCATCTTCGTCTTGCATCAAACGGACTCGATCCTGCTCCAGGCTTTGGTGGATGAGCTGCGCCACTTCGGACTCTTCGAGGTTCGGCTCGCGGCCAATCGTGAACAGAACTCGGGTGGTAGTCGACCGAAGCGTGTTGGCCGCGTAGAGCTGGCTGACTCCGACCAGGCTGCGGCCGTCCACCGACACGATCTGATCGCAAACTCGGATCCGGCCATCTCTGAACAAAATTTTCTTTGACACCCTGTTTGAACAATTTTTCGAGGCTAATCGCAGTTTGAGAGCGAAAAAATAAACTGATTCAGAGACTCCGATAAGAGAATTGTGAGTTTTCTCAAAAACTCTTTCTAGGTCTTGCGCAAAATATTGGTTTCGAAGTTTTTATGTTAAACTCAAGTCTCGCACTTTAACATGGGGGCATGGAGGTCTTCTCTAACCTCCAAAGAGCTTTTGTGCTTTTTCCTCTCACCTGTGAACAGCTCCTCCAGGTGTGATGCTCTTCACAAAGATCCCAAGCTTCTCGAGGCCTGAATCGGCGCCGACGCCCATACCTGAAAAAATAATGAATTTTGAATTTCGTCAACTGATTCTAATGATTCGAGTAAACCTTACCAATAATTGAGACCCCAAGGCCTTCGGGGCCTTTCTCGAGCTCGACCTCGAACAAGTCCATTCGCTCAAGCCTCCGCTCCAGTTCATACTCTGCGCAGCTCGCAACTGGATCGATGTCTTCGTTTTTTCGGTCATAATCGTCGACTGAGTAAGCCGAGAACACCTGAAAAGGAGAATTAAAAAAGACGTTTTTTTTTATTAGACATTATGTTTCCTTCTTCTGGCTTTTTTTCCACATTTGAACGGTTATCCGAAGAAAAAGTGCACGTATCACTAGCCAAGGTCGTTACGAATATTGTTTACCAGAGAACGCGATATCGGTAAATGACAAAGTGATACGGAAGATATAATTGACGCGTGCCAAAAGCGCCGCTGACCCAAATCCGCCGGCGTTCAAAGCGAAAATTCCTCCTCCTTTTCAAAATCTTCATCTCTCTTCTAATTACGTGCCCTAATTCTATGCGAGATCAATAAAAAAATAAGCGTTTTCCAGACAATTATTTTCCGTAGCATGTCCAAGATTGAGCTTGCCAATCTGCCAACTGTTCCGAAAAAAAAGTCTAAAAATGTCAATGCCCAGGAGGTACTTAGTAAGAAGATTCACTTGATTTCAAACTCGATTTCAAAAAATGTTTAAGAGAATCCTTCAGAAACCAATATACCATTCTCATTTGCGAGAAAGCCAACTTTATTTTGTTAGTTTTGTGAAATCTCCCTGGTGCAGTTTATGAGAAAAAAGCCCTCGATTTCGAAGAAATCCGTCTACAATTGTAAAGTTTTGAAATAGTCTTTACCCAAACCTAGAAAATCGTGTTACTTGAAAATTCCAGGATACAAGACCGAAACATTGAAAAATGTTCTGAGAAGTCTTAACACGATTCTCGACCGCAATAGGAAAAGACCTTCCTCTTTAGAGCTAAGTCTGATAAACACTTCGAAGTTTCTTGGTGTATAATAGAGCAACCCGAAATGCAAACCAAACGTTTCTCTTTCAAAATTGAAAGCTCAATAGTGAATCCATAGCTCTTTACTATGAATATTGTACTACTCACATGTTTAAACTCCAATATTCTACGTTTAGCTCGGAGAATAAACACGAAAGAAAAATAAACAAGTTTTCGATCGCGGTGGTTAGATTCAAAATCAAGATTTTAGAAACTTACGGGAATGGGGGCCGTTGAGAAAGAAACTTTGCGATCGCGTTCAGAGTCGTAGACGCGTTCAGGGCTCAGGCCTCGCCGCGTCTCCATCAGGCCTCGCTCGGAAGCCGCGACTTCCTCAGCGACGTCGTCGCTTTCGGTCGTTTCGTCGCCGCGTCGCGTCTTCACCACGGCGTATGTCGTGTGTCGTGCCTGCGAAGGACTGCTACTCATCGCGTTCTCATCTTGCTCTTCGCCGAACCTTAAAAACGCCCATGAAATGGCGAGAAAAAAGGTCACAAATTGCATCTTGAGTTCATTCCCGTGTTCGCGAGGAACAATGATGAATTCCTGTTAATGACAGTCTCTTTCAGTTTGTACCAACAAACTGTCATGACTGGTTCAATAACGTAGAAAAAGTAGATGGCTGAACATCTCACTCAAAAAAGAGCTTGAGAATGTAAAACTTTGCAGCTGCTTATGGTGACGTTTTTTGGGCTGACTTGGCTGAAAAATGTTCGAACTGCATGCCATAGCTGAAGGGTCAAACTATTATTGAAAAAAGAAATCGTGCATCGTTTCACATAAGCGCAAATAGAAGTCGTGCTGAAAAAAAGAAAATGAAAAGTCATACGGTAAGTCAAAATGGCGTCGATAGATGGTGGCGTCTCTCCAGTACGGCTCGTAATTGTTGGAGCGGAGCGAAGAAGTCGCGTATGGCGACTGCGACGGGGACGAAGCGAACGAAGAAGTCATCGACGGTAGCGTCGCCGCCCTGAAACGGTAAACCATGCCAGAGAGTAGAAGAAGCCACGAGTTATGCCGAACAAAGGGTGTTGCTAGATCGAGCAGAGTTATAGTTTGAACTTGGAAAGAAAGTTATCATCAAACCTCGCTACTAGGAAAATCAAAAAAATTGAAATTCGAAAGAATATAAGACACTCCTAGAAAGCCTTAAGAAACTTCAGTGAACCAAGAGTTTAGAAAAAATAAAATAAACAATAACAAATTCTACGTGCAAGTCAGTGCAACCACTGAAAATTGTAAAAAAAAAAATGCGTTGTACCGGATTTGAGCCAAGAGCTAATGAACAAAAAATCCTCAAACTATCATGGGAGTAAATATTTGATGGAGTTGGCTGTAAAAAAAAAGTAAAAAAAAATGGTTTCACTGCAATTTTTAATAAAGCTCTCATATTAAGTGAGTTTTGAACTTCTCGGCAAATAAGGAAAAGAAGGCGTGCTGCAGATGTTATTAGGAGCTCATCTTACTTGTTTTGCGCGACAGAGCCAAGGCGTGAGGACGGCGATGATGTCGAAGAGGGCGCAAGTCGCTCCAGGTCCGACGAAAGCTCCGAGAAGTTGCGCGTCACCTAAAATCAATAGATTCCTTCGGGTTAACATATCAAAGCAATTTTCGTATTCATTAAAGTTTTCTACGGCAATAAAGCCAAAATCAATGGTAAATTCGTAAACTGAATGTCATTGATAGAGAAAAAATACGATCTAAAAAAATTTCCGTCTACAGAAATAGAAGATTCCTAATTAATCCGGAAACCTAAAAAAATGTGGAAAAGAAATATTAGGATGGATGAAAACGGGAGCGAGGAAAAATTCGGGAAACATCGAGAATGCATAGAGTTTGGGAGAACTGACGACGGAAAGAGCAACTAAAGATCGATCGCACTCTCGAAATATCGCAATCCGATTTTCACTCTGAATGCGCTTTCCTTTCCATGTGATTTATTTCAAACCGTGAGTATAAACTTTTCAGAATTTTCGCTTCCTTTTTTTTGTTTTCATTCGTATATTATATTTATCAAATAGTCTTCGGGTGTAAAAAAAAGCATCGAAAAGGTTAAAGAAAAAAGTAAGAAAACGCTCGTTGGAAATTGAAAGCGAGTCGAATGTTTTCGAAAGGAAAAAAAATGTTTTAAATTCCTTTGAGAAGGAATCTTTCAGGAGTAGTAGTGAAAAAGAACAAAAAGAAAAAAGTGAGGTTTATTTGGAATAATTGCAATCGAAAATTGCGGAAAGCCTGCGTATGGAGGCGTTGCAAGATAAACGACGCTTTCAGAAGGAAATTTTTCATAGTTTTAAGATATAAAAACAAGAAGAAAACATATCTTGATCAACCACAAAAGGTTGCTTTTCCGACCACTCAAAGAGCCTATATTCCTTGTTTTCATGCAATATAACCTAAAGAAAGCACTAATAAAATGAAAGTTTAACAAAAAAAACGTTCTTACAATTTCTGAGTAGTTGCAAAAATGAGAAACGAAGAGATATCAGGTAAAAAGTGAACCTGAGAAAGCGGACTTGGTGGACAAGTGACGGCTGGTTTTGGAGGCAACGGCGGTGGCTGCCGCACCAACCGCGGCGAGTAGAACGACGGCACCTGCAGATCGACTGCCTAGACAACATTTTCTTAGTCGAGAGAAATCAGAAATGGCAAGTTATTCATTTAAGGAAAGGTCAATGAAAACCTCCTGTTGCCGTTCGAGCTGCTCGAAAAGAGCCTTGGTGTGAGAAAACCTCGCACGAGCATCGTCCGACAGAAGTTCCGACGCCGTCGTCATCGCTTCTGAGTTTTTTTTCAATGAGAAAACGTTAAAAAAAATGTTCGATGACCCATATGTTTGATTTAAAAGAACTATCCGTGAATCTTTTTTCTAACCCCGGGTCAGAGTCTACTCTTTGGGGTGAACTGGTTCCTGTTACTCGTTATTATACTGCATTTTTTTCTTGTTTTATTATAACTTGTGTTTTTTCTGCCACCAAAAATCTATTTAACCACAGTTTGACTTTTCTGCGCTCCCGAATCTTTCATCAAAGCGGTCATAGAATGAACAAATTAGCACGCAAGCTTCAGCGCAATATTGTAGGGAAGAGGTGACTGAATTCAGAAAGAGGGAAACGTTTTAAGATAAACTACAGACTCTAAAGTCCTATTAGAATTGATTGAAAACATTAATAGATTGAAAAAATAATTTTTTTTGGAATCAAAAGAGATGAATTGGGTAATGCTCAAACTTTGTGTGCGAAACTTATTTATTCGAAGAACTGTTCATGAAATTGAAAACTTAAAGATAAATCGGAAAAACCTGGACGAATTAGAAGCGGCCGACGATGGAGGATCTACTGGAAAGTGGGAGGGGCGAGAAGACGTGGGAGCTGACCGCAAGATAAGGTGTGATAAAGGCTCGGAGGAGACACCTCCACGACTACTGCATCGCCGCCTCTCTTTCCTGCAAATTCGCCGATAGATACAGGCCGCCGCCACACAACAACAATATTCTCGAGAAACAAGGGGCCGCCCGAATTCGCGCCGATATCATCTGCATAAAGTTGTCGAAATGTGGCACAGAAGAAAGTGTCGCCCAAGGCGTTTGGGGATTCAGCTCGGACGAAATTCATACCATCTTTTAGAGATCTTTAAAAATCATAGAACAGAGGTGGCTGTTTGGAAGTTTCAACTTTGAGGGAATCAAAAAATTTTTTTTCTTTCTAAAACTTTGTGATTCAGAAGCCTAGAAAAGCTCTTGAGTCAACAAAAAAGAGACGAAAAAACTCATCTATTTTGCGAACCAGAAACTTTGCGTTTATAAAACCCGAGAGCAAAAAACAAATCAATGGATTTCTACATAGATAAAAAAAGTACGGCGATGATCCAATAAAAAATTCATACAAACCATCTTCCAAAAATTTTAATTACAGTTTAGGAAAGCGGAAAAAAAGAACGCGATATGAGAATTAACGATAAAAAAAGTGAAAAATTCAAGAAATATTGAAAAAAATGTGATTTTGAATGCTAAAAAAAAATTTTTTTGAACTCTCTCAGCAAAAGAAACAAACAAGAACTTAAATAATATCTGTAAAGCGCAACTCTCTCAATGTTACAAAAAAAATATTAACATAATCTTTGTTTTGATCTCCATTATAGTTTTGTCGGTTCTAAATTTAATTATGAAAAAGCGAGAAAGAAAACACAGAAAAAGAAAACTCAAGAAAACTCAAAAAACATCCGCGACGACGAAACCAACAAAAGCAGTTTCGAGGTGAGTCAGACGGACGCAAAAAAAATGGGAAGGAACATCTTGCTGCAAAATTTCCTTCGCATTCATTTCGCTATTGAGTGATTTCGAATTATTACGATAACATTCAGTTCAAGAGACTTTGCCGGATTTGAAAAGACGGAGAGTTCAAGCTTGATTCAAATGAAGACTCCCTGAAAAACGTCACGGTACGGCTCCTTCTACAAGCTATTTTGGATAGGATATATATATACGGGCACGATTTAAACATTGAAAGTGTAGTTTATTTTTTGTAAAATACGACAAAATAGAGATTTAAATAAATTGACCCTCTTGGGCCCAATGAGAATTTTGATCTACAGGCAAAAATGATCAATCATGAAAAGGTTGGAAACGCCTTTAGAAGAGAATTTTGCAAATTTTTCGCAGAACTGGATTTTACTCAGTGAAACCTTAATATCCGAATAATTGTTGACACCTAAAAAAATCGATTATAAAAGAAACTCTACAAAAGTTTTTTTTTGGCGCGTGACCCTGTGCCATTAAGTTTGAACAAGTTTTGTGAATAATTTATTTCACAGACTAAAAAACATTTTCTTATTTTATATTTAGAATAAACATCAATTGAAAAAAGTAGTCGTTCATAAAGAGAAAGTCCAAATGATATGACGTCATTGACATTAGCAGTGTGCAATTTTTCATCCGGAAAAAAGTTAGAATGAGGAAAATGGCAGTCTTGTTACAGCGAGAAATGTGCGCTTCTCAATAGGGTGATATGTTTGTAGAAGACGGCTTTTTCGGCAAGGTATCACATATGCAACATATTAGCCTCGCACAAACACGCCTTTTTTCTTTTTTCCTCCTTTTTTCGATCGCAGAAACGCCGCCCTCTTACTATATTTGCCTTGAGGGGAAGAAACAGCTGCCATTCCAATAACTTTCCGAGACGCACACGGAAATGAGGCATCCGCCATTCAATGAAAACTGATGAAAAATTGTTAAAAACGAAATTGATCAGTACAGCAAAGAGGATTTCTACAGGATACCTTTTTCTGAGGACCGAGGCTTCGGAGGAGCCGGTTTGCAAGGAAAGAAGAAGCTGCAGAAGTGGGTGAATGGCGTGTGAAGTGGCCGTTTTCCGAGACAATTATCACCACGGTGGCCCTTCACTCATCATTTCAATAATAAACTGCTGGAATTCTCACAGTGTCGAAAATATGCGAAGGAAAGAGTTCGTGGCCGGACTGTAATTTGAAGAACGCCAAGTCTTTCTCATAAGTCCAGTTCAAAAATAACTTCTAGCTTCAAAGGAGTTTAGTCAGGAAAAAAATTCAAATTAAATCTAAACTAGGAGACTTCAAACCTCCAAATTTATCCGAAATAACGTTAGCCAAAGTTTCTCTCTGAACAATCCGAGTCCTGCAATTGCCTAAGTTTTTCGAGAAAAAAATTACGAAGTTGGCCAAAAAAATAAATGAATAGAAAAAAACTAGAAGGGGAATAGATGAAAGAAGAAATTTTTTTGAAAAACTGGCGAGTTTTTTATTATAAATATTTACTTTCAACTAAATATATAATACAGAATTATAAAAAAAGAGCCCATGATTTCAAAAAAATAATTCAGAGAAAAGGAAGACGTTTTGAAATAAATTACATATATAGATTCTAATTTCCTATTGAAATTAATGAAAGCTTATCAGGTAAAAGAAAAAAAAAACCTATAAACATAACTTAAAATTGAATATACAGTAATAAACTAGTTTTGAAAACATAATTCTCCCAGAGAGTGAAATGTGGCGAGCAAACGAGATGGAAATTGCAGGTCAAACATTTTTTTTCCGCTCCAAGTGAGAGTTTCTGATGATTTATAGATGTTGAGAAACGAGGAAAAGACACAAAAAAAGAAATGTGTCTCAACTTTTTTGAGACCACCGAATGATAACGAAGAGATTTGGTGAAAAAAATTTTTTGCTATGGAAGAAATATTCGCGGAGAACTATCCGTCTTCTTATGTTAGATAAGTTTGAAAAGTTCATTTAGTCTTCAAATTTTAGATAAGTAAGATTAAAAAAAACATGATTTTTATGAAAGACTGGCGCGGGAACAGGTAGACGAAAGGCTTTTGGTGCCGATAGAAGGAAAACAAGAGACGGCAGAGCCGAGGAGCTTAATGAAGCTGACCAGCCGCGCCATGTCGCGGGTGTAATAACGGAACGACTTTGAGGTAAACCTTTCATGTAGTTGACAGCCTTTCCTAACTTATCCAAATTACAAAACAATATTTGATAGTCATGAGAACTTCATTCCATGATACACAGCAACTTACAAATTTTTGAAGAAAGTGAACATTAGCGGTGAGAAAAATCTCGAGAACGTCTTTCAAATAGAGTTTTTTTTTTGCTATGTTGTTTTATTTCTCCCACACAAGTACTAAATTTCACGAAATAGATGTAGGGAAAGTTTGGGAACATATGTGTCGTTTCAAAAAAGATAGTTTTAAACTATCGAATGGTGCACTTATTGAAACGTATTGAAACTAGTTTCGGCTCCAAATAGATTATTTTTTTAGCCTCACAGGTCTGTCAAATAATCGATTGAACACGGAGAAAATTTAAAAAAAATTCGAATAGATAAATAGATGGTTTTTTTAAAGTTCCGAGGGGTGAAAAGACTGAATAATAAGATATTAAGGCCTGTAATTTTTAGAATCAAGTTAGAAAATGTCAGAAAAAAGTGCATATTACTTTTAACGTATTTCAAAATATCCTTGTTAAGCCGAGTTCCAAGTAATTTCGCAAAACTAAAAATAACCGCCAGAGAGTGAAAAAGACAACTGAGATTTCGGAGGTGAGTCATATACAATTTTGGACTCCGCGAAAATTTTTTGAACACGACATCAACTGCTAGAAATCGAATCAAAAAATTTAAAAGTCCGTTGTAGAACATAATTTCTTGCTACGCGCTTTATTGATAAGATGAACTCGATTTGATTGATTATATTGAAGCTGGCTGTCGAGTTTTTCATTATAGAATCCTAGTGCAGTATTATCTACTTACAAGGAACCCAAAAAACAAGTCGAAAAGGAGAACACGATCTTAAATTTTTTTTCATTATTTATTTTTAGTGGTTTTTGAAAAGCCTCAAAAGACGAAAACGGACTCAGAAGAAATAAAAACTTGATGAGCAACGTCGTGAGAAAAGACGGAAGGGTGTATTGAGATGAAACAATATTGGAGAGGAGAGATGGATGTCGGACCCAGCTGGCTCTTGTCCCCGAAAAGCGCAGCCGTTCTCTTCCGCACAAGTGGACCACGCAAGGCAGCTTCCCAAAAAAGGATCGGTCTCAAGAAGCCAAGAGATGTTTGGGTCTCGAGTGGAAGACCGGTCTGAGCCACTCAGCTACGGTTATCCCACCACAAAACTCACACCTTCCGCCACACGACAGCTCGTTTCTCCAGAAGACGTCGTCTCCACTTGACGTCTTCGGATCTAGTCGAGGCTCGTGGTCTTTTGCATTCACTCGATTAGGTTCTTTGAAATTCTTCTAAAATAATTGAATGCAATGAAAGGCATTCAATCTTCTGTGCCTTTCAAAAAACGCAAAAGTGTTTTAGATGAGATACGTACAGGCAGCATTCTAACTTTGAACGAGCTTCTCAAAATTTTAAAGATTCAGAGTTCAAGAAAATGAAAACTACAAGAAAATCAGAAAATAAATGAATAAAAACCATAAAAAGCAATAAGTTTTTTTTGACGCTTAGGGTCCAAGGTTGACGGTGAGATCTCACCTCGAGAAGAAAAAAGATTGAAAACTTTATGAAATTAAAAAAAACGCGTACCCTTTTGAGTCTTTAGTAGATCGAAAAGGAATCTCTATTTTATTCTTGTACGTTCGGCTGAAAAACATCAAGTTCCAGTTAAAAGAAGTTCGTACAAAAAGAAATTATTCGTGTGAGTTCTCAAAAGCTGTAAAACAGGGGAAACATCGAGAGAACAAATAAAGGTCTAAAAAAGGAATACCTATCAGAAGTAAAAAAAAAAACAAGAGGAAAAGAATAAGTTAGAGTCAATTAGAAGACGGCAGAAGGATCTCAGGCCAACAAGGGTTGTTTGCAGAGTTCATGTCATTTTTGTTGTTGGACAGGCCCGCAAGAGGGAGAGAAAAAAAAAACATCGATCCGTCTAGGGTCAGCCATACCGAAACCTTTGTGCAAACAGGCAGGCAGATTTTCGACACAGAAGCAGTTCGAAAAGGTTGCGACAAGAGGACTTTCTGAACTTATATCAAAATTAGATTGTGAAAACCAAGGATGAAAGATAACCTTTTTTTTTAGACATTTGATATAATCTAAATTCTGTATTTTTTAGTTCCAAAAAACTCTAGTTTCAAGTAAAAAACAAATGACAGTCTAAAAAAGTTTCGAGAAATCATTTGAGTGGTTGAATTCTTTGCGAAAATTGGCTTCCTGTTTTTTTTTATCAGACGCAGACTTGTTCTGCGTTATTTATTTTTAGGCTGTTTTTTTTTTTGATTTCCTCATGAAGAAAGGCCCTAAAATAAAGTTTTAGTGTTGAACAGAATGGAATCGCGCGCAAGCCGCAGCTAGTCGGGTGCACAAGTTGAGCGGGTTGACACATCCTTTTACTCTGGGCGTGCAATTGCCCAACGCTGGTTCCCTAGCCAGATGTTGCTTTCTTTGCACGTAAATGGTTCCTAGCCCTAGACAGTCGCGTGAGCTTTTTTTGCAGAGCGCGACGAAGGGCAGGTACAATCAAACGAAATAAAATGCTTTTCACTGGAGTTCAGTATTTTATAGATGGTAATGGTAAAAGTTTGAAAGTCAAAATATGCGACAAAGGTGAGGTTTAAAATTTGTTCATAAACAAAAAAAATAGCCTGCTTTCTGCCTTTTTTTTACGTTTTAAATACTGCCGAAACTAAACTTTCGAAAGCTTGAATGTCTGGGAATTAGGCACGCGAGAAAAGCATGCCAGTCAAAAAAAAAACTGAGAACATAAAAAGAGACGGAGGGTGTTCCTAGGATGCACCAAGGCGTGAAAACGTGAGGATGAATAGCACAGAAGCAGAAAAGAAGAAAGAATGGAAAGCGTCGCGAATTGAAAGGCAAAAAAGGACGAGTCTGTCCACTTACCGGCCCTCACTCCTCGGTGATTAATCCACGGCAAGTTTCTTGGACCAAAAAAAGGAGTTACGTAGGAATTTGTCTTTTCATCTCGAAGGATATGGGCCGTGTTACGTATTGTTACTGATGAAGGTTCGGAAAACAAAAAGTAAGATATTTTTCGTCCTTGAGAAAATCGAAAAGTTAATCGGTAAGACAGACTTTCGCTATAAGAAAAAGTGAGATTGAGTAAAACAGAAAAATCAAAGAAGAAAACTAAAATATATAAAAAAAAATATCCCATTCGGTTATTTAAAAGCAGAAAAAAAGGATTTTTGAGAAGGGTTTTGAAAAAGAAAGCTAGATGAATATGCGGCAAGTGTGGGAGTTGAAGGCGCGGATGTGAGCCTCTGGAGAGCCCTTGGCCGTCGAGCAACAATGAGCCGTTCCGAGCGCCGCAAGGCTCAATTTTCCCAGCTGGCTGGACACCTTTTTGTTCTCTCCAATTTGACAGCTTTTCGGAACTGAACAAGTTGGGATTTGAACAACTTTTGGAAAATTTACTCCAAAAATCTGCCATGTCTCTTTCAAAACGTCTAGTAAAAGGGATTGTTGGGAATGGACATTTCGCAAGGACGAAGGCCTTGTTCGAAAAACCCATCATCTCGTGGCTGAGCGGTCGCAAGTGAAAAATGGGTTTTACATGGTTTTGCGGAGGAGGAAACTGGGATTACGGAAATAAGCCTTCAGAACCAAAGACACGGCTCGATCGGAAAGCCATGTGAAGACCGAAGCTTCTTCATTTTCATTGATTCATGTTTAGTTTTCCATGAATTTTTCCCAGTCATGAGAAAAATTTCAGAAGCTTAAACCAGAAATGAGGTTGCTTCGAAGTCGAAATGAGTGAGATAGAGCTTTTCTGCGATCAACGAATGCCTTTTTGTGAAATCATTTATCATATTCATCTTGCAAGCTTCTCCGTGCAAAAAAATAAAAATAAAAATGATCTTGAACTTTTTGAGCTGTAAGATTTTTGGATAACATTGGGCTGCTAGACAACGTCTTGATGATGTGCTAAAAAGGACAGAGCCGAATTTCTGAAGTTTCAAGACAAAGAGCAGTTTCCCGTTGTAATTTAGATCCTACTCCTACGGAAATAGTGCGTCTAATATTCCAGCAAAAAGCACTCAACAGAATTCAACAGTGAATGGCCTAACCGACTGGAGGTTTTTCGTGAATATGAAAAGGACAAGACGAGGAGAACGCGATGTGCATGCAAATCGCGCACGGCTTCTGCCCAACGGACAATTAATGCGTTTCGGCCATTGTCACTTGCAATTTCTCATTATAGAGACATTGGAACCCCTTTCTCGCGTAGAGATTTATGGAAAATCGCTTCTAGAATCCTCATTCTATTATCAATGTTTACTGATTGAAAGAGAACCCGTAATTTTTAAAAACGAAAATTATAAAACTATCCAAAAGAAATAATCTCGGAAAGTTGACAAACTTGCAAAGAAAGAAAATAGAGGATTTCAAAGAAAAGACGAAAGAAAAAAGAAAGAAAACGTCGGAGGAAGAATGGAGGGAAATAATTGAGCGAACGGATGGAGTCAATTACACGACCTTCAGTTACTGTTCCATTAGCAGAGAATTTTCAAAAGCAGAGCAGTTTTGAAAATATCTTCAAAATAGTACTCAGATCGTTCCTTATTAAAGAGTTCTCTCGTACTCACATTTCCAAGAATAAAAATGAATAGTAGTAATTTTAGGTTATATCCACTATACGTTACGACGATGAAGAACAACGGGATTCAACAAAAAATCTATTTTTTTTCATACGAAACTCGAAAAAGTTACAAAGCGAGGTTTTCTGCATTCAGGCTGACCTTTTGTCAAAATAAAAAAAAAGATTCAGTGAAATGAATGCGAATACAAGTGGTTTGGGCAAGAGAAGCATTCTCCTAAAATCGATGGCTTAACGGGGGAATGAGGGTGCAAGACAGGGTATATGGCTTCAGATTACCACTCCTCTCCGTTCATAACCAATCTCATCTAATTCAATTCGCTTGCCTCAGCCGCCTTTTTTCGAAGAGACTTTCGACCAATATATGTATTTCTGACTCACAAGTGTCAGAATGAGAAAAGTTTGACGTAAATGACGACGGAAAAAAAGTGGAAGTTTATTAATTATATGTACAAAGCCCCTTAAAGACAAACTAACAAACTTTCAGTTTTTAAATTATTTTTTTTAATACAAAGGACCTTGGTCTGTCGCAGTAAAAAGTGATCGATCCCAAAAAATCTAGAGTCATAGCGAGAACTTGCCTTTTTATTCTACCAAAAAGATGCGCTGAAACAAATATATACCATTAGCCACGAGATGAACAGTCAGACTTGTCTGCGCTCTCTTTTAATCTACGGTGAAAAAAGCGTTCAAAAACTTCTAATCATTCAAGTCGTGGCAATTGACAAATATAAAATTTTTCTCTGAATTTGTGGAAGTTTTGTGAATAATAAACAGTAATTCAGCGAAAGAAGGATAGGACAAGAAGTTAGAGAGGATTTGGAAAGCAAAAGAAGAGCTTCAAGGATAAAGAACGTCAAAACGAGGGGGTGGAGATTGTTGACAAGAGGCTTTCGACGCCTTCTTCCCAAAAACGGCCGAATCAATCACGGCTTGTTGGCCACGCGCCTAGTCAAATGAGGGAAAAAGCGGAGATTTCTCCTGTCAATGCCACGCTGTTACTATCCTCAAGTTCCTGTAGTTCGGTTTTCTCATTTTCCGAAAAACTGTGGGACCAAGAAACACAGAATGGGCTCATCTCCTGAAGAATGATTGGAAAATGATTGGAAAAAATATTTGAAAAAACCTACATGCGCAATTCACTAATATTGGCGAAGTCAGGTATTACAGTATAAATATTTTTTTCTTAAATTTTGAAAAAGTCAAAGACCGGTTTGCATTTCGCGGAAATCACTGTGAACACGGCATAAGTTTTCAATTTTGTATTTGTATTGGTATTCGTTCACAAATTAATGTATACGAATATGATATTATTAGATGTCATAGAAGCAAAGTATTGTAAAACCGAAAGGAGGGCTAAATTGAAGCGAGCACAGATGATTAGGAAGAACCGCACGAAATAAAGATAAGTTACTAGCAAACAAGAGTAAAAAAAGAAATAGTAGAAAGAAGTTAGAAAGGTTTCGTCGGAAAAAAAAGCAACTAACAAAAATTAGTACTGTATTGGAGCAACTTTGGGGGGCCAACGAACACGCTTTTGCAATCTCGGGGCCGGCTGGGTAACGTGAAACGGACGTGCTCCACACATTTCTGGGCGATTCTAGGGATCACTTATGAGTGCTGAAGCTACTAAAGCGGTCACTAGAAATGCCCAGGAAACGTTCCGTTTAAACGGAAAATGTATCAAACGCGTTTATTCTATAGAAACTATGACCGCCATAAAAAAAAATTTAAAAATTTTCGGTATGTTAACTTTCGTCGGGGCACATGAGCAAGAAACATCATATCTGACGACTTTTTTGTTGACGCAGCTTTCGTAAGCATGTAATTACCTTTATGGCACTGAAGATCTTTAAAGATAACTGCCGAGTTTGGGACGAGAGAAATGCGAGGTCGGTGGCGGTACATTGACGAATTCGAAAATATCTCGCTCTGTCTTCGTGCTCGCAGAACTTTGCGACTCGAGTTCATAAATGTACGGCCACCGACCTCGCGTTTATCACGCCGTGCACGGCAGTTATTCTTGAAGTAGCTCTGGAAACGCCGTGTCGCAAATATTTGCACATGTTCTATCACTGAGAAAAAAAAATTTGAAATTCTTTAATTATTTTTCAAACTATCAAAAAAGTAGGAATAAATTTTGAAAAAACAACTGGCGTTTGACATCGAATTTCCCGCCAAAAATCCGCTTCGTTTTTACGCAACATGTTGCTTTTGCCAATCTATATATATAGCCCATTCCGCGCCTGCTTTTCACGTTTTCTTGTCCGCCAAAAAGACCGTATACCAGATCGGATAAAAATTGAGTATACATCTTGGCTTCAAAACCTTTGTTTTTGCTGTGTTTATAACAGTTTTGTAGAGCGAAATTTCGTAATTACGATATAGGCCATTCCGCGCTAGCTTGTCACGTTTTTCTTCCCGCCAAAAGTCCAGGGCAAATTTAACCGACTTTCGCTTCAAGACCTTCGTTTCTTGCCGTTATAAAAGCAGAAATTTGATATGCGGTATTTTTGGCGGGAAGAAAAACGTGACAAGCTGGCGCGGAATAGGCTATAGCTTTGTTTCTGTTTTTTTTAATTCGTGACCGTCTCGCGCAGAACACACTATATGGCGAGCTCGAAGTGATTCCGCGAAATGCAAAATAGCCGTAAGAGAAAGATACATATAACTAAATTTTTGGAGTATCTCATATGATTCTTATTTCTTCTAATAATATCTCAGTGAGTATTGAAAAAGTGCTTTCTAATTCCGAAATATCTTCCTAAACATTAGAGTTAGGAAAGGGCGACTCGTTTTCGTGCTAAAAGTTTTGTTTCAGAACTGGATCAACGCAAAAAAAAAAAACATTGATGGTATGTCTACTATTCTCGAAACACTTCTTATGAAGTATGACAGCCTTCCTCCTAACCTGCTGCTCGTATATCCAGGTGAGCCACAAAAAAAAGAGAGCTAGTTGTTTGATTCACGCAGTAAGCGAGCTAGTCCCAACTTGACACTTGGGGTTCGCACTTGACGACCGAGCAGAGGAAAAACCGTGCCGAAGGCCAGAAACGACACCTTTCTCTCAGACGCGTCACGCTGAGGTGTCAAGCTAGTGTGCCTGAGAACAAGTATCAGGAGGCGGAGCAAGTTGGGCACGGCAATTATGGTCCGAGTCGCTGTTTATTTTTTGTTTGTCCCTTTATTGCTCCATTTTAGTATTGCTGTCTTTAGCAACGTTTCCGAATTTTTTTGTGTTTCAGTGTTATTTTTCTATGTTCAGAAGGGTTCGCGATGAGCTTGTCGGGCGCAAGCGATGAAAAAGAGGACCGTATCGCAAGCTTCGCAGAAGCCATCCAGGTTTTTGGATGCCAGTCTTCGTTGTTCAGTTTTTCGTACAGGTTTACCTTCACGATGGGATCGAGAAGCTATTATTTCGTTACGAGGAGCCAAAGGGTTCAGGAGAAAAAACTAACTTTTTCTATGGACGCCTGACGCCAGAAACAGAGACAAACACGGTATTTTCACTCTCATTCACTGAATGAGAACATTTTGTGTGTTTTCAGCCACTTCAAAACATTGACATCGACCTGATGGTGCAGAACTTGCGCGACAATACGTTCAAAACGTTCCAAATCGAGCAGCGGCAGAATCCAATCTCTCCACCAAAGCCGGCGACGCAAGGGCTCCCGGAGCAGCTGGCGGCAGCTCTCGCAAAGCTTCCTTCTAAAGAGCAAGTCGAAGGAAACGCCGACCTGCTCGCTCAGCTCAACCTTGAAGTCGAGCAAATACGCGCAATTGTTAACGGACTCATCAATGACTCTGCGCTTCCTGATGTGGTTAATAACGACGTATGTCTATTTTTTGTCTTCTTGCTTCTTGGTAGTTGGCAGTTCTAGGTGTTAAGATCGTTATCAGCAGTTAAAAACTATAGTCATGTTTTTTTCACTGTAGTTTCCGCTTTGAAAGGGAAGTAGAGAGATTTCGCAGAGAGTGAGTCCAATTATTTACTTTTTTTGGCCCTTTTGAAACAGAAAAAGGTGAAAAAAAATGAAACGAGGTGGTATGAAAAAAAGACCAGCGAAAACTCAAACGGCGACTTTTCCGATTTTTTCACATCGCTAAGGAACTTTCCGACGGCCACCTTTCCGACAAATCTTTTTCCGACTTTTTTTCTCGATAAAATTTTCGTTTTAAATCATCCTATATAAAGTAGGTAGTTGGTTCATGATTAAAACACAAGAAAATAAGAAAAAAAAATGTAAATAGATGTCTTATAAACCGAAAAATATAAAGGAAAGAAGTCGGATGAAAAAATCGGAAAAGTCGCCGTTTGAATTTTCGCTGGTGTTTTTTTCATACCACCGAAAAGAACATCAGCGAAAAATCAAACGGCGACTTTACCGGATTTTTCATATCGCTAGGGAACTTTCCGACGGCCACCTTTCCGACGAAACTTTTTCCGACTTTTTTCCCTTATGCTTTTCGGTTTATAAAACATCTATAAACATTTTTTTCCTATTTCTTTGTGTTTTAATTATGAACAAACTACCTACTTTATATAGGAAGATGTAAAACGAAGAGTTTATCGAGAAAAAAAAGTCGGAAAAAGTTTTGTCGGAAAGTTCCCTAGCGATATGAAAAAATCGGAAAGTCGCCGTTTGAATTTTCGTCGGTGTTTTTTTCATACCACCTTCTTTTCATACCACCGAAGCGAGGTTCCTTCAACAGATATTCATACGAATTTACCTTTTTAACTTGCCCCAGTGGCTCCTTTTTGATTTCAAAATATTATTTCAGGAGCAGACTTCGCTGATGGTGGAATTTGGAAGGCACTGGAGAGAGAGCTTGGCGGAAATGAAGCAGTCGGTCGAGGAGCTCAAGGAGAAAGTTGACGAGATCGAAAAGTCTCTTACGGACAGAAATATTAATACGACCTTCTTACTTGCCATCTACTTCATGTTATATATCTTCTGTGCTTTTAAGCTCTTCTTTTAACTTCTGCAAATTACATCATCAGACTAATTCTTTTGTTAATGCTTATGCAAGTTTACCGATGTGTCGGTTCTCTTTTCAAAGGGTTTCCCTTCCAAAAAAATAATTTAAATACTTTTTGAAAAAGCGAAAAATTCCTACAAAAAAAAAATACATTTTGACATTGCAACATAGCTATGCTTGCATAGTTGGACCCCGATTTCCAATTCGTATCGCTCCAAGAATTGTAAATGAGCTGCCACGATTAATAACATCACTAAAATTGATCTCTTCGTACTTCGAAAATTCGCTTGATACTGCCCATTCCGCACCAGCTTCTCCTTTTTTCTGCAGAAAAGACGTATACCGAATTTCGCTCTGATTAGGGAATTAGATGAACTCGTATGCTGATCGAGTTCAAACTTTGATGATTTATAGATCTAGGCCGAGAAAAATCTTGTTAAAACTGAACAGTTTAGGCTTGAAAATTATCGAATTTTCGCTTTTCTCTTATTTTTGACCAGAAAAAAAAAGTTTTTACTGTTCATCATAGCCGGAAAAATTCAAGGAACTTGTATTGAAATATAAAAAAAGTAGAGAGCAGTGTTCTGAAAAAAATTACAAGCCTAATGTGTTTTTTTGTTTCCTAATTTTCTCTCAGTTTTTTTTTACCGGGTTTAACAGATATTTTTCTCTTTTTTCAAGTGTTCTGACCAAGATCTGAAAGCCACTAAAGTTTGAACTCGATCCACGGCGTTTTTTTATTACGCAAGGCCAAGACTTCTCGTAAATTATGATGCTTAGGGTGTACGCACACCGAGACGCGCTATCGCATACTCAAATTGTTTTTTTCAATTTTAGAATTTGCAATTCTAGGATAATAACTTTTGAAATGTTCAAAATCTTGTCAGTTTGAAGAATATGATGTGAAAAAAACATTTACTTACGTTAAAAAAAATTTAGGAACGATTTCGGAAGGGGAAAACTCTAAATTACTGATTACAAAATAAAAAAAAAATATTATGAAGGTGAATCAGCTCCCATTGAATAAGAAATTGTAAATAAGAAAAATATTGAAATGAGAAAAATTCGAGGAGCAAATGAAAAAAGAAACATTTTGTATACTTTGGAAACCTAGCTTCAGAAAAACAAATAATGGATAGAAAGCAGAAATTTCAGAAAAAAAAACCTCGTATGGCGAAATGTTTGTTTAAATGCGAAAAACCATGAAAGAACTAGAAAAAAAAATATAATTTAGATGATTCATATAACAAAATCTTCAAACTGCATCAGCAAATTCAGTTTGGCTTCAATTTACACGAAACTGGTTTCAAACTACGCCAAAGGAACTGGATAATAACTTGTACTTATAGAAAAAACGTTAAAAGACGTATTAATGAAGAAAAAAGCAAAAAATATGCTTTTTTTCAATTAACTCTTTCCGTAAATCTTGCGAGAGCTTTAAAGGGTGGGTCTTGTATTCCAAAAACGGGTCCTAAACAGATCAAAACTACTGCTGCCGTACGATTTACGGCGCCCGCCCATGGTATTTTTTTTCTGCATTTTCTTTCACTGACAAGAACGCCGTGATTACGATCCGCGATTAAGAGTCAGTTCCCTGGTGAGGCGATTGTTTTTTGCAGTAATTTTGAAGCCTTTTTTGCAGTTCAGTATCAAAATCTTCATTATTCTTTTTGTTACATTTCATTGTTTTTCCACACGTTTTCATTATGAATGTATTTTTCAATAAATGATATGTTATTCAAAAAAATTTCGTTCCAATTGCACGGTTTTTCATTCCTTCAATTTCGAAAAAAATGAATATTTGAAAAAGATTTTTTTACAATCCTTGTTTTTTTACTTTAAAATTAAGATTTAATGTGGAGTTAGATGTCGTACTGAATCTCGGAATTTCAGAATATAGAAATGTAAATTAAACTAATTCGCTGTCTGAAAATTCAAAAAAATAAAAAAACGTGACTTTTTTTAAATTGATTTGTTTGTAAAACAAAATGAATTTTTTTTAAATTAAAAATACCGTATTTATTTTGTTTTCATCGGCTCTACCTAGAAATGGCAAACACTCGCTTGCATTTCATGCTTTTTTCTCCGCCCCAATTTTTTTTGCTCATGAGATGAAATTTTCGAACTGGATAATGAAGCAGCCGGCGAAAGAAAAGAAAAACAACAGGTGAAAAAAAACGAGAAGCAGGCCTGGCGTAGTGATCGCTTTTGAATAGAGAGATCATTTTCGAAAGACATTCCCAGCGTTTTGCCCCTTGACACCCACATACTTGCTGCTATTTCTCTTCCAGCTAAATTCATTCATTTTCGTCGTAGCCGCTTAATATTCATCAATTTCGATGTGTTTTTTTTCCACTTGTTGAGTGCTGTTTGCAACTTCTACCTAATTTTTTTTTCGTGTGTTTCAGCGGCTGAGATTGCTTAATTTCCGGGAACCCTGTCATATAGTCTTGAATTTTTATAAAAAAAGAATAATTTTTTTATAAAATAAATAATTGATTCCAGAAAGCTTTCAAGTTTTTCCACTTTTTGGCTCTCGAAAGGTCAGAAAAAATTTTTTTCCTACTCGAGTAGACGACAATTTTTAGATTTTTTTAATTAATTAATTAGCCTTCCTTGAGTCTAAAAAAAGTGCGACCCTTTTTGGTAGCAGTTAAGTAAGTCCCATTTTTTTCCCCTGATCTTCACGACTCATACGATCCTCTTTTTTTGTACATTGCAAATTTCTCGAGATACATTTAAAAAAATTAGATGAGAAAAAAAGTTATTTTTCTAAGTTCACTCACGAATTTCCAGCCCCGTTTGGAACATATAAGATAGGTAGGTCTTTGAAATTTAACTTTTCGCAAAACTTGATTGTGGGTTCCATAAAACGGATATAAAAAATTTTCTCAAATCATTAACTTTTTCAGTTCACTACTCGTGAATTTTTTTTCTGAATAACTTTATATAAGCTCTGTGAAGAAATTATACGCAACATTCCTCACTTATCGAATTGCCGATAAAAAATCTGAGTCGTAGCATATTTTTCCGCCGATTATTCTTGCTCCGAAAGTCGGTGATTCACTGTTAAAAATGTTCTATGTGGTGTGAAATTTTAATGAGTTTGTCTCAGATCTTTTCAAGAACTAAAAATAGTTGATTCAAAGATAGATTGCTTTTTCAACCAACAATTGGTTTCCTTTCCTACGGCTACTTTGAAGTGGAATTTTTTCCCAATTAAATTTCGTGCTTTGGTGCCAAAGTGCAAAAGGAGCGGCGTTCGGGAAAGCCCAAACGCGTCGCCGCATTGTCCATCCGGCGCGTGATCTTCTCAGGCGCCACCTGTTCGAAGCAAAAAACTGTGTAACTACCCGCTTGAGCCGGCCGATTTGGCTCCGTATCACAGAGAGGTGTCGAGGAGACGCTGTGCAGCGAATGGTCGCCACCAAGCCGACAATTGCGCTCCACGGGTATCGATTGCCGTCGGCTGTTGCCTCTTCTCTCCGGAAAGCCTGAGAGGTGGAGCCGCCCTGAGGACTGGCGGACTCTTCCTGGACCAGTCACTCACTTGTTACTTCCTCATCAACCTTATTTGGACATTGGATTTCTGTTAACACTACCTCTTTTTTCTCTCCAATAGGTCTTATCTCATTATTCCTCGTCGCGTTCGTCGTGCCCAAAAAGGCAAGAAACTTTCAAGCTGTCGTCCGTTGGGGCCGCGCCTCGCCTTGGCTGCACGCCGGTTGCCATGAGCAAAACTGAGTACGTTTTTTTTTCAATTGAATTTGAAATTTAGGTTTCCTATTTGTATGTCAAAAGTTCTTTCAACGTCTTTTTGAAACCTGCACTCTGAAAAAAATTTTACTCTTCGTCTCTCATTCTGAACTTAATAAAAGTAAATGCTCTTTTTTTTATTGGTTAAAAACTTGGAACAATTTTGAAAAGGAGAGATGCTCTAAATTTTCATACACCGGTACAACCAGGCGTCGATGCGGCTATATAGCGGGTACCTAGATAAATTGGATTAATTAGCGGCCTTATAATAGTTTTAAAACAACTACGTTGGGCGAATGCTAAGCGAAAAATGAGAATTTTAACACCTTCCAATAAGAAACGAGAGTACATTTTGGTAATTTTTCATTTTGAAGCTTTTGAATTTCAAGTTTTTCAGGACAGAAGAGCGGCGAAAATATATTTTATCTTTCTCCGTTTCGATCAATGATAAATCTGACGATTTAGTGTAATCAAACAATTTTTCTCTTCCTGGTCCCTCTGTAAAAAAAACTGAAAGGCAACTTGGGTTTAGGAAACATTTCGAATTTTTTTTTTGAATCGGTGTACGCTTTTCATGTTTCTTTTTGATTATTATAAGTGAGGGTTATTTTGTTCGCGGATAAAGCTTAAAAAAATATGCACAGAAAAAAAAAGTATGAAGAACGTATGAGCAACTTAGAGCAAATCGTCAACTTTTAAAGACAAGATTTTTTTTCAAAAGACCTAGGGAATCGTGGCAAAAAAATGGATTATGTTAATTTATATACTATTTTGTATAGTTTTGGAGAAGGAATTTCATTTTCTGACGATCCTAACTTTTTTTTGAGATGCCAAAAAGAGCATTTTTCTGCGATCGTGAAAGAAGGATTCCATTAATTTACATTATCTTATTCAAGTTTTTATGCACGACTTCAGGCTAGAAGGCGTTAAAAAAATAATTGTAAGAAAGAGAAAAAGGAATCTGAGAAAGTGAGGCGAGGAATGGAGAATAAGTGTTTGGATGTCGAAGGCGGGGCGTACGACGGTGTTTGTACAGGTAGAAGGGACCGAAATAGCGCAGAAAAGTCGGAGCCGCGAATCGAAAGCCAACGAAATAGCGGAAAGAGAAGCGAGAATGTCTGTTTGTGGGCCTGAGCCTTCCGATTCGGCGCCGCCTTCCAAAAGCACTGTGCTGTCGATTTCGGTCCGCGTGAGGCCTAGCCCATCGATTCTTCTCCTGAAACAAACCCAAAATGGAACCCCCGCCACCGCCAATGTTTCCTCGTTCTAGGATTTACCATAGGTTCAGTCATAGTTCCTCAAATAGCTGAGTTCTGGCAGTTCGTTTCCCTAACTCATGCCTTTTCAGCTACTACTCCGAGCAGCAGACCTTCAATGTTCCAGCGGCCAACACTCAGAAAGGAGCTGGCCTCCCGCCACAGAAGATCTACGGCAAAGGCTTGAAGGTTTGATTTTTCTTTTGAAAATGATTGTTCGAATTTTCATGAAAACCGTACTTTTGTCGTGTCTGCTTTTTCGCCTTCTCAAACTTTTCACTTTCATAGTTCAATAAATTAGCATTCCAACCTTCTTTCAAACTGTTATTGCTGAAATCTATTTTTGGTGAAATTGAAAAAAGAAAAAAAAAGAATGGGTTGGCTCTGCAATAGTTTTTGTGATTTTTTTGTCGCCATTCATTCCAGTCACCATTTTATAATTTTTTTATCGAAAAAAATAATTCATACGAAATATTTCATTAGTCGTTTTTTTCTAAATAAGAAAAAAAATTGACGTTTTTCGAATTGAAGAAAACGTTTTTTAACTTAACTTTATTGTGATTTCAATTTTTTATTCTACGAAAGTTTTCAATTTTGCAGGATTTGGAAGACACAGACATCGAAGGACTCTTGTCCAAGTTGAGCATCGACGAACTCGAAGATCTCAACAATGACTTCGATCCCGACGTACGTTTTTCTTTTTTTCGGTTTTGAATATCTTCTGGAGTTTTTGTAAATCGATAGGTTATTCATTTTTTTCTCCTCTCAACTTCACAAATTTTTTAATGGTTTTTTTCTTGTTCGACTTGTGTTCATCGTTGAAACTCAGAAGGCCAACTATTTTTGAAAAAAATTTATTCGTTGCGGTTTCCCCAAAAATTTTCTGAAGGGATGTATTCATCAAATTATCACATTATTACGAGGCTCTCATTACGTGTTGTAGAAAAAAATTTTCCCAAGCTGTCAGATGTTGTGATTGGATAGATCTTTGCGTTGCACTGATCATTGAGCGTTGTTTATTTGATGAGGAAGGCCGTTTATCAGCGTTTGGATGGCTGATTTGAGAGGAAGCCTTGTGGGTGAGATGAAGCTGCGCGTTTTTCTTCGCGAGAGCCCTTGACTCGGCGCTCAGCTGACCACCCCAAATCGCACCGAGGCTCCCAATTTAGCCTTTTCCTTTTTTCGGGCAAAAAAAGTATCTCGTTTCATTTCAACGTTCATACTACACATAACCTTTTTTTAAATTTTAATTTGTCTACCAAAAAAAGTTCCGCTGCTTTTTTGATCAAAAATGATTCTTCACCTTCATTGAGTTTCTATTTCAAAGTTTTCATTTTCTGATGAGAAGCAAATTTTTCTTTAATTCCCATTAACAAATAAATATCTGACAGAATTAGGAGTGGGAGAAATATTTGACAGAATAACGATGATGTAAGTTCTTTGGGTAGTTTTTGAACTGGAGGAGCCCAAAAATGTTTATTATTTTCTATATTTGTTTGTGACATGCTTTTCGCTCCCCTATAAACATCAAAAAAAAATTTTTTTTTTCTTTCAAGAGTCTTCTTCCACCACACCCTGTTTTTTGTTTTTATGAAAACAGTAAGTTTATGGTTTAGATCTAGGGAATGAAATTGATTGGAGTTCCTAAAGTTTAATTTAAATGAGAAATAGAAAGATTTCCCCCTTTTTTCAAGCCTCTCGGTAGAAAGGCTCGTATTGGTGTTGAACGGAGAGATGCCAAGAAGAGAGTGTTTCTGCGGGATTGCGGGAGGAAGACGGAGGGGCTGATCGCGGCGACGACGGTCGGCAGCTCGGGAGAGTCCAGAGGGAGCGTTTGCGTGTGTCAGGTTACACGACAGCCATCCGCAACACAAGCAAGAAAAATGAAGATAACCGCGGCCAATTCGAACACCTCAGCTCCACTTTCACCCTCGCAAAGTGTGAATCTGTGAAAGACTTCAGCTTGAAAACCATTTCAAATGAATCGAAAATAATTTTAATACTTTTCCACTTTTTCCATGATATTTTCCACGACGGAGGCAGTTTTATAGCCTTGCATGCGGCGAGGCTTTTTGTCGAAATTCAATAGCGCCGCCGAGAATCATAAAATCGTAACTCTTTGCACATGTCATTCTACAAGATAAGAGGTTTTCTTGGTCGAGTGAGGACCGACAAGATTGATTGACGCGCTTTTTCTTTCGTCCAAACTAAATAAAAGCTCCAAACTACCGCTGAGTTGTTTACTCACACAGTTTGAATAAGGAAACCTTCGAAAAAGCTATTTCTTTGGCTGTTTTAGACTGAAAATTCGATCAATTGATCCGTACTTTCTGTTGACACAAGCAAGTCATAAGTTTTGCTAGGTGCGTTCTACAGGCCCAGGGCAGAAGATAAACGAGAGAAAAGTATGATCACGGGGCGACTCCGCCTGTTGGCGAGTTCTCTGAATCACGAGACAGCGCAGAAAAAGGGGCTCTGCTGAAACTTTGAGCTTTCTGTAAACAGTTAACCCCACGGTGAAAGAAGTATGTCAACGGAGTATGGTGAACCTCAAATACGCGCGTTTTTTTTCTTTTCACATGTCAATTCGAAGGTTGAGCATTTACATGGCTTGTTGTGTGAGCCGCAAAACAAACACAAAAAAAATCGTTTTTGGGAGGTTTTTGGTTTTTATTGGTTTGAGTTGGGACTTAAACTCTTGAGACCCTTGTAACACATTTAAGTAAACTTTATCGATTGTATCTCAAAGCGAAATTTGTAGGACATGAATATTTTCAATATCAGAAATTTTAAAGATGAATATAAATTGATTTCAATAACTTAATGAAATACAAAATGTCAAACTCTCTTTGAAAATGGGTTCATGTTGATCTTCAAATTCATATACAGGGTCGGAAATATCTCAAATAATTGTCAGAAAAAGAAACAAAAGATGGGTGAATAAGTATTTCAGAACTCGATGCTGCCTCCCTCGCAACGATGTCGCGACCAAACAGATAAAGAACCGACCGGGCCTTACAAACGCGACAATCTGCTCAAGTTCCTCGAGGAGAAGGCGAAGAACGAGAAGGACTGGGAAGATGTTTCGCCTTTCACTCCGGGACTCAAACGAGGTTCTTTTTCATCACAAGTTGAAGCCTTTGAAAGAACTGACGCCACAACTTTCTTGCTCCTTCTAAAAATGTCGAGATACACAAGAAGAACTTTGAGAGAGATTCATTATGCTTACCTTAAGGCTCATCGATTTACATTCTTAATTAAATGTTAGAGTAAAGAAATACTCAAGGAGCATTACTATGGAAGTGGTTTCCAATTTATTAAGTTATTTTTTTTCGATCTATTTTTTCTTTGACTAAAGTTCCACAAACCTTTTTTCCAGCAAGTGTTTTGAACAAAATTTCAATATCAGGTAAATCAAAATACTTAGAAAAACTTTCTTAAATTCAGTTCGGAAGGTCTTGAAACTTGGACATAACTATGATTACTCTTTCAATTTTATGAGCATAGTCATGGCGACGTGAAAGAATACAGATTGTGTTCTTGGTGAAGGAAAATCGAAAAGAAGATAAAAGAAGGTTTTCAGGGAAAATCTGGGAAGGAGACAGTGGAAGAAATTCGGAGGAGCCGGAAAGTGGCAAGATGGAGATGCCGATTGAGCTCGACCTCGACGACGACGACGAGCTCGAGTGCGCCCTCATCGACGCTCCTGAGAAGGATCTCGTCGACCTCGCCGGAATTCTCGGTATCTTGGTTTAGATTTTTTCGTACCTCGTGAGTCGAAGAGCTTTTTTCAGACCTACACACAAGTTTTAAAAAAATATAGGAACTTGATTTGTTCAGGTATGCACAATGTGCTCAACCAGCCGCAGTACTACAACGCTCTGAAAGGGAAGATGCAGGACGATTCCACGGGGACCACTTTCAATGGGATCGTTCAGGTGCCGATTTCGGTCAACAAGTGTAAATTCAATGTTTCCTTCAGTCTTACCAGCCGAGAATTGTTCCTGACGAGCCGGACAACGAGACAGATGTCGATGATTGTATAAAGTGAGCTTTTCATGTCCTTGGGCCGCCATTACCCATTTTTTTTCAGACGATTACACGCCGATGACGAAAGTTTAACGGATGTCAACCTGAACAATATGAAACGGGTATCCAAGGTAGTGTCTCCTTGTTTATTCTCAGTCTGACCGAAAGTCTTCAAGGAGCGCATCCGAAGTGTGATCGAAGCCGCCTGCAACAGCAAACACATCCAGAAGTTGGCCCTCGCCAACACCGCCATATCAGACAGCGAAGCACGGGTGAGGCCTGTCGGAGCGTTGCTTTTCCGGCTCCTCCGAGGATGAAAAGTATAGTGAAAGTAATGAAAACCCAACTACAGAACTCTCAAATTCACATAATGAGAAAGAAAATCATGAAAATGTTCGAAAAATGTTGTTGAATTTGATTCTGATTGATTTCTAAAAAAATTGTATGCTAGGCTTGAAAATTCTGTTCATTAAGTGCTGGTCTCGTGAAATATTCACTTTTTTCAAAATCGTCTTTGGATCTACATTAAAGCGAATTGGACAGCAGTATAAGTCTCTAGGCCAAAGGCCATTCAATTTTTTTTTAAGTCGTGCAATAGTTTTTCATCTTCAAATATTATTTCTCACCAGATTATACCTCATCCTATTGCTTTTCTTTATTTGATAGCCTATAGCCTTGAACCTTTTTTTTGAGTACGTACGCCGAAAGTTGGTAAAGGGCTCTCGCCTGTGAAAAGTTCCGTACTTACCAGCCGTAAAAAATTTTGAAATGCCGAATTTTATTGAGAAAAGGAGAACTTTACCAAGTTCTATGGTCAAAAAAATAACCCAGGAGTATTCTTAGTGGCTGCCAGAAAACGGTCAGCTTACGATAATTTATCTTCTTTCCTGACGAAACCCATGTTTTAAAGGGCATCGTGGAACTGTTGGAGACGTCGCCCTCCTTGCGGATTCTGAACGTCGAGTCGAATTTCCTGACGCCGGAACTCCTTGCGCGGCTCCTCAGGGCGACGCTCGTCACTCAGACTCTCGTCGAGTTCAAAGCCGAAAATCAAGTCCGTTTTATTTCTTTCAGCCTGTATATTGAACTTTTTTTGGCAATGCTTTCTTTTCCAAAGCTTTGTTTGTGTAGTATTTGCTGTTTTTACGGCGGTGAAGCTATATTCCAAATTTTTCCAACATAAACGTTCAAATTTTTCATCCGTTTTCGCCGTAACCGAGGTTCCTTAGAGACGGGCCCTGAATTTCAAAATGTAGTCGAAAGACTTTTGTTTGTGAAAATTGATTCTTTCTGATTTATTCACACACTTTCCTATTTTATTCTTATCGAAAGCAAGAAAACAATTCGAATTTTATTGAAGAAAGGGAAGAGCGAAACTTAAAAATATTTCATTCAATTCAAAAAGAGTTCAGATTGTTTTTTTTTCCCCTAAAAGGGAGAATTTTCAGCGACAATCCGTTCTGGGCAACCAGATCGAGATGGACATGATGATGTCGGTGGAGGAAAACGAGACTTTGCTCAGAGTCGGCGTCGCCTTCCAGTCCATGGAGGCCCGCCATCGCGTTTCTGAAGCCCTCGAACGAAACTACGAAAGAGGTTTTTCTTTTCCCTTTTTCTAATTCATAAATTTTACGAATTTGGCTATCGTTTGAATATTTTCGAAGTTCTGTTGGTTTTTTTTTTCTTGAATTTGACGTAGCTATTAGAGCTCTTCAGAAATTTTTTAAAGCATTTTTCCAACAAATTTCTCTCTTTTCTCGTGAATGGATATGCTTTTGAACTGACGGAACTTGAGAATATTTCATTCGTTTCAAGAATTTGTGAAATTTGCAACATTGAACTTGTCAAATAACTCAAATCTTTATAGAGACTTTCAAAACCAAACTTTAGTTCTGAAACCTTCTCAAAAGCCAAAAAAAAGTTTTTAGACCTATCATGTACTTATTCGGCGATTTTCAATCATTTCGATCTTCAGTCAGAATTTCAAGAAACTATGTGTTTTTGCTCAAAAGCAATGTCGTTTTGTGGCGTAAATCGACCTATGTCGTCGTGTTTTGTCGAGCCGTCGAGAGGGTTAGAGGGCAGCGGTTTCCGGTCCGCCCGTCTGCTTTGCTCCACTCGAAAAAACACGGCGAACAAATGCCGCGGGGACTTTGCCACCTCAATTTTTTTCTCTGACTTTGTTTTGCCATGGATATCTATCACGAGAGGAAAGACAAGAGGAATTCGAAAAAATAATTTCGATTTGAAACAGAAAAAAGCATCCCTTTTAAAATACTTTTTAGTGTTGTCTGTGGTTTCTTCGATCAAGCTCCAAAGAGAAAAAGAGAAAAAGAGAGCTTCATGATATTAGCATGGATCTTGGTGTAATCCTACGGCTTCGGACATCAAAGTGGTCTCCTAAAGACCAGATGGCCTCTGATTTATTTTTTTTTTAAATATATGATCGACCAAATCGCTGAGACTACATGTTTTTCAAAAAAAAATTTTAAAAGTTAATGTTTATCATCTTTTTTTTTCAAGTAATAATTACAATAATAATTACAATAGTTTGCTCACTGCCATTATTCAACATTAGAAATATAATTTTTAGTTGGCAAGAGTTTCTTGTAATTCATACAATTGAAAAAAATAAAAAAAAATATCTTATCAATCAGTTTCGATAAGTTTATCGGTGTTTTTGCAGTTCGGTTGCGACGCCTTGGAAAAGATCCCAATATGTGAATCTGCGCCGATTCTACAAACTCGCCCCGTAATCAAATTGGACTACTCACAGCTGTATCAAAGTCTCTAATTCGCTTTACACCCCAATATTTTCCTCTTGATTTTTTTTTTCAGATCGTGTATATGTACAGTTTATCTTTCTTTTACTTCAACTTTGGGGAACTACTTTATCGTTATTTTTGAATTTTAATTTCTACGAGAAATCAAAGGTATCTGGAGCTCGAGGTCGAAATAGTTAATTAATTCCATCTCATGAACTTTTGATGTGGAATTGTTCATTTGTAATACGGAGCAAGATTTTTTTGATTTTGTCCGACTCCCAACCTTTATTTCTTTCGCTCAGAATCTTCGAGGTCGAATACTGATGCCCCCTAAATACGATACTATAGATTAAATTTCTCTGTGGAACCTACCGAACTTATAGATTTTACTTATAGGATTTCGGGGAAGAAAGCTTCGTGCTTTTTTGTCCGAAACAAACTAATAGATGCTTATACACTTATATTTTATGCGTGGTCTTGTGTGCATTACTACTTTCATCTTCTTTGTCTTCATCGAATTCTCTAAACGGTATGATTGTGATCTTTGGCTATACTTTTATTCTTTGTTTTCCCTTTCTTTCATCCGAAAGTAGTGTCGGTTTTATCGTCATGCTTGGCAAATGGGTACTTGCTGTAGGGCATTCACAAAAATATTGAAGGCATTCGACCCGATTCTCTCTGCCAACAGATACCTAGCACAAGCTTCTCGGCTCTCGAATTCGACTCACGCAACTTGTACACTTATTGTTTCGGTTCCAGTCGGTTACTTCATGTTTAAATATTTTATTGGATGAAACTCTTTTTCCAATCTTTCGAGTACACAGCGACCCTGAAAATGTTTAGGACGGTAGCCGGCCGAAGAAATCTTATTTTTTGATAGCGAACATTTAAAACAAAGTAATTTTGAAAAGATTTATTGCTGCACATCTCAACTTCCTTTAGGCAAAGTCGGAAGGACCCTCCGAGGGTCATAAAGGCTGTTGGAAGTCTCCATAGAAATGTTCCTTTTAGGGTGATGAAGGCTCCTTTTTTGTTGCCTTTTTGCGCCATTTTCTCAGCCATTTTTGCTGCCTCCCTCTTTCTCCCTCATTTCTTAAGCCTTTAAAATTCGAGAAAAATGGAAGGCTCGATAAAGGGACTATCGTTGCTGCCTTTTCACGGCCTTTTTTGAGCCTCTCCCTCCTAGCGGTCATTATCCACCATTCCGATTTTGCCCCAGAAATATATCGCTAAGCCATGGTTTATTAGCTAGATTTATAAAAAAGAAAAAAAAATTCACCCCTTTTATATTCGTGTTATTGGTTAACTATTATAATTGATGGAAATTTGACGCTAACGTGAGAGGATTAGAAAAAGAAAAAGCAAATTTAAAATCAGAAAGAAACATCTTTCGCCGACAAGATAGTTCTCTTCTTCTTAAAGTTAAGAAACTTAATCAAAAATTGGTATAAAAGTCAACCATTGCGTCTTTAACTCGGGATATCATGGAACTTCTCGTTTTATTGTTTATTTGATAGCATGATTAAAATGTGGCTTGAAAAAAAGCCAATACCCGAAGAGGTGAGAAATCATACGAAAGCTAGAAGCAAAAATCTCTACTGCAGTCCTAAATAAGAGAAATGAGATCAAACGAGCACTAAAAATGCCGTTCGCCCTGGATGGAGCAAAATTGATCTAAAGTATCAGCACAAAATCACACCTTGACTCTTCTTCAAAACTCAAGATAGACAAAAAGTGTTACTAAACTTCACATCCAACTCATTGTTTAGTGAAATTTCATGACTAGAGAAAAATAGACCGTTGAAGTGGTTTTGCGCTTTAACTTTAAAACTGTCATCTACCTATTTTGTCTCAAATAGAGGAAAAAACTACACGTGGAAAGAGCCAATCGTTCAGTGGTGTCCCAAGAAGGCGAAATCCTATTAAGCGGAAGTTCAAAGTGTGCTACCCAGGTCCATCTGACAAAGACAAGAAATATATATCAGTGCTAATCCATCTTCCTGATTCATGGAGTTACTCCAAAAGTCACTGGTTATTGTTAAACAATCACAGAATCTATGAACAAAAGTGTACAGAACTACTGGAACATGGGTAGATGGACGGCAGAGGCGTTCCAGATCTCAGAGGCTGTTTCGGGCTGCATACGCATCAGCGGCAGCTTCTGGAACATGGAGAGCAGCGGACCCATCGAGCCCAACAGCGAGTCCATCAGCAGGTCGAGAGTCCCGTTCACCGTTCCCATCTCGTCGGCTCTTGAGCTTTCCCATTAACACCGGCCTTAACCCTCAGCGAACCTCGTCACCGCCGCCGACCTCACCGCATGGGCCATTAGCCGGAAAGCCGCCGCCGAGTCCGCCGGAGTCGTGCCGAGTTCTCTACAATGTTCACTTGATTGGGCGCTTTTTCCATGAGAAAATTTTAATATCACTCTTTTAGCATCTATAATCCTTTTTTTTGTTCTTGGCACGAGCACCATCGAATGTTTAAAAACTCGGACACCGCTCTTTTTGTATCTATTCTGCTATTTTTTAGGCAAAAAAAATCAATAAAGAGTCAAAAAACGAAATTAAAAGAGCGATAAATGAGCTCTACAAATCTTCACTGGCGGCTAAATCGGGAAATATACAAAAGACCAGAAACTCGAAACACTTTTCGTCAGAGGCGAATCGAGAAGGTACCATGATGTGTCCACAAAGGTACCTCTCAAAATGGATCTTGAAGGCCCCATAATGGGTCCATCGTGAGGCCTCCGGCATAACTTTTAGTTATATCTGGGCCATCCCGGAGGTACTTCAGAGTCTCTCTCAAGTCCATCTTATTTTCCTTGAAATTTTCAGAGGTATACTCGGGGTACCATCGTGAGGCTTCAGAGCCTGCGATATTCCTCAGAGAGTATCGCGATACCCTTTCTCGATTCGCCTATAGTTTAGAACTGAACTTATCGAAACGTACAAGAACACAAATAAAAAAAAGGCGAAAACCAATGGATTATGTTTTTTGTGAACCTTTCGGGGCTGATGTCGACGCGTCTCTTCTCGCCTGTCCACCAGCGCGCCCTCTTCTCCATGGCACTGGGCCGAAAGCGCGACTGTTTATTCGTCAGCGGAGAGACCGCTGCAAATATGTCGCTCTATTTCCAGTAAAAAATAGAATCGAAGCATTCAAATACTACATATTTCTTTTTTTATTCAATCTCAATTTCTTGATAATACGGCTAATTCACGACTTCATAATAGTTTCTTTTCTAAAAAGCACTGGAGAAGATAATTTTCTATTTAAAAAACACTGAAAAAAATGAAACATTTTCCATTCAGAGAATAAAACAATTAGAATAAAATTTGAACTTTATGAATGATTTTTCCTATATTAATTTCCTTCTTTATTTCAAGAAGATCCTTTAAATTTATGAAACTTAATCTTCACTGACCGCCCCGACTTATTTTTTGATCTTTGTTCCAAAAATCCTCCTATCTACACTGACCATTTAGCCATTTTTCTTCAAAAATCAATTGTTCCGCACGCAAAAAAACGGTAAACCTTTTTCGTCTTGACTACCGTCGATGCAACTTTGCACGTCTCAACCTAAGTATGATCAATTACAATTGGGATAGACAGTTTTCATATTTTTCTAGCATCGACTCCAAATTTAATCATTTCAACAAAATTTTCAACGAGCTCATACGGGACAACTGCCCAGTTCTCAAACCACGCAATCATCGCGGTTCCAACTTTTTACGCAACTTCTCTTCCAAAATTCTCAAGCGTCTTAAACGCTTCAATCTGCGCACCTCCTTCGGTCGCGTAAATTTCAAAATCAGTACCTCTAAATTTCGTCGTAAAACTCTACGTTGGTTCATTAATCATGAAAGAAAAATTGCCGCTGGCTCAAATGCCAGTATTTCCAAGTACATTAGTTCTAGGTTAAAACTTCGTCATGATATTCCACCCCTTATCTCCAATGGCAGGTCTTTCATTCTACCATCCGAAAAAGCTAATTTATTTGTGGACACTTTCTCCAAAAATCGTAATTTGCATAGTTATGATACACCCACTCTCTTTCCAAGTAGGAAACCTTTGACTGTTGAACCTGATTTCAGCCCTTACGCCATCTTCAAAGCCTTAGGCAAATGCCCATCAAAAATTGGCTTTTCGACTGACTTTATCAACTTTTTTGTTCTCAAGAATTGTCTTATCTTATTGCACGGGCTCTATCCCCAAAACTTGGTCCACCTCTCATATAGTCCCTATCTTCAAAAAAGGCGATAAAAGCGATCCTAATAACTACCGACCTATCGGATTGACGTCTCACATTGCTCGTTTAATGGAAAAAATAATAGCTATCTCTATTAGATCTAAATTCAAAAACACTTTTTCTAATTCTCAATTCGGCTTTTTAAATCATCGTTCTTGTAAACTAGCTCTTCTCGATTGCATCACTCACTGGAAGAGATCCCTAGCTCTTGGTAATAACGTAGACGTAGTATATATCGATTTTCTCAAAGCCTTCGACATGCTCCCCCATAACCTTCTGCTCGCCAAGCTCCAAGATTTCGGTTTCGACCAAAAACTTATTAGCTGGTTCGCATCTTTCATATCCAACAGAAAATCATTTGTCATTAGTGAAGGTATCATATCTAGCTCGGCTTTTAACATTACATCTGGAGTTTTGCAAGGAACAGTCTGCGGCCCACTCCTATTTATAATATTCATTAATGACATTATCAGCAACTTATCTGATAATGTAAAGGCTTATCTTTTTGCTGATGATCTTAAAATTTTTTCTGACGATCCTATAGCGCTTCAGCAAGGTCTCAACGACGTTTTCCAATGGTCTAGTCAATGGGGTCTTCCCCTGGCCGAACACAAAACCACCCTTCTCCATCTAGGCCGTAGCAACCCTCATGTTCAGTATACTATAAATAATATAACTATCTCTTCCGCGGAAGCTGTTCGCGATCTAGGCATTCTTATTGATAACAAACTAACATTTGAGCCTCACCTTCGTAAAGTTATAGCCTTATGCAAACTAAAAAAAGTAAACAAATCATCAGAGCGTTCCGCGCCCTGTCTCCCGCTCTAATGAGCCGGATTTTTTTCTTACTTACGTTGCTCCCTATATGGACTACTGTTGTGAGTTGTTCAGTCCCCCCTAGCTTCAGAACTATCTTACACCCTCGAAAACATCTTCCGTCAATTTACTCGCCAAACATTCATGAGATCAAACATTAGGTTTTTCTAGTTATGAAGACAGGTTAGCTCAGATTAACACAAACTCTTTTTTTAGAAGACGAGTCGAATTTTTGTCTAAGAACACTACATAAAAATCTATATTAAGGAGAGTCATTTGCCAGTTTCTCACAGTGTTTTCAGGAGATCAAATTCAGTACGTGCTCCATCACGTCTTATCAGAGTAGGGATTCGTTTCGAAAATTTCTTTGAGACGTTCATCCCTCTTTGGAATAAACTGGCCACATTGGGAAACCTCAATGTCTCTCCAAATCGTTTCAGGTCTTTGTTACTATCCCTCGATAACAATTTCCTTTTTGGATCTATTCCCAGCAGACTCCGTTGAACCAGGCACCCGTGCTTCAGCCCTACTCTTATCCATCTTATGCGCGTCTATATCATTACAAACAATTCAGTTCCCCATTCACCTGTGCTACACTGTGTCATAACTTATAATGCTTTCTTTACCATTCACTTATTTTACCTTTGCGCAATCCTCACCTCTTATTCTTTCATTACTGGCTCAGAGGCTCGTGAGGGCCTCAAGTGCCTTTTATTTATTTATTTCAGGCTTAATGCCAAATTTTTTTCTCTTTTTCTGTACATGTTATTTTTGTTCTGCCTGTAAATAAATAATATTATATAAATATTTTGAGCATCAAGCAAACAGTTTTTTTTCCATTCTTCTGATTTACCAATACTTAAGCAATATATAAATATTTCATCAACAAAAAAAAAACAAACGTCTTTTCTTCTCCTCTTCAACGTTCTCGAGACCAGAAGTTCCAGGCGCCGAACCGTCGAATTTGCCTTTCCTTTTCGTGTACTTCCGTTTCGCTCCATTCAGCTGAGAAGGCGGCGGCGATCTCTTTTGCGAAGCCTTCAAGTAAATAATGCTTCATTTCTTCGAACTTCACCGAATAATATGTTTTGAAAAAACAGTGGGAAATTAAGGAGTCAATGATTTCAATGAAAAAGAAAAGGTGTACCTCGCGCTGAAGTTTCAGCCGGATCTTGATGTCGTTCTTGGATGGCCGGCCGACTTTCCTCTTGAATGGGTATTCCTGCAACAAATGGTCGGAATTTCGTGTTTTTCGATCTAGAAGAACCTGGATAGCCGGTTCTTCGGAAACCTCTTCTCTTTTCGGCTTTAAAGATTTCAATTGCAGGTATTTGCTGCTCTGAGATTCGGCAAACTTGAACGTGATCATAAATAAAAACTGCAAACCTTCCTCCCAACGTTTTTTGGAATTTCTTCGTGAGATCGCACCCAACCGTACCATTTCCGACACTTTTTGTCCACACATCTCCATCTTGAAAGAGAGAAATAAGAAAGATGGAAATCTCGGATGGAAGGTACCGATGTCTGTTTCCCCCGCACATCTGCGGCCGGACCTGTCCATTGCAGAATACACAGTGACGATGTCCACTCGACGAAATTGGCGGCGTTTTCTCGACTTTGCTGAAAATCATAACATCTAAAAACTTTTCTACACTTTTTGATAAATCAGTCGGGGAAAAACTTTTTTTTTTTGAGACCCTCTCCCCTTTGACAAAAAAATTATGAGTCTTAAAGACAGGAAAGTAAAGGAGGTTTTATGAAAAAAATTTTGAAAGTTTGGAGGAGACATAATGAAAAATTTTCAGAAACTTGAAACTTAAGATATTTTGATATAACTGAGATTTTTACACATGGTAATAGATTTTGACCAAAAACCCTGTCCTGATTATTATCAGCAGAGTTATAGCCCCGAGAATTCAGAGAACTATTTTCTGATCTTTGTTTTAAAATCGAAAAACGAACTAGTGTTTGGGGCGAACGGCCTTCCGCGGGGATAAGAAGCCTCCGGACGACGGCATCTGGTCGTCGGCGGGATTCGAGTGCAGTTTGGGACTGACGACGTTGACGCGTTTCCGCTTCTTTTCTTTCTCGACGGGCCGCGAGCCTTTGAGGGAAGACCGTGGCGGCGACGCCTGCTCGTCATCCTCGTAGCCCAGGGACACCTGAAAAGCCCAAATTCTGGGAAATAGCTAGCTCTGCTCGAAAATAGTTATACAGCAAAAATCTGAGAAGTTTTTTTTAATTCTTCAGTGTAAGTAGGAAATAAATATGACAAGAAACTTCGTAGGAAGAGAGATATGTAAAAAACTGACTTATAGAAAAGTCTCAATATCGTTTTTTATTTGGTGGACATTGTAATTTCTTCAAGTGGAACTTTAAAAACAAACGGTTATCTTTATGAATAAAACTACGAAAATGGCGACTTGATTCAAAATTTTCAACCTGACAAAAATTTGAATGATTTTTACATGCCAGACTTTGAATTCATCGAAATAAAAAAGAAAAAAACAAAAAAAAAAAATGAAAGGCGAAATTTCCGGTCGCAGTTTCTAGTTTTAAATTGAGCAATCAGAGAAAGAAAAAATGATAAAAAAATATTCTCGCCCAATTCCTTGAAGAACGAGAAAGAAAGGGATCAAACCTCCTTCTTGATGGGTTTGCTGACTCGGACGGAAGCCCTCGGAGTAGGAGTCGGAGAGGAAAGTTCGCGTTTGACCATCGCCTTGAGAGTTTCGTTGGTGGAGAGGGCGCCCGAAGGCTCGACTTCGAAGACTCCGCTCGGTTCGGTCTTGACCGCCAGGAGGGGCACGTCGAGCTTGTCGAAGACGCCGTCCATCGACGAGGCCGCCGCCACTTCCTTGTACTTGGAACAATACTTCCCCGTACATCTGAGAAACTTCTTTTTATATCTGGAATAAGTCAGCCAAGTTCTCTTCCCTTTATTTCGACTGTCCATACAAATTTGATTCAATCTCCCCAGATATGATAACAGATGAATTTTTCTCGTAAATGATATGCATAGTTTCAAACAAAAATGAAAAAAATCTCTCCGAAACTTTATGAGAAAAAAACCTTCTTTGAAGAAACGTGAAAAAGGAGAAACAAAAATATATTGAATGCTAAATTTCTATTTTACCTTTCTCCGACGACTAAAAAGGGATATTAGAACTTCAAAACTTCAAAAAAACTTTAATCTGAATGAAATAACGTGAAAAAAGACGAACTTCCAAACGCCGTTCACTTCTCGACATTCTTGACCGCAGGTTTGGCAGAATTCCACTTTTGACAACAATCGATTGGGTAACTCAGGAGTTATGGGTCGATCCTATAGAATATCATCATGAAAGCTAAAAAAAGTTTCCCTTTCGATAACGTTGGCGCATGAAAAACGTTCCGAGTCCAAGTTAGTTCACAGCAGGTAAATAAAAAAGCTAATTAAAAAAGAAAGTTATGTATAAGCTATTATTCGGGGTTTTTGACGGAAATAATATATAAGTACCGTTTCTTATCCCGAGGAAACTTCAGAAGCGTCAATTTAGATACTTGGAAACCATAGTCAGAAAAACCTCTAAGGGCTACAAAAAAGTCAAACGCACAATGCTCCCTTCGGAGGGCATGTTGTTGAGTGTGATCATGAGCTGTTCGGCATGAGCGTCCAAGTCGGCCGGTGCGGCGAAAAGTTCCTCAAAGTAGTCAGAAACCCCGGAGAAGCCAGACATCGAGATGAGGCTCAAATTTCTTGGCTAGTTGCGCCCTTCTGATAATCCTAACCGACTGCGACGGCCGCTGGCACTGGCACTTCCACTGCGGTTGCGCGTCCTCTGATGTCCGAACAAGTCCTCGAAAATTCGGGAAGAAGCCCGAGATCTTTTTGAGCGCCACGATCGATTTTCTTCTGGCAAAGCGTTTGACGCTCCTGCTGTGAAAATGAAATCGTCGCCGAGAAGAGCGCTGAGATCTTCCTGAAAAACTTCGAACAGTGGTATGCCAGATTCCCAATTATGTCATTGTTCCGAAAACTTGATTAGAATCTATAAGAACTTCAAAAAAATTTCACATCTGTGAAATCAAAACAACGAAAAAAAACTGACGCCGCCAAAATGATCAACAAGCTCTGGAGCGTAAGGGATTCCTCCACTGATCATGCCCATTTTTTTCCGCTTCGACCCATTTGAACTCTCACTGTCTAGTCTTTTCCGTTCCCTCATCGCCTCTTTCAAATGTCGGAAACCAGGCGCAGTACTGCTCGTTCTAGAACGAGACCTGGACAAAAGAAAACCGTCTCCGACAGGGAATATCAGCCAGGAACCTGGTGGAGTTGCTGTTGGATCGTTTCCTTTTCCGGTCTTCATCGCCTATTTCGCCGTTGAGAATCGCGTCTAGCCGACTGCTGGAGGTCCTCGTTCTCCCCTGGTTAGGCAGCGCCGGCTTCGTCTTCTCCATTTCTTCTATCGAGGGAAATCCGAGGTCTGTGGACTGTGATAGTCCTGCTTCGATTCGTATCTCTTGAACAGCCTTATTGAAATCCTGAAAAGAGCTCCATTTTTTGACCAAAAAATGTCTTGAAACCTTTTGTTTTCTCGGGATTTCAAACTCTGCGCGATGTTCCAAGTAACTAAAAAGATCTGATGGCTTCATGAAAGATTTTTCAAGAGTCCCATAGAACATCACTGGAATACGACGCACTGGTGTATCTTCAGATTGTTCTAAGACCTGAAAATTATTTTCTTGATAATCATTTCACAACTAAATGAAGTTTATTATCGAGTTTTAAAAATTCCATTACAAACCTTCGCTGGCCAGGGCGGAAACCCTTTCATTTTGGCCCAAATCAGATCTCCTGGATTGAAAGTGGTGGCTGAGCTTGTTGACTCAGTTTCCATTGTGCTATATAAACTGCAAAAAAAAATTGAAAAAGAAAGAAAGATTATTTGGAAATAAAAAGACCAAACAATTTTATTTCTAATATCATTCATTCGATTAGACTTCATGAATGAAACAAGATGTTTAGTTCCCTCATTCAATAAGGTTGATGGGTTTTGTTTTAAAAAGAAAAAATAAATTAAATACGGCGCGAAGTTGGCATGTGGCCAGGACTCAGTCTGCGCCGAGAAAAACGTTATTTGCGCCAAGCTTGGAGCTAAGACGTGTTAGTGGTGAAATTATATAAAAAAATTTTTTTAAATGTAATTATCAAATTGCAATAGTCTTTTTAACTAATCTTAATGTTCTTTTTTTAGTTTACACTGAGTGTATAAGTGTGTAATTTTCTGATCGAGTCATTTATTTTGTATATACGTTTCCGCAGTCTAACGTTTTTTTTTTAAATTTTACCAGCGCTGTCGTTGATTTGAACTTTTACAAAACGGAAGTTCATTCAATTTATATAATTCAAAAATAGTTAAAAATGAATTTAGTTTTTTTTATATAGATTTTTCTAGAAAATAATAATTTTTATATATTTTCGAGGCTTTTTTAACATTACTAACTTTGTAAATTTGAAGATGGCGGCCGTTGACGACGAGATGTTCCAGCACGACAATTTTTCTCCTTCCGATTGTAAGTATTTTCTAAGATTCTTGAAAAAAACCGATGAAATGAGTTCGAGGTTTTTTTCAGTTATTCGAGATCGATTGAAAGGGGTGAAGACTGGAGAAGAAACTCGGAAGCTTCGTGCTCTGCGTTCAGAAATGAGCGCTCTGAACAATGCATCGCAAGAAATGTTGAAGAATAACGTATTTCACAACTACCAACAGTTCATAGATTCGTCCAAAGAAATTTCGCGTAAGAATTTCAGCTCGTTTTCTGTGACATCTTTTTTTTTTAGATCTCGAGCAGGAAATTTACCAGTTGTCTTCACTACTTCAAGATCAGAAGCAGGTCATAGAAAATTTAATAATCATGACAGGTTTCCGCAATACTCGAAAATAATTCAAAGCTTTTTCGTTGAAGGAGACGATAAGGGCTCGATACACACTGTTTCGAGCCACTCTACGACCGCATCCAGCGCCAATCCAATCCAACTGCTCATGCAGAAAATGGATGGAATCGGGGTTACTTCGATCAAGTTTTCTCGCATTGATTTTTTAGGGTATTTTGAACAATATGTCGAGCTCGGAGAAAATAATACTTCATGGCGAAATGGACCTCCTGGATCCCGAAACGAAAGCGCCGCTGCAACGTTGCATGTTGATTCTGCTCTCTCACCGTCTCATCATCGGCAACAGCACGACGACGGGCAAATACAGGTATACTCCGACTTTTTATCGAATAACCGTGAAACAGCATGGAGTCGACCCTTTCTCTTAACAACGTGGCGGCCGTCAACGTCAAAGATCGCGAATCCGGCGCCGCGGCGGCTGGGCGTCTTCTCAAGTTGCTCATCTTTCCAGAACACAGGTTTTGGTCTTTCAATGATTCGTTTGATTTTTCTACACCAAGTTTCAATCAACAAAAGTTCCTCTTGAGGACTTGGTTTTCAGTTTGAAGAATTGTCAACTTGGTCTTTCTCTAAAGTCATATTTTTTTTTGAAAAGTGCTCATATCTGTGCTTTTTTGAGTAGACCCTTTGATTCGCAGTTAAAAGCTCTAAAGTATACTGCTTTTGCCTCAAACTCTGTTTTTTTCTGCCCCTATGCCTCCAACTTGATTCTTAATCGAATAGAAATCGCCAAAAAGAGGAGCTGAAAAGCTTTTCGAAGAGATGAAAATAAATCTAGGGCCCGATAAATCTCATTCTGAAGGTATTAAAAAGTCAGATAGAAAATAAGAAGCATTATACGAATTTTCCACCACCCCGTGCTCTTCAATCATCGATCTGCTTCAGATATTACCGCTGCGAGAGTGCCAGAGTTAAGAAGTTGTGGCTGGATGAACTCGAACAGGCGAAAAGGGAGATTCTGCACGAAGGCAGTTTGGTTCGACAGGCTACGATTCGCGGCAAGCGACAGACTGTCAAGGTTTTTTTTCCACCCGCACTTTTCTGTCTCAAAAAGATAATCTTTCCATTATGTGGATACTTACTTTATAAGAAGAAAAAATAATTTTTTGATTTTCCTGAGGACGTAGGCAGAAAGTGCAAAAGCCCAAATGTGCTTCAAAGAATAAAAAAAACATTTTTTTATTGTTAGTCGTACTGAATATATTCATCATCGTATCTTTGTTTTACGTGTATTTGTTATTTTGCGCAAAATCACTGCTGCCTACAGCCTTTGTTATACCACGATCGGGAAAAAAGTTTGTTTAGGATCGAACGAAGAGTCTGCAAAACAGCGACGTGAAGACCACGGTATTGCACGAGATGGAAGAGACGGAGAATGAGCCAGAGAAAAGTTTGACGTCAAAAGTCCGAACGAATTTCGACGCGCAATTGCAGACGAACAGGACCTGCAATGGTTAGCGGAGCTGCCGGCGGAGCTGGACGACTGCATCGCGCATCGCGACCTCGAACAGGCAGTCGAGCTCATCCACGAGTGGCGTCTCTGCGTCACCAAAGACGCCGTTATAGACGCCCAGCTCCAGATGCGCGAGAACCAGGTTGTTGTTTTGTGGGAATACACAGTAAACTTTCGAATAAAAAGTCTTCAATGCTTTTGAAACAAAATATACATAAATTTTTTTCTTTATTTTTTTTTACTTTTTTGTGAACATTGCGCTTTCTTTTCAAGTCCTTTTTTTCAGATAGTTCAACTACTAAGCGAAGACGTCAGTCGACCTGGCGCCATCCACGGCGGTCCGCGAGCCATGAAGAAAGCACGGACTCTGTTGACGCAACTCGGACGAGGTGCGTCCCGAGGAACTTCTGAAACCCTAGCCGCAACCCGCAGGAACCTACGCGACCGACGTCTACCTGCGCAGAAGAAGCGCAATGCAACGCGCGGCTCTGCGTGACGTCACCGTCTCCGAAGAACCCATTTCCTACGTGCGGCAGCTCTGCGGCCTCTACTCCAACTCCGTCGCCGACATCGCCAACGAATATCGCTCGCAACCTCAGTACTACTGCCAGGTGCGTTATTTTTTAGTTTTCTGATGAAGGTCCTTTAAGGGACGTTGAGTCAAATTTTCGTCGATTTCATCAAAATTTCTGAAAGATGAATTGAAATGAAATATTTCGATGGCAATCTAACAAATAGTCGAGCTTGGGCTATCGATGGAACTACTATAGAAGATCTATTTTTCCTCCTGCAACCATAGAAAAATAATAATTTTTTATGAGAATTCGGTATTGCTAAGGAAATTTTCTCAATAAAAATTGAACTTTTTTAATTTTTTTTAACCTTCAAGAAGGTTTTGAGATCTGTTTTGCCACTATTCCCTTACTTCTCTCATTGTTTTCAGGTCCTCCAGTGGTGCTCTTATGAGTTAAGCACTCTACTGGCCCTGATAAAACGGCACGTGATAGGTGAGCTTAAAAATAGTAAGAAACGAACTACTTTTTGATGCAGAAGTGGCACCGACGATGGCGGTTCTGGCCTACACATGGAAGTATCTCATGCAAACGATGCACGAATTAACGACCATTGGTGTCCATTTGAGCTTCGAAGTGGACTTCAGCTTAGGTTGAAACGAGTAAATGGTCAAAGTTTAGGTTTATCGACTCCTCGGAAACTGTTTGCAGTTGGCGCTGAAGACGAACTTTGATAACATCATGCAGGGCATGCGAATGAGAATCGCGGTTTGCGAAACGCAGCGAAAGGAAAACTGAAGTATTTCAAGGAGGAGAGGTGGCGGCCCTACGTTTTGGACTCGGAGTCGGCTTTGACGCGACTTGTGGAGGAGTTGAGCGACGTCGAGATGAACGTCGAGTGGGCGATCACGGCCGGCGACGACGCCAAGACGTCCCTCAACGTCTCGCCTCACGTCGTCCATTTCGCTCGCGTCGCCCACACACTTGCACGCGACTTGGCCCCTCTTCGCATGTTAGTTCTTTCTCTCAACAACATAAAATGAAAATGTTATTGATATCATCGAAAAATGAACTAGAAATCGTATGTAATTTTGTGTTGGAAGTTTTACATGCACACAAAAAGAACTTCTGTTGAGTTGAAGGTCGCCGGTTCAAGTCGAGTGCGAAAACTACGCCGAGGAGCTCTGGAAGGAGTACCTGCAGCACTTGTCAGACAGCATGTGTGAGAGCACCATCTACGCCTATTCCACTACTTTCATTCTTACGCAGGCAAGTTTTATTTTCCCTCATAGTTCCAGAAAAGTTGAGCTTGTTTGCTCCATGTCAAAGGGTTACAATGTTTTCATTCGGCGAACTTTTATAAAACTTGGCGAGATAGGAGTCCGAGAATTAGTCGAGAATTTCTTTATTTTTCCTATCAAAGGTTAATTGATGTTTTTTTGTTGTTGAGTAGGATCCGTTGCAGGTTCTTCCGATGTGTGACCGAACGCTCTACGGCGAAGAGGGTGAACTGGCGCGACTCGTCGAACTTTTCCCCAAACTCATTCCGTACATCAACGAATCAGACGACGAAGGTGGCCTTCTCAAAGAAGATGAGGAAGTCGCTCACGTTTGATTTTTATCTACTAATTATTTATTCAAGAAATTCGTTTCTCTATTGATTAGCTTTTGATTCCAAAAGTTCATGGATTTTATCCCTTTTTTCACGCAGACTAACCTTCTTGTAGATTGCTGGTGAGAAACCCGAGTTGATATGTGATAATAAACCGACAAACCGTCGTTTTTTTTAACCTCTTTTCTTAATTCTTCATTTATTGCATTCTACACTTTTATACAGTACTTTTTTTGTTGGTGCTAAACTTTCTAATTTAATTTTTTTTATCAAGTTTGCAATACAAATTTTCATTTTAATAATTGAGATGTTAACAATAGCTTGATTTCTCATTCAGTTACTGGAACTGTCAATGTTGATTTCTGATCTTTCTCCCTTCGATCTGAAATCTATGAAGTTTTTTTTTTGCAATTTTAGTGTTCAGCTGTGACCTCGATGGCCGCCATGAAAGATTATCAAATCAAGCTCTTTAGATATTTAGATATAAATTTGTTTACCATACTGTCGGAAAATGCGAGAAACTCCGACGTCTCGGGGCCTTGGAAGATGGGCTTCTGATTCTTCTCTATCTTCGATGGCGACGACTATCGAGGGAATGATTGGGTCGACTTCGGCGCTTTTTGAGGTTCCTTCTAGTGTGGAGAGAAACCGACTGGCCACCTCCTAAATCAATATTAGTTCATTCAGACTTACTCAAGCAGAGCTACCTTCTGTTTTGCATTAAAATTATTCTAAGTTTCTGTTTTTCGCTGCTCACCTGGGATTGAGGTCCACAGACGAAGTGACCGTCCAGAATGACGAGGCGGTACGGCGGACAGCACGCGGCTTTAGGATAACTGCACACTTTTATACTGCAAACTTCTTCGCGTCGAGCCTCTCCACTAAAAAATTTTTCGAACTTTTCGAAAGTCATTGAAGCCACAAAGATTAAAAGAAAAGAAGAACTTACAGACATTGGCAGTTTTGAGTAAGACAGTTTCGTCGAAGAATTCTAGTTCCACAAGCGCCACAGTCAGCGTTACACGATAAATCCTAGACAAAACAACGAAGAGATTTCACGAGAGCTCATTCAATTGAGTAACCTCGAACCAATCAGACCATAACGGTTCCGTGCAATTTTCCGATGTTAAGTTTGTTGTTTTGACTCCGTGACGCTTCTTTTCCACCTGGTATTGGCGGGTTGTGAATCGCAGGTAGCGTAAATCTTGTGAGAAGACACCTAGAAGTTTTTAGAGATGGAAAGCTATATCAGAAGTTGAGAATCAAGAAAAGCTCTCAAACTTGAAACTTTTTCTAAAGTAAGGGCTCGTTGAGCCGCGTTAAAACTTACCGAACAGAAGCGCAGCGATTGCAACAGGAGCTGCAATGTAGGATTTCATAGGAATCTTCTGAGTAAGTGGCGCAGTCGATGAATGAGGCTGCAACCTCGCAATCCATACAGGCTCGCCTGTGCAAATAACTTGGATAAAAACATTTTTGGAAATTCGTGTTCCCCCTCCAGAATGCGGATGTCCAAGGGCAGGAAACGGTCAATTGGTTTCTTTTTGTAATTATCTCAGCAGATATGAAATTAATTCCAAGTTTCATATTGGAAAAGATTATCTGTTGTGTTCATAATAAGCGAGAAATGCCTTGCACATAGTTAAATTTTTCTATTTTCATTTCCGCTTTACGTGGCGAGAAAATCTTCCTTGAAAGTTACTGATCCTCCAAAAACTGGCTTGAGAAGCTTTTGGGCCATCTCTATGAAATGTTCGTGTTTCGAAACATATATTTCAGAAAAAAAAATTCAGGTTGTAATCCATGTTAAATGCTAAAGGTTAATCGTTAGTTACTCTGAATTCCGTGTTTTCCCTCAGAAAAATTCTTGTTAGCGTTGGAACTTTGACAAGGCGTTTCGCAACAAGTATTTTGACAGTCGACTGTCAACCACTTTTTTGAGTTCCCTCCTTTCTCAGTGGCGCGTACATGGCCTTGAACAGAATTTTTATGCCGAGCCGTGTTCAAAGTAATTTCGGTTTTTAAAATATTAATAGCCGCGTTATTCGTTTAATTAATTTTGCAAAACTGGAATTTTGTAAGCCGCGACGCGCCAGCTTCGCTTTGCCGCACAAAAGAGTCGATTTGAACAAATTAAGCTTAATTAAGCGTTTGTTTTGAAATCGTCGAAATTAATTTGAACACGGCATGACAGCGTCTGCTCCAGCAGCTGAAGGGTGAGTTTCAGAAAGTTATGATAACTTAATTTCTTCGCAGAATAACAATCGCACCAACGGCAATTGTTTGTCGAGATGCAATCCTCGAAGGAAATGTGACGATTGGAGACAATTGTATTATTCACCCTCTGGCGATAATCAGAGCGAAAAGTGGTCCGATCTTGATAGGTGCAAATAACATTGTAGAAGAGCGGGCGATAATCGAAAATAGGTTTTTCCTTATTCTTACGTTTTTTTTATATATGATGTTTCAGAAATACTGATGGAAAACCGATGGTTATTGGCGATGGAAACACTTTTGAAGTTCAGTCACGTAAGTTAATTCGTTTATAGTTGTTGGAAACTTTTTATGGCTAATAAAACGGGTGAGCATTTGGAAAAAAAATCCTAGGTCACTTGATAATTCCTTTTCTCAGGCTCTTGCAATTGGTAAAAAAAAACCCTTTATTACAATGAAATCGGAAAGAAGTTGCAGAGTGCCGCGCCCTGTGCATCGGCAGGAACAACGTGATGGGCGTGCGGAGCGAGTTGGAGGACGGTTGCGTGGTCCTCGACGACTGCACTTTGGGCGTCGGATGTCGCGTCGTCGCCGGCCAGACTCTCGACGTCCGCAGCGTCGTCTTCGGTAGTGATTCTGTCCATCGAATCGCTGCCGACGGCGTTCTGGTTGGTTCAGATGAAAATTCAGATTTAGGAATGCCTTGATGAGATTACTCGTAAATACACTGGCTCCCATTTTTCATTGAACAGAAAAAAACCATCAGTATTTTTTTGTCAATCCTCTGGATTTTTTTCAATATTTTTTTGTAGAAGTCGTTATGAACTCGAGTCCCTTATCCAAATTCAAACATTGAATATTTTTCTAAACAGAAAAGTTGTAAAAGCGTTCATAGTGATTTGCTAGTTTGCTCAAACTTTCCTTTAGAAGAAAAAAATAAGTTAAATTAATAATTCCGCTAGATTACACTGCATTGTTAACTCATTTTTTTAGGCGAACACGACACAGTTGGAACTGTTACGAGTACTTCTTCCGTCATATCATTACCTCCAAAAGTCATCTACAGGCGCTAAATAGCAATTTGTATACAGGAAAACAATAAAATGTATTCAACTTATCATCGAGGAAAATGATGTAAACAACAAAAAGATGATCAACAACATTCGTCAACAAATAACAATATATTTTTTTATATGAAACGTGTTCAATCGGACTCCATCGGTTCGTCGTCACTGCCGTGATCTTCTTCGGCCTCGTTGTCGTCCACAAGTGGCGTGTCTCGTAACGCTTTGACTTTTCTGAAAAAAAAATTCAGAAAAGAAGTGTGGTAAGTTCAAATCCTTATTAGTTTTCATTCCAACATCCTCGAAAATTTTTGCTTTTAATTAATATTTGGTTTCTTATTTATTATTTTTCTTTTGAGAAAATTATGCCCACCTGGTTTGTATGGCATCAGTATTTTGTTTTCCGAGATGAACGCGAGCCAATTGGTTACCAAACACATCTTCGGACAAGTTCTTGCGTCGTTTCGCCTGCAAACTAACTTTGAACCGGGAAAGACCCAAAATTACGGACAATGAGAGCCGCGGGCTTCTTGCAGGCCTCTTTGAATAGCGAGGTATCGGCTAATTTGCGTCGCATCAAGGCGAAGTTCAGTGATGGGCCCATCTCGAGCAGTTCAACTCGAGGGGTAGCCGTAGACGACTTTTTCAGCTGAGTTCTAAGAATGAAACATAAAGGAGAGCCGAGAAACTGGAGCCAACCTATATACTCGCATGAGGACCTCATCCTTGCCAGCTGTGAACACGATAACAGTTTCAAGACCTTCCAGCCGGACCTAAATAATTTATATACATCTAGGAATTCTTTCAGGATGCGCCTGTGAAATTACGTTGATTAAAATTAAGATTTTTGATTTGAATGAGTTCTGATTCTGTTCAATGTGAAATGGATCTCAAAAGAATGTAACTGCCGCTAACCTTGCTGACGGTAGGGCCGCGGAACCAATCGACGAAAAGGTTACCGATTCGTTTCATGTCTGGGTCAGACTCGAATTCGGAGCCTTCGAGCACGACGCAAGGCTTCGAGCCTAACGTCATCTTTGAAACCTTGAGCAAAACGACGTTGCCCGCGAAGTTTGACAGCTAGCCTCACCTCAAAGTTGGAGGCCGACTGGTAGGCTGTGATCCGCAGCTCGGCCATGTCGAGAAGCTGCCCATCGTGAAGCCGTCCGAACGTCAGGAGGTTCGGCCGCTTCTTCGAGTTGGAGCCCATCACAAACAGCGACGCGTCGAATTTGGATCCCCACCTTTCTATGACGGTTTCGTCTTCGAACAGGTGGAACGGGTTGTGCCTTCAAGTTCATTATGAGAGCATGTGATTGAAGCAAACAATCAAGATAAATAAGATTAGAATACCTGTCCATTTTCGCAGCAAGAGGCTTTTTCAAGTCGTAAAGGTCCATCATAGCATGGTTTATGATTTCATTTGTTTTGTTTCCTTTCAAAAAAAGAGCCTTTTTGTCGTTTTCGATCTGAAAGAAGTTTCTGTTGTTTTTCCGGCAAGTTTTCTGACCGTCTTTGGAGCACGATCGTCCAGTACTCGCTTTCCTTTGCGTGTTTTCGTTTTCTCTACGCGTACCATCGCTAAAAAAAATGAGTTTTGACGGGTTAATTGGAAAAGAAAGGACGTAAATATAAAACCAGCAAAAAACTGTTAAAAAGTAGAAAACGAAAAACGGATAGAAATTTTTATTAGTGGGAACAATATTAACAAGAACAAAAACTCTAAAAACACCGATAGTTCTGAAATCCGTATAATCGAAGAGATTTAACAACAAGTGAACCTTTCCGAGAAAATCACTTTGAAAAATTGAATAAAGAACTGAGGCCTAATGTCCAGTGAAGTTGGCGCGACACAATGGACAACTGGATTGATTGCTCGACTCGAACCATTTGTACTGAAATATCAGAACTCGTCGAAATTTCAAGTGAGGAAAAACTGACCAGGCAGTTCGAGTGGAACTTGTTCTTACACTGGCGACATTTCACCTGAAACAGAAGCAAATTTCATTTAAAAATTCAATTTGGTAATATTCAGGACTACTTAGAAGCTCTTTTTCAAGTTAGTATGAAAAACGAAAAGATCAAATGAAGGAAGAAGAAATGGCAAGCCTTGGGCATCTGATGAGTCGTCGAATGGACGATCATCATGCAGATGGTGCACGTCTCCGCGCCTTCCACGTCGCGGTCTACGTTCCGACGCCACATCAGGACGCCGTCAACGATCGACCCGTTCTACAAGATCCGGTGGTACAAAAAAGTTCATCACGCATTTCAAAAAAAAAAAAACCTGGTGTACTAAATATACGGTGAGCTGGAGGAGCCATCTTTTGGCTCGATCCGACCGCACAATGGCGTTGTCGAGTTCGACGGTCGGCACGGCGAGCGGATAATCGGCCGGCATCCGGATGCTCAGCTTCATCGTCGTCTCCTCGACAGTGTATTCCGCAAACACTTCACCCGAAACCGGCACCACGCGAATCTAAAAATTGACTTGGATGCTAATCAGTGCCAAAGTGAACGACAGAAGGATAGAAACTTCAGAAAATCTTCTTTTCTAACTGCATTATTTTGTTGGGCAGCACTTTCTATACTCAAGTGGGTTATTTGATAGTTGTGCCTTTAATATCTCGAAATAACTCCCGAATTGAAAGATTTCAATTTCTTAACTGCCTTTGAAATTCTAGCTCGATATGATTTTCGAGACTCTCCTGGTGATTTTGCTGAAGCCTACTTTCAAATCGGCAGAATCTTTCTTCAAATCTCGATTCGCGGCCTTCACTTTTTGCAGCTCGTTGTCGATCAAACTCTTACACATTTCCGGCTTTACGCGTCTTAAAAAATTTGTTTTTTTGGACAAATTTGATGAAAAGTATTTACTTTCGCACGATCGTCGCAGCGTTGGTGGGGAGACTCTTGTACCAGATCCGGAAAGCGGCTGGAACGATACTCAGAACCCTTCCAAAGTCAAGATAGGATGAAAAAAAAAAACAAAAAGTTACCTATACAGGACTTGACTGGCGTATGGTCCGTAAAAATCAGTTGATGTCTGGTTTTTCTCGATTCCGGCAAAATCTCGCACAGTGGGACCTAAAAAGCCAGTGAAAGGAAAATTGTTTTTTGATGCTCAAACTGCAAGTTTGTAGCTTGGTGAAAAGAGTGGGCAAGCAGCAGTTGAGAACAGGAGTGAGGGCGTCAGAATAGCCCATCCTGACCTCATCGGACAAACCCGACTAAACACAAATATGCTCCATGGAACTCAAGTTTATTCACTCACCGTGAGAGGTGTCAGAGCCACGTCGAGGAGCATTACCAGAGTCCATTTTGAGCTGCCAGCCAGCTCATCGATCGCCTTTGAAAGCATTATCGGAACTCGCAGAGAATCCTTCTTCGGCAACACCTTCAAATATAGTCAAATGACCCTTTTATAACTTCTATTACTACCGTGTCCTCGCCTGCCTCTTCCGTTATATTCTCTTTATTCTCTTTTGTGAACATGTCTGGCATGAGCCTGAAAGTCTAAATGAATCAACAAAAACACAGTATTCAAAAAGAGATCGCCCAGAAAAATTCTAAGACTGTGAAGAACTATGAAAGCACTCAAAAAATATTTGCGCAAACCGTAATTAAAAACCCGAAAAAATTCAAAAAGTTAAAAATGATTGAATTGAAAAAATTTTAATAAATTAATGAGAAAAATGAATCAAACTCACATTTTAGCCAAATGAACTCCAATCATCTGAACTTCCACGACGCCATCCCGAAGAAGCTGAAAGGCGGCCGATATCAGGCTGTGATCTCCGTCCGAGTAGCTGAAAGACGAGAAAAGAGTTGACTAAACTACATACGTGTGCTAGGGGAGCACATTCATCACTTTCCGATTTTCACCAGATATTCAGATGGTTTTGAAGATAATTTCCGACGGAGAGGAGCAAATCAGCTTCAAATCCTACATCATCTATACAGACAATCGTTTGCTCCAGCCGTTTCCACAGATCAGCTGTTAGATTTATTTGATTGTTTTGATGTTTTATTTTTTTTTTATTTGTCGTGCAGATTGCGGAATGGCGAATAAACATATGAAATGAAATGAATCTCACCAAGTTTCAAGCCATATCGATCAGTTTTAAGAGAGAGTATGCGACTAGTGACTCATTTTAAAAGTGGCCTGGCACAAGTATGCAAAACTATGAAGCTTACTTGAAAGATTCCAGTTCAGGAATGTATTTCATGGGAACTTCCACACTTTCAGGCAGAAACTCGGATACGCGGATCAGTTCTATCGCCGACATCAAAGAAAAAACGAAAGGCGAGGGAGTTAGTCGCTTCTTGGCAAAAGGACCTTTAAATGCGAGAGAATGAGCTGTGGGCAAAAAAAAAAGGCAAACTACCATGAAGAAGCAAAGAACACCACGGCAATATTGTCCTCATGATCGCTTCCGCGTAGAATTCTTTCCATTCCTAGCAAGAAATTGGGCCTCACGTTTTTAGCAAAACAGAAATACCGTGACTTTAACGTTTTCCACTTTGTAAGCGTCTGCAACACGGGAAATACGTACGAAAATCCGGAGAGCCAGGGAAGCCAAGGCTTCTATGCGCATGTCATACGACGCTCCAGATTGAAACAGGTCGTTCAAGCTCTTCAAATAGAATTGTAACAAGAAAGAAAAAACCAAACAACATACATCGATCATCGTTACCAGACCGCAAAGCATGAAGTCGATGAAAATTTCGTCCTCGACTTCGAAAATTGTCAAAGAAGAATTGAGATTTTCCCATGCGCGAAGCCAAAGAATATTCTTCATCCATAAGAAATGATCGTCATCTCTGGATTTAAATAGTGTACATGAAAGATCAAAGATTCCTCCTACTTGGCACAAAAAAGTTCAGGCTCCGATCCATCTTGGAATAAAGCTTGGAGGTGTTCCAAAAACAACAGCGATGAATCATTTTTGAATCTTAAAAGAAAATTAATATATTCAGAGAATGCTGGTAGAAGATAACCGAAGAAGAAGATCTGCAGCGTCAGAAAGCTCACTTATCCGGTCGTTCATCCCCAAATAAGTGCGTGCGACTGTAGAGCACTGAGAAAGTTCGTCATCATGCAGCAGTTCGGAGTTAGACAAGCAAATCAACGAAGATAGGGTTTTGAGAAGAAGAAAAGACGTGTTGTCGTGGCGACGGGCAAAAAAACCAACCAAAGACCTCAGAGCGAGATCAAGATTCTGGAACAGAGATGGTTGTCTTTTTGTGTTCAGCTTCTCCAAAAGAAAGTTCTTTTCTCACTTGTTTCTCATAAGGAGCAAATCACCCTAACACCGAAACGGATTGAAAAAATTTTTGAGAGCATAAATGGGCAATTGCAAAACACCACTTTTCAGAAGATAGGACCTTATGAAACTAACTTTAAAAAAATGAATAAAAAAATGATTTTTTTAAGTCCAGGGAGGTTGGTAAAACTAAAAACAACTTGAACCTCAGGGAGGTAGTCACGGCTTTAGTTTAAAAATAATTAGTAGGAACGGTTGGCGGCGTCCAAAAAGAGTCTGCTCATGTATGGCTAAGGGATCGCTTACAATCTTCTCCTTGAGCAAGAGAGTGCGATCTCGGAGCTCTTCTTCGATGAGCGTCGAAGGCCTGCGAAGGACGACAAACTCGACAACAGTGAGAAGGAGAGCGGCCATTCCATGAGCGTTATCCTCCACGTGATCATCTACAAACTGGATGACTTCCACCAATTGGGAAAATAGCGAATACTTGAGATCGAAAGGTTGACAACTGAGACGCGTAAACATGAAGACAGGTAGAGCATGAGTTCCTCTGTCAGGTCTAAGGAACAGCTTGCAATCGCCGAGAACTCTTCTTCTCCAGCTATCAGCGATGAATGAGATAAAACGTCAACGTTCAACTGGAATCGGAAATCATTAATTTTAATAATTCTATTTAGTATCGAAAAAACAATCAAAAACTCACAAAATCGAAGCTTTTCAGTAGCTTTTCCATCTTTGAAGGGTTCGATAGCATCCTTGACACCACGTCTTTCTTTGAGAATTCATCGGCAGCCGCCAACTCGTCGAATAAAAGATCGCAAACTTCAGAAACTTCTATGTCCGTATGGCTGAAGAGGTCCATTGGAACAGATTCAGAAAACTCTCCTACTCCGAGGAAATAGCCTCATTCAGGAACTGAGGAAATTCCTCCAACACATTTCCCGATGGCGGAAATTTTGCTAACACTTTTGCAGCTTCGCCAATCTCTACAACAAATCGATTAATTTTAAATTTCTTTTTGCAAAAAACCATTTGATCTCGGATCTGTGATAATCGCTCTGAACAGAATGTTCGAAAGATTGGAGCGCGTAGAATCGTCAAGCTTTAAAATGGAAAATTTACTGTTGCTAATTAGTTTTATCGTTGATTCGGAGGAAATATTGAAAAGATACATACATGAACAGAATTCTGCAGAAACTCGCCAATAAATCGTCCATCGTGGCTGGAAACTTTATTCATAAGATTTCCACTGAAATTCGCCCGATCATCTCTCTTAAATAAATTTGAATGATAATACAAAACAAAAAAAACTACGGAAATAGCGTCAAGGAGGAGAGCTGCGTCCGTGCCGTTTCTCTCACTTTTCCAAGAATCGAGCATTTTCTCCAGAACAGCCAAGCTAACATTCTTTCCGAAAGAATCCCACATTTGGGGATTTCCTTTGGTTTTCGCCACAGCAGCAACGCTGATAAGTTCGCGACAAAACGCATCATTCCCAAGCTGAAATATATTATAATATTACATAATATTACGCACGATGCTTGCCTCAAATTTTGGGGTCTCTGGCGATTTTAAGCCTATTATGCGCTCGATCAACTTGACGATCACTTTCGCTTGTTCTTTGCTCCACTGTGACGTAGGAAGAGTTGAGCGGAAAAAGTCTGTTTGCTGGAAAAAGACATTTAAAAAGAAAACAGAACCAATTGGAGAACCGTCAGGACTTTAGAAAGATACTTGTCCTCAGAGTTTAACAGAGTTTGGAAGGCGAAAAAGGGTGGCGGCAGAGGGTGACGCAGGACGGAAGAGTGCAAATCGCACAAGGCCAGGCATTTTCCGTTCATCAAGAGTTCTCTACACAAATTTTCGTTCAATTCACGCTGAAATTATTTCAATGAATTTTGGTTTGTCACAAAAACTAACATTGCAATTAATGTTGAACTCTAAAATCTGACATAATTCCTGTGTCTCGCCCATGTCGAGGAAACTTTTTCCAAGGACCCGGCATATGAGAGAAGCCAATTTTTGAGCAACCTCGCCGTTCGCCCACCGCGATGTCGCCTCGCAAGCTTTCACCATCTGAAACTTGTCTTGTACTGGCGAACACGGTTATTAGAAGCTTCTTATGAGGTTTTCGTGGATCTCTAAAATACTAACGAGTAAAAAGGAGAGATAATTGTGAGAGATAAACCTTCAATAATCGAAAAAAAAAAGTTTCGAAAAAGCTACGAAAAACAATTGTATAGAGATGGGAAAAAAGATAATGTTTTTTTGAACTTCCTCATAAATTTTGTACTTTTGCTATTTTGCAAACTTCTTTGGAGTTCTTCTATACCATTTTCTCCATAACTCGTAAAGGAGAAAGAATTTCAAAAAAAAAAACTCACGAGCGTAACGCAGAGCTTGGAGATGAGCCTCGACGATTGAGGGACCTGGCCGAGCGACCATTGGATGAGCTCTCCGAAGGAATTGGCCCATTCGCAAGCCGTCAAGGGTGGCGCAGAAGCGGGAAAAGGCAATCTGTCGAGGAAAGACTCGAGCAAAGATGCGAGGAAATGTGAAGCGGCCTCCTCGCCGCCATCTTCTCTCACAACGTTGTACAGTAACGAAGTGGCTGGCAGAAGATAGTGCGCCATTCGCTTCCAATGACTTAATTTCCGGATATTACCGTACAGAACTTGTTTTAAACCTTTCTTTTTTCCTGACGACATTCAAAATTCGAGGAATCGTGCTTTTTTTCAAGGAATTCTTCTCGTAAAACCTAGAGAAATCGATAAATTTGCATGCGGAGACTCTCACGATTTCTCGGCAACGATATTGACGAACGCTTCCCATGCAACGGAGCAGACGGCCTCATCAGAAGAGTCCAGAGAAGCCATCACCCAGGCGCAAAGCGGAGAATTGGTGATGAGGTGCACTTTCTCCGGAAGATACAGACAAATGGACAGGAGTCCAATCTTGATCTGCAACAGGACTGTTCGTCGAGTCTTTCGAGAGGCTTACGTTTGTCTGCTGACCTGCCAGTAGCTTCTGCAGTTTTGCGCCCTCCGAAAATAGTTTCGCAGCGCTTTTCTCCCACAGTTCTGGTTGTTCTTTCAATTTGTTCGCGAGTTTCTGTATGGTGCCCAGGGCTTGAGAGGTCAGACGATGCAAGCGTTGTTCTGGAGACTCTTCATCGTCGTACTTCGTAGGAAGGGTGATGTCGTTAACACCAAAAACTATCTACAATGAAAACTTATTCGGAAATCTGGAATCAGCACCTCGACAGCCATATCAATCGTATTTGCAGCAAAAACTTTGAAAGCTTGAATTCTCTTTTCGCCATCGAAATTATCTTTAAACACAGCATCCGCTTGGGAACAAACACTGTTGCTCATATCACTGAGAGCGAACATTAAGAACGGCATCGACTGGAAAGAACAAGTAGGAAAAATCGAAAGAAAGAATTTTTTTTAGCTCACCCTTTTCAGTCCTTTTGATGCCGCTTTTTGAAGTTTCGTTATGAAAAGCCCTAAAGTGCGGATGGTCAAAAGTCGAACAGTTGGACTTCCATCCTAAAAATCTCAAAAGTTTAACTAGCAGAGTTCGATATACCGTGGCTAGGCGATCGAAGGCGCTCGTAAAATGTTCATAAATTATTTCCATTGAAGATTGGTCTGACCCTTGCAATAACTCCAAAAGTTCTCTCAAACCCTGAAAATTCTTTGGAGAATGAGATGGGTGAAATGCCAACTTTTTCTCTTGTATGGGCGTCTTTTTTCGACAACTTCCGCAATACGATCTTAACTTCGGCGTCAATTTCGTTTTGTGGCTCAATACTTGGATCAACAACATCGAAAATGTTCATCTCCGGGGTCATATTCATTTTCGATGCCCCATCGCCAAGATAGCTAGCAGCAGCCGAGCTACTAGCAGTCTTAAAAAGGAGGATAACAATTTAAGAAAAAAATGAAGTTATGTTAAACTATGAACCTTGGCGTTTCCTTTTCTTCTGTTCGCTTTACTCATTGTTGATTTGATAAAACCATGAAATCTGAAAAAAGAAAAAAATATTCAAATCGGAAAAAAAGACGAAGAAGGTTCGAAAAACGTTAATTTTGCAGTTCATAATGAAAAAAATTCCCTGTTCTCCAAGAGGATCAAAGCATGAGAAATGCATATTTAAAAAAAGTAAAATATAAAAATTTGAGAGCAGAAAAAAATTATTTTTTTAGAGTTTTTCCACTATAATTTTTCTGGTGTTGAAACAAAAAAATATTGCAGCGCTTCACATCAGAAGACCTCGAAATTTAAAACTTTTGCTTGGAAACATGAAGAAAATGACGATCAATTATTACAACATAACATAGTTATCCTTTAATATATATATCTAATATTAGAGACTATTTCGTAAATTTGCATGAAATGATGGATTGTCGAAAATATTCGTCTCTTAAGCAGTCTCTCAAATATGCTGTGGAGCGTAACTGACGTCGACAAATGAAAAAAAATTTTTCGGACTCTTCACATTTTTTTCTTCAAAGAATTCTTTTTTTTTTAAATAAAACATTGCAGTACTAGTTTTTACCTTATGTTTCGTTCGAAGTGATTCCGCGGGATCCCAAATAAACCTCAGAAAAAGAAAAATATGACTAAATTTCGAAGAGTCAGAGATCATTTTGCATTTCACGGAAATTACTCAGAAAACGGCATTAAAGGCGCCTTTATAGTCTTGGATTGATTTGATTTCCTTTCAGAAAAGCTGTATGCGCTGGTGAAGGCTTGTAGAAATTTTTGCATAATTCTTTAACAAAACCGGAACTATACTACTCATTTGAAGTGTTTCAGGAGCATCACTGTTTTTATGTTGGCTTCGAATCTTTGCATATGCTTACGTAGTCGATGTATGTCCACTATCGGAGAAGTATACTCGAAAAGAGTTTCGGATGGCGCTTTGAAAGAAGATATACACCAGGTTTGGATCAATTCCATCGACTTGGCCGTTATTTCCAGGTTGCTTACAGAGAAAAGCAATAGTTGAGTTTGAGCGGCTTCGGAAAGATCTTTTGAGTTATGACCCACCTACAATAAGCAGCAATGTACCTTCTTCGAACTTCCTCCGCCTTTTCCGAGATCCTCCACCAAAAGTAAGGATTGAATAATTGTTCTTTTTTTAAGATAGCTTTTTAGAAAATAGTTTCTCCAAAAGGGATTTATCTTTGGGGGACCGTTGGTTGTGGGAAAACTATGCTGATGGACCTTTTCTACGACTGTTGTCCTTTTGAGAAAAAGAGACGAGTTCACTTCAACGCATTTATGCAGGATGTGCACAAAGGCATATGAATTTGCATATATCCTCTAAAAAAACTGTTTTAGAAATGCATAGGCTAAAAATGAAAAGTTCGGAAGAGCGAGGAAAGTTTGATCCAGTTCCTCTGCTGGTAGACGATATAATGGATAACACGAAGTTATTGTGTTTTGACGAATTTCAGGTGAATCCTAAGCGGGGGTTTCATTGTTTTCGTTGTTTAAGGTGACAGATATAGCAGACGCGATGATTTTGAAGCGGTTTTTCTCCCTGCTTTTCGACAGAGGCCTTGTCGTCGTGGCCACTTCGAACCGAGCTCCAAAAGAGCTGTACAAAAACGGGCTGCAGCGGCACCAGTTTGTGCCGTTCATCGACGTCCTCGAGGTGCGACGAGTCGTTCTGAAGCGACGAAAAGGAAGTGCAGGAGAAGTGTCACACGATGTCGCTCGACTCCGGCAAGGACTACCGTCGCTCCTCCTCCGGCGACGGCTGCGACGTCTTCTTCGTAGACGACGCCGAAGCGCAATGCGACCGCGTTTTCAAGCAGCTCGTGGCTAATGAAACCGACAGTTTGTTTCTTTCTTCTACTTTTCACTTTTAACGCCTTGGCATTTTATTTTTTCAACTGGGATGAAACCATTTTTGTAACTTTTGACCTCGCTGCGGTCCAACTTTTTCATTGAACTTTTTTTTTCAATAGTTTGCAATCAAAATTTAGGTAATCTATCATCTTATTTTTTTTGAACTATCGAAAGGGCTTGAATTTATGAAATTTTGAACGCATTAAAAAAAAATTTTTTTTTACTTTAAAAAAATAGCGATATGATTTCATTTTGTTAACAAGGTTCAAGCAGTAAGTCTTGTTGTCGTTCAAAAAGAAAAATAGGACGGCATTTCTCAAAAAGGGTTTTTTTTCTCGTTGTAAAAAGCGTGACGAACTTATTCGCCAGCTATCAAAAATTTTCAGCGATCCGGGCAAAAACTTTTGAAATTCTTGGTCGGAAAGTTGTGGTGGAGAAGTGTTGCGGCGGTGTTGCAGACGTTGATTTCAAAGAGGTTTCTTATAATTTTTTTCTCAATTATTTCTGGCCTTTTTAACATCGAAGGTTTTTTGAGGGTTAGAATGGAGTTTGAAATTACATCTGTTTTTTGTTCACAATCACTTATAAAAAAACATAGAAATTCGGATATTTCTAAATGAGGCTCACTCTTTTTAGCTGACCATTTATTCTTGAACTTTTTTGACTGCAGGTCTGTATGACTGCAAAAGGCGCCGGTGACTATCTTGTCCTGGCTCGAGTTTTTCACACAATCGTCGTTAGGAACGTTCCTGTGATGAACATGGACAAATGGAACGAAATGCGCCGTTTCATAACAATGATCGACACGTTTTACGACCAAAAAGTGAACTCCGAGTTTCCGACGAAAATAAAAAAACGTTGAGGTGAGGGTGGTGATTGGAGCAGCGGCCCCTCTGGACGATCTTTTTCGATTTACTGGCCAGAACACCGAAATGGACGATTCTCAGCGAAAGCTTATGGATGATTTGGGTGTCAAACACGACACGGTTCGTCTTTTCTCTTATTTTCGGGCTATCCAGCTTTTTTTGTCGTCTGATCTTGGAAAAATGGGTGCTACATTTCACGTGGTCTATCTCCGTTTTTTTTTTCCCATTTTTATTTTGAAATCATTCTTATTGTTTGTTCTATGATGAGTCAGAATGAAAAGTTGATCTAATTGAACTGTTTCCTAACTCTGCAACTAATCCATTTCCATAAATAAGAACAAAAATGGACAAACGCGGAGATGGGCCACGCGCAATGTGCAAACACGCACATTGCACGCCCCAAATGCGAACTTCCACATACAGTACACTTAGCAAAAGAAAAACTCGTCTTTTTCATAGAACCAAAAAATGAGTTTTACTTCATCCTACAGCAACTTGAATGTGCAAAATGATTCAATTGCAGGAGGACTCGAAAGCGAACGTCTTCAGCGGCGACGAAGAAGCTTTCGCCTTTTCGAGAACTATCTCTCGGCTCTACGAAATGCGTAGCGACGCCTACAGGAAGCGTCGGCGGCCTTCCGAATCCCACTCCATCTGAAGCTGATTTGTACGTGACTTTTCAAAATGACGAAGATTTTAGACTTCATGGAAAAGAGAAAAGATTCTTGTACTCCTTATAGAATTTTGCAGTTCAGACAACTTCATACTAGACAAAATTGTTAAGAAAACTACCCAATTTTTTGACATTCCTAGATTTTTTTATTTTCCGTGCGCCAAATCTGAAGTAACCTAGAAGCAGTAGCTAGATAACGCTTTTTTCATATATCGAGTAGGAGGAAATAGGTTGAAAAAAGAACGAGGCGAAGTATTGTAAAGATGAAACGGAAGAGTCTTTGAAACCCTACTAGAAATAAAAGGCGTGAAACTTTGGAAAGCATCTTATTAAAAAAATTTTTGATGATTTTCCTTTTCAAAGTTTCAAAAAGAGTTTTCGAACCTTGTTTATTCTCTCGGATTTTTTTTGCTCTCCAGCTTTCAAACAATTGTTCTTTCATAGATTTCGCGCATTGATTGTGGTGAGCCGCGCTAGATAGACTCTTTTATAGCCTTTATCCGCTTGTTGTTATGTTAATCTCTCGTTTCGATTCGTTTTCCCCCACGGATAATCCTCGGTGCATTCTACACTCCAACACTTGCGAGTCAGGTGCATAGAGAGAACCTTTTTTTCTCGTTTCCGGTGTTTTCAACACATAGTCATTAGTAATTAGTGGATTTGATTAGATGTCCATAATTCATATCAATTTTTCTCGCTCAGTGTGCCTTTTTTTCTCTTCAATAAATGTTTTCCATTTTTTCATACTGCTACCGAAATTTAAGAGAGTTTGATTTTTTCTACAAAGGCGCTTGAAAAGGAGTTTTTTCAACTTGACAATCCTTTTTTTGAACAGAAAATGAATTTTTTAAAAACAGAAGAATAAAAGAACATTGAAAGAGTGAAATTTCAGTTATTATTCTCATTCACCTTGATCATTTTGCGAGCCGGGTGCATGGAGTGAACGTTTTGAAGGAATTTTTAGCATTTTTTCACTGGTTTTTCTTGGCCTGAACCCAAATTTTTTTTTACTCAAACTTATACTTGAATATTTGAATATTTATTTCACTCCAATACATAAAAATAACATGAGCTATAAAGAAAGAGGCAAAAGTTGGGCAAGAATTGTATGGGAGTGAAATGAGCACCGGTTTTTAATACGCCCTCACGAGCGAATTTACCGGTATAGGGAATAGAACACGTAGAAGGATTTTTTTGATCACAGTAGACGTAAGGGAATGTTGGAAAAAGAGTTCTTCGTTGCTTAGCGAGTCGAGAAACTTTCTGAAACGGGTGGTAGACGTGTTAGGGTTGAATCTTGAGCAGAGTCTATTCCAAAGAGGAATGACAGTGCTAAAAAAACTATTAAATCGGGAACCAGTCTGAATCAAACGAAAAGGATACCGAGGTGAACGACTTCTACTGAAAAACTTTTCTGCGCTAGGAAAGTGGTAAATGCCCAGGACGATTTTTTGAAGCGTTACTTTTGATTTCTGAACTCACTGGCTTCTTGTTTCAAAACCTTTCTTGTGTTTGAGTTTTGTTTTCTGATCATCAAGGTAATGGGTATGTAGTAGTTAGCCGGAAAAAAAGAGAAATTAGGGCTTTGAAATTTAATCTCAAGCTCGAAATTATCTTGATTGGAGGCTTGAAATACTTCCGTAAAATCAGAAAATTTTTTTCTTACGGAGCCAGTTTTGCATCCGTCCTAATTCCAAGCGTTATCAATGTAGGTTCTTAGCGGGGCAAAGTCCTCACAGCCGGAAATTCATGAAATTATCTATTGAGGTAGGTTTTATTAAAATAAATATTATACTTTATTAATAATTTTTATTATTATTAATTGTATGCTGGATGTATTGAAAGTGATTGAAACGGAAGTTTTATTACGCTGTTGATGCAGGCGTTTGATATTCAATTATGAACAGATGGTGGGACAAATATTGCATCGATCTGCCAAAAAGAATATCAGTACGTGTATGATTGCTAAAATTGGTCATAGGAAGCTGCACTCAACAAAAAAAAACCCATTCGTTTTTCAGCTCTATTGGTCGGATTTCAGGTCGAGCCATTTGAAGCTGAGCCTAAAGAGGGAAATTGAGGAGAGGGAAGGAGAGAGAGAATATACAAGGCTATCCGGGTGGGGGAAAAGGCGTAGCGCCGCTTCAGTACGTTTGGCAATTTCTCTCGCGTTTTCTCTCGTTATTTTGTCACCTTTGGGCTCTTGGGAGCTTTGAGCAAGTTGCTCGGCGAGCCGCGTCTTTCCTTTTTTGGGTGGCTATTCATAATCGAGTCGACGGCACGCTTTTCGTCTCGCTGCTTTTGCTCTTTCTCCTGCTTCCCCATCTTTTTGCAGCGACAATCATATGCCTTTCAATTTTTTTTCTAGTGTTGTGTTCTATAAGTATCCCTCCTAACCTATAGAATAAAAGTTCGGAAATCATCATGAATGTCCTGTTTCAATATGTACGATATGTGCAATCGGGCTTCTTCTTTGATAATCTACCAATAACTATGTATTGCCGGTTCTGAACCTCCGCCATTTCCAAAGTTATTCACTCTTTTTTTGATCCTTGAAATAACGGCTCAAACCTTCTGTGGATTTTACACGTTACTAGTGAAATAGCAAAAAAAGACTCGAGCGAGTATAACTTTAATTTTATCTGTTTATTATCTGCTGAATACTTCATATTTCTCATCATTTTATTGTTATATAAATAATCGATCCAATGATGCTCCAATATAATCATATAAAGAAAAACGTAAATATATTTTTAGACTGGCTGATTAAAACGAATGGTCCTGAGGGGATTCTTCCCCACCTGCGTGCTTCTCCCACGCTTTGATTTTCGATTCCTTGACATCTTACGGTACCTTGATTCATCAGTTTGTTCTTAAAATCAACTTTCCTTTCGGAAAAATAGAAACAATGGAAATAGAAACTTTCTTCAGAGATGAAAAACCCGGCAAGCAATGCCAAAATAGCTCGCAAACTTTCAAACGGGAAAATAACTGATGAATTTAATCACCGTCATTTTTCCGCCTTTCTCGTATCAGGAGAGCTTATCGGTCGACGAGTTCACAACACTCCTAGACCTGTCCGCCAACTTTCACAATTCTCAACTCATTTCACGTTTTTCTTTCTTCTCATTTCTGTCCATTCCAAGTTGCGCAAAAATTTTCTTTCTCTCCAGTTCCCGGTTTTCACTATTACATTGAAATTCCTACAACAAATCGCGAAATTCAAAAATTTTGGATTTTTTACAGAATGATCCCTTTCAAAGAGTTTTCTAATGCGGAATATTTATCACAGCACATAAAAAATAATATTTATTTCAATCTCAATAGAGCTGCAAGTTTTTCTCAAGCATGTGACTTGAGGAATATCTTTATGAGACAGTGATAACCTGAAAATTCCTCGATCTGAATCGCTGTTGATCAACAGCGCCTTTATCGCCCCATGTCGTAAACCAGAACTCGTGCTTGAATGTTTGAGTTCATCGCTCTTTGCCTTCCAACGATCCGCCCATTTTCATGATTATGATTCATTAATGGCTTGCCATTTATTAGGAAGTCTATATCTATGGAAAAAAAAAACGTTTTCTTTTTAAAACTTTTAATTCTTGATTTTATAACCCTCCAATCGTTGTCCTTTCATCAGAATTTTTCAAATTTGAATTTCATCTTTTTTTATCTTTTCTACTTTGTTGCCGTATTCCATCATTTTGGAAAAAAAGTAAAAACTTCAACTATCTTTTGGTCTGAAAATGAGTCTCTCTATCTCTGTTCTTTTAGTTTTTGATTCTACTAGGATGTAAGCTTTCCTGACCGCACATTTCCGAGGGAGAACTGAGTAGTTTCTGCTGACAATCAACGTAGGGACGCGATGTCTGTGCGGACCGGTCTGCCGGCGGATCGGAGACCAAAAGAAATGATGCCCTGCGGCGCCATTTCCGGGTGCCCAAAAGCACACAGACTGATGCCGAAAAACAAGCGATTCGAGCTTGTTCCAGCCAAGCTCCGCCCCTTATTTCAGCGTATGCTTTTTCTCTGTTTTCTGGTCACTTTGGTGCAGAACCACGGTTACGGTTTTCCTAGAACTTTTTTCTGATCAATTCTTTCAATTTTCAGTTCTATATAAAAAATTATTCTCATTTTTTCAACTTTTAATTCTCAATTAGTTAGTGTAATATACTCTTTGAATTATAAAATGTTCGGTTAGAGAGTAAGTTCCAATTTGTGAAGATATCCATTGCTTGTCCAACGGCCATTTTTTTTTTCTGAAGTACCTTTTATGCGATCGATTTTATGACGGTGAACTGCCAAGGAGCATTAATAAAAATTAGAACGAGAATAAATATTGAAAAAAAAAAGAACAACTCGGGCCTCGGTAGGGCAAACCGGACCTTACAGAGCATTTCAAATGATGCCTTAAGAGTGCTGACGATTCTGAAGGGAGCACTAGAAACGCTTTGAAACGTCCGGGTTCGCGTTACGGAGGTCCGAGTGATTATATATTTTGCCCATAGAGCAGATTTGATGCAAAAAAGGTTATACGTAAAATTATTTTTTTAATCAAACATTTTGTAGAATTTAAATTAGACCGGTGGACAAGTAATAATTAATTCTGCAAAACGATACTTAATTTTAAATTAAATTTTGGATTATCATATAATGCATTCTTGAAGCCAATCTAAACAATTTCTGTCCAAGATCCGTGATGGAAAGCACAATTCCTTATCATTTGAGTCTGATAAATGCCCCAGGTGATGTGATTCTTCATGTACCGGAACATGCGCTATATTTAGAACAGAAACTTTTCTTTAATTTTTAAAAAATTAGTTTCTAATCAACATGTCGGGAATTCCAGGTCAGGTAGTTTTTTTTCTGGGCCAAGTACTAAGAATGAAATTTTTTGCAAAAACTCTTGTGAATCGTCGAAAATTTTATCATTGAGAAAAGCCCAGTTTGAAAAAAGATTTTGTAAACTTGGAGTTTTACATTCAAAAATTGGCGAAAAGTTGAACGGCGACAAACGGCAATAGTCAATATTTGACTAGCCCCCAGGCTCGTAGATTAGAAAAAACCTCCCACTGGTCAAATTTCACGTCCTTCTTTCTTTTATTTCCGCATCCTCTCTCACAGAGAGTACACGGCGTTCTGCGTAGTGGAAGAAAATGTAAAAATTTTGAAAATGCGGAGCGGCTTCGAAACGTTGCTCCCCCTAGATTTACGGTAGACAGCTTGCGCGCGAACATTTGAATTTCTTGTTGCTCAAGTGCTTCACGTGATTTTTCATGTTTATTTCAGCTGTATCTTTATCTGTTTTGTACTGATTTACGGTAATTATTTTTTATTGCGACAGCAAAATGCGAAGGAACTTTTTTTCAATTTTTCAATATTAACTGCTGTGTTTTTGACCAAATTTTTCCCTTTAAAGCAAAAAAAGCCTTTCAGCAACATTTTTCAGTGTCAAATTAAATTTTTTTATTCGAATCAATCAATCTCTTCATTTTCGCAACATCAGAATGGTATGGCGATGTTGCAGAGGAGAAAAAAATACCACTAGGTGGATGAAATAAAAGCAAACCTGTAAAGAAAAACTTTTTATTTTTTTATTTTTTTAGTGAGTGGGGGAAAGACGCATAGAACCACAATAAGTCATTTTCGGCACAAAAATTCCACGTTTTTTTACTGAAAAAAAGGACTTTAACTAATTTTTGAGGATGAAAGGTATGAAAGTGTTCAGAAAAATAAGAAAAAAACTTTCACCCAAATGTTTTTTTGTCAACTAGAAAAGGAATTGTGAAAGGATCGATTTTTTTCCACGTCTATAGTTTTGAAAAAAACGCTATTTTTTTCGAGGAAAAAAATTATTTTTTTGAATTTAATGAGTATGCGAGTTAGCGTCGTTCTATGTATGCACAAAAGACGTCAAATATTACGGAAATTGTCGGAGGGGCGTCCACTAAGAATAACTGCCGAGATAAACGCGAGACACTGGCGGTACATTGACGAGCTCGCAAACATCTCGCATTTTTTCTCGCGCCGGTCTCGCATTTTTCTGGGCGCCAGCTCGCACTTTTCTAGGCGCGAGCTCGCATTTCTCTCGCTATTTGAAAATTTCCGAAATGCAAGATAAATGCGAGATGGCGCCGAGAAAAATGCGAGGTCGCGCCGAGAGAAGTGCGGGATCGCGCCTAGAAAAAAGCGACATTTTTGCGAGTTAGTCAATGTACCGCCACCGAGCTCGCGTTTATCTCGTCAGTTATTCTTAGTGTCGTCAAAAGAACGCCGTGAGTAAGCTGCGTTTCGAAATCAGTGCGATTAGAGAATGTCCCGAAAAAGAATTAAAGTTCATACTTTCATTTTCTTAAATCCTAAAAAAAAAACTCACTAACTATGACAATTGTTTACATTCGATGAACAGTCATTCGAAAGTTAAAAATACGCTCTCAATATTGAAGATGATTCGCGATTTACGCAATTTGCATCAAAAAGCTTATTTTGGCAGACTTGGATAACCGCGTCATTGTGGGCGTAGCTCGTGTAAATCCTTTCCTTATTTCTATTCCTGGAGACATTGGTGTTTGCTTCTTTTTTTCAATACAAATATGAAAAAAAATTTCAATGTTTTTTTACTTTTTAAAGTCTAACCAAATAACGGATTTTGAATATTTCACTCCTAATGAAACTATTTGTGCTGCTGAAGGAACTTGATGTTCAATATTCTGATGCCGCAAAATCCGGACTACCCGTCAGATCTGCAGAGAAGGAAAAAGATAACTAATCTATGGAGGTCAGAGATAATTTTGGATTTCGCGGAAATTACTTTGAACACGACATGTAGCTCAAAGACAATTTTTACTTCACAGTAAGAATTAATTAGATTTCATCTTTTTATTGAATCGGGTTTTTAATAATCTTAAACGTTTGAAAATATTAAAACGATATCAAATTGCTTAAAAAAATTCGTAAATATTTTTGGCGTAGCTCATAATGCTTATTGTGCAGCATCATCATTACGGCCAAAAAAACCCACCGTAAACTTGATCAATTTTTTTAATTTTTTTGAATTCTATTTCTTTCTTTACTGAAATTTCAGTATTTTTGACTTTTTCTTGGTCAATTTGAAATTGTATTCGAAATTTGAGGGGCAAGATTGTAATCGCTATGAAACTAATGTTTTCTTGAGTGCGTCCTCGCATTGTCTTGGAGCGATTCTTTTTTCTCATAGCTCTCTTGACGCTGCAGTTTTTCAAAGCATTTTGTCTCTCAAAGCACATTTTTATGCTTAAAATTAAGAATACTGTGGTTTTCTTTTCTGCCACTTTTAACACGCTTCGGTACTCTATCGCGCTTTGCACATTTTTTTTTTGTTTTGATTCGGTTTCTGAAAAACCCACCACAGCAGTCACAACCCTATCTCATTGCCCCGAACTAGAAGTCTGAAAAGGTAGTCGGAGAGGGTATGATAATGACTTCAAGATCTTTTCCGTGACTCTTCTGAACGTAGTTTTACCAGCTTTAACGGTCTTCTGTTTCTGCAGCACTATTCCGTCGACGACGTGTGCCGTCAGACCCATGGAGCGGAAGCACGCGCCTTTGTGCCGCGTGTCTCCACGGCCGCCGGCTCGCGTCGATCCCCAGCTCCACTTCGAGAACGACAGCTGCTACAGCTCCTCCTCCGAGGAGTCCCATCCAGCCCTCAGCCGAGAGTCTTCCGACGCCCTTTCCACTGACTCTTCGTTGGTTCTCACGCGATACGGTCCGTTTTCAATTTCAACAAGTTATTCAGGGGCTAAAACGAGTATTTTTTTCAGACACTGCTGACTTTTTGACGCTACAGCCTCCTCCGGAAGCGCTTGAATTTGCCAGCAATTGTGGTTATTCTCGACAGCAGCTCATGCACGTCTTGAATCGCATCGGTTTTGATGCAGGACAAGTGAGAAAAGTTATATGAAAATCAAAAATGGGAACAACCGTTCAAAATCGAGATATCAAAAATATTTTGCACACATAGATAGAAGCGATATTTTAGGGTCAAGGATCTTTCGAAAATTTTATAGAACTATCACTTCTGATTCGAAATTTTTTTTTCGTGTAGCTTATTTTTGAACTCTATATGCTTTGAAAAGCCTGAAATATCCAGGATTGGTCTTGGCCTATTTAGAGACAGGATCTCAGAACTAGAAGACATTTTCTTTTAAGTTTTTTTGTTGCTAAAATCTTCAATCGGTAAAAGCTTGATGCTCTCAAATTTAAAAGTGCTTTAAAACTTCCGTGTTTTGCGTAGCTCCTAGAAATGGGATTTCACACGTCATAATCCGACTTTCCGGTTTTTAGACTTGAGAGTGACTGAGTATTCAAACTTTATAATGAAACAGTAAATAATTATTGATTTCAGTCTTTTTATGTCGCACAGTTATCGATCTTACTTTTTTTTTATTCGACAACGAGTATCTGCAGGATCGAATTCTCTCGGAATTGGTGCAGTTAGGCCCTGGAGCGATGGCGGAGAGCAGCAAACTTCGTGAATCTTTCGCTCCTTCAGATTTTGCTTCTTCGCTTCGATCAATCGTCATCGACGGGTCCAATATTGCCATGACGTGAGTTCTAACCTCTTTAAATCATATTGAAAGCCCGATTTCTTTGTTGTTGAAAACTGTAATATAAAAGGTTCTTTTGCACTGTTAATGAGGCGTTTTCAAGAATAATGTTCTTTGTATAATAAAAATGTGATCCTGAATGTTTTTATCAGTTTGTTGAGAATAACTGATTACTAGGCTGTAGAACTGTAGAGGGTTTCTAGACCATTTCTCACCAAAGAAGAAACTCAAAAGACTGCAATGTTGGATTCCTTATTGGCAAGATGAGTGGATCAACAGTAACAGTCTCCCATGCTGATAGCCGTGTTAACACGGGGTAGTTTCTTTAAAGAACGATTCATTTCAACTTGGAAGTAGTTAACCTGTTGATTTTGAAAATTTTTCTCCGTTTTTATTATACCAGTGAATTGACCAAACTTCTGCAATTTTTCACTCTAACTAGTTCATTCATGAGGTTTTCTAGATGTTAGACGGACTGAAAGTGAATCTCCTCGTAAAACTGATTTTAATGAAAGTGTCAGCCGCCAAGCAATAAGATAGAGCTAAAGGCGAAAAACGGCGCCCGATTGCGTTTAAAGAGTCTAAAGTCTTCCTCCCACTCTCCGGAGTCTCTGTCTAAAGAGCGCCGTCGGGCGGTCGACTGGACTGGACCGCCGGCACGAAACCGGTGGCGCGGCCTCGCCGATCTGACCGGCAGGCCACTCAGCAGCACAATCCTTCCATGGGTCACTCGCTCTTCACCCCTGCTTCATCGCTTTTCTCACGCCCATTTCTATGAATCCTCGGCTTTTTTGGATTCGAAGTAGATTGATTGACAATTTTTTTAAAATTCTTTTAGTAAAATAAATATTCGAAGGCTACTTAGTTTCAATTTCGTTGAATTTTTATGAGGAGTACGTACCGATCTCGAAACAGTCCTACTCTCAAACTCTTTGTTTGATTGATTTGGCCGCAGTTCAGCATTGAATATTGCAGGCACGGCCTCAAGAAGGTTTTTTCTTGTGCCGGTATCCGCGAGTGCGTCCGATACTTTACCGAACGCGGACACAAGGACGTCATCGTTATTATCCCACAGTTCCGGTTGGTCTTTGAGATTTTTATTTTTTCCCATTTTTGAGAGCGGAAATCAATTTTTCCGAAGCAAACGTTTCCATAACATCTTTTTTCAAGGAAGGAAGCGCCGCGGTCTGATTGCCCGATTACGGATCAGCACATTCTGTTTGAGCTAGAGAAACAAGGCTACATTGTTTGGACTCCTTCCAGGTTTTTGTTGTTCTTTGGGTGACGTATTGAACTATTTACTCAGACTCTAGCCCTTTTGAGGCAGAAACGGTTTGTATTTATATGGAGTTCAATTTTTGAGAAAACAAAGTTTTTCTTTCATTATTCATTTCATGTTCTGATTGAAAGTTTTTGGGTTCGATAACTATTGTCAGAAATATCCCTTTTGCATGAATTCAAAAAACTTCCGTATCATTTTTTTTAATGCTCCCTTTTCCATAAGGGCCCAAAATGTTATTCGAAAAATTTCATTTGAAGTGGAAAGTTTTAACTTTTTTTTTTCAACTCGCTCTTTTTTTAAATTTTCCTAGAAAAGTAAATGAAGAATGTAAGAAAAAAAAAATAGAACACAATTAGAGGCTCTTCTAGGTTTTTTTTTTTAGCTCTTTATTCTTGGAAAGTTTCAGCCGATCTAGGTCTATCTAAACTCGTAAACTTTTCCATGTACATTTCTGCTGGCAGTGATCCTATTTTTGATCTCTTGCAGAACGATAAACGGACGCCGAATCGTGTGCCACGACGACCGCTACATCCTCAAAACAGCCGAGGAAAAGGACGCGGTGATTGTCTCGAACGACGAGTACAGAGATCTGGTTCGCGAGAATCCACAGTACAGACGTCTCGTCGACTCGCGGCTCCTCATGTACACGCTCATAGACGGAAGGTTGGTCGCGACTGTTCCTTTTCTCCTGGCGGGGATTGTTCGAGGGCTCTGAGACCATGTCGAATCATGCAACTTTCTCTGTAAATGCCGTGTGCTTCGTGAAGGCAACGACCATTTTTTTAAAAGGCTAGTTACCCAGCGGTGAATGAAAGAGGCCGTGAATTATTAGGGCACGTCTCTAAAAACTTGAAAATGAGAAAACCACCCGAAAGAAAATTTTCAGGGTTAAAGTAAAAGTTTCTCAACGGGTTTCCCCGTAAACCAATGTATCTTGAGGCTTGATGAGTCTCCGTTTTGCTGAAACGGAAAAACAACGAGTGCAAAAGAAAGTAGCTGGAGCGGCAGGGCTGGTTTAACCTCATGAGAGATCCTCAATGGCATATTCTCGCCATTGGCTAGTTCACTAGGTCGAAATTAACATTGATTCTCTAACAAAAAATATCTCTGCGTTGTAGACTTACCCGTAACAGCTACAGCAACAGTTAAGATATTTTATCCCACCTATTTTCGCTTGCTCAGCAACTGTCTGGCATAGTTCGAGCTCAGGAGAGCCCTATTTTGGGCTTTCCTAAGTCTACAAAACGTTTTCTTCCCCGACGTCGGTTGTTTGCATTGCATGCTATGCACATAATCGGCGTCTCCGTTGTTTTTTATGAAATCTTTGGCACATTTTCACTCATAAAGGCCGGTTAACTCTTCTAAATAATTTTTCCTTGATTCGTGAAATCTTTTTATTGAGTTTATCGATATTTTAGAAGAACAATCACATTTAATAATCAAGTTTTAAACTTTCGAATGGAAATTTTCGAACCAAGGGTTTTTCAAAAAGATTTTTCGGATTGAAAACTATATCTGAATCAATTCCAAATGGTCCATTAACTAAATGTTTTGGTTATTTTGTTTAAAAGTTATTTTAATAATTCTCGTTCAGGTTCATGCCACCGGATGATCCACTGGGACGTCATGGACCAAAATTGGACTTTTTCTTGTCGAAAACGCAAAATTTTGTTGGCGCGCAACCATGTCCATACGCGAGAAAGTGCACATATGGAAATAAGTGCAAGTTCGTTTTGATTCCCTCAATTATTTCTTCGGCAGGCTTCCGAGTAGGCTCATGAAACCTTTCCAGGTACTACCATCCGGAGAGGGTCAACGGCGGTCATATGAGCGTGACGGAACGACTTCTCAAAGAGAATAATCACAAAAAAGCCGCTCAGAGTACGTTTATGCAAGGAAAACAATGGAAGGTTTGAGTTTTCAGGAGCATCCATGCAATATGGCGGGGCGATGCAGAACCACGCGGCTCTCGCCAGAACGCGCTCTTTGAATGCCCAACTTGAAGCTCTGTCCATGCAGGATACCAAAAACTTTCCCAGTGTAATTTACTTTTTTCTCGATTTCTTTTATTCAACGCTTTTTTATGAGGGTGAAAACTGCCTCTGGCAAATTATACTATTCCACTCATAAAATGAGATGGGATCAAAGCAAAAGTCTCTTCATAAAGCCTTTTAACTGCAAATTACGCCTTCAGGGGCTGTTTTCTTCTTTTATTGTTTTTTGAAAACCTCATTGAATGACTCATCATGGGTCGAACTTGGTATCATTGATTCGATGAGGTTAATACCAGAGAATAGGATTTTTCGAAAAAGTCCAGAATTTGCAGAGAAGACATGTGGAGCTGACGATGAGTGCTCCGTGGCACGCGGCGGTCGGACGCAACAATTCGATGCCCTTGTCGTCGTCCAACTACGCGCCGCCGCAGTCTGCCACTTCTCAGACTCACCTTTTTGCTCCTTCCACCGCTGTCTGGGGTCATTCTGAACTCAGCGTCGGTCCGCTCAGCACCACGTTCGTTTTTTGTTTCTTTTCAAACAGTTGGTTCTCTCAAGACCGTATTTAACAGTCAGCGGTTAAAACTATGCACTTTATTAGGTCTCTCTTCAAATTTCTAAATAAAGTTTGTTCCAGCGAAATCACTAGATTTTTAAAAAAATTTCAACATAAAAATATTTTTAATCTCTCTGTTCAGAGAACCAATATGTTAGAAAAGGATTTCGAGTGAATTTCGTAGAACTTGAACAAAAATAAATTTAACTTGTTTTTAGAAGATAAATACATACATTTCACCATTAATCTCATTTTTGTTCGAATGAACTATGATTTTTATCGTTAACATATGTATCTACAGAATATCTTTGAAGGATCTCGGAAACAAATATTTACTTCTCGAAACCCGCCAAAAAGAGATAAAACCATCATACTTTAGTCGAAGGAAATTCGTTAGATATTTTTGGGCATAAAAGAATGATCTAAAAATTTTCAGATAGTTTTAAATTATGATTAATTATCTTCTTTCTGAGTTAATTTTTATCGGGAAAAAAAACGTCGAATAGATCTAACACTAGAACTGAATGAACTAAAAATTTTGGTTTCCATATTAGTCGTTTGATTTGGAATTTTCAGCCGTCCTGTCGATGAAGACGAAAACGCGTCGCGCGCTCGTCTACAGTACCACCTCTGCCACGTTTTCCCAGAGTCAGTAGTTGTGGCGGTGATGGCGGCTCATCCCGAGGAAAAAAGCTCGCAGGTCCTCTGCGAACGGATTCTCGCTCTCCAGAAGGGCTTCCAGAACTGATCCGCTTTCTGTCGCGCAGAAATCTGTCAATACTTGTTACTAACATTGTCAAATCACTAGATTTTTTTGTTCATAGTTTTTCGAAACCTTTGCCAACTGTTTAGTCGAAACGAATAGTCATTTCACAGATATTCCGCATCAACTCTAGTCTACGAATCTTGTATATCACGTTTTTCTTTAGTTTTCTATCTTACTGCGAAACCTTTTGATTTTTTTTTATATTAGTAGCAAAGTAGATCTTGACTAATCGGTTTTGAATTCAATCATCACTAAGTTTAATATCATCAAGTTCAAGAAGTATACTTTGATTTCAAATAACTAAATTTTCCAGATTTAAAAATAGTTTTTAGAATAAAATATGCATTGCTACGAATTTTTCGAAAGTTTTTGTGTTTAGAAAATCTAATAGAGATTTTTTTTATGGCGGAGATGTAAAATATCATACTATTTATACTCATCCTTATTCGGTAAGTGATATTTAAAAATGGGTTTTTTTATAAATTAATAGTCAGCTCTTTTTTATCATTGATAGCTACTTGTTCTTTCTTGCGAATTACTTGCTTAAATGGACTAACCTTGCCATTAACGTTGTTCATCGATTTTTCTACTGTTACTTTGAAGACGCTATTTTGGTATTCCCGCCCAACATTTTAATCTTTTCGATGTTTTTTTTTTCTCAATATTGTACTTGACTTCATTCAACTCTTCAGGAGAATGTTTTACTTTCACTCTGTGGTACGTAAAACGATGTTTCGGTAGAATCATTCTGATTCCAAGCTTTCCCAACTATGTATGGTCGCTGAGCGCTCGATTCTTCTTCTATTATGCCTTCTCTTCTCACCAAATTTTCTTCTACAAATTTTATTAAAATCATTTAATAAATATAATAACTATCTGATGCTCGAATTGAACAAAATTCATTCACAAATAAATCATTTAGAAACGACATTTTCAATAAAGGTGGCAAGTTTGATATCGTTTTGAGACAATCCACCGCAGTCATGCGTTGAAAGGGTAACGTCCACCTTAAAACAGTTCCTGTCAGGTTAGGTTTTTGATGAGTTAAGAATGTTTCAAATATTGAGAGCGCATTTCAGATGAAAAAACTTCGAGTTCAAAAAAAAAAACTTTAAAACTTCAAAAAACTTTCAAAGCACTGGAGCTCGGAGATCGTGCTCTAGATGGAAGTGTCGAAAAGAGAGCAGCCTCTTCGCAGGAAGGCTTTACACGGAATAGAAAATTTGAAAGGTAACGCACCTTATTGTATACATTGAACCATTCCGGGTGATGATTCATTTGCTCGGCTTTCAGTGCAACGCGAGACATGAATCCGAACGCCTAAAAATAAACTGTTGATGAGTCAGTTCAATCTGATACTTCGTTGAAGTTTTTGAAGAGGAACTCCTTCTGGATAGCGTCTCTTCCGGAGACCATTTTCCAGCCTGCCGCCAAAAGTGGACTCATTTCCTTCTCGCGCTCTTCTCCTTGCAGGACCGGCTGCAAATAGATTCAATCAATGTTTTTTTTTACATTGAAATAAACAAAAAACAAACCATTTTCTTGAAACAACTTTTCGTAGTCGACGCGTAACCTCTTTGCAAGGTGGGGAAAAGACGGAAGAAGGTATCGATGTGCGCAGAGAATAGGAGGGGGCCTTGGACAGAGAGAGAAACACGCATCGGTTGGATACTTGTTTTCACACCACACCGTTTATCAGTTCGTTTCCCAATTAGGGAAGTTGAACTGACCGATGATCACTGAAAATTTCAACTGACCATTTGACTTGAAGCTTTTTCGTGTAGTGGAAATTGATCTCAATGAGCTGTATTTAGCTGAGAACCAAACTCCCGGTGTCCCTTTATAATTATTTACTGTTTAATAAATATATTTATCATAAATTTATGACGTCTACGGCAGGGAGCGATGTGTTGTACGCAACACACTTCAAGCATGATGAGCGACGCGCAAAAGTTTTTTATGCATGAAGAAACCACTCATATAATTTTTTACTATTTCTGTTCAAAGTCGAACTGTATTTTTTTTCTTTGGGAAACGTTTTCTGTTCATTTTCAATTTAAGGGCACGACTTTTGAGTTCAGGGCTTCTGAAGTTGACCATATGGAGGACTCACACTTGTTAAATTCTGGAAAATTGTCAGAAGAAGAACTTCGGTGCTGTCAACGTCTTCTCAATGTAATGAATTCATAAAAAAATTATCTCCTCGAATTTGATTGAACTAAGCACTAAACCCTTTATTTTTTCATTATATTTAACTGAAAAAAAACGATTAAACGGTGCCATGGTTGTTTGATCGATGAACTTTTTGCAGAGTTTGAAAGAACAAATACGGAATATTGACAAAGCAGAACTTAGCAACAATGAAGAAGAGGAAGAAGAAGTGAATAGAATTCGTGAACAAGTTTTCCTTTCCTTTCTCCCGTTTTGATGAGATAAATTTGAGCTTCTCGACCGAATTACATGGATAAAATCTGCAATGAACGGTTTACTCGTAGCTGGCGACACCAAGTATTCTGAAAAATACCGAATACAAACTACGTTTCTATCTCAGACACTACGAGCAAGAAGCGAAGAAGGTGTGCGCTGACCTGAAAGTTGAAGGGACTGCTTTTCCTGAGCTTGAAAGGCTTCTTACACAAGTACTACGACGAGAATCTCTTCTACCAGAGAGCAAGAGGAAAAAATGGAGATGTTTTGTGTGAGCGGAATTTCTACATAACCTTTTACCTTATAATGTAACTTTTTTTACCAGACCATTCTAACTAGGGAACGTTTTTTACCCCCCGGTTGAACTTTTGCTGAAACTTTGCCGAAGTGTACTTTAGGACCTCCTGATTGCAGATCAAGAAGAAAATTTCTCGCAATGGATCTTGTTTCCGAGTTATGGAGCTTCAAAGTGTGCAAAATACGCAAATTAGGCCAAAAAAGCGCTATTTCGGGCTTTTGAAGTGTCCTAACTCGAAAACGAGATCTATTGCGAGAAATTTTCTTCCTGTTCTGGAATCAGGGGGTCCTAAAGTACACTTCAGCAAAGTTTCAGCAAAAGTTCAACCGGGGGTAAAAAAAGGCTCCCTGGTAAGAGGTCTTTTCTTTCAAACTTTCAGCCAAATTTCAATTTTTATCAGTTTTAATAACTTTAATTCTATTTTTTTTTTTTTGCGTTGGTGGCCTTTTTTATAAAATCCCTAATAAAATAACTTGTTTTTCACTAATTTTTCGAAAAAAAGTATAGCTAGTTATTCGGATGTTTATTTGAGTGACAAAAAAACATTTTTTTGCGTTACGCGTGCTCGAAAAATAGATATTTTTTTAGGGTGGATCAATTTATAGAGCAGGCGTAGCTTTATCAAAATTTTTTTAACGTAGATCATAAGAAAATGAAATTTTTAATATATTTTCGCGGATCAGTGTTCAAAAAAAGTTGAGTATACATTTTTCTGTGAAAGAGATTTAATTCTGAAAAAAAATATAATTGAATCTGCATTTTTGAAAAATTTACATCTCCATTGAAAATGTTAATCTTAACTTCAAAATGCGTCATGATTTAATACATATATTTTTCCAGATTTAAATTGCCTGGAAGGGTTTTATCGTCTAACAAAATACTCCTGAATAAGTTGGGAACTCAAGCGTTTTCTAAAATTTGTTTCAGAACTTTTGATCGACAAGATTTGGAGACATTTGTCAAAAGAATAACGGAAGAGAACCTTGGTATTAAACTGGAAGAGCAAGATTTTGGTTAGTTTCTATGGATAAGTTTCGTGGTAGTTCTTCCGATTTCAGACGCTTTGGTCTTGAAAGCGGCCGACGCAGTTTATAAAGCGATGGAAAAGTACCGATCAGCGTGTTGGAAGATTGCTATGGATTTTCTTGGTAATATATTATTTTCCAAGCACGATTAATTGATTTTCTGAGTGATCAATTAATGTTGGGGACCAAATTTTGACGATTTACTATTACGATTTAGTTAGACGTATAACATAATTAAATCGTTTGATCGAGAATATATATTCAAAGTTTTCGGCTGTTCAATGAAAGATGAATAAGCGTGTTTTATATTTGATTAAACTGTTAATTTCATTTCTATCTTTCATGAATGTAAAAATTGAAGCTTCGAGACAACTGAAGTGGCGGAACTAGATTCGTATGAATATACGCTCTAGAACTCTTTTTGAAAATCTAAAAATCACAGTTCTTATTAGTAGTTGTACGGAGCTCGCTTTATGAAGGCTGATAGCCGAAAAAACGCCTCTTTCGCCTTTCAATCTCGACTGTCCCGAGAAAAGTATTGATTCACTTTAGTTTTTGAACTGTAAACTCAAGAACCTTAAAAACGCTGTAATTTTTTTATTTTATTAAGAATTGAATAGAAGGAATCCTGTTTCAAATTGAAATTTCATAAAACGAAGGCGCGACGGCGGCTCCTGAACCTTCTGAGAAGCAAACTGAGGCCACGCCAAAGGATATTCTTCCCGATTCAAATTCAGAAGCAACTGCGTCTGGAAATTCAGGTAATTTATAATTTAGTAAGTTTTTTTGAGTAAAAAAATACTAATTTTCATGCAATGAGAATCAAAAGCGTTCGTCAGTTTCTATTGATTTTTGATCTTAATTTTTGGCTTCAACCAAATTTAAGAAGTTACATACTGTAACCACCTTCAGAAACTTTAAACGCTTTCTGTTTTATGACACATTTTTCCTCAGTTGAGGGTTGTTTTCCATGAAAGATTGAAAAATTAAAAGCGCCTTTCACTAGTATAATCGTTAATTGAGTGCAGGGGATGATGTCGGCGATGAAGACGTGATTTTCGTATGCGAGAAGTTGAGCGATCAGCCAGCAAAAAGAGCCCCTCAATCGGATTCTCTTAACGAAAATCGTTTTACAGGTGATTTTCAATATTTTTCCTACCTTGATGGATAGTTTCAGATGATAATCCTGAAATAATTTTTTCTGGTTATGGCGGTGGAATGTCAGCTGAAAAGAAGCCGAGTAAGTTCCCTATGAATTTATTTTTTTCCATTCTAATGTTTCTGAAAATTATTGCGTCAGATTGTCTATAATCGTCCATTCACGCTTTTGTTTTTTATTTGAGCCAAGCTATTGAGAGTTATTTCGTACTGTTTTGCTATATAACCCAATTCAAAAGCTTATTTTTAGTTTTGGTTGAGAAGTTTAAATTTTTTAATTATGTTTCTCTCTCTTCAAAAACGAGATGACATTTCTCGAAAAATTCAAAAGATGTTTGAAGAAGAAAATGGAGACTTTTCCAAAAATTGAAATTCAGAGATTTCGGTGGCGGTAGAAACTGAGAGTGGAAACAACTTTTCAACCGTCGATAATAAGGCTTTCTTCATTGATGACGTCATTGTTCTTGATTAGGATTTTTCATGTTATCCAGCAGAAAGGAGATTTTATACATTTATCAATTCATAGAAGGTTTTATGTACATATAGAACATTATCTACATGAATGCCGGTCGCTTCTCGGGTTTTTACGTACGGAATACTCAGTTTGTACTATTGTTACTTCTCATCAACATTTTTTGTTGTTTTAACTACCATTTTTTTAATTTCAAAAATTATGTTATTCTGCAATAAATATTTATTGAGAATTTGAAAGCCTTGAATGTGTGAAAATGGTTGATGATGTAGTTGTTGGAATTTGCAACGTCATATTTATAATCACTGTATTAAATAATTTTTCCTATCACCAAAGAATAAATCAAAAAAATTGTCCGCTTTTAGATTTTTGAATTTAAGATCGATTTCTTATACACTTTGAAACAAACTCGCTCTTTTTAGTGGATACATGATCAAGAGAACGACACTCGGGGCTTTCCGAGTAATCAATTCGGGTCCGTTTTTGGGTCCCATCAGCCAGCAGAAGCGATGCTTTCTGACCCGACACGTGCCCGAAACACGAATGGTCATTCACGCTTTGTCGGCTAAAGGTTTTCTGCTTTGATCTGCCTTCAAGGATCCACATTTGAGAGGGCGACGAGACGAAGACGATTGTCTTGAGCGACGCCGCTGTTGACGAGAAAAAGCCTGTGGTTCTGATTCTTGGCTGGGCCGGTGCCCTCCAGCGTCACATCGACAAGTATGCTGAGATCTACACCTCACAAGGGTCAGCTCTTGATTTCTTCCCTCCATGAATCTTTTTCCTGTTTTCCAAGCTGTACTTGATCCCTCGCTCCATAAATAACCTCGCAAAAAAAACGGAGTTTTAAACCGAGGAACACCGATAATAACATATTTCCGCTCATCAACAAGTAGGATGAAAAGCTGAAGACCAATTATAGTCTCCAACTGATAGACTATTTTTTAACACGTTAAAGGGACCTTCTAAATTTATGTGATCTGGAAAATAAATGGTTTTTCGAAAGCAAAGTTCATTTCATGAGAAAGCTCTGCCAAAATTTTATGCGTCAAAAAAAAAAATTCGAATTTTTTCCTTTTTTTTTCAGTTCGAAACCCCAAACCCTTCTCAGCGCCTTCTATAACACTTCAAAAATTTCGACAGCTGAAAAAATTTGTGAAATAGCCATAAATGAGTTTTGCGCGTTTTTCGGACTTTTAGAGTTGCTATTTTTTTCATTTTTGTTCCGAAATTGTTTGTGAAGATCCATAAGAGAATGATTAGTCTTGTCGGCACGTTCTGGATAATTTTTCTTCAGGTACCGCGTAGTGTCTCTGACCCCACCTTGCTATACTTATCGAATTCCGAATTCTCGCATTGGCTTCTATATTTCGCCGTTGTTTCGCGCCGTCGATGCAAAGCCTGGCGACTTCAGAACATATGATAAATGGTATTATCGGAAATTCCTTGAAGTTTTTTGATTATCGGAACGGTTTTCAGCCCCATCGTTGTTCACTCCATGTCCATGAACGGCATCCGAGCATTGGCTTCTTTCTGGAAATGGACGGAAGTCGAGCAGAGGACCGACCTTCGAGAAAGAATCAAAGGCATCATTTTCGACAGGTTGAGTCGTTCCCTGAATGCATCTGGAAGTTTCTGAGGTTAGCGCTCCGTCGAGGTGCACTGGGAAACAAGAAGCTGTGGGAATGGTCGTCTCGACGCCGCCCCTCGAGGGCTTCCACGGAGTCAGCCACGAAACGCGAATCAAAGTCGTTTCTGTTTGGGTCAATTTCCGCAATGCCATTGTTAGTTTGAATTTATTGAAACAAGGCTATTTTATGTAGATTTTGTACTTTTTTCTCGTGAAATTTCAATGTGTGATACGGCAAAAATTGAAATTTCTTCAATTTGTCGCTTGACCCCCTCCTAAAAAAAAGTCAACCGAAGAGAGCAATCTTCTGAAATTTCTCAAAGGTACTCTCGAACTTTGGTAATTTCTTTTATTTATATATTGGAGAAATATATTCTAAAGCGGGCTAACTTCAACCAGAAGCATTGGAGGCGCAAACGTTTTGAAACAGAAAGCTTTTGATCTTGCGCCGTCTATCTTCAACTGTTTTTAAACTAGACCATAGAGTACAGATTCAATTTTACAACGAAGACCGTTTGACTCAGTAAAGTAAAAAAAAACTTCTTTTTTCAATTATTTACAGGGGGCTTCGCACAGCGCCCAGGCGTTATCTCGTTAAAAATAAGGAGGTGTAAATTTAAGGCGATTCCGCTCTCCGCAACGGTTCCTTTTCTTCGCTCGATGCTCTCTCTCTTCTATTACATGATCGACAAGATGAAACTTCCGCGCGATCAGCTTTTCCTGTACTCCTCGGCTGACGATATGGTCAAAGCCAAGTTTTGAAATAGTCTCAAGTGGAGGCTGACCTTTAAACTCCAGGAATGTCGAGAAGTTCATGAAGGCACAAGTGAAAAAGGGCGCCAACGTCGATTCTGTCAATTTTGGCGATTCGGCTCATGTCCGACATTTCTCTGATCATCCTCTGGAGTACCGCCAGAAATGCCTTCAGTTTGTCCGTCACATCGAAGCCGTTTACAAGTGATTCCTTTTTTTCCTGTATCATCCTTTTCGGACGCAGTTGGCGAGGACATGTTTGTTACTTTTTAAAAGCATTATGTTTATATTTCTTGACATTTTTTATTGCATTATTCTTCGTTCTTTGATGAATCGTTTCTTTTTAATCTAGGCTTGAATTTAATTGTTTAAGCGGGTCCTCCTATGCTATCGGAACGAAGCTCTTCAGCTATCTATCACTTTCAGTCTTTTTTACAAAATTTACTTTTGCACTTTTTTTCCAGATCCGGCAAGTCTAAATTTGAACGAGGAAAAAAATTATTAGACGTGAACGAGATTCCTTCTTTTTTTCGTTTCAGTTTATATAATAATTTTTGAAATACTATCGATTTGTTTAAATATTTTTCACTGAAGTTCCTTCATCTAAAAGAAATCAAACGTGAACCTTTCTAAAATTTTCTTGAACTTTTCATTACCATGTTGGATGCCTACTACCCATACATAGGTATTTCTTACCCTTTTTCTTTTTGATAATCTTGCTAAACCGGTCACTAATAAAACCATAAATGTTTTTTCATTATTCGTTCGTACAACAAATAATTCTGTCTGAGGCTCGGCTTTTTATGTACCTTCTTTCAAGTCATGGAAATCTATAATCGGTGTAGCCTGTGTAGCCAATTGCCGCACACTGCCTTTTCTCTCGTATTACCTCTTTTATATATTGCCGTGGTGTCGAAAGAGGCTGGCTCATGATGGATCGAATGATTTATGACAGTGGTACTTTTTCATACTATTTCTTTTGAAAAAATACGTCTTTTAATGAGTTTTGAAGTTTACCGTCGCATTTATAAAGGTCTAGTCAGTACTATAATTTTGGATATGCTTTTAAATCAAGAAGTGATCTTTTCAGGGAAAGCTGCGAAGGCTTTGGCGCTGACCAAAGCGGGCGCCGCGGCGTCGGAAAAGACGTCGCGGCTGGCCAAGTCGACGGTCGTCGCCGTTCTCGGCTGGGGTGGAGCTACAGACAAACAGCTTTCTAGATACTCCAAAATCTACCAGGAACGAGGGTTTCTTTCACTCAATGAAACTCAAAATCGAAGTAGGAAACTTATACTGAACCGGTCTTCATTTCAGTTCGCTAAAATCTATACTCAAAAAAGAGTTAAAAAATAAATCTTCATCTTTCTTCTCAGGTTCACGACAGTGCAGTTTACTGCCTTGATGCAAAGCCAAGGCAGCGGGTTGAAGGTTAATGTCGATTTCTTCTTAATTTCCAATCAGCTTTTTTTGCAGAACCTACGGGAAACTTCCAGTTTAGCGGAAGCATTAGAAAAGCAGCTGGCTGACGGCAAAAGATTGGCTTTGCATTTGATGAGTATGAATTCGATCTGTGCGTTTGTCGCGCTTGTTCAAAAATATCCACACCTCAGGATCTTGGACCGGTCTGACGGCATTTTCTTCGACAGGTTTTCTTTGATTTTGTAAAGTGATAAATGCTCCGGAAGGTTAGGTCAAAAACTTCAAGACGAGCTTTTGTATTAAAGAGAATCACCTGCAAAAAAAAAATACAAGTAACCTGTCCTATTTAAGCTGTCCTATCGATTTCAACTCTCCGGCTAACATTTGGGCGTTCAAAAACGTCATTGACCATGTTAATATATCGTTCTTGCAAACATGTACAAGACCACAATTCGCGCTCTACTTTCTCTGGCGAATCTTCACCATGGTCGCTTTCATTAAGGATATTTACCTGGTTTTTTTATTATTTCATTTTGGCAAACGATGCTGTCCTTTCAGCAACAAGCAAAGAACATGCTGGGATTTCCTGGCGGCTCCTATCACTTTCTCCTCACCTCCAACTTGCCTAAGGTGATGGCCGTCGTTTACTCAGACGCCGATGAAACCTGTCCTCCCCAGTCAGTTTTTTGACTTTTCCTTTTAAGTTTTTTTTTTTCATTCGAGAAAAAAACCCGATAACTTCGTTGTCTTTGTGAAACTTTTCTACTTTTTTTGATGATGAAAGTAATTATTATTAGGAACGTGTCTTTCTGAGAAGCTGTACTGCAGTAAGTCGAATATCGAAAAAATCTTCTAGTGCTGATTTAAAGGCATTATAGGGATCGCTAGTCTAATTTTTTCGCATCAGCAAAATAGAAATGTTGCAAGATTCAATAACTGTTCCGCAGAGTTTTCTATTATGCAAGGATTAAAAGATGTTTGTCTTTTAGAGCACGTAATAACATCACCTTATGGAAAAAGGCTGAATAAAATGGAGTAAATTTCTCATTTCGTTATTTTTTTTTTATGAAAGTAACGTTTTTATTCAAGTAAAACTACCTCTCTTGTAAGTTTTGAACGTTTAGGAAACTAGACTCGATTGTTTTGAAGCTTTTTCTCGAGGCATGATGTAGTCTTTTAAGGACTATTGAGCGTTTCCACAAAGCGATGGCGGCACGTCCCGGGGCTCAGGTCGAGGCGCGACGCTTCTCCGACACTCAGCACGTACAGCACCTGCGGGGACAGCCGCAGGAGTACCTCGGTCTTGTCGACCGCTTCATCACTCGCATCGAGCAACAGCGACTTCCCGCTTCCAAAATATGACTTCTTCCCCGCCCCATTTCCTTGATTTAATTCTTCAATTTTGGCTCCTTTAATACATATTAGGTATCTTTTTATCTTCTATCACAGCTTCTTTTACATAGCCAAAGTCTTTCGGCTCTAGAAAGCAATCTTGTGACTTTCTCAAGAAACCTTCTAAAAAGTTCAGGTGTGTCTAATTAAGCTTCAGGAACACAATTTTGGGCTTGAAAATGCATTTTCAAAACGACAACTTTCATACATACATTCTCTTGATAGGTGTTAATAGTTGCAAGGGTATTTGTAACATTTGTCTATGCTAATCTCAAAAAAAAGCGTTTATTATTATCAAACTGGTATTTTATTAAAATAGAATAAAAATTGATGACCCGTGATTTAGTTATTAGTTGATCAATTTTAGAAGACTAGGATGGCGGAGAAAACCGAACTTTGAGGTCGTGGCTATTGTCGTGTCCGAGGGCGGCGCCGAGGTAGAGCGGATCGTATCCAGGAACGCCGACCACCACTCCTAGGCCTTCTCCTTCACGGTCGCGCACTTTCGCCGATGATGAAAGCTCGCCCTGAAGTCTTAGCTTAGGTCGCTTAATTGCAGTTGCGGACAATTTGTTTCGTCGATTTCGGCGCTGCAAATGGTTTCCTATTTAGAGTGACTGACCAGCGTCAGAAGTTGTTCGTGGAGTGGTTGACGTTCTCTTCGCAGTTGATGGCTTTTAGCACGATGATATTTGAGCAACGCTGCCTCGCACTCGCGCTCCGACTTGCTTCGGCAGATTCTGAAAGTTCGACTTTCTACTTAGTTCAATCATCAAGTGAAGCACGTTTTTGCTTGATGTAGGAAACTGCTCGGCGACTCTTCGTGCGCCGTCGTGTCAAGACCTTTTTCAAACGTTCTGAAAACTTGTATTAAATTTCGAAGTGATAAGAACTGACTCGCCTTTGATTTATGAAATGAAGATTTATCGGTTCCATGTTTGGAAGAGGCAAATATAATCCGTTGATTTCTTTTCTGAAAAAATTTGATTGATCGAGAGTTCGAGATAAATAACCTATTGTCGACGAAAAGGGTGTCTGTCTCTATGAGTTCGGCTTCATCTGGCACTCCAAATTTGGCGTTGGCGGCCATTTCCCGTTCAGAATAGTGGTAAAACGATTTCGGAACCGTCAATTTCTGTCCGTCCACTGGGATCTGAAAAAACAGTAAATCAAGAGTTCGGATTGAACAAGATTCTAACCTCGAAATAAGGCATTGCACCGTATTGTGCAGAGTCCTTGATGGTGCCCATGGAGACGTCGACTTTGCCACGCTGTTGAGCGCTGAGGCCCGCGGTTACGGCGCCGAATATCCCACAGAAAACGGCTAAAGATAGCTGCGCAACCATTGCGGATAGTGCAGAATGTGTGAAGGCGTCCCAGGTAACCGCCGCCCGACCGGTTCTTCCCGCATCCTGTTTTTTCACCTTTCAACCCAGGTTCAAATCTGAGAACAATAGCTGCCAGTTTCTCGAGACGCAACAAACGCGATTCGTGAGGATCCAATTGTGATAAGGTCTTCCTCCGACTTATTAAGCTTAATGCCTTTCAGAGTGACGTTCAAAAGTTACAAAATAAAAACGGATTCTAGAAATTCAAATGAAGGTTATTTGAACGCTAACGTTGTCTTGGCTTAAAGCAGGAAAAAAGTTGAAACAATGCCCTTCAAAACGAAAAAAAGGCTCTTTTTTAACGAAGAATGGTCAAAAGCGACAGTTTCTTTAGCTAAAAGTTGAAGCCAGTTTCCATATATTTGTTCCATCAGCTCTTCTGGAGTTCGTTAGTGACTGATTTGCATGTTTAACAATATAACAGACTCTGGTTTTCTAAGTGCGAGCTTTTTATCCATGGCCATTGAGAAATTTGACGAAAAGTTGCAGACTGCGTTATCACGTCCAGAACGCATTTTCAGGTCACGCGCAAATCGGTCTTTGTTTGCGAAACCTTTAACTTCGATATTTTTGCTTTTTTTTTTGATGTTTCAGATTTGCATAAAGACTTCCAACTGGACGGAAGGCAGTATTCATACCTTCAGTTGCTCCTATATCATGTTTTTTTTCTTTTGAGCATATAATCAGCTCGCGGTTCATTCGATTATAGAAGCCTTTACGAATTGATCTCAATTTGAAAGCCTTATTTTTAACTTTTGCTGAACTATTTTTTTCAAAAAGCTTTTACTAGTTGCAGGTTTTGCCTTGTATATATTTTGAAATGGCCGAATACGATGACGATGATTTCAATTATTCTGACAGCGGAAGCGAAGTCGAAATGGATGACGTGAGCCTTGTTTCCCAATTTTTCAAAATTGATTTGAAGTAAATACATTATTGTCGGAAAGAAGGAATAAACTGAAATTCCCCGTGTAAGAAAAAATATCAAAATTTCGAGATCTTCGACATTTTCTGCTGCGTTTTCAATCTTATTTATTGTTTTCACCTCTATTGTTGGGAAGATCGAAATAAAGGTCGTGAATAGGGTTTTTTTTTCATGTAAAAGGGGTAATACCCATGTTTTGACAGACCTGTTTCCCAAATTTTCTGGTTCGAAATAAAACTTTTGATGTTGAAATTAATGTGAATTATTTTTTAACTAATAAAATGTTCGCCGTGAGATAAATCATTTCCCTCAAAATTTTTATTGGAGTTCACTCATTCTGTCCAGTATGAACTCTGATCGTAGCGCTTTATCCCCAAATAGTTTGAATGAATCTTACGACTTACTTAACGTGTCTCAGGTTAACAAATTATCTTGTCTGGTGGTACATTTTAAAATTCCAGGGCATGAGCGAGGATGACGGAATCGCCATGGAAGCTGAAGATCAAAACGGAATGTCCGAGCAGAAGGACAGTTCCCTCGATTGCATAGTGAGCTTCAGCTTTTTTTTTCGTTCTGCATCCCTTCTTTGCAGATAATGACATCCGAGCAGTTAGAGAAGGAAATGAAGGAAACAATTTCCGAAGTGGGGAATATTCTGCACGTTCCGTTAGGAACCTGCCGCATTCTTTTACACAAGTACAAGTGGAATATGGAGAGTCTCATGGAGCGGTTCGTCTTTCATTTTTGAAAAGTTTTGCTTTGGGGAAAAAATCTTTATAATCGCCCCGTATAAATATTAAAGAAAACTGAAATTCGGGCTAATGAAACTCAATTGTTTTTACTTTAGGCGGCCCTTACACGTTCATTTTGTTTACAGGGTGTATTTTTTTAGAAAACGACAAAAAAAAACTGAGTTTATTAGTTAGTTATAAAGCTTTTTTTATCTCCTCAGGCACTGATGGCGCGTGCGCCGGATCTTCTTTTTGCCTTTTTTTCGATCATATTTTTTTGATCATAAAAAATAAATTGAAAGAATGAATGAATATGAACTAATAAACTCTCTTTTTCCATTTTTTTATGCATCTTTTCTTATCATGATGCTTAGGTTCAAAAAAATTTAACGCGTAATACTCAACCAATCCTATTTTTCATCTAAAAATAGTTCTTCAAAATTTTGCACAAATGTGCTTGAAATATTATTGAAAATTGAGCAAGGATATTGATGATTTTCAAAAAACTAACGAAAACGTATTTTAAAAAAGAAAAAAAAAGTCGAAATTCCGTCTCGTGCCAGTCCTGAGTCTTGTACAAAGGCGAATCGAGAAGGTACCATAATGTTTTCACAAAGGTACCTCTCAAAATGGATCGTGAAGGCTCCATAATGTGTCCATTGTGAGACCTCCGGCATACCTTTTAGCTATATCTGAGCCATCTCGGAGATACTTGAGAGTCTCTCTCAAGTCCATCTCATTTTGCTCAAAATCCTCAGAGGTATTCTCGAGGTACCATCGTGAGACATCAGAGCCTGCGATATACCTCAGAGGGTCTCGCGTTACCCTTTCTCGATCCGCCTATGTATTTGTGGATCATATCAGGTCATCAAGAAAGTACTTTTTTTCTGATACTACATCAAGAAAAACAAATTATGAAACATTTTTTTTTGCAGTTAGCACGGCTTATAGTCCATTCACTGCTGGCTTACGACAAAAAAAAGTGTGCGATGTCTAATTTTCTACTATTTTCCTTCAGTCTGTATATATTCCATTCACGATCAGTTTGGGATAGAATACAGAAACGTCAAAATCTATTCTTCTTTGTTCCAGCTGTCTCGCGATGATAGTGAAAGGCCCTCATTGTATATTGTCTCGAGCCAGCGGCGAGTGAACTATAACCAAGTTCAATTATTTCCTTATCGTTCGAAAGAGCATAAATTTTCACGTCTCATCTATATTACTGATATTCCTCTCTGATCACCGCAGCAAACAATTTTGTTTATTTATAATAACTCAGAAATTAGAACTGAGTTAATCGAGCTTATACTATTAATATTATAAATAGGTAAATATGAAATTATTTGGGCGATCTTTCCAGTTCAAATAAATTTAACATCTTTAAAACTGTTCCTGACCACTTTTTATGCTGATGAACCTAACGTAAAACTAGAATGAGGAAGTGTAAGAGGCCTCCAAAATTGGTATTTTGATAAATGTGTTTACGGGAATTCTTGTTAATTTTGCTTACACAGTTTAGTGCAACTATAATTTTATTGGAAAAAAAAGAGAAGCTTTGCAATTTACCTATTCTCGGAAAGTGCTTGTACGCGATATCTTTTTCCTTAGATCTTAGTTTCATAGTAGTTAGTGATTAATTCAATAGTTTAAGGTTTTACGAGCACCCGGACACGATGGCGTTCTTGAGAGCGGCACACGTGGTTCCGAAAAACGCGGTGACGGCGCCGACGTCTTCCACCGCCGACTGCGACATTTGTTGCAACCTCGCCGAACTGAGTGGCCTCGCCTGCAATCACCGCGCCTGCACGGCCTGTTGGCGACGTTACCTTCAGACCAAGGTCTCTTCGCCTCGAGTCAATTCCTGACCCTCATCTGATTTTTTATGAACTTTTTTTCAAATTTTTATTGGTTACAGATAACTGTTGACAATACGAGTGAAATCGAATGCATCATGAACGGCTGCGAGCTTTTGATCGAAGACGAAAAGGTTTTTTTTCCGCTTTTTTCACGATTTTTTGTAGTAGAGCAAACTACTTTTGAATTGAGAAAAAAATTGATTTGAAAGTTTTGATAATCTTCTGTTAGATTCGATAAGATGTTTTGAATAAGATAATTTGTAACATTTTCATTAGGAATTGTGTGAAAAAAAAATTTTTTGCTTCTTGAAAGCTCTGACGCAAAGTTAATTTTTGTTTACTTTGAAAATTTTCGCTATAACCTCTTCAACTGTGTTTTTTTTTTCACAATCTGTGATTTATACATTTTCCCTTTTCTTCCGTTTCGAGAACCGAATAATCGAAGAAATTACCACTTATAAGAGCCCTATACTGAACAGGCTGAATAAAAAATTTTTCATTTTTTCATTGAGGCCCCTAACCAACTCTGCTTGAGGTGATGTCGTACGTGGTTGAAGAGCCCGTACGCGCTTCCTACAAACGACTGATGATCAACAGCTACGTGGAGACGAACCGGCTTCTACGGTGGTGTCCCGGCGTGGATTGCGGCCGCGCAGCCAAGGTTGGCCGTTTTTTGCAACCGACTCGACGCGAGTTTCGCAGGTGTCCCACTGTGAACCGCGGCTAGTCGTCTGCACCTGCAAGTCCCGGTTCTGCTTCGCCTGCGGCAACGAATGGCATGAGCCCGTCAATTGTCGTCTTCTTCGGTTGTGGCTCAAAAAGTGCTCCGACGACAGCGAGACGAGCAATTGGATCAACGCCAACACCAAGGAGTGTCCCAAGTGCTTGGTTCGTTCTTGCTTTGTCCTCTTTATATTCCCAATGCTCGGAAAAACTATATTCTTCCTCAGGTGACGATCGAAAAAGACGGCGGCTGCAATCACATGACCTGTAAGAACGTGGCTTGTCGCGCCGAGTTCTGCTGGATGTGCCTCGGTCCCTGGGAGCCGCACGGGAGCAGCTGGTACAGTTGCAACCGGTGAGTGACATCTGAATGTTCATTTTCCAAAGATTTTTTGCAAAAATGTCTGTAGTGCGTTGGTCATGGTGTTCCATGTGCAGTCGTGAACATTCAGGGTGCTTTGATTAAGAGAAACGACTCGAGTTTTCTCAAAAGTTATTTTATTCCATTTTTTTTCATTTTTAAAGCTTATCTAAAGTGGTCTGCAAAGTTTCATTGTAGGCCATTTTTTGTGACTAGGCAAAAAAAACCTGTCTATGTATATCAAATCCTCTCCGACCTAAAGTCGGAGAGGTAAATAGTTTGGAGAGGATGAAGCGTTGCGTACGCGACGCGGCTTCTATGGAAGGAACCTCGTTTGAATTTCTAATTGGACGAACAATAGTAAAAAAAATAATTTTAAAAAGCTTAATTTTCTTTCAACCTTTTTTCCATGATCGAGTTCCACGTCAAAAAGCCTGCGTTTGCCGAATTACCCATTTTATTTTTTTCAAGTCGCGAAAAAAATTGACTATATGTTTCAAAACAGATAAAAAAATTTCAGCATTTTTTTGCAAAACTGAGTCAAAAAAATCGTTACTTTTTTTAATTAAAAGACTTTTTTTGTCTTCAAAAGATTAATACGCAGAAAATTCATCCTACCGATTTTTTTTCTTGATCTCCATTCGACGCAAAATGCAGGTTCGACGATTCGGCAGCCAAGACGGCCCGCGACGCTCAAGAAGTCTCTCGCGCCGCCCTCCAGCGCTACCTTTTCTACTACAACCGATACATGGGCCATCAGCACAGTCTCCGTCTCGAAAATAAGGTTTTTCTCCGCGCTTTCATGCTATCTTCTCTCCTTTCCTTTCTCAGCTGTACGCGACGGTGAAAGCAAAGATGGAACAAATGCAGCAGATGGCCATGTCTTGGATCGAGGTGCAGTTCCTTCGGAAGGCCGTCGACGTCCTTTCCGAGTGTCGCCGCACCCTCATGTACACCTACGCGTTCGCCTATTACCTTCAGAAGGACAACAACTCTATCATTTTCGAAGAAAATCAAAAGGTTTTCGATTCTAAATAACAATTTAAACGTTTCCTTAAGTGGTCCTAGTGATTTCTGAGAAAATATAACCACTATGAGCTACCTTTAGTGTTATGAAATGATAAGAAAGATCTGAAACTGACAAAAGCTCTTTTAAACGGAAATCGGACACATTTTTCATCAACTTCCACTGTTGAGATGTTTTGCGGGTTTTTTGGATATTACAAATTCGTCCGTTTGTTACTATTTTTTTTGAGTTTTCAAGTGTTTGACTCAAAGAAAAAAAGTTTCATTTATCGAAATCAAAGCTGAAAGAAAATGATTTGTTTTGAGGACTTGGAGATGGAGACTGAAAAGCTTTCGGGCTTTTTGGAACACGAACTCGAGTCGGAAAACCTGGTAACTCTGAAACAGAAGGTAGGGAATCCGAGGGCTTCTTGGTTGATTGAAACGACGAAATAGGTACAAGACAAGTACCGGTACGTGGAGCATCGTCGAGGAATCCTGCTCAAACATTGTCAGGAAGGAACCGAGCGCGACCAGTGGAGATACGCCGAATAACCCTCGTACTAGCCTTTCTTTTTTGATTTTCTTGTGTTCAACTTTCTACGGATGTTCTACTTGTACGTTCGGTTTTTCCTGTCATCTTTTTCTACACAAAACATGAATAAACTTTTTTGTTTCAAATTTATCATGGGTAAGTTGTCATTTCCCTTTTTGCGTTGTAAAAGAGTTCTATTCTGGGTCTGTCCTGCTCATTGACCTGTATCTAGATGCACATAACTTTTCCCTTCGCTTACGCTCTTGACTTGTGCTTTTTTGCCGTGTGTTCCATTTTCTGATGCAGAATATATTTTCAAAACTCGATTTGATCAAAATCTAACAAGCTTCATCTTTCCATTCTTCGTTATCTACTAAATTTTTTCAAAATTAAAGTTAGCTTTTTTCTTGTTTCTTTTTGTTTCATCTACATTCTATTTCAATAGTTTGTATATTAAATTAGTTTCAAAACTTACTCCTTCATAAATGTTTATATAAAATGTCCAACTTATTTCACGACTCGTCTACACGAGCTTTATAGTTATTTGCAGCGAAGACCTTGTATTTTCTTCCCTTTAATTTATTCAGAAGGTCTCTACGCACATCGACTGAGCAAAAATGTCTCTGGCAGAAGAATTGATGGCGGATTTCGACGACGACGATGACATGGAAGATCTGGAAGATGGCGAAAATGTTTGATGGATCTAAGCAGTTGCGTCGTCTCCGGTGGTACTGATTCTGTCGCTTTGCAGGAGATCAAGGAGGAGGAAGACATTGAGGAGGCCACTGAAGAGCAGCCGGACACGCACAGCTACAATTCCGTCTACGACGTCGCCAAATTATCAAAAAGCGAACAGTGAGCGAACGTCTTCTCAACCTTTGTTAATGCGAGGCTCAATTCAGTTACCAGAAGTTGGTGAAGCAACTGAACAGTGAGCTGGAGCGACCGCCGGATAGCGTCGAGGTGACGGCGCCTCTGGAGGCCGATCCTCAGTATCAACTCATCGTCAAACTCTCCAATGTTTGATAACCTTTCCCGGAATTGTTTTTCGCACAAAAGGAATGTTCAGCTGGTAGCCGACATTGACAATGAGATAAACGTGGTGCACAAGTTCGTCCGCGACAAGTATGAGAAGCGGTTTCCGGAGCTGGAGACGTTGGTGCCAAACCCACTGGACTACTTGGCGACTGTGCAGCTGCTTGGCAACGATATCAACACGAAAGGCCAGAACAAGGTGGAAGCCAGTTTCAGGAAGAAATCAAGAAGAGTTTGCAGGAGCTTCTAAGCCGAATTCTGCTTCCGGCGACGTGCATCGTCGTCTCGGTGACCGTGTCGACGACCCAAGGCACCAAACTCGAACCCGACGAACTTCAGGCCGTCATGGAGGCCTGCGCCCTCGCCGAACAGATCCATGCCGTTCGTTTCTCCATTCTTTTCCCTATCGGTTTAATGCAATTTGTGAAAAATATTAAATCCTTTTTTAGATTTTTTTATCTCTATAGAAATGACTTAGATTTTTTTTTTTGAAAGCCAAATTTCAGGACCGCATCTCTATGCACCATCTGATCGAACTTCGGATGGCCCTCATTGCTCCTAACCTTGTCCATCTTTTGGGAGCAGCGACCACAGCACTTTTGGCGAGTTTTTGCTCTTAAAATTTTTTTTAGAAAGAGTGCCATTTCATCTGAAATTTTCCGCTTAGATCGCACAAAAATTTCCATTTTCGGACCAATGTTTCCCAAAAGTATATCATGAGTTTTCAGTGTTCAAAAGTTCATCAATACACTCTCAGATACATGGGTATCAGCTGATTCATGTGAAATCGACACGAATTATTTGCTAAGAATATTTAAAAATATTAGCGGACCACAAAAAAATAATGATGAAGAATGAAAAAGCAAAAAATCCTCTAACACCGCCAATTTTTGATGGCTTTTTCGAAATCAAAGCTTTGAGCGCGATGAATTTCTTGTGAACAGAAAACAAAGTTCCAATAATACTTTTTAAAAATAGACAAAAGGAATAATTCAAGCAAAATTCAGACAGGTTAACTGAAAATTTCCACTTTTTGAATGTTGGAATTTGGTTTGCTGACTTCCACCTTCTAAGTAGACCGCCCCCCACACACAAAAAATAGCTCTACGAGGTGATCATTTATATCTGCCATGTGCTTTCAAAAACGCAAGTAACTAAATTTGAAAATTAGGGTTGCTATTTCTTTTTTTTCCTGAAGAGACAGTCGCTTTGAAGGTCTCTCAAGCGGGAGGACTCGCTCCATTGGCGCGCATGCCTGCCTGCAACATCCAAGTGCTCGGACGCCAGAAGAAGAACCTCGCTGGCTTTTCCTCGGCCGTCAACCCGCACCACGGCTTCGTCTTCTTCCATCCTCTTGTTCAAGGAATGCCGCCTGATCTCAAAGGGTTTCGAACTTTTCCACGATCTTTTGGAGGCTTATTTCTTTCATTAATTTTTAAATATTTCAAATTTCACTGATTCTATCGATTTTTGATTATGTTGTTCAATGAAGGAGAACTTTTTTGATTTCCAGGAAAACTGCGAAGATTCTTGCGGCGAAAGCAACTTTAGCAGCACGCGTCGATGCTCAGCACGAATCTCCGAATGGAAACATTGGCAAAGACCTTCTCGACGAGGTCCGAATATTTTTAGAACTTTTTTGATTTCGATTTCAGGTACGTCGCAAAATGGAGAAAATGCTAGAGCCTCCGCCAGTGAAGGCGAACAAAGCGTTGCCGAAACCTCTGGACAAGGCTAGCAAAAAGCGCGGAGGCCGCAGAATGCGAAAGATGAAAGAACGTCTGGGAATGACCGAATTGCGCAAGAAACAGAACCGAATGAACTTCGGAGAGCTTGCCGAAGACGTCATGCAAGAGCACATGGGATTCGATCTGGGCCATGTGGGTGTCTTCTTCTAGAATCTGATCGAAAGTTCTAAAAGGAAAAAAGGCTTTTCATCAGAAATTATCTTGCAACCTTTTCCACGTTTTGTTGTATTTCAAATTTATCTTCTCATCTGATTTCTTTTTTTCGTACGCATTATCGGATTGAGACCGTTTCGGATTCCCCTGTCTACTGATTCTCACGGAAAATATCTAGTCAACATTATTTCAAAATTCTAAAAAATTTCGTTGTCAACAACCTTTCAATTTTTTTTTTCCTTACTGTTTCATGAGATCAAAAAAAGTATATGAAATAATTTTTTATACCATTTTTATATCATCAGTTCCCGAATAGAAAAAAAAACTTTCACGAGAAAGATCATGTTACTCGGACTTATAAACTTACAAAATTTTCCTAAAGCGCTCTTTAATGTGTTAGATGTCGATCCTGGAGGAAACTTGCTTTTTTTAAAGAATGCTTCATTGTCTGGCTTATTTTCCAAAAATGTGTTTAAGGTGAAAACAGGAAATGCGGCTGGCGGACGAATTCGCACGGGAGTCGTCGACAGCAAAACGCGCTTGAGGATGTCGCAGAAATTGCAGCGACAGCTCGAAAAGCAAAGAGCTGCCGGCGGCGTCACGAGCCTCAAGAGCAAGGTTCGCCAAACCGATTTTCGCACAATTTTTTTTTCCTGTTTCAGGTGGCAGGAACGGCCTCGTCAGTCACTTTCACGCCAGTCCAAGGCTTGGAAATCGTGAATCCGGCCGCTCAAGAGAAGCCAACGTCTTCCTCTTCTTCGAACTACTTCTCGTCAGCCGGCAGCTTTGTTAACATCAATAAGATGACTCTTTGAGACGCATTCTAATTTATTTTTTATTTTTACCTTCTACTGATTTAATTATTTTAACATATTCTGTTCAAAAATCTTCGTTGGAGTTTTCAAAGACGCCGATGTCTTCGAATAATAATCCAAAATGTTTCTTCTTCCAAAGTTTGTCTATGCTCCTTTAGAAACTCTAAAAGGATTTGTGAACAAACTTCTTCACCTCGATCTTGCAGAGCAACACGTTTTCTGTTCCCCATCTACGAGTTTTTCGTTTATAATGAAGTTATTTTCGTTATTTTCATCATTTTTGTGGTTGCAAAATATTCAAAGATTCCCGTAGAAGGGCCAATTGAAGTTATTCTCGTTTCAGAATAATACCTACTGTAAGTCTTAAATCAAGAAAAAAAAACGTTGAATTGCTGAAGTGAGACGTTTCTCTGTGAACCCAAGTCGTGTCTGGCGGAATGAATGTCGAATGGCTCCTGAGGCGATCGCAACAGCCCCGCCTTGACACAATGCACAGGAGCCGGAGAGAAAACTCGGCAGCTCACAACCCGCCTCCCAATCTTATCTCGCGCGGCCTTTCTGACCTCACACCGACTTTTGCCGTGTCCGAACTTCTATCGATCTTCTGTAATGAAACGTATTCTGATTCTACTTCTGATGACCATCGTGCACGCTCTCGCTTCAGAAGAGGGCGAAATCGAGGTTTGATCCGCTTTAAAGATGTACTGTTTGAAAAAAATCTGCTTTTTGTAAATGTTCAAATAGTTGAAAACGTTACCAGAAAACAGGCTGAAACACAGTGAGACTACCGTCCGAAAGTCACTAGAATTATTTTTTCTTTGAACTGATTCCGAATCTGAGCTTAGAAGTTGCCGCTAAGATGTGTGAAAGAGACCTAAGTTGAACAAATATACTTCTTTTAAGTTTTGGTATACCTTTCACAAAGCATTGTGGAAGTTTTTTTAGTGCATTTTTGAAATAATTCTAAAAAACTACATTAAGGGACTACAATCTGATTAAAAACCCCAGTATCAGTTAAGATAATAGACTTATTAGCGTTATTTTTTAAGCCTAGAATTCGCTTGTTTTCTTTTCTTCATTCGGAGTTGATTCTTCATCAGAAAATTCCAAGAATTTGGAAATTGGCATTTTTCAGATCAAACAGTCGTTGCCGCTCTGCAAACGGATAAACGCCTGCGGAGCGACTTTGTCGACATATCCGACCCTCGAAGACACGACGTCTTCTGGCTGGACTTCTGGCGTCGTTCCACTCTACGACGAACTTCTTACTGTGCGTTTTGACCATTTTTTTTCCCATCAAGCTCTTTTTCAGTCTGAGACGAGGTCTGTGGTTTGGGGTTGAAATCAATATTTCCAGAATGAAATCTTCGACTTTTCGGCGGAGCCAGACATGCGGAATTTCCACCTATGTGCGTGTCCAAACAACAGCACTTGCGAGTTCGATTCAGAAGACAACAGCGTCAAGCTGGATAATGTAAGATTTCAAATTTCTTTTTTTTTAGGACATTTCCATATAATAGATCTCTTTCAATCGAAGTGATATAAACTATCACTAAACTGTTTCCGAGCCGCCATTTTTTTGGATCGAGTTCTGAGACCCTTGGAGAATATATTTGCCTGAAGTCTTCTTAAGCTTATTTATTCTTCATTTCTCACATCAGGAGTGAAATGATTTCAGCACTTGACCCTGCGTTTGTGTCGCGAGGCCGACTTCCCGACGGTTTGCAAAAGAAACGTCGCCGTCGTCCGAGTGATCGGTCCAGCTCATCTTTCTGGTTCGTTATGGTCTTTCGATTAAATCCTTTTTTTCAATTACTTCTCATTTTTGAACTTTATCCTGTGTCTTGTTACACGTTTAGGCCATGCAGACTTCACAGATTTTTGTTTATGATACGCGGATTTCGGTAGCGAAAACCGGATGTTTCTGAACAGTTCTAGGGATTACTTAAGAGTTTTGACGCTACTGGAGTGGTCACTAGGAATGCCCTGACACAAAAATTTTTTACGAATGTTTCAAAACAGCGTGATTTCTCTGCGTTATCTTTTTTCCATGGCGACGCTCCCTTGTTTACGTGCTGTTTTCGTGTTTTATGACCTCGCCGGCCAGGAAAAAAGACGCGGACATGTCAGGTTGCTTCAAGTCGGGGCGACTATGTTACATTTATCGAACGTTGAATTTTATACTCTGTAATGAGCGACTTCGATTGAGAAGCAGATCAGCTGAGAACTCGAAATCAATCAGAGGGATCGATTGAGAAGAGTGATTGTTGTTGCAAATGCCAGATGGCTGGCAAATCGGCTGATTGCATCACCGATTTGCTGCCACCTGACACAGCTCCCACGATTCTCTTTTTATGCCGCAAACTTGTCCTTTTCATCTTTGCCGCCGATGCACTACAACAGGAAATAAAAATTCCGAGATGATTTCAGCAAGAGAAGCCGTGTCTCTTAGACTTGCCCCCTTATGAAAAAAGCATTTGTTGATTCTCTTTATGGTACTGCCTTATTTGAAAATTGAAAAGTGTGTCGGCATTATTTTGAAGATTCTTCTAGAGACTGATTGAAAGACTAATTCTTGAGAATATTTTTTTGTAGTGGATCTACTACAATAAAAAATTGTCCAATTTTTGTATTTATCGCCTTGTCTCGCACCTTCGAACAATTTTAAAAGCTCTAAATCGTCTGTATTTTCATCGACAGACAAATTCGACTTTTTAATCCATTTTTCTCGGCTTGAGGGGTGTGAAAGAGTTAGCAATGTGAGGGTCAAACCAATTATTCTACCGGCCGAACTTTTTTATAGAGACTATTTTCAAGCATCAAATGGGAATGCCATGGCAGCTTTTTGAAAAAGATGGATTCAAAAAATACATTTTTTTAACACGTCTTATTCAGGATACAAATTTCCTGAGAAAAATATCTTTCTGTCTACTGGAATCGACTTATTCTCGAACAAAAAAAAAATACTGAAACATGTGTCGCGTCACAGTTTTTTAAGCTGTTGACACCAGGGCCATCCATCGTTGTTGAGAAGACAGCTTTAGGGTGAAAAACTGTTGATGAAAGTTTACAGCGACAGCTGCACGCAAAAAATGAGTCACCCGTGCAACTGGAAACAAAAACAGAGATTTTCTCGAGTTTCGGATATTTGTTGACGTATTCGCCTGGGAATCAAATGATAGAATAGTTTTTTATTTTGAATTTGTAGGCGACAGCGTGGAAGCAGTCTCAAACGCCGCCGTTTTCTGCAAATGCGCCTCCGGCTTCACCAGGACGCCGTTCGAGCAATGGGGCGGCAATGAAATAATGCTCAACTACAAATGCCTATGACTTTTTCCCATTCTGGCATCCTACTTTTTCCTTTTTTTCTGCATTTTTTTATCTGTTTCATTCGCCCGAAGGGAAAAAAATCTAATTACTTTAAATATCAGATAATTCTCAAATTCGACGCAAACTCGAATGGAGACTTTGTAAAAAAACAAAACCAAAAACCAGATAGTCAAGGATAAAAAAATGTGCCCAAAGTTCAAATATTGTTCAAAATCTCATGGAACGTTCTCCCCTCCAAAGTACGGTGATTTTCAATCAATTTAAACTTTTGACTCCTCACTTTGATTTTTAGACAGGATTTTTTACGCTCATCATTTTGTTTAACCTTTGTTCTAAACTTTATTTCTTATTTTTTTAACTGTCTTTACAAACGAGTTCAAACTATTTATTAATAAAAATAGAAAGCTTTTAAAGTTGGGCTGGATGTGGAAAAATAAGCAGAGAAAATGGAAGGATAAAAGAGACTTAAGAGCGACTTTCCCTGTGAGTCCGATCTGGTCGTAGTTCATCTCTACGAGAAAATTCATTACCAAAGTCTCTTCGCGAAGATTTTGGTTGATCTGAAGGCCTTACTTAATGAGTTATGTATTATTGGACTATAAAAAGGACATTTTGAATCTTTAAAAATCCGATTATTTCCAAATAATTGCTCTATCTTTTGAAATCGAGGTTTCTGCACATTGAGCCAAGTCAAAAAAAGTAACTAACAGGAGTTACGGTCGCGATGAGCTGAGCGACTTCGACTTCTCTCTCGCTTTTCGGAACGAGCGTTCTCCCTTCTGTTGCCAGTGGAATGGACAGAATTCTGAAGCAACATGCAAATTTTTCAGCAAGAGTTCCAATGTCTCACCAAAACTTTGCGGTTTGATTCTCTTGAAATTATATCCCTATTCCGATTACTTCTATGAGGACTGCTTCTTCTTCGACTTTTGCTTGAAATGTCCGCCTCGACAATTTTGTGATTTTCTAAAACCTCCATGATTAGCAGTGATAAGTAAATATATCGTAGCTTTATTTTTCTTTTTCTTATACATTCGAAGACGAGAAACTTTCTGTTCAATTTATTTGTTTTTTGGTTTTATTTTTTAAATATTTTGTGATTTAACTTTATGAGTAGGAAAATTCTGAAGCACGCCGATCCTAACCTTTTTGATCTCAAAATAATTACCCACCTTGTGAACTAATGAGTTCTTTCCGAGCGGTTAATTGTTTGTCAAAAGATTTCGTTCCAAACTGCGAAGCGCTTTTTTCCACCGATCGACATTCGACATGTTTCTTGTTGTTCGTGCTACCACACTGCTCAATCTTTGTTTGCCGTTTAGCGTCCGGCTGACATATTGTTTTTTGGAAACTTTCCGCCTTTTTAACAATTTCAGGCGGTTCGTTTCTCGTTTCCGCGGCGAAGCGAAGATTGACAAGTTCAGGAAGCTTGCTAGAGACCGACTTCAACGTCTTATTTTCCGTCTTTGCCGCAGGCATTAATGTTGGCAGACCGTCAGAATTGACGTCTAGCATATTGAGGTGTAACCAGACGTTTAAATCTTCGAGAGAATTGAACTCTAACTCTACGCGGTTGCTTGCTCGAAAAATCTGAACAGAAAATTCTATTTTCCATATTTTATAAATGTTACTTTCGAATATTTCGGAGTTAAAGTGCACTGACGATCTTTGAAATAATGTGTGCAGTTGGGACAGCACACTGCTCCACTAGCTTCCAATCTTAGAAGAATATATTAATGAGAAAATATCGAATATGAACTTACTTAAGATTAAGATTCAAGATTTCAGTTTCTAAGCTTTTCACTTTTCTCCTCGCGACGATGATCAAGTCGCGTAGAAGTTTCGCATACTTTTTCACCTCGTTTTTCTTCTGAAAGGGTTTTTTATGAGCAACAGCCAATCGTAGTATGAGCCTTGTAGGCACTGACAAGATCAGAGATTTCCGTAGGAATGGTGCAGACGGGTGTTTCTTTGACCACCTGATCTAAAAAGAAAAACCTTTTTGTTTCGCAATGAGACAGCTAACCAATATCAGACGAAAAAGCCAAGTCGTAAAGATCAGCTTCATCCATAACTTCTCCAAAGCTCTGCAAAATATGACTAAGGTCAAATACGTTAAATTTTTGCTTAAAAAAGGAGAGAATTCTGAGAGAATGCCCAACACGCCGTTCCTAATGTCGTGAACATAGCAGTTACGCGAAATAGCTGTGAAAAGATTACCGAATTTCGGAGAGTCGGAGATAAACTCTCACGGCGCTCTCCGTGAGAGCCTCGGTAACGCAAACCGGACGCGTTCCGGGTGTTTTTTTTCTGAACGTTTCAAGTAAGAGTGCGAAGCTTTAATTAGATTTTTTTTTCTTTTTGGTTTGCGTTACCGAGGTCCGAGTAGTGAAAGAAAATGTTAAATTTTGAAAAGAAGGGACATTTTGCTTCAATAAAAAAAACTCATTCTAACCTGAAATCTCGGAAAAAACGAAAAAGCTCCTCAAAAGTCCCTTTTGAAAAACTTTTTAAAACAGCTTCTTAGGCCTCAGAAGGGTCACCAAAAAAATTTTTTTCAATTTCTTTATTGTATCTCAAGAATTTTTTTCATATTCTCTTAAAGAAAGATTCTGGGAAGCAACTAGAAGGGTTCTAAATGAAAAAGGAGCTCAGAAGACTTCTTGCCATAAATTTATAGGAGCTTTTAGCGGAACCTATTCAGCTCCTTCTGAGGCACTCATGATGGTTTCGAAGCAACTGTTCCGTATAAATGTAAAACGGAATTCCGTTTTACATCTATTTTCAGACGTCTGCGCGTTCAATGAGAAACACGGGATGCCCTCAAAACCAGGTCAAAAATAAAACAAATATTATTTTAAGTTCAAAAAATATACTTTTTCAGAGAACCAAGTTTAAATTGATATTGTCATTCAAATGATAAAGGAAACATTTTCTAAAACACCCCCATCAGTTTCTGATTTGAATTCAATTTTTCGCGCCCTTTTCACGCATTTTATGACGCCATGTCATGAAAGCGCTAACACAAAAGATTCCCTGTCACATCAGTTTAGACCTACGGGGACCCGTCCGGTTTGCACTGCGCCGTCTCCGCTGGCCATACTAAATCATTTTTTTCTATTTAATGAAATTAAAATGTCTATATATTTTCAACACTCATGCCGTGTTCAAAGTGATTCCGGCAAAAGTGCCACATGAAAAAAAAGACAACTAAACTTTTGGAGAGTCATGGATAATTTTGCATTTTACGGAAATTATTTTGAACACTACATAATAGATTAAAAAAATACAGAAAAAAACGACAGTGTATATAGAAATTGGCAATCTCGCAAAAATTTGGTTCAGACTCACGCGGGTTAGGCTCCATTTAAGGATCTCGCTTTTTTCTAGGCGCGACCTCGAATTTCTCTCGCTTTAGAAAAAGTTTTCTCATGCACTCGAAAATTTTCTTTAAAAAATAAATTTGAGGGTTTTAAAAAATACGAGGTCGCGCCAAGCGAAATGCAAGACCCGCGCAGTTTACAAAGCAGTACTTTTGCAAGGTCGTCAATGTATTTTTATGTTTTAATACGTATATTGTCGTGTTCAAGGGGATTCCGTGAAACTAAAAATAGTTTCCAGAGAGTGAAAAAGATAACTGAAATTTATTTTTATCTCGACAGTTATTCATAGTGAAGGAGAGGGTATTATGCCAGATAAAAAATATATTCTTTCTGCTCGATAGATTTGGGAAAATTTTCAGATGTCCTCTTATGACAAGTTTCGTAAGAGTAGAGTTATTGTCGAATCCTCGAGCGATGAGGATGTCGTCGAACAATCTCTCGAGGTTTCAATATCTTTATCATCGAGTGTGAATTTTTTTTTCAACAGAGTGATGAAGAAGTTGAAGATTCGCAGAACATGAGCGTCGCGCCGTCCACCGAAAATGAATCCAAAGAAGTCATAGATGATTCTTTTAACGGAGGCCAAGATGCTTCAATGTTAAGCACAAGCTCTCCAAAGGTAAACTCCTTTTTTTCTGGTTAAAGTTTCAATTTTTCAGTCTGTGATAAGAAGTCAGCATTCATCTTTCGCAACATCAACTCCGAACTCCAAAAGCATATCAGTATCTTTTTTTTCATTCATTTTTTTATCTGAAAAGATTTTTTTCAGAGGAATGACGAGGACCTCTCTGTTTCACTCAGAGAAATGTCTGTCCATTATTCATCAAACCACTCGGGATCTTCGATATCGAGGCGCGACGCTCAGCGACACTCCGGTACTAAATTTCTCTTTCTCACCACTTCCATTGGTTATATACAGGAACGTCCGATGAGCTAGACCGAAGCCGCAGCTTTCACGAAGGTAAGTATATAACTTTTCGGCTTTTTTTTGCCAAAAAGGAAATTCTTAGGCGATCTCAACTATAGTCCTATTTCGAAGGAACTGGCGAAGAACTCCGACAATGTGTCTAAGCAGTGTCTGCGAGAACGTTTATTGCGAAAAAGTATTGGCAAAAGAGGAAAGGTGCTTTTCTCTACTTTCCATCTAGAATCTTGTGATTTATTTTCTCAGGAAAACCGGAGGAATTTGCAAGAAACTACAAATGGCTGGGGCATTCCAAATGGCGAGTCCCTGATCTCCAGTACTCTCAGCCCAATCCCGAAGAACAACGACAGGAAATACCAAGCCTTTGAAGATGTTCGTTCTTACTTTTCTGCATCTCCATTTTCACCAATTCTGAAACGTATTTGAAATCGAAATAAAGAGCTCCCTTCATATGGAGAATTTCTCTCTTACCTTTTCAAATGATTTTTGCTAAACCTTGAGAAATCCCTTTAAGAACTTCATACGAGTTTTATGTTTTGAAACTGGATAAAAAAAGCATTTTTTAAGATATGAAAGTTGTAACGAGTTTTTATTGTAAGAAAAGTTTTCTTTTTTTCCTTCCAAGAACGAATTTCCAGGAAATCTCAGGCGAAGAACGTGCCGAGATAAAGAAAAGTGCACTGACTCGTGTAGTACTGGACAGTAGCGACGAAAGCGAGGGCGGAAAAGAACTATTGGTTGAGGGTGAAAGCTCGGCGTCAGTGCAAGAATTTGATGAAGAAAGTTTCAAGTAGGACTGTATCTTATTTGCAAGCGATGTTCTGGTTGACAGAGAAGAACAACAGTCCAGCGACACTCCAGTCGTGGAGAAAGTTCAAGCGCCAGTTCCAAAAGATGTGAGAGTATTTTTTTATCATTTTAAATATTTCCTATCAAACACCTCAGGTTGACAATTACCAGCAAAAGTCGACAACAGAGCTTGAACAGAAAAAATGCAATCTTGAGGTACTTTTTTGGTCATTAGACATTTTTTGTTTCTTTTTTTCTTTTAGAAGCTTCTCAAGTACGCCAACAACCTGCCTGACAAAGGTCTCAAGCTTCAGACTGAGCTCACAAATATTGCCAAAGTCCTCGAAAATCGGGCTGTCTGTTTTTATTTTTATTTTTTATTTTCATTAACTTATTCTTTCAGCTCAGCAATGAGTCGATCATAATTGACGATGTCAAAGAAGACAGCGATTTGCAAGTTGTGGGAGAAAGACGCGTCGTGCCTCCTCCTTTAACACGTCCCGGAGCACCTATCCTCATACCGCCACAGCCCATGAAGGTCGACTACGATCAGCTTAATCAGAGTGAGAATCATTTTCTAGTTCAAAGATGAGTTCATCTTTTTGAGATGAACAGAAGAGACTGTTCGGCGGGCAAATGACTGAAACGCGAGTTCAGAAGATCAACATGGTCACCGACAAAGTTTTGTTCAACTTGCACGAGTAAAAAACAAATCCAAGAAGAGGGTCGATCTTGAAACTTGTATCTAGGGCGTTGACTCAAGCTCCCGACGATCAGAAGATGACTGAAACACCTGAAGGGATTCTCATCGATTTGATGCCACATCAAAAGACAGGCCTGACGTGGTTGTGTTGGCGTGAAACTCAGGCGAATCCGGGAGGAATCCTCGGTATGATTTCTTTGGCTTTTTTTCCGTAGTACATGAAGATTCTATACGTAGGCAAAAAACTCAGCAGAAAGAGTGACGAAAAATTGTAAAATAAGGAATAACAAGTTTTTCAGCCGATGATATGGGCTTGGGAAAAACTCTCTCCATGATCTCCCTCATCGTTCGCCAGAAAAAAATCCTCCGAGGTTTGCGAGAATCGGGCGACGAAGAGTATAAGAAACGACGTCAAGCAGCTAAAGACGTGGGGTATGTTATTCCATCCTTTCACACTCCAACAAGTTGTTTTGAGTTTGATCCCCTCCAATGGGAATCTTGTGATCGCGCCTGCTTCGCTCATTTATCAGTGGAAAAAGGAAATCGAGGATCGCGTGGAAGATGGCCTTCTTTCAGTATACATGTACCACGGGCCGAAGCGCGAAAAAGACGCCAAAAGGTGTCGATTCGCTTTTATGCCCTGTGAAAATGAATGTTAAGGCTAGCGCGCTATGACATCGTCATCTCAACCTACGCTTTAGTCGGAGGTGAAATAACTGAGAAGATAACCACAGCTAATAACGTGAGTTATTCTTTTACACATGAAAAACCTCTTCTCGTGGTCATTGGACTGAAGGTGGTAAAAAATTACTTTTTAGGAAGACAAAGATTCCGATGAAGAAGAAAAGCATCAGAAAGGTCGGGCCAAACGTGTGGGGCGCAACGACTCGCCCCTCGTGCAAATTTCCTGGGCCAGAATCATCTTGGACGAAGCGCACGCCATCAAGAATCGCACAACTGCCGCTTCAAAGGTTTTTCTTTTTTGAATTCCTATTTCACTCTCTTCGAGGCTGTTTTTTTTTCAGGGTGTTCTTTTCTATACTTTCAGCTAACTATTACCTATGAATCGTCAAAATTTCTAAGAAATATTTTTTCTTAACAAGTCAGAAAGAACAAAAAGCGTTGCATTTATTCGTTCTATATGTGATAAAATATCGAAACATGGAATTAAGGCTGCCTGTCGTATTCCCGCGATGGCGCGTTGGTGTCTCACCGGTACTCCGATCCACAACGATCTGTGGGACTTCTTTAGCTTGATCAAGTAAAGTTCGAGGCAATTTTTGTGATAGTTTGTCATTTGAAGATTCCTACGAGTGGCTCCTTTCAACGACGAAAAGTATTGGAGAGAGTATATCATGCCAATGAAGCGTGAGTATTCGAACATTATTTTAATGTAAACCATAATTTGAAGAAATAAGAAAGATTGAAATGAAATGATTTTTGGTTTTTAGCTTTTTGTTGTTTCAGAGAAAATGGCAGATCGAGTGAATCTTCTCGTGAAAAACTTGCTGCTGCGCCGTGATAAGGCGCAGAAATGCTCCGTCACGGACAAGAAGATCGTCGACCTCACGGAAAAAGTCTTTCAGGAACATCTGCTCGAGTTGCAAGGCCCCGAAAGTGCCGCATACGAAATCCTCTTCCAAGCTTCGAAGTTATTGCCAATCAAGTTCATTCTTGATTATCTTATTTCAGAATGAAAGTTCAAGAACTTCTGGAACAGGGCGATGACGTCTTTGGAGCACGTCGCCGGAGAAAAAATCGCAACGAAACGGGTGCAGAAGTCCGCAATCCCTTTCTGCGTCAGTGATTCTTTAAAAATAACGAAAAACTGCTTGAATAGCGTTTGCGTGTTGAAATATGAATTTTTTCATTCAGTGAGACTTTCCACTTGTCGCTACCCAAAGAAAAACTATGTCGAAGTCTTATGAGCATGTGAAGTTGATATTTGTTCAAGCGTTCATTTTCCAGAAGGTCCGCGAGTTATTCGCCCGGGAGACAAGTTCCAGACAATGTCTTGCGTCCTGGTCATGCTGCTGCGTTTGCGTCAAGCCTGTGTCCACTTTCATCTGACGAAAACTGTAAGTTGCGGTTTGGAAGATAAATTAGAGTACCGAACTCCGTGCAGGGAATGGACCTCGAGGCTTTCGAAACGATTGGCGTCAGCAATGAAGAAGCAGACGTCGAGTCGATGCTGCAGCAATCAATGCAGGAAATGTCCCTCGATGAGAGCTACCAACAAGATGTTCTCAGCAATGCTCAGAAAATATTCGAGCCGGATTTCATCAGCACAAAGGCTAGTGTTCTTTTTCTGGACTTTGATTATAAAAGGTGCGTTTCAGCTGAAGAAGCTTCTTGAACTGGTCGACAACATTTTGGAAAAGAAAGACAAGTGGTATGGGATTTTTCTTTGTCCCGTGATTTTCATGCTCTATATCTCCCTGCATTCATTTCTAAAATTTAGTTCTTGTGTGAGAGATTTAAATTTTGATTTGGTTCGAAGCTGAAAGGTTTCACTTCTACCTTTTCAGCGTAATAGTGTCTCAGTGGTCAACTTTGCTGAGCACAGTTGAGTTCCACATCAAACGACGTGGCATACAGTACACTAGCATCACAGGATCAGTTGCGCCAGCTGTGCGGTATGCTTCATTTCAGCATTTGCTTCCAAGCAATTTCTTACAGGCAAGTCGCCGTGAACTCCTTCAATCAAGAAAAAGGCGGGGCTTCTGTGATGCTCCTTTCACTGACGGCCGGCGGCGTTGGCCTCAACCTCATTGGCGGCAACCATCTAATTTTGATGGATTTGCACTGGAACCCGGCTCTAGAGCAGCAGGCCTTCGATCGAGTCTATCGAATGGGCCAAAAAAAAGATGTCTTTATTCACAAGTGATATTAGCTGCTTTTCCTGATTCCAAAATAATATTCCAGGTTGGTCATCAAGGACTCGATTGAAAAGCGCGTTTTGGATCTCCAACAGAACAAACTGAATCTCGCTAAAAGTGTTCTTGAAGGGTAGGTTATCACGAAAAAAAAATACATAGTTTTGAACTAAACATTTTTTTACAGTGCTGCTTCGAAGAAGATGAACAAACTGACGATGGCTGATCTTCGTTTCTTGTTCGACCTCGACGACAAAACAGATAAATAACTTGGCGAAAATTTTGACTATGACCACTTCTTACTCAAACTATGTTCACGGAAATTGTAAAAATCCAACGAAATTCCTTTACCCGAATGCGTGTTCTCGAAAACGGTTATTTACTAAACTTGTCGATTCTTTTCTCTATTTTGATCATCAAAATCTTTGAAATAAAATTATCACTTAAAATTTTAAGTTCTTCATATATGAAAAAAAAAGGTCGTTCATCTCAAGCAGGCCTCAAGCAGGCAGAAACAATTAACAGTCGTTTGAGAATGAAAACGATACATTTTTTGAAAATTAATCAAAGTTCTTCCTCGGCAGATTTCTTGAGCTCGCCAAAAACTTCTGCAGGCACAGCCTTTGTAGAAACATCCATTTCTGAAATTTTTGTTTCAGGTGGTTTTGACAATGTTCGAGAACCTTCTTCCTCTTCTTCATCGGCGTCGATGTCGATCTCGTCGGGATTGTCCGTGGTGCTCTGCTGCACAGTTTTGCTCTCTCCACGCACAAACGATATGTTTCCTTTGTTGAAGGACATTTGCGAAATCGTAGCTCCTTCCGCCTGAATCAAGAAAGTCAGACGCTACGTGATGAGAAGTGAAAATTATGAGTAGCCAAGAATGAACCTGATCGGGGGCGCTTCTGTCCAGAGTATCCATGGCGTCCGTAGTACCAGTTGTCGTCTGTAAAAAAGGACTTTTCAAAAAAGAGTTTGAGAGGAAAGAATCAAACCTCATTCGTTTTCCTCTCGGCGTCTACTCGCATTTGTACCGACGTCAATGTAACGTTTACATTGTAAGAAGCCTGATAGAGGAGAATATTTTTCATAGCTTCGACCAATTTTAAAGACTCACCTCAACGGAGCGTTTCACACGCAGCATGTCGCGCACCGTAGCTTCATTTCCATGTTGCACTTCGAACGTCCGCCAAGTTTCCCAGAACTTGACATGAACCTGAAAAACCAGTTCAAAAGCTTAGTTATTACAGCAGACAGGCCTTAGGATCGGATATCTCGGCCGCGTGTGCATAAACAGCTCTTGCGCGGTCGATTTCGCCAACCGTTGTTTCCAGTTGGGCATATCGGAGACTCATAGATCTGGAAAGATCTCGGAAAATAACAGCCGAAAGACGAAGACAGCTACCTGGACTTTTCTTCGGGCAATTCAGCAATCGCCCGCTCATATATAGGGCGACAGTGAGCAATTCCGTACATTTCTTGCACTTTTTTGATATAAATATTGTACATCTGCAAAAATGGTTTTCAATGAGAAGACGAAAAAAAAAGAGAACCAAGTGCATATCGGTGCGGTCAACTCCAGAAGTTGCCCTGTTATAAATGGACAAGGCGTGTCGAGCCAATCCGTGCTCTTCTTCCAATTTGGCATAAAGCAAAAATATGTCTGAACAAAAAGGATTCATTTTTAACCGGAAATCTCACATTTTGCGTATTTAGGAGGACAAGACTCCAAACATTGCTCGAATAAGTCACGTGCACGTTCCAATTTTTTGCCTCCCTGGAAAAGAGATTTTAATTTACTCAGAGCGAATTCTTCACTGACATATCGTTTGATGAATTTGACAAGGTAGGTGTTCCAGATGTCAAACACGTTGGGCCACTTGAAAAGAGCGATTCCACGTTCATAAGCCTGAAAAGCCGTTTCAACATCTATTGTGATGTGAATAAAGAAACCTGGAAGGCCAATTCGAAATATTCGTTTTCCTCTAAAAAGAGGGCAAAATTCATGATCATCTGAGGTGACGCAACGCGTAGGTCGATCATCTGTTCGTAGACCTTCTTGCAGGATTCAACCTGAGAGATCATTCTTTGACATACTCTCAAAAAACAAAATCTACCGTTCCAATGCATTCTTCGTAGTCGGCATACTGTCCCCAAAGAACTGGACTACGGTAGACGCGCGCTTGAGCCGGAGGCAGACTGTCGATTTCATTGGCCTGGGGAGGCGTGCAGGCTCGTCGCAAAAGAGCCAAGGCAACTTTCGGACGACTAAACCCGAGAATGTGTGTGGTTAGAGACACAGTCAAATGAAAAATTAATAAGTTGCAATTAGCGCATGTAAGGGATTATTCTAGTTTATGTGCCTTTCATCAAAATAGTCAAAATCTGAGCTGAGCACGGCAGGAACTCCCTTATCTTCACCAGAAACGTATTGAAGTCTGAGAGCATTCAGAATTACGATTTTCTACGAGCTGAAACCGAAATATATGCTGAATAGCTCATTATTGACTTTTCGACTAAAATAATCGGTTCCTATGAAAAACCGAAACCTCCAAAAGTATTTCTTTACTATAAAAGAGGGGTTCAGCCTTCAATAATAGTTTGGATAGTGTTTTCTAGAACGCTTTGTCCTAGTATAAAACCCATACTCATGAAAAGTTGCGAGTAAAAAAAATTGATTTAGAAGAAAAATGAAAACCAACTTGTGTCTCATTTCGAATTCGGCGTATGCGCACCAAACATTGGCCAACTCACTAACTGACGCAAAAGGAGCTTTCACGGCCGTTTCAAAAACTTTCCGCGTCTTTGAAAAATTATGGAATGAGGAAAAATAGGATCTCATCTTGCTTACCTCATCCAGTTCCTCGTGCTTTTCGTAAACTTTAGCGAATGATATCCACAAGTCTCTTGCTTTGCCAACCTGAAGCCGCGGATCGACTGCTTTCACAGCTTCTTTGAACGTTTCCACTTGCTGAAACTCTTATAGTGAAGTAAGGAATAAATTGGGAAAAATGACCTTCTCGTAGTCATTTTCAAATATCTCCACTCTGTTCAGCCATTCGGCAACGTTGTGCGGATTCTGTCTCAGGAGAACACTGTTCAACAAAAGATTTCTTCGTTCCATCAAATTCTCAAATCTGTAAATACAACTTGAAATGCATTTAATAATTTCTCACACACCTCTCGAACATCCATTCCAGATCAGTAGCTTCTTCGGGGTCTCCTGTCTTTTCTACCTCCTCCATCATAATGGCCGTTTCCCTTTCTTCAAAATTGGCGTACGCATCAAAAACTTGAGTGAAATCTCGAACTGTCGCCACCTTTGCCATTGCTTCCTCGTAGACATCTCTTGCCTTAAGAAAAGTGCACGAAATAAATAATCAAACTTTTAAAAAGCTTACTCTTTCGAACTCTGCGCTACGGATGTAATAATCAGCAAGAGAGCACCACAGATATCCCACCTGAAGCCAAATTGCTCTATTAGATAGACAGTTTAAAACTATATTTGCTCTGTTAAAAAATGACAAAAAAAGTAAATTGAACCTGATCAGAGTAACGATGAATTCCTTGACGAATGACCGCGTCAACGTTCAACGAAAAGATTTTTACAGGATTCTTTGAAATCAAATCGCACAGTTGTGTCCACAACTGAAGACAAAAGTGGAAAAAGCGAAAGTGACAGTAGAAACCTGATGCGATGTTTTGCCCTTTTCGGAAACTGCTTGATCTTGATCAACTAGCGTAGCCAGTTCCTTAGCCGCTTCATCTATTTGGTCGCGAGAAATAAGATATTCAATATAATCCTCTCGAGCACGAGGGTTGAACTTGAGATATCTAGAAAAACACCTATATTATAAAACTATCATTCCTTGTACCTTCTATAAACTCGAATGGTTGTTTCAGGAAGATCGTGTGAGCTCAAGAATCCAACATATATGTTCCAAATTCTCAAGTGCTGAGTAACTGGCAAGGAACGGAGTGCACGATCGAAAACTCTCCGCGACTCGGTGATTATTCCTCTTTTTATCATTATTTCGCAGTAGCACTGCCAAATACGCGGCATCTGAACAGTATTGATTCATAATCATAAAATAAAACAATGAAAAAACCTTGTGTAGGCGCATCAAACAGCGTTCGTATGCGTCACACAGATATTTCCAAGCGTCGTCCGTCGGACATTTGTGACAAATCGTGTTCTCTCTGTGATTAACTAGAACTTCTGGAAAGGGAAAAAAGATTACCTGAACTTCAGATAATGAAACCAGATCTTGTAACTACGTTGAAAAACGGCTAAAGCTCGTTCATAGATCTTAAATTGCATTTGAAAAATTTTTACGGTTTCAACTTTACCAAGAAAATTTGTTTAGGAGATGCTTTACTTTGTTTCTTATGATCTATATATCTCTGCCAGCAGTTCACTGAAGTTGGATTACGAAGTATATCTTCTTCAAATGGGACGTCCTCGGGAGCCTTAAAGCAAGGTCAGATATGAAAATAGAAAAATTAAACTTACAATCTGCTTTACTGTCTCAAAATTCGGGATCTTGTTCAGTTTTGAGGACAATTGTGAGACGGTGTCGCTTTCATTTTTCTTTATCCGCCATCTTCTGAAACGATATATCGATCTTTCATGAATACAAAAAAAAAAAAAAAAGCTGTTTGGTTCAAATTCAGAGTTACGGCACAACTTTCACAAAAAAACGCAGATTTACGTTCTGAATCTTCGAAATCAAAGAACTAAAAAATCATAAAGAGAATTTGAAAAACTTAAATAAAAAAATATTGTCGTGAATTGAAGTGTGTTGTACGTAAAGTGTTTATTACAATGCAATAATGCTCCAACGAAAAATTTCGATTCCGAAAATTTTTTTAGGCCAAACTTTTTTCTTTTCCTTTTTTGGTTTTTTTTTTGTTATTTAAAAAATCTATCATGGCGATTTGAAAGTAGGATTGAAGCATGTTTCGAAAAGACTGCATTTTTATTCATAAAACTCCGAAATTGCTTCGAAACAGCATTTTTGTATTTTTTTTTTGTTTGAAAAAGTTTTTTGCATTGGGAGACATTTTTTGATTCTTCAAAGTATTACTGCTTTGTAGAGCCTTTTATCTAGACTCTTGTCTTTTTTTTCTGTCTTTTTAGCAGTTTTTAGAGCAAAAGTTTGTTTTCACTATAGATTTTTTTTTCTGTTCTTCTAAAATGTGGCCGTCTTGCGCGGAACGCACTATACCAAGCTTTTGGAACAATATTTTTCAATGCGTTTCTTAACGCAGAAATTCATGTCGCACTCAAAGAAAGAAATAGGCGTTCTGTGTAACAACTCCGTGTTCTAAATAATTAGGAATTTTTATAGCATGTTCAAAGTAATTTCCGCGAAATGAAATATTCTTATAACTCTTTAATGCTGTTTTCCGTGAAATCCAGAATGGCCGCCAGAGAATGAAAAAGTAACTAAATTCTGGAGATTCAGAAGTGATTTTGCATTTTGCGGTGATCACTTTGAACATAGCATAAAACTTATTCATCTTTTTCTTTCTTTGATAGGTATTTTAGATTTCGCGGTAGCACTTTGAACACGGTATTAAATCTTACTTTTTCACTTTTGCTGACCAGGGAACCTTTTTTACCCCCCAGTTGAACTTTTGCTGAAACTTTGCTGAAGTGTACTTTAGGATCCCCTGATTGCAGATCAGAAAAAAATTTCTCGCAATAGATCTTGTTTTCGAGTTATGGAGCTACGAAGTGTAAACAATACGCAAATTAGGCTAAAAAAGCGCCATTTCGAGCTTTTGAAGTGTCCTAACTCAAAAACGAAAAAAAAAATTTTTTTTTTAGCAAAAATGCTTTGAACGCGAGAATACATTCCTATGCATTAGTCAGAGGGCTTTTTAATTATACTTTATTATATCATTTCGCTCGATACTTTTATCGAATTATGCGTAAAAAAATTGACTTTATAATGTTATCTAGTTTTTAGAACGATTTTTAAATTGTATTATAACTAATGCAACAAATATATGCATTTGAAAAACCCCCTGAAAGCATTTAAAAAAAGGATCCTTTATTTGTATGTTGAATGAATGTAAATAATTTGTTGTTAACTATCCGTTACTAATGCATCGAAATTTAATTACTAACAGCAATGACTGGTCGATTTAGGATTTTATTTTGTTTATTAAACACCGACCTTCTTATCTCATAATTACATTTCGAGTTCAAAACTTATTTGACTTTTGTGGCAAAACAGTTTTTCTCGTTCAAAAGTACGTGCCGAATCGCAGAAAAAGTAAATTCTAAATTTGCAAAGAGGAGGAACCGTTCAGTCACTCTCTTGGAATCCGCTGCGTTTCCGCTCGAGCCGTTGAACCCAAAAAATGTTTCTCCGCGTGCGTCAAAGTAGCTTATATTCATTTTTCCTAAATAAGTTTTTTTTTTCGATTCTTACCTTTGGTTGCGTTTATTGAAACCCGTTTTATCATTATCATTATCATCTCGTATTTTATTTTGATAAAATTTCTCTAATGCAAAAATAACTTTCTCATAGTTTTATTTCAGGGTATTATCGCAAAATGGCCAAGCGCACGAAGAAGGTCGGCATCGTCGGAAAATATGGAACCCGCTATGGTGCTTCTCTTCGTAAGATGGTGAAGAAAATGGAAGTAACTCAACACTCGCGGTACACCTGCTCGTTCTGTGGAAAGGAGGCCATGAAGCGCAAAGCCGCCGGAATCTGGGACTGCTCGAAGTGCCACAAGACTGTTGCTGGAGGAGCCTACGTTTATGGAACCGTCACGGCCGCCACTGTCCGATCAACCATCCGTCGTCTTCGGGACCTTAAAGAATAATCCATTTTAATATTGTTGTTGATTTTGTTTTCGATAAAACGAGAATTTCTAGATATTGTTTGATGCATTTTATTAGTCGTTCATTATCTACGGCGCGATGTTCACAACATTGTTATTAATTTTTCATGAAAAAGTTGATTAATGCGTTCATTTGTAGAATTCAGATCGATTTAAATTCTCTTTTAAAATGACAAAGCCGTGAAAGTGACAACATTTCGGAAAAAGTTTTCTTACAGTCAAAACGCTAGAATGGGAGTTCCAGCTTTCTTTCGGTGGCTCACCAAGAAGTATCCTTCCATAATCGTCAATGCCAACGAGGAACGGCAACGTGGGCCTGACGGAAAAAAGATTCCTATAGACTGCACGCAACCAAACCCAAATTTTCAAGTGCGTTTTTTAAACGCATTATTTGATTTTGAGAAAAATTTAGGAGTTTGACAATTTGTATTTGGATATGAATGGAATTATTCATCCTTGCACACATCCTGAAGATCGCCCAGCCCCAAAAAATGAAGACGAAATGTTTGTTAGTGAAGAATTTTTCACGAAATTCTGATAATCGTGTTTCTTGAGGCGCTTATCTTCGAGTATATCGACAGAATATTCTCTATCGTCCGACCTCGACGAGTAGATCCTAATTTTTTTCCCACTCAAAATAAAAAAAAAAATTGTAGCTTTTATACATGGCTATCGATGGTGTGGCTCCCAGAGCAAAAATGAATCAGCAGAGAAGTCGTCGCTTTCGGGCGAGTAAAGAAGCAGCAGAGAAAGAAGAAAGTATCGAAGCGGTATGCCGTTAACGAGTAGAAAATAAAAGCTCATCGCGGCTTTCTCAGCAACGAAATCGCTTATTGAATGAAGGAATAGCATTGCCGCCCCGAAAAGAGAAAGAAGAACATTTCGACAGTAACTGCATCACTCCCGGAACGCCTTTCATGGCCAGGTTTTATTCTCGTCCCGAAATAAAATCTCAGTCCTGCTTGCAGATTAGCAGACGCTTTGAAATACTACATCCATGATCGCATAACGAATGACGCAGCGTGGGCGAAAATCGAGGTATTTTAGAGTATTTTCACACTGACACGTGAGCCGATATTACATTGTAAATTGAAGGTAATCCTCTCCGACGCGAATGTCCCAGGTGAAGGAGAACATAAAATTATGGACTTCGTTCGAAAGCAAAGATCGAATCCGGCTCACGACCCCGACACGGTACATTGTCTTTGCGGCGCCGACGCCGATCTCATCATGCTTGGTCTCGCGACGCATGAAGCCAACTTCAATATTATCAGGTTAGCGTGAACATTCTTCTTGTGAGTTGAACAAATGGCGCTCAAACTTTTTTGAAATCATTTTAAAACTTCTTTTGCACCTAGAATTAATTTATTTTAGAGAATTTTTTTAAAAATGGCTTGAGACTGCTGAGTTTTTCATGAAAGAAAATATAAAGTTTCGTTCAGAGAGGAGTTCGTTCCTAATCAGCCGCGAGCTTGTGAACTATGTGGGCAATACGGACACGAACTAAAAGAATGCAGAGGGTAGGCGTTTATTACGCATTTTTCATGTTTTTAGCTTTTAATTTAAGAATGGAAAACGATGCGGATCGTGGCGAGGATTACGTAGAGCCGGAGCATCGTGAAAAGAATTTCATCTTTCTACGCATTCCGGTGCTTCGAGAATATCTCGAAAAAGACTTGGCGATGCCTAACTTGCCCTTCAAATTCAATTTTGAACGCGTGATTGATGACTGGGTGTTGTCGTTGTCTCATATTAGCATAATCCTTGTTTTGAAGGTGTTCCTCTGCTTCTTCGTTGGAAATGACTTTTTACCTCATTTACCGTCTTTGGAGATTCGCGAAGGCGCTATTGATCGTCTAATAAAACTTTACAAAGAGATGGTTTATCAAATCAAGGGGTTTAAAAGAAACTTTTTCAAATAGTATTCTGAATCTTCACAGGTACTTGACAAAAGACGGAGACGTCGAGTTGGAACGTGTGCAAATGATTATGTGCGGCTTGGGAGAAGTCGAAGATGAAATTTTCAAGAGGAGACAGGTTGAGCAAATTATTTTTAACCGCGACAAAATTAATATAAAGTTATGTAGAATTGTTTCGGGTATATCTATTTTTAACATAGTATGTGGTTTTCAACGTTAGTCGGCAGTCGTGACATTTATCTGAAGAATCACATTAGTAGTAGCTTTTATCGGCTTGAAACACGGTCTGAAAAAAATTTATTATTAAAGTATGAAAAGCAAAAAAATCTTGGAGTTTTCTGCTGTTATTCTAACCGCTTTTTTTAGTTTTTGCACGACTTTGGCTGATGACTTCTTGATGTACTAGAAAAAGATTCTGAGAGTTTTAATCAACAGAGACCGAAGATGCTTTGAAGTTATAGAAAATCATTGAAATACGTTTAAAAAAAGATTTATTCAGACTTCCAGGCATTATTCCTCAAAAATTAAGAATTTTCGCAACTTGAACCTTTCAGAACTTTCATCTGGTAGATCAAAATAAAATATTCTGGCCAATTTTCAGGGAATCCCCAATAACAAATAAAAAGGACCTTTCTTGTAAGATCCTAATCCGAGTGAATTCACAGTTTGAATGTAAAACAGAAGCACAGTTTTCGAGAAGATTAATGCTACTTTTGTCGAGTTTTTTTTCTTTTCGGTAAAAAAAATAATTGAAATCGCTATTTTTAGCAAGACGAAGAGCGTTTCAAAGCGATCCAGAGAAACAAAAAAATGCGGATGAACAATGGAAGAGGGCGTCGAGGAGCTCCTGCATACGTCCCGCAACGTGGTTCAATCATCGCTCCTTTGAGTCGTCCAACACCCATGAGCGGCTCCGACACGCGCAGTCTTGCCGCCGATGCTCGTGTTCAGGTTCTCGACATCGTCTCACCGTTTCTGATCGGCGGTTTTTCAGGCGATGAATTTCTCACAAAATGAGGAGGCTGCGCAACGTTTGAAAATGATGTTGAAAGGAGAAGGAAATGGCAACGCCTCGGCTCCTGCTCGCGGTCCTGTGGGACCATCGAATCCTCGAAAACGACATGCAGATGTAATCAAGAAACTGACTTGTTGATAATCGAAAAATTTCTAGGAACCGGTTGCGGCGATTGAAGATGAAGACGAGGGGCCTCCGGACGAGATTCGTCTCTTCGAGAGTGGCTGGAAAGATCGTTACTATAAGTATGTTTTTTTCCCTTTTATTCTATTTACGACGATATTTTCCATTTTGAAAACGTGTATGGAGTCAGCCGGCGAAGTCCTATTAAATCCCAGTTTTTGTGTAAAATCGATGTCCATTACTCAGGATTTCTAGTACAATATAATTAATTTTTTGCCATTCAACACTAAAAAAGTACTGATCATGTCTAAATTTTTAATTTGAGAGCGAAGTTTGACGTGAGCGGCGACGATGTTGAATTTCGTCACACGGTGGCTTGGGCCTATGTCGAAGGACTTTGTTGGGTTCTTCGTTATTATTACCAGGTGAAGAATCAGAAAAAAAGTCTCTAACAGTTGACTGATTTCAGGGCTGCGCTAGCTGGGACTGGTATTTCCCGTACCATTATGCGCCGTTTGCCAGCGACTTCGACACTGTCGGATCGTTTGTTCCTACTTTTGACAGCCGCAAAACGAAGCCTTTCAAGCCTCTGGAGCAGTTGATGAGCGTATTCCCCGCTGCTAGCAAGTGAATAGATTTGCTCATTCAATCGGTTGAAGACAATTTTATAGGCAACACTTGCCTACAGAGTGGCAGAAGTTGATGACTGAGGACGACTCACCTATTATTGACCTTTACCCTGTCGATTTCCGAATCGATTTGAATGGAAAAAAGTATGCTTGGCAGGTTTTCTTTCATCAATTACCTCCAGGATCACACATACTTGTTTAGGGTGTCGCACTTCTTCCGTTTGTCGATGAGAAACGACTTTTGGAAACGTTAAAATCAGTGTACGCAAGTCTTACTAACGAGGAAAATGAGCGGAATACAACTGGACCTAACAGAATTTTTATTGGAAGAAATCATCCCGCTTTTGACTTTTTCCGACAAACTTATGAGAGTGAAAACGGTTTTGACGCGTTCTTTGGCCATTTATTATATTTTCGGCTTCTTAGGTGGGAAGATTGACCTCGATTCAAAACTGCTGTACGGCTTGAGTGGAAAGGTTAGCCGCGACCAGACGGTTGTCATGCCTGGGGAGCCGTTCCCCTCACCTGTCAGCCACGAGAGTTGCCAAGATCTGCCGGTGCGCCACATTTCTCAGCACGAAGAACCTTGATGAGTTTAGGTTAACTGTGCGATTATGGTTATTTATGAAGATCCTGAGTATCCGGAAGGCTTTAAGTTCCCTGCTGTGCGCCTTGAGAAAGCCAAAGAGTTGGAACGCACTTTGAAACCTGGCGACTGGAACGAAAGAAGAGTGAATTTTTCTTTTCACATTATGTTTGCACGTGAACCGTCAGTCTGCACCGGGGCGAAAAAATGCTCAATCCTTTTTTTTAATTGGCACTATCTTGGAAAAAAAAACTTTCAATTTGAAACAACATTTTTAACGCAAATTGTGCGTTGCTTTTTCGCTTTCGATCTACGTTACAAATGCAGATTTCCATACTACAAAATTTTAAAATTTTTTCAAACCTAGTGTACTCTCTAGAAATTGAAAGTTGAAGGATGGGCAATACCGGCCGATGATTGGGTTCTCACGCGATACGCCGCGGGCTCAAATTGATAATTCTGGCCACCGTCACTTCGAGCACCACGTCCGACAGTCCATTCCTCAGTCGAACCAAGGTACCGACGTGCAATAAAACAATTACATTTCTTGTGTCCAGTTGCGTTCTTTTGTGCTATTTGCAGAATAACGGTTATAGAGCGATAACCAAAATCTCTGACAGATTAATTGTTTGAAAAAAAAACAAGTACAGTGGAAAAACGCAGCTGAGAAGGATAAGCGGCGGAGATTTCGTCGTCTTTTAACATATTCGTGCGTTCTGTTATTAATTGCTGAAGTTTTTGACGTGAAAAGCTGAACTTTGAGCCGACCTTTTTGAAAAAAATAAAATATTGAGCGTTTTTATGAAAAAAGGTTGTTTAGGAATAAATTCCGGTCATGGAGGGGGATATCAAGGAGGCTACGGAAGTCATCGCGGCAGCTACGGTAACGATCGCCATCATGGCGGCTACAACAACAGAAATGACTACCAGCAGCAGCCGCAACGCGGCGGCTACAACAGCTATAACGGCCGCGGTGGAGGTGATGCCACACGAAAAAACGTCACTGACTCTCGGATGGTGTTACAGGAAGCTACCGTGGAGGAGGCGGCTACAATTCGTCAAGAGGCGGCAACGAGCAAAGCCGCGGCGGATATCAAGGCGGCTTCCAGGGTCATCGAAGATCTAACGACAACCATCGCGGAAGCGCTGGCGGCTATAACTCTTGGCGATAATTCCTTTCTGTTTTTCTTCCCAGTTCTCAAATGTATTGTTGGCTTGTTTCAAATCAAGAGAGATCCCTACCATTTTTTGTTCCAAATTGCACTTTGATCCTTGTTATGATATCTCTGTTGTAATGTCTGTTGACGACTGTATGATCATTGTTACTGTAATAACATATAAATAAAACTTCTCTGTGCGAAAATTTATTTTTATAGAAATGTAATCTCGAAAGGTGTCGTGAGCGGCTTTCTGAAAGTGCTTCAGCAGAAGTCGTTCAGAATTCAATATCCACTCGAACACTCTTTAGCATATTTTTTCCGTGTTTGAACCAGGAAAATAAGTTAGTTCTATCATAATTCACCTGAATTCTACTTATGTTAGAAAACGTAAAAAATTAAATTATATTTTTTGAACGATCAAAATGTCAACTTTTTTTCATTCTCTATACTTCTTTTACTTCTTTCTTTGCACTTCAGTGTGAAATCCCCTCGAAATTAACTTAAAACAATAGGGAGATGTTTCTGGGAGGGTTGTCGTGCCGAGAATCTGGAATGCGATTCTAGTTTCCGGGTCCCTCGTTCTTTATTCCGCTTTTTGAAGTTTCATTCTCAACTAAAAATATAAGCATCAGAAACTCTTCCTTTTTCAATTTTCAATCAATCCCTAGTTTCAGATTGATACAGAACTTTTTTGAAAAAAAAAAGACCCAGTGAGAAAGAATTTTGAAGGTATTCGTTAAAAAGACGCGGCACTCCACACGAGCCGTGTTAATGCGATTGCAACGAGAACTGTCGACTGGGAATCGGCCTCTCATGCAGAAGAACACGGAAACAAACCTTCACCTAGTTGGCGCGTGAGTTCGTTCTAACCAATGGAAAAGGGGGCGTATAAATGAGCCGCCGAGATGGTTCGAATCATCCAGGGGACCTTAAAGGCATAGGGGCAGTAAAAAATGGGGTTTCAGGTGAAAGCAGCATCTTATATAGTTTTTTATTGCGAATCGAATGGTGTACTCAAAAAAATTACAGGTGTGACAACTTTAGAAGAAAAACGCGATTTCACTTTCCCGCCTTTAATTTTGAAAAAAGCTTTGGATCGGTATGCAGACAACTGTTTACAGTAGCCGTGCACGCGATGTTGCGGACGTCTCATTAGACTCGCATTTTGTGTGAAATAACCGGCTATCTGCTTCAAATTAAGGGTTTCTTCTCTGAAAAATTGATTAAGAAAACCGAAAACACACAGTGATATTAAAGAAAACACAAATAATCGCTATCCCAATCGAAACCTGTGTAAAATCATCATTTTTCACCAGAAAAGCTTTTTTGCGATCAAAGTTTGCAAATTATACATGAATCGAAGGCTTTGGTGACGAAAAAAACTCTGGTGACAACAGAAAAAAAATTGAAAATTAAAAGAAACGAAGAAAAAAGCGAAAATCCGGAAGATGGCGAACCCTGTTGTCCATAGAGCAACTTTACTGCAAGGCGCCTTTTTCGCGGGAACTCAAGCTTTCTTTTCTCCGACTTTGAATTATTTTTTCTCCAAAACTAGGAATTTCTGTACGTTTCCAAGTTCACCGTTCGATTTGCAATGAAAAGCTCTACAAAATACTGCTTTGAACTGAAACACCGTTTTTTACTGCCCCTATGCCTTTAACCTCCTGAACTGACTATCCTTACTTTCGACCATTCTCTCTCTTTCAAAAAAAAAGTTGTTGCCCTTTTTCCCGGTGGCCTGCCTTTTGCCTTTTCATCTGCTGAGAGTCCATTTGAATCCGATTAAGAGCACTTGGAACGATTAGGGGACTCATTTCCATGGTTGTTTCGCAGCCGGAAGGTCCTTCGATTTCAAAAAACTAAGATTCTCAATCACAACAAGTGGACATGAAAAGTTAGTCTTTTATTTGTTCAGAAGAAAAGAAAACTTTTTCAACCTTTCGAAGATTTTATGAAAAAAAGTCTTGGAAAAATTTTCAAAGCTATAACTAAAAAAGACCTCTCCTATTAGTTAATAACAAGTGTGTGATTTGAAACAAGTTACGCGGTTTCTAGAGCTCTACCGATAGAGAATGCTCGGAAAGTATGGGTGGGCGGTCGACGAAGGCCACGCCTCCTCGGTCGCCATCATTTTTCCGAGGCTTCGCGAGGACCGCCGCTCCTTCCGTCGAAGGACTCTCGGACTCCAGTGGCTCGATGACTTCCGTGTCAGCTCCAGGTATCTTTCTTCTCATTAATACCTCAGATTATTGTTTTTATCAAGTCATATCTATCGCCCAAAAGATCTCTGAGAACTCTTGACGCAAAGATTAGATTTTCTACCGCGATAACTGAAGTCTGGGAATTAATTTTACGGTAATCTTTGAATTTTATATTGGTTCACTGAAAGAAGTGGGTGGGTCATTTGAGAATATAGAAATGGCTTCAAAATTCTTATTTCTTTTCCAATTCGTGTCATTTTTTGTCTCTTGTTAATATTAGTATTCATTGGTATAGACTAGCTTGGTTGTTGAAAAAATCAGAACTGCGCAGTTTTCATCATACTATCAGTAATTGTGAGAAAGACGAAAAATTGGAGACCAAGGTCATTTTTCACCTCTCGGAAATGTCTTCAATTTTACTGCGAGCTGAAAGTTTTCACTTTCTGAAAGATCTTAAATACAATACGGAGTCTCCAATGTAAACTTCTCACTCGAAAACGCAGAAAATGTTGTTTCTTGAATTTCGATGATGGAAATCGCGTCCAACCGACTTGAATTGTTTATCTTATAAATTTGCTTGGCTTAGGCTGGAAAAAACGAACGGAGAATTGGAAAAAAAAAAATCCGAAAAATTTTATTTTATTCCCAAGGTCTTTTGCCCATGAAATGTTTTTTTAAAAAGAAATTAAAAAAATTTAGTTAATCATCTTTTTTTCAGTTTCTTAAATTCACAGCCTTCAAGAGGAATGAATGAAGCAAGAATAAAACTCATTGGCTTAATTTTTGCAAAAAGTGTTTCAGGCGATAATAGCTTTGATCTATCTCTCTCTCTAATGTTTAAAAATTTCGATAAACTAAAACTTTAAATCAGAATAATAAAGTTTTATGTTCAGTCCATTCTCGGGCTCCGACGTTAGTCGGATATTTTGTAACGACAAATAATTTAGTTCTTTGTGAGGTATCGGCTAAGCTCGAATATTCTCCTAATTGTTGGACGCATCTGCGACTTTCACGGTTTCGCTGCTCCGCACAGTTACTTTGAAGGCGGTCAGTACTGACCGAAGTCTGCTGCAAATGAGTCTGGAGAAGGGAAAGCGGATCGGCGTCATGGTGGGCATCGGGCCGAATGTTTGTGTCCTGGCATCTGGAAATTGTCAGCAGGTCGTGATCAGATGAAAGGGAAGACGAAAACGAGTTGGCGGTCGATGGCACGACCCTCACGTCTTCGCGGTTTGCCTTGCCGACGTCTCCAAAACACCCGTGTTCCTTCCGAAAGTGACCATCATCTGTTGTCTCAGCTCCCTTTTCAGTTCTTCACTCTCTTTCTCCCATTCCAAGAATTTAGAATTAAATAGTTTCCAAGCTTCGATTATTTATAAAATATAACACCGGCTTCCGGACACCCAAATGTCGCTCACTTCACCTTGACGTTTTCACCTTGATAACTTTTGAAGTTCATCATTTTACGGCTCAAAAAGTACAATGGAGTTGAGAATTAGAGCGGAAATGTCACTTGGTCCTAGCGATTTTTAAAAGAGCATTAGAAGAAGAACTCCGAGGTCAAAGGGCTCTTTGTTTGAAAGTTCCATCCTTATTCATGGGTAAAATTTTTGCAGAATAAATGCTCTCCAAACAGAAATTGGAACTGAATAACTTCACATTTCCATTTTGGAGCTAGTAAATAGCTGGCCATTCTATTCAAGATTTAACTACAACTTATAAAGCTTCAGTGGGTGGACCTTGCAAAAATATCGAATGACAAAAATTGGTTATTTTTAATACATGAGACGATGAATTTGTTGATTTTGCTCTTTTTCAACGTTTAACATTGGCGAATAACTTTCTGCTGTTTTCTCCAAACTTGGATTTTTAAACACGTTTTTTCTTCTTCAGGCTATTTGTCGATTGGAAAAAGAAAATAATAGAATTGTAAGTGCACTTATAGTCGAAAAAATATCATCGGACGCAGTATTCTGTTCTTTTTCCTTGCACTTCTGCCCCAGGGCTTTCGGCTAAGAAAAACATGTTTGCTGAGATCACTTTTTAGATGTCCGCCGAGCAGTCCACTTGTATGGTCGGCTCTTTTTTGTCAGCTTCTCTTTTCTTCACTTTTCCAATTCCTTTCTTGTGCACCTGGTTCCTCTAGCTATATCAATCTCAAAAAAGGCTTTCTGTTCAACTTTTTCTCTCCCTGTTTTTGAAAAAAAAAACTAGCGCTTCTGTATTTCGCCCTCTACTTGATCGGAACATAAAGTAGTTAACTTAGATGAAGGCCAACTTTTTGGTTTTATTAGCGTTTGCAGAAAGGCCGGACAAAAAGTAGGCACGATAACTGACCTGACAGAGCGAAAAACTCATTTCGGCCAATGAAGGTCGAACGAACGTCGCCTCCAATCGAATTCTGCTTCTCACCTTCAGAACCCCCGCTATTGAGACTCAATCAGCTTCAAAAGGTGGAAAAAGATACTTTTTCAATTTTATGAAACCTTTTATACCTTTTATGTCACGAAAGAATCGTAGCTAGTTTCAATTTGGTCTATATAGATTCATTGATCATTTGTATTCACAAAATATAATTTTTAAAATGTATCTTGTAATAGTTATTTTTCTTCGGTCCGTACAGAAGACACTCTTTGAAATAGATTGAGAAAAAGACAGCAAACTATCCTTGTTTTATTGTTTTTCCTGAAGATTAGAAGGTGCCCATAATTCTATTCACTAGAACGTCTTTTGCTGCTGTGTACTCCTCGTGCTGAAGAAGAAGAACGCCTTTTCGACGTCTTTTCAGACGTTTTTCCATCAAATTCTTCTCCCATACTGTTTGAATTGCTTCGTTTCGTGGACGTTCCAGGCATTCTTGGAAAACCAGCAGAAAACCGTCCATTCTTCCTATTCTGTCGGAGCGCCGTCGAAAATTGCCTCATTTTCAGTCTGAAAATTTGATATTGGCTCTTATGGAGTGGCGACCGTCGCTGTCCGCCTTGTTTCTTTCTTTCTCTCCTCCTAAATAATATTCTTCGAGTTCTTCGGCGAAAAAAGTAACATTTCTTCACGTCACTTGATCTTTCGAACTTGTAAATCTCTTCGTTATTTTTTCATTTATTCAGTGTGGCTTGACTTTCTTGTCGTCAACATTTTCCTGCTCTAAAGCTGTTATTTTGTGCCTAGGTCTTTTATTAACATCGCTAGGCGAAATCAAAGACATCTTTATCTAGCGACAAGTTGATAAAATGAAATATTGAAACTCTTCTTTTGATTTATTTTTTAGATAATTCATTTTTTCTAACCTTATCCGAGAAGTTCAACTAAAACCAGACCCGAAAACCTGACTGATTTTGGAGAAAAAGTTCTTCGACCTGCGACTGATGACCGCGGGTGCCTTGTAGGTGTTCGATCCCATGACAGAAGCGCGACGATCGCTGACCGTCCGGCGATATCACATCACAAACCAGTAAAATTCTCGGGAAAACACGTCGAGGCGACAAATATGGCACTTCGAAGGCCGAAGTCATTCTCCTTCCTTTTCTTTTCGATTCGCTTTTTTACGCTTCTAATCGATTTGGATCGGTCAACGCTATCAATTTTACACGAAAAAGCTAATTTTGAGATTAATAAAACTATCTGCTACATATGTTGTTACATTTTTTCTTTTATTGATTGCATGATTGCTAGAGCGATATTGATTTTTTTTTTTATTATCAAACAAATATTAAGATTCGATTTCGCCGCTCCTGCCGAAAAGGCGCTCGAGGAGAAGCGAGATGACGGAACAGAGCCTCGTTCAAAAACTAAGATCGTGAGTTTTCACAGAACTTTTTGGAAAACACTGTGTATCTCTTCGACTAGAATTGATCGGATTGCAGCTACCCGCCGGCGGTGTTTTTTATGCTGGGAAATGAGTTCTGCGAGCGTTTCTCCTTCTATGGAATGAAGACCATCCTCTTCATCTACTTCATCACCGAGCACCAGTTTTCCGCGAGGTTTCCTTCCTGGGCCGCTTTGGTTAGCTTTCAACTCCAGCAAAGCCACGTTCATCTACCACGCCTTCTCATGTATTGCCTATCTGACGCCTCTCATCGGTTCGCTTCTCGCCGATTCTGTCTTCGGTCGCTTCAAGGTCCCAATCGCTTTCAGAGCACAAGACGAGGCCCTCGTTTCGCTTTAAATCAATTGTCATATATATTTGCGAGGTCTCAAGAATCCACAAAAATTCTTGTTTTACAAATCATGAAACTTATTGGGGATATAGTCTGTGTGCCACGACTTGAAATTTCACCGAACGACATTCCGCTGTTCCGCTGCGTGCGCTCGCGAAGCGTCTTTAGAGTCTAGGTCACGTTTTCAGTTGATTGTTATTGCTGTGGGAGCACATGAAAGTAGAATACCTTAACATGCCTATTTCAGGCTTAATGCCAAACATTTCAGGCTTAATGCCAAAATTTCAGGCTTAATGCCAAATATTTCAGGCTTAATGCCAAATTTCAGGCTTAATGCCAAATATTTCAGGCTTAATGCCAAAAATTTCAGGCTTAATGCCAAATTTTTCGATTTCAGGCTTAATGCCAAATTTTTCTCTTTTTTTTCTGTACATATTATTTTTGTTCTGCCTGTAAATAAATAATATTATATATATAACAAAAGAAAAAAAATAAATAAAAAAAGCGCGATGTTCGCAAAGGCGCGCAGCGGCACAACGGAATGTCGTTTGAAGAAATTCCAACTCGTGGTACACAGGTTATATCACATATACTAGAACGACAAAGGAACTATTCAAATTGCTAAACACGAAAAAAAATAGTATGCAGGATAGAAGCGAAAAATCATAGAGCGGAAAGACGAAAAGGCGGCCTCGTCCTAGCAAAAATCTGCGAAGTTTCAACTTTCGAAAAGTTCAGGTTATTCTCTACGGATCGTCAATATACGTTTTCGGACATGTTTTGCTGTCTGGTGGCGCGATTCCATTTCTTGGATATGGTGAGCCGAAAGTCTCCGCCAAGAAGAAAGGGACATGTTTCAGAACTGCGGTCGGTACTCGACTTCTCGGGCCTTTTTGTGATTGCTTTCGCCACAGGTTGTATCAAGCCGTGCGTTTCAGCGTTTGCCGCAGATCAGGTAAGGTTAATTGGGAGCTGCACGTGATCTTCGAGGAGTTTTAAGTTCACAGAGGAACAGGCGGACCTCCGGGCGCAGTTCTTCAGCTTCTTCTACTTTGCGATCAACGGCGGAAGTCTCCTTGCTATTTTGATCACTCCAACACTTCGCGGACGAGTTCAATGTTTCGGCAATCCCCACTGCTTTCCTCTAGCTTTTGGTAGGTATTTTATCGAAGATTTCTTGGAGTGTGACCCGCACAAATATTCGAAGCTTCAGTAAAAGTAAATTTTGGTTTTAAAAAGTTCTTTTGAACTTGAAACTTCGCCTTGAAAGAAAAAATCAGGGTGTACAATTTAAGGAAATATCGTTTTTCTTTCATATTTGAAAGAGACAAGAACAGACTTGAGGCGTCCCCGGCGTGTTGATGTTGTTGGCGTTGCTGTTGTTCCTTGGAGGATGGAACATGTACAGAAAACATCCGCCGAGCAAGGAAAACGTCGGTTCCGAAGTCGTGCAATGCATCTACACAGGCGCCAAGAGGTCGCTTCTCAAGTGAGAGCAAAATCGGCATGAATTCGGAAAAAGTTCTGAATGAAAAGTTTAGGAGGTCGAGCGACAAACCTGTGAGCCATTGGCTGGACAGAGCTGCCCCCGACCATTCACAGGAGATGATCAACGCCGTCAAAGGGTTCTGCGCAGTCGCTCTCATTTTCTCACCTCTCGTCTTCTTCTGGGCTCTTTTTGATCAACAGGTATTTTCATTTCGTTGTTTGAAAAAAGGAAAACAGATTCATTCTATTACGACGTTTATTGTGTGCCTGATTCGCTCTGACGAACTAAGTTTCTGCAAGGAACATGCCGAGAAACGAACAAAGTTAACACAAAAAATAAGTTAGAAATATCACCTGGTACTGGAGAAAGATAACATCATCTGTAAAAGGTATTTTCGAAGAAGCTTTTGGCTTATCGACGGCATTGCAGGGATCTACTTGGGTGCAACAAGCACGACGTCTCGACGGCCGCGTCGGAGTCCTCTCGATCCTCCCTGAGCAGATCCACGCGCTCAACCCCATCTGCGTGTTGATTCTAGTGCCTTTGTTCGAGGGCTGGATCTATCCGGCGCTGCGAAAGGTCGTCAGAGTGACGCCGCTGCGGAAGATGGCTGTCGGCGGACTTCTGACGGCCGCAGCCTTCGCCATCGCCGGCCTTCTGCAGGTTCACTGAACTGCGTCGTCGGTTCTGAATGCCTTGCAGTTGAAAGTGAACGAGACGATGGAAGTGCCGCCGGAGCCTGGCCGGGTCTTCATCCAACGCATCGGAAACGAAACTCTCCTCTCCGGCTTCCATGGAACAGACGGCGTTCTCATCAACCAAGGCAAGCCATTTCAACATTCCGAGAGGAATGAGGGCCAGTGTCGTAGGAAATACAGCCTCTTTTGAAAGTTCACGGTTTTAAAGACTATCAGTAAAATGCAGGTATGAAATTTAGACAATTTTAAAAACAGTTGCATATTTTTTAAACATTAATTCCTCTTTTAGGAAGCTTTCTATTTATATTTTTCAAGAGCTCTCCTTTTTGAATATTTGAAGTTTCAATGGAAATAACTTCACATTTCTTTGAAAAACGTGATTTCAACTGAAGACATCTTCGTGTTGGGTCTACTTTTGTTGTCTGATTTTTTTCGACTTCGCTAAACTTTTCTTTTTTTTTTTGGATTTTGACCTTTTCTTCGGTTCCATAAATTCAATGGCCTGAAAAATATCATTTCTGTTACAATTAGGATATTTTAACCCCAAAACGTTGTCTTTTTGATCGATCGACGATTTTTCTGGTCAACTTTGAAAACATTTTTTTGGCATTTCTTCAACATCCATTTGGCTAAATTTTACAAAACATGACTTTTTACATACACGGGCGCTGATATTCTACGTAGAACGGAAATATATGTTTGAAGAAGATTGACTGAACAGGAGTTCTGCCGTCGGGAAGGACTGAAATCGACGCCGACGTCTACAAGTTCAACAGCGGAATCGGCAACGAGCAGATGACGTTGAATGCGTCCGTGGCGGGGAAAGGCTACGTGATGGCCGTCTTTCGCCTGGCCAATCAGTCGTGAGTCTGACTAGCCTCGACCTGCCGAAACCTCGCCCAGGAACCAACTCACCGTCTTCGACTACAAAGTCGACAAGGCCGACAATGGAGCCACGCGGATCTATGTCGTCACTCCGGCCCAACAACAAGGCAACATCTTCGCCGTCAATTACAAGTTGGTTTCTGTTGAAGAATTGAGAGCTCTTTTGAAATTCCTCGTGGAAAACTTTCATTCTCCTCATTTTTCTAACAAGAAAGTGTGAGCTAAAAATTCTGTTTCATAAATCAATGCGCCAGGTATTCCTGGGTCAGAAAATTTATCGAAGTTTTCAATTTTTCGTTCTTCCAACGCAGGCAACTTGAAAACGGCAAAATTTTGTTCCAAAAAAAGCTAGTTCTGTTCACATCTTATCACCTCCTTCTGTAAAAACAAGTCTGAATTATTAGAACTTTCTTCATCATAAAAAAACTTTGTCAAACAATGGTATAAAACTCTAGAAACACGACAGTAGCCCAGTGCTCGTTGACATCAGGATCCTTCTTGGACATCATCCCAGGAATTATCAGCAGACCTGAAATCCGACTGTACTGGGGCAACAACTGTTCCGCGATCGAGTGCCCTAACATGATTCAACTTTTCGTGAGTTTCCTTGTTCCAGATACGATTTTTTCAGTTGCTCAAGTCTTTTTGATCAGCTTTTAGTCATTTCCAAATCAAGGACACAGATTTGAACCAACTTAACTTCTAGCTCAAAAAAGAAGATCTGAGTACGAGCTATAGAATACATATATATTGTATCAACACCTTTAATAATACCAATATAAAACAGAAAATTCTGTTTTAGACACAAATGGGAGCTGTTTTCGTGCTGCACATCCACGAGAACACGACCGAAGAAGATTTCAGCCTCTTGGTAGGTCCAGCCAAACGAAGGAATTATTTGCGAATGCGCGAAAATTGCAGGTTCGACCCAACACAGTGAGCATCCTGTGGTCCCTGCCGCAGTACATCATAATAACACTGGGAGAAGTGCTGCTGTCGGTGACGGGACTCGAATTCGCCTACTCTCAGGCAGCACCCAACATGAAGAGCGTCCTCACGGTCAGTCGAAACCTCCGGAAACGGATGGGACGGTTTTGCAGGCACTCTGGCTTCTGACTGTTTTCGCTGGCAACCTCATCGACATGATGATCTCTGGGACACACCTCATCCCCCAGCCAGAACTCGAGTTCTTCTTCTACTCTGTACTCATGTTCTTGGTTATGGGTGTCTTCATCGTTCTCTGTTAGTTCAGATAATTGAGAGGGAGACGAAACCAATGTTTCAGCCTTACAATACACCTACAGCGAAGACCGCAACCCAGAGATCGAGGAGGAAATGCAAAAACACGCTCCGCCCATCGTCCCAAACGTTCCGCCGCCCGTTCTCATGAACGACTCGACGTGTTGATTTTTCCCAGTTTCTTTATCCAGCATTAATTTTCATTCAGAGAACCTTTGTTTTATTTCGCACTTCAGATAAGATTATTCGGAATTCCCTTTCTAAACCATTTCAGAAAAAAAATTTTCAAAATTTGAGAAAATTTAGAAAAAATAATTCTCCAAAAGATGATCTCTCTAGTCATTATTCTTCATTTTGTCCGTTTGATTTAATTATTTGAATCTTGTACATACCCTCTTCATGAAATGTTCCCCTTTTACTGTACATAAAGTACGATTTCTTTTGAAACGCCGTATTAATACACAGCGCCAGAAAATTTTATGACACAGTGTGAATATTACAGGAAAGAAGGCATAATAGATATCAAAGCTCAAACGTTAGTTCCGAATAAAGGATGCAAAAAAAGGCTTTACAAAATCCTGCACGGAGTTCCCAAACGGGGCGGGGAGACGTCAAAAAAATTTTGGCGGGAAAGTTCATATGTCAAGTACGCAGCCAAAGGTGATCGAACAAACAAGTTATTAACGCTTAATACTCAGTGTAATTATGACGTCATCTTATTCGGAGCGCGTACTTACTTTTTTTTTTGTAAATTTAAGAAATTTGACGCCTCACTCACCTTCCCTTACTCTATTAGGAATGGCGTGCCTGATAAAGGTGAATGTATTTTTCTGTTGTAACTAGTCAAAAAAGCGAAATTGAATTAAGGAAATTCTCAAGGGCTGCAAAATACACTTTAGATGATTTGTCGATGAACGCTTGTTACATTTCGACGGGAATTCACATGACCGATTCAAAACTGGAATTGTTAGAATTATGATAAAAAAGGTAGCCATTCAAAGAGAAGACTGGCCGAGAGCAGACTTCGAGAGATACTCGATGAGATCGCCCGAGGGCACTACCGCCAGCTTCAGAGGAATCATTCGCGCCTGAATATACGAACTATGGACTCGTCTTCCCTTTATTCTTACATCTTCAGGGAGTTCATACTCAAACACCTTATTGGTCGACTCATCGATTGTGACTCTACGGCCTGGTCTCCGAGCGATTTGCTCCAAAGTCATCTTCTTCAAAAATATTAGTTTTGTAATCTGCCATAAAAGAACTCTACTATCACGTAAAGGAAAAATACTTTACTGACTCTCGCTTATACATCCTACTCAACGAATCCTAAAAGTGTGAAAAGAACTGAAAAAGAGGAAACGAACTCTGAAACGTGGACCTTCAATCTCTTTGACGGCGTTGGTGTGGCTGAGGCAGACTTGGAGGTAAGGGCGGCCTTTTAGGGAGCAGGTTACTGTCGCCTGGCACAACATCAAATGGTGCGGCTCCTCTAGTAGCGACTCCAGCTCGGCATACGCGTGATAGTCAGCGGTCTTAAAAGATTTTCGCTCCTGAAAAATACGATTTTAACACTTTGGGACCGATTCATCTTAAGCTCTCTTGAGTTCCGGTGAGACACGTCAAATTTTCATTATTCCCTTTTTAGCTGATTCACGGCTGGTTTGAGACATCGAAAAAAGGGTACTGACGAGATAAGAGAAGAGACGGTGCCTGATTCGTGGAGAGCGCAGTCTATTTTTTAAGTTTTTGCTCGAGAGTTCAAAGTATGAATTTGGAATCGGCGCAAAGTCTGTTTTCAATCACCTTCTAGGCCACGCTTTTGCGCACACATTCACAAAGACTTTAACCAGAATATATATTTTATGACTCGCCTTTAAATTTGGCGGTGTGTAGAGAAAGGCAACTATTTCGCTATTCTCGATATAAAAATCTTCACGAGCTGCACATAACGTGTCCAATTGTCTGAAGCTGCGTTTGTTGAAATGAAATTGACAAGAAAACTGACTCGACTAGTTCTGAAAAAGACATATCCGTTTTGATCGAGATCCTGACAGTCGTCTGAACGGAAGGAAGTTCGACATTCGGAGAAACCGCATTCTACACAGCGACATGACAATTTGATAGGAAAATAGGTTACATGAATGAGGTTGACAATGTCCTCTTCTTCTAGATGAGAAGCGGGGAAGCCGCATAGCCTCGGTCTCGCCCTCGGAACAGATAGTATGTGCTCAAACAAAGCAACCTCAGTGTCTAAAAATCTTATGCTGAATGCATTTTGAAACTTTTTTTTTTCCGATTTTGCTTGCTCAACTGCTGACCACAAATCTCTTTCGCTAAGGTCAAAGACTTGCAAAAAATATTTGAAAAAGTGCTTTTAGTAGATTTTCATACATACAATGAAAAAGTGCGCTATAGAGCAGGCAGCGAATTTGCAATCAGAAAAGCGCAGTCTACGGTAATTCGAAAAGAAAAACGAAGCAAAAAAAATTATTCGAATTAAACCCTACCTCGAGAAGTGCCAAACCAACGGGGAATTAGCATTTTTTTACTGCCAGCTTGCTCGAGCGACTCGTAATTGCCACGGAGCAACTTTTGCAAAACAGACAGAGCTTCATCGCGACCTCCTCTAGAAGCTGCATCGCGTACATTTAAAGCCGCAGTTTTGGAAATATCTCCGCTCTCCGTCAACACAATATCTTCCACTCGAGATTGGTGGTTTCGAAGATCCTCACTGTCCACAAAACCTCCTCTTGGGCATTCTTTCGAGCTCTCCTGAAGTAGATGACTGAATGTCAAGAAAAAGCAACTGCGAGATCCATAAAAGATCGGAGCAGAACAAAGGCATGAAAACTTGCTAACCTCGTCGTGAAACGGTGAGCAAACAGAAGCAGCGCTTACGTATGGCGTTTCCGCTAAAAGTCGAAGCTCTTGGGTGGAATAATTGTCGAAATCGTTCATCTTCCTGAAATCTCTCTCAAAAAAAAAAATAAAAAGGTGAAGATTCAACAAGAACAACGATTTGAAGATGCGGACCACAGTTAATCTAAGTTACATATGTGCAAGTAGATTTCTCAACAATGAGAAGGTGTGATGTAAAAATTGGAACCACAGTCTATCACGGTTGGCTTGGGACACGATAACACGTGACACGGTCTGCCTCACCACCACTACGTTATATTTTTTGCCATTTCAAGACCATTTTCAGATCTGCTCAAGCCAGCCGTGAATCAAATATTATAAATATATTATGAGATGAAACTTTTTAAGAGCGTCACCGGATTTTAAAATTTAAAAAAATGTTGAAATCAATTTCAAAAATTTTCAAATCGCGACATTTTTGATTTTGTCGTCGATTATTACGTAAGTTACGCAAACAAAGGATCCCACGCAGATAGAATAAATAGGTGAAGAGTTGGTCAGTCTTGAATTTTACTCGATTATGAGTTTTTTTTTTCATTTTTTTTTCAAATTTTTGTTAGTTATTTTCCTTCTGATGAGAGGTCTTATAGGTCTGTAGTTTGAAATTTTCTTTTAATTTCCTCTCCAGCAGTTGGAAGATTTTTAATGAATAATGTTCATTGTTCGCTATAGCGTAGCGCTACCGGTGCAAAATTTCAGTTTTGAGCTCTTATTAAAGAAGAAATATTTAAATACTATACTGGTCCAAATTCTTGAAGTTTCAAAGTATTGATTCAGGCCTGTCTTCATGTTGAATATTCTTTTTGAAACTTCACATAAAATTTTTACAGATAGCGAATGTGAGGGATCTTAGTCTCACTCTTGCGTCAGCTAAAATGATCACAGAAGCTTACAGGTAAAGGCTGTTTTTTCATTTCGGTTTTTGGCTAGTTGGAAATTTATCGAAGCTTGTTTAAATCACTCTTTACGTTCCAAATTTTTTTCTGGAATCCGAAACCTACAAACATTTATCTTCTTGAAAAAAGATGTCTCGAACTTTCAACCAACATCGCAATTTTAGGGAAAACTAATTTTGAGAGTCTCCTGTTAAGATCTGAGTTTTCAAGTGGTAACCTCAAGTAAATAATTGAATCACTAGTAAGTGCACTAAGACTGGACCCCTTATGAACCGGCGTAGTAGCATCGGTTAGGCAACTTTTGCTGCGGCTTTTTGGGCGTACTAACTCGAAGGTGCGCATAAAAAGTGAGAGCTGTTCATGTTTCTAAAAAAAAGCGCAAGACTTCTGCGTCTTCAAACACCCTTTAATAGGTTTTCGAACCTACTTTAATTTCTTAAAAGTGTAAGGAAAATTTATAATAAAATTTTAGAAAAGGATGGGATTGAAATAGCACAGAAAAACAATTTATACGTTGATTTTTTGTTTTCTGCGCATTCATGCCGAAATACGTGTTCTGTTGTCATAGCCTATAATAATATTTTACTTCCTTCTATGGCTCCTAGATTGATTAAAAAAGGTGAGATCAAAATTTTTTTTTGATGCGGCCAGAAAAAGTGGAGAAGAGGTCACTGGTAAAACAAAATTTCATAACAGGAGACACCTTTTTTTCTCGTCAACTTGCTTAAACCATTTTTTTAAAAATGATATAATAAAACTGAATGGAAAAACGGCAAATTGGTTTATCTCCCATAGGAGGTTCCTTCAAAAAAATATTATATTAATTTTTATTTTTTTCAAAAAAACATTGAAAACGTGAGGTTTCAGAAGGAGAGGCTGGAGGCACCAGAACTGAGCAAATCTGCGGGATCCATTTCTTCCAGCTCGTCGACCGAACTCACTGTAAAAAAACCTCTTGTTCAGAGTACTTTTTCGAGGTGAGCATTGTTATAAATTATCATTATTATTTATCTTTCTATAAAGAATTTATAAAAAATAATAATAAGAAGTTTCAAAATTTTAAACAATTGTCTTTTGATTTTGATGCAAAACGAATTCATAATTTGTGACTACAAATAATAGATTCGGACTGTATTTTGAGAACGAGATAAGCCAATAACTGACATGAGTTAGAAAAGCTCAAATGCAGGCTGACCTTCATTGAGTTCATTGTCGAGCTCTTGTTCCTTCTGTTTCTCTCTATTTTTCAAGTTATTTTCTTCATCCGAATCTGTATTTTCATGTTTTGGAGCTGAAGCCGGATCCTGAATCAGATCTTCTAGAATCGAAGACATTTCCGGCTTCTGTTCCACTTTCGCAGACTTGAAGATAGACGGTAGGCTGCTGCCAGTCGGTTTCACCCTCAAAAATTGATAGTATATAAAATTTAGATCTCAGTCACATCCGATAAGTTGACTGAGTAATACAAGAGCAAAGAAAAAACTCACTGCGGCGGATCTGCTTTTCTGGAAATTATGTAGTCCTTGTAAAGCGTCGAAGACGTAGTTTGCAGCTCGCTTTTTGGGTTTTCTTTTGGACTTCTATAGTGGGATCACCATTCGATTTTTTATTGTGACTCACCCTTTGCTCGTTTCTTCGTCTTCGTCTGAAAACACCGTAGAAGAAGAAGAAGAAGAAGAGGAGGCGGAGGATGATGAAGAAGAAGAAGGCGTTGCGTTGTCACTGTGCGTTTCAGAGGTCGCCGAATCTTTTTCCTCGTTTTTTCTCGCAATCTTCGAAGCAATGTCTCTCTGAATACACGAGTATCACTAGCCAGCCAAAAAAGAATATGGCTCTCAGTTTTCACAGCCATGCGTGTCATCTCGAAAACAGTTTTATGTTTTCCTGCACTGACAAAGGCGGTCGTTTGAAGAAAAATGTATTCGAAACGTTCTTCAAGTTTATAATGAGAAGTTCTCAAAGAAAGGAACGAACTTTCGAACTCAAATTTGTCTTGAAACTGGACTCATCCATAACTTCAAGGCGTTTTTAAAAAAAAAAGGGAAATAAGAAGGTGTGAAATTTAAGCGTTTGATCGCAAAAATTGAAGGCTGTGGGCTGATTTTCAGGAAGTTCTGAACTTACAGTGAGAATTTAATTAATATGTTGTTTGATCTAATAAGTACCCACACGGCGGTCTTCAGCGACTGCACGGTCCAGGGCACTGCGACGCATTTCGTCGCGCATCCGCTCGCGTCTTTCCGTCAGATCGTTGATCCGGTTGAGCACCGCGTCGAATGGCCGCGAGATCTGTGCTGGCGTCGTCGGTTTTGCGATTCCATGTTGAAATTCCACTCCATCGAAAAGAGAATCCACCGGTCGCTTTTCGGCGTCTCTACTAGCCAAAGCAACCCGTAAATATTCTTCGTTCGCGTAGTCCTGTGAGCGAAAGTTTCAATTTTAATTTTTTATTGAAGATCTGACCTCTTGCATTTCGCTTTTCATGACAACATGCGCGAGTTTGTAGCCGTTCTGCTCAAGCCACAGAGCAACCAGTGAATGAAGTGCTTGGTCTGAATTGTCTGTCAAAACCTAGATGGATGTGGAAGAACCTTTTGGCGATAGTGGTTCTTTGATTTTCGGCTTTCCTTTTACTAAAATTGATCGTATTGCGTGACGAATGCACTCCTAAACAATAAAACAAGCGTTGGCTATTTCCAGCGGAACAAACCCTGACTGGGCCGAATTCGGGCTTCTGTCTGATTTCATCGGCTAAATTGACCGTTTCCTCCTTCATCAGGGGTTTTATTCCTGCAAAATAAAAATGAAAAGATCACGAAATAAAAGAAAAAGGTCATAAGGACATAGGCGCAGAAAGAAAGAGGAAATGCTTTCGAGTGGTCGCCAGGGGCAACATCAATATGTGTTTCGATACAGCACTCATTATTTTTCTCCGTTGTTTTCTACCTTATAGTCTGTTCAGATTTTCGAATTTCAAGTAGCCAACTCCGCCCCCATGGCTACAATATAGCCGATTCACGGCTAACTTGAGACGCTAGAAGGCGTGGCTTGTCTGCGCTCTCCACCAACCAGGCACTGTCTCTTTTCTTTTCGTGGCAGGTCCCTTTTCTCGATGGTTCAAGCCAGCCGTGAATCAGCTACATTATTCGCGTCAATTTTCTATCGCTAACGACGATGATCCTTTAACAATGCTACATTTTTTTTTTATCTTTTTTGATCCCACGCTCGCAATACACTTTCTTTTTCACTTTTTACTTGCTTCTGTTGTTTTCTTTGCGATCGAACTATTATGATGAAAAATATGAATTTATTTGTTAACACTTTCAATTCACACACGAAATGAGTGGGAAAGGATGCATGTTCATGTAATTTTATACTTAGTATGAAAAAGCGTTTCTAGGTTGTATACAAATTCTTGGCCAAGTCAAAAGGCAGAACAACAAACGATGGTAGCAAATGATGGAGGATGATAGGAACCACCCTATTCTGATTCAAACTCCCCGTCAAAAAAAGCAATTTCGAGAAAAGGATACTTTCTTGTGCGGCTTTCTGTGGCTTGATTTTTTTTTTGAGGGCCCAAAGGATTTTTTTGGGAGAAATTGTGAAATGATTGAACAATTTCCCATTCCTTCATAAGTCACTCGAATACAATCGACAAACGAGCAAATTGTTTCTTCCAAGAACTTGATAAATTCCCAAAGATTCAACAAAATACCCTTTAGTAGACTTTCAATGTGTGAGCTCAACAAAAAAAACCGCCGCAATATGGATCTTGTGATGTCAAGAAAAATTGTGTGAAAATGTATATGTGAACGGAGATAAATAAACAATCTTCTTATAGAAATATGTTGAATGTGTGGATCATTGTTTGGCGCTTTTGTGGTGGCTAAAAAAGGGAACAACCAAGTGGTTTATGTTGCTGACAGTGTACATATAAAGTCACTAGTATCTCGATGAAAAAATAATTTTTGTTCAAATCTGTCAAATACTCTTACAGCTATAACGATCATTCTATATGGAGAGAATAAACAAATATTATAATACTTTTTTTCGCAAAGTTTGAGGAAAAAGCTGCGGTGGGAAAGGGGGAAGTCTTTTTAGAAAATTCCGACACAATCTCGATACAATATAAAAAAAGAATGAACTCGGGAGTAACACACCTCGTAGGAATATTCAAATTTCAATAAAAAAATTCTGTTTTTTTAGTGAAAATAAAATAGGCTCCAAAAATAGAAAAATGTTAATGTATTATATAATATCGCCATAATTAATTAATTATAAAATCAAGCAGTGAGTCGGTTCTTTAATTTTGTTGGGTAGCTATTAAAGGATGTAGAATAACGTTGAGAAAAAATCTGAAAAATTACAAGGGTACCTCAATACTTACTCGTTTTTTTAGAGAGGACGCCGTTCAAGAATGGAAAAATATCGAAATGAAATGGAAAAAAAAAACATGTGTAAGAAAAATCCAGAGATGCGTAGAATTTGAAAACAACGTAAAAATGAGGGAAAAAAAATCAACAAATTAGACCGATAATAAATAATTGGCGTGGCCTTCTATTGAGGTAAATAGGTATTTCTAATAGTATTAGATAGTGGAAGTAGATTCTATAAAGCAGTTAGTAAATTAGAACTGAGAAGTGGAAGGATGGCCGAAAAAGTGGCATCTTAGGCCGAAAGAACGGCGACGGGAGCAGCTTTTTCGTTTTCTCGGTTAGTAGGAGAGACGTTAGGGTCGGCGACATCCGACCAAATCGACTGAAGAAGACCGAAAGTACCGCCGTTGACAGAAACCAGCCTAAAGAAGGACAGATAATAAACAAAAAGAAGGTAATTCGAAGGGAATTGTTTGCGCAAACTAACGGGTTGGTAGGAGAGTCACCGAGGCCTTCGTCGCGAGAAGGGCAAGTTTGTTTGGATCCAGACATTCCCAAGGAGGACGACCAAACAGAAGAGGAGAATGCCGATGGGCGGCTTCCGGAAAAGATATCTGTAAAACAAATGTTTAGGGGCAAACAGGAGAGCCGACGAAACCATTTTCCAAAAATCCGGTGATACAGGCGCTGCTCGACCACGGCTGATAGGAACCGTTGTTGTGCAAGTTGTGCGAAGACTGATGGTGGGAGAGACGGTAGTTGTGCTGCGTGTTGACGACGTTCGACGTCTGGAAAGGAGTCGGCGACGAAGAGATGTTGTTGAACGAGGAAGGCGTTCCGCTGCCGATAGCCCCCACTCCACACGAAGCCCTCATCGATGGGAAGCTTCTCAGCTGAAAGATAATTTTCAAACAGTGTCTTGCAATTCAAAAAAATTGAACGGATCAGAATTTGGTGCATCACAGGCGAGTAAATATGGAGAGATTTACGACAAGTAAGACTCCTTTCTTCAGAATCGACCTCTCACGCGCAAATTGAACGAATTAAAGTTTACTCATGAAAATTCTAAGAAGCTTTGCATATAGATTTCCCTTCCTTCATCCTCTTTTTATTTCCAGCAATCCAGTCTCAAATTTTTTTGCAAAAATAAAATACATTTCTGCGAAAACGTCGAGTTTTGATTTTCGACAATTGGGAAACTCTTTTCACCAATCAATTACAGCTTTCAGATTCAATTTCGAAATCCGCAGTTTTCCTAATAATTCATTTTAATCGCGTACCAAGGATGAGAGACCAGAGTTTTCGACGAGAGGTCGGTTGAAATCGTTGTGATAGTCGAGGTTTCCGCAAGCGCTCGAAGCTCCACTACGGGCTGTAGGACCATACGTAGAAGCTCCAGAGTTTCGAGGCAAACCCATCTGAAAAAAAATTTTTTTATGCTTTTTTTTTTCCTTGTTCTGCTGTATAATGGAAATGAAACGTTGACAAAAGTGATATTCTTGAAGTGCCCTAAAAGGACAAAATCCGTGTTCATTTATTCATCATAGGCATAGAAATTGAATAGTTTCCCACACTCGCAGAGACATCCCAAACATCTGGCAAATTAGCCTCGAATTCTCTGGGGTAACACTGCACCTCAACAAAATCCTGCGTCACAACCAGTCACGTACTCTCTCGTCCTTTGACAAAGCCACCAGGCCATATTAAAACCAAGCCGACATTACTCAAAACACGTGTTACAAAAGATCATATTTCCACAAATTTCTTCTCTATTAGTGAGGAAAAGGAAATGTAACAAGCAAAAGGCAATTTCTTACCTGATGCTCGGGATATTGAGAAATGGGGCCATTTGTGATCGGCATGTTCCCCGTTCTTTGATAGATGTGTTGTTCGATTTCCTTACGCGCGGCTTCCACGTTGTGTGGAAGACCAGTTACCTGAAAAAAAATTGAGTCAGTATTCTAAAATAAAAATCAAGACCTTTGACTCAATTGGGTGAAGAAATAAAGACAAAACGTAACTATCTTGGCTCCAACATTTTTAGGCAGATGTATGCATTTTCCATGTATTTTTTTTTTTCTGCTCTGGCCATTTCGACTAGGAGGCAAAAGGTCGGAAGAATCCCCAAGAAGCGACCTCATTTTCGAGGAATTTTCATGCGATATGTTGACGTTTAGAGAGATTGCGTGACAATGCCATCATCGCGGCGTGGCGTGCTGTCTGAGAAGTGACCGACCGACTCGCCGAAAATGCGTGACAATGGAATTGGTTGCACAGAAAGGCGAGACAAAGGTTTCTCGATGCGATGCATCACTGCTATAGCATTTTTTATCAACTGTCGGAGCCAAAGTAGTCTATCTGTGAAGTTGGAAGAGAGGACTTGAATCGAAAGTCTTTTTACGCAAACTAGATCCCATTTCTAGTTCTGCGACCGATTGAACCCGCTTTGAAAATTTAAATTGACCAAGAATATTGACAAAGGCACACCGGAGAAGCGAGTTTTCACCTCGAATATTGGTTCGCGTTCTCGGCTAGGCGTGATGATGTAGGTGTGAGTGTCCTGCTGAATGCGTTTGATAGTCGCTCCTTTGGGTCCAACGACAAGGCCGACGACCCGTAGCGGCACTCGGACGTAGGTCGTGATGTGGCCAGGAGCCGGAGCACCGCCTGAAAAAAGAAGTGAGTGAGCTCCAAAGTCGCCGCCGCTAACCCTGCGAATGACGTCGGCTGGCGCGAATCTGCGTGAAGTGCTCTGCAGCACACTCGATTTCGCGCTTCGCCTCCAGAACGTCTTCTGGTCGTCCAGTTACCACGAAAACGGGGTCTTCGCCTCGGACTGGCGTCTTGATGTACGTGTTTGTTTTCGCCCGCAAAGCCTTTATCTTGCATCCTTAAAAAATACCCCTTTACAAATGTAAAATTTTCGTAATGAAAAACTTTTCAGTTATTGTTTTTTAAAAAAATTTGTTGGGCCTGGAACAAAGCAAAAATCATCTTTTTGCTCCAACAAAAACGAAAACATGAGGAAATAATATAGTCACCATTCCCATTTGGAATTCGTTCCGTCAAAAATTAAATGAAGACTTTACTTGTGTGAAAGTTTAATGGATTAGACTCAGACTTTCCATGTTTAGGTCTTACTTTTGAAAAATATAATTTCTTTCATTCATAATTGACAAAAAAATTATGATCTGAACAATAAAATAATTTTGCTAGAAAAAACAAACAACTGAAGATAATTTCAAACAGAAAACCCCCAAATTATGTATTTCTCCCAACTAAACTTCTTTTTTTTTTGAGTTCTTCAGTTTTTGGTTTTGAAAACAGATGTGAACATGCTAGAGACCAGAGACATAGCGTAAGGCAGAGACGCAGGTAAGGCTCGTTTGAACCTAGCCTCCCGATGCTTTTTTTTTTCATGATCTATGCAATTTTTTTCGTCGGCTACAAATTCGAAATGAAAAGATACCCTGTCTACCGACAATTTCGGCCACGTGCTCGGAGCTTGGAACATCCACGGACTGTGTGATGTTGCGTACTCCCATCGTAGTGCGCATCTGGAGCAGCACCGCGTCGTCCAACTCGTTGACCGGCGACGTCGACGCGTCATCTCCGACTTCGAAGAACCAGGCGCCAGGTATTTGTTGCTGCTGGGTCTGCGTCTGGCCCTCCTCCTTCATTCTGAATTTAGTTCCATTTCATTTTCTTCTAATGCGAAAACAGTGAAAATATGTAACATAAACAAGAAAACTCAGTTAAAAAAAAAAAAGATGTAGAAATAGGTTTCCAACTACTAATCGGAAAGTATATTATTAAGACTTGATGTTGGTTGACGAGCTGCTTAACATATAATTTAGAGTCCTAATTCCCAAAAACCTTTTTTGAAAATTGTTTCCAAAAAATGATCATAGCCGATCCGCTTGGGACGCAAAGAGGCGGGGCACTGTCTGCGCTCTGCACTAACCAAACACTGTTTCTTCCGTGTTAGGACTATTGTTTCAATGACTCAAGCCCTCCAGGAATCGGATATAGTGATTTCCACATTTTCTAATAGGAGACTGCAACAGAAAATCACAATTAGAAACTCTTCTCGAAATAACTTTGAAAAGTAGAAAAAAAGACCTTGAATGATGTGAAAAATGAAACAATTTTTTGAAGTTAAGAACATTAAAAGCAAGAAAAAAAATTAAATTTTAAATTTTTACTTTTTTTGAAAGTTAATTGTCAAAACGAAGCGTTTTCTAGAGGCTCGAAATCATAAATTATAATTAATGTCGTATTCAAAGTGATTCTGCGATGTTCAAAATAGAAGTCAGAATGTGAAAAAAAGATAGCGTAAATTCAGAAATAATATTAAATCTCGCGGAAATTACTTTGAACACGAAATAAGCTTCAAATATTGAAAAATCATCAAAAAGAAAGAGCGAGAGAGACTCCGCGGGAGGGTGGACAGAGCAGACGGAGCATAGAAGAAATTACGCGCCTTTTGAATTACCGTACATTTGGATCGCAGAGGTCAAATGCACTATACAAAATTTTTCCATTCTTTTCGTATTGCTAAATCATAACTCTATACGACTTATTTTTCATAAGAAGAAAGTTATTCTCAACTGAAAAACAAAATAAAGGAAAACTCGGTAAATATTTAAGAAAACGACTATATATGAAATTAATAACGGGATAATGCGCCATAAAGTTTGTGAAGAGTTTATATACAAAAAGTGTCCAAAGTTTCTTCACACGAACAATAACTTACAATGAAAGCTTGCAAAAAAATTACTTTTTTTAATAATGTGAGTGAGAATTTTTGCTCCACGGAGAACTTTTTCAGTTTTTCTGTTGAATTATGAATTAAAACTCGATTATCGTAATTTACTACTTTTTTTAAAAAAATTTTCGGTTGTTAAAATTTTTTTGAAATTTAATCCATTCTGTTTGGTTTACCTGTTATAAAAAAAACCTCTTAAAAACTCCTGAAAATTAAATAGGATGCGTCTTTTAGCGTCCCAAGCTAACCATGAATCGGCTGTATCTGTTTCAAAAGAAAAAATAGCTTTGCCTTTTTTCTTCAAAAAACAGCAGATTCAAAGGAGCAAAGAGCAAAATTGTGTAAATGGGATTCCAAGAAATCTGTGCACTAAAAGATGCTCGAAAGACGTTTCGTGTTCCATTTCCTGGCGCTCGCTCAGCTTTTCTTCAACTTTTCTCAGACCAGGTCTTTTTTATTGTCCGATAAAGGGACCTGGTATCCGAGGTTGCGTTGTTGTGAAAAAGATGCTGCCATTAATTTCTCAGGTTGAATTGAATCTTTGCAGGACCTTTTGCTTTTTTTTCTTTAATGAAATCAGTTGAAAATCAAAAAATCTCAAATATACCGCTCAAAAGTTTTTTTCGAAAGCACTTCCCTCTTCCTACTGTTCATCCAATATTCTGAAGACTTTACCGAAACTTTAAGATCTTTTTTTGAGAAATTCTCCACATTCTGTTCAAATAGCTCCCAAAACCGAAACTTCAATAACGACAGAAAAAAAATATAGCCCACACATATGCGTTACATGGACAGATCGCGTACGAGATATGTTCCACTACAAATGTTTCCATAGGGTGGACTACAATATCGAATTCTCAATTCAGACATTAAATGTTTCTCATTTCCTTATTATTATTGCGGCACGTCATCCTGGCGCACACTCGAAGAAAAAAAAATCAGTTTTGAGGATAAAATGAAGAAAGAAAAATAAAATGCCTAGAACTGGAGCCGTACTCGGAGCTCGAGCTGGAGCATAATTGGTCCGCTGTTCTCCGCCGAAGGATCTAGGTGCCTGCGGGCGTGTTTGCGGCAGCCTTGCCATGCCTTTTACGTCTGCGGACTTTCCAGAGTAAACAAGATATTATTTTGCGCTTGAATGAAGACTGGATGATGGAAAAAAAAAATAACTGTTCGATTATCCCTATTGTTTCAGAAGGTGCAAAGTCTATGATAACAGTCGGCTGACGCGGGAACTGCATAAAGCTTTTTCTCGTCTCTTCAGCTATCACCTAACCTATTCTCGCCTATTCAAGCTAAAAACAGAGCTTCTTTGTGGGTTCCGCTTTAACTAACTTTTGGAAAACAATAACTTTTTCTCCGCTTTTTTGGTCAAAAAATTGTCGATTTTCATGCCGTGCGGCATAATACCCGAGAGAATGAAGAAGAGAAACTGACCCAAAGGCGAAGTCCTGGTCTCCGGTAGAGGCGCCGCTGTCCGAAGCGCACTTGGAAGTGAAGAAGTTGGCAGCAGCTGCAAACGAACGCGAAAATGAGTTGGTCGCAAACCGGAAAACTTTTTTCACCCGCCTCAGCATCTTTTTCATTGCCCTCTTTTTTTTTTGCCGTTCCCATGATCGTCCGCTACCCTCAGGCGCAGTAAAAAAAAGAAAAGATGGGTGGCAGGATAGGACACAACAATGTCTTTAAGTTGAAGTTCCTAGAGATATTTCGTTCTTTCGAACTACGTATAGTCCCTTGTACACATGTCTTTTTTTGCACTTCGGCTTCGTGTCATAAAACTGAATTAGATTTTTGGTTTATTCATTCGTTTTTTTAAACATAGATCAAGCTCTTTCATTTTTTGCCTTCTGAGATATAAACATTTCAGAAATTTTTAATTTCAAAAAAAGACTTGCGGCGGTAATCGCCATTTCTCTGAAAAATGCGCGTATTAAAAAAATCGCTCACTCGCTTGAAAATACGTATGTCATGACTATCTTGAGATCTTAATTAATAAATAATTAATAAATTTAATTTATAATTTCAAGAATTTGAGCGGGCATGTCTCGGACTCGAAAAGCTCGAAAAGCTGCACAAAAAGGTCATTTGTGAAGAAGACGATGAACTTGTTTCTCCTCTAGTTAACAAAAAAGGAACATAGGAAGGCTTGGCTTAGTCTTCCATTTGGAAAATTCGAATTAAGAGCCTTGGCTGGAATTAGCAGTTAAATGAAAGCAAGCCCAATGGGAGATACTTTTGTCCCTTCGAGGGAATGCAGAAGTCATAGAACAACCCAGGGAACTGTATTGGGTGGTTTCAAAGAGGCATGTTTTTTTTCTCCCTCTGTCCTTGAGTTTTGACCGACTCGTCGCCACATTTGGGCTCATCTCGCGCCACACAATAATTACCTCGTCTCGCCAACCAATAACCTTTCACCACAAAGTGAAATGTGAGTCTTATTCAGAACTGGAATTTCTCTATCAAACCGAGAGTCCAGAGGGGATAATTTTAAAATCCTTTTTGCTTGTTTAACATTTTTTACTTTATTTTTATCTACTACTAGTTTTCAATGTGATACACAGAAATGTGTTTCCTCTTGTCTAAAGTTTTTATGCGAAATCATAAAAAGGGTTTTTCATTAAATATATCCTGTGTACCACGACTTGGAATTTTACCAAACGACGTTCCGTTGTGCCGCTGCGCGCCTTTGCGAAGCTTGGTCGCGCTTTTGATTTTTTTTTTTCTTTTATAAGGTATTCTACTCTCATGTGCTCCCACAGCAATAACAATCAATTGAAAACGTGACCTAGATTCGAAAGACGCTTCGCGAACGCCTGCAGCGGAACAGCGGAATGTCGTTGGGTGAAATTTCAAGTCGTGGCACACAGACTATATATAATTGGTCAACAAAATGAAAGAATGTGCCGAAAAATTGAAACTATAATCAGTCGAAACGCTTCTTTTTTGGAGTTGAAAAGGAAGTAAAAAAGACTAGAGAAGAAGTATCCGTTGCTCGAAGTAGAGGCGTTTCCCAAGGCAAATCAAGAAAGCGCACTGATTTTCCGAGTGCAGACTTCAAATAAGATAACTACTATGAGGAGCCTAATTGGTCGTCTCCATTTGCGGCGTAAACATCTATTTCGCCAACAAAACTCACAGCCATCAAGAAAAAAAACGGCCACACGCTCATTCAATTTGTTGAAAAAATAAAATTGAAAGAAGAAGACATGTTTGCGACAAGTTGGGGCCAGAAATCGGAGAGCACTTGTCGAAGATGTCTTGAAATTCGACGCAGAGGAGTGTTGCTCGGCGGGAGCCAATTCGTCGTCCATATCTGATCACCCATGAAGAGAAGACGAATGAGCCTCACAATCTCAACTCATTTCTCTTCTCCTATCAAGTCCGTTCCCATTCTGGGAAACTTGCACACCTATTGAGCCAAAAGATGAGCTCAGTATTGTTTTGAGCGACCTTCTTTTTATAGCGAAAATGATAAGGTTTTTGATTTTTCTCTAAACTTTTTTTTGCAAAAAAGTTGCTTCTAGCTTACAGGACACAATCCATTGCGACATGCAAGTTTGCTAGGGACTCAAATTGAGTTTTGAGGTCCCTTACTAGGGAACGTTTTTTACCCCCCGGTTGAACTTTTGCTGAAACTTTGCCGAAGTGTACTTTAGGACCCCCTGATTCCAGAACAGGAAGAAAATTTCTCGCAATAGATCTCGTTTTCGAGTTAGAACACTTCAAAAGCCCGAAATAGCTCTTTTTTGGCCTAATTCGCGTATTTCGCACACTTTGAAGCTCCATAACTCGGAAACAAGATCTATTGCGAGAAATTTTCTTCTTGATCTGCAATCAGGGGGTCCTGAAGTACACTTCAGCAAAGTTTCAGCAAAAGTTCAACCGGGGGGTAAAAAACGTTCCCTGGTTAGACGGTATTTTCTGGGCAACTCGGACTGAAAAGGTCTCCCGCAAAAGAGAGATCTCGGTTACTGGTCAAGCTTCTGTAAACACATTTGCGCGGAAGCCGAAGGCTTTGTCCGTCGCTCCGAATTGGCCTGTGGAAACAACAACGGCAAGCCTGACAAAGGGCAATAATTCACTCGTCTTGAGTTACCGACAGAAGCGCCAGGTGGCTCGAGATCCGTATGTCACCGAAAGAAGACAATATTCTCGCTCTCCTATCTCTTCTGGAGTTATGTTTAGGATGGTAGTCCGAGAAAAAAGAGAACTATCAAATCTTCTTGAGTTTCGAAAGGTTGAAACATTGTTTCGTGCAAGCCTTCTGGGCCAAAGAAGACGTCAACGGCCATCTGCCGACTCTCGGTCTCTGCTTCACTCTGCTTCTCTGTCCCCGAGCGCCGGTCACTCCTTCAGCCGTCCGTTTTTCTCCGCAGGGCGCCTAATTACCATATATGGACAATTATCAATGTCGCGCGTCGCCAAGAGACCCGATTTCTCTACCGTATGATTTGAAGACAACCGTTAATTAGGTTTCTGGCGACCTCGCCATGCTCAACTTGTCAATAAACCCTTTTCTTAGATTTCAACTTTTTTTTCTCCTTTTATGTACCACGTTCGCGTTGATTTGAAACAGTCTGACGCTCTCATTCTTTTGAGCTATATTTATCTTTCTTGGAGAAAAAAGAACGTAGACACTTTTGTTTCAGAACGTCGCGAGCAAATTATAGGAAAAGAAAATCAAGAGCAAGAATCATATTCTTGCTCTTGATTTTTTTTACCAGTTGGCGAACTCTGGTAAAAAAAAATCGATAAAATGTTCTCAAAAATTGTCAAATCAACGGCTCTATATTTCACGTTATTAATTTTCGTCGAAAAAAAGGAAATCGCACATCGAAATCTCCATATCAAAGAGTTGGACAAGTAGATTTTTTGACACAAAATGAAGTTTTCATCGGAAACGACTACTTCGACCGCATTATCATGAAAAAGGATAGTGGTAACATGGCAATTTAGTTTCACTGGAGCTTAAAAGAAGAAAAAAGTGGATTGCAGAACTGGATATTTTGAAAAAGAAAAGTGCGCAGTGAAAAACATGTTTTGGCGCAAATTCAAAAAACGAAAACAAAGAGCTCGACAAAAAGAGTCCTTTTGGCATATTCCGATGTGAAAGCTGTCTTTCTAGCGAATGCCAGCGGAAAACATGACCAGCAGCAGAAAAAAGGGCAGCGGAAGTTCGATGAAGTTTTTAATTCTTGCACATTTCAACCCAAGAAAGACACAAATCTCCTCAAACTACTCTTTAATTCGAGTCTCCTTTAAGCTGAACAGCCTTCTGTGGCTAAAGTCGAACAGAAAAAGGAGCCCATATACATCAGCCTTCGGAGTTTTGGGGCCGTACATTTCCATCAATGTACATATTTCGATATCTGACACATGCTTTTTGAAAAATTTCTTGCCATAGATCTGATTCTCCGTAACAAAGTTCGTTTTTTACGTCTGGCTGGGCGGAAAAATTGATTTTATGTTTTGAAACAGTTTGAAATTTTTGAGTTTTAGAGGAACTATCCAGTAATTTGAAAAACGTACCGCACTGTTGAGCGATTGAGAAGACGGAGAGGTCGTTGGCAAGGGCGTCGATGAGCGACGGCGAGTGCTGCGAGTGCTGCGACGACTTCTGCGAGTAGCCGCTGTCTTCCCGTCGCTTCTGCGGGAAGTACGGCTGCTGTGAGTACTGGTGCTGCAAGTACTGCTGGTCCCCCGTTGTCGTCATTTCTGTTCTTTCTGTCGGTTCTGCGAAGACGACTTGATCTGAAACCGTTGGTAGGTCGGTTTTGCAAAAAGCAACGAGAAAAACAAAAGCTTAAAAAGAAACTAGAGGAAGAGAACGCGGAAATAAACGGTAAAATTATTTAACAGATGATGAATATCGGGCCTTTATGGAAGAAGCAGAACCGTAAACTTTGAAATGAAAAACAGAAGTTATTCCATAAGTAGATACAACAGCTCGATCGATTATACACTGTTCATGGCCAGAAGGTCTTAGATCCGAGTAGAATTTGGAGGTCCGCACTGTGCTGGAAATGCATTTAGAAGGAGAACGGACAGAAAAGGCAAAAATGGTTGGAGAGGATGCAGTGGCCGAAACGCATACACGAAGGGATAATTGCGAGTGCAAATGTGGAACAAGGGCTGGACGGAGGATCCTGAGGCCGAACTGCTTTCTGAGCCATGGTCCACTCAATTTGTCGCGACTTGAAACTTTGCGGAATGGCTGAGAGCGGAGCGGTCGCCTTGTCAACTTGATCTTCAGCACCAGCTTTGACGGCATCAAAATAGAAGTCTTCTTAGAGGTGAACCAGCCGTCGAGAAAGAGCAAGTCGGAGCCATGTCGAATGGGACACAATAACGACCGAGTTAGGGACTTTTTCACAAATGATGGGCTTGGAGAAGAACCGAAAAAAAGCTCTAGAGATTGGATGGCACCAGCAAAAGGAGCCGAAAAAGGAAGTCGCCGGAAAGATTGGACGAACGAGTCCACGGCATGCGACATCAAGGCTTGGCGGATCTTTTTCCTCGCGCACCGAGTTTTTCGATGAGCTTCGGAAGAAATATTTTGTTTCATGGCCTTTTTCTTATTTCCAATGGATTCAAAGACAGTTTGGAGGGTTTTCAGATGTAGCAAGAGAGGTAATTTCACTCAAAAATGCAAAAATAACTGAAAAATTTCCGAACCTATTGGTTCACTATGGTAAATTAGAATTTGAACTATTATCTCTAGCGACCGAACCGTTATTTTTTTCTGTGAAAAAGTAATGTTCAAAAAAATAACTTGATTGCGCAAAAAATCAGAGCATTTCTCGAAAATTCGGAAGTTTTGACTCTGGGGAACTTCTACGAGGGCATCGAGTGATCTGGCTAACTTCCAAAGAACTCTGATGTTGAATTACCTTAATTTTCTTATTTAAGTTTTTTTTCAAAAAAGGGAAAAGCATGCTTTCAAAAAAGGATGGAGGTACTCCAAAAATTCGAGAACCGTTGCGAAAAAGTATTGTGGAAGTTTCGGGAGATCAAAGCGGCTCTCAGGTCTTCGGATGTGCTTGAAGAGCGGGAAATTATCAACAATCGCTTGCATAAAGTTGCAAGTGGACTCCAGTCGGAGCTTTTTCCAAGAATGGCGACGTATCGAACGCGAGCGGCACAAGTGGGCGGAGCTGGCGGACGTGTTTACCCGCGACTCCACACCACTGGAAACTTTGCCACGCTTTACCACGGTACTTTCGAATTGTGGACTTTCGAGGATCGCGTGTTTTCTAAGAAGTCCTTTTTGAGCTAGTGTAGGGGAGCCTTGAATGAGAAACTAGCATTTCAAAAATGGGCTAGCATAAATCCTGTATTTATCTCCAGACTGATGATTTGAGCATACCGTTGGATTATTAAAGGTCGAAGTACTTTTCCAGTGCAGAAAAGGTCGACCTAACCGCAGAAGCCGGAAAAACTAAAAGTAACAAAGTTCAGACAAAAACTTTGCTTTTTCTTTCATAATTTGAATCTCCAAGAATTCTCTGCTCTTTACTGTAAAGAGCAAAAACACAGGAAAACGTAAAAAATTACAAAGTTTTTTAGTTCCTTTCACGTTTTCGTAGAACGCATCAAAAAAGCGTGAAATTTTTTCTAAACGAAAGAGGAAGCTTTTTTGTACATGTGTGTCAATATTTATTATCCAGTTCCACATATTTTGCAACTACAACAAAATTAAAATTGAAAACCAAAAAAAAGCCACTTTTTCTATCGCGAAAAGGGGCGTGGCTTTGCGTTGCCTATCTTCACAATCAAGAGAAACTTAATAGACAGTAAGAAAACAGATCTCTCTTCCATCAGAGGGAACTTTCTGCAAAGAATTCTCAAATTAATCAAAAAAGGCTAAAAATTCATTCACATCAGGTCCTCCAAAAACAGATGCCGGAAGGCAAGTTAATATAAAAAGTTAATGGAAAAAAGCCGACAATAACTTTCCGAGTCTGCGTGATAAATTGGCCAACAAACGCGTTTGAGTGCCTCATTCCGCAGGAGGTATCCTTTCAAGTTGATTCCTGGCACCGCTGGTCATTCTATTTATTCCGTTCTCCAACTAAAGCCTATTTTACCCAGCACCATATGCTATTCTGAGCGAATCTCTTCAAATTCGCATTCACTAATGGCAATGGCTCCCAGTTTAGTTCGAGTGCTAAGACTTTAGAGCTCGCCTGAAGAAAGCTGACATTTATTTCCAATGGAGACGATAAACAAGCTCGCAAGGGGATATTTTAGACGAGAATAGCTGAGAAAAAAAAAAACTGATACCCACATTCTTAAGAAAATTACTGGGTTTTCAATCGCAGCTGCTCAAAATATCAGAAATGCGTTTCGATGACTCAAAGCGAAAAAGGAAAGATGAGTTAATAAAATTTGTGCAAAAAAAATTTCCTGCAAAGAACAGTCGCATTTGATGAGAAGGGATTTTTCAGAATTTTGGCGCCTAAAAACGGTTCAGGCCATCTGGAAGAAGATAAGATCGACAGGTGGCGCGAATTCTCCAGCCTGGGGCATTATGGAAAAAAAGAGAAAAAAGTGCACTTTTCAAATAAGATTTTCTATCCGTCAGGGGTATCTGGCTACAATTTTTTGTGTTTTTCTATTATTATCATGAGTAAGTTTTTCTGTTACCTCTGTTCTCACATAGAAAAAGAATGGAATATATTCGAGATTTGATGAAGCCCCTCCAAAAGTACTTTCACTACAGCTCAATAAAAACAAGAGAGAGAGGGAGATGTGAAGAGATTGCGTTCGTAACTTCGAAAAACTATTTCAACGTTTAAAGATGAAATGGAAAAAGTGTTGACCAAATAGCAATGAAAATTAGATGATAATTGGGAATAAATACTATTGCGAGGTCTAACGAAGGGAAGGAAGACTTTCTTTTGAAGCTTTGGAAAATTCAAAAAAAAAAGTTCCATGGTTTTCGAAACTTTCTGAGGCCCATGGAAGTTTACACGTCTTTCGAACACATTTTCTGAAGTCAGAAAAAGTCTGTGAGGCCAAATTTTGAATTGAAAAAAAAAGGGAAATACTAAATCTAGTTTGAAACAGGATTCTAACGGAAAAAGGTCTTAAAACATAAGTAATATTTGAAAGTTGGACCGTTGCGTTTCAAAACTGGAGATGTGTACAAGGACGAAACTGGGAACAAAAGGTGACCAGCTGCAAAGTTGAGTTTTGCGGTGAGAAAGCGTCTGAGGCAAGCGTTTGTTCAAATAAGGCTGGAGAGAGGAAAAGGCGCGAAACGGAAGAAGAGCAGGACGACGAGGAGGCGGGGCACGCCGAACAACGGAGGCCGAGTGCCCATTGTTGGGTCCTCGGAAACCAAATCGAGTAGGCACCAGAACAAATACCGACTCCAGATTATCCACTTTGTGTTTGGAACTGTCGAAGAGCAACAGTGGACAGAGTTATCCAATCGAGGCATTTGCAAGGAAAGAACTATCGGAAACTTCTGATTTTTGAACTCATCTCGAATTAAAAATCTTCTTTTAGCACTAATAGAATTGAAAACAGTCCGTTGCAGTTTTAGAAAGTACACTGACTTAAAAAAAAAAATAATTTACACAAAATAAGTTTCCATCGTGTCCGCTGGTCGTTTTAAACAGTTTTTGTCGATTAGGTTTCGCATTTGAATCTTATAATTCTAGAGGATTTTGAATTACTGTGAAAAAAAAGACACGAGAGCAAAGCGTGTAGATTTGGAAGAATGCGAAATTTGTAAATATCTTGAAGATTAAACAAAAAAAATAAGAAAAAAATAAATTTTTAGTTCTTGCTTCATACCGAAAATTCTGATCTGCTAGCCAACTGTGACAGCCTTAACCATAAAAAACTAAAAACAGGAAAACCTCTTTTTTTCAGTTCGAGCAGAAGAAAATGAACTTCGTTCACTTGATCAGAGCCCAAGCCTCTTTTCTATTTTCTGCCAACGATTTTTCTCGATATTTTTTCAAACACGATGAAAATTCACTTCAATTGTCAAAACTCAAAAATTGAAGAAAAAAAAGAGGGAAAACAAAACAGCATTGAAACTGGAAACAATGGAACCAGAAAAAAGACAGCTAAAAAGGGAAGAGCGCCTGGCTGTTCCCATTCTGCGGATGGCCAGATGTCCACATCTGCCGTTTCGTCCGCCGATTTTGCTCCGCCCACTAACCTCCGAGTCATTGTTCTCCGACATGGGCCCTCCGGCCGGAGTACAGTCTCTCAAACGGTTTTGCTTCTCAATTCTTTGAAACCATGTGAGAAAACGTTTGTAGTTAGCCTGAGAAGAGCCAAATAGTTGATAAGATCCAGATTTATCACATCAAAAGAACAACGAAGTCGAATAAGCTCGCCAATGTCTAGAAAACACCTTATTTAGGTAGGAACAAGTTCTGTTAAATATCCAATTTAGAAAAATCACTGGTTCGCGGTTTTTGGCACGAGTTCAATTCCAGCGCCACCGACTGTTTAAAAAGCTCGGTAACCGCTTTTTTGTATCAATTCTACAAATTTTAAATGAAAAAAATCGATAAATAAATAAAAAAGAAATGAAAAGAGCAATAAACAAGCTCTCAAAATCGTCGCTGGCGGTTAAATTGAACTCGTCGCAAGAACCGCGTACGCACACGCTACGCGTCTCTCCGCCCCCTTCGGCTTTCAGATTGGCATGGATTGACTATATGGAAAATATTATTGGCGTAAAGCCAAGCCCGTCTTTGAAGATATTCTGGCCAAGTTGGACAAAGAACTCGCATCGAAAGTTCATTGGCAGATTTCATGCACAAAAATAAATACCGAGTTCTGCAGCTCTTTTGTATTTGCACTGTGGTGCCGCGGCTCAAGAAAGTAGGGCCAACGTGTCGCGGAAACTCAAACAAAAAATAGACGCAACCCTTATTTGTGTGTATGAGAGCTGTGGTGGCCGCGCGGTCCGCTCGGATAGGCCGGAGGAGCGTCGAGTTACAAAAGGCAATCATCTTCTGGAGCGAACGATTCTTGGCGACTTTGAGCTTTTGGGAGCAACAGAAATTAACCTTTTCGGCAATCTCCAATATACAGCAACTCTTAGAAGTTCAAAGTTCTGAACGTTTTCCGCGTGAAACGCTGAACGAAAAATTCAGGAAGTATATAGATCATTCGACGTCCCTTAAAACAGTATCACTGCTACCGTCTTTTGTTTACCTGGTTTTTGAATATGCTACGAATGTTGAGGAAAAAAGGCAAAGATGGACTTCTTAAAGTTCTTGGCAGAATAATCAGTTGAAAAGTTCGAACAGTTGAAAAACACTTCTGAGCTTCAAAAATAGTTACAATCGCAAAAAATGCACATCCGAAACTTTTTTGTTACCATGACGTAGTTAGAGAACATGGTAAAATCTGGCTAGAACCATCAATCAAAGAAGCAAAGAAACGGGGAAATGAACATTACTTTTCTTAGCTAAATCGTAGATTTAGAAGAGGTTGGGCTTGAAAACAGAGGAAAATGCCGAGAGAGCCCTTGGTAAGGACCAGAACATGGCCGAAAAGGGCAGAGAAAAGGTTTTCTCGGCGGCTGAGAACGGTGAAAAGCAAAAAGAACGTCCCTTTTTTCGCTCCATTCATAACTACTTTTGTTTGGCGCTGGACAGGATCAGGACGGTGTCTGTTGGAACTTTCAAAAACACAGATCTGAGATGGGATGTGCTCTAATATAACATCCAACGTCGTGATAGCAGCCTTCTGTAATGTTTTGAAGCCCGAAGGACGGAGCACACTAGCATATTCGATACAAAACCCTGAAGGTCATCATTTCCAAAATAAGAAATTCGTCAACATTCTCGTGCCGTTCTAATTACCATAATGCAGTGCTCATTTGATATTCGGGCTGTACGAGACAAATGAAAAGAGTCCCTTCAATGCTATTTCTGACCGAAGCAGATGGCCTAAAAGGGAGATAGCAACTTGAGAATATCAAGCCGTGGACAAAGACTTGTGGTACGGCCAAACGGCGACGGCAAAACCGAAAAAAAAAATCGGAGACGTGAGGGAAAGGAACAAAGACGGAGATGTCCCGCTCTCAATGAGAGTGAGGAAAAAATGTTTGGCGCCAAAGACGTTGAAGGTCGCTGGTTTTTGAAAAGCGAAGAACACCGAAACCGCACTCAAATCGGGGGATTCTAGGCAGTCGTCTTATGGGAAGCTTCAGTTGAACAAGGACTTCGGAAGGTTCAATTTATTGATTTTATCTTTTTTTCTCGAAAAATGCTTCAGAAAGACAATTCGCTTCTTGAGAAGTAGGAAAATGGGTCTTGAAGGTTTTTAAGAGCCTCAAATTAAATGATTATGAGAATTTCTTGAAATTCACATTCAATCATTTTTTTTTTCTTCTTCGCCTTTTTTAAAAATCAATCTAACCTGCATTGATTTAAAAGGCATGAAGATTCTTCGAGAACATACTGATAAAAAACAAAAAAACATACAGAAAAGCTTGCCATTCAATAACAGTGGCATGGATGAATTCTCTCTTCAAACGGTCTGAGTGGCTTGAAGGGTTTGTTTTGGTGCAAGACGCTGGCAGTAGGTGCATGAGTCAATCAGACGCGACAGGTGACTGACCGCGTAATCGGCCATGTCGAGGCGAGGGCTGTCGCGTGCGTCCAGATCGTTCCATCTGATTCTGTGGGAACCCCGCTCAACTTTATTCAACTTTCTTTTCGTTTGAAAAATCTTGTAAAAAAGCTTTATGTAAGGGCGCAAAGTCTCGCCTCTTCATCGCACCAAAGTTGACGATTTTTCGGTTGCTCGGTAGAAAGTGTAAGTCAAAAACTCAAAAAAAAAAACTTTGGTGAAATAGGACTAGGATGTTCAGATCAAATCATCAATTTTTCTCTTTTTTTATGTCTACTTCACTAAAGACAGGTGCTAATAAATCTTAAAGAAAGTTGTTCATTGAAAAATGACAACGACCATTTCAGGCTGCTACAAACCTTCGAAACTTCTTTGAAAAAAGTCAAACAGAAAACAGAAAGCTCAGTGGTCAAATTCTATCCATCGCATTCAAATCCAGCAGCCTGTCAGTCACGCACTCGCCATCGTAAATCCTGCTAATCGGGAAAAAATCTCATTGGCTTAATGCCAATCTCCTTAGTGGCTCCGCCTGCTTTTCTTCTCTCTCTCTCTAACAACGGCTCAGATCAGGGTGATCTTTCTGATTGTTTGCCTCTAGAGTTTATTCAAAAAAAAATTTTCACTTTTTTAGAAAATTCAAAAACAAAGCTTCAAACTGATTTCAAAAGAGAGTGGAAATAATTAAAAATTCCAAAATATGCAAAACGAGAAAATTGAAGAGAAAGAAAAGATGAGCTTGCAAACGTCAGCCACGGTGGGTAGATCGGCAAGGAGAAGAAGAAAATCCATTGAAGAAAAGGCACAGGAAAAGCAAGAAATGGGTAAGGAACTGGTGGAAACGGCCAGCACGGAAAGCTGTTGAGCGCGAAAAAGGATCGCATTTCAGGCGCCGCCGGGGCTCGACTGCGAGGAGGACGGCCGCCGTCGGACAGTTCCGTCGTCGCCGCCGCCCACTGCGCCGACGGCAAACACTACGATCAAAACACTCGCGAACCGTGCCAATCGCGTGTCTTTTTTGCCGCGTTTCAGCAGTTCTCCGAAACGAATGCAGTTTGATCTGCTCCGAAGCTGCTAGGAATCTGGAAGCTAGGTTTTCTTTGTTTTTCCGAACTCAGTAAAGAAACTTCTATCCGTCAAGGAAAGTTTCTCAGCTTTAGAGGGCATTGTAAAAAGAAAGAAATCAAATTAAAGCTCAGAAAAATGAATAAAAAAATACATAACAAAGTTTGAGTTCTGATTTTTTTTTTCTATAAAAAGGACCTTTTTAAAAGGTCCTAGACTTTGGTAGATAGAAGTTAAGAGACATACTTCTTTAATAAATCACTCTTTTGTTTTGTTTTGTGAGTTTGTATCTTCTTGTGGCAGTTTAAGCAACTTTTCGGAGATTATAGTTTGTGTGCCACGACTTGAAGTTTCACGGAACGACATTCCGCTGTTCCGCTGCGTGCGTTCGCGCAGCGTCTTTCGAATCTGGGTCACGCTTTCAATTGATTGTTTTTGCTGTGGGAGCACATGGAAGTAAAATACATTTAAAAAAAAATTTTAATCACGACCAAGGTTCGCAAAGGCGCGCTGCGGCACAGCGGAATGTCGTTCCGTGAAATTCCAAGTCTTGGTACACAGGCTATAACCCTCTTAAATTCATTTCTCTTCAAAATCGTTTTTCCTCTTTTCAACGCTAAAGCTTCCAATATGTCTTCTGGGCTTATCCTCATGTAGCCAGCAACGCTTGAAGTGAATTGATCAGACGGATAGAATGGAAGGAAAACAAAATGACATTGATCTGGGAAGAAGCTCCGATCTGTTATCACCTATCGCCGTTGAGTGGCCCGCCGCAGTCAACAGGGTGTTCTCCTGAGCTGAGATCTCGCGGTCATTCCGACTGGCCAAAAAACACAAATTCCCAAACAAGAAAACAACATTTCTGAATAACAAATTCGAGTCAAAAGAAAAACACGGACGGTCGTCGATTTGGCCGTCATCGGATCGTGGGAACTTCGTCAATTTTACACCTTCCTATTACTTTGGGAAAATGGTGCCATAGAGGTTCTCTATTTAAAAAAAACTCTCTGAATGTCAAAATGAAGATCCTCATAGTCGCTACCTGCGCGAAATTCTAGTGTTTGAAATATTAATTTTTGAAGTTTGCGTTCGACACAGAAGACCCCACAAGGTGGTCATTTTACTTTGCGACTTTCAATTATCTACAATTTTGCTCAAATAATCTCTGAAGGTTTATATTAAGATCTATCAACGTTGCAACCAGCGCCAGCTTCTAGTTTTTAAGATAATTAGTTTTGAAGGTCGAAAAGTTAGGAAAAAGCCCATTTCACGCAACTTTAAAAAAAATCGTATCTCAAAAACTAGAAGTTTGCGCAGGTAGCGACTGTGAGGAGTCTTCATCTAGACCTTCAGAGAGCGATTGAGCAAACTTGTAGAAAACTCCAAACTACAAATTGAAATGACCGTCCTCAGAACTCAACTTTGGAGTTGGTTACGAGTGGATTGCCAGCGGCGATCGGTAGCCCAGTGTCAACACGATCGATTTCCGGACGTCTGTGGGCAGTGTTGACACAGTTCGTGTTGTTTCTAGCCGAAGTGTTGGCTTGCCATCCGTCTCCGATCGCCGTCCGCATTCAATCGGAGCAGGACCGTCGCGCTTGCGCAATTCATACTTGTCTCTGGTTTTTTTTTTCAGTTTGGATTTTTCAGCTCAATCGGGAAAGCCAATACAAGAAATTTCAGTTTTAGTCATTAGATCGCCAAATTCGATGGATTCACTATAACCTGTTGATCAGCTCCGTATGGTTATTTTGAAAAAGGCAGTCGCTTCAAAAGAAGATAAAAACTTTTGCTCATCAGCTTTATTATTTCTAGTTTCTTATTGGAAAGTTAATCAATGAGGAGTAGAATAAGTATCTATCGCGAATCTCGAATTCACTCGGCGTAAGCTAAAAAAAAAGGTCGTTCACAGCTATCAGGTCCATCTCAATGGTGGATACTACCGGAAAGAAACCTGGATACCAAAATTATCCTACCTACCATTGCTACCAGGTAACCCGGCGTAGCTATCCGGTAGCTTTTTTTCAAAGTTTGCTCAAAAATGACCACCGCTTAATAAATGAGCATTGACCAATGTAAAAGCGGAGTGCCGCCTCGGACCTTGGTAACGCGAACGTGAAGCGAATCGGACGAGTCAGGGCATTTCTAGTGACCACTTTAGTAGCCTCAACGCTCTTAAGTGATCCCTTGAATCGCCCAGAAACATCCGGAGCACGTCCGTCTCGCGTTACCAATGTCCGAGGTTATCAACTTTATTTTATATGCTGTGCCTAAGACCCTTAGCAGAGCCTTATGAATCCACTACAAGTTACCTAAGACTATGAGTTTTTCGATAGAAAATCACTGAAAAGGAGTCTAAAACCAAAACTTTTGAATTGAGTCGGCGTTTCCTTTTGTTAGAAATGGCACCCTTCAAAGTCGACGCCGCCCTTTGTGTATCAGTCTCCCACTTCTTGCGGTGTCGAAGAAAGCCGCGAATTTCGGCGGCAAACGCAGACCGTTCAAATTTGGGCGCGCAACACGCGGCCTGCCTGGCGCCAACCGATTCAAATGGAAACAGGCTACATTTCAGGGACCGCTTCAGAAAAAAGATTTGCCTTTTTTTTAATTATAAAATGAGGAAAATATATGGATCTTCCCCGGTTATCCTCGTTCATTATATAGTGAACTATAAAATCTCTTACTGCAATAGTGAGGAAATAAGCTCAAAACTTAGGCAAGCGTGTCACACATTTAGAAGGTTTTCAAAGACCGATGTTTCCTCTTATCAGCTGAAAGCCTCACAAACTTGTGAAAATGAGAAAAACATGTAAACTTTTACAAATTTTCAATATAAAACATCAGCAGAGAACCCTTTAGTCAGCCTTTCCGGCCTTGGAATATAAAACATTTAATTGAATAAATAAAAAATTCTCTTCAGTACTGTATACATTACATGTAAGAAGGGACTGTTACTGGGAAGACGGGAGCCCCGGGGGACAAAGGCCGGTTAATGGGCACGAGCAGATGTCGGCCTTGGAGGTCTCCAAAGCGGTCCATCTGCTCTCGATCTTCATCCGGTTAGAATCTCAGATTAGCCGTCAAGAGCGAGTCTTTCTATTTAACTGTTGAACTTCCAGCAAAATGGACTTCTATGGAGACTAAAGTATTAATAAAAAAAATTCAGAGCAACTATCCTTTCCACGACACCTTGTCACTCTTTTCAGGCTATTTTTTGTATTCTACAAAAGTTCGAAATTGAGAAGTTTACAAAAGATATAATTAGTTCTCCGCTAATTTTTCTGCAGTTTTTCATATATTTTCCTAAATTTCGAATACGAAGGGAGGATTCGAAGAATTGATTTCTATATCCAAAAAGGGCAATGAAAGGCAATTCCGAATGCTTTGTGTATTTCTAAAACGTAAGGATTGGAGGCAGACTGCGGTACCGTTGAAAGGATTCCCTGGTTTTTAATGCGAGGCGGCGGATCGCCTTTTGACCTCCCACGACACGCTTAATGACACATTACATGGCGACGTTGAACAGTCAATCAGCCATATCGTGTATCCTTTTACGGCACGCCGCGTCCAGACGCTCCGTCAGGATCCTCGTCAACTTCTTCGACATGGCGAAGAGCGGAGAAAAGAGAGACTAGAGCAGCTACCGGGCGAAATTAATTTTAAAAATAGACGGGTTATTCGTGATCGTTTTTTTAAAAGGATATTTCGATGATAAATGAAACTATCGTTGATACTGTAATTTGTTTTTCTCAAAAATATCAACTCAGTGCAGGTATAATCTCTTTTTGGGATTTATATATTCCAAAAGATCTTCTCTGAGCTAGCCACTCGTTGGCAATACTTCCTTTGGTCGTTAGTTCCTTTCAATTCATTAGTTGATTTCACAATCCATTGTCATCTAGAAAACGGCTAAAAAAACAATTGAAAAATTTGAATAGTGTCTGTGAGATGACAATGAAAGAGCTCATTTGAGATTTGAAAAGCCGATGATTTGAAATTCAAATGACGAGGTGAAGGAAAGACGGAAGGTTGAAACGGGGCGCCAAGTGGGTTCGCAATGACCAGTTGCACACATAAATTTCACGGTTGAACGAGGCTACGCGGTCCAACAACAGCGTGTTCTCGACGGCTTCGGGGCTCAGGAAGGGGGTCAGCTACAATTTCCGAGACTAGCAAGGAAGGCAACTTTCCTGGAACGTCTAGAAGCTTCAGAATATTGACGCAGAAAAGTTCTTCGAATTTCAAGATGAAAATTGGGAGTCTCAACCTGCCTAGCCCTTCAGCTTTTGAGAATAGAAGTTTCGAGGTTCCAGTTAGATTATTGAGTATTAATCTCACTCACTATCAGGTGCAAAGTGAATTAAGTGTTCAATGTTCATAAAAGCGACTGTTCAATCGTTTGTTATCAAAAATAGAAATTTGAGCTTATTGAGGCTTTCAGGGACTTCATCTGGTAAATCAAAAAGTATTTTGGTTCAAAGCATGCATCCAGCACACAGTCGATTGGGTTCGAGAGCTCTGATCTATTCCCATATACGTCTGTGGCCTCTGTGGCCCCTCTCCGGAGATAAAGGTTCAAATTGGTGTTGAACAAAGCAAGAAGGACGACGTGAAACCACCGTTCGATAGAAAACAAAGATGACATCATGCGGCGAGGGGTGAAATATTTACGGACGGCTCGTGGGACCGGCGTCCTGTTGGACCTACGGCAACCACTGTGAATTGCGCAACGCGTCTACAATGGGGACCGCCGCCATGTGTCAAGAACCCTTTCGCCCACTTTGGTCACAAAGGAAACCAGAAATTGAAGCTCGGCACTGCTTTTCTCAATCCTACAAAAAATCCCAGCTTAACTTTCCTCTCATCTAGGAAAAAGTAACTGTCTGACTCAGATACAGATAGATATATGTTATTAAAGTTTCGAAGACTTGATACAGATCAAAATCACTGGTAAATGTATTGAGTTGTATATCGCAGTTAGGGTGCAAGGAAATTACTCGAAAAACTTATCCGCCAAGCTTCGGGGAAAAAATTCAGTCAAAACTAAGGGAAACATTCTCAAAAACCGTTTTTTATCGAGACTCTTGAATTGAAAACCGGAAAAAAAAGAGTTAGCAAACCATAAAATATCAAAATCTCCGTAATAGAAAACGATCTAGATGGAAAATTCCGTTTCTTGAATCACTGCCGTTTTTGAAATTAAACTTCATCAGGAATCAATATAACACTATTTTGCTGTCGTGAAGTCTTGAATATGGACAAGATCAACGAAGAGATTCAAAACAGTGGTAAAGACAAAAAATATTCCGAAAGTTTTGAGATAAGTTCTGTTCTACCGAGTATGAATAACAGCACGATACGAGTGGATATGATCTTCTTATTTCATGAGGCAAAACAATTTCGCAAAAAATTCTTAAAGAAGGGTCTACGTTGCGAAATTCTTCTCATTCGGGCTGATTTCGCAAGAAAGGTCTACGGTGGCACCAAAGACAACCAGAGGCTTTTTGCGAAATCACTCGTAGTTTAATTCGCCCCACGGGGACCATTCCTAGGTCTCTCACTACCGGATATTCGGAATGAAAGTCTACCTAGAAGAAAAAGATTGCCGCTTTCTTATTGAACATAAGGCTGTAATCAACACCGAGGACTCTTTTTGTTGAAACAAAAGTGAGCAGAGTAAAAGTCTACAAGACGATCAAATAAGGAATAATTGGGTGCAGGTGCGTATTAATCCTAGGACCGCGCAACCGCCGCTCCAGGTGGCCTTTCTACCTTTTTTCCACTACAGAAACTCGATACAAAACTAGTCAAACTTGAGTATAATCAATTCAGAAGTGAAGAAACCGCATTCAAGCCGTACACACTGGGAAAATGTTTAGTGGCTACTATAGTAGTCAAATTAGTGGCCACTCTAGAGGTCTTAGAGCTGCTACTAACCACAAAATTTTTTAGTGGTCACTTTAGGGGTCAATGGATCATCATAATTGGTTCAATCTTTTTGTTTTAATCAGAGTATCAGAGTTGCTGGAAGGAATATTCGATGAAAAACTACTGAAGTGGCCACTAAAACGGAAAATAGGGGCCACTAAAGAGGTGGGTGTAGTGGCCACTTTAAAGTCCTCTCCAAGTAGTCCTTGTGAAATGAAAAACGAAATTTTTATCGAAGGTTTTCATTTTCATCATTATTTAATAAATTGAAGACTTATAGCGAAAGCGCGATAGTTTCGAATCAGGAATATGAAAAAAAAAAAAGTAAAATGAATAATATCATTGGTGAGAGGAAAAAATTAGAAGGCAGAGGACGGCAAACAATGGCCTCTGGGTAAAGGTAGAATAGAATTCGAAAAATTGAGTTCAGTTTTAGTCGTTTTTCGAGGTCAGAAAGTTTGCTTGAGATGTTCAAATGAATCATCATTTTACAGAATGTAGATCGCTTTTCATTAGGATTATCGACATCTTTGAAAAACAGTTCGAGTAATCTCATTTTCGTTCTATCAGTGCTCTAATCCGCACCACTTTCGTTCGAATTAAAAAAAAAATTCAAAAGCTACCAAAAATTCAAATACAATGCTGATTCCGAAGAACATAACTTTTTTGTATTGAATTCCTGTCTTTATAAATTAATAATTTTCTTCATTCGAAAAATCAATCGATTCTCATGATCTTCTCATTCTCAGCCCTGCTCAGAAATTAGCGTTCGAAGTGAAAAGGAAAAGCGGTTCCACGGGCTGCTTGTAACGAATTCTCAATGCACGGTTACAGAAATAAAAGAGTGATAAGGGCGCGACAAACAAATGAGGAACTAGTTGTCTTCTATATAAGCGCATCAGAAGAACGACGACTCACACATTGCCGCGTCTTGGACAAGAATGGGCTCGCCGTCATGTCTCCAGATGGCCTTGCTGGGCACTTACATCTTCACGGCGCTTCTCCTAGTCGTCACCTCCGTAACGATTGTTAACCTCTTTGACGAGGTCGGCGAATTCCAACGACAAATCGACGACGACCTCAAGCAGTTCAAAGTGCGTTCCAATGATGAGAAAAAAAGTCCACGAACTGTGATTCAGATGTATGCCGACGAGTCGTGGACAGCTATGATCACAGAAGGAAGCGCGACACGAGGAATTTTCGGAAATGCCGTCAGAATTCCTCGTCAAGCTTACGCCACTGGAGGAAGTAGCGCTGGAGGCGGAGGATGCAATTGTGGCGCACAAGCCTCGGGCTGTCCGGCTGGACCGCCTGGACCCGCCGGAAGCCCTGGAGAGCCCGGAGAGCCAGGAACTGCTGGTGAAGACGGCAAGGCTGGGTCGGCTGGTGTGGCCGAGTCGTCGAAAAATTCCGATTGCATTCAGGTTCGACCAAGTCACTTCTTCGGCTTGTTAGCTTCTGAAAAAAGTTTCTTCACTTTTTGAAAAAGGCTTAAACCTCGCCTATGTGACAGCTCATCAAACGCTTTAGTGTCCGTATTTTCCTGAAAAATTAGTATCGGCTTTTTTCAGTGTCCGGCCGGCCCTGCAGGACCAGTTGGACCAGACGGACCACCAGGACCAGCTGGACCGAGTGGCAACCCAGGACCAAGTGGTCAAGCAGGACAGCCAGGACAGTCCGGACCACCAGGACCGCCTGGATCGCCTGGTCCTGACGGAGCTCCTGGAGCCCCAGGAAACGACGGCTCTCCTGGTTCTCCTGGACAGCGACAGAGCAACTCTCCAGGACCTGCTGGGCCAGCTGGATCGGCAGGACCACCTGGTGAGTCGATATTGTAGATCATTCTAGAATTAGTGAGAAAAATCGACAGGTTTCGTCTCGGAATGTAATTTTTTCTTTCTCTATGACTCTTGCAAAGAAGATGAGTTATACGAGACTTTGAGCGGTAGCAGTAGGTTGTAAATTTTCAAACAATTCGTTCGAACGTTTAATATTTCATGATCATATGTATTTAAATAGTATTTCCAACTTTGAAAATCTGTGCTCATGTTTAGACTTCTAATAATGCTAGAAAGAAAAAACTCAGAAAAAAAACTAACATTCTTTTTGGTATGAAAACAATATTCAGGACCGGCTGGCGCTCCTGCTGGACCTTCTGGCCCTGGAGCTCCAGGCCCGGCTGGACCTCCTGGACCTGCAGGAAATCCTGGAAGTCCAGGATCAGATGGAGGACCTGGACAACCCGGAACCGATGGAGCACCAGGTAAGAATTCGTAGTTGGTACTTTACTCAGTGGACACTCAGGAAGCGACGCCGCCTACTGTCCATGCCCACCTCGTGGAGCTTCGGTCTCCGCGCGTGCAACAGGTTTATTGAAACAGTTTTCTAAATGATATGAATCTCTGGATTTCAGTTCAAAGACACATCGTGGCTAACTGATGGCAAATTTTCCGATATTGCTCTCAATAAAGTTTTCAAAACGTTTTTTTCTGTAAAAAATAAACTGCAAAAAAATCATGGAAAAAAGCGCCAGGCTAACTCGATGGAAGAGGATGGTCCGACTGTGTACAGAACTCTTTTTGGATTTCTCTAAGCTTTTTCGCAGAAGATTGCAGGGTTCAGCAGAAAGTCGCTCTGGTTTCAAGAATCCTTACGCAGGTCTATAAGCTAAAAAGTTTCAGCTTGACCCAAAAAAAAAAAGAATTACTCCACATACGCGAGACAACTTCAATGTCTATATGAAACCACATCTTGGTTTTTTTCTCAATTTGAATAAGTAGTTTCTGATCGAATGACTCAAGGTGTCTGTGACCGTGTAAGATTTAAAATTCAAATTCACGAAGCTTTAAGAAATTTACTATAAATTTTAACTCAACAGAGAAAAAATTTCTCTTGAATGTAAGTTCAAAAATCAGAAAACCACCCGTGCCCGTCAGAAAAGAGAACAATTGATAATTCAGGACTGAGGTCGTATGTAATACAGCGCTAATGGAATTAACTGCAAAACTTATTTCATGACCACCAATTCCTGACGAAAAGTTTCCAAATGAAAAAGAAATAAAAAATATTGAAACCATTGAGATCTAACGTCGCCTTCGGCTAAGCTAATAGAAGTAAGTATGCTAAATTTTTCTTAAAACAATAGTTTTCTGAATTTCGTTTGGATGCGGGAGGTCAAAATCGGCCGCAGTAAGGTTCACCGGCAGCTTGGACTCCTTCACGAATGTCGTCACCCATTCAAAACCTGAAGAAGCGTTTCTAATGAGAAACCTGCGCAAACGATCCGGAGAAGCACCTGCAAACATGAAGGCTAATCGAACTGGGCCGTAGATGCGGTGCAGATTGAAAACGATGCCGTCGAGGCCGTAAGGCACGGCAAAGTAGAAGAGACCTGTGATCGGTCGTTATTGGGTTTTCCGGAGGGCCAGAACTAACCTCCAGGCTTGAGCAGACAGCGGACTTTGGTCATTTCGCGGAAGTCGCCGATGGGATCTAAAGGATCGCCGAAACGACCCAATCCTGAGTGCTCGATAGAGGAAAACGACGCGGCAAAATCAAACTGTCCTGCGTACCTGTAAGCCAAAATAGAAAAGTTAGAAGAAAGAGGACCCACTTCTGCCAGTTTTCAGCCAGAGTCGGTGCGAGCACAGCTTCCATTCTTTCCCTCATTGTCTCATCGATGGAGATCTTGGAGTATTCTACCGTGACAACCTTCATTGAAAACTGTTAGAGCATCTTCAGGACGACTGAACCTTCTTGGCGCCAAGCTTCAGAGCCATAGTCTCGGCCCATGGCGAGAGCGAACCTACGATGAGGCCAGTCTTGCTGGCGACGCCGAAGTGCGACATCGCCGAGTTGAGCGAGGCTACGAATCTATGCTTTTTCGGATTAAAACGGAAGAATACCCGAAAACCCGCTGTAGCCAGCATATTCAAGGTCGCGGTCCGACTTTGCCAGCCAACTTTTCATATCCGACCACATGATGGGTCCTCCCGCGGATTTGTCATTGCTGTATCTCTGAACACTGACATGAAGTTTTTTCGTTCAAGTCAGAGCTGTGATCTAGGCCGGCCGGGTTAACCACAGTGTTGCAACGCGGTCGCGAAGAGGTCGAAAATTTGCTCCTTTTCGAACCTTTTTGTCTCGAAATTTTCACAGAGCGTGTAAATGAGGAGAGCGAGTGATCGAAAATGTATTATTTAGCAAACTTTGCCAGCCAACTTTTTTTTTTCCGATTCAGCCATCACCCTCGGCCCAGCTTTGGTCAAAAGAAAATTGAGAAAGAGTCTGTAGTTAAGAAAAAAATAACCATTTTTTTCTAATTTTCAAGAATCTTACATTAATATTTAACCACAGCCAAAAAACTGTAAGTTAATATTTTGAGAAAAAAAATCCTTTAGGAAAAAAAAGCTTTTCAAATTTCTCTTTTTTTTTTAAATTTTCTCTTCCATGGAAAAACTAACATAAGAAATGAAGGAGTAGCCGTTGAGATCGAAAGAAGAGAGCAATTTATCGGGGATGCGCGCCGGCGGAATTCCGTTAGTGTCGTTTTTCGAAGTCTCCACATATTCGTTGAATGCCTGACCCGTTCACTGAGATACCGCAGAAAGAAAAACGAATACTTGGTGACACGTAGGCTCCGAAACAAATTCAAGAGAAGGGATGACGGGACGCGCTTCGCGAATACGGTAGCCCAGCGGTCTAAACACGGCCTCCTCCAACTCTGCGTAAGAAAAAGAGCCTTTATGCGTCTTCACAAAGCTGAAACTCTTCATTTCAATTATCACTGTTTCCTACCAACCTTGTATGCAGCCGCGGATCGCTAGACTGAGTTCGGCCTGACCACCGGATATTGCTAAAATTTTCAGCTCAGCCAAATTTAGGTCATCACTACCTGTAGTAGAGTCCAAGAATAACTAGCAGTATGCAGATAAGAGCAACCGGCTGCCGGAGTTTCCTTTGTAACATCTCGAGAAAACGGGAAAGACTCCTCAAAAAGTTCTTCGAAAAATAAGAGCTTTTAAAGGTCACAAACGGCTCTTTTTCATTTCAATTTCGCATCTTTCTCACTTCCTTTAATAAAAAGAAGTGGAAAGAAACTGAGAATATGTCAGGAGATACAAAAAAGATTATCTATAGTCTGGGTGCCACGACTTGAAATTTCACGGAACGACATTCCGCTGTGCCACTGCGCGCCTTGCGAACCTTGGTCGTTCTTTTAATTTTTTTTTTCTTTTATTAAGGTACTCTACTTTCATGTGCTCCCACAGCAATAACAATCAATTGTAAGCATGACCTGGATTCGAAAGACGCTTCGCGAACACACGCAGCGGCACAGCGGAATGTCGTTCCCTGAAATTTCAAGTCGTGGCACACAGACTACATGAAAAGGAGCTCACAGATTTTTCCTTTAGAGTTTTTGGAAATTTTTCAGTTTCTTCTGAAGATGGGCCAAGTACAATAAAAATTATCTTGACTTCTTGTTAAATGCATAAAAAGTTATATTACACTGAAAAGTGGGGAAAAACGCGAGAAAAAGAGAAAAAAAAAACTAAATTTAAATTGAATGAAGTTTGGTGGGATTGAACGTGCCGCTCCACGTTGCAAGAAAAAAAAACTCGCGTCATTTTTGAGCGCCTAAATCTTTCCCTTGTATTCCCTACTTCAGAACAACGTGCTATAATAATAATAAAACGTATTTTCAAGCTTAACATGATTCCAGTCAAGACCTGTTCAAACCTACAAAAAAAACGGTACTGGACCAGATTATAAAGTAAATGGACTAATACGAAACAGAAACAATTCGTAGCATCGGATTTTAGGCGCGGAAATAGAAAAGAGCGTGTTGACACAACTGATGAAGGCTCTTTGGGCGTTTCAATCGTTTTATTTCTGAATATCAGATCGTAAAAAATGAATTGTCGTTTTCCGGTCGTTGCAGTTTTTGGAAAATCTGCGCTTCGGATCGATCGGACGAAATTGGCGATGAAATGAAACAGGCAGAGCCGATAAAAAGATGAAGTAGGAGACGAAAGGTTCGTCTACCGCCTTTTTCTCGTCTACCGCCTTTCCTTTTCCGTGCGGTCGGCTCCTTTTTCCTTTAGTTTTTAGTGGCCCGTTTTTCCCCCTTGTTCCCGGGACTATGGGACAGCCTCGTGAAAAGCGTCCAGCTCCATCTGCTGATGACTCGTTGAATTCGGACCTTAATCTTGATGGTGACCAAGACGTTCGAACTTTACTGCCTCAAGTAGCGCTCAAACAAGCCTACGCCGATTTGAATTCTAATTTTCTCGAGATCAACTGTGGCCTCGTTGTTGAGAACGCTCGTCTCGTTTCCGAAAATGAAGCTTTTCGGAGCCAAAACCGCCTGCCAAACTCGCCCAGCTTTCTTCCCAAGTTAAAAAGACCAAAAAACTTGCCTCGATGCGAGAAAAAAGTTTCCAAGCGGGCCTAGACGACTCGAAGACACCTGCCCAAAACAAAAACGACAAGGATATCGTCGACGCTAACTGTGCTGAAGCCGGTATACCTTGTCCTGAAGAAGTTTTCTGCCACCAGTATGACGGCAAACGCAAACCGCTGGATATTCGTTTCGCTTCTACTTACTCGAAAGAATCTTTTTCGTCGCTTCCGTCATTCTGTTCATGTCGTCAGCTTTTCTTGTCCCTTGAATCAACGCTGCCGACGCGACATGACTTTGACAGAGTTATCGCTTCTCCGCTCTCAGAGAAAAAAAAAGGCCTACGAAGACAACGTCAAGACCGGAATCTTCAAGTATTTTGCCAGAGATCTCGAAATCTTCGAATCTGACAAACAAAGAAAGTTTATAGTTTCAACAAAGATCAAAAATCCGACTATTGTCGATACCCAGGCTTCGGCGCCTTCTTCCGTTCTCGAGGCAGATGCCATGGAACAATAGGATTTCGTCACTACCGCGCTTTCCAAGTCTGGCTGGTTACGGATTATTTTTCAGTTTTTCTTTTTTTCGTTTTCATAAATCCTTCGTCCGTTTTTTTTTTTCCATTCAGCTAGTAATAAATAAGAACAAAGGAAAAGTTTTATCCTTTCTTTTCGTGCACGAAATATTGATATTTTTTTGTTTTGACTAGTCATATATTTTTCTTTTATTTATTATCCTGCCAATAAAGCAACCAGCAAAGAGCTCAGCTCTGTTTGAAAAAACATAGTTTTGTTTTTGATAGAAATTTGAAACGTAAATATGACTCTGATAGAAATTTTCAAACGGGTCTAATCAAATCTACAATAATTCAAACAAACCTAAACAAAACTAAATAACCTAACAACAAAAAAAAATTTTAAATTGAGCAAAAAAATTTTTGGAAAAAAATTTTTTTAAGTAAAGAAGGAAACAATGGCAGGTACCGAAAGCCTGAAAAAAGTGTGTTACCCTCTCTTTGTCGTCAATTGGACTCAAATATGGACAAAGACAAAGGAAAAACTTGTAGTAAATCCATACTGACAAAGCCATTAGTGCCATTGATTCATGAGCTGTTGGATGTGTTGGGTCGACCGTGGAACAGATGATGTCAGAAGTTCGCAGCCGCCTCCCGCTAGCGTTGCAACGTCGTCTTCGATTCGGAAGCCGATCCCGCGCCATTCCTTTCTGGGCCAGTCCAGCGGTACGTAGACGCCTCAACTCGTTTCTCATTTCTCAGAATGTTAAGACAGAATGTGCAAAGTGAGGTTTCCGTCAAAAAAACGTTCTCAAACATTTAGCTGAGCTCTTTTCAACAAAGGGAAGCTTCAGATGTTTCGGCAAGTCGATTAGGAGCTACGAGACTGACCAGGCTCGATGGTGAAGCAAACGTTGGACGGCAACTCAATGTCGCGACTGACGGACGGCGTGTCGTGCACGTCCATTCCCAGATAATGGCTGACGTGGTGCGGACAGAGCATTTCGGCCGCCTCAAAAGTCCTTCAACACTCGGCTGAGGTCACCCGGAACCTTGAGCATGGAGGCGTTATCCCCTTGACGAATCAGCCCCAGTTCGCCCATGCTAGCAGCCAGCAGCTCCATCATTCTCCGATAAAGATAACTCAGTCGCACCTTCAATTCTGATAATTCTTGCGAGATGCAATTTGTTCACCTTCTCCATTGAAGCCGCATATTCGATGAGCTGCTCGTGACAGAACAAAAGAGCCTCGTACAATGACCTTTGATGATCGTTCCAGCTAGAAAATTGTGATATTAATCTGCACGATTAACTTTTCTCGTAAGACTTCTTATGGTTTCCCCCCTCATAAAAAGAACCTTTTTTTCTTAGTAGGGCGGGAGTTCCGTAAATGTAAAATAAATTTATTATAAAATATGATTTTGATTTATGCACTAAAAATTTATTAGAGACATTATCAGTTGAAAAAATGTACTTTTCGAAAAAAAACCAACTCACTTTCCTGAAATCGGAAAGCATCTTGTAATATCCGACACATAGCCATTCAAATCACAGCCCGCGTCGACCAAAACGCAGTCGCTGAATGAGAATAGTCACTCGAGATCTCTGCAAGTCCTACTTGGGATGGATGTCGTTGTTGGCCTCGAGGTAATGAATGGTGTTGGCGCGAGAACCCGAAGCCACGACTGGAGGATAGGCCTGCTTCTCGGAGCCTCTCCTTCAATCCAAAAATATATCAAAATTCGAACTCTCAAGTCGCAGTTCAAGTGGACAAAGTATTTCCCCATCATCTGACTAAAACAACCAATAAATATTGATGATGATTATCTTCGCTCGCTCACTTCTGACTGAACTCTTTTTTGAACTCACAACTGCATACTAAGAGATATTGCATTTGAATACGGCCTATAGATTTTTTTAAAGGAATTTGAAAACTGACTACTAAAAAGATATCTTTTAATGAGCAGAGCCGGTCCTACTTGTGCTGATAACTCGGAAAAAATCCTGGAACTGCAAAAAAAAAAATTTTTCCACGATTATCCCACCAATGGCTTTAAGAAAGGACTTTAATGATTGATTCAGATTCCTTGCAACAGTAACTAAGGACGTTATAAAATTTTCATCATACCTGCGGCCCTCATACTCCAATAATCCAACAATAGCATTCTCCATGTGAGTATTTCTACTGCTAGCAATCGTCGCACACATTGTCTGCAAGCGAAATTTCTGTCGCTTTTCTATTTTTGGTAATTATTTCATTTCACTTCAAATAAGGAAACGATCAAAAAGAAAAATTCGAAAGAAAAAATAAATAATTCAACCTGTGCTCCCAAAGTGCAGACGTCTCTCATTGAGTCCATTTCACTGGAAGATTTTGTCAATCGAAGCTGGTCAACCTGAAGTATACACAAGTCAATCGAAAGTTCAGAGTAAAAAGTGCAGTAAACTATCTTTCTCGAAAATTTGCTATTAATAAAGGGAGCAAAATAAATGAAAAAAAAATTCGGACGAACGAAACGTACAAATGGCGCAAGACTTCGGAGGGAGAAGCATTTTTTGCCTACAATAGCAGATATCGCAGAACTCGCAGACTCGCTGACGAAAACGGCGGTCTGTTGGTCGCATAACTTTTCCAGAACCTGAAAGAAAAAAGAGAGAAACTTCGTTTCTATCAGCCGAGATTGGGCACAAACTTTTCGGGCAAATTAGAACTCAGTTCAATTTCTATTTCATTCGTTCAACGGAAAGCATTCAAGCTGTCGAAAGTTAATCTCGCGCCCAATCTCGAGCAGAGGTGAAGCGGACCGCCGGAAGCTGTTTTGAGGGCTGCAAGTCGCTGAACTGCGCAGTCGACGCCCAGTCGCTCTCCGACGGCAGTTGTCCTTCCCAGAGTTCCTCCACGGCCGTCCGACGGTCGGCCACCAAAATCCGCTGCTGTTCTTTGGGTTGATCGTCGTCTACCTGTGCCGACATTATGTAGTAGCAACCGGGTGACGTCACACCCGTCAGGTATCTGAAAAACACGAAATGTGCCTTTATTTTGTATAAATGATAAACGTGGAAGAAAGCACTTTAAGTTTAACGTTTAAAAATCATAATACAAATTGCTTGAAAAATATATTCTCCACCCGAATTTGAATCCACAGCCGCTTTTTGCTCAAACTTTTTTCAAATTTTAATTCGAAGTTGTAAAAGAAAATTCGGAAAAGAAACTACCATGTATTAAGTAGGTTACCTGCATACTCCATTACTCGGAAAATACAGGGTCATGTGTTTGTAACAACCAAACGGAAAAATTCGTCCTTCATAGTCGTGAATATCATGAGTTTCGATGAATACATAAACATCATTATAAACGTAAAAAATACTATATACATAAAGATATCACCTTCTACTTCCGTTGGTTAAAAAAGTCAAAAAACTCCTCAGTTCAAATGGAAGTTCAATAGAAAAATGATGAGAACCGAAAATGACTGCACTGGCGAAAACTGTTGGGCACGTCTGGAGCGATGAAAAATCTTTCCGCGCCCTTCAAAACAACCAAAACGTTTTTCTCTGAAGTCTCGTGAATGAATCAATTGAAGCTCTCGAAACAAAACCCCCTGGTTTCAAGGTGCTGATAAGTTTCTCTAACAGTCGTTGCCGCCTCTCACTGTACTCGGGATTTGTGATTCGCGAAGGCCAAATGTTGGAAGCGTTCCTCCTTGAAGATGTCTTCCCAAGAAACTTCAGGATAACCCGTCTTGACAGCATCGTCCCGCGGGCTTTCAGATGAGGATATTAACATTAAATGAACAAGAAAATGGGACAGAAGAAAACTAAGACCGATCAAATGGTTTTTTACCTTCAAACTGAAATAAATCTGGGAATTTTTATTAATAACAACTACAGGACAACGAAACAACCGGCGTTCGCGTTACGAACTGAATACATAGGGAAATAGGTAAAAAAAAAACTTTTTCTTTTCAAAAATTAGATAGAAATTGAACAGACTATCTATTGAAAGACATCGGGATGATCCTAAAACCTAACTAACAATAAGGAACATATTAAAAGAAAAATAGGACGATCTGTTCGTGAACAGTTGAAAGAAAATTAGATGATGACACTCTAAATGTGAAAAACTAAAAAATGAAGGGATAAACTACAATCGATAGGAAACACCTCCATTCAGAACACAGTTCTCTCCAGTGATGTACCTGCAATAACCGCGATATTAAGTGAAATAATCAAAAAAATAGTATTATTTGTTAAATTATCTACAAACCCATTATCTTAACAAATGAATTTCGAAATTAGAACTAAACCATGAATCAACTCCAAGAAAAAAAAAATGGGAAATTTAACTTCTGAATATTATTACTAAGAGGCCTTTCACATTGGTTGTAGGAAATTTGATGAAATTTAATGGTTTACCCTTCTGCCAGTCAAAAAATTTTTTCAAAAATCAACTGAGCTTCAACAAACGGCGAGGTAAACAAAAAATTAAAAAATTGCCTCGCTTTCGAAGAAATTAAAAATTCTGCTAAAGAAGCTGCATCGGAAGGTCGTCCGAGACGCCCGATCGGAATCATCGACTGAACTCAAACTTTCAAAGATCTTATGAGAAGAGAAATTTACCTCCAACTGTTGCCGGAGCTTCTGAGCATCTTCGCCGGTCGCATTGTCCCATAAAGCACTGGTTCCATCGCCTTCCACCTGAAAAGCCTTTTGTTTATGCAATTCTTCAAGCTCATGATCAAAAATTCTTTTTTTTTATTTCCATCTCTTCTTTTTTCACCAAAAAATTAGTGAGGTGTCATCGAGGATAAGTTTAGAGGGAAGGGAATCATGTCTAGAGGAAAGAATTTTCAAAAAAGTGAACGCCATGGGATAAAAGATTAAGCCTGTCGAAAACGTGCAAAGAAAGTTTATTAAATAAATGAGCACCATTTTCAGCTGAATTCGGAATCCTACAATCGTTATTCCACAATTTCTCCGTTAGAGCTGTAACTTATCAACAATTCTAATTCATATTGAATCAATTTTTTTGTTTTTTTAATCAGAAAAAAAGCCATTTTTCTATTCAAACGATACAAACGTACCATGCCGCAAACAACAGAGTTTACGCGGACGTTGTGGACAGCGGCGGCCTGGGCAACGGCTTTAGTGAGACCGAGAACGGCGTTGGCGGCCACCGAGAAAATGCCCATGTCCAAAGATGGCGTGTATCCAATTGAAGACGTCATGAACACCACGCTGCCGTTCCTACAACTTGCCTCAGTGGAAAGACGAATCAGATACACAGACTTTGACTTTGCAAGAGCAGGAATCGAACTTTGAGCTATCCGGAACGGGACCGACAAGTAATCTTCAAAAACCTAAGCTATGCTAACGTTGAAGTTTATTATAAACACAAAAATGCCTTGTCGAACTGTAGTGATGTGCACGAGACGATTTCGCCAACCGATTTGTTTTGCGGTGGAACAATGATCACAGAGTCAAGACCTCCCAGGTGTTCGACAACCTTTAATATGAAGTTCAACTGCAGGTAAGTTATTCTTTTTTTTTCTAAATCAAAATCCAGTGTCATCGTCGTCATCGAGAAAATTTTCATCAAAAGCAGATTTTTTTTACATGTTTTTTTAACCTTTTCAATTAGTTCTTTCCTATACTCCGCTTTGGTGACATCGACGGAGAACGCTGTGACGTCGCCTCCGACCTGAATGGTTGCCTTCGAAAAGAACATTGATGCCAAACCTTCTTGTTGTCCTCTGCCACTTTCCCAACGGCATCAGGACATTCACCAGCGGCTGCCACCTATCTTTTTTTAAAATTATAAATTGAAAACAGATTTATTCCTCAAAACAACTGCAAAAACTTATTCTCTTCATTCGAATCGCTGTTTTTCATTGATTCATCGCAAATCAGAATAGAAATAACAGGAAATAAAACTTTTTTTATTCACACATAGTCTCTTCTCTTTTATTTCAACTTTTTTTTTTCCCCTGGCTTGCAGACAAAGTTTTAGTGGAGTAAATTTATTAAAAAATTCAGATTATTTGATAAAAAACCGCTGATTCCGTGTTCACAGTAGGTACCACGAAATTAAAAATTACCTGACACTCCAAAATTGAGTTATCTTTTCACTCACTGAAAGATAATTTGCACTCCGTGGACTTACTAGGAACAAGGCTAAAACTCGGTGCTAATCAAAAAAAAAATCCCTTTATGTCAAATCAAAATGAGACTCTCCTCTATACATTCTTCAAATTTTTCTAGTGCTGACTCTCAAAGGATTAAACATTGGACAGTAAAGAAATGTTGAAACGAGCCTTGTAACCAGAGAACGCTAACCGCCTAACAATTGCTTTCCCCATTGTTGTAGTTGCTCCAATTACTAATGTAGATGCTGCCATTTTCGAATAGCTTAAAACTCGTTGAAAAATTTTTACATTTATTATTACGTTTCAATAAATATTACGATGGAAAGAAATCCACAAGGAATAACAACATGTAAAACAGATCATTTTATTACCAAGAAACATGCAGACTGAGAAATTCAGAAACCGGTGTCAATTACTCCAGTTGTACTGCTTCTTTCCGTACATACCAAGGTTTCCACCATTATGGTGATACGATTGTTGGCTTTGTTGTGGTGGCTGCTTCGATGACATTTTATCGTACGACTTTCTCTCCTCTTCTTGAGCGTACATTTGTCGACCTCCCGCGGTCGTGTTCAGCGCGGTAGGCATCATGTTCATGAAGCCAAAAGGTGGAGCTGCTGCTGCTGCTGGATACGGCTGCTGCATGAACAATGACGACAAAGTCGGCTGTCCCATGTAAGGATTAGTCGGATTTGTGGTGAAACCAGGCGGCGGCGCAATGTTCGAAGGCTGTTGTTGTTCCCGCGAGCTTTGAGAGCCAAACTTATTAAGATCCATCAAGTTGTGAGAATCACTTCGATGTTGCCCGGACGGTAGTTGTTGGCTGGGAGCAGTCTGAGACATTTGTGTTGACTGAGGGAGGATTGTCGAGAGATTGGAGAGATCGACGCCCATTCCATATTGCATCAAGGCAGCATAATGATCGTCAGAGCGCATTCCGGTAACTGGACTGTACATGCCCATATATGGATACGAATAAGATAATTGTGGAGGGAACATCAATGTTTGTTGGGGTTGATGTTGCTGTTGTTGTTGCTGCTGCTGCTGCTGTTGTTGTTGCTGCTGCTGCTGTTGCGATGGTTGGGACTGATGTTGTTGCGATTGGTGAGGCTGCTGAGAAGGCTGTGTTTGCGTTGGTAGTTGAACTCCTTGATGTAATTGCTGCGGCTTCGATCCCAAACTTCGATCGTTAGGAGTGTAGGAAACTGAAGATGTATCCGCGTACGACAGGGAACGATTGTTCGAGCTGTACGACTGTGGAGGTGACGAAGTTTTGAGATTGAAGTCTCCATTCGTCAGCGGTCCTCGTTCTGGCTTTAATGGAAATGTAAATTATCGAGAAAATAACAAGTATATCTTACCTCAATATGTTTTTGAGAGCTTGTGGCAGATATCCGGCTGCTGTTGAACAAGTTGTCCGCCGCACTGTTTGAAATAGAAGTAACTGAAGTCTCCGCTGAAGCCACAGGTGCTGGTGGGATATCAACAAAACCAAAAGAGTAATCTGCCAAACCAGCAGGGGCTGCATCAACGAACTCAACTCCAACTGTAATTTTTTTTTTTCTTTGAAAAAAGTTTTCTCGAAATTTACCAGAGTCGACAAATGACTGAATCGAATTGTTCGGTTGCACAGGTGATGCCAAAACTTTACTGCTGATAGAAGCTGCTTCTGATAGTCCGATGCCAAGCTCCGTTTTTAGTTGATTCGTCCACACATTGTTCGCTTGTATACTTGCATTAGAAACGACCGAAGGTTCATCGATAGCATGAAGAGCTGGTTGTTCTTCGGCAGCCACAGACGGTTCACTAAAGTTAATGGTTTTCATGAAAATATTTCCATTAGAGTCAAAAGAAAAAAGAATTTTTGAAAATATATACTTTGAACTCATAACAATAGAACAATCGATTCGATAGAGAAAGATGTCTTGAATATAGTCAATTAGAACGCAAAAAATGATCATCGAGAAAAGTTTCAAAACTTTTTTGAAATATGAATGATTTATTCACAAAAATAAAGTAAATAGGAAAAACTGAATGCAACTTTTCTCGTCCTTAGCAAAATATGGAAGGTATTTTATTGGCTCTGTGAAGTTCTCTCATAACCTGCTTACTCTTTGTGTATTCAGTAAAGATCCAGGAAGTCGCAACATGCAAAACTTACCTTTTTTTTCAGAATAAGAGACCCCAGAACTTTTTAATCAACCAGCGTTTAGGGGTTTTTCAATTTCGAATTATCTTAGTATGACTTAGTTCAAGCATAAAAAATTTCTGATTCACACCCCTGATCGTTTAATATAAAATTTTGATTTTGGCATTAACATACTTTATTTATGTTTATTTTTCTCTGCAGACTCTGAGAAGCATTCAAACCTCGTCAGTTTAAATAAATGAAAATTAACATTTCTAGCATAGATAACAATTTTTGCGCATGAAAACCGAACATATTCATGTTTCCTTGAAAGCTGCTTGATCAAAAACTTCTCCAAAAAAGCTTTAAACATATATGAAACGTGAATAAGACCCTTTTTTTTTTTTTTGAAGTAAAGGTAAAAATAAAAAATTTCCTCTCTGAGGCTAAAAATTGTATACATGTCGCAAAACTACCTCTCTGAAGTTGAAATTTGATCTTATTTTCAATTTTTTTTAAATGCTCGTAAGCCAAAATTTACTATTGGGCTGAATGAGTTCTGTACTTGCCAATCTATGAATATAACAGGAAATCTTTACGTTCTCTACTAGTACCTGAGCAATTACGAAAAAAAAAATTCAGTTTTTCAGCTACGACATGTTTCATGGAAACGACATGCATTGTTTGAAAACAGAAAATCAATTCTCAGAAATAATCCTAAAAATTTTTGCGACACATGGGGCCAAAAATTTTTTTCTTAATCATGCGCTCTACCTCATTGAAAAGCTCATGCTGATGTTTTCTTTCATTTGCATGACAGCTTTCGAAATGAAAAATCCAGTTAACTTTGATTCTGATATTAACAACATAGTTTTGCGCGACAAGAAAGTGACTGAAAATACCTTTGATAAAAGCTTTGGTCGTTTTCCACGTCAGTATTGTGGGAAGACTCTGGCTCTTCAAAATGATATTCATCAATTGGCGGCGGTGGTGCAGGTGAAACGCTACGACGGACTGGAACCACTTGAGGCTGATATTGTTGCTGCTTCCGCAGTTCTTCTTTTCGTTGAGCAGCAGCAGCGACCGCAGCGAATGAAATGGGGCCTGGAGCCGCAGCGTTAGTCGGCACAGTGATGGAAGTGGAACCAATAGCACTCGGTTGTACTTCATTAACAGAAGCTTCTATGTGTTTCGAATCAAGCGGCTTCTAATGAAAAAGTGATTATTATATACCATACAAAAGCGATTGAAAACCGTTTCGTTGGTAACGTCGGCTGCTCGAGAAGGTTCGGCCACAGGAGTGTTCTTCGTGTAACCTCCACGACCAGCTCCTCTTCCACCGCGGCCGCTTGAGCGATCGTTACCAGATCGGACCTCTCGAGTCTCTCGTTGTTGGCCCACATTATTCCCAGCAGAAGCATCTCGGGTAGTACTTCGAGCAACTCCATTAGATTTTCCCCGACCGCGATCGCTTCCCGAGACGCCTAGAAAACGGAGAACGAATAAAAATATGTAAATTTGCAAGAAAAACCTCGGCCTCGTGGAGCAAATCCGCGAATCCCACGATCTTCTTCCTTTTTCTTCTCTTTTTTGTTGCTTTTCTGTTCTGTCCACGATTCGATGTGTTCATTTTCCAAAATGTGTTCTATGGCAGAGGCGAGATCATTATCATTATCGTACAATGCCAATTCTGCCTGAGCTTGAGAGCATCTGGTCGTTTCGATTACCTTGAAATCAATCATGTTTTATAAGTTAAAAAACTATAGAAAACCTTTTTGATCAGCTTTTGAATGTTAGCCGAATCATCGTCAGCTGAGTGTCCCTCTAAAGTTAGACGTGCAAGGCGAACTTGCTCGCTTGTTGCTTGTTTAGCTTTGGGGTCGCTCTTAATACCCATATCTGCAAATTCAGAGCTTTAACAATATATTTCGACTTTCTCGATGAAAAACTAACAATTATAAGTAAAAGTAAAACTTTCAAAAACAGAATAAATATGATGTACGGAAACTTTTTCTGATCTAAACTCAAACTTTATCATTCGCAAATTTGAAAGAATGAATAAATAATGACATGATTCCTGTATGTGTTCTTCTTAACGAAAACGCTCTGTATATGTTTTTAAAGAAAATTCTACAGGACGCATTGAAGGAAAGCACGAGAATACGGAAAAGTCCTCGAAGTCAATCATCGTAATCATGAGAAGAGCGTGAAAAAAAATTTGAGAACAATTATTTTATCTTTTGAAGAATTAGTAGTGACGTCATGAACATTTATGGTTTTAAAAAAATGAACACGCCACAAATATCGAGGGAAATCGATGATCCCTTTAAAAAAAGCATGATACTGAAGATCATCGTCGTTAAAAATGCAAAATACTGAAGATCACCTACAGATCATCGTCGGACAATGTGAAAAGAGATTTCCAATGAAAGTCAAACGGCTAAAACCAGCTAATTGACTAAAATTAAAAATGAACTCAAGAAAGTAGTACGTTTCCATGTGACATTCATCATTCATGCCGTTAAAAGTGATTCCGCGAAATGCAAAACAGCCGTCAGAATGAGAAAATAAAAAACTAAAATTTGGAGAGTCGAAGACATTTTTGCATTTCGCGGAAATTACTTTGAACATTGCATCAATATAAAAACGGAGCTGTTCAAAAATTAAATAACATTTTTCATCGGCAGAATTTCAAATCGATGTTTTTTCGATGGGTTAGACTTATTCGATTGCTGAACAAAGTCTGTTTTAACCATTGAACACGCCACTCAAGGGAAAGAAGAGTGTTTTAATGACTGGAAAATTTTTCAAATAATCTACCAATTGAATTTGCCGGGAAGTGCGCAACGCAAGCAAGCAAAGCGCAAGATGCCATTCCCTACTCCCGCAGTAACAGGTTTCACCACGACGAGATACTGTAAGTTGATAGCAGTGGACATCATTTACGCTCGTATTTCTACACTAAGTTTTTTTGTTCTTTTTCATTTAATTATTTGAAATTATTCACTACTTTCAAGCTTTTTCCAATAACGTTGTAAGTTTACCGGAACGATAAAAAATACGCACGCTATTAAGATAATGCAAATAAGATATTGAACATCAAAACATTCTCCATATTTTTTTAAAATTTATAAAAAAAGCTTAATCAGTGATAAGGTCAAATAATATTCAGGTCTCTTTTTTTTGCTTCAAAGGCTGCTATTGGTTGCACATGCAAATTTTGTTGATATTGAAATACCGACCATGATTTTAGGTTTTAATAGAATTTGTCGATTTAGTATTTTCCAGATGTCGGGCCCGACACCTTCCGTGCCTCGATTTCGCCTTGTTCAAGGGCGTGCAATTGGAGAACGATCTTCAACACCAACAGCTTCTTCTAACTCTAATTCGTCACTACAAAATGATGTGAGGATTTATGTTGTGTATTTGTAAATGTAAAAAACGAAAATGAAAAAACCTAGTTTCAGTAACTATTATCATTTTTTTTACTGCGAAATATTAGCTCTAATGTAAAAGAGAATTTTTTATAAATGTGTATAAAAAAACAAATGAATTAAATCGGTAACTCAATTAATTTTGCAGAATTCGACACGATTGCAAGGGGCACCACTCCAACCACAACCTTTGGCACAAGTGCAGTCCAATCTCCAGCATTCACAGACTACGCCGAATTTGAACACACACACAAGGATAACCTCAAGTTTGATCATTCAATATTTTTTAAACTTTATTTCTGCAAATGGAGCTAAATATATTGTATGAGTCTATTAATCAAATTATATAGTCGCAAATATTTATAAAATAGAGAGGTAAAATCACATGAAAATAGCCTCATTGTATGTGTTTACTTTCACGAGAACGATATTTCTCGTGAAGCGTTGTAATTTCGATAAAGAGAATTTACGTGGATTGGGAATGATACCGAGGAACATTATTTATCCATTTCAGGAGACCACAAGTTTTTCCATTGTTTTCCTTCGTTTTGGCAAAATTAGCAACAAAATCATTCACGAAGTTTTTCTTAACTACTTCTCTTCACGCATATTTGTCTAACATCCATTTCGAAAAAAAATTTTCTGTTTTTCTTTTTTTATCCCATTAAAGATTTGATATTAAAATATTCCAACTCAATGATGCAAAGTGCAAAAAGTTCTAATCAAAAAAATAATGAATTAATTATCTCTAAGTTACCGTCATTGCAAGTGAATATTTGTCGAGAAGGCCAAGTTTGAAAGCAAAAATGAAACAATTTCAGGTTCGCCTCCGACTCCACGGAGTGTCTTGCAACATCAGACGGCACCGACACCCGATCAGAGACAACAGCAGCAGATGACGCCGCAACCTCAACCTCCTCCTCCTCCTACTCCTCAGACGACGTCAGCCGATGATAAGGGCGCCGTTCACAAGTGCATTCGCTTTCTCCGCACACTGATCCTTCTTTCCAATCAAGCCAGCACCGATCCAAACTACTCGGGCCAAAATCCAGAAGAGAAGAACCGCCTTGTTTGCGAGCTTATAGGAGTCTGTAAATTTCGTTTTTAAAATGTTGCATTTTTGCTTTTATAGAAGGTTCTATACGGGGATATGACACCGGAAGAGTTCACTCAACGTCTACAAGAAGCGCTCAGTTCACAAGCGCAGCCTCATCTTCTTCCATTTTTGCAGAATACTCTTCCAGCTCTACGCACCGCCCTTAAAAACCGTGGGTATATGTAATCTTGTTTCAGAATATAAATACGAATTTGAATTCAGTTTTTTATTCACGCGGAGTGCAGAATTTCAGCTCCTCCTGTGCAGTTATGAGAAGTTTGCAGGGGAGGTTGAGATGGAAGGGATCAGTCCCCCCGAGGGATTCGTCTTCAACTCGCCGCCGCAGCCACAGCCGACGCCGTCACCGGTCAGCCAGGCGCAGAGCAACGTTGCCGGCCAAAGCCTCCAGGCGCCGCCTCAGCAACACGCCAGTCTTGTCGCCCGTTTGAACGCCGTGAGAATTTATCCAATTTGCTCATTAGTTTATCTCAGCCCTTACAGCCGCCAACTCAGTTTCCCAACGCTCAACCACCTCCCATCCGGCAAGTTCATCAACCGTCGCCGCAGATGGCTCCCACTTCTGTTCCAAAGGTTTGTTTTCATTCAGCTCGAATATCGTTTTTTCATTTTTTTTTTTTTTCATGCCGTACTGAATCAATCATAGTTTGTTTGCTGAAAGTTGTCACATCTTTAAAATTTCTGTAGAATCGTCATCAGTAGAATTCCCTAATTTAATGAAATATATGGAAGTAACGATTTTTGAAAAATCATCGGGACCATTAACTGAAAGTTAGTTTTAAACACTCTTTACGATGTTCAAAAAAAAAAGTTCTGGAAGTATTGTTTTTTTTTTCACTCGTTCAAAATTCAGGGGATGCGATGCTACAGCATTAAGCATTAATGATTGGATTTTCCAGACTTCCACCGCCGTTCATTCGGGGTATCCGGCGAATGCGAGCACGCCTCAGCCGCCTGCTCCGCAGAATTTGCACCAGGGACAGTCGCAACCACCGCCTCAAGCGATTCCTGACGAGACAGTCCAGCCAGGAAAAGAAGAAGAGGTTCGAGTTGTCGCCTTGCTCGCAACTCTTCTGCTTCCAGCAGTCGCTCTCTTCGCGACCCTTCACAGAGAGCAGTCTCAAGTCCCTTTTGCTACGACCCGAAGAAATAATGAACAAAATTATGCGACGGATGAATTCTTGTTTCATTGAAGAAGAGGTTTTTCCACGTCAAAAACGGACTATTCCTATTTATTTGCAAAAATCGAACGTTTTCACGATTTCAGGTGATAACGTTGATATCTGATGCAGCAGAATATCGACTACGCGAAGTTATAACTGAAATAGCTTTCATTGCGGATCACAGAATGGAAGCTGTTAGGTTAGTACAAACGAGTTTATTTTTTTTTAGAATTTGTAGATACAGATCCTTTAAAGTCGTTACCTGTACGAACTTCTAATTTCGGAGATTTGAAGTTTATTGGTTTCTCTCGTTCATTGTCTAGTCGATTTCATATAGATCAAAAAATATATTTGTAACGTGATGTATAAGAAAAATAAATTAGGTAACAACTATATATATTAGACCAGAAAAAAATTTCGGAAAATCCCTAACTGTCAAGTAGAACTAGATTTATTTTTTTCTTTGTGCAACTTGATCGTGTATATAAACAAAAAATCACATTTGACTGTTGGAATAGTTCAGGAGAATTTTAAATCAGAATCTTCGTTTTTTATTGCTTTTCAGGCTGCTATAAGGTCGCGCAAAGTAGTCTAAATCGCAATATTTCTAGCTTGTAAAAAATGTTGCGAAGATGTTCGAAGAATAACCTTTCAACTGATTTTCATTGTCCAAAAACTTGAAATTATATTTTTTTTTAAAAATATATACTTCAGGTCAAATGAAAACTATATTCTAATTGATGACGCAAGACGGCAGTTGCGCTTCTTAGAGGACTTCGACAGACAAGAAGAAGAGCTGAGAGACAACCGAGAGAAAGAAACTCTGATTAGAATGAGTAAAAGTAAAGGAATCGGGAAAGAAACGATTGAGCGTGCGAAGGTCTGATTTCCATCGTACCTGGAAATGATTTTTTATTCGACCGCAGGAGTTGCAAAGAGTGGATGCGGAGGCGAAGCGGAATCGCGAGGCAAACGCAGCCGCCATAGCCGCGCTCTCCGGGACGCGACAAGTCCGCAATAAGTTAGTTCATCAAGATCAATATTTTTTCAAGGGTTGTGATTGAATTTCGCAGATGGGAGGGTGGCGCTGCGTCCTCTGCGGTTCATCGACCTCGAACTGTTCGAGTGCATACTAGAGATCTGCATGTTCTCGTCAACAACGATCTCCGATTCTCTCAGTTGGTTTTTTCTGTTTCAGGGGTTGAAAAAATGAATCAAAAAAACATCTCGAAAATCAATTTTTTTTTTCAGTTCCTTCCTACGTCAAAAGCTGTGTTACAGCGGTCCTGTGGCTGAAAATATATAAATTAGGAAATTTTACATTAACGTGTAAACAATCGGGTATATAGGTTCCTACCATAATAAATTTTTATCAATTTTTTTCTGTCCATTTGCATCCTCACATTTGCATACTTTTATTAACAAAAAATGAAAACGAACTAACAAAAATAAATACATGTCTCTAAAGAGTAAAAATAAATATTCAGAAGTGGAACAAGGTTTTAATTGAAGAAAAAACTTTGTAATGTAATGAACTGTGTACAGGTGGGCAAAGCTTGTAACTTGAAAATTTCTTCCCGTTAGTTTTTGAAAACCCGCCAAGAAAAAACTAGTCGTAGTTCTACCAATAAACGGCGTGGGGTATTCAAATAAATTCTGAAAAATATTCGAAATGAGCTTTAGTTTGAAAAACTGATTACACGAAGCTCTTTAGAATTTCTTCTGTATTTCGAAGATGAACGCATGAGAAAGGCAATAAGTTAACATAAAAGTCTTTTTTCAAGAAAAAAAAAGGTTTAAGGTAAGAAATTTCTTATCTCGTTACGAACACCTCTAGAAACAGGCAAGGAATCGAGTAATTTCTGGAACGTTTCCATGAACCTCATCAAAGACTCCTTCTGCGCCTCTTCTGGCGTTTCTTTCTTCAGATCATCCAATTCTTTTTTCGATTTCTTCTGTAATTGACTTTTAAGGGCAAAGAAAAACAGATAATAAAGAATAAATAAATAATAGTTTAGTGTTATAAATAGAAACGTTATAGTTAGGAAAATTATAACCACTACCTTCAATTTAAATTCCTGCAGAATCTTACAACTGACCTTTCTTTCGGGAGAATGAAGCGATCGTTTTGTCGCTTTTCGCGCCTCGCCTTCTTCAGCATTTCTTTCTTCCTCATCTTCTCCTAAAAGCTTTTTTATGACATCATATCATCTATGGGCAGAACTTTTTGGAGGCCGTCAATATTTTCTTCCAAATCATCGAATTAAATTCACCTTCCTGCAGTTAAACTTTTTTTTTTATTATCGCCAAAAATACTTCCTTCAGCCTAGAAGATAGGAGATAATCATTTTTACCCGTTATTTTTGTAAGTCAACCTCTACTCCTGAGTTAAATTAGTTCTTTACTTGCTCATGTATGTATAGATTTAAAAGGAATTTATCATACTTTCGAAGTAAGAACTTCGATTCAACATTTTTTCGTTTATTCGCGAGAAATCTACGCTTTGCTACGATAGAAACCTTTCACGTCGACTCTTTGTGAAAATTTTTTCCAAATCTTTTCAAGAACTTCCGAAATTCGAGTTTTTGATACTGAAGCTACTAAATGGGACGGTGAAAAAAGAAGACCAACCTTCTTCATTGGAATTTGAAGAAGAAGCCATCTCAGCCGCAGAAGCTTGAGCCATTTGTTCGGCATTTCTTTGACGATTCATGAAACGCTGGAAAATAAGACGCCGCGTTGGCCTGGCTCTGGCGTGGAGGAAAGCAGCGAGGCCACGACGAGGGTCTAGAGGCGCATTTTGCCATTGATCGTCGGCGTCTTCTTCGATCTCTTCGTCGTCGTTATCCAAGTTGTTTACGTTTACCAAGAAGTTCACGCGGTTGAACTGTCTGTCCCCATTTCCGAAGTCTATTTCCAGTTGAACTTCTTCTTCCTGGTTCATATCATCGGTCGCTCCATCATCATCATCATCGGAGTGTGGCTCTTCTTCGTCGCGAAGATGAACTGCGTGAAATCGCGCGTTTGGATTCGGCACTCTGCCTTCTGAGTTCCTCGGAGGTGGAAGGTCCAGAGGCGGGAGTTCGAACTGCTCGAGTCCGGGCGGCTCAATGTCTCCAACGTATGGAGCAACCAGAAGGTATACTTGACCTCCTATCTTCAAATTCTCGCACATCGGCGGTGGTTGTTCGTCGAGTTGCTGAACGAACTCCACTGGCAGGCCGTATTCTTCCTCGAACATCCTCTGCATGGCCGCTTCGTCGTCCTCACCGACATCGTCTACACTTTCGGCCAAAGCTAGTGCAAGCTCATTGATTGCCATTTTGAAAGCATTCGCTCTTGATCGAATCCTATAATAAAAACAAAAGCATAAAATAATCATGCCGAATGAACAAACTCCAAGTTTTCGAATTGGACGTTTTCGTCAGCCGGACCTGAAACCGTTTTTTATTGGAATACTGTAATTTACCTTTTTGTAACTCAATTCGGAATATGAACGAGTTGAGTAAAGATTGTTAGACAGTATTACCTAGTACGTAATCGGTCCAACGCTAACTTATGATTCAAGAATGCTACGGATCCAAATCATTCGCAAACAAAAAATTGTTGTGAATTTTCAATTACGCGATATTAGAACCGAGGTGAAAAAACAGTTTGAATTTCTAATTCAGTGTTCGAGAAAATGTTTTGCCGGGAGGTGAATATTCTGGTCTCTTGTGGTATAGAATTATCAAAGTGCAAAACTTTGAACATACCTTCCTTGGATATTGCGAAGAAAACGGGCCTGAAAAAAAATTAGGAGTTGATTCAAATTGGACAAAACATACTCTCCAGTGTGCAGAGTACTTAAACGTCTTAAAAAATTCCTTCGATTCGGAAGTGGAACCGCAAAAAGACAGTCTCGCAGGCTGGAACAACACCGAGTTGACCCAAGAGAAAGTAAAAGTTACACATACCTGTAGTAGTCGTCACTCCGAGGTCTTTCACTTCTGATCATTTTCAAGGGATTTCTTTCGCCAGCTTCCATGCGCAAAACGTCTTGCACAACTGTGCGAGACAAGCAACGAAGCGAAGAAATTCTAGAAGGTCCATTAATTCATGAAAAAGTCAAGACACACCTGGCCGAGCTCTGAATGAGTTCTATTTTCGGTTCAATGTCTTCGTCGCGTGGACGCACCATTTCCGAGAAAGAACAGTCTCCCACGACGCAAAGTACGAAGTCGTTTTCCGAAACGCGTATGAACTTTAGCATCTGAGAATATTCATTCTAGAATCTAATTTTTATGAAAAAAAAACTCGGGACTTTCGGGAAACGCTGAAAAGATGAAAAAAAAAGGAAAAAAAAAGATTGAAAACATACGCGATTGTGACTCGGAGCGACGAGAATGCCTTTGATTCGGAGCTTTTTCAATAGAGGTTCGAATACTTCCATTTCTTCGATGGAAGCTCCACAGTAAATTCGGTCGTAAAAACTGAGTTGGTCTTCACGATTCAAATAGGCATGAGATAAAGCATTGAAAGATGTGAACCTGAATTGTTTAGATATGTATGAAAAACTTGTGAAAATCTTCCCTCCTAATTTTACGATAAATTAAATGCAACAAAATGGAAATTTGTAAGAAAAATGTAGCTTTGGAGAATTGATTGGAATTAATCATAATAAAAAAAATTTTATCTCGAGCTTACTCTGGCTGACACCACGAAACAGAGAAAGGAGCAGGAGTTGATACTATATCGGCGACCTTATTCTCAGCATATTTAACAAGAACTGGATTGAGTTCGACACCATGATTGCATCCAGATCCACCTTAAATATAAAGTCGTCTTCATAAACAATCATTCAAACCGATCAAGTATCCAACAATCGTATTCAAATATCCAGATCCTGAGCCTATGTTAAGGAACTTGTGACCGCGTTTGAATTTAAGCTTTTCAATAGCCAATGAATATATGTTGGGAGCCGATAAATGAACGATAGCGTCTTCGGGTTCTATGGAAGCCTGAAAGGTTTCGAAATTGAAATAATCTCTTATGCTACCTACCCGCACTGGACTATCATTGTAAGCAGAGCTGTGCTCTTCTTCTGGTATGAAATGTTTACGATCAGTCAATCTTAAAAAAAATATTTTTTTATTAATTGAAAAATATAAATGTAATAATAACCTGAATGCGATTTCGACTTCTGGAGAATAAACTTGATTGCTGCGCACCAAATGATCCACCAATTCACTGTTTGTTTTTACTAGTATGAACACCCATTTTGCTAAAAAAAATCTTTAAATTCGTAGTTTACACCGGAAAAAAAGATCTATCAATAGAATCTGACCCAGAATATACATTTAATAAATAAAAACAAGTTTATAAAAAGACAATGCGGTAGCCTCAACTTCGTGGAGCTACGAAACATTATAAGATTGACAAGCTAACTAAGAATGTGTGACGCCACTATATTGAAGCCCTTTCGAGCTTTTCCAGACTATGAGAAAATCATGTAAAAGTACTGTTCACTAATGCCGTGTTCAAAGTGATTCCGCGAAATTCAAAATAGCCGTCAGAGAAAGAGAAAGATAACTGAATTTTGGAGGGTCAGAGACCATTTCGCATTTCGCGCAAATTACTTTGAACACGGCATAAAAAAAAAATTAAGCAAAAAAATCTCAATAAGCGCCACACGTCGGGGATTGACGTTTTTTCGGTGTTTGCCCTTCAGATGTTTTTAAATTTTCTTTTTTCCAGATTTCGAAATTTGCCTACTATTTTTCTTTTGTTTGAAAAGAGAGATTTTCCGCGTTTGTGATTCGATAGTTATATAGTGGAACGAAAATTTAGATTACTGTTCACTGTCTAAAAATTTAATTTCTTTTTTTATAATCTAATACGAACTATTTCAAAAGTTTCAAGGTATGTATTTCTTCTTGTTCACTTCGTTACTTTCATCTCTTGTAATAATAAGAATGTGAAATAAAAGTTTTTATTTCAGAGAATGGCGAAAACGTACGACTATTTGTTCAAGGTCATTTTAATGTCATATTTTTGCATTTGTAATATAATCTGTTTTCCAGTTATTACTGATTGGAGACAGCGGCGTCGGGAAGACTTGCGTACTTTTTCGATTTTCTGATGATTCTTTCAACAATTCCTTCATCTCCACTATTGGTTTGTGAAAATCACGTGCTCATGCTATTTTGTTCCTTCAGGTATTGATTTCAAGATCAGAACCATAGAGTTGGATGGAAAGCGAATCAAGTTGCAAATCTGGTTTTTGGTATCCTTTGAGTTTATGAATATTTGTTTTTTTTTTTAGGGATACCGCTGGTCAAGAAAGATTCAGAACGATTACAACCGCTTATTATCGGGGTGCTATGGTTCGCTCTTCATCATTATTTTTATGTTTTAATGTTCTATTTACAGGGAATCATCTTGGTTTACGACATCACAAATGAGCGATCGTTCGAAAATATTAAAAACTGGATTAGAAACATCGAGGAGCATGCCGCTCAAGTAATATCATTATTACACGCCTTTGATAAAATGTGAAGATTTTTTTCAGGACGTCGAGAGGATGATTATCGGAAACAAATGTGACATAGAGGAAAGAAGAGAAGTTTCTCGTGAGAGAGGAGAACAGGTATAGTTTATTGGAATTTTACATTTTTAATAAATTTTCTTAGAAATAAACTTTTCTCAGAGTAAAATCTTAGAGTAAAACTAATAAGATTTCAAAAATTCCTGTTTCAGCTAGCGATAGAATATGGAACGAAGTTTATGGAGACTTCAGCGAAGGCGAATCTGAACGTTGATGACGCCTTCTTCACGTTAGCTCGAGACATCAAGAGCAAAATGGAGCGAAATGAAATGCGCAGTGGCTCGACGGTCGCCACGGGCCGTGTTGCTGTTGGTTCTTCTTCTCAGAACAAAAAAAGCTTCTTCAGCAACTGGAGCTGCTCTATCTTGTAAATCTTGTTTTCTATACTTTTTTGTCACACGAACTAAACGCCTTCTTGAATCATATCCGCGTGTTACTAGGATACAGATATTATTTCAAGAATTCCTACGGTTTTTTTCTAGATGAACTACGAATGTCATAAAACCGAAAGTTGCCATTTTTAAATAATTCTATAACTTCTCCACGCATTTTTATTTTCATTATTTATGAAAAAAAGATAGATAGTTGGTTGATTATTTCTTTTGGAATGGTTCTGTGCAAAAAACGTGTTTTTTTTTCATAATATTTTCCGCGGTGATTTATTATTTCATTGTTGGAGCCAGTCAGCGTAATATGTTCCGAGTAGCTTTTTCTGCACGGTTGATTATTATGTATGTTCCGGCCGTGGCAAAATTTTAACGATTTTCAAACGTTTTTAACATTTTTCTCTAACTTTACCTTTGCTTCGCTTGTATTTTTCTCTTTCTCTTGTTGCTTCACTCATTTTAAATTTGAGAATCCGGTTTGAAAAAGTGCGCTTTAGCTGGAATAAAATGTCTTCAATATATAGCTGTTCCGCTATCTTTAATTCAGGTTTTCAGCATTCGAACAGAACTGATTTTGAAGCTTATAGACATTTTTTTTGCCCGCTCTATAATTCGTGAAAACAAATCTAAAAATTTGAGCCTAGGAGTCGCTGAACTCAGTAAAATAGGGGGTATATAATACGGGTATAGCCCATTCCGCGCCAGATTTTTCTTCCTCAGAGCTACAGAGTCGTTCCGTTCAAAAAAAATTTCTCATATTAGAAGCGCATTTACATGTAATGAACGCCCACTTCGATGAAAAGGTTATGAAGCTATACCGCTAAAAATTAATTTAGATTTTTTTCAGAAAATATTGAAAGCGATTTGGAAAAAAGGATCGAAATGCACCCGGGAGCGTCCAAAAATATGCTCTTTGGAAGATGACCTTCGGAAGGAATTCGTTTTTTCGGAACTGAGCTAGGTTTTTAGTTTCTCGATTTGAATGGCTCATTAAAATACACCCAGTGGCCGTATTTTTGAGAGAGGAAAATGGTTTTCCTTTTTTTTCCTGAATATGAAAATGCCTAAAAACGGGAACTTGTACATTATAATATATCCTCCCATATCGGACTTACTGCAAAAAGCTAAATTCCAAAAAACAATCTGGAGGTAAATGAACTTTGAGGCTTTTTCCTTTTTAGGCAGAACACATGTATAAGATCTCTAATCTTCAATTTTTTAATCTTGAGAGATCACCTGGAGTTTTTCACCATTCTGATAAAAATTAATGAATGATTGCAAGCATTCATGAATTTACAAAACTTCAAATTAGTGTGATAACTTTTTTTCCACAAGTTGACTGTTGTTTTGATAATCTATATGTAGGAACTTTTAATGTATACAAATGGGAAAACAAGATGGTTTTCTTTGGCTGCGAAGACTAATGCCGTGTTCAAAGTAATTTCCGCGAAATGCAAAATGGTCTCTGACCCTCCAAAATTTAGTTATCTTTCTCTTTCTCTGACGGCTATTTTGAATTTCGCGGAATCACTTTGAACACGGCATAAAGCTTAAATATAGTCTGTTCAGATTTTGAATGTCAAGCAGCTAACTCCACCCCCAAGGCTACAATATCCTTCGCGTCAATGTTTTATATCCAGATGACGATGAACCTTTAATAAGGCTGCATTTTTGACTTCTTTTTCTATCTTTTAGATCAAAAAAGATCAAAATTAGTCCCGCGCGATAAAACATCGACGCGAAAAGGCACCGTCTCAGCAGGGGCGGAGTGAGTGGGTTGACATTCAAAATCTGAACAGACTATATTAACTTTCCGATCTACCATCAACGTAAGTTTTCAAATCTTTTTTCTTCTTTGTAGATCAACGGGATCAGTATAATTGAAATTAAGGGGAGTTTCTTTCTTTTCTTTTTTTATAATATATGATCTAATATTCATTAGTGAGACTATTCATCTTTTTGTTATCCAATATTTTTTTTTTCTTTCGAAGGTTTTTGTCCGTATCCGTCTTTTCTCCTGTTTATCAATCGCTGTGCGTTTGGATGTGGCCCTGGATGGTTTGTCGCGCTCGTGACAGGTGAACGCACAAACTGCTGACTAGTTGATTGCGACGCAACCGCCACTGATAACCTCTTCACGTCCCGATTTTCTTTTTTTTCTCTTGTTAAGGCCATTGTACTCACAGCGTGTCTTGAAATCGCTCAAGTTGCTATCTTTTTTCCCTCAGCGTGACAGGAGATTTATCTTGAAAATACAGGGGCCCTCAAAAACCATGTGGCTGGCTGGAGTTATGCCGTGTTAGAGGTAGATTCTCCAAAATTCTATATCAGCTCTGACTCTTCAGAATTATTTACCTTTTTCTTTCTCTGACTGCTATTTTGAATTTAGTGGAATTACTTCGAACATTACATTATGTCAAAATTAAACTTGAGGGTTCGCGTTCAGAAACTTAACTAAAGTGAGCTTTAAATTTCATTATTTCCAGGTCCTGCTTTTTAAATTTTTATAGTCTGTTCAGATTTTTGATGTCAAGTGCAATGACGTCATTCAAAAACACTCTGTGAATGGCTGGCTCTCTGATTGGTTTATCGCACCATTATGGGCGGAGCTTGAGCGACGACTTGACATTCAAAATCTGAACAGACTATAGTTGATCTTGCGTTGATAATAGCTGCGACACGGCTTTTTTAAAACGTCCAAAAATTCTTTTTGATTTAATTTCAAAGAAAAGTCAATCAAATAATTTCGATTTTAACTTATTCCATAATAGTATTTTACATTTACAATGAAGGGTCAACTTTGAAAAATCTTGTCTCCAAATTTTGTGCGAATTCGACACTATGATTAATCTTTATATAGGGAGAATGGTTGGGCGAAGTTATGGAAAGTTCGAAATTAACGAAATAACTTCTAGAAGAATTCTTTTGTTCGGATGGTCAGATCGCCCTTCATCTGAGATCCGTTTTTGAAGGTCACTTTGGTGTCGTGACCGTTCTCGCAATCTTTCACTAATCGTTTATCGATAAATTTTCTTTTCTTTTAGACGATACATTATAAATTCATTTTCTTCTTTCTACATATGTTATTCAAAACTCATAGTCAACCCCAAAAAAAATTTTTTTCTGGAACTTAAAGCATGAAAATATTTTAGACTAAAAATATATATTATTGAGATCTCGTTGTTTCTAAACCCCCGACACGCTTTTTCAATCAGATTTTACTTGTTCTTTCTGGAAGAATGAAAATATGTAAGGCGATCAATGTTTCATTTTTGAAAGGATATTTCCCCTTTTTTCTGAAACTATTTCACTGTTTCATAAAACCGCTTGCATGAGATAATGTAGGGTCTTCACATAAATACCAAAACAATGTTTGATGAAAAGAGGTTTGCAAGTCCTTGAGCTTCTTTTTGAATCTTCTCTGTGGTAAGCTTGATTTTTCACGGTAGTCTGACTTGTGCAGAAAAAAAGGTTGGTAAGGCGATTGGTGGGGTTGGGAGGCGGAGCAGGCGAATGATACGGACCCATTATCGGCAAAAAGAGTACAAATTTGCTCGGAGAGCGATCCGATAACAACTTTTTGAGCCTCCATTCTGTCTTTTTCTTTGTCTTTCCCACTTCTTTCCGTTTTTCAGAAGTTCGCTCAAAATGCCCGAATCCCTTGCTCGACAGAACTTCCACACCGAGGTTGAAGCCGCGATCAACAAGCAGGTTTGTACTAGTTTTTCTTGCTTGATTTATTCAGTATATTTTGAAGGTCTCTGTCCGAAATACAAGTTTTAAGGTGATATAATAGTTTCTTGGGAGTTTTCAGGTGAACATCGAACTGTACGCCTCGTACGTCTACTTGTCGATGTCCTTCTATTTTGATCGTGACGACGTCGCTCTTCCCAACATCGCCAAGTGGGAACTCCATTTGATATTTTTCCTCTTTCTCCGAAGTGGCCTTGTGCACTTGTTGAAGAGCCAGTCTCAGAATTGAGTTTTTTTGAGTAGGTTCGATTCCTGTCGAGTGCAAATTTTTTTTGCTTTTTTTCTTGAAGTCAAAAAAATTTTTTTGTAAAAGTACGAAAATCGAGAAAATTTGGAATTTTTTTATCAATATAATTTTTGTTTATTAGCTTTAAGTTCGTTCAGCTAAAAAAAATTTTTTTATAACTCGATAATCCACCGAGCCTTCAACTCGATTCTCGTCCCCGAGTAGTTTTAGTGAGCTTTAACTCTGACGATCCCGAGTAGCTCCCTAGACAGTTTTTATTTCGTTACTTGTCTAAATTTCGTTTAAAGTACATGTGTTATTTTTTTAACCCACAGTGTGTTTTTAAGTGATTTTCTAACTATTTTCACGGCGGAAGGGGACAGTTCAGTTAGACTCTATAAATGTTGATTACAGCTTCTTCCGCAAGCAGTCCGACGAGGAGCGGGAACATGCGATGGAGCTGATGCGAGTTCAGAATCTTCGTGGGGGCCGCGTCGTCCTTCAGAACGTGCAGAAGCCCGAGAAAGACGAGTGGGGAACTGCTCTCGAGGCCTTCCAAGTGACTCATTCTTGAGTCTTCCTGCTGCTAACTCCTAGTGTTTCAGGCCGCCTTGGCTCTCGAGAAGTTCAACAACGAGTCTTTGCTCGCTTTGCACGGCACCGCCAACAGCCACAATGACGTCCACATGACGGACTTCCTCGAGGAAAAGTACCTCGATGAACAGGTCTGTCTTCATTTTTCATTTTTCCGGGTACACGATAGCGTCTTGAAAGTTGCAAGGGCTGTTCTGCTCTTTTAAGAGAGTAAATTGACTATAATTTTGAACTGAATAATTTCTAACAAGTTTTGGAAAATAAACATGAACGATGTTCAGAAAAATAACTGACCGCAAATAGCAAAATAAAAAACTAGAAAATGAAAAAGTTTCAAACTTATTTCAGTTGACAAATCAAAATAGTGACGTTCATAATTTTAAGATACTTTTTTTCTCATTTCTAATCTCTTCAAAAAGCTTGAACGGATCTTGAAAAAATGCATCAGTTCGCTATTTTTAGTGTAAAAAAATCTTCATTGATTAAGCGTTCTTTTGATAATTTTGAGGTTTTCTAATTCACATTTTTTGTTATTCAGGTTAAATCGATCAATGAGATCGCCAAGATGGTGACGTCGCTGAAGCGCGTCGGCCCCGGCATGGGCGAGTACGTCTTCGACAAAGAGAACTTCGACTAACTTCTACTTATACTTGTATCCGGGATTCTTTTCTCCGACTAATGCACGATGCTGTTTATGTAGTTTAATAAAAATTTTATTCAACTATTTTTGTGGTTTTTCCGTTTTCGTAGGAAAAAAAAGATATGGGAATTATTAATGAAGTCAATGGTCATATGAATCGCTTGAATATTGACGGACCATCATGCCGTGTTCAAAGTAATTTCCGCGAAATGCAAAATACCCGTTAGAGAAAGGAAAAGATCACTAAATATTGGAGAGTCAGAGATCATTTTGCATTTCGCGGAAATTACTTTGAACACGGCATCATATCTCTAGATCTTGAAAATGAAATTTGATTTTCAAAATTATTTTTTTCTGCTCGAAAATTTTCGAAAAGGGATTTTTGAGCTTTTGAGCTTTTGAGATTATTGAGCTTTTGAGATTATTGAGCTTTCTTTTTTGGAAAAAATGAGCGAATGAAGTAACATCTGCTAACCAAGGAAGGGTCGCTGGTCGCCGGGGTTTCTGAATTTCTGAATGAGAATAGGCTCGCTAGTGGTATTTTTCACGGTGATTTCATATCTAGTATCAAAAAATACAGAAGAGGTCTGTGAATAAAGTCTCGAGTTGAAAATTACACTGTCTCCGATTAATCTTGTTTTTATATGGTATATAGATGTAAAAGAAAGCAAAAAAATCATTTCAATAAATAAAGGAAACAATTGAAAAAAAATTGTACAAGATTAGTTTTTTTTAAGCAAAATTTGATGGAAAGCCTCATTCCATATTATTTTATTTTCAGCCGTCATTATCAACGTCTGTGTGAAAAAATGGACGAATTCCCGCATCGTTGGACTCGAGAAGAGGGAATGATTGGAATCGAGAAGAAAAAGTTGGTTAATTTGCGTAATCGGTGCTGGAAATCTGAGGCCATGTCAAACCGCCGGCCGTTATTCCAACGTCCACCCGAAGGCGGCCTGAAGCGATCCACCGACGCGGCTTTTTTACGATTTTTCTCGTAATTTAGCCGATACCCCCAATTTGTCAGGTCGGTCGCCTCCTTCAACACCTTCTTCGTCCTGTTTCTCTTGCCACTGAAGACACTTAGCTTGGACATCAAGTAGTTCCACTCGTTTGCAAAGAGTTCTCTCTGTTTGAAAATCATTCATTGCAGCTTTCCCTCGGAAGATTACAGAAACCCTTATCCAGAAAAATTCCAGTTTTCAGAAAACTGTTTTTTTTTTAGATAAACAGCAAAACAATTAAGGAAGGTGATTTTTCGCTTCGAATCTGAAATTACTACGATTTCGCTTGAATAATTTCTGTGCCTAGGACCTTGAGGGTTCATAACTTTTTTCACAAGGCTCGAGGGCAGTTTTCAAGACCAGATTTGGAATCAGCGTTAAAAACTACATCTAGTGGGTCTATTTTTATTCAGAAGACCAGAGACCTTTTCTTTATGAGTTTTTTTTTCTGTTAATATTCTCTGTTTTTAATATATTGTTAGCTATGTTGAAAAAAAATTATCAATACTAAGTAAGTGTTGACAAAATTTTAGCGGTACAGATTGTTTAAAAGGGAGATTAACAAGTCTAAACAATACTCTTTTCTTTTCCAAGCAAGTTTCTAACCCAAACAAAGTTGTCGATAGGTATGACCGAAACTGTTTCTTTTCAGAGTAACTGGAGATTTTCGAGAACAAGTTTATCTAACCGAATCAGCATACTGTTTTTTTTCCGTGACTATTCAATAGGAGATAAGTCACACCCATTGCGCTTTCATGAGTAATGACCGCCCGAGTCTACCGTCTCGAGTTTCTAAAAACGCCCTCCCAATGTTGAATGAACTGTTAGCCAGATTCTTGGATTTATTTTCCGACCTTTTCGCCAAAAATAGGTTCTCAAACAGATAAGTTGTGTTTTGGAGAGCGCTGAGCCATGAAAACGTGCCAACTGTTGGTGACTTGATGAATCGCCGAACAGCTTGACACATGCCACAATTATTCGAGCCTTTCTTTCAAGTCATTCCTCATGCCCTGTTTGCTTTTCCATCCCATCAAGTTTGCATTCCCCCGAAGCTCAATTAGTGATTGATCGAATGCAATCAGAAGTGCAGTTTTGGCAACTGTTCTACGAAACGACTAATCCGCGCGAGGAACACCCAGCTACTCTAGGCCCGCAAAAAGGGTGCAACCAAGCTGCTAATTTGACGACTTTCTCTTATTTTCGTCTTTCCGCAATTCTGCCTGAGTAGAGTTTCTAACCATTCGCATTCTCATCACCTTTTGAAGTATTGTTTTTGCTCATTGAGATCTCTTCCTTTTGGGGTTAGCACTTGCTTATTTCCACGGCCTCATTTCCTTTGGTCCCAGAATACAAGGATCAAATCGAAAAGACGATCTCTTGTCCCGCAGATCTGAGACGAACGGTCCTTTTTTGTTTTGACCCTCATTTTTTTTTTCCAAATTGCTTTCTGCGTTCAGTTATACCCTGTTTCTAGTACTACTGCTACTTTGATAATAAAAAAAAATTCATGAGTATATTTTTGCAAATATTTTCAATCTAAAAATGCGAGAGCAACGAAGGATTTTGATACGGTATAGCAGATTGGGGAAATAATTCAATAGATCTCAATTTAAAAAATACTTACCCGGACATTAAAAGAAGCAGAGATCGATATTCTCTAACAAATTGGGACTTCAAAATTGGATTAAATGTAAACTTTTGTTCGAGAGAAGAAAGCACACACGAAGACACACATTCTCCAATATATTAGTGTTGGGAAAAAGTGCAGAGCTATAAAAAGAAGATGTGGAGAAGATCGGAAAGAGCACAGGACAATGTTAGTTTTGTTGATTACAGCCGTGGGGTTATTGCCGAAACGCCTTTTCGTGAGTTTTTGCGACGTTCGTCCAGTGTACGAGGGCCGTCTCTCAGCTTTTTCTTTTGACGCCTCACGCATCTTCCACATTTTTTTTTCAATAGATTTTCTAACTAGGGAATGGTCTCCATTCGCAGTGGGACTTCTGAATGAGACTAGGTTCACTAGATGTAGTTTTTCACGCTGATTCCAAATCTGGTCTCAAAAACTGCCCTCGAGACCTGTGAAAAAAGTTAGGGGCTCTCAAAGTCGAAAAATTTGATGTCTCCGATTGAGCTCATTTTTGGAGGGTATATAGATCTTGTCCCTCTGGTCACGAAAAACCATCGGATTTCTCTCAAAAAAATTTCGGATCCCAGATATGAACTTTCAAAGCCCCGCCTAACACAAGAGCATGCGAGCGCGGTGTCCTATCGCGATCCGACGGCTGTCGAAGCAACGGCAGCGAGGAGCAGTGGAAAGGCGGCGGACTGGTGAGCACGAGGTCATAGGTTCGGTGCCCACGCTGTGCAAACTTTTTTTGCAATTTTTCCTTTCTTGGATACTTTCGTCTAACTGCTCCTTTTTTGAGTTTTGAGGCGTATAAACACGGAAACACTGCGTCTTGAACCTATTCAAACAGCTAAAATTCTTTTTGTCGCAAATTTTTTTCATGAAGTTTTCCGTGATTTTCCATGTGTATGAGCATGAGTTGGAGTGTCGAAATTTTTAGAAAAAATTTTTTGGTTTTTTTTTCTTTTTCCAAAAGCTGTCTAGACCGAATTCATCACAGCTACGCTGATAGATGATGCGGAAATTTTTCAATGATTTTTTTCAGACTGTGGTGCTCACTTAAATCTTCACGAGAAAAAAAAATCACCCAAATTTAATTCAGGTTTTTGCTGAAACTTTCAAGGAGGTTTCCTTTGATCCGTGATTAAAATTAATAGAAAAAAACCTCACTAAAAACTTCCGTTCAATGAAAATTTTGAAAGGTTATAGTCAGATTTCGGCGAGCAGAAAGTTCCAAAATAATAAAGAAACTGAAAAATAAGAAAAAAATGAAGTTTCTTTTGAGATATAAGTTTTTTTGGACATTTTTCAATCATTTCAATTTGGGGCGAACCGCTGGAATTCTCTTTTTTTCGGCAAAATGCGATGGTCGTAGGTGAGCCCACTGCAAATAACGAAGGGATTTTTGAAGAAAAAAAAATTTTTTTCTGTGGTCAGTCAGCGTAGCTGTGATGACTTCGGTTCAGACAGCTTTTGGAAAAAAAGAAAAAAAAGAAAAACCAAAAAAATTTTTTTCTAAAAAAATTTCGACACTCCAACTCATGCTCATACACATGGAAAATCACGGAAAACTTCATGAAAAAAAATTTGCGACAAAAAAAGAATTTTTAGCTGTTTGAATAGGTTCAAGACGCAGTGTTTCCGTGTTTATACGCCTCAAAACTCAAAAAAGGAGCAGTTAGACGAAAGTATCCAAGAAAGGAAAAATTGCAAAAAAAGTTTGCACAGCGTGGGCACCGAACCTATGACCTCGTGCTCACCAGTCCGCCGCCTTTCCACTGCTCCTCGCTGCCGTTGCTTCGACAGCCGTCGGATCGCGATAGGACACCGCGCTCGCATGCTCTTGTGTTAGGCGGGGCTTTGAAAGTTCATATCTGGGATCCGAAATTTTTTTGAGAGAAATCCGATGGTTTTTCGTGACCAGAGGGACAAGATCTATATACCCTCCAAAAATGAGCTCAATCGGAGACATCAAATTTTTCGACTTTGAGAGCCCCTAACTTTTTTCACAGGTCTCGAGGGCAGTTTTTTTGAGACCAGATTTGGAATCAGCGTGAAAAACTACATCTAGTGAACCTAGTCTCATTCAGAAGTCCCACTGCGAATGGAGACCATTCCCTAGTTAGAAAATCTATTGAAAAAAAAATGTGGAAGATGCGTGAGGCGTCAAAAGAAAAAGCTGAGAGACGGCCCTCGTACACTGGACGAACGTCGCAAAAACTCACGAAAAGGCGTTTCGGCAATAACCCCACGGCTGTAATCAACAAAACTAACATTGTCCTGTGCTCTTTCCGATCTTCTCCACATCTTCTTTTATAGCTCTGCACTTTTCCCAACACTAATATATTGGAGAATGTGTGTCTTCGTGTGTGCTTTCTTCTCTCGAACAAAAGTTTACATTTAATCCAATTTTGAAGTCCCAATTTGTTAGAGAATATCGATCTCTGCTTCTTTTAATGTCCGGGTAAGAAACTACATCTAGTGAACCTAGTCTCATTCAGAAGTCCCACTGCGAATGGAGACCATTCCCTAGTAAGCCGAGCTTAAAGATTTCTGTGATCACAGAACTTTTGAGGCTGCAGACGAGTTTTTCAGTTTGCTCGCAACGGTTCTTATCTGATTATATCAATGGCTCCTTGCCTTGTGACAAATGGCGTGAGCTTCCGTTACTGCGAGGCAAGTCAAGAAATTCTGATCCAAGGAAAAAAGAAGGATTTCCATGCAAGTCCACTTCGTAACTTTTGAGCTTATTGAAAGTTTCGGCGTTTCTGTTGACTCTTTTCGTTTTCTTTATCACTGTCCAATCATTTTGCTCTCTATCGATTGCTCACGTGCCTTTTTTGGGGAAATCTTTCGGCCGTAGAACGAGATAAGTGTGTTTTCTATGCTCTAAGCGCTCTTTCCTGTGACTATACATGTTTCGAAAGACTGTAATTACCTCTATTCCCGATTAGATTTTTTTGGCCTAATCACTATGTTGATTGAAGATTTTTGAGTTTGGTTTATCTTTCAACGTAATCTAAATGTTTTTTTTTGTTTCAATCATGCTGCATATTATTTCAGCCGATGAAACCTTGCTCTGAAAAAAAATCCAAAGAATTTTGAGTTAAAAATTCTATTTAGCTGAAGCATTTTTCTTTTCTACATCGAAAATGACGCGAAAAGCGCTGGGGGCGTTTCTTTTCTCAATGTGACAAGGCCTTTGTTGCGCCGACGCCATTTATCTCGCAGATATCACGGCGAATCATCCATTTATCTTATCTACACCTATCATCGCCTATTCTGTCCACCTAAAAACATTGCGTGCCACACGCCTGGTCTGAGAATTTTGTCCGATTTCCGAGGCCCTGAGAAGAACTGTTCAAAGAGTAAAACGGCATTTAGAATGACTACCCTAGCAAAAAACTTTTTTAAAAATCTTGAACTTATCATTCTTCGTCGTGGTCATGAAGCAGTTGGATATTGGGAATGTGAATTAACGGTGTAAAAATGTGTACACACATCTGAAGGCTGCAAAAACGTTTTCGATTATTTTTTTAAGAATTTTTTCTGGATTTTCTTTTTTTTTCGATCTTCGAAAATTTGAAATGTACCATAAAAACTTTCATCTTCTATTTTATATCGTAAACTACAAACTTTTGCCAGAGGGACAAAAAAATAGAGCACGTTAGATCCACAAAAAGTCTATTTATTAACGATTCTCGAAGAAAATTTATTTTTTTCCAATTTTTTGTATAACCTACGAGAAAAATTTAGCAGTTTTTTTTTCTTTATTCTATCTTAAAATTGATCCATTTTTCACTTGGTAACAGCTTAACTATCAAATTCTTGAAATTCTTGATCCGATTTTTTTTTCTGAAGCTATTTCTGATCATTTTCTTCTTAGGTTTTGGTCAATTATCGTCGACTTGTCTTTTTCATGCGAAAGTTTGAAAATACCTATATATTTCACTTTTTTCTGCACTGATTTACGTTGGTTTACAGTTAAATTCGTTGAAAGGAAATGTGATTCGAGATGTACCATGTGACGTCATCCCTGGTACTGCTCACCGTGCTCTTTGGAGCCGGGGCAAGTCTTTTCGAGCACCACTCCAACGTAACCACTTTCGACTTTACAAATAGTGAGTTTTAATTGTTATCGAAGGTCTTCTATGAGGAGTATTATGGTATGATTTATTTAGGAGTTCAAAACCACGTCATTTAACTGATAAAATTGAAATTTTCTTGTTTTCAAGACTGTTTTGAACCATCTTCACTTACATTATTTGCATGTTAAAGTTCATCATAAAATAAAAGAGAATCCTTTACTTCAACTCTTTATTCGCATTTGACACGGAATTTTTGGAAAGCAAAACTAAAAAAAAATTATCTATAGTCTGTGTGTCACGACTTCAAATTTCACGGAACGATATTCCGCTGTTGCGCTGCGTGTGGTCGCGAAGCGTCTTTCGAATCTCGGTCACGCTTTCAATTGATTGGTATTGCTTTGGGAGCACATGAAAGTAGAGTACCTTAATAAAAGAAAAAAAAAAAATTAAAAGCGCGACCAAGGTTCGTAAAGGCGCGCAGCGGCACAGCGGAATGTCGTTCCGTGAAAATCCAAATCGGGGTAACAAAGGCTATATATGTAAATGTTTCCTGATTACATTATTCAAAAACACCGTTTCAAGACCTTTTCTGAATCGACTCAAAAACAAAGAATTCAGAACTACACCAGTACGCTTTTGATCGTGAGGACAAGGTCGTAATCTTATACAACTACGGTTCCGCGATTCTTCTGGGTGGCAGGTGAGGCACTCACCTTCAACAACACACACGCCTAGATTTTTCAGAAATGTAGCGATTAACGTGAGTCTGACAAGTCTGAAGGCCGTCAATAGGTACAGCTGGAAGACGAGCGATTCTGCACGACGCAACTGCCAACTGATCAGCAGCACATCCTGTGACAACTTCCTGCGCACTTTCTTCGAGTTGCCCAACGGACAAGCCTTCGTCCTCTGCGGCACGCACGGCCTTCATCCCCAATGCGCCGAGTTCGTCGTTGGAAGTTCTGGTTTGTATTCCATCGGAAATTTCAACTTTCCTCATACTTGGAAAGATTACTCTTTTTATTGACATCATGAAAAAACAATCCTCGCAAAGTCCTAAGAAAATATCTCTCGAAGTTTTTTTTTTGATGAAGCTGAGATTTTTTTAACTTTGTTTATAAATAAGTGAAAGAGTACAGGATCTCTAATTGGTATATCCAGTATTTTTTTCCCATTTCAAAACGATTTCGTGATTGGTTAACTTCCAAAGTTCAAAATTTAAAAAAAGTTGCAGTCCGGAAGTAGGCCTCGACACCTGACTCGCGATTTTGAAAACTTTCAACAGCTTTTTTTTTTGCAGATCCTGTTCGTAGCATTTCTGGCGCCGGGCTCGCTCCAATTGACGTTGACGCCGTCGCTCCTTTTCTCCACGTTGGGGATCAGCTTTTCACGGCAAATGGCAAGAAAAAAAAATATTTCTTTCTTCCACGATCTTTTCAGTTCCTGAACTTTCATCTTCTGAACCTTTGCTCATGAGGAGAAGCGTGACCAACATTGCGCGAGGAGTCGAGAACGACCTGATTTTGCGGACTCCCAGAGGCCAGAGTGCCTTTGAACAAGCTGCTTTCATTTCGATGGAGAAGAACGGAGAGGTAAGTTTCGGGATAATAGTCTCGAAATGAAAGGGTCCGGGTGAGTTGTCGGCGAATTTATATATAGTTCACCCCAACCGCTAAAACTTATGTTTCCACCTCTTTCAATATTAACATGTCCCCCCTTCAATATCTCACAAAACCTTTCAATTGACACGTTCCAACTTCTCTGCACTCTCTTTCTATATCTTTCACTTTTTCTTCGGTTTTCATTTTGAAGCCAGCTTTGTCTGCAGGAGGTGCTGTCATTCTTCTCGGAGACGCCGTTGGACTCGGATGGGTGTGGCTTGCAAAGAGTGGCACGCGTTGGACGCGTTTGTCGCGGAGATCCCGGCGGAAAGTTGTTGCTCATAAGGTGAAAGAAGTAACCTGAGTTCTTCTCAGGCTCTCATACTCCAAAGAGTGGACTTCGTTCACGAAAGCGCGCTTGGAGTGCGCCATCGAGGAGGTCGACCAAGACACCCTCCATTTCAACCAGGTAGGTCTTTTCTCAACCTCAAGACTGACCACCCACCTCAGCTCTCGTCTGTTTCGGCTGCTCGTGACTTCTTTTATGGCGCATTCCGATCGCAGTTGGCCGGCATTGGAGCTTCTGCGGTATTTTAGTACTTTGGACAACCTTCCAGTCGGAATTTCAGGTGTGTCGCTTCGAAAGACGTCACATCTCTATGTCTTTGGCGACGGCGTACAAATCGACGAACCGTGTCCTCGCAGAATCGTGTCCTCGAGCTTCGACTCTCGAAGAATTCAGCTCGCTCAGACTGCGTCCACTCATCAAACAAAGTCAGTGGACCGCAGAGAACTTCTTTCAAGAATCTTTTGCAGAGATCTCGGCGAAGCCATCGTTTGTATACTACGGAAAAGATCGTTTCATCCATATTTTAACACAGGAAAACGTCACAGGTAATTCGGAAAAAAATATAGTTCTAGTATAAAAAAATCAGATTTTTAATGGACGACGTTATGATGTGCTCTTCATAGCGACGGACAAGGGGAACATCTTCAAGGTTATCATGAGCAATAACAGCGCCATTGGGCCGTTTTCTCGTCACGCAGTCACCATGCATGTTTTGCCTGTGAGTTTCAAAACCTACCAAAAATTTGATTTTTTTTTTCTTCAAACTATTTCAAGCAACCATCTCAAGCTATCTGAAAAGCAGTTAAGCTTCGACTGCAACAAAGGCCTGTTTGAAAGACTGTAGCGTTTCTCATGCCACGTTCAAAGTAATTTCGATGTAGTTCAAAATCATGTTACCAAGGAATACTTTATTTTCGCAGTGGAACTTATGAATGAGAGTTTAGTGACCTAGTTCACTAGATCTAATTTTTCACACCGTTTCGAAACCTGGTATCAAAGAATACCACGAAGGTCTGTGAAAAAAAGTTGTGCCAAAGACCAATAACTTCAACTTTTCGACTAAGCTTTGATTCATAGTGAATATAGATCTTGTCCCTCTTGCAACAGAAACCCATTTCTTTTTTTTTCAAAAAAGTCCTAAGCCTAGAAATGGCTTTTCAAATATTTTTCCTTCTATCGAGGTCACCTACCCGTTTGAAGGCAAACACGAAGGTTCTGTCGATGATGATCCACACAGAAGCTTTGCCCAACCAGATGAAGCGACAGCACCTTGTCGTCGTCACGAGCCAAAGCGTTCGTTCAGGCTCTAACTCGATTATATTTCTTCCCTAGGTCGTGAAGCTGAGGACAGCGGCTTGCAGCGAGGCTGACAGTTGCGCCTCTTGTCTCGCGATGGGAGATCCCGACTGCGCCTGGATCAACGAGGACGGTTGCGTGCACGTCAGCGAGAACTGGAGGTGCTCCCATTCTTCAACGGATAGTGGAAGAGGAGTTCTGATTTCAGCAGGAAGAAACATGCGACGCAGGACAGCGGCGTCTGTCCACTCAGTCATCACAGAGAACCGTTTCGTCTGGCTCCGAACAAGGCCCCTGGTTGGTCTTTTTCTCGTTCATCTTTTTTTTGTCTTACAATTCGAAAAAAAGTGTAGAATGCAAAGAACAAAGGTTTTCAATGAACTAGGGTAGTACTCAAAACCAAGAATAAGTGATTGACTTACATAGAAGTTAAAATTATGCTTCAATCAATAGTTCTTTTCTTTCAAAGCTCTTCATTTTTTAAATATATTTCTCATAAGACTCCTAACTATTCTCAAGCGACTTCATCAACCTAGTTTTGTGTGCTCCCTCAATTTCGCAAACTTTCTCTGAGTATCATGAATTAAAATTTCCACCACGAAGCTTCTTTTCGTTGTGATTTTCGAAAGTTTGATACTTACGTCTTCCCAATTTTTACTAGAAACTATTGAGATACGGCACCGATGTGTCTTTGCAAGGAGGCGGAGACGATACCATCCACGACGGAAGTCATTCACCGCGACACCGTCGTTCGAGAAGTCTCCTCCGCAGGTAGGACCATATTTGGTTTGGAAACGGATGAAGTCTTTAGGCGACATCTGGATGGGCGTCGCAGCCTTTTCATCGGGACTGCTCGTTTCCGCCGTCTTTTTCATCTGCTTCGACAGAACGTTAGTCTGCACGATGTGAACTTCCACTAACTTGTCTTCTGTCGAGTGTTCAGGCATGCCAAGTGTCCAACTATGCTAACACTTAACACAGACGCTTATGAAAACTTGTCGGTGTCCTCGAAGTTCGAAAAGTCCAAGTGGAGCACCTTTTTGTGTCCTGGATCCCGTCACACAGGCGATTCTGCTCGGGAATGATGTTTGGCTTAATCGTTGGTTACATATATTATACCTTAACAATTGAAATTTCGAAAATAATGTTTTTTTTAAATAAATTTTTTTGTTTCTTTTGGTTTCATCAATTTTACGGCTAGTCTTGCAACCACATAATTTTTTTAACATTAAAAATATATATAAAGTTTCTTCAGGAACTTTGCAACTTAGGAAATTGGACTCTCCGATGCACCCCATTCAAATCATGAAATAAACTTAGAAATTTAATGAGCTTCTGAGTAAAAAAATTACTCATGATAGATTTTTCTATGCCATTTTGCTATCGGCGTGTACTTCAAGTCGTCCATTACCAAAAACTAGAAGTTTTCCAAAGTACGTATTTTTTAGAATCTTTATCCTTTACATCACGGTGTGTTTTAGTCGATTTTAATCATTCATCCTCTTCATACCGTTTTTTCCGTCTTTCTTCATTTTCTCCCCAGCTTTTTTAAAAAATCATTCTTCAGGAAGTCAGAAAAGAAGTCGCCGACGCCATCGCTTTCGCCGATCGACGCCTTTTCTTCGACTTCTCAACTTCATCGCCAACTGTCAAGTCCCTTCGCCTCGATGCATTCTTCCATTCAGACTTACTGTTGACTCTCGCGTAGACGAATCGGGGTCAGGTAATGAAAGTATACCGAGCACACACCTCAAAATTGATCAGAATAGTATAATAATATGCTTTTCATCATAACCTTCGATATATACTTCAGCACTGTCAAAGCTGTACCGATAGTTTAGAGTGATGTACCGAAAGTCCATCGCACTTTTCTGGAATTTCGCAAGGTGTACTCGTGGCTCGATAAACTACCCCTGCCCGATCCGTGTGTGAATGACTTAATAATATCACATTAGGTTCTATCTGAATATTTGAAATTAAGAATGAAGATGGGTTCTTGTTTCGCTAATCATTGTGTTTCATCAACTTCTGACCCTGTGTGATCATTTTCCTTGCCCGGTGGCCTCAACGGATATACTCTGGTCGTTATTAACTTATATCCTAATTTAGTTCCAGCTTTACATGCAAGCTTCGTAAGATGCTATGTAACATAGCCTATGTTCATGTTCATTCCTATGAATTCATTATTCCGGAATGCATTGTTTTTCCCTTTTTCGGGTATATCAATTTTCCATCTCTGTACTTATTGTTACTCTTGCATATCCTTGTTCATAGCTCAACTTGCCTATTTCCGAAGTCTCACGTTTTTGTAGAGTACTAATAAAAAATTCGAATAAAACTTTCTTTTTCGAAAATAAATTTCGCAGCCAAAAGCTAACAGAAATGTTGCAGGAAATCGAAAAAATTTTTGTGATAACATCAGCTCAGTAAATTAAAAAAAGTTCAAAGAGTGCCACCTTTTGCAAGCCACATCCATCCGAAATAAAATTGAAGTACTACCCGCGGTTGAGCAAGATCGTGTAATTTATAGTCAAACAAAGATCAAATAATCTATTTTTTGACCAATGGTCTATGTATCGCCCATGTGAAACCAAGAACAAATTACAGATTTTGGCTTTTTTTTTTCAAACTTTCCGTTTTGAAATTTTTTGAGTTATTCCTTTGAACACGCTATAATATGTTCATTGACCGTCTTGGAAGGATCACGAATAAGCCTATGAGTAACTTGGTAAATTTAAAAGTTTATAGTGTTGAATCAGCGATGAGAAAGGTTCTTAAAGTTGATATACTGTTATGTTTTTTTACTGATAATTATGAATGATATATATTGAGAAGCTGCCTGGAATTTTCAGAGGACCATGAATCTTTACACAATTTATCATTTTCCTTGTGAGTTCAATCTTTTTGTATTGGCAAAATCTTTGAAATAACCAGCAATCACTTCAACTGTGTTCGACGGCGTGCATCCACTAAGAATAACTGACGAGATAAACGCGAGCTCGGTGGCGGTACATTGACTAACTCGCAAAAATGTCGCTTTTTTCTAGGCGCAATCTCGCATTTATCTCGGCGCGAATTCGTATTTTTCTTGGCGCCATATCGCATTTATCTGGCATTTCGGAAATTTTCAAATTGCGAGAGAAATGCGAGCTCGCGCCTAGAAAAGTGCGAGCTGGCGCCCAGAAAAATGCGAGACCGGCGCGAGAAAAAAAGCGAGATGTTTGCGAGCTCGTCAATGTACCGCCAGTGTCTCGCGTTTATCTCGGCAGTTATTCTTAGTGTCGTTTATATAAGCTCGTCAGATATCACGCTTGCGGCGGTAACGCTCGTGACGTAGAGTCGCATACAGTCCATTTTTTTTTTTCATTTTTTAGTTGGATGGAAGATTAAAACGTAGTTTTTATATGAATTTCTTGATTCTTCCACATCAAGCTTATCAGAAATTTCGAACTTTTGTGTTTTTTTCTTTTTTCAAAAGAAATCTGATGATTTTTATCAATTCGTATATCCTTTTTTTATTTCGCGTTTCGTTTCTTTTTTACTTTAGAAATTTTTTTTATTGCTCTAGTTATATCTTTTTTTCATTAACAAAAGTTTTTAGTAAGATGCCAAGGTGGCGAGGTCAGTACCGCTCGCCAGAGCGAAGGCGTCGACTCAGGGAAGTTATTGAAGAAGTCGAAGTGGTAGAAGACAACCGGTCGTTAAAGTGGATTCGCGAGCCGTTACGTCCTGTCGTCGATGTTGTAAGTTTTTTGTCTTGATCTTTGAACTAAATCGTAAAGCTTGACCTTTTTTTTTTAATAAAAAGAAGAATGTAAGGTTTGTAGCCGCTGGAAACTCTGGAAGACCATCCAGGATTCAACGATGTGAATCCGAGAGAAGAGTATCGAGCCATCGATGCAACAGCGACGCTTCTAATGAGCAGGATATACATCCTACTGTTTCAATTCATCGGAGGCCGCTTCGAAATCTCAACAGACGCTTTTCAAGGTCACCGGGTGCTTGAGAGTAAGTTATTGGCAAAACAAATGTTTTCTTCCCAGTTTTTTAAAAAGAAGTTTCAGATTCTCCAAAAATAAGAAATCTAAAAAAAAACTTATTGATTACTCTCACGTATAACAATATTGAGCGAAAAAACAAAAGCTATTTTAATTCAATCTAGTATATATATATATTCATTTTGAGGAAGCAATATGACGTCAGCAGATCTGAGCATCCAGGAATATTGGTTTCGCGGTCTGATGCGTTGGGACGCTCTTCAGTTCATGTTCATCGCGCAGTATGGCTACATATTCGAACATTCCTTGGCCTTTCTTCCGGCTTTCCCCTGGGCTACTGGGTAGCGGAGCTGTTTTTCCTCCTAGAAACTCAGGTTTAGAGCTCTTGGCGCTTCAGCCGCCGATTATTACCGCGCCTTGGTGGGTCCTGTCCACAAAACAACCATGACGTTACTTATGGGCCTTATCATCAACACCGTAATCATTCATTCTTCTTGAAAGTATTGTTTTTTTAAATTACAGTTCACTTTTCTTCAAGCGGGTCATGTACTTTACTTTATCACTTTGCGGATATCGAAGAGTCAAAAAGCAGCTATTATTTCAACTATTTTGTTTGCGTTCAACCCTGCGTCGATTTTCTTCACTTCTTTCTATTCCGAGTCGGTCAGCTATTTTTAATTTTGAAAGGAGAGCGAGAAATTTCTCAAAATTTCCATCAATATCTTGTTTTGAAATAGGAAAATATCTGTCTTTTTGTTCAGTTGTACACTTTGGTGACGTTCGGGGCCATATTTCTGTTGCTTGAGATGAAAGTTTCGGACGACTTTCCCTTCTTCCTCAGGCTCTCCGGGGCAGTTATGATCATGATGCTCGGCTGTGTTATAAGGTTGGTCTTATTCGCTTCGGTGTGCGAAAAAAGTGAAAGTATTTCTTCAAAAACTGAAGAAGCTTCTATGTGTTATTCATGTTTTTTCTGTAAGATAAAAAGAATCCGCGAAGAACTTTGTAAGACTTTGTATGATTTCCTGTCGAACTTCAGAGGTAACGGCATACTTAACGTCGGCTACCTGGGTTGGTTCCTCACCCGAGAGATCTTCTGGACGATGGAGGAAGCTCCGAAACAGCGACGAGTGGTGCCGTCGAACATTTTTCCGCGTCGCCGGAGTCGCTATGCTCGTGAAGACGAAGGCGAGGTGTCTCGACCTCTCAAGTGCACTTTCCTCTTGAAGAGAGGTCGTACAGTTGCCTTTGCTCGTCTTTTCTTCGGCTGCTTCATTCTTACCATGGCTGTAGTTTTTGCCGTGTCTTTGTGGGTCGCCTACGGCAACCACCAGTCGGACAATTTCTGCAACTCAAGTTGATCCTTCCCTCTCTAATCCCTCTCATAAGTACGTTTAGGAGCGTTCATGCGAGTGCCGCAACAGTTCCGAGAATATGCGCAGCAAAACAGGCTGACAGTTATTGGTGAGACACGAAGAATGCCTTGGTGCGCGTGGCTCGAAAAAAACAAGTTAGCTTTTCATTTATTTGTTTTCTTGATTGAAATCAAGGCTTCACACGAGAGTCGCAAGTATGAAAATGGTTAAGAATTTGCTGAAACTTGGTAAAAGACCTTCTCTAAGAACTATGATCATTATCCAAAAGCCATTTCTTGGTTAGGGCGGCGTGAAAAGCCTTGACTAGATTACAGAAATATTTTTTCAAGTTCTTCTTTCTGAAGAAATTGTTATTAGGCTTTTTTGAGAAACGAATTTCGCATAAAAGTCTGAATTTTATTTTTATGTTTTTAGTTAAATAGGTGTTCATAGTGTTTTAGGGCAGAATTAAAAAGAGTTTTTTTTTTAAATGATCATTCTTATTATGAACTTTTTCCTGGTACTTTTGGGAGCGAGTATCTGTTTATGTAATACGTCAAAGAGGTTTCCCTGTTTTCTAAAGCTAGTTGAACACATAATCATAGGGCACGCTGAAAAATACTTTAAAAAAAGTTTAAACATGGAACCAAAAGATTGTAACTTCTGCATAAGATAATTTAATGAGATTTTTTCTGGATTTCGTGATTAACATTCTTTTTTTTTTTTTTCTTAACATTAAGAAACACGGTGCAAGCGACTTATGGGTTTCCTGTCTGGTATCCTGTTGTCCAACGAAAGTACTGGAGAGTCGGCCACTTCGCCTACTGGTCTGTGAAGAAGATCCCGTGTTTTTTGATGGCAGCTCCGGCGATGCTGCTCACTTTGATAGCCATTCGCGGCACTTTCCGCGACCTTGCCCGCAGAAAGTTTTCATTGTATAATTTCTCGTTCATAGTTTTTGTTTTCTCGCAGTCTTACCAATATTTGGATGTGTCTGCTGCATCAAGATCATTTGTTGCCTTACGCTATCCATTCTGCCGTTATCCTTTACTTCGGAATCTTCTACATCAACGCCGAGGTTGCACCCACGAGTCCCTCCAATTCGAAAGAAGTTTTTCTCAGGTGTTCACCCGTATGATCTTCTCAAGTTCTCCGTTCCTCTACGTTTATTATAGTCAATGGCTTGCCCAACAAACTTCTCCGGTAAGTTCACTTATTTGTCTTCTTCTGAAAAAAGAATACCCTGCAGGCAGTTCCGGAAGGAAGAGTCTCCTACTTCCTCGACCACACGATGCTGTATCCGCCCTATTTGGTGTCTTCAATTTTCAATGATCGGTACGGTCGACTGTTTTATCTCTACTTCTTTGCCTATTTCGTGTTTGGCACTGTCATGCACGCCATGTTTTTACCGTTTACTTAAGTTTTCTTTGTAATCAATTTCATGTAAAATGTTAATGTTCGTCTGAAGGTTCCAAGAACTGTTGTTGTAAACATTTTGAATTGTTGCGGGCTACCATCTAACGTGATTGAAACTTGAATGTCGATACGTATGTATTATATTGTTGGGTACAGTTTTAATCTATCCTTATGATCTCTTGATTGACTATTTGCTCATATATGAGGTATAATAAGTTTGATTGGTTGTTGTTAATAAAAGTTTTTCTCACAGACTGCGGAGGGACTCCAACTTATTATAAATTACTTGAAAAGTTAAAACTACCACCAACCAATCGGAGCCAGAGCACCGACACGATGTCTTAATTCGGAAAATCCCATCTTTTCCTTCTTTTTTTTCTCTGATTACGCTTCTTTTTAATTGATGTTAGTTTTTCTATAGAAGTGAGCTTCCTTCCTGAAGTTTTTTTCTCACCCAATTTAATGCAGGGCCTTGATAAAATATAGAAAAGTATTTATTAGAGAAATATACAAAAGCGTGGGTGAGCTTGACGTTTTCAGGCGCTCGAAGCGCGTCGGGAAGGATAGTCTGGGTCTGAATCTATTATTAGCCAGGAGAATAACTAAAATCCAACCAATCATTCCGGCCTGAATTAAGGAATCTCGCCGTTGCTTCAATTTCGAAAAAGATTGCTCGTAGTGGATTAACCTGCGAGTGAAATCCAGTGAGAGCAAGAGAAGCTGTGGCTCACCGGACAACGAGATATGCGCAGTAAAAGACGAGGACTGTCACGAAGAGCATGAGGAAAACGAAAAGCACGAGCCTCAACGCCACGTTCGGCTCGTCCTGCTGCAAAGCTCGAGAGTTGCAAATCTTGCGATATCAGACTGACAGGCGACATCGAACTCGGCTCTTCCCATTTTCCGTTGTTCTGCAGAACAGTCGTCGTCGACGAGTACCGATGCGGATGCGGCGAAACTATGGTCGACACTCCAAATACCTGCAAGCCCGAAGTTCGAAATAAAGCCTCAAGTTGCAAAGCGACATACGAATGAAATTGTCTCTCAACGAAAGTTTGTTACAGCCTTTCATAATATTCTTATCAAGTGGTTTCTAGTACCACTGCAGAATGAAAGTTAACTTCCAGCCTGCTACTCACGGCAAGGAAGAGGAGAACGCCCCCTCGGGCAACTAGGGAAGGGTAAATGAGCGACGGCGAGTGCTTCTGGACGCCGACTATCAGAAGGACGCAGGTGATCGCAACGAAGAGAAGAAGTCCCACGAGACACACCTCGAAATACGTCACGTCCTGAGTTTTCTCTTCTCAGAGGCAAGCCAAATGGAGACGGACCTGAGGCGTCTGCGAGATGTGATAGATGGTGACAGCGGCGGTCGCCGTGCACAGAACGAACTCCGAAGCCGAAAGTATCCGCATCCCTGTAAGAGCCTAGGTCAGTCTGAAGATTTGCACGTTTTTCTAATAGTTTCGACAAACACCTTTGTCCAAACGAGATTAAGATCATGGATATCTACCAATCCCTCTTGAAAGCGTCAGCTCGAAAAATATAAAAATATTGCCGTTTGAGACCTTTCTAATAATTTCTAGTCCATTAAAAAGGTTGATTAACTTTTTAAAATTTCAAAAAACTCGGAGTTTTCGCGTAAAAGAACCCTTTCACTACCTTGAGTATATATGACGTATTTCAGAACCATCACAAGTAGTCAAAGCAAAAAAGTTCTTTTAATTCATTTTATGCAAATCCTCTTTCATTTCTTTTTCGGTATTTAGAATCATTATACAGCGCGCGGCTATGATTGAAACTGAATAAGTTTAGTTTCGGTGCTTTTTCTAAGCATGTTTTGCAAGTTACCATAAGAAATACATTTCAAGGTTATTCGGATTGAACTAAGTGCGAAAAAAAAAATAGCGTAAAACATAATGACGTGCTCTGCGCTTTAGTTCAACTTTTTCGGGTATGGCTTGACTAGAATAAATAAAAAGTCGATTTTAAATAAACTCGGAGAAAAATCTCACCTGAAGGCAGAGAGCAACAACAACATTGCCATTTCACCGAATTCGGGTCAAAGTCCATTTTCGCGTTTTCTCTTCCTTCTGATTCTAAACAAAAAGCTTTGAAACTGCGAATTTTCAGTTTTAGGGTAGTGAAATCGCTAAGATAGCTAAAAGATAGAGAATAAATGTCAAAGAATGCCAGGATTTGGAGGAATTGGGTCATTTCATCGTTTGACGAGCCAATAAAGGAGAGTAGAAGGAGTTGCTATGGTCCGACTGCCAGAGAGCTCTTTTCTTTTTTTTTTCCCCATGAAATCTTAAGCGGAACGCTCGTTTTGCCGCTATTAATTAGATTGAGTTGAGATTTTCATTCCTTCGAAACTAAGCGCTAAACTTTGTGAAAAATCCAGACAACATCACCAGATATAGGAATGGACACGATGCTCGTTACTGTCTGACTAACGAGAGAGGTCAATCCAGTGAAAAGTTAAGACTTCTTATTTATCGCTCGAAAATTCTTCGTAGATCTCGAGATCCTTCATAGACGCGACGCGCAAATTTTCGGTAGAAAATTTTGCAGGCAGAAAGAAAAAATTCTCATTTTTAGGTGGAAACGTCTAAAATTTCTTGTGTTATACTTCAACTTGCAAAAAAAAGATTAGTTTTCGTTCAACTCTTTTAAAAAGTTTATAGCTTATTTTGAACAACACATAACTTCCTTGTACTTTTCCTTTTACAAGTAAAGGGAATATCAGATGTTAAGTCCGATATGGAAAAGAATTAAATGAAATATGTAACGATGAAAAAAAAAAAAATTAAAGCTATTTTTCATAGGTGTCATGAGAACAATTGAGTTTTTCTAGACCCTACTTGTAGTAATGAATTATTTTGTTTTGCGAAACGTGTGTTGATCGTTTATCTGCGGCCGCCGTTCATCTACGGCGACCACACACAACAGCGGCTCTTTCATTATACTCCCACGCGTCTGTTATGAACGACGAGAACGACGAGTTCAACACAGTCTCAAAAGGTGGCGCATCTAAGCTCAGAGTCGTGGAAGAAATTTGTAGCCTTCCATTTCGAGGTAGAATAGCTGCACTTTTGTATAAAAAAGCATCTTTATTATTTGAGAAGGGGGGTTTTTTTGACGGTAAAAGTTCAGGTTTCAATTTCTTTATTTTTTTCTCATTTCAATTAATTTATCAATGACCTGAAAGCTGAAATCTGTTGACAGAAATCGAAGGATTACGAAATACTTTCAAGGTCTAAGAATAATGGAAAACTTCAGAAATTCTTCGTGAATTTTTTGAAGTTTTCAGTTATTATGATTTAGTCAATTAGAGCTAAAATGGCTTCTGCGAAAAAACTGACGAAATAAAGATTGTTTATCAAGTAATTGAAAGCGTTGCGGAGAGCGATGAAAGTCACAACGAGAAATAATATTCTTCTATATGGAAGTTAAATTTTTAAAACTGACATAACTCGTGTTTTTTCATTGCGGCTTTCTACTTATTAACAAGAGAAAATTTGAAAAATGCTTCTTTAAAAGAATTCTTCCTTATGGTCGGATGGAGAATACTAATTAGTATGAGCGCCAATTAATATGCAAAAACATTATTTCATAACAAAAAAAAAGAGTAAGTCAAAATATACATAGAAAAGCAAAAAACAAATTAAAAGTGTTCGCAGAACGGATTTTTGAGCTTCGCCTTAAGAATTATCGGAATTTTGAAATAAATTTTCTAGTTAGAGCGAAGATCTTTCTCTGTTAAAGTCTCAAAAATTCATAACAACAAATGGGATTTTTTTTTCTTAAGTTTTGAGAAACATATGATCGGCAAACAGATAGCCGTGACAGAAACAGCAGTGATCAGAGGGTGTGGGCGGAGTCTCGGAGCAGCTGTCGTCTCTGACCGACCGCCGAGTTCTCCTCGGCCTACTGACAACAAATGAAATCACTCCCAAGGAACAGAAGACGTCCGGAAGAATCTCAAAGCTGGTACGGGGGGCTGACCAACAGCTGAAAGGTATGTCAAGCTGTTCGTTTTGAGACGTTCAGCAGGGGGTTTTGGGAAGCTTCTTTGAATTTTTTATCGTTTTTTGGCATTTTTCAATGCATTGCAATGTGATAACCTTTAAGATGTATGAATTTTTTTAAGCAAACTTAAGTAAAAATAAAATTTTAAAATTTTAAGGCTGACAGAAAACAAAAGCGAAAACTTCTCTTTTATTCCCAGCTTTTTCAATCGGCTCAAATTTTTGACAAGAATGAAGTTCCAATTATTACTGTGATGATATTCTAACAAGAACTATGTCTTAAGAAGATGTCGGAAGAGAAATCAATTTTGAAGCGCAGGAAGTCGTTTTCTTTCAAGCCCAAAATTTTTTTCGAGAACTTGTCGAGTGTTTTCTGGCTGACTCAGAAGTTTAGTACCATTTGTTCTCACACTGAGATATCAACAAAAGAAAAACGAAAAAAAAATAATCCATAAAATCTAGAGCGAAAAAGGACAGCGAAGTTCAAAAAGGTTCAGTAACCTAAGATTCGCAGGGCTCGAAAGTGGAATTTCTGATTTCGCTTCTTCCTTCTTCTTGAAAAAAAGGGCGGCAAATCAAATATTCGTCGCTCTCCTTTCGCGGAACGCAACATCTTCTGGCTCTTGACGTAAACCTTTTCCTTTGAGTAGGCACTCGACTGCGAAACTGCGTCAAAACGTTCATAAATTATCTCTTTCCGCATGAAAAACATCAGACCAACGTCGAGGTGATGGAAACTGCTCTCATTTATTCTTCATAAAAAATTATGCCATATTATTGGTTCTTGTTCCTATTTTAACGATGATTTCAGTGCAATCTCAAAACTTTCCTTCGCCTGATATCCGTTTGATAAGCATAACAAATTCTGACTCAGGTGATAAAAATCAAGAATTAGGAAAAAAGTATCCTCTAGGAGGTGGTGAACAGGCAACATATTTATCGGGACGAGTCAGCTGCCACGAGTTTCCAGTCGTTTCAATTTCTTTCACGACAGCCAAAGGGCAACAAAACAATCTATCGACGGAATGTTGGAGGTTGCTCTGGTTAGGAATGTGGGACATGTGTCTCCAACTTTTTCTCACGACAGCCTATCTGAAAAGAGGTGAAAAGGAACGTTAGGAGCCTTCTTCTTGCTGAATCGAACGAATAAGGATTCTCACTGTTGCGATCTACTGTAAATCATTTGATTCAACTTGAACAAAAGGACTCCGCGCCTGAAATCATGGTAATTGAACCAAAGTTTCGAAAATTGACCGTTCGACCAATATTTTTTCAACATGTCCTAATGAATGGTCGTTGGTCGAACAGTTGGAGTTTCCACATTCCAACATGTCACTTCAGAGGGACATGTTGGTATTTGACCGTTCGAAACGTCACTTCGAAATTGGTCGGTCAGTTTTTGACCGTTCAAACCAAGCTGCAAAAGCCGAGCCACTTTGCTTTTTGAGAGAACAGACAAGTCAGTCTCGTCTCAGAATAGTTTTGCGATAGTATTTTAGTTTGATTTCAAAATCTAAAAATGTATTTTTACAATTTTTCGCGAGAGCTGTTGTTTCATCGATGAAGTATATGCCATTTTCACACAGAAGCAGGCGGGTCAGACTTTTCCAAGCCAACGGACGCAGTAGAAGCTGAATAAAATTGATACAACTTTTGATTTTCAGTTTTGACCCGATGGCCGCATCATCCTCACCGTCCCGACTTTGAGAGCAAAACTTTCCGTTTTCTGGTAATCGCATTGGGTTATTTTTCCACAAATTTCAAAACTAAGGATCTGATAAACCTGTTCCTAGAGAACACTGATAGTTCTGAATGAAAAATCTAAAAAATCACAGTATTCATGGATTTTCGAATTTTCCAGTCTCAGTTTCACTTTCACAACAAGAAGACATTGAATTTAAAAAAATGAATTCTTGAGAAAGCAAATCTCAACCGAAAATTTCCGTTATTGTCCATGCAAGAAGGCGTGTATCCGATTCCATCTAACTCTTGACGAAACCTGTCAGCAACTGTTGAACATAATGCTCCCAGGAAGCGTTCCGAGTGCAGTGGAGCATAAAGTGAGCAATCGAGTGTCGTCGCCTTTTTTGCGAATTTTTCTCGTGGTGCAATTGACCGAGGATGGGAGAGATTATGTGAATGGGTGCTGATTGGCGTAACGAGCGAACTCTCACTCGAGGACGGCGCTCCGCCCCTTTGTCTCTCATTTGTCGAATCCAGGTTCCAAGTTTGGCAGCTTCGTCAATGCTGTACAACCAGACCTTCAGACACGTCGAAGGCTCGATGTGAGAAGTCGCGGATGATTTTTCTGCTCTTTTCACTTCTCGGATCGACCACCGGCCAGGAGTTCTGTCGTCCTCTTCACGCCCAAGCTCATGGAATCAATCTGGTATAGTCAGACTCATTACATAGCGAGTTCAGATTTTGAATTTCAAATCTTCAACTCCGCCCCCTAAGCGTAGATTGAACCAATCATCCGCAGAGCGTTGTTGGGGCCGGAGTTCGCTGCTTGACATTTAAAATCTGAACAGACTATATATTTAGACCTTTCAATTCAAACAAATAAAAATACTCGATCTTTCTAACGTAACTTCCTCACGTCTATTTGCTGTAATTTTCAAAAATTACGTGGAAAATTTACAAAAAAAATTCTAGACATGATCAATTCACAAAAGAAAGAGCAAAGAAGAAAACAGCAGCGAAAACTTATGAAGCATTTCAAAAAGTACAGAAAGCAGTTGAGGTGTGCTGCAGCCTGAACGCGTCGCTAACTGAGAGCTGCGAATATTCTTCTCTGTGTTCGGAGACTTGCTCCTGCTTTGTCACCTTCACAAGAGATCTCGAATGCCAGTCTAACTCCCTCGAGGTTTCTATCTTTTGATAATATTATTTTTTCGAAAAACTTCTAATAGTTTCGTTTTTCAATGGGGGCAAGAAGAAAAGGCAAGATTACAGCTCTACGAATGGATGGACCACAAGCCAAACTCTGCGCCGTTGGCCTGTGCCCGGCCCAATTTTCCCAACTACGACTCCTCTTACTCAATCGTTGTGGAAAACTCTGCTCCAAGGTGACTTTTTTTCAAAATGTTATTTGTCTTATTTGTCTTATTTGCCTACATAATGGCAAATCTGAGTTTTAGAGAGACATCGTCGATTTTACGAGGAATGTGCGGAATGAACGTGACTTCGGTCACCATGCAGAGCTTCGATCCAGTCTTGGAGGAGCTAGACTTCTCCAAATGTTTCTCTCAATTGACGTCCTTCCAAGTTAATTTTTTGTGAGTTTATCTCTCGGTGGGAAAATGCTATGAAGCACAGGCAACCTAAAACGGCGATTTTCTCGAACGCTTTGCGACAGACAAGAAACTTGAACTCCTTGTCGTTGGTCAACGCAAACTTCGAGTTCTGGCCTCAGGTAGGTCGGCGAGGCAGCTCAGTTGAACTCAGTCAGTTCAGACGTCTCCATTCGTGCAGAGTTTGACCTTTCTGCACATCGAGAACTCCTCCTTGTCGGACCTCCCGAAGTGGCTTTCCTTGAGCAGAACGCTTTCCCGGCTCTACATCAAAAGTATGAGAAGAATGGTCATTTTTCTCTGAGTTTATCGAAAAGTTGCTAGTTTTTGAGAGGTTACCGGACTCCGCACTCTGTTGCGACAGTGTTTAAATCCCAACGATGGCTGCTATCTAATCCATTTCAACTAAGTATCCGTTATATAACGACCTCGACATCTAGGCCTGCCAACGTTGGAAGGTCTAGATCAAAGTTTCTCATACCTATGTAACCTTTTATTTCTAGAGATTTTATTTTTCAAACATGCGTTTAACATCATATTAAACCTGAATTTAATATTTTCCATTTTAAAAAGAAATTAAAAACTTGAAAAATAAAAGCTCGTGCAGGTAACGACAATGAGGGAACCCCAAACCTTAGGAGAATCTTTGAAAATTTTCCAAAAGTTCCTAACTTCATGGCCTCGCCTTGTCAGAAGTTTCTGCCGTACCATAGTAAAATGGCCTTTTCTGCGACGATATTCACAGCGACTATACGATTGCGACCCTTCGCGCTTCCGATTTCGTGAGATTCTCGTTGAATCCCAGTAAAGCTGTTCAGATACGCGGCTACAGTCTCTGGCGACAATCGCACAACTTCCGCAATCCAAGTCCCTGACCCTCTCGCACAACGCCTTCGACCAACTCCAGCGGCACGTCTTCGTGTCGACGTCGCTCGTCCAGATTGACCTCAGTCACAACCAGGTGCTGTAGAAAGCCCTCGAGTGATGAGCCCGAAAGAGTTCAGATCACATCGTTTGCCTCGCACACCTTCAGCAAGTGCGCTGACCTGAAAATCCTCGACCTCAGCCACAACCCCATTCAGGTCCTGCCCTACAAGCCTTTCGTACGAAACACCCGCCTCAAATGGCTCAAGCTCAGTGGCACAAAGATCAACGTAAGGGACTCAACATAGAAGAGGGGAAAGAAGAGTTCAGGCGCTGTCGCCGGAACATTTTGCCGGCTTGAACTCGCTGAAGACCTTGACGCTGTCCAACAACGTCCTGCACTCGGTTTCACCGTACACCTTCGTTCCGCTCAAGTCGCTGCGGCATCTCGACCTCGACGGGTGCCATCTAGCCCGAGTTCCTCAGGCCGTCGTCTTTAACTGCGCTCTCACCAGGTTTTTTTTTTCATTTACAAGTCCAAAACCATAAAAGACGTATGAACTATTTATAATACTTTGGATACACTTGATCCAGCAAACAAAAGAAAAACGATTTGAGATTGAACGTGGCAAACAACAAGTTCCAACGAGGCTCGGCGCTGCCGCCAGAGGTGATGGCCATGCTGAGCGGTCTGTCGCAGCTGCGACTCGACGGAAACGCCCTTTATGTTAGTTCTTGGGGCTTATAGAGCTGAATTTGGAACCCCAGGAGTTTCCGCCGTCGCTGCTGCTAATCTCGACCGAGAACGTGAGACTTCTCCGGCAGCTGCTGCACACCTCGATGACGCTGCCGATGTGGCTCCGAGAGCCTTGCACGCCCTACTACTGGACCATGCAGTTGCGCAACAAGTACCGTATCCGCTCCAATCGACGAAAAAAGATGTTTCAAGATCGACTACACTGAAAAGTTTCCTATCCCACTACGACGAGGAGCGGATGCAGAAGAACGGGCTGGGCTACTGCAAGGAGCAGTTCGAGTGGATGGCTGAGCAGATGGACGTCTACCGAGAGCTCGAGAAGAACAGCGGTCGGAATGTCCACTCTTCTCCTCAATCTTTCGTTACAGGCTGCTCGACCCAACGTCGTCTGCGGTCCTCGTTGTCGGCGACGTCATCTGCGCCGAAAAACAACTGTTCTCAGAAGACGTCCACTTCATGGCCGGACAATCCGCTTCGGCAGAAGTTCCAAGTGGCGCCCATGCCGCAAATGTTCATCGCCAGTCTCACAGCCAATTTCTTGCTCTTTCTGGCTCTTTTCACTTGCACCTGTATATCTTGTTTTTCAAACACCAAAAAATCGTGACCCTCCGTTTTCAGAAACCTTATTCACAATGGCAAAGCTTCGTGATTTTCTTCTCTCATTTCCGTTTTACCTCAAAACTCTCTTTTACTTTTGAACAGATGAAAAAAAAATAAATTATTATTCAAGTTCAAAAATGACCATTGACAAATAAAATTAATAACTTGAGTAAAAAAGTTGAAAACAATAACAGAGAGATACATCACAAAACCACGTACAACAGAAAGTTTATAGACCGGCTGGTCACAGTTTGAGAGACAGGAATTGGCGGAAGACTTCGTTGACATGAGCGTCCGTGTCGTCCGTGAAGAGTTCCTCGCTCAACGACTCCGTGAACTTCCAAACCACATCATTGTGCTGAAATTGAACTTTCAGGATCATTAGGATTGGTTACCTTTTGAATTAATATGACTCAGTTCTAATTCCTTTTTTCCTTTTTTGATTTTTAGTGAGTCTAGATGTATGTTGTGACAAAAGTACAAACTTGAGTTCTCGACATTCGCAGCAGATTGAACTCATCGTTTCATATAATTTAGTCTGGTTCAAAGCTAGTTCTCACGTGGTATTTTTAATCGGAAATTATCTCGGTAGCAATGCAAATACTCAATAAAAAAATTTCACTACGATAGAAGAACGGACCCAAATGAAGACTTGCTGGAAACGTCCCCGCAGCCAGTTGTAGGCGGGGGTGTGGAACTCGATTCCTTCAGCCTCATTGTTCACTTTCAGGTCGGTCAGTTGGGTCGTGAATTTCTACGAAGGCATTTTCAACTGAGAACTTCTTTCAATACGAATACCTGGAAGACGTCGAAAAACAGACTTTTCTGGAAATCCGCCAGGCTCTCGAATTTGTCGCGTTGAATCTCTAGATCCTCAATATCTTTGGCGCGAGACTCGTCGTCCATCTGAAAATATGTTTCTTTTTTTATTTTCTTGTTTTTTTTTTTGGATATATTAGCAATCACAAGCCCGTCTATCTTTGTAGAAATAAAAAAATAGCATAGATAAAATGAATAGATGACGTGGTTTGAGTATATTTCAAAACAACAGAAATTTTTTTCAATATCAAAAAAATTTTTTTGGAAAGATGGGTTGTATTTTTCTTTTTTTAGGGTACCAGTAGATTTAAGACAATGCTTTTCAAAATTATCATGAATTTAACTGTGCAAATTCCCAATTTAGAGAAAAATAAGATTTTGAAAATAGAATCTGTCTGTCTCCTAAAACTACGATTCCTCGCAGTTCACCAGCGGAGATGTAATTGCACGTGGAAGAAATGTTTCAGGACCTCTTCTTCGTCCGCGGCAGGGACTCCGTCGATGCCTTCCTCGCGTTTGTTTCGCTGGATCTCGGCCGCTTCAACGCGTTCCTTCAGCGCTTTGTAGTCTTTCTCGATGGTGACGACGTGGCTCGAGAGCTTCTCTAACGCCATGTTCAGCACTTCGAAGAGCCACTGTCTGAGACCGAAAACCAGTTTTTTTTGAGCCTCAAACGAAACCTGTCCTGTTCGTGGCGCATCTGCTCGTCGAATAACCAATTGATTACCATGCCGCAATCCAAAACTTGCATTTTCAATAACTTATCAATTAGGATCATCATCATCTGTAAATATTTTCTAATTCAATTGTCAGCTCTGGCATTTTTTTTCCATTGGAAAACCTGCTGATTCGTTTTCCAGCAATCATACAGAGTATCCAGCAACTTTTCCTGGAACCGTTCTGAGAAGTCGCAAATGGTTTTCAATGTGTTTTGATACCTGTACGAAATCATCCAATCACAACTCCCGAAATTCAACTAACTTGGACAAGGCAGCGAAGTTATGGCTGTATGTTTTCGACGCCATTTTCAACATAACCTATAAAAATGATTCTGACTCTCAAGCATTCCTGGGAAAAAGAAAACCGAGAAGAAGATGCCGAACTCTTCAATGTTGTATCCAGTTTCTTCGTCTGTTTTCAGCTCTGCCGTGAAAGCTTCAGCGGGTTGACGCTCCTTCACACAAACAAAGAAATTATTCACAGAAATTTTTTCGATCCTCCATAAAAAGCAAACTGAGCCTTTAAGGTTGAATTTCATTCAAAAAATACAATTCGGTACTTGAAATAACTGTGACACTAACCTGGAACATCTGGCTGAAAGTCTGAGCTCGCTCATAGCCGGCTTCCGCTTCTGAAGTAATGATTTCCTTTTTTAGAAAAATAAAACTAATAAAAACCGTCATCGAGCATATATCGGATATTGGGCCGTGGAGGCAAAACCTTGGCGAATTCTGCCGGAACGGCCTGGGTGATTTTTTCAAAGGTCCCCAGCCGACGACACTTTTCCAGTACCTCGCGAGAAAATATCAAACATCCAGACCATGTTTCTTTCTTAAAAAAGCTTTCAGAGACATATTAAAAGTTATGCGCACCTCCAAACAATCTTTCCAGTCTGCCCATGAGTATCTAAACTGGAAGTTCGAGAGATGGAAGCTGAACCAATCGACGAATCTGAAAGAATTCCATCTGCTCAATGTGACTATATGAAACTTTTTACACGCATTTTACATTACGTTTTCTTCCAGAATGTAAAAAACGGTTTTCGGCTTCATTTTTCAACTTTAAAAGAATGAAAAAGGAATGAACCCAAAAGATTGCTTCTCAAAACAACATAACTCATTATTTTGGGAAATTTTTTTCAGATTGCGTTTTGCAGTCTCAGGTATTATAAAAAAATTCCGTGTCTAAAGTAATTTCCACAAAACGCATAATTTCCTCTGACCCTCCAAAAATTCGTTATATTTTTCTTTTTCAAGCGACAACTTCAGATTCCGCAAAATCACTTTGAACATGGCGTAAAAAATAGCAGATTTAACAAATTTGCCTGTTATAAAACTTTCAAGTGTTTAAACTGATCACTGTGAAACCGATTGTCGCAGTCAAAAAAAAGGGATCAAAAATATACCATGAATTAAGTTGATTTGAAAATTCGAATCAAAAGAGTTGTTGAAAACGCGAACCTGTCGACACAAGATGGCTGCATTGTGTCGGCGCGTTGATAGAGAAGTTCTACCGACTGAACAAGAATCTGAGGATAAGTCGACGCTTGGAGACGGCACAGCTCCAACAGAAGAGCGCCTTAACACAGGAAATGTTGGATATCAGGCTTATAGCTGATTCACGGCCAGCTTGGGACGCTAAGGGGGCGTGTACTGTCTGCGCTCTCAACGAGCCAGGCGCTGTCTCGTGCATTATCGTGTCAGGACCATTTTTTCGATGGTTCAAGCCAGCCGTGAATAAGCTATATACTAGGCTTGTTCCAGAACATTCTATCCTTTTCTAGACTTCACGGTTTTATTACGTGATCGGGATCAGTTTCATAGCTTTCCTTCTAGAAAATTCCGTATTTTTCTAAAAGGTCTAAATGATTTCAGAATGTTCTATAGCCTTCGGGAAAGATCTCCAAGCCCATTGAATGTTCCCTTATAATACTTACCTTATATACTCTTTAAACTCCACCCTGGAACATTTCACAGTCTTCGGGATCTCTTCCTCAGCCTATATAAACAGTTTTTTTTTTTCTCCTTAGTTCTTGCTCTCCAATATACTTCCACTAGAACTTTGCGTTCTCTACCGACGGTCACACTAATATATTTTCAAACTAATGCGGACCCTAGACGATTGAAAAAAAGTACCATAGAAAACAGCAGGCTGAGGCGAGTGTGGCAATCGAAACAAATGTCCAAAAATGACCTGAAACATCAACGCTACGGAACTATCATAAATGCGTGATTCACTTCAAAAATCATATATCCCATGGCGACGCTCGGGAACTCGTGAGCATACTCCAGAAGCTCGCGTGCGCTGCAAAAGGGAGGTGGAAGAAAGACGTCTAGAAAAAACTGACCAATTCTTGCGATTGAACTGATTCTTTCGGATTATCCAAGTGAGCTCTTCTTCGATCAAAAAACGCTCAATAGAATGCGCGCCCGGCAAGACAGAGCTCTAAAAAGATGAAGTGAAGGATGACTCTGAACAGAATCCGTACGTCTTCGGGGCAGTCGGCATAGTCGAAAAGACGAAACACAACGTATGGGAACGGATATTTGGACGACGGCTTGTGACTCGGGGCAGAGAAACTGAAGTACAGGAGAATCTCAGAAGTGCGACCCCGTTACTAAACCTCGGCAGGTTGTGCTGGAGAGCGTCCTGCAGGACAGCGTCGAAGCCAATGTAGTGTCGCGGAATGTGCTTTTCCTTCCAGTCGGCCTTTTGCAGCACTCCGATCTGCGCCCAGAGACAGTCCAGATAGTCTTCCTGTTCGTGAGGACTGCCTCCACCCAGCCAAACTTGCAGAATCTGCCAATTCCCGACTCAGAAAAATCAACAAGACGTGGTTACCTGGATGTGGTCCCGCTTTCGCGCTTCCAAATATTTTCCCACGCCTTCAAAAATGTTTTCTAACTGTTCGTTTGCTTTGTCTTTCAATTCAGCTCCTATCCACGGTAAACAGTGCAACACAGTGTAGATGAACCAATCGGTTCTCACCTGAAAAACATTTTTCATCCTTTTTCTGAACGATTTATGCAAAAGTTAAAAAAAAAGGAATCATACCTGAGGAACGTCCTCCTCAAAAGCTGCAGACACGAAAGATTCGAGATACTCCCCGATAGACTGAAGCGTCAAAACGCGGCAATTTCCGAGATCGCAAAGGAACAAAGCCTGCAAAATGAGGACGTTAAAAAAATAAATCGCAGCTCACAATATTCATAGCTTGTTCGTAGTTTTCGGCGTCGAGAATTTCTTGCTGCTGAGCAATAACCTTTTCCACGACCTAAACGAAAATATTATAACGTTTTCACTCATCACGATTTACTCACATCTCCGCCGAAATTGAAGTTCTTCGCGTTAAGAAGTCCTACTAGCGTGGAATAAACAGTAACTTTCTCAGGAAGATAAATGACACTAAAATTTTTGCTCGAACCAATATTTTTATCTTTCCTTCTTCTTCACCATCCAACTAAAATGTCGATGATGTTAGTGCGGTATTTATCGAGATCGTCTTGCAGTAAGTTGCACAATCCTTCCAAGTTACTTTCGATCGACGAGTTTTTACCCTGAAAACATATTAAATATCGCGAGTAACTGACAAGACTAAAAGACTAAAAAGTTTTTTAAATTCCTTAATCTCATTTAAAATCGTCAGATTACAGCGTATTTACATGGTTATTGTAACTAAACCAAAAACCAAAGACGAAAAAAATTATCTCTCAATAGGAATAAAGATGATCCACTAAGTTTCAGCAAAACTCTCAAAAAATAAACTCCTGCAAGCCCTTAAAAACGTGAAATTATTGCTCTCTTTAAAAAAAATTAAACAATTGAATTACAATAAGTAAACATACCTTATCCCCAACTCGACCGATTATATCTTGAAGTTTTCTTTCAACCTCTGTGATCAAAGGGATTCCTCTTCTTCTCTTTGTCACAACTTCTTCTTCTTCTGTAAAAAATGAAATTGAAATAAAACTTCGAAAAAGAAGTCCGATTGAGACGGAACAAAAAAAAATTGAAAATTCATTATTACCTCCTGAAACTCTTCGTCTTCGCAACGTGTTCATTATAAATTAAATACGTCGATATCCCACCTGAAAAAAAAAAATTAATTGTGAAATACTTATCCTTCGTTCCTATTTTAAACTAAAGAGAAGAAATCAAAACAAACTATTGTCAAAGTGAAAACATATAATTTCAAAAAAAAAAATTGCAAACTTCAGAGTGAGAGATTGGATTTTATTTCGCACCGAAACTGCGCCCCGGTGAAAAAAAAAACTAAGTTTACTCTTAAGTGCGCACTAGCGCATGCTGTTAAAACATTGATGGTTTGTCTAACTGAGAAACGCAGCTTGTTTCGAAATAAAAGTGCGTTAACTGCAAAAAAAATTGTTGATTGATTCGCTAGATCTGAATCGACTCCAGAGCAGTGAATTTTTTTTCTTCGAAGGAACAATTTTTGCTGTTTTCGGAACATTCGTATTTTAGCTCCCTTCTTTTCAAACATCAAAGTGCGCTTAATAACTCGTATTCTTGAGCTTATTACTTATGCCGCGTTCAAAGTAAATTCCAGCTTGATAAGCGTCAGAGAGTGCGAATGATAAACAAATTTCGTAGAGTCATCATTTCTATTTCGTCAAAGTCACTTTAAACATGCCATTATATTTTTCAACAATTGGTCACATTCAAGTTTCCTTTTTTGCTGACGACGTTGATCGTTTATTCACTTTTGTACAAAATTGTCTTTTGACTTGAAAAGACGGTATTTAGTTCAGATATGTGTGAACAGCGAAACAGAATATATATTGACGTTTCTTTAATTTGTATAATCCTGAACCCGCGGTGAATGAAGTTTAGTTTATTCAGGGTTTTTTATAATGAGGAACTCAGTATTTGCCACTGATAAAAGTCAATCAAATTATATACCCACGTTGAACTACCGATAAGAAACATGCCTCAAAAAACTGTCAAAGTCAATAATCATTTTCTTTATCAACATTCTCGAGAATACTATACAACATGCGAAGTAATGTGTAGTTCCACAGTTCATCAATGATCCCTTGGCTTTAGAGCTTCGTTCAAGCAAATTCGAAAAGTCAGTTTCAGTGAACTATTGTGGTATAAATAATTTATTCACAATGAATATCAAAATAAATTTGAGTGAATCGAAACGTCAGCTAAGGTTCTTACTTTTTTAGTATAAAATAACAACATGAATTAATGCGAGAACTTTGAAGAAATGTGTTTGTGTGCCGCACGAGCATCCTTGATCACAATGTCCGCTATGTTCTTGCTCAAGAGCTGTAAAATAGTGTTCTGCTTCAATTATTTTTGATTACTAACGTTTTCAGGAATGAGTTTGTCGTTTAGCTCAACACTTGCGAGGAAGTCGATGGTCGAAAGCTGAGGTCCGAGGCCCGTGAACTTTCCCGCCACAACGTTCGCCGTGGCTCTGCAAGGCTTATGTCAGAAAAGAGATTCGCGCATAATGGAGTCCGTTTTCATAAGATCTTTCCATACCTTCCAAAATTTGAATTTTGACGCGTGCGGCCTATGAACAACAACAAAAAAAACTGACCGCGTCTTTTTGGGAACTGGTGGGAGATCGGTGTCGAAGCTGGAAGCGACGACGATGTACCCGTCGGTGGTCTTTCGGTACATGCGACACACAATGAAGTCCTTGCCTTTTATAACCGCAACGTCCGACAAAGCGTACTGAAATGCTTGTTCGGCGGAGGTGAACCGAAAGAAAGACCTGAAGAACGTCGGCCTGGTTGCCGATCACCGCCAGCCGTTTCAAGTAGTCAGTGCTTGGATTCCAGTTCACCGTGTTTTCAACCTGAAGTCTGTTATTTCCAACTGAAAATTTTTTGATTTTCGACTCACGTCACTCCAATGGTCTTGGAAGACGAGATCAACTGGGGCTTGATACTCTTTCTGAAACGAGAAATAATAAAGATTCAGCAAAAACAGGAACTGCCTTCAGGTGATAGACTTTTCCGAGTGGGAACCGCTTGTTATAGCATTTGTCCTCCTTGTGTTCGCTTTTGAGCTTCCATCCGTCGCGACTCGGGTTCGTAGCATCGTCAAAGATCTTGATGGTTTCTTCGAAAACTTTCGCCGTGTGCTCGAAAGCTGCGGTGTACTGTAAAAGTTGGTTTGGAAACTCAATTTTTACTTCAAAACGTTAATGAAAGATGGAACGTACCGCGGGATCATTGACCGTATCGGAGACACCAAGAATAGTAGCGGACATGCTGAAAAAACGACAGAACTAAGTAGAGGCCTCTGATTGCCGCGTTTTATCTGTCGAGTTATCAAGAATTATCAGCGAACGACGCTAGACTACCTTCGCTTTACTGATGTTTTGTGGCCCCAACCGGTTCGATGCCCTACAGATTGACATGTTTCAAGTCCTAAAAAGCAATATTGAAAAACAACTGAAAAGAATTTTTTTAAAAAAACGGCTTCAAAAAAATTTCGAGTCAAAAAGGAAACAATTTTTTTGAAAAAAAGGTTTAAGATTAAGAAAAAAAGGATCAATTTTTCGTTTTTTTATATGCAGTGTACAATTTGATTCCGCGAAATGCAAAATACCCGTTAGAGAAACGAAAAGATCACTAGATTTTGGAGTGTCAGAGATCATTTTGCATTTCGCGGAATCAAATTGAACACGGCAATAACTTTCGATAAAGTCGAAATTTGAACTTGCAAATTTGATTGACCTGCTCGTGTAGACAGCCGCTAGATCAAATATAAAGTTTGAGCAGTGCAAATCATTTTTTTGAGAAAACTCTTCTTCAGCGATTCCTTCGAAGAGAATGCGGCTGGCGGTGTTGGGCGAGAGTCTTTTGTCGCGTCATTTCGTCACTCTGCTGAACGAAGAACATCCGGCTGTGGAAATCAAGCTTTGGACGTTTTTCCCTACCGTTCGTACAGGTTATCAGTTTTTCGAAGAAACGGATTTTTTCAAATTCGAACCTTCAACACTCAGAATTCGAATGTGTCCCAGTGTGCTTCAAATATTATGGCCCTGAGCAATTGTGTGACGCTTTGCGAGAAATTGACATTGTAAGACTGATTTTATTTTTCAAATAATATAATCCTCTCAGAAATGGGTGTGTCGGAGTTTGAAGACGGTGATATGATAATCACATAGGAGAGAGTTTTTCAGTTAAAATGAAGCCAAGAGCGACTGCTACTCTTAGCTGTCCCAAAAGCGTGTCTGAAAAGTCTCAGCAAGAAATATTGACAGGCGATCAATTTTCACGAGTACTTGGATTTATCGTTGGCTCCGAACTCTGAAGAGCTCCAAAGGCACAACGTCGAATGTACGATCCTTGCTTTTCTTGAAGTATTAAACGAAAAATTTAGTCGTGAGGTCACTGATTTTTCGTCTGCGGGTCCCGTTCATCCACATTTCTACCTGCTTTTTACAATGCTCCACACGGTGGCCTAATGGGAATGAGCCGGAGTCCGATCCTCGAAAGTATGAGAGCCAGTGGCCTTTTCCGGTAATTAAAATACTTTTTATCTTTTTTTAAAAATAACTTCAGGAATACTGTCGATCAAAATTTGAAGCGGAAATGCTCGTGAAGTCTTTTGAGCGCGACGCATTCGTTCTGTGAGTTTGTTTTCCACTCCGCAGAACTAGCAAATATTCTGATGTTGACTTTTTTGAAGTAACTTAAAAAATAAAATAATTCGAGCAGATGTTTCAAGTAAATGATCTACCTTTTTAACATGAACTTTTTTAGCAGTCTTGAGGCTGATAGAGACTTCAAAGACGTAGTTTGGTGAAATTCACCAAGAGGAGCAGAAGATATGGAGAGAAACATTTTTCCCGGAAATTGAACAAAATCTTTCAAAGAATCACTCGTGTAAGTGAGCTTCGCTGCGGGGCTCACATTATCCTACAGATTTTAGTGTGACCGTCCTGAAGCGAAGACAGAGACCCTCGTTATAAAGACTCAGCAAGAGACTTCAAGCAGGACTTAAAAGATCAGCTGAATTTTAGAAGAGCCGTGCCAGTTTACGGCGAGGGCGATGACTCATCTATCATAACCGACCTAATCCGCTTGGCCAACGATTCTTGCATCCCGCTTGTCGGCGATGGTGACGGCGTTATGCAGGTAAATGGCTTCTGAAGGCGTTCCAAAGTCATTCCGAAAAAGATGTCCTACGTACGGAACAGTGCTACAGCAGTGTGGCTGGCGACTTGTCGTCTTCTTTCCCTCACCACCTCCTTCGATCCCAACGCCACCTGCTCGGATCTTTCTGAGCTTCTCAGCTTCGACTCCGGCAATCAAAGTTGATCTAATATTTTTTTTTCTAAATCATAGATCCTGTTTCTAGGCGCGTCCATCAACGCATCGCCGCAAAAAATCAAGTTGAACAGCAGTTTTCAAGAATTGGATGGGGTGCTCATCGGTTATTTTTTATTCGAAATTTTTCGTTTAGTTCAACATGGACGTTGAAAAAAAACTGGGGGCATCTGCAAATAAACGATTCAACTCCCTCAGCTCGTCTGTCACAGAAGAAGTGGAATTACTTCCTCTTGTTTTTTTTTTATAATTGTAAATCTTCAAGTTCAATCATCACATCAATGAATTCGATGGCCTTTACACATCTAGTTTAAGTGTTGACGAGAAACCGCTTGCTCCGATCTTCGAAGTATGTTGTTCCTTCCATTTTGACAATTGTTCATCAATTTTCAGATCATCTTGATTGCCGATGACACTCCGAAAAAGTGTGTACACAAAACATTTGCTCCTTTTCTCTTCGTGAGTCAATTTTCTCATTTCTAACTACATTGCCAGCTTTTGAGAACGGAAAACGCCTCGGATCGCAGATAGTCCTTCCGTTCCTTCCAGTTTATTACATATACAGCCTACTCTGTTTTTTGCTCGTCTTCCTGACAAAATTCTTCCACTTCAAATTTGTTTCACAGGTAAAAATACGTTCAATGCTTCTTCCAACTTAACATTTGCAGATGCCTCATCCGTCCTTTCTTTATGTGTATTTCCGCCATTGGACCTTTTTCAATACCAACAAAAGCTTGTTATACTTGAACTACAAGCCGAAGCATGACTACCAGGTTTGGGAGGCAAATAGTCTAGTAATTTTTTCGAAAAAATCTATTCAGGAAGGCATCACGAAATCTTCTTCGTACTACAGGCATATGAGATCCGATGAGATAACTAAGTTTTCTTGGGAAAATTCAATGTCGCACTAATTCCTTTTTTTCTTTGCTGTGATATAAAATTATTATTATTACTAACTCTGCCTGACTAATAAAATTTCTTATTCGTTTCAAACGACTTCAAGAAGTTTAAAGAAGCAAATTGAAAAGAGGATTAAAATTTACATAAAAAAATTATTTTTACAAAAAGAATTTTTATTTTTCGAAAAAAATTCGCTTGACTCGTGTGGTATACTGTTTAGTACGCAAGTCAACAAAGACTACGCGCAAAGTTGAAGTTTAAAGTTTTTCTCTTTTTAAACTATGAAACGAATTTATACAGTTAATTTACTCAGAAAGTTGTAAAAAAAATAGTGTAAATTCCACAATTTTTTTGCATGAAACTTTTTAGTAGATAATGGTAGACTTGGTAGATGGATGTGAAAATTACCAAACGAAAATTTTGTAGCTTTTACTCGTTATTTCCATCAAGCTTTGGAAGCCTTAATTTCGAGAATCCAACTGCATAAACAGTTAGTCTTTTCCGCCATTTCAGAAAAGTGGATCTCTTTTTTTTTCATACGTCGCGAGGTTATATACGCTTTCGCTTTTATGTGGTTTACGAAAAAGAAAAGTTTGAACTGTTTTTTATAAATTTTTTGCTCGTGTTATAATACGTTATAGGTAATATTATCAAAACCACGTCAAAAAGAAAAAAAAAATTAGAAACGTGTTCCTGTTTTCCTTTCATTATATATAAAATCTTACTTCCGTCTTAGGGCTCATCAATAAGTAGTATAATCGTGACTGTTCCAAAGATTTTTTCCCGTGTTTACAGGTGTATAATGGCAGACTGTGATCATGAAATGATCGAACACGACGACATGGTGGAGGTTAGTTCGAAAAAAAAAAATAAAAGTTACCGGAGGAAACCCATTCAAGGTCTGCTCGGTAAACGGTCGCCGTGCTATTTCTTCTGGCGTACCATCTCTCGACGGAAGCATTGATTCTGGAGATGAACGGGCGCTGTCCGACTCCGACATCGCTCATGCAGCTCGTATAAATGTGAGTTAGTTCAAGATTTTTTTTTCTCAACTACTTTTGTATTTCGAGGTTATGATTCATTATATTTACATTCACATTTATATAGTAAATGAAAATGGAATTGTAAATGATAGGGTTTGAAAAATTTTTAATGACGAGAAAATTTCAACCAGGTTATTTCATCGTTAGAATAGCTTTTTAAAGTTTTTCGAAAATTAAAAAAACAAAATCAGAGTTCCTGTGTAAGAAAAACGGTCGGAGGGTAAAAAAATTTGGATAAAATATTGTTCTTAGTGTTTATGAGTTTCTCTGTTGCCCATCAAACAGTTGTTGGAAGAAACTCATCCCAACTCGAGGAAATTTGAGATTTTTAAATCAAAAAAACTTGTTTTTTGTTTTTAGTCATTTATTTTTATTGATCAAGCGGTAAACAAGAACTTTCAAAGTTATAAAGAACAATCGCCATTGGCGAACTAGAAGTCCAAAAGTGTAGTTGATCAAGTTGAAAGCATGGTTTTACGGTCTTTCGGCTCATTTTGCTGCGCGTAGTTCATCCAGTTGCGCCTTAACGAGCTCAAAACACAGCAGATGTTGTGCTGGATCCCGGAAACCGCGCTCTAGGTAGAAGCATCGGAAAGAGAACGACCACTTCGAGTGAAGATTTTACAGGCAAAAATATGAAATTTATTATTCATTATCTTTTTGGTTATAAAACTAAGTTGTACATTTTTTGGTTTCGAGGCACTTTTCGAAGAAGTATATAGGAAAATGATCGAAAAAAAACGGCACTACTAACTACAGCGCGTTTTCAGACAATTGCGACTACCGTGAAAGGTCCTTCATCCGACGATTTGGAAGAAGAATGTCGGCAACAGGACATAACTCGCCGTCTCCATTGCCACGACGAAGAGACTCAGCGGAAACTGACCGAAGATGGCTTCGAAGATCTCCTTGGCACTGGCGCCCTCTTCATGAAGTCTTTGCGATCCCCGGACGACCAAAATTCCGAGAAACCTGTCGATAATCAATGGGTCACCGTAAATGTATCACTATCTGGTGTTTCTGGCCTAATTTCAATTCAAGATCATCGACACACTACGTGGAAAAGATTCACACTCGAACTTGCGATTTCTTCTGGGCTCTAGCATGACGATCGATGGTGAAGATTTTTGCTTGGATTTTGAGAATTTGTGATTTTTTAGCATGGGAAATCGTGATAAAATTGATGAAAGTTGGAGAAATCGTCGTTGTAAAGACGGAGGTTTTTTAAATTATTTTGCTGAATTAAATAATTGTTTATAGGCGCGTCTCGCTTACGGAGAACTCGGGCTGGACGATTTGATAGAGCCAGAAGAAGATCAAGAGTACACGGTTGCCATTAGAAAACTGTTTATATGAACTTGAAATTGTTGAAGATCGAGCTCTTAAAAGTGGAGGACGGTCCTGACGCCGAGATGAGCGTCAGTGAGAAAATAAACCTCGCCGAAATGATCAAAGAACGTGGAAAATTCTACTTCAAACGCGCTGAATACGAGAAAGCTGTTTTTGTTTACAAGCGGTTCGAATATTTTTCATTTGAGATTTTTTCGAAACGGAACTGTTCCATTAGATTTTTTTTCAGCGTTCACGCGATAATTGGTGAATATGAAGCGGATGAGGAAGATGAACTGAGCAGGATCTTGTCCACGTGTTCTTCCAATTTGGCAATTTGCTATGCTCAGGTATTGAAAATTTTTTACCTTATCTGAGTGCTTTGCACTTACTTAAGGATCTGCATCTAGTGCTTTAAACTTAATCGTTAAGCCAAATATTCGAATTTTTCCGAATTTCAAACTTTATTTTTAAGGAAAAAAAGAACATATTTAGTAAATGTATGATTGATTCACCCGACAAAATCACTGGAGAGCGTTTTTAGATGGAAAACTGGCAAGAAGTACTCGAATGGTCAGAGAAAGCGCTAGAATTGTGGGAGGCCAACACAAAGGCGACGTATTGGCATGCCAAGGGTTTGATGCTGAGAAACGACTTGGACGACGCCTTCGAGTGCATTGAGGAAGGCCTGAAACAGTCTGAGAACGACCCCGTACGTCTTCAGCTTCAGTCTTCAGCTTACGATGAGAAGTTTCAGCAGCTCCTCCGACTGCGACGTGAGGTCTTCAGACTGAGTCTCGCAGACAAGGAGATGGAGAAGGAGGTGTGCAAGCGGATGATGAGCGGCCTCAGTGTCGCACCTCCTACGCTCTGGGACAAATTGAAGGGCCATCTGCAATTTCTCAACGAGAACATTGTGATAGCCTCTACAGCTGCCGTTTTCATCGCCATGTTTGCACTATTTCTCTATCAACTTTTTAATCTGTAAGTTGTGACTTTGGTATTTTGTATACTCAGTTCTTCCACAGCTCTATTCGGCATTCCGATTTTTTTTTTCTGTGAACTATATACTATTTCAGAAGACTTTTGAGGCCTTCAAATTCTGTGTGATACAAATCGATCTTCTGTTTTTTTTTGTTTTTGAAAATGATCCTCTGTTCAGACTCAGAATTGTTCGTCCATCACTTTTCCGCTGGTAGCGCTCTCGTCACCAACGTCCAAAACTTATATTCTCTCATTCATAATCGTGTTAATAATAACTTGTCTAAACATCATCATTCTTGTACATTTTTGTGCAGCAACTGAGAACTAGATTTTTTTTTCTTTTGTATACTGCAATGTTCATATTATAGATAGATAATAATTCAACATTTTATTCGTGTGATAAAGATTTATTACTTTTAAAGAATTTAAAATTATTCTCTCTTCCATCTTGTGCTCAAGGCCCAAAGTGTCAAACAGATTGCATTTCATCAATTCATTCGAAAAAGAAAAAAAAACAAGGATAAATTTTATAACGTTCGGGACCATCCTGGGGCTGTGTTTCCGTACTGGGAAACAATTTGAGGCCGCTGTTGCGCGCCTTTTTTACAGATGTAAACGAAATAATGAAAAGAGTCGCCAAACTGTCGAAAGTCGACGGCCCAACGAGATTCCCGGAGTAGCGCTGGAAGGCGGAAGTGAGGCTGTGTGAATGATATAGAAATGAACTTTCCTGAAAGAATGCGCGATAGAAAAAGTCATCACTCAAATTAAGATCAATATTTCACTTTGTTTCGAAGCTTTCATAGTCGTAGTACACATGCTTGAAGATCAAGCAAACTTTCAGTGAGCAAAATTTGCATTAGTCTTTTTTTTTGGCATACGGAAAATTTTAAAATAAATTTTCTCCATATCTTTCCATCATGCACCTCATAGAAGGTCCCAGCAATTTCAGCAGTTTAAAAACCGAAATTAACAAAAATATCAACCCGAAAGCTCAGAAGATATCAAAAAAAATGTGCTTCCACATCTCCGAAAACAAATGATTAGATTCCAGAAAAAAAAAGAAAAGAAAATACTGACCACCAGGTTTCAAGACTCTACAAACAGAGGAGAAAATGTTATCCAATGTCTTGAGAGCTTCATCAGATGGATCCCAAGGGCTCTGAACAAGAAATTCGCTTCACTAAAAAAGAACATTTCCACGCTCAACTTGTTCGCCAACAAGAACCGCTTCGAGAGTTGCTTTTTCGAGGACGACGTCGAAAGACTCGTCATCAAGAGTGCTCAACGAAGTGATGTCGTCGAGGGTCCAGTCCATGGCCGGATACCTCTCTTTTCCGTTGTTGATCAACGTCTTCAAGTGGGATACAACTACTCTTTCATCAATGATTGGACCATGTACCTGAGAATAATCGACGTTTGTGATGTTCTGATATCCGAGGTCGAAAAGTTCCTTTGACATCTTACTCGAGCCGCACCCGATGTGAGCTATTCTGAACACAGAACCTGACAGGAAAAAGATCGAAAGCGGATTGGGAAACTGATACTCTCGAATCAGAACGGTTTTAGTCAGCCATTTTGCGCCTTATTTCTCCTTAGCCTATGTCTTTCGCTCATTTCTTTTTGTAGCCTCGGCTTCAAAACATCCAAACATCTGCCACTATTTACTATTTCAACATGAACTCAATTTTTCGTGAAATTGAGAAATTCGTTAAAAATTTTTCCGAAATATATCCTTTTTATTCGCTGTGCAAAAGTGCAATTCCGTAATCCGAACGGGCTCCAGCCAGTGGCTAACGACACCCTTTTTTAATTAATTAAACGAGTAACCCTGATAAAAAAAAGCGACAAACCTACTCTCCGAACTCAACTCAGGAACGACAATGTGGGCAAAGCTTTTCAATCCGGTCAGCCACTCAAACTCTGTCTCTTTCTGGAATCTTTCGTCCCAGTATTCTTTCCTTGCATATTGCAAATTGCTCTCCATCCTACATATATTCTCATTTAGTGACGCTGAATAAGATGAAATTTGGAAAAAAAAATTTGGAACTACAAAAGTAGATGTAGCAAACAATTTTCGAATGTGACCTCAAAAAGGCTTCTTTCGCATTTTTATCGGAGAAGAATACTTCTTTGTAATAACTTCAGACAGAAAATGAAACAAATGAGAAGAGTGAGGATAAAAAACGTTATTACAATAGAGAACTACCGTGAAGAAGTCTCCGCGGAAAAACTCAACAACATTCAGTAAATGTTTTGGACAAGAGAGCCAAATACAAGAAGTGACAGCTTGGCTAGGGTGAGCCGTACTGGTTGAATGGAAAAACAACAAAAGAACACTTTTACATATATTGATGTACGTGCTTAGAATAGACAAAAAGAGCAAATAAATAAATAAATGATTGATTAACAGAAGAAGATTCGGTAACACAAAACGTCGAGTTTCAAATCGATCAATATGGAGCGAAGCCAGGGCGACGACTGAAAAAAAAACTTGCCATTCAGTAGTTAACTGAATGAAAACTCACCCACGAATACCACGGCCTCTGGGACGGAAACCTCCAGGATAGACGTACTTGATGATGACGCCTCCACGCATTCCCCTGCCACGACCGCGGAAGGGCGGTCGATTTGTAGTCGATATGCCTGGTTTGTTTGTCCGCTTCTGGTTCACCTAAAAATCTCTTTTCAGTCCGTTTTGTTACGAAGAGGGTTCGGAAAATTTTTAAACGGAAAAAAGTAGATAATCATGAAGAAATGACTAGTTAAACTTCAAAATTAACGAAAGAAGTAAATGATTAATTGTTATTTTTCAAAGATTCCAGAAAGCCCTACATTGTTAAATATTTATTGTTAATTGGTGTCTTAACAGCTATTCAGAACCTGTCTGAGTGAAATTAAAAAGGTACTCTAAAAAAAAAGAAAGAAAAAAAGCCTTTTTCCAACTTTCAAATTTCTATTGAATAATTTGGTTGATCGGTGATTCGTATATTCTATGAAAATTTATAACTTTTTTTCAGTTTCTGCACTATAAAGTGTCCGTGTTCTGCATTCAATTTATATATGTGTTTTCGTCTTATCTCAGAAATTGAGTTCCTATACAATAAAGAACTACATTAAGGTCTCAAACCAACTTTGATTTGTCTTCCACGAAGAAGGCTATCGGTCATAGCCAGAGCGTTTTGCATGCCTTCTCGATCGGCGAATTCGACATAGGCGAAGCTGGAAAATGGATACTTTGAACTTGATTAAATGTTCGATACATCGATTAAGAATATTTCACCTCGGTGGCTTCCTCAATAAACTAATATTGAGTTCAAAGGGTTCGATAATAATTGATCCTTCACTAACATTACAATCAAGCGAACGTCTCAAAAAATTAAAAATTACCCTTTTGGATGTCCAGAAAACTTATCGCAGAGGATTGTCACGCGAGAGACCGATCCGCACCCGTGGAAATGCTGCTCGATATCTTCCGCAGTAGCGCCGTAGTCCACCTGCAAAATGAATTATCGTAAATAAAAATTAATATCTTCGAAAGAAGATGAAAATAGAGCAGTAGAAAACTACTTACATTCCCGACGTACACCGATTTGGCATCGGCCTCAGCTTTTTCTTCTGCAGTGAGAACTGTTGGATTCGACTGAGTAGTCGAAGTTAAACTCATGTGTCCCTGAAAATATACCCCAATAAGGAAACAAAACGATTAGAAAAACCACTAGTTCGCTCTGAATGGCTTTCAGTTTTTTCTGCTCTTCTTCTATTTCAGCCATCTGTTCCTCGATTGCGGAGAGATCCTAAATGTACAAAAAAATTTTTAACATATCAATGTCTTTTCAAATGTTTTTGGCATTCGAAAGCTCTTTCTGTTTCAATAAAGAATACCTGAAAAAATTTAAAAAAAAAGAAAAATATATGCAACCAGGCTAGAAGGCGCAAGAGAACTCTTGTTGTTCGAATAAAGAGAGACTGAGAACTTTTAGCAGTTTTCAACATGTATGAATTTATATCGAAATAATTTGGATACGAAATTTATAACTCAAAAAATTAGCACTACAAACCGTATCATCCTCGGTCATTTCCGTCAGCTCTCCGGAAAGGAGATCCTCTTCAGTGATACGAGGACTCTCGCCAATCTCTCCCATCTTAAAAGATATAATTGTGAAAACTTCCAAGATGAGGAAAACGAAAAAGTAAAGATTTCCAAGTATTTTCAACTCAGATTTCGAAAAAGGACGATCTTATGAAAGATATTGAGCGTGTGGGCAAATCGCAAATTCGGATCAGGAATTTAAACATGAATGGGATAAACGGCGCATAGTCTAAACATACCTAAATCAACAACAAAAAGTGCAGAGAGAATGGAATAAGAAAAAATGCGAGTGAACGCTTTGCGAAAGAAATTCGACGCTCTGTGCCATTGGAGCGCAAATTCCTCAGGCGCCAAATTATAGAACCTCGCGGGAATCTACCCATGCCGCTTTTCTTTCTTTTTTGTTAATTTCTTTCATTTGTTTCCTGTTTTTGTTCTGTGTACCTTTCTTTTAAAACTTGCAAACTAGCGCCGTTTGCGGTTGCTGTTCTTTTTTCTTTCGAGAAATTTTCGTTTCGTATGGAATCTTATTTCTGAGGAAATCGATTTTCTAGAAAGTGTTAAGAAAATGCCACGAGAAAGTAGAAGAAGCAAGGCAACTGCGAAGAAAAGTGAAGAAGCTAGAGAGGAATCAAGCTCACCAACAACGAAGAGGAAAAAAGTGGAAATTCCTAAAGATGACAGCTTTGAAACGTCGAGACCGAGCAGTACAGCAGCCGATCCTACTGTTACTTCTGACGGAGAAGACGATGGTTCAGACAGCAGCGAAAGCAGTGAAGACGAAGCACCGGTGAGTATTATTTTTTCCCAATAACTCGACAAAGGTTTATTTTTAAATCAATACAAAATACAAAATATATTTTGGAATTTTTTTTCACTGATTTTAAAACTCCGTTTACGAAATAGGTTCCACTGATGGTTACTCAAAGAAATAAAAGATCGACTGCGGGAAACAAGATGGCCTCTTTGCTCTCAACGGCCGATCACGAGGACGAGTTTTATAAAACAGCCTATGGAGGATTCGAAGAGGTTCCATCTTTTTTTTTATTTTAAAGTTCTTTATTTTTTCAGAATAATGAAATAGATAAGGAATACGAGTCACCTCCAAGTTCGGATGAAGACGAGGTCGATTCTGACTTTGACAAGCCAGAGGACGAAGAAGAACCTTCTGCTGCAGGCGACGGAGAGGAGGAGCGACCGAGAAAGAAGAGGAAGATTTTCAAGGTATTATTCACCCCTGACGAAGTTTTTGATTTCATAAGATTTGTGTTTTTTTAATGACGAAAAGTGATTTTTTTTAAAATGGAAATTCGTGATTTATTCCAAAATTTTTGAATTCCAAAGTTATCTCTTAGTAGTTGAATGTGCGGAAATGGAGCTAAGTTTCGTTTTTTTTTTCTCAGAACCACATTAAATAAAAGAAGCGTTTTGTGGAAAAAAATAACTTCAAAAAAAAAGAATAAAATGAGTTGAAGAACTTTACGAAAAAAAAAAAAAAGTTATTCTTCAATGAGCATTGAGAAAAGTGTGAGATTACAGGAGCCGAAGCGGGGGCTGACGGCCGACGACGTTTTGGCAAAGAACAAAAAATGGGCGATGGCGCGGTTGGCGGGGAACATGGTGGCGCCGAACACGGTCGACGAGAAAACTCAGGAGAAAATGCTCAAAGAGGCTGAGCAGACCGAAAAAATCAACGTCGAATCTCTTCGCAGGTGCTCTTTTTTAAACCTTAAATCCAGTAACCGGGATTGAAACGTAATTGAACGCCAAAAACTGGATTGAAACCTTTTTGTTAGAAGTTTTCATCTTGCCTTATTTTTCTTTCCAGATTTTCTAAAGATAGAAACGCTTCAAGTTACATATAAGTGAAATAATTTAATAATTGATGATGAAAGAATGCATTGTGAAGGCTGTATGACAACTTCTCTATAAGTCTTCACGAACCCTCTGTTTTTGAAAGATTCCACTGTACTGCCCCTGTTATGCCTCATTTTTCAAACATTGTTAAAAATACTTTGGAAATCTTTTTTTTCAGATACGAAGAGTTTGAGTTAGAAAAGAAGAAACGACGGGAAAAAGGTGGGACTCGAATATTGCCACATCCTCGAATCATCGAGAAAATAACGCAAGAAGGCACGACGTTAACCATTCCCGAGATTAAGGTTTTTTTTTTCTCACTTGTACTTAGCTCGAAAATTCGGCAGTAATTTACACTAAAAGAAACGGATTGAAGTCAATTGTTCCGTCAAGTTTCCCAAAATCATTTTTGTGGAAAATTTCACTCTATATTTTTGTGTTACTTCCAATGGTCATCATTGTCATGCAGTTTTTTTCTCTCCTTTTAAACTTTCTATCTCTTTTTTGTTGCATGGCGAGTTAACTGATTTTTCGAGACGTTTTTTTTTTCTCGAATTAGGATGTTTCCTGTATTTCTCGTCATTAGAACTCATGTTCACAATAACACCTATGTTCTATACAAGTACAAACAATTATTTTTCGAGGAAAATAGTAATAGATGTTTTTGGGTTAGACAATTTTTGCCTTATGTAAAAAAATTTATTCGCCGAGGAAGAATATTTTTCAGTTTTGAAAATGCTCTTGAAAAATACCTATCATCTTTTTTTCGAAATTCAACCTCTATAAAGGTATGATAAGTCTCTTTCGTTTTTTTGAAAAAAATATCGTCAAAAAGTGATTTTCACTCTGCTAAGGGATGTCTTAAGAGACTTTATTGGTCAAAAATTTTTTCAGTATTCTTTGTGGTAGAAAAAAAATCTATAGATTTAGTCACACATTTTTTTCTGTGTTGATAATGAGCACAAAAAAAAAAAATATATATTTGATTATTTTTTGAAAAAAAACTTTGCAGTTTTTTTCTTGAAATTTAAGGGCGAAAAGGCCGGCACATTTTTTTTTTATCCGGCCACTTTGGTTTTTGCGATGTCTAGCAGTAGATAGTACTTGCTAGACACCATTTCCGTCTGTAAAATTTCTTGAATCTTTTGAATTGCCGTTTACAGTTCTTGGAGGCCCGAAAGGGAATAGACATATTTAGCAACTGGAGCCTTAACTCTTACCTGGAATTCCCTTTATAAGAGCTTCTCATAGCCTAAGTTGCAATTAGTTTTCTGAGTTTTCTTGCTTACGATCTTATATAAATTCATACTCAAGGATATTTTTAGAGAATTAAAGTATGTTTGGCAAAACTTTCTCTTTCCTCAGTTTTTCCCCCGTCCCTTATCTTCTCATTTTTTCGATGAGTCACGGACCATTTGATAAATTGAAGCGGCTCGGCGGCCTTTTGTCCGCTAGACGAACGTTTTCTGCTTTTCTAAATATCAAGCCCATCACCTTCTGATATTTCAAACGTTTTTTTGTGTTTCCGCGCTCGGCGGACGATGTATCATGAGATGAGCGCTCAAAAAAGGCTCACGATTTCACAAAAAAAGAGTCCAAGGCGAAAAACTCTCAGAAGAAATTATATCTTGAAGAAATGAAAGGAAAGTTAAAAAATTGTCAGCTCTGCATTTTTTTAATAAATAAATGATTTTACTTAACGGATTTTAAAGTATTTTTTCTTCGAATTATTTTTAATGCTTCACTATTTTTCAAAAAAATTTTTTTCCATACACTTCCCCCATAGAGAGACGTTTCCACTTGAATTTTGAACGGTGAGACGAAAATACAAAAAAAAATACGGTTTTTTTGGGATAAATACACACATTTTGAAAATTATAAAGCATGAGAAATTCCAAGAAAATGATTTAAATTTTTTTGACATATGTACTTTTTTTCAGATTTATTATAGGGAGCAATATATACCTAGTAATTGGGTCTGAAGAGTTTTTTGTTGTTACCAACAATAATTTCTGCAGGAAAAGTTTTTCTGTGTTCTATCACATTATTTCCTCTGCTATATTCAGAAAATACTCGTGAGAATAACCTTTACTTGAGTTTTTGCTCCCAGAAACAACAAAAAATCATTTTTTGTTTACTTTTTCTATTGACATAAGGAAAATTTGCGCGTAAAACTGACACGCAGTCGCTTCCTGTGTGCTCTTCAGGCGGTTAGTTTTTTTCAAATTTCAAATATCGTTTTTTACCTAAGCTATAAGGTAGTTTATAACGGACATTTCATACCTCAAAACTGTTTTCATTGAGGTTTTTGGCATTTATAGGTAACCTTTCTTAAAATTTTCTTCAAGTGCTTTTTTTTTTGAAAAACTCAAAAGTCGCCCAGTTTTCTTTTCCCCTCATAGTTTTTATAAGACTCTTTTAGCGTCTGGATAATAAAAATTTTCTCCTGAATCGTTGCAAAAAAATACATTTTCTAATTTTCTAATTGAAAATACCAATATTTTTGAAGATTACTCATGAATTACTTGAGATTTAGAAGAATGGAGTTGGAAAACGAGAAAATAGTAATGAAAAGGAGGAAGATTCAGACCTTCCCAAACGTTTGGCGTTTGAATCAGAAATTAAGTCGTAGCCAAAAAGAATTAGCAAGGAAAATGTGTGCAGCGATTGAAGTATTCCTTAATTATCAATGCTTGAATTCCTCGAAAAGAGACGGCCTTTTTCTTGCAACTTGTTAATCAATTAGATCTCGGGATTTTTGTTTTTCAGTTCCCAGAGTTAATTCTTCGTAGGCTATTAGTTGGAATCTGAAAAGTCATACCAATTAGTCTGTTTCTGCAATTTATTATGACGAGATAATTGAAAAGAAAAAAAATGAGAGAATTTAATATCCACTGTGAGATTACTGTAAAATTTAATGGCAACATACACCCACCTCCTCTTTTTCCTGCGATTTTGGGCCCGCCTCTTCCATTTTCACAACTTTGTCTTTTTTCTATGTTCTCTTCAGCTAAAAATCTTGACCGACTTGCTGGTTTTCATGCCTCGACCAGTTCTGGGAGATTTTGCTAATGTTATTCGCCATATTTCAAAAATTATTTTTCATGGTCATTTTTTTTTTCTAATCAATAATGTAAATTTGTGAAGGATGAGAAAAGTTTTTTATACTTGAAATGGTTTATAAATAAGAAAAAGTGTGAAACTGAGTTGATTACAATAATTCCATTGAAGTCCAAAGTTGACATTTCAAGTTTCTTACAGCGCCTGGAACATTTTTTTCGAAAACCGTCTGCTTTCTGTAGCGATGAAAGTTTTTTATAGCCTTTCTGAGTTTCTCGCGAAAAGTCTCAAAAGGTTTTTGATGCTTATAATTTTCTTTACTTGCACCGTCCTTTTAGAAGCGTTTAGAGGTTCCTAGTTTGATTTAAGTTTTTTAAAGTTTCCTTTCTTTTTCATTGAATAATGACAGAATTGAATAAGCGCAATGGTAGGATTGAAATCATTCGTTCCTGCAGCCACGAGTTGAACAGTTTTCGGCTCCTTTTTATCGATCAAAACGAAGCGAATGCTATGAAACGGCAATACGTGCTTGGACCTGTAAGAATGCGGGGGTGAGAAGACAATATCGCCGCGTTTCTTTCACACACACACTCGTAATGTTTTTGTGCCGGCCTCTCCTTGTAGCTCTTTCCTATTTTTTTCTCAGCTTTTGTACATTGAAATCATACTTTTTTCAAAGTTCTTTCTTCACCTTTTTTCATCATTCTTATTCCTGCTGCCAGCTTGTTACGTCATACTGTCGCATAAAATCGCACACTTATGTTTTACGGTTCCTAAAAACGACGGCGGCTTGTATAGCTTTCTATTCATAGAATTTGATGTTAGTATCATGAAAAGTTAAAAATAACTATTGATAAAACTTCGGAAAAAGTTGAGTCGAATTTTCTCAGAAATCAAATAGAGTAGGCGTCTGTTAAAAATCATATGAAAATCGTGAGTTTTTTCAGTTTTTCAATTTGAAAGATTATCACATAACTCGTGATTAACGTGAGAGCTGAGTTCATCAAAATTAGGAAAACAAACTCTAGTTTTCAGTTTTTTAGTTTTTTCTTATTTTGAGTGCAAACGAAACATTATTGAATTCTGATGACCTTTCTCAGTATCATCCTGGTATTTTTTTTTTGCCTCAAAAGTACTTTGACCTTAGTGGGCTCAAAGCTCTTTAGAATGTTGCCGGTAGAACATTTTGGATCATTTTCCAGGTTTTCCGCCGAGAAAAGCCTCGCGAAAAGCTTTTGTGTGCAGTGACCGGACGACCGGCGCGCTACAAAGACCCCGTGACGCAGCTGCCGTACTCGACGCCGTACGCGTTCAAAGTGATCCGCGACAAGTACCACAAGTTCCTGAAGACGACGCAAATGGAAAAGCCGGCAGTGGCCGATTACCTGCGACGTTGGGAGAGGCTGCCTCCGCCGGCGCCGCCCTCGCCGCATCCGACGACGGAGACCGACGTCGCGATGCCTACCTCCTGCATGGAGATGGACCATCGCGAGGCTGCGGCGCCGCCCCCGGCCGAGCCTTCAGCCCCTGCTTCTACCGCCGTTGTTTGAATCTCTTCTTTTTACATTTTTATATTTTCTACACTTGTCCGATTTTTGAAGCCAACAAGAATAAGGTTCGTTTTTGAATTTTTCTTTGTGCCAAATAAACACAACTGGATTCGAATTAGTTATATTTTCTGAAATTACCAGGCCAATAAGCTACGGTTTTTTTTCATTCTACAACGAGATCATATTAAAGTGAAGAAAAGATCTCCGCGTATCAATAGCCTTTCTAAAATTACTGATAACGATAGTACTGGATTTTAAGGTTTATTAGCGTTGTTAACGCTTCACAATGATAACGGGGACGTAAATAACTTCGTTTTTTCCTCGCATTTTGTTCTGGGCACTATTTGATTAGGAGAAAATTTAGGAAAGTTTCAATTTTTTTAATTTTTGCTGTATATTTTAATTTTTGTTTCATGCTGTTTTTTCATTTGAACGGTTTCAGAAATTACGAAGTTCATTCAATAAATTTTTTAAAATTTTCCGGTCTGCTTTTTCTCTTATCAGTGATGTCGAAGTCATTGTTTCATATCTATACTCTCCGTTTAATGTTTTTTTTGTGTGATTTCGTTCTTGTGCCTATTTCGCTTCTACGTTCGTAGATTTTCGTGTCGTTTTTTTTCAGAAACTTTATCATTATTTTTTCTTTCAGAAGACTTTTTCTCCACTTGGTGTATCTGGCCGCATAACCGACGAGCAAGCATGACGAAGGCAGCTGAAGAAAACGTGAACCTCGTCAATGGGGTGCAGAACTCCCGCGTTGGGGCCAATGGCGAGCCTTCGGAGCCGGAGACGTTCTGGAAGTTCCTCTACAACCGAGAGCGCGGCACTGTGCTCGGCCGCAACCTCACTTCCTGGGTTCAAATCACACTGTTCTACACTGTCTTCTACATCCTTCTCGCTGGTTTCTTCATCGCCTGCTTGGCTCTCTTCTTGCGCACCCTCGATCCGAAAGTGCCGCGTTTCTACGGCCCGGGCACAATCATCGGCGTGAACCCAGGCGTTGGATATCAGCCATGGCTCAAGGAAAACCCAGACGCGACGCTCATCAAGTTCAACCTTCGCGACCCTGCCTCCTGGAGCCCCTACGTCAACCAGCTCAACTCCTACCTCGGCAAGTACAACAATTCGGAGGACACCAGAGAGTGCTTGGGAGCCGACGATACCAACTCGCAGCTGGAGGAAGGCAACGAGCTGCCGTGCCGCTTCGACCTCGAACCCTTCGAGAAAGGCCTCTGCAGCGCGAAGAACGAGTACGGCTACAAGGCCGGTTCCCCTTGCGTCGTCGTTTCCCTGAACCGCTTGATCGGCTGGCGTCCAGTCGACTATCCCAAGGACTCGGTCCCGGCCGACGTCGCCGACCGCTACACGCCTGGATCGATCACCATCAACTGCAAGGGCGCCAATCACGTTGATGCGGTTCGTTCTTTTCCATCATAAAGCGAACAATTGACAAGCCTCGCAGAGAAGCTTAATGAACACAAGTTAGGAAATTGAGAAAAAAAAAAAATTAAGAAACGTACAGATATTCATTCAGATTTTTCACCAATCATTTTTTTTGCAGTGTTAAAATAGAAAATTTCTAAGATATAACTTTGAAATGAGGCAATTTTAACCTATTGACTTGAAAGTACGCCAATTTAAGTATTTGAACATTTATTTCACTCTTTACTTCACTACATAGAATAAGGTGAAATACAGTTTAAGCGACATAACTTGAGCAAGATTTATATCAGAATTTTTTCTAGTATTTTGACACTCTGTAGTTTTATCTTCAACCTCAATGAACGGCGTTTGGGATCGTGCTATTTCGTGAGATTTCTTTTTTTTTGCACTCTGAGAAATTTTCTCTGGGAGCTTCTAATACTTTCTACCTTTGGTGATAAGAACTCAGAATAAATTATGGAAATCATATTATTCAAAGTCTTTCGTTCGGAATTGTTCCAAATAAAAATTGTCAATGTACAGGAGCACATCGGCCGCGTGAAGTACCTTCCGTCGGCGGGAATCGATGGCCGCTTCTATCCGTACGTCTTCACGCAAGGCTACCAGCAGCCCATCGCAATGGTCAAGTTCGAGTCTCTGCCGCGCAACAAACTGGTGATCGTCGAGTGCCGCGCCTACGCCCTCAACATCGAGCACGACGTCTCCACTCGCCTTGGCATGGTCTACTTCGAGCTTTTCGTCGAGGACAAGCCCGTCGTCAAGGCCGAGCTCTAGAAAGTCGGTTTCTTTTCACCATATAAACAGAGTCCATTTTATAGTTTTCTTGGCACAATCCTATGAGACCATATCATCTCTCAAGTTATATTATTTTTTCAACTTAGCAAATTGCAGATTTTCTATTAACGTTGATAATTTATGAAATGCATTTCTGTCTTTTTTAACTGTTCTGTGGGCATGATATTATTTTTTTTAAATTAGAATCAAAATTTTTGTTATGGAGATGCACCAAAGTGATTTAGGAAAAAAAAAACTCATACTCCATACTTTACATAGACTAAACCAGAAACTTGGAAGAGAAGATGTCAGCTAAAGTTTCACATTTGATCAGAAAATTAAACTGCGCAAAAAAATCATTTGCTATCGGCAGTTGAATTTTTTTAGGTCTTTATTATTTTTTTACTTCTTTATTACTTCTTTATTATTTTTTTGCTCGACTAAACCGGAGGAAAAAAACGCATTTCTGTAAACCTTTTGTCAAGCTGTGATTAAAGCTCAAAGCTTTGGAAAAGATTTTTAGAAGATTTCTTGATCATAATGAATAATGTTTGATATTATTATTTCATTATTAATTTTGGTTAGGAAGTTCAAAAGTTTATGAGTTGGTTTCAATTCAATTTATTTATTTTTTTCGCAACATCGAGATGGTTTGATTCAAAACATTTTTTTTCTCACTAAGTCAGTTTAGTTTGAATTTTTAAATTTTCTATGAATGTGTCCAAGTACTTTTTAAAGGTCTAAGTATCCTTTACGCCACTTTCTGTGCAAAAAAACTTGAACCTTCATATAAAAAGTCAGAAAAACCTTTTAAAAACTCACATCTTCTTCTATTTTCTTTGAAAAACATTCAAAAAATAAATATTTTTTTTTATATTTTCAGGCGCAATCGCTCGCCGGATCTTCCCTCTGCTTCCCGTCCTCTTGTAATATGCTCATTGTTTATGTGTTCCCATTTCCAATCAGCTGTTTTTGTTCGGTTTCAGTATATTCCGTTTTTTCTATTGCATTTAGAAGTTTTCACAGATTATGTTAATTTTTGCATTTTTCAGAAGTCTCTTAAATGCAGAGTTAGAAGAAAAATCAGAAGTTTAGAAAGTTAGACCAGTTTTATTTTACTGCCAGTATCATCGACGAAAACGCTTGCACCTTGAGATTTGACGTTCCTCGTGAAATTCCATTCATTTCCATTTAGCCCTCGTCAATCTTTTGAAAATGGATTCATTTTTCAGTTCCTACCGCATTCATGAAGGCTTTCTGTGCGGGAGTGTGTTTCCCCGTTCGCTATGTTATCTACTCCCATTTCTTTCTTCTTTTTTTCGCGTTTTATGTTGTTTTTGATGAATGATTCACGAATCAAAGACGAACTCGTCTTGCAGAACAGCACGACTCAATAAGCCCCAATTGTGAGGAGAATTCGGTCTTTTGCCGTTTTCTTCCCAAAAATTTTCGGATTTCCAGCTGCTTGTTTTCGAGTCCTCAAATGTTCGACGAGTTCATCTTCTACTCACAGAAAGTCCTTTTTTTGATTCTACTGTTTGCAAAGATTACTTGCGGATGGCTATCTATTCTTTAATATGAGATCTCGTTTTGAAGAATCCTGTCAGAACACGGAAACTATCAGGAGCCATCCATGGGTTTTATTGCGCAGCTTTACCTACCGGCTTTACGTCTTCAAAATTTACAGAAATTACGCCAAATACTTTTTAATTTTCAACGCTTTAATCCGCGTGCAATTTCTTCTATTCGGTTTTTAAATCGTATCCCTTTATCTCCAGGATTAGTTTCAAGTTTTTGTTTGAGTTTTTATCTTCTCAGTTTAGTTCAATTTTCGCTCTCATTTTTTAACCATGCACATTTTTATATTTCGGTAAATAATAAACATTTTCGCGAAGGTCATTTTTTACTTTTCTATAATATCGTTTTTTGCGATTCATCTGAATATTTTTGTTGGTTTTCGTTTCGGGAGAGTTCAGAAAACAACAGCGTTCAATTTTGGAACTGATATCCCGCCATGAACTCATTCTAGTAAAAATTAAATCGGGGTTTTTGTTTTTCTTGACGTCCTGAGATTGACTGACATGTAAAAAAAACCTGGCTTCTTGATTTTAATTTTTCAAAAACATTTCAATAGGGTGTAATCATATTCCACCTTCAAGGGGGAAAAACATCGTTTTTTTTTTCAGATTTTTGCACACGGATTGAAGTTTTTTGAAAGAAGTTTTTTTTTGTTGGGTTACATCAAGAATCGGTGATTGAACAGATGACCTGGCGGCGATGACGGCGACGTTGCAGTCGTTGACGACGCTAGACGGAGCGGCGACGTCGTCTTCTGAAGACGTGATGTCCTCCTGCGGGAGTCGGGACCGTATCAAGGCTCTCAACGACCGGAAGTTCCTCTTTCTCTCCTCCGTAAGTTACATCGGAGGAGTTCCCGCATTGGATGTTTAGGTGACGCGACCGGACTACCGTAGCGTGAGAGACCGCAGTAGTCCTTCGCCGGACGACCTCCGCCAAATCGACACGGCCAGGTCGGAGCCCGCTGAGTGCGCAGCACTTTCCGCGCACAGAGAAGATGGGTTAGCAACCTTTTTAAAAGAAAATTCAATTCTTTTCAAAAATAAAATTAAAAATAAAGTTCAAATAAAATAAATAAACGAGCAAAAAAGAATGACGAAAAACTTTAGATTTCCAAAATTTTTTGAAGGCAGAAAAAAGTTTGCTTGAAGTGAAAAATTATTTTGGTTTCAAAGGGAACTGAGATAAGGTGGAAAAAGTCTCAACTTTTTTGAAATTTCGCTGAAAGAAAATTATTTTCATTTTTTGATGAATTATTGAGTGTGAGGTCATGTCTTGAACAAAAGGGCACATGCAAATTTCGAAGTCTGGTGGCCATTTCTGTTTCGTCGAAAAGGAAAAAGAAATTTTAAAGATGGCGGTAAAAGCTCGAAAAAAAGTATCCCTCAAATTTATCATTTTTTGCGATTGGCATTCATAACTTTCTGCTGTGTTCTTAGGTGTCCCTTTTTTTTCCCCTTTTGAAATAGTATTGCTGAGAAACAAAAGTTTTTCATTGAATATTCCCCTTTACTCGCTTCCATCCGCTGAAACATTCGGGAGAAAAATGAGCGAAAAGCAACAGTTTCTTGTTTTGTTTTATGGAAAAATTTGAAAATGAATTTTCGTTCTTTCCTAGAAAGCTTTGAGGATGTTCGTTAAAAAGTTGGGGATGGTAATTATTGAAATTGATTTAAATTTATAGAGATCGAGTAACTTTTCCTTCAGGAGAATCGGTCCGAAACATAATTTTACAAATTACTTCAAACTATCAATTTCTACTATCGAATTCAGGCGAAACTGCGCGATGACGTCATCAGAAGCGAGTTCCTTGGATCTGGACCTGGACGAACAGCCGCGCTGCTCTTCTCTGCCCATCTGCGTCGACTACGGAGTTGCTCCGAAAGCGCAGTTCGACGAGGACGAAGACTTCAGAGAACAGCAGGAAAACCTCGAAAAATCTCTTCTCGAAGATTTAACGCTGTCCTCATCGTCGCATAGTGATAATGTGAAGAACGACGACGTCCCCTCGTCTGTGGAAAACTGCGATCCCGGCGCTCAGATGAGAATTTCGCATACCGGATCTCCAGAAGGTTTTGGATCTTTGCCAAAAGTCGCCAGTCAACCTGATAGCGAACCCAAAAAAGTTGAATCGCCTGAAAAAATTGATGAGAAACAAGAAAAGGAAGAAACTATCACAATTTCCGACCTTCCAAAGATTGTAACAGATGAGCTGGACGAGGTGGAGAAGCGTTTTGGATCCCCGAAAAGGGCTTTTCGAGCGATTGTCGCCGAAGACACGCTGGGAAGCGAAGACGAGGACGAAGCCGAGGAGAAACACAAGCCGCTGCCCCAGCACAAGAGATTCGTCGACGAGCAGCTCCATTTGTGGCACACCGACTCGCAACCCAACAACGTCGTCCTGACGTCTTCTTCTGTCGACGTGCATCGCGCCCACAGCGCCAACCAAATCGACGACGCCTCCTGTATTCCCGATTTCCAACAACTCCATCCTCCTGTCAAGTTTGTTTTTTTTTTTTCATTTTCTTCTGTTTTTCTTCGAGTTTGTATCAAAGTTCGCAACTGAACCAAATTTTTCGTTCAGTACTTTCAAGTTGAAGAACTCTGGGAAGTAAGGGAGCGCGAGAGTTTCTTGGCATGAGTACTTGAAACTTTGAAACTTTATTCAGTCTTCAGAGAAGGTACTCTGCTGAATCATGGAATATTTGAAGAGTTGTTTGTCGGTTTGCGAAACTGTCGTTGATCAAACGTAGACGGCGCGTAGAGCATCTCGTCTTTCTTGTGATAGTAGTAGACGATTTTCGAGCGTTTCCGACGATCACTGCTTCTCCATGTAGGAACAGTACGGCGCCCAGCTTGTCCAGGGCTGACGGGCGTCGGATTAAATCTCAGACGAGAGCGGAAATGAAGACCGACCACTCGGGTGGTAGAAATGAGATAATATGAGTACCCGCAGCAAAAAAATTCTGATTTTTTTGAGGCTTTTATTTATTTTTTTAGGAGAGATTATTCATGTTTCAAAGGCATAAATGGAATATAAAATAAATGAAGCTGCATTTGAGATGAAAATAAAAAGATATAGGGAATTTTTTTATTACAAGAAAGGCCCTCTCGGAGCTTTTTCCAATCCGAGCTGTCAAGTCCCAGTTTGTCGGTTCCTTTTCTAAACTCAGGAGTTTGCGTAAGAAAAAAAATTTTTTTTTGGCTCTGAGGCTCCTACTAAAATAGATTTCTTTTTAAAAATCAAATACTCAAAACCAGCAATAATGTGTAGAACGATGGAAAGCGCCGAATTGAAGGTTCTCGATTGCGAGCGTCTCGAGCACGCCGGAACATCGTCGTTCTGCCGACGACGCCGAGACGGACGACGTCCTGCAGCAGTCTCTGGTGCAGCTCGAACGGCAACTCCGCATCTCCGACGTCCGTTGCACACGTCTCGAACGCATCTGCCAGTTCCAGCAGGTGACATTTCAAATATCTTGAATGTATAGTCTGTGTACCACGACTTGGAATTTCACGGAACGACATTCCGCGGCTTTGCGAACCTTGGTCGCGTTTTATTTATTTATTTATTTTTTTAAGGTACTCTACTTTCATGTGCTCCCACAGCAATAACAATCAATTGAAAACGTTACTTAGATTCGAAAGACGCTTCGCGAACACACGCAGCGGAACAGCGGAATATCGTTCGGTGAAACTTCAAGTCATGGCACACAGACTATAGCATGGGAAATAGAGTATTAAATTGCGATTGAAAGTAGCGAGGAACCTTGATTCATCCATCGGAATTCCCCTGTAAAGCGTATATATCGCGAGGAAACAGTATGTCTCTAGAAAGCACGCACAAAAAACCACCGAACTACCTATTTGAATAAATCGAGAATTTTGATATCATAGTCCTTTTTCACTTTTCCAAAAACTGTTGGAAGAGGTTTTCAGCGTTTCCATAATTCTATCAAATCGTCATTTCCAACTTCGCTAACCCCAGTCCGAGTTGTTGAGTTAAGTATTTTACGACGCAAGCAATTTAACTTCCTTGACCTATATTTTCTGGTTTCGGTTACAAGTACTTTTTTTTGCTCCAGTTGGCGTAATTAAAAAACAATTAACAAATAAATTTCTGCAGTTTTTTTTTCCGTAAATTCAAATCCAATTTTCCCACACTCGGACCTGGTTGGTTTTTTTTCCATGGTTAATGACCCTCTCCTATTTACTCGTCTGTTGAGTTATGACCGAAAATTCAAGGCCATATCGTTTTTTTTATGACGGAAAGGACTCGGTTACTGTGTGAATAGTTTTTATGAGGTGAACCATCAGGCGAGTCGTCGGCTTTGTGGAAATAAAAAAAGCAGATTTCTTTTTGAATCTTGCTTCAAACGAAATTATTGTTGCAATTATCGATTCAAATTTCAAGTTTATTCTTTTTTTCTTTATGAGATTAAAGACGTCCAGAGTATGATTATTCAATTCAATGAGCGTTTTTTTTCAAAAAATTGCTGATAAGTTTGATATTATATATTTTTTACACTGAAACTGAAAGAACATAAAATCATTTTCCGTTAGAATTATGGGATTTTTTCATCCAGCAAGGCTAGGCTCCCAACTATAAGTAAAATATTTGAAAGTGCAAATTGGTCAAACCAAATGCTTGCTCAACTATTAAAAGTTCTATCCTAGATCTCCAGAGTATTTCAACTCGAGTAACTGAGAATTCTCAACTAATATGCCTTCACTTGTAAGTGAGAAATCACCCCATTTTTCTCACTATTCCTCAAATCGTTCCGTCGTTTTAGTACCTCAAACCTTGCTCATTCATAGAGGTCGAAGTGTTGTCCGTGCAATTGAAAAGTTGTTTGATCCAAGTATATACTCGAATCGCACGCCGAACAACGTCGCTCTCGACTAAACCAACGTTAAATTGCGCATATACTTGTACTCAATAGTCGGATGTTTTCGGGTAAAATGGCGGCCAGCAAACATTCTCTCGCACGTTTTGAATGACTGCCGCGAATCTCTCTGGATTTCGGACCAAGAATTAGTTCAGTGGTTTTTTTCTACTAACGTGTGAATGTCCTACTAAAGAAATTTAAATATTTTGGCCGTTCTGATTTTCATTAAAAAGACGAATTTTTGATCAGAGATTGGATGGAATGAACATGAGCTTTCCAATGCATTTGTCGACACTATAATTGCCTCGCAGCACTTCTGCTGAACAAATTTTAGGCAAAAATTAATCTGATCATGAAGCACATAAGAATCTCTTTATGAACGGTGAATACCGTATTTTTTTTTTCCGAGGTTATCTTCTCGTCACATTGGCCAACGCCACTTGGCCCGGTTTCATTTCATTATTCGATGAGCAAAAGCTCTTGAGTATTTCTCGGTTGAATCGGGAGCGAGGTCAAGAACTCCTGACGACCTTCTTACAGGTTCCCTCGCCTCACCTGTTCGCAGCTAAATTATATATTGATGGTGAAAGTAGTGAACGAAGTGTAGGTTTTTATGAAACGCTCTTCGTCGATCACCATCATTTGAGACAGTTTCACACTTTTCTCAAAAAGTCTGTTCATGAAGGAGAAATATTTGATCTGAAGTTCTACTCTTATAAATAGTGGAAATTTTTTGAAATCTGATTTCATTTCTTCCCCTGTTCACTGTAAAAGTTTACAGCTCAATTTTTGATCAAAAATGCTCACTTTGCTGATAATCAGATCACGAGAAAAAAGCATTAAGGGTTATGCCGAAATGTATTATTGATACATTTTTAAACCTAAAAAAAGTAAATAGATAAGTTTGTATCGTTTTTTCTTTGAGCGATCGGGTTGATTAGTTTCGGTGTATAAAGATGAAGCAGCAGGGGAAGGAGGGCGGAAACAAGTTGACCGGTTTGTTGGCGCAGGCCGAGTGGGTCGTTGGACGGAATCGGCGTGTCGAACAAGCACTCGTGGCTCTTGATTCGCCTTATCACGCTCAAGTGCACGGACGCAGGCGCTTTCTCACTCGATATCAGCCTTTGTCGCGACTTGGAAAATCGCGCCGCGTGTTTGATGTTCGCGTCGACACTTGTCGCCGAGGCTGAAGGATCTTCACGAATTCCGATGTTTCTTTACCAAAAGCCTACACCAAAAAGCGTAGTTGAAATATTGATGAAAATATAAAATCTCAATTGCGCTCAAGCTAACCAGGACGTTGACTGAGTTGGCTATTTTTATCGATAATTTCTTTTTTACATTGGCTATGAATTTTGAAGTGGAAAAACGCCGCAGAAGCATGTGAAAAAAAGTTTTGACCCGCTTTGAAAATTTTTCCCATCTCTGAAAATGTTTTTAATAATGAAGGGCCTATCTACCAACCACAAATGAGCTTGACCGATATTTTTTTCAACTGCTAGAGTTCATATAGAGATTCTCATTTCAACTCAACTTCTTCCCCAAACCTGCTTGGCCGTTTTCGAGTAAAGCTTTGGAATCAGGGTGAAAGATATTTTTAGTCATCATATCGTCCTTCAGAAGTGTGAACGTGATTCGGTCAATGTAAAAAACAGCACTTTATGAGATTGAAAAAAAGTTTTTTTACAGAAAAATTTTTTTGATAATCGGCTATTTTTCAATGGTTTTTCGGTTTATATCGCCAAAAATAATAGGAAGTTTGATCAATTATAGATTTGAGTCAAAATAAAACTTGAGAAGTTTGAAACTGGATGGTTTCAGAAGGATATTGACAGCTTGCGATATGAAGTCGAATGGAAGGACGCCAGGATCGACTACTTACAGAAGGCGCTAGCAGAAATGGAGGCTCGCCAGAATCCCTGATTCAACACACTTTTTCAATACCTTCATTCATTTTTATGTACATTTTCGTTCCATCAATTTTTTTTCAGCAAGTCAAAAAACTGAAATTTTTGAATAATTCAAATAAGGCTATCTAAAGCTAACCGCTTTTAGAAGATTGTATAGCCATGGCTTTTGTTTACCGCGTGATTTTCAGCTACAAGCTATTCGATGTGCCATTGAGCTACTGAATTTGCAAGAGCGAAAATATTTGCGTTTCATCTCAAATGACGCGACATCCTCTAAAATATGTTCATATTTTTCCAACCTGAAGCTTCGGGTTAATTCTGCATTCTGGCTTGTTCGTGCTTTCTGCAACTGTTATCACGATCCTCTTTCCAATTCGTTCTCATCTTTTTTTTGGTGCTGCTTATTGTTTTCAACATGCAAGATAGCTTTTTTCACCGCAGCCTAGAACTACATTTTCGAAGAGTTGTCCTGATGGGGCTTACTCGGCCGAGGTGAATCAGCTATACGATCCCATAAGCAAATCTCATGTTCCAAGCTCTGCGAGCCACGTCACTTTCTTCTGCACGCAACCTCATCCCCGAATCTTATTCATAGTATCATTTCCGTAGCAAACATTCCATTCACTAAACTGAATTTTGAACTTTTTTAATTAATTTGCTTTCATTTCGTGTTTCCCACCAGCGTACATGGTGTGGTGTGTTTATACGCAGCCGCAGGTTGGCGAAAGAAAGAAAAACTGGATTCGATTTCTAAACTATACGTCCATCGCTTGCCTTTTTTTTGTTTCACGCAAAAACTAATTATTAAAATCATGTATTATTTCGCTTGCACAACAGAAGAAAAAAAATTACAGAATATCCACAAGAAAATGAATTACAGGAAATATCGCCGCTCATTTTTCGAGAAAAATCAATGAAATACGACAAAAAAACATAACTCGCAGAGGCTCGATCACAGCGTTGGAATTGAGAAAATCGTTTGAAAATTAGCCAAGGTTTAAAAAATAACAATGAGAGATTCGATAATGTAAAAATACACAAGTTTTGAAAATGCAATCACAACATGAGACGATGAGTTCAGGTCAAAATTAGGTCCATAAAAGCAGAAATATTTACAGAAAATCCAACAAGAAATAAGCGGCTATGACTCCAAGGTGACATTATGAACTGTTTCAGTTTTTTTTTCTCGAGAGCTAAGGTAAATAAAGAGATCGGTTGTTTGAAAAATCAAATGAATTTGTGGAACGGAGGTTTGGGACGGGCTAAAGCACAGCTTCGAGCTTAGATTTCGTTGAATGAAAAAAGTGCAAAAATATTATGGATGATGAAGACAACATGTGAAAGCTAAACAAGTGTGAATCTACCTCCACTGATGCTCAAATTGGTTGGAAAAGAGTCTAACCGTCATGAATCGAACAAAAGATGAAAAGAAAAGGTGGTGACAAGTCTACAGCAAAAGAAAGGTTGGCAAGACGTCGTGGGGTCCGGTGAGGGCTCAAAACGAACAGGAAAGGGTGGGAGAGCTGGAGCTGGTGCAGTGAGTTGGACTCTCGTGCTGGCAGACACAGACAGTTGAGAGACACGAACGAGATTGAGCGGTGTTGGTGCGACAGGAGTGCGACAGAAACACATCTACACGGTTGGCGGCCATTTAACAACTGAAAATTGTGCTCGTTTAGTTCAGTCACTTCTCTTCAGACTCGGTAGTCATGAGAAGAAAGCAGCTTATATGGGAATTTCTGGAGGACTCAGTTTCAGTGAATCATGAAACTTTGTTGCCTGGTCCAAGAACAGGAAGGTATACATTTTTTGTTAGAACCTCAAATTCTGCGCGTTTTCATTGAAGTCTTAACTCGATTGAAAGAGAAATTCCGTTATATTTGAAATTTCCTTGTTCTAATATCCCGGTATGCAAGAGAGAACTGTAGAACTTACTAACCCTGTTAAAATCAATATTTCGTGTGTTGGGAGACATCATCTAACTGCATTTTGAGACAAAAATCTATTTTCATTGTTTGTTATGAGGTTTTTCTAGTGTCCTTTGTGTTTCTGGCAAGAAATGGTATCATAAAACTTCGGAAAAGAAGTTAGTTGAATGATTTGGCTGACGCTTGCGTTTCATCGACAGATTCTATATGACTGAATATTTCAATGAACGAAATTGCTCGCCCACCAGTATTCTCCTTAGATGATTAGCCATTTCATCGGCTTATAAGATTTCTTTTTTGGCGTCTACGCCACTATTCATCTTCGTAAATAGGCTACGATTGTGGTTACGTGGGCAACGCCGATCCGACGGCTACAATCCCTGGGATAATCTTCGAGCCACAGTACTCCGGATAGTGGGAAGAGTCGGCGTTTCCCACTTCATCCCCAAAATGAGGAGCAACCAGGCTTTGTGCTCTCACAAGATTATTAAAAAATATTCGTTTCCATATAAGTATAATACTCCTACTCCGATCTAAACAGGCCTTTGAATTTGGAAGTTTATGCAAGTGAGAAGGCGTTAATTTAAATAAAAACATCCAGTGTGTGGTGCCTCGTGTCATTGGCATTAAAATTTCATAAAACATGACAAAAAAAACTATGCTAAAAATGCTAAAAAGTATCTAACATGTTTGGAATGCAAAAAGTACAAGCGAAGTATTTTTAACCGTGATGAGTTTTTAAAAGACCCCTAATGAATTTCGAAAGAATGTCAGAACCAACAACTGCGTTACCGGTATGATAAAAGGAATAACAGAAAATGTTATAACAAGATTTAAAAATAAAAACCTACATGTTATCCGTTGACGTCGGCCATTTTGTTGCGAGCGTACTCGATGCGGAGGCCGCCACGCTCAGCCGTCGACGAGATCTGGAAGCCCTGGAGAGCGAGCATCGCCTGCGTGGCTCTCTGCAGATCCAAGTATTCGACGAACGCCACACATGAGCCGTTCTTGTTGTGTACACGGAGACGCGTGAAGCCTGGGAACGCCTTGAAGACTTGTCGGAGTTCGTCCTCGTTGACGTTGGGACTGAGGTTGGCGACGAAAAGAGTCGAGCAGTTGGAGGTGGACGCTGCCACGGGGTTCACTGGATTGGAAACGGCCAGAGATGTCGCCGAGGCGACGTTGGCGGCGTTCGCAGCTGCTGCGGCAGCGGCTGCGTTCAGCGCGTAGTAAGGTTGCTGCAACTGCAAAGGCATGTAGGCATTCTGGAGAGCCTGTGCTTGGAGGTGTGGCAAGGACAGAGCAAGCAGCTGGTGTTGGTCGAGTAACAACTGATGGTTGTCGAACACCAAGTCCGTAGGGTTCATAGGCGCCAGGAACTGAGGTACTGACTGCAGTGGATTGCTGGCAGCAGCGACAGCAGCTGCGGCCGCCGCTGCCGACGTCTGATGGTGCTGAGAAGGTGGTGGTGACTGCTTGGGCCGTGAGACTTTGGTATTCGACTTGGCCAGTTCCAGTCTCAGGACCTGCGAGCATTCAGGGTCGAAACGGACGCCTTGCAGTGCTTTGCGTGCTTCGTCGGCGTCTTGTCGAGAAATGAAAGTGACGAAGCCAACAGGTGACGTCGGTTTGCCGTTCTTGACGGTCATCTTGAGAAGCGAGCCTTCATAGCCGCGGTAGGCCCGGAAAAGGAGATAAAGCTCTCGTGGCTTGGCATCCATCGGCAGCCCCGAGATGAAGAGTGTACGGACCTGCGACGAGTTCGAGTCCGTTCCTATGCTGTTGATGGATTCCATCGAGATGGCTGGCGCCATTTTGACGTCCATTTTTGCTTCGAGGTGCTCGCGTTGAGCACAGCCGTCTGCAAAAATGAAAATTTGTAAAACAAACTATTAATGCTAAAGTAGACGAATTTTAAGACGCGCTCAATATCTTGTTAGATGAATGGAATCGAGAATGAATAGAAATTATTTCTTTTTAACATTTCAAATTGTTTAAGTGTCATAGTGTTTTTTTTACCCCTAAGAAAATTGAAAAGGAATGATTGTGAACTCGTAACCTAGTGAAATTATTTGAAATTTGAATTGCTAGGCAAAAGATGAAACGAAATAAAAAATACTGAGAAAATGTCTTTAATTTGAAAGTTAATACACATTGCTTTTGTATCCTTTTCATTCCACTCAAGCTTGTCTATTAGCTTAAAATCAAAGAACACTGAATTTTATAGTTTTTGAGCTTCGGGAAGAAACTCCACTATTGGGCAAAATCGAAGAAGAAAGAAGAAAACGACTGGAAAAAAAAAAGAAAAACACAAAACGATCGGTCGTGTTCAAGGTTTAGAAAAAAAAAATCGAAGAAGCATTGGTCGGCCCTGAGGCGGTAAACAGAGTCGCCTCGGAGGTTCTGTACAGCCGCAAGAACAAGGACGCAAGCACGGAAACGAGCGAAGAAGTTGGACAAAAAAAAGACGAAAGAAACGACTCGCCGAGAGACTCGGCGCCATAGAGCGCGAACGAGCTGGAAAGGTAAATTCAAACAAATACGCGCCCCGCTGAGGTGCCTACCTTCCTACAACTGCGTGCGACGACGACAACGTTTGCCGATTGCTGAGGGCGGAGCCCAAGGGGCGTTTCCATGATTTTTCGGCGACGTCGTCGGAACGGAAACTTCCTCCACAAGCTTTGTATGTCATTTTCAATTCAGTTCTTGATGCGAAAATTTCCAATTACTTTGTCCTTTATTATGGTTGGTAGTGTCACTAGGCAACGACGCAGGAGTATTAGATCCGCTTGAATCCTCTCTTTTAATATCAGAAAAATAATCAGTCATAATGAGGCTTCCTTATAAAATGGCTTCTTCGTTGTCATCAGCTTGATATTTTTAATTTCGATCGGAGACCGAGATTTTTTGAACATTGAAGTTTTCTGTTTATTTGAAATCAGAGTGAGGAAGACAACTCTCACAGAATGCGCTTTTTTCATGTAACGCTGTATTTGGACGTCTCATACTCCCTTCGGATAATTATATGGCGCGTTGCTACAGTTCAAAAAAAATATCCCATTTTTGTAAAATTTTATATCACCTAGATTTTAAAAAGCTCATCTTTTCCAACCATTCGAATAGTTCCAAGAAGATACTATACTTTGATGGAGTAATGTTAAAAAAAACCAGCTCTACATTGAGGCAGAGTGGAGATGTTGATCCGATAGAAAGATAGCCGAAGAAAAAGAATATTCTTTAGTGAATACAGATGTCAAAATGACAGGAGGGTTCAGCGGAATTGTACATAATGAAAAAAACCAAAGGAAGATTCAGACAAAAGTTAATTGGGATCTTCAATCAGTGAGCGGAAAAAAAGGCTTCACAAATTAGGTCAACGCTGAAACACGCCGAACTTACGTTATAGTTGCTATGAGCTGAGTAACAGGCTGAGAGCAGAGTACGAGAGAAAAAATTGCAAAATAGTGATAATTTTTCGAATGAAAAAACCTTTACTTTTGAAGTCAGCAGTCAGTGATTTTTTATAACTTTGGAAAGAATCTTGCTTTAAGAAAGTCATACTTTTTGATGTAATGGGATTCGAACCTTCCATCGCACTTCCGCAACCTCTTATTCTTTATAAAATATGAACTTTCAAAAGTCTAAATACACTACGACCACTTGATTCTATCATTGAGAAACTTCGAAAGTTTTTGAAAAAATTGAAAAAAAAAATCTTGAATTTCTAACCTTAAAATTTTGGGCAGGAATCGTGAGTTCGCCCAAACGATTCTCAGTACATGAAAGCGTATGAGAAAGTTTTAGTTATAAATAAAAAAAAACATCATTCTGAGAGCCTATGAAAAAAAAACGAAGAAATTCAAGTTGAAAAAAAAATCGAAACGCTATTTGAAGTTCATTCAAAAAAAATTGTTGGTTCCGTTGAATTACATGATAAAACTAAGTAAGCAGAACATTTTCAATCGGATTTCTTTTCCGGATTCCTATTCAAACTATGATGGAAACGCGAATTGTGTCTACAGAAAGAGGGAAAAGGTGTGGAAAAGGCAGCCGTATCTGTGTATTCCGGCGGATGAATTGGTTTTATGCAGGCAGGCGGCAAGGCCACGGACTCGTTTGGATCGGCGCACCTCCCCGGATTGACCGCGTCTTCGAAAATCTTCTCACCGACAGAACACAGAGCAATAGAAGTCCGAGGTTCCCTACATTACCAGGAAGATCTGTCAGAGCAAGAAGTCCTTTCAAAAATAGAGCTGTATCACTAATTATTTCAATTTTTGTAACTTTGTAAAATGAATTCATAACAAATAATTCCAAAAGAGCGGAAAAACGTTGAAAATTTCTTAATTTTGCTGTACAATAAAGGCAGAAAAAGAGTGTAAACGAGAAAAAAAATTGAAACAGTGAATCTTCATTTTTTTGCAAAATAAAGAAGCTGTATCTGTATTCGGCCAAAACGCCCTTTACAGTTTCCTCAAAAAATGAAGCGCCAGAAAACCGCTATCAACTCATAGAGCTTGACTTATATTTGATTACTTATTTTTAGATTAATTCGAAAGGGATCTGGAAAGCGCATTGGACAGCGCTGAATTTCAAAATTTTGGAAAGGTTTGGTCGGGTTAATTCTAAAGAAAACGGTCAAACTTGTGTGCAAAAGTATAAAAAAGCGAGGAAATCAAAACAGAGAGACTCGTGCAACGGAGAAAGACGAAAAGGAGTGCACAAAAAAGGGAACGCGGTGAATAACCTGACCAGGGCGTGAAGGATTCACGCTTGTGCAAGTTTGCGTGAGTGTCGCTGGTGCGAGTGGGGCACGCCAAAGAGAGAGAGAAAAAAAGGTCGACGGATGGGCAGACGAGGGACGAGAGGCTGAAAAACAGGCAAGCGAGTGCGTCCAGAACGCGAATCGAGGCCGCGCTCCGTATCTTTTCGACATCCACGTAAGGCTGCTCTTGGACCGTCGTCCAGGGCAACGGCGTCGTTTTGCTGGCGACGTCCGAGAGCAAGGAGCCGAGGCCGTTCCGGGGACTCGTTCCTTCCATCTCCATTCCTTCTTTTTCAGAAATTGAAGAGAAAAAAATAAGCACTCTTTTTTTGAAAAAAAAAAGATAGAAAGATGAATTTAATAAAAAGTATCTCAGCGATAGTCGTGAAACAGGGCTAGCAATTATGATAAATTCCTAACTTCTACGATGAACGGCCCTTGTTCTTCAGGTGGAAAGAAAGATGAAAAAAAACTTCAGTTATTAAAAGATTCAATCAAAATTTCTAAACCAAGTTTTGGCTCTTCTTTTTTTTGGGCAAACTTTTAATTCAAGGCTAACTTGGCGGAAATATTGCAAAAAATTCAATAGGCCTCACCTCCCACTTAATAAAAGAAAAAAATCAGTATGAATATTGAACTTACGGAACAGATTTTAATGAAAAAAAAATCTCTATATTAAAACCGACATTCGGAACCAAATTAGTCAGTCCGTTATTTTCCAATTCTGAGATTCTAAAAACATGGTCTATGAATACATAGAGTAAAAATTATATAGAAAACATCACATGTAAGTGAAAAAAATGAGGTAGAAAAATAAAACTAAATCAAGGCGTGGGCTGACCTTCTGGTTCAAATTTTTTTAGACTCCAATCAAAGCGAACTTATTCCTTGGAAGGATTTTTAAAAAAATATTTAATAGAAGCCTGACATAACAATTTTTTTAGAAAAAAATTTCCCCAATCTTCAAAAACTTTTCGTTCAAACAAAAAAACAACATAAAAAAACGAAAAAAACGAAAAAAATCGATAGAAATTGAAACTTTATTTTTTTGCGCTTTCAAAAGATGTACTTTAAGTAAAACACTTGTAGAGAAAAAAATTCTTCTTCAAGAATAGAAAAAAATAAGAGAAAACAGTCATCAAGAAGAGGGGCACTTTTGCAGAATGGAAAATGATGGAGAATATCAGATAATAGAAAACAGGGCATATCAAGATAGAGGAAGAAAGATGCGCAGGCAGTATATAGTAAGAAAGATTGCGGAGTGGCAAGGACATCAGTCCGACGACGGTCAGAATCGCCGCCTCGTCTTGACCTCACATCTCGTTTGACCGCGCCTCCGGCATCAGTGACCCAAGATTACTCCACTTTCAAAGTCAAGGGTCACACCCTATTACAGATCATCTACATCACAGCATGGAACAAATGCTTCAATCTCATGGAATTTTCCTCCACTGCAACATTTTTCGAAAATAAAGTGATTGAAAAATCTTCGCGCTGAAAAAATCTTGCAGGGATCAATCCAGAATAAAGATCAACATCGAAAGTTTAAATTTAAAAAACTTTATTTTCGTTTTCAAAAATTTCATGAGAAGGACAATTTGAAAAAATGAGAAGAAAAAAAATGACTAGTAGTTATCTTTCTATCTTCTGACTATCTTTCTTAAAAATGATATTCGGATCCTCCTTAGAATTTAAGCTTGAAAGTGGAGGTCTACTCAGTTCAAAGTCCATTCTCAACTAAAAACTTATCCAAACAATAGAACAAGGACCAAGAAAGGCTTCATCAAGACTGCTACTTAAGTTCTAGTTTTTGGAGGTATCATTCTTGAAAGTTTGCCTTCAGAGGCGTTTGAAATTAATTGGTAAGGATTTCAGCGGATGTTCTGAAAAAGAACAATGAATATACTGCTTTTGGCCAATTCAAGTATATTGTATCATACTTGAACCCCGTCATGGAGCTTCCTTGGTAAAAAAAAAACCAAGGTAATGAATTTAAAATAATATAGAGCTTTAATGACACAATCTATTTTGAGTTTTTAAGTCTACTTTCCCTGAAGCAAACGTTTCCATTCAAAAAACTTCAACCAAGACCTAGTTTAGCGTAATTGTTTGTGAATAAATCAATATTGAGGGTATCTTTTTTTTCTTCTCTTTATCTGGTAAAATGAACCAGAAACGTTAAAAACAATTTAGAAATTAATTTTCTTCCAGATGCTATCTTAGCTTCTATAATTATCAACTATCAAAATTTTGAGCGAAAATAAAAGGACGAGTAGTCAAAGAGCAAGGCGTTATCTCTTATGAGAAGGTCATTATTGGTGGAATGGTATCTCCTCTATGCAATCACTCCTTCTGACCAACTACCGATCAGATTCGATGCCATACTGAGATATATATGATCGACCAATTATTATTACCCAAAAAGCTCTTCGCAGAAATGTATTCTTCTGGCATTTTAAAAAATTTGAAACGTAGTTTGGTCTTTTTAAAGATCCCTAAAAAAAAGAATAGAAATATTCTTACATATCACCAAAAAGATCTTCTATATTGATAAAAATGTGAAAAAAATGGACCTATTGAAAATGTCTTCCTCCTAACTTTTTTTCAACTCTAACCTCAATTTTCCTTCTGAATTTTTTCATGTATTATTTTCAGTTTAGAATAATAAAATTATACGTTTTTCGAGGCTGTTCTATACAAAATGTAAGGGTAAAGAAAAACGTCTAAAAACTTTAAAATCAAAAAAAGGTGACACAAAACAAATAATTAAAGTAATTTTCACGCGGGATGAAATTTTTACGATTAATAACTACGAAGTCAGTGAAAATTTTTCAATGAGGAAAATAAGTGAAGCCAGACCACATGCAAGAAAAGTGAAAAAGGATGCTGAGTAAAAAGTTAAAGAAGAAACTGAAAGGAGTGGGCAAAAGTTGTGGTTAGATTGGCGAGAGACGATAAATCGAAGGGCCGCACGCGAAGACTGACCAATCGGACTGGTTCGCAGTTGCCCTTGGCTTCTCCGGGTGCAGCCGTCTCTCTCTTTTCTGCTAAGCAGTACAAGAAGGCTTGTTCTGATGCGGAAAATCTATGGAAAGAGTTAAGTTTGCAAGTTTACAAGTTTATTCAGTCTTCAGAGAAGATTCTCTGCTGTATCATGGGATTAATGAGAGTTGAGATCGGGTAGAACCAAGAACGACTCGTAGATCATTTTTTCCTTTTTGGATAACAACGTTAGAAAGTTTAACGTTGCGATGATCAGCTACTTCTCCATGGAGAGCAGCAAATCTTCTAGTGATGCGAGGACCAGTTGGTCATGTCTGCACTCCCTCTCAAAAAGGAAATTAAACTTCAATCATAATCAGAAGATGGAAAACTCTAGAAATTTCGTTGCCAACAACTTCAAAAAACTCAATGAATGTTCACGGACGCTGGCAGATATATAGTTCTAAAGTATATAAAGAACCTGTGATCGCTAAGAAGTCTTGGAGGAAAAGGAAAATGAGACAAAATGGGAAAATAGGGTTAACGGACACATCGCGAGAAACCGACTGTCTCATCTTCTGAACGGTATTTCTCGCTTTTCGAAGGGTATGCGGACTGGTTTCACTTTGTAACTTCAAATCATTTGGGTCAAAAGAGTGAATTCAGCCTCTGGAATTCACTACTACAGTTCAAAAACAAGGTTAATCTTCTGAAAAATGTTTTCGCAACTTGCTGAAACCCAGAATCATAGAAGACGGTAGTAAAATTCGAGGACGAGGCTATCAGATACATAAAAATGCTCTTTCTGAGAAGATGGCGTGTGGCAGCGAGTTCATTGGATATGGATGAACACGGGCCGATATAACGGCTTACATGCATTTTTCGGCGTTTCCATCCATCCAGCGCTAATTTCCGATGGCTCACACTTCTCCCAGTGACTTCGAATCAGTGTGGGAGAATCTGAGGGATTCGAAAAAAAAAACTCCGAATAAGAAAGAAAGACCAAAGGATTACGAAGATTTCACACAAAAAAACTGAACTATCGGCTTTTTGTTTGATCGATTGTTCGATTTCAAAAACCGACGACAAGGCGAGAAATAAGAACATGAAGCAGGAATGTTTTGGAATAGCGAAAACAGTCCAAAAGAAAACAAGTCTGTTTGAAAAAACCTAAATTAAATTCAAGTACTCTACAGGACGAAAATTTTGACATTTTCAAAACCTTTCTGCGCTTCAAATAGTATGAGAAAGAAATATCTAGTTACACGTTTTCTAATTCCAAAACTAAGCTTGTCCGAATACCTCAGATAAGACGAAAAGTGTTGGCACTAGGCAAGCGTCATCAAAACCTGTCGGCGTCTCTCCCCGAACTTCTGCTTCAATCCCTCTTCGATTTCTGCAATATACTTCTTAAAAATCACTTTTCATGAAAAGTAATAGAATTTAAACGTTTGAAACTTGGTTTATTGCCAAACACAAAATATCAAGAGCGATTTTGGGAGATATTCAGCGGTTACAAAACCTGACCAGAAACTAATTGGATTTCTCAAATGAGTCCAAACAGGAGCTTTCTTCCATAAGTGCGTAAGACAAAAATACATTCTCAGTTCTGATCTACAATCCCTTATTTTAATTTCCAGATCATGTCTATTCACGAATTGATTTTCGCGTGCAAAAAATTTCCAAAGATGCGAATGAATGTGAAGTGATCACTAGAGAGTGCAATTTATTTGAAATTTTTTTAAAAGCCTTTAACTTTTTATGACGGGCTGGAAACCTACTCTGAAGATGCCATATTTTTCGATAAAAATAAATCCCAGTGAAAAAAAATTAAGTGAGCATACATCAGAAAAAAAAGCATAGAGTATACGAGAATTCCTGCGTATTCACTTTCTCAGTTCAAATGGATGCGTGCTAAAATGCTATCTTCTCTGCAAAGTTTTTAAAGTGATTCCGCGAATTCCAAAATAGCCCTCAGAGAGAGAGAAAAAGATAAAATTTTGGAGTGTCAGAGATAATTTTGCACTTTGAGAAAATTACTTGAACACGGCATTGGAAAAATCAGTCAAATTCTTTTCCTTTAATAACTAGAAAAAAACAAAACGCACACTTTTTTCGATGAGAATGAAGTTTTGCGTGGAGTGTACACGCCCAAAACATCTAGCCGATTTTATTCGTCGCGCAAAAATACACTAATAATTTTTTTATGCAGTTTTTTTCTCTTACCAAAAGCTCAAAAAAATTTAATTTTTTTATAGTTTTTTTCATAGATAATTGGAAAAAAAGTAGCGTTGGAGTGCGACGAAACATTAGGATACTTAGAAATAACAATTTTTTTAATAACAAAATTTTCAAAAAAAGCTGTTTTTTTGTTTTTATTTTTGTTTACTCATTTTTGTAGAGTTTTTACGAATTACTTTCGACTTTTAAACAGGTTTACATGGCTTGAAATTTGAATTTGTTTATTCATAAAGTTTCCGATTCACGATTGAATTCAACTCGAAAATAAGTTTTTCTTGGGGTCCAGAACTGTTTTCGGTGAGATCTGTTTCATGGAATAGATTGAAAGCGTTGAACAATTTTTGCTTCACTCTTGCCAACGATAAAAAAATCTCTCTTTCTCTGGGTCTCCACCGCTGCAATTTCCGTCACTTCTCGGTTTGCCATTTCGTTTACTCTTCGCTTTTCTCCACTTGTTTCAATGATTTCTGCTATTTAAAAAAAAAATTCTGCTACTAATTTCCATTCGAAGTGAGTATCTATCTCTTTCAATGTACTTTCTCCCTTTGAAAAGAAAAGAAAAGTTTTTAATGCAATCGGCATATGTGTAAATGCTTCATCAAATTAATTTTTTTTTTTTCGTATAATTTTTCAAGAAATGAAACAGCTATAAAATATTTTAATTTTTCAATAATTGAATTTGAGGATTTTTCACCCTTCATAGATTGAAAAGTTATCTTCGCTTAATCTTTTATTCACGTTTCGGTATGTAAATATTCAATTTTTATTTTTTTTTTAAAGTCTCCGTTAATCAGCGATCTTCAGAAATTTGTCGGTTATGCAAAACATGGGGAATAGATTCGAATGGGAACTGGAGTATAGGAATTTGCTCGCGTACCGCGACTTTGCACTTGGCATGACCAAACATCTCCGGTGCGCTTTTTCACTTTCTCCTCTATTTTGTCGATTTTTTCGTCATTTTCATTGAAGTAAACTCACCCTAGGTACTCATACTTCATTAGTTTCTCTGTTGCGGAAGATTGATTATTTTTCGCACTTTTGTTGTTGCAAAATCAGTTGTCTTCTGTTATTTCTCAATTTCATGAAATTTGCGGAGTTAAATTTTTTTTGGAAAAGAAGTTTCTTCAATTAATTTTTTTGAGACATATATTTTCAATTATGCAGTGAAAATAAAGGTTCGGAAACAAGTATTTTTTTTTTTCGACTTGTGACACTCGTCGTCGTTTGAACTTCTGCTTTCTTGCCAACCACGTGTTTTTTCGGTTTTATTATTTCTTTCCATAAGATCTAGGTTATTTTCCGAATGTACTCGAATGATTTTCTACTTTCTACATGAACCTTATCACTCAAGTTATTTTTGAACGTGATGAACCGAGAAATATGATTGCAAAATAGAATTGTGCAAAAACATTAATCATCCTGTCGCGACTCACGAGATACTCATTCAACTAGAAAAAAATTTTTAGTGGTGTTTACCGCGTTTTTCACTTTTTTTAGTGAAATTTTTTTCTCGAGTTCTCTATGAAATTTTCGAGAAGTCGATACTTGTTTTCGGAAGATTCAAAACATGCGAAGTTATCTTTTTTTTTCGTTTGGTAATTGTTTTTTTCCTAGGAGAAACAACCCTTTGCTATTTTTTCAAGGGACTGGAGGTTCACTATTTCGTCTGACTTTAAATTATCTATTCGAGTTCTCAGCCGGCTTTCTTGAAGCTTCGTAAAAGTATTTTCTCTCGTTTCGATGTTATTTTGTTCGAATTTTTACGCTTATTTGACAATTTCGTCGCTATGGCAATGGTTCATTATGACTGTTGGCAGGTAACTAAACTCGAAAAGAGGGACGAAGGGAGGAAAGGAAAGATAAAAGGATGGACCTTCTGTCGAGCGAAGAACGCGTCTCAATGGAGAGCTTCGCCCTTCTGCGAGTTCTCGGCAAAGGAGGTTTAGGCGTTTTGAAATATTCGAAAGAACAAAAATTAGTTTGGAGGTTGACTCAAAAAATGTTTGGCTGGAAGCGTTTATTTTACTGTTTTGAAGTTTCTAAAACAAATCCTTGGTTCACTGGTTTTTTTCAAGGTTCATTCTTCAAGTTAAGGGGTTCTACCTGCCTCTCAACACTGATAACTCGAGTCAAAAGTTCTGAAATTACTCAAATAAAAGAGGAAGGCAGAAAGATGATCAACGCTCGCTCACCCTTTTCTTATGTATGAATCAATTTCCAGCCTACGGAAAGGTCTTCCTCGTGCGGAAAATCGGCGGCAAGGACCACGGGACAGTCTACGCGATGAAAGTTTTACGGAAAACTCGAGTTTTTGGTGATTGGAGGGAAGAAAATTGGTTTTCGAGTTGAGGTTATGACCAAGCAAAAGACTTTGGAGCACACTATGGCCGAACGCCAAGTTCTGGAACGGCTCCGCGGCTCGCCCTTCCTCGTCAACTTGTTCTACGCCTTCCAAACCGACACGAAGTTGCATATCGTCATGGGTCAGTCACTGTTCATACTCCGAAATAAAAATAATACTCTCTGATTTAGTATAAAGTTATTTTCTCAGTTTAAACAGCATAAATCAAACAGAAAAAGTAATAATTTTCTTGGTAGAGTTCTTCTGGATATGATGTATTTTTTCATAGAAAAGTTTATTTCCCTTTTTTATTGGTATGACTGCAGAGTATGTCCGAGGCGGCGAACTCTTCACGCATTTGTGCTCTAGGGGCCACTTCGACATTCCCGCCGCGAAGTTCGTCATTGCCGAACTCGTCATCGCCATCGACAGTCTTCACAAAGTTTCTTTTTCTCTTCGTTCGAACCTCTCTGAAAAGTTTGAGTTGTTTTATGCTTGGTTATAAATGAATAACAGTCTCTTAAAAGGTATCTATCTACCGGAAAAAAATTCAAGAAAAAGTTCGGATGCATTAATAAGGTTAAAGTGTCGGCTAGTGTATTTTTTTTTTTTTTAATAAGGTTAAAGTGTCGGCTAGTGTATTTTTTTTCTTTTGCCTCTCATGATTTTAATATTTACAAACAACTTATCAATCAATATACCTCTTCTTTTCATCAACTTGGTTCAAATTTTGAAGAGTTCTAAATTTTTGTTTTTCATCCTCAGAATCCCTTGAGCGACAACGAAAAAAGAAATCGAACAACTCGGTTTCAGAGAAAAGTCATTTACCGGGATCTGAAGCTTGAAAATATCTTGCTGGACGAGCAAGGCCACGTCAAGCTGACCGACTTCGGCCTCAGCAAACTTCTGGTCCCCGAAGAACTCGACCGCGCCAACTCCTATTGCGGCACTATAGAATATATGTTAGTTTCATTTTTTTTTCCCCCGTTTTTGGTTTATAAATGAAAATATTTCGGAAAGTAGAATTGTGTTAAGGTTGCATTATATGGAGACGTATTTGAACTTGTAGAGAACTTGGATTTTGAAACAAAAAGTTGTTCTAAAAAATATAACGTGAAACGTGGCACGTCAAAATAGCTCTCTAGCCAAAAAAAATCGAAGTTTTTAAAAATTCTGCTCTCACAAAGTTCTAAATTTTTATCAATCTTATAAATCTAAAATCAGAAAGAAATCGAATCAGCTCAAATTCTTCACCACTTTTCTCGGTAATCTGAATTTGTTTTGAGGTCGCCAGAGGTTATAAACCGACCGGAAGGCGGCTATTCGGACGTCGTCGACTGGTGGTCCCTCGGCGTGATTTCCTTCGAGCTTTTGACCGGCTGCTCGCCTTTCACAGTCGACGGCGGGGCCAACACCAGCAAGGACATTGCCAAGTCGACTTTCCCTCTCTTTGATTCTCCTAAACGACGGTTTTCAGACGAATCCTGACCAAGAAGGTGCCTTTTCCCAAAAACATGAATCCCGATGCGCGCGACTTCATTTCGGCCTTGCTGGAGAAGCGACTCGACAAACGTCTCGGCTTCAACGGCGTTGACGAAATCAAGAAGTCAGTCATTTTTTGCCCAATATTTATTTTCACGCTCTATGTCTTTTTTAGTGTGTCTCTTTTTTCGATCTTGTTCTCATTCGCTTTTGAAAATCAAACTAAAGCCGATTGCTGAACTAAATCGTAGAATTTTTTCAACGATAGAAATAAAAAAGAGTTTGGTTTCGAATATCCTTGTTCCTCTTTTTCTATCCGAATTTCTTCGAGAAAACTCAAGGTTCATTTCTTAAAAAAACTAGAAACAAGTTTTTTTTTTTCAGTTTATTGAAGTTGCCATTCACCTGGACTTTTTTGAACAATCAACTTTTGTCTCTTTTCCTCATCAAAATGCTCTGAAAAATGTCGGCACCGTGTGGGCGTTGATTTGTGGACTTCAGACACCGGTTCCTGGCAGACGTCGACTGGACGAAGGCCGAGAACCGGCAGCTGAGCCCGGTGATCGTGCCGCGCATCAGTCACGACCTCGACACCCAGTTCTTCTCCTCCGAGTTCACCTCGCAGCCGCCGCTATACTCCCCCGCCGAGTCTCCTCTCAACGCCAACACCCTCTTCCGCGTCCGTTTCTCGACTTCTGTACAAGCCTCGCGATTTTCTCTTCAGGGCTACTCCTACGTCTCGCCATCCGTCATTTTCGCCAACGACAACGTCATCGGCGAGGAACTGTTGGCCGAGGATGTGCAGGCGCTTCTCGCGAACTCCTCCTTTTTCGGAAAATACACACTCGACCGGTCTGACAAAGGATTCTTAGGACGCGGATCTTTTTCTGTCGTCAGGTGAGCCTTCATATTTGGATATTCAATTGAAAACGCTCTTCACGTTTGTTGGCTCTGATTATTTTGCACCAGTGTGGGGAAATGTTAAATCATTGCCTTATTCCATTTTTCGTTATATGATGCAGAAAGGGAGCCATTTTAGCTTTCTTGAAAGAAAAAGAAAAGTCCTACTCTTTTGCTTTGCAGACGATGCGAAAGAACAGAAGACGGCGCTGCATTTGCAGTGAAGATCGTCTCGCAACGCTTCGCGGTGCAGGCACAGCGCGAAGCTCGTATTCTGGAAGCCGTCCAAGGTGCTTGCCAAGGGAAAATAATCTAGAAGAGTTTTTTGAATCCTCAGGCCATCCCAACATTGTCCGCTTGATCGACATGCATTCTGATCCGTTGCACGTCTACATCGTCATGGAGCTGTTGAGTGGAAATGAACTGCTTCAGAGAATTCGAAAACTCGAGAGATTCACCGAGGTTTCGAATTCAGAGTACACTTGGGTCGTATTGAAAATTTGGAAAACACATTTTTGGAAGAAAAAAAGGCTTTTCTACACTCTTCATAGACTCTGTTTTCTATTCAAGAGCCCCTTTTAAGAAAGAAAAAGCTTAATTTTTTTTTGGATAGCCGCTATTTTCGCGATTCACGGAAATTCTAGTTTCTAAGTTTGTTTTGATGGATTTTTAGAAAATCACCTACAGCAGAAAAAGACCTCATTCTGAGAAAAAAATTGATCGACTTTCAAAGAGTTTTTCTATGCAAAAATTCATCTCATTTTTTTCTGTGGACTCCCCATCACAAAAAGGTATCAAATAGGAAGAATGTGAGGTTTTGAGATGGAAGCGGCGGACATTATGCGACAGTTGGTGTCGGCTGTCAAGTACTTGCACGACAAGAAGATTGTCCACCGAGACCTGAAGCCTGAGGTAATCTAGAAGGCGTATGGCTCGATAGAGGACTTGATCCCAGAACATCCTCTTCGAAAGCGAAGAGAAAAACGCGCGACTGCGACTGGTGGACTTTGGCTTCGCCCGTCTTTTGCCCAACTCCGTCGAGCAGCAGCTCAAGTCAGTTCATCGAAAGATGTACGCGAGCAGGCCGTTCTCTTTTTCTTTCTTCAGAGCTTCTCTGGATGGTGCGAGAAAAAAAAAAACAGCCATCCATATTCTCCTTTACGAGTCGTTTTCATATTAGAACTTTATCTCGAATTTCTTGCTGGACCGCTTTTTTGCTCCTAGATTAGAAATAACTATGTAGAAGACGCTCCTCCTGTCTTTTGTGTACTTCCAGTCCGTGACACATTACATTTTTAGATTAGTCGTTTCTGTAGACTTAGTTGCTGTTGTTTCGTCTCACCATCAACAGATGCCCTGAAATCGAGAGTCCCTGAGATAGAAATGCTCTGGATCGCTCAAATCCATGTTCACGGATTGCCTCCAAAGCTTTTCTGGGATGGCTTGAAGAAAGAGAAAGAGTGTTTCGGTGCATCTGCTCGCGTCGCATCAGCTCGTCCCACTTTAACATGTCGCACATATTCGACACCTACACGGAAATTGACTCTTCTGTCCTTGTAGAAAGAAGTTTTGGTAAAACTTGTGAGAAGCACAGTTTTTTTTTTTTCATATCAAGGGATCTTACACCTCGAGCAAACTCACAGATTGACAACATCCCATAAAAATATTAGTGTATAAAACAACATTTTTGATTCAAAAATTAATAGTTTTTCGAATTTCCATAACTCTGATTACGAGGTTGAAAGAGATTTTGAGGACCCCGTGCTTCACTTTGCAATACGCAGCCCCCGAAGTTCTAGACGTCGGGGACATGCAACCTGAGTACAACGAGCAGTGCGATTTGTGGTCTCTCGGGGTGGTTTTGGTGAGTTTCCGGGGCAAATCGCTTCGAGCTATGGAATAAAAGGAACACTGACGGATTTTAGTTTACGATGCTGTCTGGCCAAGTACCTTTCCACGCCCGATCGCGCCAGGAATCTGCCACCGAAATAATGCAGCGGATCAGACGCGCCGAGTTTTCTTTCCAGGGCGACGCCTGGACCAGCGTCAGCCAAGACGCCAAGGATCTCATCACAGGTCTTTCTCATTTATCATATGATAACAATTTCGGAAAAAAAGAGGTTGAAGTTACTCATAACATGCTTTCAAAAAATAAAAAATAAAACTTCTACATGAAATAAAAATTGTTGTCTTCGTAGAATGGATATGAAACTTTTTCAAGGAATTTTTGGGCGGCAGAAATTTTCCTGTAGAGAAAACGAACATGAAAAATGAGAGAAACTCTTGGAATAATTTCTCAAATTTCTTACGTATTTCAAGCTATCAATAACAGTTTTACATAATAACAGTGCAAATAAACACGTTCGCTGAGAAAAAAAGGATGGGAGAAACGATTTCTGGAACGGACTTGACTTACGAATTCTTCGTAGGAATCGTTAATTATTACAGAAAATGGTTTGCAGGACTCCTGACCGTGGATCCGAAGAAACGGCTCTCGATGCACGACCTCTGGACTCACGCTTGGCTCAAGTCGGCCTCGATGGACACGCCTCTGCGGACTCCTAGCGTTTTGCCGACTTCTGCTGGTCCGATCGCTCTTTCTATCCCTTTTATGCTATTAATTGACTGAGTCTTCAAAAAAAAAAAACAAAAAGAAGCTTGACTTTCTTTTCTTGTCCCGTTCAGTTGACAGAACTACGAAAAGATTAAGAGTACATTTAGGCTCTCAGAGTGTTCGAAAACCTTATAGGAGTTTCCAGCTTCCCTTGTAAACGAAATGATTAATGAGACCAATATTAAATAGTAGAACTTCTTAGAACTAATCGCAAAAGTGCGTTTGAGAATTAATCTTCAGACGAGACTTTCAACGAAACTCTACGCGCTTTCCTGCACGCCAACCGCGACGGCTTCCACTTGCTCGACGTGACGGCGGCGCCCCTCATGAAACGACGTGGGATCAAACGACAGAGCGGCGACAAAGACGCTGCCAATGGCGCTCCAGCCACTTCGAAGCGGTACATTCCCGAGAACACATTCCAGGAAGTGAATCATGAGTTGCAGGATGCCCCAGTTCGAATGTCTACCGGAGGAGCCGGTCGAGGTCTCTTCCAGTGAATCTTCGGCGGGAACTTCGCGACCCACGTCTCTCAACATGGCCTACGAGCAGTACCGCGAGCCCACCGGGGCTATCCGAGAGACGCGAGGCTCCGACTCCTCCTAGCTTCTGACCTTTCATTTCCAACCAAACACCTTCTGTAGACCTCGGTTGTACATATTTCAACTTCTAAATGAGATCTACCTCTATTTCTTTGTTGCGACAACTAGACCCGATTAGAAGCGTTAGATCATTAAGATAATATATTAGGCACTCGACAGCTTCAATTGTTTTCTCAGACTCTTTGAAAATCTTGGAGAAACGTTATACTTATTTCTGCAGAGCATCTTTGAAGCATGACAGAGTTTATCGTTCCTTTCTCTCTTTTCCCTTTTTTATGTTACTTTCCTGGTTGCGACGTGATAAGTCCCTTTGATTCGACTACGTTAGGTTTGCATATCACAATGTGTTTTAAAAATTTTCGTTGGTGTTTCCCCCGTTGTTTCTTATATCTTTGTTCTTTTTAGATTCCGCATCCAATTTTTTTTTCACATCATAGCCTCACCTAACTGCAGACTCCTCTGAAAACTTTCTGAAAGTTTTCTTGTGGCGTCAAAAAATTGACTCACTAATTTAACGATTTTTTATTGATATGACCCTACTTTGTAACTAGTTTTGACGCATTTGGCATCATCTCTCGGTTCTAACAAGTCTACCCTGAAAGTTCTCAGAATCAAAGATTCACAAAACCATTTGAAAAACTCTTTTTTTTTCTGCTCAATACAATTGATCGTGCCAATCTAGAGAAGAAAAAATTCCTTAAAGAAAAATTTTCTAGCTTTCTGAATTTTTGGTTTTAAGAACTACATACATCACCACGCTACTACTATTCAGTCTCTGTTTTCTTGAAATATCTGTCATATTCAGGTGTTTCAAACGTTAGAAACAATTTAACAAATTCCCTTGCCAATAACGATTCTTGAAAATTTGTCAAAATCGTCCAATAAATACGATATTTTTTTAATCAACATTGAAATTTCCAAATTGGTTAAACCAGAAAATTCGTCGATTATCTGTACACTTCTTTTATCGACTGCGGAAGTACTTGAGGTGAAGTAAAAGTACTTATCGAATTATTTTACAGCTTGTAAAAAATATAGATTCAGTGATGGCTACAAAGTGGAAGGAAGGTTTCAGACAAGATTTTTCCGTAGTAGGGCCTGAAAGACGCGGTGAAGTGGAAGGCCGACGACGTTGGGAAGGCAGCCTTCGACGCCAGAGACGAACGTCGCCGCGAATTCTCCGATTCCGTAGGAGCCCGCCTTCTTTCTGAAATATTCCGGTAAGCTCTCTCTCACAGATCCCAGTTAACGGCGTTGCAAACTTGATGAAACTTAGCTTCAGAAATAATGACTACAGATCAGTTGAGACTGAACACACAACATTTTTCGTTTCGAGGTATGACGTCTCTGAATTGGTTACCCAGTACCAAAGCATGCCTCAGAATGGCAAGCTTTGGAGCGCCATATCTCCAAAAAGAGACGAGTTGTATTTCTCAACGGATCTGTAGCCACGAGACCCTGAAGAGCATTTCAGCAAAGTTTCAACAAATTCACAACTATCCGCAAAACAAAACAAAAAAAGAATTATTTGTCAAAAAGTTTGAACAAGTGCAGAAGAAGTTATATATGTCGCAGGACGAATTCAATGGCTTGGCATAATTTCGGGTAAATATTTTCAAAAAGCAAAAAAACTGACAAAGGCTCGCCGGAAGCTACGTATTTCTCGATTACGCGGTCAGGGAAGTCGCCAAAATGAACGATTGTCTTCTCGCAGAAGGTCTCCGTGAGGTCATCGGCGGCGAAATGAAGAGCGACGCCCGAGAAGACGTCGTGAGAGTTCCGACGCAGTCTGAATCTCCATTTCGGAGCTTTCGTCTCGGAGCATACCTCTGCAGAGTGCGGACGGCGTCGGCCGCATCTTCTGGTTTGCCGATGATTTCCCCCTCGAAGTGGATGACCGTGTCGCAGGCGATCACCACGTCGTACCGTTTCTGTTGCACTTTTTTGAAACATGGATCTAATCAACTGACTCTTCTCATTCAAAAAAAATTAACATTTTCATTGTATTATAAAAATATTTTTCTTCCCGATAATCTACTTGATAACTCACTTTTTCTGTTTTCAACTGTTCAACAACGGCGTTAAGTTTTCCGCGGGCGGTTTCCACGACAAATTCTTCCACTGGAAGGGTTTTCGGCAGATTCTCTTCGAAATTTGACACAACTACTAGCGGCTTCACTCCCTGAAAGCGTATAAAAATAATAGGTCGTGACAAATTTTGAAATCTCCATAAAATTCGCATCATTTTCATCCGAATCTTGCAAACTTTTGAGAACTAACGCAGAGTTTCAGACTTTAGAAAGGATTTTTTCAGGGAAAACACTGTAAAAGAAGAAAAAGGAACGATTTGGTGAAGGAGCTTGAGGCGGTTGGGCGACTGGCTGGCGAGCACCACGATGACGTCGTTCATCTCGATCAACTGGGCTCGGGGAATCGACCTGACGTTCCGCCGCGCCTTGCTCTTCAGTCAGCTTTTCACCAAGAGCTGGGGCCACCCGGACACCTTAAAACAGTTCGTTTGCCGTAGTTCGAAGAATTTTATCCATTTCAGCAGCTTTTTTCATGCGCGAAGTCTGGGAAAAGTCTGAAAAAAATAGCACACAATGAAAGTCTTATTGGTGTTTGACGCAGAATTCGATAAAAATTGCAACTTTTACTTTAAGGTCTCCAGTACTTCAGAACGGAGATGCTCGTTTGAAAAAGAAGTCCTTCTAAGCTTTGTATTGATTTTTTTTTATTAGATACAGCTTATAACAAGAAATTATACCAATCCACTTGGTTGAAATTTCATCACTTCAAAAACTTTTAGTGAATTAGAATATTGTTTTCGAGTCGTCATTACATGATATTGATGGAATGGTTTCATCGTTTTTCGATCAGTTTTCCGTTTCTTCCTATCAAATAATTATTTGTATTAAGGATGGCCAAATATCAGCGAGAAGTGATGTCCCGACGAGGCGTCGTCGACATCGTGAATGACATCGGAATCGACGTCACCATTTCCACCGTAACTCTCATTTAGTCCTTCATAACGACCTCTTCGAAATTCCATAGGAAAAGGTCGTCGAGGGGATCACAGTAATCGACGGACACTTCCGAAGTCCACACGCTTTCCTTTTCCCTGACCAAATGCCTGGCCCAGTTGGCTGGGCTCATTTCCGAGCATTTTTCCCGCGCCAAGCAGCTCCCATGTGCATTCATCTGGCCGGCACTGGCGACCATTCCTATGTGAGGTCACCAAAAGTCCCAAATATTCAAGAAACTGTCGGATTTAAGACGTGATATTGGGCTGGTGAAAGATTTGTTGAAACACGGGATCGGCGCCATTCTGGTGCAGAACCCCTTCTACGGAGACAGAAAACCGCCGAACCAGTTTCGCTCTTCGCTGGAAAATGTGTCCGACCTTTTCGTGATGGGCGGTGCTCTCATCTCCGAGTGCAACCTACTGATCAACTGGGCTCAGCAGCGAGGTCATGGCCCCTTCTGCATTTCTGGGGTTTCCGTGTGTTTTTTCTCTTCTCGTCAATCGCCAGCCGTTCAGATCTCGATGGGAGGCTTCATGGCGTCTTTGGCGGCGACTAACGCTCTTCAACCCGTTTCCGTCGTCCCGATTCTCTCCTGGACTACCGCCTCTCCCGCTTACACCCGCGGTTGGTCCCCTCTTCAGGGATAATAGTAATTTTTCAAAGTCGAAGAAAATTATGTTCACAATAGCGGCTTTACCTATACCTTAAACCTAGATTTTTAGAGCAACGAAATTAACTAAAAGTCACTTTTTACTGAAATTTATCAATTATACTCGAATAATTTTGTATCATATCAAATAAAACTCGAAAATACATTTGAAAATATCCCAATTCAACTAAATTTCAAAAATTTCGTACTAGCTTCAGCTAAAAAGCCAAAAACTCTACTTTTTTGAAATTCAGACATTTCAAAGTTATCTACGCTTACAACTGTATGCAATTCGAATCAATTCATCATTTCAAACCGTCAAAAAATTCAAAAGATGACTATAACAAAAGGCTTCCGAAGTTCCGCAAAATGGTCGTCGATTGCAGGCGCCATTGCCCCAGCCGTGAAGTTCCAGAAGCTCCAGGCGCAGCTGGAGGACCGAAGCTACGTCGAGAAACTAAAGCGGATCCCCAACGTCGACTGGATCGAACAGATGGTATCGGGTCCTCGATAGCAGATTGTACAAAGGTCTCAGCACGAACTGAGCGCCAAGACGGGCGACACGCTGGCCGTCTCGCTGATGTGCGTCCTCATGGACCACTTCACCTGTCTCAGCAATTATCCGACGCCGCTCGACACCTCGCTCTGCCACGCGATCGTCGCCGAGAACGACCAGTACGTCTTGCGGACCGGAGCCCCCCATTTCGAGGTTGCAAGCCACGTCTTCGTTCTTGCAACGAAGTTTCAGGACGTCTGGCCCGGCATGACCGTCGAGGTGATCCCCGGCGTCGGCCACATCACCGGCTACTTCCTCAAGCACAGTAACTTCCGTCAACGCATCGCGCAGCTCCTGGAGCGACAGATCCGCTCGGAGGGCAGTGCTCCGCCGCAGGAAATCATATCCAAATAGACCTTTTAGAATAGTTAGAATATTCATAGAAAGTTAGCTTTCTGAAAACTGCAGCAAGGAACTTTGAAGAGACTGTATTTCTTCCCGACTCGGTTGTTTCATCGTCACCCACGAATAATTCACATTTATGACGGCTTTTTTGTCTCATCATCGTTTGTACTATACCGAAACTAGATTATAGAATTAGTTCATTCATAGAAACATTCTGATTGTGCCTTTTTCGGAATATCAAACTCCATCATTGTATTACTGGTAATTCTGGGAAACTGAAGGTAGAGCTCTTCTTCCAATTTTCGCATTAAAAAGTTATTAAAGCTGTTTAGTATAATTTTCCCATTTTCAAAGACATAATTTCTTCTATTCTGCGCTCTATTTTCAGAATCCCACACTACATATGTGTATGAAACGTTTTTCACAGAAACTTCCACCATCGATATCGACTAGGTCCTCTTATTTTCTATTTCTTTAAGATGATCAGAATGATAATTTGAGGATAAATAAACGCATTTCGTGAATGGAAAACGGTTGGAAACCTTTTATGATATACCTCATCTGCAATTTATGGAAGACCATTTTATTTACCTTTGAAAATACTAATCTACTAAAATTGTTCAGACAGAAACATGAAACTACCAAACAGCGATGAAAATCAAAGTACAGTTCCAGATTTAATCATAACATGCGTGGTAGCTATCGAATAGTAGAAATAACAGGATATTTATTTGAAACATTTGTAGCGATAAAAGAAAAACTTCAAAAAAAAAACCAACAAACTGATTCGAAACGAAATTAACTACTTACTCTAGGCCTCAAACACTGAACAGGAGCTTCTCGACGAAAAAAAAAAAGCTGAAAATTCCCACTTACCCACTGATTCTCCATTGGCGGTTTCGAGGCAAAAACGAAAATTTTCATAACTTCAAAGCTCCTAAACAGTATGTGAGTTGGTGAAAAAAAGTTTTGAAACGTGCGAGTTAGAAATTTAATTGAAACACGAGAAATTCAAAAAGAAAAGGCGGCGTTAAAAGTTCCTAGATTGAAGTTGATGGACGCCCGCAAATACGTGATCATCTACTGGTGTTTCGGGGGCTCGCGACCCTTGACCGTCTTGAAAATGAACTTCTGCGACTTGTTGAACGACCAGAAGTGTCTCTTTCCGTACACCAAAATCACAGCGACGAATGGGATCAGTGCAGCGATCTGAAGAACATTCGTGAGAATCGAAAACAGTTGAAAATGCCAAACAAATATAATCACAAGGCGGTAATTTGGAAACAAAACGCAACCAAAAAGTCCCGTCGTCAATCTGTTCATATCGCCTTCAAAGCGTTAAAAGTTCAGGATACTTTAAACTCTTTAAATTCTTCCTCATTCAAACGTAGAAACAAAAATATATGCTGAAGCAATTTTTTTTTAAATTATTATCCGATAGGTTTTCTTTCTGGTGTTTTGTTTTAAGTAAGTTCTTCGAGATCTCTCATGAATGGTTTATTTGAAATAAAAAAAATACCTTGAGAGCCCATTTCTTCCTCGTGTCGTGGAATGGCTCTGCACACCAATGCATGAAGGCCGAGACGTCCTTAGCTTGCTGAGACATCGTTGCTGGAGTTCCGTCCTGAGGATTTTCGTCATGAATGGATAGCTACAGGCGAGGAATCGAAGTGAAAAAATCAAGGAGCCTGACAATGTTGATATTTTCAACTTTTTCGTTTTCCCCCACAATAATTCCGAAAAATTCATGACTTTTTTCAAAATTGCACCCTTGGGAATGAAACAAAGCCTTTTCTTTTCGAAACAAACCTTGTATTCAATTCCTTCGTCGAACAGTTGTTGAGGCATAGAGATGACGCCGCCAGGGAAGTACGGGTTGTACGCCTTTCCATCATCAACCTCAACCAACAGTTTCTCAGCTTCAACTCAGTATTCTTGAAAACCTTGATACCCGCTGGAGCTTCCATGTAACCTGTGAGCAAGGAGAAGACGTAGTCGTCTCCTCCGTGTCTCGCCAAAGACATGAGAGACAAGTCCGGTGGCGCAGCTCCTATAATTTCAAAAATTAGTAATTTCTAGATGAGACCCTCTATAGAAAATTCTGCTCATTTCTTCTTTTAACAATTTGATAGTAAATTGTCATTTTTAAGCGACAGAAAGAAAATTCAACTAGCTAAAAAAATATGCTATAATTTTTTTCGAGAGTTGCATTGAAAATCTAAACTTTGAAAAAATTTTAAATTGAAGTTAAATGAATGTCGAAATACAAAAAGATTTTTTGAATTGAGATAACGAACAAAATGCCATTTTGGGTGAAAATTTTATCCCCTTTTTGCACTATCTCGACGTTTTCCACCATCAGAAACTTTTTTTCGCTTAAGTTGTTCTGACTAAAGTTTTTCAAACTTTCAGAAACAAATTCACTTCGAAAATACTTCATCATTCCGGAAAAATGAAAATCGAAAAAAAAAACCGTTGTTGGCTGCAGCAGCGGCCTTCTTATTAGGGTAAGGAGCAGGGAGCTTGTCGGTGAGAATTCCAGGACGCTGGATCGGGGCTCCTCGGTCGTCGACGTCGTTTATCAACGCGTCGGCAGCCTCCGCCTTCGCTTCTTCCTACGATAAATCGCCATTCAGTTCATCCAAAGGGCGAAAATCACTTCTGTCATGATAGTATCCACAAAATGACGGTAGTGAATGAACTTCATTGAATGGCATGCAGCGCAAACCTGCTTGTAGACTTCATAACCACGGCGAACCCTGAGAACACAAAATTAATGATAAAGAAAGCTGAAAAAAATTATTTTGATCAATTTTCACGATGAAGGTTTTGAAAAAATTCAATAAATCAAATATTTACAATTCACATTCTAGATAAAACAAAAAACTTTTTAATAAATAATTATATTGAAAAAACTCACGAAGCAATATCAAATGAAGAAAATGGTCCAGCGTGCGACCAGGGTAAGTGATAAGGATGAACGGCATCACTGCTGGCGCTTACCGAGTTTTCCAAGGCGTACACAAGCCCCAAGCCCGTGAAACCGGCGGCGCCAGCGATCACCGCAGCGGTTCGCTTCAAAAGTTGGGTTAAATTTTTTTTTTAATCGAAACATATGGAGAAACTAAGTAAAATAAACAAAAATAAAATGGAAAATTTCTTCTCGATTTCATAGCAATGCAATCTCTACGAAAGCGAATCGTGAAAGGAAATCACGATGAGGCTTCAGGAAGAGCCTGAATTTTAACGATGGTACCACGAGTATAGCTCTCCGGCATTTGTGCAAAATGTGATAAACTTGAAATATACCCTCAAAAACCTTTGGTATGGCCCAGATATAACCTAATAGTATATTGGAGACGTCCCAATGAACATTTTATTGAATCTTGTTTAAGACAGTGCCAAGAAGGCCGGTCCGTACTGCGCCGTTGTTGCGGAGCCAGAAAATTTTTTTTCCTTTTTTTACAATTTTCTAGAACTTGTCAGTCGAGGCCATAAAATAGGTCACATATTAAAAAATACACAAATTTTCGAAAAACCTTTTTAAACTACCGTAAATCGGCCGGCTGTCCTAAGCAGGCTGAATCTACGCGATATATTTTGAGAAATACACTCGTGGACATATTATGGTACCTTTCCTATTCGCTTGTGTACTCGGATCTCGGTAACGCAAACCGGACGTTTCTGAGCATCTCTAGTGATGGGCTTCAGCACTCCTAAGTGAATATGTGAAATGCTCAGAAAATTCCAGTTTGAGTTACCGACGGTCAAGTAGATATTTGAAAAAATCTTCAAAAAACAACATTTTTAAAATTTATCAAATGCTCATGTTTTAAGAAAAATAATCAAAAAACTGGAACTAGCTGATTCTTAAAAAAAATTGGAAAGAAAAAAAGGAGTAACTCACAGAAACTGCTTTTGTTCCTTGGGCAACGGCTCGCTGCATATCGCACCTTTATTACCTAAAAAGAAACTTTGATGTGAAAAATAATATCCGAAATTCCGGGCACAAATAAGGTACAAATTCGAGATCGGTAACTATTACGAGGACTTCGATAAGATTACTTCAGTCAAAAATAAAAGTAACAAAAGAGGTATTAATTATCAAAAACTTAAATAGGAACTATCTTCGAATCAAAACTTGAAGAAAGTAGAAAATAAACCGACTATATTGGCGAGCTATTCAGAAGAAATACGAAAAAATGAAGACAAAATAATTCAAACGAAACAAAGAAGCATACAAAAAAAATTATTGAAATTTAAAAAAATTTTGGTTTTGAAAGAGTATCGTTTCATTTTATGTATTATTATCTCATTCTCACCCGTCCTTTGTGTACAAACAGAAAAGAAAAAAAATTTCAATAAAGAAAATTGTTTTATCACGGCCATCTTCAAACGCGCCAATAGCTATTATTGACGATTTCTGAGTGCAACAAGGCGGCAATTCAAATAAATTCCCAGGTCTCGAACCCTACTAACCAGTTTTTCTTACACCTTTTCTGACAGTACGAAGGAAAATTTGTGAAAAGAACAGAAAATCAATTTAAAAAAATTTGGAGCTTTGGCGGCTGAGTAGAATTTAAAAAAATGTTCAAAATTAATGCGTATTTTGTATTCTGTAAGTACAGCCGTACGTAGGAAGGAAGTATAATTTCATGAATGAACATGTAAAAACGCGAAAAAAAGATCATGTTTATAAAAATTTTATTGACAAAAGAAACAAGCAAAAATAGTAATTCATTTCCCGATTGCGTTTTCAATGTCTGCTATCGCGAGGTCGTACTCGTACATAACCATTGGAAAAATCTCTGCGCCCAAGTTTTTGATCTGCTCATCGTATTCTTCCATCGTGTTTTTCGTCGCCTTCGAATCAACGTTTTGAAGCTGATTTATGTCATTACTTGTCAAAGTTTGAATGATCAAACCTTTTGAAAATCGACAATCTGCGCGTGGAGCTCGAAAAGGACATTTCTCACAGCATTTAGGACTCCCGGCTTCAATCTGTCATAAAATGATTCTTGTTTAAAATGATCCACCGAACGCTGGCTGAGCCTTCGAAGATGTCAGGCCTATCCCATTCCGCGCTAGCTTGCCAAGATTTTTTTCCTCCTCCGAGATTCAGAAGTTTTCTCTTCGATAAACGCGGCTTTTCCCTGAGCATGCGCCTGTACCTTAGCCTATAAATTACCGTTATATCGGAGGCGCAAGCACAGAGACAGACCCCGCGGCATCGAAAAAAAGAGCTTCATAGTTCGGAGAAAGAAAATCGTGACAATCTGGCGCGTAACGGGCTTATAAAAGAGAAATGTAAGTCTCGGAGCTTTAATGAAAAGGTACTCCTTTTATTTTACAAGAAAGAAGAATAAAAAACTCGAAGAAGGGTACGAAAACTTTTACTTATAAAACTCATTCTGCGTCTTTGAAGAGCTCAGCAAGGAAATGGTGAATGATAACTAGGAAACAATATACCCAACCTGTGAAGAGCCTGTGCTCGAGCCAAGACGAAAAGGGCCGAGTAAAAAGCAGAGGCATTGTAGATATTCTCATAGCGAATTCGCCTCAAAACGTCCCATAACTCGCCCAGCTCAAGTTGGAACTCCTCAAGACGAATACCCTTCTTGTATTCATCGATGATGACGGCGACCAACTGAGGCTCGTAGGAGCAAGGCTGGGCAGTCTGAACAGTCTTCTTGACTTTCACAGAAGGAAGAAGCTACCAACGTTGCTCGCGGCTAAATGCAGCAACCGTTTGAGAAAAAGTGCGCGGGAAGTCGGATCGAATGAGAGCGCGATTTGGCTCAGGATAGGAACGAACTTCGAAAGTTCTCCACTTCCAGTAGCGTCCGTCAAAGAAATAATGCGCCAACACAGATCCTATAACCCATAAGTTCTCAAAAAAAGGTCAACTTATTCGAATTTTCGAACTTTCCATATTTTCTCAAAAATCCTTTACGAAATTGCAAGATGGAGGCACAAAATCGGTATCTTGACGTGTAATAACCGAAAATTAGAGTAAATTGAGCTCTCATGACAGAGGACAAACCCCTAAATGGTTACCTATGTACATTTACGTTGGATTTAACCTAACTTCTCTACTTTTTTTTTTTCATATTCTTGATTTTTAAAGATGAGCCGATCGAATTTGGAAGGGCTACTAGTATCCTCCTCCCGATTGACCACTGTTCATCATTATAGTGCTCAAATTTTTCGAGCTGCCTCTACTAAGTTTAGTCTTTGTTATTTAACTTTTTTCGTTAGAAATAAGAAAAATGATTACAGAAATCGGAGTAAGATTCTCGCGATGAAGTTGGCCTGCTGATTGCATGAGGCCAACCAAAAAATCGAAGTTTTTGAAGACTATTCTCAGAAAATCGGATCCGGCATCGTTCGTTTCAGAGAAAACTTCATCGATAAATTCAGTCAAAGAGCACAGAACTCGGTCGACAAGGTATTCGGCGGAGAACACTTGCGGAAACACCAGCGATGAGGTGCTGGGCTGACAGTAAAAAACTGCAAGAAAATGTTTCACACTGAAGTATAGTCAATCCTTCCCGACTTGGAAGGCGAAATGGATAGACGCTTGCCGATCTCTTTCATACCCATCTCGCCTGTTAAGTAGGGAAAACTTGTATTCAATTTGCAAAAGCTCGAATTTCAGCGGGAAGACACGACTTAAAATTAATACTGGAAAAACACATAACTTAACAAAACTTCTGATCTTTTCGTTTAGAAATCTTTGAGAAACCTAGCGGGCTATAAAGTTACCAGAGCAGAGCTACAAACCAACAAGAGGATGACAAACGTCGACGACTGCGAGTTCACTGACGAAAGCGTTGGAGACTTCCTCATTTTTCATCAAAACGACTTTTCTTGCAAGCTTCCGGACCACATGGCCAGTTCTGAGAAATCGGATTCATGTGCGCGAGTTTATTCTGAGTATCACCTGAAGTTGCTCAACCTTAAAAGGCGGAGAAGAGTGGCGGCCCTATCGAGCCAAGCAGCACGACAAAGCAAATCGCGGAAAGACAAAGTCTCTTCTTCTAACATTTCGATAATTTCCAGACATTCTTCTTCCGTCAAGGTCCAGTGGTTTCTTAATCATAAGTAGTTTCAAAAGAATGAATGAGAAACCAACTCGGAAAATACTTCGAAGCAAGCTTTCGTCACGCTTTTTCTGTTCACCGTCAAGAGTTGAAAAGTCTCGTCGCGAACAGCATCTTCTTTGAATAATCTAGAAACCCAAAAAAAAAACATACACTATCTCTCTCTTATCATGATAACCTCAGTAGTCGAAATATGACTTCACACTTATTCAGACTTTCATCACATAGCGCAACTCGATGTAGAATAGTTTTCAAGGCCCTTCTTGTAACTAGAAAGAATGGATTATGGTGGCGATTGTACAGTATACCGTGCGAGTGATCCCTGGAGTTTCTTTCCAACAAATTCACAAACTTTTCCAATGACGCATTGTTAAGTAGACAGATTAACGCCGAGAGGTCCTTCATATTCGCCATCAATACTTTATTCATGAAAACGATATTTTCTTTCTGTGCAGTATTGTTCTCCAGCTTTTAAACTGAGATCTTCAGCGTGAGAAAGAGTTATTTTTTTTAACTTTTATCGTAAATAAAACCAGTGAAAAACCAGAAGAAACGAGAAAAAACAAGTAGCAAACCAATAAAGTTAAATAATATGAAGGAAAAATTTGAAAAGAAAGTTGGCTGTGGAAAATTATTTTCCCGCTGTTGCTTCAGCTGCGCGTCGAGCGGCGGCACGCTTGCCCACCATGGCAGTGAAACCGCTCTTGATAGTGACGACAGAACATCTTGAACCGCAGGCGTTGCACTGGAGGAAGAAAAGACGGGTTTCTTTTTCGAGCTGAGTGTCCGACGACCGGCATGTGTGACACATAACATACTCCTCTGAAAGTATTTCATTCAAAATATTTACGCGAAGTTCGAATATTTTTTATTTTTCATCTAAAAGGAATTTCAAGATTATCTGAGTAAAATAGAGACAAAAGCTCCAGGCCCTTCGAAAGCGAAATAGCGCTTCCAGGTTGGAAGGTCAAAGATTATCTTCTTTCGCCTAAACGCTCTTTTTCTCCAGTGCTCTAGCTTCCAAAACTGGATGAATCGACGATTCAAGACAAAAGCCGCAAAATTAATATTAAACCATTCACTAAAACAAACTTTTTTCACAGAAGATATTTTTGAAAAATGAACAACGGCATGTAGAGCACACATGCATCATATAAGAAATCATGAAACACCAGAAAAGCCTACGCATTATTCGCTCTGAAACCCTGATCTTACTTTGCTTTCCTGCGTAACGATAAAAATTGATGTGATAAGTAGAAAAATATAGATCAATGAAAAGTTTATGTATGCGGGGCATTAATTTTAAACTTTCAAGCTTTGGTCCAAAATGTTTGTACGAAGGTTAGGGTAAAAAAAGAAATACCAACTTATATACTTTCGTAATACGCTCTCAAAGTGTTTTTGTTGCCATCTTCCTTTCACAATGAGGCAGTTGTTGCCATCGATGGATCCAGTAGTACCTAAAAAAATGTTTTCGTTTCAAAATGTGACTGTTTACTGACCGAGCTCAGCAAGTAGAAACTGTAAGACGTGTTTGTCTTGCCTTTTCATTAGGCGACATATTTCGGCAAAGTTAGAGAACGCCGTCTTCTTACTGCCTGCTCTACCAACCTAAAACAAAAAATCGTACATTGTTTAAAGAATCTAAGAGGACCTCTGGAGGCTTCATGGCAAACTTCTTCTTTTCTCCAGCCAGTTCGGGATTCTTTTCTTTCATTATTTGGAAAACCAAATTTAAGCATTCTTCGTACGTGTAGTCTGGCCAAGTTTTTGAAGCATCTATCAAATTTGAAGCTCCAATGCCGATATCTTCAAAAACAACCATAGCTTTACACATTGATGAGGGTTATAGTTACCGAGTTGAGGAACCTTTTCGACGACATCTTCAACATCGACTTTTGGCGCTTTTCTCTTCTTCTTGCCGGTGAGATTCAAGTCACCTGGAACAGAAAATCCTTTTGATATTTTCTATAAATCCTCGTACCCAAATCTTCGTTAATGTTCTCGGCAGTTGGAACAACAGCTTCGTCCTCATCCTCATCATCCAGTTTGATGATCTTTTTCGTTTTCTTCTTCTTTCCGAGTTCCAATCCCTAAATTTATTGAAATTATATTTTTATCAAGAAGAAAAAGCTCACAAGATCGTCTGCCATTTTCTTTTCCTTGTCTTTTTTTTTTGTACTGCTGAACTTGCTAAAACTCTGAAAAATACATAGCTATATATGGCTTTCGGGAAAATTACATTCGTAAAAGAATCAAAATTATTCATATGTTAAAAAGAAAATCGATAAACGTGTATGAAAAATTGCAATGTGCCTCTTGAGAAACTGCTTTTTCAACAAAGTTTAAAAAAATCCGAAAAATTGAACTAGAAAAATGCAAAACAATAAAGGATAATTTAAATATGATGCCATGTTCAAAATAACTTTGCAAAATTGAAAAAAAGACCTTCAGAGAGAGAAAAAAAGAATTAAATAAGGGGGAATCAAAGATAATTTTGAAATTTGTTGCAACAACATGTTGGAATAATACTCTGGAAAATAATATTTGAATATTGAACAAGGCATGAACAATATATGCGCAATTGGCATATGCCTATATGTCAATTGCCGCATTCTTATGGCGTGTTCATCGGACAAAACGAAAATTGCTTCGAAACGCAAAAATTGTGTTCATTGGCGCGTCAAAGTTGCTCCAAAACAGTACTAATTTTTGTTTGGGAGCCATTTTTTGCGTTTCGAGGCAATTTTCGTTTTGTCCGTTGAACACGCCATTAACAATTAAGCGCATGGGAAAAAAAATAGACGGCTGAAATCCGTGTTTGAAGTTATTCCGCGAAACTCGAAACAGTCGTCAGATATTGAAAAAGATAACCAAATTTTAAAGAGCCAGAATTAATTTTTAATAACTTGAACCTTGAACACGGCTTAAGTTTTAATATAAGTAGAGTCAACACATAAAAAACTGTGTAACGCTTAAAATAACTCTGCAGAGTGTGTCGAAATTAATTACGCGTAATCCATTTCGACACAATCTGCAGAGTTATATTGAATTCATCAAAATTCGAAATTGAATAATTCCCAAAAAGACGATAAGTATGATTTATTGATAATTTGAATAATTTTTTTCCTAATTACGCAAAATTACTTTGAAAATGCATTCATTCTAAAAAAAAAAATAGAATTAATTTAGAAAAAAAAAGAAAAGAAAACAGAATTGGGCAAAGGAAATTTTAAAGGCGCATCTGAGTCTGAAACTCAGAACATTGAAACGAGCGCTCTGGCACTTTGCCCGCTTATACTCAGTGTTTAATCGCTTTTTGAAAAATTATTTCATTTCAGTTTTGTTTGTTAATATTTGTTTTTAACTCTGGGAACCTCGTTTCATGCAATCAGAAAGTTTGTTTTTGCAATTCTAGTTTCTTATTTGACTTCTGAGATCTTTTTTGTTTGTAAAATCACTTCAAGAACATCTAACGATGACTCAGCTGTTTTTTAAAATTATCTTCTTATAGTTTTTTTTTTCAAGTATGTCAGCCAATCTCCCGGCATGTGTCATCGACAACGGAACCGGTTATACGAAACTTGGGTATGCAGGAAACAGTGAACCACAGTTCATTATCCCATCAGGTATTTTTTTTTTCTTTTTCATGGTCGTAGTTATATTTGTGCAGCTATCGCGGTGAAAGACAAAGTAGCCAGTTCTAATGCTGCTGCGCTTCGATGGAATACCGGTGGCGGTGCGCGGATCGACGATTTGGATTTTTTCATTGGTGATGATGCTTTAAGCCCATCGGCAGCGAACTATTCCGTGAAGGTTTCATTAGAAATAGTTGATTGTCCCAAAATAGTTTTTTAGTATCCAATCAGACATGGTATAGTGGAGGACTGGGATTTAATGGAACGCTATTGGGAGCAATGTATTTTCAAGTACTTGCGTGCGGAGCCTGAAGATCACTATTTTTTACTGGTAAGAAAATTTCACGTATCGTTTAAGCTTTTTCAATCTGTAGACTGAACCTCCTTTGAACACGCCAGAAAACCGCGAATATACAGCCGAAATCATGTTCGAATCTTTCAACGTTCCCGGTCTCTACATCGCCGTCCAAGCGGTCCTTGCCCTGACTGCAAGTTGGCAAACGCGAGCCGCCAATGAGCGAACCTTGACTGGCCTTGTACGTTTTGAAACTTTCAACCCAATCTTTGAGAATTGGTTTTTAAAAAAATGAAACTATTTTTTTCCATATTTGTAAGCACTTTTTGATGTGTCTTCGTTGATTTTCTATCAATTTTGAAGGTGATTGATTCTGGAGACGGCGTCACGCATTGCATTCCTGTGGCCGACGGATACGTCATAGGATCTTGCATCAAACATATTCCGATTGCTGGTCGTGACATCACCTATTTCATTCAAAGCATTCTCCGCGAAAGAGAGTCCAACATTCCTGCGGAGCAGTCCCACGAGGTGGCCAAAGCAATAAAGGTTCTGATATATCTTTGCTCAAATTAATTGAATTTATCTTCTATTTTTTGTCATTTTATCGTTTTTTTTTTCTTAGGAACGATACTGTTATGTTTGTCCGGATGTGATGAAAGAATTTGTCAAATACGATACCGATCCTGCTAAATGGTTGCGGACATATAACGGCATCAACAATTTAACTAAAGCGCCGTTTACAGTCGATGTTGGATATGAACGGTTTTTAGGACCAGAAATTTTCTTTCATCCCGAGGTCTGTTTTCATATTCATATTCAGCAAATTTCAACGCCAGAATTTAGTTTGCTAATCCCGAATTCACCACACCGATTTCTGAGATAGTCGACAATCTCATCCAACAGTGTCCAATCGATGTGAGGCGAGGTCTTTATGAAAATATTGTACTCTCAGGAGGGTCCACCATGTTCAAGGTTTTTCAAGCGTTATTTCCTACTTTAACTGAATATTCTCAGGACTTTGCTCGGAAAATGCAAAGAGATGTGAAACGTTTGAGCGATGCACGTCTCGCCCTCAGCGAAACGCTTAGCGGCGGACGCTTGAAGGTGGAATAACAACTATTAATATGTATCTTTAAAAATGTCTCTTTTAGCCAAAACCAATTGACGTACAAGTTATTTCCCACAAAATGCAGCGGTACGCTGTCTGGTTTGGAGGATCAATGTTAGCATCAACGGCGAGTTTTTTTTTTCCTTTGAAGTTTACAAAGTAATATAGTCTGTAATAACAGCTTGCTGTATGTATTGAAAAAGAGAAATTAAAATCATTGTTTAAACATTTAGATAATAGTATTTTCATAGAAATATCAAGTTCTCTGACAGCCAAAAAGCTCGAAAAACATAGTTTGGGATTTCCTCTTTGATCAGTCTTATCTCTGAGTTTCAGCCCGATTTCTATCAAGTGTCGCACACAAAGGCGCAGTACATGGAGCACGGACCCTCCATCTGTAGATACAACCGAATTTTTGGTGCTCTTACCTAATTTTTTTCGGTTTGATTGTTATACTATACGATTTTTCAAATGCTAAACGATCCTCTAAAACGATTTTTTTTTTCATTCTTGTGGCCTTTTCACTGTTTTTTTTTTCGTCCAATTGAAAAGTTGAAAATTGAAAACATTCTTTTCACTTTTTCTTTTACTAAATTCTATGCTGTGATGCTCATAAATATACTTTATCAATTAATTATTTGCCTTTCCTGTTGCTTCAATGAGCCTATGCACAACTCATTATTCTTGTTCCGGACTTTTTCATCGAATTTATTCCGCACGACAATGCTTTAAATTTCATCGTTTAATTGTAAAAATGAATATATGTTTTTTTGAAAACTTTTTCATATGAAGATTGTAAAAACAGGGAAACCTATCTGTGCGCTGACTTCCGTTCAAAACAGTTTTATACAGTCTAGATTTTGAATGTCAAGCAGCTAACTCCGCCTCAAGGCTGCAATATCATCGCGTCAATTTTTCTTCTTCAGATGACGATGAACCTTTAATATGGCTGCATTTTTTGACGTCTTTATCAATCTTTTAGACAAAAAATGATCAAAAATCGTGTCGCGCGATGTAACATCGACGCGAAAAGATACTGTGTCAGCAGGGGCGGAGTTAGCTGATTGACATTCAAAAAAAAAATCTGAACAGACTTTACAATTCTTTCAGAATGGATCTGCCCGTGGTAACTTATGAAAAAGAAGAGTACGTCGAAACGGCATCGGGTAATAAAATTTGCAAAAAGAACACCATCGCCTCGAACACTATTTTTGGAACACAGAACATAATCATTAGTGGAAAGGTTTTTTTTTCTGTTGTGTATTGGCAGATAACTCGCAGGCTGTAATTTAAATTCAATTAATGAAAGGAAGTAAATTGAGGTTTAGACAATTATCCAAAAGGACGTGATTTTGCGAGGCGACTTGGCTGTCATCCGAATAGGACGTTACTGTATCGTCCAGAGAGGGACTATTATCCGGCCAAGTCTCAAGCAATTCGTGAGAAAGCCCACCATGTTCCCAGTCACTATCGGCGACTCCGTTTTTGTCGAGGAAGTACGTTTTCAAAACATTCCTCTGGCATATTTCTGAAAGTCTACGTTCATAAAGGGCGAGATACTAGTCTATTTGGAAGTTTTTTTTCTGGGTGTTAGAAGGAGCTTAAAAGGTCTCACGAACCATTTTCGATCTTACTGTGGTTCTTGCAAGACTTCTGCGCCTCCTGAAAATTCCGGTCATGAGTTTTGAACACTCAGATCACTTTGTATATCTGTGAAGGTGCTACTTATGAGTAAAGACTGTTCCGTTTCCAAAGAGTTATTCTCACCAATTTCAGGAATGCGTGATCAACGCGGCTTACATCGGCTCTTTTGTGCACGTTGGAGCGCGGAGTGTACTCGGCAGAGCGTGTACGATCAAAGAATGTTGTAGAGTTCTGCCAGATTCCGTCGTTTCTGCTGATGCCGTTTTCCCGCCCTTTTCAACCATTGGCGGCAATCCTGGTCAGTTGTCAAACCGTAAAAATTTGTTTGTGAGAGCCTCATTCTAATGAGTATAAAGTGAAAGCAACAAAAGACCGAAAAATCTGTTTAAATATTATCATACATGGAAAAGGCAGGGTAGCCCCGAGCGAAATCAGATCAGATCTCACGACTTTTTTCCGTCCGGTCATGAGTTTTTGCATGTTTGAAGTTCCATGTACAATGAAAACTCCCTTTTTGAGTCTTTTTTATACTCTTTTATGTTGCAGCTCGAATTGTTGGCCAGGAACCGGAGTGCACAGAGAACTTGATGGTGGAAGCAACGACAATGTACTACGACAACTTCGTCCCTTCCAATTTACCCAAGGCTTCTTTCGCTTAAAGTTTTTGCTTCAAAACCTTTCGACTATCATTCTGAGAATTAAAGAAAACGATTTTCAACTTCCAGAGAGTACAATGCAGTTCAAACTGTTTAGGCAAATTTTTACTCAGGGATCTATTGTGTCCTCGGCCCCTTTTATAGGTAGGAAACGGTTTTCCCCTGTGTATCTGGCCTACAGCCGAGAGCATTACTTCGAACTATAGAGACCTAATGTACTATTATGTCGTACATATCAGCTTTTGTATAATTTTCCACTAAATTAAAGAAATATTTAATTTTTGGTTTGCAAGCTTTGTTAACGGGTATATTTTCAACTTTCGTTTTTTCCTTCTTGCAAATTCCGCTGAAATTGATACTGTAATTATTTAAGATTTGTCTAGAAAAGTTTTGTATTTGAAAAAAGATAAATTATTTGAAAAAAAATGTGTGAAGGCATGAGATCGAACCGAAATTCTACATGTTCATGAAGATGTGCACTTTGAAGAGACAATATGAATTATCGACTGCATAAGTCGCTCGTAGGACTCCTGAAAGTACGGTTTTCAGACAGGAAAAAAAGAATAATCGAAACATTGTCTTTCGAACAAATGGCGGCATCGTTTTCAATCTTCTCGAACATCCGACAGCCGGACTCGGCGAAGACGTCGCAAAATGAGTGAAGCGCATCACGAATCTGCGACGCCATCTTGATCCTCGACTGCAGAGAAACCCTCTGAAAAAGACACTGACTTTTTTTTTGGTATAGTCTGTGTGCCACGACTTGAAATTTCACGGAACGACATTCCGCTGTTCCGCTGCGTGCTTTCGCGAAGCGTCTTTCGAATCTAGATCACTCTTTCAATCGATTGTTAGTGCTGTGGGAGCACATGAAAGTAGAGCACCTTAATGAAAGAAAAAGGAATTGAAAGCGCGACCAAAATTCGCAAAAGCGCGCAGTGGCACAGCGGAATGTCGTTCCGTGAAATTTCAAGTCGTGGCACACAGACTATAGAAAGTCATACCGATTCTGGAATGGAGCCAAGTTCGAAGCGAATGCGCTGTCCAGAGATGGGCGACGCGAGCATTCGTCGCACTGTGCTCACGTGGTTGATCATCTTGTCGCGCAAATACTCGTCCATCTGAAGACGCACGACGCTTCGGGGCATCAGTGCAGCCACCTGCCAAAAACTGCTTCTCAACTGACACTATACGACCGCTTACGGCCTCCGCTGTAGCGAATTCTTCCAACTGTGCCTTGATCATCTCGTTCTGCTCCATTTCATTGATGGCACTGACGGGTGTTGTATCAGGAGGTTTTGGTTTGAAAATGACACCGTCGTCATCGATTTGGACGACTTCCACCAAACGTTTGTAGGATGGAATCCCGGAAGAGTTTTCGGGAGTCTGTGGAGCATCGCCGGCTATTTCCGACTCTCGTGGAGAACGACTTTCGACAAGGGTGCCACATCTCGCACTGGAGCATTCCACTCTAGTCAGTGGTTTTCGCTTTTTGGACAAGAGCCAAGCGTCCTTGTACTCTTCGCGCTTTTGCCGACCCGAAACATTGCCTAAAGAGAATTATCGAGTTAAAGATTGATATCGAAGCTTTTTTAAAAAAAAGTTTGCTTTCACAGGTCTTAACTTCTAAAAATCGAGTCTGGATAATAACTGTGGCTAGAAATTTTATCTTTAATTTTAAGCGTACATAGGCCAACTGATTGAGTAAATTTACTCCAAGCGTGAACTCGTTGAAAATGATATTTACTAAAACGGATAGACACAGATGAAAACTCAGCAAACTTGAGGCTGTTTTGTTAGTTTATATTTTAATTGCCTCTCACCTACCAATTTCATCGCTGCCGCACTGAACAAACTCGCTGACGATTTCGGACTCGTCGAAGACAACTTTACAGTTAAAACGCCGTTGAATCCTGAGAAGCAATAAGTGAAACTCACACGAAGAGAGTGAAAAAGATCAAGGGATGAGAAGTTCGATGAAATTTTACTGATCATCTACTTTGTTAGAAAAGTTTTTGAAGTGAACATAGCAGATCTGGTCGAACTAGGGAATGTTCTTCTCTGAACATCGAGTTGAGAATCGATACTTTTTTTGGTCTGATAGGCCTAGGTTAGAGTAATCAGAATCGGAAATGAACTTCTGCTGAACCTCTCAGGTTATCGAGCAAAAGCTCGTCGAAAGTTTTTCACCCACGAATTCCTGATTCTCAACTAGATTTCCGTGGGATACAGCACCCTAGTAATATATTTTTTTTCTAAATGAGAAAAGCTAAACATGCAATTCTTATTAAACTGTAGTCAAAAGGATATAAATTGCCTTTCAGTGAAATTCCAGGCCGCACTTTTTGGGGCAGCAGTTTGAGGGGGGAAGGCCGTACCCCGGGGTGAGGTCCAGCTGACGTATGGCTTGTTAGAAGGGAACCCACGTGAGAACGGCGGCGTCCGACAGCCGCAGTCGCCATCGCTGACACATCAGAAGCACGTCGTCGCGCGGTAGCCCAACGTTGCAAATACTGGGAAGCATTTGCTTACGGAAACTGAAACACCTTCCAGTAAATTATGTTATATACAGTCAGACCCCTCTATTTCATGTTCTTCCGAATTTTTCTCTCTTCTTCTGAAGTTGTGAAGACCCATTCAAAAAAAAAATAATAAACCATTGGTATATAAAGAAACTGTATTTAAAACTATTGAAGGCGCAAACGCAAATGTGCCATTAAATCCGTGTCATTCACTGTTTTTTTAAAGTCTCCCGCGAATTTCTCTTCTCAATAATCCAGCAAGGACCCTGAACAGATTATATTTTAAAAGCTTTGAGCGAATCCGTTTTTTTTTTTCAAAACTAACCGCTCTTCAAGTTTACGAGTTAATTTAAAACTAACTGCGTGCTCAAAGATTGTGCGGAAGTACATGAGTTTCCCCTTCTCTCTTGAACTTGTCGAAAAGCTCCCCATATCTTTAAGCCAGAAGGCTTTTTGGCTCGCTCATCTCCTGCTTTGAGCATCCTTAATCCAAAATTTAAAACGGTATTTCATTCAAAATTTCACCTCGAAATGAATTCCCACATATTGGCTTCTACATCCTCGGTGAATGCATTTCGTGACATCTTATATCGAGAATTAACTTGAAATTTTTAATACAGTTATTTATGTTTGATTATATACTATCTAGCCTTTAGAACCTGTCTTCCACCAACATTTATTTGCAATAACCCCTACAAAGAAAAAAAAATTAAGATACATAAAAATTCAGTCGACACTTAATAAGAAAACGGATGATGTCACAAACAAAACGTGAATCATCGTGCGTAAAACAATGAGCAATGCAATTACTGAACATAGTGATATAGAAATAACAGAAGGCTTATCATACTTACGCGCATTATCATGTGGAACAATGTACTGAACAAGAATAGAGACAATAAATAAAATCCGCTCTTAAATATAATAAAACCACATTACGAACATGCTAATATAACTTTTTCTTTCATAAAATTCTGGGAAATCAAGGTACACCAAATCTCTTACCGCGCTCGGAAATAAGGCCACAATCATGCTAAAAAAAAATAAATGATCTTTATAATTATCAACACAATAAATTAATAGCGAGGCATAAAAATTTTAACGATGGTAGACTGCACAAAAACTCAAATGAATCACAGTAAGTAGTATGGAAAATATTTTTTTATTACAGGATCGACAGCTTTGGCTGAGAATTTTGCTTTTCTTTCGGCGCTCCTTTTTTACCCTCCTGTTTGTTTCGAGAGCGACGAACAACCGAGTCGCTTGAAGTGAGAACCGACGCGTCGAGACCACGAGCAGCCAACTGAAGCTGCAGCGACTGTTGAAGAGCAGCTAACTGCTCCGGAGAAAGCCCCTCGGAAGACATTTGGATGCCACCGGTAACAATTGTTTGTGGTTTCGCCTTCTTGTCTTCTGAAATAATTTAATCTTAGTATAAAGGAAACAAGGTTGAAAAAATCCGATTTATTAAAATTAACTTCATTCCTATGATACTAGGTATTTAAGAGGGATGGGCGGAAAAGTTCTGTGAAAAAAACTATTGGCATATACAAAACAAAAGTTATTTGTAATTAGGTGCCAGATTTTGGGAAAATTGAAAAAAACAGCTCAAAAAGTGAGGAACGCGGAAATCTTTACTGTTTTAGGGATTTTTCTAAAATATGGTAGAGAATGTAGAGATATTTTTTTGTTTTTTTATTTGCTACAACTTAAATTTTTTACAATAACTAAATTTTTTTGTAGATGGAACATTTTTTTCGTTCGAAAATTCTCTTTTCCGCGTTCTTAATTTTTGAAAAAAACTGTTTGCGAAAAATATTTTTTTCATTGCTACCGTAACTCATTTGTTTTTTCGCGAGCTCAATAGTAGGTATCCAGGAAAATGCGCAAGTTAGAGCAATCATTTAATTTTCAATCCACGCCTTGCGACACCGCCGGAACGCTTAACATTCAGCTACTAATATCTCAAAAAGAGCGTTTCTTTGAAAGCCTATAGGCACATTTTGAACTCCTGTTAAATTCAAGTAGAACCTTTATGAGTGGGGCTCAGGTTGACACCAGAATCAGCACCAACAGAACTCGAAATGCTACTCTGACTGGTTGCGTGCTTCATAGGGGCGACTGGCGCGGGAGTAGGAGACACAGTCTTTGAAACAACATCGTTATTGACCACAGGCTTTCTTTCTGTGACACCTAAACGTTCATATTCTTTTTAATAGCCTCAAGGTAAGCACGTTACTTTTTCCAAACGTAGATATAGCTCTTATCAAATCAGTTGTGTCAAATAAAATCTTGGCATTGGGACTATTCTTATAGACTGACTGCAGCTCCTTTTCTCTTTGCCCGATCGCAGTTCGGATGAACTGAAATTTTTTTTATGAAACATCAAAAATAAACAAAGCAACCTTGAAAGCTTCGCTTAACTCTCCGAAATCAGATCCAGTATCTCGAGAGGTCCCGTTGTTAGCTGAAAAAAATTTTTCTTAATAAAAAAATATAGAAATTCAAAAAAATTGAGAAAGATCACTTTTTAAAGAAAGTTTATATACATAAGAAGAGAAATATTCAAAAAATATGTCATCGAACATCACATACACTACCCATTTCGGTATGAAATTTTTTTTAATTGAAAAAAAAACCATATTTGAATTTTGACATGAATAAACGTAGGTAAAAATAAACAATTGTGAAATAGCCGTTCAAATAACGGATATTTGATGCGACCAAGATTTTTTCTGGGCTCCTTCGGCGATTATCTTGTTTGAAGAAGAAAAAATAATTTTATTTCTTTCTTTTTGCGAAATGTCTGCCCAACACACGCGTGTTTGAGACAGGGCTACGGCGGCCGGTCCATAATTCGCCGTCAGTTTTTTCGGAGCCAAGAATTTTTTTCAACTTTTTATCTTTATCGCAATTTTTTTCTCGAGGTTACAAGATAAGTTACTTCACAAAAAGTAGACAAGTTTTCATTTTATTACCCCAAAAACCTAGCTTGACTAATGTAATACGACCTGCCGCCGCCGCCTTGAACATGAACACACTCAAGGAGCAGGAATCGGGAAAAAAAATTCGGGTTTAAAAAAATAAAGTGCTGTATTGACAAGAAAGCTGCCGAAAAAACTCAAAAAGCATTAGAAACTTGAATCGCATAAAAGTCCAAAATTTAGGACGTCAGATTTTTATTTATAGAAAATTCTAACCCTATGTTAATGACTCTCACGTTAAAAAAAACTCAGGCACAGGCGAGGCGCACCGGCCCTTAATTTTGCCTTCTGAATTCAAAAAATACCATTGCCGTGTTCAAATGCAACATTATCTGACTCTCCAAAATTGAGTTATCTTTTTCTTTCTCTTACGGCTATTTTGCATTTCGCGGAATCAGTTCCAACAAGGCATTATTAGGAACCTCGCTCACTTTTTAAACCTTTTTTGGTTTCAAGGATTTTTTTGTTTTGTTTTAGAAGTTTCAGAAGGAAATGTTAAAAGTTAAATGAAAAATGGGCATGGTCGAGTTTCATACGTTATTTATTTAAACATACGCATCATGATGAGAAAAGATGCATGAAAGTGTAAAAGGGCATAATGGCAAAAAAGGAGGAGACACCGGGCACTTCCCAGCATGAAGCTCAGCGCGCGCGCCAAGTTCCTAAAGAACACTAAAACAAGCTGAACCTAAATAAAAAAGCTTGATACTGACCACCAGATTATTTGAAGAAGTTCAACGTTTTTGTTTACTGTTATAAACCTTATGAAGCGTTTAAGTAATTTCCGCCAAATGCAAAATCATCTCTGACTCTCCAAAACAGTTTTCTGTTTCTTTCTCTGACGGATTTTAATTTTAGCAAAATGACCTTGAGCACCGCATTAAACATTTCCGTAAAGGAAACGCACAAATCCGTTAATTATCAATTAATGGTTTGAAATTCGACTAACCATGAGCCTTAACTGTAGATATGTTGTTGCTTTTCGGTAAAGCATTCGCAGCGTTGAGTTCATCAACGCGTGGTGGTGCAGAACCTTTCGAAAAATCTATTAAAAACAGAAAAAAAAATTCTTCATACTAGCAATTGCTGTGTTTTGAGAAACTGTTGCTGTAGAAGGGACTGAGATGCTCACTGCTTGCAAAGCTGGTGCTGACGACTTCGCCTTTTTCTTCTTATTTTTGTTTTTGTTACCAGCCGGAGCGCCTGGACGAACCCAATCGTCTAAAATTCCAGACGCACCACCTGAAAAAACTAGTTATGAAATATCATCCAAGTGTTTCTATAACCATCACAAAAAGCTTGAATAGTCTTCTCAACATTGAGATCAAAAGAATGGAGAACCATGATGATGTCGTTGTTATTGACGCCGTTTACCACCTCTCGAACCTTGGCGACTTTTTCAGCCATGATTTTCTTTTCACTTTCCTTGGACATGGTCGAAAACTGAAATAAATTGAGAAATGTGAGTAATTTACACGTAAAATGTTGTAAAACGAGTAAATAATGAAAAGAATAAGCGGAAAAAGGGAGGTAATTTAGTTCTACCTATACCATGGTAGAGTTGAAAACTACAAGCTTCCGTGAGAAGCAGTTTGCTTACAATAGGAAGAGTATCAAAGAAGAACACCTTCAACTCAAAATTATGTCTATCAAGTCTGAACAACCTGTAGATTGGTTGGCACGCGTCGCGGTCGCGTCACGCTCGAGGAAAAACTTTTAAAAAAACCCATGCTCTTGATTTTTTTTTAAATATGGAACTTGAAGTCAATGAAGCGAGCAACAATTTATAAACAAAGCTAAATGAGATACATACACGTTAAAAACTATTTTTACTTCCAAAAAATGTAAAATAAAAGCATTGCAGGTGGTCTTTCAAAACGAAGGGTTACGGTATTATGAGGGTTCTTGTGTTTTTTTTTTCTTTGGTGGCCCAAAATTTTCATCCCGCCGCAGTCCACTGAACATCTCCTTTTTTCAAATTTCATTTTTATATTGCGTTCAAAAAGGCATCGAAATGCTATTAAATTTGTAAATTTACTCTAAAACTTTAGTTACTGGGGGGAGTGTTTTACCCCCTGTTGAACTTTTGAAGAATTTATGCTGAATTTTACTTTAGGACCTGATTCCAGACAAAAAAATTCTTGCCAACAGATCTCGTTTTTGAGTTATGAAGCTTTAAAGTCTGCAAAATATGCAATTTATGCTAAGAAGTGCTATTTTAAGCTTTTGAAGCGTCTTAACTCGAAAATAAAATCTATTGCAAGAAATTTTTGTTCTTAAAGAAATATTGAAGTTCCGACAAGGAAAAAAAAAATTTCGCTTTTTGAAAGCTCTATATTTGAATTAACCATATTTTTCACTCTTCTCGAAAATTTTCAGTGGTTGGATACCATAGGCGCCGCTATTTCTAGACCAGGGGCGTGGCTTGCCTCACCGTAATTTTTGTGCAGTGGCGCGCACATGCTTACTTTTCCTCAGTCATTTTCTTTATATTTCTTCATTTTTTTTTCATTTTCTTATTCATATTTCTTTTAAGTATTCCCATTTGATTTCAATATAACTCCTTCTATTATCTAATTAAATTTTTAATTTTTGAATACATGGTTCTTCTGTCTTTAGTATCGTAGACGAATTTCTTGAGGCCGAAAAATCGTTTTTTTAGTTTAAATGAGTGTACGCCATTGCGAATAATTTCATTTTCGGGGTTCTTCTACTTTTCCCATAAAGATTTTTTTCGAGCCATAAAAAAAGTGAGCTCTTTATTTCGATGAAAAAAATCTCCTATTTTTGATAAGTTCAGGCCCTTTTTTTCTAGTTTCTTTTTGAACACTTTGCGAATGTGTCCAAAGTCCACAGGAAGAGGACTCCAACTATTTGATGAAATCTACATCGTCGACGACTACTTCTTTGGTCGAATTAAAAAGTTTTATAGTTTATTTGCTTTTTATTATCTCCGCGAAGCATACACCGCTGTGGGAAGTGTAGCTACCGCATGTAAAGATTTAAAAGCCTAAATTCATTTTCAGAAGGAAAGCAGATATGATGATTTTTGCAGTTAACACGATCTATTTTTGAGATTTGTGTCACGACGGCTTCATTTTTCCTGGATTTGAACGAATAACTTCGGTCCTCTGGTCATGCGCGTCATTTACCTTCATCTCCATGCAAAATCTTGACGCTGTTAAGCGATTCTATCTGAATTAAAGAAAATTCCCTATTAAATATTATGTTCAAGATACACAAAAGATAACTGGCTATTCGGGTGTGATATAAAACCTAGTTCGGGAGCGGTACATCGACAATCACGCAAATATTTAAATATCGTCTCCGCGCGGATCTCGCATTTATCTCGCTTTTTTTAACGAACTAGTAAATATTTGAATATTTTTCAAATCGCGATGTTGCGCCAAGATAAATGCGAGGCCGCTTCTAAAAAAAATGCGAGACCCGCGCGAAGACATAGCGACATGTTTACGAATTCGTCAATGTACCGCCAGCGAGCTCGGCAGTTCTTCTCAGTGTACCTCCAAATGTTTAATAGAGCACAGTCAAATTGAATAAAAAGTAATTGGTGCAGTTTTTCAGTGTTTTTTTAGGCCTTGCGAGATTTATGCCTCTTCAAAGTTTTTCGAGTTCTACTTGACAATCCTTTACTGCGTTATAATTCGAGAAATTTCGCATATACCCTAAACTTTTGACGCGTCTTGTTTTTTTTTCGGTTTTATTGGGTCGCGTTGCCATATAGATTCGAGTTCGTCCGAGATTTTTCGCACGGTAAGTTCTTTCCGTACACTCAAAAGTCTTACGCTGGTAGAATATTCTTAACTCATTTCTAAAGTATGGAATTGCGCAACTTATTTGGATTCCTATGCTTATTACGCGCAGTGTATAATAATTTGAAGAATCCAAAAAAAGTGATTAAAATAGCTGAATTTTTTTGAATTTGTTCGTCAATTTTTCTCCACCAACAATTAGAAAACTAATAATTGTGAAGCAATGAATAAATGCTGCTCCACATTTTTTTGCAGAATGATTTCAAAGAAAGTACTTGAGAAGAACCATATCTTCGAAAATTAAGAAATAGAAGGAGTTATATTGAAATCAAAGGGGAATACTTAAAAGAAATATGAAAAAGAAAATGAAAAAAAAAATGAGTATAAAGGAAATGACTGAGGAAAAGTAGGTATGTGCGCGCCACCGCACAAGGTTACGGTGAGGCAAGCCACGCCCCTGGTCTAGAAATAGCGGCGCCTGGATACCATTTTGAAGCCGCGACTTTCTTGTTTAATTAATCCGTTCACTCCTTTTTACTCGATAATTGTACTTCTGAAAAATATAATTCAGGGTACGAAATGTCGAAAGTATCGAGAGATACTTTAAATGAGGCTGTTGCCGATATTCTGAAAGGATCTCAAGATAAGAAGCGCAAGTTCCGCGAGTCTGTGGAGCTTCAGATCGGTCTCAAGAACTACGATCCCCAAAAGGACAAGCGTTTCAGCGGATCTGTCAGGTAGCTACGACCTGTTCGATCAGGTAGCCAGTCATGGCGGACCCACACCCAGGGTCTTAAATATTGGGAAGGCTTTATGCCGATAGTTATCATAACATGTCAAGATTGGTAAGCACGCTTATCGCTGCTTCATTTTGACTCGGATTGAAAACTTGGAATTTTTTTTTTTCAGACTGAAGTATGTTCCACGACCATCGATGAAGGTGTGCGTGTTCGGAGATCAACATCATCTTGACGAAGCTAACGCAAACAACATCCCAGCTATGAGTGCTGATGATTTGAAGAAGCTGAATAAGAACAAAAAACTCATCAAGAAGCTTGCCAAGGGATACGACGCTTTCCTCGCGTCCGAGTCTCTTATCAAGCAAATTCCCCGTATCCTCGGTCCGGGCCTCAACAAGGCAGGCAAATTCCCTTCCGTTGTAACTCATGCGGAGTCTCTGCAATCGAAGAGTGATGAGCTCCGAGCCACCATCAAGTTCCAGATGAAGAAGGTTTGTCGGTAATTCCGTCATTTTTTATTTGAGCCTTTCGTTTAGGTTTTGTGCCTTTCTGTGGCTGTAGGCCACGTCGAGCTGTCGCAAGAAGAGCTTGTCAGCAACATCTCTTTGGCTATCAACTTCCTCGTTTCTCTTCTGAAGAAGAACTGGCAAAACGTCCGCTCTCTCAACATCAAAACGACCATGGGAAAGCCACAAAGACTCTATTAATTTGTTATCAATAAATTTGTTGTTATCATTCTTCGTTTTTTTCTGAAGTTACCTTTCCACATCATACAAAGTTGTATTTTATTTTTTAAATACAGGTCATACGATTTTTATGTAGGAAATGAAGAGTTCCGGCGTTTCAAACTTTGCGGAGGGAGTCGCTGTCAAGCAGTTCATCGCCATTGTAAACGACGGGGAGAACATAGTAACCTTTTCAAAGACAGCTGAAATGTCAGAAAAAAACCGGGCTGAAATGTCAGAAAAAAAAATCTGAACATTATCATGAACGATCACAAATTATGACGTATCAGCCCGACGGGTGCTACTGGCCAGCATTAGATTGGCTTGAGATTACTGATAACCGCCGTGTATACGAGAAAAATTTGCTTTGTCTTGTAAACTACACGCATTTTCAAGGCGGCCGGTCGTGTTACGGTAATCTAGCTAGGTATTTGGTTAATAAAATAAAAACTTGTGTATTTTTTGTCGTGTAACTTATCTTGTAACCTCGAAAATAGGTCCTTAGCAAATTGCAAATTTAAAAAAATTTCCTGACTCCGAAACTGACGGCGCAATATTGACCGGCCACCGGCCTTCGTAGCTTTACCTCAAACACACTAACTAGAGTTCAAAAAAAAAAATGTGTCAATGAGAACTACAGATATGAACGTGGAAGAAGTCTTTGAAGATTTGATGGTCTAGGAGTTATTTTTTGATATCCACATGAAAAAAAATTCGGAGAAAAAACGGCCTCGTAATGTCTTGATGCGACCCGTTTTTTTCTATCGTACTGAATAAATACCGAAATTCAAATTAGCGCCAAGAAAAGTTCGATGTCAGAAAAAAGGTACTACGCGAGGTCCCTCGTTGTGCCAGCTCACCCAAACTAGAAACTTGTCATAAGTGACTGTTTCTTATGTTGTTGAGATGAGCGCCATTCCTGTTCCGGAGCATTATTGTAGCAAATTAACTTATTTTTTATAGGTGAAGACAGGTTTATTCGGCATCATAAATCACGATTTGGCCATGAGAACGCTTCTCATTGAGAACGAGTGAGTTCACGTTTTCTGGTTAATCAATCAAAACTTTATAATTAGTAGATAGCTTTGAAAAAAAAACTTGAACGCAGAAATGATTTCCCGGCTTCATTCTATCCATTTATTCCTTTTTTTTTAGTTATTATAAAGCAGATGTCGGTGTGCAATCATTCAAGCTTGTCAGAAATGTTGCCGAAGCTTGTGCTCACGATAAACTCATTCCAGCGCTGATTGTTCGGTTTCGCTCTTTTTTGAATAACATCTATCAAATTTTTGTAGATACGAGAGTTTGGATCAACTTAAAGAAGCAGAAAAAGAGCTGAGTAAAATCGATGCTGATGCACAGGTCTAGAAAATGCAGTTTTTCAACGTTCAACTGGAAAATTCTATAGGTTATTGTGTGTCCACAAAATATTGAAGGAGATGCAGAAGTTGTCGAGAAGTGGGCTAGGGAAAATAAGTTCGAAGTCGTTTATTTGTCTCCTACAAAAGTATGTCACGAACTTAAATTTCGCATAGGAAGTCAGAGTTATTTTCAGGAGCAACTAGAGGAATACAAGGAACACAATGAAACTTACGGTTTTCAAAGGCTTCTTGACGTTCTTAACAGCTGTATGTGGCCTGTGAGAAAGGATAAAATTAAAAAGGTTAGTTTTTTTTTTTGAAAGTTGCTTTTATTTCTAGCGGTTAAGGTGAGCAGCAACATTCAGCTTGACAGGATCCTCAAGCTTATTAATAACATGGAGGACGAAGACGATAGCGACGGAATTCCTGACGAAGAAGCACAAGGTAAACATTTATTGTTAATTATTTATTAATTATTCTTTAACGAATTTTTTGATATTGAACTAGTGAAAAAGTTCAACTCAATCAACGCCGAAAAAAAGCCACGAAACGTTCGGGTTGGGAAAAATTTTTCTCATTTCTCTGTAAAAAAATGTATGAATAATTCAATACAGTGCTAGAGTTCCTCGTTCTCCACCCTGTCTGAGGACCTGCACGCTGGCAGGCCAATTCAACAAAAAAATATGCTTTTTTTAATTTCAATTTTTTGAGAATAAGAAAAATTTATGGTTGTAGTATATTTAAAAAAAAAAGAAGTTTAAAAAAAGACTCAGACATTCATGGCGCTTGTTTGTATGTTTGGCACGCACAGAATTTGGAAATCCGCCTAAAGTATTTTTTTCGCGAATAGAAAAAAATCTCTCTTCTTATATCCTTTTTTTCAGCGAACCGAAATTAATTTTAGGAAACAATCCTCATTTTTTACCAGTTAAATTCTCAGAGTTTTTTTCATCATTTTTAAAAATGTATCGTTTAGAGTTCTCAAAAGTAAATGTTTGAACGAACGTTCAACCAAACATTTTCCGAACGTTTGATGAATTCGACCAATTAGTTAAATTTCACATGAACTGTTTGTTAAAAACCTCATTTTGGTTAAATTTCATAACTGAGCATTTAAAAAAATGAACAATTACTTATTTTTTTCGAAAAAAATTTTTGTTCAAAAAAATGAACATTTAAATTTCATTTTGAAAAATTTTTGGTCAAAAAAATGAACATTTAAAGTTCACTTTGAAAAATTTTTGGTCAAAAAAAGTAAACATTTAAAATTCATTTTTGAAAAATTTTTGGTCAAAAAAAAGTAAACATTTAAAATTCATTTTGAAAATTTTTGGTCAAAAAAATGAACATTTAAAAATTCACTTTTTGAAAAATTTTGGTCAAAAAAAAGTAAACATTTAAAATTCATTTTTAAAAAAATTTTGGTCAAAAATAGTGACCATTCAAATTTCACTTTGAAAAATTTTTTAAAAAGGTAAACTTTTTTTTATTCATTACAATTACGGCACTTGGCAGTATCTGTGCCGGAGTCAATTCTGTCTCAGTCTACTCCAAATGAAATCATGAATCGATTACTTCGAAATTCAAACTAATTTCTGGTTAAAATTAATAAATCTCTTGGAAAAACAGTGATTTGGATGGTCAAGGGCAAAGCTAAAAGCCGGTTAAGGACGGGAAAAATTATATGGAACCGGCCAAAAATGAGCAGACCGGAAGAAAGGTGCTATCTGGAGAATTAATTGAATGAGGAAAAAAAGGAAAAAGTATTGATTTGGATTTTTGGTTCGGAAGATCCCAGGTTCGGAAAAACTATCGGCCAAAAAAATGAACTTTTTAATTTTTCACAGTTGAAAAAAAATTTTTTTGTACGAAAAAAAGTAAACATTTAAAATTCTTGTTGAAAATTTTTGGTCAAAAAAATGAACATTTAAATTTCACTCTTGAAAAATTTTTGGTCAAAAAAAGTAAACATTCAAAAATTCATTTTTAAAAATTTTTGGTCAAAAAAATGAACATTTAAATTTCACTTCTGAAAAATTTTTGGTCAAAAAGAGTAAACATTTAAAAATTCGTTTCGAAAAATTTTTGGTCAAAAAAATGAACATTTAAATTTCACTCTTGAAAATTTTTGGTCAAAAGAGTAAACATTTAAAATTCGTTTCGAAAAATTTTTGGTCAAAAAAAGTGACCATTTACTTTTTCACTTTGAAAAAAATTTGGTCATTAAAACGAACATTTATTTACTAGTCAGAATATGATTGTTTAGAAAATGACCATTTATTTTTTTCAGTCATTATTTGAAAAAGTCACAAAATGAAAAAGAATGAAAGTGATCAATTTTTGGTTGATCTTTCAAAAAAACGACATTCGTTTGAAATGTCAAAAAGAAAATTTTTTTCGTTTTTTTGAAAAAAATGTCATTTTTTTCAATTGGTCATTTTGAGAACTCTAGTATCGTTCGATTAAACTGGAAACTATGCTGAATAAGAATCCGCACAAAGAAAGATCATTGATTATAATTTGTTAAGCGATGAAATGTTCAGAGGCTATCTGGAACTCGGTGACGATTCCCAGATCATGGACACCAACGCCAGAGCCGCAGCGCGCCGAGCGAGTCCATCTATCTTCTTCGCCCACCGAGGGCGAGCAGCCTGTATCCACTGTTTCCGTCGACGTTTGCCTCGGCGCCATTAGACAACCTGAGCAAATCGATGCGAAAATTAACGAGAGTGTCAGTTGATTTTCTTTTTTGTTTTTATCTAAAGATCTATCTAGCTTCTCCGATACTTTGAATCATCTTTTTTCTCGTTTATATCTACCTTCTTCGTCGTCGCTGAATTCGAATTACGAACAGAATAAAAAGAAACGTTAAGTAAGACCGCGACTTCAAATATTAAGCTTTGAGCCACCGTAGAGACTAGAATTTTTACAAAAACCTTTATTGAACCTCTTTTTCGAAAATGTCTTTTAAAAAACCCGAGGATTTCCAAAATTCCATATTTTCCAAATTTTTTAAAGATTTTCTCAATTTTGGTTATATTCACAAGATAATCACGATTTTTGAGAAGCAAAAAAAAGAAGTTAAACCTTGAAAATATATGATTTCTCTAAAAACTTTGCGCTGTGATTTCACGTTCTTTCAAAATATTTGGCTTTGCTAAACTGGTTGAATCATTATTATCGTGAATTTTTTCAAATATCAATTGGTTAGAACACACATTGCTGCTCATTATTCAAAAGAAACACCGAGGACAACTTTTGCCCATATGCTCACATAGTGTGATCCTCGCCAGACGTTCATGTTTTAGAGCACGGCAGAAAAAATGATACTGTAAACAGCTTTTTTTTTTGCGATTTACTAGGAAACTACGCGAACTCTTATTCGCGGAGAGAGTTCAAACTTTAGTGGTTTATAGACCTCAGTCAGAATACTTGAAAACAAGAGAGAACATCTGCTAAACCCGATGTAGAACTGAGAAAAAATTCGTAAAAATGTGCAGTTTAGGCCCGAAAACTTTCAGAATACTTTTCACTTTATTTTACAATCGCCTTAAATGATCCGGCTATGATAAACACTAAAAACCTTTTTTTCCAACCAAAAGAAAGAAAAAAGCAGAAATTTGATAATTTTCACGCCTAAACTGTTATTTTTCAAATATCTTTTTTCTCGGTACCTTATTTGGTTCAGAATTGCCTGTTTTCAAGTACCCTTACATGGATCTTTTAAACCACCACAGTTTGAACTCAGTCCGCGAATACGAGTTTGTGTAGTTCCCTAGTTAGTCTAAAAAAATGCAAAAAAACAGTGAAAAAAAATTTTTTTAAAAAAACGAAGCTAGTTTCGGGCATGATTGATATACAACTTTCAAAAAGTTTAAAAAGATTTTTGGCAAAAAAACGCGGAGCAAGCCTTCGCGGAATACTACAAAAAGTTATGAATTGAAAAAAAATATGTCTACTGAAAAAAATTGGTATAGATTAGTTAAGTAAACAAAAAAATAAATCTGAAAAAGTGCGAAAGCCCATTTTTACTATGAATCGAATTTATATACTGATTTCCGATAGTTTCCATTTTTTTGTTTTCTTTTTTTATGAATTAAATTATTTCGAAATCCTTGTTGATCTCCAATTTTTTTCAGTGGCAAGAAACCTTTTAATTTCAGGTGAACGCCTCCGTTAACAAAAAAAGAAGAAAAAAAGAAAAAAAGTCCAAAGGAACTGCGAAATTGTCCCCAGATGCCAGCAAAGATGAAACAAATTGATTTTTTTCCGTTGTTTATCTTGTTGATATTTTTGCATTAGAATCAAAAAAAGTTGAATATTTTTCTTTAGAGCAAGAGCTTTTTCAGAATTATGAGCAAGAATTTCAAGAAATAGAAAAAAATTTTTTTGATTTTTTTCAGTATCAAATTCACAAAAAAAGATAGACTCTAAAGAAATCCTGGAAAACCATGAGCTTCAAACGCAACAAAGCGAAAAAGTTTCCCTTCCGAAAAAAATTTTTTTCCACCATTTATCAACTACAATTAAATAAAAAGAAAGATATCCACAAACTTTTTAATTTAAATATGTATTTTTTTAATAACACGAGTTTATTGTATTCGAAGCTAAAATATGTGAGACTCAGGGCGTCCTCAAGGCCCATATCTGTTTCCTGATTCCTAGGAGTCCCCGATTTCTGTTCAAACCCATTTAAAATTTTCTATGTGGCTTTCGTATTTTTTTGTGATTTTGCTATTTTTTTCAAGGGTATTCGACTTTTTCTCTGTGACTCTGATTTTATAAAAAAAATTTGCAATTGGAGATATCACTTGTGTCAGAGGGCAGAGTTTTAAAACGTGCTCATCGGTTGCTACAGGCTATTCCGCGCCGGCTTGTCACGATTTCCGTTTCCCTTCGAGCTAGAATCATTCCGCTAGAGTTTTATCGCGCGGGACGATTTTTGATATTTTTTGTTCTAAAAGATAGAAAAATAAGTCAAGCCATAATGAAGGTTCATCGTCATTTTCGATGAAAAATTGACGCTAAAGATATTGTAGCCTTGAGGGCGCAGTAAGCTGCTTCATTCAAAATCTGAACAGACTATATAACTCCTTGCGAATGCCTTATCGGCAATCAAATTTGACACTTCCATTGACCTTTGGAGATATAGATGGCTGAGGGATTTTTCATGTTTACTTGAAAAAACTTAATTTTCAACTCGTGTTTAATGTAACTATTTTTATTGACGATTTTGTACAAAATGGTAAATTACAATGATGAAATAGGAATTTAGCGTCCGCAACAAACATTCGTTTGATCAAATGAACGCGAAGAAGGCATATAAAGTTAAAATTATTGATAGAAGCCGATAAGTAAAGCCAAACTACACTCCTATTAGAAGGAAGAATTAATATATGATTTTCGATGATTATTTTTTACGGATATATGGGCCAGAGAAGACGAATAATTTTTGCAAAATTGACACACCCAAAACTTCATAAAGCAATTGTTATCATTCAGCTTTTGCTATTTCCACCCTGATCGATGAAAAAACTGATGGTCAACTATTCAGTAATTACTCAATTACATACTGAATAGTCATTAACCATTCAAACCCAGGTTTCTACTCGTTTTACATATGCGCCCATCTCATAAACTTGCGGCAAAATGTGATTTAAAAAAAAAGTGTTCACTGAGAGCATAGTAATTTCGCTTTTTTGATTTTGCCGCTACCCATTAATTGGTTCTAAACATACCCCGCGAAAATTTAGCGAAGGAGATGAAAAATACATTGAAACATGATTCAAGAATTAAAATATATTTGATAAGGAATTTCACATTGCACCGAAAAGAACAAACACAAGGAAAAAAAAAAAGACTTGATAATAGAACATATTGTGAGAGAGAGAAAAAAGTAAATTCAAAGCCCCGCAACGCTTTTTACCGCATAAATTTGGTACTTTACCGAATTTTTGCAAAGTGCAGTGCCTATGGCGGCATTCTGCAAAAAAGCTTCATGCATTTTGCGAATCAGTGCTTTGCATTTTGCACAGAAGTACCTCGCATTTTGCACTTTTTTTCGTCTGTACAAAAGTGAGCCCAAAAAGAAATGCAAAATGCGAGGTTCTTCTGGGCAAAATGCAAAGCACTGATTTGCAAAATGCATGAAGCTTTTTTGCAGAATGCCGCCATAGGCACTGCACTTTGCAAAAATTCTGTAGACCACGTTCAAAAAAAATAATAGAATTTAAGGTTTCCTGTGGTTTAAAGACAGAGGTAATACAAAAAACTTCAATAGTAGGATATAAAATGCGCTGCATCAGTCGTCGCCCGGATGTTCGGGACAGCAGTTCTTCCGTTTGAACCATTCGTCGATACATCTGTAAAAGAAGTGAGTAGGAGAGCGTCTCAGAAAAAAAAAACCACGAATTATGACTATTTTTGACCTTCGAGGGAAGGTTTAAGATCAGCTGTAATGCAATTATTCAAATTTTCGATATAGCCTATTCCGCGCCAGCTTGTCACGTTTTTCTTCCCGCCAAAAATACCGCATATCAAATTAGATCAAATTTCTGCTTTTATAACGGCAAGAAACGAAGGTCTTGAAGCGAAAGTCGGTTAAATTTGCCCTGGACTTTTGGCGGGAAGAAAAACGTGACAAGCTAGCGCGGAATGGCCTATAAAATTTTTGCCAAGACTCAAAACTATTTTAATTTTTATAAGAATAAGGAAATGAGCCTAATTGAATGAAAAAAGATGACCCGAAGAAGGAATGAAATTCAAACATCTTTGCGGGTCGACTGCTTCAAATCGCGAGGCGACCCGGTGAGTCCCGTCAGCAACTCTGATCATATATTTTCTTGATTTATGTGAATGTGTCATAATCTCTTGGTATTTTCAACCCTTCTTGACTTGATAGGCAAGATGGTGAGTTTGGCAAGATTGACGCGTTTTCTCGACGCGGCTTCTTGGCGGGAACCCCGCCCCCCCCTTTTTTGAAGTTAAGGATTTTTTTCGAAAATTTTCATGAGTTCGAATAAAATCAGTCGAACGAATAAATATATAAAAAAATTATTTTTTCTTTGTTTTTGCCATGATTGCGTTTGGCCTCGATTTTTCCCGCCAAAAAGCCGCATCGCGTGCGCAACGCCCTTTCCCAACTTCTTATTTTTCTTGTTTTAACTGGCAATGAAAAAAAACTATTATTAGTGACACAAAACTTTAACATACAACTATATTTTTTTATCATTTAAGTACATCTTTCATTATGGTTTTTTTGAATTCATTTACACTCCTTGTTAAGACGGGATTTTTAAAACCGTCCTTGAAATTAATTAGAGAGCATGGAAAACGTGGAGACAGAGCTTCTGGTTTCTCCACGTTTGTCACGCTATATAAGTCCTTGCTCACATGCCGCCATTTTCAGTACATTTTAGATTTTTTTTTTTCGAGCATTGGGCTGGGGGTGGGACTCAGTCCTTTGCCCTGCTTCGGAATATTTTCCTCATTCAAAGGTAAGAAGCCGAAACTGACGTTTTATGGTAGATACAGAGGCATGGAAGACGTGCGATAAGATCTCCAGCAGCCATGTCTTCGAAACAAATTGTGCACTCTCCTTTTTGCTCTTTGAGGACGTCGTCTGAACTGTGTGAGATTAATACTGGAAAACCCAAAGAACTGAGGCGAACCGTTATATGTAATCTTGGGGCGTGTCAAGCACATGACAAGGTGGACGTCGGCGTCGTCGGACGGTACAACCTTGTGGCACACCGGACACGTCATGTCACCTTCAGATTGCTCTGTATTTGGGAGAACCATGAACTACGCACCCATCATGAACATCGGCATGGAACGACGACTGAAATGTCCGTGAAGTCTCCCACCGCGTACATAAGAAGAACTGCCCCTCGGTCTTTAAAAAAATGCTCTTGTAAAAAAATGTGCTTTTTTGTGGGGATGAAGATACGGAGAAGCTTGAAGTAATGAAAATATAGAACAATTGGAAAGTGGAAACAAAATATCAGTTGCAAAAAAGCCATCAGAAAAGCAAGGATACTTTCTTCTCTGGAACCACTTCAAGTCTTCACGAATCTCGAGCTTTATATTTTTAGGACAATTATCATTCCCACAGTTCCAGTTTGTTAAATTGGATTTTGCAATAAACATTTCAGAAACACACTTATCGGGAGGTAAGAATAATTATCAAATCTCTCCAGTACAGCTAAATTAAAAAAAAAAGGCAGAGAGAAAAACCTGCTCTGAGATGGAACAGCGGAGGGACCGGCATCGTCTTCCGAAGCGTTCGAATCGGAAGAGGAGCTCAGAATCCTAGCGTTGCGAACAGTCTTTAAATTTTGAATTTCGGATCAAGTTATACGGAACTTAAAACATTAACAACAGTTTTGAAATTGATTAGGAGGATAAAAGTTACCTGGATAAACTCGGCAGCGGTGAGGCCTCTTCCCGCGGACTGTCTTTGTGATACCTGCCCTGTATCGACAGAGTTAGAACGGGGTCTCTCTTCAACGACGGACTGACGACCGCCCATCCTTGAGATCGTCTTTTAGCCGTTCTGAAAATTCACAAAAATGCATTTTCTGAAAATTTTCACGCTGACAAACGCGGAAAACAGAAGATGACGTGAGAAACAACGATTATGAAGTAAAAAAAATAAAAGCTTAAACGAAGGTTGGAATATTCTTTAGAAAGACTTTCCTAGCTTTTTTTCTTGCTACTTTCTGTTAAGCTCATTTTTCGAAAAAAAAAGGCTGAAGAATCGATAACAAAGCTCCATTAACTCTAAAATATGCGTGATGTTGATCGCGAAAAATTTCTTCGCAAGCCGAAAGACCATTTCGCCAATCTAGTTGGAATTAAGGATTTTTTTGATACTGCTCAAATGTGAGGTATAAGCTCAGCGAAAAGACTACCTCAACGAAATTATAAATAAAATTTTTATTATCATCAGATCGTGAGGAAAACTGGAACTGCTATATCTTGTAAAGATACGCTAAACTTCCTTTATGAAGCCTTTCTCATTTTGAATAAGTTTTATTGGTTCACAAATTCTCACTGGAGAACTCAAACTTGAGAATTTTTCTGGACGAATGAATAATTCGGGCGCTAGGAAGGCGATAACGGAAAACAGGGGTGCACACAAATGTTCGAGCATAATTCATAGCTAATCGATCAAACCTCCGCAAAAATATTGAGCGGCGAGGCAAAAAAGATACAGATAGCAATCATATGAACAAACTTATCAAGCAATCGAACACGGGACGTGATGCGGTAAACCGGCACACATAAAAAAGACACGTGACGAAGACTATTCTATACAAGTAGATCTTTTCAAAGAAGCCAACATTTGAAAAAAAAGGTAATTTTTCATTATGACACAATTAAATGAAGAAAGCTTTGAAAATATAATAATATATTGGTCTGATAAGAGGAAAAAGCTTGACGATTCACGGGGTTCATCATGAGCCTTTTCTATGCACACGGCAAAAAAAATCCCTGGCACTACGGCGCACAAAAGCACGAAAATATGTCGGCGAATGCACTAAGAATAACTGCCGAGATAAACGCGAGACGCTGGCGGTACATTGACGAGCTCGCAAACATCTCGCGTTTTTTCTCGCCCCGGTCTCGCATTTTTCTGGGCGCGAGCTCGCACTTTTCTAGGCGCGAGCTCGCATTTCTCTCGCAATTTCAAAATTTCCGAAATGCAAGATAAATGCGAGATGGCGCCGAGAAAAATGCGAGGTCGCGCCGAGATAAATGCGAGATAGCGCCTACAAAAAAGCGAGATGTTTGCGAGCTCGTCAATGTACCGCCACCGACCTCGCGTTTATCTCGTCAGTTATTCTTAGTGTGTAAAACTTTCGACCCTATCGAGTTTTCGACCAAATTGCAAAGTATACTGTTTTAACGTTTCTAGCACCGCTCTAGCGTTTACTCAGTTTATTATTTTTTCGAATGAAAATTGCGTTGTTAATATTTTCAACTCTAAAGCCACAGCATTATGAAAACTACAAAAAAGTAACATTGCGGGAAGCGAGCGAACTTCTACTTTCCAAAACACTGTCAAAAGGCGTTCGGTATCAAAGTGCACCTATTAAAAATTTATACAAGAAAATAACGTCTCGGAAAGTTCAAAACTCGGAAGAAGTTTCTAATTCTTTGCTTAAAACCAAGCGAGCATGAAAATAAAGAGTGATTTTCTTTTCACCTTTTTTATTATATGCAGTGAAATTGACGTACATTTCTCTTGCTCTCTTAAAGATCTTCTTTTCTGTCGGATAAAAAATTGCTTGACACAGAAAGTTAGTTCGAATCACGTAATGGCTAGAAAATCTGAGAAAAAAAAAAACTTATAAAACTTAGTGAAAATTAATTTTTTTCTTTTTAGCAATCAACAACACTTTTTTACACAAAAACCTATTGTATTAAAAGGCGCAGCAGGAATGAATTAAAGAAAATAAAAAAATGAATATTTTGTAAAAAGTTTTGCGCGTCACTTTCAATGTACTTAGTTCGTTGCGTACGAAGCATTGAATTATACGAAACTAGGCTGCTGCTAAAAATGAAGGCTTCATGAATTCACAAACTTATGAACGTATATAGTGCGTTTCAGTGAATTTTTGTCGGTCTAATGAGCTAGTAATGTATCGAAATTTTATCCTCTGGTTAAGTTGGGTGAGCACTTGTTATCCCTGTTTCGCTTAACCACGAATCTCGAAAACACCTTAGCAAATCAAACTTAACACTCTCGATTCGGTTGGTTTTTAACAATTGATCATTGATCTACAGAAGGGCATCAAACTGTTTTCAGCCTTGAAATCAACCATAGACCGTCTTTGCAGCACGTCATTATATGTTTTTCGACGAAAAACGATTGATAAAAAGAAACGGTTGGTCTTTTTTCGTCTCTAACTTAAGTAAGCATTGTTTCAGTGGGAGTTTGAAATCATGCATGTCAAGTGTTTTTATTAAGTAGTTTCTATAAAACTTCTTCAATGTACTCACCATCTTTATTGAAAAAAATTTGTTTTCTAGTGATTCGTGAAATTTTTTTTAGTGGTCTTACCGAATTAAGCAAAGAATTTATTAAGAGACCGAATTCTTTTTTTACCGTTGTTTATGGCTGTTTTTTTTTTTTGTAATAACCGGCTAGTTATAGAATACCGAGTGTAAGATGGAATACGAATTGCCGGAAATGGGGCGGCGCGGCCACCCCCTTTTAGATGGTTCTCAGGAAAGACAGCGGTCCTTCTCTCGCAGTAGTATCAATGGCCCTGGTGATCCAAAAATAAAGGTGGTTGTTAAACCTTTCTTTTTTGAGTTATCTGAAAATTTTATCTTTAAAGTATTTATAACGAGGTATTCAGTTCATGAAAGAAGTTGCTGGGAATGTTCTCGAAACGGTTCTACGCCTTCCTGGATTGATTCTTCTTGAACTCTGGTGGCGAAACCATGACATGACCTTCGAAGAAATCTCTCAAGAAATGATGAACAAAGTATGGGAGTAAATTGTAGTTTCCTGATCGATTCTTGAAGGCTCCTTTCAATTCCTACTTCGACACTTCAACTATTCTCGACTTTGTGCACAGGCGAAATTTCGACCACTCTGCGGCAATTATTTTGAGTCATTCAGGTGAAATTTTGAAAAATTTCCAAAAAAAAAATGTACAGTCTATGAGGGTTTAGCCCCGAAAATATAGCTTGAAAGGGAAAAATAGCGCCTGGCATTGCCGACCCAATAAGCTTAGTAATCTCGAAAGTTTTATTTAAAACAGTTCAAAACAAAAAAAATTCATTCTTCCTCGAGGATCCGCTTTTTCAAAGTTTGCGGTTATCGCAAACATCTCTGCCTCACCAAATTGTTTGCAATTTTTGAAATTTAACATCCAGAAAGAACTTTAAGTTTTCGCAAAAAGTGACTATGAGGAATGTTATTCTAAAGCTTTGAGAATATTCTTGCGATTTTTTGAAAATTGATTTCATCGAAGTTACCTCTTCTGTGAGCGTTTCGCTTTCCTTTCATAAAATTTGATTTTCCAAATGCACTTAACTTCTTTGTCAGTTATTTCTGTTGCGAAGGGGCTGAGTTTAATTAGACTTTGAATAGTGAGACGTTTATATTTAGCGTTGTGATTTTCAGTGGTGGTGTTTAGTCTCATGTTCTTGACGCTACCTCTCTCGCGACTGTTCCGCATGTATTCACACGCTCTGAGCCTCGCTTTATTCGCCTTGGCCCACTACATGTCGGTGACCTACGTGAGCCTGGAGATGAAAAGCGGCGACAAGGAGCTTCATCTTGACGACTTCATCAAGCTCGAACGCCACGGCTTCCACTTTTTGGCGCAGGTATTCTCCGGTAGAGAAAGGGAGCCATTTTTCTTTCAAAACCTTTCTTTTCAGATGCTGGTTGCCGTGCTCCAAAGTTTTGTGTTGGAGCTTGAGACGGAGCGTTGGCGGATTTTCCTAGCCATGTTCTCGATTCCGATCGTTTCAAGAATGTGCGCGTGTCCACTCGAAAAGCTGATCATTGGTTTGTTTTCAGCTTTATTGGAGATACAGCTTTGAGAAGCTAGACCGTTTTTTCTATCTTGGTTCAAAATTATGAACGAATTCTTACCACTATGTAGGAAAGTTTTAGCTGGAATGAGGCCTCCAATTGGCTAATGTCTTCAAGAACTTCATGGACGAATAATTTTCGAGCATAAAGCCTGAAATTCGATTCACCATTTTGTATTGTAGAAGATGTTTTTTCAATTATTTAGTTTGGAATTTCTCAATTCGTGGCTGTGCCCGAGCACAGACCCTGATTTTTGTGGAAAAAAATTTTTGAGTTAATTCGATTCCAGCTCACAACATCTCGTGTTGCGTCGCGATGGTGTTCATTTGCATGTACGTTCTCTACCGAGTTCCTTCCATTCTGAAATCGATTCGAATTGCTTGGGTACAAATGAAGGCCATTTTTGTCATTCGAGGCCTTGCTATGGGTACGTTTTTTCGGCCGGTTCTGTATTTCATTGCACTCGATCGTGATATTGAGTTACAAGAAAAAAAAAGAAGAAACTCACAAAAATTCTGCAGGCTGTGCGACTCTCTGGAGACGACTGCGAATCGCCGAACTTCTGACATTCACTTGGCTGACCTTGTTTTTCTTGCGTCTTTACGTTGAACTTTACGAAAGGGTGAGAATCTAATTGTTTGTTTTTTTTTTTGGTTCGACTCAACTCACTTGCTAGACATTGCTTGAAACTACATGATACGCTAGAACATATCGATGGGATAACTTGACAAGAATAGAAAACTCAGTAGATATTTCATCGTTTGTATCTAGTCGCTTTGTTTTTAGACTAGTGCAAAAAATAGGCTGGAGTTAAACGGGTGACCGGCGGTAGCATCCGCGGCTGCTGATGGCTAACAAGAGAGTAAAGTTCCTAAAACTTTCTCTTGCAGCGTCGTCCTCTGGTCGAAGCTGGGAAAGTATTGTTGGCGGGCGTCGCCGAGAGCACGAACACTCCGATTTCGCTTCTCTCGCTGGCCATCACCATTTCTTTCGTGTGCAAGTGGGTGGTTGACGGCGCGCAGCTCATGATCGGTGGCCGCAGAGAACACGGAAACGTCCTGGTGTCTTCTGGGTAACGACTGCTGCTCGAAGTTTGATGGAAATGGAATTTTCAGATGCAATTATACGGGCGCCGTCAGTCTTGTGTTGCTGTGCACACAGGCCGGTATTTTTGGCATGGGGCCTGAACAGAAGACCTTTCTCATGGGCCTCACACTATTCATCGGTTGGTTCGTTTGACCGACCTCTTCGAACTTTCTGATCAGTGTTGGGCGCGCTGCTGCAGTCGATGCAAGAGCTTCTCGAGCCGGAGCTTCTGATGCTCGCTTCGAGCCCCTTTCTGAACCGCGGTCGCCAGGTCCGCTGTCTTTCCCTCGCTGCCTTCCTAGTTATCGCGCCTCTTGTCATGAGCTACAGCATTATCCTTCTCCTGTCAATCGACATTTGGTGAGTTTTTTTGAGTTTCACCCTCATGTGGAAAATTGGAAAAGTATCCGGAAGGCCTACTGTAAAACAACAGAAAAAAAAAATGAAGTGGCATTCTCAGAACCGTTAAACCCCACTAATTTGTTCGCAATTCAATCAAAGTTATGTTTACAGGTGTGTTATATTGATTTCCAACGCAGTTATGACATCTATTTATGCAATCTCCGCTCTTATTCAGTACGGGATCAGCGTTTTTGAGGTTTTTTTTTGCTTTTTACACATGGGAAACTGTCTTTTCCGATTACAGAGCAGATCCAAAGGATCTTGGGAAAGAGTTGATGATGTCACTTTCTATTTGAACTGCGGTACACGAGGAATCGAACTGCTGATCGCAAAAATAGTTGCACTTTACGGCATGCTCTATGTGTTCCATAATAAATTCCCGTTTTCGGCCACATTTATTCTCGTGTTCCACATCGTCGTTAACATCTACAAGAGGTAATGTCTAGTCGAATCTTCTGCAAAGAAAAGCTTCCTTCAGGCTGGCCAATCTCCTCAGAGCCATCAATGCACGAGACGTTGCCGTGAAGAAGACGAGTCGGCTGCCGAAAGCGTCTCTCGAGCAACTCAAAAGTGAGTGAATGCCCGCGCTGCCGCGAGATCCTTTGGTCTTCGCAGAACTCAACGACGTGTGTGCCATCTGCTTCATCGCGATGAAAGACGACGTGAGAATCACGCCATGTCGTCATTTCTTCCACGGAACTTGTCTGCGGAAATGGTTCGCTGTGAAGCAGGTTCGCTTCTTTTGTTGGCCTCCCTGAGTCGAATCGATTTTGCAACTTGGTATAAAATGAAAGTTTGTTTAAAAACGGATGGACAAGTCAATTTTTTTTTTTCGAACTCCGGTCAAATTTGGTTTAATAGTTGCGGATTGAAAAAAAAGTAAAAAAAGGCTCAAAAAAAGCCCAGCCTTCTAGGATCTCCCCCCATTGAAGGAGATTTTTCTTGCAGACGTTGCTGTACGAGGAATATAATGATTTTCCTTGTGAATAGTCAAAAGGAAAAAAAAAATGAAGAGTTCAATATGTTTGAATTTTCTGATTTCCATGAAACTGAAAATATGAAGACAATTTCCAGGTGTGCCCACTGTGTTACTCGGACTTCCAAATAGACACGAACAGAGTGCGGTTACCGTCGAGCAGAGACGAGCTGTTCACGGAAAATACCGAGAATGTCGTCGAAGGGAACAAAAGTACGTGGGAGCTTTATCATTAATTAAATATGTTTGCCAAGTTTCATCAATTATTTTTTTCATACTTCATTTATAATATCGGAAATCCCCAGAGTCTCACTCGATTAGAGATCTAGTTTTAGAAATAAGTTTCTACTTAACTATAGCGTCTTTTGACTTTCAAACCTAGCAATGAATAGAGCCTATGTCTGATCCCATAGAGCTGTCATTTTGAGACGTCTACATCTACCGCAGAGGGGCGTGGCAGCGCGAACAAGGCACTTCGACGGCGCGACAACGTCTTCGGGAAGAACATCGCGTGCACAACGCTCGCGACATGTGGCCGCTTGTTGTCGACAGGTCAGTCTCCTTTGCTGATAAATTCCTCGATCAGTTTATACTTTAATTTTTAATGAGCAATAATTTTTAAGAGATATTGGAAATTTCAAAGCATTTTGAAGAAGTACAAACTAAAATTAAATGAAAATCAGTTTTTCCAAAAAAACTTCTGCCAGTTGCAAACTTTGAAGCGTCCCCTCAAAGTGCAGTGGGAAAAAAACCTTTTTATATAACTAAAGCAACCTTCGTTTTTAGATAAGATTTATAGCCTGTTCTTTTCTTCCAGCGTGAGTATTTTCCTTTATTGAAAGGAGGAAAAAGTGCAAAGGGCAAATTTTGACGTATTAACTTTTGTTAGATCTCCGACTCCATATCGATTTTCTCGGTTTTCTGGTTGAGAATAAGTATCTGAAAACTTGATATTGTGAATTTTACTAATGAGATTTTCTATAAGACTTAGAATAGAAGTAATTTTCAGTGAGGCCTACGAAAGCGACTCCTCGGCAACTACTGAATATTCAGTGGATAGTTCGGACAGTCCTCTTCTATAAATCCTCGAATTCAACAATTGTACATTTTTGCCATTACCGTATGTTCTTCTCTTTCGACGGAGTTCCATCAAACGTGTTCCTCTCCTTCAGTTTCTCGTGGATTCTGGTTTAGATTAGTTGCGCATTTTTGTCCCCAATGATTCACTGGTTTCGCATAATATGTATATAACTTTGTATTTATATTGTTTTTTTTTTTTCAAGTTTTTTTGTGCAATATCAAAGTTCGTGTATTGTTTGTTCATTGTTCAGCGAAATCAGCACCAAATGAAGTTGGCAACTGATACAATAAATATCTTTAACTAAAATCTTTTATCCTTTTTTTCAATCTGTTCGAAACAATCTTGATATTTTATAACCTAGAAAAGACGAGAACTTGCGCTATTTTTTTGAAAAATTGATAAAAGGTTGTACTATACAGATGGCGCAAAACATGCGCTTGTTGATGACGAGAAGCTGCGGTGCCTCCTGTTTCTCGACGCAGAATCCGCAGCGCTCTTTTTCCTGCAAATCGGAGCCAGCGAAGGCTTCGACCCAGGCGTCGCGGCTGCGGCTCCGTGCCAAGCAGATCGGCCACATCGAAAGCTTTCCGTTGGTCTAACTGCTCCACACCGGGCTACTTTTAATGCAGGGAGATATATCCCGACTTCCTCCAATCACCCGTTTGGAACCGACGGATCGCTCTGAAGGAGGAACTAGAGAGACGTGACATGCTCGATCGCCGTATGAACATCGACATCCCTGAGTTTTATGTTGGTGGGTTTCGCCAAGGCGAGAGTCTCTTCCAAATGAGCTGTCGTAGGATCTATCGTCGCGGTTACCAGCAGTGATCCGAATTTGGGGAGCAAAGAGCACCGATTCGTCGGAATCTGCATACGGCGCGAAAAAGAAGGCCTCCATCATCAATTCACATTGCGAAATACCATTGAAGGGATAGGTTTGAATTTTTTTTGTATTTTTTCTTTTCTTTTTTTTCTTGAACCGTGTGGTTTTTCAATCCTATTCTATGTTTAATGAGATGCTAAACCTGCTATGAAGTTTCACATGTTTTGGGAAAAAAAAACGAAAATATTGTTATAGAGTCGAGTTCTGCTTCTTTTTTTCTTATCTAGAGTTCAACTTTCCGAGCTCGCTGTTTTCTGGCAAAAAAAATCGTTTTTCGTTTTTTTTTTTCTTCTGTATAACCGTTATCATTAAGCTATCTAATTAGTTTTGTACACCTGCTATACTGTTTTACCATTTAAAAAAATGTGTTATCGAAAAGAAAATCCTCATCGGGAAAAAAAATTTAAGGTGTTGAGATTATGTATGATCTCTATAATCCGACGATCAAAAAAATCGAGACTCTGAAGTTGGAGAAAAGGTTGGACACCGACCTGAGCTACCTGGTGGACTCTTTGCCCGAGTACAGCACTTTCGATTTCCACATGGAGCCGCTGGCTCATCCCGCCGGAACGCCTATTCCAGTCAACGAGACTAAGGTGCTCTCTACCATCATTTCGTTTTTCAAATTTCAAAAAGATCCTTTAGGATCAAATTAGTAGTATATAAACCAAGATCCTGTCCGTTCTGTGTTTATTTTCGACATTTCGAGACTGGGATTTTCGCAAATAGACACATTCAAGATAATCATTTAGACTCTGAGGATCGTTGATCAGCGCATCAGAGAATGAATGAACAGTCAAATAATTTAATAATTGTAAAGGGGAAAAATGAAAAAGCAAACTTTTAGAGGTTCATACTTTTTTATTTTTCATTTCTTGTCTACTCGGAAATACCTTTTTAAAACTCCGGTTATGTTCAAAAATATCTGATGACAGGAAGACCCCAATATATGAGATGTTTTATTTCATAATAATCTTCACATCAAAAGCAAAATAGATCGTATGAGAAAAAAAGACGGATAAATACATTTCTTCCATGAATGAGTTACCATTAAGAAAAAAAAATTTTTTGTCGACTGCACTCTTTTTCACCTTTCGCTGAGTTTCCAGGTGAGGCTGAAGAATCCTCCATGGACGCGTAGATGGGAGCTTCTCGGGTGCAAAGGAATCGAGGATGCATGGACACAGGCGACGCCTTGGTTCAAACGCAAGCTCCACAAAACAAAGGTACCTTCTTCTTGAGAAGTCCTGGGCTACCGAATCGATAAATATTCACAAACACGGATTGACTTTCTGGTTAAGTACAGTAATTATAATAGAAGCTCATTTCTGGTTATAGTTTTTTAAATTCTTGTTTTGATGATCGTCCTGATTTTTCAATCTGTTCTCTGAAAACGCTTTTTTTAGTTTCAACACAATTGTTTGCAAGTTCAGATGAATGACTACGAGAAATATGATCTCATCGCTACTTATAGAACTGAATCTACTTTGGAGCACGAGTTGAAGGTGCAGGAAGAAATGCAAAAGTTCGTTTTCATTTGGATGAAACAAATCGAATTCGTCTGAGACAATTATTCAGTCTTCAGAGAAGGTTCTCTGCTAAATTATAGAATAATTGAAGAGTTGTTTGACGGTTTGCGAAACTGTCGTTGATGAAGTACGGCGCGAAGAGCATCTCGCCTTTCTCGTGATAGTAGTAGACGATTTCGGAGCTTTCCGAAGCGGCTTACCCATGTAGGAAAATTGCAGCGCCAAGCTTGTCCAGGGCTGGCGGGCGTCGCATTATATCTCAGGCGAGAAGACTGTCCACTCAGAACGTAGAAATGAGATATTTGTTGAATATGTAGAATAGTAGTTACATGAAAGATAAAAACTACTATATGAAGGTCTGGTCTCACAGACTTGACCGCGAACGACGCCTCTCCCATTCTTTATACGACGTTTAAATATAAGACTCATACTTAAAAAAATATTAATCGATAATTATTTCGATCTTTTTATTTTCAGGCCAATCAGCAAGTTTCATAGGATGTTTATATTTTTCGAGATTTCTCTATCTAGAGCATATTTTTTTCTTTCAGATTCGAAAAAAAGAACGTCACGCAGCCGGGTTAACGAGGAGAAGAATATTACGAAGTGCAGCTGCAGCCAAATAATCTTTTTTCTCGAAAAAAACATTGTCATGAAAAAAATTAGGAGTTTGAAAGATTCTGTTGATTTTTTTATCTTGTTTTTTTCAATTATAGTTTTTTTATAATAAAAAAATTATCAAAAAAATGTCTTATTATTCACTTGCGTAAAGCGTGTTGCGCCAAATTATGATATTTATTATTTTACCTTTTCATTATCTGTTGGCTATTAAGTTCAAGGTTGTAGGATTTGGCCTTGAGAGTTCATAGATGGGAGGAAGCGGTCCTAGTAGATGGATGCTGGAGCGTCAATAAATGTTTCATTTCTGATTTATACGGGTATTTCAACGTCATGGGGCCGGAGGCGGAAGCCGATCCCGATGCGAAGTTTGAGGATTCACCGGAGAGCGGTCTTAACGGCGGCACAGCTGTAGAATCTCGCAAACGACGTGGAGGGCCTCAAAAACTTGTCAGGCCGAAGATCCCAAATCTCCAGACTGTATGCTTGTCCATTATCAAAGAAAGGAAAGTTTTTCGCAGATTTTGCAGTCGTCAGAGGCAGTGGTACAGCAGACGACGGAAGAGGCACCATCTTCGGAACCGATCAGAAAAGCAGGAAAGTCGCGCCAGCGTACAACCAGCGAGTTCGTCGAGTTTCTAGTAGGTCTCTCTTGCCGACCAGCAACAATCCTTTCAGAAGTCCCACTCTCAGCGGAACTTCTCTCGACCATCCACGCCTACGCTTCTAAACAGAAGTCATCGACGACGCAAGTTGGTTATTATTGAGTTTTTCGGACAGTTATGAAACGCTTCTCATAGCGGATCGTTTCAATTACGCTTCTTTTACATTTGAAGCTTTTATGAAGGGAGAGCCTCGCAAAAATACCAATTTGGGCTGAAGAAAATATACTGAAACTTTTTGACACATCGAGAAAAAGTCAAGGTGACAGAAATGGCTCAAAATCGCGAGAATTATGTTTCAAAGTTGATTTTTTGTTTGAGGAATTCCGATTTAAGGAAGCACACAACCAGAAACAGAAAAAAGACCTTTAATTTTTTTTAAAAAGGGTAAAAATTCACTGAGAGATTTCAAGCCTCCGCATTTTATTTCTGACAGAAATTTTGGATAACCCATGAGGCCTAGCAAACTTGTTTCCGAGTAATTTCTCTTTTGCGAAACTGCGATTCAGCCCTCGCTTGGGATAAATGACATCATTCTCATAAGAATATCTTTTTAATTTGATTAATCGAAGGTTTCAGCTTATCGCTGTCCGACGTCGGAGCCCCACGGCCGCGGGGTCTTCTCGGCAGTTTCACTGAAAGCGCTCTGAACGACCGTCTTGAACCCGTTCTCCAACTTGACGGCTTCATTTTGCAACTGAGTCCGATTTTCTTGTTCTTTTTCTTTTAAGTCCAAGAAAAAGTTCACAGATTCTCTTTTATATTCATAATATTTAAAAAAAAAATAGTTGGTCGCGGTCTAATAATAAGGTCATTGAATTTTCGCTTTGTTAACTGAAAGTTTTAAAATTAAAAAAAAAATATCCTCGTGTTTGAAATCGGCAATTTGCTTCTTACTAATTAAAATAGAGGCTGTGTAGAGCTTTAGAAGAAGAGAGACTTGACCGATAGTTCATGTTTTTTGAGAAGTCTTAAATGAACAGTTTCAGCAGCGTCTGGGCCGGCGTTCAGTTCTCCACACACGACTCTTCCGGTGCGTGTTTTCTTTTTTGACCTCAACACTACGGGAGATGGAGTGTTCCCCTCTGCGCCAGTGCCTTTTTTAGTTGGTTCGCTTTTAATTTTAGGGAAAAACCCCGGTAATTTAGGGTAAATGCTCTCTGGAATCGTTCGGCACGCATGGTTACCGTGTGCCGCGGAAAGGCAACATCCAGGCGACGTTATTTAATCCTCAAAATACAGTCGTCAAGGTACTTTTTCTGTGTTTCCATAATATTGGGATTTACTTGAAGATGTTTCTCACGAATTACGACGTGGAAGACATGCCCTCTCATGCTAGGACCTTCATCAGACACGTTTGGCGTTGGGAAGTTGCCGCCAAAACAGACAATCACAACACCAACCACTTGGCCCATCTCATTCATTTCAGGTTCACCGCTACTTTTTAAAAAAAAATTTTTTTAAACAAGAATTTTTCATGCAATTAGAAAAATCTCAAGTCGAATTTGGCGGTTAGGTCAGAATTTTTTTCAAAACAGCTTTTTTTAATTTAAAAAAAGCTTTTTAAAAAAATTAAACATCTTTTTCAGATTGCTCACAGACCGCAAAGGACGGGTTTACCTGCACACGGATGTTCGTGTTCTTTTCTCCCAAAACGCGACTCGCGAGGCCCTGCAGCTGCCGACCGCTGCGCAGCTCAATGAACTCAGTTCTGTCGATGGCAAGTCCAGCGAAGGCTATCAACTCCGAGATCATGTCGAATTCCCCACACAACCCCGATATTCTCCTATCAAATAGGACTCCTTTATTACAACATTTTTTCGAGAAGGCAGTTAAGATATTTCACCTCGATTTTCAGTTTGAAACAGTTTTCTGCGCTTTTTGAAAGAGCATAAGTTGAAAGCTTCAATTGAAGTGGGGAATGGTTCCTTTGCGAATTTCGTCAACTTACTTACAAAAATGTAAATTTTTAAAGGCGAGTTTGAATCAACTTTTAATTCTGAAAAATTCGGTTTTCATATGTACATCCAAAGTTAAATTATTTTCTCTCAGTTTGCAAAAGTTTGGTTGTGAACCAACTTCCGTGCCTTGATTTTTTGGTTTGATACGGCGACGCTTTTTTCTCAACATAATCTTACTGGTTATGGAATCTTTTGATATGTGTCTAATAAAGCTTTATCTTATTCTCAATAGTTTTGCATGTAAAAAAACAGAAAAAACTATGTAATCTCCTCAATAATAAAAAGAACCAAGCTATGAAGATTAGTTGCTCCAACGAAGACTTTGGCCGCTGCGCGCGCTTTTCGTTTATCGCGCAGCGTCATGTCGTGCTGGCTTGTGTTTATTCTATAGTCTGTTCAGATTTTGAATGTCAAGTCGTCGCTCAAGCTCCGCCCCTAATGGTGCGATAAACCAATCAGAGAGCGAGCCATCCACAGAGTGTTTTTCAATGACGTCATTGCACTTGACATTAAAAATCTGAACAGACTATATATATATAGTTTGTTTATGCCGTGTTCAAAGTAATTTCGGCGTTTTCAAAAATTGACGCGTTATTCGTTTAAAATGATTTAACTCAAATATTTCGAGAAATAGTCAGAATTGGTATTCCAGGAAGGCGCAGAAAAAATGAGTCCCTCAACAATGTACCGTTAGATACGCATATTTATAAATATGTAAATTTACTATAAATTCTAAAAACTCAAAACTTTGGAGTTACATAGGCGGATCGAGAAAGGGTATCGCGAGACCCTCTGAGGTATATCGCAGGCTCTGAAGTCTCACTATGGTCCTCGAGTCTACCTCTGAGGATTTTGAGCATAATGAGAGGAGCTTGAGAGAGACTCTGAGGTACTTCCGAGATGGCTCAGATCTAGTTAAAAGGTATGCCGGAAGTCTCACGATGGAAAATAACTTCGAACGAATAATATATCGTTTTGGGACTCATTTTTTCTGCGCCTTTTTGGAATACCAATTCTGCCTCACGCCCTGTATTTCCCAAAATAACTTCGAACGAATAACGCGTCTATTAATTTTGAAATCGCAGAAATTACTTTTAACACGGCAACCACCTTTTCGACACTGCGCGCATTCATGCAAGACTTCTGCTCATTTCTTTCGAACAATTCAGCTATTTGATTTTGGTTGAAAATATGCGTGGCGGCTGCGCAGCGAACTGCAGTTTACTGCACATTGTCGAAAACATAGATTTAAAAAACCCTATTCAAAATGTTTATGCATGGTGTTTATTTTTTAGAAACTAGCTACTCATTGTATCCTCAACCTATCGAATGGATAAAAATGTACAAAGTTCGCAAGGTATGTATTATTCGAACTTTCAGCTTCCAATTTTTTCTTCAGGTGTTGTCGTCAAGTCTGTTGGAGTTGGTGATCAATGTTATATAGTAATCTGGTGTGTAGAACATAGTCTTTGCTATGCATATCTTCCCGATGTGGATCCCGAGTACGCTTTCGAAGTGGATATCAGTATCATCGTTTTTTGAAATGCAATTTCTATTATAGGTCGCCCCGGCAGCTTGGGTCAAATTCGATGTTGTTTATAGCGCAATCCCAGGACCAGATAACATCAAGTTTGACTGAAAAATTTAATGGAAATGAACAAGTTTTCAGGAATCGCGCTTTCCATGTGACTATTCCTTCGCGTACCGAAACGAGAAACCCGGCGACCAATGAGTTTCGAGGAGCCGTCAATATGCATGAATACGTGAAGGTCAAATATTTCGAATACTCGAGAGAGACTCTATTGGTAAGAGAGCTTTTTAAATAAGAACGCAATTTTTTTACAGTTCAAGACAACTTTGGCTATATCTCCGAACGCTTCTTATGCAGAGGTTTTGATAGATTTCAACTCATTTTGTATTTTTTAAGGCAGGGCTAAGGCAATATTGCCCAGTCTGTGTCAGAATCTTTTGTGTGTTTCAAGGGATCTCAGTTAAATATTTCTGGCTTTTTGAAATCAAAAACTTCACTTTCAATCCATCTCGACTTGCTGTATTATCTTTCTAGAATGGTTATATCTCTTTTTGATAGGAAGCTTTTTGAGAATGAGCTCAGTCACTCTTTAGTTTGAAATAATAAGATTCTAAAGAAACTTTCAATACTTAGTTTCCGAGAAAGACGGCTTCAAAGTCTCGAAATGAACCAATGGACGAAAATAATTTCTTTAATATTCTTCTACCTCGAGGCGTCCTTCCTCGTAAAATAGGAGTCTGTACTTATTTGTTACAAGCTATGCTAAGTAGGCAATAGGGCGGTAGATATTGCTCCGAGACAAAACGATTTTCTCGCATCTTTTTCATAATCAACTTTCGAGTTGAATAATGAGTGAAAAAGTAAATTGGCGTGTGCAATTTCATTGTCAATGAAAGTTTCAAAACTTGTAAAAGCTGATCAAAGAATTATTTTCATTCTTTTCGATCGTTAAATATTAGTTGATAGCTCTCTTTCTGAAAGAACTTTCTGATGAGTCCACATTTTTTCGTTCAAAAACTTTTTTTTTTCTTTTTTTTTTCTTTGAAATTGTTGATATATCGGTTATTTGATCTGCGTAACTGACTAACGCTTTAACTGAAACACGAGGCGATTTCAAAAGATGAAAACTTGTTTAAAATCATAAATATGTAAAAGTTTTATCTCATTTTTTGGATAGACTGGATGAACGGTCCAAAGCCATAGGTAGAACAAAAAATTTATATTTAGGACCCTCAGAAGAAGCAGAAAAGGCTCCCCTAAAACACTCTAAATTGATGAGTAGAAGTTTTTGAGCTATTTTTTCATAGCATCAATGGGTCTGTTTCGACCCTTTGGAGTCTTTTTAGTTGCTTCAGCTGCGACAGTAACAAAAATAATCGTTAGTCATTTTAAGGAGCCATATATTGGTAGAGTTGTGATCGATAATCTCGCGCGCTCGGAGTTGCTTCGATATGATATCGATCAGTTTGACGTCAGTCATAGAAAATTTCTTCGAATTTTTTTTGGTTTTGCAGGCAGTTGTGGAGCTGTTCTTCAATAGAATTGCTCCTTATTGGAAAGTGGTTCATTTCGTTCACATGGGAAAGCAATACAGCCTTAATGGCTTTGTAAGCTCAGAATTTGAAACTGGACCGAAGATTTTCTTTCAGCTTTCCAAGCGTGGAAAGGTCCTTCGTGGGCCTGGCGGCCGTATGTGTCCTCGTGAGCAAGTTGTGATTCCACAGGACACTTTGCAGCTTGTCAATCCTGGAAATCCTGCCAAGCTTTACCCCAGGGCAAGTATTTTTTAAAATTAAATAAAGCCTAAAATCATAATTGAAATCGACTCGCTTAGGGCCTTGAATGAAGTCGCCGCAGGTCTTGGATCTGAGCAGTTTGAGGCTTCAAAAGTCTGCAAAATGTTTTTTGTCTGTTCAAAGTTTTATTGTTCTGTTGTTGTTTTTCTTGATCCTACTTCTATCCAATAAATTTCATCAAACTCATCTCGATTTTTCTTCATTCTTATTGTTTGATTTGAATCAAAAAATATCTAACTGTGAGTTTTGAGTTCATAAAAAAAATGAATGAAAGGTTCATAAAAAATTTTCCTTCCAAACGTGATGTGAGAAATTAAATTCAGCAGAGTCGATCTGTGAAAGTAAGCGCCAACGTAAAAATACAACTAATAAAAACTAACTTCTCTGTTTAAAAGTGTATAGCTTTTTAATAAGTTGGCCTCTAATCCATCGGAATCGATTGAAGTTGTCACTAGAGGGTACCTGGCTACTTTCGCGACCCTGCACTGTTTGTCACACATTATGAAATTTCTTTGAAATCCGAAGAAATAATTCTGATTACATATCCTAATAAATTTTTAACTCTTTTTATTATCAGCTCAATCATCTCAACAAGAATGTCATTCAGAACTGCGCGTTCAAAGTAATTTCGGCCTAAAATACTTTCTGTCAGAGGATAGAAAAGATTTTGGAAAGACAATTTATATTTAGCCGAAATCACTTAGAAAGCGGTATTCTGTTTTTAGTTTTATTTGAATGAACTAATGATATTATTTTTGTTCATCAAAAGTTCTTCCATTTGTTTTCACGTCATGACAGGCATTTTCAAATGGGTTTTGGAAGTTCCCTCATCATTTCATAATTTGTTCACAACCTAGTTTCCAAATCTGGGAAGATGTCGGTGAATTACGATGACATCGTCGAAAAAATCACTGCGTCGACACTGACGACCGAAAATTGGGACGGGATTCTTGGACTTTGTGATAAGGTATTTCAGTAAGATTTTTTTAAAAAGCTTTTGATTAATTTGCAATTCAATTTTTTTCAACCTGTTAGAAAATCGGTTTGCAAAAATTTCAGAGAGTTACAATTTGATAAGAGAAATGAATGATCATCAAGCTTTTTTATTTTTTTTTTCAGGTCAACGCAGATTCTGACAACGGCAAGGCTGCTCTGAAAAGTCTAAGAAAGAGGTTCTTTTTAACTATGATTGATATTTTGAAAAAAAGTTCCACTAAATAATTGAAATTTTTGAGGCTGTTTTACTTTTTTTCAAGAGTTAAGATCTAGCCGTGTACTTTTTTTGGTGAAAAATTGCTTTTCGAATAATATTGGAACCTATTATTTTTCTTTTTACTTGGTGTCTTTGAAACTCTCGTTTTTCGTTGCTTTTCAAGATAAAAAAGCCTTTTGTTCTGAGGAAATCTAAACTTGATTGGTCATAAGAAAAAATCTTATTTTCCACTCACCTCAGCTTTTAAGAACCTGGATGTACATGGAAAGACATTAGACAACTTAAGAAAGCAACCAATATTCCAGTCGCCATCCTGGATAGAGCTGAAAGAAGAATAAGTTTGGTTATGATAGTCGAAGTAGAAACAATAATTTACGATTCAAATACCGTGTTTATCATTCAAAAAGCTTTAAAGGCTGAATAACCGCGACCCCCATGTGATTTTGATGGCGCTGTCGGTACTCGATTCGTGTTGGTCGAACTGCGGCGCCAAGTTCAGGCGAGAAGTTTCATCCGCCTCTTTCATCAACGAACTCAAAGCACAATGCACCAGTGTAATTTTTTTGTTCTAATTCGTCGCTCCAAAAATTGAACGAGTTTCTATTCGAAAATAATCAACTTTCAGAGCCACAGAGTGGTCGGCGAGAAAGCGCGACAAATTGTGGAGAAATGGACAGAGGCCGAGTGCAAAGCTGACCAATCTCTGTCCCTCATAGTTTCTCTCTATCGCTCCCTCAAAGAGGACGGCCTCTCGTTCAGCGCCGACGAGCCAAAAAAGCAGACGGCCAACGCCATGGCCAAATATTCCAACGATCCCAATTTTGTCAGTTCCATCCGTGCGGCTTTTCGAAACCACTGATTTTCAGGTTTCGACGCAACAAGAAGAGGATGAAATTGCCAAAGCGATCGCTGCGTCTCTTGCCGACGCCGAAAAACAGGAAAAGTCGAGAAAATCTACCGGAATCTACCCGACTTCTACTGTCAAAACTCCTATTTTGACGTTAGTTGAGAATCGTTTTATTAGAAGACCGGTCGGCTCGAAAGAAAATTCCAAATCGGATATTTTATGATAACGATTTTCCTAGAACAAGATAAAACAGAACAATTTTTTTAAACTATTGTATAAAATTGAATTTTTCTAAACTATGCAATAAGCGCAAGTTTTTTTGACGTTCATCGATATTTTTCGAAACAAAAAGAAAAAAATTTTCCTTCAATACTTATAATAAGAGCGATTACTTGTTCTTTAAAAAAACGGTCAAGTAAGAAATCATGCGCCAAAATGGAAACGGTTAATTGAATATAAACATTTTTTTACAATAGATTTCTCGATGCGGGGAAGTCTTTCATAGAAAATTATTTGAATTTGTCAGCTGTTGAATCGTTAACTGATTCTATTAATACAAACTCAACAGCCCAAAACAAGTTTATGGTTTGGATTTTAAAAAATATGGTTTTGGCTTTTTCAACAAAAAAGTGAAATTTTTGATGATTTTTGAGTGGCTTTTATTTGAAATTTAATTATTTTATTTAATATTTCTGTGTTCAAAGAGAAGTTTTCTAGCTCGACTCCAAAATCAGAGCGGAAGGTCCGAGCTTTGTACGATTTTGAAGCGGCCGAAGGGAATGAGTTGTCTTTCGTCGCCGGGGACGTCATTTGTATCACTGACGATAGGTTCGTTCCGTCCAGATTTTTTTGATGAGAGCCGATTTTCTCAGCAATCCTCATTGGTGGACTGGTCGCATCGGAGTGCAACAAGGACTTTTCCCCTCGAGTTTCGTCACGTCCTCCCTAGATGACGAAGTTTTACTTTTTTCTTTCTTTCCTTGTCACTTTGAAAGCGAGTGATTCTCAAAAAGTTTCAAAGCTCCTTCTCTCGGCAGATCTGCCTCTGTATTCTTTTTAAAAAAAGATTTTTGATGAAATGATCGAGTGAAAACACTCTTTTTATAAGGTTATTTCTTACGCGAGAGTACTACATTGTTTTTGCAGCCAGAGTTTTCGCAAAACGCCTCCAGCCAACAACAACAGTCCATCGTGCCGACTATAAACGAGGCGATCCTTGTGCGATGTTTGAATGTCCTCCACGAGTGCGACCCGACCGGTGTCCGTCCGGATCCCGCAGATCTTTCGCAGGTAGGCTCAGAACAGATTTTTCGTTCAAAAAAGGTTGAATCGCCCTGTATCAGATTGGGTTTTTGGGTTATCAATTTTCACAGTTGAGCCAAAACGTTATCTTTTCAGCTTCATAATTTTCACAATAACCTGAAACGGCTTACGTTCAACGTAAAAAAAGCGTAGCGGAGAAAATGAAATTTTGGTTGAAAATAACTTGAAAAACGAGCCAAGTTCAGCGTGCAGTATATAATTTTTTCTAAAATTACTTAATGCATAGATTAAGATGTTTCGTAGTTTTTTTTTGTATTTCAGTTATGAATTCTGAGATTTTGATTCTACGTACGCTTTTAAGGTAATATGGTAATTCAAAAAATTGTGAAATGGGCGAACAGACACCGGTGAAGTTTTTTCCCTTTTGGAATTTCTCGAAATATTGAAGCTGGAAGCGGCTTCTTACGCGCAAGCTCCACTGATCGACGCTCGGCTTGCGGGGATCGACCGACAAAGCAACGCTCTCGCACAGGTTGACATCGCCATTCGTGACGTGCTAGCTCTCTATGACGATGTCATCCAACGTTCCGGATATCAACAGGTTTCAGAGCCGAAAGAAACTTTATTGTAAATGTAACTTTAGCCGCAAATGTACCAACATCATTCTGTTGGACCACAGCAGCCGTACCCGCCTCAACAATCAACGCAGCCGCAGTACAACTATCCGCTTCAGGTATTACTTTTGCCTTCCGGTCTTTTTTAGAAATTAGAATTATTCAGTTACAGCGTTAGAAGATTTTTCAAATGTTGCGTGAAACGGACTATTAAATATTTGATTCGCTTTTTCCAGTTCTGGCGCTGGTAAAGCGTATTTCTGACGCCTGTTTTTTCGTTTTTTCTTCACGGCGAGAGTTTTAAGTGACAAAATCACACAAAGAAAAATTTCATGACGGCTTAGTAGTGCGGTGACTGGATTTTTGGATAGTGAAATTCAAGTTTAGTGTTTTTTGTCTCCTAAAAACAGAGAAAAAAAAATACGCCCGACTGTTCTCTCCAGAAAACTGGAAGTTTAATTCAAAATAAATGATAATATTGCACAAACAAGAAAAAATTTTAACTTTTTTTTTCACTTCTAATGAAAATTTTTCTTTGTAGTACGCTCCGGGACAAACTCAGCAGACCGCTCCGTATGCGCAACAGTATTCGGCGGCGGCGAGTGTGGCGCCTGCCGTCGCGCCTCAATCCTTCAACGCGCCGACGAGCGCCGCCTATGGACCACCGCAGGCTTGGAACCAACAGCCGCCCGTTAATCAACCTTATTGATCGCTTTGCTATCAATAAGTTATTTATTCTCTCCTTCATGAAGTTCGGAATCTTGCTCACTTACTCCGTTTAACATTTTTTTTTTGGGTTTCAAAAGTTTCCAGTTCCTATTAATACATAATATGTAAAAAAAAAAAGAATTGTTCATATTCTGTGAATGAAGGGGGGATCAATCTCTGGAACTCTCAGTTTCTAGTAACGCGCTGATTCCCTTATTATGTCCTGTGATAGAAACTACTAACGATAACGCTTGCATGTAAAAAAAAAAGAGAAATAAACTTTATCGCCAGTATTCGTTAAAAGGTCTGAAGGAAGTAATGCCTGGTATTACTGATAACAAAAAAAAATTTTGCACATACTTTTTCCCCATCGAAAATAAGAAATATTTTATTTTGTCTTTTGAGGTGAATTTTATGTATATTAGACCCTTTCGAGCGGTATGAAAGTCCAAAAATTATTTTTCGTAGACTTACTCGGACATCATCAAGATTCTCATGTGAAAAAAAAAACATTGTTTATGCAAATTCAAACATCTTGGAAAATTCGAAAAGAACGAGCTTGGATAAAAAATCGCAAAGTTTTTATAATTATACTTTATTCACAAAAAATTTTCAAGCTTTACGAGTTCTTTAGAACCGAGCCGCAGAGAATCAAAACTAGTTAGGGTGCACTTTTAGGCTTGGAAAGCTGTGTTAAGTAGAAAAACTTGATTTTACCAGTGTTCAGAAGCAAGCTAAGGCATTGCGTAAAAGTCGTCGGAAGACGGATTCATTTGCGTCCCCAGCCACGACGGCCGGCCCATCTCGGAGCGAAGCCTCCCCACGTCGCCCCGCCGCCGCCCCAGCCGATGGAATCTTCATAGTCAGGACTGCCGCCCCAGCCGCGCTGTCCCCAATTCTGTTGCGGTCCTTGTTGCTGCTGCGGCGGAGGCTGATTCTCGGCCACAGGCGCCACCGATCCTACAAATTGACATAGAAAATAAAGTGCTCATAAGAAAACAACGCCAATAAATAAATAACTTGAAGAACTGATATTTTGCCTCTGAGAGTTTATTTTCTACTCGGGCAAAGTCGCAATGGTGGATAATGGCCGCTAAAAAAGAAAGGCTCAAAAAAGGCCGTAGAAAGGCTGTAAAAAGACAGCAAAGTGAGTCCCTTTATCAAGCCTTCCATTTTTCTAGGATTTCAAAGGCTCGTGAAATGGTGGAGAATTTTACTCCCACTCCTCCATAAACGTAAATAAAAGACTCACCGGCTGCCCCACGGCATTTTTTTCGCAAGTCCCACTGCGAATAGCAAGTCCGACAGCTGGCACGACAGTTCTCCGACATCCAGGGGTTCTTCTGACATTCTCCGATTCGCGCCCATCCTGCGCACGACTTGTGGTAGTCGACGCAAGCTGAAACTGAGCATGAGACGAGGAACAGGACAAGAAGACGCCTACATCCGTAGTTGTAGTCGGTGGGGAAGCAATGGCCGCAAGAGACGCGGCAGTTGCACGCCATCCATCCGGAGTTCTTACGACATTCTCCCATCAGTCCCCAGTGGGGACAACACACGTTTTCGTTGTAGCAGCCGTCTGAGTTGTCGCATTGCGGCGTCTGCGGCGCCGCAGTCGTCGCCACGGCTTCTCCTGCAAAGTCCGAAGATTTGATGTCACTTCTCAGGCGACGAACCTCCGCCGCACTCCTGCGCACGTGTCTTTCCACATTTGCCGCAGCTTTTTCTGCAGTTTTCCGTCATCCACAAGGGATTTTTGGAGCATTCGCCGCTGCGACCCCACGAAGCACAGTTCGAATGTCTGTCGGTACAGTCTGAAACGGTTTTCTAAAATTTTTGGAACATTTTGATCATGGCTGCAGTCAATTTTTTCGAATTGAAAGGCGAGCGAGGCTTCTACCTCCCTAAGGTTGAAACTTTTAAATTTAAAATTTTATTCCTAATTTTCTAAAATTTTCGTAAGCCCATTTCCCCTCCCGGGCTAAATTATTTTGCACTTGCCCATCTATGGATTAAATTCGGTAACTCCTGATTATGGACAAGACATCTTCGAAAAAGTACCGTCTTGGAGGCGGTAGGAAGGTTTGCAGATGCCACAGCTCGCCTTGCACCACTCGTTCATGTAGCCGCTGTTTCGGGTGCATTCGCCTTTAGCGGCCCACGGAGCGCAGCATTGATTCTCGTTGAAGCAGGTCTCCTGCGGCGCCACCACTACTGGCGTCGTCGGCTTTGGCGTCGTCGCCGGAGGAGGCGGCTTCGGCGGGTTCGCCGTCTCAAATCCATCCCATTTATGCGGGTTTTCGAGCAACCACCAACTGAAATGACGCAAACGCCGCCCTGGCAGGATCCTCCAAAACAGGGATTGACGCTGAAGGATCCACACGCGGCACCTGTCTGAATGCGAGCGATACACCTCGGCACGCCTTGAACCGTGTCGCAGAATAGATATCTATAAAAGTGTCAGTAAGAACTTTTGCTGAGAATAAAGCGCTCAAAACAAGAGTAGGTTCAGAATCGTCAAGCCTTTGTTGAAAATCGAAACGTAGGGTTTTCGATGAGGGTCGTAGTTTCATAAAAACTTCATCGGAAGATCAAAATGAAAATGATATAATTTCAAAGAAGAATTAGATGCTGAACCTGATGTATCTGGGAAAAAACCGTTTCAGTGGAGTGTTCATCGGAGAAACGAAACATGCTTCAAAACGAAAAATTGTGTTTAAGTTGCTCCAAAAAAAGTTGCTCCAAAAAAGTACTAACTTTTGTTTTGGAACAATTTTCTTGCGTTTCGAAGCAATTTTCGTTTTTTCCGATGAACTCGCCACAAGAAATGTCTAACTTGGATCCGCAGTCGGGGTTGGCAGCACTGCAAGTCGGCCGAGGGGCGTACTCGTATATGTTGTCTGTGAACTTGTTCGAAAGTCCGTCAATATTTCTAAAGTCCCCGTCTCCAAAAAATGCTTTTGATTGAGACGAACCTCATCGGAGTGAAGGGCAGCAGATTTCCGGCCCCGAAGTGTTGTGGTGAAGAGCAGAGTTGGTTGTCCGGAGGATATGAGATTTCGCGATCCGCTCGTGACTTAAATTTAAAAAAATAAGTTTTTTTTTTCGCGATTTTGGGTGTTCCAAGTGAAGACGAATAAAAGATAAACTCCAGCGCTCTCGAACCTAGTGTAGAACTTTAATCAAATAACTCATCTTACCGAACTTTCTTCTTTAAAGATTTATCCTTCCAGAAATAGTTAATTGTGAAGGAAAGAGAAAATTATTGCAAAAAAAAACACCTGTCGGCTCTGTCGCCACAACTCCCAGATGTGGTCGATGAAGGCGTGGTGGAAGAAAAAGAGCGGATCATTAGAAGACGTCGACGTATCGAACATGTCGCCGCCGACGAAGATGTGCACGTTTCCGTGGGTGTACTCCAAGCAGTTGAAGTCCGTTCGATATGGACATCCCTGCAGTTCCATTCATGTGGCGTTTTTTTCCTCTTTTCTGACTAGGTTACTGTAAATTCCAAAAAGGTCAATAGTGATTTATAATGTACCTGTCCTTCCAGCAAACTTTTACGGACAGACAATGGACTTCAAATGGGAAACTACTCGATTTGAGGATGAAGCTGTTTGAAGTATGACAAAGTAACCTGTCGCGGCGCGGTGAAAGCCATGACTTGGTCGACCTCGGTCTGCTGCATCACAAAGTCGATGTCTTGCTGTCTCAGGGGATTACCCTGAGCTCCCACTCGACGCTGGATGTTCGCCCGACCCTGTTAATTTGACAAATCACGAGTTGAAAGCAAAACAAGGCGGCTCACAGACAGAGTCCGCCAATTGGTGAAAGGTCCAGAGGTGACGAGACCCTGGCCGTCGGTTCGACCCGCGAGGTAATCTCTAGGAATTTCGAAAATGAGATGATTTAGCTGAACAGGACACACGTGAACATGATGGAATCCTGAGGCCGTGGCAAATGACTTTCGAGGGTAGAGTCCCAATAAGGCAACACGACGGTGGGATCGACTTGACGGAGGGCGAACTCCACTCTGAATAATAATCGTGACGTTTTCTTGCAGAACAGAGCTCCCAGTAGTATCACGTCATAAAGGTTTTAATACCCCTTTTTGAAAAGATATACAGACTTTAGACTGCCATTTTGGAATTCTCTCAAAACTTCTCAAATTCTCCTCGAAAAATTATTTGTTCAAAGTCGAGGAAAAATATAGAAACCGATAAAGTAGGTTCTAAGGAAACTGTAAGCCTTTTCTCGGAAACTGAAAAGTTTTGGAAGCCGAGACCCCCAGGAGCCTCCTTTGAGACATCAAAAATTTCTTTGACCTATCTCCGAAAAATTCCAGAAAACCGAAATCAATTTTTGTGTCAGGCTTGTCAACTATTTCTCACAATAAACTGCGATCTACAATTACGATTCATCGTCTGGCTCGCACCTTTTGATGAACTCCCGATGCCAAGGCAGGAAAGCCGGACCGGAATGAGCGCCTCCGGCTGCACTCATCTGCGAATGGATCCTTCCGATTCGATCATACTCTCCGTTCTGGAAGAATGACTAAAGAAAATCGAGAGGTAGAGAAACGTTTTTGAGAGTGCGGAAGGCGGCGTGAAGACGTTGAATCTCATCGTCGGAGAGGGTACGGTACTCCTTGCGGAGAGCTTTGCGCAGCGGCTGTCCGTTCGGCAACGTGCATTGTCCATTCGGCGCCGCTACTCCTGCAGTGGCCCTTTTTCACAATACGTCCATAGTCCTACGAAATAAATAACGCTCTAAAAACATGTGAAGTCTAGCGGAACAGAATATCTCGGACTTACAAAAAGAATGGTCATTAAATACTTTACGATTAGCGATTATCTGAGAACTCGTCAGAGTCCTTGATGTACTAAAAGAAGATTCTGAACGTTCTAATCTATCAAAATTTATAAAAAAAAAACTACTCTCAAAGTCAAAAAAAGCGATTCTTTCTGAAAAATAAGGAACCGGTTGAATCTCAGGATCTTCATGCGGCGCCAAAGACTCTGGTCAACTCCAGGAAATCCCCAACCTCGGATTCAAACCATTTTTTAAAAAAAAACTCAAAAAAAAAGACGCTACTTTAGGCATGCTCTTCAAAGAAAAAAAAAGAAGTGGAAAGAATTCGAAAGAATATTTCTTAATTCAATTTTCCACACTCAAGTTTGTGGGCCGATTTTCTTGGACAGACTTTTTCGTTTTTAAAACCACTGCTCTCCATCAAAAATCGAAGTTTTGACAGGAACTGGAATGTGCTCATAGGGCCTCGAACCTCGAAGGTAGGTGCACATGCAAGCAAGATCCATGCATTGGTAGATGGAAGAGGCGATCGGAGCCAGTTCGGCAGCGATTCCTTTGGTTCCGGCGAGGCCTGGCGGCAGCGCTATCTTCTTTTTCGTTGAAGCAACCTGCAGGAAAATTCTTTCCGATTAATTATTTCCATTGAACAGCTTTCGTTTTTTTTTTTGGCAGAGTACGGTGAAGAAAAGACTGCTGGAAAACAATATTTTGTGTAACCTTTCATCGATTGAGACCGAATCGCTACCCCAAATATGACGTCTTCGTTTATCGACAACCCGCGTTTCATTTTGTCGCTCTTTGTTCCCACAAATGTCAGTCTCTGTATTGAATCAGGTGCCAAAAGCGTTCGATTAAACATTGGAGAGTGGAGAGATTTTCCAGGAGAGCTTATTTGGAAAAGTGTCAAGCATAAAATGAGAATTCAAAGAAAAAAGATAGACCAATCATACTTCTTTTAAATAATTTGAAGATTCGTTAAGATTGTTACATTATCAACACATCTATTATAAAACAGTGAAATCGGATACCTCCTAAAATTGTATTTCTTTCCGTTTTCAGAACAAACTTCTCAACTATCAGCTGTAAATATTCGTTGGGCGTAAAAAATTTCTCGTTGTGTCGTTAAAAATTCCAAGCCTGGGTTTTTGTAAAAGCATTGAACATCTTGATTTAAAAAATCGTTACTGAAAGCTGTTTCAGTTTTTTTTACAGTCTTGAGAGATTAATACGCCTTCCAAACTCACAGTGAGGATATATAAACAGACAACATAATTATGAGGCTCACCATTTGATGGACGCCTTATAGTTCGAATATGGTATTCTTTGCCAATACTTCAAAACCACGATGAAACAGACCCGCGCGCCGTCGTCCCAGCGGTGGATTTGCTGGCACATAATTTTGGCAGCCTCGTTTGGAGCCGCGGCGCATGGATCCGTCTGAGCCCGAGCAAGCCCAAGCGCCGTCAGAAGCACAACGAGACACTCATATCGCATCTGAACAAGCTCAGATTCGCGGAGAAGTGGGCCGTTCTAACAAGTTCTCACTTAGACTCGAAAATCTCTAACAGGGAAAGAACCCTTCTCTCTAACGACTGTGGTTATGGCTCGCCTCCAAAAAAAAACATTCAAAGTTGATTAACAACGTTTTTGAAAAAACTAATATTTCAAAGTTCTCAGACAAGAAAAGCTCGCTTGAAAAAAGATAAAAATATTTTTTTCAGGCCGGTTCGAAGCTAAACTAAATAGCACAGAATAAACAAATCACACAGAAAACATTTTTGTATTTCAGATCAAACCGCAGTTGGAAATCATATCAAAAGAAGATGGAAACGGGAACAAGAAGAAGACGAGCGGGTCACAACAAGGTTGCCGTCGCCAAAGAACAACTTTTCAACTGTTAACAAGCAATGTCTTCGGCCAACCGCAAAATGTCTCTTCTTTTTTTTTTGCTTTACAGTCGACCCCTAACTGGTTCGTTCCAACTTCCCACTCGCCAAACAAATTCGTAAACCTTTTCAGTTACAATAATACGATGGATAACCACGTTTCCTTTCAGTAGAATTTTGGCTTCATCTTTTTTTTTGCAAGACACTTTCCATTTAAATTTGCTTTCGAGAAACATTTTATTTTCTCAAACAAAGCTATCGGAAAAAAAATATACATTTATCGTGGCAATGCTCTTAATGCTCGAAAAAACATGCAATTTTGGAAAAAAAATAACAAAAGAAAGTAGCTTTCAACAAATTTCTATCAACCTCTATTCCGCTCTCCTAGTAAAGACTATAAAGGAGAACCTTTGGAAATATCTTTTACTTCTTCCTCTTCGTTGTCGAGATGAATCACGGGAAAACACTGAAACCCGTTTTTTTTTTCTAAAAAATTGACAAGCAAAACACACCTGAAGAGCTTTCTTGTTGAATTTGACTTTATGGGCTTTTTTCGCAGATTTTAATTGATGAAAGCCACTTGGATCGCCTTCCAGATCAATGACAAATACTCTTAAACCGATTAAATTTGATGATTTTGAATGAAGTGATACTTAAAGACGAACCCTCTAACATCTCTTTTGAGCCAACCAAGCTCTAAAAGAGTTGCAGATACATCCTCTGTAGCTATTCCTGTCATAGCACTCGTTTCTGGAATAAAAATAACCTTCTCAAAACTAATTTTGAACGTTTTCCAAAGCTTATCACAAACTGAGTTTGATAGAAGTAAAAAAGATAAGATAAGGTTTGAAAGTCAGGTATTACAAAACTCTTAAAAAAATCAGGGCGCTGGTTCGATTTCAATGATGCAAACCTTGAATAGTTGTGTGATTCCGGTCGACGGTATTTTCTCGCCAGAAGGCGAATAGTTTGATGATAACCTCGCGCCAGTAGCATTTGAATAGAGCGGCTGCGGCCTCGGACAACGGCTTCTCCGGCGTCGCAGATTTCCTTTCCATTCGCGTCAGATAATAACCTGCAATAGAAAAAGAAAGGATAGCGAAAAACATTTTTTGGAAGCAACTATTCTGAACTGTAATTTCACTTCTATAGAGAACTCTCAGTCAATGTTGAATTAAGAAGACAATGATAAAAAAAAAAAAAAAAGAAAATCGGACGACTCTCCAACAGAAACAAAGATACATACTTATTTCAACTAGCAAACGGCCATATCCCCGGTCTCTGTAGTCTGGAAGAACCATAATACACGAAAGATTATGAATGGAGTCGTTCATTTTGCACTGCAACCATTCAAAGTCTGTAGAACCGTTTCACGGGACCGATAACCTTTTCCCAGCATGAAATACGAATAAGCAATTTCAAAAAAAAAAAACTCAGAAGGATGAGATTGTCAGGGAGAACATTTAAAATATTCGTACCACTTGTATTAAAAAACAAACTTATAAAATTCGCCTCGGATCAAAAAAAAACCTTGCTAAAATAGCCGACGAAGCGGTAGTTCAATCCATAATTCTCTGTCAAAACGTAGAACATGAACTCGTTAGTTGACTCCAAGGGAACTTTAGCTTGGATGAACTCTCTTGACAACCAACACAGCTTTTGGCAGTAGCCCCTTGAAAACCACTTCAGGGTTAGAAAAATAGGTATTATTTCACATTACCTATACTCTGAACCGTCCACTTGAAAGACAGAGTTCTGATTGTGCCTGTAGATTTCTTCTCCCGGTGGCTTACGAACATGACAAGTTCTCTGAAAATATAATATATATTTTTACTCAACAAGCTATGGAGCGTTCAAAGAGATTCCGCGGAACTCGAAGGGGTTTCCTGAAAAGGAAAATATATGTTTCACTGTCCTATGATCGGGTCCGTCAATTTATCTTGAATCACTTTGAATGCGCTACAATAAGAAGAAACAAGAAAGAAGAACCGAATGCGTCTCGTACTTCTCATAAGAGCCGGAGTTAGCCAAACAATACTGGCAGAGATATAACACATCGTCGGAATCTTGCAGATTTGCAGAATCGGCCAAATCCAACCGCAGCGTATCTGGAACCATGTCGTTTCAGTTTTGAAATTTTCAGCCCTTCTCAAATTGTTTAAAAAAAATTATCTTCGAAATATAAGCAAATAATATATCATTTACGATCTAATATGAATGTTCACTTGTTTGAAATTATGTTTATATACCTTCAAAACGTTTAATAAATGAATAAATATAATTCATACACGAACGGGATGAGATCTTTTTTCCGACCCGCGGTCGATCTGAAAAAAATTACAAAAAGGACCTCAGGAATGTTCTTAGAAAAGTCTCAAAAATAATTCGAGCAGTTATAAGGCTCTATTTGTTTTTCAATTTGGCATGATTCCTTTCTCGAGCTTTTTTTTTTAATTGGCTCTTTAAAGTATAAATATTGGCTTTTTATTTAGAATGGTAAAGAAAAAATCCTGTTTCTTCCTGAAGGAATATTTCAAAAAAATCCTTTTTTAAAAAATTCCTCAAGGGATCTTCCAAAAGAATTAATTTCTTGCTTGTGTCAAACAAAAAATGCAGCTTAAAATAGTGACCTATCCTAATGGTTTAGTCTCTTCATGTGTGTGAGGTCAAACGGTTAATGTAAATTGGGCGGCAAGCGGATGGACAGTACTTTTGTGTTCTTTCGTGACTTTTTCGCAGTCTTTTTGAAGTGCTCGACAAAGCCTACGAAAGCACGACAAATTTTTCCAATAGATTTTTTAGTAATATGAACTTGTAAACCTCAAGCATTCGAAACTAGGACAGCGGTAACTTTTGATTCAAAAATCGTGATCCGTCCACAAACCCAGAAAGCGTTATGGAGCATCTTATTTTGATAAAAGATACGGATTTCCAATTTCAACCTTTTTTTTAGCTCCGGCTCTTCACCATTTCAAGGGATTAGAGATGAACGGAATGAAGGATGAAATGTTCGACTCGTCGCTTATCTCAAGATTTCAGAAAGAAATTGAGCCAGGATATGTTCTCCGACCGCTCCAAATGAATGACCATCAGAACGGGTTTGACTTTGCTAATTTTCAGTTAACCTTAAACCTGAAATACAGGTATCTAGACTTGCTATCCCAGCTAACGTCTGTTGGAGACGTGGACGACGAATGGTTCGAGAAGAGATTCATTTCGATGCGCGACACAAACCCAAAGGCCTACTACGTTGTCGTTCTGGCCGACGAGAAGTTCGTGTTTTCGATCAAAAATAGGTTGAATAAATAGTTTCCAGAAATGATAGGATTGTCGCGTCTGCTACTCTCGTCATTGAGTGGAAGTTCATTCATCAGGCAGGATGCAGAGGGCGAGTCGAGGACGTTGTTGTTGATGAACAGTTGCGCGGCAAGAAGATCGGCTCGTTACTGAATCGCATCCTCGTACATCTAGCCCAGCAGGTTTCGTTTCGCGCTAAACTCAGCCAATAGGATGACCATTTATTTCTTAATAAAATCGACTCCAATGAATCAACAATTAAAAAAATACAGAGACAATGAAATAGCCGCACAACAGACTAATTTTTATTACTGCCTTAATTTTGTAATATTTGATCATTCATAATAACATAAGAAGGCGTTCAGATTGGAGTCTACAAGCTCTCGCTTGAATGTAAAGACAAGCTCATCCCGTTCTACGAATCGTTTGGCTACAAGAAAGACGAAGGGAACAACTTCTTGGTTCAACGATTTGATCATTAGGTACAAGGATTTCAAATAATATATTGCATAATGCCATTGGATATATTTGCATGTTCTAAAAAAATTTTCTGTGATTGTCCGACTCACTTTTGCAAATGATATATGGAGGTGTTGAAAAGCTTTTGTTCCGCTCCTGCTCACTTACATTTTTATTCGCATAATTCTTAAATTTTGATGAATATAAAGTCAAATAAAGTGAAATTGACCTTGTTTGTTTCGTCCAAGCCTTGATCCGGATACCTTTGCAAACCATCTTCTGTAGAGTTACACGAGTGACGTCTGAAATGTTAAATAATTGAAAAAAATGTATGCACATGAAAACGAAGGCCAAAAAACTGGGGGCGTCAATTTGACAATATTCCCCTATGAGGTGAAAATTAGGAGAAAAGGAGTTGGAGGCGGAAAATTTATAAGAACGAAACCCGAAAAAAATTTACAAAGATGAGATCAACATATTTCTTCAAAAATTAAAATTATAAGGAACTCACATTGGTTTAGAAGAGCGCATCTTGAGTCGTATCGAGTCACACCAATTAAAAAATTAGAGGGGCGAGATACAACGTAAAATGGTTTTACAGCGGAATGCGGTAATGCGAAATTTTTACTGTACTCAAAAACTGCGCCGCAAAAAAGCTTCTGCTGTTTTTTCTGTTTCTTCTGTTCAACTCTTCTTTTATATATTCCGTGCTCAAAGTAATTTCCGCGATATTATCTCTGACTCTCCAAAATTGAGTTATCTTTTTCTTTCTGTGAGGGCTATTAGCTATTGTGGATTTCGCGGTATATCATTTTAACAAGGCATTGATCCACTTAACTCATCCTTTTCTTTTTTCCACTGTCAATTTTATGCCGTATTTTTCGACAATTTCACAATTAACTTTTTTTTTCGTTTTAATGATTTCGCGCAATAAGCAAAACTTCAATCTCAGGAGCTGTGAGAAAGTTGGAATTTTTTTTTTTTGAAATTCCGAAACATTTCAGAATTTGGATGCTGATTTTTTAGCCAAAATTTTGAATTCGCGCATTTAAAAATCATAGACGACCTTGCAAAGTGCGGCTTTGTGGCCGCGCAGCTCTTGCATTTTTCTCGGGAAATCTTGAATTTTTGAAATTTTAAAATTTTATTTTAAGAGCCTGAGAGAAACTAAAGAAATGCGAGGTCGCGACAAAAAAAGATGCGAGTCCTGTTCATTTGCGAGGCTGTCAATATACCGCCACAGACCTTTCTTTTCTCTTCCGCCGGTCTAAGTATATATCTTTAGGGCATTTTGATGAGTCCGTATTAACCGAGAACACTTTAATTTTGAAATCGTAGAAACTACTTTGAATACAGCATTACTTGTAGCATGGAATTTCAAAAAAAGGCGTTTGAATCAATATGATTCCGGATTTTTTTATTATAGTATTTTTTTATTTACTCTTTACCCTCTAGAAGTGTTCCAAATCAACAGGCAGTGAATGGGCTCTACATACAATTTCCTTTCGGCTGGCTAACTCAATTTCATAGCGCTGACAATTTATCTGCTAGTATTTATACTTTTCTATATATGAGAAAATCTTTAATTGCGTGATGATCGAACGAAAATAAACATGTTCGAAACAGCCAAATTGCTTCAAAACAGCAAGTAGTACTGTTTCAGAGCAAATTAGAGACGCCGATGAACATTATTTTGCGTTTCTTCGATGAATAAGTATATACGCTTTGGTAGTTCCGCGTTCAAAGTAGCGTCTGCGAAAACATCTCTGAAATTTTTCAAATTCGTTTTTTTTTACTTTCTAAATGCTATTTTCAATTTCACGTAATCATTTTTAACACAGCACAATTTCCGAGCAAAAACTTTGTCATTTTTTCTGGTTCAATATTATAGGCCATCCCGCGCTAGCTTGTCACATTTTTCGTTCCCCCAAAAGGCCAGGTCAAATTTAACCAACTTTCGCTTCAAGACCTGTGTTTCTTGCCTTTATAAAAGCGGAAATTTGATCTAATTTGGTATACGGTCTTTTTGGCGGAAAGAAAAACGTGACAAGCTGCCGCGGAATAGGCTATACGTTCAATTTGATTGAAAACTTCCATCTTCGCGGCCGCAACGCGTCCGCTTTTCTGCCGTTTTCTGTGAATCTCTTTTTACAATGACGTGTTGGACCTTGGTGACGCCAATCGAACGAGATTGCTGACGATACTAAAATGGTCATTAGAAATGTCAAATACGCGTCCAGCTAGCGTTATACCAATTCCGAGTCCAGATTTTTTTTTAGGACATAAATCTGGATTATTTTTTTTTGGTTTTTCTGCAAAATTTTAACTGATAATGATTTCTAGCTTGAATCTTTTCTGTCAAAAGTTCCCAGGAAAGTAAATCGATAATTTCCTAGCGTACGCAAATGCGTTGTTTGTACGAAGTTAGGGGCGGAGTTACAGCAGCGGTGTGAAAGGAGATCTTTTGGAGGACACAGCGCCCTTCCATTTCTGCGTTTTGATCTCTCCGAGGAAGGGATGAGTCACAGGCACATGTTGACACCTTCTGCGTTGTTTCTCTTTCCCATTTCATCACTATTCCGAAATTTCCATTTTTTTTAGCTCCTAAAATCGTTTTAATAACTCCTCTTCATTCTTTTCTATATGACCAAGAAAAACTTAATCATCTAATATAATGCAAAGAAATTGTAAATTTCTCGAAATTTGATTTGAAAAAAAGTTATTCGTAAGATAACTAATATCTAAAAGTTTTTTTGAAGTAGAACTATGTCGCGTTTCAAGTAATTTTTTTGAGAAGCAGAAATATTATTTAAATAACTATCTTGCCATTTCCTAATTTTTTTGTGCTTGGAAATCGTGTTTAACGTGCCGTAAACATGGGGTGAACTGTAATTTTTTTTCAATCTGCAAAAATTGCTGAATATAATTTTTTTAAAAGTTGAATTCAAATGAATGATTTTTTTTTATTATTTTTAGAATATATTGGGAGAAGCGGTTGGAGCTGTGTTTGGTGACGTTTTTTGTTTTCTGTTTGTGCGTGGTGTTTGTGGCGTTGAATGAAAGAAAGAGAGAGTGAGAGAGCAAGCTAGGCAGTCAGGATTGAGGAAGGACATGTGGCAGGAGGTACCTCATGGACAGGGAGTTATAGACAAACACAAATTTCGGCTTTCGTGAAAAATCGAAAGTATAATTAAAATTCTGGAAAGATTTCGAATTTCGCAAAAATTAGTTTGAGAGCAGTATTATTGTTCTCGAAAGACTAACCATGTCCAATATGGAAAGAAGTTTAAAACAGTATTTTAAAGCAGTTTCTCGAATAATTTTTCTCTTTTTCTCTTTTTTTATTTCTTTTTTCAGAATCGCTTTTACAAGAACTTTAAAAATTTTTTTCCTGTTTTTTTTTTTCAAACAACATCAAAATAGACTATTCTTTCATTGTTTATGTTTACACTTTCGGTGATGATTGCTCTCGTCTTTTCATTCCGCTTGTTTTTTTCGTTAGCTTCTTGTCACAAAAAACTTTCTGCAGAGTAAAATGATGCCGGACGAGAAGAACGGTCGCGTTTTTGTCGTCGAGTCGACACGTCGCGATGACGCCGTCAGAACTATTCTGCTTATCATCCTGCTCATTGTCTTCCCTGTAAGTTCTCATATTGTCCCCGATAATCTGAGAGATGAAAGTTTTCGTCGATAAATCAACAAAAAATAAAAATTTTCCTCTCGGAAAACTTGCAAAACCCTATTTGAATGTTTTTTGAGTTTAAATTATCAGGTTGTCTTGTTAAAATGATTTTTGGGTTTGTCGATTTTTATTTCATTCTATAGTAGGGATTTGATGACCTTAAATTTCTTTTCTTTTTCATTTCGATAGGGTTCATTCACTAAAATTTTCATTTCAGCCGGCTGCGGTTGCAGTGCATGCGAACGAATGCAACGTGCACGTCTTCATTTCGCTGCTTCTGATTCTGCTCTTCATTGTGCCCGCCTACATTCACGGCATCTGGTACTGCTTCATCCGTAAGCCGCGGGCCGTCATCCTTGCATAATTCGAAATTCGCATATGTTGCCTACAATATCGCCTGATGCGCAAGTCTGTACATTAATTTCTCCATATTCGTGTTGAGGTTTTTTTTGTTCATTATTTTGATACTTTGGCAAAAAATGATTCACTTTGAAAAAAAAAGCGGCATTCATCTTTGAAGTCGTTCTTTCTTGGACCAATTTTTAGATATTCGTTTTACCAGTTCTTTTTTTTTTCAAAACTATTGTTTCTTCTTTTATCCGCTGTATGTATGTTTTTTCGGTAATTGTTTTGAAATAAATTTGTTTACGGAATCTTGGATTGAGAGCTAAAGAAGAGGGGCGAGTTTCCATGGTGACGAATCGGCACACCAAATTTTCAATATTCCCAAGTTAGATAGGTTTTGTTTTCGGTCACATAAATTGGCTGTTTAATTATTTTATTGGAACTTCAGGAGAATTCCGTCGGTTGGAGCAGTTTTTTTTGAACAGATTTGTTTTCAAATTTGCAACAATCTCCACCGGCTGGATATGTTTCTCTCTCTGAAACCAGCTTGACGCTGCAACTATACGTTCAGTCTAAATCTGTTTAAAAATGGTAATCCAGGATAAAAACAACAGAAGCTGGAAGGTGATGGAGAGCAGTAGCAAATGGACGTCGCCGGTGTCGCTTCAGGGAGCCGAGGTGCACTGCTCGAAGAGCTGCGTCGCACTTGGCGACCTCTTCTCTGACGGCGACTCCAAGCTGATTGTCGCCCACGGCGGTCAACGCGGGTTTCTTTTTTTTCGATCCGAAAATTCAATAGTTTCGAGAAGGTTTTCTGTGTATGAGACTCTGAATGGAGCGCTTTTTTTTGCTCTGGGAAATGCATTTTAGAGTCGATTTTTCAGCTTATGCTAATTTATACTTTTCACTTTGGAAGTTGATTTATGTTGAGCTTGGGGATTATGTATCCAGCATATTTAATATTTTTAATTTAATTCATACAGACTTGTTGAAAAACCAGTAATTATGAAGTAGTTCAGCTCATCTTTCAATTATGGACTTGTTCCAGAATGAACATGCGGCTGAAGGTTTTCAAAGGAGTTTCTCAGATGACGGAGAGTTCTTTGGCTGATCAGCCAATCGCTATCGCCCACTTCATCAACGAGTTGGTTGGTTCCGAGATATTCAATATTAGAAAGCGGAACAAACACATATTAACTATTATCTTGTCTTTGAATTCTGTTCATTTCGATTACATGAATTTTTTAAAGCGAATCTTGAATTCCGAAAGTAAATATAAAAGTGACTTGATAACAATAGCTAGCTGGACTAGACAAACTGAAAAATATGGCGGTCAATTTCATTCTCAAAAAAACTTTTTAGTCGTCGTTGCCTTCTGTTGCCGTAGCCGCGGGTTCATCGCTGTTGATCTACAAGAACCTGAAGCCATTCTACAAGGTCTGATTTCAAACGTTCAAACTCTTCGAGACTCCTTTTCTAGTTCACGGTTCCGTCCTCGGAGGTCAACGGCGTAGAGAAGCAAGCCTGGCAGGCCGCCGCCTCTGGCCAACTTCCGCAGGAGAATCTCTACACTGTGATTCAAAATCTCGCAGAAGAAGTATGAGTCTTTTTCTCGTTCGAAATCGCTTCTTCAGGTGTCATCGGCTAGTCTGACGTCAGCGTCACAGACTCTGTTGCTGGTGCAGCCAAATGAGCGTCGCGCCTTTTTCGACAAATACCTGAACAAGCCTCTGACTAACTCGGTTGGCCTTTCTTGCGCGTTTCGATCAACTAGATGTCGATTGAGGCTGCGATAACGTGTCTGACGAAAATGGAGAAGTCGACGGCGGAAGTGATCGACGTGCTTCTGATAGGCACGGAGCACGGCAAGCTGCACGTCGTCGACAGTCAGGCTTTCACGCACCTCACCTCCTGCTCCTTCCCTTCGCCTCCTGTCCAGATCGTCACGTACGGTACGTTCGGGACTTCACAATGGCTGGTAAATTGAAAGTCATTTTCTTCTTTTTCTTCATCTTCCTACGCCTTTAAGCAGTGTCGGCGCAAGTTGATTAGCCGAAAAACATTCAAAGAACTTTTCAACGCTACCAAGTTTGAATGATAAACTTGAATGGACTTACTTGCCAATTTTCGCATTCTAATCCCCCTTCCTCTGTTGCTTGAGTAGCTCAGTGAAATATACTTTCGTACTGTATGATCATAAAAATATTCTGCTTCTTTCAGGATCCTACGACGTCGACTATCGCGTGTTCGTTTTGACGCGCGACGCGATGATCTACGCGGTAAAGAGGACGCAGACGAGCTGCGGACGTCCCCTCGTCGTTTCCACGTGTCCCATCCTCTCCATGGTCCGCATGAAGAAACTCGTCAGTCCGACAAGTTCTGTTGATTGAAAAAAGTCTTTCCTTCAGCTCGTTACGGCGTCTTCTGATAACACTGTCAACTTTTACAACTTCAAAGGAAAGAAAATAACAGAAGTTCGCTGCGACAAGAAGCCCATAATGCTTGAGAACTTTGAATATACCCAAAAGCAGTTCACTGCAGTTCTTGTCATGTTTGAGCAGGAGGTCACATCCGATTCTAATATTAATAATATAATAACGACTTCAGATACGGATGTACAACGAAAATTATCTTTTGGATGTTTTGAAGTTTGATAAGCCACTTTCTTGGATCAAATACGGTCATTATGGTCGTGAGGAAGGAGCTCTCGTCATATGCTTCAAAGGCGAGTCTTCATGACTGATCACTTAGAAAAATTAACCTCTTTCCTCTTTCCTTTTTCAGATGGCAGCGTTTGCGTGCGGATGTTCCGCAGAAAGGCAAACTTCGACGAGAAGCGGGATCTAAACCCTCATCCAGCGACTCATACTCTGAAACTGGCGATCCCCAAGAAAACCAAACTGTTCATCGACCAGAGTGTCCGAGAAAGGGACCACGGAGACCGCATCAACCAGGTCTGCGTTCCTAGATTCCGAAAGAGATCTCTTTGCTCCAGACCTACCAAAAAGACTTATTCCTTCTTCGTTGCCGAGTGGCCGAGTCCTACGCGGAAGTTAGCACGACGGCATCTTCTTCCGTGGCGGCCGACGGCCAGTTGCCCGTTGACATCACCGTCGACGTCCACGGCTTCGGCCCCGTCTTTCGTCTCATCATCTACGTCGTTTCCAACGCGTCGGTTCTTCTGTACTTTTTCGCCTTAAATTTTCTTGAAGTAACGGTTCCGCTGTTTATATGCTCCATGTAAACTTTTTAACCGCGTTGGAAACTTGATTCGAAAATGTTGATATCAACCAAAAACGGAACAACTTTGAAAGATACCTAGTGAACTCTCACGACACAGGGAGACTCGATTTTAGTTGGAGTTTAAACTTTTACAACTTTCACATTTTTTTTCCTAATTTCATGTAAAAAAAAAACCAGTTGTTCCGATTTTGAAATTTTTTTTTGGTTGAAAATTGGAGGTAACGTGGCCCAATGCTAGAGGCGAACGACTGGAAGTATTTAGAAGAAAAAAAAAAACGATGATTTTTGAGCGAACACATGTAGGATGCTATTGATAGCAATTATCTGATGGAAGCCTCAAGAAGACCTTTGCAGGAAAGCGGACGTCTTCGGCTTGTGGCTTTCCATCATGTCGGACCCGGCGATGTACACGATAGAAGAGCCCCTTATTCCGGTGTCTCTATTGGCTCCTTCGCACAAATACTCATTCACGACTTTGCTCAACTGTGTGGATCCAGAAAAGGTTCAGTTGTGACCTACGGACTTTGAATGTGCAGAGGAGGTCTTTCAGGCCACGCAGGAAGAGCTGAGAGTGCTTCTCATTCACGAAAAGAAACAGGCTCCCATCGTGACTGCCGTCGTCAAAATGCCCATCAGCGAAATGCCTGTTGATTGATTTTTTCCCTCATCTATCAATTTCTATAGCGGTACGAAAACTCGAAAAAAAAATGGGTGCCTCATTCGCCACGAAAAAAGTCTGGCATTTCTGTGATCTCTTTCCTCTAACCGCTGCGATCAGAAAACGTAGGAGCCTGCACAAAAACATGGCGAAAAAGAGAGCGCATTTGGGCTGACTATTTTAATTCGTGCGCAGCGAGGAAATGATTTCTGATTGTAAAAACAAGCAAAAATTCTATTTTGCATTGATTTCATTTTCAAAACTACTCAAAGTTTGACACGAGGTATCGAAAATAAAACTTTATCGAAAATTTTTCACGTTTAAAGAAGAAACGGATGCATATCTAAATTCGAACTCTGAAAGGCGTTTTATGAAGGTTATAATATGCAAAAGGAGAAGGCTTATTTTTCCGAATACATTTTTGAGTTTCCATTGGTCCTAAACAGAAAAACGGCGAGATAGTTAAGGCGCAAGAAGCATTTGTTTGAAAGTTCACAATTCGAAGAAAAAAAGGTTGAAAGGCGAAAAGTTAAATGAGCTTTTCGATGACGGCCTGATGTTCATCGGGTTGGTATTGAAGGCCATTGTAGAGTTTGTAGAAGCAGTCGTGGCAGTACGGCTTGCGGTCGTGTTCTCTGAAAGTGCCGTGCATGTTCAAGGCCTGAAAACGCATCTGGTTTCGTCTACAAACGGGAGTAGAAACAAGCCTTTTGGCAATAAGTGCACATGAAGTGGTAGGTGTGGAACTTCTGAGCTCGAGTAGAATTGGGCGCCAAGGCCGTCAGAATCGGTCCGTCGATCTCCTCGCTGCAGTAGGCACACACGGCCGCCGGAGGCAGAGGAGGCGAACCCTGCAAATTTGCGAGTTTCAGTCACTTGAAATCTAATTGAAATTCAGAAGTGAAGACGTTTCTGTTGAACTAACAGATATGAACTAACAAAAATCTAAAAACCCAAAAACGGGCTCAACTTTCATTAAAAGTTCAAAAGTTGATCTTTTTAAAAAATTCTCTTTTTTAGAAAATTCAAAACTTTTATTTGCTGTATATTTTATATAAGGCCAGTTTTATCACTTTCATTTTTTGCAGGATCATCCCAGAAAGGAAAACAGACAGATATGTGAAGGGTGCGACGCGGTGTCGTGGAACGGGCGCGACGTCTTCTCAAACTCTCCGACTCCTGCTGCGACATCTCGACGCCATAGTCCCGCGAGACGTCGTCCACCGTGAAACTTTCCTCGTCGGCTGAAACTTTTGGTCAGTTGAAAACGTGATAAAACTTAGTCGTCAGAAAATTGCGAATTAAAAACTTCTCAATCAAGGATTCGTTCTATACTTCTTTTTTCATTCGTTTCACTCATGTTACGTTTCTTGCACTTCATTATCACTCCAATTTGCCAATTTCAGTGAAATCCGGCTGTCTTAATTTTTTACATGTTCAAGATTTTGTTTTGGATATATAGATTTGAATTTTACCGTGCTTGGGCCTCGGAGGAGGAAAGTCTTCGGGCGCCGGGGTCAGACGCAACGTGTATTCGATCTCCTGCAGAATTATGATTAACCATTTCTTCTGAAATCGAAAACCTCGCGATGCTTTTTTCTTCCGTCACCGCGTCCGCGATTCTGCGACGCGCGACGCAACACCTCCGTCGTCGCGTTGACGTCATAAACGAGAGCCGCCAGAGTGTCGGTCACCGCATTTTGCCCTGCAGATGGGCATTACTTCATTTTCCATGAGTACAGACGTTGGTCTTCTTTCAGTTTGCCGAGTTGGTGGTTCATGTCGTCACTGCTGACAGCTTTGAGTCTGGCGGTGAGCCAGTCATCAGCTGGATCGATGTCGATTCGGCCGTTCACCTAAGAGTTTTCTTAAGTTTAAGAAAAGATGAAATCCCAGAAGTGAGATGATTCGAGAAAATCAACAATTAAACCTCCATTTCCGTTTGGAATTGACGGCGCTCGATTCTCTGTAAATGAATTCTTAGCTTCATTTCTTCCATTTCGAGCTCACCATTTGCTCTTGCTTGCGTCGGATGATCTCCGTGGTTTGCTCGACGTCGTCCTTGAGCGCCGACAGCGTCCCGTTGACGATCTCGTCCTCTGAAATCGAGAATCAAATTGGGGAAATTCGAAGGATTGGCTCACGCTGACTGAACTCTTCGTCGTTGCGGAAAACCTTGTCGCGGTTGGAGTTTCGGCTCTCGCTGCGCCAACGAGCCACGTGCCGCTCCACCGGGTCTGGCATGTTTGAGGTCCTCGACTCACTCCGTGTCTGTTCTGCAACTATTCCAGGTAATAACTGGAAAAAGGTAAGGAAGGGAATTTTGGGCTTAATCAAAGTCAAACGATTTTTTTTTTTCGGAAATTTTTTTCAAAGTCATACAAAAACGACTCTTGCGAACTCAAAAATAATGAATTGAGTCAAGAAAAGCCCCAATTTCTAATGAGAAATGATAAAAGACTATGCATTTTCGCTCCTAAACTTAAAAATAGCAAGCTTACAGTATTATGCATTTCAGGAGGGAAAAAAAAGAATAAGGTACAATTTAATCTACAAGCAAAAAAATTTCATCTTTCACGTCATTATGTTTATCTTCAAAAATTTCTCTTAGCTCACAAAAAATCGAGATCGAAGAAAAAGTCGGAAATGATAAAAGATCATCGAAATTTGATAACATTGACTTCTTTAAATATTCTCATGTGCTCATTTCTGACAGGCAATTTTGGAAAATAAGACTCACGGTAGGAAGGAGTGAGGGTCCTGTGGGTGGAGGTGCTGCTCTCGGCCATCCAATGGTGGGACGACGAGTGCTGCGGCTGAGGCGAGATCGTCATCCTCAAATACGAGGAGTTATCAGCGGTTCTCTACAGAAAACGACAAGTCAGTCATACTTGAAGAAGCTTTTCCATATCGAAAGTACAAAAACGGGAGTGAGATGAAAAATCAATAGGAGCTAAAGGAATTCAGTACAAGGGGGAGAGATCAAGGCAGTTGCTCGACGGCGAAGACTTGCCAGCCGTGTAGTTACACATCCGCCCCAGGCTCCGATCGATTCTCACTGTCCGATTATCGACTTGTTGCAGCTGGCAATGTTTCTTGATGTGGGAATGAAGCTGTTGTTCCAAAACCACACAGTTTTGCAACATTTCCGCTTTTTATCGGAAAAATATGAGAAATTTTCCATTTCTGAGAATGGAGAAACTTCTGAAGTAGTTCAAAGTCCTGCTCAATAGGAATAATGAAAAAAATCGAACTTAGTTACAAGGGGAGGTTGACTAACAGAAAAAAATTCGCAGAATTTTTTCATCACAAATAAATTTTAAGTCTGCAGCTGTTTAAGTTTACTTCTAGTTGAATTTCACATCAAAAAAATTTAAAAAAATTGGCGATTACCGAAGAAATTTTTCCTAATCGGTTTCAATTAGAAATGAACATATTATTTTTATTTTTAATCATTTTTAGATCTGAATTTCTTATCTGGACTGTTCAGAACACCTCTGTCTATTTTTTTAAACAAAAGTTGAGGTCCTGAGAAGTTGTTTTTTGATGAATTTTGCTCGCCGCTGAAACACACTTGAATCGATTAAAACTCCCGGAGAATCAACATGAAGAAATCGACTAAAATGTGTTATGATGAAATATAAAATGATAAAGTGGTAGAGATCAAAACCGAATTTTCTCCTCTTTTTAGTGGCCGCCTCCCATGCGTTAGTTGAATTCAGGTGGAAACTGAATTTCTTGGAAACCTGTGGGAACGACGACGAACGAAATACTCGAGCGATTCCTCGACGACGCGGCTCCTCATTCTTCTGCGCGGAAAGGAAGAAAATGTTTTGCCGCGAGCACTCCTTCAGAAACGCCGGTTCTTCGAGATGTGTGTCCGACCGTACGTTTCCTTTTGTGTCTGGTTCTGTCTCTCATTCCTCCGAACACTTCGATTACCTCTCCTATTCCATGAACAAACTCCACTTATTGTACTCCGTCTTCCGGCATTCAGAAACAGCATTTCCTTTCCTATTTGATAGATTTTTATCCTAAATTATTCTTTGAAAAGTTCAAAAAAAGCGTAGCAAAATTCTATTAATAACTTTGAATCCCTTTTTAAATACTTTAGTATTGTCATACATTGAAGTTCACAATTTGATGATTATTTAGCTATAGACAGAATAATTTTTTTGAAAGGTACGCACTTCTTATTTTTTATAAGTTTTTCTTTTTAGTTTTTTTTTAACTCAAAATTTCGCAAACCAGCTGACGGAATTTTTGTTTAGTAGCAAAACTTTGCTTTGATTTCGCATGCGGCCCTTGAGAAATGAAATGAATCAGGGAAAAAAAAAACAAAACATTTTCTTCGCGTGAGAAACAGAGTGAAAAGAGAGAAATAATGTAAAACAAACTGTGTGACTAAAATGGAAAGACGGTCTTAACAGATGTGGGATGAGCGCAAAAAAGACGAGCGGCGGCTGAAAGGGTCGAAAGTTCTGGTTTACAGCGAGTCGAGCCACGAAAAAGCAGCAAAATCCACGCCCACGTTGGTTCTTTATAGCTTCGAATCGCTTCGACTATTAGTTTTACAAACGGAATTCGGATGAAATCACAAATGGAATTTCAAGCTTTGTCTTTATTTCTATCATCCGGAAAGAAATATTCCAGAAAAAACACACAAAAGGTTCCAGTCAAATTCACAAACTAAGAAGTACAAGCTCACTTTATTGGGAAAAATGAATGGGTAAGAGGAACAGTTTTGATCGAGAAAGGGCGACTAAATCAGTAGGAAATGCCGGAGGAAAACGCTCGGCGGTAGATTACAACGGAAGCCGGAGCCAGCGGATGCCTGGAGAACTCTGCCATTTGCACCTTTTCTCTTTGTCTTTTTAGCCTCTTTTGGAATGTCTCACTTGTCTATTATTCAAAGGTTCTATCTAAGAGAAAATAGAAATATCATTCATCTGTAGCTAGTGTTTGTTGAAAAAGAAGAAAATTTAAAAAAAAAGTGGCTTTTGCTGCGACAAGTTTCTATCATAAAACTTCTTCATGCGCCTTAAAAGCTTGAAAAAAAAGCAAACTTTCAGCCATTATCAATTGAAAAACCTTACTTTTCTTCAAATTTGGTTTTGCGGTCTGCCATTTTGGTTTCAGGAGGCTTTTTAAATTTTGGTTCAATCAGAATGTTGATTTTATTTTTTATTCTCTCATATTTAATCTTGTCGGTGTTTTCCGCAACCGAGCAAGGCGTTCCAAGCTCAATGAGGTGAAGAATGGGCCGCCAGATGGCCCAAAGAAATGTTTTCGGGAGCGAGATGCTTGAGATGTTCAGGCTTGACGTGTTCTCCTTCTTTTTTCCACATTTTTCTCGTCCTTTCATTTATTTTTTCTGCTCATAAGAGTGGTAACCGACCCGATAACATCAGGAAACAAATCTGAGAAGTTTGAACTTTCGTTGTAAACTTAGAAAATAACTGAGTTTGAAAATGTTTCATTCATGCGGCAAAAAAGGAAAGGACATTTTTCGAAAAAATACCTTTTTTGAGTCAAGATATCCGTGTTGAGGTGATTTCGGAACCTTTTCGTTTGATTTGACTTGCTCTACTGAGCAGCGCACCGAATGGACGTACCTTTAGAAGCGTTTATTTCTGAAATAAGTTGTCGGAAATGTGCGGCGGCGTCTGACACCCAACGCCGGCCACAAAACGACGAGTCGATGAGCCAATTGAATCGCTGCGACGCTGTGGTAATCCCGTCGCTTGAGGCGTCGTTCGCCGCTTCCTGCACTTGATTCCTCTTCGTCCGACCCAAGACGAGTTTCGCCAAGACGGTGTTTCTCATCAAGAGGGTCCTGTGGGAGATCTGGCCAATCTTGTTAGGTCTGCCAACCAATCTTCTGCCGCTCTTCACCGATTTATTCTCTGGAACCAACGTCTTCAACTCAACCATTACGCCTTCCTTCCAAAATCTTTTTTTTAACCACTCCAAAAAAAACCGCTGAGGGAAAGATTGGAGGCAAATAAGAGAAACTAATCCTTCCGGAGGGAAAATTTTCTCATGGCTCAATAGATTCCAAGGATTTTAGAAAAAAAGGAAAATTTTGAATTATTTATTTTCGCCCTCGAGCTGCCATTGCCGAGTAATTTTTTTAATTCTCATTATTCCTCTCTCTCATTCAATTTTTTGTTTGGAGTTCGATGAGTTGTGTTTTCAGAGGCTACAATGAGAACAAGAAAAGACCCTTGCTCAAAAAATAATTAATTAGAAAACCTCGATACTCTATTTGGAATAATGGTCCACCATAGAAACCTTTTATTATTTTTGTTGACAATCTTTGCAGTATCTTCGTAATTATTCAGAAAAGTCGTGTTTGTGAGCTCAGCCGGGAAAATGCTACTAGGAATCCTTGAGGAAAAAAAAACTGAAGTCGTGGTGTTGGATTGAATGCGTAATTGAGGCCTCGAAAAGATCGAATTGCAAAACCTTTGGCGGCCGATTTCCTTGTTTGATTCGTCTAATTCGCCTTCGGAAGCTCAATTTGCCCTCGGCATCACTTCCCATGCAAATTGCACCTTTCAAGAATTCAACTGCACTTCCACAAGTTTTCTGATTTTGAGACTCAATAGTTTTGTCTGTTTTGATTTAAAAAAACTTTATGCCGTTTCCGCGAAATCGAAATTAACCGCCAGAGAAAGAAAAAAAATAACTAAATTTGGAAAGCCAGTGTCAATTTTTCATTTCGCAGGATCTACTCTAAACACCGCCATCGCGAGACTGTAAAGTAAAAATGTTTCGTACGCGATACACCTGATGCACGAAGATACGCGCAAAACTTAAAAATATTGAATTAATCATATTTTTTTATGCCGTTCTGAAAGTTGACCGATCGTGTTGGTACGTTTTTTGATCATAGAGTGAAATGTTTTGTGTGAACAATTTTTGAGCTTGTGATTATATTTTTTTCAATCTCTATGAAACTTTTTATACTACCGAAATCGCATACACATCTTTTCTGTATTAATACATATTTCAAACGTTGATTTCTGAATTCAGGTGCGAAAAATGTGAAAAAATGAAAGATGCCGTCGCTTTCGATTTGGTTTTGGGTCTTTTCGATTCCCATCGTCGTCAACACAACGTCGGACACGCGCAAGACCGTTTTCCGTAAGTTTTTTTTTTCTTCAATGATGTCTCAAAAAAAGGTTAGCCCTGATTATGATGACCATTTTTCATTCGTGTTTTCTCTTGATTCGCTTGATTTAATGATAGAAACTTAGTGCGATAATGAAAAAAAGCTTCCTACAGGAGCTATTTTCGACGGAAAAGGGAAAAGTGGATGGTCTTCATAGTCTGGAGCTTCTTTTTGACCGAGCCTATCTTTTAAAAAAAGTTTATGAATTTGCAAGTTCAACCGCTTCCGAGTCTCGTTCACTTATTTTTTCTATATTTATTCAATTACGTTTTGTTTGTTTTTTTTTCCTTCTTAACTTGATTTTGCACTCACTTCAACACCTAAGGTTTGTGATTGATCCGCTTAAGTTAGTATGAGAGAGCAAAACGCGCTTTAGGCTCTCTTTTTGTACCTCATTTCGTTATTAAAGGACTTTTTCTTCAAATTAAGAATCCGGTGAGTTTGAAATCTTGCCGCCGGTAATTTTTTTGCCCTATAAGTTTTTGGTGATATGAGAAAAAGACTAGCGAAAGTTCGAACGGCGACTTTTCCGATTTTTTCATGTAGATAGGAAACTTTCCGATGAAGAAGTTTCCGACTTTTCGAATTGACTTTCCGAATCGAAATCTTCCTATATGAAGTAGGTAGTTGATTCATGATTAAAACACGAAAAAATAGGAAAAAAAAATGTTAATAGATGTTTTATAAGCCGAAAAACATAAGGGGAAAAAGTCGGAAAGAAATTCGTCGTAAACTTTGCAGTCCAAAGCTTTGAAAATGGTCTGCCCATGTATGGATTTGTGGATAAAGGCGGTGAATGAGTTTACCATTTTCTTGCATACGACCCCTGGTAACACCGAAACAGAAATCTTGTTCGGAAAAGTTCAGTAAAGCGCGGAAAGTTTTCACAACAGAAGTAAAGAAAAGGAGTTTTATTTTGAAAGTTTCAGTTGCCACTTTTTTCCTATGCACTTTTTCTTCTATTGCATAGTGAAAAAAATCGCTAAACTCTTTTAATTTTGAAGGTTTGAACAATTGAACGAAAAAAGTTATAATCGATGAAGAGAATAAATTTGTTTGGAAAAGAAAAAAGAGGAACGCCTTGTTCTGAGTGGATCATTGCTCTCCAGGGGCCGCTGGAAAGTCAAGGAACGCATGAAAATAGAGCTATAGGGGCAAACAGGCGACAAATACACGGCGTCGACCTCGAGGGAATTCCGAGTCCATCATTCCCGCTTTTCCAGAACTCGGACTGGCTCCTCTCTTCTCTTTTATTCCACTTTATTCTATTCTTAAATCTTTCGTTACACAGCTGAATGAAACTTTTCAGCTGCAGAAGTTTAACTGACAACCCTGTGACATAGAATAGTGGTTTCAGGGGAGAGAAAAAATTGAGCTCATTGAATTTTTGAGCCACATTGACGAAAATGAGCGCATGTTCCTATCGGAAATCAAATATTTGGTTGATTGTGGTGGGAACAAACAAAAGGCCGGTGATCCGTTGCCATAACTCAGGAAGTCAACGGCGCAAGTAATCTCGGGGGCTTACGCACACACTGCCGCCGCCATTCTTGCCTTGCCCCAGGCCACTCCACTATGTTTCCTTGTTATATATCTTTTGTTGAATTCACCGAACCAGCAGGTCAAAATTTGACTGCAAGCGAGTTTCCTCTCGCGAAAAATCCTCAATCTGGCCGAGGAAGATCCTCCACAGGACTTATTGAGGCTGTCTGAGGCTCTGCCGAACGAGAAAGCTCTCGTCCCAATGCAAACTTTTCTTTCTTTGCTTTTCGTCCTCGCCCGCTTACCGTGCTTTTTTCTGATTATCCCTCCTTGTTATATTTCCAACCGACATTTCGGACTTTGAATAGATCTCCAGCGGCCCTTACTATTTCACTCTGGAGCGGAGATGCGAAGTCTGGAGCGCGTCGTCGAGACGCGAATCGAACTTCTGGAATGGGACTCGAAGTCAACGAAAGAAGATTGCGCCAGGTTTTCGTTCTACCATCCAAATATCAAGTACATTGTAATCGACGGTGGAACAACGTAGCCACTCTTAATCAGTTATTTAGTTGCGGCTGGTTAAGTGGAATTTTTTTTCCATTTTCAAAGATGGAACATAGAGATAGGTCACGTAAAACACGATTTTCAGAATTTTTTAAAATAAAAAAGAAAATCATTTTAGTTGGCTTGATTTTTTTTTTGAAGCTCGAAGCTTTTGTACTGAAGCCGACTTTGAAGCTTTCAAATGTCCCAATCTATTCAAAAACGAACTACAATTCATATTTTCTTTGCTGATTCTGAAAAGATACCAGATCTTTTCGAAGATTTTAGCTTTTTGAGCTTCAAGCCAAAAAAGTGAGATAAAACAGATGTCGCGCTTTGGACTGCGATATCATCTTTGCCCTTCTCTTCACGATTGTCATCGCCTGTTTGCTCGTCCTCATTATGGTCTTCTGGCTCAAAGGCGTTCTTCAGTACGAAGAGTGAGTGCCATCAGTCTGTTTTCATCGTTTGATCATTATTTGTGTGAAACTTTGTGCAACTTCTTCGAGCAGAACAGAGCTGAGAGGTTCAGGATTCTTGCCACACGAAAATATTTTCAGCTTCTCAATCACTTGTATTATGCAGGAAGTGAAGTTAGTATCGAACGGATATTTTCCATGGCCCTGTCCATCTTTTCCATTGAAGAAAAAAAAAGGTCTCATTAATTTTCGTTTGATTGTAAGCTCACTCTTTTTCTCCTTCTTCTTGGTTTTCATGTTCACTTTCATTCCCGTGCAACGGAAGGCTTCTGGAACTGGTTGAACTTGCAAGAAACTTCGGTATCCAAACATCGATTATCAGTGGAACGAGGGTTCAGAATGCGACCAGACGTTTAATGCTTCGGAGCCGTTCCGCCGGATCGAATTCCCCGTCGTCCCACGTCATCTGATTCGTGAAGGCAACGCTTCATCCAATGAACAGCCCTACAATCTACAAGTACTAGAGTGATAACAAAGAGTTTCAGCCGAATTTCCTTGTTCTTGATTACCTTGCTAAATTTATTTAATTCGGTCTTACAGAAGGCCATTTAGAGTTTTTTAAGAAGGATGTCTAGGAAACCCGAGAAATCGCGATCTTTCAGTGTTTATACACGTTTGTTGCGGGACCGGGGCAACGTGTGAAGCTCGAGTTCGATCATTTTCTTCTTGCCGGCAGCTCCGAGAGGTCCATTTTTTTCTATTTTTGTACTCTGATATTTATTTCACACAATTACTTTGATAAGCTTTTTCACACTCTACTCAAAAAAAAATTCTTTTGAAAATTTACTTTCTTAAGGCGAAAACTTGTAGGCTGTTTGAATTTTTATGCTGGATCGTCAAAAAGAAGAACCACGTCGACAAAAAGTTAGGAAAATACTTTTGCTTTTCCTAGAGATTTTCTCGAGAAACGCTGATAAAAAAGTTTCACCACCCTCTATTCAATAGTTTTCAAACATTATATGCTGAAAAAGTGAATTAAAATTATTATTCTCGTGTCGCAAAAACATACTTGTATGTACAAGTTTCTGTGCCAAGTACATTGAAATACTCGGCGTTTTGTAACATATTGTTAGCTCTGCAGTTGCGACATCGAGTACATCGACATCTATTCGGAGATCGAATCTCTCGACGACGACTTGCTCGATTCAGCTCTCGGAGGCCGATACTGCGGCTCCGTGGCTCCTCATGTGCGCATCAGGTCGGTCCAACTCCAGTGTTATGCCCGCAGCTGGCAGTGAAGATTTTGTAGTAGAAGATTTATTGGTAACAAGGGGTTATATAGTGCTGAGGGAAGATATCCCAAAGATTATGGAATGTTCTGGATTAATGGTGAAGTATTGAGATTAGAGTGAAAGATGGAACATTCCAGAGTTTTGAATATTCGTGTCGAAAGCAATAGAACACTTGAAAACAATGTGGAAACTTCTAGAAAGGTATAGAAGATTGTGAAACTTTCTAGAAGGGAAACCTTTACACATGATCCCTATGACGTAATGAGACTAGAAATGTAAAGATAACTATAAAAAAAATTCTAGAATCGGATTTATTATTATAAGCGTTATGCTTCAACACCCAAGAAACGTAGCTGATTCTGGTTACTTCAGCTTACATCGCATCATGAAAATCGTATTGCATTCTCGCGCCCTTCAACGTCACGACTACGGGTTCACGGCACGGTATTCCTACATTCCAGAAGGTTTTTACAATCAATATATAGCTGATTCACGGCCAGCTTGGGACGCTAAGGGGGCGTGTCCTGTTTGCGCTCTCCACGAGCCAGGAGCTATCTCTTACATTATCGTGTCAGGACCATTTTTTCAATGGCTCAAGCCAGCCGTGAATCAGCTATAACTCAAAATGGCCTGGAGTTGGAGACTTTTTTATAATTTTTGCAAACTATTTTTGGTGGCGCGCAGAGTTGACTGGGGTCGAAAAATGAGTGGCGAGAAGGCTCGAAACTTTTCACAGTTCACATATTCGAGTAACGGAACGAGTTTAAGACGACTTTGTGCCGGGAGAGGCGTTGCCTGGAACCAAGTGCAGCTACATCTTGTACTCGAGCAGCCAACAATCGGGCGCCATTTTCTCGCCTACCTACCCTGGCACCTATCCCCATGTGGGCTTTTCGACTCATTAATCGAACAGTTGGACATCTTTAGAATATGCACTGCTCCTATTTGCTCCGTGGTTCTTCTGGGGAAAGAATCAGACTTTCTTTTCGCGACTTTGACATTTTCTTCGGCGGTGAACAGTTGAGAGATTTCACCATTTGACAGTGAAAAAAATCCTTGGAGTACACTGAAACTTGCCGAGCAGTGAGCGGTAAAATGTAAAAATTCACTTCAAAAAGTTATCAACTAGTTCTTCAAAATGAATCAAATAATTTATTTTGTATTTTAGTCAGATTTAATCGACTACAAGGGTGAAAAAAAACTTTTGAAGTTATAACGAAACACAGCCTTTGACCAGCTTGCAGCCCAAAAGTGTAGTTGATTAAGTTGAAAGCATGGTCTTACGGTGCTTCGCCTCGTTTTTCTGCGCGTAATCCATCTTAATGCGCCTTGAGCAGCTCAGAATGTAGCGGATCTTTTCCTGGGGCCCGAAGACTGTGTTCTAAGCCTTTACACGAAATGAAAAAAGTCAATCCTAACCTCTACAGCTGTCCTTACGACTCGGTCACAATTTACGACGGCGACTCCAGCGCTGCGCCGATCATGCGGAAAGTGTGCGGCCTGCAGCAACGGATGGAGGTTTACTCTGTGAGCGACGCTCTGCTCATCCACTTCAACACTTCCAACCCAGCAAAGTCTGATCCTCGAGGGTAGCCTCCGCGCAGCGATTCAGCAAATTTTCCGTTGTCAGATTTGTCATCGACTACATGTTCTCCAAGTCGTTTGTCGACGTGAGCACGATGCTCGGCGGCCAGAAAGGCGTCACTCACATCCGAGGCTCCGAGTGCGACGTCCGCGTCGAGAGCAACACCGAAACCACACACTTCATCTCGAGTCCCAACGTTCGTTCGTTCGGACACTCATTTCTGTTTCAGACACCCAAATTTGTGTAATTCTCTAACCAAGTATTCTATCAAAAATCAGAACTAAAGAAAATTTTTTTTTTATTTTTTAACTCTAATTTGTAATTGTGTGTTGAGAAGCGTTAAATTTGAAAAAATATTTCTTTTTTGATTTTTAATTGAGAAATTGATAGAAGAAGCGCCAAGAAGACTTCAGATTTTGACAAAAAGTTGCCGATTTTTCAGTACCCTGAAGCGTATCCAGCAAACACGACGTGTACCTACATCATTGACGGGCTTCAAGGAGATCAGAACTTGGAAAAAGTTTTGCTGAAATTTGAATCGATCGCCGTCCTCTCTTACGACACAACGTCCGTTTCACGCGTCTTCCCCTTGTGCACTGGATATTCAGACCGATAACGGGTCCGCCGTCGATAGACGACATCGTCTGTCCATCGGCATGGGTCGGCGTCGCGATCAGCGACAGCAACATGAAGGCGGCGATGTCGTCGACGGACGACTCCGTCTTCGATGTGACGCTCTGTGAGAGGATTCCTGCGAGTGAGTCTGGTTCATCTCGGCCAGTAATGAGTCCGAAACTCCAGACTCTGCCTTGTTGGGACCTTACGAGAGCTCTGGGCCGCGCATGGTTGTGCAGTTCGGGTCGACGGACACTCGCGACGACGGGAACCATCCTCTTGGCTTCAAAGCCAACATCGAGTTCAAAACTGGTACTAGCAGTCATCCAGAAGAAAATAACTTTAAGACTGAAGTTTAACCGCAATCTCAGAATATTTGGTTCTCTAGATTTTTTACAATGCAGTTTGCTCAAGAAGATCGTGTTAAACTTCTTATCGACCACCCGTGTTTCTTGCTGATCATTCCGAGGATTTTTCCAGACTTTGGAGTAACCGGAGAATCACTGGGAACGTCCAACGAATGTAGGTTTCGGTTCAACTCTTCGACTGGATTCTTCAACAGCCCCCGCTACCCAGCCAATGTATGTCATCATTATACTTTGAAGTCATTTTTAACGAGATAATTGAAGTATCCATTAGACACCAACTGCACTTATCACATCGTCGGATCGCCTGGAACAGAAATCCTCATCCATTTCGAGCAGTTTGCTCTTTTTCAAGAAAGCGAAGGGTAAGCTTCTGTCCAGAACTTTCTCTCATTGGTCTCAGGTGCACCGATTGGGTGGAGATTTACGACGTTATGTACTACAAGGGCGTCGAAATCTCACAACTTCAACGTGAGCTTCTGCTCTTTGAAACCTCACAATCTATTTCGTTTCAGAAAGGTACTGCTCAGACACGTTTCCGGGACCGAGCGTTTCGTCCTTCGGATCGCATGAAATGCGTGTCGTTTTCTCTTCAGACTCATCCGGAACTGCCAACGGCTTCAAGGCGCTTTTCGAGATTCGACCGGCCAGAAAAGAGGATATACCTTCTGGAGGTTCAATCTAGAGTTATTTGACTTGAAACGTCGGTTTGCAATCTAAATAAAATTATTGTGTCATTTTCTCTTCCTTCTTCACCACCTAGCTTGAATAAACGAATGATAGGAAGTTAAAAAGAAAAGTGAGAAAGATAGCTTCCAATTTGTTGAGAAATCAAATTTTCTTTTCTTGAAAATGTGTGTATTAAAGACCCAATTCTTTAAGTAAACTTATTAATGGTTTTTTGTTGTTATCCTTCAGAATAATATGTATAAATGTGGAAGACTAAGCGAAAAAAGAGCCTGCTGGATCGAATCAAACCAAATGCCACTCAAATTGTAGTTGATTACCTAGTGTCACTAGCGTACACGAAGAAGTAGGAAGAATAAGAGAGATTTCGCAGAAATGTCGACGCATCGAGACTCGCAACGATGTGGAGGGATGATCTACGCGTCGGACTCCTCGCCGACCGGCCTTATCTCTTCGCCCAACTTCCCCATCAAGTACAACAACAACGTGCACTGCGACTGGCAGGTCAACGCCAGGCCTGGCTTCCGAGTAAGTGAAGGTCGGCGCCAAAGTCATCGCGATTCTGCAGATCCTTCTCAAAATGCAAACCATGGAAGTCGAAGGCGAGATGACGGCCGTCACGGCTTCTTGTCAGAAGGTCCAGCTTTTGACGAAGAGAAAAGACGAATGTTTTTTCAGGCGGTTATCCGTGTGGACGGCGCTCCACGAGCAGAGTATTGCGGAACGAAAGGCGCCTTTTTCCAGTCCTTCCTCTCTGAAAACAACACTGTCCGCATAAGGTACCTTTTATTTCCCATCTTCTGAGATTTATTATTGGCTTAACCATTTCGAAAAAGCTTCTACTAGAAAATCATGACGATGAGAAGAAAAAAAAAATTTTTTCTTGGGTTTCTCATTGTTATCTATGCTTTGTCTTTCCAGATGAGATACCACCTTTCTGTTCAAATGAACTAGAAATTCAAAAAATCGATTTAATTTCAATATGTCGATAGCGATATAAGATATTCTCATAAACTTCGTGCCAAAAAAAAAGTCAAGTTCTCAGTTTTCAGCTTCATGACAGCTCCTGACAAGGTTAATGGCTTGAAAGGCTTCAGCATGGCCTGGACCGAAGTGAAACCAGTGAAAGGTTCGGTCCTCCTGTTTTCCTTTCCTATCGAAAATCTTCATAGGAAAAGAAGCAGAATGCGCCACGCCCGATGTGTATCTGTGCACTTATTCCAAGCTTTGTATCGACGCCAAATTACGTTGCAACGGCGTCGACAACTGTGGCTACCGTATCCTCGACGATACCGACGAGCAACATTGTTGGTTTTCGATCTGTCTCCTTCTCTCTTTCTCTCACTCTCTGACTGAGTTTAAAAGCTACAAAGCTCGATGTAGGATCTCTACTAGGGTGAACTATGAATTGAATAGGATACTTTTTATTCACGAAGCTCTCTGAGCTTTTATAGTTTTGAGTGACTCGAATAGCTTCTTTTGTTCGTTTTGAGGCTGAGGAGCTAACCATATATGTAGTTCGCTGGTTGAAGTTTTTGAAACTTGTCAAGTTGTAGGAAGTTTAAAAACACACATCAGCCAATTTTTCTGTTGAACTTGCGCTAAATCGTTGCCTGAAAAAGGAACGCGCACGTCCGTTTGAAGCCTAACCTGTGTTTTGAAACGAACTCGCAGGCACATCACGACGACGATCTTCGTCCCAGAAGTTCCCAAAGAAGCCTCCGCATGATGACCAGCCTCCCACGACAGCAGCAGCCGCCCGTGTCCTTCCTATTCTCGCCTTTCTGGCTGCAGTCCCGTTTCTCGAATGATTGCTCTTACTGTAACTGCTTCAAGTGTGTACTGCTAACTACCGTATCGTCTTAAATGGACAGCTTTGCGCCGCCTGTCGGTGAGTTTGTCGCTTCAGTGTTTTCACAAAAAGCTGGAGGATTTTTGAAAGAAAGAAGCATGAAGTCATTGGGAACTTGATGCTTGGCAGTGGACTACGTTGGGAAATGTCCGTTTTCTGTGTATGGCTTTACCCAAAGCTTTTCGAAAAGCTTTCCAGCTTCTTGTGAACAAACTGCGTTAACCTTTGCGACAACTGTAGTTCTCACCCCAAAAAAAGGCGTGTGCTCATTGAATTTTTGTTATCAATTAGAGATTGAAAATCGAAAAACTTCGCATTTTTTTGAAAAAATAGACTCAATCTTTGGAGAAATTTGATTAAAATCATTCTCTCGTTTAAGGCTACTTGAAAGAGAGCTCAGCCGACAAAACAGTGCTAGTGGCGGCAGTTTTCTGCGGCGGCATCTTCCTGTTCATTTGCGGCTTCTTCTTCTACCTGTTCAAGAAAAAGCTCGAGCGGAAGAAGAAGAAGAAGCGCAAGGGCGACTCGCATCGACGACAGCGACAGCCCTACCGGCAGCAGAGGCCGGTCCTCAAAGCTCACTGTGACTCCGAGTCAGTCGATTATTTTTTGCCTCCACCGCTCAACTTTCAGGCTTTCTTCCCCGGCGACGTCGCGCTTCGTGCACCACGACGCCACTGGAATCATGCCGCCTATCGCTGTCCACACCTCCAACGTCGTCGGACTCGAGTCTTCTCCCGCCAATTCACATCATCAGACCTTTTACGGCTGAAATCCTAGTTTTCTTCAAAATCCAGTAGACTCATTCAACCGTTATGCGTCTCACTGTGAACTACTAGTTGAGCATAATTTTGTGTCCCTCAAGTCCATATTGTGATCTCCACATATTCATTTCAAAACTTAGGAATTACTGCGATTTTTCAAAAAATGATATTTTCTCAGCGGGTCTTACATTAATTAAAATTCGCCGCTTAATGATATGTTATTTTCAACTATAATTCTTTATTTCCGTGCAATATCGCATCTTTTCAGAGCATTTCTCTTTTTTTTAACCACCATTATGATCCACCTTGAACCTCACCTTAATGCTTTTTTTTTCACTGCTCCAACTTTTTAATTGACGGATAAAGGTGAAATGGTACAGAACGCAGGGACAGGGACACAAACAGTTTCATTGAATGTACTGAAAAGATAACAACTGAACGGAGTTTTTAGGCAGACCAGTTCCTATGCACGAATTGTTTTCCTCATCGTCGCTGTCCACAAAACCTCCGTCAAACGTTCTTTGACCGCTACACGCAACTAATCTCCTCGTTTTCGGGCACAGACTGAGCACAAGAATGACCGGGAGAAACCTTGATGAACGAACCTGACTGCTGGAACACACGTATCCGCGATTTTTATAGAAACAGTGGGCTCGATCTCCGGTTGGGGACAGGAAAGGTCGAAGGCCACGACGTTTCCGTCAGAAGTTCCCGAGTACAAGTAATTTCTCTCGCTTAAAAATTATTTTCTGTTCAGGGTGGCATGGGTAAATTGTTTCCATTTGGAAATATAGAAATGCAAATTCAAAAATTTCTTTTTCTGTCGAGAGCTCTTTTTTTCGATTTATGAAGTTTCAAAGTTTGCAAAATACGCAAATTATGACAAATTTCAAACGAGCGTTTGAAGCGGCTTAACTCAAAGTTCAGATCTATTGCGGGAAAATTTTTTTAAAACCGGAGGTCCTAAAGTACACCTCAGCAAAGTTTCATCAAAAGTTCAACCGGTGGGTAAAAAACGTCCTCTAGTTAAAAATATTTGAAATATGTCTTGATGCTAAACTTTTCAAAATAGATAATGAGGGGAGAGGTCTTCTGACTAAAAAATCGGTGTTTTTCCCGTAAACATTGAAAAGGAAAAAGCCTGACAGACGCTGTTTTGTAAAGCAAAAACTATCGAAATTTTCTATTCGAATATATGCTATATCCTTTTTCCTTCTCTCTTCTACTTGGTGTCTTTAAAATTTCGAAATAGACAATTAAAAGTGAAAACGACCTACTGGTCAATGTCGAAACGGGTTCGGTGGTCGGTTTGCATGGTTCTTCTCAAAGTCTTCACAACAGAGCAAGTTCTAACGTCAAAGCAGAAAATGTTCCCCTGAGTTTTCCTATTAGCGAGGATTCGAGTGGGCGAAAACTTTTCGAGCTGATACATAAATGTAGTTTCCGTCGGAGGAGTACTTGGCGAAAGTTTGAGCTCTGGCAGGACTCTCGAAAGTCCAGGCGGCGCATTTCCAGCGTTCGGAGTAGACGCCGACTGCAACTGAGGATGAGACTCGGCCTCGCGAAAAGGCTCACTCAAAGAACTGCAGCCGACGGCGACGAACATTCCTTCCTGGAAGGGATGCGCTGCGAGACTCATCACACGTCCACGCATTCCTCCGTTGTCTTTAAAAGGAGAGTAGGGTCAAAGGCAACAGATACCACGCTTTCCAATTCCTTTATTTTCTGATCTTGCAAAAACTTCTCTTTACCTTACTTTTGGGCCCAAGCCCGCGCAGACTTTTCCTCAAAATTGAAGGCCATAGCCGGCCTATTTTGAGCAGAAAGAAAAACCCGTCGACGTTTTCGTTTCGTTGTTGCGCGTCTCTTGGAACATAAAAAAGATGACTCACCGCTAAAAGTCGAGTACTCGCCGATGTGCTTGCCACTGCGCTCAACGTCCCAATAGCGCAGCTTGCCGCGGAAGCCTCCGTAGAGACGGTCGGCACCCACGAATCCTAAGCTCGTGGCGGCTTCAACTTGATCCTGCGAAAGCCCAAAGTACGAAGGCAATTTGGAGGAGAACTAACGACGTTGTCAATGCCGCGGAAAGTGGCGACGCGTTCGCCGTTCGGCCGCCACATGTGTATGGGATGAAGGCGAGATGTAGACGCGAACATCGCCTCTTCCGCTTCGAGAGTCGGTCTCCACTGGACGTCGTAGATCAAGTCGCCCAGGCCGTTCTTGCTCGACAGCTCCAGCTTCAATTTATGGGAGTTGAAAAGTTCAAAACAAAAGGCCAAGTATTGTTTTTATAGATAGCTTGTCACGAAAACGTGGTAATAGTTTATGAACCTCTGCTTTTTAACGATTTTTAGCTTTTAACTCCAGGAAGGAATCGGTGAATTGTAATGTTCTAATCCATTCATAGCCTGCAATCTCCCTGGTTAGAAGCTAACATAATCTCCAAAGAGGACTTCATCAACTTGCTAGCAAATACAATAATTTGAAATTTAGATTTTTGTATATGATTATAACATTTTCTTTTTGTTTTAGCATAATTATAGTCGAAACATTCCATTAGTGCATAAAGTGGGGAGAACATACCTTGTCTTCTATACGAAGATCATAGCACCTCGCCAGACGATCTTGAGAGGTGGAGACGGCAAAAGATCCGCAAGGCGAGCACGAGACAGCGTGCACGTAGTTGTTTTCGTTCGAAGCGCCGTAGCCAAAAGAAGCCCGATAGCCTTGAAAACTCGCCTCGTCTCTGGAATCCCACCGTAGAAACAAATGTTCCAACAGTTCCTACACTTTCAAAATCTTGAATTCTGGAGGAGGCGTTGGAATAGACGGTGGCTGCACAGAACGGGCCTCTTTCTCATTGATCGACAAGGCGACAGCCTTCTGTTGCTGTTCTTGTTGCTGCTGCTGAAAGCCCGGCTACGGTTAGTGCCTTTCTAAGATCCACAAGGTCATAAGTTCGATCCCCGCCGCGACTCAACCTAGGTACTTGAGAAATTTGGTGGTGCCAACCCATGGCTTCATGATCCTTAGCCAGGGACGGGTATGTCCCTATTACCAGTTCAGTGATTTCATGATAGAACCTTGTCTCTTCGACTGAGGAGCCGCTTGAGCGGTACTGAAGCGTTAAAAAAGATTCGCGTTTGACTTCGCTTCCATCGCTAGGAATTCGTGAAATTTTATCATACCTGAAACTGTAATGCTCTGCGTTGCTTGCGGTTCAGCGTAGTTTCCTTTGGTTTATCCGGAACAACACCGTCTTCTGTTACTTCCAACTTCGGTCTCTTCGTGCAGCCCACGTGTTCCAAATTTCCGGCAGTTCTGAGCTATCAAGATTTATTGTACCTCAGAGAAAAAATAGCACTAACATTCTGCAGAAACGAAGCTATGCCTATTCCACGTTGAACTCGATTCAAACGCGTTCCCTCCTCACTGGAGGACGTCGCCGTCACATCCATACAAGAATTCTTTAAAAAAAAAAGGTAGAAAATATATGAATAATGATTTTCCCAAACCGGATCAATTTTGTCGTTCTCTGGTAGAATGCTTTCCGTTGTTTGCAACATTCCACAGACATTATTAATTAATTCCTCCAGCACACATCTAACAGTTTCCACAATCTCTGCAAAGGTGTGACATCAAACCGCAAATAAAAATATAATTACCTTCTGATGTCAAAACTTCAGTGAAAGTGCAAGTTCTCGGGTAATCCATTCTCTAAAAAAAAATTTTTACGTAATGAGTAAACTACGAAGTCGTACACAAAACAGATCTTAAAAACGAAGCGTACGCCCTCGGAAGTTTCAACGCCAAATTCAGAAAAAAAAAAAACTAAAAAAAACTACTGAAACCACACTTATGCCGTGTTCAAAGTGATTCCGCGAAATTCAAAATAGCCGTCAGAGAAAGAGAAAGATAACTACATTTTGGAGGGTCAGAGACCATTTTGCATTTCGCGGAAATTACTTTGAACACGGCATTAGTTTATTTATACGAGTTCTCAGAAAAATTTGGATTTCTCAAGCAAAAAAGTGCGAGATCCGTGCCCCAACGAGAAAAATACGGTTAGTTATTTTCTTTGAACACGCTCACGGGAAAGCTCATGACGTAAAAATTGGCCGTTGTAATCGACAAAAAGCAAAAAAGGAAAGGAAATCTTTTCTGTTCGTTTTTTTTTTTCAGTTTTTGCTTTCTTAATGTCTACAATGTTGATTTCTATATGAATCTTCATCAAAGAAGTCAGCTGTATTTTTTGGAGTGTATAAAAATTTGATAAAATGTTTTCAAAAAAATGTGAACTTTGTTTATTTATTCGTCAACTTGTTCCGTTTTTTTTTAAATCTCTTGAGCTTTTCATTATCTTTCAGCTCGTTGCTTGGGCCGACAATGGCGACGGCCGTTGAGTTGGCGATCGAAAAGATCGATGAATACAAGTCTAAAATAGGGCGGTTAGTCATCAACTTTCTATTCATTTTCACTTTGCGCTGCTTTGCACCTCAAGAAGTTTTTTACAGAACTCTTGGGACTCCGATGAGACTGCGTGATTTGATTCGGCAAGTTCGTGCCGCCAGAACGATGGCGGAGGAAAGAGCAGTGGTCGATCGCGAAAGCGCTAATATTCGGCAAGAAGCACCAACCAGTTTCAGAATTCGAACAAAAAAGTTTATAGTGAAAGCTTCCGTGACGACGATTCGCCTTGGAAATGCCGCAACATCGCGAAGCTCCTTTACATCCACATGCTAGGTTATCAAGCCCATTTTGGACAGGTTATTTGTTTTCTCAAAATTTTCGCTTTTTAAGCTGAACTTTCAGATGGAATGCATGAAGTTGGTGGCTCAGCCACGCTTCACGGATAAAAGAATCGGTTATCTGGGAGCCATGCTGCTATTGGATGAACGTGCCGAAGTTCATCTCTTGGTGACGAATTCTTTGAAAAAGTAGATCTTATCTCTTTATTTTCTGATTTTCAATGGAATTGCGAATTAAGTCGCTTTCTTGTAGCGACCTGGCGTGTTCGACACAGTTTGTGAGTGGATTGGCCCTTTGTACGTTGGGATCCATCTGCTCAGCAGAAATGTGTAGAGACTTGGCCAACGAAGTTGAGAAAATCATCAAGCAGAACAACGCCTACTTGAAAAAGAAGGTAATTTTGAACTTTTATTTTCAAGATAGTTTCGTTAAAGTTTCAGAATTAGATAATGTATATTGAGATTTTTTTTTTTCAATTTTTTTTTTCTGCTTCTTCGTATTCCATGATGTCCTTTTCATCCTTCATTGTTTCGATTTAGGCGGCCCTTTGCGCTTTTCGGATCGTTCGGAAGGTGCCTGAACTGATGGAGGTGTTCATCTCCTGCACTCGGTCGCTCCTTGGGGAGAAGAACCACGGCGTTCTCATGGGGGCCACGACTCTGGTCACGGAGATGTGCGAAAGGAGTCCCGACGTCCTTAATCATTTCAAAAAGGTTCCTATCTGGTTTCTATGATCAACTCTTGGATTCAAGCTTGTTCCTAATTTGGTTCGCATCTTGAAAAACCTGCTCATGAGCGGCTACTCACCAGAACATGACGTGACGGGAATCAGCGACCCATTTTTGCAGGTTTTCATTATTTCGTTTGATTATTTATAAGTTGAATTCATTTAGTTTCATTTATTCCGTCTTACCAAAAAAATAACTATGTAATCGCATTTTTCTCCTCATGGAATTTTTTTCTTTTTTTAATATCACAGTTTAAATTTTTCGTGGGAATAAAAAAATGCTTTTTCTTGCTAATTTTTTTGGAATTAGAGAAATCTCAAATAAAATTTACTTTCTGTAAGCCGGTTCATGTTTTCCAGCAAAGCTCAATTAAATTTCAAAAGTTTCTTTTTTTCAAAAATACCGTATTCTTGAGGTGAAAATCTTGCGTTTGCTGCGAGTTCTGGGAAAAGACGACGTCAGGGCGACGGAGGAAATGAATGACATTTTGGCCCAAGTGGCCACCAACACGGAAACCGTCAAAAACGTCGGAAACGCGATCCTCTACGAGACCGTTCTCACAATCATGGAAATTAAGAGTGAAAGGTCCGAAATTTCTCTTTTCTTCGGTTGTCAGCTCAAGTATCTCATTTTTTAGTCGGGAAAAAAATTTCCGTAGATTTTTTCTGTTTTCAAAAACACTTTTCTTCAGTTTGGAATTATTTTTTGGTTCAGAATCAAAAAAAAATGTTTCAGTGGACTCCGTGTTTTGGCTGTGAACATTTTGGGCCGTTTCTTGCTGAATCCAGACAAAAATATCCGATACGTCGCGTTAAACACCCTTCTCAAGACGGTTTCTGTTGATTATCAAGTGGGTTGCCGGGGACTTCTTGAGGATTTTCAGTTTTCCTTGTTCCAGGCTGTTCAACGACATCGGACTGTTGTTGTGGAGTGTCTGAAGGATCCCGATATCTCCATCAGAAAGTTGGTTCATGAAGTTCTATTTTTCCTGAAAGAGAAGATTTAGACGTGCTATGGAGCTCTGTTTTGCGTTGATCAATAAAACCAACATTACAAATATGACCAAGGAGATTTTGATATTCCTGGAAACCGCAGACGCCGAATTCAAGGTATCCTTTTCTCAATAAATTCTTGAAGAATGAACTTTTTGAGGCGGAATGCGCGTCGAAGATGTACGTGGCGACGGAAAGGTACTCGCCGAACCACGAGTGGCATCTCGACACTATGGTCACCGTCCTCAGGCTGGTGAGCTCCAACTTCAGCTCCCAGTAACCAGTGTTCCTAAACAGATGGGGTCATTGGGCGTGGCTAAATGCCACGGGGGCGCGGCTTGTTGCAATAGGGGCGCGATAGTGAGAGCCGATTTTTGTGCATTTACTGCTTGGAAATATAGTGTTAGATAATGTTTTTAAGGCGTTTTTGAACTATTAGAACAAATTGGATGTATTTCAACATACAAGGAACCTATTGAAAACGAACAAAATCGCTTTTGCAAATCGATTTAACACACGAAATGTCCTTTTTCAGGAAATTTTTGTCGAATCGTGTCCCAAAAAAAACTTTTTTTAAAGAAAGAAAAAAACTTTATGAATATTTAGAAACGAATCAAGTGGTTTCGGCGCGAAAATCTATAACTCAAAAAAAGTCGTATTAAATAAAACAAGTTTGACAGAATTTCGAAAAAAATTTGAAGAAAAAAATTTTTTTAATTCAAAATGTCATTTTTTTGTCGAATTTTTGTGACCATTTCGATCAAAAAAATTAATTCAAGTACCTCTTAAACGCATCAAGTACGATTATATTACACAACAGAAAGTAGATTTTTATCTTGCTTTTCATACTGGCCATTTTGTTTCAGGCGGGCAAGTTCGTGCCGGACGAAGTGGTCTCGTGCATGATCCAGCTGATCAGCTCCCACTCTCAGATCCAAAGCTACGCTGTATCGCAATTGTTCCGCGCGGCCCAACGCGATGCCGTCAATGCGCAGCCCTTGTTGCAGGTCGCCTTCTGGACTATCGGCGAGTTCGGAGATCTTCTTCTCCAGCCGACCGACGCCGACAGCACCGCCGTTCGTTTTCAGAATTTTTTCGTATCGCGAAATTGAAAGCTTTCACATAGGAAAAACGAAAAAAAAAAACATTGCAGAAGTTTTACCCATTCGTTCTCTCAATTTTTACCTCATTGGGTTTAAAGTTTCATCGTTATCTTGTTTTTATTGTTAGAAATTTTCCCTTTTTTTTTTCGGAAAGCGTTTGGACTTTCTTAAAAAATTTTCTCGAGCCCACCATTTTACAGGTCGATGAAAGTGATGTGTTGGAGCTTTTCGAATCAGTTTTGCCGTCGACTCTGACTTCTCTGGCCACCAAATGTTACGCTGTCACAGCCCTTGCCAAGCTTGCCACGAGGTCCTTCATTAACTGATTCAAATGCCATAATATATAGATAAATGAGAAAGTTAGATTACTGGATAACCAACGTACCATGGTTTGAAAGGTAAAACACAAAAGGGAGATTAAAATGAGCTAACAGGCAACACATAAAAGAAATGTAGCTCTGACATTTTTTCGAAAACTTTTTCAACTCTTCAACGGCCTATCTGAATACACCTGTAAATAAAAAAAAAGTTCATTATGACGATTTACTCAGCTAATTTTTTTCCAGATTTTCAAGTTCCGTCGACCGAATCGATGCCCTCGTCCGGGTCAACCAAGCTCACATTCACTTGGAGCTGCAGCAGCGATCTGTCGAGTTTTCCAATGTTCTGAAGTTTGGTGAACTCAAGTGAGAACAGCCTCCTTCTATCCTCAAAAAACGAGACTTTCTCAGATTCGGTCTGTTGGAACGGATGCCAGTCATCACCCACAATTCTCTGAACGCCGCCGCGGCCTCCATCGGCGGAGAAGAAAACGTTGCTCCGCTCATCGAAGGTTTTTTGCCAGTTGAATCGACGGACTCAGAATTTTTCATAAAACGATCATTGATTCCAGCATTGCTTCTTGTCCTGGCAATTCGTTAGAAAGTTAGAATCACGCCATAATTTTTTCAACAATGAAAAGCCACGTATAATCAGATAACCTTTCTTCGATTTTTCTCCTATGATACGAAACTATTCTGTGTCTTTGAATTAGTTAGTAAAAGGTTGTGTGGAAAAATAGTTTCCCTAAAAAAAAATTGAAACATACATTTTTACAAGAAATTTACCACAAGGAATGATCCCAATCGAAAAAACTAACCAGGGAACGTTTTCTACCCTCCGGTTGAACTTTTGCTGAAACTTTGCTGAAGTGTACTTCAGGACCCCCTGATTGCAGATCGAGAAAAAAAAATTCTCGCAATAGATCTTGTTTCCGAGTTATGGAGCTTCAAAGTGTGCAAAATACGCAAATTAGGCCAAAAAAGCGCTATTTCGGGCTTTTGAAGTGTCCTAACTCGAAAACGAAATCTATTGCGAGAAATTTTCTAAAAAACAAAAAAAAAAACTTTCTCTAGTAAAGTAAAAACGAAAAAATTTGAGAAACGAGTTCGAATGTGGCTGTGGAGACGTCGCCAGAATCGAACGTCGACCTGCTCGCCGACCTCGGCGGCTCATTCGTTCGTCTCCTTTCTCTCGGCATTTCTGAACTTATTTAAGGGTGGCACCGGCGTTGGCGACATTTTGGGAACGACTCTCCCGAAAACTTCCAACAACGACATACTCGACATTCTCGGAGGACTTTCGGGTTTTTTTTCATTTCAATCCATTTATCAGGGCAACTTGTTCCGTTAATCAGCTGTAATTCTTTGAGACACGATTTTTTGTTTCCTGAAAAATGTAACCGATCTAGTTCTTCTATAACAATTTCTCGAAGTTCAAGGAGGACCGAGTATTGTTTCTTCGGCACCTCAGCCATCCGTTGGATTGGATGATCCATTCGACTTTTTTGGCGGATCCGCTAACACAGCTCCCGCCGCGCCCAAACCGTGAGCTTTCTAATTTATCTCCATAAAATATTGATGCTTTTTAATGAATACACATACTTTTTTGCAGAGATTACCACTAATTTTATAAGTTTTTTTTTATAATTTGCGCTCAATGATTTTTAACATGTTTTTTTGAAACTCTTTGAATGGAAATTTCAGAGCCCAGAATCGACCTGTGATCGCTGTGAACAGCAAAGGGCTCGAAGTGCAGATCGAAGTCGTCGAAGGCTGGCAGAACGAAAAAGCCGTTCTGAAGATGACGGCGTTCAACTACACGCCTCAGCCCATCACCAACTTCAATTTCCAAGCCGCCGTTACCAAGGTCTTTCTCTATGATTTCTTCTCCTTTCTGCATGACAACTATTGTATTTTGAAGAACTTCGACTCGAGTTTTTGGTAATTGAAGAGGATAGATTGCACAAACAAGTAATTCTCATTTTTCTACATTAACCTGGGCTTTTTGGACGCCTTTTTATTTAAATTATCGAAACAGTCAGGCGCCTATCGGGAATCAAGAGACTTGAACATAAATTTTAACATAACTAACTTTCATAACTTCCACAAATTGTTTGACTCGATCGCATCGAAATTTCTGAAAGGAGAGCCTTCAGGCGTTCGAGATCCAACTGCAGTCGGCCTCTTCTGCCCAAATGGCTCCCGAAGGCTCCATCACACAGCTCATGACGATTGTCCGGCGTGTGCCCAACTCGACGGTTCGTTTGTCAGGAGAGCAAACCAAAAACTTTCACAAGAACATTTGGATCACCTCGTCCAGTGTAGCTCATATATATTTCCCATCACTATTTCGTCATTCTCGTTTTTCTTCTTTTCCATCAACTTCAACGGGAAAACATATTAATTATTTCATCCGTTCGGAGTTCACAAAAGCCCGCATTTGAGAACAACAAGAGTTTCAACTTTTGAAAAAGGTCCGCCGAAGAAATTTTAGCTTTCTCTCCTTTGAAATAGAGCGAAAAGGGTTTGAAGTTAACTTGATTTCACTCGAAACTCCAAAATATAATGAAAGTCTTCGAAACACCACTTTTTATACTGGAGGAAGATCTTGAAAAATCACGAATTTCCAGGTTTCTAGAACGTCATCTTAAGATTTTTTTTTTGCTAAACGGTCAGGCAAGGGACTTTCGAGGCTTCCTCTGTTAGAAAACAAAGATCTATAAGCAGCGGTTTTCTCTCATCTAGTGCATCAAAAAAAAAGTTGGAGCCTTGCTTGTGGGATTATATCGATTGCTTTATTTTCCCTATTGAGTTATAGTCATGATGAACGATTTTTCTCATTTCAGTTTGTGGTTTTTCAGGCTCGCATGAGAACAAGAGTTGTGTACGCAGTGAACGGCAACGAGCAGACTGCAGCCGGCGAAGTCAACGAATTCCCCGGCCTCAACTGAATTCTCGGATCCACAACCCATTCCAGTTCTCTTTCATTTCATTTGATTCTTTTCTGGGGAAGGTTCTCGACATGGCGCTAGAAAATCAAAAATAATTGAAGGCTACAAAACGTGTTTTTATTGCTCTCATCGCGTGCGATTCGCTCCTTTGATCGAGCTCATATTATTATTTTTTCTTTTTTTTATCTTCGTATTTCTTCATCGCCAAGACTTTTTTCGAAATGTATTCTTTACTTGTGATAACACTTTTTTTAAAAAAATTAAGTATAATAATCTATTTTTGTGTTTGATTCAATTTTTTTCTATTCGCTTCTATTTTTAAAAACTGTGATCGAAAAAAAATGGTTGTTTTTTTCCTCAAATGTATTCTATAGATCAAAAAAATTGAAATTTTAACTGTATATCAACCTTGTAACTATCGTTTTAATCAATTTCAAATAAATATTAAGGGATTTTTTTCAACGATTGTTCTTACATTGAGTTCAACGGTTTTGTATCAACCGAGTCCATCACTTTTCTGAAGCTTTCTTACTTTCCCATTCTGAAGAGCTTTTTTTGTGAAAAATTCATCACCTTCAACTTCTCGGTATACTCGGTCTTTACTATGTGCAAGTGTCTGGGAAAGAATTGATGCCGATCATTGAGTATAAGGAGGGTTTTCCAGTGTTTTCATAGACACGAGCTTGTAGGAAATAGTCCCTCTTGGGTACACAGTCCTACCTGCCAAGGCGGAAAGTTTGAAGAGTTTGTGTGGGTCTCTGTTTGCTTTTTCTTTTTCTGTGAGTCCAGGAACACTTCAACTAGTTTTTTTCTCGTTGTTGTGGTTTGTAGCTTCTTCATTCTTTTCTCTTGCGGAAAATGATGATCAACTTGACAAAGAACAAAAATCGTGTGAAAAACTTTTTTTGATTTCATCTTCTACGTATTTTGCTCGAAAAAACGATTTGGTTTCCTGGGTCATTTTTTTTTCTTTTGCGTTTTTCCTTTTCAAGTGCGAGAATTGGCTTAGCCCTCCTGGAGTAATTGAAAATGAGATTACGGTAATCCTTATTGTTCGGACAAGTCTAAATCTTCTCTATCGCACATTTTTGACTAAGCTCCCCCAAATATTCCCAAGAGCGAATTTTCGAACACGGAGGTGATATTTTTTAGGGCTTTTGGCTGAAAAATGATAAGAATCTAGTGAATGACTCAATCTCTTGTGATTCATTTTTTTTTCGAGGTTTTATTTGCATTCGTCATTCGTCCAGTTGGGCCATCAATTATTCTCTTTTTTGATTATTATATTTCTAGTTCATCAAGCCAGCTCCAAAGATAATCCTTATTCCTACCTTCCTTGAAGCTGAAAATCGGAATTTAACAAGGGACGCCACTGTTTTCGAGATGCACTTGCTCTCTGAGCATGTGCTCCAGTTGAAATATCTCTCAGCCCGTTGATAACTGAACCGATCGATATTTTGCATTCTTCCCTAGTTTTTCTCACTCCACTTTTTTTATTCCCTTGAAGAAAGCCTACTTGAATTCTTCCCCTTGTTTCCAAGTTGTATCATTTAATTATAGCTCTAAAGATTTTTCGCTAAGTTTTCAGCATAGGTTCGCGAAAAACCTCGGAACCCTCGAAAAAAAGTCAGTTTCTAAAAGCGTAGATTTCTATGCTGATAGCAACTAAGATAAGCAGAAGCATAGTTAAAAGCGCATAGTCAATCAAATATTTTTATCAGGATTTGCAAATATGGCACCATCTTTCTCTGTTTCCGGCATGAAGTTTCTTGTTCTTCACTGTTTTTTTTTCGTTGAAAGATTTTTAGGAACCCTCATCTGAAATTCAAAAAATATTTACAACGAAAGTCGCTTTTTTTGGCTGTCGCTTGAGTAAATAGTGGGTTTTGCAGGGTTTTCAAACTATTTTTCGGTGCATTGAAACACGTGAAAAATCAAAACAGTTTCTTCGTTTACGACCGCTTGTTCACGCAAATATTTGATCATAAAACAATTTTTTCATATTTGCCAGAATAATGTAATTTTTTTTCTCATTTCTATATGATTCACAACTGACTCGAGCTCTAGCCACTCATCGCCAGTTTACTTTTTGAGGTAATTAGTTAATCAGCGTTATCTTTTTTATTACCGTGTTTGGTAATCTTTCCTTTATTTTCCTTTCATTTTTCTCACCTTTTTCCTATGTACCTCTCGCATCTTTTTCTATTAGAAACCCACTTTTTGGGACTCAAAATTCCTTTGGCCCAATTTCTTATAGCTTCGTAACTTTTGTTTGTAGTCGAAAGTCCCACAGGAATTTGTGCGCCTACAATCTTTCCAGTTCCATAAAAAACTGTTCAACAAACAGAGAAAAAATGAGCACAATTGCCACAAAATGAAATTTTTTTAAGAAAAAATCGCTTTGAAAATTCTTCTGATATAATCTTGCATCGAAAGCTATAAAATTATTTGTTATTCTTGGAAGATAATAATTCATAAATTTTACTCGAAATATACAAAAATTATCTCAAGAGTCTCATGAAAAAATGAAGGTTCTTCATAAGAAATAACTTTCAAAAAGTTGTTTATCGCTGATGTGAAGTTGAATGGAGAATAATAAATTAGTGGCTATGGAAAAGAAAGGTATTTGCCAAAGTCATTTTTCGCGCTGAGCTCAAATCGTGAAGTGTATTTATTGTGAAGCTGTCTAAAACTCAAGAGCTATTTTTTCAAGCACTTTCTCTATTTGTTGTGGACATCACTTTTTCGGAAATGCTTATTTTCGTGTGAAAGAAACGTTTATCCGATTAGAGTACACCGTGTCGTGGATCTGCAGTGTGGCGGTTTGTAGAAGACAGCGTTTGTGTGTACTTTGGCCGTTGACCTCCTCCGAGTCGGACTCCTGGTGGTGACGTCTCTTCGCCGCAAAATGACTCGTTCTGAAGCCAAATCGTCGGGCTGCTGTTGCTTCCGCAGCACCGCGGTGAGGACCTTTCTTCCGTGTTCTGTCTTTTTCTCTCATTTTTATCTCCTTCTCTAGGTTTTCCCTTGCCTGTTAATTTTTTTTCAGTGGTTGGTCTCGTTATCACTAGTATTCATTTCTTTTTCGTATTGATTTCAATCGTTTCAATGTTTATGGGCATTCCCGCATTTGATTAAATATGTATCTCTTTATTATTGATGTCGACAACAGAATTTGGCTCAAGTAAGGCTTCTGCGCCGAAAAAAAACTTTTGATTGGGTTTTAAACAGGCTATAGCACCATCAATCATATAATCTATGAAACCGTTCTACTTTTTGAGGCAAGAAGTAGATTCTCTTAGCTCATAGTCTGGAGAGAAAAATCGAAAAATCTGATGATTTTTTTCGTTTCTGATACTTTCATGACTCACGGTTCAAAATCAAATCCGTATAAGATATCTGGCATACAGTCGTCAATCTTCGTTCATACATCTTCCTTCAGTTGGCCAAACAACATATTTTGTAGATTATGAAACATTTTTCAATTGTGCAAATCACCAAATGAAAAATGGAACTAGATTTCATATGAGAAGATAATTTTCTAGCGCATGAGTAAACGAGAAGAAAGGAGGGAAGCCTTCAGCAGCTGCGCCAGACCAGAGCCGGGTTCCGCCGCTCCCGGCTCTTTTGACGACTCGACGACGGTGGGACTCCCGCAGGAGCTTTTCGGACCAGGCTGGCGCGCAACCGGAGACCGGCGTCCCACTGAAAAGCGAGTTCCTTTCAATCGACCCACGCCGAAGCAGGTCTTTTCCTCTTTTTTTCCTGGATATTTTCTTTTTCGTCGACTTCAGGTCTTCGAAGCACTTCCCTTCGTGCGCAGATATTTCGTCTATTGGATGAAGCACACTTTCGACAAGGAGAAACTTTTTATCAATACTTTCCAGCCACTCAAACACAAACCTTATTATGGTGAGAGCCTCTCAAATATGTGTCCTTTCCATAGACAGATATTACTCAAAATAAATACACAGGTTTCGTGAACTTCCCGAAACAGTTTTAAAAGTTTTTTTTTTAAATTAAGTTTCCCTGACAATTAAAGAGTAAGATAACTAGTTCCATTGAATGAAAAGGTTCAATGTATTCAACAGTCTTTTGACATCATAAAGCTGAGAAGAATAACCTCATTTAGCCCTTTTGAATTACCTTAGAATCTTTCTTTCCATTTATTCTAAAAAAGAAGTTCCCTTACTAAATTGTTGAAGCTTCATTTTCTGAGGCTGGTTTCAGGCGTTCCTTGTGGAGGCATCGGATGTGGGGCCATCGGACGCGACTTCCGTGGCGGATTCTGCAAGTTCAGTCTCCGGCCCGGCCTCGTCGAGCACAAAGTCGACGTCGTGCCTGTTCGTTTACCCTCGTTTTGAACTCTCGACGTTTTTCGAGAACATTCTAGTCTTAAATGAAAGGAAAAGCACATTCCCTTGACCTAATATTTGTACTCTTAAGGAGGATAGTAATTTGAAAAAAAATTAGATACTTTTTTTATTGAAAAAAACTTCAAAGCGTTAATGGGATATGCTGAAATCGCTTGAGAATTTATTTATTTTTTCTATGTCTACCACCTGCTCGAGAGAAAAACATTGCAGAGACGTTGAAACTTCTTTTTTTTTATTCCGAAAGTCGTGAGAAGGTTGAAGATCAAATGGAGTCAGTAATGAATTAACTTTCTCTCGCATGTAAGGCAGCTTATAAAAACGTACTTTTTACGAGATATGAAATCATTAATTCATTTTAAACTCGTGTAATTTTTTTTCAAAATTTATACAATGTTAATTTTCTCCAGAACAAATTTTTAGGATTTTTTTCAAAGAAATGAAATTTTTGCTCTTTTTTTCCAGGCTAACCAATTCATCGTATCAGTGCGCAGAAACGGCAAATGCATCTATCAGAAGGTGCTCTGCGCGGCTGACGTCACGCTCCCTCCAGGCCAACTCTCCGAATGGGACTTTTCATTCCCCAAAAAACACGTTTTTTATCGGTTAGTTACATTCTTCTCAAATTTTTATTATTCCTTGGCTTTCAAAAGTACGATTGGCGCAGAAATAGAGGTAAAACATAGCAAGAAAAAAAAAGATTCCGTTTCCAAAAAAGGTCCCGATTTTCTATGCGGAAGCCGGTAAATGCAAGTGAAGGGAGCTCAACAACACTTGTAGCTATGAACTTGAAGTTAAAATGAAACAAGAAGTAAAATGAGGGAGAAGAAAATAAAAATGAATGAGCGCATTTCATGCTGGTGCCGTTCTGAACGGCTGGAATGGGTTATTATGGATCGGGTAAAGCGTTTCAGATTCATCATGGGTTTTAAGTTGAAAAGTAAGGAATGCGGTTAATTATTATTTCTTTACATTGTAGTTCCTTTGGCAAATGCTTGCTTTGTCATCCGAGGCGCCAAACCTCAGCAACTGATTTTTTAAATTTCAATCACTGAGGGCTTAAAAATTCAATGATCTATCGATCAGGCGCCTCTGAAGAATGAGCAAACAAATCGCGAAAGGAATTCGGTGAGAACTCAGGGACTGTTGCTTTTTCTTGCGGCCTCTTCCCTTTGGAGATGTTGTCCGAAGGCCCTCAAGGCCGTCATGACGTCGTCGATGAACTCGCTGTTTCTCGGCAACCCGATCTCGACGTCGCTCTGGGCGATTTCTTCGCCGTTGACGTCTTCGAACTGCCTCGTTTTCATTCGCAATTCTACGTTGCTCTCGTCGCCGACAGTCCATTCGTAATAAGTATCTATTTTCTCGCTCAAATTGTTGAACAAGAAGCTTTCTGAAATGAGACTAGTTGAATATAACACATGGTCAACAGCATATCAGAAAAAAAAGCTTCGAACCCATGAAAAAAAGATGAAAATACACGCTTTTATAACTAAGAAACTTTCAAAATTATTTTCATGCACAAATTTGTTTTGATTGCACTTGATTATTAATTATAATTCGGAAAGTATTTGAAAAATTGTAGGGATGGTTCCAGACTTTCACGCGAATGCTTGGTCTAATAATATAAAAGCTCAGCTGGCCTTTTTTTAAATGTGTTTTTGGTGTCTGATAACTACTTGGGGAATAGTTATTGTATCTAGAAGACGTACCGGTTCTGTAGTTTTCCCCTGCCGCCCTCAGGAGCTTCTGTTTGGCCTCGACGTAGTCCTGCAGACAAAGAGGTTCGTGGACGTTCGTCGTGATGCCCGCCGCCAGCAGTTTCTTGTCGCGCACTAACAACGCTTCATATACAAGCTGAAGAGGAACTTTCAACCTAGTTCAGATTCCCGAATCACCTCTCTTATGATTTCCATGGCGAAATGATCAAGGTGGTAGATGAGGTCCGTCTCCAATGGAGGCAAACCGATAAGTTCGTGGAAACGGAGGGCACGGAACGTCGATCTGAATTCTGGCGAAGCTCCAAAACACATGGAAAATCAGTATTGATATGTGGGGAATAACAAACCGGCTGTTTCTGCGGCTGCAGAAGGAAATATCTTTGAACTCGGCGAAAAGGGAACGTCCTTTTTTGGAAAGTTCTTCGTTGCGTTTCTTGAGACGTCGAATTCGGAGCGACCGACGGAGGTTCACAAAGGATTTGCTCTGCGACACCACGATGTGGGTCATGACAGAGCTGCACACTTTGTCGATAGACGAATAAATGTGGGGACATCTCAACATAATCCTTGACAAAAATTGGCTCAAGATGGGAACTAACCTGTTCTCGAGGGAAAAATCCTCCGAGTCGGACACGGTCAAGCTTTGGAATAGATATTTCTTGTAATCGTTGCGAAAGTTTGGGTTATCTTTTTCCAGTTGGCGCAACGTCCTACTCTTCTTCAGTTTATCTTCTCTCTGTAGTTTTGACTATGCTTTAGTTCTGACATAATTGCGAAAGCTACCAAGACAAACTGAACGTAGCGGTGGAGACGCGGCAAGTTCCCCGCACAAACGGTTATCAGATCTTCGTAGCCGATGCTCCTGTAAAAAGTCAGGCTCTGGATGCCTAAAGAGTTTTTTTCTCACAGAGGTTGAATGCCGGCCGCTTTGGCATGACGTTCTTTGGCCAAGAGAAAGAGCTTCTGCAGCAGAATGTTCATCTGCGTCATCACGAATTGCTGGACAAATTGAACGGCCGAGCTGCGGCCAGTCGTTGTCTCGTCCCCGCTGGCGAACATCATCAGCTCGAACTGCTCGTCATATCCGCGTGCTTCGAACTCGTTCAATTCTCTTCTTGCTGTAACTTTTTGGATATCTTGGTCTGCTACTATATCCCACCCTTGCTTGGGGAAAGAATAATACAAAAACGTTCAACCCTTTTAAATTTCGTTTGAGCTTTCATTAAGTATTATCTCAAGCCAGCGATTACTTTTCGAGAAAACAAGGAAAATTCTTACTCCAACCAGACTTCTCAGTGCTGATTTCGAATGGTTGAGGGTTGATGCTCGGCTCCCAGATGCAGTAAGTCTCTGAGAAGTTGTAACTCCGGAACATTTTGCGCATGTTGCCAACGCGATTACTCCATTTCGCAGAAGGTGTCGGCTCTTCCTGAACATATGAATAAGATTCGCTGAATGGAAAATCTTTGATAACCAGAAGGTCTGGAGGTAATTCCGTGAATGCGCAATTGGCTGGAGGTGCTCCCTCGCTCATAAACGGTAGCTGCCATTGATGTTCGAGAGGCTGCAGCATGACTCTACTTGTCGGATGGCACAGGTCGGTCGGCGGAGCAGGGACCACGACGGTCAAGTTTCTCGGATCACGATACTCTCCGCCCATCATTATCGGTAGTCTAGCCTTCTTGGGCGGCGCGGCGTAGTTTGGGAAGCACTGCATTTCTAGAGGGGGCGCAACTGTTCCTTCGTTCTCGGTTTTCTTCCGTAGCTTGGGAGGTTTCGCGAATCTAGCCGTCAGAGACTCGATCTCCTGAGCTGGCAGACGCAATCGTTTCGCCGGCGTTGCTCCATCAACAAATGCCTCCAGAACTGGCATTTCGTGCGCCATTCTTGTTCCAAGATCGAGAAGGCCCGCCATTTTTCTTCTCGGCTACTTCATTCGCTTCGTTGGTCCTCTATAACTTTTCTTATTAGATTTTTTTTTCTCTTTCCGTAGAGCCAATGAAAAAAATACAAAGAAGAAAAGCTGCGATTTTGAGAGATCATAAGAAAGTCGCGAAAACCCAAAGATATCTGAGAGGAATAACGGTAAATAAATTAGAAAAAATAAAATTATTGATCGCTTTTTTTTTCTTTCCATAGAGCCAATGAAAAAGATTTAAAGAAGAAAAGCTGCGGTTTTTAGGGATCATAGAAAAATCACGAGAAACGGAATATCTGGGGGGAAAAACGGTAAATAAATTAGAAGAAATACAATTTTTTTAATCGCTAAATGGTAGAAAAAGAGCTGAAAGTATTAATTTTTTTGTTGACGAAAATGTATAATAATGATTTTTTTAGTCTGTTTCACTCTATTATTTTTTTCCAAAAAAAAGAGCGTGATTTAGAACGAATAACAAACGAAATAAAAAAATTATTTCAAGTTTCAACAAATTTAGCAAAAGAAAATGATAATTTTTTTACATTTTTAAAAAAAGGTGTTTTTTCATTTTTTTCAACTCTGAATTTGTAGTCTCTATGCACCCTTGGAAAAAAAAATGGATGATCGAGGCAAACTTCCTCTCTAGAATTCGCGACGCTGAAAAAAACTTTCTTCCGTTTCTCCCTTTTCCAAAATATAAAGAAAAACCCGAATAATATTTTAAAACTTTTTAAATGACCTCAGGTTTTTTTATTATATCGAAAAACTAAAAAAATATTTCAAATATTCGGTATATGCTATTTTTTCATTATTTACTCTTGCGAGTTTTTCATTTCGACCAGGTAACAAAGAATAGGTTTTTCTTAAAGTATCGAATAATGTCTTTCCGTATGAATATTTATAATTAATATATAAGTAGTCTGAAAATAAGCTAGGTTGCGGGATTGTTATAACTTTCTATTATCAAATAAAAGCGAATTATACAAAAATCGACAAAATGAGGTAGACGAACAGGTTTTAAACAGTACATAAAAACAGCGGCATTATACAACGATAGAAAACAAACGAAAATACAGAGCTTGAAGTTTTCGGCTTGTGGGTTTTATTTAGAAATTGAAAAGATCTGCGACGGAGGGCGGACGCTTTTTTCGCTCTATCGCTCGCGCCAAGAATTCTGTACTCTCCACCGCTAGACTGCTTTCTCGTTTTCCTTTCGTTCTCTAATGCTCTCTTTTTCTCTAAGCTAACATTACCTAAATTGTATAGAGGAGCCAATCCATTCTATTCGCTTGGTGAAATGCATGAAGAATTTTTTTCAAATTAAAATATAAAAATAAATTAATTATCTCTTGAGTTCTGCAATTAGTGATTTTTATACGATTGGAAAGGGGCAAATCGCGAAAATGAACTCAAAGCGGACATTTGTGCACATATATGTAATCGAAAAGCGGGTGGCCTGGGAAATCGGGTTTTTCTCAGCTCCTACTCGTATGAAATTTCAAAGAAAACAGGTGCATCTTAATCGGGAAACAGGTAACCATGAGCCTCGAAGATCTATGAAAAGCCAACTCTCTTCGTATTTGAAATAAATTTTTCGGATGCAGTTCAAAATTCCAAATTTCAAAGTAATTGTTAGAATTTAATGAAACTTTCTCCTTGTATCCGAGTTTTCAATTTTTTCCTTTAATTTTCCAGCAAGCAATTAATAAGTGATAGATAACTTCAACACGCTTTCTTCTTGAAGACAATTTTTTAATGTTTATTGTGAAGTCTAGAATAGAAAAAATCGATATGTAAATAAAAGATTGAACAAGAGGAAAAGGCAAAAGTTCGTTTGTCCTTCAATTCGATGGGCCGTGCCTGGTTTTAACGACCCTCTGCGTCTTGGAAGCGGATTTTCGTTGGTGTATAGCGTTACTCACCATCTTTCTCAACCTCAAAATTTCACTTGGTCGGACAGTGCTGCGAAGGTTTCCGCGCAGACCTTTTCTTTTTTTGAAAAGGACAGCCGCGCTGTCTCTCTACATTCGTTTGAACAAGGTATCACGAAGGGGTGCTATAAAACGGATGGACTTGGTTGGAAGTTTCAAGGGATGGAAAATATGTTCACTTTATCAGTTTCCGTGTCAATGTTTTACAACCATCAATCGGGATTCACGGTCAAAAAAACTTTTTTCGTGCTGTTTGATGTATTTGAAAATGATTGGTTGAAAAATATGATAAAAGGTCAGTTCGGCGGAAAATTTGATAATGAGAAGCCAACAAAACTTTCAACGGTTTGGTGAAAAAGGAAACTAGACTTTGAAATGGATGAAGAAAGATTCAGAGCGTGCTGGTGCTATTGCAAGTACGTGTGACTGCTGTGAATTGCGTCTGGCGGAGTTTTTATGACCTCAAAGCGCTCGCTAATTCGTTTTCGAAGTGTTTTTTTGTTGATAAATTGATACGATAGGAAGGTCAAACGCATCTCTATCTCTTTTCCACCCCCTTTTTTTTTTACCAAACCTCGCAAGCTGTAATGATAGCCAGGGATTTGCAGCGGTCTCTATCCAAGATCTTGGACTTGCTATCATATCCCAGAAGTCGGTCTCAACGTCACGATCCGACAAATTTCGCCAGTCCTTCCCAATAACTATGAGGTATTCATATACGCTCTTTTTCGGAGAAGAAGAAGTGTTTCAGTTTTCACAGCTGGACGGTTTTCAGAACATTTTGAATTCCAGGACTCGTCTCTTCCGGTTTCGGCTTTTGTGGTGGATGTGGAGAATTTTTCGGAGCACGACTACGAGGTTTCAGTGGCTTTCACGTTTCGAAACGGTACCGGAAACCGTCGTTGGGAGCGCGAGTCTGAGTGTGGTGCCGCGAAATTCGTCGCCGCCGGCTCACAATCCTTTGCCCCAGGTACTTTTTTCAAATCATTCTTCCAAACTGTAGCAACTGCCATATTTTCATTCAATTCTATACACATCAACTCAAACGTTTTTTTTTTCTCTCGTTTCCATATCTCTTTGCGCCTTTTTCGTTGGCTCTTTTCGAATAAGATTAATATTTAACTTCTAAAAACTTACAATTCGCAGAACACAATATATAGTGCGCAACATTGATTGAAGAAAGCTAGGTAGGAGTCCCAGAAGACAGCTGAGAAGGCGAAAAAAGCAGATAATTAGTTAAGTGAAAGAAGAAATCTCATCAGTTTGTGAGATAAGAAAAGGATAGCTGTGAAAAATTTTTGATGAGCGAAAAAGGAGATCCATACCCATTCACGATAATAGATATTCAAACCAATAGTACAAAAAATATGACTCTTATGACTTTTTAATTTTTTTTTCTCTGTGAAAGTTGTCGATATTTCCACAAATGAGGGAAATTTCCAGTCTGTGGAGCGATTTTGTCGCACTCGATCGCCAACATGCCGTGTGCCTTCGGACTGGCGACGTCGACGGTCTGTTTTGACGCGAAACTGAAGACGTCGGACCCTTCCTTGCAGCAAGTCGAGGATCGTGTGACGACGTCCGTCTGCCAACGCTTCGATCCCTCTCAGTCTGGCGTCGGAGTCTGGGCGACGCTCTCCCAGACCGGCGACCTTCCTCTCGTGGTTTTTGCCCTCTTCCTTCTCCTTCTAAACTTAGCTCTTGAGGACGAAGACTGCGCTAAAAATTCGCGTGAAATGGCTATTGGCGTGTGCAATCGGTTTCATCTGACACGGACGTCCAAAAGAACCGTTGATTATTCTCTGAGTTGGGACATGCCACGCGTCAGTTTCGGCTCTCTCGCGCGGACGTATCTCAGGTTAGGGAAATATTCAAGTGGAAAGTTTCTCATTGTGGAACAAACTTAAATACCAAATGGGGGTGAGCACCGTCTATTCAGACAATCTTTTCCTCCAGCCGTTTCCACAGATCAGCTGTTAGATTATTTGATTGTCTTGATGTTTTATTTTTTTGTATTTGTCGTGCTGATTGCGGAATGGCGAATAAACACTTGAAATGAAATGAAATGAAATTCCCCTACTTTGTCAATAAATGAATAGATCCTAAAGATATGAGATATACCTTGAGCTTAGAAAGGTACATATTTCGAAATCTTCAAAAAAGTAATTAGCTAACTTAGCTTTGCTGTTAAATCTCTTTTTATTCGTTTCGATTCCCTTGGGCAATTAATCCTTTTTTTCATTGAAACTACAGATAAACTTTAATTCGTGTATCCCATGTTAATTAACTTTCAAATCTTGTGAGGGAAAATTCTGCAGTAATAATTAGAAAAAAAGCATAAGAAGTTCATTTCTCTGCTCTTCGAACTTTTTTTCACTACAAAAATTAAATTTTTTTAGACTCAAAAAAATAAGTAAAAAAACTCATCAGCCGACCTAAGACTCGCTTTTTTTGAATATGATCGTTCCCCCCTTACTTATGCTCTGAATTGTCGTTTCGAGTATTGGTGACACAACCGAAGACATTTTCATTACAGACGTTACGCAACCTTTTTCGGAGGCGCCAGAGGAGCCGTCGGCGGAATGGCGGACGCCCTTTGCGTGAGAGCTCTGCGACGTCGTCGGATGTGGGAGACGGCGATCGACGAATGGCAGTCGCCTGTCCTCGACCACCCGCTGCTCCCTTCTTGGTACAAGTCGGCGCTCTTCAACGAGCTCTACTTCATGACGGACGGCGGATCGGTAGAACGCTTCTTTTCTGTCATTTTCAAGAGAGATTTCACAGGTTTGGTTTGCTTTTGACGACGGCTGGACTCATCACGAGAATCACCTCAGCGAGTACACCAAGTCTCTGATGCGGAAACACGGGCGGTTTGGATACCTCGAATGTTTGTCTTTATTCAGGAAATATTCCAAAAACTCTGCTATTTTTTAGCCTGGGAATACCGCATGGTGAACACTTATGACGTTCACTTTTATGCCTCATATGCCCTGGCGGTTCTCTGGCCGCAGCTCGAACTCGCCGTCCAGTCGGAATTCAGTAATCATCTCCATCCGTGTTCAGAGAGAACTGTGACTTGCAGCTGATCAAGTCTACCACACAATCGACAAACAAATCAAGTTTCACATGGAAGGCGACTGGGCCAACTTGAAAACGGCTTCCCGAGTACCGCACGATTTGGGAAATCCCGGTGAGAACATCATGTATTCAAACATGTGTTTTCACTCAAAAACGACTTGCGGCCTCAACTCGTGAACTTTTGTTGTGCTAATCAAGATTTTGTAGCCGACGAGCCGTGGATAGCCACCAACGCCTATGTTATGCACGACACGGGAAAATGGAAAGACCTCAACATGAAGTACGTTCTGACGTCATGGCGAGACTATGTCGCTCTGACGGACCGCGACTCTGCTTTTCTACAGCATACTTGGCCTGCCGTCCAGGTTTTGCCTCTAGAACTCCCCCTACGTAATCTCGATTGAAGAACATCATGCTGGAAGCGATGGAGTCCTGGGACAAAGATCGCGACGGCATGATCGAGAATTTCGGAAAGGCTGATCAAACCTACGACGCTTGGCAAATGGAAGGCGTCAGGTTTTTCCCCTGATTCGGTCCAAAATTAGCGGGTTTCTCAGTGCATATTGCGGCTCTTTGTGGCTGGCTTCACTGCGCGTTTCGGCAGAAATGGCGACGGCGGCCGGCGAAGATAAAACTGCTTCGTTGTTTTCTGAGACGCTGGGACGAGCTCGAAAGGTTTTCATTCGGGAACTTTGGACTGGACGTTACTTCAGATTTTGCCAGCGCTCCAGAAGGTAAACGAATTATCCTTTCTCGTGTTTACGAAGAATGCATTGCAGTCGTGAAACAGTGATGGCGGATCAATTGTGCGGCTACTGGTTCTTGCAGTCCGTTTCTCCGGAGTTGGCGACCGATGTTCGTTTCGCGACCTTAGTCCGGCTAACTATTGTTGAGTTCAGCTTCTTCCCGAGGAAATGGTCAGAAGTGCTCTGGCCACCATTTACGACCTGAACGTGTGCCGTTTTGGCAACGGCAACATGGGCGCGGTCAACGGAATGCGACCTGATGGCCGTGTCGACCGCGAGTACATCCAGGCTAGTCAGCGCCAACCTCGGAGATGTGTAACTTCTGGTTTTAAGGCCGACGAGATGTGGACTGGAGTGACCTACGCCGTGGCGGCTCTTCTCATCCAGCAGGGCGAGATTTCGAAGGCTTTCCAAACGGCCGCCGGCAGCTACGATTCTTGCTTCGAACGCCTCGGTCTCCAGTACCAGACACCCGAAGCTATTTATGAGACCAAGTTTGTTGCGTGGTGAAAACAAAAACAATCTGAACTATCTCTCAGGTTTTACCGTGCGATCGGATACATGCGTCCGCTGTCGATCTGGGCGATGCAATGGGCCTTGGAGCGACATCGCGGTCTGCACACTCCAAGGGAGGACCTCTCGGAGCCCTTGTTCCGCAGTCAGCCGCTCGAGACGGCTGCCGAGCCGTCGACCAGCGAGGACTCTGGAAGCCTTGGATACGTCAGCGACTTCAGAGACGACAGAGACGAGTCTTCTGTCTCGGCGTCTGCGCTTCGCCCTCCGGCGCCTCTTTCTTCTTTTCCGCCTTTGGCTCCCAATGCGTAGCCGGTTGCAATTTATAACTTTCAGGATTTCGCGGAAAACCCAATCAGCTAACGTACTTGTCACATAATCCTACTGTCATCACTTGAAAAGTTAACTTTCATATTTATTCCACTATCTTTGCTTTTTTATGGTAAAGAATTATGATAAGGTTGTGAGAGAATTTTACGGGATCATCTAGTTTTTGTCATTCTGAATAGCTTTTTTCTCATTTCTCATTGTCATCTACGCGGTTTCTACATGCTTTTTTGTGCGTTACTGGTTGCCAATATTTGCTTCTTAACTACGAAAATTTCTGCAACTCGTTCAATTATTATTTTTCTCTTCTATGGTTGATATAACGAAAGCGCAAACGAAGTCGTCTTTTTTTCGGGTATGGTCTTCAGGACTTGCTTCTTTGAGTCATATTAATGCTTAGCGAGTAAGATTCAGAATATGTTAGTTATTTTCTATTCGTATATGGCCAGATAATCTTGTATTCAACATTTTCTTATTTTCAAAGCTTTTCATGTGCAATATGTTCGAATGATACTATTGGGATAACACTTCTCTGTACTTCTATTATGTCTGAATTGAATCTTATTTTCAGTTTCTCGGGCCATCTAATTCTTTATTCGGATTTGCGGGATTTTTCAAAATTTTCCTGTGAATAAAAATTTTAGCTTTTTCGCACATTAATAATGCAATCGTGACCGTGTGATTTACACTATTCGAATATTTTCCTGCGTTGCTTCTAAATAAATGGAAAAGCTCTTGAACAGCGGATCCAATAGACAACTACCTATAACTTTAGAAAAAAGGTTCTCACGAACTTTTCCTCCATGGATTTCTCAGGAGCACTTTCAAAAAAAAAAAAATTAGAGCTGCAGAAAAAAGTCAAACTTTTATTGGAAATTGAGATGCTGAACGTGTCTCGAAGACTGGGCGACATCGCTAGAAGAACGATCAGCTCCTCTTGGCCGTCGATGTCTCCGTCAAACGCCGAAAAGACAATGGCCGATCAACTGCGTTGTCGCGTCGAAGGTTGCACTGAAGTTGTCGTCGAAGACGTTTCCAGTTCGTTCATTTTTCTCGATCAAAAACCCCTAGTATTCACATTAAAATGTCGCCGTGTTTTCGAAGCGAAAACAGTCGAGGTATCGATAGAGATATGCAGTAGACATAAAAGAAAAAATAAAACTGTATTTATTGTTATTAATATCGGGAGTTCAGACGGGTGCGGCTCGATGTTTAACGTGTTCGTCGAGGCCACTAGCTTCCAAGGCAAAACCAAAGTTCAGCAACACAAAATCGTTACTGGTTCGTATTTTGATTCGCTTTTTGAATACGAAAGCTTCTTGGTATAATTGAACCAAATTGTAGGTATTTTGCGGGAACAAATCAAAGATATGCACGGGCTCACGATAACAACTCAAGTTCCGAAAAAATAGAATTCGGTAGGGAAATTTAAAAATTTATATGTAATAAATATGTCGATTGCGGTTGAAGAACTTTCAAAGAACAGAAAAAAATACTCGAAATTATTCGTTACATAAAACTTTACTATAGCCCGTGTATAGCCTGTTTAACAATTTCACGGAACGACATTCCGCTGTGCCGCTGCGCGCCTTTGCGAACCTTGGTCGCGTTTTATTTATTTATTTATCTTTATTAAGGTAATCTACTTTCATTTGCTCCCACAGAAATAAAAATCAATTGAAAGCGTGACCTAGATTCGAAAGACGCTTCGCGACCACACGCAGCGAAACAGCGGAATGTCGTTCGGTGAAATTTCAAGTCTTGGCACAGAGACTGAGACGCCGCTATTTAGTAACCAGGGACATTGCCTCAACTACAGTATACCTGTTCGGTTGAGCACTTTTGCCTCATATTCCATATTTTTTACAGACCATTGTTTTTAATCGTTTTTTTTTCCTTTCCCATATATTTGAACGGTTCACTGATGGCGTTTGCAATAATCGCCATTTTCAGTAAAAGTCAGAAAAAAGAAGCTGTTCTCGGATATCTTCCGGCAAACTTATATTCACCCTTCAACCACGTTCAAAACAGTTTTATTATTAGTTAGTAATGGTTGAATTTGAGTGGGTTCATATAGTCTGTTCAGATTTGGAGTGTCAAGTCATCGCTTAAACAACGACTTTACTCCAGAAGAATGCGTGTAAAATTGCGGTGTCCTGTCGAGCAATGCCAAAAAAAGAGCAAAAGAGAAGATAACTTTGTGCGGCATCTTGTATCAGCACATAATGTACAAAAAGCTGGAGGCTATAAAAAAATGAAAGACAAGTCAAAAAAATTGAATCTTGTAAGACAGGTTAGGAAAGTTCAATGAGGCATCCTTACGCTAATTCAGAAACATCATAATGAGAGTTGCGAAGAGAGAAGAGCCGAACATCACAAAAACTCTCGCAACACTACATTCGGAGTTGGTTGACACGAAACAACGTTTTCTTTCTTCTGTTTCTCTCCCGCCTTCAACTGATTTCCAAGAAATACTTGTTCGTCGAGAAAAACTACTTATTCGTGGTGGTAGCGCTCCACGAGACCTTCCGATTGATCTGCTCAAGGTAAAAATTTAAAAATCCAATATAAAAAATTTTTTCACAAAGGTCGGAAGTAATCCGTCGAAGAGCTCCGAAACACGCGAAGAAACCTTTTTTTGTGAAAAATTCGGCGATCTCGCACTGCGCTATTTGTTTCAATGTTTTATTTCGAAAAAATTCCTGAACCTAAAAGTTTATCTCACCATGGTCAGAAGGATTGCGGAGAAAGTAACACTGAAATGATCGAATGGCTTAAGTGTACGTTCTGCGCACTTTGGGCCCATTTGCTGTGTACAGAACAACTGCCTAGAAGGAAGTGTCTTTGCTCAAATGGCATCTTCGAATTCAATCAATCAATTTCGAGCGACAGCGATTAATTTTTATATCCGAATCATAGTATTTATGTTTTTTTATGCAATATTGTAAGATTTATCGAGAAATTTAGAGCTAAACTTCAAATCCAAATTTGATTAGTAAAAGCCCATTATTTGCATCCTATAGTCTGTTTAGATTTCCAAAGTAAAGTAACAAACTCCGTCCCTAAAAAGCTCTCTATGGATGACTCTCTCTTTCTCTCTCTGATTGGTTTGATATACGCATAAGGTGTGGAGTTTAAGCGATGACTTTACACTCCAAATCTGAAAAGACTATATGAACCCACTCAAATTCAACCATAACCATTACCAACTAATAATAAAACTTTTTTGAACGTGATTGAAGTGTGAATATAAGTTTGCCGGAAGATATCCGAGAACAGCTTCTTTTTTCTGACTTTTACTGAAAATGGCGATTATTGCAAACGCCATCAGTGAACCGTTCAAATATATGGAAAAGGAAAAAAAAACGATTAAAAACAATGGTCTGTAAAAAATATGGAATATGAGGCAAAAGTGCTCAACCGAACAGGTATACTGTAGTTGAGGCAATGTCCCTGGTTACTAAATAGCGGCGTCTCAGAGACTGTATTGAACGCAACTTTTCGTATCGCTTTTTTCCGTTTTCCTTTCCATTCGTTTTATTGCACCAAACATCGTGCTTCGAAACTTTCATTAAAAAACAGCAAAAGAAAATTATTTTCACAGCCAACCAAACAGAAAAACTGATTGAAGAAATGGGGGAAGTGTCCAAAAAAAGTAAAAGAATACATATTACGAGACGATTCAAATTTATTCACACAACTTTATTCATTTTTTACGAGAAGAGATTTTGAAAATCGATATTAACCGTATCTGTAAATTTGGGTAATTTCCATATTAGCAACTCATTTCACCAAAAACTCAATACATTTTGATTCCATACCAGCGAATGTAAAAACCGTGAAATCTGGACAGAAAATAATCCATTCACGACTTCTTGTCGAGCTCAACAAATGCGCTCTTCAAGAAATGATCAATATATGTTTGTGTCTGAGTGAAATGAATAGATGAATAGATAAATTAATTCCTAAGGACGTCCTTTTAGGGTCTGGTAATAAGAGTTTCAGTTAGAGCGCACATTCTGAACTTGAATAGTTTTCGTCGACCATATTGAAAAGAGTGAGGATTATCATGACCGTTTGTGCTCCCAAAACGACTCAAGGATTTCGGCGTGTTTCTCTGGGGCTATCCTGAAGTCGACGCGACCACAATCAGACCGAAAACTGCAATTTTGTTAATTTTTGGGAAAAAATGCTTTGAAAGTCGGTCAAGTTCGTGACAAAGAAACTACCTATGGCTGCTGCTGAGCTCGGGCGTCGCGTGATGAAGACGACTGCATTCGTCGGCTTCGACGCGCACTTTCCGCGAAATTTTTCGCGGCACCCACTCGCCGAGCATGTCGCTCACCCGTTGTCGCAGGTAGTAGTGGCGTGAAAGGCAAATCTTAACCCATTTGGACTTGTTCGGACTGTTTAAATTTGATGATCAAAATGACGGAGCGAAAACTCACAACTGGATGGGCCATTGCATGCATAGATGGAAAGGCGAATATTATAGTCGAAAGATTGAACTGTAGAAGTGTGAGGCCTGGCTCTGCTCTGTAAGGGCTCTCTTTTGACGTTGTATAGACGTCTTCGAACCTCAAGTCTCTTATTGGAATCAAAAGACATAAGTAAGAGAGGTAGAGAACTGCGTGAAGAACTGCTGACGGCAGAAGCATCTGCGTGGTTCGGTACGTTTCGTAGATCTGTAAAATTCATATTTTTTTCTTTTTGAGGAGTGGATGTGACTAGGGAAGTGTATGCTTAGAGCCATAAAGCACAAAGAATCATGTGAAAAGAAAAATTAAGAACTGGTTTTTTGAAGTTTTTAAACTGATCGGATGTAAAAAAAAAAGGTATAGCTAGGGACCGCAGACCAATTTTTTCAAAAAAATTTTTTTCAGCATTGAGCTTTGTATGGTTTGATAGCTGTTTCGATTCAAAAACTCAGAACCGTTTAGTTTTTTTCGAAAAAGATTGAGGATGAAAAAAAGTTATGACGAAAAAAATGTGGCGCGCCGCGCACCATTTTTTTAGTACTGAAATTTTGGTATTATCCATTTTTGACATTTTTCTCGATTTTTCTTCTAGAACAAGTTTTGATACTGGTCTATTATGATGTAACAAATCATAATAGAGTGCTAAAATGATGCTCATCAGCTAGTTTGCCGAAAAAAAGTCGGTATTTTTCCAGAAAACAAAAAAACTGACGCTTGCGGGCATCGAACTCGCGACCTCAAAATGAAAAAAATCGCAGCGCACGCGCTGCGCCAAGCTGCTAGGTCTAGCAAGGGGAGCTTCCATCCGCCTTACCCTTGAGCCGTTTAGATAGCACAGATTGCCTATTTCAAAAAAATAAAAAAACTTGAAGTAATTCAGCTATTTTTTTATCAGAATATGTTCGCAAATCTTTACTCAAACTTTCCGTGAAAAATTCACTTCGAAAAAAACTGTTTTTTTAGTGCTTTTTTTCCTCGTTTAACGATCGCTGCCTTAAAACGGCCCCGTAAATTTTTTTGGCAAAGACGAATTTTTTTATTTTTATTCTTTTTAATTGAAAGATTTTTTTCACTAATAAATGTATATAATCGTTTAAAAAAACCTGCGTTCGGCCGCTTTCTGTGTGATAAACGCCGCTAATTTTATTCTCTAGTTTCAAGAGCATTTTTTTGCGTATCACAAAAACTTTTTTTCAAGTACATATGCTGTGAAGAAAAAAATTTAAGTAAGGCCATGATCTAAATTTTTTTAAAAAAACAAAAAAACTTGATTATATTCGCTTATTAACGATATTTTTGAATTATGAGTTTCGGCGCTCCCTAAAAATTTTTTTGGCAAAGACGAATTTTTTTATTTTTATTGTTTTAAAATTTTCGTTACTTGAATCAAAATCATTATTTAAAAAAAGAAAGAGTGCGTTCGACCTGAAAAACACATGAAAAAAAGCAAAAAAATGACAAAATTTTTTTAGTTCCATTCACGTTTTTTTGTACGACATTCCGCGAGAACGCATCAAAAAAAGCGTGAAATATTTTTTTAAACGAAAGAGGAAGCTTTTTCTGTACATGTGTGTCAAATTTTATTCGCCAGTTCCACATATTTTGCAACTACAACAAAATGAAAGTTGAAAACCAAAAAAAAGCCACTTTTTCTATCGCGAAAAGGGGCGTGGCTTTGCGGTCCCTAGGTATAGCTGATTCACGGCCAGCTTGGGACGCTAAGGGGGCGTGTCCTGTCTGCGCTCTCCACGAGCCAGGAGCTATCTCTTACATTATCGTGTCAGGACCATTTTTCGATGGCTCAAGCCAGCCTTGAATCTATAACTGCCTTTGATAAACTTCTATATAGAGACCGTAAAGCCCCGTCGCTGTTCAAAATGTTGGCTTCGATATTTTTAATCTGTATTAGAAAATCCCGTAAAAAAGCAATATTCCATCCTATGAGAGGAAAATTGGTGAAAACATACAAAAAACCTTCCTCTTTCGTCCTATGTACTTTTTACTCAGTTCGGAGGCTTATCAACGGAGTGTCGTGAGAAAAATATAGGCAACATTGAAATAAAAAAAGTACTTGAAAACGCTTGCTGAGCGAGTATTTGGCGGTATTGATGCCGAGGCCGTCGGCTTCGTTCCGAGACAAAATGTGGACGTAGCCGAAGAGGCTGATGGTGCCGGCCTCGACGAAGGCGCACACGCAGATCCGCACCAACATCGCCCAGCGTTCAGACAACGACGCCCCGTCGCAGATGCAGACGCCCTTCTCCCTGAGATCCAGGATAGAAGACGTCGCGATGGCGACCGACTCACGTCAAGTTCATTACGTAGTTGATGGTGACAAATACCGCGGCCGAGGCGGCCATCACGAAAATCACCTGAAAACGTTGTCTGAGGGGCAGAAGGGAAAACAATGTACATATATTCAATATATCAACTCTAATCGAACTGTCAAAAAAAAAAATACTTAAAAGGCTTTGTTTCAACCACATTAAGAGCAATAATTGTTCACTTCAACAAAAAAGAAACCTTTTATCTGGGTTAATAACTGAAATCGGACTCACTCCTTATTTAGTTCTAACTCGGACTATAGGTTTTTTTGCCTGTCCATCACACCTTTCTCAAGTTTTCAAGGCTTGCAAAAAAAAAAAGAAGAATCAAAATTGTCTCGAAAAGTTATTATTCTAAAAAGGTCAAGCATAATATGTTTCTACAAAATTAAAGATAAAAAACCAAAGTTACTCCTGGAAAAAAAACTGTTTTTTTCTCATATTCATTCTTATTAATCGACTTATTTTGTGTGATCTGAACCATAAAATGGCTAACCTTGACGTAGCAGGATATTGTGCCGCTGGGCACGTGCTTCTTGGTGGCGATAAGCCTCTCGGCGCCGACTCCGACCATCAGAAGACACGTCGCCGCATCCCACGGAACCATCAGCGAATTGATCAGAGAACACCATCCGCTGTAATTATTCTTCTTCTTCTTGTAACTGGTATAAACGCTTTCCTACCAATAAGTTCCAGACTATCACTATCGCATGAAGATTTCAAGGTAGCTCGGAAATATCGGCGAATTTTCTGGGGAAATCATTAATCTACTGAAAGATGGGCTTTGTGATAGTCTGTAACTTCATCAACCCTGATTTTTCTCAGTTCGAATTCTCAAAGGTGCTGCTTATTACCATAATGACTAGTTAAAGACGATAATTTTTTGAACATCATAATGTTAAAAATAAGTTTTAGCGAAATTAAACTGAGAAATCTTCACCTAGACTTTCAGAACATTTTGAAAATTCATGAAAGTTTCAAACTTCAAACCGAAATTTTCTTCCTTTTTAATACCATACTGTAGGAGATATTTGAGTAAACTCGTCGAAAAAAGTCGAAAAATAAAAAGAAAAATTTGCAAAAGAATGTGCAAAAGGAATGGGATTCTCTAATTTTGGACTGCGTTTACTGTTGTTTCTCACACATAATGTGAAGGAAAAGCAGAAAAAATTTCCTTTTTTCGACTTGATCACTACCTTTTTGAAAAAGCAGTAGGATGAGACTAGCTTCTTTTTTCCACAAGCAAATGTTTTCGATTTTCGCTGGAAAAGTTTTACTCCGTTCGTGGAAAACAATTCTGACGTTGCCCGAGCTTCTGGTCACGAGGCCAGAGGGAAGAAAAAAGAGTTTTCGCAACAAAGGAGGTTGTTCTCCGAACGTTGCGACCGGAAATTCATGAGTTATTTAATAGCTCTCTTCACTCCTTGGCGTAGCGCGTGGGTACTGAAGTATCAATGTCTCGTGGGATCCTTTTTCGCAACCTTTTTTCTCCCCTGCCCCTTAGAAGGTCTTCATGAATGCTTCAAAAGGTCTTTGGTCAAGTCTGCCATCAAATTGTTTGGCAAGAAGCGCATTTGAACGACGAATTCGATTTTTCGGACGCCCCCAGAAATCAAATTTGAATTCCAATCTAGCCCGTTTTTTGTCGCCCTTTTCGAAATGGCACAACACTTGGGGGCTAATTGCTGAGAGCGTTTTTTAGAAGCCTACTCTGAGGTATAGCCGATTCACAGCTAACTTGGGACGCTAAGGGGGCGTGGCGTGTCTGCGCTCTCCACCAACCAGGCACTTTCTCTTACATTATCGTGTCAGGACCCTTTTCTCGATGTCTCAAGTCAGCCGTGAATCAGCTTGTGCGTCAGGTCGGACCTTGGGCCTCATTTTGAGAAAAAGTCTGCGCAGGCTTTGGCCAGACCAGGCTTCGAAAAGAATTTTAGATTTCATTGAAAACATTTTCACCGAAAATTTATTTTTATTCGTTGAATCATAGTTTCTGTTGAACTCTACGTGAAAAAATAAGCAGAAACATGATTTTTGTCTTAAAAAGCTTGATAGTCGACTTGAAGAAAATTTGAGATTTTTGAGCCGGACCGGCCATTTTCGCTTGAGGTCCCGCTAAGGCCGGGCCGGGCTTAGAAAGTGGCCCGGGCCGGCCCTCGCACAAGCTTGCTCTGGGGTCGAAAAAGGATGAGAAGTTTCCGTTAGACAGAGGTTCCAGTCAGCTTTTATACGTTTTCTCTCATGTGCCAATATGGGTGCTGCATGGGGCACTCTTGAGACGTCAATCAAATGGACACTTTGAAAAACGCTTTATTTAGAAGGAACATTTTTTCCTTCGAGAAATATTAGAAAAGCTCTTTGCGGTCAGTATGGAAAATAGACGAACCTGTGCGATGGGACCTTGGGAAAGCCGCCGATGCCGAGAAAGAAGAAGTAGATGTTATAGAGAAGGCCGGCGGAAGCGTTGACTGCGAAACAGGCGGAGATGGTCGCCAGCATCGCGCAAGTGTTCTTGTGAATCACGCCCGCCCTCTGAAACCGTAGCCTTATTTAAAAATTAGTTATTTTGATGAAAATTTGTCGAGGTTCAATTGGTGGCGCAAAACAGTTTTTTCTTTGATTACCTTTCTTCTTTATTTTCTACTTTTTTTAACTGTCTGGAGTTGCGTGTGGGATTGAATTTATGTACTAATGACAAATTATAGTCCGTTTTTCGCGACTTGAGAGGACTTTTCTGCGCTCTCCTTATCTCTCGGCGCCCCTCTCATGTTTTCGTGCTATTTTCATGTTTCTCTGACCTCGTCGGGGAGAGAGCTGAAAGACGCAGACACGCGAAAAAAGTCAAGTCGCGGCGGACAGACTATATTTAAAGTTTTTCTGATGTGTTGTTTGGAAAAAGCCCGAAAACCCTGAAGACATCTATGCAACTCTCACCAAATACATTTCTTCAGCCTTTTTTTCATTCTTCATTCCTCCCATATCAAGTTTTTCCAAACTCGGGCTTTACCACTTCCCACGTTGAAATTTTCAAGGCGACACTAATAGCTGAAACTATGTGGGGAAAACGAGACGAAGGACCACGGAATCAGACTTTTAACTTTTCGCCGGCTTCAAGCTTGGACCTCCTTTTATCTGCCGTTTTGAATGGCTCATTTCACCACCTAATTGATTAAACACCTAAAAACCAAATATCCTCGAGTCTTATTACTTTGCCTGCATGGGACGACTTGCAGAATGTTTGCCTAAAATATCACCAAACGCCCTAATTCGATTCAAGCCTTTTTGACATTTAGAAGACCCCGTGTCTTCAGGAGAAACCCTTAAAGATCGGAAACCGCAAAAGTCGTTCCTTGTATGGCTTGCTGATATGAAAGAAGTCTTATATAAAGAACGACTTTGTGCATTTCAAAAGTTATAAAGGAGCGAAAAGTTCGAGGTTTGACGGGAGGAAGAGGGGATTACCCGAGAAGTGTTCTTTGAATTGTGGACCAATATGGAAATCTCTTTCTTGAAGCCGTTCTTCATTTCGAATTCTTTTCAGTGTGTTCAAGTCGATTGCTCTTCCCAAGAGCTCCAAGAAGTTCATTAGTTAGTTTCGCCGGGGCAATTTCCTGCCATTCGAGACCGCAAAAGGACTCAAACTTGAGGCCTATGGCATTCGACCTGGCATCAATTGCGTAATTCGAAACTCATCTTCGTCCTGCGTCAGCCACTTGAAAGCCACTGGAATTTTATGCCCATGGAATTGGCGAGGAGCAAAAAATTGATGTTTTTGAGACCAAAGTTTCAAACGGAATAGTTTCCTTCTAGTACTTCCCAGTGACTTAAAGATGGAAAGCCCACCTACCCTGAAAGTATGACTTATAAATCTTTCTTTCTGTTTTTTTTTTTCCAAGAAGGGGGCTTGCCTATATTGGACTATTAAAACAGAGAAATGTGCGGTTATTTGGAAAACAAGCTGAGCACCTGCCTCCTGATGCCCTCGCGGACTTATTTTGTTCAACTTTCTTGCATGTTTTCAGAAATTTCGAGCAGATGTGTCTGACGGCACACTTTCACTTCTAAGAACCCTTCGCCAAAAATTTGGAAAATATTATGATTTTACAGAAACTTTTTCAGATACTTCAAAAAGCACTTCAATAATACTTTTTTATCCTTTCCCGCTCTGAACAAGGCAACCTTTTCAAGGAAAACACATGGAAATCAAAACCCTAATTTGGAGGAATTGAGAGGAGAAAACGACTAAAAAATCACACTATAGTCGAGCCCATCAGGCAGACGAGGTCTCTCCAAAAAAGCGGCAAAACGACTCGAAAAGGACAAAACGCGGGTTGTCTCCTCGCAAATTGCTACCTTTTGAAACACTGCGCTTCTTCGCCGTTCGAAAAATTCTTGAGCAGGAATTTGAAAAATTTGCTTGTGATTTCTCAGTTCTTACAAGGAAACCGATTTAAATTCTCATTTGATTGATTTTCTAAACATTCTACAAGAACATTTTTGATTTATCAAGTGCAGGTTCCTGTGAAACTTCCAGCTAAGAAAAAAACTTCAAGCCAGAAAATTCGGAATCGGGAAAGATTGAGCCTAAAAAACTAAGCAAAATTCTATTCTTCTTCGTCTAGAGAATGTCTGACTAACTTCTGAAAAAATTCCAATCGAAAAGTAGACGACCTTCCTTGTCGGAAACGATAATTTATTATTGAAATATTCAATCTCAAGAATATTAAAAGGCGCGCAGAAAGATGCAGAACAGAAAAGAACTGAGCTGAGCTGAGGTGAAACAAAATATCTTTCGTCAATAATCATGCTTTGAAGGTGTCATGAAAAAATGCCTCTCTGAAAAATATCTCTTTCTCTAAGACCTTTACGCCGTTCAAATTTGAGGAAATTCCGTTATCCTGGACCTTTTTCAATTATTGTAGCGTTCTTCTTAATTTTTGTCAACTCTTCGCTGAAAAATCAGTACCTTGCAGACGAAGATGAAAAATACGTTGAAGGTGATGGCGCAGACGTTGAGAACGGTGATGGCCGACTGCAGGGAATACCAGCCGAAGTCTCCGGAAACGCCTCCGAGGGCGCACGTCGTCTCGTTCGCTGCAACAAACCATTGGAAGCAACTTCCTCGAGTCCGTTTTGAAGCCAATCTATCCCCTTTTCTCATTCCGCTAATTGCGGAAGGTTAACAGCGCAAGCGGATACATTTATTACTTCCGCCTGACTTCGACAGATGCATTAATTTCTCTGCCAAAGTTTCTACGGGAATCTTAACACTGCGGAGCTCAAAAAAGTTGTTCACTATAGGCTTCGGAGTTTTCCAGAACTCTGCCAAAACTTACTTCGATGAGCAGAATGAACATATTACGCCTTTTTTTTTCGCAAATCGTTTTTCCTTTCGAAAAAGTCTGTGGAAAGGTTTAGACAATAAGACATTATACTGTCCTTTCTAAAAACTAAAATTTTTTTCATATTTGTATTTCCGGAAAATACGTCTCAAAAAGTTTTTTGTGAAGTTTCAGAAAACTCTCAGAGTAGAAAAATGACATTTTTTTGTAAATCTCTGTATAGCTCAAAAATTAAGTCGCATGCCTGGCGAAACATTTGAAAAAATTACCAAACCAAAAAATCAAGGATACACTACACAAAGGAAAAAAAATGAGAAGAGTCTCTAGAACGAACTTCTTCGATGATGGTGGTAGCGCCGACGTACGAAATCGAGCTCGTGCATTCTGAAAATGACGTCGGACTCCGTGGCTGCAACAGGGGGACGACGGCTCGACCGCGTCAGTTACAAAGGAAAGTCGGGAACAAGGAAAAGTCGGCAAGGACGCCGACACACCCGGAGGGCAGCTGGAAGAGGCGTGCCCTCCGGGAACCGCCCACTATTGGTCATGCCGCCTCGCTTTTCCCTCTATTCAGGCTCTTTTTATCCGTATCACCTAACCATGAAAAAAGTGGAAGCAAGTGATAAGCGGGAATTTCTCGTGTCTTCCAGTCATTTTTCAAAGATCTTCATAAAATATGTTTTTTTCATGAATGTCTGCCTTTTTTGCTTCATAGGAGACCTAAATTTATTATTCATTAAATGAATGTTTACAACGAGAGCAAGGGCATTTCCGTATGGCGACGTCGCATTTCAGTTACATAAAAAATATATGTTCGGCTGAGATAATTTCGCACACGGCCGATAGATGTTTAAATCTTGAGAGACGCAATATAAAAAGGCAATAAAAGAGAAAAATGGGAAAAATGGGAAAAGCTCCCGATTTCTTGGTTTTGCCAGGAAGGTTAAGCTATTAAAACCGCAATGAGTCAGTTCCTCTGGAATAAAAAAAAATAATTGCAAATTACTGCCAGTCTGACGGATTCTGTCGATTCTAAAAATTGGGGCTATTCGATGAAATGATTTCCAACCTTGTAATGAGAGTCACTTCCTATGAGTTTGGAGTGAGATAAGAAATTGAACTTTTTCTTGTTTGTGATGTTAAAAAAGTTGTAGAATGACGGTTTTAAGGAAACCTGATTGCATTAAAAAATAACATACGTCCTGCGATAATTAAATGAAAAAAAGCAACAGAGAAAGTGAGCTTGAACAGAGTTAAAAGTAATTTTTAAGCTTTTTTTAGGAGAATTCCGAAAAGAACGGAGTTTGAGAAAAGATTCATAGAATGACAATTTTTGAATAGATCAAAAAGCTTCTAATTTCAAACCTTTTTTTTCTTTTCACCAATAAAATATTTTTACAGATACAACAGTCGCACCAAAATTTAAAAAAAAACAGAAAAAAGAAAGAGAAAAAGAGACGAGACATGATGTGGACTCGAAAGGTAAAGAAAGTTTGTAAGGAGAAACTTAATAATTGGCGGCTGCAATGTTGCGTTTCTTCAGCTCCAATTTCCTTCTTTTTCTTCTCTTAAGAATTTCTAGGAAACCTTCAGAAAAAAAAGCGCCCGCCTTTCTAATTGAGCTTCGCAAAACGAACCAAGTCCAAAGTTTTCTACGAACTATCTTTCGGTATCTTCTGAACCAGTCAGACAAGATTTCTGGTAAGAGGCGTACTTGAAGGATCATACAAATTGCGTTCATATGGAAGCTCAAATTATATGGAGCGTTTCTGAGCGATGATTCTAGTGGCTTGTACACTAAAACATTTAAAAGTTGAAAACGCAAAAAAAAATTTTGGAACCAGTCGTTTGTTTTTCGTTCAAAGCTCAAAGCTGTATTTTCTTCAAATGACAAAAAGAGAAGATATTGGATTGATAACTATTTTGAGGTAATTTCCCGTAAAAAAAAACTGTTCCGTGGTCCGTATTCTCGACATTTACAGTTTATGCCTATAGAAGTCTGATGAACAAACCATGAAAGAAGATAAAATGCGTGAAAGGACTGATATTTCGTGCCGCTTCAAAGAAGAACGATTTCCCCAACTGAAAACAAAAAATGAAAAGAAAGCAAACAGGATAAGATCTGTCGGTATGTGATAAGAGCCCTCACGCGGTCTCATTCTTTGGAGAAGCTCTTTGCTGGGAGCAAAAAAACGTCTGAACCGATTCGAACCTGAATCGCAGTACGAAAACGTTGGCATTCTTGAAATAGGTTGATAGAGAATAATTTATTCGGATAACATGATAGGCCAGAATACTTGAAATGGTATCTACAGCAAACTCAATAAATATAATGCACGGAGATAGTTTTGAAAACAGATGAGAACGGCTGAGAATACGCTCTGAGAGCTACAACCGGGTCTTCAATAAGAGAAACCTGCTCTATACAAAACTATTGACCAACTATCATCAAAGCTCCCCCTAAAAACAGGAGGGGGAGGCCTTAAAGCTAAGCGACTACAAGTTTTTTTTTGTTGGGACATCGGGTTTGTAATACAATTACATGAAGTTATTGCTGAATGAAATGAGACTTAGAAAGCGAAATGCAAATATTTTGTTAAAAATGCAATAAGGTTTGTACAATGCTTCAAAGCCAATGTTAATACTTTTTTTAAACGAACTAAAAAATTTATCTAACACTGTGGGATGCGGAATGCGCATAATAGACAGTGTTCAAGTTTGGATCGATTACAAAAATATATCATACAAAGTAAGTATTTTTGCAGATTTGAAAATAATAATGACAAGCACAGGCAAAATTCAGAAGAAAATAGTGAAATACAAAGTTAATTAAATTTGGCAGAAGGTTCACTAGGATAATCGGTAAATGTAATCGAGTTATCTCAACGGGACGACCACCTGCAAAAATCAGTGTTTTTCCCCTTAAATTTCATGCCAAAAATCATTTTTCTGATATTTTTTCTTGTTCTCGTACATCTAAAAAAAGAAGTTTGGAGAGGAATAATGGAAAATACCTGAACGTAGGTCACCGGGAAGAGGCCGGTTCTTCCGTTGACACGGCCTTCGTACCAGTTCTCGTCGACCTGCGATATCAGCTCGATAATCGCTCCTTCTTTGAACTCGAGCTCAAACAAATTATTATTCTCCAGCTCATTACACTATTTATTAGTTAGCCTGCTTCAAGAAATTAAAAAAAAGAATGAATATTCGATTTTTAAATTCTTATTCATTTGAATGGATGGAAGACACTGAAAACTCAAAACAAGTATTACGCTCTTGCAATTTTTTTTTTTTGGGCTTCAGGCTGTCCTTCAAGCCCTACCCGCTGATTTCAGTTCATATTCCGATTTTATTCAAAAGTCACCTCGCCCTCGCTCTGAGCGTCAAAGTCGAAAAGGGCGCGGCAAGACGGCTTCTGGACAGCTGGAGCCGCGACGGACGTCATCGGCTGTGACGTCACGAAAGGCGCCGCGCCTCCTCCGTTTTGGTAGACATTCTGTATATTTCGTTGTTTTTAGTGTGTGAAATGATGACACAGAAGCCATTGTCGCTTCGTTTTTTACTGGAACTCACTCCTAATATTTTTTGAAAAGTAAGGTCCCAATATTTTAGCTATCGACTTGAAAAATGCCTCCTTAATGAGGATTCAAATGAGGACTCCTCATCACTGAGTTGATCTACTCATCCAAAATATGTTTTCATTCATGAGGATTTCTCTCTTGATAATAAAAAAAAATCTTGCCCCTGAAAAGATCGTTTCAACAGAATGATATAGTCGATACACGGCTAAATCGGGACGCTTATCGCTTCAGAACCCTTTTTCGATGGCTCAAGCTAACCGTGAATCAGCTATAAAAACTCACATGAGCTTGGCCGGGAGCATTCGATGGAGCTTGAGAATCTGGAACAGGCGACCTAGAAAACATTGGCTTATAATATTCCAAACAACAATTTGCAAAAACCTCGATCGTGGAGTGCGAATATCCGTGTTGAGAACTGGCAGAGGTACGTGTTCTTCGCGATGGCGCGAACTCGAATCGTTGATTCTGAAAGGAAACAGATTTTCATTTGGGGAAGGTGGAAACACGAGTAGAGTTCTGGAGTGAAAAAATCCTTTTTTTCTTTTTTGCTTTTTTTTTTTTGATGTTCTTTAGGAACTCACTAGGGAAGTGGGTGAGGTGAGGATCGCAGATATGGTTCACAAATTTATGGTAGATAGTCCCAGGTATCCGAAAACGAACAGAATTATCTGCTAAGCGTCATAGGGTACTGTGAAGCCTGTCGAAAATGTACAAGAGAAACTCAATAACGATGTCTCGAAAACCGAGGAAAATCAGTTTTTGAGCTTTTTCCGATCGACAAACTACTTCTCAGAAACGCTTAGCAGATATTTTTTTTTCATTTTCGAGTACTCATACCTAGGACCATTTACCACAGGAGTTTGGACCAGATCTACGATGTTCACCTCACAAACTTTCCTTGTCAGACAGATACAAATATAGACTCTGGTCAAATGAAACTTTCTCATTTTCAAAAAGTAATTTTGAAAAACTCTGAAGACCAGCCTTCATATTTGTAAGAATTTAGGATAGACCGAAATTCAAAGCTCTCAATTCAAAAAGCATCGCAACATTGGAAAGATATAACTGAGGAAGAAACTTGCCTGTTCGAGAGTTGCTGATGGAGTCCTTCGAGGACCTGCGCCGTCTGTCGATGGAACTCCAGTTGGGCGTCGACTAGCGCACGGAGCTGCGAGATCTGTTCCACCTCAAAATATTTGATATTCGGAGAAGGGAAATTGAGGGTCACGTCGTTGCTCAGGACGTTGAACATGGCCATTTCGGCCAGCCGCTTCGACTCTTCCAATTTCTCCTCGGCCTGAATCATTTCGTCGTCTGAAATCTCTTCTCAGTTCTCTTTTCCCGGCCAAACGAAAAGAAAACCTCTACGCTGCTGTCGCTTTTTGCAATCGTAGTCCAGTCGTCGACCTTTCAACTTTGTCCGATGATGCTGAAACACACAACTTGTCCAAAGATTCAAATAAGCAATTAACGGGAAAGAACCCGTCGAGGTTCTCAATTGGTTTTAATTTCGTTAGGTCAGCTATGAAAAGGGAGACACGAGATGAACGATGGGAACTAACTAAAAGAATGGGAAAACGAAAGAAGCGATAGTTTGGTCACCATGGACCGTGGCTTTTCGATGTTTGACAAAAAGGGTAACTGTTTCTCGCAAAAACGGATTTGAAAAGGTTTTTTTTTCAGGAATTCAATCTAGAACTCAAGCCGGAAAACATACATTGACATCCTTGAGCTCGTTGTTCTGCATGTGGACCAGAGGATCGAGGAAGTTCTGCTTGACATTGTCCTCCATTTGGTATTTGATGTCGGCCATCTGACGGTAGGCCTCCGACGCATCTCCAAGCGCCTGAGTGGATCATGAATAGTCACTAGAATTAAAAACCGCCCTTCCACACGAAAATTTTCGCAGGAGCCTATGGAAGCCATTTGTTTCAATAAAAAAAAAATGTTGAGTAAGCAATGTCGAAATAAAAGCATAAAAAGAAATGAAAATGAGAAAAAAAAACCTTTCCGAGATCCGAGTTTTCGCCGAGCTGCTGGCCGAACTTCTGCATCGTCTCGGCAAGCATTCCTTCAGTCTGCGGATAAGGCGACGATTTCGTCGCGCCGCGGACCTTCGACAACGCCGAAACAGTGGCCATCTTGGCGCGGGTCGCTGAATTCTTCCAACATTAAATAATATTGCGGTTTCAAACTAGTTTCTCGATATATTTTTTACACGCGGCCGTTTAGTTTCAGTCAAGAAAGAGTTCAAAAAAAAAAAATGGCGAAACAATTTTAACTTTTTAACAAAGTTTAAGTGTTAAATTCGTGTCTGAAACTTTAATTTTAAAAAAAACCAAACAAATTTACTCGATTAAATTGGTCAGATTTAGCTTCATCTTTTTTAATATGATATCGTTACCATACCAGGATTGGGCTGCAAATATTCGTTAGTTCCCGCGACCAAGTTGGTTATGAGATCGTACGTAGTGTCAATGTTCTGAAAACAAAAGTATACTCAAAGTAATGATATTTATCATAGAAACGGAGTTTAATTGATATTTCTAACCTTCTCCATATCGTTGAAAACATCATCGAGCTTGGTCGGCTCAGCGGCGCCCATAGTCTCGGACAAATACTGAAAAAAAAAAACAAAAATGAAATTTTTCCCTACTTTATATCAACCTGGTTTGCCTTGTTGAACTGCTTACGCAACCCAGAAAACGACATTTTGCTGCTCCTTGGCGATTTTATCTAGGGCTTTCTGAAAAAAATTAAGATTTAAAAAATTTCTTGGGATGAGAAAAGCCGCGATAGAAACGTACAAAAGGGAAAGTTAGCCTGAAAAACAGTTTTCTTTGACCTTTTTGTGCGTGATAGTAATGCTTTTCAGCACAGCAATGTTGATTTTTCTAAAATGCTGCAAAACTATTTCTCTTTTATTCCCTCATCAATCTTTTGCCCATAAAAAAAGAAGGGTTTTCAAATAAAAAAACATTTTTAAAAAAATCTTTCACTGAAAAAAACTGAAGTGAAAGAGAGATAAAATGAATGAATTTTTAAGAGCATCCGAGAGTAAAAAGTAGTGAAGTTCCACGACAGGCGTGAAATTTCAAGAAACAAGAAACGCACATGAATCGATATTGCGACGGACGTTCGCCGTTGTTCGCAGATATGCCAACCAAAGCTTCTAAGAAGGGTAAAGACATGAACGAGGAGAGAAGAAATCCAATCCCGTTGCCGCGGGGTAAGCCATTAGAGAAACGCAAAACAAGCATACCAAAACAAACATACTTTATTGCAAAATATATGTGGCAACTTTTTTGAATACATTTCCCTACAGATGAAAAAAAAGCGACACATCGAACTGTGTGAAGTGCATTAAGGTGGTTTGAAATATTATGCGCCAAACTTGAGACTTCAGCGGTATGACAATGTTTGCACTCCTGCTCGCAAAAGTCTATATGGGTCACTATTCATTTTTTGTCTGAGATCAAAATTTACAGCGTCCGTTCAAAATAACACATAGAATAATTATGAAAAATAAAATAAAGTCATACAACCGATTGAACCGCACAATAATAATAAACAGTTCTTCTTTGAGAGATGTTTGTCTTCAAAAATAAGTTTGCTGTCGTTATCAGCTTTATCGTCATAAAATGAAAAAAGTGACGAAGACTGAACGGTTCGGTGACTCGGTAGGACAAGATCCAACCGAAATCCAGTTCTCACTTTCAATATGACAACCGAAAACAGGAAATTTCTTCTATGGACCTATTTCTAGAGGTTACAAGATAAATAACGCCTCAAAAAGTAAACAAACATTCAATTTATTACGAAAGAACCTATCTAAACTGCCGTAATACGACGGGCCGCCTTGAACAGGCGTGCAATTAATTGCAACCGCAACGACTCAGGCACTGACGGCGCGTGTTTGTTGCCAAAAGTGCGCATGCGCGCCGCCTGCTGCGCGCACGCGCGGGGTGTCTCTTTTGTTTTTTAGCTTTTTAACTTATTGAAAAGTTATAAATTTAATATTTTTCATGTCTGTTCTTCTCTTAACATTGCTCTGCACCAGTTTATAAAAATTAGATTGCACAAAAATGTGAAATATCAAAGTTTCACTTGGCAACTTTTTTTCATAAATTTGTTCGAAAGTGCTCGGAACAACTTTAAAACGTGAGCAGGGGCACTGGGTTATATCACAAAAGTATGAAAAATATATTTCAAAACCTTATTCCAGTGGAAAAGGCGAAAAAAGAATCAGTACCCCCGCGCGTGCGCGCACCAGTGCCTGAGGACCATTTAACACACGTTCTCCGAGATTTTCGAATAACCGTTGGTACAAAAATTTCATCTTTGTTCCTGAGAGCTCTCCTTGCTATCATAGATAGTGAACAACCTCTTGAATATTTAGAACCAGGTTTTATTAGGCTCCGCCCACTTTCAGGCTTACTGTAGAAAAAATACCGGATAAATCAAACTTTTTTCCTAGTGGAGCAAATTGGTTCAAACCAATTTCAAAACAAAATATGTGCCCATATGAGCATTTATAGTTATAGAACTGACCGGGAAAAAATTTTCTTCCAGAAGAAAAAAATTAAAGTTTTTCGGAAAATGACGATTTTCTCAGTCTTTGAGCCATAACTAGTACTAGAACCCCCGAATGCCTGGATTTTTATTTCTTTAATCGACGCATTAGGGTCTTGTGAGTAGAGAAAAAATGTCTAGAAACTCTGAATCCGGGTGATCCAGTTGACCTCCATCTCGGAGAACGCGGCCAACTTGAAAATGACTGAATTTTTAAAAATCAGTTACTTTCTTGGGAGCAGGATTTTCCCTCACTTTTTTTTGCCAATAAGACACAATTCACTCAACGCAATATCGGAAAAAAAAGTTATGACTCTCAAGCATGTTTCAAACTTTTCGCTCTAACTAGTACTAGAACCCCCGAATGCCTGGATTTTTATTTCTTTAATCGACGCATTAGGGTCTTGTGAGTAGAGAAAAAATGTCTAGAAACTCTGAATCCGGGTGATCCAGTTGACCTCCAAGCAACCGAAGCGGTCGACCTCGAATTTCAGCGAAATCAAAACTTTTTCAAAAACGTTTTTCTGCTTTTTAACCAACAGTTCTCCTTATTTGGAGATTTTTTTCAGTTAAGTTTCTATACTTTACAATAGAAAAAAATTCAGAAACTCGTTTTTTTAATCGAAAAAAAGTTACTCATAAGGAATGTCTATTTACTAAGGTTGTTAAGAATTCTTAAAAAAAATTTACAGAATACTCATCGATGTACCAGAAAAATATCCTGAAAGTTTTAACCTGAACGACTCACTTGTCTTCAGGAAATGAGAACTCAGGTGCGAAAAATGGCCTTTTTTGAGAACTGTGATTGTTTTATTAAGCGTTAAGAATTTTTTTTTCTCAAAAACTAGAAATTTTTTAGGTGAAGTTTCTTTTAGAATCTTCATCTGGTATATTAGGAAGTGTCTAGGCTGACTTTCAGGAGTTTCTCAACCGCAATGTGAAAATGTTTTTAGGGGGCCCCGATAGGGCGTAAATTAGGGGCCTCCGTAGGGGGAAAATTTTAGAGGCTCCGATAGGGACCCTGAAGCTTCTCTCGAACCCCTAAACGATTTGGGGCCCTTATAGGGAGTAAATTCTTTTAAAAAATTTTTTAAGAAGAGTTGTTTGAAAGAGTTAGGGTAGGGTCCGCAAGCCATTTCTTCAGAACGATTCAAAAAATATGTTTTTCACATTGTTCGATAGAGGAGACTGTCCATTTTCATAATCCGTTTAGTTTTTGAAAAAAGCTCCACTAAGAAAAAAGTTACGGCCAAAAAACGAGCGCGCGCGGCGTACAACTGGAGGCAAAATCTCACGGTTTACCCGCTGCCGCACGCTTTCTTTTTAAATATTTTTGCGCGTTTCTGGACCGTTTTTAAATTGGTTTTCTGTTCTGAGAGGTTGTCCGAACTGAGCCTCATGTTTTGGTATGAATCTTTTTATACAATCCTCATAAGAATTTTTTTGATAAAATATCAAAAAAACTACCTAGAAAAAAAGGTCAAAGGGATTTTTTTCAGCTTATTTTTTTCTTTTTTTCTACTCAGAAAAAAATTATTATCATTCGATTTGGAAAAAAAGAAAAAAATGAAAAAAATAATGTTATTTCGAAATAAAACAGGAAAAAAAGTACAATTTGACTCCGAAAAACGGCTCCTGCGACATTTAAAAGGGCGCATCGGTGTGTTTGACGCAAACACTGCTACGGACGCTTGCACGAAATCTTCCGAAATTTCAAAAAAAAATTGCCATTTTTTCGAGGTTTTCAAAGCCGTTATTTTTTTCGCGTCGATCGATTTTTTTCATAATTTTTTCATTGATAGAGTTTTGAACGCTTAATAACATAATCAAAAGTATAGACGCGATCCTATTCTCTCATGCGTCAACGAGGCAGGCGAAAAAAGGAGGTTTTGGTAAAACTCAAATATAATTTGATTCGCTGTCCCAATAAATATTTTTCATTTTTGAATTTTTTTATTTATGGACACACTGTTAGTTTTTAAATCAAATAAAAAAAGTATACCATGTCGCTGAAATTTTTTTCGCATTTCAGCTTCAAAGTTTGGTGTCACTTTACAAGCTTTAATATTTTTTTCGCGTCGGTAGATTTTTTTCATTTTCACTCAAAAAAATAAAGAAAGTGTTAATATATAACATACTCAAAATTTAGAAGCGTTCCTCACTTGGTTTTTCAGAAACGCGACGATTTTTGTGAAACTTGTCAGTTTTTTTCGTGTTAAATCTTACTTTTTTTCGCTTATTTTTTTGAAAAAAATACATAGTTTTAAAAATATTCAGCCTTGTAGAGCGTTGTCGATTACCTAGATTAACAGAAACAGTTCATTTTTAAAGTGGGACTTTAGCTAGTATAAACGCCTCAAAACCGTTTTTGCAACAAAAAAATCGTCATTTTGGTGGCGTGAAGGGGCGGGGCTTTGCGCCCCCTAAGTTAGGGTCGAACATTAAGTAGCGACTTCTAGTGAAAATTTGATCCTAACCCCTATTAGGCCCCTTTTAATTAACCCCTGTAGAAGCCCTAAACCTGATTTTCAAGGCCCGAATGAAAATTGAGTTAGGGGCTCTCACGACGGCCCCTACAATGGGCTACATTTGTCCCCACAAAATATTAGTCACTATTTTTTTATGAATTGTGGCTTAACGTGAGTTGGAACTTTTTTTTAGGAGAAAAACCAATGAATTCCAGATTATTCGGCAAACATAGGTACTGCTAGTGCTGCGTCACAAAAAAAAATTTCAGCAATAAAAATACAACAATAAAAATAAGCTTTTTGATCAGATTGACGCTAGCAGTTAGTGGGAACTTAACTGAAAAATCTCCAAATAATGAGAACTGTTGGTTAAAAAGCAGAAAAACGTTTTTGAAAAAGTTTTAATTTCGCTGGAATTTGAGGTCGACCGCTTCGGTTGCTTGGAGGTCAACTGGATCACCCGGAAACAGAGCTTGGGAATATTTTTAATGAGCTGTAACGGATCAGTACGACAAAAAAACACTAGGCTTTCCGGGCATCCTATTCCAGTAGAGCTCAATACTTGGAGAGGACAGGAAGAAAAAAAAATGAATCCGAAAAAGTGAAAAACTGGAAAAAAAAATTTTCTCATGCTTGAGAGTCATAACTTTTTTTTCCGATATTGCGTTGAGTGAATTGTGTCTTATTGGCAAAAAAAAGTGAGGGAAAATCCTGCTCCCAAGAAAGTAACTGATTTTTAAAAATTCAGTCATTTTCAAGTTGGCCGCGTTCTCCGAGATGGAGGTCAACTGGATCACCCGGATTCAGAGTTTCTAGACATTTTTTCTCTACTCACAAGACCCTAATGCGTCGATTAAAGAAATAAAAATCCAGGCATTCGGGGGTTCTAGTACTAGTTATGGCTCAAAGACTGAGAAAATCGTCATTTTTCCGAAAAAAACTTTAATTTTTTTCTTCTGGAAGAAAAATTTTTTTCCCAGTCAGTTCTATAACTATAAATGCTCATATGGGCACATATTTTGTTTTGAAATTGGTTTGAACCAATTTGCTCCACTAGGAAAAAAGTTTGATTTATCCGGTATTTTTTCTACAGTAAGCCTGAAAGTGGGCGGAGCCTAATAAAACCTGGTTCTAAATATTCAAGAGGTTGTTCACTATCTATGATAGCAAGGAGAGCTCTCAGGAACAAAGATGAAATTTTTGTACCAAAATTTTTGACATTTGTTCGATTTTCTGGAAGAATGCGTGTTAAACTGCGCGATCAGTTTGCTGTTTTGTACGCAATTCACGCGCTGCATTAAACTCCACGCGTAAAAATTTAATATATATTTTTATGCTCAAAAAAACAAACATGGCCTACTATTTAATTGTTGGAGTAAAAAAAAAACTAGGATGTAGATACCTTCAGAATCAACTTGAGACAAAAATTACAAAAATGATCAATCACAAAAATGGCTGCCTATCTGCTCTACTATTGCCTGCTCCTAATGCCTATCTCCTCAAAGCCTAATATGAACGTCTATTTACAAGAATATTTTTGTTCTCGAAGTATTCACAAGAAGAAAGAAATGCAGCTCGTGAGACAGAAATTTGCGCTCATCATGCAAGTCTAGCGAAAAGAAGTTTGAAGGTCAATGGGAACAGTTAGAGCCTCGATCAAGTGTTCTTTAAAGACGCTAAAAATAATTATTGCTGGATTAAAAATTATTTTGATTTTTTCCTGTGATTAACCGATTAAATTATCGTAAGCTCCAAAAAAGGGATACATATATAGTAACATAAAACAAGTTCCGAGGAATTTTTAAAATAATTAATTTATACACAAAGCACAAAGTATGAACGTTTTAAATAATATTTTAATAAGCAGATAGAAATTTGCAAAAGAAAGAAGAAGCGGACACAGAAACAGGCGGTTGCCTAGGACGGCAGCCGGCGGCGATTTCCGTCCGAAAACAAACGAGTTCACCTAATCAAATAAAGAGAACATGGGAAATGTCACGCAAGGCCTTGCCTTCTTTCGTAAAACTAAAAATGTTCTAGAAAATAAGGAAGAAAACGCGTCTTTCAAGAATTAAGAATAAATATTTACGAGCGAACAATCAATAAGATCTAAGAAAATGGTAATTGAAAAAATAATGTAAAAGCTACTAAGCTACGCGGGACCCATAAAGAGTTTTTTGTTGGAGGAAAGCCATAAAAGAAGAAATAAGGAGTCGATATGTCGACATGGCCGGAATTCGCGGAAGTGCCATTATTTTCCCTTTTCAAGTCTTCATTCGAAATAAAAATGACTAGCGCCTAGTCTGGTGAAGTGTCTTGAAAAAATGATTTTTTATCCACAAAAAGCTGAATATTCTAGATTTTTACAATGTAAAATAATGATTTCATGAAAGTCATGACATAAACAACAAAAAAATATCAGTGAAATGATCTAGAGGCCCATTTTCAAGTCAGAACGTGCACTGTTATGGACTCAACAGTTTTTCCATTGTAAGATAAAATTTGAATCATGAAATAAAGATCGAATAGCTTCTCAGAGTCTTGTTTCAAAGTCTACATGTATTCGTGTACTAGCTGATATAATTAAATGATTTCATTTCATTTTCCAAGTGTGTAGGTCTGCGTGTCGAAAGACTTTTTTCGTAACCTTACTCTCTTCGAAGGACAACGAATATAAAAACATGGTGAGTCACATCAATGACGAGGCAAAAAAACGTAGATGAATTGAGTTGTCTATACTCAAATTCAGACGGCAAAGAACTCGATATGCAGATTCCATCTTCACTTATAACTTCATCTTCGAAGGCTTGAGAAGTTGTGATACCAAAAAATAAAACGAGGAGAACTTCCAAAAAATGAGTTCAACGTGGAGGAAGGGTAAGGAGAAAGGAAAATGGTGCCCGAGAGGCTTAAAACGGCAAAGGGCCGGAGAATCGATGGGCAGAAGCTATAATTGACGGGCCGTCGGGTCCTGCAGATTTCCGCGCCCAAAGAGTACCTCCGAGGAGCTCTGCGCAGTCGAACTACGTTTATCGGCTTTTCTCTGGCGGCAGTCCAGAAAAAAATAGAAGAGAGGTGAGGGGGTGGCAGCAGGACACAACAATTCTCGCGCCACTCGTAGTCGTGGGCGCTCGCGGAATGAATAAGCGTTCACGTATTGCATGGAAAGAGCAAAAAAGTCAATTTTTGAAATCAAAAGTACTAACTTCAAGCTTTTTTAGTGATGACGCGGCAGACGTTTCAAAAAAAAAATCCTAAACAGCCCATGTCAAAAACACATGAACTAATTTTGCTGTCAGGGAACTCAGAAAAAATTCTTGCGATATTTTTTGACCGTGGAAGCCTAAAATAATACTGAAAAAAGGTATTGTTTAAAGACAGTATTAGAAATTGTCTTAACTTTTATTATTTGGCAAGCAAGGATTTACGAGAGGCTACAACTTAGAAAACTTCTTCTTCTTACGCCTTTGAACTGCTTGAGCGGCGTCGGTGCCCCAAGGTGGTTAGCCGAGGTCCTATCCTGATATATCAGTTATAATCAGAGGGCTGGCTAGAGTGACATATCCGTCCTTGGGTGAAGACTGGGGAATTTAGAGCCGTGGTAAAAAGGCACACAACATGTTGCGCTACAGCGCGACACAACTAAGAAACTTAGAAAAAATTAGAAGAAAAAAGTCTAAAACGCGAAGCGACTCATTGCTTTGGTTCAAGAAGAAATATGGACGACAAAAACATCAGTTCATCAAAATAAAATAAAAAATTATATAATATGAAGTATTTATGAAAGCGATCAAATGAATGAAATTTTTGACAACGAAGAAACAAGAAAAACCGTGAGCTGTTATCTTTTGCATATCATAAAACACAGGAGAATTGAGCAATCGAAAAATAGATTTAATATAGTCAGAATAGTATGAATGTTTCTAAATTATCACAGCTGAACAGAAATGATGAAAACAGGAAGAAATTAAGTATTATAAAACCATGATCACAGACTAGGAATGTGCAAAATAGATAGATAGCAATAAAATGTGTAACATTAATGAGACCAGAACAAAGAGCTTGAACTAAATGCGGCTACTGCGCATTTGTTCGACGACCTCCGTTAGAAGGTCGCGATGTCGAGCGCGTATCTCTCGTTGACGGAGGGCCAGAACTGTCTGGAGGTGTTCGAGCAACGGAGCAAAGTTCACCTTTTCTTCTTTCTTGTCCTTCTTCGGATCTCTTAACAAGAAAGTCTTTGAAGAAACGAGCTGACGTTGAACCCCAGAGACACAAGAGAAGGTATGGCTTGAAGGCGTCGGTGAAGGGTCAGAAAGGCCTCGGACTGCGGCAGAAGCATCAGAAGCGCCGACAGCACCGTGCACAGCGGCGGACGGTGTACAGAAGACAGTAGGTCCATCCGCACATCTTCAATCTCACTGTTCAACTTCCAAAATAACATCGCGGTTTTTTAATTGAATCGAAAAGCACATGAAGAACTTACACGCGAGGACGGGACTTTCGATCAAATTCACCAGTTTGTCGATCTCAACCAACACATCAACGGTGATGTCCACCTGCAGAAAAATTCATAATACAGATTCGAGAGAATGAATTCGAATAAAACCTGTGAAAGGAACAGTGCGATTTCGGCTGCCTGGGCATAGTGTTGTGAGAGCAGGCAGAGTCCCAACAAAGCGATGGGTCGATGGCACCAGACGCGAAACAAACATTCAAACAGAGAACGAGCTTCCTCAAAACAATCATTTGATCAGGAAAACTTCTCGGGCAAAGTCGGAATGGTCGCTAAAAGGGAGAGGCTCAAAAAAAAGCTGCAGAAAAGCAGCAAGAAGAGTCCCTTCATCGAGCCTTCCAATTTTTCTGGGATTTCAAAGTCTCAAGAAATGGTAGAGAAGGGAAAGGCAGCAAATATGGTGCTTAAGAGCCGATGAAATGGCAGAAAAAAAAGCCTTTGTCACCCTATAAGAAACATTTCTATGGAGCTTTTTCGACCCTTTCCGACTTTGCCTATGTTTTCACTTGTTCGAAAAATGAATGAAGAAAACTTCTTATAGTCAAAAAACTTGGCAATTTCAGAATTACTCGAAATTTTGTCAAACTCTCTCTTTGATAGGTTGGAAAATTAACATATCCTTTTTTTTGGCTTCGCTTCCGTTTTTGAAGACCAAGAAGTTTTGAAGAAAATCTATCTAGGGAATTAGCAAGTATTTAAATAAATTATCAGGAAATTTCAGTTAGCAAAGTAAAAGTAGCATCCTTGTAAACATTTAAAATTGTTTAAAACCAACTGGTTTCTCCAGACTTCGCAGTTCATCTCGTAAGACGAAAAGTTCGGTGGCGGTCAGAAGAACTCCGTGTAAAGTAGAAACCATTTGCTGAAAGCAGCCTTTTCTCCTTTTTTCAAACTTTTTTTGAGCGCACCTGAATGAAAGAAAACTTTTTCTCGGGCGTCAGAAGAACACACAATGCGCGATAAACCAAGGATGGCTCCAGAAGAAGACAAAGTTGTCTTCAACTTTCAATGGTATCGGAATGAAAACCTCAAGACGAGACAAACCGAATAATCAATACTCCACGGTCAGTAAGTAGGGCGGGGTCTGCGTAGAACATGTCCAAGAGACTCAAGGAAAATTTAACGAGGAAAGGCGAAATCCCGGAGAGCTGAGAAGGTTGTTAGAAGGAGTCTATCAGAAAGAGACAACCTCTTTGAGCGTTTTTTCGTCGAGACCGAGAGAAGTCAAGTCGACTTGGTCGTGAGCAAAGTCCGACTGGCAGATGTTCGAAATCAACAGCAGATCCAGCAGCAAAACCTGAATGAAAACGGGCGGTCACTTCAGATATCTAGAGCAAACTTACATCGTCTGAAGTGTCAGACAGCGTTTTCAAAAGTAGGGGGAAGATTCTATGCATGTGGACGAATATCTGAAATGAAGTCCGACAATAAGACAATCATTTTATATTTTCGAGTAAGTTTTTTTTTAAATCAAGATAGCAGAAAGAAGTACATTCCAAAAAAATAGAGAAAGTCGATCTTGGCAAGTGAAACTTCTATTCAGTTTTCAACTTTAAAAAAAATAAGTGTATATATCCAAATTAACAACGCTGAATTTTCAATCACACAAAATAACTGACGGTATCGCACCGGGCCGCAGGCGATATCGCTCTTTCCTATGAGTTCGAAAGTTATAAGAATTTTTTACAATAAACTTCAATTCTGATGCGTTTATTTCAAACTGACGATACCTGAGCTGCATGAGTGTTGTGGAGACATCGGATCCAGTTGAGAACGGCGACCCGAGTTCCAACTTTCTCGTGGCGAATATGCTGCAGCAGAACCTCTTCAAAATACTTGTCATTATTGCCATTACAGGTCAGAGAAACCAATTGTGACGTCAAGAGTTTTCTGTTCGAGTTTGTTACTCGCGACGAGTCGTACTAAAGCCGAGTTCACGTCTTCTGCTGCAAAGGAAACACATCCAGTGAGCCGGAAAGGGGAACAAAACCTTTGAGTTCCACTTGGTCGATGGCCGGCAGAAGGCCTACGAGGAAATTAGACAGCAGAGGCAACAGTTCTTGCTTGTACAACCTGTGGAAATCAGTGACTTCTACGGCGGAGATCAGAAGCCAAACTTGAGAAACTCTTCTTGCCAAATCAAAGACAACTTTCTCGCCAAAAGCGTTTCGTCTTCGTGGGTGTGAACCACGAGCACGTTCACGATTTGAACTCGATCATCCTAAAAAATTTAAAACCTGAAACCTTCTAAAACTAAAAACTTCAAAACTATAATGAAAGAAAAGAAAAAACCTCTGGCACAGTGTCGGGAGCTTTTTGGACTGCAGCTAAGAGCTGACCCAGCACGTGTTCTGTGGCGTCTCGTACCGCAGGAGCGCTGTCGGACAGCATTTTGAGGAGTCCATCGCACACCTTTGATAACACGATGAACAACTAAACTCCTCGAAATTCACCTCCGAAATATACGGTAGTAGTGAGAAGCATGGCCGTGATTGGATTGTGTTCAGCTAAAGCGCAAAATTACATAGTCGGATGACAAGGAACTCAAAACCCAGGTGATAATGAATCTACGGTTGGAGGTGGTTTGTGTATAAATCCGGTCTCTCACGAGCGTCATCAGTTCGGCGACATCGAAATCCTCTTTAGCAAGGACTATGTCCTGAAGACCGATGAACTGAGAGTTAAAGATATTGCCGTACCATCAGAAGCCTGTCTAGCAACTCTGCGCCACCTCGGACGTTTTGATCTGTATCCGCGGTCACCTCAACAAATCATCTCTAGCAACACACAAAGAAAAATCACCAACCCGCCACAATACGTCGAAAATCTCGCCGAAATTATCAAGGGCGTGAAATCTACAGATTTTGCAGATGTTATACAGAGACTGCAACGACAGATTTTGTTCCAAAATTTTGAATTCATTATAACCTCGCAAGCATAGTATCGTATCTGGATATCGGGATCATTGAAACACGTCAAGACGGGTTCTATGAGCTTTTTCGAGTATGATCCAGCATTCTAAAATTTTGTCAGAACGATCTGTTTTTTTCTCAATCACCTTTTGACCGAGTGCAATGGCCGATGCAGCCATTCCAATGAGCCCACCTTTCTTCTGATTAGGGTTCGCACTCATAATTAGATCCGTGAGAACACTTAGCAGCCGATCCAATTGGGAGATTTGATTGCTTTGAAATAAATCTCGAACCTGTCTTAAAATGAAAGATAGAAGGGCAGAGTAAATTTTAGAACTTTTCAACATCAAGCGCTGCTGCTTTCCTTCGCTCATAAACTTTGTCCGTTAAAGATCGAATTACGCCAGAAGTCAGAGGTGCATACTGAATATCAGACATCCTGAAACATTTTTTAAAAATATTTTGAAGCACAATTTATCGTAGCTAGTCGATACAAAACTATTTTATCAAGAAAGGTTGAAGACTTTTTTGAAGATAGAATAGCTCTCTTGAGTATGATCCAATTCTACAATCGAATAAGAGAATAAATTTGAGATTTCCAACAAAGAGCTTCACTACTTTTTCAAAATATATTTTTCACTAAAAAAAGTAAATTTAATTTTTTTGCAAAAGGTTTCTTTTTCGCTGGAAAATTACTTTCAACGTAAATATATATTTGTAAATTTGAAAAAACATCTTCGAAAGAGAAAAAAATAATGCGTGCAAATGACTTTATTCTTGCGCGCAACTTGCCATGGACAAGATCAAAACCACGCCCATCAATTTCTCGCCAACTTTTTTTCTTTACTGGGCGCCAAGTTTCTTTTTTTTTTTTGTGTTTGTACACCTCGACTGTGCTGCGAAAACAATAAAATTAGAAAATATTATTCGAAAAATCAGAATCCTGAAAAATCAAACATGTAGGGTTTTCTCATTTTTTTTTTTGATCAACTGCGTTGCGCGAGAAGGGCTCAAAATCCTTTTGGAACAACCAAGCAGTTATAGTTCTTTTTGAATTATCATTAGAAGTTGTCACTCGAGTCGAGCTTTTTTTCATTTAGGAAAGCTCAAAGAGGACTCCTCTTGGCTTGAGCAAAATCTTATACAGTAATTTTATTTTTTTTCTCGCTGCTGGAAGTTAAAATGAGAGGAATTTTTAATTTTCACTTTCACCAATTCAAAAGTTTCAGTAATTTCACAAAAATTCCTTCCGATTCGAGTTGTTCTGCTTCACAAAACGCTTTTGACGAGAAAGTTCTAAAACTTATCACTGCTTTAAAGAAGAGGAGCGATGTTCTTCACATTCGCAATAACATTAAGGTGATTTTTACAGGATACGAAAAGTTCTTATCATCTGTTTAGGGTCACGCTAAACGCCGCTTAATTTTTGGAGTGCATGAAACTTTGAAGCATTTCAACGCGATGAACGTACGAGCCGTTGTATTTGCATCAAATATTGACGGTAGAGACCAAAAAAGTATGTCTTTTCGACATACAGGCCATTTTATCAAGTTTTTAGTGATGGTAAATTTTCAAACTCTAAGAAGGAAATGTATTGAAGAACACATTCCTTTCATTCGTGCCGCAACTAAACGCACTCTGAGCAGATGTGTGCAAAAGTTCCCCTACATTTCCCTCATCGGTATCTTGGATTATCAAGGGTTAGAGGTTTTCGAAAAATCTCTTCTTAGTATATGAATTTTTGAGGATTTCTTCGACGAAGTCGTCAAAGAATGGAAAGCACATTCCTCGCATATTGAGTATCATCTTGATCAAAAATCACTCATTGCATGACAAATATATCGTTTTTTTCATTGTTTTTTTATTGAGAATCTTCCCGAAACATAAACGGGTGAGTTTTTTTGTGTTTATTTAATAAATTACTCTTTGATTTTTTTCCTCTTTATGTTAACTTTACGGTCGGTTACGCCGCTTTCTGTTTTCAGTTCGCTCTTTTTTTCTTTTTAATTAAAAAGAAAAATTTTGACATTTATAACCGCACGTTTACATTTTTTTAAAAATATCTATGTGCAACTTCCAATAAGCAAGCGACAGCATAATTAATTATGTTTATAATAATTAATTAAGCATGTATGTTTTTGATAATAACAACTTGTCCAATTTGCTTATCCTGCATGTCATCTAGCTCCACTTTTCTTCTTGTTTAAGAAGCCGTGCTCTCTCAGGAGTTCGGTGGATGCTTGCCAGAAGTCCGCGGCTGTTCAATAGACTGATCGTGCCAGTTCTGGCCACAAGTCCCTTGCTCATTGCTTCTTCTTTTTGTTCTCTTCGTTCCGCGTTTCTTCCGCTTGAGATGGGCTCCGCGATCTCATCACTCTCCTCTAGGCCATACTCCAGCCACGTCGAGATGAACAACGGCGATCCAGAAGTTGTTCCTGCCAAGGGCAGCCATAAATCGACGGTTCATCTTTTTCTCTCTTTCTTATTATAACGACGGTCTTAGGTAATCTTTCTTCACGGACTTGGAGACCAAGGGCACGGCTGGGCTGAAATGTTCCGCAATGAGTGCCGTATTTCTTCGGTAAAGTATATTTGTCCACATAGGTAATTGAAAATCTCTTTTCTTAAAAATCATTTTTGCAGTTCTTCCCGCTCGGTCACCCTCAACATGGGGATGAGCATGCCTGCTTGGTACGACATTGTTGGCCTCGACGCGAATTCCGAGGAAGACTCCGAGGGCATTCAGAGAGCCACGCGTTATGTTCATCAACTGATCGACTCCGAAGTAATTTTTTTATATGAAATTTTGTTTGAATTTTATTTTTCTCAACAAAAAGGGAAGGTTATCGAAAAATTTCAACAGAACATTATCAAATCCACGTCTTCATGTTTCTTTCATTTAAGGTGGCGGCTGGAATACCTCCTGAGAAGATTTGCGTTGGTGGTTTCTCTATGGGCGGAGCTTTGGCAATTTTCGCTGGACTGACCTATCCTCGGAAATTGGGCGCCATCGTCGGACTGAGTTCTTTTTTCTTACAAAGAAAAGTCATGCCTGGGGTTGGTGGTTCGCTTATAAGAATGAAGATAATATCAGCGACAAATTGGAGTTTTTTCCAGAACCACGCAGCCAATCTAAAAACACCTATCTTCCTTGGCCACGGAACGATGGACGTTTTGGTCCCTTTCGCCATTGGCCAGATGTCTGAACAGTTCATCAAAAATTTCAACCCGAATGTCGAGCTTCACTCTTACCAGATGGCTCACAGCAGTTGCAATGAAGTGAGTTCATGTCTTCGGTTAAAATAATCTATCATACTAATCTTTTTTAGGAGATCCGCGACCTCAAAGAATTTCTGAAAAAACATCTGGTCTAATAATTGCTGCACCCGTCTACCAAAACTTGAACTGTTTTAGTTTTTAAAATATTTGAATTTGAAGATGTAATTAGCTTTAGATGCATGAAAGACGTTGATTGAGCAGGGAAAAAATGGGAAAATAAAGAGGCGTTAGTTGTGAATTCGAACTCAACGCACGTTGCCCAACCTGAATAAAGTCTGTTATATATTTTAAGTGTTAAGCAGCTGCTCGCACAGTACTTTTCACGTCGATTTTTTATTGCGCGGGACGATTTTTGATCCTTTTTTCTTGACGATTGAAAAATAAGTCAGAAATGCAGTCATATTGAAGATTCATCGTCACCTGGAGATGAAAACTTGACGCGAAAGATAATGTAGCATTATCTGCTTGACATTCGAAATCTTAACAGACTATAGTCACGCTCGGACATCCGACAAAGGAGCTCGTAGAGCGTAGCGTCGCGATGCTGCAGCATGTAGGCGCGTCTGCAAACCCATCCCTACAATTAGTGTCTTTTGTTTCAATTGCAATGTTGAATTGATCTCAGCTTCGAAAATCATTTTCGACGTCAGAAAGTCGAATTCAAGCGTTTGTTCGAGACAAAACTCGCGTGAAAAATAAATTAATTTCCTTATATAGTCGAACCATCCCGACTTGAAAGGAGGCGGAGAAATGGGCCGGACGCGCAGCGTTTGCGTACGCGGCTCTTTTTTCCAGAGTTCAATTCAAGCGTCGACTGTTTGAAAAAGCTCATTCTACTATTTTTTTAATGCACACACGAAAAAAAAATCAATAAAGAATTTTAAAAAAAATGAAAAGAGCGATAAACGAGCTATTTTAATAGTCGCTGGGGGTTGAATTGAACTCGTGCCAAAAAAACCGCGAGCGCGTCACGCCTCTCTCGCCTTTCAAGTCGAATAGTATGTATTTTGCCGTTCTAGCGCACCTTTTCGCCCATCATCAATTTTCTACATTTTCAGTCATTTTAAGGCTTATTTTTAACATACACAAGTCTTAACTCTTCGAAAATGTGTCATTTTCAACAATTTTCAAAAATGGTAAAATGGTCGAAAAGTGCGGTACTCTAGAATGTGCTCGAAATCCAGTGGTCGAAATGGTCGAAATATTGCGCTAACAATTTTTTTAATTAAAAAAATGCTAAATAAATGAACTTTTTCAGAAAATCTTAAACCTCTGACAAATTATGATCTTGAAGAACTTGTAAAATTATTAAAGATAAGAAACTTCAGAGGAATCTTTTATGAGAGATACTTTGCCGAGTGAAGGAATTAAAGAAAAAGAAGTAGGCATAGTAAATTTAGATTCTCTAGATGGTCGAGGTACTCATTGGGTATGTTACTCCAAGAATAATAAGAAGATTTATTACTTTGATTCCTTCGGACTTGATCCTCCTTTACAACTTCAAGAATATCTCAAGAGTAGAAATGAAAAAGATAAAATAGAGCTTTCAACATTCAAAGTTCAAGATTTTGGAACACATCATTGTGGTTATTATTGTTTACTACTTTTAAAACTATTAGAAAAATATGATTTTCAAAGTAGTGTTTTATCTCAATTTTTATAACCATATGCCAGAGTCTCAAAAGAATCTGGAATAATAACTCTTTTGAATTGCAGCATTTTCGCTTGAGTCATTTCATTATCAAATACAACTTTTCCCTGTTCTTGGGTGTATAATTGTTGTTTGATATTTCGAATACAACATTGTTTCTTTCTAACAATACTCTTATTGAAAAGACTTTCTCGAAAATCTTCAACTTTTAACTACTTGACAACATTTTTCTTTATTCCTTTACTCTTTTTAACCTCATCCCCAGGTTTTGGAACTTTTGGAAGTTTAGGATTCTCTATTTCATCTTGAATTCTTTTATTGTAATAATCTACAAACTCTTGACGTCTTTCCTCAACAATTTTATATGCATATTGTTTGGGTTTCAAGGCTAAAAGCTCTTGCATTATGAATCCATTTAATTCATCTTTGAATTTGCCAACAACTTTTTTATTTTCTTCATTATACAATGGATGAACTTTAGGATACTCACTGAAATCGAAATATTTTTTTAATGAAGAATCTTCTAATAGGTCTTTATAAAAGTCAGATGTAAAAATTTCATAAATAAGGGAATCCTGATAGCACAGTTTAAGGTTATTACCATATTTTTTCTTCATAACATAGTAATGAAAATCGTACATCAGCCACTTACTCAACTCCAGGATAGCAAAGCCACAAAAGCATTGGGCTAGAGACTCTAGCCTAGAGTGGAAAGCAGAGACGCAGAGGAAGTGGAAAAACTGCCAACATCGCATTCTTCCATTAACACAGCGTTCTAAAGCGGGGTTCCCGCCCCTTTTCTGAAAAGCATGCGGACGTTGCATGAGTGGGCGTGGCTAACAATCGTCTTTTTCGCGTCGTAATTAAGAGTCCGGATTTTTTGATTATTTGAAGGCTAGCATTTATTTTCCTGACATTTATAGTTTCCAAGTGTTGCTAGTCATTTCCTATAACTCTCTTAAAATTTCGCAGTTTATTTTCTTGTGGTTTGATTGGTTCAAAGGACTACATAATTGTTCTGTTCACGAAAGTCGAAATTTTTAACTCAGGTTTGATTTTTGTATTCTTTTTTTCCTGTTTAAGTAATTGAAAACTGATAATGTGATCGATTCCTGGAGTTGAAATTTCGATTTTCGGTTTTGCCTCTTAGGTACAGACCAATTACACCTTTTTTTGAATTTTTCGTCAAGTCGAAATTTTTCTCTTTTGCGCGGACACTGACAGCTTTTTTTTTCTTGGTTATTAGTTGGAAACTGATATTTTGATCGATTCTTGGAGTTGGAATTTCGATTTTCGGTTTTGTCACTTGGATACAGTATTTTCTTTTATAAACAACGTTTCGACACATTAACGAGCTATGGACACTTTAAAAACTTTCTAATACGTTTAAAAACATTAATTAAAAATTTACGTGCATAGAAACAAAAAAATACTTCAAAAAACAAGCGAAAAAAGTTAATAGGATGTAAATTAAAGAAAAAAAAGCACCTTGATTTTGATTGACAACGCTCCAAGTTACGCGCTCCATTGAGAGTAGTGTGCGCCTCTTTTTGCGTCAACCCCGTTTTAGAACGCTGTGTTAACCTTTGTGAATAGAAAAAGTTTTCTTTTGCTTCTGTGTTCGCGTTGATTTCGTGATTTCTCATCTATGATAATCATTGTTTTTTTCAGTTCTACAACAATGAAAATAGGTTTGATTCTCTCTCTTCACGATCAATTCGGAGTATCCCATTGTCAGAAGGCAGAACTATTCCCGGACGAGGTTTTTTTTAACAATTCTATTCTAACTAATTTGAATGTTTTGTTTTAGACGACAATTGAAGAGCTCAGAAAGGCGATTAACTCCTTTTGGAGTATCCATGAAAGTTATCAAGAACTCTATCACAAAGAGAAACAGATTTTGTCGCTTAAATCTACGCTTCGACAACTTGATTTCAAAGATGACGATGTGATTGTGGTCGTAAGTGTTTTTATTATTATTTTTGTTTATTTTGAACCACTAAGCCAAAAATGTATTAAAATAAACTTTAATGTGAATAATTTCAGAAACACTCTGCACTCAAACATTGGGTTAATTTTCTATCCTATTGTGATGTTGTCAACGATACAAAGGCAGACAGAAATGATCGAAAAGCATCTGCTTATTTGGCTATTGATTTGTCGGCACAATTGGAACGTTCAAATTTTTTGTTGGCTTATGGTGATTTTGGCACAACATGGGTGCAAAGGCGTGGCCAAGCGATGAGGTTTGTTAACATCTATTTAAATTTTAGAAACTTTCTTAAAATAAAGCCAAGTATCAAAAGGTATGCAAAATACCTCATTTTTTTATACTTTATTTTTCTATTTTTTTATTACCAGGCTGAAAACAAACTTAAATTTAGCTATTGTATTATTAGTAAAAAAATTTATTATAAATTATTACAAGTTTGTCAAATTTTTAATTTAAATTTCAATCTATTTAATTTACACATTTTTTTATTTAAAAAAAGTAGATTGTATTATAGAGATAGTTTTAAGACGTTTTAATTCCAGATTAATCGATCGACTTCTGCCCGCCTTTAAAGAGAGTGCGAAAGCATTTTTTGCCAGTCTAGATCCTGAATCGACTGTCGAATTTGAAGCTAAGACTGTTGGAATCATGTCGGGAACAATAGCAAAAGTTACGAATGGAGATACACTGACACGCTACTATTTGAAAACATATCATCGATCTGGGACAGCTAAAATCATAAGCACGTCAGATCGATTCCCACCAGACCTGATCGAAACATTTGTTTATCGGTTTTTGAACTACCTTGATACTGGACCAGATGTCTATTTCCCGTATTATTCAAAGTCAATCTACATTTATTTTATCATGACTAAACAAGTAGATGGTTTTCAAGAATTGGAACAAGTCAAAGACGCAGAATTGCAGATCAAAATTGTTGTGGAGGTAATTTTTTTATTCAAAATTCAAAAAAATATATCCTAACAAAACTCATTTTAGGCCTACATACTCCGGCTGATTCTTGGGATAACTGATCTGAACAGTGGAAACTTTGGTGTTGACAAGAGAAATATATTATCAATCATTGATTTTTGTCCACCACAAGGGGATAATTTTCTTCAACGTGACATCACAAATGATTTTAAGAACGGAAACAAATTAGATCAATTTTATGTTAATGAAATCCTGCGGAAAATCAGACCAGAAAAAAGAACTGAAATAGCAAAAGTTGCGTTGGATCGTTGGATTGGAATAAGAACAGTGACGTCCAACCTCATTGATAATGAGAAAGCCCTTTTGAGAAGACATGGTATCAAATTCGATAATGGTACTGGCGATGTTGAAAAATATATTAAAGACATCAAAGCAAACTTTGAGACATTACGCTCAGGTTTGCAATAAACATGTTTGTATAATTAGATATTTTTTTCAATTTCTGATTCTGAGTTTCAATTCTGTTCAATTCGATTCTGAGTTTCTGATAATGTTAATGTTGAGATATAATATTGATAAATATTAATTTAATATTTAAAGAATATTTAAAATACAGACTGAGAATGTTATATATACATTATTTTTTTCATTCTAACATTTTTATATAATTAAAATACACTTTTTCTCGAAAGTTGACTGTATTTCGACTTGTGCATATAAGACCACTCGATGCACAGAAGCTTTAATAGAACCTATTCACTTTTGAAAGGGTTTCTGATATTTAGTTTAGAGTCGTATTTCTTGTAAATATTTGAAGTTCGCCATGTCTTATTTCAGAAACATTCCTACAGTTGAGTTGATAATGTAATCTGTTTTATTTAATGATTTTTTCCCGCATTCTTTGTTTGATCTATAATACTTGTGAAACTAAGTCTAATAAAAGTTTTAAAATGTACTTCTCGTTTCCTTTTTTTTTTTTTTGAAAAAGACCTTCAAAAAATAATGAATATCCCTTGCTCCGACATGGTGAAGTGTGCTGAAAGACTTTTTAGTGGTCACGTCACTGGAGGGTTGTGACGTTTTGTGGACACTACAGTAGTCGAATTAGTGGCCACTAATGTGGCTAAAATTAATTGGCCTCTTCAGGAATCGAACCGGTCCCACCAGAGCACTGAAAACTCCTATGGTACCCTCTATGACGAAAAAAAGTGTCCTCTTCAACTAATCCTTGTGGAACCTCTAAAGGGGCCACTAGAGTTTTCCCAGTGGAGCCTAAAACTTTTTCCAATTCTGTCGAATTCTATTGAGAACCCCTCCGGTAAAGCTCAAACCTTCCCTTCGAAATGAAAAATCGGCTGACGGGCCCAATCGTTTTGTGTAACGATAGCCGTCGCCGTGCTTCATGTTACACTTGGCGCCCACGCGATTCGTCTTGAGTTCTGGAAATCTTGAAAAAAAAAACAGAAACGCCTACACACTTCATTAAAGGTAAAAACGTCTGGTTTTCGTTCTGACAACATTTTTATTTCCAAGCTTCTTCCTTTCGCATCAATATCAAGTCTCTAGGCCTGAGAGAGGAGAGAGCAAGTTTATTTTGGGAGAAACAAAACGACCAATAAAAAGGGGGGAAAATTAAGAGAAAGGGGTGTGAAAAAAAAGAAAGTAAATAGAGATATTGAAAAGGAGAAAAACAGGATGAAAGCACGCCCAAAACACACGGACACAGAAGGTTTTTCGCTTTTATTCGGCGCGCCAGAGGGGATTACAAAAGGAAATAAAAGAAATTGGTAACTAAATGATCGAACAACCAGACGGACTGGCGAGGTGTGAAAAGAGCGGCGTCGGGAAGTAGCAGCAGCAGTGATTTTGTTGTCCCGATTTCGCCATTTCACGACCTCGAGCCGTGGTGTGTCAAAATCGATTAAAATTAGCGTTTAAGATGGTTGGATGGTGGTCGATCGATATATCTTTTCTTTTTTTAGAGTCTTATTATGTGAAGCGAAATGGGGCGAAAAAAAAGGAAATGAGCACGATTTACGACGAATTTACAGTGGGCTGGCTGGCTGGTTGTGGCTTTAATAGTCATCCTCGGTAACGAAGATCTGCAAAAATGTTAGGGTGATAATAATAAATGATTGTGAAAGTTTAAACAAAAGGATAGTTGGAACTAGGAGACCATATAAGATCCCTTAATCTCCGAAAATTCCAGAGCTTAAAAAAAGAATATAGTATTCTAAAAATATCGAAACACTCAAGTCGATTCGAAACATGTTGAGATTGAAAAATTACATCCTAATTCGTTAAATAACTACTCTAAATGATGACAACTTCTTATTTTTCTCAACCAGCAAAAATCGCTAAACTGGGACATTTCCAGACCTGGAACCCTTGTTTCTCGGAAAATAGAAATTATATGTCTTTCAGAATCTTCATTAGGTACATCAAAAAGTATTCTTCAAAAAATTTCAACCTGCAGAATGAAATGAACGGTTTTCTCAATATAACATTGATTTTTTATATTTAGAAGGGATAACCGAGGTGATTTTTCATTACTTTTCTATTTTTTTATCGAAAACTTCTATAATCTCAAAAAGCCTTTACGATTTAGCCGTAATTTTTTCCGACCTCAAAAATCTCTGAAAAGATCTTCATGGTTAAAACTTCATTGTCAAAGTCACCATTCTCGAAAAGATTCATTAACAAAACCTAATACAACCCTAAAAAGTTGTTCATGAATAAACTGTCCTTATGAAGACCTCATGATTTCCCGATGCTGACCTTGGATCCGGACTTGCCGGTGACGACGGATGAGCGGTGCTTGGCGCGGATAAGGTGAAGGCTCGACTCGGCCTGGTCGGCTCGGCCTTCGGCGTCCTCGAGCTCGTGCTGGTACCGCCTCACTCGCTGCAGGTTCTGCATCGTCACCGATTCCTGGAAACTCCTTTTTGGGAAGACTTCTTTCGATTTGCAAGTACCGCCTCGGCGAGCTGTCTCTTCTGGATGTTCAACTTCTCCAAGAGACGGTCGGCCGTATCCTGGGCCATGACAAAGTTCTTGTGCTCCTCGTCAACCAGCTGCTGCACTTCCTTGATGCGGCGATCCTTCTTCCTCAGGGCGTTCTGAGTCTCCTTGTGTCTGCAAAAGTTTTTTTTTTCATTTGTTACATTCTCCTAAAAGTTTTGAAGTCTCAGACCTCTTCAAAATCTGCCCCAAGTCCTATTCTTAAAACAGTTTCTGTGATTTTTGAATTAAGGCAGAATAGTAGTATCTGGCCTAAAAGGGGTCCTAAAGCTTTCTTAAAGCTCTAACGTCTTCTAAAAAAAGATTTTCACACTCCGAAACCTTCAGAAGCTCTGCCTGGCCGAAAAAGGATTTTCAAGATTTCTGAAAACCGAAATCTTCAAAAAAGACATTTTTCCGTCTCCAACCTTTAGAAGCTCAACTATACTTTCATCCTATCAAGAATCGCCCAGTATTGCTAAAACCAACAACTTCAGAACTTCTCTACAGCTCTGAAGCCGTTAGAAAATTGAATATTCAGTTTCAGAAGGAAAGCCTACTCCACTCGATTCGACTATCCTACCTGCGGGTCTCCTCATCGAGAGCCGTTTCCAGGTCGCGGATGCGGGTCTCGAGCTTGGCAATGACGCGCTTGCCTCCGAGGAGGGCGGCGGCCTCGGCCTCCTGGATCTGGACCTGGAGCTGCTTGACTTGCTCCTCGAGCGAGCGGCGCAGGGCGTCGATCTTCATCGAGTGCTCCTGCTCCTCGTGCAACTGCTCGACGGCGCGAGCCGCGTCAGCGAGGGCGCGATTGGCGCGTTCGTCGGCCGCGTGAAGTTCCTTGGTGACCTCATCGAGGTCGGCCTGGGCCGTGGAGAGCTCCGTCTCCAGCTTGTTCTTGATCGAGGTCAGGTTGTTGTTGATCGAGGTCAGGTCGGAGATTCTGAACGTTTCTTGAAGGTGAGCACATGGCTGGGATTCCTACCTGCCGTTGGCCTCCTCGAGGTCGATTTCGGCCTGCTTGCGGGCGCGGATGGCGTTGTCGAGGGCGGTCTTGGCCTCTTCAAGCTCGGCAGCGAGAGCGGCGACCTGAAAACGAATCATTTCAAGGCTGCTAGGATGAAAGAACTTTAGGAGCTTCTGACCAAGATAAAACTGAGATTAAAAAAAAAAAACCAGAAATCGCAAAATGGAAGGTCAAACGACGTTCAGAAGCTGCAGCAGTTTTGGTATGGCGAAGCTCGTAAAGCCAGTTAACAATATTGGAATCCCATGACTACTAAAAAAATTTCTTCAGTACAGATAAGTAAAAAAAAATGCCTGAAAATTTCCAGGTTTTACTAATTTAAAAACGCCTCGATTGGTGAAACCAAGTCGAAAGCTTAACCTAACACGCAATTGATTTTACCATATTATAAATCCTACCATAGCAAAAGAACTGTAAAATTCAGCAAATTTCGTTAAAAACTTCAAATTCATCAAAATCGAGAAAAAATCAAGAAAGCTAAATCAAAAAATCGGAGCTTGACGGCTTTCAAAAAGCTACGAGAAAAAAAAACCATAAATGAATATGGAAAACCGTTAATTTCGTAAGCCTTCGAACACGGTCCCGAAGATCTCATACGACTTAATCAAATCTATTTCTAAAAAACCCTCGAAAAGAAAATTCTCAGAAACCTGCTCTTTCCGTACTTCTTAGCTACCATAATCAGTCCAAAGCCTACCAAGAAGAATGAAATTGCAATCCTAGCCTATTTTCCATTCAAAATCTGAAAAAGACGGACCTTGCGCTGAGCAAGGGCGTACTGGTCGAGGACTTGCTGGAGCTGTCGCTGGGTGTCTTCCAAGGAGGCCTGGAGGACCTTGAGGTGCTCCGACTGCTTCTTGATCGTCTTCTGGGCTTCGATGTTGGCGCTGGAAACGTGGAGGAGTTTCAGAAGGACCACCTTAAAAAGCCCTACCGGTTGAGGTTGTCGACGGTCATCTCCAACTCGGCGATCTCGGCCTGGTACTTCTTCTTCAGACGCGAGATCTCGGCCTTCATGCGAGCCTCGGCGTCGGCCAAGGCGGCGGTGAGGCGGTCGATCTCGAACTGCATGTTCTTGCGGAGGCATTCGAGCTCTTCCTCCTTCTCCTGCAGACGACGTTCCATCTCGATGCGGAGAGCCTGGAGCTCGGCGAGGGCGCGTTGGGCGCGGTTTTCGGCCTCGCGGCGCTGAGCATCGGCTTCCTAAAAGACCATCGATATTTGATTTTTTCTGAGAGACGAATCAATGTACCAAATAATAGGAATATTGGATAAAGTCAACAAAAAAAACTAGGGTTTTGTTAAAAACAGATCAATTTGAGCATAACCGACATCATCTAGGGACTCGAAAAAGACTAAATCTTTTTGACTAAACTAAATTGAAGAAATTTTTTCAAAGGATTCCTGAGCTTCCACATCTTCAACATGGCTTTCAGATTTAATCAAATCAATCCAGGCACATCCAGCCCCTGTAAAGAAAATTTTTCAGAGTTCCTGAGCATCTACATGCTTCAGAGAAAAAACTTCAAAAAATAAAAATTTCCAAGCTCCATAATGAGCATCTACATTTCCTTCAAAAACTATACCTTGAGAGCGGTCTGGAGCTCGCGGATCTCACCGGCGAGACGGGCATTCTCAAGGTCGAGCTCGTGCAGTTTGCGGTTGGCGTCAGCAAGAGCCTCCTTAGCCTCGTGAAGCTCGTCTGAAAACCCCCATTGTTCAGAAGGACACTCCCTTTTGGCGAACCGTGGAGCTTCTTGTTCTCGCGGGCGAGGGCCTCCTTCTGTTCGACGGCCTTCTCGTAGAGGTGCTTCATCTTCTGGAGCTCGGCGTTGGCGACACGAAGCTCGCGTTGGACCGCCTCCAGCTCGACGTTGAGCTCGTCGATGCGCACCTTGAGCTCGGTGACTTGACGCTCCAGTTGCTCCTTGGCGCGTTCCAGGATGGCGATGGTGTTCTGGGCCTTCTCGAGGTCGACGATCAACACCTCGACCTCCGATTGGAGACGGCTCTTGGCCTTCTCCAGCTGGCTGATCTTCTGGAGCATGATCTCGATCTGTTCTTCGTACTCGGCCTGCTTCTGGAGCATCTTCTTGCGCAGGTCTTCGACTTCTTCGTGGTGGAGGGCGACCTTCAAATCGTTCAATTTATGGTTGTTATTTTTATTTTCTGAAGGACCTCAGCGTCGAATTTGCTCTTCCATTGGGTGATTTCGGTGTTGGCGAGGTTGAGCTTGTGTTCGGCGTCAGAGCTGAACAATTATAATATTGCTGAATTTTTGATTTTTTTGTACAAGTGAGTGGACGTCAGTTTCTGTGCAATAAAAGTTCATGAAAGTGTCATATAATCAAATACATATCTTGAAACGTAATCTGTCCAGTTTGAAGAAATTTATGGATGAAGATTTTTTGATAAATTTAATTTTCCTACTGGAATATTCTCAAAGGTTCTTTCAAATTTACAAAATAAGGAAAAAAAAATTGATTCTAACAGCTCAAATTGAAGAATTTTCTTAATGATTCGCTGGAAATTCCGAGTCAACGATTCAACGATTCCTGACCTTTTCTCCCAAACTTTTGGCAACTTGAAATTCGCTTATGGCCCTAAAAATCAACTGCCAGGAAATTATACAGCCTTGAAAAATTCTAAAAACTTTTTATTTGAACTCTGCTAAAAAAACTTGTAAAGCGTATGAGAACTGACCCACAAAAAAACGCTTCTAGTTCTTCTTCTATTTTTTTCAACTAAAAATATCGCTCATAACTCTAAAAAAAATCAACTGTCAGCAATCTATAAAGACTTGATAGAAGCGTCTGCTTCTATCAAGTCGCTAGAACTTGAAATCTTATAATTATTATTTTTTTCCACTTCTTTTCAAAAATCAATATCTCTCAATAACCCATCGGTTCAATTTCTAAGACTCACCGAGCGATGGATTCCTCATCGAGGGCAGTGCGGACCGAGTCGAGCTCGAGTTGGACCTGGTGGAGCTGTGACTGGAGCTGCGAGCGCTCCTGCAATGGATCAACTATCGACTTATAGATTTTCCTTGATTTACGCGTTCGGCATCCTCGAGACGGCGGCGAGCCTCCTCGAGCTGCTGGGCGAGGGTGTACTTGACGTGCTGGAGGTTGTCGAGCTGGACCTTCTGGTCGTGGACTTCCTGAACGAGAAAATCGTTAAAACCACCTCGATCAATCAATCGATACTTTTTTGTTTCAAAAATTAATCCCGATTACCATCCTTCGCTCAAAAACAGTAAACGTGGAAAAAACGTCTTCTCCGCTTGAACTGATCTCACAATAATCTTCCAAACTTAGGGACCGCAGACGAATTTTCAAAAATTTTTTTTCAGTGTTGAGCTTTGTATGGTTTGATAGCTGTTTCGATTCAAAACTCAGAACCGTTTAGTTTTTCAAAAAAGATTGAGGATGAAAAAAGTTATGACGGAAAATGTGGCGCGCCGCGCACCATTTTTTTAGTACTGAAATTTTGGTATTATCCATTATTGACATTTTTCTCGATTTTTCTTCTAGAACAAGTTTTGATACTGGTCTATTATGATGTAACAAATCATAATAGAGTGCTAAAATGATGAATATTTGCTAGTTTGCCGAAAAAGTCAGTATTTTCCAGTAAAAAAAAAACTGACGCTTGCGGGTATCGAACTCGCAACCTCAAAATGAAAAATCGCAGCGCACGCGCTGCGCCAAGCTCTCAGGTCTAGCGAGGGAAGCTTCCATCCGCCATACCCTTGAGCTGTTTGAATAGCACAGATTGCCTATTTCAAAAATAAAAACTTGAAATAATTTAGCTATTTTTATCAGAATATGTTCGCAAATCTTTACTCAAACTTTCCGTGAAAATTCACTTCGAAAAAACTGTCTTTTTAGTGCTTTTTGCCTCGTTTTACGATCCCTGCATTAAAACGGCCCCGTAAATTTTTTTGGCAAAGACGAATTTTTTATTTTATTCTTTTAATTGAAAGATTTTTCACTAATAAATGCATATAATCGTTTAAAAAACCTGCGTTCGACCGCTTTCTGTGTGATAAACGCCGCTAATTTTGTTCTCTAGTTTCAAAAGCATTTTTGCGTATTAAACAACTTTTTCAAGCACATATGCTGTGGAGAAAAATTTAAGTAAGCCCATGGTCTAAATTTTGAAAAAAACAAAAAAACTCGATTATATTCGCTTATTAACGATATTTTTGAATTATGACTTTCGGCACTCCCTAAAATTTTTTTGGCAAAGACGAATTTTTTTATTTTATCGTTTTAAAATTACCGTTACTTGAATCAAAAATCATTATTTAAAAAAAGAAAGAGTGCGTTCGACCTAAAAAAACACATGAAAAAAAGCAAAAAAATGACAAAAATTTTTTTAGTTCCATTCACGTTTTTTTGTACGACATTCCGCGAGAACGCATCAAGAAAAGCGTGAAATATTTTTTTAAACGAAAGAGGAAGCTTTTTCTGTACATGTGTGTCAAATTTTATTAGCCAGTTCCCCATATTTTTGCAACTACAACAAAATGAAACTTGAAAACCAAAAAGGCCACTTTTTTTCTATCGCGAAAAGGGGCGTGGCTTTGCGGTCCCTATCCAAACTCCACTTTTTTTAGGAAAGAAAAGATATTTTTTTCAAACTAAAAATACTTTCATCTCATAGGAATTTCACTGTCTAACCAAAAATCCAGCTTTCATTGTTTCGAAAAAGCCATTTTATGCTCAAAAAAAGAAGTAAATGTGGCGTTTTTCGGCTCAATTCTGTCGATTTTGCCTTCGAAACCCCCAAAGGTACAAAAAAAGTCTCCTCGACGAGATTAGGCCGAGCGCGGATTTATGAGGGTGAAAGTGCTCGAAGGCTGGTGGCAGAAACTGTTTGCTTAGATGTTCAGTCGGCGCGGCCGCCGCTGCCGCGTCAACCTCCATTTTTTCCGACTTCTTTCTTTCTTTCTTTCTTCTTTTTTTTCCGCCGGTCCGTCGAGAGTTTCGCCGCATCCAACGAACGCCTACGCATTACGCTCACTTTCTCAATTTTTTTTTCCTTCACTTCAAATGATGATCCTCTCAGGCTCTTCCGAGCGAAAACAACGAGCCAAATGGTTTTTTTCCGCTTTTTAGATTGGAGTGGGCGGGGATTATCGACTGATGACGTCAGAAAAACACTCGAAAGAGCTTTTTTGAACAAAAATCGATCGATAAGGAGTTTGAGAAGGTCGGAAGGCCATACGTAATTCAGATTAAAACTTTCAAAAATGAAATAAAAATGATCAGAAACGGTCAACTGATTTTCAAAGTGACTTTTTTCATCTTCTCTCTGAATGCATAGAAAATTCGTTAACTTCTGTTCTTCTTAAGTCAAACAACCAAAAAGGTCCAAAAACCAATATAAAAACTTGAAAACTATTTTTTTAAACCGCAACATTGGAGAAAAATGTTTCCCAATTATTTCACATTTCAAGGTTTTCCCGAATAAAAATTGACATGAAGTGAAAAAAATTTCTGAAAACATATAATAACGAAATCTCTATAAAGAATGAAAAATCTTTCTCAATTTTAATTTTTTTTAAAGCAAGGCATAATCTTCCGAAAATCACAACTGACCTAAAATTTATTTGAAAAATCAAAAAGGCGGAAAATTCATTCGAACTAGTCAGTCTACAAAAAACATAAAATTTATCCGTCTTTTTGAGTTTTCATATTTCGGAGACTTTGCGATTTGAAAAGTCACCTAGATCCGCAGAAAACCCTCAAGTTGTCCCTACATAACTACCCGCGAAATCCCTCAAGTAGCCCCTGAAGGATCACCTTAAGAAGATCGTTGTTCTCGGCCTGGAGACGCTGACGTTGCTGGGCGAGGTCGTTGACGTGCTTGTTGAGGTCTTCGACCTGGAAAATCCCAATTTCAGACTCCCGTTTCAGCCTCTCCTTTTATTCAACCTTGTTGGCGAGCTCGTTGGCCTGAGCCTCGAATCGCTCAGCGGCCTTCTCGGCGGTGTGCTGAAAGAAAAAAAAGTCTTCGATTCGTTCGGTTTTACTCGGGTTTAAAGCGTCACATGTTGTTCGCTGGTGGGCAGCTTTTCCGTCAAGCAAACATTTCTCACGGTGTAAAAAGAAGCAAAGAAGAGTCCCAGATTTATTACTGTAGTATTGAAAAGGTTCCATGAAACAGGAACTTTGTTGAATTTTCGAAAAATTGACAATTTTTGGTAAAACAAAACTAGAACTTCCTCCAATACTACTAAGACTGCATATATAAAATCCCAGAAACTGGAATTTGGAAAAAGTTCTGCGAAATATGAAAATTTCGATAAGATCCATATAGAAACATTCAAACAGCTTGTACCACTTTTGAAAAAATTGAAAATAAAAACTATATTTTCAACGCCAGTCCCACTTTAAAATAGGTGATAAAATCAGAGGTTCTTCTTTGTTTTCAAAAAAAAAATTATCAAGAAGAAAACGACTTTTATAACGGTTCTTTACTCATTTAAAAACGTTTACAATAATTAAAAAACACTTTGAGCTACTTTTTAAACAAAAAAAGAAACAGTCGTTTCACAAACGGGGATTGAAAACGTTCCTAACTAGAGATCAATAAATGTTTAATGTGAAACAGGAAAGTCACCTTATCCTTCTGGAGCTGGTCGATGGTGGCGGTCAGCTCGATGACTTCGTGTTGGATGCGTTGGCGTTCGCGGTCGATCCTGAATTTTATTTTTATTTGAAGATCTTTATGACATCCCTAAATTAATAAAAAGAAAGATAGAAGATAGATCAGACTCCCGTTTCAAATCAAAAATAAATATTGTAGCTTTTTCCAATTTCATTCTTGATGCTCCATGGTCTTTGAAATAAATGATACCCTTCCGTCCAAAATTAGCCCTGGGTTGTGATAAAACCCTGGATCTTTCAAAGTTCTCCCAAAACTATTGTTTATTGACTTTCGTTGCTAGTAATTGACCTCTGATCTTTGACAATCCGCATTTGTTTGCCCAACACTTGAATATCACGCTTTCCACGGCTTGATAACTATTGATCGGTCCAGGTTTAAGCTTCTCATTCACTAGAGAAAAGTAGAGGAAAGTATCAGAATGGTTCGATTTTGATTGCTTAAATCCCTGGAAAACTGATAAAAACTTGAAATCACCGATCAGTTTCTCAAAATCTATCGAAGTTCGGTAGAGTTTCTGGTAAAATTCTCAACTTTACAATAATTATAGCTTTCCAAATGACCTACAGAGCAAGTAGAGGCTTTCTTAATTGCTCAGCGATGATTGTAACATATGAAATAGTTTAGGATACTTATCAAAACCGTCAAATTTTACTGATGACTTTTACAGACATTAAAATCACCAAAGTCTCACCTTGAACCATCTTAACCACCTGGAGAACTTCAAAAAAGCTCTTGAACTTCTACAAAAATGATTCCAACCTCCTAAATTACCAGAATAACTATGAGACACCGTTGAAACCTTATAAGGATGATTCAAATCTTCTCAATAACTTGAACAACTATAAAAGTCCAGTTAAATCGTCCGGGCTCATTCAAATCTTCCAAACTACCTTATGAACTTCCTTCGACTTTTAAAAACGCTCTATTAGGTTTTCAACCCAAAAAAAAAAATCAGATACGGACCAAGTGATATTGATGTCCTGAACATCTCCGAAACTACACATGATGTTCAAAACGATCTACTGGTCCTTTAAAACTCTAAAAACCTAAGCAACGTCTTCCGGATGCTTCCAATTCAAAAAACCAGCGCCAATTCATTAAAGATAAAGTGAACATTAGCCTTAAAAACTACATGGTTCTTCTAGAAACCCTAGTGATCTGAATAACTTCTTCCTGTCCTTTTTACGTTTCTTGACCCAAAAAACCGGTACCAATCGATAGAGATCAGGTAAATCAACTATCGATGTCTGATCTCAACAGGCTCTTGGCTTCTGTTTGTACGTATGTTTGAGTTCGAGATCCAAGGAGATCAGGAGAGACGGAGAGAACGATAGGTAAAAGGCCCATATCTTCGTCGGGCCGCCGATCCCGACGAAGCATTACACTTTCGAGCCAGGCGCTTCTGCCTATCTTTATGTATTTCTGCGTGTGTGTGTGTGTTGCATCGCTTTTCTCTGGTGAGCAGGGAAAAAAAAATCCTAGAGCTTTAAGGTGTAAAGGAGAAGAATCCCCCACTGAAAAACGTGGTTCGATTCCGTTACACACTCCTCCGAAACGCCCCCAGCCTCCAAAACATGCTCAGGCACTTGGAGGAGAACTACAGAGAGAAACGCTGGGAGGACCGAACAGTGTTCGCATTTTATTGGTTTTGGTCAAGCAAAGATATTCCGTGAAAATGAGGTTTTGGCCAAAAACTTTTCGAATTGCTTTTTTTCTAATGAAAAAATTCCGTAAAAAGAGGCAGTAATGGCAAAAATCGTAGGATAATGCTACTGGGACCGAAGAAAAGTTATACTCAAAAATCAATGAAATTTATACGTTTTTCTAGGTTTCCATTAGACCTCCGTAACATCTGTCTAACAAAAAATCTATGATTCATATCCTGACGTTTTCTCAGAGAGGCAAACTAAAAATAAATCTTCTTTCAAAGTTAAAGCCAAGTTAGCCAGGAAACTACTAAAGAAGGTGGCAAAACTTCTATAGATAGTGGGAAACCCGACTTTCCAGCAAGTCTAGCATCTGATAATTTTCTACATTTGAGCTATCCTGAACCTTACTGCTTTCCTCTAGGTTGATGTAAAGATTCCAAGAAAGAAGAATTTCAGTGGAACTAGCTCAGATATTGCTTCAAAATCCAGTAACCAAGGAATCTTTTCAAGTCTAGAGTTTAACCGACAAGCGTTACCCTTCATAAAATTCTTATCATAACTCAAAAAATGACTCTCCGAAAGGCCATCTATCTCCCAATCTTATCCATCTCCAAGAGAAAATCGACGAACTTGGCGTTCTTCTTCTGGAGCTGCTCGATCTGGTCCTGGTAGTCGAGGCAGGCATCCTGGTGCTTCTTGCGGAGGACGTTCATGGCGTCCTCGCTCTCGAGCTGCGACTCCTCGAGCAGCTTCCGGAGCTTGAGCAGCTCGCCCTCCCGTTTGCGGTTGGACTCGATTTGGCTGTCGGTGGTGCCTTCGGCATCCTCGAGTCGGTCCGTCAGCGAGATCAATTGGACGCTCAGGTCGGCCCGTTCACGTTCGATCTTAACTCCTTATCATACTTCTTTGCAACTCTTTGCAAGTCTTACGCGGTTGCGGAGCTCGCGTTCCGACTCGAGATCCTCCTGGAGAAGGCGGATCTTGTCCTGAAATCGAAAAAAATTGAATAGTTGCGATGGGAAGGCGCGAAGATCCGCGCGCAAACATCACTGTTTGCAAATCTCTTCTTACGTGACGGGGCCTTACTTTTTTTTATCATTTTGCCGTTCTGCCAAGTTCTAAGGAACAGTTAGAAGTATAAGAAAACTTTTTGAAGCAATAAAATGAAAGGAAAAGGATTTCACTGACGGGAATCGATTTCGAATCTAGGAAAAGGAAGGATTCATTGACAGATAATATTGTTCGAAGTTTAAAAGGTTCAAGAAAAACTGCAAAGCAAGCTTCAAGATTCGAAACTAGAAAACCTTCTATAAATTCAAAAACTCTAAGGATCTCCACAGTTTATCCTATTGACTGGAAAAACATATTTAAACCCAAGGAAAAGCTCGGAAGTTTTTAAAAAATGAGAAAAAGATCAGAGAAAAAAAGGGAAAAAAATTTATAAAATTAAATAGCAAAATGCATCAACTGATCCTCTTGAAAACCAAAAAAACTACTGAAAAAAAATTAGAAAATTTGAATTAGTTATAAGATTCTTGAAAAAAATAAATAACTTACAGATAGATCAGACAAAAAAAAATTTAAAGTAAAAAAATGAAACAAAGAACTTCAAAATAATGAAGGAGATGATCTCAAAAAATGATTAGATTTCAAAAAACCTTCGAAATCAAGGATTACAGTTTAAGACAAAGCTGAAAACAACTTGGGAGCCGCAAAAACTTAATTCTTTCATGAGTAGCAATCGGGAATGATAAAATATAAGAATGGAGGTTTGAAGGGAAAATTATCAAACCTTTTCGAAAAACTTCAAGTTCGAATTCAAACTAAACAGGATTTTTGAGGAAAGTGATAAATATCGGAGGCAGGACTGCTCAGAACTCGATGCTCAACTTCCGAACTTTTGGAAAATTTCAAAATTTCAGAAAAAGCTAGCAAAAGAGACAAGGAAAGGCATGAGAATCGTTTGCAAACTTCAAAAAAAGTCAGGTAATTTCCAGATTTTCTAATGGTGATCAAATAAGATCATAAAGCGTGGATGAACTTCAGAACAATTAATGAGAAATAAAGGTGTGAGAATTTGAGATCACTTCGGCTTTGAGTTCAGAAATTTCTATTGAATCATCTCCGAAGAACTTCAGAACGAAGAATGAAATCGGAATTTCAAGGCAGTTTTTTTATATTGAAGATCTAACCGATCGTTTCAGTAAATGATCTTCGATTTCATGGAAACTTCAGAACAAGTTAGCAAAACTTTGCAAAAAACAAGAAAAGGCTGAATTCGAGTTTCAGCCGTATAAAACTTCAACTGCCGAACTTGAAAAAAAAAAGAAAAAAAGGCTAGAAAAGGGCTCAGACCTCAAGACGAGTGAGGGATCCGAGGTCGGCGACGGACATGCTGCCGAAGGGGGCGCCGAAGGCGGCGCTGGACGGGCTCTTCAGAAGAGCGGCGGAGGGGGAACGGTACAACGACATGGCTGCTTCTGAAGACGGTTCAACGACGACGACGACACTACCAGCTCGTGCGCTGCTGGGCTGCTACTGACACAGTTGTGTATGTGGAAGGCGGTGCGTGTTGCTGCTGCCTGCCTGAGCTCCCGTCGAAAGAGTGAGTGAGTGGGATGGGCACAGGATACAGCAGAGAGACGGCCGCAAGACGGTGTGTAATGCCTCAGAGGTTCGCCCCGAGCCTCTATACCCCGAAATACGAAAAGCGAGGCGGATTTTTGTGGCGCGCCCCCTCAAGCTTTCTCTCTCTCTCATTCGCCGCTGCCGATCGGGATGAGAGAAAGAAAGGCAAAAACCGCCACCGACACCACAACCGTTTCCTCTCCCCAACTTCTGTGATCTATCTTTCGGAGGCTCTTAGTGAGAAACGACGACCGAGGAGATCATCCCCCACCAGGCAGTTCCTTGATACAAACACCATGGACGGAGGGGCAGAGGTGATACTTCGAGTAGAACTTCAACTGGAAATCAGATCGGGGGCTTGAAACAGTCTGTCTTCTGTCTATACTTCATTTACGGTGAGAGAGAAGAGAGCGCAGATAGGTCAGACTTTTTCTGAGTGAATGGGTATGCGGTAAGTTTATAAACGAATTGGAGACTTTTGAATCAGTTCTGGAGCAACAGTTAGCTTTATTTCATATTTCATCTTCGAAGAGAGAGGAGAGAGCTCAGAAAGGTCAGAAGTTTTTTAAAAATTAGATGGGTGTACAGTAATTGATCTCATTTTCATCTATCCCGAGAATGTTTGAAGCGAGCCAATGTAAAAATTACGCCTCAACAAGATTGTTTCTAATTTCGGGGGAGTACGGTAGGTGGAAAGTCCGTGATTTCATCCTGATCCTATTTTAAGTAAACTGAGCTTGAAATTATATTCAATCAAGCCCTATTACTGGTTTTTCTTCTCTAGAGTGATACGGTAAGCAAAAATATTTAAAAAAATCAATCCTTGATGATTCATTTAATTTTTATTTCGTAGATTCCAGAAACCTAATTTCAATTGAGCCCGGCCGATATCAAACAGGTCTTTTTTTCAGAAAAAATCTAATCTGGAATTGATTAAATTAATTAGTAAATTGAAAAAAAGCGAAATGCAATTTTTACTCCCTCTTCTCTTCAGGGTGATTACGAAATTCGAAATAAAAAGTCTCCCGTTTTTTTCTTACCATGAATGAAAAACTTTTTTTCAAAAATCAAACTGTTTCCAAAGGCTTTTTTTCAAACTGTAAGAAAATTCAAGTTTTTCTAATTTATTTAAAAAAATATTTTTTTATTACAGTAGATTGAATAAAAAGTAAAGTTATAGTCCAGAGTTTTTATTTTTGAGAGACGAAACGACCATGCGGTTCAAATAATTTCAATATATTGCACTTTTTTTGTTTCATCCATTCAACTCGGCATGCCGGAAAAGTCGGCCGGTCGGTTCGGTCACTTTTTCAAAGTGGCCATTTTTTTTTTGAATATTTTAATGTTTTTACAGTTTAAAATTGCTCATGACTCCAAAAAGCGTAGAATTCTCGTTAAAAAAAATTTTTTGACTGTAAAATGAGCATAAAATTTAAAAAATTCAATAAAAACGCACAATGATTCTTACTCACAATAAAATACAATATTCGAAATTTCTACATTTACGGTAACCTACAGTAACCCTTAATAGCACAAGAGCCATTAAATTTCTTTTTTTGAACTCATCAATCTCTAATTCCCACCAAAAAAGGGAGAGATTACTGTAGTAACGCTCTTCTTTCGCCTAACGTCAAGATCGATTTCGTCAAAATCGCGTCAAAAATCGGCTCGAAGCAGCTGTGAATCACCTATTGTTCTCTCCAAGTGCCACCTACGCAATTGACGTGAAAATTTGACGTACAGTAGTTTTTTTCCATTTCGCTTTGAAAACCTTATTTCTAGAACTACCTAACAAACTTTTGAAGTTCTACAGGTTTTTAAGGTTCCCTTTGACTTGACTTAGACTTAGATGGTCCATCTTCGCTTTCGACCTTTTATTGCCTTTTATTGATCGAAGCGTGGACCACACGTTTTCCAGGAGGTCTTATGCAATCGGTCATCCAGTTTTGTCGTCCTGGTTGACTGGTATTCTTGCGAAAAAGTTCCATCCGTGGTGTTGAACGTGTTATAGCATAATTTTGGTCTGATTATCCTTTTTGCCTTGCCAGGGCTAAAAAAGACCGCCCATTCTGTTAGCAGAAGCAAGCCGAACTGCGTGACCGGTGTACCGTTAGCCGCCATAAATGGCGTTGCCTCCCCATCACCGCGTAGAGGTGGTACTTGAAGGGGGTTCCCTTTATTTCGAATAAATTATAAAAAAAGTAATACAGAAACGTCTTGACTTCTCCACTTCACACTATCGTTCGCTCATAGCAGTAGGACAGTGATGGATGAACTATAACTCAAAAATTATTTTTTTATTTATTATTTATTTTTTTCTTTCACAAGGAAAATATTTTTTTCCTTTGCGATTGGAAATTTCATGAAAATCAGTCAAAATGCTTCTCAATGAACTAAATGAAGACTTTCAATCTTAAACCAGCAGGTTCTGATGTTTTTGGGGCGTTTCTTTTTGATGAAGAAAGTTTTCAGGACCTTCCTATTCCTTCAAAAAAAATGTGTTCAATTTTCAGGGAAATTACCGACTCGTTATAAGAATGTTTAGTTCAAAAACCTTTTTCTACTACCCAGCAACTCAAAAACGTTTCTGGCCTCAAAATCTTTCTTTTTTTGTGGATACAACTTTATGTCCTTTAACTACAAGCCCAACCTATTCAAAATTATCTTGAATGAAGTTTCCGTTTCAAATATCTAGCTGCTACTACCCAGTAACTTCAGAACACCACTACCACAACAATCTCCATGTTTTCCATCCGAACCCAGGTTTATTTTTTGGTTTTGCCAACAAGAACTACGGGACGAGGGGGGATCGATCTGGAGTCAGAGTCGAGTCGAGAAACCGATGGCCAGTGTAAAATAGGGCCGCCATCGGTCGGCTCTCCTCATCCGCTCTCACCTACACACTAAATTTACAAAATGGCCGCCACATCGGCCGTCGGCTGATAATTGCTCTACCGAGGTGACCATCAGTATTTCTGGCCAAAGTTATATGTTTTTTGTTTTAGAGGGAAGGGGAGATTTTGAGCTTCAAGCTGGGTTTAGTGTACTTTGCGGGATACGGACAAGTTTTAATACAGAGCTTTTTTTGTACTTTTTCTTCGAGAAGCTTCAAAAATAGATCTCAAAACACTACAGAAAAGCGAAACTTGATATACTGAGGTGACCATCAATATTTTGGCAAAAAAAAAAATGTGAAAAGTTAACGTGAAACGCTACATAGTACAAGATTTCCAGAAAAGCCAAATTCGACTGTAAAAATTTGGTTTGACTAACGCATTTTTGACCAAAATCCTTATTTTTTGAAAGAAAAGGGGACACTTTGAGCTCAAATCTATTCGAAACTAGGCTTTCAAAGGAAATTTTTTTCATTTTTAAAAACCTTTTCAAGTTTTTTGGAACGAATAAGGCCCTGGTGACGGAAATCGAACATGTCTAAGCCATTTAGTGAAACTTTGACTTAAGTGGCCACTTAACAGCCTAAAAAAACTCGAAAACTCATTCGGAAGCCCATTCCGCAGTAAAAAAAGCTATCTAATAAACGAGAAAATAATTTTAACTTTATCAATTAATTTATTTCTCTCAACTCTAAACAGTTATTTCAGTTATAGGAAAGTTTCTAGAGTAGAAAAAAGCTTTTTAAAAAAGTTCAGACGTAACTCAGAAGTGTAAAGTCATGCTCGACGCTCAAAAAGTCACATTTTCAGTTTCAAAAAGTTGAAAAAAGATTCAAAAAAGGCTAAATCGAAAAAGCCAAAAAAAGTTTGAAAATATGCAAAAAAGTTCAAAAAGTTCCAAAAATTCTCACAAATATTGAATTATTACTTGTTTTAGAATCGAAATTATTCTTCATTTTCTTTTACACAAAGATGCCCCGTCAAAAAAGGCTTACCAAAAATGTTGATTTCGATTCAGAGTTTTCAAAAAGGAACATAAAAAAACACCCAATACTTTTGAAATCAATTTCTGACATTAAAAACCTCCACTGAAGTAGTAAACCAACGGAATTTCTTTAACAAATTCAACGGATTTTTGTTAAAGACATTTTCTTAAAACTGGAATCATTTCTAATTTTTTTCCAAACCGGACGAAGTTTGGAAAAAATTTCAAATTTAAAAAACTTAAAGTTAATGTTCTGATGGCAGACATCTCAAAGATCTATCAATAAAAAAAGTTTCAAATTCCCAAAAATTTTTCACGAACAGATAAAAAAATCCCACAGTATTAGACGATTTTTTTAGAACTATGAAAAAAAGTTTACTATATTTGAAAAATATTGAAATTTTTAGTTATCTGTGAACTTTAATCAACGGTGCCCAGCATTTTTATCACTTTAAACTTTGAAAAAAAATTTCAAGTTTGAAATCAAACATTTTTTTCAATAATCCTCTCAAAAAAAAAACTTCCGAGAAGCGACATTCACGTTTCCGCGTTCAGTTTAAAGTACGTAGGTTACCGCTTTTCATCATCTTTTTTCCAAATCTTCCTCTTTTTTCTTCCCAGTTTCAAGAGGAGACACTTCTCAAGCATCCTTTTCTCTTTAGAGGTCTCTATAGTGATTTTGAAAGTTTCATTTTTTTACCAATTAAATGATTTTTGAAATATACTTTCATACTTTAAATGAAGAAAAAGATTTCCTATTTGGGGCCGCCATTCTTTTTATTTCTTCTAACTTTCAAACTAAAAAAATCGATTTTTTTCGAAATTTTTCACAGAGTGTCTCAATGGGGGAGTGAGTGATCGAAAATGTGCTATTTAGAAAAAAATAATGTGATGTAAATTATAATTAGGTAATGAGAAAAAAAGATTGCGATTGCGACTGATTGTGGGCTGATATGGTCATCGCAGCGAGGAGCTCTGATTTTTTTCTTTCTTGAAAAAAATGAAATTATTACCCAAAATATATGGCTTTCCAAGAAAAAAAAACATGAACATTGAAGTTTTTAATCCAAATCGAGTCGAGAAAAGCTTGTCACAAAGTTGAATCTAAAATTTTAGACGAAATTTTCAATTTTTGTGATGGCAATGAGTTTAACCCAATTTTTCTCGTTTTTTTGCGAAATTCGAACATTTGGTCATTTCCTCATGAATCATTGCAATGAGAAAAAAAAAGAAACTTTACATTTCTTCAAGTGACGAGAACAGCCTCCATGGAACTGCGGAAAGAGTCGTCGGCTTTTTTTTCTTCTTTTTGCCAGCCGCGTCCGAAAGTCAGTCGTGATATTCCGCATCTTTTGCTCGAACTTTGCAGGTTTTCCGAGGGATCGGTGAAATCATCAGTAGTCCGCTGAAATCGTTGCTGAGGTGGTTTCTTTTTGCAGAATCTAAAGTGATAGTTTGGTTTGTACGAGATGGTCCCATTTCAAAGTAAAAAGAGAATCTACCAAAACCCAAGCTTTTTTCATCCGTCTGCTCTACAAAAATGCACAAAAAGGTCTCGAAGCGAAGTTTGGTCAAATTTGTTATACGGTCTTTTTTGCTAAAAAAAAAAGGCGGAATTCGGGGCGAAAGCGGTCGATTCTTCCCAATTTCTCAATCAAGATTCCGTGTATTTTCTTCACTCGAAGTGGTAGCTCTCTCAGTCGGCCGAGGCTACCCTAGAGTGTACACGGAGTCCGTGCCCGAGCCTCACCATCACCGCCGTGCCCGTACAAGCGAAACTGAGGGATCAACTTGTGGAAGAACGAGGCGAAGGACCGTAAGATCATGCTTTCAATTCAATCGACTACACGTTTTGACTTCTTTTTCGCCAAAGGCGGTGTTAGTGCCGCTCAAAAAGAGCAATTTTTTTCACCGCCTAGTCGATACCATCTGACTAAAACAACCAATAAATATTGTATTGTATTGTATTGTAAGATATTTAAATTTTTCTCATTTTCCATGAAAACGGTCGATTCTCTTACAATATAAAATCAGCTCGTGTCTTTCTGAGAAATCAGTGGGGGCTTCGAAGCGAGAAAAAAAACGGAAAATTTTTCTGATTAATAACAACCCGGCTTCCTCAAAATTTCATAAAATAATGAAAAATTTTTAAACGATCCGGTTAGTAAATAGAAATTAGCTGAATCTTCAATTTTTGTGAAAAAAAAAACACGCTTTGAAGAAAAACTTCACGATTTAAAATTGATTTTTTGGTATCAAAAAAGTTTTGAAAGACCTGGTTGAAAAATTAGAAAAAAAAATAATAATTGAAGAGAAAAATAGAAATTTTTTTCTTCAAACTTGTATTCTTATAGTCTGTTCGGATTTTTTTAATGTCAAGTGCAATGACGTCATTCAAAAAAACACTCTCTGGATGGCTCGTTTCAAAATTTCAAGTCAATCAATTTTTGTTGAAGTAGAAAAAAAAATCTAACTAACCTCCCTCCTCGAAATCCGCTCAATAAGTAAAGAATCAAGCTTGCAATGAACAAAATACATCCAAAAAAATAGAATAATTCAAATATTTTTACTCCATGTCTCTTCACAAAAGACCATATTTCAAAAAAAATATCGCAACAAAAACCAATGAAAACTCGCAACTTTGTGAGATAGTTTCTTCGGAATACGGGATTTTTAAGGCAATTTAGCACAGGGAGAAAGATTTTTTTCGTTGATAGAAAAAAAGATTTAAAATAGATAAAGAAACGAAAAAAACTATAACAAGAAAAGGAACGAAAGTAGGGAAAACAACAAAAAAAGAAGAAAAAAATTAAAGATTTGGGATGTCGAATCGTTGGTTGAGCTAAAGTTACAGCCGTCCGTGGCGCAGGAACAAACCTGGAAAAAAATATATTTTGAAGAGTCGAATTCAAAAACCAGATTGTATTTTAAAAAAATATAAATTCTTGAAAAGTAAAAAAAATATGTTAGCAAGATTCAAAAAAATTCAGCCTGAAACTTCAATTTTTGAATGGTTTTGAGTCTAAAAACGCCCAAGAAAATTTTTTTTAGTACAAGAGTACAAGGGAAAAATTGCCAATATTGTTAATTCAAGATCATTTTTCGTCGCTTATCCTTCAAAGGTACCAGCAAACGGTTTCTTTTTTTAGTTGAAAAACTGAAAAATTCTCCCTACATCTATTTCGGGAAATTTAGTACTTGTATGTGAGAAATAAAAAAATTTTGATTTGACTAAAAAAACAGAAAAAAACGTTCAAACTTTCATATTTGACAAATCTGACACAAATTTCAAGTCTTTGAAAGATTTCTTTTGAAGACTTTGTTTTGAAAAATTCTTTTTTTAACATTTTTTTGTTTCGAAACCGCCATTGAAACTGCAAAATTCGAGAAATTTTTGAATAATTATCGACTGATTCTTGTCGGAAAATATTCGAAGAAAGAAATTGAACTATAAATTTTTTTCAAAATCAACAAGAAGTCCATATTTTTACAGATTTTCCAGAAACTTGTCCCATTTTTTTTCTTGATTTCCCAGACCTGAACAATTTCGTTGGCCTGAACTTGTGGGTAGATTTGCGACAGCTGCAATCGGACACAAATTGGCGACCGATGCAAAAATTCCACCTGCAGTAGAATTTGAATATGATTCTAAAAAAATAAGCAAAAAAATCTTTTTTTGAAAACTGATATAAAAAGTTCAATAAAAATATTTAAACCTTTCTGATAACCGAGGAGAAAAATATTCAAAAACAGAAAATTTACGTTTTTATAAATGAAAATTTCTGAAAAAAATTTAGTGAAAGCTTCAAATTTCTTCTGATAACCATGTAGAAAACTCTTTGAAAGAATTCAAAGAATTGAAAACAAAAATTAAAGATAAAACTCCATACAACCGTTCAGCGTAAAATCATATAATAACGAAGAAAAACGCGATAATATTAAAATTTGGGAAGGAAACAGAAATGAGAGCTTTTTTAAAAATAATTAAACAAGCGAGATTTGATAGAATTAAGCTCAAAATGGTCTATAGTATATCATATTTTGATGCACTTTCGAAACTTCGAATAAAAAGCTGTAAGACTGATATTCAAAAAAAGATCCCGAATTTCGAAACTTTATTTTTTTATTCCAAGTTTTTCTCCAGGTCGCATTCTCACAAATTTTTAAAAAAACCGGTTTGATTTCCTAATTTTTTTCAAAAAAATAATCAAAAATCAGATTTTTTTCATTATACCTCAATCGGCCTCGAATCCATGGCTGAGAAAAATATGATCGGCACAGCCTCGAATGTACAAGTAAGGTCGTTGTAGGGATTGAAGTCCTGGAAAAAGTTCAAATTTTCAATTTCTATGATGAAATTGTCAAAAAACTTTGTAATAATTAAAATACTGAGAAAAATTCAACTTTTAGAACTTTAAACAACTGTTGAGAAACTTTGTGAAGATTGGAGACCTGAAAAAGCTCGAAATTCTTATGAAATAATTTATTGGAAAACTTTACGAGGATTGAAACCCTGGAATAAACTCAAATCTTCCAACTTCTAACAAACAAATTGATCAAAAATCACCTCCGAAGTACTGAGGCTCAAAAATAGTGACGCAAGTCGAATGGCAAACGTCGACTGGCGCAAATCCTTGGACCATGTCTTCCATGTCGCAGAGACGGTCGAATTTCGGCACTCTTCAATTTATTATTTTTGTAAAGTTTATTCAAAGCAGCCGAGAAGAAGAGGAAAACTCGAGCTTCCTAAACTTTTCTGATCAGGGAAGTGATTTCCTTTTGTGGTTAGGAAAACGCTGAAAATTGGTCTGAATACTTTTGAAAATTTGTGTAAAGTCTTCACTCGAATTGAGACTTCGAGACTTCCACCTAGAGCACGGTCTCTGGGTTCCGACTACAAATTATGCTATACTCTGAGCTCGTCTAGGCGCATTCGGATCACTATAGGCAGAAGAACAAGGAGGACCGTATGACCCTGCTTTCTACTTGATCAACTACACGTCTGGACTTCTAGTTCGCCAACGTAATAGCTTCAAAAGCCCTTGTTCAACGTCTAATCGATTATATCTGACTAAAACAACAAAAAAATTATTTGATTGATTTCGAAATACCCGACGAGGGTTTTGAAAACCTCAACCTGCCAAGGTTCTTTTTTTTGTCGAAGAAGCTTTTAGACATTAGAAAAGTTTTTATTTTACTTACAGGCAAACCCGAATAAAATGTACAAGAAAGGTGGAAAGCTCGTTGAAGCGTAGATATTTATCAAATTTCAAGTTAAAATAATGAAATTTGAACGTTTTTTGTTTCAAAAACCTCAAAATCATGTTTCTTTAAACCGACCTAACTTTCCTCGACAGGACGTCGTCCCTCTCGAAAAGCATCCGATATTCGTAAGAGGCACACGAGAAACATCTGAAATCCCGAAAAAGATTTTCAGTTCCTTTCCTCTTTTTTCTTGTGAAGAAACGCTGAATGAGCGCACCTTGGCTTCTCTTTCGAATCTTGTGCGAGGAAATTTGGTTAGTGGCCCCGCGGGGATTTGAAATGAACAAAGGTTTTTCCGAGGCTTGTATGTACAAGAAACGAAGCAACTTTGCGTTTTTTAAGGCTCATGTCGGGTTCAAGGTGATTCCGCGAACTTCGAAATAGCCGTCCAAGATTGAAAAAATACCCTAATTTTGGAGGGTCAAATATAAATTTTGATTTCGCGCAAATTACTTCGAAAACGGCATGAGGTTTTAATACGCCTCATATTCATGCGTTTATTTTAAATGAAATAGGAGAAAATACGCTTCAAAGGTAAAATAGAAATAAAAATGATGATCGATGCCAGTGAAGAAGTATATTCGCTGTAACTATACACACTCAGATTTCATGCTGAATTTGTGAGAAAAAAAAAATCAGAAAAATTAAATTACTACTTTTTGATTGTTATTAAAAAAACCGACTGTTTGAGCTTTTTTTGCATATAAATTTTGGCTTAGTTTGATATAAAATTTTATGTTACAACTTTTTTTGTAGAATGAGAAAATTCTAAAGTACGGAAAAAAAGAGTTTTTATTAAAGGCGTCGAAGGGAAGCGCCGAAAGGGCTACTGTAGCACCGAAGCAACTGGAAATCGTGAAAAGCTGACGCGGAATGACCTATAGCAGAATTTCATATTTTATAAAAATTTTTAATGAAAAATCAATTTAACGAGATCAAATTTGAAGTCTGTTCTCCTCCTAAGACAACAGAAAAGAGAACATCATAGTGATAAAAATAAGATTTTTGAATAAATATACTCAGAAACGTGTCTCAAAGCTTTTTCAATAGTTTGCTGAGGTTTCAAAAAAAGCGACCAGTCATTAATATTGTGTGACGAATGTTGTAGTAATTCAAGCCAATTTCAACTTCTTTGCCTTTGAAAAACGCCAGCAAACTGTATAAAACTTTAAAAAAACGAAAAGCGAGATATAAAGAAAATTTTTGATGTTCTTTTTAAAAATAATATTATAACGGCATTCCAGTACGTCAATGGCGCGCAACTGTTGTCGAAACAGTTATTTCTCATTTTTTTTTTTTATGGCGTGTTCATCGGACAAAACGAAAATTGCTTCGAAACGCAAACAAATTGCTCCAAAAACAAAAATTAGTACTGTTTTGGAGCAACTTTGGCGCGCCGATTTTTCGAACACGATTTTTCGTTTTGAAGCATGTTTCGTTTCTTCGATGAACACGCCATTAACTATTGTATTTTTGCATTATTCATTGAAATTCCTCAGCCAGGATGTTTGAAGGTTTATAGTTCTTGCAAACTTTAAAATAATACTGGAAATAAAAAAACGAAAAATTTTGTTAAATTTGCTTTGGTTGATTTTTTGGACAGTCTAGTCTTATAATGTTATTTAATGACATTCAGGTGATTTTGATAACGATTTTCCTGCAAACGGTGTCCAGAAGTGCCTAGGACTTTTTCTATTAAAAATTGCTCGAATATTTCTGTATTTTGATAGGGAAAATTAATAACGTCCAGCCTTACGTTATCGTCACGGAAAATCTTGACAATCGTTTCGAGTTACGAGCTTTCAGTTGTCCGTTGAATGAGAGGAGCCACTCACACTCCCTCCAAGAGGAATCCATTTGCGGATTCTAATTTCACATCAACTTTTCTTTCTTCTCCTCCTCCTTCAACGCTGACACACACACACACACACCAACAAAATACTAGATAGCTTCATGGGCAATTGTCTTTTTACAAATTATTTAATGAAGTTAAGTTGAACAATTTTTCAGGCGGTTCAAATATCTTTTCTGTAGTTTTGAAAAGCGCAGAAGTTTCGGGAAATCACTGAAAACTGCTTTTCGCCTCGATACCCTTATAAAATTTTCTTATGCTCCTTCAAACACCACTGCCTTAATTCTTTCCGTATTTTTTTACTTTGCTAGCAGCTGAAAAAAATTCGAAGAAAAACGAAAAAAACAGAAAAAAAAACTAATTACAACAAAAAAATGCTGATATTTCTCACGACTGGTTGAAAAAAACAAAAAAATTGAGGGTGTTGAGAAAAAAATTTTTTTAAACTTTTTAAATTACATTAAAAAAAGCTTATTTTGATCTATGTAAAACAAATCTTTTGATAATTTTTTATAACGTGGAAAAACTGTAATCTCACGGAAGCCATAAGAAATTATTTTTTTGAAAGCCAAAATTTCTAATGAAAAAATCGAAAGACAAATTGAAAAGAGGGAAGTCAAGAAAATAAAATTTAAAAAAATTTCCAACCACTTCGAAATCATTTGTGAGATAATTATGTGATCTGGGAGGAAATTCTTTTAAAAATCTAATAAATTTGTTAAAAAAAGACCTAAAATTTGTCCATGAATCTCTCCTGCCATTATATTGAAATCGTTAGGTTTCAATTTCCGGGCTCATTTTTTTCTTTTCTTGAAATTCCAATTTACTTTATGACTTTCTCTAGTCTTGGAAATTGTCCTTTTTGAAATTTATTCGAATTCTTTTCTCTGGCGTTAATTTCATGAAACTGGGCAGAATTATATGCATTTCTTTCAGCCTTATCAATTATCTAGATACTCACATCTTTCGACGCATCAAAGAATATCAGAAGTAGAAAAATTCGATTTCGAAGCTGAAAATGCATGCTTATAGTTTTGAAATTGAAACGGGAAAAGTCGTATTTTTTTGCAGGACAGGTGTTTGATTTTTGAATAAATCGAAACGCTCGAATCTGAAAAAAGGTTTTTAAGACTTGAATTGCGCTGTGGTACTAAATTCTTGGATTAAAATCTCTCACATAAGACTTAAAACCCGGAATTACAGGCAAAAAAATGTCGTTCTTTTTTCTTTTTGGAAACTAACCCAAAATACACCTTTCTACAATTTCATATGATCATATTGAAACTAAAAAAATCGTTTTTTCGACAAAAATTTTATTATTTTGAAGCCCTCTCACACTAATTTTGATGATTTTAAGCTTATCCTACTCAAAAACCTAAATTCAGGGCCGAAAAATTTTTTTTTCGGTCCTAACAAAATGTGTACAGCCTACACCTTTCCACGAATCCAAAAGCTCATATCTCAACTGGAAAATCGGCTTTTTTTTGCTCGCGGTATGCTCCGCGAGCCAATCAAGAAGCATTGTTCCGCGCCTTGAGTCAGCCTTTTTGCCCCCGCGAAGCTCCTCGTAAACAGACGATTGTTTAGAATTTGTCTTCCTGTCGTCTTGAGAGCTTCCATCTCACTTATTATGGCTCATCATGTGCGCCCATTTCCGGTACTTTGTTTTGTTGGGCTGGTGTGAAAGGCGCTGATTGGTCAGCTTTTGTATAAAAACTTGAGCCTAAAAAGCTTCTCTACTTCTTTGACTCAAGTCGAGGGGAAACCGAGGAGAGCTGATCAACCATTTTTGAATGAATAAGTCTATAAAAAAGCGTCTGAATGTTCTAGAAAAACGCCAAACAGTGCGAAAGCTTCCTGAGAGATTAAATAATCAGTAAAACGTATGGGAGCTGCATGCAGCAAAAAGGCTCAATCTCTGCCATCGGCCTTTGGAAAGCCGGCACCGTACTTCTTCCTACGACCTCTCTTGTACCTGATGTTCTACGAGCGAAATTCACAACTTCTCTGCCTAAGCCACAGCTCCTGCCGCCGTTTAAACACAGTTGAAATCAATGAAAGTCGATTGCACATGTACTCTTACATTGAAGATGCAATAAACAGTTTTTTTAAAAAAACGTATAAACTCCATTTTTTAACATTCCCAATTCGCGATAGGATAGTAAGACCTATCTTTCAAAAATGAAAAAAAAAACCGTCTTTTTTCCCTCTTTTCTTGCAAAATAAGCGCCCCTGAAGTTGAAAAACTTCTTATTTGACTTTTTTTCTTTCATAAATCTCACTATACTTACGTATTTTTTTATCTAGCTTAAAATTACGGTGGAACGTAGAAAAAAATCGATATTTGAACTTAAAAAAATACGGCATTCACAAAAAAAATCCTAAAAAAATTTCACCGAATTTTTGAAAAATAATGAACTTTTTCTTTTTTTGTAAATAGAAGATCACGGTCTTAATTAAAGAGATGAAAAAAACAGGAATATTTCGACACAAAAAAACGATGAAAAAGCCTAAAAATCACCCGATAAAAAGTTCAATTTTAAGGTTCTATTTCGCGCAAGTCTTTCTCAAGCTGACTTTCTAAAGCTTCTCAGAGACATTCAAACCAATATCAATTTTTAAGAGAAAGAGAAACTCACTTCAACGCCTCCACGGCCTTGGCGGCGACGACGGCCAGCACCAGGAACGGAATTAACAGTGATGACGTCATTTGCAGCCGACCTGACACGGTTTTCGTCCCATTAGAAAATCGACGGGAGAAAGATCCAAGGAGAATTCCTCCTGAAATGGCTGGAATTTGTTTGGCCACGCCTACATTTCGGGGCTCCAGACTCCGCCCACTTTTTTTTTGTGTGTGCTCACTTCTTCGAGATTGGTGCCACATGGCCACAATGAATTAGACGTTTATTCCGTGGGAAATGGCACCAAATGTACAAACAAATATAAAATGTCGGACCCGATGGGAAGCAAGAAGCAAGTGGCACAGTGAAAGACTTGGAAAAGCGAGAACAAAACTCGAATTTAAGGTAAAATCATGCAAATTTTGAAAGACTGAAAGGTGGGAAAAAAAACATGCAAATTTACAAGTCATGGAAAATTTTTTAAAGACTGAGGGCTGAAAAAAGTATAAAATTTTGGGAAAACATGCAAATTTACAGATAGAAAGCGAATTTCGAAACCTTGGGCCTAGAAAAAGCCAAAAATTCCAGCAACTTCAAAGACAAAAAAAAAAGATTTCGAAAGATTTACATTCCATAAATTTACAGAAACAACGTCACACAAAATTCGAAAAAATTTACAGACAAAATAATCGAAAAAACATGCATATTTATACAGGCAAAACGTGAAATTGTAAGAAAAATTTCGTAAAATTACATACGCTTACAAAAACATGAGAGAAAACAAGCAAACTTACACATAAAATGCAATTTTCAACAAACTTTAATGCTTTGAAAGACCTAATTCAGTAGAAAGACTATAAAAATCCATTTTTTTCAGAATTTTTTTGAAATGAACGTTAATTTTGATGGAATGAAAGCTCACAGTTATTCAAAAAACTTGAAAGGAAAAGTTCAAAAACTCTGAATTAGTAAAAAAAAAAAGTAAATACTTTAATAGTCTAAAATTTTAAACTTTCTAAAAAAATTTGAAGAAAGCTGATTTTTATTTATCACCTAGAAATTCATTTCTAACGCCATAAAAATATTTATTTCATTGTAAAAAAATTATAAGAATTAACTCATTTCATGGATCCTGACGTCATAAAAAAATTAAGTTATGAACTAAATCGAATCGAATAATATAGGCCTAATGATTGGAAAATTCTTGAAATTACTGATCTTTTTTTTTTGAGAATTTACAGAAATTTAACTTCTTCAAAGTTTTAATGTAACAATCTCTGAAAGTTTAGAATAATTAAATAGGAACCCAAAATATTTTTACAGGCTCACAAATGAAAAAATCAACTGAACTACTGCTGAGAAACGCCGAATAAGGTGGCCAAACCATACTGTGTGACGATGCTCACCACGCTTTCCAGTGGCCGATTCGGATCTCTGGAAAGAAAATTCATTGATTTCCTCTTAAACAACTCAAAAGTACACATTTTACGACAAAACGAGGGAAAAGCTGAAAATAATTTTTGGAAGCCTCGGCCAGTTAATTTTTTACGATCAAGGTGAGCGTCAAGTTGACGAAAGCTTGAAAACTGATTAGAGGAGATTTTGAAGTAAAAGAAAATCGATAAGAGTTGTGAGAGCTTGAGTAAAATATTTGAATTTTGAAAGACTTGAAAAAAAAATCGTCAGCGCTCTGAATTTTTGTTCTTTATTGACTCTTTTGAAATCACGTTCAACCTTTTTCATTAGTAATGATAGTAAATTTTCCTGAGAACTACTCGGTTCGAATATTTCATAATTTGAGATAAACTGAAAATGTTTATTAAATAAGACTTAAATTGCATTTTTAAGAAAATGCTTAACTAAAAATATGACTTATACTGCCCCATAAAGAATACACGCTCCGATCAACGCGATATCGCTGGAGGGACATTGAAGACATCGCAAAAGTACTCGTTTTAAGCCTCGACGCGATCTCGCATTCTCCTTAGCGCAATATTGCATTTTGGTAATTTTAAAGCTTTTTTTTGAGCGCATGAGAACGAGAAAAACGCGGCGACAATGGATTTCATTCGTGATGTCGTCAATATACCGCCTCCGACCTCACTCCTAAGTTATCTCTCAGAAAAATGAGTCTCAAATTCCGAGTAAACTCTCTTCGTTCTGAGGAAGAGTCTTAACATCCTACCGAATCTTGGGGATGGCGTTGAGGATGAACTTCTCGATAGGGCCTCCGGTATCGCCACGGAAGGGCCGATTCTCCTTTCCGGGCACCCAAGTCGAAGGCGGCGGGGTCGGGAGAGGCTGTCCGTTGTCGGCGATGTACTTCAGGACAAAGGAGACCTCGTAATCGATGGCCTTGGCGTTGGACATGACCAACATCTCGGATTGGTCCGACTTGGAGTCGACGTGCTCCTCGAAGCAACTGAAAGAAGAAGCTCGACCTAATTTCTTTTGATATAGCCGATTCATGGTTGGCTTGAGTCATCAAAAATAAAGGTCCTGACACAATAAAAAAGAGATAGTTCTTGATTGGTAGAGAGCGCAGACAGGTTTAATGCAAAATTTGGGATTTTCTAAAAAATTTACATATACGGCACTACAGAATGGTCCCTATAGGAGTTAAACCCCTATAGGGAACGAAATAGTGACCCTTAGAGAGGTCAAGGGCCAGCCACAAAAGCTTAAGTAGTCCCTATAGGGTATTTTTTATGAATTTTTGTTCACATCAAAAAATTGAAAAGACAAACTCGATCCATTCTGTTGCTATTTTTTCTTCAAAAAACGCTAAATTATTGATTTTTTCATGGAAATGCTTCTTTTCATAGAGTTCATAACCCAATCGACTAACATGCTCCCCTACAGGAACAACTTTTGCAACCGCTAGTGGCCCCTATAGGGGGAGGGCGTTCCTAAAATTTCGATATAATACTTCAAAACTCAAAACTCGAAAGTTTGTTCCTACTTCGAGCTAAAATGATCTTCTTCGTAAGTTTGATAATCATTCAAGGATCAGGAAAACTTGGTACCGTTTTCGAACTTGAACCTGAAAGAACCCCCCCTCACTAACTGAGTTTTTCATCAGCCCCTTCTGACTCTTACCAAGTTCTGAAGCCGGTCTGCTGGAAGTCCGAGTTCGACTTGATTTCGATGAAGGCCTTGCAGGTCTGCTCACACCGGTAGCGGATTTCGTTCAAAATGAACCGGATCCGAGAATTTGGCGCCTGATTCATTGTCTTTTCACGTAATCAATAGATATTCAAACTTTGATCCTCCAATTGCAGTTCCGTTTACCTCTGTAGTTGAGAACCTGCCATTCTCCAGTCGCAATCAGTTCGCCGCCACATCCAGCTGCAACTTTTTGATAAGGGGAATCGAAACTATTTTCGAAATGATATTAAAAAGATTCATTTTTTAAAACCTATTCAATAATTTCAGGAAATTTCGTATAACTTTAAAAATTTTTATTTCTCTATCTAATTGTTTTCTGGCCATGATTCAACTATTGCAAAGTGAATAAAATGATTATTTTTCTGTAAACTTCTTTTTATTGAGAGAAACCAAAAGTTTTTTTGAAATCGACATTTAAAAAAATGTTTTTCAACATTCAATTCTTTTCTTAAAATTTTGCGCACTTTTTTTTAGCTTCCCTTTGAAGGCCTTGTGGCGTCAAAACATCATTTGATTCAAAAATGAAAAAAAAACTGATCCAAAAAAGGAAGTTTTTCTTCAAAATATCGATTTTTAAATTTTTCTAAAACTTTCCTTAACTTTGAAACGTTTCCTTTTGGTTCTATGTAGCTGACTTTGACTTATTCTTTTCAAAATGAGCAACTTGGTGACTTTTTCTGTGGAATTAAAGGTCACTAGCGCCAGAAAAGTGATAACCATCAGTTCCAGGCGCCACCAGCTCACACGTCCTTCCAGCCAGCCCATCAGGACATTTGCACTTGGAACAATCGTTCGGGTCGGCATAACCGCCGTGTTCGCAGGCCATCTGCGGGCACACGTCTGCAAATATTTCTATTTACTTTTCCGGAAAGTATTTTTTCACTGTTGCAATAGAGCCGATTGACTTGTTTGACATCGATGAAAGACGGTTTGGCCCTTTGTCCAATCGTCCGCTGGAATTTCTTGTCCCGAGTGGCCATCGTGACTTGGTCCCAGTCTTTGGTGAACGCCTGGAAAATGCTTTTTTTCAAGATGTGGGAAAATCTATGAATAAATTGATTGGAAACGTTTACAACAATAATATTTTGAACTTTCAAAACTCTTCGGTTCAAGGTTAGAACCACCTAAACGCTGAAAATCTTCGGATTTTCAAAAAAAATTATTCTGCCTAAACAAAGAAGAAAAAATAGTGTTTTTTGAGTCAAATCGAGAACATAGGAAATAATCAAAACGATGAAAAAGATTTAAATGAACATAGTTTAAAAATTCAAAATGAGAAAGTTTGAAAAAAAAAACTTTTTTACCTGTTAAATCTGGCAAAAGACCTATTATTAAAATTTTTGAATTCTTTCAACCAATTTAAAATCGCTATTCAAATTCTTGAAATCGATACATTTCTCCCTTTTTTTGGTCTTGAGACCAAAAGTTGTTGATACTCTTTTAAAATCACCAACAAAAGTGTTTGAACAAATTCTGAGTCACTCACAAGCCCTCCATAGTGCATGACGCTTCCCAAATCGTAGGGAAGGCCCATATCTTCGATTTCCTCCCAACTTCTTCGCTCGAAATTCCCGTCGGTTCCCTTGATGATCCATTCTTTTCTTCAAAAATCGATCATAATTTGCAATTTTCAATTTCGAACCTCAAATCGATGTACTGATCTCTATCCGGACGCGATTGTTCGTGCCAGAAACCAAGCGAATGGCCAACTTCGTGTGAAATGATGCCCGTCTGGAATTTCGAATCATTTTCCGTGAATACAACACATTCTGAAATTACATCTTCGCATCCATAACCAATAGAAATCATTTGAGAGCCTCCTGTCCGTCCAACGGATGAGTAACATCTGAAATTTTCTTTCTTATTCACCTCTTTGATTTTTGCTTTCTTCTACTGTATCATTAGTAACGCGAAACGGACGTGCATTTGCTGATTCAATTTGGCTCTAAGTGACGCGAATCGTTTCTACAAGAGGAGAAAACGATACAGAAACCGCGGAAAAAGAAAATTAAGGAGCCCAAAAATTAAAAAATTTGAACTTCAAAAAAATTTTTAGTGTCTCCGCTAGCTTTCACGTCATACAACCCATAATTTTATTTAGAAAAAAAACTTCATTCTCTGCAAAAAAAAAACGTGAACCCCGTGGCAAGGTCATTTTTTGATATCGAAAAAATAACACTCACAAAAAAACCACGTGACAACGTGTCATTTCTTCTTGCATGACCTGGATTCAAATATCATTTCTCATTCCCTTACGACTCCGTCTTGCTTCTGCACTTTAACGTCAAGATGAGTTTTGAACTTCCATTAAACTCCTAACTTCCAAAATAAGTTTCTGAGTTGTAAGCGCTAGTAGATTAGGCCCGCGGGACTCCCGGAGTGCCGATCCTCTTTGCTTGCAAATTGGATACGCAAAGTCACGCCGAAGCCCATTCCGGTGGCCGAGGCACAAACTGTTGGCAGCGCGATGCTGGCAAAGCGATGATGGGACCCCCGCGGAAAATGCCGTCACGGCTTTCGGCGTCTAGGATTCTTAGTTCTGACAAGGCCGAGCGGAGCTCTAGCGCACCGCCTAGTTAGTTCTTCTGAATGTATAAAGTTTTCCTAACTTACTTACGAATTTACATAGCTAATCTTTCAAAACATTGCGATTCGAATAATGCAACCGATCTTTTTTTTTCAAGTTGAAATTATTGCAGGAAGCTCTCAACGAAAGTTTTCTGATCAGGCGATGGAGATTCGACAGCAGCTTCAATTAAAAGCAGTTTCATATTTTTAAAAAACTCTTTTTTATTGTTTTTCCTTCAGAAAGAACGTCTGGAGCAAATGTTGAAAATTGGGAACGAAAAAGCGTGTTGGAAACTGTCGATCGACTACTACTGCAACAACTGATGTGAGGTTTTGAAGGTTTTTGTTTCGAAAAATAATTTAACTTCACGAGCAGCTCTTTTCAATTCAACTTTTGTAATTATATCCTATTTTTCCGCACTTGAAAGTCTTTTATCTTTAAAAATTCAGTTAATTGCGATGACAAGAAATCGTCGCGAAGACGTTTTCAAACTGGGTCCATGGCGGACAGAGTCAGATCAACTGCGAAGCCGGCTAAAAATACCAGGTACCAGCCCGATGTTCTTAAAAGCAGCTGAGGGCTTTTTTGTTCTGTGTTCTTGCAAAAGACGAATGAAATAGCAGTAAACTTAAAATCGCGAAATCGCTCCTCACTGTTGGCCCCTTATTTGAATTTCGCGGAATCATTCCGAGAAGGCCTTCTCGGAATGATCCTCAAGGATTAACGTTACCAATGTCCGAGTAACGCGAAACGGACGTGTCCGGGCATTTCTAGTGACCCAAGCAGCGTCAGCATTCTTAAGTGATCCCTAGAAATGTTCATAAACGTCCGGAGGCTTGTGCGGTGGCCGGCCCTGCTCAGCCTCGGCCAATTTCGAAGCCCGGCCCACGCCTGACACACAAGCTGATCCGGAGCACGTCCGTTTCGCGTTTCTAATGAGACAATAGAAAAAGTAAATAAATCATAGAGGTGTTATAGTCTGTTTAGATTTTGAATGTCAAGTTATCGCTCAAGCTCCACCCCTCATGGTGCGATAAATAAAATAAGAGAGCGAGCCATCAACGGAGTATTTTTGAATGACGTCATTGTACTTGACATTAAAAATCTGAACAGACTATAAAAAAAGAGCGCCAAAAATGTAGAATTTTTCGCGATTGATAAATAAAGTAAATAAATTATCATGAAAAAAGAAATATTTATTGATAATATTTCATTGCCAGTCATTTTTCGGCTAGCCAATAGAAAACAATACTCTTATAGGCCATTCCGCGCTAGCTTCTCACGTTTTTCTTTCCGCCAAAAGGCCAGGTCAAATTTAACCAACTTTCGCTTCAAGACCTTTGTTTCTTGCCGTTATAAAAGCAGAAATTTTATCTAATTTGGTATACAGTCTTTTTTGGCGGGAAGAAAAACGTGACAAGCTGGCGCGGAATAGGCTATAGAAGGAAAGGAGTGAAAAGAGGAAAAAGAAAAAAAGAAAAAAGGAAAAAAACCCGCGTAAAAAATTCGAATCAACAAAACTATTCGATGGAGCGCACTCATTGCAAGCAGACATTTTTTTTTTGCTTTTTTTATTTTAATTTTCGACTTTTCCAATCATTTTCCAAAATAGAATCGAATCTAACCTATATCATTGATAATTCATCATAAGAAAGCATAAGATTATACTTAGAAAAAAATTTGTTAATTGTTTGTCAATTTTTTTCAGAAAACAAATAAATAATTCATTTTTTTGAAGCATTGGCTCAATTAGTATACTTTTTCTCGTCTAGTCTGTTCTTAATTCTAGAAATACATTTAGAATCCGTAAGGTCAATTGTTTCAAAAAGAAATTATCTAAATCGAAATTCACGATTTTTTTGAATTTACTCTGTTTATTTTGATCATGTCAATCAATTTCAAACCAAATTTTTTTTAGATTGATCATTTTTTGTATTTCTCCGTTCATTTTGATAATGTGAATCCTTTTTAAAGGAAAACTCACCCAGAGCCTCTAAAGAAAATGACATAATCCTTTCCGGGTCCATTTTCCTGCCATCGGACACAAGTTTCTCGTTCCCAGAGGTTCAATCCTTTCTTGATCAGTCCTTTCCATTCCTCTGAAGTAAATTCCCGATTTGATTTTGATAATAAGTCTCATCTACCATCCCCTCCTTTGAAACGGTAGGGAATCGGACCTGTTGGCCAACGGTAGACGGCCCCAGTGATCACCTGTAACAATCTCTCGTGACGTGTCAAGAAATCAAGGAAAAGCTTGCAAAAAAGAGAGAAGGAACGAACTTTACGCTTGACACGGCGACCTTGACGCTGTTGTTGCGCGGCGAGAACGACGCTGTAAATGGGGGAAAAAAGTCGAGGCTTTTCGTGTGTAATGTACGTTTATGAAAGCGGATGACTCATGGAACACTTATGGATAGATTGTAATGTGCCCTTTGAAAAAAAATTATCAAGGTTTAAGCTTTTTTTGAGAGTCTTTGACATAAAGTGGATAATTACGAAGAGAAGGTGCTGAAAGAAAACTTTTCAGGAAATCTTTGAAAAAAACATAAAATTTTTCTTTTAAAACTTCTTTTTGCAAAAAGTAAGGCTGAGCAAAGTTTTGAAACCCTTTAGAAAAAGCTTTTTTTGAGGGTTCCCTTTACATTTTTTTAAATTTAAAAAAATTGGCTGAAATTGAGGTTGAAAAATTTAATAAATTAAAAATAATTCCTCACGCTTTCATTTGCCTCACAGTGAGAACCATATCCGACTCGAATAATTTGTTGGTTAGAACTCGATTTGGTCCCAATTCGGTCCCGTCGGTCCAAGCTTTGATTGGGACGTCCTAAAAAGCTTTCCTTCAAATTACTGTGATTGAAGTACGTTACTAACAGCAGGAGTTGGCTTATTCGTAGCGACGGCTTCGAAAAAAGCCTCCATTAGACTTTGAACAGCCCCGTAGTCTTGATTTTGGCCGCCGTGGGTGTCGGAAAACGTCGCGATCTCGCGGATCATCTTGAAAACAAATAATCTTTTGCTTTCAGTTTTTTAAAAAGCCATTTTTGCAGTCCAAAGGCCTCAAAAACGTATCAAAAAAAAGTTGACGGATCCTTTTGATTTTTTGGAAAGGTGACAACTTTCTTTGAATCTCCCCTTATCATCTTTTTTTACCGATTTTTTTTCAGAGACAGACAAAATTTTTCAATTTTTTTCCTGTGTACAGGCCAGCACAACTAATTTAAAATTGAATTTGAAAAATAAAATCACGGCATTGAAACAGAAAAAGGACTTAATTTTTTTCCTAATCACTTCAACTTCGGTAGAAAAAAAAATTTAGGTAGGGTTAGACGGTTCATTTTGCTGTCGGAAAATTCTACATAATTGTTCAGAATCCTCATTATTCTTCCACATAAAGCCCATAAAAGTCTCAAATTTGTTTTTTCTACAGGTTTGAACGGTTTTTTTTTTGACTTTGGGGTATCCTTTCTCAAAAAGGAGAAAGTTGTGCAGGGTTGAGACGTTCAAAATCTTCGAAAATCAATAAATGAACTTGAAAAAGTTTAAAAGCAGGAGGACGTCCCGAGAGGGCTACCTTCGATTGCGCCTTAAATTGCCACTATAGGGACCCCTCTGACATTCCGAAACCATTTTCAACGAAAAACTGACCCTGGCCGCATTGTGAGCAAAGAGTTTGGGACTGGCCGTGGTGGGAATCACGGGCTTCAGAGTCACCGGAGGGGTGGCAATCGTCGGAAAAGTGAAGGGAGTCGTCGATCCGACCGTCGGGAAGGTGAACGGCGCGAAGGTGAAGGGCGTCGTTTTTGGAGCCGCCGTCGTCAGGAAAACGTCGTCCATAAACCTCAAAACCAGGCTTTCTACCCCTGCTCAAAAACCCCTTTTCCATACTTGAAAATCGAAGGCGACGCTTGTTGCCCGTTGTGGCCTGTAACACGAACAATTTTCGAGGGAAAAGCTTCATTTCATATCAAATCTTTGCATAAGTTATGTACAGATAAGGGTGATAAGGTTGCTAACCGATACGGGTTAAAGACATGTCAATATTATCGTCGTAGTCACCTTGAGAAGGTCTTGGATGCGGATTTGTGCGGACGGCGTGGGTTCGGGCTGGAGCCGCGTTGACCGACTGGAAGTTATTATTGAAAATAGTCTTGAGTTGGTGGAAAATTGTGAAAAAGCACAAAAAATAAATTTTACACTGTTCTGAGGCCTTGGAAACTCTTACAAATTCATTTTTCGAAACTGTTTCATTCTGAATCGCGCTCATACTAACCTCCGAGATCATACCTCGAGATCAGTCGCATAGTCGGCGTCGGTCGGGACAGGCGCTGGGGCTGGTCGAGGTCCAGCCGCCGGGGCCGGTTGTCCTGGCGGGGGCATTCTCTGAACACAACAACGTTAAAAAAAGTATTACTTCAAACATGATCGCTCAAAATGTCGAAAACAAATTTTCCCATTTTCGAAGGGTACTGTATGTAAAAGTCCGCATTCTGTGCTGTTCATTTTGTGTTTACACTCATTTGTGCGTGACTTTTTTTGAATAGTTTATTTCCGCCTTTTTGGATTTTTTATTTTTTAGTTTTAGTTTTATTAAAATAAAATGAATAGTTCATGTATTTCAACTGTTTCATGTAGTTAAAATCCATTCTGATAGAATTCAAAAAGAAAAAATGCAAAAAAGCGGACACTCGAAAATGTCCCGCCGCGAAAATGCAGACACACAGAAAGAACACCTCAGAATTTTACCATACCGTACTCTTCGGAAATGAAAAACTCGCTCTTATAGTAGCATCCTTTTCACAGCTAGCTTGGGACAACAATCTTTTATTTTTTAAATTCTCCAAAAGCCTTTGAAACTATAAATTATTTTTAAAGAAAATTTCGTGCCTTTCTCGCTCGCGCCAACTGACGTCTCCTTTTACGGAACCTTCCAAAATGCCTCCGTGGCTTGTTCGCCGGTTTCACCCAAAATTGAAGAAAAAAACAAAAAGTTTTTTTAGTTTCTAGTCTACAACTCATGCAGAACTGATATTCATGCAAAACTCCAAAAAAAAACAAAACTTTTTGTTGAAAAACGTGCAGAGGGGGATTGCTTCGGATTTCAAAAATTTTGAGCTAATAAAAAAATCTATTCAACCATTTGCGCATTTTAGAAATTTTTTTGAAACTCAAATTGATCAAAAAAATGAATTATTAAAAATTTTTCAAAAAAACGTTTTTGAAAAAACGATCTGTTTTTCTAACAAAAAAACGTGTTCAAGTTAACTTTTTTTCGTTTTTCTAGAATCTTCTTCTATTTTTCAAGGCAATAACATATGAAGTTCGACTCTTTTTAAGACTGAACTTTTTAGAATAAAAAAAAGTTAAAAAAATATTATAAACTAACTTAGCCACTATTAGTCAATCATTTGCGCTCTACAGACAATATTTTTTTCTATAAAATAAATGGTGGTCTAAGTGAAACATAAATTAATAATATTTTTTTCGAAACGGCTCTGAAACAGTTAAATAATCTATTGTGTCACAGTAAAATATAAATTTTTTTATTCGTTTTTCCTACAACCAAGAAAAATAAAGAATGAAGTCCAACTCTTTCGAGTTTGAATTTCTCAGAACAGCGTTCGAGATTTCAAAATAACAAACTTGTAAGATATAGTCAATTACAGCTTCGGTCTCTTCCATCAAAAAATGAATTAATGACGGATTTTAAAAAAAAGTTCGAAACAGATGAATCACCTATGTTTTGACACGAAAAACTCCAATTTTTTTTTCTTCTATGACCGAAAAGCTCAACTTTCCTCCGCCCTTTTTTTGAAGTTTAGAGCTTATAAAACTTACATTTAAAAAGCTGGATCCAAGTTTGAAAAGGTCTCCGAAACCACCGCCGTTGCCGCCTCCGCTGGGCGCAAATTGTTGGAAAAGACCCTGAAAACCGATTTTATTAAAGAAAGAAGAAAAAAAGTCTAAGTAGCATGACAAAATTTGAGAAGTTTTTCATTATGAAATAAACATAGGACTTTCAAGATAGCTATAAATGAACTTCAACTCTTTCAAGTTTGAATTTTTTTCGACAAAAAAACTCTTCTTTCTTTTTTTAAAAAAACGTTCATAAATTGTTTGATCATTTTTTTGTTGAAGCTAAAAAAATGTTTAAAAAAATAAATGGCTGTAAATGATATTGCTAGTGAGGAAAAGAATCTCTAGAGTTCAAGAATTTCAACTTCAGAAGTAAACGTAATTACGGACGAAAAGAATCAACTTCGAAAAAAAGAAATACCCTTTTGTAAATCGTTTGAAACAGGTAAATAATCAAATTCCCGAATTTGTTCAAATATGAGTTCTTCTTCCGAGAATTTATAAGGGCACTTTAACTAAAACATCCATGAAGGCACTATACCGTGATTCATCGTTGTAGGACCCAAGTTGTCTTGTGAATTTTTTGACAGATTTCCTAAGGACTGACTTTGAAGCTGGACTTATTATGAAAGCCTACGTACTTTGAAACCGTTTTCAACATAATAAAGCCCAAAAACCTTTTGAAACTTAGATAACTTGAAAAAAATGCCATCTCAAAAATTGGACCGATTTTTCCATCAAACATTGTGATATTCAAAACTTCTGGTTTCGTTAAATCTGTTTACGGAAAAGCTGACAATACTTTTTCTATTTTTTTTTCAAAAGAAGACCGTCTCGCACGGAGCACTTTATAGTTATAGTCTGTGTGCCACGACTTGAAATTTCACCGAACGACATTCCGCTGTTCCGCTGCGTGTGTTCGCGAAGCGTTTTTTGAATATAGGTCACGCTTTCATTTGATTGTTATTGCTGTGGGAGCACATGAAAGTAGAGTACCTTAATAAAATCAAAATAATAAAAAGCGCGACCAAGGTTCGCAAAGGCGCGCAGCGGCACAGCGGAATGTCGTTCCGTAAAATTCCAAGTCGTGGTACCCAGGTTATACAGCTGATTCACGGCTGACTTGAGCCATCGAGAAATGGGTCCTGACACGATAATGTAAGAGAAAGTGCCTGGTTGGTAGAGAGCACAGACAGGCCACTCCCCCTAGAGTCCCTATCTATCGACTATATGCTTCTTATCTCCACTGTTATTCCAATAAATTGTCTGGCTCACCCCAGCGGCACCGAGCGGATTACCGCCTCCACCGCCGCCGCCGCCGCCACCGAGGAACGGTGAGAGAAACGACATGAAGTCTTGGGCCTGAAAAGGAAACAGCCGTTTCTTGGTATTTGATAGGAAAGACCGGTTCACAAGGTTGCCATTCTGTCATCTCACAACTTCCTTCTTGTTTTGACAAGCGAAAGTTTCTTTGTTTCATCGAGAAAGTTTCAATTTTGATCTTTGTACCAGTGGAAAGTGGTGTCATGTTCAAATTAAAAAAAAAAAATGAAATTATCTCTTTTTATTGACTGAAACTTTAAACATCGGTCAACACGAAGAAAAAGGTAATAGAAACTGAGAACTTTTATTGTTAATTTGAAAAAAATGACGATTCGCTTTTAACTAGTTTTTGCTTGACTCGATTTTTCAAAAAAACAATCCAGAATTTTTTTCTCAACAATCCTCCAAAAAAAATTTAATTTTTCTTCATATTTTTTTCAAAAAGAAAAAAATGCGAACATTCTCGATTTTTTTCAGAAAGAATTTTTCAGTTAGAATCTGAAAAAACCCGCTCAAAACCGAATAAAAAAAGACAAATAAGAACTTTTTCTTTAATGATTAAAACATAAAAAAAATCCCTTTAAATATGAAGAGAGGGTTAAAAACGGATTTTTTTGATTAGAAAACATTTTTTTAAGCTCACCAAATAGTTCAAATAGTTAATTTCGAAAAACGTGACCAACTGATTTTTTTACTCGTCTTTTTGCCGAAAGGAAAGTTCAGAATATTTTTTTCTAGGGTCCTAAAAAAATTTCTTAAGGAAAACACATTTTACAATATTAATGCGTAAAACCTCACTTTTTCACAAAAAAAAGCAGCCTTGAATTTGAAAAAAAGCCGCCTAAATTCCGGAATAAAGCCCAAATAATTTTTCAAATCCGAACTGCAAAAAATAAAAGAACACTTCATTTCGAAATCCTAATAATTCGTCGGACAGAAAGGCACATTCGTCAAAGGTCGCAGCATAACAAGTTGAATCAAGAAATAACAAATAAATAATCAAAAATAGTACCTTGACATTTGCAACGAGGAAGACAAAGAATATCAAGAGCAGCTTCGTCGGTGGCATCATTTTGGAGGGAAATGAAAGGAAACGACTGAGAAAAAGTCGGTCTTCTCGGGGGGTGGAGCGGGGGGAAAGTGAGGGGAGGAGCGCCATTTTGGGAGGAAGCCGAATGGTAGGTATATTAGTCATGGGGCCGCAAAAAGACGAGTATATCATGTCATACACACACAGAAACACACAAGAAGCGTCATAAAACGGTTGGTTATTGGGAAAATCTTTTCTTTGGCTTTTAAAGGCGCATGGAAACATTTGAAAAGGGTCTCTAGACGAGGAGGAAAATTATGAAAAAGTTCCAAGGATATTCAGATCGGAGGAGAACGGTTTAGAGAAAATATAAGAGTAGAAATTGTAGCTTCTCATCGGTTTTTTCAAATAAAAAAATATCTATTTTTGTAAATCAGGCCTGGGTTATTCTGAAACTACCGAACTTTCGAAGCTATTTTTTTATTATTTTTCCTGGTTCTGAGCTGTTTTTTTAAACTCTTACATGAATTTTTCTGTGTTCTGACCTTAAAATTCTATTCAATTTTTTGAATTCTACTAATCAAAATTTTCAGTATTGAAAGAAAACCAATGAAAAACCACTCGAAAATCGAAAATCGATACAAAAAAATTAGTCAGCTAGATAAAATCTATTCTTTGTTGTTCTTCGGGACCCGTGGCGACAGAAAAAAGGAACAGATTTCAACATAATTTTAAAAAAGTGATGAAAAAAGGATCAATTTGACAAAATTTTCCAAAAAAGGACAAAAAAGAAGAGACGATTCAACACAAGCTCCAAAAAAGGAACAAGAATCGAATTCAACACAATATTCAGAAAAAATCATTTTCAGATCACTGCTCCTCGTCCTCGGAATCGTAGACGACGGAGACGACGAGCGACTCCATGGCGCGACCGAGGTCGTCGCAGGCCGTCATCAGCGACTGCATCTGCGAGCCTCGCATCTGCGACTCGCCGTCGCCGACGTCGCGGGCTTCCGTCTGCGGCTCCGGGGTCCACAGAGAATCGGCGACGCCCAACGTCGACGTCGCCCTTTGCGATGGAGCGACACTGCTCGACTCTTTTTGCTGCAAATAATCTTTTTGGTAATTATTTTTCAGATAGTTTTAATTTCAGGTAATTTTTTTCTATACAAGCCAGAAAAAAACTATTTTTTTGACCAGAAAATAGCGCAAAAAGCGAATAAAAAAACGACAGAAAAGTTCTTTTTTTGATGCAATTTTTTTCGAAAAAAATGAATTACCGCCATCGAATCTTATCAACTTCTATTAACTATCAAAATTTCATATTTTTTTACAAATAATAATTTGGGAGAAAAAGTCAATCTCCTAAAGAAGCTAAAACTAAATTTTTAAAAAAATTTTTGAAAAAAATAATATTTTGAAATTTTTTTATTCCTGTGAAAAAAAATCAACAGAAAACCTCATTTCTAATTTTTCTTTTCAAGTATTTTTTTCAGGTTATTCCCGACTATATCAACCTTTTGTTCAAAATAACGTCGAAAAAGCTTGAATTTCACAGTAGCTTCTCACTTTCTCAAGGAAGTAGCCTTTTTTTAAAATATCCTGATAGAAAATTTTTTAATTTCTTGATTTTTTTTTTGTTAATTTTTTTAGTTCCTTGCTTCAAAATAATGTCATGAAAGCTAAAAATTTACAGAATTTCCTTCACTCTTTCAAAATTTTCCCCTGAAATGACCTGATTGATGATCTTCTTCAATCGTTGCAGCTGGATCTCGAGTTGCTCATTTTGCTGCTCCAAAATCCTCGATCGATGCTCCAACCGTTGTTTGTGGACTCGCAACGCCTTGGCTTCATCCATCACCTACAAACTCGAATTGAAACAGGAAAGTTCAAAGTTTTGCTTGTTCGAATGAGGTGTGACCATTCCTCAATTATTCTGAAAAAAAAAACAGGGAAAGTGGAGATAAAACGAGGAGAATTGCAAGTGCGAATGTGTGTGTGTGTCCAAGTGAAAAAACTGGAATTTATGGGAGGATTTTTCCCAGTAAAGGGAAATCTTTGGGAAACGTTTGGTATTGAGGTAAATTTTTGAGAATAACCTTATTATTTGGATAAAAATAATATTTGAAACAATTTTGTGCCTTTAAACCCCGTGGTCGCAGGTGGAATGGCTCAAAGCGTCGCATTTATGATTTATTTCGTACTGTTGCGTAAACCGTTTTGGGTCGGGCGCTACTCGGCTCACCCAGCCGTTTCTCATGCGACCAAGAGCTTTGACATTGAAAATTAAACGTTCAAACTATCAAAAAGGTCTGAAAAAAACAAAAACTTAATTGTTCCAAAAAAAAATTACTTCCAATTTTTTTTTTTGCTTAACGTTTCCTTCAAAATTTGAAACATGGAGCTTCATTTTTCTAATTATTTTTAACGATAATAAATACATTTTTTTCAATCAGTTGCTAGTAACTTTTGCGGTAGTTTCGGGAAAAAAAATCCAGAAAAAAAAAGTTATTTTTTTCTAACTATAAGTTCTGTTTCAATATTAATATTTGAAAAAAAGTTGTTGAAATATTGTAGATTTGATCCAACTCATGAGATCATCTAATCGAATCTATCCCTTTTTCCTTATTTTTTTTTGGTTACTCACTTTTCTTCAGAATGAAAATTAATTACTAATCTACTTTATTATTACTTTTTTTTTTTAACAGTAATCTTCTTTACGAACATCGCTCTGACTCTGTGTGCTTTTCAGAGAAGGAACACTTCGGCCGTTTGTATTTCTCAGTGGCAGAGTCGCCGTCCGACTTTCGCTCCGTCGTTGAGAATGGCTAAAAATGTAATTCAAGGTCATTTTTCTGCTTCGAACTGACTAATTGATATCAGAAGTGCTGGCGTGCTTTTTCCTCTCCAACTCTTTCCGAAGCTGGAGATTCTCCATTTGAAGCCGTTGTAAGAGTTGGTCCATTTCGTCTTTTTGCATTTGTTCCACCTGAAAATCCTCTCCATGTATTTTGAGCTGTTAAAAATATTTTTTCAAATATTTTTCCGATTTTTTAAATTGTAGTATTGTATAGTTTTTTAAACACATTCTTACTCTCTATACATTTTTTGTGCTTAGAACATTTTTTTAGACTTTTTATTGTGCTCTTTGTACTTTTTTAATGGTATTCTTACCATATTTGTATCTTGAACTAACAAAAAAAAATATATTCTTTCTATTTAGTTCATACAACCCTATTCTAATGGTGTTCTTCGACTTTAAATCGTCGATTTTCGAAAAAAAAAAATCAGGAGATTCCCGACCGGATGTAAAATGAGCTTTTTTCTAATACAGAACTTTTTAATACTAAATATTTTTAGATATGGAAAAACAAGTCTGAAAATGTTTCTTGTTAGCCTTTTTTAAACCAATTTGTTGTCGAGACAAAAAAAAAACCTCTTTCAACTTCAAAAAAAATCAACAAACTTTTCTTTTCGGCCAAATCAGCCGGAAAATGTTGCAATGGGCCATAGTCAGAGAATATTTTTGAAAAAAAGTACAAAAAAAGGCAGAAATAATAAACAGCCAACACGGGACGTGTGTCAGTGAGAAGAGAAAACGACGACGTATCTACTGAATGGAGAAGAAAGACAAAAAAAAGATGAATGGTTTTTTGCCCTCGATTTGGTGGTCACATATACGCTCAACACAAAAGAAGATGGGCCGGAAATTCTCATTTTTGCCCTTTTTTTCGAATATACATTTCTCGTGAAAAATCAAAGATAATGAAAGCATTCTGGCAAAAAAATATTTCGAAATTTTAAAAACTCAAAACTTCATAATCATTTCCGAGTGGAATTTTTTCGAGTAACTGATGAAATGAAAACTTTAAAGTATTTGTTTTTAGAAACTGGGAACTTCAGAGAAGTAATATGAAAAACTGATACTTGGAGACTATGAAAACTCTCGAAAAAAAAGTAACTAAGCTAGAATCAGAAATTCCCAATCAAGTTACCTGATCAATAATCTGCAATGGAGACTGCAACCGATGGCTGTTGACATGAGAAATCGGGGCCGAGTTGAGGACGGCGGTGGATCCTCCGTTGGCGTAGGCCTCGGCGGGTTCGGCCGGCTGTTCGTTGCTCACCTTGGCCAGATGAGCGGCCATCGTCGCCGTGTGGGCGTTCATCGCGTCCGTCTCTGGATTGTGGACCTTGGCCGGAGGCGTCGTCAGTGGCGCACCTTCCTCTCCGACCTAAACGTTGCGATGTTCGAATCTTCAGATCTTGGTCTTGAAAAGTTAGTAAAACTCCTTAGATTCATTTCTGAAGTCTGAATCTGGGAAGCTAGAAAAATGCAAAAATTGACTGTCAAAGGAAGAAAACCAATATAGCATGAGATGAACTAGAAGAAGTCTCTGAAGTTTGCCATTTCTTTTAACTCATAGAACCCTTACGAGAAGCTTCACTTCGAAACGCGCGGCCTTCTTCTGTCCATGCGCCTTTAATATGAGCTACAGTACCGCTCAAAAAGTCTATTAAGTTTTTGGTTTTTTTGGGGATATCTCAGCGAGTACTTATCCGATTTATATATAACTTTCAGGGATAATGTAAAATATACTTTGAAACATATACGGTATACAAAAAAACATGTCCGCAATGACTGTGACGCGTTTTTAGGCATTTTTTTATTGAATTCCATTTTTTTGTTTTTTTATGCTTTTTATTTTTTTATTTATTTTTTTATTAAATTTTTTTAAAATTAATAATGCTGCCATATGATTTTTTTCATGTTTTTCAGACATGGGAAGAACCTTTGGAAATAAGAATTTGACTGATAACGACAAAAGAGCCATCGTTGTGGGTCGTCAAAATGGACTGACCATGATGACGTTGGCAGGAATGTTCGGCGTGACAAAGGCGGGCATTTCTCAGTTCCTAAAGCGTCAGAAAGCTCAAGATGGCTCTACTAACAGCCAACGCACTGGAAGACCACGTGTCACTGATCGTAATGACGATAGGAACATTTTGAAGACGTCTAGAACCAATCCAAGACTCACCGCTCCTGCGATCAGACGGGAAGTTTTCTTGAATTCGCCATCTCCGCCATCCGTCTCGACCGTGAAACGACGTCTGAATGCTGCTGGAATCATGGGAAGACGTCCAGTGAAGAAACCGCTGATTTCTGAGAAGAATCGAGCCGCCAGGGTGAAGTGGGCGAAGGAGCATCTCAACTGGACCCGTCAAGACTGGAACAAGATTCTGTGGTCCGACGAAAGCAAGTTCCTCCTCTTCGGGAGTGACGGAATTCAGTGGGTTCGTAGACCAATTGGGTCCAGATATCATCCGAAATACCAATTACCCACCGTGAAACATGGTGGAGGTTCTTGCATGGTGTGGGGCGCCTTCTCTGGAAGTGGCATCGGACCGCTTCATCGCGTGAACGGCATCATGGACAAGCACGTCTACAAAGACATTCTCCAGAACCAGATGTTGCCGCACTTGAGAGCCATGGGCCGTGGGAGTGTTTATCAACAGGATAACGATCCCAAGCACACTTCACTGTTCGTCAAGGTGAGAAAAATTGACAAGTAATTCGTATGGTTTTTGAAACTCAGGACTGGTTCAAGAGCCGTCGGGTCAATGTCATGGGGTGGCCAAGTCAATCTCCGGACCTGAACCCGATCGAACATCTCTGGGAAGAGTTGGAGCGACGTTGTGCCAACAAAAAGAGCCAAGAATTGCAACGAGAAGTTTGCTCAACTGCTGTCTGAATGGAATCAGATCCCCATGTCTACCATCGACACTTTGCTCAATTCTATGCAGAGAAGATGCCAGGCAGTGATTGACGCCAGGGGCTTCGCAACCAAGTACTAGGTCCCGAATATTGTTTTTAACAATGTTTTTGTGTTGATAAAAATTTTTTTGTTGAGCTATGATTTTTTTAATTGAAAAATAGCAAAAAAATTCGATTTTTTTCGAAAATTCGTTTTTTTCTCGAAAAAAATTATTATTCTTTGAGCTAGCAACTTGAAATTTTTGCCAGAACACGTATGTCTCTCTCAGAAAACTATGAAAAATTTGAATCGATATCGCATTTCAAAAAAAATTTATCCCCAAAAAACCAAAACTTAATAGACTTTTGAGCGGTACTGTAGATTTAAGGCTAACTGAAAGACGCATGATCAGAGGCAGTCCGTCTGCATCGAAGGGAAACTTTCCTGAAGGGTTTTCGGAGAAAATTAAAGACGTGACAAGTTGGCGTGGAATTAGCTATAACCCTTTAAAATTTCAGCTTCTGAGCATGAAAATTCGTTGTATGTCCTTTAAAAATCTACCGATGTTTCTGAATATTTGGCTTTCAAAGCATTTTGATAATTTCTATACGTAATCGACTATACCTCAACAGGTAGATAAGCCAAAGTCCTTCGGCTCCTCCGCAACTTGTTCCTGACCATCCGAGCAAAGTCTCGCGCGTCTTCCGAAGATGTCGTCTTGAAATGATCATTTTCTTTTTTTAATGGATAGAATCTCTACCGGCGTCGAGTATTCTTGCATGGGATGCTTCAATTTGTGTTTCTTGGCAGTTCTCTGGCTGAAGAAGCAGTTTTGGCACATGTCGAGGTTGAAGCAGGAAAGGCAGCGATATCGAAGGCCGACGATTGGGAACATCTTGCAGACGTTGCATTTCGACTGAAAGAGAACAGTGAAACTCCAAAAATGGCGTTCTTTGTGTTCTTTTTTTTTCTTACTCTATTTCTATCATAAATTTCCGTTCTCTCTAGAGCTCACCGTCATGAGACCGCTCGATTTATACTAATTTACAAATATTTGCTCCAAAATCTTGCAGCTTCAAGCTGATTTTTTTTCAAACAATTTTTCTCATAATTGGTCCTTCAGTCCTCTTATCTATCTATTATGGATGGTAACTTTCTAGAAAATATACTGACTTTCCCGCAGAATCCAGTGAAGCGAGTACGGTAAGCAACCCTGTGTATGTACCTTTCTCTAGTTTTTAGCCGAAAAAAAAAGTTTAAGCCTATTTTTTTCATTTTATTCAATTGAACAGCCTAAAAGCTCTATGGAAAAAGTGTAAATCTCAAAATCTTTGTTTGTTGGAACAGTCTGATCTGTCTGCGCTCTCTTTTCTCTCACTGGTGAGATCATAACTATATGAAAACAACGCGTGAGCATTAAAGAGGACAGAGAAGACATACTGTTTCATGTAAAGATCAAAGTACGTATAGTTTTTAAACCGGGAAAGCTAAAATTTCCCTTTTTTTATTCAACGACTTTTTGAACGACAAGAAATGATCACTGACATACAATACACATATTTCACAGTTGACAGCCTCTAACCTGATGCTTAGTGTCTTCAGAAGCGATGAGACGATGCATGACGGCGAGCCAGACGACGCTCTGCGGCTCTTTTCTCATCCAGTCCAGGAATCCCGTCTGAGAGATAGTCGGCGCGAATCGGACCGCCTCGAAGCAAGATCTCACCGACGGCTCTACGTTCGAGCCGCCAAACGCAGCCGATTCTCCGATGAGCCTTGGGATCTGAAAAAAAAAGCAATTTTCCGAACAATTCTAAGTCATAAGTTCGCCGCAACTTGAAATTTTCAAAGTGTCTGCGTCTCTCTGTTCCCTCACCGGCGAGGTCAGAGAAACATGAAATAGCGCGTCATTATGAGAGGGTCGGCAAGGGAAAAGGAGGGCTCAGAGAAAGACAGCAGCTTAAAGTAGCCAATAAGAGACTGGGTGTAGAAAATCTCAAATTTCCCCAGGAACCATGGTTCAAAGGAAATAAACTCACATGGATCAAGTCATACAAAAGGAGGGCGATTTGCTTTTGACTCGCCTGTCCATCTTGGGAAACCAATTGGAAAAGCACTGAGAAAAAACATCATTTCTTTTATTTTCCATTCAAACTCACTCTTGTACTTCTCATCCAGAGGAATGTTGGCGAAAACGATCAGGGCGATTTTGAAGGACAAAACTCGAAGAATACCGTCTCGGGAGCTAAAAAATACTTGTCAAAGTAAAATTTTAAAATGTCAAAAACAATTTTTTTTAATTTCAAAATTCGATTAGAACTCAAGTTGATCAAAAACTGACGGATCAAAAAGATTGAGAAGGAAATTGATGCAGACATCGACGGCCAGGGAGACGCTCTTCACTTGGTTCGGATATTTGAGATGGAGTTGCTCGAAAGTCGGCAGCAAACTGCAGACCATGCCTTCCAGGCCTGGGCATTCCTCTGCCGAGAGGCCTTTCATTCTGGAGAACGTCTGGAAAAAACTTGGGTTCGACAACAAAAATCACAGAAATCTTCAATTCGATACTTATTCGAATCTAATCAAAATTTTTCTATTCTCGAATCATGGGCTTAATGGACATGGGAAAAGTTCAAACGGCCTCAAAAAAACCTCAAAATAAAAATCTAGACTAGATTCTAGAGCTCCTTTTTGAGTTTTCCTATAAAAAAAGAGGTCAAAATTTTCTCCGAATCTCCTTTTTTTTCACTTTCTTCTCTTAAAAAAAGGTTTTTTTTTTCAAATGCCTAGAGAAAAGGAACCTGTGAGGCCTTTTAAAGACCTTTTTTTAGACTAAGCCCGTGGAAAAGCTCCTCAAAGTTTTTTTTCTGAGCAAAAAAAAAAAGATTTTTGCAATTTTTATTGGGTCACTGTGGTCATAGCTGATTAACGCTGGCTCAAGCCATCGAAAAAAAAGATTCCGACTCGATAATAAGAGAAATAGTGCCTGTTTGGTGGAGAGCACAGACAGGCCACGCCCCCTTAGTTCCCCCTAGCTAACCGTGAATCGACTATAACACCTTTTTTTTCTCGAACCTTTTCCAGAAGCGGCAAATCGACCAGATCCAGGCAGAGTCTCTTCTGCAGAGCTCGGAGCTTCATCGCGGTCCGATAGGCGATGAATTTGACGCGATTGAACTGCGACAACTCCTTGCACATCTCCACCCAAACCGGATGTTCCCATTGGGTTTTCTCGGTCGTATGGCTAAATTTGAAGGTTTTTTAAGAGTTAAATGCATTTTTACGGCTTTAACTAAGAAAAAGAAAACGTAAAAAAACAGCTGATAATTTTTCAGGACAGGAAAATGTACGAAAAGTCGAAGGAAATTCATAATAAAATGGCGTTTTGAAGGCGTTTCGAAATATTCAAAACGTTTCCAAAACATATAAATTTTCAGAACCGAAATAAATTCAAAAATAAAAAAAACGATGTGGTTTTAAAGGCGTTTCAAGCTCTGAAAATATTTTTATAAGCTTTATCCTCACTCAATATAATAAGGCAGAAGGTTCGTTTTGCTGATGGCCCTTTGCCAAGGGGGCGTGACGCTTTGGTTCAGGAAATGCTCAGAAGACGGTCCGAAGTCCGAAAGGGCGTTTTTCAACGCCGCCTGCCTCACTCGAACCGCACTTTTCAGGGTCGCATATCTAAGTTTGATTGTGATTATTCCTTTGTTGGTTTTCCTCAACCTCCGATTGACATTATCGACTTGACTTCTGGTATGTTGATCCAAAGGGAGATTCGCCGCCAGAAGACGTCCGGTGGCGTCGTTGGCGTCGTCGATGTGGAGTCGGACTTCGTCGACTTTCCTCGACAGGGCTTCAGTTTCCTCTCGGGCCGCCTTCAGGTCTTCCAGGTGGATTTTCTCGACCACTTCGAGTTTTTCGACGTCCGCTTCGACAGAGCTGGAAAAGGATATCCTGATGGTGTTTTAAGAAAATGGGTTGGAACTCTCTGAATGCCTTTCGGAAAACATGATAAATAAGGAAACAAAAAATCTAGAATCTAGAACAATTTTTAGCTTTTTTCTTTTCATGATATGATTGGCAAGGGAGACGCGTTGCGTGTGCGACGCGGATTTGGCGGGCAGCTCGGGCTTAAACGCAATCATGGAAAAAAAAAAACCTTCTTATCATTTTTATACTTTTATTCGTTCATTTGAAGCTTTTCGAAACGATAAAAAATTGAAAGTTATGAAAAAACTGCCAAAAAGAGAGAAACAATTGGAAGAAAGGCGGATCATTTTTGACCTCAATTTGCTCGCCAAAAAGCCGCGTCGCGTACGCAACGCGTCACTTTCGCCAATTTTTAAAGTTAATTATTTAGAAATAGAAGTTGGATCAGGCAGCAACTATGAGGTACCATCCTTCAAAGGAAATATTTGAGAAAACTTTCAGAGAAAAAAAACACTAAGCGTCTGAAACCCATCTTTAAAAATAATTGAAAACCTCGAATTCTCTAACTCCTCACTTTCCAGTTTCTGTCCTGTCATTTGTCAATGGAATACTTTTAGAATTGTTGTTGTTGTACACATATACAATTTGTTTCCAAGCCCTCAAGGTGTACCTTAAGTGAAGTTGGCATTCGGCTAAATTTCGCTCAATTTCTTGCAGACGCTGCACGGCTTGCTGGACGATCTTATCCCAGTTGTCTACCTGGAATAAACTTTGGGAAGAATCCCTTAAGGGGCCTCAATACCTGAACGCCAAGCTCCGCCCATTTTTGCTTCAATTTCTCGCAATTCGCATGAATTTCTAGGCCTCGACGCCGTTGTTCCATGTCGCCAAGTTCTTAAAATTGGAAAGATTTGATCAGGTCTCGAAAAAAAAAATCGAACCATCATCATTTCCATCATCCAAAACTCGGGCCGACTGCATTTTTGGCCTTAAGTCGTGTTGCATCAGGAACGAATGAGCCTCGGCAATCTTCAAAAAAAAGAAAAATTTAGAGCAAGGACTAAATTTCAAAAACTATTTATCAAGAAAAGGAAAAATTGATCATCTTTTTTTTTCAACAGTAAAATCGATTCCATGATTAATTTTTGCTTGATTTTCAAAAAAACTCAACTTTCCCACTGTCTTGAAACTGCATTGTAAACTCTCTTTGTAAACGACAGAATTCTGATTATTATCTATTTTTTTATTAATCAACTAGAGTACCCTAGCCCGCAAAGCCTACCAAGAACCTACCGTATTCTTATAAGCCGGGATGCGTTGTTCCATCTCTCTGGACACTGACTTGACGTAGGCCGATTGTTGCATGGCTTGGGAAAGATTCCCAGCCACCGGTTGTTGTTCTTCAATCTAGAATCCACCTTTTCTTCTTTTCAGTTCTTGCTTTTTCCAATCACCTTAACAGATTTCGAATCAATCCAAGCCAAAAGTGAGGCCAAAGTGTCGCTGAGCTTCTCCCATTCTTGCTCGGCTTTCTCGAGTCTTTCCCTAAACATTTGTGATTCTTTTCCATGTTCTGGGAAAAAACTCTAGGGGCCTCTTAAGAGGTTCCTCAGGAACTACTTGGAGAGGGCTCTAAAGTGGCCACTAGAACTATCTTTATAGAAGGTAGTAACCACTCTAGTAGTTTTCAGTGGTCTAGTAGTACTAGGACTTCTAAAAAAAAAAACACCTGGCCGCTTAAACGTCAAAAACCTAAATTTCCCTTGCTCTTCCATGATATGGTGAGGGAAAAGAGGGCGCAGACAGGTTAGAATGTACAAGGAGGATGTATGCATGAATTTTTTAGAACATTGCTCTGAAAATAAAAATTCACAAAAAAAAAACGAACCCAACATTTTGAGCCGTGGTTTTAATGGTCGCCCATCGTTGTGACAACTGAGAAACTCTCGCTTGCATCGAAACTTTTTCTTGGCCATTGTCAAGGCCTAAAAAGTTTAGTATTCATTTTTCTACTTTCATTTTCCATCTAGTCAGTTTTCCACGGCCTCTGCGCTCTCCCTGTCTCTCGGTTACCCTCTCATGTCTTCTTGCTGTTTCCCTGTTTCTCTAACCTCACCGGTGAGGAAACAAAGAGGCGCAGACACTTTCAAGATACGAAAAAAGACTATATCAGATGAAATTTTTTCGCTTCTGAAAAAATCCGCCTGACGTTAGCAAAAGTCTCAAATTTCCCGTTTTCTTACTCGTCTTGAAAAAATAATAATCTTTTTTTTGAGGTTCAGCAAGAAGAAGGTTGAATCAATCACTTTTCTGTTTCTAGGTATGTACAAATTTGAAAACTTGAAGGTATCGTCGGTCTCATGAAGCGTTAGTATCGCGGTTAGACAGACTCTGTGCGCATCTGTTTCGCGGCATTTTCGTCGACTCGCGCCCGACCAAAAGCGACATACGCGCGAGGTTATGAATTCCCCCAACAAGCTAAAATTTAGTTGTGCCGATTGAAGTAGGATGGTGATGAAAAATGTTTCTAATCCATTTGAACAGAATAGCGAACTCGTTTCCATACTATTAAATCTGAACTTTTTCTGAAACGGGAAACCTCATAGTTTTATAATTTTTTCTAACCCGATAAAATCTAAATTTCACAAGATTTACCATCGACAAGAAGTTTTCCCATGTCCTCGACAGCTTTTAATACAGCTTCATGTGCCGAAAGCTCTGCCATGGTGTTCTGAAAAATTGAATTTTTCAAAGTTTTAAAATAAATAGATAATTTCAAAGTTTACAAAGATATAGAATTACGCCTTAATTCAAGCTAAAAAAATCAAAAGATATAAAAAAACCCTTTTTTTCTCAAACTTTCAAATTTCATAACAAATTCAATGAAGTCACCCTTGATAGAAAAAAATTTATTTTTTTCTAATTTTTAAAAAAATTCCTTCTTTCAAACAAAACTCGAAAGATTCTACGCTTCCAAGTGAACACTAAAGAGGGATTTGAATCGCTTCAGTGATCACTAAATGACTTGAAATCGGTAAAAAAAAAATCATGGGGTTCTCCTTAAACACTGTCTCAAGACAGTGGGGATTGAACTTCCGGATTTGCTGGGAAAATTTAATATTCTGTCCCAGCTTTTCCTAGAAGCACAAAAAAAAATTTGACGAAAGTCAAAATTTAGGGAGGAAACTCCGTTCTTTTCGGCTTGTTTTTAAGCTACAGCTTCATTTTTAAGGTATCCATTTCTTAGGGTCCACCTTATGGGTAAAAGTCCACTGTTTCCTCTTGGAAGTGTCCTTGATCGCCTGCGGATTCTGAGTGTCCACATCCAGGGTATCCAGAACGTTTTCCTGTTTCTCGAGCCATTGTTCAAACTCGGCCAGGGCCGAATGGAAATCGCCACGGCTTCTCAGAGAAGCTTCTAGAACGGCTCTTCGGATCCGGATGCTGGAAAAGAAAAAATTACAAGGATATTCTTGAAAATAGGCCGGAAAACTAAGAAAATTTCTTCAAATCCTATTTTGTCTTCATTTTGTTTTAGGAGTATCGTGAAAAATGCCAGAATACTCCTCGAGAAGCCAAGAAATGTACGAAGTTGAAAAATTACACCTTCCCAGGGAAATATATATATAAACCGTTCACATTAAAATCTTTTTTTAAAAGCACCAAATTCGCTGCGCATCGGCTTGGAGATCTTATTTCTCATTTTTATAATGCTCTATCGCAAAATATAAAAATGCTTCTTTAGACATTTTTTTGGAAGCGATTTTGACCTCCCCACAGATCATTTCCCTTATAAAATTACTCGAGATCTTCATTTTCTTTCAAATTTCCATATAAAAGTCTAAAGTTCAACCTCATTCTTAAACTTACTTATCATTGAACTTGGTCCATCGCATATTCAAGGCGCTGATAATATGACTCAAGTTGTGAGCTTCATCCTTCGTGTAAGTGTCCAGAATCGAATTGGCCTAAAGTTGCCAAATACTTTTTGTTTCTGAAAGAGATGTACCTTGGTATTCATCTCCTGCATCCTTTTCCGTCTTTCTTCCAGCTGCGAGACGAGTTTTTCTATGTTGGACAGTTCGGCCCTCACAAGTTCTTCAGAGCATTCTTCCACCCGTTTTTCCCCTAAAGTTGGGCTTCCTTATTCGATCTCGCTCCTTTTTTGGAAAGAAAAGTGAAAGTTTAACCCTTTTAAAGGCACCTTGAGTCTCTCCATGTAGGCAAGTCGATTTTCAACAAAAAGAAATTACTTAAAAAAGTCATTCACAGTGAAAAAAAAAATGAAATTCCAAAACTTGGGAGGCAACTTGAATCGTTTCCAGATAATCAAGTCCATTTTGAACAAAATAAATGTTTTCAAAAAACCAAAAAAGTTACCAATGTGTTCCTGAGCCTCCTGCAGCCATAGGTCCATCTCATTCCTGGCGGTTTCATTCAGACGCGCCTCTTCGCCCATTCTCGAAAGGGTCTCGCAACGACGTTCACAGGCGTCGATGAGGCGGGTCATTTCGGCAATCTGACGCAAATTTTACACGTAAATTCAATTATTCTTCAATTTCATTCATCCTTCAAGTTCGATACAAAGGGGTTAGATCCGGATGCAACTATTGATGAAAATGGCAATGAACCGCACCGAAACCGCTGAGCATCTCAAACTATTCCCTGTACGGTTCTAAGAAAAAAAAAGAAGCTAAACAGCTTTTGTTCATCTATTTTTCCGAATAAACCTCACTTTGACATCTCCACTTCGAGCTTACTTTATTTTCGAAACACTATATTATGAATCTGATTACAAAAATTAACGCACCGAACCGCTGAGCATATCAATCCATTCCCAATGCGGTCTTAATATAAAAAACCAAAAAGAGATCTTTTTGTTATCACTCTCTCCCATTAAACTTGCACATTGTGAGGTTTTTCTATTCATCGTATAGTCTGTTCAGATTTAAAATTTCAATTCCTCGCTGAAGCTCCGCCCCCTAATGGCGCGATAAACCAATCAGAGAGTGAGCCAAGCGTTTTCGAATGACGTCCTTCTAATTGACATTCAAAATCTGAACAGACTATAACTTTTTGACGAAAATTTTGAAAGAATCTGATGAAAAAAATAACCGCATCACAGCCGCTACGCGTCTCAATCCATTCTGAATGCGTTTTAAGGCAAAAAGTGGAAATATACAGTAAGTCCCATTTGAAAAATCGGACTCGAGTTTCCTAGACAGAAAAACGAACCAATTGCAAAGCCTGCTGTCGGACAACTTTCGAAGGCGACGCGTCATGCGTCGCGGTCACTTCAACTGTTCTCATGCGGATCTCGTCAACGATTCCCTGAAAATTTCTTAGTATTATCAGAACTTGTTTCCTATCTGCCTGTTAGTTAATATCACAAAAACTAGATGTTTTCTCAAGACTTTCAGAGAGTTTTTGGGTCTTAGTACACCACTAAAATCAATCATTCCGTCACTAAGGAAAACTCAGAATTGGAATTACCTGAACAGTCTGCCAGAGTTGCTTGGCGGCGTGCCAGTCGGCCACGTCGACCGTCTGGGAAGCGTCCCTTTCCACCTCCAAGAGCCAATTTTTCGATTGTGTCAGTTGATTTATGGCGAGTTCCTCCTTGGCGTTGAGCTTGGTCATGTCGACCGGGTGTTGTCTCTGAGACGTCGACGGCGGCGTCGTCGAGGTCGAAGCCCTTGATTCGAGTGGATGGTAGGGCTGAAGGAGGAGATGGTGTTCAGCGTGGGGGTCGCCTTGTTCCTCGTCTTCATCTTCGTTCAGGGTCTCATCCGATGAGGTCTCTTCTTTCTGGAAGGGAAAAGGTCAGTTCAATAAATCAGCTCACAGGGATTCGTGTTATTGAAAAATATAATTTGGAAGAGCTAAAGCTAAAGGGCAAGAGAGGGGGACTAAAACTATTCTCACGATCATCAAAGACGTCACTATAAAGGGGGGGAGGATTCTAGATAGGAAAAAAAAAATTCAATACCGAAGCCTGCTTCTCGACGACGTCGATGACCGTACTGGCAGATCTGGACTCGGTTTCCGCGGATTCACTCAAAGCCGATCCCATGTCGAGTGCGAGAGCGTCGGCGATGGCAGATGCCGCCGCGGTGAGAACTTTGACGACTCTCTGGAACAGGCGGAGAACTAGCATTTTATTGAACCGACACATGTTTTCATGTTTTTCATTGAGTTTTAAATATATTACAGTATGTTATGATACATTAACATGCAAATAGCATAAAACATAAGGGTTTTCAAGGAGGGCGCAGAGAAAAACAGCAATTTCAAGCCGCGAAAATCGGAGTATCTTTGATTTAGGACTGGGAAACATTTCTGATGTCTGCGCTCTCCAAAAATCATGCGACATTTTTCATCGTGTCGACCATTTTTCGATGGGCCCAAGTCAGCCAAGCTCCATTCGCGCGGAAAAGTCTGGCCTGTCTGCGCTCTCTTTTCTCTAATCGGCGACACTCCCATATTCACATGTTATTTCTACATTTCTATGACCTCGTCAGAGAGGAAAAGGGAGCGAAGACAATTCAGATCCACTCGAACTCGTAGCTCATAAGGATTGCCCACGAGTGGAAAAAAGGCTCAAAATATGTGAGAGTCGCTTCAAGTCGGGCGCAACTATAAATCCAATGCAATTTTGAGAACTTCATATTCAAACTAATAACTTTAAAAGTCCACCAGAGAAAGAAAGTCACTGATTTTTTCAAAAGGTACTATAGTCCGTTTCCAGCAACGCCAAAGTAGTTCCTCTAAGGGATAGGAGGAAACAGCCCCTATAAAGGTCACTTTGACAAGCTTCAATGCCCTATATGGGAGTTAAAGTGGCCCCGACTACAAGGCCATTGTGATTGCCCCTATAGGGTCCACTCTGGAGCTCCTAAGTTCGCTGCAGTTCGACACTTTTCGAGTCTGCGTCTCTCTGTTCCCTCACCGACGAGGTCAGATCATCAGGAAAACAGCACGTCAACATAAGAGGGTCGCCGAGAGACGAGGAGGGCGCAGAGAATTTCCGGACTTTAAACCTGGTAAAAAGGTGCTGAAACGCAAAGTCGCAAAAAAACGGACTATGTTTCCAGAGAGATTTTATCAATTTATTTTCAGAAGCTCGAGAAATCAAACCTTGGCCGGATTGCCGCAGAGCTTGGCGGTCGACTCGCGGTTGGCCTCCTGGACCTGTGCCTTGATTTTGGCGACGGAATCTTTGAGGAGCTCCGCCTCACGGTGACACGAGGAGATATTCTCGCGGGACGGCGTGTAAATCGCCGCGTTCGAAATCGCCGCCGTCCTTCTCTGCAGCTCCAGGCTCCGGGTTTCGAGCTCATCTACATGTTGCCAGAAGTCGGACGTCTTCTGCCGCTCGGCCTGCACCCAGTTCTTCGTGTCGGTGACGTCAGTTCGAAGCTGAAGGTTACTTTTTTTTTGCTCAAGTTTCTTCATGGTCATCATCAGTTCATTCATTTTACAATAACTAAAACATTTCTAAGGGACATTCTGGGATTTTTTTTGGGCTCAAAAATCTTTTCTTTAGAAGATGCGTCTAAATTAGTTTTTCGTTTTGGTTTTTTTAAATTTTGATCTCCGAAGGAGCCCCTTTTTGACTCGACATGTTTTTTTATTCTTTTTTTCTTGCTTTTTCTTCATGCTCCCCCAGCCAATAACTGAATTTATTCTACTAGTTCTAAAAAGAAATATTTTTAATATGCGACAAAGTAAAGAACTTTACTGTCATAAACTTTTTCCTATGATTTTTTTCACCTTTATAAAATAAAATAAAGAAAAATCTTCAAGTACCTTGTTAATATCTTTCTTCTCTTTCAAAAAAATTCCATTTCTGGCGCTTTTTTCTTAAATTACCTTGGCCACTTCTTACGACTTTTTTTAAAAAGATCAATTTTTCAGAAAAATTTTTCCAGCTTTCAGAGTCTTCATTCATCCTCATCATAGTTTTACTTCCACAATATAAAGATCAATTTTACCCTTCTGAAGTTTCTTTTCAAGCCCATATCTTCTCCCAAAATCACCTTGGCCACTTCTTTCTTAAAAGATCTATTTTTCACAAAAATTTTTTTCAGCTTTCAGAGATTTTAATAATCTTCATCAATACTCTCACGATATATTTTACTCCCACAATATAAAGATCAATTTTACCCTTCTGAAAATTTCTTTTCAAATCCATATCATCTCCCAAAATCACCTTGGCGACTTCTTTCGACGCTTCCGAATACAATCTTCTGATTTCGTGTTTAGTTTCCTCGCTGAAGTGCGACATTGTCACCGCCACGTCTTTCGCGCATTCCAATTCGGCGAGTTCGACCCTTCTGCAAAAAATTGATCAACTTTTGAAATATTCTCCTTAAGGACCTATCGTGAAACTGCTTTCCATACTTTTCCAGCTTCTCGTCCATCAAAGTCAACGCTTCAATGTCCAGATTGTTCACTTCTCCGTTCACTACTTTTCCGACTTTCTCGCACCTTAAATGAATGGAATGGAAAAGATTGAAAAATTTCCCTAAAGTAGCTATTTTCTGTGAAGTTTTGATTGCTGGCTTAAATATTAATAATCACGCTATAATGCTTGCGTAAGGAGTTTCAAGCCGGTTGCTTTACAAAAACTGCCTCCGTTACGCGTTGAGCCATTCCAATCGCGACCATAATCTCACAGCTTTTCTTATTTAACACTCTGGGTGCGTTGGAATGTTTAGTAAACTTAAACTATTTATTCATAATATAACTGAAACAGGTATTTCACCAAAATAAAGTGTCAATGTCCGAAAATAAAATCAATATTATAATCGAGTTTTGAAAATAAGAGAAAAAGTTCTGAATACTAGTTTTTTTCAAAACCATTTTTCTTCCATTCAAAAATAGCCGACGGGCTTGAAAAGCTCAAATTTTTTTCAAGTCAAATATATCAAGCTTTTTCACGAAAAAGTCATGTTTTTGCTTATTGTCATGTTTTTGCTTATGACTTAGAATTCAACAGAAACTACGATTAAACAACTGAAAATCTTTCAAATGAGTTTCAAAATGTTTTCGAAGCCCCCGCAGACATTTTTCTCAATAATGAGCCCCCCCCGTCACAAAAAAATATCTTCCAGGACTCATTGAAATCTTCACTTGTCCATGTATGGCAATAAACTTTCCAATTTACTGAATACGAATACTTCCACCCAATCTGGCCTCATAATCTCAAAGATCATTTTCTATGGAACGAACCATTGAAGGACTCTCTGGAGGGACTTCCTCAGCTCGGCCTCGTTCATGTTGCTGAGCTTGGCCTGAGCTGCAGCTTCTTGCTGAGCGGCGCTCATTTTCCGGAATCTGTCCTCGGCTCCGTAGACTCTCTGGCAGACTCTCTTGGCGATCAAGGAGTTCTCGTCCATCCGCGGGACCGTCACGGAGAGCAACTTCAACGCGTCGCAAACGCTCTTTTCCGCTTCAGACATCAGCTAAAACCACGAATGAGGTTGCTTCCTCCATTGATTGTCCACTATCGGAAAGAGGTTCGAAAAAACTGTAATCAATGTAAAGTAGAAAAAAGAGCTCACATCCAAAAAAAAAAAAACAAAATAAAATTCATTCAAAGAAAAATCGTAGTTGATCCTTTTCTCACTGAAAAAAAAGCATTAAAAATTAGTAATTATAATCATAAATCAGAAAAATTTCTGACACACTAAACCTACAGTTGCAAAAAGTTCCGAAAACTTTTTACTTGTTTTTTTGTTTGAAGTTTCGATTGAAAATCATTTTGAGCTCCTAATTCCGACTGAAAAAGAATAACCTTACTTCTGATTACAATATTAAGAAGCATGATCAAAAAGAAACTAAAAGTTCTGAATTTGAACTGAAAACTGCTCAAACACCAATCCTAAAGTGGTGAAGAAGTGCATAAAACTCTCGTCTAGCTTTTTTCTTCTCTCTTTTTTTTTCTTTCCGACCGCAAATCAGACGCACCTGCGTAGCATCTGCGCCGGCGGCCGTCGCTTCTTCGCATCGGCTCACGATTTGCTCGGCAGTCTGCGCCGTCTGGAAACCCAAAAGATATGCCAATGCGAATGAGGATTGTTGTAAAATGGGAAAAAGGGATGTGTACCTCGTTCAATTGACGCCATTCGTCGCGCAAACCGCTGTACTTTTTGATGCGATTCGCGTTCGACTCTCGCAGGATCTGCAAGGAAAAAAGCTAGGGAACAAGGCGAAGATTTTCTGAAAGATGTCCTTAATAAGGACGCATCTTTTCGCTATTTCGTATATGGAATAACTTCATAGGCGGATCGAGAAAGGGTATCGCGAGACCCTCTGAGTCTCACGATGGTACCTCGAGTATACAACTGACCAGGAACCATTTTTTACCCCCCGGTTGAACTTTTGCTGAAACCTTGCTGAAGTGTACTTTAGGACCCCGTGATTGCAGATCAAGAAAAAAAAATTCTTTAAATAGATCTTGTTTCCGAGTTATGGAGCTTCAAAGTGTGCAAAATACGCAAACTAGGCCAAAAAAGCGCTATTTGGGGTTTTTGAAGTTTTGAGAGGTACCGTTGTGGACATATTAAGGTACCTTCTCGATTCGCCTGTGTTTAACAAACGCCTTTTCTGCTATTTCTTTTAGAAAATAGCCTGAATAAACGCTTTTTCTTGCTATTTCTGATGGAAAAGGGTCTTAATCGACACAAAATATCTTCATCCAAATTTTTTTTCAATTCGCAGGTGTCTAAATTCCAAATAAACGGAAACTATGGCAGGAATGTGATCGAATTTGAGAATATTCTTACCTAGTCTATTTGAAACGTATTTTTAGTGGTAAGAAGAAGTTTGCGATAAAGAAATTCTATTAAGGGGTTTCATTGGCAGTCGGGTTAAAAAAAGCCCTTCAACTTCAGGTTCGTAAAATCCTAAGACTTTTAGTATTAATGGCTGATTCCTGATCATCAGATAAAAATTGAAGAGCTTCTGATTTCGGAAGGCGTTTGGAAGCTTTCAAGAAAGTGAGTCTTCCACACAGCTTCCCGACACCTTCCAGAAGCCTGATCGAAGGCATATGGCAGGAATTCTCAATTTTTCACCTTAGTATGATGGATAATGAGCGCTGAAAGAGAAAGGCTCAAAAAAAGGCCGCAGAAAGGCAGCAAAAAAGTCCCTTGTATCGAAATTTTTTTAAAAGAATTTTGAAGGCTCAAGAAGTGCTGAAAAAGGAGCGTTTCTCACCCTAAAAAAATTTCTATTGAGACTTTTATGACCCTTTCCCCTTCCCAAGGCCTCCTCAACTCCTTTCCAGGACTCGTCTGAGCTCAGGCTCCCAACTTCCAAAATACCTTGATCCTTTCCCGGGCGCTTTCGCACTGGACGATGTTCATGATCATCTCGTGCTGCTCGACACACTTCTCGCATTCGTCCAGGATCTCTTTCGTCTCCGCGAATTCCGTCTCTGCGCCGTCGATATGGTCAAACGGATACTCTTCATAATTCGTCATGGCGTCTTCCAATTCGTCGAGCCGCTCGAACATCTCCTGGACGTCTTCTTCACGTCGCTTCGGGTCCATGACGGCGTCAGCTTCATCCGAAATGACGTCAACCTTCGTCACGAATTCCTCTGCTTCGGGTTCAGGCTCAGGTTCAGGTAGAACAGTCGTTTTCGGCTCAACATCAAGCATCATGGAATCTTGACGACTTTTCCCGTCATCTTCATCTTCGGTTGCTGTTCCGTGAGCCTCCATCGCTGTAATTTTCTTCTTAAAGAGTTTATTTTAGTAAAACTTTGTTTTAAATCTCTAACGTTTAGCTTGAAGGCATACGGTCAACGAGCCATAATTTTTACCTTATTTAGGGTTTTTAAAGTTTATATTATTGTCATTTTTTTAGCACGTTTTTCAAATTTGTACTTGAAATTGTATAGTACAAAAGCCTGCCGTTTCCGAGAAAAAAAAATTAACAAAAATAATATTTGTATGAAAAAATAATATCAATTCAAAAAAACGTCCGTTGTTTACAAAATTCGGATGGAGCACAAAAAAAGGATTTAGCAGCTTTATCGATTTCATATTATTTTTTCAATTTTGAGTAATTTAACTTCAAAAAAAAGCGCCTTCCACAGATTATTCCCTAAAAACTTCCCTTCAGTCAAAAAAAAAACTGTCAACTTTTTTAAAAATGACCCGAAATCTCACCCAAAGGTGGAATACTGTTGTTACTGGTCCGATCCGGCGAAATTTTCTCTTTTTGCTCCTTTTCTTCGATTATTGGAACCTGAACTCATTTTTTGATCTTGACCGCCTTTTGCTCTTCAAAAACCTTGGCCAGGACACTCTCCAGGGCGCAAATCTTCTCACTGAGCTTGTCAAGGGAAGAATCTCTCGTTTGGGGCGATTTTCCAGGCAAACTACAGTGAATCGCCGTGGCGCTTTGGGTCAAAGAGGAAATGTAGGCGTCCCGTTCGGCCAATTCTCGGCGAGTCGCCTGAAAATTCAAATTACTGGAAAAATAATTAGTTTCCAGTTCAGAAATTTGTAGTTTTAGTGACCCTTATAGTAGTTAAATTAGTGGCAACTTAAGTAACTAAATTTGATGGTTTATTTAAAAGTCTGTGTAGTACTACCAGACTGCTAAAAGCTACTAAAGTGGCCACTAAATTGAAAAATAGTGGCTTCTATAGAGATTGTTTCAGTGGCCACTTTAGCGTCTTCTTCCAAAAAGCCCTTGAGGAGCCTCTACACAATATCGACATTAGTCAAGAGCGTGTAAACATGAGAGAGCGCAGAGTAATCGAATTTGACGCTTTCGACTAACATTAGCAATGTCGACATCGGTCAGGTCCCTGGCGGCCAAGGTGTCGACGATCTCCTCGAGTGACGTCACTTCCCTCTGCAGAGACTCGCTCTGTTCGCACAGAGCCGCGACTTTCGACTCGTGAGACTCGAGGTCGTGCTCCACCGACTCGACGACGTCGATCAGCTCGTCGAGTTTGTCGATCGCCGTGTGAGTCGTCAGTTCCATCCGGCCAGTGTTGGCCAGAAGCTTCCCTTCGGAAACGACCTCGTCGACGACTGGACGGCTCTTCTTGATCCAGTCATCCATTTCCTGCAAGTTCGAGTTCTCTGTTTGTATCCAAATGCTGATTGATTTTTTTTTTCTACTTCAGAATCGCCTCGAAAATACTCAAACAGGGACATTAAAGTTTTTTCCCGAAAAGCAGACGGGCCAAGCCGCCCAATCATGCTGATCTCCGAGCAGAAACTCCACTAACATCAAGCCTTTGCTTGTACTCGGCCACTGATGCCACAGGAGTCGCATCGAAGTCGAGAAAGGCGGAAATATTGGAGAACTGGGCCGACAGCTCGTCTACTTTCTCGTGGAACGCCGCGTCTTCAGGAGGTGTCCGGAGTGGTTGGATCGCGGTGGGAGTCTCCGTCGGCGCTTCCGACGCCTTCTGTTCAAGATTCGACCATTTCTTGTTCAAGGTCGACATGAGCTCATTGTTGGCAAGACGGGGATTTCTGGCCGCCAATTTTCGAGTCCTTGAAGAGAGGCGATCTCGATCGGCACGGAGGAACATGAGTCTTTCGGTGATCTGCAAGAAAAAGGTTTTTATGAGCTGTTCTGTTTTTTCTACCTGAGCCGGACTGGCTTCCTGAACCTCGTCCAACTGTTTGTTCAAGTTTTTGTGCAGGGCGTCGATTTCCAACAGGGAACTTTCCTCATCGTCGTTCATTTCCTGACAATTTTTGAGAGAAATTTTGGAGTTCTCTACAACTTCGCTCAAAATCCTATAATAAAGTAAGCAATTTAGTTTGGAGTTCACGAAAATTTTCTCAAATACCTTTTTGAAGGCTCAGATGAAGACCTAAGGAAACCTTTTATATGGAAAAAAAGGATTTTCCGAAATTTGCGGTAAAAAAAGTCGAGATTGTATTTTAGGTTACAAAAGACTTTATATTACCTTAAAAAATCGACATGAGCTCATTGTTGGAAGAGAAAAAAAATGACCAAAACATTTTTTTTCTCTTCCTTCATTTTGGAAAGCCAACAGTACACATGAGTCAAAAAACCTTATTTTCCGTCATTTGAGCCCTAACTGAAACACAAACTTGAATTGAGCGACTCCAGGAGTTGAGCCGGTTTTTCAAAGCGTCCGCTCGTACTCTCTTCATGACCAGGACGTCGTCGCTGAGCTTGACGGCTCGTTCTCTGGAAAATAAAGATAAAAGCCAAAAAATAGGCTAGAAAAATGTTTAAAACGTTTAAACCGTGGAATTTTTTTTGAAATTGTATGAAATGAGTGTTGATTTTTGATGTCCGGAGATTTCGTAAAAAAAATAAACGGAAATTCTGATAAAAATGGCGAAATTTGATTTCCACTCTAGAGGCTTCGATTAGTTGCCACTCTAGGGGATAATTTTTTTCGTTCATCGTTATGATTTCTAATAGAGATTTTCTACGAGAGAAATCATCGAATAAGTATTTTTAATTCTCAAATCTGAACGAAAAGTTTAACGATCCCTATAGGTCGCACTCAAGCTTTACACGGGCCACCTAAACTTCATTCTCCAGGAGGCACTATTTTGTCCCCCACAGAGACGATTTTTACCTAGCCCCTCTCGGGACCACTCTGGCGTTCCTAAAACGGCTCAAGCCAGCCGTGAATCGCCTTTCTGGGAGCTCCCTTCAATCTCACCTCAACAGCCTCTGCAACTGCGCCGCATTGTTCATGCTGGCTTCATTCCGATTCCACTCCGATATCAGAGTATTGACCAAATCGTCGTCTTCCGGCCGATCGCCGGCGGCAAAAGTGTCCAGCCGTTTTTCCATGTCGTCCAAAAACCTTTCGATCTGGAAGGGGATCTCTTTTTTCAGAACAAACTCTATATTTAGTAAGAATAAGCTTAATTTCAAGCTTCGTTTTATTTAGAACGATCCGTTCTGACAAGATGAGAATATCTAATGTCTTTTGAAGGGAAAAAGGCAAAATCTCATTTATTCAGCTCTGCTTCGATCTCTTCTTTAGCCTGTGTGCCACGAGTTGGGATTTCACCGAACGACATTCCGCTGTTCCGCTGCGTGCGTTCGCGAAGCGTCTTTTGAATCTAGGTCACGCTTTCTATTGATTGTTATTTCTGTGGGAGCACATAAAAGTAGAGTACCTTGATAAAAGAAAAATAATTAAAAGCGCGACTAAGGTTCGCAAAGGGGCGCAGCGGAATGTCGTTCGGGGAAATTCCAAGTCGTGGTACACAGACTATACTATACTCGATTTCCGCTCAGTTTTCCCTGAACCAGAGCCCCTCGGCAACTTCCAAATACAGGGGTCAAGTAGTCTACCTCGTCAGATTCTTCTCTCAGCCGACCGAACATTTCGACACAGTCCTCCAGCCGTTCAATTGACGTATTGGCCCGCTAAATAACAATAATTTGCTCAAAATCCCTTGCTACAGCTTTCAGAAGCCTCGTTTGACTCAAAACGGAAAGAGCTCTACGTCTCATGATTCTTTTTTGTTACATATCTATGCGCCTTCAAGTTTTGTTCAAAATAAAGCTAAAACTATGCGTTTTTTCAATCTCAAGATTTTTGAAACTATTTGTGATCGCTCTCTGATAAAATATAAATTCAAAATACCTCTGTAAGTTCCTTGGTTTTCGATCTGGAAAATTGCAACTTCCTGATGATTTCTTTCGAGCTTTCATCGTCTAGGATCTTTTCCTGGAAAAAGTTTCTTTTTAAATTTCATTCTTCCATCTTTTATTTGAATTTTATTCACTCTTAAGTCTTTTCATTCAGCTTTTTCCCTTACTATGGTTTTTAAAAACCAAATGAAAGTACATTTCTTGCCTGGTGAAGCAACAACTAATAAAAAAAAATGAAATAAATTTGGGCCATCACCTTCCGAAAAACTTGAAAAAACCACAAAGATTCGGTCATTTTTCCTTTTTTGAAAAGTTCTGAAATTCTTCCCCGTTTCCCCTTATTTCCATTCCAAGACAACTGATTCACCAGCAGCAACTGTGCCCGAGTGTCCTCCAAGGAACGGATATCCTCGTCGCTCGCTTCCAAAGTCCGCATCAGACTCCGGGCCTCCATCAGCGCTCCGCCGCACTCGGCCGCCTCGATTCCCGTCATGTCGTCCAGGGAGTTCTCGACGTGCGACAGCGTCATCGCCACCTTCTCCAGCTTCTCCTCAAACGCCTTGGGTCGCTTGAACTCGTTGAACTTGCGACTGAGGTCGTTCAGTGATTCCTGGAAAAAGTTGTCGTCAAGAATCCATATTTATCGAGCGAGAGAGTATGGAAACTTGAGAGAACTCTAGTTAGTGAGAAAAAATCTGGGACTTTTCAGCGTCTCTAGCTTCTAGTTGTAGGTGCCGTGTTCGAAAAAAGTACGTTTTTTTTCTCTAAAAGAAAGAAAGAGAAAGAGAGAGCACCGAAATCTGAGAGTAGTCAGAGAAATTAGAAACTTCTGCATCTCTTCATTTCCCACGCTCTCTAGCTCTTCAATTTCTTCCTGATCAATCTACAAACTTGGGCATGATCCAGCTGCTCATGAAGCCGATGCGTGTTTCCAGGACGCTGCAGCCACGTTTGGAGCTTGGCCAACGCATTGTGCCAATAATTAAAGTCCGTGGCCATTGCCTGGAAAATTTCGATATCTTCAATTTTTCCATGACTTCCTGTCTACTCGATTCGTCTTTGAAAGACCAGGTGGAATGGCTCAAAAAAGCCATTCCAAATGCGACCACGGATTTTCAAATCGACGAATCGAGTTCATTCATTCACTTTGAAGCAGACGGACAATTCTTCATTCCTTTAATTCATTCGTCAAAACTCGGAAAAGTCTGATTTCTCTCGGCTCTCTTACTTCTAACACCTTTTCGATGAGACAGAAGAGAGCGCAGAGAAGCTAGAACTTTTCCAAGTCGTGGCGAATGCAGTACACAACAATTAATCTCAATATTTTCCATTAAATGATTAAAAAATACGCTTTTTCATGCCATTTCATGCAATTGAATATTACAATCATCACAAACACACAACTTACCGTCAGCAATTCAACATTCTCCGCTTCCTGTATTTATTGATTATTTGATCGATTAACTATATTTATAAATGAACTGAAAAAGTAACCTGGAATTCATGAGGCAGATCAAAAGCCGTCAGGTCCGAAGACCTTCGCGAGGATAGCAGACTGCTTATTTTACTGCTCCAGGTCTGAAAAAAATTTGGTCAAATCCAGGAAAATTTTAATTATTTCGCAAAGCTGCAAAGAATAAAATTTTCAAGGTGAAAATTTGGAAAAACCCGCATTATGGGGAGACGTCTTTAAAAAGCGGAACTTGAAAATTGTATTGTTTTCAATCTTATCTGTGAAAGACTAACATTCCTAACTTTCAAAAACTGCTGATTTCTTCTGATCATATGCTTCATTTCAATTGAAGGGACCCAGAAAGAAATATTTAATTCATTGTTTTTTTTTTTTGCTCGATGCATACGTCAGATTTTCTGTGAGTCTGAAATGGAAATTTTGAAAAACCTACATTTTTTCATTGATGTTGATTATCTCATTATTTTTTGCAAGTTTTCTAGGATTTTTTCCAAATTTTACAAAATCGCCGTAGCCAAAAAAGTCACTTATTTGCTTTTAAAAGGTCCAAAACCTCAAAAACAAACCATCTGAATCAAGATTATTTAAAAAAAAAGGCTTGTTCCTTTTTTTTTGGCTTCGTTTCAATGAGGAAAAGACCAGAAAGTCCCCAAATAAATACTGATCTGCGCTATATAATCTAAACACATTGATTAGCTTTTCAAAACTAAAAAATTTCCAAAGTTTGAGGGGATTCCAAAAAAAGGACCTGATAAACCAATAAAAAAGCCTGATAATCACTGATTTGCTTATCAAAACTCGAAAATAAACTTTTCTCATCAAGATTTCTCAAAAAGCAAGCTTCTCCTCAGCCCTAGGCTTTGAAGGAACTCCAAGACCTGATAATCACTGATTTGCTTCTCGAACTCCTCGCACTCGTTCATGGTGTCGGAGACGGCGCCGACGCATTCGCCGGCCTTTTTCTGCACGTCGGCCCTTTTGGTCTCGAAAGCGGCGGCTCGACGGGCAAGGTCGCTTGGATCGTCGCCCAGCGGCTTGCTCAAATCTTCCAGTTCGGCGAGTTTTTCGAGCAAATACTCCAAGTTCTGTAAAACACGGGATGCGGCAGAAAACAGACAAAATCTACGTCGAGTTGCTCGGCAGCTTCTTCGGCATCAACCGTCTTTTGACTGGCTTCGATCGCGTCTTCAACCTTTTTCAGGAGCTCTTCGGCCTCGTCAAGACGTCCTGAAGAGAAAAATAGTTTTAATTCTCAAGGATTTTTGTAAATAGACAAAAAAACTTCTTAACGTATCAGAAGAATATTCTGAAAGTCTCAACCTGCATAACTTCCTAGTTTTCTAGAAAAGAAGCCTAGAAATTAGAGAAAACCCTCAAAAGGTTTTTTTGAAGCCTTCGGCCCTTTTTCTCAAAAACTAGGAAGTTGTACAGGATAATTCTTTCAGAATATTTTTCTGGTACATCAAGGAGGGTTCTTGTCACATACGGGTTTCGTCATTACAAAAATAAATAACAGATTTCTTATTGATGATAATGATTGAAATTTTAGGAGACTACTGAAAACAGTGGAACTAGCTTTAAAATGAATCAATATTGACAAAAAGAGTCATGAATTTGACTTTGTCCAAAAAAGCGCCTGAAAATCAAAAAACCCGGGCTTTTATCGATCTGATCCAGTGTAATTTTGCAAAAAAGGTGTTTCATAATTTGGAAAATTACAAAGTCCGAATGAAAAATTAGTTCACCGTTTCCATTAGATTCCATAACATCAAAAAGCTTTTTGTTCAACAGTAAATCTTAAAAATACAAGTAATAATTTGAAATGAGACGATTTTTGAACTCGAACTTGTTTCTTTCTGTTGGAAACAATTTTTTTCTTCAATCCAGTTTTTTTATTTTTGAAAGGACTCCAAGCGGTAAAGAATGAGAGAGAAAGCTGAAAAAAATGTAACTTTTTCAGAGAAATCGAGAAATTATGTGATAAAAACTGACCAAAAAGTCTTCAAGCCGAGAAACAGTTTTTGCAAAAAAAAATCTCGAAAAAGATAAAAATTAATCAAGCTTTTGTGGATTACTAAAAAAATGAAAAAAAATAGAAAGATTTTTTTAAAAAAGTGAGAAATAAAATGAAGCTTTTTTTCTGACTCATCAATTATTTTTTTCCTTGTTCACCAAAATTCAAAGACTTTGAGAACAACTGATAAACTGTTACGAAAAACTACAAACATCCTTTTTAAATCACTTCCAAAGTCTGATATTGAAATGAATCTTCGACTAAAAATGATTTTAAAATGCTCTGAATCTCAGAAAAACACCAAGGGAACTCAGGCCAACCAATGGTAAAAAAGAGGGCGCAAATATTGACTTCTGAAAGATCCCTCAACGAGTTTCGCGCGCCAACGCCCACATGCCGAGCTTTTGTCCGACAAATAATATCAACCTGATTGAAAAATCGGGAAAATGAAATATATGGATCAAAACTTTTTTGCCCTCGGTTGCACTCTCGATAAAGCTTTTAGTGTTCTCGTGGACCTTCTGATCACAAAACAAGGACAAAATATTTGTCGCAATAGATCTTGTTTTCGATTTATGAAGCTTAAAGCTTGCAAAACACCCAAAATATGACAAAAAAGCGCTATTTTTGCTTCGAAGCGTCTTACAAAGGAACGCATTTTCGGCCCCCGGTTGAGCTTGAATTTTGATTGAAATGTACTTCAGAACCTCCTTACTGCGAAAAAAAAAGAAGAAAACTTCTCGCGATAGATTTTTTGCGAGTAGAGAGCCTTTAAAGCCCGCAAATTACACAAATATTGGAAGAATGCGTTATTTGAGTGATTTTAAGTTTAATTTATCGGAAACAAGATTTATTGCGTGAAATATGTTTCTTGTTCTGGAATCAGAAGCACCTGAAAATTTCATCAAAATTTCAAACGGGGGCCGAAAAATGTTCCCTTTTTAACTCGAAAACGAGATTTATTAAATGTTACGAGACCTTCCTTGAAAGCGGACTTTCAGATATGCTTTTTAGAAATTCAATGAATAGAAAAGCTACAGAAAAGGGCAATCCCATACTTCGGAGGACATCGGCGTGAGCCTCGGCGGCGCGGCCACTCAACAGTCGGATCGTCTCCGCGAGGTCGTCCCACCGACGGACCACCGCCTCTACTGCCGCGCGGGTTCGCTGCACTACCTGCAAAAAAGTCCCATTTTTATGCTCAAAGTGTTTTTTTTTTATTTCTTAATAATTATCATAAATGGGCGGAGCCTTTTCAGAGGCACTTTTAACTTCATATTTGGTATACAAGTCGTAATTAAAATTTGTGTTAAGTTTAATAAAGGTAAGTGTAAGTAGTTTAAATCAAAGTAGTAACGAGTAAGGACGAGGAACAGAACAATAAATAAAGAAACTGAGTGTATATCGCGCGACCGTTTCGAGTCTTAAAAGTGTACGACATAGGAGGTGACTCTCATCAGCCCTTTCCTCCTTGCATTAGTTCAAAAAACGAAGAAAAGGATAATTTTGCGACTATCTTAGGCGCATAAATATTTAGGAGAATAAATAGAAGGGATGAGAAAAGAGAAGAGGAACTAATCATGAAAAGAAATAATATTCAATTTTTGGATTAAAGTGGAAAGAGAAGATTTGCAGAGATGTAGAGTTAAATCAAAGTAGAGCAAATGCCATGGTAGATAAAAAGTTTGATAGTTGTCCTTTTCATTACAAGAACTCCTGAATTTTTTTATTTCTTAATAATTATCATCTGTAGTATCTCCCCGAGCCCAAAGCTCGATTTTTACGCCTTTCTTCGAAAAAAATTTCTAATTTGTTTATTTTTTTCTCTAGAATATAACAGAAGAATTGAGTATGTGGCTATCACAGGCGGCAATTAAAGAACTCAATTGAAACAGTGATCCGACCTGAGTGCGCGGTTTTGAAAAGAGACTTTTCAAACCATTTTTTATTATCACAAACTCCATATTTTTTTTCTTCTCACCTCTTCAGACACGTCGTCGTCCATCGTCAGCATCTTCTCCGCAGTTCTTTCCGCTTCTTTCCTCTGAGAAATCGAAGAAGCCAATTTGTTGCCTTCCTCCTCCAGTTTCTTGATCACTTCAGGAAGGTCGGTGTCGCATTTCCTAAAATCACGAAAAATTTGTGAAAAACGCTGAAAAAAGAACCCTAGAGCGGTCACTCTGTCTTCGATCTCGTTCAACGTCTTCTCAGCCAGTCGGATCCGTTCAGCCGCGGAAATCGTGACTTTTTTCTTCTCCTCCATTTCGGCTCTCCTCGTTTCCGCTTTTTCGACTGTCTTAAGAAATATGGATATCACCAACTTTTGGAAATTTATCAAAATCAATAATCATAAAACGAAGCAAAGATGTTGTTAATGAGCTTCCTCGAAAACAATAATTTATTTTTTAAATGCTTTTTCGTCAAGTTCCTCATTCAGATAGATTTTTAATCTCCCTCGAAAACTTTAAAATCCATTAAAAATTGCGAAAACCTGGATAAACATGTCTTATTGCTATTTTTACATTCATTGAATACACAAGTTCGGCTCTCATCCCCGCGCCTCTATTGCATATACAACTGTGCCGCTGTTGCAACCGAGCTCCGCCCACACAATTCAAACCTCATTGCTCATCCCGTTGTTCCTGGCGTTGAAGACGGCTTTCTGAGCCCGTTCCAAGTCCTTCTCGATCGCCTCGACGTCTCCGATCGTGCTCCAAGGCCCGTCTAGCTCTTTGATCACGTCTTCTTCTTCCTGGCTTCTTTTTTCCGCCGACGTCGACGGCTGCACGTTCATCACTTGCACGGCAACTGGCCGAATTTCAGCTTCTTCGTCCTGAAAAATAAATCAAACTCTGGAAGATCCGAAATTCGTTGGTGTGGGTTGAAAATTAGCGAGTCTAGTCACAAATTTCCCAACTTTTCATGTATTTTCTGTTTTTTGTCCTTATTGACATTCAAAACTTTTAACTACACTTCCTATCGATTGCCATATAACAAGTCTGATAAAAAAGAAACTTCAATACTTAGATCTGCAGGTGACCTTTTTACCGTAACCCGGCTACAATGAGATTCTCAAAAATTGACTCAAAAATTGTTATTTTAAAAAAAAATGGCACAAAGTTGTCCTTTTTATATCTACGTTCTACTCCGCCGCTTTTTTTCTTCTATTTTTTTCCCTTTTTATTCCTGATTTTTTTCTTTTTTTTTCTCTAATCACATGAAAAAAACTGAAAAACGACAATTTTATGAATCAAGAAATACTTCCTCGGAGAACTCCCTAACGATATGAAACACATTCAAGAAGTGGAAAATCCACAAATTAACAAACCGTATTGTCAGAAATTCTGAAAAAAATATACCGCTTTTTTCAGTGCACCGAGCCGTTTGGCCGCAATATCTAGGCCCTTCTTCAGAATCGCCTTTTTCACGAGGTCTTTTTCGATGAAGCTGACGTTCTTGGCCTGAAACTGGCGATGAACAAGTGTCTTCTCGAGGGAAATTCATAGACATCCTTTCTTTCAGACTTTTAAGTCGAAAACTTCTGATTGGAACGAACAAGAAACTTCCGTTTTGATTATTTATTTCAAAAGTTCATGCTTTAGTCACACCTGGACTTGGAGCTGCTGTTCCAGCTTGTCAATTCTAGACTTCCGTTCCTCGACAGGGAGCAGAGCAAGTTCAGAAATGACTCTGTCAACGGCGGAAAGCCATTGTTCGATCTTCGTCCCTACAGCGGCCTCTTCGCCGTCTTGAGCATGACCGGTGAGTACATTCATCGCCTCGCTGATCTTCGTCACGATCCGAGCCCAGCCCTCAAATCGAACAATTTTTGAAAAATCTAAACTTTTGAATGGTTGAAGTCGATATAGAAATGCTACTTGAAGCTTCTGTAAACGCGAACTCATGGGTTCAAGCAGAACATTCTTAAAGGCTACCTCTCCTCTTGAGTATTTTGCACAAGTAAATCAGAGCTACTTTCCCGAGGCTGATCATTCAAATACCAATATCATTTTTGTCAATACCGCCTCCCTGACTGGAAAAACGGATCTCGTTTTCGAGTTAAAACGCTTTGATCTTAATTTTCAATCACCTTGGCGAACTGCTCGAAGGCGTCGTTGGCTCTCTTGAGCTGCTTGGCGTTGAGGCGAGCCGCATGGAGGTGCTCCAGCTCCAATTGGAGCCGGTTGACTCTCGATTCCTGCTCCTTGATCTCCAGAAGTTTCTCTTGACAGGTGTTCATCATTCGGCGGACCTTCAAGACGGAATTTTAGATGAATATTCGAGAAATAAGGGCTCAAAGCCCCAAAATAAACTCAACAAAAGATTTTGAAGGTTCTCTTCGACTTTTAGGTCTTCTTTCTCGAAGCTAGAAAGTTTTTTTCCAGTTGAAATTTTCATAATTTACTTTTGGTTTATCAAGGTGATCCGGACAATTTTGAGAAAAATCCAAACCACAAAGAAAAATGCCCATTCTCGTTTTTTCCCCACTTCAAACCTGATCCGACTTCCTGGACACAGTGAAAGACTCGGACCACTGTTGCAGGGGGACGAGTTCGTGGGAAAGCTTGCTGATGTGCATCAGGAACTTGTCGACGAGCTGGAAGAGCTTTTTGAGAGGAAATTTACATAAAGAAAGGTTTTTAAGTTCAAGTTTTCATGAGAGCGATCTCCTCCCTGATTCAATTGAACTACAGTTCTTAATTATTCCTGTTTTTTCACTCTCAAAAAATTTGAAACAAAATACCGATCAATAAATTGAAAAACAGGATATTTTCCGTGCTTTTCGGCGGTTTTTCTTGACCTTTCATGATGAGTGAAAGCAAAAAAAAATTTTTTTTTTAGCCATTTTCTGCTTTCCTAGCTTTCATAAAAACTTCAGAAACTTCCTTGAATCTCAATAATAACTTTCCTGTTTCAAACCCACCAAGTTCTTGGTCTCATCGACCTCCGTGTCCGTCGACAATCCTTCCGAGGAAGGTTCTCCTTCTTTCGCCGGCCCTTCGGAAGTTTCCAACTGCTTCACGTCGGCTTTTCCGCTTTTCACAAGCTTAAATTCCCATTCTCCATGATTTTTGCTCCTTTTTCTAACCGTTTTACTGCATTCTTCGATCCTAGCCACCAAATTATCCCATCTCTGAGTAACCTCGTCCAGCTTCAATCTCACTTGGTTGGCTGCACCTCCATTCGTGTCGTCCAGCCTTCAAAATTATCAGTTTCTCCTAGATTCAGCCGTTTGGAACCTAGAGACCAAATCGCAAGAAAGTTGAGATAATTGGACAAATGACGAATGTTCCGCTTCCAGACTCGCTTCGGCGGATTGTAATTGACGAACCTTGAATGGAAGCTCTTTTTTTGCACCACTGACATTTCAAAAAAACAAACGATTCAAAAACTTTTTTTTTCAAAAAGCCGATTGAATAGTGATAATACTTTGGAAAAAAAAGACAAAACTTTGAGAAATTTTAGAGCTATCGCCAAAGGTTGATTTTAACATTTTTTTGTATAATTGTTTTTTTATGAATGCTTTGTCTTTTATATTTTTTTATTTTATTCAGAAACAAACCTGTTGAGCGACCTGCTCGTCGTTTTTCCAGATGATGGGCTGACTTTAATCCAGCCAATTCCTGGAAAATATCATCGTTTACTTATACAAAACTTTACTAACATTCTCCCTTGTTGTAAGCCATTTCGACAGCTTTTCAAAGACCGAAATTGTCTTTTCGATCAGTTCGGCCAATCCATCGAGTTTCGTGGCTCGCTTCTCAGCCCATTCACACACTTTTTGCCATCTTCAAACGAGATAAATAAAAAAATATCAAACATAAGAAAAGGTCAAAAAGGAGTAAAAAGTCCAATGAGAAAAAAAAAGATTGAAAAAAACAGTAAAAAATTAAAAACTAATTTTTCACCTCACACGCACGCAAGGTTGCGTACACACAGCCACCTCACGCGCAAATATTATTTTTCATTTATTTTCCGACCATTTTTCCAAAATTTCTCAAGAAACTTTTACTTTTTATCCTTGTCTTAAATGAAGCATTTGTATTTTTTTTTCCTAAACATTTCTTCAAAAAAATCACCGTTCAGAAACCGAATGAAGAGCATCTTCGAGCGAGGCAACGCTTTCCTCGTTCTCTTCATCGACCTAAAAAAATACTGTATGCTGCTTTTCCCTGTCTCTTTTTTCTCACCACAGCCACAAAAGACTCCAACTTATCGATAGTTTGCTGATATTCATCAATTTTTGACTGAAATCGGTCATGGTCGATAATTTGCTGGAGAGCATCTTTGGAAGTTGACGCTAAGGGCGCGAAACTCGCAATTTCGAGCTCAATATCGCCCAGCCAAGTATCGATGTTCTCCAACTCTCTGGAAATGGAGATTCTCATGAAAGAGTTCAGAAAAACATAAGGTTAGAAAAAATATATTTCTTGCCTTTTTTTGATAAAAATTTTTTTGTTTCTCAAATTTAAAATCACGAAATTTTTTTGTAAAATCTCTGACTCCTGGAAAGCTTGAAAAAAACTGCAAAGAATGAAAGAAAAACTCGCTTTTTTTAATCGTAAAACTAGAAAAAAATACCATCAAAAATCAATTTTTATTTTTTTCTAGATGCCCCCCGTACCTCTGCTTCAAAAGTGACTTACTCGTTAGCTCATTTCTTCGAAATTAAGGATTTTCAAAACTTTCAGTTTTCAGTTTCACATCTATTAAGAAGCTCTACCCAAACTGTACAAGTTTTTTTCTCTATCTAAAATCCCATTTTCCCCGTCCGTGAGCGTTAAAATTGATGTCTGTCTGAAAATAATAGATTCCCCGGCCTCAAATACTAATACCCTTAAAACCAGTTTCACGTCTCCTACATCTTTCCAGAACCTCTGCTGGAGGGTTTAAATATACCGAGACGATTCAAGTTCACAGATTGATATGTAATCAGACGCTCTATAAAAACTCTACGTTTTCAATATCTATTTCAAATCCCATTTCTACTGTCCGAAAGCCTTGTACCTCTCCTGCAAGGAGTTAATCTATACCTACAGCTCACAAGAATATAGTTCCGCCTGCAATCAGACGATGTCGATTTCTCTCCCAAACACAACTCGGGTAAAGTCAGAGTGGTGGATAATGGCCGCTAAAAGAGAAAGGCTCAAAAAGGTCCCAAAAAGGCGGCAAAAATGCTGCATGAACACCAATAAAATGGCTCAAAAAGGCCGCAAAAAGACAGAAAAAATGATGCATGAAAGCCGATAAAATAGCTCAGAAAGGCCGCTAAAAGGCAGCAAAAATGGTGCCTAAAAGCCGATGAAATGGCTCAAAAAAGGCCGCAAAAACGAGCCTTTTTCACCTAAAAGGAACTTTTCTATGGAGCCTTTTTTCCACACTTTCCGACTTTGTCTATGTACTATCAATTTTCCCCGTTTCCCAGATGTTTAAGTACCTCTGCTGCAGGGAGTTGATCTGCGTCTGGAGCTGGCTCTGCCTCCGCATCGCCTCCTCGCGCAACGTCTCCCACTTGTTGTTGACGAGCTGCAGCTTGGCGGCGATCGCCTCGCGTTCCTCCTCCGACTCGGCTTTATTGCCCAAGACTTGACCTCTGTTTCCAACTGGTTTTGATGAAAGATCCCTAAAGGGCTCACTTCACCAAAACGCGTCCGACCGTGTCTTGACTGTCCGTCAGGCTCGACATGAAGCCTTCGAAATCGGCGAATTGGCTTCTGAATCGATAAAATTTGAAAAGTCTGGCTTCTCTGAGCTCTATTATTTTTACAAGCTATTTTCATTCACCTCCGACCTCTCCGGTTAGAGAAAAGAGAGCGGAGAGTTGTCCGAGTGTCTCAAATATTCGTGAATTATTTATTCCGGAAATCCTTTTCTCTAGATTCTTTCATTTTTACACGCTATTTCCCTGTTTCGCTGATTTCTGGCTAGAAAAAAGATCAAACTGTCTCAAAGATTGGTGAATGACCGGGAAAATTTTCAGTGGCCACTATAGTGGTTCTCTATTTAGTGACCACTGCAGTAGTTTTTCATCCAGTATTCCTTCCCGTAGCTCTGATAATTTTAAAACAAACAGATTGGACCAGTTATGTTGATCTATTGACCCCTCAAGTGGCCACTTAAACTTTTAGTCGTCTAGTAGTAGTACCTAAAACGTCAAAACCCTATAGCGGCCACTAAACATTTTCCCAGGAGTTATGCCAAAAAAATTTTTCTTCACCGGAGCCTTTTTCTCTCTAAGGCTCTCTCATTTCGTGTGCTATCTTTATGATTTTGATTCGTTTAGCGAGAGAAAAGAGGGCACAGACAAGTGATAGAAGTCTATCGAATAAAGCCACTATTTTGTATGTTTCTCTGCGTCCCCTCTCTTTTTAAAAGCTATTTTAAAGGCATAGGGGCAGTAAAAAACGGTGTTTTAGTTCAAAGCATATATTTGTAGAGTTTCTCATTGCGAATCGAACGGTGAACTTGGAAACGTACCAAACTTCCTAGTTTTGGAGAAAAAATAATTCAAAGTCGGAGAGAGGAAAGTTTGAGTTCCCGCGAAAAGGGCGCTTTGCAGTAAAGTTGCTCTATGGACAACAGGCTTCGCCACCTTCCGGATTTTCGCTTTTTTCTTCGTTTCTTTCAATTTTCAATTTTTTCTGTTGTCACCAGAGTTCTTTTCGTCACAAAAGCGTTCTATTCATGAATAATTTGCAAACTTTGATCGCGAAAACGCTTCTTTGGTGAAAAACGATGATTTCACACAGGTTTCGATTGGGATAGCATTATTTTGTATTTTCTTTATTATCGGTGTGTGTTTTTTGTTTGACTAAATGTTTTTTCAGAGAAGAAACCTTTAATTTGAAGCAAATATCCGGTTATTTTTTACAAAATGCGAGTCTAATGAGACGTCCGCATCATCGCGTGCACGGCTACTGTAAACATTTGTCTGCATACCGATCCAAAGCTTTTTTCAAAAATAAAGGCGGGAAAGTAAAATCGCGTTTTTCTTCTAAAGTGGTCACATATTTAATTTTTTTGAGTAGACCATTCGATTCGGAAAGAAAAACTATATAAGATACAGCTTTCACCTGAAACCCCATTTTTTACTGCCCCTATGCCTTTAATGTTTCTCTGATCTCTCCGGTAAGCGAAAAGAGAGCGCGCATCTCAAATATCGGTGAATGAACTATACGAAATTCAAGATTTCCTTTTTCAAAGCTCCTGTCGACTGGAGCATCGTATCGAAATCGAACCTAACGGCAGGAAGTTCGGTTCTCTGACGGCTGGTCAATTGAGTGAGCTGCTCCTCTGCTTCAAGCAGCCATGTCAGCACCTGAAAACTTTCATTTGACTCAGGGATGCTCATATTATACTCATGTTACCTGTTCGATGCAGTTCTCGAATTCGGCCATTTGCTCCTCTTTTCGCTTCTTGTTTTTTGCCGATTTCTGCGAAGAGGAGGATGATTTTCTCGATCGCACCTCAGCGTTCTATGAAAATGAAATTGGAAAAGTGGAAGTTTCAAAAATTCTCTCAAAGTTTCGAAGTTCACCTACATTTATTCCAGGGAATGAAATAACGATCAGAATTTTTTTTTCCATAAAAGGTACTGTTAAAATTGTTAATATCCCAATTTCAGAACCATTTGCTAAGTGTGCTCCAACGAAAAACCGACTATTGACTGATCCCGCCCATTTTCTACTTTTATTTTTATTTTTAAAGCGATGCAATAATCGTCGGAAATTGCTAGAATCAGCTCCCGAGAAAAAGGAAGATCATTTTATTGAACTATTCCGCCCATTTGTGTAAGCTTTGAAAAACTGAAGTCCGTTAAAAGAACTCACATCCAACGACTGTTGTTCGCCGACTTCAATACTCGTTCTAGCTGAAACTCAATCCAAGTTAGTATAGGAAAACTCGCAGAAATGCAACTTTTGAATGTGGGTCTGTCTTCGGTTCGCATTTGTCCGGCGGGCGGAAGCGCCGCCGTCAAAAGTGGAGCCGGCGTCGACGTCGACGGAGACGTCGGAACGCTTTGCGAGCCTTCCTGGCCGGAAGTCAGTGGCAAGAGATCCTGGAATGTCTCTTTTTCAGACTTTCATTTATCTATTCAATAGCACAGACTATATATAGGGACTGCAGACAAATTTTCAAAAATTTCTTTTCAGCATTGAGCTTTGTATGGTTTATAGTCTGTATAAAACTTTTTATCATAAAAAAAACTAAAATTGAAGCTTATTTTTTTAAAAAAACGTCGCAGAAATCGTAAAACATAAGTAAAAATTGATAGTTCATTAGTCTCTCACTGTAACACGTGACCGAGAACCGAAAGATTTCTCAAAATTAAATTTTCTGAAAGGGAAGTTTTCAAGGAGCTCTCGAAGAACCACCAAAACATTGAGAAAAAAAAAATAAAAACTAGAGAGAAAATAGATTTATGAAGCAAAAATGATGAGGAATGTAGATTTTTCGGTTGGAAATAGCTCAAAAAAAATCCCTGATGAGGAGCATATAGACCAACTTTCACAATGATCTCAACGGGAAGACCCATTTTGAAGCTAATTTTTAGTTTTTCAAGGCTTTAACAACCCTAAAAGTAGTTTTGAACAGACAAAAATAAAAGAAAGATTTTCTGAAGCAACGGAAAATAGCAGACGAATGTTTGCCGAACGGCGGTCAGCAGGACACAAAAGAAACATTTCGCGCGCTTCTTTTTCCAACGCCGATTAACCTCATCTTTCCGTTCCGAACCAGCTATTTCTGACTGGGATACACATGTTTTTGTTGTTCTTCAAAAGTCTTATAGTCCGTTCAGATTTCGAATTTCAAGCTGACTCCACTGCAACAACCTACAGAGAAACTGTTTGATTTTAGATTTTTAAAGAGCTTTTTTGGAGAACGTGTCCAAGCTGTACGCGTTTTTAAAGTATTTGCATTTATAAACCTTTATAGGTACATGGAAAACTTGAAACTTGTAAAGACTTATTTTTTGAGAATTTGTTCGATTTGGAAGCTTTACGAAACTCTACGCGTTTCAAAACCGTCCGCAGACAGTTTGAAAAATCAGTTTATTGTGTTTTTTTCAAGAAAAATATCTTGGAGAGAAAATCTCTGTTCTTTTTTTGTTAAATAAATAGAGCTATATTCAGAGACCTTTTTAAAAAAATCGCGTGTAAAAAATTGATAAAAAAATAACAGATATGTTCAAATGACTGATCTTTGAAAAACTGTCAGAAAAATGAACAACTCTGAAAGAGGGACAAAAAAAAGTAAAAAAATTCTAGAAATTTAGAAAAAAAGTTGAGCTTCCCTCAAAAAAATTCACCAAGTAGTGTTCATAAGAAATGTAAATGAATTAATAAAAAAATATACCTTTTTTTGGAAAAAAAGTCATTCGACTCGGAGATCAAGAATAAAACCGCGCCAAAAATGGTCAACACAAAAAAATGAACCGATTTTTTTCAAGAGCTCTCCGCCAAAAAAATTTTTTTTTTGGTAAAACGACGGTTTTTGATCCATTTCTCTAAAAGAACAGGTGTTAAACAGTCGCATCTACTTCACAGTGAAAAAAAGTTTTTGCTGAAAGTGGTGAAAAAGTAATCCTGATTCGCTGTTTCAACAGCTTTTCGTTAGGAAATAAAAACTCCTAGAAATTCAAGCTTCCTTAAAAATAAGAAAAAAAATTTGAACCGTTTCTACAAAGTCGGAAAAAGTCTAAAATTTTACTGAAAACGAAGAAGATCTTATCTCCTTTCTGAGAATTTTTTTCGAAAATCTGCTCCCCCATTTTTTTCGTTGTATCCATATAAAAATTTGAAAGTTTGACCCGTCAAAAAATCTACAAAAAAAACCTCAAAGTTCAACTCAAAAAAAAGTCTCAAAAGCGGGTGAAATGAGAAAATTTTGACATTATTTTTGAAAACTGGGAAGTTTTTCCAGCTTTTTGATTGGGCCCTTTGGAGGAGAATTTCCAAAAAACTTCCGCGCGGAAAATAAAATCGACTTCCTTGTGAGAAAACGTTCTTTTCTCTGTCTGTTCGGAAACTTTCTGACCAGGGAATAAAGGCGAAAAAACTTTGTCATCTCATTTTCATTTCAATTCCTTAGATCATCTTTTATAGCCCATTTTTCGCGACTTCAAACCGTAATTCTTCTCTGCGCCCTCTTCGTCTCTCGGCGACTCTCTCATATGAACGTGCTGTTTTTATTTTTCTCTAACCTCGCCGCTGAGGGAACAGAGAGACGCAGACACTCGAGAGCTTTGAACCGAGCGAATATAAAAAAGGAACCAACTGTCTTCTTGAAAGGTTCCTTATTACCAAAAATAGAAGTTCCGAAGAGACGCTAGAGAAGCAGACTTTTCTCGCTTCTCTGCCGTCTCTTCAGGTTAATGATCTCTCTCTTTCGTTACTATTTCTAGGAGCAATATTCGAAGCTCACAAAAGACTTCGAAAAGAAGCCGAAATAGAGTCGATGAAATCAAGAGATTACCTGGAAATTACACTGGCTCATCATGGACAGGTAAACGGTCATCAAATAGCAAACGACGGAGTGCGCATCGAGGTGTTCGCTGTGGAGTTCTGCAAAGAAACGCCTGTATTTGTTTATTTTTACTTTTCTATGATCGATCTCAGACGGAGCCCTTTTTTCCCATTTCAAAGAACCTCTCGTTTATTGCGTTTCCGAGATGAATGGCCGATGGCTTCGATTGATTTATTGACGAATGAGGCGCGTTTCGAGAGGTTTATCACGCTCTATTGATAATTGCAACCAGACTGATATTCACTCGGACCTTGGTAACGGAAACCTGACGTTTCTTAGCGGTTGTAGGGATCACTTGAGAGGGCTGACGCTTCTAAAGTGGTAACTAGAAATGCCTCGACATGCCCGATTCGTGTTACCGAAGTTTGAGTAGGCCCCGGAAGTGTCATGGCATTTTTAGTGACCACTTTATTACCGTCAGCGCTTAAGTGATCCCTTGAATTGCTCCCAACGTTCGGTTTTTGTTACCAAGGGCCCAGTGACCCATTTAAAAATTAAAAAAAAATTCGCCTCTCACTCTAATCCATCTTATTTTTGCCTACTTTTTCGCTGATGACTCCTAAACCCTCCTTTTAAGACATTCATCGATACTGTACATTTATATACTTTGTTCTGACAATAAAAAAATAAATATAGTCAATTATGCCCGATTTGAAATGAGTAGACTGGCATGAGTGGAGCGTTGCGTGTGCGACGCGGCTTCTGGCAGGCAACTCGAGCTCAAAAAGCCATTCCTTTTTCTCTTATTCCGACAGTTTTTCAATAAATTGTATTTATTGATAGGTTAGAAAAAGATTCATTCGAACGAATAAAAAGTATAAAAAAATACTAAAGAATTTTTTTCTACAATTTTCCATGATTATTTTTTTGACCTCGAGTTCCCGCCCAAAGCCGCGTCGCACATGCAACGCTTCGCCTTTTTCCATTCTATTTCAAGTCAGGAAGGATTGACTATAACAAGCTTGGAATGAATCAAAACTAAAAAGCTTTCAGAAAACATGACGCAAATAAAATAATTCAACTTTGAAACCAGAAGTCTTGCTTAAAATTTGCTCAGAAATATCAAATTTTCTCACAAAATATTTTTAGAAAGAAGAAAACAACTGGTTTAAAAAAATAATATATCTAAACTTCATGAAGATATTAGGTCGTTTACTAAGTTTCTTTCTTTTTTCGGTTGAAAGTTACTTGGTGTATAACTTTTCAATTTTGGATTCAAACAGCAAACAATTTCTCCCCCGTCATCCTCAGCTATCTGTTAACATGTCTGTTAATTTTGGAGTTCTTGACTTTAAAACGAGCAATGATATACTCAAAAAAGGGCAACTAACTCGATTTCAACCCCTCTTAGAAAAATTTTTTTTGTTTATTCTAAAAAAAATTTATGATTCAATGTTTTGTAGTTGATAACAACGAGGGAGGATGGAAGTACAGATAGAGTAGGCAAGCTGACTTTTTAAACAAAAAACCAGCCTAAAAATCTTTTTTCTTCAAAAATTTCGGTCAGTGATCAATGACAATGACATGGTCGCTGAACATTTAGACGCTTTTCTCATCAACGGCTTTGAGGATGATTTTGATTTTTTGTGGTTATTCAGTACAGACATTGTCTGTATCGGTCACGTTTTCTTCAGAAGGTCTAAACGTTCGACACCGTCAGAGAGCCTCCAGAAGTTAATCAAGCTGTCATTTCAGTTGATTACCGTTTATCAAAATTTTAGGCCGGAAAAACTCAGTTGAACCACTTCTGCTTTGACACATGGCTGCAGTGACCTTTGTTGTACTTGTTTTTTATTAACTAGAGAGATAGCAAAAGGGCAGAAAATTAGAGAGTGGATAGAAACCACTGCCATGGTGCTATAAAAATTTTTTGATGAAAAAAGGCTGTAAAATTAAATCCTCGAGTTTCACGATAGCTGCCGGTTGCTAACGTTATGCCTATAATTTTTTTCAAAACCCCAAACCTGATAGATAATTACGAATGTACTTCGGGTGATATCAAACGAAAACAGGACGCGCATTATTTCAACAATATTGACCAATCATAAATTTGTATGGTCTGGCTTTTGAATAAATAACTCATTTCTCAAATTTTTTGGGAGCTAACGGAAACTTTCACGAGCAACCACACGACCTCAGTTTACGTTTTATGTAACTTGTTCGCAAGATAAGATTGAAAAAGTAAGATAAAAAATAAATTCGCAAAACTTTCCAAAAATCGAGATTTTTCGAGTTCGGACAAAGTTCTGTATCTTTTTTCTGCATAGTGTTATAGGGATACAGTTAGTTTTAATCTGAACTTCAGCTTGTGTGGTTGTAAATACTATATGAAGCAAAATTGTGAGAAGTGCTTTTCTGGTTGAAAACTTTTTTAAAAAAAAGTCCTTCAAAAAAGAAAGAAACTTAGTAAACAACCTAATAAAGAAAAATGAATCGAAATCGCCAAATTTTTTTGAAATCAAAGAAATAAAAAGGCTCATAGAAAAACGAAAATAGAAAGAATAATTTACCTCTTTAAAAGTTTCATTCTATAGGAATAAATGAAGTTCGGTACTTAGGTATAGACTTGATAAAAAAAACTGATTAAAATAAACTTTAAAAAAAATTTTCCTCACAGAAGCTTTTCAGGGCTTGCGGAAAAATTCAAGAATGAGTCTCAAAAAGAAAAGTTCTTCTGTTCCATTCTGAAAAAAGAAACCATAGCAGACCAAAAAATAATTTTCAGCAATGAAAAGAACGGAGCGAGAAAACATGAAACAATAGGCAAAAATAACGACGTCCGAAATTTTTGGTACAAAATGTTGGTTTGAGTCACTATTTGAAACGTTGGACTATGTACCTAAAAACGGTTGATTCTATCAAGTCAATATGGCCTTAGGTATAGTTTATCACATAAAACCAAGGTCAAAACTTCCGCAGTTTTTGGCAATTCTCAAAAGGATAAACAGAAATTCACCCTTCAAAATCAGACTTATTTTCACTTCGAAATTCTTTAATTTGAGTCCAAAACTCGGATTTTCTCCATTCTCCAATTAATTGAGTTAAGTGGAGAAACAAATGTTATAAACAGACATAGAGCCCAATTTTCTTCCAAAACCTTCTAAATGAAAAGCCTCGAGTTGAGTCCAAAATTCGAATTTTCGTTGACTTTCAGGGAAGCCGTCAAATCGAAAGTACTGGTAAGGCTAAAATAAAGGGATAAATGAGAACTATTGTTCATTAGTTTTATTTCCGTAACTTCACGCTTAAACTGCTATAGAGATCATGCAAAAACTTACTTAAATTAAATTTTCAAGCAATAAAATAGAGAACAAAAAGGCTCCAAAACTCCCGTTTTCATGATTTTTTGAAAAAGCTCACAAAAAGTCAGTAAAAAAACTGATTTGAATGGGTTTCAGGGGAAGAGTAGCAGGTAAAAGAAGGAAATAGAAGAAAAGCTTAATTTTCTCAAAAAGCCTGACTAGACTTACTTTGAAATCCTTTAAATTCTTACTAAGGTTGAGCCTCAGCTTTTGAGATTGAAATAAATCGACAAAAAGGACCATAAAAACTGAAAATGAGCAAAATAATCTGGAATTTTTCTCATAAGTTAGACACCAATAAACGGGAGATAAATCGACAGCGGTCCTAATAACAAACACGGAAATTCATCTTTAGTTTGAGTTCAAAACTCGAGTTTTCAAGTGATTTCGGAACTTTGAAAGAGCTTAGTGAAAGAATAGAAGGAAAAAACGAGAATCATTTCAATTTTCTCAGAAAACCAGACAGGACAAAGTTCTGAAAGTCTTCAAACTTCAACTTAAAATCAAGCGAAACCCTACTCAAATTAAAATTTCCGGCAATAAACGGGAGATAAATCGACAAACAGGCTATAGAATGCGATCGGACAAACAAAAACGGGAATTCCTTCAAGACGGAGGCCCCGATTCGATCGATAAAGGTTGCGCAAAACCACATGGGTGCACGTTGGGTTGGCGTATCCTCCTGCGCCCTCTTCTTTTCTCGCCGACCTTTCATCCGTCGGTCCGGAAGAAAATTTCCCGCCTCCGGCTTTTTTCCGTTCTTTTTTATCTTTCCGAGTACCTCTTGCCATCAACAGCCGCGCCACGCGAAGCTCCTTCTCGGCCGTCGCGAACGCGCATTCCAATCGTTCGATGGCGCCCATTTCGGCGATTCGCGAGAGGTTCACCAGCTTCTTGCTGCAAAAATATATATTTAATTTGTGAAACTGATCACTTACAATCATAGTAATGTTATTAATGATCCTCTTAGTTTGCTTTTGATATAACTAAAGTTTCAAAAAAATGGTTTCATTTTTAAGCTGATTGTTCACTCCAAATAAGTTCTTTATTCCGAAAAATGTATCAGAGAAACTCTGAAAAATGTTTTTTTTTCAAGTTCTAATTATGATGCTCTGTTGGTCTGTATTCCACTCAGGAGTTTTTTTAGTTTTTCAAAGCTTCAACTCTAACCAAAATGATGTGGCGCTTGTTTTTTTAGAATAACCACTTTTTTTCGGATTCGTTTCTTTTTTTATCTTAAAAAAATTGAATTTTTTTGATCTCTGATCGCCTACAAACTTCCTAAATATTGAAATAAACTTTTGGTGAACTTTCAAGAACTTTTTGTTTTTGTTTTTTTCACGTTTTTTTCATTCCCTTTCCCCTCAAACCTATTTAAGGAGCTTGATGCAAACCAAATTCCAAAAAAACTGCTCTTTTTAGGGTTAAAAGGCATAGGATAAGACTCTATTTGCTTAATCGATAATAAAATTTTTCGCGATAAATTTTATATTTTCAGATCACAAGTTTGCTAAGAACATTTTTTATTAAATCAATGAAAAAAAACTTGATTCGCCTCAAAATAAAATAAGTTATCTTTTCTCGATCTAACTAAACTGACTTGCAAGCTGCGCTCCGATTTTACTCTCAAAATCGAAAATTGCCTGTTTCTGTGATTTTTCTATCACTTTCTTGAGACTCAGAGTCGCAGCTGGATCCATATTAAAAGAAAATAAGTTCAACGTTGCCAAAATCTGACTTGAAAGAGTGAAGCAAGTAGTTGAAGGCGTAGCCATCGCGCCAAGAAGACGTGAAATCGCAGACGTTGACTTCGTCGTACTCTCGAGTCGACTCCAGACACCATTGTTTGATTGCTTCGGAAAGCTGGAAACGTTGAAAAAAATTTGATTAATCTATAATTTTTTTCTAATTTCTTTCACATTTACTGACAAGGAAAGTGTGTGTGGTGAACATTGTACATCTGGTCCAAACTCCCGTGGTAAATAGTCATAGATATGAGTACTTGAAAATAAAAAGAAACATCTTCTTAGCGCCATAGACTACTGTACTATAGGAAAAAGATTAAAAAAACTGATTTTTTTCGATTTTTTTCATTTTTCTGAAACGTCTACTGTTATTTCCTATAGCATAAGAAACACGAGAAAGGAACTTTTTCCACAAAAAAAAACTCAAAGTGAGTTCGTTTTTGATCTTTTCCTGTTTTCGGGGTTCGATGCCGGCAAGCGCCAGTTATCGAAAATTGCGACTTTTCCCGAAAACTAGCAAATTATCATCATTTTAACACTCTATTATGATTTCTTACATCAAAATAAACCAGTATCAAAGCTTATTCTAGAAGAAAAATCGAAAAAAGAAGGCTGAATACCAAGATTTCAGTACTAAAAATAGTCAGCGGCGCGCCACAGTTTTTGTCATAACTTTTTTCATCCCTAATCCTTATCGTTTTCGACAAACCAAACGATTCTGAATTTGAAATTGTAGCAGATATCAGACCATGCAAATTTTGAAGCTCATGATTATTTTCAAAATATGGGTTGCGGTCCCTACCTTCTCTTCGCGAAGTTGCATCGGCGCGTAATGTTTCCAGAAAAATTGTACCAAAGACCACCAAAAGGCAATAACCGCCTGAAATCATAGAAAAATCCCGTTTCAAGTTATAAATTGGCCCAAAAACCTTCTGCTGGCCTTCGCAAAGTTCGCCCAAGTTTATTTTTGAATCGCCAATGATTGCAAGTAGCGTCGACCAGTCTTCGCTCGGGGCTCCAGTGAGCAACTGAAAATTGAACAAATGAGACAGGAAATGTGAAAATCAATTGATGATATGAGAAAGTCTGGATTGTCTGCACCCTCTTCCCTCTCAAAGGTAAGTGAGATAACCTCTTAAACATGAGAGTGGGTCGTAAAGATAGAGCAGAGTAATCAGACTTTTTTTCTGACGATGTATAGTCAATGTTTCCCGACTTGAAAGGCGAGGGAGGCGGGGCAAGGGGCGGGACGCGTAGCGTGTGCGTTCGCGGTTTTTGGCACGTGTTCAATTCAACCACCCTCGACTCTTTGAAAAGCCCGTTTTTCGCTTTTTTTTTCATTCCTTTTTCAATTATTTAATGATTATGTTCATGTATGCATCAAAAAATAGTAGAAAACATTTAAAAAGAGCGGTTGCCGAGCTTTTTAAATAGTCGGCGACAATTGAATTGAACTCGTTCCTAGAACCGCGAACGCACACGTTACGCCCCTTGCCCCGCCTCCTTCGCCTTTCAAGTCGCGAAACATTGACTATATCAAATTATTCTTCATTCACCACGACTCTAAAACGTCTGATTAGTCTGCGCTCTCCTTTTTCTCACCGGCCTTACTGACTTGGACTGTGCTGGATTGTGTCCTACATTTTCACAAACTCTAAAATTCGAGGGGCAACTACTTCAAATTGCTGGACGACCCGGGACGCATCAGAACATCAATAAAACGAACCACGGGCTGGCAGATAATGACCTGAACGACGAGGGCGCCGATCGCCGGCTCGTGGAGCTGTCTCCAGTCGCTGAGTCGCTCGCCGGCGAGCAGCGAGTTCGCCCAGCGGACGAAGACATTCTCTTGCAGTTCGTACTTTTCGTCTGAAGCAGGGGTCTAAGAAGAAAAAAACGTAGTCTAACAAGGGATGTCTCTCCGCTTTGTGGTTGAAAATTAACTAAAAAATTGGTAAACGCTTTTTAAGGGTCCCCTCTAGGGAACTCCTTACAAACTCCTGTAGGGGCCACTAAAGCTTTCAAAAGTGGTCCTCCTAGGGTTTTGGTTAGTGGCCCCTATAAGGGACTTTCTATTCGATAACTGTTGTGAACTCTAAGCGAAAAAGCCTTTCCATGGGAAAAACTGAATAAATAGGAAATTGATAGACCCCTTTAGGGTCCACTAGAGTTTTGGGGGCTAAGAGATCTGACCCTAAATTCCTATAAAAGAGCTGAATGATAGAAAAAAAGTCTGTTTATATTTTGTTCATAAATACAATGACGTCATTCGAAAACGCTCTCTGGGTGGCTCGCTCTCTGATTGGGTTACCGCGACATTAGGGGCGGAGCTTGAGCTTGGAAATTAAAATTTGAACAAACCAAAACTATGCTACAGAAAAATGAAATAAACTTTTTAATCCCCCCCCCCTTTTTCCAAAGAAATAAACAAATAAAAGAACCTCGTTCGAGTTTTTTGTCCTTTTTGTCCTCCCGTTTCGGTTTCGACGATGTGCCGCCGGTGAACAACATGACTGTCTAGTTTCGACTATTTCAATACCATTCGTCGGTGATACCTGAAACATCACCTCAGACAAAGTGCCTTTTACTTTTCAGATCGATAATTAATAAGAAGCAGGATTCAAGATGTGTTCTATCGAGCTTTGCGGGAAATTATAGTTCTTGTAAGCAGGGTTTTATGAGATGTGCTTTTTTGAAATACCTCAAGAAAAAAGCTCATGAAATAGCAATTTTGACCAGAAATTTTCTAGTGAGATCGAGACATTTCGAGACGTAGGAATTTCAGGACGCTACTGTGATGGATTTCAGATAAAAAAGAGCAGAAAATGGGCGTTGAGACCTTTTTATGTCAGTTAGAAAGGTAATTCTATGATCACAATATTGAATGCGTAACAACTCAAGAAGGAGGTCATACTCTGGGCCTCAGAAGGAGATGTAATCAGTTATAAAACCTTGCTTTTAAAAATTCCATTCTGAAGTACCTGATGACGCTCAAACTCTGCCCTTTTTTTGCGGGGGGGTTAAGCTTGTCATCAGAACTTCCAGACGCAATTTCAAAAATCTTTCCTTAGAACTGAATTGTGGATTTTCGGCGTGAAGATTCATGAGGTCAAAAAACACGACCCATTTTTCTGGCCTTTTCTCCATTCTTTCCCCGAGTTCAAAGTTGAAAGTTCCCGGTACAAATTTGATAATCGGGCCAATTGACAGAGACAGAAGTTAGAAAAAAAAAGTGAAGAGGCTGGAAATTTGAGCTGCAGTGATTTCATTAGCTGTAGCTTGTTCAGGAGTAACCATTTAAAAAACTCCAGCTAGGATTTCAAAGCTTTTCTCTAAATTATTTCTAAAAATCGTGCTGGGGCTTTTTCGTAAAAAAGTTCACGTCTGTGGCTTTTTTTTACATCCTTTTTTGAAGAAACTCAAATTCGATAATTGGGACAGGTGTGGCAAAAAATAAATCCAAACTCGAAATCGGATGAATTTACCCTCATTTTTCTAACTCCTCCTTTATTCTTCCCTGAAGTGGTAACTCGAAATTTAAAACTGAAGTCAAAAAATTCGGTTAATTGATAATTTGGCAAAAAAACCAATCCAGAAAGAAATTCCTTTCTGAGGGATTTTCTGGAGGCTTTCATTTTTTTGGAGCTTTTTTGATTTTTCTGATGTCTGAATAAATTAATATATTAATAAATGAAAAAAATCGAAGTTCGAAGTTTAAAAACTCAATTTTGATAACTGGGCTAATTGACAGGTGTGATGAAAAAGAAAACCAAACAAAAGGGGCGAGAAAAAAAAAGGGAAAAAAGGGCCCTGACGTGGGCCCGAGCAGAGAAACGGAAAAGACGGCAGTGCAAGTCGCCACGGAGAGGCATCAGCTGTTCGTGTTACAAACGGCCGTCTTTTGGTTTCCACTACCTCCGGAGAGAGATCGCCCATCATTTCGATCACTTCCAACGTTTCCTGATGACCACCCCAAAGATTTTGGAGCATTTCCAGGGATTTTACGTGTATTTCAGCTGACAAACTTCCGTTATCCTCACCGGAGACTGTGAACAATTTACGAGAAAAAAGGTGTTGATCTACTTCAGAAGAACACTTCAAGGTGTTTTTCGAAGTTGTTAATTTGAGGGCTTTTCAAAGCGATTGAACTGCCAAAAAAGTTCTGAGAGACCGCAAAGCCCCGCCCCCTTTTGCGATGGTGAAATGCACTGGTTTTTTAGTTTTTGATGTTTTCGTAAAAGCGCATTTCTGAACCTAAAACGGAGAAAATTGGTGGACACATAGAGAAAACCTTCCTCTTCTACTTCATATACTTTTTACCCAAATTTAGAAGCGTTACAGCGGAGTGTCGTACAAAAAACCAAAACTACTTTTTAAAAATCTAGTTCCAAGTCGTTGGCGCCTTTTTTCTCTTTGAATTCCGATTCTTCGGAGAAGCCAAGTTAGATATTTTCTAGAACATGGACTTCGTTTATGAAAAGCTTTTAAGTCTTAAAACTTCTATAGTTGTTATTTTGAGACCTTTTTAAAGTGATCACTTAAGTGAAGTACTCCGAGAATTCTCTTCAGGGCTATTTACACGCCTTTTCGAGTTTCTAGAAATGAAAGAAGGGAAACTTTGAATCCAGCATGAAAAGTTCGAAAAGTTAAACTTTCAAAGTATTTTTTTTAACTCGGAATGAAGCTTAAAAAACGCTCAAATAACACTTCAGTGTTCATTTTTTCCCTTTAAAAATCATTAAATTAATTCTAACCTTTTTTTCACATCCTTCCCTTTTTTTCACGAAAAAAATAGCCCTGAAAAAAATTAAATTTTTTTCAACCAAATTCGAATTTTTCAGTAGATTTGAGAGGCGTCTTTCGACCATTTTCCATCGATCCGAAATCATTTCTTTGCCCTCATATCCTCCATAAGAACCTTCATTACAAACATATATAAAAGTGGTATAAATAGAGTAGAAAAAGTTACAAAATACCAAGCAAAGTGCGAAAAATTTAAGGAAACGGGGTACTAAAGCTACACGAATTATGCAAAAAGTATAAGTATTCGGATGGATTAAGTTAATCGCGACGTTCTTTGACCTCGTTGATGAAGTTCGAAGCAGCTGAAAAATTGAAGATATACTCGAAAAATGATCGTAATGAAAAATTGTTACACAAAACGCATTTTTGAGGAGCCAATCCGACTTCTTTGCAGGTTGTCATTCAAAAAAGTGACATTTTTTCTGGTCCTGCTTGTTCCGATTCAAAAAGAAAGTATTTTTTGAAACTTTTTTGATGAATTTAAATATGACCATTCTATTCATTTATAGAAAGATGTATGTTTACTGGGAATAAAAAAATAGATTATTGTGATTTTTTTCAAAGTTTTTTTATTTTTAAAAAAAGGGTTTTTCTCCAGGATATTAAAGAGTTTTTTTGTATAACTTCAGGCCAAAAATACCTCTGCGTCATTAAAAAAATTTCGACGAACAGAAAAACACAGAAAAAAACCACCAGTTTGGCTATCACATATCCTAACTTTCTAAAAGAAAAAAATCGAACTAAATTATAGATTAAACTATCAAATCGAAGAAACTACACATTTTTTTAAATTAAAAAGGACTTTTTTTCGTTCAATCAGGATTTGTTTATAGACTGTTTTTTTGGTCAAACCACTGCGTCTTTTAAAACCCGAAAAAAACTTCTGAAGGCTTTGAAAAATCTCAGATAAGTTAAACTTTCCAACTTTATGAAAATGAAGAAATTATCTGAATCATAGTTTCAACTATCCAATTATTAAATTACAAATCGAATTAAAAAGGACTTTTTTCCGTTTATTCTGGGAATTTTTCTAGTATTGTTTTGGGCCAAAAAAGACTTCTGCGCCTTTTAAAACGAGCTTTCAGCGCTTAGAAAAATTCTAGTGAAAGTTCAAATTTCTAGCTTTCTAAACTAATCTGAAATAGATAGAAATCTCTGTTTCAATCAAAAAATCAAGGAAATCACCATTGTTGACGCGGCCAGCGATGTCTCCAACACGCTGGTCGATAGATTTGGCGTGTTTCGAGACGATCGGCTGCAAGAATCTGAAAAAAATCTTTGCAAACAATTGATTGACTTTTTTTCTGACCTGTGGTAGATTTTGGCAGCGCCGAGGGTCGACGGCAGGTAAAGGTAGAGGAGGAAAAGCGACTTGAAGAGCCAATAAACCGGGAAAACGGCGACAATCTGCTTGGAGAAGAACTCGGCGACGGAAAGGACCGCGAAAACGACCCTAAAAAGTTGGAGTTGAATTGTTTTCTGGGTTGAAATTAACCAATAAGTGAGCCACTGGGTGTCGTCTTCCTTCGTGTGAGACTCGATCGCCTTGATACTGAAAAATTATATGTTTTGGGCTGAAAATTCTTCCTTTTTCGCTCAAAATAAGCTGTCGAAAATTAATCGATTTTGTGAGGAACTTTTCGAAAACATGACTGAAATATCAAGAAAAAATATCTTCCCCATTTTTTTTTTTCGATCATCACCTTTAAAAGTTCAGGTTCTTGGGTTGGATTTCGAGATTCCGACTTGTTTTCTCAAATTTCACCGTCATAATTATGTACAGTTGAAAATGATTTTCTAAATTTCAAGTTTTTTTTTCGAATGGTACCTTCAGCAATTCAGTTTTAGAGTTTACTTTCTTCTTTCTCGAATTTTATCTACAAAAATTCAGGTTTTGGGTTGATTTTCTAAACTTCGAAACATTTTTACGAATGATACTTTCAAAATTTCAGGTTTCAGGGCTGATTTTATGAATTAAAAGTAACTTTTTAAAGTTGAATTTTTCAAATTCTTTGTTAATTTTTTTCGAAATTCTACCTTGAAAAGTTCAACTTTAGGAATGGTTTGTTTTCTTTATTATTCAATTTCCTTTTTTTGATTTTAACCGCCACCAGGCGTTCAGTTTTTATGGTTGATTTTTCTTAACTTCGAATTATTTTTTTGAATGAAACCTGCAGAATATTAATATTGAAGATACAAGCCTGTGGATACACTAAAAAAATGCAACAACTTCATAAAAAGAGAAGATCAGAAACAGTAATGAAAGGTAATAAGAAAAAAAAATTTTCAATGGAAGATTGCAATGAAATGAACCTCATGTAAGCCGGGTAGACGAATCCCATGAAGTTGCAGACGAGTTCAGCAAAATGACCGAAAATGAGGTAGATGGCCTGGAGACCGGCGACGCCTGCAAACTCACATTCGATTTCCACAAAAAACAAAATCCTTCGAAAAAGGAAAATCTAGATGTAAGCAGCCTTGAAAACAGCAAACTACCCTAAAATATTCTTGAAATTATTTCGCCGTGTTCAAAGTGATTTTGCGATACGAAATAGCTGTCCGAGAGGGAAAAAATATAACTAAAATTGAGAGAGTCGGAAAAAAGTTTGAATTTCGCAAATTACTTTTAACACGTCATTTACTTTCATAATATAACTAACAGAACTTTCAAAGTTCAGTTCAAAAAAAGTGTCACATTTTCCTAAATCTATGAAATACTTGATCAGGAAAACTTTCATAAAACAATGAGGAAACACAATTTTTTTTTTTTTTTTCATTCTGTTTTCCGTTGTATCAATACTATTTTTCATCGATCTTGAAGGTAATTTACTATTTTTTTTTATTTTTTAAAAAAATCTCCGATTTTGATGATTTTTCTGTATGGTAGAGGTGCGATGAATACTATAAGTTTTACAAATTGAGATAATGGATTCCTTGATTAAAAACTTCCTATAAAGATTATGTCCATGAGTTCATAATTTTCGCACGTCTTAAAAGGATTCAAGTTTTATTTTCCAATCATAATATTCTAAAAATTGACCGAAATTATCTCTAGATCAAGTGTAAACTAATATTGAACTCTGCTCCAAAAAAACTAACAAAAAAATGGATTTTTTAAAAAAATTGAATTTTTTTACTTGCTATGGTTTGATAACTTACCTGCTAATCCCGTGATCATTTCACAAAGGCAAATGAATTATTAAATAAATTCTTTTCCAATTTTCAGCCAAGAATACAAACAAAAAAAATACAAGGATTTTTTTCACTTTTTTTATCCTTTCTCTCTAATGTCTTTGCAACAATAAAAAGCATCGTTAAATCCAATTTTTTTCATGTTTTTTTCTTCTAAAAAAACCTCTTAAAAAAATCTTTTTTTGTGGTTTTCAAAGGTTTTTGAAAGGCGCAGTATTATTTTAAGCCTCGAAAATACGGACTAGGGATGTGGCTAAGGTAAAAAAAAAACTAGTTAAATATTCTTTGGTAGGGATTCCTCGGTATGAACACTCGGTAATTGAATAATGGTCTGCTTACCGAGGGACACATGACCGAAAATGTACAGAAAATGAAATTTGAATGCGAATCATGTTCTTTTGCGATACTTCATGGTCTTCTGGGCTTTTCCAGCACCCTTAGCAGATATCTATTTTCGTTTTCAAAAACACCTACCACAAAAGTTTGGAAAATATCTGCGATTTTCCCCTTTCCTATCTGTACCCTAATTATTTGCTTTGTTCTGACAGTAAAGAAATAAAACTACCCTCGCGAAAAAAGTTCTAATGTCTGAGAAGATTTCAGTAGACACTTTAGAACCCGGAGTTATACTAGACCACAAAAAACTACTATAATTAGCACTAATAACTTTTAAAAGGCTCCTATTCATTTTTCTACACACCGAGAACGATATGAAGACGTTTGACGCCGGTTTTGGCCTCGACGGTGGCCAAAACGTTGGTCAGGGGGCCTTCCTGGTGCAGTTGTCTGTCGACATCGTCAACAGCTTTTTTAATTTGAGGCGGAACTGGCATGATCTGTAAAAACACGGGGTAAAAAACTTGACAAGATGATAAAAGTGCTGGAGGAGAGAAAAATCGCGAAAGAGCCTCTCTCTCAGTGCTCCACGGAACGGATGTACAAAGATTGTAAAGATTTTGGCAGAGGTGAAGAAAGAAATATGCTCATTCGCCGGACACACACAGGCAACACACACGCAGCGCTCCTCTCTTCTTTCGCCCCCCGTTTTACAACACGATTTGTGGGAACGTCAAAATCAAATCGATTTCGCCACGCCACACTTTTTGCAATATATGCAAATGTTATCAACGGGCGGGTAAACAAGGCGCCGAAAAAAGAAGCGGACGAGATGCGTGGGGTTCGGAAAGGGATTAAAATCCGGCTGATAAACAATCGTGATGCTGTGAATGAATTGAAAGTTGGAAAATACGAGAATATTGAGAAGAACGTGTTAATGGAGAAAGTGGAAAGAAACTCGTTTCTGAATTTTTTTTTTTTTTTGAACTTTTAGTTGAAAGAAGTTAGGTTAATGGCTTTTTTGCACTTTCAGAAGTTCGGTAGCTAGGTTCCAAATATAACTCCTGGAAAATTCAATTCGAAAATCCTTTCTGAAGTGTTTCTAGGAGCACAGGAAAACTTACAAACTTACTAAAGGTACCAAGACAAAGAGCCAATTTTCGTTTTCGGTTAACATCTCATTTTTTTGTTTTTCTGAAAATAATTTTTAAATCAAAATTTTTTTCATAGAGAAAAAGCTTTTTTTGTTTAGAGAGATAAGTCAATACTAACTCCTGGTATTTTTCAAGTATGCGGATATTAGTATTGGTCGAAAAAAACCAAAATAAGGGAAAAAAACTTGAGAACCTTCGCTGAGAAGGAACAGAAACGAATTAAAATTTTATGTTGTGAATACGCTTTTTTTTCAATATTTTGTCAGGCACGTTGAAATAAAAACTCTACTAAAATATTTCAATCCACTTGTTTTTCCAAAATTAGAAACTCTCTTTTTAGAGCTTTTTAACAAGAAATTTTGAAATGAACGAGATCAGAACATTCATTCCGAGTCACTAGAATATTAGAGACAAGCTTAAAAACATTTAAAAAAATCAATCAAAAAGTAAGGCACTTGTTTTTCCGCCGTCAAGTCGTTAAATCGAGCGATAAAACGAGAGAAAGTGATTAGTAGAAAACTCAATTCACTACATCGACTTCTACAAGTTTATTTGAAACACTCCTCCAATATTTCAGCGATATCAACGCTGGGAACACCCAAAAGAACATGAATTCAGAAAGAATGTTTACTGATGGAATGGTGCAAAACAACACAATAACAGTTATTTAAATAAGAAAGTTGCAGAACAAATTGAAGAAAATTGTTTCAAATCCAAGCTCCGAGATCAAATCCGTTCTTTTGGCTCCATGATCAGCACAGAATTGCCGCGGATGACGACCATTCCGAGGCTGACGGGCTCGCCAGTCTTCGGGTACTCGACGGCTTCCTGAAAATCAAATAAACTAAGTGAAAGAAAAATTAAAAGAGAAAAAAGGCGATCTTCAGCGAATCTGTGTAACACGCCTCCAGTAACTTTTCCCTTCGCGGCGAAAAGAAAAAAACGAAAAACATCGTAAATTTTGATGCTGAAATTTGCGTCTTTCACAATTTCAACTATGCACATGTGTTGGGAAAACCTTTTTAATGAAAAAGTACTGAAATAAATTAAAAGAATCGACGAAAACAAAACCAAATGAGGTTAGAATAAACTCACATCGACAACCATGTTCATGAATGGATCGAAACCACGGAGTATTCCCGACACGCGTCGGTTTCCATTGAGCTTCAAATCCATCTCCTTGTCCATGTACTTCTTCAACTCTGGCGGGTGGGTCTTGCTCATTTTCGACGCTGCAAAAAAGAGGAAAAATGAAAAACTACGTCGATAAACAACGTGAAGGAGCGAACGAAGAATGTTTTCACGGCCGAATCGAAAGCGGGTAACGAAAACAACTAGAGACCAAAGCCAGAGAAGCGAAAAAATAAAAACAGAACATGCCTAAAATGCGCGCGAATTTTCGAAAAACGCGCTCATGGCTTTTCGCGTGGCGTGTACTGCGTATAAACAGCAGACTGTAACCTTAAAATTCATTTTTTCGTTCGGCAAGTTCATTCGCAATGCTTCAACTCTATTTTTTCTATCCATAGCTCTTTCAAATGTAGATATAAAGCTCAATTATGAATTGCTCAACAAGTGACTATCATATTCTTGTCGCTCATAATTTTCTGTCGAATATAAGTCTTGATGGAACCCATCAAGACACCAATCTACGGATTTTTTCGGCTCGCGGCTTGCCAAAGGTTGCTTTTTTTTCTCAAATACAAAATTTATCAGCTTTTACAGACTAAGAAAACCGCTGTCAAGTTGATTGAAAAAAGTGAGGCAGTTTTAAATCAAGCAGCCTATGATAGACAGGTTTTATCTTCATTATATCATTTTTGAGAAGTCAGATATTTTCAGCAAAGCTCAGAAGTTATCGATACAACTAACCCTTTCAATGCTCCACAGCTCACGCCTCGAGGGCCAAATGAGAAAAAGTCAGTTTAGTTTTGAATAAAAATTTAATATAAATTTTAGAAAATCCTTTTTCCATCGGCTCGCAAAAATTATGAGCTCTGATGATGTTATTAGAACCCCATCCAAATGTTATAATTCTGAGGAAGCCGCGTTGATCTCGGAGAAGCTGATTTTGCACGGTTTTCATGAAGTTTTTGGGAGAAGTAAAATAAATTCCGGGATTCAGAGGAAAAAGACGAAGATCGACCAACTTCCTCCATGTCCACCAACCAGTTCAGCTTCTTGAAACGGTTGAGAAGCACCGTGGCCAATGGCGACAGGTTTTTTTTCCGTTTTTTTATTGATATTTTTTTCTCAATCATTCACCTTTGTATATTAATACTTACCTGAGTCTTGATTGCAACCTTTTTTTCTTTGAAAAATTTTTGTGAGTTAGCTCTATTTTTGATAAGAACTTTTTTTGAAGTATATTTTTCTTCAGTTTGATTGGAGTTAAATAATTTATTTCTGATTTTTTTGGTTTTTTTGTTTTTCCGTTTTTTTATCTTCAACCCAAAAATCGAATCATATCTTTTTAGGGTCTTATTTTCAACCACAAATTCCATTTTTTTCTCTTTCCAACGTTTTTTTATTATTATTTAAAAAAACAAAAAAAGGAAGGAACTGTATTGCATATTTGCATCCGAATTGCTCTTTTTTTGACTTTAACGTTTCATCTCTTGGTTTTTGATCAAAGTTTACAAAAATCTAGTCGTTCACAGATGTTTTTTAATCGTTCAACCGATGTTCTTCATTTCAAATTTTTAAATTTTTCAACTTCTCAAGAGTTTTGTGGACTCTTTTTGATACTAATGTTCAAAAATCTAAATTTAAAATTTTTCTCGAAAGGTTTTGTTTTTACCTCATTTCACAGCAAAAAACTATGTTTTTAATGACTTGTCAACTATTTTTTATTTTGGAGTAAGTTGGATAGATTCATATAAAATTCTTCACCGGTTCTTGCTTAAACAAACTTTAATAATACTCACTTTTTCTCTTTTAACTTCACAAAAATCGATATAATATCACCATTTTCTCTTAGTTTGGCCTGTTCATTACCTCAATTCACAGCTTAAAGCTCTAGTTTTGAAAAGTTCCTAGCTATTTTACATTCTTGACAAAGTTGGATTGATTTATATAGATTTATATGTCCTCAGTTTTTGCTCGATAAAATCCAATTTTTTTTTCAACTTTACGAAAATCTAACTAACATGATTTTTCTTGGTATGACTTATTAAAATGTTTTCTAAAAATCTTTTTTTCGCTTTTTTTTTATTCTTGAGAAGGTTTGACCTTGTGTCAATTTTTTTTTTCTAAGTTCTAGCTCAGATAACACATTTTTTTAACTCCATTAAATCGAGCCATTTCCACCATTATCTCCTAGTTTGACCTCTGATGAATTTTTCCCGTCTAACATGTCTCTAGTCGATAATCTTCTAGATGGTACGTGTGCAGTGCCGCTTCGGAAGTCCCCCTCGCCATTTTTTCCTATGTCACGACGTGTGAAACCGACCTTAACGCTTCGATTTCCACGAATCCCTTACTAATTCGAACCCGTCGCGCTCGGTCCAGATCCATTTTTGGAAGGTTTTTCAGCTTTTTTTTAAATGCCTGGTTTTTTTATGCGAAAAAAGGATAAAATTGGTTTTTTCCAGTTTTGATCGGATGAAATCGCAACATCACATGTCGTCTGAAGAACTTCGGCCCTTCATTTTCCATGGAAATGAGGTGATTTTCCGAAACAACGTCTATTTTTCCAGAAGGAAAATGATGTTCAAAAAAAATGTCTTGGGATTGATTTGATATTTTTTTGAAACATTTAGAAATTTGAAAAAAATGTTTGGTAAAAAAAGTTTGAAACCGGGGAATGATGTAATATTTTTTTCATTATTTTTGTTTTTTTGAACACGGCATCAAATAAATGGAAATTTCCGTTTAGGAGCACGTGTTCGGCCAGATTTTCCGGAAAAAAATCAACGCCGTTCAACGACGCCTTTCTTCACACTCTTCGACAAACCTTATAGGAGGGATCGCAGAGTAATAAAATAATATCGATTTCTTTGAAAAATCAATTATTTTCCAAGGAAAGTCAAAAAGAATCGAGGATGCTCGAGCTGGAAGCGGAAATGGAAGCGGCTCAGGCGGTTTATCGTGCCAATTCTTTCGAACAAGGTTTTTTTGACTTTTCCGGTCGCATTTGGAATGGCTCAGCGGCTAGAAATTCTCCAGGAAGTTATATTTTCGATTGCAGCCGAATTTAATTTTTTTATATTTTAAAACAACTAACCTTTTCGCAATGCGTACATATTTGAAAAATAGTTGATTGGAAAGTATTGCGAATTCGTTAATTGGAAAAAAGTTGGATTAGTGTATGGCTAATTTTTTGTCCAAAACCATTTATTGGACCTGAAAATGGAAATTTTTGCGTTCTAGAAAGTTTCTGATATTTTTGCGATTTTTGATTGTATCTTCTTTAAAATAAGCTTCGGAGTAAAATTTGAATCCATAGAGACAGTTCAGGTTTTGAATTTCAAGTGTAGTTCGTTTTTGGCGACTTGAAATGGCTTCTCTGTGCCCTCCTCGTCTTTTGGAGACCCTCTCATTTTGACGTGCTTTTCCCATTTTTCTCTGACCTCGCCGGTGAGGGAACAGAGAGACGCAGACACGCGAAAATTGTCAAAAATGACGTCATTCGAAAAAGCTCTGTAGATGGCTCGATCTCTGATAGGTTAATCGCACCATTTGGGGCGGAGCTTGAGCGACTTTTTGACTGGCGAAAACTGAATCCCCCCCCCCCCCATTTCTAACATTCCAACCTAAGATTTTCCCATTTTTCAGGCTATTCCCTGGACACCGAAGACCCTGCGGAAAACGAGGATGACGATTATGATCCAACTATTTTCGAAGATTTGCAGGCCGGCAGGAAAACCGTCATCCGGCTGACTTCCTTCGTGGTTAGTTTTTTGGAAAAAAAAATTTTAGAGGGAAAAATTTGATTCTCATGGTGAAATCTGAAAGGAATGTGTTCTCAAAAACTTTACGGAAAATTAAGAATTTGCGAAAATTTCCACATTGAGTAGTCTCATTTGACGATTTTCCATTATCTTGCTTTCGATTTTCGATCTTTCGTTATAAAACTGTTTCAAGAATCTTTCAAAACAGTTTTTATTTCCAGGAAATTCAATAGGGAGTATGAGCGTTTGAATTTTACAGTTCAAATTCAATGATTGAAAGGTTGATGAGAGAATTCTAAAAAAAATTTTTAAACGAAAAAAATAAAAAAATAAAAACTTTCTTTTTTTCATTTTCTTTTTTTACGAATTTGAATGAAAAGGAGTTACCGAAATTTTTTTCAAAAAAAATTTTTCAAATATAGAAATTGAAACAGGGGAATGATGATTCGAAATATTTTTTTGTCAATTTTGAATAATAATTTTTCAAAAAAATTACGAAATTAGTTAAAAGTTTACTTTTTACCAGTACAACGAATTTTTCATAAATTTGGGTTTGTTATTTGAAGTTTAAAAAAATGATGAAAGAAATTTTTTTCGAAAAAGTTTTTCTTCACGCTTTTTTTGGGAGTTTCCATAATCGGGAGATCGTCTAAAAAAAGATAGAAGATGTTTTAACACAAATCTTAAAAAGATTAAAAAGATCATTTATAAGTTTCAGTTGAGAAGAGCCACCGGTATTTGTACAGATTGCCTCACGGTAAATCGACCCCAGATTTCTCAACGGCGCGCGCTTTCTTCCATCCCATTTTTTTTTCTTATTCGTTTCTTCATTGCAAATGTGTTTCTGTTCTAGTTTTTTCTACTCTTTCTATTGCACGGCGTTTTGAAAAGGGTGGAAAAACTGGCATGCGATAAAATGTGCCCTGATGAAAAAGTTATAACGGCGGACTACGGTTGGAGGATGCAAGTTTGCAATATATTGTTATTCATATTCCCATTGTCGTATCGTGCTTTCATAGAGCTAAGATTTAATTTTTGAGATTTTTAGAACTTTAATTCGTTCAGTGAAATTATTACAAAATTCGAATTCTAAGCATACAAATTTTTTCAAACGGTTTCGTTTTCATCAGTTTCGAGCTCATGACAAAGGTGAGATAGTACCCGGTCGCATACAAATGACCACCGATTAGCATTCGCCGATTGACTTGAGTCGCTACCCGGTACCTACTTGTATCTACCTCTCGATTCACCAGTGGACAAACGTATATTCCTCCTTTGCAAATACAGGCTTTCCCAGGTCTTGCAAAGGCACATTAAAAATCCACCTCGCTAGTACCGTTCCGCCGCCTTACCACTGCTCCTCGCTGCCGTTGCTTCGGCAGTCGCCAGATCACAATATAGTCTGTTCAGATTTTGTATTTCAAGTCGTCGCTCAAGCTCCGCTCCTGATGGTGCGATAAACCAATCAGAGAGCGAGCCATCCACAGAGTGTTTTTGAATGACGTCATTGCACTTGACATTCAAAATCTGAATAGACTATACCACACCGCGCGCGCATTCTCTTGTGTACGGCTGCGCTTCGAAAGGTCATACCTTGACTGCGAAATTTTTTTGAGAAAAATTTGATTCGAAAATCTCAAAAATTGAATATTAGCTCTATGAAAGTACGATACGACAACGTGAAAATGAATAACAATAGAAAGAGTAGAAAAAACTAGAACAGAAACATATTTGCAATGAAGAAATAAATAAGAAAAAAATGGGATGGAAGAAAGCGCGCCCCGTTGAGAAATCTGGGGTCGATTTACCGTGAGGCAATCTGTACAAATACCGGTGGCTGTTGAGAAGAAATGAAAATCTGATGAAAAGGCCTTTTTCTTGGAAAAGGGTCAAAAAGGAGCTTAAAAGGAGATTTTTTCATCTTTTCAGAAAATAATAAATGTTTTTGTTGGAGATTTTCAAGATTATATATTTTTATTGGAAACGGATTTTTTAGTGAAATTGATTTTTTTTTTTAGGGCAGCACATTCCATTACTTACCCCCGGATCGTGCCAAACAAACGATGAACGAGGATTTCATCGAAAAATTCCCGAATGTTCACATTACCTTGAGCAAAATGAAGAGGTTTTCCGTTCACTTTTGCAGAACAAAAATCATTTTTCTCAGTTTGAAAAAAGAGATGATCGAAATGGCAAAACAGCATTTGGTGGACAGCTACACACTCTCCGTTGCTTTCGTCTTTTTCGAGAGAATCGCTTCGAAGGTACTCTTTCAGAAGGGATTCGTGAAAGAGAAACTACGATTTCCAGGGTCTGATATCCAAAAATAATCGGAAAAGCGTCGCTGGGATCAGTTTGCTCGTCGCGATGAAGATGAACGACTTTAGCAAAGCCGCCATCAAGGCTTTCATCAATGTAGGTTTTTGTCGCCCTGGAGGATGCCAGAGTGGTCCCTCGAGGGGCAAGCTGAAGGGCACTTCAAGGAACCCTTTGAGAGTCAAGAACGATCCTCACAAAGGGCACCCAAGGGGCCTTTAAAGGTTCCCCTCTCGGGGACCACCTTACATCCCTCTATAGGGACATTAAAGCTTGCAAAAGTGGTCCCTAAAGGGGCTTTAGTAAGTGGCAACTCTAGGGAATCATTCCGGTCGTTCATTGTTATCAATTCTTCGAGAAGAAGCATTTCCATGCGAAAAAAAACAATAAATTAGCATTTTTGAATAAAAAATTGAACAGAGGATCAAGTTTGTCCAATTTTCAAATAGGACTAACAAATTTAAAAAAAACCCCCCTATAGGGACAACTTAAGCTTCAGAGGCTCATGGGTCAGGCTTTCTCTAGGGATTTTACCCCTCTAGAGCAGAATAAAATATAGTAGTGAAATAATTTTGCAAAAACTTTTGTCAGATTTTCGATAATAAACCCGTTTCATTCGCCGAAGAAAAATAAAGGGAATTTTAAATAAAAGTGATAAATCTATCTCATTTATGAAAGGGTCCTGACACGATAAAAAAATAGAAGACTCTTATTTCGTGGAGAGCGCAGACAGGCCACGCCCCTTTTCGTTTCAATAGCCTGTCAAAATTTTGAATGACGTCATTCGAAAAAGCTCTGTGGATTACTCGCTCTCTGATTGGTTCATCTCGCCATTAGGGGCGGAGCTTGGGCGTAGACTTCAAATCCGAAATCTGAACAGACCATTTTTCTCAATTTCCAGACGGCCGAGGATAAATTGCGGGTTTCCCGGAACGACCTCCTCTCCTACGAACTTCCATTATGCGTCGCTTTGAAATTCAAATTAATCCCTCGAGACGACGAAGTCACCGCCCATAACGATAAATTACGGTTCATCATGTCCTAGTCATGATTTTTGCTCCAATAAAGAGATTTATCGCTTTTCCTATTTATGTTGCCTTTTCTACTGGTTTTTACCAAAAATAGATCATTATTTGCTTTTTCTTCCAAAGTTTTTCATTATTTTTCTCCTCCCAGATGGCCAATTTCGAATCATTCTACAAGGAGGTATGTTCATTGAAAAGTTTCGAATTTTACAAAAATATTTTCAGCTGAAAGAACAAGAATCGGAGGATTCAGTGCTGACCTCTGCCCAACAGATTGACCGATTGCTGAAGCCTGGATCTACTTATTTGAATTTGAACCCGTTTGAGGTTGGTTTTGACGGGAAACAAAACATGGTTTTTGAGTTATTTCATGCATTTTTGAGGAGTATATGACTTCTTTGAAAATTTTTTTGAAGTGTAAATTTGAATTCTCAACGATTTTTGAAAAGATAACGATTTTTTTGTTTGTTTCAAGTTTTCAACGAAACTGAATCGTTCGGTTTTCAAAAAAATTTTTTTAAGCTTTCATTGAAACTGTAAAACTGAATTTGGAAGAAAGAATGGATTAAAAAATTTTTTTCCCTGCTGGGAAAATTCGGTTAAAAAAAAAGGTTTTCAATAAATTTGAGCTTTTTCAACTCTTTATGTTTTCTATAGGAAAATATGGTCTTTCAGGACTTTTTTAGGATTAAATCTAATTTTAAATGTGTTCGCTCCATTTTTTCGATTTATTTCAGAAAGAAAAAATGAAATTTAACCACTGTTTTTCAAAGAAAATTGTGATTTTGCGCCGATTTCGAAAAATTTTCGAGAGAATTTCGATTTTTTTATAGCCTTATTGAAGTAGGTTTTAAAGAAAGAAACGTAAACAGAAGAAAATCTTCATTATTGAACAAATCTAAATCTTTTTCGAGGATGTTTTTTTGGAAACAATTGACCTATTTTTATTTTAAAAAAAATTTAAAAGTGTGTTTTTCAGGTGCTTCAAATCGATCCGGACACGGATATCGAGGCGGCCAAGAAAAAGTACAAGAAATTGTCGCTTTTGGTGCATCCTGACAAGAATCCCGATGACCGGGAAAGAGCCGACAAGGCTTTCGACAGTGGGTTTCAGCTTTTTTTAATGGTTTTTGATGGCTCTGAGTAGGAAAGACGCTTGAAAAGGTTTCGAAACTGAGATTTTTCATGAATTTCTGAAGTTTAGCGGTTCTAAATCTGTTCTCGAGCAAAGTCGGAATGCGGAATAATGGTCGCTAAAAGAGAGGCCGAAAAAAGGCTGCAGAAAGACGGAAAAAATAGTCCCTTTATCTAGTCTTTGATTTTTCTGCGATTTTAAAGACTCAAGAAATGGTGGAAAAGGGAGTTTTGATTGAAGTGATTTTGCAGTCGTCAAAAAGGCGGTCCGTCAAATGGAAGAGCCGATCGAACTGAACAGGTGCAAGGATTGTTACACCGAAGCCAAGGCGCGATTGGCTATCGTGGTGAGAAATGGGGATGTTCAAAATCAGTAATGAAATGGGAAATTGAGGGGGAAAAATGGTGGAAGCCTTGATATTGATGGAAATTTCGAGAAAAACGCAGGTAAAACGAAAAAATTCCTGAAGAAGTGCGATAGTGGAGTAAGAAAGTTCTGTTAAGGACCTTTAATGGCTTTTTTTTCCTTATGAAAAAATCTTTTGAGAATTGCTGTTTTGCCCAAAAAAAAACTTGAACTCTATAAAGTTTCTCACGAAATCAAAGTTTGAATATTTATCTCATCAAAGCTGCTTGAATAGGCTGCTTCATTCATAAATATTTTTTCTGTGCTTCAGTCTTCTTCAAAAAGAAACTGATTAACGGCTTCCTCTGACGATCGAAAAAAGGGTCCCGACACGATGAAAATGAGAGTTTTTTTGGTCTTGAATAACTATCGTTAGAACACCCTGTAAGGAATGAAAATAACTATTTTTACCAAATTTTGAGGTTTCTATTCAACTGGAAAATGTGTCTTTGATGTTTGAGAGCTTTGAAAAAAAGAAAAAGGAGAGAAACATCTGACTTTTGAAGGATTTTAATCCTTAATATGAGCATAATTTGTACTAAAAGCAGTTTCTCCTTAAGAACCGTTTTTTTGAAGCGTAAAGTCAGCTTTGGCTTTTTTTTAATTGGTTTTTTAAGAATTTTTTTGAAGGCTTTTGATGTCTGAGTAGCAATGGAAGTTCATGGACGAAAATTGGATTTAAAAAAAGAGTTTTTGAAGATTTTTAAGAAATTATTTACGTGCGATTTTGCATTCTTTTCTAACTTTCAGATGTCTGAAAAGAGGAGAAAGCTGAAAAAAGAAGGAAAAGAGGAGAAAATCGAAGAAGATGACCCGGCCGGATACAAGAAAGCTCTTTGGATCGCTGTCTCAAAAGTTTCATATTTTCTTTTTATCTCGCGAAAACTTCTTTTCAGGTTTTCGCTGATCGTGAGAAGAAGAAACGGATGCTCGAGGAAAGAGCCAATGAAGAAAAAGTTGGTCGAATATATTTTTATATAGATATAAAATTATTTTTAGACGAAGAGCTTCTGAGGCGGCAGTTCAGTTGGCTGAAAAGAGAAAATTGGCCGAGGAATTCGCGAAAAATTATGAAGTGAATAGACTTTCTCTCGAAATGAAGTACTGATTTTTCTTTTTAAGGAATCGAGAGATGAAAGATCGGGAAGCTGGCGAAATTTCCAGGCGAAAAAGGCCAAGAAAGAAGACAAGGGCAAAACTCTCCGAGGAGCCGCTTTCAAACCGCCAAAGACAAAACTTTTCAAATAATTTGTACCATACACATGTAATTTATTGTCCCTCATCTGCATAAACTCTTCTTTGTTTCATTTCCCTGTGTAAGTGAAGGAGACAAGAAAATTGCAAATTGTTGGCTTACTGTAGAAGGCGTTGGTGCAGGCACTCCGGCGCAAATCGCCCGAAAATTGCGCGCCAAAATCCAAAAGTTGAACGATAACAAGCTATTCTGCAGCGTCTTTCACTATTCTTTCGCTTCATTTGGTGTTTTCTAGCTTTTAATAAGTTTATTCAGAATTTGATGCCTCGAGCTTCGAGACGAGCTGCCGAGCCTGACAATGATGTTCAGGCCCAAGCTGCAGTTACTGACTTTTTCCGGGTATTCAATGACCGATTTTTTGGACTCAGTTCTTTCTAACAGGTCACCCGACGTCCAAGAGGTGCAGCGGCGGCTAAAAAAGTACTAACGGAAGAAGATGGACCAACTCAGAGTATCGTTAAAACTGAGGTAGAAATGAAATTAAGTCAAAAAATAATGATAAAAATTTGTTTTTGAAGACAAAAACTACTACAACTCGTAAAACTCGAGCAAAAACTGTTGAGACGGTGGAAATTGTGAAGGAGGAAGTCGTCAAAGTTGAGAAAATCGTTGAGGTGAGTAGAAATTAAAATTCTGGGGTTAAACGAACAAGTCAACTTTATTTCAAATTTTGTGACGAAGACCTATTTTTATGTTATTTCTAGTCATGAAAGACCTTCTAACACCTCAGAAAGGCATTTAAAACAGGATTTAAAGATTTTCTTTCCAGAAAACAAAAGACGTTCAGCAGGAAGAGATTGGCGGAGCCTCACCACCAAAAAAATTCCGATCGGTTTTGAAAATAAAAAACTAAAAACAAATTAAAAGTTTTTTTTCCAGGAAAACATAACGAAAAGCACCAGAGCCAAGAAGGTCCTATTTTCAGAGCCACTAGAGGAAAAAGTAGATTTTTTCAATAATTTCCAAGAAAATAAGTGATTTTCAAGGTATTACCTCCTCCAGCTCCGATTCCCGTCGAAAAAACGCCAGAAAAGCTTGCTCAATCTTCTAAATCGATTCTGAGCGATATTAGTACAGGTTTTCATTGATTTTCAACAAGAAAAAGAGAATTTTTCAGCCTCGCCGAAGAAAAAGACGAAAATCCGGACGGTGGCCGAACTACAGGCGGAACTGGCCAAAAGAGGCGCCGCCAAGAAAGTTCATCAGCAGAATCTCCAGCACAAAACCAAATGTGTAGGGTTTTCTCGAACATTTCTTGAGATTTTTCGAAAATATCTTTCATAAGTCGATTTTCAGGTCGAGGCCCACGCAGAGTTTCTGAAATCCCCACAAAAAGCTCCCCTGGGACCGGCTCCTGTGATCAAAAAGACGGTGAAAGCCAAGCTTCCCAAGCTTGACAAGGTGAGAATTTCGATTCAAAGTTCCGTCATTTTGTGCTTCCTGGTCCATTTTCACAGCAGTTATTGAAAAAATTTTGTTTTTTCGGCCCTTTTCAGCTGTTTTCAGTTTAAAAGTCGTGTTGCAAAATTTCGAGAAAAAAGTTTTTCACTTCGATTTTTTTTTAAGGTTTTCACTTAATATTAATATCTCTTTTTAAATTATCTTTATTTTTACTTTTCTGATTAATTTTCCGATTTTTTTCGATTTTTTTATTGTTTTTTTCAGAAAGGTTTTTTTGAATTTTTTTCACTTGAATATTCTCGGTCTTTTCATTGATTATCTAAGAAATTTCAAAAAAACAAATTCTGAGGTCTTCAACGTTTTTAATATTTTTGCTGTGAAATTTTTTTGATGATTTTATTTAAATTTTACGAAAAAAATAATATGTCTTCATTTTGTTTTTTTCCCCTTTATTTCCAAGTTTCTCGAGAAAAAAATTCTCATTTTTTTAAAGCTTTTTTTATAATTTTTTTCTGAAAAGTAACAATTTTTTTCATCGAACTTCCTAGAACGGTTTAATATTTTTTTCAATATTTTTTTCTGCTTTTTCACAATTTTTGTTTTAAATATCCAAGAGTTTTTTTCCCGAAAAATTGTCAATTTTTTTGATCGAATTTCTCTTATTTTTTTCGGAAAAAAATTTTTGGTTCAGTATTATTTTTCCACTTTTTAGAGTTCAGGAATTTTCTCCGAGAAAAAAATAATCAAAGTTGTATCAGAACTGCTTTCAAAAAAATTTTCAAATCAAACTCGAACATTCTTCCTTTTTGTCACAATTTATTTTTTTCAAAAATTCAAAGATTTTTTTCAGAAAAAAATGTCTTTCAGGTCGTCGACGTTCCTGCACCGGCTGCAGTCGCTTCCGAAGTCCCTTCATATGTTCTTCCGACCTACAAAAAAACCGACAGAAGAAGGAAAAGAAGAAGCTGAGAAACGGGAAGATGAGGAGGCCAAAATGTGGGAAAAACTTTGGAAAACTGAAATTTAATATATGATTTTACAGGGAAGCCAAGGAATTCGCGAAAAATTCCAAGCTCGTCGACATTGTCCGGGATAGTTTCAACAGCGAGTTTTCTCTGCCGGACAGTTATGAACACTTGAATTCGTCTTTTCAGCACGTCGATAGGGTTGGTTTTTGAGAAAAAGGGTCTGATTTCCAATTTTCATCAAGTTTATTTTTTGAAGAACCGAAAAAAATAATTACACCCCGTTGATAATAATTAGACTGCTTGAAAACTTTTTTTAAAAAAATTTTTTTAACATTTCCCTATATAATTTTTTGCCATGTTTTTTTCGCATAAATATACAATTTTTTTCAGATCGTCGGAATGATCACGAATCAAGGCCGTTGTTGTGTGATGGTGGATTTGATCAAGAATCTCAGGAACACTATGAAAAGGTCAGTCATTTCAGGTCTTCTACGATTCTGTAGAATTTCAATTTTTCGAGAAGTTTATTCTAAAACCTTCTTCCTTTGAGAAATAACTTGTGGATTCTCAACATTTTAAAAAGTGTCTTATTTTTTTTTTTTTTTTGAGGGCTGCATTCTCTATTTTTTTAGGAGGTTTTTCTTGAAATTTCGATTCTCAAGATCTATATCAAAAAATTTCAATCTTTAGGTGATATTCTGAGATATCTTTTTTTTTTCGAGGGCCATATAAAATAAATCTATTTTTTTAAAGAAGGATTTTTATAGAATCTCATCCTATAAGTAGTTGTATTGTAAAAATATCCTTTTTTTAAAGTACTTCTTAAAATCATGATTTTTTTAAGGTGTGTATTGTAATGTGTTGCTTTTTCAGTGGTCTATCAATTTCGATATTTTGAAGAGTAAATTCCTAATTCTCTTGCTTTTTTTTTCTAAGTTTGATCTTACCATTCGATAATTTTCAAGATTTTACATGAAAAAGGAAAATTTACGATTTTCTGTACTTTTTCACTTGGAATCATATCCCCTTGAAGAAGCATTTCTATACTCCGGTGATATACGTTTCAGTGAAATAATTAAAAGATTTTGTTTGAAAAGTTCAAACGTTAGGCATTCAGGGGGTAATCCTTTTCTAAACATGGTAAATTGACTTCGAGTTGGGCAATTATATCACTTTATTAGTATTTTCAATCCTTTCATAAATTGTTGGAAATGTCCTCTCAAAGTTGTCATTTCCAGGGACTTTGACCAGAAGAACTTCTCGCAGCTTCTTCACGTCTATCCGACGAGTTACAAGGTGGAAGCTCGTGAGCAGTGGAACGCTTTCGGCGGAACTCAAACCGGGAAAATGGAACTCGTCGTGGCGCCAAATTTGGTCGATGGTAAGGAATTTCGAGTTTCCGTGAAAAGCTTTGTCATTTTGGTTGCGAAAACTTCTTGATCATTCAATTTTTTTTCCGATTCCTTTGCATTTTTTCTATGTTTTGTATAATTTACTTTTAACTTTTTTTCGTAATTCTTATAGAACGCGAGTTCGGAACTTTTTTTGATTCTCAAGTTATCTTTATCAAAAAAATGGGTTTTTTTGCTCGACCTTCATCTGAAAAATTTTTCAACAGCTTCCATTTATTACAAGTATTAGCTAGCTTAGGAACTCCAGAGTGGTCCCTTTAGGGTCAACCTTGAGACTTTTTAGCGCTTTTTGAAGGAAAAATATGAACAGAGAGAATATTTACCAATTTTATCTTTTATATTTTTTACCCTGAAAACCCTATAGGGACCACTTGAGCTCTAGGGGGCAAACTTGATATCCTAAAGAGGCCACTCAGGCGTTAGTAAGAGGCGATTGAGAAAATGTTTCTATTCAAAACTTGGGAGTTTCATCAAATTGTCTGAAAACGGCTTGGTGGATTAGAAAAAAAAAAACCAAAGATTGTCCTTATTTTTAAATGTATATTGCAAAAAAACTAGATTTTTGAAAATTTCTGAGTTCTCCGGCTCAAAAATCACATTTTAAAAAAGGTTCATTATTTGAGACATGGCCGGGTTCCTGAAAGACGAGGAGAAGCTGACTGAAGACGAGACGATTCCCCTGGTTGTCCCGCAAAAGTTGCTCGCATCGCCGCTGAAGAGCCCTCGGAAGGGCGGCTCCGCTCTACCTGTCCCCAGGTATTGTCATTCAGGTATTGTGGTCCGAAAGTCTCGGAAATTGAACGAGTAATGGACCTTGCAAGGGAGAGCAAATAGGATCTCAATTGAGTTGCATTTTCTTTGTGTTTGAGCATTTTGGAACAGGTGTTCCGCGTAAAATTGAACTTTTTGGGACATTTTTACGACCTCAAGTGTATTGAAAGAATTATAAAAATAATTTAAGCGCAAAATTTGGCAAAAAATAGAAATAGAAAAACCCTGATTTGCATTTTTCGAATATTATGGAAATTCATTTCAAATGATTACGATTTCATTGAACGCAATTATCAAAAAAATGTAGCGAAAAAATAGTTTTTTTCTTTTTTTATACTTTTTATACCAACTTTCACAAAATCAAAAACTTGAAAAAAAGTTGGCTCGCGTTTGATTTCGATTTTTCCCTCCCAAAACCTCGTCGCGTACGCAACGCATCTACTTTCAGTTTTGTCAAAACAAAAAAATTGAAAAAAACGACGATTATCAAGGAAAATAAGTTTTTTTAAAAAAATCGAATTCAATTTTTTTGAAGGAATCTTAGAAAATAAACTTGAATCAGCACGTTTTCCTATATAACGAGGGAAAATATAAATTTTAGAGTTTTACTTATCATGTTTTTCTGAGAAAAGTGGTTTTTTCCAGGGCCCCTCAACTGGATGCCCGTCGGCGATTGGACGCTGTTCGAATGAGAGATCGTTCATACGTTTTCCGACACAAACTTGTCGAAATCGTCAAAAAACACTACGATCTGTTCCTGAAGGAGAAAGGATGTGCGTAGTTTTAAAAAAAAGTGGCGCGAAAAAATTTTCAGAGGTTGAAAGAAAAGAGTCGGGTTTTTAGGAAAAAATTGGCTCTAATATCTCAGATTAAATGTTTCAAAGCTTCAATTTCCTGTAAAGATTGAAAATCCTGTTCCTATGCGTTATAGTTTGAATTTTCCCGAGAAAATGAATTAATTTCCGCTTTGAAAAAGTTTTTTTTTTAGAAAGAATTCGTTTTAAAAACGCTAGCAATCGGATATACGTCGTTTGAAATTATTTTTTGATTTTTTTTCGGCGCAGTAAATCGCTTTTGTGTTTCAAAGTATCAATATACAGCTATAATTCAGATAATTTATGATAATGTGTTCGAATTCAATTTTTCAGTAGAATCAATGAAAGCAAACTTCCGCCGCCTTCACCCGATGTTCAACCCGAATAAGCACTGCTCGGCGATCCCTGAAGTGGCCACTTCCAGCTCAATAAGTAGAACAATTTTAAAAAAATTGAAGGCAGCCCTCCCGGACATTTCCACGAAACGGAAGACCAACATAGGCATGCGCGAGTACGTGGCCGAGGAGACGGGAGTCGTCAAACTGCCCGCTTTTGTCCTGGTTCTCAGAATATATCCCGGAACTTTGATAATTTTTGGACTTTCAGAAGGCGATCGAAGAAATGAGGAGCCCTACGAAGGCCTGCTCAAGCGACGCCGTACCTTTGTCTCCAGCCAAATTCGTCGAGATGAAAAAGAACCAGACGGCGGGAGGACTGAGCTTGTTGGAAAGGGTAATAATTATTAATATTTCCCCTCAGCTCTTAGAAGACTTAGATTTTTAGAAGTAATGAAGAAAATATATATATAAGTGGAGCTATTGAAGGTAAGAAATTACTTCAAAATTTTGGCTCATGAGAGGTTGATTTTTTTCTAGAAATGTTGAACATTTTTCTTGGAACCTCAATTAATATAATTTTGTCTGAAGAAAATGATGATTTATGCGTTTATATTCATTGAAAAAAATTTTTTCATGACGCAGTATCTCAAAAAGAATGTGAAGTTGAACTTTTTCTCAGATTCGAGCCAAGGAAGCGGCCAAGAAGGCGGAGGAGGCTTGCCATGATGCGGACAAACTGAATCGCAAAAATATGTTGATCAAACTGGGCGATCGGTTCTTGAGATCACTTTGTTGGTCAGTTTTTTATCTCTGAAACACAAACTTTTATCTGACTCTCCAAAGTTCAGTTATCTTTTTCTTTCTCTGACGACCATTTTGAATTTTGCGCAATCACTTTGAACATGACTTCAAATCTTAAACTTAAAAAGCTCAAGTTTGATTCCTTGCAGTGAATTTATAAAATAATATTCTTCTTTTTGAAATTTGGAATGAATTGTTGTCTTGACCATTGAAATAAAACCTAATTTTCAGCCTTTACGCGACGAAAAAGGCGAGGTCGATGGAGTTGAACGTCGTCGCCGAACGGCTCGTCTTCAGTCATACGTCTCCGATCACTAAACGTCAGTTCAAAATTATATTTTCAGATGAAAAAAGGTGCAAAGTCCCCCATTTTTCTCGCCAGGGAATGGTCTCAGCTCACATTGGAAGCTTTGAATGAAACTAAGGTCACTAGATTTAGCTTTTTACGCTGATTCCGAAAAATTAAATGTTTCTGGAAAAGAAAAAAAGATTTTGCAATGTACCTATGACCTCGCTAGTGACATCAAAAATCATTCAGAGGCTCCAATTTTTTGAAGAAAAAAAAATAGATTTTCTGTTACCATTGGGGCAGGATCTATATACCCTCAAAAATGAGCTCAATCGAAGAAATTGAAATTCTCGATTTTTGAGGGTTCCTAACCTTTTATACAAACCTCATTGACACTTCGAGAAAATAAGACGATTCAAAATTTTCAAGGGAAAAAGAGAATTTCTGCTCAATAAGTTGCTTCAAAATTACTGAGTTATGCTCTTCTGAACTGAGACTCAACGAATCCGATGCTCAATGACTTCAAATTCTCTCAAAAAAAAATTTTTTTTTGTTTCCAGAAGAAGTGATCCAACACTTGGAACTTCTTTGCCAAGTGGCCCCGAAGACCGTCTCGGAGTCCGTGGTGATGGGCCGCCGATATCTGCAAGTCCTGGAGAACAACTTCGACGCCTTGTACGCCGTCGTCCAGGAGGAGCTCAAGACCGTCGAGGTCGCCATGAAACAAGACTTTTTGGCACCCAGACCTCCGCCAATCGCCCAAAACTCGACGAAAAAGGCCGTCCGGACCTTGTTCTGAGCTTAAAATTTGCCGTTTTCTTGTAATTTTGTTGTGATTGTGTGTAGTTTGATTCCATTCGCTTTTACCCATTAGTATGAGCAATATGTAGTTTGTTTCATGCCTTCTAATTAGAGGAAGTGATGTAATTTGAAAGTTTCTTCAAAAAAGTCCTATAACGTGAGCAGTTCTGAGAAGTTTTTTAATTAGAGATAGACAATAACATTATCGAGATTACTAACGTGAGCAACACTTTGCAATAATGAGGTGTTATGAGAGACTTATCAAAAAGAGGCTCAACTCTGATTACTCATCCCAGTCTTTGACATGATTTTGATTTTATAACACCAAATTAGTTACTTTGACCTAAAATGCTCTTTTTGCACATTTTGTACAATTTGTTCCATTTTTCAGCTTCTAACTATCTCTGTAACCTTTTTTTTTTCTTGCATCTTCTGATTTCGTTGTTCAAAATGAATACCAAGTATTCATCTTTTTAATCATTTTTATTATTCGTTTATATTGTCTGGCAGCATGGTATGAAATACACACATCGATTCTTATTCCATGAGTTGGGAGATCACTCGGGATTTCGTGGGCCTTCGACTTTCTTAGGAAAGCCAATGTGGTCCCTATAGGGGTTAGGAGAAAGACAGATTATATTACAAACAAAAAAGTGCTCCCTATAGGGGTGGAATTTGGTTGGTCACTCTAGGAGTTTCGGATCGGACCCCTAGCCCCCAAAAGCTTGAGTGGTCCCTATAGAGTTTTTATTGAAATTATTGATTCAGATTTGAAAGATAAAAAGCATGCTCCCCTTTACGGGCCACTGAATAAAACCCTTGAGGGGTAAGGTTGCCCCTATAGGGATCACTCTGGCGTTCTCAAGTTACCCGGTGAATTGAAAAAAAGGTCCTCAAATATCAAGAAAACCGGCCCAATCGAGTCCGATAATCCACTTGGCATAGCTGTCCCACAGGCCGGATTGGTCCTAAAAATGAAAAATTTGAATTTCAAGTTTCTAAGCTTTATATGAATTTTTTTTCACTACTTACCTATCGCAAATTATTAAATTCTAACTGCGAAAAAACGTTATTTTACGGTCCTAAATTGAGCCAATGTTTTAAAAAATCAATATCAACAAAAATGTCATCGATTGATAAAGGACAAGCTCAGATTTGAGCTGGAAGTCACAAATGAAATCTCGAGATAGAAGATTATTTTTTTATGTTAGACAAAGAAATTTATGAATTCTAGATTTTTCTATCAGTTATTGTTGAAAAAAATACCGTTGGAAAGTTGCCTAGTTACTCTGAAAGTTTTTTTCTAGATATCGAGTTTATTGATCCAATCAAAAAAATCCTTCTTGTCCACTTTAATAATAAAATCTAGTTAAATTTGACTTATTTCTATGAAATTTTTTTCACTTCATCCGATTTTTTCTCTCCTAAACCCACCTGATAACTTTTCGTTTGATCCGAGGGAAGGACCGGAATACCCGATTCTGGAGCTTCAGTGCACTGTATGACACAATTTTTCAGTAGAGCATTTTTTCGATGTCCTGAAAAATCTATTTTTTTCTTGTGATTTGACTGAAAAGGGAAGTAATTCTAGAGAATTTCACGAAAATTCGCCAAAATACTCCTTAACTTACGAGTTTGAGACCTTGAAAGAATGTTCAACTAGACGAATCTTAGTGGCCCCTTAAGAGGTTCCTCAAGGACTACTTGAAAAGAACACTGGGGTAGCCACTAAACAACCACTATTTTGCATATTAGTGGCCACTATAGTAGTTTTAGTGGTCTCGTAGTACACACTGAAAATTCTAAAAGAGCACTAAAGTTCAGCGAATTTAGTGGCCACTTACTCGACTACTAAAGAGACCACTGAAACGTCAAAACCCTGAAACCGAATAAATGTCAATTTTGGTACCTTGCAAGGACTGGATCCGAAGTCGCATGGCAGTACTCGCGAAGGAAATATTGTACGCCTAAATTCACGATTTCTTCAATTTTTTCCAGTTTTTCATCCCCCAATTGAACTTTTGATCAAACTACAGTGTACTTTAGAACTCAATGATTTTATAATAAGAAAAAAACCTCATTAAATTTTTTTTTTTCGATTTTTAAAGCTTCAAAGTCCTCAAAAACCTCTTTTTTCATGATTTGTGTAGTTTTTGCCCCTGAAAGGCATATGGGCAGTAAAAAAATGGGGTTTTTGATAAATTTGCCAATTTTTTTTAGAGCAATGGTAGGCTTTGAAACGTACTAAAAAGGCTAATTTTTGAAATAAAATGATAAAAAAAGTCAGAGAAAAAAAGTTCAATTTCCGTTTCAGAGTAAAGTTGCTCTATGGACAAAACGGGCCATTATCGGTTTAAAATCCCGTTTTTTCTGCTCATAAGTCTTTGAAGGGTCCTAAATCGAAATTCAGACCCATTCTAAGAAAAAACTTTTATTTTCTAGAATCAGGAGGCTCTAAAGTACCTTTCAGTCAACTTCCACAAAAACCAGGGGGAAATCAAAAAATCGAAATTTATTCGAGAAAAATTCACCTCCTCCGGTATTTTCCTGGCGTCCAAATCGGGGAACTTGTCCCTATCCGTAAAATAAGTGCCATCTTCATTTATCACTAAAATGTTGGAAGTCGGCGCCGTGTGCAAGTCCAGAATGGGGTTGTTGCCAAATTGTTCGTTCAGCTGCAGGGCTTCGATCACGAAATTCACCTGCAAATGGACAGGTGAAGTTATTGGAAATGTCTCGTTTGGAAAGAGCCAACTTCAATTGAATATTGATGAAAGAATGAAAAGTTATGGGAAACGCCTTGTTAAATTTAATATAGCGTATGAAACGGGAAATTGAGAAATCTGAGTCGCTTTTTCAAAAAATCTTCCGTCAAATGTGTGTCCGAAAAACTATTGTCTCAACTAATAAACTGAAAAAACGTTCAATCTGAGGAATTTCGGAGAAGTCCCTATAGTGTTTTGTTGTTTTAGGGACCACTATAGGGTGCAATTTTACGGCCCCTACAGGAAAAAAACAGAGAGATTTGAAAAAATAGCAGAAATTGAATAAAAAGTCTCTACCTGCTTATTTTTCAAAATAACTTCTGAAATCAAGGAAAGAAAAAAAGCTTATTTTTTAACTAGAAGTTTCGAAAAATTGAAAAAATGATGATAGGTGAAAAAAAGGCTGGGAAGTTAACTTTTGTACTATTTTCAAAACTTCAAATTTCCAGTCGGTTAAAAATTTATACGGAAAACTTTTCAAAGATATTTTACGTAAGGAAAGCGGAAAAAAACAATTGGAATCTCATGAAAGTAGTCCAAAACTTCTTAGAATTCAAACTTTCATGGAATCTAAAAAATCTACAGAAACTGCAACTGACTGAGAAAAAATGAAGAAAAAAACCTTGATTTTGAGCAATTTATCCTGAGCCGAATTCCTCAAGTCGCTGACATCGCCGACGGCGAGAGAGACCTGGAAATTTGCCACTTTCTTTCCTTATTCACAAATAATTGAAAAATGAACCTACCATCAAATTCATGAGCAAAATAACGGTAATGATCTCGAAAGCGAGCACCAGGATACTCGGGATCCATTGTTGCGTGTCTTAAAATGAACGGAAAATTATCGAAAAAGAGAAATGTTGAATTTCGAGACATCCTCCGGAAAGTTCCCAAAATCACCTAAAATATCATTTGCGTCGACTTCTCCAATCATCATCGTCGAAGTTTTGGTCACGGCTTGAAGAATTATCAACATTTTGTGGACCATCGTCGCGTTGGTTTGCTGGAAATGAGCCAATTTCAAGAAATAACGAAGAAATGAGTTTTTTCTCATTCATTTCTGAAGAAAACTCAAAGAGAATAGAAAGGGCGTGGTCTTTGAATAAGGTCTTATTAATAAACTTCAGAAAAACTGAGTTTAATTTTTTTGGATCAAAAAGGAAAGCTACTGAGAAATTTCGAAGGGGTCCCTATCAGGTTTTGTTGATCAAGGGATCACTATAGGAGGCAAGTTTACGGTTCCTACAGGGGTCAAAATTTAAGTGGTCCCTCTAGTGCTTTTCACGCGGTTCACAAAAACCTAAAACCATAGAGCTACCTATGAGAAGACAGGGTCTTTATTGGGACGCTTCAGAGGGTCCCTTTTACAGTCCCTATAGGGACCACTCCAAAGTTCTCAGTAGGAAATCAATATTGTTCAAAAAATGAGGGTTCTTTTGCGTTTCAAACTTTTCCCGGCCTTTTTTCCCTTTGCTAGAGATTTATCTCAACATTTTTGACCCTTTTCTTCTTTTTCAGCGTTTCAACCTTTTCTCTAAACTTGGCTTTTCTTTTCAAATATGATGCCAAGAATTGAAAAAAGCTCTTGTTAAAAAAAACTTCAAAAAGACTGAATTCCTTTCTTTAGTCCAAAAAGGAGCTCGAAAATGAATTCCTTGAGATAAAAAAAGAAAAATTACTTCTTGAGCTCCTATTTTAATAGACCCGAGTTCAGAGCTTTCACTCAATTTTTTTTCTGATCTTTTTGTACTTTTTTTTTAGAGCTTCCTAATGTCCTTTTTGACCCTTTTTTTCCTGTTCAGAGCTTATCCTTGACCTTTTTTTCCTAAAAAACTTTGTCTCGACCTTTTTTCATTTTTCAGAGATTTCTTATGACTTTTTTCTCCTTTTCAAGAATTTCTTCCTTTCCTTCAAACTTGACCTATCCCAAAATCAAAACCAACGTTGTCAATCGTATCCCAGGGCTTGATTCCACTATCCCGCATTATCAGATGAAAAGCGAAAGAGAAGGCGATCAGAGTGGGTATCCAAATTGTTGCGATCTGAAAACGTGAATTTTTCCGTTTTTTTTTTTGGGAAAAAAACAAAAACAAATACACGAAGTACAATCCATTTATTTTCGGAAGAAAATTCTCTAAACCTTCAATTTTTTTTTTGACAAGATTTTTAGTTTTAACTGATTTTCAACGTCATTCTGTGAAAATTTTTAGTGGCCACTGTAGGGTTTTGACGTTTTGTGGCCGCTATAGTAGTCAAATTAGTGGCCACTATAGAGGTCTAAGGGCTACTACTAGACCACTAAAAAAATTTTAGTGGCCACTTTAGGGGTCCATCGATCAACATAACTGATCCAATCTGTTTGTTTAAAAATTATCAGTTATTGGAAGGAACACTGGATGAAAAACTACTGAAGGCCACTTTAGTGTCCTCTAAGCAGTCCTTGGCGAGCTTCTATAAAGGCCACTAGAAATTTTCACAGTTTCCCAGTTCCAATCAAGTCATTCAAGCCAAATACTTTTGAACCTTGTGATAAAGTAATGGAAGAAAAAATTCGCAAAAATGAGTCTAAAGTAACCCTAAATGACAAATAAGGCTAGATAAATAACTGTGAATTTCCTCCCCATCCGGGTAATATTTTTTTTTTGACAAACCCACATGTCCAAAAGATCTCAAGATTCTGGTCATCATGAAGATGTAGATGCCGAACGGGGACTTGCGCAAAATGTACAGGAAATTGGCCCAAGCCGAAATAATGGCAACGATCGGAAGGAACCACAAAACGATGTTCTGCAAGTTCATTCCTAATTTTTCTTTTAAAAAAATTTAATTTTTTTCTCGGCTTTTTTTAAATGAGAATCCTGCAACTAGAAAAAAATTTGAACATTTGAAAAAAATGAAATGTTTCATTGAAAGCCTATCAATCCTCAAAAATTCAGAACGATCTCATTATAAGTTCCAGTTTTTTTCAAGTCAAAACTATTTCTTTTCTAGAAAAAAATTTCTTTTTAACTCAAAAAAATGCTTAATTAACGCTAATTTAACGCTTATTTTTGAAAATTTTTTGTTCCTGATATAAATGATGGTATAGAATAAGAATAAAAAATGAATATTCGGTTTAAAGAGATTTCATTTTTTTTTTCAAACTATTTTTTCTTAAATTTCTTTAATTTTAATCTCAAAAAATTCCTTTTTTTTGGATATTCTTTACTCAAATTCGGTTTACAATTCCTATAAAATTTCACATTGCTTCATAAAACTTAAAAAATTCAGATTTTTTCCTCTTTTTCCTTCAAACCTTCATTTCCTGATGAAAATCATCATATCGGAACATTGTCGGAAGCCAAACGTAAGCCAAAGTCGCCGCATAAGTGCACATATTGAAAATGTAGGCGACGACGAACCAAAAAGACACGGATTTCGTGATTCTCGCCTTGATTGACCCTTTCAAAACCTTGAAAATCGATAAATTAATTTGAGATCCTGTGACAAACTGACCATAAAAATGAAAAACATCAGAACGAAGGCTGAAACTAAAACGTCCTTGTAGAAAGTTCTGGCAAAGACGTGCCAGGATAACAGTAACAGGAATGAGAAGAAGGCTGGAATGGATCACTTTTCAAGAAAATTAATGGCTCAAAGCGTCGCGGTCGCGTTGCGGCTTGAGTTAACTTTTCTAATGAGTTTCCTTTGGATTTGTGACAAAAACCTTGCAAAAAAAATAAATGAATCTTTAATAAAGAAATGATCCGTTGAATCATGGCAAAAAAATCGAAATTCGATTTTTTTAATGAATAATTTATTTTCCTGGGTTTTTTCAAGAGGAAATTCATTAATTAAAAAAATGGAAAAAAATTCCAAAAAAATTTCAACTATTTAATTTTTGTATCTCTCTAAATCATGTACCCCAAACTAATCAAAAAAATTGATCCTGATTTTTAAAAAAATTTTGCAGAAAAATTCAAAAAAATTTCCCTGAGTCAAGCTTAAATTTGAATCTTTCTAATATAAAATAAACAAAAACATAAAATAAACAAAACATGATTTTTAACCAAAAAAAGGTTAAAAGCATCGAAAAATTCCTTCTAAAAAAATATACAACAACCGAATCAACAGGTTTGTATAGTCTGTGTGCCACGACTTGAAATTTAACGGAACTACATTCCGCTGTTCCGCTGCGTGCGCTCGCGAAGCGTCTTTCGAATCTCGGTCACGCTTTCAATTGATTGTTACTGCTGTGTGCATGAAAATAAAGTACCTTAATGAAAGAAAAAAAAATTGAAAGTGCGACCAAGGTTCGCAAAAGCGCGCAGCGGCACAGTGGAATGTCGTTCCGTGAAATTTCAAGTCGCGGTACACAGACTATAAAAAGACGATACAAAAATTTAAACATTTCAACTATTGTTATTTATTTTTGTACCTTCCTCACAGAAAATCAACACAAAACCAACCAATGATATGAATCGTGTAGAATAATGCACATCGGAGGAGCTTGTGATTGAGATAATTCAATACAAACGGATGTCGAATCACGCCCCAACGTTTTTGGGTCTTTAAAGCTCGCAGAACTTGCCAGTCGATACATTCAACGTTGGGAATGTCTCTAAATCAAATTTGCAATTTTAAAAAAAAGTTGAAAATTAAAATCTTACGAAGAATAATCGAAATAAAAAGGTTGTCGAGTCTTCGGCCTCGTTTCGTCGGATTCGTGACCTCGCATTGCACGCTTCTAATGTTAATCTATAAAAAAATTAATAATACCACGGCGTTTCTGCCAGTTGAAGAAAAATGCAAAGGAATTTGAAACTCGGCAAAGTCTGCGCACTTCTCGAAATTCGCCCGCGAAATTTGAAAAAAAGTGGCTTTATTTTTTTGATTTTTTTGTCTATTTTTTTCATATTTTTTTCACTTTTTTTCTTTTCGTAGATTGCTGATAGTATTGCGGGACCACGATCGGGTTATACTCTGGGCTGTTAGACGTTTTTTTGAAAGTAGTTCTGTGAGGCTAACTTTAAAACTCGTTATGAAGAAGCGTTTTGAAAAATCTCCACCTGTTTGTATGGAACATGTTTCACCCCATTTTATGTTTTTCTTATTCTATTTTTTTGTCGATTGTTCAGATTCCTAGGTTGTGGACATCAATAAGATGAAGTTACATGAAAAAAGTCTGTGAAGTTGAGAAAATATGTTCCGGAATTCATTTATATCCGGATATTCCGTCAACTTTTTATAATAAAAAGTACTTGCTGTAAAAAAACATCTTTTTATTTGTTTCTCCACAGCAATATAGTTTTTATTTAATCTCTTTTAATTTCCTCGTCTTTTTTTCTTCAATGTTCATTCGTTTCTCACACTTATATCATCGGTTAACCTTATTTTCCAAATTTTTTGTGCATGCACTAAACACGTCCTAATTGACGGAGAAAAGTGGGCGGGGCGTCGCAAAAGAAACACCGTGATACGCTTAAAATTTTGGTTGACGTAAAATATGATGTTTTGGACGTAAACACACAACATGCAATGTGACGCGCAAAAATGAGATCGTGTGGCAGATTCGATCATTTTTTCCTGCATAAAAACTCTAAAAACTGCAATTTTCATGATGTAAAATAGTTTTTTAGACAGTTTTTGTGAAGAATCTATCTTTTCAATATTCAAATTTTAAATTTTATTCCGAGAAAATATTCAGGTTCCTTGAAAATTATCAAACTCGGAAATTTTTTCACTGATTCCTTTTTTCAGCGAAAATTCTGAACGATTCCCAAAGCTCAAAACTCACACGGGATCCTTTTCGCCTCGTCTCAACGGCTCGACCTCTTCCGCCGCCATTTTGCTCCGAAATTCCTGGAAAACATTCATTCTCTCCGGCCGCCGTGTATTAAAATTGCATGGAAATGTGTGAATTCCGGCCATTTTCATGCAATTTTCCACCAAAAAGATCGATTTTTGAGAGAAAAAGGGGAGGAAAAATGGGATTGTTTCACGCCGCAATGGCTCAGGCTCATTACGGATGAGTCGTGAGCCGAAAAAGTAGGAAACGAAATGAAAAAAGGGGCGTGGCCAAGCGGAGTTACTAGTTGTTTGTGTGGGGGCGGAGCTTCGGCGAAGAGAAGGGATTCGTTTTCAATCGATTCCAGGCCAAATTTGCACAGGCGCACTAATTTTCGGGGTGTTCCTTCTCTGTTGATTGGATGTCGAAACGTTTTTGGGAGGGGAAACCGCATTTTTGAGATCTTTTAGAGCGATTGACAAATAAATTGAGTGAGTTCAACCGACTTTTTCGGCGAAAAAAAAACCAAAAATCGATAGAATTAAACATAAAATGGTTCTTCCCTCCAGATTTTAAAGCATGGACCACGGTGACGAAAGTCATACGCGCTCCGGAAGTTTCTGAGCAAGCTTAGGGATCACTTAAGTGCTGAAGTGACTAAAGAGGTCCTTAGGAATGATCCGTCCGGAGCGCGGGAACAATTCAGCTCAACGAGATCCAAAATAGTATGAACTTTCATGGCTCATTTATGTGAACTGAAATTGGTTGTTCAAACTCAACTGACCATTTGAAATCATTACTGAGAAACAGTAATTTTATATATTTGTTATTTGAAACACAATTCACCCTTGAAAAGATCTGACCTGTCTGCGATCTCTTTTCTCTCACTGGCGAGCTCACAAAAATCAAAAAATCACGTAAAAACAAAACTTTTTCCGAGGGAAATGAGAGCGCAGAAAAGTCAGACTTTTTCGGTTGTGACTAATGAGAGCTGGAAAATTGTAAAAATACAGTAATCTGTAAACAGTAGAGTGTTTACTGTTCTCAGGAACGCCGAAGTGGTCCCTAGAGGGGTAACCTTAAGGGCGCTAGAAGGTTCCCGTCCACGTTTGCAAGCTATAGTCCTCCTATACGGGGACTGTATCTTACTTTTTTATGATTTCGAAATTTGAACGAAAAATCGGGAAGCCACTTTAGGGACCACTTAAGCTTTAAGGGCTTAGGGGCCAAACCTTATACCCTTATAAGGATTACCTAGATTTTATACCTCTTGGAAGTATTTTGTCCCGGATTGGGGGTGTCCCTAAGTCTCTTGTTCTTTTGTTTCAAACTCACAAGGGAACATGTTTTGGCTCAACTTTTGATGAAATGAACTTCAGAGCCCAATAATTCCAGAACAAGAGAAAATGCTTCCCAATAGACCTGGTTTTCGAGTTAGAACTATTCAAAAAATAGACCCTTTTCGTCATATTTTATGTAATTCTCAAACTTAAAAAGCTCATTACTTGAAAAAAAAATCTATGAAGGAAAGTTTTGTAATTGCTCTGAAGTCAGGAGGCTCTAGGATGTATTTCCGCCAAGTTTCATCAAAATTGGCGGCCAAAAAACGTCAGAGTTTATTCAATCATAATCAAAACTAGGAGCGAAATTGGAAATTGGCGACGCGCCAAAAACACAACTATTTACGATGAGCCACTTCACGAGCAATTTCCGCCCGAGTCCAGTCCAGTCGCCAGAAAGAGAGAAAGGAAAAGAGCAATTGGGCCGAGGGACAGCCGCGAGGCGTGGAATTACAGCGGATTTGGTCGGTTTTGCATTTCTATCGAGTCCCGCTCCTAAGTGATAATGATCATTTTTTCCGATTTCAATGAGTCAGCAGAGGTCTTTCTGGGACAGGTGTTCGCATTATTGACTTTTGATGAAATCAAGAGTGTTTTTCGAGCGATTCCTTACACTAAAAAATCAAGGGTTCTGAAAATGAAGACCATATTTTCTTATATTAAAATAAGGAAAAGAAAAAATCTTACGGGACATAGAAGTCCGGGCGATATATTTAAAGTTCTTCATAAGTTGAACTTTTCTAGAAGAAAAAAAATTTATTTGAGAAAAACCTGGAAAAACTGCCTTTAAATAATCTGAAAATCTCATGGAAACAGACTTTTAAAATTCTTCTTATCTTCAAATACCAACGAATATTAAGCCAAACTTCTTTGAAATTATTTTTAAAAAAATAGAAGAGCTTTTTGAGAAAAAAAAATTTTCAAAAAACAGAAAAACACGATCATTTCCGTTGAGCAACCTTGCTGACAGCTGTCCCCATAAACAGGGCCTCAAAACGATATACGGATGCCCATAAAAAACGGTGGAGGCGAAATGAAGATTGGGACAAAGAAGTGCAGGAACCACACTGAACTGCTTGGGCTTTTTTCAACTTCGCTAATCATTTTTCCACTTTCAAAAACCACAGATTTTGATTTATTATTATTTTTTTGCTTTGAAAGAAGAGGAAAAAGCTTACGGCAAGCCGAATTCCCAAGCCGTCTCCGATCCAAGTACTACCGGCTCTCGACGTTGCTTAACTTGCCAGATCGGACGGGATGGCGTGTTTTCAACGTGATATGGTCGTAAGCGAGTGTTGTGCTGTTTCGATGGAACACATTCGGACTGAACTTCTACCAGAGTTAGTGCGAAGTTAATGAGGGTAAGGTAACTTTTTTTTTGAATTTCGTGAATTCAAATGTCTTTCTTCTGTTAGTTCAATCAGGCGTTCAGGGCTTTGTCTGGCACTTTTGTAAATATCAAACTTTCCTTTTCTATAAACCTTCTAACACTACAGGCGTTCAAACCGAAGCTGTCTTGCAGCGAAAAACCACCACATTCGCTTACAACCATATCACGTTGAAAACACGCCATCCCGTCCGATCTGGCAAGTTAAGCAACGTTGAGAGCCGGTAGTACTTGGATCGGAGACGGCTTGGGAATTCGGCTTGCCATAAGCTTTTTTTGCCGCTCTCAACCGTTTTTTTTGCTTTTCAAAATTTATTTTTTCTTGAAAACCATCCATCAAAAGATAGTATAGCCTAAATCTTTATTATTCTTATACGTTTAGCTCAAAGTCATTTTTCGATCATCAGTACGTCTTCCAAGGTTATGAAATAAAATCAAAGAGAAAAGAGAAGCCGTTCAGTAGTAGTAGTGAACGAGAAGGACAGCTGGTCATGTCGTTTCTCATTTCGTCACGCACCGCCCATGTTGTTGTCTTTTTCGAGAAGACTGCACCTCTCTCCAAAACCCTTCTAGGAGGATTATATTCCCCCAATTTCTAGAGTGCTTGGCTTCTTCGCGACTCTTGGCTCACAATATTATAACACAGAAGTGAAAAAGATGAAGCCATGGAATTTTCCTTTTGATTATGAAAAAGTAGACTTTCAATCGGAATTAATCAAGAAATAATCTATTTACAAGGTAAGATCGCGCAAAAGTTCAAAATTTTGCATAATTTGAAGAAAAAATAAAAAAGGAGAGATTTCCATTTGTAAAGCTATTCAGGGCATTCACAGGTCTCAAAATCCTACTTTTCAATAGAAAATGCGAAGAGGTGGTCATAAAAATCGCCTAAAAATAGCCAGAAAAGATCAAAAATTGGCCGTCCACGGAAAATTTTCGAACCAGTTGAAAAGTTCAAAATAAAGTTTTTGCTTTCACTTTTGAAATTGAAGGGAAGTTTCTCATTTTCAACCTCAAACTTAAGCATCTCCTCAAATTATCCTTGGAGCAAAAATAGTTTTTAATTTTTATTTCGAAGGCTGTTTCGAACTACAAAATTTCTCGCAATTTTCTCTTTTTTTATTAGAATTTCCACTTCTTTCAATAATATATAATTCTGAATTCCGCGCAACGTGACCACAATCTTATCACCTGAACTACTAGAACTAGAAAAAACAAGAAAAGTGAGAGACAAACAAATATTTTATTCCTAATGGAATGGAATGGGCGGAAAAGTGCGCGGCAATTGAAACGGAGACCCCCGCGGCGGCTCTTCTCATCCGAATAAATTAGGCATTCAGTTCAGAGAGGTGGCCACCGCCAGAATCAATTGATTTCTACCTAGTCTCCAGGTGTAAACAAATGTTGTGTAATAAATTTTAGAAAAACTCATAGAAAATGGTCTGAAAATCTTTGTCTGGAAATGAATACTGTACACTCTTTCGCTTCTGTGAAAATCCAAAAAGGGTCTTCGCATCATGAAAAGTTCATTTCGAGAAGAAAAATAAAGTTGATAAATAAAAAAGCTTACGGCAAGCCGAATTCCCAAGCCGTCTCCGATCCAAGTACTACCGGCTCTCAACGTTGCTTAACTTGCCAGATCGAACGGGATGACGTGTTTTCAACGTGATATGGTCGTAAGCGAGAGTGATACGGTTTTGCTGGAATAGACCTTCGGACTGGAAGTACGTCCGTGTGAGTTGACGAAAAAAAAATTATACTAGTTTGAAGAAAATAATCGAAACAGCCAAAAGCGTGAGTCCTTTATAATTGGCAACAATAAATGGATAAACAAATTGCCAATACTTAAACATTTAAATTTTTTTCTAAATTTTCTGTATACTCTGTTTTTGCTCGCCTTTAACAACTGATTTTTTTTTTCCAAAAACGCGAGTTCTGTGAACTTTGTAACCCTGACTGTCAGCTCAGGGCATGACAGACCCTCAGCCTGAATGGTATTCCATCGAAACACCACCACATTCGCTTACGACCATATCACGTTAAAAACACGCCATCCCGTCCGATCTGGCAAGTTAAGCAACATTGAGAGCCGGTAGTACTTGGATCGGAGACGGCTTGGGAATTCGGCTTGCCATAAGCTTTTTTTTTTGCTCTTTTTGACTTCGGAGAAAAAAAAAATGTATGATCTAGCAAAGCTGTTTAACCCGAAAAAGAAAGTTTAAAATTAAAAAGACTCACTATGCATGCAGCAAAACCCATCTTGATGCAGTTCCTTCAACTTGTTCCAAACCTTGAGCTGAAAAAAATCGATAATTTTCAAACAAAAAAATTTCACGCATTTTATTGACGCTCAACGTTTTTTTCTATTTGCTCTCTTTCCATATTTGGCAAGTGGCCTCCTCATAATGGACCAGTTTCATTTCAAGAAGAAAAAGTAAAGAAATGAATCATTTTCAAGGTTTTCTCGAAGAGAACGTTGGAAAAAAAATTATTGAAATGTTTTTTTCTTGAAAATACTTCATTCCTGAAGGTTTTTTTCGAAAATCCATTCTGAGACAGCTTTTCCATTTTTTTTTTTCAACTGGACTATGAAAAAAATAAGCAAAGAAGCAAAGGCGAGAGAGGAAGCTTGTTGAAGAGACGCCAGAGAAAAAAAGAGTTTCTCATTTCTGTGGCGTCTCTTCAGTCCGCAGCAGACCTCTCAATTTTTTTCATTTTTTTAAATATTTTTTTAATCGGCAAAAAAAGCAAATTTCCATAATTTCAGAGTTAAAAAAATCATCCAAAAGTTTATTATTGGCCGCATTTGGAATGGCTCAAAACGTCGCGGTTGACATCCGGCGCCCTCACACCGAAGTAGTTTAGAGTCGGGCGCAAGTTAAAGCAACCGCAACGCTCCGAGCCATTCCAATTGCGACCACAGGCTTTAAAGTTTAAATCCTGAACATTTTCAATAAAACACATGTAAATCTTCTTGAATTTTACACACATGACACAAAAAATGATATATTTTAAAAATCTTTATTATCTTTTCTTTTAAATTTTTCTCTCAAGAGCGCAAATTGAAATAGGAAAAAAAGCCATGGGGACAATCTATGATTTAAAAAACGGTGGGAAAAATATTCTAAAGTTCTAATTACATCAAGAGTCATCACACTGCAAATCGAGAAACCGGATTCCGGGCACAATATAAATGTAAAGGGACATTTAAGGTTAGGAAAAACGGGGTAGAAAGGCGAAAAAAAGTGATTATTGCATCATTTTCCAGAATGTCTCATCGTATAAAGCACAATAATTATTATTAAAGCCATGGAAAAAACGGGGGGAAAACGAGTTATTGCCTCATCAATTGTCATTATCCGTGAATGGGGGAAAGGGACAAAGATTCCCTGAAAAAAAAAAATTTGGAAAGAACAAAGTTATTTTTTCTTAAAGGAAGAAATAATTATTCATGGGGAGATCGCATCACAGTATGCTTGAATTCTTCGGAAACTGTCTCAAAGGTCGCATTTGGAATGGCTCAACGCGTCGCGGCTGCGGAGCGGTTACAATGAGAGTCATTCCAAATGCGACCAAGCGCAAAAATACATGCGAAACTTGGCAAATGGCGAATATAAACTATCAAATTTTTGGCAACGAATCGGAGAGAGAGGCGAGGTGGTGAAAACCAAATGAAAAAAAATGACAAGATTTCATGAAAAATCGGAAAAAGTCCCCTAGAGCGGCCACTTTTTCGAATTTTCCAATGACCATAATGATTAGACACGTCGGTTGCGTTGTTGGATGTGCTGTGGGCTGTGGATGTGGGCCATATAATCCTTAGCCATTCCAAATTGGGCCGGACACGCGTTGCACTCGTAGTGCGTTTGCACTAGGGTGAACGTCTGGAAAATCGAAGTTTTATTAAAAAAACTTTTTTTGGAACAAAGATGAGTTGTCGGTTTCTAAGTGAACATTTAAAGAAGTTCGGTAAGCGTTATTTATTACGTCCAAAAGTTCTGTTCAAAAGTTCAAAGTGAAATGCGAAATAATCTTTGACTCTCCAAAATTCAGTTATCTTATTTCACATTCTATAAAAATTTCTACTGTGCACGTGGAATGGCTTGTCGCCGACCTGAAACGGCTTACGCGCGGCGGCACCAAAAAACTCGCAAAACTTTTCGATCCCAAGTTCCGTTAGTTTCAATGTTATCATCAATATTGGAAAAGGTGAAAAGACTTTAAAATTTATTATTTTCATATTTTCTTGTAACGATCAGTAAAAATAGTGTGCAAAACCGAGTTTTTCTATTTCTTGTTCTAGAGTTTTCGAAAAATGGCCAAAAAAAAGTAAGGTAGCTTTTTGAAAACTGCGCGCTTCATGGTTAAGTTTTCAAAGTAAACATGATAAAAGACCAACTGAAAAAATAATGGAAAAATGATAATAAAAATACGCAAATTATCAATAGAGCGCGAATGTTTTGTTTTTAACTTCTTTTTCTTTTTAAAAGTCTTCTCAGTTTTTCGAGGTAGTAATTTTACAAGAACGTTATTTCACTTGGTTTTCCAAAAATTAAAAAAATTAAGTTCATTTACCGCTAGCTTGAGAAAAATTTAATAAAGTTCTATAAAAACCTAGAAAAATAGTGTGGGAAAATAATAGGTTCAGAAAGTTCTACCGGTTTCACATATTACCGTAATCCGAAAATAATTCAGCAGAATTATATTCTCCTGAAAAGATGCCCGTTTTGTGAATCATCATTGACTCTACAGTAACCCTGCGTTTCTCAAAACATTCGCTCCGAAACTCACCCCTTCACAATTTTGGCACATGGCCAACGATTTTTGGTGTTCCCGGAGCTTGGAGACTTCCTGAAAGACGTTGGTACAAGAGGGACAGGCCCAGCCGACCTGAAAGGAACAAAATAATCATCAGAATATGCGATATCGCCTCAACCTCCTTGTCTTTGGACTGCAAGAACGGCTTTTCCTCCTCAGGAAGCTGATCTCTGAGGGAATCGACCGTTTCGGCGTCCTGGGTGAAGGTTGTCGATGTCGCGGTCGTGGAGGCGATGTCGCTAGAGATCTGCAGCTTGACGATTTCCGGGATCTGGAGCATCGGAATCGGGGTGCCGAACAGGTTGACGTCGAGGAATGGGAGGCCTGGAAGAGATTTTTGTTAAAAACTAAAACTTCTCTTTTCAAATTTTCAAAGATTCGTAAATTTCTGACAGTTGAAATCCCATCTAAATTTTCGAAAGCCTTCAAGTCACTCCAAGGACCTTGAAGTTCGGAAAAACCACTAAAAGTGAATTCAGAGGAATCATTTTGTCACTGCGCCCGACAGATAACTACTTTCGCGCTGAGACATTCATTCCCTTATAGAAAGACGCTCAAGGTCGGGCGCAGCTGGACAGTTTTTTCGAACAGGAGAATCGGAAGTTCTTGGAAAGCATTCGAGCCATTCCCAGTGTATTTTCTCAACTCTACCTCCTCCAAGCATGCCGTTCATAAAGTTGAAGGGGAAGGCGTTCAGGTTCAGTCCAGAAGAGCTCATGGGGGTGTTGGAAGAGGACCGATTGCGCTTTTCGATGTCCGTGACGACGTCGGAGATCCCCTCGCTCTTCAGCTGCATCTTCAGCCTTCCGATGTGCTCAGAGGAGAAAATGTGGTCTTGCATCGAGAGGCGGCCGTTGTACTCGACTCCGCAGATGCTGCAGTTTGCCTGGAGAGGCCTTTGATCTTCGTCGGCTGAAAAATCTGAATAATCATTATTTTCCTTTCTCTTGGTACTCCTTCCGAAGACAAGGGAGGTCATTTCATTTCGCGGTGGGATTTTGAAAAAAGTTAAGAGGTCAAAAAAAAAAACATTTTAAGCGAGAAAAATGTTTATTTTGCTCCATGGACAAAACGAACTTTCATTTTTCGATTCAAATCAAGAATTTTTTTGCCTCACACTTGTATTTAAAAAAAATTTGTGATTTATCAACTATTCTGAAAATCACCATTAGCCGGCCTGGTCTTGCGCTCCTTGGCCCGAGCATTCTGGAACCAAACTTGGACCACTCGTTTGTGGAGCCCAATTTCGCGACCCAACATCTCACATTCAGCCATCGAAGGAGTCTTGTAGTCGGCGAAGACGTTTTTCATCACCTGAACCGAACTTCATGAATATTGTGGGAGTTATAAAAACGACTGCGAAAATATCTGGAGCCTTCTTTTTGGCGAGAGATCATAACCTTCGAGAGAATTCTTTTCCGAAAACTGACATGAACTTGAATCGGCGTCAAATGAGTCCGGTATCTCTTATTGTTAGCCGGCGACCGGGCGCCATTGCCGCTGGACAAGGCCGACATCGGGAAACTGGCAAACGGGGAATCTTCCAAGGCTTCCGTCATGACGTCGTCGTCCGAATGTCCGGGATGAGGTGAGATCGAGAGGGATTCCCGACGAAAGGCGCTGAGAATAATTCATGGTCTTCAGTTTAAAAAAAAGGCGTACTCTTGAGAAGACGTGCCACTGAGGTCCAGGGCCGAGGAGTCTTTGGAGTCTCCGAAGGCGGAGAGGAAGGAAGGGACCTCGTCGGCGTTTGGGAGCATGTCCAGATCGAAGGAAGCCAGCATCATCTGAGGGGCGTGTTTGGTCTGCAGATGCTCCGACATGGTCTTCTTGCATCGGAAGGCGACGCTGCAGAACGGACACCGCTTGTGGAAGGCCGGTGCAGATGTTCCGACTGTCTCGCACTGAAAAAAGAAGAAAATCAATAAGATTCTGTGTAATGTCTTGTATCGGAGTGGCTGCTTTTATTTCAAGACTTAACCGAATGCATGGTCTTCGGATTCCATCTACAACATCTGCTACATTCTGAGCTTCTCACGACGCAACCGAATCAACTACGGAGAGAAGAACGGAGTGAAGGATCGTAAGACCAAGCTTTCAAATTGATCAACTACACGTTTGGATTTCTAGGCGTCATAGCTTCAAAATGCCTTGTTCATCTTGTTCGTTGATCACCGTAAAAAAGGGGTTTCTACTTTTTTGTTCAGGCTGATTTTGGTACCTTTTCAAAAAAATCATTACAGGTTCTGCGGAACTCATGTCTCCTCTCTTCTCAAAAAATCCACGACCCTACCATTTTCAGAAGCACGTCGGTGTTGCTCTTCGAGTTGACCAGAAGCTTCAAAAGATCGGTCGGAGGCTTCAAGTCGGCGACCGAAGGAATCGCGGCGTGTGTCGCCAGCTTTTCCTCCTCGGTCAGGGACTCTTCGACGCTCTAAACTTCTTGCTGAGCTTCATCTTCAGCTTCTCCTCACCTTATTGTCATGAACCAAGGCGAGGCCGTCGTCCTTGTAGCACTTCTTCTGCTGGTGCTGGATCAGCTCGTAGTACCTTTGGAACACCTGACTGCACCTGGAAATCGCTATAAATCCCAAAGACTTTTCCAGTTTTCTCAGACCTTTTGCACTGGAAATTGCTGCCGGGAGTTCGGACGAATCGGTCGTTGCTCTCGTGATTCGGCTGATTTTCGTAGATTTTCCGGGCTTTTTGTCTCGCATTTTGGAACCAGACGACGATGACCCGAGGGCTCAATTGGAGCTTCTTGCTGAGGATCTCCAGGTCGTCGTCTTTCGGATAGGCCTGGGGAACGAGGATTTTTTTTTTCGTAAAATGAGAAGATAAAGCTTGGAAAAAGGACTTGGAGCTTATCGTTTAAAACTTCTCAATTCTATTGATTGACTTTTTATAAAAAGTTAATAGGAAAACATTTTAGACGTCTTTCCAAATACCGTGTTCAATTTGATTCCGCGAAATGCGAATTCATCTCTGACTCTCCAAAATTTAGTGATCTTTTCTTTTCTCCAACGGGTATTTTGCATTTCGCGGAATCAAATTGAACACGGCAAAAAAGTCTCGACCTTATCCTGAAGTGACCACTTGGATTAACAACCCTATAGTGACCTCTTCAACTTTTCACAAAACACTAAAAGGGCCACTTCAAAACGTCTTGTTCCTTATTTCGCTAGATTATCAGGCGCCTCAAAAGCTGGCACTTGATTTTCCCATTTTCGTAGAGTAATCCCTCGAGTGATCTCGTAGGGAATTCACACACCTGTTTGTCGAAGAACTGCTGCAAGGTCCTCAGCTGATAATCGGTGAATCTCGTCCGATTGGCTCTCCTTCCACTGGACGACGTCTGCGGCGTCATTTGCGACATCGGTCCTGGAAAATGACGTCATAAGTTATTCTGAAAGTCTTTGAAAACTCCTTCTTTTTTGAATTATAATTCTACGACGTAAAGTCTCACCAGCGGCCATGAACTGAGCGGCGTCCATGAAAGGGAACGCGTTGGCCTGCATTTGACTGAGCATCGCCTGAAGGTTCAGAGGCGGCTGGGGCATCGGCGGCGCAACTTCCGACGCCATCAACTTGGGTTTCTCTTCCGGAATCGCTGCGGAAATAGAAGTTATGCTGGAGGAAGGCTCCGGCTTGACCTGAACTTTTGGATTTTGAAGAAAATTATCCAGGAGAATCTTTGTAGGAGCATCTATCAATTTCTGATACCACCATTTTTCTTATTTTCTCTCATTGTTTTTAAATCTTCCAGGGAGAAAAATGAGAGCCAACTAGGTATGCGGAAGAAGTATTTGCATCAGAATTCGATGAAGTTTCGTAAGACTTCATTTTTCTTAACTAATTTCTAAGTTAGTTTGACTTGTAAGGGAGCTGGGCCAGCTCAGGCTCACCTCCGAGCTCAACGTCACAACTTTGGCTTCTCCCGTTTTCTCGTAAGTATCCAGGTCGAGGCTCATCTGCGGCGGCACGTTGAAGTTGTACGGCGAGTCCTTGTCCCTTTGACGCTCCTGTAAACGAGAGAAATAATAATAACCAAGTCTACTGTTTCTCGGGGCGAACAAGTTGTGAAGAAACTTCCAAATTTTAATGGTAGAGTACATAAAATTTAGTTTTAAACTTTTTCTCGTCGTAATCCTTGTTAATTACACAACAAATATAATTTTCCGAATTATTCTGATATAACCTGAAAAAGAATTCCTTTCTAACCTTTTGAAAAAAACCAAAAAAAATTTTTTTTTGAAAACTATGACTTTATAAAATCTAACTAATTTTTTTTGTCTTTTTTTGACTAATATAACTTTATTAAAAACTTCATAAATTTCCTTCCAACAACTGTAATGCCATTTATTTTGAAGTTTTTATCTTCAAATTTTGTCAAATCATTTCTATTAACATCTAGGTCTATGTGTAAAATTATTTTAAAAAGTCAGTGTTTAACTTCAAATTTTCGGGAATTTAGCTCCAAATTTGAAATTTTAACCATGATGTCAAATCACTGAAAAAAACCACGTTTTCAAAAAGTTGATGAGAACTTTCTATTGTTCATCAGTCGGAAATTACCATATTTTTTTCATTTTTCTCAAATCTCAGCTTCTATTTTTTTACCAAAATCACCTTTTTCAGTCCCCAAGAAAGCTTCTTCGCCTCATCCGAATGCTCTACAGTAAAACCTGTCCCATTTTCCCATGGGTCAAATTTGCTGACTCAAAAGGGCTGTCGATGAGTCAGGTAATGTCTCTGGCACAGTTTTTGTATGAAACATATTGTTTTGTGCGTGTTGTGATAATCATTGAGAACGGAAACACAATTTGTGTGGAATGAATGTTTTTCTGTCTCTTTCTCCAAATCATTAAAAAGGCATTGTTTGGGGTCTCAAAATCATCTCCGATGACTAATCGGGGATCGTGTGAATGGCAACAATTAGTGCGGGGGAGCGGAAATGACTCTGAATGGAAATTGGATACCATTTGAGGAATTCCATTGAAAAACCCAGTCCTTCATGGAACATTGACAGTTTTATTAATAAATAAAGGTTAAATTATTTGAACGACTTAGAGGTACTTAGAAACAGTAAGAAAAAAAAAACAGTAAAATTAAAAACTTTTATCTTGAAGAAAGTTCAAGAAAACTAAATACGACTATAATGACCACTTAATCTTGAGGGGCTTAGTGGTCAGAGCCTAAACTATTGTAGTGAACACTTAAACAGTTGAAAAACTTCAGACTTTTGTAAGATGAGCAACACTCCTGTATACCATCACGAACCTTGAAAAGAGTGTTGCGGAACCAATGTTTGATGACTTTTTCCGGAAGACCGGCCTTCATCGACATCTCCTTGATTTGATTCTCCGTCGGACTATTGTTGATATCAAAATATTGGCTGTAATTGTTCCACTAATCAAAATGTACAGTAACCCTCTTTACCGTAAGATCTTCAGCTGTTCGTCGGTGATTCGGGTCCTGGCGCGCTTGGCGGGCGAAGACGTCATCGCCGCGGGATTCGACATCATGGGGAACATCTCGGCCATCCCCGGCGGCAAGTAGCCACTCAAGGGGCCGTTTCCCAGGAAAGGCATGTTCTGCATGAAGGCGTACATCTGGGCCATGTGCGCGAGTTCGGCTTGTTTTGATGAATCTGAAAAATTCAAGATGACTTTGAGATTCTGGAGACGTCGGGTAAACCGGCGGCGGCGACGTCGCTCTTGACGCGTTTCTCTGGCGGCTCCAGATCGTCGGCGCCTCCGTTCGCGCGTCGTGGCGACGACGTCTTCTCGCCGTTGGTTTGGCCTTCTTCAGAAGTCGCGGCGACTATTCGCTCGGCAAAGGATCGAAGAAAATCGGTCGGGATGTTTGAGGAATGGGCTTCTTCGTAGTGCAGGTTGAAAGCCTGAAAAGAGGAAATTTTGGTGGGACCGACTTGAAACGACTTGCGCTCTTGGGTATCTGTTCTCAACACTTTCAGTGAAATTCTTGAAAGTTACTTCATTAAATGCGCTTTTCATGGTTCCGCATCTGTGCTCAAAAATCTACTACGCTTAAAGTTTCGGAATGAAAAACCGCTACCAAACATTTTTTCAGAATCAGCGTGAAAACTACATCCGATGAGCCTTCAGAACTATCTCTATTAGAAAATAAGCCGCAGCACTTGGAGCCATTCCAAACGCGACCACAGACTCACCAGCAACCCAGGAAGGGTCTCGCCGCACTCCTCGCAGTCGAACTGATTCAAGGCGGCGGCGACGGCGTCGTCGACCGTCGGAAGTCTCGGAAGACGTTCGGCCAAGGACGGAACCAACGTCGTCAGTTTGTCCTCGCCGTAGACTTGGATCTGGGAGAGGAGGTTGGCGCCGCTCCTCGGATTATTCGAAGACGTCGAGGCTTCGTCCAGTCCGGTCGGTGAGCCTTCAGGAGAGGGGGTATCTGGAAAAAAAGGAATTTTTAGTTCATTTTCCTATTTTTCGCGCTTTTCGGACTTTTATTTCATTTTTCCCTGATTGACGAGAGAAAAGAGGGCGCAGACAAGCCAGATTAAAAGTTTCTGAGAATAGGAGTGATACAAATGAAATGATGAGCCTTCAGGAAATTAAGTGTCTAGAAAATTGTAATTAATAGTTCATTTTTAATTTTTTCTGACCCTTTGAGCTCTCATCTCATTTTTCTGTGACCGGCGAGAGAATAGAGAGCGCAGACAGGTCAGACAGATATTTTCGACTTTTGAAATTAAAAAATGCCGCAAGCGTAATAAGTTTGAAAAAATCTGATTTCTCTGCACTCTTTCATATTTTCGTGCTCTCTTTAAAAAAGATCTAGCGAGTGAGAGAAAAGAGAGCACAGACAGGCCAGACTGTTTCGACTTCTTGAAAAAAATAACGAAAAAAAATATTTCCCTTTTCGGATTTTGCTATATTCCAAGAAGAAATGAAGATTTTTCGTTTGAAATTTCTCAAGTCATATTTAAAGATACCTCCATTCGAAGCGTCGCCATAATTCTTTGGCAGGAACATGTTCATGACGTCCATCACCGTGAACTGCCGCGACGCTGACTGCTGAAAAAAACAAATTTTAGATTTATATAATGCCTCTTGGTCTTTTTTTCAAAAATTCAGCCTTTTGGTCTTTTTTTCATTTATCTCCAATTTTTGCTAGCAAAATTATTTTTTTATTATTTTTTATTTCATTCCCCAGGTATATTTTCCCCCCTCTTTTTTTTCTTTTTTTCAAAACGTTTTCTAAACAAAATTACAAAAAGATAAAAACTTTCTTGTGAATTGACAAAATCCATGAAGCTGACCGAAAGTCTGCCAAAAAAGTCGAATCCTCTCGAAATTTGCAATTTTTCTTTTTTGAATTGTGCGAATGTTTTCTCTGATAAAGCTGAAGATCTCTATTTTTTTCAACTGAAGAAACCCCAGACGTTCTTATATTTTCTGATAAAAATTTCTATTATTCCAAACAAGAATCGATTCCCCTTCTCGGTTCAAATTTCTTCTCTTCTCAAACAAAAATTCGAGCCAATTTGATTGTGGCGCAGGGGAGAAATTTGCATGAGAATGGGCCAAAGGTTTTTCGAAAAAAGGGTCAACCAATGCCGACCAAAATCAAACAAAATGATCAACGGCGCGCCGCCCGCAAATACTCACATATATTATATGCTTCACACTGCATCGTATTTGATTATAATACCCCGATCAGTGCTTGGTTTTGTGTGTTTTTGTGTGCGCGTGTGTGTGCACACGATTTTCGCGCCAAATGATTTGTCAGTCATCAAAGGGAGAAGAGAGAGAGTGTGGGGGCGCGAGAGGGTCGCCAGAGAAGTCATTTGAAATTAGAGTCATCAAGAGAGTCGGAGAGCGTGGAGATGAAGCTGCCCGGAGGGTTACGGTAGCTTTTTGGTTGAAGAAAGGGCTTCATTACTTAAAATTCACTCTTTGAGCTTCAGAAGCGTCAAAAGTTATTGAACGAACAATTTTTCTAGTTCTGTTCATATCGACATTTCAGTGAAAAGCAATATTTTTTTTTTCTGGATGTGGTTTTTTGCACAAAATTTAGAACAAAAATAAAAGTTATTGAGGACCAAGCCAAAGAGAGGATTTTTCGAATCTTGTTTACACTGATTTGTGAGAATTTTTGTTGAAATGATGAATTACACTGATGAATTTTTTCAATGAAATAATTGATGAGTTCTTCGATTTTCGATGAAAGCTTTTTTTCCAGTCAAACTTCATCTGAAATGTCTCGACTTTTTTCTTTCACAAGGAAAGGTTTTTCATTCAAATTTTTGATCTTTTCAAGTTCAGACCTGTTTTTTTCGATTTCCCGGAATTTTTTTCTGAAAATACTTTTTCTCATGCTTCACAGAGTCATTCAAGCTTTCAAAAAAAAAAAATCATAACCAAGTTTAAATAGTTTTTTTCCAAACACTCTTATTCCAAAAGAAGCCATCAAAAAGACTGGGTTTATCCCAAAACTTCTTATCAACCGACCTCATCCTCCTTCCTGATGAGGTCCTTGATGAGAGATTGGGGAAGACCTCCCGGCTGTTCGATGATCGGCTTGTTGACGTCGACGTCTCCCGTCGCCGCCAACTCGGCGATCCGGCCCATTCGCGTCTGATGAGCCACCGATCTGCAACTTATATTATTCCATCTACAAAAAGGCGCTCTATAGCGTGAGAGGTTTTGTGTCTGTGTACGGTTAATAGGGTCCCATAGGTGGGCAAGTACAGAACTTATTCAGGCCGGGAGGAGAAGCTGGCTTACAACAATTTCAGAAAAATAGGAATAAAATTAATTTTCAACCTCAGGGAGTTATTTTTGGACACAATAATACAAATTTCAATCTCAGGGAGGTAGTAATAACTATAATTTTGGTAGGATTTGGGAGGAGAGGTTGCCGGCCTAAAAAAAAAAAATGATCTGCCCATGTATGATTCAGAACTTCAGAAACCAAACCAAGAAGTTTAGGAAATTTCGGGAGACCACGGCTTGATAATTCGACGCTCAATTGATTCAAAGGCGTTAGAAAAAGAAGAAAATCTCATCTTCAACCGGGAATTTTTTTTCAGGTACATAGACTTTTCAAAAACCGACAAATTGATAGCCCTACGTGATAATATCAGGCCTAAAGATATACAAAACCTTTTTTTTATTTTTTAAGATTCAAAAGAACGATAAAAACAGGGGAAAAAAATACAACAAAAAAATCATACGAAAAAAAAATTTTCAATTCATTTCCTTTTTAAACTCGCCTCAAATGGATATCCAAATTTTGGCCCTGTCCGTAGTATTGATTGCAGACGTTGCACCGGAATCGTTTTTGATTTGTCCAATAATGACGGCGACGGAGGCTTCTGGAGGCCCGAAAAAGACCTGAAAACAGAAAAAAATTATATAAAAAAATTTGATGAAGTTGGAAATTGCCGAAGCAAAAAAATGCTTTTGATTTTTTTAAACAGGATAAGGAAGCTGATAAGATAGAAAAGAGAGATAAAATAAGGCTGAGAGAGAAAATATTTCAGAGTTGCGCGTAAAATTGAATGCCGATGGTGCAAATTTTGAATAATGTTCATACAGACAAAACAACAAAAAAATCACGCGAAAAAAAGAAAACGTTCTTCACGTCAATTTTTATTTTTAGGTACTTTTTGATGTTTTTTTAAAGAGCCGCAAACTTGATTTGTATATTTTTTTATTAAACTTTAAACAATTGAAAAAAATGACAAAAGACAGAAATTTCGAACCGAAATTTTTTTATTGCAACTTTCACCGTTTCTAGTGGATATCAAATACAAAAAAAACTGATTATGGATCGTTTACTCTTTGATTGACTGATAGAAAATTGGAAATTTTTTTAAAAAGGAATTCGCGAGTCTAGTACATTAAAAGACTTTCACAACTTCAAATAGACTGAATTTCTTTTGATTTTTCTTTTTTTAAATCTGAAAAATTTGTAACGAAAGATCCCTAATTAATAGAAGAACTCCTTATTGGAATGAATTTTTTCAACCTCATGGCTTCCACATTTTTCCCCAATCAAATCAAGACTTTTTTCGAAAATTCTCTGAAAAAAAGCGAAAAATCGAAGCGAAAAGGCCTCAAAAAGGATTGATCAATCAAAAAATGGAAAATGGAAATGGAAATGAAAAGAGAAAACCAGAAATTCCGGGAAAATTATTGGCGAGGCGGCGGACGAAAGACATATATAGATATTGCGGACACATCATTTTGATGAGAGAGAGAGAAAAGAGAAAAGAAAAAGAGAGAGAGGGGGCGTTACGGTAAGACAAATTTGAAGGCTCTCATCAATCATTTACAGGGAAAATATAGTCAATTTGAGTCTGATTGGAACGATGTGGTCGCATGGGGAATGGCTGAATGGCCAGAAAGATTTAAAAAAAAAAAAAAAAAGATTCGCGATTTGCGAAATTAGGCCTCCATAAAATTTATCTGATAACTTTCCTTAATAATCTCATTTCATATCCAAAATAGAAAATTATCATTTTCATCAAATTGGCTTGTTAGGCTGAAGATTTTATTGAAAAATAGAGAAAAAAAAGAAAAAAAACTCAAAAAAATTAAGAAAAGAGAGCGGGAGCAGAAAGAGGAATCATAGCTCAGTGGGTTAGATTGATAACTAGCGTCCGAAAGGTCGCTGGATCAATTCCTCTCCAGGGCTGGCGAGAAGATCTGCTTTTTTTGCTTGAATTTTGAGAAAGTATGTTAATTTTTCCTTGAAGAAGAAGCTGGAAATCGCGAAATTCTTCAAATTTATAGGAAAAATGTGAAAATTCTCAATTTTCAAGAAGCAGGACTAATATTCCTATTCTGCCAGCTTTTTGAATTTTGAATCACTCCTTATTGAAAATTACGATTTTCTCAGGAAGCGAGTAGAGAGTATTTCAGCAAAAACTCAGAAAAAATCCACATCAAAACGTAAAACGAACTCCCTTGTGGGGACTTTGTCATGAATAGATTGATTTCCGGTTGGCTTTGCGAGTATAATAATAGTTTTTGTCACGATCACTTGATTGATATTAAAGGCACGTCGTCGTATGTATATATGAGGCGATTAACGCCGACAGCGTCGACCCAAAAATCCATAACCAGTAGAATTTCAATGGGCGCCGCATTTTTCAATTGAATGAAACCATTCGCCGGGGGCCGCCGCCACAAAACATTATTATTTATTAAAATCCGCCGCTGTGCTAATCTGGCAATGAATTTCCGGGCGTTTGTTAAACACCGTATTTGGAGCGTTTTATGAGGAGAGAAACGAGTTATGGATGGATTATGGTACGTTGATGATGTTTTGATTGACTTCTACTCACTTGATTTGTCTTCAATTTGTGATCCAGTAGAAAATGTTTGAACTGATGGGACAAAGCTTAGAAGGTGGAACGCAGTTTCGCTCAAAATTCGAAACCGTTTTGAGAAAAAATTCACCTTTCTATCCTAAAAACGAAGCTTTGAAACACAGCCTATAACTTCTAATGAACTCATAAGGTTCATCAGAAATTATAGGCTTTGTCCAGATCTAAATGAAGTCGACAAATCTACTTAATCAAGCTCAATATAAGATACAGAAATAATATATAAATTTATCATAGCTTTATCAGCACTGACCAACTCAATCAGCTCAAAAAGCTCAAAGAACATAGATTTGAAAAAATGACAAAAAAAAATAAAAAGAGATTCAATAAATCCCGACCGGTCCAAGTTTTCAAAAATCTTTAAATCCACAGCTGATAACAGCATCCTTATCAGTTTCTGGAAAGCTCAGAATTGCTTCTTATCCAAGTGAAGGAAAGTTTTCCGATAGTTCAACTCCAATAATTACCGTATACTTATCACTGAAGTCTTTATCAGTAAGCCTAAAAAGTCAATTAGGACTCAAAAAGGCAATGAGTACCAGCTCAAAAGTTAATTACGGTAGGTACCGGCAGCAATTACTGTGTTCTTATCACTCTCGATCAAGTAATAGTAAGCTCAATATTCGTACTTGTTCTCGAAAAATATTTTATCGAGATTAGATTTGCAGTAATCACAGTATCCCTATCACTCTCTATCAAGTTTAATGAGGCCAAGAAGTATACGGCTTCTCAAAACTTCAGCTCAAAACGGAAGAGAAAGTAGTTCAAAACAGAACTTGACATCCTAACTAATTACCGTACCCCTATCAGTCTTGTTTGAGCTCAGCGTTGATCGCAGATCCAAATCTCAAAAAGTTCAGATCAAAACCGAATAATAAGCAGCTCAAAAACAGATTACGGTAGGTGATAAGACGAGGCGACGATTGATGCGCGAAAACAAGACGAACGAATCATCAAGGGAGGCGTGTGTGTGTCCGCGTCTTTGTGTGTACCTCCGGAGGGGCAGACAGAGACCGCAAATTGTATGACTATTCGTGTGTGTGTGAGGGAATGAGAACGTGTGTGTGCACTGCACGCTTTAATGCCCTGGACGATCAATCGCGCCCATTCATTGTATTTGCCAATTATTTGTGAGAGGCCCCCGCTGGCTGGCTGGCTGTCGCGTACAGGTTGGTTAGGTACCACCATCACCTCGAATCGGACAACAAAGGGTCAAACTCTCCTGCGGGTCAACACCTCATTATTATTACCGGCTCTAAGATTACTCCGTTCCATCCTGTGAGCAAACAGGTGGAGCTTGAGGGATTGTGGATGCCATCGGACCAACTTGTAAATCTACGGCGTGTCACGACTTGAAACTTCCGACATTGCGCTTTCCGCTGCGTGCGTTCGCGAAGCGTCTTTCGAATATAGGTCAAGCGAAATGCCGTTTGGTGAAATTCCAAGTCTTGCTACACAGGCTATAGACATTCTTTTTAGGCCTGTACCGCATGAGCAGCGTCAGATCCCCCAAGCCGATGAGACAAGGTCCTATCGTGATATCAGTGATAAGTAGACTGACTCTAGTGACATATCCGCCCTTTCGACAGCTGGGGACCATGAAGCCGTAGTTTTAACCCCTTGTTTGGGTCGCGGCGGATATCGAACTTGTGACCCTTTGAACCGTAAACATAGGGACCGCAAAGCCACGCCCCTTTTCGCGATAGAAAAAGTGGCTTTTTTTTGGTTTTCAACTTTCATTTTGTTGTAGTTGTAAAATATGTGGAACTGGCGAATAAAATTTGACACACATGTACAGAAAAGCTTCCTCTTTCGTTTAAAAAATATTTCACGCTTTCTTGATGCGTTCTCGCGGAATGTCGTACAAAAAAACGTGAATGGAACTAAAAAAAATTTTGTAATTTTTTTGCTTTTTTTCATGTGTTTTTCAGGTCGAACGCACTCTTTCTTTTTTTATATAATGATTTTTGATTCAAGTAACGGTAATTTTTGAAACAATAAAATAAAAAAATTCGTCTTTGCCAAAAAAATTTTAGGGAGTGCCGAAAGTCATAATTCAAAAATATCGTTAACAAGCGAATATAATCGAGTTTTTTTGTTTTTTTCAAAATTTAGACCATGGGCTTACTTAAATTTTTTTCTCCACAGCATATGTACTTGAAAAAAAGTTTTTGTGATACGCAAAAAAATGCTCTTGAAACTAGAGAATAAAATTAGCGGCGTTTATCACACCGAAAGCGGTCGAACGCAGGTTTTTTTCAAACGATTATATACATTTATTAGTAAAAAAATCTTTCAATTAAAAAGAATAAAATAAAAAAATTCGTCTTTGCCAAAAAAATTTACGGGGGCCGTTTTTGAGGCAGCGATCGTTAAAAAGAGGCAAAAAAAGCACTGAAAAAAACAGTTTTTTTCGAAGTGAATTTCCACGAAACGTTTGAGTAAAGATTTGCGAACATATTCTGATAAAAAAATAGCTAAATTACTTCAAGTTTTTTTCTTTTTGAAATAGACAATCTGTGCTATTTAAACGGCTCAAGGGTAAGGCGGATGGAAGCTCCCCGCGCTAGACCTGACAGCTTGGCGCAGTGCGTGCGCTGCGATTTTTCATTTTTAGGTCGCGAGTTCGATACCCGCAAGCATCAGTTTTTTGTTTTCTGCAAAATACCGACTTTTTCGGCAAAATAGCTGATTAGCATCATTTTAGCACTCTATTATGATTTGTTACATCATAATAGACCAGTATCAAAACTTTTTCTAGAAGAAAAATCGAGAAAAATGTCAAAAATGAATAATACTAAAATTTCAGTACTAAAAAAATGGTGCGCGGCGCGCCACATTTTTCGTCATAACTTTTTTCATCCTCAATCTTTTTCGAAAAACTAAACGGTTCTGAGTTTTGAATCGAAACAGCTATCAAACCATACAAAGCTCGATGCTGAAAAAAATTTTTTTGAAAATTCGTCTGCGGTCCCTACGTAAACAGGCACACGACGTGTTGCGCTACGGCGCGCCAACTTAAACCTCTCTAAGGCTTTAAAGTTGAGAGCAACAAAGTCTATGAAGGTCTTGTAACCCTTTCGACGGAAATGGATACCTAGATGAAAAAGTCTGAGCAACTTTTCAAGTACTTCAATACCATATTTTGGTTCTAGAAGTTGAATGTTTCATTCGAGCCTTTTTGCAAGATTATGATCTTCTCAAATTACTTTGGACCCGCCTTGATGATCGTAAAACTTCCAAACTTTTTTACTGGTTTTTATTAAACTATCCGAACTTGGGAGCAAAAAATTGAAGCTTGAGTTGCGTGGATGGTGTTGGCCAGACTTGGGGTATCTTGATAGAAAGTCTGATTGTATGTTTTCCAAGTTTGGAATGATTTTAAATATATCGATCTCATTCCAGAAGCTCGGTATGACTCCTTTTTCAATATCCTCTGTTTCTTCTGAAATTCGAAGTTTAATGAATAACCTAACCAACTATTCTTCAAATTCCGACATCAAGAAACTTCAATGTCAGCATTAAGCCATTCCCAGAAGCTTGATCAGACCCGTCTGTTCTTAATTAATTCATCAACCGAGTTTTCAGAGCCTTTAAAGAACTCGGCTGCAAGTCAGTTTTCCATTGAAAGGCTTGAAAATTGTAAGATATACGGTATCCTGTCTCATTCTGCACATCAATTAGTTTTCGAAACCTACTTGAAATATAATTAAAGCCAAACTCTCCATAGAATAAATTCAAATATATTCTCAAAATCGAACTATTCCTACAGTATTTATCCAAATTGACTGTGCAACGGTTTCCTATCAAGTCACGAGAAAAAACCATCATTTTTCCCCAACTTTATGATCAGCCATAAAGTCAGGTTTGCTGAAAAGCCGCATTTTATACGTCTATAGAAAAAAAAACTAATGTCGAAAATAATATTGTCGGTATTTCGTACACGGGAAAATGATGAAAAGAAAAAAAGGGAAAATCGAGTCATTTACGACGTTTCGATTCGAAATGAAATGTGGGGAAAAATCGGCTTTCTTTTTTTGATGACGATCGTTTTCCCAGCATGAAAAAGTCGGCGGGGCGTCGCGAGTTAATCGGATGAAAAAATTATTTTTCCTTTTTTTCTCGTTGGGCCCAGTCCCATTTTGATGGAAATCAAATTTTTCCAGCAAATTCGAAAATTGTGGAATTTAAATCTGATGCTTTGAAATTGTGGAAAAATAGATCCCGCAGAAAAAAAAATCTTCAAAAAATTATTCGAACCTAAGCTAACTTGCTAGCAACAAGACAAATGTCCAAAACAATATCACAAATAAGTTCTCTGATTCAGTAATGAGAGAAAAAAAAATGGAAGAAAGCCAGTAATGATCTTGAAAGTAAATTTTTAAGCTCTGAACATACGTCGGCTGGATCCCACTCCGGGGTGCGGCCTACTCCCCCTCTCAGTCAAACTTTCTTCGAAACGACTTTATAGGTGTCCAAAAATGGATACCTGGGCGCTGAGATCAACGGCGCCCTGCTTCTCGAGGTGCTGCTTGGCCTTGTGGAGATGTCGGACAGAATTGAAATGGGCGACGAGGGCCGTCTTCGAGGCGAACGTCTCCTGGCACAGCTCGCACCGTTGCTCGTCCTCCTTCGGGTGCTCCTCGTCCATGTGAGACTGAACACTTTTTCATGAAGACCTTGGCGCAGGAGCATTTTTAAAAATTCAAGACAAGCCATTCTAAATGCGACCGCGAATTTTTTTTTCATAATGATCTGGGATGAAATGTAAAACATTTGGGAAAAAAAAAATAATTTTTTTAATTCGATAAGAAATGAACTGCAAGTTTAAAAGCTTCAAGAATAGATAAAAAATTAAGAATTAACCAAAAAATTGAAAGTAAATCAGTTCCCTGTCACCGAAAAACCTTTTAAAAAACGAACATTCCTTGTTATATAATTTATACATGTTATCAAGTAGGGGTGTTTACAAAAATGCGACCGGTGCGACAAATTTTTTTTCTCCACTGCGAATTAATAAATTACAAAAAAACGATTTAGGACAGTATTACGACGAAATTAATGAATTCATTATGATACATTTTTTTAAAATTGATTAAGCGGTCGCACCGGTCCCATTTTGTAATCGTTTATAACATGTCTTAATGACTTTCTCCGATAGCAATGCTAATGAACAGGATTTAAAATCAAAAGAAAAGAAAATGATGAGAAATATTTGTAAAAAGATGATGAAATAACCATTTGACTTCAAAACAGCAAATATCGAAAAAATCGTTTCGAGGCAATTCGAAATTGGTGCAAAAAACCATTGATTATGATTGGTGGGGAAATCTATTTATAGATCATGGGAAAGTTTTCAAGAAATCAATTGGAAGGTATTTGTCTCTTCATTTTGAAATCAATGATATTTTTTTAACAGAATAGAACTTTTTAAAATGGCATTTGAAAATGAACACTTTCTTTTTTTAAATTGAAAGAGCCTATAAAATCCATTTTTTTAGTGTTCACTTTGCAATTTTTCGAATTTTCTATGTATTCTGCCCAAAAAGGGAGTATTTCAAAACAAAAAAATTAAAAAAATTCTGAAAATTGATCGTAGTACACCTCAATGTACTAGGAGAGGATTCTGGGAGGAAAAAAAATGCTAATTTTTTTCAGAAAAGATATTTCAAAAATCAAAAAAACCCCTAAAAAAAGAGGGATTTTTAAGATTTTTCAGCTTCTCGAAAAAAAGACGATTTGCAGCTAGAAACTTTCCAGACATTTATTTGGCCCATTCAGAATTTATTGACCGGTTTCAATTTCAAATTCTTGAATAAATAGGTTGATTTTATCGAGAAAAAAAGAAAAAAATGGTTCCAAAAAGGAAAAAGTTCAAATTTTAACGATTCCTTATCAGTGATTTTGAACTGGAATCAACTTCAAGCTTTATTCAGGAAGAAAATCAGACCCTGAGTTCATCGGCGTCGGTGCAGACCTTCTCGCAGGCCGAGCACTTGTGGGTCGTGGCAAAAAGATGGATTATCGAGTGGGATTGAAGGGAGGCTTCGCTCCGGAACGCCATCGAGCACTGTGGACACCGGAATCCGTAGCCGGACGATGCCGGCCTGAAATTAATGAAATTAGAATTCGGATGGGAAGTTCTCAGAACCCCTTAAACAGTAAATTTGACTAAAATCGACTGATTTATTTGAAAAGACTTCCTAAGTGCTTATGATTGAAAATAATTTTCACTTGATTTTTGAAACTTCTTCAAAAGATTTTCTGTTCGAAACTCGAGCTGAAACAGGAAAAATGGATGAAATTCATCTCAGAGTGGGATCGGTTGAAATTTCCTGAATGTTTTTCCATGTGCTCATAATTCAAACGAATGAAAATCACTTTGATGTTTTTTTTTTTCAGAAAGTTATCAAAGGAATCAAACAAAAACTCGATCTCAAACAGAGAAAATGAAGAAAATTCATGGCTCACAATTCAAAAAAATCACCTCGAAATGTTGAATTTTTTTCAAAATTTCTCTCACCTCAAAAAAAGTTTAAAAGCAATTCAAAATGCTTAAATATCAGCTTTATTTATTGAGAAAGGTTTTTTGGTCTGTTCTCATCGTCTGATTTAATCAAAATTGTCGACTTTTTTTAACCTTAAAAATACGATCTGAAACAGTAAAGTCGCAGAAAATTTGCGTCCCCAAAAAGTGGAAAAAAAATCAATCAGCTTGAGAAAGCTGAAAGCACACAAATGATTGTGGAGGGCAAAAGTGGAGAACGGAAATTTTTTACAATAACTCCTGACAGGACGAGAGAGTGTGGGAAAAGGGGAGGGCGGCAGGGAACTGCGCGCTAATTGCCTTGAGGGCGTTCTTGTGCGCAAGTCGCCAAGGGGGAGAGACTGTGGTGATCAGAGAGACGCAGACGCTATCAGTGAGTTTTGAGCTCGCCGAAAAAAAGAATCGTCGCTCACGACTCGGCGGCCGTGTGGGAATGAATTCCGCTTCTCGTTCTCAAGTGATTACGGTAGCTCCCCCGGCTCATTTTTCGCTCCATCGCACTATTTTCATGCTAATTTCGCTTACTGTACGCTTTTCATAGGATAATTTTTTTATATTTTTCTCATGGGCCTATTCATAAAATAAGAAACTTTCAAATTTTTCTAAACTTTCTCCTTTGAAAAAGAATATCAAGTTTTATAAATTCCTATAAAGTTTTTTTCTCAAGTTTTTTTCACTTTTATTAAAGAATTTTTTTGGAAAAAAAGAATAAATTTCAATCAGAAACCTGAAAAAAGAGATTTTTCTGATGATTATCATGAAAAAAACTGATTATTAAAAAAACATGAAAAAAAAGATTTAAAAAAATCGAAAAAAATCGATGAAAATCGAGCTAAAAAAATAGATTTTTCTTAACTTTTTTCAGGAAAAAAAAGGTAAATCAATAAGCTCAGTAGAAAAAGATTTCTGTGGACCCATGGCCCGTTGAAACGGGAAACTGAAGTTAAATACAATTCTAAAAAAATTTTTGAAAAATCAGGTTAGGTTTGAAGAAGGATGAAATGTAAGACTGAGTTTATCAGAAAAAAAAAATCGAATCTCAATCGATTCCCATTAAAATATATATTAGAAATCTCAAAAATTAAAAAAAAAGCCCAAAAAACATTTTTTTCGAAAAACCCTGTCGAAGGAGATCGGTTAAATTCGAAAAAAAAACCCATTCTTCAACTTTTGATTTCGAAATTTCTCAGCTCACTTGCAAACAAATTCGATGATAGGTTCATTTTCTGAATCTCTATTTTTTTGGATTCAAAAATAAATTCTGAAACAGAAATCAAAAAGTTTTCCCCGGTAGAAAAACTCAGACAAAGTTCGAAAAATCACATTTTCTTGCTAGCTTGTGACTTTCAAATCCCAGTATCTCAGCTCAATCTCAACCAAATTCAAAGATGAGTACATTTTCTGAATCCCCATTTTTCTGGCTTCAAAATAAATACTGATTCTCCACAAATCGATAAGATTTACCCGGTAGAAGGAGGTCGATGAACCGCGAGGAGTCGATCGACAGCCGACTCAGCGATTTTGTGCTCCTGCAAAAATGGAAAGATGATTGGTTTCTTTTTTCTTCTTCTTCTTCTCAATGTGTAATGAAACAATTTACGTTTTTTGTGTTGTTGTCAATGATTGTGGAATGAATGGAGGGACGAAATCGTGAGTCATTCGGGGCTCCTAATGTACACGTTGACATTGGTGGGAATTGGAAGAAGAAGAAGAAGGAAATGAGGAGAATGGGAAAATGAAATGAAAGTCGAACTGTTCAATGGGAAAGCTGATCGTTTTCGATTTCTTTGAAGAAGAAGTCATGAGGGATAGAAAAAATATCTTCAAAAAAAGGCTGAAAATTGAGGCGAGATTGAAGAAAATTGAACTGTCTGTGAGAAAAGCTGATGGTTTTTGATTCGTAGAAAAAATGGAAACATTATGAGATATAGAAAAAAATTATTTTTCAGAAAAAAATCTTGAAACTGACGCAAAATTGAAGGAAATCGGATCATTTGTCGGGAAAGTCGGTGATTTTTCCGATTTATAAGCAATAGAAAAATTTTTTTCGAAGAAATGGCTAAAACTGAGGCAAAGTTGAAGAAAAAAATGAGTTACAAAATTTGCTGATTTTTGGATAATGTTTGAAAAAAATCATGAAGTTTACAACAATTTAATTGCTGAAAATTGACGCAAAATCAACAAAAAGTGAACTTTTTGAATGGAAATTTCATTTTTTACATGGTCCTGAACTGAAAAAAATGAACCAAAAAAAACTAAAAACATTTCTTGAAACTGTAAGATCAGTCAGGAACAGGAAATTCGGTTGAAAAAAGTTTTTTAACGAAAATATATTCCTCAAGGAGCACTTTCAATGATTTCCAAACACGCTTTGAATATTATTTTTACTGAAAAGCTTGTCGGCAAAAAATTTGTAAAGAATTAGTGAAGAAAGTTCAAATTTTTCGACAAAATACGGAGTCGAAACTTGAGAGTCAATTTTCCAAAGATTTTTGAACTTCTTCCTTTTCTTTCTCAAGGAGTATTTCGACTTTAAGGGGACCCTGATAAATCTAGAGATTGAAAACTACCTAGAACTCTGAGGAAAAACATACTCCTAGAAAAAAAAGAGAAGAAAAATAGGTTCATATGAATATATTTGTTCAATTTGGTAGTAGAATAAAATTCAGGGATAATGATAAAATAAATAAAAAACGAACAGTGACAAGATGGTGCATGAGGGTCGTCGTGCGGTCCATGCACAGGGGGCATTGGTCGCCCGATTCGTGCGATTTCCCGTGAGCTTCCAACGTCGCCGCGTCTCCTGAAACCGGCAAAAATGTCCTTTTCTATTCGTGAAAGACAAAAAAACCGATATCAAGCTTTTAAAATTGGCCTTTAATAAAATAAAAAGCTTAAAAGTTGCTTTTCATAGGATTCGATTCAAAATCACTGAGCGAAAATTAGAACTCGGAAAAATTTTGATGAATCACTGAAAATCTGTTTGTATGACGATTTTTTGCGGCCTTACTTTTATATCGAAAACTCGGAAATTGTCTGAAAGAGGAAAAAAATTTCACACTACTTTCACCAGGGAATGGTCTCAGCTCACAGTGGGACTTCTGAATGAGACTATGTTTTCTAGATGTCGTTTTTCATGCTGATTCCAAATCCGGTCTCAGAAGCTGTCACATAGGTCTGTGAGAAAAGTTAAAAGTCGAAAAATTCAGCCTCTCCGATTGAGCAAGACTTTTGAGGGTCCAACTTTTTTCACAGACTTATGTGGCAGCTTTTAAATTCGGATTTTGAATCAGCATAAAAAACCACATCTAGAAAACATGGTCTCATTCAGAAGTCCAACTGTGAGCTGAGACTATTCCCTGGTCAGGACACCTGTTTAATCCAAAAGTTTGAAAAAGAATTCGGGGTCTGTTCAGCTGGAATGTTCAGTTTCCCAGAAAGTAACGGCTGATCGCTTTAAAAGGTCAAAAATCGTTAAATTTGTTTTAAAAGTTTTCAATCTTCCAAGTCTAAGCAACAGCTCATCCTCCTCCAACTCCATCCACTCCACTTGAAACACTCCCGAGAAACTCCCGATTTTCCTCCTTTCCAGCCAAGAAAAACAGAGTAACCAAGAAACTATTAGATATGGTCCTTATCGGAGACATTCCGGCGGTGGGGCGGCGGGCAAAATTAAAACCAAAAGAAAAACGAACCGGCGTCGGCGGCTCTTTTGCCAAACGCCGACATCTTATCTTCATTACCATGCAACGTCAATTAATGAGCCGGGAAATATCAATGGCGAGTATTATTATGGCTTCGACTCATCGTTTTCATCTTGGAAAACTACGTTCAAAATAATAGGGTTCAACTCAAAAATGAAGTAAACTGTGAAGAAAAACCAGGAAAAAAGAAACAGACGTGGTGACGCCGATTGATGGGTGTGGGAAAAAAAAAGACCGCGCGGTTTAGAATTTGAGAAAAAAGTTCGGATACTGGTGAAACAGGGTCCCTTCTCTAGTTTAAAAAATTCAACTGGTATGTGAAAATCTGCCAAAAAAAAATGTAAATTGAAATTATAACGAGAGCCGCTGCGCGTCCTGGCGCGTCGCGGTTGCAAATTTAAATTTAAAAATTGAAAAATTTGATTTTTTTGATGGGAAGAAAAAAAATTCCTTTTATAGTTAAAATATAATACAAAGAGGGTTTATTGTTCGGATCTCGCAAAAATTATTTCTTCTATTTGAAAAAAATCCAACTTATTTTTGGAAACCCGCCAAAAAAATTAAAAATTTGGATCAAGCTACGCGTTCTGGTGCTTTGTGGTAGTAATTGGAAAAAGTTGAAACATGGTTTTTTTCAGGAATTTATCAAAAAAATACAACAATATAGGCTTCACTATTCAAATGCAGCCGAAAAAGTCAAAAAAATGAGAAAATATGGTAAAAAAAGTTTGCTTTTTTTCTTGTCATTTTTATTCAAATAGGCAAAAAAACTGAATAATAAAATTCCTTGACGAAATAAAAAAATAATTCGAAAAATTTTTTCAAATTTTTTTTTCAAATTCTTAACGCGTCACGGTCGCGAAGCGGTCATCATAAAGTGGGGAAATCAAAATTCTTTCGTTAAATAATTTTTGAACTTTACTGTGATTTTTAGAAAAAAATGGTAACTGTCTTTTGTTTTCCTGAATGAAGGTAAGTAGATGACGCTAATATAAACACTAAAATGATCACTTGAAATCCAGATCCAGAGCTTGAAAATAGCCTATTTTTCCCAGAAACACTTTAATTTAAAGAATGCTTGTAAATCCCGAAACTTGTTTCCGAACTCTGAAACTACAAGATATCTCAGCTTTTCCTCTCCCTTTGGACACAAAAATCTCGAGATTAACTGAATACATGGAAAGTCCTCAACATCGGGAAGGAAGACAACTGATTGAACTTGAGGAAGACGAAAAAATGGGGGGAAACGGAAAAATTTACTAATTAGTCGCTTACCGGTTCCTTTCAATTACTCGTCAGTCTTGAGAGGAGGAAAATTCGAGGCAAATTTCCGAGGAACGAGGAGAAAAAGGTTAATTTCTGATTATTAGAGAGTGTACTTTAGAAAAAAAGGTTACTTTTTGTTTTTCGTGAATTAAAATCCTAAAAGTCCCGAATCGCTGAAAATTACATAAAAGTAAAAAAGAATCATTTTGGAATTCTCTTTTTTATTCGAATCAGTTCAACTCAAAACTTTCAGAGCCAAAAATGGTTCAAATCTTTCAAAGCATTATAAAAAACTCGCACTAGAATTTGAGGAACATTTGAAGCCGCAAAATCGGATAATAAAAGTTCGTAAATCATTTGCACGAAAAATCGATTCTGGAGTCTTAAAATCAAAAAAGAGGTCCAACTCATTTTTAGAACTCTGAGCCCCAAAACTCTGAAAATTCATCACAAGGTCAAGAAATTTGAAGAAAGATATAACATCCACACATTTCGATCCATTTTAAGAACAAATTAATTCGACTCTGAACTCTCAAGATTAAAAAAATCAGAGAAAAAAGTCAAAAAACACGTTTTCTAATTCATTTTTAGAGCAAACTGATCTGATTTTAAACTTTAAATATCTGAAAATCTCTTACAAGGTCAAGAAACTTGAAGAAAAAGACAACAAACAGTGTCGCTAATTGACTCTCCCATTCTCTCTCTCCCGCTCCCTTTTCTCGGGCGGCAGCCACAAAAGGTGCGAAAATGTCCTTATCATAATGATTATCGTTAAGTAATCACGACACGAAACAGCCGTCGCTTCCCACACGGCCATAACATACATGTACACGCGCGGGCCAGGAAAGGGACAACATGGGCGGTCAGATCAAAGGCGAGCCCGCTTTATGGGCTTTTTCCGTCAAGGGCCGCCGACGCGACGGTGAGAAGCTCGAGAATCGTGGGAATTATTCCCCAATTTCCGATTTTTTCTATTTTTCTTTGGTAGGGATCGACTAGTAGCTTGGATTCTATAGAACTGTGCGGGAGAGCGAAATTGCTGCGAGGAATTATTTTTTCCAAGATCTTTTAAAAGAAAAAGAATATCAACAGAGGCATCGATCGAGTTTTTCTCTTTAATACGTCTCTTAAGTTACGAGAACTGTTTTATCCCCTGAAGGGAACACTCTGGCGCTCCTAAGTAGTCTCGGACCTTAATAACGTGAATCGGACGTGTCGCGGCATTTCTAGTGACCACTTCAGTAGCCTCAATATTCTTAAGTGATCCCTAGAATCGTCCAGAAACGTCCGGAGCATGTCCGTTTCGCGTTAACAATGTCCGAGGTAGCTTGTATCCTACAAAACTGTGCGGAAGAGCGAAATTGCACTGCAAAATCCCGATTTACCTATTATTTTAAGAATGAAAAGGTCTTAATACACCAAAAAAGGGCTCTTCGCCTCGAGACCGTTTATGAAATTTGGCTATGCTCCTTCAAAAATTGGAATATTTTTTTTTCTAACAGACAGCAAGGAAGCGGAAAAAAGCTGAAAATTCTTGTTTTCTCAATTTCGATTCCGGTTTTTAAACAGGTTCCCGTTTCAGGAATGAGCCAGTAGATAAATTAACAAGGGTTCATTAATTCGTCTGTCTTGTATGTATGTAAAAGACAGAAAAAAAGCTAGCAAAAATATATAAATGGTTACAAAAAGTGCGCTCCAGAGCTAATATCAAGAAAAAAGTTTTCCAAGTTCTCGGACCCCGGTAACGCAAATCGGACGCCTTTCAGACGTTTCTGAGCATTTCAAGTCATCCCTCCAGCACGCCAAAAATCAGAAAGTTGTGGGAAAAAAAAAATCGAAAAATGATGATCGAAATCTTGGACACTCTACAATCGCAACAGCGACAGAAACGGACCAAAACTGCCTCAAAACCGTGACAAAGAGCCGCGAAATGAGGTAAAACGCGGCGGCGACCCACCTCTATTCATTCCGCCAAAAAACTCAAATGAATGGGTTCTGACTCACTTGGGCTCTCAATATTCCACCGACTTCAAAGAGGTCGCCGCTCAAAGGGCAAAAAAATGAAGAAGAAATCATAAAGCGAATTGCGAGCCGTTAATTAGAAAATCGAATGGGTCGCCGATGGACTGCCAGGCGGGGGAATAAGGCTCAAAGTGTACTTTTTCAAGAAATTCAGAAATTTTTTGACAAAGTTGAAAAATTGTGATCCGGAAGAGGAACCGGATTCGAAGATCAAATCTTGATTTTTTCTGAAAAGTTTGGTTTTTTAGGACTTTTTTGGTCTGTCTTCTTAATAGTCCATGAAACATCTCAGAGCGTAACGGCTGAAAAAGAGTATTTTGAAGATGCTCCCGACCTGAAACGAGTTGCGCCCTATTGAAAAAGAGCAAACTTTGAGAGCGCAACGCGACCGCGACGCGTTGAGATTTTCCAAATACGAAAAAAGTGACAAAATTTTCATCCAAAGAGAGTATACAGAAAGAATGAAACAGAAATTTTCGTGAGCTTGAGATTATATGAGAATTCAAAAACAGTGAAAAGACTAATTTTTTAAATTTTGAACAGTCTATCATAAGGCCGCCGACAATATTCTAACATTTTTGGATAAAAAAAGTGCTGCAACGCTAGTTTTTTTGATAAAAAAATTGATGTTTGACGGCTCTTTTTTTCATATCATCGGCTACTCTCTCAAAAAAAGTGGTTTGCAGAAAAAAAGGAAAAAGAGTTTTATATTTGATACATTTTTCAATTTCTCTACTAGAGGGGTCATTTATTTCTTTAAAACTGCTCATTGATGTATCAGATGGAGATATCTGCGAAACTGTCAAGTTCTCCAGGGAAAGGGGCTCAATTTTTAAGAAAAAGCCAGCAAAATTTGTAAAAATAAGCCATTTCGAAACTCAATTTCTTAAAAAAATTATGAAGTTGTGTCTTTTCAAAAGTTGAATTACGGTCTGATACTGGAGTAAATTTTTCAAAAGCTCTCTGAGTGAGATACATTCGGAACTTAATGAACCCTTTGGAATCAATTGAATAATCTTTCAGTCAAAGCTAATAAAAATTTTCTTTTCACTTTAGGGGCTCTATTTCTCGAAAAGAAGGAGGTTCGGGGAGTTACTGGGAAAATTTTTAGTGGCCACTATAGCGTTTTGACGTTTTAGTGGCCACTATAGTAGTCAATGGATCAACATAACTGGTCCATTGTGGTTGGTTTAAAGTTATCAGAGTTACTGGAAGGAATACTGTATGAAAAACTACTGGAGTAGCCACTAAAACGGAAAATAGTGGCCACTATAGAGGTGGATTTAGTGGCCACTTTAGTGTCCTCTCCAAGTAGTCCTTGGCGAGCCTCTAGAGTGGTCACTAAAAATTATCCCAGTAAGGCTTCCAAAAGATGATATTCAGATCAAGGAATTAAGCCCGTCAGATCAATTCGAAACCAAGTTAACCATCGGGTCCCGCAAATTACCATAGGAAAGATTTTAAGGGCTCTATCTCTCGAAAACTAGGAGGTTCTGCGAGTTAAGTCTTCCAAAAGACGGAATTCCGAGAAAACCCATAATTCAGTCAGATCAATTCGGAACCAAATGAACCGTGTGGGCCACAAATTACCATAGGAAAGACAAACACTTGAGGGTCGGGGATCAGAGACAATTTGGGCTGGTATGAATGAACAATACCTTGGCGGGAGGGTCACCATCGTTGCGCGCCGAGAGCATAAACAACACGGCTCAAAAGGTTCCTTTTTCTTCCCTCATTCACTCATTTTTTTCCCCTTCTCATTCACTTCTGAGAACAAATACAGGGTCGATGGGACCAAAACAACGTCTCTTAGAAGAAAATTGAGCTGTGATCAAGTATTACTAGCTTGCTCCATTGAGAATCAAACTTTTCTTCTTCAGTAACTCGGACCTCTTGAATGCAAACTGGATCTCCGGACGTTTCTAAGGATTTGAAGTAATCACTTAAGAGTTCTGATGGCCCTATAGGGATCACTAAAAAATGCTCCCGGGCGCGAACTTGTAGCCTTGGTCACTTATTTTTCTCGTCCATTTCCAAAAATAAGCTATTTTTAAGACTTTCAATTATTTACCGAACTTGTAGCCTAGAAGCGCACATAAACCAAGAGCGACTATTTTTTCTCAACTGCTTTTTCTAGCCTGTTTCATAAAATTAGTCTGAACTTGTTCTTTTTGAATTGTTAGCCTTGGAGCGCACATAAATCTCCATAGCGGCTATTTTTTCTCATCCATTTTTCGACGGCTCAAACGCTCTCTTTCATGATCAGAGCTTTTCCACAGGAGAATCCCATCAAAAATCAACGAAATCGAACTCCTCCGAGAAAAAATCGATCAAAGTTGGCCGAAAATTTTTGAGCGAGGCGGCAGGGCTTTTCAACGGTAATTGGCCGTGGAAATCGCCGACACAAAACCGGAAACGGCGAATTTCGCGCACGTTTCTCCCTTGCCCACATGTGAACTTTCTTTTTGACAAATGTTGGGTAAATAATTAGAGAATAATTGGGGCCACCGGCGAGTTGGGGAGACCGGTTTTTGAACGGTTGGAAATATATTATGAAGGTCGGCCCGAGGGCATCGAAATCACCTATTTTCCTAGGAAAATGATGAAAATTTGAGATTTATTGAGGTAAAAAAACTTTTCTTGGATAAAATAACTTTTCAGGACCCCACTGAAAAAATTCATAAGTTTCCTGATTCTCGAAGAAATCAAAAAAGAAATTCTAAGCATTTATAATCACTATATGTATCTTCGAAACAGAAAAAAATGATCAAAAGAATTCTAAAACAAAAAGAAAGTTAACTAAAAAATTTGAATTGCTTGTAAAATGGCTCCACGGGGTATTTTTGAAAGACGCACCCGACCCGAAAACGACTTGCGCTTTTCAGAATTTCAAACCTAACATTTGCCGCTTATTTAAGGCGACACTCTTGAAGGGGATAAAATATTTTAAAAAAATATTTGATTCAAAAATTTACTTAAAATCCCTTTTTGTGCTTTTCGGAAATCAAGTTATGGTTGGAAGCCAGAAAGTGTCAACGAGTATGACTACTTTGATCAAAAAAAAACATGAAAAATGGAATAAACATACTCGTCGTGAAACCGCAACTGGCGCAAGCGTACGCCGCATCGTCTTCCATGGTCATCCCATCGAATTCTGCAAAATTCGCATAAATTGACAAACTTTCGATATCTTCAACCATGCTAAGGGTGAGGAAATGGCAAAAAAAGTAGCGATTTGAAAAAAAGTTTTTTTATTTTTGAAAGAAAATGAAAAAAATTCGAATAATTAATATCGACTGGTTTAAGAAAATCGTGAGGAAACTTAAAAACAAACAATATTCCTGTTTCAACAATGCTGGTTCGAAAGTTAGGCAGATCTCATAAGAATTCTGTGATTTTTTTGATTTTTATGATACAAAAAAACTGAAAAACTTTCAAAAAACCAACAGTATTTCGTGTCAAAACCCCTTTAACAGACTTGGAGCAAATATATACAAAAAAATTTACAAAAAAACCGAAAAACCGGTGGAAAAAAATTCAACCAAAAAAATCTATCGCTTCAAGACCCAAATTTCCATTTTTTTCACTATGCTCCTTCAAAATTCTGGCGCAGTATGGATCTTGGAATATTGCCGAGATTTTTCGAAACACTGATTTTCTACGAAAATTCATATAAAATCAAACTTTTCCTCAAATTTTTTCAAAAATTGATAATCTATCCATTTTTGAGTCAACCTACTCATTTTCTTCTGCGAAAAATCTCTTTTCAATAAAGTTTTCGAAAAAAAGCCATCTACAGTAGTCTCCCGCAATTGTCTTCCACTCATTAAGCGGCCGTCTCTTTTTCTCTCTCCTCTCTCCTCTCTCGCTTTCGCGATGGGGCGGCCTTGCTCCTCGCGTATGCGTCGTACAGATATTTAAATAAATATATATAAATGGCGGTCCAATCAGCGGCGAGGAGGGGAAGGAAGGAAGAAGAGAGATTATTCAATACAAATGTGAGAAATTTGGTTTGTTTGACAAATAACGAGCAAGGCGAAGGCAAACGAATGAGAAGAACGAATGAAATCAAAAAACGACGACGCCGAAGGGACGGGATGATGATGAATTTAGATGTCACTCGGCAAACAGACTGTGTTCCTTTCTCATTCTCAGTTTGCGCTTGCAGCTTTGATTGAATTGCTCGCCCAAGGTACGGTAGGCTGATAAGGAATCAAGTAGGGGAATAATCAAGGAAAAGTCTTCAGAAAACTATCACAGAAATGTCAGAAAACTATTGGAAGAAGCCTCAAGTTGTCCCTCAAGTGATTTCAGATGATTTGATAAGAAATCAGCACCAAGTATGGGAGTAACAAGCAAAAAATCTTCAAAAAAGAATCACAGAAATTTTATAAAACCCTCCGAATATCTCCCCAAGCTGTTCCTCGAGTGATTTCAGATGATTCGATAAGAAATCAACACCAAGTATGGGAATAATCAAGGAATTTATGATCCGCAAATTCTCTAGAACATTCAGAAAACTCTTGGAATATGCCTCAAGTAGTCCCTTGAGTGATTTCAAAAAATTTGATGAGGAATCAACGCTAAGTATGGGAATAATCAAGGAATTTCTTATCCGGATAATCTCTAGAATATTATCGTACTATAGTCAGAAAAAGTTTGGAATATGCCTTAAGTCTCCCCTAACGTGATTTCATAAGGTGTTGTCTTCATAAAATTATCTTATAAATTCTAGAAAGCCCTTTGAAAACTTTTTTCAAGTGACCCCTCAAGGGGTTTCAGAGAAGTTGTCTTTAAAAAAATATCTTATAAATAATGAGAACCGGGAGTACGTCTCAAGTTGTCCATAAAATAATTTCTGAGGGCTTCATCAACACTAAATACTCGATTAATCAAAAAAAATTTTCTTTTAGGAAAAATCTCTAGAAAATCAGCCTAAAATGGTAAAATGGTTAAAAGCTCTTGAAGTATGACTCGAGTTGCCCCAAGAATCGAATACTCCGAGAAAAAAGGTCAAACGATTTCACAGAAATCTGAGAAGCTGATTGAAGTTGCAACTTTAGTGATAGCTTTGACAAAAAATCAAAATTGAAAAGCTGACTGAAGTGGTCCCTTGAGTGATAATTCTTCTTTCTCTTCAAGAACTATTGAAAAAAAGAACGAAAATCTTTGTCAAGTAGTTTCTGAGGAATTCGTAAGTTTCCTAAAGTCCCCACTTAAGGGGATTTGATGGGATGGATAAAAACCAGCTCTGATTTCATCAGAAAATTCTTAATACCGAAAAAAAGAAGTATGCTCTGAAGTAACTTGAAAAAAAATTAACTCCATTCTTCATCAACATTTCAAATATAATAAATGGATACACCTTGAATCTCAAAATCTTCACGAAGATAGGAAAAATCAAGAAAAAAGCCGGAAGATCGTCTAAAACCTTGATCAATACTGTTCAGCAGATGGGGACAGGCGAACCGAAAAGCAAAAAAAAGGGGCGTGGCCAACTTTCCCACCAACTTTCTTTCCCCTCCTTCCACCTGCTGCCTCATATGCAAGTTATGCCATACTTTCCATTTTTTCTTATCTGATCTCCAGCCTTCTGTTCATTTATTTTTTAAATCTCACAGACTATCCGAAATTGAAAAAAAGGCTAGTTATATATTTTTTTTTTCAATTTTCTGGTTCCAATCAAAGAATACACGACTTTCAAAGAATATTCAAAGATTGTAGAATATTTATGAAGTTTCTCAGACTTGCTCATGTTTGAATATATCAAAAAACCCGGTAAATTAATTTCGAAAAATAAAAAACAAAGTCTCTTCAAAATTTAGAAAAAAATCTATTCCAAAAGTTTCCAACGCTTTCTTAGAATTTCTCAAATTATTTTGAAGATTCAGAATTTTGAAATGAGCTATTTATGTTTGAATATATCAAAAAAAAGGTGTAAGTTAATTTATTTAATTATTTTAACTTCTCCCAAACTTTTCTATTCCTTCCATATTTATGCGAATTTCTATAGCCTTGTCAATAATCTGCAAAAATTTTCCAGTGGTTCTGCGTGAATAAATCAGTAGATCTGAGAAAAAAGTCCAGAAAACTTTGAAATTAAGTTAGGAAAAGCTAAACTTCTATTTAAATAAAAAGCTGAATCGAAGCCTCATTTTCTTAAAAAATTTCTCAGAAAAAAATTTCTCAATGAATCTCCAAGTCTGTAGATGCATTACATTAGAAATTACTCAACCAAGAGAAAAAAGAAAAAAAAAAAATGAGAACCAATCCAAAACTTGAAGTCAACGACTAAATTGGCCGAAAAACCAAAGAAATTCGCAAAGAAATGAAATGAAATGAGTGCCGTTGGGGGGCTGGCCAATGCCAATTGACTTACACCATCCCTTCTGAAACCAAAAAAAAGCCAAGTTAGATAAAAAAAAAAAACTAAATGCGGATATTTTCCACGCTCCAATTTGTTCGCTTCAAATCGCCTTTTTTTCCTTAAAGTTAGATTTTTATGATGGCGTTTTTTGATAATAAGTTTACGAGCATTACAGGGATTAGATCTAAAAAAATAACTGTAGGAATTTTTTTGTTGAGAAATTTGAAAAAAACTGATTTTTTTAAACTACAGTTTTTTTGAAAGAAAACAGAGCAGCTCACTGTGAAACTTTTTTTAAGATATTAATTTCCATATTGAACAAAAAAATTGCCTTTGAAAACTCTTTTGAAAAAAAGTTATGAAAACTGAAATTATTAAAAATTTTTGCCATATCGATATACTTTTTGATCGCTAGACCACCGAGTCTTCTGAAAAACTTTGTTGAATCTAGAAATTCCTTCAAAAAAACAAAAATAAATAACCAGTTCCGGGACCATCCAGCTTTTTCCTACCATCCAAAAAAATCAGAGATAGGCATTTTTTTATGAGTTCTCTGGCAGTCCTCCCAGACAATTTTTCTATCTTAAATTCAAAATCAGAACTGTATTAGGTGAGCCTAGTACCACATAATTCTTAAATTTACTGAAGGAGAAATATAAAAAATCGTCAAAAATCCATGCCTCCTCTCCCATTTCGTCGTCTCTCCACCTCCTGCGGCTTCTTCTCAAAACAAAAAATCTTGTGCCAATTCGTCATCACCATACCATTATTGTAGAGCGGTCACAAAACCACACTTTATTGATAAAAAAGGGTTTTATTGGGCCCATCCGATGACTTTAACGCTTCTAGGATTGCTCATAACTTTCGAATTTGTTATTTTATTAGTTTTTCGAGTTTCTTTATATTAGAGTCGCCGCAGTTGCCTTAACATGTGAGAGCCGATGCCTCACCGCGTAAGCCGTTTCGAGTCTGGTGAAACTTTTTTTAATCTTGGATTAAAAAAAGTGAGACTTTACAAGAAAAAAAATCGTAAACTAACAGCTTTTTGTTTTTTTCTAAATTGCTTTTTTCCTAATTCTTTTTGAACCCTTTCATTTTTAATTTTTTTAGATAATAAGATCCAAAAAAATCTTCTTTTTTTGTTTATTTAAACCACTATTTTTCACAAGCGATTTCTCTAGATCCCCCTTTTTTTAACATATTCTTATATAACCGAAGACTTTTCAAAAATTAGTTCTCGCCAACTTTTCGGCAAAAAAAACCTTTTTCAAATCCAAACTTCACAAAAAGCCCGTTCCAAATCTAGAAAAAAGGTCGAGTCAGTTGGAAAAAATCCAGAATTCCGAAATTGTTGGCGCTTCGGAGGGCTCGATAGTCCCAGTGGGACCGACAAGACGCGCCATTTTTGGACGTTTCGATTTCCAAGCTTTCCCCACAAATTAGACAAATTAGTTGGCTCCATATAACTCAATGTTAGTCAGAGAGATGCTGGCAAACAATTTTTGGGAAACATTTTTTTTGAAAATCTTTGATCCTGAGACCTTTTTGACCGTGATCAAGAACTTTTTGAGTGGATCTACTCTTAATTTTCTAAATTAATAAAATCCACAGACTGGAAAAAGTCTTCCCTACGAAGAAAAACTCAAAATGAGTGTGATTAAGCTTTATTGAAGTTTTCAAATTCGTTGAAACCATGAAACATCCTAATGGATTCGCTTTTCAAGCTTTATGACGACTTATGAAACTGAAAAGTTTATGACGACTTATGAAACTGAA